CAGCTTGTTCAAAAGCTCAGAGCCAAGTAGTACAGTATAAGTAAGGTATTTAAGTCATTAAAATATGAGAATATATGCGTTAAACGAGTGTGAATGGGTATGAAAGGGTGGCAGTCCAGTGCCACCCGCTGCTGCTGCCGAGAACTCAGTCCTCCTCCACCTCCTCATCACCCAGGCCAATCTCCGGAACAGTGAGACCGTTATACTTCTCCATGTCAGCTGCGATCTTCTCGTCTTGCCATCTAAGATGGGGTCAGCTCGAGTGCACCAAACTGACAAAAATGCGACCTTACGCGAGCCATCCAGCGGTTGTGCGATCTTCCCCGTGCGTCGTGTACAGCTGGAAAAGCGCCGCATTGAGGTTCTTCCAGAATCCAGTGTCTCCGCCGCGAACATTGGTCTTGGCGGCAGAAGGGGCGGCGATCTCACGCTATTGAGTCTGATGAGTGACGGGACAGTACGAAGTAGACATGAAAATGCGCACCATGAGCGCGAAGTGGGCCTTCGTTGCCCTCGAGATCTCCGTCTTCTTGGGCTTCGGGTCGACCCAGAACTTGTTGACGATTTGTAAGGACATCAAGTCCAGGCTTGTCTTCGTCACTGTGTTGGCAAAGATCTGCGATAAAGTTGAGCAGGACGCCGTCAACGCGAAAGGATGACATACCAAGGTGCGGACCTTGTTCTTGCGTTGGTTAAGCAGCTCGCTGGCGATGTGTAGCTCGAGTCCGGCTGCAACCATTGGCCCTGTAGTCTCGAGCTCGTACTCGGCAGCATGTTTGAGCACGTATTTCTGGAAGGATGTCAGTTCATGCCGACGAGTGCAGTGTGTGTACACACCACACTCGACTTAAGGATCCTGTTGATAGAATGAGTCGGCTTGCTGGCATGATATGATACGACTTGGGAGAGAGCGATCTACAGGAAGGTCAATAAACGTAACGATCGACTGAGCAGCGTACGCACGTGAAGTGGCGTACTAACGACCCAGTTGGCGCGGACGAGGGCCTCGATGTTCAAGATGCTCCTCTTGATCTCCTCAACATCGGTGGTGAGTTGCGCGATACGAGCGTCGATGGCGACAAACTCGCCCCCGACAAGGCAGACTTTGCCCTCAGCAGTCAGTGGAACCTTAAGCAGTGTTAGACTTCGCATAGTCGTGAATTGTTGAAGCGGTGCTCACCTTACTCAGCAGCTGCGCATGCTCGACTATCTCGGGCGAGAGCCCAAGGTCAACACCCGCCAAGCCTACGCGGGCGCAGAGCTCATCCTGGAATGTCGAGTGCATTATGGTGTCGATGCTCTGCACTGAGTTGTACTCCGTATTCGTGTAGTTGGGAAGCGATGGGCCAGAGGACGTCTGCGCACGCGAAAAGTTGCGGTTGCCGCCGGGATATGGTGCGTAACGAAGGTCCCTGTTCTCTGCATTGGTTTGGCTGGGCATGTTGAGAGGGAAGGGTAGAGGAGGCGAGTCGGCTCGGAGCAGCAGATATAACAACAAAAGGAGAGACGAAGGTGGTCGGAAGGGGCAGATGGAGTGAGAGTGAGGAGGGCAACGAAGGCGCAGCTGGGGCATCACGTGCCATACTTTCCCACGACCACATGCAAGTCGAGCTGACCATGCTCAGGAGCCTCCGTATATCAGACAGTTCATGAGGTACAGGCAGAGAATACTGTAGATACAATGTACTTCCAGGACCACGTCGGAACTCGCATAAACCACAAACATCTACATGTCATCTATAGATAAGCAGGTCTTCCTTCACCTCGGGCACGATTCTTGTCCGTTCGTATGCACAGACCGACCCGCAATCCTCCATTCCGCATCTAGTAATCAGGAGGTGCCGGCCATCTGTACCCGCCCACGTCAGATGTACCATCACAGCTGTGGTTGAACTGAAGGTGTGCTGGTAGATTCTGCGCCGCGCGACGTGCCGCCACCATGGAAAGAGAGGGTGTGGAGGGAAGCGAAGGTGGGAGCATTGAGCTGGGGGGTAAATAGCCGTAATTTGTGATCGCATACGCGGGAGATGCTGCTGGGGACGCGATCTGCATGTTGTCGGGCATCTGGTGGGAATTGGCAGAAGCGGCGGCGGCAGCACTCGTACGCGCACGCTTTGCATTGCGCGATTTTCCCGACTGAGCAGGCGCTGAGCGCTTGTTTTTCCCCTTGCTGCCTCCCACACTACCCTTCTCGCCCGCTTTCTTAGCCTTTTCCGCATCAACTTGCTGCCTATGCTCGACAGCTTCTCGGACAAGCTCGTCTCGCGCTTTCGCCGCACTGGGGTAGCGGGTAGCCGAGCGGAAGGCATGCAGCGCTTCGGCGCTGCGTAGTTGTGCCAGATTCAGTACGCGGTCATCGGGGTTTTGGGAGTGAAGGACTTTGTCGACTTTGTCTTGCATCAGCCGGCGCTCTTTCTTCGTAAGGCGTGTGCGTGTAACTTCGCAGCGATTTGCAGCGCAGTTGTGGAAGGTGTGGATGGAGGCGAGGCAGTTCTAGAAGAAGTAAGCATCGACTTATATATGTAGATGCGAGATAGATGCATACCGCGACGGCGCACCATTCTGCAGCTGCGATAATGGGATTGGATCCATCTGGGCTGTCCTGAGTCTGTATCGACACGCGAGGCATGCGATATGGTAGAATCTCCTGGCCAACAACATATGGCTGGATAAGCAGCCCAAGTACCTGCTGTGGGGTGGCGAGGATCTCACAGACTCTGCCGATGCGAGGGGCGAGGACGCTGATCGAACTTTGGTAAAGAACGAACCCGCCTGTGATCGCCTCATCCTTATTAGCGAGCACGACTTTGCGGCAGTATCGGATAGCGTCCGAGATGGGGTTTTGAATTTCAGAGGGAGGTGATGGTAAGGACCGCGCGCTTGAGGTCTCGAACCACGTTGTTGGGGACCGTTTCCGGTCGATACTAACAGCACCTAGTCGACCTGAATGAGCGAGTGTATTGCATGAGCCTCATCTACTCACCTGCAACCTGAGGATACAAGACATCAGCGAGTCCGACAAGCTTGGCGTACAAGGGATTATCAACGAGTTTCGTGATCTCCGAGCCAGCAGTCTTCCAAGTTCCGTCTGCGCCTTTCACAAAGCCCGAACTCGCGAAGTGGCGTATCATATGCATGTTTGCAAAGGATCGCGCGATATCGGTGCTAGGAGCGTGCCTTGGGGAGTGTATGCTTCGCAGGCGAATGACAAAGTTGTAGGACTCGAATGATTCGGTGGCGAAGAGGATGGCGGGGCCGAAGCGTCAAACATGCTCAACAAGATGCAAAAGTACGTGGAACTTGGGCTTGTTGAACCACTGAGTAGTCCAGAGCGCGCTGCAGGCAAGAAAATCGTATACAGCCTCTTCAAGAAGGCGCTGAAGAGGCTTCAGTGAGGTGGTCGCGATGCTACAAAACAGGCGCATACGAAATAATCGCTCTTGTTCTTGATGCTTGCCTGAAAAGCTAGAGGGGCGAGGCGCCCAAGCGCAAGCCATGCTTCGTACACTTCGGGGGGTAGCAGGCCCTGAAGAATTGTGGGCGCCATTTGCAAAATTACGCGAAAGTCGCGGCCCGTCAGTGATCCTGCCCATTGAACCAGAGTCTGACCGCGTGGGTGGGGGATACCCAGACCAGTGGGGTCAAAGCTGTCTATCCGAGCTCGCACAATGCTCTTCTGTTCGCGCGTGAGTCGCGATACCGCATCGCGCCAAAAGTATTTGACGAAGCCAAGGAGGACTACATGTAGGATCTCGACAGGCGTGTCGACGGCGGGATCGAACTCTATGGTGGATGAGTAGCAGTCGATGAGATGATGAAGAGCGACTCACCTTCCAGGCGCAAACACGGACTGAATATATCCTCAGGCAAGCTGTCACGAAGCACGCGGATCGCCGCGATGACTTCGGCGCTCTTTTCCTGCGGTGTTTTCGAGCTATCCTTATGCGAATCCTTGACGCGCGCGCACTCCTCTGCTAGAAGGTCGAAGAAATGGGTGAAGAACTTGTCCTTCACGCCAGTCTCGGTCTGAATCGTGCCCGCTCGTGTGGGTGCGCCATCTAAGACCGCTGCCAACTGCTCGCCAAGCACATCCAGTGTCTCTGCCTTCGTCCTCAGCGGCTTGCTATCCCCAAACATGAACTCCGCGACACGTTCGCGCTCCCCTTCATCACCACCCGGCCGTGCCTTGCTATCTGCACCTCGAACATTGCAGACTCGACAGAAGCACTTGCCAGTGAGCCCGATGTGCGACGCAAACTCGCTTTGCATCGGATTGTCGCCAGCCATGCCTAGAACCCACGGAAGCAGCAGAACAACAGTCTTCAGGTGACAATCATACGCCTCTACGCCGCCCTGTTCCCGAATTTCCCTAGAACAAATGAAGTCAGTATCTATCATAGATACAAGCAAGCGATAAGAAGACGTACTGGACAGACTTTACAAGGCGCTCAAACATCTCAAGCGGTGCAGCGAGATTAGACGTCGACAGGAAATGTATATTGTACAGCAAGTGCGCGAGTCGAGGGGGAAGTCCAGCGAGAGTAGGGAGCTTGAGCTACGCGGAAATTCCGCGTTGAAATTTCCTTTTTGAGCAAACGGAAATTCCGGTCTAAGCGTGACGCGTCGCGCAACCGTCCTTACCTGCCTCCGTCTATAAGCTACATCATGCCTCGCACTAAGCATCCTCCCCGTAATTCCAAACCGAGCAAGGAAATTCAGCGGCCCGCGTCACCGAGGTCAAAATTCATATTCAATGGGGCCCGCCTGAACCGCCTCCTTCTCTGCACCCTCGCGCACGAGCCATGGCTAGCTGGCTACCGACAAGTGAAGCCTACGTACAAGGCTATTGCTGCAGACTACAACAAAGGTCTACCAGAGAAGGAGCACATCAAGGACAAGACCGCACAGGAGAAGGTGAAGCAGCTCATAAGGATCCGGCGGGTGCGTGATAGCAGGTCTCCAACACACGTTTTCTGACCGTGGATACAGGATGGGGGGCAACCGACAAAGGAGTTACGTGCCGTCTTCGAGTCCGGCGAGGACGTGCAGTTTTCCGCGCTGCTGGACCGGGTGGTGAAGGAGTTTGACGATGCGCGTGATCGGAAGGCGGCGAAGTCAGCCGCGCGGGCTAAGGTGCGTCCTACTTGACTCGGTTAGCGTCTTTTTCTGATTGTTGCGTAAAGGAACTCAAAGAGCGGGAAGCCGCTGGCGCTCGGGTTCGTGCGAATGGGACTGCCAATCTTGTTCTGACCAATGCCGCACGGGAGCGACGCGCTGCAGGTGGGTTTCTCGTAGTTCTCATTGTGATTCATCGCTAATTTCGCCATGTAGCTACTTCTGCAACTACGGATACTGCTGCTACCCTCACCACTGCCTCGCCTATCACACCACAACTGTCCGAATCATCAGCAGCACCAACCTCATCGTCCTCCTCACCACTTGCTCCCTTCGCAACAGGTCCCCTCCACGACGTGCTCAGTCAATTTATGAGCATTCAGAACCGGGTCGCCGACCAGCGTGCTGATCGTGACCGTCAGCTACTGCACATTATTGCCGAGGAGCTCAAGATGCAGAACGGTATGATACAGCAGATACTCGATATTCTCACAGGCCATAGCGCGTTTTCCTCCCCTCCTCCCCCTTCTCCCTATGCTGTCCCCTCTCCCCCTTTGTCTACTCCATCCCCAACTACTTCTTCTTCTTCATCTCCCGCTCAGAGTTCTACTGCAGACGAGATGGATGTTGACAAGGAAGACATTGCACCTGATGGTGCGCATACTGCTACTAAGGCCAGTGAAGTACCCAAACAAACACATATTTATCCATTACGTCGTTCCAGTAGACACAACTCCTCAATTTAGTCGTACTACATACGCTTTTTGAAGTACTCGTGTAAACTCGGTGGTGGACACTTGAAGCACTTGGAGATCTCTGAGCTATATAGACAGGTATGTCCATTTGTCAGAAGGACTCCCACTCGAAAGTAGACAGCTACGGGGGAGAGGTGAATCTTGAGATCATCCTCGAACTTCAGAAAAGCCCAATTATTCTTCACCTTCCCAAATGCCCATTCCACCGACTGACGAAGCTTGGCCATGAGTGAATTGAAATCCCTTTCCGCCTGCGTCAAGTTGGCGAGCTTCTTCAAACCCGTCAACACAACCTCCGCCTCGCCAATGTATGCTGGATCTGCATAGACGAAGAGCTGGCGGCCCCCGTAGCCCTTGCAGTGCGCAACGAGATCATCTGGCAGGCCAGACATCTCGAGCAGCTTCCCGTCAGCCCTCCTCCCTTCGATAGGACCATGGCAGAGCACGATCAGACCATCCGGGGCAGCAACTCCCTGCCACTTGTACGCATGTCCCTTCAAGTACCCGCTGTACATTGCGCGCTGATCGTCGGTCGGCTCTGTGACCTCCTCGAAGGTGGCATCAAGGAAGAGGGCGATGTCGTTGGCGGGGCAGCCCGCATGTATGGTTGCTGATACAAAGCGCTCGAGATCGTCGGGCGTGAACCTCGACATGTCCGCCAGCAAGAATGCCCATTCATCATCAATGAAGTGAGCTAGCTCGTTGGTGACACGTGAGATTTGCGCGTAGTCGCGGCCCCAACGATCTGCAAGATCCTCGAGGCGCGAAGGAAACACGAGGCGGTTGCACAGGATTGCAAGAGCCTCGACAGCAGAGAACCTGTCACGGCAGCTGGTGATGTATGGGTCTGGTATGCCAATGGCCTGAGATAAGGCTATAAGGTCACGATATGTGAATCTAGTCACGTATCAGTTAGCATTACCAGGAGACTTGTATGCGTAAAGTACCACTAACCGGGTCCACTTCCGGGCCTTATCGTCATCAAAGCTCTCGAGCTTTGGACGGATTTTGTTAAGTGGCCTTGTCATCCCGACCTTGCCACCTTTGGGTGGCTCGTCAAAGGACCGTTGCTCCGCTGTCAGAGTCCCAATTTCACTGAACAGTGCATCGGAGAGTTGTTGGGGATCTTCGACACCCTGTTGAGCAAGGGCATAGGCAGTGACCACAGCAGCAGCTAGCTGGGCATCTGTGTTGAGGGCTAGTCCAGTATCCATGCTGATCGATATGGAGATGGTGGCAGATTGCAAGAAAACACGGACCCATCAGTTCAACACGGAAATTTCCGGTCACAATGTCACGTGCACTGCCCATCGGCCCAGAGGCCGTTCACTATGGTACCCTTCAGGTATATTACACATAGTCCCTATATACATCTCAGATGGGTTTACATGCCCTCACGAGCCCTCCAGTCTACATTTTCAGCAAAAATTTCTCGGAATTTCCGTGTTCAGATACGGAATTTCCGCGTAGCTCAAGCTCTCTAGTGAAAAGGATTGAATTATGTTTGTTCCATTTCTTGGACGTGTTCCCTGACGTATCATCACAGTAGACCCAGATCGGGACCGAGAAGATCTGTTTTCCGCGCGCCTTGACGCGCAGCGGATGGGGCGCTTGGAAAGCGGCAGTCCGGTCGATGGATACTGGCTGAGAATTCTCGGAATCAGGCGACCTGCGAATCGTGCCTGCACGAGATGCACATCAGACAATGGCAGCAAGAGAGCAGCGTTGAGCACTCACCACCGATGATACTTGGGTCGGGGATCCCGTAGAAATGATGTGTAGACTTGAGGCGAGGATAAGAGGCAAGGAACGAAGTCAGGGGAATATCTACGCAGTCCTCCCTCTCGTCAACAAGGAGAGACGGTTCGCCTGCGACCCATGCTAGGCGCTTAGCGCGTGCCCAAACATCGCCGTTTCGAGTGTACCACCGTGCAGGTAGAACAACAGCCTCGGCAACCTCTGGCTGCACTGAGTCAGGCGATGGACGGCTTAGCTGCATGAGAGCAGGTTCGAGAACGTAGTAATGCTGCCCATCTTTGCTGCAGACCATAGGTCCAGACAGAACAGCATCCACATCTTTGTACCACTTATCAGCATTGCATGCACTGGTAAGACGCTCTCCTGCGTCCTCGCTCAGCACAGACACATGGGGGCGTACATGTGGATTGGCCCATTCCTGTCGCATTTTACGAATAGTGAGCTCGCCTAGCCCATCGCGCAAAACACGTACAACTCACATCAGCAAGGATATCTGCAATGCTCAGCATGGAATAAGGATTTCCAAGCGAGCCATCACAGTCGTCGACACCGGGCGCAAAGTCCTTCACAATCTTGTCCCTTCGTAGCTTGATCTGCCGCAAAGTCATCGAAATTGGGGCGCCGCACTGCTCCGCAAGCCAAAGCGCCGTCTTCATGTCCTGTTCCGAGAATACCGAGCGCGGAAAACCGCTCATCTGAGCACCAAGTGCAGCCTAAATCATAGTTGTTAAAGTTGGTCTACCAAGCGAAACCAGAATACTCACCTCCTTGTCGTCCCAAGGCCACCAATTCTCGGGGTGGAAAAGGCGTGACTGCCCGGCAGTCTGAGGTTCCACGTAACGGTGTCGCTCGGTGTTTGCACCTTCTTCGTCACTGGACAGATCCGCCGGGTCAGGACGAGTGGCCCGCATATCGGGCGAGGATGACGGAGGCGACGGCGGACGCCTGACGCCACGCATCTGTCGAGGCAGAGGTGTGCTCGGGGCTTCACGATGATGCTCTGGAGTAGGCGTCCGCGGACTCTCGCGCCACGACGGACCCCACTTCCCTTCCGTCACCGCCTCTTCTTCGTCCGCTTCCGACTCGCCTTCACTCGCGGAGTCTATGTCAGACTCGGAATCTGACGAATCCGAGATTTCGTGGAGGCCAGGCATACCCTCGAAGAGCGATTCTACGTCGTGAGCATCTTCGGGTTGGCGAGGGCCAGCGGAAGGCAGCCATACACCATCATAATCATCGTAGATAGACAGAGGGTTATCGTGAGGTAGTTGTGGTCCTTGCAGCGTTTCGAAAGGAGGTATCGTGGTAAAGACGGGATGAGCGACGCGAGGCGGGGAGCTTGCAGGTGACTGAGAATCGTCGCCTCTCACAGCTTCCGCATTGTTATCGCCCATCCGCAAGAGCCGTGCCATCCGGCGGACGTTCTCGATATGCCGCTTCGCCTCATCGTGTTCCAAGGCCTTACTCAGTGGCATTGGCTTCTTGTTCGGACACCCGGCACTGCAGAGAAAATGACCATTCTCGGCGGAGATAAAGCCTATGATCGATTATTTTATTGAAAGTGCATGCGAGATCATGGTATATGAACCTTTGTTGCGACGTAGTAGATCAGCACCGGGAACACTTGCAGGGGACGACTCCATCTTCGAAGGTATATGGTGGTCAAGGCAAGAACGGGACTTAGCGTTCTCACGCGCTGACTGATCTTGATCGCAGACGCATGTGCGGCGGGTTCGCCGGCCCGGGACGTTACTTCTGTGCAGGAACGCGTTGCTTACTGCCAGAACTTTCCTGGTGTATTCTGAGAGGAAACGCCAGTACATACAAGGGCTACCGCAGAACTCAGGTGAGCTACTCGGCGTGGTAGTGCTTGGTAGAAACGACCTGGATAGCAGTGTACAGAGACGCAACGGCGCATGGATAATATTGGGAACCCGTGAAATTGGCCGAGCAAGACTTGGACATAACGCAAGATCGGGATTATGACCAGGAAAGCACCCACAAGCGCCTATAAAGGTCTACAGTTGCACGTGGAAAGGGACCAAATGCGTATCAAGGCCGTGATCATCCTGAACTGTGACAATGATAGACTGCCGCATAGATCTGGCGTCAGATACACTCACAGGCCCTGCCCACCCTCCGACCTCAACAGCCCGAAGCACGAAGCGCAGTGGGGCCCGCCAATCTGCCCAAAGTGGCGACATGGCGCGCGACACACGTTCGAGTGCGGCCGACCGCTATCCCGTCTCGCTTCTGTCCCAAAACCCACCTCTCCCACATGCAAGCAACGTCGGGCACACTGCTCTGTAACCTATCTCCTGCTGATCCCCTGCTACCTGCCTTCGTCGCGGGGATCCGAGCGACGCCCGACGCATGTGGCCCGTCGGGCTTCTCGTGCGCCGCCCCTGCGATTCCGCCATTCGAGCTTCTGAGTTCTGACAGTTAGTATTCCGCGCGCGGGCCTATATAAGGACCTCACTGCGTAGAGGAAGCTCTTCACGTCCACCCCGGTACGCCCATCATGCTGTCCTTCTTCTTCGCCGTCCTCGCTCTCCAGGCTTGTGCTGCTCTCGCGACCCCGACGAAGAGGGATGCTGTTGCATACATCGACCCCACCAAGGGCGGTGGCTCCATGCTGGATGATGGTATGCTACTTGTTCGATCCTCTTGCAATCTCGCTCAACGTCGACCTTCACCTCAGCCGGCGCCGGGAACGGGGGCGAACCTCTGAACGTCATCGTCTCCGGTCTCAGCTCGCCCGATGTCCTTACAGACGATGGCATTGTTAACTACGCCAGGGCGATCGGCTTGTGCGTCTACAAGCGTCGATATTCTGCCTCGCCCTAACGAATAACCTAGCTCTACGGAATGCTTCGGTCTTCACGGCGGAGGGGCACAGAGCGCTAACCTTGGCGACGGGGTAAGAATTCCTGCATAGAAGGTTTTACAACGCTAACCTCGGTCCCCGCGAAGAACGGTTGGGTAAACCAGACTGTATGTCCTATTTCTTCGTCAAGCTTCTCGAGAAGCATAACTTACTTTCCTTCAGTTCGAAGTTCGCCAGGACTACGGCAGCTCAGGCGTCGGAACCTGCCTCGAGACGCTGATCGGAGGCAACCACTTCCGGTATGTCTGACACATTACATTCCACCACGCCTTGCCAAACCACCCCAGCACTACGATAGCAACCCACTCACCCCCTTGCGCAGCGTCTTCCGCCAGAACGGCACGCAGGCCAACACGGGCGCGCTCTTCCTTGCGGTGTCTCAGGAGGAGGTGCGTGTGGTCCCGGCGCGTCGCTTGCCTCTACCTATCATTCTGCCGATGCGATGTGCTATCTCGTCTCGGTGATGATTATTCTGCACTTTCCCTCGCAGGCTCTCGCTCAAGAGTTCCCTCTTTCATCGCATACTCACCCTTCTGCCGAACCTACTCACACCTTTACCACCCAGGATCTTGCCCATCACCACACCATCTCCACCGACGGCTACAACGTCGGTCGTGACAAGCTCGTCGCTGCCGCCGTCGGGGACAAGTCCTTCAAGGGCGTCTCCTACACCACCACTGCAGAGAACGTCACAGGCTTGCTGCCCACCGGAGCGGACGGGTGAGTTGTGGCTTGCTATCCTTCGTAGCCGGTCGTTGTTGATAATCACAATGCCAGAATCAACCACGGTATCGCACTCGACGGCATCGTCACCGTGCTCACAGTCAAGATCACCAGCTAGATGGATGGACGACCTGCTTTTCCTCTTCTTTCGTTGCTATCCGTCTATCGTTATTATCGCATTCCTTCTCATGCAAGCAGTCCTTATGATCTGCTCTCCTTATGACCAGTCGTGTACTTCCCATTTCATGAGATATACCAGAGCTTCCAACGAGCATCGACCAGCGCTTCGTGAAGACGAACATCCAGCACCTCTGGATTAGAGAGCCTCCGCTCTCAACATCAATAAGATATACGTGGTATAACATAACGGGGTAAAGCCGACCAACGGTGAAGTGAGTGACCAGTGTAGAACGAAGAACAAGGATAGATACAGTCAATGTTAGAAGAGACGGTAGTCTAAGATACAGCAGCTGAAGGCGCCACGCCAGGCGCCTGCCTCGCGGCACGTGCAGACCTCTTCATGAGAGACGTCCCAACAAGCGTTTACCGCGCCTACTGCTTCTTGATGCCCACGCACACATTCAGCCAGCCGTCCGCTCCTGCCATGCACGCACTCAGCCAGGCCACCTCGGCCTCCATGGGTACGATGACGCCCTGTATTATGGGGTATGCCAAATCATGCACGGGTGGAGGTTGTGGCCGCGGGTTCGTGCGCGAGGGAGGTGGCGGAGGCGGTCGTGGCGGGAATAGCAGTGGTAATCTTGACGACAGGAAGTCCGCAAGAGTTTGGGGGTTTCCTGAGGGACGCGTAAGCGCGGTTAAAGCAGGACACGCCGCGGAACGTACCATCCTCGAGCATCGGGGGAACAAGATCCTGCATGACGGGTCCGTCGGGGAGGTATATCCTCGCAGGTACACTCCGCACGTTGTACGCGCCCTCCTTGTCCGAGGGACCTGCCGGATCTGCAGATGGGGGCCGGTTCACCATAGACGCTGACGAAGGCGGCGGCGCATTTGGTGACTGAGGCCGCCCCTGCATCGACGTCGAGGGCGTCACCTTCGCCGCGACCTTCCAAAAGTCATCGAAATTGTCTGCTTGGCGCGTCAGCTTCACCCCTCACAGCCAGCACGTCACACACGTTCTCGGATACCCTCCCAGATACCGTCCTGCTCGGCTTTCCGGAGCCCCGTCATTCGCTTCGTGTTGCCCCATCTGATGAAGTCGGCCTCTTTGAGCTGGCCCATGTACGCCTGCTTGCACGCCTCGACGCTCGGTTGGAGGAGCAATTTATCGGTCGGTGGGGACGCGAGATGGAGGATTAAGCGCAAGGGGACGGTTGTAGGCAATGCAGACGTGGAGGGGCGGATGGAGGTCGAGATAGTGAAGTTGTCGTATATCAAGCCGATGGGCCAGTGCCTGCGCGTATGAATGAGGGATGAGTGCAAGGGAAGGGACGCGCAACACACCACTTCAAGGACGTGCCGTACTCGCCCTCGAACCACCACTCCTCGTCCTTTAGCTCTTGCGCGGCGGTCTCGTCAAAGACAACATCCATGAGGAAGCGCTTGATCTCAGGCATGAGGAGGGGCAGGTACGTGACGCGCGGCGCCTGGACATAGTAGCACTCAAGCCCGCGATCAGAGTTGGCGGGGAGCTCCTTCGAATCGACGCGGATCTCGAGCGGGACGGTGCCCTCCCATGTGAGCCTGCGGAAGAGAGTCGTGTGGTAGTCAGCGACGCGGTCCTTGGTCGAGAACGTCGCGCCCGCCGCCGGCGAGTGGTGGTGGCGAGTCGTCCCGTACGTCGACATGGGTGATGGCGGCAAGGCGGGAGCGCAGGCCAGGCGATCACGTGGCTGCGCGCCATCAACAAAACGAACGCGAGGTGCGCGCGCGGTCGCCGGCTTGCCTCCCTCCGCCATCGTGCGCGCCTTCTTGGTTCCATGAGCACCCTCAACCGCCGTCCGCTGCTTGCCCGCAACCAGGGCCATGTCAACCAGCCGGCGACGCGCACCGCGGCGGGTTCGTACAAGCGCCCGCCCTCCCCCGGCCTCCGTCGCGACATCGCCGTCAAGCGCCTCAAGACCGCCCCCGCTGTGCCCACTCTCGAGAAGCCCAAGCCAGCTGCAGATACAGATAGGGAGCGGAGGAAGATCGCCCGGCAGGAAGAGTGGCAGCAGAAGTGGCTGAACCACTTCCCCACTCTCCACTTCTTCTTCGACGACAGAGTCGACCACAAGTTAGTCGAGGCCGCTACCTCCAAGCTGAGGGACTTGCATGGGGTACTTGCCTCTCAGCTCTCTACTGATAACTCTGATCAACATATCGTGAACAGAACACCCTCGACTTTTTGGACTTGCAAGAGATGACGCATCTGATCACGACCGAAGAGAGAGCCGATGCCGCCAACACCCTCATCAAGCACGAGGAGTACAAGGAGAACGGCGCACTCAAGATTCTTAAGCGCCTCCCCAAGTCAGTCGCATATTCCCTCCCAATACACCAGGCGCTTACCCGTACGCAGACCGTTCAAGTCCAACGACGACATCATCCTCCGTGCCCTCCGCTTCCGCAAGAAGGCCCCGGTCCGCGTCTGGAGTATCAAGAAGCTCGAGAAGATGCTCGCCGGCTTGTTCGACGGCGACTCCTCTCAAACTAACGACGCCCCTGCTCCTCGTCGCGAGCGTGACCTCGCCCTCCTTCTACGCAACGAGCGCATACATGGCACCTACGAGCGCGACCCGACGCAGAAGCGGCACGACTACCGCTACTTCTCCAAAGGCAGCCACTTCCTCCTCGTCGAGGACATACGCGAAGAGCTCGCAACTGTCATCGCACATGAATACGTGATGCCGAAGGGGAAGACGGTGCCGCCGTGGCCGGTCGCGCATTGCGATCCCCGCGCGCGCGGCCCCTTCGTTGCATACGATGAGAAGGAGAAGAGGCGGCACAAGAAGGCGATGCAGGAGGACGAGGCGGAGCGAGAGGATGCGGCGATTGTGCAGCGTCGGTTGTTGCAAGCGCAGAGGCATGTCTGGGCGCAGAATGATGTCTCGCGCTTGGGTAATCGCGCGGGTGACCTCCGTCGCACGGTGTCATTGAGTAACATGCGCCGACGGGAGGAGGAGTTGGAAGAAGATACGACCACCGTCGACCTCGACGATTCACAATACCAAGCATACCCCCATGGCTCTGGCTACATGGCATCAGGACAATACATGGCTGCTTCTGGCAACAGTATGGCTATCACCTCGACCGCGGGGACAACGACTTCTATGGCGAATGCTGTTCGCAACCTATCTCTTCCAGCATCATTGCAGGGACGCATTGACAACCAGATCGTCACTTCACGCAAAGCCGGCGGCTCTGCGCAGATCGGCGACATGGGGCCACCAGACCGTATGCCTATGCTCAAGAAGTCCAAGAGCACGAACACGATGCGTCAAACCAAGCGTGCCGAGGGCATGAAGCCCGGGTACTGCGAAGCATGCCGCAAGAAGTTCGAGCATTTCGAGGACGTGAGTCTCATATCACTACTCTGTCGTGGACCCTGACTGACGGCTTCCTGCAGCACGTTAAGACGCGCGCACATCGCAAATTCGCAGAGAACCCCACCAACTACGTCGCGCTCGACGACGTGCTCAGCCGCGTCAGACGCCGCACAGTGTACGAAGTCGAGGAAGAGGAGCGCATGTGGGAAGCTCGGCGCGCGGAGAAGATACGGCAGGCGGCGTTAGCTCGTCATCGCGCTGTCCGCCCTCCTATGCACATTGGGGACACTGTCGATCTCAGTGACTACTAAAGCGGTAGTCACTGAGCCTCTATGTCTGCCGCCTTCCTCATGTGTCTTTTCTATCCACTACCCCTCGTCCTCTATGCTACGCTTTACACCCTTATGCCCCTTCGTCTTCGCTTCACGTCTTGCATTGAACTCGCCCACTGTACATCACCACCTATCACTGCCCATACACATAATCATGAATACCTGCACGTCTTGTTTCGATACCAATCATCCAATGTGGAATACGCGCACAGTACACCCAGTGGACAACACATGGTTTTCTCGGTGATGCTGATGGGTGAGGGGCTGCCCAGAATAATGCATAGGACCTTCACTGAATGGTCGAGTGGGTCGAAAGACCCCACTATGCACGCACTGACTGCTGTCCGATGGGATTGAGTCAGGCTGACGCTGAAGTTGAACTTGAGGATCACGCGACAATCACGCGGTCCACGGTCCGGTCATTCCGGGGCAGTAATAGCTTGCAAATACGCGCAAACAGGCAAGTATAAGATTGTCAGTCTCAGTCATCGACCCCCAGCTTAATCACCTACCACCGGCACACTCGATATCCACCATGGCGGACTCCCCTGAAGCGCATCTGTTTACTTGCATGTCATGCTCCATAGCATTCACCTCACCCGACGAGCAGCGTGCGTTAGAGCAGTGGTCCTACATCGCTGGTCCATCTGACCCATCGCAGGGGCTCACTACCGCTCGGACCACCATAGGTACAACATGAAGCGCCGTGTCGCTGGCCTCCCGCCAGTCTCGGCAGCTGCTTTCAATGAGAAGGTGCTGGAGCGCCGTAAGGAGACAGCGATCATGTCTTCGCCCAAGGGATCGAGCTGCGAGGTCTGCGGGTGCGTGCATACGATTCCCCATCACGACTTGCTTGCCTGATGTCAGCTTTAGCAAGACGTACACGACTGAGAATGCTTACCGCTCGCACATCAACTCCAAGAAGCACAAGGAGAACGAGCTGAAGGCCGCTCAGCGGGCGCTCAGACCCACCGCCGCTGCCGATCAGCCAGCCCCGATTCAGGTCGAGGATACCGTCCCCTCCTCCGAGCATGCCGCAGACCACTTCACTGCTACCCCCTCCGCCGCCCCTATTGCTTCCACATCCAAACCCTCCCCCGATCGCATGGACGTCGATTCCGATGATGAGGAAGCCCTCGAGATGACCATTGATCAAAAAATCGCCGCTGCCCGCACGCGCCTCTCCCCCGACTCCAACTGCCTCTTCTGTACCCACACCTCGTCATCCCTCTCCGAGAACCTCATGCACATGTCCAGCGTGCACTCCTTCTTCATCCCCGACGCCGAGTACCTCGTCGACCCCGCGGGTCTCATCACCTACCTCGGGGAGAAGATCGCCGTGGGCAACGTCTGCATCTACTGCAGCTCGTCCTCGAAGGAGTTCCGCAGCCTTGAGGCCGTGCGGAAGCATATGATCGACAAGACGCACTGCAAGATCGCGTACAGCTCGGAGAACGACAAACTCGAGATCTCGGACTTTTACGACTTCAGCACGTCGTACCCCGACTACGCGATTTGGAAGGAGCGCAAGACGAAGGGCAAGGGCAAGAAGGCTGATGCCGGTGCAGAGGGCGACGAAGAGTGGGAGAGCGACGACGAAGAGATGGGCGACGTCGACGAGGTCGTCGAGGTTGTCGAAGACTCAGCCACGGAATCCGAGGACTCAGACACCGCATCGGACGAGGACGATGAGGATCTCCCCGCGCCTACAATCTCCTACGGTGACACCCCGTACGAGCTCGTCCTCCCGTCCGGCACCCGCATCGGTCACCGCGCGAAGACGCGCGAGTACAAGACGCGCCAGCTCGCTGTCGTCTACAAGGGCAAGGGCGCCGAGACACACAAGGAGCGCGTAGCCCTTATGCGCAAGATGATCGGCGACAAGGACAGCTGCCTCGTACCCGTCCGGGGCGGCTTCGGTGCCTTCGGTCGGGGCACGGAGGTGGTGAAGGCAAGGAACCGCGGCGAGGCGAAAGAGGCCCGCCGCCATGTCAAGGAGTTCCGCGACCAGAAGCGGCGCGAAGACTTCAAGACGAAGATGGGGTACAAGGGCAACCACCAGAAGCACTACAGGGATCCTCGTACGTCGTCTGTTGTCTTCGCTGTCTTCACCTTCACTGACCTCGATCTGCAGTCCTCCAGTAGACCTGTACCCACTTGCCTGCCGCGTACTGTATCATCATTTTGCCTTGTACTTCTTGCATTGCATTGCATCTACTGTTTTTCAATCGTTCAAAACTCAAGAGCATATCACACCGTCATAAGTCCATTACAAGAACACACTGTCACTGCCTCACAACGAGCGACATGCAACTCAGTTCAATGTTCGCATGGTGCGCAACTTTTTTACCGACATCCTACAGACGTGTCTACCTCTCCAAACAAGAGTCTGTTCCTCCAGACAGGCCAAAGTGCATACTGCTGCAAGAAACGAACATGGGACTGGGTATACTAGCGATAAGGTACTATAGGGTACGGATGAAAGCACGACGACGAAACGACATGGAGCAAAACTACTGTGGTAAAAACCGGGTCCTGAAGCTGAGAATCTAGTACAAGTACGCGGCCGGAACGACACCTTCCTGTCCACTGCGCGGGTCCCGCGCATACCACCATCTGTGAAGACTCGTCAGCAAACAATCCCCGCAAAAGCAACAAAAGGCTGCTCACGCGGGATCCCGATCATCAAGCACCTCCACTTCCGCTCCCGCCGACAGCTGGAGCTCTCCCTCTCCCGCGCCATCGAAGGAGTATCTTGCGTGCGCGGGACGGCTCTGCTCCTCCGCGAGCATCCCGTGGATGGCATCGCTCGGGGTGTCTGCACGCACGTATCCACCAGCCGCGAACGGATCCTGCTCGTCCGTCTCGCCATCGTGGCCGTGCGTCGACGGGCCTTTCTCGTCGTACTGGCTGTGCGGGGTGGTCGCGCCGCCCATGATGGTGTTACGCGTCGCGGCGTTGATGTGCTCAAGGAGCGAGGACGGCCTATGGTGGATGGAATCGCCATCGTCGTCCTCGTCAATCTCGGATGCAGGGACCTTATCATCACGGCGAGAGAACAAGGTCCAGAGGATGCCGATCAGGGCGAGAAGGAAGACAACACCGGCAGCGATAGCGATAGAAATGAGGATGACAACACCGACAGCGAGGAATTCTGAGAAGCCGTTAGTACATGTATCCGGTTTATACGCAGAATTGACTCACTGTGCTGGGTGAAATCAAAGGTCGATAACGAGCGGAATAGGCCGGCAACAATGCCTTGAGACCCAGTAGAGGAAGAAGAAACAAGATACGGGACAAATGCTTGGCCATCGAACAACGCAGAGGACGTGTTCCCGTAGTCAGCGAGCGCAAGAGATCCTGACACCATAAGCATGCGATCCGGCTCAATGGCTCCATTGGCATCGTGCGTGTCTTGCAGAGGCACCATGGTCAACTGCGCCACGCTCTCGCTGTCCTGCAAGTTCGACCCGACAGACGACCAGGATGCACCGTTCCAGAAGTAGAGGAAGGTCGACGAGCCAGAGCCGACACCGGCGGCAAAGACGCTGCTAGAGTTACCGTTGTTGACTTCGACGGCAGTTACGACGCCAGGGAGGGAACCATCGCCCAACGCAGTCCAGGTGTTGTTCTCGAAGACGAATTGAGCGACGTTGACGGCGTTGTTGTCGACGGCGATGGAGCCACCGGCGATCAACACCGCCTGGTTGTCCTGTCATCTCATGAGTACGGCTTCCAATGTAGCTGAACAATAGCACTCACCCCACCGTACGCGACGGACGCGACCTCTCCCTGAATACCATTTCCGAGCGCATTCCACTGCTTCGACTCCGTGTCCAGCATACAGATCCCCGCGCACGTCAACGACCCCATCTTCGCGAACGAGCCCGCGACGATGATCGTGTTATCCTTTGACGACGACTTCGTGATCGAGCGCACACTGCCGCTCGATCCAGAGTTAGACTGCGGCGACTGCCCCTTGGTGTGGAACGACTGCGCTGCTAGGTCGTAGATCGCGAACCCGTTGATATCCGTGTCCGAGAGCGTGAAGTCGCCTCCGATGTACAGTGTGTCGCCATCGACAAGAAGCGCGCGGACGGTGCCGTCGATCTGGCCACCTTGCAGCGCGGAGATGGTAGTAGATTCTGGGTCGTAAATCGCGATCGCCTGCGACGAGCTCGAACCATCACTGAACGAGAAGTTGCCCCCAATAATTGCAACCTCCTTCGACGAAGACGAGTTCGTCCAGAACACACCGGCAAGGACGGCGGGCGCAGCTGCAGTCGGCGGCGTCGGCAGCGGGTCAAGGGAGCTCGACTGGCGGCGCAACAGGTGGTGTAGCGGGTTCTTCGACAGCCACGACGACGCCTTCTTGTGCGCCTTGATCTGCGAGATGTACCGCTTCGTCGTGCTTGAGGAGGAGGTGGACGAGGAGCTCGATCCATCGTCAGACAGCTGCACACCCAACGGCGTCACTGACGGGCCATTCTCGTCACCGTTCTTCAGCATGACCATCCCCGTCGCGCCGTACTTCTGCAACGCAGCGATGTTGCCCGCACAGATGTGCGAGGAGTCATCAGTGCCGTTGGCAACAAGTGTCATGGACCCAACGACGAGCCCACCGCTGTTCGTCCAGCCGCCATTCTGGAGGTCCCAGGTAGCGAGTCCAGGCGCATTGATTGCCGATTCGGAGCCGCTAGTCGGATAGAGCTTGGTGAAGTCGCCGACGAGAACGAGCTCGTCGTTCGCGATGCCTAGCCCGGTGACCGTGCCATCAACACCTCCGCCGAGTGCGGTCCAGGAGTCGTCCTGGACATTGTACAGGGCGATGCCGTTAAGCGTGGAGCCTCCGTTGTTGTTCTTCTTGAACGAACCACCAACGTAGAGCTGGTCACCGTTGAGCTGAAGCGCCCTAACAGGGCCGTCGACACCGTTGTTCGACAGACCCACGAGCGCGCCATTCTTGAACCCGACAATGTTGGCCGAACCAGACGCATTACCGCTGCTCAACGTGAAGTTGCCACCGACGAAGATCCCGTCGGCATGATGCGCGACAGCAACGACAGCATCATCACTTGAGCCCGTCAGAGCCGAACCGCCACCGACGCCGCTGTAGATGCCGAAGCCAAGGTTATCCGCCGCAGTCTCGGTCGAGTTGTCGAGCGTGCTCGTGGCATCGCCAGTGGTGCTGTCATCAAGAGGCCACTCGAGGAAGCCGAAGGACCTCTTGGTGCCCCTGCTGCCGGTACCATTGCCGCTGCCACTGCCATCATCGGTGATGTTCGCGCTCGTGAGCACGAGCTGCACGCGATCCGCAACGAGCTCGTACTGCCCGTTCGCGCCATTACCCTCGGGCGAGTCGGCAAGGCTAAGCGTCACAGTTGTATGGAAGTCATCCGTGCTGGGCACGATTGGACCACTATAGATGAGCTCCTGCTTGTCGTCCGTGTTCGTCTGCGACACAGTCGTAACCGACGGATCCATTCCCAGCCCGGGGAACACCACGACCTTTACGCTCGTGCGCGCATCGCAGTTCTGGAAGTTCGTGCACCCCGGCACGAGCAAATTCATGTTGTACTCGCCCGACGCGCTGACGTACAGATCCCAGGTGAACGACGGCCCGCTCGATGACGAGGTGCCGACATCAACGTCGGAGACCATCACCGTTTGCGTAGTGCCCGAGATATCCGTGTTCGCAACCTTTGCGTACCAGTTGCCGGTAGAGGTCGAGTTGGACGACCCGGGGGCGTAGCATGACTGGCCGTTATCGTCTTCTGCGGCGGAGGCGAAGGCACCCGACGACAGGATTTGTAGGATGTGAAGACCTGCGGATGCGCCCTGCCATTCGGATAGGGTGATCTGAACACCGGTGATAGACTGGGGTCCAGACGCGAAGAGGAAGTCTTGGTACAGGACAGACGAGTCGGTGGAAAGGGGGCAAGTGTCCGAGCAGGTCTTGTTCGTGTTGTCCGCTGGGTCAAGGTACTGCAAGGTCTGTACAGTGTTATCCGGGATAGTCGTCACACTGGTGAGCAGATCAGAAACGCGGATGGACTAAGAGAGGCGGTAACGCACCTGAACCCAGTAGTTCCCCGCCCTTGGAGGAATGTGTTCCCCAGTCGAACACCGCTCGCACTCAGTGAGGAGTATTTTCGGATGGTGACCAGGGCAGAGTTGCCGTCCGCTGCCAACCAAGTGTTGCCAGCGCCATCGTCGCCCGCCGGGCAGAGAATCGCATTGATATCACTGTAGTCGGAGTTGGTAGTCGAGGGAGACCCGCCGACCTCCGCGTTGTTCAGCGGGACGGGGACGAGGGAGCTGGAGTATGGTGTCGCGCCAGCCGAGTAGGGTACGTTGGGGTTGTTCGTGCCAGGGGTGGAGGAGCCGTTCCCGCGGAAGGACGCGATGAATGACCCTGCGAAGAACAGGCTGGACTTGGAGGAGTTGGTGGTGATGGAGTAGACGTGTGCGTCTGCGCCAGTGAGGCCGTTGAAGGGAGCCTGCGACCAGGAATTTGATCCCGCGTCCCAGATCGCGACGCCGCGCCCGGGGTTGGTGAAGCTCCCTCCAAACCAGACACGGTTATTATCCTTGTCGCAGTAGACCGCGTCAACCGCGCCGTCCGGTCCTCCATCGCCGAGGCTGGAGAAGGAATTGCCGGAGTAGGACGCGACGTTCGAGGCCGATACGTCCTCTATCGACGAGAACTCGCCGCCAAAGTAGAAGGTGTCTCCCAGCGCGCACCCCGCGGATATTCGGCCGCCCTCGTTCGTCGACCCTAGGCGGTTGAGGGAGCCGTCGTCGGATGATCGGGAGAGGAGGGTAGCGGCGTCCTCGTCGTACGTCGGCGCGTCATCGAACACGCTCAAGCCTGCGAAGGCTCCTGCGAGGCCTACCGTGCCCATGCGCTCGAAGTCGACGAGCGGGACGCCGGCGAGGGAGGGAGAGACATGAAGGGCGAGGAGGAGCGCAAGGAGACGGGGAGAAGTGGTTGACATTGCGCGATTATTACTAGCATAGGGAAGAGGGAAAGGAACTGCAAGGGCGCTGACCGCAACGAAGGCGGCGTGGAGGACGGCGAGGACCTGCCCGAGCGAGCTTGCTGTTGGCAACGAAAGGAGCGACGTGAGAAAGATCAGAGTTGAACAACTTCCCGCGAACCCGCGTGCTCGTCAACTACGAACCACGTGGATCATGTTCATATTCGCGCGTGCGCACCTTGTCACCCCCCGTCATCTGGCAGTACTGGATGCTGGCCAGAATCACCAGTATGTGTCCGGGATGCTTGCCCTGAGCAGAAATGGCCACTGCTATCTCTATTGATTCATTTTCGTGGTCCTCGAAGATTATCTTGCAAGATTAGCATGGCAGTGTCTCGCTCGTGGCCTACACGCCCCCAAGATACCGAGAAGTTGGAAGCGAGAAGGTCAGGGGGAATTCAACACACGAGCCCAAGGCATGTCGTCGCTTCTATCACTCCCTGACTTGCGTACACCTGGAACGGCCAATTTCCGTACCAGCCGTACTAGTATTACGCCCATCGAGATGGGGCGAACCTCGCTTGGGGGTGGAGTTTGTGGCCAGTAGACGGGGCGGCTAACGTGCGTCAGACAACAGGTATGAGCGCTTGTTCGTACCGTTAGGAAGTAGGACTTACCAAACGGGCTCTAGTTACACTGTTAAGGCCTGCGCCGCACGCCGAAGCTACGGCTTGCTTCTGTCGTGTACCCAATAAGTCTAACGCTCGCTGAGATGACGGCTCCATACATATGCCTCAGCGTTAGTAGTTTTCATTCGTTGGCCTCCCCATCGCCACCCCCGACGCGTGCGTCTGGTGCATCCTTGTGCGCCTTTATATGCCTCGAGAAGGTTTTCGGGATCCCCACTCTCGCCGGATCTGTGCCCATCCCGCCCGGAACTCGATAAGTTGCTATGGAAGTTGCAGGTCTTGTCGTAGGCGTTATGAGTCTGGCCTCGCTATGGGAGGCATGCATGCAAGGTACGTCGTACCACTCAGCGTCTCTAAATGCGCTTGACCTCATGAAAACTAGTGTTCGACGTTGTCGTGACTGCCCAGCGTTACAGCTGGGATTGCGAGGTGGCTCGCGTGAAGCTGGACATAGAACACGCACGGCTCGCCGTGTGGGGAGAGACCGTCGGGCTCACCGACTCTCAGCGCGGTGGGTGCACCGTGGCATCGACTTCCGCACACGATGCACGGATCTCTTCTCAGCCTGCGCCTCGTCAACATCCACGATTGAGAGATCCCAAAGTGGCCAATGTGGTTCGTGACTCCCTGGGCTGCATGCACCGTCTGTTCGAAAAGATGGAGACCTTGCAACGGCGATACGCACTGCGACAGGACACAGACAGTTCATTTTCGGCCTCTCCTGATGTCCTCTTTCCGAGAGCATGGACCTCAATCTTCGAAAGGAGGTTCGATAGCCCCAGAGACTCACGAATGAACCGCAGAAGTAAAGAGAACATGACGACGGTGGGTACCGCACGCCGCACTGAAGGATCCGTATTGAACGCCTTTCATCCAGCGCACCCGATGGGCAGTATCTGACAAGAAGCGATTCGAGGAGCTCCTTAGCGACATAAGATGGTTCAACGACAGTCTTTGCAAACTCGTCACCGACGAACTGGTGATGAAGAACGATCGCCTATCCAACACTGAGGAGGACGATGAAGTTGGCTGCCAGAAAGGTCCTCCAGAGGACTTAAGCAGCGCCAAAGAGCGTGTATCTATGCTTGAAGATTGGGTGTCTATTTCTCCGGATGAGTCGGACAGTCGCGAAAACCTGTCCTATTGGCCTATTCCTGTCGACGAGAATAACGTAAGGCCGCCCAAGGTCTTCATCTACAAACACTGATGCCAGTCACAGGAGCCTGGCCTTTCTCAAAGAATGATGAACGCCATTGGAGATATATTGCGCCGTTCACAAAGCATCTTCACTACGCGCTCGACGACCGGGCAGAAGTATCATTCGCTCAATGATAACCATACCCCGACATGGAGGTCGCGCATCTACGTTGGTCGACGAGCACCAAGAGGGCGAAAAGAGCAGCCTACATACCGAGGGGCCCCGGTGAACCCGGTTTGACACCGTACGAGGCTCTTCAGGCGAGGGCCAAGTATGCGTTCGAAAGCTAAGGTGAGGGTGAACTCCCGCTGTTGGCGAGAACACAGGTGGATGTGCTCGATGGTCGCGATCCCGCATGAGTGACGATGTGTCGGGAATATTCCTGCGACTGACACGAACATAGGTGGTGGTACGTGAGGAAACCTCGCAGCGGCCAGGAAGGAGTTGTCCCTGCTGCGTATGTACTCCAGGCCTCCCGAAAAATTAACCATTAATTCCAGCGCCACACGTCCTTCTGCACATGTGAGTCCTTCTCTGATTCGTGAAATCCTCTGGGCTTACACCTTCTACAGATTTAGTCATGTAGATAATCGCTCCCTCGCCGTATTTATCGAGTATTTATCAAGAGTTCGAACAACCTTTGACACGGTCCATCAAAGCGAAGATCAGACGCCCTTGCTATCGCGATAGCACTGCGTACCAGCTGACCTTCGCACGACCTCTGATGATACTGAAGGTTCATCACTCGGCGCGTGAATGCAGCGCGGCATCTCCGTGGCGTGTTCATATGCGCGTCACGCTATCCAGTCCTCGACTCTACGACCCTCTGGAGCGAAGGTGGCTTGAAGGTGGTGTTGAGTGATTGCTGTGTCCCTTATCCAGCACGCCTTTGTCGACGAACGGCCTCTGCAGTGCTTGCTGTGGAACGAATGATCCATTTCCCGAAGGTCTGCGAAGGTATGCTATAAACATCACACCTGAACTTTCACTGCGTTGACTCATACAGGTTCAGGGTACAGGATGTGATCTTCGTAGATGCCCAACAACAACATCTCTGTCCATACGTGGGTATCACACCTGGTGCGCCCTCCATACATCGCGCGCTGTCCATGCTTTGGCTTAGCGTACTCGCTACAGATGACATTGTGCGAACTAGAGACGGCAGCGTCGAAGTCTCACCTATACGACCTGCAGCCGGGTGGATGATACGCCCCACCTTGAACGTGCCGCAGCTTCGAGTGTATTCGCGGATCAAGGTACCCTCAAAGGCCGCTCTGTACAGCAGAGGTTGATACTGCTTCCTGGAGTCCTTTTCTAGGCCTAATCAACCCCGTGCATCCCATGCACGAATGCTGTAGGACCTCGCAAGTGCCTCCGCCGCGGTCTATATAACGTCCGAACCGCGTCAGGTCAGTCATCAAGCTATCCCCACTCAGGCATTTGAATCATTATGGAGGCTGCAGGACTCGCTATCGGTGCCGTAACTCTCGTGTCCCTGTGGGAGACTTGCATGCAAGGCGAGTGTCGAGTGCACCTTATCGTGGCTAGCAATTGTACTCAATCCCGTGTCAGTGTTCGACGTCGTCGTATCTGCGCAGCACTTTGACGAGGAATGCGAGCTAGTACGCATCAAGCTGGACGTGGAACGTGTCCGCCTCTTCGAATGGGGAGAGGCTGTTGGGTTGGCCAAACTCAAGCACACCGACACTGGCTCGGCGTCCACTCCGAGTCTGGCTACCGGTGATAGCTCTCTTTCCGGAGTCCATCCGCAGCTAGGGAGGTCCTACAAAAAGATCCTGGCCAGGGATATCCTGGGCTATATTCGTCGCCTCTTCGAGGACACGGAGGCTCTACAGCGACACTATGGCCTACAGCGTGTGCAGGGTGGCCCCTCCCCTCACGGCGACGATATGTCTCCCAGAGCGTTACGTTTTATATTCAAGAGAGCGTATGCAAGCGTTCAGGCGTTGGCTAAGGTCAATGCAGAAAAAGTGAACTTACGGACTGTGGGTAGAAATATTCAACGCGACCCTTCATATGCTCATTGATATATCAGCGTACTCAATGGGCCATATCCGACAAGGGAAAATTCACAAGCCTCATCAACGAAATGAAGACGTTGAACGACAGTCTCGCCGACCTCTTCCCCGGCACAGCGACCATAACAAGGAATCATCTACGACACGATATCGAGTCCAGCGACGAAATTGGGTCCTTGATGCTGCTCCAAAGGGCTTCCAGCGACGATTATGCCGAGTTCTCCGGTGCGGCCCGCATGCGCATCTCGGTATTGCAAGCGCGAGCGTCTCTGGGATTCTCAGACCAGGCGTTACGCCCACAGGACGAGTACAGCGAAGCCAATACTCCTGTTGATCTAGGTCGAATTGAGCCAGCATCAGAAGCAGCGGGACCATCTTCAGTCAATGGGTATACGGTAAGCTTATGTCCCTGGGGTGTCGCTCAGCGCCATCGCTGATCAATCCGCAGAACATACATGATAGCCGACATTGGCACACAATGAGGAGCCTTCTGGAGGAGATCAGCGGCGCCACCAGCCATATATTGGATCTCAGTCGGATGATGACTGAAACCCCACCTTCATCACCAAAGACAGGAATCATGGAGAGCGCGCAGCATGCTCTCTTGCTCACCATCCACGAGAGCTGCTCAGAGTGTGTCTGCAACGTGACATCGACTGGTAGGCCGAGGCAGATCTGCGTCCAGTATGCGTTAGCTTACGATTAGGCATGCTACAGATTCATCGTCACCTGACGATCCGTCTCGAAGGATCAAGGACCTGGATTTTTACGTGCAACGTGCTCTACGTGAATCCACGGTACTGCACCTGCCAAAGACGCGACGGAAACCCAAACGACGGCGCGAAGCAGCGAATGAGACGGTAGTGGTCGAGAGACGTGAGCAGCACGGTGAGCCCTTGTAGCAGCTGCCTGACCTTACTCACATACTGAGACTATGGCGCAGGGCCGTCGTGCGACAACGCTGAGTTGAATGTGCCTCAAGCAAGCACATATTCACTCACGCAAACGTTGCCCTTGAGAATTCGAAAACGGACTCTCACTGAAAGTTCACCGTCAGCGGCGGGTTGACGGCTACAAGCATATCAACACGAATGTCCTGTATATATACTTCGTCATCCTTATTGACTGCGTACATGATTCAAAATTCGCTGAACAAAGGCAAGAAGCTCAACTCCACACATTTTGCGTCCGCCCCGAGGCTTAGGCGTGGCCGAAGACAGGCTTGGGCTGGTACCTGTAAATTAGTCAACATCGTCCTGGTGAGTAAACATCGCTCTGAAACTCACGGCTCTTCCAAGTACGCCACCTCCTCGTCCGTCAGCGTCAGGTCCGCCACCGCGCTCTCCTGCGCCCTCGCCGGCGAGTTCATGCCCACGATCATGCTGTCCGTCTTCGACGCCACCCACGCCAGCGCGACCTGGCTCATCTTCACGCCCCGCTTCTTCGCGATCTCCTCCACGCGCTTGACGATGGCCTGGTCGGCCTCCGACAGCGGCAGCGCAATGGGCGTGCCTTGCAGCGACTCGGTGCGCGCCGTGGCGCCCGCCTCGACCGGCCTGGCGAGCTTGCCGCCGAAGAGTGGGGAGTAGGGGATGACGCCGATGCCGTTGAACTTGCAGTACGCCAGCATCTCGCGCTCCTATGCCGCTCGTCAGTGCGCATCCCTTCACCCCACTCCAATCTCGAACTCACCTCCTCGCGGTACAGCAACGAGTACTGGTCCTGCATGCTCACAAACTTCGTCCAGCCGTTCTTCTCCGCGACCTCGTTCATGCGCGCAAACTCCCAACAGCGCATCGAGCTCGCGCCGATGTAGCGCACCTTCCCGCTGACGACCAGGTCGTGCAGCGCGCGCATCGTCTCCTCGACGGGCACGACCGGGTCGAAGCGGTGGATCTGGAGGAGGTCGATATACGAGGTGTTGAGGCGCTTGAGGGAGCCCTCGACGGCGTTGAAGATTGCCGTACGCGAGAGGCCGGCGTTGTTGACGTGCTCGGGCGTGTTAAGTAGGTAGGGCTGGATCAGGGCGAACTCGTTGGGGTTGCTGCTGACGATGTCTGCGAGGTTGTTCAGTGATATGTGGCACGCCGTGGCAAGCGACACTTACGGTAGCACTTGGTCGCGATGACCACCTGGTCGCGCGGGATGTTGTACTGCACAGATTATAAGTCGGTGTCCGCCACCGCAACACTGGATCTGCACTTACCCTCTCGAGGAACTTGGCGATGATCCGCTCGGACGCGCCGTTCGAGTAGTTGTTCGAAGTATCAATGGTATTGATGCCGATATCCCAGGCCGCCTTGAGCACGCGTATGCTCTCCTCCTCGCCGAGCACCCAAGACTTGCCCTCGTTGAAGGTCTGGGAGCATACGAGTGAGCAAGCTATGTATTCGCGAGGTTGCCACAAATTACTCACCGCCCAACCAGGCTCGCCGAAGCTCATAGCGCCGACCTGTCGATGCGCTTGTCAGCCTGCACACGCAATGAGAGAGCAGAGAGTCAACGACGTACAATGGGAACCGAGACGCGAAGGCCGGACTTGCCCAACTGACGGTAGACGACCTTGCCAGACATATTTCGTTGAGGTGGTTGAGAGAGTACGAGGGAGTACGAGTGCTATTGCTGGTCACCTTCCAAAGCTACTCTGGCTTATATACCCCGTCGCAGTACCGGCTCTCAGCCGGCCTAGGTAGAAAGCTCATTACGGGACCATCTGAAGTCGAATGGTGGACGTGATTGTCACTTCACAACCTATGCGGGCCCAGTCGGTTGCGCAACCGATGTCGATGACTCATCGGATGGAAGTCCAGTGGACGAACTTGTATGAGTTTTTCCTCCCGATCTCTTCCCGTTGCTTGCTAACAGGACCCACTGACTGCTGAAGCGGCCCATCCGGCGGCAATTTAACATTGAGCAATAGCTCTGTGAGATCGCTGACGTGGCGAGAACAAAGGAACGGATTCCGGGGGAAGAGCTGCACGGCTCGCACGTGTCTCATGTCTGTCTCCGTTTGGAAACTCTTCAACCGATTCTCAACGACTACCACATTCTTTGACCTGCGCTAACCGGTTGTACAGATCACTTCATATCATGCACACTCTCAAGCCATCTTATTTTCAGCAGATAGCTCGATTCTCAGCGCTTGCGTTCCAAGGGTATCGATTGTGACAGAGGGACATGGGTGCAGGCATAGACAGCGTCGATTTGCGTAGTACAGCAACTCATAGGGCATGGTAGAAAGCATAATGATACAATATGATGTGTGCATACGCTTATGCCTGGTTGCCCTCCGCGAAGGTAAGGATATCGGAGTCGCCCTGGTCCGTGATGGTCATGACACTACAGCCTCGATCAGTCGCAACGAAGATCGGTGAAAGCGATCACATACCCGACACGGAAGAGCTTTCCAGCAGCGGTACCCAGCGCAACGTTCGTGCCCGCAAAGTGGTGCACGGTCGTCTTCGAGAGCATAGCGTAGTACTCGATCTCGGACTTGCGCAGAGGGGGTGCGTTACCGGCGATGAGGATGAGCTTGGCTAGTCAAAGCGTTAGTCGAAGGGACCTTCTCAGCCTCACGCTCCAGTCCCCCGAGGAGAGACAAAGAGTGACTCACCCTTGCCGTTGCGCATCTGCTTGAGCGCGGACTTGTAGCCCAGCGAGTACTTGCCCGACTTGACGACGAGCGCGAGCTTCGCCGAGATCGACTCAGTCGACTTGGCAGCCTTGGACTTTTTGGTGGGGGCCATTGGGACGTGGGGCGCTGCTGGACGTGGAGGTCTTGAGGATGGCGTTGGGCTCCCTGACGCGCGACGATCTCCCGCTCGAAAAGTTTGGCGCACGTGAGTGTGCTGTATAGCATAGCGGAAAGTGCCGAGCCACGCATGGCACTGCTTGTACTTGCTTGGCATCAGCGTCTGACGCGTGCGGTCACGGTGACGCGTGCTCCGTCACGTTCTCATGTTTGTTTCCGGCCATGTCACTGCTCGAATCTATCGACCGTCTTTCACAGCAGGCAAAGTCCATTCGGAACTCAGCTTGTAGTATTGCACCTCGCCAGTCGCATCTTGACCCTCGTCTCAATGTCGCTGGCCCCTTCACTCGCGCTATACTGTACACTTCGCTGGGCGATCTGATTCGTGAAGTTGAACCTACCGAACTCGGGCTCTTTCACGTAGTAGACTCTCCCGCCTCTGGCGACGCACCAGCTGCTTCGGCCGCCGAACTCACGCGCGTCTCCGTTCCTGTCGCTACTCCACTTCGAAGACCACCTCCGAAGGATGAGCGACACAAACAAAGACCTGATCCTGAGATCTACGCTAAGGCGGCCCTTCGCTACGTCGAGGACTAGTATGTATGATTGGCCATTCATCATGGCTGGGCTAATCAATGTCAGTGCGCACATTCGGCCTGCGCCTCGTGCTCGTGCGCAGGCTCTCGCTATCATAGAACAAACGGAGGAGGCGCGTCAGAATATACAGGAATTGAATGATGCGCTTCAGCAAGTAAGTCATGCGATAAGAAGGTGATCTCGCGTGCGAACGTTGACTTAGGCGCAAGCAGCCGAACCAGCGTCCTTCGCGGCTCAGACTGAGGACGAGGAAGCGCTCATCAAAGAGCTGCAAGCGAGAATCAATACGATGAAGAATCGCGTAAGTGCAATGAACTTGATAAACCTCGTTGTGCCAAGTCTTGACCCGAATGGCAGAAAGAGGCTGCTATACAGCGGAAGAAACTGGCTACGACCCCCGTCAAGAAGCAACCCGCCTTTAGTGGGAAGACGCCTGTTCGCGCCAAGGATGAGGACGAGAACAGCTTCTGGAGCACGCCATCTGTGGCTCAGCAATCCAGCCTTGCGCAGGAAGAGGCGGATATGCTCCTCAATGAGAGCTTCGGGGAGCTCGGCGACGCTAGCTTCGCAGCGAGTCCAATCAAGCCCTCACGGCAGCCTCTCGGGAAGCGCCTGCGCCAGGACGAGCCCCCAGCAATTTCACGTCGCCCTATACATCGCGAGGACGAACCCATCAAGCCGCGAGCGGAATCAGCTGACGAACCCCGCTCGCCCTCGCCCCCGTCTCCCGGCGGAGAGGACGAACGGGGCAACGAGCCGGAGAGTTCAGCGCAAGCCCCGGGAGATGCCTCCGTATCAGAAGACCAGGATACCATCATTATCTCGAAGCCCGCTCCGCCGCCGTCACCCCCAAAGCCTACCACACCGCCGCCGAACCCTGCCCTTGCGCCGCAGACGCCGGGCACAGCGAAACGGCTGAAGGTTCGGGTGAATGCGGATGTCGAGCGTATTGTGGTACGTACGGGCTGCTTCTCAACTGCGTACCTCGTCTCATGACTTCCCTCGAAGGTCAAGGTTTGGCAGACCGTTGGCGACATAATCATGCCCAATCATCCGTACCACACTGGGCCCGGTTCTACTGGCAAAGAGAAGTTGCCGAGCGCGAAGGACACCATGTACGTCCCTCATCTTCTACCGAGACCACGCTTTAACCTTCTTATTGTTCAGCGCCCACCTTCGCGACATCGCCTCGCTCTCAACCGTGACTCCGTCGTCACCCTCCGCGTCAAGCGTGTCCACGCTTGCCACAGCTCCCTCCGGCTCGGCAACCCCTCAGCAAATCTTCACCGCACACCTCTTACTTGAACTCCTCGCTGCCGCGCCGAGCTTCACGTTACCATTGAATCGTGCCAAGGAGCTCCTCGCCGACAAAGCGCGCGAAGACGGCGGCAGTGCCCTCGGCTCGCAGAGCAACAGCGTCGTGTACAAGTGCGTGGCCAAGCGCCTGGTGAAGATTGTGCGTAGCGGGCGTGAGCAGATTGTAGCCTTCGACGTTTAGACGGACGTGCTTGTCGTATGTTTTTCATGGATCATGATATTTGTGGTGCGAACTTATCCTCATTGGCCCGAACGGTAACGGAGGGTGCTGGACCACACATGCTCGCTCCCTTTACGATCAGCAATGCTCATTCGGTGCTTCATTTCCGATATACTCAGCACAATAAACCTGAAGGGGATCTGGTAGACCCCGCCGCCTGCTTATCACTAGATTTGTTGAATCGCTGATCCTCTGACCTGTCTACGAATTCAGCCTCCGTCGCAAGGGCTGGCAACGCCGCAACCGCAGGACGCCGAGTATGTCGCGCGCACGACGTCAATGGCGATCCACCACCAGCTGTGGCTTGACACATACGACGAGCTCCTCACTACAAATCCTTCATGTCCAATCATCGATATGTCGTCGCTCGCAGTCTTTTCGCCCTGCGAGATGACTGAGCAGGTGCGTATATGAACAACCACAGCGTGTGGTAGATGATTTTTGCGCGCCGCCATGTGCACTCCCTCCAGTCTTCAGCCACATGTTTTCCTTCCTTTCAACGCCCTTTCGCCCCTTGCCAGTACCCTTCGCCCTCCATCGACCCCAGTCAACCTGCGCCACACGCAGTCGCCACCAATTCACCATGCACACCGGTCGCCTCGTTGCCCCCAAGGGCCTTCTCCAGCGATCCAGGGCAAGATCGTCCGTGCACTCCACCGGTATGTGAATCCGCCGCGAGCATGTTTGTTGACTGCCGCGCGTCGCCACCCTGACTGCCACCGGGCGCAGGCGCGTCCGGTGCGGGTTGCTGTAAGCCTTTCGGGGAAAGCTAGAGCGTCCCGAGCAGGGCTACTGTGACCCTGCTGAAAGGCTCAAACCGATCTCGGTCGTCCTGAAGCTTCGTCGTGTAGACGATCGTGGAGGAAATCATAACCGGGAAGCTCTCGGTTTATGAGTGTGTGCTGGCCCTCTCGCCGTTTGCCGTCTACAACTCACGAATCGTCGCCGCGCGGAACATCCCGAGAGTTGGTCCTTCCATCCGCAGACGTCAGATGCCAACTTTTATAACCCTTGTTCTAGTCGTAAGAATTTACTCGCCTCTGACGTGCCCGTCATCCCCTCCTCACCCTCGCCGTCCTCGCCGCATCATGTACTTACGAAAAGCCTACTGTTCTCTTCCTTCCAGCGCCTTCCCCGGCGGAATGAAGTCCGACGGCGAGCCAGCCACCAACAATTCAGGTGGTCGCCGGGTCGTCTCCAGGGCACCCCAAAAAACCGAAATTCGTCGTCCCCCCTCTCTCTAGGTTGCCTGTCCACAGCGTCGGCTCGTCATTCGTTGTCGCAAGGGTCTTCTGTCTTCCCCAAGCGTCAATCAGCGATCGCTGACCGTCGAATGAATTTCGACTGGTCCCTTGAATGCGTTCGCTGCATGGCGAGTTGACTGCGAGAAATAATTGCCCTGGCTTCCCTTCTCACCTCAAAAATACGCTGAACTCGTGCTCGAACGCCGCAGAGTTTCGGGGTGGAAGCAACGGATGACTCCTTCTGAGCGAGCTCGATAAACGAATTTGCCTACTAAATCCCTGACACGCCCCAGCGCCCATAAAGCCCTCGTGTCCTCCAATTCGCATATCTGTGAGCGCCAGCCAGGCCACGGGGCTACCATGCCTTTATTTGGGCACAATGCGCCCACCACGCGCCCCCGAGGCGTCCTGCACCCCGTCACGCGCGAACCCCCGGGCCTGGCGAAGACGGGGCCGCGTCCGCAAGCGTCGTTTGCAAAGCGACCGCTGCACCCATCAGAACGCGAAGTTCAGACGCAGCTGCAGTGCCATTTCGAAGTTGGTATCGCGCGGCGAGAAGGCCTGATGGGGGGTGCGCCACCAGAAAAGGCAGGAGAAGGACGCGACGGCCGGCCCACCGCCACGCCGAGGGGCGCAACAACCGAGGCGTGGGTGCTTGTGGGCGCCGAGGATCGCCGTACGGCCCGGTCCGGGGGGGAAAGTGCCTGATGCGGAACTTGCCGGCGGTCCGGAAGGCACGCGGCGCCCCGAGGCCTGCCTGATCACGAACGCCCATGTTGAACTTTGGGGCGCGCCTTTGTTAACCGCTGACCTCTCTCGTCTGCCTCCACTGTCGCTAATTGCGATCGCCCTCTCTCATCGGGCTGCTATCACCCTCTGCTTATGGTTATGCCGCCGACTACGACAGCTAGCGTTCCTTCCGCGGCAGCGCAAACAGATTCCAATAAAGCCTCCGCGCTGCAGTCACAAATCCATGCTCTGACTGACCTCTATAATCAAGTAGCCGCTATACGTCAGCTTCCTGCTCATGTACTCGCCCCTCCGCCTTCCTTTGGCACGCTCTCCTCTGCGCAACAAGACCTTGACCAGTTGAAAGCTTTCCAAACGACTCTGACAAGCGCCCCCGTCCAAGAAGCCCTCAAGCATGCCCAGCTGCGAGGTGGTTCAGGAAACGCCGACGTCGAGCTCAGCCGCTTGAGGCGAGACATCCGAAAGCGTCGGTATGTCCTTTTTTATTATGTCTAGCACCGACGTGCGGAATCGCTCACGAAAATACGCTCCCTTTTCTTGCCCTCTTCCGCAACCGTCTGCCACCGCGTGTCTCGGCTGTGAACGTCGACCCACCGCACCTGCGTCATTGGCCCCGTCCTCGCGCTTTGCCCGGTATTGTGCACTCGATTATTTGACAATAATACGCCATACAGGCGCCCTCCCTCGCCCGAGTCGCCCTTGCCGTACAATGCGGAGCAGCAGCCCACGGAGAAAGCGATCTTCCCGAGCGCTGAGGGTGGCCCGTTGGCGGTGTCCGAGCTGCCCGAGTTCGTGCGCGGGTTCAACCGGGCGCATGGGGCGAGTGCTGTCCGGGTGCACGTCTGGGTGCGGCATCGCGGGGACGCGCAGGCGAATTTGGGGCAAATTCGACAAAGTCGACCGCTCGTCCTGCGGGTGACGATTGCGAGTGTGCTCACCGCATATCTTGGCTTTGGGGTGCAGGATGACGAGGGCGGGACGCTCTGCGCGGAAAGCGTCGTCGTGCTTGGCCCTCGAGAAAAGGCGCGCCACCGCAAAGATTAGCGCAATCATTAGATAGCTGACGTCGACTCTGCGCAGAAAGCGCCTCATCAACAATCCGAATATGCGGTATTCCGGAATCTATCGCAGCAGGTAGCCAGAATGATTCAGGCGCATCCGAGGGTGGCATGTCAATCGCTGCTGGTGGGTCTCCTCCTTCCCGTCCCGCAGAGATTAGCCACTCATGCGTTAATGCAGGGGCTAATGAGCGCGTATGAAAGCCTGTTCACTGAACCGTGCACGCGCTGCAGCCGTACACTGTCGACCGAAGGACACATGCCGCCGACGGGGCGGGTGTGGACCGAGGGCGAGGGCGGGGAGGCGGGACGATGGGTGGCGCGACATGTGACGTGCCGGGCGCTGTGAATGGCATCGGCGGCGGGATATGACGCGGCGCGCAGGCTGTGCAGGACCCGGAAGAGCGGGCGGATCGACGGGAAGGGGCGGCTGGATTCCGAGCGGTCATTGTCTTTTGTGGCCTCGGAAAATCAAATTGAGTGGTCGCACGGGGGTCCTTTTGTAGTGATTACCGGAAATGGTTAGGCGCGCTCTTGTTCTTTCTCAGCTGTTAACGTTGCCTTCAGGCTTCCATCAATCATGATGGCTGTGATTTGTATTTGTGTGGGAACGGGTGTCCTGCCATTGTTTTTGCCCAAAGAAACACAGCGAACGGCGGTGGCGAGCGCGAGGGTGGCGGTGGACGGAGCGACGGCGGGGGGCAGAGATCCGGGCAAGATCCTGCCATAAGCGGGAGTCAGAGATCGGGAGGGCGAACGGACGGCGATATGCATATGGAAATGGTGATCGCTGGCTGTAACCCCGCGAAGTTGGCTGGTCGGACGTCTTGTCGCGGCGCGTGGGTTGTGCGCGGCGGACGCGTGCGCTGCGGATGCTGCAGCGCGCCTTCGATGCGCGCGAGCTGACGGGGGGCGGGTCCAGGGAGCTGACGCTGTGATATTCGGGGCGAATCTGGCGATGTGCTTGGAGTGACAGCAATAAATGGAGAGCGGACGGAGGAGCCCCTGTCCCCCCCGCTGATCACGCCGGAGCCTAAACGGCCGCGCCCTGGCTCAACACACGCCTTTTATCGCTCCTCTTCTCCAACCACCATCTCCCCCGACACCGGCCATGAACATCCCTACGCCCCAGTACACCCCCGTCTCCGCCACCTCGCCCAACCGCATCCTCCATGTCCTCGCCTACACCCCCACCGACGGAGACCCAGACTGCCCCATCACCGTCCGCCTGCACTGCCAGTCCGACCTCCCCAACAACATCTTCATCCGCCTCGTCGTCGGCCAGAAGCCCGTCCACTCGCGCATAACTGCTGCACCCGGCCCGGACGCCGCCTACGGCCAATGGCAACTCAACGCCGCAGCCCCCCGCAATCCCCCATGGCAAGGCGACGCAAAGTCGCTGACTGTATCACTCTCCCTCGAGGCCCTCAACGAGCAGGGGGTCGTACTTGACTCGGTCGCCTTTGGCCACTTCACCTACTGGCGACCAGGTCCGTCGCCATTCCCCCTCTGACGCTAACCCGCTTACCCTTGCTTAGACTCGCCGCCATCACACAACCGGCTCGCCTATCTCACCGACGACGTCAGGACCCGCCGCCGTCGAGCGAACTCGGACGTCTCCCGCATGGGCGACGGACCGCGCCGACCACGCACGTACACCATGCCCAGCCACCCTCAGGGTGTCCAGATCTACCGCCGACAGAAGGCCAAGTCGGTCAGCAGGGGGCGTGGCGCAGCGTCACCCGACTTTATCAACGAGACCCCCGTCCTCGAGCTCGTGACTCCGCTTGAGGAGCTTTGCAAGGGCTGGGACGGAGACGAGCTCGAGGCGGGGCGCCGTCTCATCAGCGTCCACCGCGTCCTCCAGGGTCACAAGCTTATCGTCACCTGCACGCCGCTTAGGCAAGAGGAGTATCACCCCTCCGACGAATGCGTTATCTCCTGCATCTATCACGAGCAGACGAGGGCCTGCTTCGTCACCTCCGTCGACATCATCTACCTGCTCGAGCGCCTCACTCAGCAGGACTTCCCTGTCGAGGAGAAGAACCGCATCCGCCGCAATCTTGAGGGCCTCCGACCGACGACGGTCTCCAAGCACCGGCCCGGCTACGAGGGCTTCTTCCAGCGCATCATGGACTTCCCAGACCCGAAGCCGCGCAATATCGAGAAGGACCTCAAGGTCTTCGAGTTTACGCTCCTCGGTCAGGCGCTCGAGAAGATCCTCGCGAAGTACGAGTGTCGCATCCCCGCCGGGGGTGACCCCAGCATGCCCACGCTTGCCCCTTCCCTCGGCCGCGGTGGCTCGCCGAACAGCGACCCTAGCGAGCCGCGCAGCTCCGCGAGCCCGACGATGGCCCCCTTCCACCTCCCGCCCTACCACACTCAGCAGCAGCTGCAGGTTGTCACCCAGCACGCCACGCACCCCATGGACATCGGCATTTACCACGAGGGCGGCCGCGGGCCCGAGGACTACTCGCCTACGTACTCGTCCCACAGCGCCTCCTCTTACGCTGCCTCGCCCGCGTCGTACGCGCACGGCCTGAAGCAAGGCCGTTCGAGCGCAGACAGCTTGCTCACTGACGCTAACGTCAAGCCGCCCGTCGATCCATTGCACTCGTACGGCTTTGAGGTCGAGCCCGGGCTCCAGTACCCGCAGGACACCATATACGATTTTCAGTCCTACCCCTACCACCCGAGTCAGGAGGAGTCCATCGGCTTCTCCTCGACGCCGTACGTGGTCTAGAGTTCTTCTTCCCCCTTTTCTATGCGTGTTACCCCACACCCCTTTTGCCTGTATCGCCACCCTTTGCCGCCCATAGCGTGCTCCTTCGTCGCCTACAGCGCTACCACTTTCTTGGCCGCTCACAGCGTGCTGTTCCATCCACATCTATCTATCCCTCTGGTCTTCTCGTCGCGCACATATCTATCTCCTCTCCCTTGGGCTGCCCATTCGTGTCGCCTCTTTCTACATCTCTCGTCGTCTCCTATATCTCGTTTCCAGGGTCATGGCTCTATGTGGATTGTATGTTGTATCTCCCTCTGTACATTAGCTCTATCTATCTTCCTACCCCCTCTGTACTATCCATGGACTTCGGAGTCACCCCGGCTGTATATCTACCATATGAACATTTTACTATTCCCTCGGATATACTTGTGCTCTGGATGGTCGTGTGTGTAATGTCTCCTTGCTCCATCCGCCTCCCACAGTCCGGCGCGTTCTGTCTCACGAAGTCGTGCACTAACCCGCGTTTGGTACGGGTCTCCTGCATGCGGTATCCCCATCGCGTATCGCCGGATCTCGCTCGCATGGGCTAGCGCTAGTGAGGTCATGAATTATTCAAGGATACACTTCGAGAGGAGAGCGAGCGAGGTAGGGTACTCGGCACAAATACACATGCGGAAAGAGAGAGCAGGTATGAGAAACATAGGCGGAACGAGAGGCGGAGGCTGTAGGGACACAGGTGGAACTTGAAGGAAAAGGCACAAAGGTAATAATATGACATAAATGAGGGGAAAATCCGAGACGCGGCCGGCGGTACGCAGGAAAGGTTATCGATACGTAGAAAGGGTTCTGTGCAGGTAGGCTAAGGTAGGGTGATAAAATCGATACATGCAGCAATCCGACGCAGTGAGTCAGTCAAATCAGAACGCAAGCAACTAATTATTCGACGACGCCCCGCGCCTGCCAAAGTTCAGACTCCCAAACCGCGAGAACTTGCCCTTAAGCGAGTTGAACGACCGGCTGCCCATCGTCGACGCGACGACCGACATCCCCGAGTTCTGCGCGCCGCTCATGCCCAGCCCTATCCCCGGCGCGCCATTCGGCGCTCCACCCATGCCCACGTTCATAAACGACGTGTGCAGGGACTCGCTCGAGAACGTCGCGCTGCGCGCTGCATCTGCGGGTGCCGACGACACGCCATGGATGCCGTGGCGCGCGAGATGTGCGAGGTGCTTCTGGAGCGGCGTCTGTTGCGGCGCGGGCTCGGCGGGGCTGAAGGAGGACGAGGAGGGCGACATGGGCGCGGGGGAGGTGAGCGGGCGGCCGAGGTTGAGGGGAGGGATGACAAAGGCGCGCATGGTGGAGACAGTCGAGGTGGAGGGGCGGAGGGATTGCTCGTAGGAACTTGAGCGGAGGTCCATGGAGCGCTCGCGTTGGATGGCGGCGGAGGTAGTGTCGAGGTTGAGGCGCCGGATGTCGTCGGCGAAGTTCCTTTGGAAGAAGGACTCGAGCGTCGACTGGAAGGAGATGAACTCGGGTGGACACAATTGGCCGTGAAGCTTGAGGCAGGCGTCAATCATGCGCAGCTGTAGTAAGTCAGCAAGGAGGTCCAGGTCAACAAGCCGGTAGACTGACCTGATCGTCGACGGCAACTTGCAGCTTCGCCAGTGATTCTGCCCTGTCAGGATTACGATGTCGATAGTCCGCGTTGAGGAACATCTCCTTGTAGGCCTGGATTCCGGAGGTCGCTGGTGCGTCCACCACGTTGTTGAGAGCCATCGACAGCACGTTCGTCGACGTCTCCTGGTTCGTCTTCGCCAATGCACCGTATTTCTGGTAAAGCGCTGTGAGCTCCTTCGTCTTCTCCTCGACTTCCGTTAAGGCAGCCTCGACGGGTGATATCTCCGCAACCTCGATGGCGATGATCTCCGAGCGCCGCAAGACGGTCGGGAAAGTTTCCTCCGTCGTGAAGTACGCCTTCTCCAGCCACGTCTCCTCGCTCCCGTCCTGCGCCGTCCGCCGCACTTGCCGCGAGCTGCTGAAGAGGTTGATGTCGCAGTGCTCGTAGTACGCGCGTACGGCAGCCGGGACCTCCGGATTTGTGAACAGCGGCGACGTGCGATCGGGCTCGGGAGTGACGGCGGATACTTGAATATAGAGATCATTGCCGAACCGAATATCGACTGGAGGGTCCCCCATTGTCTTCAGCACACGAGCACCGGGGTGTTTGTTTGCCATTCGTTCGCAGAATGCCGCATACTTTTCCCATTCGTAGCCGCGATACTATGCAATGAATTAGCGCCGAAGATCGCAAGCATAACAATGGCACTCACGATGAAGCTCTTGTTCCGAATCGCGGAGGGGAAGTCCCCGAAGAATGAAACCCGATAGTAATCCGCATAGTATCGCTGGTTCGTGACAATGTGCTCGTATAGGTTGGCCTGATGCCGCAGAATTTCGGAAAGGCGTACGCTATGATGATGTCAACAATTAGCTTCCGCAATGGACGGAGCACCCACTAATTGAAGGTGACTTCGGCGTGCTGGTAGATGAGTTCCTTGCAGATCTCGATAGCCCTCTCCCAGGCCTTCCCCTTGCCAAGGTAGTCGAGAATTAGCAGGCACAGCGTTTCCTTGCGATGGAATTGCGATTGCTGCGGTAAGCCAAGGTCTTCCATCGGGGGCACGAACGTGTTTAGATCCCATTCGTGTAGGTCCGCATGTAGCTTCAGCGTCAGAGCTGCCTCAACGAAGTTCTGCGCTTGCAAATGCATCTGACAAAGCGTTAGATCCCGGGACCCTTTCTCGGCAACTCGTGCCTCTCACGTTGACTAGCTGGTGGACATATTTGATATATATCTCATCACGGCCTATTCGGCGAATGAAGTTCATAAGCCGCAGCTGTTGAACGAAACAAAGTCAGCGGACGCTAACAATGGAAGATTGGTAGGTGGCGTACCGTGGCGATGACCCTGTCATCAGCGAACTCATCGCCTTCAGGCAACGCCCGGACGCTTAGCAGCAGTTCCAAGAACAGATCGACGGAGTCAAGGAAAGCGGAGACACGTTCGCGCAAGCCCTCGTCGACGTCGGAGCTGTCGAAAAGGTTCCGCAGTTGCCCAATGAAGAACGCTCTCGAGATGTCGTCTCCCTTGCTGTCCGACATGAATAGTAGATCCAGCCGCGTAACGATCTCGTTCTCGATAGAATCAAAGTTGTCGCTTCGATGGTATTCGGCGACTATCATGCTGTAAAGCATCTGCGCGGCATTGTTGCGGACAGAATCATGATGACTCAAGCAGAGATTGACGATCTGCCCCACCAGCGAGTTCAAATGCACCTGGTACCCCTGCAATGAAGTCATTCGATGTATGCACCCCCTTGTCCGAGCAGAGATCTTACCCCATATTTGACTGGCGTTGCCATACCCCCCACCGAGTTCTCAGCCCAGCCGAGAGATTGCCACAAATTCAACAAGAGGTCCGCTCCTTGTCCGCGCACGTCGCCTGCTAAACGCCAGACTGCGCGTCGTTTCTGAAGACCGTGTCAGATACGGCAGCAGGTGCCAATCGAAGTCAGCATACCTGTGGACTGAACTCTTCGATGACGAGCTGGTCCGAAGAAAGCAGCTTCAGCAGCACGCCAAAGCATTGCCGCCAAAGGTCAGCCCGGAAGGAAGCTTGCTCCTCTTGTGGCGGTATGAAGTTGCTCTCCATGATGCTGGTAATCGGCTCGAGCATTCGTATGAGGACTTTGTGTGCAAGAACATTCGCGTTGAGCCACGCGGGAGGGAAGGCCTCGTAGTCCAAAACGGACGTCGCGACAGCGAAGAACTGGGTGAGAAGAGACACGAAGCGCTCAGGTCCCTCTATGCCGAGGCTGTCGTCGAGGAATGCGAGCATCATCTTTTTCGGCGTCGAAAGGATGAGGGACAGGATCACGATCGCAATTTCGCCAAGCCCAGGGACGAAGACCGCTTCGTGAGGCATGGATGACTTGCTTGGACGGGGCGATTCCGGGAGGGTGGCAAGGAGTGAGAAGGGATACGAGGAAGGAAACGCGACAGCTGGGGTGAGCTTCTGATTGGAGTTGATGCGGGCACGTTCCATGGCCCGTCGGGAAGCCTGCGAGTTTAGCTCGCGGTAGGACTCAAGCAATCTATAGGACGATGAGCGATGTGGGTGATAGATGAAGACGAGTATAACTTACCGAGGGAGGAGAGGCAAGAGATTCTCCACGTTCTCCTGCTCCTGCTTCAACCTACGTCGATCCGCGGTCACCGCCGGGTCCACCAAACTCGTCTGCAGCCTGTCGAGCATGACGGCGATAATGGTCACGCAAAGTCGCGTGCCCTCCAGCCAGCTCACTCGTGCCGCATCCTTCGCTGATTCCGAGTCGCCACTCATCGTCTGCGTGAAGTCGTCGAACTTGCCAAAGTGAGGCCGAATCCACGCCACCATCGCCTCCACCAGCAGCGCGCGGGCCTGTGGATTGTCGAAAAGGAAGCCGCCGATAATTTGCTGGTACATAATGAGCTTGCGAAGGACGATGGTCCCGCGCCCTGCAGTTATCGTATTCGCGAAGTTGGTGACGATGGACACGAGCTCGACAGTGGGGTAAATCTTCGCGAGCTCGGGAAGAATGGAAGGGAAGTGTTGAAGAGCGATCATCTGCGTGCCAAGGACCTCAGGACTGGAGGAGGACATGAGCTCGTTGACCTCGTTGAGATGGCCCCGAAGTTCGCGCCGGAATTGCTGCTCAAGCACGTCCGCAGTCGTGCCACCTAAATGCCCTTCCCTAGCCTTCTGCAGCTCGCGAGCGCGGGTGATGAAGCGGAAGATGTGATACCACACCTTCAGCGCATTGCGCAGCGCAGAGGCAGTTTCGCTGGACGCCGGATTCGACAGCAAGCGACCCATCGCACGAACAATATGCATAGCCGCCATATGGAAGTCGAAGTGCTTTGCGATGTATATGTCGAGCACTGGACGGAAGTTCGTGAAACGGCGGTCCTGCACGATCCCGAGCACGGTGACGAGTGCGTTGAAGACGAGATCGTCCACTTCGCCCTCCGAGTTGCCACTGGACACCATGATGCCGAAGAGCGCGTCGAAGATAGGCTGGAGGAACTTGACGATCTCCGCCTCCCCGACGAACGTGAACTTCTTCAAAATCGTAGACAGCAGCGTGCGGTCCGAAATTTGCTCCCAGTTCAGCAGGCTGAGCAACACCGAGTCCTGTGTCAACGCCGTAGAGCAGAGCGACGTCCTAATCGTGAGCGTGTCCCGGAGGGGCGTCAGGTCAGCATGCGGATGTCGAACAGGCTGCAGGTCGCCGTCCGCGTTCCTGCCTTTGGTCGACAGGTATACATCCGCACCAAGCTTTTCCCACTTGTACAGGGTCAGGTTATGGCTGCCGTCGCCCAGGAAGCTTCGCCCATCAGGGAACAGCGGCTGGAAGGCAAAAGCAAACGGACGCTCCTCCGGGTCCCCCGTCGCAGTCGTCGGCCGGCCGTTCTTGTCGCTCTTGCTCGCCCGTCCACCCCGATTCCGTATCGTGAAGAAGAGGTGCCAATTCGGCCGCGCATCAGAGTGGAACAACTTCGCCATATCCTGGTCCAGCTGGACCTTGAGAAGCTCGCCGAAGGTGGGCTCGTTGCACCGCGCATAGATCGTGGACTCGAATCGCGTCATCGGCGGCTCTCCTGCGCCCCGAGATAGTGCGCCTTCGACTGCACGGCCAGAAGAATCGCGGACTTCAATGGTGACCTGGATGTTCGGTGGCGACGCCGTGATGCTGCCGATGGTGCTGCCCCGGTTGAGCGTCAGCCCCGCAAAGGTGCTGAGCCGGTTGGTGCTGTTCCGCGACTTGCCGGAGGAATGGGTGCCGTTGGACACGAAGGAGTGCGTCGAGGTCGTGAACTGCCCGGACCACAACTTGACGTAGAGCTCGTTTCTTGTCTCGCCGGGGAAGACGACATCGGGGAAGCCTAGTCGTTGTGTCTGCGGAATGTCCTGGAGAGTCATGAGTATACAGAGCAAGCAGACACAAGAAGTCACGTACGAGCAAGAGTGAAGTGTTCTCGCGAACGACCGCAGTCCTGTCGCCCTTGAAGATCTTGACAGACACATTGACCGAGTCCGCTCTAAAGAGCGCATAAGCTAGTGATTTCCCAATCGCACGAATCCATACATACCTCGGCGACTTCTCGATCTCCTTCGTCGCATTCTCCAATATGCATTGATGTAGTATCGAGAACATGCTCTCGTTCGTCGGCACAAACACTGGCATCGAGAACTCGCGCAACGGCGAGGCGTCCACCATCGCCATCATGGAAGTCAGAGGCGTGAGCTCCAGCACCGCGCAGCCAAAGGGTCTCCTGAACTGCTGCGATGCGTCGACACCGTTGCTGGCGCCAGATGTGTCCGCCCAGCCAACAGAAGAGGCGTTGTTGCCAGTCATGCCTAGCGCAGATGCAGCGCGGTCGTCGTGAGTGCCGTCGCGCTTGTGGCTACCGTTGGTATGGTGCAGCGCGAGCTTCATGGGACCATTCCGTACGATCCTGCACACAAGGTAGAGCGAGTCTTGCATATCCGACGCCGCCAAGTCGAGAAAGAGCGTGCGTATGCGCTTCGACGTCCCATCCTGGCTCGGATGCACAGGTTGACCGGTGTGATCCAGCACCACACAGAAGTCCTCCGTTAGGAACTGCTCCGAGTTCCTATGGTACAGCGAGAAAAACAGCTCCGCCGTATCCCCTGGGCCACAGATCGCCGCGGAGAACGAGCGCACGTCAACCATGACATGGTAGAATTTGGACGCCGAGGGCGCAGACGACCGATTTAGAGAGAGTGAGGAGTGCCGAGCGGGCGTCTGGGTAGCGAGCGTGTTGAGACCGACGGAGTGCCGGTGCGTAGCGGGGAAGGAGCGTTGGTGGGCCTCGGGGAAGGCGGAATGCGCGGGGCTGGGCTGCGTGCCCGTTGCGTGCTCGACGACAGAGCCTGAGACGCAGTCGTCGCACGAGACGTCCAGGTACGCCAGCGACTGCTGCATAGCGTACATGCGGACCGCGCTGATCCAGCTTCGCGGCTCGATCTCGCCCTCGACGTCTGTCGTGACTAGCCCTCCCCAAGTCGGGTGGCGCACGATTATGTCCAGGTCCTGCACTCTGTTGCCCGCTACGAGCCGCAAGACGCACTCTTGGCGCATGTTGATGGTTTCTTCTGCCGAGAGGGTCTGCGCGAGCAGCTGTCTTCGCCCCAGATGTAGTGCGTCAATATGTCCGCGGACGATGTGGAAGAGGCGGTAGTCGCGCCGCGCAAGGTGGTGGAACATAAGGGTGTGCCATTCGCGCATCGCTGAGGCAATCTCGTCGACGATGGGCTGGAAAGCACCGCTGACCGTGTCGTCGCCGGTCCGCAAGGAAGGTCTCGGGGGAAGTGGCTTCATCTGCGATTCTGTCGGAGACGCGGAGCGTAGGCTGCTGGCGGGGTTGTATCGCAACGGGCGCGCCATATCCAGCGTGCCGTCTTCAGGGAGCTCTCGCAAGGAGGCCAGGCTCGACTTGTCCTTAGCCCAAGTCATGAAGGATTCGGCGGGGCTGCCAACGCTGCTGCTGATGCTCCGGGAGGGCGCATGTCCCAGACCACTGCCCCGGCCAGTGATACTGGGCGCGCCTTGGCCATTCATACTCGCCGCCAGCTCCGTCAGGCGCCCCTCTGCGTCGGAGAGGTGGTCGCGGATGTATATGTGCGAGTCGGGAAATATGCCAATGAAGACCTGCTGGGTCTCCTCATTCCTGAGCGGGACTTTGCTCGTCGACGCGCCATCGGGCGAGAGGGACCAAGTCACCGGCGGGCGGCGCGTCGTGCATACCACATATCTGCACGAATTGTCAGCCAACGCGGGATCCTCCTTCAGAACACCGACACGCACCCGCGGTACCAAACGCCGTCCACCTCCTTCCCTCTCGGGGTGTACTTCTCGAATGCATACACCTCATCCCCCACCTCCAGCGATACGACGTCCGAGTTCGTCCGCTCGTCCGTGCTACTCGTCTCCGTCACCGTCGAGAGGCGGCTGCGACTCGAAACGCGCGTGTCTCGGCGCGAAGGGGACAGCGGGTACTTCGCGTACCCATACACAATGAGGGGGAGTGGTTCCCACATGAGGGTTCTGAGCGCGTCGTCGCCTACCAGGACGTCGGTAAACAAGCGCGCGGGGGAAGAGAAGCGTCGAAGCGCGCGCACCTGATTTCCGTTAAGTTTTCTGATATGTCCAATCCCGATGCCCACGGATGATGAGGGCGACAGGGCAAGTGTGTAGAGTGGGAGGGGCTTGCGCGCGATGGACTGTACAGGCCAGTCGCGGGGATGGCGCTTGGGCGTATGTGTCGGGCTCGAAGCTCTGGGGAGGTAAGAGTAGAGTGAGTTGAGGAGGGTATCGGCGCGCGGGTGCTGGCAGGCCAGTCAGAGTCTCGGGCGCGCGAGGGTGCCGGGTGAAGGGACGAGGAGAACGCCGAGGCGAGGGCGGACTATGAGCTGGACAGCGGATGTCCGCGTGGCCTAAGCGAGTGACAGAAGGGGATCTCAAGACCTTCCATTCGGACCTATACATCTCCGTCCACGTGTCCTTCTTCGTCCCATGCCACCACCCGCCAGAAGACCAGCTGCTCTTCCGGCAGGCATCACATCGCCAAGATGTATCTCATATCTCAGATCCTAGTGCAGCATAGGTGCTAGACAGCCGACTCGACTGACGCAGAAGAAGTAAATGGCTTTGGACCCTGCGCCACAATTTATCGAGTTTGCGCAACCTGACGATTTATACCAGGAGGACCCTAGCCTTGTCAAGAACACTGTATGGTACCGAGAGACAGTAGTGGACAGTGCAGATCATCCGCCTGTACGCCAAGTTAATGTCATTGCAGACAACTGGACAAGCTCTTGCCGGCGGTGACCACATTGTGAATTTTACGGACGGATCCCACTGTCCATCTACTATTGTGCATCCCAAGATTCTTCCCTGACCTACCTGAATACTCTACGAATGTAGCTATCGCTGAAGCCGACTCAAGGATGCCGACTGGGTCGCCTGCGGATGCGATTGTTTGGAAGTACCCTACGAAGTTCACGATCCCCTTCGTGCGCTTTGGGGATGGGATAAAAATCTTGGATAGGTAAACTTACCCACCCTTCGAAGTGCCCTTGGAGCGGCTGCCGAGACATATATGGGTGAGGACAAGGCGCAGAGGAACGAGATCGACGATAGGAAGGTAGTATCGGCAAAATCGCGCAAGTATTTCCGCACGATAGAAGCTGGCTGCAGATGACTGTCAAGTCCGTAAGGACAGCAAGGCGATTGCAAGCCTCCAGCGACATGAATGCTATTTGGATAGACGCACGACTTTCCCGCAGAGCAGCGACGGTCCGCAGCGATGATGAGAGCTAACAGTCTGACTCGGAGCTCGCGAGGCAGGTCTGTCGATGCTGGGGGATCGCAAGCGGGGAGCCCGTATAGCAGTTGATTGCGAGCATATATGACCTGGCCAAGGTCCTGGACAAGAGCAGGTGCAACGTTGCCACAAATGTGCGGGGATCATTGTGGCTGTCCAACAACCAAGAAAGCCTTTGTACCCCTGCGCAAGACCAGCTTGCAATCACGCCGAGCATTTGCGATGGACAACAATTATATGCCAAACCATGTACACTACGAAATGTCAGACGGTCGAGTCAATGAGATGCAATGTGCCAGAGGGAATAGAGCGTATTAGTTTCGATAATTATCAGAGAATTCATCAACGAAGGCGCAAGTGGAAATTCATCTAAAATTTCGCTTCAAGTGAAAGATTAAGACAACGAAATGTAAAGACATGAATGGATTAGAAGCTTGCAGGGGCATTTTGCGCCAACGCGCGTTCCGGGAACCTGCCTGTCTCCTCTATTGTGTGCGTGCACACCAAGACACTCGCCTTCCGACTGCCATATCCCACACGCATGCCTCACAGAGCGATAAGATACTCGCCGCCTGATACGTTCCTCCCCAGTACGCACGAGGCCATCACATCGTCGTGCCAGAGCTCATATAGTGGTGATGTCTCTTGCTCTATGACTTACCTACAAAGATAATCATTAGCCCTTACAAGTTCTGCATTAGCCACTGCATCAAGTGGAGCTGCCTTTTGGAAGTGAAGAACTTGATAAATATGCTAACTAATACGCTCTAATGTCCCCGATGCAATGCCTTGTACGATGCGAGATGGTAACCTGCAGTGCGATATACGCAACCCGAACTATGCTATACGACCAAAGTCGGCGATGCGATATATACTTTTGTATGTATGTCGGAAAACGGCCGAATTGGTGGTCACTGGTGAAGCGCGGTGGCGCGGTGATCACCGCTGGCGGGGAGAGTGGCCACTAGCGATCATCAGTAATCACCACAGCGTCACCGGTGGTCACCGAACATGCCTGACGTAGCGCAGGATTCCCCCAAGCCGCCGGAGCAAGGGTCTATAGCTAACGCTGAGGGACCATCTGTATAGAAGTAGACGCACACTTGACAATCTACCTCGAAAATACTCTTAGGTGCCGAAGAACACGAAATAATCCAGAAAAACCTTCGCCTCAAGACAGTAGCAATGCGCGAGACCATGCGCATGTGGGACGACGAGATTTTTCCGGGTACTATCTCGAGTGTCGTGCGACGACCTGCGAGGGAAGGCAGCACCAACAACGAAGTTGATCAGATTTTGGCAGGCATCGAGGATGAGGAGGTCGAGCAATCAGATGAGGAGGACGGGAATGGGCGAAGCGGCACGCAGGATAATGTAGAAGAGGATTAGGATAACTGAGCTGGTTCCCTGTACATTTCGTGGCGGTGGGCCACCAGAGTTGTGGGTCCATGTGTAATCGAATACGGGATTGTCCGAATGACGTATAAGTACCACCGCCGCGACGTCAACATCTTGTCCGCTACCACCATCTATTCCTCGTTCTGTCCAACATTTGGTGATTCATCCGGCCATCTCCATATCTATAACTCAGGAGATGTAGCGGGAACGATGCATAGCCTGGTCAGGCAATGATGGTGTCTCCCGCGGCCTGTTCTCACAAGCCCAAGCCAGTGCGTGACAACGACGTCGCTGTCTTGGTGCGCAGCGACTTGTTGTGCGCATGCAGATGACTGACGACCTTCTTGCAGGTAGAAGGCTCATGATCGTATCTCGCGGCAAGTTGTACTGCCGGCGTGCGGTCGCTCGTATAGCTAGAGCCGTCTTTCGATCATGCTCAAAGACCATCCCCAACATCAGCCACCTTTTCTCCCCCCTTCGCATGTGAGCTCTTGTCCGAGGCCTTGCGTACTGCTGCTTAGAATGTTGATTCACGGCTTGCCTCACGCCATCTGCCCAGCACGCCGCCCGTAGTCCGTCGGCTCGTGTCGCAAGTGTGCTACATCTGTGGATTCAGAAGGTCCGTCCAGTCCTGCTGTTGCTGGGCCTACACTCATTACCTGCGACTATAGTCGTTTATAATGATACACGATCGATACACCGCGTCGCAGCTACTACATGTACCGTAGTCGAGTATTGATAATGAATTTTTTTTTTAATTCCGCGGCGCCGAATAGTGACCACCGGGAAACACAGAGCATCACCGTGATCACTCGCCGTCACTGGGTTCACTAGTGATCACGGTGACCACCGGCATTCACCACCAAGTAGAGCTGATCACTCGTCCGGGATGGTGACGCGGTGACCACCTTTGATCACTGGTGCTCGCCCGTGGTCACCGATTCGGCCAAATTCCGACATAGTCAACCAACGTACCCCCAAATCCACCCAAGAAGAAATCTACGTTATGTACCAGTCCGTGCAAATGCAGATGATATGCAGTCTAAAGCAATGCGAAGGACAGAAGAGTGAAGAGGCATAGTATGCGTGGTTGGAAGGTATGGCGAGGAGGGAAGGTATGACGAGGAGGGACGACAGACCTGTGGCCACTATAGCGCCACGGAGGTCACTACAACGACGCCAACGTCATGTCCGAATCCATCGAATCCGACCTGCGCGTCCCGCGCAAGTACTCCACATACTCGACCAAGAACCGCACCTGCTCGTACGTCTCAATCGCCTTGATGCTCCTTCTCCTGCGCAACAAGAAGATCGCGCGCTCGACCAGGACGACTACCGACGAGTCAACCTCGTCTGCGGGACGAATCATGTTATCCCCCGAACGAGGTACGCTATCGCCAGCGCCCTCGTCCAACCAGCCGCAAAGCCCGAGCTTGATCGCCCAGCACGCCGCCACGACGCCCGCGCGCCCAACGCCCCCGCGACAATGTACCAGCACCGGCACACCGCGCAACGTATAGTCCCTCAGGACATCGCTAAGCCTCTCGTCCAGCGCCTCTGGCGACAGAGGCGCGAGGCCCTCTGGCGTCGGTATGCGGAGGACGTCAATACCGGCTGAGCGTGCGGCATCGGAGTAAAGGTCCCACGGCGCGCCTAGTAATGCCAGTTCCCCGTCGTCGAGGCAGCTGGGGGATAGGTGAGATCGAGAGCGGTACCATGGAAGGAGGGATACTAACCATATTATGCACCCGACGCCGAGATCCCTCATCCTCCGCAAGTCTGTTCTTAGGTCTCTGCAGACGCCGCTCCGTCCCCTTACAGGACCTTGCAAGCGGACTGAAAGAAGTGAGAAAATGAAGATGTGGGTAGAGAAGTCTGCCTACCCTTCTTCCCCGGACAAGACGACATGAACAAATTCCCCAGCATGAACGTCGGAGTCGATGGTGATAATGGGCTCTTCTCGTCCGACGCGTCTTCATCAAAGTCCTTTTCTGCCAACGGCGGCGCTATCGACAGCGATATGTGCGACACATTCGAGGGCTTGGCGAGCAAGCGAGGCGGTCGTGGAGACTCCGCCCCCTCCGCGCCAGGCACAGCAGGCATTGGCGGCACGGGCGATATCTCTTCTGTGATAGCGGCCTGGAGCGCCGCGGACATCCCAGAGCGCGTCCTCAGCATGTGTGGTGGGCTCTCCGGCGGCGGATACGGCGGGGGCTGCACATTCACGAGCTGCATCCCCGGAGGCAGGTACCGCTCCACCAGTCGGTCGATCTGGAACTTGGCGGGCAGCTCGAAGACGGTTGGCACATGGCGCGCGGAGAGGACAAGATGGGAGGAGACGAGGGCGAGGAGATCTGGGGGGATGATGGTGGAGATGCTAAGTGACAGGCATTAGGTGGGTACGCGGGAGCAGAGCGGACAGCACGAACTTGATGGGGTGCGTGGAAGACGTCTTGATGTGATGTGCTTGTGGGGGTTCGGTAGGCGCGACCTGGGGTGGCTCCATGGGTTCCAAAGGTTCGCTGATAGCGGCCATAAGCTTGTTCTCGAGGCCGGAGTGGTCTGATAGTGGGCGACCGCAGGGGCCGAGCAAAGGAGAGTCCGCCGAGGCGAGGTCGCACTTGTGCCAACTCTCGGTGGCGCCCAGTACGTCGGCCTGCCGTGCCTGCAGCTCGCCATAAAATTCGGGGGTTTGCACGGAGAGGGGGACGTATGTGAAGGGGCAGCCTGTTGAGCGAGTGTGAGTGACATCTATGTGATGGAGGGGCATGGCACGTACCTTGAGGACCGAACTTGACGCGACTATACTCGCTGGTATGGTGCTGGGATGCGAGCCTCGCCAGCTGCAGAGATATAAGTGCATGCTAACTAGAATTCCTTCGATGCACACACCTGTGAGGCTAAGCGCTCATTGCGAGTGAAGGACGGCAAGGGCGTGAACGGACGCGGCGAATCTGCAAATTCATGCGGGGCAGACCATGACGCAGGCGCTTCTACAATTGCAGTGCACATCTAGCCAGACGGAGGGAGCGGGGAGCCGGGTGTCGGAAGGAATGACGAAGGGCGGAGAGCTGCTGGCGAGGGGAAGACGCGAACAACAAGAGGAAGTCGAGTTGTTGCGGGCGAGAATAGCTCCCCGGGGCCGGGGAACCGGTGATGGACCGCACGTGGGGTGCTTCACGGGCTTCAAGGCCAGTATGCCCGTCTAACATATTGCAAAGTGGTCAGTCGCAGAGTATTGCCTCGACCTTCCTTCTTCTGCCCATGGCTTTTGCTGCCCGATATTTTGGACGGCGCTGGGGGGATTTACGACGCGTCCGGGGCGGCCGGCCGCCGCTCCACATGGGCGTGGGAAGGTGTTGCCCTGATGAAGAGCACTTGACGGCTGGCTCGCACCTTGAGCGGATTTTCTCCTTCTGCACTCGTTTCCCGTCGCCATCACCACTTCGACGACGTTTCCCGCAGCGCCGGGCCTGTCCTTCACCATCATTGGCGTTCCGTCCCTCGTTCGGCTCACTACATCAGCAGGACTGCCCGCCCGACGCCTCGTCTCCATCCACCGGGTCTCCCCAGACCACTCACACCGCCAGCCCCGCGACACGCTCATTACTCTGCCCACTGCTTAGACGATGCTACGATTTCAGAACGATGTCGAATTTACAGACGTACCAATACCGACCACCCGCGCGCCAGCGCCCGGTAGTCACACCATCCGACGCGCAAAGACACTCACCCGCCCCGAGCGCAGCGTCGCCCCGGTCCCGCTCATCAATGCCCCGACTAGCGCAGGCGGCCCCGCCACCACTCTCGAGATGGACTACAACGGCTCCCCAGCCTGGACGCTCTTCTCCAAGGTCGTCACCTTCTGGGCACCAGGCTTCCTCCTGAGCTCGATCGGCGGCCTCCATGGGAAGGACGTCCAGCAGGCATGGCGGGAGAAGATGACGCTCTGTTTCCTCATCGCCCTCCTATGTGCTGGAGTCGGCTTCGTCACCGTCGGCTTCCAGAAGGTGCTCTGCCCGGAAACAGGCGAAACCACGAAGATATTCGCTGGCGTCGGTGATACGCAAATGGTCGTCGGCGTCCAGGGACGCGTCTACAATACCACCAACGCTCAGGCCCCGTTCCAGTCCATTGCGATGAACAGTGCCGGTGCGGACGTTACAGGGTACTTCCGTCGTACTGCATCTCAGTTCGATAGATGTGCGTCTTCTTCGCATCAGAACGTGCACTCCACTGACAACCGTTCCAGGCACTGGTCTCAATAACCTCATCGCCACGGACGACCCATGCTCGGGTTACACACCTTGCACTCAGGGCGATATAGCTTCGGAATCTACCTTCCAGAACCTCGGACTGGAGGTGACGCCCTTCGTCTCCGGGTACTCATGGGACCTCGTTGCCAACCTCACCTACTACTTCGTCATCGACGGCGCCGTACTCAACATGACCAACTACTTCACCTTGCACCCCAACCCCGTCTCTGGCGACAGCGTCGACTATGCGCTGCGCACCGTCATCATTGATTCTCCCACGGCCAGTGGGAAGGATGGTACCCGTCTCTTCTACGCGAAGTCGGACCTGATCCAGGCTGTGCCGTGTCTCGTGCAGCGCTATTACGCCGGGAACATCGACAAGGTTTCCCCAGGCTGCTTCGTGTCCGACCTCTTCCTGTACGCTGGCTTGTTTGTCATCTTGGGCCTCGTCATGGTGCGCTTCGTGATGGCGTGCGTCTTCAACTGGTTCCTGTCCGGGCGTCTAGCAGCCACCCCTGATCAACGGGAACTGAACCGGAAGGCCATCAGTCCGGCAGTCATGCCCGAGGGCGCCAACATCTCCATCGACAACCGTAATGGCACCGCACCTTGGGCTGGCCCGAATGGCAAGTTGAACAAGCCCAATCCGAAGGCGAAGTCTTTTGGCGCGTCTGCCAGCACGCTCAACTCCAATGATGGCGCGTCACCTATCATCAGTATGGCGCAGATCGGCGCGGAGCTGTTCGCGGTCTGCCTTGTCACCTGTTATTCGGAAGGCGAGGACTCGCTCAGGACGACGTTGGACTCGATATCGCGCACGACTTACTCGGATGCACGGAAGTTGTTGTTCGTCGTCGCCGATGGAATTATCACTGGTGCCGGCGAGAAGCGGAGCACGCCGGATATCTGTGTCTCGCTGCTGGAGGCGGACCCACGGTTCGGTGACCCTATACCCATGAGCTACGTTGCAGTGGGTTCAGGAGCGAAGGCGGTCAACAGGGCTATGGTGTACGCCGGTCATTACAGTACGTTGACACCCTTTATACTTCCCCGCATCCTGCTGATCATAATGCACAGCCGTCGCTGGACGACGAACCCCGACGGTCATTGTTGTCAAATGCGGCACCGAGGCCGAGGCCGCAAAGGAGAAGAAGCCCGGAAACCGCGGCAAGCGTGATAGCCAGCTTATCCTCATGAACTTCTTCTCCCGCGTCACCTATAATGATCGAATGACCCCGCTGGACTTTGACCTATTCCGGAAGATCCACATACTAATGGGTGTAACGCCAGACTTCTTCGAGGTCTGCCTGATGGTGCGTTTTGAGTTGTCGGCCTTAAATCCCCGCTAAAACGCGATATCCCCCAGGTCGACGCGGACACCAAGGTCTTCCCGACGTCCCTGGGCCACCTCGTCAATTGCATGCATCACGATCAGATGATTATGGGCGTCTGCGGCGAGACGCGGATAGCGAACAAGCGCCAGTCTTGGGTGACCGCCATCCAGGTCTTCGAGTACTTCATCTCCCACCACCTCGCCAAGGCCTTCGAGTCCGTCTTCGGTGGTGTCACCTGTCTGCCCGGATGCTTCTCCATGTTCCGGCTCAAGGCACGGCGGCAGACCGGCGAGGAGTGGGTGCCGCTGATCATCAAGCCCGAGATCGTGCAGCAGTACTCCCAGAGCGAGGTCAAGACCCTTCACCAGAAGAACCTGCTGCTGCTCGGCGAGGATCGCTTCTTGACGACCATCCTCCTGCGCACGTTCCCGAACCGGAAGATGATGTTCTGCCCGCAGGCGCGATGCAGGACCGTCGTCCCCGACACGTTCGCCGTCCTGCTCTCGCAGCGCCGTCGGTGGATCAACTCGACGATTCACAACCTCATGGAGCTCGTCCTGGTCCGGAACTTGTGCGGCACGTTCTGCTTCAGCATGCAGTTCGTTGTGTTCATGGACTTGCTTGGCACGGTCGTACTGCCCATCGCTATCGCCCTGACGTACATGCTGGTCGTCGGCATGGCGTTCGCACCGCCGCATTCTTTCGAGGAAGCCATCCCGCTCATCCTGCTCATCGCCGTCCTCGGTCTTCCCGCCATCCTCATCATGATGACCACCGGCAAGATCGTCTACGTCGCATGGATGTTCGCGTATCTGCTCGCCCTGCCCGTGTGGAACTTCATCCTCCCGGTGTACGCGTTCTGGCACTTTGACGACTTCTCGTGGGGTGAAACACGGTACGTTCGTCATTTGTCCGCCAAGCCCGTCTATTGAACCCTTTATAGAAAAGTCGCCGGAGAAACAAAGGACGAGGGTCACGGTGGAGGTGGCGGTGTCAATGAGGCCGTCAAGATCCCGATGCGCCGGTGGGAAGACTGGGAACGCTCGCGCCTGCGCAAGATTCGCCGCGAGGAGCGCCGGAGACGCGAGTTCGAGCGTCAACATGGTGGCTACATCACCGGCGAGGGCAACCTCCTCGGCGTGGGCGACACCTACAGCACGTACGATGGTTCCGACACCGTCTCCGTCACGTCCTCGGAGGATGACCAGTGGGGCACGAACATCGGCACGTACAACGAGAACAGTTCGCAGTACGGCCCGCCGCCAACAGGCCTATTCGAGGCGCCGCAAGATCGACTAGCGTCCGCGGAAGTGGTGGACGGTGCGGACTTGGAAGCGATGCTGGAGCGAGGGTTCGACGATCGGGGGTCACCAACAACACCGAATTCGGCGGTGCCCCTCACGTCCTCCATGCCGCGGTACCAGCTCTCCGACGGCGCAGCATCAGCACACAATCTGGTGAATGTCCGAGACGACAGCGGGTACACGCCGCTAGATCGTTCGGGGCACCCGCCACTGCCGTCGATGAAGCCCATGTCGCCGCCGCCACGAGACGGTGGGCGCGGAGGTTACGGGCCATTAGGTCCCCTGGACCCCGCGTCTCGAATCTGACAGTGAGTAGGTGCTCCGTCGGGAGATACAATGGACGTCTATCTGCCGGCTCGCTCCCAGCTCATCGCATCGTTTCCATGTTGCCATACCCTACGCATGAATAGTCCTGTACACGCCATCACTGCACCCACACTCGCAGCACTGCTCTGATCTTCCGTATCTCACGTCCCTTGTTTAATGGCCTTCCTCCGCGGGGCTCCCGCCTGTATTGTCGACGCTGGGCCTGTACGAGTACGTCGCCTCTGTGTCGCGTTGCACCTTTCCCTCCGCATATCACTGTCGTACAGTAGGACATTTTCAGTCCCCATTGCTCTTTGTGTTCCTTTCGCATTCTCCCCTTCCGCCCTCGCGCTCTTTGTCGTTTTCTCTTACCATGCGGGCTGACGATGGTCGTCACCTCTATGTTTACTACTGTGCTGCAGCGATGTTCGGAGTAGGGTCAACGGGTGTTGGACGTCCAAAAGCATATCTTGTACATGATATAACCCATTCCTTAGACATTACTTAGAACTCGGGCAGACCGCTACATAGACTGCTGGATATAATACTGAATAGGGCTAGTGGTCGCTGCGCCGGAGAGGGGGACCTGAGTTTGCGCGTGTTTTGGCGAGTGTGTCCATCGTTGATTTGGGATCGCCCGGGCGGACGGCCCGATCAGAAGCCCAGCACTCACTTGTCCTCGGCGCTCGTCGTTCGTGCGCCATCCCCGCGGCGACCCTGGCGTCGTTCCCCGCAACGTCGACGCGCGTGCTGCTCGACTCGGCGGCGCGTGCAGCGACCAAGTGCTGCGCGCGCGCGTCATCCCTTCCTTCGCGTCTCACTCCTTCACTCAAGACTCCCTCGCGCCGCTCGACCTATCTCGGCATTCATGACTACTTCTTGCGGCAGCAGCAGTTAGCCAGCAATGGCTCTAGGGCTAGGACGACATGGGGGAATTACCAGTCATCTTGTACTGCGAGGTGCGTGCTGCTCCCATCCGTATGCATACATCCAAGTTGACGAGAATGCAGGTGCTTTTCCACGACTCCTACATGTCGGGGCGCAGCCGCGCAGGCTGTGGCAACACCCCCGGAGCGAGAACTCACTGCCGCTGAACTCGAATGGCTAGCCGAAGAGCAGAAGCTTGCACAGTCACCATGGCTTCAGGCGTCGCAAGATCCTACTTCCCCTTCCCCCACAGCACCTACATCCACGGAAGAGCAGGAACCTGCGAAGCGCTTCGACTGGAGACAGCGAGCGATATCACGCTTGCCGGCTCAGCCACAGTCTACCCCACCTTCCAGCGACGGCACCCTCTTCAATTGGAGCAATGCCGTCAAGCGCGTTCACCCTTCCCTCGCGTCCCTTGAGCCAGGAGAACCTTTCTACGAAGAGGTTAGAGAGTATGAAGCTCGGTATGTGTCCCGTTACTTGTCCATCAATGTCTCCTGACGCGTTTTCTACATAGATTTCTGCCCATGCTTGAGGCTGAGCAACGAGAGGAGCAGGAGGTCGTTCGGGACCGGCTAGCAACTTGGCCCCTCTCCAAGCTCTCAGAAGAGGGATACTGCTTGCAGGGGATGTCTGCCTACTGGCTGGAAGCAGACTTGTTTGGACGACCCGTAGCCAACTTCTCAATGGGACCAGGCATGACTTTACCCGAGCACAAGTTTGAGTAAGCAAACCGTGCCCGAAATTGTCAATCCGCGGCTTATGTCTCACAGGTCTGGGGTCCAAGTCTTGATCTCACGCGTCGACCCTCTGAAGGAAACGCCGCATACTGCATCAGTATGGAGTCTTGAACTACTTTATATTACACTCTTTACTCATTCATTCCTTAGGTTGTAGGATTTACGAAGTCGCACCTTAAGCTGTCCTTCCTGCAGCGCTTTGAGTTAGAGGACGGTCAATGGCGGTTAGACCTTGGAAGGTTTGTTAGTTTTTGTTGCCTGGCCACCACTTCCTCATCACGTTCAGGTCCAACCTCATCTACGAACGCACCAAAGCAGCCATTTCTCAACTCCGCCAGGACCCCAAGAAAATCGAGGAAATGGACGCCGGCCGAGGGAAGGAATACATCTCCCAAGGCACCCACCTCCGCGACGTCCTTCTCCAGTCCTTTAAACCCGCCCGCCCCGAGGACGATCCCGACCCCGCGACCGTGTCGGCGAACACTCGCGAGCTGCATGCATCAGGCCCGGAGTACCCTGTCGCTGTGCTCAGCCATGAGAGCCGGCTGGGGCATGATAATCGGGGGATCTTCAAGGACGATATGCGCATACAGAGCTGGGCGGACCGGTACTCGAGGCCGAACCCTGTTGTGGCGGAGGGTGATCCCATCCTGGAAGGATTGAACGATACGCAGCGACGCGCCGTGGCGACGATGATAGGGCAGAGGATCAGTTTGGTGCAGGGGGTATGCGCAATCTAAATCTCAGCGCTATAGTCGGCAGACTGACTCGATTCTTTCAGCCTCCCGGCACCGGCAAAACGCGCACCATCATCGAAACCGTCAAACTTCTCAAGGTCCACTTCGAAGTCCCCCAGCCGCTCATGATCTGCACCTACACCAACGTCGCCGTCGACAACCTCGTCGAAGGTCTCGTCAAAGCCGGCCTCAAGCCCCTCCGCGTCGGCTTCGGCGGCAAGGTCCAAGCCGAACTTGCCGAGCACACCATGGACTACAAGCTCAATCAGCACCCTGCGCGACCCGCCATCGACGCCGCGCAGGAGGAAAGGCAGAGGATCTATAAGGAGCTAGATGAGCTGAGATGCAGTATGGCGGAGGATAAGGCGCGCATGGAAAGTGGTGCGGCGAAGAACTTGAAGACGCGCATACAGCGCAAGCAGGCAGTACGTCTTATGCACGAATCTGGCCAGTTCGAGTGCATACTCACGGGTTTTATCAGGCCATCTTCGCCAAGCAGCGCGTTTTGCAGGCGCTCACATCGAAGATCTTCCGCATGGAGCAACAAGTGTTGCGTGAGATCCTCGACGCGGCAGATGTGGTCTGTACGACGTGTATGAGTGCAGCATCGGCTGTACTCAATGTTGCCGACTTCCCCGTCGTCTTCATCGATGAAGCGTCCATGTCGACCGAGCCTGCTAGTCTAGTGCCGTTGATGAAGGGGGTCAGTGTCCATGATAGCACAAACTCGCAGGACCACTGACCTCTGAACAGAGTCAACATGTTGCCCTCATCGGTGATCACAAGCAGCTGCCGCCCGTTATCACCAGCCCGGAAGCGCAAGCACTTGGTCTCGGTGTCAGCTTGTTCGAGCGACTGACGGAGGAAGGAGGTACGTGTTTCCTCCCGTCATGTCGACCTATCCGCTCATGTCACCCCAGTCGTGCCATCCATCATGCTCGACATCCAGTATCGCATGCACCCCAAGATCTCCCGTTTCCCCTCCTCCGAGTTCTATGGCTTCGGCCTGCGCGACGGTACCGTCGACGCCGCAGGCGTCGTCTCTTCCCGTCTCCGCCCACCTCGCACCTCCGCCCACCTCCGCATCCGCACCGGCATCGACTCCGGCGCCCCTGTCCTCGGCCCCCAAAGTGCCACCGGCCTTACCAGCCTCGACACCACTGACGAGCACGATGCGCCCCCTGTCATCTTCCTCAACCACACCTCGTACGAGTCCACGCGCAGCCGCTCGCGCGTCAACCACGTCGAGGCGCAGATCGTCGCGAGCGTCGTCGAGGACCTGCTCCTGCACAACCCGGACCTGCAGGGCGCGGACATCGGGGTGATCGCGCCCTACGTGGCGCAGATCTCGCTGTTGGACCGGTTGTTGAAGAAGAACAATGATTGGAAGCAGCGGTTCACGGCGGTGCTGGGGAGTCATCGGGCGCTTCAGCTTTCGAATATCGAGATCAAGACGGTCGATGGGTTTGAAGGGCGCGAGAAGGATGTGATCATCTTTAGCACCGTTAGGAATAACTCATCTGGGTTAGTCGCAGCTCGTGCTCTCGATTGGGCTTCGCTGATGTACATTTGCAGCTACATTGGCTTCCTCGCCGATGAACGACGGCTTAACGTTGGGCTGACGCGCGCCAAGAGAGGCCTCTTCGTCGTAGGTGGCATCGAGACCCTCAAGGCAGGCAAGCGCAAGGAAGAACCAGAACTCCAACCCGTCTCCACCGCGCAAGCCCTCGCCGCCACTTCACCACCGTCCGCCGACGCCGTCAAGCTCGAGGCCTCCCCTGACAAACCCAAGCGCGCGAAGAAAGCCCCACGCACGAACCGGGGTGTCGAAGCCTGGCGCAGATACGCTAAATGGCTCATGGACGAAGGGCTCATCATCACCCTGACGGGCGATGCTCTATCGCAGGCGCTGTACGGCAACGTCCGTCGCGCGAGGAAGACCTTGCAAGCTATCGCTGCGGATAACGCGAGGCGAGGCTAGCCAGGATGCATATGCACGGAGTATGCAGTATCGTTATTGCTTGGAAATCCTATAGAATACTTACATGTCCTATAATCATCTTATGTAGGAAGAGGGAAGGCCTACACCCATACTTACGCGATAAGATTGACCGTTTTGGCCGAATGCTGCGTGCGCAATCACTTTTCTCTGGCTCAAAGAGTGCACAACCACGGTTGCAACGAGCCTCGCGTATTTGCGGAGATGTGGAATCGCAGACAGGCTGCACCAACGAAGCACAGTAAGTATAGATTGGGTATGGGAAGACATGTCTAGATATACGATAGGCTAATGCTACAAAGGAACAACTCGAATTATAGATACGGAACGCAAGTTAGATGAGGGACTGGTATGGTATGCTACACAACCGGCGAGAGACCCAAAAACAAGGAGAGGCATGGTGGTGGTTATACTGCCCGGAAATCAGAGTAATCTGGCGGATCCATAGAGCGTAGATGCGCAGGCTCCGGAACAGGTGTTTGAATCTCAAGGAACGACTGGCTCGACCGCGACGTATCCGGCGCCGGCACCGGTGGCGGCGAGGACTGGCGGCGGTACTGCTGCCTGAGATCGGGCATCGACGGCTGGCTGTATATCGAGGGCGCGGTCGACGGCGCGCCCTTCGTCGTCGAGCTGTAGACCGACATGGGCGGGAAGAGGTCGTACGTCGAGATCTGTGGCCGCCGGGGCTGGTCGACGGTCTGGATTATTGGTGTGATTTGGGTCGTAGGCGGGGTTTGGGTCGGCATCGGCGTTGGCGCGCGTGAGTCCTCGACGACGATCTCGGGGATGGCGCTCATGCGGATGGAGGCCCGGGGCGTGACGGGCAAGGGTTTCGCGGGGTCGACGTCGAACTTAGGCGTGAGGAGGCCGACCCGGAGGGACGAAAGGTCGACCGTCTTGTGATCGTCCATAGAAGACTCCGTGGCGCAGAGCGTCTTCGTCGTCGACTGCGCGAGACTCTCTATGTGGCGGCTGATCGTGATGGTGTCGTCCCTGAGGAACTTCTCGTCGTGCGCCGGTCTTGGGCGGAGGTGCGAGTGCGTGCTTGGCTTCTTGGTAAGCTTGGAGCCGACTTTGTCGGCCCTGCGAAGTATCAGCCAACGTGCACACATCATTCACAACCGCACTCACCAAGCCTTGCGGAAGATCGCTAGCTGCATCTGAAATTGCACCAGAGCAGAGCGATAGTGCTTCCTCGCCTCCTCTCCCAAGCCAAAGAACGCGAACACAACAAGGCCGGCGACAACGAACATCCACCTCGACACCTCCAAGCCTCCGGCACCTGGAGCGGCCCTCCACATCTCATCCGTATACGCCTCCACGCGCCAGAAATCGTAGTGCGTGTCGTCCCACGAGATCCAGGTAGCGAGACCGTATCGGGTGTCCTCAATCAGCGTGTAGAGGTTGAGAGAGACGGTGAAAAGGAGAGTTGCGGTAGACAGCATTATGAGGCGCAAGCATATGCCGCGGGACATGGGGCCAGTATTTGCCCTTCGGCGCTTCTGCGTGAAGATGCGGATGAGGAGAACTACGATGTCATCGTTAGCCCACGCAAATGGACGAGTATGGCGGCCAGACGTACCGCAATACACGCCGGCTATAACGCCGAGAATTATAGGAGGACCACGTAGGATAAGGACGGCAGGGCCCGTCATGTAGGTGTTGAGCATGCAACCATAGTTTTCGTAAATATCATATCGGTGACCCTGCACGATGTATTCTGGAAACACGTTAGACGTAGAGGATCAGAATGAGATCGCCCATGCTCACGTAGACCCATAAGAACACACGGAAGGACTACGGCGATGAGCACGTCTACGATCACCCAGTGTCGCTTCTGAAGGAGGATTGAGTATGGTGAACGCGACAGAGGGGGCTAGCACGCACGCTAGTCTTGGAGGACACGTCACTGGAGCGGACAATATGGTACAACCGACGTTGTATGCAGAGCGTCGCAGCTTCGAGACCATATGGAACGGCTACCATGATGCGTCCGCCTATACGGCCACTGAATCAGCGAATTGCCTCATGCAAGAGTGTTCTGTACGCACTGAAGTCGCACCAGGCCGGGATCGGATCGTTGATGTTGCCGTTCCACACGACCGCGTCCACATACAGGATGATGCTCCCGACAGCAACCCAGCCAATGTATATACAGACCCCGCTGTTCCAAGCTACGTGCGCATTGTTAGCATCCCTCTCGTACTTCACGATTTCCCCGCACACCTTGGAGATGCCACGGAAGCGGGACAAGCACAAGAATGAACGTGACGAAGGCAAAGAACGCAAACGCGACGTTCGCTGCCGACATAATGATATCGTAGGGAGTGGGGGAGCAGGGCCCGGGGAGAGGGAGGAGAGGGAGAGAGGCGGAAGACGGGAAGAACGAAAGAATCGAGGTGATGGGCGAGAACAAGCGTCGTAACAGTCTCCAGGGCCAGAACAACGACCGTTATATGGTCGCTAGGAAGTCTTCCGGAGTTCACCAATTGCGGCATGTCGTTGTGCCCATATAAGGGAATCCACCTTGCGGTCCTTGTTCCCAACGGGGAAACCGTGGGTGCGGACCCTAAAATGCGCCTTGGGCTACCCCAACACGTTGTCCGGGATATGTGCGCTGATACTGCGCCATCGTGAGTATGCATTCCACTGGGTACGAACAGGGTAAAGTAGAGACACAAGGGTCCCCTGGAGATGGATAATCGATATGCGGCTACAGGAATATCAGTGCTGCAATGCCTCCAGGCGCTTCACAACGTCGTCCACCCGGCTGTCGAGGCCCTCGACATTGCCCTTCACCAGATCCCTGTTCTCCTTCAGGCTGTTCTCTACGCTGGCAACCGCGCTCTCCAAGTCATTGAGCGTTTCCCGCATCTTCCTCTGCTCCTCCTCGAGTCCTTCTAGCGTAGATTGGAACTCGGCGGCAGATGTGTGCAGCTGCGACAGCGTCCTCAGGCGAGTGAGGATGTGCGGGATGTGCGGCAGAGCGGGTGACAGGCGGTTCAGCAACGGCATCAGTTGTTCGGAGAGTGGTGAAGGGGCAGCCGCTTGCGACTGGTCCTTCGTCTGGGAAGGATGCCTCCGATGGCCATGCTGAGCTTGTGAGACGCGATCCAAGTCCGTGAGAAGGACCTTGAGGCGGCGAGATATCGAGTCGATGTGACGAGGTTGCGTGAGCAGTGTTAACTGCGAGTGCAATCGGCTGAGCATGGGCAACAGCGGGGCCGGCAGCGGCGTCGTCTGGTCAAGGTCGTTAGCATCCGCAACTCCCTCACCATCCCACACCCACTCACCTCATCCAGCACCGTCGTCGTCGCCCCCACCAGCTTCTCCAGCTCGCCCACCCTCTTATCAATCTCCACCACGCTCCTCACCTCCGCCTTCTCCTCCCCCTTCTTCGGCTTCTCCTTGCCCTCGCCTCCCTCCCCTTCGCCCACACGCAACTTCTCCGCCTCCTCGCTCGTAATCATCTCCACCAACCGCCCCCTCCCCTCCTTATCCTTCTTAATCTGCCCCAGCCTCCTCCGCACATCCGTCAGGCCGCGTATAAGCTCGCCCGGATCGATGTTCTCCTCGCTCACGATCTTCTCCTTCGCGGACTCGCTGACCTCGGCCTCGATGCTCTCGAGCTCGGCCTGGATAGCCAGCAGGCGCTTGGAGATCGGTACGGGCCGTTCCTTGCTCGGGGACCGCGACTGGGAACGCGAGGGGGATGGGGGATATGTGTAGCGCGAGCGGAAGCGTTCTGCGTGAGGTTCAGGTTAGGGATGAAAGGTCGACGAGATGGTAGAAACGCACCTCTGCGCTGCTCTGCCTTGCGAAACTTCTTCTGCGCGTCTTCTGGATTGACTGTTCGGGTATCTAGCTCGTCTGGGTTGGCCTGCCTGAAAGCACTGTCCGTCGTGCGCATGCGCGACCGGGAGGGAATATCGTCCTCGTCATCGTCGCCTTTCTAGGGGACGCATCTCAGAGTCAGGAGGAAATGCATCCTCAGGAGCTACTCACGGAGTTTGCAACATTCGAGTTGAAGGTCTCCTCTGTCTCGTAGATGTCCGGCGCCGTGTCCTGGGTGGCGCGTCAAGCGTATGCAAAGTACGAAGCAATTCCTTTCTCGCACGATGTCGGGCAGATTGGCATATTTCGTCGAGCTCATCTTTCGCAGCGTGCAGAGCAAATACAATGGGTATCGGTGGGAGACGCGGAGATGTCAAGTCGCGCGTCGCAGCGCGTAAAGGCACGTGGCATACTGGCAGTGATCTCGTCGTGAGTGGACCCACAACAGCAAATAAAGCCAAATTTCAGGCACTAGAGAAGCGTCGGCTTCGCCTCCTGTCGACCTTGCTTGCCAAGACCATGAGACTATGCGAGTATGCGAGTAGTCTCAGAGTGTCTCAGTCGATACCTAATTACGGACAAGTGGTCGAAGGCACGAAGAACAAGTCGGACTGAGAATGTCCGTGTGGTACACACCGCATGCGCGATTGCATGGTCGACGCCGTAGAACGCGTCGGCATTGCCGAACGCAGAGGTAATGAGGCTTCGGAGCTTGTACTTCGTAGAAATTGTAGCGAAATGAGACTCGGAGGACCATTGCCTCGACTGGAGCCGGGGAAAGATTTGAGCACTTTCGTGGCTACGAACTACGGGTATAAAAGTCCTCGAACTCGGGCATGTGTGATGACCGCAGAGGACGATCCGTAATCTCGGCAACCTCGAGCAACGCTGCCGAGCTGACCCATCTCTCCTCTGCTTGCCCAGGTTGACGGGTTGAGCTGTCTAGCACAGAAGCTGTCCGTAAATTTCTTTAAATAGCTCTATTGACAACAACCATATCACTACGGCCTGCACTCGCATCGACAGCTTCGACTACACACCGCCAGCGCGTACCGTCATCGTTGGCGACCACATAATCCGACGCAAGCACCATTTCGGCAGCTGGTTTCCAATCTGATGTTTCTCGCTCTGGTACTTGTACGTCTCCGTTGATCCCTCTAAGATGGTGCCTACCGAGAGCTCATTTACCACCTCACCGACCGCGAAGTCCATTTTTCTTTGCAGGTTCGCGACGTAGTGCTTGCGTGACACGGCAAGAGCTTTCTTCATCGGCGTGAAGACTGCGCGGCGGGTGAGATGGAGTTGCAGATCACGTCCAGCTGTACAAGGAAGGTCAAGGAGCGGTACGGGACGTTGAAGGAGGAGGCATCGGACATTGAAACTGCGCGAGGATCTCTGGTAGCTCTGCGCGATCTGGTCGCGTACAAGAGAGGTCGAGATTTTCTTGGAAATGAGGGGCTTGGAGGGTGTGCTGCTGTTGGTTTGCTGCCGAGACGCGAATGTCGAGTTGATGAGAGACGACCCAGACACGGAGCACCAGGACACGCTGGATATCTGCTTTGAGGACCGGATAGGACGCCAGGAGATAGAAGCAAGCTCAGCCATGGGTCGTCGGCTAGTAACACCAATTTTAGAGTTCCGTCGACTGTCCGCTGTGGGTCCTTGCCTCTCTTGTCCACGTAATTGGATCTGTGGGTCCATTAGGCGCTTGGCCGACCAAGAACGTCGTCCAGTCCTGCGTGCCGTGCCAGCAGCAGCAGCAGCAGCAGCGTGCGCTTTCGAGCTCTGAAATCTGGCGCGCCCATTGAGAGTCCGTTATCCGTGCAGCATCATTGGAGTCCATTTGCGCCGTGACGTTTCGTGATATTTTCAAGGCGCCGGTCACCTCTCGAATGAGCTGCGGCGTTGCTTGCAATTGGCCGCTAAATCCGTATTGGATCGACGTATGTTTGCTGCTGACTGCGACTGTGCAGGAGAGTCAAGCTAGAGCATTTCACGTAGATGGTCGAATAACATCACAAGTCTCGTGGTTAAGGGAGTAATGGAAAGGGATCGGTGGGATCTCGATCGAGCCTTATTCGTGTGTTTGTACGTGTGTGCAAAATAGAATCCGATCAGACAATAAGACCCCTCCATAAGACCTTGCAAGCAAGGTAATAAGGTCTGCTCTTCTCACTTGAAACGAAAAGGACCGCAGCAAATGGACTCCAAAAAGCACGATTATAGCAGTGATATATGGTACAGCGTTCCGTCGACTTCAATGATATATGCTACACTTGGATTTGGTACGTTCAAGCGCCTTTACAGGGCACCGTGCTCCTCAAGGAACTGCCGAGCATGCTGCTTGGCGCCTTCCGACACCCGTGGGTCTAGCAAGGCCATTAGTACAAGTGCCATGGAAAGACGAAGGGGACGACGTACTGCTGAGGGCCGCCTTGTACCCCGCGAGTTGGCGCTTCTCGTGCTCGTCAACACCGTACTCAGTCGATCCCGACCGATCATACGCGTCCAGGATCTCGCGCGCGTGCGCCTTTGCCTGGTCCGACGTGTTGTCGTCTACGGGACGCGTGAGCTGCCCATTCACTATGCACAACTTGGGTGAAGATCGCTCACTATGCAACGTAGCCTTGTATCCACTAATCACACGGTTCGTGTGCTCGTCGTCCGTCGCCGTGGATGCCTGCCCACCGGGGCGCTCGTAGCCCATCTGGTCGAGCTGCCGCGCCGCATTGTCCTTCGCGTCCTCGGACACGTTGGGATTCGCGATGGAGGCCTTGAGGCCGCGGGCGACGTTCTTGGGGTCCTTGTCTGCGTCGACCGTCAGCAAGATGCCCAACGCGCTTGACGGCTGCACAACGCGCTTGACCGCGCTTGAAAGCTGCACAACGCACCAGTGTACGACATGTTGGTGAGTGTGAGTTGCTTGTGGTAGTGGTGATGGAGTGTGGAAGAGTGGTAGGTGAACAGAACTTGGTGGATGAAGCGACCGGCCTCTGGTTATATACGCTCGCGGTGGAGCATTCGCGTCACCTTCCTCAGTAGGTGACATACGGTGAGCTCAGTACTCGCGTCACTCGACATGTGATCGCGTTTGCATGGAACGGAGTGATGAATGGGGAGTCGAACCTTGTCGCAACCGAACAATGGAAGTGAGTTGAGGAGATTGGCGCCATGAAAGTGGTGTCTTCTCTATCCCAACAAAACCTTATGTGTGCCTGGACTACATCAATGTCTACCACAGAGGATGGCAAGCTAATGCAGCTATGATCGCAGGTAATGGCGCAGAATACGATATTGCATGATGCAGCTAAAGTGGAGGACTTTGTGTGACTCACTGATGGCGAGGCAAACACAATCAAGCAACGACGAGCCACTGACGCAGTTGACGTCATCCTCGACCATGCTCTGGTGACGCAGCTGGACGCGCTCGAGGATGCTCGCGACGCGACGCGTCGCGTCGCGGTCTCCAAAGCTACCTGCATATTTCATCCTTCCGCTTCATCTCTTCCCAAAGCATGAATCAAAAAAGGTGTCTCATTATTTTGGCATCGCCAGCCGTATTATTCCTGGCAGAAAATTCGTGTGCGGTACAGTCGTATCGAGTCTACAGGGGTCATACATAGAGTACAAAATAATGTGGTAGTGAAAATAGCCGCCTCGCTCCTGGTATATAGAAGTGTCCCTAGACAGCCAAGCGCAAGGCGAAAAGCACATAGGAATAGGTAAAGATAGCAACGCTGACCTGCCCACGAACGCAAAGGCCTCAGCCAAGAAAGCGCAGGCCTCCCCCACGAAAGCAAACCAAGTCTATCATGTTCTCCCCCACACGCGCTACCGCATGGCGGCGAAAAGTCTATCCGCTCCGTCATACGACGGGCGTGGAGGATTCGGTGTTGCTCTTCGTGGAGTCGGCGCCGTTGCCAGCGAGGGCCTTGCCCGTCTTCGACCGTGCGCCGTGATGGTCGATGTAGGAGAGCGCCTCCCACATGACGAATGTGCTGGACGGATCTTAGCGAACATGAATAGCGCGAGGACAGAAAGGTACACACCTTGCGAACGTGGACACTGTGCCTATCCAGAGCAGGACGACGGATGCTACGCAGTACGCGTTATGCCTGTAGACTGAAGGGGAGTTAGCACGGGTATGAGCCTAGTTCTGAGGGTGGACGTACCAAGATGGGGACCGCCAACGATAGCGAGGACGCTTGCTGCCTCTGCCCCACTAATTCCCGTGATATGTGCGGCCCGGGTCGCAACGATGACCTGGAACGCTTCACGTCAGTCGCCATTGTCAATACCGAAGGAGAAGGGCCGACGCACAGTCATCGCGATCGCGTCCGCCAACGCCATTATGCACGCCAGGACGCTGCACGCCTTCCATGCCCGCTTGACCGACAGCGACTCTGCCCGCTCTGGCCAGATAAGGTCGAAGAAGAAGCCGCTGCCGAAGATGGTCGCGACGTATATGCCGACGAAAATGTTGTACGACGCAACCCCAATGAAGTCGTTGTTGTACTCGGACGCGCCGGGGTGCACCCGCTGGATGCCGTTCTGCTGATCGACATAATCTACGCGCGACCGGTTAGCGTCCGCCCTGTCCCCTCATGCACAACACAACGCACCAGAGAGCGCCGCCGTGCCCACCGACTCGGAGACGACGTGGAAGACCATCGCGAGCTGGTAGACGATGACCTTGGTGCGCCGGCGATGGAAGTCGGTGCTCCACATATTCTTCGAGCCAAACTTGGCGAAGGTGAATTCGCTCAGGTCGAGTCCCCATATCTTGACCATGGTGAACGAGCGGCGGGCTTGTGGTCTGAGGGAGGGTAGGACTGAGGGGGGCTTGGCAGCGGCGGAGCGCTGGGCGGGAGGAGGACGAGTGAAGTCAAGTGGTGGTCCGACGCAAAAAGGCCCGGAGCATTATAAAGCCAGCAAGTCGGTGTAGCTTCCAGTAGGTCATCGTCCCGGCCGCACGTCATTTCAGTGGATCCGAGCCCTAATGGGGTATGTTGCCCCTTGCCTACCCCGTCCGGCGCTTGCCGCCTCTCGCTCTTCGCTCCTCGACCATTCACTCGTGCGCGCACGCACCACTTGTACCCAGCAACGACGCTGCCTGCACGCTACGTCGCTGCCTCGAGGCGCTACCGCTGCGCTCCCTACGTTTGCTCATCGCTCCGTATGTCGGCGCCCACTAATCTGTCGATCCCGATATCTTCCTCCGGCCGGGCTCACAACGGACGGGACAACTCGGCGGCGCGAAATGCAAGACATCGAATACAAGGCCACCCTGAAGCTCGTCGACCACTCCTTCTGACCTTTAGCTCACTGCCCTCGACCGTCCTCCGTCCGCTGAAGCCTCCGATTGTCAAGGACGCGTCGGTGACGACCTGACGTCTGCACGACGACATAGTTATCTCAGGCTTTGGCACCAAACCAGCGTGCGGATTGCCGCCGTTATCGCCGTCGCCGTTGGGGCTATCTGCTCTTCATCCACTCCTTCGGCAGTACAACACTGGCCTGGTCGGCACGGACGCGCCTCACGCGATGGCCCAAATCTGAAGCACGGTCCAACGTGAATGACGGCACGGCCATACTCTGCGTCGCTTCAAAGTCGTAAACCTAGCACGCGCGCATCATACACCATGCGGCACCAATGCGGCACCGACTATCACTCTTGCCATCGACACAAGTCACCTGCATCGTCCGCGTCTGATACTGCACGCCCTGCACTGCGCAGGACCCAGTCATCCTATCTACCGGAGAGAGCATCCGGACTGTAACTTCAAAAACAGCGAGTGTGTCCAGCAGGTGGTCTCAGCGGTTCGATCAAGGCGAGCGGGCCGTGAGGTGAAGTTATCGGGCCTGATCAATGTTCTCAGTGTAGACATTCTCAGACTCGCAAGTACGATCCTCGTATACATTACTGATAGAGTCGGACTTCTGCTCAAACAATAAGTTCAAGTGAAGTCTGCGTGTTCGGACGAGTTCGAGCTAGCGTTGGTAATGACCTGAACGCCGTTCCACATTGTCCCTCGTGCTATAGCTTACGGATGTATAGTCCAGTGAAAATTGACTTCTCGCTTCCGATGCGATAGGTAGCTATAGGTCAGTTGAGCCTACGGTACGTCCAAGTGTCAGTTAACACGAATATGAATCGGCATCTCATGACTTTTCTAGCCTGCCGTTCCGGGTATAAGCAGGTGAGGGACGCCACCAGCCAGTATAAGAGATGCAGCGGCGGTCTGAACAGTACAATATCACTCTCCCTGACCCTTCGAGCTCATCGCGACTTTGCTAGGCTGTCCCGCTGCACCACATGTACGTCTACAATGGAAAGCTGAACTGGTACGAGTACGCCGTAGACGAATGTTTTACCGTCGTCTTCCCCGCCGGCTTCGCCCTCAAGGACCCCGTCTGTGCGTACTGGCAGTGGACCCAGAATGCGGCTGGCGATATAAAGCAGAACCAACAACAGGTATGCCGTACCAGTTGTGCGCCGCACCCCGTTGACGCAACGCACCTCCCCCCTCTAGTTCGCCACCATTGACAGCGTCACGCGGACGGCGGACGAGTACGCAATCTCGTTCTCCTTTGGCTACTATTCCTTCGCAGGCACCGTCGCCGCCGACCTCCAGTTGGTGACGCTGCGAATGCGCAATCCGACTGGGGAGACGTCCGCCCCCGCGACGCTGCAGGTGCAGCTCGCGGACGAGTGTCGGGTGCCGTCCGCGACGGTGTACACCACCAAGCTCACCTACTCATCGTACGCCATCGACGAGATGGCGACGCTCGTCATGCCGCGCGGTCTCGCGGACGGCGCGCCCGTCGGCCTGTTCTACCAATGGACAGAGGACGCTGCGGGCAGGCGCAAGCAAAATGCGTGTGTGAAGGGCACATTTCGCACCGTCGTCGAGACAGACGAGTGGACGCAGGGCACGTTCGACGACGGGACCTACCTGTACGAGACTGCGATATATCCCGACGGCGCGCGGGCGACGATCTACATGGGCAACATGCGCGGGGACGGCGTCCTGATGAAGGCGTGGCGCGCCGACTTTAGGCAGGCGCACTCGAAGAAGGCGCGTGTCTGAGCCGTGCGTGGTACCCCGCCGCTGACTCGCCGCTACCAGGCCGTCCTCCTCCGTTTCGGAACGGGCACGGACAGAGGTCTATTCCTCCTGCGCGACACGCTCACGCAGAATTTGGGTTTCAACGCCGATGACGTTCGGATGCTGTACTTCAACGAGGAGCCAAAAGGTCGGCCCGCCGTGTGCTCGGATGGGCAGGAGCCGCCCATGGCGTCGCGCTTCAGGCCGTGGTTTGAGAGCATGGTTGGGAGCGCAAAGCCGGGCGAGGTGTGCTTCCTGTATGTGGACGCTGACAGGTCCGAGGGCACAGGTGGCACAGACGAGGGCTGGATCATGGCCCGCGACAGTGCCGGGCTTTTTAAGGAGGTCGTGCCGGCTGCTTGGGTGGCGGAAACTATACGAGGCGTGCGCCCTACTCCCTGCCTTGATTCCTCAGCTGATTAGCGTCTGCCTCAGAATCTGGCGGCTGGCGTGAACTTGACGATCCTCTCCTCGTCGGGCGTGGGCATCGACGCGCTAGGCACGCAGCGCGGCGTGCTGCTTGCCGGCTGTCACGAGACGCAGTCGAGCGCTAAGGCGCCGCGCGCTAAGGTCGGCGACGTTGACCCTTGGGCGCATGCGATAGTGCGCGTCATCGACAACCAGGTGCGTCCACTCAATCTCACCGCCGTGCCCCAAGCATACCCTCTGTGCGCTTGTGGCTCACCGATTGCTCTCGGGGTGCGCCCCACGCAATTAAGGGTTCCATCCATGCTCTAACCCCCCGTATCTGGAGTATCCCCTGCTGATTGGGCTTCCTTCTCAACCTATTCCAGATCAGCCACAAGCGTGGCGTTCCCACCTACTCCACGCTTTTCGACAACGCCAAACGATACAAGCAGTTCCAGCGCGGCGACTCCAAGGGCGCATACATGGGGCCTAGCCCGAACGAACTGCAGCCCATCCCGCGTCACGATGTTTCGGGTGCGGACCCACTAAAACTGGGTGCGGTCTCAAGCCACCAGGACCCCCAGCTCGTCTTTCGCAGCGACTACCTCGACCCGGACGAGGAGCGGTTCCTCTGTCCGCTCGTCGCGCCAGGTGAAAGGCGCGCTGAGGGCAAGGGTGTGCGCTTTCCGAGGGATCAGTACCCGCGGGAGGATCAGAATGAGGAGGGCGATCAGGATCGTTCAGAGGATTGGTACCGTATCGTGTCGACCTGACGAAACCTTGGCCTCTGTTGTAGAAACCTGAATCCGTTGGCCAGTCATGCATTGAACACACAACAAAGTGATTCGTAATATTATTCCTCGAAGAATACCTGCTTGTATGGCGTGTGGCACCAACTTCACCTCACTAATATATCGCTCAGAGATTCACAGTCATCACCGGACAAAGGGAAGATGAGCAAACGGTACCCATATCACTCTATGAGCAGCGTCACATCACGCCGGCCCGTGGAGGCGGATCCAAATTTGGAACACAGTCCGAACGTCCTCTACGCTACTTGAGCACCCTTACACTAATTCTTCTGCTCTGGACCTGCTCTTCAAGTGGATGGAATCATACTGGGCAAGGTCTGCTCGCCAATTCCGATTTCTTGTCGCTGGACAAGCCCTACACTTTGAAAGCACCGGCACGACGGGCCCGATTGCCGATGTGAATTCGTGAGTACTCATGGTGCCCGTTTCGGCGTCCTCGCAGCCTTTCTTCATTTCCATGAGCATGTTAGCGTGTCCGCGCATTCGTAGCAGCTCAGTGTTGTTCTTTGAGATCATAGCCACATTCGTGAATATTTGTGAAGCAGGCAAGGGTCGGGGCGCTCATTCAATTTTCTTGTGCGACGCGGCGGCATGGCAATGCTGACCGAGACCGATTGCTTATTGAGTGCTTGATCACTGTAACCTACATGGCCGCCGTTGGTCAGGCCGGCCAGGAGGCGGTTGCCCTTGTCCTCCTACTCTTCGGCCCCGTCTTCCCTGTGCCTCCTTGCCACACGCTTTCTCCAGTCCCGTTTTCTTCTGCAGTCTGGTGAGTGTCGTGCCGAGCATCTCGGGGATCTGGCTTTTCTGGCGAGCTGTGGAGGCGGAGGAGTGGTGGCTCTTTGTAGTCTTGGAAGGCAATTCGTTCGCCTCATGGCCCGAGCGCGCTGCCTCGAGGCGGCTCTCAAGCGCTCTTGCCCTATGCCCCCGACCCCGGACGACCCTCTGTGGGATGACTCGTCACAGTGCGCCCGAGCATGGTGGAACGAGGTGTTATGTATCACCGCTCGTCCGCCACACTTGCCGCGTATAAAGCATCAGTGCTTAACAGCTTACTGACCACCCTCTTCACAGTAATCCCTGAATACCCAACATGACCGACAACGCTTCTCACAGGCTTGATCTTCGTGTCGGCGGCAAGTATAGACTTGGCAAAAAGATTGGCTCTGGCTCTTTCGGTGCGTGGCATGCGCGGCTTTCTGTGGCAATGCGTACTGAGGACATCCAGGTGATGTCTACCTCGGTATCAACATCATCTCTGGCGAGGAAGTCGCCATCAAGCTCGAGTCCGTCAAGGCCAAACACCCTCAGCTCGAATATGAGGCCAAGGTCCTCAAGACCCTCGCGGGCGGTGTTGGCGTAACCTTCGTGCGGTGGTTCGGCACTGAGTGCGATTACAACGGCATGGTCATCGATTTGCTCGGTCCCTCCCTCGAGGATCTCTTCAACTTCTGCAACCGGAAGTTCAGCCTGAAGACCGTCCTCCTCTTGGCCGATCAGCTCGTAAGTGGGTGTCCCAACCATGGTATATACTGTCCTCTGACCCCTTCCGAAGATCTCCCGCATCGAGTACGTGCACTCGCGCAACTTCATCCATCGCGACATCAAGCCCGACAACTTCCTGATGGGCATTGGCAAGCGCGGCAACCAGGTCAACATCATTGACTTTGGTCTCGCTAAAAAGTTTCGCGACCCCAAGACGCACTTGCACATCCCGTACAGGGAGAACAAGAACCTGACGGGCACTGCTCGTTACACCTCGATCAACACACACTTGGGTGTTGAGCAGGCTCGCCGCGATGACCTCGAGTCGCTCGCGTACGTCCTCATGTACTTCCTCCGTGGCGCGCTGCCGTGGCAGGGCCTCAAAGCTGCCACCAAGAAGCAGAAGTACGACCGTATCATGGAGAAGAAGATGACGACGCCCACCGACCTGCTCTGCCGTGGCTTCCCCAACGAGTTTGGCATCTTCCTCAACTACACTCGCGCGCTGCGCTTCGACGACAAGCCTGACTACTCGTACCTCCGCAAGCTCTTCCGCGACCTCTTCGTTCGCGAGGGCTACCAGTACGACTACGTCTTCGACTGGAGCGTCCAGCGTGCCCAGGATGAGAGCAGTGGCAAGAGTGGCACCCGCCGCAAGGTCGTCCAGGAGGACGACGAGCACCGCGCGCCCGACCGCATGTGGGTGTGGCCCGCGCAGACCTTCGGAACAATAGCTTGCTAACAATATGCAGGCTTCGCTCTCAGACGCGTCAGGCTCAGCAGACCCCGGGTGCCGTCGGCCAGCAGCGCGCCGGTCGTGGACGTGACGCCGACCTCTGGTAAATGAACAGAGTTCATCGCGCTTGGTGTTGAGAGGACGTCTGGATCTGGGGTTGTGTGTCGCTGTTTTCTTGCACGAAGATCAGCGCGCCCCGAGTGGCGACCAAGATAGTTTGGGGGCGGAGGGCAGGTGTTATCAGGGAAATCAGGCTTGGTCGCCGAGAGAGATCCGGAGGGGTCGAGAGAAATGGAGTGCGAGGACGCTGGGTTCTTCGCGGGGGGATGCGGTCAACGACGATGGGGCACGCCAGGCTCTGCCGTGTTATGCGTGCTCATCGTCATCACGGCTGTCCGCTCCCTTCCCGCCACCACCACTCAGGTCGTCGTCCGATGGCATCGCTCCGAGGTGCTCTACAGGACATGTAGACGACAACAACATACGCCACACTGCCTCCACTCGACAAAGCACTCATAACTAGTCTGCGACTTCAATCTGCGTACGGACGCTTTTCTTCTCTTTCTCTTCCCGCATCGAATCATAGGTTCGATGTTGCTGCTCTATCTCCATCCTCCCATATCGCTCGCGCTCACCATACATCAATACTGCAGCGCGCCCGTACGCTACCTATATATTCGGCATCCCACAGTTGCCCTAAGCTGTCGCTGTCTTCACTGTTTATACTGTCTCGCTTATGTACATTTATGATCGACACTCCCTCCCATTCCCATCATCTTTCCGTTCACGACTCATACGTACCATCCACTTCCCGAGCACTTGTTGTCCTCTGATCCCCGACCCTTCGTACGATGAGGGGGCGAGTGGGGTTGGAGAGGGCGCCGCGATGAGGGCGCGAAGGTGAGGCCCTGGAGAGGTTGATTTGTTGCATACGTCCCGGGTTACTCATTGTCGTCTCGGGTAATAGAATGCAGCTGCGTCGAAGGATATTCTTGTAGACTCTCAGCGAGCGAGGACAAGCGCTAATCGACGGTGAGTGCGTGGTAGGGATTGTAAGGTTTCCGCACGTCTGCCATAGGAGACTAGCAGATTCACTCGAAATGCGCTCAATATTACCAAGATCAAGCCATGCTGTAAATCAGCAAAGTGAGCTGACGAGATAGCCAAACGGTAGGCTTATGTATCGAAGAAGAGAAACCGCGAACTTAGCGGCGCTCACCGGCCGAAAGAAGTGCTTGCCTGCACCGCTCAAAGCCTCGAATCAGTGAAGTATTCAAGACAATGATCATTTCAGAACCACAGCGCGACTACATTAACTGAGGAGGACAATAAGTAACCGTAAACAGTACAAACAGGAAGTACAGGAGCCCATGGTATGCAAGAAGAGGTAGCCGCGCGGCGGATGTGAAAGTGTGATGGGATGGCATGGATGATAATGGATCGAAAGTCAAGAAATAGAGGACGGTATGGAGACCGAAAGAGGATGGAATGGAGGCCGTGAGAGGAGGAAAGTGGACGGAGCGGAGGCCAAGAATTCGGTGTGTATCATGCGAGTCGGCCGCGGAAAAGTGGATGGATGGGCTGGAGGAGAGATGACAACAGGCGGCGATGGAGGGCAGGACGAGAGCGGAAAACCCGATAAATACGGATATGATGAGCTGATGGGAGATCCTACGCCGCGTTCCCGACGGTGATGTCGAGATTGGGCTGCATGCCGATCAGGTCCATCGCCGTTTTGACGGCCTTGTCGTTATTGACGGCCGCGACGACCGTCTCGTCGATCGACACCAGCCGGGCCTCCTTGCCGCGGGGCGTCTGGGGCTGCACGCTGCCGCCCGCGCTCTCGGAGGACGTGCGGCGGGCGCTGGCACGAGCACGAGTGCCGCGCGTGTTGCGGGGGAGCGGCTCGGCGGCGGACTCTGGCGTGGGCGGAACATCGGCGGCCGGGCCGGGCGAGCCGACGTCCGCCTGATCCTTGGCCTGCCGGCTACGCACAGCGCGACGTTTGGTGGCCGGATAGGGCGCGTCGGCGTCGTCGACAGCAGCGCGCTTGCGCTTCGCAGCAGCGGAGCCCCCGCCGCCGCCGGCCGCGCGACGCTTGCGCGGGGTCGGCTTGCTGGCTGCCGGGGCCGGGGGACTGACGGCGGGCTCAGCGATCGGGGCGACCGTCACGGCGTCGCGCAGCTTCGAAGCGCCATTGCGTTTGGCACGACTGCCAGACTTGCCGCCCGCAAGCTGGGAGTCTTCGATGATTGGAAGGCCATGGGCGAGCGCGTCAAGCGGAGGTAGTGATGTCGCCAACTTCCCATGAGGGTGGTAAAGGGGCAGGTGGTCTTTCGATGTGCGTCTGCGCGTCTTGACAGTGCTAGCCACGGGAGGGCGCAGGACCCGAGGGATGGTGCGAGCAGATGGGGGTGACGTGGACGACGACTCGGAAGACGTCGACTCGTTGCTGGACGCGGTGGTCGTCCGGCGCATGATGATGGGCCCCGACGCGCAGTCGTCAGTCGGGGAGCGGTAGGTGTGGGAGGGCTTGCGGCGCATGATGGACATGGCGATTGGATTCGTAGGTGGCGATTCTGGTGGGGGCGTCAGCCTGCTGTGGGAGCGCGGGGAGGTGCTGTAGGCGACGCACCGATTGCCCAGCGGACTTCCCGAATGAGAAGTGGGTGTATGGTGCTTTCTCTGTCTGCTGCTGGTGATGGGCAGCGGGCTGCGAGGCGGGGGCGGGTTGGACAAGGTCCTGCGATTGGGAGACGCGGTCTAGCCTGTATGGGAATTAGCTGCTGTGCGCCGCTGACTATGTGCGAAAGGCTCACAGATTCGCGTCGGGGAGGATGCTGGGGACGTCGGCGGTGGCGAGGGCGGCGATGCTGTGCTTGCGTGCTCGTTTGTGAACGGGGGCAAGGGCAAGCGATTTCGACGACTCGGGACGATCAATAAAAGCCAATAACCAATTCCCCGCACGTGCGCACGCCACACAAGGGATCACAAAATAGGAATCCTTTCAATCATCGGCCCTGACACTGATTGTACCCGCCCAACCCAGTGCTCATCCCTGTCTCGACGCAGACGTCCACTGCTCCTCGACGTATCATGCAGCCCTTATCACCACGAGCAAGGATATCAAGTGCGATCCGCAATGATCACCGTTAGACGCTAAGGGATGTGGTAAATGAGGCTGTTCCAGACTAAATCCATGCAAGTACAAGCAAGTCTACAATACATGTCCATCATGCACCACTACGGGCCAGCAACTGACTGAAAGATACCATGTACTTTTCGCAGATCGCAGAGAAGTAGAATTCGTGCTCTGCGTTGTGAGGATGTACAAGGTTGTGCTGGAACGCAGATCAGCATGCAGCCATCCGAACAACTGATGATGAGACGTACCGCGATCTCATGCGCAAGCGTGAAGTAGTTCGACACGAACGCTTGAGCAAGCTTTCCTTGACGGACCTCCTGGTCGTCTAGATCGACTCTGGTCAGCGATGCAACCTGCCATGAGCGGCGCGCTGGACTTACGCCAAGCCTCATAGTACCGCAAGTTGAGGAAGATACTGCCGTTCCGATTGAACGCAATGACACCTCCCGACATGTCCATGAACAAGTGCAAGCTCGAAAGCGGCAGTTGGTAGACATGCGCGAGAGGCATGATCACCCCAATGAACCGATTCAGCGCATCGCGCTTCCTCTCCAGGAAGGTAGGCTTGTCGGGTACGTCTGTAGAAGTGTGAGTACACCGATCTCCCATCGCCTAGCCGACGCTGCCTACCTGGCGTCGCGTAGACCCTGAAAGAGCTTATAGTCCCTGTGACGGAAGTCGAACATCAGCCACGTGGTGGACCTACAATTCAAGGGACCTACCCAGCTGCGTCAAGTCGCCAACCTGGTTCGAGATATCGCAGTAGCCCTCATTCAGCGCCTCCCGCACGCGCTCCATATGCTCCTGCCCGTTCTTAATCACATTCGCTGACTCCGCGCGGCACCCTTGCATCGCAATGTCGACGTTGCGGTCTGCGCATGCGTTAGTTCCTTGAGACTCCCGTCTCTGCCCAATTTACCCACCGATATTGGACCAGGGCGTGACCGCCGGCCCTTGTGGTTGAGGCTGTGGTGTCATGGTGCCGCCCATAGATGGCCCGGGCGTGGGCGTGGGCAGTGCGCCGAACTTGTTCTTCCACTTCTGCAGTGTCGACTGAGGCCGCGAGAGAGATTCCGTCACAGAATCCATGATCGACGGGGCCTTCTCTACCGCAGTCGCAGACGAGTCCGTCGAGTCCCGCGCCGCTATCGGGAGCGGAGGCTGGGATATAGGTGGCTTAGCGTCCTTCGGCGGTGCAGGCGGTGCGAATCCGCCCGGCACGGAGGGCGTGTTTTCTTCTTCCTGCCTCTGCCGCGCGGACAGAAGAGTCGCCGCTTTCTGTTGAGCTTCCCTCGCTTCATGATCTGCCTTCTTCTGCCGCAAGATCCTGTCCACTGTATTGCGGTAATGTATCAGTCATCATGCACGTAATATAGACATCCGGGGTGTTGCACTCACCGTTGTACCCACGCCGCTTCAGCGACTTCAAGTCAGTGGACAGAATGGTCATGAATAGCAGCGCATCATGTGCTCTCGGAGACTCGAACAGGATGCGATTCAGCGAAGTCGCAACCCTGCATGAAGATCAGCCCGCGTCTCCTTGGGGTAATTTCGCCTGCACTCACTCATACATGTCGATCTGGGCATTAGTCGCCACCCAGAGCTCAACCTGAGACCCATTTCGTCTCGCTACTGCGCTCGCATCTTGCCGATTCGACAGTCGCAGCCGTCCGAAGTTGAGCGTCTTCGTCACCGCGAGCGTGCCGAAGGAGCGCACGATGAAGTTGTCAGCGGTCAACTGTACGCGCATCGTTCGTGCATGACTGTGATCGTGCAGGAAGAGTGGCAGGCGTTCGAGAACAAGTGCCTTGATGGCCTGTGCGGGCTTATGGTTGGCGACCTCGCCGCCGAAGTTGAAGTCCTCCTTGACAATGGAGCTCAGGCGACGTGAACCAAGATTAGCGTAGAATTCTGGAGGAACATACTTTCAGCGATGTTTGTTAATGCAAAAAGACAGCAACGCACTCTCTAGAATATCCTCCTGCGGTGCAGTGAACAACTTGTCGCCAAAGATTTGCAGCGCGATCGAGTCGTCCGCAACCACAATCTCCTCCGGTCGCTTGAGGTCGTACTGCAGCTCCCAGTCGTCCTCGTCGTCCAGCTCTGCCTCCTCTCTCGTCGCTTGCTTCGGTTTCCGCTGTATGCCAAGCAAGACATTCCCGCGCTTCAACCGCGCCATAGTTGTCGACGAGACCAGCGCGCTGTTCACCGCAATGTTACGCAGCTCGTTCAGGAAGCTGCAAAGGCTTATTAGCACTAAAAAAACATCATGCCAGAACACCCTCGCTCACTTTTGCGGCCCTTCCGAGAGCTGGTAGAACTTGTACGGGTCGGCGAGAAGGATCTGCGCAATTTGCTCAACGGTCGGCTCCTGCTTCGTGCCGACCGCGCTGAGGAAGCCATTCGCCGCTGAGCCGAAGTCGACGAAGACGAAGAGCTTGGAGTGCAGCTGCCCCTTCGACTGGCCGCCGAAGAAGCAGTGCGTGGGAGGGAGGTGACGGAGGACGGATGTTTCCTTGTCGCGCACGGGTACCATGTTCAGGGCGGAGAGGGCCACTAGCTCGGCGTTGGTGAAGTCTAGACGACCGGACGAGTGATTAGCTGGGAATCCTCAGATGATGGCAGATGTCATACCCGCTATACGAGTTGCCAGCAGCGAGAACCACACCTTCGCTTGTTCCTCGTCTTTCGGAGGATTTCTCCTGAGCTGATCCACGAGTAGACCGGTAGGCGGCTGCTTCTGGATCTTCAACTTCGTGACAATGTCCTTCGGTGCGCGGGGATCGACGACGGTGTAGCCGAAGACAATCCACTCGACGTTCGCGTGAACCTAGATTTCCGTAAGTTATGCATAAGCGAAGCCTATGGGTGAACCAACCTCTTTGGGCGTCACCAAGCAGTAGATGGGCTTCTCCATGGTACCCTTCATGGCGGGAATGAAGGCAATGTCCCGGAAGTCGAACGGCTGGTACTCTTTGCTGTACCGCTGGTCGAACTGGGCCAGCAAGTACTTCATGGCGTTCTCGCGGATCTGCAAAACATCAATCCGGGAACTATGCTACTTCGCGTCTGCTGCGCACCTTCTCGTCAGGACTCGCACAAAGACCGACGAGCGTAGCTAAAGGCGGGAATCTTCGAAGGCCCAGCTTGAACAAGAACTGAGCTGCGAGTCGAGTCAGACGCGCTCTACATGAGTTTGACACAACCAGTCACTCACCTTCCTCCGAATTACTCCTCCACTTGACCTGCGTTCCCCAATCGATGACTGGCAGTCCAAGTTGCCGGAATGTGTCCAAAGGTTCGTACAAGTCCTTCGCTAGATACCGTGTTGGCTTGCCATCTTCCTTCTCTACCTGACCTTCAGCGAAGAATGCCTTGGTCGAGACCAGCTTCCGCATCTCTTCTGGTGATAAGGTTGACTGCACCGATGCAAAGTACTTCACGAGCTCGGGAATAGTCCATTGGTTGGTCTTGACCATGCTATCGCAAGCTTCAGCACTCTAGCATTACAGAATCCCAGTCTACTCACCGATCGAAGATGAGCTGCAGCTCAACATGCTTGCGCACGCCGACGTCCTGGAGCAACTTTGCGAGATTGCCGCGCACCGCCGTGCCCGACGGCAAGCTCACAACCGGCAGATCATGGAAGATATCTGCGCTCGCAAAATACGCCTGCTGAGGCTTCTGCAGGCCCGCGCTGGTAGGAACGCACGTCCGATCGCGCAAGAGCGCCAAGGCCTCGCCCTTCAGCGCTGTCGAGAGCGCAGGCCACGCCCGTGCCAACGTTGTGAGCACCCGCTCCGCCCACTCCGGGTTCGCTGTCAAGTCGTACGCCGCGTCCTTCCCCACAACCGCATTGCTGCACAGATGTTCTAGCCACTCGACCGTCGACAGCTCCGTCCACCCGAAGGCAGAGGCCAGAACCAGCGGCTCAAACTGCTTGCTGACCTCCGCAGGCAGAAGATGCGGCGGCAGCGGGCCTTCTGGTAGAATCACTGTCCGCGGCGTTGCATACGTCTCAATTGTGCTGAGCGGCAGGATCCTTTCCCCCTCCGTCCCGCTCCCCAAGATGAGCACCGCCGCGCCCAAAAGCTGCCCACGCACGCTCTCAAACCGTCCCCGATCGAGCTGCTTGCTCGCATCCGCCCACCACCGCATGCATGCGACCATCTCCGCCTCGGGCAGCGGTCGCGCGGCGAGCTCAGCGAGCACATCGTCGAACGTGACATCGCGTATGATCCCACGAGCAGCCAGTGCGCCCACCATCGCGGGCGCGCCGTCGACAATAGCATCAGGGACCGTGGGCAGCTGCTTGAGGAAGGCAGCGTACGAGGCGTGCGGCATGCGGACGGAGCAGTCAGCGCGGACGCCGCTGGTGGAGAGAAGGGGGAAGTTCTTGGCGGGGGAGCAGCCGAAGAAGCCGGCCTCGATGAGGCTGGAGACGGCGTGGGAGGGCGTAGATTGGTGGAAGGTGAAGAACTTGAGGGCGTGGAGGGCGCGGGCGGTCAACCAGGTCTTCAGGTCGTCGCTTGGGGAGGGTCCAGCGCCTTGCCAGAGCTCCCGGATGCCACCTAGCTCGACCTCGTACGCCGCTCGGGCCAATATACCACCCATATGCAGCAGCTCCCGGTTCCATACCGCAACATTGCGATCTCTGCGCGAACTATCAGCAAGTTCAACGGCCTCTTCAGGCGACAACTTACGCTAAATCAATCGTCTCTCGCTCCACCGTCGGAATGAACCTCGACGCCATATGCCCACCCAAGCCCGTCGTCTGCGCCGTTGCATGTCCCTGGAATCAAAGGAGGGAAAATCATCTTCTCATTCATTCGCCCTACATAACAAAGACATACAATGAATAGCTTGGTGGTACCCTGCCCGTCGAGATCCGCTCTTAAACCTTGAAAGATGCTCCCCAGTTCCGATGCAACCTGCTCGTCCTCCTTCTTGCTGGCGTCGTACTCGTCTTTCGCGGTCTGTGATTGGGTCAGCACGCACGCTTGGAGAGAAAGAGGGAGCACTCACGTAGATCAAGCTGTACTTGACAGCCTTCGGCGGGTTCTTCTGCATCGAGCGGTACAGCTCCGCAGTCATCTTCCTATCGAGGGTGACGTCCATATCCATAGTGAAGATCGACAAGTTCACGCTCGTCTCCTCCACCTTCCTCGGATCCTTCCTGATTGGAGGCGGTGGAGGTGGCTGCTGTGGAGTAATTTGCGGGGTCGAGGCAGTTGCAGCAGCAAAAGAAAACAGAGACTTGAAAAAGCCTTGCGGCTTTTCCTCTTTCTTGACAACGGGAGGGCGAAGCGGCGGCTTCTCCGTCCCAGACGTGTACACCCAACGCATGACTTCGGCCTTGATACTGACAGCTGTGAATGTTGAGTAACAAGGGATCTGACGAGCTCAAAGACTTACATGTCGAGCGCAACTGCTTCGCACTCATGATCTTCGCAGGTCCTCGCGTCGTCATGTAGCGAGGGAAGGTCGATGGCTTAGGCAAGCTGTTGCCCTTCGTCAGTCGTACGAGGCGCTTGCCGTCGAGATATACGCTGATTTCGGCAAGCGTCGTCATGAAGGTGATTGAGGAAGCCAGAAAACGCGTGAAGTCGAAGGCGACCGGGATGGGACCAGCTTCACGCAGAGGCATCTCAAAGGACGTCCATTTCTCAGCTTCTGCGTCAGTAGACTCGGTCTCTCCTCTTCGAGCGAGAAGCTGTCGCAGGGTTAACTATGTATTGCGACGGAATGCGATTTCTATTGCTCACCTGGTCCTTATTCCAGTGAAAGCCCATCCACTTGTCTGCGCATCTGATGAGTGGTGGCACCGGTGATATACAGCGGACACGCACTTCCTGAAGTGACGAAAGGCTCCTCGGTGACGGAGAACAAGCTGTAAAAGCCTAAGGATATTCAGCAATGGAAGGAAGGATTTAAGTGAACGCGGCGCACCTACACCGAATGCACCGATCTTGTCTTCGTCAGGGTTTCCCTCCGCTGTCGGTAGTTCAGTGAATTGACTTCAGATATATAGCGTTCCACATACCGATTTTCTTCAGCCGATCCCAGTCCTCATTACGGAACAGAATGCCGTTGTTTTTGAACGTCCATTGGTGTACCTGTATCTTCTTCAAGTCGGGCAAGTCCCCAGAGTCGAGATTTGAGGTTGATGCAGCTTTAGAGCCTTCGCCGGACCTGGCTGAGAGGTACTCCTGCGTCTCAAAGTGTATTTCTACCGCCTTCGACTGCGCGTCGTCCGAGTTCTGCAGCACTACGAACGCGTAATCAGCGAGGATGTGTGTAGTCGTTGCGGCGATCACGTACGTTCGCGGAAGACCGTAAATTCCCCAGAGTAGCGAGCGAGCACCTTGTCAATGAGGGCTCTCTGGTTGACCTGTACGGCCTCGTCGTGACCTTGGTCCCACTTCAGCTGTTGTCAGCGATGGCATACATCCCGCGACTTTACGACGCACCAGAGCGTTCCGGCGGGACGCCATTTTCCTACAGCTTTCTCCCTAGTCCAGCAGAGAGGTAAAGGCTTGCTCGAGTGGACCTTGATACCACGGATGAGGGTGGGACGTAACGAACAGCTCGAGCGGATGGCGCTTTGCAGCGTTCGCCTCAGCGCCACATTGGCCCGGGCCGGGATCCGGACGCACGCGCGGGGAAGTTCCCGGTGACGCGCCACTGCAACGAGACCAAGGCTAGACACTCGACTCGGTTGCGTACGGCGACCAGCAGCCAGCAGACCCCCCGCCATCGTCCTCGGTGTCGCCAGCGGTCACGCAACAATCAATAAATACTGGCCGTGTTTCTGCTCCCGACCATCAGCTGCCCCGCACATCCCTCTGACAGCTGGCGCGAGCACCGTATCGCGCAGCCATGCAGTCGCCTCTTGAAGGACTTCCGGACAATGTCCTCGCAAGTACGTGTATACTATACGACACGGAAACACGCGCCATAATCTCGTCGCGCAGAACTCGTCAAGGCAATCCTCGACAGCGATCCTTCCTACGCACCCCTGTGTCTCGCCTCGCTCGGCTCTCGCATGCACACCGCAAGCGCAGCAGAACTCTTCAGCCACCTTCGCTTACTAGACGACGACGCCGCGCTCGCCCTGGACTACCCAGCGACCTCACAAAGCAACGCATTCGCCTTGCTGTCGACCCCATTGCGATACGGATGGGCAGTAAAGACCTTCGAACTAGGTGACCCCGCACCAGAAGTACTACAAGACGAATCATATCGGCCCATCGACGCCGATGAGCTGGCTCGTCTGCTGAGGGCATGCCCCAATATCGAGGAGTTCTTGTGGAAATCATCAATGCCTCCGCCTGATGGGCTATGCGAGGTGCTGTGGTCGGCATATTTCGTGGCATGCCCGCTGACAGTGGTCCTTTAGATGCTCTTGGACAAGCCTCAACTACGGCGGTTCATCATCAACCCCTCACACCCCCAAGTACCACCTGCTCGTCATCTACTCGCCAAATGGGATGCTCTCTCGCTTCCCTGTCTCTCGGGCTTCTCTTCCCTCGAAATATCTCGGCCTCTCACACAATCAGGGGCTCACTCGCTCTCTACCCTGCTCACTTCGCTCGCCCCGACATTGGAATGTCTCAGCCTTGACTTTGTTTGGCTGGACGACTCAATTTGCGAAGACATCGCGGCCCTAAGTCGCTTGCGCAAGCTACGCTTAAGCACTGGCGGGACCAAGCTGACAGATGGCGGGGTCATCACTCTGATGGAGGGATGCGACGCGCTACAGGAATTCATACTCGACGACGTCGAAGGTAAGGCGCACCATACCGCTCAAGGTCATGACTTCATGCTGTCCACATGTACTCAGGCCGGCTCAGCCGCTGCCTCTGGTCGAAGCCCCTCGCCTACCCGAAGCAACTGCACACCCTGCAAGTAATATTCAGCGAGGCCGAACACCACCATTCGTGGTCGGCTGATCACCTGGCCTCCATTCACGAATTCCCGCTCGAGAACCTGACAAGCCTATCTGTCACCCGCCGCCTCGCCCCGCCAACTTCAGATGGCGTCTACATCAGATCGACCGTCGGCGACGCTGTCGCCCTCCGCCCGTTGCCTCAGGACCTGCTCGACAAGCTATCCTCATGCCCGTCGCTGAGGAATCTCGACCTCGACTTCTGGTCATGCTCGATCTCCGACGTGAAGACGCTGGTGCAAAAATGCCAGCAGCTCGAGGTATCGCTCACGCGACCTGTCGTCGCGCAACCGCTGACCCTCTGCAGACGTTGCGCATATGCCTGGATGCGCCGTTCTTGAAGCTTCTTGGCCTCGCGTCGTCCTTCTCGCTTCTGTCGAACCTGCGCACACTCTCGGTCTCGGTTGTGGAGGAGCATGCGCCAGGCAAGGCGCCCATACCCTCGGTACCAGGACAGCCGATCGCGGTGACAAAGGGCGAAGATGAGTCGATGCCCAGTACCGTACGGGATATCAAGAAATTCGCCCGGAAAATGTCGAAGCTCTCATTACTGGGTGAGGGATCTCTGCTCCTTCACCAGTCAACCATCTGACCGCGCACAGAATGGTACGGCCACGGCGCCCGCGGCTCCTGGGCCATCGAGCATCCCGCCACCGCCTCCAAGCTCGGGCCCACCGTCACCGTCGAGTACTCCCCACCCGCCATCTCTCCGGCCATCTGGGAGATCGTCCGAACGCGCGCCGGCTGGACAACAGACCACCACGACGGCACCGCCTACCGGCGCGCGGGGCACGACTGGGCCGGCGACCTCGCGGACTCGACGATCGCGCGTACGGAGCTCGAACACCCCAGCGTGGTCTCGGGTGTGCGCAAAGCGCGCGCGCCGTCGTTGTCGCTGTCATCCTCGTCTTCCAGCGGGGATACGAGCCTGAACCTGCTGGCGACGCCCCCGTCGTCCGCGCTATTCTCGCCATCCTTCTTGCCTGGGGATGGCAAGGGCGGCCGACCGTCGTCCCCGGAGCTCGCAGACGACCAGATTGCGGACAACGTGCCCTCGATGCAGCGTAGGTCACCCGGGAGACCCCGTCGACGGGTGACGTCCGACTCCGCGAAGAAGTCGACCACGGATAATGCCAGCACCGGCGCGCCGCGCTCCAATAAGGGCGGTGCATCGTCACGGTCGCAGACTGGGTCGGACGCACCACCCAGGCGGGATACGGGCAAGGCGGCGACGGGACGCACGCGTGGCGGGCGCAGAAATTCGGAACGTGCTGGGGGTCCAGGGGAGTCGGTACCGCCTACGACAACGGCACGCGGCGGTGCTCGAGGTGGCCGGCGGCGGATGTCCTCCGCCTGAACTGTGAACGACCAAAGAAAGCGTCGGCTGTGACGCGACGCGCAAGACTTGTTGTCTTTCCAAATTTTCGTCTTCTCTTATGCCTCCCAATCATCTTCGAAATTCATCCTTCCTTCTTTCAACAAGGGAAGGCATTCCTCTTCCTCATCTGCTAGGCCTGTATATATATATGCACCTTTTCGTTCTTCTTTCTCTCACCCTTTATTCCGTCCGGCTCCTGCCAGATGGTGATCCAAATTTCTCGCTTGGTCGTTACTCCCCCAAATGACATGGTCCTCGTCCTACTTTTTCTCCTAACAGTCCTCCTCCCTCTCCCAACGTCCATCGTCCAATATGACCGTTAGCATCCCAGATCATCACTGCCCTCGACCCCCCCTTACCTTGCGATTGGCGTGTACCATGTCCTCCCAGCCAAACAAACCCCAGCATGATACGGACTTTCAAATAACAATGTACTTCTACGATAGCAGGTTGTTTACCAGTTGGTTCTTTCTTAGTGGTCGAAGTGAGAAATGCAGTCGTTGTCTCACAGTAAACGGACCGCTTCGACAGGCCCTTCGGACACCTGGCCTGGCGCCAGCCAGGCGCGGGATTCATTTATCATGGCAAGGAATTTATGTTTCAACGCAAGGGAAGCCCTGACAGGGCTCAGACATCGATGGGATATGGGCACGTCATCAAGGAAATGCCGACGAGGTATATAATGGTGCCTCCACCGTGACCGATTACTGCAATAGCGACCTTCGATCCCCTCCCCCACCTCCCTTATGGCGACCTCCCTTCATCCCTAACCCTCCTACATCATTCCTTCACCTCCTACATCATCCCTTCACCTCCTACACAATCCCTTCACCTCCTTCCTCCGAACCCTCAGCAGTCCTCGCTGCACACCCACGCATCGACGTCGCTACCGCAAGTGCTGCCACCATAGTCCTTGCCGACCATGGTGCACCCCTCGCAGGCGGCCCCGCAGTCGTCCATGGAGCAGTAGGTTTTTCCTGGAGGCGAGTTAGTGAACAGGTTGGCTTGAGAATAAAGGGAGTGGTATGGATAATGCAAGGGAGTGGTATGAACAATGTAAGGGAGCGGTATGGACAATGTGAGGGAGTGGTATGGACAATGTAGAAGAGGAAAATAAGCAACAGAGGAGAGATACGCACTGCCCGGCGGGCACGCCTGCAGCTGGCGGCTCTTAAGCATGGTCGCAGAGGAGAGGCCGACAAGGGCGAAGAGCGTGGCGACGATGGCGAAGCGCATTATTGTGTGGAAGAACTCGTAAAGAGCGAGAATGAAGGACTGGTGCAAGGTGTTCGACGACGGCCCAAGGTGTTTGGCGACGACTCAAGCTGGCGCTCCTCGTCGTCGAGGTCCGGCTCTTATACCTTCGGCCCCGAGGGGTGGCTTGCCGGTAGCTACATCCGCGACGCGTCGCGGGGTGGAGCCGGAGGCATGATCTGCAGAGGGACACTGTCGCGCGTGCTGGTCCTCGGAAAGTCCTGAGAAATAATTTATCGGCTACTCGTTGGTTTGGAGCGTCCACCACGAGCTCGGAGTCCAGGCTTGAGTGGAACGTGTAGCGAGTCTACAAGAAAAGACCCTTTGATCCGTCGTACACGGTGGTTGAGGTCCTGGGGTGGACCAAATCGTCAAGCACGAGCCAAACAAGAAGCTCGTCGAAACCGGAGCGTAGATTCTCGACATCATCCCATTATACTTGCGGATCAGACCTGGAGTGGGAGAAGAGGAGGCTGGGCGATCATTTGCAGTGAGGCACAGAGGTAGTAGGCAAACGTAGAGTAGTCAATTAAGGGGCAAGTACTTTTGATCTAGTCGATGCACAGACGAGCGGGACCCAGAGAACAAGCAAATATATCTGAGAAGGACAGTGTCCAGTTGCGGATTACGCAGTCGTACCCAGTCTCATGGCTCGTCCGATTTCTTCGACGCGCGGAAAACGCCGTTATCAGCCTTCATCAAAGGCAAGAGAGCTTCTCACAGAGGGTGCGGATCCGAGTCTGAGCTACAAGAGACGCTGACGTAGGTTTTCAAGCTTCAGCACGCCGTCGGCGCCCACCGCAGTCCGGTCCTCGTGAGGACGATGGATCCACGTCCTCAGGTACTGGGAATTCCATATTTATATGAAGTGCGCCCGTTGCGAGTGGAACAAAAATCGAGCCAGAGTCGGGATGCGAAAGGCTGCGAGTGGGCGTATGCGAGAACGAAGAGTACGGCATCCGAAGACAGGAAAGGCGTGAGGCTTTGTAATGCATAGAAGGGCTGAAGAGTTCGTGTTGTCGACCGACTCAATACGCGCATCATGATTTTCGTGAATCGTCGTTCCCGCGAGCATGTGCCCGAGTGAGAAGGCTGCGAGGGTCCCATCGCAGGAAACTTCCGGCCTTCGAGAAAGAAAATTGCGAGACGCAGCAGAGAAAGGGAGCCGGCGAAGCGGAGTGCAGAGTTATCGGATGTAGCTGTAGATGCGACACGGAGCTTGAGAGGCTGCAGGGTTCTGCGCAGATCGTCCATGTGCGGCTTGGAGCGCGGGAACAGTGGAGGTGACAAGCATACCACAGCTGGAGGGGTCACGATGGAAGATTGGCCTGGGAAGGTGGGGCGAGCGCTGCTCGTCTGACCTCTCGGACGACATAGTCTGTCGGAGGTCGGTCAGTATATAAGAGCGGACGAAAGGACTGTGATTGTGGTCGGAGACATGTGAATGGGGCGAGGGGGAGAGGCCGAGGAGTTGGTACCGCTGAGGATGTTGACTGCTGTTTGGGTTCCCTCAAGGTGCATACTCCCAGGACGGGCCGGAGTGCGAATCGAAGGTCAGGTTTGTCGACTCGGGCCACTTCTCGAGAAGGGATGAAGAGGTGAAGCCCGGTTGCCACTCGTCGACGAGGACGTTTCGCCGTCCACGGTGACCGACGCGCACAAGCCGATTGAGGCGAATATGGCAGCTGCAATTGGTGCCATGGATCGCATCGTGCGGAGCCCCGCAGAAAATTCACGAGGGACTGCGGGGGGAGCGCCAGCCAACCAGGTCGTGCGCTAAAACAGCGTCGCTTTCGGGCCCAAATGGGGCAAACGACGAGCCACGAGATGATGCGCGCGTCCCCGTGACCATGTCCTGCGCGGGTTCGTGACATCGTCGCGCACGCTCATTCGCCCACCATGTGCTCCCCCGCTTCTGCGAAGGCGAGTGGCGTCCGAGCGCTTGATGGCGGACATGCAGGGTTGTCGCCCCAGATCACAGTAGCAGCACACAAAAATATATAGATGGCCGCACGGCTATTCAGTCCAGCGTGCGCCAGTCTCCCTCGCCGCCATGGACTCGTCCGCGCGTCGGAGCAGCGACATCTACGAGGTGCCCGGCCAGAGTCGCCAGCAGAGCCGCCAGACGCTGGACTCTCAGCCAGAGGCCCCGCTCACAGGTGCGTGTTCGGCGGGGGGATGCAGACGCGACGACTGACACACGACCAGCGAACGCGGCCCCTCCAGCAGGGGGAGAAACGTCGGAGAGTAAGCCGGAAGACGGCACGCAGAACGCGCCCGCCGATGGTGGTGGTGCTGCCGCTGCTGCGCCCAAGGTCCCATTTTACAAGAAGAAATGGTTCTGGCTCACGCAGCTCGTCATTGTTCCCCTCGGCATTGCCCTTCTGTTCATCCTGCTCTTCCCCATCGTGCGCGCCATTGTCCAGTCGGTCGTCACGAAGACCACCCTCGGCATCGATGAAGCTACCATCCTCAATCCAGCGAACGACACGTACGTGCCTTATACTTCCCCCACCGCACATACTCATCCTTCCTAGCTTTACGCTGCAGATGAAGGGACAGGTGCGCATCATACATTCCCCCTTCCGCCCTCACTCACCCTCCCCAGGTCTACCACACCGGCATATTCAGCGCCTGGATCGAGTTCCAAGAGCCCATCCAGATCTCCTGGCTGCAGGACAATGGCACGAGCGTCCCCCTCGGCACGATCACGCTCGACAAGATCTACGCGAAGAACAAGCGCGCGACGATCGACCAGACGACGACGTTCAAGATATCCGACGAGGACCGCTTCGGGGACTTTACGCAGTACATGATCACCGCCGAGGCCTTCACCTGGCGCCTCTACTCGAACAAGCTGCGCGCGCAGGCGCTCAAGTTCCCCGTCGCGCACGGCATCACGTTCGACAAGCACCTCACGCTGAATGGTGCGTGGGTTCTGCTAGGCACTGGTTGTATTCAGTACTGAGAATTCTTCGCAGGCATGAAGAGCTTCGACGGCAACGTTAAGCTGAAGGACCTGCAGCTGCCGAGCGACAACGACAACGGGATCAACTTCGAGGCAACAACCCAGCTGAACAATCCCAGGTACGCGTGCTCCCCCTCCCACGCATCCACACCACTCACCCACCCTCCCCCAGCCCCTTCCACCTCAACCTCGGCACCGTCGAGTTCGCCCTCAGCTACGACGGCCTGGACCTCGGCACGGGCACGCAGGACAACACCGTCATCGTACCCGGCTCCTCCAACCAAGTGGCCCTCAAAGGCTTCCTCAAGCGCCAAGAGGGCGACGAGAACCTCTCCAAGCTCGGCCGGCTCTTCACCAACTACATCAACGCCGACATGTCCACCGTCAAAGCCACGGGCTTGTCCACCCGCCAGCCCGACGGCACGCAGATCTCCTGGCTCAGCAAGGGCCTGCAGGCGCTCACCCTCTCCGTGCCCTTCGTCCCCGAGCAGGCGATCAACCCGATCAAGGGCGTCTCCATCGGCGCCTTCGCGCTCCAGTTCTTCACGGGCTCGCCCGGCTCGTGGACGCCGACCGCGAACAGCGACTCGGTGACGGCGGATCTGGCGCTCCCCTTCGGGTTCTCGCTCGCCATCAGCGAGATCGCGAACGAGTTCGATATGGTGATGACGAGCGGGGACACGTTCGCGAAGCTGAGCACGCCGAGCGGGGCGAGCAAGTCGAATATCTCGACGTATGCGTCGGACAATACGAAGGGGACGATCGATATCTCTATCGTGAACACGAACTTGAGCAGCTCGGAGCCGCAGCATAAGCACTTTTCGGCGTTCAGTGCGTGGACTCTCCTGCTTATTCCCCTTCCTCCTTTTCCTATATTTTCTATATTTTACCAATCTCTAACCTCCCATCCTTTCCCCAGACACCCTCATCACCGACAAAGACCTCGCCGAGTTCAGCCTCATTGGCAACTCCAGCGCGATCGCGAACATGAGCGTCGGCGTCCTCAAACTCGACCCCATCAAGGTCAACGTGACGACGTCGCTCCAGGGCCTGCGCGGCTTGAACGATATGGTCAAGATCAACAGCGTCGATGTAACGGGTGGGACGAAGGATGCGATTGTGCTGGATATTGATGGTGAGGGGTGGGCTTTGTATGAGTGATGAGTTGAGACTGACGTGTTTGCTCAGTGACGATCAACAACCCGTCGAACTTATGGTTGAACGTCGATGATCTCTGTAAGCTCGACACTCCCTATGCAGAATCAACAGACGCTGACAGCCTACCCAGACCTCGCCCTCTTCCGCTCCGGCTCCCCCATGGGCACCACCCTCCTCCCCAACCTCACGCTCAACATGGGCGAGAACAACGTCGCCGCAACGGGCTACTTCCAGGCCAACGACAACGACGAGTCGCTGCAGACGCTGAACGACTTCGTCGGCAAGCGCGACGTGGTGCTGAGCATCGGCGGCTATGACGACAGCACGCAGGTGCAGTCGCTCGCGAGGGCGTTCCGCACGCTGAGCATTGATACGACGCTGCCGGCGCTGACGAGTGATTTGCTGGATACGGCGGCGTTGAAAGGTAGGTCTGCACCTATCCCTTCGCTTATACTCTACTGACAAAACCACCCAACAAAACCACCCAGTCCCCTCCACCATCGGCCAATCCTCAAACACCACCCACGTCACCGTCGACCTCGCCAACCCCTTCTCCGCCGACCTCCAGATCACCTCCGTCTCTTCCTCCATCAAGTCCTTCGGCCTCGACCTCGGCACCATCGACATGCCCACGGACTTCAGCGCGGCGCACAATGCCACCACTACGTCGCAGGACTTGGATCTGAGCCTGAACATGGACCCAGAGACGCTGTTCACGCTGACGCGCGCGCTGGCGGTGGAGGCGGGGCTTGACACTGTGCAGCTGGACGGGATCGTGGCGCTTGGGGGGTATGAGTATTTGTTTACGACGGATAACTCCTCCTCCTCCTCGTCAAGTGAGAACAACCACAAGGACAAGCGCGACAACATCTACACCGGCTTCGAACTCCCGCCCTACGTCCAGAAGGCCTTCAAGCAGCTCCACTCGGACGTCTCGCTCACCGCGGGCGTCACCATCGGCGAGTACGAGACGCACCTCACGTACGCGCAGGAGGGGCTGCCGACGAAGACGGACGACAGCCTGGACTATCTGTTACCCATCCTCGCGCGCCCGATTGTGGAGAAGATCGTGGATGGGGCGGCGCTGGGGATCGAAACGGTGCTGATTACGGATCCGAAGGAGGATATGTTTAGTAAGTGGGATCTGTTGGGTGTGATTGAAGCTTGCTAATGCGTTGTGTACAGCCGCTGCTCTTGTTGGGAGTATCACCAATGCGGGTCCTTGTGAGTGGAACTTTGGTTACCCCCTTCGCTGCATTGGCTGACCTTCTTGCAGTCGACGCGGTTATCGCCTTCAGCAATGGTCTCAGCGTCAAGTGGAACGGGAAGGAGCTGGGCAACATCAAGATGGACAATGTCTCGATTACCGGCGATGTCGGGGGCAATATCAACGTTACCTCGGCCTTCCAGGTCGCGGACACTGACTACCTGACGGAGTTCACTAAGGCAAGCATCCTTATCGTCTGCCCTTGCGACTTAACTGACTTGTATATAGACCCTGATCACGGAGGAGTCCTTCGACTGGGAGATCTCGGGAGATGGCTTGGTCGTGTCTGCGCTCGGTATATACCTCTGCATACATACTTACGCACCATTTTGGCTGACATCCTCATAGGTATTGCCGTTGACGGCATTTCCCTGAACACGAAGAAAGTCACGTTGAAGGGTATGAATGGCTTGCGCGACGGAGTGACCATCAACTCGTTCGACCTGCCGTCCAACGACGACAACGGCGGCATTCATCTCGCGATAGATGCGACCGCGAAGAACGTACGTACATCTATCTGCTGGCTCTTAGCCGCGTACTGATGGTCTCTGCAGCCATCTCAGGTGGGGGTCGAGCTCAGCACGCTATCGTTCGACTCTTACACCACCGGTGACAACGCCGTTATGATTGCACCGGTCAGCACGAACGAGACGGTCACTTTGTACCCGCAGTCCACTACGAACATGGCCTTGGTCGGTCGTCTGGTCCCACAAGACTCGGATGAGGGTCTGGCCGCAGTATCTGAAGTCTTCAACAACTTCATACACGGCAAGAACAGCGACCTGGTTGTTCAAGGAACAGCAGCGGGCCCTAGCGATGTGCGTGTCTGACTGAGACTCCCTTTCGCTTTGTGCTCACGATCTCGCCAGGTTTCGTGGCTGAACGAGGGCATCAAGTCGCTGAAGGTCGAGACGGAGCTGCCCAACCAGGGCAAGCTCGACATCATCAAGTCGATCGACCTGAACCAGCTCACCCTCATGTTCGACGAGGACTCCGCCTGGGCTCCTCCCTCGAGTACCAACGACACCGAGGCAGCCTTCACTATCCCCTTCGCCTTCCCCATCGACATCGTCGCGCTGCAGGAGACCATCACCATCGGCTGGCAGGGCACGGACGTCGGGCAGCTCAAGGTGGACAAGTCGCCCACGACGACGGACGTCGACGCTCGGGTCATCTACATCACTTTCAAGGATACGCCTTTGACTGCCTACGACGACAAACATGACGCGTTCTCGCAGTTCTTGGCGGCTACGACGACGGGGGAGACGGTGACATTGTCGCTCTCTGGCACGTCGAACGCGGATGCGTCGACGGCTGTGGGAGTCTTGTCGCTGAAGGACATCGACTTCTCCGTGTCCACCGACATTGGTGGGCTCCAGGGGTTGAACGCGAAGCCTGTCACGGTCGGCAACCTGGATGTGAAGCACGGGTATTCCGACTACTTGCTCATCACTCTTGATGGCGATCTGTACAACCCGAGGTAGGTTGCCTACCGCCTGCTATTGATTCCGATGCTCATACTTCTACAGCAACCTCACAGTTGGCACGGGTGACGTCGCGTTCACGGTGCAGTACCAGTACGTCGGATACTGCTCTTCTATGCCTGTATGCTCATGTATCGCAGGGACCAGCCCATTGGTGAAGCTGATATCGTGAGTGCAAAATATACTTGCGTTGTGTTCGAGTCCCCCTAACTTGCTTTGCAGGCCGACCTCGTCATAACCGCAGGGAACTTGACGACGGGTATCGACTTCCACTACCAGCCCGAGGGTGGCGCTGCAGCGGGTGCCGGACGCAACCTTCTCGAGAACTACATCCAGGGCGTCGACTCGGATACGGTGATCCAAGGCTCCACCGATTCGACCGACGTCGAGTCTCTTAAGGAAGCGCTCTCCGAGATACGCCTTGCGCCTGTCACTATCCCTGCTCTCCACCAGACCCTCGTCACGGCCGCCTCGCTCAAGTTCCCTGTGGACATCGTCGATACCGGCATCGCGTCCGCTACCGTCGATATCGCCAACCCGTTCACCGCAAGCATCAACCTGCTCACCGTGGATGCGGACGTCAAGTACCACGACCTATCTCTCGGATCCGTCGACCATCAGGACTTTTCCTCGAACCCCATCCATGCCGACGGTCACAGCAATGTCACCTCCCAGGACATGCCTTTCGACTTCAACTTGGAGCCAGCGACGATTATCCAGCTGTTGTTGCAGAACTCGGAGGCCAATGGCGTTGACCTTGGTCCATTGCCTGACCTCTTCCAGTTCGTTCTTGACAACCCGGACTTCGATCCACCAGTCAAGTCGAAAGTGGACACGGAAGGCCAGTCATGCCATAGGTAAGGGACCTGTTTTGCCTTTTGTGAATGCGGCTTATCTTCCTGGCAGTGGCAAACAATTCGACGTGCAGGGAGCTATCCTTTCGGCATTAAAGAACCTGAACGTTAACCTGTCTATCACGACCGACACGAGCCTCGATGACTGTGAGTTCTGCTATATTACTCGTTTTCATGTTCTAACTATTGTCAGATGCGACGCAGCTGTCGTTCATGCAATACGATGTGCCAGCCATCGTCAGTGCCTTTTCCCTACTTGGCTCCTTGTTGCTTACCCGATCCTCAGACCGACGAGACTGCCCTCTACCTCATCGGTGCCGTTGCTGCGCCAATAGCGCAGCACTTGGTAGACGGTGCTAATGTTTCCTTCACGGAGGCCAACATCACGAACATCTCCAACGATGGCTTTGACCTAGCCTTGCTTGGCTCGCTCACCAACATCGGGCCTCTGGACGCGCAGATCACGTTCACGGAGCCTCTGACGATCACTTGGAACGACAATAAGATCGCCGAGATTGAGGTACCGGATGGTGAGTTACACTCTTCCTTCCTATTTTGCGACGTCGACCAATATGTTTCTCAGTTTGCGCGGGGGCTGACGAGGGAGTGCCAAACTGGGATACCTCAGCGACGTTGCATATCACTGACCAGGGTGCTTTTACGGATTTCACGAAGTACATTCTTCACAACGAAGATTTCACGTGGACGCTGTCTACGGACAAGCTCCGCGTTGAGGCGCTCGACACCATCTTCGACGGCATCTCCATGTCGAAAGACATCACCTTGAAGGCATTCAACGGCTTGCCCGGTGTCTCAATTGGCAACTTCGAGCTCCCGTCTGATGACCCCGACGGCGGCATCCACATGGAGCTTGATGTTGTCATCCCGTCGCCTGCTCGTACGTCCGCTTACCGTTGTGCATCTCTTCATTCGCTGACCCTGGTTCCAGAGCTGGGCATCGACCTCGGCACGGTGTCGTTCAAGTCGCTTTACAAGGACGTCAACGTCGGGCCTCTGTCTGGCGAAGGCCTTGTCCTCGCCCCTCAGTCCGAGACGACCAAGCATATGGCCGGTCGCATTACCCCGAAGAGCGACGACGAGCTCGACACGATCGGCGACCTCTTCACGCGCTACTTGCAAGCGGAGAACATCAGCCTCACAGCACAGGGCGACACTGTCATGCCTGATGGCTCGACACAGATTGGATGGCTTAGCGACGCCTTCAAGACACTGGAGCTGGAAGTCACGCTCCAGGGCGAGTCCTTCGACGTGCGTAGCCTTCCGGACCTGGCCTGAAGCACGACTGACACCCACATAGATCATCCAATCCATCAGCATCGACGACCTCGAGGTCACCATGGAGTCGGACGACCAGACATGGGCGCCAGCGTCGTCTTCCAAGAAGACTAATGCGGTCTACAAGAATCCCTTCGGCTTCTCCTTGCAGGTTGTTCGCTCTGCTGAGACGCTCAATATCGGCTATGGCGGCTCCAACGCAGCCAAGCTGGAGATCCCCATGGCCGATGCGGAGGGCGAGGCGTCTACTGGAAACGACGCCAACTTGCCGCTGTCGTTCAAAGACGTCCCCATGGTCGCGTCCGACCACGGCGCCTTCCAGAGCATGTTTGGCGCCGTCACGCTCAAGTCATCAGCAGACCTTGCGCTCTCGGGTGCCGCGGACGTCGTCGCTGCAACGTCGATCGGCAATGTACCGATATCCAACATCTCCTTCGACGTCACGACGAGCCTGGGTGGTATCAACGGCTTTGGCGGCAAGGCAGACCTCGGCAAGGTCTCGGTGGTGGGCAGTGGTGGCGACGGCAATGGCCAGTACATCAGAGCCAACACGAGCGCATCTCTTGAGAACCCGTCGAATGTGTCGCTGAAGACCAACGACATTGAGCTCCCGGTGATCTGGGAGGGCATCAAGCTCGGCAGGGCTGTCATCGACGTGAGTTGCGTCCGTAGCGTGTCCAGGCGAGTGCTGACTTTGAACCTCTTTAGCCTTTCGATCTCGAGCCAGGCAAGAACACCTACCCGTCCGAGTTCCGCTACATGCCTGACGACGCCAACGACACGAAGGCTATGGTGCGTGGCGGCGATTTACGCGCTCTCCGACCGATGCTGACCCTTCGCAGGACTTCCTGAACGAGTTCATCACCACTGAGGGCCCACTCGCTGTGACCATCGACGGCGACACCCAAAGTACCCCACACGAATCCCTCGTCACCGCCCTCGACGGCATCCAAATCTCCAGCGTCATCACCGGCCTCAACAAGCCGACCCTCATCACGCACATCAACGTCTACATCTCCCTCGGCACGATCTTCACCAGCGAGGTCGAGATCGACTTCGACGTCTACAACCCCATGGACGCCGACCTCGTCATCGAGGTCGCGCAGGCGGACGCGTACGTTAAGGGCGACCAGTACGCGAAGTTCACGGAGCCATACGACTCGTTCGTCGTCTCGCCGGGGCAGACGGGCAACTCGGGGCGCTTCGGGCACGTCCTGTTGACGAAGGGTGCACTGGGAAGCCTGGGCATCATCCCGCTCGGCTACCTCGACATCAAGAGTGCCATCACCGCGCGCGTCGACAGCGGGGGCTACCAGAGTGCGTCCTCCTCCTTTGGTGTTATTCTTGACGATTGACTGACCTTCCTCCAGTCCCCTGGCTGCACGTCGACGTCGACCACGTGCCCACCGAGTACCACCTCTCCCTTGGCCTCGACGAATTCGAGGAGAAGGCGAAGGAAGCCGCGAACAACGCAACCAGCGCCGCCGGCTCCCTCGTCAGCGGCGCGACGTCGGCCGCGGACTCCGTGATCAGCGAGGTCACCAGGGGGGCGGGCTCAGTCGTCTCGCACATAACGAGCGACGCGGGCTCGGCGGTGTCGCACATAACCAGCGCGGCTGGCTCCATTGGCGACGAGGCGACGAGCGCGGCGGGGTCGGCATGGGGCGAGGCGACGAGTGCGGTCGGTGGGATCTTCGGCGGAGACGATGGCTCTGCGAGTCCGGCGGCGACTGCCAGCGCGGCGCATGCGACGGTAAGCCTTGACCCAACGTGTCTTGAGGTCGCAAAACTGACGTTCTTGCAGAGCGGTGGCGGGTCGAGCAACAACGACAGCGACTCGAAAAGCAATGGTGACGGCGGGAAGAACAGCGATGATGGTGGTTCGAAAGACGATGGGGACAGTGGGGACGGTGGCCTCCTTGGCAGTCTCTTCGATCGTTCCGCCAATTCCGCCCCTCGGGGGCCGGGCATGCTCTCCGGGCTGCTGCAGTACGCCTCCCCAGACCCGGAGGACTCCGCGCCAAGCCGAGGAAGTGGCCTTCTGAGCGGGCTCCTCCGGTGACAGGCGTGTGATCCCCAAGCTCCCAGTGACAATCTTTCACGCATCCCTCATTCCCGGGCGTGAGGCCCGTCCTCTGCCGAGGATGTGCGCCCGCCTTTGTACTATAGCGACGTACGATCAGTGAAGGGTAAACACGACGAACAATGAAAATATTTACCCAGTGCACACCCTACGAAATACCTACCAAATCTACTGGCCCATCTACGAATGTTCAGCATACTGACCAAACCCTACATACCAAACTCCTCACCTTGATACCACGCCTTCTAATCCTTCATGTTCCATATTGTATTACTAGGCGACACCTTTTGCGATGACTTCTCCCGAGTTGATGTAGGAGTGTGAGCCTGTCGTGCTGAATATGACCTTGAGCGCCGTGTCGCCCTCTCCGCATCTCTTCCACCTCTCTCCTCGCCTCGCTCTTCCCAATCCCCTCCCCGCCCCCAGGCACACCTACGCCGGCGGCAGAAACGCCACCCACAGCAGCACGCTCAGCGCCCCCCACACCACACTCCACGCCACCCAGGCCCTTCCCCAGCTCCACGCTCGCCCTGCGCGCGAGCCTCTCCCTCCCTCGGCAGCCGAGTCCGTCCCATCACGAACAAGCAACCACGCCCCCGCCCAGTACGTCGCCGGCATCGCCGCCGCGAAGCGCAGGACGATCTGCACGTGGGAGGCGAAGATGAGGACGAGGGCCATGAAGGTCGCGTGCAGGACGTGCGGGGTGAGCGCGGGGGAGAGGAAGGGGGGGAGGGGCGCGGCACTCGGCAGCTGTGAAGTAATCGCGGGCGAGGTGGTAGTGGAGGATGGGATAGGAGCCCCAGGCGAGGTCGACTTGCCCTGCGAGACGTATGTCCTCAGAACCGCAACGTAGCCCGGGACCGTGCGTCGCAGGTGCCAAAAGGCGAAAGACAGGATCGCTGCCAACGGCGGCGCTGCAATAACGAAATTCGGCAGCTGCTGCAGCGTCCAATAGCGGAGGAAGCCGACGTTCCAGTACGCGGTTTGGACGTGGGAGTAGATGAGCGGGAGGGTGTTGGTGCACCAGGAGGGGAGGTCTGTTAAGTCGGTAGTCGGAGGTCCAGGTGCCGTGCAGAACGCCCGGTAGCCAGTGTATTGGTGGTAGACGAAGGGAGCGAAGACGAGGGCGACGTAGATGATGCATCGAATAACAACGAAGGGGCGGACCTAGTAGACGTGAGCGAACGAGCGATCAGTCAGACAAATCCTACTTACGGTGTGCGCCCTTCTCTCGAGCAGGGGAGCTATGAGCATCCCCCAGATGAGGAATCCAGCAAGGGTTACACCATTCGAGCGGAAGGAACCAGCGAGGGCGAAGGATATCGCAGCATAAAGCCATTGCGTCCGCATGCAGAACAGCATCCCTGAAGATGTTTAGCGAGTCATCGACGAAGGGAGAAATATGCTCACCTCTGTACGACAGATATGTGAAGAACGGCTCAGCGTACGGGACCAGACGAAGCGTCGCGGGACTACTCGGAAGCAGAGACAACATGGCGCTCAGGAGGGCAGCGTCCCTATTGCCGAGAGCGAGTAGCGAGAGGTCATACATGACAAGTGTCGTGTCGCAGAGAAGTACGAGGAGCGCGCCACCGAGCAGATAATCCCTCTCCTTGAACGCGGTGGCACGCAGCAACCACGGCAAGCCCGGGAAGAACGCCCACTGATGCTCATACTGATAGCCACCCCTCGCAATCTGCGCAAAGTGGAAGACATCCCAACGCACGAGCGCGTCCGACCAGGGCGCAGTGAACGAGTCTGCCTTCGCAGAGGCGTCGAAGGGAGGGAGAAGGTAGGAAGCAAGCAGTGCGAACAAGATAAGGAGTGCGCGCGAAGCATATGAAAGTGTGCGCAAGCGGGCACGGTCGTCGCGATATCTTTGCTGCTCAATTTTCTGATCCATGGCTGGAGAAGCGGGACTTGGTGCTGGTCGACGCGAAGGCCAGAAGCGTGCCCATCAGCTTGTGATAAACGCGTCGACGGCGTCACCGAGGCGGCAATTCCCGCGCTGGTTTCTCCTCATGTTATCTCTCATGTCTGCGCTGCCTGAGGCGAGTTCTTCTCCCACAAACACTGCTAGATCGACCTCTGGGATGAATATACGAAGTTCAACTCTCAGTTGGGTGTGATTGTCGCGTGACGTAAGGCTGACCTGGCCGCGCTCGGCCCGCCAAGCCGCGCCGCGTCCGCGCCCCATCCGCCGCTTCGTCTCGACGCTCATGCGCGTTCCCCGATGTCGAACGACTTCTACAACCCCAATGCCCCGGCCCTCCTCGACTTCCTCAGCAGCGTCCCCTGGCCCCTCACATCCGTCCTTGTCGGCCTCTCCCCCATCATCGCACGCATCCGAGGTGCCGTCGAAATCACCAGCTGGCGCACTTCCTGGTATGATAGCTGGCTCGCGGTAGCAGCATGGTGGGCTCTATGCCTGTTCGCCGACGCGACTCTACGGTGCGCGCGACTTGCATGTGTTACTTCCCCCGCAAAGCTAAACTGAGAATCAACAGATACTTGCTTCCCATAGCGCTCGTGCTCGCACTGCTTCTCGCCAGATGGACAGGACGGCCGCTTCCCAACTCCCCGCCGATCAATGAGCAGACGCTACAAGCTGTGATTGCCGACCTCACCACCATTCACGCCCTCCTCCCCTCCCCACCACCCATCCGAATAACACCCAATGTCGTTGTGCGCGTATGTGCCATCAGCTACCTTCCATATCTGTGGATCACCTACTTCATCCCGCTCCGTATACTCCTTGGTACTGTTGGCTCTCTCACGCTCTGCGCTCGTGCACCATGGGCTGCTACTCTTGGTCGGCAACTCTGGAAAAGCGCATGGGTGCGCTGGGCATGCTACACGGCATGGGCGCGCCTCTCCGGCCAGCGACTCCCACCCCTCCGCCTCGCCGCGTCCCAACTGTCCGAAAACATGCCCGAACCCACCGACTCCCGCCGCATCCTCTTCACCGTCCTCGAGAACCAGCGCTGGTGGATGGGCCTGGACTGGACCGCCGCCCTCCTCCCCAACGAGCGCCCCTCCTGGTCCTCCCCCGCCGCCACCGGCTTCCAGCCCGCCAATCCCCCTTCCGTCTTCCCCCTCCCCCCACCCAGCGTCGTATACCTTCCCGACGGCAAGGGCGGCCGCGTGCGGCGCACCGCCATCTGGTCCTGGGACGACCCCGAGTGGACCGTCGTCGTCCGCGCCGAGGGCGGGCCCGCGCGGCACGTCCGCCGCCCGCTCCCCGTGCCCGAGGGCGAGAACTCGGGGCTCCTGATGCGCGCGGCGGGCATGATGAAGGAGTCCGCGACGCTGCAGCAGCTGAACTCGCCCACTGTCGCCGCCAATCCCACAGACGCTGGTGACGCGGCGACCGTCGACTCCGAGCACGATCACCTCGCCGAGGACGAGCTGCCGACGGACCCGGATGGGTGGATATACGGGGACAACAAGTGGGAGTCGCAGAGCGCGAAGGGCGGATTGCGCAAGTACACGCGCTTCCGCCGCTGGCAGCGCGTTGCGATCGTGCACGAGATTGTTGAACCCGCCGAACCTGGCCCTTTGGGCGTCGCGCACGAGTCGGGGCCGGAGGAGACGACGCCGACGCCCCGCGCCAAATCCCCGCACGCGCGGTCGAAGTCGCCTTCACTTTCGCCTGGGATGGCGGCGAAGGGTCTGCCCACTGTCGCCTCGACGAACAGCGCGCCAATCGGTTCTGTCGAGACGCCACACCTGTCTGGGGAACGACGCTTCCGCTCAGGCGAGCGAAGTCTCTCGCCACACTCGACCATCTCCTCCACCTCGCTCGAGCCCTCGCCAGAACGCAGCCGATTGGCAGACAACTCACTGTACTCAAGTTTCGAGGCGAAGACAGCGGCCGATGGCAAGGCAGCCGCCGACTCGAGCTCGCACGAACCGAAGGAGAAGGAAAAGGTCGACCCCGACAAAGACCACAAGCTCTCACGCGCCAGCCCCCTCTCCGAAACCTCCGCGCGCCCCAACGCCGCGACCGAAAGTCCACTGCGCCAACGCCTGCGAAACGCCATCCATCGCGCGGCGCCGTCGATGGGCGGTGGGCTGGGCGGTATGGGTGGTGGCTGAGGGGGTTGATGATACCCATCGGGGGAGGGTTACAACAGACCCACGCAAGAGGCTGTAATTACTACTAGGCCGGGGTGAAGCGATGAACTGTGTATATATACTACCTCCTGTATAAATGATCCTACATGCACGCTCTCGAACTCTGACCTTTCGTTCTCCACTACAAGGTCTGCCTAGCAGTACTCTATAGGCTAGTGAGGGGGCTGATACGCTCCTGGTGGAAGCGTTGGGACCGGTTGGTACGCGTCACGCGCTGGCGAACCCATGAGCTCGACGATACTCGGTGGCCGAGTCGAATAAGCAGGTGGTTGCAGTTCATGCGCAGGTGGTTGCAGCTCGTGCGCCGGTGGCGGCAATGGCAGTGGACTAATATCGTTCGCCGCACGCTCAGTCTCAGCCCGCGCAGCTGCCTCTGCGTAATCCCTGCGAGCACGCTCAAGTCTTTCTCGGCCCTGGCTAACGCTCCGCGCGCGTAGAGCTATGGCTACAAAAACAACGAGGACGGCTTGAGAGTAGCCGCGGGCCCAACATCAGTTGCAGTCCTCTATGGGGATGAGCACTGTGGAGCCTACCGACAACACCGAAGATAATCCAGATAGTCTTTGTGGAATTGTCCGGGGGGCAGAACCTTCCACAGGAGAGCTTCAGTATCGCTCAAAGCAATTACGACGGGAGCCACCTACGATTGACCGCAGTCCTGGTTTGCATGCACCAAGGGCAACAGTGAGAGAGCCAAAAGCACTGTTATCAAGGATGGTATGGCGTCCCTAGTACGACTGACCCCCACCAGGGTCGACATTGCAGCTCAGTGGTATGAGGAAAGATGTGGCGAAAGCTGTTGCTGTCCCAACCGTGCCATTCATCCGATATCATCACGTTTCAAGATACGGCCTGCCTCAGTTCTCACGGCTGACCGGCAATGCGATTATCCATCAGCTCAGCGGTGAGCACTTGTGGGCTCAGCGTATTTGGGCTACCGGCTCTTGTAACGCTGAGCGAATGTGAAAGAGAGTGAAAGATCACACTGCATGGGAAGTCACAGTGACGTCAAATATCGACTTTCCCCGTTTGGAACGCTTTGTTGAGATCGATCGCCGATCTCCAAATCCGTACTTGCATGCTCAATCAGGCGCGAACGACAGGCGTACGCTCACAAGGCAAGCAAAAGGGCGGTCAAATGAGTGTATACATTGGGTGACTTCCCGTAAGCCGTATGTTTCGGTGAATTAGCTGCAAATATTGCACTGCCTTTGACCCCTGCAGAGAAACTTCAATTTCCAAGTTCCGGGTGCTCAGTTGTGGACTGAGTGACGGTCTGGAAGGGGTCTTAGAGCAGTTTCTCCGCTTTGCGGAGGGGTCGCGACCTCTCCGCAAATCATCTACTCTGCAACAAATGCTTTGCGGCTATTTCTCCGAAATTTGCGGCTTACGGGAAGTCATCCATTGGTTCAGAGAAGGTACAACAGAATAGCAGATCATTAGGTCACTTTGGGTATAGAGCCGAAGAGCGAGGTGGTGTCTAAGAGAGATCCCATGCTCGCTGTACGACATCTTTTGCTATGATACTCTCCGGGCCTCGTGTAGCCGCCCGGCCTACACGCGCGCGTTTAACAGCTGGCAGTCACATTGGCGGCGCCCCAGCTGGCAGGCACGAACCCATCGCGCGCGTTGAACGCCGTGACTGCCGACGCATAGCTCCAAGTCAGGTCCAGCGCGCTCGCCGGCTCGCCGCTGTCCTTCTTGATCTGCTCCGCGAGCGAGCCGTCGCTCGGCGTGTAGTTCGCGATGATCTCGATGAAGCCGTCCGCCCAGTCGTGGATCGCCGACGTGAGCGTGCTGTACTCGTCCGAGCTCGAGTCGTACGAGCCCTCGGCGATGGAGTCGGAGAACTGCTGGAAGAAGGCGAGCGAGGTGGACGTGACGTCGATCGAGCCGACCTGGTCCCAGGTCGTGAGCGCGTCATAGAGCTGCTCGGCGACGGCGAAGGTGTTGAGGTACCAGGGCTGGTGAGAGAGGTCAGCGTCGAAGTAAAAGATGCGGGAAAATGAGAACATACGTTGCCGCCCTGGTACGAGTCCTCCTTGTAGCGGCCAGTGAGGATAGCGTCCGTGTCGCCGGTCGGGTTGATGCTGTAGAGACCGCGAAACGAGTCGACGTACACCTTCAGGTTGGACAGCGCGCGGTCAGAGCACGGCTGGAAGGTGTTCGAATCGCAGCCCGCCTCGACGTCGAAGGTGTGGATGCTCGCGAGCACGGCGTTGTTATCGATGCCGGAGCGGCCGCCGCCCTGGTTCGCATTAAAGTAGCCGCCGTCCTCGTTCCAGAACGACTGCGCGGTGCATAGGACGCTATCGGCCGCGGAGCTGTAGGACGGGCCATCGTCCCCAACAGCGCTCGCGAAGCTGACGCCCTGGCGGAGCGCGGCGTGCTGGACGACGGTCGTGAAGAACGAGCCCGAGGACTGGACCTCCTCCCACAGATCGAAGCTGACGGCCACATCAGCGAACAATGAACGACAGGGCCGTTATTCGACTCACGTCTGCTGGTTCCAGTACTGGACGACGTAGTCCAGGTCGGCCTTGATGATCGGCCAGAGGGTGTCCGTAACATAGGACGAGTTGTCACCGCTCTGTAGAGAGTTACCGTACGTGATGAGCGTAAGAGCGCGGAGCGCGGGACCATCTGGGAACAGTAAGCGTAGCCACAAGAGCGCATGAGTACGAATGCGCACCAGTCTGAGGGCGCCTGGTAAATGACGGTCAGCAGGTGGTACACAAGCGAAGAGGATTGCTTACCCCCAAGCGTCCGTGAAGGCCGTCAGGTCAATGTTGAACTTGGGCTCGCCGAGCCCTCCAGAGTCGTAGCCACCGGAGGGGTTGTCGAGGTGCTGGAGGGTGTCCTGAGCAGACACATACGACTCGATGACGCTCTGCAAGCTCGAGTCGCCGCCCTGAGTGAACCTGGCACAAGAATTAGCAGGACAACCGGCGTCCGACCGCAGACAACTTACTGGTCAACGAGGACCCGCGAGACCAACGCGGCGTCGCGCGTCCAGGTGTACAGGTAGTCGGGGTCCGAATCGGAGGGAGAGGCGACAATGACGCCAGCAGCAGCACCGCCAGAGTTCTCGCCGTCGGGGCCAATGGCCGCCAAAATGCCAGCCTGCGCGATGGGCGACTCCGAAGAGATGTACGCCTCAACAGTGCTGGACTGCGCCTTAGCGAAGGCAGCGAGGCCGATGGCGACGAGGGAAGCGGTGATGGTGAAAGCCATGACGCTGAAGAGGACGGTAGGCAAAGGGAGGAAAGCCGACGCTGCAGACCTCGGAGTGCGAGCGCGCTTTTATAGGCGCAGACAATGACCTTTGCGTCCTCGCTCTCATGGCGCCCGTATACTTGGCATGAGGGCCCGGCTGGCAAAGTCGGCCGAGAACCGTGCAGGAAAGCAGCTGAGGGAGGCGAGCACGCGGCGCTATGGCGCAGGTATTGAATGGAGAGCACTTCTGCGAGACGGCCTTAGGGCCAGTATGACCCGTCGCATGGGAAAAGAAGGCAGCGAAGAGGCTCAAAAGAGGCGTTGATGCCAGTAACTAGGTCAACACAGAGGAAAGAGGCTTCGATATAACAAGCACGGTCGCCGGTTGGTACCTCGCAGATTGAATGGACGTCGGCGCCTGCTTTCGCACGCATCATAGCAAGGTCGAATAGAGGCGCTGAAAGCATGTGCCTACTTCGAGCCAATAGTGAGGGTTGAAGGCTGCGGCAATAGTAGACTTACGCATAACAAGCGCGATTGAGGGTGCTGAGAGCTGCTTTCTGGTCAGCGGAGGCCCCACCAACATACTGCAGGTTTTTCCGACCTACACAAGGATGCACGCGCGCAATCACCGTCGAGTCGCGCTCCGAAGCATCGATGTAGACGGTTTTCCTATTTCGTGCACCCTAAGTGAAGATCCCTCTGCGATTCCCGGTCTCAGAAGCATGATTCAGGTTTTTGCAACGGACTTACCACTCGTCGAGAACATGTGTGGGATTCAACAGGGTGTACTGGATTAGGCAACGTGCCTGTACGTCAGAGCCCTCTCCCCCAATTCAAGTGCTTATGCAGTCGAGTTGAGTCTAGCGCACATGACGAGATGGAGAGACCGCAGTCATCGGAGCCGAGGGACAGGATGACCAGGAATGCTGTTCCGAGATCACAGAAACTACAGAACAACTTGAAGGGTGTTTGCTCGAGGTAGAGATCTCGCAGGAATTGCCGGGTCGAATCCATAGGCGCAGACGCGTAGAGTTTACCGGTGGTCCTTCGAGAACTACGCTTGACAGATGAGTTTGGGGCATAGCACAGAGCCATGAGATCGTGTAGCGGATGAGCACTGAGCAGCCACTGGTCAGACTTGCAATACGAAGTAGACGAATTGCTGCTGTCCGATTCGCCCTTTGGACTGAAAGCTGCGCAGCCAGCGCTCGAGGTCATGAGGGCCGCGAGAAGGAGAAGAAGAGGGTCAAATACGTGACCGAAGGAGGATTGGGCACATGGACACCCATGACGGTAGCAACAAGAGCCAGCGGCGCCCATAAATCGAGACCGTGGGAGACGCCCACAGCGAATAACACGTGCCATATTTTCCCACGAGCACGGAGTTCGCCGAGCGGTGGGAGGTTCGACTTGAGCTTCAGGATAATGGCGGACGACGGTGAATCTGGGTGGTATCGCCCGTGACTGGTGTCTATTGCACTTTCTTACCTCCTTCTAAGCGAGCCCAATTTCTCTGCACAGTCGCTCCCGTGATGCGCCACGATAGGTAAAGGAATACAGAAAAGTCTTCGGTGGGCTCTGCGGGCGTCGAAATAACGCCGGTGGTCAGGGTGTAGCCTGATTGAATGGCCCGCACCACTACAGTAAGGTGCTCCAAGAAATTCAAGCTCAGCGAAGATCCCTCATCACCCACCGGTTCCGTCCCAGCGTACTGGTCGACGCCACGTAACGATCTCAAGCCGCCGCATCACCCGGCCCTTCGCAGGCCGCGCCTCGGCGAGAAATCATGCTACCCGCGCCTAGCAGAGCCTGAGTACCCAGAAGCTCAAGATGCCTAGGTCTGCATAGCCAAGTCCGCATGGCATGCATTGTTCGTGTGCACGAGGAGCATTCAACAAAATCTTCGTACCGTTCTATCCCCGCCTCTTCGCCTTCACCGATCACTGACTGCCCACATCCACGACTGGTAATATGAGAGTGAAGCCCACACGATAGCCATCTACGCCTGTCCTCTCCGTCATGGAGTATTGAATATCTGCCGCTTGTCCATGAATGCAACCTTCACCCCGTCGTCCTGCAGCCCCAGCAGAAAGTCGATGAATGCGTCCGTGAATGTCGCGTCCGGGATCCAGACGCGCAAGCGCTGGAGTTTAGGCGCGCTGACCCCGGCTGGGATCCGGACCCGAGACCCCACCGCGCGCTCAATGACCTCCTCGTGCCATCGCCTGTTCCACCTCTCGCTATTCGGTTTACTCGCCTCGATATCGAGTTCGACGAGAGATGGGAGGAGGACGGGCCCGGTTTCAGAGACCTCCAAGGCCTTTAGAAGCTCGGGACGTATGGGCCAGCCATAACTAGTCTGCACCGTACGCAGAGATCGCACGAGAGGGAAGCCACGCACAAGCGGTGAGAGATCCGAACCGATGCCTGTGATGTCCTTGAACGTGAGGAACTCTACCGCAGGATGCGTACGACCTTCCCTTGCGAGGGCGCGATTACCAGGAGCCGAGAAAGGGTCGAGAAGTAGATCGGCGTAGATAACATTTAGCAAGGGTGCGTTGAAGAAGGGTAAGAGTCTCAGACCCGACCCCACGGTCTCGAGCTTCCGCAAGAAAGGCAGCTCAACGTCGGAGCCGTCGTTCCAGATATACATCTGGTCCTGCCCACCGATGAGATCTAAGCCAATTTCCAAGTGCTCCAGACGCCCGCATTTCCTGAGCAGCGGAATGGTGTCCTCGAAGTCGGCGACGCTCACCGGCATGATGAGCGCGCGCAAATTGTTCCAGTCGACGTCGAGGAGCCAGAGGGGAAAGCGATACACCCCGAGCGTCGTCAAAGCCGGCGCAATCTTCCGAAAAGGCAGCGCGTCTGCTGTATTCGGTCCGACGTACGAACGGCCCACATACAGGGTCGTGAGCACAGGTAGAGCGGGCGGTAGATGATATACATCTGGCTTTGTCTGAAAGCGTATGTGGAGCGCTTGGAGTCGATAGGCGTTCTCTGATGCAATTTCCCATATCGCCTGTGCATCGAAGCCTTTTTCAGGGGGTAGCGCACGGTCGCGCGCTGGCCACACTTTCAGCTTTAGCAGATGCGTGCCAGAGCGCTGCAAGAAAGTATCCACAATTTCCTTCCATCCGCCGTCCACATACGGGGGCTTCTCCGAGTCGCGCAAGCCAACGCTGATACGGGCCCAGATCCAGTGTTCGGAGAGCGCGAATTCGCGCCAGGCATGGCAGACCTGCGCGAATCCGAATCGGCGACTACCGCTGTCGGCAGTAAACCAGTCGTCCGGAAGAGAGCATGTGCAGATCATGCCCAGGAGCTCGTTTGGGAGTCGACGCACAGGCGCCACGAGGGCACGCAACTGCGCGATGCCGGTCTTCGTCTCCTCTCGACGACGTCGAAAGTTGAGCAATGTTTCCTCCATGCGTTGGATGTGGTCATCGTAGAAGGCTACATCGCTCTCCATGACTGGTAGTATACCATGAATCGCGGTGTTGTCCAGGTCGGAAGGAACATAGCTCGAGCGCAGGTAAGTCGTCAGGTTCGCGGGATTCAATGAGTGTCCCGAAGCGGCGTCGACGACTGGCACTTCGCGGTCGCACGGCGAGGGGTGCACAATTTGTGGACGAGTGTAAGAGAATGTGGGAGTCATAGAGCAGAGTCTGTCCCCTTTACGTGCAGGCGGGTCGAGGCGCGCTCAACAGCTGGCAGTTCGTTCGGAGGCTCGCACGTGGACGGAGGCAAGTAACCTCTTGTCGGCTATCACCGGTCAATTTCTCACAATGAGACCGTCACAGCTTCGTCACGCCTTTCTTCATCCTGCCGATGACTCAGGCCTCAGACATTGACTCCGAATGTGCACTACGTCGACGTGAACGCGCAAGCGCGATAGGCTGGTGCTGACACACGAACTTCAGAGCGCCCTCTGTTGACACGGATTCTGTCATGAGGCTCAAAATTTCCTCCACTTCGTCAGACGCCGGCGGGGGCCGCTGACTCGACGATTGGCTTGGTAATCGGCGCCGCCGCCTACTCTGCGTGGAAGCTACCGGAACGTCTGCCTCTCATTTCCGGCTTCTCCCTGGAGTCAGATGGTCCTGGACCGTGTCCGGCGCGCGACGCGTAACGGCGCCGCGGATGCCAGCCATCCGTCTCGGGCACCTCTCCAGCCAGTATACACAGTGTATACACTCCCAGTGGTCTCTTGACGCTCAAAGCCTAGCCGGATCTCTTCGCGGACCTCGATCGGGGACTGTCTCGGTTGGTCGCCGCTGCTGAGTCGCTACTTGAACAATGGTGGACGGCGGGTTGCTCACGTCAGCCCGGCTTACGTGACCCTCCCCTTGCCCTACTCAGAATAACCCGCCGACGTCGTCCGCCCGGCGCTTGCGGGCTTACCATAGCAGCACTTGACCGCCCGGCCTACCTTCGCGGCGTCATCTATAAAATGCACACAACAGCTGGTATGAGCTTCGTGATCATCGAACCCCCACAGCCCTCCCTCCCCCGTCTATACAGGCGTACCGCAACACTCAACGATGTCGGCAACTGCTGTGATGACCAGCTCGGCGCCTAACACGCCACAGATTCAAAGCCTCCGTCTCAAGGCGTTCGCCGCCGACGAGACCACCGAGGAGCTCTCCCTCGACGCCCTCGAAGACGACGACACGTCGGAGGAGACTGCCACCCCCGACACATTCGATCGCAATTCCATCTCTGAACTCGTCGCATCCCACGGCTCCTCCTCATCCACCGCATGGCTCGAGTTCTCCCGCTACAAGATCTGGCAGGCTTCCAAGTCCATAGCACCGTCCACCTTCGTACCCGTGCAGGGCTACATGCGCAAGGGCAACTGGGTCTTCGCGTGGGGCAACCCGATTGTCAGTACTCCCGACGCGCTCGAAGCAGCCGCTCGCGCTTTCGTGCAGTACATCTCCTCCCTCGACTCGAAGCTCAAGGTCGTCTGGGTCTGCGTAGACCAGGCGATGGAGCGCGCGCTCGGCGAGATGCTCGGCTGGAGCACCGTCCACTGCATCTACGAGGATGTCATCGATCCGCGCCGGGTGATCGAGGTCGTTGACGCGCCCGAGAAGAAGAACAAGCGAGGAGAGGAGACGAAGAAGTTGAGCAAGGAGGAGAAGGAGCACCAGGAGATCATCAAGGACCTCAAGAAGAACCTGCGGCGCGCGGAGAAGGCCGGTGTTACTACCGGCGAGGTCGTTGGCGAGCTCTCTGAGGAGGACCGCGTCACGATCGAGAAGGGGATCGACGACTGGAAGAAGCACCGCCACGGTATCCAGATCGCGTCCACCACCATGGTGCCCTGGCTGGACAAGGAGCACCGTCGGTACTGGCTGGCGCGGGACGCGAACAGCAAGGTCAGTCCATCTCTCTCTTCCCTTCATGACTATGCGCTAACTTGCTTACCAGCCGATTGCGATCTTGATCCTCACCAAGATCAACGCTCAGCCCCACGCGCCGACACCAGACACGTCCTTGTCCTACATGCACGGCCACCCCGAGCACCCGCACCACATCTCCTACCAGATCAAAAACGCTGTCTCCTTCCCCGACGCGCCCAAGGGCACGTCCGAGAAGCTCATCTACTCGGCACTTCGCGACCTCGACCGCGAGCAGACGCGTAAGTTCCCATCTTTGAACATTGCGTCCGATCGTATACTGACCTCGTCTCCAGAACTCGGTCGCTACACCGTCACCTTCGGCATCTCCGCCGCAAACTCGATGGTGCCGACGCACAACCTAAGCGGCTGGAAGGTGCACACCTTGTCGAACACCTACAACAAGGTCGCGAAGTCCACCGGCCTGCTCAACCGCCTCGAGTTCCGCAAGAAGTTCGAGAGCATCCACGAGCCCATGTTCGTCTGCTACCCCGAAGACGGCTTCGGCCTCGACGGGGTCATGGCGCTCCTGAAGGCCTTGAGGAAGTAGATCTTCCTTTGTGGATCGCTAGCCCGCTTCGCATGTTCCCTTTGTTTTGGGTTCTGTTGTATAATTGTTTGCATCCTGTTGTACTTGTACCGTCTTGTTCATACCATAGAAGCAAGGTTCATCCCTTCGTGTACTTGTCATACCTACCTACTAACGACCTCTCATGACTACCTACCCCTACTATAATCTATTGGGCACCACACACACACTAGCCACATAGTCGCACTGCATATAATGCTACCCACCTTTCGCACAATACGCTGGCTTGTTGCCTGAACTTCGACGGAAAGGTGTACTGAAATAAGCGCCGGCGCCTTGAGAGCAAGTTGACATCAGGCGCTTGTACAGTGATCGCTCTTGACGTCGTCCCCCATGTCTTCGGCCTTCGCCAAACAGAAGCTCAAGGCCGCGCGAGACGCCCTGGGCAAGAAGAAGTACGATGATGCAAAGAATGCAGCCTCTCAAGTTCTTGAATACGAGCCGGATAACTACAATGCGTCAGTCGCGCTCGTCTGGCTTTCATCGCGTCTCTAAGACCAGTCCTTCAGTCATGTCTTCCTCGGGCTCGCTTGCCTAGAGCTCGGCGAGCACGATAACAGCGAGAAAGTACCCATTCCAGCCGCCTCCACTTCGCGCCACCAACTTACGCTACCTAGGCATATCGCACGGCGATCGACCTCAACCCTTCACAGCTACTGGCATGGCAGGTACGTAGTCAAATGCTGTCTTATGCATAGCGGCCTGACTGGGCTGTAGGGCTTGTCCAAGTTCTACGAGAAGACAGGCGCGTCGGACAAGTACCTTGACACCCTCACCAAGCTCGCCGATCTACACGCCAAGGCGTACGTCCATCCTCGCTTATACCGATCGTGCACGCTCACACTACCCAAGTGGCGATGCGACCAAATGCGCAGAAGCACTCCAAAAGTTCCTCGACATCCGCCGCGCGAACGGGTCGCGCCAGCAGCTCGTCGACGCCCTCGGCCTCTTCCTCCCCGGCTCTCCCTACTACGATGCGATCGCGACTTTGGAACCGCCCGACTTCACCAACCCCGAGTCGAGCGCGACATTCTTTACGCAGAGCGCCGTGCATAATTCATTACCGATCCTCGAGGAGATGGTCGCGCTTCTGGAGCAAGACGAGGCCGAGCAACTCAAGCGCGAGGTCGAGAAGCGGCGGACGCGGCTGGGGGCTGCGGGCCCCGAGCAGCTCAGGAGGGAGGTCGGGCGTGAGATATGGGGCACGTCGAAGGTGCGCACACTCCCCGTTATCGTATCCACCTGTGGCTTACCTTCGCGCGTCAGCTTCCTACATTGTACAACGAGATCATCAACCATCCCAAGACTTCCGATGAACTGCGTCGCGAGACGGAGTCGAAAGTTCTATTCTACAAGCGGCAATACCTCTTTGCACTTCCAGCAGGGAAGGAGAAGGATGAAATACGCGGTCAGGTTGAGGAGATGGCCAACGGTGTCGTAGTTCTGCAAGTTCCGGACGAACTCGCGTGGACGACGTACCTTGAGCTAAAGGACTGCGCAACTGTAGGTACGTTGGCCCGGGATTCTTGCTCTCAAATAGCTCACTCTTCATGCAGAAGAGTATGAATACGATACGCTGCGTCAATATCTGCGCCTTTTCCCTACGCTGCCGCTCGGGTCTATGATCAAGGGCTACCTATCATACTTTGGCATCCCTCTCGAAGAGGAAGAGGAAGACGATGAGGACGTCAAGAAGGCCCCCATCCCAGGAGGGGATGAGGACCCTTTCGATCTGGTCATGGTATGTTCATGATATCCCTGTTGTGGCCCCGCTTAAATCATCAGGACGCCTTCGCGTCGCTGTCCGACTCGACAATTGCTTGTCGGCTCATAGCCGACATATACCTGCATGAAGAAGACTGGGCTCAGGCGTCGAAGACATCCAGCAGCGGCCTCGAGCTGGTGAGTAGAGTGGAGACTAACTACGGAAAGAAAGCCGCAAGGTATGTCATGCGTCGGAGAACTGGATTATGTGGTTCACTGACCGCTATACATCTAGGACACGCATGGGCTTCAACGTCGTACTTGCCACCTCACTTGTCCACCTCTTCCCTCCTAAGCACCATGCTCGCGCCCTTCCCATCCTCGATGATGTCCTATCGCAGGACCCCCTCAACGTTCCTGCGCTCATGGGACGAGCATACGTCCTGGAGGCTGCCCAGAACTGGAACGAGGCAGCAGAATGTCTGAACAAGGTCGTTTCCATCCTCCCCGACGATCTCGACGACGGTCTACGCGCCAAGGAAGAGCTGGCTTGGTGTCGGAGCCAACAGGGTGACCTTGCAGGCGCTGTCGAGGCACTCTCGGAGGTGAAGGAGACGCTCAATGGGCTCGAAGGCCGCGAACTCGACCAAGCCAGATGTTTGTGGCGCATCGGCAAGTGCTACTGGGACATGGGAGGTAAGGTTCTCTTTCTGTATCAACATGAAGCCTCGCTTATCTTATGGTAGGCGACGATCGCGAGAAGTGCTATCCAAACTTCATACAAGCGCTCAAGAAGAACCCATCGTATGCACCAGCCTTCACGTCGTTGGGTATCTACTACAGCGAGTGCGCGTCGCCGCCGGATCCGACGCGTGCCTCAAAGTGCTTTCAGAAGGCGTTCGAGCTCGACGCGCGCGAGGCAGAGGCTGGACGGCGGCTCGCTGAAGCCTTCGCGGACGAAGGAGAATGGGACCTTGTCGAGGTCGTTGCAAGACGAACAATCGAGGGCGAGGGAGGTTTGGACGCTGGTGTTGGCGCCAGTGGTGCTGCCGCAAAGCGTTTCCTGCCGACCAATGCGTGGGCATGGAAAGCGATCGGCGTAGTTGACCTTGTCAGTGAACCATTACTCTATGCATTGTGCTCGTGCTAATCATCCTGTAGGTCCATCGCAACTACCCTTCCGCTATACAGTCCTTCCAGATCGCTCTCCGTGCACATCCAGATGACGCACAGCTATGGGTGCGCCTCGGCGAGGCGTACGGCAAAGCAGGGCGTCATGCCGCCGCTATCAAAGCCCTCGAGCACGCACAGGAACTGGCGCCGGACGATTGGGTCTGCAAGCACCTCATAGCTGACCTGCGTCGACAGACAGGCCACTTCGCGGAGGCTGTCGCTGTCTTCGAGGGCATCCTGGAGAGTCAACCCGGAGAAGTAGGCGTGGTTGCAGCCCTCGCTCAGACCTACCTTGATCTCGGTCGATCGGAGGCTGCAGGCGGCTTCACCGCGCGGTCAGAGGAATCTCTCGCTCAGGCGGCCATCAACGCAATGAAGGTCATCCGCGAGCACCCTGGCTTCCGCGCTGTTGCGTGGAAGGTGGTGGGCGATGCGGCGTTCGCGCTTTCGGAGCGCGAAGCGTTCGACGACCCCCACATTGTCCTGTCGGTTCTCAACGATATCCTCATGCTATTGGAAGACACCAAGCACGAGCGACTCGAAGGCATCGTGCAGCCGCCGTACATCTCAGGCCGCACCAATGTGACAAACGTGGACGCCGCGACGATCGCCGTTCTGGCCTACGACTTGCGCGTGGACCTGAACGTTACGGAGAAGGTCGCTCGAGCGAGCGCTTGGTTCGACCTGGGCACGGCGCTTCGCTCGTGGTTGACCAAGCTGCCATCTTCTTCTTCAGTAGGCGCGAGGGCAGAAAAGCTCGCGTTGTCGTGCATGACGTCGGGTCTGCGTGAAGATCCGGCGAACGAGACGTACTGGATGTATCTGGGCGACGCGCATTTCACGTCGCAACCTAAGACGGCTCAGCATTGCTACATCAGGGCCCTGGACATCGACAACAAGGTAAGCGTCGTTGTGATTCAACTAGGGATCTACGCTTATCGACCGACAGAACGTCGAGCTTTGGACACGCCTCGGGCTGCTTTATCTGCACCATGACGATGTACAACTCGCCAACGAAGCTTTGTATAGAGCGCAGGTACTTGACCCGGACTACACCTTGGCTTGGATCGGCCAGGCGATGGTTGCGATCGCGAACGACCATGAGAAGGACGCTACGACGTTGCTGGAGCATGCAGTCGGTTTATCGGCGACCATTGTACGTTGCTTCAGTCTTAGCCTCTTCATAATCGTTAACATTGCCTCAGCCTTCAACAGATCTCTACTACGCGCAGCGCACGTACGCTACTTTGCGTGCCAAAGCAAGTGGAACAACAAACCCCGATCTAGTTCTGCCGGTATTCGATGTCCTCGAGCGCTACTTGCAAAAACGGCCAAACGACCCTACCGGTCTACACCTCTCAGCTCTCGTCCACGAAGCCCTCGGGCATGCCGAACGAGGCGCGGACCTCGCGGGGCGCGCGGTAGACTTGCTCGAAGCCCTATACGAGGAGACCGAAGACTCGGGCATCGAGCGGCAGTACACTATCGCGACCTCAAATCGTGCTCGAATGCAACTTGCCCTAGGTGCTCCTGCAGAGGCCGTCGCGGGCTGGGAAACCGTCAGCGGTCTGTTGGAAGGAGGGGAAGGCCCCGAGGTCACTACATTGCGAGTGCAGGCCGGATTCGGCATCGGCCTGGCGCGGATGCAGCTCGGCGAGCTGGAAGGCGCACTGGAGGCCTTTCAAGGTGCTTTGGAAGAAGCGGGAGAGGATTTGGCTTTACGAGGGCATGTCGCGGTGCTTCTTGCACAAGCGTTGTGGAGCCTTGGTACAGAAGAGGGTCGCGAGAGCGCGAAGGCGCAGCTCCTCGATTGGTGCGTTCCGTCGACTATAGAGCTCGTAGTGTTTCTGATCATAGCTTTTGCAGTATATCTTCTGATCCTGAGAACCTGATCGCGATCAATACGCTGGCGGGCATGGGTATCCTGACGGAGGATGATAGTCTCGTCGATGCTGCCTTGACCGAGATACTCGCTCTTCCGGTCGACAAGCGCCTACAACTTGATCCTCAGCACGACGTTCAGCTGCTCCTTGTTAATCACTATCTTGGCCAGGTACGTCCATCGACGAAGCCTACCGGATTATGCTAAGTTGTATTCTAGGGGAACGCGAGCAAGGCGCAATCCCTCCTTCAAGGAGCCGTACATGCAGAGCCTACGCAACGCATACCACGGGACCGCTTGGCGGAGATTGAGTTGCAACTCGGGGAGCCTGCTTCTGCTGCAGCTGTCCTGGACGCCGAGCCGGAAACCGAGGCAAGCACACTCAATCGCAGCGTTGCGTACTCCCTCGCTTTGCGTGCGGTTGCGGGATCGAGCGAGGACAGCGTACATGCTCTGCGCCTCGCACAGAGAGCTCTTCGCCTATCGCCACAGGATCCGAGAGGATGGCAAGCACTGGCAGTCGTCCGTGCCAAATTGGCCGGCCAGGATGGAACGCAATGATACTTTGTACATTTAAATGACCATACATCTGTAATCCGCCGCTTCATGCACTCGCGGGAGGCTTGCTGCTCAGCGCTTCGGAGTCACCCCACGTCATGTCGCCGTTAGTGCGGTTGATCCAGAAGAATTTGTTGTCCCTTTTTTCGCAGCTGTCAGCTTTTGTAGTCATCTGCACGAGTGGCTTACTGAGGATAGTGAGCTATGTCCATAGGAGCTCTGCGCGCCACCAACCTGTAATCAGCAAAAGAAACAGCCTCAGCAAAGCAGATCGCACTTAGTCCCTCCGCAGAGATACTTCATCTCCTCGTCTGTCGTTCTGAACGCATGCGCCGTTGCTTTGCCTTCTGTTCCAGCTTTGCAGCCTACGAAGTCGCCTGGTCCAACTTCGCGCTCTGTCTCCGTCTTGCTATCGGAGTCGTACAGAACGAGCTTAGCATTTCCAGAGAGGATGTAGAACCATTCCTCGTCTATCTCGTGCCAATGGATCGTCGACGATTGTGTATGCGGCGCGAGCGTGCATAAGTGAACGCCAACGGACTGAAGTCCGACTTGTTAGCAAGTCATTCAGTTCATCCTCTATGAGCTAGCTAAAGTACGCACCTGTACTAGCTAAAGCAGCAGACGTGCGCTCTTTTGCAGGGTCAACAGGGTGCGGAATCCGCCTTGTCAACGAAGGAATCGAGGATGCCTTCAAGACGGGGTCGTACATCGTGAAGGATCTTGGTAAGAACAGATGAGGGTGCGACCGTCTCTCAGTATGAAAGGTCGATGACAGCGGCTTTTGGAAAGGGGCGAAGCTCCGACACAGAGTAGATAATCAGCAGTTCACAGTATATATATGCGTCGCGATATAATTCAACCTCGATATCCACTCGTATGGGCGGTATACTGTAAAAAAACCTCGAAACGAATTAACGACGCAAGTCCCTCGATTTGCTCGAGAACGACGCACGGTATTGACGAGTGCACTCAATCGACGCATGCGATCAAGGCTCATGATGCATAAGTCCATCGTCCTCGGCTTATCCTTTTGGCGGGGCACGGCGGGCCGCGACAGTTGATGGGCGGTTCAACGAGCGGCAAGTTCCTTGTGTCCCACGTGACATGTTGAACTTCGGCCGCTGGGGATTACTTGACCGTCAAAGCCGTCGGCAGGTATTGCTTCATCCCAACAGCATTGATGCTCTGTAGGTGAGTAGCGGGCGATAGATTGAGGCGCGCGCGCGCCATGGCGTCGAGCAGAAATTCAAGGCTTGGGGACGGGCCCTTCGTGACCAGCGCTGTGACGGGTCTGATTTCCGTCCCTCGCACGCTTCTCCCTCTCAGGAGGGGCAGGGTGCGCGGCCCTGAGGCCGCTTTGCTAGCCGCTACGTGAGAAGGAAGGCGCTCCGAGGGGCGACATCCCCATGCAGAAGGCAGCTTCTAGCATAGAACCTACGGCTGTCCGGTCCCTGCAGACTGCACATCCCCGCCGCCAGCCACCGCTAAGGTCGCTCCCAACATGCGGACGGTCTTAGTACAACACGTGGATGTGACAAGCACTTCGATCGTATGCGTCGATTGACCGGACTCACCGACAATGTGCGTCGATTTGCATCGAACTCGGGGACTTGTGTCGTTGATTCGCCTTCGAGGTTTTTTTACAGTATACCGCCCATACACTCGCTCGCGTTGTTCACCGGGTCCAAGAACGGCGCATACAGGCACTGCGCGCCGAAGAACGCCACCGTCGTCCTAAGCGGTCTCGCTTCGAGTGGACCATGGCTCATCAGCGCCAGTCCCAGTACTACAAGGATATCAAGGCCAAATTGGGCAGCGAGGATAAGGACATGTACGAGAAACTGGAGAAGGAGAGGATGCTGATCTTGAAGCAGAACGATGAGAGGAGGAAGCAGAAGGAGGAGCTCGCGGCTAAACTTGAAGAAGTGAACAGACAGGCGAGCCGAGCTCTCGGTGCCGAGGAGCACGGATTGCTTCCTTTCTAGCCCCGGAAAGACCACAATACACAGTGCAATTACATCCACTTGGATGAGCAAAGGTACATATTGCACGATAGCGACATCCATTGGAAAACGAGCTAGGGAGCCTCGGACAGCACGATAGGTAGCTGTGAGCGCTCCGGTTGATCCTGAAGGTAAGGAGAGACGATGACACTCATGCGCCACTTCAAGTCCTTGTCGCTGGACGAAAGCTTGAAAGCGTCCAGTAGCTCAACCAGCACGACCTCTGACGAAAGAATTAGCTCCGATCAAGTGAGCAGACACCAAGACTCACTCATTTCGAGCTGCGAGAACTTGAACCCGCTTGACGATGTGTCAGTGTTCGCAACAAGGAAACAAGGGAACATGGCTTACATGCACGAACGGCCACCGCCAAGGAACGTCATGAGGTTGCCGTAGACACCTGCAGACTTTAGGTCGCTATGATGTTCTCGAACATAAATCTCCATCTTACCAGGCATGTGTGCGTCCGCGACGGAGTCAGGAAGCGGCTGAAGCCAGCGCTCGGGCTTCCACTCCTTCGCATCTTCTCCCCAGATGTCGGGATCCCTATTCGCGTTCTGAATAGCGATGATGACGGGAGTATCCTTCGGTACATGAACTTCGTTCATCGTCTTCCCATCAATGCCGACTATCGGGCGACTAAAGGGCATGACCACATCCTCGCGGGCCCTGGGTCTTGTTAAGTCAACGGCACAGAAGAACAAGCCGAATGACTCACAGGCGCAGAAGCTGAGGCAGTGGCGGGAAGCTGTCGAAGCCTTTAGCACACGTTGAGAGTAGCAAACGATTGAGACGGACAGGCGCAAAGTTTCCCGGCACACGGCGTCCAGATACGGGAGCGAGTCGAGTTGATCGTACGAAAGCACATCATGGTCTTTCTTAGCCGCACGTATTTCGGCGCGTAGCCGTTCCTGGACATCCGTGTGCTGAACGAGAAGCGAAAGTGTGCGCGAGAGCGCAGACGACGTGGTGTCCATGGCGGCGAAAATTATTGTACTGAGTTTGAGGTCAGTCGAAAAGGAGAAGCGAGCGAAGTGGCCGAAACTCACGACATCTGACCGAGCAACTCGTCCTCGTCTAAGGGATCCTCTGCTTTCATGTTCGCCCGAACTAGAGGTTGACCGCGTTTAGTCACCTATCCATAGGGAGGTTGACACGTACTTAGCAAACTGAGAATATCCTTCCCCTGCCCAACCTGCTTCGTCACTGCCTCGTCGCCCAGGCGGAGCGCCTCTAGCTTCCGCGAATAGATCTCCTTCGAATTAGCCCACATCAGGTCCACCTTATCCCGCAGATCGTGCACACGGCGCATTGGGAGCACATTGACGACGAGGCGACGCAGCCAGGCGGGACCGAGCTTGTGTACATGAGGAAGGACATAGACGCGCCAGAAGAATACGCGGAACATGGCCGGACTGCGAACGTCAGGTCAGTATGCAACAGATATGTGCGGTATAGCAAGACTCACGCAAGCTCCTTGATGCTGACGGTGTACGGATGCGGGGTTGCGTCCACTGTCAGGTCATCAAAGGAGTGACCTAGACCACTACGACCGATGAGCTCCAAAGCAGTACGACTGATCCATTCCAGCATGTCGATCTCCCGAGGACCATCCTCGGTCAGCGTCTCCAGCGACGTCCGAAGCTGAGCACAAATGAGCAGCGCAGAGTATGCTACATCAAAAGAGCACCCACAGCACCAACGACGTCCTGGAAAATCGGGACTGGGGAATAGGTCAGTACAGTGCATGCTCTGTATTGATGGCGGACGTACTCATGCTCCGTATATGGCTGGTAGAGAAAACCGGGTTCATGAGTTTGCGTTGGCGCCTGTGATCCTCGCCTTCACGAGTCGTCCTCTCATCAGTGAGTACAACGACGCAGGGAGCTCAGGGCGTACCCAGCGTTGACAAGAGCCCCTTTCCAAAGACTACAGTATTCGTCCTATCGCATCATTAGCCGCGAGAAACCAGGGTGGCAGCGAGCAGCCTACGAGATAAACTGAGGATGTTCCTCATAGATGTTCTGGTCCTGCCATAGCTTCAGTGGTTGTCAAATCTCTTCAGACTGGCGACAAACCTTGACCACAATATGATGCAGTGCTTTCGGGTCGGAGACGTAGAGCTGTTTCTCCTGTAGCGCATATTATTGAACTCCTTGATTCGCCCTTCAAAGTGACCAACGCACGCCTAAGAGGCCAGTTGTCCGCACGACAGGACCATCTAGCAACGAAGCGCGTCAGTCAATACCACAGAAAGGTTCGCAAGACGTACACTCATTGGCCAGCTTGTCGTGGAACGCCCATGCGGTGGGACTGAACATCTGACGAAAATTGCCTGCAACAGTCGACACGTGGTTAGCCTCGCGCACAATGGCACTGACAGAAGCTCGCTCACCCGACAAGATGGACTCGGGCGGCGGTCCAGGAATGTTGTCCAGCGAGCTTCGCAGGAGATAACGCGATAGGACGCGCCATAGAACGCGGCCGACGGCCAAAGCGACCACAGCAAAAAGTGCGTTGGTGAGCATGACCGGGACGACCTACCAAGCGCGCAAAGGACGAGGTGAAGTTTCCAACTTGCGAGCTTCTTGCCACTTATAAGTATACCGACCGGTGGTGGAGACCTATTCCCACACACACCCACGAGGTCCTGCTGTCGATTGTCCGATACTGGCGCGCATTATACGCACATGACAACACGGTGCACTGTCAATAGAGCTGGACGAGCTCGCGGTAGTTCGGTAAGCAACGACGGCCTTCCCTACCTCGGAAGGTATGGTATACACGCCTTGCGAGGCCATACACATCCCAGCGAGGATGTTTTCGGTCTGTTTCACCCGCAGCGCTGACAGAGTTGGAACGTTAGCGGTCCGAAAGCGCTCGTGCAGGCGAGCATGGCACGGGCGGCGTGATGGAATCGGTATGCGTGCCCGGGCCAGAGCGTTGGAATGGATGCACCGCGCAGGTGATCCCCCGGATAGGCAAGGCCGGCCTTCGTGTACAAGAGTACCAATGGAGGTGTTGGGATTGACGATGAAATCGACACAGCAAGGGTCCTTCAAGCTGTACAAGCTCGTGTCAAGCAATAGCAAGCGGCAGCAACTCAAGTCGAGGGGTTGAGACTGGAATTTGTGTTGCGGAAGATCACCCTGTGCCTCCATGTTACTCGAATGTATATGCAGAAGGCTTGCAGCAAGCAAGTGCACAGTCATATGGAGGGAGATGGCAGTCCAGGGCAAGAACATCCGGAAGTAGCCGAAGGTCTGAATCCTTGATCCCAAAATGGCAGTGTTTGTTCCCTTGACACTCTATTTGTCCACCTACGCGCGTCGATCTCCCTTGACATCGGCAGAGCGCACAAAGGGAGAAGGGATAATATCCTCCGAGTCCAGTATACATACTCCAAGGACGTGCTATATAATAAGTAGTGGCCTCCATGCTGTCCCATACCGCCCTCACACCGCCCCTTCACCTCTACGCGCCCAACGGCTTGTACCCCAGCACGAGATACAACCGCCTCTCCAGTCCCTCTTCTGGCTGCTCTGCAAACCGCGCCACATCTTCCAGCCACGTCAATAGCAGCTTCTCCTGTTGTTTCCGCGGGAGGCCCTCATGCGGAATGCCGCGGTCTGCCAGCGCGTCCGCAAGCTCCTCGTCAGTCAGTCCTACACGCTTCGTAGGCAAGATCTCGCGGATGAGGAGCGCGTCATCTGCAGCCACTGCGCGCAGCTGCTTCTCGATATTCCTCCGCGGGAAAAAGCCTGACGTGTGTAATATCCTGGACGCAAAGCAGTCAACACAGCGATTTGACCCTACGATATGCAGCGAACCCACCTGCATAAATCCGTCTGCGCCAGTCGCGGAACGGTCGACAGTGCGGCCAGGCTAACGCGCGGGGGATCGCCCTTAGCTGCAGCTCGCAGCTCAGCGAAGGTGGACCCTGAGCGCGCACTGGCTTCGACAGCAGCGCGATGCTTCCCCTCGATGATGCGCGCGCGCTGAATCGGCAGCACGCAGGTCGAAGGAAGCATCCACGGTGCCCAAATCGCGACGAGGGGGATGAGCTCCTCCGCGATAATCACGATCATGATGAATGGTACCATCCTGAGCAAGCAACCTGAGTCAGTCTTCCAAGCGAAGAGCACCACATTGACACGTACTTCCTCACATCCTGTTCATGCAGCGCAACCATCCGCACCTCCGCCCGTGTCGGCGGTGGTCCCGGGGCCGTCCCCTTCAACCGTGCACGAATCTCCCGCACCTGCGGCGCACGCGTAGCCACCATCTTCACACCATTATAGTAGAATTTCTGCGCGACTCGTCAGCAGGTGTGTCGTCACCGCACAAACACTCGAAACGCAGGCAGATCATTCTGACAAACCAGCGCCATCCAGGCCAAAACCACTCACCGTATATTGTACAATTGTGTGCCACCACTTGCCCAACGTGCTGGCATCCGGCGGAGGGGGCTTGAAGACGCCGTGGACGTATGCTTCCTGCAGATCTTGCGCGACTGCCTCCTTCACGTCGTGCGGATGCAGCGGAGACGGAGGCGGTGGGGGATGCAAATGTGAGGCGTCATTGGTGTCCTTCTTACTGGAGGAAGGGGTAGAGGAAGCCTTCTTCGTCGCGGACGAATTGGGCTTGATAGGGCCCGGACGGAGGACGACCTTCGGCTCTTTGGCCTGCGGGGTAGGGCTGGGTGCTGAGTCTCGCTGTTCGCGCCGTGCGGGGTCGGTGTTAGGCGTAGAGTAGTAGCGGTGCAGAAGTATGGGCGAGGGGTTCAGGGAGGGGAAGGAATGGGATGAGCATCCAGTGACAAGGGACGCGTGCGCCTGGAGGATCGACGAATGCCGGTACAAGTCCGTCGGCCTCACAAGGGACCTGCGATATGGTAAGTACCGAAGTTCTTTCTGTTTTGCATGCTACGCACGGTATTAAGCCCGCATTTCTGCGAGCAGGGGCGAACATAGAGTCCCGTCTGGAGATGGGACAGGCGGGAAGTGGAGGTGGCGGAGAGGAAAATAAGTACCACGTGACCGAAGCGGAGAGGTGCCGTCGGGCCGTACCTCCGCGCCAATCCGCTTCTCGGCAAGCTCACGTTCATCTTGGTTCTTGCCATTCCGCGTCGCTGCCTACTAGCGCTTACTGCTCGTGAGGTGTATCGTCTGTCTGCTTGTCCCAAATTTACTCTCTAATCTTCCGTGTCTTGAAGGTTATCCATCCAGCGAGCACTGGGATAAAGCACGCAAACCATTCGGCTGCCCCGTGTAGCTGCAACCTGCCGAAGCGTCGCGTCAGCGTACTACCATCGTACACCTTCGGCAGACCCGGGCAGCAACCATCGCAATGAATGCGGCCTTGATGACCTCAACTCCGTGCTCGACGCGATATCCTCCGATTATTGTGGCGCGCAGGGTGCAGCTGACGCGGCTGGCAGCCCTCTTGGCCGTACTGCCAATCCGTGCCCAGTCTTGACTCGTCATAAACGGTGCGCAATGATAAGACATCCTATTCCGTTCGCGTCATTGCAAGATGTCTTTCTCCCGCGGGCCTTCGTGACCTTTCTATCCATGTCATGGGAAAGACACTGCATCGGTGCTGGTTGGCTGGCTGATCGTATAGATAGGTGCCTGATAAAGTACAAAGGCGCCAGAGGCGTCTAGTTTGTAAGAGCGTACATGACCTTGATATGACATGCTAGTACCCGCGTGCACCCGCCCCATTAAAAAGGACGACGGGGCGGGTCTAGCGACGTGCCTCCCTTTGCGTCCGTCGGCGAGAGCGGCGGTCGATATCGGGCTCCTTGAATTACAAATCGTGCAGTATAACTTCCTACCTGCGTCCCCCCTCCTCCAGAGCACGAACATGGCAGGCTGGCCGCCGAGTCCACGTCGATCGCATGAGCAAAGCCGAGGCCGGCGCTCAAGCGAAGATCACCCCTGGCCAAACCGGGGCGACTCAACGGGATTTCTCGAAGTGGAAACAGCTCCGCGCAAGCGAAGCGCCTCGACTGATGGACCGAGGGTAGCAGCTGACGGAGCGAGTGGGAAACGTTTCCTCTCGACAAGTGCGGCGGAGGCACCCGAGCTGGGGGAGGTCGCGCGAGGGCCAGATGGAGGCGAGAAGGAGCGGGGCACGGGGCCCCGGGGCCTCGGCGCGCTGGCAGACAAACTACATGCAGCGCACGCGCACCATCACAACCGCTTCCACCCCGCTCACTTCCTCCACCATCATCACCACCACAGCGACCAGTCCTCGGCGATGGCCGCGTCTCCTGCAAAGGGCCCCTACGGCCGCACCTACGACTCCAAGCTCGTCACCCGCGAGATGCATCGCCTCGGCAACCTTGCGCATCTTCCTGCAGGCCTCGCCGGCGCCGCTGCCATCGCTGCCCCCGCCGTCGCCACGGCCAACATTCCCGCCCCCGCACCGGCCGCGAGCACTAGCGCTACAGACCCGTGGAGCACCTTACACGTGCACGTCCTCCCGCTCTTCAATGGCGAGCCATTGCGCATCCCCATCGAGGACCTCAACGTCCTCGTCAAGCGCCATATCCAGACCGTCGTCTCCGCCGCGCCTTCCAAGGCCTTGACCACCTTGGAACATGACCTCACCGAACTCATCGCCTCGGGCATGGTTACCCTGAACGCGAAACTCGTGGGCGTTGACGACGACAAGCTGCTCGTCCGCGTAGTGGAGATCTGGGGCTTTTTCTGGGACCAGGTCCTCCCATACGTCGAAGGAGTGCGTAGCTTACCCTTCGCCATACGTTGACTAACGCATCCCAGGTCCTCCTACCTCTCCAAACCGACCCTCTTCTGTCCTCCCTCTACCGTACACCCAAGCAGACCAAAGCCTCTCAAGTGCACCGCACCTCTTCTCCGACGCGCCACCACCAAAGCACCGGGTCTGCCTCGAATCTCAACTCCGGCAACCTACCCTCCATCGACGTCCGCACCGCCGCCCTCCGCGCCTTCCGCGACCGCGTCATTGCCCCGCTTGCCCCGCGTCTTCACGCACGCATCCAGGCCCAGCGCGACGCACCTCTGGCCAGCCCATCCTACCAACAACCCCGCCTCCAACAGATGCTCCTCGTTCTTTCCTCACAGGCCCGCGCTCGTCCGCAGAACACCTTCAGCGTCCTCACCGCACCACCGACACCGCCCTCCCCTGCCGAGTCTGCCATCACAGACCTCCTTCGCGCCCTTCGCGCGCCGCACACCCACGCGCACCCCACCGCCGCCGGCGCGCCGAGCTCCTTCCTCGCCGGAGGCGTTCCGCGCGACAGACGAGGCCGCGTCGGCCGCCGTCCAGGGAACTGGCAGAACCTCTCGCTTGACGGTGCCGACGACACGGCCACCATCAGCGGCCTCACGCCACGCGGTGACCGCGAGCGCGAGTTCCTGGACTCCCTTCGCAGCCCGGATCCCGAGCCAGACGTGCGCGCCAGCGTCGGCGGTTGGGGTCTCGGCGGCGGCAAGGAAGAGATCCGCGGGATGGAGGAGGACGATGATGAGCCGATGGACTGGGATTCCGCGCAGGCTGTCGTCGAGCGGATGGTTGGGATGAACGCATCGACGCCGACTGAGGCAAGCACTCGTCGAAGGCCGACCTAACACAGTGAATAGAAGTTTCCGGTCTCGACTTGCGTATCCTATGCGTATCCTACATCGTACTATACGTTGCTTACGAGTTTAATGATACTAATGACTGCAGTGATGATTAGTTTTGTGACCGGAGGCAAATCCTTTGTTTCTGTTTTAGGAAGGCTTTGCTGCTAAACCAGGCAATCGTCCGAACTGGCGACAGCCTGCTGCCCAATACAAGCATCGACTGACCGCGCACTTGAGAGGGATGTACTGTCCCTTTCAAATACTCTCTCTCTTGAACTTTCGCAGCAGGGTTCTTCAACACATCCTCTTGGTGCGCTCCAGATTCTCGTCAATGCGACACACGTTCGAATCACCTTCACCAGCTTCATCTTCTTGCTATATGAGCCCCCACGTGTAAAATGCTCTGACTGGCTAGTAAAGCTCCTTGCATCTGTTTGGGTGTCTTGAAGTTCAATGGAATTCAGTGTTCGCAGCGCTTCGCGAAAATCCCGGACTTTGCCGTTTTGCAGGTTGCTCCTCGCCATCACCAGTTCAAAGGTCTTTCGGCGTCAGCGCGATCTACCGAAGTGACCGCGCTATCAGAGCTCGACGTTTTGCGCTTGCAGGTTGCTTCTGTCGCTCTCAAACGCAACTCGCGATGAACGACCCTCAGCCCTCGCCATCGCTTTCGACGGAGCTTGAGGACGAATATGACATCCGTCTTTGCAGTCGCTGCGAGTACTCCCTCGAGATGGAACCGAATATATCTCTCGCGGATGTGGAAAGTCTGCGCACTGGAGCATTGCTCGAGCCTGCACATGTCGTGCACGCCAGGGAACTCACAGAGAGCCGCATATCATCTGTAGACGAGGTCATTACCTCGCTACACACGGTGCACGACTGTACCGACGGCTGCACCGTCCCCTCCACCAGCTGTCGCCCCCTCTCTGCCTCCACCTACGACGCCGATGCCCAATTCAGTATGTCGCCCGTCGCCCAATCATCCGAGAAGGACTTCTCCCCGTGCTCCGTTGGCAATATTTGCGCCGTCATGCAGGGTGTGGTCTTGACAGAGCTGAAAGAGCATAAACGTCGGCTCTTGCGTCGCGCCGACGTCCAGAAGGCCTACGTTGCTCCCATCCGGCGTCTTCCTGCGGAGCTCCTTTCGGAGATATTCTATCACTGCTGCCTTGAATTTGACGACATCACTTCGAGAGGAAGCTGCATGCCGCTCGTGCTCGGTACGGTGTGTAAGAGATGGCACGGTGCGTACCTGCGTGCTCTCGGTCGTACTGCTTCTGAAGTTGGCTTCGCGTTAGATATTGCGCACGACACGCCACGCCTGTGGACCGACGTCAGTCTGAGGAGGTCTAAATTCGGCGCAGAGCTCATACCTCCTGACGCTCTTCGCACGAGGTTGCAGCTCTATCTGCGCAACTCCAAGGGTCTCCCGTTCTCAAGCGAAGTCGCGTTTTACAGCATGAGCCGCCAAAGCCCTCATACCGTCGCTTTCCCTCTGCTACTACAGCATGCTGATCAGTGGACGGTTGTCGAGATTAGACAGCATGGATTCAGCAAAGCCACCGAAGGCGTCACATTCCCGAGACTGCATACAGTCATAGGCAATGTTTTTGGCATGGCACTCATGAAAAGCGAAGGGCTGATGCTTGAACGTGCTCCCGCTCTACGCCGCGCAATTCTGGAAGATGTCCCGCGGGACAAGCGCATCCCTGGCCTTCCCTATGATCGGTTCGAGTGGATGAGGCTCAGGAGCAGCGCACTCTTCGCTGTGAAAATCCTTCCGCTCTGCTCCACGCTCGCTACTTTGGAGTTCTTGGTGGAGCACGGAAGGCAGCGCACGCTGCCAGACTCTGTCGATCTATCGAGTCTGCGCCATCTTCAACTCAAGACTATATCCGTTTCGGTGGCCATCATGAAGTCATTCAGAGCTCCTTGCCTCGAGTCCCTGTCCATAGAATGGCACACGCCCTTTGGACTCTTCAACTCTGGAACTGGACCTGCCGAAGATGGGGAGGCACTGGCAGCATTCTACGCGCGAACGCGACCACCATTGCGCGAGATCAGTCTCTTCAATCCCCACTCCCAGGCGCGAGACTGGGTGTTCTCTGTCACAAGCCTACAGGCCCTGAAGCTCGAGTTGGGTGATGCCCCCTTCGACGACAACTGCGCAGCGATGCTAGCAGCTCTCGATGATGGAATACCCCGTTACTTGCCTCATCTCGAGACACTTCATCTCAAGGGAATGATCTGCGCCTCCGGGACGTTACTCTTGCAGATGGTCCGCGCGCGTGTGGCCAGCGGACTCCGCACCCTACATCTTGACCTCCGCCTAGCCAGCTTGAGAAAGCTGGGTGAGTCGAAACTCTTCGACCTCCTCCGGCAAGCCATGCCTGCTGCTAGCATCGAGGGAAGGGAGAAGCTTCTCAATCACATTGTACGCCGTATTTGTACTATAACTGCGGCAGCGAGCTGACATGGCATGCGACTAGGCCGCGCAGGAGAGGAGTGACACCATAGACGCTGAATTCGATGCGGAGTTGGTTCGCATAGCCGAGTGGGAGGAGATAGTGCGCAGGCGGGATGAGGCAGCGTGCAATTGGGTACTCAATTAATGGATCAATATTGATGAATGACAGGAACAGTGTACGGTTCTTCCAACTGTATGTTCTGGAGCAATGCATCGCGGCTAGCATCCTTGGTGTCGCCGTCGGTTGGCGATGGATGCGCCCACATCCCTGTGCACGTGATCACGTCGCTGCTCGGACGTTGCCGCGCTCTGGTACGTTTTCACGTTGTTTCCGTCCATGTCGAAGACAAAATCTGCTATGAACTGCCCTCATCCCTCCTCGCTCCCGACAGAGCTTGCGGATGACCATCAAATTCGTCTATGCTGCCACTGCGGAAACTCCATCCAGATCGAACCGAAAATATCTCTCGCGGACGTGGAAAGTCTTCGCACCGGAGCACTGCTGGGGCCTGCCGACGTCGCGCACGCCAGGGAAATCACAGAGGGCCGCATTAGCTCTGTCGACGCGGTCATTGCTTCTCTTCAGAGGGTCTTGATCGAGTTGGCAGAGCATAAGCGCCGTCTCTTGCGTCGAGTCGACGTTCAGAAGGCCTACGTCGCTCCCATCCGGCATCTACCTGCGGAACTACTTTCGGAGATTTTCAACCATTGTTGTGTCCAATTTGACGACATCACGTCGAAGAACAGCTGTATGCCTCTCATTCTCGGTGCAGTATGTAAGAGGTGGCACGGTGGGTGTTTTCGGGCTTGCCGTCGTACTTCATCCATTGACCCTCTGCCAGACATCGCTCACGACACGCCTCACCTGTGGACAGATATAAGAATGAGCAAGGGTCTGTACGGTGGAAAGCACATACGTCCAGACGCTCTTCGCGCAAGATTGCAGCTGTATCTGCGCAACTCCAAAGGTCTCCCGTTCTCGCATGCCGTTCAATTCTACAACGACGTGGACTCCACGAACCCTCATGGCGTGGCTTTCCCTCTCCTACTACAGCACCCCGACCGGTGGACTAGCGTCGACATCCGATATCCTGGATTCAGCAAAGCCACCAAAGGTGTCACATTCACTCGACTGCACACAGTCATGGGCAACGCATTTGGTTTCACATTCATAGAATCCGAAGGGCGGGTGCTCGAGCATGCGCCTGCTCTACGTTGCGCAATCCTGCAGGACATCGCCGAGGACAGATATGTCCCTATCCTGCCGTGGAATCGGTTTGAGAGGATGAATCTGAGGTCCATCGCACTCTTCGCCGCGAAAATCCTACCGCACTGCTCCGCACTAGTCACCTTGGAGTTTTCGCCCATGGCACCAAGAGATCGAAGTAACCAAGCCATACTGCCAGGTACGATCCGCCTACCAAGTCTTCAGAACTTGCACCTCGACATCAGCCTCGATGAGGGGTGCGTTCCGATGATCTTCATGAAGTCATTCATGACACCTTGCTTGGTCTTCCTGTCCATGAGATGGTCAACATCGTATGGATATCATTGTGACCCAGAGTCTGGTTCGGCCGAAGATGGAGATGCTCTCGCAGTGTTCTATGCGCAAACGCGACCTCCGTTGCGCGAGATCAGTCTCTCATATCCCCATTTCCAAGCCCGCGACTGGGCGTTCTCCATCACCAGCCTCCAGGTCCTGAAGCTCGACCTGGGATACAGCGCACCCTTCGACGACGACTGCGCGACGCTATTGGCGGCGACTGATGCTGGGGTACCCCGCCTCTTGCCCCACCTGGTGACGCTCCACCTCAAGGGCCGTCTACGCGTTACTGCGGCTTCGCTCCTGCAAATGGTCGAAGCGCGTGCGAACCGTGGGCTACAGGATCTGCATCTGGACATTCACTCAGCCAACATGGATAGACTCGGGGAGCCAGAAACGTTCGACCTCATACGGCAAGCCATGCCTGCCGCCGTCATCGAGGGGGTGGACGCGCTCGTCAAATACATCGTACGTCCTGACCTTGTTCAGCCAGGTAGGAGGGAGCTGACAAGTCGCTGAGTAGGCAGAGAGAGCGCGCCACAACGAATTGGAACTCCAGTTCTTCGCAGAGATGGGTCAGGATCAGGAGTGGATCGAAGAATACATACGTAGTCGGGATAGGAAAGCGTACGAACGGTGACGACAATGGGCTGTCTTGACGCAGGTCTTCGGCATATCAGGGACACGGAACAGAGTGAGGAGGGTCGTTGGTAGACCATGGCAATTGTCTCCAGGATGGACGGGAACCTAGTATGACGATGTAGCGTAATGGGATGCATTGCAGAAGGTCTATTCCGGACCAACGTCTGCCGACGACGGTCCTGCCGGTGTGTAGCAGAGCACATGCTGCTCGAGAGGAAGGTGGAAGCCGGACAAGGCTCATACGGCCTGGGAAGTATGTGAGCAAACAATCCCGCTCTTCATATGCAACCCACGCACCTTTGGCGCAACGCTCAAAATCTTGCTCCACCCCTTCTTTCGCAAGTCCGCGCTGACCACACCCGCTATCCGCGTGCCCAACATTTCCCGCTTGTTGTTCAACAAGACCGCCGCGTTGTCGTCGAAGCGCACCATACGCCCGTCGGGTCGACGTACTTGCTTCCGTGTCCGCACAATGACTGCTCTCCGGACGTCTCCTCGGCGCACCTTGACCGCCGTCACCGAGTTTTGCGCCGCGACGGACACCGGGCGCGCGCGCTTTACGACGCAGACAATCTCGTCGCCGACGGAGCCCCAGCCATTGTTAACCTTGTTCTTGAGGACGTTAACGCACTCAACGACGACCGCGCCGGAGTTGTCTATGCACTGAAGTGTTGTCTTAGCATCGACGAGCGCGGTGAAGGGGCTGCGACGCGCACGTTTAGCAGGCTCTTGAGCTGGATCATCGCGGAAGGTGAGGCCGGTGTCAAATTCTCACGACCTCGGCGCGTTGATCGCTCGAGCCGGACCGGCGTCCGAATAGCCCCGCTAATTACCTTTCTCGGAAGACAAAGGCAGCATCACGTGAAAAGTTCAACTTTCTGGATGCAGATACGGTATCTTTGCAGGCCGTCGGCGATTAGAGCTGAAAAGCATGCTTGCATGCATGTAGTACTGTCTCCTCATTCGTGTGGTCTTTTTCTCAACAATTCGCATGCCAACGGGACAATCGAGCAAACAATCCCGCGAGGCCCGCTTGCGTCCGGCCTCCGTCTCACGGCGATTTCGCATGGTTAGAAAGCCGCCTGGGTGCATGGCGAGCGCAATATACCCGCATACAGCAAAGAAGCCCTTCTTTGATACCAGAGAAGGCAACCCAACATTAACGGACAACAACCGTGGGCAAGGCATCGAATGGGCACTCGGTCGCGCGTGCTTCCGCTCCACGCCCGCTCTGCAGCTTCGATTCGCATCTGGTCGACCTGGGAGACAGCCGCGAGGGATTCAACATAAGGCGGAGGCGCGGCCTCATTCGCACGTAAAAGCTTGAGACGCATGACTTGTCCGAGGTCGGCGCGAGATTTTACTGAATGTCCGCCGTGCTTCTGTATAGTATGCGAGGCGCCTCACGCACCCTGCAGCCAAACCCTCGAGGAAGGATATACGTGCGCATGACCGAAGGGTAAAGACCAGACGCACCCCGCAAACCATACCGCCACTCGCTGCTGGCAGACGTCCGCCAACAGCGGAGCCTCCGCCTGATGCAGACAACCGCATTCGCAACAACACGCAAGAAGCAACTCCTTCTCCCGATGCACGTTCGATGAACGCCGGGTCGACGCCAACAAATAGACGCGCGCACGATCCCATCCCAAATCCGCCCCCATGATTACCTGCCAAGGTCCTTCCTCGGCAATACGCCTCCACCCCCACTCGCCGCCCGCAACCTCGAGCACTGTCCGGGACCGAAAGATAGAAGACGGGCGATGCTCATTGCAGGCTGCGCATGACGCTATGTAGTCCGTATTAGCACCGATATCTACCAGTACGGTTGATAGACAGTGACGGCCGCGTCGCGCACTATTTCAGGCGCATCAGCGTCCGGGCGGGCGGAAGACTCTGGTGACTCACCCCAATCTTCCAGTCGCAGGAATAGGTAAATCAATATGACGTGGCGGATATGTTCAGTCGGGTAAGGCGAACCAACCGGCGACTGTCGGCGGGGCCTACGTGAATCCAGGCGGTGAACGTGTCGTCGGAGAGCCGCAAGCGCCAATAGCTCGGGTAGAGTGGTCGCAGTAAGCTTCAGAAGAGCAGCCTTTGCGAAGCGACAGCCTAGTCAAGCGACCACGTCCATATCTTGGGGTTGAGACTGCATAGCGCGGGTAGCCAGGACTAAGCCAGGACTCCTGTGCGTACTTTGGCGGTCTCAAACAGTGTTCGATAGTTCGAAAGAAGGCTCGAAAGGACTTCTGGGCCATCGTTCTTCTGAAGCTGAAGCCGTGATCACGAAGATAGGCTCGCGGAGTGCGAAATGGCGGTAGTCGAAGTAGATCGAAACACCTGAGGGGCTGTAATAGTCTTTCTTCGCGTAGTCGAGACAATTGCAGAAGGGTTCTAATGGCGCGAGAAGGGGAAAACATTGCTCTAGGAAGTTCGTGTCTCCCGTTGGCGATATGCAGAGCTTGGCGAGTAAGTCCAAGGGAACTCGTGCCCTTCTGTAGATCGTTTCTCCTGTCAGGCGGAGTGGAAGCCAGATAAGCAGGCAGCGGACCCAGAGAAGATCTCGAAGGCACCACGCCAACGTCGAATGGACGAGTGTATACCGTCACCTGGCGCGTACAGAGCTTTAGGGGATAGATGGTTCCGTGAGTGGCATTACTAGGTCGGGTGGCCACAAAATACTCGTAGGACGGACCCCCTCCCGCTCGTTCGAGGCACGATGCCGACCACAGCCCGCTGCCCAGCCGCGCACGGATTGGACAGTGTCGCCGTGGCCGAGCCATTAAGAGGGTAAGCATCCCGTCGGCGGTCTGTGGTCGGCACAGAGAGCACCGTGCCTGGCCAGCAGTGCGTTCGCTCTGGTGGTTAGGAACGCCCCCTCGCGCTGAAGCCGATCGGTGACTCACCCGCTGAAACCCCCCATGCGCGCCGCGTCCACGCACTGTTCCGTCTGCACCATCGCGGACCGGGTGGCGGCGACACGTTGGACGGCGCCTTCTACCGCCGTCGCTCTGGTCCTGCTGTGAATCTCCATGCGGGAGGAAGTCGAGGTCAGCATAAGTCGCCGTAGAAGGACGTCTGCAAGCGCCGCGGTGATACCGAGGACGTATGTTGATGTCGAGGGCGTTGGAGCGAAGCAGGCACCGTAAAGGGATGAATGCATGGTTAGGGGATAACGTGCGTGCTGTGGTAAAGGTAGAACATGCGCGGGCGCAAGGGGTCAGCCACCTCCTATGGCTGGGGCGGGCATCCTCCGGCGGGGAGTAGGAAGCACTGTTGGGGTGTCAATCAACAAGCCGAGAAAGTGTCGTGAATAGCCGGGGAAGTAGATGTCTTTTCTGTTTGAATGCACGCTGGACCCGCGCCTAGCCTGAGCCGCGCCCCCGCGTAATGAAAGCCCGCGCGTGTTCGGAGGAGGCAGGTGCCCCAAATGCGACGTTTGTACGTGTGTGGTGGTAGGTTCGGCTGCGGTGCAGTGCAGGCAGCAGGCGTGGGGCGCAGCAGGCCCATGTGGGTCCGAGGAGAGGCAGTATGGACGCCACCGCGCGGGTGGCCTGGGTGCACGCGCGGAGAAAAATGGGCAGAGACGGAACGTGCTGTCGCCTGGCCGACATTTAGGCGGGGGCGCGCGGGGGGTGCTATATCTGATATTGTAAACTTGGTGTGCGGTGTGGCAGTGATGTTCGGACTGCGGCCGAGCAGGCGGCTCGTGTGCAGAAGCATCTGTTCCACAGTCATATGGGGCGTGGGGGCGGGAAGGAGCTGGGGCCGCGGCAAGCGAGAGCGGAAGGGGTTGTGCGACAGGGGAGTTTGAGGCGGCTGGCCGTGCTCGTTTCTGGTGGCGGTTTTTTGTGAATTTCGGGAGTCGTGGGGAGCAGCACTGGAGGGTCAATTTACTGACAATTCCGTCGCCTCGGCCGGGCTTTTGCCGCCTGTTCGTCGTCATGTGGACTTTTGCGTTGTCGAGCATGTGGAACTTGATGAGCACACGGCGCAGGCACACGCGTGACACGGAGATTGAGTTTCCTTGTGAGGACGTTGATTATCGTGTCGCTTTCTTCCTCCACCCCCTTGACCTCCTCCTCCTCCTCTGCGTGCTCAGTGGCCATCTCGTGGGCGCTTCCGTCGGTCGCCCTATGCGAGTCCAGTCGACGCTTTCTGCCGGTCTCAGCGTCTCCCTCCCGCTCTAGTCCCAGCCGCGACGAGCTATCTGGCAGCTTAGAATGCTCCAGTACCCCATCCAGCTCCCGCCGCTCGATCTCCGTCCGCAGAAAAAGTCTGGAAAGCATGCCGCAGCACCGCCAAAGCCCACGCCCCCACCCCCACCACCGCCGTCCGCGCCTCCAGCCGACGACGTCCCGGAAGACCCCCTGCTCCCCGGAGATGTCGTCGGTGAAGGCTGCTACCTCCTAGGCGAGCCCATCCAGGCCGTCCCAGTCAGCCAATACCTCCAAGCACCGCTGTCTCCGTCCACCCCGTCCTTATCGCGCTCGGCTTCCACGTCCTCATCGGACTCAGAAGGCCTCGAGTCATCTGGCACCACTTACGACGAGGCGCCACCCGCCAGGTCGTTCAAGGTCATCCGCAAGCTCGGCGCCGGCTCCTACGCCGTCGTCTACCTTGTCGCGGAGGTCCTGGACGACGATGAACAGTCGGACTCGAGCGACGATGGCGTTCTCGGTTCACTCGACGAGACGCAGGCCAAGCACGTGGAGAGAGCCCCACGCTTGGGAAGGCACTACGCGATCAAGTGTCTTTCCAAAGCAAACCTGGATGAGGAACAGCTCCAGGCGCAGGCCATCGAGGTGAGTCATCTGGCAGAATAACCATACGGCGTAGCTGACGAACACCCGCCAGGTGGTCATCCACCAGTCGTTGGCGCCCCACCCCAACATTGTCACGCTCTTCCGCACCCTCGAATCCGCTTCGTATCTGCTGCTTGTTCTCGAGTATGTTGAAGGTGAAGACCTCTTCTATTTCTTGGAGGGCGGCAGGGACTCCTGTGACGACCCGCACACACCGGGTAAGTCCGCTTTGTCGCCACAACAGCAGTGCGCGCCTAACGCTATCGCAGACCCTATGCAATCTCCTTCACGAACACCCCCTACCCCATCTCTTCTAGCTGCAAGTTCTCCGTCTCTGCTTCTATCACGTTCTCGACTTCGGCTCGTCGCAAGTATGTTTCGACAGATGTGCGACGCCGTCGAAGCCTGTCATGCCCAAAGTGTGTTCCATCGCGACATAAAGCCAGAGAACTTTATCGTCACGGAGTCCACTTCCACTCCCTCCGCCACGAATGATTTCAATCCACACACCCCCCTCCGCCCATCCGCTTCCCGGCGTCCGTCGCTTACCATGGCCGCGTCGTCCTCTCATGCATTGTCCCGCCCATCCTCGTCTACCCCCACTCGCCGTGTCGTCGTCAAGCTTACGGACTTCGGCCTCTCTACCCGCGACCAAGAGTCCTCCGACATGGACTGCGGGAGTGCGCCGTACATGTCCTACGAATGTCGCAATAACGTGGCTCCGACTTACAAGCCCAAGGCCGCGGACGTCTGGAGCCTGGGTATTGTTCTCATCAATATGTATGTTGGTGTTCATCGATTTCATACTCGCTACTGACATGTATGCAGGTTATACCACCATAATCCCTGGACCGATACCATATTGCCTTCAAAGTCTGACCCATACACGGCCGGCGCCTGCTCATCTTTCCTCCAATATCTGCAGAATCCTGTTCAGTTCTTCCTCACCCGCTTCGCGGGCATGACGCTTCCTGCTGCGCGCTTCCTGTCCGAGCGCGTATTCTGCGTGCCAGACACCGATCGCTGCTCGGCGAAGGAGTTCGGCGAGTGGGTCAGCGGCACCGGCGCTTACGCTGTTCATCCTCCGTCTGCCTCATATCGCCCATCCTCGTCGGCTTCTACCGCGACTGCCACCGAAGACCGGTACGGACGTGGCGGGCTAGGTGTCGTCTTCGGCGTTGAGGTGCGCCAGCGCGCGCCCTCAATCTCGCTTGCGCACCGTGTAAGCGTCGGCAGCATCCCGCCCTCGCGTCGCCCAAGCTCCCGCGCAAGCTTCGCGCCTAGCATTAACGTCGGTCACATCTCTGCCGAGCCCGAGTCCGACCAGATCCAGGACTTCTCGTCGGAGGTACGCATGTCGAAGGCGCCTCTTCAACGTCAGGCAAGCGACACCGCCGACTCGGTCTCGGGCAGCGCGTTCTTTACCTCGCGCTCGACGTCGACGAACAAGCGCCGCAAGCGCGGTGCTCGGCGTAACAAGGGCAACAACGGCAACCAGACGCCCACTTCGGTCGCCAGCGGGGCCGAGCCGGGTGCCATGGTCGACGTCCTCGCTGAGGCCAGCCAGAAGCTCGCGCGCGAGATCAGCCGCGTCAGCCACCCGAAGTCGGACGTCATCGAGGAAGTACCGCGCACGGCTACGGCACCGCCCCGTGTCCCTAGCGTCGGCCAGCCGTCCACGTCGAGCGTGCGTAGCAGCAACAGCAGGCAGAGCGCCGCCAGCGGCCAGAGCGGGTCGAGTGCGAGCACCACGACGCGGCGCAATCGGCGCGTCCCTTACGAGCCGCCCTCGATGTGGGGCGTCCCCGAGGCGCTCTGCACCAACAACGCGGCGCCGACGAGCCGGCCCGCGTCAGGCAAGGTGGCGACGACGCGCAGGATCACGCAGAATGCGTCAACCAGCACGTCATCGCTGCAAGGCAAGAAGTCGTCCAAGTGGAAGCTTTCTTTCGGGAAGAGCCAGGTTGGTATCGCGAACTATGGGTCTGGCTTGTCCGACTCATCGTTACCACAGCTCCCTCCGGTGGCAGACGATGCGGCGTCCACAATGTCGATGGACTTTGCGAACGCGGACAACATGAGCATCACCAGCTTCGCCATGGGCTCTGGTCCTATGGGCAAGTTTGCGTCTCCTCCTGGTCGCCGCGAGCTCTCGCCGCCTCGCGCGCAGGCGCCTCGTCCTCCTCGGGAGCCGTCGCCCACACCGCCGGCTCGTACGGAGCCTCGTCCTCATATGACGGTGGCAGCGGCGAACGTCACGGATCTCATTATGGGCCTCAACGCACCGGTCAGTCCCGCGACACCCTCTACGGCACAGAGCAGCTCTTTCTCGCTCGACGCGAACCCTGTGCGCGGGCGCAACACGTTGGAGGGCAACTCGCCACACTCCCGGCCTCGGAACTTCGGCAGTCCTTCGCCCAGCCGTAGCGTGGCGTCGTCTGTCTATTCTGCTGACTACGTCGCGCCGGCGTCACAGCTGCGCCAGACCAAAGGTACTACTCCCACTTTCGCGAAGACTCCCTCTCCTCATCGCGGCGGCGGCGTAGATCCTCATTGGGCAAGTCTCAGCGGCGCCAGTCTCGACATTCCGACCTCATCCAACCAAGCGACGCCTACCGCGAAGCCGACCAAGATGAGCAGCGGCCGTGGAGGAAGCGGCAACTGGCGCAACTCGATGAGCAGCACGGCGACTGGCTCGACGAGCGCGACGACGAGCACGACCGCGTTTACCCGATACAGCAATGGGAGCCGCGCGAGTGTCTCGACGACCGCGACGAGTGTCAGTGGCACGAGTTGGAGGGCAGGTGGTGGCGGGAGTATCAGCAGCGGCCATAGCGGCAAGACGAGCCCAACTAGTTTCACCAGCAATGGGAACGGGAAAGGCGGATATCAGACACTTCCGCGGAACATCAAGGGTGAGTCCGTCTTTTGAGACCTCTCGACGTACTGGCTAACGCTCGAGCAGTCATGAATGGTGTTCCCGGTATATTGCACGAGCTCCCTCGGGGGCAGAACCCATCTCTCGACGGCTATACACAGGCCCCTCGCAAGCAGCGCACACGCAAGCCGCCGAAGGACCTCACTTTGGACACTATCAACGAGCGACCCCCCGCCACCTCGTCGGCGCAGAAGTCGCCCACCGCGGAGGGCCCGGCCGGCCGGCTCGCGGACGCGGCGACGAGCACGACGGACCTCGACGGGGTCGAGTTTGACGGCCAGAAGAAGGTTCAGCGCGGGCAGATCAACGCGCTCGCGAAGATGCTGTCCGCTCTGCGGCGGTGAATCGTTACTGGCGCTTGTATTATGAACGCGTCCCCGGACGCTCACAACACCCCTCTTGTCGGACTCGGCGGCGGCGGCTCCCATCTTCCCCACTTCCCCAGCCCTGCCTCGATGGCTCCCCTCGCCTCCTCGTCGCCGCCGTCTCTGTGTATTACTACGAATGTCGTCTGGTATACTAGCTATCCTCGTGTCGGCGACGCATCGCCCATCCACTCGCTCCATTGTCGTTTTCTGTTTTCCTGTGTTTATGTCGAATTTGGGTCCCCCGTCTGGCCCAGACGGACTGACTGTATTTACTTAGATTCGACGGAGTCGCAGTTGCATTGTCATCCAATTCAATCATTCGTGCAGCCGTGTCGATATAGCCATACTATCCGCCCATAGTAGCAACCGATTATTTAATGTTCATGGTGCATCGTCGATGTGAATGAAGGGGTAGAATCGTGGGTAACCGGGTGAGCGGGCTGAGCTGGACCAGGTCGAGGTGGGAGAGGTAGGTGATGCGAGCAACGGGCACGTCAAGAGCGAGTGGCACAACTGCTCGACATCGGCTTCTCATGACAGCGTTGCGAGGTCACGAGCGTCATATGAGCGCGACGTTGTCGCCCGATGAGCAAGGAAGGCGCTTGAATGACGCCTGGTCTGCCAAAGATATGATCCAGGCTGGGTTAACAGAGCAAGCACCAAGCCTTCCGCACACGCGCCATGTGCATGAGAGGCATCCATGCCGTGCAGATGGCTCCAGGAAGCCAGCAGGCCGCACGATGCATCGGAGGCTGACAGATAAGAGGCTTTCCCGAACGCACCTTCGTATCCAACTATCACATTCAGACTGCGATGGTTCTCAGCGTATAGCGAAGCTGAAGACGCAGAACGCGCCATTGTATCGTGAACTTCTACCGGTGCAAGCTACCGGGTCGTATATTACACCGCGGTGGCATCTGGTATGCCTGCTTATCGTCTGTCCGGGTCGGCCGCATGGTGCGTGTTGCGTAGCTCCGCAAAGGCCATGTTCTGCTCGATGGTCGGCCGACGTGCTTCCTGGGGGATTGAGCTCGTGTCCACGAGGGCGGACGGTCGCCTAGACACAAGTACCCCCGGTACAGCGCCGTCCCGGAAAGGGGAGGACGGTCGTGAAGCCATCGTGATGTCCTCGCCGTCGCTTTCCTCGTCTGAAGAGAACCCCATACTGCTGTCCGACGAGAGGTCGGGTAGAGCGTACGTCCCCTTGCTAAACGTGCGTACCAGGTTGATATAGTAATCTTGCAGGATATCTCGCGTACACTGATGGGAAGCATGAGAGAAGTACAGAAACGATGACCATCATGCTTACTCGAAGCCTCCAATCAAGCGCTTTCAAGAACTCGCGCTCCAGCATATTGAGTTCGTGAATGGATATTCCACCGACGCGTGCATAACGAGAATTCGTGCAGAATGCATCGCAATGGAACTTGCTCGAGACGGTGATCGAAGCGATGATGAAGCGATGGCATGTCAACGACGAAAGCACGAAGAGGGGCATGCATGCGCAGATCTGGTCGATGTAGTACAGCGTGATCAGCATGACTGACTTCTGTAGGGTGAAGAGGCGTCAGTGGCGACAAGAGAGGGCAGGGGATGTACCGTACCTCTGCACTGGTATACTGGACGATACGCTTGAGGTAGTCCAGGACGGAGATGGCGGGTGCAGAGCGCGAGTGGAACCGCGTCAGACTCTCACTGGAATCTGGTGAGGGAGATCCGCGAGCGCACAAACGGCGAACCTACGGGAGCAGCGGTACTCGGTCGTTATGTGCCATGAGTCGTTCCAACATGTCCGCTGCGATGTAGTCAGTATTCGCCAACGTCGCGGGTGGCAGCACCACGCACCTATCAGGTTCACTAGGTGCTCCATGTCGGCCTCCTCAAATGCGAATGGTAGTTCCACTCGCTGGCTGGTGGCGGATTCCATGAATCCATCACGATCGCGCTTTGCACCGCGAAAAGAATGCGTGCTCGCTGTCGGACGCGTCGACAGCGATCTCAAAGTCAGGAAGACAAGCGATCGCCCCTGACCCAGGGCGGCATTTGCGGGCCCACGACCGCACAAACACGCGTCACCACGGACCCATCCTCCCCTCCGCCGCTCCACGTGCGTATCCCCGTTCATATCGGCGTTTACCGACAACTATACAGCAGACGAAAGCCACACGCGGACCTATTCTTGGAAAGCACCAGTAGTCGTCGCCGCCGCCGCCACCGCCGTTAACGCCCAGCACATCAAGATGGCCCCCAAATTCGTCAGCAGATGCCTTCCTGCTGCTATGCTGCAAGTTCTGACACGAACGAATTGTCTAGGACCCGAATGAGATCAAGATCATCTACCTGCGGGCTACGGGTGGTGAGGTCGGCGCGTCCTCTGCATTAGCCCCCAAAATTGGTCCTCTCGGTTTGGTGCGTGGTCATGTCAATCCAGCTCGGATGAATCGCTGACCTTGACTTTTGTACAGTCGCCGAAGAAGGTCGGTGAAGACATTGCGAAGGCGACGTCTCAGTGGAAGGGTCTCCGGGTCACCGTCCAGCTCACCATCCAAAACCGTCAAGCCGCCGTCTCCGTTGTCCCCTCCGCATCCTCCCTTGTCATCAAGGCTCTCAAAGGTGCGTTACCCGCCGATCGCACCCATACATCTTGACTGATCGTGCGCAGAGCCCCCACGCGACCGCAAGAAGGAGAAGAACATTAAGCACACCGGCAACATCACCCTGGACGAGGTCTTCGACATCGCACGGACAATGAAGTCCAAGTCGCTCGCGAAGGAGCTCTCTGGCACCGTGAAGGAGATTCTTGGCACCGCGCAGAGCGTTGGCTGCACTGTGGATGGCCAGCCGCCCCACGACATCATCGAGGGTATCGACTCGGGTGACGTTGAAGTCCCCGAGGAGTAGATGCATGTATTTTCCATGTATTTTTTTTCTATCGCATCGCACCGCATCAAAACCTCTCTGGATCTCCAATCGCTTAAACAGTGGACAATTTCTCTGAAGCGACTCGCTCCTTATGCACTCTGTCATGCCCTTTCCCACTGGAGCGTCGTTGACTGCGCGTCCCATCGATCTGCCGCTTCATGTTCACACCTCTCCCTTGTGAGCGACGCATTCTCAGTGCCGGTCCGAGGAACTAGAGAAGCTCCGGCGGGGCCGGCTTCCAACCTTGCTTGCGTAGCGGGTATGTACTCAAGTGTTCGATCCTCCGGACACGACTGGCGAGTGTTCGGTCTAGTGAGCTTGTAGGATGACAATGACCCAAACTCTTCAAAGGCCTCCCTAGCCTTTTACGCGCATCTTGCCCGTCTTCGATAGAGGTTGAATGCAATGGAGTTTTTTCTCGCGCCTGCGAGCTCTCTGCTAACATGTGCTAGCACAACAATGCCCCCTTGCTAATTCCCCCTCGCCCTCTCCTCATTTTTCTTCGCCTCGCTTATTTACTGAGGAGGTCGATACATGTCTCCACATTTCCTTCTCCCTGACCCTTACTGCATGCACTTAGCGCCGTCTACTGATCCACGGCCTGCGCTCTTGACCTCTCTTAAGGGGACAGCTCACGCACGATGGTCGCTCACCGCACTGCAGGTACACCTTCCTGCCGACTGCCAATGAAAATTTATCCTCTCATTTCCCTACACCCAATTCCTTTTACCTCCCCCTTCTCGCACAGCAAGTCAATGACACCAGTGGCGTAGATGAGGACGCTCGCACCCCTGCCTTCACTGCCCTCTAAAACATGGCAGCCTCCATATCAATCTCTTTCTTCCCTCGTCCAATTTATAACGCCCGCCGTCGCCACCTTGGAAGGCGGTTACCGTGCCCGACACTCCTTCCATTTATATCTTCTTCCTCGCGCCCGTGCGGAATGAAGTGATGAAGGACTCGCGAGCCGCCACAGAAGGGGGGGATGAAGAACGAAGCGCGGACAGAGTCCGTGCAAATCCTTGGTTTGAGGAGAGTACCTTCCGTATGCCGGTAGTTTGCATGTCAGTCAGCAGATCACATGCAGTGTCTCGAGGCCATTGAGCTGCTACGCACCTGAAGGATTATCTCGTATATTCTCCGCCCATCTTCATGTCAGGATTGTCCACAGCAAGGGCATTCCGAAGTAGAACGCGCCGACCATCGCGTAGTCTTCCTTCTTGATACTCGATATATGCATAGTGAGTACCTGTGGCCAATATGTATCATTACAAGCAGGAAAAGTAAAGGAAGCGTGGTAAAGACGGCGTGCAAAACGCCGTCCTGGAGTTCAACCAATCAGGTGATTTATCGGTGCCGACACCGGAATTTGCCGTTGCACCTCAACGCCTCATGCGAATTTCGTTCCGACCTTTATTATGCAGTCTTAAGATAGATTTACAACTTTACTTCAAAGCCTCTTACTGGATTCTGTGCTTTCGATCCCTTACTCATTCAGGTAGGGCGGGACGGCAAGTTCCATCTCGGGCGCGCCGAAGCACCGACAACAGCGCTATCGCGGACAGGTGACGAATGACATCGGTTGTTTGTAAGTACTTATGCCGCAAAAAAACTCGTGGCGTCGTCAATAAGACAGGTGTAGATACCTTGCAAGCAAGGTGATTTCCTATTCCGTAACAATAGCCGCGCAATCTCTTCTCTCTGATATATGATACGGTATATGCAGCACTTCAATGCTTGATGATACGTGCAGTCACCGCAGTCAACGTGATATCTAGCGTCCCGGAAGTTAATCGTAGTGTGCATACAGCCGGATTCATGCCTTGACTGTCTTGGTTGAGATTGCGCCGGCCTCACTTCAGTTGGTTTGGTCCGCTTCGCATAAGAGTAGAGTGTTTGAATGAATCAGTAGCTTGGGCCGTGTTAGTATTGGCTGACGACGCGGAAGCATTTTATCTTGACCGATCAATTGCGTGAAGTGCTTGATCGTCTGGTACCAACACGAAGTATGGGCTTTCAATTGCGCACTTTATCGACTTATTTGTGTCCGAAAACGATGCGATGACCCTCTTTTGCTTTGTTGTAATCATTACTACAGATTTCTGTCCTAGATCAAGCCATGAACGGCCGCAAACTCATCGTCGTCCTGGTCCTTCGCGCGCATCTCAAGCCCCATCTGTATCGTCTTCGCCGCAGGCTCACCCGCAAGCTGCGCAACGAAGGCGTTGGCCATATCCATGCCTATATTTTTTGGTCAGCATCATTCGCGGCGAGTGCACAACTACAGTGCGTCCTCCAAGCCTCACTCACCCGCAGTGACACCCGAGCTTGTCCAGAACTTGCCGTCGACCACCCAGCGAGCGCGCGCCACCCAGTCAATGTTGTGCGAGGCCGTGTCCGCGAGCATAGCTTTGAACATGAACTTGTTGCCCGTGGCACGCTTGCCGTCGAGGGCGCCCGTGCGCGCCAGGATCCAGGAGCCCGTACACACGGTCAGCACATACTTCGCGCCGGGGACCTGGCGGACAAGGAAATCCGTCAGTTCTTGCGGGACGTCCGGAGGACCTGGAAAACTCGTTAGCTTGATCATTCCCAGCGTGCTATACGTCCCCCACCGCCTTCATCGCCCATAGTCCAACCAATCCACTTACCTCCCGGCACCAATAAGATATCGAACTGCTGCTTCGCCTCCCCATACGTCTTGTCCGGCGTCATCCGCGGGCCCGCCTCGCCAGAAAATCCCGGCGCAACGGGTTCGAGCGTGTGCGAGAGGTACACGAAGGGCCCGAGTGTGGGCAAAGCGTCCGCCTGCTCCTTGAAGATGAAGGGCTTGACTTTCGCCGAGAGCGCGGCGAGGAACTCGATGGGACCCTGATAGTCGAGGGCGGTGAGCTTGGGGTAGAGGCAGACGGCGACGGAGAGGGAAGGGGAGGACATGGTGGTGGACTTTTGGACGGAGAGGTGCGAGGTTTAGTTTCTGAGGTTGAGAATGCGACGAATTGGCGCTGACGGTTCTGAGAGGAGATGAAGACGAGGGGATTTATATAGTCGTCCCACCCAGCGTTCTAACGCCACTGCGAGATCGTCAACTGTATACCCATCACCTGCCTATCACCAGCAGGACAGATTCTGAGCAACGGCGGGCACACATGCCCCAGCACAAGTCGTGTAGTCGCCTGCCGCGCCACCGCGCGTCAGTGCGGCAGCAGCGACGTCGCATCGCCCGTGGGCGTTTCTCGTGAGAGGAATGGCTTGAAGCGCAGTCTATGACTCTTCTCGGAGGAGTTCGAATCACGACTTGGGGAGGTCCCGCAATTCCCCGAGGACGTGTACGCCCTCCACGGAGGCGAACGGGTTGATGCGCTACTCGGTGGAGGTCCAGAGGTTGTTGTCGATGATAACCGAAACGACGTAGTCTTTAGGTGCTGCCGGTACGACGCGTAGCCTCTCGGCGTCGCAAAAGTCGGGGAGAGGTTGGTGATATGAAGCTGCCTGGAGGTGGGGTGCGTTCAGGCTGAGCGCTGAGCATCTGCTTGGCATCTGCACCATCTGCTCAAGCTCGGAGCTGGTTGAGGCTGCCGGGGACGACTCGGGTCTGGCAGGTTGGTTGGACGCAGAGAGGTTTGCGCTGGATGAGAATCACTGACCTGTTCCCCGTCTTCATGATCCTCTTCCCTTTCCTCGCCTTCGCCCTTCTTGTCCTCCTCAATCGTGCGCTTGATGTAGTCCCACGCCCGCGTCCACACAAGGCTGTCCACGAGTAGCTTGTCAAGTGACGGGCCAGAGGTATTCTTCCCGCAACTCGGGGAGATGATGTCGCGCTCAAGCAAGGGCGTCTGTATAGGCTATACAGACGCCCTGCTTCTGCTCGTCTTCGAGGATGTCCTCCATCCCCAAACTGACTCATCTTCATCTCGAGCTGTGCGAGTTTGGGCTCGATGAAGGACGCAGGCGCGCTGCGGATCTGCACGCCCCAGCGTCCGCGAGCTGCCGCGCGCCGCGCGCGAAGACCCTGAGCGCAATTCGGCCGTGCGAGCAGCCTTGGAGTGCACGATTATAGGACCACAAGGGACTCACTAAACAAGGGGCCCAATAATTGCTAGGATTGATGATTCAGCGATGTTGTAGTGCGACAGAGTTCCGTAGGGTACAGCCAGGTACCCATCTACATCCGTTTGCGGCGTATACACTTGAAAGCGAGCTCGATAGCTGATAAATATATTGACAGGACTTCTTGAATAGATCGCTGGCATGCGCAGCATGGAACAGCACTGGACGGTCAAGCGTCAGTATACGGCAACAGGTCACTCGATGTCCGACTCACGCACCTGGTGTTCATTCCTCCTCTTCCTCGTCGTCGTTCGGTCCCTCGCCATTCTCCTCCTCTTCGTCCTCCCCGCTATCGTCCTCGTTGTCTTCGATGGGTAGTATTTTGTACTCCCGATACTTCTTGATACGCGGAGGTCCGGCGAACGGACGAGACGGTAGTTGTAGTCGCAAGAGGGTGGTCTGCCCGACGACGAAGTCGACGACGGAACCGTCATCGGCGGCAAAGGTCTCGGTGGTCCCTTCCGGCCACTCCGATTTCTTCAGGTCGAAGCAACAGCCTTCCTCTATCGAGGCAAGACAGATCTTGTCACCATCGGCGTAGATCTTCAGATTGGTGGGCCGCAGCCGAGGTTTACTTGTTGCTCATGAAGTTCCAGCACACCAATCGCGAGTTATCCAGGCAGCCCGTCCACAGGCGGATGTGATACGTGCAGCCCAGGATCGGGATATCACGAATAGAGGGATCGTCTGGATGGGGCGTGCCCTGTGGGAGGTTGTGATTAGTCGACGACGCTTGGATGCAAGATCGTTCCTGGCGCACCCCAATGACATCGGCCTTCTCGGATAACACTCGCATGAATTTCCTCCCTAGCTCGACGCTCCCAAATTCGGCCGCATACCTTGCTTGCATCTCGCGCGTGAGTCTGAGTTCTGCTATCGTCGAGAGAGCTCGTCGCCTGGTGACGTACAGGACTTGTGGAGGTGTCTGCGCGTTGACCAATGTTGTCTTCGGAACGTGCTACGCACATGGCGTCATTTTTGATGGGGTCAATATGACACGGGAAAGACCTTGCAAGCAAGGTGACAGCGAAGTCCGTCTCGGTATCATCGGCAAAAGCCGATCTGCAATATTCTGCACCGATCAGTCCCATACTTCCTTGTTCCAGACATCCACATCGCGGGTGTTCTCCTATAATTTTGCCATGTATTTCTATGCATGCAAGCACCTGGATGGCCTCCGGCCCACATCAAGCTCTACACCTTCTGTCGCAGCAACAACCATTCCGATAGACGCAGCTCAGCAACGCATGCAGAGATTCTACCGTGACATGCGACAGCGCCAAAACATGCGCTCGCCTGTGAACCACCTTCCTCGCGAACTCCTCGAGGTCATCTGCGAGTACACCGTCCCATGGTTCTGGTACACCCTCGAAAGCGGCATCGGCAACCTCGTTTTCGCCCATGTTTGCCACTATTGGCGCGACATCGCGTACAACTTCCACAGGCTGTGGACGCGCATATCCCTCGACGACTTTTCGTGCCCCTGTCGGAATCCGACACACTATTGGGAGGACGTCGTGCAGGCCTACCTCGAACGCTCGGGCAATCTCCCGCTCACCCTCAGATTCCCGGAGATGCCTTGCTGGGAGTACATCCAGGAGGACGCCCATCGCGTCCAGGACCTCGAAATAGGACTTCCAACCTTCCGGTGGAACGGGGCGCGATTCCTCCCTGACCTGCCGATATTGACGACTCTGCGTCTAGGGGCATTCAATCCCATCGACGGCAACAACATCGTCAAGCTCCCGCTGCGACAGAAGGCCCCAGCTTTGCGTTCCCTGACTCTCGCCAGCGTGCACCCTTGTAGCCTCGACGCCGACTGGGGTGCGCTTCGCGAGCTGGAGTTGAAAGACTGCTTCCGCACGCCTTTAGAGGACATCCTCGAAGTCCTGTCGCTGTGCACCCAGATGGAAGCCCTCCGCATCGTAATCACCCCCGAGCCCGACGAGGACTACATGCACTACCCGTACCCCGACGAAGAAGAGGAGTATGAGGATTGGGATCTCGCGGAGATCCCGCGGCTTCTGCGGATCGAGCTCGCGGGTCTCGCGATACCGCTGAGCAACTACATCATCACACCGGCGCTCCAGGAGCTTTCTCTGGATATGATGGAGCAGGACGGCCTGATCCCCCAGCGCATCGTACGCCCCGGACATAGCTTCCCGTCGCTCAAGGGCCTTACACTCAAGAACATAGTCGACAATGACCCCGCGCCCATCATGGACGGCCTGGAGAGCGTGAAGCGACTGCACCTCGTGCAGGCATCGCAACACTGCCATACCCACAGCGGCATGTTCACCGCTCTCGAGGCGCGAGCCAACGGCACCGACGTGCCCCTTCCCAATCTTGTCGAGCTGCAGATCGAAGCCAGGCCGCAACCCGAGGGTGAGTGGGATTCAGATGGCGGGGTCACTTCATCGTGGCATTGGCTGGACGACGAGCGCGTCATGCGCACGGTATACTCCAGGGTCAGGACCCCAGCTATAGGTGGAGTGGCACGACTACAGCGCTTGAGCGTTGTAGGTCGATGGTTTCGGTTTGGAGAGAAGTTGGTTACATGGCTGGAGAGCCTTGAGGGTTCTGGTATAACGACCAGGATCGTAGACAAAAGTCACAAGGTCAATCCTTCCTGGGTCTGAATCGATATCAATGATTTGTAGGCGTCGAACTTGAACCGTTCCGATACAAAACTAGTACGCGTACTCGTGAGGGTCGATGTACAAAGACCCATCGGATGTCCGCTTTCGTCGTTAACTTCGTGATCAGGCAGAGCGAAGCCACTGCACCTTCTAAGCCAGAAGGTCCATGAACGCGTTTACGACTTCCCCGCAATGCGGTAACTCCCCTTTCGCCACCTTCAACATCATCCTCTTTCTCTCTTGTGCGCACGCCGTGTAGTGCGTCTTGAAGATGGCGACTTCCATGTCTCGCACTTCCGTATACCTTCGAAATCTCGTGAGCACGCTACCCCAGACAACGGCGTGATATAAGCGCACCTCGAGGTAAACACGGAAAATAATTCCCGCACGATGTTCTTCGGGTCCAGCTGGGATTTGATGTTCTGCAAGCACACGTCTTGAAGTTCCTTCATCTCCAACTAGGGAGAACGTTAAGTAGGCGAAGAACAAGCGAACGGGATAGGAAGACGGACCATGTGTGCGACACGATACATCGACTTGGGCGAGCACGCCGTCGGCGGTAGCTCCCAGCTCTCTTGGCGGGTTCCGCTCGACTTGAGCGCACAGAACGTAATTTCGCCCGTGTACAGGTAGAGTACGAGAGATCTCCAGCTTGACAAGTCGGTCGTCAGCGCAGATTCTTTGTATCAGAAAGCAAAGGACGCACGTCTGATAGGCAAAGTCGTTGATGCGGACTACCCTCCCTTTGCGACCCGCAGCACCGTCTGCCGCGTCCGGCTCCTCTTTTCCTACCTCCAGAGGACCATTGATAACCTCATTCTGCGTCCCCGTGGACGAACTGGGGGATCCGACCTTCTTGCCTGGCTTCAGCGCACGCTTCTTTTTCCGACTTGCAATCGCCGCCCAACTCTCATCTCCGTCAATGTCACTGTCATCTGCGTAGTCCAGCTCATGCGAGGGCGCGTCTCGCGAGTACTGAGCGAAGGGCTGAGGCTTGCTCTCGGCGAAGTGTTCATCGAAAAGCACTTGGAAGCGTCAGCTCAAAAGAGGCATGCGCGCTGCCGCTGATCACTCACATGTATCCAAGTAGTCAGATACGCCCTTCAAGGCCTCCCGGTTTCCGTAGACCGCTTTGTACTCTACGGCGTTCCCATTCCGTTTGAAAGAAGGAAGGACGAACTCCACGTCGTTTAGGTCAGCACCTGAGACGGCGCTTCCTAGAGTGCGTAATATCGACTTTTGTGTGGCGCTTGGAGGAGGACGAACAGGCAGATGAACGTCGGGACATGATGAGAATGACAGGGAAAAGGTGACGATAGCGGTTTGTAGGAGCTCGACGGTGTCAAAGGTGAAGGTACACGTCTCCACTCCCTGAATATAGGCGGCGGCGTAGTTGTCATAAGACGAATAGTTGGTTGAGAGAGAGGCGGTGAAAAGGCAGTCCTGAGCAGCCTGACTATTCGTGCATCTGGTCTTGACTACCACCGAGCCCAAGTTTGAGCCGCTCAAGCAGTACGGATCAAAACCTAGATAGAGAGTAGGTTGTTCGCCAGTTCTCCAAGTACTGTTGGAGTTATTGAAACGAGTATTCCGTGGCATTGTGCCGTACGTGAATCGCCATCCAAATCCGCAGCTCTCGGTATACAATCGTCCAGTCTGTTTCTGTGGTATGGAGACCTTGAAAGCGGAAGAGACCCCTTCAGCCGTCCACTGATCGTTGCCGATTTTCTCCATTTTCTCCTGTCTGATCGCCTGAGGTCGCGATGAAGCTTGTAAAGGATGGGCGCTAAAGAAGATTCAGACATCGCCTCTCAGGCCCAGCCTTAAGTATGGCTGAGGCGTACAGATATCACCTTCATATCGACGCCTCCTGACCACCATGACGCCGATATCGCGGATTAGAAGGGAAAGCCTAGTATCCTCGCGGCGTCGAAGTCACACCGTACAGTTATGACTCACCTTGCCTTCTTCAAGTCTTCGTAATAGCGAACGCGGAGATCAAGTGTTCACACGGACGAGAAATAGAATGTCGAGCGTGCACGATTGGTATGCAAAAGAGGATGCTCTGTTGATTGATGAGCATTCCCACTGAAGGAAGACGGACACTGGCGCTCACAAATATGGCTTTAGAGAAGATTTACACACGCGCTAATACAGCGTATCATGTTCCCGTGGTCTCGAGCGATCCGGGATGCCTACAGACTGATCAGTCATTCGTCTAGCGTCAAACAGACAACGGACGTACAGTCCTCGACACGACATTCTCCCCCGCCTTTGGTCCTGATATCAAGGAAAGCTATCGATTGTCGCAATTTATGAAGTGCGTCGACGTTGCCCAGCAGGTCCTTGTCGGCATCCCTCAAGTCCAAGCGGGGGACTTTCAGCGCATGGCCCGCCGTCTGGCACGCAGTGGCCATACGGATAAGCGTGCTGCCCGTAACACGAAGATATCCGCTGAGAGCTAGTTCTTCGAGCCGCGGGTGATATACGGGCGAATGGGTATCGGCGCTGGCAGTGAGGAGCTGTTGTAGTCATTCATCATCGAGCGGATGAATCCTACTCACGCGAAGGGCTAGATCCTGCAAGTGCTGCAGCTCTAGAACCAAGTCGCGAACCTGTTTACTATAGCCCTCGAGGCGAAGCTGGCGGATGCGTGGGGAGCCACGAGAAGGGATCACAAGCCAGCTCGAATATGCGGGACAGAACCTCCACGTGAAGCCTGCGCACCGGTGCGAGGAAGGTTCGCCATATCCCCAGCCGGCGAGTGAGGGCCTTTTGCTGTCGCTCCAGTCGGCTCACAGACCGCCGAAGTACATCAAGCTCCTCAACCGAGGAAAGATAAGGCTCTGTAGAAGCGAGCTTGGCTTGCACGACGCGTCTGCCTGTGAGGGCGCTACGCCCGCGCGCAGTGCCAGGAGCTCCTCGGGCAGCTCTTCTGGCTCCAATTAGACGTCGTGGCCGCACCGCGCGCAAAGGGTGAACCTGTCAGTATTCGTAGGTGACATGCAGACTGAGGTGGTCAGCGAGATGATGGTTGAAGTCAAGAGGCGATCGTGCCGAGCACGCCCACGTGAGCCGCACCTGGTCATTTCAAGGCTTGATTCGGCCATGTAATACAGTCTATAAGCACAGTACACATAAGTACGCCACCCTCATACAGGTGGTCCATCTAGATTCCATCCATAGCGCCCAGCTATAACGATCCTAAGTACCCTTACAAACCCTCAGGTTTGACGCTCACACTGACATTCCCCTCCTTCTTCTCATCATCCGTCTCCCCGTCTGTCGAGCTCGCTCGCGTAGGAAGTACGTCGCGGTCGAGAATGACCGCAGGCATGAACGTCTCCTTCGCGGGGAACAGCGCCGACAAACCCCAATAGAAGACGCCAGCGGTGAAGAACTGCGTCAAGCGCGTTAGCAAGAGCTCGTGGTGGCGAAGACACATCCAGCTGGCACTCACCCCATACAGCCATGCGATGTCGAACATATGTCGTACGGGCCCTAGCGTTATGCTCGCGTTGATCGCCGCCGCAAGGCCCGGGATCGTGGGCGGTACGGAGACGAGAAGCGCGACGAGTGCGCGCCAGTTGATGCCCTTCCAATAGCTATAACGACCGTGCGGGTCATACATCGCGGGTAGGTCGACGGCGCAGCGGTGGATAATCCAGTAATCGACGATCATTCTGCGTTCGGCGTCAACAGCTACCGTGATGCTTTGACGAAGTAAGACTCACATAGCAGCGAAAGGTCCCAGGAAGATCGTGTACCCAGACATAAAGGTGAGGAAGCCTGGGGCGCTGACAAAGAGTCAGTATTCCTCGTCTTCGCTCGGCGAGCAGCGTTGCTCACCTTGCCAAGATCTCCCATGGGCAAAGCGCCCAGCCACCCAGGATCGCACAGATAATCTGCCCTCTCCTGATGTTGATATAACGCGGGAAGAGCGCCGTCATGTCGTTCGCTGCGCTAAGACTGTTGGCCGAGATGTTCGTGCCGATTGTGGCGAGCAAGAACGAGAAGGCGCCGAAGAACGCCGCCGCACGGTTATCCCATCGGTCAATGAGCTGGAGCGGATCCCAAAGTGTCTCGCCGTATAGGACTTCGCCAGCTGCGGTGACAGCGATACCAAGGAAACCGACGAAGGTGAAGAGGATCGGAATGATGAAGAGCTGAACATAAGTCGCTGCTTCGGTTTTCGCGTAGCGCTGGCTCGAGATAAGCGAGCTAAACATCCAGGAGAACTGATAACGCACCGTAAAATCTGGAATGTTCACTGACAGTGTGGCGTAGATCCCTAACGCGCTGTTGAGCGAGTTCAACCAAGCCCAGCTGAAGGCAGAGCCAGACAATTGACTGTGCTTGGGCTCCAGGCTGAGGGCTGTTGGCACCTTCACCAGCGACCATATGAAGATAGCCAGCCACGCGAAAGGGACGACGATGGACTTCGCGATGAAGAGGAACCGAATTTTCTGGGGCGATACAAGCATGAAGGGGAATTGTAGCAGCCAGTAGAGGAAGTAGCACATCATGCCGGACGTCGTGATGTTCGCGTCCGCGGCCAGATGATTCGGTATGCGCGCCGTCGAAGGCCAGATAGCCTTGAGCATCTGATAGATGCACTCCGACCCAACGTACGTCTGGATACCGAACCAGAACATCGCGAGAACGACGCGCGAGATGACGGGGAAGTAGCTGAGCCAGAAGCCGAAGGAGGCGCGGTTGATGACGGGGAACGCAACGTGCAGACGCGCACCCTGCAAGCCGTTCAAGACGGTGCAGATGGCGATGATAACATGCCCCACGGCGATCGCGGGTAATGCCTGACGCCTAGGTGTGCATGAGTTGTCTGCAGAAGAGAGCGAGGCAGCGAGGTATGCACCAGGAAAGGCCGACCGCGAGCATGCTGCTAGCGAGCTCCCACACCGCGGTGTTCGTCGCGTCGGAGACCCAGTATGCGACGAAGTTCCATGTCGTCCAAGTCCGCTGGTTCGGGGGCACGGGGTCCATGTCCTTGTTGCTCCATCGCGATGTCGGCGCAAAGGTTGACTCTTCGGGCTCGAGAGCCCAACGAGATGGGCGAAAGAAGTCCATTGCGTCGTCGTTTGGCGCGCGTCTGGAGGAGGAGATGGGGGGACCGGACAAGGAGCCTCGGACATAGGCACGGCCACAAATTTACAGGTCTCTTCGGGATGAGTTTGCAGCGATATCGGGAGCATATGGGCGCTCCGCTATTCAGAGATAACTCGAGCGATAAGCAATCGGCCGCAGGCGATTTGCGGGGTGGCCCCGGAAGACGGGGGACAGACATTGACCGTGCCTCTATCTCTGATGTGTACGACCATGGTGGGGACGTGCGCAGTGAGCTTGCCGTCGTTTAGGACGACGGTGATAGCGCAGAATGTCATGCAAGTCTCGAACGCACCTTGGCTAGCACATGCTAGGCGCGGACAAGCCTGAATTCAGGCCGAACCTTGTTCGTCCTGACATTCATCTTCGTCGTCGGCCTGGGTCGCTCCACGTCACCCACGTCGCGTTTCTCGACGCCAAGAGCCCCTCGAAGTCGTCCGTGTTCTTTGTGGGTCCACATGCGGGGCGACGAGGAGAGAAAAGTGGGCCTATGACTTCAAGATGACGGTTTCGTTCAACCTCCTGCCCCGGTTCCAGTCGCGACTGGAGTCAAGTGGTGGTGTCATCGCCACGAGATCTGGAGTGCGGGGATTCGAGCTCCCTTTGTCACTTGCCTTCTTCCTCTTGTACTCAAGGTGCGTACACCGTTCCTCCGAGCAGCGCCTGTATTGAGGTACTTCGCAGCATAATACATTATGGCTGCAACGCTCGCAGAACTCAAGACATACGACCTCAAGGAGACCATTGACCAAGAGGACCTGTCCGTCACGATCAAGGACAAGGCCCAGCTCTCCCCTCCTTCCGCGAATGCAGTCGCATGCACCATTCTCCAGCTACACTCAGCCTCCGACGCTCAGGCACCCCTTCGCCTCTTCGTCCCCCACCGCCTCCTCCTCATCGCGCCTCCTCCGCAAACCAATCAGTCATCCTCCCTCCCCGACGAAACTACGCAAAGCTACCTCTACTCGCTCGCAAAGCAAGCGGAAGAGGCCGCGGTCTCGCAGTCCTGTAGCAGCATTCTCGCGGGCCTAGGCAGCGAGAGTGACGACTTCGGGGACGTCGCCGTCTGGCTCGGGCAGGGCGAGTACGGCCGAGGGCATGAAGCGGACGCGCTCAAGCGCCTCGGCTTCGAGCAGTGGGCTACGCATGGCCAGGTGCGTTCATCCGATCACCCTTCCTTATCCGACATTGCTCATGCGCTCGCCCGCAGATCAGCGTACTTCCTCCAAGCTCGGTGCTCGCCAATTTCAAGCAACCAACACCGCAGTTGGCGAAGCTGGCTGAGGACATCGCGTGGCTGACCGATGCGCATTTCTTCCGACTGCAGGTACCCGGCATGTCCGGTGGTGTTGTTGTCTTCTTCTATCTTGGGCAGCTTGCGGTACACGGCAAGCCCGCTGGCTGGGGTGGCTTAGTGGGTATGGGGACGTGGTCGAGCAGTAGACCTTCTACGCCTGGACCTCATCCGCCTGTGTAAGGACGTAAGGCTACTTCCAGTAATGTAACACTAGCATCGCACCGAATACGCAAATCTCATGCCGCATGCAGTTACGCCTGGTCAGCAGCGAGCCACCATGATGTGCTTTGTGAGTGTTGATTTATTCCTTTTGCCGCCCCTACTGTACCTCTAGCGTTGTAGGATCGAAGCCCTCGCGCCTTCCTGATCTTTCTGTTCCAACGTCAGGCGGATAAGAAAACGGACATGATCTACTCCGCTGAGAAAACATGTAGAGCTCGAGTCAACATGGCCGGTCGAACAGTACTAGTTCGAGTCGCAATGAAGGCGGCAACACGTTGATGCCATGTGTGAAACGGGCAGGCGTCGAGACCGGGGTCAGTACGTATCCTCTCTCAGTCCTTCTTCGTCGCGTTGAAAATGCTGCTACAGCGGTGTGGCTCGGACGAATGGTCACACTACGGCGTCACCACCACATTCCGTATCACAAACCTGGATGAGCGCGACCCGAACCATCGAGTGACGGATGGTTGCGGCTTTGGCTGGCGCTTCACATACGTGCTCACCACGCAGAACACCGGCGCTCCTGGAACCTCCAATGCCAATCCTGATCAATCAACACAACGGCAACTCCTTTCGATCGGCTTCGATCCTTACTTGTTGGTCAGAGCTTCTGTAGGGATTGTGGACATCGTCGCCCGCTCCTCGCAATCGCTGATGCGCGATACCTCCAAAACTCTCGCCTCACTGAACGGGAACTCGGTGTCTGTGCGTGATGACCGCGGCAACGCATTGCAAAGCGCGACCTGCCCTGTCTGCGACTTCGTCTACCGCGACATCCGGGATCTGAAGGCGGACACCATCACCATCAGCGTGGCATTCCAATCGCCTAGCATTCGCATGCCTGCTCTTCCGCCGGTGTCTCCAGCGGCTGCGAAGTTCACACAAAGGGTCTACGACACTATCCTCACCGGTGCCGAAGTTAACGATGTCGAGTTCATCCTCCCCTCCCGCAAAAGCCTCGATCGGGTGACGGCGTACGGGGCGGTATACGGCAATCGAGAAGTGCTACATGGCATGTCGTCCTACTTAGATACGCGTAAGGCTTGTCTGTTGATCTATGTTCAACACGGTAGCTAACCCAGACAACTTTCCAAGTGCTTTTTGACGATCACTTCTCCGAGGCGTCGCCACAAGAATTCGGCCTTTACAAAGCGCCGACTACTTCACAAGTCCTCGATTACGAGTCCGACAGCGATCTGGAGGAAGAGAACGAGGACGAGGCGAAATCCGCGGCACAGGGGAAGACTGCTCGAAGTACTCACGGCGAAGGCGAAGCGCAGGGCAATGATGAGGAGCGATCCAGCAGCCCTACCGGAATTGTGGCCCTATCGGACGCTTTCGACGACCCACAAAAGCTCAATCACGTTGCCAAAGTCGAGCGAAAGAAAGGGAGAGTGGTTCACGTAGACGGCTTCGCGTACCACACGTGCGTAGCTCCCATGTGAGTGGTAAATGTTCACTGATGCGCACGAGCGTAGCTGGAAGGCTCTCATATTCTATGTCTACACCGGAAAGATCGACTTCCGCCCCCTGAAATCTACGACTGCGTTTCAGACGAGCTCGCAGACCGAGGTCTCGCCAGCGGCGTGCTCCCCGAAGTCGATGTATCGCATTGCCCACATGGTACGTATCTACTCACCCGTCATATATCTACCGCGATGCGGGACTCTCACTTTCATGTAGCTAGAAATACCTGAGCTACAGACGCTCTGTCTGAGGAACATCGAAGCACAATTGAGCTCAGAGAACATCGTGCAAGAGGCGTTCTCGGCGTTTACCTCTTGGTGAGCTACAGACCATCTTTGAAGCGCGCTTTACGCTAAACAGGAACAGGTACCCAGACGTCAAGGAAATGGAAATCCTGACATTGAAGAAATACTATAATGAGTGCGCAGAGGAGAGGAAGGCGATCCTCGGGAGGGTTGTGAAAGGCGAGCTGCCGCATTGTGAGGATATCGTGGAGGCCATGATGAATTTTACGAAGTAGATAAATACAGCCTTCAGACAAGTGCGCAGAGAGGGGTACTACAAACTGGGGAGATCCCGAACGTAGACGCGGCGAAGTTGAACATCGAAAGTCATGCATTGGTCACGCCGAATGCATGACCGGACCGGGATCGGAACATTTCATAAGCGCCCGCCAGGGCCAGTGATCGGCGCGCGGGGGAATATCATAACGTTGCTTGCCTCTAACGACTACCCTTTCCGCCTCCTAGTGTTCTTTCTATCCTCCCCTCCACTGTCCTTACGCCTTTTGACGCACCTAAAAGTCTATGGGTGATGTACTCGGATTCGACATCGACGTTAACATAAACTATGACGACCCGTCCTGGAACGACTATGTTGAGCACCAGAACATGTGGTGCAAGTACCAGCCCATGCTGGAGGCGAAGGGATATCGCCTCCCCGAGGAGTACAAGCCGACGAATACTATCAGCATATCTGAGCTGAAGAAGCACGGAAGCCCGTTCATCCTGACGGAAGTAAGCGCCTGCCTCTTCTCGCGCCGCCGTCGCGCTAACGCCTGTCCAGCACCCGCACGTGCAGCTTGAGTCGAAGCGCATCAAGGACAACAGCCCTATTGTGCTCAAGTTCGTGAAGATTAGCGTGCAGGAGGCAGCCATCACGGCGCACCTGGCGAAGATCAGCGACCCATGGAACCATACCATTCCCGTCTGGGATGTCATCAACTTACCCGACGACGACAAGTGGTGCATCCTTGTCTGCCCAAAGTACCGATCGTGCTACAAGCTTCCCTTCCACACTACCACCCAGTTCGTCGTGTTCTTACGACAGGTCCTGCGGGTGCGTTTTCTTGACCCGACGTACTCGGCAGAAGCCTTGACGCTCTTTTCAGGGCCTCTGCTTCATGCACCGACATAATGTTGCCCACTGGTGAGCACAGAACGCCACCAAAATTATCCGAAACCTCATACGCGGCCAGTGATATAGCCTCGGGGAACATCGTCCTCCATGAGACTGCGGTAACCGAAGAAGCCGATGAATCCTTCGTCGTCGAGAAGGGGACGCCATCGACGACTTTACGATTCCGCGGTGCGTTACGACGATGGACATCGAAGAAGCGGAAAGGCGCACGATACTACTTCATCGACTTCGGCCTGTCGTGCGCCTTCGACAGCTACGAGAAACGGCACAAGGTCTACGGTGTCTGCGGTCAGCACCGTGATGTACCCGAGCTATCGGAAGAGGTTGCCTACGATCCGTTCAAGGTAGATATGCGCCAGCTTGGTGAGACCTTGAGGAAGGACTTCGCTGAGGTAAGCTTCTCTGTTCGTAGTCTGGCTGCCTGTTCTGACCCTTTCGCAGGAATACCAAGGCCTCGAGTTCATCCAGCCCCTCATTAACCGCCTACGCGAGGACGATCCAGACAAGAGGCCCACGGCGGAAGAAGCGCTCGACATCTTCGAGCAGCTCGTCGACTCGCTGCCTGACAAAAAGACACGGAAATTGAGGCGGCGCGACGACTGCCCCGCACTACAATACTTTGCCATCTTCTTCGTCGCTGCATGGATGCTAGGCCTCTACTGGATGTACCACGTCATCACTGGACTCGATCCGGAACGCTTTCAAGGCGTCCCGATGGGATTAACTGGAGCTATTCATAGGGCACGGCAGGTCAGCGCGGCGGACGAGGCTGGTATGGATGCTTTGCTGGAGGGGACGAGGGCTATGTTTGATGACTCGGTATCACCTCTGGAAGGGACGTTGAGATAGCTATGGTATATGCTCATGATTATCTACATCCTTGCTTCATATAGATGACAGATACCTATACACTAGTGGATCGGGACGGTGTAGTTTACATACCTGTATACTAATTCGGCGAGCCACTCGCTATCAGGCTATGCCAACGACTATGCTTTATCGTAAGACGCTCTTGTTGTTGAGTCCGGTTGCCATGCTCTTGGCCTCAGACGGTGCAAAAGACGAGGGCCACGATTGGCGCGATTTGTTGTTTCACGTGACCGCGAGGCAGTTAACCACGTGTTGATGCGCCTTGTCTTCCTCGTTGCAGCTGCTGTCGCTCCAAGCACCGTGTCCGACAGTGAGCGCGCCCACTTGGGGCATGGACGTCGTCCCGCATCCCCCACCACGTCTCCGCGTCTCCCGAAACCCTCCGTCCCTCTCCCGTGACCTTCCGTCGATGCCTGGTCCATCGAGCGCAGACCCGGCCACATTTCCCGATCGCATTCCCTCCCACCACCACGACGACAGCGACTGGCCGTCAGCAAGGACACCTGCCCCTTATCACCCGCCTTCAGCCAACGGACGCTCCCCTGACGCGATGAGGTTGCGCGACCTCCTCGACCAGACGTCGGGCCCCTCAAGCAGCGACGCGCGACCTGTGGCCTCCATCCCGCGTTCTTATCCACCCTCAGAGCTCGAGTCCGACTACGACGATATACCCAACTTTGGCGGTGGCCCCAGTCTTGCACGCGAGAGCCTGAAGGCGCTTTTCAATAGCGCGCTAGCGGACACGCCAGAGCGCACTAGACGCACCAATGTCACCACCAGTGACATGGATATGAGCCCGGGGCCCAGCAGACCAATGCACCAGCGAAATTGGAGCATGAGCGACGATGGCTCGGAGGACGCGGAGGCACCGCCAGGTGAGTATATGCGCGCTTAGCAGATTGCCCCTTATTGATGAGTACCCTGCAGCATCTCTGCGTCCCATCCCTGGTCGAAGGCAAGCCAATAGCTCGCCCGTGGATGACAAGCCCACCCCACGCCCAGAGCTCAAGAACCTCCTCGTATCAGATAGTGCGTGAACCCATCTTGAGAACAAGCGCTCCCACTCATATATGCGCACTAGCTGAGAGCGATGACACGGCTGCACCAGTTCCGCGCCACCCGAATGCCGCCAAAGCGTCACCACCCGAGAATACGAATACACCCTTCCACTCTATACACATGTCGCCTAATGAGTCTAGTGAGTCGCCTGCTAAGACGGAATGCTTTCGCTCATCATCACCCAGATCTCATGGATCAAGATTCCGATATGCAGCGTGCAATGCAGGACTACGATAGTTACATAGCTTCGGCAAATAATTCGCCAAGTATGTTTCAGCCCAATTTCTGTTGCGGTACACTCATTACGTCCCCCAGTGACATTCCCTTCCTCGAGAAAGCAAGCCGAGCGCCTGCCTCCCACCACTCCTTTAAATCGTACCGGCGAATCGGACGAACAACAGACTGCCCGGCGCCCCAAGATGACTGTCCAGGACAGCTTGGATAGACTCCTGCAGCGATCAAGTCCGTACATTTCTCTCATACTCTCGCTTCAGGTTGGACTGACACAAAACTACCAGCTGCACGACCAAGTCCCAACGGCAGTCACAGCTATTCTGGTAAGTTTACTTTTTCTCTTTCTCTACGAAGCCTCGTTTCTGACATGATTAGGTCGGCAAACTCGCGATGAGCACGACAACGAACGGCCACTGAGCAGGAACAAGCCCACGCCAAGATCGAATCCCCCGACCACTCCAGCCTTGAAGCGTCGCAGTGTCAACCTTTCAGACCTCCGGAGCAGTCCACCGGTCACGAATGGGCACTCAAGAACCTTGACAAGAAGGACCAGCTCAAATTCTCTGCAAAGCGATATGACCTCTCCGGGAAGCTCACATAGGGGTTCCGTAATGTCGAATCAAGATTGTGAGTTGCTAAAAAGCATATCATTGCGCTCACTCACAATTACGAAGATGCCGAGCGTCGACAGTCGATGGCGCATGAGGATGCGTCTGAACGCGAAAAGAGCTGGAACAAGCCCCGCCCGAGATCGGATAACCTGTCCCACTTCAACTTGAGCCAACTGGATGAGCGGTCGCGCGCGCTCAGCTCGCCCTCGCGTCCTGGGTCGTCCATGTCCCTGACGTTCGAGCATCAAGTGCGCTCGCGCCATCGACTTTCAACGAGCTCGTCCTTTGGCGACCTCTCCTCGAGATCCGCGTCGCCTTCGAACTCCATGTTCAGCGTGGACGAGGAGCGCGAAGAGATCATGCAGGCGGTCCAACATGAGCGGGAACGGAACTGGGGTAGTACTCGTCCTCAATGGCGCGCCAGGAAGTTGTCGGAAACATTGCTATCCAGCCGTCCACCGTCTCCGGCGGAGTCGCTTCCTGACTCTCCGAAGATATCGCCGTCTTTGCTTCGTAGGCGGACGGAGAGCTTGCGAAGTTCCACTGCGAGCCCTGCAGGTCTACGCAAAAGCCCGTCATCCGCGAGCTTGCGCGCTAGTCCCTCGATACACGCGCCTCTGCGGTCTCCCTCGCCATCCCCAGGCCACCGAAGCAGGCGTACTTCTCTCCTCCAGACCAACGCGTCATCGCCCGGTTTCCCTTCCTCACCTTCGAAGACCCCTTCGACAGTGCGCGGCAAGCAAAAGGCAGCGCCGGTGGACATCTCAGACTTCTCGACTGGCTCGGCGCGCTCGACGCCAGGGACGCACTCGCGGACGTACTCCACGCCGGGGCGTCCCAGCAGTCGATTGTCGCTGTCGAGTAGTCCGGGGAGGGCGAGTCAGATACCGGTGTACTCGCCTGGGAAGAAGAAGAAAGCAGTGCCTGTACCGAAGGCGGTAGTCCCGGAGGAGGAAAATTTGAGCGTGGATTTTCCCTCGACATCGTCTGCAAGGCAATTGCCCAAGATTGAGGTGTCGACTGCCGCTAATGGGTTCGGTGACTCGGCGACAAGTATGTGGCTCACCAGTTCTTTCCAACAGTCAGCATCTAATATCTTCTTTCAGGTAGTGACGCTGAAGACAATGCGACTCCGCGGGTGGTTGAAGAGGAGAACACGCCTACGCTTAGAACCGTGTTGCCGCCATCAGAGGAGACACCGAGAGGATCACCTATCGAAGAGAGGCGTAGTAGCCCGCGTTTGCGCCCAGCGTCGACTGACGAAGCACGTCTGCACCGTACAATTGGTTCGCCACTGTCCGTCGGGTCGTCTATCGAGCGCTCGACTACGCCACCGCTGCCGCCCCCTCAACCGATAGAGCGCTCAACGACACCTCCATCGCCGCCTCCACCGTCATCCCCAGAACCACATGGATCGCCTGAGATACCCACGTCGCCAGAGCTGCCCTCGTCGCCGGCGCTGTCGGCGTCGCCACCACCGCGGCCCCCGTCAAGGACGCGCGCGTCGCCTGCGCCGCGGGTTCCGTCGCCAAAGGAGACGCCGCGAGCGCCTTCTCCGAGGCAGTCGTCGCGGCCACCGACGCCTAAGCAGTCTTCGAGGCCTCCTACGCCTAGAGAACCGTCGCGGCCATCTACCCCAAGGGATGCTCCTCGACCTCCAACGCCGAGGGACAGTTCGCGACCGTCGACGCCAAGAGATGCTCCGCGACCGCCAACGCCGAAGGAGTCTCAGCGATCGTCGACGCCGAAGGAATCTCAGCGACCGCCGACGCCGAAGGAGGCTATGCGCCCACCGACTCCAAGAGAGACCCCGCGGCCTGTTTCCCCGAGGCCACCGTCTAGGTCAACCATTCCTGCTCTCGCCGAAGTGTCCATGGAATCGGAAGGAGAGCAGCCGTTCGTCTCCTTGCCCGCCAACACGCCGGAGCAGTCGGTGGCGTTCACCATACCCGACCCCTCTCTTCTGTCGTCCACCGGCGATCAGGATCATACACCCGAAGGGCACTTCGATCCGTCGGTACTGAACACGCCCGCGAACGGTCAACCGAACTGGTCATCCATCGCTACCCCGCGACCCCCTGGCGCGTGGCTGGCGACGCCTGCACCTACGAGGCGGACACGGGCGAACTCATTGCCAACGCAGACCGACCCAGACGAGAGCTCGAAGGCGTCCATCAGCCCGGCGACTCCTGCTGCGTCTATGGGAAGGGCGTCTGCGTACGCCTTCCAGACACCCGCTCCGCCGGGCGCCTACGTGCCTACGCCGGCTGCGAGGAAAAGCATTTTGAAGGTCCGCTTCGATCAGGCTGCTTCTTCCGCGCGCCCGGCGACGGGAGACTGGTCGGAGTCGTTTGAGCAATCGTCGGATCTGCTCGACGCTGGGCACGCCACTCCGAGGCCAGAATCTGCACCGCCTATGCGAAGCCCTGGAATGCCACGCATCCGTATGTTAGATGCCTATGGGCGCCCTCTGGGTGCTCAGGCGGATACGCCTCGCAAGCCTCTCGTGAGGATTGTCGACGCTACTGGACAGGAGATTAAGCATGAGGAATCCTCGCAGCTCTCGGTGACGGAAGAGGAAGCCGAGCCGCAGACGCACAACGAGGCGTTGAAGCGTGTTCGGCGCGATGTTGTCGATCTCAATCAGCAGTTCGTCGACTTGGAGGTCAAGTGAGTCCTGGTATCTGCTAATACGAGACTGGTGGCTAACGGCTTTTTCAGGCGTGAAGAGGCGTCGGAAGAGCTGCAGCGACTCCGTGAACTGGAGCAGGTGTCTCAGGAATCTCGTCAAAGACGCGAGAAACTTGCGCAGGACCTGCACACTCGCGAGCAGGAGTTCAAGGCAAAGTTCGCACAACAGCGCGAGGCCATGGAGCGAAGTCATGCTGCGGTAAGTTGTCCCTCTTTCCGCCCTTTTGACAGGTACTCATGTCAGACCCAGATGACAACTTCCATTCGAAGGCCCCCCGCATGGACGCCTCGGCTATGGATGACCCTCCTTGCCGTGCAGCTGTTTGTAGCTGTCTTCATCTACAAGTGCGTGTGCCTCTGCGTCTCCATCCGCCTTCACGCTTATACCTCGTGTAGATATGCGCACATGCGCGCCGAAGAGCTCTTCCTGACGACTTATTACGACACCTTCTATGGTGACTTCTACCTGCCCGACCCGCCCGACTCGCCTCGCTACGCGATACCTTCTCGTGTGACTTGGTTCTACCAGCATCATCAGGATGGCTGGAGATCCTTCCTGTCCGATTTCTGGCGCTATCTATGCCTCTTCGTCATGGACGTACAATCTTATGTGCGGGACAGGTGGCTCCGTCAGGAGCCTTCACACTTATGGCCACCTACGTGACCGGGACGTTTGGTTATCGTGTTGTCCATATCGGATTTTTGGTTGTGACTGCATTCTTTCCCTGTCCATGAGTTATGTTATACCACTCCATCTACGCACGTCTGTAGCTTTATGTTGTACCATGGTTTTTTTTATTATGATTAAGGCGACATTCTTTGGACAGAACCGTGCTACGACATCGACGGAGTAGATTGTGGCTCGGAAAGCGAAGTCGCACTTCGGACGGTGAAGTAGGCGGCAAAACCCGACTGCAGGGAAATGTCGCTCTTCCCTTCTCATTTGAACGATCCTGTCCATGAATGACGATAGCTCGGAAGGACCGTGTCACGGCAAGGCCCGCGACCATCCACTACAGCACTCAAGTCGACAAGGTATGCCAGGACAGGCATTAGCGGCGCCGAGGTCCTGCCAGATCCGCTGCCTCGGGAAAGACAGAACAGGATGCCCTCAGTCGCGCTGCCTGCTGCTAACCGCTCATCCATTTCGGACAGAAAGATCCAATGCACTGTAGTAGAAGGTCTGACACACTTTCCGACACGAGTGAGGTCGATACTGAATCCTGACCATGATTTCGGTGCGCCTGGGGCTAAAAGAAATAAGTATATGTCTGTAATACAGCCGCACTACTACTGCTTGTATGGTACTCCAGGTCGGTTATACGCCCAGTTCCACAGCCTGTCGACCTCCTCGTCGGTACCCTTGTACCCCGGCTCGATGACATCGCCCCTTTCTCCCAAGTCGCTGAAGCCGGGCCTGCTCTGGTAGAGCCCGTACATCATGTACTCCCCACATTGCTCCTCTGATATTTCTAGTAGCCATAGTAGAGGCGAAAAGAGGTAGGCAATGATCTTGGCGAGCAGCGGCCCCGAGCGCCGGAACAGCGGCGTCCACACCCCTCCAGGGTTTGCGTGGATGAAGGTCACCTTGGGGTGCCTTTTGGCGAAGCCCTGAGCGCCAGTTTAGCCACAATCTACAAAGACAGTACGGCGCACTCACCGCCATGGCGAAGTCGTGGTACGTCGGCATCTGTGTCGCCCATCGCTTCAGCCCATTTCGCGACATATCGAGTTCATCCCACTCGAGCGGCGCCCCCACCCCCGCGCGCACGATCGTGATAACCTTCGCCTCCTCCCCAGCATCCGCAGCGCGGTCCAGCGCAGGCGCCAGGTTCTGTATGAACCGGAATCGCCCAAAGAACATCGCGGCCCAATTCTTGTCGAGTCCTTCCGCCGTCTTTTCGTGCGAGAGCGTCTCGACCGCGCCGATGGAGAGCACCAGGTAGTTGATCTTCTCCAAGTCGCGCTTCGCGAGCTGCTCGCACGCGGCGTCGACATTGCGCATGAGGCTGCAGTCGCAGGCGAGGAACTCGGAGAGTGTGTTGGCCGGGGAGGGGAGGGAGGCGATGAGCTCGTCGGCGGCAGCCTTGTTGCGACCGATGATAATGAGGCGAGCGTTTCCCTTCATGTGGCGGGCGAAGGCAGCAGCCATACCGCGCCCGATACCAGAGGTGCCTCCGATGAAGACACCGACGGGGGTTTTCGCCGAAGAGGTGGCGGTCGCGTTAAACTGCTTAACTGTAGAGAGGGAAGGCATCGCAGGGTGATTTGAGGATCTCCAGATGCCATGCCAGCCTTTTATAGACACAGCGTCGACGAGTCTTAGTGTCGTCAGTGGTCTCAGCTCGAGATTCTCTGCACCCATCTGCGTTTGCAACAGCCCATCGGTTCCACTACCGACGGAAGTAAGCCGTATTTCGAAAGCCGAAGGTTCTTGCCGGAGACAAAAGGAGTGCGTGGCTCCTGCATACCAGTCTCTGCGACAGAAGTACCCAGCGATACAGTCGGAGGTTAGTACAAGTATCGAAAGGAGTTGATGGAGGCAAGTTGAACCTTGGTTATGGCAATCCCGGCGGTATCAGTGACATGTGTAACACATGTGACGTCCACGTTCCTCTGACTCGAGCAACTTGAACCGGATTTCCAACACTCACAGAGTCAAAGTAATGGATGGCCAGGCATGTGTGCAAGAGCGGGTTAATTTCCTGGCGGCAAAACCCATAAGTGTAAGTTCGTCGAAGATTCATCGAGACTGAGAGAGAGAGCGAGGGAAGGCTATCAGGCGTCACGATCAGGCTGTATCGCGGTCCGAAGCCACTCAAGTGTAGGGCATCATTACGGTCATAGTAGATGCGGGAGAGTGTTTACGAAGGGAATAGCACCGAGTGAGCGGTGTGCGTCGCACGAGAAATGGCGCAGGTCGAGTTGCAGATGCTCAGAGATAGGGGCTTTCACAGGGTCATATGAATGTCACATGACGCGAATTCGAGACGGGCCATTTGCGATTTCGCGCTTCAGCTTCATCTCTAAGACGTACCAGCACGAATGGTAGCGGGATATGTTCCTGCTCTATATCCACCAGGAGGAGATCTTCTCCAATCCTCCGTCCCTTCTCTGCTACCTGAAGTCTACCTGTTAGCGCCAGGAGTTACCGGGTGTGGCATAGCAACGAGATAGCAACCGACGGCGACGTGCGCACGAGGATTCCATCAAGGCCTTTATGATGTTACCCCTGACTGTACCTCGGTACTGCAGCAGCCCTGTCCGGTCCCGAAGTCCAAGGTCTCGGATGACCTGAAAGACGTATACTTCGTCTTCCTCTCCTTACCAGCGGGCTTGGAGAATTACAGACTTGAACTTCGTATACTTCAGCGACCTCGCTTCCGTTGTCCACATCGCAGAGAACGCGGCCGCGGGTGACCGCTCGTGGGACCTTGGCAAACCCGACGAACTGGGAGAGGAGATCTCTGCTGGTCCGTCCATACGACCAGCATACAACCGTCGCCCGAAGATGATCGTAACCACTGGCACCGATTGGTCCATCTGACACGTTTTTCCGACGGCCTCTCACGTATATAAGGCGCTGGGCGACATGCCGATTCCCCACCCAAGTGTCACTTCACTCGTCTTGACGACGACCCGCATTCTTTTCCCTGCACCACTCTTTGCGATCTTTCACCTTCCTCACCTACGTCGCAGCTAGCCTGCTTACTTTGCTTGCACATTCGTATACGTTTACCAGACTTCTTCACTCTTCATCCACGCATCAGCAATGGCTCGTCTTTCCTTCATCGCTCTCCTCTCTACGGCCGTTTTGGCGACTCTCGGCTCGGCTGCGCCTATCCAGTTCAAGGCCAGCTCCAGCTCCTCGAGCAGCGCCGCCAAGGCTTCCAGCACCGCCAGTGCCTCCGCCTCTGCCTCCTCCTCCTCGTCTTCCTCTTCCTCCGCGTCTGCCGGTAGCTTCCAGCTCTTGGAGTGCGTCTTTTGTCAGTTTCAATTAGGGGCAGAGTCTGACATATACGCGTAGCTACGCCGATTTCCAGATCTCGGACGGTGTGGCCGGCGATGCTGAGGCGGAGGCGAACGCTGTCTTCGTCGACCCCTTCGACGGTGTTGACCTTGCCACGGTTGATTCGACCACCTTGGTGCGTCTCGTTGCGTGATCGTTGTCTCCGCGTACTTACCTGTCTGCAGGACAACATCCAGACCATGCGCGAGGCTGCTGAGGACGCCGAGACTGAGAAGTTCAACTCTGCGATCGAGGCCGCTTCGGGCGATGCTGGTACGTTACCCGCCCTTGCCTTGCTTTACCTCGTCTGACCTTCGTCCAGCGGATGCTCTCCAGGTCGGCAAGATCAAGAACAAGGTCCTCAAGCTCACCGGTGAGGTCCAGGCTTTGAAGATCAAGGTATGTCCTCCCCCTTTCGTTCATCTCCACCGCCTCTCTAACCCCTTCTCCCTAGATCGCGCAGGCCGGCGGCGACTCCGCCGACCTCGAGAGCAAGCTCGCCGAGGAGCAGAAGAAGCTCGACACGAACATCGCGACGGATAAGAAGTCGGCAGGTGCTACTTCGCAATCAGTGGTTTAGGACCCCGTCAACCTTGGGTCCTGCGTGGGCCTTGGTGCTCACGGGCAGTTATGTTAGCGGATACTTGGGTCAATATCACTTTCCTTTCAGAAGTTTGGTGTGACTTGAGTTCGAATGGGGATCTGAGTGAGGCGGTCGTGTTCCTTCCTACTGCGATGTGCGTGTGGGATCTTGTGTATCGCAGTCTTCTTGCGTGTTTCGTACTGCCTACTCCTTCCTCGGGGCGTGAGATTTTGCTCGCTAGACGCTGGCGACCGTGTCGTCGTAGTATGCTGCTGGGCGAAGGGAGATCTCGAATGGGCAATGTGACAGTACTGACACGTTCGCTTCAGGATCTACCCAACGCCGCCGCCTTCGTTGAGGAGAATACACATATAAACTTTTCATCTATAAGCGCAACTTCTTGATACCATATGGCTTCAATGACGAAGATTGACGGAAGAGGGTTCGATGCGGGAAGAGGTCCCTGTGGCTCTCTCTGAAGGCTGAGCATTGCATTCTTGACGATATTCGGTTGCAATGGCCAGCGAGAAGAATCGAGTGCATGTAGACCCTATATTATATACGTGTTTGACACCCTACGCCGAGAGCGAATCTATGTCTATATCTATATCTATGCATGAATGTCCGCGCACCAACTCCACTCTAACCGCCCCCTCTAATCCTGCGCCACCAACACCGCTCTATACCTCATCTTCCCCGACTCAACGCGCTCCATCGCCTGGGCAATGCCCGCCTCCGTCATCGGGAACGTCTCAATAACGGGCTTGATCCCGTGCTGCGCTACCTGCGCGAGCATCTTCGGGAACACCTGGCGCGGCGCGACGGTCGAGCCCTGCAGCGTGAGGCCCTTGCCGTTGATGGGGAGCGCGGGCAGGCCGACGAAGTTGCCGATCTCGACCGTGAGGGGGAAGATCTTGCCCTTGGGCGCCATGATGGGCATGTACCTGGGAGGCGGGTAAGTAAGTCATGGAGAAGAAGCGGCGGGTGGATGGATGATGCGGCGAAGGAGGAAACAGACGTACAAGCCCCAGGGGATTTGTCCGCTGCCGGTGGAGAGAAGGCAGTGAATTTTGCGCTCGACGGGGAGCTCCGTCAGGCCCTTGACGGCATAGAACTCGGTGGCGCCCATCGCGAGAGCCTCCTCACGTTTGTTGTCCGTGCTGCTGAAGACGACGACCTCACAGCCCATCTTGGCGCTAGACGTACGCGTTAGCTTGGGGACACTCGTCGAAATTCAAGATTCAACTCACGCAAACTGGATAGCCAAGTGACCGAGGCCACCGACGCCGATGATGCCGACGCGGTCGGTAGACTTGACACCGTAGCGGTTCAAAGCCTCGAAGACGGTCGCGCCAGCGCACATCATGGGCGCCGCGTCCTCGAGCGAGACGGCGTCCGGGATGGTAAAGAGGAAAGATTCACGAATGACGGCATGCGAGGCCAGGGAGCCAGTGTCGAGGCTCTTGTTGCCGTACGTGTCAGCGGTCTCGCAGTACATCTACGAAACCAATTAGTCAACGGGTTTGACGCGCACCGATTGATAAACCTACATCCTCTCCCTCGAAGCACATATCGCAGTGGCCGCATGTGTCGCGCACAAAGCTAGGAGATAATCAGGACTTTTCCCGCTTAGCGGTTGCAGCAAACCTACCCCCATCCTACGCGGTCACCACTGTTAATTGATGTGAGTATGAGTGTATACTGCTGTTTTGGGTGATGCTTACACTTTGAGGGATGTGCATGCTGGGCCGATCGAGGCGACGACACCGACGCCTTCATGGCCAATGACCATGTCGCGGTGCTTGAAGTGGACATCCGAGTAGCATAACCCAGAGTGCGTGATTTTGACGACCACATCGTCTGCCCTCAGCTGGCGGCTCGCCGAGTCCTTGTAGATGCGCCCACTCGCGGAGCCCTTGAAAACGGTATATTCGATAGACATGGGGACAGGCTTCCGGGGTATTGGCAGACGAATGGCAGAGCGGGAAGAGGGGACAAGTGAGAACAGCGCACCACGGTCTTCCCAGCTTTATACGCGGAAAAAAATTGACCTTCCTTCAGCTTCCTAAGTGACACGCTGCTTGTCGGGCTTGATGAGGCCCTGGCAACTGTACGCCGATCCGGCTACCATTGCACGCGAAGGTGCGCTGCGCGCCGTCCGCCAACCTGAACAAGCGAATAGCCGGAAGGTCGCACGCCCCGGCCCCCCGACCTCATTACGGGTAGCGTGAATAATTGGCCTCCACGGCGCTATAAACCTCTTCCGCCTTCCGCGTTGGCGCGTACGCATGGTCAGCCCAGTCCGAAACGGCCCTCAGTCAGCCTAGCAGCTTTTCTTTCACTAGATTTCTGTCGATGACAAAGGGAGACAAAGGGAGAAACAGAGCGATAAGGCGGACTTCAAGCTCGGAAGTTTGGTCGTCCAGAAAGTTCAGAACAGCTCGCTCGTGGGAAATGTGACAAAGCCAAATTGACACGTGACCCAACCTCACCGTCGGCAAGCGCCGAGGTGGCGTTCAACTCGCCGCCATGTGGACGACGCTGACATGCCTGCTTTCGTTCACCTTCTTGTCTGTGTTGGCGTCGCCGACGCAGTCTCCACGTCCTCTAGTCATATGGCACGGACTTGGTCAGTATTGCCCTGCGTACAAACGAACAAGCGTCTGACTTTGCGTCTGGTTTCTCAGGCGACTCACATTCGTCTCCTGGGATGGTTGATTTCCAGGACCTCATCAAGGAGGTGCATCCAGGAATCTTCATCCATTCTGTACGGATAGAGGAGGCACTCGACAAGGACCGCGAGGCCGGATTCGTGAGTGCGTTGCGTACCTCCTCGCCACGTGTCTCACCTGCGGCTGCACAGCACGGCAACGTCAACGCACAGCTGGGGCTCGTCGCGGACGAGTTATCTGCCATCCCAGAGCTAGAGGATGGATTCGACGCCATCGGCTTCTCGCAGGGTGAGCACTTTAATACTTACCGAGCTCGGCGGGCCGCTGACAACAGGCAGGCGGACAATTCCTCCGCGCCTATGTGGAAAGATACAACTCCCCTCCCACGTACAACTTGATCACCTTTGGCTCCCAGCATCTGGGCATAGCTGACATCCCCGAATGCGGCACGTACGACTTTCTCTGCAAGTCAGCGCGTCGCATTGTCCTCGGTGCCGTCTATGGCCACTGGGCGCAAGAGAACCTCATTCAGGTGAATACACGTGCTTTTGGTACGCATGTTTGGTTGTCTGGACAAGCTGACCGTCTCTTCAGGCCCAATACTTTCGCGACCCCTCCCGCTACGCGGAGTACCTGGCCGCGAACCACTTTTTAGCTGACATCAACAACGAGATACCCGGCCAGCGGAACGCGACATACAAGGAGAACCTGCAGACGCTGGAGAATCTCGTGCTGATTATCTTCTCGGAGGACAAGACTGTTGTTCCCAAGGAGAGCGCTTGGTTCGGTTACGAAGAAATCACAGACGATAAATCGGCTGCCCTCATCAACGACTCCACGGGACAAGAGCAGTACCCCTTGGCCCTCTCCTCACCTGCAGAGAAGATGATCGTTCCCATGCGCCAGCAGCCAATATATATCGAAGACTGGATCGGGTTGAAGGAGCTTGATGAGTCGGGGAGGATTATCTTCGGCGTGTGCGATGGCGAGCATATGCAGCTGGGCGACTGTTGGAAGGACTATGTGAAGAAGTATGTCGGGTCGCTCGTGTAGTTTTGTCGTGAGTCCTATACACGAAGTCGATTAATCACAGACTGAAGCCTTACCTCGCGGTCTCGTCAGATACGCATGCACAACTTTGGCCATATACTTTTGTTCTGTAATCTGCGCCGCTGGCGGCCTGGCGAACAGGTCTATACCTCGTTCATGTCATGGATACCACGTCCCCATTTTGAGTGCTGACCACAGCGATCGTAGGCAGCGGACCGATGTACATTGTCCTACATTTGTCCTGCATCCGGGGCGTAACGCAACTTGAACCGGCAGTCACGTGCTCCCGCGCCTGGGCCGGTCCCGAGGGCCGGGTCTTCCGCGCTCGACCACGAGCTCATCTTGTCGGCTCACTCCAGATCTGCTCCATGTCATCTCTGTACCCGCAGCCATGAGGTTCCCGCTGGGCAGGTCCTCATATCGCTGGTCAGGCCCTCCATCCGCTGGGTCAGGCCCTCAGGCCTTCGGGGCCTTCGCGCGACGAATCAGCTTCTGGTCTCCGACCCCGCGTCGCGCGCCTTCGCTTGCTTAGCGTCCGGTGGGGGTCGTGGGGGCTCGCTCTTTTCGCCCACCCGCTACATCTTCGGGCGAACGTGCGACGGTACCTGCCCCGTTCCCAATTTTGTCCTTGTTCTGGTTTAGCACCTGCTCTCGGTCTAGCACCCGCCCCCCGCTGTATTTAACCGCGGCGAGCTGACTGACCGCTCGCAGCATTCGCGGCTCCAGTCTCGACCAGCGCACTGGGCATCGCTATTGCACCACCCCGGTATGGGTATAAAAACGCATTTGCCGTCGACCGTGCGCCCACCTGTCATGATGCGACTCTACATGACCCGGCGTTCGTCGCTGCACACAGTCTACTCCGACCCCGAGGGGCATACGCTCTACAAAGTGCGCACGCCCTTCACGCTCGCCAAGGGGCGGCGGTGGGATATCAGCCGTGCGAAAGAGCACCCCTCGCCATACCCCGCACAGCGTGAATACGATGCATTGGCGCAAATTCATTGGCGGCGGGATCTTACAACACTATCTATTGGAGAGCAATCTATGAACGCCGCCAATTTCTTCCGCAGAACAGGGTTATATGGGAGGTACGCATCGCCTCCGATCTGAATTCAGTGCCCCCACTGACAGTGACGTACTGTCCATAGAAGCCTTTCATTCACCGGCCCCGATGGCTACGAGTACAAATGGGTACTCGGGACAATACACCCTCAGGCAAGTTCAAAAAAGAGCGGATCCGATGATGTCCTAACAAGCTCGCAGCTTGTGCGCGTTGACGAGAAGCAGACGCTCATAGCAAAATACTACAAGGAACGCCACAAGGTTCCCTTCATAAAGCATAGGCCAGCATACCTCGACATATTCCCGCCCGGTGAAGGCATGGCGGACATCATCTTCATCACCTTTCTGTACATCCACAAAGTACGCCACGACCGACTGAACGTCCTCCGTAGCCTACAGGATGATGGGTTGGAATGACCTTGCCCCGAATCTTAAACGCCCCTTCACGAAAATGCACGTTCATCCTCACTGTATTTGTAGCGCACCCCCATATCCAGCATAGTTATATCAAATATCATAGCTCTTTGTAGCCACATATGATCCCTCTCAGAAACTGGGCGAGCCCTCTTCAACAGGAGGAGACGACGTACGGCTGGACGCCTAGATCCGAACCGTGACTCGAACTTCAACAGTCACGCAGTCACAGTGACGCTAGGCTACAACTTGCTTCCCGCCACCATACCGAACATGGCCTCACACCCAGGAGTACTCACCATAGCCGGCTCCGACTCTGGAGGTGGTGCTGGAATCCAGGTCAGTGTCTTCCCAACAGACAATCGAGTCAATTTACCCATCCACTTTCAGGCCGATTTGAAAACAATTGCGGCTTTGGGGTGTTATGGGACTTCTGCCATCACAGCACTTACTGCTCAGAACACGAAGGGTGTCAATGGCGTTCATGCCGTCCCGACCGACTTCGTCGAGAGCCAGGTCAGCATAGTAAGCTCATACGCAGCCTAACGCTAACGCCTCTTGCATCATCGCCAGATCAGCACCGTCCTCGCCGATATAGACGTCAAAGCCATCAAGACAGGGATGCTCTGCGATGCGCAGATTGCGCGTGCAGTCGTGCACGCGCTTAAGGCGCACTACAAAGACGCGCTTCTACCCGCACTCGTCTGCGATCCCGTGTGCGTGTCTACTTCCGGACATACTCTCCTTCAGGAAGACGCAGTCGACACGATCGTCGACGAGCTCTTCCCGCTGGCGACATTGATCACGCCGAACAAGCAAGAGGCGGAACTCTTGCTATCTCGTCGCGGCTACCCACGGAAAATCAGCGGGCTCGACGACATGTTGTCTTCGGCACAGGCGCTTATGCAGCTGGGCTCGAAAGCCGTGCTCCTGAAGGGCGGCCATATCACCGCGACGCTCGACGACATCGCGAAATTCTCTGCGGCGCATCCCGAGGTCAAGCGCGTACCGCAGGGCGTCTTCGGCGAGAACATGGAGATTTTGCAACTCGCGGGCGACAGGCCGCAGGTCACTGAGCTTGTGGTGGACATTTTGTATCAGAAATCGGGCGCGACTGTGTTCTATCGCTCGAGAATTGATTCCCAGAGCACGCATGGAACGGGCTGCACGCTTAGCTCTGCGTTGGCGTCCTTCATCGCGCAGGGTCACGATCGTGAGCGCCTTTTTGCTCGTGTCTTTGGAGAATTCCTTATCAGGTTTGTAGTTGTCGAGGCAACTCGATTGGCCACAGAGTACACGCACCACGGCATACAAGCTGCATACCCCGTAGGCGGCGGTCATGGTCCACTGAACCATCTGCACGGCCTGCGTCCGGCGTGCATTCCTGGGTAATGAGTCATTTATCTGACCTTCGCCAAAGCTCACAACCGCCGTAGCCGCACACCATCGAATCAGCACCCGTTCACCCGCCTTTTGATTCAGCAAAGCTCGTCGACATGGAAGGCCTACGTCGAACACCCCTTCGTCGTGGAGCTCGGTAAAGGCACTCTCGCAAAGGAGAAGTTCGTGCACTTCATAAAGTACGCGACTCCCCATATCTTATTATGCTCACCTAACCTCCACTCCCCAGACAGGACTACCACTACTTGAAGTACTACGCCCGTGCCTACGCGTACGTCCCATCCCTCCTTCTTGCATCTACCCCTACCTCATGCCTACACCCACCTCCCCTACCCAGTCATGAGACCTAACCCTTTCCCCAGCCTCCTCGCCGCTAAAGCAACAACCTTCTCCGACGTCGACCGCGCCGTGCAAACCATCCTCAACGTCCTCCGCGAAATCAACACGCACAAAGCCTTCTGTGCCAAATTCGGCGTAACGGCGGAGGACCTCGAGAGCACGCCCGAGGCGTCCGCGACGACGGCGTATGGGTGCTATCTGATCGAGACGGGGTTGCAAGGTGCGTATTTCCGGTGCATTTGCCTTTGTCACCTGCCCTTGGTCGATGTCGCTCAAACATTTACCAACTCCACAGGCGACAGCATGAAGCTCACGATGGCCCTCCTCGCCTGCCTTCTCGGGTACGGCGAGGTCGGCCTCTGGCTCAAGCGCCACTCGTCCACGGCCGACGCATGGGTCGTGCTCGAGGGCAACCCGTACCTGCAGTGGATCGAGGATTATTCGGGCGAGCACTATCAGGGCGCGGTGAAAGTTGGGCTCGGTATGTGCATCACTTGACGAGGCCTTACTATCTCTTTTTTGCCAGTTGATGTTCTGCTCGTTCTAATCTGCGTCCCGACAGACGTCATCGAGACCCTAGCCGCCCAAGACCCGCCCTCACCGGCGCGCTTCAGCGAATGGCTGGGAGTCTGGAGGAAATGCACGCAGTTGGAGAAGGGCTTTTGGGACATGGCTGTGAATATAGCGTTCTGAGCGCGGCGTCGAGTGAGTATATTATACGTTAAGTATACACATCTAGATTCAAGAAAGCAAGTTCCGTTTTATATAGAAGCAAGCAAGAAGATTATGATAGATGTAGTGTATTAGCGCGCGTGTAAAGTAGTGGTGTCGGTGTAGAGTAGCAAAGTCAGTGTAGAGTGCTTGAGAGGATGTGAAGTGGAAATGTGTGTAGCCTAAAGCAGCGGCTTATCGACGTCCGGGTCCAACTCGATCTCTACCTTGCTCGCGCCAGAACCCCCGACTACGCGTTTGGCTGCCGGCTTCCGCTTTGTGGGGCTGACGTTCTGCTGAGCGCTGGGGCAGAGACCCATGTCCCGTAGCGTGCATTGGTCGCAGCGTGGGTTTACGGGGTAGCAGATTTCCTGGCGCGAGTTAAGATCGGTTTACGGAAGGTGAAGAACGGGAAACAAGCAGATAGAGAGGGACTGATTACTCACTTGACCGAAGCCGACGAGCATGTGGTTGATGTCGCCCCAGAGCTCCTTTGGGAGCCACGATTCCAGGTTGGCCCTACATGAACCGTGAGTCTAGAGGATGGCGATCGTAAGAGGTTTCTCATTACCTCGTCGCCTCTGGCGTGTTGGTGGGCGGGTTATGCCACTTCAGGCGGTTTGTTATCCGGTGGACGTGAACGTCCACACCAATTCCGTCGTTTCTGTTGGATTCTTAGGATAGACAAAGGAGGGACAGGTGGGGACGTACATCCCCCACGCCGCTTGAAGGCACAAGTACGCCATCTTCGGGCCTACACCCTTCAGGGACTGAAGCTCCTTCGCGGTCTTCGGGACGTCTCCGTCAAAGTCGTCCCTCAAGGTCTTGGCTGCCTCCATGATGTACCTGTGCGACGAACATCAGCGCACGACTCGTGCAACAAGAACGTGGCCACGTACCCCGTCTTCTTTGGCCAGAATCCCACCTTATTTATCGCCCCCTCAATAGTCTCCTTGTCTGCCTTCAGCAACGCCTCCAACGTGATACTCCCCCCAAGCGCCGCCCGCAACTTCTTGATCGCCGCGTCCGTCACCTCGTCCTTGGTCTGAGAAGACAACATGAGGGAAACAAGGGTTACCAACCGCCTCGCGCGCGGGTCCGTTTCCCCCTGTTGTGCCATATGGCACCCCATGGTGTCCACCACGGCCACTATGCCGTCACGCATCTCCTTGATCGCGTCGTATGTCTCCTTCCACCGCGGGGGAGGTGGATGTGGTTCGCCTGAGGGCTTCGTCCTCGGTTGCTTCGGCTTGCTCGAAGCCTTCTGCTTGGGGGTTGACTTGCCCTTGGAGGCGGAGGCCTTGCTACGCGCAGCTGGCCGTACCGTCACCTGCGGCACCGCGTCCTCAATGTCCTCTGAATCGGAGTCCACGTAGCGCGTCGGGGGTTTGTCATCGTCGGTCTTGAGGCGCTTCGAACGTCGAGGGGAGGCTATCTCGTATAGAGTGACTGCAGCATTCGACGCGCTTGGTCGAGTGGTGAGTTCTGGGAGAGGGGATGCCGAGCGCTTGAGGGCCGCCATGATGGTAGGAGCCAAACGAGAAACGCTCATTTCGCGCTCGATCATGTCAGCTGACCGCGTTTACGGCTTGTCCCCAACTTTCATCTGCCACGGGCAACGCACAGTGTAGGCCGTGCTAGGGGTCCCCTCATACCTGCAGAGCTTGCATAGGCGAAGATCTCCTCCCATTCGACTCTCAGTATCGCCAGCGCTCTCGGAGGACACAGCGACTTCCAGACTATCTCAACACCTTACCCTGCCAGCTGCCTCCTTCTCAAGCCCTTCTGCATAGTTCTGTACTCGTCCGATCGAACTGTTACGCGCCTCTATGTCTCGGTGTACACCGCGAGTCACGAAGACCGACTTGCATTTTGCAACGTTCCAGCATGCCGAGGGCTGCTAAACTGCCCTGTATGGCTGCTGCAAATCAACTCCGCGCCACAACGCCGACGAGTCACGATGCGTCGCCCATGCTGTCATCCCCAGACTCACTGGATTGGACGTTGGGTTAACCCCTCTTCCGAACCCTGCATTCTTACTTCTTTCGCAGAGCTACCACCTGCCCTCGTAGGTCTTCTTCATGCTACCCTATCTCGACTCTGGTGATGCACCGGCGTCATCAGGTCTGTGCTCATTATGCAGACGACGGATGTACTCAAGCTAGATAGCGTCCCGAACACGGACAACCTCTCGGTCTCGCACGTCGTTCAGGATCCATTTACAAGCTACGACAATGACCACAATCGACGCAGACGCAACTCCACAGGACGACTTCAATGTAGACGGCTGGACCTGCGTTGTCACGGGCGGCAATACCAGCATCGGCCTCGCAATCTCGAAAGCGTTCGCGGATAACGGCGCTCGCGTATACATCTCGGGTTGCCGCCGCGATACTATACGTTCACCCGCTCAGGTCTCAGCTTCCCAGGACGCGCACCTGAAGGGCGAAATCATCCTCCTGCACCCCGCATCCATAACTCAGCTTGTTGAGCTCATCAGCGAGCGCGAGGAATCCATTGACGTCCTAGTCAACATAGGTGACATCGCCAACGACGGAATGGCCGCTAAAACGGTCCCAAACGCCCTCAGCATGACTACTCTGAGGGAGACTACGGACGCTCGGGAGCCCACGGACGACGTCCACGACCTGGTCTCCCTCTACGCCTGCATCTCTCTCCTATCTCATGGCCTCGCCGCCAGTCACTTCTCCGAAACCGCAGCCTTCATGCCCCTCCTCTCCGCCGCCAACCGCGCAGGGAACACCGCCATTGTCATCAACTATCCACCCTCCGAAGCTGACGAGGGCAGCGCGCTCTGTCGCCTGGGGTGCACGCCGTCCAAGGCGGTCTCCGTCCATCTGACGACCCTCGTGGCGCTGGAGATGAGGCGTAAGATGGCGGGCGTTCGCGATTTGAGAATTGTGACGGAGTCGTTGCCCGCGACGAGTGGTGTGTATTCTTCGCGTGCGTCGCTTCTCGACACGACGCTCATCATTGATTCAGAAGGACCGGAAGACTCAAAAGCATCTCGTGTTGATGCTGAGGATGACGCCGCTCGAGCGGCGCTCTTGCTTGCATGCCAGCAGCGTGTGAGCGGCTCGCCTGCTACCGTAACCTAAGTGCTCGGCGGAGGTTAGATCCGGCTAGAGACGTACAGTGACACTGCTCGCGCGTTCCTTTGACGAAAAGGAGCAGGGATAAAATATTTTCGAGCGCTATCGTGTGGAAGAGAATTCGAGGAAGTCGTCCTTATGGATGTCTACTATACTATGTAACATAGGAAGTCATATTGTTTGCATATCCCTTCGACTGAGCCCCAAGAAATCGTTCAGCAACAGTCAACCACACAGCCCAACAATGCTCGGCATCTGCCGCTGCGGCTCAATTCGGCGAAGGCCGGACTCCCACGTGATCGTTCTCCTCTGCCCGCAAACCTCATGTCAGGTCGCGTCCTGGCCGCGTCGCGCTCGACATGCAGGGCTTATACCCCACTACTTCGAAGCAGATGTCTTTCGACTAGTTCAGTTAACTTGACTGATTCGACCACCGAGATACGTCGCCCGCGACGTATCTTCTCCGGGATCCAGCCGACAGGCATACCTCATGTAATTCTCTTTCTCTGATGCACCTGAGGCTTATTGGACTGAATTTCCTCTCCTTCCCCTTCTCTATCCATTCCCTTCTCCCTCTTTTTCCTCCTCACCTGACATTCCCCTCCCACCCCCAGCTAGGGAACTACCTCGGCGCCCTCTCTAACTGGGTCGCTCTCCAACGCGACGCCTCGCCCTCCGACGAGCTCATCTTCTCCGTCGTTGGCTGGCATGCCCTGACCATGCCGCAAAAACCGAAGGAGCTGGCGAAGTCGAGGCAGGATATGTTGGCGGTGTTGCTGGCGATTGGGCTGGACCCCAAAAGGGCGATTATCTTCCATCAGGATCATGTATGTGGGTTTGGTTTGTTCTGGTTGGTTGAGAAACGCTAGGGGAGGGGGGAAGGGGAGTGAAGGAGAATCGCATGCTGACGCTGAACCCAGAACCCCGCACACACTGAGCTGGCATGGATTTTCAACTGTATGACTTCCCTTGGGCAGCTGAGAAGGATGACTACTTGGAAGGTAATTTAATCTTTCAAGTAAATAGCGACATATCTGAACGCTCCCAACAGTCCAAGATTGCGACGGCGCGTAACGCGAAGGACGAATCAGAGATTGACGAGTCGCAACTTAACGCGGGTTTGTTGACCTACCCTGTTCTTCAGGCAGCTGATATTCTGGCGTATCGGTATGATGTCGCTGGCGCCACAATTCCGAGCCGGCGATTGACCACTGCTACAGCGCGACCCACGTCCCGGTCGGTGACGACCAGACGCAGCACATTGAGTTATGTCGAGATTTGGCAGACCTGTTCAACAGGCGCTACAAGGGTAAAACTACGATGTTCCCATTGCCACAAATTATCAAGAGTGCGTCCATCTCCCGTCATACGCGCCAGATTCCCGGGCTGACAGACATCTAGCCCAGACGAAGCGCGTCCTCTCCCTGCGTGACCCCAGCGCGAAGATGTCCAAGTCTTCGCCCGACCTAAACTCCCGCATCCTTCTGACCGACACCGCCGCGCAAATCCAGTCGAAAATCCGCTCCGCCGTGACTGACGGACTCGGCGAGCTCACGTACGACCCGGAAAACCGCCCGGGAACGGCTAATCTGCTCACCATCCTCGGCGCCATCACCGGGCAGGACGACCTGCACGCGCTCGCGGCGCGCTATGCCGGCAAGGGCCACGCCGAGCTCAAGGCGGACACGGCGGATGCGGTGGAGGAGGCGATAAAGGGCCCGCGGGCGGAGTTTGAGCGCCTCAGGAAGGAGACGGCATACTTGGAGGAAGTGGCGAGGGATGGGGCGCGTCGTGCGAGAGAAAAGACGGCCGGGACGATGGCGGAGGTGAGGGCGAGGGTAGGTCTAGCTTGACGAGGTGTGTCGGCATCGGAATCCCAACTCCTTGTCAGCGACGATGTGGGTCCAGGAGCGTGACCGTGAGATGATGTCGCCCACAGCGCCAAAGCTTCCGTTGAACGGTGACAGCGTTCAACTTTGCAGCCTCGAAATGAAAGCCGGTGCTTCTTGCTGATTAGCGTGCTGGTTCTGCCCTTCTCCCGTGCTCGGGACGAAGATGCATTGTTACCTAACTGCCCTCGTCGTGGTGGATCGCCGCGTCCTCGGTCGCGATGTTTCACCAGGGGTCGGATAAGCTCGCGGAAGAGGACGCTCGACGTCACGGTGGCTTTCCCGAGCACACCAGTCTCACCTGCGGAAATTCGCGGGTCGCGCTCGCCAGGCTTGCTCCCGACCACCACACACCATGAAGCCCATCCGCTTCCAGCACATCCTATCCCAGCCGAAAACTCGCCCACTCTTTAGATCCATCCTCCTCGTCGCCAGCGTCTATGTCGTCGTCTCGCTCACCATGTGGTCCCAGGGCGGGAGCCATCTGAAGACGAGCGTCGTGCCCGCGAAGCTGCGCGAGGCGTCCATGTCTACTCTCCAGATTATCTCCCAGATCGCGCGTCGGCCAGCGTCCACCGGGGCTCCTAGGCGGCAGAGACAGAAGCAGAAGCCACGCCTCGCGGACGCTCGCGGCGGCCTAGCGGCCACTGGTCAGCACAAGTATCACCAAAACGGTCTTCTGGAGGTCAACGCCAAAGGCCCGCACCCCATCTACGAACTCATGGACCGCGCCGAAGCTCAGTGGAAGAAGAAGGTCTCCAAAGCAAGTCGGACGCTGGAGCAGGCTGTGCGCGAGTACCGCAGACGCTACAAGCGCAACCCGCCGAAGGACTTCGACGTTTGGTGCGCATATACCCGCTTCCGTCTGCCTCGCGCTGACCTTCTGCAGGTGGAAGTTTGTGCAACAGCACAATGTACAGCTTCCGGACGAGTACGACCAGATTTACCATGACTTCGAGCACCTGTGGGGCATCTATCCTCCCGATCTCATCGCCCTGCAAGAAGAGCAGCAGAACGCCACCCAGCAGGATTGGTATGCCATTGGGCGAGATGAAGAAGGACACGTCGGCGTCGTCCGTACATCATTCTCCGACGACCACCAACATCTCATCTCCGGCTCCTTCACCATCCTCAAGCTTCTCAGCGAGGTCGAGGAATGGCTACCAGAGAACTTCACCATCATGGTCTCCCCTCACGACGGTCCCTCTCGCCTTACCGACTACCTCTACAAGCAGAAGCTCCTGGATGCTGCATGGCGAAAGACCTGTTAGTGACGACATAGCTGCTTCTTTTCTTCGCTGACGCAGTCGCAGATCTCAAGAAGAAAGACTTTCCGAAGATGAGACCTGGTATCGGCTGGACAGCAGCTTGCCACCCGTCTTCCTTCGGCGGACGCTACGCCATCATACCCAAGGACGACCCGCCGGCACGCGAGGGCAAGTCTTTCATCTACGACCACGTCAAGAGTATGGACCCCTGTCAACACACGCATCTCTTCCATGAGCACGGGCAGTTCATCTCGCACTTCACTGGACCGAACCCGCGCGACGCCATGATCGTCCAGTACACCTACGCGTCCACGACCATCCACCACGACGTTCGCATGCCTGCGCCGTACGGCTGGGTCGAGGACATCGAGGGCGAGCCCGAGTGGGAGGAGAAGACGGACAACCGGCTCCTGTGGCGCGGGTCGACGACGGGCATGTACAACCACCCGAAGGTCCGCTGGGACAAGTCGCACCGCCTGCGGATGGTCGCGCTCACGAACAACATGTCCACGACGCTGCCGATCCTCAACCCGGCGCCGAAGCGTGATCAGCGCGTCGGCCCGCCGCAGCTGCACGACTCGGGCGCGGTGAACTGGGAGATGATGGACGTCGCCTTTGCTGGCAATGCGCATGCGTGCAGCCCGGAGATCTGTGATATCATCGAGGACACGTATGAGTTTGCCGACTACCAGAGTATCCAGGAGGCGGCGAATTACAAGTATATCATGGATGTGAGTGGTGTTGGGCGCTGGCTCATGATGTCTGGCTGATGGTCTCGTAGATCGATGGCAATGCGTGGAGCGGTCGCTTCAAGCGCTTGTTGACCTCGAACTCGGTCATCTTCAAGGCGACTATCTATCCTGAGTGGTGCGTACCTCCTTCGTCTTCGCTATCCCGCGCGTTTCTTCCACCATGCACCGGAAGCTCACGTCCATCCTCAGGTTCACCGATCGCATCCAGCCCTGGCTGCACTACGTCCCCGTTCAGCTTGACTTCACCGACCTCTACGACGCGCTCGCATTCTTCCGCGGGGACGAGAACGGCGAGGGCGGGCATGACGATCTGGCGAGGAAGATTGCGGTTGAGGGCCGGAAGTGGAGCAAGAAGTATTGGAGGCGAGAGGATTTGCAGGCGTATTTTATCCGGTGAGTGGCGCGTGAGTGTGTGGCTGCGTGTTCACGGTACTGATCGCTGTCGCGTAGTTCGTTGCTCGAGTACAACCGCCTCATGTCGGTCGACCGGGATGCGATGTCTTATCATGGGCCGGGGACGGAGTAGAGGGTTGAGTGGATGATATCTGTGCGGCTGGCCACGCCTTCCGCGAGAGCCGCCCTTTCTTGGAATTATTTTGGAGTTTTCTCAGACATCTGAAGCGGACGAGGATATATCAATAGTGGATGTGTAGCTTAGTAGGTTACAGACTATTATTGAGACGCTCCTTTGAATTTCTGTTCGTGTATCCATGCGGGAGACATGGGTGCATGTGGGAGGGGAATGGCTAGGTACTGAGGCGACAGTTGAAGTAGCTCGGAATCGACATAGAGTGAGGGACGGTCTGCTCGTGAACTCGTGAATGGGCCGGGCATTGACAGGAACTCAGTAGCGACGCGCCGCCTTGTGCGATTTGCGAACCTGATTGACTCGCGCTCGAAACAACGACTCCGGCACGAAAATCCGCATCTAACTTTTGAATCACGACTTCTACACAATGGGTTCACAGCTATACATGTACACCGTGGGTGCGTGCCCTACTTGTGCAGCATGTGTCTATAAGACCACTCGTAGTCCAGGACATCGTGGATGGCCTCATCGAACTGCGATGAATAGTCAGTAGGCGCATATGGACGGTGGCGAGCCAGCGTTCGCTTGGGAAACACGAGGAGGATGCACTGTGACTATCAAACGTACATTCATGGCCTGTTGAGTCCTTGCTTTCACCTCGTCTATGTATTTCTTCACGTCCTCGACAGGTCCCTTTGATAGCATGGTCAAGTTGGCCTCTATCTCTGCGAACTCCTTCTCGTCGACAAGTTTGTCCAGAGCTATCCAGTCTGGGCGGGATCAGTGTACGTCTGAGCATGACACATCATCACATAGGTACCGTTAAGAACCCGTTGCCAATCCAACGTCCTGCCAGGATACTTGGTCTTGAAATCCGGCGGGCCACACATTCCCCAATCCAATAGCGTGCGATACCTATTGGTGAGTTCATAAATGTCGCGGTCTGGTGAGTGTCGGGGATGGAATGACGCACTTGCTGTTCATGCAGTCGCGGCACCGCTTGTCGAGGAATGAGAAAAAGTCCGACACGCCTTTTGTTGAGCCGCAGGACTACAGAGGGGCCGAACCGCAGTCAGTGCCATGATCAGACGCAGGGGATAGTTGTCGCACAAAGCAATTCTTTCCATAGATCAAGTTGACGTATTGCGGGAGACTCATTCCGTTGTCGATGCATGCAGGTATCATGGGATAGGTCGCTGCCTTGAGTGAGTGCTCCCAGGTACTTTTAGCGCCGCGGTGCAGAAGCGTGTATCGGAGAGCCTTATTTGCACGACTGAGATTCAAAAGGACCGCAGGATGGACGTGCTTGAATATCTCATGGAGGATATCGAGTGGCAGGTCCATGATCGCTGCGAGTGTGATGGGTTGAGCTATGGTGGCCTCCTGAGGTCGTTTCTCTTCATTACGTGAGCGATGCTGAATGATATTGTTCTTCTCTTTATCTGGCACATTCGCCTTGCTCGCTGTTGACTGCGTCGACGTCGCGGTCTCCGTGTCGGGTTTCAGTGGGCTGTCTGCCCGCTGCACTTCGTGCGAGCCCGCTATACAAGTGTCTCCGGTCTTCACCTCTTCAAGGTCATCGTCGGAAGACGTTGAGCAAGTGCTGGACATGTCGAGACGAGTGAAGGTTGAGGACAAGTGGCCGTCGGTCGCGGGACATGTGGCCACGCGGTTGTCACGCCCAAGCCACGAGGGGTTCTCACGGTCACTCTGTCACGTCCGGTTGAACTTTTATCGACCTACAATGTGGCTGCAGTGTGCCAAGGCGACGAGAACGGCGAGTCAAGACATGCTATATTGCCTCTCGGATAATCTCTGCTGAAAGCCGCAAGTGAAGCATGGAGTAATGGCCTGGCAACGACCTGGCGCTTCCTCGTTGAATAAGCATCGTCGGGTCGATTGCGACGCTTCCGAGGCGATGCGAGTCCATACAGGGTGAGAGGCGGTCTATTCGTAATTTCTTCAACATAGAGGGCGTTGAAAGAACCCGGTAGGGACGCCCTCGACGCGCCGTCATGCGAAGGCGAGGTTTGTGGGTTTGATTGTTATCGACGTTGGGCACAACGGCTCCCGACCGACTTCTTCGCAGATTTCAGATCGTGAGTACATAGCCCTGCCCAGTCTTATATGCTCCTACGTCATGGTTAAGAATCCTTCCGACTGCAGAACACCGTGTATGGTCTTTTCAAACTGGGGTGGATAGTCAGTAGACACGCCCTATGGCAAACATTATGCTATCGATCACACCTCTTCCGCTTGTCGTGTCTTTGCCCTCAGGTTGTCGGTGTAGCTTCTCAAGCCCTTGACGGTGCCCTTCTGGGTCGAGTCCTCAATGATTCTCTTTGACAATGCGGCCATGTCTACCTCTATCCTCGCAGATTCTTCCTTGTCGACAAGGTAAGTATAAGACACCCAGTCTGTGTCGAGGGTTAGTATAGTATGCGCAAGTGCTAGATAGGCCTGATGAAGAGGTATCGCTACGCACCGCCATAATACATATCCCAATGTAGCATTCTGCCAGGATACCCGGTTTCGGGGTCGAACGGGCCAGACTTTCCCCACTTCCAGTAATGGAGCATGCAATATCTATCAAATAATTCGTCTGTGTGGGCGGATAAGGTTCGAATTTTGAACGTACGTACTTTTCGAATACGCATCCCTCGCACCGCTTGTCGAGAAACATGAACATGCAATTCACTTCATGTGCTGAGCCGCAGGCCTAGAGGAGCGCTTCGATAAGAATCGTCAAAGAGGCGAAAAGGCGGAAAACGCACGAAGCAAGTATCTCCGTAGATCAAGTTGACATATTGCGGGAGACTCATCCCGTCGTCGATGCAAGTTGGAATCATAGGAAAGCCCGCTGCCTTGAGCGAGTATTCCCAGGTGCTCTTGGCGCCGCGGCGCAGAAGCGTGTAGCGGAGAGCTTTGGTTGCACGGCTGAGATACAGAATGTCCGCGGGGTGGAGGTGTTTGAATATCTCGTAGAGTATATCGAGCGGCAGGTCCATGATCGCTGCGAGAGTCACGGGCTCGCGAGAGCCCGCATTTGTGAGCCTCGGCGTCAACATTGCTTCGTCTTTCATATTGTTCAGAGCACTACTGATAGACGATGAGCAAGTGCTGATCCCGTTGACGCGAACATGACGGTTGAAACAAGTGGTTGTCAGCCGCGCGACAGTCTGGCCACGCGTACGCCACGCTCAAACCCCGGAGCTTCCTACGGTCGCGAACGATTTGCGAACAGTCGAACTTTACCGACCTACGATGTGCTTGCCAGCTTTCGCAAAAGCAGCGAGGATAACGGCATCTGAATCGGGCGGGGATATATATGTATTGTAGGGATAGTAAATCATTAGTGAGTGCATAATTCAGATTAAGGCGTCTCTCTGGTTTTTGTCCGTGTATTCAGAGCGCGAGAAGTGATTGGAGATGCGAACCATGGCAGTAGGACTTTGTATAGACTAACCATTGTGATAGCTCATGCTCTGGTCCTTGAACATATGCTAAAATCGGACAAACGGCGGGAAGTTGGCCATCGAGCTGTCTTGCGCGTATGCGACACTTTGCTCGCTGTTGCGATTCGTCAGCATCGTCATATCTCGCCCTCGACAGGAGAGGACTGCGCTCACCGGAGAGCCTTGTTCCACATTTCCTGATTGCTGCAGGCAGGTACCTTAATGCGATAGCCTCCTCGGCACTGTCTTACGACTTGGCCCTTCTCAATCGCAGGTTTCTCGGCGGCCTCGATGCGCTGTAGCTCGTCTGGGTCGTTGATAACCTTCCATCGAGCAGAGATAGGGCTGTTGTCCGTGGCGTAGTGGTGCTGGATGGAGTGGAGAAGCTGGGCATAATCAAGTCAGTCGACAACCATCAACGAGAGCGAGGAGACCCGTACCGCGCTACGCCATTGCATGGCCTGCCGACGCTTGCCCGGCTCGCAAGCCACGCACTCGAGACGCGCGTCAAGTGCCTCCATGTCCGCAAATGTCGTCTTGTTCGGATCGTTCTCGCACGCCCTAATCAACACCTCCGCGTGCCGGCTCGCCTCCTCGTCGAAGAACACCTTGTCAGTGGTGCGATAAAGCGGCGCGCTCGTCCTCGCCGCCTTCAGCATGCTCGTGATCGTGATAGTCGTATCGTCCTCGCCGTCCTCATCCTCCCTGCCCGCCGGGAGGTCCTTGAAGCACTGATGGACGGTGATCCGCACGTAGGGCATGGGTTCCTTGCAGCGGAAGCACTTGAAGTACGTCGTCGCGAGCGCGAGGCGGTCGCCCGTGCCCCTGCTCTTGCCCTTGACCCTGCCGGGGATCAAGCCCAGCAAATACGCCCTCATCTCATCCATACACTCCCGCCCTAGGCGCACGAGTACCGCGTCCTCCACCGACTTTAGCGGGTCCGTCACCGACCAATCGAGGTCCTTCAACAGCACCGTGCGGAGCGGCTCCCTGACCGCAACCTCCGCCGACGTGGGCTTGAGCACATTCGCGTCGGGGCACATCTCTCTCCACTTGTCGAGTTTCATATCTAGATCGCGAAGGCGTAACCAGAATACGTTCCCGGCAACCTCCTTCTTGCGGAATTTGATCAGCTCGCTGACGTACTCCTCAACGCCCTCCTCCATGGTCTTCCAGCCTAGCAATATTGGCTAAGCGCGAGGTAAGAATGACGAGGTTTGAGGCTGGACTCACTGCGCTCCGTCATGGTCGTCGACCGGTGAGTGTAGCGGTTCAGGTAGTTTGGGCGCCATCGCCGAAGTTTCTGCAGCTCCTCGTCGTAACCTTTCTCTTGCAGCTTCGTGACGATGCTGCGAGAGGCGGTCAGCGCACGACACAGACGCACAAAACCAATATATGCTTACAACTCTCGACGCTGGGTACGAAGGTCCTCAATCTGCTTCTTCTTGGCGGCCTCTACCACATAGCTCTCGATCCGCAGGACACGGCAGAGGTCCGCAGAGAACTGGGATGATCAGCAGGCAGACAACAAACGTGTTGTTGGACATACATCTGCGGCGTGCTTAGCCTTTGCCTTCAGGTCGTCCGTGTATTTCTTCAGCTCATCGACGGGTCCTTGGCCGAGGGCGGTCACGTCAGCCTCGGCCTTCGCGTACTCGTCTTGGTCAACAAGGTAAGTCGACTTGTGGAAGTCTGTAGAGATTGAGTTGTAGAGATATGATGTAGCGTGCATAAAACATGACGGCATACCGAATACGTCCGAATTCCAATACAACTTCTTGCCAGGATAGCCCGTTTCAAGATCAAACGGCGCAGACCTTCCACCGTCCGCTATCGTACGATACCTGTTGTTATAGCCCTCAGTATGATCCAATGTGTTACGAAGGATGGAAGAACACACCTGTCGAATACGCATTTTTCGCATCGCTTGTCCAGAAACATGAACAAGGTGCGAACATCCTTCGTACTGCCGCAGACCTGGACGCACGTCATTCAGTACCAATCAGAGACACGGAAAGAAATATCGCGCACCCAGCAGCTCTTGCCATAGATCAAGTCAGCGTATTGCGGAAAGCTCAGGCCTCCATCAAGGCAGGGCGGAATCCTGGGGTTAGATGCCACCTTGAACGAGAACTCCCAGGTGCCCTTGGACCCCGGGCGGAGGAGCGTGTAGCGGAGAGCCTTGTTCGCATGACAGAGATGCAGAAGGTCCGCCGGGCGAAGGTGTTTAAATATCTCGTATAGAATGTCGAGCGGCAGGTCCGTGACTGCTTCGAGCGTGAGGGGTTTCTTTTTCGAAGCCCTTTTCGTTGGTTTCTTCGTCTCCGTATGCGAAGAAGTGTGGCTGGTCTTGCGCCGCTTGTCAGCGAAAGCGGATGCCTTGGTAGATTTGGAGGGAGTCGCGGCAGAGCTGGATGAGTCAGCGCTATCCGCCCGCTGCGCTCCGCGAGCCACCGTCGCCGTCGCTGTCGTCAAGGACGCATCGGTTCCCTCAAACGTTTTCCCTTGTCGAGCTTTTATACGAGACGAAGAACGAGTACTTGTCATGTCAAGCGAACATGAAGGTCAAAGAGAGATGATGGTCGGTCTCGGAGGAATGAGGCTGGGCACGGTCGCGATCGTCACGCCAGAACAATGCGGTGCCGAGGTCTTCTCACGGTCATATGAAAGGATTGAACGGAGACTCGCTGAGGTTGGCCAGCCCGCTCGAAGTTTGCCTGAGCCTTCGAAACGAAGGGCAGGAAGCCATGCACTGTCTTTGGCTTCGCCGGTGACGCACAAACCTTGGCACAAATTCTGTCGTGTTCAACTCATTTGCGCTGAAGCGCAGCGCGCATAACAGGGGATGACTGGGAGTTCTCCCCCAAAAAGCAGCCTTGGTACAGCGCAGACCTTCGATTATTGATTTGCTCACGAAGCGGTCTTTCGAAGATACCCATCCGGTGGTCCGCAGTTGATTTCCTAGGACTGAAAGGGGGGTAAGGAACTTCGGACGAAAAAGAGACAATAAATATTGAGACCCGTAGGTCTACCACTCCGGAAAAGCGTGTCATCCTTGTGCAGGGGCCATGCTAATCTTCTCTGTATCGTTCCAAATTTTTCGTACGTCACCCCGAAGGGGACAACATTGGTACAGGTATGCATCAGGTCATTGACTGAATTTTGGGTTAAAACTGACCCCGAGGGTTGTCCATTTATCATGCCTTTTGCTCGCCAGCGTCTTTGAGCCTTCCAGCGCCCCGGACGACCTTCTTACAAGTACCCAGATAGACATAACAGAGCAAAGCAAATAGCATACAAGAAGCAGCCGAACTACAATACATAAGTAAGGCATTTTGTCTTCAAAGTCCCTCTGCACCCCCGCACTGCACGTCCAGGAACCCGACCCAAAGCCTGACAAGAAAACCGTAATTACTCGAGCCCATACGGGGCTCTGTATGATCCTACCCTATATCGTATGTACAAGTACAAAGCTATTGCGTGCATAGCAGCGTTCGTGTGTGTGTAGCAGCGTCCTTGCCGGAGATATCTAACCTTGTGAAGCCACTATCCTTGTGAGGTGACTATGCCCTGATTGAGCGACTCGCCAGAGTAAAGCCACCCGCCCAGTCACGTCCGGATGTCGTTCCCATCTAACCAGCCGTAAATGTAGAGAAATACCGAGAGTGCAAGTGATCGCGCTTATTATCCGATTATGTATCGTTAGAGATTAGAGAATTGATCTTCTGCGTCCATTTGATAGCCGTTGGGGAATCGGGCGCGGTGAATGAGTGGCTCTTTCCGTTGCTCTGCAGGAAGAGTAAGTTAACTGTCCCCTCTGAGCCATGGACACCTCGACATACCGTCAAGAACACGAAGCCCCGGTCACCCTTCAGATCCGACGAAGTGATCCGTGCCAGTTCCTTCGCGTCCTTGCTGTCCTTCCCCTCCTTTCCGTCCTTCTCGTCCTTCCTCTCGGACGACCTTGAGGCGTTTGCGGGCCTTACCGCGTACTGTGCCTTCACCGTCGCCGGCCCACCGATCTTCTTCGTCTTAAGCAGCACCAGGCGCTTGTCCGTGAGCACCAACTGCCGAAGTTTGGGCTTCTTGACCGCCTGGACGCTGACGTGCAGGAGCCTGCTGGCGCGACGACGAAGCGAGCGCGCTTCCACCGTCGACTTGTACACGATGTGCTCGCTGGTCTCCATGTGGATGATGGAGGGCCTGTCGCGATGTCAGCGTACAAGTTCGGTACAGAGCAATGAAGTACGCACAAGTCGGCCTCCGATACAGGCGTATTCCCCTGTACTGGAGTCAACGCACGGTTACGCCCACGTTCGTACTCGAGGGTCTTCTGGCTGTTGAGCGACGGCGAAGAGTGCGGCAGGCTCTTGTGCGAATTGCTGAGGTTGCGGAGTGCAAGCTCAGCAAGGCGCTCGTCCAATTGCTCCATGCTGCTGTCGGAAGTACTATTCTGCGTCGACTGACTCGAGGCAGCCGTGTCCTTCCTCGACAGCGATGGACGCTCGGCGGAATCCGCAGCAGCAGGCGGCGGAGATGCAGAAGGTGGTGTCGTTGGCGCGGAGTCCAGAGGGTCACCCGCATCGGGCTGTTTCGCGCCATTTTGGCGGAAATGCTGCACCTGCATGCGCGCCTCGTCGCCCTCCGCGTCCGGCGCCCACTCGATCTCGTCGCCACCCACAAGCTCGTCCCATATTGCCCCAACGTCGCGCGAAGCACCGTTCGCGCCATTGACGGCGGGGTCCTTCTTCAGCAGCCCCGCCTCATGCGGCGGGGCAGGGTCCGCCCAGAGTGTCTCCCACTTGATGGCCGAGAAGAAAGGATGAGCCTTGAGCGCCGCAGCATCATTCTCCGTACCAGGCGAGCCTGCGCCCAACCTCGCTGTCGGATCCAGAACCTGACACCATAACGTTAGCTCACGACGATATCGAACGGCAACCGTCGCTCACCAAGAGCTTCTGCACAAGGTCCTTCCCATCCGCGTCGAATCCTTCCGGGAACTCGTAGTCGAGGCGCTTGATCTTCTCGAAAATAAGGTATTCGGACGGGCCAGCAAATGGGAAGCGTCCGGCAATCATTTGGTAGACATTGCAGCCAATAGCCCACAGGTCAGAGCTGTCGAAGCCAGTCAGCTGCAGGCGTGCGGTATTAGTACGTATCCAGCGCACCTCCTCGTCGTGTGGGACGCCGTTAATAGCTCTGGAGCTTGATACTGCGCTGTGCCAACGAACGTTCTCGCCCGCCCATCTGTCGGACGAGTTTAGCCACCAGTCGATTTGAAACGACGTGAAGTACGGACCATATGAATCCAAAACCTTGGCTGTGCCAAAGTCTGTTAGCTTGATCCTGAAGTCGTCGTCCAAAAGAAGGTTCTCCGGTTTAAGATCGCTAAGAAGCCGGTCAGCTATCGCCTGTTATATATGGTAGAGCGACATACCGATGAATGACATTGACAGAGTGCATGAAAGAAACAGCATCGACCAGCTGTGCGGCATAGTAGCGCGCGCAAGGAAGGCTGAGCGAGCCCAGGCGAAAAAGAAGCGACTGAATGTCGCCATTGCGAGCAAGCGAAAGAACATAGACTGCAGCAGGTAAGCGAGTGGCAGGACAGCATGCGGTGGCATGTACGTACAGAAGCTCCAGTTATCCTGCCAGGTGCGCTCCAGCCGCACGATTCCTGGGTGCCCACCCGCGGTCTGTATCTTGATCAGGGCGTCCTTTTCGACGAAGGCCATGTTGACTTTATTATGTCGCCGGAGGTGCTCCTTGTACATGATCTTGATGGCGTATTCCTGGCCGGTTTGCGTGTTCTTAGCCAGGTTGACCTGGGTTGTATGAGTAATTGAGTGTGGAAAGAAAGCAAATGCTGCGCACCGTGGAGTAGGCACCCTCGCCGAGGACGTCGCCCATCTCAAAGTCCCGGCCGAGAGGTGGGGGACGCGACCTAGAGCGCGATCCCTTCTTGTTGGCGGGCGAGAGCATTCGCAAGCGCGACGGCCCAGGAGTGGGCGAGTTCTGTAGTACACTGTCGTCGTCCTCTTCAGACTCTTCCGCTGGCACCACCAGATCTCTGGCCATATAGGACGGCGGGCGCGACGCGCGCGGCGAACGCGAGCAGTGTCGGCTCTGACTGCGCGGGATGGACACCGGCCTCGCGCGCGGCGTGCGCACAACAGGCGTCGTCGGTATGGGGGGCACATCCCCGTCCTCCTCACTGCTGGACGTCGATATCACCGAGGCATTCCTGCTGAGCGCGATGAGTTCTTCGCGGTGGCGATTGCGCTGCTGCTCCTGGGATAGACTCTGATCTGTGCTGAGCATTCAGGTGCGCCTCGGTGCCGCTTGGCGCTCCAGGTGCAAGCGGGCAGGTGTCCGGGCGAGGGTAGGACCAAACGAGAGCAGAAAATGGAGAAAAGCAAGTCGCGGGCGGTGCGTCCTTCCTGCGATGCTAGCCGCCGGAGCTCGATCAGACGCCCTTTCTCACGGTTCAATTTCGAGCATGAAGCTTCTAGCCGTTCTATACTGCCCCGTTCATTTGCAGGCTCTATCGCGATACTGCTAGATAATAGATAGGAGAGCGATATGATACAGAACAGTGACATCGACGAGCGCGGGGCGAGGAGCGTAGCGTCAGCGTCGACGTCCGCAGTAGGGTTATTGTACACTGGGGTGACGTTCGTTTGCGGGGACCTGAAGGGATGCACCCTTGGATATCGTATCCATTCCATCTATGGTGAAGGCGGATGTGAGCTCGACACCGTTGGGCTCAGCCTCACTGCTGGTCTCATGAAGGACATGTAAGCTCTGGACGTTAAGAACGAGGCGACAGATCTGTCGAGTCATCAGCAACAATGATCGGACACTGTAGCACGGTGGAAAAGTACCACACAGGAGAAAGCTGGAGGTGTGCAGCTGGATAACACAAGTCAGTGTGAGCGATGATATAGCGGATGAGGTCACATACAACACAACTAGCGCGCAAAGAAACCTTTTGCTAGATACGTCGACGGAGTGCCCATTGCTGGCTAGCACCGCCAAGCAAGCTAACGAGAGTCAGGATGGGAGCGATGTGGTAGTTGCGATACTGACTGGCTATTACGCCGAACGTCCATCCTCCATCGCGGGTGACGACATTGACGACACCGCTCGAGGCTTTCGCATGCAGCGACCATCGCTTGTACAACGTCAGAGCAAACATTCCGAGCTGCGCGGCACCGCTCCCAATGCTGAGAGGTGAACGTCAGCTACGCCTGGGTTGGTAAATGACCACACGCACGCGTAATACTGCACAGTAGAGGGCGAGTGTGGCTCGCAGGAGCCGGTAAAGGTGGTGGCACGGACGCTTATGGTCGTTATGCATAGCGCCGTGATGAAGTCCAGGAGGACCAGGAAGGTCAAGGTGTACCGTATGTACTTATCGAAGACAAATAACGCGTACACTGCGCGAGGGTGAGCGACGCGCAATCAATGATGATTTACGGTAGACTTACCACGAGACGAGACGTGCAGTAGAAGTATCAGGTGCATGATGTGTGCAGTGTAGACGTGGATCTAACGTCCGCCGTCAGTGATGAAAGAGAAGATAAATCATTGGGCGTACCAAAAGCCACGTCTTACAAGAACCGGTATCCCAAGGTACACTCGTCGGGCGTAAGGAATGTGAAATCCAAGCTTCGCTGGCTCTGCACTACCGTGTCAATGATAGCAAGGGGAGGAGGGGCATAGGGACGCACATTGCAGACGCGAGCCCGACATACCGCGCGACGACGTATAGCAGCTTAACGTGCGTGAAGGGGCGTCTACAATCCCGATCAGCATTTCGTCCAGCAACAAAGTCTGAGCTACACACCTCCATATACACGCGATCTCTGTGTCCAAGTGCGACACATACTCCAGGATAAGCAGTGTCAGTATGATCGCTGAGGCAGGGAGGTCAGTTGGGACATGTCATTGGATCTCACCATGACCACATACCCGGCGCATATTGAAACAACTGCAGTATCGTCCAGTCGCATTCTGCTGGACTGTCGGCATCGGGGACCCCTTGTACCATGGGCTACGCGGGGGGGCGATTGACGGTAAGTGAAGAGGCAGCAACCAATCGTTCGTTAGTCAGGCCTGCCCTCGTATTTCGCGATGCTGCAGTCTCAAACCGGCAACAAGACGGTCCGAGCACGACAGGGCCGAGATCCCTAAATACAGGCTCGGCCTCGAGCCAGCCCGTCCCCTTATCCATATCCGCCGACGTCGTCGACAACAAATCCAAGGAATTCTGGTCGTCCGAGCATGAAGACGGTGTATACAATGGTTGAGAACACGAAGGACGCCATGCATGCTTGATTCTGAGCTTCGCGGCAAGATGGATGAATCACGGCGGACCGTGACTGCCGCAAATCAATTGCGCACGTGCAACACGTGCGACTTGAGGACCCGCTCAGTCGAAACTCAACCATGACATGACCATGTTTGTCGAATGTGACTGAGAACCCTACCGGTAGTACTTCCACCGCACGAAAGGAGCGTAAGCCACCTTAGCCAGAGACCCACGTATGTCCTGTATATAAGGCTATGGTCGTTTCTGGCTTCTGTAGTCCATGTTCAGCCTTCTTAACCTTCTCACTCTCAGTCGCAGAGCCATATTCAACCGTTTCCCTATTTTTGACAGTACCCCCATCATGAGCCAACCCACCAGAACCGCTGAGGAGGCCAACAAGGCCCACTACGACGAGTACGCCGTCAACTACGAGAATCTCCCTGATGTGTTCCGGTTGGGCAGCCAGTGGGTATCAGATAGCTCTCGAAGATGCACTGGTGACTGACCGTTTTCAACAGGGTTGGCAACGAATTCAAGCGCATCGTGCAGCCCAACCCGGAGGTCACTCGCGTCATGGAGTATGCTTGTGGTACAGGTTAGTTGTGCTTTGCTTGGTGCTGTCATGTACAGAACTCAGGATACCATCATACCACAGGTGTTATCTCGCGCGAGATAGTCTCGTCCGTCAAGTCCATTCTCGGCGTCGACATCAGCCAGGGCATGGTCGACCAGTTCAACAAACGCGGTACCGACAAGATGCGCGCCATCTGCGTCCAGCAGGGCACGCCGCTAGCCGAACAGCTCGGGCACCAGACCTTCGACGCGATCGTGGTAAGTCGGCCGCTGCTTTTGCCTGCGTTGGGACCACTGACCATCCTACGCCAGTGCTCGATGGCATATCACCACTTCGCCGACCCCGCGGCCGTGACGCGCTCCCTTGCCGAGTCGCTCGCGCCCAAGGGCATCCTCGTCATCGCCGACCGCGTCAAGTTCGAAGGGGTAGGGATGTCCACGCATGCCGCGGTCGCGCACGCGCAGGGACATCCGCCGGCACCCAAGGGCCCCCATCCGCACGGCGCGGGACTCGAGGACGCGCCGGACGACGCTGTGCCGCACCCGAACGGCTTCAGCGAGGAGCAAGTGCGCGAGTTTCTCAAGGCGGGCGGGCTGGTGGACTGCGGCTTCGACCGGTTCAAGGCGATGATCTTCGGAAACGAGGTCGAGATGTTTGCCGCGTATGGGAAGAAGCCGGCGACGGGGGAGGGTGCGGGGCTGTAAAGGACGTGGATGGTTGTGAGGACATGATGGGCGGCCGTGTGGAAGGTGCAGCCCTGTGGGGAGCGTTAGCAATGGGGCTTTGAGGCGTCATCTGGAATCAAGTTATCATCATGTCTGGTACGTTGTGAATGCAGCCCATCGTTCAGTGTAAGGAGCATGATACAAAATGCGCGTGGATTGAGAGTCCTGCTCTGGTGATACAGTCCATGAAGAAGATACAAGACGTGCGCACCACGATTTACAACTCATCCTCATACTTCACCTCCTCGCCCGTCAGTCTATGTCTATGCCACACCACATCGCCTCCGTCGGTCATATACATATCATCTTCACTCTGCCTAGGCGTCCGCAATGTATCCGACGACACGGTTTCGAGGTAAGATCGCCCGGGGCCTGCTGTACTGGACGCGCCTGCAGTGCTGGACTCCCCCGCAGAGGTGGTCCCGCCTGACGAGCTGAACGTCCGCAACTTGATGGGCTGGGAGACGGACATGCCCGAGGCGCTGACGCCGTTGCTCCCGACGATGTACGTCGGCGCCTTCATCCTGGAGACTATGATGATGACGATCGTCGAATATACTCCCTGGTCGTATATGAGCAAATGCTCAGTCAAGAGCGTGGCAGAGACGCACCACAAAGCTCAGCGAGGCCCGCCACACCACGAAGAGGCCGCCGGTGTTATCCATGAAGTTCTTGATATTTGTAAGTGAGAGCACGAGGTATAGGATCTGAACTTCAGGTCAGCCATCTTCAGGCACATCTAGTGGATGAAGACACGTACCCAAATCGCCGCATAAATCAACCCCGACTCAACCAGCAACATCATGACCTTCTCCACCGTCGTCCTTGAGCGCTGCCCGAGCGAGCGCTTGATAGTCCGCCGATAGTCCCTGGCCGCGCTATCAGCGATGTCCTTGACGATGTCACGCATGTGCCCTTGGCGGTGGCACGCATGCCCCCATCGACGCATGCGCGCTTCATTGACGCTTGCAAGGTACATGCGCCCTCATCGGTGCTTACCATACTTTGATGCCGACGAGCGCGCTGGCGACGATGTTTGTCACCAGCAGAGGGACGACGTCGAGGAGCACGCGAGTCTCGGCAGGGCCGTAGATATCGAGGTTTTGGATCGTGTGGTAGGTAATGACGAAGTCCGCGACGCTGCAGGCTAAGGGGAAGACGTCCTCACATCAGTGGCATTCGACAGATGGGAGGGGGGGGGAGCTCACCGACAGACGCGACCAAACAGAGTACGAGAAGACCATGCACGTATTTATTCCCCGTCCACACTATCCACGCGCGCCAGACTACGACGAAGTCGCAGAGGATGAACTGGTGCATGATAGGTGAGCCAGACTAGCAGATGAAACCGAGACTAAGCAACGGACGTTGACGCGGACCATGGCGACCTCCATCGTATTGATGTCCTTGAACATTTTGATGGTCTGAAGGATAACGAAGGGGTTGAGTTGCAGAGCGAGCTGCTCGCGGACGATGAGGTGAAGGTCCGCAAATGTCCATGAGGATACAGTAAGGAATATAAGGACCGTGACCGTTGGTACAACCCAGGTATTGGACGGTCGCCGTCTGGAGTATGTCTGAATACATGACTACTCGAAGGAGTAGAGACCTTACGCGATGAAGATCATGGCTATAATGAACAGCGTTAAGTGGATTCCTGAAGAGATTCAGCGAAATTGTAAGGGCATATTCAATAGGAAAAGACACACCATAGAATATGAATTCGAGTCCAACCTGCATGATCACCGCCTGCACCTTCTTGACGGCTGCTGGGGGCAGTTTACCGCTGCCGCTCATGGCGGGCTTGGTTGGAGAAAGGGCTATGGGATCGCAGCCAGGATGGCGACGAGCAGCGGGGGGATCGCGGGAGAAAGGTAGGCGTCATGGCGGCGCCTCATCTTTATGTATACTTACCTTCTGAGTTCCCGCCGCTTCACCTCATTCAAGGCGCGTGGCACACAATCAAGATGGAGAACCCCGGTCCTAACATAGTGGTTCGGGCGCCAGGACTCAATGGAAGAGCGTCAGTCGTCTTGATGGACAGTACCTGTTTAGTCTCAAGGTGAAGCCGAGCGCCCGAGCGTAGGCCTCAGCGTATCACCTGGATTAACAGGAGAGACTACCTATCAAAGGCACCCGCTCTCTTCGCAAATGCTTGCTCGATAATTCTTGGACTCAAACCTGACCGTCGCTGCAGAAAGAGCCGCCAAGACGTCCATTGGCCTGAAGCTGTCATTTCAAGCAAGCGATGCTTTCCCAAGGATGAATAGAGCCGCAGTAAGCCGCTGATTGCATCGATGAGGCCTGGAGTGCGCTGATGAACATGGGAAGCAGGAAGGAACACGGCCGCGGGAGTCACGGGCCGGAAACAGCATCCGTCGCGCACGTGCAATTCCCTCTTCGGGAAATCGCTTTGTTCATCCATCTTGCTTCCGTCCACGACACGAGACGATAGACCATGGGGCAGACGCGCGTGCTGCAGTACGAAGCACCATGGCCGGTCCACTGCATGGACTGGTGCAAGTCCCCCGCTCCTGGCGCACAGAACCGTCTCCGATCCGCCTTCCGCCTCGGTGTCTCCTCCCACATCGAGAATCACGACAACCGGATCGCAGTACTCGGTCTCCACGATGAGCGCGTCCTCGTCGAGGACGAGTACTCGGACTTTGACGACTTTGTTATGCTCTGCGAGGCGCATCAAACGTACCCTGCAACCAGCCTGCAATGGCAGCCCGCGAGCGCGTCCTCGTTTCCGTGGGGGCAGAAGAGCCCGAGCACCGAGTTGCTGGCGACCACGGGCGACGCACTCAGGATATGGGAGTACTCCTGCGATGTCCCCCAGCAGATATCACAATATGTTGGTCGCGCCCCGACGGGGACGGGACATTCGCTGGCGCTCAAGTCGATGCTCGCCGGGGTGCGTCACCTCGTGTCCATGATCTGCGCGCGCCACTGATCTCATCCCCTTCAGCAATCCAAAGTGCAGAACACCGTGAATGGCGCGCCGTTAACTAACTTCGCTTGGAACGAGAAGAGCCCGAACATGATGGTGACGTCGAGCATCGACACGACGTGCACGGTTTGGAATATCGACACGTCGAGCGCGATCACGCAACTCATCGCGCACGATCGGGAGGTGTACGATGTGGCGTGGTTACCAGGATCGACCGACATCTTCGTGTCCGTGGGCGCGGATGGCAGCTTGCGCGCGTTCGACCTGCGCAGCCTTGAGCACTCGACGATCCTCTACGAAACTCCGCCTCCGAAGAACGTTCCCCCACCATCTGTATCCCCATCATCCTCCGCACGACCTCCGACTTCACCGCTACTCCGCATCGCGTTCAACCCTGGCGATTCCAACTACATGTCTACGTTTCATATGGATGGTCAGGACGTACAGATCCTGGACATGCGCGCACCTGGGCAGCCCGTCATCGAGCTGCGCGCGCATCAGGCGCAGATTAACGCGCTTGGATGGGGTGGAGGGGACAACCCGCTGCTCGCCACCGCGGCCGACGACTGCCAGCTCCTTCTCTGGGACCTGCAAAGTACGATGCAGTCCATCGCGTCGCCAAGACACACCAACACGCGTCTGAACTCTCCACGCCCGGATATCAAGAAGCGCGTTGTAACAGACCCGTATGCCGCTTACACAGCGGCCGCGCAGATCACCAACCTCGCTTGGTCGCCCCAAATACCCGGCATGCAGCTCTCGACGGGCCACACGACCACGCCCGGCGAGTGGATCGCCATCACGTGTGGCAGGTCGGTGAAAGCGCTGAAGGTGTAGAGTTGTGGGTGCCGATTTACGACTGATATGATTGGACGTGCGTTGCTCTTGTAGTCTGATTGCTGTAGTGGCCATGTTGTTGTACCTGAAGGAGATCTACCACCTTGACCTGCCACTCGGTTTGCCCTGAGCTGCCCTGGCGCGCTGGGCGCTCTGCCTGCGCACCTCTCGGCCTCCGGGGTCGTGCGACCTGGACGCTGTGTAGATAGCACCTGAGCTCGGCGCGGGGTTGTCGGAGCTCCAGTTTCTAATGATCCGAGCTTCAATACGAGTGCCTCGCGTGTTACTACTGGAATACAAAGGAATTCAGAAGTCTTCGAAGTCGAAGTGGCTGCTGTGATGACCAAAATAAATTCCGTGACGCTCTCGTCAACCCTGTTCACTTGATGTTCGACGACGATCACCCTGTACGCCCGCTGCCTTATCCTAGCCTTATCTTCCATAGCATGGACAGCTTGAGTGAAGTGTGGAGGGCCTTATCGCGGCTACTATTGAAACGGTGCATATGGCACGACGCGTAAGATCTCGACGCTACATATGGTCCGTGGCGCGGGACTATAAAAGTGCTCGCGGATGGATCCACCGCTTTTGGAGCTTGCCTTCACGCCGCCAGGCCCGTCCCCCTCTCCCTACCCTCGGATATGTCGTCGCCGGCACCCATCCACGAACTGCCCGCGACCTCTAGCGCGACGCCCGAGGCACAGGCCGCTCACCGCAAGCCCTCGCTGAGCGCGTCGTCGTACTCCAACGAGAAGCAGCAGGTAGACCCCGAGGTCATCCTTGCGAAGGAGCTCGCGAAGGACTCGGAGGAGGTTGAGGCTGCTCGCGAGCGTCGTCGGGCGGCTTACACCCGCCTGCGCCCATTTATCTTGGTCGGACTCATCGTCTTGATCGGAGGTTGGTGGATCAGCGCGACTATCCTCCCCGCTACAAGGCATCGATGGTGCGCCTCTTCCTCTCACTCTCTGGGGGGCACATAGCTGACAACATCCCCCAGGATCGTACAGACCTTCTGGGCTTGGTTCTTCATCCTGTACGCGGTCGTGTGCCCGACCACACGGACCTTGCTAAATTTCCGCCAGCGTGATCGCCTTCCGCTTCATTCCCAATTCTGTGGTGACGCGCCCGGTCGAGGCTGTATGGATCCCCTGTGTCCAGAAGCCCTGGTTCAGCCTGCCATACTACGTGCGCCTCGCCATCGGCTGGGTCTGCCTCCTCGGGATCGTCTTCGGCTCTGCGTTCGGGTTCCCCCTCGAGCAGGTCCGTGTCCCCTCCGATCGGTCACTCTACTTCCTCGATCACTGACGCCATCCGGATACAGAACTCGACTTATGGTGATCGCGCTATCTCCGTCCTCGGCCTCTTCGTCTTCCAGTGCGGCTTCTGGCTCTCGTCGAAGCACCGCAAGCAGGTCCCTTGGCCCACCGTCATTGTCGGCCTCTTCCTCCAGCAGGCGATCGCACTCTTCGTGCTCAAGTCCAGCGCCGGCTTTGACATCTTCAGCTGGATCGCCACCCTCGCCGCCGACTTCTTGGAGCAGTCCCAGGCCGGCTCAGGTTTCTTCTTCGATGCAGAGACCACCGCGAAGGGGTGGTTCTTCGTCAACACACTTGGTGCCATCATCTTCTTCATCGCTTTCGTGCAGATGATGTACTACCTCGGCGTCATGCAGTGGTTGATCAAGAACTTGTGAGTGCGCATGTGTGACTCCCGGGATATCCAACCTGACACCACCCCAGCGCCTGGTTCTTCTTCAAGATCATGAACGTCTCTGGCGCTGAGGCCGTTGTCGCGGCCGCATCCCCCTTCATCGGCCAGGGCGAGTCGGCTTGTCTTGTCAAGCCCTACGTCGACCTCATGACGGAGTCCGAGTTGCGTGAGTGGCTAACCGTCAACCGGTTATTCCCCTCCTGATTCGACACCCTGCCAGACCTCACCATGACTTCCGGATTCTCCACCATCGCCGGATCTGTGTTGTCTGCGTACATCAACATGGGTGTCCCGCCGCAGAACTTGGTCACTGCGTCCGTGATGTCTATCCCGGCGTCGATCTCTATCTCGAAGATGCGTATGCCCGAGACTGAGGAGCCCGTTACTCGTGGACAAGTCATTGTTGACCGTGGTGATGGCGATGCGCATCCACCGGCCAACGCTATGCACGCCTTCTCGAAGGGCGCGGTCTTTGGTCTCATTGTCGCCGGCCAGATCCTGTACGCTTCACTTCCTTCCTCAAATCTCTGGCTTGGACTGACCTACGATTTGCAGCACGAATGTGTTGACCGTGCTCTCCCTCGTCTCGATGATCAACGGCTTGATGACCTGGATAGGACGCGGTTTCGGCCTCCACGACGCCCACGCACTCACCCTCCAACTCGTCATTGGCTACATCTTCTACCCCATCACTTTCTTCATGGGCGTGCCACGCAACGAGATCCTCACCGTCGCGCGCCTGCTCGCCACAAAACTCGTCGAGAACGAATTCTCGGCGTACATGGAGCTGCAGACGATCATGGGCAGCGACAACCCGCTCTCCGCGCGCGCCTACACAATCGCGTCCTACTCCCTCTGCGGCTTCGCCAACCTGGGCTCCCTGGGCATCCAGATCGGTGTCCTGGGCGCGATGGCGCCGAGTCGGAGCGGCATCATCGCGCGCACGGCGGTGTCGGCGATGATCTGTGGCTTCATCTCGACGTTGCAGACCGCTGGGATCGCGGGAATGCTCGTGTAGATAACTTATAATGATGTAGAATAAGTAGTCCTTGTGATTCTCCTTGGGGTGCACTTGCTTGGGATGGGACGGGACGTCGTCTTCATGAGACGACCTACTTATTTAATGTACGCTTGCGCTATGTGTAATGTACTCACTATTAGGGAGCTTGAAATCCGTGTTGAAATCTCGCTCTGAGCGAAGAAAGATTCGTAATGCATATGCGTACACTGTCCTGTGTTGTGGCGCCTATCAGGCCCCTTCTACGTGCGCTTCGCAGTTTATCGCCGACACAGTGCGATCCACTCCCAGTGCAGGCCTCAGCCTTCTCATAGAGGCTACTAGTATCCAGCTTGCCCACTTATCCAACGACTGACAGCCAATGATCAAGACATCTAGAAGCCCGCCTCTGAGCTGGAGCCGCTGGAGCTCAGCTCGCTATAACGAGCGATCTTCAAGCGCTGCGAGGGAGGAATCTAGCAAACAGGTCAACGCGCATTCCGTCTCGACGGAGTCAAAGGCCAACCTTCTTCTCATCAGCAAGGTCAAGAATATGCGGGGCACCACCGTGGAGGACACCAACGCGCTTCATCCCGAGTAGGTTGTGCGCCGCGTTCGAGTGGTCGTAGACGCCGCCGAAGAACGCGGTCGTCGCATCCTTGCCGATGAACTTGACGATGAGGTGCGGACCGCCAGGGTGCTCGTCGATGAAGGTCGAAACGTCGTGGATGAAGCCGGCGATGAGGATGAGCGGGCGGCTCGCGGCCTGCTCCTGGACTGACGACAACAATGAGCCTGCGAAATGTTGAAGGAAGAGATAAGGCCTACTTACAGCTCTCCCATGTGATAACCGGCAAGTCGTTGCTGTCCGACGGCCACGTCAGACGCTCCTGGGTCTCGCGCAGGCGCTTGAGCTGCATGGTGAGCTGGCCCTTGCGGACCTCGTTGTCGGGGAACACCTTGAGGTGGCTGGCGAGGCCGATCGAGCGGCACGTCGCGATGAACCACTTCGTCGGGTCGTACTGGTACCACTTGATCGCATTCCGGTAGTCCATCGGGAACTGGTGGTGGAAGTTGTGGTACCCCTCGCCAATCGTCGCGAGCGCGGTCACGAAGTGGTCGCGCGGCGTGTGCTTGTCGTCGAACGGCGTCTCGCCCAGCCAGTGCGCGAGCGAGTTCACACAGAAGGTCGAGTGGTGCACGAAGCAGAGGCGGATGACACCGGCGTAGATGTAGCCGCCGCGCGCGTCGCCCCAGCCGAGCCAGGCGACAAGGGTGGGGAAGATGAAGGCCATGAAGACCATGAGCTTGACGTAGTGCGCGTGCTGGAAGCGCACGACGGGATTCCTGGAGAGGTCAGAGACGTCCGCGACACCCATACGGCGGCGAGGCTTGACCAGCATCCAGCCAATGTGCGAGTAGAAAAAGCCTTCGAGACGGGTAAGTAACATGTCAGACAGGAGGGCGGAAGACCACGCACCCTTGTGAGGGTTGTACGGGTCGAGTTCGGTATCGGTGTAGCGATGGTGGGCGCGATGACTACGGCTCCACCACTTGATGCTACCCTCGGCCGCGCCTGCACCCGCAAGAGCAAGTGCGTACTGCAGTGGAATAGATGCATTGTACGCGCGGTGAGACCACAGACGATGATACCCGGCCGTGATCCCTTATCGTGTATTAGCGCCTGTCGGTCACGACCTTTACGCACTACTCACCCAAGCCGGTCGCAAAGTACCAAAGGACCGCAAACGCCGCCGTCTCCCAGCGCAAGTTCGTCGTCAACGCGCCCCAGGCGCCGATGATCGGGGTCGCCGTCAGCAGCATAAAGCTGATCCAGTTGATGTTCTGGAGCAGGTTCGCCCAGGTGATGGGCGGGAGGGCCTTCGTCGTCTTGAGCGTGTGCTGGACGTAGTTGTCCGGTATGTTCAGGTCGGACGACTGCTCGTCCGTGACGCGCATTTCAACGCCGACGTCGGACATGGCGACGTTGGGAGGGAGAAGAAGCTGGCGGAGGAAGGATGGGGGACTCGTCGCGCCTCAGCGCTTATATGGATGCGAACCCAACACTGTGGGGCAGCGTTGGGGGTGATTACGCGCGTCTGCCGTCGTATTCCAGCCCCAGGACTCTCTGTAACCGCAGTTTCTGCGCGCCCGAGACGCCACGCCATGGACTTTGGGGACGGCATGAACGGGGCAGGACGTCAATTGTGATGACGTCGCACGAGCGTGATGACTTGTGAGGACTTTGGGAAGTTCAACCTTTCACGTGAATGGGCACATTCATACCCGCCCCAGCCTTCTCAGCGTCGCTGGGCTATGCAACACAGTCCCCCCTCGGCCTTCCACCGAGGCCCACAGTCCATCTTCTAGGCGAAAACAGAGTCACCCCAGCTCTCCGTAGAATCAGGTGCAAGGGGGAGAAGTACCCAGTAGCGTGGGACGCTTCTTCGGGGATTGCCGGCCTCACAGCCGCGCTCAGCGCTCAGCGCTGTCACTTGCTTTCCACCAGGTACCTCGCAGAGCACCGTCCAATTCTACAGCTGCGGACACCCCCGTCTGTGCAGGCTGTATCGGCGGCACAGTGCTGGACCGCCTCATTGCTCGACTTGAACTTGCAGCTAACGATACAATGGATGCGGCTTCGACGTGCTGGTCCGTGTTTATTGTACTACCATTCATATAGTACTGCTCTCGCATAAGAAAAAAGACAACCTGGCTATGAGAATCAGGTGAGCGCATCCCAAATCTTTGTCTTTCGAGACGGAATTTCCGCGTAGCTCAAGCGCCCTACTGTCGATCACCGTTGATATAACACTGTTATTTACTGATGCGTGTTTGTTATGCGTGTACGTTTCGTTCTGTGTGTGGTGAACAGGGTAAGCATTGAGCTCCTTGAGAGGCACGGAGAATGCCGAAGCGGATGTATTCCTGTCCCAAACTGGAAGGTATTGGCTTTCCTCTTCAAATCGCGACTCCTTGAAGGCGTGTGTGATCCCCGACAGAGTAACATCCACGTTGGCACCGATAACCAATCTTGCCCGATACGTTGATGTGCTTCTCTCAGGGATTCCACAATACAGTTCCGCTTCTTGACGGCCTCAGCGACATACTCTTAGCTTATCTTGATTCACCGTCTTTGAAGCTCTTCAGAAAGTACGATGACGCTAAATTTGGATCCCTTGATGGCATATCTTTCTCAGAGACTGTGATGGATCATATCAGTAGATTGACCTTTCTCTCGTAGCTCATGGCATGCTAGCAGCACCATAAAGCCCATATATCGCACCGACCGCAGTGGCACGAGGCGCCATCTGCCTCGTGCCTCATTCGACGTCTCCTCACCACAGCAAGATGGCAGCCATGTGAGTACTTTGCACATCCCTTTCGGACCCGAGACCAGGAAGCCCAAAGGAAGCCCTTGTGAATTGCCCAACACAAGACGGGCCGCGAAGAGGGCGCATCGGACCTGCCCAACAGGCCCGACATCAAGGCGAGGCGCTTTGCCCTCGTTATCTACAGGAGTACCATAACCTCATTCTTCAGTATCCCGCAACCCGCTCACAGGGGTAAAGACTAAGCCGCTTCTTCGATAGAGTATCTCCGGGAAAAGATGCGGTGCATCAACGGAAGTACTCATAGTGCGGCCCCTTGGAAATCAGGAACATCCAGGATGGGCGGCCCTTACGCGGAATGTCGCCTGTCGGTACGATGAGCTGGTGCCACTAGCGATACGGTGCGCAGGTCAGACGAATGTTCGACTGTTGATCTTGTGATGGAAAGGGAGAATAGAATTTTCTGCCGTTGATAAAGTATAACGAAATTCGTGGCAACCCGGGACCCGTACAGGCGAATATGGTACGATAGAAGACAGGGCAAAGACTATAGACCTCTCACTCCGCACAACTGAACCTAGAGACGTACACACACGTAAGAGAAACGTCCACAAATGGGACCAAGATACTAAGACGATGCAATAGACACTCAGACTAACGAGACATGGGTGACAGGAGTGCCCGAACATAGTTGCAGGATGAATGCCCTTAAATTGTTGTCTGAAAAGCGATGATGAGGCGTACGATAACGTCAGAAGAGAAGAAACACGTACCGGCAACATGGTCCATCCGACGACAGCCTTCCATATTCTTTCATCCAACCTCTTCTTGCACGATGCGCACGCAGTCTGGTTCTTCACAACGGCAAGCTTGTCGCGCACAACGGAGCTGGATATATCTACACGTCAGTCAGCTCGACGAGCAAGCACATAGAATGAGGACCACATGTACCTGGCCGTGCCCCAGCGATCACTTCGTTAGCCACCATAGACCATTCCCGAGCCAGCCTTTTCTGCGCCTGAAAAGCGCACGTGTGGACCTGCGGATGGAACTCCTGCGACTGCTCCAATAGCCCTCGCAGCTGCGCGATTCGGTCATGGTGTAATGTAACGAGCCGCCTGAGGTAGACCGGGCCCATCGCTATCGCGTCCGCGTCCGCCATCGCATGCACCGGATATCCGAGTAGATTCCCGCTCGCTAGCTTCGCGAGCGCGAGCAGGTCGTGCGCGGCGGCGATGGCGTAGACGCGCAAAGGCGAGAGCGCGGCGTGCGACCGCAGCGTCTCAAAGAGCGGTGTGTTGGCTCCGACGTACACTTGCGGGCTCAGGCCGTAGGCGGGCAGTCGAGCGATGGCCTCGCCCAGGGTCTCGAGAGGCGGCGCGAAGGCGGATGGCGAGGCCCCGTATGCGGCGTGCAGGATGAGGTTGAGCACGTCCGCAGTCTCAGCCACGCGCACACGTGCGCCCGAAGTCGGAAACGCGAGCCCGAAGCCAGTACTGGATCCGTGCCTCAGCAGGGTGATGTTCACATAAAACACGACGTCGTCGGAGGACATGAGCTCGCAGTCGGGTGGGTGTCCGAGGGTGGGCCTGGTGTCGAGGTTGAAGGCGGTGGAGACCGTCATCGTGGCTTGCGCGGGCGAAGAAGGAGGATCGGACACCGGCGGCGAGGGCTCCCTGGATGCTTGCTGGGCAGGCCACTGTCCGTGCCCGCCGAACCATGCCTGCGAGGGATCGATTGTCATCGTCTGGTTTGGAAAGGGCCATGGGCTCAAAGTCGACGAGTTGGAATCCCAGCCCTCGAATGTATGTGAGAGCACGCCAAGGGCAGGAAGGACCAGACGTACCGGCGACATAGGCTGCTGCTGAACTTGGCCCTGGACACCGGCGTAAGGCACCTGCACGCTACTCGTGCTGAGTCCTTGCTCCCAGTGCACCAGATCTCCAAAGTATCGCTCGTCATCGAAATACTCGCCTGGACCTGGTGTATAAGGCATGTCGTTTGGCGGGATCGAGAGGAACGAGGAAAGTTGATACTCGGGCTACCAGAATGGGAATGTGGTGGGAGGTTCCTGGACGTCGCGCCCCGCTTTTATAAGCCCCTGGGCAGCGGAGTTAGCAATCAAGGTTTGGATACATCAGCGTGGTGCAAGACAAAAGTCCCATAATGAGGAGAGAGGAAAGTCGACCCGTGTACGGTGGCCTACTGCTTCCTTCTGTCAATTTTTCATTCCGCGGTGCATCCAGCTGTTCAGTTGGAGCGCCCTGGGCGCTGCTAACGTGCGATTGCATGGCAGATGGACTCAATAGACTCAATGGGCTGGGGCAGAAATATGTTCAGACGCGCACGAGCTATTGTCTGCTTTGGGAAGGAGGGAAACTCAGTACGACCTCGGGCTGACAAGTGACTTCAGACTCACCAAGCATATATGGTGTCGGTGTTGATATGATGAAAGAGGTAGAAACGGTAGCTGCGAGAGGGATCTGGTGCTGATGGTCCATACCAACTGTACTAAGTGTCGAGCGGCGTCGACCCTACGGTTCCTCGTGCCAGTAGCGTGCCAAGCTTCTTCTACAAATCGAACCATGTCAGCACGATGCTTTCGATAGGAAGGCATAGAAGCGCGCGCGAAGAACAAGATGATTTTCGTGCAGTTCAGTAGTCGAACATGTCCAGCGAGTGGTGCTATAGCTCGGACTCTTCGGTCAACGTGCACGGTGCGCCAGGGATCCGGGCATCAATGGCGGCCATGAGCAAAGCCCGGTAGTTCACCTGGATGAAGTGGATATGAGAGCAGATGATGATAAGGTAGTCGCAGTCGCACGCAGACCAGAACAGGTTGCTGCATGCTGAGCCAGTTGCACTGCGGATGCCATTGAGAAGATGTCAACGAGATAAGGGCTCGGAAGTCAGAGTTGCGGTCTTTACGGGACCTCCAGGGTCAGATTGATCTGCAGTAGCATAATATAGTCCTTCTGCAGAAGCGACAGCATCCCTTGAGGCGAACATGAGCGTCCAGGAAGAAAGAGAGAATTAATGTGACGGATAGTTGAAGAGCGTGACAGCGTGATTCGGCCGTGCTCGGCATTATCGGCGCCGAGTCATTCTGCAATGATCTGCACGCTCTTCCCCGCGTCCCCCGCTGTCCTCTTGTCCTCCAATCGCGCTGCCAACCAGCGTTGACTTATTCCAAGTCAAAAGCAAACGTTCGAGTCAGGAATCTCGGACATTTCTGCAGTTCTTAACGACGGCGACGATGGCAAGCATGTTTGCCCGACGCGCCACCACGGCGGCGGTGAGGCCCTCCAGGCGCCTCTTCTCGACGACATATCGCGTCTGCGAGGACGCCCCGAAGCCGCCCACGCCTCCGAAACCTATCGACGACTCGACTTCTGCGCTCGAGTACAAGCGGCACCAGGCGCGTCGCCCGCCTCCGCTGCCTGCGATGGACCTCCCGCGTTCGCGCACTGCGGAGGAGGCCGTCACAAACATCCTCTACAACACGCCTGCACCGAGCCTGCAGCCGTTCAAGAAGTATGTCGCACGATCCCCCTCCCAGTTCACCTCCTAATACGTGTAATTACGCAGGCACATCCTCAACTGTCTCGTGCAGAACGAGCCCGGAGTGTTATCGCGCGTCTCCGGGATTCTCGCCGGCCGCGGATTCAACATTGACTCCCTCGTCGTCTGCCGCACCGAGATCCGCGATCTCAGCCGCATGTGCATTGTTCTCAACGGCCAGGACGGCGTCGTAGAACAAGCAAGACGGCAACTCGAGGACCTCGTACGCGCATTCCCTTCCTTCCTCTATCGTCCCCCTCACCCTCACCCCCTCCCAGGTCCCCGTCTGGGCCGTCCTCGACTACACCGAAACGCGCACCATCTCCCGCGAGCTGCTCCTCGTCAAGCTCTCTATCCTTGGGCCCGAATACCTCGAGCAGCAGCTCGCCGGCGGACCCTCCCATCACGCACAGCGTCAGGCGCCCCCCGCGGATGACAAGTTGTTGCGCGAAGTCCAGATCGCCGAGCAGTTCACGCACCCGACGCAGCCGCCTGCGGCGGACGTGCCGCTGACGCCGTCGCAGGCGCTGCTCGTGAAGAACCAGCACATGCAGGGCATCTCGACGCTCGCGAAGCAGTTTGGCGGGAAGATCGTGGACGTGAGCGAGAACAGCGTGATCGTCGAGCTTACGGCGAAGACGACGCGTGTGGAGGCGTTCCTCAGCCTCGTCAAGCCGTACGGTATTTTGGAGGCTGCGCGTACTGGTGAGTTGACTGGTTCGAGTCATCAATTCTGTTCTGACTTCGTGCAGGTGTTATGGCCATGCCTCGCACACCCATCAGCATCTCTCCCGAGGATGCTGAGCCTACTGTCGAGCAGGCTGCTGCTATCGATGCCAGCCTTCTTCCTCCGGGTTAAAACTTGTATTTTGTACTTACGCTTTTGGCTTGTTTTGGCAACATGAATAGTTTGGCGATGCTGCGAACAGACTAATCATCGAAGTGCGCCAGCAAGTGTGATAAATAGGTGACCAGAGAAGCAGTCGTGCCAGTCAAAGACTACGCCCCCTCCTGCGCATTCCGCAACACCGTCCGCGCAAGCTCGACATACTCCTTCGCCGCAGCCGCATCCTTGCCCTCCGCAGCGCTAACCTGCTCCCAATGCGACAAACCCGACTCAACAAGCGTCCACGCCTCCTCTTCCGTATGCTCATCCACCCATCGCACGTACTCCGCCTCCTGCCACCCGTGTAGGGTATGAGGCAGTGGTACCGGTGATCGTACGAGGATGTGATGCAGTACGATGAGCGGCGGGAGACCGATCGTGTACATAGGTGAGGCGAGCTGAGCGTTTTCGAGGAAGAGCAATGGCCTGGACTTTGGGCGTTAGTCAGGCACGGTGAGCAATCCAGGTGGTTACATACCGCATAGCTCTGAGCATCCGATATTCGTCGCCAATATTCTCGAGATGGACTCCACGCTTGCTCGATGTCCCGTCCGACATGAACGCACTCAGCCCAAACTCCAGCTCGGCCATATCGCTCGTGAGCTGCAGCTTCCCACTCTCCCCAAGCGGCTTCACGATTGAGATGTGCAGTACGAAGACCTTGATAGCGTATTTTGCGAGGGCCAGCATCCTGCAGACAACATTTTAGCATCCGCGCCAAACCCTCAGCCACAACTACCACTCACCACAACGGCTTATCCTCCACATTAAACTTGCTCAGGATCTCGTCCTTCACAAACGCCAGCTTCTCCACCAGATCCTTCATATACAAGCTCGCCCCACCGCCCGACATCGGGTCCTGCGCCCGCCCAAAGTCGAACCGGTGCACCCGCGCGATGATCGCGGCCAGCTCGCGCCTGATCGCTGCCAGCAATGGATCCACCACCCGCTCGTACGTGCGCTTCATGTTCTGTGGATCATCGTGAGCCAGGCGGGTCTCCCAGACGCGCAAATGAGGCCGCCAGCGCAGATGAGGCCACGAGCCCAAATGAGGCCACGAGCCCAAAGGAATGAGTGACCCACCTCGATACTGGGCCGCAGCGCGGCGCACACGGCGTCGATGTGCTCGCTCTCCAGCTGCGCCAATCGCGCGCGACAGTGGTGCAGGCACGTCGCTACCTGCGCATTAGCCGCCTGCTGGGGCGTGCAGGCGGGCCCGATGAGTGTCAACGCGGAGCGGTCGCGTACGACCTGCGGGAGGCGCGGCGTCAGCAGGTGTGATCAGGACAGTCGTACAGATCAATGAGATTGGAAGGGGGAGATCAATGAGATTGAAAGGGGGAAATCAATGAGATTGGCAGCGGCGGCAGAGGGCGGGGGAGATTGCAGAGCGGTGGCAGAAGGCGACGGTTAGAGTTGTACGAAGGTAGCAGAGCAGAGTCCGAGGCTGACATAGCCGGAGTAGCACGTATATCTGTACCGAGTGTGACTGCGAGATCCACGCACCATGTTATCCGCCCTCTGAACGAACATCTCGAGGCTCGCCGCCGCATTCTTCGCCACCGCCCGCACAAGAAGAGGATCGAACCGAGCCGTGTCGAGTTCGTTGATGACCGTCCGGGCGACATTCGTGCCCTCCGTCGCCCCAGGCGTCATCTTAAATGCCTGCCCGACGGCCTCATTCAGCTTGCTCGTCGACCGCGTGAGATAGAAGGCCTCGAATGTCGACAGGGCGCGCAGCACGAGGATAGTTTCCGTGCTGTGCCACTTTGAATCAGTAAGACGTCGCCGCCGGTTCACATGTGCAACGACGTGAGTGCTCACCTTTGTTGCGAGTGGATATAGACGGTATCTGTATGAACTGCTATCTTGGCGAAGAACTGTTGGAAAAGGCGTAGTAATCGCGGATAGCCTCCGCCCAATGTTTGTTGCAGGAAAGTTGAGCCTGATGTCCATGTCAGTCAGGTTCATCCTAACAGCTCAAACATGATGTGGCCTCTGAAAGATGCAGTTATACACGAGTCGCACTCGCCTTTGCAAGCTTCTTTTGCATGTTTCTCCAGCGATCGTGACAAGGCCGTCCAGAACGTGACACTAGGCTTAGTCTCGAGAAGCTATGCGAACGATTACATGTCGGCTGAAGCCTGCCCCCCAGGCTCCCAAAAGTACTCACCTTCATCGCCTCGTCCAAGAATATCGTCTGCGAGACTGTATCCTTCTTCACCTTGAGAACCTTCTCCAAGGTGTAGACCTGCACGTGTGTGTCAACAGAGGGCCGCACATCCTCGGCCAGCCGACAGTCATTCCTCGGCCACGCGACAGTCATTCCTCGGCCACACGACACTCACCTTGATACAACACCCCGCCATCTCCTCAATCATGCTCTCCAGCCGCGTCCATAGCGCAGCCGTCCACTGTGGCGCAGTAAGGTTCGTCGGCTCGGTGCGTATGCGGGAGCGGTATTGCGTGTTCGACTGGGTGGCCGAGGCGTCTGTGAACGTGTAAGTAGGACGTACGGAAGACGTGCGGGGGGAGCGATGGACGTGTGAGGACATTGAAGGACATTGAAAGGGAGAAGTCGAAAGGGGAAATGATGCATCGCAGGTACAAGTGGCGCGCGAGACGTCCGAGCGGCGCGATGGATGGCCGAGTGGCGCGACGGACGTCTAGTGAAGCTGCGCATAGCACGTGTAATAATTGAGGCGCATAACGTCCGGCGTCAAGGGCGCTTCGCCAAGCGCAGAGGCCCCACAAAAGCATAGTGTACGCCACGCCCTCGAGTGGAGCATGCAGGGACACATACAACGAGGCATGGAGAAAGGAAAGGAAGAGCTACGTGAGAGGAAGCAAGAATCGATATGAAAGGATGGCAGTGCGCCGCAGCCAAGCGCGCGCAAGACGACGGGGGAGGAGAGAAGATGAAGATAGCGATGCGAATCAGGGCGAATGGGGAAGCAGTATTCGGGGTGCGGCATGAACAGGGTTGAAGCAAGTACGCACCTTTTCCCAATGCATCCTTAGATATTTTCGTCATATCGAAGGTCGTTCGTATCCGTTCCTCAACGGCGAGGGATAAGTCGGAGATGAGACTGGATGATGGCTGGGTCAGTCCTCTGCAGTGTCAATGATAAGACCACGGACCTCTGGACAAGCTCGGGAAGCACATTTAGGTTGTACGCGGTTTGCAAGGAGGATGCGAGCAGGGATTGGTTCTGTACCATATCAAGATCATGTTCATAATACGGGAAGCGCGCGCCATACCAGAGACGCCAAGCCTGCAACGACCATATTTTCCATCTCCGTCGTAACTGTCGTCCTAGACTCCTCGATGAAGGGTATATGCGTCGCTACCGCGTTGACTGAGCGTAGATGTATCTTCTGAGTCGAAAAATCCTCTTCAGTATCCTGGTGGGACGTATCGCCGTCGACACCATTCGAACTTGTTGTTGAGCTGAAGGTGGAAGGACCATCTAGGAGTGACACTGAATATTTCCATCAGCGTAGTACTTGGTAGATGCGCATACAAGCGTACCGAGCTCTGCGATCGACAGCGCAGCCCTTGAGATCGCACGCTCTTTGTCATCTTCTAAGTCCGCCGCAGACGCGAAGGTCGTCCTACTCGGAGTACTGGGTATAGGAGCAAGAGTGTCGTCCGTCTTCTCGACCTTGCTCTGCTGCATCTCGGCCATCTGCCCCTGTAATCGTCTGGCGAGCACGACGAAGCGCGCTGTGCGTCGGAGGACGTCCGAGGCTTGTTGAAGCTTATGCAGCCGGGTGACATTGGTCTGAAGGGATTGGTATGGCAGCCGCACTTTCGTCCGCAGCCTAGCGTTCACCGTCAGATATGAGCGCCTATATCCCTGAACGGACCACGCACTTCTCAAGTGACATCTCAAGCTCTGAAAGACCCCCCTTCACCGAGACAAGGGATCCGGATAGCTCGCTTGCGCTTGCTGCCTGGCCGAGTAGATCTTCATGGTGTGAAGTGACCTGGGGATCTGGGGTAAGGCTGCTGAGCTTCTGAGCTCAAACGGTGCCATACCAGGTTCTTTATCTGCTTAGAGACATCATCTATCCCGTAAGTGAGTCTTGAAATGGCCACAGAGACGTCCTCTTTCGAGGGGGAATCGAACGACGGCCTGCCGGGAGTCTGTCCCTTCTTCGCGTCTGACGGAGGATATGGCTCGCCTGCGAGTATTGCATTGGCGTATTCGTTTGAATCAAAGTCTTGGCTTGCAAATACAGTATAATCTACGCGTCGGATGAGAGAATATCGGTGCAGATGATGGCGGGAGCGTACCAGAGGACATGGCGGCCGCGTTCAAGGCGCGTCGCGTGTCCCCACGTGAGGCCGTCTCGCTGTCTTCCTCCGCTCTGCTCCCGTTCCGTCTTGTTTTCTACCGCCATGTCCTCCGTCAGAATGCAATGGAGTCTCTTATCTGGACAAAACGCCACAGTCGAGGCAGCGACTACGCTGGCGTCAGACCTCACTGTGCTCCAACTTCTGTGCATTCTAGGTACGCGCGCGTAGCCGCTAACCGCCTGGCTCGGAAGGATTCTTCCACCGCGACGCCCACACGAAATCTATGAATCCCGCGCGTCTTCAACACGTTCTTCACACGGAGCTTCGGCGCAGGCAGCCTACAAATTAGAGTTGTCCATGCAGCCTTGACGTCATGTGCTCCCCCCTCGACCTCAGCATAAAGATCACGCTGCGATCTTGTTGGTTCCTCCTTACCTTCTTGCGTCGCGCATTTCTTCAACTCAGGCACTCCCGATCGACAACGATTTCGCAAGCTTTTCATGGCCTACAACTACTACCGCCAGAACGGCCAAGGCGGGTGGGGGACTAACCAAGTGCGTTCATCGTCACGTCCCTACTAAGCGCATAGGCTAACCACGGCATTCGCAGTACCAATTCGGCCCTCCACCAACACCGGGCTTCCAGCCTCAGCCATCTTGTACGTCCCCACCCGCTATCGACCAGCATGAGGTGCTGACGCACATGCCTTCGCGCTCTTAAGGGGGTGGCCTGGACTTCTATCGCGCCCATGCCCTCAGTCCCGACGAGTGAGCATCCATCCTTGCTATGCCGATCTATTCCATGCCCCAAACCTCCTCCTTTGGTCTCCTGTATTCACAATCCGAACCTGACTCCAGATCGCTGTACCGACACGCGTACGAGACCGTCCGCGCGCCTATTCCTGGTTTGGGTGTTGGCCTGCACGAGGCTCGCCACTGGCATCGTCGCGCTTATGGTGGATTGGTATGTTTACCTGCTTTTCTTCCAGCCCAACATTCTCAAGACGAGCGCAGGTCGACCCTTTGTCCCTTACGCCCGACGAACTTGGTTACGCGTCCGCCTACGAGGCCTACCGCGTCTGGATCCACAATGCAGACATCGTCCAGCCCATCAGCGGTGACCCCGAACGTCAGCGAGAAGCCATGATTGGGCTCGCCGTGGCTGAAGGTGTGTAGGCGCCGCATGTTACTTCTCAACCCCATGACTGATAACAAACTAGCCGCCCGGGCGCTTCAGTACTCTGGACGTGTATGGGACACCTACAGTCGCAATCGAGCCGCGGATGCCGCTGCAGCCACCGCTGCTATCATCTACGACCAGGTGCGGATGCTTTTTATGTGGGCGCCTCTCGTTCGTGCTCACACAATGTAGGTCGCGGATGACATGGAGGATGAATACGAATACGGCGGACGCCGGGCACGTTCCCGTCGTGGCTCTGTAGCCTCGATAGGTTCTTCTTACGCGGACGACTACGACCCATACCAGCAGGACTTCCGAGCCCGTCCTCGTCGTCGCCATCGCTCCGTTTCCGGTGTTCGTCGCTCATACTCCCAGGGCCCGCCCCTCACGCCACCTATACCCTATGCGGGAAGCCCAATGCCAGGAGGAATACCACCTATGGCTGGCTCCGCGTCCTCTACCGGGTCCTACAGCCCCAGCCCCTACCAAGGCCAGCAGTACGGTACACCATACGCTGGTTCCGCGTACGGCAGCACACCTGGTATGGGCACTGTCGGCGGCATGGGTGGGGGTATGGGAGGAATGGGCGGAATGAGCGGTAACATGGGAGGAGTGCCAGGCAGTATGGGCGGAGGCGGCGTGCCCATGTCCATGCCCTCGGCAGCCGGGAGCGGCTACCAGGTCCAAACCATGCCCCCACAAGCCAACGGGATGCCTGCGCCCATCGTCATCAAGCCCCAGTCGACCGGCTACGAGCGGCGCCGCGCGCAGTCCATGTCAGTGCCCTATCCCGGGCAGTACCCGGGCGCGCAATACGGATCGCAATACGGCTCTCAGTACGGCGGCATGGGGATGCAGCCCGGTATGGGTGGCATGCAACCGGGAATGATGGGGCAGCCGGGGATGGGCATGGGCATGGGCATGGGCATGAACCAAGGCTACGGCTTGGGCACTGGCCTGGGCAGCGGTGGGATGCAGTATGGCGCGCAGCCGGGGTACCAGACGGGCACTATGCCGGGTCAGCCCATTATCGTGCAGGTACCGCGGAGGCACAAGCACCGTCACAAGCACCACCATCGGAGCTCGAGCCGGCATGGGAGGAGTCGGTCGAGGCATTGAGGGGCATCTACTCTCGAAGCACGGCTGGGTCGTGTCTGGACGGACGCTGGCTTCCGTCCGGGACAATGCCAGCTTCGAAGATGGGGTCGATGTACGAAGTACCTGGCGAGGAGGGTCTATCACCGCATGTATAACACGACGAGCTCGAGACTAAACGGACGTTGCTAATTGTATGCTATCTCTTATTTGTACTTGTGCACCTGTACGCATTTTGCTAGTCGTTGCTTCCCGCTTGTTTGCTTCTAATCATTAATTCATGTTGTCTCTCCGTATGTTTTTTAAGCAGACAAGAATGGCTTGAAGGTCTCCACTATTACACAACCAAGTAAGCTGCCGAGACAACCACTAGAGGAACCCGCGGCGTCGGCGCTGCACACCTTTCTTGCATCTTGCGCATGAGTCTGACTCCTGCTGCCGTTGACTCAGCTCGTCGCCTGATGCCGTACAGGACTTGTGGACGGAAGTGTGCGCATTGACCAGTGCTGTCCTCGTAACATGCTACGCACATGGCGTCACTTTAGGCGGGGTCAATATGACACGGGAAAGACCTAGGAAGCAAGGTGATAGGAAGCTCAACCTTAGAGCACGTGATCCTGGGACGCCGTGCACGTGTTTCGACGCTTTCCGCTTCTACTTTCGACCACCATGACCGTGAATCAGCAGTACTGGACGCTCGATGGTGACCGGTATATCACCTTTTCAACGGACTTCTGTTCCTGTCGTAGAAGCCCCTCTCGAAAGTGCCTGAAGCGATCGACTTCAAGACATCCTCTTGCTGTTCTTTGGGCACCACGAATTTGAAGGTTAATGCCCTCAATCGGAATACGAAGCCTCGAGGTATGGGAACTACCGTGACTGCACTCGATGTGATGCCTTACGGGAGATGCTCTCCTGCTCCTTGCTCTCCCAAGCGGTCGCCGCACTCTCATACGATGTCAACCCGCTTCTTCGCTATCGCCGTTGACCCTCCCGATTTCGCAGTATGTATAGAGTCTCTCTCCACAGCTTCGGCCTCTCTATGGCTGGGCCTATGACGCAGAGGAGCCTCAGACATCCGTCTCAGTAGTCAGCGGATGCCCCAGAGCGAAGCTAAAGCAAGCGCAATACGTTCGGACAGCACCTTCTCACTACGCGGCTCCTTGCCTGTCAGTGCCATGCGCTCTGCGGGCGCCCTATGCGTAAGCCGCAAGTGAACAGGACTGTACATATATAAGTCGTGCACAACGTCGTTTAGTACCTCACGCCATCGAACACCTTGACCATGGCTCTCACCACGTTCGACTACGCCGCTCTTCTGACGATCGCCGGCGCTGCCGCTTATCTCTACAGCCAACGCCGAGATGACCTCCCGCTCCCACCCGGGCCAAGGAAACTTCCTCTCGTGGGTAACCTTTTCAATATGCCCAGGTCCTTCGAGTGGGAGAAGTACACCGAATGGGCGAAGGAATTCGGTGCGTGAGGGGGATTGCTGAGGTTTAGCTGAGGTATCTACTGACGTTATTCCAGATTCGGACATCATCCATCTCAGCGTTCCCGGGCAGTCGATTGTCGTACTGAACACTTACGATGCATGCGTCGAGATTTTAGAGAAACGATCAAGGATGTACTCAAGCCGGTGCGCTTCTCAAGCCTACGTTCGAATGAGTGCTAACTGGGCATCACGCTATGCAGCCCTGTACTCCCTATGGTTGGCGATATCATGAAGATGGATAGTAGCCCAATCCTCATGCCATACGGTGCGAGAAATATGATTCTCCTTCTAGAATGACATCTGAAAATCCTATAGGTGAAAGATGGTCAGCGAATCCTCCAAGTAACCAGCTTTGCACACACTGATTCTGTCGGGCCTGGCGCAGGAGAGCGCGTCGTCGCCTCATACACACAATGCTTAACCCGACAGCGGCTGCTCAATTTCACCCTTGTATCCAGAAGTCTGTGCATACCCTCCTACGCGCGATGCTCGATGCGGGCGAGGACGGCTTGGAGCCAGCACTGCGACAGTGCGTAGACATTGCTAGGGGTCACCTCACTGATTGTGTAAACCTCATAGCCTTGCCGCTTCCACCATTCTGTGTGTCGCATACGGAATCGACGTCTCCAATAAGGATGATCCACACGTTGGCGAAGCGGAGAAAGCACTCAAGATCCTCTTGGCCGCGATGACGGCGGATAACTTCCTGGTCAACATCATTCCTGCGCTCAAGTACGTGCCCGAGTGGTTTCCAGGTACGTGTACGACAAACAAGCTTCGTGCGCGCTCTGCAAGGACTGGCAACCAGAGATTCAGAGGTGGAAAAGGCTGACCATCGCGTTGCAGGTGGCGACTTTCACCGCCAAGGGCGCGAATGGCACACTTTCCTGATGAACGCGATCGACCGGCCCTTCCAAGAGGTAAAGCAGGATATAGTGCGTAAACCATTCCTTTGCCGTCGCGCGCGCATCCCTCCGAATGTTGGCGACGATTTGGTGTAGTATAACTGATCCCGATGGCAGGCGTCCCCCAAGCCTTCATTCACGTCGCTAGCACTCGAACAAGGCGTGGATGACGAGGTCATTCGTGATACCGCGGGGGCACTATACCATGCTGGTACCGACACAGTGAGCGTCAGACCAATGCCTCTGTCTGTCCAGCGTCTCATCCGTCACCTTGCCTTCAGACAGTCGTCGCCCTCCTTCACTTCACGCTGGGAATGCTGAACAACCCTCAGGCGCAAAGACGAGCACACGAAGAGCTAGACGCCGTCCTTGGGCCTCTGGAAACTGCCGATGGCGCGCCAGGCCAGCTGCCGGACATGTCGGACGAGCCGCGGCTGCCTTTTGTGACGGCCATTGTGCGTGAAAGCCTGCGATGGATGCCCGTGACGCCATTGGTATGTTTCTTCTCTAACGCTTCTGTCTTGTCTCTCAGAGCGACTCGGAGTCCGGAGATCCAGCTGAATAAAGCTATTGTAGGCTATCCCGCACGCGTATACAGGCGAAGAACCGGATGTCTACAAGTCGTATACAATCCCTGCGCGGTCTATCGTTATTGCGAATGTCTGGTGCGTATTATCTCTCGAGCGAGAGCTATGCGGCTAGATAAGGTCGTCGTGAGCCGGAAATGCTTAGGCTACGCGCGGCGGCGATTGCAACTCCTCCGGAGTCCTCCTTTGGGTCGCAGAGTCTCGCCTCGTATAATCAGCCGCTCAACTGCTCACAGGGCGATTGTGCACGACGAGGAAGCTTATCCTGAACCATATGCCTTTAAGCCAGAGCGCTTTCTCGATATTGATGGCAAGCTGAATCCAGCTGTACGAGACCCCGCGGATATAGCGTTTGGGGTGAGTGGATTACGCCTTGTAACACTTTCCCGCCGCTAACTTTATTTTTCACTGGCCACCATCGTCCATCAGTTTGGTCGCCGTCTTTGCCCTGGGCGCCATGTCGCGTACGCGTCTGTGTGGATCGCCATCGCTTCCATTCTGCGCGTGTATAACATCGAAAAGGTGTGTCCTATGTTTCGAATCCCGTGCGTAAAAGAGATCATTCCAAAAGTACAGGCGAAGCTTCCAGACGGCACGCCCATCGAGCCTTTTCCCGAGTGGACTACCGGGCTTGTGTCGTGCGTCTTTCTTGGAAGCGAATGCCACTGCTCTGCGCTGATCGCCGACCCGCTCCGCTGCAGACAACCGAAACATTTCAAGTGCTCCTTTGTTCCACGCTGCGAGGAAGCGGAGGCACTCGCTCGCTCGACCATAGCCATAGAGTATTGATAGCCATACCTCGCTGCGTGCCATTTTTCATGGTACGTCGTCTTGTACAGATCCTTGAAACTTGGTGATGCAGATAGGTGTAGGTGTAATGAAATCACGCGTTTGATGATCTTCCCTTTGGTCGGGCGGTTCGAGACCGCGGAAATCCGGAGCTCTCGTTGAAGACGACTAAGTTCAGGGAAATAACTCATCTAAACCGTTTGCACGGGGAGCTAACAGTGTCAGCTACGCGCATATGTACGCGCCTCCGACCCGCGCGCAGGACCCCTGGTGGTAACACCCTCTTTTCATCGTCACGCTACTTACTCTGCCTATCAACCACTAATCAAGGATCACAGGCTCCATCAAACCCCTACCTTTACCGCACAATAGCGCAATAATTCTAGCGCATCGGGATCGGCCAAAGCGGATGCCAGGCGACAGATCTATTCGCCTATGGGATACCTTACGCACGATGAAGTCTGCCCTTCAATAGGCCAGAGCACCCCCTTCCGTTCCTATTACTCTTGTTCCCCATGTATGATGCGGACTTTCCCTCCTACCCGGCGCCGGTAGATGAGAGGTTCCTGTGTGGGGCTTCCCGAACCCACCCCGATGCTTGGGATCGCTGCATTGCAGCCAGCGGGGTGGTGGGTTTGACTTCTCCGAAGGCGCGTCCCTACGTGTGCGGGCCCACATGACGGAGCCCTTCCCAGCATCACAGGCCTTCGGAAGCATGATAGGCGAATTGGGCCTGCAGTACAAAACCCAAGGCGTGCAAGCGTATGCGCTCATAGCTCCTAGCTATCGGCCCCCCGCTCAACATGTTTTCCGTCACCTCCAACTGGGTAGAGCTTGCGGTTGCCGCGGGCGCAGCGGCCTTCCTGTACTCTCGTCTCCGTCGCCCGTCGCTTCCCCTTCCCCCCGGTCCCAAGAAGCTGCCGCTTCTGGGAAATCTCCACAACATACCTACCAAATACGAGTGGGAGCAGTACGCTGAATGGTCGAAAGAGTTCGGTGCGTCCTCAAGGTCCTCCATGGTGTCTTGCAGCTCACTCTCGTTTTGTAGACTCCGATATTCTACACCTTGAGGTGCTTGGGCGAAACATCATCGTCCTCAACTCGTTCGAGGCATGTATCGAGCTACTGGAAAAGCGTTCGAAGCTCTATTCCAGTCGGTGTGTGATCTGCCTTTGGATCAGAATGACTAGAGTTCATTCAACTTCCCGTGCCATAGACCGATTCTCGCAATGCCATCGGAGGTTATGAACCTGGATTACAATGCAATTCTCGTTCCCTATGGTGCGTGTATGTTCAAGGCGAAGTGGCTGTTTTGCTGACCTATTCGCGTAGGTCCCAAATGGTGAGTCCATGTCGATGGGAAATGTTACCTGGGTTCACCCGTGTACGCAACTTAGGCGCTCTCGGCGTCGCCTCATGCACGGCATGCTACACGAGAAGGTCGCCAAGCAGTACGAACCCCTCGAAATGAAGGCGTTGCACGCGTTCCTGCGTACGATGCTCAACGCGGGTGAGGACGACCTGGCCCCCGAGCTGCGACAGTGCGTCATGGCGTTCATTCACGCGAATCGTCCGTGCCTGACTTTTTTCTAGCATGGCGGGCGTCGTGATTATGGGCATCGCGTACGGGCTGGATGTCCGCACCAAGGACGATGTATACGTCGCTGAGGCGGTCAAAGCCGTACACATCCTTTTAGAAGTGACCCAGCCAGGGGCATACGCGGTCAACGCCGTTCCTGCCTTGAAGCATATTCCAGAGTGGCTGCCAGGCGAGTCTCGACAACGGCCTTCGCGGTGTTCAGCTGCTGACGAAAACTCCAGGTGCTGATTTTAAACGCAAAGCGCGCGAGTGGCGCAAGGTGCTATACGAAGTCATTGATCGACCTTTCCAGAAGGTCAAGCAGAGTATAGTACGTGCTTCGATGCGCGTCGGCGTGTTTGGGACTGAACGTCGTGTCAGGCTGACGGGGAGCCAATCACACCCTCGTTCACGTCGATGTCGCTTGAGCAGGGAGTCGACGAGGACGCCATCCGCGATTCGGCAGGAACCCTATACAACGCAGCATCCGATACGGTAAGATTTCATGTATCCTCCACGACAGGTCCCCAAGCTAACATATGTTCTCCAGACGCTGGTCACCCTCTTCAACTTCACGATCGCCATGCTCGATAATCCTCACTTCCAAAAACGCGCGCAAGATCAGTTGGATGCCGTCCTTGGGCCCTTGCAGCTACCAGACGGATCTGTCGGCCACATGCCGGAGTTTTCAGACATGGAACGCCTGCCATTCATTACAGCGCTCATCCAGGAGACTATGCGGTGGATGCCAGTGGCGCCAGAGGTAAGTCTCTTGCACGAGCATGTCTCTTTCCTTCGGGCCTGCCCGTCTGATCGCGCTGCTTGGTCAGCCCTCACTGGCACGAACATGATACTAATTCCCCGATTCAGGGCGTTCCTCATGCGTACTCTGGCGAAGGCGTGGATATCTACAAGTCATACGCCATCCCTCCCGACTCGGTTGTCATTGCGAACACCTGGTGAGGGTCTTCGTACGGCACATGTATATCTGCTCACTATAAACCTGAAGGGCCTTGGTACACGACGAGACCGTCTACCCAGACTCGTATACCTTCAAGCCCGACCGCTTCCTAGATGCCAACGGAAACCTGGACCGCTCTGTGCGCGACCCAGGGGACATAGTATTCGGGGTATGTTGCCCTCTGGGCGGGTCACAACTTGCAATCTGACGCGTCTCTCTAGTTCGGACGCCGCATCTGTCCTGGACGCCATATGGCCTACTCGATCGTCTGGATCACTGTTGCCTCTATGTTGCGCGTATATAACATTGAAAAGGTGTGTTTGGCCCTAAGTCCACCTCGTAATGTATTGAACTCGCATCACCTACAGGCGAAGCGGCCGGATGGGACGGTTATTGAGCCTCCGAGGGAGTGGGAATCGTCCCTAGTCTTGTGAGTGATCCGCACGCATGTCCGTTCTGAGCAGCGCTGATATACTCTTATGCGTCGCAGAAATCCGAAACCGTTCAAGTGCAACCTAGTTCCGCGTAACGCGGCAGCCGTGGCGATGATCAATTCTACGGAAAGGATGGATTACTATGCCTGAGAGCGTCGTGACTCACCTTGGTTGCGAATCTTACTGTCGTCGTTGGTCTCTGGCTTACCGTCCTCCATTAACGAGCGCTATGATGATAAAGTAGTTTTGAACACTCTGCATGTATACTAGGAATACAAAGTGAGCTTGAAGTCGTATAGGATGATGGTCAATTATGGCCAGATTCGAACCGTGATCGTGTTACACTCGTTACGTCTCAACGTGGCCGGTTGATGTTGTCTCCCACCGCCATTCGTGGATCGACAGGTCGTTCTAGTCTGCGAAGCAACCCCACTTTCAAGTTCGCGAGACTCTCTTCCTTCTGTGTAGCTAGGAGGGGAAAGAGTCAATGCCTACACCGTAGTAGTGCAGACGATCTTCCACCGATCTGCCGCGCTGACCTGACTCCTGCGGCGTTCCGTCCTACCTGATCTTCTCACAAGTCAATTGTATGCACTCCTCAGCCTCATGCTCAGCTGCCAAGCGTGCTGCAGCTTTGATTGAAGGGTGCTCAAAACAGGCCCTACGCTAGAGGGCGTCGCGGGTACAGCTGACGAACGAAGCAACGAGGCGGAATACATCGCAGATACCTCTTGAGCGGGTGCCTTTCTCACCCCGAGGCCTTCCATACCAAGTCGGTAACTTTCGAGTCCGTACGGAGTGTATAAGAGTCCCCGGATTGCCCTTATGAGCGCACTCCAGCCTCTCCCTCCTTCAAAAGTGTTATGTCGCACCCTGGCGTTGTTTACATTGGGGCTGCGGTGGCATTCATCTTGACTCTTGCTTATAGCTATGCGCGCCGCCGTTACGCAATTCCCCTGCCGCCAGGGCCTAAACCATGGCCCATAATAGGAAATCTCTTCGATATGCCGACCAAGTTCGAGTGGGAGCAATATGCAAGCTGGGGGAGGGAATTCAGTAAGCCTTGCATTGCGCTGTGAAGGATCTATTGTCTAACTCTGTGCGCAGACAGCAGCGTGGTTCACCTTTGCGTTGCCGGCCAGTCGATCATCGTACTCAATTCGTATGACGACTGTATCGAGCTACTGGAAAAGCGCTCGAAGTTATACTCCAGCCGGTGCGTGCATCAAGGCATCTAATCAATTTTCGCTATATCTCCAGCGCGTGGATAACCCTGATGATTCATGCCCCAGCCCGCCACTCGCAATGGCGATGGACATCATGAAGATGTATTACAATATGGCTCTACTACCCTACGGTGCGCATGCAAAACGAGAGCGATTTCCTCACTGTAAACACCACTCTAGGCGATAGGTGGTGAGTCTGATGTTCTAGTTTTCCACCGCGCTCAACCAAGATCTCCTTTAGGCGCGCGCGTCGCCGCTTGGTTCACGGAATGATGCACAAGACTGCTTCCGCTCAGTACCATCCTCTCGAATTGAAGGCGACCCATTCTTTCCTTCGTGCGATGCTGGCTGCTGGAGAAGATGATCTCGAGTGCGAGTTGCGACAGTGCGTCTTGCTTTCTATGTCAGATCCCAGTATGCTCATCTTATCTTCTACCTCGTCTGTGCAAATCATATCCGGCAACATCCTGTTCTCAACCTTGTTACCGCTCGGCGAATACAGCATGGCGGCTATCGTCATCCTAGGCGCCGCATATGGCCTCGACATCCCTACGAAGGACGATCCCCACGTTGTAGAGGCTGAAGCGGCCTTGCGCATCATCTCGGAAGTGTCAATGCCAGGCAACTACCTCGTCAATGTTCTTCCCTTCCTAAAGCATCTGCCCGAATGGTTTCCGGGTGAGCAAGATATCATTGTATAGGCTGATCGCGTAAACATCCCATCCGCATTTGAGGTTAACGATACGTTACAGGCGCTGACTTTCAACGTCAAGCTCGTGAATGGGGCGACACGGTCCAATGTGTGGTTGAGAAACCATTTCAAGAGGTTAAGCAGAGAACGGTATGCCCAGGAGTAAAAGCTTCAGACACCACTGACTAGCGTATACCTAGATACCGCTGATGCCCTCCTTCACTTCAATTGCCCTCGAAAAAGGCGTCGAGGATGATATCATCCGGGACGCGGCTGGGACCATGTACAATGCCGGTACAGATACAGTGAGCAAGAATGTCTTTTTGGCTTCTATCTCCGGCGCCTTGTGCCTTCTCCTGACTGATATTCTCTTTCCATACCTGTAGACCATGGTCACTGTCGAGAACTTCATACTCGCCGCACTCGACAATCCGTCTCTACAGACTCGAGCACAAGCAGAGCTTGATAGCGTTCTTGGTCCCCTGCAGACGTCCAGCGGGCTGCCAGGCCGTCTCCCGGAGATGTCGGACGAATCACAGCTCCCATTCGTTACAGCGCTCGTGATGGAGACCTTCCGTTGGAAGGCGGTGACACCCATTGCAGGTGTTTCTTCACCTTCATGCCCCAAGACTGACCAACTCGGCAGGCTCTTCCGCACATGTATAGTGGCGAGCAGCCTGACATATACAAGTCGTATGCCATCCCAAGAGGCTCCATCGTCATTCCCAATGTCTGGCTAGTAACTTTTCGCCGAGTTCGCGCTTCTTACCGCGCTCGACTAACACAAATCGTAGGGCCATGCTACGAGACGAGTCGATCTACCCGGAACCAGATGTTTTCAAGCCTGAACGTTTCCTCAACGCCGACGGGACACTCAACACGAGCGTGCGCAACCCAGATGAGATCGCGTTCGGGGTGAGTCAGCCTGGTGAGCTGGGGTTTCCTTCAAACCCACTCAAATTGCTAGTTTGGTCGCCGCATCTGTCCTGGACGTCGAATGGCATATGCATCGACGTGGATTATGGTCGCGTCGATCCTGCGCGTTTATAGCATCGAAAAGGTACGTCGTCTGCACCGACTGGCCTGCCATTGACTCGGGGACTCATTCCGACGATCCTTTTAGGTCAAAGGGCCGGATGGGGCTTTCATCGAGCCTAGCTATGAGTGGAAGTCTGGATTGATCCCGTGCGTAATCACATCCTATTTTGTGGATGATACTAGCGACAAGCTCTTGGTCTACCGACTTTCAAACGCTTGTCCTGACCGTTTTTCAGGACACCGAAGCCTTTCAAGTGCCATTTTGTCCCCCGCGGCGCAGAGGCAGTGGCCTTGATTCGGTCAACGGAGTTTATGCATGGGTAAAGTCGAGACTCGATTGTGATCTCATGTAATCCCTGTATATGTGCACCACATCGGCCGCGAACGATATCATACGCGACTTACCTATCGTAGTGCGCTTCGTCATTTCGAGAGCTCTGATAGCCATAGCTACGCATCATCGTTGGGATAGTTTACATGCATTTCCTTGCGATGGAGACAGGCGACTAATTATACACGACGTTGCTTCCCAAAGGCGAGCAGACTGAACGACGCTCAGGCATAGCAAAGGACGCGGTAAACCTGTAGTGATATTAGCCTACGCTCGATCGAAGACATCAAGCACTGACCTCGATCTTCTTCTCCTTCCCGCCGTAAGGGATGAGCGCGCCTACGAAGCCACTCAGTTATCGTAGTCTGACTACGAGGAACCTTCACTCACCGTCTAGGTGCTCGCCAGCCTTCCCGGGGTGCTCAGCGTCCTTGTGTGGCGCCTTAGCGATGTAGAGCGGCTTGCCGTCGGCCTCGCGGCCGCCCTCAACAGGGCGATAGCCGAGGCTGTTGACATTGAGGCGCCCCGAAGCGTCGACCCAGCGCAAGCCGCGCATGTCGCCAACGAGGATCTCGTAGGTCTCGAGCTAGAGGAAGGTCAACGATGGTGAGCAAGATGATCGTACAGTGATGAACGCACAGAGATCTCGTCGTCATCATAGCCGATGACGGCGCCATCCTTGAAGGCGTCGGACGCCTTGCCGATCTCTGCGAATCTTGGTCAGGGTTCAGAACGGGGACGAAATAACGGTACACGTACGCAGGCCGCCCTGCAGACACAATTAGCGCAAGCTCGATGGCGAGAGACCGAAGAGCACGTACCTCGTAGTACGCCCGGCAGATGTACAAGTTCCAGTGCTTCTCGGGTCCGACGCAGATGGCGTTAGACGGGATGCTCTTTCCCTTGTTCAAGATCCACGTCGCGGGGCCAGACGGACCCTCGCGCTTGTAGCGCTCCGTGCGCTGCTCGGCTTCGGTGATCCAGTTGTTTAGGGCCCAGACCTGCGCCTTCTTCTCCTCGCCGTGCTTCTCGTGCTCCTTGAAGGCCTTGTAGCCGGCGCCGAGGAGGGCAGCGCCAGCGAGAAGACCGCCTCCAACCTACGTGACGATATAAGCATGGCTGAAAAGCAGCGATGTGGCATAAGCGCTTACCTCGAGCTGCTTCTTGCGTTTGTCGTCGATGTCATACCAGTGCTTCTCCTTCTCCTCCTTCGTGGGCTGATTCTGGTGGTCGCCAGAGTAGCCTGCAACGTTGTAAGCTACCGCGATCTTCAACCGAGCGAAGAAATCCTTACTGTCATGGCGCTTCTCGTCGTGGTACGGTTGCTGCTGCTGGTAAGGCTGTTGTGCTTGACCGTAGTTCGGCTGCGATTGGTGTTGCTGCTGGTGGCAATGATCGTCGCCGCTGTCGGTGACACCCCACAGCGCAGGCGTCACGTTCGGCGTCCAGTCTCCCTAAGATACGATTAGGCCGCGCGATCCCACGAAATGGGAAGTACATACCTGCGACCGATGAGGCTGAATGATCTTGTAGTGCTGACCCTGGTACTCGACGACATCGCCGTAGTTGTACTGCGTACCGGGCTCCCAGTGGCGAGTCATGATGGGTGGTAGATGTGAAGAATGAAGTGGAACAAAGGAAAAGTTGGGTAGCGGGGTTCGGTGGCGTTGCCCCAGCCCAGGCCTCCAGTGCTTTTATTCTGTCGGTTCAGCCCTAAACGTCATGCGGCATGCTTTCAACGTGCCCTGGCGAAGAAAGGACAGGGTTTCGACAGCCGGAATCGTGAATTGCCCGGAGCCAAAATTAAAGTCGCGAAGGGCACGCGAACTTCGAGGCCGCGCGCGGAGGTCCTCGGCAGAGCGACATGACCTCAGGATCGCTTCGCTCTGGCGCTCGGCAGGGGACGTCCATGCTACACGCGGACGCGACGTGCTCGTAGGCCAGCTGCTGGGGCCACTATTGTCAGGAAGAGGAGCCGGCGAAGTTCCATTCCGGGAGCATGGTGTGCGCAAGACTGATCGAGGTGACCGAAGCGCCGGCACGCCTCCGAACAGGTTCGCGGGAGCGCGTCCGAGCCGGGATCAGGGCAAAGTCCCGAGGTCAGTCGTCCGTTGAAAAGGCAGCGCGCAAGCCCAGCTGCGGTGAGCTGCGGTAAGACGAAGTGCTCTTGATAATGCTGCCTTTTTCCGGTCTTCAAGCCGTTTCGTCGACTATGTAACATAGCGTACAAAGCGGGGTCCGGTTCTCGATGATGTAGCCTAAGGCAAGAGGGGTCTTGAGATTCCAGAGGCTGCCGTTAAGACGTCGTGATCATCGAGCGCAAAGAGACGAGGCTTGGCGCTGACCTCGACAGAGCAATAGATCCACGTGCGACCGCGAGGGTCTTGTTCCGCGCTGGGGGTGATAACGAACTTGCCCGCGGGGCACGAAGGTCGGAGGCGGGAGCAGCGGGGAACCTTCGGAGGATACCGAGCCCATTCAGTAGTCCAACTTGAAGCCGTACACGAATGGAGGAGAACCCAGCCTTCATGAGGCTCAAGTTCCTTCGAGAGTAGGCCTTTGCGTCGCCGATGAGGGTATGAAGCAACATGCAGAAGACTCCGCTTCCGATACGCAAAAGAGGCAGACGACCACTACAGTGGGTCACTTGCCGTCGGCGCGGGCGGGCCACAAATGCAGGCCGCCCGACTGGTTCCTCCCTACGCATGCAGCCTATCTTCCACCAGTGAGCAGCTCAATGGTGGCCTTATCTACCGTCCCAAGCACCCATCGATCGCATCGATCACTTGCAAGAACTTGAATTGCATGCGCTCTGAGTCGTCCCGCCGTATAAATTCTAGCCAATGCGGCTTTTGCACGGGTTGTTCCTCGGCGAGGGGGACTAGTGCGCCTTCTTGCTAGCTGCAGCCACATCGTCTGAAAAGCAGCATGTCGGGCTTCGCTATTACCCTGCGCGCTATGGTGCACAAACTCGCGTTCTGGCACCGACTTCCGCGGCTGACACTGCTGGGACGCTCCCTTCTTCTGGTTGTCGCTGAGCTTCTCGTGAATGCGGTCTTCTGGGCGGTAGCTGGCATCCTGTTCGGCAAGAATGACACTAGATCCATCCTAGGTCTCGCGCTCTTGGCTTGGGTACGCTTTCCTGTGACGAACTGCCAGCTTCGTTGATGTTCACTGAACCAGACCCTGGGCCTACGACACGGTAAGATTTCCTTGCTAGAACTTGGACGGCGTTGCTAAGTCTGTCTGTAGCCCTCGACGCGGACCACATCAGGTGAATGGAATCCAGCCTTGAACTGAATGCTGCGATGCTCACGAGAACAGCGCTATCGACAATGCCACTCGCGGGCTCATCAGCATGGGCCAACTACCCGTGACCTGTGGTCTGTTCTTCTCGCTGGGACATAGCACCATCGTCATCGTCGTGGTTAGTCAGTCCAATGTCTCCATACACCTCAGGGACCTACAGCCCTATATAGAATGTCGCCATCGCCATCTCGACCGACGTCTACCAGCACATAGACGGCGTCGGGAGCGTCGGCGGTATCGTAGGTGGGAACGAGGCTTGCCAACTTCGCCACAGAACTAACCGCGGAATAGGTGCCGCCGTCAGCGGCTCCTTCCTCTTCATCGTCGGCCTCGCCAACTCCATCATCCTATACAAGATCCTCCAACGGCGCCGCGAGGTAGGATCGACGATCTATAAGCCTGCCCTCCTTCACTGACGCTTCTGCAGTTCAAGAGACGGCAGCGAGAGGCCGATGCGACTGGCGAAGACACGCTGGCCGACTTCGACTCCGATCCCAAGCACACGCACATGCTCATGATGAGGATTCTCGGGCCTGTTCTAACATTCGTCGACCGGCCGTGGAAGGTGAGAACCTTGATCTCTGTCGTCAGTATGCGTCTCATCCTTGCAGATGTACCCGGTAGGGGTCCTATTCGGCTTCGGTAAGCAACACTCGACGAAACGGATACTCGTCGACTGACCTGCAAAGGGTTCGATACGGCGTCCTCGATCGCGCTGCTCGCAGTCAGCGCCATCGGGAAGGAAGGCGCAAACAACGAGACGATACCCACCGGATATATTGTCATCCTCCCCGTACGTATGTTGAGCTCCCCGTCTTGACCTCCGATACAACTGTCGTATAGCTGCTCTTCACCGCCGGCATGACCTTCATCGACTCCCTGGACTCCATCCTGATGCTCTACTCGTACTCTGGCTTCCCCGAGCACTCGTGGAAACTCTTCGAGACCAGAAGTGAAAAATCCTCAAGCAACAAAAGCACCCCAATCGCCTCAGTCCGCAGCTGCTCGCCATTGCAAGGCAGCTCACAGCCCACGCCATATGATAACAACGCCGACCTCGGCGCGAACCCAGTCAAGTCGTCCAAGTCCAGCGTCAAGTTGGGCAACGACGAGCCCGACACCGTGGACACCGTCAGCATCGTCGGCGCAGTGGCCTACGAGCGGAAGATGCGCGCCATGCGGGTCAAGGCGAACATGATGTCCGGGCTGAGCATCATCCTGACCCTCATGAGCATCCTCGTCGCCTTCAGGTAAGTAGATCCGTACCTCCCCCCATTCGTCCTCTCATCCATGCCCGCGCAGCATATCCCTTATCACCATCATGGGTCTCATTGGCGACAATTGCGGCCCATGTCAGGAGGCCGCGGAAGCGGAAGACGGTGGCGGGCTGGCGGGGCGTTGGTGGCGCGGTTGGGCAAGGGTAAGGTTGTTCACTGGTTCAGTTCGACCTTGCTCATGATGCGCAGGCGAACGACAACTCGGGCTACATTGGCGCGGGCATCGTTGGCGCGTTCATTGTGGTGGTAGCGAGTTGGTTTGGAGGGCGTAAGGTCGTCAGAAAATGGCGGAGTAGGCGCGCTGCTGCCAGCGCCGCTGATGCTCCAGCTGAAAGGGTTGAGTAGGAGATGATCGAGACGTACCAATGTATCTTGTACTTGATTGATGGCTCAAGGAAGGAAGAAGTGTGCAGGCAGCCAGTGACGCAGGGTTCCAAGATGAACGATGAGGGGAGCGTGCAGCATAGGATAGCGGGGGACTAAAGGCGAAGTCTATACGGACAAAGGATAGCACGAGATACTCTGCCACAACGTTAACCCAGTGTCGTACCCTTGTTGTAGAGAGCACGTACCGACACACAACCCAGTGAGGGTGGGCACTCATCGCTCCCTCGTCAAGAGCTTCAGCTTTCTCCGTGCATGGCGCTCGACGTCGACCAATGCTGTCTTCGGCACCGCCGGTTCCAAGCGTATGTTGGCGGGCCACTGCGCGCCAGCGGCCTTCCTCCGTTCCTGCAGAAGCTCCAGGACCGTCGGCTCGCGCGTCGCGCGCGTCAACGGCTGTATGCGTGGGACGACCCGCACGCCATTCTCCAAGACGGACTTCTTGATGACTTCCAGCGAGCGGACAGCGGTAGCGCGCATCTTGAGCACACCACAGAGCACGTCCTGAGAAGTGCAGAGTGAGATAAGTGGCGCGCGCGAAGGTGGTTAGGCGGATACGAACCGGTGAGAGAGGTGGTGGCTCGCGTCAAGGTACGGATCGGCCGAAAAAAGCGTGTAAGCTGCCGTGACTAACCGCCCCCGCCCGATATTTGTTGTCTCCCGCCACCACACCCGCTGCTCTCCCTTCGTCTCTCATTCCTCTATACTATACAGCCATGGCAGCAGCGGGATCGAAGTTTCAGGCGTTCATGAACCACCCCGCAGGTTGGTAGTGCCAGTCTCCGATCGAACGACATGCCGTTCCCCCGCGCTCTGGGCTCGCCCCAGAGTCCGTCCCGCTATCTGTGCTCATACGCCCCCACAGGACCGAAGACGGTCTTCTTCTGGGCACCGCTGATGAAGTGGTGTCTCGTCGCTGCGGGGCTCAAGGACTTGTCGCGCCCGGCTGACAAGCTATCCGTCTCGCAGAACGTCGGTATGTGCTGCATCGCCTCCTCAGTTTCCCTTCGTTCGCTGAGTCCTTATTAGCCTTGGCCGCAACCGGCTTCATCTGGGTTCGCTACTCCCTCGTCATCACGCCCGTGAACTACAGCTTGGCAGCAGTACGTAGTCAAACACGACCCTTAACCTAATGCTCATCATCGGATAGGTCAACTTCTTCGTAGGGTTGTCCGGTCTGACACAGTTGGTCCGCGTCGCAAAGTACGTGATACGCAGTGTGCACTGGAACCATGCTGACGGCTCGCAGCTACCGGCGTTCGCTTCAGAACGGCACGAAGGCATGAACGCTGCAGTGCATCGCGTACTTCCTTGTCTCGTCATTCCATATCCTGCCCAATTCCCTGTCGTAGACCTTCCCATTGCACAATGCCATGCTGTAAGAATACATATGAGGAGCGTCCAGTGCTTAACTATCGTATCGGGGACGTCAAATCATCGTGAGCCGGCACCGCGTCGTCGTTCCTCCCTCCGTCTTCTCCGCTCCTGCCTCTCCTCGTCCGTCTCCTCGCCAGAGAAGGAGCCCATGGCTCTGGATGCAAGCCCGAATATGCCGCCATTCTCTTGCAAGTAATTCTTCGCCGAGTTCGCGATGTTATCCATAAGCTCGACGACCTCGTCCCGCTGGCCGTTGTTTTGGGACTCCTCCTTGTACTGCCATTCGCGGTGCTTGTCGAAGGACTCCCATGCCTTTGGTCGAGTATTCTTGTTTTTACTGCCTGAGCTGCGCGATGATCGGGTGCGTCTGCTGTTCGAAGCATCGCCACCGCCGCCGTTCGATAGACCGAGCATCGTCCCGGCAAGTGCGTTCACAAGGCCCCCTCCGTTCCCCACGGCATTGCCGCCCCCGGCTGCGAAGTACCCAGCGCCAGCGGCGAGTGCCGCGATGATGGTACTCCACTTGCAGAACCACACCGCCGAGCGGAACATCCAGCTCGTCGTCCGATACACGCTCAGCAGCGCGAGATACGCGACCAGCGCACTGATGAGGGGCGGCAGCAGCTTCTGCGCATCCCACTCTGTGGGATTGGTCTTTACCAGGTTCAGGACGAAGGTTATGAGGGCGCTGAACAGTGCCAGCGCATGGGACAGCAGTGACGTGAGAGTCGAGTAGAGCGGTGCGGGCACATGGTCCTCAAGGTAGTCCAGGAGCGGGTCGAGAAAAGCAGGCAGGTAAAGGTCGTCGGGCGTGAACTCGGCCATCGCGCTGGACGTCTACGACGGGGCGTACGCGGAAGCAAAGCAGCCGCGCGTGCGACGTGGTCGACAGCAAGCACAGGCTTTGGCGCTGTTTGGTCGTCCGCTCGGGGGAGTAGACGTGGGAAAGGGACCGGAAAAAGTTCCCGCTCGGCATCGGAGGCACCGGCAAGACCTCACAAGACCTCCACCGCCCCTGGAAGAAACCCCCAGAAAACCTTTACGTGAGCGCATTTTGCCTTTTGGAGACTCAAATCCGGCGGATTTGGGGTGAGGAGAGGCTGCCGGGGAAGAGCCGAAGGGGTGATGACACTCAAATTGATTCCCAGGCCGTGAAACACGCACGTGACCCGGACCCGCGTGTATATATACGATCGGCCCAAGTACGAGCTGTTCCCCCACTTTCTGTCCCCCCGCCATCAAACTTGCCAGCGCTGCACAGGCCACGCTACTGCTCTTCACCACACCAACACATACATCTGAAGTCATGGCCATGAAGCGCAAGTTCGACGATGCCAGCGACGACGAGGAGGTTCGCGTGAGTATACCCCTACTTCCTGCGCGTTCCCCCGGTCTAACAAATCGTAGGACTCCAAGCAGCTCAAGCTTGTCCCATTCCCCACCTACTCTGATGACGACTCCCTCATGTCGGATGGGGAGTCGCTCTACCACCATGAACGCTACTCGTCGAATGCGAGCACCAGCTCGTCCGCGTCCTCGTATTCCCCCTCATGTATGTGCACCCAATATGAGCGCATACATCCGCATATACTCATGTCCCTCAGTCCTGCCGTCGCCCGGTGGCTACGGTCAGCCTTCTAGCCCCTCGGAGGGCCGTATGCAGCCCGGCGGCTTCATGGACCATGGGTGAGTATCATTGTCAATGCATGTCGCGCTATGTAGGCTAAGCATATCGCAGCACGAAGTGCACCATGATCCCGAAGTTGCGCGTCGCGTGCGCCGCTGGTCCCAACGGTCGCCGTGCTATGTGGAGCCATTGCGAGGAATGCGGCCACGTCTGGATGGTCAACTGCGACTAACCGACTTCACCCCTCAAGTTCGCCTTCGACTCCGACTCTCGACTCCCGACATCCAACATCCGACTGACTTCGCCCCGACCAAACGCAATAACCAAACTCACCGATAACCATTATCTTTTTCCTTATTCTCTCCGCGTTTGTTTGTGCTCACTCCCCTGTCCCATCATCCACTGTTTGTTCTGTGTGTAACTTATTCCACTTGCTTTTCATCATTGCTCTGTATCATCATTCCTGCGCCACCTCCTCCTCTTCATCTTCTACCCATCCTTCACTTTTGTTTTTCTCTAGGCGACCTCTCCCGACCTCGATGTCACCGACCACCGTGGCCAGCGACGACGGACGACACCGACGACGACGACACCAACCTCCGACCTCCTTCGACCTCATTCAATCCGGCACATCCCCCGATCACCCACTGTACCGCCGACCTGTACCGCCATCACCTCTTACCCGCATCCCCGTCATCGTCGATTCGCCCGTCTACCAAGTCACCGCACTGTACCAGTGAACTCGGCGTCCATCGCACATCGCCTACCATTCTATAAAAGGACGGCGCACGGACAAGCGTCGTCCCGGCTTTACTCGTAGTCTATCACTCTGTACCCCGCATGTAATCCAGCAAACCCTCTTCGACACCATTCAGTCGCGATTTTGTGTGAGGTATTCGGGTTAGTACACTGGGAAATCCAGTGGTCCGTGCGCGGGAGGGACGTCCTGCACGCTGAAAATTTCGACCGGTGTCAGCCAGGTTCGATTGGGGTGCCAGGCCGTAAGGGGTTCCGCTCTTCGCGGCAGCCTTTCACACAGCATCATGCTGTAGCAGTCATGCTAGAATCTACTGCATAGCAACGTCCGATGGCAGTCGAGATTGCTCCTGCTTCTGGCGCATGATACGCTGGCCAAACGCTGGCGACACGGTATATCCTGGATTCCCTGCCCTCCAAGTCGAACCTGTGTGCAAATAAAGCCAAATCAAACGCATAAAACTTCCCGATTGATCGCTTCCCACGCCCAATCTCGACCTTCCCCGCATGGAAAGTGCTCAGCTGACCCGAACCGCCATGCGTGTCACTGAGTCGTTGTTGTCCTTATATTCAAGTTGACCTCCTTTCCGTCTTTTCCATATGTTCATGTCGAAGACAAACGGCCTCGTCGAGAACGTAGGGCCTCGTTGAGAACCCTTGAAGTGACTGGATGAATGGGCTTTGGGCGCTTGTTTGTATGGGCGTTTCTTGAGGGCGACAACTCAGGCAGCTTCCCCAGGGCGGAATGTGGGGGAGCAGAATAACTGTGTTGCGGGGAATGCGGGGTTTTATTGCCAGGTACGCGCCTCTCGTAGTCTCTACTCCTGGAGTGCTTCATGCTCAAGCGCTCGGGCGCTAGGTATCGTCTCCATCGGCTCAGAGAATCGCCAACTACGCGTAGGCTGCGCCCCACAAGCTCACATAACCCTGCGACGATGTGAAATCATGCAGTCAAGATTGATGCTCGACAACAATGACCAGCGTCGCACTTTGCATTGGCGAATTGCCCTCAGACCCTCTATCGTCGGCTGCTATGGTTGCTAGTCAGACCCGGTACCGCTTGCGCCGCCTGCCTTGATACGCGGATGATCATGTTCCGCGCGCCTCTACGGGCCAATCTGAGTTTCATTCGAGGCGCTACATTATGTTCTCGCCACCCCCGCGCGCCCACGACTGCTTGTGAGTGGCTGTGTCCCCACAAAATTCCCCTCCTGTACCTTTCCCCGTCCTGACGCCCCAGCAGGACCTCCTCTTCCCCAGTCGACCGCACGCGTCCCCCACTCAATTCTTTTTGCCTCCATCCTCCTGCTCATCAGATGACCGACGGACTTTGCCCGCGCCCGCGCGAGGTGGATGCATTATGCCAGCACCCGTCGCGGCGCCCCGTGGGCAGCTGTCGAGGAAGTAAATCTGAAGGCGCGCGCGACATCGATCTGATGTGCCACCTGCCAGTCTATTTATTTCGGGTTGCTTTAAAGGAGCGGGAGAGCCATCCACCTTTCCTCCATCCCCCTCCTCCAACTACCCCTTACGACCCACTGTATTACACGATCAGCGTCAGCCATGTCGTCGTCGTCAGATAAGACGGACGCGGAGAAGGGATCCATCGAGGTCACCGAGGATGTTGACCTGCGAGAGAAGCTCGTCAACAATGTCAACGCACGGTACGTTCCCCTTCTGAGTAGACCTGAATCGACCACTTACACGGTCGATTGTAGGATACAAAATCCTCTGTATGGTATCAAGAAGGGCACCCTGATGCGCCAGGTCGAGGACTTCTGCGCCGAGAAAGGCCTCGCCGAGCACGTCGATCTCTTCAAGCGTGGCGCCCTACTTGCGCAGAATCCCAACGACTACGAGAACATCCCGGAGCTCACGGAGCAGGACCTCGCCGCTGTCCGCTACGAGCGCGAACGTGAGCCTCGCTATCGCCGCCTGCCACGATCCTCCATCTAACTGGCAGCGCAGACAGATGGTCGCAGCCCGGCGCGCTATACCTGACGGTCATCATCTGCTGCCTGGCGGCGGCGGTGCAGGGGTGGGACCAGACGGGGAGCAACGGCGCCAACCTCTCGTTCCCGCAGGAGTTTGGCATCCCCATCAACGACCCCAACGATCCCAACCGGGAGCGGAACGAGTGGATTGTGGGCATGATTAACGCGGGGTGAGTACGGCGCAGAGCGTTGCGTAGACCTTCATTGACGCTTGACAGCCCTTACATTGCTTGCGCTGCCCTCGGGTGCTGGGTAAGTCGTGCGATAGAGCGTTAGGGGAAGATAGCTGATCGCTCGTTCCTTAGCTTACGGACCCTCTTAACCACTATCTCGGTCGTCGCGGCGTCATTTTTGTCTGCGGTATATTCTGCACGCTCACCGTTATCGGATCCGGCCTATGCCAGACCTGGCCGCAACTCTTCATCTGCCGCCTGCTCCTCGGGATCGGCATGGGCGCCAAAGCGTCTACCACCCCCGTCTTCGCAGCGGAGAACGTACCGGCAATGATTCGCGGCGGCCTCGTCATGTCCTGGCAGCTCTGGGTGAGCATCTTCCCTCTCTTTCCACCTTTTCCTCGCACTCACCCTCCATAGACCGCCTGCGGCATCTGGCTCGGCTTCTGCGCCAACCTCGCCATGCAAAACGTCGGCCGGATTGCCTGGCGCCTCCAGCTAGGCTCCGCCTTCATCCCCGCCGTCCCCATGACCATTGGCATCTACTTCTGCCCCGAGTCCCCGCGCTGGTACATGAAGCACAACCGCTATCGCGAGGCCTTCAAGTCGTTCAAGCGCCTCCGGAACACGGAGATTCAGGCGGCGCGTGATTTGTACTATGTCCATCGCCAGCTTGTGGAGGAGTTCGAGGTATTGAAGGGCTCGAGCTACTTTAAGCGGCTCATTGAGCTGTTCACTATCCCGCGCGTCCGCCGGGCGACGCTGGCGAGTGGCATTGTTATGCTCGCGCAGCAGGTATGTGGTACTCGCAAACGTCGGTATGCCATTCGCTCACTCGGTGGCAGATGTGCGGTATCAACATCATCGCCTTCTACTCCTCCTCCGTCTTCACGGATGCGGGATACTCAGCGACGCAGGCTCTGTGGGCGTCCTTCGGCTTCGGTCTCGTCAACTTCGTCTTCGCATTCCCTGCCGTCTGGGTAGGCTTCTCGTTCGTTCATCTCCCACCTCGTACTCATTCGTCGCAAAGACCATCGACACCTTCGGTCGCCGCAATCTCCTTCTCTTCACCTTCCCCAACATGTTTTGGACGCTGCTCGCGGCCGGCTTGTGCTTCCAAATCCCGGATGGAAGCGCGGCAAAGGTGCCGTTGATTGCCTTCTTCATCTACCTCTTCGCCGGTACGTGGATAGCATCTACCGTGGGTATGAGCCATAGCTCAACGTGATTGCAGCCTTCTACTCCCCCGGCGAAGGGCCCGTGCCGTTCACGTACTCGGCCGAAGTCTTCCCGCTGACCCACCGCGAGCTGGGAATGTAAGTGGTTGCGTGCTCCTCGACCTCGCGGGGAAGCTGACCTACTCCGGCTAGGTCATGGGCCGTGGCCACATGCCTCGGCTGGGCTGCCGTACTCTCCATCACCTTCCCGCGCATGAAGACTGCGCTGACGCCCACGGGAGGTGCGTACTCAGAACGCAACCAAACCAGTACATTGTCTGACCTTTGATTCTTCGCAGCCTTCGGCTTCTACGCCGGCCTCAACGTCGTCGCGCTCGTGCTCATCTTCCTGTTCCTGCCCGAGACCAAGCAGCGCACGCTCGAGGAGCTGGACTACGTCTTCGCCGTACCCACGAGCAAGCACGTCAGCTACCAGGTGAACAAGACGCTGCCGTACTGGTTCAAGCGGTACATCTTGTGGCGGAAGGACGCGAAGCTTGAGCCCCTTTACCATCTCGACCAGGTCGACTCCATCACTGTCTTCGAGAAGGGAGCTGGGCATTAGCGGATGGTTCTACTGATACGGATTACTATACACGGCCTGTAGTTGCTACGATGTAATTGCCATACAGGCGCAGAGTTCGACGCGACGAGTAGTAGCCGCTAGATTTGTGGCGTCAACTTGAGTTAAACCCCGCAACGCACGTGACGGATGTCGACGCCCCTTCCCCTTAACGTTCATTCAGCGCCGAGCCTTTCAACCCCGTTCGCGCTCAAGTGCGAAGCATTACACTATGGCCGAGTTTCTTGCTTTGCCGGACGACATTATCACCTCGATTTTGTGCGTGTCCCGTCCAGTGGACATCATCAGACTGCGACAGGTGCGCTCCTTTCCGCATCTGTTCAATACTTTATGATGCTCATGACATCGAGTAGACATGCCAGACGCTGAATATGGCGTCCCGCGAGCGCTGGATTTGGGCGAAAGTTACGCCCGAAATCATCGCACACAATTGCATGTGCATTTCGTCAAGCGACCTTGATCAGCTATCTGCGCAGGAATTAGAGCGGATTGCAACGACTCCTATGAAGTGCCTGCTCGCTATGAGCGCAGCTGCAACCAAGGACACTCGAGATATACAAGGTCTCCAGCCACAGCGACAGACTTTGCATCCGAGCGTCGGTTCACTATATCGACGTCTGATCCTCGTTCCCGGCGGTTCATACTTGTTCATCGAAGGATTCAACTCGATTCGATTGCTGCGGCTCGATCCCGCGAGGCCTACAGAGATTGCTAAGCTCCAATCCAGGGATGACGATATGTACAAGAGATCGTATTTCCTCAATTACCGCGTCACCGGTGGTGGCCGCGTCCTCCGCTTCGCAATTGTCAGGAGGGCATTGTGAGCTCACCCGTTTTGATATCCGATTCGTTCACTAACGGAATGGATAGTATGTATCCAGATGCGCCCCAGCTATCGGTGTATGACATCGAGCCGGAAGCAGTAGGGGCATCCTTCTCGCTTGTCGCCAGGACACGCGACCTGGGAAGCGGTTATCATCAAGTGCAGTGTCATGAAGTAGCCTTTTGCGATACACGATTGGCCGTCTGTGATGAGGCTGGACCGGCCATGTTATGGGATCTCGAGTGGAACACGCGCGTCTTCTGGCAACATACTGCTTCACTCTGTGAGAATCTGGTACGTATCAACGTTTTCTTGTTGTTCCCCCGCGTTAAGCGACCTGCATTACAGGCAATCCGAATCATCGGGAATTGCATCGCTGTCACGTCTGGAAGTGGTGATGGCGATTGGGCTCATTCAGCCCGCCTTACTGTCTTCACGTTGCCCCAGGTCGCTAACGGAACTTCTACCGTCGTGGACCTTGGACCAACCTACGACGACAGGGGCGCGCGCGTCTACTACCCACAGCATATCTCTGATGGTGAAAACCCGACATTTTATATTCAGTGTGCGGAGCACACAGACGACCACCTACGCTCGCACACCATAAAAGACGGAGAGCCGGCTCAAATCCTCACGACCGATCGCGCGATCGACTACCATGCTCTGCAGGCATGTCCCCCAGGGCCGAATTCGATGACGACCTGCGACGACGGTCCGGTGTTTACGGACTTCCTCAGATGCTCTGGGCAAGAGGTGCAATTCATCTGGCCGCGCCGGAATTATGGCACCCAGCTTCAAGGGAAGCTGCGGCTCGAATATTCACCTGCGGGTGCCGGAGATGTACGCGCTTTCGACCCCACCACTGGCAGGCTGTGCGTTTCGAAGAAGAATGGGGCGCTAGTCGTCGTCGATTATGTATAGCATGGACTCCCTGATACGTCTGCAGCCCAAAATCACTGTCCTGCCCAGTCTTTGATCTGGATGATGTGAATCTTCAGCCGCTGATTCCGCCAGCATTCTGAAGCGCTCTCTCTTTCTCCTCTCATGCATATCGACTCGCCGTCCAAACCGCGTTTCGACGCGCGCAATGGACTGTCACATTCCATCATACCCTTTGATGTAATCTTTTTGGTTCTCGCTTTCCTTCGCCCCATAGATCTCATTCAACTGAGGCAGGTACGTGTCTCCAGACGCGTTCATTGACTGTGACCGACTGCGTCTCTCCAGACATGCGCGGCGCTATATACAGCGTCTCGGCAATGCTCGGTCTGGCTTGCCATCGCGTTGAGGAACCAGGACCAGAACCCCATGCTCATCTCTCCTAACGTCCTCGGCAAACTTTCTGCCGACGAGCTGGAGAGTATGAGTATAGCGCCTACGAAATGTATGCTCGCCATGCGCGCCGTCGCCATAACGGACAGCACGGAAATCCAGGCATTGCAGCCAAAACAGCAGATGACCTGGGGAGGCGTCGTACCCTACGGATGCCGACGTCTCATACTCATCGCTGGCGGTTCCTACCTTCTCATGGACAGTCCCGCGGTCGGCATTCAGTTATTACGACTCGGGCGCGCAGGACCGGAACTTGTCGACGCGATTCCCAAGCGCAGGCGCGATGGTGGAGGCGATGTCATCGCTCTCCCGAACCTCATGGACTACTGCATTGTAGGCGATGGACGGGTACTACGTCTAGCCATCTCCACGTTAAATCCGTGAGTACCTACTACATTCGTTCTTCCTCGCATTGACTTGGCGACAGGACCCCGGATACTGCCTTCGAAGTCAACATCTACGACATCGAACCTGAGGCGCCTAATGCCACCTTCGTGATTATCGCGCGAACGCATGACCTCGGGGGCATACTGAACCCACATAACTCGAGGTGGTGCCTCTGCGATACGCGCCTTGCTGTCTGTGACTATGGCTATGCACTGCTCTGGGATTTTCTGCAAGATACGCGCATGATATGGGGCCACAGACCGATACAGCATGGCGAAATGGTGCATTTTGAACCTTTCGCTTCTGCTCACCCATGTATACTCACGCTCACGACTTTAGCGACTAAATATCTTCGGTGACCGCGTTGCCATTATGTCCTGGAGAAATCATGCCACTGCTACAAGACTTGCTATATACGCGCCGCCTGCCGGTCACGGGCCCCATACCTTCTGCGACCTCGAGCCAAGCTACGAGCTCACTGTCCCACCCGGCGTGCATATCCATCATTCCGAGCACATCGCGGCTGACGGAAGCTTCACGTTCCACATCCACCGGACCTTCGCCGTCGACGACAATCTCCGCACACATACGCTACGAGAAGGGCGAGCGTCAACCTTGACAGCAGATCGCTCGATCGGCAAGGACGTCTGGCGAGCATATCGTCCGGGACTGAACGCCATGGTGCACTGTGCTGGAGGGCATGTCAGTACTGAGGCCCTCCGCGAGGGCGGACGACAGGTGCAGTTCATCTGGTCCCGCCCGGAACTCAACAGCGAGCTCTTGGGCACGGTGACACTGGAGTATCTGTCTTCGCGAGCTACAGACCGATGTTCCTTCGACCCCGCTTCGGGCAGGATGTGCACGGTCAAGGACGACGGCTCGCTGGTCGTACTAGACTACCTATGAACAAGACTCAGACTTCGGCGTACACCATACCACCGCTGCGATGTCTTATTTATCTGAGTTCACTCCATGACGGTTCGATAGAAGAATTCATTGTAGGTACACGCAAGGACTCCCAATTCGCAAGACGAAGATAGTACAAATCATACGCAATACAGATGAGACCGATTCTGAACGTAGTGACAACACCCACCCACGACGGGGACGACGAGGAACAATGCCAGGTACTAGTACAAGCCGGATCGTGGACGTAAACGACGAGTGCTCGAGGCAGGAAAGGAAGGGCGCTGGGTAGGAATCCGCGGATGAGTGCGTCATGTACATGTTGCGTTACGTATCGATTCAGAGCAGCAAGATGGGACCGGACTATGACACAGGAATGGGAAGGCAGTCAAGTCGAAGACGATAAGCATGAGTATTGACGCCAGCGAGGGGCAAGGTCCGTCAGAAAGGGGAGAGAGGAGGGGGAGTCCAGCGCCTAGTAGCCGCCGGAGCCACCGTAGCCGCCGGACTGGCCGCCGTAGCCACCTTCTGGACTAGTCAGCAAGGGCTAGTGCGGTAATAGCTATCCATGCTCACCTTGCTGATAGCCACCGCCACCGTAACCGCCCTGGCTGGCACCGTAGCCGCCGCTGCCGCCACCACCGTAGCTGCCGCTGCCGCCGCCGTAGCCGCCGCTACCACCGTAGCCACCTCCACCCTGGTAGCCTCCACCACCGTAGCCGCCGCTGCCACCGCCGTAGCCACCGCCGCCTATAGGACATGAGCATAAACAAGGTGAACGTCGCGAAATGCAGTACTTTGCCCACCGTAGCCTCCACCGCCGTAGCCTGCACAGAGTCAGATCGAGGCCGATCACATGCGATCGGAAGACGTACCACCACCGCCGCCTCCGCCGCCGCGAGCGTTGGCGAGGTTGACCTTGATGCGACGGCCGTCGAGCTCCTGCTCGTTGAGGCTGCTTATGGCCGACTCGGCCTCACCGGACGAGGAGAAGGTGACGAAGCCGAAGCCGCGGGAGCGACCAGTCTCGCGATCGCGCATCACAATGGACTGAGGGAGGCACAAGCATGATCAGATCGGCAACCAAAATGAAGGGGGTGTACAGCGAGGCAGATCAGCCTCGTGTATGCGGGGAACATGGGGGGAGGGAGGGATGCATCTGACGCCCATGCAGCACAACATCGTTCAGGAGAGAGGGATACGAGATCGGGGAACGGCGAGACGAAACGACGCGTACATCGAGGACCTGGCCAAAGTTGGAGAAAGCCTATATTGTCAAACGAACAACGATTGGTAAGGACATGCGAGGCGCTGCGTAGGACGAACTTGGCGCAGGGTATCATCGGTCGTGTTCCAGCTCAGGTTACTACAGGCAAACAATCAGTCGAGCGAGCTCCCCCTCGCGGGGGACGGGCGCGCCGGTGAGCGCTGAGCACGAGAGGATCACGAACCCGACGTAAACTTTTGTAGACATGATGGCGATTCAATAATATATAGCGGAACTGATCCCAGTAAAACAATGGAAAACCAGAGAGACGGAAACCCGGAAACGAAACGCGGCCGAGAGAGGACACTGGTTGGGAACAAGGAGTTGGGGGAAAAACGCTGCCCTCGTCCGTCCTTATATCCCCCCGATCTAAAATTTCAAACTCAGCTGCCCCAACGGGTGACTAAGACTGCCTGATGTGGCGCAATTGCCAACGCTCCGTCCGTCCCGCCGCCAGGGACACCCCGGCTGCGGCGCGCACGGTTCGGTTCACCCTCAAATCAGGCTGTCAAACTCCATTGCAATCGAGAAGATCCGGTAAACCAGTGCAGGAAAGAAAAACAACAAACAGTGTAGGTGCAACAGTATGTGGATGGGGGGACGGGGGAGGTACTCGAACCGACGGTGTTCAGCGTACACGGAAAGGACTATGCTACTACTAGAACCTGCAGAGCAAGTGTAGATGTGTGCCAATGTATGTACAGTGGAAAGGACTCATTGCTAGGGTAGATGGGAGGCATAACGGGGCGTGAAACAAAACATGAGGTCGTAAACAGGACGGCGAGCGCGACGGTGCGCCTCGTCGTCGAAGGACAGGGAGGGCCCTACAGCGTGCTCTGGCGCTTGGCCTCCTTCTTCTCTTTCTTGTCCTTCTTCTCCTTCTTGATGATCTTTTTCCTCTCCTTCTGGTTGAGGCTGCCCGCCGGGCTCTCCGTGTCCGAGCGCACAGACGGACCCTCGTCCGTCGAGCCGCGCGGCGAGTTCGTGCTCTCGTTGCGCTTGAGCGTCGGGATGATGCTGGTCGTGCCGCGGCGCGTCGTAATCGAGATACGACGGGCCATCCGCTGGAAGTTCTGCGACGAGATCCGCTTGCGCTTGGGCTCAGCATCCGGGTCGGGCGTGTCCGTGCGCGAGGGCGTGTTATCGACGGTCGGGTCGAACGTCACCCCAGGCGTCGACGTGGCGGCTGCCGCCGGCGCCGCCTCGCTCTGGGCCTGCGAGGCGGTGTCGTCCGAGCCAGGGAACGCGACCGGCGCAGGTGCCTCCCCGGCAGAAGCCTCGGGCGCATGCGCTACGCTCTCTGCGTCGGCCGAAGGGAACGCAACCGGGGCGCTGACCTCCGCATCCTTGGGCGGAACCTCAGGGGCAGCAGTAGACGCACCCTCAGAAGGCTGGTCATGTGCGACGAGTTCGTCCTGCGGTTCGCTCGGTGCCGTATGATGCGAGGGCGCGCTCGGTTCACCCGCTGGCTCGGGCGCAGTAGCGTCGGTGCTCGCAGCGGGCTCCTCGTGAGTCGTCGTTGGCTGGGGCTGCTCCTCCTGCTCCACGTCGTAGCCAGGCTCCTCCTTCGACTTCAGGTCCTTGATGTCAATCGTGACCTCATGGTCCGTCTCCGAAGCAGCAACCTGGTCCGCCCACATAGAGGCAAAGACGCCATCCTGCGCTATGAGCTCCTTGAAATTGCCCTGCTCGACGATTTGCCCGTTCTTGAGAACCAGGATCCTAGTAAAGCGTCAGCTGAGCACCCCAGAACGACGGCCGCTATACGCACACATCCGCATTCGCGATGGTCTATGAAAGCCGGGGTAAGAATCCTCCTCAATCATGATCGTGCGAAATGAACTTACCGAGAGACGGTGGGCAATCGACAGCGAGGAACGGCCAACCATCAGGTTCTGAAGCGCATTCTGGATATCCTTCTCGGTCGAAGTATCAAGGGCACTGGTAACGGCATCCCGTGAGCAGTGCAACCTCCCACGGCCGTCCGCATCTACATACCTCGTAGCCTCATCAAGCAGCAGGATGGGAGGGTTCTTGAGGAGCGTGCGGGCAATAGCAATTCTCTGCTTCTCGCCGCCAGATAGACGCACACCACGCTCGCCAACCTTGGTGTCATAACCATCAGGGAAGGACAGGATGCGGTCATGCATCTGAGCCGACGCGGCAGCTGCCTCAACTTCCTCCATCGAAGCCCCGAACTTGCCGTAGCTAAACAGTCCTCGTGAGTCCACTGCTCTATCTTATCGTCGCGCCGCAGTCCACGTACCTGATGTTGTACGCGATGCTCGAGTTGAAGAGGACTGTATCCTGAGGCACCACGCCGATAGCGCTGCGCAGGCTCTTCTGAGTTACGTCCCGGATGTCCTGGCCGTCGATGGTAATGCTCCCATCACCAGGAGCCAGGTCATAAAAGCGGTAGAGCAGGCGGAGGATGGTCGATTTGCCCGAACCGGAGTCGCCGACGAGCGCAACTGACGAGCCCTTCGGCACCTTGAATGACACACCGCGCAGGGCAGTCGTGCGGCCATCGTACGAGAAGTTGACGTCCTCTGCAAGCGACGGTTAGTCGCCGTCCACGCAAAGTCTAAGCCGCGATACGTACTGAATTCGATCTCCCCATTCTCCACGACGAGATCCTTGGCGTCCGGCTTGTCGTTGACGTCAGTCGGCTCGTTGAGCAGGTTGAGCAACTTCTCGGTGTCCACGAGCGACTGGTTCATTGCGCGGTAGGTCGTGCCGAGCATGTTGAGCGGGCCATAGAGCTGGGTGAGGTAGGTGATGAAGATGATGAAGTCACCCGTGCTGGACTGGCCGCGGGTGACGCGCAACGCAACGATAAGAGACCCAATGAGCAGGCCAAGCGAGATGATCAAGTTCTGCACCAGGTTGAGCAGATTCAGGGAGACTGGTGGCGGTCAGCAAGCGATACGGCACGGGGAATAGGTACACGTACTGATGACCTGGTACTCGAGAGCCTGGTACTTGTTGATGGACTTGCGATAGCGCTCGCCTTCGTGCTCCTCGCCGCCGAAGTACTTCACCGTCTCGTAGTTGAGCAGACAATCGGTGTGAATGCCACGGGTTTTCTGAATACACCTTTAGCATGATGCTCTACTATACCATAGCGATTGAAACATACGATATCACGTTCGTTCATGCGGCGCCTAAGCTTAGTGCGCCACTGGGTCATGACGATGCTCGCATACCCTGCGATTGAATCTTTAGCGGCGCTCAAAGCTCAAGATCAGGACAACTCACCGTATGCAAACATAACGACGAATATAACTACAGTCAGCGTCCACTCAAACTTGGTGGCGAAGACGACGAGGGCGATAACAATGTCCAAAAAGATGGGTACAAAATTGAACAGGATCAACTGGAAGGCCATGTTAGCGGCAGCTCAAGTAAAAAGTTGTATGCGCATACCTCAAGGGTGCGGTTGATGGCAGCACCGCGGTCTAGTACACGCAGAATCTCGCCGGTCTTGCGGCGTGTGTGGAAAGCGAAGGAAAGGTTTAGAAGGTGGTCGAAAGCCAACTGGGACATCTCCCTGTCGGAGTACTGCATGACGGGAGCCCAAAGCGTCTACAAGCGTGATCAGATACGGAAAGCTACACAGGTAGTGCGAACGTACATCACGAAGAGCAGCCAGGCCACCGCTGCCAGCCAGGAACCTGAGACCGACATATCCGAAAAGGATGGGCCATGGCGAGCGGGTAGAGGTACCCTCGAAGATGTTGACGAGCTCTCCGAGCGCGAAGGGAATGCCGAAGTTGACGACACGACCGATGAGAAGAACGATGATGCAAAGGAGCTGGAAGAAGTCATGTCAGCTGCGCACGATCTACATTTCGACTGAACGGGCACATACAGCAACCAGCTGCAGCGAAGAGCTCTTGGATGGCCAGAGGTAGGGAGAGATGCGCTTCATCCGCTGCCAAAGCTCACCCCATGTCGGCTCGGGCGTGACATCGGGTTTTGCTTCCTGATGGAAATGAGGCGCGTCAAAAGAAGTCGTGTGCCGGATCAGCGATGGTGCTTACCGTCTTGGAAGCCGTCTGGGACGCAGCCTGAGACGGTGCTGGAGATGCCGAGCGTGTCGGTGGCGCCGTCTGTGTGCCCGACGAGATAGAGGACCGGAAAGTCCCGTACTTGCTCGACGGGACACCCAAATGGGCGACCGGCGACATGCCACTAGAGGCGTGCGCATCGGACCCAGGAGGCAGAAGGAACGAGGAATCCGTGGGCTGCTCCTCAACATCCGCCTCCGACGGTACCGGGGTGTAGACGACGCGCGGCACAAGGAAGGCCCAGAGCAGAGGCAAAAGGACGAGGATGCGGAAGACAGGGAAGACGAGGTGCAGGAGCCCACGGATGGAGACATGAGTGGCAGGGGCTGGAGCGTAACTATGTGAGCAACGATCAAAGGCTAAGAGATAATCGATGCTCACCGTCCTGGTAGCTCTGAGTGTAGAAGCCCAGGATTATCACCTGGGCAACGTCGATGGCAAAAGCAAGCGCGACGGCCAGCCGCAGACGCTTCAGAGACCAGACCTCGACACCCTGCACGTCTTTCCACGCGCCCACCGCCGCGGTACCAGCGTAGGCCACGAGACCCACGACTGCGCCAATCTCAATCCCGGTCATGTAAGGCCATTGCTTCTGGAGCACGGCATAGACGACGAAGACCAGACCATCCGCAAGGTAGGTCAGTGCAGCAAGGGAAAGAAGGGTGAGGATAAGGCCGCGACGCGGGATAGTGGAGGCGACAACGACGGGCACGATACCGGAGTCAGTGGCTGGCGCGGAGGGCTTCGCGAACAAGAGCGACGCGGCCGCGATGAGGACGGTTGCGGGCGATACGATCCTGAGCACGAAGAGCGCGAGCTGGAGCGCGTGCGAGGCCATGGCGTCCGAGTCCGCGGCGGCGCCTGGGTTCGCTGCTCGTTGATGGTCAAGAGGAAGAGTGTGCGAGCTCAAAATTCGAATTTCCGCGCCTCAGGACACCGCCCAGGCCGTGACGTCTCCGATCACTGATGTCGACATATGTTGCCCTTTTGCTCCGGGCTTTTTGTTTTCGACATGTAATTCTCCTCGAGGCACGCTCCTCGCCTGCACACAGCGCAAGTAATAAAATGAAGTAGTACCTAGCCTACACCTGCCGCGGCGGGCGCAGAAGGAGCCTGCACAGTCATATGTACACCGACGTTCCCCCGCCAAGCTTTCTCTGATTTCCTTCACTGCGCCAGCCCCTTCTCCGCGTCCTCCAGCCTGCTTCGCACATCCTCCACCTTCCGCCCTATCGCGGCCGTCTCGTCCCGGTTGTGAAGTTTAAGCGCTTTCCTCGCCTCCGCCACGAATTCGTATGATTGCGCGAGGGACTGCATGACCTCCTCGTCCTCGTGTTTGCCATCCCCTGTCTCCACTAGACCAGAGGCCAGCAGATCCTTCGACGACGCGCGCAGGAGCGCGAGGTCACGCAGCGTGTCGCTCAGCGCAAGTGGCTGCCTGTCTTTGGCCTTTCCGGACATCGCTAAGCTCAGCTGATTCCTTGCGGCAGTGGAGGTTCAGAGCAGAGTGGGCCTGCGGTGGCGCGCGCTTACCCTTGCGGTGGCTTATCAGAACGGAATCGGTATGGAGCGCATATAGATGGATCAGACACTTGCCGATCCACGAGGTAGCTAGAAGAACGCCTCCAGCGATAGCCGGATTCTGAACAAGGAAGAATGGGATCGACACTGCTCCAGTCAGGAGCCCAACAGGCATCGAAATCCCGAACCGTCACGCTCACGTGAGCGCGATGCTCAACTTCAGCCAAAGGCAGACAAGCGCCGCGCGAAGAAGATGTCGGTCTCTAGCGCCGCCTCAAGTTCGGGGAGAATATTCAAACTCGGCCTTCTATTGCCCCTCGAAAATACGCGTCCCTGCATCGGAGGCCGAGGCAACGTCGGCTAACCTGTCCTGCCCGTTGCAACGCGCACCGCCAAATAATCCAGAGTGCGATCTTGGAAGGTTCGTGTGAGTCAATCCACGTCTCAAAGATCACGATCGCTTCGCCTTTATTCCTGCATATGCTTGGCTACATTTTCGCTCGCGCTTTCGGCTTCCTTTCTACGTATCGCGGCCTTCTTACGCACGGCCCTCTTTTCTTCGAACGTCTCGCCAAGCAAACATGCCACGCCGCGTTCGAGCAACATTCAAGAACCCAAGAAAAACATGCACATTATGATACAAGATATGGTGTGGATGAGCGAGACGCGTACGTGAGGGTGCGAAGTCCTGGATATGCAGGATGAAGAAGGTATATAACGAAGCATGCAGATAATAGGTACGTAGGTGATAGGGATGCGGCGGCGATGGACGGAGAACGCAGATGCAGGTGTGCATCAGATGGGGGGACAAAACAAATAACAGTACTTACATGAGAAAGCATAGTTGGCTATCAGTGGACTGCGATGAAGGTGTTTGTGATAGTGGAGGATGACAGCGAATGAGGCAAAGTCAAAGGACGAAGCAAGGGATCAAGGGCCCCGAACGGGTGAGGTCGCGTACATAAACATATCCAGTGGGTCGTCAGAAGATGGATGTGCCGGTCTCGCATCTTCCAGCGGGTCCTCCTCGTCGAACGCCTCCTGCACGTCCGCGCCAAACACATCAAGGTCGTCCGACGACATGATGCTAGGACTCCAACGGTGGTTTTCGTGTCGACGATCGCTCGCACTCTTTCCGTAGACGAGATCCATCGGTTGCAAACCCTGTATTCGCGCCGGCAGCGACGCCCTAGCAGGTTTTCGAGGTTGAGGCGTGTGTACCGTCGTCATATTGACCAAGGCTGAGGACAATATCGACGAGAACCGTCTCCGTGGCGTGCAGACCAGCCGCTCGTCGCGGGTCGGCAGGGGCTCCTCGTCGTCTTCGTCCTCGCCCTCCGTATCCGACGAGGCCCGGAAGCGGACCACCTTCTTGTTCTCCCTGCCCCGGCTTCGACTCCGGGCAGGCGAGTCGGCGCCATAATGTACGCTCGGCCGCTTTTCGTGCGACACCTTCGCCGCTGGCTGGCTCACATGCACCCGCTTCACCCTCTTCCGCGCCGGGCGCGAGTCGTCCCAGCAGTCCACCATATTCTCCCTCGCCCATTCGTCCCTGGACATCCCGCCCCGACACCGCGTCTCCGCCTCGTCCGCAAGCGCAACAAGCTGCTCACGCCACCGATGCACTTCCTCCCCGCTGCTCCGCTTCACCGCCGCGCCCTCCGACGACGGCCGCTCGACCTCGCGCAGGACGCCGCCCCAGAGCATCGCTTCCGCGTGCACGAGGCCATGGCGCCAGAGGACCTCTGCGCGTGCGCTGAACACGTCGGAGACGCGCTGCAGCCAGTCGACGGGCCCGAGGAGGTCCGCGAAGGCGCGGTCGGTGAAGGGCATGGCGATGACGGGCTGGAAGGCGTCCTGGGCGGGTGTGATGCGCCGGATGAGGGAGCAAACGGCGTCGAGGTCGGACTTGGAGGCGCGCGCGTGCTGCGCGACGAGCCACTCCATCGCGAGGCAGAGCACGTCCTGCGGGACGGTCGAGCCGGCCCGACAGTGCAGCAACATCGGGCGGACGAGGCGCAGAAACTCGCGGACGGTGCAGTAGTCGCTGTCGTCGCCGAGGATGGTGGTGGATGTCGTGGATCTGCGGAAGCAGTAGCGCTTCGCGAGCAGCAGCCAGCCGTGCAGTTGAGTCTCCAGGGCTTGTGTAATAGCATCGTCGCGGGCAAAGTGTTTGGGATTGCAGATGTGGTGTATCAGACCGGCGGAGAGGTCCAGGAAAGCGGAGAGGGAGGGTCGCCAGATCTCGCGCGCCAGCTTGTCCATTGCTCTTGAGGTCCACACGTCAGACGCTGTGTCCTCGTCCATCACGTCCAAGAGTGCGTGAACGAACATGTCGTGCGATCGGCCGACGGAGGGAGCTGTCCACCGCCGTAGCAGATCCACCAGAAACAAAGTATGCGCTGGATGAAGGAGTGACGCAGGGCCTGCCCGCCTCGGCCTGACAGTTTGATGGAGCAGCAATCGAAGGACGTCTGGGGCCTCGCAGACTAGTCCGTGGGCCAGGGTCGTTTCAAGTAGTATAAAGAGCAGAGTGGGGTGATATGGGCATTGCGTACGGATGATATCCAGCGCTTGCGAGCGGATAGCCGCTCTGCGAAGCGTACGTCAGTGGGGACCAAGGTTGGACAAGAAAGGGAACGCACCGGCGGTAGGGTGGCGGAATAGCCTCGTAGATCTCGTCCCGCTCTTCGTTCCAGTCAAGAGCATCATCTCCGTCCTCTGGCTGATACTCCAGTCCCCGTCCTGCCACCGCGGCGCACATATCCGCCAGTGTCATGACGCGCGGAGCTGGTGCCTCGTCGTCTCGTGTCCGCGTCAACACGCTGTTGTACGCGTCCCGCACAGCGTAAATCTTCCTCGACAGCTCGCGCTGCTCGCACAAGCTGCGATCGTAGTACGCGCGGGAGTCGGGCGGCGGGAGAACGGACAAGGGCGGGCTCGTACTGGTTGGTCGAGAGGAATAGGTGGCAGAGACGCCACCGCTGCGCTCGCTGGAACAGGCGGCGAGAGACTTGCAGCTAGTGCGCAAACTTCTGAGCGAGATCTCTGAGGGCGCCATCGGAGGAGACTCTCGACGAAGCAGCAGTGACGGTGAGATCCGATGTATTCGAACCTCAAGCGCCCGTCGGCGGAAACAAGTAACGTGACCGCATTCTATTTCGGCCCGCTGTCCCGACACCACAAGCGCCCATGATCACCTCATATCTTCCCCCTATTTTTCTGCACGCGGGGCGTACTTGGGGGCACCGTGGTCGATGTCTGCGACCGCGCGATAGTAGAAAGCCTGTTCCCCGCTCTGATTGTTTGGAAGTATTCCGATACTCTCCTGAGACGTGGGTTCATATCAGCCACCACCGCACTGAGCTCGAGCTCCGAATCCATATCCGAAATGCCACTGCCTGTCACGAATTCCGAAATGCTTAGAACGTATAAGAGAATCGCCTCCGCCCCACTCCCCTCAGCACTCTTGCCTCCGCCCCCCATCTCCCCCTCACCATGAGTACCCAGTGCGCCAGCCAGAAGAGGTCCTGGTCATATGTCGTTCGGTATGTTATGAACTACTGTTGGCGCTCCTCGATCACTGACCACAGTGCTTCACCAGCAACTTCACGCCAGCATGGTTTGCCGCAAATATGGGGACTGGCGCCATCTCCATCTTGTTCCACTCGTTCCCCTACGCGAACGGGTCGACGACCATGAACATCTTCACGCTGATTTTCTTCGGCCTGAACGTCCTTATGTTTCTGGTCTTCTCCGCTATTTCGGCTGCACGATACCTGCTGTTCCCTGGCGTGTGGTCGCTCATGATCCACCACCCCGTGCAGTCTCTCTTCCTCGGGACGTTCCCCATGGGTGAGCGCAATTTTCCTCCATCGTCGGTCGAGTCAGTGGCACTGACGTCACTCCCATTTCAGGCGCCGCGACGATTCTAAACATCGCCGTGCTCACCGTCTATGAGCAGTATGGCATGGGCGGAAAGGCCTTCCTCTACTTCCTCTGGGCCTGCTGGTGGCTCGACGTCCTCGTCTCGATAGCTATCTGCTTCCTCATGATTCATGTAATGTAAGTTTTCTCGATGCGTTACCATTCCGAATCCCTCTCCGAATGGTTGCCCACTCCGAATCCTTCGTCACCCCTTCGCCTTCTATCTTGCCCGGTGCATGCTGCTTGATACTGATACCACCCGCTCCAGGTCCACGGCGCATAACCATGCCCTCGACAAGATGACGGCCGTGTGGCTGCTCCCTGTGGTCACCCTCATCGTCGCCTCGTCGACGGGCGGCGTCATCGCGCCGTCGCTCTACGCGTACTCGGCCTCGCATGCGCTTATCACTGTCACTCTGTCGGCGGTTATAGTGGCCATAGGGCTCACTCTGGCCCTCATGATGCTCGTCATCTATCTCATGAGGCTCATCGTGCACGGTCTGCCGCCCACCGCAACCGTCATCTCGGTCTTCTTGCCCCTCGGTCCCACAGGTAATGTTACCGCTCGCTTCAGCAATGAACTATCCGCTGACGATAGATCTGCACACAGGCCAGGCTGCTTTCTCCATACTTACGCTCGGGCAGTGCTTCCGCCAGTTCTTGCCTGTGTACGACGGCACCTCCCAGCTTTTACGCTCGTCAGCAACAGGCGGCATTCTCGAGACGATATGCACCCTCATCGCCTTCGTCCTATGGGCGATGTGCACGATGTGGATGCTCTTCGCCTTTCTCAGCATTCAGAACGTCGCTCGAAAGGGGCCCATACCCTTCAAGGTCCCATTCTGGGGGCTTATCTTCCCGAATGTGCGTCCCCGTCTCTATTCACGCCCAGCCGCAAAGCTCACTGATGACTCCAGGGCGTCTACGCAAACATTACCATCAGCCTCGGCCAGACCTTCGACTCGGGCTTCTTCCGTGTCTGGGGCGCTATGTATGCGGCGCTGACGCTCTGCATGTGGTGTTACGTTGCATGGACGACCCTCAGGCTGGCGTACACGAGGGAGATCTTCGAGGCGCCGTGCCTCGAGAATGTCAACATCCGCCGCCGGGGGCGCAGATCAGCGAAGACGCCGCGCGCGGACGAGCTAGACGAGCAGGGCTTGCCTGTGACGCCCCCTCGTAACTCGATCGACGCGGAGGCGCAGCGGTCGAACGCGACGGTGTGCGCAGTGGGCCATGAGTCCGCGGGGGTCTCGAACCTGGATCTGCGGCTCAGCACGATGGAGAAGGTACCCGGTGACGGAGAGAAGCGGACGTGCGAGGCTTGAATAGAGCGTTGGGATATGATTCGTACTCTATCATAGAGGGCCAGGGCGTAGACGGAAGGAACTTTTTTCTACATTTGTACGAGTATAATCACTCACGCTTGGAACCAGTAATAGGCATCGATAGAGTTCATAATATCCGGGAAGCGCTTGACCACACGAAGTATCTGGATCCAGAGATAGAAGTAGTCGTCCTTACTCTTTCGTGGAGGTGTGTGGGGCGCAAGTGGGCGCGCACTGCCGACAGTGGGTCCATGGCCTCCACGTGTTGGTGCTTTATTCTGCTTCCGCACATGACGCGCCGGAGCCGTGACCGCGGCGTGATCGCGTTTCTGTTTGTGCAAGTTGACGCGCGCCGATCGCGGAGAACAATGGGTCGGCAGCGAGCGGCACCGACCTCGTTGCGGTCACAGTCCCATGCCCAAAGGGGCTCCGGATAATTTTCTGGACGAAGTTCTGGTGTATCTGAGCGCATATCGGAGGTTGGAATGCTCATCTGAGAAACGGGGGACCGCCGGGCCTTGTCGAGAAGCCAACATGGGCGGCATCAGTGCTGTGGCCAGCTGTATTGTCCTATGCCTGGTCCATAAATCTTGCATGTTCTGTGGCACACCGCCGCCATACGGCTATTGTGGGACCTCCCAGAGAAGTAGTAGGCAGGTCTTTGCGTCGCATTGCCACAGAGGTATAAGAAGCATGGGTGTGGGCGGTGCCGGGCGTGACGTGACAAGGCCCCGCCTCGAGGTTCGTGGGGAATTGGCACTCGATCATCGTCTGCTCTTACCACCATCGTGTTCGCCGAGTTCCCAAGCGACGCTCGACGCCGCGCTCCCCCCGCCGCCGTCCCCGTCGCCGAACACGCGCGCCTGCGCCATCCGTCACGATGCCCGTCGACAAGACACGCAAACCCCCTCGCCAATCCGCCAACGACGTCAAGATCCCGCGTCCACCGAATGCATGGATCCTCTTCCGCTCCCACCAGTCCAAGGAGCGCAAGAAGAACCAGGACAACAACAACATCCACCAGCAGCCCGCGCAGTCCGTCATATCCGCAGAGATATCACGAATGTGGAAGGAGCTGAGTGTTGAAGACCGCCGATATTGGGAGCGCATGGCAGAACGCGAAGCCGACAGACACAAGAAGCTCCATCCCAACTACAAGTACCAGCCGCAGAAGAAGGAGGATAAGGAGAGGGAGCGGGAGCTGAAGAAGCAAGAGAAGGAGCAGGCGCGTCGGGAGCGCGATGCCGCTGCACGCGCCGCCAAGGGCAAAGGCCGACGAACATTGGCCGCGCCGCGCTGTGTCCCTTCCAATGCCCCCGTAGCATCTTTGCCCGTAGCCGTGCCGTACTACGTCCCAGGGTACATGCCAGGCTCCACGGATGCAGAGTTCGCGGGCTATGGCAATCTGGGACCGTCGCCGCCGGTCTCTGCGGCATCGTCGCCGGAGCCCGATCACGACTGGCCCGACGCATCCGCGTCCCCTGCTAGCTCGGGTCCTGCCCTCACGCCCCTCCCCACTCCCTATCACACGCCGCAGGTCGAGTCCGACGCGTCGTCGTCGACCTCCATCAGCCCCATCACATACCAACCACCACATGGCCAACCGCTGCCACCAACCGTCCCAATACCGGCTTTCAAGCCCGTCTATATCCCGCCACAGCCTATCCACCCCCAGCCTATCCAGACGCAGCGTGTGCCCAGCGGGGCTTCCTCGGCGCCTCCGCCCACACCGATGACGACGGGGTCCACGTTCGAGCAGGTGCAGCAGGAGTCGCGCCCACAGTCCACATTCGAGCACCAGCAGCCGGAGGATCCGATCCAACAATTGCATCGGCTGCAGCAGGCGATCCAGGAACAGCAACAACGTGAACAGCAGGCGTCAACTCCTGCTGTTACGCCTGCTCCCACGGACTGGCAACCACAGCAGCAATTACCACCAGCGTCTCATATGCCGCCTTCGCAGTCGGATTGGCACCAACAACAGCCCCGGGACATGTCCAACGGCTGGCAGCAGCCACCGCCCACGCCGCAATGGCAGGATAGTCCGGCCACGGAGCCTCCTCCGAGCGAGCCATCTGACTCGCAGACGGACATCTGGCCTAGTCAGTCGTCTGAGACTACCCAGGTAATTGAGCGCTCCGTCTATTATCACTCAGTGTTGATCCTCCATTCCAGGTTCAGGACTTCTTGACCTTCGACATGCCCGCGTCTGGCGAGGGCTGGCCGGTCAGCGATGACGGGTCTCAAGCATTCTCTCAAACGTTCACTATGGGTGATGTTGGGCAAAGTGGCATGCTCGGCGGACTCCGACTCGAGGGCACCGACCATCCCGAGATGTTCATGGTCCAGCCGGAGAACTGGGACCTCAATCCCGACTCGTTCGACCTAGCGAACTCCACGATCCCCATCCTGAACGGCTCGATGCTTGACTTCAGCTTTGGACTCCCGGAGAACTTGCCGGATGCGACCTCGCCGTCTACGAGCTACGCTGCGACACCCGCTACCGAGATGTACGCGACGCCCGGGGCCAACGCCGTCGCAGGGCCGTCCCGCCCCATGTCCGCAATGCCCTACGAAGAGCAGCCATCGGGCAGCGCAGGATCCGACCCCATGTACATGGACTACCGCTATGGCGACGAGTTCATCAACTACGACGGCGGCGCAGGCCCCTCGTCTCGCCCTGCTCCGGCGCATTCGCAATCTACGCCGGTTGTACCTCAGGCTTCTGAGGCGTCGCCAGCCCCTACTTATACTCCGCCGTCCGGCGCCCAGTTTGCGGGCGTTCGGCGTGTTGGAGGCGCTTGGCGGCGACCTCGTCCTGCTGTAGAGCAGGAGGCGACGCCGTCCTGTGGCGTGCCCGCCAACTAAGTATGCTATGCTATGCATGAATATGACGCGCTCGTATGTGTTATCAAAGGTGAGCACTATCCCTGTCATTGGCGGATTAATCGTCCTGACCCATGATCGCTCAGGAAACCGTTCACGACGCATTGTAACGCCAACCCCAGGAACGCTATTCGTATGGACAATGTGCCGTTTTCGCTTTCGCCAGTCGCCGCTCTAGATTGTTTTTTTTCCTCGCTCGCATCGCCGGTATTTATCGCTATCCCTCCCGTGTCGTTTATCGTCGCTCTCCAAAACCGAACCCAACCTCGTCACTAATAATCCAAACCCACTCACGACGACCTCACGACATAACCGCTTTTTGTGTGGACCCTTCCCTCGGTGCTTCTGGTGCTTGGTCGTTATTGCTCATCCGATTTGCTCGTCCGTGCGCCTCTGCGAGGCAGCGCTCTTTATCCTCTATACTCATATCGCTGCTGTCCACTGCTCATGCCCTTGTACCTCGCCCTTACGACTCACTCATCTCCGCCGCATATGCTGTCCATCTATATCGGCGCACCCCTCACGAAGGTTGCTGTCGTAATCTCTGTCTCCATTTACAGTAATCTCCCTCTTCTCGTACATATCTCCTTTGGTCCTCTTTACTCTTTATTCGCTCTGTTTCTCTTGCAGTACGTATCGCCCTTGTACAATCGCATAGTCCGAACAAGACTGAAATCGCTTCTGCTAGCTCCCTCTGTAGGCAGTGTACCGGGTCCTTTATGAGACCCAATTTGACTTATTCGAATGTCGCTCCGGGTCGTGCTGCCCGATGCCAGTACCCCGCGGGAGAAGCAATACACGATGCGCGCTCGAATCGTCAAATCATACCCTCGATCTGCAGACGCATCTCGGACGGAGGCGAGGACAATGGGCGTCGACTCGAGTGGCGGTGCCTTTGGTGTGACTTGTTTGCCACGTGTCACAGTTCAACTCATTGTCCGCCTCATCGGGATGCGTGTGACGCCCATTGTTCGTGACGGATGCCGACATGATCTCTCACGGAATGTCCGCTCGATACTAGAGGGTGTGAAGCTACAGATCAGCGGGTGTGAAGCCATCGGCTCGTGGTCGACGCAGCAATGAAGCATCGACGGCAGTCTAGAGGCGGAAGGTGTCACTCCAGGCACGAGGATGACTGGGGTGGGGTTTCTGGTTTTCAATCAAGCCTTGGAGCAGGCGCTTCCAGTGCCACAAGCGAGTACTCACTACGGAAGACGTCGCCTCGTGAGGACGAGAAAGCTTCCACAGATCCCTGATTACATTTCCCGTGTTGCTAAGCCTACAACCCATGTAAATTATCCTTAATTTACACTACATATACCCAGTCCTTGAACACGGTCCATTTTGCGACTTGGTCGCTTAGTGCGTGGCGCATATGCTTCGTCGCCCAGTACATAGGCATCCCCGCCTAGTACATGAGGTTGCCAACCGCCGACGGGCCTCCAGAGTTGGTGTACAAGCACGAACCCGTGCCGACGTTCGTGACCGCGCCGCCGTCATTCGCCTGCAACAGGGCGGGCGACGTGGCGACGAAGGGGAAGTAGAGCTCGACCCAGCTCTGGGAGTCGAGCCAGGCGAAGGCCTGCTTGAAGAAGTTCACCCTGCAATCCTCATGTCAGAAATTTCGTAGTCCAGGCGAAGACGCGGAACTCACTGAGCAGTCTGGCCACCGGACGGGTTGGCGAGGGCGAACTCGGAGATGACGACCTTGTAGTTCTAGTGGTGATGGCGTAAGTACTTGCAGACACTGCGATTAGAGAGAAGCTTACAGGGAAACGGTTGTGCGCGTTCGTGACGTGAGACTGGAAGCCGCTGAAGTCGTTGCCGTACCAGTGCTACAGAGGCGTTAGATCCCAGCCGCAACCCTGTGATCAAGATACCTACGAGGTTAATGTAGTCGCCGTAGCAGCCACCGCCGCACGAATTGAGGAAGTTCTGGAGCCAGTCAAGGCCCATGCCGCTGTTCGTGCTGGACGTAACGGCCGGGAACGCCTTCTTGATAGCCAAGGGGTTGATGTGCTGCTTGTACCAGTCCGCGGCGCTGGCAGCGCTGATGCCGTTAAGGTCGGGCTCGTTCAGGGAGAAGACGGCTAGGCGCATGTTAGCGCCAGACGATGGTTGTAAAGGAAAGAAGTGTACGCACTAGCCCATCCTTGCGCCTTTTGGCGGGCGGCGAGCTCGCCGACGGGGCTGGACGAGCAGTCCCAGCAGCCCTGCATGCCGATGAAGCCGAGACCGCCGTTGCCGTTGGTGGAGGGGGGAGCGTAGGTCTCCCAGTCGTAGCTGGCGATGAATGAGTACGCTGACCTTCCCTCAAGTGTGAACACTTACATAGCGACGACCTGGCCCTGGCCGTTGTTGAGCACGCCCGGGTCGAGCTGGCCGTTGTCTGTGTAAAAGATCGTCCAGCGTCAGCACGGATATGCAGAATGAAAGGTGCTGTCCACATACACCATGGCCACGCCAAACCACGCTTGCCAGCGGAGACAGCGGAGGCGCACAGGGCGACGAAAGCAAGGGCTTGGAACATGTTTGATGAGTTAGAAAACGTCGAGAGACGATGGCTCTCCAGGTCAGTCCTACGGGTCTTTTATACGAGCCTCCATAGTCCCGCACAGGCACCGCTGCAGCCCATCGCCCGTGGCTGCTCGCGATCCCGAACCTGTGCCATGCGCCCGCGTCTGCGCGCCCGCACTCCGAGGAACGCTCAATAAAATGGAGGGCGAAGCAGGCCAGGCCCCCGCATGCCATGGAAATCTCGAGACTGGGCTTGCAGGGGGAGGGGAGGCGTTTGTACCTGAGGAGAGGGACTGCGAGGTCATTGGGGGCGAGCGAGGACGAAACGGAGGGTAGGGGATCGGGGTTGGGAGAGATGCCACTGGGCAGATCATCACGGTTCTATCGCACCAGAACCTCTTCAGTCGACAGTTTATGGCACCTCGACTCGCTGATGATCCACGAAAGACAGCGCAGTCGAGCGATGGCAATTCTAGCTCGCCCTTCGCAGGACGTGCCACCTCGCCGGGGTACAGTTGGCGCATGCAGGACTCGAAGCTGCCGAGTTCAGTCAGAACATTCCGTACTTCCCGGTCAGAACCTAAGAGTAATAGCAGGACGTTTCATGGATGGACGCAGATCATGGTGCGCCTCGGTGCCTGCGGTCATTGAGCCTTGGGGTCTGACAGACATCAACGAGCTGTATAGTCTGATCAGCGTCCAGTAGCGCCGGGCGTCAGCAGGCGCCTAGCCCGGGTTCAAGCAGCATAGGCGGTTCTCTGAGCGCAAGTCGCATGATGAGGGCGAGAAGAGGGTGCATATTTGTGCCTGTTTGACGAGAGGTCATGCATGTTCGACTCCAGACTACCCAAAACCTACCGCTACTTATGGCCATCGTTCCCATTCATCAGTTGGGTGGCAGATGTTATACCTCGCTCACGTCTGCCAGAGTCTGGTCTACTTTGCTCAGAAGCTAGATTCTACCAGGCTAGTACTCACCTTCGAGCCCCGAGCTGACATCGATCCGTCGATCCCGGCAGTCTTCACTTGTAGTCCAACGTTCCAGAGTATAACCCAAGCTGCATCGTGCATGTATCTATATGTACAGATGTATGTGCGTCGTTATAGTCATTCAACCAGGCCAAGCATCGCCCGCGGCATGCCCTTCTCTATAGCCCCATCTACATTCCACTTTCCCTCCTTTCCTCCCCTCCATCCACACCGCACCTACGTGCAGTCGCTATCGCTCGTATTGCTACTATCGCTCTCATCATGCCCCCACACCGCGAACGCCCGCCTCGCCGACCCCGGCTCCCTTGAGCGCGACCGCGACCTTGTCCTTCCGCGCATCCGCCCATGCAGCGCGCTCGCCATCGTCGGCGTCCGCGCATCGTCCACGTCGCGCTCCTTCGGTATCCGGCTCTTCCCGCTCATCGTCCGCCGCACGTGGATGTTGTCGCGGATACCCTCCCGCTCCGCCGCGCGGCCCTCAGGGTGGTGGTGCGCGTCGAGGTGGTGTGCGTAGTGGGGGTGGTGCGGATGGTGGTTGAGGTCGCCGTAGTCGCGAGGGGGCAGAGGCGTCGGGTGGGGCGGGGACCCAGTCGCGAACCGCGAGGGCGTCGACACGCCCGAGAAGTGCGCGGCTGAGTTGGGGCTCGTGCAGTTTGAGCAATTTGGTGTCCCGCAGTGCGCCTGTTGTTGCCGCTGCGCAGTGTCATCAAGGTTCTCCTTCGTCTTCTGCTGCCCGAGGTTGATGTGCTCGCTCGACATCGCGTTCGTGAGCGGAATCATCGTGGGGGGCTGCTTCGCCGCCTGCGCCTCGGGCGAAGAATCGTCGATATCGAAGGTGTCTTCCTCCTCGTCCGACTCATCATCACCCTTGACCGTCTCACTCGACGAGCCAGTGGCGTTGGCGGTAGCCTGCATGGTTCGTCGCCGGACCTTGTGGTGTGTGCTAGGCTCCTCTTCCACGACCACAAACGATTTCTGCCGCTCGCGCTCGTTCCATTTAAGCGTACGCGAGATGGCTTGGAACCAATCGGTGAACTGTTTGTCGGCACAAACAGTCGGAAACGGGTATTTCGACGCAGTGACCTTGATGTGGTCGCCCTCTGTCCGGTCGTTAGCTTTATAATTCAGTACCTGAAGTGCGAAGACTCACGCTTCAACTCGATACGCCCACGGCCATCGAACGAGGCCCATGCCGTGCTGCGAGAGTTGAAGGGTACGCAGATGCGTAATTCCATACTGTCGGGAAGGAGCATGGGACGGAAGGAGAGGGTGTGGGGGCAGATAGGAGTAAGGAGGAGGGCAGGGATTTCCGGATGGACGAGGGAGCCGCCAGCGGAGAGGGAGTAGGCAGTAGAGCCCGTCGGCGTCGCGACACACAAACCATCGGCTTGGACCGTTGTCATATGGTGCTCGTCGCCTGCACAAATGATTGGTTGGGTTCAGTCCAGTCCAAAACGCACGCACCGAAGAGCTCAAGCTGGCTAACGTATGGGCTTGGGCCACGGTCCACAACTAGATCGTTGAGGATTTCGAATGTTTCCACCGGCCGGGTCGTGAAGCATTTGATCTCCTTATCCTTGCTGTGCTTGTTCTCCACAGGTGTCGCTTGCCAACCCCCTTCCACTGCCTCCCAGCCTCCCTTCTCTACCTTCATCATGATCTCGCCCGTCGACGCCTTCTTGATCGCCTTCTTGTTCGTATCCGTCGCGCAGCTCTGCGCGCGGTAGACCGTGCAAGTAAAGCGCATGCGAAGGTTGACGCGAATGCCATTCTCAATGGCGTTATCCATGGTCTGTTGGTGTTCCGAGAAGTCAAAGTTGGTGAGGAAGCCGAGCGAGCCCAACGCGAACGAGAGCACGGGCGGCACGATGCGCTGGAACAACCAGGAGGTGAAGAGGACCGTGCCATCGCCGCCGAGCTGCAGTTACGGTTTGTCAGCGGGGGAAGGGAGTGATCGCGGGCGGACGACGCACAGTGACGACAAAGTCAAACAGGTGCGGGCTGTTGCTGCACATGTCGCTCGTCCAGTAGCGCAGCTGACCCTCCTCGGACGACGTCTGCTCCGAGCTAAGGGAGGTGAGCGACGTCATCGATGAGCGCGCGGACGAGAGCGAGCTGCTGCTCGACGCCCGCCGCTTGGGGTACGGGGCGAAGAGCTCGGGGTGGTCGCGCTGGATGCCCGCAGCATCGAAGCGGCGGGATGTGCGCAGCTGACTGTCAACGTAACTGGGGAACACGGGTTAGCACGCAGCGGGCGTTGCGATTGGGGTAGCAACTTGCACTACGAGGCCGCGCGGGGAACCCGCTCGCGGCTTAAGCATCAGGTAGAGCGCAAGGTCGCGCGTGAGCTTGATGAGCCGATTGTCGCGCGCCTTGGTGATAATGAGGACATTCTGTATGTTCGAGTGGATGCGCGCGCGCCCTGCGGGGTGGGGAACATGCTCAGTCAGCTTGGTCGGCTGCGTGCCGCACGCACGACGACGCACCGAGCTGCTTGCTCATCTCCCGCACGCCGACGGCGGTCTCCGCGAGCTGCTTCGTGAGGCTGCTCGAGTACTCCCCGTCGCTGTCCGAGTTCGAGTCGAGCGAGTCGGGCGAGAGGCGCGGCGCGGCGCCGTTGCCGCGATCGATGAGGCTCTTCGCGACGCCCACGTTCGCGTTGTCCCCGAAGGGCCGGCTGTGCTTGCGGAGCGCTTCCGCCAGGGTGTTGCCCGTGTCGAGGTGCGAGTGCACGAAGCAGGGCGAGTTGAGCGGGGGCTCCACGCGGGGGCTGCCCGCGGAGAGCCTGGCGCGGCTGGCCGGGACGACGGTCTGATCTCTCTGCTGCATCGACTGGGCCTGGGCCGGCGAGGTGCTCTCGTGGTTTGCGGTCGGTCTGGGAGAGTTTCTGTCCAGGACGATGTCGGACTTGAACCCGTTCGCTCCGTACGCGAGGTTCAGTGACGACGGGCGGCTGCTCCGGCGCGAGATCGACGGGCGCAAATCGTGGTCCACGTCGAATGGCGTCGTCGGCGGCGTCGAGAACGTCTCGTTCTCCGGGGACACGAGCGACTCCATCCTCGCGGCTAGTGTGTGTGCGGACGTCGTGGGGGTTTCTCGAGAGGCGCGTTGGCTAGGCACGGTACACGCCGAGTTTCAAACTCGAGGCCGTGGCGAGTGTGGCGGTCGCTGGTGAGTGCGGCGAACGCAGACGCGGAGGTCAGTCAGTGCGAGGCGTCCTCCGAGTAGACGGGCACTTTAGTATGTGTACAATGAAATCAGTGTATCGTCCAGACGACCGGCAGGCCGCGCAGGTTGCCGATCGGAGTGCGTCCGTCAACCTCAGGGCAGCAGCGACATTGGCCGTTAATATTACCCCTCACGACAATACCATCCCCTCAAGCAACGAGCATCAAGCAACAGTCTTCTCATTCGCTATATAGAGCTACAGTAGGCTACATCCTGATTGGGCAGCGATGCGAGGAGACGCACAGAGTACGAGTATACCTGCCCTCGTCCTCGTTGATCCCAGCTAGTAGAAGCTGACACTTTGCATTCGCGTTATGCAGTTCTGTCTCCCCTCTTGACCCATTGATAGACGGTTGGCATCCGAATCAATACGATCCAGCAAGGTGGCTGTTCCGTGTGCGCTTACCATCCGTCTTAGGTGGCATCGCGAATCGGCGCTGATGCTGATTGGTCCTTCAATCTCATCAGTAAACGCGCAAGCCAAGTACTTCGCAAACTCACCCTCCCGATCCCTTACCTCAGAAGAACACCGTATTCCTCTCCATGAACCTCGGTAAACGTCGATAGTCCACCCGATCCTTCGCCCCCGCCCACAACCACGCATCCAAGTCGGGCAGCGTCAATTGGTTGATCCACTTGAGGTCCTGCGGTACTTCAAGCTCGCGCGCAATCTTCACTGTAACCTCGCACGCATCGATGGCCGCGGCGCGCAAGACATAACCCTCTCTTGCGGTGACCAAAGGGCCTTCTTCGGGGGGTTCCGTCGATGGTTGTGATTCGCCCTCTGGCGGTGCAGCAAGGAGTGCATCGATCGTCTCTTTCGACCGAGCGTTGGGAAACAGGCGCTGAAGTGATGACGCGGACAGGTCGATGATTCCGAGGTGTACGAGCATCGAGGGGATCACATTGTCGCTGAAGATCGGGAGGTTTGACGTGTCGGGCGCGGGGAAGGGTGGCGGGTTGAGGGAGCCAAAGCGCACGGCGACGGTGTGGATTAGGAAGAGTGCCTTCTTGAAGCAGTAGACAGCTGTGTGTTGTAGTGAGCTCGTGGAGTTAGTTTGGGATTTCTGACCAGACTGACGTTCGCCATCCAAGTCGTACATGTCCTGGAATCCTGGGATCGCGCGGACGATCTTAGGAACTGGTGAGCACATATGCTAGGAGCGTCCAGAACACTAACCTGCTCAAGCACCTTATCCACCTCCGCATCCGGGTCGCCCTCCTTGCGCGCTTTCCCCCCAGCCTTGAGGGCTTCCGCTACAAGCGTTCCCAAATCCGGGTATCCCATCTCGACCAACCTCTCCCCCGTCTCGTTCAATGTCCTCGTAATCAATCTCACCAGCTCGTACAACGGCCCACCAAGCTCGCCCACAGTCACGCCTGGGATTGTCTCATGCGCACGCTCAAGGTGCACATTCACGCGTAGCAGCTCCGCGACCTTGCCATCCCCAATCGAGCGCATCCCTTCAGCGGAAAGCAGCTCGCCAGCATCACCCGCGGACTCGATGTGCAACGCAAAGGCAAGGGCACGGATGTTGTCCCAGGCGCCGCGCCCGGTCTCGGCGTGGAGGGGAGTGCGGTAGCCAGAGGCGAAGTTGAGGAGGGCGAGGACGGAGAGGAAGTTCAGCTCGGCGAGGGGGGAGGGGAAGCGGAGAGGGAGCGCAAGGCCATGGTTCTTGGACAGGCGGGTGAAGGTAGTTATGAAGGCGGGGGAAAGGAGTAGTGCGCGTATGGCGTCCTCGTCGATCTGTGGGTGCAGAAAGGAATGAGATTTGGTTGTGGGGTGGCGGACGCGAGATACCCCAGATGGGAAGGAATGACAGAGGGGATGTCGTGGTTCACGAGACGGGTAAGATTCCAAGAGGAGATTGTGCTGATCATCGCGCACTCACCCGGACATGTTGGGTCTCCCGAGCCTTGCGCGCCGACTCACGGATGGCGCGCAGATAGGCGCCCGACACTGGAAGGCTCACCATGACCGAAAGTCGCGTTATCGATTAGTTACTCGTTTCACAAGCAACTCCGCGCTTCGCAGAATCAGCGCACTGCAGTCCGATGGTGGGCGTTGAGCGCGAGAGGGGGGCGGGCGCCTATCAGCGGCTCGCCCGTTGTGGGCGTGCGCGATCGTCACGGACCACCTGACGGCGTGACTCACGGAAGTTTGCGCGTCGCGTGCGGGCCGGCCGTGCGTGTGGCGCGCACAGATCGACTCTCGCCCTCCGCGCCTGCCCGGCCTGCTCGTTTCGTGTCGCCGTCGCTATGAACAGCTCTCTCCGGTCCCTTGGGCGCTTCGCCCATGTCGCCCGCGTCGCGGCCGTCCGTCGGGCGTACAGCACGCCTGCCGGTACCACCGGTACCCTACCATGTTCCCCCAGACCCTCCCGCCTTGACGCCGTGCCCAGACATCCGCGCCCAGCTCATGGCCGGCATCAAGACCGCAATGAAGGTATACTTACACTTTGAGCACCCATCCACTGCTCACAAGCCCCCAAACTGACAGGCAAAGGACACTGCCGCGTCCACCGTGCTCCGTGTACGTGACCCCCTGCCTGGCTCGCCCGCTCTCCCGCTCACCTCCCGTCAGTCCGTCCAGGCAGAGGTGACCAATGCAGATAAGGCCGCAAACGAGAAAGTCGGATCCTCCGCCATCATCTCCATTCTGCGCAAGGCCATTCAGCGACGGGTGAGTCACCCCGCTTCCTTGACCCACAAATCCGCCCACCCCTCACACCAATTCCCGTCCCCGTCTCCCTCGCACCGCAGTCTCCCTGATCACGCACCTACCCTGACCACACCCACACAGACCGACGCCGCCGCGCAGTACGATGCCGCCGCACGCGCCGACCTCGCCGAGCAGGAACGCCGAGAGGCCGCCCTCCTCGCCGAGCTTGTCCCCCCACTCCTCCCTGAGTCCGCCATCGACGAGAAGCTGCGCGAGGCCCTCGCCGCGCTCCCCGCCGACACCGACGCGCGCGCCAAGCAGGGCCTCCTCTTCAAGCAGTTCTACGCCATCGTCGACAAGGCGCTCGTCGATCCCGCTCTTGTGAAGCAGCGCGCGCAGGCCATCCTCCGAGTCGTGTCGGCCTAACTTCCTCAGCTCGGCATCTCTCGCGCGACTTAACTAATACTACAACGCTATGCCGCGCAGACTTCTACCGGAATTCTGTTAGGCGTACCTACTAGCGGGTAGGTGCCTGCCGAGACACCTCCGTGGGTCGCCGCAGGGTATAGGGGGGTTGCGGCAAAGTTTGTGGGCGCCCCGGGTGGATACTCGCCGGGTTCTGAGGTTCTTAGGTTGGTCTTGGGCTGGCCTTTTTACGAAGTTACACACCCTTACACTCCTGGCCGTCGCCTATCACTCTCCTTCTTCCATGTGCTTTAGCATACGACACCTAATACAGAAGCGATCCCTACTTATGGTACACGAGCGTCTGTCAGAACGGCAAACCCTTCGTTAAGCGCCCAAGCACCCGTGCGGTGAGCGAACGGACGTGGGGTGACCGACTCGACTCGGATACTATTCACCCTCACGAACCGGTCGAGCCCGAGCTGCCAGCCTGGTTCGCCTCCTCGCCCTCCTGCGGCGTCGCCCTCGCAGGCAGCGAGCTCCGCAGACGCATAAGCTCGTCCACGCACCCATACACCGTCTGCGACACGCTCTCCAGCACGCGCAGCCGCTCGTCGATCGCCTCCCTTGTCAGCCGGTCCATCCGCCCCAGTTCCTCGTCCGACATCCGCGCCGCAGACGGCGGCGCGCGCCGGATCTCGATCTCGTCGACCGCGGGGATGAGCAACGGCACTTGCAGCGGGGCGGGGGAAGTGGTGGTGGTAGGGGTCGGCGTAGTCATGGTAGGGGTAGGCGTAGTAGCAGTAGGGGCGGTGGCAGAGGTTGCGGAGGCACTAGCAGTCGGAGCACTGACCTCAGCAGCGGTGCCGTCGCTGGTGCTAGAGGGCCCACCCGCGTTCATCCTGCGCAAGAACGCGGCACGCGCCGCTTCGCGCGCGGATATCTCCGTCTCTGATCCCTGCGATGGAGTTGCCGTGCTCGTAGACGTACTGGAAGCAGTCTCCTGACTGCCCGTACTGGTTGTGGGTGAGGTTGGCGAGGTAGGTGAGGTGGGGGCTCTCGTAGTAGGCGCCTCGTTCGCAGGGTTCGGCCAAGGCTGCCAGACGCCGTTGGGTCCCATAAATCCTTCGAGGGGCTGGACATCCTGCAAAGGCGGTCGGCTGGTCGTGACAGTCGGTGTCCCGGTACCCTGCTGCCCTCCTGGGCCATAGTGAATGTGGTACTGAACGACGAGTCCACCAGCGGGTAGATGCTGCACGTGAATACGATTATTGGGCGGCTGTTGTGGTGCTTGCGTCTGCGCAGGCTGAGGTGCAGCAGGTACCCCGGCAGGTCGCGCCGCGCCGCCCCCAAAGAGCCCACCCACGAAGCGCGCCGCATTGTTGATATTGTTCATCCGCTGGTTCGCCCCTGCTTGACCCGCTGCGTTCCCCGCTGGTGCATTGGCGGCCCCAGCGGCATTCCCTGGCTGATTGGCCGGCCTCGCTACGCCATTTTGCGGCGCCTGACCCTGCGGCGTCGTCTCGAGAACCGTGCGGCGACTGGAAGGGGACGAATCCACGTAAATACGCGGTCCGCGATTGGGAAAATCGATGGGTGACTCACCAGGTCGGGCAGCTCTGCTGACGTTCTAGCCAGGAGCGAAGACAGTAGAAATGGAAGATATGGCCACAAGGGAGCTTCTTTGGAGTTTGATTGGGGCCCTCCGGAGGGTTCGGGCCTTGTTCGTTGGGCGCTGGCTGTTGGACCATTTCTTCGCGACAGATGATGCATGTTCGATCAGACATGGCTTCGAGTTCTTCGGCAGTGGCATTGGGGTATCGCTCGTCCATGTTTCTTGTCGCCGTCCTATAGCGGTGCAATGCACGTAAACGCATGAAGAACGACCGTCCGGTCATGAACACGTCGCGAATGATGTTGAGCGGAACACCGTAGAACATCATGATGACCACGAAGAAGACACTGTATGTGGCCAACTTGAGGAAATCTAAGATGCGCGCAAGCATCTGTGTGAATCAACAAGCTAGAAACTCGATAATCAATGCTTACCAGTCGCAAGGTCAATGTAGAACGTGATGACACTCTTATGCTCCCATGGTGGCGCATTTTCGCCGCCACGAATCGACGCCCGTCGGAAGTCATATACCGACAGCATGTATTTGGACACAGTGCTGAAGCAAGATGAGAGCAGGACACCGTACTGTGGCGTACAGCATAAATAACTCGCAACTGTGGAACACATTGTCGCGTACCTCGCATGCAAAGAGGACCATGCAGCTCACGCCGTTAGCCAAGTTGCTTTCGACGGCAATCAGGAGCATGATTGTGTCCGTCAGCCAGAGGATCATGAACAATAGCGACATTCTGATGTGAAAGAGCAGGGGCGGCCCGGGATATGGTCTTTGATCCATCTGCGGTAAGGTGAGATTTTATTGTTGATCATTGTTCGTTCAATGACGCACCCATTCTATCCGGTCACTCGCTAGCCAGTGGAAAGCCTTCACGAACACGAGGAAGCAGAACATGACTGCGAACGACGCGTCGAACTCATCCCGGAAGATGGTAAAGGACAGGAGGGATTCTGTAATGAAGTACCATGTCCTGTCGTAGAGCCGCTAATGAGGGACCGTCAGATACATCCCGGCAGAAGACCGTTGTGGCGCGCACCTCGACCTCAACTGCTCGCAGAGGGCCGAAGAAGATGAGCTGCACTAGATGACCGCAGAAGACAGCGAGGAGGAGTCCGAAGTTGGCAAAGATGAGGACACTGGCACTGCTCCGAGACAAGTAGATCATGACGGAGTAAAAGTTGCTGTGATTGCGTGCGCCATTGACGATGCATCCTGCGGTTGCAAAGACGGAGAGTACTGCATATAAAGCCAGCTTATTGCTGGAAATTGAGGATATGGCATCTCGCGTTCGATGCCTGAGGGCCTCAATGGGCGGCATGTCGAGCGGGGTGAGGGGACGAGGGCAAGCAGGCGGCGCGACGTGGCCCGTCGCGCCACGTGATGTGACGTGACAAACCAGTTCATCACCGGATCAGAACATCAACGCACCACCTGCTACCAACGGGCGCTTAGCGTTACTATACCCCTCATAAGCGCTGGGCGCTTATCGCACTCTGGCTGCCGGTACACTCAAATGGAGACAGATCTGAGCCCCCGAGTAACAATTAAACACTGCAGATGCCTTTCCCGCCCGGTAATCCATATTCACAATACCCGCTTTTGGGCCACAAACAATCCAATGCAGGACAATAATCCCCATCTAACTCCCGTACAGCCTTGTCGGCCCATCATATATAAAGGCACAAGGAAGATGCAGAGATCACCTACACCCCACTTTCTTTCTTCTCCATCCACTGATCACCCGTTTTGTGGCTAGACAGTCGGTCGGTCAAATTTTCACCTCCCACCATCACCGCGACGCTGAAGAATAGCCCAGTCGCATGTCCGATATTCATCCCAGGTCTCGCTCTGGTGAAAAGCACTCGTCAACCAAGAGCGAGGCCTCTCCGCCCGCGGCAACGAACGCCGGTCTTCTCCGGAGTGGCTGGCGTCTACCCCAGTTGATTTCTGTCGCTCTAGTGGCAGTGGCGCTGGCATATTTCGCCATGGATCCGCGCAAGGACACAAAGGGTGCTGAGGGTCCCTACGCCCTCTGCTCGACGGAAGGCAAGCAAATTTATACGGTAGACGCCGACAATTCCCGCGTTGAGTGCGTCGTTGTCAACGGGCCTCATATCGTGGATACTGGCTCTCTTCGTGCGTGATAAATTATCCCCGTGTATTCTTCCGGCTAACAGGCTGCGGCGAAGGCGAGGTCACGGCTCGCTGGCAGGCGAACACCACTGGCCTTGAAGGAGAGTCCAACGGTGGTCTCAGCGTTCGTTTCATCCCCCGTGGCGGTATTGCTATTCCCGGCTTTACCGACGCTCACGCCCACATCCTTGAGTACGGCGCCGCTCAGGAGCTGGCCCTCGAAGGCTCCAAGACCATTCAAGGTAATTTTACCAAACGTGGCAACGCCTTTCCGATGTTTTTGCTCACGTGAAAATAGATGCTGTAGCGCTCGTCCGAAGCTTCATCCTGACCAATCCAGTCGTTCAGAAGGATCCTACGAGGTTCATCACAGGCGGGGGATGGGACCACACTGTATGGAACGGAACATGGCCCTCTGCGGTATATTTGCTTCTTGTGGCGATGATATCTCAGCTAATAACCCTCTAGGCCGATTTGGACTCGGACCCGATCATTCAAGGCCGTCCTATCGTCCTGCAAAGTGGGTGTTTGTGTCGAACTAAGATCAGACAAGGCTAATACCGCTTTAGGCAAGGATTGTCATGCTTTGTGGGTTTCTGCCAAGGCGCTGGAGATGATGGGCGAGCTGCCGCGCGAGGTCGAAGGCGGTGTCATCGTGCGGGATGCTGCAGGCAACCCGACAGGTATGCGTTAATTTTGGCGTTGCCGACAACCCTCAACCTCATCAACTACTAGGTCTCATGCTTGACAACGCTCAAGAGCTCGTAAAGCAGCCGCCTCTCACCGAGGACGATCTGGAGCGCCGTTTTTCAATTACCGTCAATGCTGCTCACAAGTACGGTGTCACAGCCATTCACGACGCCGGCCTCGATCCGGTATCGTTACGTTTCTTCAAAAGGTCCGTGAGAGCACAACCTTGCCAGCAGCCACTGACTGGATTCCTGAACAGCCGGGCCGCGAAAGGAAGACTTCCTGTAAGCCTTGGGACCGTCAACCGTTCGCACGAGCTTGCACAGCTTAACCGTGTTACAGATCCGGGTCTACGCCATGAATCTCTTCGATGAGACGCGCGAGTACTGGGGCGACAAGATGGAGAAGGTCTCTGGCGAGGGAGACGGCACACTCACTGCTCGGAGTGTCAAGATATTTGCCGACGGCAAGCAATGCTTTCCGAGGTGACTTACGCGCACGTGCTAATCTTCCACCCCTCAGGTGCCCTCCGCACTGGTGGATCTGCCGTGAGAACCTGGCTGTTCGGCCTTTGCTAGCTTCGCTCACCACTGTTTGCAGCTCTATGAACCTTATGAGGATAACCCCTCTACTCCGGGGTTCATGCGCATCGCGCCGGAGACGCTCTTCGACATCATCCCGCGTTTCCTGAAGGATGGATGGCAGACTGTGAGTACAGCATCCCGGATCTATATAGGGCCTTGCTTACACCTCGGCAGTGCGTTCACGCCATTGGTGATCGTGCCAACGGCATAGTCCTCGATGCCTTTGAGGCGGCCCTCGATGGTGCGAACGTGACCGCCCTCCGCCCCCGCCTCGAGCACGCGCAGATGATGGCGCCCGCGGACATGGCCCGGCTCGGCAAGCTCGGAGGTGAGCCGAGGTTTACACTTCGAGAACTCGCTATCTGACTCAGGATCAGTCATCGCCAGTGTTCAGCCCACTCACGCGTGAGCGCGATTTACGATAGGGAAGTTTCTGAGCAGTAGAACTGATACATTGCTTCGCAGCATCAGCGACATGTGGTACGCGCAGGATCGCCTCGTGAGTAGCATGTATAGCACCCGAAGGCAGGACGGGAGCGCTAATAGGCTTATTTCCTCGTAGGGACCGGAGCGTGTCAAGCGTCTCTATGCGTTCCGTTCTTTGGTCGATAACGGTGCTCGTCTTGCGTTGGGAACGGACGCCCCAGTGGAGGATATCAACCCTATGATCAGTCCGTCGAGTTTCTTTATGCAACTACAGCATCCGAGGTCTGATGCATGTTCGCAGCTTTCTACGCCTCCATCACACGTCTGTCGCCCGATGGCAAGTCGCCTCATGGTACGGATGGATGGTAAGTTACTTCTGCGCCATATAGGCCGCTGCTGATTTTCTGTAGGTTCCCGGAGCAGCGTTTGAGCCGGACTGAGGCTCTGAGAGGTAAGAGCGACCCACATCTGCAGCGGACGAGTTCTTACCTTGAGAATAGGCATGACCATCGATGCTGCCTACGCATCCTTTACGGAGAAGACCCTCGGATCCCTCGAGCGCGGGAAACTCGCGGACATCGTCGTCCTCAACCAGGACATCATGAAGGTCGACGCCGACAAGCTTCTGTCCACCAAGGTCCTCGCGACGGTCATTGAAGGCCAGGTCGTCTACGGCGACCTCTGAACCAACGAAGTTTCTCTTTTCCAATTGTTCTCCTCTTTTCTTCTCTTTTCTTTTTCTCTCCCTTTTCTGAAAGCATATAACCAAAATCGCCAGATACTGAGGGACGGGGGTTTGGGGTAGTTCGGCCTCATCGTATAGATAGGCCCCTCTGCCCCCCGCCAACTTTCGGTTTATACCTTCCTTGCTTCACCTTCAGGACAGCACCGAGTCATATGCCGGTGTATCCCTAAACTGTCTGCTTTTGCTCGATACGACTGTCAACGCCAAATGTATGTCTACGAATCCGATGAACATGTGTCTATGTGTGTATTCTGAAGTCCGATCCATGTCGACAGCAAGCAGCGCAGCAGCCGGGCATTAGTACACCAAGTACATCTCGTATACAAGCTAAGTACTGTAACCCTCTAGGCCTCCTTCATCGGCACGTCCTCCGGCGTCGTCGATGCAGTCTTCTCGAAGACGTAAGTAATTGTACCCCCGGGAAGCGATTGGAACTTCTTGCTAGCATCCATCGCGTCAATCGTGGCGAGATCGAGGGACAGCAAAGTCTCCAGCTGAGATTTGGGTGCCGAGGCTTCCGTCGGAGGTGGCCGGTACAGCAAGCTTCGCAACACGCCGTCCGACATGTTCTCAGCGCCGGGGCCCAAGCAGTTGATATGCTTGAACTCTCCCAAGGCCGCCAGGGCAGCCTTCTTCTTCTGCAGGTCCTATAGCAGAAGATCAGCCACGCCTCGAGACAGCGGGAGAACGAGCGAGCTTACCGCTTTGTCGGCCTTGCTGATGTCTTTGGGTTTAACCTGCGAGGCAGGTAGGAACCCCTTCCGCTCCTCGCCGTCTTCTTCCTCGGACTCGTCCTCATCCGGGGACCCTTCGTCTTCGGGAGAAGCTGGTGGCATGTCTGCCTCGCACGAGCAGTCCAGAAGGTCATGCGTATTGCAGCCGGTGTCGGCGTAGACGCGGAAGATATCGCGAAGCTGAGCTTGCGCCTCAGCATGAGGTTCAGTCCAGGGACTAAGCACTCACGTCTTTCCGCGTGAACGAGTCGCTCTTGTCCTTGGACGACTCCGATCCCATGAGAGCTGCCGCACAACCGTTCATCAGAACACTAGTTTCGATGCACGAAGATGACACGTACAACTGCTTAGTCCCAACTTCGTGACCTGACGCTGGTAGATCTTCTCTGCATCCGTAGTCGGTAAGAAGAACGACCTCATCGGTGAACGGCATACCATCTATGAGGCCAGCCGTCATGAAACGGTAGACGTGCACAGGCCGCTTCTGACCATCGCTGACGATACCGATGAGCTAGCGCTTTCGTAGGAGCCGCCTATAGCATACCGATGACAACGAGCTGCAGACTGCAAGTCGTAACTGGGTACAATCAATCAGTTATGGTCCGCCCGCCTTTCATGAGCAAATAATGCGAACCTAGGATTCCAGTCACAATCGAACAAGATGAGCCTCGAGGCACCTTGAGATTGCGTTAGATTCTGGATGCCCGGACTGATCTCAATAGCGGCACTCACCCGTAAGGTTGATTCCGACACCACCTGAGATCGATTAGCGCCGAGCGACATGCGACCGAGGTCAATTGAGCAAACGTGCCTGCTTTCGAACTCAGCAGGAAGATGACTGGCCTCGCGTCAGCACCGATTCAGTGCAGTAACGAGATCCACTCACAGTTGCTCCTCTGCGTAGACTTGTTGAACTGGTTGACGTATTCCTGGCGCTTAGCAGGCGGGGTATTGCTGAAAGATGCGATGAGACGAGATTGGCGCCCGAGGACGTGGTGATCCTCACCCATCCAGACGGTTGTACTTGTATCGCTTGCGGTCGCAGTAGGCCGACAGGATGTTGAGTGAAGAAGTATAATGGGACACGAAGACGACTTTCTCGTCCGTGTGCTACAACATGTCAGCATCGACGGCAGCAGCAACAAGGTCACGACACTGACCTCATAGATGTACTTCAACAGCTTCGACACCAGGATCAGCTTGCCTACAACCAGTCAGCAACATGCTAGTGATCTCACTCATAGACTAGGGGGTACGTACCACTCAAAGTCATATCGTCCACCCTCGCGTCCGGCTGCAGAACCGTCACCGCATCCGCCACCGCACTCTTCGCAATACTAGTCCTCGAGCTCTCCTTATCCTTATCATGCGCCGCCTTCACAAGGATCGGACTATTCGACACCTTCTTCAAGGTGTTCAACAACGCCAACGTATCCGCCTGCGACCCGTTCACGAAGTCATCGACCTTGTCCGGGTGCAGGATCTTCTGGTACATGGAAATTTGCAGCTGGGTCGGTTTGACGAAGACAATGTGTTCATCTGAAGCGAAGGTCAGCTGCGGGTCGATTGATCGGTAGTGCAAGCGGACTTACGCTTGGGAGGCAGGTAATTGCCAAGCAAGCCGGCATCCCTGCGTAGGACGAAGCTGTTCGAGATGGTGAGCAGCTGAGCGAGCCGCCCTTCGCCAATTTCGAGCTCCTTTGGGGTCGCCTCCGGGGTTCGGCTCTTGACGATGGGTATCTCATACACGCGACGGAAGGTCTGGTAGTCGTCTATGAACAGTCAGCGCGCGCGCGTGTGAACCAACATATGTGTATGCCGCACCCAGCAAACCCGGATTACAGAAGTCAGCCATGGCGTGGAACTCGCTCAGATCGTTCTGGATAGGCGTCCCGGACAGGATCACACGTCTCGGCGTCTTGAGCGCCTTGAACATGGTAGTCGTCTTGTTGTTCGCTGACTTCAGTCGGTGCCCTTCGTCGCATATAATGAGCCCGACAGGAGGGCTGAGGGCAGGCTTCAGCCTTGCAGTCAGAGGTACAACATCGACACTCACATGCACGTCGTGATCTTGTTGCTATAAACGAATTTAGCCGGTGGATAGGACGAGTATTGGCGCGCACTCACACGACGGTCCGCAGTCGCTCATAACCGATGATCAAGACGTGCTGGTGCTTCCTACACGGGAGAGTAAGCGAGGACCCAACAACACCGCGCCAGATATGCTCACCCTCCATGCAAGAACGTCTGCAATCCCTTGTTGCTGTTGTCGCAAACCGTCACACCCACGCGATCGCGCCCGAGCCATTTGTGGAACTCGGACTTCCAGTTCTTCGTGTGTTCTAGTCAGCGACATCGCAGATGATCAGCAAACGCAGACACCTACGTTCACCAGGGATACTGGGCATACGATCAAGACCTTCTGTACCGCTGGCGTGGGCCCGAAGAACGGATTTTGTTCTGTACAATGATGGATCAGCGTAGCTCGCCTATCAAGGATGGTCGACATACTCAGCAGCGTCCATACGAGGGTGATCGTCTTCGCAAAGCACCGTCAGATGAAGCAAGAGGGAGATGCGCATACACCCCACCTGCAAAGTCTTCCCGAGACCCCTGCGCGAAGTCAGAAGGCTACAAAACTGCAGAAGAAAGCGCATACATCTCATCTGCAAGGATGCAGCCTTGCCCCTCGTGCTTCCGCAGGCCCATGACGCACTCGTACAGGAACTTCACCCCCTCAACTTGATGAGGCCGAAGCCTACGGCCGAGCACAGGATCAATGACGACCGGAACGACAGGCAAACCCTTCTTGTTGAACTTCTTGATATGGTCCTTTGTCGGCGCCTTCATCACAATCGCTCCTTCCGCCGCCGGATCGTGTCTGTCGTCAACATCCAGTCAGCCCTCTTCCCTCTCACAAAACAAACAGGAACGACAACGCACAACGGCTTCGGCTCCTTTGACTTCGGCGGCGCGCCATAGAAATTCGCCGCCGCAATCGGCTTCATCGGCTGCGGCTTCACGACAGGCAGCGTCGGCGCAGCAACGACTTCCACATCGTCCTCATCATCCCCGGCGTCCTTGAGGCGCTCACGTACGGCGTCCGGGAGCTGCGAGCGAGGCATCACGGCATCGAAGCGCACTTCCTTTCCGCCAATGTACATGCGGTAGCCTTCAGACAGGAGATGCCCTTTGCAGGATGTGGAGCCCATTCTGCAGAACAGTTAGCGTGGGTGCGACGAATTGGGTTGGCAGCGTACATCTTCCCCTCCTCGGAGATGAGCGTGAGCTTGTCGTCGGACTTCTCGGCGTATGCGTCCCCATCCCACGTCTGCTTATTCTTATTGTTGACGGGCTTCCGCCTGCGAAGTAGATCAACAGAGAGCGCATATACGCAAGGAAACCCGACGTACCATGCAACGGACCAGATCCCATCCTTCTGGTCCGAGGAAGTATCATCATTTCGCACCTGCGAGGAGGATTGCGAGGTCGCCAGCAAGCTGACAGGCTGTAGGGGAATGCCCCGCGATGGCTGCGCGAATGACTTGCCAATGGTAGGTGGCTTGAAGGCCTTGTATGCAGAGTGTGATGTTCGGATGGGTGATGCCTCGACGGGAGTCGACACCGAGAAGGTGGAGCTGCCGAAGCAGGAGCCGGACAGGAAGTCCCTCTTGGTTAGCTCCCTGTCGAGCTCGAGGTCCTTGCCGCCGACAGAGAAGTTCTTGCCAGATGACAGAGGCAAGTCGGCTCGTCCGAAGCCCACACTGCGGGAAGTCAGTAATCGTGAGGCACCTCGGGAGTACGACACTCACGCTTTCCCGTCCATATCATACAGGGTGGCCTTGCTCCCAACTACCTGGAGGACTCCGTCTTCGTCCCATGTCTTGTGCTTCCTCGTCTGAGGGTTTCTCCTACTTCCTATTCAGCTTTTCGCTTCCCCAGCATCACACATTCCACGCACCATTGAACCACCCAATACTCCTCTGTCGAGCTCGACCCGATCTCTGACTGTCGTCTCTTTGCCGCAGGTCCGTCTGCGGCTTCGGATTTCCGTTTGCTGGGCACGACTGGATTCTGGAAAGCAGGCATGACTGAAGCACGGTAGCGGTCTATCTGGAGAGCGGGGGCGGTCTATATGAAGCAAGATGGCGGTCGTGAGCAAGAGTGGCGATGGCTGTGACTGATCGCCTGCATGCGCGTAATGTCACCGTGACTGGACGCGTTTGGGCGCGAAAGTCACGACTTCGCGTTCGGTTTGACGTCACGCGTCGGCCTCGGACTGGCAGGGCAGCGACTCGCGAGAAATGCACCTCGGCAGTCCTTGCGCACGTTGACAAAGCACGAGGAGAAGTATATGTATAGGTACGTGCAAAGAGAGGTGATTAGGGTCAGGCTGTACAGTGAATATGCGGGGTTCTACGATAATCAATGGTGTCATGGTATTGACTCTGAAGAGTCTTTGGGAGCAAGGTCCTCGATGCTCCACTTGGACATGGGGTTTATCGAGTAGTCGTCGTAGTCTTTTCCTCTGAAGCGATGCAGGGATGCCCAGCCTATCATGACCGCGTTATCTGCAGCAACGGATCAGCGGTCTCATCCTCCCGGGCACACTTGGGACGTACCGGTGCAAAGCGAAGGTGGTGGGAAGTTAAGAGCGACCCCGTCGTACGTCTTCACCAACGAGTGAAGCTTCCGTCTGATATACGTGTTGGATGCTACGCCCCCGCTCGCCACGACGTCCCCGACTTGTATCCCCCGACGCAAGCATTGGTCGAGCGCAAGCTTGAGCTTCTCTGCCAGCTGTTCCGCGGCAGCTTCTTGGAAAGCGCGAGCCATTATCCTTCGATGGTCGACGTCGAGATTTTGCACCCCGCCATGGTTCTCCAGATAGCGGTCGACTTGCGAGTGAAGACCACCATATGAGAAGGCGAGCTTGCCGGGCATGCAGCGAGAGAATTTTAGTGGAGGACCGCTTGAAGACGGCTCCTTCGAATTTTCCGCACAGAAAGTCTCCAAAGCGGCGCCCAAGTGGGTGTCGCCAGACTCAATCTCGAGACTTCGCGCGACCTTGTCGAAGGCGCGGCCTATTGCCGAGTCCCTAGTGTCCGCGAGGATTTGGAAGGAGCTCAAAGAGGTGGCGAGTACAATCATAGTGTGGCCGCCAGATATAAGGAGCGTGAGGAATGGGAATCTGACAGGGGAGTCCTTCGGGCTGGTGAAGAGGGCAGTGAGGGCATGCGCTTGCTTCTGCTAGTGAGCCTACTACAGCACAGCGAGGAGGGTCAGGCGCACCATGTGGTGTACGCCCACTATAGGCTTGTCAAGCGCTGCTGCTATGGCCTTCCCTGCATTGGTGCAGACGCCGAGGCAGCCACCCATGCCTGCGTACACGCAGTCAGCAGATATAGCAACTACATACGCGAACAGCGCACCTGGTCCCCTAGTAATGGCTATTCCGTCGAGCTCCGACAGTCCTACACCAGACTCAGAGAGAGCTCTTCGTATTGCTGATGGCTAGAACGTCTCAGAGCGGTGCGCTGGAAGGAAGGGAACCTCGACATGCCATGTTCTTCTGGTGCGCCTCTATGGCCGCGTACGGGTATATACCCCCATACTGTGCATTGCTGCCAGAATAATCAGCACTCATTCTCGAGACCGCAAATGTCAACGCACATTGCATGCTGCTTAATGACGACGTTGGCCAGCACCTTCTCGTCGTCCAACACAGCAGCGCAAGTATCGTCTGCAGAGGACTCCAACGCAAGGACCTTGATCCCCCTTCTTCGTACTGTGTTGACTATGCGCGATAGTGTGTGTCTACGACATGGTAGCGTGCGAGGCAACATCCGGGGTGGTAGTGGTCAGTGATCGAGACGAGAACAATACCTTCCCGAAGGAGGCAGCGAGCGCGGCGGTACGGTCCGGCCCGACGCGAGGCAAAGTCCGGTGGCGGAAGTAAATCGCATCGGCGCGTCCTTCTCTCCTGGCTCTACCCATCATCCTGCTTCGTATTCACCTGAAAGACGCCAAATGGTCTGTGAGGGTAGGACGGTCCAAATTCCAATATCTGCGCGTCCTTCAGTCCACGGCTTTGGAGGAATATCCCTGATTGGCTGAGGCACATCTGCGACTTGAACTTCTCATCAACACCTCCGTCGCGTCGCGCAATCGTTCATCAACGATCCCTAAGCCATGTCCTCAGGAAACAGGGACAGAACGGTGTACACATACTACAAGACTGCAGTCACTGGACGTATGAGCTTCCAGCACTGACAGCTGCTGCGGCTTGGCAGCAGCGACTGGACGGAGGCGTCCTCGGAGTCCTGCAAGCTCCTGCAAGCCCTCCCCACCTACATGCGGCCGCATATCTACAAAGAAGACCATAGAGCACACGAAGCGCTGCGATCTCTTCTCTACGTATCTATCTACCGTCTACATATCTCTCTCGGTCGCTTTACCCCAGCAGACATTACACCTGATCGATACTTTTTGGCCTATACCGTCGATCCCCGGTAGATGGATGGTCTTCCGCAACCCCGCCGCTGGCGATGTTCTTCCGACTTTAGCCATGGCTTTGCGGCGCCCTGGACTTGTAGTCGTGGGCTGCATTCCTCGGGCCTCCTCGGTACCCTGCCAGCAGCGTTCCAGCTCTATATTTCGGAATGCACGAACACGCGCCGGAGGTCTGACACTGCCCATCACGCCGCCCGCCTTCCAGGCCCACCTCTGTCGGAGTCCTCACGACCATCTCATCATTGTTTGCATCCCTGAGCACACGCCGGCCAACTTTGCCGCCCGCAACCGCGCAGTAATAGGCATATATGGTCTAGATTGATCAACGCTCCAGCATACATATACCGGGCCTTTCATCGCTTCGCCGCCACCCCCTCCTTCCTTTCCGCCACCATGGTCCGCAACTTACTTGCGCTCCTCGCCTGCGCCGTTCCCGTGTTTTCTGCGGCTGTCAGCGAGCAATCCCCGGTCAACGCCTCGCAAGAGTGCACGAACCCAGTTGTGCGACGCGAGTGGCGCAGCCTCACCCCAGATGAGCGCCAGCAGTGGTTGGATGCTATCAAGGTGCGTGCTTTACCTCGTTCCGCGCGCCATTACCAACTTCTCACCGTTATCAAGTGCATGGCAAGCCTTCCTCACACGGACGACTTGGTAGTCGAAGTGGGCAAGGGAGACATTGGCCCCATTAACGCGTCGGGTTCTTATTACGATGGTGAGCTCCAGTCGCGCTCGTGAGGAGCACGCGTGTCTCAACGTACCACAGACTTTGCCTACGTGCATATGGATCAGAACCCGGTGGTGAGTACATTGTTCATTCCCGTGTGATCTGGCGCTCAATCAAACGCGTTCCCTTCAGGTCCACTTCACCGCGAGGTTTGTTACGTGAAATGCACCCGATCAGTATACCAACTCCTCACCAGATTCTTCCCCTTCCATCGCGCGTACGTTCACAAGATCGACGAGAAGATGCGTACCCTCTGCAACTATACCGGCCCCTCCGCACCGTACTGGGATTGGTCCCTTGGTACGCATCCTTTGAATACCTGTGAGCGATATCTGATTGTACGCAGACGCCGCCGATGTCGAGCACTCCACCATGTTTGACCCTGACGTTAACGTTAGCGGCCTGGGAGGCTGGGGCGACCCCGAGAACGACTTCCAGCTCGTCGATGGCGCATTCGCCGACCTCCACTTGACCTACCCCTCCCCGCATCGCCTCCGTCGCAACTTCACGCAGTACCCCTTTGCGACCGAGGGCAAGGACCCGCAGTTCTACACGCAGCCGTGGATGCCGGGCAACGAGACCTTCCAAGGCGACCTCCTCCGCAATCTCACGCAGGGCTACGTCGGCGACTACAAGGGTTTCCACTCGAAAATCGAGGCCTTCCTGGTGAGTTCATCTCGGCGTTGCCAATTGAAGTCTTGCTCAATTCCGTGCAGACCGCGCACGCCGCCGGTCACCAGATGATTGGTGGCGACATGGGCGGAATCTGTCCTACCGGCGATACTGAGTGTGTACCTGGCGCGACATTCACGACTAACGGTATGAGTGTCCCTCCGCATAGTGGTTCCTTGACTCACTCTTCCCAGATCCGCTCTTCTGGCTTCACCACTCCGTACGTGTGCACGCACTCCCGCTTCTCCCTTGACTGATCATTTTTCTAGATGGTCGACAAGATGTGGTTCGACTGGCAGCACGCCCACGTCGAGGAGAACTTCTACCTGATCGAGGGCGGCTTGACGCCTCACATTGAGAACGCGACTATCTACGCTCAGTACACTACGGGTGGCCCTCCGGCTCTGGATGTGAGTGCCTTTCGACCCTTTCGAAAAGCGCTGTCTGACTTTCTCCCGCAGTTCAACACCTCCTTGCCTAACAACGGCATGTGGGAGAACCTTACTGTCTGGGATGTCATGAACACGACGGCTGGCATCTTGTGCTACGTGTACGAGTAAAGGCTCTCTTGCTTGCTTATAACAGTACGATACCCTTGGATCTCTGGCGGGTTTGATAGGGCAACTCATAGACTTAACTTACACTTTCTTTATCGCTGCTGCCATATGTAGTGCAGTAAATACAGTCATTCACTACTATAATGTAGCAGTGATGTGCTAGCTATGTGATCACAGCTTATGTTGTCTTCGTTTGTTAGCTTTCTCAGCTTTATAGCACGCTGACATGTACTGAATCTTATCCCATCCAAGCAATCCGGTATGGTGTAACGGCTAACATTATCGCCTTTCACGCGATAGCTCGGGGTTCGATTCCCCGTACCGGAATATGTCCCGAGGTTTTGGTTTTTGTCAATTTCAGTGTTCATCCTCCAGTCCCTGGCTTTTTCCATTTTTTTCAACTCTCACAAGAAGGAAACTCAGATCCGAAGCTTCGCAGTTGGAGTACTTCTATGTGAAGCCAGCCCATTACTGCATATTTGTAATGGCCAGACTTAAATGAGTGCATGCTACTAGGCTTTCGCATGACTAACTCGCCGTCATAGCCTGACAGTCAGCTTATGAGAGGCACGAGCAAACATCGGCTTGAGAACGACGTGCTTCATGGTGGTTTGCGGCCCAACATGCCTGCCAGAATTGAAGTCGAGAAAGAGTCACGGTTTGTGACGTAACAAACGTGACAAGACAGCGGATCGTGAGCATCGTCGCCCACCCCAGTACCCATCAAGACTCGCGGCGACGCCCACCCTCTTCAAGACCCAAAAGATGAGCGTAAGTGTTGCTGCTGCTTGTGCCGTTCCAACGACGTACAACACTGGGCGGAAACGATGAAGAAACGGCTGGATTGAAGGCTGTTGCCCCAGATGACGATCGGGCATGTTCGATCGCGAGCGTCTTCACCCACCCCTCCCCCCGCTACCTCCCTGGCTCTGACATTCGCATCATGCAGGACTCTACCTTTAAAAGATTCGTCGAGGTTGGCCGCCGTACGTCGAGCTCTGCACAACTACGCGTCGATCGTGCTAAACAGATTTTTGCTCATTAGTTGTCATCCTCAAGGCTGGTCCGTTCGCGGGCAAGGTCGCCGTCATTGTCGAGATCATTGACCACAACCGGGTGCGTGTGCTATACGCTATATGACAAGCGAACTGCTAAAGAAGAAGTACAGGCATTGATCGATGGCCCGACCACCGACGTTCCCCGCCAGTCCTACCCCTTGAAGCACGTCACCCTCACTCGCTTTGCCCTCACCAAGCTCCCCCGTGGTGCGCGCTCTGGTGTCGTCAAGAAGGTCGTTGAGGCCGAGGGTATCATCGGCAAGTGGGAGGCTTCGTCCTGGGCCCAGAAGATCGCCGCCACCCAGAAGAGGCGGTCACTCAACGACTTCGGCCGCTTCAGCGTCATGATCGCGAAGAAGCAGCGGAGAGATGCGGTGCGCAAGGCGATCAAGTCCAGCGCATGAGCGCCATTCGACTTTTGCCTCGATGTATCTATGCTTCGTCACGCTATGCACTTCATGAGAATGCCATATGCACCATGCCCCGCACATTTCGATCAGTCAATGCGCTATGACTCCGTCATTGAGTGGTTCTCATACTTAAGAGGCCCATCAAACAAGGTCAGTCCAGAGGCTGAGGGCAGGTACGGAGTTCCCCACATTCATAGCTGTGAGGGCGATGACGAGATGAATCCGCGCTCTAGTTTCTCTATTCGCTACGGTTTATAAAGAGCGCGCAGCTGAAGGTGAGTCATGATAGTCTTGCGCTTCATCTTGCCCACTGATGACCAGGACAGCAGAGAATTTTGCTACTATGTCGCGGGCGTGCTTCTCTGTTCTGGTGTTGCAGCAATACTGGACGCCTATTTTTCGTGTGCAACAGTGTCTTGAACGCAATGTATGAACCGACCAAGCTTCACATCGCAAAGCTAGATGGACCAAATCTTGTTCTTCGAAATCCTAGTAGGGGCGCTTCTACGGGTTTCGTGCTCGGCTGTAGCGCTTGCCGTCACTGCTCGTGCGTAACACGCCGTAAAAGCATTGCGCTCATATAGTGTGCAGACGGTCGCCTTGACCCAACTCTCCCTATTCCCACCACCTCGTCTACTTCACACCACGATGCAGCACATCAAGGACGAATGGCTGGCTCAAGGGGTTCGGTCAACGTTCTCCATCGCTCCTGGCGCCAATATCGCCGGCAAGCAGGATACGATCCCCTGCGGCCTTGGATGGCGATTCAGTGTTGAGCGCGTTGGCCCCACGGAGCATACGTATCTCTTTGGCCACGACCCTTATCTCATTCATCGTTCTGACCTGGGCAATCTGTCAGTCCCGCCCGACAGCGTTAGCTACACCAACATGGTCGCTATCGAGCAGTCGGAGGTCCTTCGCGAGCTGCCCGATTGGGGATGGCGTACAATGGGCACCTGGACGATCGTCGACCCTTCCAAGCTCGCGACCATTTCCTTCTGCGTCTTGCAGTTGGCGCGGGAATTTCCGGTTCCTTGGGACATCTCTGTCACCGAGAATTTCCAGATCAAGTTCCCGGCTCAGCCACCGACGCCGCCCCTCGTTACGCCTCCTGACTCGCTCGGAGAACGGGCTCTTCTCAAGCATATCGACGGCGAAGACGACATCGTACAGTTCCTGCTTCCGTCTCGCATCCATGGCAAGCGTGTAACTGAGGTCCGCCCCGTCTACGCGTCCCGGGATGTCCTTGAAGGTGAGCACTCACACGCCCGCTCCTCCGACTCCAGGCGACTGAATGCAGCTCATGCCAGCATTGCGAATCCCCATCGCCGGTGCACAAGACAGCTACGACGTGTATCGAACGCAGACGCCGCAGGACGAGTACGACTACTCGTCTGACAGCGACATCGATGATGAGGAGCCTGATCCCGCACAAGAACTCGCGGGACAGTCCACTTCCCGAAACCTGGACGACTACACCGTTTCCGTTGGCGAGCTGGCCACGTCGGCTCGTTCTGACGATCTCGAGTCTGAAGTATTCACGTCAGTGGGGCAAGTACTTAGAGCCTTTCTGATCTTCCCATTGTTGACCCCTCTATATAGATCTATGGACGACGACGACGAGCGCATCTCACCCGACGGTCCAGCCATCGGTCTGGAAATAGTAGTCCCTCGAGAGCCGCGCCGTGGAGAAGTTGTGCGATTGACGAACTATGCTCATAGAACGTAGGCACTTTGCATATGAGCTTGACCACACGCTGACTGTAGCTGATATAGGTGGCGCGCGTTCGTCTTCTACATGTATACCGGCAAGATCGCGTTCAAAAGACTTTCTTCCACCGGCGTTTTGGATCGCGGCGCTGCTGATCCACTGCACTGCTCGCCGAAGTCTATGTACCGCATCGCACATAAGGTATGTAGGGCAAGACACTCGCAAGACGGCTCCGTACTGACGCATGCCAGGCTAAGCTAGACGACCTCCGTGCCCGATGCATGCAGGCGATCCTGGCCGACTTGACGGAGGCGAACGTCGTTCGCGAGGCGTTCAGCAAGTTTTCTTCCCAGTGGGTTGCTTGCCACCAATTCGCTTGTGGCGCTTAATTCTTTTCATGTATAGGTACCGCGCGGTTCGAAACGCACAGACCGATTTCTTGGTCAAGCACCTGCAGGATCCAGCTTGCGGCCAGGAGGTTGAGCGAGTCATGCAGGACCTCTCGAACATGCCACACGGCGGAGCTGCCGCTGCGATGATCTGGCGCAAGGTGGCGGCCATCGGTGGGCGTTGAAACGTTGAGCGGTGAACTCTGGTGGAGAACATTTGCTGTCCTAAGGGCCTGTACATATTGTGTGCTATATATCGGAAATGATATCGTGACTTTTACGCGCTGTATGACCGGGCATTGATTGTCTTGTGATTGCGCCTGCGTGGTATCGAGCGTGAGGTCAAAGGTGAGCAAGAGACGCCCTATGTAAATTGAAGCGCCGCAATCGGCATATGCCGATATTGTCTTCCCTCAACGCTCAAGTTTGTTCTCGCTTGGATCTGCTCCTGCAGGCTGCCGGCGGATAGTCACCTTATATTATAAACTGGCTATGGAATATAGCACCGTATGACGCCGAAGACGTTGAAGTCATGCGAGCCAACAAATGCATGCAACATAGTTTCCAATGAGGTCCGCCCTGCGCTTTGGTAATCCTAGTACCCCCCCTTGTGCTTCTCTCTTCTTTGAACGGCCGGCTGACCGAGAAGCTCAGCTGGACCGAACAGAGCGGCTGTAGGCGATGAAGCTTACTGCCTAGATATAAGTAGGCGGGAGGCAATAGGTTGACGTTGACTCCTCCTCTCTTCTGATCCATCCGTCGCAAATGGAACATATCGCAGACGAATGGTTGGAGCGGGGAATCCGCTCGACATTCGCCATTAGACCCGAAGTCTCGGGCTTCAGAGGTACCAGAAACTCGAGTCCGACTGGTCTTGGCTGGCGCTTCTCTATCGAGCATGCGATGGGCGAGCATACCTATAGCTTCAAGTTCGACGCTTTCTTGGTGCACAAGGCTTACCTTGGTACCCTCTCTATACCTCCGGAGGATATCCAGATCGACAACATGCTGCCAATCCAGACGGACAACATGGTGTGCGAGCTTCCGTTCGGCGGCTGGAAGAAAATCGGGACTTGGCTCGTGGTCGACCCCGCGAGGCTCGCTACAATCTCGTTCTACGTTTCTCAGGCATGTCCACCTGGGAGGATGAATTGGTGGGGCGAGCGGGTTGACAACTCGATCCTGATTGCGTTCCCAACGACTGCACCACCTCAAGCCCCATCCCCTCCCCAGGCTTCAACCCCCAGCATACCTCCCCCTTTACCACCAGGAGCATCGCTTGGAGACGGTGTGCTGATACAGAGTCTCGATGAAGGCATGGGAGGCATGGTGCAATTTATACTACCGTATCGTGTTTCTGGCCGGCACGTCATGGCGACACGTTCGGTTTATGGCAGCCCCACCCTTTGCAAAGGTAAGTAAATCGACCTGGTTGCGACCTCCTACTGATCGTTGCCCAGCCCTACAACTTGATATGCCTGACTTCAAGCAGCGCTTTACGGCTGATCAACACTGGTCGCGCAACGAGTATGACTACGAAACCGATAGCGACATCTCTGACGATGAAGACGAGAACGCGAGAGAGGATCTCCAGCAGGGCGAGTCCCCAGCCCCACCTGGCACTGCCGACACTGCGAAGACGCTGTCTGTGGTCGACGACCTTGAGGTCCTCTCTATCAGGTCGGCACCTCTCTCGGTCATATTGCGCATCTTTGATAGGCCACGTTCCAGATCCGGAGGGAACACCTCTGATGTATTCGTGGACTGGGGCGACGACGCTGAGGGAGGCTCGAATGCTTCAACCCGGCATCCCGAGTCGGCCATCGTCGTCAAGCAGCACGCGCACAGAACGTGGGCACGTTACGATGCCCTTACGATAACCCTGCTCACTCCCTTTTTCAGGTGGAAAGCATTGCTCTTCTACATGTACACCGGCAGGATTACGCTGAAGAAGCTTTCATCCGCTAGAGACCCCTTGGTGCCCGAGGTCGTCAACGCTCTTGCATGTTCCCCCAAGTCCATGTACCGCATCGCAGAGAAGGTAAGCGTCTTCGCGAACGCTTGATAGCCTTATAACTCGTGCTGACTTGAATTTAGGCAAACTTGGACGATCTACGTGCTCTCTGCCTCAAAGCCATCGCGGCCGACCTGACGGAGAAAAATATCACAAGTGAGGTCTTCAGCACTTTCTCGTCCAAGTACGTCGTTCTCTCGACCAGTTGTTCCCCCGTATTGACTCTAACGGGCTTTATAGGTATTCCGAAGTGCTCGACTTGGAGACCGACGTCCTAGTCAAGTATATGCGCGACTCGGAATCAGTCTGCAACCTGGAAGTCAGGCGTGTCATGCAGGACGCGACGTCCAGGCCACATTGCGGCAAGGCAATTTCAATGATATGGGGAAAGATCGCAAAGTAGGAATGCCTCGAGAGTGTCAGAGGTCGACTGAGGGTATGCTATGAGCTTGCAACGAGGATCAGTCGAAATCCTAGTACACCCTTTCATATTACGGCACATCTGCCTTCCATGAACGACCAAGTAATGCAGAGCTAGGTCCCGAGCGGCCAGACGGCGTTAAGCTGCTTGTTGGCCCCATACATATATAAGTGCGTACTCGGCAGTGTCATCCGCGTCCTCCTTACACCCTACTAGCGAACCTTTGGGTACGTGATATAGATTTACTATGGCCCCTGTCTGACTCCACCCAATTGCAGAAATGGATCACGTCGCAGACGAATTGTTGGAGACAGGCATTCGTACGACCTTTGCCATCAACCCGGAAACATCGTCATTCAAGGGAGAACGCTTTTCTGGACCGACGGGACTGGGCTGACGATTCCTCGTCGAACATGCGATGGGGAAGCATGCCTATCGATTCAAGTTCGATGCATTCCTCGTCCATCAGGCCCGGCTAGGCATCCTCACCATCTCGCTCGACGCAGTACAGGTGCAGAACATGATCGCCGTCGACACGGAGAAGGTGAACCGCGAGCTTCCGGGCTGGGGCTGGCGTACGATAGGCACATGGCTCGTTGTCGACCCTGAAGCGGGCCACTATCTCATTCCTCGTCACCCAGCGCCCCAGAGACGGGTCTGGGAATTCGGAAGACAGATTCCGAGTGGCGTTCCCCGTCTCAGCGCCTAAGCGCCCTCCCAGCGCGTCGCCAACCACAATTGGGGAGCGCGCGCTGGTCAAGAGTCTGGACGTGGGTATGGGCAGCCACACCGTCCAGTTCCTACTCCCATCGAAAGTGCGTTTCCGACGTGTGGTGGCGACACGCTCCGTGTACGCCATGCGCGACGTTTGCAAGGGTGAGTCTTCTTTTTCCTCGGTGCAGCAGATTTTGACTTCCGTCGAAGCCATCCGGCTTTCTGTCTGCGAAACACAGGAGCGATCAGGCGTTCACCTAAAGCCAATGTCCCAGGAATACGACTACGACACTGACAGCGATATTGACGACGATGATGCAGACGCGGCGATTGAGGACCAGCCGCCCACTCCTTCGGTCTGCGCTGCAGGTCGGGCCCGCTCTCTGCATACCTCGTCGCCTTCTTCGGAAGTGTCATTTGACCTCGATGTGCTTTCGCTAGGGTAAGTGGCTATTATCGTGGATCATCAGCAACAACTCATTCGTTGACAAGCTCCGTCGGCGACGCCAGCGACGATGACGCTGGCGATATAGCTGCAACTGCCGTAGACGCGCTCGGCAACGCCCCAAGCGCCACGGTCATCAACATTAAGCACCATGCGCACAGGACGTGAGTCCATGTCAGCACCTTTTGCGCATTGCATGCTCATGATGGCTCAGCTGGAAAGCCTTCGTATTCTACCTCTACACGGGCAAGGTCGCGTTCAGGAAGCTCTTCTCCGCGGAGGATGCGGGAAGCATCACATCGCCCGCTGCTCCCTTGAAGTGCTCGCCGAAGTCGATGTATGCCATCGCGGAGCAGGTGTGTAGATCGCGGTCCCTGTCGCTAGTCCAACGCGCTCACCGATAGTCGTAGGCAAAGATGAACGATCTGCGCACGCTCTGCATCCAGGCTATCATGGCGGACATCACGGTCAAGAATGTCGCCCAAGAGGTCTTCAGCAGATTTTCCTCGAAGTGAGTAGCGTGCATTGGGGGTTTTCTATAGCTGATTGACTGCGTAACAGATATCCTGAGGTCCTGGAAGCGGAGACGGACTTCCTCGTCAAGCACTTGAAGGACGCCGAATGTGCCGAGGAAGTGCAGCGCGTCATGCGCAACGCGACTACCATGCCTCACTGCGGCACTGCTATCGCCGTGGTCTGGCGCAAGATGGCCAACTAGGCAAGAATGCGCAGCTTGAACTCCGTATCGCTCTTGACCATCATCGTTTCGGTATTTCTTTTCTCACTGTACTTCGTGCTTGCACAATAGACTTGTCATCCCACGTCGCACATTTGCCTTCTCACTGCGAACTACTCCACACCCTCCCCGCCAACCCCAGCGCCCCGCCCCTCCTACATACCTCCTCCAGCACCTCATCCGACAACCCCGACCCCATCGCGCCGTTCACCTCCACCGCGACCCCCCGCGAGCGCGTCTCGTCGTACCGCACTACGATCTCTACCAGCCCCGGTATCGATGACCGCTCGGGGCACGTCATGACGATGCGTGGCCTCCGCGGCTTCGAGAGGTCGAGGTCGTCGCTCATGCCGCCGAAGAGGGCCGCGGGCGCCTCGGTGGGGAGGAAGACGTTCACGGGGAGCATGCGGGGGGTGATGGTGCCTAGGAGGACCCGTGAGCTTTGAGGAAAAGTGTGAAGGGACCGGGAAGGGAGACGTACCGTCGAGAAGGGCAGCGAGTTCATCGTCAGTGACTTCATCGCTCTCGGCTGGTGGTCCGTTTGGCGTGACGCCAGCTGACGGTTTTGAGTTGATGCCCTCTGGTTGCCATTGCACGACCGTCAGCATCTCATTGAGCCAACATTGCTCGCGGACGATCTGAGCGACGTCGTCAGTGTTGTACTAGGGGGAAAAAGGGAACTGCATGCTACCTCCAGAACGCCCCAAATTTCCTTCATTGTGCGCACAGGCACCTTCTGAAGGAAGTAGCCAGGCTCTTCCGGCGCTATCAGTCGCAACTGTAGTGGCGGATGGGCGTTTGTTGGTGATTGCTGCTCTCAGGTTAGCTGCCAATCCGTAGATCCAGCGCGCTGACACTTACATATACGGCTGTATAACGCTCCGATGTGACCGCGTTGAGCTTCCCAAGAATCAGCAGCGTACATTGAGATATAGCGATGCTCACTTACCAGCAAATCGACCCAGCTTCCTTCCGCGAACGCAACAATCCCAACGGCGTCGAGCGACGCATCCATCCCACTCTCCGGATTGATCAGAAGCTCGAGGTCCCGCATACGCGTCTGCGACATCACCACCCCATCCGACCTCCCCCCATCTGTAAAGTCCAGCACCCACTGATACCTCTCCTGCCCCCGCGCCATCACCAACTCGTCCGTTCCCCCCATCGGGTCATCCTCCCTCCCCTCCCCCTCCCCCACCGCTTCCACCGTCGGAAACGCATACTCGCTCTCCGCCTTGCCCGGGCTCAGCGCGAACGTCGGCCGCTCCGTGAACGGCATGACCTCCGCGGGGACGAGCGAGGGGTAGTCGCAGCGCACGAGGCGCAGGGTCGCGGCCGTCATGCCCTCGGCGCCGCCCTTTGAGACGTAGTGGCGGACTTGCATTTGGGGAATGTCGAATTGGGGCCAGGAGGCATGGTCGGGGATGGTGGAACCGGTGTCGCGGAGCATGGTGAGGTAGGCGCGCGGGGAGATGTGCGCGAGGAAGGATACGGTAGGTGCGGTCAGGTATGGTAGCGGTAGAGCATGCCCGCGCAGGAGGAAAATGTCTAGTGGTGGTCGGTCTACTGATAGGACCCTAGCTAGTGTTAGTTTAGTATTTCGATATTCGAGACAATAGACTTACGAGGCAGCGGCTTCCGCTTCTCGCTTCGCGAAGGCTTGGAGCGAGTGACACAAGCTGTCGAACACGTTGAACCATCGTAGGCCACCTGCAGGTCCTGGCCTCGCCGCCAGCTTGTCGAGCAAATTGAGATACGCCAGGTGCTCCGTGCAGACATCGGCCAACTTCGCCCCGCGCACAGGATTACGCTCGTCGTCGGGCTTTTGCACCTCCTCGAAGAACTTCTGCAAGTCCATCACAAGAAAAGCGTCCAACGAAACGGGGCCGTCTTCGGTTGACGGTGCCCCATCCGCGTATGCGTACGCCGTCTTAGTCCCGGATACTCGCACGGTCGGCTTTGAAGGGTCGGTGCTGTCTATCGCGAGATCAGCGTCGATGACCAGGACTTTGCCACCAATTGTCATGACGAAGTTGCCCGTCTTTTTCTGCGCTTTGTACGTGTCTTCATCCCAGAACGCGTCCAGTCCGGCAGCCTTCGCCCAGCTTTCGAAGCGCTGGATGCACCAATCCACGATGACGGCACGGTCGAGAGGAATATCCTCGCCATAGCGAAGCGACGGCTTCTTCCGCAAACCCTCTCCTATTGTTTTTGTACTGTGCGCTGTCTATCTGTTCTCAGTGCGGTTGCGGAAGACTGAAGCGCTATACTGACGACGTGCAGTGTATGTCTAATCTGAGTTTCTTGTCGAAGCAGAGATATAAGCTTCGGGTTTGAAAACTTCACATTCCGATGATCAAGCAGAGAGGTCGCGATAGAGTTCACATTCCTCATGATATCTTGAAGATGCTGGTACGCCTCCTCCGAGTCCGTGCTGAATGGATGGTGCACGGAGGACGGGTGCGGCGCCGTGGAAGGAAGAAGCTGAACACATTTGTGTATAGCCGACAGCAAAGTCTCCGACGTGTTAGCCATAGCTCCAGGAAAGAGCGCAACTCAGCGCCAGGCCAGATGGCAGTCTAGATCGCGAGCACTGAGATGATGGTGAGAACAAGGACGCGTCCAAGCGAGCACAAGAGGCGCGCCGCGTCACGTGCAGGACTACGCTTTACACGTCTCCATCGTCTGGCGCAGCGCGCTCGAGTACCCGCCTAGCTTTTGCATCCCTCTCCCCGCGACACAGCGCACAATGTGGCTCACAGATCAGCAAAGTGCGCGTCAAAACTCCCTCGTCGCGCCGCGTACTCACTTTCCCTACAGAAATCGGCGTGGCGCTCACCACATTCGGCGCGGGCTTCATGGCCCTCGGCGTCCTGCTCTTCTTCGACGGCGCGCTGCTCGCCTTGGGAAACGTGCGTGGCCATGTCCCCCTCTTGTTGCTACATGCTCACCCCCGCGTAGATCCTCTTCCTGTCCGGCATAACCCTCATCATCGGCCCCCAACGCACCATGTACTTCTTCGCGCGCAAGGAGAAGATACGGGGGACAATATGCTTCTTCGGCGGCATCCTGCTCGTGTTCCTGAAGTGGCCATTCATTGGCATGCTGGTCGAGATGTTCGGTTTCCTCAATCTCTTCGGGTGCGTCATGCTGCAATAGCAACCCGCGTCAGTACGCTGACATCCCTCTCAGCGACTTCTTCCCCACCATCATCATGTTCTTGCGACAACTCCCCTTCGTTGGATCGCTGTTATCATTACCCTACATTCGTGTGGTGCGTTCTACTGTCGCTCTCCAGGTTCGACAGACTGACACTCGTTGCCAGGTTGTGGACAGGATAGCAGGGTCACGCACCTCCGCTGTATAACTCTTCTTGCAATTCATGACTTTGCAGCGTATACATTGCTACTCAACGTTGGCGTTGAGCAGCAGTCTGCTCGCCCTACCAATCGCTTTCGCCTTGAGCGAGGATGAGGTACCTCAGCGACCTTACGACAACTGAAGGTTGCCTGCGGCAGTCCGAAAATGTCACTCATAAGGTCTTTGGGGGGGGCATATGCATGAATTATACAGTACAGTATGTTACAGAGAGCAGTCTAGAAAGGTTCGATGTGTACAGGTCGTGTCCGGCATGTAAAGCGCATGTAAATACTTGAAAAGCATCCATAGTAATCATAAGTAGCTGCGGTCGTCGCTGGCCGCACCTTAGCGTGTTGTAGTCGCTGGGAGCACCCGAGCGCCTAGACGGTAGCGGCGCCTTGACAGACGCTGGAACACCTTAGCAGGCGATCACCGGAGGCGCCTTGACAGGCAGTTGCTGAGGCGCATTAGTAGCGCGCATCGGTGTCGCCGCCTTAGCAGGTAGTCGCAGGCGGCGCCGCCGCGTTCTTCGCCCGCATCACCCGCTCCCAGCTCTCCCACAACGGCGCCCGCGCCCCGCGCCCGTTGCCGCCCCGCCCGCCCAGCACACTCATGTGGTTCCAGGCATACGGTGTCGGCAGCAGCGAGTGCACCGCGTCCGCATCGTCGTCCCGCGGGAAATACACCTTGTACCCCACGAGCTGGTTCTTCCCCTGCGCACCGTGGTGCGGCGAGGCGTGGTGCGTGGTAAACGCAAGGGCCGACGGGATGTGCGCGAGGCTCGAGATGGCAGACGACGCGCTCGAGAGGGTGCGCGTGCGCGGCGTCGCGACACCTGGCGAGTGCTGTTGCTGGAAGTGCTGAAGTGTGGCGGTCGAAGAGGAGAACGAGGTCGAGCTCGAGATGCTCTCCGTCCGCCGGCTAGTGCGATCGCCCCGCGCCCGGTCGTGCTCCTCAGGAGGCGACGCACCCGTGAGTTGCGCATTGACATTGAGCGGAGCAAGCGCGCTGGTGGCGTGCCCCTCCTCTGGTATAAGCTCCGGAGTCTTCGGCTGGTGGTGGTCGAGAGTGTAAGATTTCGCGCGGATGAGAGGATGGGGGCGGAGTGGTGCATGTGCGATGGAGTGCGTGGACGGGGGGCGGGTCGATTGCGTGGAGATCGTGGATAGACGCTTGCCGTGCTTATGCGTGGGTGACGCCGGCTGGCTGCGAGGGAAGCGGGCGCGTTGCGGCATCGGCGTGCTCGTCTGCGGGGGAGGGGTGCTGGGCACGGTCTGCGGAACAGGCGGAGAGGTGGGCGACAGCGTCGATTCCGGCGACGGCGGCCCATGCCCGTTGATGTGCCCATTACCATAATCGTGCTGGCGGATAGGCGGTTGTTCGGGCTTCTGCTGGCGAGTCTGGGTTTGCGGCGACGGAGGAGCGAGGTGGGGCATCGTGGTTATGGGAGGCGGCTTTGCTGCTGTTGACGGCGGGGGCTGCGCCCTGTCGGACGGTTGACGGGGGCGCGGGGCATCCGATGTCGGTGGTCTCTGCTGCCTCTGCTCATGCACGTTGGCAGGGATGGCATCAGGAGCCCGCTGCGCGTTCATGTCCTGGAGGCGGCCGTTATCACCGGGTCGCGCCTTCGCCGCGATATCGTCCGGCGCAGCCTCCCTGCTCCCCGCCTGTTTCACTTCCTGCTCTATCCGCTTCTGTACGTTTTTCACCGTCTCCTCATTTGGCCGGCCGTCGTCGCCCGAGGGTTGGCGCGCAGGGGTCGTGGCGCCACTGTTATTCGCGCTGCTGACCCAGTCGCCATCGTCCTCGACCTCTTCCTCCTCTTCAGAGTCATCGTTAGCGCGAAGCGTAAAGCCGGCCTTAGTCCTCCGCGTGGTCGAGGTATTGGCTTTGCCGCGCTTCGCGTGCTGGTGATAAGGGTTCATCGTCTGCATGTGCGAGATGGTATCCTTCGATCGGACGCGGTGTCCGGACGAGGTTCGCGGAAAGGGGGAGGTCCTCCCAGAGGCCTGTGGCACAGGGAAACATGAGATCTGCGCACCACGGACGATGAAAACACTCTACGCACCTCATTCAGGTGCCCATGTTTCTTGCCTCTCAACGCAGGCGGATTCCCGGTCAACTGCAGGTGTGCGGGGACTGCTCCCGCAATCTTCGTCGTAGAAGACGAACGGGTATGGGAGTGCGTACGTGTGAGACCCGGTTTGTGCCCCTTCGGCGGCATGGTCGACGTAGACGATGAGAAGAGTATTTACCCGTATTTATTCTGATTCCTGATTGTTGAGGGGAACGTGTTGAACAAACAGCACAGCCACATGTCGCCGCATCGTGGCGACCCCTGAGCCACTCGAACTGAGGAGCCTCTCAACTGCAGCTCCCGGTACTTGTGCATGAGTCAGAGGTATTGCGGGATGGTATAGCATCTTTACTGGTGTGAGTGCTAACGACCCATATCGGGCGGATCTAAGCTTGCTACGCGCGTCCTACTACAACGTCACAACCACCTCCATCAGGCTATCCATTCCATTCACAGCTACGGTGATTCAAGGAATTAGGAAGACGGCCTCAGACGCTCGACTAGCTCCTGCTGTTTCTTGCGCTGTAAGCGGTCTTCTACCTCCACCTCCTTTGCCGCAGCTTCAGCCCAGCCTGCGAGGCCACCCGTCTCAAAGGCGCGGCGCAGGCGTGCCTCCGCGTCCTCCCACTTCCAATCTTGCTCAACCGCCGGAGAGACTGGCTCCGCAGGTTCCGGTGAAGGCTCGTCCGGCGCACGATGTATTTGTGCCGTGAGACCGGGCATCTTCTCCAGAATCATCAAGCGCATACGGCGTCCAAATTGACGCGCCTGCACGGGTTCCGGTTAGGGTTCAAGTGAACTCGTATCGTATAAGCAAGAGGATACGCACATCGTCAACGTCGAAATAGTACATCGCTCCCTGGATTCCAGCAAAAGCCCCAGCAACGACCAATGCTGTAGCTATGCCGAACGCTTTCGCAGTGTACAGCGCAGCATTGAAGTTGGGGTCTGGAGGAGAAGATGGAACTTTGAAGTCATCATCATCGTCGAAAGGATCGTGGTTTGACCGCCAAGACGCGGAGAAAGCAGGGCTCGCAGACGTCGGCGGTGCCGAAGCAGCGGCAGCGTCCAACTCCTTCTGGTCGACGATGAAGGCGCTCAAAAGAGACTTTGACTTCGTAGCGGAGCGAGCGGTCGGTGCGTTCGCCATTTGGGATGCAGCAGAGACAGATATCTTGTTCAGCGACTCCGCAAGCGCCGCTTTACGCTGCCATCGTAGGAACAGCAGCGGAGTCGCGATGGCCGCGCCTGAGAAGGCGACCTACTGCGAGGGTTAGCCTCCTGACTTCTTGTGAGAAGCAGCACACGCACCAGGGAGATAGGTAGCCATAGCGGCACCCTCTTGTTCTCCCGAGGCGGCAAGGGCTGGGCGTCTGGATGAAGAGGTGCAGACTGCTCAGACTCGGAAAGGGAGGACATAACCGCTTTGACCACGCGTCGCACAAATCCCAAACGGGAACTGACGTCACGACGACCCTTCCTCAGAGGCTCGAGTTCAAGACCAGGCAACGTAGGCATCGACGATGTACGTCGGGAGCGAGACAGACCTTTGCATTGCAAAGGAGGTATGCACGACCACGAAGTTACGCTCGGTCAAGGGCACCGAACAAGGGATGTACATGTGCCACACGATCATGCAGTATGATGTTCATTTTCTTCGTGCGTTTTCAGCAAACGAAGACCGTTCGATCAATGGCTGTCCCTAAATCTCAAGCAGCTCATGGTAGAGATGGTTTAGCGCTGGTGCGAGAGTAGTCTTTCGCATGCAACACATCCCAACGCTAAGTTGAACTTCAACGTGACGGGTCCTCGGCGTCTGCCGGAACGCAGCTGTACAGGCAGCCACTTGTGACCGCGTGACTCGATCTGCGCGCTCGCCGAGTCCCTAGCGTCGGCGACGAAGACCGCAAAGCGCAACGACAATGGAGCAATTACGGTACCTGGGCTCGCTCGAAGGCCACAAGGGATGGGTGACGGCCATCGCGACGTCGTCCGAGAACCCGGACATGATCCTCACCGCGTCCCGAGGTACTTACCCTCTCCTCCCCCTCCGATTTCCATCTAAGTAGCGCCCAGACAAGACGATCATCGTCTGGCAGCTCACCCGCGACGACGAGTCCTACGGTTACCCCAAGCGCATCCTCCACGGCCACAACCACTTCGTGTCTGACGTCGTCATCTCCTCCGACGGCCAGTTCGCCCTCTCTTCCTCCTGGGATCACACCCTCCGCCTCTGGGATCTTAACACCGGCCTCACCACCCGTCGCTTCGTCGGCCACAAGTCCGATGTCTTGTCTGTCAGCTTCAGCGCCGACAACAGGCAAATCGTCTCTGGCTCGCGCGACAAGACGATCAAGCTCTGGAACACCCTCGGAGAGTGCAAGTACGACATCAAGGAGGATGGCCACTCTGAGTGGTACGTAACCACGTGATCTACTCTAGATTTCTACTCATCCTGCTTTCCTAGGGTCTCCTGCGTGCGCTTCAGCCCGAACGTCCTCAACCCGGTGATCGTGTCCTGCGGCTGGGACAAGGTCGTCAAGGTGAGATCACGATTCCGAACATCTTCTCTTCGCCATGATGCATCATCTATATATTTGCTACTTCAGAGGGCTCGGCCCTATGAGACTAACTTTTCCACCAAGATCTCTGAGCTTCACACATGACCACTTCGTCTGTTCATGCCACTAACTCACTCACTCAGGTCTGGGAACTCTCGAAGTTCAAGTTGAAGACCAACCACTACGGCCACACCGGCTACGTCAACACCGTCTCCGTGTCGCCGGATGGCTCCCTCGCCGCCTCCGGTGGCAAGGACGGTATCACCATGCTCTGGGACTTGAACGAGGGCAAGCACCTCTACTCCCTCGAGGCCGGTGACGTCGTCAACGCCCTCGTCTTCTCCCCCAACCGCTACTGGCTATGCGCCGCCACGACGAAATGCGTCAAGATCTTCGACCTTGAGAGCAAGTGCGTAGTCTTACCTTATTCAACCACGCTGCTTTTCTAATATGCTATCCAGGTCGATCGTCGACGAGCTCGTCCCGTCGTTCGACGTTCCCGAGGGCGCGCGCCAGCCGGAGTGCGTCTCCATTGCCTGGTCCGCCGACGGCCAGACTCTCTTCGCCGGCTTCACGGACAACAAGCTCCGTGTCTGGACCGTCATCTCATAAGACGTTAGGGACGATGGATGACCAGGGGGGCTGCTGTCTGATGCTATATTGTTGTGTTGTACACTACATGTACGCTACTTTTCCACCTCAAAATTCAGACCGCGCAGACGGCCGGTTTCATATCTCAGGATTGTGCGAGACGCGTTGAGCTACCGCGAGTTGCATGTTGGAACACGGATCCCTTCATTCCAGGGTTATCGAAACAGCAACGATTATTGGTACAACAGCCGTAACGGTAAGGTAGAGCAACGGGAAGTGCAGAAAGCAACAGAGAAGAGACAAAGGCTAGTGTACAGACGATAGGTATACATACATGCAGGGCAGAGGCGAAGGGTATGACAACATGTACAAGTCATAAAGGTCGTGAATGGGTAAAAAAAAATACAACCGGCGCTGTACTTAGGACAACTGGATGCGTATAAGCTGCAGCGACGGTATTGCGAGTCGGACCTCGTTGGCGAGAGCGGCCTGCTCGAATTCATCCAACGTTCGGAAAGGCTGCCGTAGGACAAGACGCTCCAGGTGCCAGTCCTGGTAGCTTCCCTGCTTCGAATGGAGAGCGTCAGAGAAAGCGACCTGTGAGGTATGTTAGCAAAGCAGCCTTGACCGTACAGGAGCAGGATAAAACTCACCACACTGTGTCGACTTTCTTCATCATCGCCGATATCAACGAACGTGATCTCGAGCTTGCGCAGGAGCGGCAGCGCACGCGCGATCGTATCGAGCAACGAGGTGCTCAGGCGGCGCACACGCAGCTTGACGCGGCGAGCGATGTCCACATCGAGCGCGTCGACGAGAACCGCCACCTCCTCTGGCATGAGCTGCCGATCCGCGAGGACGAGCGAGCGCAGGTTGTTCGCGTGCACGCGCACCCAATCCGCAAGGGCCTCGACGTCGAAAGGTCCCACGACCGGGCGAAGCGCGAGCTCCGCAGACACTAGGCGTGGAAAGGATATCCCGCGAAGCGCGGAGAGCACCCAGCCTGGGTTCGACTGCGCGGCCGCGGGCGTCATGCGTCGTGTGCGGAAGGCGAGCCGGTGCAGCTGGCGGGCGTGGAGGAGGAGGAACGTGCGCAGGCCGGAGATGTCCTGCAGGTGCGCGCCATTGAAGGGGACGGTGAGATGGAAGCGGTCCAGGGCGCGAAAGGGTCCCAGATGCTCGAAGAAGGCGCTGAGGGCGAAGGGGTCGGAGGAGGACGTCACGCCGATCTCGAGGGACTGGAGATGTGCGCGATCGGGGTGTTCGACGTTGTTGGCGAAGAGGCGCATCTCCTCGACGAAGTGCATGGCGTGCGGTTGACCGTTCGGCAGGCAGAACTCGATGTGCAGCGTCTCCAGCGCAGGAAGGCGGATGCCCACGAGACGGTCTGTTAAATTGGTGGAGGGCGGGATCTTCAGTGATAGATGAATGAGTGATTGGCTCATAGCGCCGCTCAGCACCGGTTCCAGTAGTTGGGAGAAGAAGGCGTTTGAGTATGGCAGCTGCTCATCCCACTCGAGAGTGTAGCGGAGAGCGGGAGTTATGGCCAACGCAGATTGGATTCGCTTGATGCGACGATGTGCGCGGCATTCTGAGCGCTCATGGGCAAGCCGCTCTGCTTCCGCTGGTGATAGGACGCTGTTCAGACGCACCCACATGCGAAAGGGCAGGTGGTGCTTCTTGCGCCGGGACTCTTGCGAGATATCCCAGGGCCGTACGCGGACCTCGCGTACGAACGACGCCACAGTCTGGTCTCTGTGAGTGAACTGACCATTAGCTTCACGTATCTGCGTGGGCACGTTGATCACTGACCCAAGCAAGCGGACAAGGCGCTTCGTGACACGGCCATAGTCCTCGAAGTCAATGGCACGGTATCGGATAGCGCGGTATGTCTGCAGGCAGGTGCGGTTCACGGTAGCTAGAGCAGCTTGGACAGAGGCCGGGAGCAGGTCGAAGACATGGCGCCAGACCTCGACTGGGATGGCCATGGCGGGCGAGCGTCTTGGCCGCTCCGGGTTGAAGATGGCCACCGTGCCCGAGGGAGAGCGTGTCAATTCCAGGGCATCGACGTAGGACATTCCTTGGGGGGCGGAAGGATGGTCACCCTTGGTGGCGCCTAATGGGGCGGGCGCTCTTATATAGGACCATACACGTGTTGCGAAGAGAATACAATCAATCAAGGTGTTCGGTCATCTCGAGTCACAGGTTTAAAAGCGCACTTCAGCCATCCGGGAACCCCCGAGGAAGAAGAGGCAGATAGCATAGGAGCGCATGTTGAAACGGTTCAGTGTCCTGATGGAGGCTCTTGATGGAGAGGCGCATGTTCACAGATGAGCGTAGGGAACAAGGCATGCCGTAATAGGGAACGGAACGTTCACGGTGTCACATCAACGGTGCTTTCTCCTTACAGGCAATTCCAATTGGCCTCACGCTCACGAACATGCTGACCGGACGGTCCTCTATATCTCAAAGCATACCAGATCCAGCAGCAAAATCCTCATGGCCGAGTTTCTCCAGGCTGCGACACGAAATCGGACTGGGACGTTTGAGCAGCCGTCACGAGTCCACAATGGTGCGGGGCCTGATCCCGTCGCCCGAGGCCCATCGGACTTACGTTTCTGCGCCCCTCTCCGTCATTGAGGGGAATCAAAGGGAGTATTGTACTCGAACGACCTCAAGCACGAGCAGCCCAGCGTGACGGTCGATTGTTGAACTTTACCCTGTCACATGAGATCACGTTACCGAAGTTCTATGTGGCGCAGGCTTTCACTTGAATCCAGCGTCTTCCGCGTCGTTCTCCATTATCGGGGAAAGATTCTGTGACCTGGAAAGAGCCGAAGCAAACCCACCACTCAACCAATGGCAGAAAATTTTGCAAGGCTCTTAGCGGTCAGTTTGGCTTCAAAGCACTCATAGGTAGACCATCATCTTATTCGGTTCGCAGGAGCGATATCCCGTCTACAAGGCTCAATATCCTGGACAAGGAAGGAGATGGCGCCAGCAGCGTATCCTCCAGGAATTCTGGGAGAACCCGACCCCAGTATTCGATGTGTCTATGAGCCCTGTCAGTTCAACTTCGCGAGAACTGTGGCGAGGCTGACTGATTTCTCAATCTCAGACGAACACTGAGGATTTCTCTGAAGATCCGGATCCCTACGACTTTGCAGTCGAAGACGGCCCTGAATCGGGCGTACTGGTCCGCACCGACTTCAGCGACGATGCTGCTTTTCAGTCTTTCTGCACAGAGCTGAAGCAGGTCGAGCGCGAGTTCCTGGACACCTTGAGGCCCGACGAGCAAGCTGCTGGCACTTCGGCGGAAGCTGCTGCTCAGAACGAACCGTCGCAAAACGCTGAGGATGACAACTCCTCCGACGAGGAAGGCGAATGCGGCCTACCCAGCGCCATCATCCGCATCGTCGACCCATCGACGCACCCTGGCGTCGTCGTCCCTCGCGAGGTCTTCAAAGACATCACCAACCTCACCGCCCTGCGCATGTTCAACGAGCCAAGCGTGCGCTCTGCGCCAGCAGTCCCCGCAGGCAGTCGCCGCATCGCCCAGCCGCACCGTCTCATCGACCACGCGCAGCTGCAGGAGGTGTACTCGGGCATGACGATCTGGATCTACGATCGGCAGAGCAACACGGATCGGTGCGCACGGCTTGTCAGCCAGCAGGGGGACGCGTATGGGACTGCGACGTGAGTGACCTGCGTCGTATATGGCGCCCAGTTGTGAGCATCTTACTAATTTTGTTCGCAGCGGCGATAGCTGGCGCGCCAGAGTCTCGCATATTCCCGAACTCCAGTTCAACATGTCATATATGGGGATGCAGATCAACTTTGGAGGGGAGGATAGGTACGACTACTCGGAAAGAAAGAGAAATCTGGAGGACGCGGAGAATATTCCACCCTCAACGGCATAGTGCTTCGACCCTCTGTATGGCTAAATCCTTGCGGTGTCCGTCGATATGACGCCCCTCCGTTCACCAGTCTGTTGACTAAGCGCGAAGATGATGACGGCTTAGACCGTTCTGCCTGGAAGCGAGTGAGACGGTGTCAGAAAATCTGAACAAGCAACACACCAATTGACAGCGCTCAGCAAGTGAAATCGCGAGCGTGGTCAACGACAATCCGGAAGACCTCACTGGCCTCGACAGACCTCTCAAGAAAAAAAAAGGCGCAATTCTCGACTCGAGCGCAGTCGCAGCATTCGCCCTCGACCGCCTCGAACATCTCTCGACTTTCTGCACACATCGTCAGCGCTTCGATCCCTCGTTCAACACCAAGGCTACTAACGGAGTCCCCGAGGTTCCGCACGTTCAAGTGGCTGGAGGCATCTGTCCTCGACTAGCTCCGGCAGTTCTACCCACCGCAGGGGCTGACGATGGCGCAGATCGGCTGGGATGGATGGGCCCAATACCTTAATATACGTTAAGAGGGCATGGGAATATCTTCAGTGTACTGACGCACCTCGTTGACCTTCGTCCTCCGCCGGGGTTCCCTTAGGCATGACTCGCCCTGGCAAAGCGGGTGCTCGTGGAGCCTATGTACGCAGAGCATCAGGTTGACGGCCCAGACATTTTACATAGTAGATAGCGCCCTCCGGCAGCTGCGCGTCGTCCTCCACGAACTGGAGGGCGTACTGCTTCGGGCTTTCGCCCTCGACGGGGACGAGTGCGCCGATGTGGTGGCCGGATGGGCATTCGATCCGGAAGTCGTCGAGAATGAGGGACGAGGCGGTATCGGGGGACGCGTCCTCGAGGATGACGGAGGATGGGCCAGAGGCGGTATCATGCAGCGTCCAGTTACCGTGCTGGTGGACAGGGTCGTTGCAGGCCTTTGTGGACTTCACAGAGGTGACGTTGATGATGGTGATGGCACCGAGGAGAGCGAGAGCGATGGCGAACATGTTTCGAGGGATATTGGTAAGATTGGCTGGAAAACGAGATTGAGAGCTCGGACAGGTACCGTATGAGGCTGGCGAGATCATCCTTTATAGAGATACTTGTGCGGCTTTCACTGACCGGCTTAGATTATCAAGAGTAAAGTACGGCTCCATCTAGCCGCCTCGGAGAGGACGCGAGACAGTGTGTTTCCAGCGAACACCTCGGTTCGAAGCCGCAGCATCGTCCAGCCATACGTCTGCCCATTCAACCGTGGACCCAATTTGGAGAAGTCAAAGCCTAGTGTGCTTTGGTGTGCTGCCGAGGTTGTAGCAGTAGGTGCGATGCTGTGCGAGGGATTAGCTGGTGCTTTGAGAACAATAGGATCCGGGAGAAGGCATTGTCACGTCTGGGCTGTCAGCGGTGTCCGCGTATGCAAAGTCATTATTGAAAGATATCTGGGAGTCCGTACTTGCTGGTCACGCGTCCCAAGTTTTGCACCTCGGCCAATGGTTTCGAGTAGGCGAGGAGTGCTCTGGGGCTTAATGCAAAAAAACAAGCACACATTTGTTTCGCGAAAGCCTTGAATAGAGCTCTGTAGTGGCTGGAGCGCGTGGCGTGCGAGTTCTTTCAGCTAGTGTCTAATACCTCAATTTGGCACTGAGTTCAGCTGAGCGTGATCTTCAGCCATGCTGACGTGGGCACTGGACTCGCCAGTAGTACGATCGCATTGGGCATCGGATGCAGACCCTGGGAGAGCGCAGGAACCTTTTGACTTCCACGGCAGGGGAGAATCCACGCAGAGACATTGTTGGCGATATCAGATACGAGAAGACATGCAGCGGAAGTACAATGTTGGAGGCCAGCGTATAAGATGCGTAGGAGACTCGAATTGATGGCCAAATTAAATTCTCGGGAAATGCCGTCGACCAATAACTCGCCTCTTCAGCTTGCTCCTTCACGTTATCTCCGAATTTCTCGCCAAGCGGCAGTGCAAACCAACGACGAAGATTCTCCCAGAAAGACGTTGATACATCCTGAGGCTATACTAGTAAGACCCGACACAATTGCAGGAATGGCAAAGGACAGCGACACGCGCAGCGCATTTGATTGACGTTCATACAGAGCAAGAGCAAACAGGCATACAAGCCTAAGTACATACGTCGAAATATCATCTGGGACAACAAGCTGCGTATATACAGGATCAAACACGATAGAATACACATACAAAAGCGGCTCACGAGCATTTGGTCCGCATTCAGCGAATTTTTGCGGCCAATTGGGTATCTCTTTTCGGGAGTTGCACACTATACAACAGTCGTGCGCTTGACGGATGTTAGTCGCATAGCGCCTTCACCACGCTTCGGGCATGGGTACCTGGTCGCCTGTCCATCCGTTCGTGCCAGTCATGTTGAGGAAGATCCCATCCGATCCGTTGACCGGCAGACCCAAGTCCGTCAAACTCTGCACGTCGTTGTCAACACCCTGTAGACCTGCTGATTCCACAGTCTGCTCACCTGCTCCTGTAACCACGGCGGGATCGCACTTGGGCTGAAGAAACCACGCTCCGACGGCCACACAATCCCCAGCTCCTCCATCGAAAACGGCTGCGGCAGCGACGGGTCCACATACGTCGGGCTCATTATCATGTTCTCTGCGAACTGCGGCGGCTGCATCGTCGCGGGCGGTGGCGCAGGAGCCGCCCCACCCGCCATCCCGACCTTTCGGCGCAGGTTCGCGAGCATGATGCGCAGGGTGAGCGCGTAGCGCTCCGCAGCGACGTCGCTCAACAGTTGGCTAAGCTGCTCGACCTGGTTGATGATCTGCACGAGGTCGAGCTCGCCCGGGAAGAGGTTTGCCATCTTGAGCAGGAAAAGACCAGAGAAGGCGGCGGTAACCAGCGAGTCGTGCACGGCATAGCGGAGGGCGGCGCGATACTCGGGCGAGGAGAGGAAGATGTGGAGGCAGGTCGAGGCGGCGTCCTTAGCAGAGAAGGCGAGCTCGCGTTGTTCGAAGGGCATCTTGTCCCAGGAAACTCCGCGAAGGGCGACGCAGACGAGCCAGAGCTTGGCGTAATGTAGCTCGCCGGCGAGGATTTTGTGCAATAGCGAGTGCTCATCCATGCTCTGGCGGTGCATCTCGTTACACTCTTCCCACCATTTGTCGAGTGCCACATTCGCGCGACGAATGAAGGACAAGGTGGCATGGTTGACCTCGTTCAGCGGCGCCAAGGTTTCATAGATTTGGGCTGCACGGAATGGATTAGCTGGATATATGTCAACATGGAAGGGAACATACTCTTCTGAGCAACGAGCTCCACCAAAGCTACCAAGCGGACGTCCGTCGGAGAGGCCATAGGATGCTTGAGTAGCAACCGGCAGTGGCGGATCGAGCTCTCGTCCCGGAGTACGATGGGGCGGCCCGTTCCAAGGCTCATCTGATGATCAAACCAATAGAGACAAAGCCAGATGCGTGCTGAAACCACGAGGTCGCGTTCTTCCTCGTCCGTCCGCTTCTTGCTATCGTCCGCGAGCTTCTCGAGGGCACGATGGAGGCCAAGATCGAGGGCCATGCGCATCGCGTGGCCGCTGGGAAGCCACCCATTGGTGCTCCAGGCAGCGAGCAGGAGCATGCCTGTCACTGACGTGAGCTCCCATCAATCGTTGTATGGGCTTCGTTAATTACCTTGTACAGCTTCCTTGCGAACAACAGGCCCGAAGAGGGAGGACCGTGCGATGCCTTGGGCCTCCTCCAGGCATTTGTAGAAGGTCGGGCTCAGCGGACCGTTGCCGCTGCGAATCTTGCCCGCGACTGCCAGGATGGCGTCGAAGGTCCAGGGCGTACGTTCCATCAAGCTTTCGTACGTGTCGTACATGGGGTCAAAGAGAGGGATGAAGAGATGACATCCCGAGAAAAAACTGTACATTGTGAGCCGGAATCTACGTATTGCTCGCCGGCACATACATGTTGTACAGCTCGCGTGCCTCCTGGTCGCTAACCAGGCCCTAGGATGGATTAGTGACTTTGTATAGGAGGAAGTCAATCAACCTCACCTTTTCGACTACGTGCGGAAAGGCATTGCGCGGGATGGGTTCGGCGCGCTTGCGCTTCTTGACACGATGTGCAGTAGAGGGTACAGCGGCGGCCTCAGCAGCAGCATTAGCCAAACCCTGGAGGGCCTCAATAGGGGCGTTCAGGGCGGCGCGTGGCAGGGTATCCTCTGACTCGTCATCCGACGATGGCGCCGTGCTGGGCACGATCCCGTACGTCGCGTACTTGTGCGGCTGCGCGGAGATCAGATGACGAGACTGGGCAGGTGATCACGGGACGTACCGGGGGCGCAAAGCCAGGCAGCGGCGGGAAGTCGCCCCGAGGGCGGTCGCTGTCGAAGCCGTTGCGGGGAGGATGAGACGGCGGGTACGGGCCATCGCGGGGCGGCGGGGCGGGAGCGGGAAAGAGCGGACCGGGCGGGGCCATGTTGCCGGGCGCGCCGGGGGCGGGGGGAGGCGCTGGGCCACCTTGGACGGCGTGCAGGATGCGATCGAGGGAGGTCTGCAGGCCGATCATCTGACTTTGCATAACCTGGATCTGTGTTGGCTGGGCAGTATGGCTGGATGGCAGGAGACGCACCACATATTGGTTCTCAAGACGAGCAAGACGTCTGGGGGCGAGTCAGCATCGTGGGGGAGAGCGATAAGGGGCTGACGGACTCGACGCTGGGCCCATTTAACGGATTCAATTTCTTTTCTGGCTTCTCGAACACGCAAGGGGTACCACTGAGCTGACAGCGTCTGCAGGGCGCCTGCGGTGGACCGACGGCCCGGTGAGCGGGGTGGGGGGAGCGATAAAGGGATTTACTCACCTCGCCCTCGCATCTGTTCTTTCCCTTGCGACAGGCGGTGCAGGCGCGAGCCCCGCGCTTGGGGATGTGGGACTGGTTGGGCTGCGACGGCGAGAGCTGCTGCTGGGGCATGCCCTGTGGGGGCGCCGGCCCGCCCATGAGATGGGCCGCCATGTTGGCGTCGCTGCCGTTCTGGCGGCGTCGCTTGTTGGGCTGGCCGTTGTCAGAGCCGTTGGAGATGGCGGATGCAGTCGGGCTGAGGGACATGGCGCCCTCGGTCATATAGTCGAAGTCGGCCACGGTTGCTGCCTGCGGGGGAATCCCTCGACGTTCTGCGCTCAACAAGCTCGATACATATTTCCCGGCGACCGCCCCGGTTCCCACGTGCGCTCCCGTGCCTGGTTCCCACGCTATCACGAACATCAACAAGATCAACCCGCCTCTTTACCTACATCACAACCGCCACCCGCTAACTCCACTGTGCGTACCTCGCTTCTCGATGATCTACCCTCGCGGGATAGGACCCCGGAATATACGCACATACTACACCCCCCACGGAAAAAAATTGCGGTCTGGCTCTTGATTGCTTCTCCGTTCGTAGAGCCAAGGTCATGACCCCGAGTAGGCTTGCTACACAGATAGGTAGTACGCCTACGAACGTACCTCGCGATAGGGCCTGTGTCAGTGAAGGGCTCAAGATGCGTGGGAAAACCCGTCCTTCCCGGGAGCCCCGATTTCGTCAAGTTGTATTGAGACAATGAATTTTTGCATCGTCTATCCGGGTATCGCTAAAGAGAGTGTAGTACTAGAAGATTGTTTTGCTGCTACTTATATATATTGATAAGGAGGGATATACACGTTATGACGGCAAGAGCAAAAACATGCATTTTCTCGATTTGTCCATGCTATTGTACAGGACTAGGTGCAGAGAGCATGGCGTATGTAAGAGGGTACTACACATATTGATAATACATAGATATGGTTAAGAGATCTGCTACTTGGAGCTATCGGTGAGGAAGGATTTCTTCATGACACCGACCGAGATATAATGAGGTGACATAAAGAGTCCTGCAAGATAGTATCGAAGGACCTAGTAAACACATGCAATGTGGCATTCTGTGAAGGAGTAGATGTGCTCTCAAATAAGGGTGGTCACGATGGCTGACATCCACTCATAGCAGCTACCGACAATGGAAGTCGAACCGTGGGAGACAACTCATGTGACACTTTTGATCGTCACGTGTGGCGCCGCTCTCGTCACGCCGATGTCCAACTCACGTCGCATGGTGGAGAGCCGAAGGGCGACTGCACTCACACTCAACAGGCCACCAGCTCACTTGACTTACTGAGGCAGGAGCTCTCCCGAAAAGCGGGGCAAGGGTCCCCGACCGTGCCCGCAATTTTTTTCCGCGGCGGGGTGTAATAGGCCGTCCTGGAAAATCCGGCTCTAGCGCCTATTTATCCGCTTTTTTCTTGGGCCCTCGACCCCCAGATTTATCCGTTTTCCGGAACGGCCTCCAGGGACCCCCAGGATTTATCCGTTTTCTCGGGATGGCCTTCAAAAATGGCAATAAAATCGGGAAAAATCTGATTTTTTCTCACAGGGTCCATACGCGCTTTGCGCGTAGCCTCTGCAACGAAAGAAGGTTGAGACGTACGAATGAGAAAGTTAATTATCTCCCATAGCCATTCGAGGTGCTACCACGCACCGCTGTCCTTCGAATATCGAGCCTGCCAATGGTAGAAGGTGCCAATGGGCACGAGAGGTTGTGTAGGGTGCTACTGCCCACCGAAACAAAGTGGTCAATTAGTGTACCGGTATCGCGTGCGTCTGGTTTGAGGGTAGGTCGGAGGTTCGAATCGAGCGCCCGATATCCACTTTTTCGGAACGGCCTCCCCGTCTCCCCTGTATATATCCGCGTTTTTGAACTGGCCTTCGAGCCCTCAGGCCCCCAATTTGACCGTTTTTTGGACCGGCCTACCGGCCGGGAGCCCCACGATTTATCCGCACCGCTGGACGGCCTATATGCGTATATTCCGGGGTCCTCGCGGGATCTGAAGTCTCTTCTAATTCTACAGACCCTCGCTCGTTTACAACAGTTTTCTCTTATTGTGTCGGCCAAATCTCGAGCTATCTCGCCCTTTCCCCCGTCAGCAGCCACCCTCGTCTCCACTGCGTACATACGCGCCATAGAACGCCCCCTACCGTCTCCTCCCACTCTCCCTCGTGTCTAAATGACCCCTCGGACCGTTCAATGCTCTCCGACGCAGCTGATCTCAACTCGCGTGCGCGCGGGGCTCCATCCTCGACTGGCGAAATAAGCTCAATAGAGACTTTTCGACTCCGCGCGAGGGCCGCAGCACCTCTGCACCTGCACCTCCTCGGTCGCATCACCCCGGCATGAGACGGTCGCAAATGACTTTTATGGCCGAGATGCGCGTCGATGTCGTCTGACCGCCTTCCCTTTCGACACCGAGACACATTCTGTCGCACGGAGAGAACTTGGCAAACTGCGCTCCGCCCTCGGGTCCTCCAAGTCCATATGAACGGCGCCCCTGGCTTGATGAAGAAGCACTCGACAATAACTGACGAAGTCGGATTTCGGACCGTAAAGGCGCCCCATCGTTCGCACTCGGGGAGGAACTGTGTGCTTTCCGAAGCTATCTGAGGTTATCACTGGGGCCGCACGCGTCTCAAGACCCACGGGCGCCCTCTTTGAACTGTGGCGTACGTGTAATCGCCTTCTTTGGTTGCAAATACGATGTCCGCGCGCGTGCTTCAGAGCCTTCGAGTCCGCTGGCCCACTATGTTGGTACTCCCCATGACGCTCCGCTCTCTACTGGTATGTGTCTCGTCCTCGCCGGCGGCTATATTTTAACCTTCTATCCGCATTCAGAACTTGCTTAGGTCCTCGTCGCGAGACCCACCTCCTCAGCGTGCGGGCCGCTGGCATCCAGACGAAGCCTCTGTGGTCCTTCCTCCAACACGGAGTTCACGAACTCCTGCGCGGCATCCACGCTATAATGGAGCCTCACGTATCGCTACAACTCGGCGCCAACGAACACCGTTCACAACGTACGCACGTCTCAGAGTATAAGCTCAGATCTCTCGGGTCGGTGGGATTTTGAGGCCACGCAGGAAACAAACTCCATAAGCTCCTTCGCCGCCGTCATTTTTCTCATTGATTGCCACATAAGTTCTTTCAACCTTTTTCTCAGTCCCTGAACGCTCATAAACTCCGCTAACCTAATTTTCGTAGGGGCTGGAAGCCGCGCATCTTTATTGTGGGATTTTATGTCGTAACTTCTCCGAGGCACTGGAAACCGCAACATAATGAAGAAGACAGGGACAGACTGCGGTTTGAATTATACACTGGATGCCATGACTACTTGGGGAGAATAGCGAACGACTTGGACGACGGAGACGGGCGCGCATGGCCGCTATGCCGAGAGCAAGCTCCTGGACCCCGCTCTCACCGTGATTTCTACCCTATCCGTGTACGACATACAGACAAAACGAGGGTCAAGCTGACCGAGGAGCGGATGGCCGCATTACGCCAGGGAGGCGGGTGGAGAACGAGAGGGAAGCGGGCGAAGTTACGAGATGAGAGTTCTGGAGCAGCGATGGTAATTGCGCCGTTCGGGTCGACCAACCACGGTCGATCCATCAAGCGCAGTGCTGCGGTCCTGAGAAGTAGCGACTCCAGAGTAGAGATGGAAGATGACGATTAGTACAACACGGTCTACGAGCCCCTAGCGATACGTAGCTGCCATCTTTCTCAGTCGCCGCCTTTCTTGTCGTGCTTAACGAGCTCCGGCGTCTTCTCCTGCCATTGACAGGTAAGTACAAGACCAGGAGTAAGTCTATCGCGCTCGAGTGCCCAGCTCATTTGTGTGTACCGAGCTTCGAACACGCTGTCAACATTGTGGTCCGGCATTGCGCGCCGGAAGCTGAACAAGCTCCAAGTCACGACATGCGCACGCGCCCACACCTATACGCCACAACATGCCAATACACGCCCGTCAAAAGTTCGCTCTCATGGTCGAAGTCCGCTGTTGTCGCGCCCGCTGTCCTTTCACTCGATGGAACGGTCTTGTGGGCCATAAGAAAGTAGAAAAGTGGGCGCAGCCGGGAATTGAACGGATATACATCTTGGTCCGGTAGCTGCTGGCCCCTCCTCCCTCACTCCCGCCTACCCTGATTCTCGTCGCTCATCCTCGCCCGCATGGCGCTACTATCATAGACCTGCATAGCGAGTGGACAAACGCCCGAAGCACGTATCATAATACAAGATCACTGGGCCGACGCTGAGGAGCCCCCTTTCCACGCCGACGCGTATGGGCTTTCGGTCTTGATTCTTTTGAGAAGACCGACCCCATCGTTCGAGATGCTTATAGAGGAAAGGGACAAAACGAGGTGACAACACTTTCCTACCGAAAGTACCATAGCAAGAATCACCTCCAGATTCGAAGAACAAGATTGCGCACAAGTATATTTGCATTACACCCACAGGAAATGAGTAGGCAATTCAACATCTGCCTTCGCTACAATCTCCTTCAACCCCTTCCCGCCGTCCACGCGCTCGAACATCTTCACCCCACCACCATTCTGACCACCCGCAATCAGATACTTGTCGTCCGGCCCACCGACGACCAGCCCTCGCAAATGGTTGAGCCCACTCCGCACCTGCGTGACAAGCTTCAACTTCTTCGACGATGGGTCAACGGGCTCGAGTATAGAGATCAGGTCGCCATCCGGTGAAAAGTCGTTGCGATCGGAGACGTAGATGTACGGCGTCGGGAATGTTGCGTTAGGCGTCGGGATGAGGAGCTCGGCGGGCAGGTTCGGTGGCGAGGCGAGTGGCACCGAGTCGAGCAGCTCATCCTCCTTTGGAAGTGGGGGAAGGGTATGCGCCGTTACGACGTCGCTCAGCTCGCAGATCGTGTACAGAATGCCCTCTAGAAGACAAGCGTGAGTACAGCCCGTTTTTGCGCCATTCACATACATACCATACACAGCGAAATGCCGCGGACCCGCACCCGCAGCGAAGGAGATCTCGCCCCGAACGACATACTGCCCGCCCTCCTTCTTCAGTCGCCAAATCTTGTCGGCGCCCAGATCCGCGACAAGGACTTCATTGTATGTGGGTATCTTCACAGCGTAGTGCGCGTGGGACTGCTCCTGCCGCTCCTTGTTCGGGCCTACGCCCTCGAAGGGGATGACTTGAGGCGAGGACCCGACGAAGTATGGCTGTTCAGGCGTGATAGGGAGAACCGCAAGGGTGCCTGGCAGATACTGAGAGGCGCTATGAGCAATGGCTGGGCCAAGGATCGATTGCACGCACATTCGAGGCAAAGATCTCGTCTTTGGTGACCCAAAGCGCGCAAGGTGCTTGTCCACCCGTCGAATTCTGCGCCACAACAGTACCCTCCGCCTTCTCCCGATCGTACCGAAACGCCGCAACCTGTCCATCCTCGCCCTCCAACGCCGCATAGATCAGGGTATCATCGCCCGGATACGAAGCAAGCCAAGAGGGCCTGTCCCCCGCCTTCGTCGCCCCGATCTGCTCGAGCGTGCCCTTCTCGGCGTCGAACGCGAGGGTGACGATGGTGTCAGTGTAGGAGCCGACTAGGATGTGATAAACCATGGTGGGAGGGAGCAAGGATGTAGGATGAGGATCGCGACATGATAAAGTAGCGCGTCGAGTGTGAGATGACTGGCTGATGACAGGCCCGATAAGTCCCCGAGTGAGGGATATCGGGCAATCGGTGCGGGATCCGGGCTTCGAGTGGCAGACGGAGGCAAATTAAACGCGCAAGAAGACGCCGAGTCGGAAACCGTCGGTGGAGGCAACAGATGTGCACTGTTGGCGGTCGGAGTAAGCAATGAGACGCTTGAAGTGGGTTGTTTGGCTCCTTTCTGCACGTCTGTCCAATTGTGGCGCGCAACTCGCTGTGAAGTACAACTGATCAGCAGATCAAGCCGACAGGGCTTTCAGCATCTCCGTGCCGACATTATAGCTCGATACAATACAAGGAGAAATACGAAGGGCAAACATCCTCACGAGACCGAGCGAGCTGGACGATAGGGGACAGTGAGCAGATAGCCAAGACGGATTGCGCATTCTGTGGCTCACCTCCAAAGTCACGTCAATGCTTAGTAGAACACAATTCCCTTCATCAGTATCCTTCCCGTCCTGACCACACGCGCACTCTTGACGGACCCATCCTCCGCAAATTCCGCCCCCACGTCCATTGTGCCACCAGGATGCCGTATTTTTACCAATCCTTCGTCTTGGAATTCCCTCTTTTCCCCCGCTCGCGCTTGCTGAGCAATCCTATGCGCAATCGTGCCTTCGACGTTCGCTGCCACGCCTAAACATAGGCCGAGGGCCATGGGCACAGCCTTGTGCAGCACGCCCATCGAGAGAGCATGCACTACGATGTCTGCGTCGTCCTCGGGGTCCGGAAGGCTGAGCATGGCTATCTTGGGCTGCGCTTGTGCAGTGGGATCCAGACCCATCTTACGCGCTCCTTCCTGGCGCAGGCCTTCCAAGACGCGGCTTCCATTGTCCAGTGCGCTCTTATCTCCGCGAAGATATCCTTCGAGAGGGAATAGGGAGCTGACCTCGTCCGCGTCTACGAAGACCGTCGGATTCGTGGCATCGACGCAGGACATAGACAAAGCAGACGTCCCGACGAAGACGCGGTCGATCGGCGCCCCCGGTTGGAAGCAGCTTTCCCGTCCGCGCGCCCGCCGGACTGAGGAAGTCCAGCAGAATCTCAGAAGCTTTTCCCGGAACGCCGGCGACGGAGGCTTGAAAGAGATCAAGCTGCGGTCGCCCGTCATCGTCCATGGGGAACGTCGTGTCGATGATCTTCTGCGTATTCGTGTTGAATGAGCGCACTGTTCGCTTGTCGAGGCCCGACCGACGGTCCACGAGGCCTTCGTCGAGTGCATAGGCGCCAATCATGCTCGAGAGGTTCCCGCAGTTGCCCGAGATGTCGATGGCGTCGTCGCGAATGCCTACCTAGGGGCGTCATCAGTATAAGCAAGGGCGAGTGCACCAGACGTACTCGACGCCTTGCTCCCTCAGCTCGGGAGAAGCCGTGCCGACAACGCAGACCTTGCTCAAGCTGGACACGCCCCCGCCTATACCGTCCAGCTGTCGCCCATACTCTGGGTCTGGCGAGCCCATGATGCCGAGTAAGATGGGTTTCCACTCAGAGATATCTCTCGGTATATCGTTTCTACGGAGGAACACGCCCTTCGATGTCCCTCCACGAATGAACGATGCTGCAAGGCCCAGAGTGCGGGCTTGCATACTACCAAGACGCTGAACCGACAGTAGCAGCTTTTTCATGGGCCTATAGGCGACGCCTTGAGTGAGGCGCAACAATAGGCGCGCCGTCATGGCGAAAGAATGTGGTGATGGACAAGAAATTCAGAGGGCGCATGACCCTGGGTGTACGCGCGCGACGTCACGCGCATTCCACGTTCCACGACGAGCAGGCAATAATATTGTCTGAAGCACGCGAGAAGTTTGTGACGGGATGATGGCGTCCAAGTGAAAGCGAGAACATCTAGGATGTACTTCGAGCTGATTGCCGTCAGAAGGAGGTTCAACTTTGGTCTTGTTTGCTTTGGACGGACCGGCCACGTGATGACCTGGTATTTTGCGCGATCGCCTCGATCGCGCCTCTTGTCTTCGCCCATCTCCCGTCCCTTTCCTCATCTTTTTCTCCCCTTTCCCCTTCCTCTCCATAAGTTATACTGTAAACGTCCGCATGCTCTGTTCTACTCTTCCCTTCTGATCTGTGAGTACCTTTTCCTTATCTATCCAAGATGAACCTTTTGCCGCCCCAGTCGTTAGCCAAAAGGCCATGACGATCGGTCAAGCATACAGCCAAATTTTGCACCTCTGACCCCCATTCGCGTCTTTTGCTCTCTTCTTATACTGACATACTCACCCAGAATTTCCTCATCTTGCGTCCCACATCATTCACATCGTAGCAGTCCACCGAAAATCATTGTGTATGCAACAGTGAGTATACTTCTCGACCACCTCCTGATGACAAACCTCTACACCCATTACTGGAGGCTCCGGCCGATGGGGATTACCCACACAAAAAACTAAGAACAGCCAACTGATCCCTCGTCGCTCATGCTCGTCCTGAACTTCGTGCTTACGATCCTCCGCAGATGTACATGTACTTACCTATGTCGAATGAGGAATACACTTTTGCTTGCATATATCACCTTACACTGTCTGTCGTCCAGCGTCCTCGGCCACCGACATCTTGTCAAGCTGCTCTTGCTGCCGCTGAACTAGACTGGCACCTTGTCACCCCTCCCCATGAGTCCCTTCAGCTTCATCGTGTCATTGCCATGCAAACGAGTCCTCCCTAAATGCGTTAGATACATACATTGTCGTCAGGCGTCTATCGCCGTCGGGGCGCTCCGCCGCCGAGAAACCCGTATATAATACAGTCACCGTGAGATTCTGCTGTATCCGTCGCGCTCTCACCGTGTGGGCAGTCGCATTGTGATACGAAGAAGGCGCGTCGAGCAGGTGGTTATCATCCCTATCACGGGCACTCCAGCGATCTGCTGACGTCGAGGGCCCAGCATCTTGCGGTCAGGTCATATAGCATTGCCCGGGGTCAGATCATGAGTCCCACCCTCTTGCTTCCCTCCTGCAACGTGTGGGGCCTCGGCGACGTACTCGCGGCAGCCATGACACGCGTTGTGTGGTATCTGACCGCGTTCTGCGCGTCGTTGAACGTGTTTCCAAACGGTGGCGCGATCACTGGTGTCCTGGGACAGCATAATGATGGAATATACTTGCTGGGACTTGGTGCGTGGCCGTGCGATGAGCAGGGTGCCCGTGGCTGACCGGAAGTCTGCAGGAACGGGAGACATCACTGGTCCGGTCGTCGAGACGAACATGATGGTGCGCGGGCATGAGCCACTTCTGCTGTAGACGTGCTGAAGAGCAACACAGGGATATGCCTCGCTCGCCCAGACCGACACTGGTCAGTTCCCCCTCATGAAAGACGCGTACCATCATGCCCATCCTTTCTCTCAGGTCTTCACATGCGCCAGCGCAGCCGTGCCTTCATCGTCGCAGACGCGTCCTCCCCGAATGACCGCATCCTCTTCATCAACTCTGGTGCGCCCTTCCACGCATATATGCGTGACGCGACATGCTGACGCGCCCAGACATCGCCATGGGCGACACGGGCGTCCGTCGGCAGATCGTCAATCGTTTGGAGGCACTGTACCCTGGCGTGTACACGAACCAGAACATCGCGCTAGTCGGCACACACCAGCACTCCGGCGTCGGCGGCTACCTCGAGAACCTGCTCCCCCAGATCACCGCGCTCGGCTACGTCAAGCAGACCGCGCAGGCCATCGTCGACGGCACCGTGCTCGCCGTACAGCGCGCGCACGAAAGCCTCGCGGAGGGTAAGCTGAGCGTCGGCAACACAACCATCACGGACGCGAACCGCAACCGCTCCCCGACTGCGTATCTTGCGAACCCCGCTGAAGAGCGCGCGCGGTATGAGTACGACCAGGACAAGGACATGTCGCTTCTGCGGTTCGACGACTCTGACGGCAACGCGCGCGGGCTGTTGAGCTTCTTCGCGGTGCATGGCACCAGCATATACGAGGTTGGTGACATTGGATCCCGGCGCATGCGTCATGCTCATGTTGTCCTACAGAATAACACTCTGATCAGCACTGACAACAAAGGGATGGCCGCCTACCTGTATGAAGGTACGCGTACATATTATCGTGATATATCTTCCTCGATGCTAATAAACGCACAGCTGCAGTAGAGCCGGGCGCGATGCCGGGCAATGCGACGTTTGTGGCAGGTTTCACCCAAGGTACGTTCGTGGGCAGTCCCGCGCGATACGCAGCCGATGTTGACCTCTGTATTCGCAGCCAACGTCGGCGACACTAGTCCTAACACGTAAGTCGGCTGAGCCACATAGGTCCCATGGGCTTAGTGGATGACCTTACCGGGCGTAGGGAAGGCGCATTCTGTGAGAGCCCTGGGAAGGAGTACGACGGTCTGCCATGCGAAGAGGACCACTCCACCTGCGGCGGCACAGTACAGGATTGCCACGGCAGGTATGTATTCCATCGATCGGCTGGGCTTTCCCCCATGTCAAGTGTGATGCGGTGCTAAACATTGCACTTACTAGGGGACCGGGATTCCGCATTTCCGACTATGAATCGAACCGCATCATTGGCCAGAAGCAATACGACGGCGCGCGCGCGATCATGGAGGGCTCGCGGTCGGCAGTCAGCGGCGCCGTCAGGAGTGTGCATGTTTACCTGAACATGTGTGTTCTCCTCGGCTTCGCCTCGTGCGCCAATACAGCGAACTCACCATCCTTGACAGGGCGAACCACTCGTTTGCATTGCCCAATGGCACGGAAGTGCAGACGTGCCCTCCAGCAATGGGTAAGACCCGACGGTGATTGTGCGTATAGGCGGTCATGTCTGACGATGATTCGTAGGGTACGCATTCGCCGGTGGAACGACGTGAGTCCGCAGAACACTTCGGTATGTTGCCGTTTTTGAAGCACTTGACAGCGATGGTCCTGGTGCCTTCGGTGAGCGCAGTTCTGTATGCGAAGATGTCCTCGGCCAACGGTTCGCTAGACTTCATCCAGGGCGACAACTCCTCGGAGCCACAGTAAGAGACAGAACCTAATCAGTCTCCGACTGTCCTTGACCCAGTTCTTCACTCGTGTGCAGGAATCCGTTCTGGGAGCTCGTCAAAGGTGCGGTTTAGCGTTCTGCTCGGGCGCTCTAAATTAATCAGACATCTTGCACTGGTTTAGGTGCCATCACGCCGTACCCCTCTCAAGCGCAGATAGATTGCCAGTACCCTAAGCCCATTCTGCTCAACACTGTATGTAAATTGCCTGGGCGTCTTTTTGCGGTCTGCCTGACCTTTCTCCAGGGATACGCCGATACGCCTTACAGATGGTCCCCGCATACTGTTGACATTCAAATGCTCCGAGTAGGAAACTTCGGTGAGCGGGCTCGACCAACGATGACAAGGTTCGCCTCACTAACACCCATCGCTGCTTGCAGTGATGCTCATCATGCCAGGTGATGAGTCTACTGCTCCTTGCTCCTTCGAGAGGAACTCAATCTCTGTTACGTAGGCGAGCTTACCACGATGGCGGGACGCAGAATTAGGTTCGTCAGCGTCTTCCCCGGCCGCAACTGCTTCTGAACTCACACAATTTCCAACTGCGTTCTCCGCCGCCGTGCTTCTCGCTCGCCGTCCATCTAACATGGACATATGATCCTTTCTTCGCTGTCAAAGGGAGGCCCTTCGCTCGGAGCTCATCGCATCAGGTGTTCTGGGCGAGGATGCGTATGTAGTCGTCGCCGGGCCGGCCAATACCTACGCCCACTATGTGACCACCCGCGAAGAGTATGGTGTGCAGCGATACGAAGGCGGCTCGACTATCTTTGGCCAATGTCTGTCTCAATCGCTGCCTGGACGCCGCAGAACTGATGCTCTATGTTTCAGACACGCTCGAGGCTTACATCGACAAGTACTCAAGCTTGGTCCCGTACCTCGCTGACGATGTCAACGGCACGCCTGAAACCGACGAGGCGCCCTCTGACCTCACGAAAAGCGCCATCTCGCTCCAGGTACGACCTTGTCAATCCTCAGGGCTTGGGCGCAAAGACTTTGTATTGACTGGGTGCCTCCCAGACGGGCGTGGTTTACGATTCCCCAGGCATAGGTCACAAATACGGCGACGTGTTGGCGGACGTCGGCTCTTCGTATTCAGCGGGCGATACGGTCACCGTGCAGTTCGTTGGGGCCAATCCCAGAGTAAGCCGCAGTCGATGTGCTCGTGCGATACTTGGCTTCTCACACGTCTTAGAATAACTTGCGGCTCGAGCAGACCTTCCTTTCCGTCGACCACTCGGACGGTGGCAAGTGGAAAGCGGTCAGGTCGGACTCCCATCCATCTACCAAGTACGAATGGGTTCGGACGAGCACTGTGAGTCTCGGCATGTCGTTCAGAATTCATCACTTCAATTATGTGCATCGCAGATCCTGGGGACCAGTAGTGTCAACATATCATGGTACGCCTTCTCGACTACCTTTCCACAGAGCTTTGCTGATCCGTGGATGCAGGACTATCGAGGACGGCACGGCAGGTAAATTCTACCGACCTCTTCTCCCATGCTGCTTGATTGAACTTCGCTCACAGCCGGCACTTATCGTATTGCTTACTTCGGCGACGCTAAAGCTGCTGGGAGCGGCGCCATCTCCTCGTTCACCGGGCATTCTTCCAACTTTACGATTGTCTAACGACCTCTCTCACTTACGACCCTCCCTTTGTACTTCTCGTTCTGGAAATGCATTTATTTGTCTTCGCTTCGGTTCTATTCGCATGCAACTTTGGTTCACCGTCCTTGGGGTATCTGATTAAGTCAAGGACGGCACTGAATAGTGAATACAGTAAGAGTAAATACGGCGCTCAGGGTGGCGTGCAACAGTAGATGAAGTGTTGGAAGTCGGTACATACAGGCACATGTTCCAAAGGAGTTCATTAATCAAGAAATGAGATAAAGTGCAGGGTAGTTGGTATATGCAGTACAGTCTCATCATGCAGGGAAAGCAAGTTCGCAGAGCGCCGGGAAGAGGATGGGCCACTCGCCTGAGTGATACCAGATCAGGTCCGAAAGAACGGGAGCTATATGCCCTGTTGCATCATCAGACGACTGGCGCTTCTTAATTAACGAATAACGGATACTCACATATCGGGATGGATCGTTCAAATGCGCAGTCGCCGAAGCCTGCATGTCGAAGCCGCCGCCACCAGCGTAGAACATGGGCACTTCGGGTGCAGATGACGGATGAGATGACCAGCTGTACGCTTCGCCGCCCACCGCGTTGCTGTACGGATTAAGTCCGGTGAAGAAGGTGGAGGTGGGGGCGCTGTCCATCGGCAACATGGCTGAGGGGTCGATGTGTGGGTTCATGTCTTCCATCGTCGGTTTCGGGGCGGACCACGACTCTTGCTGCGAGTACGCGCCCGCGAGGTGCTCCTCGATGGGGTAGCGGAAGCGATACATTGAGTGGAATAAGAGCGGCAGCGCGCCGTCGTCGTCGACGTCCTCGAGCACTTGATGAGTGACGCTATACTCGCGAGGGTCTGCGGGAGCGGATGAGCACGTCGACGCGGGGTAAAATGAATCGCCTACCTGGAGCTTGCACGATAGTTGACCAGAATCCGGGCACGAAAGGCGTGCTGTAAAGGAAGCCGCCGGAATCATTTTGGTCTTCCGGAAGGTCCTTGAGGGTGAGCGAAGCCGACTCGACGAATATCGTACGTCCATGGTGCCGGACGATGTATCGAGATTCGGCAGCTGTATCGGGCGACGTGAGAACGTGACCTCGGGGCGAAGTGTCGGGATGATGACTTACCTATAATGCGAGGAGATACAAAGGTGATAGTCGGGTCGATCCATTGTATAGGACGCGGGGAGTGTCGAGGACCGAACGTGTTGGTGCAGGGCGAGGTAGAGCAGCAGTTGCATGGTGGGGGTGCGCCGCCGCCGGCGACGTCATAAGGTGAAAAAGAACCCTTCGGGAGGACGTCGATGTATATCACGGGCGCCGCGCCTCCAAGGCGCTGATGATCAGCGAACGCGCCGTCCGTGGGCGTTACGGGCGGCGAAGACGCGTCGCTGCAAGGCGGGCTGCCTGAGTCACTGCGGAAACCGTTGGTGTAGAAGGAGTCGACGGCTCGCGTCCTCGGGCGCGGTCTTGGTGGGGGCTTGCAAGGCGCGAGTAGACCCTGGACTATTTCATTGACTGTCAGTGTGGGGCGGACAATAGAACCGGGGGACGCACGCTTTTTCCCCGCGCACGTATCTCGCAGCTGCTGCAGTCTACTCCCCACTTGCTTGGGTGTGCGTCGTTGCCCAGTCTACGTGGCTCATATAAGTAAAGCCAGTGAGCGAAGAAAGAAGGTCGCACCTTCTTGAAGATGTGGTCGGAAATGAAGCGATTTCGCATAGGAAAGCGGCCCAGCAGGCGCGTCTCTCTTGAGTCGTCTGGCACATATAGCTCAAGACCTACGGCGAAGAGGTACACAATCAGACGCGCGCCATCTCCTGTAGTCTGTATACGCACCTTCTATGAGAGCAGCCTCAAGGTTCGGCGGCCATACCATCTCTCCATTTTTGGTCGTCTTCCAGCTCTTACGGCCCTTGTAGATGGACTCGAAGACCTCCTTGTTCTCCGAGTCTGGAGGAGGGGAGGGAGAAACTCCGGCGGAGCTCGAGGACGAGGAGGACTCCGACATAGGTGGCTCTAAAAGGGCGCGGTCCATGGTGGGGGGGGGATTGGAGGGAACGATGATCAGGTACTTGCCTTTATATCCACTGATGTTTTTGACCTCTCGTTCACAGGGTCTGCAATTAGCATGCCGTTGAAATTGGACGTTGGCTCGGCTCGATATCTCGGAGATGAACTTTTGATGTGTGAGCCAAGCCACAATAGCCCCGATCTATAGGCCCGATCTGGCACGGCGTTGATGGAGAACATAGCGTTACCTGTCCGCTTCCTTGGGGCGCCCACCGTGGCTGGGTGCCATCTGTAGTGCAGATCAGCCGTACAAGACCGTACACACGACGCTCTGGAGGTCAAACTATGCCGATGCCGCGATGGCCGTGGGACGCAGCTGCGCCAACGTGGATACAAGGTTTGGTGCCGCCTATGCGCCGATCACAACATTTGTTCATCCCTTTGGAGGTAAGATCCCCGACGGATCGCGTGTGAATCTGCATGCTCACTGTTGTCAATCTATTCATCGCCACGCCCATGTCGCGCTGTGCAACACCGGTCGCACCGGGCCTGCAAGCGATTAATGAGGACACTGCCTTGAGCGACCAGGCCCGCTCCCGAGGGGAACACGTTCATTGCAGCGTGCTACGACCTGGCGACAATAAGACTATGATCTAACGGTTTGCAAGCGTCGTGATCACGTACCACTCCGAGCTGCGCAGACTACGAAAAATCGGGGCCGAGCAAGCACACCTCAGATTTTGCTAAGGCTATCATCTATGGCACATCGTGAGCTCCCGCCTTACGCACCACGCTCTACTTACCAGGTTGCCGAAGGTGCCCGGGTAAAAGTCAGCTGGGCTTCCAATCGAACAATGGAAATCCCCGCCTTGTTGGCGAAGAATGCCCCCTCGGACGCTCTGCGGAAATGCGCCTGGAAATATTGGATTTTGGACAGAAAATGCGCCCACCCTCTCCCGCTCCTCCCTACCAGACGGAACGTCATATCGCGGTAAGCCGCTCGGTGAGGTCCAAAAACAGGTTACGTCTGGGGGCGTATCACAACGCTCCGCAGAGATCCTTACACCGTGCCCATAATTGTCATGCGAGCCGGACAAAGCAAACCTCGAGGCGGGGACAGTGGGAAGGTGGGAGGCGCGCCCCAGGTCGTGGTCGATAGGCAGCGCCGTCGAGAGCACGAGGAATCTCGAGCGCCTCGACTTCTGCGCACCGGTACCGACTTGAGCTTGAGCGTATTGGCCCCCAGTCCGCCTTCTTCCTCCAAGGCAGACTAATTTTCGGCACCGCTTGCTTCGGTCAGTGTCCACTGCAACGTGCTACGTGGACAATTCAATGAACTTCGGGCTGGTTCACGAGCTAACCTTGAGGAGGAGGATCGATCTCCACTTGCCGCAGTCCGAACGCAACGCAGCCCTTTAGCAGGACCTCGGCGCCGACATGAGCAGCCGAACGACGGGAGTAATCGCAAGGGCTCGAGATATGTCAGATCCTCGCCTCTGCGAGAACATGAGCGGTGAGGTCACGTCACTATTTCCACCCGACATACCCAAGATTTTCGATATCTTGTTCTCCCGAACGTCGAGGTGAACAATAGAGTTGTGTTTCAAGGCAGTACCGTGCATCTATGAAGAATGAGTTTATAGGTAGGACATGCATACACCAACCTTCAGAAGGGCTTGTCGCGGAGGCGGTTGTCGCCGCGTGACGCGATGACGCCCAACGTCGACCAAGTCTGATCCCCCATGTCGCACCCACAGCGCCACACCCAGGTCAGGCAACCCTCCGTGGAGGCGACGGTTCCGAGGGTCCACTTCAGTCCTCCATTGGCCACAGGGTCACCCTGGACGAAGATCGTGTATTGCTCGTATCGTATCGTAGACGCATTGGTATAACAGTTGGTATAGCTTGTCCTAGACGTTCGGCACCCCGCGAACAACCTGTGGGTATCTGGACGCGATCAACTAGACCAGGCAGGCGTATGTCAGCATTCATTGCCGCCCGACAGTGTCAAGATCTTTACTCACAGCAAAAAGTTCGGGAGCCCTCGTCGCCAGCACCTGCGGGTCCTCCCCGAGACCCACAAAGCTGCGAGCTAATTAGCCATGCATACGAACATCGCAAGAATGAAGGCACTCACATGGTAGATACTCCTGCTTCGATGGCAGATGAGAGTGTCAAAGCTGTGGCAGGAGTTAGGAAAACTCCGGCGACGAAGACATAGGAGGCGTGACTTACAACACTGAAGACCTATCAAGAACGCGAAGAGAAGGACAGGCGCCGTGTACTGCCCATCGGTATTGTACGACGGATGAGTGACTGCGCGCAAGCGGTTAGGACCATTGAAGGACACGCGACTGTCAAGCGCCACTCACACCTGAGGTAGAGATATGCGAAGAGGGAGCACAACATCCCCACGGCGTAGGCGCCCCAATTGAGCGCTTCGCGTAACCTTTGTCAGCCCAAAGCCGATGGTTCGTTGGGATCGACTTACTCATGCCGACCAGGGAGTCATTAATCAAGGCGTCGATGCCTGGAGAAGCCGTTAGAGGGCGATCGTTCGTCTGCATCAGTGCTCACCTCTGTCCTTGAACAGCCTCCAGGTATCCTTCGCGGCAGGTAAATACCCCTTGCCGTATAACGCGATCTCGATGTACGCATATCTAGCGGAAAGAAATTAGCATAGATTCGAAAACAGTGAATTACTCTAGTAAGCGTACCTGTTGAAGTATTCCACCATGCCCTCGATGCATCCCACGAAGCAAGCAGCACAGCAATAGAGACACGCCTCAACCGCTAGGGACAGCCTAAGTCGTGCGGTAATGGCTTGTCAACGACCCACTTACGGCTACCATCCTGAGCTGCGTTGTTGCGTAGCGCATTCAGGATCATCCTAAGAATTTCCAAGAGCGTGACGATCAAGGACCCAAAGGCGATGGAGCCCAGCGAAGTCGTCGACGCGCGTACAAATGCCGAACGAGTGGGATGGGCGGGCTGTGTAAATTTGTAGTGAGATAGCTGAGCAGAAGCGCGATGCTGGCAGACTGACCATATCGCCTTGCTGCCGTGGACCAAAGTAGTACCAGCACCCGAACGGTCCGCCTGCCACTGTCGCCAATGCGACATTGCCGATGACCTGCGAGGTCCAGAGAAACGAGAAGGTCTCGAAGAAGATGAGCCCTGCGACTTTTCCGGACGAGCACGAGGTCGTCGCACAGGCTGGGACGATCTAATTGAGCCGGGATCCCGTCAAGACGAGTAGGGCGATACATACCGCTGCTTCCTGGCGTCCATTTTGCGTATCTTCATTGAAATTCTCAGCCTTCGAGGAAGCCACAAGCGAAAATGAACTTACGTGGCCAACACAGTGAAGGTATACCACCTAATGACCGTCGGGAAAAGAAGAATGATAATCGTCAGCCTGGGAACCGGGGGCGCAAGGGTCCCGGACTCACACAGCAAGAGCCGCCTGGAGGAAGAGTGATATGAATGCGACCACATAGACGCTCTTGTGATGCTTCGCGACGTCCATTACAACCTGCAAGAGCAGCGATGCAAGCGGTATGCGCGATTTGAAACCAGCGTATGCGAGAAGGGACAGGACCGCGATGATCGTGAAAATGATAGCCCCAGCTGGTCAAGGGAGCAATGATCAGCTCGGCGCCGGAACAGTGCAATGATCCCTCGAGCTTACAGTAATACTTGGTGATCCAGTAATAGACTGCCACGCCGCTAGAAGCACATCAGTCCGGGTACGCGTAAAAACGAAGAGGGCTGCTGGCTGACATGTTGAGCGCAATGGACAGGATGAGCGTAATGTGCATGATCATCCTCGTGAACATGCGCACGAGAAGAAGATAGGCTGTCGAGAGGACCAGCGCCGCCGCCGTCACGAAGAGAAGCAGATAGAGCGTGTGTCTGGCGATGGCCGCTGTCAGTACACGCTGCACCACCCAAGCAGACCGACGAGAACGCACTCATTCAACGTAACAGAGGATCCCGATGTATTGCTTCCCAGCCCGCCACCGAGTCCTCCCTCCTTGATCCATGAATTGATCGCCAGCCCAGACAGGGCCGCAAAACCCAGCAGCTGGACGCGTCCCATAAGCTCCCGTCCAAGATAGCGCACATAACACGCACCTGGGCGATGAAGAAGATCAGGAAAAAGATGTCATTAACGGTCTTCTTGGGCTTGAAGCGCTCTCCTTCATACGGCGACTTGAAGTCGCCGTAGGCGGGCTGCCCGTAGGCCGGCTGTTGCCCATACGCGGGCTGCCCGTAGCCATTGGGCGGCGCGTAGTTGGGCTGGCCGTACGCTTGGCCGTACTGCGGGGTGGGCCCCGGATACGGGGGATTGGCATGCATGGGGTATATTACTCAAGAAGCACGAGCGTCGAGATCGGCGAGGGCGTCAAGAAGAAAAGAAAATGGGCGTCGAGGACAACGTGCGAACGCGCGCGCGCTCTACACCCGCGACGTCGTTGACATCATCCATTCGCTCCGTCCCAGCGATCCAGTCTCGACGCTGCCTCGTGGCACCGGCGTTTTCTCGAACTGAGACAGGAGGACTGCATCCTCGGCGCGGGTGCACTTGGCTGTTTGTATTGGACGCCTGTTGATGCCCGTCCTGAGCGATCCTTGAGGCCGTCAGGATACGAGGCTAAGGAGAGAGCAGAGGTGTTTACGGGCAAGTCCTTGATTGCAGATGGACGTCCTCGACAAGTCGAGAACAATGGCAGCAGCCCGCAGACGACTCGCTGCTGCGCATGATGGTATCTGTACTTCCAGATCACACGTGCACTGCTACCATACACAGGCAACAAAGGCATCGCCCGATACGGAGACTATCATTTGTATTCCCACCACGTATCAGATATCTATCGTATTCACAAAACCTTGTCGTCAAGCAGAACAGCAATATTCGTAGATGCACCGCACTATGTAATTAGTACCCAGTCGTACAGTAGAGCACGTCCGTATCTTATTATCCCCCCGATCCACATTATGGTTGCATCCTTCGCATTATGGTTCCTGCGAATCCTATGCTGAGGCTGGAACTGGAGGAGCCGCAGGCTTCTTGAAGACGATAACGACCACAGTGATATTGTCCAGAGTGTGATTCCGAAGCGCGTACTTGACGAGCTTCTCTGCCGCCTCCTGGGCGTCTATGGGGTCTGAACGCGGTTTCTGGTCGCCTTCTTCTGCGACTTTGCCCAGGACGAGGTCGACCGCCAGCTGATCGGATACAACATCCCAGAGCTGAACAAGTCTGTCAGCACACTGGTCTTCAAGGGTACAAGAACACTCACCCCATCGCAAGCCATGATCAAGAACTGGTCTTCTTCAGACAACTCAGTCTCGGTGGTATAGGGCGCGCCAACAACGAAGTCCTTCATCGAGGAATCGCCCAGACTTCTCGTCACAGCGAGCACGCCGTTCACGCGGCCGCTCATGACGAAGCCACCGGCATCCATGATACGTTGTGCCTCCATCCTATCCGAACCCTTGTGGTCGTACGTCAGGCGCACCGCGCGCTCTCCACGACACAGAACACCGCGCGCGTCGCCAACATTCGCGCTATACAGCACTCGCCTCACATCGGGTGGCGGGAGGCGCGCCGGCTTCGGCTTCTCGAACGACGCTTTCCTCGATATTGCCGGGGACGACTTGATCGCCTTCGACGCGCCGCCGCCAATCGACTTGAGCGCGCTCCGGATCCGGCTCGCGCTGCCCTTTTTCTTCTTCTTGGCGACCTTCGGGCTTGGACCGAGGTCCTCGCTCGATACGGTGATTGTCGGGCTCTCGCTGCCGCTGTCATGTAGACTCGCGTCATCGAGCTCGCCTTCGCTCCTGGTAGACGGCGGCGAGTCCGTGTCCGGTACGGGTGGCGAGGGGGATTGCGGCTGCGATGGGCAGTGCTCGAGGAAGGACTGCTTGCCCTCAGCGTCTTCGAGCCGCAGGAATGCGGTGACGGCAGTGCATCCGGAGTGGTTCTTGCCTTCTGACTCGTCCGTGAGCTTTGTAAGCTGTTCGTCTACGTCGTGGAAGGTCTGATTGAGGACATCTGGTATGGGTTGGTCCGGCATGTGGTGCAGCGCGTTGAGCAGATACTACCGCGACGCGTCAGTCCCAATCATGACCGGGTATGGGCTATGAACGCACCTGATGGTAGTTATCCCCGCACCACTCCGCGGCCTGCTTGCCAGCGTGTCCATCGAAGACCGCAAAGGAGCCCTGTCCGCGAATATTGTCAAAGTCGGCGACAAAGGAGTGCGCGTCCTCCATCGTCTTCCGGCCACCCTTCTCATTCGCGATGCCGATGCTGAACGTCGGGTAGTTCGTCGGCCGCACATTCAGGCCCTGACAAGGACGAGTCAGTCAGATCGTGACCATCGCGCGTCGGGACAATAGACGCGCACCCCTCCGGTGTCCAGCTCCACGTCGCGGACCTCCTTCGACTTCGCATTCTGTTGCATACGCGGCGGCATTGGGAGCTGGCGAATCGCGTCTGATCTGTGGCGCATGACGGTCAGAAGGGACGAGGCGCGCCGGAGTGGCGGAAAGGAGGCGCGCACCGGGTGAAGAAGGTATGCTGTACGACACAAGTCGAGGGCTGGCGCGGGTAACGATGTTGAAATAGTGACTGCAAGGAAATTCATAAGAGAACGCCCTGGGGCGCGCAGCAGGGAGCAATTCTGCTGCGTGGGGTGGAGACTGACGTTTGGTAGAGGCGCTTGAGAGGGTTGCGAGAGTTCGGGAGGCGGGGGAACGTGGTGGGAAGAGACAAGAGTGTAGAGGGCAACGGCGGACCAGGAGACAACTGCGGCACAAGAACAACGCTGTCGGCAGCTTAGACCTCGCAGCGGCTCCGGCTATGATGATGATGACGGTATTGGAGTGACGCGCGCGGCGCCCCAGCGGCTCGAAACAACGTGCTCCATTTGGACTCCATTGTGCTGGCCATCTTCGTCAACAAAAGCCATTCAGTCGCCCATACAAAGTCACCGCTACATTACAGGGTAACCTCCTCTGGTACAGCTCCCAAAACCAGCCTATTCTCCTCGAATTCTCTTTGAGCGCAGTTTGTCTTGGCGACATGGTCACCGTTGACAACGTCACACCCGTCTACAGCCGCATAACATCCGCGCACCGGCAGGCATCATTGGACCTGCAACACCTGCGCATTGTTCATACCTTACGCATTCTTCGAACAGGGTGCAAACGTACAGCGTAAAGTGCAAGACAGTGAACGGCATTATTGAGATCACCTGCATGCGAGCACATTGGCAGCAGAGCCCAAAAGAGCCTGCACACGCGAACGTATGCGTTCATGCATACCCGCATACCCTAAGGGTGGTGTGCAAAAGCAAGTAGTTGGGTTCAATCATTCTGACACTTCGACTGGATGCCTCGGGCCCACTGTCGAAAAGAAGAGTGGGGACCGGCGGTCACGATTAGGCAGGATAAAGACAGGCTCGCGACGAAGTTGAAGAATAACGACAAGAACTTGGAAAAAGACGTAACCAGCAAAGTGAACTGTGGTGCGTCCCTCTGCACTCATTCATCTCAGTAGCGCGACCAATTGGAATGGGAAGGACGCCTACGAGTCACGTACCACCACTCCGTTGCTGGATGTCACGACCATTAGGACGAGGCATCCATACCCAGACCTGGTGTCCGCAATCAGGCTTACGCCGGTTCAGCCAAGGATGGGTGAGGTGAGTGAGCTGCCCAGGGCATGTATACAGTATGTGCGCGAGAGACGTCTCGGCAAGGGTGTAAGATAGAGCATGGCGACCGGTAGTAGAATGGTTTAGCGTTTGCGCGACGCCCTCCTGGTCTCCCCTAGCAGAAGAACATGAATATCATTCCACAGCAATACCGAGATGGCTTACCCTTGTTCTTCGCCTTCTTCGGCGTGCCCTTCCCCCTCGTCTTCCGATCGAGCACGTCTTGAAGACGCTGCTGCTCCGCCTCGTTGATAATCTCCAACTCGGGATACTCGCGCGCAATCTTCGCCAGGTCGACCTCTGGCGGATAGTACTCGACCATGCTCGGGCCGCGCAGACGGTTGCGCAGGTACTTCGCACCCGTGCGCACGCCCGTCGGGTTGTACGACGTCTGGAATATCGAGGCGCGCAGGCGGTCTAAGGCCTGTATGCGATTGTGCAGGAGGTCCGGGTTGATTTTCTTCGCCTTCGCGACCGCGCCGGCGCCGGCCTTTGCGGTGACGAGCGCTGTGCGGAGCGCGGTGGCCATGGTGGGAGGGAGGAAGAGGCGGGCGGGCGGCTGGCCGGGCCGATCGAGCAGCGGCGGAAAACCTCTCGAGCGCCTTCTGCTCCTCCCCTCATGCTTGCGCGATGTCGGCGCCGATGCCTCGCTGCTGTCTTCTATTCGCCAGTAGCGGGCCCTAGCCGCCGGACTTTCGCTGCGTCTGCCGTGGTCGCGCGGTCGCAGTCAGACCCCCGATCGCACACTCGGTCGCGCCCACCGAGAGCGCGCCAAACGCAGTCCAAGACTTCCCACCTACCAAAGCTCAGTCCCCACCCCGCTGATGGTGGCTTGAGACCAGTCGACACAAGTCCGGAAAGTCTCAAGAAGTACTTCGCCAGCATCCTTGAGTCCTGGGCAGACTCCCCGATCATTACACGGCGACTACACGCATTCGGCATACCCCACGACGATGCCATCGCCCTGCTCGAGACGTACAAGGATGCGGTATTGCACGGCAACATACTTGAGGCCCCAGCTGCCCTCGAAGAATATGGGATTGACCGCCTCGGCTACACTGTGCCAAAGCAAGAGCGCGCAAGCCTCAACGACGAAGTCCTTTCCCAAACCCTCTTCCGCTGGGCAGCCAAGCCCGAGGCAACCCCCATTATGGAAGCAGGAGGTGTCAGCGCAGATGCCATAATGCAGGTCCGGCGCCTCACCGCGGCTACCAGACGCCCCTTCATCTGGGAAGAGTTCCCCCACGCGCGCCACCTCAAGCGCAAGATCATCATGCACGTCGGCCCAACCAACAGCGGCAAGACGCACAACGCCCTCCGCGCGCTCGCAGCCGCCAAGCTCGGCATCTACGCCGGTCCCCTCCGCCTCCTCGCGTACGAGATCTGGGAGCGCCTGAACCTTGGCCAGATCGTACCCGCCGGCATGCTTGAGCCCCCTCCGCGCCGACCAGGGCAAGTCGCCGCCGAGGAGCTCGCGGACTCGGCCCTCGACTTCGGCACCGAGCGCCCCGCGGCGCGGAGGGACATCAACCCGCAGTACGCGCGGCAGTGCAACATGGTCACCGGCGAGGAGCACAAGATCATCGACCCGTACGCGCGGCTGTCGTCCGTGACCATTGAGATGCTCAGCTTCCAATCGTCATACGACGTTGCGGTTGTGGACGAGATTCAGATGATTGCGGACGACCAGCGCGGGTGTGCGTGGACGAATGCGGTGCTGGGACTGGCGGCGAAGGAGCTCCATCTCTGCGGTGAAGACACGGCTATCCCTCTCGTGCAAGAGCTCATTGCGCAGACTGGCGACGAACTCGTCATCAATAGGTGCGTGTTATATCCTTCGACATGGAACTTGCTTACACGCGTACAGATATGAACGTCTGACGCCCTTGGAGGTCGAGAAGGAGAGCCTGAAGGGCGACTTCTCCAAGATTCGCAAGGGTGATTGTGTTGTCTGCTTCAGTCGTCAAAAGATCTTCCAAGTCAAGGAAGAGATTGAGAAGGCCACGGGGCTTCGCTGCGCGGTTGTTTATGGTGGTCTTCCACCAGAAGTTCGGAGTGAACAGGCTACTCTGTTCAACGATCCGGACAGCGGGTACGACGTCTTGGTAGGCAGTGATGCCATCGGCATGGGTCTCAACCTGTGAGCAACATGACATGGTCATCAACGTTGGTGCTGACATTATACGTAGGAAGATTGGCCGTGTTGTCTTCTCTACATGCCAGAAGCACGATGGTCGAAAGCAAGTCGCGCTCAGCCTCTCGCAAACGAAGCAGATTGCAGGTCGTGCAGGTCGCTATGGCCTGCACGGTGGCGACAAGCCCGTCGGATATGTGACCACTCTCAGGGAAGACGACATGGAACACGTCCGTCAGGCCCTCGCCGCGGAGAATCAGCCACTGCAGCGTGCTGGTCTGAACGCTCGGAACGAGCTCTACTCTGCCGTGCGCGCAGCGCTTCCACGAGGCTCGAAGTTCGATCTCTGGCTGGACGCGCTGCAATACACGTCCACCATCCCGTCCCGGCTGCGCTACACGGACCAGGAGCAAATCCGCCGTCTCATGGCCGATGTCATCGACATGGAGGGCACCGACACGATGCGCCTCGTCGACATCACGACCTTCGTGGCAGCGCCTATCGGCTGGCGGGACGCGGAGCAGGCGACGATCGCCCGTCGCCTGCTCATGCTGCGCGAGAAGCACATGCGCGTCGACCTCCAGCTCCTGCTGCGCGATACGGGGCTTCTCATCACGCTCACGGACGTCGAGCGGCGGATGAAGCGGGGGAAGCAGGGCGGCGCGGCAGCCGAGAGCATGCTCATGCAGCTCGAACGGCTGCACAAGATCCTGAGCGCGTATGTCTGGCTGGGTCTGAGGCAGCCGGTGCAGTTTTGCTCGGCGGGCGAGGCGGAGCAGCTCAAGCACCGGGTGGAGGCAGCGATGGAATGGGTGCTGCATGCGTTGACGTGGAAGGGGTCGGAGGTGGCGGATCGGGCGCGTGAGGTGCTGGATCGGCGACCTGTGAAGCAGCTCTCGTACGAGCCTCATAAGATGGTGAGGGCGTTCAGGGAAGGGCTCGGAGCTCCTGCGTCGATGAAGGGAGGGAGGCCCGAAAGGAGGGCATGAGGTTGGTATGCATCTATCATCTATGTAATTACAGCTTGGCTTTCAGAAGGGCGCACATAGGTGCGCTGCGACCTGAAAGCCTAATACCAGCACACCATTTACCAGGATTTTCTCGAGGCTGACAGTCCTTGAGAACATCGTTCTGCTGGCTCAATCGATAGGACCAAGGATAGGACAATGACCAAGTGCGCGCCACCGGTGCGCAGTTGTCAACTTCTAGCCTCGATCACGATCATGTCACCGCCGCCTCCAGCACATGAAGACATGGCAACTCTGCCTCGTGAGAAACCCATGTGCAGCCCTCCTTGCGTCTTATCACTACTTCTGACATGCCCGGCGCTGAGGGCGGCCACTGGGATGTCGCCAAGGTGCTGCCGCTGCCGCTGGCAAATTGGTTAGAGGTGCGTTGAAGTCCCCTCCCCGCCTATGTGCGTCAAGCTTGATGAGGAGCTGATCGCCGTTGTACTTCTTCCGTATTCCGTATTCAGGCTGTATTCTTCGGTACGTCTATATGTGTTCACCTTGGCGCTGTTCATGACATATGTGTCCCCCCTCAAGGCATCTACACCACTCTTTTCCTCCAGTATATGATCTCGAGGTATAGGCATGGGACGGGGAAGACACTAGCGGGAAAGGTGCGTGCTCGATCATCTATTCTTCCTGACTACACTCACTGCTTCGTTTAGGTCTACTTCGTGGTCACGATCCTGATGTATCTTGTCGGGGTCGCCTGCTCTGGTGAAGCGAAGTCCCTCGCTTCGTAGGAGCCCTATGTTGACGCGTGGAGCAGGCCTGTCGATCTACGGGGCTACGCGGTCGCCATACACCGACTATGTGGACGGGAAGGCGGCCAAGCTAGTCGCAGACGTATCGTGCCTCCTCGCGTTCGTGCAGATGTGGATGGGGGACTTCTTGATAGTGCGTTCTCGCTCGGTCTCGAGGGTCATGCCACTAAGACCATTTTCCAGGCTCTCAGAACACACTTGCTATGGGATTACAATTTCCGCGTTACAGCGATACCGTGGGCTTTACTGGCTGGGACATTATGTTCGTCGTGCTTCCCTCTACACTGACCACTCGGACAACTCTTCCTACCAGTTATCATCGTGTTCACGGCGACGGGTGTGGTCCAGGACATTCGGCAAGTCAGCGCAGCGCTCACTATGGTGCTCGCCCAAAATGTCATCACCACTGGGCTCCTGATATATCGCCTGCTCTCGCAACATTCGGAGTCAGCGCGCGCAGGGTTGCATCGGTATTCTAGGAGGAGCGGCAGTCTGATCCGCATTGCATCCATCATCTCGCAGTCTGCAGGCTTGTATCTGACAGTGTTGTTCTTGTACAACCTGTTCTTCTTTCTGCAACATCCGGGCATGGTCTACATGTGCGTATCCGTCGTTGCTTTACCTTGCTCACCAGCTGACCTCGCGTCCAGGCAAGTTATGATCCCATCCGTCACGGGTGAGTCTGAAGGCACCTTCCATGGGTTATGCGCTGAGATTTCTCCTTAGGTATCGCCCTCCTGGCCATATCCGTGCGCGTTGCGGGGATGAAGACTGGAACTGTCGATTCCTCCTTCACTTGGACACCACCAACTGACTGGAGAACAAGCGTGCATTTTGCGCGATCCCATGGTGACATGGGTTCCGCCAGCGACGATGGTATCCAGGAAGAGGCAGAGCGATATATTGAAGCGCGATACCCGGACATCTTCATCAAGGAAGAGGGCAGGAGAGCATCGCCTCCGCTTCCTCGATTGCATAGCACCGGACCTGCAGCGAACGTACCATGACGATGCGATGGACCAGTTCAAACCTGTATTTTTACTTGTGCGTATACCGTCCACGTTACCCTCTAGCACCTCCACTGTGGCCGCCTAAGTGACCATAGACCCACGCTCCTTGCACACTACTGTTCTCCATAGCTACACATCTGGATCTCTGTCATGTACGCTGGCCTACGCTCGCGCCCTACTATACCGCCATTGACATCATCGTTCGTCCTGGGCACTTTCCCCTTGTTTTCCAAAAAAGGTAGTATTTGTCATGGCATCACTGCGCTGCTCTGCACGTCATCACGGCGCGCAGCTTCGCCATTATCTTCCTGTCCGGAACTCCCATCTGCACCTTCACACCCCCAGTAAATCAACCATAATGTCCGCTGAGAGTGAGGGCGTTCGCTGCTTGATATCTGCGCCGTTGCTCACTGGCTATCGCAGAGTACATCGTCGTCTTCAAGCAGGGTGTCTCGAAGGACCAGATCCAGAAACACGTCGAGCAGGTCAATCAGAATGGTGAGTCGCATCTTCATCCATCGCACACGGGTCGCTAATGCGATCTCCCATAGGTGGCGAGGTCCTCAACGTTTACGACTCCATCTTGAATGTATGTGCGCCACTCACCTCGCAAACACCGAAGTCTAACGATCATCGCAGGGCTTCTCCGCCAAGATCACGCCAGAGCACTTGCAGTCCTTGAACAGCTTCGTCGGCGACGACATTGACTACATCGGTGCGCACCTCGTACCCTGTGTACACCTCCTCAGTCGCTGATAGCATCCCTACAGAGCCCGACGGCGTGGTGACGACGCAGTAATCGGACAACTATCCTTATCGATCTAACGTATGCGGACGCGCATATTGACTGCTTGTATGAACCCTTGTATCTGTACGTGCTATAGGAAGAGGATGGAATTTGCTGAGTAACTTGTACGAGCGCGATGAGAGATCTAACACTGGTGGCGCGACATTCAGCCCGCAATCAGGTGACGCGGCATGACTGAAGGTAGGTGTTGATTGTTGTGGACGATGGAATGAACAGCAATTCGGAATGAGGACGGCAGCTTGCGCGGCGCCGTCGTCTGCGGCGGGTCTGGCCTGCGAAGCCCGCCGTCGACGACTCTGCCGAGCTACCCATCTCACGACTTCTTCCGCAACCACCACCACCACCTTCACCCTCTTGTATACTACCTATCCGTCCTCCTCACAAAACTCTACTCACCATGGCTCCTATCCGCCACATGATGGACATGCCCGGGGGGCATATGATGTCCGAGGCAGAGATGACCGAGATGATGGGCTCGTCGTCGGGCCACACCAGTGCGTATCTCCCCCTTTACCTCGCTACTACTGCTGCTGGTGCAACATTGCTCACACGTCGTGCAGAGTGCATCGTCATGTTCAAGGACGGCACGACCCCTGCGGAGATCAAGCAGCACGCGAGCGAGATTGAGGCGCAGGGCGGCGTCGTGACGGAAATCTACGATTACATGCTGAAGGTGTGTTGAATGCCTTGGGTGGACCGGGTACAGGAAGCTCACGAGCCCGTCGTCAGGGCTTCTCCGCCGTCATCCCTGAGGCCATGATCACGCAGCTGCAGAGCCTAACCGGGTCGGGCGGGATCATTGACTACATCGGTGGGTACTCTTTTCTACGCCACTGCCGCCAGTTCTAACCAAGCTTCAGAGCGCGATTCCGTGGTCTCCGTCTGAGAATGTGCCTTGGGAGCACCGTGAGCTCAGCTGGCTCTCTTACTTTGCTGCGTATGTACGCGGATGGATTTCGTCGTCGTGAATTGGTGGCCTCAGCTCTCAGTGTCTTCTTACAAGCGAGAGGAAACGCGAATGAAGACTCGTGGATGCCCAACATTGTCACTGAATTCTATTTTGGAAGTGTACAGTTCTTGAATCAGACCCGGCTGCGTGTATGTGGATGAAGCATGGCTACATAACGTTCTTCTATATAACATTGCATCGCGAGACGCAGCTGAGAAGTGAGAGCCACGTCTACGTGAAAGTATTCTGCGCCCGAATCAGTGATACGGGTTATTGTCTCTATACCTGGCGCGCCAGTTGTGCACCCGTTCCCCGCTGCGACGTGGCGACAGCGGATTAGCATGCGTGGGCGACAGTGGGGCGGAGCGTGTGGGCGACGTCGGGAGCGGCATCTGAAGTTCGTAGGGCGAGATGTGGTGCGAGACGGGCGATACGTGGTGGGAGATGGAAGAGTTATGCAGGGCGACGGGCGACACGGGGTGAGAGACGGGTGACACCATTTGCGAGTGCAGCTGATAGTGAGGCTGAGCCCTAGGAGACACGTAATCGGGATGAGGCGCAGGAAATGCGACGTGCTCGTTCGCCGCCGACGGTACGCGCGTTCCGTCTGAGGACAGCTGTACATGCGCGTCCCGCCCGTGCAACGAGAGGGGCGGCAGCGGTGGCGCCGGGCTTTTGGGCGAGTCGACGCCATTCCCCCACACCTCGCTCTCATGCCGCGAATCCGTGCGCCGAATGGACACAATATCTGCCACCCTCGAGCTGCGCCTGCTCGCCGACGCATCCTCCACCCTCACATCCCTCGGGCTCTTCTTCAGGTCCTTATCCTCGCCACCCGCCGCCGCGGCCGGGAACGGCAAATCAAGCGGCGGGAGGCGGATCTCCGAGTGGTGCGGGAGGCCGACCTGCGAGCAGCCCGAGCTGTACGGCGAGCGGTACGCGTCGGGCACCTTCTCCTCGGGGTACGCGCCAGAGGACTCGGGGGCGGAGGCGGGGAGGCCCTGCCCGTCCATGTGGCGGCCGTACGAGATGCGGATGCCCCGGCGGCGGAGCTTCTCAACGTCGACGGCCTCGAGGCAGGGCGCCTCGAAGATCTCGCGGGTGTGGACGAGGCCGATGGAGCGCCAGGCGACGTAGAGCCACATGCAGAGGGTCATGGCGGCGTAGATGCAGCCCCAGATCTTGAAGAAGCCCGAGTCGAGCGCGACGCCGAGCGTGATGGTCGTGTTGGCGTAGACACCCTATCAGGAGGGAGGTTAGCGAGTGCATAGTGTGTGGCGAGGAAATATACGCACGTTCGGGAAAATAAGGCCCCAGAAGGGTACTTTGAAAGGGATGGGCGTCTTGCGGATGACGTTTTGGATGCTGAGAAACGCGAAGATAACCCACATCGTGCACATCGACCAGAGCACGAAGCAGATAGAGGTGCAAACGACTTCGATCGATTCTCCCGTCGGCATGCCACGTAGCAGCATTGAATCTCCGCTGTAGACAGGTAGAAACTGTCTGAAGCATTGGCCGATGAGTATGATGGAAAAGCCGGCCTGGCCTATTCAAAGGGTCAGATAAGAGTAAGCAGGTCGTCGAAGGAGTGATCATACCTGTGGGACCAAGTGGAAGGAAAACGGATATGATGGTCGCCGTAGGGGGAAGACCATGCACGATGAGGCGTAGGAGATAGATCGTGAGCATCATGAGTGCGAGTGTGATACCGATGGTGACGAGGACAGCAGACAGCGTAATTGTGATGAGTGCGTGGGATGCAGAATACTTGTAGAGCGATGGAGCAATGACCCCGCCTGAAGCGGACGCGACAATGACGGTCACGACGGGCAGTAGCCAAACGGCAGTCATCTTGTCGAGGGAATGCGTGTGTTGTATGGTCCTATACGAATTATCAGCCATGAATAGAGATGTACCGCGAAGAAAATGCGAACATGACGTGTATCATTAGGAAGCAACATGCGATGGATGTGAATACGTCGGCCCACCAGCATGCCCAGAGGAAGTAGAGCAGGCCCTTGCCACCGACGCCGTAGGTCTCATTGACGGTGTTGACAGCGATGTTGAGTATGGTGGCCGCGCCTGATTCACGAAATGAATACAGGATAACTAACGGACAGTGGTGTGGATGCTCACCCATAGGGAACGTCCCGAGAAACAGGCTTTGCACTGGATGATGGACCATGATCGTCCATAGCCCTGGGTAACGGAAGTACCGAATGGCAGAGATCATGCAGAACGTCAAGAAGAGAACGATGTTGAGGCCAAAGAAGATCAACGTGAAGAAATTGAGCGCGCTGCCACCCGTGCCGTATGGCCAGGCATGGAAAAGGATGCTGATCGCGCCTGTGCCCATGTTGACGGCGAACCAAGCGGGCGAGAAATTGCTGGCTTTCGTGAGCGGGATGGTCAAGATGTAGAGTAGAGTAGCTTACCGAACGACATCGCCGAACGTTTTGCGCGCGGCTGTAGACATGGCTACTCAAGCTCAAGTTGCAAGGCTAGAATCGCTTGGAGGGCCAAGAGCAAGGGTCGCTATCGTCCACGAAGCACGTCAATGGTTTTTATACGCAGTCCCACACCCATATTTGACGCGTCGAGCTGGCAAAGAGTGCCAGCAGTTGCGCTCCAGTCGTATCTCTCACGCCGCTGCCCCAGGTGTGACACGCGCATGACAGTTCGAGTTCAAGTTCCGAATTCGGAAAGCAGCGAGCACGCGTCCGGCCGCCATCTGATCCGTCGCACGTGGGATAGACGTCGGTGGCTGATCTGGAGACCAGCGCTGTCCGGGAAGCTCAAGACTTCGCACTCGCCTGGTGCGGGCTTCTGCTGCATCTCTCTCCGCTACCACCACCATGGGCTTACTCGGCTACTTCTCGTCTTCCAAGGTCAACCTCGTCAAGCCCGACGCGCAGGATGCCAAGCAGGACGCGGCGGCCCCCAGTGCGCGATCGGCGGGCATCGCAGAGTCGTCAGCCGAGGAGAGTAGTGGGAACACCAGCGCGTCGAGCTCGCCATCTGCCCCCTCTGCCCCCCTCCCAGAGGAACATGACTCGAAGGCGGACTTTCCCATCGTCGCTCCATCTAAGCGAGCTCGCCGCTTCTCCCTCAAGACGCTCTCCTTCTCGCCCTCTCACAAGGCAGCTCTCACCACGGACGAAGAGCACAAGCTCCGAGAAGATGCCGCAGAGGCGCTGGAACATCGCGTCTTGAAGCGCACGCATACTTCTGCTGCTGATCGTCGCGCTAAGGAGAGCGCGCATCTCGTCCGCGCCCTCATCGTCGGACTGGACCCAGTAACGCCTAGCTCACCCAAGGTCACCAAAGCAGTCGCCAAGCCGCAGCTGGGGAAAGTGAAGTCCCAGTTGATGAAGCCGAAGGAGGCAAACCGCGTCATCGCACAGCTACGCGCTCTCTCTAGCTCAGATGCGCAAGCCACGGAGCATGGCGCGAAGGGCCCCATTCATGCTGTTTGTCTGGCACACAGCGAGGAGAAGGAGGACGAGTTGCACTTCTCGAAGCTTGCGCAGGAAGACGAGTCCCCTCCTCTCGAGCTCCCGAACTTCCTGCAGGGCAATGCGGCCGCTGCAAAGCTGCGCAATGTTATCGACGAGATGCACATCGTGGACCTGCTGCTTACGCCTGACCTGGGTCTTGGTCAGTCCGGAGACGGGAAGGGCTTGCTCTCGGGCGCCGTCCCGACGGCAGAGACGGTCATCAATGGCGTGCAGCAGATTACGCCCCAGCTCATGGCGCTTGGCTACGCGACGGGCAGAGCTATCCTTCCCGACCACGCTGGTACGTACTTCTGTCTGCGAAGCACCTGAGCGCTTATGCTGAGCTTCCCGTATAGGTGTCTATCCTCCCACAGACCGGATCTCCGTACTGACGTGTAAGTTGGGTATCTACTTTGTGCCGCTCAGCATTCTCACCCTTTTCCGAATCAGACTGGTGGGGGCTCGAGCTGTGCCTGCCGCCGCCGACGCTGTCGTATCTGGCGGTGAGCCCTTTGGCTTATGGTCTGCGTACGAATGCTGACGAGGACTGATAGAGCGCGAAGTCGGTGTCGGGCCAGCTGGTCAACTTCCTCACCGCGTTGTCACTCGTGAACAACGGCGTGAAAGAGCTTCTTCCATTCGTTCGCTACATATCGCAGTTCATCGACTTCGAGTTCGATACTATCACGAAGCAGAATCACGGCCAAGGTGTCGTGTGCGCCGCTACTTGGTACGCTATTCCATTGAGGTGCAGTACGAACGCTGAGACGGAATTTTTCAAGGATCATGCCCGCGGCCCTGGTATGTTCACCCTCCCAGGCCAGAGACGTTCGTATCAGCGGCTGACGACTCTGATCAGGTTCCTCGCCCGTGGGACTTCCCCGAGAAGCCTGATGCAACGGTCCCTGCTCAGCCCATACCCAAGCATGAGTCACCGATTCCGGAAGAGCCAGAGGATGTCCCAGCAGGGCCCGATATCCACCAGCCTACGCCCGACATCAACCAACCTGGTCCCGAGCCCCCTGCTAAGGACTCGCCCTCGCCTGCTCCTCCGGTGACTGTTGCGCCGATTCCGATGGCACCGACGCTGGCATCACAGGTTATCGCGTTGACGGAAGAGCCGACCTTGACTCCGTCGCCTGTACCTGTATCGGCGACTGCGTGATGGGTGTGTACTGCCTCTTGACCTTGCATACTGGATCATCATGTTCATGTTCTCGGATTCCTCTTCGTTCCTTTCTACACGCCCCTTCGCGACTTTACGATAGATACACGAACGTTACGATGTCCCTCCGTCTCCTTGGTGTCTCCCCGGCTTGCATTGCATAGTTCTTCCTTCCGCCTCTCTCGTACCTCCTTCCGACTCGGGCCCTTTCATAATACCCCCCTTGCACGTATCATTATGCGCTACCTATATCTTCGCGATGTTTGTACCTTCTCGTGGAACATGTGTCTCCGTATTCATAGCTGGAACTTGAACATATCGATATAGCCTGGCTGTAGTTGGAATTTGAAGCAGGTTGCGATAACCTGGCTGCGGCGATCATCAGCCACAGTTGTTGCTTGACATGAGCGCGTGGTCGAAAGCCCTCATGTTTTCCTACTTCCTCGCACACGGACTGAGCTGCGAGCTCATCTGAAGAGGCTGGAGTGTCCAGAGCCATATAGGGAATCCACTACTCAGTCAGCCCCGCCCTCCCGCCAATCCAACACGGAAGATCGTCCGTGCAACATGGAACGGCAACTCCGGGGCAGGGTCCGGGGAACGGCATTCCCCGGGATTTGCGATCACGCGATCAATCCGACAAATGGAAATGCCCCCGCGCTATTCGTCGCGCACCAATCAGAACTGACATGAGCGCGCGTTCGTCGTTGCCGGCGACCCGTTTTTTCATCATGGTCGTGCCTCTTTCGTCCTGCGCTCATCAGCAAGTAGCGGTCCTCCTCGGAGAACACGGTGGCGAGCGTTCGTCAGCAGGAGAGCGCCTCTGAGATCGGAGGAAAGCTCATCAAGGGAAGGCTCAACAGTCGACCCGTGGGTGGCGTGTCGCCAATTGACTCTCGGCGGGGCGGTGCCCTTCCGGAGGGCTAGCCTAATAAGCTAGGAATCGCGCAGGCAACGCTTGCAAGTGATCCCCACCGCGCTCAGATGGAGGGGGAATACACCCCGGAGGAGATCGCGCACTTCACCAAGCTCTGGCACTCGAGCTTGATACCGCTTCATGCGTGCCGTGCGTATTTGTGGAGATGGGGAATCGTTCGGGATGCTGACGAGTCTACAGTGGTCGGTCTGACGTGGGTCGTGCATGATTACTGTGAGCATGGCCCCCCTGCCCATCCTTCCCCACTCACGAAATCGTCTAGTCTTGACTGTCGAGGACGAGATACGGTACATTTGGGTGCGTTCGCTCCGCAGACATCCTGTCCCCCATCACTAATACCTTTCTTCAGCCACAGAAGGGCAGCTTCGGCAAATACATGTTTCTATGGGTACTTCTTCCCCCTCCCTCTCTCGCGAAGAAACGCCAATCCCCTCCCAGATCCGATACTACAGCATCGCTCTCTTACTCTTCGACGTCACGCAAATTCATGTCTTCACTATCCCCGGAGTCACTAATGATACCGTGTACGTGCATGCTCCCCCTTCCCCGTTCGCTCAGCTTACTAATCCATCTTCTCTAGCTGCGTCGCAATGGACACGATAATCCGCGTCGTCGGCGCCATCGCCCTCTGGTCCATCGAGATCGTCATGCAGCTGCGAATATACGCGCTCTACGACTGCTCAAAGACCATCGCCGCGGTCAACGGTGCCATGTTCATCGCGTCCATCGGCACCTTCCTCTGGATCCTCATCCACAACGCCATGGGCCGCAGCGCTGTCATCGCCGATGCGATCCACCTCCCCCTACCTGGCTGCCCTTCCATTCATACAGGGATCGAATGGGCACAGTGGGTACCGGGTGCGTTTCATGTCGTTGCTACTGAGGTACTGCCGCGCCGGAGGTTGATTCCACTTCTATAGCCACGGCGTTTGAGGCTGTTTTGTTCTTCTTCGCGCTACACAAGACGCTGCATTCGACTGCGCAGCGGTTTCGACGCGGCGAGCGAATATCATTGTATCAGCTCGTGTTGCGAGATCAGATCATATACTTCTTCCTGTGTGTAGATTCTCTACTTTACTTCTCCAGCGTGCTAACGTTGAACAGTGTAACGGTCCTGTTGGTCTTCAACAACCTCATGGTCGTCGGGATCACGAAGATACCGTGGTTCAGCTATTCGTAAGTGTTAGCCATCTGATTGTTGTATGTTGTATCCCAGGACTGACGACGGTGAATACTTGCCAGGCCATTCCACGCAGCTCTCGGAGTCCTGACCACACGCATGATGATCAACACGCGCAAGGCATCGGCCGAGGACGTCTTCTATTCCAACGACACTAAATTACTGACAACGAGCAATGAAATGGTCTCCCCTTCGACCGAGGAGACCACCTTACCATGGAACACAGCGCCGGCAGGGGGCTTTACAGCCAGGTATGGTGGCCCGCTCTCGTTTGGGGACCCGACCTCGACGTATGGGAGCCTGGAGCCGGGCTATCGGTCGCCAAAATCGGGATCGAGGCCTCCGTACGATGGGCCGTTTGCCCAATACGCGGACAACGGGAAGGACTCGATGGAGATGGACGTGATTGTGAGCGAGAGGAGATTGGAGTGGGTGCGCCCGAATGAGGTCGGTTTGTGTACCTGATACTCGGGTCATAGCTAACGTTTTGCCGCAGGATGGATCCTTTTCTGTCCTGGACGGCGTTGTATCGGAAAGCAACAGCTCTCCGCGAGAACCTCATAGGGAGTTCTTGCCTTCTAGATGAAACTCGCCGAATTTCCTGAATCACTAGGATTCTGCCCTGCCGTACCATACCCTCCATACGGGATACCCGCCTCTACCCACCTCTCGCATCGCATATGTCCCTACTCCTACCTGACACACCTACCACAGACTATGCTGGTGTATCATGTTCGTGGATCACAGTGCCTATTTTACCTGTATTAGTTTGGATATTCTGTTTGTTTCGCTTTAACCAGGTTGTAGCCACTGTATGAGTGTAGCTAATGGATCCCTGAGGCTGAATCTGCTCTGATCGTCCCCGTATACACTTCTCTACTAAAAAAGGTACAGCTACGGCGATGGAGTAGTAGCCTGGCGCGCGCTGCGAGTCGTCCTGTCGCGTCATCTCGAGTGCCCCCAGTGTGACCGGCAAACGCCGAGACGGTTCGGACCCGCGAAAGCTTCCGCTTTCGCACGGTTCGTTTTTCCATGGTCACAAACATCAACATTTCCGTCCATTAGTCGCTCTGCCGCATCTCAGTCGGCTGAATGCGGACTGTTTCTGTTCTCCTTTTGTACTATCGCCGACCACCTTTGCCGACCGCACTAGACTCCGGAGGCCTTTCTGCCGCACAAGAGGCTGGAAGTCCTTCTATCTCTTCAGTTTGGAACCGATAAGGCGACTCTCGAAAGTAATCCTTGACTCGACGAAGCGCTTAGCTCAATGAAATGCCATTGACACTTCTATGATTACCGGGGAGGCTGCTGCACGTATATTTCTCTCAGAAACACAAGACGCCGGTGAGTACCAAGGATTTGCCATTTGTGAGTGCTATTTTTCTCCCATGAGAGCGAAATTATAAGTGGCCAGCCAGTCGCATGAGGTGCCTTCGCTCATCTCGACCACCATCCTAGCGCCTTCGATGCCACCCTGCGGCGTAGACATGAGCGTCCAAGATCGCGTCTGCGCAAGTATTGTTCCAGCGCCCTCGTTCGCGGCCTTGCGCAATTTGTAGGGACGAGGCTCGGCTCTAGGTCAGCAGGCTGCCCTAATCCTCGATTAATTATAAAGGGACACTTCGGACCCTTTCACTCGGACACTCCCTTGGCTCGGAGAAAGAGCGAGTGACTTTTCGGAGGCAGAGGAAGTGTACGAAGTGGATAAAGGGGAGGCAATTTACGTGGCGTGCGCTTCAGTTGCCTTTTCTATCCATTTGGAACTTGATCTGGAAACTCACTTCTGTTCTTCATGTTCAACGAGTCGGCCATTGCGTGCAAACTTTACCGGTGGCCTAAGGCCGAGGGGAGGGTGGTTCGAAGGAAGATGAACACGTTTGCTACCGGGATCGCTCACAAGGGTTACTGCATAGCGATTTGACCAACGATGTATCCAAGAGACACAATTTTACGGGAGAGTGGCTACAACAAGTGGTGAAAATACAGAAAACCCTACCCAAGAAACCGTAATTCTTAGCGTATACGCAGTATGATGTATGTATCGTGGTGCTCGAGCTGGAGCTCTAAATGTCCCACGCGGCCCAGTCGCGCAACCTACTGTACCACCTAGCCCCACATAGACGGGGCCTCCCAACCTTCACGGGGGCTATATACTCCTCAAGGCCGCCGCAAGCTCGCTTGAAAATCGTACTGGGCCTGTCCATCCCCGGATCACTCGTTCGATACCTCCGGCGCAACCTCGAACAAACCTGCGCGGGATCGAAGACATCTACGCCGCCTCTCCGTCCGCGCTGGCGTCCTCCGAGGCAAGATGCGGGACTACCAGAACAGACCGCGAAGGGCACTTGGCCTGCATGATGTTGATGTCGCCCGCAGGCTGAGCGGGAGAGGGTCTCAGCTCGGGCTGGGCGGGGAAGGAGCCCTGCTCGAAGAAGAAGAACGAGAGGCGGAAGGTGCCCGAGCGCTTGAAGACGAGGTCCTGCAAAAAGGGGTCAGATAAGTCGAAACGTGTGATAGAAGGAGTATATGTCTAGAGACTAGACAAAGGCCCCGGCGATCAGGCGGTCAACTAGAAGAGCTCACCGGGAAGTGGAAGAAGTAGCACGGGTGGCCGTCGACCTTGACGAGCTGGGCGGGCGAAGTGATCACGTCGTGGAGCGCGTCTCGAGCGTGCATTTCTTCGCCGCCGTTAACCGTGGATGCCTCGAAGAGGCAGAGGAGGTCGAGCCTGTCCGAGTATTGAATCAAGCGTTCGCCAGTGGAGGTTCGAAGGATAGCCACATACTCTTCCTCGTCGATCTCGACCTCCTTCGAGCCCTGCTCGTTCTTCTTGATCTCAAAGAGGCGGCCGAGCAGCACAGGGGCGGGGACGACCATGCCACTATTGCGGTGCACTAAGGTCAGCTCGTTGTCGAAGGACGTAGGGTTCAGATACCCACTCGGCATTGACCTGCAGATCACGCAGCTCGTGTAGCTCGCCACGGATGGAGCGACCAGCCAGCGCGCCGCTCACGTACAGCAACGGCTGCGAGAACAACGCGTGCTGCTGGCTTTTGAGCGTGCCACTGAGCACAGAGCGCGCCTGCGCGAGGAGCTCTGCGTCGTTGGCGGGAGAGAAACTTGGGTCTTGGTAGGCAGAGGCCATGATGAGCAGTGTGGGGGATAGCGTAGTGTTGGAGGGAGTAGGGGCGAATCGAAAGGAGATTATATATGCGAAGCGAATCGTGCGGGACCGGTGGCGCTATGGGGCAACGGGCCTGGGGATCGGGCGGCGTGTGGGGAGCCGCATTGTGGCCACACCTCGCAGTTTCTTGTCCAGAATAGCGTGGGATGCTGTATGTCCGAGAGATAAAACGCACGAAGGAGGAGGAGTGAACCTAAACGAGCGACTTCGTGGGTCGTTCGGGAGGCGCAGAAATGCTACAGCAATGATTTCGGGCAAGTGCAAGGATTAGACTAGGCAATAAGGTTGTTGATGACCTATGATCTGCCGCATAAACAGCATTATAGTGCGGATTTGTGAAGCAGGCGGGCGTTGGACCACTGGCAGGTTTGAAGGAAATCGGAAGCAGTAGGTCCGAGAAGGATGTACGTTTTCGCTGGAAGTAGGAGAGATTTGGCAGTCAAGTTTGAGTTCGGCAAGAGACTTCAGAATGTAGTCGCCAGGGAGTGAGGTGGGAGGTGCATCAAAAGACAGCCGCTGCCGCACTGCGGCGTAGACACGATGTTTGCAGACGTTCTTCTAACCGTTCAGCCGGCGGCTAAGAAGCTGGGGAACACGCTGCAGCGAGGAGGAGAGGGCATGGATCCATTATTTGCGAAGGGACAAACGGGGAAAGTGGACGAGGGAGTGTGTGGGTAGTGAAAGTTGAACGCAAACTTCCGAAATCGGAGCCATGAATGATTTACGGATTTAGCGTGATCAATTCCCACGACGCCACGAATTCAGGCACTCCTCTTCCCCACCTGCTCACTTTCTTTCATCTCCGTCAGTGCGCAACCTCTGCTCCTCATCAAACGCAAAGTTTGGCGACCCTTCTTCGATTTCCCACATACACCGAAGTTTCGACAGATGGCCAACAATCAGCCAGGCGGCTCGATATCCGCGGTGCAGGCGGCGTCAGCAGCCTCTGCTGTCGCTGCTGTCGCTGCTCTCGGCCGTCCCCCGTCAGCCGCAGCCTATTCAGCGGATCACCTGTGAGCCACAGTGATATCAGACAGACTCTATTCAACTGACGCGACACGTTTACAGCGTGTACTACAACAAGGAGACCGCGACCTGGCGTTTCGAAGACGATGATGGAAATGAGATGGAATTCGACGCCACCAAGGGCTCCTGGGTCCCCGTGGTCAGTGCAGCCTCTCCGTGAGACCCGAGTGATGGAGCCCGACAGGTCAACAGCTGGACGACGACCTCATCAAGCGGCACCAGGCTGCATACTCGGTCGCAGGCGTCGACGAGAACGCCCCGGCGGCGCCCGTGCTCAAGCGCGAGAGCAAGAAGAGGAAGGAGGTGGACTACACGTCGGCGACCGTGCCGGACGAGGGCCCAAGCAAGAAGAAGAAGAAGGACGCGGAGCGCAAGTCGAAGAACACGTCCGTATACGTCACGGGCCTCCCCCCCGACACGGACTCGGACGAACTCGTCGCGCGCTTCTCGAAATGCGGAGTGCTCGAGGAGGACGACGAGGGGGACCCGAAGGTCAAGATGTACGCGCGGGAAGACGGCACCTTTAACGGCGAGGCGCTCGTGTCGTACTTCAAGGAGGACTCTGTCCTGCTCGCCCTCAACATCCTCGATGACGCCGAACTCCGGATCGGCGATCCTAGCACGCGGATGTCCGTCAGCAAGGCCGATTTCAGCGCGAAGGGCAATGCCGGCCAGAGCGGGGACAAGCCGCGCAGGACCGTCGACAAGAAGAAGGCAACGAGGCGGATCGGGAAGATGCAGAAGTGCGTGGCCTGAACATTGTATCCCACACTCTCTAACATGAGCGCAGGAAGATTGACGAATGGAAGGACGAGGATGGCTTCGGACCGCAGCTGGAGGTCCAAGACACGCAACCTGTAGCGAACAGGAATAGTCGAGTGGTCGTGTTAAAGCACATGTTCACGCTTGAAGAGCTCGAGAAGGACGCTACGCTCCTCCTGGACCTGAAGGAGGAGGTGCGCGAAGAAGCGGAGACGCTTGGGGAGGTCACGAACGTAGTTCTGTACGATGTGAGTTCGACCTTCACAGTGGGTACCGACAGTCTGGCTGACTTCTCGCAGAAAGAGCCCGAGGGCGTGATGACCATAAAGTTTAGGGATCCATTGAGTGCTCAAGCCTGTATCATCGTAGGTGCCTAAAGAGGACTGTCAGGAGTCTGGCTTACAATCGTCTAGAAAATGAATGGTCGCTTCTTCGACGGTCGACGAGTGGAGGCGTACCTGTACGATGGCAGGCAGCGATTCAGGCGTAGTAACGCGGCGGACGATATCGATGGCACTGGGGACGAGGCAGAGAAGCGACGTTTGGCAAACTTTGAGGAGTGGTTGCTCAATGATGGCGACTAACCGCTGGTTCCTTTACGGACAACAATCTACTCCCTGCTTGCTTCTCTGTTTACTGTTATTTTCGGTATCTATTACACTGGTGTCCGTCCATGTATGAGAAAGCAAGAAGATCTAAGTGTGCTATCCAAGATGTAACTTCCCGGCTACCAGCAGCTGAGCAAAGGCTTCTTCTCGATCACCTCCAAGCGCTGCAAAGGCGTCAGCCGAGTTCTCCAATCGCAAGTCACCTACTCAAACATACCTCGTTGATGACAGTCTTCAGGGGAGACTCGCCATCCGCCTCTGCCTCCGCCCACTCCATGGCAGCGCGCGAGGTGCCTGCCTGATGACTCGCCCACCGCGAATGCAGTGGGCTCCCCTCCGCATGCGACATGCTCTTCGACATCGCCACCACATCCGCCTCATCATCGCTCTCCGGCGATACACTCCGCTCGACCTCCGCCTCATGCAGCGTCGGCATTGGCGGGCTGCTAGGCGGCGAGAACGGGGTCACTGGAAGCGACGCCGACACCACCTGCCTCGGCGTCGGGATCGCCAGCGTCGCCTGCGCCGCCAGCACCTGCGGCTGCGTCGGGGGCCGATCACCCACATCGTCCTCCTCGAGCACCGTATCCTCGTCGATGCCCAGCCTTTGCAGACTCGCCTCCACCGCATCCAAACGCTCCAGATGTTCAAGCATTGTCACGCCCGTTGTGCCCGGGTGCACACGCTGGATCTTGGACGCAAAGGAGACGGGGCGGGGCGCGCCGGAGGCGTCGGTCGAGGTGCGCGTCATGGGCGGGGGGAAGTCCGCACTCGAGATGCTGAGGGAGCGGCGGGGGAGGGGGACGCTGTAGACGGACATGTGGGGGGACGGGAGGCCCTGCATCTCGGCCTCGTCGGCGGGGTGGTCGAGGTCACCCTCGGGGACTTCGATCTCGTCGTCCCAGACCATGACTTTCTTCCGTCGGGTGAGTTCCAAAGGGCCTTCGTCCTGTGATAGGGGTGAGCGATGTAGCCACAACTAAGGACACGCATACGAACAGCGTGCTTCAAGGACTGGATGATGTTGTATGCCTGGCCTTCCATACATGTAAGCATCGAAGTTTATACACAACACATCCTCACTCACCCTTGATCACAGCCAATTGTCGCTAAGGTCCTCATGAGCGTCCGCTCCTAACCCTCACAAAACTCACTTACCGAAAACATCTTCGGATGGAACCCCTCGTCCACCGAAAACAACTTCTCCAACTCATACGTCGTCTCCTCCCACCACGTCTTGCTCGTCAACATCGGCAAAAAGTGATTCCTCGTCTCCTCGCTGAACGGCTTGCCGATGATACTGACGGGGAGGTACAGCCACCCATACGTATACGACCGCCAGCCCTGCGGGTGCTCGTGGGGGAAGGAGAGCGAGTTGTCGATGGCGGCGATGTGGATGTGCGGTCGGCGGGTGTAGTCGGCGGAATTTGAGGGGCCGGGGGTGTTCACTCTGGACGCTGTTGCCTCCATGCGTGGGGTGGCGGTCGGTTGTGCGTGGACTTCGGTCATTTGCGGCATGGTACGGGAGGAGCGAGATGAAGGAGTGTCGACTACGGGTTTCTCGTGTACGCCGTCGCAGTACTTGATCATGTAGTTGTCGGATCCTCTGAAAGAGTGTTAGCAGATATCTTATGACCGTTGGCAATGACTTACCTGTCAGTATTCTGCATGAGATAGTCTACGAATGTCAGCAACTCCTCTTCGTGAGCTCAGGCGTCGCATACCTAGTATGACAAGCCTACGAACAACCCGTCAGTAACTTCGTGACCACAAGTAGTAGACGCGGTACGTACTTCTCCAGTTCTGCGCGGAAGCTCTGTTGCAACGCCTGTGACCAGTAGAACGGCCGGTCCGCGGTCTCATAGGAAGCATCGTACAGCAGCTGATCATCATCTTCCTCGTCATCAACGTCTCGTTCGCTTCCTGTCCGTCCACAAACGATCTTGACTGCGCCAAGGATGCGTTTCATGGTATGGCTCCGCCGATGTGTCGAGTCGTCAAAGGTGTCGCTGATGGTGCGTCCAGGCCAGGGATGTTTCCTCAGGAAGTCCGTGGCATCTGGGAAGGGGTTACTCTACGTAGTGAAGTGGCTGGGAAGTAGAAAACATGCCCTGGAAACCGTTCATGAATATTTGCATGCTGCCAATCTTGTCAGGTAGCGGTTTGCCCTTCTTGTATGCATTCCTGTCGATCCAGTCGTAGAAGAAAGCCTTCGAGAAGTCAGACGGAGTAGCATAGTTCATGGAATGCACTCACTGGACTTGACAAGGCGACCAGTTGGGTGGGCGGGACTATGTTCAGTTTGAGCCGCGAGTCTAGGAGGGATGCGGCAGCTTCAGAGATGTAACTGGAGGAAGAGGTCAGTGTATTGCAGACGACATGTACGAATGCGACGCGCCTTAGGTTAGGTATCAAACAAGCACGGCCAAAGGGTATAATGAAGCGAAGCTGCCTATGCAACCACTTTGTTGTCTTCGGGTTCAGGCGACCGTACGGCTCTTCGTCCTTGGGTTTGAACACGCTGTCATATTTCAGGTCAGTACGTGAATATTATGTATGGGTTGACAACGCACGCCACGGTCCGCACACGCCCAGTCTCATCCTTTGCTCGCGCAAAGTACGAGCCTGAGGAGCCCTTCGCAATCATCTTGGGATGGATCCCCTCCAAGATGGCCTCCTTGACGGCCTGCACCATGCTGCAGACACGTTAATGAGGGAGGGAGGGCAGAACGCGCGGAGGAACGTACGCGTCGAATTGGGCTTTGGTCATCGGTGGCTCATGATCCAGCGTCTTGACCTGACATAGATATCAGACTCTCTCTTTAACTTTGAGATAGCACACGCACTAGTCCCGTGTCCTCGAACGCAGGCGGGATGTATGGCTCGAACACGCTTCGCCAGATCTTCCTGCGCTGCACGCCGCTCGCTTTCTTCTTTCGCTTCACCTTTTGCGCTATTGATTCTGTCCACCTTGATGCATTCATCAGCATACAGCAGATGCTAGATATAATCTCATTGCCTCTTGAATGCATTGTCCAGCTTCTTCAGGTCTATACTGCCAGGATGTGCACGTCGGCGAACACGTCGCGAAGGGCCAGGCGAGCGCGGGGCCTCGTCCCCGGAGAAGACATCGTCGTCGTCGCCATCGACGGACTGCGCGAGCGGCTGGTATCCTGAGCGCGGCGCCATGGGGTAATAAGAGAGCAGGCACAGGCGTGGAGACGCCGACCGTCGAACGTAACGGTCGACCGCTTGGACTGGGGTCGTCGGCCCCTCGGTCCGGTCACGCGCAATTCCCACGGTTCAACTTCGGAAAACGCGTCACATCCTTTTCCCGTTTTCCTTCATCTCTCCAATGAGGTTCATCGATGTTCAGCATCCTCGTCCATTTCCACCTCCTTAGCTCATCCTTGGACATACACGGCGTTCCTGGGATGCTTCTATTGAGCCATACGACTCGGTCCAAGTTACGTCCGCGTCGTCGCCCCAAAATGGTCTCCATGAGGCAACACACCAACAGCGCCAATGGCTCCGAGACTTGAACAAGGAATTTTCGCTCGAAATTATCTCTACTTCTCCCTCTGACTGTCATCCCACTCGAACGCCACTTCTGCTTACTTGGCCCTTCATTCTCCTCACATACAGTGCGCTCAAGGCACGACTACCGGACTACCGCATCGTGACTGCTTCTCCGCGTGCGCGGGAAGAGCGGCGCCTTCGTGAAGGATCCTGAACCCGGCGAGCCTCGGATGAACACCACATTCGGAATACTACATATACTTCACTGGTGAACAGTCGGTGGCGCACAAGCTCCAGCTCACCGATATATAAGCACCCATAGGCCTCCGATCGTCAACGACATGGCTTCCTTACGATCTGGCGCAAGAAATACTCTCTTCGTTGCGAATGCACTTCGACACGCGACAGCCTGCAGAAGGGCACCTAGCTGCATTCCGACTGCCTTCAGACATCAGCGATACTCTAATCATCGACGATCTCTCGCAACGATCGCTGAGAGCAACATAGCTCAGCCATGGAGTGAACATGGCGATGGTAGACCCGGGCTACCGATCACATATTCGTTTTTCGAGCCAGCGACGAAAACTTGGTAAGTAATCGACCTTGTCAGTCGGGCAGCCCGATCAACTTTACGCGTAGGCAATATGTGGTCACAGACCCTTCGTCCAAAGATGCCGTCCTCATCGACACCGTCCTCGACTATGATCCAGCTTCTGGAACGCTATCGACGTCCACCGCAGACGGTATATTGGCTTTCGTACGAAATCATGGATTCAACGTCACGAAAATTCTGTGCGTCCACTTTACATCATGCTGCCTTCGTCTCTAATGAATTTTGACCATTTCAGCGAGACGCATGCGCATGCCGACCATCTCACAGCTTCGCAGTACCTCAAGCACCATCTCCCCGGCAACGTCCCCATCTGCATCGGCGAGCGCATAGCGCAGGTGCAAAAACACTTTGCGCCCGTGTACGGCCTCGCGCCCCAGAACCTCGCCACTTCTTTCGACATGTTCCTTAAGGACGATCAAGTCTTCATGCTCGGGAACCTGCCGGTACAGGTGATTCATCTACCCGGACACACGCCGGACCACATAGGCTACCTCGTCGGGAAGTCTGTATTCACTGGCGACTCGATCTTCATGGTGCGTATACTACACAATTATGCCTCGTCCTATTCCTGACATGCGACCTTCTTTCCAGCCCGACCTTGGCTCCGCGCGTGCAGACTTCCCAGGCGGAGATCCTCGCGCCTTGTACCGCGTACGTTTCGCTCAACCGTGACCATTGAACCACTCTAACATGTTCATCCCCCAGTCCCTCCAAAAGCTCCGCTCCCTCCCCTCCGACTACGAGATCTTCGTTGGCCACGACTACCCCAACGGCCGCGAAAAGAACTGCGTCACCACCGTCGCTGAGCAGCGGCTACATAACAAGCACGTCAAACTCGGTACTACGGAACGCGACTTCGTCGACTTCCACACGGCGCGTGACAAGGTCCTCAAGGCGCCGCGTCTCATCCATCCGTCGCTTCAGGTGAATGTCCGCGCGGGCAGGTTACCGCCGCCGGACCCCGCGGCGGGGCTGTCGTACTTCCGTACTCCGCTTTGCGGCGCATTGGACATATAGAGGTTATGGATCATAGGTATATAGTGTATTCGCTTGCAGTATTTTGGTAATATTCTAGATAGGTCGGGTTGGGCGAGCTACCTGCGCACGCTCTTTCTCGGCTTCAGACATAAATGTAACACTGTAAACTGGATGCGATACATCAGCCTGATAAACTCATGAGGAGCCATGTGAGAAAACACAAGTCTTACAAATTACCACCCCATTATTACAACGTTCCCAAAGATGCGCTTCTCCATCTGCCACATACCGTCTACATGGAGCTGCGCTCTCGCCCGCCACTTGGTGATCAGGTTTCCGAGAGCCACGACGTCGCTCTGGCAGATGTCCAGAGGGACCTTCTCCACATAGAAGGGGTAGGTACAGGTCAGGGTGCAGTCGCGGAAGTGTGGGCTTTGCAGGCGATGCTCGAGGAGCTTGCGTATGAGGCCGTATGCCCTGGCGTACGTGTTGTACACCTCAGGGCTGTACGTGCGATTGTGCTGCAGCTGAAGGAGGCGCGTGCCCTGGGGGTACAGGCGACGTAGCTCTGGCACCAGCTCGGCCTGGGAGGAGGAGGACGCGCGATAGAATATAGGCAGCAGGTGTTCCGGGCGCATGGCGATAGAGGACAGCTCGAGGACACGCAGGCGAGGGAGGCGGGTAAGCAGCGTCTCGAAATCCGACTCGTGGTTCTTCATATCCAGGCCATCGATTAGCAACTCCTCTAACCCTGCGGCGCGATCTGCAAGCGCTACGAGATCGCCCCACGAGTTAAAGCCCATGGACCGGGTGTCGGTGAGGGAAAGATGCTTCAGCGCAGGAAGGGATACCGCGCTCATACACTTGACAGGCCACTCCCAGAACATGATCTCCAGCGTCGTGAGATGCGGGAGAGGCACAGCATCCCGGCTCGCCGACGAATTGTCATTTTCGGAGTCCCAGGTAGTGATGCTAGCAGTCTTCAGCGAGGTACACTGCCGGAAGACATCCGGGAATCCGTGCATGTTCTGTACCCCAGCGAGGCATAGGTGCTCCAGTCGCGACCACCGAATAGGGAAGATCGTGTCCATCCTGCTCATCACCATGTCTACAAGACCCTCGACGGCGAACGTACGAAGGTGCGGTGTGTACGAGAGGGAAGAGAGGGGTGTCCCGAGGGGGAGCAGGCTCGCCGAGACGACGTCGCCCTTCAGTTGAAGTTTCTCGAGGGAGCGAAATGCATCAGTCGGCAGAGCGGCCAGGCGTTCCCAGCGCTCATTCGCCGCCGTGATATCCAGCGCGCGGATTTGGCCTGTAAGGGGCTGGGTACGATGGTCCAAGAGAAAGTGGTCAAGCCGGTCCTGATCCTGGTCCTCTGCAGGCACAGCGACAGTCACGGCCACGAGCAGTGGGCTCGCCCTCTGGAACCACGCGCGCAGCTGCTCAATGGACCCCGCCCCGCAGGACTGATCGTCTGTGACCGAAAGCTTCGTCCACATGCGCCTCTCGTTAAACGCGATCGAGCGCCATGTCCGGCATACGTGCGCAGGAAGCAGAGTGGATTGCGGCAGGCCTTCGTCGTTGCAGCATATGAAAACCTGTTCAAGGAGCTCCTGTGGTAGCTTCTTGAGTAGCTCGGCAAGGGACACACGGCTGCGGGTCACAACCGGCAGTTTCTCCCGTCGATCTCGCCGCGAATAGTCCTCCCGCAGATAGTCCTCGGAGGAACAGTCTCGGATCCTACGCGCATGACCTTTGCGATGGCGCGCGCGAAGAGGAAGAAACTGAATTCGCGTCGCGTAGATCATCGTCGATGAACGTTGATCTGCATTATCAAGGGCATATGAGGTCGTGTCAGTTAGGAGACAGTAGAACACACAGTATAGATCACTCCGAAAAGTGTGCTACGGCTAGAAGATAGTCTTGGACGAAGCTGAGAAGGCAGGCTCGAGATGGTCAGGAGCAAGCCGCACTGTGTACACGGGGCTCGAGGACCTCAACACGCGCACCATTGTCACGCAGATGAATGTAACGGGTCGACTTCACGTTCGGCTCACCGCGTATCGAATGGTACGTCAAGACGATCAACATGATCTTGTTTGGCGAGCACTGTTGAGCTTCATGATATGCATTGCTTCAGAGTATATCCATTTCGACAGAGAGCGGAGATCGGAAAATATTGGTGGGATCGTAAAGCGTCTTCATTCGAGAGAGCTCCTGATAATTGTCGCCGAAGTAGAGTGTTCGCCCTGGGAAGTGAGCCGAATGAGTACAATTGCCGGTAATCAGCACTGTGCCTGACTTACAATTCTGTAGTCGAGCATCAGCATAATTTGCGTATGCACCATACGGCCAGCCAGAAGGCTCGCTTTCGATTACAGCGTTGACCAGGTCTTTGCAGCGGACGGATGGAAACTCATTGAGCTTCGCTCGATATTAGAAGAGTAGCCACTCACCATCCAGAAAGGAAAATCCATCGTCAGGGTACGGTGGTCGGTCGTTCGGCGACAGCGCAGCCAATTGCATGGTGAATACCTTGTCGCGATGAGGGAAAGCCGTCTTGTCTGTGCCGACGGTGTTGATCGCAGAACCGCTACCGCCGTATAGTTCAATCTCCACAAACCATGACTCGGGCGAAAATCGTCAGCAACAAACAGAAACACGTTGGCAACTTCACTTACCAGGTCCGAAGTGACACTACGTTCGTCTGTCAGGTATTGAACAAACGCGCCTACAGCCGTTGGACTGAGGCCTTCCGCCTCCGGAACCATGAGGGACTTGATGTAGAAGGTGCTATGCTGAGGAGGCGTGGCGCTTGTGTTGAGATCTCCCCAAGCCGACGCGTTCAGGACAGCGATCCAATCGCCGCAGAAGCTGTCCACACTATCGGGAGGAGGCAGCTTATCCAAGAAGCGTTCATTGGTTTCGTCGAGGGTCGTCGGATGACCCCAATGCTCGCCAAAGTATTCCATATTGACATACCCCACCACCGTGCTCTTGTTGAAGTTCAGTTGCGCCCCAAAGGCCGGGGGGATATCGCTTTCGACGAAGTCTTGAAATGTGGCGAGCGCATGGATTGCGTCTACGGCTGTAAGGTTCCATCCGTAGCGGAAAGTCGTACCACCGAGCGGGATGAGCTCGGTAGCGAAGACAAACTCGATCACGATACCGAAAGAAGGACCCGCTCCTCGGATGGCCTAAGTGAAAGCGTGAGCTAAGCGTGTCACATTCAGACCGCGCGGACATACCCAGAAGAGGTCCGCGTTTTCTAATTCTGACGCCGTGACGATGGACCCGTCGGAGAGGACGACGGTCGCGGAGACGATGTGATCAAGCAACATGCCCCACATACGCGACGGAGGAGGAGGAGGAGGAGGTTTGTTTATTCGGGGGAGGTCCCTAAAAAGGAACGGCCCTATCCGCCCTACGTAGCTAAGAGGTATACTACGCGACGGAGCACCTCCGTCCTTATCGCTGTGGTCAATCGGTGTGAACAGAGCACACAATGTACCCTCACCCATCGCCTCACGAGCTCGAACTTTGGCACGAAGAAGCTAGACACAGTCCCAGGGTTAGTAATCTCACTATGTGGAGCAAAGTCAACGAGACCCATATTGTTGAACAAGTTCATGAGAGATAGCCCAGGTACTGCAGAGCTGACATTCTGAATGCCGTTGGTCATGCAGCATGAGTCTCACATCTTATAAGCAAAGTGCACGTCCGACGCAGGAGTGCGAGGACCGACGTGTGCCCATAGCCTCCGCCCGCTGGTTGGCATTCAGAAATGAAGCCCGGACGCACGCGCAGGATTACTTACTCGCGTGGCCTCCAAGACTGCGTGTAGTCGGTCACAGACACGAAGAATCACAGAGAAAAGGCGGAGCGTACCCTACAGTAGGACATCGGCCATGAGGCAGCGCCCGGCCGTACTCATTCAAGGCCAGAGCTAAGTCCCCCAGAAGCACGCCGGCGCCGACGTTGGCTGTATTGTCCGTCTCATTCACGCTGGTCTCATTGAAGCTGCCCATGTCAACCACAAGCGCGCCGTCTTTACCACCGAGTCCAGCTGCGATGTAGCTATGCTGTATGCCGCATTAAATATCGAAGTCTGCACAGTGGGAAAAAAACACATACTCCGCCGCTGCGAGCCGTGACGGCAAGCTTTTGAGCACCTCCCGCTTGAACAACAGCGCTCACTTGCTGCGGCGTTGAGGGGTAGGCAATGACGATTGGCGAGATGTCGTAACGCAAGTTATCTAGGCATCTCATCAGCGTCTCAGACTTGTGAAGGACATCCCAAGAGGCGACACTCACAAGCTGAACTGGCATTCACATAGCCTGGATCGTCCCGGAATACTGCCACTACTTCAGCGTCTGTCAATGCTCCGCGCAGCGCGTCCACATCTAGAGCTCGAGCACAAGGAGTGATTTTAAGTAGGGTGAAGACGGCGATGAAATAATGCAAGATGGAAAGAGAACTGTCCATTGCGCCTCGCTGATCATTGAGACCGCCTATTCACGACATCTTATATAGGGCTTATTTCAGCGAAAAAATCCATGCAGCATCTGGACTGCGGAACATTAGACGGGCAGAAGTCGGCATCGATCCATTGAACAGCAGACAGGCGACTACTTAGCGTGAGTTGATCGCCATTCAGCACGAGACTTAGTGCCTTGAAATCGCGGAATATAGGCGAAGGGGGCAGGGTCGTTTGCAACGGAAAAGACCGCCTTCCCGTCGGAAAATCGGTCTCGTGGGATTTGCAATGGCCGTGACCGCAGAGTTGCTACAACCGTAGAGTTCTATATCTACAGATAACGACTCGGTCTCTGCGTCAGAGGCAACGATTAGGCCCTTGCAAACAGCCGCACTCACCGTGTCCAAGCTGACATCGTCTTCGCCTGTCAGGTATACCGCGTTGCCCAAGCCGCGTCTCCTTGAAGGTGAATGATGGAGGTCGACGTCGTAGTGTATAACTTGATGCGTTCGCGTACGCTCTGGCCAACAGATGGAATGGGAGATGGCAGGAGGTCAATCCGGATGACGTTCAAGTTCCCAGATACTCGGCACATGCCAGTCAGTCTCCCGCGCCTTCATGGACCTCGTTCCGAAGCCTTGGCCGTGGAGGGGTGCAGCCTCAGACTGTATGATGTTTTGAGTAAGAGGGTACATGTTGCCTAAGAGTATTTCTGACGACCTATTATACAGTCTTTTGAACTTCGAACACTTACACGCCACGACTTCTCGTCAGTCGATCTTGACGACCAACTTCTCCCCGCTGAGCTTGTTATGCCGCAAAAGGTCGAGCGCGACTGCTGCGCGCTCCTTCAGGGTGCCCTCCGCGAGAAGACGCATGGAGTTCGGCTTGATCAAGCCCTTCGCCAGAAGGTCGGGCAGGATCTTCGGCATCAGGTTCTCTTTGAGGAAGGTGTTGTCCTGAGGAAGGCATTGAGTTAATATGCATCAAAGAGCACCAGCAACACCGAGCCAACTCTCACCTGATACGTGAACGTCCTAATGAGCGCGCGTCTCCTCGCTTCGGGAACGTACGGCTTGAGATGGTCCGGTACGTCGTCTGCGAATGGACATCAACCCTCTTCACTTCAATCACTACCACAAAGACGAATCCGACTCACAATAGAACTTCACCTCCTCCTTGGTCCCCTCGGGGTTCACCTTATCCCCACCCTTGAGCGGGAGCAGCATCGCAAAGAAGCCGTCGGGGGCGAGCGTCCCGCCGATAGCCGTTATTGTAGTCTCCGTCGCGATACAGTCGACGATCAGCGCAACCTTGCCGCCGACGAAGTGCTCGATATCTTGGGCGAGCGTGGGCGAGCGGTAGTCAAAGACTTCGCGCGCACCGAGCGCCTTGAGGTGTGCGTTGTGCTTTGGAGACGCAGTAGCGAGGATGTTCGTGTAGCCGGCGGCGTGCAGGACCTGGACGAAGAATTGCCCCGAGGAACCGCCTGCGCCGTAGACGAGAATCGGCTTGCCAGCATCCTCGGGTGCAGCAGCGGGTTTGTCTGCATCTGGCGTTCTCGTGTTAGACCGACGTCTGACAAGTCAATCAACTCAACGCACTCGCGCTGCCGGGGACAGCGTGTGGCCACTCCAAGCCGCTTTCGCTAAACAGCGTGAAGAAAGCGGTAACGAAGTTGTCCGGAATCGTCGCCGCGTCCTCCAGGGAGACGTTGTCGGGGACCTTCCCAACTAGGGTGTACGGCTGGATGGTGTACTCCTGCAGCCCGCGCGTGCGCGCCTCGCCGAAGGAGAAGGCGGTGACCTGGGCGTGTGTTAGCATTCGCGTACTCTTCCGAGATCCCACTGTCCAAGTCCGACTTCCACCCCAAGCAAACGAGCAAAGCCATACTCACCCTGTCCCCCTCTTTCAAGTCCGGAACGCCCTCACCGAGCTTCGCGACCCGCCCCGCGGCGGTGAAGCCAAGCACGATGGGCCACTCCTTGACTATGTACCCCGTGTCGACTTGATACTGATCGACGGAGATGAGCGCGGAGTACTCGACCTTGATGAGCACCTCTCCCGCGTTGGGCGAGGGCGTGGGGACGGAGATGACATCCCAGGAGCCGGGCGAGAGGGCGGCGACGGCGCGATGGGTAGACGAGGCGGACATGGTAGTAGCGCAATCTGGTGCCAAATTGATCGAGAGTTAGGTTTCGAAAGGCAAAAGCAGACTGGTGCGATTGAGATGCTTACGGGGAAGCGGTCAAGTGAAGCCAGCTCTTCTTATAACTCCCTGTCCTGACGGAAGGTGACCATAGCAAGTGTCGAGGGTGGGTAATGGCGCAGTCAGCGTTCTCTCAGCCTCACTCAGCATGGATTGGACTGGGACCTCGCTCCTGAGTGAGATGCGCTGAAAGATTACTTCAACTTCGGTAAACCTGTGGGTCAGCTGCGTACCCGGCGAAGGAGATTGGCTGGACACTCATAAGTCTTCATCTAGAGTTTGAACACAAGGAGCGAGCTGAAGAAGGATGATCGCAGAAGGGGCGATGAAGCCACTGGAAGCGTCAAGGGGCCTGGCCATGAGAGCTGTCTGCGTACGACTTGCTTTTATATGATGGACTGTGGCAAGAATTGATAATCCGACTGTTTAGTGACCGCAGCGCTTGACACGGACAGAAGTCGGTATGGGTCAATTGAGCAGCAGGGGGTCACAGACGTAGGCGGATTGCCTCAGAGTGCGGAATCTACGGTCTTGCGCGCTAGAACATGCACGTACTTGTGCGGGCTAAATGACTGGCTTTGGTTCGACGAGGCTTGGGGGGCCATGGCATTGCGACAAAAGGCGAACACACCGATTATGACGCTCCTTACCCTCTACGCATCGCTATACTGTTCAATCTTGCTCAATAGTCAGATCAACCCCGCCATCCGGCGACCGCTTGACCTTCACGCTGCGACATCGTCAGCTCCCCCCAACCCATTTGAAGAATAGAAGACGACTCACCAAGAAAGGTCCTTCACGAGGAACGTCGGGTTTGCCGCCAGCATTGCTTCGCGGCTATGCGTCGTCAATAGGCCGATGGTCTTGCACCCGGCGGCGTTGCCGCTGCGTACCCCCGCCGGCGCATCCTCAACAACAACGCAATTCTCGGGCTTGACACCAGCCTGGCGCGCGCCCTCGAGGTAGGGATCGGGGCTTGGGGAAGGTCAGTACAGGTAGAGGAGCAACATCGCTGAAAGAAGGCAAACTTACGCAGGCTTCCCCTGCTTAACGTCCTCAGAGCGAATGAAGACATCAGGCGCAGGGACGCCAGCAGCGACTACCGCCGCGGACGAGTATTTGCGCGTGGCAGACGTGCAGATGGCCCATACAGGCTTGGGGAGATGCCGACCGGGGGCGAGCTAGAGTGAGTAGCCGGTCAATGGCTAAGGCATAGATGTGGAAAGCGCGCTCAAACCTCTTCCATGATCTCCTTGACGCCTGGCAGCATGACGATGCCACCCTTCCCAGGTTCGGCGGCAGTCGTGATGATGGCCGTCTCAAAGCGCTCTGCCTCTTTCTGCAGAAGCGTGAGCGAAGTGATTATAGGACGAAGAGGGAGCTATCTACCTCGATGACCTCTGGATCAGTCAAACCACAGTGTATCCTGAGGTTATCCACAGTTCGGACACCGTGCGCAGCTGGAGTCGAGTCCAAGTCAGTCGAGAATTCCCCTCGAGAAAAGTGAAGGCGCACAGCTGAGCACCTGGTCCATATCTATGCCGGGATAGTCCTTGCGGAAGATCTCCCAAGCACCATTGACGCCAGGCGTCGAGTCTATGAGGGTGCCATCCATATCGAAGAGGCTAACACCCATGGTCAACACCTGTGACATGGCATAACCCCGCGCTAAACCTCACATAGCGTCTACGTGGATCGTCGAGGCAGGCATTCTAGCGATCTAAACAGTCTACAACAAAGCAGTGGACAAATCCGGGGATGATGACGATGATGAGGGGGCAGAGGAAGCCGTTAAGCGCCGGCATCCCGTCGTTATATAGGGCGGGGTTAGGTGCCTTGAATCCAGACCGGGGTTTGGGGTTGTGCAGTGCAGCGCAGTGAGATCGATCATCCGTGTCGCGGATGTGTGAAGGGCCGGCGCGAAGTTCCGAGCCGAAAGGCTCGGGAGGGGAAGGATTTGTAGAGAAAGGTAATAATAGTAAGTGACTCTCAGTAATAGTGAACCTTCGGAAGGGTCAGTGATACGATGCCAGCGTAGGAGTCTACACGTACCTGTGGCAAGTAATCCGCAACTGCGTGGTGTATGTATGCTGTTGACCTTGCGCAGACTGCGGCGCCCGACGTACCTTCCATCTTCATCGGAATGACCAGGCTATCCTTGGGCTATCCTCCAAACACGCACGGACTAACCCCGGAGAAACAGTCGACATCAAGGACTCAAGCACAGAAAAAGGTCGGTCGCGTCTACATTCCAAGCTCTACCTCGCACGGCAACAGGTCTACTTGACGCGCAGCACACTACTTGACGAGGTGCATAGGGAAGTACGCATGCGGATCGCCCGGAAGTGACTCTCCGGCGGTCGGCAACCACTTCTTGTACGGGGTCGCCATCGAAGGCGGCAGCTTCGCGGCCGAGAACAGCTTGCCCTTCGCGACGACGGAGGCGATGGTCTCGGTGAGCTCCTTGGGCTCCTGCGGCACGGCGACGATCATCTTGGCGTTCGGGTCGGCGTCGGTGGGGGCGGGGATTCTGGGGGAGGGTGGGTGAGTGAGTGACTGGGTGAGTAGGATGATGGGTAGGTGATCGAAAGCCGGGGGGGTGGACGCGGAGGTTGTATGGAACGGGGCAGTGGAGATGTACGCACTGCTGCGCGGACGAGTGCTCGAGGAGGAGCGTAGAGAGCTCGGTCTGAGTGACCGCGGAGAGGCGCGGGTACGCCCGGCGCACGTCACGCTTCCAGTACGGGTTCTGCGCGATGTCGGACGCTATCCCAACAATCAGCTACATACTCCCTGAACTACCCACGCATCACGCACCCTTCGTCGCCGGCGTGTTGTAGCGCTCCGGGCGCGAGGCCGGGGGCGGCCAGCGATTCACTCCCTGGATGGGCAAGCCGCTCGAGATCTCCGGGTTCACCACGACCGCATCGCCTGAGCTCGGTGTTAGCCTCGCAGGAGTGAGCAGGAGGACGGCCACGCACGGAATTTCTTCCAAAAGCCTTTCGGCGAGAGGTGGTAGAGCGTGTGGTCGGCCGCCTTTCTCGTGGCCATTTCGTGCGGGAAGACTTGAGCAACGAGTGATGTTTGTGCGATTCCGGAAATGGCTATCACGTGGAGGTTGTGGGCGCTCGCTTGGTTTTGGACCGACTTTAGGGCCTTTGTTATCCTTGTGACGCGCCTATGTATTCCTCTATCCCTTACATCTTTAGCAGCCTCCAAAGTATAGTAGGATGCAGGCGAATATTATGCGTGCAGCCCTATGCTATCCTAAAACCTCGGTATCGCCCAATTCTATATCCATCCAAAAACCCAGGCCCCGGCACACAGACCCTATTCTATTCCAGGTATTGCGCGTGTCGCTTTTCTTTGGGGCTCATCTCACGCTCAAGCGCCGCCCTGATTACCTCGCTCTCATAATGCTCGTAGTATCCGACGACTTCTGGCGTCACAGCTCGTGCGTCAAGAGCACTGCTGTCATGGTGTTGGATGACGGGTTGTCGGGCTTGTGGCGAAGAGTGCAATCTATGGTTCAGTCGGTAGGCTCTGCGCTCAACCAAAGTCGGAGATGTCGATGTTTGAGTCAAGGATGGCGACGCTGCCGCCGGGGGTGTTAATGGTGGTGTGGGTGGCAAGGGCTTCCCATTTGCATCGAAAGGTTGACTCGACGATGTGGCATCGTGTTGGGGTGCGGTTGCAGCGCTACTAGCACAGGTGCCGTTCAAAACGCTGATTCGTGTGATAGTAACGGCATAACGCACCTCGACATCTCGTTATTTGCCGAATTACGACTGACGGGCGATAGAGAGATGAAGGTCATCGAACTAGGCCGATCGTCCTTATATATACCTTGAGGCCCAGTTGTGTGTATGTCGGTCTTTCATAGTAAGCAAAGCTCTTGCGTTGTGATCCTAAGGGACCATGAGAGAGCGTTGTGTTGCATAGCCGCCCTGGCCTTGACTCTTCCCAATCGAGAACAAAGCCATCCATAACCTAAACAGGTCGGGCCACGCAAAACCACTCGGACAGCGCCACAGATATGAAAGGAGGCTTCGAGCGCTGTGAGCGAGTGGACGTTACTGGAGATCAAGGACACCCACAGGTGTTGCCGATTTTGACGGGTCAGAGTGTCGTACACTGCGGTCATGAAGTCAGCGAGGCAGAGCGGTTTGTGGCACGCAGTAGCAGAGCTGTGGATGCGTTATGGCCAAACAGAGGTTCTTGTAGGCACAGTTGCGCAGCCAGGTTGTTGCCAGAAGACCGTAGCGGGAGAAGCGCAATGCCCCCACCCCGCGCGAATGGACATGAAGGTCCGCGAAGGGCGCTGGCCGCACCGCCACCGCCACGAATGGGCACACGGGGCGCCGGGCCGAGCGAACAAGGCCTTCCTCATTCAAACGGTCGCATCCTATTCCGGCCGTCCATGGTCTCTGAACCCTGACGGTGACAATTGCATGCCGCGAGTTCATCAGGCGCGGACTCCTTGGGTCCGATGGCCCTTATAGTCCGCGCTCAGTGCGCTAGTCGTGCAGATTCCACCCCCCAAGTCGTCGCTCGCCGCCCTCACCCGCACTGCCTATCGATCGCGACAAGTCGTGCCCAGCCCCGACGCCACCACGTGTATCAGATAGTCGCTGACTCTCGGATACTCGATCTGCGTCCGAATAACACCAGCGCTCGCGCCCGGCCACAAAACTCGTCCTCGAAGCGAACGCTCTGCCTGCAGCGATGGTCACCCGCGACCACCCGCCCCTCCCCCACGACTTTGGTCACCCGCGCATGCAGCGTGAGTCTGATACGGCCTGCCCTATGTCCAGGGTATGCTCGTCTAGCCGAGACCCGCGCGCTCACGACATACCCTTACGTAGATTGGCCCTCGCCGCTCAGACGACGGCAGGCCGCACAGTACCCCTGGGCACAGTGGACGCCCTGGTCGGCATCTGCGTATTCCTACCCCTCCTCTCTCCCCGCAACGACCGCACCCCTTCCCCCCAACATGCTGCCCCCACAGTGGACGCCCTACTCCGCGCCAGCTTATCCCACCCCATATCGCAATGTGTCCATTCCGATGCCCGGGAGCGCGCCCTTACCGTGTTCCGCCCTCCCCCCGATGAACATGCGCCATCCTCCGCATCATGCACATTATCCACCATGGATAAACCCAGCAAGCGCCCCTCCTCCCCCGCACGATCCCCTTCCACATGAAGAACACGAAGATGGTCCCGAGCCCGTTTGGCCGACCAATCTTCCACCAGGAAGTGTTCCCTCCCAAGTCTGTCCCCTCCCCAATATGGACGAGCCAACACCTTGGGAGCCTGGTGTATTCCCTCCCGTACCCGTCGGTACAACAGTACCAATACGCCTACATCCAGCCTTACTCTACAACCCCGTTGATCTCTCGCTACCCTCACTCCAGTGGGACATCCTCCACGGCCCCTCCTCTGCCCGTCTCCTCACCCCCCGCTGCCTCTTCGTCGCGCCCCCGCTCGACGAGGAAGCCATCGCACCCCCCACCGACACCCTCTACATCGTCGGCGACTCCGAAGAGCTCAAGTGGTGGATGGCGAAGGAGGAAAACCGCTGGGGCCCGCTCGTCCTGTCCAAGCCCGACGGCAAGTTCACTGTCCGCGACGTCCTCGACGCGATCCACACCTACTTTCAGCAGCCGCTCACGGCGGCGCAGGTCGCGATGATCGAGGAGAAGGAGGAAGCTTGGGGCGGAAAGACGCGGCTGAGGTCGGCAAGGGCTCTAAGGCTTGAGCAGTCGTATATCATCGAGCACAATCCGACGGTGTACAGGCGGGTGGATGTAGTGGGTGGTCATCGGAAGTTTATGGGGATGAGGGTGCAGGTGTATGCGGATGATACGTGGAAGATCTTGTTGGGGTTGATGGAGGGCCCGTCGCCGCGCTGGACGCTGGATCGGAAGGCCCGCTGGTAGTGCTCGATTCTGTTCGCGTCGACTAACTTCTCTCATGTTCATCATACCCTCTTCCTTTCATACCCGCATCCTGCATTCTCATACCCTCTTCTTCTCCCGTCCACTACCTACTCGGACAAGACAACTTGAAAGCATAGCATCGACATTACACCACTAAACTGTACATATTGCATACTACTCTACACGGCCTCGACGTACGTACCATACCTATATCCACGACTGTAACGATACAAATGAAGTGTAGCACAGATTCCAAATATCAATTCTGTCGTATACTATTTCGTGACGTGCTCCCCAACTGACGTGCTCCCAACTGCTGGACGCATTCCTCTCTCAAGCCTGAGAACTCAGCACTCCAAATGTCAGCCAAACTCAGAAGTCATCCTCGTCGCTCATATCGACCGCCTCGGCCTCCATGGCCTCGAGCGCCGCCTTGCCTTCCTCGTACAGCTTATCGAGCCCGGTGACTTTCTCCAGGTACTTCGTATCGTTGCACGCGTTGAGGAGTGTACCAACTGGGTCTGATGCGAATTGGGTGAGGATCTACGATGGTGGTCAGTATCTGGTTCGAAAGATTTTGCGCTTGTCGGGCACAAGAATGCGCGCGCGGTCGCTGAGGTAATCAAGCATGCAACCACACCCTCACCTTCTCACTGCACCCCGTACACCTGTCGAACGCCTCGCCCGTGATGCCCATATTCCTGAAGTTCGCGAGGAACCCGCGCAGCTGGTGCGGGACGAGGCCAAGGATGCCCGCACCGTCGTCCGCGGAGAGGTTGTGCGTGGAGGTTTGGGAGAAGGCGTTAGTCGGAGGCGCGGGGGCGTGGATCCTGTGGTAGGGTGAGTAAGGGGATGGTAAAGGTATACAAGCAAGCGAATGGTGTCAGGCATACGCCTAAACGCGAACTCACCCGTCCGGATGCATCAGCAGCGACATGAGCATCTCGACAGCACTGGCAGAGGCGATGGGCGCCAGTCCCGGGCGCGTTACGGTGCACATCTGGTCGAGGGTCCGGTCGGTGAGAGACTATTGAGGCGACGAGTTAGAGGCTTTGCCACAAATTTAACCAGTAAGAGACGATACGCACATCGCCCGGGGCAACGATGTCGTTGCAGTAGTAGCAACCGAGACGCTTCGTCTCCTTTCCTGTCTTCGCGACGTGCTCAGCGTGCGCGGTAGCGCGGGGACCGTGGCGCATGACGAGGAAGGTGTCGAAGCCGAGGGCGGCATTGAGGACAATCTGGGAGGATATCAGATTACTCATGAGAGCGCGTGGATGGTAGCGACCTTGTTGTAGAGGCCACCGAGCACAGTAGGTAGCCAGCGGCTCTCTCGCGAGTCCATGAGGAGGAATATCACGTCGTGCGCCTTGACCAGCTCTGTCAAGTCGGCAAGGGCCTTCTTCGCCTTCTCCTCCTCCGCCTTGGGTACCGGATGCCCTGGCATCGGGATCGACATATTCACGCCCTGCGCATCCACCCCCTTCCATACCTCCTTCAACCGCTCCGCCGCACACGCCGCCTTCCACTTCCCCTGCCCATTATCCCCCACACAATCCTCGAACGTGAACAACGGCTGCCTGGCCGGATTCGAAAACGACACCCGCGAGCTATCCACCAGCGTGATCTTCTCCGTGTTATACGCCACCAGCGCCCTCGCCACATAGCACCCCAGCGTCCCCGCGCCCAGCAGCAGGCACTTCTGCGCGGCGATCTTCTCGAGGTCGAGCCCGGGGAGCACGCGCCAGCGCATGAGCTTCAGGTTGAGCGCGGTCGCCTGCAGCGAGAGGCGCACGGGGTCCATCATGCTGCCCAGGTCGGCCATCCGGGGCCCGAGCTTGCCCTGCGGGTTGCGCTCCCAGCCCGCGGCGGCGGGGCGCGGGGAGGGCGCGAGTGAGGTCTGCTCAGGCACAGTAGCAGTGAAGAGGGAGCTTGATTCGGGCGTGCCACGCCAGGAAACTATTTGCGCGCGTGTGATGTGGTGCTTCGCGAGGAGGTGGGTGAGGAGGTTGCGGACGGGCCAGCCGGGGTTCTCGGGGGTAGGGGAGGGGTCGATGAACCCGAAGGTAGGGGTTTCTTGTGTGGGCTTGAAAGTGGATATCGGTTCGAGCTTGGATCCATTGACATGGAAGAACTGGGGGATGTCGTCGGGGTTGACAGAGGATAAGGTGCTCGAGAGCTCGGGAGACTGCGATAGCGGTTGGATGGTGCCAGATACCTCCCATGCGGGCTTCGTCAGGAATGCGGGGAAGGCGAACCAGTAGAAGTACTTGTACTTCTTGAGGTCGGCGTAGGTCAGAAGAAGAAAGGGCGCGAGCTCTGGCTCAGAATCCGAGGTTATAGACGACCAGGTCTACGTGCGATGAGCTACACAACTAATGCGTATTCAAGAGACTCACCTTGTCCGCTACTTCATTTAGCATCGCCGCCTTGTCGCAGCTCTTGAACTCCTCGATCGTGTTGAAGTTCTTGAGCACGCCTTTCATCCTCCCCTTCCCCTTCCCCACCCCTTGCGGCGCGTCGTCAAAGGAGGATTCATCGAGGACCACGCTCCCAGCCAATGCGATATCCCTCCCGCCCTCGCGGTCCTTAATCAGCCGCCCCTCGGTGTAGGTGGCGGTGATGGGCACCTGCGCGTCTGAGAGGCGCAGGACATCGATCTTGAGCTGGGTGAGCTTGTGCCAGAAGGTTGGGTTGATCTGGGACGTAAGAGGCGCGAACTGTATGACTGTCATGACAAGAAAGAGCCTCGATATGAAGAGGGAAGGAAGCAACTTAGCAAGCGAGGATCGATGCCTGCTCTGCTCAGCCGGCGCGTCGCGCCGCGTCGTCCGACGCGTCTCCATTTGGTTGAACAATGGAAGTTCGCTCTTGACATCATAACATCGCCCAAGGATATCTGTAAGGACCATGATAAATATTCCAATATCCTCTACTCTAGCGATAGAAGCGACAATACACAAGCACGACAGCAACACAGCAAGATCGACCAAATTAGGGTATTTCCTTCGACACGTATTCGCCCAGACCCGCTGGCATCCTTCACCATCCAATGTCCCCTTCCCTGAACGGCTCAATGGTAACACCCGTCTCCCCACGCGCCTTGCGGAGGATGTGCCTTTCCAGGATGTAATGCTCGTAGGACTGCGAGGCCAGCTTCATCGCCTCGATGTGGTGGGGACGCGAATTGGCGGCGATAGCATGCTTGCGGCTTTGCCAGATGCAGGTGGCGAGGTTGAACCCCGTCTGCGGGTCCGGGACGCCGTACCAGTATAGAATCAACTATGGAAAACAGAAGAGTTAAAGTGGGAATGGACGGCTGGCCGCAGAGCACTCACTCCTCCATTCTTGACTGCTTCTTCGTGTGCTTTGCGGTCTGCTTCATAGAGGGCTGGGGGAATGTAAGCATGGAGGGTGTGCCATGATTGAAGATGGACGTACGAGTTCCGTCACTCCCGTCTTTCCGCTTACTGCGGAACGCAACGCAGTACCATTCGCGCTCCTCGTCCTCCGGCAGTTTGAGTTCATCCCAGTTGAACGACTCTGCGTATGGCGTGCTCGCATACTTCCGGTGCAGCGGCCGGAAGCGGTGCAGTGCCTTGTGGAGGGAGAGCGAGGCTGGATCGATGTCGGGAAGACGCGTTTCTGTGGTGAGAGGCGCCTGTCCCTCGACGGTTTCGATGACAGTGGACTCGAAGCGCTCAGGGAGGGAGGATAGGAGCGGGGGGAGGTAAAGGACAGGCTCTCTGAACTCCTCGTCGAAGCTCGGGAGCGCGTGAGGATCGCGGCTGGACGCGCCCTCTAGCGGTAGGCTGCCTCCCTTCTGCGCCGTCCTGCGAGCCAACTCCGACAAGTGCGAGGGGGTGGTGAATGTGACGGTCATAGTGTGCAATGCGAGTTCGTATGCGTTCCTTGTTCGTTGTCTGGGAGGTAGTACTGCTGTGGGGACTGAGAAAAGCACGTCGCCCCTTATATATGACTGAGCCCGGGTGAAGTCAATTTATTAATGGCGGTAGGATCGCGCCATCGAGCGCCAACAAGCCTCAACAAAGCGGGGAACGGAGGTAAATCGACTGCTGGCGGGCGTCGGCAGGGGTCGCCGCGTCTGAGGCCACGCTGATTCAGAGGGGCGGGACGTAAAAGGTGATGAGAAATGAGACGATGGCTGCCAGGTGCGGAGCGCCAGCTAGCCCTACCGTCGTATTCATCGTCAACGACAGAACGCGACAGAACGGCTAACAGGAAAAGCTGTCATGTATTCGTCGCAGGGCGGAGTAGGTCGAGATGCGCTGTCGGTAGCGGCTCTGGCAGCGGATTAAGCAGCGGTGGGTCTGCGGCCATTTTACGGTACGTGAAGATACTCGGAGTCGAGCGCCAGGACCACGCCTTGGTATAGCTTCTGTTCGCAACGGCTTGCGATGGCGCAGCTTGAAGCACGCAATGGGCTGCGTTGACGAACGACCCGGAGCGCGATGGCGGAAGATGTCGAGCGCAAGTCGAGCGAGATCGGCCGCATTCGGACACCGCGGCTGGCCATCATCACACACGTGGCGAGTCCCACGGGGTTTCCCCGCACGCCTGGCTCCTTTCGGCATGCATTCACTCTCCTTTCCCTCGTCCCCCCCCCCCATCATGCCCAAATCGCGGCTGTTCTCAGATCGCGCGGACGAGTCGGAATGCACCACGTCGACGCTTGGAGTATTCTCCAACAGCAGGCATGTTCACCGCAACATGCGCTGGTGGGAGCACAGGCTGATCGCCACGACACGACAGGTCCAGCGCGGTCGGTGCCAGCTCGAGACGTGCGTCGACGCGTCCCTGACTGTGCACTCTTGACCGAGATACGTGTGCAGAGATGCTGCGCGATGCGAAGCGCCGCAAGACGGGTCTCAACGACCGCTTCGACCGTATGGTCGAGACGATGGCCGTTAGACATCGCTCGCCCACGAAGACCCCGAAGAGGCGGAAGAAGCCACGGTCGTCGTCTTTCAGCAGCGCTTCAGAGCTGAGAACGCCGGTAGACGACTATCATGATGTGCCGCCGGAGAGGCTGGGCAAAAGCTTTGCGGTCATCAAGATGGGCGCATCCGCAGGACTGCATCAACGCTCCAACGGTAATGAGGATGACGACGAGGTTGTGGTGCGTCGGCCGGCTCTTCGCGCGTCTCTTCGTTGACCATTGATTAGTCCGGCTGGCAACCTGCTTCCCCTCCCCCCTTGCCTGGCTGGCTAGCGTCTACTTTTACGACATTGAACAAAAAGCACCCTCTGCGCCTTTTACTGCCTCACGCGTCAGCCGCACCGCATCCTGCCGAGCAAAGCAAAGTCCCCAATAGTAAAGCTGCTCATTCACGCACAGAGGACGACGATGTCTTTGCTTTCCATGCGCCGGACGAGAACGACCCCCCTCCGCTCGAACAGAATGCTCTCCCTGTACTGCTTCAGTCTCCTTTCTCGCGTGCTACGAATAACCCTGCTCAGTCACCTCTACTTTCTCGCGCCGTTGTAACGCCAGCGCTCTATATCGCGCCAGATGCTCCATTCTCGACTCCTGGCCCCGCGCCCCCGTCGCAGTGCTCAATGCCACCGCCCCCGCTCTTTGATGAAGAACAAGTCTCGCAGGCCGTCCAGCGCGCGACATCAAGGCCTCCGTCTAGCATGTATCGACCTCCTTCTAGCGTCCATCGTCCGACCTCGCGTCTGTCTTCGCATCTGCTGCCCAGAGCAGTGCCTCAGGCCGCACAGCGCTCCGAGTCACCGAACTGGCTTCACTCGCCTCCTGGCTCCGCGTATCCAGCATCGATCCTGCAGCGCTCACCTCCGCGTCGTGATTTACCTCCTACTGCCTCCGACCTTCGCGTTCGCTATGCCCCTACTCCCGAATTGCTCCGCGCCCGCCGGGTACCGACCGCTGTGCCGCTATCCCCTACTCCTTCGAGGCTTCCTGCTTCAAGGCCTCCTGACGAGGACCGAGAAGATTATGCTAAAATGATCTACAGTGCTGACCCTGCTTGCGCCGATTATATGCTGCCTGCTGGACGTGCAGCTGACGGAGACAACACTTTCGAAGCCCCCAACGATCCTTACTATCCTGGAAAGAACGGCGCCCTTGACGCTTTTGTGGACGCGCATGCCTGCACGGATATCGAGGGCGACATGTATGCGCTCTACGACGACGCGAATACAACGCTTACTGCCTCGGACCCGGTGGTCACGCCTTTCGCTCTCGAGAACGGTGGCGAAGTGAACAGTAGACATCAACTCCCTGCCGACGAATACTGCTTCGAAGAGCACGATGACACGCTAGTTGACGATGGCAATACCTCTGGCGACACCACTGACTGCAAGTTGAACAATATCGAGGACAACATCCCTGACGTGTTTTCTACGCCCGGTCTCGGTCACTACGTCTACTTCGATGCGCCGACGTCGGACCCGTCCGAGGAGGATGACTACGCGGTGGTCTCGGCGGATGCAGCAGAACCAACGGCTTTCGAGACGACGGGGCGGGACGTCGAGGGGGCGGGGCGGGACTTTGCCGCGACGAATGAGAACAATACAATGGCGAACGAGAATGACGAGGCGCCTATCGATTATGGTCAGCTCGGCGTCGACTACGACGCGCTGGACTTCAGCTGGAAGCCATTCGACCGGAAGGGCGTGTCGCGGGATCGACGCGACCCAGGTCGCTCGCAGGAACGCTTGGTGCTAGCTCGGGACAGTCCACCAAGAGGGTCCGTCCGCCGTCAGTCTGAATCAGCCCACCGTCAGCCGTCTTCAGCACATCGTCAACCCTCCTCGGTCCATTGCCAGCCCTCTTCAGCTCATCGCCAGCTACAGTATCGTCCGGCCTCGCAGGCATCTCAACCGCGTTTCCTTGGCTCCGTTATCCATGCCGCCTATGGTACACGCATAGAGACCGCGCCCCGTCAAGCTGCAGCGCAGGAGGCCGTCGTGCTGCCTTTTCCCTTGACGTCCTCTCAACGCGCTCCTGTGACGCCAGTGCGAGCCTCGCGTCCTGTGATCCAGGTACCGCAGGCCGGCAGCGAGTCAACGTTGTCGCCGGTGCGCGAGGAGGACGAGGGAGGGACGAGCTTGTTGGGTGCGCTGGATTCGCTCCAGGAAGATAGAAAGAAGGAGAACGAGCCTAGGGACGATGTCAGCGCAGAGAAGACGCCCGGCCCCGCCTTCGCGCCCGCTCCAGGCATCTACCTCTCGCCTCTGCGCGGGGATGCGACCTCGGGGTCGCAGCAGTCGAACGAGGGCGACAAGGTCGAGGCAAGTCTTGCTATTGCCTGCTCTTCTCCCGCTTTCAATGAGTCTCTGACCTCATCCTATCCAGACCCCTGCAAAGCCTGTCTCTCCGCTCATAGTGCCGAAGAAGGAGCCTGGCACTGGCAGTGCGCATTCCGACAAGGCTGCGCTTCCAACCATCGCGCAACATAGCTTCTCCAAGCGACGCCGCTCTGGCGTTTCGAAGCCTCGGTCTGCGAAGGTGTTATGGTCGACGCCGAGTGAGGTGCTAAGCCTGGATGATGATTCGAGTTCGATCGAGTCTTGGGATGATTGAGGCGAAGAGGTCCAACGGGTAAATCGCGAATAAGGGAAATGGCCCTTGTTTGACGTAGATCATTAGTTCCTGCCATGTGCTGTCGATCCTAGTTGCCCTTCCGCTTGTCTTCCTCTGCATCCATGTCTGTGTCCTCGTGCGCCCTACGTCGGTGCTGTGAACAGCCTCGCCATGTCAGCAATGTACCAACAATGCAGGCATAATACACGTGTGATATGACGAACGCGGTTAGGCGGCTGGCTGCCGGGTGGCGATAAGCGCTGGTGCTTGTTTGTCCCCGACGACTATATTCGTGCGCCTTCGCGCGCGCTCCCCGCACGTTTTACCCTCCGACACCCTCGACTGTCACGGAGAAGCCCTCTGCAACGATGACGGGGCAGCCAGACACTCCTTTCGAGCTCCCCCTCTACGTCGACGAGAAGCATGAGGAGCAACCCCTTGCACCGGCCCCTGCACCCCAGCCAACGAAGTCGAAGAGGAAGTCCGTCCTCCGCAGGCTGCTCTTTGGCGGTCTTGCGCTGTACTACACTGGCAACATCGTCTATCGGCACACTCGGTCCTGCGGTCACCATGCATCGGAGCCCGAGCTCCCCCACATTGGCTCACAGAACCCCGCCGTCCTCGTGAAGGCGCGCCATGGTGCGGTCGCATCTGAGAACAAGCGCTGCTCCGACATTGGCGTGGACGTGCTGAAGGACGGAGGGAACGCGGTGGATGCGGCGATCGCGACGTCGTTGTGTATCGACGTGGTCAATCCCTTTGCGTGTGTCGCGTGCCGTATCACGATTGCTCTTACTGAAACGCACTACAGCTCAGGCGTATCTGGCGGAGGCATCATGACCGTGCGCCTCCCGCCGAAGGAGGATGGGGAGGAGTCCGAGGTGCGTGAATCCACTATTACCATCCCAGCGCATGCTGACCAGTCGCCAGGTGTGGACCATCAACTACCGCGAGACCGCACCGGCGGCTGCGAACACGACCATGTTCATCGAGAACCCCAACGCGTCGCGCTTCGGCGGTCTGGCAAGCGCTGTCCCGGGCGAGATCCTCGGCCTCGAGACCGCGCACCAGATGTGGGGCAAGCTCCCTTGGAAGCGTCTCGTTCAGCCTGCAGCTGAGCTTGCGGCGGGTTGGGAAGTAGACAGGGAGCTCGGGCGTCGCCTTCCCGTACGTGCTTGCGCATTACATGCCCATATATACGCCTAACACTTCTCGCAGTGGTTCTCCGAGCTCTTGCTCGGCCAGCCAGAGTGGGGCGCCATCTTCGCACCAAACGGTACCATCCTTGGCGTTGGCGATCCTATCAAGAACACCGCGCTCGCGCGTACCTTGTACGCGATTGCCGAGTACGGCTCGGAGGCGCTCTACAGCGGGCCCGTCGCGGAGTCGATCGTGCGGAGGATACAGGAGACGGGCGGCATCATCACCTTGGAGGACCTGCAGAACTACTTCGTCGAGGTCGGGCCGGCGTTGCAGGGCACGTACAGGGGCAAGAAGGTGTACACTTTTGATGCGCCGACGTCGGGACCAGGTACGTGCCGCGTTGCTCCTTATCGTGCACGACTGACGTGAATCCATAGTCCTGCTGCATGCGCTGAACCTCATGGAACACTACCCGCTCGAAGAGCGCACGCCGCTTAATGTCCACAGAATGGTGGAGGCGATGAAGTTTGCCTTTGCGGGAAGGACGCGCATCTCCGACCCCAACTTCTCGGACGACAGTCAGGACATCGAGGAACTGCCCACCAAGGAGTTCGCAGACAAGATCGTGGTCAACATCACGGACGACAAGACTCATCCGCCCGAGTACTACCACCCGATCTACGATACGCCCACCGATCATGGAACGGTGAGTGGCACAATGCATGTACAGTCCAGGGCTTGGAAGACTAAGGCGTCTTTTACAGAGCCACTGCTCTATCATTGACCAGGACGGCATGGCGGTCGCGCTCACGCACACCATCAACGGTCTCTTCGGCTCCTTTGTCATCGACCCCGAGACTGGGATCATCATGAACAACGAGATGGACGACTTCTCCATCCCGGGCCACCCGAACCTCTTCGGGCTCTACCCCTCGCCTTGTAAATCTTCATGCCTCCTTCCTCTCCTCGTTTCTAAATATTCCTCGCAGACAACTACCCCGAGCCCGGCAAGCGCCCGCTCTCTTCCACCGCGCCGACGATCATGGAGTACGAGGACGGCTCGTTCTACATGGCCATCGGCGGCGCCGGCGGCTCGCGCATCTTCCCCTCCATCTTCCAGGTCATCCTCAACCTCGAGTGGGGGATGGATGTCAGCAGCGCGATCGAGTTCGGCCGCTTGCATGACCAGCTGTACCCGCTGAACTTGGATGTGGATGATACGTACCCGAAGGATGTTGTTGATGGATTGAGGGAGAGGGGGCATAATGTGACGGGTGAGTTGGGCGTCTTTGGCCGGGTCGAAGCTGTAAAGCCGACGCACCAACAGTGACCTCGGTCAACGAAGTGAAGGCGGTGGTACAGGCCGTGGTTATGAGGGATGGAGCTATCACTGGTACGTCGCGCTTTCGGAGTCAGCATCGACGACAAGCTAACGGGCCTCGTAGCGGCGAGCGACTCGAGGAAGAATGGCATTGCTGCTGGCTATTGAGGTTGATCTTATTAACGTGGTGGATGTGATAGAGGTGCACTCTTATCTGGAGGCATGTAATTTATGATACTATACACTTTGCACTCATTATCTAGGAACTGTGCTGCTCTACGAGATCCGAATGCTATCGCGGCAAAGCACTGTGCAAGACGAGCTGAGCTTTACATGCAAAGCCACTGTTCCAGTTCCCGACGTCTGAGTCATTGTGACTGTGCCGCTGTGCAGACACCGTTCTGTGACTGAGCATCTACATAGGACCTGCAGTGTCTCTGATAGCGAAGCGCCTCCTTGATTTACGTTCCGTGTTCCTGAGCCTTGTTATTGACGCTACGCATACAGGTACGACAAATCTGGTCCCTTCGCCGGAAGACGTCCGTCAGTGGCATCATCTGAGGTCCGAGGAAGTTTCTTTTGTGCTATATAAGGACATGAGCTGTCTCTGGCCCGCATCAACAACCAAAGTGCCCCTCTACGATGTCTCAAGAGAAACCTCTAGTCGTTGTCTTCGGTGCGACGGGGGAGACTGGTCGCAGCATAGTCGACGGACTGTTGCGCAGCCAAGCCTTTGTACGTCTCAACCATCTCCCTTCATCTGTTGCTCACGTTCAAGGTCGAGTAGCGCGTGACCGCGGTCGTCCGAAACCCATCCAAGCCCAGTGCAGTCAAGCTTGTCGAGCGTGGCGTCACCATTATCCAAGGAGATCTGCTGAACATTACCACCGAGAGGCTACAGGAGATCCTGGCTGGCGCTGATACGGTCATCGCAAGCGTGGACTTCTCATGCATCGAGGCGCAGAAGAAGATTGTTGACGCTGCTAAGGCAGTGGGCGTCAAGCGCGTTGTGCCCGACGATTTCGGTACGGACGCACCTGCAGACGTCATGTTCTTGCACGACAAGGTGGGTAATTATCACTGTCAACTCATTCCTCTGACGAGATGCACCTAGAAACTCGCTATACGCGACTACGTCAAGCAATCTGGCGTCGGTCATACCTTCATCGAGGTGGGATGGTGGGCGCAGAACACCGTGCCGTACCCACCAGAGATACCGGGTCTTCACGCCGAATTCTCGCACACCGTCTTCGGGTCTGGCGACGTGCCGTTTGCTGTGACCGACTTGCTTCACATAGGCGACTACGTGGCGCGCGTCATTCAGGACGAGCGCACCTTGAACCAGACCGTCTTCATCTGGGAGGATGAGATCACGTTGAACAAGGTGTGGGAGGTCGCGGGGGCGAAGCTGGGCGATGCTATCCTGCAGAAGAAGAAAGTGGTGCGTCCCCAGTCTGCTAATGTCCCCCTGAACATAGATGATAATCTCGACATAGATGTCTGAAGCAGAGATCCTGAAGAAGTTGGAAGATGCGCGCGCGGCTGGGATGGACCAGATGCTATACCTGCTCATGTCCGAGTACTGGAACAGCCTCTTCATCAGAGGCGACAACACCGTTGAAAGAGCGAAGGCGGCAGGCGCGCTTGACTTCCAGAAACTTTACCCTGATGCAAAGGTGTCTTGCTTCGAGGACATCGCTGAACGATTCTACCAAGCCCCATATGTACCGTATACAAGCGGTCACTGATACATAGAATACCCCTCGAGACACATCTGGACATTACTATTCTTTCAGAGATATGCGTGAATTGCTTTCTTTTGAAGTTGCTCTATTTGAACCGTGACACGAGCGTGACAATGGTCACAAACAGTCTTACATCATACTGCAAGCCCGCACCGCTTTGAAGTTTGGCCAGTCCCATGCTAGCGACCTCTGCCACCTAGACTCAGCGGCTTCTTTCCACGGGCCTAACCCTCGAATTGCTCGTCCCCTCTGGCTGATGGGCTCCATCCAAAGGGTTGAAGGCTGGTAATCGGTCTGAATAATTCGGCCATGCACAACCGCGTCTGGAAGGTCTTATGCCGATATGGCCGGATTATAGGGGAGATGAGGCCTGTTAGTCGTTTTCTTCCCAGCTCTGTCATGGAACAATGCGCTGACTATGCATACAGTCATGAGTCGGTCACGGGGCTCAACCTATAAGAATACCTATGCTTTGGCCTGTACCTTCCAGAAGTCTCTCATCTGCTTTCCGTCTACTACCATCAGCAAATCGTCAGTATGTCCCAGTCCAAACCACTTGTGGTCATCTTCGGCGCGACAGGAGAGACAGGTCGGGTCATAGTCGACAGTCTCTTGGCCAGTAACGATTTCGTAGGTCACACTCGCACATTATTGAAATCGATCTCTCACCTTTAGACAGCGCGTAGCCGCAGTCGCTCGCAACCCTTCGAATGCAGATGTGGTCAAGCTCTCCGAGCGCGGTGTCACTATACACCAGGCGGATCTCCTGAGCGTTACACAGGAGAGGCTGCAAGAGATCCTCGTAGGCGCTGACACCGTCATCGCGACGGTGCATCCTTCCTGCATCGAAGCGCAGAAGAAGATCATCGACGCGGCTAAGGTCGTCGGCGTAAAGCGCGTCGTCCCGGACGACTTTGGCACAGACGCGCCGAAGGGTGTGATGCTCATGCACGACAAGGTACGTGCGCAGCCCCTGTCCATTTGAAGTGAATTGGCCCGCTCACCAGCACGTTCACGCAGAAACTCGCCATTCGTGATTACCTCAAGCAATCCGGCGTTGGCTACACCTTCGTCGAGGTAGGCTGGTGGACTCAGAACACCGTTCCGTACCCGCCAGACATCAATGGCATGCACGCCGAGTTCTCGCACACCTTCGTCGGTAGTGGTGATGTGCCCTTCGCCGTTACCGACCTCTTCCACATTGGCGACTACGTGCGGCGCGTCATCGCGGACGAGCGCACGCTCAACCAGACCGTCTTCATATGGGAGGATGAGGTCACGCTGAACAAGACGTGGGAGGTGGCGGTGGCCAGGCTCGGCGACGCTGTCCTGCAGAAGAAGAAAGTGGTAAGCGCCTACGCTCTTACTTCGGTCACGGATTGCGCAGGCAGCTGACATACACTGACCAGATCACCGAGGAGATGATCACGAAGCAGTTGGAAACCGTTCGAGCTGCGGGAACCGAGCAGATTCTGCTCCGCTATGTGACGGAGTACTGGTACAGCATTTTCGTCAGGGGCGACAACACCATCGCGAAGGCGAAAGCAGCAGGTGCTCTCGATTTCAAGGAGCTCTATCCTGACGCGAAAACCTACGACTATGAGTATCTCGCCGATAGCTTCTACAAGAAGCCGTACATGCCGTATGCAGGTGGTTACAAGACCGAGACGCTGAAGGACTAAGCAATCGTTTATTCTCCAAATGGCATATTTTGTGTATAATGGAAACAGAAAACATAGGTACTCAAGCCGATCGAAGTAGTTGAGCTCTGCGGGCGAAAGTCAAGAGGTCCAAGGGAATAGCGAGTATGAATAAATTGTCAGCAGAGCCCACACGGTAGCTTATTGAAAATAATTCCCTCCACCTTCATCTTCGTTACCCATTCATCCAGAACCTCGCAGCAGCACTCCCTAACGCGCTTGCAGGTACGCGAGTGAAGAGACATGCGCTCCGTAGGCTTCTCATTGCCTACACCCCAGCGCGAAAGCGCCAGCTCCCTCAACGCGTCCTCGAAACCGGGACAGAGGACAAAGTCGGCGCCGTAGTAATCGAGGGCGATGTGTTCCAGGTCAGGAAGATGGAAGGGCTGATCCTGGCGGCGGCTGAGCCGATGAAGGAAGGGTATATCGTACGCGTCTGGGGCGTCGTACCCGAGCTTCAGGCGCCTGACATGGGGCACAAGGCGCAAGATAGACAAGATGTCGTTCAAGTCGTCGTCGTCTTTGCAACACGGAAAGCCGTGGAGGGTCAATGTGTGCAGGCGGGGCGGGCTGCGTTCGAGCATCGTGCGCACGGGCGATGTGAAGCGCGCGAAGATGCCTGGGACTTCGACCAAGCACCAGGTGTTCTCCCACATTTCCAGCTCGTGTAGATTGGGTGCGCAGATGATCGCGCTGAGAGAAAGGCCACATTCCGCGAGCTTCAACGAGCGCAAGGCATTCATCGTGATGACGGGAAATTGGGTGGATCCTTCGCCGTGTGGCAGCTCGCTGGCAGCCGTGGAGACACGGACCTCCAGTGTCGTGAGAGACGCGCAAGACAAGATCGTATGCATGTTTTCGAGACGCAGTGTGGTGTTCTGAACGACTAAGCTCTCGAGTTGCGCCCATGGAATATCCAATACTAAAGGGGTCTCAAAGTTGTGTATGGTCACCTTGGATAAGCGAGGGGCGTCCACGATGGTGAGGACGGGATGGAGCGAAATGTCCCGATGAGCCATAAACGTGGCACTCTCCAAAAACGGCGCGGATAGGCGAGTCACAGGCAGAGCATGCGTGTCAACGAGCCATCTGATGTTGCGAAGACGACCCATGTGAGAGATAATCCATTGGTCGAATACGGCCTCCCCACGGGTGAATTCCGGGACGTACAAGGCGTCCACGGGACGACTCCCTGCGCGGTCCATGTATAGCTGTGCGATCGCGCAGAAGCGCTCGTCGACAATCATGTCCCCTACGATTATCTTGCACCATAGCTCAGGCATGCCGAGTGCCGTGCGCCGAAATCGGTAACATGTCTCCAGGAGCGGGAAACGTGTGGTACCGATGCTGGCGGTCGTCCATGTCGGTGGCAGGGCAGCGTGTATGATGAGCTCGAGTAGCTCAATCGGAAGGCGGTTGATGGGAGCAATCAGTGCTTGTTTACGACATTTGCTTTCGGCGAGCTGAATACGATGATGCTCGAGGGTGGCAAGGCGCGCCTTGATGGACGACAATTCGGCATCGATGGCGGCCAGAGATGCGCCCAGTGCTGATATATCCTGACGAATTTCGCTGTGCTCGTTTGGAGAGGGAACATGGCCAGCGCGTAGGAGATCGATACTTGGTGCCGGAGGGTAAGTGCAGGTTAACGTGTTCCCGCACTGCGCGCAGAGACGAGTTGCTAAGACGCGCATGCCTTTCTAGGTACATCAGTCATCATGTCCACGAGCTTTGTAGGTATTATTCACCTTTCTAGATGACCCCGAATCAGTCCTTTGAAGACGCCTTGTGGATGAAGATCAAGACCAATGAGGCGCACACGTGTGTCGGGCATGGGCGCTTGTTTGGCATAATTTGTTTGTCGGGTGATCAGTTTTTCTGGACATGCCCACGAGTCTACCTCATCGTCAAGCGATCCAAGGGCCGGCCAGTGTGCATGCATATCATGCAGTGGTAGCCGCAGACGTCAAAGACTCGGAAATCGCGAAATTAAACAAGCTGCCTTTCGGAAACAATTCCGAGTGCGGACCCACATTCGTCAACACGGACAAAGACCATATACTGTTGTGCTTCCCCGCTTGGTTTTTAGCCGCGAGCCCGTCAGATGATGCCTGTGAGAAGTTCCTTGATTGCTTGAAAGCACTTATGAGTGCTAGATATTATACTAGCACATATGAGGATACCGTTAATACAGCGCACCCTATTTCAACCCATCTATGTAAATCATTATGTAGTCGTGAAAGTGCCAAGAATGAGGGGTGAAGTGAGTAGAGGGGAGGCGAGCGATGAGGTGCACGGTCATGGGTCATACCACTTCACCGTTAGAATTACGCAAAGTTGCCAAGGTATCGTGTGAGTCTGGTATATGGGCGAACTCGGGCGAGGGTACGACCGTCGGCGATCGTGACGAAGTCGAGGGCTCGGCTGACCGGCTCTCGATAGAGCCCCTCGTTCGGCTCTCCACAGAATGTTCGCCCGTTTGACTCCCGGACCCCCTCCACCTCCTTCTCGCCGAGCGGTCATCATCTCGAGTCAGCGCGCCGTCCACTGCATCCGTCGGCCCCCCATACGGCGCCCATTCCATACGGTGGCCGTGGGCGAAATCCGGGAAGCGGTTCTCGGGCGCGGTCGAGTACGTGAAGTGCCCCGCGGGGGCCTCTTCTCCTCGGTGGTTCCACCGCACCTTGGCGCGCTGGAGGGGAATGTGGTTGAAGCGGTAGTCCCAGACTGAATAGATGGAAAATTGTGATCAGCAGAACAGTTGCGAGGCCAGATGATAGAAGGCAAAACAGCAGAAGTAGGATGCGCCCGCACAAAGTGACTGTGACTCACTTGACGCATAGTTCGCTCGGTACCCAGAGAACGCGGACCCAATCCCAATCACCGCACCTCCAAACACATCGTACCAATGGTGCGAGTGGTCAAGGATCATGCAACCGCCAATAAGCGTAGCGCCCAGCAGCGGCGCGAAAAAGAGGACAAGCTTCCATACCGCTGCGCGCTCGTCGGAGAAGATCTTCAGCTTGCCGTTGAGGTAGAGGCTGAGGGTGGTGAAGCCGGCGAAGGCGACGGTGGTGTGGCCGGAGGGCCAGGACTTGACGGAGTCCTTGATCCAGGAGCGCTGGGTGCCCTGGCAAATGTCCCAGGTGTAGTAGAGGCCATGGTAGCCCGTGCCGTTACCCGGACCGAGGGAGGGGTCTGGCTGGCAGACGTCGAGGAAATGAGGGCGCAGGCCGCCCTATGCGGAAGTTAGAGAGGCGAGAAGGACGGGCTGGTGAAAGACTTACAATAAGTGTCTTGTTCATTACTTGAAATAGACTGCCTGTAACGACGGCACGCATGTTCATCCAAAATGCTACGTAGAGGTCGTATACGCTCCGGACGCGTAATTGGGCGAGGACGAAGAATATTGAAGGGACCAGGATAGCGAGGAGGGCGGACAGCCAGATGTGGATGATGTTGTCTAATCGAGGCTTGCCAACTTCCTGTGTAGGATGGTCAGCGAGCAGCGGGCAAATCGAAGGCCTAACACGCACATAAGCTACAAACTCGTTGTGCTCGTTCCACAGCATGAATGATATATCGTTCCCCCCGAGGACCACATTGTCAAAGTGGAAGACGAGGCCCTGATCGGCGTTAGCGGTCGTATGCAAGATGGTGGTGGCACTCACGACGACACCAATGATGGCCATGGTAAACAGATCCCGCCAGGCATCGCCAAAGAGCTGATCCCAGGAGGGCAAAGTAGCAAGCCAGGAGAGATGCCGCCGCTGCGAGAGGCGGAGGAGCATCGAGGTGTGCTTGTCCACCTTCGAAGGGACCTTGTCCTCCGAATATGGAAGAGGCCGAGCACCGAGCATGGTCTTGGCACGGAGGGAGAGGTCGAAGATCCGCAACGTTCAGGAGCGCGCTTGCATATATACGCGCGCGGCCGCCAGTGTGATGATCGCGGTCGAAGGCAACCGGGGAGGGGAGGCGCCGCGGACAAAGAGCGGGTTTATAAGCGCACGCACACTTGAGTGCTCGGATTTGGTTCCATGCGCTCTGGTCTAATCCGTTCGAGAAGGGACGTGATCTCATCGTCGGCACAAGCCCGAGGGCGCATCGCGGTGGCGGACCAACTTTAGGAGAATTGCAACGATTAGCGCTCATCCTCTTCGTCATCGGCTGTCATAAACCCGAGAAGGACGACAAGGAGGAGGGGATCGTCGAAACCCTTGCTCGGAGCAGCGTCATTTCGAGAAGCCTGCGGTAGAACTTACTAGTGGGGGGGCGAAGGGGGCTGCCATAATTGCGCTCGGAGAGTTAGTAAAACAGGGACATCAACCGCGTCACTTTGCAAAATCACGGTACTCAACACAGGGCCGAGACCACCACAGGCGGGCGACAAATGCAATCACGAGCCGACTGGGAGGACTGGTCAGAAACGAGGACTCAGCGGGAGAGCGGCAGTCAGTACAGCGGGGACCATATTCCTGTTTGCGAACGAGAAAGGGAAGTCTGAAAGGCAGTGATGGGCGGCCAGCTGGAATTCCAGCGTCCGTGACTGGTGTCACGCTAGCCGCCACTGGCCCGTGACTGGCCGCTGGCCATGGCCATAGAAGGAAGGTACCTGTGATGGCGCGCCTGTGCGCTTGTCTGCGACCGTATTTGATGAAGTGCCGTGTAGTGGGTATATACATGCACTGCCAGACTGATATCATGTGTAAGAAATAAGCTGTCTTGAGCACAATTATTATGCAAAGTTGAGTACATCTGCGGCAGTCTCGTCTATGTCCACTACATTCTCGTCGTCCTCCACCCCTTCGTTACCGAGATCGAGCAGGTTGAGCAGTACCAGCTCCTCATCTAGAGGCGCTCTGAGTCATTCTCCGACAGTTCTTCCCAGGCCTTCGACTCGAACCTGTACAAATCTGAGATCTTCCCCTGCACAGAACCACCTTGAGTCCACGGCCAGGTCTCAGATATCTCGTTCTCATCGTCCCGAGCAGCGTCGCGGGGCAGATTGGAGCGTAAGTCTACCACATTATAGACTTCACCCAGGAAGGGCGAGCAGTGCCGGCAATAGCCGACCGCACTTCGGGCCGATCACCGATGGCCACGCCATCTGGAAATCCAGCGGAAATTCCAGGGCCATGTGCCAGACTGGCCGCTGGACTTCCATCGACCGCCAGTGGCCGCCCAACACTGCTGAAAGGAGATGACGCCGTCGAACGTCTTCAATCAATCTTGAGAGTGGACAACCACGTGGGCCCTCCCCGCCCGCTTATGATACTTCTATCAGCTCCTCCAGCTTTGAGTAGACATACCTACAGCGATACATCGTCGTCGGAACGTCCTGAGATCGAATGGAATGCACTTCAATTCACGAATGGCCAGCAGCTGCGAAGGGCTGGCCTTCAACCAAGGTAAAGAACGTCGTTCATGTAAGACGAATTTACTCCTCTTCCTCGTCGCTCTCCTCCTCTTGCTCCTGCAAGAACTACGCAATCAATTAGCAACCAGCCTTCCTTCCAAAAGTATGTCTACACACCTTGACCAACGGCTCCGTCGCCTTAAGGAAGTGCTGCCTGCCCTGCGGCTTAGATCCCTTCTGGAACCAGTAGATGATCGCCTGATCTGATATACAGTCTTTGTTGTACAACACCTGTAGCATGTCGCGGTTAGCTTAACACACGCGTGCACGTATACGCAACCCCACCTTGAGAATCTGCGGGAAAGCCTTCATGACACGGGAATCTTCGTAGCAATACACTTGGACGATGTTGATGAGCGCAACCTGTGACTTCGGCCCAGAGCAGAAGGGCTCGAGGATGGGGGCGAATTTCTGACGAGTCGTCGTCAGTATTTAGCGAACGAAAGCGCTTGAGCGAGTACTCACCGCCACCTCGCGAAGCGCTAGACTCTCGATTTGGTCTGCGCGTGCGCTCCAGTCAACAGAGCTCATCAGGCCGTGCCACAGGCACTGAACCAGATCGGCCTCTGGGATGGGTGTCTCCTCCTGCTTGGCCTTGACGGCAGCGACAATCTGGAAGTACGATTAGTCACTGGACAATTCTTTTAGATTCACAACTCACTGCCTCTGCCGACTCCTCACGTTCGGACATTTCACGCAGATCAGCCGTGAGGCTATCCTTGAACGCCGCGCTCTGCTTCTTGATATACCAGTCAGACACCTGGGGGAGGCCGGCTGCGCGGAAGTGTTCCTCCAGGCTCTTTGCATCGCGCTTGTTGGCGGGGAAAAAGAGCAGGAGATCCTTGATACCACCCTTCTTGAGCGCACTGGCAAGGTGCTCCATGCCCTGCTCAGTGAGGAAGGCGCGGAAGACGAGGGTGAGGACGTCAATCGAGACGTCTGGAGGGACTTGTCAGTTCAGAGTGCTCACCAGCAGGAGAGATACGCGGGGAAGCAGATGGAGAAGTAGAGAGAGCGTGCCAAGAAGTAGGAGAGGCAAAGCATCTCGATAATGATGCACGCGGACAGAATTGCGGGTAATGAACAGTCCCCTCTCCCCATGACCACTGCAGAAATCGACGTCCGAGACACCCATGCTTACACCTGGGGTGGATGGGGGGGGGGGGGGGGAGATGGGGAAAAGAAGGGGAGAAAAGTAGGATAGGAGGGCGGGACAAGGGGGGTACAAGGTCGAGCAGTGTGCAGTGGGGGTACCGGAGGGCGCAGAGAAACGCTAGAAGAAGCGAGGTGCACAGAGGATCGCGCAGTATTCCGAGGACGTTGCACGCACCATTCTTCAAGAGATGGTCCTTCGTCAGCGACTGCAAGCAGGATGCGCTGGCGAGGCCCTGCCCGATGAGCAGCCCTGTTGTGAGGGCGAGCTTGTCCTTCTGCGCAGGGGTCCACCTATGGATGTACTGGAGCAGCGTCGGCAGGGCGGACTCCTCGAGAGGCTTCTGCAGGTACTTGTACCTGCGCAGAATCATCAGCAAAAACAACGCGCCCTGCACGCGAAGGACACGCACCTCCGGATAAGCTTGTTCAGCACATCGACATACGGCTTGAGATCGGCTATCTGCACCGGCTCGGGGGCGTTGAAGATGGTGAAAGGCGAGACGGGGGCGCCGTCGTCGAGGTAGCTGCCGCCGGGCTGGAGGAGGCCGCCGACGAGGATGATCTCGAAGAGGGCATCTGCATATTTGAGGAACTCGAGCGTGGATCCGGCTTGGACTAGTTTGGTAGTGAACGCGTCAAAATCGCCCTCGGGGACGGTCTCGAGGTGCTTGTAGAGTTGGTCGCGGAAGACTGGGGGAGGGGGGTTAGACGGCGCGTGGGGCGGAGGCGTGTCGTACGCACCTGCAGGTTCGTGCTTTGCTTGCGCCTTGACGGCGCGCTTTCTGGCTTTGATGCGTACCCCCTGGAGCGAAGGCTTGGCGGCGGTAGACTGAGACATGCACTGGGCTGAAGAGATACGGAGGGTTGGCTGACTCGAGGAAGAGGAGGAGTCGAGATGATGATGAAAATCGATCAGCCCCAATACAATTCCAGAAATCGTAACCCTTTCTCACGCGATGTGGCAGTTTGTGGCCACAAATGGATGTTAAAGCCTGGGCGAGTGGTCCTGGAGGGTACAGGAAGCGTTCATTATGCTGATGCTTGTCAGGTTTTCGCTCCTGAACTTTCGGGCTCGCGAGCGTGCCCATCGTCATCCCAACTGGCCGGAAAGTCCCAATCTCAGGACAGATACACAACGGGCTATCAACTTGCGTCATCCTCAGCGCGCAGACAGTTTTCTTAGTTTCAACTATTCTATGGCATGGCTGGGTAACTGGCTCAGTGGGTCAACGCAAATGTGATCGGACGTCGGAATTCCAGCGTTCTGCACGGAACTTCCGCGATTCAGGATCTCTGGCAAGCCCTGTCAATCGCTGGCAATCCTGATTGTTCCCCAGAACTGCCCTCTACAGTTCACCAGGTTCAGAATACACAGTTATTAGAGTACCTTTTATCGCTTGTGACACGAGGGTTTGTGGGTCCAGATTAGAGTATTGTTACCGAGCGGGGACATTTCCCCTTTTGGCCGGCAGGCTTCGAGCACGCGTCTAAGCGCCTCGTCGTGCGCAACGTTGATGCAGGCGAATGTCGACTCTCCACCCGTGGCTCCCGAGACCAATGGCGCGCCTGCGACCGACGACAAGGTCGTCCTAGATGATGGGGAGCACAACGAGATACACGACAGTCCGGACGAGATGAGCATCGCTGATGATGGCCGGACTAATGATCCCGCCACTACGTCAGGGAGCGAGGAGTCGTCCGACGAGGAGGAAGATGAAGATGATGAGCAACAAGAGGGAGACGAGGAGCAGACCTCCGGCTCTTCCAGCGTGCAAGATACATCGACGAAAGACGGGGCACAAGAATCAGAAGGGGACGAGAGCGAGGAGGACGATGAGGACGACGAAGACGTCGAACCGGCACTGAAGTACGCGCGCCTCGAAGGGGATGTACCAAAGCTATTCCTCAAGGACTCTGCGTCGGCACTGGCCATATCGCAGAAGGACAAACGTATAGTGCGTATGCTACCCGCTCTCCAGGCGCCTATATTTATTGGCATAGGTCATAGGCACTCATGCTGGCGTCGTCCACATCCTCGACCTCAATGGTACCCGTGTCAAGTCCTACAAGAAGCACCTCGCGAGCATCACAGACATTGCTCTCGACGAAGACTTCATAGCGACGGCCTCCATGGACGGTGCGCTTCATGCCATGCTTCCCCTGCATACGCGCTCATACCAACTTCAGGCCATGTCTTCGTCCTATCCCTCACCTCCCCCGAGACCCAAGACCTTGACATGCGCCGCCCCGTGCGCACCGTCGCGCTCGAGCCCGGCTTTTCCCAACATACTACGCGTGCCTTCGTCTGTGGCGGCCTTTCCGGCTCCCTCGTCCACCGCGAGCGCGGTTGGCTCGGCCCACGCGAAACCGTCCTGCACACCGGAGAGGGTCCCATCTGGCAGGTGCGCTGGCGCGGCAGGCTCATCGCCTGGGCCAACGACATCGGCGTGAAGATCTACGACACCGCGTCGCGCTCGCGCATCACCTTCATCGACCGGCCGGCGGACAGCCCGCGCGCGGACCTCTTTCGGTGTACGCTGCACTGGCAAGACGATGCAACGCTGCTCATTGCGTGGGCGGACCTGATCAAGGTAGCGCGGGTGCGAGCGCGTACGACAGGCCCCAATGCAGGTGTCTCGGACGCACCTTCGCTCTTCGTCGAGATCACGGCCGTTTTCCAGCTAGACTGCATGGCAGCCGGTATCTTGCCCCACCCAATGCCCTCCGGACCCTCAGTTATATATGACGACCACCGCAGCGTCAGCTCCCAGCAGTCCAAGACACACGCCACTCGCACCCTCACTTCCCTCCTCGTCCTTGCATATTACCCCCCCGATACCTCCATCCTTCGAGCTGACGACGCTCCTGCGGACTCTTCGACGCAGAAGCGCAAGCTCGCCGACCGTCCAGAGCTGCGCATCATCTCGCGCTCGGGCGAGGAGCTCGCGAATGACGCACTCAGCGTGGCCGGATACCAGTCCTGGCAATGCAACGACTACGCATTAGCTAAGGTGGATGGAACCACCCCGGAGACGGACGCGGGCGGTGACCAATGCTACGTTGTCCTGAGCCCGCGGGATATCGTGATCGCGAGACCGAGGGATGCTAGGGACCATATTGCCTGGCTTGTGGAGCGAGAGCGGTATGAGGAGGCGCTGGAGGGTATCGAGGAGCTGAGTCGGGATAGTAAAGATGCGCGGGATGAGGAGTTGAATGCCGTGGCCATCGGCACGAAGTACGTTGACTACCTCATTCGCCAAGGTACACTGTTTTCCAAGATGCTAGAACATCGCTTTGCTTACTAGCTGTCATAGGCGAGTACGAGAAGGCAGCACGCTTATGTCCAAAGGTCTGCGGGCACGACTCAAAGCGATGGGAGCACCGGATATTCGTCTTTGCGGAAAAGAGGCATCTACAGGTACGATGGACGACCGGCGGGTTTGCCAGCTAGCTAACTCGCTGTATAGGCTGTCATTCCTTTCGTTCCTACGGACGCTCCCCGATTGGATCCAGTGGTATACGGAATGATCTTGGGCTATTTCCTCAGCCACGACCGACAAGCGCTGGTCCACACCATTCAGACCTGGCCTCGGGACATCTACGATATTCCCGCCGTCATCGTCGCTGTCCAAGCGGACCTCGATCGGGCGGCGTACTCTGCGCCGTCGAGCACCGATACCCGGCTACTCATGGAGGCTCTCGGTGAACTGTATGTGAACATAGCATTCAGTGACCGCTTCGTGTTGACTGTTTCTTGCAGTTATGTAGCAAATCGTCAGCCAGGGAAAGCGCTTCACTACTTCCTGCGTCTCCGCCGCCCCGACGTTTTCAACCTCATCAAGGACCACAACCTCTACACCGACGTGCAGGATCAAGCCCTCCTACTGGTCGAGTTCGATGCTGAGTTGATGAAGAGGAGGCGGGATGCCGGTGAGACTGTAGACGACCGCGACAGCGAGGCTATCCGGCTTCTTGTCGATCACGAACATTCGATACCTACTGGTCGCGTCGTTCAACAACTGGGAAGACGCCCATACTTCCTCTTCCTGTACTTGAGCGCGCTGCTGGAGCGCGACCCGCATGTCGCTAGCGACTACGGGGACCTTCTGGTCAAGCTCTTTGCGGAACACGATGCCTCCCGGTTAATCGGGTTCCTGCGTGCCAGTTCGGAGTACAACCTAGAGAGGGTATGCTCAGTTTACTTGCCGCAGGGCCTCGGCTGACGGAGTCATCCGCAGGCCTACAAAGTCTGCCAGGAGCGCGATCTTGTTCCGGAAATGGTCTTCCTGCTAGGTCAAATGGGCGACAACAAGAAGGCTCTCACCCTCATCATCGAGCGTCTCGGCGACGTCAACCGAGTACATAGTCTCTTAGGATGTAGCGTGCTCTTGCTGAACCATGCTTCAGGCTATCGACTTCGCAAAGGAGCAGAACGACCACGACCTTTGGGAGGACCTCCTGAAGTACTCAGAGACGCGCCCTGGTATGGCCCCTCCGTCCACGCTTTTCATCATGCGCACCACTGACGGATGCCAGCGTTCATACGCGGCTTGCTGGAGAACGTCGGCCCAGAAATCGACCCCATTCGCCTTATTCGCCGCATCAAGAACGGGCTTGAGATCCCTGGGCTAAAAGAAGCGCTAATCAAGATTCTGCAAGACTTCCATCTGCAGATATCGCTGCTCGAGGGTTGTCAGGCGATACTCAACAGCGACAACATGCAGTTATCCCGAAGGTTGCAGAGCAATCAGACGAGCGGGTTCTTCCTAACCGGTATGACGTCTCTTCCGGGAATGCGTACCGCCCCGCTGAAGTTTTTCAGGCAAGAGTACATGCCCCGTTTGCGAGAAGTCCTTACCGAACAACGCGCAAGGCGTCGTCATCCTTTTCTTTTGCCGCCATGTCGCGCACGCTTCGTGCGTCGACGGAGGTGATAATCTGCCTGTATTCGGCGACACCGTACTGCGCAACGTTGGCATGGGCAGTACGACGAAGGGGATGAGTAGCAAGATCGCATTGTACGATTTTCCCTGCCTCTTCGTGGATACGTGGCACTAACAAATCCGCAGCGAATCAACCGTCCGCGCGCGGCTTGCGCACGTATGTCCCTTGTGTCACAGACGAGCAGAGGGCCAACGGACATGAAGGATACCATCTACTGTACCATAACACTGGCGCCTCCTGCTCGCCAGGTTACCCAGCTCTATATATACCCTTTCATTCCGACCTCGCACTTCATCAGGGAATGCCCCGTCGGTATCGTGACGTCTTCAAAACTATGTGACACTGTCGTAGTACTCGCGCGTGCGCATTGCCCCGGTAGGCTCGGATAGTCGACCATAGCTGCGAGGCGGAGCCGCATAGCACCTCGTAGTCAGCTGTAGGAGTCCACACCATTATTATCCACGTCGTAGTTGACTGCTTCAATATACAGTGCTCGATAGAGCATACTTAGATGTTTCGGCAGCGGCGCGAACTATCAGCGCACTTGTACTACTGTAAATCATAGCACTCGAGAGTTTGAGTTAGTGCTAAGTCAATTATATGGATGACTCCTACAGCTAACATGAAGTAAGATACTATTATAAAGGCCTCACGCCGCCACAGAGCTTATCACAACCTAAAATACCGAGTAATAGCATACAGCCTTCTACCTGTTTGTCGACTCTTCCCGATCTCCTCACCCATCTCATCAGGCTTGAAGCTGGACAGAAAGCGGGAGGAGGAGGAGGAGGCGAGGGAAGCGCTGTATAACGGCGTACGTGGAGAATTCGTTCCTGGCCCGCTAACGGCGAGCTGCCGCGCTGCATGGTGCATGAAGCCTGGACCTGGATGGGGAAGGGAACGGGGACGTCGTATCACGGCGTACCGTCCCCACGTAGCGCGCCATTTGCGCCACGACGTCGTGCGAGGAGCGGGGTGACAGAGATGAAGGGAGAGACGTGAACTTGTGAGCACCGATTAGATGGAAATTTCCTACAAGTCATTTCGAACTCCGCCGGCAAATCGCGCCAGGTCACGTTGCTCCGATCCAGTCCGCCGAAATTGCGCGTCGCGTCTTGTTTCCATCGCCCAAGTTCCTCGCTGATACTGTCGCTGATGTAGGCGTTCCTCTCAGACCTCTCACCTGTGTATGCGACCTCAATAACATACGGAGTCGTGCTCTGCGCTGGCCAGTGACTCGGGATGCCTGTCCTCGCACTGGCACCCGCTCGCAGACGCGCGTCTGAGTCAGCGGCTATGTCTTCTCGGTGTATAGTGCGTGTGCGGTCTCCGTCCATAGAATCAGCTAACATGACTTCTTCCCGGGCTCAAGACGGTGTCGGTGCTAGTGCTGACAGCCCGAAGTCAGCACAGTCCTCGGCAATAAAGGTGAGTGTAACATTACACCTTGATCGCTACAGCTTACATGAACCTCTAGACACAGCACGTTACACCTCCTGAGACCACTACTGCGAGTGCGCTGCGTAAGGCGCGCATTTCTCGCCTTCGCCGACTCGCATCCCACGCACAGTTTGGAGGTTGGGTTCGCCAGCCTGGCTCGAAGCCGGGTCACTGCCAGTCAAGCCCTTGGCGTAGTCCACGGCAAGGAACTTTCAACGGGGAGTATGGGGTGTCTGGTGGAGGCAGTGGAGCGGTTAGCGGGATGTGCTGGATACGGAGGAGATGTCGTGCTCGGGCGTGAGTGAGGGGCGGGGCAACCCCAGAATCGTAGTGGTAGTAAACCCAATGTACTAGTGTAGTTGTCGTTGAAATGTAATCTTGTTTGTTTCCTATTCATCTGCGTGCTTCAATCAACCCGTAGATGCTACGAGTCATCCACATAGTCGTGTCAAGTGGCTGAACTACGAGATAGCTACCCATAACGGGCCTGCTATGCAAAACTATGCACCCCTGAGCAGAAAGTATGGTGTGCTATCTGAGCCTACGGGAAGCAAGCGGGCTACTATCCACACGGGAGTAATGGGGAATGTTCGATTTGGCTATGGCAGCTATCCGAGCCGACGTAGCCCGCCGTAGACATGTCAGCATTTCCTGAAGTTCAGGCAGAAGTTGCCCCAAGGTGGACTTACCCTTCCTCTGCCGACGAACAGGGCTCGCTTGGGTGACCGTTGTCAACAGTGCTTGCCCTTCGGTATGCTCTTTCGCGGCGGCTGTTCACCCTTGAAGACGCTTGATCTTTGCACTTACTCGCGTATGACGTTTGCCAGGTTGGCGGTCGCTCCTCAGACCATGCGGTACGGCGAGGGAAATTAAATTCCTCGAGCGAGGTCCTAGCGACGATAGTTGGGTGGCAAGGGCGCTCATTGGATGCTCAACTTACCTCCGATTGGAAGATTGGTCGCGGTGTCGTCGCTGTCCGAGCGAATGCCACTCCACGTGTCTGCGCACACGGATACCGTGGAGGTTTGGGAGCTCCCGTGTTGATCGTGAGTACGGTCGTGCCCACGATCCCTTATCTATCCAGCTAGCGGTTGTGCAAGGATCCCACACATCATTTTTCTGCTCTTCGGAAGGGGGCAGCTTGCTTGTGGCTTAGGAATGCTGTCCGACTTTTAGGCGACCCAGGGGGACACTGCCACTACCGCCGGCTTTTCCATTTCGAATTTCTGATGTCGCTGCTCCTGGAGACCCTGCACAGTTGTCGGTACGACAACCCGGCGGCTTCAAGCGCCCATACATCACACCCGCCATCACACGTCTGCTTCTGAGTCCTCGTCGCTCGTCTCGAGCCATGTGCGGTTCATAGGCTACGTCCTCTTTCTTCAACCACCATGACTGTCTGGCCAGACGATGGTCAGGGCGCCCCCATCCCTCCAGTAGCTCTGGCCATGACGAATTGGATAGAGGTGAGCTCATCGCATATGCTATCGGCGCACTGTGGCTGATCGGGATTTGCAGGCTGCTTTCTACGGTACGCGACTCCCTGGCTGGAGGACGCAGACTCATATATCCCTCCAGGTATATATACGGCTTTATTCTTTCAATACATCATCAATCGGTTCGAGTATGGCATCGGATCGGCGGTCCCAGGCAAGGTGAGGCACTTGTGCGAGCCTCAACAAAAACCTTTCCTGATAGGTTCGTCATCCACAGGTGTACTTCGTTGTCACGGTCCTCATGTACATCAATGGGACCGCATTCTCCGGTCAGTTGTCTTCCTTATGCGCCTGCGCATTGATTCATCTTACGCTGGGGTTTCCAGCGCTCTCCGTTTATGTCAATACGACTCTCACCAACTTTGAGGCCGTCCACACCGTCTCGCCCGCAACCGGAAAGGCATCACTTGCAGCGGGCATCCTGACGTACATTCAGCTGTGGCTGGGGGACCTTCTCATCGTGCGCGGGCAAAATCCAGCATCTGTTCGCGTCCCGATATCTCATAGATGTTCTCTAGGTATACAGAGCGCACCTGATCTGGGATCACGACTGGCGAGTCACCGCCGTGCCATGGCTCACTTTACTTGCAGCCTTCAGTACGAGCCGCCTCTCATTTGTCCGAAACATGGACTGATCAACAACGTAAATTAGTTCTGCTATTCACCTCGGCAACGTCCCAAGACATTCGCCAAATCAGCGCCGCACTCTTTCTCGCCGTCGCACAGAACGTAATCACCAGCGGGCTCCTCGTCTACCGCCTCGTATCACAACACTCCGGGTCCTCTCGGGCGGGATTGCATCGGTTCTCGCGACAAAGTGGTACCCTCATTCGCATGGCCTACATAATTTCAGAGTCTGCGGCGATGTACCTCGTCGTGCTCGTTATCTACACAATCCTTTTCCAGCTCAGGCACTTCGCCGTAATCTATCTGTACGTCCGTCACGGTCCACTCATTTTCTGTTATCCCTGATTGACCTGTTGCGCAGGCAGGTCATGCTCTCGTCGGTGGCAGGTAGGAATAAATTTCCTCCCCGCAACCTTCCAGACTGACTCAACGCTTTCTAGGCATAGTCCTGCTCGCGATATCCGTTCGATTCGCAGGCATGAAGACTGGCTCTGCCGGTGGTCCCTCCATGACCTGGCAACCGCCTTCAGAATGGCGCATCAGCGTCCAGTTCGCCCCCGCCGCCGCCGACTCAAGATCAGCACATGAAGAGACGGTGGACGAGGAGGGCGAACGATGCATAGAGATGCAGCACCCGAGCTTCAACACCAAGGAGGAGAGCAAGAGGAGCTCACCCATAACCCCACCGTCTGCTACTGGGATACGGTGAGCAGCCAGACCGCTTTAGGACATCCATGTATTTTTACCACCACCATCCTATCATGGCCGTAAATATATTCGTTGGAAGCCGCAGCTGTGTTGCGTCCAGTGCGGCTGCGCAGCCTTCTCGAGGAACACCAGACCATACCCGGCGACGGTGTTACGGCAGCGGAGCCGTCCACATTGCTCTGACAGGTCCTTTCCTCCATCAGCAGCCTTCCATAGTAGCCAGCGCAAGTACGTGTCTTCTCTTATACGAGTCTACCTGCCTCAGAGTTGCGTCTTCCCGGTCTTCTCTTTACTTGACTTGTGATGTTGGCGAGCAGATAGGCTTCTTAAGATCACAGATCACTACCCCATCAACGCCACGGCATGTTTGACGGTCTGTGGGCAAGCATAGACCCCTGATCCAGTTCAGCAGCAGTTCTTGTGCGTAACCGCCATGGTCGCCCTTGCAGGCGCCGGTGGGGGTGGAACCGTTACGCCTGCTGCGACGTTGCTGCTTGCAAGTTGGGTAGAGGTAAGCCAGTTCGAGTCTTTGGCCGTGCTCGAGTGCGCAATTTTTGCTGATTCGCGACCCCGTAGGCCGCCTTCTATGGTCCGGAAACTCCGTGGTCGCCTCTGCTGTGCAGCTAACCGAGTCTTCATCCAGGAATCTACACTGCGTTGTTTATTCAGTATATGATGACGAGGTATGAGTATGGGATAGGCAAGGTCCTCTCAGGCAGGGCAAGTGGATGCTTTCCGCCATCGAAGATCCATCTTAAACGAACGTTTGTATCTCTAGGTCCATTTCGTCGTCACGATCTTTATGTATCTGAACGGAACTGCTTGCTCTGGTGCGTACTTCACGTCGCCCACCGTGTTTGACTTGATTGAGACATCCGATAGTTCTCTCCATCTTTAAAACCTTGGTCAAGTTGAAGGCCATCGATGGCCACCCGGATTCATCCGCCAGCGAAGAAGCCGAATTTGCAGCGGCTACGATGACCTTTGCTCAGGTGGTACTCGGGGATTTCCTCACTGTACGTCGAAGAAGTTGTACGACACTTGCCCCGTATCGCATTGACCCCTAGACACAGACGTACAGGACTCATACGGTCTGGAATGGCGACTGGCGTGTGTCTTCCCTGCCTTGGCTAATGGTCTTGGCGAACTTTGGTGCGTAAGAACCGTACTGCGTCACCATGAATGGGTTCACATCGTCCTACTCTAGTGCTGTTATTCACCTCTTCTGTGTCGCATTGCGACCCTCCTCAAATCAGCGCATCGCTGTTCATAGCTGTCGCGCAGAACATTCTTACAACAGGACTCGTCGTCTATCGCCTTGGGATGCAGCATTCGGAATCCTCCCGAGCAAATCTCCATCGATTCTCAAGGAGAAATGGCGCCCTCATACGCATAGCGTATATTATATCGGAGAGTGCTGCCGTATATCTGGCGGCGCTCGTCCTCTATACCGTCTTCTACCACATTAAGCATCCGGGGCTGCTGTATATGCACGTCGTCCGTAGCCAGTCGCATTTACTCTGACTCATCGTCTTTACAGGGAGCTGATCCTATCGTCCGTCATAGGTGAGTTCGGTCTCAACGTGTGCCCTGCTTTGCTCATACGCCTTTCTAGGAATCGTACTCCTGGTGATCTCCGTCCGCGTCGCTGGGATGAAGTCCGGTTCTGCTGGCGCCGGAGGACCATCCATGACCTGGGCAACTCCAACGGAATGGCGCATCAGCGTACAATTCGCACCCCCTGTAGACTCCTCCGGGTCCGCGCACGAGGATACCCAGGCTGAAGGGGTCCCTTACGAAGCTGAGATACAGCTTCCGAGGGCAGGTAGTAAGGAGGGCACGAAGTAAGAAGGATCCAGAATCAGAAGGATATCAAGCAGGAAGGGGGAAACAAGCTAAGGACCAGGGTACAAAAAGAGGCCCGTCGACGTGAACTTTGCTATCGTGTTCTGTTTTCTTGGGACTATTTGCATCGGTATATCTCACTCTCACTACGCTCCTTCATGTGTGTATAAAATGTAGATTGCAGTTTCGTTTCATCGTGTCTTGCAAGTCACTATCAATTGAGGCGCAAGAATCCGAGTTGACAAAATATAGGATGTTATTCATTCGCCTTCAGAAAGCGTCCACATGTAGTAGACGCCTGCGCCTCGTAAGTGGTGGTCCCTGAAGGACGAGTGAAGAAGCGTACCGAGACTACGATACGGCTTCCACGCCTCTGTCATCGCCTCCATCTCCGCAGGCGTCAACAACGCGCCCCTGCGTCTGGTTAGCAACAAACCAGCACTGTATGGCAGTCTACTCACTTGATCTTCTTCTTCCCCGTCAGCCGCGTCCTCAGCTCCGTCACTGACAGACCCGCAGGTAACGGTGGTGGCGGTCCATCCTCCGCACCTCTCGCAAGCACCTTGTTCACCGACGGCGTAAACGGCGGCGGCAAAGGGCCGTCCGAATCTTCATCCTCGACGTTAGCAGCAACCCCATCCAGGTCGCCTTCCACAGGGAGGACGGAGGACTCCTGCGGCGCGAGCATGGACGCTACATCGGGGACGGCGTCTTTGTCCTTCGCCTTCGGGGTCGCACCGCGTTTGGAGGACGCCCTCTTCGCGCTCGACTGATCCTCCTTCGCAGCACTGGCCTGCGCATGCGCTTCCCTATCCTGATCGCTTAGCTTCTGCGGCGAGATCGCCACAGGGTCCTTCTCTGAGTGCAGCGCAAGCACCCAGCGCGCGAGCCCGCGCTGCACGCCGAGGTCCCCGACGGGGAGGATGTTCGGTCGGCGGAGGGAGAACATGGCGAACATGTCAACCGTCCACTGGGCGAGAGAGGGAAGTCAGGGTTATCAGTTCGCTATAGGGGTAGGGCCGCGCTCGGTGGGTTGACACCCTCGCTCAGATGGAAGCTACTCACACGACCTATCCCCTTGACGGCAATCAGCATCTCCGCGAGCTCTTCATCGGTTGCCTGGAGGAGCTTATCTGTCGAAAGGCTTCCATCCGCGAAGCGCCTCGCTAAGTCTTGGACTGCTGGCCGTGAGCGAGGATCCTTCACGGACGCGTGAGAGCAGGCTCACTATATTCGGCCTTGCGCTGGCTGAGACCAGCTGAGCGCAGCGTCGGGATCGCGGTATTTGCGACCTGAGCCGGCGTTGGAAAGGAGGCTTCTGGGTCTCGAGAACTGCAGTACGAATACGATTGACGTATGCACTAGGGAAAATAGCCCAAACTTACTCGGAGTGTTGCGTTGGCTTTTCTGGAAGCGTTGGGTCGTACAGTCGTCTGAACCTGTGGTTTATGGACCGTGCAGCAAGCCACGAGATCTGCTGACCCCTTCGCTGCAGCGTCAGTCGTCTGCCTTATCTTAGTTCAGCCTGAAAGAGGCATATCTCACAAGATGGACATCGTCAACGCGCTGCAGAAGACACGTGAGATCGTTGCGTCGAAGACCTACTGTGGTGGCGAGATTCTCACCGGAAAGGATGAACGGTTTCCAGTTGCTCGTATGGCTTGCAAGGAAGACGCTTGAAGAGCTCCTCGAATCTCGAGTCTACCGAGATAAGATGGCGCTTGGCTTCCGCATAGTCGAAGGTAAGAATCGCAGGCAAAATCTTCTCAGGTTCAGAACCTGGTATTGTTGGAGGCGGCGGAGGAGGAACAAGCTGAGACTCAGTAGAGACCGCGTCTTTGGCAACCCGAGGCGTCGAGGGCTTGGCTTTGGTCGAGCGAGGTTTTTTTGCTTTCGAAGCTGATGCTGCTGCGTCTGCGTCGTCTGCTTTCCGCTTCACTGGTGCCGGCGTCGACGACGGTGTCCCTCTGGACTGCGAGCGCGTCGTAGGCATTCTGAGGGCAGCCACTACGCGTCTTGACATGCACTGAACGCGCTGATGATGGTGAGAGTCAAGAACAAGCCTTTTGAATTGGAATTATTGCCCGCGCAGGTGGCGATAGCTTTGTCAGGAGTGACGGCGCGCGCCACCGGCGCCTCGGGATATGCGTACACGTGCCCGCGCGACAACGTTTGAGTCACGGTCCTCCTCCCGGTACCGTTACACGTGTTGCAGAAATTGTCTCAGCTCTCCGCGGTCTTGAAGCACATCGCGACAGACACTCCTCCCCATAACAATTCATTGCATTGCTGTCAGTGCGAACCTCCATTGCGGTGCTATGTACACGTCCATAGGGTCCGTTTGCTGGCTGATAAACGATTAGAGGCGGAAAGTGAAAGACATGCTGTACTCGGGACGAGAGGAGAGAAACCTGTAGATTGTAAAACGAAGGGGCGCGGGATGCGATTGAGAGCAATAAACAACGGGCTGCATGAACAGATATACATGAGAGTACACTTCAGTGCCTCTCGGGAGGTCCGTGAGCCGCTGGGGTCAACACCGAGCGGATGGGATTACCAAGCGGGAGGGAGAATATATGGAGTAGAGGGAGAGGGCCGCGCCTCAGCGAAGGAGGTCGAGTCGTTGGTCGCTCGACGGGTACCGGTATGCGACGAACTGGGGATCCTGCGCCACCAGCTCCTCGAGCGGCTTGCGCCCCATCATCGACATCCTGTTCACCGGCCCGTTGCTGAACACGCTATGCCGCGAGTTCGAGGTCGCATACCCGTTCGTAAAGGCGTCCTCCGGGCCTTCTGAGCCAGACATGCGCATCGACGGCCACTGGTACACCGGAGCGTCATCGTACACCTCGCGCTCAGGCATCGACGGCTTCTTGCCGAAGAGCGACGACAGGAAGCGGCTCTTGCGCTTGCCTGATGGCGTGGACACGTTGCGCGGAGTGGCCATGCCTTTGTCCTGCATGTAGTCCAGCCGACCAAGCGAGCGGCGCGAGTGGCCGAACTCGTTATACCGGGCGCCAAAGCCGCGCGGGTTGCCAGCCGGCATCGTCCTCATGTCAACAGGGGGCCGAGCAGAAAGACCACTGAACGACTGACGGCGCATCGCCGTCTCGCGGAAGGGCGCCTGCGGAGGCAAGAACTCGCTCGTGGGGGAAGCACCCATGGGCATCATGGGCGCACCTCGCGGATCGTAGGTGTACATCGTCCGCGGTCGGGCCTCAGTCGGCGACGGGCGTTCACCAGGCGGCAGCGGGGGCAAGGTCTTCTCCCTCTTGAGGGTCGACGCCCCGTCCTGTGTGCCCGGCCTCGGCAGAGGCTGCGCCTGCGGCACGACCGTCAGGCTCTGCGAGAGTCGCGAGCGCATGTCCGGCTCCGACGTCGTCGGGTGCACGCTGCGCGGGCGGCCGCCATCTGCCCGCCGCAGATCCGCATCGACATCCTCGGATCCGCTGTTGGGCCGCTGTTTGTCTGCATCGAGGTCAAACGGGCCCGATCGGCGGGAAGAGTCGGGGGAGGGCAGGACGCTAGACGGCGCAGTCGACGACGGGACGCCAGCAGATGAATAGCCCAGTTGCGGCGAGGCGAGAGAGGGCAAGGACGGGGTGGAGGCGTGACGGCCGCTGCTGAATTGCTCACCTGGCCGTCGGTCAACGAGATACGAGAGGGGAGGCGGAGGCGCGAGAGGCTCATCCTCAGGTCGGGAGTACGTGCGCGATGGTCGACGGCTGCTGCCTTCGCCCTCGTGTTTTGGACCACCCTTGACGAACTGCCAGACGCGAGCGAGGCCCTTCTTTTTCTTCTTCGCCGTCGCGCATTGGGACTCGGTCTCTTGTACCTCAATGTCAGGTGGCGGCCATATTTGGCTACGTCGAGGCGTGTTGAGGTCAACAGTACCTGGCGGCGGATACGTGCCATACTGCTGTTCTCGTTGAAGGGCGACACTGATACTAGTCAGCCACCGTAAGCAGTGACGAAAAGAGGAAAGACGTACTGCATGTCCATCATGCTGCCGGACATACCAGAGGGGGCAAGGCTGTCTGAACTCATCCAACCTGGCCGTAGACCCATGAACCGTGACCTGCGTGGTGACGGAGTGCCCATGCTCTGCACATCAGAGAACGACGCTTGGGACATGGCCCGGGGTAAGTCTGGCCGGTCGTGGGGCGAGGTGACTATGCTCATCGGGCGTGGCGACCCAAGAGAGTAGTGTGAAGACGGACGAAGACCGGGGTCTATCGACATGACGTCGATAGCAGAGCCGCGCGAAGACTTGCGCGCACGCCTTTCCTCCTTCCTTCGGCGGTCGCGCGCCTCGCGTTCCTCCTTCCGCACGTCCACATGTTCCACAATCATGCCGTTCTCCAACAAGGTCACGTCGCGTGAGTGGGACTTCGTGTGGCCAAATGGCGGCTGCGATGGTGACCGGGGAGGCTTGATGCGAACACCGGTCGTATCCCCAGCAGGCGCGGGAGAGACGCCGATATCGTACGCAGAGCGGCGCAGTTGGGAGTAGGTGTCGCGTACGCGGCTATCGAGCATCTTTGCCTCTTGCATCGCCTGGGCGTGCGCAAGGCCTTCCGCCTCCAGCAAGGCACGCTGGGCCTTGACATACTTGACAAGCGTCTGTTGGCGCGCCTGCGGCTCTTTCGGGTTCTTTGGCAGATCTCAGCAACTGTCAGCGATGGCAGAACTTCGGGACGTACCATGGTCAGCCATACTTTGAGATTCTGCTCGGATAGCAGACCACCCCGCGCGCGCGGCCGATTGGGGTCATCGTTGACGATGCCAGCCGCCTCCTCCTCGGCCTCCCGCTGCTTCAAATCCTCGTACGCGGCGTCGCTCGCCCGCTCCCAGACGCCAGGGCTGGTGACATCGACATCGGCCATATCCTGGTCGCGCATCGCGCACTCGAGACAGACCTCGCCCCCATTGTCTTGAGGCGCCGCCTGGGGCGCACTGGGACCGGCGGCGGGCGTGACGTACGTAGGCTGCTGGGCGTAGGCACGCGGTCGCGGGGATACAGGAGGGTTGTAGCCGGCGGACGCCATCATGGACGCCCCATAGGATCCGCTGACGTTGCGCGCGCCAGATGCGCCCGCCGCGAGGGCGGCCTGGCGCTGGATAGGGGAGTTCGGCGGTGCCACAGAGTCGGAGTACGGGTTGTTCGGGGTGGCGCTGCGCGGCCGATCCTGAGCAGGACCAGGGGCTAGGGCAGGAGCGGGCGTGCGGGAGGAGGGACGTGGGGTATCTTCGGCGGCGACATTGCGCTCCGCGAGGTGCCGCGGTGGAGAGTCGACGTAGGAGTAGGGCGCGCCGACGCTCTGCTGGAAGGGCGCGGGCGACTGGGGTAGCGGTATATGGGCGGGCGAGGCCTGCTCAGCTGGTTGGGTTAGCGGCAGTGGCTCGGGCGTCGGGCGACGACTAGCGCCGTTGTCACCAAGCCAGGGAGCGGCCTGATCATCGGTATGCGTCCCGGTTGAGCTCTCGAGCGCCGGCTTGTCGGGTGTGCCCAGCAGCATATGGTTCGTATATTGCGGGCGCGAGCCCCCGGCGTTGCCGACCTGAGAGTTCCTCTGGGCGGACAGGCTGGCGGAAAGGTTCGGATATCGGTTGTCGCTGCCAAAGTCGATGTCGAGGGCGTGGGTGTACATGGAGAGCTCGGGGCGTGACGCGTGCAGCGCGGCAGTCATCGTGGGCGCGGCGTGGATAGGAGCCGGGGGATACACGGGCAGCTTGTTGGCGCCGGTGTCGAGAGGACTGTTGCGGTCGTGCGTGGCAAAAGGAAAGGAGTCGGGTCGAGTGTCGTCGCTGGGAAATGCGATGTCTACCAATTTTTCGAGTAGTGTAGCATGCCCAGAGGCAAAAATGTGGGGAGAAGAATCAAAGATGGTCGGAGAAGACAAATGAGAAAGCCTCGGAGCAGCCAACGGCGCTCTCACGCCGCTCCTTGATGTCGGTTGAAACGAAGTCGACTCGGCAGGCTGCCCCTCCGGAATCGACGGACCGCTAGCATCCTAGCCTTCACTTGAGGTTCCTCACTTATTCACATGTATTGGATGCACACTGTTTCGCAACGACTCATGTAAAGGCTGTATACTACAGAAAGACTGTCTACGACACAGCAGGAGATAGATTACTTGCGGTACCTGTGCGCGAATCAATCAGCTTCTCCCTTCAGCGCTCAATGCTCATAAGAGGGACATACCATAGCACGGCCTTCCGCGACCGCCTCATCTTGCGCTGCAACTGCAGCATACCGTAGAGCAAGGCCTCCGCCGTAGGCGGGCACCCAGGAACGTAAATGTCGACAGGTACAATGCCTGCACAGCCCAAAGTCAGCGATCCACTCCCACCGAATGTCAACAACTACGTACGGTCGCATCCCCTGACCACAGAGTACGAGTAATGATAGTAGCCGCCTCCGTTAGCGCACGAACCCATGGACACCACCCAACCTTCCAGGTCATCAGCAAGCGCGTAAACGAAGGCTGCCAAACGCTACTTACGGGGCTCCGGCATCTGGTCGTACACCTTGCGAAGCGCCGGTGCCATCTTGTTCGTAAGAGTACCCGCAACAATCATGATCTCCGATTGACGGGGACTGGCACGGAAGATGATACCCAGTCTGTCTTGGTCATAGCGAGCGGCGGCCATGTGCATCATCTCTACCGCACAGCAAGCAAGACCTGTAGGGAGCGTGAGCGTCAGTCACTGGTGCTGCTAAGACAGGAGGGAATAGGAGAGGGTGCACGCACCGAAGGTGACCGGCCACATCGAACTCTGGCGCGCCCAATTCGCAATCTTGTCGAAGGTGGCGAGAACGTACTCTGCAAGAGCAGCAAGTCAGTATTCTGCATATCGCTGAGGCTTTGGCCACGCACCAGCCTTATTCTGCGGGGTCTCCAAACTATGCTGGTTCGACTGAGCGTTCACAACCGCTCGGAACGACTGGCCCTTCTCTACGGTCGCAGCCGGGATCGTCTGCTGCTGCTGCGCAGAAGTGGAGGAAGAAGAATGGATCTGGCGCGCAGCCTGGAATGAGTGGACCGCTGCAGGAGTGCATTAGTGATCACATCCAATGTCAGACCCGTCCTGCTCACCGCTGGTCGAAAGCCCGACCTGGGGGCGGAGTGCGGCGCGCAGGCCGGCCTGGTGTACTATTCCTTGATCAACTAAACGCCCTTGAGCATCCGAGGGGCAACGCACCTGCAGCACGCATGGTAGACGCCATGGCGGCCTCGATGAAGAACGTTGGAGCGCGATGAATTCGGTTGGCAGCAATTGGCTGGCGGGAATCGGGACCCGCCGTTTGGTCGGACCGAAGGTCCTGTTTGGGCAAGTTTGCGGGCCGGTTGTGATCGAAATCTCGGATCATGGCCAGACGCGGGGCGCAGCGCGGAGAGGCCTGGTCCTAACTTCCATCTTCTATGCTCCCGCGCGACCTGCAACTAAATGGAAGATATGGCTTTACATGCATCTTATCTTGTTCAAATTTTCCGGACCTCCCTACTGCAAAGCGCTGTTAACTGGACTGAGGTAAATGTGTACACGGCGCCGCAGCAGTTCGACCAACACAGGTCGAGAAGGAAGTTCTTAAAATTCAGCTTCATGGATTCGCACAATGCGCCTCGATCTGGTATCCTCTGCATGATACTTTGGAGGCTAAGCGCTAAGCCATCACCGTGAAGGCTATCGTTGGCCGAGCCTGACGGAAGCAGATCGCTCAGAGTATTTGAGTCAATGATCAGACGTTTTCCAGCGGATTGCGGGTTTCTTGACTACCACCACCTCCCTCACGCTTCGTCATGTCGGCCTCCACGTCTACATCCACTCTCAGCGCGGCTCTTACCCTAAAGGCGCAGCAGGCGCGGGAGTACATGCAGCAGCTCGTACGCGTGGCGAAGGAGGACCCGGACGCGCGGGACCTGCAACCAGTGAAGTGGGAGGAATTCGTTACGGTATGACATGCTTTATCCCCGCGTTGTCGATTCGCCAACTCTCCTGGGCAGCTCATGGATCAACTGGGCTTTGACTACGATCCTGCCACGCCTGGAACCAGTGTGCGCTTCATCCCTCGGAACCAGCGCGACCAGCCTGTTATATCTCACAAGCGTATGTCGTGACTGCCTAATATCAATTGATTGGAGGGAACTCGAGCTCACATCTCTTATTTAGCGCACCCCGATCCGACGATTCATCCCATGATGCTGAGGGAAATGTTGAAAAAGTTGATACGCCTTTACGGGTGGGCCGACGAATCCGAAGCTGTTGGCGCTGGCGAGGGCGCGACAAACTAATGCTCGCTCACGACCGACAGTCGTATGCTTTTTATCGCCTCATAGCTCACTCAACGACACTTTGTACAGTGTGCGCTTCGCATATAATATATGGGAGGTTTTCTGTGCACTGCGTGCCAAGGCGTGACGGTTCGTGTTCGACTGTCAGGTGACCTTGACAGATTCGCAGGTAACGCGACGCGTAACGCGTCTTCCCTCCTTATCCTCTTCCATCATGGTACGCGCCAGCGCTCTCGAACATACCTTCTCATTGATCTACTGTAGGCACCGCGAGGACTTTCAGCAGAAGAAAAGCGCGTCAAGATGCTGGAAATATTCCACGAGACGGTAAGCATTCCGTAGCTCTACTAGAGCTTGACGATTCTACGTGACCCTTGCAGAAGGACTTCTTCCAGGTGAGTATCGTATAATCAGCCTCGTCCTCTTGTGTAGTCACGCTACATTTCAGCTCAAAGAACTGGAGAAAATCGCGCCTAAAACGAAAGGCATCGGTACGGGACCCTCTGCTCGCGACCGCTCCGCCTAACCCGCGTAGTCTCGCAATCCGTCAAAGAAGTCGTCCAGTCACTCGTCGACGATGGTCTGGTGCAATCGGACAAAATTGGTTCATCGAACTGTACGCGCATATACCCACCCTGCGACCGAGATACGCTGACGCAGAGGCGTACATTAGTTTTCTGGAGTTTCCCCTCCCAGCACGGTGCTGCAGTATGCGCGAGTCGCTCAGCGCCTGAAAAGCTTGCTGACCGCTGTCAGATACAAGCCCGTTTGTCAATTGCGCAAGCGAAACGAGCGGAAGCTGCGCAGCAGTTGAAGGAAGTACGAGCAAGCGTCGAGGAGGAGCGGGCATCGAGACGCGAAACGGTTCGTTGCGTCGGACGCAAACATACTCAGCAACACTTTCCATCCTCTGTGCTTTGTTCTCACTCCCTGCTGTAGGAAGAGCGTCGTGCCAAACTGGGCAAGCTCGCCTGGCTCAAGCAACATCAAGCCACACTGCAGACCGAACTCAGCGCGTATGGCACGTGCGACCCTATCAAGGTCGAAGAGATGAAGCGCGCTGTAACTCTAGCTAGGGAAGCTGCTATCCGATGGACGGGTGAGAGCGCGAACGCGTTCACGGTTACTCATTCGGACAGCGCTGACTACTTTCATATCCTCGCCATCTCACTGGATGCGCCCTATTCTGGATACCTCCGCTCCCCCGCGATAGACAACTACTCGGTGCTCGAATCCTACGTTCGCCGACAGACCGGTGCAGAAACCTCGGACATCCGGCAGCATCTCGGCGTCGACGACGAATACGAGGACATCTGCTAGCTCGCTCTGCTATGTCTCCTGCTATCTGCTTTGCTTGGACGACCCGACTTGCTGTCGCTGACTTGGAATTGCTTGCTGTCTTTGCTTTGTTCGCCCTCGCTCGCTGTTCGGATTCGGAAGGAAAAGACTCGCACGTCAACAGATACAGTCCGGCTAGTATTGCGTGCTGGGTATACGACGAGAATAGAAAGTGTACGGAAGATGCGAAAGCGGCTATATGATACACAGGTGGATACGAATGTGTGGCAGTGACGAATGACAAAGAACCAAAGTTCCCAGAGGAAGACGAAGATCGAAGTATACGGTAGACGGTGAGAATGGTTCAACGCGAACGACCCACCACCCAAGGATGGCGCTTCAAGTCGTGTATGGTGATGCGGGTTTTTGGGTTGACCTCCAAACAGCGCGCGAGCACGTCCATCGCCCCATCAGATAGATGCTGGCCCGGCACCTCCACCAAACCCACTATTCCCTGCGCAGCATCCCCCGCCGTCGCGAACGGCGAGCTGCCCGTAAGCAAGAACGCGAGCAGCACACCCAATGCCCACACCTCCACCGGCGCCGCCTGATACGGCTCGCCGCGCAGCACCTCCGCCGCCGCATACGTCGACGTCCCACGGAAGTCGGTGTAGTACGGCCGCGGCCCCGCCGGGTCGCAGACGCTCGCGCTGCCAAAGTCGACGAGCTTGACGCGGTGCGCGCTGTCGATGAGGATGTTCTCATCCTTGATGTCGCGGTGCGCGATGCCGCGGCGGTCGAGGTACGCGACGGCGTCGGCGATCTGGGCGAAGACGTCGCGGGCGCGAGACTCGGAGAGGTGCTTGTGCTGGCGGGACTCGATGAACTCGAAGAGGTCGTAGGAGCCGCGGCGGTGGCGGGCGGCGCTATTTGGGTCAACGGGGCTGTCCATTGGGGGCATCGCATTGTGCGCCTGCTCCAAGGCTACGGCGCGCTGCCATGGCAAGCCGTGCAGTTCTTGTACCTGTGGTCCATGTAAGTCTTCACTCTGGTCCTGATCGAGATGAATGCTGACCAAGTAGTAATACAGCGCATCCTCGTAAACGTCTTTGCACTTGACGATGTTTGGGTGGTCGAGTCGACAGAGCAGCATCACCTCGATGGGCACCATCCCCATCTGCTCGTGCTGCGTCCAAGCCGCGGGGGGCACGCGGCTCTTTAGTATGAACTTGACCGCGACCTCTTCGCCCGTGCGAAGACATCGTGCCGAGGTCACAAACCCGTACCCGCCGATACCGAGTTCCTGCCCAAGTTGGTATGCACTGGTGAAGTGCCGGTTTAGCCTGTGTCCCGGCGGGAAGCGCGGGCACGTAGACTGGTCATTTTCAGGCGGAGGGTGCGGGCGCTTAGATGGTCCCGCCAGTGATGAGGGCCCCTGCATCGAGGAATGGATGGGCATCGTCGTCGAGATGCACGACTCTGACTTGTGGGCGGTACGCGCGCGCAGGACCTTGGTCGTCATAGGTCGGCGGTATGAGGCACTGGGCAGTATGTGCCGGAGGTGATGGAATGCGGCGCTACCGGGCGGGCGGGGGCAGTCAGAAACGGCTGCGTCGTCGCATACGAGGCGTTTATGTAGGCGCGCCCCCAGTCAGCCCGCGAATGCGGTTCCGTCCGCGGGAGACAATAGGCGCGAGTGAAATGCATGGCGCGAAGCGCACACCGTGTCAAGACACGCGGTACGACTCATTGCGTCCGTAATTGTGCGCCGCCGCAGACGCGGGACGGAGAACAAAAGACAGGGACAATTGGCAATTGTGTCTCACCCTTTTGTTCTTCGGCCCGGGCCGGCACCTGCCTGAAAAGGCTATATGCCGGTGCGCGCCACTCATTGTCGCCCATGGGATGAGGGCGAGACACAATAGAAGGCCGGCTGTGGAACCCGTCTCGCGCACACCATGCGGACCAGGAGAGCAGGATCTATCAGAGGTGTGATACACCAGAAGCCTTGAACACGATCACAATAATCAACAATCGCGGTCGCTCCGGTGACCAACCCCGGTCAATTATGCAGCTAGCTCTGTTCCCCATACGCGCTTCAACAGAAGCTCTAACAACGCTCGAGGCCCGGGTGTCTCCGTGATGCACAGAATCTTGGGACGATGTCCGTCTGCTGCATACTTTGTTTCCGTTTCCACGAGCGCCGGAACGTGATGCGAGTCCAGAGGTTCTACTTCCGTCTGCTCTTTCTTCGCATGCGCGTCTGCGCGGTTCGCCCCGATCTCGTATGCGCCATCGTCCGCTCGACGATCTACGACGCACATACCCCGGGTTAGCTCTCCGTACCTGCAAGAACCGGTCAGCATTGCCTCTCGCAATCCCCTTCTGTCGAGCTCACCTTTCAATGTCAAACGCGCGTCCAGTAGCTGCCCACCCGGGTGCAAGCTCTGGCATCTGCCCCTCCGGCTGAGGCGGATTGGCTATGGCGCACCACACGGCGACAATGTCATGCAGTTCCATCGCATCCTTCCCAAACTGCAGCATAATCTCTCGCGTGCGCTCCAGGAATGCAGAAGTAAAGTGCGTGAGAGGCGGCTTGCCTGCGGCAGCGCCCGGCGCAGACTCAAAGGCAGGGTCCACTTTAGAGCGGTAAAAGTCGAATGGTAGCTCGTGCGGTGTCGTAATGTCCAGGGGCATGAGCAGGAAGCGGTCCAGAGGTATGCCATCGCCGAGCCGGGTGGGAATAAGGAGTTCCTTGACCGCGAATGGGTCGGCGAAGAAATTGACTGCAATGTTCGTCAATGAATGCTTTGCGTACTAGGAGACGTAACCTACATTCCGCGGTAGGGCTCGTATTCCCAGGGACGTCAAGCGCACCGCCCATGCATACGACGCGGCCGATGCGCTCCCGTACAAGCTTTGGATCCTTTCGAACGATGCTGGCCAGGTTTGTCAATGGACCGAGCGCCATGTACGTGATACTGCGCGCGGGCTGGTCCCTGATGAGCTCGAAGGCCACCTCTACGCCATTCTTGGTCGTAGGCTGTAGCTGAGGGACATTCTTCCCTTCATAGGCCACGATATCGGGGTATCGTTTGTCGATATCCCCCAAGCCATCCCTTCACAGAGAATTAGTTGGATGATCGAAATATCAGATTGAGATGATTACATACCTTCCATGGAAGTACTGGGCGCTATGCAATGCACCTTCTAGAGGACCATGACTGCCGACAGCGAGAATTGGACGCGAGTGATGGAAATTGTAGAAGCGATCCTGTTCCTCCGGACGCTGCTCGTTGTGGCGGCGTATGACATCGTACAGCTTGAGAACGTTCTCCCTACCTCGTCTGCATTTCAAGAATCTAGTGATGTCTTTTAAAAGCTCACCACGACGCGTCCACATCAGTATTTCCTGAATAATCCAATCAATCATCAGCCCAACCCTCTACTGGCCAGCACGACGCACTTACCAAACGAAATCACGATCGCCAGAATATCCAGCTCAGGAGACGCAAGCGCTAGCAATCTGACCATGCATCGCTCAGAATCTACCCTCCGCACTGGAATGCAATTATAACGGCACATACAGCGCAATCACATCGTCCACGCCCGGATCGGTGTCGACTGGCGTAATGTCAGTCACCGATCCTGCGTTCCATTCCGCCTCGACAATGAGAGGTACTGACTGATCACCGGAATTGTCTGCCCTGCCATAAGGGACGTGACGGAGAGAGACGAAGGAGGAGAATGAACAACATCATCATGAGATAGCGGATCGAAGTGATTGCCTCCTATTCGGAGATAGCGGAGGTGGAAGCAAATTGAGCCACGTGGCATACAATGACCGGCGTTCTCCGGTGTTCAACTCGCGCGCGGTGCTTAGGTAGCGCTCAGGATCGCTTTCGCGAGAGGTAGGTCTGCCTCACCAGCCCCAGCCTCGGAAAATACTAGTCACGATCATGGGATATATAGCTGAATAAGGCAGGAAGCTCTACTGTAGCGGGATAACAGGAAAGCGGTACTAATGTACAACAATGCAGAATAAAGATACGGTTATTCGACGGGTCGTCCTTCGCACCACGTCCTCTCCCAAAAGTCTGTATGTGAGTAGTATCTATGTTGCAGCATGGCCCATCCACATGTCGCCAACGCCGATGTCCGTGCCCTCCATCCAGTTGATCATGTCGCTCCAATTCTCCTCCGAAGTCGGGTAATTCCACCATTCGAGCGGGTCAGGCTCTCCTTTGCCCTGCTGCGTGAAGATAGATGGCTCGCAGGGTGCCGTCGAGCTGCTCGCGGTTGCAACACCATCAAAGCCGGACGCCAGCCCGTCCGTCGTCGTATGCAAAGACGAGCCGGGAGAGGTGTCGCTGTCGGATGAGGATGAGGAGCAATTTGAGGCGCGAGAGCTGCCGACGCGAATTTTGTCGAGCTCGGCGGTGATGTCGGTGACGATATGCGTGCGTTCGACGCCCGTGAAGACGCTGAACTCGATCATCTCGCGCAAGCTGAGCGAAGTATTTGTTAGCGATTGAGATACTACGGCGAAGGACAGGGGCATACGATGCGAGAGCGTGCGCACGCTCTTCAGTGGTGACATCGGACTCATCCAGCGGTTCGTCCTTTTCGATGGGCAGGAATACCTCCGCCCAAGCCTCAAAACCGCCGGCTTGGAACATACCCAAGTAGTGCGCCGCGATGACCCCTCGCATGTCCGAAATGGCAGTAATTACGCTGCGGGCCGCGAGGGTCCGAATACGCTTGCACCACTCGGTTAAGCGGCTGGGAGAGCCGCTCACCCTCTTCGCGTTCTCGCAGACGCGGCGTCGGATGGTTCGATAGAGCGCGACCGCGAGGCAGGCGAAAGAGCTGGTCGAGCTGAAGACGCAGAGCTGTAGTGACGGCGTAGTTCCAGCGCTGCGAATGAAGCGGCTGAAACGAAGGACAGTCGTATAGAAGTGTTCGGCGGCTGTAACATGGCGCATGACTTCGAGCTCGTCCAAAGGGCTCTGCAGTGCCGTGACTGAGGAGCCAGTCAGTCCGAAGCGAGATAAGCACAGCCTTAGAAACCGCGCACCTCCTACGATATTCTCGATCGCGTCGCGCGTTAGCCGAACACAGCGCGTCCCAACTGATTGATCGTCAGCGCGTTCCTGTAAGTCCGTCTAGGCGACTTACACGAGTGTATTGCCTGTAAAACACCCTGATTGGCGGGGAGCTCGTTTACCTGAGCCAGGACCTCTTCGATGCCCTTGGGGGCGGGTCCAGTCATGAGAACTTCATCATGAGGGGAGCTGGGACTGTTAAGCTGTAATCACGCTGACAGACAGTGGTCACTCACAAGGGCAGACTTTTCCCGACGCTGACGGAGTATGCAGAGATCGCCAACTAACAACGGTCATCGGATGCTCTCCTTCTAGGCGCAACTCGCTTACCAGTGATCCATGCCATTGAACACGTTCGACGTCGGAATCCAGTGTACTCCTGCCATTGCTGAGCGCGTCACGGGTAGTCAGCTCGGCCAGCGTCTGTGCCTGCCAAATGTAGGCGCTCGCCCACGGCATGGTGCTTTGCGAATCATACACTACAAATTAGAATAAGTTTTTCAGCGCCAAGTGCCACCCCAGCATTACTCACCAACATCGAGCAAATTCAGCATGAAGCACGACGCCGCATTCTCCCGCGAAGCCTGACTCGAAATCCCATCCTGATGCGCCTGCCGAACCGCCTCTCCGTAAAGTCTGACGCTGACGGGCTTCCGCCGTCGCCCCGCCTCGCGCACGTTCGCCTCGTCCATCCATTTCTGCGACACCTTATCCCAGCACAGGTGTGTGTCTGGAAATCGGTTGCCGGCCGCGTCGTGACCAACGTAGAAGGGGTCAACTGAGACAAGGGACGCGAAGGCGAGGAAGCAGCATGTCAAGACGCGCTCTTGGGGGGCGAGCAGCCGAACGTCCCAGTCGCAGTTCTGCATCACTTTCCGGTATCTCCGGACGGGGAAGAGTAAGCTGCCCCCTGGCATCATTCGGCTGAGCACTGGTTTCCCCAAAGTCAGTTATCGGTTGGGGAGGGCATCGAGAGGGCGTACCGTCCAGTGCATCCTGAAGGAGGCTACCAGGTATGGTGTCGAAGGTAGATGCAAGGGGATGAGAGATGGTCTGATGAGAATTGCATCCCCCAAACGACGATGGCTTGTAGAGCGCGAGAGAAGAGCTCGTGCCACCGCTTGGGCTCTCTTCTTCGGGCTCCGGATTGTCTGCTGGTTCCGGCGAGTGTACTCTTGCCCTCTTCGTACGCGGACGTCGAGGAAGTATGGTCGTCGTGCACCTGCAGCATGTTGAGCGCGTGTTAGTCAGAAATATCGCCACAGACGCACTGTATGCCCTTCTCGATACACCTGGGGCAGCCATCAGGATCAGGATGGCAGATGACGCGTCGGGCTTTGCAGTAGTCGCAGGCGCGCTTGCGCTTGAGCCCGTTCTGCGTCGTACTCGAGTCTGCCATGAGTCGCGCGAAAGGGGGGAGATGATGGACGCTGTGCAAGAAGTACAATGGACGGGCCGCGACTCCGCGACGATCATGAATCCCATTGACAGGTGGCGGTGCGATTAGCGACGATCACGTTCGGGTCACGAGGAAGTCAGGTGAGGATTGTTGAACATCGCACTGCGAGGGTCCTCTCGATAAGACGGCGTATCAAAGTCCACTGGCGTCATTTAGAAACCCAGTACCGTCTATAATCCAAGAATTACTCGAAGAGCCTTCTACGCCCATCCAACTCGACAAGTCGTTCCAATTCGCTTCCGGCGCATGGTGCCACCAATCCGTGGCGCCCGCGGAACTCCCTGCGACAAGGGCGAGATCGCCGCTGAACATGGGTACTTCATACGGGATCGTTGGAGTGCTGTTGAACGAAAGTGGTTCGCTCGACAATAATGAGCCCAGCGTTCCTGTAGCGCTGCCGTCTGATGTCGGCGAATGGCCAGGTATGGCGCTAGGAGGGGAAGATTTGGCACGAATCGTATCCAGCTCGTAGGTGATGGCTGCGACGATCTGCGATCGCTCTATGCCCATGAACATGCTGAACTGCAACATCTCGCGCAAGCTGGGTCGGAAGGTCGTCAGCACCCGACTGTAGCATTCGGTGAACGTACTCACGACGAAAGCGTCCCCACGCGATCCTCTTCGCCAATCTCGTTCTCGTCGAGCGGCTCGCCATTCTCATGGGTCAGCAAGACCTCCGCCCATTCCTGGAAGCCGCACGCTTGAAACAAGCCCATCCAATGCGCCGCGATGACCCCACGCAAGTCAGCGACCGCCCCGATCACGCAGCGAGCAGCTACAACACGGCTTCGCCTGCAAAGCGCCGTCAAGCGAGCCGCCTGACCGCTCGCTGACACCACGCTTTCATTCATGCGGCGTCGAAGGGCACGATAGAGCGCCACCGCGAGGGAAGTGAATGTCGTCGAGGTGCTATATAGACACAAGCGTAGCTCGCGTATTTCGCCGACGCTATTGATGAATTTACGGAAGCGCGAGACGATGGTGTAGGAATGCTCGACGGCGGATACATGCCGCTCGACCTCCAGCTCATCGAGGGGCTTCTGAAGCGCGGTGACTGATATGTTCGTCAGTTCCAGTGTCAAGGAGGGTGCAGAACCAGATCACCTCCTATGATATCCTCAATAGCATCGCGGGTCAGTCGCGCGCAGCATGCCCCAACTGAAAGGATGTTAGACGAGTTAGCACGATCTGGACAAAGCATACTGGAGTGCAGGGCATCTACGACGCCATGGTGTCGATGGTACTCATGTATCCTCCTGAGGAGGTCGTCGATGTTTTTGGGCTCAGGCCCTGCTATCACTGTTTCATCGTGGCGCGAGCTGGAAGAACACTGTGAGCGAGAGTCATACGGGCTCAATTTCTAGACGTACAATGGCAAGCTTTTACTAGTGCTGACGCAGTACGCAGCGATGGCCGACTTCAGCAAAGTCAACAATCTCTTCCTATTCATATTCGCGATGTACGCACTAGAGATCCACGCCACTGAACTCTCTCGACGTCTGATGTGACTCGAGGGCCCGTACTTCGAAAAGCGTCTAAAGCAGCCTGCTCGCATATCGTGCGGAGTTGCCAGACAAAGGCATTTGCCCACGGCATAGGGCTTTGCGGGTCGTAGACTGCAAGTGACTATCAGACGGAGCGATGTGAACGAGAAGCCATACTCACTGACGTCAAGCATATTCAGGAGAAAGCAGGACGCCGCGTTCTCTTTCGAGGCTAGCGACGTGATACCGTCCTGATGCGCCTGACGGACAGCCTCCCCGTAAAAGCGTAAGCAGATGGGTCTCCGCCGCCGCCCGACCTCTCGAAAATCGACATCTTTCATATACCCAGTGTTGACCTTCTCCCACCGCAGATGCGTGTCGGGGAATCTATGACCGTTGGCATCATGCCCGACATAAAAGGGGTTGACGGACACGAGGGACGAGAAGGCGAGGAAGCAGAGGATGAGTATGCGCTCTTGTGGCGCGAGCAACCGGATGTCCCAGTCGCAATTCTGCATGATGGTGCGGTATTTTTTGGTGGGGAAGAGTAGACTGTGTTCAGGCATCATTTGGGCGAGGACTACAATGACGACGTTGGTAATCGACGTGAAATAGGCGTCCGTGGTACTTACTGTCAAGTGCATCTTCCACGAGCGCTCCGGGGATGGCTTCGAAGTCGGAGGAGGCATGGACTCTGGCTGATGCTTGTTTCTGCAGCGCGAGAGCATCGCGGTGATTGTAGGCAGCTGTTGAGCTCTCCGCCTCTTGCTCCATCGGTGTGTCCGCGGATTGTGGGGTCTCGGGCTCCTTCCTCTTCGTCGTCCGTTGCCGCCGTGGCTTCAGTGTCGTAGTACAACTGTCCTAGCTTTAACTTTCTCTCTCATGAGATACACGAGGGTTCAGGGAACGCACTGTACGCCCTTCTCCCTGCAACGGGGGCAGCCATCTGGGTGCGGGTGACAAATCACACGCTTCGCTTTGCAATAGTCGCATGCGCGCTTCCGCTTATTGCTGCTCTGCCCTATGTTCGTTGCGTCTGACATGGCTTGGTGGGAGGGGGAGTTGAGAGGGATGGCGGTAAGAGGCACAAGTGAACGATCGGTCCGAACTGCCGAATGTCATTATGGCTCATTATGGCGGTGCACTTGACGATCATGCACAGGTTGCGGCGGAACTGAGGTGGATCTTCGACTTTATCGCACAGCTTCGAGCGCGAATCTGAGTGCAGCATATGCTCTACAACTTGTTCTTCACACCGACCATCGATGTAGATGCTCGGGTTAGCCAATTAACATTGTTCAAGATCTTCTGACCCATATCGCTACTACCCAGCAAGTTCAAATCTTCAGCACGGACCGTACTTTGCAGCGCAGATATGTGCAGCAAGGCCAGAGTCCTAGAGAGTATCATCAGCGACTGTCAAGGAAAGGGGTGCGTGGACTGCCAACCTGCGATTGTGCCGAGAACGTGGTGCCACCCTGGCTTCCACCATACCAGACATTCTCGATGGCATATCCCTCCCCAGTCGCATAATGCACAACCGCCGACTCCTGCGCCCCGATGAAGTTCGCGTACTTCGACACGCTACCGGGGACGGCGTCCAAGTAGTACTGCAAGTGCTTCATCCAGATCCCCTTGAACATCGTCTGGTCTTGGTTGCACGTCGAGTTTGCAACGTCGTCGCACGACTCCTTGAGAATCCCGTTGTGCGTCTTGTGGGTGATGGTGGCGTCGAGAGTGAGCTCTGCCTCGTTGATGAGGGACGCGTCGCCGGTAGCGACGTAGAGCTGCGCAAGGCCTGACGCGATGACACCTTGATTGTAGATCCAGGTGGTTTGGCCGTTGTTCTTGCAGTCGTCGGTCAAGCTACGAGCAAGATCAGACATGTGAGAATATGGCAGTGACGACAAGTCACCCGTCGTTCCAAAGACCATCTGAGTTCCTCATTCCCGACTTCTTCACTGTAAAGGGAGTTCAAGCGGTAATCTCGATACAGACGAGATGTGTCTACACCAGTCCCATGTCTACAGCAGAAGTCAGTCGTGGGTATAAAAGAAGATAAACGTTGATTACCTTCTTCGCGTTGACGAGATATGCTTGGTCGCCGAAGCGGTTATAGCCATTGGCTGAGAGGTACAGGAAGAGCTCGTTGGTCACAGCGTTCTTGTATGTGTGGGCCTTCGACCACCAAACTGTTATTCATTGAGTATCGTTTGCGCAAGCGAGTGAACTCCGTGCATTACCTCCGCCGCCACAAGTCGAGTCGTCCCATTCCGAGGCGATGATATCGTAAATGATCTTTGCGCTGTCCTGCAGGTAGCTTGAGGATCCGCCTGGTCAATCACAAGGCAATTGATCTTCACCAGATACTTGCTAGCGTCCTGGCCAATTTTGCCCTTGTAATCAGAGACCTTCCAAAGAGCGAGTACAATCCACTGCAGCATCGCTGTTAGCCGCGAAGCCTTCGCTGCAGAGACTCGCAACGTACGGCTGCATCATCGTTGCTGCCATTCAGCTGAAGCTCCCAAGCGAGTTTCGAACCAAGCGCAGCGAGGATGCCGATCCTGGTCCTACCGATCACGTCGAAGGTGTCGGTACCGTCTGCCAACATGAGGTTGTACATGTCCTCGATGGTGTTCTAACGGATGTCTGAGTGCGAAAATATTGGCGAAGGAGAGCGGCAGCGTCACGGCATCCGTCCAGAGAATTCCCCAGCCACCCTTCAAGGTGCTCCAATAGGTATCTTGCAGGCGCTGCGCCACGTTCTGTGCCCGGAGGGATCAGGAGGTCAAGTGTGAAGACATAGCTCAACACACACACCATAGCCGTTTCCAGTATTGCCGCGCATTGGTCGCGCTTGTCGCAGGGGCGCGCGATCGCAGTCGACGCGCCAAGCGCCGCAACACCCAGAGGTGGAAGCCGTGCAGACATAGCCAGTGATCTCCGGGAGGGGGAGGAGGACGCTGCGCAACCCCCTCCATCTTTGCCCTTTTATAATGGCATTTCTTCCATGCTAGATGCGTTCCTGATATAAGTGCAGCTGATACGGCGCAGACCACAGTGAATTGACCCGTGCCCGCGTACGGCGTCGCGTGTTCGGCGGTCAAGGCTTGGGAATATGAACCAGGATGCCTGTAGGATGCATGCCAGAGGGCTTTCATTCACACAGACGCCCGAGCGTGCAGAAGAGCTTTCATTCACGTTCGTCGAGGTGAAGGCAGGATCTGCACAAGGTCGTCGAGGCTCAAGGGAAGCCATTACGGTTCGGGCGCCCGGCCCGCCCGCTCGTCGACAACGTTCGAACCCAGCCCCCGTCAATCCTCAAGACATGTAGTGCCCGTGGAGGGAGACAGAAGGCTGCGCGTATTTCGCTCTCCATTAGCTAGTGTTATTGTGACCCTACAGTAAGTGTAAACGAACGACGAAGGTGTACCCCGATAATAAATAAGCCCCAAAATCCAGCCAGTCGCCCTTCGCGTTTAAATTCGTTTCCCAATTGCAGTTTAGCAAGGACCGTACTTGGCGGCAGAGACGTGTTCGGCGATCCCAGAGGTCTGAGAACAGTATCAGCTCGAGTCCAGATCACAACAAGTCGCACATTGTATCCTACCTGAGTCTGCGCCGTGAACCGCGAGCCGCCCTGACTGGGCGCGTACCACACGTTGCCGACCGTCCAACCGGAGCCAGTCGCATAGTGCACCACCGCACTCTCCTGCGCGCCAATAAACCCGCTATACTTCGCCGCATGGTCTGGCGCCGCGTCAAGGTAGAACTGTAGGTGCTTCATCCAGATGCCCTTAAACATCGCCTGGTCGTTGTTGCAGCTCGAGTTCGCAACGTCATCGCAGACCTCTTTGAGGATGCCGTTCACGGTCTTGTGCGCCATGGTGGCGTCAAGGGTGATCTCGGCCTCGGTGAGGTAGCTGGCGTCGCCGGTGGCGACGTAGAGGGCGCCGAGGCCGGAGGCGATGACGCCCTGGTTGTACGTCCAGGTCTCCTGGCCGTTGTTCTGGCAGGCGCTGTTGAGGCTGTAAAGCAGTGAGTAGGACGTACAAAGGAGAATGGTTGAATACCTACCCATCATTCCAGAGACCGTCGCCGTTGCGCATGCCGGAGTTCTTGACTAACATGATCAAGTCAGCAAGGGTAGAGCGAGCACAAAGAAGCGGCGTACGCCAATTCCACGTCTGAAGAGGAAGTCAATAAACCAATTTGTCACGATTGAAGCGCAACTGACCTTCTTGGCATTGTCCAAGTGAGCCTGGTCGTGCCAGCGGTTGTAGCGTGCTGCTGAGGTGTAGAGGAAGAGCTCGTTCGTGATGGCGTTCTTGTACGTGTGCGCCGAGTTCCACCACACTGGCGAGGACATCCACGTTAATATCAAAGCAAAGAATCATTGACCGGGTCACTAACCCCCACCGCCACAGGTCGCGGTGTCATACTCGGCAGCGACCATGTCGTAGACCATGTTTCCGCTGTTCTGTAGGCATATCGAGTGTCAGCGCAGAATCAAGGAATCAGTTCACCTGAGAACGCACGTAGTACGGCGCAGAATCTTGGCCGTGGGTGACCTTGTAGTCACCGACCTTCCACAGTGCGAGCGTGACCCAGAGCGCGTCATCCCAGGCTCCGTTGATGGCGGATGCCCAGGCGTTGTAGTCCTGGCGGCGTGCGAGCTGACCGATGGTCGTCGAATCAATTACATCGAAGGAGGTCGTGCCGTCCGCGAGCATGAGGTTGTACAAGTCCTCGATGGTGTTCTATGGTGATGATCAGTCTACGACCGCGAAGGGAAGAGAATGCGCATACCGCGTCAGTCCAGAAGATACCCCAGCCTCCGCCATTCCAGTATCCGCTCTGGAGACGGTCGGCGACGCTCTGGTAACAAATGTACAGGTAAGCAAATGATGGAACAGTCGTGCAATGAGCACGTACGTGAGCAGTGCTGAGGGTCGCAGCGCACTGTGCACGCTTCTCGAGAGGCATGGCAGTAGCGTAGGACGCGACGCCGAGCACGGCAGCACACACAGTGAGGAACTTCATCGCGAGGTCAATAGATCGCAGGGCTTCAATCCGTCGGACAAAGTCAAGGGCGCTTCCCCAAAGCTCGCCCTTTATATCGGGGATCGCACGCGCGTGAGCTTACGTCTAGGCAACCCCCAGGTCGTCACCATCTCGCTATTCAGTTCCTGTGTCCCCGGGGGACGGGATTCTCGAAGACGAGACGGCGCGGGAGACGGTTGCGGGCGCAGAGCGGAAGGCGCTCAGGGCAGGGCCTCGATATTCATGACCGGCGCAGCGCAGATGCAGAAGTGTACCTGCGCGTTAGGGCCTTGCGGGCGGGAGAGTGCGCCCTGCTCCTCCGTCGGCTTCCCCACTGTTTTTAGGGCGCGACGAACGGTCCCTGAAGAATGGTGAGCTCGCGTTGAGCGCCCTATTCAGTTGAAGTGCGGGCAGGTCCCGTCAGAAGGGATCAAGCTACGGATCGATGTTCGACTTTGAGGTCTTCGTCCGCGCTAGGTCATATGTCGTTCAGCTGTGCGTACCGAGGCCTGCTCACGAGACGTTCAAGAAATCGTCAACGTCTGACCGAAAGCAGGCCCTGTGACATTGGATGAAACCCATTTGTTTCCCTTCTTGAGACGTCAGAGGGACGTCTTCGTCGTGGTCTCTTCAAGCGAGCATCAAGGACAAACGTATACGATCCAACAAGGAAGGAAGGAAGACCCATTCACTGCCCTATAAGGAAATAGCTGAAGTGCCGGTAACCTCCGATACCAACAAGCATCAATACGCGCACACCTGGCTTGTCCCAAACGCCCATGCGGTCTAAAATTGCGCTTGATGAAAGGTCACTGTCAGTCAAGAGAGATTTTCTCGCTTTACTTCATACAATGGATGTTCTGGCTTCTCTTTAACCATGCTATCGACGCTACTTTACCACCCCCACTTCCCCAAGCCCGTATAATCAACGAACTGCCCGCCATGCGTTTCCCTCGTCGCGATATCAATCTGCCCGACGACCCCTTGCGCACTCTCTTCCGGTGTGATAGGAGGAAATTCCTTCACGATTTCGTCGAAATCTGGGACCGCTCCGCTGGCCAGTACTCCATGCGTATCGACAACGCCTGGACTGATAGGGAACGCGACTGTAAACTCGGTCAGTAGGTGATACTAGACGGGATTGACGGTCGTATGCTGAAGATGACTTTGTCGTGTACTCACTCAAGTCAGGGAAGTCGTGGTGCAGCTTGCGCGTCACCCAGTTGAGTGCCGCCTTGGACGCGCCGTACGGGTACACTCGCGCCGAAGTCATCGCCCCGCGCTCGATGCTACCCAGCCCAGTGGAGATGGTCACAAACTTGGGCTGCTTGCTCTCTTTCAAGAGCGGGTAAGTGGTCTGGAAGAGGACGAGGGGACCATTAACGTTAATCTGGACACGCGTCAGTCAAGGGCATCCATGGCCAGCATCCAAACGCATATATGAGTATCTCACTTACGTCGAAATGCCTGATCATCTCCTCCGCAGGCGTCTCGAGTGCGGACGCGAGAGTGTCGGATATGGCCGCGTTCGCGATGACGACGTCGAGGCCCCCTGCCACACGCTTGATCTCCTTCGCAGCCTCAACGTTATTCTCTTTGTCTGCGGATACCACCTTGATGACATGGAAGCGGCCGGGGTGCGCTTTTGCTAGCTCTTGTAGGCCAGTCGCGCCAGCGGGGTTCCGAGCGCCAGCAAAGATGACCGCGTCAGGGCGCGCGGCTAGCAGACTGACAATGGCGAAACCTTCGTTGATCCAACGGTTAGGTTACGCAAGCCATGAAAGAAGAACGGTACGTACCAATACCACGATTGGCGCCGGTGACGAGGTAGACAGTGGATTGAGACATTGACGATGAGTCCAGGTACGAGTCGGTCGTTTGACTGAGCAATGCGCTCTATCCAACATCCAGCGTACTTTTATACCCCCACCCCTCCTTACAGCTCCCTCTCATCCAGCTACCGCAAAAGTCGGAAAACATCCGGCGAAATCGTATTTGTCAGCAGATCCAATTGCAATATATTGACCGAGTCGCATTCGCAGGGCCGAGTCGGCGCCCACTGCCGTCCTTGGAAGAGGAGGTCGAAATGAAAGACGACCCGCTCAATACTCTGGACGTGATGATGCAACGCATCAGACTCGCACTCGCTAGAGTTTGCCATGCGCGCATGCGCTCAGCCGAAGTACGTGAGTCCATCTCGTGAAATATATACAAGACGCAATGATCAATCATCAGCTCTTCCGGGATGGCGCCCCAAACCTTCAAGTACGATATCCTGTCGCCGTGAGCATCGGCCACGAGTGCAAGTCAATGATATCCCTATGTAGCGCTCGGCGCTCCGGGATGCTCGCAGTCAGTCGACCATTCAGCGTACGTGCGTGAACATCTTCAAGTTGCCGAAGGCGAGGCCGACAAGAAGTGCGACGGCTTCCTGTGCGTATGCCCCATCTTCAAACGCGCGAGGTGCTTGGGAAGTACTCATAATATTTTGCCTTCGCAGTAGTAACCGATATCCTGTGAAGGTCAGCTCCTGGTCCTAGCCAGGCGTGCACGCGCCGGTCAGACGGATGAGCGACCCCCGGTTCGAGGCGTTTGTTCGTCAGTATGCAAAGCCGTCGCCAATGGGGAGCGACCCGCGCCGATGCTTCTTTTTAATGAACGGCTTCCTCTGTGAATACACGGCGAGGAAGGCCTCTTGCGGACCAATCGAGGGCGATGCCTCCAGGTGGAGAGACCATCCACTCGCCCCATCTTCTTTTGTTCCGCTTGCCGCCATGCAGCCTCGAAGACGGCTTCGCATAAGATATGTGGCGGTTTCCGCACGAGGCGGACGCAGCGAGCCATCGCGTGTAGAGAGAATCGGGCGGAACGTAAGTGTGTTTCATATATCGCCAGCGGCACTCACTTAACTGAGTTGAGCAGCAAGACGAGTACGAGTCATCGCCACGCTGGGCTTTCGCCGGCTATGGTTCTGAGAATACCCCATCGCTCGGTATGGGGGCGTGACCGACTTCCCTGACTGGTTCTCCCGCGCGAACGCATAGTTCTTCTCGCCGTTTGCCCAACGCATGTGGATCAGCGGCTATGTAGCATATATGTATAAGTATGGTCCAACCTCTCAGCTGCTGTTCCCCTGACGCCGCTTGCTTGTCCGACGTTGGTCGACCATGGCGACGAGCGACACCATGCCTCCGCCCCCGCCTCCACACTTTGACCCTAACCTGAAGTATGGTCCCGCCTTCATTGGTTGCATTATAGCGGGCATGTTAGTAACGTTGCACCAGCTAATCAGGATGTATGCTAATCTCACCCCTCTAGTTTATATGGTATCGCCTGCAACCAGACCTACAGCTACTACAAGGGTCGCTTTCAGGACCCGAAACTCATGAGGATCTTCGTACGTACCATCTCTTTTGCTAGAACACGACTTGACTGACACGTCCTAGGTATACACGTTGTTGTGAGCCAGATCACACGCATCCGGCTTTCTTTGCTCACCCGCCACTCGACGGACACCCATAGACTGCTCGAAACAACGCACCTCGTCTTAACCATTCATGTGTGCTACTTCTACATGATCACCAATTACGACAACTTTCGGAGTACAGACAACCCTACCTGGAGCTTCCTGGTTAGTCTCCGTCCCTCATCTTGCCCTCGAGCATAGCTCATATGTTATAGATACAGATGGTCGTCGAGGTGCATATTAACTTCGTCCAGCGATCGCGCAAGCAAGCTGATTTATCCGCGGCAGACGATGACGGACGTGTCTATTCGCGGGTGGATGATAGAATTTGGTCTCGTCGTTGAAGCTCGCTACTGATGGGTCTTCGCAGATTTTTTGCTCGTCGCGTGTGGATTCGTGAGTTTGGGCGAACCTTTACCTGCAATTCGTACTGATATCTCGCGCAGTGGCTCGACCGCAAAGCCGCCGGCTGGCGTGGGCTCTAGTGCTCTGCATCGGCGCCATGTCGCTCTTCGCGTTTTGTAAGTAGTATGATTGCATTTGGTCATGGTATGATCGCATCTGGTCATCCGAGTCTAATGAGCTTCTTAGCCTGTAGCGTCGGTGAGCACTCTTGCTTCATGTTTGCGGAGGCTCTTAACTCTCGCGACCGGTCAAGCCCTAACTTCGAGGACATACATGTCGTTGGATTCGAACGCAACTCACGACCCGAATGTCCGACATGCATGGTTCAATCAGGTAGCGGTAAGTCACTTCCCTGCCACCTCTCCCTCACATTCCGGAATTGACGGCCGATAATCAGTACCTACTGTACGCATCATTCGGATGCAGCGTCGTCGGGGACATGTTCATAGCCGTCTCGATGTGCGCTCTGCTATCGCGCAGCCGTACTGGGGCAATCGAGACGGATTCAATCATCGATGTTTTAGTTTTGTATGCTATGGCTACTGGTATGCCGCGCTCTTTCATGAAAAATCTCGTTCGATACTTACTTGGATCTCAGGCCTATCGACAAGGTTCGTGCCGCTGCATGACACGTCGCTCTTGGCTTGAACAGTCTTTACAGCTTAGGCGAAATCGTCTGCTTCATCAGCTACGCGGTACGAAAGCACGACCTGATCTTTGTAGGGGTATACTTTACTTTGAGTACCCGTGAGCCTTCAATCCTTATTCACCATCGCGCTCACGCTAATTCTTCTCTTCTACGCTTCAGTTTCGCTCAATAGCTTCCTCGCGTCCTGTAAGCCAAAACAGTGCATCCGCTTCTAGGTCTCGCACTAACCGTCGTGACACAGTAAACGCTCGAAGCGCCTTCAGAAATCGGGAACGGGCTAGAACGGCTTCGGCGATGATGGTGCTCAACACGCTGCCTCCGAGCGCGCAGTCATCAGCGGACACTCACACCCTATTTGATTCCAGCATGAAGAGCGGCGAAGCCTTCTCCGACGGACCTTTGCACCGGGACGGAACCAGTGAGGATTATCATCCGAGGCGTGTCCAGGGCTGGCTCGGATGGAAGAGTGTCCAGCGCGTTTGAATGAACGACTGGTCATTGATTCGGCAAAGCTTGCTATACTCATATTGATTTCCTCCTGTCTCCCATAAACGATTGTTCTCCCAATTCTCTGACAAGCAACAATATCTGTGTACACTCATGATCTATAGAGCTTTGTGTCCGGTTGCTGCCTGCGACTGTTCGACTGTCACGGTCAACGTCACACTCGCCAAGCGGTTTCGGAACCGAAAGTCGAACATGTCACGTGCCTGCGCGATCTTCACCTCCCGCCCGTCCATGACGCCAAACTCCTACATTTCCTCAGACCTTCAACGCAGATACTCACTCTCATCCTCTTGCTTCTGTCTTGAACTCGTCGCGATCCTTCCCCTTCATCACCGCGACCCGCTGTGGAAGATGCTCAACCTCTCCACCCTTTTTGCCAAACGATGCATCACCTGGTACAGTACGGTGAATATGCGCCACGTTTACGCCAGCGATATGCAGCAAACGCAGCATCAGACATGCTTTCTGACGCCGTTGTCACACGATGCAGCCTTTCTGAATCACGTATGACAGCACCCACAACTCAACGGTGACGCCTATGCTCGGGCGGGAGGCATATATAAGACGAGCGAGTTCGCTACCTACCTTCCCCAGAGATTCACGCATCTTCATCTATTTCAGCCTTACCGCTCAATACCTTCCGCCTTTAACAATGGTTTGGGGATCACGTCTGTGAGCGGTTGCGTGCACGACTGACTTTCTTGCAGGTCCAGCCGAAGTCCTACTCTCAGGGTGACCGCGTCGAGTACCGTCCCATTGGCGGTCCGCATGGTCTACATCTCTCCTCCTGATTTGCGCTGACGACAAGCAGGCACGTCCGACAACGTCACGCACAGCACCGGCGAGATCGTCCGCATCGAGGGCGATGGTGAAGTAAGTTCTATTCTCAAACTTCTGGGCGTTGTTGCTTGCTTTCGCCCTCTCAGTGTCGCTTGCACTCTCGTTCCCATTCTCGGCCGGCCCACTGACGCACCACTCCAGGAAGCGAAGTACACCATCCGCAACGACAACACGGGCAAGGAGACGACTTATCAGGTATGCAAGTTCGCCTTTTTGTCTTTACTGTCGCTCACCCATCTGCAGTCCATGAACATCGTCGGTCCCGCTCAGTAGACGCTTGGAATGTATCGTACTCAAGTCAATGTATAGAATGAGAACATGAAATATCGTCGCAAACACTTTTTCCGCGACAGACAAGGGATATAATGGCCAAAATACAAGTAATCGCCGTCGGGCTCGTGGTACAGTGGTAGCACGTTCGCTTAGCATCCTTCTCTCTGTCGGCCAGTTGCGAAAGGTCCTGGGTTCAATTCCCAGCGAGTCCATGACATGAATCTCAATCAGGTTTTTGCCATTGCCCATAGCGCCTACACGCTTTCATCTAGAGATTTTTTTTGTCGACTTGTGCACGTTCCCTCTTTGACTCTCCCCCGGTCGTCGAATGTTGTCTTCTTCGAAGCGGGTTCCCTTCATCGACGTGCTTTCCCTACCCCGTACGAAGGTTTGGACGATGAGAAATAATAATCGATAGATAGAGAAGGTACATCTGGTACTACAATTTTGTACTACAACCTGGCGACATGTCGATGCCATTGTTCTCTGCTTCGCATATCACAGGACGCAATGATAGGCTCGTGCGCGCGTCTGGGGCGATTCGCTGGAGGTTTGGAGAAGGGCAGGAGACCTGTTGCAGTCCGACGCGTGAGCCCTGGAATTCAGTGGAGGAGCGACGGCTCATGCCCTCACGATGTTGACGGAATGCGACATCCCGTACGTTATGAAGACGCCTGCTGCCCCGCACGCGCCTTCCTACGCGCCTTGTCCGCCGCCACGAGACGGTCGTGCTCCTCGATGTCCCTGTAAAGTGATCAGCATCCTCCTTCTTCCACACATCCACACTCCCGTCCACCACATGTCCCTCACACTCGTTCCCCATTCTCCCTTCTCTCACAAACCCCCAAACTCCACCAAACTCTCAAACTCCACCAAACGACCAGATAATGAAACCCAAACACTCACAGCACCTCCCACGGATAATCCAACCACACATCGTCCACCTCCATCCCGGGGAAGTACTTCACGTCGTCCGTGAGCTGCCCGATCTTCGCCTTCTTCTTGTTATGCACGACGAAGATGCCGAAGGCGGTCTGCGTGGCGAGGACGGCGGCCTCGTGCTCGGGGCGGGTGACGAGCTCGGCTGCGATGTCCTTTTTGAGCTCGGAGACGGCGTATCTGGGAGGGGGGATTAGGTGGGGTAGTTCATTGGAAGGTGAGCGAGCGTGATAGAAGTAGGGGAGGGATATAGAGAGGGAAGTATGCGAGTAGAATGAAGCGGCGTGTGAAGGGGTAGGGGCCAAAGGGTAGGAATGGAGGATGGTCAACGCAAGGGGAAGATGTAAGGTTGGAGGGTATAGGCGACTGTATTGCACTATAGAGAGTGCATCTGAGACAGACGGATGGGAGCAATGCACGACTGATGGATAACAAGCGGTCTGATAACATCGCAGCGTAGAAAGGAAGACGCACTGGAGGGTCTTGCGGGTATCGTCAACCTCGTCGATGATGAGGATCTTCTTGCCGACCAGGTTCTTTCCAGCGTCTTCCCTGGTGTACATGGTCACAATATGTCACTTCGGCATGAGAAGCTGGGACGTACAGCCATTGTGTGCGGATGACCTCTGTGCCGATCTGCTGCGCGGTGGTGCCCTCAACGGGTTCGTAGAGGGAGAGGCCAATAGCTTGTATTTGGATGGCCTTGTGCGATCCTTGCGCGCGGATGAAGGTGCGCTGAGAGGGGAATTGGTTAGTATTGAGTGATGATGGATGGATGTTGAGCGCACCAAGACACGAGCGGGGAAGAAACCGCTGCATATTCAAGTTCAGAGCGACTTCAGAGGACGTTCGCTAGTCAACCTACCCTCCACCTAAGAGGTTCCGAAGATGTCAGACACGTTGCCGAAGTGCACTGATGAGGCGCCTACCGATAGCTAGCAGGAGATCGGGCTGGAACTCGCGGACGATGGCGCCGGCGGTGTCCTTGATAATGTTGTGCACATCGTTGTACGAGACGTGCAGATTCTCGACTTCGGCCATTTCGGAGGTAGGGGAGGATAGAAGGGGAGGCTGGGAGGAGAGTGGAGGACGAAGAACCACAAGATCACCCGCCGCCCGATCACCATCGATCAATCAAGCGGAGGCGCGTCGCGTGGGCCCCCCGACTCGCGTGGCCGGGATACCGGGCCGCACAAGCGCCAGAAATCACGAGGGTTTTCCCCCGCGGGCGGCAGTTCGCCGGAATCAGCGCGACTGACACGGAGGGAGATGAGTGCCAGATAAAACGGCGACTGTGAGGAACGATGCCTGCAATGGGAGCACTCAGACGCCCCGCCAACGTCTTCTCTCGCGCGATGTCTGCTGCCGCCGCCTCTGCCCGCACCCGCCCGCCGAACTGGAAGGCGCGCGCGCCGCCTCCTCTGCCCGGCCCCGCATTCGCTGCACAGGACAGCTTGCCCCGCCTTCCTGTTCCCCCGCTTCCCCAGACGCTTGAGCGGCTCAAGGAGAGCCTGCGCCCGATCTCGCATACTCAGGACGAGTACAAGTCGGTCGTCGACAAGATCGACTGGTTCGCCATTCAGGAGGGACCGGAGCTGCAGCGCCGGCTCGAGGAACACGCTTCGACGCGAGAGCACTGGCTTGAGGAATGGTGGGATGATGGCGGCTACCTTGGCTACAGGGACTCTGTCGTCATCAATGTTTCCTACTACTGTGTGTCGCCTCTACGAGCTTGCTGTCATGCACTGACCGTACTTTAGATGGCTTCACGAAGCACCCATCACACCTAAAGCAAACGCCGGCTGCGCGTGCTGCTGCCCTGGCGCGCGCAGCGATGCTGTTCCGCCAACGATGGAAGCAAGGGAAGCTCGAGCCGGACCGCACGAAGGACACCGTCTTTTGCATGGACACATACCGCTGGATGTTCGACTGCTGCCGCGTCCCAGGACACGGACTGGACTGGAGCGTCACGCATGCGAAGCCAGGAGACACCGGCGACAGCGGCCATATTATTGTCACTCGCAATAATCGGTTCTGGAAAGTCCCTGCCGCGCAGGATGGTCGCATCCTCAGCACGGAAGACTTTGAAAGGTAAGCCTTTCCTTGACCTGTGAGGGCAACTGCTGATTCCTCTCAGGCAAATACAGCACATCTACGACGCGTCAGAGGGTAAGCCTTACCCCGGTGTTGGCGTCTTGACGGCGTCCAACCGCGATGTATGGGCAAAGGACTTCGACGAACTCGTCGCGTCACCACACAACGCCACAATCCTTGATGCTATTCACTCTGCCTCCTTCCTCGTATCACTCGAACCCACGCCCCAAGCCGCATCGAACTCTACACATGATGTCGCTGTTGCACATTCTCGTGCTCTGTGGCATGGTGCTGTCGTTGATGGCCAGCCTATCGGCCTGCAGAACCGCTGGGTAGACAAGCCAGTCCAATTCATCGTCTTCGACGATGGGTACGCAGGAATCATGGGCGAGCACTCCGTCATGGATGGGACTCCCACCGTCCGCCTCTGCGATGACGTCCTCGCCGCCCTCGAGAAGACCGACTTTGACCACGGTTCCCCCGCCTCCAACGCCCCTCAGCCCACCCCCCTCGACTTCGAAATCACACCCGCCACCTCCGCCGCTATCGCACGTGCCAACGCCGATGCCGTCGCCCTCATCTCCAGCCAGGCCCTCACCTTCCTGCGCACCTCCTACGGCAAGGCCGCCATCAAGGCCGCGGGCGTCTCCCCCGACTCCTGGACGCAGCTCGTCGTGCAGCTCGCCTACGCGCGCCTGCTCAAGCGGCTCGGGCAGCAGCGCGCGGGCGGCACCTACGAGGCCGCGACGACGCGGCGCTTCCGCAAGGGCCGCACGGAGGCGATCCGCGTCGTGAGCAGCCAGGCGGACGCGTGGGTCGCGGCGATGAATATGGACAACGTCGGCACACAGCAGCGGCGTGAGTTCTTCATTGCCGCGGTGAAGAAACACGTGCAGCGCGCGAAGGAGGCGGGCGCGGGGCAGGGGGTGGATCGGCATTTGTTGGGGTTGAAGAAGGTGGTGAGGGAAGGGGAGAAGGCGCCGGAGTTGTTTGCGGACCCGGTGCTGGCGAGGTCGAGCAATTGGGTGCTGAGCACGTCGGCGATCTTCTCAAAGAGGTTTGATACGTATGGATGGGGCGAGGTTGTGCCCGAGGGCTTTGGTGTACCGTATATGACTGGCTTTGACGGTGAGTTCGACATTTCAGGTCATTGCGCCCTCGTACTGATGACTTGCCAGACTACTTGCAGTTCACCATCACCTCGCGCAAAGAAATGCCAAACAAGGAGTTCATCGACGAGATTGAGAAGGCGGCCAACGATGTTTACAACCTCTTTCTGTCTGGGAAGAGTGCCCTGTAGGATAATTCGCACCTTTCTCTACGGCTACATACGACCGCACCTGGAATACCAACAATGTAACACTAACATACCGAACACAGTTGACAGCTAGTTGCAAAACGATAGACGCCCCCTGCAAAGACGCTGTGGAGCCCGCGTGGCCGGTCCGAGCGCGCCTCCCCATCATCTGTACGCTCGGGCCACGGCGCCAATGCCTTTCAGAGGCGCAACACGCAGGCTGAGGGAGGCTGCAGATACACACCAACAAGCGTGAATGATTCTGCGCAAATGCGACGACGATTCCTCTGCCTTTCGCATCTCGGTATACGAGCAGCGCGTCGACGGGCGCCTGCTGCCCCCTCGCCGAGGCTCGGCGTGGCGCGCCTGGCGTCATATCTCGCGTGGCCAGCAGGGTGGGCGAGGGAGCGAGGGGCGTCTATCGTTTTGCAACTAGCTGGAATACTGCACTTGAGCTGAGAGGACGCGCCTTTGTTTGTTCGCTTTGAGTAACAAACATTGATGCGACGCGATCGGCGGGATGATCGGCGGCGCGACGTTACGCGACGCGTTGACACGTATCAAGCATCTCCGCTTCCCATCTTACCACCACCACGATTAATTCATAGCCATGTCCGATACAACACCACACGGGCCTGACTGGGATCTGCTGTCTTCCTATGCCGGATTGCTCACTCTGGCAGTGGGCTGCATATACTCGGGCGCTTATGGCGCCTTACCAGTGAGCCAGCTCCTTTGAAGCGTGGCGGACACGCCTGACTGGTGTCGAGAGTCCCAAACGGCCCAAGGGTGAGAAACCCACTGCGGGGAAAGAAGACGACGACGAAGACGAAGAGGCGGACGTCATGGAGCGCATGTCGAGCGAAGACGCCTACATGTTCCCCATCGTGCGCAGGCTCGTCTTCCCCCGCAATACGCGCCGGCTGAGAAGCGCTGCAGATTGGCTCCGCGGTCCTCTTCGGTCTATACCTGGTTGTGAAGTTCCTGGGGACGGAATGGATAAACCTGCTTCTTGGGTGGTACTTCTCGCTCGCGGGCGTGGGCGCCGTGTGGAAGGTATGCGCCCACTTGAACTTGCGAGGATGGCGTGCGCGTACCGACCTACCGAGGCTTACTGTTGGACTAGACGTTGACATCACTCGTGCGCACCGTCGTGGGTGAGCAGGCGTGGAAGGCGTTCGACCGATTCGAGCTCACTCAGAGGAGCAAGGGCCGCTGTGAGTGTATAGCGAACGTTCTCGGCTTCTTAACGAACGCTAACGGCGCCCACAGCAGAAGTCCTGCTCTCATGGCGCACACCCTCGGTCGTGCTACTGCCGTTTGCGGTTCTGCCTTCGATAGTATATCGGGTCGCGCAGAACCAGGGCGTACTCACGCTCATGGCAAACACGCTCGCCATCGCGTTCTGCTTCTCGTCGCTCGCGTTCCTCAAACTCGATTCATTCAAGACGGGTAGCATCCTCCTCAGCGGCCTATTCGTGTACGATATTTGGTGGGTCTTCGGGACCGAGGTGGTAGGTACGAGGCGCTGCGGTCCGTGCACGTCGCACTAAAGAAGCCTACAGATGGTCAAGGTCGCGACGTCGCTCGATGTCCCCATCAGACTCCTTTGGCCAAAGTCGCTCGCGTTCTCGACGGCGCGAGGCTTCACGATGCTTGGGCTCGGTGACGTGGTGATCCCGGGCGTCTTCGTCGCCCTCGCGCTGCGCTACGACTTCCTTAAGGCAGGGCGCCCGCGGGGGCCATATGCGAAGCCGTATTTCACGGCCGCGCTAGCCGCATATGTCCTCGGGCTTGCGACCACGATGACGGTCATGCATACGTTCAAGGCCGCCCAGCCCGCGCTGCTCTACCTCAGGTGAGATCCGTCCGTCGGCTGTAGACCTGCCCCGGAAGGCGCGCGAGGGGGAACTGACGTGGGAATCCGTGTGTAGCCCGGCATGTGTTCTCTCGTTCGTCTTCACAGGGCTCGCAAGGGGAGAGTTGAAGGAGGCGTGGGCGTGGAGCGACGAGCCGGAGGAGGGTGGCCGCGATGATCAGAGGAAGAAGGAATGAGGGTGCGGGGTGCTAGAGCGGCGGGCGCCGCTGTTGCGCTCGACGCCCAATGCGCTCATGGTGCGCAGGGAGGGACATCCGGTAGGGGCGGATACTATACCCATCGTCGTCATGTGCTGAGCTTCCGCTGGCAGGGCTGCGGATAGTCGTCATGTACCTCTGGCAGTTCGTTCACACAGACTGGATGCGACAGACCGGTTGGGGAGTCAGAAAATGCCTCTAGTACCCTCAATCTCTATAATGGGTGCTGCATTGTTCGTCGGGCGGTACCGACAGCGGCAAGCAACGCGCCTTTCGTGGTACCTTTCTCAAGGGCAGGACCGATAATCGATCAGGGATCCGTGGCAGCGAAGCAAGGAAAAGCCATAGCCGAGACACATGGACTCCGAGAGGGGAAAACAGGTATGGGCTTTCGGAGGGGAGGGTAGCCAAAAGACCTTCAACGGAGCGACGCGCGCTCTTTTATATAGCTGCCTCTCTGAAGATAAGGATAAGAACGCCAATGCGAGGCGCTTTTGGGTGCTCGCTTGCGTGCTCGTGGCCTTCGATAAGTCGGTGGGTCTCTCGGCGTCCCAAGGTCGATAAGATAATTGTCCAAGCGCTAATGCTTTTGCGGCAAGTCTGCGGCTAGCGCCCGCACGCAGTCGGTCCTGGTCTGATGGGAAGGCACCGCTGGGCATTTCGGGCGTGGTTAGAACGGAAAGTGCTGATGGTCGATGTCAGTGGGCATCAAGAGCGACGGACTCCCGCCACCGCGGCGGGGGCTGTTGGAGTGTTGGTGATGCAGCGGCGCTCGCGAGGTGGGGCACGTCGTCCGACCGGCTTGTATGGGTCGAGAGGTCATATGCAGACGAGACTGGACGGCGACAACAGCACATGTCGTCGGTGTTCAATAGGGACCTGCCCGGGCGCTAGACCATGTATTGTATTGGTACGTGAAGCGAAGAACATATGACCCCGAGAAGGCTGGACGTCGTGCTGCAGAACCAATGAAACGACGCCAGTACGGCCATGTCGAACACAAGTCGGAGGTTGACGCGCAGAGCAACCCACAGTGGGCCATGAGCGACGTCTGGAGGCCCGTTTGAGGCGGTTGGTAGGCGGCGAAGCATGTGCTGAGTGCTGTATGGTCAAGTCGAATTGTTGATGGCTGAATTGAAGTGCCAATTTGTTGCTGTTGTGCAATAATTTCCATAAGCGGTAGTAAAGCCGGTTCCCCGACCAAGAGAGTATCAGTCGCACGAGCGTCGCGTCGTCGGTCAGCTAGCGCAGAAAAAATGCAAGCGAAGGCTGGTTCAGGTCGCGAATGTGAGGCACGATCGGGGAAGGACCTGAGAAGGACGATTGAAAGGGCCCGATGCAGCGTGAAAATCACGTGAGCGGAGCAATCCGGATTTGGTTCAAAAGCAGTTGATTTTTCTGTGGGACCCTCGGGCGCCCGCGATGTGTCCGAAACGGATGTATCCAATCGTCCGCACTTTCATTGTCAGAAGCGAGGCGGATACTGGCGGATAATTTGTGAAACTTGCCTGTTGTAAAGAGCCGTCCACCTCCAGCGCCATGCCCATTTTTCCTGAATTTATTGTTGATGATCATTGCGCTGCGCATGAACGATCAGAGGGACTGAAACCTCGTCGTGAGCCTGCTGCATGTGAGGAAAGGTGCGGGACAGAATCCCACCGCGTCTATTCTGTACAGCAGGTGAGGGAGGTCCGGAGGGTGCGACTCATCGGTAGCTGTGAGAGAAGACTAGTTCCGTGCGCTGGTCCCTCCGGAGGTGGGGGGTGGTGAGGTGAATGCGCGGACAGGGGCCGATGAACAGGGCGCGCGTACGGGGAGCGGGCTGTCGCGGGGCGTTTAGGCCAGGTTAGGACCGAAATTGCAAAATGGAGGCAAAAAATGAGAGGGTGCTTGTCAAGGAGCGATCCGAAAGCCTTGTAAGCTCCCTCGCGTCCGCAAAATGAGACTGATTATGCGCTGCTACGGCCTGGTATTCGAGCAGGGCATCAAGGGCGCTGCTCCTGCGCTGGTCGCGCGTCGCATCAGCGAGGATCGATGTGCGGAAAAATGTGGCGGGGAGCGGGAAGAGTGAGATCGAGACCGACAAATGGGCGCAAAGTGATCCCGCGCTGGTGTCCGGGGTCCGTACTTCCGGCACCGGACCGCATTCCCCGTTTGCTTGCGGCACTTTGAATTTGTTTTGCCCGAATCCTAACTCCTTCTCCTGCTTCGTCTTGCTCATCGTCGTCTGCGACGTCCGCACGGCAAGCACGGCGTCCTCCGCCAGCGTCCCCTGCGTCCCCCGCTTCCTCCCTCACCGCCTGATCCATCGGGATTGGCCGTGACGCATCGCTCGTCGGTCCACATCCACCCGCGTTTGCCCCTTCCATCTAATTGGCAGCCGACGCAGTGCGCGGGAACGAGCTAGACGCATACACTCTCGGACAGGTATATAGCAGCGGATGGACATTTCCAGCGCATCCCCACGAGGCTCATTGGACGGTGCGTACTCCAAACACTCCGCGCATGACCCTCGGCTGATGAGTCCCGGATTACCATAGAACTCAGCCCCCGCATTCCCTCAATGCCTTCCTCCTCTCACTCCTCTCCCTGGTCCCAGTCCATGCCTCTGTCTGCCATCGGCCAGCAGTCCCCCAACGCGAACGGCTACAGCAGCGCTCAGCATACCCCTCGCCCGAGCGCGGTAGGCCCGGGCCCCGCCAGCACCGACTGGGCGAGCATATTCGCAGCCCCCCTCAACCCATCCATCTTCGCTGCTCTCGAAGCCAACGGTGTCTTCGGGCCAGTCAACCAATCCCTTCCCCTGAGTAATGCGCAGCCATCGAGCCTACCGGGCCCAGCATTCAGCGACCACTATTCGCTTCAGGGCCAGTCTCGTCAGAACGGCAACCTCAACCACCGCACCTCTCTAGACAGCCAGGGGTCGTGGTCCCAGCCACAGTCTACGTTCTCCACTCCGCACATCCGGCACCAGCGGCCCAACCTCCCCCGCGCAAACTCATCTGCCGGCGAGGGTGCCCGCAACAAGCTTGGCTTGAGCGCTCTATCCCGCATCGAGGACTCCACTCGTCAGTCTGACGAAGGCCGTGCCGATCGCCTTCCTGGGCGTAGCGCACTCAGCAGATCCCTTCAATCTCCAGACCCCGGTCTCCTTCACCCTACCTCGTATGGCTCCGAGCGCTCCCTCAACGGCCTTCCACCCTCTCTGTGGATGTCGAGCGCATCCGATGCGTCGTCACATTCGGATGGTAGGAATCACAAGCTGTCGGCTGAAGCATCGGAGCCCCCTTCATCTACCAGGGCATCGTCGCATGCGTATTCCCCTCTCTCGCCGCTGTCTCCTACTACCGAGACCAAGTCGGTGGCATTCACCGATTTATTTGAGGGCGGCTTCATGTCGGCGCCGCACGCCAGTGAGCAGCCGACGAGCTCGTTTACCTCCCCGCGCGCTGGCTCGCCAGACCTGAAGAGCTATGATGAACCGGACCCGGAGAAGATGGCGAAGGAGGATCCTCTAGCGACTCAGGTTTGGAGGATGTACGCACGACAGAAGGCAACCCTGCCCCAGGCACAGCGAATGGAGAATTTGACGTGGCGAATGATGGCGCTAACGCTGAAGAAGAAGAAGGAAGAGGAGGAGGCCGGCAGCAAGACGACCTCGCCGCGTGTTGAGCAGAGTGCGGGTCCGAAGCACGAGGCGCAATCGCCGAAGGTCGCTTCACCAAGCGTGCCTACTGCTCAGCCAGCGCAGAGTGCTTCTAACGCGGCCGGGCCGAGTTCGGAGGGCATTGCCGGAGAGGAGGTGGGGAGAGGTCGTCGTCCGGAGAAGGGCAGGAGCCGTGTTAAGGTGGTCGGATTCGATGGCGCGAACCCGGATGGTCTTGACGAGGAGAATGAGTGAGTGCTTCTCGTTCGTCATTGCACCACGATCGCCGTCATTTACCTTATCACAGGACGCGCGACATATCAATGGACTGGCGTGCTTTTAGTCGCTCGAGGTCAAGAGTTGATATGGACTGGAAGCCGCAGAGTCGCTCGAGGTCACGCCCGCCTGAGCATACCTCTTTCGACCAGCACGGCATGATGGCGAGCAACATGTCGTTCGGGTTCACGAGCATGCTGCCGCCCGACGACGCCAGCTTCAACCGGCCCGGCAAGACGTCATCTTCCCTGCCTTCGTCGATGTCTCTGCTGTCCGCGGCCAGGCGGAGCCCGCCATTTGCCTCCTCAACGGTTGGAGGCGAGCTTCCGTCGGTATATGAGGAGCCTCACTCGATGCCTGGTCCTTCGTCGTTTGATGGACAGGAACGGTACCCCAACAACCTCGATTTCCACCCATTCCCCTCCTCATACAACAACTCGACCTTCATGCCCGCCTCACTTCCATCGCTTGGCCTGCACGGCCACAAGATTCCGCCTGGTTCGAGTCCTGGGGACGCGCGCACGTTCCCTCGCCACGTTCGCAAGACGAGTTTCGATCACACGGTGTCGAAGGACGGGCTCCTCTCTGGCCTGAGCGGACGCCATCAAGTCAACGGCAAGCCCCTCTCTCCAGACGCCCTCGCTGGCATGAAACGACGCGCTGACGCCCCGCACGCAGAAAGTATGCTGCGCGGCGACCCCGCGTCGGTGCCCAACGTCCTAACAGGCCCGCAATTGCCGGGCGACGACCGCTACGAGCGCAACAGCCCCTTCCCCTCGTCGACGTTCAACTTCACTTTCCCGTCGTATGATTCGGTGGGGATGTTTGGCGACGGTGGTCTGAGTGGGCCGAATGCGGATGGAGGAGAAGGACGTTATACGCACCATTCGTCTGCGCGGTCCTCCATCAGCAACCCGGGCTTCGGCTCGCCCAGCAACAACGAGCTGTCTGCTGGGGCTGCCGCCGCTGCGGCGTCGCTGGCGGAGAACTATGCGCATCTCAGTGCGGGCGGTCTGTCTGGCCTGGACGGCAGCCTTGACTATCGCCACCTGATGGGTCTCGTATATCCCACTCAGGGCATCGACTCTGATGGCTTGGGCTCACCTAGCGGGTACACGCACGTTGATCCCACGCAAATCCTTGCGGGCGTCGGACAGGCCGACTTCGGTAACGGTCTGCAGCAGCATGCAAGTCCGTCGAGCGATGGATGGAATGCGAGCTCGAATGCTTCGCCGGAGCCGTATATTGCGAGCACGGCGTCGACGCCGCCTTCTGGCGATGGACTGCCTCCGACGACCGGGAGGCAAGCGGCGCAGCGCAAGTACGTGCCGTTGAAGCAGAACGCGCAGAGGAAGAAGTCTTTGCCGACCTTGCAGTCGCCGAATGGCGAGGAGAGGCGGTCGACGGCAAGCACGCCAGAGTTGGGAGGTGAAGGCGGGACCGGGAGTGGTCAGCAGGGCGGCAAGGGCGGAAGCGAAGATGGTGAAGCGCCGCCCATCTTGTGTACGAACTGCCAGACGACGAATACGCCCTTGTGGAGACGAGACCCGGAAGGTCAACCGCTTTGTGAGTGCCGTCGGCCTACTTATATGTGTTGGGCGCGTGACTCACGACCTCCTTAACAGGCAACGCGTGCGGTTTGTTCTACGTGAGTACCGGCGCGGTCGTGAAATATGGAATGATCGTGGTGCTAACTTGCGTACGCAGAAACTACATGGCGTCGTTCGCCCTCTGTCTCTGAAGACGGACGTAATCAAGAAGCGGTGGGTGGCGTGCTTTCTCGCGTTGGTCGCGTGCTCATCTTTGTGCCCTGCAGGAATCGCGCGTCGGGGGCGCCGAATGGCGGGAACAGAAAGAACAGCACGGGCGCGGCGAAGACGGCGAACCGGCCACGGTCGCAGTCGAATTCTGGACTCATTGGTGGTCATCGTGTAGGGATGGTTGGATCGGGGAATGGGAACGGGCTGGCCATGAAGCGCCAGCGACGGACATCCACATCGCTCCAGGCGTCTGCTGGCCTGCGCCGCGAGTGAGGGGGAACCCGGGGAACTTATAGGATTTGGCAAGTTTTATATCTCTTATGCTTCTCACGACCGCTGCTTCTGTTGTTTGTTTGTTGTCTTCCTCATTTATTTGAACGATGCGAGATCTTGTAGATGTATCTTTACTCCGTAGCTAGCTCATGCCTCCGTCTCTTTCCTACTCATCGGTCTCGTCTCCTCATGATTCCTTTCCCTGACAGCGTCCGACATATGCTTGTACTTCGTAGTTGGTTAGAGAGCACGCTGAACATGTCCTTATACTAATAGTACATGTCTACCTTAGGCACTGGCGTATTATGACTTTTATGGTGGCTGCGGGTGTTGTCTAGGCGGCGACAGCGGTCACGATTAGATCTAGGGCCCTGGATATTGTCTTTGCCCTTTTTGATCTGAACGACCGCGCGCGACGTCGGCTCGCGTCTATATCGTTGACCACGATGACTTCGCTCTTTCGACAGGGCGCACGGCCGTCTGGACCGCGGCAGGCGGCGGCGACTGGCCCGCCGAGCGCGTTTCCCACAAGCGGCGTCAGCTCGCGAAGCCTAAACGGCAACAATCCACAACCACAACGCCGCATTTCAAGGACAAACATGGATTTTGAGGAGGCCCTCCGTCAGGAATCCACCACCCACAAGCTCAAGGAGTCCGACGTCTCCGCGCTCGGCATGGGTATGGACAGCCCGATGTCTGCCCGCAGCCCGCGCACCCCCAACACCCGCAACCAACCCCCGACGCCTATCGTCGTCCCACCCACACCCAGTCAAAGCCAGCAGGGCGGCGACCACGAAGACCAAGATTCCACGCGTCCACCATCAGCCGCGTCCTCGCAGGATGTATTCTACGACGCGGCTGAGGACGAACGCGACCGCGGCGAGCGCAATCCCAACCGGCGCTCTATCTACCGCGCGACAGGAACAAGCAGCAGCCCCGATCTCGCGACGCTCATGCGCAAGGCACGCGAGCGTGGTGGCACCGTCACTGCTAGGCTCAAAGACGAGAAGTTACAACAGCGCCGAGGCGAGTCCCCACCGCCCCCACTGCCCAGCGCCAGCGGAAGCAGCAGTACGCGTCCAAGGTCTTCCACGACAATCGCACCTTCGTCCCCGGGAGCAGCACCCGTCACACCCGTGCGGAAGAGCCATAGGACGTTGAGCAAGCAGCGCGAAGCCAGTCCGGACTGGGTACTCGCGAACGCGAGGCCAAAAGACAACAAGGTAGGCCACTTAACATGATAGCCGAGGTTCGCGCGCTCAAATTCTCTGCTTCAGCCCTCAAAGAACTCGGTCAGGGAGAAGACGAGCGCGTTTTTGGGCAGGATGTTCTCGCAAGGGACGGTACGCGATCGTCCGGTGCGTGCCCAGCTTCTATTACATTTTCAACCGTCTAATGAGTTCGCGTCGGTTCGCAGAAAACTGAACATACACTCACTACCTCGCCTTCCAACAAGTCAATGACTTCCCTATACCACGCGTTCGCATCCCCAACGCCTCCGCCCCCTGTCCCTCCTCTGCCCAGCACGTCCACGTCCCCCATAGCGGACGCGTTCACCACATCACCTCGACCTCCCGATACCGCGAAGCCACTCCCTCCCATTCAACCTGTGCGCAGGTCGCCTAGTCCCGACACTGAAGACACCTCAATGGTGGTCGTGGAGAACATGCCCACTACTCCCAGCAATGCCGCGGAAGGCATCATGCGGCGAGAGTCGTCCGCAACTGTGACCAACAAGTTCCACAAGCGGCGCAGCATGAGCGTCAGCGAAGTGGACCTCAAGAACATCTTCAGCAAGTCTACCGCCCCTGCGCGGCCGCCGACCACGCCTCCTCCGCGTTCACCTGCTCAAACGCCCGAGCCTGAAGACAAGGATGCTGACGACAACGCTGGAACTCTAAGAGGAATTCTGGGCGATCTCAAAGGTGAACTCTTTGAACCCGTCTCCATCTCCTCTGGCTCGCTTGCTCTGCGCGATCCCTGTACCCCTGCTCGGCGTGCTGCCTATAATAGATCGAGGACTGACAGCGATGTTACTTCTTCCCCGAAAGAGCGCCGCCCAAGCATCAAGTCCTACTCCTCTGAGCGGCAAACTACCCCCACTGTGGGTCTGCATGCCGCGCAGTCACGCGACAGCGAAGAGAGCGCAAACGCCCCCTCGCCTCCGCGTCCGACCACCGCTCTGCCGACCCGGTCCTTCTCGTCGCAAGCTTCGCTGTCGTCATCGACAACCTCGTCTGTGCGGCCGAGTTCGCTCGGGCCTTCGCCGTCGCGTGGACGACCCGGGAGCAGCCCTCTGCGCGGCCCTGGACTGGCTTATGTGCGCGACGGGACACGGTTACGACACCGCTCCACCGCGTCAAGCTCGGAGCCTTCACTCATCATCCCGGAGGAACTGCGCCTGCCTCGGGAACGACGCTCGTCGACGCGCATCGTGGGCTCGCCAGACTTGCTACGGTCAGGCTCAATGGCTTCTAGCCAGTTCCAGCGAAAGAGCTCGCAGGGTGAGTCCGTAGAGACGGCCGACATGGACCAACGCGGCAAGGAGCTGGCGCTGCGCTGCTGGAACGAGGACGAGGAGTTCCTCGCGAAGGAGAAGATTGCTGAGTGGTTGGGTGGGCAGTGCGTGTACTATCTGTCCCTTTGGTCGTTTACTAATCATCAACGTAGCGGTCTCATCAACAAGGTTGCACTGCGTCATTATATGGCCAACTTTGACTTCTCCAACTTGCGACTGGACATGGCTTTCCGGTGGGTTCTTCGTATGTTGCTTGCTGACGACTCGTACTTACGATTTGTAGTCGCCTTTGCTCGAAGCTTTTCCTGAAAGCTGAGACGCAACAAGTAGACCGAATTTTAGAAGAGTTCAGCCGGCGCTACTGGGAATGCAACCCGAACACGGTGTATGGGAGCTCTAGTGCGTCGAGTCTTATCAATATGGTGTCGGTGGCTGACTTCCTCCGAAGATATCGTGCATGCGGTGGCATATTCCCTGCTTCTGCTCAACACGGATTTGCATGTCGCCGACCTCGCTACTCGCATGTCTCGCAACCAATTTGTGCGGAACACTGTCACCGCCATTCAGATGCAGATTCAGCCGACGAGCCCATTGTCCCCAGAAAGCATGGACGACCGCGACAGTTTGCATTCGGAGAACACGGTCGAGGGTCATCGCAGAAACAAGCGCAGCGACAGTATCACGAGCTGGAACAGCATATCGAGGGATACGGTCTACGGCGCGACGCTTGCTTCGCCCAGTCTGGCGTCGAACGGGATGACGGAGTCGTCGAATGGCAGCACGCCGTCTGTATCGGTTTCTCAACCTCCGGAGACGAAGTCTACAGCATCGTCGACTCGCCTGTATGGCAAGGAGTGGGAAAGCGAGTTGGAGAGCCTCCTCAAAGTACGTTCGCAAGCGCTAGCGCTGACATCGCACGTCTAATCGATACCTCCCTAGGAAATGTACACCGCGATCAAGCAACAGCAAATTTTGCAGCCGCTAGGTAGTGGCAGTATGTCGCGCTCGTCTAGTTCTTCGCTCAGCCCTGGATCAGCAGTTGCTCGCAACCGGAGCTTACGAGCGCAGCCGGATCGCCTGGCGTCATTCAAGAGAGGCAGCATTCGTGGCCTGCAGTCGCTCATGGGCCCGCCGACGAGCGGGAGCAGCCCGTATAGCAGCAACAGCAGCATTGATGGGCGCGCCAGCCCCTCGCCGAGCTTTGCGGCGTCAACGCATGAGGTAGCGCTTGTTCAGCCTGGTTCAGCGATCTCATTGGTATTGACGCGTCCCTATAGGCCTTGTATGGCTCTAGTTCCTCCTTCCTGCAGCCAGCCCTTGGGTTTGCGTCCAACCTATCGCACACAATCATCAAGGAGACGCAGGAGGACGATGACCATCGTAGCACTCATAGCCACGATTCGGACACTACTGACATCAGCATTACTGACGAAGAACTAGCCCTCCTCGGCGCCCCCTGGGCTAAGGAAGGCATGCTCTGTCGCAAGCAGTACTGGGAGGCGACCGGCAAACGCGCGAAGGACAAGTCGTGGCTCGACGTCTTCGTCGTGATACAACGCGGCGAGTTGAACATGTTCACCTTCGGCGAAGGGTCCGGCAGTACGAGCATCGTCGGCGGTGGCAACTGGCTGGTGGGTGGCCTTTTATATCTGACTAGCCCGCCAATCGCTAATCCGCCCCTAGTCGAATGCCAATTCCGTTGGTACGGTGCACCTGGCACACTCGCTCGCGCATGCGCTGCCCCCGCCGGGCTACAACCGGCAGCGACCCCATTGCATGGTGCTCACCCTCGCCAGCGGATGCGTATACTTCTTCCAAGCCGGCACTGAGGAACTCGTTAACGAATGGGTGTCGACATGCAATTACTGGGCCGCTCGGACGAGCAAAGAGCCCCTGGCCGGAGGCGTATCCAACATGGAGTATGGGTGGAACCGCGTGCTCGACCCCGTTACCCACGAGCGCTCGCATTCGGATGGCGACTCGCTGCGCGACACCTCCGACGCGGCGAGCGTCGTCAGTGGCCGGAGCAGTCGTAGCAAGTATGGGTGGAAGGAGGGCGCGGCGACGCTGCGCGCGCACGCGCACTCGCCCTGGCAGGACCGGACGATCATCAACGAGTGGAAGGCCCCGATCCCGTCCGCGGTGTCCAGCGTGCACGACGAGGAGACGCAGCTCGAGGCGCTGCAGAAGCACGTGGAGAATATGAAGGCGGACTTGCAGATGCACAACGAGTTGCGGGAGCCGATGATGCAGCTCGTATGTCCCCTATTCATACTTTCTGGCCTGCCGATCTAACGCCACACACAGTACCAACCAAAGTCGCCCAACGCGATGAAGGCGCTGGGCAACTGGGAGAAGAAGTCGCAGTACCTGCTGACCGAGATTGTGAAATACGATTCGTACATAGATTCGCTCCAGGCGGCTATGGCCCTGCGATTAAAGAAGCGTGGGGAGAAGGGTGAGTCTCTTTCGTGCCTCTGACGAGCTGGTCGCTGACCTGTCGCCCACAGCTCTGGAGAAGGCACTCCAAGGCCAGGAAGACGGGTCGGGAAATAGGACTGTCAAGCCTCGTTCGTGGAAGGGCTTCGGCGAGGAGACCATCACCGAGACCGACGAACCTACTACGCCTGGACTACCACCTCCCCCGCCATCCAAGCACTCTCACCGCCGTGAGACTGCTGAAGTAGACGTTGACGATGAAGATTGAGCAGGGCCACTGACACCTTTCCCTTTCCTCTACCCCGGATCGCTCCTTTCTCTGACGCAATGTCTGCTTGCCACTGCAATGTATACCATTCGACTACTTACATTGTACATTTGGATTTCCGGTATCTACGGTCGTACACGTACTCACACCCGTTATAATTTATGCCATATCTTCCCCTCCCCCACAATACCTTCTGTATATGGCAATATTCCCGCGTTCATGATTCGTGGATGCCGTGCTTGATCCAAAGACCCGATCCGAATGGAACTGCTGGCGCTGTTGCGATGCCGTACACCTAGGTTTTCCTTCGCCTTGTGCGCTCCCCTCATCGCACGAGGGCGCGCATTCCCATGAGAGGCACGTACTCGTAGAGAAGACCTCTCGAGCACATGGACGGCAACTCCCGCCGTTGGCAAGCACCTGGCCGCCGGCTTCCACGCACGTTTTCAGATGGCGACCACTGGTACGGTACTGCTGGGGCAACGTATATAAGGGATGGCGAGGACCTCCGGGACTCCCAAAAACTCATGGCGCTCTTCGGTTATGGCCTCCTGTCGCTCGTTGTAGCATCGCTCTTCGTTGTATCGAGAGCGAACGTGCTCCCCGCGCACCGTGTGGGCTTCTTCAGAGCTCACCTCGTCCAGCGCGCCCCGCTTAACGAAACGTGGGGCCAGTACTCTCCCTATTTCCCGTCTGGGTCGTATTCGGCACCACCGGATGGCTGCGAGGTTGACCAAGTGAGTTCCGTCCTTCCAAGCAGGTTGCCACAATGTTAACTCACGGTGTCTATATAGGTCAATATTGTATGTCTTCTTGCGATAACGCCGCCCGCATGCGGCCATGCTGACGCCCCTTGCAGATACAGCGCCACGGGGCTCGGTACCCTACCGATGGTGCAACAGAGCGCATTCAGGCCGCTCTCGCGCAGTTCGCCAACGTGACGGAATACAAGGACGAGAAGATCGCTTTCGTGGCGGACTACGAGTACGACCTTGGCGTATCTCACCTCATCGCCTTCGGAGCTCGCCAGTCAGTGAACCGCCTAACTCTCCTTTCGCACAGCTGACGAACGTTCGTTAGGTCCTATGAAGCTGGTGAGGAGGTCTACGAACGCTACAGCGATCTGGTCTCGAACGGTTCAATCCCCTTCGTCCGCGCCTCCGGCTCTGAGCGCGTTATCGACACCGCCACCAACTGGACGGCAGGTAGGGCCTCCTTCCAAATTTGATACGCGCTAGCTGACTGCTTGTAGGCTTCTCTGCTGCGTCCAACGGTGCTTACAGCCCCGTTCTCAACCTAATTATATCGGAAGAGGTAAATAATCACTCCTCATCATCTTCTCACCTTCTCATCGTCGCCTAGCTTAACGACACCCTCGATGATGCGATGTGCCCGAACGTCGGCGAATCGGACGCCCAGACAGACGAGTGGACGTCTATCTACGCGGCGCCCATCGCTGAGCGTCTCAACAACAACGCCGTGGGCGCTAACCTGACCACCACGAACGTTTACAACCTCATGTCTTTGTGCCCCTTTGACACGCTTGCCAATGAGACGCCGAGCCCCTTCTGTGACTTGTTCACCGAGGACGAGTTCGATGGCTTCGCCTACGTTGGCGACCTCGACAAGTACTACGGCACTGGGTGAGCTCTTATGTCTGAATTTGGGACCCGCGCTTATCCCTGCCTTTAGCTACGGCCAAGAGCTCGGCCCCGTGCAAGGCGTCGGCTACATCAATGAACTTATTGCCCGCCTCACCGGCCAGCCCGTCCAAGACAGCACCCAGACGAACCACACGCTCGACTCCTCGAACGAGACCTTCCCCCTCGACCGCACCGTCTACGCCGATTTCTCGCATGACAACCAGATGATCGCGATCTACTCCGCCATGGGCCTCTTCGCGCAGGCCGCCGCGCTCGACCCGTCCACCCCGGACCCCGCCAGGACGTGGCGCGCGTCGAACCTGGTGCCCTTCTCCGCGCGCATGGTCACGGAGCGGTTGTCGTGCAGTGGGGAGGCGTACGTGCGCGTGCTCGTCAACGACGCGCTACAGCCTCTCGAGTTCTGCGGGAGTGGCGATGGCAAATGCACGCTGAATGCGTTTGTCGAGAGTCAGTCTTACGCGCGGAACAATGGCAATGGTGACTTCGATAAGTGTGGTTGGGTTGAGCCGGAGGGCACGTCGGCGTAGTCTTCTCGTCTTCCCTCTCAATTGTCTGCCCTGTACGATGCAACCATGTTATCCCTACTAGAATACCGCAGAGCCTCTTATCCACTCGTTGTACACACTAAGACAGTTATCAGAGTATCCAATGGTACCCTTTACGCGCTCCCATCGCGGCTTTTGAGCTCCTGAGCATGCGACTGCAGTACAGGGTAGACCGGGTCGTCAGGGAAGATCGCAAACCCATCGTCGGCCGTGTCACCGGTGGGGAGATGAGAGCCCGCTTGCCTGTATGCTTTGTGAGATCTGTGTTGCCATATCCAAGCTCTTGCTTTCACTCACCAGATCAGATCACCAGCAAGCCCCGAGGAGACCACCTCATCAAGCCACGCCGTGTACACCTCCGCCTGGTTCGAGGTCACGCCAAACTCCTCGATGATGACGGGCTTGCCGACGGTCTCTTGCGATGTTGCGTGGTCGGCAATCCATTGAGTGCCCCAAGCTTTGGCATCTGATGCAGTCAGAGTCAGCTTGGAGACGCATCCGTTCATCGAGGATTCCCGCACCACTTTGACCCCATCCCTCCTGCAGTGAACAACAATGAGCAAGTCGGGTCGCATAGTACAGACAAGCTACGCACCGGATACGCGTGGAAGGTCCCAAAGTCGATTGAGTCGATAGCAAGGTTGGCATCGAAGTCGACGCCCTCGCCGCCCCTTCAGCCCCGTCAACTTCCTGGCCAGCGAACTCGACAGATAGAACAAGCACGCACTGGTAAGGGTACGAAGGATTGCCCGGCTGGTTGAAGAAGCCCTCGTCCCCAACCGCGACAAGGTGGTTAGAGTCGAGGGATTTGATGTACGCGGAGATCTCCTCGATCCAGGCCGTCACGGTCTCGGTGGTGCAGGAGCCGGAGGAGGTGCTGTTGCGATGGAACAATGTAAGTAGGTCGCTCGGCTGCAGGCCATGATGGTGCTCCAGGTCGCGATAGTAATGCGGAGACGCACCCCGGGCTCCCCTTGCAGCGCGGCTCGTTCGCGAGCTCCCAGGCCAGGATCGCGGGCTCGTCGGCGTAGCGCGAGACGAAGGCGTTGATGTAGGACTTGAAGGCGGTCTATGAGGGCGTGTGTTAGACGACGAAGGGAATACAATGCGCTTATGGCCAAGCAGAAGGAAAGTCTTGAGAAGCGACTGGCCTTGATATCATCATTGGTATAGAACGCATCGTGGTCGTTCGAGGACCCCAAGATCTGCTTGGTGTAGACGTCCATGCCTCCGTAGTCCGCCCAGTTGTTTGTCCTGCAGGCGAATGCGTGGTGAGTGCTAGGCCCAGCCGAACTGGAGTCACCACTCACAAAGCAACGATGAGCTTCAAGCCATTCGCCTTCGCGGCAGCGACGACATTGTCTATTGACGCATTGCCCATCAGCTATCCTCATCCCTTCGCCTGCCACAAGAACATTATCAATGGACACTCTGACTCACCGAAGTTCCCCAACCCATCCGCACCAGTATTGACCGTCGGCGTCGAACCCGACCAGCTCTGGTAGTACGGGATCCCGTTGGGGGAGGTGACCTCGTTGAAGCCCCTGTACTTCTGATGAGCAATGTTCGTGATTGCGAGGATAGCGATGATCGAGTTTGTGAGGATAGCACTATTCGAGTGTGCGAGGATGGCCAAGAAGTCCAGACGAGGATGGCAAAGAAGTCTAGACGGCGAGGAGTCAAACTCACCACGTCCGCACAGTCGTCGCGCCCGCATCCGCGATGTCTTTGAACGCCTGGTCCATAGCATCGGTGCTGTAGCCGTTGAGGCCGACCCAGTAGGAGTTGGAGCTAGGCAGGCAAATATGGTCAACTTTAGCGCTCATAACCTTCTACCTTAGGCCGAGGTCCAAGCTGTCATACTCACCCAACCACCGTATACGGCTCGCCATCCAGCGTGAACTTCGTCCCATTCGTTGAGACGAAGCCCGCCGCGGACGCGCCGCGCGCAACGGAGAGCGCGAGGGCGAGGGAGGCCAAGGTAATTTTAGCCATCTTTGTTGAGATGTTGTAGGCGGTAGCGAAGGAAGGTGATAGAAGAAAACACGAGGTGTAAGGAAGTCAGTTGTGAGGTGTGAGGGACTCAGTTGTAAGGGAGTCAGCTGTAAGGAAAGGAGACAGGAAAGAACACGACTGCGCGCATGGTGCTCGCCGTTATATAGCCCGTCGACAGTCACTTCTAGGTCTGGTCACTGGTGCGGGCGACGAGGACGCGAAGGTGGCGACGTTTATCCGGCGTTTCTCATGCTTTCTGCAAAGGTCGAAGTATGTTGCGACTACTCAGGATAGATGCAGCGTGAACGAATTAGCCTCAGTGTATTCTATGCCGCCGCGCGCGGTGAGCCGTTCATGGGTCAAGACGCGAGAAGAAGGCACGATGGGCGGCAAAGTATAATGGACGAGCAACGTGCTTTTCCGGGATAATGCCGTTGACTTGCCGAGTTGAGCATGCAGCGTATAGCCGACCTTGCGGACATGTTGAAGGCGTACGAGGCGGAGAGGTCATGGGCATCCGCGGCGGCCCGTGACATCCATGCAGGTCGACAGCAGTAGAAGAGCCTCCATTCATTGCAGGCACATGGAAGCTGCACAGAATATTCGCATGGCTATATCATCATGACCTAACATCATCGTTAGTAGAGATTCTCCTGACATGCGAAATAAGCCACTGACGATCCCTGACATGAAGCTAAGTGGCCGTCCTGGACTGTCTTCATCGTTCCAGCGGCGACACCCGGGGCCTTCGTCATTGGAGCCCGCGACATCGACAGCCTCCTCGAACAGACAGATCTGACACTACCAGCGAAGCGTAGACTCAGTAGACTGTCTGTCGCTCATGATCTTCGCGAGATATCGTCAATACGGCTGCTGTAGAGGACGGTCTGAGAGGTCTGACGCACCCACAGACGTGCATGTGACCGCGGTTATGCGTCTTTTGAGACGGACGCGGCGTTGCTAGAAGATCAGTATGGAAAGTCTTGTCTTCCACGTACCTGCGCTGCCACCTCATCCTTACGCTTGACCCGCGCAATTGCACGCGGCTGACCCGCGTCTGAATCACGCAGAGTTTATACGTTCTTCACAAGATCCTATTGACTGAGGACCGCTACCGATACGATGGAGCTCGGGAGGGATTTTTTCATGATGCTGGGTCGAGTAAAGATTGAGGACGATCGCCAGCAGCCGAAGAGATTGCTGTCGCTGCCAGATATGACTTTGAGGTGCGCTCTCGAAGCACCCACGATGCGCTGGCACGCCTTGGCGTCTACTAAGGCGCTGTTGGTTCAGTGATGTCGAAGCAAGTCTTGCCCTGGGCGCGTAACAACCTGTGCGCGACCGTATCTCCTGTCAGACGAAGTGGAGGGAGTATGGCCAGCGGGCGGAGATCGATGCATCCGTGAAAGGCTTCACGCAGGTCTACAAATTCGCTGGAAAACGAGGCAGATATTCCAGCCCGAGGGAGGTCGGGCTCGGCCGACTGGTCGCTGCCAGATGCCGCTGACTGCGTGTTCATTGTTCAGGACAAGGGGCTCGAGGAGATGCCGGCGGGAGAACAAGCTCGGGCCGGGTGGCCGAGCCGGTGCCGGTGTGACATCATAAGGGGCTACGTCCTAATTTGGGCATGTGGCGCGGCCGATGGGAAGAGGCGTGACCCATTGCATTTTGCCTTATACCGTCACCATGCCCGAGTTCCGCTTGTAACCACTCCCCTTGCCCTCCTCCTACGCTCAGCCTCCCATAATCCAAACGCGCTCTCGTCGTGTCCGCCGCTCCTCGCGCGCGGGGACGGTCCCTAGCCTTTGAACACATACCCGACACCCTCCTACACCCCTATACCCTCCATAATTTTGCAAGATGCCTTCTAGTCCCCGCCCGATCTTGAAAGACCCGGCGTCGACGCCCTGCGAGGCCGCGCGCGGTGTCCACTTCCCGCCCACGCCCTCGCTCTCGCGCACATACTCTGCCCACCCACCCTCCGAGTACGACCGCACCCCGATCGTCGTCGCCGCTAATACATGCGCCCTGCCTGAGCGCGGCGGTCGCACGATCACTGACGACGACGCGCCGCCCACGCCCACACCCGCCTCAAAGCGCCGCTCCGTGGGCGACGTGCACCCGCGCGCCCTCGGCTGCTCCTCGTCGTCCCTCCCCCAGCTCATTCCGGACATGACAACATCCGAGTCTGAGGAAAGCGACGGCTTGACCAGCCCGCCCGAATTTCAGAACGCGATTGCTGCGCGCGAGCTCCCCAGCCTTGACCTCGCCGCCGCGCTCGCCTTCCTCCCGCATCCCACCAAATCCGCGGCGGCCGAGGCGACGGCACCGCAGGTCATCCCCGCCCGCCCGATGCGCCCCAGGAGGAGTCGGATGGGCACATCTTCATCTCGCCCTGCCCTTCGCATCGATATCAACCGCTTGGGCGCGGAGGAGGAAGAGGACGAGGACGACGATGCGGAGACCGTGGTATCGTACTCGCCGACGCTCCGCTGCACAATGCCAAATCGCAGGAAACTCGCACGCCTGAAGGACAAGTTGGGTAATGCGAGCTTTGATTTGACACCGAGTGAGGAGTGCCTTGGCGGGTTCTGAGGCGTTATGTGGCTGAGTGCGGTGCGTCGTTCAGGTGTTGTTGGCGGAGAGTGGTGCTGATGCATCGGTGGTGGGGATAGGTGTGGACATCGCCAGCGCTATCACTACGGACTCGGGCACAGACGCTTCGCCTTAGACTGTATCTATCCCATAGAGCTGCTGTTGTCCTGCTTCTGCGTTGTCCATACGCATGTATGTACATCGCGAGTAGTATCCAAGAAGATGAATTGCAAAGTGTACCAAGAAATGCGGATGAGAAGTACAGTCGTCGGTCAGTAAATGCCAAGGCCTTCCTCAACCCTTTCTATCCCTCCACCATGTCCTACTCCCTCTCCCTCGGATCAATCCCACCCAAGAACGCCTTTCTCAACGCCCTCACCCACCCCTCATACGCCCCCTCCCCCCTCGCCTCAATCGCCTGCTCAACATGCACAAAAGCCCCCGTCGCTTTCTCCGGCGTCGCAACCGTGCCGCACAGCTCGCCCAGCGGCACGCCGTTGACGTACTTCCCGAACACTGTCTTGGAGGCGGTGAGGATGCAGGGCGAATCCGTGGGGAGGGAGATTTTCCACGCGGGGAAGGCGTCGGTGAGGGCGGCTTGGAGGCGGCGGGCGGGGAGGTCGGTCTTGAGGTACCAGGCGAGGGAGGCGGGGTCGTGGCCTATGGAGGGGTGGGTGAGGGAGGTGGGGTGAGGGAAGGTGGATGCGAGGGGTGTGGAAGGGCAAGGTGGAAAAGAGGAGAAGGCAGCAGTCAGTAAGGCGGTGATGATAGGATCAAGAAATTCCTACCGAGACCGCTGGAGATGAATGCCACGTCCTGTGGGCATGACGTCTCGGCCTTGCCGTGGAACTGGATGTACGCGCATGACGCGGTCGGGCAGCCGCCGCCGCCGTGCGCATCCTGCCAGTCCTTGATGGCCACCTGAGCGAGGTGGAAGGGTTCGCTCTGAAGAAGAGGTAAGCCGCGAGGGGATAGAAAGCGCGTAGTTGGGTAATGCAGCAGTGGGCAGAGTCATGGGAGCAGCGAGAGTCATCAAGCTAGTGGGATGGAAGTCTAAGGGATTCCACAGAATCAGCACCATTTGTGGCACGCGCCGATTGCCACCCTATTCGAGAGCTGCAAATCGGATGCCCATCCCTCCAAAGATGTCTTGCACGGCCCTGGGTATCCCAAGCATCTCACTCACCGTGCTGTGTGCAGGGTCCGTAGCGTAGTATATCGTCCCCGATGGCGATTCTGCTTCGCAGTCCGAGGGCGCCTCGAACGCGCGCCGGTGTCGACCAGAAATGAATAGACTCCGAGCACGCGCCTGGGTAAACAGGGAAGCTGCTTGAGTGTCCACAGGCCCATCGAACCACGGGTGCGGCGCAGAGAGGTGGACGTCGATGCGAGGGTGTTGAAGAGCCGAGTAACGCCCAGGCGTGATTTTCTTATCCGGAACGGCCATGAAGCCCCACCCATACGCATATGATCCATTCAAGATGTGCTTCTCCGCCAACACGCAATACGCCTCCCCATTCTCCTGGTCCACGAACGAGTGCACGCTGTAAATCGACTGCAGCGCGACCGGCAGCTCCGTCCCAAAGCAGTCCGCGGCGCCATTTGAGATGTCCAGCATGCGATGTATGGCGGCGCGGAAGGCTAATACCTCGTAGTCCTTGGGCTGCGCGGTCGCGTAGGACGCGGCGTCGTAGTGCGCCGCAGGGACGGTGTAGTTGGCGTAGCAGGCTGCGAGGGCGGGGAGTGAGGGCGCGCTGAGGCAATCTGAGGGGCTCGGGCTGGCGTCCCGGAGTGTCTCCCAGGAAATCAGGGAGTATAGGGTCGCCCAGAGGTACCTCAGCATGATGAGTGCGAAGGAAGAGTTGAAGTTCGATTTCCGGGTGCACCGGCCCGGGGATTTATGAGCGGCGTCACGATGCGTCACTGCCGGACAGTCACGTAAATCTCTTAGTGTTTACCATCATCCTACGGCGTCGGCTGCCCCCGTTAGTCGCTCGCATATGGAGAGCAGGTACTTCGATCCGAGAAAAAGGTCAGCATCTTCTGATGCTGGGCCCTCGTCGAGCTCCAAGAAGCAAAAGACGTCAACCCGCGACCTCGAAGCACTGCTAGACTGCTCCCAGCTCCTCACGGGACGTACTATTTCTTCGCGCTTTGACGAGATAGCAGACGCGCTGCTCTATGATTACGATCTTGTGGTCTGTGGCGATGCGGCAGATACGTGCTTCAGACTGCTAGAGTTCGAGTTCTACTTGCACAAGCCAGGATGTCACGAGGATCCGTTCGTGCATCGCACGGCTGAGCAAGGAGAGCTGGGTCGATGGTAAGCCAGCAAATCTTGATCCAGATACCGAATCTGAACGTAGTACAGGTACTTCCATCGAGCCCCTGGCAAGGGAATGACCAAATATCGTGGAGGAACACGCAAAGGGCTCGACTTGACCTTCGGCGATGCGGACGCGTACGGCGGAATACTACTACGCTCAGTACAGAGAGAGGGCTCCGCGGAAATCATATCCGGACCGTCTCTGCTCGTCGACAAGATCGTATCCCTCAGCGGCGCGTCGGATCTCATCGACCTCGTCGAGAACAAGTGGGCGAGAGATACGTCGGCATTCACCCCAGTTGGCCTCTTCCTGAGGCCACGCGACGATACGACATGTACGGGACATCGAGACCTATGCCGTACACCCCGCGTCGGACTCGACCTCTCGACGGCATCTCGTGCAGAATATGTGGCAAAGGCGTACCGCTACGTCGCCTCGTTCGATAGGCCTCTGAAGTCAAAGACGCAGACTTTCGCCGGCGCCGTATATCATTGCTGCTATTCCCTGACGCGACCGGAGGGCGACTCCCCTGTGCTCGCAGAGGTTTCAAGGAGCCTGCATAATTCCGCCCTGACCGAGCGATTAGTCAAGCTGACCGCGCTCAGCCCGGCTGTGGTGGCGCGGTACCTCAAAGACTACGTAGCTGGATACGACAAGGGCTCTGTGAAGCCGTTCGTTGGGAAGAAGAACGTCGCGACATCCCCATCGTCCTATCTGCCGATGATGGGAGCGCTGCATCGCAGTCTACTGGACTCCCACTCAAGCACCTAGGCGTAATCATCCTAACTGCAGGATACATAAACCCCGCTGCCGCCACGACGGATACCACTCATATCGACTGCGATAGGTCGGCGCTTGACAATGTAATGCAAACGTAGTCATGCCTTACAGAACGTTCTTTTTAGCGTGTACTCCCAGATGAAGCGACGAAGGCGGGCATATGACAGCCCAGCGTGTACGTGAATTCGCTCGTTATTTTTGCCTGCTCTTCTGCCGCGGTCATTGACTCATCTTCCGTCTTCCTGTGCGGAAATCAACCCAGACCATGAAGGTAAGTTTACGGCTTGCGCGTTAATGAACGCCATCTTACCCTAACAGAGCTCCTCCCGTACGCTACCTGTATTCTCTTGGGCACGCATTAAGTCACCTTTCGTGTGTATATAAAGGAGAGGCGTTTGGCATGGTTCTCCCAACACTCTACCGCATATCGACACAACCTCACTCACCTCAAAGCAAATATGCGTCTCAGCGCCATTGCCCTCGCAATTGCCACAATGTCCAGTGTGGCGAGGGCCCAGGTCGATCGTGAGTTGTCATCTATTTTCTCGGTGCTGTCCATGCTCGAGAATTCTTACGTGGCTTACCTTGACCTATAGCGGGCCCCGTCGACATCTGTGTCAACAGCGTCTGCGAGCCGATCTTTCCCGTTTATGAGTTTTGCGTCTGTGACTTCGAACGAGCAAAGATCGAGGAATGCGTGGAAAAATACTGGAGCCCCATCCCGGGTGGCATTGTAGAAATCGAGCGGGCTTACTTGGCCATCCAGATGTGGTGCTCTGACCACGGCATTGGGGAGGGCGCTGTCTAATGCCCGAGGCCCTGAATCGTCCTAAGTGCGCCGTGTCCTAACAGTGTTTTCGAGGCTTACTGACGTTCACCCTGGAAGGCTGACCACCCAATGATGGCCCGAGCTTTGACGATTTATGACATTGCGCCGTGGACTTTCCCTTCCATGGTACTCAGCAATCTCTTGACCTTGTATAACTTCGCTGTGTAAAAGTGGCTACATGAATGTTGATGTCAACTTGTCTGTTTTGTACCGAAACGTCACCTTCGTGGTCCTGAGACCACGACGATGGATGACTACATCATCTTGACCTTTTCTAGCGGTGTTTCCAGAGTTCGCGGAGTGCATATGCGGCGATGAAATAGACGATTTCATGAAATGCGCGTAGAAATTTTGGAGTAGCCTGCTGAGCACACGCGCGCTATGGTTGTCATCACGGACTGGTGCTTTATCCGCTACTCATGAAACACATAGCTCTGTCCAGGGCTTTGAGCGCTTTTTTTTATCAATATTGTTGAGGCTTACTGCCGCTACATGGAAATTCCCTGCACTAGTATCGACTGTCCTCTTCACTACCTACATGCCAACATAGTCCCTGGAAGCACCTCTCACAATGACTTCAGATAGATCTTTGGAATACCGTACTTACTTCGCGGTGGAAGTCTGGACTGGACAAATAGAAGCAAACAGTGCGCAAAGGTTGCCTCTAACGTCCACCTCAAGTCGAGAGAGGTCGTGAAGAGCGACTGATTTCTTCATACATGTCCTCGTCGATTGTTTCGCCACCCTCGCTACTTTCATGTCCATTCATTGGCGCTCCATCATCTGCGTTGACGAGGACAGTCTGTGGTTACTTGCACGAACTACTGCTTAAACCTCTTTCGGGGCTTTACTCTCGACTTCTGAACCTACCCCGAGAACGTACCATCTATCCTCTGCCCTTCGGTGTCATCCTCAAATCGCACGAACACTTGCGCGAAGAGGAAGGTCTCGCTATGAATGTCGCTCGCGCTATGGGCGTCCCCGCCCCACGGTGCATCTCATATGGCGAGTACGGGACCAGCCGCTCCATCCTCATGACGAAACTCCCCGGACGCGTTCTCGACCAGGTCGACGACGGCCACATTGACTGGACGCTCATCAAGACCGACCTGCAGCGTATACTCAGCCGCATGCGCGCCTACGGCAGCCCCTTCGGCCGGCGCGTGTGCGGCGTGGCAGGCGGTCCCATCCGCGGGCCTATGATCCCCAACGGCGAGATGCCCGCCTTCGACGACGAGCGCGCGTTCCAGAAGGCGCTGCGCCGCTGCTTCCGCGTTGGGAACGAGCATGACGCGGGCACGGCGGTCATGGCGCACCGCTTCTTCGCGCTGCCCGAGCATGCGATCGTGTTCTCGCACGGAGATCTGAAGCGGCACAATGTCATGGTGGGCGAGGATGGGCATGTGTCGGGCATCCTTGACTGGGAGGCGGCGGGGTGGCTGCCGGAATATTGGGAAGTCAGCGTGACGGCGGTCATGCCTGAAGATAAGTGGGGACGGCTCATGGAGGAGGTTTCAGGAAACGTGTACGAGAACGAGGTGGAGGGGCATCGCGCAGTATTCCTGCTCGTCGAGGATACTCTTCGGGAGTAGGCAAAGCGCACGTTTTTTGTACGGATTCCCGAGACTCAAAGCAAAAGGCGAAGATCAAGTTACACACGTCAGTCTACTCCTATGATTTACAACAAGGGCAGAGAAGCAAAGAACCAGCAGCTACTACAGACAGACGTTCATCAACCAGCGACTCCGAGTCCGACGGCACCAAAGAGGAAGGAAAGGATTTTCAGAAAAAGGGAAAGGAACTTCGGAAGTAGATGGAAAGAAACTTCAGAAGTCAATAAAGGTAGCACAAAGCGGCGTGCAAGCCATTAGCAGTCATGCGGCGGGGGTCGTAAGTAGGTAAGTAAGCGTCTCAGTTCGTTCTAAATCGTTCGTTCGTTACTTCGTCTCCTCTGGCGGCAGTGCTCCACCCAGCGACCGATCGCGCCCTTTAGCTCATATCCTGCCACGCCGGCCTCGGCGACGCAATCGACAGCTTGCCCACCTGCTTCCTCTGCCTCAAATTCTTCACCTCCGTATTGATCAGATCGCGCAGGCGCTCCAGATCCAAGCTGCGCTCCGCGCGCGAGCCCATGAGCACGTTGCGCCAGATGCCCGCCGCCGCGACCGAGTTGTCGATGGGGAGCTGCATCGGCCGGTGCAGGCGGACCATCTTCTGCATGAGGTGATCCGGGGAGGGGTAGATCGCGTTCGGCCAGGCGATGCGGATGGCGAACCACCACCCGAGGGGCCGGCCATCGGGGAGGGTGCGCTCCGGGTAGGTGTCGTAGGTGGTGAGCGCGCCGTCGGGGAGGGAGAATCTACGGACTGGTTAGAGGGGGACTGGAGAGTTGTGGATGATGATAAGACATACCTGTGAACCACCCAGTGGTTCGGATCCGAGCGGTGCTTCGCGAGCACGACCAGCAACCGCGGCATGCCCTCCAGCCCAAACGGATGCCAAAGATCCCTCAGCATCCCACACGCATCCCCATGCCGGCCATTGAACACCGCGTTGCTGATCGCGTCCGCCATATTCGGCGGCACGAACAAGCGATCGACGACGCCCGGCGGGGAGTCCATCAGCCGCGCGCGCACGTAGCGCTTGTACGTCTGCGTCGCCCAGATGCTGAGCGCGACCTCGTCGACCTGGTGCCCGCGCGTAGTGCTGTTGAGCGCGGCGTCGAGCTCGCTGGACGGCCAGATGATCGCCCAGTTGAGCAGGCGCTGGTGGATGCGCTGCCAGGGGGGCAGCTGCTGGGCTTCGGCGCTGACGTCTGCGGGGTTCCATGCCTGCGGGGATTGCGGACCTGGGGAGGCGAGCTGGTTTTGCGGTACTGGTGGCAGGGGCGGCGAGGCTGCCCGCTGGTCAGAGTACGCGTCCGCGTTCGAGTCGGGGATGGTAGGAAGACCAGACGGCGCAGGCGCATTGTGGTCATCATCATCCGGCTCGCCGGCAGGCTTCACATCCCAGCTTGCATGCGACAACGGCGAATGCACCTCCGACGACGGTTTCTGCCTCAGCTTATACAGCTCCTCCTCGAGGAACATCTGCCCCGGCGAGTCGTCCCGCTGGCCCTCTGAGCCATACTCATGGTTCGCCGAGCCCGGATACGGCTGGCGCGGCGTCGGGGTGTGGTTAAACTCGCGGTCCGCCTCGTCAAAGTTGTCCACGGGCTCCTCGTCGACGACGAGCTCGCTCTCGGGCGGCTGGTACATGGAGTCGGCGAGCGTGCCGGGCTGCGTGTGGATGTTCACCGTCTGTGTCATGGGCGTGCGCGTCTCGTCGCCCTCATAGGCATGGTCGTAGCGCGAGTCCGCTTGGTAGGACCCAGGGGAAGCGGGGCGGAGGTTCTCGATCTTGGGTCCGAGGCTCTCGATGCGCTGCTGCATGAGCACGAGCTCGCGCTTGATGTCGGCGGCCCATTTGGGCGGTTCCTACTTGCGTGATCAATTGCCGGCGCCTACCGTTCGATCACATATCACGCACCTCATTGTTGAAGTCGCCGTTCTCGTCGCCATCATGGGCATGGGCACGCTTATACTCCTTGATCGACTGTCAAAGTTGTCAGTGGCCAGTAAGGTCTTCCGCAGCAGGACACGCACCTCATTGTCGATCTTCATCCCCAGCTTCTTGACCCTCTGCCTGATCGCCTTTCTCAACGCCCGTTTCACCACCTCATGCACATTCGGATCGCTCTCCTGGTGCAACAGCACGCAAAGATCGTTATCGTGGAAATGCGAGTTCACCACATCCGGCTCTAGCACCGACGCCGCATAGTACGACGTCCGCGGCGTCTCCCCATGGTGGTTATTCGCAAGCACGTCCTCCACCATCCGTGCCTCGTCCGCGTTCAGGTCGTCCGCCTCGCGCGTGGGGCTGAGCGGGCTCTTGGCCTTACTCGGCGCCTTGCTCGGGGATTGCGAATGCTGCGTGACGACCGTCGGCTGCTTACTTCGCGCGTGCGAGACCACGGACGGCTGCTTCGTGTGGCGGGATGCGGCAGAGGGGGCCGCGCTTGGCGCCTTCGAGCGCTTCTCCTCGATCGTCGACAGCGCCTTCTCGCTCTCCTCCGGTATCACGAGCCCGCGGCCACGCGTCGCCGCGTGCAGCAGGTCCTCGTTCGTCGGCGCGTGCCGGTAGGGCGAAAAGGGCCGGTTCTGGTGGTTCCCCCCAGACATAACCGACGCAGGCGGCGGGGCGCGACCTAACATGAGAGAAAGAGGGAAACGTGTGAGCGGCCTCGTGTTCGCGTTGCGCGACCGAAGAGTGTGACGCACTGTTGCCGTTAACGGACTTGTCTTTGCGGGGCTTGAATTGGGAGAGGGAATCCGAGGGGGAGACGGAGGGCGCCTTGGAGTAAGCTTGCGATTTGGGGGACATGGGTGCGTCCCAGTCGTCGCCGCCATTCCTTGTTGAAGGGAGTGGTGGGTATTGGGAGCCGGTCGGGCTCTTCGCAGCAGTCACACGCGACCTCGCTTGAGACTTGGGAGACCATGGTTCCTCCGGGGGTGGCTGCGCTGTCCCTGTGCGTGATGCAGGTCGTGGCGACTGATGCAATATTAGAAAAGGAACAATAGGAAGGAGAAGATGCGCACAGTTGGGGGGCTTCGAGCCCTTTCGGAAGGCGCGTGCTGGGAAGCCGTCGGTGCATGTGACCGCGTCCGAGACTTGGTAGACTGTGATGGACTTTCGACCGCGATGTTGATCGTATCCTGCGGAGACGCCACTCTGGATGGGCCAACGGTCGATGCGGGAAGCGCAACGCCCGCTGCCCCATTGGAGGGAGAAGTCGGCAGCCCGTTCGCCGCACCATTACGGGGGGTGGCAGTATTGGACTGGGCACCCCAGTTGGGCTGGGAGTAGGCGTTGGTGACTATGCAATGTGGCGGGGAAGTAGATGAACGAACCTGCCATGTGGGAGCGTAGGGGTTCGTGAAGGAGATGTCTTCAGCCGGCATGGGACCCTTGTTGCCGAAGGAGGGTGCAGTCTCTTGCGATTCGTACTTTGCGCGTGGCCCAGGGGGATCCTGGGGGCCTGGCTCGTGCTAAGGGGAGAACGAATTAGCACAAGTGTGTGAGGAAGTATGGACTACGCACCGCCGGAGTCTCCGTCTGCCCGGCGTCCGACCGCTCCTGGGCGTTGGAGTCAATCTCGTCTCCATTCTCCTGCGCTGAGGTCAGCCCAAGATTAGGGTGTGCGTGAAGTCATTGCGCACGGGGACGTTACGCAGCTCGCTGCGGTGACTCTTGGCGGGTGAAAATGGGCCAGCATTGGAGGGGGCACGCTGCGAGGGAGTACGGCTGCGTGGACCGTCGTGTCCAAAGAGGGATGCGGGAGGGGTGGTGTCGACGCCTTCGCGGCTCATCGTTTCGACCCAGTTCAAGACTGACGATAGGTTAGTGTCGTGTTGCACACGTCGGACGTGGTGTTCACCTTTCTCGTTGGGGCCTACAAGCAGTGTCAGTATGGGAGTATAGTGCAAGAGTGTGGTGGACGCACCTGGAGTGCTAGACCGCATGAGGAACGGCTTCCAGGCTTCGCCGGACTCGTCCACAGCAGACATATTGCGGGAGTTCAGAGGACAGGGGGATTTCTGGTCGGTTCGTAGCGTTCGCTGGGTTTATAAATGGGGGAGTAGGTGGTGGTATGAGCAATGGAGGATATGTGGCGCAAATTACACGGTGGGAATATAAGGATGTCGCGGGGAAGGAGAGAAAGAAGGGCGAACTCGACGTGATGGCACGAGGCTCTTCCCAAAGCGGACACCCCCGATATCAACATCGCACAAACACAAATCAACACGTGGCCTGCCTCGACCCTCCATTGTCTCCTGCTCCTCGTGAGCTTCCTGACTGTTCCTGCCAGCCCAGGCGTCCGTCTCCGACGCCATGTCCTTCCGGCTCGCCTATTGTTCCTCTTTCAGCTAGACTGGTGGCGACTTCGCATCCCTGACTACGATCTACTCACGATCGGAATGAGGCGGCGCTGGTTGGCTCGATATCTCGCTCGTCTCACCTCCGAGATCGTCCAGGGTCCTGGTAGATCCCAGGCATACTGCCTACCTCGACAATACCCTCCCCTCCGCCGCTTTGCCGATCGCGTCTTGATGCTTCCGCTTTCGTTCCGGGTCTTGCTTTGGTCCCGGGGCCCTCGCTCGCGGTCATGCGCTATGCTGGTGCCACTACCAGACAATTGAGCGCGCGACTTGACACAGACTACGTTCAGCATCTTGCCTTGACCTTCACTGCTGCACTCGATCATCTTTGCCCGGACCTACATGCTGGGAAAAGTCCTTGTTTATTTCACGGCAATTCTATAGCGAGAACGTCGGCGCCGCAACTTGACATCGCAGTAACGAGCTAGTAAGTGAGTGGGACGGCGCTTGAACGCTACCGGGCTGTTCGTTGGCGTACTCGTGCAAAAGGTCTGTATTAACAGCTTTTCCTCGAGGCCCACACATGCTATTCAATAGCTACTTACTTGGAGATGAAATATTGCGATCCATGTCTTTATATGAGCCATTCTACAAACATACCTGGATGATCTCACCCATCGTTGTGTTCGACCTCGTCCCTCTCTCCTCCCCACTGTTCACGCCACTGAGACTTGTAGGTCCCCGCTTGCCCATTGCGTCACAAACGTGTCACATCCTTTCTTCCGCGCAAACTTCAACATTTCACACGTGCTATGTTTATCGTGAGCACCCTCGAAATTGAATGTTCGATTGAACGGACACGGCATCTTGACGGCGGACCTGGACCTGCTGCGCGGTCCTTCTTGTTCTTGACCTTGCAGACTGCAGCGTGCTGGCTGCACCTCTTCCATCCCTGCACCTTGCCCATCCTTCGACATTGCTGTCTTTACGTCCTACTTGCTTGAGACTGTCCGCCTCCAACCGTCCCCTACTTACGGCCCCACCCACCCACAACTTCAACAATGCTCACCCACACGGCTGCATTCTCCCTCGCGGTCCTGCTCCTGCGTTCCACCTTGGTCACAGCAGAGTCGCACACCATTAAGTTCGACAATCAGTGCGGGTATGGGACGGTAAGCAGTCTCTATCCCCCTCCCAACTAGCTTCCGACCACGCTACCTTCGACCATCTGTGCATTCTCTGACTCCCCCTCCCCCCCTCAGCCCACCCTAATCCAAGGCGGCAACACCCTCAGCCTCAACGACGCCAACGAGTACACGTCGAACGGTCAATTCGCTGCCGCGATCGCGTGAGTTTTCGTCGACTTCTGTTTATACCGTACGCGACTGTGCTGACCTGGAGTGCCGCAGATATCTACAGACCGGTACACCACCTCTGAGCTGGCTGAGCTAGCGGATTGAACTGAACTAAACTATCTTTGTAGGCGACTGCAAGTACAACGGCGAGGGCTGCATGACGACTGAAATCACCCTTGTCAACCCCAGCAGCGCGGGCTCGGGCTCGAGCGTGGACCTGTCCTTAATTCCTCCGTAACTACCCCCCCCCCCTTTCCTCTCCGTTCAGTACTTGATATCTTCCCTGGACAGGCTCGCTTTCAATGTCCCGACCACCTTCTCGTACTACGGCGGCTGCGACGGGGATGGGAAGACGTGTATGTATTCGATATCATCGTCGAGGATAATACTCTTCGGACTGACGATCTGTATACAGGCGACTCGGACAGCTGCGGTGTCAACGCGTTCTTCATCTCCACCGACTACCAGGCGCAGGTGCAGTGCCAGGAGGATGATGTGAGTCGCTTTAGTATTCATCTTTTCGCGAAATTCTGTAACTAAAATTTCTTTCTCAAGGTCAACCTCCTGATTACCTTCTGCGGCAACGGCAATGGAGCCTCGCAGTCGTCCGAGGCAGCGTCATCGCCGACATCGTTCTCCACCGCGGCCTCCTCGTCTGACGCCGCTTCCTCCACCGCCGCTTCCTCGGCCCCCGCTTCCTCGGTCCCTTCGTCTGGCGCGTCCACACCCAGCTCCACGTCGCCCTCCGCCACCTCCAAAGCCATCCTCTCCGCCGAGACAGGCAACGCCCGCTGCGCCAACCGAGTGCGCCGTCGCGCTGAGAGACGCAACGCGAAGCGCGTGGCGAAGCATAGGCGGTCGGGGCACAGGCAGTGAAGGCGTGTAAGCCGTCATCCGTCAGGCTTCAGCCTTCAGGTGCCTAGGCGCATAGGACGGAGTCCATCAGGAGTCCAAGTCGTTTTCCATCCGTATTGCGCGCCGGGAACGCGTCGTTCATGAAGAGCCAGCTCTTCCGTAGTCGTACTCTATATCATATCGTATAGCATCCTTTGTAGCTGTAGGGTCACCTTTGCTCGCTGCGCGAGTGTACTATCACATTTTAGTGTTCACTAGAGCAGGCCAGGACCTTGCAGTCAAGGCGCCTAAAGAGGCAGTGACACACATTTCCTGTGACGGTGTCACGGTTCGTCACTTCACCGAAACGTTCATCTGAGCCTTTAGGCAGGCGGCTCGCAAGACCGGGGCTTTACAGGCCGGTTTCTCGAGAGTTGATGAAGAAGTGGAGAGACCTATCTATGGACTCAGCGCCCAACTGAAGCGTTCTTACCAGCGCGTCAAGCGCAGCACAAAACTGAACGAGCCTTGCAGTGATTAGTGTTTATCTCCACGGCCGAGAGACGCGCGTCAACAAGAAAACCTGCGCGGTGGGCGGTAACGCCTAATCGAGCAATCCCGTTGTGGGCGCTTAGAGTAAAGACCCGACTGAACCGGGCAATATTCGTGCTTCTGCAGAGGCGTCCTCTCACTTCGCGCTATGGTTTGTTAGAGCGGCCTCTGCCGACCAGCGTACGACGCTGCGGCTTACGCATTTTGCGTCGACTCTGGAGATACGCACATACGGCTGGTAGCCGTATAATTCTCTAGTACCCAGAGCAAAGCGTCACCAGAACAACATTGAGTATCATGGTATAAAAGCACGGAGACAGAGACGACTTTCGACAGTCTTATCCTCCTTCTCTCGTGTTCAAGTTCCCAATCATGTCCTACCCAGAGAAGGTTCCCTATGGTATGCACTCGCTTGCTGGTTCATACGTCCACCCTCGTCCTGACCCCTCACCCCATAGTCCGCCTCGGAAACTCCGGGCTGAAGGTCTCCAAGATTATCCTGGGATGCATGTCGTATGGCTCTCCTGGTACGCCCTGCTCTTGTACTCGGTCCGAATACAACGCTGACCATCATTGACACTATCCTCCTTTTCTACCACGGTAATGCCTGCGCCGCCGTACAGAGTGGCAGGGTTGGGTCCTCGGTGAAGAGGAGGGCATCAAGCACATCAAGGCGGCGTATGACGCCGGAATCAATACCTTCGACACTGCCAACGTACGCCCTCATACGTTCTGCGCTTCTTGTGAATACTGACGCGTCTGCCGCAGGTCTACAGCAACGGCCTCTCCGAAACCATTCTCGGAAAGGCCATCAAGCAGCACAATCTTCCCCGGGATGAGATTGTGGTGATGACCAAGGTACGCTCTACAGCAATGGTCGTGAGGGATGCAACTCTTGACGCACGGGTCCCAGGTGCTCTACGAAGTCAAGCGCGAGGTCAGCGGGCCCTTCACCGTTGATGTCGACCCAGACGTGCAGGGTTATGTCAATCAACACGGATTGAGCCGCAAGGTGCGTTATTCTGCGTTGCCATCGTCACAAAATACTAACAAATGCGCAGCATATCTTCGACTCCGTCAAGCACAGCTTGGAGCGCCTCCAACTCGACTACATTGACGTTCTGCAGTGTACGCGGATCTCGCTTCATGCTATCAAACAACTCTGACCCACTCGCTCAGGCCATCGCTTTGACAATGACACGCCCATTGAGGAGACGGTGAGGAAACTCGTGAGATAGCTGTATCGTCGTCTTTAACCATTGTATATAGATGGAGGCTCTGCACGACGTCGTCAAGGCCGGATGGGTCCGCTACATCGGGATGTCGTCCTGCTACGCATACCAATGTACATTTCTCCCACCTTTTCCTGAAAACGAAGCTGACCAATATCTCTCAGTCCATGCCATGCAATGTGCGTTCAAACGGTTTGCAACATGTATTATTGCTAATCCCTCATCACAGCCTACGCTATTCAGAACAAGCTCACGCCGTTCATCTCGATGCAGAACCACTACAGCCTCCTCTACCGCGAGGAGGAGCGCGAGATGTTCCCCAGCCTTGCTGTGCGTCTCTTCCCCTGCCCCTCTCTTTGCTTCTAGGTAACCAGATTTCTAACCCACTTGACCAGCAATACGGCGTCGGCTCGATCCCCTGGTCCCCCCTCGCCCGCGGCCGCCTCACCCGCCCGCTCGCCGAGCAGACGAAGCGCGGCGAAGCTGACGGCTTCATCAACATGTACAGCAAGGCGAAGGAGAGCATGGAGTCCATCGTCGGCCGCGTCGAGGAGCTCGCGCAGAAGAAAGGCTGCAGCATGGCGCAGCTGTCGCTTGCCTGGATCATGGCCCGCCCAGGCGTGACGGCGCCCATCGTGGGCACGACGTCGCTGAAGAATCTGGAAGATTTGCTTGGTGAGTGGGAAAGTAGTACTGGGGTAGGGCATGGGCTGATGGCGACATATAGGCGCGGTTGATATAAAGCTGTCGGAGGAGGAGATGAAGTATCTCGAGGAGCCTTACACGCCGCAGGAAATCATCGGGCATTGGTAAATGTTCGGTCTACATAGAAGTGTAGCACAAATATCTTCCCAATCATATGTTCCTCGCCTCTCAATGCGAAGCTCTGGCGCCGCCACCTGCATACCTCGCAACTTCCTAGCAAAGCGACGCGCTTCTTCAGAGCCCATTGGTGGGTGTCTATTGTTGTGATTGCATATGAGATCTATGACTTTGTGATAGCACCTTTTGGATCCGTGATTCACATCTTCCCAGTCTCACATCGCCGGCGCCCCACTCACTGCGCACACTAAATTCCTCGCGTCCGCGCCTCCTCAGCTGACGGTGACGTAGGCGACTTCAAGCGTTCCTTGCGCTCCTGAAGTCATTCTGCTCGTTCCCTTGGAGCCCTCCGCCATGTCTAATGCACGAGGGGGCTATTCTTGCAGCTAATGAACGTGTATAAGTAGCGCGCAGCGCTGCTTGACGTCTACTCTTTCGCAGCACCTACACACCGCGGACATATAAGACGTGTCGAGCGTCCAGCATCCCTCGAATACCCACGAACATCGACCTTCAAACGACCACACGCCTAACGTCACACACCCATCATGAGCATCTTCGGCTCGACAGACAAGCGCACCGGCCATGCCGCTGCTGAGCGTGGCCCGCCCGGTGGTGAATTCCCGCCCGACGGCGACGAGGTGTTGAGCGAGTGGCAGGAGGGGCCGCATACGGTCATCGAGCGAAGGGGAGGACCCGGTGAAGATGTATGTTGACCTATGAATCTATGCATCGGACTGCTCGACTGACGCTACCCATCTTCCAGGTCGACGTCGAAGTCCTGCGGCACACGCACGACGAGGAGTCGGTGCCGGGGAAGGTCAAGCATGCAGAGGAGAAGGTCGAGCAAGCGATTCACCGGCACAGTCCGACGCATCATAAGGACAAGAGCGGGGAGAAGAGCAGTGGGAAGGCGTAGACGTTGCAAATTGTTGGGAAGCGGTAGACGAAGGGATGATACCCGGGACATTGTACTTCTATGGAGGATATCGATGACGGCGGCCAGCAAATTCGGCTTGAATCCAAGGTCTGTGGCTTGAACGAGTGATATGAAGTTACATTAGCCCAGGCTGCAAAGCCCTACTTGATCGAGGTCAGGGACGGTAAGGGGTAATTGTACTAGAATGCGCACCATGACATCCAAAAGGCTGGCTGCTTAGCAACGGAAGTCGCGCCGGTCGCACAAGGGAATGAGGGAGCATTACGCTGCGACCTCAGATGGAAGCGACAGAGCGAGGAGGACCGTCATAACGAAAGCGTGGTCAAATTGCGCATTGCTTCTGCCTCTGTCACTTGTTTGACAGGCCTTGCTGGCGCTGCGGGCAGGTTGTTCGACGGCGTCTACACCATCGAGTTAACCACCTCAAGATGATCGACAGACAATCCGCTACTTACCGTGCTCGCTAGCATTCCCTCCCTCCCCTCAGCCATCAACTTGTCCAACTGAGACCTGAGCTCTTCGTTCTTGTGCTTCGACCTCTGATCGCGGTGGGTGTGCTGCTTGGCGTGTTTGGCGGCGCTCTTCGATGCAGCCTTCACCCTAGGGTTGGACAGGCTGGACTTGGTCTTCTTCTTGTCTGCTGACATGTCGTGATCGTCGGAGACGGGAGGGGATGGGTGATGGATGTGTCGTGAAGGATGAGGGCAAGAACAAAGCAGGAACTCGTCAAATTTCAACGTCGAGATGATGCGGGGATGCACCACGTTCTACGGCCTGTCCGCTTTAGGAAGGCTTTGTTCTGATTGCCCGAATTGGAATTGCCCGCCATCAGGTCATGTTACGCCTCGTAGATGCTGCTATACGATACACATATACTCTATATCTCAAGAAATGCCTCCCTATCAATCATGCACCTCCAGCATCCCATCCCCACCATCCGACCCCGCATCGCTTCCCTCCTTCTCCTTCGCCGCCGCCTCCGCCGCCTCTTCCTCCTTCCTCTTCGCCATAGCCGCCTTCGCCGCCGCGATCTCCTCCTCCTCCGACGGCGGCGCCATGATCGCGCTATTCGGCACGATCACGCCGTCATTGCCGCGCTTTTCGCCCTTCTCTTTTTCGGTGAGGGTAGGGTCGGATTCGGAGTCCACGGTGAGCGGCTCGGCGGAGGTGAAGGACTCGGCGAGGGAGGTGACAGTGGTGACGGCCATGTCGAGCACGCTCTCGACGCGCTTTTTGAGCGTGTCGTTCGTGCTGAAGATGGTCTGGGGGTGCGATAGGTTAGCCATGCGCAGGACTTCGTACCAGTAGTAGTCGATACTCACCAACGATAATAAATTGATCTGCGCCACCGCCTCATCCAACCGCACGATAAAATGCGGCTCATTCGCCTCCTGCCCGAGCTCCGTCACCTCCTCCGACCCATCCGTGTCGTGCCACTCGACGTCGCCGAAGTGCACCTCGAGGAAGCTCGCGAGTTTCTGCACGCGCGACATGCGCTCGCCTTCGCCCCATTCCTCGGGGTCTGCGTGTGGGTGCTTGTGCGCGCAGGGTTTGTGGGTTACTATAAGATTGTTGAGTACCTGAGCGGCAGGTGCCAAAGGAAACTGTCGTGACGCACGCTTAGCACTCGCGGGGCTCTTGTCGATGGACGTCAACAGCGCGAACGTCGAGTCCGCAATCATATCATGGCTCGCGCCCGACTCCCACTCCAACAACCACATCCCATTGCCCACGTCCTTGACGTCCAGCACGCCCATGACCTACATCTCCTGTATCAGCACACCGCCCTCTGCCCCCCTCCCCCAAAAACAAAACACCGCCTCACTCACCCTTATCGTCCTCACCCCATCCTTATCCAGCCCCTCCTCCAATTTCCCGTACATCCCCTCCAAGTGCCACCTCACCAGCTCGTACTGCACGTCCAATGCAACGCGCTGCCGCTGCGTCACCACGCACGTCGACAGGCCCGCGAAGTCCTTCAGGTCGCGCGGGTCGAGGAGGGTGTAGGAGTAGTCCTTGGCGACTAGTAAACCGGAGAGGACGTCGCTGGATTGCGGGGGCTTGTCGGCGAGGGTGCCGATGGCCTGGGTGGGTGGGTTAGTGTCGGGATAGGGGTGAAAGGTAGAGTTGGGATGGGTAAGGGAAAGGGAGACGAACCTTCGCTACCCGCTCCCCGCGGAAAGATAGCTCTAGGGTTTCCAAGTTCCGTGGCGTATGGATCTTCACATCCTCGTCCCTTTCCTTATACCTCGACGACATCGCCGCCCGCAACCGGCCCATCGCCGTCTGCTCGCCGTGTACCAAGACCTGTCAATGCTCAACACCCTAACTTACGCTACCTGTGACTGACACTCACCACATGCTGCGCCCTCACCGTCTCGATGAACTCCGCGTTCTGCGTGTAGTCCACATGCGCGCTGAACGAGATGTAGTCCACCGAGATCTTGCGCTGGATCATGTGCCCCTTCACCGACTGGAACTCCTCGGGCTCCGTCATGATGTCCTATGCGAGGTGTTAGTCAAGGCATTCTCAGGAAGGGGGGACAAGGGGAGGGAGCAGCAGCTCGGGGGGGGGCAGCGACGTATATCCATCTCATCACACATCGCAGGAATGGGGAAAAACAACATGTATTTTGTGGTGATATGTACAGGAGTCGAGTTGAAAGGTACATGTATGTCGCTGCCGCTGCCGCCACCGCCCACCAATGACTACCACATCGCAGCTGCGCCACACCTCACTCACCCTAGCTAGCGTCCCCTCCACCGAATACCCTGTGACAATCAGGCCATTCCGCGAGTCCGGCGCCCACAGCTCGAAGAGCTCGCGAGAGGAGCCGGTCTGCATGAACCCGGGCGTCGCAAGTACGACGCAGGGTGGGCCCTCAGCGATCTTCTTTTCCCAGCCGCGCGGTTGGGGGACGTTGGAGATGTATCTGGGGGTAGTGGTTAGTGCTCGTTGTTGAGAGGGATGGAGTAAGAGAGAACGACGAAGGGCAAAACGCACTTGAAGACGAAGGGGTTATCGCGCTTCGCAAATCGTGAGCGGATGTTGGAGTTCATGGTGTGGATGTATGTTTGGTAGACGGCCATAGATTTCCTCGCCAGGCCAGATGCGTAGTAAATGGGCACATTGTGCAGGTCCGGGTGCTTCTTCCAATATTCGTCCAAGATGAGCAGTAATTCTTGCGCACGTCCCAAAGCGAATTGAGGAAGCAGTACATGCCCTCCTCGCCGGATGATTGAATGAACAAGATTAGTAAAACGCAGCTCCTTTTCGTCTCGTGGTTCGTGGCTTTGCACGCCGTAGGTGCTTTCGACGATGAGGACGTCGGGCCGTATTGGCGGAAGCTCCGCCTTGACAAGATGACGGTCTTCTTCGCGGGAGTAGTCACCGGTGTAGAGTATCCGGAGGCCGGCCATGTCGATGAGGAACATGCAGGCGCCCAGGACGTGGCCAGCGTGGTAGGGGGTGAAGGAGACTCCAGGACATGGAGTGATGAGTTGATGAGCGGATACGGGGATGATGGAGGCGAGGGACATTGAGATGTCCAAGGGTGAGAAGAGGGCGTCAGAAGAAGAAGATCTAGAAGGAAATGAGTACGTGAAGGTCAAGTCCGACTGGGGGCGTACCCTGTCCGGACAAAGTCCTGCATCATGAATTTGTGTAGCGCCTTCGTGGGATGCGTCATGTATATCTTCCCCTTGCCGTCGCGGAAATTGGTCTAGCGCAAGTTTAGGTAGTGTCCTTTAATGCAGTGAATGGTGTCTCCACCTTTTCGGTTATGTACGTCAAGGACGCTGCATGGTCAAGATGAAAACTGGCCATGTCAGCATGTCTCGTCATGAGATACCTAAAAGTGCTCACTGGGTAATGAGTATAGCATCCACTGTACTCCAGTCCAAGTCGTCAATGAAGGGTAACGAGGCCATGCCAGTATGTGCAGGGTGAATGCCAGTGTCGCAGACTATTGTTCGTCCGCGATACTGGAGAACACAACAAGAGCGCCCGACCTCCTGGCCAGCGCCGAGCATCGTAATTTTGAGGTTCGCGCTGTCAGCCATGTTGACCGAGTGTTGGGGGAAGGCAAGGAAAGGGAGGGGATGTGATGAGGGGAGGAAGGGAGGATGAATTTCTCACGCCCCACGCGTCACTGATCACGGCTGTCACGGACGCGCTGTGACCAAGCGCGTCGCGCTTGACATCAACCACGACGAACGCGATGCCGGCGCCCACAAAAGACTCCTTCGTCGAGGAATACGTCGGCTCGGGGCTGCTCTCTTATCTTGCTTTTACGGAGGATGGACAGTGCGTGGTGTTGTTGTCGTCTTCTTATGCATGCTAAGTGTCGCTCAGGAATGCCTTCGTCGGAGGCGAGGATGGTCTTGCGCGACGATATGATATGAACGCCTCCGTGAACGAGGAGCCGACAGTATACGAAGGGATGGATGGCGAGATCTCCGCTATAGCTGCCAATGTGCGTATCGCGTACGGAAGCAGCACCGAAAGTACTAATACCGCGTGCAGAACAAGTACTGGCTCGCTGCTGCAGTCGATTCTGACGTGCGGAGATTCATGACGAAGGCGTCTGCAAGCACGCAGTCCAACTACGAGATCATCTACCAACCCAAAGCGGTCACTGTTAGGGCACTGTCCATCAACCCCGCGGGAACGAAGGTCGCCATTGCTTCTGAGTGAGTGCAGCACTTCATCAGAAGTTTGTCCTGTGTTCATTTGTGAATACAGTGAGACCTTCGTCAAGATCATAGACTTCGAGGATATCACTGAGGTGCAAACATTGGAAGGCGGTCATACGCGAGGCGTGCGAGGAGTGTCGTGGGATCCGTCTGGGACTCTAGTTGTGCGTGAACTCGACCTGCAGCTTGCTCAGCAATCACTGACAGTGTGTGTCTGCAGACCACCACCGGCGCTGACGGCAAGATCGTCATCTGGGAAGTGAACCAAGCACCGTTCATCCGACACACCCTCGAGCGCGTTGTCATCCCCATCCCGAACGACGACAGCCCTCAGTTCAAGCATGACGCTTCTGCAATCTGGCATCCATCTAGCCCATATATTTACGTGCTCTCAGGGTTGAATGGTACGCTCACCACCCCGGCCTCGCCTGAATACTTACTGACTAGCTCCCAGAGGTCAAAATCATCAACACCGCCATGAATTGGGAGAGCAGGGTGTTTGCCTCTGAGGAGAGCGGCAGCGTGCTGAGTGCTATCAGCCTCTCACCGAATGGACTGTATCTAGCCGCAGCGGCGAAGGACCGAGTGTCCATTTGGTCGACAGAAGTTGGTTTCAATAAGGCTAACAAGCCCGTCGCACGACAGGAGAAGGTCTCCAAAGGCTTCATCACCCGCCTAGTATTCTCTCCTTCGCAGCACATGCTCGCCTGGACCGACTCCGTTGGCGGCCTGTACCGCTGGTGGAAGCCCATACCCTCCTCTCAGCCAGACACCGTGCAGCCTTCTCGCGCAGACGCCCTGAAGGATGACCTGTTCGACGCGATGCCGGATATCCCGTTGGACGACGAAGACGATGCGCCGATGGACAACGGGCGGGATAGGATGGATGAGGGGCGGGACAATATGAACGACGGCCTAGACGACTTCCTAGACGATGCGGATATGGCGTATGCGGATGAGAGGAAGCGGCATCGGGAAGAAAGGAAGGGTTTGCTGGATAAGAATGTGAGGGAAGTTGGTGAGTAACGTCGCTTTATAACCCCTGTCATCCAACAGTACTAACCCCCCACCAAGTCAGCATCACCGAAGCCCAACCCCCCTTCCAGCCCGGCGCCACCCCCGGCAAGCAAGCCCGCTACCTCGCCCACAGCCTCCTCGGCGTCATCGAAGCGACCGTCGTCGACGACGAGCGGCTCGCGGTTACGGTGTCATCCTTCGACCGCACCGCGCGGCCGTCGTACAACTTCACCACCACGCATGCATTGAGGCACGCCTACATTGGCGAGCGCGGCGTCGCCTTCGCGTACGATGCGGAGGATGGGCTGTACGATGAGGATACGGGCGAGACCTCCGCGACCCCGGCGCGTGTGGTGTATAAACCCTACGGGAGCAAGGGCGAGAAGCTCGACTGGACGTATACGCTGAGCGAGGGGACGAAGGTTCTGGGTGTGGCGGCAGGGGGTGTCAGTTCGACGGACTTGAAAAGCGGAAGCGATCGCGACCTCGAGGGCCTCGGAGACGTGGTCGTGGCCACGGACGAGGGCGACCTGACATTCCTAAGCGGCTCGGGGCGCGAGCGACGGATCGTCGGCCTCGGCGCGGACTTCGTGACGATGGCCGCGGGCGAGGAGTGGGTGTTCGTGGTGCACCGGCCGGGGTCGACGACGATTGACGGGTCGCAAAATTTGTGGTACTCGCTCATAAGGTTCGATGACTTTAGTGTGATGCAGCATGGGACATTGCCGCTGGCGAGGCATGTGACGCTGCTTTGGGCGGGGATCACGACGGAGGGGGTGAGTTGGTTGCGCTCAGTGGATTTGCGTGTGTCGCTCATTTATATTGCTAGGCTCCTGCCATATACGATAGCGCTGGCTACCTGCATATCCTATCGAAGTACCGGGTACCTCATCATGCCTCTTGGGCGAGAGTGCTTGACACGAACACTTTGGAAAGGCGCAAAGGGAAGGACGAGTCGTATTGGGCGGTTGGCGTCACGGATAGCACGTTTATGTGCTTGATCCTGAAGGTTCGCCCCACGTTATGTAGTTGATTAGACGCTTCACGTACTGACATCCGCGTAGGGCAAGCAACAATTCCCGGGCTTCCCAAGACCTCTCATCCAGGAGATTGACATTCGCCTGCCTTTCCGTAGGGATGATCCAGGAAACGAAGCGTAAGCTAACTTTGCCGCATCTCAGGCAGCGTCCTGACATCGTCTTCAGCCTCGAGCGCGAGCTCATGCACCTCGAAGCCTCCCGCGACGCCCTCGGCGATGAGCTCACTTCCGACGACGTCTCCACCCGCGAGCACGCCATCGACAAAGAGCTCATCAAACTCATCCAAGCCGCCTGCAAGGACGCCAACATCCCCCGCGCCATCGAGCTCACCAAGCTCCTCTCCAACACTCACTCCTTCGACCTGGCGGCCAAGATCGGCGACTTTTACAAGATGCCTGGGTTCACTGAAAAGGTGTATCTGTTGAAGGACGATAGGGCAGATGCAGAGGAAAGGCTCGAGGAAGAGAGGGAGAAAAGGCAACGGTGGATACGGACGGATAGTGCGCCGAGGAGGTTACCGGTGCCAATGGCGAGCGCGAGTACGGGGAGGGGTCTGTTCTCGAGCACGGTACCGCCGGAGCCGATTAGGCGGCCAGGGCTGGAGAGGGCGGTACCGGTGGTAGAGCACTCGAGGTTCTCGAGCAATGCGGCTGCGAATATGCCGGCGCCGACACCGTCGTACGCGACGCCTTCGCCTCCATCGCCTGAGAAGCGCAAGCGAGATGAGTACGATGATACTGAGGTCCCCTCTTCGTATGCGCCGCCGCCGAAGCAGAGTACGCTCTCGTGCATTACTCACTTGCAAGCCAATGCTAACAGTCACTTCAGAGACGAACCCCTTCGCGCGGAAACCTGGTCAGGATACGAGCCGCAATCCTTTTGCCAAGAAGAGTGCCGACGGCAATAAGACCATCCAGAAGAGCGAGAGCTTCTTTGAGAAGGTCGACGCGGCGGAGACGGGAGCAGCGAAGCCTAAACGTATGTTCCCTGCGCTATTTTTTCCTGCTTGCGTAAAGCTGACCTTGCACCGCAGGCGCGTTTGGGCCCCTCGGGAAAGACAAGAAGTCTTCTGGACCGAAGCAAACGACGCTCTTTGGACTGCCTCCCGGACCAGGCAACGACGCGAAGCGGGGGAAGAAGAAAGCGCCAGAGCCGAAGGCCGCCGCACCAGAACCCTCAGATGCTCCCGAATCGCAAACGCAGGAAACGCAGGAGGAAACTCAAGAGACGCAGCTTGAAACGCAAGACGCGGACGTGCCGATGTCCGACGCGACCACGTTGGTCCCAGAGAAGTCGCAGGTTCTGGTACCAAGTAGTCAGCCTATGATGAACGACAGCCAGGACGTGTATGTTGGGGCGCAGATCATAGAGGAGACGCCGGCTTTCACGCAGACGCAGGAGTCGATGAGCACGTAGGGGTAGGGTGTTGTCATCGTTATTTATATGTTTTCATGTACAGTACTATACAATGGTCAAGGTTTCGTACCGCGAGTCTCTGTCCTCTCAGTTATCTCTAAGCTTGGGTGTGAAGGTATCGTCGACATCATGATGTGTTCTTCGGCTGTCTCTAGGCCAGACGGAGGATGCCCTAGCCATGAAGAATCCTCGCCGATGTTTGTCGCGTTGGTATACGTATCGGTGGTGGTACCAGTATCATCGGTTGAGCGTCCTTTCCCCTTCCCCGAGCTCGCGAAATGGACGGAATGCGACACTCGAGTTTCGCATATCGATTCTGCCGCCGAGCGCTGCATCGCGACCACCAGGACGATGAAGGTGGGATATATGCCCTAATGAGGACACACGCTGAGATCAGGCGCCTTGTACAGGAAGAGGGCCGACGTACGGCGATGGAGTGGTATGCAGCGCTAATTACGCCGTAAGCCGCCAGCGTGTTGGGTCCTTCGGTGATGTTGATGACCAGGTATACGACCTGTGGCAAGGCGTCACGGACAATGGCTTTCTCAAAGGAGCAAGAGCTATACCCATATCAAACAGTAGACCAGACCGGATTCGACGAGCAAGACAAGGATCTTACCGACCCTTGTCGTCGCCCAAGGGCCTAAAATGCCTTGCACATTGCGACGGAAGTACCTAGACATGGTCTTGAGCAACCTAGTGGCCGTGGAGAGACCTGCATGCATACCAGACTTGGAGGCCTATGAGTGTTGTTGCGACAACATTCGTGACCAAAAGCGGGATCGTCATCATCAGGGTCTTTAAAGGAGGTTCTTCTACAGAGTATAGGGCTTCTACAGCCCAGACTTCCTCGATGATGAGGCCGACTGCAGAGCTATAAATAATAGCATTAGCAGGTAGATGCCCTTTACTCACCTACACTTCCGGTCATGCAAAATATCAAGATTGCCTTCGCGACGCGGCTGTCCGGCCACAAGACCCACGCTCGCCATACTACTATGGCATCACTGACGATGTACTATAAGCTCCGTCAGAACATCATTCGTCCAAACCGTCACATTGCACGCACATTGAAGCGAAAGGCCACACTGATCACGACGTTCATACGGGTCAGCAGACCCACGAGGTCGATAGGTGCCTCCCCAAAGGCGGGCATCTGGATGACATAGAAGCATACATCTAGCGATACTGCGATGGTGGAAGACACGAAGAGGCCGATGATAGCAGCGGTAACGATGCGAGACCGGTCTTCCTGACGCCTGACCGAGGATGAGTGAGTGAGAGAGCTTTGTCGCGGAAACATTGTCTGAAGAGTACTCACGCAAGCATAGAAAAGGCAGCAATGAACAGCGCCGCCTGGATTCCTGCACACGAGGTCAATGCGGCACCTGAAGAGCGCGAAATGGCGATACCGTAAAACAGGAAGTCAACGCCCGTCTGCATAATGATGAACTGCACGACGCTGACATCCCCTGGTGCTAGCGGCAGCGACTGCGCTGCGGACATCCTGGCGCTCAGGCTACGAAGAAGGCAGAGGGAGAGAAGCTGCTGTTATGAAGCTGGCGAGCTGACGACACAGCACAGCACATGTCAGCAGTCCATGAACGCGGAGACCAAGATAGCGCAGGGGCCTGAGTCACTTCAGCGGTCGTCTTATATACCCTAGCTGCGCTGAAGGCACGCTGGGTATGAACCTTGACGGACGCCGTCATCGTACGTGTTAGTCGGACGGCCAGCCCCTTCCCGCACATGCACACGATAGAGAAAGCGCCGGGAAGGTTAGCAGCGCTGAGAAGATCAGCATCGATGGAAGATATGAGCAGACCAGCGTGACATTCAGTCGAATTCAATCTTGGCATTGCCACGAGGCCTGCGCCCACCATTCGACGAAGCCCCGCTCACCCTTACGAGGTACCCGCCCATGGACCTTTGGATCGACCTTCCCCAGTCTTCGTCGGCGCATTGTCAACAACGGTCTATTGAGGGGTGCCTTGCGGACATAACAATGCTCTCCCGTCCCTGGTCATAAATATCTGTCGATGGTACGAAGCCCTCGTCATTCGCAACGATTGCCGCGATATCCCCGGGATGTGAAGTGGTATTCACAAGCTGTGAGCTTGATGTATCCCCGTTGCTTGAGCTTCCAAATTCCATGCTGTCTTCGGTCGGCGCTTTCCCCTTGCCTGATTCCGCAAAGAAGATCGAGAGTGTTGGTTGCGCTCCGAAGGTCGTATGCATGCTCGTGCGCTGCATCGCGACGGCTAGCACGATCAAGGTCGGGTAGATGCCCTGTGAGAGGTTATATCAGCACTCAGAGGTTTCCCCTGCACGCTCCCTTCAAGGGAAGGTCAGAAACGTACCGCAATTGTGTGGTAGGCGGTGCTGATGACACCGTAGGCCATGAGCGTATTAGGGCCCTCGGTAAGGTTAATGACGAGGTAGATGACCTGGTATGTGGTGAGCACTGGCTTCCAGCGTGTGAGCGAGCGGCATACCCATATCAAGCAGTAGACCAAGCCAGACTCGACGAGCAAAAGAAGGACTTTTTCGACTCGCGTTGTTTTTGTCACTGGCCCAAAGGAGCCCTTGATGTCGCGGCGGTAGATCCTGGATAGCCGTCAGCAATTGCGGTGGTGGAAGAGGAATATGGGGACTCACCAGACTTGTATGCCAACCAAGGCCGTTGCCACGACGTTGGTAGCCAGCAGCGGCACGGTCATCATGAGCGTTCGTATGGCGGGCTCTCCTTCTACGAGGTCTTCCACTGTCCATACGCATTCGACGATGACACCGACTATAGCAAAGGATGAGGTTTAAATCGTGAGGAGATGATAAGGCCACTCACCAAGGCTTCCAGCCAAGCACACGCACAACGCGCCCTTCGCCAGCCGACTATTCGGCCACAATACCCATGCTCGCCATACAACGATGGCGTCGCTGACGAAGTACTGGAAGACGTGTCGGTGATCCTGTTTCTCCACGAGGTAGAACTATTAGCAAGACGCACGTTGAAGCGGTACGTCGAAGCAATCGCGACGTTCATGCGAACCAATAGGTCCCATATGCTATCCAAGCCCCAGCCGAACGTCGGTATCTGGACGAGGTAGAACATCATGTTCAGAACCACCCCAACTAATGAGGATAAGAACAGGCCGGCGATGGCTACGGCAACCGCGCGAGACCGATTGTCCTGACGCCTGAATAGATGGGGGCGGGGTCAGCACCTTTAGCGGAGGAATGCAGCAGTGAGCAACTCACGCAAGCATCGCGCATGCAGCAATGAAGAGCGCTCCCTGTATACCTGTCGCCCTGTATAAGACCCTTGCGAGAGGGAAGGACGCCAAAAAGGTACATACCATAGAACAGGCAATCCACTCCCGTCTGCATCACAATGTTCTTCATAGAGGCGATATCATCCGGCGCCAACGGGTAGTATTGCACGCCAGACATCGCTCTCAGCAGCACCGCGAGGAGACCTCGAGAAAAGCAGCGGCGCGAGAAGCTGGGGAAAGGCAAGCAGCGGCGCCACCGTCAGTCTACATACATAGGGCAGGCAGCGCCGCCCTAGTAGTGGTTCCTGCAATGAAGGCGACGCCTGTGATTGCGCATCGATTGTCCTGGTCTTCGGATGATAGGCTGTGCGGCAGTGTATGCGTTCTCCTGATAGGAAGCGCCCACTGCTCCTGATGTGTAGCCCTTCTCATGGCGGGGTACGTGCTTGTCATCCAAGGGAGATCTGCGTTCGAATGAATGTCGATCCATGGGAATCCGACTGAGCGCCCACAACGTTCGGGGTGTGCGCGCTCAGGACTCGGACTGCGCGCGCTCATTGTGTCCCGCCGGCGTTACCGTTTCAGACGAATGGCCACTTCTCATTGGTGAGCGGTTGACTTCCTGCTGAGGGTGGTGAGGTCTGTTGACGGCGGCGAGGAACAGAACGTAGGGCGGTGCGGTAGTGACCAGGTGATGGCTGTACGAGGATGAGAATGACGAGCAGGCATCGCGTACCTGAGGGACGATCGTACAGCCGCAGAGCCGCGGACTTGATGTTGAGAATCGACACCCCCGGGGTTACTCAAGTCGTTGAAGCCACGTATCGTTCTCAAAGTGTTTGCCTGAAACCTGGGTACAATATGCAGAATTAGTCGATACTCGGAGCCTTTTTAAGGGTGAAAACTCACCTCAAAGTCCGCCTTTGGACCAAGCTCGCCACAGAGGTCAGCACCATTCCACGCAAGCTATAGCTAGTCAATCAAACCATGTCGCAACACGTCGCAGGAATGAAGCTCTTATTTCACCGCAAAACGAATGTCGCCGACCGCAGTCCGCTAGCTTGGATTGCCCTTCACACCTTACGTGCAAAACAAGTTACTAGAGCCCTCCATACATCACCTCTCCGTCAACATTCGAGATCGACCATTCCTGCGCGCGATTGGCAGTATCGGGTGTTACGCAAGACTGCATCCTTTTCCCCCTCATCTCCTCTTTGACGAATTCGAGTCCAGGGGCATCAACCCGTCCGAGTGAATATCCTGGAGATCAGTTCGTCAGCATGTCCTCTTTACCACCACCACCACCACTGCACTCCAACCCCCTGAAGCCTCTTCCACCCTCGCCGCACCCTCTTCCACTCTCACCGCGCCCTCGTCCCCAAGTCCACAGATATAAACATTACTACTCACCGTCGGCTTAAACGGCCACTCATCAAACGCCCTGGCCAAAATCCCCCAATCCCTCAGCTGCATCCCGCGCACCTGCACCTTCGGATAGATCGCCTGCGAGGGCGGGAGCGTCGGGCCGGGGAAGACCTTGGGCAGGAGGGAGATGGCGCCGGGGGCGAGGTAGCTGGGGAGGGGGTTAGTCGAAGGATTTGGGGAGGGGGGTTGGTCGAAGGATTCTTATAAAGGCGAAGGACACTCACGGTAAGGCCTTGTCGACGGTGGACGCCTTGCGGTTGAACATGTTGCGCACGATGAAGTCCCACATGTCCATCTTGCCTTCTTCGATGATCTGGGGAAGGTGTATCAGCACGAGTAGACCGACGAGACTTCTTGATGGTCCGGAAAGACCGCTAGATGGTCAAGAACGACCACTAGACGGTCAAAAACCACCACTAGATGGTCCAAAACTACCACAACACCCACCTGCCACTTCTTCGGCACAATTGTCGTCGCGATCGTGCCATACGCATTCGCGTTCGCCAGACTGCCCTTCACCTTGCGTGCGGGGAAGAAGTGCTCGTGGTGCGGGCGGAGGTTGTGCGCGATGACCTGCTTTGCCTGCACGGTCGCCTCGGTGATGACGCTCGCCTTGCTGCGGAGCGTGCGCTCGAGGACGGAGGCGGTGGCGCGCTGGACGAGAGGTGAGTATTGGGGGTGCGGAGGGTTGCAGAGGAAAGAAGTATAGGGGAACATCGATGGTAAAGAAAGACCACGACACTCACAATCCACAACTCCTCCGTCATCGTAATATGCATGGGCACCCTCCCAAGGGCAAACAACCACTGCTTATCGGGGATGCTTCGGACCCACTGCTGGTAGAACATCTCCCCCGCGTTGCCCATAGGCAGACTGCAGACGAAGGACACTCGTTCGTTGACACCCGCCTCCCAGTCAACTTTGTACTCCTCGGCGGGGAGGTGCTCCTTCAGGAGGTCATCGTAGGTTTGCCACGCATTTGGAGACGCGCGGACGACAGTGACTCGAGGGTCGAGTTTCTCGAGGGGCTAGGGAAAAAGGGATGGGTTAGAAGGGAGGGGAGGGGAGTGGGGAGGTGTGCGTACGAGGAGGTAGTCGAGGAAGGGTGGGTAGTTCTCGACGAGGATGAGGCGCTTGACTCGCTCCTTCGGGAGTGCTAGTATGGCTCTTGACAGTGCGCCCGGGCCTATTTCGAGCTCAGCACAGGCAGTATCGAGTACATATACGCAACGCACCAGGGTACGCCTCGATGATGGTCTTCCCTTCACTCCCCTCTGGTATGTACGCCTCCGCGATCTCGCGAGCAGTGTTGGCGTTGTGGAGGGTGAGACGAGTAGTGACACTGTAGTGGCTCGGGAATATCTCGTTCCATTCCTCGACAGGGGGAAGGGTGACTCGAGATTGCCAGTCTTCGTCTTTGACAGGGATAGTCTCCATTTCGTCCGTGGTGGCTTGAAGCTTTCGCCTGACTGCCGTTCTCTGACGAGTGCTACGCCTCGCAGTCGCAGTAGATGTGCTGGCCTCGGATGCATCTGGCGAGTCCTCCGTAGCTTTCTTTCTAGGTCTCCGCGTGCGTTTGGCTTTGACGATGTCTCCCTCCAGTACGTCCCTCGTCACCGCGCCGGGAGTGTATATCGTCTCATTGGTTGCCGGCTTGGTGCTATACGCGCAAAATTGTGGATGTGCTCGCCCGACAAGATATCTGGATAGAGCTCGCTGGCGGACACAGGCCGCAGCTCGTCTCGACAAGTGCAGAAGCATGAAGGCGCCCGACGCGATCGGTCGGACCGGCTTCCCGGGCGTGCGTCACGGCGACCGGATCACGTTGCTGTCACGCTATTTTAGGGACATGACATCCGCAATTAACCCGACCACGTGGCTACTGCGCAGGCCTTATATCCGGGCGTGGCTCGCGTTCTGATTCCTCTTCTTCATTGCAACCACCGCGTCGCCAACGCACACACTCCCTGCTTGGCCTCAGCTCGCCCCATAATCACCCAGAAATGCCTGCCGTCGCTCCTTTCGTTCTCTCTGCTTCCGTCCTGCTCGCTGCTGCGGTCAACGCCCAGCAGAGCAGCTTCCCCGAGACTCCCCTCGCCAGCAAGCACTTTGCGTACCCGGATGAGATTGTGCGCCTCGCGACAGACGCGTATCTGCCCCCTTCTGACGCGCTTTTCAGCCTTACCAAGTCGACACCGACACGAACCTCATCCGCGGTACCCAGCATGGCTACAACTTGTGCAACTCCACCACGGAGGGTCAGGACTCGCTCTGCCAGACGTCCTTCTTGAACAACCTTGATGGTGAACAAACTCGTACTTCTCGCCTATACTCCCGCTAATCACATGGTCAGACTTCTGTCTCTGGGCTCCTTCCAAGAAGGACTCGCTCATCGCCGACACGGAGGGTGAGGAGGTCGCTTGGTGCACCAAGGCCGGCCGTGGCACTCGCCTCATCCCCGAGGGTGCCCTCACCGGTGTCCAGTTCATGCGCACCTCTGCCTATGTCCAGGTCATTGGCTTCATTGACCAGACCAAGATCAACATCCAGGAGGGTGACTACGGTGGTGAGCTCGACCCGCACGGTGCCGACTTGGTGAGTGTGCCTAGTGTTAGAGTAGCAACATCATCCTGACATCTGCACAGCGCGGTAACCCCATGGGTGGCCTCGTCTACTCGACCGCGTTCAGCTCGGACAACAACACCTACACCCAGATGATCGAGTGGCACAACTTCATGGGCGGCAACGCCTTCTGCTTCAAGGTTTGCGACCCGTCCAACGAGCACGCTGCGGACTACTGCCAGCACATCTACGACCGTATTGGGTACGCATCTCCCTCTCGTACATCCTGCGTTTCATACTCACATCAACTGCAGCTGCGCCTACAACGCCCCGAACAACGCTCAGGACAAGGTCTTCGAGTCCTGCGAGGGCGACCTCCAGGACTTCCCCGGTGTCTACACCGGCGAGGACGGCCAGGTCACCACCTACACCCAGCCCGCTGAGTCCCTCGGTGCCATCACGACCATGCCGTACCAGCCGCGCGTGCCGGCCTCCAGCAACTGCCAGACCTTCGAGTCGACCGCGCTCTACACCGATGCCCTGAAGGCTGCCTCGTCGAGCGGCTCCTCGCAGGCGACCGGTGCCTCGGGCAAGTCCCTCGATGCCAGCGCGACGTCGAGCAGCGACAACGCCTCGGGCAGCAACGCTGCGTCGATGGTCCGCATCGGTGGCGAGAGCGCTGCCTGGATGGGCCTCTTCTGGGTCGTCGTCGCTGGCGCCATGGGCGCGATGAGCGTGCTCGCTTAGGCGACTAGCTTCTTGTCTGCGTGGGCGACTAGCTTCATGTCTGCTTAGGCGAATGCTCAGCCCCACGCTCGCTTACCCGACCCTCTTATGCCTGTTGTATGCCTCATTCCATGGACGCTTTGTGCGGGTTCGACACGACTTCATGCCTTAGACTTACGAGCTGCCTTGTTCTCTTGTCCTTCCCTCACCATAGACGTGCATGGATGTTTGACTGGCGCTGGACTTATACATACCTTAGAATCCTGCCGGAGTCTCGCGCCCTAATCCCGTTGTTGTTGGCTCATTGAAGCCTTGCCTTTCGTTGAATATACGCATCGCCGTGTCGTGGATTCTCTTCGTTGTGTTGTCCTCCCTGCTGCGTGTCCGGTCTGATTGTCGCGCGCGGCCTGTCGCGTCCTCGCATTTGTCATCAGTCGTCCTCGGCGTCACGGTTCTGTTGGAAGACGCGCCGATGCCTTCTGGGCTTCACGCTCGGCGCGTCCTCAGATTTTCCGCCAGCCGCCCTTCTCATCGCCCTCGAGGGTTTCTGTCGAATGAGAAGCCTGACGCTCGGCCGAGTAGGACGGGGTGCCGCGCCTTTCGCGGCCGCGGCCGAAGTCGAACATCCGTGCTCACGCTTCGAACGACGTGGTCACGCCTCGCGCACGGGCGTCCATCACGGCGAGCAGCGAATTATCGCGTCCACCCATCAGCTCTGCACATGCCACCGAGGCTGAGCGCTGAAACTTCTCCGGGTTTTTGTTTCTTCAGCCTCGATGAAGCCCGTTGCCCGTCCTCTTCGCCCTCTCTGAATCCACTGTGTACCTTCCTGCTCTGTTTGTTCCTCCAATCTGCTCTGTTTCGAGGGCTCTGACGATTGCCCGAGGACCGCTTTCCCGTCCCTGTCGACGGCCATCAATGTCGCAAGGTGCATAATGCACAAGGCCTGCCTGATGTGAACACGCCCTTGTTGATCCTGGCGGCCGTATGCGCGCACCGCCTCGGACGTCTCGAGCTTCCTGACGTCTCACGCACTCATCAATGGTGACCCGCCACTGTCGCCAGGAACCTGCGCGCGACGTCTCGGCAGATCATTTCCCATGCAGCAGGCAGAAACGGGTGCCCAAACCGCGGGCTGCTCGACCGCCGCCGGGCGCGCTATATGCAATCAGCCTTGGCTTATGCGCATATAAAAGCCCGCGCGCGATTCTTCAATCTCCATCACCGCTTTCTCTTTCCATTCTCCCATCTCCCTTCTTGAGCCTCGTACCTTCAACGACTCCCTATCTGTTCACGTCTGTCTCTTCGACTTGCACATCTACCCACTTCATTCTTTGCAATGGCCCGCCTTACGTTCACCTTTGTTGCTGCCTCCTTGGCGCTGTCCATGCTCGCTGCGGCCTCGCCGATGCCTGCGCCCCGCCTGAACGCGGTCCCGCGTGACGCGGCGAAGCTCGCGGTCGACGAGAAGACGGGCAACTACATCGCGTTCGATGCCGCCGGCAAGCACCTTGGCTTCATTGAGCCCAGCGCCTCGCTCGGGCGCCGCGACGGCTCGTGCGCTGCGCTCAGCTCGGATGATGTCCAGAAGCGTAAGCTTGCCTCCCTCTCCCCATCGGCGGCACTTTTTACTCATCGTATCACCCAGTTCCGGGCTGGGACAAGCTCGTCTCCCAGGCCAACGACAACTGGGGCGACCACAAGCGCAAGATCGTCACCAACGACTCGGACGTGCGTACATCCTTTGGGACGCTGGCTGTTTGAGAGGCTCATCACTGCTGCAGTACCCTGACAGGCCCGCGTCGATCTGCGCCATGGACGCTGGCGACATCGCCATCGACGGTGACCCGGAGTGCACGACCTCCACGCAGACTCTGTCCACTGGCGTGAAGGACACGACCGGTATCGCCACCGTGTCCCAGGTCACTGGCACGAGCTTCTCCTCGTCGCAGACCGTCACTCAGGAGTCCTCCATCTCAGTCGGCGAGACCGTTGATGTGAAGGTCGGCATTCCGGAGGTCGCAGACGTCACGTCTTCGACGTCCCTCACCGCGACCTTCACGAACAGCCTGTCCAAGACGTACGTCCTTGCCTCTCTCCTTCCCCTCTTCTCTTGCTAACGCCCCACCCAGCACCACCTCGACGTCCAACCAGCAGACCACGCAGACGGTCGCGATCAACATCCCCAAGGACTCGACGTGCAACATCACCTACAAGCAGACGTCCTGCTCCACGCACGGCTCCGGCCAGGTCCCCTTCACCGCGACCGGCTGGGTGTGGTTCGAGTACGACTCGAAGACGGAGGGCCACTACAAGTGGGCGCTCAACATGGACAACCTCCTCTCCGACGACGAGCGCTCGTCGTACATGAAGTTCGACTCCGTCGTCAGCACCGACACCAAGGGCGACTACCAGGCCGACTGCTAGAGGACCGGACGTCTTCGCTCCTCACGACACTAGGGACGACCACGACATCATGAAGGGACAATGGGATTTATTTATCGGTCATGCCCTTGCGGGCTTGTACTCTACATTCATTAATTATTTATCACCGTGTTTGACGCCTGGTGTTCACGCTAAACATCCCTCGCTTGAGTGTGATTCTGAGTTCTGAAATCCAGCGCCTGGGATGAGCCAGCGCTCATGTCGCCGCAATAACGGTGCAACGCAATAAATAAGTAGGGGTATACTTTCGCAAATCACAAGGGTATCGTACTGCTAGCTCGGCCACTCCGTTCGTGCCAAACTCATCAGTAACTCCTCAAAGCCCAAATTCGTCGAAGCACTGCTTGCAAGCGTCCGGCTTCAAAAGTTGGTAAGCTAGGTCAAGCCATGTTGGAATATATCGACGACATACCACGTTGGTGACTGTCTTGACCGCCTGCGCCAGGCATTGGGCGTCCGCAATGACGTCTAGAGAGAAACATGAATGAGAGCTTTGGGATGAAGAGAGAGACAACTATATTTCCACGTACTGCGGCCGAGAGAAATAGCGGCCTTGCCGCAGGCGCTGACCGTCGACGCGAGGCCCTTCGCGCAATCCTGGAGCGGAAACCTTAGGCTTAATTACAAGACTCATGTCGAGGGACAGAGCTTACGAGGATAGGGCAAGAGATGTGGTCTGCAAGCTGATCGCGAGCAACAAGAGGAGACGCGACGTCGGGCATGGGGGACGCATAGGCGATGGCGGCGAGCGCGGCGGTGAAGACGAAGGTGACCTTCATGGCGGTAAAGAGCGTTGAGTAGGGTTTGAGAGAGTGAGAGTCTTGTCTGATGGTGTTCATAGCTAGATACTGTTGAGGGTTTTATACTCGCGCATATCCTGTCGTGCGCAGCAATGGCCACAAACGCAAGCCATTGTTACAAGCTATCGGTCGAGCGCTCGATACACGTGAGTTAATCTTAGGCTAGACAGCCCTTCTGGGGTCATTTCGCGACGTTTTGTTCGCGATGTATCCAGAAAGTATGCTCTGCGATGAGGTCGGAAGAAGCCTTGAAGGTACACTTCTGGCGTCGCGCAGTGATTGGGATGTGAGAAACAAAACCGCCAAGTGCCGAGGCCATTGATAGACATAATAAACAAGTCAAAGCAGCGGCCATAGTCTGGGGTGACTCCACTGTTCCCGAGCTATGCCGCAAAGAACGTGTACTCGCGCGGAGCTGGAGTAAGAGGCGACCTCTCGGCTTAGAAGTTTGTATGTATAATCGCGAGTGTATGCGGACCCCAGAAAGACATCTTGAGATCATCCACGCCAGGCCGGGAGTCCGTGGGATACAGACGGGCAACCGCACGAAGATGAAAGTGTGTGGTAAGAGTTGGGCGGCATTTGCCGGCCTGGATTGATGGGCGAATGTGCAGCCAAGCAATGGTAAACACGGCGGTACTTGCCAGGAACCATGATCAGCGCTCACAACACAGCCGAAATCTCAGCGTTGGTTCGACGGCGGCGGAGTAGCTCAACATAATCCACTCATTCTCTATGTATGGACACGCTCCAGACCGACGCCAGCGCGACGGATTACTCTCGAAGTCTGCTAACGTTCTTCACCTGGGGTGCGCGTCAGTTTTGACTCGTCCATGACTTTTGTCGTCTCTCCGAGCAGGGGAGTTATGGCATCCTGGTGCAGAATGCTTAGCCTACCTGGAGACTCATGACCGCACGCCAATCGCAGCCTCACACGGTACGGACATACGTACATAAGTACATGTGAGAATTCCGGCGCCCTCTTACTACTTTGCTATCAAAGACTCCCGCTTTCTATGCTGTCGATTGAAGCGTACCCGCACGATGCTGACCATGTGACATACAGCATACCCCACTCTATGATGGAGTCGGTCATTGGGAAGGTACGTCCATTGTCGTGATACATTGACGATCCGCTTCTCTAATCACTGACCTTCGTTCTTAACCAGATCATGCGGCGTTTCTGTGCAGGAGCGCTTCGCGCTGGTGAATGGCTTTCCCGCAGTAAGGTCATTGGACACAGGAGTGTGTCTTTCACGGAGGTTCCTCGTCGCCGTCGGGACATGTGTATCCTCTGCGAGGTATAAGGGTCCGCCTCCGCGCGCCTGTCGTCCTCCGCTTCCGGATACTATGGTCTTCTTGGACTCGCCTCAGGTCGTAGCGGCATTGATTGCTCTGCTCAGCGCTGCTGCGCTCTACCTTAGTCATCGACAGCGATCCCCGCTTCCTCCGGGACCCAAGAAGCTGCCGCTCGTCGGAAACCTTCTTGACTTGCCTTCTAGCTACGAATGGGAGCAGTATGCGAAGTGGGCAAAGGTGTACGGTGAGTAAAGTGCTTCCAAAGCGCATCCGAGCCATTTCCTGACCTACTTGTTATGCACATAGATACCGACATCTTGCATTTGAGCGTTTGCGGGCAGTCTATCATCGTTCTCGACACATATGAGGCATGCATGGCTCTCCTAGAGAAGAGGTCAAAGTATTACTCAAGCCGGTGCGTGCCAAGAACCCTCGATGACGCTGGCGCTCGCTCAGCGAAATCTCTACAGACCCGGCCTTACGATGGCCATAGATCTTGTGGGTTTCGATTTCAACATTGGATTCATTCCATACGGTACGTTTCCCTCGTGGCCTCAGTCAGGGCACTGCTCTGAAGACCTCTTCTTCGACTAGGGAACAGATGGTGAATAATCTCCTACGGTTTGGTAGAGCGTTGTTCCCATTAACTGACCAATACCAGGCGAGCGCGACGGCGCCTAATCCACGGGATGCTGCACACTACGGCGTTCCAGCGCTTCAACCCCATCATACTTCACTCCACACACGCTCTCTTGAGAGCTTTGCTGGTCGCTGGTGAGGATGATCTGGAGGCGGAGCTTCGTCAGTAAGTTATATCCTTCTAAAATTCCGGTGTATATTGTATCTCATGCGTGTTATAGCATGGCGGCTCGCGTCATTCTGGGCGCCACGTATGGACTCGATATTCGCACCAAAGAAGATCCGCATGTCCTGAATGCAGAGGCGGTTCAGGGTTATCTGACAGCTTGCGCGAACCAGGGATCATACCTCGTCAACAGCATCCCGATCCTGAAGTACGTGCCAGAATGGATGCCAGGTGCGAGCCTTCCGCATGCGCGTTACTACATGATCTAACATCTGCAGGCGCGATGTGTTCAAGCGACAGGCTAGGGAATGGAAGGCGCATGCGCGCTACATGGTCGACACGCCCTTTGCAGAAGTCAAGAGCAATGTACGTCGTGCACGATTAGGCCCTTTGAAAATCCTCACACTGCTTAAAGCTCTGCGAAACTCCCTTCGCTCCGTCGGTCGCGTCGTTGGCTTTGGAAAAGGGTATACAGCAGGACGTCATCAAGGACGCCTGCGCTACGATGTACATGGCGGGGACGGACACCGTGAGCCCTTTGCTCGGTTTGCTCGCAAAACTGTAGTGACATGAACAGACCGTTTGCGCTATCCTCAACTTCACGCTCGCGATGATGGACCATCCCGAGCACCTCGAGCGTGCCCAACGCGAACTGGACGCAGTCGTACCTGGACGACTGCCCGACTTCGCCGACGAAGAACACTTGCCCTTCGTGACAGCTATCGTGTTGGAGTCGCTGCGATATATGCCTGTTACACCTGTGGTAGATCGGTTGATTGCGTGGCGGACTACCAGGAGATGACTTGCTCACAGGCGATTGCGCACTACTACACTGGCGAGGAACACGACATGTACAAGGGATATGTGATACCACCCGGGTTCTGTGGTCATTCCTAATGTATGGTGAGCGTCGACGCGTTGCCCCGTGTGAGGCTCACACTTTGTACAGGTCGATGGCGCACGATGAGGTCGGCGGCTCTGACTCCTCGATGATCAGAACGCTGATCTGTGCTCGCAGGAAGCTTACCCGGACGCCTACGCTTTCAAGCCGGATAGGTTCCTAACCTCCGATGGCAAGATCAACCGCGACGTGCGCGATCCCAGCGTCTTCGCCTTTGGGGTGAGCTATACCAGACCTTGTGCTCATGCTTCTAATCGTGCATCGTGCCCAGTTCGGACGTCGCATCTGCCCAGGTCGCCGCCTGGCCTACGCGTCGATGTGGCTAACAATTGCCTCCATCCTGAAGACCTTCGACATCCGCAAGGCGAAGCGCGCGGACGGCTCGGTCATCGAGCCGCCTAAGGAATGGGTGTCGGGCTTGGTGTAGTACGTCTATCATGCGCCTTTTCCGAGGGCGCCCGGCTTACAGAACTTCGCCGTCGTAGCCTCTTAAAGCTGTTCAAGTGCCGGCTTGTGTCTCGGAATGCTGAGACCCAGGCTATGATACGCGCGACGACGAATGATGCTTGTTGATCCCTTTCGTTGAACGACCGAACGACGACGCGGAGCATGGGCATACAATAGGCGGACCCGATGTAATGACGGGATGAGGTAATTCAAGAAAATCTTACAATTGCGGCGGAACTCGCTTGTGAGGTTGGTAATTGGCCAGATACATACGTACACGCTCATCTGTCGTCTTTCGATGGCGCTGCATTGCCTCACCATAGCAGACGAGTGAGGCGCTACCCTCAGTGCTATCTCACGATAAGCAGCTGTCCATGCCGTCAACTGCGGAGTCGGACGCGATGCTATTCATGTGAGTGTACGAATACCCCACCCTCTCGACGAAGCTGGTTTCTGAACGGTACGTCGATTGCGCTAATTCACTGCCAATTCACTCCTTTGATTGACATCCTTCAGCCCCCTCCGGACCATGCGGCGTCTATGCGCAGGGATGAACGACGCAAGCGGCCTTTCCTTGATGTTGGAAAGGTTGTCGGACGCACAAGTGCGGCTTTCACGCTCATCACTGTCAGGCCAGGCGCGTAGGTCGGTTATAAGAGCGCCCCGTGCCTCTCCCCTCCTCCCCGCGCGCGGCTGACTTGCATCATCAGACATTGAGTCCGGCTACCATGGCTCTCTCGGAGTCATCTCAACTCTTTCTGGTTCTCATTGCCGTCCTCGCCTCTGCTATATTCTACCTCAAGTTCCCCAAGCGATACCCACTTCCTCCGGGGCCAAGGAAGCTGCCGATCCTTGGGAATCTCTTCGACTCTCCTTCCAGCTACGAGTGGGAGCAATACTCGAAATGGGCGAAAGAGTACAGTGAGCGTATTAGCTTCAGAGAGTACCTCACTGGTGCTTGACCTTTCCTACTTCGAATAGATACCGATATCTTGCATCTGGATGTCTGTGGCCAGTCGATCGTCATTCTCGACACGCACGAAGCGTGCACAGCTCTCTTAGAAAGAAAGTCGAAGTATTACTCGAGCCGGTACGAGATTCGTCGCTTACGCTGACGCTCGAGCGCTGATGTGGGTTACTCAGACCGGGTCTCACAATGGCCATAGACCTTGTGGGACTCGACTTCAATGTTGGGATCATTCCCTATGGTGCGTCTTCTGCTAAGCCCTTGATGACGGCGTCAACCTTATACGTTCGATTCGGCGACTAGGGGACAGATGGTGAGTTCCCAGCGGTCGCGCTGCGATAACCCACGCTGATTCGCCCAAGGCGAGCTCGACGACGCTTGATCCACGAGATGTTGCATGCTAAAGCAGTCCGGCGCTTCGACCCCATTATCCTTCGTTCTACCCACGCTCTTTTGGAAGCGTTGCTCGGCGCAGGCCAGGATGACCTTGAGCAAGAGCTTCGACAGTGAGTCCTTTTTGTACTTCTGATATTCAGAGACATCCTCACTCATGTGATAGCTGGGCGGCTCGCATCATCCTTGGCACTACCTATGGATTCGACATCCAAACGAAAGACGATCCGCACGTGTCGAATGCTGAAGCAGTTCAAGACTATTTCTCGGCTACTGCGAACCAAGCATCGTACCTCGTCAATAGCATACCCATCTTGAAGTATGTACCGGAGTGGATGCCAGGTGAGTCTTCAAATATGTGCTTGTCTACGTGATCTGACGCACGCAGGCGCGGCGTTCAAGCGACAGGTGAGGGAGTGGAAGGATCATGTGCGCTATATGGTCAATACACCCTTCGACGAAGTCAAGAACAATGTGGGTGTGTCCTCTCTGGGCGACCCTTTGATAACTGAATCCATCGGGTGCAGCTTTGCGAAACCCCTTGCGCGCCGTCCATCGCATCGTTGGCTTTAGAAAAGGGTATAGAGCAGGACATCATCAAGGACTCCTGTGCGACGATGCACATGGCTGGAACTGACACGGTAAACCTTATTCTATCGGAGATTTATTCAATGAGATGACCTCTCCAGACTGTCTGCGCTATCCTGAACTTCACGCTTGCCATGCTGGATCATCCTGAGTTACTCGAGTGTGCCCAGCGTGAACTCGACAAAATTGTTCCCGGGCGATTGCCTGACTTTGCGGACGAAGAGCGCTTGCCTTTCGTCACTGCGATCGTACTAGAGTCGCTTCGGTACATGCCCGTCACACCCCTGGTAAATCATGCAGCTGCGCAACAGACTACTGGTAGAGCTGACTCTCCGCAGGCTATTTCGCACTACTTCTCTGGCGATGAACCCGACTTATACAAGGGGTACATGATACCGCCAGGTTCCGTAGTCATTGCTAATGTCTGGTGAGTGCCTAAACATCGATGAGCTACCTTGAAGAACACTCGTGCCTAGGTCAATGGCTCACGACGAGGTTAGCAAGATTGGCTTCTCGCAAAGTAGTACACTGATGAACGTCAACAGGATGTTTACCCGGATCCCTATGCTTTCAAGCCAGACAGGTTCTTGACTGACGATGGCACAATCAACCGAGATGTGCGAGACCCATGCGTCTTTGCTTTCGGGGTAAGCGGTCCACCGCGGAATCCTCCTACCTTATAATTGTGCATCGACCCCAGTTTGGACGCCGCATCTGCCCGGGTCGTCGTTTGGCCTACGCTTCCATCTGGATTGCGATTGCCTCCATCCTGAAAACCTCCGACATCCGCAAAGCGAAGCGCGCAGACGGCTCGGTCATTGAATCGTCGGAGGGGTGGGCTTCTGGCTTGGTGTCGTACGTCAGTCGCTGGCTTGGAGAAGGTCTCGACTCACAGACCTTTGTTGGTGCAGCCTCCCGAAGCCCTTCAAGTGCCAACTCACCGCGCGGAACGCTGAAGCCCACGCGATCATACGCGCGGCAGCAAACAATCAGTATTGATTCATCAAAGGCGTGGGATGACGAGTTGAAGGGGACTTCCTTGAATGATTGTGCGGGTTGCCGTGATGAAGGTCGTCTGTTGGATTAACTGTCGCTCAAAACTATCCACCTTACCTGCCGCTATTCCAAGGATAATAATCGACTTGTCGCCAGTAGTCGAGTGCAAGCATAAGAATGCATGGTAAATCATTAACATACAAGCCCACAACTTGAACCCAATAAATACGAGATAAACAGCGCCCCGGGGGTATATTAGCCGCCTCAGCCTCATCAACGTCGCCAATGGAAGCTCAAGAGCTTCGAGGAAGGCGCATTCATTGCTCAGAAGCCGAACTCGCGCAGGCACTGCTTGCAGCTGTCGGGCTGTCGAAGGAGTGAGCTTCGCACAGTCGGTGCACGCGAAAAGCGGTACTCACCGCGTTGGCGATCGTGGAGACCGCCGCAGCGAGGCACTGGGCGTCGGCGATGACATCTAGAAAGGTGTCCAGCGGGTCAGGCGGAAGGGGGAAGGAGGATTGGCGCACTGCGCCCGAGAGAGGCCACAGCCTTGCCGCAAGAGCTGACGTTGCTCGCGAGGGACTTCGCGCAGTCCTATCATGCGAGAAGGTTCGTGAGCTACAGGGAGAAAGCATGGTTCGCGTAGCTTACCAGGATGGGGCACGAGATATGGTCCGCCAGCTGGTTGCCGGCGACGACCTCAGAAGAGATGATGTCGGCAGCAGGAGCGGCGCTGGCAACGGCAGCGAGGGCGAGAGTGAAGACGGCGAAGACCTTCATGATGTTCGAAAGATTGACTGAGTCAAGGAGGGTTGAAGGAGTGAACGTGGAACTGAGCTGGCTAGCTATGTCGAGAAGCAGAGCTTTTATATACCTGGGCAGGCGGCAGGTGATACGCAGGAGTGGCCACAAATCCGGTGGAAGCCCTCGAGTGGCGTTCTAGCAGTCAAAAATGTCGACGCCGTCCTGAATATTCCGCATTGCTTGGAGAAAAGATTTCATGCCGTCGGCCACAAGGAAAGGTTCTCCGCTTCCTCTGTTGATGAAGACGCGAGGAAACTTGTCGCAAAGTCGTTCTATATATGCCGGTGTATAGCAGGGAAGCCCTCCCGGCACAAGCTCGAGAGACCTCCAATTTCCAGAAGTGCTTGGCAGCGCCAGAAGCGGCGCGAAAGACCTCGTGGCCTCACCCCTGATAGCAAATTGGACGGCGATCCACGGATTTCCTCGCTCGATTCTGGTCGGAGGGTAGTAAAAGTAGGGCTCTGGGGGGCTTCCGGGACGGGTCTGTGGCTGGTTTGTTTCTATGTAGTTCTCATCGCATCGTAGCTTCCAACGCCTTAACCAAGGCGTCGGCGGTCGTTTCGCCTACAGTCTGAAGGGCGGTGGAAGATGGAAGCAAAGTGTAACGGCAGTTGCCGAAACGTTGGTCGAAGCAAAATAGAAGCAAACACGGACACCCAACTTGAGTCGCTCCCATCGCCCACTTGACTTTTCAAGTGAGAGATTTCGAGAGAAGAGTCAACTTGATGTACGCTCAAATATACTTCCCACGTTTTTGTTCCATCCACACCGAGAGCTGCTGTCACGAGTGGGAAGCCAAATGCCAGGTTGTCCGATAAAAGGTGCCACGCGCGGCATAAATATTCCAAATAAATAGTAACAACATCGACAGGAGTACCCCTGAGGGTGGTTTACACGGGTATCGTCGCATACAACTGAGGGTATACTAGGTTGGAAACTCCTGGACCGACTTTACAGCCCGAACTCGCTAAGGCACTGCTTGCAGCTGTCGGGCTAAGGAGCAGTCAGTAATTCAGGAACATCCATCAACAAAAGAGTAACATACAGTTGGGGACAACCAAAGTCGACAATTTTGGATACTTTGCCGGAAAACTTCGGACTTTGTAGAAAACGACGCCTTTCGATGAGGGGAGTAACCTAAATAAATCTTAGACCGAACGGCTCTGCCGTTCGCCCACAAATCGCGATTTATTGTTCGAGGGGCCCAAAATATTGGCCACCCCTCATTTCTGCCCCTAAATCCAAGAAAAAATGGTTTTTGAACGCCTTTCGCCCATGTCCGTCCGTTTACGCGGTCGTAAAGTGACCGGAGCAACGCCGAAAAGCGCTCGAAATATTAAAAATGCGTGACGTTATGCATGTCTGTCACACCATCGTTACAGTGACGGTAGCTGGGGATGGTCCGCACCTTGCTCGCGAGCTACATTCAGCAAGCTGGCGCGGCATGGATATGGTCTACGCTCCATAACTACGAGCTTTTCTTACTTTGAGCGCTGCCGGCACTTGCCGAACGCCGTTGAAACTGGCCCAAAAATTGGCCACCCCCGAAAAGGGGTCCTAAAATCGCGGAAAAATCGTTTTTGGGGCTTTTGAGCTCTTCTGAGTTCATTTCTGAGCTCAGATTCCCGTTGGATAAAATATTTTATGCTCCGACACGATTTGTCGACTTTGGCTGTCCCCAACTGTACAGCGTTGGTGACGGTGGACACGACTCCGGCGAGGCACTGAGCATCGGCGATGACGTCTAAACAGGTAGCTTTCAGCAGGCGCTTCAACATGGCGAGCATGAGATAAACGTACTGCGACCAAGGGAAGTGGCCGCCTTGGCGCACGAGCCAACCTTGGACGCAAGCGCCTTGGCGCAGTCCTACACAAACGTGCTTGATTAAGGGTGGAGAACAGTCCGACGGCGAAGGACATACGAGGATGGGGCAGGAGATATGGTCCGCGAGCTGGTCACGGGCAACGAGCTCGGGGACCGCAATGTCGGCGGTGGGGGCCGCGGTAGCGACAGCGGCGAGCGCGATGGTGAAGAGGGCAAAGGAGAACTTCATTGTGAAGGAGAGATGTTGTTAAGGCTGAAAGGAACGAATGTGGATGTGCGGTGGTTAAAGATGTGGGGAAGAGCATCCTGCTTTTATACCCTACTGACAGCAAATACCTCGACCAACTCATCGGACTGTGGCGCATCTCTGGTGCAGGCGAGGACGGTAGAGACAGCGACGCCGTATGGCAAGCGTCCTCTGGCTGTTCCAGGCGTCAAGCGCTGCGTTGAGACACCCGTACCTTTCCTTCTCATGCGTTCCCCTGGTTTGGAGACCCACGAAGGGAGAGTCTGGCTTCCAAGCACTCCGAATGACGGACAAATCGACACCACCGGAGGCGAGAGAGAGAGCGACTTCCTGTACCACCGGCGACATGCAGACTTGCCAAAACATCAAAAGAACGAAGCAGAGTGAATGGAGAGGTGAGGCTCGGTGTCCTTCGTTCGGCATCCCGCGGAGAGCTTGACTTCACTTCGATTATAGGGTGAGCGCTAGCAGTGATTAGTGCTTCAACCTTGCGTACCGGAGCAGTAACATCTAACCCTAAAACAAAGCGAGTCATATACGATCGCGCTTACTCTCACGACGTCAGGCAAGACGCGTCCGCTAAGCGGTAGATGGCGGTAAGAGCCAAGTTTGGTGCGGCGTTTGCCGAACTGCAGTTGAGCATCGAACGAACGGGAACAAGTCATGCCTGTATGTTTGGCAGCGACTTCCCTCTGTCTATCACTTTCTCTCTCGGTTCATGACGTTGCGACTAGTATTCCTAGATTCTGAATACTAATTTGTAAACCGCGCTTCCTACCATATCCTAATTTTCGGTTGTATGACAGCGGTTTAAGACTTCATAGGTTCGCACACGAACTGGTATATGTTCGGGATATAGATACAGCAAAATGCCAAGATATGGGTATACATAGGGCGAATAAATACGACAGGACCCTTAGGTGGCACGCTCGAGGGCCCTACATCCACTCCCGACCCTCCGGATCCCGGAATCGACGGACGACATGTAGGATATCTACAGGCCAAACTCGTCGAGGCATTGCTTGCAAGAGTCAGGCTGGAGATAATCGTCAGGGAAGCTGAGAAGTTGGGTGTAGTGTTGAACAACGCACGAGACTAGTGACCGTCTTCACTGCCGCCGTCAGACAGGAGATGTCGGCGAAGATGTCTATGGGAGATTAGTCAATCTGTAGTGCGGCACAATAGTTGTGAGCTTACTCGCTCCGGCCGTGGCGAGCGCAGCGCCGCAGGTGGCCACAGAGGGCGCAAGGGAGCCCAGGCACGACTGCGGGTTGCACTGAATCGAGGGCGAGGAGTGTTTGCGATGGGGGCTTACCACAAGGGGGCAAGAGATGTGGTCGACGAGACGGTCACGGCGGACGAGCTCGGTGGCATCAACGTCCGCGGACGCGTAGGCCACGGCGGCGAGAGCGGCAGTGAAGACGGTGAAAGAGAGCTTCATGACTTCGAGAAGGATCGAGACAAGTAGGGAGACGAGCAAAGGAGTGCGTTGATGACAGAAGTTGAGCCTTCGATGCGCTTTATATGTTTGGAGTTGTGAGAAGAAATTCTTCACAAAACGCAGGCTTCAGGTCGCAGCAAACTAGCGTGGCGACTTGCCGTTTCCGGGTTCTAGCTTGTGTATCAGCTTTTCTCCAGTCGCGCGAGCCATCGCTTGGGGTGGGCCAACACAGACGAAGAAGGAGTGATAAGTGCACTCTCGAGAAGACCTTCTGAAGCGCCGACACTTTCGGAGTGAAGTGCAGTATCCGGGCTCGAGGTTTACGACGCAGTGTGGCGCATGGCCGGCTTTCTGGGTCAAGAGAGTATTGAGTTGAGATGTTTTGAGGGTATAGTTTGGGAAGGAATGTCGGGCTACAACAATGATGCAACGGAGAATGCCGATGCTCGGGTTAGACTAGTAGGAGAAGGGACATCTGAGGGGTGGGCAGTATACGAAGAATAATCCCAGGGCTGAGAGCGAAGGTCGCGTCTGGGTAGGGAAGCGTGGGGCCCATAGCGATGAGTACGTGACAGGTGAACGTAGAGACAAAGGGTGTGGGACTTTCGACCGGAAGAGGAAGCCCGAAGCGTACAAATATTTGGTCTCCATCAATTGATGCCCGTCCTCGCGTCCGCCGCCACTCTTCATCCCTCTTCTTCAACGCATCTTCGCAGCCTTCGACGACAACACACCTTGTCTCATACGCGAAAATATCATCAGTCTCCTTGTCAATGTTGCTCCTCCATCAAGCTCTCGTCGAAGATTATGACCTGGCTTGACTCACGACGATCCTGCAACCTCGGACGGCCAACGACTGGCTTTCCTTTGTCCTGATCCCCATACCCATAAGTTATGCCCCATGGCAGAAGATGATGTCCACGAAGTAACAATCACCTTTGCACATTTCAACGACGTCGTACGTCCTCATGCTATCTCTCCTCTTCCCCTCACCGACAACCTGCGGCAGTACCACATCAGTAACGCGTCCAGAATCGCGCGCTTCTCTGCCACAGTATCTGAAACAAAGCCCGATCTCATCATCTTCAGCGGGGACGCGCTCAGCCCCTCCCTTGAGAGCAGCATCTTGAAGGGGGAGCACATGGTCCCCGTACTCAATCACCTTGGCATAGACGTCGCTTGCTATGGAAATCATGGTGCGCTCTACGACCCAGTATCCTCTGCGCCTCCTTCTGATACCATGCTTTCCCGGCAGACTTTGACTTCGGCGAACAGCGCTTTACAGAGCTTTCCGCACAGTGCAACTTCCCATGGCTCCTTTCTAACGCCTTCTCCTTGAGCAATTCCCTTCTTGCGTCCGCGCACCCTCATATCATCAAACAAGTCGGCCCCCTGCGCGTAGGCTTCTTCGGTCTGGCTGGGACGTGCGTTCCTCTTTCCTCCTGACATGGGGACTCAGCACGAGCCTGTCCACTGCAGTGACTGGCCTTCCAATTGCCAACATCTTCCCTCAGATACGCACATTGAAGATCCAGCAGAATGTTCAACTCGCATGGCCGCTCTGATGCGCGAAGAGTATAACGTAGACGTCGTAATCGCTGTCACGCATATGCGGATGGAAGAGGACTTGGATGTGGTCAGCCGCTGTTTAAGCGTCGATCTCATCCTAGGCGGACACGATCATGACCACATGATTCGTGGCTCTCGGTACACGGAGAGCAAGAACCACGCTGAGGGAGACATCAAGGTCGTCAAGTCCGGGACGGATTTTCGCGAGTTCAGCGTTGTGAAGGTACACGTTGATAAGTGCCAAGACAGCTGGCGTATCCGAATGGTCGAAGGTATGCGTCCTCTCTATCTTTCTACCGTGGTTCCCAGCTTTACAACCCTTCCAGTCGATCGCGTACAAGAAAACGACTTCGGAGCAGAAGACCCGCGCACGCTCGCCATTATCGCCAACGTAGACCAGCGTATCGCGTCCCTCTCGCACAATCGCATCGCTTACACTGCGGTACCCCTTCACGGGCTCACATCGCACGTTCGAAGTGCGGAAACGAATCTCGGCAACTTGCTCGCGGACGCGGTGCGCGCCTACTATGACACCGACATCGCGTTCGTCAACTCGGGAAGTATACGATGTGATAGGGTCATCCCGGTCGGGGCCTTAACAGTGAGGGATATAATAGGTGAGCAAACGCCTTTAGCAGAGCGTAGATGAAGCTCACTGAACGAGACTAGACATCGTCCCGTTTGCCAACCCTTGGGTAGTGAAGCATATACCTGGGCGACTCATCCTCCAGGCCCTCGAGAATTCCGTGTCCGACATGCGGAGCGATGGCCGGTTCCTGCAGCTCTCCGGCCTCAACATCGTCGTCGACTTCAGCCGTGCCGAAGGGCAGCGTATCTTGTCAGCCCTTCTGTCCTCGGGCGCACCTTTGAAAACCGACACCGCGTACACGGTGACGATGCAGCGCTTCATCGCAGAGGGCTTTGATGGCTACTCCCTCTTTCGTGACGCGGTAAACTTGGTTGATAGAGAGGCCGCAGTAACGGACACCTCGTTGCTAATGGCGCTCTTATCATCCGAACGTCGACACGGAGCTGACAAGGCCAGCGACGGAAGCGACGAGAGGCTGGTTCGTGCGGCTCGAGCGATTGTAGTGGGGACGAGGGAGGGATTGCCAGTTTTGTCGCCGGTGGTGACTGAGAGGATAAGGACGGTGTAGCGGTGCGAATCGTCGCTGGAGGTGCGAGGGATCGCAAAGCGTCGGTGGCGAGGTCACCGATGCCGCTGTGGCGCGCAAATTGGACTGCGCGTTGGCGGCCGGGAGCGGTATATGGGGGTCAATTATATCCTTGATTGTGCCGCCCGAGTAGACCCTCTGAAAACATTGTACTCGAGTATATACCTTGCAATGCCCATCTTCTTGCTCCCAGAACCGTGTCCTTGGCTTGGAGTCCGGCTCAGAGTCTTGGCCTCACGAGTCCCATTTTCCAGGCAACGATCAGTGACGGAGGGCCTGTTCCTGATGAACATATCCACCACGCGCGCAGCAGAAAAGGAGCCTATTTCCGTCTCCGTGCGTTTTCCCGCATCCGACATACGCGCGAGTATTATAGCGCACTCGGGCGAGGCGGCTTGATGCTCTGAACGTCCATGAAGCCTGCGCTCGCTGTCCTCGCCGGCGTGCACATCGTCCTCTCCGTCCTTGGCCCCGTCCTGCTCGCGTGCTACATCTACAACCGCGCCTATGGGTACTGGTTGGACCACGTCGGGAACGGCGTCTGGGAGCCTGCGTGGCCCAAGGCGCGCACGCGCTTCGTGCTCTGCATGGTCACGGTGCCCATCTGGGGGCTCTGCATGGCGGGGGGAACGCTGCTGTGGGAGACGGGGAAGCGAGCGTATGCGACGTACAGTGCGCGCCACTGGCGCGCGTACTACCGAGCCCTCAACGACACGGACGAGGATCACTCCAAGACGCGCGTGCGGGTCAATAGGGGGGAGGGGCGAGGAACCTGGATCGCGCTCAGCGTCTATGGCAGCTTGGCGCTGTGGGGGCTGTTCCTCTTGGCGACGTACGAGCAGCCGGTCGATCATCGGTTCAAGCAGGACATCGCGCTTGCGAACAGGTCCCCCCGACCAGAGGGATATGGGGATGGCGGTGCGTCGCACTATCCATCCTTCCATCTCACTACTGACCCATCCCTCAGAGAAGGTGTTCATCGCTGCCATGTTCCACAACAACGCAGGGGTCATACCCTACTGGACCGAGCAGTGCATCAAGCTCATCCACTACCTGGGCACCGTGCGCCATTCCCCTTCCCCCTTCCCTTCGTCTGACCCAATCCATTCACAGGACAACGTCTACGTGTCCATCGTGGAGTCGCACAGCACCGACAACTCCCCCGACTTGTTGCGCCAATTCGACGCCGCTCTATCAGACTTGCACGTCGAGAAGCGCATCCTTGTGAACGACAAGTCAATATCTCGCCCATCCACCATGGATACTTCCCCCGCGCGCATACAGTACTTAGCCGCCGTGCGAAACCTCGCGCTAGAACCTCTGGTCGAGCGCGGCGGATTCGAGCGGGTGCTATTCAGCAACGACATCTTCATCAAGGCCGAGTCCATGCTCGAGCTGTTGAAGACCCGTGACGGAGACTATGACATGGCTTGCGCAGTGGATCTATCCTTCTGGGGGTGCGTGTAATCGCGGGATAACAGACCCACTCTGATGTTTGCGCAGACTGTATGACGCGTGGGTGGTGCGCGACAGTCTAGGGAGGATACCGTCATCTTTATGGCCGTATCTTGCTGACGAGGAAGGCATGAGCGCCATCAAGAGGGACGAGCCAGCGCCAGTCTCCACTTGCTGGAATGGCATTGTGTCGATCCGAGCAGACCCCTTCCTTCCAATCCATCTCCGAAGACCGAACAGTCTGTCCATGAAGCCTCTTTCGCACCCATTACCCGAGAGCCATCCGGCCTACCCACAACCGCCCGACCTGTCCCCCGCCGGCACGCTGCCCCTCCGCTTCCGACACTCCTCCCCCAACGAATGCTTCTCATCCGAGTCCTTCAACCTCCCCTACGACCTCCGCCGCCAGTTCGACCTCACCGGGATCTACCTCAACCCGCGTGTCATCACCAGCTACGACTGGAACTTCTTCGTATGGTACAAATACGTTACCCGACACTGGCTGGTGAAGTGGTTCATCGAGCGCGTCGAGGAGGGCGCCGGGATGGAAAACGCGCGGATGATCATCGGCGACGCCAACAATATCTGGACGTGGGACGGGGGCGAATGCCAACCCGTGCGCTCCTTTCATCTTATGGCACCAGAGTACACACTAATATCCCCGCAGTGGTGGTAGCACGAGGTTACCGACTGTCTATACCCCATTGGATGCCAACGACGCTCGCTTTGTAATGTAAGAGGCCGATTCGGAAGAAGATTCAGATCCAGGAAGACACCGTTGTGTTGGGTCCCTTTGTAAACGGCCAAGTCAGTGCACCTCGGTCTACCTCGGTAGTTCGGTAATCGACCATGCTAATCTTGCGCCGTTCACAGGTCAGATCTTCTGATCCACCTGCAGATAGATCTCTCGTGTCACATTCCGAAAATAAGAAGACAAATGGAAAACCTCCTCGCTCGTGGGTGCCACGATTTTTGAACTCCCAGCGCCCCGTCGCCCTTCCCTCGACATCCCGAAGTCCTCAATCTGTACCATTGAAGTTAACGATATCGATAGGCCCTCCTAGTTATACGTGTACATGCCGCCGCCCCGTACATATACAGTCCGCGAGCTGTTGTATTCCTAGCCACGCACCGAACCTTACACGAACATAATATCCCTCGTGCGTCCCCCGTCCGCGCCCAGCCGCAGCGCCGCGATCTGCGCGCTCAGGCTGGAGTACCCGTTGCCGATGAAGACATCCGCGCGCCGCGCGAGCTCGACGTCGACGGCGACAGCGTAGTCGCCCTCGCCCTTTTCCAAGCCAAGCGTCCCCGAGTGTGTTACGCGGCGCATGGGCCCGCCCGGCCAGCCGGCGGCGCGTGCGTGCACGTCGCTCAGCACGGCGGCCTCGAGCTTGGCCAGGTGAAGCTTCACGAGCGGGTGGTCCCACGCGCCGTCGTGGAGGATGTGGAGGACGCGGAGCGTGCGACTTCGCGCGTGCATGTCGATGAGGTCGAGGATGCGCCGGAGGGAGGGGTAGCAATGTTCCATGACGGAGGAGTCATTCCCGGTGGATAATGGAGGTGAGTATACGGAGTTGTAGAGTTCGGGAAGGGTAGCCCAGGTAGTGAATCCGGTGTGGTCTTTTGCGAGGTAGCCGCAGTGCGTCTCGAAGTCACCTCTGCGAAGATGTATGGCCATGTAGGCATCCCCTTCTGGATTGGTTGGCGACCGTAGGTTGAGATTGGCCTGCGTGCGTGCAATGGCGACGCTGATACCGTCCGACCAATAGAAGTACTCTTTGAGGTAGGCCTGATAGGTCGGCCATACGATATGCAACCCGGGAGAAGCAAGAAAGCTTCAAGAAGGTCAGCTCTTGCGTCTCAAGCAATCCTGCAAGTCACTCACTTCCACGATAATATCTTGTTGTCCACAACCAGGCAGCGTGCCGTATTCGCCTCAATCTCCGCCTTCGCCTCCGTCCAGCGGGTTCGATCGCTCTCTGAGTTTATGGTGATGTGCGTGCGCTCCGCTTCCGGGCAAACCTCGTCATACACGGTACTGCTGACCGTGTCTGCGGTCACGCCAGCGAGGAAGGCGGACAGAGGCACGAAGGAGTGCTCGCCGCGCTTTCTCCAGACGAACGGCTGGTAGACGTACGTTCGACGCGTCTCCAGCGCGAGATGGTGATATAGAAGGATTTCCTGCACCTGGCGTAGTGTGAGCGGACGACCGGAGAAGACTCATCCGTCTGGGAAATTTACCTGATTGTTGAAGCCAGCACCCTGAAGTTGCTTGAAGAGCACAAAACGCTGCGGGCCACGTTCCTTCTGAAGTAGCGCCCGCGAGTGTGCCACCTCTTGCTTTTCGAGCGTAGAGTATAGCGCATATGGTGGCCAATCGTACGTATACAGACCGTACAAGACGAATAAAAAGACAGAAAATGAGAGACTGATGTATCGCACGCGACGCGACTTGCTCAGGGATATTAGGGGCGCAGCTAGGACCACTACGAAAGCGGCGACGGTCACGACGAGCGCCGCGATACGCCGGGCGAGAGTCCGTGCCACTGCGGGTGCATTGGCGCACCAGGTAGTTGTCCGAGCAAGTAGCAGCCGAAGACGCGTTCGTACGCGAGTGAGAGTAGACATGAAGGTGAGCAGGAGATAGAATGGCAGCTGCGCTTTTTCGTCCTTCAACACAGCCCCGGCCGGTTTCTCGGACGAGCGCAGTAAGCAGCAACTCTAGTCCAGCTGCGCTTCCAAAATAGGGCGATGGTGCTTTATACAGATTAGCAGCACAGAAGACGTCAAGTCAGAGCAGAGAGCATCCTGTGGGCTGTATAGACCTGTCCCACGGCGAAGCAAGGTGATGGTAGAACAGAACCAGGGGCGAAGGCAACAACGTCGCGGAGTTCAACTCGGCAAATTCCGGCCTGTTTCATTTCGGGCGCTCGGAACTTCGGACCGCGCAACGACAAACGAGCAAACAAATCCCAGCAAATATTCCAGTTGCAGAGAGTCCAATCACTATTATACACAGATCCGCGAGTAGATCACCAGATCCTTTTCACCATCGTGAATCGCGTCAGGTCCTCGAGCTTTACACGAGAACGCTTGCCTTTCCCACCCGCAGATGGCGCCGAACCTGACGGTCGTTCACCCATCTCGGGAACGGGTGGAACATCGTCGCGCGAATCGTCAAGAATGTCCTTGAGCTCGCGGTTGTATCGCTGAGAGTGGTCAGAGATGTGAGTGAAATAGATGTAGAGCGACATACCTGTTCCTCCTTCCCCTCGCCGATTGGGTCGCGACCAAAATCGTTAATCACATCTGCCTTCTCTCGCTCCTCCACGCCCGCGTGCCGACGCGTCGCATAGCTGATGAGGTTGACGCCGATGATAATCTTCACGACGACGAAACTAACCAGCATGAGTTAGCGAGAACCTACTGCACAAATCGTACGACTCACCAGACCCAGAGCAATACTCCGATGGCGGCTAACTTTAAGAAGTGCGCAAGCTCAATTGCAGTGACCTCTGCATCCGTCCACGAGGGGGAGACGCTCTCAGCATGCAGCGAGAACAACAGCGTCAACGACTGCGAGCCGATGAGTACGGCGAGGACCGCTAAGGGTAGTGACGAGAAGCCAAGCCGACGAGCGACCAGAGGTGCTTGGTCGACGTAGGTATGCTACAGGGAGTTAGTACTCGAAGCCCGGAGAGCGAAAGGTGGGCATACCTTGCGAGCTCGTCTACCAATAGCACTCCCGCATGCTAGATCCCTACATAGTACATCCGCGTATCGCTCGTATACTGACGGTCGTATGTGATTAAACTTCGTGATGAACGCGTGCTTGAGCCAGTCGACAACCATCTCGGACGCCAGCACAGTCAAGACAGGCTACAGGGAAGGTTAGCCACGTCCCTCCATCACTATGAAAGTACGCACATAAGATATGGTCCACAGCACGTTGTTACCGCGGAACCACCCGAAGCTCTTGGGAAGTACAAAGCCCTGCGAAAAGTCGAACTCGGTCCCGCTCAGCTCAATCAGGTTCCTGAACGCGACCACCACGAGCATGAGTGCTAGTGTAAAGCGCTCGACGATGTCGGCGCAGGTGATCTGGAAGAGGTTGTCCTTCTCGAACTTCTTGAACACGGAGCCCTTGATCTCGACGAATTGATTCGACAAGAGCAGCGTCAGCAGCGCATGGTCGTATGAGTTGACGGCGACGTTCAGAGATATCATCTGGTAGACCATGACGAGTGTGTGCATTACTGGACATTTTCGTTGAGGAATACGCAGCAAATGCGAAACTGGCAAGCGACGCACCATTGTATGCCAGCGCCAAAACAAAGTACATCATAGGGCGGAAGGTGTGCACTGTGACTGGCACCCTATGTGATAGCGGCTCCAGTGTAGATCGCGAAAACAGACAATCGAGTATGTCCTGCCCTATCGAAGCGCACAGTCGGTCGGCTATCTGACAAGTCGTGGGCGTTGGCTCAGAACATTGGCAAGACGAACACGCACCTCCAGTGCGTTGAAGATCACATAAAGTTTGATAGTATCCTGACCACGGATCGAGTGATAGATTTTGCTGGCATCCGTCAACGGTGTCAATATTGCGATCGACGACAGCAGCAACGTGGCGCGCAAGAGGTCAGCCTTTTGAGAGGGAGGGAGTGGCGGCGCTTTGGGTGAGAACATGTTCGAGCATAGGCGGAAGAAGGCAAGTGTCGCGCGTATAGGCAGGATAGTAAATGTGTACAGGAAGGAGTCGAAGCATAGAATGAACCCAAAGCCGAGGAGCTATACGCGACGTCAACGATCGGTGCAAGGAAAGAAGTACCACTACGCACCTTCTCGATCGCGATGGGTATACTGAGGAAGTTGCTCACTCGCTCCCACTTCATCTCCTGATGCGAATCGAAATCCGTCGCGAGCAGCTCCTCGCGCAAATAATCCCAGATCGAGAACGGCGCGCTCGACTCATGCGGTAGCATAGAGTACGACGGTGACATGGGTATATCTCCAGGGGACTCCGGACCCACTGGGCTCGTCGCGGGGATCGGGGTAGGCGGCAGCGAGGAGTATACCAGCGGTCGCTGATCTCGTCCGCGGCCGCGGAAGAAGTGCCGCTCCGAAGTCTCTAGACCATCGCCTACGTGGGGGAACACGTCGCCCGTGTCGTGGCGTTCGGAATAGCCGCTATTCATACTGTATTCCTGTTCATACGGACCGAAGTCATGCGTTTCGTCGTGCCCGTGGTCATGATCATGGTTCGCGCCAAGCTCGGGGGAAGTCGCGGCGGTCTTGTTGCTGCTTCGCCTGCGTGCAAAACTGGGTCCCAAAGACGAGTATTTGTTGCTGGGGAATGAGGATGTGGTGGTCGACGACAGGGAGAAACGCCTCTTGGGCTTGCGCGACCGACGTGATGGAGGCGACATCAAGGCCGCGTACAAGCGCACATTGGCACGTGTCCCGCGTTCTGCCATCTCACGTGCTGTCACGTGCACAAGTTCAACTTCGATGGTCGCGACGAGTCGTGATTCGAGCGTAAAGATATGTCTTGGTGTTTTGACTCCATTCAAAGCTCACAGAACCATACGGGTCGCTGCTTGCTCGAGCAGACGCTCGCAAGTATGTAGCTATGGATCTTTCTGCCCGTTACCTGGTAAAGGCGAGACTTGCACGGTCGGCAAGTTAGGCTACGCGGCAAGACATTCCAATGCAGCAGACATCGCAAACTTTCCCAAGGAGGCCATGAACCTCAGCAGCTTACGCCGCGGTAGCTGTCTATCCGTTATTGTGTCTGTGTAGCACCCACACCTCCCCGATGTATACCGCAAGACGAGTCCTCGCCAAACCAGCCCCACTGACGCCGAAGGAGCGGCCTTGCGGTCAGATGCTGCCTGGCTGTGCTCGGTCATCAACAGCAGTTGCAAGCACGACGGAGCCCTTATGTGCGGACACAGTACAGTATATTGAGAACATCGGCACGGCCCATCCTCCGTCCGCCCTGCACCGCGTCCATAGTTCCGCCCTTTAGGCGACCGGGCCGCCGCGAACATGCATTCAGGAAGAATCTCTGAAAGAGTCGGAACCTTCTTCACAAGCGTTTTCTCAAACGGGGACATCACACTTCGCGGCGGCCGACGAGAAGATCGGATCGCGGAGGAGCGTGAGAAGCCGAAAGTGCAAATCAATGGGAACCAATCCGAAGGTGTGCTTTATGGGGTAAGGAGTGATTGGCATTCGATCAGGCATCCCCGCAGGATCAACGTTCGGGATCTGCAAGTCGGCGACAACTGTGGTTGGAGAGGCCGCCGCGGACGATGAAGCAGAGGGCCGGGTACAGTGGGTCGCGCATGGTCAGGAATTTCACCTGTAGCCGCTGTCGAGAAGAGCTGATTTTCCATCGGTCAAGCAGAAGGAGAGGGTATCATACAAGGTCTGATATTGATTCGGCGACGGGTGTGAGTCTAGCTACATGTCGTATCGCAGAGTCCGTATCACACGCGATGTAATAGAGATGGTGTCCGTGGAGAAGCCAAGGAAGCAAGCCTGCAGCGTCCAAGACGACTCGAAACGCGTCCGTTACAACTCCCGAGAAAGCGTCCACGAGTGCGTATGAGGATCCAGCCCTAGAAAAGAACACCCTCGGCTGCAACAACCAACTGATACTGGGCCTCTATAGGGGCTGTGAGTTGAACGGTGACGGACCATGAGGACGAGGGGAGGGACGCACCCATAAGCGGAGACGCGAACGACGGCAGCGTCATTAGCAGCGTACATCGGTCGAGATCAGTTTGGATATCCTGAGGGCTGACACTGATGCCCACCGCACCCAGCGCCAGCCGGCCCAAGGTCCACTTGAGAACGCGAAAGACGGTCGCCAGAACGGTCTATGCAGTCGTCAGCGAACAGCCTCCGACCTTCACGGAGAGGGGATCCGGGAAACCGACAACGTACCGCCATCAAGGGGCTCATCGGCGGCAAGGTCTGTACGTTGACCGCACCGAAGACAGAGATGACGGCGTGCGCCGCAGTCACGCACTTCATCCAGGAGGGCCCCGACGTCTCTGCGAAGACGCCATGCAGGCGAATGAGGCCCGCGTTCGCGAAGGAGTGCGCCGTGAGATAGGCGCGGATTGCGGTCGATTGGAAGCGGTCCAGGCGGGGAATGGATGTCCGGAAACGCTCGAGGAAGTAGTCGTGAGTGGAGAATGTCGACGCGTATGTTTCTGTGTCGTCTGCGGTCATATCTTGGTTCGTAATCAGTCTGGTGCTCTCATACGCCCATTCGAAGGGAAGGAGAAGACGTACTAGGACGATACTGCGTAGCAAGGCTAGCTGCACGCTCGTAGAGGAAGGACGCCTGCGCCACAAGCGCCATAGGCGTATATTCCCTCAGCCCGCGTTCAAGGAGGGCTGGCCGGAGGTTGCGCAACGTTTGACCAGGATTCGTCATGAAAATAAAATTAGGCTGAAAATTCATTAGCGTCCGAGGGCAGCTTGTGTGAGCGTGGACGCACCTCAGCGTACGCGGCGCTCTCCAACGGCCAGGGCACGTCGACCTGTAGCCCATTGTCGGCAGCCATAGGCGACACGAACTCGCCAATAACAGACGTCGCGTTGCATTGCATGAAGACAGTCCAGAATCCGCGAATGCGCTCGCCTTCCTCAATGAAGTCCAAAGCCGGTGGCAACTTGAACGACTGCGACAGAAATCCCGCGGTCGGAGAAGCGCCTTGACTATCTTTGTGGAGGCCCATGGCAAGCGACATGCCGGTGGCGGCCGCGAGAAAAGAGATGGCTTCGAGGCAGCGGTTATGACGGAAGAAATAGGTGGATAGGAGGATTTTGGCCTGGATAGACTCCAACAGGACGCCTGGAGACGCAAACGATATGGGTTGCGCGCTGTGCACGGCGGATTCGGAGAATCGCGCCTCGTGTTCCGCCCAGCGCTGGCCCGCGAAGTGTGCGCCCCAGAGGTATATGGCATTGCGCAGCATCGGGAGGGGGTGATCCGTGAGAGGGGAGGTGATGTTGTCTTGCACGCGACCGAAGTCGAGGAAAAAACCGAATTCTTCGGCGTGAGGACGGAAGGCCGCGAGACTGTGGGTATAATCAGCGAGCTATCGAGCAAGACTTCATGAATCGCCCACAGGATTTGCACCGACGATGGGGATAGATCCTGGAGGTATAGATTAGCTACAGAAGATCCGGAAGAGGGGAGCGCTATACTTCTTCGCGAGCATCTGGCGCTGCAATGACGGATGGGGATGAGCGAGAAGACTCAGCCACTGGCGATGAAGGGGCCGCGTATGGGTTGACGAGTGGCACCTCCGGGTTGGGGTCTTCCAACTCCTGTATACGGGTTTGAAGTCGAGAGATAGTGGCCTCCAGGATCTGAGTCTTTGAGGGGCCAACATCGGCGTAGTTGCACGGGTCGTTCGAGCGAGAGGAGCGTTGACATTGTCCGCAAATGGGCTTCTCGCCATCGCAGCGCTGTCAAGCTGTCAGGCACTGCAGACGAAGATGAAGAGAGGTACTCACGACCTTGCGCTTCCTGAGAAGATCCTGTCAGCATGAAGGAGGACGTGAGGTAGTAAGGACGTACCTGCAAGGACCACAAGCGCGGCCTCTCACCAGCCCCGAGCCCGAACCCGAGGGGGTCTGTCTTCCAGTGGTGGGAGGAGAGGTGGACATTCGGCGGGCCATGAGTACGAGTGAATGAATGAGAGTGTCACATATTTATGCGTCTCGACTAACGCAATTGCTGCATGTACACGTTCAGGTCATTTTCATAAGCTAATTTGGTTCCACTGCCTGTCCCCTTGCCCCTGCACCTGGTTGCTTCTCTTGATCCAACGGCATCATCACTTCTGGGAACCGACGTGCGGGATTATGCACTGCACCCCGCACCAATCAAAACGCTGCGCGGGCCCGTCTATCGATGATTGTAGAGTGCGTCAATTTCTATGCGTTGGGTACGCTGCATGACCTGAACGCGGTTATTACACCGACGGCGGTTTTCCTTGGCGGCCGTCGAATACCCAAGAACCAAAGAACACCTGGGTGGTGACACCCATCTCTGATGAGGAGAGCGCTGAGGGCCTCAAACTCGGTGGGCGGTAGGCCGGAGGCCGTTGGGCAAGACAATGGATGGAGGCGGTGCGTTTCCACGATGATCACCGGGGCGTGCCGATCCGAGATGTGATCGGGTGAGCCGTCGAGAGTGTCGCGAAGGACAGGAAACCCAGTGCGGTGATCGTGCTCGTCGAGGACAACCCGCCGCAAGTCCGCCACGGACAGGGCTGCTGCGACGCCACAAATCACTCCCACCGACGACCGCGGAGCCCACAGATTATGTCATCGCCATGAGTCGACGCTCTGACTTCAACACATACCCATCACGCTGCCTTTCGAAATCATCGTCTAGCCGCGCTCCCAACCCATTCGTTCGAAGCGTTACCCGGACAGCCTCACTTACCCCGCTCCGTCTTGGATCGGATAGTATCCTCCAGCGACGGCTGCCGCGGAAGAGTTTCAAGCGGGCCCGAACACCTACCATCGGACGCCATAACGCCTTTGGGCCCTGTCTTCCCGTCGCGACCGCTGCAACTGAGTTGGAGTCGCTCAAGACACAGTCTTCATTGATTTAATCTCGTAAGTGAACAATAGACGCCTCCTTGCCAACCTCGAGCCGATTGTTTTCGTAGACAATAACCATATGGGACTTGCTAGAAGATCGAAGCCAATCGACGGAACTATCCCCGTCGTAGCTCTCCTATACTCGGATGAAGAGCTGAATGCTAGCCAGGACGGGGTTGGTATCTACGATGGACCCATTAAGTCGCCCGACCATCAATCAGGCGTTATTCACCTCACGTCTCATCGACTTATCTTCGTGTCCGATACACAGCCTGAAAAGTTCTCGTTTTCTATCGACCTTGCAGATATACGGCAAACTGAGTATTACGCTGGCCTGTTTACTAGCTCAGCAAAGGTCACCTTGGTCTTCGATAACGCACAGGCCGCGGCCAGTCGCACCTCAGTCGAGGATGACGACTGGGGAGGCTGGACTTGTCACGTCTGCGATAATCGTAACCCTCCTGGCACGAAGTCTCGTCTCTGCGCGCTGTGTGGGGTACCCAAATCCGTCGATTCTTCCCCGCGAACAACAACCCCAGTTCCCGCGGTTGCCAGCCCAGCGCTTGCGACGAGATCGAAGTCATGTCCAGCATGTACATTCATCAATCATCCTTCTATGCGCGAGTGCGAGATATGTGGTACCCCTCTACCTTCCGCTAGCTCCTCGACACCTGCACCAAGTCTGCCTAGCGCACCACCGCCAACCACATCCGCGCCCGACTCCAACATCGTCAAGATATCCTTCCGAAAATCTGGCGATAAACCGTTCTACGCTGCTCTGAAGCGCGCACTCACGGCAAAGCGCTGGGATGTCACCAGAGTGAGTAAGCACCTGTCATTTGCGCATCGTGTGCTGACGAGCGCAAGATGCCCTCGGGCGCGGTCCCGCCCTTGCGCGAAAATCAGTCCGGAATAAGTAATTGTGTGATGCTTCCTGCGCCAGCATCGTAGTTGACATCTTCCACCAGATTCTCTGCTCAATACTCTCGCGGAGACTTCCTCCAGCCGTACAACCCACCTGCAGGCAGCGCTGGGCGATCTGGAGGCGCTTCGACTGCGGGCAAATGACATGGTCCGCGTTGCCACCGAAGTCAGTGAGCGCCTCAAATCAGCAAATGCCCCGCCTGTGGACACGACTGGTCTCGCGCTTCCCGATAATTCTATAGGGTCGGCACCGACGACTGAAGCCGAGTCTGAGCTGATTTCCTCGCTTTCATCATTGGCTTTGACGACGCTGAAAGCGACGCCGGTCACGCAAGATATGATCAAGGACGAGGAGAAGTGGATGCAGGAGTTAGCTCGGGAGCTCGCTTCGGTATTGCAAGGCGACAATAGCAGCCAGAGGGGCGGCTTGATGAAAGCGCGTGGGATAATCGCGCTCGACGAGGTATGGGGCACCTGGAATCGCGCCAGAGGCGTCGGTACGTCTCTCCCGTTCATACACAAAACCCATGACCAACGCCCTTGGCATAGCGCTCCTCCCTCCCTCGACTTTACTGTCAACGGTCCCCCTCCTCCCGGCCCACACCAACCCGAAGATTCGCAGTCGCCAGTTCGCCTCCGGACTCAAGGTCCTCCACACACCGCACTACTCGACCCCCTCCTTCAAGACGCGTTTGGACGATTACCTGTGGGAGCTCGGGGATGGAGAGGCCGTGAGCGACCCTGATCGCGAGGCAGAGGCAGAAGAAAGTCTGCCACGGCCGCGCGCCATGACGGTGACGGAGATCGCGGCGAAGGAACAAGTCACTATCGCGCTTACCCAGGGCATGATTGAGGAGATCGAGGCGGAGGGCGGGATCCTGCGCGACGATGTATCGTCTTGTGCGCTTACGGCTGGGCAGGGTATCGGGTGGGGAGCGGAGGTTCGATGGTGGCCAAACGTGGTGCTTCTTTACTCGTGGGACGGGCATGAGTAGCCTGTAGATGTAACAGAAAATTGCGGAGAGGCAGAACTGGCTTGAAGTCCTACCGATATCCGCAAAAGGCAATTCCGACATCTATCGGCACTCGCCGAAATGCACGTGGGTAAGTCCGGATTCGCGAACAAAGGACTCGCGTGGGCCGTGCGCGGCTCTCTCTTTGCGTCAAGGACCTGTGACGGCAGGCGCCAATTTAGGTATTAATTTTGTGCCTCTTTGTGCGTGCAACATTACTGAAAGCTTAAGGACTGCGCGTTATGAATGCTGCTTGGGTGTGTGCTTTTGTCATGAACGGTCCAACGGCACAAACAACAATGCGCTGGACCAAGTTATAAGGCCGCGCGGGGCCTGAAGCGAAAGCTTCTTCGACTGTTTTCTCTCCCTCTCTAACCATGACCATCGTCGGCGGAATCACGACTCGTTTGCGTAGGTTAGTAGGTCCGGTATCGTTTTGTGGCAACCCTCGCCTGACTTGGCCATCAGCAACTCTTTATTCAAGGGGAAGAAGAAGTTGCGCCACTCTGCGTCGATGCCCCTGGACCTGTTATACAATGGATACGACTTCGCCCATCCCCATGACCCAACGTTCGTGCCTGCAGGCGAACGCGTGGACGAGCCTGGCGCTTGCCACACAATGGAGGGGACCCCGGGAGCGTCGCAAGAGACCCTAGTGCCACCCATCGATCGCGCTGCCCCCCGCGAGGGCGAGGCGAGCTCGTCGCACACAGTCGACCAGAAGACCTCGTCGGTGGAGCCGATGGACTCTATAGAGTCCCTGCGCGAAAGCTTCAAGCTCTTGGACGAGTTCCCTCAGGTCACTGTTATGGTCCTCCCCGATACATACGTCGTCCCTGATGGTTTCCCTACGGAGGACCAGTTGTTACTCCCGAACATGACCGACGAGCAGCGTTGGAGGGTAAACGGGATCGTGTCTCTCAGGAGAGGGATGAAGGAAGGGTTGGTTCAGGGTGGCACGTCGTACACGCGCAGGCAGCGGGTGCACTGCCGCACGATGTCCGCGGGGCAGTCGTACTCGCGGCCCACACACATCGCGTACCCGGACCTATTCCCTGCGCAGGCCCCCGAGCCTATACACGCCCGAGTGGCACGCTCGGACCTGCAACGTTCTGTGAGCGACAGGGTGCCCACCCGCCGCCACGAACACTACTCTCGGCAAGGCGCACAAAGCGTCCCGCTCGACGTCAGGGATCCGCCGCCGCGCCACGAATCGCTGCCGCGCCCCGGATCGCCCCCACGCCAGGAATCGAAGGAGCTCCATCGGTCTGGGAGCACGAAGTCGACCACCCCACACTCGCCGCTGCGGCGGAAGCGCGCGCAGCTCGAGCTTCGGCCGGGGCACAAGCCGAATGCACTCTCGGACTCTGTGTTGACGTCTCCGCCTGAGCGGTGGCCTCTGCTATCGAGGGCCGTGTCCGCTTCGGATAGGTCACGAAAGTTGCATAGACCGGGCCCGCCAAGGATATGAAGCGCAGATAAACGCCGCCGAGGACGACTTCTAACGCAGCATGGGCGTAGACCGTCCTGATACCCTGGGAAGGCAAGGCTTCACCCTGCTTCAGGCTTCATGGCAAGCGCGGCCACCCACGCATACTTTATGAATGAACCACTAATGCTACGAACGACGCCCTTGATGAGTACACGATCAGTTACGAGTAGACACGAATGGATGGTTGCAGACGTACCATGTATTTTTATGCCAGCGGGTCTGGACAAAGAGACGATCGTAAACCAACAGAGCGTTTGATGAGAGGATTGAAGGTGACCACAAAGGACCCACAAGGACCCACACGCTTAGTAGTCCTCACTGACCATTGTTCTCGACACTTCGCCCCGGCAGCGCTGCTTTGCCACAAAACGTCCTCTCACCTCCATAAACTCCAAAACACGCATCGAGGCTCGCTTTTCATTGCGACCCATGACCCGGGGGCCTGCGCGCTACAGACCGCGCGCTAACCCGCTTTGGCACCACCGCCTATAGCATCGAGGCTAATGTGGTGCCGAGGGTCCAGCTGACCCGGTGCCGCGCTTAGATCTGCGTCTTTGTCGCTGAAATGGAAGAGCCTCGTGCAGTCCATGAAATGGCCCTGTGAGTGGGTATAAAGACATGGGGTCGGAGGTGCGGGCTGTTCTGCCCCTAGCTGCCACCGCGTCCGTGAAGTCGAAGCAAAGATCTGAATAACCATCAGCGAGTACTTTGGTGAGTGTTGGACGTGCACACTGCTCGGTGATGCTTACTGACTGTGCGCAGAGCACTCGCATTTCGCATCCTCTGAGACAACTCTGAACACTTCGTTCAGAAAGGTGAGTCGCAGCTTAGTAATAAGCTGAAGGATTCTGACTCACGTTCCCTCGTCCACCAGCGATCATGGCATACTACGGAACACCCTTTCCCACTGGTGTCCCTTTCCCGCCACCGGGTACACCTGGACCCTACCCTCAGGGAACGCCCTTCCCTCCAGGAGTGCCCTACCCAAACTCCATGCCCTTCCCGGGTTCCTACCCTGGTTCATACGCAGGCTCTGCGTACCCTGGCTCCTACCCGAGCTCCTACGGGAGCCCCGGATCCTACTATTCGCCCGGCTCGAGCTACTACCCTTCGAGCTCGGGCGGCAGCACCATCGTCCTATCATCCCCCCACCACCATCACCACGACGATTACCACCGCCACCGTAGCAATAGCTACGTCGCGCCGATAGCTCCGTTCTACGGCGGATACGGCACGCACACTCCTGTGCAGCACTACTACCCCGAATACCACATCCCGCAGATGCAGATGCCGTATGGAGGGGCCGGCCCGTACAACGCTCAAGCGCCAGTCGTGGTCGTCCACCATGGCAGTGGCAGGCATCACCATCGTCGCCACAGGTCGCATAGCTTCTTTTGACGGATGTTGATGCGTACTTGTCCGTGGAGGTCGAGGAGTTTTCTGACAGCGGCACAAGGACTTTTAGGAGTCGCATTGCACTGTACCAATAATCCATTCACCGCCATACTGTACAATATAATTATTCTCTGTCAATTCGCCATCAGTCTAGATAGCCCGAGTGATGTGTGAGCGTACGCACCAGCAAGTCGAATCCATGCGCTTACCTCAAACGAGCGGTCAAATGGTGCATACTCCAAACAAAATCTGGCTGTCTATACGCTCTACTCGTCGCCTATGTCCTCATTCCATTCCTGAAATCGCAGAGAAAGGTAAGCTGGGATAAGCAATGCAGATGTAGGGGACGCACCTCTGGCTTTTCCTTGATGAACTTCGCCATCAACTCCTTACACCTGTTATCATCCAGAACGACGACCTCAACCCCATGCTGCTTCAAGAGCTCCTCTCCGCCGACGAAGTTTGCGTTCTCGCCAATGACGACGCGGGGGATCTTGTACAGCAGTATCGCGCCGGTGCACATGATACACGGGCTACAGCACGCGTCAGCGCCTTCCTTCATGGGTCATGTACAACGCTCACCTCAACGTCGTGTAGATCGTGCACTTGCGGTAGACGCCCGCCTTCAGACGGCCTGCCGTCTCCAGGCAGCAAATTTCGCCGTGCAGCGTCGCAGAGCCCTTCTGGATGCGCAGGTTCCTGCCAGACGCGATAAGGTGGTCTCCTGAGTCGTCGTGTTGGACGAGGGCAGAGCCGATAGGTATACCGCCCTCCTTCGCGCCAGCGTCGGCCTCCTCGAAGGCGCGCTGCATGCCGAGGGCGTCACGGTCGACTGGTATAGGTGCCATTGTGTTTCGTGGAAGATGGGTCGGGGAGAAGTAGGAGGAAAGGGGTCGCTGGCCGCGGCAGCTCGCGATCAAGTCATTAGTTGAGGACGATCGACGCGTCGGGCCGGCGTGCTTCGGCCGATGTTCCGTGTAGAACAAGGGCCTCCAAATCGGGCGATCCTTTTATCCTGCGTCATTCGGAATTAGTGCCACAAAAGAACTCCTTCGCCGGACGAGAGGGCGCAAAGAGGGTGCCTTCGATTGTGCTGGATGTGCGGCGAGTTGGGGCTTGACGTCGAGGGCTCTACGCCTGTGTTCAGCAGGTCAGAATTCGAAGAAAGGGCGGGGGAGGTGACGTCAAGAGCGCGTACGCGAAGGGATCCTCCTGCATATAACACGAGTCGCGAGAGAGTAGCCTCACACATTTGCCATGTCTACCAACGCAGCACACAATATCGCGAAAGAGCCCGTCGATACCAAGGACACCATCCTGGAGACGGGCGCAAGCATCATTCAGGTGCGTGCTCAAGTACTTGCTCCGCCGACGCGATGACCGATGAGAAGGACACCTTTTAGGACTTTGAGCCAGTCAACAACATCTGCGCACACCTGAATGCTTACCACATCTATGCCGACGATCCCTCCCGCGCAGTCGAAGCCCAGCACTACTGCACACACATCTCCAAAGGTGCGTCCTTCGCTTGGTCAACGTGTGACCCCGCGCTAATCCAAGCGCACTCCAGACATCCGCCAATGCATCATCTACGACTCACCCGAGAAGAACGCCCGCCTCATCGGCGTCGAATACATGATTACTCCGCGCCTCTACGAAGAGCTACCCCCCGACGAGCGCAAGCTTTGGCATAGCCACGTCTTCGAAGTCAAGTCCGGCCAGCTCATCATGCCTCAGCCAAAGACCTCCCTCACCCCCGCGAAGGTCTGGGAGACGGCCGAGCTGAAGGAGATGGAGGACGTGATTGGGCTGTATGGGAAGACGTATCATCTCTGGCAGGTCGATCGGGGAGACGCGGTCCCGTTGGGTCCGCCGAAGCTGATGATGAGCTTCACGCATGCGACGGAGAACTTTGAGAAGGTAGTGCAGGATAGAGACAAGCGGTGGGGGGTCGACCATGAGGAGAAGGCGCGCTCGAGGGCATATATTCCAGATCCAAAGGTGCATCCGGACGCGGATGCCTGGGATCACAGCAAGCTAGCCTAGGTTGATCAGTTGTCTGTAACAAAGCAGAGCTGCAAGACGCACACATTTACAATGTTATGTTCACCACTCAGATGAACGCAGGAGAGAAGCAACTACTTCAACTTCAAGCCTCAGGCCTTAGGCGCGTTACCGCATCAGTTTCGCGTGATTAGTCCAGCATGGACCCACAACATTGGCCATGCAGAATTTTATGAAGGTTCTGACACGCCTGCTACGATCCCTCAGTGCAGCGCAGATGATACCTTTGACTCTTTTCTCGCATGTTATCTCGCTTCCAAACACTGCCTTGGCTTGCAAGAAATGTCTGAACGCGACAGTACGATACGAGTTCGTACATACGCAACTGCGAAGATCACCTGGACCTACGATTCTCAGACGACACGTGTGCACCAGGCTCACAGAACACGCGACCCAGCTCAAGCCCGCAGGCTTGCACGCTGGATCTTGTAGTCCCCGCTGCTAAAACTATCCTTGCTTGACCGCTTAGAGTCTCTGCTGGATCGTTTGTAGTCTCCAAATGGCCGCTTCTCATCTCCATAGCCATAGCTCGGAGGGCGCCCATTCCCATTGCCGTTTCCGTAGTTGTTCCCATACAGGGGAACAGAGCCGATAGTACTCATATGAGGCATGTTGGGCTCGGCCTTGCCACCCCCCGAGTACGGGTAATAGTACGCTGCTTGCGCGTCGATGGGGCCTCTGACGAAGGAGGGGAGGTAGGCGTCCGGGTGGAAGAGGCTGGGGAAGGTGCCGTGCGGGACAGCGATGGAGACGACCTACGGACGCACGGTTAAGGGACGGTTACGCCCAGGAAAAAAAGGGGTGGACGTACGATCTGGCTGCTGAACATCCGCGGCAGGCGTGCGCTCCAGTTCGCGCGCGCCGTACCAGGCGCGAGGGTTTGGTTGTCCTGCTGCGTCCAGCGCTGGATGGTGCGATTCAGGTGACGCTGGCCCTGTGGGGGTGGTTTGAGCAGAGGTCGGCCAAGCACGGGTGTACGACGTACGATAGCCTTCCAGATGACCATGGGCATGGCGAACAGGAGCATCATTCCGAGGAAGATACCTAGCGAGATCTCGCGAACCTGAAATAATGTTCAGCCCTGCACATGCGTTAAAGACGCGGGGAGTGTACACGAAATGCTGCAATTACGAAGTGGAAAGCATTATGGAGGGGAAATATGATTAATGGAATGCTCCGTGGAAAACGTACATGAAAATGCCACTGCGGATCGTCGTCGTGCAGCGTAGCATTCAGAACGCTGACGACGGCCATGGGGATGACGGTGAGCATACTGTAAACATAGGTCCATCAGCATTTATATTCGGTTCATGCGCAATCAAGTGACACGCACAGGAAGGAAAGAATAGCCCAGATCATCTCGAGCTTCGGCTTAGAATAGCTGGAGGCCACCCGCGTAATGGTAGTTATGCGCGAAGCCCATGCGTCTTTGGATACCTGGTCGCACGTTAGTGATAACCAGATCTGAAGGGGGAGGCGTCGTACATATTCCTGCAGTTCGAACGGCACAGACACGGGGGGAGGGGACGTGGGCGACAAGTACTAGGACTCCGGTCAGCCTTGTCAGTGAACTGGATGATGCGCGCGAAGACGTACCACGAGAATGACATTGTCAGCCTTGTGCTGGGTGAAGAACTTGGGTGCGTTGTACATCTTGGGAGGTCGCCTTGCACACAGAATATATAGACGGGGGGCTGCGCAGCAGAGATTTACGGGGGAGGGGTGCGATCGACGCGAGGCTCAGAACGAAAAACAGAAAGGAAGGGCGTGAACAACGTCAACGAAAGGGGTGTACAGGAAAGAAAGGCGGTCCACAACGCGTCTAGCGATGGTGGTGGAAGGAGAGAGCAGGCGCCGGGCGAAGCAGTCGCTATTATCAGCGGTTGCGACGGAGCATCACGACGCGGAGCGATCGCGCGAAAGGCACCCTTGACGACCGCCTGGACCGCGCATTCGAACCGAACTTGGAATATCTCGCTGGCCAATAGCGGTGACATCTGCAGCAATTGCTGGAATGGAGGACAGCGTGTATTGAATGAAGTTGAACTTGGGTGTGGCTGCAAGGATCAAGCCGATCAGCGATAACCCCCAAATTTCGCGGCATTTCGGCGTCGAGCCCGCCGTCGTGCAGGCGGAGGTTCAGGCGACCATCATGTCGACGCCCTCGTCGGCGGACTTGCCCCTCCGCGCGCCCAACAAGGGGCGGCATATACCCCCGCCCCTCACCATTGAGTCCTCGTCCTACCAGTCAACGTCGTCTATCGGGAGCGCGAGGAGGCTCAGTCGCCGCGACTCCGACACGCTGCTCTACGACATCCCCTCCTCGTTTTCTCCCCCTCCTGTCAGTCCTCCCGCAAAGCACCTGCAGTCGCCGACGTCGCCCAACTCCCGTCGCTCGCGATCTCCGCGCCAACCCCTGCCCACGCCACCGCCCGCGGTCCCCAAGAGGCGCAACCGGTCCCTCACCCCTGCTGGACTTTCGTCTGACGATCTTGAGGCTTTCGCAGAGGCATGCCGCTCCTGGTGCGTGCGAGCTTGTCTGCAACAGCCTCAGGCGGCTGATGTGCGCGCAGGTACTTCGATCAGGATGAGGCTGCAGGTCGTACCATGACACAGACGCTGGCCAATCTCCCGCCCTCGCAGCGGGCCCCGTACTCAAAGCTGCAGGCCAATATGCGGTCTGCGTACCACCGCTCCGTCAACGCGCGCAAGAACGCAGAGTTCCGCGCTCACCTTACCGCCACTCAGCCGGGTGGATCTCTCATGCCGCATACGCGCGCTAACCCGCGAGGGAAGGATGCGAAGAAGGGTGCGTGCTCGATACTTCTCTACAAATGTCACTAAGCCCGGTCGCAGAGCGATATGACCGGTTTGCGAGGTTCATCCGTAGCTGGTGTACTCTCGGAATGCCCGGGACGACCCCATTCTTCACCGTGTGTATGGTGATTTCCTACCTGTATCCGATATTGACACGGAAACAGGCACTCTGGGCTATCATGAGGCTTCAAGTCGTCTCCGAACAGCTGGGTGGCGCCGGTGCCAATCGCATTGACTGGGAACTCGACGATGCCGTTTTCAAGGAGTCTGCCGGAAAGGACTTCATGCTGGAGGCAATAGACGTCCTCAAAGGGGTGATTCATCGCTATCGTCCACCTTCATTGCCGTTCACTAACCCATAAAACTCCAACCGCTAGGTGCTCGGCTTTGAGGAAGCCCCGGCCGCCTCCACCCGCGAGCCGAGTCCTACCCCTCCTACTTCAGGCGCGCACTCCCGTGTACACTCACAGCCACTCCTCGGCGGTGAGCGTAGGCCCACCCGACCCCCTGCTATCCCCAAGCGCCCGCGCGCGCCTAGTGACCCCTTCCTGGACACGCCACCGCCGTTATCCCGGTCGGTCGGTACGTCAGCATCGCAGTCGTCCGCTCTCCTCAGTCAGGACTCAGAGGACTCTCCTGGTCCTGCAACACCCGAACCAGAGGAGACCGCGCCTCCTCGCACGGACGACTTCTTTGACCTTCCCGAGGAGGAATATCTGCGTGTGTGGACATCCCCGGACCTGCCCGACGCAGAGTACCTCGCGCTCTTGAAGCTGTTTCCGAGCTTCATCACGCGGCCCACGCTACCTCGATTCCCAACCCGTCGTGGGTCTCTTGACCTCGAAGCGGGAGAGGGCAATGGCAGTCAGGTGCGCTGTGGCACCGGCACGCTGTCCATAAGCGCCCGGAAGCGGAGCCCCGGCTGGCGCTTGGGGTGGTGGCGCCGGTTCGTGCAGTGGTTGAAGCAGTTGCTGTGCTGAGGTCGCCGGGCATCGACCCGAGGTTGCTTGGTTTCAATCTCCTAGAGTCAGTGAAATTACTAGACACTTCCGTGCTCAAGGACCTCTTCGCAGACTACCCATTCTATCGACACAGCTTGCTTACCAACTTTGTGCCCTTACCCTATCGCTTCAACTTCCTCGCTTTCACCGTCCTAGTATTGCCCCTCCCCATCCATTATTTATCACTGCCTCGGTGCGCTTGCTGGTGCACCGCACGATGGACAGCTTAGCCCGGTCCCCTTTGTTCTCGTCGTACATATCTATTCGAGTACGAACCTTGTTGAAGATGAATGTATTACTGTCGCAAAGTGCACTTATCTTTCTCTTCCAGCGGAGTTCAACAGCCAGCTCCGACGCCTGCGACATCGCTTCGCCCAGATCTCGCCACTGCCGCGCCGCAGCCCAAAAAATACCTTTCTTGGCAGTTTCTCCGGAAAGGGCTGCATCCGGAGAATGCCGATCCTCCTTGTTCCCTCCCTTACCAAGTATATTCTAATTTCATGCTTTACAGGTGATAGCTCTCCTCTACGTGACTCAATCCACTCTAGAGACTCTTGGACAGGCGAGTCCTGATGCCCGTCGACTTAGACGCCGTGCGACGCCAAGATGCGAACTCCACTGGCCGGTGTGGTGGCAGGTAAGAGAACCAACATTTACTTAGTACGTGTCTGTGCGCGACAGGCCAGATCCGCGTCGACGCCGTATTCGGTCAGATGTCCAGTGATCTCTACAGCAAAGGCGGACCGACGGCGACGAGCTCACAAACCCTATGTGCGGGTGTAATATCACACACTATTGTCTTCTGAACCTCCCGTCTTCAAACAGCTGTGAGCATGCTTCATGCTGCTCACCTCGTGCTGAATCACATCATGATCACCATCCCATCGCCGCTCGTGATCCTGGCAGTACGGACCCGCGGGTGCTACACCCATGACGGGCATTTCATACTTCCATGACGGTCGGATGCATCTGCCAGGGCGTAGCTTATTAAACCACAATCGGCCGTACTTGCTCGCCTTCTCACAGTCCTTTATCCCGACTGTCACGTCCGACCTCTTGAGGGCGCAGATGATACCCTCGATATCGGTCCTTCTCCTGTGGCTCACCGCCTACGTCCTTGGCCAGCAATCTCAGGAAGCTTTCACACCAATCTGGGTGCCTTTGGCAGTTCGTACGCCGCATCTAAATGCTTGGCTCTGGAACAGCAGCGCAGTTTCCTACGAGTGGCCATACTTTGGCATCGACGTTGGTGTACGTGTTCTCGCCGTCGCATCCGCGACACGCAGGCTCATCTGTTCAAAGAAAATCCTAGGGTGGAGCGGCCTGGTGAAAGTTGACGGCACCACGTACAATTTCCTCGGAAAGGTCCCTGATGTGAATGGCACCGTTGTGACCAGCTCTCGCCTCACCCCAACCCGCACAATAGTCACGTCGCGTGTGGAAGATATCCTACAGCTGAACGTCACGTACTTCAGCCCGATCGAAGTGAGAGTATTCTTCAGTTACGCCTATATGATGGCCGCTAACAAAAACATCAGCCTGACGACCTGGTGCTTCAGTCCCTACCCTTTTCATACATGTCGGTCAGAGTGTCTTCACTGGACGGTAACCCGCATAACGTGTCCCTCTACTCCGACATCAGCGGCGGTGCGCATGCCAGCGGTCTCTCTACGCGATGGCTGACCTTGGAAATAGAATGGCTCTCCGCGCATACCTTCAACAAGATCGTCTGGAATACAACACATGAAGACTCTTTCACCTACCACACAAGTTGGCGTGAGGACGCTGAGCCCATGGCGGAGAACTCAGGCGTTGCGGAAGACAGCACACTGTATTTTGGGATGGCAGCATCGGTACGTATCTGAACATTCCTCAGTCATATTCTCGTTGGCTGATACTCTTATTGTTGTGTAGAGTCCGAGCGTTTCTTGGCGCACGAATTCAGACGTCAACTCGCGCGCCACCTTTCAGAATTCCTCGGATCTGGGGAACTCTGCCAACCTGACCTACCGGCCGATACAGAATCCAGACGATTGGCCCATATTTGCCATTGCGTACGATCTGGGCACTGTTACGGACGAGTCTTCAGAAGTGGTTTGGGGTATTGGCGTCGCGCGCGACCGGATTATACAGGCACAAACAGGATCCAGTCCGGCAGAGGACCGTTATCCCTACTATCTATCGCACTACGGGTCGTCGAGCGAAGCGGTGAGTAGGACTTACTGTCGTCACACTCTGAGGCTTATACCTCGATCTTGATGTCAGTTCGAGGACTTCCTCCAGAGCTACGACAATGCATCATCCCGTGCAGATGATCTCGACCGCAACATCATGAATGCAGCGTCGAATAAGTCGGTCGAGTACGCCGACCTCATCGCGCTCGGTACTCGCCAAGTCCTGGCTGCGTTCGAGGTTACCATCTCCAAGGGAGTGGAAGGTTACAATGTATCTGACACTCAGGCGTTCATGAAGGACAGCGGCACATCCCAGTGAGCTCGTTCACTGCTTTCAAGGCGCTGCTAACGATCGCAGGGGTGTGAACGACGTGATGGTCATGTACTCAGCCTGGCCGACAATCCTGTATATCAACGCATCGTGGGCTGGTTATCTGCTTGAGCCTCTGCTGCGCTATGAGGGCTCAAGCGCATACTCGAGCAATGTTGCTGCGCAAGATATGGGTACGTGCTATCGACCCACTATTTACTCCCGCACACTGATCACTACCCCAGGATCGAAGTACCCCATCGTCCTTGGTGATATGCCACCTACGACCGCTTACTCATATAGTATCGAAGGTAAGGCCTAGACGTCGACCACCACACAAGACGGCCACTGAGTGAAGTATCTAGCGACCGCGTCCATGTTCATCTTGGCCTACTCCTATGCGTTGATGTCTGGAGATGGCACCTTGCTTCGTAACTACGTGAGTGTATTAGACTCAGTCAGCCACAACTGCTCATCTTCCTGGCAGTACCATGTATTCGAACCATGGGCAATTTACCTCACAGACAATGCGGTGCATCCGGGTGCGGACCAGTACGTGCAGTCTTGAATGTCTGCTTCTCACTTCTACTGATAACGGACATGCACAGGACCACCGCCGAGGGTGACAATGGTATAAACCATGCCAATCTGGCGTTGAAGGGCATCATCGGCGTGCAAGCTATGTCGCTGATCAGTGCAGCTCTTGGCAAGGACGACGATGCTTCAGTGTACGCGAACCGCGCTGCCTCCATGTTCGACCAGTGGATCGATACCGCAAGACTGGGAGACCACGTCGATTATATTTACAACGACCCGTACACCACGGGTCTCCTCTACAATCTCTTTGCCGACAAGCTCCTCAGGACTGCTATCATTCCCGATAATGTAAGTATTATGTACTCGTTCTTCCCTTTATTCGAGTTTCTCACATTGTCACTAGATCTACCAGAATCAAACGGATTATTACAGCGGCAAGCTTGGCGAAGACGTTGGATGGGGCCTTCCCTATAACGGTTCCTCGGAAACCGTCATCCGTCCCGACTTGACGCTCCTCACGGCTGCCGCCATGTCGGACACACAAACCCGCGACGCCTTCGTGCAGAGCATCTGGAATAGAGCCGCGAACAACAGCCTGGTCGGGGGCGGGTGCTTTCCGACCAGCTATGACCGGTACACCGGTGCCATGGTCACGGGCTCAGGCAACCCTTCGTTGGGGGCAATCTACTCATTGCTTGCTCTTGAGTAAGTCGCTCCCTAGTTGCGCGGCATCGTAATCTCTCGTTGACGCCATTACGCCAGCCTGCAAAACAAGACCATCGTTGTGCCACCTGAGAAGTCGCTTGTAAGCGCCCACAAATCGCATATCGGCTCTATAGTCGGCGGCATCATCGGTGGTGTCGTCAGCCTCGCGCTGCTCACTGGCGCTCTAATCTTCTTCGTCCGCCGCCGAAGGGCTGCTCGGGAGACTGCCACCGACGCTGCCGCGCGCAACTCGAACACGGTGCCCGACCCGTGGCGCCCCTCGACAGAACAGAACCGTGTCCGACCAGTCATGGCTGGGCGACACGATTCTGGCCAAAGCAGCGGGCTCATGAGCGTGTCGAAGAGGGGCGGTATTCCGGAAGCTCGTAGATCGCTGACTAGGAGTGAAGCAGAGACCTCGCGTGACGGTACGGCGCTGTTGAGGGGCGAGCTTGACAACCTGCGGCAGGAGGTCGAAGAGTTGCGCGGGAGGAGGGAGTACGACTTGCCTCCGCCGGAGTATGAACATGCTGTTGGTCACTGAAGCGCAGGCTCTAGTGGTCGCTTCGCCCTCTCCCTCGCGTCGAATGTACTGTGTTCACGTCGAACTTGTGATTACCAATCCCTTGTACTTGCGCCGTGTTGCAAGGTACGCCGAGAGCTCACTGTCACTTGTGAGATATCTGCAAACATACGACCGTGCATAAAACCCATTCAATTTTTGTACAGCACGCAGTTACTACTTGAAGTCCATCTCGTGCCCAGCTTCCCTCATCACTTTATAGTTCCTATTAGGTATAGTCAGTACCAGCCTCCTGCCGAGCGCCGAAGGCCGCTTACCGTCATGGTCAGGTTGCCGGAGAGTAGCCCTGCGGGACTCGTGAGCATACTGACCACTGTAGTAATGCGGATGACTTACGGTTCTCAAGCACACATCCGTCCGGAATATCGATGCGCTGGCCCTCGTTGGCGACCACAATTACTGTGCCGCGCAAGGTCACATTGCGCCCGAAGTACACATCGCCCGTCACCGTCAAGTGGTCAAGCTCGACGATGTTCGGGATCTTCTTGAACCGCTTCTGGAAGTTGGCGATCTGCAGATTCCCGCGCTCGTCAACCTTCCAGTCATTTAGCCTCATCACAGTCAACCCACCTTCTTAAAGTGATCGCCCAACTTGATAACCGGCGTCGTCTCGAACATGCGCTGCTCGTTGATGACGAGCTGCCCATGCTCGAGCGAGTAGATGTCCGACATGATGAGCAGCAGGTCCGAGCAGCTCTTGACGGGCAAAAAGCGCGTCCGGGGCACGTTGATGCCGTGGGCGTTCTTGAAGTGCTTGACAGCCGCACCAGACGCGGTCTCGAGCTGCAGGACGGCCTGGCCGTCATCGGCGACCTTCGGGTTGACGATGATGTCGAGCTCCATGCCCTCGGTGCTCATGATGCGCTTGAGGGCCTTCAGGTTGATCCACAGGTTGTTCGTGTTGAAGATCTTGAACTTGCGGACTTAGGGGACAGGTGAGATAAGGGATACGAATGAGAGTAAAGAGCTTACCAGACTTGAAGTCCTCAACGTGCTCGTTGGGGACCTGAGCGATTTCGAGGAGGCGCATCTGGCCCTCGTAGTCGATGAGGGTACCACCCTTCACGTCCGCCTTCGTCTTGTCCGTCACCTCCATGACGAACTCCGCCTGGGTGTCGATCATGTGCTGCAGGATGCGCTCATCCACGCTGTATCGTGTTAGCTTTCCATCCATGGTAGCAACCACCCCTTGTAGACTTACACAGCGCCCAAGTTATCCGAGTTAGAGACGAAGAGGTATTCCTTCCCGTCAGCCAACAACTGGTCGAGGACGCCGGAGTGCACAAGCGCATTGTAGAGGTCACCGTGACCGGGCGGGTACCACTTCGACTTGTCGTCGTCCACCGACTTCGGCTGGGGCAGCAGCGTCTCCGCGATGATGCGCGGGTAGCGCGACTGGTTGAACGTGGTGATGCGGACCTGCTGGTTGGCGTATCTACGAGAAGTACGGTAAGTTCCTGGACCGCTTCTATAGGGACGAGATTCTATGGGGACGAGACCTACTTCTTGATGATGCGCAGCGTGTCCTCGTGCGTGTTGAAGGAGGTCATGAGGATGAGGGGGACATCGACGTGGAGGCTAGTGTTGAGGTGCTCGATCTGGCGCACGGTAAGGTCCAGGAAGGTCATGCCATTCTTGACCTCGAGTGCGCTCTTTGCGCCCTTCATGCCTGCATTCATAGTTCAGTATCTCGGATTCGAGCGTCTCAACGTTATCGCGCACCCATCGAGGTACCCAGACCACCATTGACCTTGAGGACGGCGAGCTTGTTGAGGGCAGCCTTGTCGGCCGGGGCGGAAAGGTCTGCATAGGATGCGACCTGCTCTTTGGAGGGGGAGCGAATCTTATCCCAGTCCCTGGAGGGATATCAGATAGCAAGTCCGAGGGAAGCGGAAGAAGACGCACAGTTCGTGGCTCTTGGCACGTTCGTCAAGGTAGCGCGTGAAGAGGTAGAAGAACGAGTCCATCTCCTGCTTGAACGCCTGCGAAGGGTCAGTACTTGCGATCGGACAGTAGTCTGCTACGCGCTTGCTGCAACTGCGGGTTCTTCTCCGTCGCAACAAGACGGTTGAGCTCATTCTTCATCGCCGAAGAGGCGACGCCGGTCGTCGCGCTCTTGAAGTTCTGCAGGCGGCGGATCCATGTCGACAAGCGCGTGGGGCGCAATCGCAGGCGGCGGCGAGGCGATTTGTCAGGCGCGGCAAAGATATGGGCGAAGAATTGCATGCAGGCAGAGATATGCATTAGCAACGCTCGCGGGAGGCGCAGAGGCTTTAGGCAGTACTGACCATGGCGGACACGCCGCGGGTGCGCGGCTGCCGCGCGTTCGAGGGGGTCGCTAGTGTGCTCATGGTCGCTGCGGGAGGCGTCGAGGCGCGTCTGAATGCAAGTAGAGCGGGGAAGAGATGGGGAGATGGGGGCAAGATGCAGGGAAACTTTAACTCAGTGTTTATGTGGGCGCGTCACATCGCGATTACCACGTGTCTGGCACCGCGCCGAATTCGCTCGAAGGCGGCGCCGACATCGCGCAGGGTGACGGAAGGGGGAGGTCAGAGGCGATGAACGTTTGGCTGTCAATCAGACAAGGACTACATAGCACATAGAGGGGGGGCTCATCACCGAGGACGAGGCGAGAATCATCCAAGCTCGATCGAGGATCGCTAGTACGGCGCTAAACCTGGAAGCCGCTCCGCAAACGTTGGTGTGCTACTGCCTCCGCCGACGCACCATAAGTAGCGGAGGAGAACGCTTCCAGGTGCGCAAAGGGCGCTTCCGAAGGTCGACGCGAAACGGATGAGTGAGCTGCCGTGCCTGCATTCATAACAGCGTCGCGCTAGAGTACAATGGGATATACCGAGAACCCAAGGGTAGATACAGTAGAAAGGTCCAAGATTGCATCGTGAGGGCCTTTACTTCTTGTTGGGGTTGGCCGCCTCTGCAAGAAGTATCGTCAGCGTTTGCTCAGGTCGTCTCTAACTGTCGACGCACCTCTTCTTGTTGCGTCCTCCAACAACTGCGTGTCGACGTGCTCAGTAGGGAGCTGCACGTAGCGCACTACGGAACCGCGAATGAAGCAGTTCTTCACCGCCATCTGGTCCGAGGGGAAAGCGATCAGCCATCCAGGTATAGAGCCGCACACGCTGCCTATCACCCACCATATGCGGATGCCTAGCCTCATCGAGGACCTTGATATCATCTAGCCGGATATTGAGGAACCTAGTACACATCACCACGCGGAGGCGAAGAGGGGGAGGGGAGCAAGGACAGTCCCAACAAGCGCAAGTGAGGTCGGGGTGGTCAACAATTCATTCGGGTACAGATTGAGGGGTTAGGGAGACGAGGGAGAGAATTATATTAGCCTCATCGTCCTCGTGAATACAACCACAGATACGCACTGGTCCACCGACTTCAACACGCCCGTGATCGACAGGTCATTCTTCAACTCGACCGTCACTTGCTGATCGGTCAGCGTCTTGAAGACCGAGAAAATCAGCTGTCCGTCGTCGTCAGCGCGCTGTGAATGACTGGAGTGGCGACAACAGCAAGCACCATAGTGAGCACGGCGCGCGATGGCGGTTCAGGAAAAGAAAGATGCGGTCACATGCGCGCGGAATCAATTCGGCGCAGGCGGGCGCGTCGCGTCGGGCGAGGTTGGCGTGAGGGATTGCTTCGAGTTCGAGAATTGGGTGCGCACTTAGAATGAAGACGGACAGGATCGAGACACTTGATAATCTTTATACAGTATGGGATAAATAGTGAATTAACCACGGGGATGGGTGACGACGACTGGATATATGCGAGTGTAGAGCAGAAGGCGATAAAGAGCGTCGGGCTCAGTACAAGTACAGCGAGGTCGCACTAGCAACGACTCTGCAAGAATGACATATCGGATGGTGGGTGGTCGATGGTCACGATACGTATGATTAGATGAAATAATCACTTGCCTTCACTGACGCCGAAGACAACGGTGGATCCACCCCATCTCAGGCCCGCCTGAGAACAAGTCTCTAGTAACATCGACAGCAACGGAGCACAAAGGCCTCTCACTTCTCGAGGTCCCCCAGCAGCGTGTACCCCAGCACCCGCCGCCTCGTCCACCGCCAGCAGCCGAGCCACACGAGCGCCGCGCCGATGATGCCCACGAACGCGAAGCCGAAGATCACGCTCGTGACGGAGACGACGTGCGTCTCGACCGCGCCGTCGACGGCGGCGACGGTGGAGGGCGCGTAGGACGCGGCGGTGGTCTGCTCAGCGGCGTTGGTTTGGGTCAGGGCGTGGGTTTGAGCGGCAGCGGCTGTGGTCGTGGATGCGGTCGTCACGGGCCAGTTCTGTAGCGGAAAACCCAATTGTATTCGAGGTCACTATTTAGCCCAATAACCTAAAGCTCAGCGTGGAGAGGTACCTCGTTGCCGTCGGCGTCGACCTCCAATTCCAAGGGGAGCTGAAGAAGGAGTTTGAGTAACAGAGATTTCCTTGAAGCAAATAAGCATACCTCGCCAGACTCGACAATGACAACGTCCTCGAGAGGCTTGTCGCGCGGGCCCTTCGGGACGTTCTCTGCAGGAGGTATCAGTAAGAGTATCGCGGAGGATAAGTTCATACGTACGGATAGCGTCGACAATGTCCATGCCCTCAATGACCTTGCCGAAGACGACGTGACGGCCGTCCAACCAAGAGGTCTTGACAGTGCAGATGAAGAACTGGGAGCCTGGAGGGATGTCAGACAACAATGAAGCTGAATGCGAGAAAACTCACCGTTCGTGTTCTTGCCAGCGTTCGCCATGGAGAGGATACCCGGGCCAGTGTGACGGAGCTTACTGGTGGACCGTCAATATTTCTGCGGCCGGCTGAAACGTACTACCCGATACTCACAAGTTCTCGTCCTCGAATTTGTTGCCGTAGATGGACTGAGGCGAAAGTCAGTATATGTACGCCCTCTGTTGGCAGTTGCACTCGCCTTGCCGCCGGTACCGTCACCCTTGGCTATCAGCAGGTTAGGAGAAGCGCAATAGCTACTGTAGTTGGCACGTACTGAAGTCACCACCCTGAATCCTGAGGGGGGGGCTCAGCAAAGGGAATGCCTGCAAAGCCTTGAGACGCACATGAAGTCCTTGATGACACGGTGGAAGGCCGAGCCCTTGTAGCCATAGCCAAGCTCCTCGCCATCCTTCGTCTTTCCGGTGGCCAGCGCACGGAAGTTCTCGACGGTCTTCGGGACGGTCTACGTGGATGTCAGCCTTCCCTCCCATGCGCCGAGTTATACACATCACATACACCACCAAACAGACCCATCTTGACTGCATTCCCATCAGCTTTCCACGCTCGAATGAACGAGAGCAAACAACACATACTACGGCCCAAGTCCTTGTCGCCATGCTTAATGTCGAAGTAGACAATGTTCGTGATCTTCGGGCCGCGCTCCGCCTCAACGGACTGCGCGCAGAAGAACGCGGCAAAGGTGAGGACGAGGAACGCGAACGTTATCCGGCCGAACATGGTGGTGAAGGAGGGAAAGAGGTGGGAAGGACTTGCAGACGTGGAGCTTTCCGTTGGCGACGCGACACCACTTGCCACGTGTGCACCATCACCATCAGTCCGATCGCGCTTGGACTTTAGCACCCCTCGATCAGTGGGCGGGCAGGAAGGAACTTGACGATGGACGACGATATTATCCTCAACTTTGCGGACGACGACCATGCGCCCCTTCGCAAGGGGAAGAATAAGGGGACGCGCGCTGACAGGTAAGCAGCACGTCACTCTGAGCTTCCCTTGCTGACCGGGTTATCAGGATAAAGGCGAAGCGCGTAGCCAAAAGAAAGTCCGATGCAGCTTCCGCAGAGGTAGCAGATCAGAGGCCTGCGAAGAAGCCCAGAAATGAGGTGGCAGAGGATAGGCCACAAGCCCAGCCAGCTCAGCCCAAGGCCGGGCAAACTCACATCATCTCCTCCCTCTTCTCCCACAACCCTCGCGTCGAAGCTCCTGAACCCAGCTCCGCACCCAAGACTCCATCCGCACCTAGTAATGCCCCCCTCGATACCTCTACGTTCTCTGGTCTCGGTCTCAACCCCCTTCTCATCGCACACCTGGAGAAGAAACTCTCCATCACAAAACCTACCGCCATACAGCGCGCGGCCCTCCCCGCCCTGTTAGGCCGGCTATCCGCAGAGAACGCCCTCCGCGATGTCTTCATCCAAGCCCAAACCGGCTCCGGCAAGACCCTCTCCTACCTCCTCCCCATCATCCAGGACCTCCTCCCCCTCAGCAGCGACTCCTACATCGACCGCTCCATCGGCACGCTCGCCGTCATCATCGCCCCCACGCGCGAGCTCGCGCAGCAGATCTCCGACGTCCTCGAGAACCTTCTCAAGCTCCGCCTCCGCGCCGAGGACGAGGGCGCGGACTCTTCGTCCTCTGCGCGCCTCACGCGCTGGCTCGTCTCGGGGCTGCTCATCGGCGGCGGCACGCGCACGCACGAGAAGGCGCGCTTACGGAAGGGCCTGCCCATCCTCGTTGCCACGCCTGGCAGGCTGCTGGACCACATCCAGAACACCTCGTCGTTCAATGTGGGCAAGTGTCGCTGGCTCGTGCTCGACGAGGCCGATCGGCTCATGGAGCTCGGCTTCGAGGACACGATCAAGGGCATCATTCAAGGCCTCGACGGGCGGCGGCGCCTCGCGATACAGGCCGCGAAGCAGGGCGTGTCGACGGAGGTGGGCGGCTGGGACTGGGAGCGCGGGCGGCGGACGATCTTGTGCTCGGCGACGATCAAGGACGACGTGCAGAAGCTGGCGGGCACGGCACTGGTTAACCCGCTTATGATTGCTGCGACGACGCACGACGAACCGAAGCTGGGAGAGGGGATTGACGCGCCTGTCGCTTCGGACAAGTTTACGCCCCCTTCGCAGCTGGCACAGAAATACGTGATCGCGCCCTTGAAGCTCAGGCTTGTCATGCTCGTCGCCCTGCTGCGCTCGCTGATAGCGAAGGCGCAGGGCCGCGGGACGAAGATTATCGTCTTTCTTAGCTGCACCGACTCGGTCGACTTTCACTGGGAACTTCTCGGAAACGCGAGCATGAACGACACCCAACAGGACAGCTCTGATTCCGACGAAGAAGACGAGGATCAGGAAGTTAACGAAGACGGCGAAGAAAACACCAAGAAATCCTCCCGCCGACCCAACGACACCTCGACCACCTCCCACCTCCTCCCCGGCACTACCATCTACCGCCTTCACGGCTCCCTCCCCACGCAAACCCGCATCGCCACCGTCCGCGGTTTCTCCTCCAAAAACCCCACCTCCGTCCTCTTCTGCACCTCCGTCGCCTCCCGCGGGCTCGACCTGCCCCTCGTGCGCGCGGTCATCCAGTACGACCTCCCGACCGAGGGTGGCGCGACCGAATACGTGCACCGCGTGGGCCGCACGGCGCGTGCCGGGAAAGGAGGTGAGGCCTGGAGCATCGTCGCGCCGAGCGAGGCGGAGTGGGTGAAGTGGGTGGAGGCGAAGATGCGGGGGGATGAGAATAAGCAGGATGATGCGAAGCATAACATCACGTTGACGGGTGTGTCGATGGAGACGGTTCTGCGTAGCGGGTTTGGCGGTAAGGGGACGGAGCCGCAGGAGCGCGCCACGGAGGTCCAGCTCGCGTTCGAGCGCTGGGTACTGCGCAAGGAGGTACGTTGATCCTGCTCTTGATATCAGATTATCTTAATCACTGACATGCCTCGCAGCACTCCGAGCTCGCCCGCAAGGCCTACCTATCCCACATGCGCGCCTACGCCACGCACCCCTCCTCCGAGAAACACATTTTCCACATCCGTCACCTCCACCTTGGTCATCTCGCCAAAGCCTTTGCTCTCCGCGAGGCGCCCAAGGCGGTCACGAACCGCAAGAGCACCGACGGCAATGCCAAGGCGAAGAAGGCGCCCAAGGGAAGCAACGCGAAGAGCAGGGAGTGGGAGGCGACGCATAGCGGCGAGGCGGAGCGCCGGATGCAGGAGGTCGTGCGCGCGCAGGGTAAGCTTACGAAGAAGGGTGGGATGTTGAGGGCGGCGGATACGTCAGAGTTCCAGATTGCGGGTACGGCGGCGTTGGAGAAGATGCTTCAGGGATCGTTATGATAGTACATATCTTATTGCTGGTTCATCGTTTATCTACATTTGTGCACTCATGGCAACTGGAACTTCCAAGTTCAACCGTGGGAATGATTGTGTACGTAACATCTCCGAAAGTCACGAGATCTTCCAGCACCTTCGGCACCGAGATTCAGACTCCTGACAACGGTTGACTTTGACGGCGCTTGTCCTGAACCATCATCTCGACGTGCATGATACGGACTGCCAGCCAGGAGCAGATTGTCCTCACAAGTCCTGTGGACAGGTAATTGCCTGCACACGCGCACCAAGTCAGTGTCAGGACTCACTCTATTCTTCTCTAGCGAGGGCACTGTCAGGTGCTATAAGCACTCTATACCCGCTATACGGCGAACTAGTCATACTTCCAAGAATCCTAACAGGTATGACTCTGAGTCTAATGAACTTAGACAGTGTGTTGGATGCTGGTTTTGCGTTTAGAGACTTCTTTGTTTGCGCCGCGCTACCGCAGTGCAATTTCTTTGGTGAGCTGGCAATACCAACTTTCATTGGCCATAAAGCTCAATGAATAACTCCTCAAGTCTGGGTTGACGAAATTCCCGACTTTCACGACCCAGAACAGGACGACACAGCTATGGCATGCGTGATGGGCTCTCAGGATTCGCAAATTTCTTCCTCGTCCCAAGTACCGCCCTCAACGCCACGCAAGCGCGGCGCTTCTCCCTCTTTCACCACTCCCGCTCAGAAATTTGCTCGAGGCGCCAACGGCACGATACCGCGAAAGAACTTCAACACGCCCGAGGATAAGCGTAAGCGCCTGGAGGAAATCGAGCGCGCGCTGGCGGAGAAGTCGGGGAGCAAGAGCGATGCTCATCATGAGCTTGATGCTTCGGTGCCGCTCCCTGTGACACCGACGAAGGGGCCGAACACGCAGACAAGGGGCTTGCAGACGCCTTCGAAAGGTCCGCAGGCGCCGCCGATGCTGCTGGCTACGAACAAAGGGAAGGGGCGTGAGTTGGAGCCAGCCAGCTCGCAAAAATCCATTGCGGGCGAGGATGTCTTCGGGCCCTCCGCCCAGAACAGCATGTCTACGCCTCATCCGGGACCTTCGCGTCGGGGGCAGAGCCTTCGACAGGTAAGTGTTATCGTCCTTCCCCCTTCAGATATACAGATGCATCTGACGCTAATTTTGACCATAGTCCGCCTCCGCTTCCTCCCTACGCAGCTTCACCGGCAGTCAAGCGCCAGACCTTTCCCCCGAAGAGGTTTCCGATCTTCTGGAGAAACTATCCGGCCTCCCCGCACAGCTCCGCAAGCGCCGCGCGCTCGCCGACAAGCGCGAGGAGAGCGCGAAGAAGAGGATCGAGGAGCTGGAGGAGGAGAATGCGGACCTGATGATGAAGGTTGAGTCGTGAGTGTTCTGATTGTTTCGCATGTATGGCCTTTAGCTGATGTATAATTTCGCAGACTCGAGTATGAGAATGAAAGACTTCAGGCTCGCATCCGTGAGCTGGAGCGGGAGTGATCATATGGTTCTGGTCGATGCCGAATCTAACATGCCAAATACGAGGCAAATATATATGTTCCATTGTACTTTGTACTTCTTCGCGTCTTCCTCGTCTATCCGTCCCTAACTGGGATCTCTGTGCCGAGCTTCAAATGCGTGCGCATTCATATGTGTTGATGGAGAAGCCATCGGAATTGAGGCGCAGGACGAAGGCTTCGCCGTCGTCTGCACTACGGAGAGAATTATACAAACTGATTGCCTGGTGAAACTGGATGGCAAAGAGAGGGAGGGTGAGAAGACTCGATATATATCTTCACAGATGTCCAGAGAGATTGCACGCGGGAGGCGCGGCGTTTCTCCGGCCCGCCTGTCGCCGCTGTGGCGCGGTCACGGCGAAATCACGTCGAGGTCACGACCCACATCTTGACGGAGGCCATCATGTCGACGTCTACTGTTGAGTTGTCGGGACTGCGCCCGAGGGCGATGTCCGCGCCGGAGTTTCACGCCTTGGTCGACGCGAGCGTTGAGCTCAAGACTCAAGTTACATCCTCCATCCTGTTTATTGTCTAATACACCCTCCTTCCCTGCCGTTCATTACCTCGACCGTTCACATGTCTGGCGCTGGTGATCTGCGGTACGCACGCACGCCAGTTTCGCATTTGAGCTCGAAGTGGACCTCCGCGCCAGGTGCGTCCCTAAGCCTCTTATTTCAGAATCAAGTGCTCATCTATAGCACAGAGCGCTTGACGCAAGCCCTGAGCACCAAGCTTGGCAAAGTGCGATTCCTGCGACGGCTGTCATACACGCTACACGGATACCTGTTCTTCCTCCACATTGTGCTGTTCGCGGTATGCTATCACCACCTCGAGGAGGGCCTCACGATCCCCCTGAGCGGCGACGGCAACTTCGATAACTTGACTTCAACGGTCATCACTGTCTCGGGAACCGTCTTCGCTACAGTGCGCACCTCTACCCCTTGAGATCCTTTCAATGTCTCTGATGCGACGTCCCCCAGCTCTACGGCGCGCTGCTCATTTGGCTCACACAGCGGCTCGCCCTGCGGCGTTTGTTGACAAGCGAGCAGACCTTGACCGCCATGCACGATGAGTTCAAATCGTGGATCGGCATCGGATCCGCTCTCCTTGCCCTATTTGGCCAGAGCAGGATTAAGAGCGCCCTCCCGTGGGTTCTGTGCATAGCAGGGTACCTCGTGAACGTCACCGTCTTGCATATCACGATGCCAGCCATGTTCTCGCTGCAGGTCGGGAACCTGTATCACCCGGACAATATCACTACGCAGATGGCGTACCCGGACGTGTACAGCATGCTCCAGTGCGTGTCGCGTCCTTCGATGGGCTCACTGGCTTATGCACGGAGCGCTGTCACAGCACTTGGCCAACGGATGCGCGCGATGCGTCGACGCTGCTGCATGCTCTGTTCAGCGACGCATCGAGCTTGCTGCCGTATGTTCTGCTCCTTGACCCCGACAAGACCGTGGGGTTGGCGAAGGGGACTATATACGATCAGCTCGTCACCAACACGCTCAGCGATACGACCGCGCTCGTAAATGCGACCACCTTTGACGTGTCCTGCGGCACGCTCGATTCCTTGGAGGTGGATGACACGTATCCAAAAAGCGCACCTATGTGGTACAGCGTCTCTCACGTGTATCCAAATGGCACCAGGCAGGAAGACATCCGGGTCAAGTACATTCAGCGTAAGTCGCGATCTCTACGTCTCACTTAGGCTCACAGTGCCCAGCGAACAACGCCATGGCCCTCACCTGGCACAACATCACCTCCGACGACATACGTCCCGGCGCGAACCGGAGCTTTTATCTGTACGGCACTTTCGACATAGAGGACTCCGCAGGCGATGTCCTCTCCAACTTCTCATTGCCCGAGCCCAACGGGCATCCTCCGAATATATCGATGATCGGCTGCGATCTCTACAGCCACAACCATACCATCCAGGTCGACACGACGACGCGGGTCGCAAAGTTGGACCAGGTGCCGGCTCTGCGCGAGAGCTCCTTGTGGTCAGTTTGGGAGCCTCAGGATCCGGTTGCGCCGGACGACTTGGCGATATTGGACCTTGTAAGCGTGGAGGGGGAGGCGGCTCGCGATGCTCATCAAGCTCACAGTGGATCACGGCGGTCATGAAGCAGTACCAAACCAGCTTTACCTTGGGAGGGACGGGCGTCTATAGACTCGGCTTCATGGAGAAGTAAGCCTTCGACGCTATGCAGTGATCTCCATAACTATCCCTAATCCTTGCCAGATTTGTCGCTTCGTATCTTGGGCTGCAGCTCCCAGGATGGTCGGCCACGCATGTCCCGCGCGGTAGGGTCAAGCTTCACCACGTCGAGAACGCGCTGAGCGAGCTTGCCGCCGCATATTTTTGGTCTCGTGTGTAGCATCTTCTGGACTCAATGTCGTGCAACTCACACGGATCCCAGTCAATCAAGTGAACACTGACAACCAATACGGCATCGAGCGCACGAGCAATATTGCCATAGGCCGCCCAGAGGCCGTGCGCCGACTCCACGTACGAGCCACGCCTCTTTGGATAGTTCAGTGATAGCTCACCTACTCGTCCAGCTGAATCGCACCCCGGTAGTCTTCGGCCTCGGCGCATCCACCCTGCTCATGTTCATGAACCTGCTACTCGTGCGCCCTCGAGAGACAAGAGCCATAGGCGCCATTGACGTCCTCGACACCTTGGGGCTCCTCCAGATAGTCTGGTTCGTGCGAGGCCGCCCGGACGCCTTGAGCACCGTGGGTCGTGTACAGAGACCGAACGAACTGGACCTGCGGCATGCGGGGATGTTCGTTGTTCCACCTGATGTACGCACTGCACCTGCTGTTGGCATTCGTCCTGATATACGCTGTCCACCCAACGTATGGGACCCAAACCCCGGCGGCAGTGAGCGCATCGTCTCTCTCGCCTCTACAGTCTCCAGTTCGACGACACTCGTCAACGAGCAGCTGCAGACAAACGATGTAGACGACGGCAAGCTACACAAATCCGCCCCGTCGAACTGGGAGACCTTTGACGATGGCTATGTATATTTTTCACCACCTGACGATTGTAAAGGATCTTCGAGTTGCTGATCATCGTTCATTCCTCTGTCCTGTCGCTCGCTTTGTTGGTCGTTACACACCTGCACCATAGATACATTCCGACTCAAATACTTTTGTAGATCAGGCTCACGGACCTTTCCATATTGACGGACTGCAATGCATTACTAGTCTCACTGGAGATATTACTGAGCAAGTCAAGAAAGCCGATGATCATTGCGCATGCTAGGGACGCGGATTGTAAGGTACATCTAAGTGAACATCAGTAGTAGAGAAAGGCTATCATACGAGTGAAGAAAGTCCAGTGATACAAATAGCGATAATAAGTCAAGAGCAAGAACGCCGATACTGAACGCCACCAGTACAAAGTCTACGCAGCATTCGCATTCTTGTTGCGGTGGCGCAAGAACCTGGTGATCATGTCGTTCATGTTGCCACCTGCCGACGTGTCCTCGGGCAACCATTCGCCATTGTTGACGCAGAGGATCTTCATGCGCTCGTGGTACTTGAGGTCGGGCAGCAGTTTAGGCGTGATGAGAAAGTACTGTGCGCTCTCCGGCTTGCATGTAACCTCCACCATCGAGTTGTGCACCATGCGCTCGGCACGTTGGTCCATGCCCTGTAGAGGCTATAAGCGGACATCGAGGCATCAGAGAGAATGGCACGAACCTGGTTGATTTCATCGACAAGGGAGAAGGGAGCCCGCGCCTCTTCCGTCAAACTCATGAGGTAGAGGATGGTTGTGAGCGAGCGTTCCTGTGTCAGAGTATTAGCAACTCATCCAGTAGGGCAAAAAGTGGACACGTACGCCACCCGACTGTCGCTGCGCAGTCAGCAACTGAAGCTTCTCGCTGTCGCGGAATTTGACGAGGATGTCGATGGCCCACTTCTCGTAGTCGGGATCCTCGCGTATGCGAACCTCGCCCGCGCAGCCAATACCTATACACTGCGTCAGAATATCCAGTTCAAGCCAAGAGTGAGCTGGCTTACGATCGAAGGTTGCGGAGAACTTCTTGCCGATACTTGACACGAGCTTCTCGAGCGCGGGCTTCCAATTATCCTGAGCGCGCTTGATCTTCTTCTCCAGACCGGCCGCTTCCCGCTGCTCCTTCTCGATGGTCCGCTCGAGCACCTCGATCTGCGCATATCCGTCAGTACACACTTCATCAGCGCAGTCACCGTGAAGACTGACCTGACGCTTGCGAGCCTCGTACTGCTCCACCACACCAGGGTTGTTATTGCTGTTGAGCTCGAGCTTAGCCTCTTCATTGTCCAGCTCAGTTTGCAGATCCTCCGCCGTTCGCTGGTCCATGTCCTCAGGCGGCTCAGGCTCATCCCTGCCTTCCTTCTTCGCCTGCTCGACAGCCGCCTTGTACTCAGCACGCTTGCGCTGGATCTCCTCGTACTGCGCGCGTATATCCGGCTCGCAATCGCCCAGCGCGGCGTGGCTAGCGTCGAGCGCAGCCTTCGTCTGAACCTTGTCGTTCTGATACTGCTTATCGACTGTCGAGATGTCAAAGGGAGCAAGGAGAACATCAGTAGGCGGCAAGGAAGACATCAGCAGGCATACGCACGTTCCGCGAACTTCGCCAATGCCTTCTGATACTTGTCGTCCTTCTCTTTGAAGAGCTTCTCCAGCGCCTCCTTGTTCGCGGCGAGCTGCAGGTGCTTGATGCCGGTCATCGTGTTCTTCGTTTGTTCGTCGCGAATTGTACGGGCGAGATCCTGGGGAGGCATGAGCATTAAGGAGACACAGCATGAGTGCAGTCGCATACAATGATTTCCTTGGTCAGCTTGATGCGCCTCGTGCCCAGCTCGAGCAAATCCTTCTTGAGCTTGGCACGCTTCTCCTCGATGGGCTGCTCGTTCTGAGTCGTCCGGAGCCGGTCACGTTTGGTCTCTGGGATTACAGTCAGAACGAGCGAGATGAAGACAACGAAACACGCACGAAGTTGTGACTTCAGCTGGGCCTGCTTGTTCTTGGTCTGCTTGATCACGTCGGCTCGCTTCTTAACTGCATCCTGGATGCGTCGTCAGTTCCTCTACATCATGCATCCTTGGCCATGAACACGTACCATCTCGGCGTTCAACTCTCTCCCCTTGCCGTTCGCAGTGGCAATCTCGGCCTCGACCTCCCTGATCTGCTCGTCGAGCATCTCAACCTCCTTCTGCGCCTCCTGCATCCCAGAGATCAGCCGGCCGCGGACACCCTCGTCGACTGACGGCGCTTCGTGTCAGCCGCAAGGCAACGCATATCACTGGATCACGAACCTTGCGCATCAACTGCGAAGATATTCGCCCTCCCGAAAGTGTACGTCGAGGACGTCACCGTCCTTCTACCGTAGCGTGACTTCGAGATTGAGTGCCGCGTGTGATCTACGATGAACGACCCTCCACCGCAGTTGCCGACGATATCCGTCATCTGGCTCACATCGGTGCGTTGCTCGGACAAGGATATGGCCTGCAAAGATGTCAGCCACACGAGCCCGTACACCAATTCTACGCATAGAACTCACGATTGCGTGCATGCCAGCATTACTGGACAGGAACCAGCGCATCGGTTCCGGGCACTTGACGAAATCAAGCGCATACCCCTCGAAGCCCAGCGCAGATAGCTGTTACACATGGTCAGACGTCGTCGGGATTGCCGTTTGTTGGACATACCTGTTCCGACGGCACGGGCGGCGGGGAGAGTTGATCTTGTGGCTTGTACCAGACGGCAATGCTCGCCCTTCTCCCAAGTGCTTGGTCGGTATCGTTGACCCAGTGGTTGAGCGTATCCGCATCCTCCTGGCACTGCGCAACGAACATCTAGGACATATGGTCAACTACATGGCCAATCAACCCAATGAACGCATACTCTGGGCATATATCCAGTAATGCATGCCTCGACAGCATCTGCAATCGACGCAGGAGTGGGACGACCATTGTACTCCTTGACCACCGATACGGAGATGAAGGCAGGCTCGATGACCTCCATCTGGAACTTGTCCCGGTTCCGCCTGAGCCACACAACGGCGTCGGCAGCGTCCTTATCCGACTGATGAAGGCGCGACAGCTGCCTGTTCTCGTACTGAGCCAGACCATTCAGCCTATCTCGATGTCAGTCTCGTTGAACAGTGCGCGCTCAACCTGCACTCACTCCTCCTGAAGCCGCTGAATGCGATGGTTAAGATGCGCCTTCTGGTTCGCAACCTCCCTCATCCTGTCTTGCAAGACGCCCATGGCTTCCCTCGCAACACGCATGCGTTCGGCGACTTGTCGCTGAGACAAAAATGAGCTCGCGCAGTTTGAAGGACTGAATTCCTCACCCTTTCGGCCTCGAGCTCTTTCTCGTCCTCGATCTTGACCTCCTCTTCAAGCTTCTCCTTAATCTTAGCGATATCGTTTTCGAGACCCCGTATCCTGTTGATCCTGTTCTTCTCATCCTTCTCCGCGTCGTCCATCCGACGATTGATCTCCTCGGCCTCGTCGTACTTGACACTGTGTCAGCGCCTATCTGTACCTGCGCATATGCTACTCACGTATTTCTCGCTCTGCTTCGACAGGTCAGCGAGCTTGGTGAAGAGATCGATGATTGTTTTCTTCTGTCTGTTCCTCGACTGCTCCATTGCCGCATGCTTTGCCTCTAACTCTCTGATATATTTGTGAGCCGTAGCGTTGTTGGCTTGTCATGCAAACGTACTTCAACTTGGCGTGCGCGGGAGCGTTCTTCTCCTTGAGCAAAGAAACCAGCTTGTGCTGTTGACGCTGTTGTAGCTTGATTTTCTGGAACGCTGTACGCATCTCGTCGTAGATCCGAGTCGGGATGAGGACTTTGAGGAGAGCAATCTGAAGGACGTCAGGATGGTGAAGAGCAATGCAGGGTGAGCACGACGCACAGCATCTTCGATTTGCTTGCGTTCCAAGAAGCGTTGAACGTCGCGTTCGATGGCTTCGTTGCGCTCCTTCATCTGGTTCAGCTGCGTGATCTCCTCGTTCAATTTCTGCGGCCTATAGTGAGTACGGTGTGTGCTGATGCAGGGCTTGGCATACAGCTTGCACTCCGTTGAGCGTCTTCCCGTGTTCGATGAGCGTTGCGTGCCACTTTGAGAGGCTCTTATCGCCGGCTGCACGTTGGGTCTCACGCAACAACTGCTGTGGCGACATGGCCGCGAATTCGGACACCTTGTCTTGCGGCAGGAAGGAGCTACAGTGCGTCAAGTCCAGTTTTGACGACGCTGTCGATCGAGGACATACCATAGATTGCCAACTTGCACGTTCAGCTCTTCCATCTTCGCATTGACGTCCTTTCCTGTGCTGGATTTACCGTTCAAGGTGAAAGTCGTCACTCTGCTGTTCCTGTGAATGACCCTGCGGATGACGACATTGTCCTCTCCTTTCGAGCCTTTCAACTCGATTTCAATGAAACCACTGTCGGCGTCCATCTTGACGAAGGAGGGCACGTCCGCAGCGCGTCCCAGAACCTAGCGCTCTACATTAGCTTGAGCTCGCGACAGCGGAATCGGTACGCACGGTAGGAGGCCAGTTGAGACCCAAACAGATCGCGCAGGCGATACTACTCTTTCCCGTCCCATTGGGACCAAGAATCATGTTGAGGTAAGGGCCAGGGCGAAACTCGACATCGTCGTATGTGACGAAATTGTGCAGCTTAATGCGAACGATAGAGCCAGGAACGTAGCTTTGGAGACAACAGTTAGATACACTGAACATTACGCAGTAATGGATCTGACGCACCCATCGTCCCCTCGCGGCTGGGTCTTGATTTGACGAACAGGCGCCTCCTCGTCCTCATCATCATCTTCAGCCGTCGGACGCGACTCTCCCATCGTATTGGCGCGTGCGCGCTTGCGACTCCTCGGAGACCCGCCCTGCTCATCGCCCTCCTCTTCTCCCTGCGCGTCAGCCTCTTCATCCGCCGCCTCATTGGCGCGGCGCTGCTGCTCCCTACGCGCCCCTTCTTCTTTCACCTTCTCGGCCTTCACTCGAGATGGTCCTGCATTCTCTTTCAAACTGTCGGTCTCCGCAGAATCGGCCGCTCGACGCGTCATGGTGGTCAGAGGCAAGTTTGGTGGCGACGCGGGGGTACGAGATCACAAAGCCTAATTTGACGCGTTGTCTGGGAAAACAATGGTAAATAACGCGCTGGCCTGTTTCTTCCCACGCCATTATGTGAAGATGTCGAGAAGCCCATTCAATGGACCGGGCGTATGCAGTCCTCCGGAGAGCATCTGAGTACTGATTCCGACATCATTAGGACTGCTTCGTCTTGACACGAGTCTTCAGACATAGCATAGGTGTATTGAAACGCAAAGGGCACGATGAGTGAGCGACTGTAACGGCTGCGAGTAGGATTACATGCAGGTTAATAGGACAAACATTGGAGTCGCACATGGGATATACGTGACACAATACTGTACGTGAGTATACACGACGCCGGTCTACCGACGACAACGACGATCTTGGGCAGCAAAAAGATAACTACAATTCCTCCCCCTCCCCCTCCTACTCCAGCACTATCTCGCGAATGTCCGGCCATTCTTCTACGACGTCTTCATCTGCCACGTATCGATACCGCTTCCCCTCCTCGACGCGTCCTTCGACTGGGAACCCGAGGTGTCCATCGGCACGCCGAACGGGTTTCGCTGGGGCTGCTGCTGGCCTTGTTGCGGCGGGCCGGCCGGCTGCACGCCAGTCCCATAGAACGAACCCGACATCGACGCCTGCGACGGGCCAGCGCCGCGCGTCATCGCAGTCGCATTCGTGTACCCTCCCTGCGCCGGCTGCTGGTACTGGTCCGGCTGCATCGGCACGTACATGTTCCCGATGTCCGTCCGCCGATCGAGCGAGTCGAAGACGTTCGCGCCCTGCGATGACTGTTGTGGCGGCGACGTCTGCTGCTGCGGGCCGAATGCATTCGCGTACCGCGCCGTGTTCGAGATGTTCGTCGAGCCGTTGTAAGCCTGCGAGGGGCTCGTGATGACGCCACCGCCTGCACCGAACATGGCGTTGCTGCCAGTGCCCTGCGCCGCTGCCGCACGAACGTTGGACATAACCGCGTCGCGCCTGCTCTGGTCGTCCTCCATCATTGGGTACTGCTGAGGGTGGTACGAGTGCATGAGCTTCGAGGGCGGATGCGGGTGCTGGTAGCGGTTGTGGTTCGCCCACGTCGTGAGGCCCGACGCCGCCGCCATTTCGGCCTGCTGCTGCAGGTGCTCCAACTGCGGGTACGGCTGGAACTTGCTGGCCTTGCCCTGCTGTTGCCGCTGCTCCCACTCGCGCATCGCATCGTCGCGGTTGAGCACCGGCGTCAAGGCATTGCGCCCACCAGCAATGACGTCCTGCTTCATGTGCTGCAGCCTTGCCAGCGCCGGCGGGATGTTGTCCATCTGGTTGTTGATGGTGTTGGCCCGGCTCCGCTGGTTCGGGTAGTACGTGTTGGGAGGCACGTTCGGCTGCAGCTGAGGTGGCTGGCCAGAGTATTGCGGCATCGAATTGCTCGGAATCATTTGGGCGGACGTCTGATGAGCAGAAACGCGATGATTAAAGGGTGCAGAGGAATTAGCGCTGTACTGCACCTGTTGAGCGCCTGCCTGCGCTTGTGTCTGCGCCGCCGCGTGCTGTTGCTGCGCCTGCTGCTGTTGAGGCTGCGCCGAGGGCGCGTAGGACGCGTCTTGAGTATACGCTGGCGGCTGCGTCGATGGTTGAGTGTTGTTCGGCGTCAAGTACGGGTTGCGGAAGGTGTTCGCGGACGCCGCCTGCGCTTGCGCCGTGTAGGCCTGATGTTGAGCCAGGTGCTGGTTATACGACGCCGCGTCCTGGAACGCACGCGTACCCTTGGCCGGTTGGGGCACAAGACCGCCATACGGCCGCTTTGGATCAGGCGAGCTTGAAGGCGGAGCTGGCGACGGCTGAGGCATTCCGCCGGGCTGCGTATCGCGTTAGTCATGCTTCTCCTGAACGCGTATCTGTATACAACGTACCACATACGGCCCCTTGTACTTCTCGCCGGTGATGAAAGGGTGCCCTCTGGCCTGCTGCGGCGTCCAACGCGTGACAGGGTTCAAGTCCAGCAAGCCCTTGCAGAAGTCGATGAATGCGGCTCGGTTGTTGAGCTCTACTGAAAGTTGAGTAAGGACCCGGTGAAGAGAAAGGCATAGCACAAACCCTTCTCCATCTCGTTCTGACGGTTCGGCTTCGCCGCAGGCATCGGGGCACCTGAGATGATGTCCGGGAGGTTCGTCGCCTTGAAGTATTGCTTCCCAGGCTGCTCATTCGTGTTGTGCTCCCGCGAGTACTGCTGGATGCTCTTGAGGGTATATTTCTTCTCTGGCTGTCCGGTCGCAGGGTTATAGGTATCGACAGAGTCAAAGAATTGGTGCGTCTGCTTCCCCGAGTTCAGCATGCTGAGAGGCGGCATCCTGAAATCTTTGTGAGCAATGTCCGAAATCCCGAAGCTACGTGATCCTACCCGAGCATCTCAATGATGCGAGTCAGTTGGTTGTACTCGCTCGTACCCGGGAAGAGCGGTAAACCAAGGAACAGCTCCACTGCGATACAGCCCAGGGACCACATGTCGATGGCGGTCGTGTAAGGCATTCCCAGGAGAACTTCCGGCGATCGATAGAACCGCGACTGAATGTAAGTGTACACTGTCTGTCGCTCATGACAGGCCGACCCAAAGTCGATGACCTTGATCTGTGGCGACTGCAGTCTATGCAGAAGTCAGCGCTGCTTGATAATGGCTGTGAATAGGTGGGTACGCACGACTTCAAGAGGATGTTCTCCGGTTTCAAATCGCAGTGGATGAGGTGCGCCTCCTTCAAAACGGTCAAGGCATCAAGAAGTTGCGCCATAAAGACCTTGACGAGCTGAGTGCTGAGACCCTGGAACTGGTTCTGCTTGATCAACTCGTAGAGGTTGGATGACAGCAATTCGAACACCAAGCATAGATGCTGCCGGTGGATGAAGGAGTCACGCAATCGCAAGATGTGGTGCTCGTCATTAGGGTCGCACTGCTTGTTCAACTATGCGGCAGACGTCAGCAGAGGCCTGCAAGAGACATGCGATGCACGCACCAGGTCGAGGATAGTCACCTCCATCATACTCTGATTGAAGTATGCAGGCTTGTTCTTGACGACCTTGACGGCCACGATCTCGTGCGTCTTCATGTTTTGACACTTGACAACTTGGCCGAACGTGCCTTGCCCCAGTATATCCAAGATCAAGTATCTGCATGCTGAGTAAGTGGACGTTCCTAGCAAAGGCAATCGAATACGCACTTGTGGCCCTCCTCGTTCCCCAGCCAGTCGTTCACGTACAGAATATAGTCGTAGTCTTCGTTGTCGTAGCCGTCATTGTGTGAGGGCTTGCTGGGCTTGGTGAGGACACGTCGCGGGTTATGGGCCGCCTCGTATCGGAACTGGGGGTTGCAGATATGGTACGTCTCCAAGATGTTGGTAGTGAGCTGACGAAGGGGCTGTACAAGAGGATGAGACAAAGTTCTCTCACAAGATCGGTCATTAGCGCACCGAGAGATATGTCCCATCAGCCGCCATTCTTCTTCCTGCAGGCGGGACGTCCAGTCGCGGCTGCAGATCGCTCGCACCATTTACCCGACGAAGACCCTGCGAGCGTCGCTTATGTGATGGAGGATCAACGACCATGGCGTTGTCCTGCTGATAGTAGGACGCGCTCCCTGGCTGATTCATGAACGAAAGCGGCGTGGTGGGACTGGACAAGGACTGCTTGATGGGCGTGTGCACACCGAGCGCCGATTGCATGCCCGGGGCCGGGCTGGTCGTCTCCATAGAGTAACCGGCCGGCGAATACACGCCAGACGATTTCTGCGTGGGATTCTGCGGGGAGTACGGCGATGCGACGGGAGGCGTCATAGGTTCGCGTTTTACGTTGACGCTAGAGTGCGTCCGGGAGTGGGAGTGGTAGCCCTGGCGCTGATCGGGTTGGGATGGGTAGGCGTACGGTCCTGCGGGCGAGTACGGTGACTGCTGGGCGGACGCGAAGGGATCGGTCAGAAGCTGCTGCTGCGCGGTACGAGGAGAACGTGCCGAGTTTGACGCAGCTCCTGGATCGGGGGCCGACTTTGGTGGCGCGTTTCCGCCCGCATAGTACATGTCTCCGTACGCCTCTGGGGGCGCCAAAGGTGTGTTGACGGCAGAGTTCGGGGCGGTGAGGGACGATTGGGCTGGATATCCGATGGCAGGGGGATAGAAGGCGTTCTGGGATCCCTGCATCTGCTGACGCTGCGTGCCCATGCCCTGGCCGTCGCCGTGAAAGGCGCCCTCCAGATCGTCTGGCTGATGATGTCTTCGCGGGGCCCGGTGCGCGCTTGCGCCAAGGGAAGCGCTGCGGGAGAGCTGGCCTTGACCAAGCCCCTGGCCCAAGTACATCGGCTGTCCCTGCTCCATGATCTGAGAGATGCGCGGCGGCTGGCGCGATGACGAGCTTGGGGGAGACGCGTGGAGGCGCTGGGGCGAAGTCGCGGACAACTGCTGCTGCGGCTGCTGGGCACCGCCGGGTGAGTAGAGGTAGGAGGCCTGGGCAGCGTGCGCGGCCTGGGCGGAGGAAGAGAGCGGGTCGATATCGGACTGCCAGCGGGGAAGATCAAAGCCGTCGTTCGAGTCCGTCATCATGTACGCCAATTCCGGTTCAGACATGGAAGATCAGGAAAAGGCACGGACGGTGATGGTGTGCGTCCGGTATGGATCGTTGACGACGTCGGGCGCGACGAGGAGGTGAAAAATGGAGCGGCGCCAACTGACGGTCGACAGCGAGGTCAACTGACAAGCGTGGTGCGGTCAACGCCTCGAATTCACAGCCTGCTGTGCGTTGTTTGCACCCCTTTCGCATCTCCCTCAGCGCTTTATCGGCCGTTTCCGAGAATGCGGCCCTGCAGTCGTGCTCTCTACTCGTGCCCTACGCTACACCCGTTTCCAGCGCCTTCAGCTCCGTCACAATCGCCCTCTCCGCCTCCAGCAGCACCCGCGGGCCCTGCCCCAGCGTCAGGAACGAGGGCGCAATGTCCACCGACAGGAATATCTGTTTCTTGAATCGCACCGCTGCCAGAACATCAGCAAATGATATAATCGGTGCGGACCGCCCTACCCAGCCGCTGCGCCATCGATAGGGCGACGTCAGATCCAGAGGTGCGAAACAGCGCGGTTGCTGCTCCTGCGCCGCCCTTCTGGATGCTCAGTCGCTTCGTCGCCGTGCACGGAACGTGGCCTGGACCATGCTTACCGCCGCACTTGGCATCGCGCATGCCCAGTCTTTCGCCAGGTTCCCCTTCAGCGGCGCCTCTTCCACTCGCTCCGGGCCCCCTTCCGCCATTCCCACCCACAGCATGTACGAACCCACCAGGCGCGTAATCTGCAGCGCCAACGGCGGCAGGCTGTCGTCTGGCGACACGTAGTGTGTCGTAATCGAGATGCTCGCCATGATGGTGTGGAAGATTGCCGTTTCAGTCGATGACTTCGTTCATTGAGCCCTCTCTTCTGCGCTTGGCTTCCCATTTTCGCCCTGCGCCCTACGAGGTTCTACCGCTCTGTTGGACGTCATTCTTTCATTCTTCTGACTACTCGATCGCGGTCTGCCAATCGGCCGGGAATTGAGGCAGAGGTACGACGAGGTCATCCGATTACCAACCCTTTGAACATGCACAGAACATGTGCCGACCCCGATGAGCAATCGCTGTCTGAGGGTACCTTTCTCTGGCTTCACGGACACGCTAACCTACTGCGCGTGGGTCAGTCGCGCTCTCGACAGCCAGAACGGGCTGGAAGTTGCTGTAGACTGACAAGGTGAGCCCATCCTCCTCTCCACAGCTCCCGCGCGCCGCATAATTCGCTCGGCGAAGCAGCAAGCTGTGGGCGGGTGCATTGATCACTCGGTGTACCGCCTATCTACAACCCTATCACAAAGTCCAGATATGTTCCACACCGCCTAAAATTACAATGCTATCCTCGTCCTTTCAGTTCGGGTATCTGGCTTTCTAGTCCGCGCCCACGGGGTTCCAGCTGACCGCACCGTCCTTGCCGCGGTCGAGGCTGTTCAACTGCGCAACGTCCTCGTCCGACAGCTCGAAGTCGTACACCTGCGCGTTCGAGTAGATGCGAGAAGGTGTCACGCTCTTTGGAAGTGGTACGAAGCTGAGGATGAAAAGTCAGACCCTGAGCTGGATGCATACGCTTTCCACACGCACCCTCGTTGTAAGGACCACCGAATCAGGATTTGGGCAGGGTCCCGGCCGTGCTGAAGGAGCGGGTCGTTGCGTGCAAGCAAAAGGACAGAATAAGAAGGTTACCTTCTTCGCCACGCTCTGAATGACCTCGTTGTCCATCTGCCCGCGTATAATCGGGCAATACGCCTGCACCACGATGCTGTTCTTATTGCAGTATTCGACGATATCCTTCTGCTGGCATAGCGGATGGAGCTGAAGAACTCCCTCAACGTCTGGTGAGTCGAGGGTTATTTATCTGCGCACCTCAATCTGGTTCACCGACGGCAACTCGTAGTTGGCAGCTCTGATCTCTTCCAAATGTTTCACACCGCTGGTATAATAGTCAGAATATTTGTCGGACGTTCAGAAAGCTGCTTACTAGTTAGAGACGCCGACGGTCCTGATCTTGCCAGCGGCTCGCGCTTCGAGCAGGGCTTTGTAGGTCTGCAGTCGCTTTTCCTTCCCCGACAAAGGGTCGTGGATCAGGAAGAGGTCGATGTAGTCTGCAAAGGCAGGAGTAAGCATATTCTCGTTATCATTGAACTTGAAAAGCCTGACCGAACTTCATCTTTGCGAGCGACTCGTCCACGCCTTTAAGCGTGCTCTCGTACCCGTGATTCTTGGACACGATCTTTGTGGCTTGCGCGTAGCGTCAGCCCTGTCTCTCATCATTTCTCTTCAAGATAAAGGTACACTTACTAATGAAGACGCTCCCTCTGTCAATCCCGCTCTCCCTCACGGCCTCCGCCACATCGGCCTCGTTCTTGTAAACTTGCGCCGAGTCGATATGCCTGGCAGGCGTTTACTCGCTCTTTCCTTGTACACATTCTACTGAGTAGTACTTACCTATATCCTGCCCTCAAGGCCTCTAGGACGGAAGGCTTCGCGTTGTAATTCTGGTACACCCCGAACCCCAGCAAAGGCATCGTGTACCCTGATCAGTCAATCGATAGCGCCGGTTCATACAAGGGTGCGGTCACCGACCCGTTGAGAGCTTCACTGTCGAGGAGATAGAGAGAGCCATGGTAGTCCTTGGGGGATGAAGGTAGAAAACTAAGAGGTCTGTAAGCGAAGGTCGAAAGTTGTGGACAAGTGCTGGCAGTTGTGGGCGCAATCACCATTGTCAGTGGTCACCGCGGAGATCCGAGAAAATGATGTCACCAATAGGCCCGAAGCCGCCGGTGCCGATTTTGACTCGGCGGCGACGAATTTCGACCGTCTTGCGGCTTACCACCAAGTCCTCAGTGTCTTTCGCTCGTCGTCCGCGGGATACACATTTTCACAGTCGAACCTATCTTTTCGAAGTTCTAGGTGCTCAGATCGAAACCCCCGCGACGTACAGGACGAGTGAAACGGCGACTCAGCGCTCAGCGCTCAGCAGCGCGGGCGCTTCTGCAAGGCGCTGAACTGTATCGCGAAGTTTCCGTCAATCAAGCGCACGTGTACATTTATACAGCACCTGCATAGTCCCGGGACACTCTTGCCTCGATCTCGACCATCATCCTGCCCCAAGCCTACACCGATGTCTGCGCCGTCGAACTCGAATGGCCTCGCTGAAAGGACTGAAGATGCTCCTTCGGTTTTAGACGGCTCGAACGGTACGCCTCCTCCAGCCACTGGTCGCACACGCGGTAAATCTGGTCGCACGAACGAGACTCCTCGAGTGTTCGGAATACTTAAGTATATGCTAACAGGCAGAGGCGGAGGTGAGCGATCCAATACCTTGATTGACCCATCATCGACGACTGAGCTGTGTAAAGTGGAAGACTACAGAGACATATACCCGGACGACCCGTACGGGGCGGAAGCGGGTCAGAACGCTCGCGTCTGGCGCGTGTATCTGGACGAGACCGAGCAATTCGACAACGACATGATCCAGGGCTTCAGGGACACTCTAGATGTTCACCTTGTCTTCGTGCGTTCCTCCGATATGCATCATCCGTCCGACTCGTCGCTAATCATACCCAAGGCCGCGCTGTTCTCCGCCGTCGTGACGACCTTTCTCGTGCAGACTTCCCAGAGCCTGCAGCCCGATTATGGCCGTATCAGCGCGGCCTTGCTGCTCGAGCTTGTGGCCTTGCAGCGCTCTAATTCACTCGACAACGTACCTTCTACCGGTGTCGGCCTCGAATCGATCTCGTACTCGGCCTCCGACGTGTGGATCAATGCACTGTGGTCCGCGACGCTTGCTTTATCGCTTGCTACAGTGCTAGTAGCTGCGCTTGTGAAGCAATGGTTGCAAGTGAGTTTATGTCTTACGGGCTGCCGCCTTCGTATTCGTTGACATTGCATCCTTCTCAGGAGTACGTCAGGACGCCATCTGGGACCGCCCGCGATCGTGCGTTGAAGCGTCAACTCCGTTATGCGGCCCTCCTCAAGTGGAAGGTTCCGCTTATAATCAATCTTGTACCGCTGTTGCTGCATATCTCCCTCGCGCTCTTCCTCGCTGGCTTCGTCGTCTTCCTAGATCAGCTCTCTGCCCTGATCTCGTCGATTGTGGTCGTCCTTACAGGGTTGACTTATGCTTTCTATGTCGGAACTCATGTTCTGGCGATCGTGTACTGGCAGTCGTCGTATCGAACACCTATAACGCGGGCAGCCCGAGACGTGCTGCTTCCTTATGTGGTGAAGCAATACAACCAGATCAACGAATATATCTCCGACGAAGGACCCTCGCGCACCCTCGCGCAGATCAAGTCCTCGCTTACCGTCGCTACGGCGAAGTACCTCCTCAGACGAACAGCCGAGTACGTCAAATGCATTCAAGACTATTGGCATGGTCTCGCTTCTCTGCAACCATGGACTATGGTCCGACGATGGTGGCGTGGTCCCAGGACGCTCCTACACGCCCCGGTCCCATTCGAAGATGCAGAGCTCTTAGCTACGGGATGCGGACCCAGGGCAGGATTGCCCGTCCACATCATGCTCGACTGCATGAAATGGCTGCACAGGTATTCGTTCAATCCATCGAAGCTCGACGTCATATGCGATGCGTTAGCCGGATGGCCCGCTCCCCTGTCGGTGCAGAATGGTCACCTTGACTGGTCCATTCAGACCCTCGCCTTTGGACTCGTGGAGCTTTTGAGGCATCGGCTCGACATCTCCGTGGACACCCCAGAACGTGACTGGGTCAACTTCGAGCGCTGTGCGCGTGCTGCATGGTGCATTAGAGGTCTTGCGCGCGAGCAAGGGGGCGATCTGATACAGGCGAGCCTGGACCGCTTCATCGAGGACGTTGTTCTGAACGCCGAGGACAAGATCGTGGATATCAAGGCCACCCTCCGCAGGGTGGATGCCGAGCTCCTGAGTCGATTGAGGTGTTTACACGTACCTCACGCCCTGATACAACCAGGACGCCCAGCTCGCGATAGCGAGCATTCGCTTCTCTCATCTATCGATCCGTTCCACGCACGAGACTTCCCTAGAGATCCCGACATGAAGCTCGCCCTCATAACCTGGAATACATTGCTTCATGCCGCCTGTCAAGCAATATCTCGAGAGCACAGTTTCGTCTTGAGGACTCCGTTGCAGATGCACTCTACATCTGACAGAACGCGAAGGTCCATCGGCTCCGCCGAGCAATATCTCGACAGTAATTCGCTTCCCTCCGTGTTGCAGCTGGCATGGGCATTCTCCATTGGTAACGGGTGGGTACCACCGGTGCGAGCGTCTCCATACACGATGTGCGAAGGCGGGATCACATTGGCCACTGCGTGTCGCCACCACCCGGATATCCGCGAGCTCGTTCAGATTTATCTAGGTCGGGTTTTGCAAGCTGACCACCGAAGCTGGAGTAAGTGCGCTCAAAGAACGCTTGATGTTGATTTCTTCTGCTGACGGCTACCCACTCAGCTAATTGTTTAGCGAATTTAACAGGGTACATGTGGCGGACAGGCCAGCCCATGCCTGACTGGTTATCGAAAGAATGCCGCGAACAATATCAACAGGAGATTGAATATTCTCAAGCTTTCAGGCGCATCCACTCGATCTTGACCCAGCCGCTCACGGACATCGCAGATGCCATTGATTCGACGAGAAGTGCAATCGGCGTCCTTGAGCATGTCCTCGTCATACATGGGGCAACACGAAATCTCCTTCCGCGCGACCATCTATATCACGCTTTCCGATACTCAGACGCGCTCGCCGGTGATGCATCGCGATCTATGACACCTCCTCCCTTGCTTTGCTATCCTATCATGGCTATATTCGATCTGTCCATGCAATTATACTTCAAGGCCAACAAAAGCGAACTCTTGGTTGACGCCCTGGAGATATGCAAAGCGTCTTCCTTGCTGGAATACCTAAAATATGCCTGCGACACTCCCGAGGCTATATGCGAGGCACAGATGACGATGGACGGGTATATTCGTGCAACTCTGTGCAGCCTCGAGCTGCCCTGGTATGGTCAGACGGTGGACTACCTTCTCACGAATGATGTCGTGGAGTGGATGGCGGAATTATGCCTTCCTCGACGTCGCAAGGGGGAGGCCATAATACTGACCTGCGCACGACCCTACTTAGCGTCCTTACGGTACCTCCATCAACGCACTGTAGGGAACCCCGTCTGGCGTGACACGCTCTTGCGCCTAGTTTCCAGGGTACAGAGCGAGAACGCCATGCGACAAGATTCAGCCAGCTGGAATTGGGATTCCTACCTGTCTCTGGCGTATTTTGCGGCAGCTATCGAGATGGAAGATGAGCTTCACGTGCCGGAGGACTATCCATACCCGTCCTTGCTGGTGTACGTCAATGTCGGATGGATGATTGAAACGTAAGCCGACCACCATCCCACCGCTTTTGCCGCTTGCTTGCTGACAACGATGACTCGTTAGTGGTAATACGCTGCGACGCATAGATGGAGACCTAGTCTATGGTCCCTATGCAGTCCCGTACGATGCGTCATCCGAGCTCAGAAGCGCCGGATCTGGAGATGGCGATGAAGAGACTGATCTGGACGACATTGCGACGCAGGCCACAGGTCAGCACATCGAGGAATGTGGGTATCTCACAAGCACCTAGTCACAGATCCACTTCACTTACCTTTTTCACAGCAAGGATACGAAGTTTGCGCTGCGTATTCGATGCTGGAAGAAATCTTTCTCGATGGAGGACGTGGTCACCTTGGCGTTCGCTTCGCAGTATGTGTCGTTTCCGAAGGCGCCAGATTGATGCTGTATTGACATGTACTTGCAGATAAGAACCCGCTCGAAGAAGTAGTCGACGACCGCGAGGCTAATCCAGATGCGAGCAGGGCGTAACCCGACAAATTGAAGATATAAATACGTCGGGGAGAGGGACGTTTCCTGTTTAGCGGCGTTCAATATTCGGGGATGGATACATGTGGCGGGGTAAAGCAGTAGGGATTAGACGAGCATATGAGAACGTCGACGTATCGGCAAGGGGTTGACTGAAAGTCGCTAAGTCTGTATAACAAAAAGTCGTCGAGCCGGGGTTGAACTTGAGACTCACCGGAAGACGTGCTGTTCAGGGGAAGTCTAGACCAGCACTACCAGAGGCTGAAGAGAACGTCCATCTCCTCTTGCAACCCATGAGCACCATGTCGTTCTACAACTACGTTGATACGCCTAACGCCAATCTGGTCAGTTGTTCGTTACTGCGCGCTGTCCGCTAGTTCTCATCTGCCCAAGATTTGCTGTATATGTCGGTGAGCTGCGTCGGCAAGCTGCTAATCTCCCTAGGCTGACGAGAGTGACAGAGCACCTTACATAGATCCTGTAACGACGAGGACGTGCTATCATACGTTCTGCCGCGAGTGCATCGGGCGGGCTTTAGCACACTCCTCGCACTGTCCTGTCGATCGGTCACCATTGGCCTCAGAAGACCTCATCCCCGCCAGCCCAATAGTCATCGCTGTGGGTTCCTCGGTCGTCCCCTCATGTCATGAAACTGACCACAAGATGACCAGCTACTCGATGAACTCGAGGTCGAATGTATACATCGGTCCGCTGGCTGCAAGACCACCTGCCAGCGCCAGAGTCTCGCGTCTCACCTCAAGGATTCATGTCAATACAACCCTTCGACAAGTACCCCAATACCGGAAACGAGGGACGGCGAGAAGGAGTCAAGCGAGGTCGCCTCGCAAGAGGTGCGCGAGATTCGTGGCTCGCCTCACACCCTTGGCGTCACTCACACTATGGTCAGGACGCGACCTTGGACATGACTGCTTGCCCCCACTGCCTCGATCATCCCCCTTCCACCCTAGCCTCGCACCTGAAATCTTGCACTGAGAGGGAGGTCCCTTGCACTCACTCACAGAGAGGCTGCCAATGGAGAGGGCGCTTGGCTTCTCTAACATCCGAACACATACCCTCGTGCCCCTTCGAAGCAATCAAGGGCTTCTTCACTATGAATGACAACCGATTCTCCGAGGTCTTAGGAGACAACCTCCTGCTTCGGCAAAGGATCGAAACCCTAGAGCACACAGTCAAGACAATGAGACATGAGCTCGACGTCATGCGCGCCGCGCTCGGGCCCTGGTATCGTCCGGAGTCTGTCATGAACCTCCGCTCGCCTCATCCTCCTCAACGGCCGCTTTCTTCCGTGCCAACTATGCAGACGCACGAGCCGCACGCATACACAGACGAAGGGACCGCGGACCCCCTGGCCTCGTACTTCCCGCCCGCCGACGATATCCCGATAGATTCCGCGGCTCAGCAGCGAGCACTCCGACGTGCGTCTACCGACTACAGCACCCATGCATCCACGTCGACCACGTCCGCTGTCGTTGCACCACTCGACCTTGGCTCAAGCCTGGAAGGCGCGCTGGTCGGCTTGCGCGAGTCCATGGTCACGCTGGCCGCCTCAGTCGACTCGTTGGGGCGTCGCTCGGAGATTGCCTTGACGAACGAGTCTATGAGGCTGAATGAAGAGGTCATGTCCTTGCGCGCGGCATTACATGGGCTCCGTATGCAGGTTCGTTGCTTTGGAACGAGTCTCAGAAGCGCGAAAAGTTCATTCAAACGTACAGGTCCACGCCATCATGCTCGACAGGAACTCGCAGATCACTGGGCGGACAAATGAAGGAGAGACCAGCGGTTGGCTTCCTGGACCACCGCCTCCGCGACCGCCATTTTTTCCGCCGATGATGTCTCCGAACGCTTCCATCACCAAGTTGTAGTGCTTCCTTAGTCTACACTTAGAATTCATAATGAATCAGTATACTAGGATGTCGCAGCTCGGACAGAACAAGGGATCAGTCATGTCGTTGAGGACTTGTGGGTCCCCGCAGGTCCACACTTCGGCCCGGTTGCCCTCGTGTGACCGTCGACTTTGTTCTGACCACCATCCGCCAGCGACCTCGACGTTCGATACTCCGCACCATCGTCGGTATAACCATGCATTGTGAGGATGGTATGGCGGTCCTTCAAAGGATCGATGACGCTGTGGTCGAAGCAAATCCTAGGATCCAAGCTAAACTCCTCCAGCCACTCTCGCAGCCGAATACGTGGCGCCGGGCCTTTCCCTCTCTGAGTGCGAATGATATCCCTCGAGTCTCTTCCGAGGTCGGCTGTCCTGTCAATCCCCGCATTCGACGCGTCATTGCCGAGATGCAGGTACTCGCAACCACCCTCATGCCTTCTTCCGAGAGAACGGCCTCCTCTCGCGTTTTTGATGCCCTCCTTTTCGGCTTTCACACTCTATGGGACTCGGTCTGGGCGTGGATGGACTTCATGAACCCTCTCTACGGCACGCTCCTCTCGAAGGGTCGCGATCGACTCGCACTCTCCGTCACATTGCCCGCTGTGCTCGCCATGGCTCTGAGGCTAGCGTCGAAGGATCCAGACCCTCATTTTCGGGATAGCGACACGGTTCAAGCACCTCTGGAGATGCTCATAGCTCTGTGGTACCACGGATACGGGTTGGACGACTCGGACCACGCGCTTATGCAGCTTGAACGTGACAGCGACGAAACATTGTTCCTTCGGACGCAGCATAGCCAGGAAACCATCCGCGAACTCATCCGGAAGACCGACTCGCCATTCTACGATCGGACGATCGAGGCGATGTACAAGATTTCGCGCGGGCATCCCGAGAGGCTTCGACGCAAAATGCTAGCGAATCTGGACCGCGGGCTGTATCTTCGCCACGACATCTCCGATAATTCTCTGCGACACGTCTATATTCAACCCATCTACTGCCTCACACGCATACCTTCGTACAACTTCCCTCCCTCTTCGAGCAAGACCATACGGAGGCAGACTCAACATTTGCTGGAACTCTCGCGCGCGCCGGACACAATGCAACGCGCTGCCTGCCTGTGTACAGTCATCTTCGCCCTGCATGTCACGGAATCTAGCGGCCGTGTCATATCGCTCGCACTATCGGCCGGGCTGCTGACGGGCCTGCGCAATATCACCGCTCATCTTTCCCAAACTCCACCGCATCGCCTTTCCTTCTTGCCTGGTCTCGTGGAAGTCACGCTTACAGTCGTATGCATGACGTTCCGCCTTCGCCACGTAGCGAAGCGCTTCGTTCATACGACGGACGAACTGGATTTTTTGAGCGAGCTACCGTCGAACTTGGGCATGTTGCCTGCGCGATGGAAACAGCTTATTGATGACAAGAGAATACTCTCGGCGGCATGGACGGAGTATCAGCAGAGGCTTGAACGTGCTGGACGGTGCTTCAATATCGAGGTAAAACTTACCTTTCACGAGCCAGGGCGAAGCGAATCTGATCACCTATCAGTGCATGTCGGGCTCATCAGCCCTGAAGTGCTGTGTTTGTCAAAAGGCATATTACTGCTCAAAGCAATGCCAACGAGCAGACTGGTACATTCGACATCGCGAAGATTGTGAGGGTGATAGTAAAGGTGCGATACTCTTCGTCTGACGCCTCAGCGTGCCCGTCTGACAGGTCATTCCAAGCATGCAAGCTCGGGTTAGCGGACCGTGTATTTGCAGGGGAACTCACACGCGGCTATGTCAAGGCAGGTCATTCCGTCATACGCGAGAAGATCGCGATGCCGGAGTTCCAAAAGCATCTCAGAGAAGGGCGCCACATTGTCGTACATGTTCGGTATCATGGAAAAACATCGAACATCGACTTCAAAGTGGACACACGGGAGTCGGAAGGAGGATGCGCTCGACATCCTATGCTGTATATTACAGCTGACTTCGCATATTACCACGTCCAGGAGACTCTGAACTTAGATCCCTTTCCCCTGCAGGACTTCTTAGATATGGTTGTGGTAGACCAACCGACGTACTATTGGCAACGCTCGTAATGACTCAGTTGATGTACCGTGCACCTTACTTGGGATCTGTCTATAGCAATTATTGCGCTATAGGTACAGTCGTACTTGGTCTGACGATGGCAAAATCTTCTTGACCAACGCTGCATCTTCGCGACGCCCGCTTTCACGCGCCGTCCAAACTATTTCGCAAATAAATATCCCCAATGATTACCCGGATTATTCTACGTATAATACTACATATCCACCACTCAGTTTCCTGTAGTCTCTAGGCGATAGCCAGAGAGCAGATCTACGTCCGTCTCGGCCTGAGCGGCTTCGCGTGCGGCCTTGCGGGCCATGATCCTTTCGTATGCAGCGTCCTTCGCCGACTGCGATGACTCTGTGCCCATGAGCTTCGCGGCCGCGCCGTTGATCGTGTCGTGAATCAGTTGCGCCCACTTCCAAGGGCTGCCCGCCTCGGGGATCGAAGCGAAGTACTCCCAGCCGGCGACGCCTCCGAACGACCTGCCGTACACCGCGGTGAGATCCCGGATGCTCTGCACCACGCTGTCCGTGTTGACGTAGCCACCACCGAGGCTCGGGTTCGTTAGCGTGCTCGCGACGACCTTCTCTGGCTGGAAGACACCATCGGCGTGTTCGACGATGCTAACGTACTGGTCGTCGGGGAAGATGGACCCAAAGCCGGAGTAGAACTGCGCGTTGTACCAGGAGATGTTGCCGCCGACGCGATGCTCGAGGTCCACGTAGTTGAAGCCGGAGAGATTGCCGCTCTCTTCGAGGGCGGATGCCACGGGCGCCAGCGTGATGAGGAAGTCCTGACCGAAATCCGCCTGAGAAGCAGGGGTTCAGCGATCGATTGGTGCCTTCGGTGCACGCGACGAACCTTGAGCTGGGTGATGAGCCTCGTGACAACCTCGATATCAGTGGATTGCTCGACGTCCAGGTCCATGCCGTCTAAGTCGTAGCTGAGGAAGTTCGAATCAGGAAGGAAGCGTGGGAGAAGATAGGAACCACGCACTCGAGGATCGTCTGGTACAGGTCCGGGTAGTAGGTGTCCCAGTTCTCCTCCGAGAGGCAGGTGTAGGTGCCCGGCGCCGCGCCACCCAGCATACCGATGACCTTGACACCGTTCTCCTGCAGCTCGGTAATTTCTGGCCACATCTGGTCGTAGTACGCATCGGACGGCGGGTGGTCGTTGAGCGTCACTGAGTTGCCAACCTTGTTGAAGTTAAGGTGGTACGCCGCGAGATAGAGATGGGTGATGAACCCGATGAGCGGCAGGGGCGACACGTAGTTTCCCGCGTCATACTGGGTCTGGTAGTACACGGCGACACGGGAGGCGTCCGACATGGCGGGGGGACAGTTCGAAGGAGCGAACTGAGGGTAGCCAAAATCGGTAGTCCTTATATACAAAGCGAGGACCCGAAGCCTTGTCTTGGCGAGAAGCAGGGGAAGGTACGTACCGAAGCATGCGGCCGCGACGCCCAACGCGGAAGGGGTATAGAGGAATCTCAAGGGGCAACAGCACCGGAGTATACAGTAGCGCGCCCGCTTCGAGGTTTCTCGGGTGGGTCGCGAACCATTGAATAAAGCGCGACGAGCTAGGCGGCGCGTAAAACGGCGTCAACTACGGGCTCTTGCGTATCACGCGCTGGTAGCAGTGCTTCAGAAGCGGCCACGACGAGTGTGAGGAGGTGAAGCGGCCGGGATTGTAGCAGAGTGAGAGTCTATAACCAGTTCAGTTGAATGATCCGGTGCCTCGAGGAATGGCCAGCTTCGAGCTCGTGGCAGGGGACGATGCGGCATGCGGAAAGACAGTGCGCCCGGCGGGTGGCGAGATAAAGCAGGGCAGCACGAGAGCCTGGATCGAGCGGGCTAATTCTCCTTGCGTCTTACGCAGATGACAAGAAGCACTCGGTTAGATGACTAGAGAGCAAGCCGGACGCTGGCATAGAGCGATACAGCCGGCGATAGAAGCCGTGCGCTACACACGGTGGTGGCGATTGCGAAGACGATTGAGGACGTTAGGCCGTCGATATGAGCTTCTGAGTCGCCCGCGGCTGCGTGGCCCTTCGAGCAGGCAGTTAAAATCGTTCGCATGACATGGTGGACGCAGAAGACTGGCGATTCAACCGAAAGGGGCAATTTATCCTGCCACGCGCAGAGGCACGTGGGAGGAGTTGTGGGTCCGATATCACCGTGTGGCGACCTTGCCTCCGACAGCCATAGCGTCCTGTCTGTCGACTAGCATGCGCCATGCCAAGACCGACAACGAATGAATCTGCACTTGTCTACGAGGGCAAGCCTGTATACTCCTGCTCCAACTGTTCGGCCGTGATTGTCAGTCCCTCAGCCCCCTTCTTGCAACGCGCGGAAGTTGGGCTAAATCCTCGGAATACATCGCAGACTCTTCAAGACGAACTCGTTAGCAAGACCTTCTCTGGGAGAGAGGGGCGCGGCTTGTCCGTACTGGCCATCATATTGTCATTCAATTGAGTACTAATTCCCGAAGTTTAGTCTCGCTCATTCGGCCACCAATGTTCGCCTGGGACAGAAGGAAGACAGGCCCTTGATGTACGTTATTGACGATCCGTCATATATGTGCTGACGGGTAGACAGGACGGGCGTGCACACCGTCGCCGATATAACCTGCCTGGGCTGCGGAGACCGCCTAGGCTGGTACTACCACAAGGCTGCCGACCCATCACAGAAGTACAAAGAAGGTAAGTCGGACGATCTATAGCAATTCAAGTGCTCGATTGATCTTGTTATGCCAGGGAAGTATGTGCTGGAGAAGGAGAAGCTCGTGAAGGAGAACAATTGGGCTTAGGTTCTTCGCAGGTAAAGTCAAAGTTCGGGCTAGAGGGCGACACGCGACACTTCTGTAACGATTGGAAGCGCATACGTCGAGGTCGTCTATTCAAAGCGCCACGGATACGATGGCTGCTGTACTATCATATTCAAGAATTCCTGCAGGGGGAAAGGTTTCAACCTCAGCATCTCCTTGACGTGGAAATACTCGAAGTCCGCAACGATGTACATCATAGTACGCTGCGCCCCTTCGGCTGGCCATCGATCCACTGTGTCTACCCTGAAATCGAAATTCGGCGTTTCTGCGTCAAAGATGACATGAAGTTCGATATGACAGCCGTCTCTGAGGTCGGCTTGAATAGCAGGCAGAGCAATTTCCTTGCACAATAGCGAGTGGCTGACATTGACGCGGCACCGCGTCGTTTCCTCGAGGAATATCCGGTCTTCTAGCCCTAACTTGATACTGCCCGCTTCAAAGGGCGTGACTACAGGTGCGGATCGTGATAGACAGTGAGAACGTACCCTCCGCCGCTCCCTCACAATCTACACGATGTTGCACGCGCCAATGTATTCTCTGGCATTCCTCCGAGCAGTAATATACTTCCCGACAGGCGCAGACCCTGAGGTCCTTGGTGTTCGACGTGCACTGGATGAAGGTTAGACATCTTCTCGCTGTTCAGGTAGAAAAAAGCTCAGCTCACTGTTGGATTCGAGCAGTGTCGAACACTTTTCAACCTCTGCCTACACACTTCCCATGCCAAAGAAAGAAGTCTCTTCTCCTCAACGAGCTGTTCCCACCGCGTGGGCAGCATGCCTAAGTGGGACGGCAGTTCTCCCAACAGAACAAGGTCGTCACCAGAGCTGATGAAGCGCTTTGCTACATGGCGAAGGTGGGTTGTCATGCATACGGTGGTGATCATGACCTCGGGGCCAGCACGGAAACCGAGGACGTGATCCTCCGGAAGACAGGCAAGTTGAGCGAGGGTATTCCGCAGGCCGGTCAGCAGCCCGCCCGATAGTGCCAGGTATATAACACGACCATCCAGCTCTGTGCTGTGCAGAGCGTAGAGAATCATGCCCATGGAGGCAGCACGAACGGCCGTGTCCGGTGCGCGAGACAGCTCCAGCAAGTGACTAGTCTGCCTCCGTATCGTTCTGCTCGAGGAGGGAGGGAATGTGTAGGACGGTATGCGTGCAAGGTAGACGATAGGATTGATGTAAACATCCTCCCAAGTAACGTCTGCGATGTGGTGATGCAGACGCAGGCCACGCCCCAAATTTGCTAGCATTCTGCGTCGAAGCTTGCCGGGGTGACCGCCCGATATCTTGGCCAACACCTCGACGACCCGGTCGTAGTATGGGGAGTCAGACTTGGTGATGAGCTCGCCGATAGTGCCCTGGCTATGCCTCGTCCGCAGGAAGAGTGATTCGTCGCTATCGCTCTCGAGCTGCATGAGCGTGGCGTCCGAGTCATCCAATACATGGTCGTGGTACCAGAGTGCTATGAGCATGGTGAGCGGCGCTCCGCTCATCGTGTCCCCAGCCTGCGATTGAGCGTCCGTCTCCTTAAGCGACAGCTTCAGTGCCATGGCGAGCATAGCAGGTATGGCGACAGAGAGCGATTCTCGGTCATGACCCTCTGAGAGAACCTTGCCGAAGAGGGGGTTGACGAACTCAATCCACGTCCAGGCAGCGGTCCATAAAGAGCGAAAGCCGACCAGGAGAGTGCGAAGGACAACTGTGGACTTTGCTTTCTTCGGATATGGCATGAGAATCCTGGAGAGCACCCTCATTTCGCTGATGACTCCTCGGATACGCGGGTTAACGGGGATGCCAGACCTAGAGGAGAGCTGCGGGGGACCACTGGCAGTCAGGAAGGGAAAAGCCCGACGCCATGTATTTGGCCGCGATAGTGGTTCCAATAGTTCGGCTTGTATGATGGGATCGGCTTCCTGCACAGCGTCTTTGACTCTCTGCAGGATTGCTGCACCATGATCGAGGGCCATGACAGTGCCAGGAGCAACGGTGAGGCTTGATGTCCAGTCGACGACGAGCTTGCCGATCTCCATGCCGCTCGAGGATGGCAGTCGAGAGCAAGTCCGCCTTGCGAGATGCCGGCCCGAGACGCGCAAAGCCCTTCGGCCCGCCATCCGGTGTCCCTCGTCGCCGCCAGCGTCGCGTAACGAGTTGACTGCTCCCCTCATCGCGCGCTCAGTCGGCATGGCTCTGGAACTCCCACCGGAACTGCTGGTGTCAATACAGCGTGTTCTCGAACTGAAGGAGGATGCGGATGCAGAGGCCATCGACAGCCTGGGCCCGAACTTCTCCCCCGTCGACGTGCTGAACAAGTTCTTCCCAAATGGTGCGCGCCATCCAAGTATTTCAGTACAATCCGTGAACACTCTATGCAGAAGCATCGCTCGCAAATCTCGAAAGTGTACGAAAGTCTCTCGCTGATGATCAGGCCGCCCTTGAGCGCGAAATCGCCGGACTCCGCGAAGATCTCAAGCGCGAGCAGGACCCATCGAAGATGCAGCTGCTTCAAGAGATGATCTCGGTGCGTGCTCATATTCCTCCCCCTTGTGCTCTGCTCTGAATAACCGCCTAGGATCTCCTCTCTCAAATGGCGCGCATACGAGAGAACGCGACCGAGTCCGAGGCTGTAGTTCGCAACATCACGAAGGACATACAGGTCCTTGACCTCGCCAAGAAGAACCTCATTCACAGCATGACTACGCTCAAGAGGCTACAGATGCTTGGTACGAGCTGCCATCCCCCATCCCACGGTCCAGTAGCTGAAGTCGGTATAGTGAATGCCCTCACTCAAGTGGAAGGCATGATACCCGAGAAACGTTACGCTGAGATCGCGCAGACATTGGCTGTGCGCGCTTCCACTTTGTTGTGCCAGCTCGGTACTCATCATCAGTGGTCTCGCGCAGGCAGTCAAGCAGATCTCGAACGCATTCCGCCCCTACATCACTATACCCCGCATCGCACAAATATGGAAGCGCATTCAGGAAGTACAAGGGCGTATACGAGGAATTCTGGATGAGGACTTTGATGCCTTGTGCGTGAACAATTCCCCGCAGCATCTATTCGAGCCGCTAATACCAATGCAGCTTCATGCAAGACACCAGCAAGCCCGTCAGACCCACGGTTATGGCCGATGCCTGCCTCGTTGCGGACGTGCTCGGCCCCGACGTACGCGCCCACCTTATAGATCGCTATGTCGCGCTGGAGATGAAGGATTACCGTCGTATATTCCGACCAGTGCGTGCTGTACTGGCACTGCAAGCATCTTTCTCACCAATTGCAACCCTCAGACAGACGAAGCAGGCCAGCTTGACAACCTAGCCCGTCGCTTTTCCTGGTTCCACCGGCTTCTCCAAACCCACGAACTCGAGCAAGGGCGCGTCTTCCCTGGGGAATGGCGCGTCGGGTGGTTCCTTGCCGCTCGGTTCGCCGACATCACGCGGTAAGTCCGGTCACTCAAGCATTCGAAGTTGCAATCAGTCTGACAAGGTGATAGGGATGATTTGGCGGTGGTCCTCTCGAAGGCCGCACCGACTCTCACCGCTAAGTCGCTTCTTGAAAACCTCGAATTGACGACGACCTTTGAGGCCGGGCTTGCGCGAAAGTGGGCTACTCCTGTAAGTCCGTATGTAGTTTCTCCGTACGCGGTTGGTAAGCTAACGCCTTCCGCGTCCAGTTCCAAGAAATCCTTGACGTCACGAACACTACGACGCAAGGCGTCGGTTCGCGAAAGCCCATCTCTTCAGCGTTCGAGCCGCATATGGGCATATTCATCGACGCGCAGGACAAGTATGTCGAGCGTGCATATCATCTGGCATCTTGCTGATGCTGTGTGCAGGGCGCTCGCGGTTTTGCTGGCACCTCATCGCAGTAGCATCAAGGGTGCTTCGAAAGCACGTCCCTCGTTGGATGTCCCAGCCGAAGGTAAGCCCGGCTTCCCCGTGTTTCTATCCCTTGGACGCTGACCTCGAAGCAGGAGACGCAGACGAAGGCGCTACGCCTATGACCGTGCTTCCGTCATCTACTGAGCTATTCCATGCGTATGCGGGGAGCCTCGAACAATGTGCCAAGTTATCGACCGGCAAGCCGCTCTTCGATCTCGCGGGACTGCACAAGAAGTGGCTGAAGATATATGCCGGTCAGTGCCTCGCTCTAGTTGTATGGCTAAGCTAAATCAACGGCTCCTCGTAGAGGATGTTCTCGCTCCCAGTCTCAAGACGTAAGTGGATCTTAACGCGTTGTTGAAGGATTACATTGACGCGATATGTCCGTCTTCAGCCCTACACCACGCTCGCGCAAATCAACGGAGTCTCGCATGGACATGAACATCCTCAAGCAAGCCTGCCTCGTCATCAACACCGCCGACTATTGCCAGACGACCTCCGCCGAGCTCGAACAGAAGATGCGCGAGCAGGTCGACGAAGCATACAAGGAGCAAATCTCCTTCCAAGCCGAAGCGGATTACTTCGTCAGGTACGCCGATTCTTCCCGGAATCAGAAAGTCTCGACTGACGCTTTTCTCAGCGTCATCTCCTCCGCGATCACAATTTTGCTGCACGAGCCCGAAGTCGGCGCGGAGCCGGGCTTCTCAGCGATGACACGGACTGCCTGGGCGACCTTGCAGCAAGTCACCGGTCCCTCCGCGTACACAAGTCAGATCGTATCCGCAACGGAGCAGGCGGTCGCGGCGATCAAGCCGCTCGTCGAGCAGAAGCGCTACCTGAGGAACTTCTTCGATAAGGCGGCGAGGTGAGCGTGACGGGGGTTTGTTTGGGAAGGTGGCACTGACGTACGTCTCAGCCTTGTCCTGGCGAAGTTCACGAACGCGCTGGTGAAGAGCCGGCCTATCAAGGAGACTGGCGCTGAGCAGGTCGGTGGCTTTACGATGCACGTCTTGGCGTGGCTGACGGACGCAATCTGTAGCTTCTCATTGACCTTCAAGTGCTGAAGGCGCATTTGCTGAAGCTGCCGGGCGACTTCGTGACGTCGGGGTACACGAAGAGCGTGAACAAGGCGACTACACGGCTGGAGACGCTGCTCAAGGTCGTCATGACGCTCGTGGTATGGCATTCTCACGACGATGTATTGCATGCGCCCATCATCTTCGCAGGACCCGCCAGAGGGTTTCATTCTGAATTATACGGTCCTCGTTGGCGACGCATCGTTCTCGAACTTCCAAAAGGTCAGACAGTCCTGGGTGTGGACCACCTCAGCTGACGTGCACGGTCCTCCGTAGATCCTCGACCTGAAAGGCACCCCCAAGGGCGAGCAAAACACGCTCCTTGATCAATTCCTTACCATCACGAGTACCAAGCCCGAGCTCGAGGGCTCGTCCTTCCTCACCTCCCTCGACATGGACCCGCAGGCGTCAACGTTAGCGCTCGTCAGTCCACGACCGGTACCATGGAACGAGGCCGTTGACAGTCCGGGGCGGGAGGGGCTGTTTGCTGGACTTGCGTCTCCACCGCCGGCGTCGGGGAATACGCCCGAAGGACAGAAACAAGGGGAGAAGAGGGAGGTGTTTTCGGATATTAGGCGGTTTGTGAGCTTTGGGTTGAGGAGGGATACGCAGGGGCCTGCTTGAGGGTTATGGCATGTCGCATCACCGTCATCTACGGCGATACCTGTTGATCTCCTGTACTCGCATATCAACTCAAAAGACTACCCTAGGACGAGCGCTTGCTTCAATTCAGCGACGAAGTACCTTCGATGCGCTCGGCGCATCTCAGCGTCAATTGTTTCTCATTTTATCCCGTATTTATATGTCCCCTGCATACCACTATGCAGACTGCGACATGCCTCTCTTTGACGTCAGTTCGCGCAGAGTTGCATTCTAAGCTGTGGACTTTCAGTGCGCTACATGTTGTCTGTAATTTACTAAACGATAGCCCGTGTAGGCCTCCCCTTCTGATCGAGTCGAGCTTCTGTATTGTAATTTTCAGTTGTGCCTACTATAGGCGAGACTTTCTGTTGATACCACCGTAATTTTGGTGCTTCATCAATAGCCTGGTGACCAAACCTCCGACGCGATGCGAAGCCGCGTTGGAGGGCTTGGTAAAACAGGCCGGGATTTTGGCTGACAGGCCTTACGATCGAGAACGTGCGCAGCGGCAATGCCCGGGGCAGAAATTATTGCCTTATGCGGAACTGTGAGGGCGGCGCGCGTCTTGGCTTCGCCCTTCACTGTACACGTGCTCCATCGACCGACTAGCCCCTCTGCACTCTACCGTACATCAATATGCAACCTAGCTCATCCAACCAGCACGCATACCCGTCTGGACTTACCCCTGGCGCTCAGGAAGACGCGTCGGTCGGTGCCAGCCGGGGTAAATTCAGATTCAAGCTTTTCAAATTGAGAAAGTCGCGAGCAAAGACGGTTCCCCCTCAAACCCCACAGCAAACGGCCTCCCTCCCTTCTCCAGTCGCTACCCCAGCCCCCATCCTCGATCCTCAGCGCGATGTCAGCCTGCGATTCTCGGTTTCTCCGACCCCCATCTCCCTGCCGTCTCCTACTTGGAACAGGGACCTCTCGCAGGCGCCGTTGACGACACGAACACGAAAGCGGTACACATTCTCCAAGGACCATGCCTGAGCTGATTATTAATCCTACTTGAATAGATGAGAAAGTGGATATATGCGCACATGAGACGCTTGTATGCGCTTCATAGGGGTAATTATAATCGTAATACCATGATGGCGTTCCAAAAAAGCGTGCAGAATTGCGGAGAGTCTTCCCAAAGCCGGTTCCTGCGTAGAGAAAGGTGTCTCTGCCGTGGAGTAGAGACAGCGCCGACGAGATTTGGGGAATTTTTGGACATTGTCGCTCGTCTGTACGGTACCAGCACAGTAGGCAGAGGTCTAGCGCTGTCGATATCAAGCGCGGAGAGCGTAGACTGATTATATACGCCAGAGGACATGCCGTCCGGTCGATATTTGCGACGGTGAGATTTAATCTATCCTAGGTGGTTCGGAGGCATAGCCACTCCTCGAGAGAGAGCAGGTAGGTCATAGGAGTAGGAGTTAAGGGTACATTATTGCTCGCGAACGCCTAAGGGGACCCCCCGAGCTTGCGAGGGAGGGGAAAGGCGGAGCGAGCAATATTGTCTGACCCACGTGATTCGGTAGAGGCCTGCCTCGCGGGTCGAAATTTATTCGCCCACGTGACCTAAAAGCTGACCCCCGCAGGGGGGTATTCCGCTCATTTTCTCACCCTGGTTATTTAGTAGAAAACGATGAGCATAGCTATGCGCATCCGCATACGAATTTTCGCGCTTCCTGCTCGATTTTTGATTGCTTTTGCCATGGAACTTGTTGACGCTACCGCCCGTTCAAATGTTGGTCTTTTCGCGCAGCTGAAAGCCGAGTACGACCGGTATAGCGTGCACTATCCCATGCCGAGGTTACGGCCGGATAGAGTCTTCCCTTGCTCTTCTACAACGCCTGCGCCGGCTGGCGCAGCGCCAGGGTCCAGAGCTTGTGACGTCACCTGTCATCGTTTGTTCGGCAAATGCCGATTTCAAGCGGCAGCAGCCTCAACGAGCCTGGACGCCAGCTGGATTCGACTTCAAGTACCCGGTCATACAGTAATATGAGCCAGGCAAGGAAACTGCGATTTATAGGTAAGGCAACATTGCTCGCTCGTGTCACGTAGTGTAAACTTTCCCAGCGAGCACCCCGCTATTATACCGCTAGCCTATGTTATGTTAGGAGGCTTGCAGTAGCAAAGGAACGTGAGGGGGAAGAGCAAGACGCGCGCCGCACTCATAGTTCCGCATAAGGCAATAATTCCTGCCTCGGAGACTGCCGCCGCGCACGTTCTCGATCGTAAGGCCTGTCAGCCAAAATCCCGGCCTGTTTTACTGGTCCCTCACACGCCGCTCCCCTTTGGCGTGTGAGGGCCGGCATCCGGTCTACTTCATCAAGGTTTTGGCTAGTCGCGATCCCAACTCCTTCTTACGATCGGTGCGCCAAAGCGCCAAGTGTACAGTTACTGCCCTCTTTGCCCAATCAAGGGCCTTATTCCTGGTCTTTCATTCCTGCTCCTTCTGATATCCCACCTCCCTCTATGAGTATAGAATGCCTTCCCTTTCTTCGTGAACCCGGAAGCGCGGCCTCGCTGTCAATGCCGAGGCGGGCGCAAGCCGAGCAGATTGCGCGCCACAATGCCTCCACGTGTCTGTTTCCCACACAGGCTCACACACTCATCACGCCACCTCACAGTATTAATATTACCCACCCTTCAATTGTATTGTAAAAATGCCTGTCGAATCAAACGTATCAAAAAAGCTCTTTTATCGAGGATGGTGAGTACTTGAGTACTCGCACAGGGATGGATTTTCTGAGAGATCAATCATGCTCGTGACTCGAACATGCTCAAGGAAGCCTAAACATCGCAATTTCTGCCCGATCCCCAACCTCCTTCACCACCCGCTTACTCTGCCCGCTCCGCGCCGCCGCCTCCAACAACAACTCCGTCGCGCGATCCAGTCTCTGCCGCCCACCCATCCCCTTCTTCCCATTCTCGTTCGTTTCCCTGTCCCAATCCACGCACAGGTTCAGGAACTCCGCTAACGAGCGCGTGTGCGTCGCCAGTTCCTCTTTACCGTTGTACGTGCTCAACTTGATTTTCCACGACTTCGACAACGTCCGCCCCGCGGCGAACCACCCGACGAGCGGGCTGCCGTCGCGGACGGGGAGGACGAGCGCGGGGCAGCCGTCGGGGAGCTGGTAGTGGAGGATGGACTGGCCGGGGCGGGCGGAGGAGGTACAGCCAAGACGGTAGGGCTTGAGGCCGAGGACGGTGACGAGCATGCGGCGATGCTTGGGGGAGGGCGATTCGTGGGGGCAGAGGGAGAAGATTTTGCTGGATTCGCGGAGGAGGGCTGGGTGGGGTGTTAGATTCGGTGTCGTTGTGTTGCTGATGTTGAAGTGGGCAAGAGGAGGGAAGCGAGGGGAGGAAGGGAGTGAGGTAAAGGAAAGGGAAGAAAAGGTGCCCACTTTGCGCGACTTGGTCATCGCCGTTGAGGAAGGGGCTGTGCGCGAAGATGACGTCGGGCGTGACCTTCCGTGGGATGAGGGGCGTGCGACCACTGGCGTATAGGTAGGGGCAGAACCAGCCTGGAGGCACTTTAGTCAATGCTGCTTTATGCGTGCGTGCTGTGACAAATACCCATCGTCGTGTCAAAGTACTCCCTGGTCTTGTCAACGATATTGGCTCCCGACGTCGTATCTGACGCATGATAAAGCCCAAGAAGCCTCCTTCCTCGTACTGCGGTAGCGCAGCGTGATCTTGAGCGTCTTCAAGTTCTCTGTCTTCAGTGTGCGGTCCTTCTCATCGCCTAGCTTTTCGATAGGCTGCTCTGAAGGCTCATATCAGCAAGGTTGCTCTATTGCGAGCATGGTCCCGCTGCGAGCACGGCCCTGGCGCGAAAGCCATTGACAGTCCTCGCGAGAATCAGGGCAGAGCCTAAGTCCAAGTACTCACCGATCAGCGCCTGGTCAGCGACCCCGACCACCGCATCCGTGCCTACTCGGGTTACGAGCTCGGCAACGATTCCGTCTCCGAGGAGGTCACCGCTGACCTCGCTTGCGAACGGCGTGATGAGGGTGGCCGTACCGCCGGTCGCAAAGTTTACGGTTTCGATAGCCATGTCTCTAAAGCGCACGCTAGGGTAGACGACAGGGCTCGAGTCTCTCCATGGGTTAACGAGGCGCGAGTCAGTGTAGTGGCTAGAGATGCATCACGGCTTTGGAGGTGCGCCACGATTTAGGCATATGCCAAGTGCAGATAACGACTTTGCCAACGAATGGACGCACCCAAGGCAGACTACGGCCATGGCCGAGTTTTTCGTCGTCTGCGCCATTGACGAGAGTAGGCGCGCTGCCAAGTTTTGACCCGATATGAAGCGTCATCATCGCATTCGCGCGAGGGTCGGGCGCCCGTCAGGACTGAGTACCGAAAGCTCACCTCCGTAATCATCCTGGTGAACCAAGAAAAGTTCTCTTCCTTTTCCGATTCGGTGAAGTGCGAGTCGTCAACGGGGCGCAGTTCGGACTTCTTGGTCTTCCCGAGGTTAGGCATGATGGATGTTGCGAGAGCGTTATGATATGAGTGGACTAGCTTCGCGCTGTGTCGTATTCCTCGCCTGCTAAACGGCGGTGACCTCGCGCCCCACCCAACCTGATGTCATGCAGTACGACGACTGCGCCTGGCGTGAGATTGTGCTCCTCCTGGGTATATGTCTTCACATGGTTGGGCTGGGAACTATCAAGAGCACTCCGAAAACATGTCGATGGTCGGATTCGAGGAGAATGCACGTGGTGTGTTGAAAATGCATGTGACTGTGCATACGTGACGCCACAGACGTGATGCGTGGCGTGGGAAACTCGCGTTCTTTGTTCTCCTCCTTGACGCGGTCCTTATTCATGACGCGACGCGCTGAAGTCGTTGCTTGTTTTCTACCACGATGTCGAACACAATAGCTTTGTAAGAAATTCTAGCGAGGAATAACGACCTGGATGCGACCATTCAATTCCCAGGTACCCGCTGTCCAACTTTACCTTCAGCGCGAAAGAGGCGCAGCCCGAAGAGGGTCCGTTCGTCCCCACATCTGGAGCGGCTGCAGAACAACTATGAAGACTTTGGCATGCGCAGGACAGATGAGGGGGTCCTTGTCGTCCACGATCACGGACATCCCCATATCCTGATGCTCCAGACCGCAAATGCGTTCTTCAAGCTGCGCGTCCTCGCCTTGTTGCGCTGTCAGGGTCGCTATTTCTGCTCTCGACAGCCCCGGAGACTACCTGAAATCCGGAGAGGATGAAGTCGATGGCCTCAAGCGGCGCCTGAATGAGTGCCTCGCTCCACCGAACGCCTCAAGTCTGTCCATTCGCCGCCCTTAGAGAGCCTCTGCTGACAGGTTCGCCAGGTCAGTTTAATCAGGGGCATGGCGCGGAGAATGGTTGGGAGATTGGGGACTGCCTCGCACAGTGATGGGGGCCGAATTTCGAGCTTCATGGTGCGCTTGTTCGACAAGCATATGCAGACCAGTGCCGCTGACCCGCGCCTGACCCCAGTAATACTTCGTCCCCGCACACATCACTAAATCTAAAGAGTGCAAGAAACTGTTCCTGGTCCAGATGACCGAGAAGTGTACGCTGCGGCCATCCTTCTCGTAATCTATCATGACCAAGCTCACGCTCTCGCAGATGTCCTGGCCGTCGCAAAGAATATGAAGCTACTCGCCATTCCCTTGTTCGAGCTTTACGACAATGCCGCCAAGTAAGCAGGACGGACGTTGGGACGAATGTTCCAGTCTCTTCTTTACTGACATCTGCATCTCAGATACGGCCCGCAATTGTCTGCCATCCCGCACTTGCTGTCTAGGTGGGCGCTATCTTACGTCCGTCGCTCGCGCTGACTCAAATGATCTCCCGCAGGTACAACTTCATCCACCAATGAAGTGGCTATGACCAGACAATCCCATGCATCGCTTCAGTTCCATACGTCGATTTTGCTCTCCCCTTGCTCGCCAGTACGGCCCTCTCTCAATGGTCCCTCAGAACCCACGGACAAGGATTACCTGCACATGGAACACCAAGATGTTTCTCGCCGTACGCTGTACTTTGCCCATGATGCCGCAATTTCATCATGACGCCGTGCTTACAAGCCCATAACGCAAAACTTCACCAACACCGCAAAGTCTAGCAGCTCTGTAAGTCCGTCGCGCATCATGAAGCCATGACCGTCGGTCGATTGTTACTCCTCGGACCCGGATCTCTTACCTGTAGACGGGGCCGCGTCGCCTGATTGCGGGTTGGCGTGGCTCGATCATGAGCTGACGTCGTCCACCTGACGGGCTTCCGTCCACGACCGCTAGCCCGCTCTGAGTCTAGGTTTAAATTTGCTTCTAGGTGCAGTGCTTGCTCTGATTTACCCTTCGTAGCGCTAATCTGGAGGTGATAGATACGCAGTCACCGGGCGCGTTCGAAGCTATGGTCGAGTGGGCTTGGAAGCTACGTCTCGGACGCACCTGAAGCTACATTCTGGGTATAATTGACGCTGTCATCGGGCGCCCTTGAAGCCACGTCCGGGGGCCCAGCTATCTTCTGGGGAGCGCATGCCTGTGTTCATTACGGTCCAGCACGGCCTTGCACGTCGTCGAGTATGGCCTTCATGTCGTCCGCAAGAGGCTGGCGCTGGCGAATCCCTCTGGTAGCTCCGTGCGTTTGGACGTCGGGTCACTTTACGCTGCACCCGTGTGTCCTGAGCAGATGGCTTAAACTCAAGGCAGATAGCAAGATCGGGGGCGTGTTAGCGTCTGCCTAATGGGCCTCGTGGTTCGTGCATGAACGTGAATGAACGCAGAAAATCAGGGGACGTACGACAGGTTTCGCGTCAGTGACGCTGCGGTGGCGGTCATAGTCGGTTCGTGATGTCCTAACCTGGCTGGTGTGGCCCCCTCCGCTTGGCCGGTGCTTGCTTTCGCAGGCGAGTGCACTTCCGCATTCGCGCGCGCACGTATGACCTACTTTCTAGGCACCCTTGGAATCGAAGTCCGGGAGTCAGGCAATCGAAGTCTGGTGCCATAGAACGGCTTTTTCGGGGTGCGCTGCCCTCGCCTGCCGTACCGTACGCTGCCCTCGCTCAGAGCAACTTGCACCCCCGCTGTTTGCATTCGACCACGGACATACCTCGACCGACCTGTCTCCGTACTACGGTACCCTCACTCAATATAACATACAGCCTAAACTCAGTCGGACGGCGGATAATGCGATCCCCTGGGCAGCTTCAGAAGGATGCGTGTTCTCAAGGCCTGCGGATGAATCGACATGGATGTGCTATAATTTGGTGGGGGCGCACAACTATGATGGCTCTCGTCAGTCTTGTCATGAACGCTCGCCTCAGTTCGACTATGAATGCCCTCGTCAAACCAACTATCAACACCCTCGTCAACCAAGCTACGACTGCTCTCGTCAATCACCAGGGTACATGTTTGTCCATTGTCTGTCAAATGAAGATCGAAGGGCCCGCCACCTCGATTCGTTCCCCCACAGCCCGGGCTGCGTCTTAAGCGCGTCACTGCATCGACCGGTAAGTAAGTGGCGCTCGGGTCCTCGATCGCAGCGGCAGTGCTTTGGATGTTTGGCAGGTCTTCGCGTGTAGCAAGGTGGGGGATATTAAGTAGGTCCTGGGGTATATAAGGAGGGCGGGCGAGCCTTTTTCTCCAGCTTCCAGTCGCAACTCATCTCTTGCACTCCAAGCCCTCTTCTCTACTTCTCCACCTCTCTTCGTACTCAGCAATCATGCGCTTCTTCGCTACCCTCGTCCTCGCTCTCCCTGCGCTCGCCATGGCCACGGCCGTGCCCCGCGACGTCAACGGCGGCACCCCTCCCAAGTCGTGCAGCTCAGGCCCTGTCTATTGCTGCAACAAGACCGAGGATGTACGCTTGCTACTTCATCGTGTCGCTGCCATGTTCACTGACGGTTATGTGCAGTCTAAGCACCTCGACAAGGGGACCACGGCGCTTTTGGGTCTCCTCAACATCAAGATCGGGGACCTCAAAGATTTGGTGTATGTGCTTTCCTCCATCGTCTTTATAATGCACGCATTGAATATCTTACAGTGGCCTCAACTGTTCGCCCCTCTCCGTCATCGGGGTTGGCGGCAACAGCTGCTCGGCGCAGACGGTGTGCTGCACGAACACCTACCAGGTACGTGTTGCGGTTTCTTTTATGCAGCTATGACTCATCCCTATCCTGCAGCATGGCCTGGTCAACGTTGGCTGCACTCCCATCAACATCGGCCTTTGAGGATGCGGATACCCGCCTGGTACTTCGCGAATTCAACAGTGCCCATTCTCAATTGCTCTCCCTTATGTGCCCGTTTGAGATAACATGTTGCTCCTTCTTTTTGTATGCTCGTATGAGCATGTTTCCCTGAATATACTGATCCTGCCCCATGTTGCGATCTGAGTACGTTCCCGACCACTGCTGTAGCATAATGGGTCTAGCAGCGGCAGCCGCCGAAGAAGCCGACATCAATTGAGTGCTTGGTCCGAAAGTCAACTTGTCGACGACGATGGCTCCTTCTCTTGCTATCGTCGCCTCCTTCTCGCCCTGATCAACCCCAGTCCAGCCTCTCTCGACATACTCACCAATGTCTGTTTCAAATTCAGCTGCACAGGAAGTGACAATTAGGGCCTGAAGAACACATTGGAGGAGGAATCCACACGCCTATACCACCGCGTAGACACGCGTGCAGAGGAGCTATTATCTCTTCCTGAGCCATCGCCAGGCCGTCGGCACGAGGATATCATAGCAAGCGAGCATACATGACTTACCTGCCTTCGAAGGCAAGTCAGTGACCGACGATGGGTCGAAAGCTCTACAAATCTTCTGACTCTATCCTGCTGTCGTGCGCCTGGACCTGGTCTGCTTTATGTATCGGTGCAACGCCCCTTTGACAGTGAATCGATCATGAATGCTGACCATCTATTGTGCACCCTCATAGGTTGATTCGTGAGGCAAGTCTCTTGGTAATCGTTTGTAGCAACGTCTCTGGAATTGCGGCTCGTAGACAGAGGCTGTTGCACCGAAGTCCTTGCTCGACGTTCGCTGAGGATGCAGTGGGCTGCCCAGCGCGAATCGAAGATGAATCGCCACAAGAGAGCACAACGTCATGGAATCAGCTAGCCATTGTCCACCATGTAATAAGCGAAAACAACAGCAACGGTAGTATAGCCACATCCCGTATATCGTACAAAATATCCCTCGTCAAGCTCCGTTGCCTCCCCGGGCGTGCGCTTATCAGCGTCGTCTTCAACACGCGCTTCAGAGGCGCAGCGTAAGACGGAGGACTTCGCCCAGGTCCTGGAGAGCTGCGCTGACGCGTCAGGCGCATGGGTCGCCGTCCGCTCGACAATGATGCAGGCGCGGGAAGGGCGTCCTCGTCTTCCTCCTCGTAGAAGTCGTCGTCTTGGTAAGTTTGCTTCTGCCCGACAACGCGGAGGTAAGGACGCGAGGCAGAAGTACTGCGCCATGGCCCGTCGCTGCTATGCGAAAAACGACGTCGATATCGCGCCAACGCATTCATGACGCCGATGAGCGCGAGGGAAAGCACTAGCAAGGGCACATAGACGCCGAGATAGATATGCAGCTGGTCAGGGAGCAGGCAGAGTGTCGTTGCAGCGGTGGCAGGGGACTTGAAATTTCGATCTGTCGGCGCAAGAGACAGTAGCTGGTATCCAGGTCGCCTGACACCCATGGCCATGGAAAGACTTTTCACCGTGATCTCTGGCGCAGTCCGCCCTGAGTAGTGGTGCGTATACTCGCAATAATCATGATCGTCTCCGCTGTGTTGAATTGTACCTTTAACATCGCTCGGAAGGACGGAGAAACTTACCTAAAGACGAAAGTGGGCTTGATAAACTCCAGCAGCATCTGACTCGCCTCGCGGCTGATGGTGTTCTCGTACCCTCCCCCATGCCCTGCATGAATAGTGCCTCTTTCTCGGAGCGGTCCGCATCCACTCTTCGGCGGTCGGTGGAGGGGTATGTGGGTGAGCAGGATGCGAGGAATCGCGTCGTCTATAGGTGGGCTACATTTAGCGGGGTTCATGCGGAGATGTGGGGTCGGACCACACCTAAATCACGTGGGATATTCTTCGCGAAGGACATCGTGCCGTTGGGAGGGAACGACCAATCGTCGAACGTGCGTCCGAGGGAGATCCGCTCGCGGTCCTCGTCGACGAGGCCGGGGGCGTCGATCATGACGAGGGCGTGGCCACCCACATATGCGATCTTGTTGGGTTCACCAAAGTGCGCGACGTAGCGTGCGTTGGCTTGGGTGGATCGCGAGTATGCTGAGGGTTCGCCAAGGCCGATGTCGTGGTTCCCGGGAATGTAAAATGTGGGGGTAGTACCGCTGCCTTGGAAGACGCGCCGAAAGCGACGGTGGTAAGCGGAATACCTGCGGTGGAGGATGAAGTGTAAGTACCGATGCGTCGGGGAATGGCTGGGGAACGCACTCTTTATCCGTCACGTCCATCCGCCCGTTGTCCAGCATATCTCCGAGGAAGACAATTTTGTCTGGCCGAGAGCGTAGGGCCGCGCGCCAGTTCTTGCGCAGATTGAGATCGACGATGACCTGGGAGAGCCATTGCAGCGCGGGATGACGGCCGGGGTACGAGTTCATGTCGAGGATCTGAGGGTCTGCAACCAGCAGAACATGCTCCGCATCGTCAGCGCGCTAAAAATGGGGGTCAGATGCATCGACGCGCAGCTCGCTGGCGACGCACATCCTGGCGAGGGGCCGGCCATTCGCACGAGCCGGCGTGGAGATAGAACGTCCATAGCTCGAAGTAGAATACAGAGAATACCCAGACGACCTTCAACGCCTGGACGACGACATGGCGACCCGAGGGCATGAAGGGAGGAGGAGAAAGAGATAGGGAAGTAAAAACGCAGCGAAGTCGAAGAACGGAATTCCATTTCTAGTCCAGTGACGATATGGGACGCCGAATCGGGCGCAGTCTAAGCTGAGCCGAGCCCGCGACCGACCGGCAGTGCCTGACAAGCGGAGCCATAAACGGGACCAAAGCGGCACTTCAGAAGGTCGTTCACGAGCTTCGCGTTGAAGAGAACATCCTCGCCAAGGTTGTGATTGCGTCCCATCCAGAGCCTCGACACCACTTCCAGAAACGTCTGGCGCAAGCACTTCCTTCCTCTCTGGCCGATAACCCCCTCTTCGACGACCAATTGTGGACTGCAGGTGCTTGACTTGGCGCGGAGAATCGAATGATATTTCGAGTAGCAGGCGTCCACAAGCGCTAAGTCGCGAGGTGCCGAGCGGCTACTATGCGCTCGCCGCTCGGTATACAACCGTAGACACGCTTCGGCACATTCTTGGAGGGGCCAAGGTCGTTGAACCAACCCGAAACCTAGCTTGAGTTCAGTTGGGAAAGGAAGCACCGCGACAAGCCTTCGCATGTGCTCGACGATAGGCTGGTGGGATCGACCACCACTGTGGTCTTTCTCTTCGCGATCGGATGTCCTAAAGATTCAAGAGTACACACGAGTTATCTGACCGATTTACACAGGGAAGGTCGCTGCGTTCGGTATGCCGAAGTCCTGCCAAGCTTCAGCTCGTCAGAGTGCAGGTTGATGATCGACTGTCGAAGGTGATGCAACGTGCGAAACCATTGTAACACCGGCCCGTTTCCCGAGCACTCGTCCGGCCCGGCACCCGAGCCTCTGTTCCATTGATTCTTTGCCTTCGACTTCAACAATTCGTGGACTTGTCATCTCCCCACTAGAACCCCCTTTCATTGTTCCAAATTATCCGGCCATCTAACTACAATACGATAGAGGACATCTTGTCTCTTCCTGATGTTCAACTCGTCCTCAGCATCCCAAGAAACGCAAGACGGAGTCAGCCTATCCGACCAGGTCGTCGCGCTATGCTGGACCTCGTCAACAAACTGCACAGCACTGGGTACTCCTTGATCACTCGTTGTCGAAAGTCTCAATGTACCTCTCTCAAGGGCCCAAATGGACATTGGTATGCATCGCGACCACCCTTCCCCATGCATAAGGTCGTAAAGGTCGAATCCTACAGAACTTCCCCAAATCGCCGTCATATGTATGCTCCCAAGGCGCCGGTAAGCCTTCCCTCATCGAGTCCATATCCGGCATCACGCTACCGCGCGCCGCGGGAACCTGTACACGGTAGGCACACCATCCGAGTCGCCGTCGGCTATCCTTCCAATCATCCCCCGAACTCATGGCTCGCGACCTTCCCCTTTTAGATGCCCGACCGAGTGCCGGCTCTCGCGGTCGGGCGGGCGCTGGCAGTGGGCCGACCTGGACCCCATTTACCAGAAGTACCTGCGCACGCCGAACTTGATCAAGCGGTTGAGTGATATTTTGTCGGATTTGATCGAGAAGAGGCGCATTTATGAGTGCACTGAATCATGTGCACTACGCTAACGCATCTCTAGACTCCCAGAAATCCACGAAGAAATCGAGGCCACGTTGCGCCGCACGCAGAGGGCCCCCGAGGTCCTCCCGCCCACGCCCTCCCCACATCCCTTCAGTGACATTCAGCGCCTCGTCCACGCCTTTGTGCGCGACGCGGAGGAGAACGTCGTCAAGGGCGTGCCAGATGAGGACGGGCTGCTGCAGACCATACGCCCCGAGCATGATAAGTGCGTCTGGCGATTCGGCGCACGGCGCCGAATTTTCGGTCATATTCAAGGCGGAAGGAGGGGAAGCGAATGCATGGTCAGCCGTTCATGGAGGAGGGAAGAGATGGCGCAGGCATGGGGAAGGACGTGAACCCTGGACCGGGACCCGTTGTCATTGACCTTGATGCGGAAGAGTCGGAGGCGAGCGACACCATCTATGTCGACGAGGTCGCGAAGGTATGACGGTCCCCACTGGACAGAATTGTTAAGACTATCGTTGCCCTTGTTAAGCTCTGCCTTTGCAATGTTCTGGCTTAGACACTTGGCTTCGCCTTGGTTCGGGAGATGGATTTGCGCTTGGAATGTAAGTGCACGTGACTTTTGCTTTAGGTCACGTGGACTTAGCTTTCGACTTGCGCGTTTCGCCATCGACTTCGACTCTGATTTGGACCGAAACTTTCTCTCTCCGATGCGCACCGTAGCCCCAACTCTTTAGATATACATGACCGGTGGGCCACGTGTTCCACCCTGCACTGCTGGCCAGTGGACGGCGGGTCCCACGCGGCCTCCGGAGGTACGCGCGAGGTCCCCCAGTGGACGGTACGAAGAGGTGAGCTATCCTATTCCACTTTACCCCTTATTTTCCCCTTTCCGAACACTGTCTACCCGCCTTCGTCGAGTGCTCTGGCCCACATACTCCTTTGCGCTACCATGACACCCTCGACGCACAATTCTTAAGCCTGCGAAATTGGAGGATGTGCGCGATCTGTGGTGGGCGAGGTGTAAGGAGGGTCTCCCTCCCCGTCATTCCCTCATCTGGGCTCTCTGCACAATGACTCTGGGATGCCGAGCTCAGCAGAGTCCCTCGCGCTCGCCCCGGACGTGGAGTGCTCGTGAAGATAGAGAGGAGAACAGATGAGAAATCGGTCGATGTTGAGTGCGAAGCAGCGGAACGATGGAGCTGCAGAACAATGATGACAACGTCGTCTAGGGCTTGCTAGAGGGCGGAGTGTACACTCGGGGGAGGGGGGAAGGGACGAAGGGATCTGTGCGCCGTACATCATAATGCTACAGAATCAGAGAGAACGTTGGGGGCGCATCAAGTCTACGGCGAGTGACGTTGCATTCCTTTCCGTTGACTAGAACAACTGACGTGGGGCAGATATCTGCGCGCGTCAGTATTGGTGAGAGGGAAAGGAAGGGGGAGAGAGGTGTCGCGTGTTCCAGCGCAGTAAGTCATTTAGCTTGCAACAGATGGCCTTCGGGCGTGGGCGAGAACAGAATATGAGCTGTTTACCCTCCGAGACGAACGGCAGGATGCGCCCCCTCTTCGATGCGTCTACTGTTCCTAGTAAAGGTGAGTACTCGCCCTTCGCTTCTACAGTCTCTCCCCTTCCCGTTGACGTCGCTTGCCTTATTCCTCTCCAGTCAGTCGCTTCCCCACGTCCTCTCCCTTCCACTCAATGCGCTCTCCCCTCATCTCGCATCTGCCGTCTCATCCTGCCCTTTCTCTCCTCTCTCTTCTCAACCTCTCCCCCCTTCCCGTTCTCTCCCCAATTTACTCCCCACTTCGCATCCTAAACAACCCACTTGCGCATTTCATCGCACCTCTTCCCTCCCTCCCTCCTGCCCTCGCTCCCCACCAATTCTGCGCACCAAGAGAGGGAGTGCCCGCTATCGAGGAGTCTGCGGTCGCGGTGTGGGAGGTAGACTACGTGGCCGCGATATACGGTATGGCAGCTGCTCAAGCGCGCATCAAGAAGCTCGAAGGGGAGGTCATCGTCTATGGACCAAGAGGCGCAAGTCGACGAACTGCAGACGCAAGTCGCGGGCTCGAGAAGGCGGCGGGGATCGAGCAAGAGTCGCACAAGTTCGAGGGCGAAGCCAGCGATATCTAGGACGACCTTAGCAAGGACAAGGTTCGACTTCGTCCAGTTTGACGATAGGCTGTCGATATCTGGCAGACTTGGTGTGTCTACGCCATTCGTGAGTCTTTCCGAACATCTTCTCCCGTGTCGCATAACCGTCCGAAGCGCTGCAAGGCGTCTGCGAGGACGCGCCGCAAATTCGACGTGGAAGGTGCGGAACCCTCCCGAGTGCACTTTATCAGTCAAAGGCTAAGACCCGGGTTAGGCAAGAGTCGGTTGGATCAAGCTCTGCGCGCGCATTAGAGGCGACGTATTCGAAGATGATGAGGGGCTTAGGTAAGTACGCATTTTTGGTGACATTTCTGAGCGTATACTGACCTTCCAGCTGACGATTTCTCGGGAGGCCCGAATCACCAGAGGCGCGATCCGGCCCCTGGTCCGGGCATCCAACAATACTAGGGCTATCTCCCTCGTCGCCCCTTTGAAGCGGGAGACGCCGTGCTCAGCCAAGACGATATCTAGCGACGTTGAATCCAGGAGGTCGCGCATGGTACCCTGACTAGCGATGCGATGGGGGAAATTCGCCTATCGTCTCGTAGCCCTCGCTTTCGCACACTGTCTTTGTCGGATCGAAGGTCCTACCCCTTGTGCATACATCCCTCTGCCCCAGAGAACGACGAGTTACAACGGGTGCGGTAGGGGACAATGCAAAGTGTTTTCTCTACTTGCTGCGTCGGTGTTCTGCTACTGACACTGTTTCCAGATCGAAGGAAGAGCTCCCCGATAGCTCAATGGAGCTTGGGCGAATTGCGTCCCATGTTCTATAACACCTCGTCGCTGCGCGTCTTAAGAGGTCTCAGTGGGCTATAGGAGCACGTGTTACACCGCCGCCATCCCATTGCCACCCCGCCTTCAGCGCATCACCCCAGGGTCTGCCTGTAGGTTCGGTTTTCGACGCTTAGTAAGACGCGCTCAACATCGTACGGCCCTTATGCATTTTCCCCATCTCCTGATTTTACGCATGGCTGCGGTCTACGCAAGCAGTGGGCTTGTTCGACCGTTCATCTGAGGGAACTGTCACGGTTCGTCACGGCTGTTACAGTCCGCGGCCCGCCGTCCCGACTGCCGCCTCCCCTAGTGCCCACATGTTGATCTACAAGGCAAGGAGAGGCAGAATAGTACCGAACATAATCTCTACATCTAAGGCGGAGAACACCAAATCCTAAGTCAAGAGCCGAGGACAAAAGCTAAAGCTAACGTCACGTGCAAACGCAAGTCTAAAGCTAACCTCACGTGACCTTGCGCCAAGTCTAATAATTTTGTCCAATGAGGGCACGCATACGAAGGAGCTGATGAAGTGGGTGACTTTGCGTTGTGTAGCTGTTTGCTGGAGATCGCTGACACGCAGATAGCGCCCGTACGCGCTAGCTGCCGGGTATCATGCCTTGGAAGGCGGAAGAAAGGCTCATCGAGTGCTTCACGCGTCATTGGGTGGATCCTGCGCACCGACTATGCGACACGGTTTACAACATACTGTCGCGCAAGCTGGGCGCGCTTGTGTCCCGGCACTTTGCAGACTTCGGTTAAGGTCGTCTGGAGCAGCGTGTCCAGTGAGGACTATGCTTTTACATGCCCTTGAGATGGTTATTGACGATGCATTGTAGGTTTTCCTGTAGAATTTGGTCAAGAAGTGCCCGGATAAAGCCTACAACATGATCAACCGGTTCGTTGAGGCAGAGCAGGACCCCTTCACCCTCACCACGCACTACCTCTCCGACTATCGCGAGAAGTATATCGCGCATTACAAGCTCGCGCGCAATTCCAGCGAGCACGGGGATCTGATCGACCACATCCGCAACTATGTTCCTCGTATCAGAGGCGAGAATGGCGAAGGCAAGGTTGGGGTCAGCAAGGTCCACGAAGGGCGTCAGAGATGGGAATGCTGGGTGTCAAGAAGTATGATATACCCAAGCTGCTTCCTGCCGACCAGATGGAACCGGCGCTAGAGATGATGACAGACGTGTTTGCGTATTACCATGGTGCGTCGCTTGATGTCTTCACCGTTGGATGTAGCAGCCCACTTATGGCGTTGCAGTTGCGTTCAAGCGCTACGTCGACAAGGTAATAGACAAGGAGTTCCTTCGGGGCATCGAGAAGGAGATCCACAGTGCGCTGACGACGTGCCTCCGCGTGAGTGGGCCGGAGGAGCAGCGGATGTGTAAGGAGTATGCGCAGGAGCGTCGGCAGACTGCAGCGAAGCGAGAGGAACTTCAGAACAAGCTGAACCGCCTCACGGGTGCCTGGGGAATTGAGCAGTGACACGGTGTGGATACCCGAATCTAGGCGTATTTTCCCCCTACCCCATCTTCCCGCTAGTCTCATCGATACATTTTTTTTGAGTTCCCAAACGCATCCGTCCACGAGATGAGCGTCGCCGAGGGCGTCTTCCAACAGCTTCGGCGCCATTCGACCATCTGCGAGACGATCTCCGATGCGCGGGCCTGGCGATCCGCACGGAGATTGCCGGCGTTGCCCCTGACGGGTTTCTATTGTTGCATGACGAACCCAGCACAGCGCCTAATTTACTCCTTGAACACGACCATCATGAGCCCGTCGGCGACGCCTGCCGTCCAAGACGATGAGCCCGCACGCAAGAAGCGGCGGCCGGGCGCCTGCGACCTATGCAAGAAGCGCAAGAGTGCGTAGAGGTTCTGCATCCGCGCCACTGTACACTGACCCCGCATTCCCCAGTCAAGTGTTAGTGTTATTTCGATCGAGGCGGGAGGGACTGAATGTCAATGGGGCGTCTAGGTGATAGCAGTCAGATGCCGAATAACAGGTGTACGCACTGTGTGCAGACGGGGAGCGAGTGCACACATCATGAGGTGACGAAGGTGCGCGTGCTAGTCATCATCCCCCTCGCTGTTACTCAATGCGATTTAGAACTTGGACACTGGCAGAGGGTGCGCACGATCGACGACTTGAGAAAACTGCTGGTTCTCATGCTGTTACAGGCGGAAGTACGTCGAGGGACTGGAGCAGCGACTCGTGAACATGGAGAAGCTTTTCGAGAGGGTTCGTGGTGCACATGTCCCCATCACCTCGCTCTGACTCCATATGACAGCTTCTTCCCGGAGTCAACATAGCAGAAGAGATCGAGAAAGCGAACGCGGCTGAGGCGGCACCTGCAGTCCCTGCAGACCTTGGCAACTTACCTAGGAACGATGACGATTCCCCAGAGGCGCGGATGGTGTCTCGCTTTCAGAAATTACACCTACAACCCGATGCGCATCGGTTTTACGGCAAATCGAGGTTCGTACTCTCTCACAGCTGTATACACAATCTTACTATTCGTGCAGTGGTGTTATGCTCCTCAAGGCGACAATCGAAGTCATGGATCAGTATGCGGCGACGAAGCCCGGTTTCCGCCCACGAGATCGAGCAATGAGGAGACCAGAGTATTGGACTCAATGCCCGGTACGCTTGCAACCGCTGACGAACCCGTGCTATTCTGACCTGCGCAGTGGCAAATTAGGGCGTCCGACTATCAGGAGCAAAGGATGTATCAGTTCCCTGAGGATGATCTCATGAACCACCTGATAGAGCTGTACTTCAAGTACATCAATCCTTTCCTTCCCCTCCTGCATCGGGTATGTACGATCATCAACTCGCACGATAGCTAATTCTCACACGACGCCACCCAGCCTACCTTTGAAGGTTTGATAAGGCAAGGAGAGCACTTCAAGGACCGGGAATTCGGTGGTGTGTTGCTGCTTGGTATGTGAGCGACCGCCCATCATTGCATGCGTGCCCATCCCGACTAAGATTTTGCCAGTATGCGCGAACGCCTCCCGATACTCGGATGATCCTCGTGTGCTATTACCTGGCGCGAACTCGCAGCACAGCGCGGGCTGGAAGTACTTTCAACAAGTCACCGTCGTCCGTTCCAACCTCCTCAAGAAGCCCACGCTGTACGAGCTGCAGATGTATGCGGTAGGATTTCATGCCTTCTATTCGTTGAGTTATCGGGTTTATCATTGTCTAGCTTTCGGTCTGCTATGGCCAAGGGAGCTCGACGCCTCAGGGCTGCTGGACCGAGGTCGGTATCGGGCTACGTATGGCGATGGATGTGGGTGCACATCGACGACGTACGGGAAAGCCTACGCCTCAGTATGAACTTTGGAAGCGGGCGTTCTGGTAAGCATATAATCTGCGCCGGAGAGGCCATCTGTTGATACTCGTGTCAGGGTGCTGCATGCCTTGGATACCAGCCTGAGTTCCTTCTTCGGGCACCCATGTACACTGCACACGGACGAGTAGGTGACCAGCCACGTATCCGCGACCACTAGACTGAACTGCCATAGGTTTGACCTCGATACGCTCGTCGAATGCGACGACGAATACTGGGACACAGGTGATCCGGAGACGAACATGCAGCAGCCCAAGGGCAAGCCCTCCTACGTCGCGTTCTTCAACTGCTACGCGCGGCTCATGGAGATCTACTCGTACGCCATGCGCATGCTTTATTATACCCGCAAGCCGTCCATGTACAACAACAAGGCGACACCTACGCAAGTGATCTTGAAGTTGGACTCAGCGTGCAACGCTTGGCTGGACTCTATACCCACACACTGTGCGTATCCCTTGTACATACTCTCTAGCCATCGCGGGATCTAATGTTCGACAGTGCGCTGGGATCCTAACCGTCAGGACCAATTGTTCTTCGACCAGTCGGCATGCTTGTACTCGGTCTTCTACCACCTCCAAATTTTCATCCACAAACCCTTCATTACGTCGTTGCAAGACCCAGCATCCATGACCTTCCCCTCCTTGGCGATTTGCACGTCCGCGGTACGTCCATTGTTTTGCAGTGGGTATATTCATGTGCTAATGCCATGGCAGGCGCGCTCGTGCGCGCGTATCATCGAGACGCAAAGCAGACGAAGTCCTGTACCCATGACTTTGGTCCAGGTAAGTTGGCGAAGCGCGTTGACATCAGAGTGTACTGATCACTGGCTTAGTCGGCAATCTTCATATCGGGGCTGACACTGCTGCTCAACATCTGGATAACGAAGCAATCCGGGTTGACTATCAATCCGAAGGATATGCAGGACGTATGGAAGTGCATGCAGACTTTGTCGGCAGCTGAGGGTCGATGGCATATTGCTGGGAAGTTATGGTCAGTACTTGAACATTCCTGTCGCCATTGCTTTTCGCTCAATAACGATCCAGGGACATTCTCCGCGAGCTCGCATCCGCGGGTGACCTTGACATCAATGCACATATATCGGCTCCTGACCAGCAAACAAAGAAGCGGCCACGAGACAACGCCGGTGCCTCCTCCTACTCAACCGCCGTGGAAGCAGTTGCGAATGCATCGCCAGCTTCCTCCGCATCTACGCCACCCGAGACACCATCCGCGTACATGCGCTCCCTCCAGCAGTACGCCATGCACGCCACCCCGAACGGCAACGGCGCCGAGCTAAACCCTCCAGAGGTGCCGCAGTTCTCAGACGAGCAGGTCGAGACTTTCCATTTCATGAACGGGTACATGAACGGGCAGTACGCGATGCCGACGGACCTTGGGACGGGGTCGGCGCGCGAGTTTGGCACGCAGGAGTTTGCGACGGCGGGGTCGGGGCAGGATTTTGTGCAGAACGATCCTATGATGGAGTTTGGGATGTTTGGGATGGGATTGGGTTCGCCCGGATTTGGTATGGCAAGTACGAGCGGAGGCGCGGGTTCGGGGTTGGGAGGGAGCCCGCATGGAATGACCGGTGGGAGCTCTCCTGCTATTGCAGCCACAGGCCACGGCGTGGGTGCTTCCGGCCTGAACGGCGTGAACGCGGCGATGCCGAACGGGCTGAGTGCATCGAGCTCAACGGTTGGTAGCAGCCCGAGCAGCCTGCACGCGGCAGAGGGCGGTAGTCCGCACACGCCTGCCGTGCAGGGCAACTTTTGGAACCCGGCGCCAAGTCCGTTCGAGTGAGTCCCATTCTGCTCACCGGCCTCGTGATGAGGGGGTTGCTCGCTTAGTGCATGTTCTGACGAATCAGTAGGACGGACGCATGGCAGCGATACCTTAGCAACGTTGACGATCCCGGATACCCCCAGGCTCCATCGGTGGTGAACTCGCTACACTCGGGCCCAACCCAGCAAGCGCAGTTGCCCTCGCGGATGAATTCTTTATCGCAATCCGGGCTCGGTCAATCACAAATGCCCCCGCCATCTCAGGCACTCCTAGGACGGCGAGTATCCAACGCGCGAAGTCCTTGGAGTGAGGGTGGATGAGACGAGCGGAATGAGGCGGGCGTCTCAAGTAGGGGGCGAAGTCGGAGTACCAAGGACTTATATCCTCCCTGTTCGCTCGCATTACAACACAATTTGCATTTTAGCGGCATCTTTCTGTCGTAAGACAACGTTGGGACACAGGAAGAGGATCTGATCCAACGCGACTCAGCTCAGTCAGTCGAGGTGTATCCCTCATTCAGATCACCCGGAGCTTGGCCTATATGAAGTCGGCCCAACAAACCCGAACTCATTCTTCCAAATCGACCTACGGATACCTCCGCGACCCCTTGCCTCCACTTCTCTCGTGTCTCCGTCCTATTAGTCCTCGACCGCCATGGCAAAGCCGGACATCAACGTATGGACAAAACGAGGTAGTCATGGAGCACGGGCTGACTTGTCGAACAGGCCCTGCTCCCACTTATACAGCCTATGGTCGACCTGCAGTGCCGCTCACGCGCGATACACAACAAGTTCCGCCAACTAAAGGGGTTGCTGGCTCTAACCAAACTCAAGTCAGCAGAATTCAGGCGCGACGTCGAGATCGCCTCGCAGGAGGTGAAGGCGCACGTCATCAAGGCTAGCAAAACGGCGGATATGTACGCCCACCTCGTGTCAAGGCTTCACGCTGCGCTCAATCGCGCCGCCTATCAGGCACTGGGCGAAGACCACTTTCTGCCCTTCCTCGAACCGCTTGGCGAGCTCGCCGACGTCTCCCGATTGACGTCGGCTCTGCAGACATTGCAGGCGTCGATGCACACCCATCTAGTCTATCTGCCCGGGTTGAACGGCCATGTGTATGCGGGGATCCTGCCCCTCATCCAAGGGCGTAAATTCCCGGTTGCCTTCCACAGGGCCGAGGCGCTCCTTCAAGGTGTGCCTCTCGAGGCCCAAATCGACGAGCTTGTTGAAGACAATTGTCGCACGGCTCACCAATGGAGGGGAGTGTGGGAGGAAGTTACAGGACACTTTCGCCCGCGATTGATTCTTCAGATCCGACGGCAGCCGGACGATGTTCGGGCACAGGTCATTGAGCCAGTTTTCGCTGCTACGAGGATGTGCTGGGACTATAAACTCCAGCTGGAGCGGACAGCTATACTGATCAAGGACGTGTAGGCGCAAGCGTATAGCCTGGACTGGCAGTATACATCGGGGACCTTGCACCTCTTTCTTTCCGCGAACCTCTCATTGCGCGCATCGACAAAGAGGTGCGGACCGCCGAACAGGGAATGTGACCTGGTAGAAGATCGCTGAGCATTCACGCCCGAGGATGACGCATACACGCCGGATACCGGATGAGACTAGGGAGGAAGGCCCTCCAGCCCGTCAATCTGAAGGGCTTGAGTTCAGCGGCTAGGCAGGAAGGTTGAGATCACCGGCTGAAGGTGGAGTAGACGTCCACGCTTATGAAAACATACCATAATTATGGATGCTATCCGAGCTATTGCCAGAGGATATGCGGTTGGCAACCTCAGCGGGCCGTTGAGGGTAGCTCCTTCCGTTACTTGAGAATATCTGGAAGAAGGGGTATAACTTCCTCTCCCCAACGAGGACATGGAGGCGGTGAAGGGCTCGCGCGTGTTTCCGAAGTACTTGGAGGTTTCCCACAGGACACAGACAGATTGGGCACATATGGGCGGCGCTGCTGACAAGGAATGGCGGTGGAGAAGACAGATACAAATGTTGGGCAGTCGCATCACTTCGCGAGACTTGAAGTCGGTTGTCGCGGTTTTCGCAGACATGGTACAGAGCATGTTCGTGCAATATAGGGTGACAAGAATGGTCCAATGCGATCGGATATATTGTGTTCGCAGTACATTCTAGTGATGAGAACCATGCTCGTCATGCCCGTGGTGGAAGGGATGTTGGCCCTATTCGCGAGGTTAGTCAAGCGGATGCGACACACTAACATGGACCTCACCAAGAAGACCTTTCCACCATCCTCACTGATAGGAAGTCAGCACTAGCTGGAGGAATCCTGGTATAGCACGCACCGGATGCGGTAGAACATGAAGAACCACATTGAAGCGCCGATGAGCTTGCCCAGCCATCTGTGGCCGGCACCAGGAAGGTGGGGGTGGAAGCCCGGGGCTGTCTCGTTGTCAGTCGTATGCTTTGCGCCGTGCTCAACGACACTGACGATGCGCTCCGTGGGCCATGGGGTGAACGTTCGGAATAACGAGGGCGGCTGTTGACGCGTATTTACCCAGCGTCCGGGACGGCCTGCCGGAAATTTCACGCGGAGGCGGCTGCAGCTCGCCTCCCTTCTGCTCCCCGTCGAACAGCGCGCTCGACGCGACATGGAGCGCCAAAAGAAACGAAGGCGCGATGCGGACTGCCCGATTGTCACCTATCGCGTCGGGCACCGCACCTTTGAGCGCTTGCTGAAGGGTGGGACGCGTCCGAGTTCCCTAGAGCGCGCTGTGGCTAATTCGATCGCGCAGAGGACTCGCTGGAGGAGACGAAGGAGGCGATACGGCAGAAGTTCAAGGTCGAGGATGGTGTGCAGGTGCAACTGGCGCAGCTTAGGGATGGAATGACCATTGATCTCGAAGACGGTTCGTGCTTGGGTTCATTGTTCGAATTTGGGCGCTTAGATTGACCGCGCTGAAAGAGGACGACTTTGACGCGTTCCATACGGCCGCGCACAAGACCTCTGGGGCGACAGTGAAAGTCACGGTCATTCGGGCGAACGGTGTACCCGCGTCGCACATCAGCATCGCGGTGAGTGGCGAAGTCGGTGTTCTCTCGAACTTGGTTCTTATTCCTTGCATAGCCCACCGATAGCATATCCAACGCCGTTGCTACTTCCTCCCGATCTGTCCATTTCTCCTCCCCGGAGGACGAGCTGCCCCACACCGGTGGCAAACGCAAAGCCTCCGCGATCGAACTCGCCAGTGAGGGCGAAAGCGCGTCCATCCCGCGGCGCCATCGTCCTGTGAAGAGGCGCAGAGATGAAGCGCCTGAAGAGGCAACGGATACTCCTGCAGAGCAGCAGCACCCGGAGGAACCTGTTCAGGAAGACGAAGAGCCCGAACCTGCACCCGTAGTCGTGAAAAAGAAGCGCGGTCGGCCTCCGAAGGTCAAGCCCCTCGAGGGTGTGCAAACATCAGCTGGGACTTCCCCTTCTGCTGGAGCTTCCGCGTCTGCTGGAGCCGCGCCTGCCGAGACCGCACCTGAACCTCCTGCTCCCAATGCCATGGACACCGCACCAGACAGCGTGACACCTGCCCCCCTTCCCGAGAAGAAGAAGCGCGGTCGCCCGCGCAAAGACTCTATGTCTGCGAGCGCCCAACCTGCCTCCTCTGCTTCACAAGTCGCCGCGCAACCCACGTCTACTGCGGCAGCGCCAACATCACAGCCGGCTGCCAACGGCGATGCCGCCCCTCCTGTTCCCGTCAAGCGCAAGCCCGGCCGACCGCGGAAGCACCCTCTTCCTGAGGGGACTGCCCAGGCTGCTGCTCAGTCATCGACCCCCAAAGCTACCGCTCCGCAACAGACTGCCGAGGTCGTCATCGAGCAGGCCTCTGCCTCCCGCGGCCGTAGCACCAGCAGACGGCCGACTGACCCTGACAATGGTGAGTTCGCAAGGGAGCTGGCTCGGGCGATTACAAGTGGGTATCCGATTACTTTCCGCTCGCGTGCAACGACACCGAGGGTTGAATTGTTGTGCGACGTTGATTGCAGCGCGGCTTTCTATTTGTACGAAGACATGTTTGCTGACTCGCTTCCTATCACTCAGACGTCGGCGACGCCAACGCCGCCCAGGAAGAGGCATCGAAGAAGAAGCGGACGCGCTCGAGGTCACGAAGCCGTGCGCCAGAGGAGGGGAAGGCGTCAAAGTTGAAGGCCGCGTTGGCTCAGGATGGTGAGGTCTATCCCTGCGTTCTGTATCGAGACCAGGCACTCACACTCATTTTTCCCCCTTCACCAGATGCTGCTCACGATGATGGCACTCACGACGCGCACGTCCACGCCGAGCCTTCCGCCGACACCGAGACACCCTCAACAGCAAAGCGCGGTCGCAAGAAGAAGGTCGTTCCGCCGAGTGGCGAAGACGCTGACAATGAGGACGCGTCCCCGGAGGTGGAGAACGCACCGAAGGGTAAGCCTCTTCGCACCCGGGTAAAAAATACATTGACTGATTCTCAACGCGCAGAGCGCAAGAAGAAGAAAAAGGTCGTGCAGGAGGCAGTCGGTAGGTAGTTTCATTAGATCGCTACTCTACTACCCCCACAAAATGCCATGATGGTTGACAATGCACCGTAGACGCGCCCGAGCAAGTTCCCCCAACCGCGAACGGCGATGATGAGCAGGATGGGGGCGAGAGTAAGACTTCATTGACATGATGCGATGCCAATCTCTAATGTGCCCTATCCTCCACAGCCATCTCCGTCAAAAAGGCCCGCAAAAAGCGCAAGAAGAAGCAGGAGGCGGCCGCGGATGAGTCCGGCTGTGAGTGCATTCATAGTCCTGGAGAGGAAGGGCTGCTCATCACGCAGCGCACAGATAGGACGGGCGAGGCGGACAGGACGGGGGAGCTCTCGGAGGCAGAGATTGACGAGGGCCGGATGGCCGCGCGGGCGCGGTTCGTGTCGATGTTGGAGCAGCACACGGCGTTGAGGACGACGGCGGGGCAGATTTGGGGGAAGGAGAGGGAGAGGAAGAAGAAGCAGAGGAGGAAGGTGGCGGAAGAGGTGGTGGAAGAGACGGGGGAGAAGGCGGGGAAGGGAAAGGTGGATGGGGAGGGGGAGAAGGATGTGACTCCCAAGCAGACGGGGGATGTTGCCGGGATGCAAGGGGAGGATGAGGCTAGCCAACAAGAGGAGCGCGACGTGGCCGTCGTACCAGTGAAGCGCAGGTCAAAGAAGAAGAAGGCTTCCGCTTCGGTCCAGCAAGATTATGGCGCTGATGTACCCAGCTCGTCTGCTGCCGCATCTATGGTCGGCGCTCCGACGCCTCCCCGAACGAGCAGTGATGCGATGGATTTCGCGCCTCTCGAGCCCACCGACTTGGAGGCCATCATTCAAGGACCAGCAAGGTCCTTCAGCATCGCCGACATACCGTCCGATGATGAGGAAGAGGAACCTGAGCGCATGGATCTGGAGTCGGACGAGGAGGAGGACGAGCGGTGGAACCGGCGGAAACGGCAGACACGGCGGCGGACCGGTCTCAAGCGTCGTGACGAGGTGTCCTCTTCCGACGAGGATCGTGCTAGCGCCATTGCCATCGACGAAATCGAGGATGACGATGAGCACGAAGCACTCGTAAATGGGGACCGACCCTCAGCAAATGCCGACGACGACCCCATTGTTGATGAGGCGCATCCCGAAGCCGCGCCGCAGAACGTATATCGACCACCGCAAGTTCAGCGTCGGGCTTCGGGCCAACATCACTCATTTGCGTCTATCGATGGCGCTGCCTCGTCTCCAGAGCTCGACCGCGCTGCGGATATTGCGTACAACAAGGCCTTCGACGATGAACATCCATCCGATGTCGATGGCGCCGCGGATGCTGCACGTCCGGCAGACGATGGTCATGAGACGGACCTCGATGCATTGACACTGGGATATCCCTCTGACCCCATGTCGGACGCAGGCCAGCTGCTCGATCCTCATACGGACGATGCGGTCCGCGGCCCTCACGATACGCACGCGGACGCCATGGACGAGGATCCGATTGAGGCGCCGCCTCCGACCCAATCGGCCCCGCCCAGTCCGATAGAGTCCATTCTCCCTGATTTGTACTCGCCCTTTCAGTCGACGCCGCGCGCTCGAGTGGCGGACAGGATGAGGGGCCGGAACGGGCGTGCGGGCGGTCTCATGCCCTCGCCCGTTGCCGAGGCTATCCTGGCGACAAGCGGCGCGTCCGACGCGCGTGGCGCTCCCGCAATGAAGGGACTATTACTGCCGCCGTGGTCGCAGCCAGAGCGGGAGACGCGGCAGTTGTCACGCCTATCCGCACGGCGCGAGGCAGGGCTAAATGGCCATACGCCCTATGCTAGCGAGGTGCCGCCCCCAGCCAGCCTGCCGACACCCAGCGGCGTGCCTCCCGTGCGCTCTTCTGGCCTTACGTCCTCATCACAACCTGTCGATGACACGCAACCGTCTTTGACACAATGGACCACCCTGCCTAACGTACCCCCTTCGCCCTCGACCCTGCCTGAGGACTCCATGGCCGATAACAACGACCAGCTGCACTCTAGCCCCGGCACGTCAACATTGTCGCCTCAGCTGCGTCGGAAGAGTGGACAGGCACGTCCTCCGCTTTTCTTTCCCTCAGACAGCCAGACGAATTACCCATTTTCGCAGTACGATCCTCTGCAACTCCCAGCGACAGTTCCCGACCAGGACGGGCAGAGCTCACAGGCCAGCGACGATCCCCCCGGGGGCGAAGAGGAGGCGAAACCTCCGTCCGAGGCAGGCGCAGTGGATGACTCTGACGAAGACGACTCGGAGCGGGCCGTCAGGGAATCCGTGCAGGTCCCGTCGCGCGCTCCGAGCCAAAGTCAGCCGTGGAGGACTTTGTCTGCTATCGCAAGCGCCAGTCCATTTGCCTCGGCGCCGAAGCGAACCGACTTTCCAAAGAAAGTGGAAACACCTGCCACTCAGGAAAGGTCTATGTACGGTTCGCTGGCGCAGGACAGCGACAGCAGCGATGGGGATGATGACGAAGATGATGGCCAGGCGCGGCACACGCCATCGCATATACCGAAGGAGCGGCAGGCCGGACGCAAAGCGACGGAGAAGGGAGTTCCGACTTGATTTGCCACACCTACTGGACACATCGCGCCCCGCATTTCTTGCTTTCTTGGACACTCGCATACAATGTAGTACGTGATCTAGCATTCTTGTCATGTTGCAGCCTATACAGCTTGATTGTTGTTTGTTCTGTCATCGGAGGCTCCTACTCGTCGGCTCAATTTAGATAATACTTACCACGAGATATATGTCGGTCGAGACGCCAACGTTGGTCTACCCGCACCGCTCAGTTCGTATTGAGTGGGTTTGCCATGTCTTCTCAAGCTAAGTGACCCAAGTTTAGTCGTTCGACATAATCGGCCTCATTGCAGTCATGGGGGCCTCCGTCGCTGTATAATGTCTCTCCGATGAACGATGCCGAAGCATCGGCGTCCTATGCACCATGCATATGAATGGTGAGAGGGCTTGGCGAACGACAGACTCAGCTAATTTTCTACGACTAGATCCAGCGAAATCGGGTTGCGACCTCGCCATGCAACCTTGCATGAGGCCGAAGATCCCCTTGACGGATGTCTGCGATCCGGACGATGTTTTCGATCTGGCCTGCCGAAGGCAAAGGCTGTTGCCAATGCTCTGAACCGCAGATAATGAAGGGAAATAGTCTCATGCTTCGGTAAGGCGAGACTTTTACATGTAGCTGCCTACAGGGTGATTGAGGATCTCCTGAAGCGGCTGCGTTTACCTGCGCAGCCTGGGTGCATATATCCCCTCACGTCGCGTTGCGCCATATATGGAGTCAGCCGTTCCTCCTTAGTTTCCCGACAGCCCCGCTCCCCTCGCGCACTCACCCAAGATGTTCGATACGACCGCATCGTCTATCAGATCCAGCGTTGTACAAGCGACTCGGCCGTCACGATACGAAGCTCGCGCGAACGGATTTGCGCGGATGTTCGGACCTCCGCGACCTACTTAAGTGTCGAGGACATGGATCAACCTACAGTACACCAACGGCGACTCCCCATTACCCATCCACCTCCCCTCATCCAGCATGCCTACACGTGCTACGATCCCGAAGACGCCCGTCCGAGTCGCCATTTGGTACGCCCTTGGCTCGTAGGCATGACTTATCTCTGACTTCCCTACAGCGGCGGTGGTATAGGCGGTCTTGTCCTCGCATTAGCTCTTTCGAAACATGCGGCAATTACCGCCGATGTATACGAAGCTGCGACCTCCTTCTCGGAGATAGGTGCTGGCATCGGTGAGCTGTACACGCACGCGTCGACGAGGCATGTATGCTGACGAAGAGCCAGGAATCTGGCGGCGACCGTGGCAAATTTTGGCACAGTTGGGGCTCGAAGAGGACATGAAGACTATCACGGATTACGAGCCGTCCAATGACCCAGGTGAGCGCCACTTTCATTCTATGAACGCCACGAGTGCTCATGTTGCAAAGTAACGGCCTTTCACTACCGTAAGAGCGACCAGCCAGCCGGCCTTGATTTTTACACTTTGCTCACTAAGGGTGAGTGACGTCCTCTGAATTGTGGCACCTTGCTGACGCCACACCAGGTGGCATCGCGCTCGCGCACAGAGCAGAACTCCAGCGCGTCCTCATCCAACATCTCCCTCATGCCCCTCACTGCTCGAAGCGTCTACAGTCGTATAAAGAGACGTCTTCTGGAGTGCAGCTCTTCTTCGCCGATGGAACTACAGCAGCTTGCGACGTACTGATCGGAGCGGATGGAATTCGTTCTGCCGTGCGACGCGGCCTACTCCTTCGAGAAGCTCAGGACGCCCCTCCGGAAGTCGCAGATGAGCTGCGAAGCTGCATCGAGCCTTCCTGGACTGGAGTAGTTTGCTACCGAACGGTCGTCCCGGCGGCGAGGCTAGCTGCACGCTCGCCACATCATCGGGCGTTACACCTGCCGATGCAGGTAAGTGGCACTCTTAGCCTCTCAATGGTACCGCGCTCATTTTTTCTGCCTCAAGTACACGGGAGCTTGTAATGTGAGTCCGCACGCCCTTTCATTTCGGCAATAGCTCATGGGCCTCCAGCATATCACCACGTACCCTATCTGCCACGGCCAACTCATCAACGTGGTTTTCTTTCGAGCTCATTATGACCGAGAGGGCACCGCGTTCGACGGACCGTGGGTGTGCAATTTGCGTTGCGACTTCTTCCAAGCCTTCCAAGACTGGGAACCCGAAGTACGGCAGCTCCTCGAGGTGAGGTTGCCTTCAGCACGTTCGTAGCATGTCTGATTTCGCCAGCAGAGCGTCGACGAGTTCAAGCAGTGGGCCATCCATACTGTACGACCACTGCCGTCCTTCGTATCTCGTTCGGGGCAGGTAGCACTTCTCGGCGATGCGGTGAGCACTTGTTCGAATCAGTAGATCGAGGAATCACTAATTCCATTCGCCATCAGGCTCATGCTATGCAACCTTTTCAGGGTTCGGGCGCCGGCCAGGCAATCGAGGTTCGTTCATCCTCTCTCATTGCCTACATGCCCGCTCATAGATGTACCTAGGATGCATATGTGCTTGCCTCTTTGCTAGGCGATGCTGCGGAAAGTCGGATGTCCGTCGACGCCGCCATCCATCTCTACGACAGGATCCGGCGTCCCGTAGCCCAAGACGTTGCATCCAGGTCTAGAAGGGCTGGAATGTACTATCACCTCCTAATCCCGCCTTATAATGCCGCTGAGCTGCCGAGCCATATCCTGCACGGCGAGGAGTCGGAAGCTGCGAAGAAGGAGAAGCTCGGGCAACTCGGGGATATGGTCGCATGGGAGTGGCAATGGGCTTGGACGCGAGAGATCGGCGAGCTGGACAAGGACGTCGACGATGCCCGGGCTAGACTATAGGACGTCTGAACGCCTTACAGCCTTGTTCCATATGCATGCGATACACATAATCCGTCATCTAATGTTGTACTTGTAGCATTTTATCTTGAAGATTAGTCTTGCAACGCTCGCGGCACTCGTCCACAAGTGATCACACTGATGACCTTCCAAGGCCGTCTTGTGAGTCAGAAATAATGGCTGGTCGTATTAGGTATATACAGTGAGATATGTAGCGATGCCTTTTGTACAGTGTCATTCTCAAACATTGCCGTGTAAAGTTCGTTCCTTCATGCAAAAGCAAACCCAGTAGCACCTTCGCTGATCGCCAGTAGTAGTTGTTGCCGGAGCTTCTCATACGACGAGTATTGTGGTAGATCGATCTGGTTGAAGCCTGGATACGAATGAATAAGCAGTCTGAATGACTGACTGGACCCAAGACTCACAAGTATGCGCCGACGGCAGTCTATCCTCATCCCCGTACGCGCGGTGGATCGAGAACTTCTGCGTCCCTTGCACGCCCTGCAGCTCCGTGAAGCCACCAAGCGGTACTCGCGACGTGCCCGTAGCAAAGCTGAGCACCTTCGCCCGCTCGTCGCGGTCAAAGGACTTCAGCGCCCGCCACCACCAAACAATGTTGGGGTCCGACGACGTGTACCCAACGTAATCCGTGGCTGCGCGCCATTCGTCGACGTCAATGTCCGGCGTTCCAGAGATGAGCAACTCAAGCTCCTGCTCGTTGAACTGGAAGAGGGACGGATGAGTTTCCGATGAATACTGGTGAACGAAAGACGCACGATGGTGATCATATCCTTGGGAATGATCTCGTAGAACCCTTCGGATAGCGCTTCGATCTGCGACTTGATGGACGAATAGAGACGGTACTGAGCCGAGAGCTGAACAAACTCGCGCTTGTTCTCGTTCGTAACGGGCAACGTCTCCCCGCCCTCCTTCAAGGGTACTATGCGTTGCACGCCGAACTAAGAAGGCATCAGCATAAGCAGTAAAGGAAGACAGCCACGATTCTTACTTCGTCCGCCTCCACGCTGAATGTGAGGTCCAGCGGAGTAGGGTCGTTCTCAAGGATCCAGCACAGCGAGTTGTAGTACTCCGGGTCGACCCACTCAACGTCCCGATAGTCGACAGGCTTCCCAAGCAGTTGTCGGTACAAGCTCTTCGCGAAGTAGGCGTCGAGCAGTCGTCCGTCGTAGATGGCCTTGCCGATGACGCGCCCGACGAACTTGAAGAAGCTCAGATGTTCGGGGTTGACCCAGGAGTTTTTGTTGGGCTGATACGTCTGCCTATCCGCCGCACAGGGTTGGAACAGGGCGTTGTTTGGGTCGAACATCTGACGCGCGAGGATTTGGAACCACTCCCGCGTCACACCGCCGGCATCGACACCCTCCTCGTCGTAGAACCGCACGCTCAATTTGCCATACTTGATCTGGTCTCCCGTCTTACGCTGTAGATGCTGGAAGGAATCTTCGAAGACCCGCGCGCGGCGGACGTTGAGCTGGATCGTCCCGTAGTGCTCGCGCGTGTGGGGTCGCCTATGCAATTGCTGCGTGAAGTAGTTGCGCTTGTTGTCGAAGTCGAGAACGCGGGGGTTGTTGACGAGAAGGGAGAAGGAGCCACTCATGAGCGAGGGATTGTTGCGGACCATCAGGTTCAGTATCTTCCGATGAGCGTCCGTGAAGGATACAAACAGCTCCTCCATGGAGTCGCGCGACAGCGTTGGCGAACGAGGTGATCGTGGGGACATCGATCCTCGCAGGGCAGTAAGGTCGGAGCCTTTCTTCGTGCCTACATACTTGCATACCACCATCAAGCTTTCGATCAAAGGCAACAGTACGGTCGCCACGATCTCCGTCTCCGGTTTCTGCTCGATGATGGCGAGACAATCGCCGAGGCGCTTCCAGAGGGGCGTGAAGCGGAAGGACTCGTAGATGGATTGCACCTTCTGCGCGTCTTCGCTAGCAGCGGCTTCTGGCGTCACGGATGCCAATGACTTCGGTGTGAACATGTAGTCGATTGTCTTGAGAACGCGCAGGAACTTCGCCTGGACAGAGGTAGATGCAGAGAACTTGGACACGACGGTGCTCGAGATGACGTCGTCCTTCTCCGCCTTCTGCATGGCGTTTGCCAACTCGTCGAGATCCTGATAGAGAGCTTGGCCGAACTCTTGTGCTTTAGTCTTCAGCTCCTCCGCAATCACGTCTCGCGCGTCGGGGATGTACGAAAGATGCTGAATGAGGGCCAAGCTCTGCTGGAACGTGCGACCGGTGCACTCGCCGATGGTCAAGAAGTTGACGATGAGACGCAGAACGTTGTGAAGTATGGTCGGAGGATGGGATAGGGTGACGCGCTCTTCCTGAGCAGCCGGTGCTCCGGCTTCTTTGGTAGTTCCTGACGATGCAGCTACACAGTAGTCAATGAGCCGATCGAACCATAGTGTCAGTGATACTCACCGGCCGCGCCGGTAGACTGGACTGTGTCCGTGGCCGTCGATGAGGGCTGAGGAGCCGACTGCGTTGATCCTTGCGGCTGTTCTTGCGACTGGGCAGCGGACTTCTGACTCGTCGGCTGCTGCGATACGTCTTGCGGCTTCTCTTTTGCCTTCTCGTCCTTGTCCTTGAGCGAGGTGAGAGGCCGCGTGACAGTCGCCAACAGGGTAGCCACTTGTTCCATGATGGAGGGCGTCTTGAGCAATGTCGGTCGATCCAGGAGACTGAGCAGCAACACGACAGGGTACTGTAGCTGCGGCGCTTGCCTCTCCTTTCCCTTGCCCTTCTTCGACATCGTCCGACGTAGTCCTGCAGACAGCTCGTGCTCCGTCAAAAAGAAAAGGGACGACGCCTCGTTCTCGTTGACGATGTACGACAGCGCTTCCAGGCATCTCTGAGCGACAAGATCTGGCACGATATCCGTCTGCATCTTGGGGATAGGCAGGACACCTAGATAGTCTGACCCGGCACGTTGCTTGCCAATGGCCTTTGGCGTCTGAGGCTTCGGCGTCTTCATGGACAGCTGAGAGAACCGAGTATCCACCGTCGCCACATCGACCGTCCCGTCATTGAGGATGTTCAAAAGCAACGTGAACAGTTCTGTGCGCGTCTTGGAGTTCTCGCAGAGGTTGACAAGCACCTTGTGAAGCAGGCTCTTGCGCATGACCTGGGGGAAGAAGAGGAGGCGGACCAAGACAGCTATGCCAGTCTTGTCGAGAAGCTGGATGGCGTCGTGATGAGCAGGAGGTTTGCGAGACGTTCCTTGAGAGGGGCGAGGGCTCGGTACCGCGGTACGCGCGGCTACGCGAGAAGCCCGAACGTTGCGGTCCTCCAAGTAGGCGCCTGCTTCAGCGATCATGTGTGAAGGGAGAGACTGGATGAAGCCATCATCCTGGTCCAGGAGTACAGCTTGACGCAGCGTAGGGTCCAGACTGGCGATGAAGCTGGCGTTGTCAATCTCAGCAGGTACGGCGGCTGCGGTCGCGGAGCGCGCGAGTTCTTCTGTCCTTCTGCGCGCGCGCTCGATCGCCTCTTGCTGGATAATCTCCGCGCGTATTTCAGGAGGCAGAGCGTCGAGAAACTCGTCGCTGATCTGGGAATCGGCGGGTCGTTCGATCCTCGCCGCGCGCTGATCGCGTATGTGCTGGTTGAGTACCTCTTCCCTCATGTCATCTGGCAACGCTTCGAGGAACGTAGGATCAATGCCAGTGTCGGTGATGTCGACGGGGTTGCCATTGATCATGACCGTGACACGTTCGGGGGGCGCCGAAGTCGAGGCTTCTGCAGCCGCAGGTTCCGAAGGCGCAGTAGACGCTTCCTGTGGTGCAGCATCTGGCGTCACGTCCATAGGCTCATCTACGACCGCGGGCTCGTTGCTGGAGTTGGCCACCTCAGCCTCTGGGTTTGCGGCGGTGTCCGTTTGGGAAGCAGCAGCTTCTGCCTTCTTTCTGGCCTCCTCTTCCGCTTTGACTTTGGCAGCTTCCTCCTCCTCAGCCTTAGCCTTCGCTTCCTCTTCCTTGCGGCGAGCCTCTTCCTCCTCCTTGACCTTCTTCAGACGAGCAGCCTCGATGGCCGACGGCAAGAGAGTGAGCGTGACGTGGTTGGCGAGCTTGGTGGCCCTCTCGTTGGCGAAGTCCCCGTTGACGATCTTGAGCTCCTCCGCCCAGCGTTGAATGGTTAGCAGTGGCTCCAGCTCGCGACTCGAAGATCCAGATCCGTGACCTGCGCGTTGACTGCGCTCGCGGAAGGCTGCAGACACACCCGGACGACGTAAGAAGACATGCCGGTCAAGGCCCATCATTGCGGGCCCCGCAAGGCCAAGCTCTGCACCACTGCGTGCGATGACTCGGTGGAAGAACTGGGCTGCACCACCGCCGATCAAGTCGTCGATGGTTTGAATCAAACCATTTTGGGGGAATCGCTGCGTAACGCGTATGCGGGCTTGCGGCGCAGATGAACGTCCACCTGCCGTCGTGTCAAGGAGCAATGGGTGAGTGGTTGCCTCTGGGGGAGCGGGGGGTCCTCCGCGAGGCCTCCCGAAGACTTGCAGGGTCTCGTCTGCTGAGTTATCAGGTGCAGCTCTATCTGAGATGGGTAAGTTATACTTACCAGCCAGACGAGAGCGCCGCTGAGCAAAAACACCTGAGGTGTCTCTCGGAGTGATCCCGTTCGTAAGAGTTGCTCCGATACCTATCAAGTCCTCGACGAAGTTGCCAGTCTCGAGAGGGCTTGTGCTCGTCAGCGAAAGAAGACTTCATCAAGACACAAACACTCACTCCTCGTCCGAAAGTTCTCCCTGCTCATCCTCCACGTCGTCGGCGACCAAGTGAATCCCGTCTGCTCATTAGCTACGCATATTTCAAAGCGAAGCAACGAGCGCTCACCTTGTTCGTCATCTTCGTCTCCTTCGTCTCCCGGTATACGAGGAGCGCGCAAGCCCTCGGCCTCGATGTCCTGAAATTGTCATTCAGTCCTGCTTCGTTGACTTCTTGTGACAGCATACGCACCTCCCAGATCATTTCGCCTTCTTCATCCTCGTCACCCTCGTCGTCCTCGTCGGGACCCTCCTCGTCGATGATGTCTTCTTCGTCGTCATCGCCTTCGTCGTCCTCGCCTTCGTCATCCTCTTCGTCCTGCATCTCCGCGTCTTCCTCATCCTCGCTTTCTTCCCAAGCGTCGCCTGGTCCCTCAGCACCTGCTTGGATCTCATCCTCGTCATCCTCCGTCGCGGAAGTATCCTCGCTGCCTGTCTCTTCGCCGTACTCCATGTCGACATCGTCTTCTTCCTCATCCTCATCCATCAGCTCATCGTCGGGATATTGGTTGTCCTCCATTTCCTGTAGAAGTTGTAGTAGCTTGCTTATATCTGTAACCAAGTTGCACTTACGCCAGTGAACATTCCGAGCGCAGAGTTGCGGTACAGATCAGGAGTTTCCTCCCGATCATCAGCATCCATATGCTCGTCTTCTGATTCAGAGGACTCCGACGAGTAGACGGAAGGTGGCTTCTTGTCGTCCGCCGACTCCCTGTACTTGCCGGACTTGCTCATTCGAATGGCAACCTTCGTACTGCGATTATATCAGACAAAAAATCGGACAAGCAAAGTGAAGGACATACAGGTGCTCAAGAGGTCTCAGCATTGAAGCGACCAGTTGGCGAACGTGAGGGTAGTTGAGGTCGACATCCGACAGCGCGTTCGTGAGAGTGGCAACGAAGCCCTTCTCGAGCATGACCCTGGCGATATGTGTCGGTGTATCGTCTGTACTCTTGCGGGTAGGCATGTTGACCTTGACAGTCAGCAGACGATAACAGGCGTCCGACAAGGCAAGGAGGCGTCCATAGCGAGCCTCCTGCCCCTCAACGTTCTGCGCATCCTTGATAGACCTGCTAAGAGCCTCGAGCACGAACTTGCGTACGGATGCCAACTCGGCGGGAACCTCCTTTGAGTCGTGGGTGGTCGAACTGTCCACGCAGAGCGCAACAAGAACGGACATGGCCCAGTTGCAAAGGGCCAATCGACTCTTAGAGAATGCGGGCGATTGAGGATTGATGGCTCCATAGGTGACGAGCTCCGAGAGGAGGAAGTGCAACGTGCTCGACTTGTACTTGGTAGCACCTTCCTTGGCAGGCGTTTGCGTACGCTTCTTCGGGGAATATGTGAGGAAAGCCATCTTGCACGAGTCATAAGAGAACAAAAGTTCCGCAAGGCACTGCATCAGGAAGCAAGCGTACTGCTGTTCGCCGGCTTTCGGGTCAGCAGGCGCCTTCTCTGCAGAGCTTTCGCTGGCCTTTGGAGGCTGAGCTTCCGACAAGCTCGTTGTAGATGTCGAAGGTGCTGGCGGAGCAGATGTCGACGACTCGGCCGTTGTAGATGCCGGTGCAGGCTCGGAGTCGGGCGCAGAGGGCTCCTGAACGATCTTGACCACCCTCATGAGTTCGGCGATGAGATAGTGCACCATCGCGTCGAGAGTCTCTGACACGTTCGTGAATGAAGGGGCATCGAGCTGCATGTCAGCGTCGCCCATCTTCTCCTGGCCTTTGGCCGTGTCCGACGTGCTTTCTGGCTTCAAAGAGATTTGATGTGTCGTCGCATACGGACTCGCCAATTGACACAGCGCCTCTGTGGCGCGGAGAAATGCCTTCGGATCCCGCAAAGCCATGGCACTGCAGTTCCTGGTGTACGTGAGCACATCTACATTCCGTGCGCGCGGCTGATTCAGGAAGCGCTTGATGTTCTGCTTCATGATGGACTCGACGGTTGGAAGATCCTCAGCGACGTGCCGCAGAATGATGGCGACATAGGAAGAGCTGCCAGGAATCGCGGAAGACCCAAGGCGTCGGAACATGCGGCTGAGGCCGTCCTTCTTGACGAACTCGCAAGCCATGCTATGGTCGCGGGTGCAGATGACGAATATACGCAGCGAAGATAGAACAGGATCGTCCGGCAGATCTGGGATTGCCATGAGGCGCAAGCAGAAGTCGAAGACGACCTTGCGCGCTTCGACCAATGCGGGACCGACGGAAACGTCTTCCTGTGGCACAGGCTCTCCTTCCTTGGGCAGTGTGATAGCCTTCGGAGAAGCGGCCAGCGTGAGCAGACCTTCGACAACAAGGAGATGAGCAGCGAGCCACTTCGGGACCGGTGGCGAGTCTGACTCTGCATTGGTCGGACTGGACAGTAGCAACGCCAGCAAATTGTCCAACAGCGTCTGCCGCAAGTTGTCGTCGAAGCTAGACGGCGTCTCGCAGAGCACAAGGGCAAGCAGACGGCACCTGTTCGCTAAAGGCTGCTCCTGGGTGTCGTATGCATAGGGAGAGAAGGTCTTGACGTCGTTGACGAGGTCGCGAACGGCCTGCTTCTGATGCTCACCGGAAGGCTTGATGAAGGCGGAGTGGAGATCGAAGATGAGTGAAGGGTCTTCGTCGACGATTGTGAGCGCTATGCGGCTGACACTCGCGCGCAAGGGTTCCCGGATAGCATTCAATTCAGCACGCCAGTCCTCGGGTTTCTTCTTGGGAGCTTCAGCCTCCACTGGCTGGGTCTGTTCACTCGACTCCGCCGCATTGGACGGACCGGCTTCAGGAGCTTGTGTGGCAGTACTTGGCTCTGATGGAGCCTCTGCAGGAGCTGCGGCGGGCGGCTCAGCTGGTGGAGTGCTAGGCGCAGAAGGTTCGGCCGGAGTAGCAGTATCCGGGTCGGCGGGCAACGGGAAAGGATGCGCGAGCAAAAGCTCTGTGGCGGCGCTGATGTTGTTATGCGTCCGCCTGAGGGCACGCTCGACGGCAGACCGAGGGAAGCCCATGTCCGTAAGCTGTCGAATCCGATTCTCGTCAGGTTCCGTTGGACGCGCCCACCCAGGTGTGGGAAGCGCCTCCGCCAATCCCTCAGTTCTCGCCTCTTCGTTCTCTGCACCGATCAACTCCAACACGGCGTGGATGACTGGCTGCCGGATCGTCGGCGGGACGTTCTTGATCCAGGGCGCTTGCCACATTGACTGCAACAGGGGCAGAATGGCGAGGCGCAGGCGCACCAGGAAGTCATGAGGCGCGAAGTAGTCGGGGTCCGTCTCGGGCTTTCTCGTCATGACAAGCGCCGTCTGAGGGGATTCGAACAAGGGCTTCGATGATATCAGAGGTAGCAGTAGATGCAGCGCCACCTTGAGCACGCCTAACGCATGCGCAAGCTCTTGTCTCGTGGCCTCGCTGCGCGAGTCCGACGACGTGCGGTACAAGCCGTCGATGACAGCGACGTATCGCTGACAGGTGCTGAGCACACCTTCCAGACCGCCCGCGCGATACCAATTCCACAGCTGCACGGTCTGAATCGTCATCGTCGTGTTGCGCTCTTCTACGAATGTCAGTTTCAATGCTTGCCATATTAGGTGACGCCTTACCGTCGACGAGAAGTACAGCAGTGAAGCCGAGCATAGCAGTGTAGTATGTCGATACACGCAGCTTGTCCGCGCCCTCCGCTGAAGAACATGTGAGCCATTTGTCCGACGGACCGAATCACGTACACTTACTGAAGTGCGTCTTGGTGAAGTGGTCGATGGCGATCTTGGAGATGATGCTCGCTGTATCCGAAATCTGCTTCTTGAACGCCTGATCGGTGTTCCTCCTCGTGTAGAACATCTTGACAAGCGCTACGTCGATGTAAGTCTTCTGTACCATTGTCACAAAACGATGCCCATACCTTGGAAGAATGGCGCCAAAGCCACGGGGAAGACGTGAGTGAGATGCTTGAGCGCGGCAGCGTTCCGGTAGCGCGTGTCATCCTTCTTCTTCGACTCGGTCGAGGTCTTGGCCGACGGATCCGCAGGCTTGGGGGTTGACGTAGAGGTCGACGCAGTCGCACCCTGGCCTGAGGGAGAGACCATGCCATCCGCTTCCGGCAGAGATACTGGTGGTCGCTCCGGGGACGCGGTGAGCGGCGAGGTCGAGCGCGACTCTGAGCTGGAACCGAGGTCGATGCCGAGATGAGCGAGCCCTGCCTTCAGGAGGATGTTCTCCCACACGGTAGCGCGATGCAAGTTGCCCAAGTCGGCGACGATGGGCACTGAGGTCTCGCTCGTCAAAGCTTGCAACAGCGAGTTCGAGACGCGCGTCGGAGTGTAGCTCGCGGTGGCGAATACATCCGAGAGGAGGGTCAGGCGAACGTGCAACGTCGTCAGCAGGCGGAACTTGCGGTTGACGTCCTCGATGTTGTCGGCTGGGATTGCGTTAGTTGGAATGCAGTATCAGCAAAGCCGAACTCACCAGTTGGCGTGATCATGGGCACTAGAGTCGACTGCTTGTCGAGCAACATCCAGAAGAAGCCCGCCGCCTCCAACGACTCCTTGATTGACTTGGTGAGGAGCGCCATCGTCTCCGTCGTTGAAACCTCCGCCATTGTCCTAATGACCTGCACAATGGAGTCCGACGCAACACTGCTGGCGAAATCATATGGCAAGCAAGGCAGCGCGGTGAGCTTGGCCAAACGGTCCAAGCCATCGGTCGAGGTGACGAACTCGCGGCAGTGCGCCGTGTGCTGGAACAGGCCTTCCAGGAACTACACAGAAGGGTCAGCGATCTCAGTACCCTCCCGTCTTGGTGGCACCTACGCGATTGAAGATGTCGACGAAGGACACGATGATGTTCTCGTGGTTCGAGGAATCCTCTGAAGGAGCGGACGCATCCGCGCTGCTTTCTTCGCCCGCAGCAGCAGACTCTTGCTCAACAGGACTCATCGCAACGTCCTCAGTAGCAGGCGTCGTCGCAGCACCAGCCGGCGCAACAGGACTCAACTGATACCAATGGCGGATGTTGTTGGGCACAACGAACTCATTCCCAAGCGTCTCAATCTTGCCGAGCGTCGCGGTTATGGCCTGGAAGACCGAAGTCTTCAGTGTGGGGTGGTGACGGATGAGCTCATCGATTGCAGAGCCAAGGAGAACTGCATTCTCCTTGTCCAACAACACTTTGATATGGCTCTCCGAGGTGAAGATGGAGAATATGGATGGGATGATGCTTGGGCGTGCCGCCAATTGTGCCTGGCCCGCTTCGTTAAGGCAGAGAGCTCCGATGGCGTTGGGAATGGCTTGCAGAGTCTGCAACAAAGTCAGCTCTTGCTATATCGCCTATCACGAGATTGCGAGCGTACCTCGATTGCCGGCTCGACACCGGACTCAACAGCCTTGTAGAACGCCTCGGGGAGGCCCGTCTCCTGAATGATTGGGAGCGCCGTTGGCTCGTTGTGGACAAAGGTCGCCATGACGTTGATCGCTAGTGATATCTCAGTAGACCGCCTTGCATGTGAAGACAGCTAATTACCGATGGGGTACACGTTCGAGCCGAACGTGGACCGGTGCTCGATGATCTTCTTAATGGACTTCAGGATGGAGGTGTCGATGAGACCTCGGAGACCTTCAGATGTGCCAGATGCCTGCATCATCCTATGGAGTGAGCGTAGCAGATGCTTGAGGACAGCAGAGCGTGCGACGGGCATCTCGGTCGAGCCCTGCTCGTATTGCTCGATGTCGTGGTCTACCTCGTACTGAAAGAGCAATTAGTATAAAGTCAGTCATGCAATCCTGAAACGCACCCCGATGCGGTCGACGAGCGTAGTGACACCTCGGGACGAGCAGAACAGGTTGAAGGCGTTGGTGAAGCTGTAAAGAACGTTGTCGACCAGTTGCATGGTCTTGGACACCATCGTCAGTCGCTTGGGCAGGCGGTTGTCGATGAGCTGTATGAGGAGGGGGACAATGCCCGCGCCGACGATCATGTTGCCGCCAGACGCATGAGACGCGATGTAGGACAGGAAGCCGAGGATAGCCTCCACATAGGAATTCGTGATCGTCGACTCAGGTCGCGCGATGTCGGCAACGATCGCTCGCACGAGCGACATGATGATACCGTGGTTGATGCCCGCGTTGACGGCGGCGAGCACCTCGGAGAGCTTGGAACGATAGCGAGCCAGAGCGTCGAGCGCGGAGATAGCGGCCACCTGTATGCGGTCGGAGACACCTCGGTCGACTTGCAGCAGCTCCGCGATGCTGGTGATGATGTCGGGCTCGTACAGGAAAATAGAAGACGTCGCCTGGCTCTCGGGATGTGTGTGCGCGAAAATGGCGATCGCGAGCAGCCTAGAGATGACCAGTTTCTGGCGGTCTTCCTCGTGCCCTGGAGCAAGGCACTGTGCGGTACGAATGCGGCAGAGGAGCTCTAGCTTCTCTGACTCTGGAACGGAGTAGGTCTCTACGGCGTCTGCGAGCACCTCGATGGCGGGCTTCGACTGCAACGTCTGCTCGTCAATATGAACGGCGACGGCGCCCTGTCCCGGCGATGTGGACGTCGAGCCTTTCTTCATAGGCGAAGAGCTCGAATCTGGCTCGATATCCATCTTGTTCTTGTCAGCGGCTGCTGCTGCGCTGTCGATCCGGTAGAATGTGAAGTCCACCTCCCGCGCGTCGGGAGGGAGCGCCTCGACCTTAGCCTTGCCCTTCTCTGTGGCAAGATCGTAGAGTGAAAGTCCATACTCGCGTGCGCGAGGCCATCGCTGGGCCAGTGACAGCAATCGTGGGGTCTGAATGCTAAGCGCATGCGAGACGGAGGGCTGAGCAGAGTATTGTTGGGAAGGACGGAGAAGGAGGTTCTCCGCCAAGATCAGGATGTCCAGGTCAGAGGTGAACAGCAGGCTATTGAGGCGCTATATCCCCACGTCAGTACGCGATCCGCCACACACAGCAGCGCAACGCACATCGTAGGAAGAGAACATCTTCCGGTTCGTCGAATTCTCCAGTAGCATGCGCTCAAAGCGCAAGATCTCGGACACCGTACGCTTCGTCGCCGGCGTGAACGGGTTAATCTGCAGCTTATCCACGTCGTAGTCGCGGATGACTTCCTCCAGCACGGCGTCGAACTTGTTGAGGACCTTGATCCATGCATTGAGGTCGGACCGCGGCCATTTCCAGGACTCGATCTGGGACAGCACGTCCGCTAAATCATCATTTGGTGTCGCGAGGAGCTTGTTGATAAGCTCTGCGACCTGCGGTGGCTACCAGCTCCCCGTCAGCACACGCGTCCGATGGGTCCCAAGCGCCAGCTACGCACCGGAGCGACCGCCCGCTTCGACTTGTGCAGAATTTTCATTCTGCGCGCGCAAAGTGCGGACGATGGGGAGTACGATGGGTCTGATCTTCCAGCGGCGGTGTTTGGTGCGCGAGATGGGCGCTGGAGACAAGCACGGTGAGGGAGAACTTGGAAATTTGCCGCCTTCGCTCTGGAAAGGCTGACGACTGCACCGCTCGTCCGGGGATAGCTTGGACATCACGTGGTGTGACGACCGACGCGTGCTGACGCGCCCCGACGCGCCCTGACTTGTTGACCACCGCCATGGCGAAGATTCCACGCAGGGCTCAGCCACCTGCAGAGTCCAGCGAGGACGAGTCGGAGCACGAGCCGACGCCCTCGGTCAAGAAGCGCAAGTCCAAGACCAGTGAGAGCAAACCCGCAAAGGTAGGCGCCGCAAACCGAACGCACACAACACACTGTCTGATCGTGTTCAAGAAGGGTAAAAAGAAGGCGCAGAGTGAGAGCGAAGAAGATGATGACAGTGAAGAAGAGGAGGTCAAGCCTCGCTCCAAGAAGGTCCAAAAGCAAAAGAAGGAGGTTAGTAGACGCGTTGTGCCACCCGGATTCTAGCTCATGCTCGACATCCAGAGCGACGTCTCATCATCCGGTCCTCTCAAGCAAGATGGGGATATGAAATATGTTGACCTCGGCGGCAAGAAGCGGGCCTCTGCATCCGAGTTTAAGGGCCAGCGCTATATCAACATTCGCGAGTACTACGTCGACAAGGCCTCTGGCGAGGAGAAGCCTGGGAAGAAGGGCATCGCACTTAACGCTGAGCAGGTAAGTTGTGCGACACCGGAATTACCCATTCAGCTCATGAAAGTGCCAGTGGAAAGTCTTCAAGCAGAACATCGACACGCTGGACGAATTGTTCGCGTCTAAGTAGAGCTGTTGCTTGTTCCGTTCGAGATCATTGCTTTGCCTGATCTCCATATTATGCTTGCATGGATATTACGGGTAGCCTATGCTGTAGTACAGTGAGTGGCGTGTGGTGCGTGCGCTACATGAGGCCAGCAGCGGCCTGGTGTGCTCCCGCAAGTCGTCTCGTTCGCAACAGACCGCGAACCCAGTCCTTGAGGATGATCAGACGCGCCTGGCTGTCAAGGTACCACTCCATGAGCGATAGCGTCGAGTACAGCTTGCCGTAGTGCCTATTGGAATCGTCAGCGGAGATCACAGAATGAGGAGAGAACATGAGGACTGACCACCAAGTCCCGATATATCGTGTAAGGACACCTAAAGGCGAGAGGCCCTTCCCGTACCCGAGCCGCTGCCGCTCATCCTGCCAGATGGCATACACGCAACATTTTGTCGAAACCAAGAATATTCGAATGCCAGAGTGTGTCGTCGCCAGTGCGTAGTCCAACCCTCTATCAACCATCGTAGTAAGCACGCTGTATCGCGCCCACGACAAATGCACAATCACTAACCTCGTCAAGTCGTTCAGCTTCAGCACCATCAGTATCCTCCGCGGTACCCTCCGTAAGACGTCCAGAACGGAGAAAAGTAAGCCCTCCCGGGTGACCATCGCGCTCCTGATCATCTCGATCTCCTCGTCCGTCTGCGAGGACATGTCGAGCATGCCAGACGCGCGCCGCACGCTCGACTGCGTCTCGTTCTCGTCGATGGGGTTCATGGTGTCGTCCATCATCGCGCGGCCAGTGAGGGCGGCTTCGAAGACGGGATACTGAGCGTGGTATGTTAGATAGGATTCATCCAGGGTCATCGTGCACTGCTCACTAAATCCGGACCGATATTGCCCACAAGCTCAGCGTACTTTCTCCGCTCAGCGGCGACTTGTGGCGTAGCTGGGGATGCAAGTGATAGCCAGAGGTGGCTGTAGTTGATCCTAAGCTCGCGATCGAGGTCAAAGTAGAGGCCATGGTCGAGGAGTACAATCTCGAAGTTGTATGGGGACTTCGAGGACGGAGGTGCGGCGCGAATGAGCAAGTTGCCAGGGTGAGGGTCGGCGTGGAACCATCTGCGAAGAAGGTCAGAGATGGCATCTGAGGCAAGCCAACCACCACGCACCCATTGATGAAGACCATCCTGCTAAATATCCGCGACAGCTCAACAGCAACCTTATTTCTATCGATATTCTGTTGCGCCAGGTAGTCCAAGTCGTCCACCCGTCCACCCTTGATGAACTCCATGACGAGCACCCGCTTCGTGACGAGGATGTTCTTGGGTATGTAGAGCGATGTCCGCAGGTCCTTGAAGTCCTCCGCCGCCCTCTCTGCGTTCTTCGCCTCTTGAATGAAGTCCATCTCGCGAGGCAGGTTCTTGCGCATTTCATCCTGTAGGATGGCGATCAGAGGCTTGGTATAGCGATAAGCAATGAAGGCGGACCGCCAGCCACATGAACTCGAAGTCGGGGAACCAGTATGTTATCCAGCCTAGGGAAGCTTCCGTAGTGTTGATGTCGATCGTACTGAACTCTTGCACCATGGGCAGTTGTAGCTGAAGATGGTCGTGTGAGCACGCGAGAGCATCCTAGCAAGTCAAGCTGCGCACTTTGACGGCGACATCCTGACCGGACGCTCGATAGTGCGCCTTGTGCACTTGTGCCAGACTCGCTACGCCGATGGGCTCCTGCGCGACGCTGTTAGAGGAGACATCTTGGCGACTTTGCAGAGGCGCCTACCGGGTCGAAATTGTCGAAGACCTCATGGAATCTCTGCCCAGTCTCGGAGATGAAGACGCCCTCAATCGCCTCCAGGGAAGCTGGCTCGCACTGGTCTTGCAACGGACGCATTGCACGAGTCCATTCCTAAGTGCGTGATGAGAGGTGGACACTGTTCCGCGGTCGTGTAACGCACTAGGGGAAGGAAGAGGGACGACCCGAGATGTTGACCGAGCTTGATGAAGATACCGCCATTCGCTTGTAGCGCCCTCAGCACCCTATCCGCGCTGCGGGTATGGCATTGTCTGCAGAATACATTCTCAGCAGCATACACGATATCTGCACCAGCCCACGCACGAGTATGCCTCCCGCTCCTCTTCCTCCGATGCATATGTCCTCGAAAACGTCCACTTGTAGTCCACAATCCCCGCCGCCGCCGCGCCCGCTATCCGCGACGAGCGCACGACCGCGAGCACCGAATGTCGAAATGGCTTGTAATTCTCGTACGCAAGGTATGCGCCTCCTGCGAGGACGAGTGCGCCGCCTGAGTAGAGTAGCCGGCGCCGCGTCCTATGTTGCTGCGCGGCAGGCGCTTCCGTCGACACGCATCTTCTCGAGGTATGTTGCAGACGATGGGACGAGGAAGAGAGGTCAGCGCCGAGGGACTGGCGCCAGACGGAGCGGGCAGGACCGAAGCAACGCATGACGCATCCGGAAACCCGATCGAGGCCTTTGCTCCGATCATGCGATCCGGCTACTAAATCCCAAAAAGGCAGCTATTGTTCTCGACCCACCTTAACGCGCACCTACAGCAACTTCCATTCAGAGGCAGGGGAGACCAAGAATTTCTTGAAGACGCTGTTAATCACAGGACAAGGCGCTGTTGAGTATAGACCGTTGCTTTGGTCGAGCAGAACCAGAAGGTAAACTACGAATGGTAAGGGCAAGTAAAAGAGCCAGCTCGATTCAGCCGTACGAGGGGGAACTTGCAGCGCGACATATCAGTCTGTAGTCTTACAGATACATGATCAATCCAGAAAGCACGGGTCAGAGCCAGACTGATACAACCCGGTGCAACTACCCCCTTGTTAAGACCGTCCACAGCCGGTCTATTGTACAGCTTCTGCAGAAATCAAAATGTCAGTCTCACATTGGAATAAGTGATAGAAAGCACTCACTTGCAGGTGCGACCCAGCGAGACTTCGTATTGCAAACATGCCTCTCCAGATTCTTCTGCGAGCCGAAGAATCTGTGGCAGGTATCGCACACCCACCGGCACGACCGTTCGTGTTTAAGCACCTCGTGACGGAAGCGGTCGTGCTGCCGAGAGAACTCCTCGCCGCATCCCATAGTGCACGGGAAGCTACGCCCCTTCACCACACTCGCATTCTTGCGCTTCCGTGAAGGCGAATTTGGGGGGTCGCATGCAGAGCTGCTGCTTGAAGATGGCGGCGAGGGGGAAGGGGAGCTAGACGGGGGCGAAGGCGGTTGTTGAGCTAGATCCCCTTGCGTCGACGTCGAAGGGGTATATGGGCCTTGAAGAGCGCTGGTGAATTCTGGAATATCGTTGCAAAAAAGAAGACGATCCATTGCGGTCATATCCAGCAAGTCTATGAGACATCAGCCGTTGTGCGTGTTGAGTTCATTCACAGGTCAGCTTACTGTGTGCGTGCATGCCGTCCGTGGCAGAATATATCCCATCCAGTCCGTCATAGTCGGCCCAGGCGTAGGGATCAGGCAAGGGGAGGCCCTGCCGCATGGAATGTTCGTGAGGGGTTGCGGCGCTGGCGAACTCGAAAGCCGATGTGGTTCCGGGGTCCAGCACTTGGATAGCGGTCAGGAAATAGTGCCATTCATTAACGCGCAAACGCACCATCCGAATTTTGATTTCTGGGTCTCTGCGCACCTGCGTTTCTGGGTCAGCATACGAGTGGGGACGAAAGAGACCGGACATACTGGCTGCGACATTCGCTTGATTTTCGAGGCCTTGGTTGACTTGGGAAAGAGAGATGACAAGCGTCGTTCCAGTCGCCGTAGTCATGGTCTCAAGGTTGAGTTGGTAGCCGGAAGGAAAGGACGACTGTGGCACCCTAGCGTCTTGGGGTGACGGTCGAAATGATAAGTTTATGCTGTCATCTAAGCTCGAGAGATTGGCGCAGATGCACAGGCGCGTGAGCTCTTCGAAGGGTAGCTGAGTCGTGGGCATGGCGGGCGAACGTGAGATAAGAGGCAAAAGCCGGAGACCTGGTCGAGTAGATATAGAGGGCGGCGGGCATGTATATATGCTTTGAGGGCATGGCGATCACGTCGCATGGAGGCATCGGAGGAGAATAACGTGAGTGAATGGGCACAGGCGTGCGCTCTAAGAAAGCGAGATTAAATGTGACGACCATGGTAAACCAGTGACGATAGCGCGGACAACTGCCAATGACAGGTATGGCGGAGATCCAATTTGAATTACGGCAGGGCGCGTTCCCGCCAGAAGGCGGCCACGGCAAGTCCTTCGAGGCCAACGTCGTCGGGAGCGGTGCTCAAATCCTCGGTCGGTAGCATAAAACGTCCAGAAGTCCCGGTGGGGGAGGTGCAGTCGCTTTCCATCAGAAATCGCAATGCTCAATTGGCGACGCGGAGTCTGAGATATACCGAGGAGTGCCGCGCTCCGACTTGCACGAGCCCGAGATGAAGTTCGGTCAGGATGACCACCGAAAGCGGGAGAGGGTTCTGACAGCAGCGATGAGTGCTTGTAACATAGGCATTTGTCCAAAATAACAATGAAAGAACGGCAGGCGCACTGATACCAGCAATGCGTCACGGAGGAAGCCGGGAATGAGGCCGTAGGGTTCATTCTTCTCTGGGCATGAAGGACGAGACCAAGCGGGGTTAGGTCACACCTTCTTCCAAATGAGGCGACAGTTCGATCCGCGATCGACGTAGGGATCTCAGCTTGTCCTCGACTATTGTTGTGGACTGCTCTTCCATATAATACAATAGTATCGCCCCGAACCAGGATTCGATTTCCTGAGGTCGAATTTTCCCTTGTCAGAGCCCCGGCTCGAACTCCCTTGGATTTCACCAAGATTCCACCCTCAGAGCACAAGTCCCGCTTACTGCATTCATTCTTGAAGTGCGCCGTAATGGGTTATCCGAAGAAGAGCAGCCCCCTGGATGCTTTATCTGCGTCGTGCCGTACTGGTGCGTGACAGTAGGTCTGAGGTCTATCATCAACATACAATCATGATACAACGACCCTCGTTCAAGGTGAGGAGGATCATCCATGGGTTGTGTTCATTTCCGACTCACTCCTGCCACCCCCATTGTTTAGTAACGTATCCTCTTCGGTACAGGGGGCACATAGGACGGTATGGCAAGTAATCGGTAAGACATGTAAGCCGGGGTTCTGCAGAGTCCGGCACCCGAGTGGCGTGCGCCGGCGCATACACCTAATAGAAGCTATGAGAATGCGCGACTATCGGGGCTTGGGAAATGATGATACACAACCTGAAGCGATGTACGTCGCCGTGAACCCATGCTCAGTTACACGAGCTGACTAGCAAGAGTACCGCTGCGACAGAGTCGACTATGTGCCGAGCTAAGTCATCTCTTGCTACATGGAGGCCGGCGCTCGTTCGATGATTTCTCCAAGCGTCCAAAGCTCGATGTTTGAATGCTCGCGGCGACGCATTTTGGAAGTGGAGACCAAGCGCAACTTCAAGTGTGTATCATCCTGCCTCAGCTGAAGAAGCATCAACATACGATATAAGATGTAAAGTGCTGCCGTCTCTCAGTTCATGGGCTTCAGAATCACAGGGTCGATGCAACGCTCGTGTTCAAGTTTAACAGCGAACCGGCAAATCCCGAGGCTTCGGAACCGAATATGATCACGTGAACATGTTGATCTGCAGTGCAGCACCAAATGGTAACATACGAAGCTCAACCTTCGTTGAGCGGGTGATGAGTACATTCATCAATAATATAGACGTACGCAGGCGCTCTTGGGAGATAAAATCAAAATCACGATAACCATTGCGGTGGAAGTGGGTGGCAAAGGTTGATGCACTTACAAATGAGGTGGTCAAGCGCGCAAGGAATGGAATGATTATCATTCAAGGTTTGCCACGGCATATTTCCCCTGTACCTTGACAATGAGCTGACGCGCAAGCTACATACATTCGCTCGATCCCTTCGAATGCGTCAACTACTCCCGCCGCAACCGCGCGCGCTAGCGAGCGCGCCTTGTCGTACATTTTTATCCCAAAGCCACGATCTGAAGAACCATCAGCACCGAGATACTGAGATAAACGAAGACATATACCAAGCCTTTGTACTGCACCGCTTCCGTTCGTGGGCGCGTACGTCGTTGTACACCTGGACGTACTTTCCCACCTCCACCCACTTTTCTTGATGATCGTTACGTGCCCATATATCGGTCTTGATGTCCACCTCAGAAACGACAGCTAATAAAAATGCAGCTACGAGATGCGGTTCCTTGATAGGTGATGAACCGAAGTACAGTTCAACGGGGCAGTGAGGAGGTATGTCTGTCGGCGTGCAGGATAAGGAAGGGGGTGAACTCGCATCCACGTAGGCGGACCGGCTGGTGAGCTCGGAGCAGTGCACGAGGAAGGGTATGATAGCAGCCACTGACGCCGAGGGTACGTCAGTGCGTTTCGTGCCTGCATCGATGTTAAACCTTTCCAGACACGGCCATGCCCTCGCCAGCATCGTGAAGTCATCGTCCGTGAGGTCAATCGAGCATTCCAACCTGAGGTTTCGTATGTTATGCAGATCGGTGCCGGCTTTTATGACTGTAGGAGGGAGGAGGGGGAGTTGCGTATGTAGCCACCCGCACTGGACGCATGAGATGGACCGAATGGTGTCGCTGTTGACGATGTCGAACACCAGACGAACCATTTCAGCTCGCAGAGCCAGCGTTGCGTCCAGCATGCCGGGGAGGATATTCACTTCTTCCATGTTGTTTTCCACCGAAGACAGGGACTGCAACATACACATTGCGCTGCGCATGTAGTAGTCGGAGCTGATCTTGAATGACTTTGCCATCATTGGAAGGCAGTGGTGAGGCTGGTGCGGTACGCTCGGCCATCCGTCCTTGTCTATCGCTCTTGGCTTTAGATGCAACGAACGGAGCGTGCGCATACTGCCAAAATGCTGCATGACATCTCGGCTGCCAATGGGGAGGTTGACACTGCGAAGAGACTCCGACTTCCATTGGCAGGCCGTGTCGGACAGGTTGCCGATCGAAATCATGAAATCAGCTCTTGCGAGTACAGTCAAATTCGTCAGGTCTGGGCACAAAGACGGCAAGCTTGCGAGAATGGTTGCACAGTGCGGGGAGTTATCGATTTTAAAGCATAGGTCTCTGAGGGGGGACCGATGAAGAGAAATGGGAAAGAATCGAGGCCGGAAGGGCATCTTTGCCAGGAAGACCGGTACTCGCGCAAGTCAGGGATGATGCGCCTACCGCCGGATCGTATGAGGAGTGTCCGAACTGTGACATCGGCAATATCCACACTTCCATCCCCAGAGTCACTGCATCGCGCGTACAAGACCTTGATCCTAGCTGCGTACGTTTGCATGCGAGACCAGGACGCTCGCCTGATAGGGTCGGCGATCATCTGGAATTGGATAAGAACTAGCCGCGAAGGTGATGTCTCAACGGGTCCACACACCAGCTCCGTACGATCCGACCCTGCGACCAGGCGATGCTCTTCGAGTGTCTTGAGCAGCCGCACCCACGAGCTTTGCCGCTCCCAAAGCACATCGAGAGCGGTAGAGCTGATCGCCCGATCCGTCACTGCTACCGCCGCTAATGACCGAAGACTGCGCTGCGTCTCCAGCTCGACGCAGATCTGAAGGAGGATGTCGTAGACGCCGAGGCAATCAATTGACCTGGACATCGTAGAGGAGTACGCGAGGGTCTGCGCGGTGAGAGATCAGGACAAGGACTGTACTAGGGCTTACGACATTGGAAGCGTCACGTCTCTGGACATTCGCTGAACGCGTGACATCGTTGACGCTGATATAGCAAAGTATACAGCGTCCGGGGCCGAGAGGCCTCGAGCTGGTCAGGCGTCAGCCTATGTAGTGCTGTCATTGTCAAAGCTCGTCTCGCAATAGGTTTTTAGCGCAAATGTATGGCTATCGATATGCAGGCTCGTCATTGTGCAGCCGCTGTCCTTCGTACAGTGGGCTCATGGCGCATGGGGACTAGTAAAGTGATGATGAAGCCAACGACGCCCAATACTGCAGGTTCAGAGTCAGTATCAGCCGCAGGGGTGCTGCTTAGACGCTCACAGAATCCCGTTATCTTCTCCTCGGGCGTATGGAAGTACACGCTCGTTACCCCTGCGGCAAATATCCACAGAGCGATCATGACGGTGTTGACCGCGATGGCGAATGTGCGCGCAAGGGTCCGCGGCGCTTGCGATTTCAGGAGGGGTCGGAGCTGATCGGCGAGCACCAGGATGCTCATCGTGAGCAGGAAGATGTGGCCGGAGACGTCGTGGCCGCGACGGAGCCTGGGGCGCCCGCCCCACGAGGAGGGGATGACGTACGACCCGGTGGTAGAGTCGAATTGCGCGGTGAATAGATCGGGGTGCGTCTCGGGCGAGACCTTGGTGCCCGTGTAGCAATACTCGTGCGGGAGGATCACGACGTTCTCCATGTCTTCGTGGGGGACCACGAGGACGCACTCGCCACCGCTGGCGACGGTGACACGGTCGATGAGGGAGGGCCCGAAGAACCAGCCAGCAAACGCGAGCCAGACGGCGGTAGCGACGCCCCAGCGGAGGATCTGGGGGAGTGCACGCCGCGGGGGTCGCGCTGTTATCGCGATCGCTGCCGCCGCGGTCGTCCACCCCCAGGCGTTCTTGATGAAAACGGTGTTTAGGGGGTTGGCCTTGTTGGCGAAAAAGTGCGTGGGGCCGAGGGGATGGGGGAGGTGGGTGAGGAGAGGATCCGAGGTATCAACATAGCTGCTTGCGAGGACCGAGTAGAGGGTTCCGAGTGCGACCGTCGCGGTCGTCGCGACCAGCGCCTGCACGCGGACGTCGTGGATGTTCATGGTAAGTCGTATCGGGCGCGTCGAGTGACGTCAGCCGATGACCGGCAGCGCGGACCGGGAGTGAACTTGGAAGGGCCGCCACGTTGAGTTGTGCGCAGTGCGCGCTTGTCTCCCTCCGCTCATGGGCATCAGCGAGCGCCGCAAGTACAAGGCGACCGCGCGATGGGCGTACTCGCGTCCGCTCGTCCTCAACGCCCTACGCCTCCTCTGGATCGTCGTCGTCGTCTGGGGCGAGATCGGTGTCTACTACTGGTCACTCTCGTCCTGTCGCTGGCCGGATAAGAATTTGGTGCGCAGTCAGTCCATGCAATTAAGCCCCTAGCTGACTTGCATCTGAAGCCTCAGCATGCCTCCCCACTTCACATACTCCTGATCTCCGTGCGTCGTTGCGTTCCCAGCCTTCCAACTCATTCACCGATCATCTACCTTTAGGACCCGCAAGTCCGCCCCCCACGCGATTTCTGGGAAGACACGTCCTGGCTCGCCTCTGCACGGGAGTTCTTCTTCGAGCTCAATCTGAAGCGTAACTGGCACGTCACTCGTCGCCTGAAGCCACAAACCATCTTCTTCCTTGGCGACATGCTTGCCAGCGGGAAATACGTACATAGCGAGCAAGAGTCCGTCTACTCAACTCCCCCCTTGACGCTCTGCTAACTGCGGCAGATTTGAGCAGTACTGGCAGAAGTTCCAGGACACGTTTGCCTTCGAGAACGGGACGGACGTGTACTACTTGCCAGGGAACAACGACTTCGGGTGCGCGGTAAGACTACAGCGAGGTCGTTCAAGATGCTAACTATGTATAGCATGGGAGCGTCCCGCTCACTTTCCGTCAACGTGCGAGCCTACTACAAGAAGTACGTCGGCCCTCTCAACCAGGCGGTCCCTCTGCGAGGACACAACTTCGTTGCGTTGGACGCTCCTGGCCTCGTAGACGAGGACTATAGGAGATCTGCCAGCGGCTTGCCGCATCAGCAATGGAGTCCGACCCTCGGAGGGACCTTGGACTTCATCAGAGAGTTAGACAATGGTCAGCGAAGCAGCTTCACTCCATCTCCACGAGTCCTAATTACAGAATAACAGAGCAAGGCCCTGTCGTGTTGTTGTCGCATATTCCCCTCCACAGACCTGATACTGCCACATGCGGTCGGCTCCGGGAGAAGGGAACTATCCGCAGAGGCGTCGGTCACGGCTACCAGAACACCCTTGGCAAGGAGACAACATACTATCTCCTCGATACGCTCCATCCTATCGCTGTCTTCAGGTTCGTCCGTATTTCCTCCTCCTGCATGGGTTGCTCAAGCTATGCCCAGCGGTGACAACCGTGATTACTGTGAATACAACCATACCTCCCGACACATCGACCCGGAGACCCGCACCAAAATCTCTGAAGAAAGCGTGCGGGAGGTCACCATCAAGTCCTTCTCTATGGCGCGAAATATTCATCACCCTGGATTCCATCTACTCTCGCTTGTCGAACCATCAACCGGCGCGCCGTCGCTAGCAGACACGGCGTGCTTCCTGCCAGATCAGCCCGGCCTGTTCTCCGCCCTCTATTGGCCCTTCGTGGCCATCACTACCCTTCTCCTGCTCTTCCTTAACCTGCGGAAAGGACCGGGCCGTCTCCCAGGTCTTGTCGGCCGCCTCACACCGGCTAGCCCATATCGTGGTCGCCATCCGACTGTCTGGACGCCATTCACGGCCGCTCCAGATAGCCCCACTGGCTCTCTTCCTGTGGTCCGCACCCCCACATCCTCCGCTGGGCCGCAGATGAAGGCATCTTCTCGGCCAGCATCCCCCTCCGCCCTCCTCCATCCCTCTTCCGCGGCTGCTATCGCTGCTGCCGACGCAGACGAGGACGAGGACGAGACGTATCCCGCGCAGTACGCCACCCGACGCGCAGCGTACGAGCACGATGACCTCTGGTCACCGCGGCATAACAAGGGCGCGCGCAGCATCGATCAGGAGGCCGCAGACTCGTACTTCCTTCAGCAACCCGCGGCGCCTCGACATCAGGGCAAGCGCCCGTGGTCGTGGTCGTTCACGTTCGTGTTTGCGCAGCGGCGGCGGCGGATCACGCTGCGGGCGCCGACGCTGACGGCGCGGGGCGTGAAGGACGCGGTGGGCGTATTAGGGTGCGGGGCAGACAAGTTCGATGCCGGGGTGGTGGGGAGCACGGCACTGGATGCGCTGAGTGTGCTGTGGGTGGCGGTGGTGGTGTGGGCGTTCCTTGCGTGGAGGTCGTTATAGGACGCTGCGAGAGTGGATGAGTGCAGGACGATGTATGAGTCGAGCGGTGGCTTCGCAGAGTTACGACGCTATGTAATTTATTCGTAACGAGGATTTTCTTACGACTGGCGATGCGCTCTGTAGCATACGATGGAAGCTTGCTTGCTGTCTTTACGGTCAAGGACATCTATACTGGAGTATAATGGGTGGCATGGCTGCGATGACCGTGTCACCCCTTTCTTCACGAGCCCTCATATTTGTCGTACTGTCAAGAACACTGTCTTTGCCTCAGTGCCCTCTTGACTCCTAACAAGAGTGGATATCCCTCGCCCAACCCACGCCCAGCTTGCTTCTCGAGCGGTGGCATCATCGATCACACGGCGCACAGACGCAGCTGAATCTTGAGCTGGATACTTGTTCCCGACCATACTTCTGACGACCATGAACTTTGTGGATCCATTCGACATCGCTACTGCGAGCAGCAGTACACCCCCTCCGCGGCCTGACAATGAGCAGAGCCTGAACGAGGAGGTCAACCAGGTCATAGGCCAGCTTGGGCGCTTCTGGGGAGGCTTCCGGCAGCAGGTGCGTTGCGACGACCGAACCATCGACGCTCATGCTGATGGACTCGTGCTGCAGAGTCAAGCAGCCCTGCAGGTCGCAAAGAAAGACCTTGGAGACGTCGTGCAGCAGGCGCAGAAGGAGCTCACCAAGCTGACGACAGAGGTCACCTCCCCCGCCGCCCCGGAGACCCCGGCTGGCGACCCCTCGGAAGGCGAAGCCTCCGCTCACGACTCCGCCGACCGCACCCCTGTTGGATCCCCTACCACTGAACAAGCCTCCGCCGCTGGCCCCTCCACATCCACCCCCGCCGCGACCGCCACCGCCCAGGTCTCCAACATCTTCAACCGCCTCCAGGCAGCCCTCCCGCCTGCTGTTGTCTCCGCCGTGCAGCACAACCTCGAGACCGTCCAGCACACCGTGCAGCATAACATCGAGAACCTGCAGCACACCGACCTCAACGCGCTGCGCCAGAGCCTCTCCGCCGAGTTTGCGCGCGTGCAGGGCGTGACGCGCGCGCAGGCGGAGGAGTACATGCATCGCAGCGAGGAGCTCCTGCGCGAGGCGGGTGACGTGCTCAAGGATGCGGTGAAGGTGCTTCCCCCGGAGGACGACGGCGTGGGGATGCAGGCAGGCGTGGTTTGGGATGGGTCGGATATCTGGATGCTGCCGGAACCCACGACGGGGGCTGGCAAGGGGAAGGGTAGAGCGAGCGCAGAAACGCAGCGCTCGGTCTCGACCCGGGCAGAGGCGCTATTGAGGCGTCTACGCAGCGATCCGGAGATCATCTTGCACGATCCTGAGGCAGATGAGAAGGTGAAGGGCATTTACGACGAGTGGTTGAAGAACGCCGAGTTCTCGCTTGGGGGTGAGAAAAAGACAACCTGGGACGAGAAGGTTGAGAGCGCACTGGCTGACGGGGCGGATGGTGCTGCCTTGAAGACGACTCACGATGCGACTGGTGAGATCCCTTTGTATCAGCTCGCTAGCAGTCGCATCATAGATCTCACTCCAGTGCCCGACAAACTGTCGGAAGAGGTCTTCTGGAAGCGGTACTTCTTCCGCGTTCATCAGATTGAGACCGAAGAGGCGAAGCGCAAGACTCTGCTGCAAGGTATATACACTAGTCTTCCAGGCGCAGGTCCCGTCTCATCACATCTCGCAGCGCAAGTCAACGACAACGAGGAAGACTTCAGCTGGGGCGAAGAGGACGAAGAGGAGGAAGATATCACGTCCACTCACACCATTGAGAAGCCACTCGTCAGCGAACCAGCCGTTCAGAAGCTTGCGGAGCCCAAGCCTGAGCCTGCTAGCGCCATTCCGGCCCACCTCAGCTCTCGCGAGAGCAGCGGAGAGGAAAGCTATGATGTCGTCTCATCGAACGTCAGCGCTGTGGGCGAGGAACCTAAGAAAGAGAAGGAGAAGGACGAGTCGGAGGAGGACAGTGATTGGGAGTAAATTGTCCGGAAGTTTATACTTATACAATGTACACATCAGAAGCGCAGGAACCTCTGTACTTATACCACTGATTCTATGCTCAAAGTCATCGTGTCTCAGACTCTACTCGCCCCACGAGATTCACGCCTTCCCGCATACAATCTCGCTGAAGCAGCTCCCGGGCGTTTGGTGAACGCTGAAGATTTTCCACCCCACCTCCCTCGTCAACTGGTCGAACTCGCCGAGCGTCCGCTGCTGCCCCGTCGTCTTGACCGCCATCGTGAAGTCCTGCAGGTACTGAGGTAGTGACCAAAGTTCATGTTGAAGTTGCGTCACGGGCGCGTGCGGAGGCACGTGGTCGATCGAGCGCTTCATGAGTCGAATTTTCGCGTCCTGTTCCCTCCTGCTTTCGTCCTCCACCTTGCCGCCTGCCGCGTGCCCAGCAAACCCAATTGTCCGAGCCCACCCTCGGTACATGATCTTTACGCAAAACACCCGCGACGAGTCAGTGTTTCTGTTTTCCTTCCGCTCTCACCTTTGCTGAAGGTCCCCAGTTACCTCAGCGACCTCGTTTTCTCTCTCCTCAGTCTCTGATACCGTGTCGCGCTACAACATGTTCACTCGACCTATCATCCGCATTCCTCAGCTCTACAAGGGCTTCCGGGGTATGGCGACGCACGCGTCGACCGTCCCTGGTGTTCTTCACCTCAAATCCGGGCAGTCGTTCACTGGGCGGTCTTTCGGCGCCCCGAAAAGCATCTTCGCTGAGACCGTGTTCTCAACGTCTATTACCTCTTGTACGTACCCATGCGTCCTAGTATACGCCCCAGCTGACCGTCATTCAGACACCGAATCCATGACCGATCCTTCATACCGTGGCCAAATCCTAGTCTTCACTACTCCCCTCATCGGTAACTACGGCGTACCCGCAAACGAGGCCCCTTGCGACTCCCGCGACGTTGGGGTCGTTCTGGAGTCGAAGGGCATCCAGTGCGCAGGCGTCATCGTCGCTGACGTCGCCGACCGCTACTCCCACCACTCCGCCGTCGAGTCAATTGCATCCTGGTGCCAGCGTCATGGGGTCCCTGGCATCAGCGGGATTGACACGCGCGCTGTCACCACCCTCCTTCGTGACCAGGGTACCACCCTGGGTCGCATGGCCATTGGCGCCGACGCGTCCCTTGCGCCTCCTGCGGCCGAAGAGTACTGGGACCCCACGGGTGAGAATCTCGTCGACCAGGTGTCCACCAAGGAGCCCTACGTTCTCAACCCTGCTGGCGACGTCAGCATCGCCGTCCTCGACTTCGGCGCGAAGGCCAACATTCTGCGCTCGCTCGTCCGCCGCGGCGCGAAGGTTACCGTGCTCCCGTGGAATTACGACTTTAACGCTGTGCGCGACAAGTACGACGGCCTCTTCCTCTCCAACGGCCCCGGTGACCCCGCGCATTGCATGGACGCCGCGCTTAACCTGCGCAAGACGATGGCCGAGTGGGACAAGCCCGTCTTTGGTATCTGCATGGGGCACCAGATCATCGGTATGGCTGCCGGCCTCGACGCGTACCGCATGACCTTTGGCAACCGTGGGCACAATCAGCCGGTGCTTGCGCTCGCGTCGTCGGGTTCCATCCAGGCCGGTCGCGTCTATGTGACGAGTCAGAACCACCAGTACGCTCTCAAGCTGCAGGATCCGTTCCCAGGCGGCTGGGAGCCGTTCTTCATCAACTGCAACGACTCCTCGGTGGAGGGAATTAAGTCGACCGCTGACTCGGGTCGCAAGGTGTGGGGCGTGCAGTTCCACCCTGAGAGCGCCGGCGGACCGCTGGACACCATCGAGGTACGTCTTCGCCACTGCAGCCATGGTGGCCGTGTATACTCACCGTCTATCAGATGTTTACCGACTTCGTCTCCGAATGCCGCGCGCACAAGTTATCTATCCCTGCTGCCAAGGGCCGCGCACCCATGGCCGACCGCACCAATGTCGACCTCCCTCGGGACCTGCCCAAGGAGGCGACGCCTCAAGCGGCACACGCATAATGTTTTGTCTTTCTGTTTATCTTGTGGATGGGATGTATCGTAACTGAAATGTAATATAAATCTAGGCGTATGACATAGAGTACACTCGTAGGGCTGCAAACATAGATCCTTCATATTCGTGAACAAAGAGGTGACTACTTATCAGAGGAGCGCCCTCCGCGGAAACAAAGTTGAACATGGTAGCACGTGCTTCGAATCAAGCGTCTAATCAGGCAAGCTTTATCTCGACCACCTTCGCACCTACCATTTCCATGTCCCTAGCACTGGTCGACTTGAACAGAGTTCTGTGCTCGTCCAGAAGGCTCTCTTTAGCAAATGAAGCCGTCGGTATCGACGCCAGCATGATCCTGAGTATGATGCTCTGACCACGGCTTACGGTCAACATGACGTCAAGTGTCCTCCATCCGCTAGACCTGCTTATAAGCACCTGAGGTACGGTATAGGTCAACGCCCAAATATTCTGTGTATCCCCCTCTACCTCGAGATCATGTTTGCGATTCACCCGAACCAAGATCATCGCCCCATGGTCCGCCTGGCGTGCCAGGTGCAGCCGTACTCGTACGGAAAGAAAGGGTCGAAGAGTCTCGCCGCGAGATACGCGCTCGCGACGCCAGAGAACAACTTCAAGCTTGACGAGGACCAAGAATATGGAGAGGTGTCAACGCTCTACTTGGGTACTCTGACAACCTCGCTGAACACACTTCCCTCAGATTTGGATGGGCGACCACCCCAACGGTCCCTCAAAATCCGCGGCGACAGGCGTTGAGCTCGCGACCCTGATCCAACAACACCCCGACGAATTTCTTGGCTCCAAGGTCGCGCAAAAGTACCCGAACCCCACAAACGGCAAGCCACAGCTCCCCTTCCTCTTCAAGGTCCTTTCCTTCGACAAAGCGCTCCCTTTGCAAGCGCACCCGGATAAGAAGCTCGCGGCGCAGCTGTTCAAGGACGAGGAGAAGAAGCAGGGCGGCGAGCACGAGAAGTTCGTCGACACGAACCACAAGCCGGAGGTGGCGGTCGCGCTGTCGGAGACGTTTGAGGCGTTCGTGGGGTTCAGGCCTGCGGAGGAGATTGTGCAGTTCTTGCGCGATGTGCCAGAACTGCGCGAGTTGGTAGGGTCGGACGTGTCGTCGTCGCCCGAGCTAGATCGTGAGCTGAAGGAGATCTTTGGCCGCACCTTTGACGCCGATCCTGCTACCGTGCAGCAGCTGACGAAGTCGCTGGTGGAGCGCGTGGAGAAGGAGGGCGACGCGGCGCTGGGCGAGATTGGAAAGAAGGAGGGCCTCGCGCGCGTCGTGAAGAAAGTGCTCGCACAGTATCCAAACCCGTCAACGGTCGACCAGAAGAGCATGTTCGCCGCCATCTTCTTCATGAACTTCGTCGTCGCCAAACGCGGAGATGGTATTGCCGTGCCTGCGGACTGCATACACGCGTACTTGGAAGGCGACTGCATTGAGGTATCTCAATTCGGGTGCGATTAGTCTTCCGCGCTCACGCTCGCCACAGTGCATGGCGACCTCCGACAACATGATCTCGTGCGGCTGGCAAGGCGCGATGGGCCCGCCAGACGACGCCAGCCTCTTCGTCAAGATGCTCCTGCACAACCCAGGTCCCTCGCGCTACCTCGCGCTGCCCACGACTACCGTCTCCGCGCCGAAAGCTCAGTCAGGGAAGTTCACGACGGAGTACGGCATCAGCAAGTTCATGGAGGAATTCTCGATCTTGCGCGTAGACCTTCCTGGGGACGCGAAGGAGACTCTCCGACTCACTGGTCCGGCGATATACATTGTGACGCGCGCTGACCAGGGCGTCGAGTTCAGTGTAGGCGCGGACGAGCAGCGCGCGACGCTGAAGGAAGGAGAGGTTATTTTCGTGAAGCCGGACAACGACCTGACAATCTCGGGCGTGCGCCGAGTCGGCGGTGGCAATGTCGAAGTATTCGGTGCATATTGTGAGGTGTAATGGAATTCATGCGCTTTTCCCACGTGTATAATTCAGATCGAGCGAAAAAAAACGAAGTGTATATGTAGACGACGAAGCGATACCTGGGTTTGCTGGACGTGTGTGAAGCCCACGTTCGACCATCACAAATACTGGACGAATCGACCAAGTCATCAAGCCGTGACGTGAATATGGCTGGTGCTCGCAGTGAGTGCCGGTCGACCATCTGCATCCTGTTTACGTCGTAGATGGGATTGCGCTCGCTCGCTCCATCCCATTTCCCCCTGAAGACGTTCGAGCACCGTGCGTGCTCGGAGGTCCTCCGCGGCTGCCAGTAGCAAGTGGCTCTTGGGAGATGCCGTCTGCTTCATCCTCGTCCCTTGACCCGGGACCGTGCGTCGCCGCTGGGTGGTCTGCGAAATCCATGGCCTGAGAGACTTGCGCACTGAGCAGGCTATGAGTCGTTTGACCCTGCAAGGAGACGAAGAGTACGCAGGTAGGATAGATTCCCTGGACGCGCGCCGTCATTTGGAGGGGATCGTACGGAGACAAACGACATACGGCAATGTTATGAATGGCATTCCCCAGGGGGACGCTGATGGAGAAGCTATTCGTTCTTGCAGTGGCGAAAGTAATGCAGTCGCAGACCTGCCGCGGGTCAAAATATGCTTAACGCAGTTGGAGAAATTGAAGACGCACCCAAAAGAGGCAGTAGACAAGACCTGACTCCAAGAGCATCATGAGGACTTTTTCTGCTTGCGATCGCTGCTTGAAAACCCCAAGAGAGCCTTTTATCTCTCGTCGGTAATACCTAGTCCGGAGCATCCAGTAAATCTGAGGAAAAGCGGCGAATGCTTCACTTACCAGACCTTGATGCCAATCAAGGAAGTCGCCACGATGTTGGTGAACAGGAGAGGAATAAGCATGGCGAGGTACTGGGCCACGCTTTCGAAACTGTGTGCGGAAGGCGAGTTCGGCCAGAAGGCCCAAACGCACTCAGTGATACTCCCACCTACGTGTGGAACGCTCAGCGAGAGAGGATAGCAATTAGTGATAACACACCTATGCTTCCACACATGCATGTCAATAGTAGGGCCTTGGCAAGGCGGTGATCCTGCCAGAGGCACCAAGCCCTCCAGACGAGGACCGCATCACACATCACGTACTGAAGAGGGATCAGAGTTCTTTATATCGCATATTACACGAGGGTACGCACGTTCGAGCGACGGGCAACCGCTATTAGTACTTCCAAACCATCCAAGAGCCCGTTGACGTCGTGCTCCGAAGCACCAAGTGCGGACGGGAGTTCGACCAAGTAGAATGCCGCGTTGGAGAAGACAGCGATGGTAGAAGAGAAGAAGAGTCCTAGAATCGCCACTAGCGTGAAGCGTCGTTGGCCCTGCCGATGCCTGAACACCGGTCAATATTGTGATGCACGCGAATATATCTGGCCTACGCAATGATAGACGCGGCCGCAATGAATAGTGCCAATTGTGCTCCTGCCAGATCGTCCTAGAATAAGATACGAAAGAGAAGGAGATGGCCACGTACCGTATAGCACAAAGTCGACGCCGATATCCGTCATGATGACTTGCCATACATATATGTCGTATGCTGCCAAGGGCCCATACTCTGAGTCCGCAATAGCCCTCATATGGTCTTTTGGAAGGAAGACCGGGAGGAAGGGTGGAAGGTCTACAAGCGTGATCTCGCGAGCCCACAGGACTATATATGTCCATGAGCGCCAGATTGTAAGCTCGGAGCAGCTGGACTGCCGTTGTATACCTAGTTCTGATGACGCTCCGGCCTTGCAAGAGCGTGTCCGTATCTTCTCGCGGACAGGTCAATCAAGATGCTGTCCACCGCATATGTGATATCAGCGTGAAACTGGGGCGTGGCGTACATAGTGAATGCTCTAAGATAGAGGCTTCATATCTCGAGTTGGCGATCGCAGTGCGAGTGCTCCATTGTGCCCCCGAAAGCAGTGCCCCGCTACAGGTGATTGTTATAGCGAGGTACAGGTCAATTGCGCGAGCCCCACTGATGATGAGGGAAGGGAAGGAAAAGGAAAACCACGTGTGCGGCTCGCGCGTTATGTGACGACGCGTGACAGAACTTTGCACTGGTACTCGTATCTGACTTTGAGCCTGTGAGCGGTGGTAGCGACTTGACGATCGCAGGCGTACGCGGCGGTGATCATGTAGAGGTCTTCGGTGCATACTGCGAAGTATAAGATTTACTAAACAGCATACAAAGTACTTCTATAGATAATGCACTAAACCCTGTGAAGAAGAAAGGGGGAAGGAAGAAGATCTAGAGGGCCACGCGAGCCGATAATCGGAAAGTGCCGATGGAACCAAACCTGAGTAAACTCCAAGTTGTATCCTGACTTTGACCACCGTCAGCGGCTGCGAAAATGGGAGCAGAGCCGTTGGCTTCGAAGCCGAGTGAATGTGCATACGACATACTGCCTTCACAGGAGCTTCTTACGCCAGTGGACGAGTGCACGCACCATCGAAGTCGCCGAGTGACAGCGGCTTCCCATGTTCCCTCAAAATAGTATGGCGAGAGCTTTCTGCTGTATAACGAAAGTACTCAGGTGCTCATGCAGGCAGGCTCATGTGCCCTTCTCTCGCCCGGAAGTGGAAATTCCAGAATCTCTTCGCAGAATAAGAGCGGCGTGCGAGACGCGCCCTTGCCGTCCTTGCCTCCTTGTCCCCGCATCGAAAACGACATTTCAATATCCTTCGTGATATACCTATCTTCGCTTCTGCTACTGCAATGTCGAACATGCAAGCCTCCACCCTCTTCGACTTGACGGACCGCGTCGCACTCGTCACTGGCGGCGGCACAGGCATTGGGCTCATGATAGCGCAAGGCCTAGCTGCGAACGGCGCCAAAGTCTACATCACCGGTCGCCGGGGGCATGTCTTGACCAAGAGTGCCCAAGCCTTCGAAGGAAAGGGCCAGCTCGTCCCGTGCGTACTTCCCATCTGATATTCGTACAATACGGCGCTGCTGCGCCTTCCCTTCCATTGACATTTCCCAAAACCTATATACTCACTTCCTAAAGGTTGGTCATGGACGTAAACGACAAGGCCAGCATCCTCGCCGCCAAAGAGACGGTCTCCTCTAACGATGGTTACCTCGACATTCTTGTCAACAACGCTGGTCAGGATGACCCGGGCTCAGTCTGGATGAGCGACGAATCGAACGTCAAGAACAAGGAACCGGAAGCTTTCGGTTCGGGGCTCTTCGACGAAAAGCAGGAGGATTGGTCAAACATATTCAGCATCAACGGGTACTCCTGCTTCTTCGTGACGAGCGCGTTCTTAGGGCTGCTGGCGAAGGGCGCTGAAAGACACGGCGCGTACTCAGCGAACGTGATCAACGTGACCAGCGTTTGTGCCTCAATTAAGGTGGCCATGAACCATGTACGTCTCTCCCTCTCCGCCTCAGTGAATTCGCTCGCTAATCCCTGTACGCGTCTCAGTTTGGATATAACTCCGCTAAAGCTGCCGCCACCCATATCACCCACATGTTCGCCACAGAACTGGCGCGTCGCAAGATTCCTGTACGCGTGAATACACTCGCGCCTGGGCTCTTCGAGTCGGAGATGACTGCGGAGAAGCTGGCGGAGAACGGGATAGAAGGTGTTACACTCGGAGTGCAGCCGTTGCCTCACGCGCGGGTCGGAGGGTGAGCGTTCTCTGCCACTTGGCTACCAGTTTGTGCTGAAGCTGGAATCGCAGAGCGAATGAGATGGCTGGTACCGCGCTTTGGATGGCTTCCCCGGCCGGAGGATATCTCAATGGGCAGGAGATCATGATAGACGGTGGGTATACGACAGTGAACCCATCGAGGTCTTGACTGTATGGGCTGCGCGAGAATGCTGTATTTTGCCACGCGCCTTGGCACCTTGAAGAAATATTTGTATGTAGACTACCTTCAACGATCAACAGCTAGATAATATCAGAATCATTAATTGCTGAGACCGAACATTACAGCCATTTCGGCCGTAAATGTGTATCGACTCCGATGTTTACCTACTACAGTTCGCGCGATGGTCAATCATTTAGGCCCTTTCCATCTCGAGGATGCTCTCGCTACGCTGAGCACAATGCCATTGGGAAGTGTTCCTTGGCGGCTGTGCGTCTTCTTCATCCCCTCGTCCATAATCGAAAGGTCTTCGGTCTCGGGATGGGTTATTGAGCATCTCTCGCCTGCGCATCGGTTGTGTGCTATATGCGACGTGGTAAAGCACAGAAACTGTGAGACATGGGCGTCGAGCAGAGATTGTGTAGTGGTGCCCTTCAAGGCAACGAACAACACGCAAATCGGACGAAGGCTGTACCTGTTGTACCGATCATGTCTCTCACCTCGCAAGCATTTCTGCACTAGTGGCGAAAGCGCGCTGGGAAGACGGCATTCCGACTTCCATAAGAAAAGACCGCCCATGTTATGCGACCACAGGTCCGCCGTCTGAGAAGCGATCTCAATGATGAGCAGGGGATGATCAGGGTCGAAGAGTTGATGGATGAACTGGGAGGACCGGCTTGTTGGAAAGGCCGGCAGAGGTACTCGAGGAGGGAAAAGAGAGAGCCGACCGTAGATGAGGGTGTTTAATCATCGAGAGGAGTGAGGACTATAGGCTCGGCAGGTTCGATGGAAGCGAGCTGCACCTGTGAGCTGCGTGTATCCCGTCGTCTTTGCACTGATGATTTGCCAACACTGCGGTGATCTGCAAACACAGGCGAGGATTCTCGTGTTGTCTTCCACTGCGATTGAGATTCGAGCAAGGGAATGAGTGGCGGGAGGCGAAGGCAGGACTGGCGACTCGCGAGTCTGTCCGGGGGCCCGGACGTCCGGTCCGTACTCCAGGTGTCGATCATATTTGTTCATGATTGTTTTCTGTTCTAAGCGCCCAACATTCCCCCTCTCCCTCCGCCCCATGAGAGGCGTCAATGAGCGCCGTATATGACGGTCGAGAAGCCGAGAATGACTTCCGCACATATGTAGCGCAATACCGGCAACATCTCGAGGACATACGGGCGCGCCTTGCCGGCGGGAGAAGCGTAGGGGACCACGAAGAGGTCGACGCGACAGACCATGTTGATGAGCCAGATGTCCCGGCGGGATCTGGCGAGCAAGATGGCGCGGCTGCTCCTGCGGCAGATGAAGCCCCTGACTTGTACTTTCCGTTGGACGTGGCAGAGGAGCATGCAGAAGACGAGGATACATGGACCGCATCGGAGCAAGATGCCTTCTTCCACGGACTCGCAGTGTATTCTCGCCTCAGACCCGACCTCATCGCATCATGCATCCCGACGAAAACCGTGCCCGATGTCTGCGCGTACCTCGGAGCATTGGAAGAAGCCGCCTCGTATCATCCCCTCCCGGACGCGCTTGATCGGCGGCGCACTGCTCCCCTCGCGATGGGGATGTCGGAGTCCTGGCTCGAATGGGAAGAGACACAAGCCACTCGCCTCGTTGCTGCAGAACCTGACTGGGAGGCATACGCTTCTGACGCGCAACGTCAGGACACGCTCGCCACATACCCCTCAGACACCTCTGACCCGGCGCGGGAAGCCCTCCAGGCGCACTGGAAATCCGAAGACGCCCTCCACACCCTCGACGCGCACAAGCTACGCGCTATATCCCATATCCTACGCGCCGACGAAGCCGCCGAGGACGATCCCTCACGCCCCTTCACCCCCCATCCCGCCGAGGACGACGCGGAGTCCTTCGCGCCTGAGCGCTCCCAGTCTCGCACCCGCTCGCACTCCAGCACCCCCTCCACGCGCGAGCTCTCCCCCAAATCCCGCCGCCGCCTCCAGAAGCGGCTCTACATGCGACGGAAGCGCGCAGAGAAGGCGGGGATGGAGGCGGTTCAGGACGCGGGCCTGCTCAAGGTCGGGCGGCCCAAGAAGGCAAGGCCGCCGAGGAAGCGCAGGCGACGTGGGCGGGCGGGAGAGGATCAGGGGCGAGCGGGAGGGGAGCAGGATCAGGATCAGGATGGGTGGGAAGATGATGATGGTGATGGTGGTGAAGGGGATAGGGATGGGGATGAAGAGAGCGGGGAGGATGGGGTGAAAGATGGCGAGTACGCACACCCGCACAGGGGCGGGACGACAGCGCCGTACAAGGCCCGGCGCCTGTTCGAGGAGTCCGGGATCACGCCTACAGTGTTGGCGGAACAGAGGCTTGATCTGTTCGATGGGATTGGAGTCGCGCGCTGGCTGGAGTGAGTGGATTATCTATCTATCTGCTTGCTGATTGAGCTCCTCGCTCATTGTCTGATATCTCTGCTCGTTGAGTGGTCCAATCTTCCCGTCTACTGATGTATCTGTTCGTCAGTCGAGTCCCCTGCTTACATCCCGTCTGACAGAACCATACGCGACGATCCTGATATTGAAGACCACTCGACGCCGCCGAACGCGGTCTCTGGTTCGCTCCTCGCCACCTTGCGGGATATCTTGGTCGACTTCGTAACGGACGTGGCGCACCGGGCGATCGTGGCGCGCGAGCAGGAGGTCCACTTCAAGGCCGTCAGCAAGGCGTGGCGGGTCAAGAGTCCGGGTTTGGTGCGTTGTTCATCTTGACCGTTCCTCCGATCTGCTTTTACTCAATCCTCTTAGGTCCTAGCCAAGAACGTCGAACATGCACTCGAGATGATGGACATGGCTGTACCGGACAGACCCAAGAAGCGCAAGCGTCCTCCAGACGAGGAAGATGAGGATGAAGATGCGGAAGACGCGGAGGAAGAGTCAGGAGATGAGGATGGGCATGATGTTCCTGGGGGAGAAGACGGCCCTTCGTCTCGACGTGCAAGCACGTCCTCGTCTCAGCATGCAAGCGGATCCTCGTCCCAACACACTAGCGAACCCGGACCCGACTCCCCGCATGACCCCGTCGACGACCTGTACCCCATGTTCTTTCGTCTGCCTCGGGCATACCAAGACGATCCTGCTGATCTCATGCCTGAAGACACAGACGAGGAAGCGCTCGAGCGCGTTTTAGACGAAGAAGAGGAGCTCGATGCCCAGGATGTTGCTGCGGAAGGGGAGTATGAGGACGAACATTGGGCGAACCTGACGGAGCAGTTTTCTTGATTTCTTCGCGGCATTGTGCACGCTGGCTTCTTGATTTCCACGTCAACTCTTGCAATCCGTATTCTTGACAGTCGCTTCCCCTTCTGCTATTCACATCTTGCTGCACCTTGTTGTTGCATCGCTGCCTCTTGCATTTTTTGGACTATTCATTGCAACCACCTTGTAGCATAAAACTTCATCGTTTCGCATCATCACCTTGGTACAAATACAACATACGCATCGTCAGCACTCATTATGAGGGCGTGCATGGGCATGATCGTGGACGTTGGGTCCAGCCCCGCGAGACCGTAGCAGGCAGCCGGGACGAGCTTACAACTTCCCCATGGCCGAGCTCATGGCTTCGCCACAGAGTATCACAGCTTCGCCGCCTGCGCATTCGTCGCCGCGCCACTCTCCTCGCGGACGCGCACGATCGCCTTGCCCCACGTCTCGCGACGCTCGAGCGCGGTCATGCCGTCGGCGATGCGCTCAAGAGGATAGACGGTCGAGAAGATCACGGGCTTGACTTTCCCGCTGGAGAGCATGCTGGTACAGATAATCAGTACATCCGTCAGCTCTGAAAGCAGAGCACCACGCACCTAAGCAACGTCTTCCACACCTCCGGTACGCGCGCAGGTTCGTGGACTGGCTCGAAGGTAAGCACTCCGTGTGGGCGTGCTAGAGTAAATTGCACTCCGAACAACACGCACTATTGTAAGCCCCCCAATGCAGTCCGACGACAGAGACGTTCTTCAGCAGAACCAGGTTCATGGGCACCTTCTCGATCTTGCCTGCAGCGAAGCCGATGACGAGCGCGCGACCCTTCCAGGCGATACACTTGAGTGAATCTGCGCTATGTTAGCTTTGCCGAGGAACGCTATGGGGTTTTCCGGCCGACGCTACAAGCGTTTCCGGCCCACTGCCGCTACGAGCATTCCCGGCCAACACGACGAGCTCGCCAGGCCGACGCGATAGCTTTCCGTTAGGAATGCTATGGCATACCCAAGCGCTCCAGGCCGACACTATGTCGTCGAGAAAGTAGACGCACCAGTGATCAGTCCGACGGGGTCGTAGATGATGTCCGCTGCGTCCTTTTTCAGTATCGGGTAGTGGCAAGGAATAAGAGAGAGGAAACCTACCTCCATGATTCTCAGTGATGTTGATGACCTCTTTCTGCCAGCCAGGCTGGGTGTAGTCGACAGCGTAGTCCGCGCCGCCCTCGGTCTTTGCGATCTCGAGTTTGGCAGCCGACCCAGCGGCGGCGATGACACGGGCACCCAGCGCTTGAGGGAGGTATCGTCAGTGAAGGGTTCACTGGAGGCCACCACCTGGATGAACTCACCCTTCGCAAGCTGAACAGCAGCGATACCCACCCCGCCCGCAGCAGCCATGACGAGGACCCAGTCGCCCGCCTTGAGCTCCCCGCGGCCGACGAGGGCCTCGTACGCAGTAGGCCAGGTCACAAAGAGACCCGCGCCTTGATCGTAGGTTAGGCTGTCGGGAAGGGGAAGTAGCTGGGAGACGCTGATAGCCGCTTGGTCGCCGAAGGTGCCTTGTCCTGCACCGAAGACGCGGTCGCCGGGCTTGAAGGGGCAGCCGTCAGGGATGGGAGAGTCAGCGGCTATGCGGCCTGCGAATTCGGCACCTGTGCGGAAGGAGCGGATGGAAATTATGGTTGATTAGCTGAGGTTTAGTCTACTGGTGAGGGACGCACCTCCGACGAACGGTAGTGGCGGCTTGTGCTGGTATTTTCCTTGCGCTTGCAGAATCTGGAAGTCCATGATCAGTTCCTGGACGTTGTACACACTACGCTCTGCGATACTCACGTCGAAGAAGTTCAAGCCTGCGCTGTAGACATCGACTAGCACCTGACCCTCGCCCACGACCGGCGCGGGCGCGTCAGAGACGACAGGAATCTCGGAATGGTGCTTGAGCTCGGAGACAACGAAGGCACGCATCGTGGTGGACGCTGGAGAGACGTAAAATCACGGAGACACGAACTGGCCATGGTGGACGAGGGGGATGAACGCAGGTCGGATGACGGCACGGAGCGCACGCACCGGGTCGGCTACCGGCTTTCCCGGCCACAACCACGGCCCGCCCTCCCGCTTCTTGTCTTCCATCACCATGTTCCTCCAGGCATGCTCTTGCTAAACTCCTGTCTTGCCGAAGAAATTCCATCGTACCAGTCTGCTCTTCACCGTACATGACGGCCCCGCGGCCTTCGACCTGCATCCACCTCCAACAAGTAATATCCTGCTTTATTTTGATCATGTTCAGCAGCCGCGCACCTGCTGTCCGCTGTACATGTTGCATGCTCGTTATAGTGACTGTGATCCTCCGCATTAGGCTTCGATTTTTGCGAGCATGAGCTGGACGTATCGGTACCGCGGGCGGAACAAGCAATCTTTGGAGCTAATGCTCAGCGCGCTCGATTCGTCGATGGGTGTGGTACTGCTGGCTAGAATAGGTAGACCATGATCGTTGACCATCTGCTATCCCGCACAGGACTCAATGACCAGGGCCAAGACCATAATCACCCTTCGCCCAGCACACGCACCGGTGTTTGGTTAGCCTTATGTTCGAATTGCTGATGCATTGTGCAGAATAGACTACACCGTTGACTTCAAGTAGACATCAATGACAATAAGTTTGCAGTCGCTCGACCAAGTCTGACCATCAGCAAGCACTCGCGCCGCCGCATGCCCTCGGGAACCCGTCTGGTGACCGTACGCTCCATGCGCGACGGACGAGGAATCGTTCAGGATCCACTCTCCGCCATGTCGTGATATATCGATGCACCTTGGACGTCTGCTTACTAGCAAGGAGCCTGTATGGCAGTGCAAACGACGCATCTGTCTTCGAAGTCTTCGACTATCGAAGTCACAACGCATCTGCATTCATCGATATCCATCGCTCGTTCTTATCAGACCCCAGCCACAGAGACCAACTGGAGACTTTGTCACCTCTAGGATGTCGGCCCTCAGCATGTCCGCAGCCTCGTTGCGCTTTCACTTTCCCGGTTCATGTCACTCCGAGGATCTATAATGTTCTCCCAGGGCCTGCTTTGCGCCGCATTCCGCCTAGCGCAACTCAACAATAGCAGGCACAAAATCCAATCAGATATCTTTGCGCATAGTGTCAGTCAGTCGGCCCAAAATTGCCTTACAAGCTCAATAGGTCCTCGGCTGCGCCATCTCCATGCCACGCGCCGCGCCTTTTTCGGACATCACTTCCGTGCGATTCGGACGGGGCACTACGCATGTTGGACTTGTCAGTTGGCGCCCAGTTGACGGGTAGCCATACCCATCGCGGGTTGCCGTGGAGGTCCGTCGTCTTCCCTCCGTATCCTTACATTCCCCCGGGTCAGGCCTGCCCGAAGCTAATTGCCCATCGAGACGCCCTTCACGGTCAACCGCAATGAATCGCGTCCCATGCACACTCGCAACATCCAAAATACCCAACATATCAGCCTCGTGCTCCCTCTAGCCTTGGCAAGCCCGCGGCGACGCTCGAACAAGCTCTCATGTCCGCGGACAAAAGCCCCCTCTCCCGCGCCCCCGCCTATCTCGCGCCACCGCGCAATTCAGCGGTGGTAGGACAGGATAACGGAACGGCTGTGACGGGCGCGTCTTCCACGATAGCACGCGCCCTCCCTGGCCGGGGTGTATATATACATCTGAGCCTGCGCGGAGATTTGCCTGCTCCTACCGTTCTGCCTGCTCCTTGCATTCCGGACTCGCAATATCGGCGCTCCGCCTGTCCCCGCTACTCATATAACATGCACTCGCAAGTCATGACCACCCTACCCTCACCCACATCTACACCATCCTGCTCAACGCCTACCATGGGATGGAAACCAAAGCGTACTCTGGCTGAAAGTAAGTTGCTCGATGAGAGGAACATATATGAACATATTCATATCCTTGTCACAGCGGAGGCCATCCTCACGGCCCCGGGAAGCATGCACGAGACTGGCGAATGCGAGATAAGAGGTCGACGCCAGAAGGTGTACAGACATTTGTGGCCATCGATGGTAAGAAGCTGCCTACCTGCACGTCACACCCTTTCAAGTCTGACCCAATTGTCATTCAGCGCGCCTTCTGGCTAGACTCGGTGCGCCGGTACGGCAAGCGGACCTACATCGTCTTCGAAGATCAGCGCGTCACATATGAAGAGACGCACATCCAAGCCGTCCGCCTGGCGACTGCGCTCAAGCGCGCGTATGACGTATCGAAAGGTGAGGGAGGTTCTTTCTGTGTGCTGCCTGACACTGACGATCTTCTAGGAGATCGCGTCGCCATAGTATCACGAAATTGTATTGAGTACATGTACGCCTTCTGGGCTTGTCGTACGTAGAACGGATGCAGTTGCTTCTCCAGCTAACCCATCTTGCAGACATGCTCGGCGCCGTAGCCGTCCTGGTCAACGCGTATGTCGATTCATCGTGATTGGTTCCGCTATGCACTGACCCTTCTTGCAGCTGGCTTCCCGTCGAACCTCTCTCTTACTGCATAACGCACACCCAGTGCCGCGTTCTCATTTGCGACCCCGAACGCTCTGCCGTCATCCAACCAATCGTGGACGACCTCGCAGCAAGCGGCGTAACCGGCGTCCTCGTCTTCGGCGACACCGTCGATGTCAACGCGCAATGGGCGGGCATGCAGAGCTATAGTTCGGTGGTGCAGCGTTTCTCGACGGAAACCGACAAATCGATACTAGAAGACGGCAATGACTACCTCGACGTCGACGTGCAGCCGGAGGATAACTGCGCGGTCATGTTCACGTCCGGTCAGTTTTAATGGGAAGAGACGAGCTTACTTGAATCTTGGGCTGACCCTCGCACCAGGTACGACCGGGTTGCCCAAGGGCGTGCTAAGCACGCAAAGGCAATACCTTACGAATGTTTTGAATGTTCGTCGACTTCATCTCCACCACAGATCCTTTGCTCACACTCCGTAGGTTCTCGTTGGAAGCCGGCGCGCGGCGCTCCGAAGGGGCGAAGACATAACGTCCTCGCTCACTTGCAATTTGCCACAGAAGGGCGCCCTTGTCGCTGTGCCTTTGTTCCACGTTACTGGGACGACTTCGTATTCGGTGAGTAGACTGTCAGGTTAATGCATCTGTAACTGATAAGTTTTTAGATGATGGCAACGATGACCGGCATGAAGATCGTGCTCATGAGAAAATGGGATCCGGTTGAAGGTGAGGGCTCTCACCACTTTGCTAGACCATCGCTGACAATTACGCAGGTGCACGGTATGGTTTTTCTACCCTGCAGAGCAACGCACTGTCTAATGTGGTCATCATTCAGCCTCATTCGCCGAGAAAACGTCCAGGTTGCAGGCGGCGTGCCCGCCATGGTCTCCGACCTTCTGCACTCCCCCCTTGCCGGACATCCCATTGAGTGCTTGCTCTTCGGTGGCGCGCCGGCGCCGGAAAGCCTGGTGGAGCGCGTTCAGGAGAGTTTTCCCGGGAGTTCGATGTACGTACTCGAGGTGGTCGGACCATTGGCACAAAATGCTGAATTGCTACAGGTCGACAGCATATGGGCTGACAGAGACGAACTCAATCGCGGTTTCGGTACGGCCATTTTGCAGGTGTTGTGTTGCACTATCTTACGCGTCGCCCTCCTAGATTGCTGGCGAGGACTACGTTGCGCGACCGACTACAGTGTGAGTTGAGCTCAAGATTTCCTCACGCAAAGCTGATGATTCTGGTGCGCAGAGGCAGACCCGCTCCCGTCAACGAAATCCGGATTGTTGCGCCATGTAGTGCTGCGACAACCTCACTGCCACCCGGTGAGGCTGGAGAGGTCCTGATGTACGTCAACCATTTGTTCAGTACCACGGTCGTTTGCTCAAGTATTTTAGACGCGGCCCGAATATCATGCAAGAGTATTACGACGATCCTGAGGCTACAGCGCGTGTGCTATCACGCGATGGCTGGCTACGAACGGGCGATATCGGCTACCTCGATAACGAGGGCTTTTTGTATATCAAAGATCGAAGTGCGTATTGCACTCTTTCCTTCCATTCGGTATAGGCCTTGTGGGACTGAAGCTAATAGCACCTCCAGTCAAAGACATCATTATCCGAGGAGGGGAGAACGTCGACTCCGTTGCGGTCGAAAATGCGCTGTATAACGATCCACGCGTCCTACAAGCTGCTTGCGTCGGCGTGCCGGATGCGCGCCTAGGTGAACTGGTGACCGCGGTCGTATATGTCCGGGCTGGTCAGCATGTGACGGGCGCGGCATTGTTAGCAAGATGTCGGGCGAGGTGCATGTGAGGCTTCGAAGATGTTACAGCGTTGCTGATCAGCATCCCAGCTTGCCGCGATTTGCGGTGCCCGTCATGATTGTGGTCCAATATTCGCCGTTGGGTAAGTGCTGCATTGCACGCTCCAGGAAGCGCGCTAAGGCAATGACCGTAGAGATGACACCCTCTGGCAAGATTGTCAAGCACGGCCTGAGGAAATTGATGAAGGCAAAATGGGAGAGGGAGCGAGAGAGCATGGCTGCGAACACCTGCGCAAGGTTATGACCAAGACCGTATTGTTCTACTATATTATGTTGTATTTTATCCGGCGTTCTCACTTCTCCGGGTCCTCACCATGCTTCGTCGCGAGGTACTGTGATCGACGCACATTCGAGCGCTCGGACTCGCTTGGGATCGCTTGCGGCGTTACGCGCGCGGCGTCGGGAGGACTGCGGTGTCTGCGCATTCAGAGTGCCCTCCACAAGCTTCATTGTTCGCTATTCATCGCCTTTACCTTCCAGTCGTTCATCCACTGTCCTGGGTACGCCCTTGATCGCCCTTGTTTTCCTGATCTGGCATACCCTTTCTGTTGAAACGACGTCGGTCAATTGATTGCCAAGGCGACGCCCGGCCCTGATCAAGACACCTTTTGCTCCGCGCCTTCATCTCCGCGCTCGTTGCGGACGGCGATGAACCCTTTTCGATCCCCTACGCGCGCCGGCTACGACGCCGTCGAGCTCGGGCATCCAAGTCAACTTCATGACAGTCCCCAGTCGACGCCCAGGATGAGCTCCAACATGCCGCTCTACGAGTACAGCCTCGCGGGCCAAGGGCAGCCCCGACCGAACACCACCGGATCCCCGACACCAAACTCGGAAGACACACATGTTACGTACCCGCCGTACTCTCAGAACACCATGGCGTCCTCGTCGTCTCTGCCTATGTACGAGCCGAGAAGAGGTGACGCTGGCGTGGGATATCCGCCCGAGAGTAAGGGACCGCAAACCAGCATGCCGCGACCGACGCGCCTCTCCCGAAGTCCGTCTTGGGACATTCTCAATGGCATCAAGCGCTTTGAGAATCAATACGAGGAATTCGACACCCGCAAGGCCACGGAGGAGCATCTAGCCTTCGCGGACGGAGATCTACCGAAGAACAGAGTGCGTGTCCTGCATACGCAGCCGATCCGAAGGACTGACCACCTTCCCAGTTCTCTCGGTTGTATCACTATCTAATCAATGTTTCTGTCGTCACTCGGTGGATTCTGTTCATCGTGCCGGTCCTGGGCATCATATGGATTCCCGGCATCCTACACTTTACTGAATTTCCCGACGCTACTGCAAGTGGACTTCACCTTCCCAATTATCGACGACTGACCTATCCCAGGTGTGGAGTGTCAATCTCCTCTGGTGGTCTGTATGGCTGTCGGTGGTCTGGGGAGGCTGGTGGTCAGCTTTGGCCGGTGCTCTCCTACTTCCTGGGCTACTCAGATCAACTATCGGTGTCGTCGGTTCGTACTGCTTGCAGGATCATTGTACTCCACCTAACCCCCCCACAGCCGTATCTTCACGCCGATATATTGATTGGATGACCGCGTTACATCGTTACGTCGCCTTCTTCGCCTGGACCTTTCTCAACTGGTGTGCATACCTTACTCATGTTCTCCCTCAATCGTACTCATAGCGCTTCAAAGGGCATCTTTCAACCCGATCATCGACCAACGTCAACTCTCCGATGCCTCAGGCGCTTCGCGCAACATCATCGACCTCATTGCGAAGCTTCTGTTTGGACTCTTTTTGTGTGCGGGTCTGCTCGCATTCGAGAAGTTCAGCATCCAGTGGATTGCGGGCAAATTCCACGAGCGTAGCTATGCCGGTTCGTACTTATCTTCCTTGATTCCGTGCGTCTATCTGACCTTTATTCTCCCAGAGCGCATCGCGGACCAGAAATTCACCGTTCGGGCCCTCGTAGTCTTGTACAGACATTCCAGTGATATTCCAGGGCGTCACGACACGATGAATGGCGCACAGCGTGGGATCAAGGACAAGGTTAGTACTTCACTACGCCTTTTCGATGTACCACGCATCTGACCCAGCTTGTTGCTCTAGGCGAATCCTGCACGTCTCCTCAAGGCCGCGATCAAGGGTGTGCGGAATGCTGCGACCACGACTACGACAGCGCTCGGCAACGTCGCCTCTGAGATCGCTGGAAGCTCCGTTCTGCAGCCCAACTCGCCTCAAGCCATGGTCAAGACGGCTTTGGAGAGCGCGAACAAGTCCAGGCAGGTACGCGAATGCGGTACTTCCCGCAGACCAACCCGGTTCTGACTGTGCGCTTCATAGCTAGCGCGCCGGATATTCTACTCTTTCGCGAAGCCGGGTTCCGAGTACATGTTTCTCCAGGACATACAGCACCTCTTCCCGGATGACATCGTCGACCGGGTGTTCTCCATTTTTGACCGCGATGGAAATGGCGACGCGAGCAGAGAAGAGGTCGAGATGGCGCTCATGTAAGTCGAAGGTAGTGCAAAAACAACCCGGGCTGACGCGGCGCCACAGGGACTGCCACCGGGAACAGCTGTCCATCGAGCACTCCATGCAGGACCTCGACAGCGCTGTCGGTCGTCTCGACAACATCCTCATGTCCTTGTATGTCATCATTGCGATCCTCATCATCGCTGTCTGCTTGGTACGTCTACCCTCCTTTCTCATCTTCTAATCCCTCATGCGAGCACACCATCAGGAAGCCGAACTCGTCACCCTCGTCACCTCCGCCGGCACACTCATCCTCGGTCTCTCCTGGCTCATTGGTTCCTCGCTCGCCGAAGTGCTCACCAGCATCATCTTCCTCTTCATCAAGCACCCCTTCGACGTTGGTGACCAGGTGTCGATTGACAAAGAAATTTTCACCGTGAAGGAGATTCGGTTGCTCAGCACGATCTTCCTCGACTCGAACGGAGTATTTGTGCAGGCGCCGAATACGAAGTTGAATGATTTGGTGCGTACATTACTGGTGTAGGCATTCGTGCAAAGCTGATTTCTGTGTTCTTGCGCAGTTCTTGTATAACATCCGGCGAAGCCCGCAACTCTCGGAGACCTTTGCGTTCGACGTGGCGTACGAGACGACGTTCGAGCAGCTGGAGGACCTCAGGACAAGGATGATCGCCTTCCTGAAGGCTGAGAGGCGAGATTACTTGCCTTCATTCGACGTGAATGTCGTCGGTATGTTGCAATTCTTGATGCTACCTTCGATGTATCCTGACCGCGACCACAGAGTTCCCCGACCAGGAAAAGATGTCGCTGACGGCGGACATCATGTACAAGAGCATCTCGCAGCAGGCCGGCTTGAGAGGTACGTTGGGTACGCACCATACCGTCACAACATACGACCTGACTTTCCTCGACAGCGAAGCGACGCAACAAGTGGGTCTGCGCGTTAAAGACCATGCTTGCCGAGGTTGGCATCTACGGACCCAAAGGCAACCCGGACGCACCGCCGCCACCAAAACGGTACACAGAGGTGCCCTGGGACCAGGTGCAGGAGGACGACAGAAAACGGGAGGAAGAGGAAAAGGCACGTGTGAAGGGCGTGCCCGAACCGATTCTTCCCTTTGTAGGCTGGCGCTTGGCGGATGAGAAGGCGCAGTACCACGACCCGATCGCGGGCGTGTTCGGAGAGACGGGGGAGGTCTTCACATCCTCGCGAGGACCGTCGCGGGCGCCGACGCCCAGGAGGCAGATGACGGACGATAGCTTGCGGCACCGGGGTATGCCACGAATGGTAGCGACGCCGCCGCCGATGATGCCTCAAGCCGTCGCGGGCTCCTCGTCGCCCAGGTCTTCGCCCAGGCGCCCTCCGGGAATACCTCTGCGCGCAGATTCGTACGAGATGATGTCGCGCTAGTTCGTCGGCTCCTCTCTCGCTTTCTTGATTCCTCGAAGTGGGGTCGCAGCCTGGTGCTGGGGTTTGGTTCTCGTCAAAAACACAGACGCTTGTCTATAGATCTCTCATGGGTTGGGTCTCGGGGCTCACTGGTGTACATCAGTCTTTCTTGCTTGTTCTAGTGCTCATCTAACGGACTCTCCATCGGTCGCATGCTTTCCACTCTCTTATCACCTACACTCACTGATTACACCCATCGTAGTCTACACACTACTCGCCGAGTCTACGGCATCCACTGCATGCATATATGGCTCCCCTATCTCTTCATCATCTGCATTGCTGCATATACTGAATGTCCCGGCACCTATCCGAGACTCGAGGAAGCAGGGAGTGGGAATCAAGCCGCAGAACGCTGCTGCTGTCAGATTGTGGCAAGGATTGTGGCGATTCCGAAGCCGTGCCAGCCTCGGGGGCTCCCAACTCTTCACCGCGACCCACCTCCAGATACTCGAGCTATCGCTTCCATCTTGCCCACACAACATTCTGTACGGATAACGCAAACTTTGGCGTCAAAAGCAGCCCGAAATTACCGCTGGAACGGCCGTTTTCCCTCCGAAAACACGGGTATAGATTAACTTGCGCTAACATACACTACATGGTCCTATGGTCCAGCGGATAGACGACGTCCAAATTACCGCGGGAGTGGTTCGGGGGAGCACCCCGATAGCTCCCATGTTCGGTTCTTGGTAGGACGTAGAGGGTGGGGCACTCGGGGTCAGCCCGGCGGCTTCATTCCTTCGCCTGTTCATTGTTTTTGTTTTGTATTCCAGTGCGGCTCCTCTACGCGACTAATAAAAATTGGGGCAGAGTGTAATTCTCGGAGAGTATAAGGGCTTGACAGATAGTCTCAAGGAAGTGCAAGGCGTGGGCGGGTGGGGACGCTGTTCGGAATTTCTTCCATATCGGGAAGGAAGCCTCGTGCTATGGCCTACCTCCCACGCCGCTCGACTGATATAGATATGTAAACCCTTCTGGCATTCATTTGCTGGGCCAGAGAGACACGAGAAGCATCGACACACAGATCGCGTAACTATAAGAGGGACAAGATGTCGCGACTTCGTTATGCAGGAAGCCAAGCGAGGGTGATAAGCACGCTGCTCCATTACGAGGCTCGACCCGGTGTAGCCAGACAGACACGAGCCTTTCATGCACGGCGGAGATGACAGCACCCTAGTAACGAAGAATTGGGTCTGGATAGTGGAGCTTCAGAATCTCGGCCCCTCGCGATTTGCGCGCTGGTGAGACTGCCGCCGGATGCTTGACATGACCCGTTAGCTCAGCTGACCGTTGTATCAACATTGTACTCATTGGCGACGCGTCAATAGAGAGCAAACACTCTGCTTGGAAGGGAAAAGAACGACACAGAGCCGACAGCACGCGGGAATGAGCTCGCGCAAAGGACATGCATTAGAGTGTTAGGATACATGGTTGAGCGCAGGGGCATAATAAATATCGTGAAGGATACAAGTACAGTACCCGGATAGTCCAGGCAATTAAAAGTGGGAATGCGTGCGCGATTAGCCACCGAGGCGATGAGCGCGCCGCATAAAACGCAGTCACGCCCGCACCGGCGAGGATGTGAAATGTGTAAGATAGTGCAATGAAGAGGATGAGAGCATGATGATGACGACGAGCGAACGCACGATCGGATTGCTGACGAGCGAATAGATAGTAATAGACGGGAAACGGGGTGGGGGGACGGAGGGAAAGCGCGCGAGAGCAGGGAGAGCGCGGGTAATAGATATTGAGGTGAGCACGTCGTGGGCGTGTTGTACAGTGCGTGGCATGCAGCGTGAGGTGGTCGTCTTCTGGGCGTCGTCTGGGTCGTCGGCGGCGTCGTCATGGCGGCGGGCGGGTGCAGTGGGTGAGTCACCAACGCGATCGGAGGTGATCAGCGCTTGCGGGGTGCGCCCTTGCCTTCATACCAGCTAGAGCAGTGATCGCACCAGGCGGTCTCTGTGCGGACGATCTCCTCCACGTCGGGACCGTAGTACTGCACGGCCGATCATTAGTGGGGGTGAGGCGAGATACGGTGGCGCGCAGCGCACCTTAGCGCACGCGCAGGCTGAACGGGATCGGCCGCAGGCGTGGTGTGCAGAGTGTCGGCAGTTGGGGCGGCCACAGTCAATGACCTCAAGCGTCTTGACCTGGGGGAGGCGGTGAGCAAGGCGATCGCAGCGACTGAGCGGGTGCACACGCACAGCGACGTAGTGGCCACAGCCCTTCTGAATTCCCTGGCTGGGGGACGTGAGCAAGGGCGGGGGCGAGGAGTGGCAAAGGGGCCGTACGTGCGCGCGTTGCACATAGTTGGAGGACGCTGTGAGGCGCGTCGAGATCGATGAGGAGGAGGAGGTGGGCGCGGAGGAGCGGAGGCTCAAAGAACTGCTGAAGCCGGCGAGCCGCCCGTCGGCTTTAAAGGCGCAGGCACGGAGGAGCGCACGTGGCCGGGAAATGACCTCATCCGTACTCTTACCGGCCTCGGCCACGTTTCCATGTCTTCGCCCACGACCCGCTCCCGCACACTATTCTTCCTCTCCTGCCGCCCGAAGCGAAGGCGGGCTCGGCTTTACGAGGATGAGGACGACGAGGACGACGACGAGCGGGGCGGGCTCATCAAGCGACGCGCGGTCGCGCTGGACGTCGACTTGGCTCCGCAGTGGGCAGATACAGCCGACAATGTCGAGACCCTCCTTGCCGGCATACAGACAAAAAGTACGTCTCCATACCTCCGTACTCTCCGCACCACTCACGCGCCCTAGTCGCCATGCTCGACAAGCTGCACGCGAAACACCTATTGCCGGCGTTTGCGGACCGGTCGAAGGAAGAACAGGACATTGACCGCCTCACCAGCGAAATCACCTCTGTGCGTGGCCTTATTCCTCTTCAGGACGCCTTCTCATTGACCCAAGGACTTCCGAGCATGTCATTCTCAAGTGACGCGCGTCGCGCAGCACGCGTTTCCCCCAACCGCAGCGCCCTCGCAGGCCGCGCGGAATGTGCAACGCGCCCTAGCAGCCAAAGTGCAAACGCTGTCCGCAACTTTCCGCAAGAAGCAGCGCAACTATATGCAGAGTACGCTTGTCAACCTGCCTTACGCTTGCCCTGGCTCCTGACGCGTTCATAAGAGCTCCAGAGCCAGAACCTCTCCTCATCCGGCATACCTGGCACTCCGCGCTCGCCAGTCTCGCCTCGGCTCGGCGCGCTAGACCTTGACACCGGCGTGGACGATGACCTCCGCTTCGCTGTACGTGCCGCGACCCATCCGCTTTACGCCCATGTCCCGACCGTCTGACCACGCCCATAGCGCCAAACTCAGCAACAAGCCTTTGCCACCCAGATAGATGAGCCCGATCAGGCATACGCAGAGCGCACGCGGGAGCTCTCCGACATCGCGGACTCTATTGCCCAGCTCGCGGATCTGTTTCGGGAGCTCGAGGGCCTGGTTATCGACCAGGGAACGCTGCTTGACAGCGTTGAGTACAATATCGAGCAGACAGCTGTACACATGGAAGACGCTGTAAAGGAGCTGAATACGGCCGTCAAGTGAGTAGGGGGCTCCCACGATACGCTTCGGTTGTCGAGTTACCCCGTTCGACTGTGGCCGCATGACCCTTCCAACACCTTCCATGCCCTTGCAACTGCATTGCGCATCTTGCATTTGTATCTGCCGCCGTGTGACATTGGTGCAGAAGCTGATTCTTATTGTCAGATACCAGAAACACACCGGCCGACGCGCATGCATATTCCTCCTCATCCTGGTCATCATCGCGCTAGCGACTGCACTGGCTGTACGCCCACGGGGAAGCCACGACGATAGCACACCATCGCAGCCGGTAGAAGGCGGAGGAGGCGGAAGCGAGACGCGGTAACAGTGGACCCTCCCCGGCGAGATCTACATTCTGCCTGCCATGCCTTCTCGTCGACTTGATGGAATTCCATGCGATGGACTAGGATGGACTTCACTCGATGCGATGGATCACTCGTCGATAGGAAGGCGTCCGGCCCGCTTCATACCCGTTTCTTCCATCCTACGCGCGCAGATGGCACTGGTACGCATCTGCTGACTTGCTCTTGCCAAAGTCCACATCGCGATGGAACTTTTAAGGCCGGAGATTGGACTTTTCAAGACCCGCGATTACGCTTCGAGCACGATTATCGACATCGATGCCACCTGGTATGGATCACGGGTGGTCTGAATACCGGGTCATCGGGTAAAGCGTCGAGTACTCGGGATAACATGTAGACGGATCTTGGTTGGGCGCAATTGTACGCGTATGGCAGACATGTTTGCTCTTGATGACGGCTCACGTGCGTGTTCGACTTTGCTTGATCACGTGCTAAGCCATAAGTGCGACGCGTGGCAATCTGAACTTGCGTCTCGCGATTATCGGCAAATGCAATATCCTCAGTAGATGCTGATCTGGAAAATATTGCCCAGCGTTGAGCGGAACGCTTTCGAGGACTCAAGATTGTTGGCTGCCCAACTCGAAATTTTTGACCTGCCAAACAGAATGAAAGCCGCCGTGGCGACTAAACGTGGCGCTTGAGACGCCGGTCTGCATCTTGATCACGACCTTCCCTTCCCCGAGGGCGTCCACGACTCACGACTCTCCCGCCGGCTCCCCGCTATTCTATGCTCATTGACGACTATTCGACATGACCTGTTCAGCTTCTATCTCCCTCGTCTCAGGACTGACGCTCTTGCTCGCCCTCGTATCGCGCGCAGCATGCCAGACGCCGGCCGCCTCGCTCGCTTCATCCTACTCACTCACGACTAGCACTATGCTGCCCTTCCCTACCTCGACAATGGAGTCTGAAGACGCTCAGAAGCTTCTCGTCGCCGACTGGGGCCTCGGAAAGGGCCGCATCCAGGAAGGCGAAACCGCCCTCGCCTTCGTCACCGATCCCTTCCCCGACCATCCTGTGCCTGGCTTCGAGCCCGCCTCCGACACCGCTCCCGTCCTCCGCGTCACCTACTCAGCTGGTAGCTTCTCGCACGACACCGGCGGCGTGCAGTTCTACAACCTCTGGAACAACACGGCCTCTGCGTACGACACGAATGCTACGTCCTCGACATCTTACCTAGCGAGCTCCGACGTCGGCTTTGGCTCGCTCTTGCTCGAATACGAGATCGCCTTTGACGAGACCTTCGACTGGGTGAAGGGCGGGAAGCTCCCTGGGCTGCGAGGCGGGCTGGATTCGACGGGGTGCAGCGGCGGAAATGAGCCTGCGGGTGATGCCTGTTTTTCGACACGGCTCATGTGGCGCAAAGGAGGCGAGGGCGAAGGTGCGTTATGACCTTGATTGACATGTACGATGAGCTGATTATCTTTGCAGTATACGCCTACATGCCGACGACGCAGACGCTCTGCGACGAGGATGAGATCACCTGCAACGATGACTATGGCGTTAGCATTGCCCGCGGCTCCTTCGGCTTCGTGGCTGGAAAGTGCGTCTACATGATATTTTCATCGTTGCGCGCTGTTGATTGCTCGTCAGATGGAATCGGATCGCGCTACTCGTCCAGCTGAACAATCCGCCCGAAGCCTCAAACGGCAATGTGCAGCTGTAGTGCGTTTCGTAAAATCATGCGCCATCGTTTACTGACCCTCCCGCGCGCCAGCTACAACGGCCTCCCAGCCCTCACCCAGCAGAACCTCCGCCTTCGCACCACAGCCGACGTCTTAGCAAACGGCCTGTTCTTCTCGTCCGTCCCCCATCCCCCCTTGACTTTCCCTGTAACTCACAACCCCACCTTCCACAGCACATTCTTCGGCGGCTCGGACGAAACCTGGGCAACACCCAACACCACGCACACCTATTTCCGCAATATCGGGATGTGGGGGTCGGCGGAGGCGTCGACAGGGTCGATCAACAACCATGCGCGGAGGAATGGAGGGCCTGATATAATTGTTGTGCTGGTAGCGATGGGTCTGGCTGCTTCGGTGGCTTGGGTGTGTTGATGGTGGCGAGAGGGGGGCCTTGTGCTGGCGCGGGCTGCTGCGTACACACTTATCTATTCAGCGTCATGACACGACTATTCACTCGTACACTCTAGACTTGTATAGTATCTCACCAAGGACGACTTTTACTGAGGATCTCGAGTTGGCAGCGTGCGAGCCCGTACCTCGCAAGGCGAGGATTGCCAAAATTGGGCATAACGCCGATGGGCTCGCTCTCCTCAGTCGTCTACACTCGTATGCGCGACGGCTGAGATCGCTACGTTGCGTCTGCTCCAGGCATAGGGCGTCCGGTTAACAGCCTCCAAGTTCCGTCGCCCGTCGTTTACTCGCCCTTGTAGAGGGACCCGCGTCTGACTCATCTGCTTGAAGCCGTTTGGCCGAGCTCGACTGAGTCAGCTCAGCTGGCGTCGACAAAGTGAAGCGCACGGCCGCCTGCAACACCTCTCTCGCGGTGATTCCTAGCGATCCGCAGAGCTCCGCCACATCGACCGTGGCAACCGCGCGGCCCAATGTGTCTTGAGGAAGGTCAAGGAGACCAGACGCGAAGGCGAAGAATATGGGCGGATCTCCAGCGCGTCGACAGGGTTTGGGTAAGCGTCGGAGTTTGTCGAGTTGCTTGTGCAGTGTCAGATGCGTTCAGAAAAGAAGAGAAAACGGTACACTCACGTCTTCTTTCAGGCGCGTGGTTGGGTTTCAAACGGGCCAACCCATGCTTGACCTCATCTGCCGTCAATGGCTCGCCCTGTCTGCCGTCGAGTGCGACCCACACGTTCTTGTCGCCGGGAAGCTTTAACGCAAAGAGCAGGGCTCCTTCCTCCGACAGTCGGAGTATGCAGAAGGGTGAGGGAGTAACGTGGTCGAGCCATCTGTCAATCTCTGTGTCCGTGGATGCGACAGTCGTAAGCGGAGATGTCGATCCCGTCAGTTCCTTCTTGCAGCTATAGATCCGAGCACTGAGGGCTCCCCCCGCGGTCCGGTGCTGCAAGAGGAGACTTGTACTTCGAGCATTCGCCCACGAAGGAAGCGCGCCCTGAAAGTTGAACAGTTGTCGCAGCGGAGGCTTTCGTTCGAAGCGCCGCGCAAGAACGAAGGCGAGGCGGAGATAACGAAGTTCGGAAACGTGACTCATTCGTTGGGGGAGCGTGCGCATGTAGTCGAAATCGAAGAAATCGGTGTTGGTGTTTTCGTACCACGACGCGCAGCTGACGAGCATGAAAGGCTCGTCGATAGCGACTCTGGAGGCATCGTGGTCGACGAATCGGCCAAAAGCTGCCGTCACAAGTTGGACGTACTCCACGCCGTACTCGTGCAAGGCAGACGAATCGACGAGGACTCGGAAGAGTGCATGATGGGCGGTTGACCGAACTAGCGAATCTGCATTGACATCAGTAAGCAATTCGGCATGCATAAGCGGGCAGGTTACCTCGCATAGCACCGAGAGATATTGGGCGAAGAAATCTCCTCGCTTGCTCGAGTCTCTCTCCTTCGGCTATCGTCAAATCGTCGGCGTCCCGGGGCGAATATCCTGTCGCGTTTCGTATGTAGTCATTGAGCAACTGATGCGGCTGTGACAATCCGTGTCGAAGATACTGCCCGATGAAGGAAGCCGTGAATCTATGCCTGTTACAAATCGCTGAGCCCGAGCTCGTATTCATGCGGATCATACAAAACGCACCGTCCTCGAAGCCAGCTGCCTAGTCGCTGCAAGAGCCGTTCCCCACTGGCTTTTCGAAGGAAAGGGGGAGGCAAATATCGCGAGACGTACTGCCGATTCGAGTCCACAGCGTCGAATCCACCTGTCGCGGACGTCCATCTGTAACGACCGTGTGCCATTTCAATGGGGTCGTCACGGAAGATGTCTCGCGAAAGGCTTGTTCCTGTGATGACAAGGGCCAGGCCAGCTCGTCCTCGCCACGCCGTGATCAAGCGCTGCAAGTACGGAAGCGAGTCACAGTCCGGAAAGCCATATAAGGAATTGGCGGCGTAATCGTTATGGCCTAACGATTGGGCCTCGTCGAGCACGGCGAAAAGGGGAACAGTGGCGCCTAATCGCTGCCGTATGTCTGCCAGGACAACCTGTAGATGGTGGTCCACATACGCATCTGAAGCGCGAAGAAGGGCGAAGTTGATGTCATGGAATGGGTTGCTTTTCAGTAACGCGAAGGGTTGCAGCTGACAATAAAGCCAGCGTTGCTTGTGTTCGTCGCTGAGTCGCGGGATGGCTAACTCGAGAAAGGCGCGGAATACGAGAACTTGTGCGAGCAGGGTATCCTTATAGCGACGGGTGATAACATTGAGATTATGCCGCAGCGTGTCGTCGTATGAAGGCGTAGAGGGATGCGGGAGCCTGGTCACGTCGGACAAGACGAGACCTTGGGTAGCCACGAAGTCGACGTGCTTACTTCCGAGGCGGCTGGAGTCCACTTTTGCGGTCAGATAGAGCCCCCAGAGTCGACATAGGCCTTCGTAAAGTAATCGAGTTTTTCCTGAACCGGAGGTATTGACGAAAAAGCTAAAGCACGTAAGTACACAGGTTCGCGTATGGTTACAATGGAACGCGTACGTATTCTCATCCCTACTAAAGATGTGGTTGAGTTTCTGTTCAAGTAGATCCGAGGGTATAAGGCGGCCCAGATCATGTAGAACCAACACGGGTTGACCATCGCTGCGAGGTATCTTGAGACTTGCAATATGATTCAGATGGCCAGTATCGTCGCATTGCGGAGTCCACGTGTCAAGCGTGCGTGATCCTCCTACCACTTCTCGTAGGCTTGGGCGGATAGCTTGTAGTATGTCGTCGACTTAACCAGCGATGGCTATATCCCCTTCCGTTGGGCTGTAAGTCGGTGGTGAGACCGAGAAGATGGCATCTAGAAGGTTTCGGTCATACTGTAAGTGTGAGATGATCGATCGAACTTACTCGGGCGAAAAAGTGAAGCATAGTCTTGCTTGGAGTGAGCGTTTTCAAGTAAAACCCGCTTTTCTGCGAATTTACTGAGAACCTCCCGACAAGACCACATCGAAGTGGTACACATCGTTCTCCTGGCAAGCTGCTCTCAATATGCGCGAGAGTAGCTCTGATGCGCTGTCCAAACTGTCCTTTACTGCGTTAGGGGGTATGTGGACCGTGTCCTCGGCAATGCGAGCACTGAAGCCTTCAGAGAACGATAGAGTCATGATAAAGGATGGTGTGCGCGCGGAGGGTCCATGAAGCTGTGAGAAACACCCGACTGCGAATCTTGCGCTAACCCAGGCAGACGGTGGCAGTTGAGAATAGGTTTTGATTAATGTCGAAAGAGGCCGGCCTTGCACACGTGGTCTCCCTTTTTGTGGCGAGGAAGCAGGCGCGGGTTATTCCCGTTGTCAGTAGCGAGGACACGAACATTGCCCTCCTACACATCCCCCCATCGCTGCCATTCCACATGGCTACCACCAACGATACAACACCCGATCTCTCTGATGAGAGGCTCATACTGAACGCTATTCACCCAGCGCGTTCAGCATCACGTGACCTGCCGGGTATCGAGACGCTTTGTTATCGGAATTCGTGAAGGGAAAAGAACAGAAGGACTTCACCCGCTTTCGAGCCACCAGTGCGTCTATACGTTTAGAGAGCAAGGTACACTGACTCAGGAACCCGTGTGCAGTAAAGCGCCTTCTCGTAGGCAACCTTCAACTGAACACCGTCATGTCCATACATCCCACTCGTATGTCGTGAAAGCGCGTGATGCTGGGTATACAAACTATGGACACCAATGCAGATTTCACAGTGATGCATGTACCAACGAATGTATACTACAAGGAGCGCGAGGTCGTGCAAAGGGTGAGCCCCAATAACGTACTGAATGTAGATGCGACAACAAAATTCCCAATAGCCCTTGTGCCCGGCGTCCTGCGACGCTTGCGTGGAATAGTACAGAGCGTGTGCGAGTCAAATCCCGGGCGCGTCGAAGCCCACATGCCCAGTTGAAGTCCCTAGTCCTGGTGTCACCATGAATCCGTCCCCTGCTTGCCCTTCCCTGTCGAATGCGAGTCCTCAACGAATTCCTCCCCGTCGCGGTGCGTGACGGTCTCGAGCCGGATGGCGACGTCAATCGTGCCGGTCGTGTCGATGTCGTGGTTGCGGTTGCCGGACGTCCAGCGCGTGCGGGTGCCGCTGCGTGGGCCGGAGGTGCCTGCGCTGGTGGGCTCGCCGTCGCTGGTGTTGCCGTGCGCGGTGCCCTCGGAGACGCGGATGATGATGAAGGAGAACTGGTTGGAGGTGAGTCTATGTATGCGAGAGGAAACGGTGAAGGATGGGGAAAGGGGGACCGGAAGCGGTGTGGGGAACGGGGAAGAGAATACTTACGACGATCCCAATAACCGGCGTCTCGATGTCAATGCAGATGAAGTTGAGGATGGAGTTGATGGAGAGGAAGACGATGTGCATGATGAGGACCGCGGTGTAGAAGGCGGCGGACTCGAGGAGGACAGTTACCAGACTGTTGACAGCGTCTCGGGCGTCGCCGTTGAGGTATTGCACCGAGCGCCGTACCCACCAAATGCGACCGGCGATGAGCACTGGGCGCAATTGAGTTAGAAAGACGAGGTATTTGATGAATGGGGGTGAAGGCTTACAGGTCGACATGAGGTTGATCACCAGTGTACAAACGCAGAACATCACGTTGGACGAGGTCAACGGACCAGCAAATATGTTGCTTGTCTCCACTGACCCGTACTTCGTGAGCGCCGTCATGAAGTAGATGCCGAATGCTGGAGGGGTTTTCTTCGGTTCATCGCACCTTTGCACCGACGGTTTGACGCACCTATATTTGTCAACCAGGCGATGAACGGTCCAATGATTGCTAGCCAGCGCATTCGCCAGACGACGGAAACACGGTATACCTGCGTGAGATGAGTGCGGTTAAGTACAGAAGGTGGGATGGCTACTTACAATAAAGGCGTCTGAGATGAGGATGGAAAGCACCCAGCAGGCATTGGATGTCATCGCGAGTTTACCGTTGATGGGTCCGCGGTCGATGGTTCCGTCAGGCTTCTGGTTGAAGCGCAGGGCGAAGAGCGTGCGATACATGACTATGATACAGCGCTATTCGGTGCGAGGGAAGGGAATAGGGGTTGTAATCGAACGTGGACGAGGTGGGCGGGAGGAGGGAAGGGGACGGTGTCAGTAGGATTCCAGGACGTACAGGGGACATAACATACCATACTAGTGAAGATGAATAGCGCGACGTGAGTTCCAATGAGATATATGTGCGTTCGCCGATGTCGTTTCCTCCGCCTCCAGAGCACGCGCGAGCACTCGTACGCAACTGCGAGATACGCTCCTGCGAACGATCCATAGGGTCAACATCTACTCTCTATACCCCAGAAAGCAAACGCACCATAGAAAAACGTCGAGAGGAACGCGCTAATGAAGATCGAGTCCACTTCCCTCAGCGGCGCCATGATGGCCGGCGCGCGCTGGGCGCGGGCGCTATGTACAGGTCAGGGGAGGGGGGAGGTCGTTTGCGAGCGCAGAATCCGAGGCAGGGCAGTGAAAAGGCGCCCCTCAGGTCATCGGCGCCCTTATATACGCTATCGTTGCGACGCGCCTCCGGTCTGGGGCAAGCCGCCTACAAATTGATCGGGAAGGAGCTGCCCCTCGCAGCCCGGGCGCCAAATTTGACCGTGTCTTATGCCTCCAGGGGCGGGAGAATATCCAGTGAAAATGCAGCCGCGCGCGCGTGACCTTGCCAATGCCATTTACCGGCGGTTGGTCGAGAGATCGGCGCCCGAGGGAGAGAGAGGAGGGGACGGTGAGTCGAGAGCGCGAGGGCGGGCAGCCTTACCTGCGTGGGAGGAGGTCGCTTTCGACGCTCGATCCCGCTCTGATTGTGGCGCTGACGCCTGCGCATGGGACAACGTGGCACAAACGTTCGCTGCTGCTCATTCGACGCCCAAAGCCTCTGCGGGCGATCTGTCACAAACAAGGAAACAAGTGGGCAGCCCAGTCGAAATCAAGTGCCCAATGACCGCTGAGCGCATCACAGTGATATAGATCTACAGCTGGAATCGTGAACACCGAGAACCTACAGCTGCGGACATCACTGATGGACCTGCCCCATTTGGGGATATCGCCGAGGCGGGCACTTCGCGAGCTCAGACAACCGTGAAAGCCTCACAGAACGGTAGAGCGCCATTGAAAACCCCCGTCTACATACCCGTTTTGTGGGCCCTTCCACCAGCTCGTCATGAAGCGTGCGAAGGGTCCCTAGGTGGCCTAACATACGGTACCTCCAATGGCTCGGGCCACTCTGACCCGCTTCACACGATACTTCGCAGATGGGGGTTTCTCGCCGTGCACTACCGTTCTGTGAAGGAGCTGTATCTTTCCAAGCTCGCCAAGTGCCCGTCTCGGCGATTTTTCCGAATGGGGCAGGTCCATCAGTGATGTCCGCAGCTGTATCAATCACATCCCCATCGGGTGAATCGCACCTCGATATTACACGTTCCATCCGTTCGACTGCTGTGAAGGGCTCCCCCAGCCGCTGCCGCTGCTCCCCCACCCTCGACTGGGGCTTGCTGAGCCTCCTCCCCATCCGCCGCCACCGCCTTGTCGGCTTGGGCTATTGCTCCCGCCCCAGGCACTAGTTGCACCACGCGCAGGGCTCGCCTGCCCCCAGCCGCCACCGCCGCCGGCCGAACCTCCCCATCCACCACCAGCTGCGCCGCCCGCTGCTCCTACCGCGGATGCCTGGAAGCCCTGCACGCCTCCGCCGTCTTCCTCGTCATTGTCCTTCTCCTTCAAGTTGAGCACGACTGTTGCCAGTTTGTTCGTCAATTCGTTGAGCCCCTGTGGAGGTAGGAGATTGATGAGGATGCGAATTGGTAGTCCCGTACCGCTGGCGCGACTCACCCTCATCACGACTTCCTTCGGACCCAAGCTGCCATCGGTTTCGACGTCGATATAGAACCTGGTCGGCTTTGCGTTGTAGTCGAAGACATCGTCCGGCTGCGGCTTCGTCTCCAGCTCCGTGTTCGCCGGGTTCGGTATCCACTCCTCCTCGATGCTCTTCTCGTACCAGTACGTTGTATGCCTCAGCTTGTTGTACGGGTCGTACTCGAAGCCCACAGCCGAGCAAGGCGACCACTTCGAGTGCTCTTTTGCTATGCCCTACGTGGGATCGGTGAGTTCAGGCTCGGTGACAATGATCATAAACCGAGGGACGCACCTTCTTAGCTATGCATCGCACCTTCAGGGCCTGACCTTTGCGAATTCGGGCGATGAGAATAGGTTCGGCGTCCGGTTCGCGATAGGTCACTGGCCAGCCGAACTGTGGGGGCCGGCTCGCCATCTCGTCGCCCTCAGCTCCTGATGGTTGTCCGGGTTGTACATTCTGAACGTCTAGATGCTTGCTCGTTACGTCCATGGACATGTTGTCTTCGGTGCATTTGACGTCCAATACCAACTCGATCGCGCAGTACTGACACCATGACAAGCAGGTACAGTCCTATGGTACGCGAGGCGTCAACAACAGTCCAAACAGGCATGGGCGTGCGACGCACTCTTGTATAACGCATTCCCTCCTCGCAGTTGTCGCTTATGAGAGGCACCATGCCGAGTCGATGGGCGATGAACTCATCGGGAAGAACGGTCGTGTTCGTCTCAAACTCCACAAGGTCGATGGCTGCGCAGCATGGGTCTATGTTCATGACTTTACAGGGAGGAGAAGCGCACCGACGGTAGGGATGTCTGCCATCATAACTCGGCGGAAGGAGTTGGCAAATCTGCGAGTATGTGAGCATGGAGCCGGCAAGATTGGAGAGGCACTACGCACGAGAGGTCAACATTTTCTAGCACGAAGTCTACGCGGTCCTTCTCAAGTGCGCGGATGATGACATTGGGGGGAAGTTCGTCGGTCTGCATCCTTGTTCAAAAAGCGCTAAGCGCGTGCGTGGCTGTATGTTCGTATATGAAGTCTGACGCGACTGAGTGAGTATGGTCAAGAGCAGAGTACAGGGAGGGCGGGCAGGGGATGGGGGGATTGGCGCGCCGCGCTTGCGCGTTTGATGAGGTGAGAGGACAAGGACCGTGGTATATGTGGCGTCGATCGTCGCTCGAAAAGGCAGGTCTTGTTCTTTGTTTCTCGTCCTTAACCAACAAGTGCTCGCCTCGTGCGTTATATCACGCACGAAATCCCTCGAGAGCTCGTCAACGCTAACGAAGTCGTTGTATATGACGCCCGAGACGGTAATGTGAGCTACATTTAGGACTGGTAATGCCTAACCGACTGATCTGTCACCTTGTCTTACGCGTGCAATTCATGCAGACCCGGAAGCGCGGATGTGACCAGGATGACAAGCACCCCGACCTAGTACGCTCAGGCCAGCCTCACATAGCAGTTTATGGTCACAGTATGCAGTAACACTCGTCCAGACAAGCGTTCCTATTCAGCGAAACCAAGGGGGACAATGAAGCTCTGGCGACTCATCAAGCACATTTAATCATCTGAAATCCCGACAGTGTACTGTACTTTGCGACTTTCTCTGGACTTTCTGGGAGCTCTCCTTGATGTCAACTTGAATAACTCGACTTGATCCTCCTCGACACTGTACCTCTGAAGGCCAGGACGCTCAAGTCTGATGTTCATCCATAACCCGACCTTTACGGCGAATGCGAACCTATCTCAGGCTTGGTAAACTGTGACCCATCTCGGTTACCCAGTCCGTGGGTCTCTCATCGAGGAATGCCTTCATGCCCGACGTCGGAACCACCGAGGGACACCTAGCCCCGTCTCTAACCGTATAAAAGGGCACCTGCGTCGACGACTTTCTCCAGCAACATCTCCTGCTCTCGCTCTCTCAAGCACTTCTCAGCATCTTTAGCTCTCAACAGAATGACCCAGACCAAGCCTCTCGTCGTCGTCTTCGGTGCCACCGGAGAGACCGGCCAGTCCATCGTCCAAGGTCTCCTGCGCAGTGATGCTTTCGTAAGTGCTTCCCCCTCCCCTAAACCCATCAAGCAGCTCACTCGCAACCCCATAGCGCGTCGTCGCCGTCGTCCGCGACCACACCAAATCTACCGCTGTTCAGGTCGCTGGATGGGGCGCTACGCTCGTTACGGCCGACCTCGAGGACGTGACGCAGGAGCGGCTGCAGGAGGTCCTCAAGGGCGCCGACATCGTCATATCGACCGTGCCGCCGCCGCTCTTGGAGGCGCAAACGAAGGTTGTCGACGCGGCGAAGGCCGTTGGCGTCAAGCGCTTCGTACCCGACGACTTCGGCACCGAGGCGCCCAAGGGCGTGCTGCGTCTGCATGATAGGGTAAGTGTAGTCCTTCCCGTCCTTGGGTGGTTTCGTGACTGAATATCGTCCGCCCACAGAAGCTCGCCATCCGCGACTACATCAAGGCCTCTGGCGTTCCCTACACCTTCATCGAGGTCGGCTGGTGGAAGCAGCTCTTCATCCCCTTCCCGCCCAGCCTTACCGGCACCGTGCCCGATGTGACACGCCAGTTCCCGGGCAAGGGCAACGCGCCCGTCGCGGTCACCGATCTGCACCACATCGGCACCTACGTCGCGCGCGTCCTGCAAGACGAGCGCACGCTCAACCAACGCGTGTTCATCTGGGAGGACGAGGCGACGCTGGACGAGGCGTGGAAGATTGCGGAGAAGACGTTTGGGGAGGAGATCTTGAAGCTTAAGAAGGTGGTGCGTGCAGTTTCATTCGTTTCCCAAGGATGTAGCAAAGATCTAAGACAACAAATCCAACAGATTTCCGAGGAAATCTTCCTCCAGAACCTTGCCGCCATCCGCGCCAGCACCCCTCCCGACGCGCCCTACAGCGTCGTCCTCAGCTCAGTCGAGTACGCGAACTCACTGTACATCCGCGGCGACAACAAGTCGGAAAAGGCCAAAGCGTCGGGCGCGCTGCTGTTCAAGGAGCTTTATCCCGATGTGAAGACGCAGACCTACAAGGACTTCGCAGAGGCGTTCTACAAGGCGCCATATGTGCCGTATGCGGAGTCGGGCAAGTACTAGGGGACGTTTACTCCCAAAGTGGACGTGAAGACAATCGTACAAAGTAGCGGCTTAGATTTGTACAAGTGATGTTTTGTGAATGAGAAAGTCTCATGCATGCGGAAGCTCCGGACGTCAGAGCAATAATGGTACGGTCGTCCGATAACTTATTTACAGGGTAAGCTGCGTTTTGAAACATCGTCGATATCAGCATCGAGGAGAGCGCGAGCCGCTTTTTGTGCGCCTCCTCGGAGGCAAGGCTTCGTTGTCGTTGACATTCGACAATGATGCGGGCTGGTTTTCCTTGTCTTCCCTCACCTCCTCTGCCCGCAATCCCAGCGTTGAACGAGAGGGTTTGACCCCAAGAGGCGACGGCGTATTCTCCTGAGGCTGGTCCGCAACTGACAGCGCAGCCAGCCGGCGATGTACATCAACCACCAGCGCCGCCGTGTCCAACATCTGGGGACTAGCGCCCGTCGAGACCTCCATGTTCGGTGTCGCTGCAGGTGGGGAAGGGGACTCGACAGGGCCTCCCAGGTCGTCGTCGCTATCCTCGCTATCGTCAACGTCTTGCACGATGATCCGCAACAGGGCGCCCTCCGTCAGCTCTTCGGAGTCCGCGTCGGAGACCACATCGTGCAGCGATTCGAGGTCATCGTCGCCCTCCACATCGTCAGGCAGCACCACGTCAAGCTCTTCCCACATCCAATACGGGTCCGCCGGCCTATCCATCCGGTCCAACAAGGAGGTTAACGACACCACCTCGTCGTCCTCGCCCGAGAAGCTCTCACTAATCTGCAAGAACATCTCCTGCATCTCGCAGTATATCGCCCCGTCGAAGCTCTCCACCGACAGCTGCTTGAACGGGATGTCGACCGAGTCCGGGTTGGCAATCGCGTCCGGATCCTCCTCCTCCATCTGCACCGAGCGGTGCGCGTCGCCCATGGCGAGAAACAGATCAACGAGCTTGAGCATCGACGACCCTTCGCCGTGAGCACGCTTGAGGATCATATCTACGCGCGCGAGTTCGAGCCGGCTGCCCATCATGAGGTCCTCGCGCTCCTGCGACCCGCGCTCATTAACGAAGATGAGATTTCGATATTGCGTTTGCCACCAGAGCCACTTCGACATCGTCTCCGGGTCTGTATCCTCCAAGACCTTCACCGAGACGTACCCCAGGGCGAAGTCGAGGGCCATCCAGAGGAGGGACTCCCCATCGTGGTAGAAGTTGTATGAGAAGTGGTTGGCGGCGAGGAGGGTGTCTGGCTCATCATCGTCATAAAAGAGGTGGCTGCCTGCTTGGACCTCGACCGCCATGTAGAAGTCGGTACCCTATGCGAACGTAAGCCTACGGATATATGGTGTACTAGGCAAACTCACAGTCCGTAGGTCCTCTGGCGCGATCTCGCTGTAGTCCTTCGAGTACTCGAAGTCTGTGATCTTGACCGAGTAGCACGCGGAGAGATCCTCGCTCGTAGGTAGGGCAAGTCGTCCAGGGCGTGCATGGAGAAGAAAATTGCCAGGACTAATGTCCCTGTGGACGGTCTCCGCACGTAGCATGAATGCCAATACTGCAGAGTCGGTCAGAGGTATGTTGGACGAAATCAGCAAGAAACGCACTCTTGGAAGCCTCCCCCATAGCGAAGAAATACAGTCTTGGGCTCCTGACGCAATACAAATCCTGGCACACCTCGCCGTACAGCGTCCGTCTCCTGTTCCGGGGGACGATGTCCAACTGTCGGTCAGGATAGGGGGAGCACCAGCACAGATCGAACGCCACATCGCCGTCGGCCAGTACCGACACGAAGAAGCTCTCACAGATCGCAACCTCCTTCGCGTTACGAGCCTTTCGCTTCATTTTCGCCAGGATGTGATTCCGCGCGGCCAACTCATTGGGCTGGTCGAAGCGCTGAAAGAAGTCGCGAAGCACGCGGCTGGCGGTGACGTCTGAGACTATGGACAATCCGTCACCCTCGACCGCAGGGCGCACAAGATAGACGGCCATCGAGCGATGGTGGAGCTGCGCGGTGGCTGCGGCTTCGTGGAGGACACCGATGGTTTGGTACGTGCGCTGAACGTCCTCGCCAGTATGTTGAATGCGGAACTGATACTGCGGAGAGCCATCGGCATCGACAACACGAGTGACAGACGGGTCGAAGCCAATCTGCTTCGGCTCAGCGTACGCGGCAAAGAGGACGAAGTGGATGAAGTCGGTGTACGACTGAGGGTGGGGTTAGTATGCTGGGCACGGTTCAATGACATAGAACGCACCGAGTTGATGTCGAACGAGATACTGCAAATCGTGTGGGAGCGAGAGTGGAACCACAATCGCGCCCAGGTGTTCTCGATGGTAATCGAGATGTGGAAAGCCCGCCTGCGGTCGTTGTAGAGGATGAAGCTCGCAGCTGCCACCGTACTGTGGTAGTTCTAAGGTTCTGTCAGTATGCCAGCCTTGCGAGAACGGCACGCCACTCACTTGCATCCGCGTCCGCTCGTCCATGTTAGGATCCCAGTGCATCGTGATCCCGAGATCAGCAGCGTATACGCGCCCTCGGCGGCGGTCGCACAAGCCATAGACTCGCTTGTCCGTCGCACTACCAGGCTGGGTCCCGCGCGGGCCAGCCTTGCGTAGGATGGTGAAGCCATCGATGGAGATGCGCGGTGGATCCCCCGCTTCAAAGTACGCTTCCCCATTGTATCGGCACTCAAAGTTAGCCGTCCGCTTGTCGGGTCCAAAACGCTCGGGAACCTTGTCCTCCGCAGCAAGGACGATTGCCTGGAGGGTCTCCTCCATACCCAGCCAGATGTCCTTTGCGTTGCGCCCTCCTTTGCCCGTGAGTGCAGCCCAGCCATCCTCGGTGAGCACACCCTGCATCATGAGGCGCGACTCGATGATGCCCATGTTGAGCTGACTAGGGAACCGCCACTCAGAACGCCGCATGTATGTGTCCTTGAACTCTTGCAACGAGCACCGCTCTACTCGCCGTTCCATCGCGACTGACATCGAGCCTGCGCAGAGACGGTCAGTCACGAAGGAGGTGGCCGAGACACCCAGACGTACCTGACTTCGGGGGGAGCGGGCGTGGGGAGAACCTTGAGACGAAGGTGGCGGCGCAGGAAAGGGATGCAAAGAGCAAAGAGCACAGACCGCTGCGCCCAAAAGAGTAATGCTTTCTGGAGGTCCTTGCACAACGTTGCAGTCACGGGACTAGACCGTGACCGCGTCTTGACTTCAACCGTCGCGTGGACAGTAATGGCCACAGGTGGAGGGTGGCCGGGAACGACGGGAAGGCCGTCGAGGTAGGGATGTGGCTGTTATGTGGCCTGTACACACAAGTCGTGAGTCGAAGGCAAAGAACACGCATGGACACAAGCTCACAACGTTCATTGAGGATTCTTCAGTCGATGGTCTTGTCTTTCGCCTGTGCCACGGGATTTGATGCATTTACAAGCTGCATGCATGTTGGTGGCACCCCGGACGACAGTGACAAAGCGCTGCACGAAACCTGTCCGACCATTCGATATGGGCATAATTGCATCATGTCGAGCAGGTAAGTCGCAGTGACGCTGCTAAGTATCAGCATTGACCATCATCGAGTCTCGCTCTCACCTGGTGTGTGGATGCTGCTGCATCCAAGGGACAAATCGCTCTGGCAAGGGCGGGCAGTCAGGCCTGACAATTTATGACCGAAAGCGGCCGGCCATCTGCAAATGTAGGTCAGCTATGTGAAGGCTAATGGGAATATATGCAACGCTCACGAGCTCCTTCAGCAACAACGGCCGACCGCAAGCATGTCGCCGGCCGGGGGTAATTCCTGTCGTCGAAGAGGGCAGGCTCAATATCTCTGACTTGGGCTGTCATCATTGTGGATGCCTCTCTTCTCATAAGCTGTGTGACAGTGTTGGAATCCCACTACCGTCGCGAGAACCGCAAAGGGGTAGGGAAGGGGGCGAGATCATCCCAGCTCGCGGGACATCGACGAAACGCTTGTCTTCTTGGTGTCTTTCCCGCGGGCAAGCAGCACGATCGTCCAAAGGAAGCAACACGAATCGGGGAGAGTTCAGTGCGCGAGCATTTAGCCAGCATTCAGCAAGGATGTCAACTGCTACGTGGGCGGCAACATCAGACAGGTGCCCTTCAACGAGCATTTCTCTACGCACCATTGCAGTGTTCTACCGGTTCACGCGTTCGCTCACTGTGCACCCTTGAGGATGCCTGCCTGCACCACATCTCAGCCGTCTTTGGGTCCCTTTCAATGGGTACGTCCCGACCGAGGGCGCAATCGCTATCCAGAGGGCCGATCCATTCGTGTCTTCAGATATGAGACAGCAATATCATTTGCAAGCCACAGATACACAAGCAGGAATGAGCAGCTAGCCAGCGTCGAGATCAGGAAGTATTCATCGTCAAAGTCGCTTTCAAGAAGCAAGACGCGCCGATCGCTCTTCCTCGGGCCATCACATCCACGCGCGCCCGTTCATACCAGCTCCTACCTATTCGATTCGCTCTGCACAACTTTCGACTATACTGACCACGCCCTCGTTGGGTGGGCATATGCTCTCAACAAATGGCCAGGTCCGGGGTCCGGTTTCGCTCATCTCGCGGTTGTAGTCCTGCGGTCCCCCTTGTGCGTGCGCAAGGCGCATGCACTCGCGCTACCCCGAGCACCACATTCCAGTTGACTCTGGCGACCCTGCTATAAGATATCGCACAAAAGATATACACCGGACAACCCGACTATCCCTCACGACAAGTCCTTCATGGAAGCTACGGGTAGACGATACAAGGGTAGCGAGAAGTACTCTCGCGTCTGCCCCCAATGGTCATCCTCGCTGGTAATCTCCACATCACTCCATTGAACATCAAGGCCCACGTCCGCAAGATGCAGCTCTGCGACATGCGTATACACGTCGTAGAATAAGGGGTCTGACGCTCGGGTCAGCACGGATTCGACAACACGATAGCATGCAAAACAAGGCCATGAAATTCGGTCACGTACTCGTCGCCCCGAGCCCATTGAAGAAGCTGAACCGCGATTCCGGTCCAGACAGTAAGTCCGGCAGATGCTGAAAGAAGTTCTTCAACTGCGCGTAATCCTCCGAGAACGTATCGGTGTAGACGACGTCGAAGCCGCCGACGTTGAGGAGGTCCTCGCTCTCGATCACGTCCTGCCACTTGCCCTCGAGGATCTTGACGCCCGGCTTCTCGTACCAGCCGTGCGCACGCATGTGCGCGAGGACGTCCGGGTGCGCCTCGATGATGACGTGCTGCTCGGGCGGCGGGTCGAGGGATTGGAAGAGGCCGTCGATCTAGGTGACCTTCAGCTTTGCAGGCGCCCATGAACAGGAGGATGTTACGCACAATCCCCAACCCAAACCCAACATTCAGAACCTTCAACGGCCCCTTCGTCCCCTCTGTCGTCCTCTTCACCGTTTCCTCCATAATCCCGCGCTCCCAGCCCATCATCACGCCCACCTCCTCGTCCTCATTGATCTTCAGCATGCAGATCTCCTGTCCATGCTCGTCCTTCGTGTACCGCAGCTTCGACTTCAGGAACTCTTCCGTCGAGGCCGCGCCCGTGTCGTCCTCGCCCCGGATGACGAGGTTCGAGGGGGAGGTTTCGGGGGCGCCCGAGCCGAGGAGGCTCTGCAGCATCTCTGGTTGGGGTCTTAGTGTGGGGGCGGGCGGAGGGCGGAGGGGGGACGACCTGCGCGGATGCCTGCATCTCGGATGAGGGTGTAGATTTTGTCGTTATTAAAGGAGAGGGCGATGTCTCCCGCGGTGTTTTGTCGCTTGTCGACTGTTCGGCTTGTGGGCATTCCCTCGAAATTGACGATAGTGTACTACGCACCAGCATTCCACACCGCGCCCTTCTTCAAAAGCAACTTCACCAGCTCTTCGTTCTGCATGTACGCAGCGGCATGCAGCGCCGAGATTCCCTCTTCCTCGTTCTGATACCACAAGGGCGCGCCGATCTCAATTGCCTGCGTGATGGTATCCATGCCCTCGTCATTGAGGATGCCGCTGATGAGGTGCTCGCCGAGTTGGGTGAGGATGGCGATGCCAGCCGCCTCTTCCGACTCAAACGCGTCGTCCTCGTCGCCTGAGGCATCCGCGTCGACGTCTACGACGTCCTCTGTAGGGTTCAGCTTGCGTCTTTTGGCTTCAGGCATGATAGGCGACAAAGGGGGGGTGCAGGATGATGGGCAGTAGCAAGTGACGGGCGCTAAAATGCGAATTTGAGATCGATCGCGAGGCTGGCTAGCAGCGTTGAAGTTCAACTTGACAAGGACGGCTGAGGGTCGAGCACGGAGACAGACGATGAAGAAGCGGTCAAAGGCTTCGGAGCCGCAGTATGACTGACATCCAAAGACCAGTTAGCCATGTCCCTGTAGCATACTTATCTACAGGTCCGCAAAGAGGAGAGACGAGATACTAGGTAATACAGTTCCGGTAAGATAAGATTGAGCACAGCAAAGGAAATCGTGAAGGGGTCGTGAAAGCCGTGAAAGGTCGTTCCAAAATAATGTAGGTGTTGCATGGGTGAGAGTAGCGTGAGACTGACGTGCGGGGAGAACGTGTGCGCGGCGTATGCAGGATATAGTGACGGGACATGAGGATAGCACGATGTGGATAGCAGGAACGAAAGAGAAGAGGTTTGAGGGGTAGGGGAGCCGAGGTCATGACTTGGAGTCGCTCCGTGCGGCGCCCTCGCTCTTACCACGAGGACGACCGTCTACTGCGGAAGCTGGTCGCGAAGAGGGGATGGCCGAGTCGTCCTGTGCTCGGGAGAAGAAGTCATCCTCCCCTTCATATGGCGAAGATCCAGCGTTGATCTATGGAAGTATGGTCAGCATACGAGCGAGAGGGTGGCGCGCCTCATGGACGGCGGCCCTTAAAAAAGACGCACCCATTGACCCAGCACCTCCCCCACCTGCTTCGCCTCTTCTGGAGTAAAGTTACAGTCCGTCCCCTTCTCTGCATGCAGTCGGAGCAATTCGCTCAACGACCGCCCGCCCTTCCCTTCTACGCGCCTTCCCGGCGTGGCGTGCTCGTCCGCGCCCCCCGGGAACGCGACAGAGTTCCGTGGTGGCGTCGATGGCGCAGCCGACATCTCCAACGAGCGATCCCAGTCCTCCATCTGGGAGCCGTTGGAGTGTATGGACAGATTGGACATCGAGAGGTCGTCCGCCATGATTTGTGATCGCGTCGCGGCTATTTGCTCGCGTTCGCGGAAGTAAAGTGCTGACAGCTGACGTTGAGGCTGTGCAGGCGATTGGGATATCGCGGACAGTTAAGGTCGCAATGAGAATCGTGGACGGGACTTGGAGGGAGGTAGGCGCGCAAGTATGATGTACTGCAGCGGCTTGGTGGCAGGAAACAAGTGTGAGAAATGCACAGGTCCAGCCTCAATTTGTTCCGTCCACGCGCTGTTAAACAAACCACGGTCACGTGGAAAACAACACTTCTCGTCTTGTTGAAGTTCCAACTCGCCAGAATGGGATAGAGAGATGTGGCACACAAATCCTCTGAAAACAGAACCAAATGACTATGCTCTGAGAGCCTACAACTAGTTGGGAAGAAACTGCTCTAGCTATTGCGAGGTCAATCACATGACTGCCAATGACTACTGTAGGCATTCGAAAGGGCGGGCCGATGCACCCGACCATCTTTCGACGTCTATTGCGCCTTTTGAATCTTCCCCCAATATCGATCTGGCAAAGCCAAAACCTGTTCGAGCTCGAATTGAGCCGAGACCACGATAAACATGCTGGAAGCACATTGCTCAAACAGCCCTCTGAACTGCCAGCTCGCCATTGTACTTCGCGTACAGCTGCAGTTCATCTGGCGTGAGCGAAGGGCCACAGCCTGATCAGATTACGTCCCTAGGAAGTACAAGGTCTTGAGGCCTGCGATAGCTCCTGTGGAAGCCTTACTCCTTGCCCGCTCCCCCGTTGTGCGACCTTACAACCTCGCGCTACCCCTCATCCTCCCCCGTTGCTCGTCCTCAGCGCTACCACATACCACTGACCATCCCTTTCGTGATAAGCAGTTATCAACAGATCTCACAGCATGGACAGTGGTTTTCCCGCGATCCATACACCCGTAGACATGCCAAGGCGTGCTTCGCCGCCGAGCGACCCCCCGCCTCGTCGGCCCTCACTCCGGGTCCATCTCTCCCCACCTGCGCTGCAGGACAGCGACCACCCCTTAACGGACAGCCCGACGGACATCGATTCTGCGTCACACTCAACGTGCGCACCGAAAGTTGACTGCGCAGACAATATTCGCGATGCAGACAATACTGCCAACGAAGACCGACCGAGTGTCTCTGCCTCAGAATCGGAGGATAGCGCATCCCCTGGCTCGTCTCCAACGGATTCCACATGCAGTGCTCCTGACTGGTCAGGAGGATCCGTCGCTGAGCATCGCCCCGAACGTATCTTACCAGGACGGGACCTTCCCTACAACCTACGCCCTCTTCTGCCGGACAATCTGGACCCGAACCCCAGCGCGCCCATTCACACCATGTATGTTCATGCAACGTTATGATCACAAAGTCTGACTCCTTCAATGTTAGACCGCAATTCGATCCGAATGTCAGGTACACTGTACATGCTGGCCAATGCAAGTTCGGATTTGGGTGCGTTTAGGTCCTCACTGGGCAGATAACAATATTGACCGCCGTCAAGTGAGAAGGTGCCCTTGGGATGGGTGCGCGTCATTCACCCCGCCGGCCAGCCATACTTCTGGAACGAAGAACATGTAGGTCCTGCGTGTCATCTCGCGCTCGATAGTACCTGACTGCGTGCATCAGAACGCTGTTACTCTCGAATGGATGCCAGACAGCGTTGTTGCCAAACACGTCAACAGGACCCTTACCTACGTCGCCCACCAAATCGAGCATTGGGACGGCGAGCCGCTCCCAAAGGACCGTCAAATCGTCATCTCGCTGGAACCAACGCCGAATGCAACTACTGATTATGCTGCCCTTTACTATATCGCCTCGCCGCGCTACGAGACTATATTCTGGTTGGCGGAGTACAACCTCGACTGGGAGATAGGCTTGATGTTGCAAGCGCAGCTCGAGCCTCAGATGCTGGGTATATACCTCAAGTACCAGTTCTAGTGAGTTTGCGGAGACATCGTTCAAATCTCTCCATGCTGACAGAGACATCGTAGCAAGCACTGGGACAACTTCCCCGATATTCAGACTGTATCCCGATGCCAGATCCGCCGCTGGCAAATGATCCTCGAGAACGCCCTTGCAGGTAAGCGGCTACTCTCTATCGCTCGTGGCGATAGCTAACCCACGGTATAGACGTCCGATTCTCGAAGACGTCAACCGTGAACTACAACGTGGACAAATTGCAGGAGATGATAGAGATGGTCCATCGCATGTACTGTGCGTCTCGCTCCGTATCGAAGCGTCTTCAGGTGACTGACACGGGCGTAAAAAGCCCGGGCCAGTCGGGCGGCCGCGCGAGACAAGAAAAAGGCGGAAAAAGACGGCAAGGACAAGAAAGACTACAAGGTCAAGGCGCGAGCGCCAAAGAAGCCTGATCTCTCCGTCGAGGGTGAATGGCTCCCAGGTCGAATGATGCAGCACTTCTGTGAGTAAACGCACGCGCATACAGCGACGCTCGTGTCCTGACTTGCCGGGTTAGATCAGGATCGCTTCCTGAACCTATACAGCCAGCGCGGCGCGCGCGTCGACCGCCTGCAGTCTGTATTCGGGAAATCGCCGGGCGATATCCCAAAATCCTGGTACATCCGCATCCTCGGTCTCCTCCTCTTCAGGGCTCCGAATAACCACCTGGACGAGCTGAACCAGATGTGGGTGGACACCGTGCTGTCGCGGAAGGTGTGGAAGAAGCGCGTCAAGGCGCTGCTTTCGGATTGGACAGAGCAGCGAGTTTTGGTACGTCGTGCTCCCCATCCGGGGGGACGCTGGCTAATCAGGAGCTCAGGCGACCATCTTGTTGACGGCGAACATGTCATTCCTCAGCATCGATGGTCCATCACCGGACGGTTTCACTAAGGTTATGTGTTTCCTCTCGGTAATCAGCTCATGTGCTGCGTTCGTCCTCATCACGGCCTTGGAGAGGCGTATCCGGAGGATTCAGAAGAATATTGATCTGCAAGCTGCGGTACGTGCTCCCCGGCATGCCCTTTCCCGCATGCTCATGACGAACAGCAAAACTGGCTTCAGCTGCTGAACAATAGCAAGATCGGGCTGGAAATCCTCGCCGTTCTACTTGGCCTGCCGTATGGCTTCACTGTCTGGTCGTAAGTGGTGCCCATTCCCATCAGCTTCGACGTCTAACATCTCGTGAGAATCATCTTCTTCTGCATCTCCTTCCTGAGCTACTGCATGGACGACGTGAAGTCGCCCACGGGGATCACCGTCGGAACGATTTTCGGGATACATTTCATCATCGTCGTATGGGCCCTCTGGGTGTCGATGGAGAAGCGAAAGCCCATCCAGGACCACGGGCAGATGCCCAAGGTGGTCTTCACGAAGGTCGCGAAGGCCAGTAGGTCCGCGAGCAGGGCTTTGTCGGGCCCTATCCGTCGGATGTCCACGAAAGCGTGGCAGACGACACAGAGGTCGTTATCATTCGCTATACAGCAGGTGAGTCAGTATTGTTCGACGTCACTAAGTGGTGGCTTACATGTCGCTCTTCGCAGAATGGTCAGGACAAGAACGAGCTTCCCCTGTACAGGCGGTCAACCCAACTTCCGCCCAATGGATCTATTGCATAAGGAAGGTGTAGAATAACATCAAAGTGTATCGAGTCTCGCAAGGAGGAAGTTGACTCTGTTGTAAGGCGAAGGACATGAATATTTGCCAATCTGTAGTATGTACCCTCGCCTCTGTCGAGTTTAGCGACATTATTATCAACCAGACATGCGTGCTTCCCGGCGTGAATACCTGAGCAGGGTCTACATGTCTCTGTTGGTTCAGGTCTAGTTGGACTTTGTTGGTCCAGGCTGGACTGTCCACGTGTCTCTCGGCCCGGTAGCCGGTTCGCTGGCGAACGTGTTGAATCAGTGGATGCGGAGTGGTTTTGTGCTCCTCACACGGAATGAACACGTCGACGGGAAGTCTTCTTCGGAGGGCGGCGCTTCATGGACTGAAATGAGGTGCGCCTTCGAAGTCCTAGTACCAGGAGGGCTGTACTACTTATTGAATCGATGGAGCACAGGTCTTGCCGCATGTTGATCTGCTATTTGGCTTGGGGGAGCATGGGCGGCGAATGAGCGCTCAGAGAGCGCCAGGCTTCGCGTATTCTCCACCTTCACTGCGCGCCTCCCTCTGACCAGCTGGCGCTCATACCGATCCTGTCCTCGCGTTCCCCTCCTGCTTCTCAGTATGTCAGGCATGTCAGGACCATCGCGAGACAGCTATTCCATGTCTGGACACTCCTCCGACGCCAGCCGATCGTCTCTCCCATCGGCTCGTCCTGCTCGTCGCCGCAGACCCTCCTCGTCGGCGCCGCCTCCGATCGTCATCCCCATCCTCGATGTCGGCGAAAACGAGCTGACAGAAAGTCCGAAAGGGATGTACAATCGGGACTCGTTTTCGTCAGATAACGGCAGGCATCCCGGCAAGCGCGCGTCTCTGGCCAGCCAGCGCTCGCGGAGCTGTTCCCCCGCACCGACAGCCTCGAGCGCGTCTACTGCGACTTCCAAGACCTTGTCTTTCCAGAGCCACCTTGTTGGGGGTGGCCCCATCGCCCACCACAATCCCGATGTAGTGCGCTCAAATACGGAGCATTCAGAGGAGGACGAGAAGCCTTTCGCATTGCGGCCATTCCTTCCTGAGGGAGTTGATCCAAAGTCTGAAGAGCCACAGTTCACTGTGTACGTGCTGTGCCTGTTTTCTCGGATGACGACTAACGTCTACCAGGAATCGAGCGAACGGCGAAGACTACGAGGTAGAAGCCTGTCAGTGCGACTTTGAGCCATCGTACGTCCTGTCGTCTGTCTTTGCCTGCGACATGCTCGCTCATCGTTTCTGCAGAGACAATCCGCCTCCGGGCTGGACGCGGCTTACCCACCCCGATGGTCGACCTTTCTTCTGGCATCAGAAGAACGTATGTGCCGTACCCTCATCTGTACTTCGGCCTCTGACGGACAAACCAGCGGGCGCTTACGGCGGAGTGGATGCCCGATGGTGCTGTAGCCAAATGCGTCGATACCGTCGTTGAATTTATCCTCGATGAGTACGAATACCGTCACGGCAACCGCGAACTAGGGGATCGTCAAATCGTCGTTGGATTGGAAGCTCTGCCGCTGCTCGGACCTGATCAATACGCCGCGTTATATTACCTCGTCGATCCCGAGAAAGAATGCGTCTTCTGGCTAGAGAAATATTCGATTTCGTGGGAGATATCGCAGGAGACGGAAGCCCAACTCGAGTCGCAGTTGATAGGGCTCTTCTTGCGGTACCAATTCTAGTACGTTGGCTGGCTCTCATCAGTGGCGCTTTTGACCTACGAACGTACAACTAGTAAGCATTGGGATAACTTTCCGAACGTGCAGAAGACTTCTCCGGAGCGAATACTCCAATGGCAGAAGCTCCTTGACGACGCGCGGGCGGGTAAGCACATCCATTGTGCCCGGTAGCAGCTGACTCATGCACTTTCCAGATGCCTTTTTCTCTACCACGTCGACAGTCAACTACAATGTGAAGGAACTGACGAGCCTTATTGAGATGGTCGATTCGATGCTCTGTTAGTAACGATGGCCTTTGCGTTTCTCTGCATGCTCAATCTCTTCGCAGCGCGTGCAAAGACCGCGAAGAAACTGGGCGTACGACTCGAAGGCGAATGGCTGCCTGGACGAATGTTACAAAACATCTGTGAGTCAACCGTCTTCGTCCACCGCCACCATCTAACCTCGTCAGATCACGACCAATTCATGAACTTATACAGTCAACGGGGCGCCCGTTCGGATCGCCAACAGTCGATCTTCAACGAATCGCCCACCGATGTCCCCCAGTCGTGGTTCATCAAGATCTGCGGGTTCTTCCTGTTCTGGGCGCCCCAGCACCATCTCACGGGCCTAAACCGCATGTGGGTTGACCGAATGCTGGCGAAGGAACCTTGGAGAAATCTCGTGAATACGCTCCTAAGGGAGTGGGAAGGACATCGGGTTGTGGTACGTGCGCCGCGTGTTCACTCGTGGGGGGCGCGGCTGACGCGGTTGGATCTGCAGGCGACCATTCTTCTCGCAGCGAACGTGTCCTTTCTGGGCGTCAACGACTTGCCGGAGGGAATCGTCCAGATCGCCTGCTTTCTGTCCGCGATCAGCTCGTCTACGTCGTTCGTCCTGATCACCGCGCTGGAGGGTCGTATCCGGCAGATGGAGAGGCATGATATTCTTCGAGCAGTATGTTCCCTCTCGTGTCGTCGCTTCGCACTCGATTGACCTTTGCGCAGCAAGCGTGGCTCAAACTTCTTAACAACGAGAACATTGGTCTCGAAATTCTGGCCGTGCTGCTCGGCCTACCATACGGATTGACCATCTGGTCGTAAGTCAATTTCATCTTCGCCGGCTTAGGGTACAAGCTCAACTCGCCCGCAGCGTGATCTTCTTCACCGTCTCCTTCATGGCCTTCTGCATGCACGATGTCAAGTCCACGACCGCGCTCATCGTCAGCGTGTACTTCGCCTGGCACCTCATCGTCCTCCTCTGGTCGCTTTGGATATCGCAGGAGGATCGCAAGACCATACACGACCATAGGCGGATTCCTAAGGTCGTCGTGAAGAAGGCGGGCAAGGGCGCGAAGTCTGCCGGGAAGGCTGTTGGGAAGCCGATAAAGAAGATGACCAGGAGCCTGACTATCCAGGTCGCGAAGAAGTCGACGAGATGGTCGGACTCGGACAAGACGGCGGTGGACTCGGTGAGTGGTGTTGATCATCGAGGATACGAATGCATTAGCTTACACGCGCGCAGCGCGGCTCGGTCACCTCTTTCGGGATGGGCGCTATGAGGAGCAGCCCCGACGCGATGGTATGATGACGGGGAAGAGATGTAACACTGTATTCCGTCGTTGGCTTGGGCATGTACTCTATCGTCTTGAACAACGTATGTATGTAAGTACCAGTAGGTATTGTATGTAAACGTGACATATCTGTGTCTAATCAAAGTATGTAAATACTGCTTTCACTACGTGCAGTCGACTACTTATGCGATCGTCGATTTTCGACGCTGACCCAACTGCTGAGGTGCGCAATGGCGGCGCATATAATGTGCTGCCCTCTTAAGCCTTGACAATTGCTATACCGAAGACGCGCAGACACACCCATACAAGAGGGCGTGGACGGTGGAACCGGGATAAACGCCTACATAGCGCTTAGACACACGTGTATCCCTAGCATTATCCAGCTCTGTGCCACCACCAGGCCGTCGCCCCGAGGATCTCCTCGCTGGACCCGCTAGGCTATTCCAACCGCACACAGGGGCAGCCGCCATCGCCAGTCTGAACGCAGGCCAGCCGGCCCAAATATACCCTTTTGAGACTTTGTGGCCCATTCTACCAAAAAATCTGGGTTTCCCTCTTACTTACAGGATCGACAAGCTAGCACTTGAAGGGACAGAGGGTAGCGTTTCCACCGAAGCCGAAAAGATTTATTCTTTGTCTCGACTGAGTATTGCAACGACAGGCCCCTCTGGTAGCACGCACCGCCCCACTGGACCATGCCGTTCCCAGTCCAGTTCAGGCGCAAACGGCAAGTGACTGCATCCCGCCGGCTGGCACGTATCTGCGTGAGTACCAGCCTCCAACGGTCCCGCTGCTCACTATCTCCTCGTGCGGTGAACACGGAAGTTAGCGTTGAGGAAGATTGATGCCTGCAAGTGTACTCGGTTTCGGAATCCATCGCTACTAGTCGTTCAGCTCCAAGCGGGTATGGGGCCTGCGTGCACTCTATTCTCTTGTTGATTGCTTGCAGTAGCAGTGGTGTCGTGGTTTAACACGAAATGCGTTTCAAGGCCATCACAGGATATTTTCGAGAATTAGGCAGTTCGAAATCTAGAGCGACTTCGTGGGAAGCACGCTTGGCGCCTTTGTGAGACGCGCGGTTCGTATGTACCACAACTAGGGTGCTGAAGGTTACCAGGTTCCTAAAATCATTCATACAAAGGACTCCCGCGAATGCCCTGCTATTATTGACGGGAACATGACCGTCCGCGAGTTGGACGGTTAGTAAGCGCCTCGAAGCAGACTAGTCATCCCTTTGAAAGCACTGATTCCACCTCAGACTTTCCAGAACCCAGCCGCCTCAATGAATCGCTTCGAAGCTTGACCTTGGGCAAGTCAAGCACTCGCGCAGATTTGCGAACGGCGTACATCATACGACTGTAGCGCGTCCTTCATCGTCTATGGCTCCATCAACGTCATTGTTGCCGAAACAAGTTAGCTCACAAGAGGAGAGTGCGCAAGGAGGGAGGGCTTCCATCGCTCGCCCTCCGCTCTGTAGCTTACTATAAGGCGAGTTAGAATGACATACCGCGCGTGAAACGCTACCCAAGTACACAATACATGAGCAAGTCCACTTGTCTTCGGGTCGTGCGCGCGAATTCTATTGAACCTCGTCCTAGTATTCTCACGCGCGGAATCGGGCGTGTCGTCCGTCCCGATGGAATATGCACGCTCATCTGCCCCGTCCGACCTCCAGTGCCTGCGCGTCCTAGCTACGAAGCTCCCTGCTGCCAGAGCAAAAGGTGATTGATCTTTCGCCATCCAATCATGCAGCCATCTTCTCAATGGAAATCCTCAGCTGGCTACACGCCAGCTTGAATGCATTAATCCCGCCCCGCACCCTTCGCTCTCAAGGCGATGTAACAGCTCCCCACTCCGAAACTGTCTCTCGCATCCTCCATCCTCGTCTCCCTGCAACGCCGCCTAACCTGGCGAGATGATGCGAACCAGTCCAAAACCAGCCCAATAATCGGGAGAGACACGAACCGAGGACGCTCCGAAGCTTCGTACCAGTGGATCCTCTGAGAGCCAGCTGCATTCAAGTCGCGTGTGTTCAGCTGAGGACTGTGTGGTCATCCTACCTCCGCCGAGATTACAGGGTTAATCGAAGGGGACACACTACGAGTCTTCCAATAGAGCTTAGACTCTCGGTTAGGACGCCTTGCAGGTAAGCATCGTTTGGGGTGTCCTCGAATCGTGATACTGTTCATATATCGGTCAAAAGGCGCACGACATCCTGGCTCTGGCTCTGACGCAGAGCGAATGCCATTTCAATGTGGAGTGGTTGTACTCGAACACCGCGTGTACCGCGGCCCTCTCAGGTCGCTTCGATGCAGCAACATGGGTGCGTTCGCCTGCCTTCCCCTCGTACGCTTTACCACGCCTCGCTATGGCGCGCCGCAGCGAAGATAAGTTGAAGCCGTAGATATATGCCTACGTATTCGTCGTGTCTACCCTCCAGAACTGCCCAACCTCTCCTTCGCCCATGCCGTCCTCAGTTCACGGAGAATATTCTGACTCCGAGTCTACAACAAAGTCCAGTCTTATGGAGGCACCTACCATCAGGGAAGACCTGCTCCCAGGCCGCATAAGGGTACAGCAACAAGCGGATATTCTGGACGCTTTCCCTCTCCCCAGCCATTGGTGTGCGCCCCAAGGATCAGGAGTCCTCGCAAGCCTTCGTCGGGCACTATTCAATCTTCTGTGTATAGCGGCCTATGGACACGCTGTGCCGGAGCTCGTATGGGCCGCTATACTCCTCGAGAAGGAGGCCGGTGATGAGAGTGTTTGGGAGGCCCATATTCGACATATATGCGACCATCTGAACAATGTACTTCTGGTGGTGCGTTTGCAATTGCATTTTACAACGAGTTCTAGCTCACGGTGTTGTAGGCAGGGCTACTGTTGGCTAGTGCGGCTACCTTTCTGACAACAGAGCCGCCAAGAGACGAGATCGTCAACTATACCCGTCGCGGCCCTTACATGTGTTTAGTCGGATCCTTTGGGCTACTCATCGGAGGCATCATCGCTGGCGAGGCGTGCGTTATCGTGACAAAAAAGGCGCAGGCATACTGGTCGGAGAAGGTCTGTTGCTGAGGCTCGTTCATCGCATGTTGCCTGACATTTGGTTTGACTCCAGGTTTTGTACGCAGACCGCTTTCATGTTTACTGCACCTTGATCATGCTCTCGTACCCTTTCTTCTCTGTTAGCATCGCAACACTACTTCTAGCCTTCGGTATGTGCCAGTGCATCGCATGTTCTCCGCATCTCATGCAGGGCTACCTTAGGCCTTCTCACTAGTGTATGGTCTGCCAGCGATCCCATCGTGCAGGGCGCGTCTTCCTTATTCCTCATCCCTCCACTCTCAATGACTTTCTTGTTCGCTCTTTCTTGTGCCACGGCGAAAGGCCCGAGTATTTTAACACCGCCTGAAAGGAGATCGCGTGAATCAGTGAATACAGCCCATGATAGCTCTGTCTGAGCCGTGTAACGATGATTAGGCTATATATTCGCGATCTTTGAGATGTGTACCTTGCTGTATTTATCTATTTAATATATATCTTCAGGCTTGACCGCAATGAGCGTCCAATATCTCGGATGAATCTCTTGGCTCTCTACGAAGCGCGAGTGCAGTATCCTGATTCGGACTCGCCGTCGGGAAACGTAAGCGCTCCTTCCGTGAGAGTTGAGGATGCATTTGAAGGTCCTGCATCCGAAACGCCTCTCAGTTCACGACAAGGTAATGGCAAGGCGCCACCCGGGGTGTTTCGCGGAAGACGCGTCTTGCGTGATTCGAACCCGCATGTACGGGTCGTCATGCGTACGCGTCACAGCTGGAGTGCTAGCGGAAAGCCACTCTGCATGATGATTGGGGACACCTCTTTACTGCGCGTCCCTGCCCTATTGACGCTCACAGAGGGATCGAATGGTGATTGCTCGACTAGGATGCAGGAAGACGTCAGCCTCCCTCAATGCAAGGTATCGTCGATCGTTGCAAAGGTTTACTATCTGGCAGGGCCGGATAGTGATATACAGCCTGAGTGCACACTACTTAGTAAGCCCTCAGCGGTCGCAACTCTTCGTACTTCCAATACTTCTTCAGATTCGCCCCTTTGAGGTCCTCGACCTGCGCGTGACGTGCTATAGTGAGGACAATGAGTAGCGCAAGCGGAGGACGTCATTTACCTCCTGATCTAGGTGCTTGAAGAGCACATCCTTGAAGCTATCCAAGCAAGCGCGCATCTCCTCTGGCGAATAAGAAGTGTTGTCCGTCCTGTATGTACGAACAAGGGTACTGAGGTCCTCAAGTCCTGACTGCGGGCAAGAGAAGGTCATAGGAGTGATCATGATTGTTACCTTTGTGTATTCCCTCGTGAGAGACGACATGCTCGCCCCGGTCCTTATGGGAGAACTGCGGCATGCGCTTGGCGAGGTAAGGAAACCAGAAACGCTCCTCGATAGTGTGATGCATGTTGAGGTCTATGAGGTGTGTCAATGGCTATCTGAGGTATATAATGTGTTGCTCACGGTCGATGAACGACAATGCGCTACGAAGGTAGAGATTTAGGTTCCATCCTTTCTTGCTGAAGGAACCGTCGGCAAGCTAGAGCTCTTCAGACATCAGGGAGTGACAGGCGGGTTAGGAGATACACCATACATCGTATAGCTCATCGACTGACTGTGAGTGAGAGTGCGAATGCATGAACAGTATTCATGTCCCTCACAATGGCGCTTGAATTCAGTATGAAAATAATTCATTTTTGTGCTAAGCTGTTGCGACAGAGGGTCATCCAGACTAAGAACAAGCAGAATGGGAGGTCAGACATACGCCGTCCCATTTTTCGTCAGAAATGGAGTCGTCCATGACTTGAGGAGATGATGGGGAAGGACAAGAAGGGAGCACCATTGTTCTCCGGATTTGGAAGTTAGGCGCGTCGCGTCACACGTCTCTCCGCGCCACCATGGCCGCCAGCGCGGACCCCTTGGAACTCGACCGGCTCGCCGAGGAGCTCGCGGAGCGCGAAGGGAAGTCGAATTCAATCGAACCAATAAACCATGATCTGCCTCTTCCCCTCCCCTTGTCGCACGAGAATCCGTACCTCACGGCCCCTACCTTCAATGTCGAGGAGTTCCTGCTGTCGCGGGTGCACACATCCCTGCCAGACCTGCGGAGGGAGCTGAGGGAGTACATGGCAACCCTCAAGGAGGAGCTGGTGCGCCTCATCAACGACGACTATGAAGCGTTCATCAGCCTGAGCACCGACCTGCAAGGGGAAGGCGTGCGCCTGGAGCGACTGAAGCAGCCGCTGGGGGACATCAAGGCTCAGATCTTGGTGCGTGCACATAGTTTGTGATTATGCGCAAAGCTCATACATAGGCAGGAATCGAAAGACGAGCTGAACGCTATCCAAGCTGCAATTCAGGACAAGCTGCAGAAGCGTGCAGTGCTGCGTGAAGAGAAGGTGCGTCGCTCATCAGTCTCCCTAGGCCTTAGCTGATCATTGAAGTCAGGCGCTACTTCACCTATTGCTCAAGATCTCCGAGAACATGACGCGCCTCGAGAGCCTGCTATCCATCACTACCGAGCAGGAATCCTCAGAGGGAAGTAGCAGCCAATTGACATACGGGATCGAGGAGACCACCGAGGACAAGTGCGTGCCATCTTATACACCACCATCCGATCGCTCATCTATCTGAAGGGACCGTACAAGCCAGGCCAAGCATCTCAGTCGCGTCGCGGCGGAGTACAACCAACTCTTGTACCATGTCAACAAGGCTCGGTCCGAGAAATGTGTCTTTGTCGACCAGATACAATGGGTATGCAGCTGGATCCCCATATACTTCCAATGCTAATGCGCTGCAGAGAATAGACCGCATTCAATCGTCGTTGTCCTCTGACCTGGATCACCTCTTCTCCAATCTGCTATCAGGCCTGGCGGACGGCAACAAGGTCTCCGAACTGAACAAGGCGAAGTGGACGTCGGACCTCACCGAATGCCTACGGACGTACGACATGCTGGGTCTTTGGCGGGACGCGGAGGACATCTTACGGCGAGACGTCGTCCGCGCGTATGTGAAGAAGGTCAGTCGCCAGCCCAGCTGTATGCTGACTCACTCATCTCTTCCAGGCTATCTTCCCTGGCGCGCTCGCAGCACCACCATCGCCTCTCGTGCCTCATACTCCCTTCGTAACCTCCAACGCGCCGTCCTTCCTCCAAAGTACCAAGCTGCCAGTCACGCCCTATACCCCATATACCGCCATGCACAACCGGACAACCTTCGCACCCACTCTTGGTCTGGCCTCATCTTCACCTTGGGCTCGCTCACTTGAAGAGCTCGACGACCCGCTCGCCAAGCTGTATATTCAGATCATCCGTTTCGTCGAGCGCGACCTCAGCCGCATCATGGACATCGCAGAACGAGTGTCGCTGAAGCCCATGTCCATGACATCGCGGGACAAGAACGGCAGCGCAGCGAACCTCACTAGTCTTGCGCTGGAGCCGGCGCGCACGTCGGAGTTCCAAGGCTTCGAGATGATGGCGAACGTCGTATGGGCTGAGATCGGGAACTCCATCATCGAGGAGCTGGGGACCGTCGTGTTCGCGGCAGGCAGGCCGAACGAGTTCCGCAAAGTAAGCCTCTGATTTGCGTGGGCTTCGTGAGCAGGGACTGACGAGTCATGCAGAACCATGAGATGACCCAGTTGTTCCTACGAGCGCTCGAGGTCCTGGCACCATCTGAACACGCCGTCGAGGTGATGCGAAAGCACCCGGTGTACATGAACTTCGAGCGGCGCTGGCAGCTACCCGTGTACTTCCAGTTGAGGTGGAAGGAGATCGTCACCAAGCTGGAGGAAAGCTTGAGCGTGACGAAGCTCGAGAGGGCGGGAGCAGGTATGAGATCTGCCTTGTTACGCGGGTCGACGGACTGACGACTTTGGTTCAGTCGCTGACAAGGAGTTCGCGACGAGTCAAGCAAGAGCGGTCTGGGAAGCGATATCTGCCTGCTGGAGTGCGGAGATCTACATCCCGGATTTGAGCCATCGCTTCTGGAGGTTAACGCTGCAGGTGAGCTTCCCCGCGATCTTATTCACCACAGCGTATCGCTCATAACATGCAGCTCCTTAGCCGGTACAAGACCTGGCTAGACCAAGCTCTCGCGGGCGCCGACGAATCACCAACGAGGACGACTGCCGCTTATCCGGCCAAGGAGCGCGTACGTCTGTTCATTTGCGAACCAAGGATCTACTTACGACTGGCGTCAGCGCGCCGACTCACCCGTCGGGCGTTCCTCCACGTCGACGCCGGCGCCGCCAAACGAAGCGCCGTCGGCTGAGAGCATCGCCGCGGACGATGCGGCTCTGCGCAATTGCTCGACTGTAATGGCGGACATCCGCGCGATGGAGGCGAATGTTATGACCATTTGGCAGGAGCAGATCAGCGTTCTACTGCCTGAGTCGGCGAATGAGGATGAGACGAATCCTGAAGGTGGGCATCTGACTTATCATGACGACCCTTTAGCTCACATTCTCCAGACGCCCTCAAACACTCGCTGGAGCAGATCACCTCTTTGCAACCCGGGCTTTCCAGGCGCATCATCTCGGTGCTCGTGCGGCGCTGCTCAGAGGCGCTCTTGCCTGTTCGCTCGATCCCCTCGCAGTTTCGCGCCATGTCGAACAAGAAGATGCCTTCCGAAGCCAGCTACTTTATCCCGACGATCTTCAAGCCCGTCAAGACGTACTTCGGTATCAACACCACCGAGGGGCCGGGCTCTCCGCTGAAGGACCTGGTCCACCCTTTCGCTGTGGAGATCTTCGAGACCGTTGCGGAAAGGTAAGGCGACACTCAAGCACTTTCCCGCACATCAAGCTAACATCGGACTCAGGTACGGGTACTACGTGACCGCCATGCGCAAGACGGAAGAGTCGCTTCGGCGCCTGAAGAAGGGCCGCAAGACCACGTTCTCGCTCTTCGGCGGCGGCGCGAAGGACGACGAGGGTCGCGATGAGGAGCGGATCCGGACGCAAATGATCCTTGACGTCGAGGCGTTCGGGAGAGAGGGTGAGGCATTGGGGGTGGATGTGGGGCAGAGCGCGGCGTTCAGGATGCTGGACGAGATGGTGCACAGGGAGGAGGGTGAGCTAGGGTCCTGCACGTTCGTTCATTTCAGCAGAGCACTAACGTGCCTCCAGGTGATGCCCAAGCTTGATCTGGTAGCGAATGTCTTGATACAGACAAATACACTGAAATTCGGCCATGCCTTGCAAGCGTGTAAAACTGCCTTGACGAGGCATCCCCAGGGTTCGCGCGGTAGAAGTCCGCGGCACCAGGGGACAGGTTCGCTCCTGCAGTTCTTGTACCGACTGTCGGTGGGGCGGCACAATGCCCAGTCGGCCGATGACGAGGGTCGTGAGTACAGAGAGGTCAGAGAGGTTGGGCGTTCGTCAGTGCATTGACTAATGCTGACTGCGGGGCATACTTCCATTCACTGGCTCACGCTCGGTGCTCATCTTTGTGGAATTTCCCTAAACGTCGCAGAGGTCTGCGCGATGGTAGGCAACGTCGAGGTACTATCTTCCTATCCGACGGAAGCTCATGGTCTTTTCTCCGAGAGTCAGAGATTGAGAACGACGAGGTTGGGGTGAGACAATAAGCTGTATTCTCCCCGCAACCGTGTGCGAAGTAACACCAGCACCGTGATCTTGAAGACCCTATCCCCGCCGGAAGCATGCCCGTCTGTATATAAGTGCGGCTCGAACCGCGCAAGACTCACGGCCGGCTTTGACGCGACCCATCCCCGCGCCGCCATCAAATTCAGCTGCCGGAAGCATTCCCTATTGTCGGCCATCTTCGTCGTGCCTGCCCTCTTTGCATCTTGCCACCTTCCACCATGTCCACGATCCCCGCACGCCGCCGCCGCCACTCCTCCTCGGGCAACAAGCCCTCATCGACCGTGCAGATGCTCAGCAAGGTCGCAGCGGATCCCGTTCCGCGGCCTAAGAGCACGACGGGTGTCGCGCGCCCCGTGCAGCGCCGCAGAGAGAAGAGCCCGGAGCACGGCGACGACGACCCATCGAGCGCGAGCGACTCGGGCGACGAGCACAGCAACGTCGGGCACAGCGATGGCGACGAGCCATCTTTCGATGCCCCCTCGTCCGATCGCGCCGGCGCCGGCGCGGAGCTCGAAAATTTAGCCCCCCGGCCGACAAAGCCGCTGCCCACAAGGCTCGCCCCCTCCTCTTCTGCCACCACCACGCAGAACGGATCGCACGCCTTCAACATGGCAGCCACAAACGTCAAGACCGAGTACGCCCAGCCGCGTCCCGTCCCCATCGCAGCAGCCAGTGCATACGCGCCCGCGCCATCACTTCTCAGCAACCCGCAGATGCTCCCGCAGCTGGCGCATGTTAGCCAGCAACGTAGACTTTATGTCATTCTCGAGCAAGCTTGCCTTGAGGCGTACCGTATCTCTGCGCCCAAGTCGGCCGGCCCGAACGCGCGCGGTCGCGGTGGCGAGGTCAAGTACACACTCCTGAACTGCGATGATCACCAAGGGATTCTCGCGAAGACTGGGAGGGATATCGCAGACGCGCGTCCGGACATCACCCATCAGGTGCGCAGATCGATGTACTTTTTTGAGCGCTGGTAGCTGATTGACCTGCAGTGCTTGCTCACCTTGCTCGACTCGCCATTGAACAAGGCGGGCCTGCTTCAAGTGTACATTCACACTGCCAAGGGCGTCCTGATTGAGGTCAACCCTCATGTCCGCATCCCGCGTACGTTCAAGCGCTTTAGCGGCCTCATGGTGCAGCTTCTGCACAAGCTTGCTATCCGTGGCGCCAACGGACCCGAGAAGCTTTTACGCGTTGTCAAGAACCCAGTCACCGACTACTTGCCTCCCGGCACTGTCAAGCTCACCCTTTCTGGCGATGCACCGACAGTCCGCTTGTCGCAGTACTTGCCCTCGGTGCTCAAGTCGTACGGACAAGGTAAGACATTTTCTCTTTGTTCTCTAAAACACGTTTCTTATCGCCGTTGTCCCCTAGGCAATGCCCCTGCGCAGAATGTCGCGGTCTTTGTCGGCGCCATGGCCCGTGGCCGGGACGACTTCGCGGATCAATTTGTCGATGAAAAGATCTCGATCAGCGAGTACGCCCTGAGTGCGAGCGTCGCGTGCGGCAAGGTGCGTCGTGGTACTTCCGGCCTGTAGATATCTTATTAACACCCGCCGTAGTTCTGCTGCGCTCTTGAGGAGCTTTGGGACGTCGTCTAGGCGTCGCCGGTCTTGGCGAAGGTCGTCGTAAAGACGGCCACGCCGGTCCCTCCTTTCTTTCCTGTCCCTTCATATACGCGCGGAGTTCAACCCTCATGCGCACCTTTTTCGAGTTCAACTCTCGTCCTCTGATGATGATCATGAAAAGAAAAAGAAATGCCAGCATTCGTGTTGTCTCGCTTTGCGCCCGTGCCCCCATACTATCATCGTCGCACGCCAACCCACCACCAGAACACCCTCGCATCGACAACGCACCACCTCACACCACTCGCCCTCATCACGAATGTCACGCAACCTAGCATCTACCGCACCAGACCGCTCGCGTCCTGTGCATGCCTTCGTCCTACCGCGCGTCAACCGCACGCCGTCGCTCGTTCATGCCCCTCTTTACCCCTAACTTATTACCTTCTGCTTCGCCCACCTGCCTTTCAACCGGCGGGATTTCTTCTTGGTGTCTGTACTCTCTTTCGTGTACTTACTGAACTATCTGCTACTGCTTGGTTGTTGGTAGTTGATCAACGGATATGGTTGATAAATGGCACTTGCTTCTGATCTCGTTCCAAGTGGAGCGGACTTGCTCGCGCTGTGCCGCCCTTGTGAACTATCCGATTGAACAGCTGACTGACCTATGGTTCTGAGCAACGCCCACACGCAAATGGCGATGATCCTTCAACAGCTGCAGCGCGCCAGGATCGGAGCAAAAAGAGACAATAAATATTGAGACCCGTAGGTCTACCACTCCGGAAAAGCGTGTCATCCTTGTGCAGGGGCCATGCTAATCTTCTCTGTATCGTTCCAAATTTTTCGTATGTCACCCCGAAGGGGACGTAAAGGGAGAAGGTACGCACGAAGTCATTGGCAGATTTTTGGAGTTAAATTTGGCGCGGAGGGTGTGCGCCTGTGGGTTCGTAGCGGTCCGTCGAACGCGAGTCACGCGCGTGCGTGTCACAGCGAACTCCGGCTTGCTCTCGACTCTCATCTATGGCTTTTCCATCGCGCTTGACGACGCGCTGCTGGTACGGACTCGTGTATCAGGAATGACTCGGGATACATGCAGTTCTACCTCTACTTGATTCGCGGCACGATCCATCTCGCAAGCGTGGTTGAGCAAGATCGACTCAGCAAGACTCAGCTCGTCCGACTTACTTGACGCCTCCCTCAGCCTTCCGGCCAACACAGCTGCAGTGAAGAGACATGATCTATAGCTGTGCTAATAGACAGTGGCTATAGGTGCTGACCCATCCAGCAGCGCGCCGGCGACCGCATCTCATCTGAGGACCTTGACTAGCGCCCCTTTTAGAGCACAATCAGAATGTTAATCCCCCATGATTGTGATATGCTTGCGGCTGCGGACGCGTTGTGCTAAAAGTGAATGGCATGGTAATCTTGCGATGCAGATTCCTAGCGTGGAAGGTTGGGTTGCGCCAGCGTATTTTGCATCACGGACCCAAGTAAGTCTTGACCCGCTCAGCCAATACTGATTGTTCAATATCAGAGCTTGACCTCGAAACTCGTCCTGCCAAGTCCCTGCGGATATTACGACAACCAGGACGTAAGAGATACCGTCCCCAGGCGTGCTGGCCCAAGGGACGTACAGGGATCCTAGCCTGTACGCTATCGTAGACTAGCGTGATACACTGATTCCGCAGATTTCGATTCGCCTATTGTTTCAGGTTACGCACAGATTGTCAAAGTATCACTGCAACATGATCAACCCCGTCTTAAAGCCACCTGCGTACCGCACTGTCTCTGCCAGCCTGCAGTCTGCGCAGCGCGCCGGCTTGTGCGCGCTGAGCGCCCAGTCTCCGCCAATGAAGATGGTTGATTTCGTCGCAACTCTGTCTGCCGTATATACGGGCGTATATAATCCAGGTTCTCATCCTACAGGTTCCAAGCAGTCACCACTATCCAAGCCATGTCTGACGATACATCTAGCCAGCCGCAAGTTCTCCGCCTCGGGTCGCGCGATGTGTTGATGATACAAGTTGCGCTTATGGAGATAGCGGTCGACCTTGTATTCTACGGTGAGAGCGGTCCGCACCGGAAAGGACGACATCAGACGCTGACTTTCGGACTTCGAAGGCGTACAGACAGGCCTCTTCTTCGCCGCCGTGTCCGCTCTAGCGTAAGCGTAGTCTCTGTCTCTCGTATGTCAATCCTTGACTAACGACGCGTAGACATCAAGACAATCGATCGCGCCTTGTCACAGCGGCCGTCATCCTCCTCTTCGTGTCCTCGACATCCGAGGTCGCCCTCGAAATTCTGTTCTATGTCGTGCAAGCACCCATGATTCTTGCAACGGATTTGGGAAGCGTTTACGACCTCCTTTTTCGCCTATATCTCGCCACCGAGATTTGCTTCAGGTTCAATGTGAGTTTGCTGTGCGTCTCCCATTCACAAGCTCTCTTTTCTGATGCTTCCACGCTGGCGCATCCAGTTTATCATGAGCGACGCGATCGTGATCTGGCGTGCGTGGGTGCTCTGGCGCGACAACCGCATCGTTAAAGTCATTCTCTCTTTGTGCATGGCCGGAAGCTTGGGTGAGTCCATGCCTGCGAAATATCGGTGTCAACACTCAGTAGCAGCATAGTATTGCCTATCGTTGAATGCGTATTCTGGGTCAGGGATGCGATGGGGGAGCCGGTCCCTCACTTGATGTCGCTCATGGTCACGACGCCGCTTCTGGTCACGAACTCCGTCACTACAATCCTCGTCGGCTTCCAAGTATGGTGCGTATGCGGTGCACGCGCAAGGCTCGCTTGCTGAGTTGCGCTTCAGGTATTATCGTCGCAATATCAAGGGAGCAATAGGCCCATGGAAGCGGTCGACCCAGGTCGAGAAGGTCCTTGTCCTTCTCTTGGAATCGGGGTTCGCGTACTGTCTGATATGGGTACGCCGTCACATCGTCTTACAAGCCCTTCGATCGAACCTTCCTCAGGCGGTCCGCCTCGCTCTCGACGTAGCTCAAAGTGCTGGTCGTATTGCTATTCCCTACGCCGTTATCACGATTGCCTATCACAGTACCGCCGTATGTCTCTGCTCATATCTAAGAAGACCGGTGCTGACACGCGCGCACCTTCAGGGGATTTATCCCACCCTAATTATCCTCGTCGTCGCAATGCAACGGTCAGCAACGCAAGACCTGGCGCTCAGTCAACAGATATCTCTACCCATAATGGAAGGAGAGGAGATCGTCTTCCAGACGAAGAGCGGGCCATCGAGATCGGTCGACGAGACGCATAGCGAATGGCTATCTGGGTCTTCGGTGATACAAGATATCACTCAGGAAGATCGATCGTTGACTTCAGGCGAAGAGACTTTGCCCTACGATGCCACCCATGGCGAGCCGAAGCCTGTTGTTGAGCGCACACAGACATCTTAGCTTTATGTCTATGTCAGCGAGGCATCTCAGTAATTGTGCGTGTGATCGGTCGTCTGAAGGTAGGGCAACTAATCCCGTTCTTCCGCCCTTGAATTGGGTTTTTGTCGCCTTCTCAGAGCTAGGATCCAAAGTATGTGTATAATATTGGCGATAGTGAAAATAAGACCGTTGCGGGATGACGGTCGTCTATGGGCCTTCTTGTGATTCACTCCATCTCAGAATTCGCGAAGCGTCGTTCTCGCTTCACGATGCTCAGAGCTTCTCAGGGCTTGGTAGGGCTTATATACTGACGCACTCACTTCACCCCAGGTAGTCTGCGTTCGTCGTGATCGTGTCTATCAGTATGCGGACCTCGCTTTTCACCGAGGGTGTATTCTTGTGGGTTCGCATAGGTCCGACGAACTCGGGTCACGCGTACGAACGTCACGTTGAACTCCGGCTTGCTCCTGACCCTCACCTTCCTTCAACCTCGGTGGTTCATCCGTCTTATAAAGATTGTCGCCGTATGCTCTATCAGTCTTTTCTTGGGGGCGTTTAATTCTGGGTCCGAATGGAAGAAGGACAGAGGTTGTATACAAGTGCGGAGGCGAGTGAAAGGTTGCAAGGAGTTCCTAACCCGATTGTATGCTGGGACTGACCATGCCTTCACGAACATGAGTCAGGTGTTTACCCGTCTCATTGACTATGAAACAGGCAGTTCCAAGGCCGCCATGTGCCAGAGTTACAGCGAGCTGTCTTGCCCTGAGCGTGTGGCTTTTGAGAAGGCCAAGGGTCGATCAAAGATGTACGCGCAGTCATACCATCTGCCCGCAATAGAGTAAGATAGAATTCGATTGTCTCTCACCTGAGTTCTCATCACCAACCTACTACTGACCACATACAGGATGACCATGTTACACTCACTATCAAGCTCGTCCGTTGCTTCTAGCGGAGGGCTCACCTCACCTTGGTTCTACTGCGCGCCGCTGATGGGTAAGTCTAGGGCCTGGAAAGGAGATGTATGGGACATGCGACCGCCACCCACGAGAATTTGGAAAATGAAGACATATATACGAGCGCACTCTTCTGCCCGGAAGCCCACCTCTTTTGCGGCTACTCAGCATGGTTCGCACCAAACTCATATACGGCAGAGGCTACCCGCTGCAGAGCGGGGAAGATGTCCTGTCCATCCAGATTATCATCATGCAGACTGGTGTTGACTTCTTGCTCTATGGTCTGTCTCGCTCATCTCATCGACTACCGCTTGGTCCCTTCGAACTTACTAACCTCCAGGTGTTCAATCTGCCCTGTTTCTGGCCGCGCTCGTCGCGATGGCGTGAGTACTTCCCCTCATCATCGTTCGTACGAGCGAACTTATGAGGTCGTGGAACAGACGCCAAGACACCCGCATCCTATTCATGAGGGCAGCCGTCTTCAGCCTTTTCCTCTCGTCCAGTGTGGTAGCCGCCGCGAACATCGTGTTCTATCTCGCCCAAACACCGTCGTTTGGATATGATCTCGATCGTATCTACAATCTTCTACTCGCGCTGAATATCGTAACAGACGTTTTTCCTCGGTTCAATGTGCGTACTTACGACTCTTGGCCACACCTAAATTTGATCCGAACCTTTCAGTTTGTTCTCAGCGACGCCATTGTGGCGTGGCGCGCGTGGGTCTTATGGCCTGACAATCGCTGGGTCAAGAGTTCGCTGATTCTCTGTGTAATCGGGAGTCTGGGTGAGTGCTCAGACACGGTGGAGCTGCAGCTGATGAGCTACCTTCTCAGCCGGTGTGACTGTAGACTGTGTTTGGACGGCTCAGGATGTGATGGGCGAGAACAGCGTTCGGCTTCGCGCGCTGATGGTCACGATGCCGTTGCTTCTAACGAACGTTGTGGCGACCGCGTTAGTCGCCGCCAAAGTTTGGTACGTACGCCTCGTTGCGAAGCTCGCCCATCGTCTGATGTCTCATCTCAGGTATTATCGTCGGGAGATCAAGAGCGTCATAGGGTCCTGGAGGAAGACATCACAAGTTGAGAAGGTGCTCGTGCTTCTGCTTGAATCAGGATGTGTATACTGTCTGATATGGGTATGGATGTCCCTTGCCTAATTCCCGGGCGCCTTACAAATCCTCCAGGTTGTCCGGCTCTCGATAGACCTGGCGTCAGGGACGGGCAAGACCATCCATGGCTATTCCATCATAGGCGGCACTTACCATAGTATTGCGGTGCGTCCAGATTGTCAAGCGATCCGCTCATCGCTAACGGTATTCTGAATCTATCCAGGGCATCTATCCTACCCTTATCGTCATTGCCGTCGCGTGCCAGCGCTCTGCTACACAAGATCTCGCCCTCAGCACGCAAGCGCTGCCGCCTTTAGAGTTCCTCAAAGCCGAGGATGATCCCACAAGCTCTTTGCGCGTTGGTGCCTCGTCGGCTGGCGTAAGCGAATGCGCATTCCAGCAGTCGATCCGACCGGCGTCATTAGACTCATCAGTAGCGCTCGACGGAGAGGGTTCTGCATCATCTCGACCTTCCGACTTATGCGACGGCGTGATAGCTACGCAGCATATGACAGAATGAGAGTGTTTCTGAATGCATCTTGCGCTAGAGCCATCTACGACACCCAAGTTGCGTGCCGTGTTATTTTGTTGAGGTACGGACGCGCTCACTTCAATCGGCTCGGCACTTTCAAGGGCGGCATGTCCCATGTCATAGTCGTCAGTGCCATTACCGCTTTTCAGCCAGCGCCCATTGCGAATGGGTGGGCGCGCCGATTGCGATGATTGCCAACAGGTCGTAGAAGCTCGAGGAATATCAATGCAATCTGGGTGCGTGTGTTCCCCCTGCCATTCTGTCGTGTCAACCTGTCCTCGTGGCCTTTTCTATTGCTTGCGACGATCATACCAGAACCAACACTGGATATCGATGCTTCTCGCGCGTCTCTTCAACGCGGCGATGCATATCCTCGACAAGCCTTCCGGTACCAGCCAAGCGCCGATGCCGTCTCAGCTAAGGCGTGTCCCTCAGGAAGGTGATGTTCTTTACATATTCATACGTAGCCACAAGGAAGGGGCGATGCTCCATGAAACAATCCTGGCTTCTTATACATCGAAGCTACGAACTTCACAGTGTTCTGCTTTTCTCGCCAATCTGACGCCACCAGTCTCTGCTGATGGCGACCAGCACGCCTCCATACTTCAGGCTGCAGCCTACGGACGTGTTCTTCTTCCAGGCAGCCCTTGTTGAAATAGGCGTCGGGACTGCTTTCTTTGGTGAGTTTTACGCTCGTGGTAATCACTGCCCGGACCTGACGATGTTGGCTGCGTATCAGGCATCCAGCTCGCTTTGTTCGTGGCCGCCATGTTCGTTTCCATGTGAGTGATGCTATGGCTATTGTATGGATTCTTTCGACTAAAGTTGTAAGGACACACGAGAGGAATCGGTCGCAGCGTATCATTACGCTAGCCCTTGTTATTTTGTTCCTCTTTTCGTTGGCGGCGGTCGTCCTGGACATCATGTTCTATTTCCTCCAAACACCGACCTTCACCTACAACCTGGATAGCATACTAAGCGTGCTATTCGGCATTGATATTGCCTTGCAGGCCTGCACACGTATCAACGTGCGTATCGCATGCGCGTTTTGAGGGCTCTGGTCGAATTCAACTTCGCCCAGCTACTACTGAGCGATGCCGTGGTGGTCTGGCGGGCGTGGGTCCTCTGGCCAGGCAATCGAATCGTGAAGGGGGCTCTATCGCTGTGCATGGCTGGGAGCGTGGGTGAGAGTCCTAGTTCCTCACTCGTAAGTTCCTCTGACTGACTGTGATTAATCGGCGTCCTCATCGAATTTTCCACGTTCATTCGTGCTCGATCGGCTGGTAAAATTTGGCGCATGTTCATGATGGAAATCCCCTTACTATTCACAAACGCTGTGGCGACGGCATTGGTCGGCTTAAAAATCTGGTAGGTCTGCAAAGGGGACCGCTAGGCCTCGTTCGTTGACAAAGTACTAGGTACTATCGTCGCGAGATCAAGAACCTGATGGGGCCATGGCGAAAGACTACTCGAGTTGAACGGGTTCTTGTCTTGCTCCTCGAGTCTGGGTTCGGATACTGCTTCATCTGGGTACGCTTTTGCTGCCATCTCTTGTCCAAGCACCCATGCTCAGAGGATATTCAGGCCGGCAGTATTGCCCTCGATCGCTCCAAGACAACGGATGAGAATCTAGCTGCATCCCGCGCTCTGGGCACCACATACCATAGCATTGCTGTGCGTCTTCGTCTCCGTCCTATACGTTCGGGATTAACAACTGCCCTGTCATTAGGGAATATATCCTACACTCATCGTCCTCATTGTTGGTATGCAGCGCTCTGCCGCATCCTCTCTGATGCTTAGTACACAAGTCTCGCGCTCAATGGCGTTCGTGGCGGGGTCGCCAGGGGATCCCATGTACAAGGAGAACGAGGCACATAATACAAGTGAACTGACGACGACAGGCACGTCCTCAAGCTCATCAGACAGGCCTTCATGTAGCTCTCACGACCATCCTGAATACCGTACCGAGGGCGATCCACCTTCTGCCACTCAGTCCGATTCAAGGCGAATCGCCGTCAACATGGTCAGCCAGTAAAGCGGGTACACATCTCGCACAGTCAATTATTAGAGTGTAGTGTACGACAAACAATACATATCATGAGCACACAAATGGAGACATGCATGTAGATGCGACCTTCACACCGTACGGGCGTCTACTCGGGTCGAGCTTTCGAGCTTCGCGGGCCTGGGACTAGAGGCCTGTTGCCCTTCCACCCATTCCACTACGTCCTCAACGGCGGCCTTGGGCCGGTTCTGTAGGTTGTATGTCGTGAGTATATGCGCGACGAACACGATACGCGGTGACCGCTCACCTTATACTTCATCAGATACCCTTGAAGGCTCGCCATCGAGTACTCGCGGTCGGGTATCGACTCCGCGAATCGCTTTGCAAGGCTGTCCGTAGCCTCAGTTGTCAGTCGAGTTGATCCCTCGGACTGTACGAAGCTGAGGCTCGACACCGACGAGGAAGCGGAGTCGGAGTTTGACCCGGAGTCTGACTGCTCCGAGGCCTCGTCAAGGGTGCGCTTGCGTCGTGGCGCGTAGAAGTGCTTGAAGAGCTCGCATGCCTGGTGCTGACTCGCCAGGCGAAACTCGATGTGCACGTCCATGCGGCCGGGTCGGCAGAGGGCGGGGTCCAGGGCGTCGTAATGATTCGTGGTGGCGAAGAGGATGCGCCCCTCTTGCGCCCCCACACCATCGAGCGCGTTGAGAAGGCCGCTCATGGAGACACGCGACGCGATGGTATTCTGATTCGATGCCCCAGCAGTTTTGCTGTTGACATTGTCGTGCGCTCCGTCATCTGCGTCTCTCGCGGCTGTGCTCTTGACGAAGGCGGCGTCAATGTCCTCCATGAGCGCGATGCACTTCTCGGGCAGCTCGCCAATGAGCTCATTGAGAGTGGTATCGTCCATACCCGCGCGGGACAGAGAAATCATGTCTGCGCATGCCGTGAGTGATCTCGAACTACCGGTGGGTGCCACAACGTACGCACAAACATCAAGGCCCAGCTCGCCTGCCAGACTGTGGATTATGGACGTCTTGCCGCATCCGGGAGCACCGTACAAGAGATAGCCACGACGGAAAGGTATCCCTCTGTCGTTGTACCAGTCTCGGCTCTTGAGGAATTCGCGCGCATCATTCATAAGGAGGTCCTTGATACCTGGGTCCAGTACAATGGAGTCGAGTGCGCGCTTGGGGCGAGAGGCGATGCGCCGCCAGAGGTCCCTGCTGTGAAGCGCCGTCAGATGCCACTCAGGTCTTAAGAGAGGGAGGAGATAAACCTACTTTTGCGCCGCGAATATCGAGACATGGTCATTTTGCTCCGCCAAGAACGCGCGCTTCGCTTCGAGCAGAAGTCGATCTAGCACCGCATGCGAGCGAGCAAATATGCGTAGCTCGAGGGACTCGACAGTCCCGCCATAGTAGCCGCCCATAGAGCGCTGCAAACGTGTGACACTTATGCGGCGACGAGAGTACCACGGACCATGGGCCGGGTACGAGAGGATGAAAGAAGTGCTCGCAGAAGGGATGTATTGAAGGCAACGACTCTGTGGGTCTAGGAAGGCATTGGCGTCGGCCTGCTCTCCCGGGACGGTGGTGGCGTTGCCCCGTAGGCCAAATTGGCGCGTGGATATCTCAAGTTCGCGGGCAGTGCGCCATGCAGGCTGCTTGGACAGCCAGACCATCATCCAATCTGTGAGTCCCTTAGTATCGATTACATTGGTCGTGGTGGGTGCCAGACTCACTATAGCACTCGCTATCGTCATCTAGGGTCACAGTGATCACAAACGCGCTAGCCGCGCGGCGGTAAAGCACGAATAGCGTACGACGGCATGCCTCAACGACACCGCCAACAACAAGGAGCTTGAGCCAGTCGGGCAGCGCGGGGAGCCACATAATAAGCGCCAGTAACGGTGCCAATACGGTGGGAAGCCCGGTTGCGAGAGCTCCTTGGGTGGGGCTGGGAATGTCGCCGCTCGCGGTCAGGGTTGCGTTAGAAGCGTCTTCGGCGCAACTGTGGGATCCCACGAGCGTTGGCTGAGCGAGGAGGGCGAGGACTTGCTGTACGAGCTCGTCTGCCATGTTGGTTCTGGGGAGATGTTGTGCGATATTGCATGTGCCGAAGGGCCTTTATATACAGAACTCATGCTGTATGCATGTGGGCGCCCCGAGGGGCGCAGGATGACGCTGAGTGAGGGTTTTGAGCTCAGCGAAATCCTTCCATCGATAGAATCCTATGGAGCCAGCTCTCTGGAACCATGTATGCTGTGTATTCACCACAGCTCGAGGGATCCGATAGACGTCCACCATGGAAGCAGAGGTGGACATTGCAGCTTCGAGAGAACAGCTTTTAGTTTGTAGAACGCAGCTGGGGGAGCGCCTCGACAGCCAATTGTGTTTCAAGGTGGCGCTGACGTATAGTATCGAGTAGCCTGAAGACGTTCTGAAGCTCATGTCGACCATGATGTATGAGGGTAACAGTACAACATATGCCACGCGTGCATATCCGTCATTAGTGGTTCTGAGTTCGGCGTTTGCCGGCAGCCACCAAAACCATTACTATCAACGTCTACAGTCGTGCATTTCGGGTATCTAAAACGACCGATATATGCTACATCTCCTGAAAGATTCATGAATCATCTGCGCTCTCGACCTTCAACACCTGCGTCGCCCCCTTCCCATGAGTCGCAGATTGCTGAGCCTGCACCCAGTCCTCCACGTTGTCCACTGCATCCTGCGGGTTGACCTTGTACTTCATCAAGTACCCCTGCAAGCTCGCCATCGAGAACTCCCGCTCAGGAATCGCCTCGGCAAAGCGCGCCGCCAGCGCATCTGCCAACGCCGCGTCAATCCGGAAGATCCTCGAGCGGTAGTGCAGCTCCCCATTGTGCGTAATGGGCTCCGGAGAGCTCTTCTCGCCCGCATCAGAGGCAGCTGCAGAGACGTAGCCAGAGTCGGGGATTTTCTCCACTTCGGGGCGTTTGTGGCGCGGGGCGTAGAAGTGGCGGAAGAGCTCACCGGCCTGGAACTTGCTCGCGAGCTTGAACTCGACGTGTACGTCCATGCGGCCGGGGCGGCAGAGGGCGGGGTCAAGCGCGTCGTAGTGGTTGGTAGTGGCAAAGAGGATGCGGCCTTCTTGGGCACCGACGCCGTCGAGGGCGTTGAGCAGGCCGCTGAGGGATACGCGGGAAGAGATGGAGGCGTTGTTGTTCTCGGCGGGCTTGTCCTTTGCAGGCTTCGCACTCTCGTCCTCAGCGTCGTCGTCTGGCTTGCCGCGCGCGCCGATGCCTCGAGTGAAAGCGGCGTCAATGTCCTCCATGAGGGCGATGCACTCAGTCGGCAGCTCGCTTATCAGTTCACTGAGCTTCGAGTCATCCATGCCAGCAGTCGATAGGGACAAGATGTCTACGTCGACACGATCAGAAACTAAAGACATACTAGTAAGGCTGAAGCACTTACAAACATCAAGACCGAGCTCTCCAGCCATGCTATGAATCATCGAGGTCTTGCCACAGCCAGGAGCGCCATAAAGGAGGTAACCACGCCGGAAAGGGATGCCACGGTCTGCGTACCAGTCGCGGCTCTCCAAGAAGTCACGGGCGTCGTCGACAAGGAGGTTCTTGATGCCCGGTTCGAGCACAATCGAGTTCAAAGGTCGCTTCGGGCGATACGCAACTTTATGCCAAGAGCCATCCCTGTGCGGGCATAAGCGACTAGTACGGCAGTCATCCAAAAGCGTACTCACAGATTCGCGGCATGGATCTCGATCTTGTCCGCCCTCTCAGCAGCGTAGGTCCGCTTTGCGTCGATGAGGAGGCGATTGAGCGTTTTGTGACTACGGGCGAGAATACTCATCTCGAGAAGCTCATCAAAGCCGCCGCGGTACCCATGCGCCTCTCGCTGAACACGCTTGACAGAGACGCGACGGCGTGCATACCAAGGCGCGTCTGCTGGGTAATAGAAGACATAGGACGAATCCGGCGATGGCAGGTACGTGAGGGGCGTGCTCTTTCCAAGGAGAGCACCCGCGGAACTAGGATCCTCGCCTGGGATCAAGTAGTCGTCGCCCGAGTCGCGGCCATACGACCGGGCGGTAATGTGCACCTCGCGCGCATTGGACCATGACGGCTGTTTCGACAGCCACACAAGCATCCAGTCTGCAAGGCATCAACAAATGTCGGATGGAGGTAGGACACCGACTCACCATAAGCATCATCGTCCTCCTCGAATGTGGCGGTTATGAAGAACGCGCCGAGCACGCGTTCGTAAAGCGTGGAAAGCGTGCGTCGACAAGTCTCGACGATACCACCGACAATCAGGAGCTTCAGCCAATCAGGCAGCGTAGCAAACCAGCGAATAAGGCTGAGGAATGGGAAGAGCGTGGCTTGCCAGCCCTCCGGGATGTTGACCGGTAAGTGGCTAGGAGTGGCGCCAGTGGCGGCTGTCGCATTTGGGGCGCAGCCATTCGACGAAGTCGTCGTCGGCTGCGAGAGAAGGGAGAGAACCTGCTGCACAACGTCGTCGGACATGATACGATCGACGCGGACGCTATTCTCCGTGAAAAGTGTGGTTGCCACGTTCTTGTGTGGGTTTGGGCGAGGGTGAAGCTACTGGGTCAAGCAATTTTCGTCTGCCTTTATACCGACTCGGGAGTTCACCGCCTCGTTTTGATGCGTCACGCCCAGTCAATTGGCCATGAGTCAAAAGCGGGACAGGAAAGCGGAGATCCTCAACAATTGTTGGGCGATGGCTTCGAGCTGCTCCAAAAGCGATGCTCACCGTCGTCAAAATGTGTCATTTTGCTCACACGAGCACCGCAGGATGGTGTTACAGACGCTCCTGACGCTCGCGCCTGAATTGTCGGCGCCCTTGCGCCTATGCACATCGAAGGCGAGCCAAAATATACGCGGGTCTACCCCATCCCGGCTGCTGAACGTTGAGCGCGTCCTCCGATGCAGTCGTGGGGATCAGAAGACAATGCAAAGACGCGCCGTCGTCGTTCTGGTCAACCAGCAAGCCTCCAATCACAAGTGATGAGATCGCCGACGCCACGTGTCGCGGCAGCGGCCGACCCGCCTTCGGGATCACTGACACTCAGTGCGCTGTTTAGAATCAACCACCATGGCCGGCGAACCATCTACCTCCACCTCACCTACGCCACCCGCGAACCGTCATGCTCTGAACGCGGTCGAAAAGCAGCGCGCTCAGCTTGAGCGGCTGCTGAAGGATCCTGCCAAACCCGTCTATGTCCCCCCTCCCCCGCAAGAGAAGTCCATCCGCCCAGCGCGCGAGATGATGAAGAATGTACAGGGCTCGAGTGCAGGAGCTGGTAGCGGAGAGTTCCACGTCTACAAAGCCAGTAGACGGCGCGAGTACGAGCGCTTAAAGTTACTGGAGGAGCAGAACCGCAAAGTGCGTCCCTGCATCGTTCCGCGTCGAACCTGAATGCTAACCGTATGATCTTTCAGGAAGCTGAAGCGGCCGAGTTCGAGCGCAAGCGCAAAGCTGTGGAGGAGCAGGCAGAAGCGAAGACCGCGAAGAACCGCGCGAAGCGGCAGAAGAAGAAGGAGCGCTCCAAGAACAAGGGCGGCGCGGGCGAGGACGGCGAAGGCAAGGCCGACGCACCTCTCAAGAAGCGACGGCTGGTCAACGGGCAGGCGCTCGTCTTCAAGCGACCCGGCGAGGAAAGCGACGACGAGGACGCCACGAACGAGCCCATGCCCGGACCTTCTGCACCCGAGGCTGCTCCCGCGGACGAAGTGCCGGAAGCGCCGAGAGTGGTGGAAGAGAACCATTTGGTGATTCACGAAGACGATTAGCTTTCTCATCTGCTGTACTATCAGGTCTACTCTATGTTATACGGGGCTGGCAATCGACGGGCAAATCCATCCCATGCACGAGCATCCAACCGAAGATCATAATAAAGGAGACGACGATCCAGCGCAGTCCCAGTGTGTAAGCTATATGGAGTCTAATGGAACATGAGCGGCCGCAACTCTTCGAACCTCCAGTACTTCTTCAAGTTCTCTCCCTTCAAGTCGCGCACCTGCACCCTCGTCAGTATGTACACCCATTCCTCCCTCCACTCGGCCAAGACGTACCTCGTCATCGAGATGCTTCATCAACCCTTCGCGGAAACTGTCTAGACATGCGCGCATCTCCGCCCCATTGTACGATGAGTTGTCGCGCGCCCACTTCGCCACAAGCTTGTTCAGGTCGTCCAGACCTACATTGTGGCGCGTCAGCGCAACACACGACGCATGACCTGGGCAGTCGCACCTTTGTGGATCAGTTCATGCGAACGGACGTGCTCGCCGCGGTCGTTGTGCGAGAACTCCGGCATGCGTTTGCCAAGGTAGGGGAACCACCACGCCTCCTCGATGTCGTGATGGTTTTGTAGTTCTGCACACGATGGTCAGCTAGAACCTCGCGATGATTCGGCAGAATAGACGTACGCATGGAGAACTGGGCGGCGCTGCGCAAGTATAATGGCAATGACCAGCCCATGGCCACGAAGGAGCCGTCTGCGAGCTGAAGGGCAAGGTTAGTATGCGTTCATTTCCGTTCATGTACACCATTTGCTGACCCTGTATAGCTGTTCGACTGCACAGACGAAATATCAGCCGCTGACACACTCAGAGGAAGGGACTGGCGTACAGTGGCGCTTGTGCTCGTTGTGGAAGACCTCCATCTGGTCGCTCAACTGGGGATCAGGGTCAAGATCTGCACGCTCCTTCAAGACGACAATTGCGTACAATATCCCAGTTCGGCATCTTTGCGCTACGATGAAGAGTGCGAGCGGGGGAGAAGGGGGGACGGCGAGGGACGCGAGCGGCACGCGCGAAGATCGAGGACAACAGGGCGGGCGAGGAGGTTGGCGGGACGTGTGGCTGAGAGGCGTGGGATCAGCAGCAAAAGAGACGTCGTCGCAGCAAAATGGAAGACCACCCAGCCCTTCGAGCATCGTATATATACGCCCTCATCTTACCATTGCCATCGGACCAGCGCATATGCCCGTTCTGCGCGCGAGAGGGAGATGCCCCTTTGATGCGTGTGTGACACCGCACTGGGCGGTTTACCCCGCCCCGCCGTCATCACCTTGGAGGCCTCGTCGGGCTTCTGGAGTTGCAGACCGCTTTGACTGCTCTGGAGATTGTGCCTGTATAATCTCCCTCTACGGCAACGCGGAGGTACAGCAAGTTGGGCGGCACGGGAAGGAATACGGAAGACCTCTTCATCACCTTCGCTAGATTTGCTCCAGGCGAGCGTAAACACCCCAGTCAAATGACAGGAGTGTCGAACCATCCTTGTGGGATGAACAATATGGTAGAGGAATTGAGGGCAGGAAGCTGGCCAAAGATCCAGAACCGCAACGGCATTCAACATGGGCGCGTGTGGGTGCCGTCCGGCAGCTGCCGTATGGATATTTGATCCTGTTTGGCGCACTTCTGGATTCAGCCTTCCGCCCTCCCAATGGCAACGTGTGCCATGCGTGCATGCAAGAAGGAGGATACAGTCGACGCCGGCATCGTACGCCCACGTCAAGCAATCCGGACGCGTCCAGCGCCAAGTGCATGTTTCTCGTTGTCCTGTTTCGTGAAGCACGTCACCACTTTCCAGGCTTTCTCAGCAATCGTAAGCTTCCTATATTCACTTCTTCCCTCCTCGTTCTCATCAGCAGCAGTACATTAACACTATGTAGGAACAGCAGGCCATATGTATCTTCAAGAAAGAAAGAGAAGAAGAAATCGGTATCCTATCAGCTAATCGGTCAAAGGGGAAAATGGTGAGCAATAATGATACAGCAATATTGTATACTGCGTCCTGCAGGCAGAGGGGATATCGTCGCCAGCAATCTGACAACGGAAGCAGGCGAAAGCGGAGAACAGGCTACACAACCGCGGCTATGCCACCGCCGCTGCAGCCGCCGCGCGACGTTCACGCGCCTTCGCCCCTGGCCCATAGCGCTCTTGGAACTTGATAAGCTCCTCCATGAGCTCCTCCATCTGCTTCATCGTATCCGAGCTGGACGACTCGGCCGGCGCAGCAGCCCGCGCTTGCAGCGCACCCTCCAGGGTCCTCTCTTGCATCGGACTATCAACGGTCGCAGCACCGTCCACCATCGGCTCCGCCTCTCCATTGCCGTTGGTCGCAGGCTGACTGCGTTGCCTCTCCTCCTTGAGAGCCATCTCAAGGGACTCCCGCCGGCGCTGGCGATCCGCCGCACTGGCCTGCTCGCGGCTGACCCATTCGACGAGGGACCGGACGCGCTTGTTCATGTCGGTGACGGACATGCGTTTGCTCGGCCACTTGACCTTCACGCCACGCTCGATCGTCCGCTCCATGCTGCCGCCACGCGAGCCCGCACCGGAGCCGCCGGCGCGCACTTCGAGCGGGACAGGCGCTACCGTCGGGAGTGCCTCCTCCAAGTGCGCCAGGTAGTCCGGAAGACCCCAGGACGTGTAGAGCGGCTGCTGAGATACGGCGAACGCGTGTGATTGGCGATAGGCACGACCCTCGCCTCCACCATGCCCGTTGACAGTGCTTGACTGCCGACGCGAGTCCCCTGCAGCCGAGGCGTTTTGCCCACCAGGTCGTCTCGAATGCTGCCCCCCTTTCTTGCGACGCTGATTGATGCTCGGGGTCGGAACTGGAGAGATGACGTCACGTGTCTGATTTTGGCGCTGATATCGCACACGCACCTTCTTCCCCGTCGACGGCGATTAGAGGCTCCTGGTTGACGGCAGGCTTGCGCGCGCCTCGTTTCTGGCGGCCGTTCGTCTTTGGCGCGGGAGGGACGGGAGGAAGGGAGCCCTTGCTCGGCACGGGTGTCTCGTCTCTAACGACGGCGGCTGGCGCGACAGGCATGTCGGAAGTAGTTGACGCAGACCTCGTTCGCTTCTTCGGTTGTCTGCCAGGCAGGGGTCAGCCAAGGTGCACTAGTGCTTGATAGGGCACTCACAATGCGTCGTCATCCGTCCTTCTCCGCTTCTTACGAGCGTTTCCCACAACATCCGCATCCACTTCCTGCTCGACCGAATGCACAGGCGCCTCATTCGCATGCGCATTCTCCTGGGCGGCGGCTTCAGCGGCCGACGCCCGGATGATCGCCTCCAGGTCGTGGTCAAAGTCAGCGTCGCGGCTGTTCATGGTATTTCGGCGCTTAGATGGCTGCGCATGCTGCTGCTTGGTGAGGAGCGAGGGCGAGCGCGATCGAGATGTTCGAGAATTGTGGGTCGCGAAATGATGGTTATTGTTGTTGTTGTGTCCGCGGTTGCGTTTGTTGTTCAACTTCCTGGGTGGATATGAGCACTGGATGGGGTCGAGACGGCCAAGTACGCACCTAAGAGTCTCCTCATGCAGGTCTGGCCGACACTTCTCGCAAAAATAGTCGGATTCGTGGAGTTGATCTTCTGATTCAAAGCCCATGCAGAGGCCGTGCTGCCAAACGTTGCATATCTCACATTGAACCATGAACTCTCCCGCATCGGGGTCGTCCTCTGCGTAACGGAAGGAGGGTCAGTGAGGGTGCAGGAAGAAAAGGGCAACACGCACCTGTGCTCCCACAGACACAACGTGTGACACCCTGGTCGTCTCCGTCGGGGGGATCCATGGGTGTGTCCTCGGTGGCGGCGGGCGCGACATCGGCGGCGACGGGTGGAGGGTCGAGTGGCTTCTCCTTATCCTTCGTCTTGCGCTTGCTGCGGCTGCCGTTGCTGCCGTTGGTGGAGGTGCTGGAGCCGTTGGGGGCTGCTGGGGCGGACCGGCGATCGTCGAGGGTGTCGTCGGTGTCCTCGAGCTTAGGGCGCTTGGTTCTGCCGTTGCTAGACTGGGTGGAGAGCGGGGGCCGTGCTGCGGGTTGGCTCGGGCGTGTGGAGGGGTGGTCAGATTCCGGCGATTTGGAGGTACTGGTGGACGCGGCGGGTAGGGAACGTCGTCCAGAGCGGCGGGGCTCCCTGGGCGAGAGCGGCGGGCCCATCGTCGCGGCTTGGGCCATGGCGGGTCGAATTCGGGATTTTGGGGGCTGATGACCGTTCTTTTCAAGACGAATCCCTTGCCAGAGGTCTTCTTGACGCGGGCTGCCAATTTCACACCCACCCACGTGCCAGACAACGCCACATAATCTGCCGCTGGTCCGGAATCGACGGCGTTCGCCCCCGTTCTCACCCTCAACCGTGTCTAGGTCGCAATAGACGGCGCCGTGCGCGCATACGCTCGCTTCACGCACCCCGAGTAGCATCCTCGATAAGACGTTCCCATCTATCGCTGCGATTGCCTTTGTTGATTCCGAGAGAACCCATCGCGCAGGTCTCATGGCCGTAGCGGAGCGGACCTGAGATATCACCAGACAGAAGACGCAATGGACGGCACCGACGAACCCATGCGACGAAGAACATATCGGACGCGGCGACCGCGCAGTGCGAATGTGTCGACGATCGAGGCTACCAGAACGTCAGCGTTGCTTGCATCACGAGCATGCGTAAGTCTCGTAGGGATCGCTGTTGCATCGCTCTGCAGACCATTGCGCGCAATAATCGACGTCAGAAAGGTGTCCTCCTTTGTAGCTACGCCTCTGGATGTTGCTGTCGTCACGATCACCAGTATTGCCAACCATGTCTTGCGCCTCTACGTCGCGCTGAGCCCATCGCGGAGGAGCTTGCTGTTGAACGACCTCCCTCTGGACCATCGTCGTAGCGGCGCTTTATTCTTCCATCCAACCCACCCATCGGGAGGTCCTGATAGCTTTCGCTGAACATTTCGTCGACTATTCTTGACCACGCTGGACGCCGAATTCTGAACAGGGCAAGACGAATTACTGCGAGGGCGGGATGGCTATTGACAACGCCAACCCAACCTACCGCGCTTCTGACCCACTGCAATTGCCCAGCGCACGACCCTCAGGTGACCAAGTCACTGTTTGAGCTCAATTTATGGTCATCGTCCCTGTCAACGATTTCCAAGCCACGTTCTGCTCTGCCACGCAATCAAGGTAAGCTGGATACGCCTTGACTATCGGCCTTCTCTCCACCACGGTCAGTAAATCCCGCCGACTGACGTCCTTGCTATCGCCATGATTCTGATTTGCATCCAGAAATATATCGCTGCGCCTCACGACGCTTTGCATCCAACAAATGTGAAGCCGCGTCGTTCCACGACAGGTTCTACTGCTGCGGTATATAGTGAGCACTGGCTGCAGTCGATCCCAGCACCCTTCGTGTCACGGTGCATCGCTTATCTGGCCTTGGAGCGCCCGATATCCCGGCATTCAAGGACGACGATCGGTCTTGTCTGCTGCTAACCTTGGAGGCCTATCAATGGACGGCGACACCGCCTTCGTCTCGACATATCGTGCTATACTGGTTTTCAGGCAGTGTAATTCAAGCTGACCTACATGTAATGGCTGGATATGCCTGAACGCTGTATACGCATCCAACGTCAAGTTCAATCTGACGAGTCTGTTCCATGATATTTTTCCGCGCCCTACGCTCCTGCTACCAACGTTGAGCAGTTCGAAGCCTGGCCCTTCTTTCAAATCATACCCATCGACACACAATTACCGCGAAGCATCGCCTCCTCTTCGCTGGCCATTGACCCAGGGCCTGATGGTCATCGCCTTCTTCCGCATGCAAAGTGCCGAAAATCACCTTCGCTCAACTATGCCTGCCCAGGCCGTTGGTGCTCAATCAAAAGTCGCTGACGCACAATCATAGGTCGCTGACGCACTATTGGAAGTCGTCGACGCACAGTCAGAATCTCGAGGGACGAACTGCAGCAGTCAACGGGAAGTACTAGACGTCGATCGCAACACGGGTTACGACACCCACAGCACGTTCGTTGTCTGCGTGCCGGAACAAGGCGACGCTCGCGAGCCTGACTTACGTGCTGTCTGCGCACCAGTCCTAGTCAATGTCTACACTTCGACCCCATCCTGCGAGGAGATCACTGTGCGCCCGAGACCGGGTTACGATCACCCGACGAATACCGGATAAATCGGTTGATGCACCGAACGCCAAGTTTTCCGGGTGGATTTTGGGTAGCGGCAGGGTTACAGCTGGGTGATCCTGTTTCGAGGATTTGGGCCTCCGAATTACGTCTTTCAAGTGCTGTTTGGCTTGCTGCTTGGCAGTCTGAGGTATATATCATCACTCAGAAGTGACAGAAGTGCCACAGTCATTTGCTTCTTGTCACGCTGCCTTCGGGGCGCCGTGTCCATGTAGATCATGTTGTAGGATCCTTCCAAGCTCTGAGTGCGTGATCTGGCTTCTGAACGGCTCCCAATGGCATTGGCTTGCTACAAATGCTGCGTGGATGTATTCACAAGCGCTATTACTGTCATAAAAGGTGCCCTAACAAAGCACAATAAGTCCGAAATTCGCAAAGCGCCGACTCATGTAGATCTACATGCAGAGATTCGAAGTAAACCTGAGTTATAGCATGATATATGCGAAGCAGAGCCACTAGATAAACCTGGGGAATGGAGAATAAGGCGCAAGGTGGGACAAAAGTGAGTTCAACCGTGACATGTCACGCGTGTGACAGCGCGTTGTGTGACGTGGCTCCGCGAAATTGCTAAGTCCGTCTTCTCTCTTACCATCATTCCCGACGGCCCAGACTCCCAGCAGCTCTCTCATCGCGCGTGAACCCGTAGTCTGCCCTCTTGACAGCGCTTCTCTCTATCGAGAATAGCCCAAACTAGCAAGCCAACCGCCGTCCTATATTGCGCATACGACGCGCGCGAGGCCATCCGCATTGCTGCGACGCAATACCAGCCGCGGCACAGATGCCTCGCCAGCGCGCTGGCCCTATGCATCGCAATGCCAGGTGCGTCATTCATACAGCCCATCGACCCAAGCTTACGTCGTTGTAGCCTCGTCCACTCCACCGAGGAACCAGGTCGTCCTCGATCCTGCGTGTGAGTACGTTCCTTGGCCACCGCATTCTTTTATGCTATGCCCTCGCCCCATCAACTGGCTTCCCCTCCTTGACGCAACAGCCGGCTCACGAAGGCCCTTGTTCGGTCAGCCCCCTGCCCTCGTCCCTTGCTGTAGATAGATACACACTCTTTTCATGCCATACCATTGGTCGTAGCACCTTGTGTGTAGTATGCTAGATATGCAATAATATGCCCATTTCCGTCATCGCGAGTGTGAGCCCATCCCGAAAAGAATATCACCAGGGAATCTAGTGAAAAAACGAGATGCAGGATCACTTGTCTTTCGGGCGCTGATATCAGCCCATTTCCAGGTGAATTATGCCTAGGCGCTCGGGTTGTAGGACATGGGAGACTAGGTTGTAGGTACCCGACCTTCACCCGGATAAATTCACCCAAACTCGGGGTGTATTAAACCAAGCTTTCACCCGTGGCTATTCACCCATTTTGCGGGTGAGATAGGGTGAAATTGCACCGTATTCCGAGAGAAACCCACCGTATTTACGGGTGAAAGACCGGGTGAATGTAACCCTGTTTCGGGCGCACAGTGGATGCCTCCATTAGGTTCTCACTTACTTCTTACGGACGAAGGGGACGTAGATCCTCCGGTGTTCAAAGTCGCATAATGACTAGTACGCAGTCAATCCTATTCAAAATCTATGTCGACCATTCTTCAGGTTCGAGTACCCTCGGCCAGACATTCTACCCGCGGAAGTCCATGGTACCCCGTCCGGTCCGCGAACGTTGCTGCTCAGCACAGGCTTTCCCAACGCAAGGCCCCGCCTGCCGGACACTGCTACTGAAAATATATTCGAGGCGAGGCATCGTCGCCGCGTCCCTCGGCGGACCACCTACATGCTCCGTCATGCCAACGTCCCCTCGCGCTGCAAGGTTCACCCAAGGTATAGAACTGTGTCTCGCAGCGTGCACGACGTACCGTGAGACCGGGCCACATCGACGCGGGGAGCCTACGCACACGCGCAGCGAGGGTCCGGTGCAGGCGCCTAACTGGGCGCCTAACGCTGAATCGGGGGCGTTGATAGCGTTCTGGGAGCTGGATCCGTTGACGAGGTGCTTGGAAGCTAGGCAGATGCCTAACTGCGCGAACCACGGAGGACGATGTGGCCGATGGCGCGAGGTCGATGAGGTGGACCGGCTGAGGGGAAAGGTGGGAGAATAGGCGGGCGGCAGATCATGATCACCTTTTCACATGAGGATCGAGGGCGGCGGTGGCGGTGCTCTGAGTTCCCGGAATGCGAGGGGCCCGTTTGCGTGCCGTTCGGACGCGTTGAGGGTCGTGGTCGTCGTGTGTGGTTAATCACAACTGGGCGGCGATGAGCAGGGAAGCTTCTGCTGTAGAAGCTGCTGCAAGACGCGTGCTGAAGATGTGTGCACCACGAATCCCGCGGAGTACAAGAGGACGGCCAAAAGATGCGCGTCTTTAGCGGCATCGCAACAGGCGGTAGGGCAGCCCAATCAGTGTGTAGCCGTGACGAACAGATGGCCTCTCAATCGACGGCGGGGGGCGGTGCAGCGTCTTCTCTGTTTGTTTGGTGCGTTCAGTCAGGTCCCCACAGGGCGGCGAGGCAGGGCTCCTGTCGATATCCGCATGCGGCAAGATTCCAAGATGGTTCCCGAGGCCTATCGTCCAGCGAGGAGGTCGGAGTGAGACTGCGCGTGGGTGAGCAGCGCCTCGTCGACGTGACTGTTCGCAGCAAAAGCGGCGTCAGCGATAAATTCCAGACGTCATGGGCGGCGGGGATGCTGTTGAACGTGGGGTCGTGGAGAGCGCCGGCACAGGCGATGACCGTGAGGCGGTGTCCCGCAGGGCGACTGGAGGTCGCGGCATGCGGAGGGCGCAGCGGCGCGCCATGGGCGCTCGATCGAAACACGAGTGCGCGCCATGTGAAGGGCGCATCAGGCGGGGGTGCGCCAGAGAACAGAGAAAGACGAAAAGGGAAGTATGACTTGTTCGACGATTATCGATAGAGAATTGCCCGCAAGCCATTCTCAATGGTCAGTGGAGCACGGTTCATTGCACGGACAATTCGCGGGGCGGCGAAGCAGCCGGACGGTGAAGAAATCCAGCGGTGGGGATTGGGAGGTCCTCGTGGATCTCGATAAGATGGCAATTGCTGCCTTTCCGGGAGCAAAACGGTCCCTTATGCAACATCCCCATTGAGCGTCGAATGCGGTGTGTACGAGTGGCGATGAGTCAAGCTCTGTAAAGGTGTATGCAACGACCATGATCACACCGGCCATTCTATTGACAACGGCGCGCACAGCTCATAAGTAGAATGAGAGCAACCACTCATTTAAAGGCACGCGCGCCTCGACGTGTTCTCTTCTTCACCACCCACAACCAAACCAACTGCACATACTCGACCCGCTCGCCGCGAAGACCCGCCGCGAGAAGACACTAGGCACACCACTTCTACTACCAACCAAAGCAACTATCACGATGCCGGGAAAGCACGTCCGCTTCGCCGCCGCGGAGGACGCGCCCTCGCCGTCCTGGTCAACCAAGACCATCGCACCTTCCCCCGCCTGGTCGACGTCAACCCTCGCGTCGTCCCCCCTACCAGCGGCGCCCCCGTCGCTCCCCCACAAGCTCTCCCCCTACGGCAACTCACCCCTACCTCCCATCGAGCCCGAGCTCGCTGAGGAGTACGTAGCACCGAACCCCAACCTGTGCTACTCCCTCACCCCATCTATCTACTTCAACGTCGCGCACGACCCCGCGGTTGCGCTGCAGCGCATGGACCCCGAAATCGCCACCATGCCCGCAACGTACCCGGCGCTGTCGCGACTGACGCTGGTTCATCACCAGCTGCCATGGCGAATCGTCGTCACGCCACGATCGACGAGACCCAACGCGCCCGTAACCATTGGCGACATCGTCGTCGCACTCGCGGAGGCCCTGACCAAGCCCGCAGAGGAGGCCGAGCTTCAGCGCGAGACCCCCGCGCGGCGGGTGAAGATCACCGAGGCGTGGAAGGCGCGCTGGCGACGGCACGAAGACTCGTACGTCCGGCGGATCGACTGGCTCGAGGGCTACACGATCTTCATGGGCATGACGGCGACGCAGCAGCACGGAGTCTGGGCATTCCATATGGGCCACTGAACGACGGCGACGCGCACCGAGACACGGACTCGCTACCTACCACCATTTCCCTGTTTTTATGGACCTCCGTCGCTATCCCCCATCCCCCATCTCATTACTCTCGAGGCCCACTCGCTATCCAGTCCCCCCTCCCCCACTAAGTTATTTATCCCACTATACGCGCGCCGCCCTCTGTAGCTCATACCCCTCTCCTGCTCTGCTCCTGCCGAAACAACAAATGTACTGTATGATTATTGTTACTTACTACGATACCCGCTCACGACCTTCACGACCGTAGAATATTTGCGACTCTGGGTTTTAGGAAGTCACTAGGAGAACAAATGAATTTGTCGACTGTACACTGGCGGGATTCTGACTGAGGCAAAATACAATGGATTCAAGAACAAACCACTGTTTGGCAATATTTGGACCGCGTCTCGCCCACTCAGGTGATCGCGTCTTCTCCATCAATCACTCCACCAGCGTCGTCTTCAGCGCGTGCCTGCTATCTGCCGCGAGCAGTAGATTGTGTGCAACCTTGACAATGATGAACACCGATGTCCATGGTGCTCCTCCCGTCCATCCCTTGTCATCGGTTGAGGTGAGTTGGGCCTTGGCGCCTATTTGCTTCCACAACAAAGCAGCGTGGACATTACATGCTGCCTGCAGCGTGCACGTCATCTACAGCAGAAGCTCAGGGAGCTACACCGCCGAGCGTCCACGTCGGCCTACATGCATTGGCTGTACAGTCTCTCTGATGCCATGCGACGACCGGGAGCCTGAGGTCAAACTCGCGGCCATCGGCTACTGGCAGGCTCCCGCCCGATCATCGTATCCTCCACACAGGTCGCTGTGTTCTGCCATGCATCGACTGCTGTATCCTGCCATGCAACGGATGCCTGCCGCGCGACTCCGGAACTGCCTCAGTCTCCCGCCCCTCGACTGGTTTACTATACAGTGCTATCTTCGTCCTGCGAACGCCGATTCAAAGATCTACATAGGACCCTGTGGATCGCTCCTCCGTCAAGGTTGCAAACCATATGAACTCCCGATCATACTAGGAGTCTGAGCTTGTCTGCAGATTCCTGCGCCACTTCTGTATATGTTCTAGCCACCTTTGCGCCCCATTGACCTGATGATAATTTGCCGCGGAACTCCCTGTGGTTCTCGTCGATGAATCAAGCTTTCTGCCTATCATTTGGTTTAGCGTTTTCCCAGTTCCGCGTGGTCGTTCACTTGATATGCCCCCGTCGAAGTCGGGAAGCGGGCGAACCGAAAGCTAGTCACGTGCGCGGTTGAAGTTCTGTGACAGCGTCACACAATGTCACCGGTCGCTGATCCTCCCTCAAGAGTCCGAGTGTTGGGACTTGGCGGTGGATGTACTGTGCGTGGTCATTGTGGTGGGTATCAAGATAAAAGTACAACAACATGACGAGATAGATAGCACAATAAATACTGCGCGAGAGCTAGCGACCTCAGACAATGAAGCGCTCGCTCGTCCTGCTCCGACTCCTGCTCCGCAAGCGGCGCACCCGCGACGACGATGTTTTCCTCCTTCCCATCTCTGGTCGAGGGATGGCCTGAAAGCGAACCATTGGCCGAATGCGCTTCTCCCGCTCCTCTGCCTCCCTCCTCCGGTTCTCCTGCCGCTCGCGCACGACGCGCTCGGCCTTGCGCCATAGCCCACCAACAGCAAAGCCATTGGTATCCGTCCATTGACGCACGAGCGAGATCGGCGCCGCGCAGACGACGACGCGGTCGTCCTGAGCAGTGCTGCTGCGCCACTCATCGAGCGCATCCGTCAGCTTGACGTGCCCGAAGCCGGCAACCTGCACCATGAGCACTTGGAGCGTGCTGCTGTTGCGAAGCAACTGCACGAGCTCGGGCAGGAGTTGGGGGAGGGAAGAGGCGGGCGTTGACGCGGAGAGGCTGACGGCGAGGTGCGTGAGGGAGGGTACGTGCTCGGGAATGCCGCTGAGGAGGTGCGCGGTCTGAGGCACCAGCTGGAGTTGGAGGTGGGTAGTGCTGGGGGCAATGAGGGCAGGGTGGAAGCCGTCGCGACAGGACAGGCCGAGGAAGTGTTGCTCTCGCGCGGCGAGGCGAGTACGCGCAACGGCGTCCGCGCCCTCGTCAGACTCGAGAGGTGCTGTACGCTGCTTGTACCCTGCCAGCGAGAAGCCACACGCCCGATTCTGGACGTAGCGACAGCGCTCGATGATGCTGACGATGGAGTCGACAGGTCCGAGAGCCAGGATCGCAAGGTTGCGCACGAGGTCGGGTAGCGGCGCGCGTGGACGTAGACGAGAGGTGGGCGGGACATGGGTGGACGAGACGGCGGCGAGGAACTTGGTGATCGACGGTGAAGTCGAGAGCACCACGGTGTGATACATCATGGGGAGGACCCATTCGCGGACGTGGGACGCGGTGAGGGTGAGCGCCGCGGCGGTCTTGGGAGATGAGGCGGCGGCAACGTCGACAATGTCGCGCAGGATCTCGGTGGGCACTTGGGGGAAGGGGACGACGTTCCCCTCCGCGGTGCGCTCGACAGCGCGAACCGGAAGAGCCGACGGCGACGGTGTGCGCGCTAGCATGCTGAATAGGGTATCCTTTGGATGAAAGGTATGTTTGTTGCGCGGTAGTAGGCGGCCGCGGCTGTTGAGCGATGACTGCGTCCGGTGAGCCCTTTATAGTCCCGCCAGCGCCCTTCTAGGGCCGCGAATCTATGAGCGAGCAGAGTGGAGTGGAGCTCGGGGTGCATATGATGCTGACACCAAGGTTCCGCGCCCGGATCGATGGTGAATACGCGAGGAAGTCGCGTATGCGCGTACGAGGCTCGGGGACGTTGCTGAAGGCGTCTAGAGCGCTGCACGACGCCTGACGAGGTCCCCGTGTCGCCAGGACGCGCTGGACACGCAGATTACGGACAAGTTGTGCGAGTTCGTCATTGCGGTCTGCGTCCCCTGGCCTCGATCTGGCGACGGAAGTGACGAAGCTGCTCAGAAACCAATGCCATTGACCCAAAAAGGAAACTGCCCTTGACGTCACACTTGGCAGGGAACAAACCGGGCGTCATCTGACATGCACCCACATGGTTCAACATCAGCATGTGCCGCTCGCAATTCGTTCATCGCGGACCGGCGGAGGCAGCCTGCAGACGTCTTTCTCAATGGCTGAGGGGAAATCCTGATTCTTGTTGAAGCACGGACGCTACACGACTAGATTCGATTTTTGAGCCTCGGTGGCAAGGGGATAGTCCGAATAACCCTTGGGACCCCCACCAGAGATGTAGAAGAATTCTCGCTTATACGGAGACAGCTGCCAGTCGTGCCTCCACCTCTCGACCAGGTCAGGCTTGTGTATCCAATCAGCGTCCCATGCTCAACTTAGGTGAGATTGAGCGTACGTTGGACACGAAGGGCCGCCCGACCGCGATAATATCGCCCTTGGTCTCTGCGACCTCGAGAGCCAATTTGCGCGAGTAAGCGCCGCAGCTGACGAGAGGGCGAGGCGCCCATATTTTGCGAAGGTAGTCATTCGATTGATTGGCTTCTTCGAGCATGACGCTGTGCTCGCGCGCCTCGACGAGGTGCAGGTATGTGAGGCCCGGGTGTCTAGCCTTCAGCTGCTCAATAAAGTAGCCGAATTGAGGTTCCGGTTCCTTCATGCCCGTGTCTGTGGATGCTCAGTATAGTCATCGAGCCATAAGAGGGCGCGACAAACCATGGTAGACGCCCCAAGGACTCAGTCGAATGGCCGTTCGCTCGGGACCCACGACTTTGACGACTGCATCGACGATTTCGAGGCCGAAGCGAGCACGATTCTCGATGCTGCCGCCATACTCGTCCTCTCTGATGTTCGAGACGTCCTGCAGGAACTGCAAAGAGCCGTGAGCCTTACACATCAAAGAAAATGCAGATATCTCTGACAAACCTGGTCAATAAGATGCCCATTCGCCCCATGAATCTCGACACCATCGGCACCGGCCTTGATCGCATTGATAGCGGCCTGACTGTACCATTGGATATATTCCTTGATTTCCTCCTTGTTGAGCGCGCGTGGGGTTTCGCTCGCGTCCCTCAGCTTGATAGGTGAGGCAGAGACATAGTCTTATCCCCTAGACTTGACCACGTCTGGGAAGCCAGAACGCCCTGTCGCCCAGAGCTGCATGAAGAAAGGACAGTCCTTCGCGTGAACTGCGTCTATGATCTGCCAAGTCGTCAAATATGCTTCTAGTCAGGCACAGAATCAATAGTAGGATGGATTACCTCCTTCCACGCCGCTATCTGCACGTCGTTGTGTATGCCAGGGACGTTGGGGAAGGTAACGGCTGCTGTGTGAATTTGCACGGCCTCGGAGATGAGCAGAGTCCCAGGCGTGTGAGCCCGCTGGTCGTAGTGGTCCTTAATGATGGGTAATGGGATATTATCTCCCGTGCAGCGCATGCGCGTCATGGGCGCGAGAGCAATGCAGTGTTGGAGGGTGACATTGCCGACCTTGATGGGCTGGAAGAGCTTGGGAACGAGGACCATGGCGACTGCTAGCACGCAGAGAGCGAGACCACAAAGCCTGAGCAATGATCGTGGGTGCGTTCGGTTGCGAATTGCCCTGCGGCTTTATCCAAAGTCGAGGGAACATAGGTGAGCAGGGACTCGGTAACGCATCCGATTGCTTATGAAGCGCCGCCTCTTGAGGGCTGTAGCACCAGCATATTGGCCTGTGTCTTGCTTATCTGCTGACAGAGGTTGTCTGTAAGGCTTGTATGCGCAGGATAGAGCACAAATGTTAGGGACTTGACGAGAAGTTCAACGCGCGCATGTGTACAGCCACATCATGGTCGAACTGTGACACGTGTGACCAGCGGACGGACCGTTAGGCCGATTATATTCGAGCATAACTTGCCTCGAACGTCCATGTGCTCCATGTGCCCTCTAGAAGTTCGAACATTGCGCTACCACTGCCACAAGAGCTCTTTTGCTACTGCTGCGAACCCACTATGGACACGACTCGCATCCTTTCTGGCGTCGCGACGAATACACTGCGTGTTAGGTACTCGTTCTCGACGGGCGCCTTAAACGACCTTTGCTGCGGCGGTGGGGCCTTGAGGAACCATCCTTCCCATAATTGTGAACGTCTTCGTGCGCAAGTCGAGGCACATTACCTTCTATATCTTTGGCTGCATCGTCGCACCGCATAGCATGTCCGATTCGGCCTTTCACGACACCATGAATGCAGTAGCCGTGCATCGTCAAAGCCTCGGCACGAGTCATCGTTCACTGTTGGGCGGACTCCGAGAGGTGCCATCGTGCTCGTGCTCCCTGACATTGTCATCCGATCTGTAGCACCGGCAGGCTTAATCAACACGAGTGTGTTGATTGAGCGGCGGGTTGGCAGCAATAGCGTCGGCCAGAATCTCGGTGTGCTCCGCTATGAAAGATTGCCTTCCTGCCGCTCAGCTTGCTCATGATAGCACTCGACAAGCTATTTCAACCTTCGGCACGTCGTAGGTATGACGCTGGCACAGTCCTGGTACAGCCTGAGCAATCTCCATTGCCTTGCTTTATATATCCTAACCAGCGCGCAGATACAACCGCATAACTTCCCGTGGATCTTCGCTATTCCCTGCATAACATGGCTAACTCGCTCACCGCAGAGGACATGGCGTTCTACAAGCTAGCCATCTTGGACGTAGGGATCGATTTCCTGTTTTATGGTGCGTGTACGGAAATTCACGAGTAAAGTATTTTGGCTAACCCCCATTGGCTCAGGCATGCAGATAGCAATATACCTTGCCGTCATATCCGCCTCAATGTGCGCTCATTAATATGTACTGAGGTATCCAGACTACTGACATTCGCGATCTAGCCGTGGAGGCACTAGGCCGCGCTGCGCCATAATACTCACCACTAGTGTCTTTCTGTCGTCCACGCTCGAGGTCATCATGGGGTTCATGTTCATCTTCGCCCAAATCCCTCGTTCTGACGGCGACAACGCAACCCTGCGCTTACTCGGCCTGAACGCACCAGCGCAACTTTTTGTCATATTCAACGTGCGTACGACTCTCTGGCGCCCAAACTCCTCGTTTTCTGACACAAAAGCAGTTCCTTGCGAGCGATGCTGTCGTCGTATGGAGGGCTTGGGTGTTGTGGCCCGACAGTCGAGTCGCAAAGGGCATTCTGAGTTCGTGTATGGCTGGCAGCACAGGTGAATCGTCATGATCGTCCCCAACTGGCGACCCAAGTTAATCTAACACAGTCAGTGTTGTCTTCAATTTTGTCTGGCAAACTGTGCACTGGAGGGAAGAACAGACGCGGGCGTTCACTCTTACAATTTGGCTGCCTCTGCTTCTGACGAACATGGTCGCCACATGCTTGGTAGCTCTGCAAGTCTGGTAAGTCCTGAAGCTGACATGCTAGCGATCGAGCGGACAGGCTCACCAGGCATCACAGGCACTATCGTCGTGATATTTCAAGCGCCCTTGGTCAATGGCGGAAGACGACGCGCGTCGAGAAAGTGCTCATCCTGCTCCTGGATTCCGGGCTGGTGTATTGTTTGATCTTGGTACGTTTTCTACCTGGCACACAGGGTATTTTATCTAGATCTTGATCAGGGTACATCGCTTGCGGTCACCTTCAAGGTTGTCAAACATGGGAATCCCGCGTACCGCATCACCCTCAATATCGCAACGAGCGCCTATCACAACATCGCCGTGCGTGCCCTCGCGCGTAACGTGAGACCTTGTTCTAATCACTCTTTCGTCAGGGCATCTATCCGACCTTTATCGCTGTCGTGGTCGCGGTGCAGCGATCGACGGCGTCTTCCCTTCTGCTGAGCACACAGGTATCTCGGCCGATGCAGTTTGCGAAACCGGCGCTCGTCGATGGCACGCCCCAGCGTAGTGACAACCGGACCCTTCCGTCCAGGCCGAACGCGCCAGGCCTCTCGCGACGGGTCTCTGTGGGCGACTTTCCTCATGATGAGGGTCGCTCTGCATCCGATGTGAGCCACTCAGATGAGTAACTGACTCGTTTCCACTCCGACTGCCGAATCCAAGGGTACAAGATGCGCGACGGTGAAAGTCATACAGCATTCGTCGCCGCGTCCATGCTCGGAATCGGAGGGTTGGATGTTGGGGGTTCGTGTATTATTGCACACATGCTAGTGATATAGTGTATGGGTATATCGTTCTGGGGTATCACAACCTTCTGGACGGTCAAGCATGACTCTTTCTGCAGGCATTTTGTCCACCGCGTCGGCTGCCGTCGTCCCTCCAGAAACGGGCAACTGGGCCACTCCCTTGCCCTGCGTCGCCTGCTTCTTTGCCCTCTGCGCCGCAACCCAACATTCTACGTTCTCCACAGCATCCTGTGGTCGTACCTGCGTCGCGAGTTAGACATCGCCTCCCATTGGTGAACTCCCAACATACCTTATATCCCATCAAATACCCCTGCAAGCTCGCCATCGAGAACTCCCGTTCGGGGATCGCCTCCGCAAAGCGTGCCGCCAGCGCATCTGCCACCGCCGCCTCCAGCCTGAACTGCCGCGCGTGGTGGTGCAACAGGCCGCAAGCGACATCGACCGGCGCAGGAGATTGCGAGCGGGATGAGGAGGCGACAGAGCGGTACCCAGACGCGACGGACTGGTACCCGGAGTCCGAGCCAGCCCTGGCGGCGGTGGAAGAGGAAGACTTGGAGGAACAGTCATCCTTGTGCCGCGGTGCATAGAAATGCCGGAAGAGCTCGCGGGCCTGGTAGCGGCTTGCGAGCTTAAACTCGACGTGCACGTCCATGCGGCCGGGGCGGCAGAGCGCGGGGTCGAGGGACTCGTAGTGGTTGGTGGTGGCGAAGAGAATACGACCTTCCTGAGCACCAACGCCGTCGAGGGCGTTGAGGAGGCCGCTGAGGGAGACGCTATGAAGAGCATCAGTGAAGTGGGGGGTGGCTGACGAGGAGGCGGACCTACCGTGAAGAGATGGTGCTACTGTCGGCCTTTCCCTCCTTGCCATCTTCGCGTGCGCCGACTGTGCCAGTGAATGCAGCGTCGATATCCTCCATGAGCGCGATGCACTTTTCGGGAAGACCACCGATGAGCTCGTTCAGGACGGCGTCATCCATGCCAGCGCGTGACAACGAGACGATGTCTATGTGGGTCAGTCAGGAACAGCAAAGTAGCAGGAATGTATACCCACAAACGTCAAGCCCAAGCTCGCCCGCCATGCTGTGGATCATGGACGTCTTCCCGCAGCCAGGCGCACCATACAAGAGGTACCCTCGGCGAAAGGGGATGCCACGGTCAGCATACCAGTCCCTGCTCTCCAAAAAGTCGCGCGCGTCATCCACCAAAAGATCCTTGACGCCCGGATCCAGGACAATGGACGTGAGCGCACGCTTCGGCCGCGACGCAACATAGCGCCACATATCGTTACTGCAGCGCGCCGTCAGCAGAACATAGACGCACGCACTCGGCACTGGCACGCACTTGTTGGCGACATATATCGAGATCTTGTTCTCCTGGTCCGCGACATGCGTCCGCTTCGCGTCGAGGAGGAGGCGGTTGAGGACGTTGTGCGAGCGCGCGAGGATGCGGAGTTCGAGGGATTCTTCGGTGCCTCCGTAGTAGCCTCCCTTGTTGCGCTGAACGCGGGTGACGGAGATTCGACGGCGCTGATACCAAGGGGCGTCTGGAGGATACCAAAGGACGTGGGAAGAGGTGGAGGAGGGGAGGTATGTGAGGGGGCGGCTGTGATTCACGAGTGCGCTGGCGTCGATAGCTTCGCCTGGAACAGTGACGACTTCACCCCTCAGACCGAAAGATCGTGTTGATATCTGGACCTCCCTCGCTTCCCGCCAGGAAGGTTGTTTTGATAGCCAGTTCATCATCCAGTCTGCGGTATGCCTGTGTGAGCGAAGATCAAGAGGGAGATACTGTGCGCGCACCATAGCAGTCATCATCCTGCTCGAATGTCGCGGTTATCATGAGAGCATTGACTGCTTGTCGATAGAGCCAGAAGAGGGTGCGACGGCACGTCTCGATCGTCCCTCCGAGGATGAAGAGCTTGAGCCAGTCTCGCAGTGCAGCGGAGGAAGCGAGGGAGGATACGAGGGTGCCAGAGACGGATAGCAAGCTTCCGGGGAGCGATGCTCGAGTCGAATGGCTCACTGACAAGCGTCGCGAGCTGTCCTGTGCCAGAGTCCCTTCCCCAGCAGACGAGGGCTGCGTGAGCACCGCCAGAAGCTGGTGGAGTGCTTCCTCCATCGACATTTTCGAGATGTCAATAGTTTTGCTTGCGTTTCCTTTCCCTGAGGTAGCCTATGCCTCTGGGGGAAGTAGAAGCACGGTGAGCGTCGGAACCAAGAAGTCCCCAGCGGGGAACGGTGCAATTATCCCCGGCCCGGGCTCCCGCGCGTGCCCCGACGGGCGCCTAATTTCCCCTGCGTTGTTCTTCACCATCATGTTCTTCAGTAAGGCTTCATCAACGCCAGAGCCTCAGGAGGCTCCGGCGGCGTCCATTCCAAGTGAAAGTGAACCACCGACAACGTCTACATCGACCGTAGAGTCATCGGTTCTCGCGGGCAACTTCGAGGAAGTTGTCAGGCAGGAAGAGGCACGTCTGAAGCGCGAGTACCCCTCCTTCGCGGAGATGCCGAAGTGTTGGAACCATATGGATACGCTTCTGTCATGCTACTGTGCGTTGCCCCCTCATGCATTGATACCTCAAAGATGACCTTGGCCCTTAGCGCTGCGTGAGAACGTCAAGGCCATATACCGCTACGGCCATCAGACTTCCTGCTCAGAGAAGGCTGCTGAGTTCAAGTGGTGCATAAGCAATGTCTGGCATCCTGATGAGGAACGACATGACATGTGGATACGTCGCCGCGCAGAATGGTGGGCACGAAGGAGGATGGGGAAGAGTAGCGAAGATGTTTGGGAGGCACGATCGTGAGGGCACCGTCCACTTCACGTATGGCGTATATTGACATTTCTGCAGCGAGCCACCACCCAATTTCCCCGTACTTATCACGGATGAGATGCTCGGGAAGAAGCGCGTGGACGCCAATTAGCTGCTCTCCCAATCCCTTTGAACCATCTATGCACCCCCACTATCTGTCCAATTGACATCGGAGGCTCTCTGGTATACTCTATCCACTCTTTCTCGCTCTGCATTTTTTGCAGTGACAAGGGTGCAACAAAAACTGCTGCGCTACTGGAAACGAACGTCTCTACCCTCCTATCTGACTCACCGAACCTACTTCCCGCGAACACGACCCAGGTCTTCGAGAGGAAGGTCTTTGGCGTTCTTAGGCGAAGCCATAGACGCTGTACGACCGGACGTGAACGTGCGCCCGTCCATGCTGTTCAGCTGCGTCTCGTCCAGGCTATCGAGCTGCGTCTCATCAAGCGTCGTGAGCGAGCGGCCCTGCGTCTCTGCTCCATCCGCAAACCGCATGCCTTGCGACACCTGGGTGCTCAGCAGTAGCGACGTCGTAGCCGAGCGGCGCATCGCCACGACGAGGAGGATCAGTGTGGGTAGAATACCCTGCAAGGCCATAGATCAATCCGAAAATCATAGCGTAATTTGGGTTCGAAGGGACCTACGGCCTAGTCTCACAGTTCAGCCTCTCGTTCTAGGATAGGTCGCGCCAATCACACTGTAAACAAGGTAGACGGTACCTGCACCATCATAGAGGTCGATGCCGAAGCGGACGACCTGACCGTGATGAGTACAAAGTCGCGGCTGAAAGAGAGGCAGAGACTCACCCACAGTATGCAGTACAGCGTCCCAGACTCCAGCAGCAATATGAGGATTCTCTCCGCTCGCGAAGTTTTTCGCCAGTCGCTGACGAGCCTCTTCACGTCACGAAGGTAGTACCTAGCGACGTGATTAGTTAGCGTACTATAGGACAGTTATGAAACGGGCAATGTACCAAAATCGTACTGCCACCAGGATTGTCGAGACGGCGTTGGTGATCAACAATGGTATTTCCATCATGATTGCGCTTGACTGGAGACCGTTCTTGGGGACCTTGATGTAGGTGACGCATTCGACGAGGACACCGACTGTATGACATTAGAAAGTTCTGAGACGGAAAGAAGACCCAGCTCACTGAAACTTCCGAGTAAGCATAGGGGGAGCGCTCCACTTACGAGGCGGCTGCCCCGATAGAGCATCAACACCCGCCAGACGACAATGGTGTCGCTCATGATATACTAGCTCCGGCTTCCTCAGTCACAGAAGCAGTGAGGATACAAGAAGCGCACGTTGAATCGCGTAGCCACTATGAACGCAATGTTGAGCTTGTTCAGCAGCTCTGGCAAGGCCAATTCTGCGTTGAGTCCTAGCGAAGGCATTTGTACGACGTTGCTGAGTATGGCCACAATTATAGTGCATGTCGAGGCAAGAAACAGAGCGACGATGCACGCTGTGACCGGGCGCGACCAAGTTTTTCCCCGCCTAAGGGAAAATCAGCCGCCAGGCCTTATGAATGATGGACGTCGTGAGCTGACGTCAAAGCAGCCAAAGCGGCGACCAGCAGCGTCGCCTGTATCCCTATCGGATGAGGTCAAACTCGTGTCGCAAGGCTTCGTCAAATGTGCGAGCCCACCATAAAACAGCACTTCGACACCTTCCTGCATGACAATGAGCTTCAGGTCTTCCACATCGCCCGCGGAGAGCGGCTGAAGCTGTATATCTCGAGGTGTGGAGAGTAGCATAGCTGAAGGAACGTGCAATCGAGCGCCCGAAGGGAGAGCGGCGCGTATGCGCAGACGACAGGTTATTATATGTGCGATGTCCAAGGAGCTTTGGCTTCTTCCCGCGAGATAGACTGAAGCGAACACAACATATCCATAGCTTGGAGCCGGCTCCGACGGATACGACTGCGAGGTATGATAGCGGCCCGATATCTCCTGGCAGAGGCGCGAGAGTGAACTAGGAGGGCCTCGTGGACCCGGCAGAAGTTATCAGTGGCGTGACTCTTGTACTGCTATAAGCGGGTTCAGGCGGGAGTCGTGCTATTGACCTCCAAAGCGGGCTGTGAGCCTGAATCTAAACAGCAAGGTCAGATTCTCGCACTGGCAATGCTCAGCGCCTCGCCGTTTCTGGTCACGGCGGTCGATATATCGAAGAAGTATCATTCGAGAACGAAGGCGGCGCGAAACGGAAGTGCCCGGGCGCGTTCCTGGACGAGCAGAGCCCCGGTGCTGCGTGTTCCGTTATAGCCACAGTTGCCCATATGGGTCCTAGCGCAAGTTGAGGTTGTTGTAGCGGATTGTAGCGGAGAAAGGAAACGTGCGATTGGTTCCGAGGTAATCGGCATCTCCCGGAGATTCGCGGCCACGATCACGTGTGCAAATGTTGAACTTCTCGATGCAAGGTGCGGTTGAAGTGCAATCATGGCAATGTTCAATTGGCAGGAGAAATCTCTGACATGCTGACTGAATCGTCCGACCTACTATACGAGCCCTTTGCAGCCAAGAACCGCATACGATGTGAGGTTTGCCTGCTCATCGCTAGGGAGGCAGCGGCCGAGCGTTTCATGGCGATCCGCAATGCTGAGGCCCTCAAGCGCCTTCCAGCGAGAGTGCCGCCAAACGTGAAGTGATGTCTATTCGCTACCTCGCTCGCCAGCAGATGTTCTGAGGGTCGCGCCGCTCGTCGGGTTTTCGGTCCTCTCGTTCGTGTTTGCGAACTCCATCGGGTGCGATACCTGAGTGCTCAAAACGAGGGATTCCGTCGTGGAACGCTGCACAGCGACGATGATGACAATAAGGGTGGGGTAAATTCCCTGTACATCGTTAGTAGCCCAGCTCGCAGCAACAGGATTGCAGGGTTGACCACTTACAGCGAAGCTCTGGTACGCGTTGCTCGCTGCCATGTAGTACGCCGCGCGTGTTTCATCTGAACTTCCGTCCACTTCGAGAGCGAGGCTTACGATCTGGTGGAGAATTCATTGGGACCAGCAACAATGAAATGAGACCAAAACCTACCCAAAGCAAGCTATATACAAAGCCCGACTCAAGAAGCAGGACAAGAACCTTTTCGACTCGGGTTTTCTTTCGCCAAGGGCTGGCAACGCTTCTGATGTTGCGGCGGTAATACCTGTAGGGCTGTGTTAGATGTCATTGCAGTGAAGAAAGGATCGACTTACCAAACCTGAAGGCCTACTAAAATCGTCGCAACCAGGTTTGTGAGGAGCAGAGGTATCGTGACCATCAGCAAGCTCAATATTGGTGCCGTGTCGTCCAAGTAAGCCAAAGCATACCAGATCAAGTGCGCGAGAACACCGACTAATCTTCGTCAGACGTGAATTATCACGAACCAGCCTCTCCTACAACTCACCCACACTGCTGGCCATGCATAGCGACAAGATGATCTTGGCGACACGATTGTCTTGCCATAGTGCCCATGCTCGCCATACGACGATAGCGTCGCAAACGAGCAGCTGTATGTGCAAAGTGATTAGAAGGGTGATTATCGACGCAGGTAACATGGACTCGCGTTAAAGCGTATGCAAATCTGGACAGTAACATCCAAAGCAAGCAATATGCGGCCGATTCGCTCTGAAATAGATAGCAGAGGTGCTTGAATGAGATAGAATATGTTGCCCAGAACGACTTCGACTGTCGACGAGATGAAGAGCGAGATGACGACCGCTGTGACGAGACGCGAGCGGTGCTTCTGGCGTCTAGTAAGCACTCAGTACGATTGGTCAACAAGGAGATGTGAGGCATGTTTACTCACGCCAAAGCAGCCATGGCGGCGACGAATAGTGCAGCGTGAAAGCCTGATGTCGAGATAAAATCAGAGATGCGCTGGCAAAGACGAGCGATCGTGCGTACCGTAGAAAAGGGCGTCAATACCTATCTCCAGGATGGCACCTTGATTGAATACCGTGTCGTCTTTCGTCAACTTTGGGGACACAGCGAAACCATTTCTACGTATCATGAGCGGACAGGAGAGGGCTTCCAGAAGGGTGTAACGGGATCCGTCATGTATATGAAGGACTTCGATATTCTTAGAAGGTCTGAGACCCGGACGCCGCGAACTGCCCTCGCAAGGACGTATCAACCGACTCCGAAAGGCCAGACGGTTATAGAATCAATGGTGGCATGGTTGTTCCCGCGCCAAGATCTCCCACTGAAAATCACTAACCTGTATACCTCCAGACAGTCGTCATTCGTGGCGATACAAGGATCATTTCGCTGAGGGGATGAGGTCGCAACAAGCGAGGCCTGCTGATCTTGAAAGTGAGCGCTTGAGCTTCAGTATTATTTATGAGTACGCACTAAGCCTCCACATATGGGAGCGCGAGATCCCCAAATAGCATGATCATCTGAGTTCAACAGCAGATCCATCACTTACGCTGAGCCCTTGTTACCGCTAGTTCATTACCTCCTTGACCGCTTTGACGAGCGCATCTCAGTTTCGACTGCGGCACCGTGATTGCCAGTAACCACTTCACCTCGAGGTATTCACAGCGACTTCATTGCAGGGATTGCTGATCTCTCGAATCTCGACGTCGAGGTGAGATTCGGAGCAAAAGACGGCGCGGGCGGGTCGGGATAATTACTGCCGCACGCGGGAGCCACGTTGCTGCGTTGAGAAGCCGGTGCCAAATTCAATTCCTTCCTTCCGTCACACCAGACGCGCACCCCGAGCGAAGGGCGCGTCTCCCGACACTCCCCAACATGAGCTCTTCACCGGCGGGCGAGGCATCCTCTGCCCATGGCGGCCCACATCTGCACTCGCGCACCCTGTCGTTCGACTTCGACCAGGACGACAGTTACGACTTCGAGGAGGATGCACATGTCGAGGACGACGGGGATTATTCTGCAAGGATGGAAGCCGTACTCGGCGAGGATGCGGAGGAAGACGAGGGCGAGTACGAAGACTACGAGCACGAACAAGAGCCGGATTTGTCTTGGATGGACGAAGACCCACAATCATCGTACCGCGACCAACTACGCGACGTTCTGGAATCGGAGGACTCGGGGGAGGAACTGGGGGATGGTCCCGAAGAACATCATTCAGAGGCACAGCCGCACATTGTCACCCAAGATGTGGACGAGGTACGTGGATCACTCGCTGCTATCGGTATTCTGCTGAAATGCACGACAGCACCAGGACACGCTCTCCTCACCTTCGACACCTTCCATGCCCAGAACACCACAGCCTACCGAGTCCCCTTTACCGAATGGCTCAGCTCCTCGGCTCGCGAAACCCTTCCTTCACCCTACTGTCTCCCGTTTGCGCTCCTACACCCCTCAACCTTCGCGCGCACCTTCCTCCGCAAGCATGGGTACACTAAACCCGCCAGGGCTCGACACGCCCGGAGGCTCCCATTTCTCTGCACTCTCCCGCATGTCCTCCTTGTCAAATCTCCAGCAGCTACCGTCCGCCTCGACAAACGATCACTCTAATGGTCACATCCCTGCGCCTGATCGCGAGGTCTTCCGCTGGACGCTCCTGCGTAACATCGGCCAGCACGTATATTCCAGTAATCCACAGAAGACTGCGTCTCTTCTGGGCGCTCCTGCCATCGGCGCTCCCACCGTCCTTGCTGCCAATGGTCTCATCTGCGTCGGCACGGACAACGGGAAGACCTCCGTGTACGACTTTACGCAGAATTTGAAGTGCATTTGCGGCTCGGAGGATTGTGCGCAGATATCGATATCTATATGCTGGTAAAGGCTGACATATGTGCACAGCGCAAACGGTTGGCCCTGTTACCGCGGTCGCCCTCTCTCACGACCATACCTACGTCGCAACGGGACACGCTTTCGGGCACGTCCAGCTGTTCGATCTGAAAAACCCGAAATCTCCCGCACGAGTCGTTGCACCGACAACTATCGAGGTCGTTGCTTCAGGTCGCCAAGAAGGCCATATTCGCGGTAGTAGGATCGTCAACGTCGACTTTGTTGCTGGCAGGCACACAGCCTTGGTCTCCGCTGATGAGCATGGTATGGCCTTCTACCATAGTCTCGGCAAAGTTCTCTTCGTCGATGCGTCGGACATCTTGAGGATATTGGGCAAATACCCCTTGGACGACCCGCCCGTATCCCCGTCGACCATCGTGGCAGGTCCGACGCCGAAATCCCAGGTTCATACCCATGTTCCACCTGAGAGGCGAAGGCACCGCTTTACCATGCTCGCAATGGCACCTCTGCCATTAGGGACATCACCACATTCGACAGACGCGTACAATCTCATCGCTCTACTGACGCCTTCCAAGCTCGTCATCGTGGGCTTGAAGCCGACACCGAAGACCTGGCTGAGGGCACCGCGAGAGCCAGAAGAGGGGGGCGGGAAGACGAAGTGGAAGGGCACGCTTTCATGGTTCCCCAGCGTCTCTGTCTCCCAAGGCTCGCCGAAGAAGGCTGCCAACGGCAAGGACGAGGCTGTCCCCGCGACAACTCCAATCCTCGTATACACCTGGGGCAACTCCCTGCGTCTGCTCAAGGTCACCGAAGTCCGTGGCAGGGAAACCGTCCGCAACCCTCGCACGGGCAAGACCACCGAGATGGAGGTCGGCCGGATGGCTTTCGAGGATGCGGGCCGGTGGGCGGCGCCGTCCGATATCCTCGCTTCGCAGTGGTTGAACGCCAATGTGGGTTCGTTCGCTTCTTGTTGGCGCGCGCGGTACGGGGGCTTATGCATATTCGTTGCAGCAAGTGATTGTGTTGACGGACGACATGCTTGGCGTGTACGATTTGCGGCACGGCGCGCTGGTTGAGCAGGTGCCGTTCAATGGGATGTCGCTTGTGTCGCCGTCGCTGAAGCGGTCGGTCAATGGGTCGATGCCGTATTCTGTATCCATTCGTGATGTGGCGCATAGTCTACGGGCGTACAAGGGCAAGATCTTCATTTTGGTAAGCACGCGCCGCGCAAGATAGTGGATCTGTTTGCTCATCCACCGTTAGGGCCGCGAGCACCTCCAGGTCGGCACCCTGCTGACTTGGGCGGACCGGGTGCTTTCCTTCGTCGAGAATGGCGACCTTCTGAGCGCCATCGATCTCGCGCGCACCTATTACACGGACGAAGCTCCCGGCAACCGCAACGGCCTGCCGGATGACCCCGAGCTCCGGAAAGAGACAATCGGCCAGAAGATGCAAGACCTCATGCAAGCTTCCGCCCGCTACGCCTTCTCCGAAGAACGCCTCACCGACGCCACCCACATCACGCCAGACAACCGGGGCGTCGACCGCACTGACCTCTTCGAAGGGCTCGTCCGGACGTGCGCGCGCGCCTGCATCGCGCTCGACGACTTCGACTTCCTCTTCGAAGATCTCTTTGGGCACTACGATGACGCGGGCATCACGCGCATCTTCCTGCGCGAGCTCGAGCCGTTCGTGCTGGAGGGCGAGATCAAGTTCGTCCCGCCGTGGATCACGCAGCGGCTGGTGGCGCTGCACGAGGAGGATCGCCGCCCGGACCTCGTCGAGCGCGTCATCTGGCACATTGACCCGGCGTGTTTGGACATCAACCAGGCGATTCATCTGTGCCAGCGGTACCACCTGTACGACGCGCTCATTTATGTGTACACAAGGGCGCTGAGGGATTATGTGGCGCCGATTGTGGAGTTGCTGGGCTTGATGCGCAGGGTGCAGCAGCATCGGCGGGCGCAAACGCGGTCGCCGGAGTCGGGAGGGGTGCTGGATGAGAGGACGCTGGAATCGACGATCGTCAACGCGTACAAGGTCTACCCGTACCTCGCCAACGTACTGTCAGGCCTTACGTACCCGAGCGAGGAGCCGCTGCCTGCAGACGAAGTCGATCAGGCGAAGGGGGACATCTATGCTTTTGTCTTCTCCGGGCGCTCGGCGTCGTGGCCTAAGCAGGGAGATAGCAGACTAGTGCTCACGGCAGAAGAGGAGGGTGGCGTCGAGCCAACATATCCCTACGTGCGCCAGCTCCTACGCTTCGACGCGGAGTCCTTCCTGCACTCGCTCGACATTGCCTTCGAGGACTTCTATCTGACGGACGAGCCGCAAGGCATGAGCCGGCTGGTGATCATTCATGTCCTCCTCGATGTGCTGGCGACGGGTGACCTGTCCCCCTCGGACGTGACCTTCATCAACATCTTCATTGCGCGAAACGTACCGAAGTACCCCGGGAAGCTAGAGCTGCCACCGAAGACCCTGCACAAGGTCCTCATCTCACTCGCGGAGGATACGGACCCAAGTACGCGGGAAGACCGCCAGCTCGCAGCGGAGTACCTGCTCTCGGCCTATACCCCTCACGACCACGAGCGCATGCTCCGCCTTTTCGAGCAAGCCGGCTTCTACCGCATACTGCGTACATGGCACCGCCGCGAGCGCCGCTGGGGCGCGCTGCTCGTCGCCTACATCGACGACCCTGACCTGCACCCCTCGGAAATATTCTCCAATGCGGATGAGGTACTCGGACAGGCCGCACGGGCGAATCACGGGCTGCTGCCCTCGGAGATCGTCGCGACGATCGAGGACGCGCTGGCGCAGCTCACACAGGCGGGCCTCACGTACTGCGCGGGGCTGCTCGATAGGCATGTCCCGCAGCTGCACCAGCGGGCGCTGGATACCCTGGAGGAGGGCGCCGACGCGGAGCGCTATGCTTACCTTCGCCACCTTCTTGGGCCTGTGCATTCGGAGGAGTACGAAGTGCCGACGATCCTGCCGCAGAAGACGCCCTCGCAGCGTGTCCCGCGAGATCTGCGGCACCAGTTCGTGCAGCTGCAGTGTCGGTACCACCCTGAGGAGGTCATATCGCTGCTCAAGACCTTCCCGGACGACTTCGTGGATATGAAGGTGGTGGCAGATGCGTGCGAGGCGAATGAGGTGTACGCTGCAGCTGCGTGGGCAGTGGACAAGCTTGACAAGCCCGGCGATGCCCTCGGCAAGGTCGAAGCGTTCGACAAGAAGCTTACGCTTCGCGTGCTCGACTGCTTTGGCTCGGACGCTGCGGACACCAGGGAAGAGGGACTGTCTCGCGCGGTGAAGTCCATGCAAGACCTCGTTCGCACGGGCATCGAGATCTGCGTAGGACGATCGCAAGGCTCCGCTGTTGACATGCCTCTGGAGGATCTGTGGTTCCAGCTTCTCAATGGCCAAATAACAAGCGTGCAAGCCGTGTCCGGCTACCTATCCGACTCGAAAGACGCCGACACCTCCGTCTCAGAGGCTCAACAGCAGACGCTTGCTTCTCTGCGCGCCCTCGTCCAGGAAACTTTCACTGCGTTGGTCTCCATGAGCTCCGCACGGATGGTGTCCTTCCCCCGTTTATTCAAGCGGCTGGTCAGCTCGACGGCGCAATCTGCAAAGGGCGCGCAGTACAACGAGTTCCGGACCATCCTCACGGGCATGCTGGAGTCTTACCGGGAGGACGGGGACATGCTCATCATCTCCAAGCATCTCGTCGATCGAGACCTCTACGCGACAACCGCCGTGCTGGTGCGCGAGCAGGCGCGCGGCTGGGCTGCGGGGCGGGGGATCTGTACGCGTTGTCGGCGTGCATTGCTGGGCAAGGACGGCGTGGCCGCGGACGACGTGCGGATCTCCGTCGGTCGGACAGGCGCTGTGTATCACTTAGACTGCGTACCATAGCCGTGTGGGCGGTTTACTTGCTAATCGAGGATTCCTACGTATGTATGTATCGTATAATGTGAGGTGCTGATTTAGCGATGCACTCTCGCGCGATGCGGGGCGCGAGTCGAGGACTTCGTTTGTGCGGACCGCGGCGTCGATGCGGCGGCGGCGTTTGGAATGAACGCCTTTGAACATGCAGAACTTGGGTGCGGCCTGGGCTTGGTCGCCGTATTCAGTACGCCGGTCTTGTTTGTCCTCCTGGGTGCGGCGCTGACTTGCGTCTCAGCCCAGCGGTAGTCCCGTGCCCTCGGCTCCGACTTGGGTGGGCCCGGGCGGATTCAGTCCTCTGCCTGCATCATGACGAACGGCGGCGGCGCTTTTGCGGCGCGAGGTCCTCCAGCTGTGCCCTCCTTTGTTTGGTCCGAGATCGACGCCGGGCATACAGTGAAGGGCCGCCAGAAGCGTGATAGCGTGCACAGAAAGCTTGATGAGTTCCTGCGAATCAACCTCGCGTTCCTTGGTGCGCCCTTCTTACCTTCCGCTCGTGTACCTCACGTCCGCGGTCCATCTGTGACCGCTCAAAGTAGCTTAGCTTTCGTCAGAGGAGCGTGGCTCTGCACAAATTTCATGGTTGGCGCCGCGCCTTGGTGAGGTATATAAGGGCCAAGGCAGGATGAGATATCTTCATCAAGCGCCCTTCAGCCTTCAGCTCTACCGTACTACTTCATCTTTCCCTCCTCCACTGCTAGCACCCTAGATATGTTCTCGCTCTCGCTTTGGGACGACGGGCCTGAGTACAAAGCAAGGTAAGTCGCGTGCCGTCGTTCCACGATACATCGACGCTGACCTGGTGATCTACAGGCTAGGCAAGCCGTTCGTCCCACCAAAGGCCACGCTGAAGGAGATCCATGACGCCGTGCCAAAAGCTCTTCTACGCCGTGAGCCTGTCTCTCATTCCCAAGTCGCACGGATACTCAATTGCGCGCGTCATGCAGGCAACCAATGGAAGGGCGCGCTCTACGTTTCGCGTGATATCGCGCTGTCGCTCCTCCTCCTTTCCATCGCGTTGCACATCAAGCCATGGTCCGACAGCGACTTCGGTGGCCACATCCACGCGCCGCTCATGAAGCAGCTCATCTCCGCTTCGCTCTGGCTATTCTACTGGTGGTTCCAGGGCCTCACTTGGGCCGGTATCTTTTGCTTGGGTGAGCTCTATCGCATGTGATGATGCGAACGAGATATTCATAGTTGCGGCAGGTCACGACGCTGGGCACGGTACCCTGTTCAATAGCAGCAAGGTCAACAACGCCGTCGGTTTCGTCCTCCATTCAGTACGCGATCAGTAGCCTGTCTATCCTGCTAATCGCGCACTAACGGACGATCAGTTCCTCTTGGCTCCCTACTTCTCCTGGCGGGCGACGCACCACGCGCACCACGTACGGTTCGCACCCCCGGCAGTTGCCGCCCTCGCTGACCGGCCTTCAGAAAGCGACGTCGTCCATCGAGCGCGATGAGAATTACGTCCCGTACGACCGCTCAGACTACGCGCTCCCGCCACCCAGCAAGGCCACCGCGTTCGATTACGCGGAGGTCTTCGAGGAGACGCCCCTCATGACGCTCGGCAGGATGCTAGTCATGCAGATCGGGTGAGTCGACCGCGCGCGCTCTACCTGCGGCGATGCTGATCCCACCCTCATAATCTAGTGGCTGGTGGATATACTTAGCGTGAGTATTGCCAGTTTGCATCGAGATTCGGGCTTGGTGTGCTAAGGATGATCCTCTGCAGGGAGAACACGATGGGGTCGAAGATGTATCCGCCGGGCACTAACCATTTCGACCCGAGCTCGCCGCTCTTCAGGCCTGCGCAGCGTACGTGCTCTATGTGCATCATTTGAGGCAATCGCTGATATGATCCTTCTGTAGGTGACGGCGTAATCTACTCGAATCTTGGCATCGGCGCCATGCTCTGCGTCCTTTACTATATGGGCTGGAGTCGAGTCGCATGGTACTACGTGATTCCGTATATTGTGAGCCCTTTCTGCCATATAGACGAAGGACAGTTGCTCACCCTCTTCTGACAGTTGACGAACCACTGGTAAGCTCTTGGCCCTTATATTGTTGCTTAATGTACTCACAAGATTGGCCTATTTCAGGATCGGTGAGCTCGCTCATAGCTTGACGTACCAGCGATCACTAACACGCCTTGCAGTCATGTTCACCTATCTACACCACTCGGGTAAGCCACGATTCTTTCTCGGAGTCATGCCCGTACTCAGGCGCTTCTGCAGATCCCACTATCCCCCACTACCGCAAGGAGGAATGGTCCTTCCTGCGTGGTGCTGCAGCTACGGTCGATCGTCCGCTCTTAGGCTGGGTAGGCTTTCATGACGATCATAGCATAACCTTCCACTAACACTCTCTAGATGGGGCGTTTCTTCCTGCACAACATCAGCCATGATCACGTCGCTCATCGTACGTGCCACGCCTGACGTGTCACCTCTTTGCTAAAGTTATATCTATCCAGACTTCTTCATCCAAGCGCCGTTCTGTCAGTTTATCCAGCAGCATGTCTACGTCCCGCTGACCACACGATTGACAGTTAACGGGCCCGAGATTACGAAAGCCATCAAGTCCGTGCTGAAGGATGATTATAACTACGACTCCACGGTACGTTGGCCCTTTTACTCTTTGCTTCCCTCGTGCTTACTCGGCCCATTAGCCGTCGTTCTACGCGCTCTATCGTTCGTTCACGCAGTGTCAGTTCATTGAGAACGAGGGCGCTATTGTGTTCTACAAGAACCGGCAGGGCAAGGCTGCTCGGGAGGTACTGGTGGAGGATCATCCTGAGGATCTGCGCGAGGAGGCGGGAAAGCTCGTGGAGAGCGCAGTCGTGCAGGAGACGAGTTGTTTCCGGACGTATGAGTAAAGGGGGCGCGGTAAGCTGACGATGGGCGCTGATTCCGCTATAGACGTTCCTTGTCATAGAGAAGTTAGACATGTACAATGTAACTATGCCTTCACTATTCTTTATCTTTCCTCAGTCGCAAAGATTGTCGAAATATTCGACGCGAACCTCAGCAGTGACAGGAATAAGGGAAGGTGTGGCGTGGGAAATGGCAACACGTGCCGCACGCGGCAGTCCGGAACGCGCACCGCGCGCCTAAACACGTCCTGGCCTCCTTGTTAATCGTCAGAAAACAGCACCGCCTGCGCTGCCGGCGCCAATCCGCCTGATGTTCCTTGCCTCCTCCTCCCCTCATCAACATCGGGAGGGGACCCGTGCCCGGGCCCTCCTCCTCGAACGCGACGAAACTATCAGCTAATCTCTGCGGCGTCACTGCCTCGGCGGGTTCTCAGCACGGCCAACACGCGCCGCACTCACGCATCATGTCCGGCCCCTCGACCTTTCCTGAGCCAGAGAGACAGCCCGGCGGCCTGCTATGCTGCATACCGGCCAGGCCTGGCGTCCTTGGGACCACCTTCCTGGGCATGTTCTTCAGCGGGGTGCTCACGAGCATGTTGTGGATCGAGGTCGCCAGTGCGTACTCCACCGATCGCATGCGGTACTATATGGTTGACTTCTATACAGACGCCCGGGGCTTCATTCCAGTCGCGAAAGCTGCACTGATCAGCAGCGGGGTAGTGTCCTGCGCGACGTTCGTCGTTTGCTTCCTTGGGTAAACGCTTTCGGCCCGTATGGGTCGCTACATGCTGACAGCGCTGGCATCCAATCAGGTTGATCGCCACAGTTGCGCGCCGCTTCGATGTCCTGCGCGTCTACATGTATACCGCTTGCGCCATTCTGATCCTTCAGAGCGGCTTCTTCCCTTGGCTGGTGTACCAGGTCGTCGTGGGCACAGATCCTGCGTTCGCTGGCATACCACTACTCAAGGTCTGCCGACACACCATCAGCGTCGAGCAGCAGACGCAGTGTGGTAGCCTGTTACGCGACACTCAGAGCGTCATATACACGTTCGTCGGTCTCGCATGGTTTACGCAAGTCGGTGAGTTGCATCGCCTGCATCTATTTCTGCCTCCAGTTTCCTGATAGCGCCGAGCTCACAGAGGCCACGATAGTTGTCGCTCGCTACGTCCTGCTTCTGAATAGGGAGCGCCGACGCGAGGCACAGCGTCAACCCGTCATCTTCACCAGGGAACGCAACATCTCGCACACACGCGTGGACTCATCGCAAGTCAGGCCGGAGCAGCAGCTCCTGATGCCTCAGCCGGAAGTACAGCGCGAGTTCGATCCGTACGCTGAAGTCGGACACTCGATGCCTCAGTCGGCGCACCCGGGCTTTGCGCCTGAGCCTGTAAGCAGTATTCCGCATTACGCCGCCGTCCCGACGGACGACATGCATCGGAATAACCTCCCGCCCGGTGCGATGGGCGCCACGTATGGTCGTCCCAGGCAATCTACGCCGCCTATGGAGCGTTCGCAGCACTCGGCCACACCGCCGAAGGGACTTGACGCTGCGCCCACGTTCCCAGTGGCTCATACAACACCTGAGCCTGCGCAGGCTGTGTTGTATCAAGATTCGCCGAATTCGTCGGGTTCATTCATACAATCTATGCCCATCGCGAACAACGCTACCCCTCCGAGCATCGGACACCGACCAAAGGATACGCCAACCCTGCTCGAGCGCCGCTTGTCACGGCCCCTTCCACCCCTACCGCCATCCGATTTCCCGCGGCCGTCGACCTCATCACCGTCACCACCTTCCGTTCATCACCTCTCGTTAACCCGACCTTCGTACTCGCCGCCTCCTACCCTCTATCCAGATCCCCCTCCTGGCGCACCCCGACCGCCACCATCCAGCTACCCCCTACCTCCGCCGCAGTACTCCGCGCAGCTCGCCGCCTACGCGTCGCAGCTGTCACCATTACCATCATCCCCGACCGAGGACACCCGACGCTCGGGGTACACCTGGGAGACGCAGACCCCGTCGTCCGAGACGCATAGCGGGAGTAGCACGGAAACAGCAGCGGCCGAGATGAGCCACCAGTTTGTGCGCGAGGAGCAGTTGCGGGCGTGGGAGGAGCAGCAACGGGCTTGGGAGGAACAGCGGCGAGCGTGGGGGGATGGTATCACGGAGGTCGCCCGTTCGAGGGAGGAGAGGGAGGAGATGAGCGCGCAGGGCGAGGAGGAGACGACGCCGCGATGGCGTACAGGGCCTGAAATCACTGGCACACCAGATACAGTCGGACAACCTCACATAGATACACTCAAGGAACCTCCACGACCACTGCTTCGCGTAAGGACACCGCCAGCACCTAGACCACTTTCTATTGTACACGAAGAGCGCTCGGACGATGCGATGACCGCGCGATATGTCGAAGGACCATAGCACTTATATCTTTACGGACATTACTTACGGACTCGTTTGCATACTTATGATAATTCGCACGGATTTTGAGCAAGATGTGCACTTGAGCAGAGGCGATTTCAAGCACATGGCCAACTAAAGGGAGACCGTCTGCTTATGAGTCACTTTTTGGTAGTCAGCTCCTTCGTCCTCCTACCAGACACCATACTGACTCTGGTCTTTTAAGAAGAGTGGCGGGGGCCATGGAGTCGCTTTGTGAAGATTGAACGTTCAACTTTTCGCGCACGTGGCGCGTGTCACACGATCAGGTGATGCGTTGCAGCTGTTCCAGCTCAGAGTCAAAAGTTCGACTTCGCAGCACTTCGTCCGCCGTGCGGACTTTCTGTGTATCCACAAAAGATGAGCTCACATGCTCTTTCACCCCCTGTAAGCACACTTTCACGGCCTGATATGCAATGGTATATTACCCGAAGGGCCTAACATAGGTACCTATGAACGTGACATGGTCGTTACAGGAGTGAATGGAAACAACGGGGCGCAGTGGAAATAACGATAGAGTAGTATTGTGGCAGTTTGCTTGAGGGGTCCGGGATGCCAGAAATGGTATTGTTGTGATACTATGCGATGCGATGGGAAGGGAAGAGTTCGGGTAGGCATGTGGGGTAAACCAGGAAAAAAAAGCACAATGAGACCAGAGAACAGGGTGATTGAAGGTGATGCGTTATGCCCTGCCCTCACTTCTCCTCAAGCTCGCTTAAGAATGCGAGCCAGGTCTTCTTGTCGATGACGCCCTCGTCTATATACTCGTCAGCAACATCCTTACAAGCCAATTTCGAGACCCCTTACACAGCCCATCCGCATCCGTCACCACGACGTAACGCGCGCCCAACTTCACGAAGAACTGGTGCACGAGCTCCAGAGGCGAGTTGAACGCGACCAAGAGCGGCGCCTGGTCCATGTACGGACTGAAGTCGAAGGGGTCGTATTCGCGCGTCGCACCGCCGGCCCCGTGCTCAAGAAGGGACGATATTGAGGACGCAGCCAAGCTGTGGTGCACCCAGTTTTGCGTGAACTGGACCTCGGAGTCGGGGTTGTCCGCGACGAGGGCTGGAGGAATGGTAAGTCACTGCAATCAACCACCGCAGCTGTCGACTCACTCAACGCATGCTCCAACTCATTCGCCCCAATATACCCCACCATCCTATACCCATCCATCTCCGCGTCCCGCCTCAAAATCGGGAACCCGCCATCCCCATCGCCCCCCACACTCGCCTCCACCAGCATATCCCTCAACGACTCCACCGTCTGCTTCTCATCCAACTTGATCGCCGGGACGTCGCGGCGGAGCACATCCCCGACTTGGACGTTGCCCCAGAGGTAGGTGTGCTTGGCGTCGAGGTACGGGAGCTGCTGGACGTCGATGACGAGGTCGTAGATGCCCTTGGGCTCGAGGGCGTCGGCGACGGTCTTGGCGACGAGGACGGCGAGCATGACGGGGACGGCGTAGGTAAGCGTGTCGGTGAGCTCGAACATGATGACGGCGAGGGAGACGGTGGTGCGCTGGGTATTGTGTCTTGTCAGTACGAGACGATACATGCTTAACAAGCGAGTCTACCCACCGTCACACCCGACAACGCCGCCGCGGCGCCCACCATCGCATACAGCCCCGGAATTATACAATCCAAATCCCCACCACACGCCTTATACAACCGCCCCTCCGGACTCTGCATTTGGTGCCACTGCATCGCAATGCCCAGCACCCTACCCGCACACGCGCCCACACCGAGCGTCGGGATGAAGATCCCCGCGGGGACCTTGATACCGAAGGTGACTATGGTCAGCGCGCCCTTGACGACCATGGCGACGAGGATCGCGCGCGCGACGGGCCAGACGGCGGCGAAGGCGCCCGGGTCGACGACGCACAGGCCGGAGTGGGTGTTCCCGGAGCCGGTGCGGCACTCGGCGAAGAGGTTGTAGACGAGCTCGGTGCCGCCCATGCGGGTGTAGGGGTTGAGGAAGCAGAGGCAGGCGGTGATGAGGGTCGTCTGAGAAGGTTATTCAGCTGTGGGAAGGTGTTTGGGTACATCAATTGACTTACGAGCAGGACCTCGATGATGGGATGGTTCTTGATCCAGGTCCCGTTGCGGACATACTTGGCCCATCGGACGTTGAGCTTGGAGAAGTAGGCGCCGTACACGCCGCCAAAGACACCGAGGAGGAGGAAGGGGAAGAGCTCGAACAGATGCCAGTCCTTGTCGTAGGTGACCTGGAACAGCACGAGCTTGCCTGTTCCGAAGGGGTCGAGGGTACGCAAAGTCAAGGCTGCGATCATGGCACAAAAGAAGCTGAACAGCGTTGTGAGTTGCGAGCAAAGTGGTAGACGAATAAGCACACCTCCTCCACATAACCTTCGGCGGGAAGAAATAAGAGACTTCCTCCAGACTGAACAACGTTCCACCGATGGGTGCACCGAAGGCAACGGCTACACCTGCAGCGCAAGCTGCACTCAGGATCTCGCGCCTCTTAGCTATGCCGCTCATGAGTACAGAAGAGGATACAAGTATGCGAGCAACCGTACCTTCGTTGTTCTCATACTTGTTGTGCACTCGGCTGACGATGTTCCCAATGCAACTTGCTATATGCACGAAGGGTCCTTCCTTGCCGAGTGATAGACCGGATGCAACTGATAACGCCAAACCGACAGACTTGGTGAACAGCGTACGCCCTCCGAGGTAACCGTGAATAACGAAACCAGAGAGAATGGTCTTGATCTCGGGTATACCGCTGCCCGCGGCGTAGTACATGACCTTGCGCTTGGGCGCAGCGGGCTTGTCCTTGGGCTCATCACCCTCGAAGGCGGGCGACAGGATGCCAGACTCTTTGCGGGTGACGAAGGTGGTGGACTTGGTGAGATAGAGGGTGAGGATGCAGGAGAGGAAGGCGAGGAAGAGCTACCAAGAACGTCAGCTTCGGAAGCGAATGAGAGGCAAGGTATATAAGCACGCACCGCGACGATAGTATAGGACACGTATTCAATCAGATCCCCCGTTCCCCCAGAGCCGTGGAACACGTCCTCCCAGGTGCGCCATGCAGGGCAGGCCTCCTCCTCCAGCGGGTTGACTACAGTCTCATCAACAGGCGGGCAACAGAAACGCTGCGCCTTCGTCCAGTTCGCGCTACAATACCCCTCCTTGATATCAAATAGCCACTGCTCCGCGCGCACGACGAGGAACGCGACGACCGCGGTCAGGAAGCCCACGATCGTCACCATGATCCACCCCAGGCTCTTGTCGAACGCGAGCCGCACCCTCGCGCGCACCGAGTGCCGCCGCCGCAGGCGCGAGAAGCGCACCGAGTCCTTGATCGCGTCGTGCAGCCAGTCGATGCTCGTGAAGCTCGAGTACCACACGCGGATGCCGTTGATCTTCGCGTCCAGGTCCGCGTCCGCGTCCGCGTGGTCGCGATCCTTGACGAGCGGCGCGTCGTACGCGGAGATCGGGCGCTGGCTCAGCCGGCGGAAGCGGTCGGTCACGCTGCGGCTGAGCGAGGGGGAGCGCAGCGCGTCCGGGCTTGGCGGCGTCGAGTAGGTCTTGCGCCCGGGGATCGTGATGTGCGCGATGTGCCGCCTGCGGCCGAGGCGGGAGATGCTGCTCACGGTGTGCGTGGGGAGCGCGCCGTACGACGTCGAGCGCTCCTGTGGAGGCGGTCGGCGGAGGGGAGTGCGTTCGGTGTCCGCGGGTGGGGGCGTGGAGGGGAGGGTGGCGTCAGCGCCTGCGCTTGCGTGCTCGCGCTCGACGTCGGCGGGGAGGTTGACGGTGAAGCTGCTGCCGATGCGCAGGAGTCGCTCCCGGCGCCAGGATGGCGGCGTCGGCGCCGCTGTCTCCTCCATGGGGGACGTGTGAGGGGTGAGAAGACGCGACGAGTGGGTGAGGTGGCGTATGGCGGGCGCCGACAACATTCCTTTCCTGGAGATTCATGACGGCCGGCCCGGCACACCGGTCCAATGCATTCCCGGATGATCGGCTGTTCAGTGTTTGCTACTTGCCATGATAGCATTCGCTTGGTCGTTGTGCATGGCCGACATAGCGGTCGACATGGTGGTACGAGACGACTCAGTTCTGTCAGCCCTGAGAGAGACACTCCGCATTATCCCCGCCTTCGCCTGACAGCTTGGCTGACTGCCAGGATGTCCGAGGCATTCCTCCTTTTCTCCGCTCTACATTCAGACCTTACTTCCACCTGACCCTGCAGACGCGGCTTTACATCATGATATTCCTTGCTTTACGGAGGACCCACATAGGCCTCGCTCACTTTGTACCGTCATTTTCTCATGTCAACGGCTGCTGGTGCTCTCACACTTCGCCGGCGGAGGACTGTGCAGACGTACTTCGCACACAACTTATGGTGATAATAGTCTGTTGCACGCCGCCCACCGCCGCTTGAAGATGGAAGTTCTACTTGTTATGATATATGTTCCCAGCAGTGCTGGCGACCTGTTTCATAGAAAACCCACTACATACTCGCGCTCAGAAAATGTCCGTTCAACCGAGCTTCTCATACTCAGATTATGCGCATCATGAGCTATATTCTGAAGTCAACGGGCTGTCGCCACCAAATGCAGCCATATTTTGCCATCAATGGCTTCGGTCCCGAAGTTCAACTTCTCACGTGGTCATATTCTCACGCGTGCGGCACACCTATGATATTCTTCCTGAGTCTTCCAGCCAGTCTTCCCACTGCTTAGCTCACATAGATACTCTACTCCATTCAACAGCTTCCTTTTCGCTGTAACCAATTCACTCGAGCTCTCTGGTCAACAGACGCTCAAACATCGATCCGCCAACCTACCGGGCTCCGTCGCTATTGATTCAGGACGACACGGAAATCCGGCACGACGCAGCCATCTGGCCCTCTTCACATCCGGGGCAGCCGCAACTATACCTGACATGGAACCTTCAGATGAAATCAACGGAACGCTGCCATACACGACGCACGCGCTGGCGCCCCGTAACCCTGGTAGCGTGGTTGCTCATAGCGCTGATGTGCGTACAGAATCCCGGTAGCGTGAACGGGGACCTATCAGCGTGTATTGAATCCTGGCAGCGTGAACGGAACCCTGAAGAGAAAGCCATAGAATGATGCTACAGAGATCGATCCTGCGTAAACTCACGATGCATTCTTCCAAGCTTTCAACGGCGAAGTTTCATTCCCAAAGCAAGGAGCGCTGCATTCAGTGAGGGTTCGCGGGTGCACTCATGAAGCCCTGAACTGCAAGGTGAGAGATCCCCCTCGTCGACGAGGAAAATCCCTCGCTGCATCTCGAAACTCAGTCTGTACTTGTGTGCAGAGGCAAGTTCAGCTCAGACGTCATCCCCGGCGCCTATTGTTCTCGCGTGGGAAGGGCCCTGACACGATCTTGATGATGGATTTGATGTCTCCGCTTCACGAGGCACCTCCGTCATTTGGTCTTCCGAGTGGCTGATGCGCGGTTACGCACGAATCCGGGTGTGCACCATGCATATATAGTGCTCTGCTTCCTCCTGCCGCCATCCCCAGCCTTTCCTCCTACGTCCCTCCCTCCGTCCCCTCCGTCCCCCTCACCCGCGTCCGCCGGCGCGTTCCCCATACTTTTTCGCGGCACCCCCATCATTGTGGCGCGACCCACCCTTCCCGCGTTCCCCGCGTCGCGTTCCTCTTCCTCCCCATGCCCCCGGCTGCTCTGTCTCCTCGCGGAGGATGATCCTGGCAGATGGCGTGACAGAACGCCTGGCGGTGGACATAAACTGTGCTGGAGGTGGGTGGTTCGACGCGCTATCCTCAGTCCAAACGCTCTTAACGCTGACTGTTCCTCTAAAAGCCGCCGCGCTCGCGATCCTTGTATGGTCCGATTCGCTCGAACTGGCGCGTCGGGACACGTTGCTCATGGGTTGTGATTGCAGGGAGACGCTCATAAACATAGACCAGGAGGTCAAGCATATATGGTCGTAAGTAGATTTCTTGCCATTTAGTGCACACCGATTGACTCCGAGTCTTGCATATAGACGGCCGAATGATGCATGGCTCAAGTGGACATATATCTTCATTAGATACTTCGCGCTGGCCGCCTTGACGTGGGTTTCTGCCTCTTGCTAACTTACTTTCCTCCCTGACGACTTGTGATATGCACATAGGACTGACCGCGCCTTCAACCTCGCCGCACTGTATAGTCGGTCTTTGCCAGAGTACGCGCTGCGGATATGGTTCATCTGCCAGCCGATTGTCGCCCACTTATGCATGTTGGGCGTCGAGGGGATCATGATGGCGCGAGGTCAGTTCCTTCGTCTCTCTTAGCCTTTGTCAACATTCATCTCGTCGCGTTCGCCTATACCCCGTCGCTGAAGCACCTGCTAACACTAACCCAGTTTACGGCCTATACCGGCAGGAACGAAGGATCCTGACAACGTTTCTCGTCGTCCTTGCGCTGGACTCCATGATCGTCCTCGTCGGCATCCTAGTCACCCTTCCCGACAAGATATCGCGCGCTGACTTTGTGCGCTTCTCCTCCAAGGCGTTGTCTTTCTTCGGGTAAGTGTACTCGTCCCCGTATTTCCTACTGACTCCCTTCCTTCTCTTCACCTATGCCTCGCCTTTCCTCTGAAACCCTCTCACCCACGACTCACACCACCCCCAGCATCTCCTCCTTCCTCACCCAAATCCTCATCCTCACCCTCATGCTCGTCAAATACCGCCGCGGCCGCTGGCGCAACGTCCCGCTCATGTCCCTCGTCGTGCGCGACGGCGTGCTCGTGTTCGGCGTCTTCGCAGTGTACTGCGCCGTCATGACCATCTATCCGCTGTTGAACTTCGACTTCACGGCCGCGGCGTTTCCATGGTTGGTGGCGAGCATTTCGGTGGCGGTGAGTTTGGTGTGCTGTCTTCCCTGTTTTTACTTTGCGAGCGAGTGCATTGTGCTTGCCTCGCGGGTCGAGTGGTGTGGAGTGGAGGGCATCGAGGCTGATTGAGTCGACGCAGGGCACCCGCCTCGTTCTGAACATGCAAGACCTGCCGGTGAACGCGTCTACGGACGCGTCGAGCGCTCTGCAGCTCACGACATACTACTCAATACCATTCTACTTCGAGAGCGATCAGCTGGACCGCAGACCTCCCGGGGCGCTTCCAGACGCACGCTCTACACGACATGAGCCACAACCGTAGCCCCACGGGACTATGGCAAACTTTCTTGCCTCCGACACGCACGACAGTCAACTACGATTAGGCATGCACAACTACGATCTAACATTTTTCCTGGATGAACCACATGTAGAGTTTTCGTGCCATGATATTGGCTGCTTACGACGTCCATAACACCCATAACTGCCCATGCCTATACCCACTGCATTGCCTTGCGTACTGTACATATACACCATGACTGTTCCCCTAATAATGTACACCTCCCCAGAGGAGAGCCCTTGTGTCCGTGCACCCTCTGGTATATCCCTCTACTCGCGGCTGCGCCCCTCACCACGAATCCGTCTTCTGCTTATCCAAATCAGCCAGGTCCGCCGTACTCCTCGTCACCGAGCCCTCCTCAAGGTCTACGTCCGCGTCTCGATGCGTGACGGTTTCGAGCTTGATCGCGACGTCGATGGTTTGAGTGTGCGTGTGCCCCAAGCCTGTTTGCCGCGCGCTCGATTCCCACTGCCGCCCGCCAGAGTTCCACGTCCGTGCTCGAACGGCTGAGCCGGAGGTATCGCCGCTTGTGGGGCCGAGGGAGCTCGTGTTCCCGTGCGCGGTGCCCTCGGAGACGCGGATGATGATGGAGGAGAACTTGTGGGAAGGGTAAGCAAGATTTCGAAGCTTGCAGCGGAATGCACGCACCACAATCCCGATCGTCGGCGCCTCCATGTCCACACAGATGTACATCAGCAGCGAGCCGACAGCCAACAGTACGATATGCACGGTGAGTAGTGCGGTGTATATACCGGCCGACTCAAGCAGGATAGAGACGAGGTTATTGACGGCGTCGCGCGTGTGCTCCGTAAGGAGGTGGACGCCACGGCGGACGGACCAAATGCGGTAGGCGATTAGGGCTGGAGAGGACTGTCAAAATCGTACGACCGTAAGGGTATGATAGCTTACAGGTCGCCGTGAGGTTCAGATACAGCGTGAAGGCGCAAAAGGCAACGTTCGACTTGGTGAGGGGACCCTGAAAGGTATCCGCCCCTGGACCGTATGTCGACAGGGAGTGTAGGAGATAGATGCCGCTTCCTGAGCGAAGGGTAGGGGTGAGGGACGTAGCGATTTAGTACAGCAAGGTGCTCACCGGCGACAGAGATCCAGCCGATTGCGGGAGCAAGGATGGCCCATTCATTCCCTCTCCAAACGACGTAGACGCGATATATCTGCGAGACGTAAGCCGAACGTATACGAGCTAGTTGAGAGACTCACAATGAAGCCGTCTGAGGTTAGGATCGCAAGCAGCCACGCCGTGTTGACGAGCAATGAGGCCGGGGAGTTGAGCGCGCCAGTGTCGATGGTGCCGTCTGCTTCAATGTGAAAGCGCAAGCCGACCAAGGTACGCGTCAAAACGGTTATACATCGCTAGGGTGAGAATGAGAACGCGATTCCCCTGTGCAAAAGCCGAGTACGCACTATGCTGACGAGTATGAAGAGGAGGATATGTGTCGCGACCAAGATTTTGTGGGTGCTGCGATGCTTCCGCCTTCGAAGTAGGACGCGCGAGCACTCATAGGCCACGACTAAGTAGGCGCCTGAAGATAGAGCATAGGTAAGGAGGACGGCACGCAAAAAGGGGCTGACGCACCGTACAGTAATGTAGAGAAGAACGCGCCGAAGAAGATCGCGTCTGTTGATGAGACAGGCATGGCCGTACGTCGCTGCAGCCGTAGCGCACGAAGGGTTCTCAACAGGCGGAAATCGGTTCGGAGGGTATGAGAGGTACGGCGAAGACGCGCACGACGTTCGAAGAGATGTTATATGTCTCCGTGGCACCATCAAGGAGGCAGCGGGGCGCCACTGAGATTTTGACCAGTTAGTCGAGACATCTCGCCAAGTCTGAGATCACCTGCCCAAGCGGGCGCATCCAAAGCGAGTAAGGCAAAGCGTCGGCGACCTCGAGAATTCAAGGGAATGGGACGCATGATGTCAAGCTGTCGATGTTAGTGTTGGAGAGAAAGGGTAGGGAACGGATAGTTGCGGGCTTTCCATCAGTGGGTATGGGCAAGTCACGGTCTGCGATATATAGGGGCTCCTCGGGGTCACTGCTTGGAGGTTCGGGTGAGGACTTCCAAGCTAGGCAGAACCACCAATTTCCAGTCAGGTCAGCAGGAACGCCTCAATGAGATCACAAATAGCCATTTACAGATGCGCCGAAAGCTCGTACGCCTGCAGCACGATTGTGAAAGGCAACTGATCCCTCAGCCAGCGGAGATATATGGTCACGTACACGAGAAATGACCACAACACCTCATTCGACGATAGCAGGTCGTTGAAGACCGTTGTCGGCCAACAAGCCGTGGGCGATGAGTATGGCGGTGGAGGCACAGCTTGTGATTTGCTGCCGCCCTCGTCGACCCCGGCTTCGAGACGTGGGCACAGGTGGGCTCCGGGGAATCTGGGGGCTCCGGGTGCATAGTGACTGCCGAGAGTGACGATCCTTTTTCGTGCCTGTCAGATGTGGTACGGTACACCATCGCCGCGAGGACGAAAAGGCTAGGAAAAGGTACTGGTCGGGAAAAGCTGTTAGCTGCAGACTTTTCACTTCGTTTGGTGTCGACCCAAGGTAAAATGAGAGTTCTTGAGGCCTGCATTGCCGTGTCAAGGCTATCGTGAAAGTCCGCGCCCGAGATGGAGGTCAGAAACGGGATTTCCAGGGCGTGGGAACTTGTGACATTTTGGGACAGCACGTGGCACGTTTGCTCCTGTCCTGCGCGCCCACAAGGTCCTCTCAACATGAACGGCGCGTCCACAAGCAATGGGGCCCCTATGGAAGTTGGCAATCACGAAAAGCGGCCACAATCATACGAGACAAGCAGGGCCGTCGGTTATGTCTTCTCACCCGAGATGCTGGGACACAGTAAACCGGAAGGACACGAAGAACAACCAGCGCGCATCACCCGGATATTCGAAGCTCTGCAAAGGTCCGGGTGCATAGAAGCAATGATACGCCTGAAAATACGCCCAGCTTTGAAGGAGGAGGTCATCCTTGTGCATAGCGAGGATCATTGGAACAAGGTTATGGCCTTCCAGTGTGAGTAGTTCGGACTTAGGACGGTCGTTCGTTTAGTACTATTTTACTGACTGACTCCTTGTTCTCCAATTTCCTCGTGAACAACAGACATGACTGACCAACAAATCGCTGACTCCGCCAATTTCTATGAGCATCTGTCTCTGTATGTTTGTCAGTCAACAACGCTCGCGGCAAGGATGAGTTGTGGGGGCGTGATAGAGGCATGTCTGGCGGTCGCTCGGGGCGAGGTTGCTAAGTCTTTCGCCATCGTACGACCACCTGGGCACCATGCAGAGCCAGAAGAGCACTCTGGCTTCTGCTTCCTGAACAACGTTGCTGTGGCTGCACGCGTCGTTCAACAGGCCACGAATATCAAGAAAATAATGATTCTAGATTGGTGAGGATGCTCGTCCATAGTCTTCCTTCTCGCTAATCCGGAGATATCCCAGGGATATTCACCATGGTACTTGACCCTTTAGCAGACGGTACTAAATCGTCTGACCCGTCTCTCTAGGAAACGGCACACACAGGGCATTCATTGACGACCCATCCGTGCTATACATCTCCTTGCACCGGTATGACGGGGGCGTGTTCTACCCGGGAGGGACTTTGGGTGGGATGTCGTCGTGCGGTGAAGGTGCCGGACTTGGATAGTGAGATTATATATATTGCTCGACTGTTGAAGCAAGCTGAGCAAAGTTTCTAGCTCAGTGAACATCCCCTGGCCCCAAGCCGGCATGACGGACGCCGACTATATCCACGCCTTCCAGCGCATAGTCATGCCCATAGCGATGGAGTTCGCACCCGAGCTTGTCATCAGTGAGTTCGTGTTTTGTATTCTTCGGGTCCATTGCTCGTCTCAGCGCGACTTCCCTGTGTCGTGCTACTCGCGTCGATGCGAGCTTACTGACACACTCGCAGTTTCCGCCGGCTTCGATGCCGCAGACGGCGACACGCTGGGCGAATGCCACGTCTCGCCCGCGGGGTATTCCCACATGACCCATATGCTCGCCAGCCTTGCGGGTGGCAAGCTTGTTGTAGCGCTTGAGGTATGTCTCTCATTACTCCGATGTGTTCTTTCTTAGGCAGAGCGCCGAGGTTACCCTTCCTTTATGTACTATCCCGACTAACGGACCTTCTCACAGGGCGGCTATAACCTCGACTCCATCTCTGCCTCGGCAGACGCCGTCGCGCACGTTATCCTGGGCGGCGCACCGGACGTGCTCAACCGTATGGTCGCGACGGAGGTGGGCACGGAGACGGTCTACTTGGTCGCGCAGGAGCAGAGCAAGTACTGGAAGAATGTGGACCCTAAGGCGTGTCTTCCGAAAGAAGGCGAGTTGAGTTATTCTCTACGCAGGAATCCCAGCTGACGTCGCACAGAAATCGAGGACCTGGCACACACAATACCCGATCTCCTGAAAGCCCACCGCCAATACTACCTGTACACCGAACACGACATGATGTCTATACCCCTGCTTCCCGAGGTCGAGCAGACGTTCTCTTCGCAAATTATGTGCACGTGCGTGACGTTTTCCTACCTGGCCGTCTCGAAGTTGACGATTCCGCAGGTCAGACATCTTCGAAAAGGATACCATGATTGTTCTCGTTCATGAATTGTGCGTCTAATCTGGATTACTCTGCCTCGCTTCTCATATAACGGAACCAGCGGCAACCTCCGAACGGAATTACAGAACCTCATGACGTGCGACCTCAACATAGAAAAGTCCTACCTCGTACGTCCTCTTGTTTTGCCATGGAATTTCCTCTGTTCACCCCCGCGAAGGTAGATTTCGCCAAGCAGATCATGAGCTGGGTGAGGTCGATGGGCTACTCGCTTATCGACATCAACCTATATCCGAAAGCCAACGCACCTCCGACTGCGCCGATGCACAAGGCAAGCGCATCCATACAGACTCGATGCGTTGGCGCTAACGACGTTGTAGCGATATCACTACAAAGCGCGGGATGACCTCGAGCGCAACGTAATCTGCTACGTCTGGGATAACTTCATCCAGTGGTTATCATCACGCCTTCGTTATATAACTTGCTAATTCGTTTTTGTGTCTAGGCTATCTGGGGCCAAACACGTCGTGCTCATTGGACACGGTCCTGGATGCAAAACCCTCGTAGATATGATGGAGATGCGCGGTATGTCTATGTTTTTGCTTCCAATCACTCGCCTCATCTAATCGAACCTCAGCGGCCGGAATCAAGCGCCTCGTCAGGGCCCTGGTGCAGGTCGTCGGCACCTCTCCTTCGCTCACGGTGCCCAACGCGGACGACCCGCAGCTCATAGAGTGGTATGGGGAGGTAAGCGGATATGTTCATCCATAATTCACTGCTTACCATCCATGCCATCTCAGCACTCGCTGGCTGTCCTGTCCTCTGCGCACCCGGATCTGCGACCAAATATTAAGAGGAAGTTCAAGCGCTTGGGACCTTATTGTGCGATCGGTGTGTATCGCTTGAAGACGTGTATATGGACTTGGTACTGAATCATCCGAATACTGCAGACGACCCTCAATCATACAGAGTGATCATGACGGCGTTTCCGGAGATCAAGTCGTTTATCAGGGAACAGCTGCAGGCGCTGGATTCACCCGTGGCTGGGACGTCGAACGGGACATAGTAGTAGACAACAATTTCCCATATAGATGTTCGCGAGGCAGCTCAGCTCACATATACAGTTACTTGCGCTGCCCAATGCAGCTTTTCTTGGACCCATTGCATGATGCGTCTACGAGTACCACAGGTCCCACCTCACAAGCTCCTCGTAGTGTCGCAAGAGGATCGCGACCTCGTTCATCTTGAGGAAGCGGTTCATATAGAGGACCTGTAGAGCAGCGTCAGCCATGAACATCTTTCGAAGCAGCACGTTTGTACGCTTAGCGAGCAAACGAATAGTCTTACCAAGAGCAGGTTCCGCAGTGCGGCCCATCCCGCGGCCTTGTGAATCATGCGCCAGTGCTCGTCTATGAACATACGTGCGCCGTCCTCGTATTTCTTCACGAAATCGAGGCTGTGTGGGATACATCAGGATCAGGCAGACCACAGCGGTCGCGCACTAGCCAAACTTACCGATGCAAGAAAATCCACCTCGCCCACAACGCCTGCATCACCTTCTGTTCGTCCGGTATGTCGGGTACTTCCAATATTTCTTCCTCCTGGTCGAGCACCGCCCACGCAAGTGCTCCGTATGGCGCCAGAGGGAGCGTACCGAGGAGGTCGTACAGCCTTGGCCCTTCGGGACGCGTCGAGTAATATATCGTCTGCCCGTCAGGATAGTCCGAATACGCTGGGAAGAAATCCGGATCTTCGGGCGAGAGCGAGGGTCCGAGACGGCGGTGAGGAGGAGGGGGAGTGAGTGGTGGGCGGTCTTGCAAGGAGGCGGTAGGCGAGGGTGGAGCAGGAGAAGGCGAGTGGATGTGTCGAGCGAGAGGGGGAGGACTCGGAGATGCGGTGGGTGAAGAGATAACTTGCTGCCGCCGAGTTCTGCGCCGAGGGATGTCGAGCGGCGGAGAGGGAGAGCTCGGCAGGGAAGGGAGGGCAGTCGGTGATCGCGCACGAACAGGTTCTGGGACCCGTACAGTGATCGATGGAGTTGGAACGGGTAGATGAGGGGTAGGCAAGACGGAGATAGCCGCCGAATCCGCTGTGGCGAGCACTGGCTCCTCCTCCGTCTCCTCTTCTTCCTCCTTCTCGTAAAGTGGTCGAGGTGGAGAGACCCTACGCACAGGCGATCGAAGAGGTGGTGTTGGAGTCGAAGGCGTGGGTGACATCGCAGCGTTCTCTTCATGTTCAGCCGGAGGAACACTAGCCTCCTCGATGTTTTCTTCCTTCTTGATCGGTCGTGCATATACGGTTGCAAGTGTCCTAAGACCGCTTGAGCACAGGACATCTCACCACGAATCGGGAACATTACCGTGCAGTGGCTCTAGCAGGTACCGGAACGTCGATGACCACCTTGCGTTTGCCGCCTGTCTGAAAAGAGGCGTCAGCACAAAATGCCGGGGCTTCCGTTTGCGATAGCACCTCTGTTGTCTCGACTTTGACGCCAGCGTGGTCCCATTGGAGGTGCTTCTCGTAGACAGCTTTCGATGGGAAGTTACCGTGCAGGTCGCATAGCGGGCACTCGTAACCCCGTACTAAGCGTCGTGCTTGGTATTCGACGCCGTTTTGGATAACATATTCGTACACGGTCTCAGAATCTGTGTCTGTACGTTGACCGTCCGAGAGGGCCACTCCTCGTTTCTTGCATGTCAGCAAGAATCCGCGACGTACACAACGTCGTAGAAAGGGCAACTTCGACGGTCCCTGGCGTTGAACTGTTAGAGACAAACGTCGCAGAGCTTCGAGGAGCTTCTCAGATGGCGCTCGGTCGAGATCAAGTTCATCTTCCTCTTCCTCGTTCTCGATGATAGTCACATCATCCTCAGAGTCGGAGGATATGGCTATGATATCCGGGCTTCGAGGCGCTACGTAAGGCTCGTCACTGTCGTCGCTGATTTCCTCCACCTCAGAGGCGAGCTCAGGCTTCGGGTTCTTCTTGGCCGCCTTCACGAAGTCGGTAGCCAGTATAGGTCGCCAAGCGCCTTCGTCGGATGAGCTGTCGTTGTCGACGTCCATGGCGTCCGCATTTGGGTGGACAGGGCGCTTGGAGCGGAGGGGTGCCATCCTGCGTCTGGGAGCTGGCGCCTTTGCGCGTTGTAGGGCCGGTGTGCCCTTCCTATCGTTTATTATCTGCCAAGTCGGTGCGCGCAGAGACGCTTTCGATGCGAGCGTAGGTCCGCGCGGTACTCTGGTATCAGCCATCGGACGGACAGTCTGCCTGGCTATGGATGCCACTACTCATAAGGTGAGTTCGTTGTGCATCAGTACACAAATATTGAAGCCCACTTCTCTTGGTGGCCATATGTACCTGTATGACATCTAAGTCACCAATATCCGAACACAAAAGACGCAATCTATCTCACAGGACTTCGCTTCGGCGTCATCGCCGGCGCTCTTCCAACGAAGCTGCCGTGACCAGATACATTTGAGCGTGCAGACACCCCTCCACCCATCGACTTGCGCGACGGAATCGGGGTCGCCACAGTCTTCCGCGGTACGGGTATCGGCGCTGACTTTCGCGTCATTCCAGGTGTGGCCGCGGTTTTGCGCTGCAGAGGCGTCGCAGCGCTCTTGCGAGAGGATCTAGCGACTGCATATGACGTAGGCAGAGGGCGCTTGGATGGCAAGCGAGGGGTTTCAAAGTCGCGTCGACCTGACATGATGGCCGCTTGTGTTGAACTTGCTTCAGGGCGCGAGGCTGTCGATGGGACTTCCGGCGTTTGCCGAAGAGGCGGAACCAAAGCTTTTCATCCGAGTTGAGCTGCCGCCCGTAAAGTATGTCATGAAACTCATATCTCTAGGTAGTATACAGTATACATCACGCGTATGTCCCTGCGTGTAGATTTTTGAGTATCTATACGAGCAATGTTTTCCAGCCCGGTGTTACCCCACAATGCCCAAAATATATGCAAAGCCGAAGACCCCATCTAAGCGGAGGAAGGAAGATGGAAGACAAACAGCACGCGCACTCCCCGCACTCAGAAGGCGCATGCCTCGTACGCAGAAGGCGCTCAGCACCCTCAAGAACGCAAGGACGCAGCAGGCGCAGGCGGACTCGGCGGTTCTCGCGGCGCCGGGGATTCTGCGTCGAAGTAGGACGGCAGAACAGACGACGGCGGGGAAGGCGGGGCGGTCAGCTATGTATGGATAGATCAGTACGCGGCTCGGCATGATTGGTCGAAATGCTCACGACATCAGGAAGGGAAGCTTTTGCTGCTTTTAGCGCTGCGTCGTACGCTGGCGGTGGGGTTGGGATGCGAGCTGTTGCGAGAGTAGACTGCGATCCCAGAAGGCTTCGAGGTACCCGGCCGTCGAGCGCGCGGAGATAGCTGGGCAAGGACACCTCCCGGCCATCCACCTGCGTAGTCGCAGGTAGACCGCGCTCGATGCTGCCCACGCTGGGTGAACTCCGTGTTGCAGCCCTCACCGCGCGCCGATGCCTCCGCAGACAGAAGGCGGCGAAGAAGTACAGGAAAGCAGCGCAGACAGCGGCTATAATATAGTCAGCGGAGGACACGAGGGTCGCAAGGTAGACGTACCGACGATGATTCCTGCGATGGCGCCCGCCTTGAGCTGATATTGAGGGGTTTTGTATGACTGAACCATGACGAAACAGTAACGTGCGCAAGGTACTTGACTGAAGAGGATGAATGTCCGACAGGAACTGAGCGCAACCTCGACGCTAGCGCAGGGGCAGCCACCAAGGGGAAGCAGGCACAAGCGGACAAGATAGGCGAGTTAAGTAGGCGTATAGACTCGCCTCAATATAGGCTTGTTCCCCACGCACATGACGTTGGAATGAGGTGGTCGAGAGACACCCGGCGAAGCACCCTTGCTTATCACAGCCTCCTGCTGCGTGCCGAAGCGGTAGAAGCGGCCGGTCAACGCAGAACCTCAGACCTCCAACGCAACCCCCGCCCACGCCCAATATACGTGCGAAGCGGGTATGCAGCGGGGTAAGGAACGCGAGGGTGCGCAGTAGAAGGTGGAACAGACCCTGTAGAGAGGATTGCGTTAGTTGTGCGATGCGACACGCAGGGAAGGGACGTGCTGGAATGGAGAAGAATGGGGTACTTTGTGGTTCATTGTTAGAAGGCCGTGGATTCACGGTGATAGCAAGGGGAGAAGGTCCCTCGCACCGCGACTCCGGCTCCAACACAGCGTGGCGAGAAGGCAGCACAGACGCCTGACGGAAACCTATCGGCGTAATCAATGCTGAAGCTGCCTCCGCAACACCCAGCGTGAACGGATTGAAGGCCGGAGGCGACTGCACGCGCTGGCCAAACGTGAGCAACTAGAACAAGAGTCGTATGCTGACATGCTGACCTTATGTAGTCCGAGGAGCCAGACAGGTCACTGTCCTCTAGTAGCGACGATCTGGAGACTACATATCGCCATCATGAAAACTAGTACCATGGCACAATGTTAAATATACCGCGCTTGAACATGGACGGCGCAGATAGCACACTGGTAGGGGAGGAGCGCGGAATTACACACACCACAAGCAAATCGAAGCAGCACCCTCTGTACGCGCGAAGGCAGGCTATCGCCGGCTGCTGCGAGGCATCGGCACGTCCCCACTACCACGGTAAGCTGGGAAACGTGTGAAGAAGAAAACTCACGACGAAAACAGGAGTAGAAGCGCTTCACAACAAAGTCAGTATATATGTTCTATCGAGAATAAAGCCGCATCAAAACTGCGAGTCAGCACGGATTTGGGCCTTCCTGATTCTGCGTGGCGATAGATGGTTCTGACTTGGCCGCACTGATCACGGACGAAGATGTCTGCTAAGCCCACGAAGGTCAGCCTCATGGAATGATAACCGCCTCGAGACTCACTTGATAATAGGGAGGCTGCTTGTCTCTCAGCGCGGCATCATACGTTGGAGGTGGCGCCACAATTTCCATCGCCATGAACAGTGCAGGATCCCCATCGCGGCGTAAGGACGGGCTTATTCTCCATGGTTGGCTACGGCAATGGGTAGAAGGCCTTCTGCTCGGCAGCGGGGTCCTCGGAGGTCTGCTCTCCATGAACCTCGCGCGGCTGGCCATAATTTTGCGCTTTCGTCGACGCTCGAGGAGCAGGAGAGCGAGCGTCAAGGTGCAGGCGAGGGCTATCGCGACCCATCCTCAGCGACAACACTCGGACAAAGCACAGCTGAAAGCGCGCACCGATAAGAATGCCTGCTGCAGTGCCGCGCGAGATGCTACCCTTGTCAGAGGAACTCGCTTGGTCTGCAGCGCTCGCTCCTCCAGCGAAAACAATACCAATCGTGAAGACGAGCAGGCTGCGGGAGACCATGGTGGTTAGCGGGCAAGGCGCAAGGTTTGCACGACCTCTGTGCGAATCAGTGACGACGCTAATGAACGTCAGATGAAGTCCATCATCAGCAGGCTAGGCTGCTGGCAGGCGGGCTTGCACAACGTCCGACCTGCTTCGCCTGGTGTCGGAACCGAATAAGCGTAGGCAGGGCTTCGCAGACGCCGGCCGTCCATCTTGCGGACGGCGAACGTCCGTCTGGTCCAGGAGTGCACTGGGTATTTGGGAGTGCACTAGGCTCTTGGGGGTGATGAGGTGCTTGTGATGTAAAGCGCGCACAATGGAGGGCAGAGGAAGTGCACATTGATATTACAAGATGAAAGCAGAAATGGATACAGCAGGATAAGACGGAGCGAGACCATTCGTGCGCGCGGGCGAGATCTATCGCCTGATGCCGCGCGGCGTCGGCGCGACTCCACGACCGCGGCGAGCTGGGGGAACGCGTTAGTGGACGGACGATGAACGGGGGAGTGACGAGGCTCACCATTTGCTAGAGAGGAAGGGTAGGAATGTCAGTACAAAGGGTTCGATCAGCAGGAATGTCCAGGACGCACCGCGCATGATCGTGGCACGACCTCTCGCCGTCCCAATACCCCGTCCCTTCATCGCATTTGGGCCGACGCGCTTGAACCTGAGAAGGAGAGAAAACAAAGATGGATGAGTGATAGACAGCATAGCGAGCGAAGGGAACGCACATCGGCGCGTTTTGCAGCATGTCGGGGACGATGAAAAAGCGGATCATGCTCCCGCGGATGTAGACCTGGTCGAGCTGGGATACGCGCCCATCGCGTCCAGTGACGGTGATCTCTTTCAACGAGATGTTCAGGTTGTCTTCCGCTATAACGAAGCAAAGAGTCAGCATCTCTGTCACGATATGCACCAGGCGTATTGTGATGCTGGGGAAGGAGCGATCGCCCAAGGATCGAGCTAGACGCGTACGCACCCTCTGCGAGCTTCCCGCGGTAGAGCTGGCCGGTCTTGAGCTCAACGGTGATGATATGGCCGAGGGATTCATGAAGAAGCTTGACGGGAACGCCGAGACCGGAGGCCATTGTTTTCGTGAATAGACGCGGGGGTGGAAAGAAAGGGACGTCAAAATACGGACAAACAGAAACTTGCCCTTCTGGGATGTGACCGTCGCCACAATGTCTTCTTAACTTGTACTGCCATGATCTCCTCTCAAGGCATCGAAAAAAGCATGAACTGAAAGTCCTCACCTTTGAATATCGATTGAGGCAAACCACGTCCCTATGGTAGTCTCTCCGGCCAGGAAAGGGACGGCAGCAACAAATTAGCAGCCGAAATCGTTCAGCTCGACTCAATTCTAGTACTCTCAGGTACATATGGTGCTATTTACGCTAAGCTACCACTATTCGGCGACCACGAAGGCATACAAGACGACACAGGTCTAGCGGAGATTTTTTTCTGATCCATGAGCTGAACTTCGTCGGCACGTGCGGGCCGGCGCTATTTCGCTTAGACACACGCGCCGGCTGAGTGACGTCTTCCCGCCTCGGGCGCTTGAGCTTTTTCTGTTCATCATTGCTGTCCGTCGTGCGGGGAACACGACTGTGCGACCCCTACATTTCATGCTCCCTCACCTCGAGGACGACGACACCCACGACTCATACAGCTTGCCCTAGCGCACGCGAGCAGGCCGCGACACGAAGGAGCACCGGCAGAAAATTACCTTGTTCGCGTACAGGGACTTGTCGCCGGGAACGACGTTCGTGCGTTTTGCTCAGTATGAGCTCGCTTGCGTCTTGGCTGACGGTTGTGCCCTTGCTTCTAGACCAACACTGTTGCCGATCGGGGGTCTCCAAACTGCAGGAAAGGTCTTGCTCGACCGAGTGCGTGGATCGTGGCGCGTTATAGGTCTTGTCTTGCTCACGACTCTGCCAGGCAAGCGACAATCCACGACACCACGCCCAGTGCTCAGCTACGACTTCGAGCATGGCATTATTTGACGCCCTATCTATACTCTACCCCTCCTTCACCGTCCTCCCCGTCCTTCTCCTCTTCGTCGGCATCCTCTACTTCGTCGTCCCCCGCTTCCGCCCCCTCCTCATCCTCATCACCGCAATATACGCCTCCTTCCTCCTCTTCCCCCTCCTCTACACCTACGCCCTCCACCTGCTCTGGTCCACCTTCCTCCGCCCCATATGGCGCGCAGCGAACTGGGTCCTCTTCCCCCTCAAGTTCGCCGTCCGCATGCTCTACCGCGGCGCGCGCTGGCTCGTCTGGGCAGCGCAGCAGATCGGGATCTGGGTAGCCTGGTTCGGGTTCTACGTCTACTTTGGCAAGATGGGCTGGGAGTGCATCCAAGACGCGTGGGATTGGGTGTACGATGCGGCGAGGAGGGTGGGGTACTTCTTGGAGGAGCTGAGCAAGGAGGAAAAGGCGGCGAAGGCGAAGGGGGATGGATCGACAGGAAGCGAAACGGTAGTGGGAGAAGATGAGGAAGAAGAAGAGGAGGAGGGTGAGGGAGATGGGACGGAGGGTGTGCCACGAACGTCGAGGCACAGGCGACGATCATCTACGAAGAAGGGGAAAGGGAAGGGCAAATAAGCCAGCCCTACGCAAACGTCTTGTTATCACCCTCCGGCGTATCAATGTACTAACGATGCCTGCCATCGTCTGACCTGGATTTCTGACTGCAGTCTTTGCTCCAATAGGTTTGTTATGGCGACTAATCCGGTCCTATTACTGACATTGACTTATCTCACCCTCTGCCCTTCCCTCATGCAACGATCAGTGAAAGTGAATAGGCGGCGGCCTACCCGCTAACTTGCTTCACCCGTTCTCCCTTGTTCCTGCCCACGACCCAGGGTTCGCACGTTACCCTCTAACCCTCCAAAGAAGGACGAATGCGATAGCAATGGTGGTATAAAGCGCTGCACCGACAGCAGCAATGCTGCAAACAAACGCTGACACCCGCGCCACATCGAAGTGCCCACTGCTCCCCAGCACACCCCCACATTCCCACTCCCCCCGCGTTTATAACCCCGGTTCTGTGCGCCGGGTGGTACCTGCACTCGCACGCTGACCTGCACTCGCACGTTGACCCCTGCTCCCATGACGCCGTCGAAGAAGAAGGCCGATCTCTTTCGCCCGGACGATGACGAGGGGAGCTTCTACACCTACACCGCGCTCACCGGCGCCGCGCTCGACATCGCGTTCCACACGAGCCTGAACGCGTTCGGCAGCCTCGATCAGACGGACTACGCGTCGTTCCAGCCGTGCTTTGAGAAGAGTCAGGACCGGGTGGTTGTAGAGGACATCGAGATCGGCGGACAGGTGTGGCGGTTGCGGTGTATCTTCGACGGTGCGTGCTTGCCACTATTCCCTTCACGCCCTGTACTGACGACCCACTCACCGCAGGCCACGCCGGCCACGCCGCCGTCGACTACATCCAGCAAGCCATCGTGCCCACCCTCCACACCCGCCTAGCCGCCCTCGACGCGTCCTCCCCTCCCACCGACGCCACCATCGACACCGCCCTCTCCTCTGCCCTCCTCGCGATCGACGACGCGATCGGCAATGAGGCGCGCGCGCTGTTCCCGCCCGACCTCGACGCCCTGTCCGACGCGCAGATCCGCGCGATCGCGGACGATCACAAGGACGGCGGCAGCGGGGCGAACCACGAGAAGCTACTGCGCGCGAAGAGCGGGTCGACGGCGTTGGTCGCGCTGGTGGATCCGCCAGGGGAGCGGTTGTGGGTGGCGAGTTTGGGGGATTGCACGGCGGGTGAGTGGTAGATGGGATTGGGGTGGAGGTGGGATGGTTGAGCTGACGCGTCGCGAACAGCGTTGTGTACGAGGCAGGAGAGGGGAGGGCCGTGGACGGTGGAGAGGTTGAGCGCGAACCATAATGGCATAGAACCGGATGAAGCGGCGCGCGTCAGAGCAGAGCACCCTGGAGAAGAGGGCGCGATGCTGAACGACCGGGTGCTCGGTACTATCGCTGTCACCAGAGGTACATTGTCTACTCTCTTCTTAACTGTACGTCCTTGTAGCTAACTCTCGTCCCCCCAGCCCTCGGCGACTTCTTCTGCAAGTTCCCGCCCGATTTCGTCCGCCGCGTCCTCGTCGCCTCGGACCCCAACCTCAAGTTCTCCGCTACGAAGGTGGACGACTTCCTCGCCCGCCTCCTCACCCCGCCCTACGTGAGCGCTCAGCCGGAGGTCAGATGCGTGCGGATAGGCAGCGCAGGGGATGCCACTTCATCACCGCCCGCCGAGCAGCTCCTCGTCATGTTCTCCGACGGCCTCCCCGAGTGCGTTCTCGATGACTTCTCGACCGCGGAGCCTTATTTCCAGGTCCTGCCGCGCATCCTCGACCGCGCCCTGCGTTCGACGGCGGAGGCGGGCTTCAACGCGGAGGCGTGCCTAAACGCGGAGGGTCCCAGGTCCAACAATGAAGGCGCGAACGGCCAACCCACCATCCCTCGACCGGACGCCAAACGGAACCTCGCCGCCGCCATCATCCGGGAGACGCTCGCTGGCGGCGAGGACTGGCTGCCCGTGATGCAGGCGATGAAGTATGGGGAGGTGGTTCCGAAGTTGGGGAAGGAGAGGAAGCTGGACCATGTAGAGCGGGATGATAGGCTATCGCAGTTGTTGACGGTGGAGATGAGGGGGAAGTGGATGGACGATGTGACGGCGGTGGTGCATAGGATAGTGTAGTATTCAGCTCAAGTGGACTTCGTTGTACTCATAGTCTGTGGATGATCACAATAGAACTGGACATATGCTCGAGCGTGCCTCGGAAGGGCAGCGAGCTATACATGGCATTGACAAAGTACATGACGAGCAGGTACATTATGTGACAGCACGCAGGGACGACTACATGCCCTTCTCGGTTTCGTACCGCGAAAAGTGACTGTCCCCTACAACTAAGTAATCTTGTTCGCGCCGTACGCGACCATGAAGTCGGATCTGTTGGCCCACCACACACCCGCCGAAGCGCACATACATCAGACCCAAGACGAAGGGATGAATACTCACAACTTCGCCCTGAAGTCTGCGGCGACGCAGGGACGTCGGGTTGAAGCGGGCGACGGGGTCGAGTCGAAGCGGCGATGTCGAGTCGGTCGAGTCGACGCCGTCAATGTCGTATCGAAGGTCAGCGGTCGCTTACACGCCCCGTACTAATGAAGAACGTCAGCAATTTCACTTTATAACGACCGGACATCGACGACTCACGGACGGATCCCTTCCAAACAGCACTTTTATAACCCCACAAAAGGCTCCCGCACCTGTTGCGATCTACACCTAGGAGGGGGCGCTGTTGCGGTGCAGCCCCCTCCGACGGCACAGCAGCTCGTGCCCCCGTGGGGGGTGAAGGAGGGATCGGTGGATGGAGGGAATGATGATCACACAGAAGAGGGCGACGAGGGAAGAGGGGAATTGTAGGGGGCACGGTGCCTGCAGAGAATAGTGAGCAAAGATCCTCAATGAGCGTATCGAACGTGAACGTACATGACATCCGTCCATCTTACACTTGACTCACGCGATGTCCTGAAGCGTGCTCAGTAACAGTGAGGGAGAGGAGCAATGAGAATACGCACGAAAATCCAAGAGGCCTCTAGGGCGAGCAGCGGGAAAGAGAAACACGCCAGTTGGCCCTCCCCAAACTCGAGGAGGTTCACCCTTGGGCCGCGATGAGGCCTGGCGCCGGTGCACCGCCCGCTGACGGTGCACCTATTCCAAGGGGGTCTTGAGGCACACGGTCGGAGTCGAAGTCGGAGGTTGATGTTGAGGTTCTGATGGTCCTTGTTGTTGGGGTGGCTTGCGCGCTCTTGAGCTTGAAGTTAAAGTTGATGTTGACCTTACTGGCGACCTCACAAATGACCTTACAAAAACCTTACTGACGACCTTACTCTTGATGTTGACGTTGTTGTTGACCTTGACGTTGATGATGTCGGAGGGTGGCTTACTTAGACTCATTCTTACTCTTGACGATGTTTGACGGTGACCTTGAGGAGGCTTGATGATGATCTTGACGCTGCTTGACGATGACCTTGACGCTGCTTGACGGGCCCCTTGACGTTGTTCGGCGGGTCGACATTGAGGAACATGCTGTTGGCCCACCCCATGCCCACGCCGAAGCGCACCATTAGCGTCGAGTTGATCGTTGTGCACTCACTGGTGCCCCACCACCATCCCCGATCTCGACCATCCATCTTGACGACGAGACAGAAGTCGAGGTCTACAACATGGATAAGCACGTTGTCGGCGTCAGAGTACCGAACGACGTACCGGTCTTGATGCATGTAGGTGAAGGTGGTCTTGATGACTTGCAGGTAAACTTGTAAACTTGCAGGTCGTCCTGAGGACTTGAAGTCGTCTTGATGTCTTGCAGGCAGTCTTGAGGTCTTGAAGTCATACAACCGAGGCCCAAGTCCGCCAAAACAGCGACTACTAGTATAACGTGGGGGCCACAGGCGCCCTCCACGGCCGACTCAGTCGCGACCTGTCTTGGGGCGAGGATACATCGACTGGCGGCTACCAAACAGCGTAAGCATCAAGTACGACGAGCGAACGTATAGGCTCTCACCATCCATCTCGATGCTGGGAGGCACCGACTGCAGATGGACGTCAGCGACAACGATGGCAGGGCCGTGATGAGCACACGTACATAACCCGGCGGGTACTCGATCTGATTTCCCCAGCCCCGCAGCCAAAAGCGACGACGCGAGCTGAGACGCCAGTTGGCCCTCCAGTTAAGGAGGTTCACCCTTGGGCCACGTTGAGGCCTGGCGCCGGCAGGCCGTCCGGGGGCGGCGGGCCTATTCCAAGGGGGTGGCCGGCAAGCGGCCTGTGGGATGGTGAAGAAGAATGCAAGGGAAGCTCCACAGGCGGAGAGTGAAGAAGCTTGACAGTCTTGCGGAAAGATCTTGAGGCTTGAGGGCATTGATGATGAAGGTCAAAGTAAGAAGCGCGGGAAAGCACGCAAACAATGGATCATGTACGACGTCGAAGGCGTGTCGGCCTGCAAGGGGATGAGTCAAGGCGCAGAGAAGTTAGCTGATAACGCACCAGATACTCGCTCCGATAGGCCCTCCTCGTCGACATCCAACGACGATGTCGAAACCCAGGTCCGCCACAATGTGGCAAAGGTCGGCATCGACGACGATGAGGAAGCTAAGGAGGCCAAGAAAGCAGTCATAAAGTAGTGGCTGTAGGTAGCAAGCAAAGGGCCCGATCATAAAACATCTGCCGGTGGGCAAAGGGATCACAACGAGGACGATGGGTGGGCTGGACGATGTGTGGCGCAAGCGCCCGAAGCGAGCAATGGCAAAAGAAAGCAGATGGAGAAGACAGGTAAGAAAAAGAAAGAAGATAGATGAGTCGCGAACGTGCCCGTCGATGAGCAGCCAACCCTAGGAGCACATGAAGGCAGAAAGGAAGGGGGAATGGGGGGATCAGAATCAACACCCATGCTCTTATACCCTCGCCCGGGCCGACACCGACAATAGAGTAGACTCGTGGCCGGCCAAACAAACAGGCCCCCGCCTTCTTTGAATGGCATGCCGGCTCGCGGCATGATGGCCAGAAGTCGAACATGGCGCAAACATACGGAAACAAATGCAAACGGAAGCAGAAATAGGTCCCGTGGATCAACAACACGTGTGCTTGATCCCGTTATCACGGCTTATCACAGCGGGCTGACGGCATGTCATCACACGCTGAACAGTGTCGACGCCCACACTCACCAAGCGACATGAAGAAACCGCGTGTATCAGGCGTGCTGGGGTCGTCAGTCAAGGAGTCGGCGGTGCTGTTCACTCGTGTATGACACTGCTCGAACCAGTCAGCATTGGTAGTTACAACTCGAGGCCCTAATCCAACAATTCCACGACACCCCTCCTGGGCGATACAATACCCGCCACCTTGCTCTCCATGGACAGCAGATCGCCCCCGGCCGTCAAGACGAGGTCGCCGTCCTCCGCCGGCAATCCCAGCAGCTTCTCCAGATTGGTAGACGCGAGCGCAATTGCGTCCGCCTTCGATATCTCCTCCGGCATCTCCAGTGCGGCCTGAAAACACAATAAAGCGTTAGCGTTAGCGGCGTTCCCAGAGGATGCGGAGTGCAGAATGAAGAGATGTTACGAACCCAAGCGACATCGAACCGCGTGTTGCGCGCGCTCCAGGGCTCCTGGATGCCGATACCAACGGTCACGTTGTGTTCGAGCAGCTTCCCGGGCGCGTTGTACTCCGTAAGCGGCGGGCCAGGGAGACTAAGACCCGGTCAGTTATTGTGACAACTGCTTGCGAGAGAGCACCCACATTCTACGCGATTCCCATGAACCAGGGAAGGGCCTAGACGGGTTGATGATGACCCCGATGTTGGCCTCGCTGATCTCCTTCGCGAGCAAGTGGGCCTCAGTCGCGCCGGATAGGGTGAGCTGTATCCGCGTGTTCTTCTCGCGCTCGATCTCCGCCTTCAGTAAGATGAGGGAGGCAATGACATCGGCGCTGTGCACATCGACAACCAACGGGAGCACGCCCTGAAAAAAGCATAAGCTCGACGGCGATGAAGCTCGACCAGTCCACGCACATCGACAACATCCCTGAAAGCCAGCGCAACCTCGCCCTCACCCCCGCCGAGCAGCAGCTTGCGCAGCGCCGCAATCTGCGTGCTCACGCTCGTTGACGAGCCCAGGCTGATCGCAACGTGCAGGGCTGTGATGGGCTTCACAACCGCGCCGCTCTCCAGCTTGTGCGCGGCGCCTGTCGAGAAGGCGGTGCTCAGGCCGCTCAGGAAGCCGTACGACGTGGGCGCGACGACCCCAGTTGTGACGCCGGCGCGGTTGGCGATGCTATAGGTGGCGGTGATAAGTCAGGTAGGCGCTGGGAATGGGGGATGACTTACAGCGCATCCCGCGTCGTGTACTGCAGGCCGTCGACCGCGCGGATGAGCGCGCCATCACCGCCCAGGATTGAGGGCTGCTTCGCGGTCAGCGGGTCGCCCACAGCGCCGTCTGCCGTGGAATCTTCGGCGGCAATATGTTCCAGCCCCAGCGGCGATCCGTACGAGATGAGCGCAGGACTGCACGTCCGTTAGCTCCATCGGTCTGCACAAGAGCACGTTGACATCGACTCACGCGACAGAACCTCCCTGCAAGTTCACATACTCCGCGCCCTCGAAGCTGTCCTCAACCTCGCATGCGTAACAGACAAGCTTGCCGTCCTTCACGACCACGTTAACTTGCGCGCTCGGAAGCACCGCCTGCGTGACCTTGCTGTTCTCCCGGAGGAACACGCTCGTGACATTCGTAAACACCACAGTCGACATCGTCTTCCTCGGCTCAAGCGGCGGCAGCCCCTCATACTCGACTGCCGCATCCTTCTCCTTCTCGAAGTCCGGCGTCTTCGGCACATGTTGGAAGGCCTCTGGCTTCTTTGCGACGTGCGGTGTCTCGAGCTGCGGGATGCCGTCGATCCAGACTTGCTGGGGGGCGGCGCCGAGGGCGAGGGGGTGGGAGTCCCAGAGGACGATGTCGGCGTCGTAGCCTAAGGGAAAAGGTCGTTGGTGTATCCTGTGGTAGTGAGACAAGCGGACTGACCTTCACGCACAATACCAATCCTATGATCCTGGCCCATGATGATCGCGGGCGTCGTCGTGACCGCGCGAAGCGCAATCTCTGCCGGCAAACCATAGTAGTGCGCTTGCTGCGCCTCGTACAGCAGGTGCCTCGAGTTCAACACAGGGTGGTCGCTCTACATGATCGTTAGCTTAGCGCCACACGGGTCAAGTAGAAGACAGCACTGACCTTCATGACGACATTGATACCGTTCTCAGCCAGAATGCGAGGCGCGAACTCAGAGCCGCGGTAAGCCTCGCGCTTGTACCTCGCATTCGTCGCGAAGAGGGCGACGGCGGGAGGGCCGCCTACACGTAGTTTAGCTTGAGACGAAGGTGAGAGAACGAGGGTGCCACGTACCATACATCTTCTTCAACAAGTCGGGGACCAGATACGTCTCATGCGCGTGGTGGAAGGCCGCGATGTGGAACTTGAACTCGTTGGTGATCTGCCCGAAAGGCTGAGACGACGAAGGTAGACGCTAAACATGTTAACATACCCGAACCATGCCATCGAGATCGACGGCTTCGTAGCAGTGGTTGTGGACCTGAAGGGACAATCAGACGCGTGCGATCTCGACGTTCTGAATATCATACCTTAACGCGTCCACGCAAAACGTCGACGAGAGCCTCCCACTGGAGATCCTCCGGATACTCGCCAAGCCCGTGCCATTGACCCGCGAGGGCCTTCTCGCAGTATTGGTCCTGACTCTCCTTAATCTTGCGAGCGGTCTCGTAGCTGGCGCTTGGTCAATATATGGGTTCCGCTGCGAGCGTAATCAGGTTCACCCTTGGCGGAAGGCCCAGATGGTATCCATGCGGGTGCCGGAATACACGCGACCTGAACAAAATAAGTGCCAGCCCGAGAGCATATAGGTATGGGCTTACTTGGGTTCTCGCCTGAAGAGAAGCACCGGGGTGAGGATCTTGTTCACATACATAGACTATGAGTCTGAACGTACCACAAGCGTGCCTGGTGAAGCACGCATGAGTATCGTACAATCAGGAAGAGCCTGCGACTTACTTCATCTGTCGCCAGCGCGGCGGCAGGCTGGGGTCCACATCGGTGCCATTCAGAGTGAAGGGGGGCTCCAGCAGCATTGACGACGGGGAGCGCTCCTCCGTAGGCCGCAGCTTGATCACGAACGCCTGACCGCCTGCGGCAAGTGAGCGTCTGAGATGGCATGGCTCGGACGGGGAAAGTAGGACGTACCAATCGCGTCAGCCGAGCCGGGAAGCACGACAGCGGTGGTAAGCCCGCCTGAGATGGAGAGCTTGTACGCGTCGTCGTGAGTGTTTAGGCCGTCGAGGCTGCGGAGCCAGGGGAGGACGAGACCCTTGAGGGAGTTGGTGTCGTCGCCGCCCTGAAGCTCGGGCGCGCTATCGACGCCAAGATGGCTATGCATGTCGATGATGCTGGCGGGATGTTAGCTCGTGAGTCCAGTGAGATGGATGTAGAGCACGTACCCAGGGGAAACCCAAGCCCCACCGGCATCGACGGTGTTCAGAGCATCGGCTGCATACTCCGAGAGGACCTTCGGGTCCACGACACCCAAGCCCTTCACTAGACCCTTGTCCAAGAGCAAGTCCCCCTTGATGATCTCGAGACCATCGACGCGTCCCGTCCAGATAGTTGCATTCCTAATGAACGTAGCCTTAGTCCCAGGGACGTAACGATCCGACTCCGTGCGAAGGTTGAAGTCCGGGGGCGGACCCGGCTTCGTGTGCAAGTTGCGGCATCTGTTGAACGTCTCCTCTGCATGAATGGGAAGCCGCTGAGGCACGTCCTCATCGAACGCGTCGAGGAGGAAGACCGGGACGAAGAACGAGAGGCAGATGGCGGCGAAGCAGAACGCCGTAAGACGTCGCGCGCGGGTGACGCGCGAGCTGCTCGTTGCAGGCGCGCCGAGCTCGGGGACGCCCATGATAGTCAGAGGCAAGAGGCGCGTACCTGGCACTGGCACGCGAAATGACGCGACGGATTCCGCGGCGGATACCACGCGCTTCGATACGCGCCATACTGCCAAATGGGGAAAATGTGCTTATCTGCGTGCTCAATGTTCAGTTCTTCACCTACTTGGCTTCGTTCCTTGACTTAGTATGCTGAGCACTGCTGCTTCTATAGCTCGATATAGTGTACTCGGTATTTCTGGTCACGTCCTCCGCAACCACAACGATCCAACCTCGTCCAGTGACGTCGTGAATGGCTGCATCCGGTGCTCAAGGAGGCATGCAAGTAGCTCTTCAGTGCTGCAGGGCCCGAAGTCTTCTGGCAAGCGAAGGTCATATACATCTTGCACAGAGCCCAAGGATTGCCTTCGCCTTCTGTGGAGTGCTCCTTAGGCGATACTAGGATTTGGAACCTGTGCCAACCTCTCTGGTGCTTCCTCGTCGCCGACAAGCTCAATGAGTGCCGCGATCCCCTCCTCGTTGCGTCATCTCAATGGCGAGGCTATCTCCAAGTCCATTATTTAGGGCGAGGTGGATGGGCTGCGTCGCCAAGCAACATGTTACGCACCCTCATCTCTCGCCGTACCACAGCTCACGTCGGAGGCCACACCGTCTTGCGCTCTGCTAGCAAGGTCGCGACGCAGAGTCCAGTGCCACAGACTGGCGCCAGTTATAACATACAAGTGAGCCCTGAAAGTGAACATATGCACGTACCTCCTGACCTCTGACAGAAAGACACATCCTCCTGCGTCACCCGCTCGCTCGGCGAGTTCATGAAGGACGGACGCCTCACCTTGAGAGCCACCGCGTCAACCGACGAGAAGGATAGGAAAGCTGCGGCTAAGGCGCACAACACAGATGTCACAAGACTGTTGGCGTCTTCCGCAAGGGTATTGCTGGTCTACCCTGATGGGTCGCGGCGTCCATCCATGGACGTGTATCCGCGGGTCGGCGCGGCGGCAGTCGGATTCCTGGCTGGCTCGACTGGTGGTTTGCAAGAGGTCTTCGCGCGGAGTCGCCGGTTGAAGGGATCCGCCAGCCTTCAGATGGCTGAAGTCGTGGGTGCACATATCGGTGTGGAAGACGGAATCGAGTACGCGAAACGTCACGACGTCAAACACCTGCGCATCCACCCCGACGACGATCTCGTCGTGAGGTGCCTCCAGATCCTCGGCGGAGGTCGCAAACGCGACGTTACGGGGCAGTACACTGATATTCTGAATCGGATGTACGGGTTCCTTAGAGGGGATCCCTCGAGGTCAATCCTCGTCGAGTGGGTTCCGGCGCACTGTGGCATCCCTGGAAATGCGCGGGCCCATCAGTTGGCGAAGGCGGTGACGAAGGTTGCAGGCGAAAATGCGGGTGCAGGTGTTGGTGTTGTGGCTGGGATGCGCGAGCAGAGTTCTTACAAAGTCAGTAAACAGTTGTAAGCGGCGTGGCATGTACAGCAAAGGCTCCACGAGAAACTTCTGCCTGGGGCCATAGGCTAACAGAGGACGCGTTCCGGTGCTTCTAAACCGCCTAACCTCCGCCTGACGTCGACTGCAATTCTTGAGGCGCCTGTAAGATATATAAGGGGGAGGGGTTGAACACTTTCAGCCGCGTAAGCACCATCAACCTATTGAAAAGGAACATGACGCACCGTGGCTTCATCCTCCAACGAACATCCAGCTCGCCTTTACTGCGACGTCAGCACCTGAGACTGGCGCAGCGGCCAGCAGTCGTCTTCGCCACCAGGGCCATATCGATTCGGAGCACGGCGTCTCCCGAAAAGAGGAAGCCCAGCTTCAAACTATCCGTCACCGCGATCCCAACAATTGTTAGTATGATTGCGACGGGAGAGGTGAGAGGTACAGCTTGGCAGCTCAACGTATAGTGTCTGAGGACATTCCAGCTGCCCGACAGCGACATTGCCTGCGAAGCAGCAGCCGGCGAAGACAGAGAGCCTGTAGGCGAAGGCAAAGGTTCGACAGGATTTCCGACGCGTGGTAAGTGGCCTTTGTTCGATACGTCTGTCGGTTGTCCTCATTCTGCCTCAGTCCTGTTGCGACTTGCCATTCGCTTTACGTTGGATTATATGATATAAAGACGGAGTGGTCGATGCTTTTTTGAAGTTGAATCTCAGCGTTCGAATCTGATGAAGTGAAAGCTAGAGAAATACGTCGTGAGGTGACCGAGGAACTTACGAACGTAGCCGACGAAAGCACGCAAACAGGGGTCGCACAGGCGAAAGAGCCGCCATATGATGCTCGCTCCTTTTTTCGAGCCAGTACCCACCTCAAAGTGAGTCTTCCGGAGCTTATAGATCATCGCGCCCACGCAGGGTCACTGCGCCGTTGTTGGTGAGAGGCGGATGGAATATTGACGAATGTGCCAAGGTGTGTAATAACACAGGCGCAGAGCGCCCGGAGGACGGGTAAGTATGTGAACTGTGCAGCGTCGTCATTGCTGTGGAATCTGAGGTCCGAGCTCCAGCGCTCGTGCCGGGACGCCCTGAAGGGTGTAGCCCTGCAATCTCACTGGATGCCAAGGCGGTATGAATATACAACCAACCAAGCTGCAATCTGGGTGAGTTGCATGACGATCTCTAAGCAGTAGATGCACCAACCTAATACCCGAATTAGAAGTCGGACACCCGGCCTTTAAAGCTCCAGTCGCCCTCTTCCTCGATCCACTTGCGTACTGGCTCGCGCTTCGGCCCATTCTGCTCTCCCGTCCTCGGATTCACGTCCCCTTCGAACTCGGGCTCGACCGGACGAGGTGCGTCAGGATGTAGCGCGAGGTCGACCTCCGCGTCCTTGCCCGTGGATCCTGCCAGGGGCGCCTGCGCCTTCCGCGCGAGCTCCTCGAATTCCCGCTGCTGCTCTTTGGGTAGCGGAGGTGGTGCTGGTCTGTTGTAGTCGACCTTTGTCCTCCGAGGCGCAACTGGGGTCAAACGAGCGAGAGACTTGCGCCCGAGCCGAGCTGCTGTAATTCCGAACATAATGGTACCGGATAAAAACGAATGCCACGTGAAATTCATCGAAGTCGGGAATATCCACGTGGGACCCGCATTGCCGCCGGCAACGTCAAAAAGCTTTATGGCCATTGACGCGCAGCGACTCAGGAAAGTACGGCCTTGTGCACAATTGTCCACGCGCCCACATAGAAATCCCAGCATCAGCCCAGGAAGATTGCCAGAAGCGCGCTCTGTATGCGAAGTTCAACTTCACGTGGAAAGTTTGCGAGCGGCCGGCTGAGTGATCTGGATCAGTTGACCGGCGGGCCCTGCCGCCCTGGCAAGCTCTCGGATCTGCCCCGGGCGAGCAGCCCGCCAGTGACCGTCATTCGCAAGCTTGCAGGTTCATCTCCTAATCGCAGATACCTCGTTATAGACCAATCAAGCAAGTGCATGTCGAGGAGACGAACGTCACGGAAATTGTCTGACTACATCACTGGTAAGCACGATTTGAGCGGTCACAACAACTCAGACGTTCATCCGGTTACAATCGCGGCGGGAAGATCGGGTTCGTAATTCGAGTTGCACGCTGACCGAATACGGAGCCACTTGACCCCTCTAGAGCGCTCTTGTTGTTCTCCCTCCACCATCTCACCTGCGCGCCCCTTGCTAGGATTCGCAGATAGGCCGGGTGACGACTCTCAGCGCCTCAACTTCTATGCGCGGGTCCTCCTTCCACAACTATAATGCGCAGGACGCTCCTTCCCCCTCTTCCGCGTATCCCGGTCCGTCGTCGATCAACGCATACTCTGCGCGTGCGGACGAGCGTGCCCACTCAGCTGGGCCCTCGAACCGCATCCCCGATAACTCCAGCGGCAAGCGCAGGAAGCTAGATCGCGCCTGTGATGCATGCCGTCGAAGGAAAACGCGCTGCGACGGCCCGGCGCAGCCGGACAGCGTCTGCAGCACCTGCAGGCAGACGAAGAAACCGTGTACCTATATGTGCGTGCTCCGCCGTAACCCGTGAGCCTCACTAACGTCTTGCGCGTGCAGGGAAACCTCGAAACCAAGGGGACCGCCCAAAGCGTAAATGCCTCCAGCTCAGGGTGCATCGTGGCCGCTCATTCAATCCTTTAAGGTATATTACCGGCATGGAGGACAGGCTCGAGCGGCTTGAAGCCCTACTCAGACGGGTGAATTAGCTGTCTTTGTTCATGGTTGTGATTCTCATACATCCCCAGCTTCGTCCGGACATTGACCTAGGGCCTCCCCTCCCACGCGACTCCTGGCGGACAGACTCGACCAGTCGTGACGGCTCCCGACAACGCACACACTCCGGCCCATCCCCCGTTCACAACGACGCCAGACAAACCCCCAGCACCTCCACCAGCTCCCCCCTCCCCCCACGCCTCGGCAGCTCGTCCGACGGGGAGTCCGGTTCCGAATGGCACACCGGAGAGGCCGCCGAACTCACGATTGAGGACGTCACCGGTGGCGTTAGGCTTTCTCTACCCAGCACGGACGCCGAACCTAAGCCCGAGGACCGCAACGTGCGCTTCGTGGGCAAAGCGAGCGGCGCGCCATGGATCATTGCAACGCGCAAGTTCAAGGACCTGCACATAGCAGAGTCGAATGCACCGCCTGACTCTAGCGCATCGAAACTGCGCACCGAGGCCGACAAGTCGCAGCTGCGCAGAAAGGAGTTTTGGGTTTCTCCGGAGGTACGCCCGTTTATCGCAGCTGACTTCTTTCGCTGACATTATACATTGCACAGTGGGAACTCAAGAACGAAGGCCACAAAGACATCGAGAAGACGCTCGCAGCTGTGCAGGAGCAACTACCACCACCCGACCTCATAACATCCCTATTCGATCTTTATTTCACCTACCCGAACATGCACATCCCGCTCCTTCACCGCCCGACCTTTGAAAGGCAATGGCGGTCGGGGTTGCACAAGCGTAATGTGTGGTATGCCGCCGTCTGCTTCGCCATCTTTGCAGTTGCCTCACGGTGGAGCCATGATTTGCGGGTGGTACCCGAATCGTGCGCAAGTGGTTCTGAAGGTCCGAAGTGGCACGCGGCGGGGTCGCAATGGTTCCATATCTCTATGCGTAAGTCATCTATACTTGCCGTCAGATATGTTCTGCATATTCATCCCAATTCTAGAGATCATCGTCAGGCGTCATCGTAGTGTACTGTACCCGGCATCTCTGCACGAGATACAACTGTTCACGGTAGGCAGAATCCTTTCTGAAACAAATGTCGGCTGCTTCTAACCTCACTTGACAGATACAGCGCATGTACATGCGCGGGACACATTTCTTTGCCTCCGCTTGGCTCAACACTGCGGTCGGCACTGTCAAGGCCCAGGACATCGGCGCCCATAGGCAGTCAATCTACCAGGACCTCAAACCAGCAGACCGTGAGCTCTGGAAGCGCGCCTGGTGGTGTTTGGTTCTGTTCGACCGCCTGGACAGCGCGAGCCTTGGACGGCCATGCGCGACCCGCGAAGAGGAGTAAGAGGACATCTTCTGCGTTCGTACCTTCCTAGCTGAAGAGCGGTAGCTTCGACGTCGAGATGCTCGCCGAAGTGGACGACGAGTACTGGGACACCGGCGATCCGGAGACAGACTTCAAGCAGCCGCCGGACAAGCCCTCCAAGATCACCGCGTTCAACTTCATGATCAAGCTCTCGGGCATCATCGCGCGGACGTTGCGAACTGTGGTGCGTCTCGGCTGCTCCCCCGTCGAACCCGGAACCAAACTTTGCCCGCAGTACTCCCTGGACAAGGCGGACATGCCCCTCGGGCCGTTCTCCCAATCCATTGACCACATCGTCTCACAGCTGAACGCCTCACTCACGGAATGGGTCGTGTCCGTCCCCGACCACCGTCCGTCCTTTCTGCTCGCAGATCTTCTGGAGCGCTGATGGAGCGGTCTACGCAGTGAAACCGAATCGTATTGACGACCCTATTTTCGCGAATCAAGCGGCGTTCTTGTTCACGAACTACTACACCACGCAGATGATGATCTACCGACCGTTCATCCCGCGTACACCGACGACCGTCGAGCAGTACAAGCGGGAGCGCGCGTGTCCGTACCCGGCGCTGGCGATATGCCTGAATGCCGCGAAGGCGTGCGTGGGCATCATCCAACAGCAGCTGCCGAATGGGTACGCGAATGTACCAAACCTGTCGGCTACCGCGTATCAAGCGGCCGGTACTCTGCTGTTCGGATGGTGGGAACTCAAGGCGCGGCAGCGTCTAGCGGAGGAGGGCGTGGAGGATGTGCGACCTGATGTCAAGGTCATGGACCAGCTACTTGCGCACTACCAAATCGCGATGCAAGCCTTGGAATGGGCAGTGCCTCGGTGGCCGCACGTTGACTTGATGATGTGCGTACACTGATTGCTGTGCAACGTTTGTCGCTAACCAGCCTGTAGTGAACATCTCAAGAACGCGATGCCTTCTGCAGAAGATGTATCACGACTCCCGGAACCGCTTCCAAGAAGTATACGTCGAGCACCGTCTCGCAAAAACAGCGTCGAGGACAGACTCTCCGCCTCTTCAGAGAAAGCACAAACCACTCCTCTGTCAGCTTCTGAAGACTGGGCTACCTGGCGGCACACCGCGGCGGATCATCCCCCTAGTCGTGCCCTCCCCATACCACCGAGGCAGTCATCGGATATCCCTCCAGCAACCTATCGCTCACGGAACGATAGCTTGCAATCAATGATCGACAGGCCTCGATCCCATTCGGATGACATACGGGCAGCGTATCCCTCGCCAACGCCATATCCAGCCTCTCCAGCGGTGAACCACACCTTGTCGCCTTGGGCGGACATTCCTTCATACGCAGGCCCGCGCTCCGCCTCCCCGGTGGACATGGAGGAGACGGAGCGGCCGGTGGCGATCAGCTCGATTCGGCGGACAGGCTCGCACGCGCAACTCAGATACGGCGGCACGTCTGCGAAGTTCAACGAGTCCTATGCGCGGGGCGCGCCTGCCAGCAGTACGCGGGGCTCGTTGCTGGAACCCTATGCCGCCCCAGATCGGAGAACTTCGTTTGCGGGACCTTACCTGCCACCTCCGGCCAATATGCCACCCCCTGTACCGCGTCGCTCGGTCGACGCACCGTACGGTGGCAGGGTCTCACCCTACGGGCAGTTCGAGGGCGTCTCATTTGACGGCCGGCTGCTTTACGAGCCCATCCCAGCGTTCGAGGATCGCAGCGCCATGTACAGCAAGCCTCGTCTGCAGGTGCAAACGAGATTGGATCCACAGCCGAGCATGGGCTCTGGGCCACGCGCTTTCGACGGGCGCTACGCCAGGGTTTCGCCAGTGCCGCCTTTCGACGACGGCTACGGCGTCTCCCCAAACAACAACTCGGCCTACGACTCTCCCGAAGGGTCGTGGCCCGTACAGAACATTGCGGCACGGGGGCAGACATACACGAACTACCACCCATCGTCCGCTTACGATGCTCCGCGGGATTACAGAAGATGATGAACGTGGGAGGACGTCGAGGGAACTGCAATATAGCTTTATTAATTGTAACATCGCGACTTGACAACTGTAGCCATAGTTTCTTTTTGGGCGCATGATTGTATGGATGGTTTAGGCCGATTTGGTGTATCTTCAACCCACTCAGTTAGACCTGCACTGAGTGGCACACAATTTGTGAGCTTGAGCAAATAATGTCGGTTCCGCAAGTCGAACTTGTCATATGACCGCGAGGTTGTGGCCAAAGTAGAAATCAATAACGCCAGACCATATAGTGTATTCTATCCCCAAGGTGCTCGAAGGGAAGCGTCCATGTTCCCTCCAGCCATGCCTACATTATGTAGGAAATCGAAGTCCGAAGCAGCCCCTGGACCTGCATGCCCTTCACTCGTCTGCGACAAGCCCGACGATCCTGCCAGCTGCGACATCCAGTCTTCGGATGTGAAGTCCCAGTCATTCGGCGGCGAGATCCAGAACGAAGGGGTTTGCGACTGGTCGAGAGACGGTGTCAGCAGCGAAGGGTCGCTGCCCCAAGATTCGGTCGACGGCCTCGAGCTGGTCGACGTGAATCCGTCCGGCATCGAGCAGGGCGTGGAATTATGGCTTGCGGACCTTTGCTGCGCTAGACGCGCGCGAAGGAGGTCGAGTTTGGCGTCTATCGCAGGTACGAATTCGGTGCGGTCGACCCCGATGAAAGCGGTGAACATGATGCATTTTCTAAGCCTGTATACCGTCAGTAAAAATCATCATGTGAGAACAAAAGAGCGTACTGCTCCAATGTTTCAATGCGCTCATCCACGCTAACCACGAATTCGCCCGCATTTGCTTGGCCGCTGTCGAGGCTGGCAGCGTCCCCGTCATCGTCGACAAGCACTTTCGCCCATGCCTCGAATCCGGAGCGCTGCGTGAAGGGCAGCCAATGTTGCACGACGATCGAGCGTATTTCCCGCACAGCATCCGCTATCGCCCGTACGGCCAGCGCTCGAGCGCGCGCCACGAGTTGCACAGTCATAGCTGTCGACCTGTCGACCTCACCCGCGCGCGAGTGAAGCGCATTATACAGCGCGACAGTGAGGACACAGAACGCGACCGCCGTGGTATGGAGTAGCACTTGCTGGCCAGGTCCGACCACACGGGCATAGATTAGTCGACGCACACGCATTAGGACGGGGTGATGCTGCTCAGCGGCGACAATTTGATGCATGACGGTGAGATCGTCTGGTGGACGGCGACGAGCGTGAGCTAGAGATGGGTGAGCTTGCGAGAGTAATTGGTGAATCTGCAATGCATACCTCCGACCACTTTCTCCAGAGCGTCGCGTATAAGTTGAATATTGCGTTTGGTTACTGACAACCCGTCAGTCGAAGCACCGAAGCGGCTCAATCTACATACCCGAGTGCATGAGCTGTATAACAGGAACAGCGCCAGGTCGGGTAGATGCTTGCACGATTGCGTCCTCGATGGATGGTGGCTCCACGACGCATATAAGTTCCTCATCGTGAACCGAGCTATGGAGGACACAATGAGCGTCGTAGAGAGAGCAGGATACGTGACAGCGTACAAGGGCAAATTTTTGCCAGCACTGATGGCGTAATTACTGACGAGCAGAAGCTGCACAGGAGTCAATTTGATGCGGGTTATTGCGACAACATAGCTTACCAAACCTAAGCGCCACTGAAAACTAGCGAGCTCCCTTCCATGACCGTCCGAAATCTCAAAAATCTTGTCGGCGACATCGAGCTCAGTGAGCGTTCTCAACTGCCACACGAATGCGGTAGCCCAAGGAAGGTTGCTCTCGGACTTGTGCACTGTAAACCTGCCTCTCAGCATGTGAAGATTGGAGGAATGTGTGCTGCACTTACTCACGTCGAGCATGTTCAAAAGACCGCAAGACGTCACATTCTCGCGGCAAGCATGCGACATGGTTCCACTCAAGGTTGCTTGGCGCATCGCCTCGCCGTAAAGCTGTGCGCAAATCGCCCTTCTCCGCTGACCAAGGGCAATCATCTCGGGATCTCCAAGTCGCGAGAAGGATATCGTCTCCCACTTCGTGTGGGCGTCCGGAAAGCGGCCCCCTTGCGGATGGTATCCAACGTAGGTAGGGTCGACAGAGACGAGAGAAGCCATGGCGAGTAAACACAAGGCAAGCACCCGGTCGTGTGGCGCTAGGGCAAGGATATCCCAGCCGCGACTGTCCAATAGGGCACGCTGTCTTGGGACTGGAGAGAGCCCGGGACTGCCGCCAGGCTCCATCTCTGCCATGACTGGGTTGTCAGTCAGATTATCGCCCACGATGACTTTGATGAAGTTGCTTACTTTCCAGAGCGTCCCGCATCAAGTCTCCGGGAATGAAATAGATGTCATCTGGAAAAGAAGGAGGTATCGACGGTTGGGCTTGCTTGACCGAGACGCTCGTGGCTTTTGAAGCCTCGGCTTCAGCTGCCTCGGCTTCTTGCCTGCGTTTAGCTTCCTTTGCCAGGGCCTTTTTGCCTTGGCCTCTCGGTTTTCTAGTCGTAGATATAGTAGTTGTGCATCTGGATAGCAAAGTCAGCGTCTACCTTCGCATGTGTTTGGATGGGGGCGTACTCCACACCCTTCTCCAGACAACGGGGACATGGTTCCCCGTTCGACTGAGGATGGCAGATAACCCGCTTCAGCCGGCAGTAGTCGCATGCCCGCTTCTTCTTGGTGCTTTGTGCATCGCTGGAATTCGCAGGGCTGGTGCTCATGACTGTCAGAGTCAACCGCCATGGGGGAACTTGCCGCTCGTTGAGTTCCGGAACTTCGGCCCGGCTCAGCACAGCACTGGAAATCTCCACACCTCCGGCATTCCTTCCTTTCTCCCATGATCCATCATGGACTCTTCCGCTCGACGCAAGGAACCGAGGGCTACTCAGAGTCAATGATCTACCAGGAACGAATTGGTCGACGCTCCTCGACCGCCCACTGCTTCCTAACCAGCCTTCAGGCGAGACCTCCCATTCAGCTGATGCCCTCGCAGCTCGCCGCCACCGCCACCTCACGCCCTCCTATACTCTGCATCGCGCCTGTGTGGGTAACTACTTCGCATATGCATACACTACTTGGTCAGATATATGTCGCGAGCCCCAACGATGGTACCCTTGTCCTGACAATAGCGAGTGGTATGCCGACTACGAATTCAGGTGACGAGCTAAGTGCGGCTGCATTGAATGGATGGAGATGATGTCAGTCATTACGTAGAGTTACTGCTCACGCCCGGTGGAGTGTATGGACAGGGCGGCCTCGAGAAGCCTCCTGGACAAGGTATGTATAGTGCGATTGGAGCAAAGAGCCGAAATACCTATCAGTAGGCGAGGGCACCTGCTCGATAGGTTTGCTCTGTTTAATATCTCCTGACAGCTCCCCTGATATAGTGACAGAAAAGCACGCCGATATATAGGCAATTTCGATCGAGCCCTCGGATGAGGGCATCTCGTGCTCGGGCTTTGCGGTCGTCGGTCGGTATAAAAGACCAGCAGAGCGCAATCCTTATACATTTCCACCTCTTTGTCTCTGGACGCTGTTGGTACTTACCCCTGCTTTCCCCCGCCGCCCATCTTCGAGGTCATGCGCGTCGTCGCCCTCAGCGCTCTCTTCGCTTCGTCTCTGCTCGGCGTCGGCGCCCTACCAAGCGCATCGGGATGCAGTGCAGAAGGGATATGGTGCTGCAATGAGAACGCAATCAGGACCGACATCTCTGGCTTGATGTACGTCTATCCTTACATGCACTTCCCCATACTTATCCTCTGCTTCAGTGGGAAAGGCTGTACCCAAACCTCGATAATCGGGATCGGCGGCACCAGGTGTCAAGGGCAGACTGTCTGCTGCGACAAGACCGACCAGGTGCGTATCTTGTTCATCCCATTCCCGCTATGCTAATACGTGCTGTAACCCAGAATGGCATCTTAAATGCCGGCTGCAAGCCTACGATCTTGGGAGTGTAAACATCCGAGCTCACTGGGTCGAGATATGTTGTACGCTGATTCGTATCCAGCCCGGAGTGCACTTACAGCGAGTCCGATCTATGTCTTTTTTCAATAATATATCTGACCGCCAGACAAAGCAATGCATGCCATCTCAACCGCCTTCGCCTTGGATGGAAGATGTGACGTTTGAGTCACGGTTGATGTCGGCGTTCGCCGAGTTGCACGCGAGGTTGTGCGAGACCCAAACTTTCCAGATCGAATTACCATCTAAGTCCTAAGCGTTAAACAATTTCGCCACTTCACCCCATGCCTTTGGATCTGCCCTTTTCACGTACTGGTTTATTACTGCAGGACTGCAGACACTGCGGGCAGAGCTCGCTGCCGCTTCCCGCTGGCGAGCCCGCAGATCTGGCGACATCGTGGGATTACACCCGCCGCTGCCCCGACATCCCGTTAGGTAGCACGAACTCGGCACTGAGGACAATAGTCCGCCGATTGCTTATCCCGTAGCCATAAGAGAAAGGGACGCGCTGCCAGCAGGGCAAGACAGTCGAAGAGAGGCCAACGAGGGAGAAGAAGGTGAAGACAGAGCTAGTGAAGCGCATGGTTGACGGTCGATGAAGGCAACGAGTGGAGGACTCGAAGGCGCTAACACGTACCGATGAGCGACCCTCTTTTACAGTCTCTCGGGAAGCTGGTTTGGTTGGTTGCGGAAGGATACGCGATGCTATCCCTTCACACATAGAGGCGTTTGGTCGCGGATGAACAGTCACGCAGCTGCAGGCTGCTAGAGGTAGAGCATCATTCGCAGGGCTGACCGACTTCGTGTTTATTGTTTCGGGACGATCCAGTGGAGCCACAAAAGAGTTGGGAAGCAGCTGAGTCACCGCCTGCCGATGGGTCCTCATGCTCTGCAAACAAAGTCGTGCATGGTGTGTAGGCGTAGTGACCCTCTAAACGTGATAACGGGAAAGGACGAAACTGACATGTCGTCGAGTATGTTACTGGCGGTCCGAATGCGAAAGTAAGACTTCATCATCCTCGCTGCACACGAAAGCAATCGAATTAAACGTCGGGAATGTGGCGGGGGTCAAGCTACAAGAGCTGCCAGATGCGGACTCTGACCTAGGCCCATGCGTATCGGAGAATGCCGAGAAGGGCATCCACTTCCATAATGATACTGCGACGCTCTCCTACAACTGTCGACCAGACTAGAAAACGTTCGAATTGATTAATACTGCTCCGCGTGCATAGTCGAAATGCCAGACCATATCGCCCTCCTCTAGTTTGTGCATTCCTCGTCAATGTCGCACACGAAGGTCTGCTTGCCCTCGTGTCCCGGATAGTTCGTCCCCACATCCTTGCAGAGGTCGCGCAGGCCGTGGCATGCGCCCTCGGAGGCGTCCGCGCGGCAGCCCGTCAAGGACGCATAGGCGGCGACTGAAGAGGTTACATCTTAGCGAGGGTAATTGAGGGAGGGAAGGTGGGCAGAGACGTACGGCCAGGCGGGCAATTAGCGGCGATGGAAAGGCCAGCGAGGGCGAAGAGCGTGACGATGGCGGTGAAGCGCATGCTGGGGTTCAGATACGAAAGATGGGGAGAAACGCAGAGCGAAGCGAACAGGAGATCGCTGTGTTGGGATCTGTATGTCGACCACTCCGTAACTTATATACTGAGCAGCCCCGCGGACTTGGCCCTCCGAGTGGGCGTCGACTTCTCGGCGCGACGCGTAGGAGTCGTGCAGGGTTGCAAGGCTTTGGACGTACCAGCTGGTGATTTTGGAGCAAGTCGGAGTGAGGACCAGGGCTTCGCGCCTCGCATCGAAGCCCACCACCAGCTGGGAGTGGCTCGTCACTCGGCCTACGGAGCTCATTGGGAGTGTGGGAGCAATGTACTTGTGCAGCTACTGGAGTGCGCAGCCATAAAATGTTGGCAATGACATACCGGATACGCACCGAACGCAGATGATAGCCCAGATGAGAGGTTCCAGTGCAACGTTCGGCCCTATTGAGCTAAGGAGGATTGCGTTTAGGCCAAGTCAGAGACTCGAGGCGGAAGACATTTGCGTCACGTGCGCACATGTTGATTTTCGTGGCGTGGCCGATCCGTCTCTTCAATGTTGTCAAGTTGGGGGGACTGAGCTTGAAGACAAGGGCGTGGGTGAGTGCGAGCCATAAAGCATGATGTCGATGCATAGTGCGGTATGTGAAGCATGGGCGTGAGGGTGTCTACTACTACGAAAGGGGCCTAGGGATACAGCAAAAGGACGGTCCAAGAACAGCAACCAAAGATCCAAATTATACAACTGATGGCCAGTCAGTGACGGTGCGACAGTGATGGGGATGCGAGACATACGGAGGACAGCGTTGATGCAGCCGTCGTTTTCGGGATTGTTGGTGATCTGGGCGTACTTGCCGAAGACGACCTTGCCTCCGGTGGTGACCATTCCGAGCTCGGAGACGTTGACCTCGATGACGGTACCCTTGGTCATGACACCGAGCTGAGTGTACATGGGAGACTGGGGGTTCTTCTTGACGCCCAGGATCTGGAGCTGGAAGGTCGCCTTCAAGTCGGCTGAGGGAATGGGTCAGAACGTGCGCGATACTTCCTGAGGAGGCAACCACGCACGATGTGTTACATTCGCCTTCTTGTACCGCAACGCCATCGGGCGCACGAAGCGCTCCATCTTGACCGGCTTGCGCGTGAAGCCCTCGCCGACGAACGTCGCCTTCGTGACCATACGCTTCCAGCTCTTGCTCTTGCTCTTCCCCGTGCGCATCACCTTGAACATCTCGTCCTCCGCGATGCCGCGTACTTTCGGCAGAGGGACGGCGTACTTGGCCGCCTTGTCCTTCCGCTTCTGCTTGATCGCGCTGGAGAGCGCCTTCGCATCCTTCTGGCCCTCGCGATCGAGGAGGTAGGTGGGGAGGGCGCCCTCGGGAGTAGCTGAGCTGTCGGCCTGCTTGACATTGCGCTCGTCGTGGGCCTTGAGGGTCTTCTTGAGCTGGACCTTCTCGGCGTGCCGTCTAGCATGGAGGATCTTGGCCTTCAGACCAAACGCCTTCTGAGCATGCGCGGAGAACTTGTGAGCCTCACGGGCCTCCTTCTTGCGCCTGGGGAGGGGGTCGATCAGAGGATTGGGTATGTGCAGGGAAAGAGGACGCACTTCTTCTCGAAGTAATCTAGCCTTCTTCCATGCCGCTTGATGTGCTCCTCGATATATTCGTTCTAGGCTGAATTGAGTTCCCCTCCTCTTGATCGCTGCGTAAGACCGTACCTGAGGCTATGAAACACATTCTGGGTCAGCACAGGCATACTCCAGCAGCTCGCAAAACTCACCATGATGGCACAAGGGAAGAACGAATCCGGCAACAATTTTGGAAATGAGGGGCGTTCACTCCCACGTGACGATGAAGCGCCCGCGACGTGGACGGCAGCCGCCTGCGCATCTCGTCCTCGACCGCCACCACCGTCTCCTCCTCGTACCTGCCTCCAATGTGGCAAGATCAAAACCCATACGGCGCCTCGGGCTCCCAGAGCGCGTACTACGCCCAGAACCTCCAGCCTCAGGCGACTCCACTCCAGTTCTACGCGCCCGCCTCCCCCGATGCCGGCGGCTTTTATCCGGGCTCGCGGCCAAGTCTTGAGGGCACCATGGGCTCTCAGGGCTCTATAAGACCACAGGGAGCGGCCCCAGCGTATGGCGGCAATATCCAGACGCAGCAACCCTGGTGGACAGCGTTTGGGACAGGTGGTTTTGAGGGAGAGCCACCATTGCTGGAGGGTGCGTCGTTATACTTCCTACAACTCGTCCTCCAGCTCAACTTGTGCCATAGAGCTCGGCATCAACTTCTCTCACATACGCGGCAAGTCGATGACGGTCCTCAATCCAATGAGCCGCATAGACGAACACATCATGGACGATGCCGACCTCGCAGGACCGATTATCTACGTCTTTTGCTTTGGGATGTTCCTTCTGCTAGTGCGTCCGCTCTCCCCCCCTCCCATTTGAGATCAGCCCTGACCTGCTGCTAGTCCGGCAAGCCTAATTTCGGCTACATCTACGGCGTTGGGCTGTTTGGATCCATGTCCCTCTACATTCTCCTCAACCTCATGTCTGAACGACCCATCGATGCCTTCCGTGTTACTTCCGTGCTCGGATACTGCTTGCTACCCATGGTCGGCGTGAGCGCCGTCAGTGTCATGGTGACCCTCGAGTGAGTGTACTTCCTTCTTTCACAATGGCTGATTCTGACCTGCGCGTAGCGGCATGTTCGGCTACCTCTTGTCCTTCCTCTCCGTCTTGTGGTGTACCTACTCTGCATCAGGCATCTTCGTCTCGGTCTTGCAGATGTCGCAGCAGCGCGTCTTGGTCGCATACCCCGTTTTATTACTGTACGGATGCTTCGCTTTGCTCAGTGTCTTCGACGGAACTGGTACAGCCAAATAATGCATGCGTGTGTACTAGTATTTCATCGCTCTCAACCAATGGATCAAGCAGCTCAAAGCAGACGGATAGCGAATTTCCCTTTTGTATACGGAAAGGAAGGGTTTTGTTGGATCCAAAGCGTGGTCGCCTGAGCGCATTCCGCACGAGCCCGCCCTGCTGATGACCGGGACCGAACAGCGTGCATGAGTCATTTCGTCTGCCGCGCTTTCGAGCGCCAACTTTGGAGGGAACGAGAGAACCAGTCGATGCCTGCTCCCGTACGTATATCTGAACGCAAGTAGATAGCTCAATACCAGCAAGTATTCTCCCCTCGCTTAAATCCTCTGCTTCTTTCTGGGTCCTGGGCCACCAGCGCTGCCAAAGCTATTCGAGCTATTCGTACCGGGTTTGCTCTGACCGAAAGGTCCACCGTGCGTCTGACCGCCCGGTATGCCAGCATGGGGCGGAAGAGCATTCGACATGGTAGACGGCGCATCGTCTTGCGTGATACGACGGTACGGGGGAAGCTGCGATGTTGCAAGACCGTCGAAGACGCTGGCCGTAGGCATCAGAGAGACTCAGGTCGGTACAAGGGTGTCTACTCACTTCTTTGTTGGCTTCGGGTCCTCATGGAACCACTTGTGCCGCAGGGCGTCGTGAGCTGTTAGGCGAACGTCCGGGTCGTATATGAAGAGGCTCCTGATAAGGTCGACGCCTGCGGGACTTCGGATACGATTGGTGCACCACTCCGCTAGACGGTTACTCATCCTGCGAGCGATGAGCCAATGATGGCAAGCAAGGGTAAGTGAGCTCACTGGTCCAGTCGCTTCATGTTGTGATACTCAGGCATGTCGACGACCCCTGGCCATTCGCGCTCCGTAGGTGTCCCGATCACCTCGAATATCTTGATGAGCTGGTCGCGCTGGAAGGGCACGTTCTTCTTCGAGTCGAGCTTCGCCTCCTCGCCTTTGAAGATTGGGCGCAGGCTCGCGAGTTCGGCGAGGACACAGCCGACAGCCCAGCAGTCGATAGCCTTGTGGTAATGCTTCGCGCCCAACAGCAGCTCCGGTGCGCGATACCAGATGGTGACGACCACCTTGTCGCCTGCGAAAAGTGGCTGGAGGGGTTCGTGGATCAGGCGCGCAAGCCCAAGGTCCCCGATCTTCACCACACCATTTGAGGTGATCAGGATGTTGGCTGGCTTCAGGTCACGGTGCAGGATGTGTGCAGAATGAAGGTAAAGCAGGCCGTTCAGCAGCTGGTAAGTCAATGATTTGAGGAGACTTGTGGGAAGTGGTGTCCGCAGCGTTTGGGAGTGATGGTGAATGACTTGCTGATATGTGAGTACTAAGGTCGGGTCCCACGCAGACGGACAAGAAACATACCAGAAAGTCATGCTCCGCGTACTCAAACACCATGTAGATCGACTTGTCCTCGAGGATGACTTCGCGCAACGAGACAACATTCTCGTGGCTTATCTCGCGGTTCAGCTAAGAGACTGGTCAGCGATAGAGTACTACGGACAACACAGAGGTTCCACGCACTGCGATCTCCCGTATTGCACTTTGGCTGATACCAGTGTATGTAATCACGTCGCCCTCCTTGTCTGGCTTAAACTTCTTGATAGCATGCAGTCTTCCTGGATCTCCGTGGCTCTGAGCCTTGTAGACGCGCCCGTACGTGCCGGACGAAATGAAGCCCAGGATATGGTACTTCGCTGCCACGGTCTTGTGGCTAGCGTCGCGCTTCGCGCGATATATTCGCATAGGATCGTGTACCAACAGGTTGTTCGACCATTCGTCAAGCATATTGACGGTGCGGATACTGATGGTTAGGAGCAAAGAACAAAGGACGCCGTATATGGAACAATGTCCACTCGTACGGAATTTGCCGGTTGTTGTTCGTGAGCAAGAAAGAATTAGCAAGAAGACTGCATATAGACTCAGTACTACTGGACGAGCTGCGGCGTGTAGAAAGTTCCTCCGTTTTAATATTAATACCTATAAGTAAAATAGATCTCTCGACAGTCCTCTGGAAGCAATATCATCGGCCTCTCATCCTGCTCCCGACAGCAGCTGTCTACTGTACAGCTTCAGTAGCACCTCCATGATCTCCTCCAACGGCGTTGTCGCGTACTCGTGCACGTATTGCGGCAGCGAATCCTCCAAACTGAAGCCAGCCTTCTTCATGAAGAATGGATGCATCACGTCCGGTGTCGCCTCGCCGAGCTGCCGCATCGTCAATCGCTCGATGTGTCGCGCCCCGGGCTTGTACACCAGCTCGCGTCGCTTGCCTCCCTCTGACGAGGGGTTTGGCGACGGCGGCTGGGTTGATGGGTCGCGCACAATTGGGAACACCGTACCCTGGTCGTGCGACACCGCCTTCGTCATCACGCTCGCCCCCACACTCGACCTCCCTGGCCGCTCCTGAGCTGGCATGGTCGCGCTGCGCGTGCCCTCGCCGATGGCATATGAGTCTGGCCGCCGTGCCGCGAGCGCTGTGCGCCAGTCCTCCGCCGCGCGCACCTGGTCCATCTCCCGCGTGAGGTTCTTGCGCAGGAGGGTGAGCCACGAGTAGAGCGCGACGTTGAGTGTGATGAAGATGTCCTCCTGAGCGCGCTGGCCGTCGCGCCGATCGAAGCGGCTGTGGAATTCGTACGCAAGCTCGCGCGCGCGCTCGGTGCTGCGCATGCGGATACGCATGGAGGGTAGGCCGACGATGGTCGCTTCGGTTGAGTGCGCGCTGAGGGCGTTAAGCCAAGCGCGACCGTCTGCGTGAGGACCTTCCGCTGGTGCACCGCGTCCAACCTGGATGTACTTCGAGATAGTCATCGACGAGAATGATAGACGTATGTCGCGCTCGGCGTGGGTTTGCTCCGACTCGACCAGCCGGGTAAGCTGCGCCTGAACATCGCGAGCAACGAATTGGGCGACCTCCGTGTCGAACATGGTGCGGGGGAAGACGACAAGGCGGAGGTAATCTAGGCGTAAGCTCATACGCTGCTTGATGACATACACCAACGCTGTCTCAGCTTCCTTGAAGCGCGCCCGCGCCGACACGAGCATCGCCTCTGCCACGGCAGACAGCGGATGATCTGGCTTTGGCGTACGCGCGATGCGGAAAGCCTTTGACTCCCTACTGGCACCCTCTCGCTGTGCGTCCAGGTTTGCACTGAATTTGTTGGCGTAGGACATGAGCTTTGGGATCGTCGCGACGGTCACGATCGCTACGATCTCAGGGCTGCGCACGACGAACGCCAAGTCCAGTGGCCTCCTATCCGAGTCGCGCATGGATGCGACCATCGACCAGTCGTCGAAGATCTCCACTTCCATAGGTTCCGCACTACACAATTTTGCTCAGCGAAGGCGATATAGGAATAGATTTTGAGCTCACCGATAATGCAACAGCTTCTGATGGTCAGACTCGAGCTCCAGAATAAGCGTACCGCTGGTCATGCGCAGCTCCAGCATCTTCTCTTGCTGCAATCCTTCGTCAGAAGGCATCCTCCGAATGGTCGAGAACACGAAGTTGGACACATCGGAGTGCCCAGATATGTTGCCCTTTGCGTTCAGAACGACGTCGCCAACCGAGAGGGAGAGCTCGTGCGTGGCCTCTGTGATGACGGTGCGCAAGACGATGTCCTTGATACCCAGCGATACGTTGCTGATTGACTGGCCAAGGTCAGCCTCCAGATCCAGGCGGCGCGTGCGGAAAAGAACCATCACGGAGACGTCCTGCTTCGGTTGACTGGGCTGCGACTGCTGCGACTGCGAAGGAGTGGAAGGCATGGTAGATGGTAGAGTGGCTTCGGACGGAAGGCGTAGAGCAGTTGTTTCCTGGGCGGTGTTCTGGAAAGTCGGGATTCTGTCTAACCAGACAGCTTTGAAGCAGAGCACGTCCTGCAACCGCGAGAAGCGGAAGCCACCCAAGAACTCTGTGTCGACCACCAGCGATATGGAGCTGAGCGGCGTCCCCTCGCCTGTTCTCGTCTTCGCGAAGTCGGCGGAGAAGGCAAGGTTTCGCGCATCAAGCTTAACACATTCTTCGCTAAGGAAGCCGTGCTTCAGCCCGATGGTCAAGCCACCGACGGCGCCGGTGAACGTCACTTTACGAGCGCCAGGGGACACGTTGACCATGAAGCCTCCACTGTCCCAGTGCACGCCAGCCACGACATTGACGTCGGGCTGGCAGGTCAGCTCAAGCTTAGACTGGTCGATTCGGAGGCTGAAGCTGATTTGCATGCTGGACGAAGATGTAGCAACGCGCGCTTCAGGCAGGATCTGTGATGGACCTGGTGTCGATGGAGCTGTACTTGGGAGGGGGGTGCCAGCTGGATTGCCTCGGGGAGAGCGTGCCGGTACGGGGGGCACTCTCAGGCTGACTCGTCGCATGCGATTATTAATATGACCAACCAGCTCCGAGATGAATGGCAGTAATGTCGGCCGCAGCGTGTTCTGCGAGGAATGTACCGTGCTCTTGAACATGAGTATCGAGGGAGCATCGTCAGCGGAACCCTGCTTCATGGTAACAGGAAGGGCTCGGTACTCCATCCAGAGTGTAAACACAGGGAGGTTGAACACTTCGGCTCCCATCTCCAGGATCTGTTCGTCCGACTGCTGTCGATGAGGTGCACTATATGCGCTCGAGAGCTTGGAGGCGGCTTGGCTGTACATTCGAATCTTGCCGCTTTGGAACGTGAGGCTAGCGAAGATGCTGGATGCGGGAGCCTTGGGCGCCGACGACGAAACGGTAGGTGACTCTATGACAGGAGCTGACGGCACATGGGGAAGGGAGAATCGGTCCAATCGTTCCTTTCCTTGACGATAGACGTCGACAAGCGAGAACACGTAGTCGGAGATGGAAGAATCGAGGTCTAGCACGAAGCCCGTGATGGCCGACTTGACCCACACTTGTCGTGAGGCAGCTGAGCCCGAGGCACGCACTTGCGCTCGCAGAGACGGATGCAAAAGACGATTGCGGGTCTGATGATTGTCCCCCAGGAAATCGGCTGGTACAGATTGACGGAAGCTGTAAGAAAGGTGAGCTGATTCCAACATGCAATGGGTATGAGAAGCTCACCGAGAGACGAACTGGAAGGAGAAGTTCTCGATAGATGCTTGTCCACTTTCGCCACGCTGTGTACCGAATCCCAGGCTCTTGATCGAGACCAAGAAGGCTCGTACCGCATTCTGCTTCTTCCGCCCTCGTTGAGGCAACTCGAGATCGACATCGCGGATGACCGGGAATGCGAACCCGACGTTGCGCACGGTCACATTAAGGACGTAGTCGCTGAGCAGCGAAGGCGTCTCCTTGATCTCCGCCGTGGACGCCTTTACATCGAACGTACGCATGATGGTTTGGGTTTTCTCCTTGAAGGCAGCGAGCTCCTGAGCACGCTCCTGCTGTCGTTGCATGATCTCGACCTAGAGTGACGGTTAGAAATACCAGCGAAAGGCCGATCGTCGAACAAACCTGGATGTCATCGACAAAGTCACCCAATTCGCCAATGGAACTAGGCTGCATGACTGCATGTATCTTGGTCACGTCGATATTGAGGCGGTCATTGGAGGCGCCGACACCCTTCTCCCCCTTCACCTTGAAGTCGATGATGACGAACGCGGATCGAAGGGCCCTATTGAAAGACGATCCCGTTCCCTGAGGAGCAGTTCTGGGCGCGAGGGACAGTGCCAAATCGCTCAAGAATACGTCCCAGTTCTGGTTGACGACGTTCTGAAGCTGCCCGCCAATATCTTGACATTCGAGGAACAAAGTAGAGGCAGCGCCATCGAGGCCAATGCGAAAGCCACGCATCTTGAAGTGTACGCGGTATATTGGGCTGGAAGGCGCCGGGGTCGGGCCCTGGAAAGGCGAAGGTGGCTCCTGATCCGCGGATGTCGCCTGCGCGCGTTTGGTGCTTGTCTGCTGTACGAGCTGCATGAGGTCGTTGAAATCGCGCCCGAACTTCTGTTGCACGGCCAATAATGTGTCCCAATGTGAGGGGCGGACAGTCGCCTGCAGAAAATCGACCAACACGAGCATATCCAATCCGCGGACTTCCTCCCATCGACCGGAAAGCAGTATGCGAGGGAGATCCAGCTTGACACGGGTCCCGCTGGGCGCAGACATGACGTCGGGGGATGACGATACCGAAAAGACTTGAGATCCAAGTTGTAGACCAAACGCGCGTGGAGCAGGCTGAACTGACAATCCCGGAGTGTGAGTATACGCGACGATGTCGTTGACAGCCCAGGAAAGCCAGGTCCCGTGCATCACTTGAAGTGAGATGAGGGCAGCAGATAGCTGTGCGTGCACATGCATCATAGACCATGGTGAAGGCGAAGGGGATGGGTTCGACGGCTCCGGAGCTGTATCCTTCAGTTCCGACAATATGGGTTTCAACGTGGCTTCAAGGCCCGGAAGGAAGTCGGACCTCCACTCTTCTATGAACCTATACAGGCGGAGAGCGCTGCGTGGCACCGACAGGTGGATCCGATGCAGCTGAAGCACCAGCTTTGGCAATTCTTCTGGCCCACGCTCGATCAGGCTGATCTTGCCATCTTCGAGGCTAAGGGAGGCCAGAACGTCTTGCCCGCTGCGTTTACTTGCGTCGGATGGGGTGCGACCTCGGAAGAACACCTCGCGAAAGGCTAACGCGTAATTTGCAGCATGGCGGTGCAGGACGTTGTTTGAGGAGACGACAATCTGAAGGTCGCGGAAACCAAACTCAGTCGTGAGGTTCGCAGCAACTGCACGCACGCGCAAGCCCTTCAGAGAGCAAGTGACATCCGTGATCGCGGGATGCGTAGGATGTGCTGTGGCGCTCACAGGGGAGGATGTGGGCTTCGAATGCTTCCGGATCAATGCGACCAGTGGCTTTCGGATTGGCAGCACAAATTGCGCGAAGGAGATGAGAGTCGGATGTATGACCACGTCGACCTCCCCGGACGACACGGACAAGATGGTTTTGGCTACCGACTGCGAGTACGGGCCCTTCAGAGACCATTGCGACGCGGATGGCGGGGCCGTATCACGTAAGAGCTCCAGCGTATTTCTCCAACAATTGACCTCGAAGTTCGACAGATTGATCTCGTTGTGCGCGGTCCCACTGCTGTCGAGGAGTATCAAACTCAGACGCTCGAAGCCTAGGTGCATATGCGATGGCAAAGGCGTCGGTAAGGTCTCGGATCGGTCCGTGCGGATTTTTGGGAGCATAGCATGCAGGGTGTCGAGTTGCTCATCGTCGGTAAGCTCCGTGTCCAACTGGAGCAGCCGCGACAAGAGCAGTGGCTGGAGCTCCGCGATAGAGGAGTCCACTGGCACAACCGTCTTGCCATCTTTGCGAACGTCCCATAAGCAGCTGCGCGTGTAGAACAGGAAGCGAAACGTTGGGTCGGTTCTGAGCTGGAACGATGGTCCGCTTTGAACGAAAAACGATGGTTGAATGGTCGAAAGAGGGTCGATGACCGGCCGCCCGTCAGTGGCTCTGACGATGCTATCCAACAACGCCATCTTCATGCCCGTAACCCGACGCGACCAAGCGTTGATCGTTGAGCCCGCATCCTTTGCCTGCTTCACTATAGGAATGCACGATGCTAGGATGTATCCTGGCGCAGCCTGACCCAGGCGCAGGTTCGCTACTCCGAAGGAAACGTCGCTCGTCTTCCCCGATATGTTGGCCGCGAGGTCCTCGACGGACACAGCGAATACGTGCTGACCATGCTCCACGGTGTCTGCATAGCGACGATTGTTCTGGACGACGGCCAGCGAGAGAGAAAGGTCGCCCAATTGCACTCCTGCGCGCTTTTCGTGCTCCGAAGTACTGGCTTTGACGTTGAGGTCATGGAGTGACAGCAGCGTCATGACCATCGCGGGATGACTTCCGGCAGCAGGTCGACCCTCATCGTCGGGGAAAGTAGCAGCATGGTTGACGTCCGAGACGGGAAGCGTGTTGAAGAATCGGCAAGTAATAGCATGAACCGTCAAGTCCAGCATATTCTCCTGAATGTCTGGGTCACCGCGGACTGCCTCGGAAACAGAGTCAGCCAAGAGGCCATCGATGAACAGCTCAGGGCTGGGTTGCTGCACGGGCAATATGAGGATGGATTCAGCTGCCGCAAAAGCGGACTCACAATGGTCTCTGTGCTCGAAAGCAGGCTTTCTATCACTGGAGCGATGAGAGGCGTAAGTCGCAGGTTCGTCCGCGAGCAACGCGCACGGAACACTGTGGTGCTGATGTCATTTCTGGGAGGTGTCCCTGATATTGGCGACCGTGGCGATGTAGCGCTTGGCCTTTCCATCGATTTGACTTCGGGTTCGGTATCACCAACCACGTCCTACGGCGTTCAGTATAAATGTCGGCTCAGCAATCGGCCGTACCCTTACATATAGGAGAGTGATCGGCCTGTCATCCAACAAAGACGGGTAATCGAAGTCGGTGGAGGTGAATCTGCGAGTGACTCGAGCATATTCTCTCAGCAATTTTGCGTTCTGTGACTCGTCTCCAGTATCGGTCAGTGCGATTGGAATGGAGGCATAATCTGAGGCTTACCAATATCAGACAGGTCCTCGTCTGAGCTGGAACCATCCGTCAGATCCTCGTCGTCGGATTCGTCGCAGCTGCTTGAGGCCTCGTTGTCGGCAGCAGACATGAAATCGGGAGGCGCAAGCCGCTGGGTACTGTCAAAAAAACAGTCAGGTGCATGCAGCGCGCGTTTCTCAGTGACTGACGCTAGGCGAGCGTCCCGTTCGAGCTCTGTCGCTCCGTCCTCCCTTTCTGATTCGGAGAGCTGCTCGAGTTTCGACCACGGCCTGTTGATGAGCTTGACATTGTCTGGCTTGAGTTCATCCTCGTATCGACCGTCTAGTGTTGCAGCACGGGTTGGGATGACGAGAGCTGGCTGCGGTAGATAGACGCCATTCTTGTGTAGCCCACGGCCTATTGCAAGGCATTAGACAGATGAAATTTCGCAGCATCTCGAAAAGTACCTGGAAGGGCCGGTTGCATGCGCGGAGGCGTAAACATCCGTTTGGCGCGTCCGGTTGGCGCGTCTTGCTCTCGCACGAATGTTGACTGAGCGCGCGAGAGATCCTTCCATCCCTTTGGGGCGGAGTAGATGTCCAAGTAGATGTCCGTCATAGCTTCTGCGGCTTCGAACCAATGTCGTCGGAAGTTGACCACATCGGGGGATAGCAACGCCCTGAACGAAATGCGTGGAACTCTGACGCTCGTGTTCTTCCTGAACATCAGACCGCCACGATCATTGCTGTCTATCTTGAAACCGTCGTCTAAGGAGATGACAAGGCATGCGTTGCCTGCGTTCCATGTGGCGTCCAATCGGTGCAGTCTGACCTTGAGGAAAGTCAAGTCGGGATAGGTAGGCGCCTGAAACTGTGGGGCCGGCGCGTTCGCAGTGTCGGCGAAGTTGAGACCAAAAGACTTCCCAGCGGAGCCCAGTAGTTGAGCCTCTTGCGCGGTTACTATCACATTGACGCGGCCGACGTCGATCTCCCAGATACATACGTATGTAACGGTGGAGGGAACGGGACCGAATAAACGATGGGCGGTAATGTCAAGCCCTGCACAAGCGTAAGATATCATGACAGGATGTCCGTGTAAAAGGGCTTACCGTCTATCGCCAACACCTCCTTGGCGACTCTCTTGGGCGGCGAGTACTTGATGACCTGCGGAAAGTCGTTCTCCAAATGGCCTACGGCATTGTCGATGTTCAGGGACATCTCTATATATCATTGTATCAGTCCAATGAATCCAGCGGGCTATCAGGACTTACCCATATAGAAGTCGTTCATCCGGAAGTGTAGCTCAAGCTGAGAGGCCCGCAGAAGTAGACTTGGGCCCATCATTCCCGCGTCGTTGTCTTCGGTTAGATGTCCCGGACGGGCGTACGCATGCAGCGCACAAGGCACGACAAGCATACTGTCGTGCACAAGCACGGTCATCTCCACCTCGAGCATGTTGTTCTTGAAAGCTGATGAGTAAAGCAAGTTGAATAGGGCGTGAAGAAGCGCACCTGTCCTTCTCGATACTTCTTGAGAACCGGATCCCCTAGAGGCTCCCCGGCCTTCTGCTTCTCAAGAAACTCCGCGAGGGTCGAGTAATGGGTAAACGACCCAAAGTAATTATCCTTGAGTACCATGAAGTATCGGACAGTCCAGCCAAGCGCTTTATACGCAACGTGAGTGCCCTAGCGAAGGTTGTCAGCAAGCCATGGCCAGCCTCCTGATTATACGCACAGTGAACGTCAACTTGAGCTTGTCCACAGTGTCGTTCCTCATGAATGCCCAGTACAAGTAGCTTCCCGTGATCCTGAAGTCGCCGAGTGTGCCAATGTCATACCCGCCAGCCGGTGCGTGCAACGCATGCGTATTCCACTTCGGTAACGAGAACTTCAAGCGCACATCGGGGGCATCGAGAGTGAAGGTGACTGTCGCATGATCAGGACGGAACTTGTCCGACGGTATGACGATCTCCGACGTCAAGTGAGGCCCGAACATAGTGAGCATGGCTGTGATACTTGTGAGTGGGTGGAAAGCGAACAGATCACGACGCCTACCATTGTCCTCCTTCACAAGCGGCCTGTCGATGACATTGTTGTCGTTGACATACGTGTGTAGCTCGTAGCCGCCATGACTGTCGCCTCCTCGGCAGTCGATCTTGAACACGTAGTTCACGGGTACCCAGCGCAGATAGTCACTCGGCGGGCCGCTCGTCCAGTCTTTGATCAGGTCGGTGAACATGTTGACGTGATCGCGAAGAAGGTACAAGACGGGCTGCCTCAGCGACACGCCGATTTCCCATGTCCGCGGAGCGTTCCATTGCAGAGGTGATGGCAGAGCCCCATGGATACGCAGGAGCTGCGCGTTCACAAGCTCGATGTCGTTGAGGCTGCTGGTGACCTTGACGCTGTCCAAGTGCACCTCCAGCGTTGCTTCGTACGCTTCGGTGTCTGCTGTCGCAATCATGGGCATAACATACGCGATTGTCGAATTGTCATCGGCGGCCAGATGGAGCCAAGCTGGTTCGCGCTTGCGAGGACGGGGTGGAGGGACGGTGATGCCGTCGTATTGCCAGTTCTGGATCAAATGTTCAGAATCACGAGAATAACGCCAGAATGCGGCAAAAATGGTAGCTCACCTTGCTCGCCTCTCTAAAGGGGATATGCAGCATAGTGCTATCGCGCAACTCAATGAATACCCGCAGCGAAGTCCATTGTCGTTTGTCCCCCGGGCTCAACTTCGGCGTCTTCGAAGCATTATGGTACGAAGCAGGGAAAAAGACCTTCTGAAGCTCGGCGCTTTGAAGGCTTCAGCGAGGTACTCGTCCAAAGATCCATCTACTCACCGTTGTCGATCCGCCCACGGTCCGTATCGGAGAGTCCCTCCCTTAATGACGAGATCAACACCCCAGTCCGGAGGTACGTCTCCATTCCCGATCTCATCTCCGCCACCACCGGGAGGAACGTCGCCAACAACATCGACGAAGTACTCGAGCTCTAGCACCTTCGCTTCGATGATGTCTCTTTCAATAGCGTATTCCGCATCTGGGTCGAAAGGACCATCATCCTCGTCCGTTGCGTTCTTGCGACCCCGGAGATGGAAGCGCGGGGCGTACGAGTGCGGTTGACGACGGTTCAGGAATTTGGAGTTTACAAAAGAGCGTAGTTTCAGCGAGCGCCAGAGCTTCATGAACCCATGATGAGCTAAGAAAGGGGAACTTGTGCACGCATGGGCGAACTTCTCACTCCTGGAGCAAGGGTCAGTACTCTTCACACGACAAGTGATAGGAAGGATGCGCACTCCTCAGCCTTCTGGCGCACACCTTCACCGAGAGTGTTCATGGGTTGCGCGTAGTCTTCATTCTGAACGAAGCGAATGATGGGGGAATGAAAATGGAGTGTCATGGTTTGCCTGTAAAGGTCGAGCTTGGAGCGAGCCTGCGTCGTCCCGTACCAGCCCTCCGACTTGCTGAACTCCGCGACCAGAAGATTGGGGGTAGCATGATTTCCAGCGATGATGAGACCTTTGGTGATGTCGATACCAATGGGCAGGACGTCGTTGAAGTCAAGGCTGGGCAACTGCAGCTTGATCCACTTCAGCAGAGACACGATGGCCGGAGGAAGCTGGGCCGCAGCGGACTGTGTCGTCCATTCTATGCGCATGATGAGTTTACGGCGTAGGGACGTATACTAGCTCACGCACCTGACATGAAGCTCTTGCGACGCTCGACCGGTTGACCTACATGGTCTTGCTGCATCATCTGAGCGACTATATTGTCGTAGGCCGGTGTTCTGTTGTACATGAACCACTCAAAGCCCTGAAGAGAGACCTGTATACGGCACGGGAACTTCTCTAAGGCGATGGTTAGTGCCATACCCTACTCGCTCGCGTCCTGAACGCACCCTGCTTGCCCACGTCGCTCTCTTCCATGGTTCTCCTGTTCCAGTAGCGCCATTGAATCCTACCCTTGACGATACGGATAGTCTGATTCGAGGAATGGTACGCGACATTCTTGATGAGGATGCGGCCCGAGAGAAGGGAGAAGTGGATGGAACCTGCAACTCTCCTTCAATCGCTTGACATGTAACACTATGCAAGTCACACACCAATGTGTACCCATGCACTTTCAGCACCGGATCCCCACCAGAGCACTCGTAGTATCAAGCCGAGTATGAGGCCAATAAGGCGGTTGAAGTAGAAGGAGAACAAGATGAGACCGACGACGATGCAGATGAGAGCAATAAGCAAATAGACGTTGATCGACGCAGCCATCATCTCCTACGTCCTTCAGCGCATTTCAGAGTTGTTGGGTATAAAGCGCTGGTTTATACTAGTGGACGGAGGAGGAGAGGGGCGAAGCGAAGCGCGCTTAGACTATTACCGCGGCGCATCACCACCGACGCGTGATTGCATCATCAACGCGCACTCCGTCCCGCCCACCATGTCCTCGCCTGCCGCGACGTCGACGACAGCGAAGCCGCTGGCGAGGCTTGCCGCGCATACGACGACGACCTGCGCTTCACAGGCGACTGTCTATGGAGACTGCATTCTCAAGGTCTACACTGATGTCCGTAAGGACATCTGCGGGAAGGAATTTGCCGCCTTCAAGGAATGCCTGCAAACGGCGGTACGCTCACCTTACCTTCGCTTCCAGCCAGTAGCTCACGCAGTTGAAGATGAAGCGGAAGTGGTGAAGCCCCCGCCATAGTACAGCCGTCATTCCAGCAGACGACACATGTCCATAATCAATCGAGACCACCTGGTATTCGACCGGTTCTGGCACCCTGCCCCTCGTCCGCGTCCTCGCGATTGTCCCCCTGTTCTGTACCCCTCGCGAGCCTAGACGCCGCCATACTCTCCCCGAGACTCCCCGCCCTGCCGCGAAGGAGGAAGGTCATAGGGTCGCGCACGGGGAGCAACGATGCTCTCGATGGCGGAGTATAGTCCCGCGCTAGGGGGGTAGTAACTCGCGCCCGAAGCAGTCGTATAATATGGGTAATAGTGATATCCATGATGAGATCGCCGTCTTCCTGTGTGGCTTGGGCGGTAGTCCGAAATATCTTGCCCGTGTCTGGTGGTGGATCGTTGTGGACTGGGAGGATATCGTGCGATGGCGAATCGGAGCTCTGGTACGCGAATACGATGCAGATGAGCTGGATAAATTGGATGAACCAGTCCAATGCCAGCAGGCGAGCTTTCGACGGTGTGCGGTCTGAGACGTGTCAACGATGGAATCGGCAGGAGGGGACAGCACACACCTAATCCCACAAAGTCCAAAAGCGATGCTTCTGCCTCCCCTAGTGCACCACCTCTACTATGCTGCCATATGGGCGGAATGTTGAAGATGATGTTCAGGATGACGAAGGACAGTAGCCCTAACCTCCCATCGAAGCTACGAGGCCGTGTGCAGTGAAACTGAAGTATGCTTCGCAAGAAGAGGACGAGGAGACTGGGGGAGAGGAGAAATGAGAGCACATAGAGTTGGTAGAGCAGGCAATCGAACTTGATGCTGGTCAGCAATGGTAGGGGGCACACGGCGCTTATTCCAGCTCACCAGGTGCACAGCATGTTTCCTCTGGGTAACTCTCCGCTTTACATGTGTCATGAGTGGCCCAGACTAGTCCGGGGTGGTCGTCCTGCTCGCGGACGATGGCATACCATCCGAAAGCGCGACAGCCAGGTAGCGTGCAACAGCATCAGCACGGGCACTCGGTCCGATAGCGCCACAAAAGAAACGGACTTCATTGTTCAGTAAACCAGCCATCGCAACACAACATCGACAACCAGCTGAGTTCCCTACAGGTCGCATGGAACCAGACAGCGCCCGGAGTGTATGATACAACAGATGTGGCATTATTGGTAAGGTACAACGAAGAACGTCAGCGCTAATCCAATTACGCAGACCCACTACTTCCCCCCGACGGTCCTGCGCCCGGCGTCCCCGAACTCGACGCGCTAGCCCCAGTCGCCTGCGCATTCTTATTTGGCATCATCTTGTTGATGATCAACGACAGTCCACCTAGCTGATTCGGCTTCAGCGCGGCGATGCAGATGTCCAGGGCGACTTGGCCATTTGGCGTAGTCCCCTTAATGACGGCAGCTGGCTGAGGCGCGCCAGGCTGGACTTCGGAGGCGTTCACCGGGACGATGCTCAGCGCTTTTAGGGCTGGCAGATACGTGACAGGGATGTTGAGGGGAAAGGTGCCGTTCGGTGGCAGCTTGGGAGCGGACGAGGCAGCTGGGCTGGCCGAAGAAGTCGACGTCGCAGGTTGTGGGGCGGGAGGCGGCTTCGGTGTAGAGGACTGCACTTGAGGCTGGCCCATCGTAGGAAAGCCTTGGTTTGCAGTCGCTTGGTAATATGATGCGTAAGCCCCTGGAGCCGCCTGCGTCGGGGCCGGGGACGGCACAGCGGTCGTGAACGTTGGGGCAGGCGACGCAGCAGCCGAGGTAGTCGTGGGAGTACTTGAAGTCGCATACTGCGGAGGCATGTATGGCTGAAACGTGAGAGGTTGTCCAGATCCATAGCCCTGCGCATATGTGTACGGGTACTGGTAGTATTGTGTCTGCGGGGCTGTGGCGGGCGGGACGTAGAATGTCGTCGTCGTGGGTGCTGTAGATTGCCGCGCGGCTTGCTCTTTCGCTCGTTTGACGCGTTCCAAGCGATCCAATTCAGAGCGTGCGCTCTTGACCTCAGAGCTCAGCCAAGCTATCTCCGCCCGCTCCGCGTCAGAGACGACCTGTTCGAGATAGAAGGCCTGGTCTGCGGGAGATTGTCGCTGCACGAAGGGTCAGACGCAGGAAAGAAAGGTTAGTGAGCATATAACATACCCTACCCTCTCTAACGCGCATGTTGTATAAACGATCGTGAAGTTTGCGCTTTCGCTTGTGGCATTCAAGGGCAAACTTCATCTCTGATTACGGGAGTAAGCATATATTGCGTCTGGACCGAACGGGAAACTCACCTGCTATCTCGCTACGAATGTCGTCCTCTGCCTTCCCCTTCCCTTTGGGCGATGTTAACTTCTCGAGATCCTCCTTGGGCTGCTGGTATATGTGGTACGGTAATAACCGCCTGACCACATCTTCAGCGTCCACGAAGGGGGTGTCAACGTCTGGCTTCAGCGTCGCCTGCTGGTCCGCCGCGAGCCGTTCTGCAAACCTGCAAATCACACCGATCAGTACTCGCCAAGACAAACAAGCCAAAAAGCGCACCTCGCAGCCGTCTGTGCCATCAGCTCCTCCTCTTGCTGCGTTCGCTTCTTGATTTTCGGAGGTTTCTTGGCCTCCGCCTGGGTAGACGTGCCAGCAGCAGCGGTAGAGGGTCCCGCTACCGGGGCCGATGTGCCATTTGGCACCGGTTTTTGCCTGGGGACCAAAGTCTGGCTTTGCGAAGATCCATTCTGGATGCTTTGCGGAGGGTAGTAAGGGATAAACGCCGTTTGGTTTGCGCCCAGTGCTGTCATCGAATCGTGGTGTGTTTAGACCTCGTAGGCGCGTGACTCACTATGACTTTAGGGCCGGCCTCGCAAGCTTGGCTCTCATCTCACCAGCCTTTCCTTCCCATCCGACGGACGAAACAATGGCTGTTACCATGAAAGCCTACGGAATACAAAGAGCGATCGCGTGACTATTGAGTGTCCATCCTTTCATGACTCTGTCCCGCTGCAAGTCTCTTGAGCTCGACCTGGGAAGACTTTGTCGCAACAGCCTTTGCCTGCCGAGCTTTCAGCATTTCGTTGACTTCCTTCAACATCTCCTGGGCCTTGTCGACATCCTCGGCGTTACTTTGCGCGACAACCGCTAGTAGCTCGCGCGCGAGATGCAGGTTACCGCCGGGGTTATGCATGTGGTAATTCGCAACTTCCAGCGTTGACTTCGCATAATCAGCGATAGGACGGTCTATTGAATAGTTAGTCAAGTATAATAGAGCGGTCGCAGCGTTAAGACGTACTCTCCGCGTTGCAGATCTGGACGATACGATGGTGATAAGACGCAGCCTCTCGGTATTCACCCATGATGCGATGTAGGGATGCCAGCTTGAGCGTGCTGAATTGCTCGTGGGGGCTTGCGGCGTATAGAACACGTCTAAGGCAGTCGACAGCCTCGCGGAGTCTGTACAACAATGGTCAGCGGTCAGAAACAGGGTAGCAGCCGCATCAGACTGACCGCCCCATGTTCTCGTAGCATTGCGCCAAGCCTTGCAGCATACGGACGTCGTAAGGCCTATCATTACGCGTCAGTCGTGTATACTTTCGCAGGTTAGTACCCACTTCAATGCGACTGCGTTCTGATAGTAGTACAATGCATTCTCCTTCATCGACAAGAGTTCCGACGCCTGGGCGAGCCCGTACCACGCACGGTAATCTCGACGGTTGAGGGCTTGAATAAAATCAGCCTTGTTAATTATTGAGTGACCCTAGGAGCCACTCACACAGCGCACGACGATACGCATCCATGGCTTCGTGCGAGTTCTTCATTTCGACCAACTCGTGTCCCATTAAGGTCCAAGGACCCGTCAAAGTACAATCAAGCTCTGCCGCTCGGCGAAAGTACTTCACAGCCTTCATGTGTTCAGCCCGCAGCGCGAAGTGGTTGCCTGCGCTCTCGTTAGAATACGATGGTTGGGCGGGACGACATGACCAATATTACCTATTGCGACACAGACTTCCGGACGGTCTTTGGCGAGGGCAACGAACTCGTGCGCAATCTTGGCGAGTTTGACCTTCTGTTGCGTCACGAGGAGTACGTTCGAGTACATGTCTACCCATTCAATGCGTTGGGGGTCCATCTCAAAAATATGATCGAATTGCTGCTCTGCCCTATCGTACTCTACCAATGGTCGTCAATCGGGTGAGCGATAGGGACAATTGTATGGGGACCATACCGTGGAGGTCGCTCAAGACGCAGGCCCGAAGGCCCATTATCCAGGGACTGTTCGGAAAGACATCCGATTGTAAGAGATGGTCACAGATCTCGAGTTCGTAGTCGCCTCCGGACATGAAGGTTAACGCGCTTTTGATCTGGAAGATACGCGCCATTGGGTGACTGGGAGGCACCGGCAGCAGTGGCATGAGGTGGGAAACCTGGGACAAGGGGTGAGTTTCGCGATAGCGACCGACGCGGATCGTTACCTCTTCAGCGTCTCTAACATGAGCCTGAAGCAACATCCAGGCTGGATATAGCCAAGGCTCTTTCTCGATAGCCAGGATCAGGTTTTCTATGCCTTCTGCTCTGCAGCCACAACGCAGAAAGAAAAGACCCTTTCTAAGCGCATGATTCAGCTAGCGTTACGGGAAGAAAAAGAAGCGGTCTCACAGAAAGAGCGTCCACGGGTCAGATTTCCCCGAGACTTCCAGCATTATCTCGACGAGTTCAAGATTGGCCGGCTCGATGGGCGGGACCCTCGAGTCTGCGTTGAAGGTGGCATGAGTACCCGAGCCATCGCACGCGAGATGATCACCTTACAGTCGCTTAGATACCAGTCTCGAAAGTAATCACTCTCGCTGGCCTAGATAGCTAGATAAATCATCCTGTTCAGGTCCTCGAGAGTCATAGCAGCGTACGAGAAAGCGACTGTATGTGTACAGATATTTTGCCTTTGAGCTGGCATGGTGCTCCAAGAGTTTCGCAGCACGGCGAAATTCGCGGGCCTCTATCAGGGCGCGTGCGGCGTCCAGCACATCCTTGTCCCCAGCCTCAAGGTGCCGTTCGCGGGAGAATTCGTCTTCTAAACTCTGGGGAGCAGGTGGAGCACGGAGATCTCTGTATGAGGTCGAGGGTACGCTGGGTCTCGTTGGAGATTCAGGGCTCTGTGGCGTCATGCGAGCGCTTCGAGGACGGGCCGGAGTTGACGTGAGGAAATGTGGCCTTTGCCTTCGAAAAGCAGGTGCAGTCGCCAAGACAAGCTCCGAGGCCCTATGAGAGGGGTCACGCCACACATTGATACATGGAACTTCCATGCTTACCATCTAGACGCCGCTGGCATACATCTGTCGGCCGCCTCTTGCGCAAATGCCCTGAGATGGTTCACAATCTGCGCGTCTATAGCGTCGACGACTGGAGAATCCATTGATATCTGGGCGGCTCTCTGTAACTAGATTGAGCTATAGCGTGGTTATGAGGGTCTTTTGTCCAGCTCCGTCGAATGGAGTTGAAGTGGCACGTCCTTGTGCGAGACCGAGATGGACGCGCCGTGAAAGTGACGTGAACCGGGGATAAGACGCGTTGCACACGTGCCCCATCACATCAAAGTTGATTCGGGTTCTGCCGGGATTCACACGGCGACCCTTGTTGTCCTCGTACACTGACATCCTCAAAATGTACGCCTTTTCTGCTTCAGGATAGGCCTCCCAGAATCAGCCGTCAAGATACTTTGCTGACAATTCTTTCTCACGTTGATTGTTATGCTTCTCACTTGCCTCGGCCGTTCAACCTTCTCACTCGGATGTTGTGCGTCTTCCAAGACTTTCCCACCAGCATACGCCTTAGGCCCTTTTGTGCACAAACGGACGGCAACATGCTCCAATCGATATGTACCACGATAGCGCTCGGGGTAACCCTGGCGGCTCTCCGAATCTACCTGATCCTGCCTGGAGCCAAGCCAAGATCTCGACGTTCGAGTCCGGCGTCGACCTGTAGTATCGCAGTTTTCCTAGGCTCAGGTGAGGCTCAGGAAGCTATTTCAGTCAAAGAGCCAAGACGTGACAACATTCTCGCAAATCAGGTGGCCATACCAGCGAAGCGCTGGCGCTGCTCTCAGGCCTTGACTTCGACCGCTATACCCCGCGCACCTACTTCATCAGCGAAGGCGACGCGCTCAGCGCTCAGAAGGCTATAGATCTCGAGAATGCCAAGGGCCCTCGTTCTGCCGTATGTCCACGATGAGATCGGATGGCATACACTGACCGGGCTGTGCAGTTCTCCTTGACGGTGCTTCCCCGGGCACGCCGAGTCCATCAACCTTTATTCACCGTGCCACTGTCTGCGATGCGGTCCTTCCGTGTTTGCGTCTACTATATGACGGTGGCGCCTTTCACATTGAAGAATCCCGTCGCTGACGTGCTCATTCTGAACGGTCCGGGCACCTGCTGCACTCTGGCCCTCGCGGCGTATGTGAACAAGGTATGCCACCATACACTCTTAACCGAGGCCGTTAGCTCACCGAAAGCCAGTTCTTTGGTCTGAGATGTCCTCGCGTCATTTACGTGGAGTCGTTCGCTCGCGTAAAGGGTCTTTCCCTCACTGGTAAGATCCTGCGCTCGTTTGCAGATAGGTGCGCATCCAACTCGCGATAGCTTCCCGTGCCTTATACTTGCCACCGGCAGATTTATCGTACAGTGGGCGCAGGTCCTTCAGGATGGAGGCCGTGGGGAATGCTACGGTTGTTTGGTCTAGCCTCCGACGATTGCCTTCCTTCGCGTACAAGGCTTGGCATCAACGCTCTGAACTGCGCAATGGACGTTCCCTTCAGAATCTGCGCAGTCGCTGTATGCTCCTCACGAGCTCCCATCGCGGGCTCGCGTGAATCCAGCTGAGAAAAGGGGAGAAAACCGTGCTCGTCGATGACCGACCAGGACATTTCTGGGACGCCTTGGTCTCCCTTCATACCAGTTCACCTATATACCTGACGACTCACACCGCGCGCGCCAATGAATATCGATTACAAAGTCATTGTAATGAATGGTAGAGCGCGAAAACAGAGCGATACGAAGTCGAGGATGGCGTGGGCCTGATTCTTGCCACAACACTTCTCCTGCTCGGTGACCTTCGCCTGCTGTCACCGAGCTGATAGAGTGCACCTCCCCTCGCATGTCTCCCACGATTCACTGACCTTTCACTTGAATCTGGCCGTCAAGGATCAGCCAGAAGCGACGTTACGGCCACGTCTCGAGTTCTGAGCGTAATTGCGAAGCGGAGCTCTTATTGCACATCCACTCAATACACAGCGCAACATGATGAAGGTAGCCAGCTGAAGTTTACGGCCCGTCTTACAAGAGGCGGTCAGTGTAACGCCACCTACCCGTCTCCGTTGCCCAAGGATGAGGGCTGTCTAATCCAGCCCCGACACGGCATCGAAGGAACAAACAACGGAGTCTATTATTCCAGGTTACTAGAGCAATATAGATCACCGAAAGTCCGTGCACGAACCTGGCGTCTCGAGACACCTGCAAGGCTAAATCGGATCCGTGATTGGTCGCCATACCTATACGCGTAACAACCTATAGGAGTCAAGAAGGGAATGCTACATGAAAAGATGGGCGCGTCAGCTATTTCCTGGTCCAGCGGTCTTCACCGGCATCACGGCCGCCACGACGAGGGCTAGCGCTGCGTTCGCGATCCCTCTTCCGTGGCTCCCAGCCCCCACCTCCACCTTGAGTCTTCTGCGGGTTGAGGCGACGCTCTAGACGCTGCCCTACGCGAAGTGATTCAACCAGCTCTTTGGAGGCGAGACGCAAATGCATAAAATTGCAGAACCCGCCGCGATTGCATTCGCCATTCTCGTTCTGGCGGCAGCAAGCCTCGCGGAAGTCCGTCACGGGGGAGAGCTCAGCGTAGAGTGGCCGACCTAGGCATGTTCAGTTTTCTGTCCCAAATTGCTGAAGAATAATTGCGCACCTGCATACCACCTATCGTTCAGGTTGTCTACAGCAGCTTGCGCCTCGGTCTCCCATTCGTAGCGTGCGTATACGTTACCAATCAAGTGATCGCCAACGTTGTCGCATACCTACAACACAAGTTAGTCACTGACGCGAACCCAGGACAAAGACCACGTACGTGCAACTCAAGCAGATGCCCGAACTTCGCAAGTTCGCAGTACAAGTCTTCGTACACTGCGTCAAAGCCCTCTTGAAGTTCCTTCTCGTTCAGCTTGCATACTGGGTCATGGGCCGGGTTGTGATACACGTTGGGGAGCAAGATAGTCTGCGAGAAGGGGGGCCGGATGTGCTTTCGCGAGCAGCGATCGCCGTGTCGACACGCGCCAATCTGTATACTTTGTGAGATGACATACCGAGGGACGTGTCTCTGGGGCGTACCTTGTAGTAGAAAGAGCAGTTCACGCGGTCCTGCTCCGTACCGAAGATGTTTGCCTGGTTGGGAGTCAATATTGCGCGTCGTTCGCATATCCAGTCAACGCACCAAATGTGAGGCCATGATGAGGGTAAGTCCGAGAAAAGGGAAAGCGGAGAACAATGGCAACCGCGCTTTATGAATCTTTGCCCAGCGTTCGCGAAAGCTCTGGACGACGCCGAAGGTGGCCCGAAAAGTTTGTCAGGGGATTAGTAAGCTTACGGAAGCCACGGTCCGATTGCTTCCCACGAACGCAAGAAAGAGCTTCCAAAAGGGGAATTCTCCTTGTTGATCTTCCCGGAAGCAAACTTAGATAGGATCCGAACTAGAGAAGCTCCGGCGGGGCCGGCTTCCAACCTTGCTTGCGTAGCGGGTATGTACTCAAGTGTTCGATCCTCCGGACACGACTGGCGAGTGTTCGGTCTAGTGAGCTTGTAGGATGACAATGACCCAAACTTCAAAGGCCTCCCTAGCCTTTTACGCGCATCTTGCCCGTCTTCGATAGAGGTTGAATGCAATGGAGTTTTTTCTCGCGCCTGCGAGCTCTCTGCTAACATGTGCTAGCACAACAATGCTCCCTTGCTAATTCCCCCTCGCCCTCTCCTCATTTTTCTTCGCCTCGCTTATTTACTGAGGAGGTCGATTCATGTCTCCACATTTCCTTCTCCCTGGCCCTTACTGCATGCACTTAGCGCCGTCTACTGATCCACGGCCTGCGCTCTTGACCTCTCTTAAGGGGACAGCTCACGCACGATGGTCGCTCACCGCACTGCAGGTACACCTTCCTGCCGACTGCCAATGAAAATTTATCCTCTCATTTCCCTACACCCAATCCCTCTTCCTTTTACCTCCCCCTTCTCGCACAGCAAGTCAATGACACCAGTGGCGTAGATGAGGACGCTCGCACCCCTGCCTTCACTGCCCTCTAAAACATGGCAGCCTCCATATCAATCTCTTTCTTCCCTCGTCCAATTTATAACGCCCGCCGTCGCCACCTTGGAAGGCGGTTACCGTGCCCGACACTCCTTCCATTTATATCTTCTTCCTCGCGCCCGTGCGGAATGAAGTGATGAAGGACTCGCGAGCCGCCACAGAAGGGGGGGATGAAGAACGAAGCGCGGACAGAGTCCGTGCAAATCCTTGGTTTGAGGAGAGTACCTTCCGTATGCCGGTAGTTTGCATGTCAGTCAGCAGATCACATGCAGTGTCTCGAGGCCATTGAGCTGCTACGCACCTGAAGGATTATCTCGTTTATTCTCCGCCCATCTTCATGTCAGGATTGTCCACAGCAAGGGCATTCCGAAGTAGAACGCGCCGACCATCGCGTAGTCTTCCTTCTTGATACTCGATATATGCATAGTGAGTACCTGTGGCCAATATGTATCATTACAAGCAGGAAAAGTAAAGGAAGCGTGGTAAAGACGGCGTGCAAAACGCCGTCCTGGAGTTCAACCAATCAGGTGATTTATCGGTGCCGACACCGGAATTTGCCGTTGCACCTCAACGCCTCATGCGAATTTCGTTCCGACCTTTATTATGCAGTCTTAAGATAGATTTACAACTTTACTTCAAAGCCTCTTACTGGATTCTGTGCTTTCGATCCCTTACTCATTCAGGTAGGGCGGGACGGCAAGTTCCATCTCGGGCGCGCCGAAGCACCGACAACAGCGCTATCGCGGACAGGTGACGAATGACATCGGTTGTTTGTACTTATGCCGCAAAAAAACTCGTGGCGTCGTCAATAAGACAGGTGTAGAACCTTGCAAGCAAGGTGATTTCCTATTCCGTAACAATAGCCGCGCAATCTCTTCTCTCTGATATATGATACGGTATATGCAGCACTTCAATGCTTGATGATACGTGCAGTCACCGCAGTCAACGTGATATCTAGCGTCCCGGAAGTTGATCGTAGTGTGCATACAGCCGGATTCATGCCTTGACTGTCTTGGTTGAGATTGCGCCGGCCTCACTTCAGTTGGTTTGGTCCGCTTCGCATAAGAGTAGAGTGTTTGAATGAATCAGTAGCTTGGGCCGTGTTAGTATTGGCTGACGACGCGGAAGCATTTTATCTTGACCGATCAATTGCGTGAAGTGCTTGATCGTCTGGTACCAACACGAAGTATGGGCTTTCAATTGCGCACTTTATCGACTTATTTGTGTCCGAAAACGATGCGATGACCCTCTTTTGCTTTGTTGTAATCATTACTACAGATTTCTGTCCTAGATCAAGCCATGAACGGCCGCAAACTCATCGTCGTCCTGGTCCTTCGCGCGCATCTCAAGCCCCATCTGTATCGTCTTCGCCGCAGGCTCACCCGCAAGCTGCGCAACGAAGGCGTTGGCCATATCCATGCCTATATTTTTTGGTCAGCATCATTCGCGGCGAGTGCACAACTACAGTGCGTCCTCCAAGCCTCACTCACCCGCAGTGACACCCGAGCTTGTCCAGAACTTGCCGTCGACCACCCAGCGAGCGCGCGCCACCCAGTCAATGTTGTGCGAGGCCGTGTCCGCGAGCATAGCTTTGAACATGAACTTGTTGCCCGTGGCACGCTTGCCGTCGAGGGCGCCCGTGCGCGCCAGGATCCAGGAGCCCGTACACACGGTCAGCACATACTTCGCGCCGGGGACCTGGCGGACAAGGAAATCCGTCAGTTCTTGCGGGACGTCCGGAGGACCTGGAAAACTCGTTAGCTTGATCATTCCCAGCGTGCTATACGTCCCCCACCGCCTTCATCGCCCATAGTCCAACCAATCCACTTACCTCCCGGCACCAATAAGATATCGAACTGCTGCTTCGCCTCCCCATACGTCTTGTCCGGCGTCATCCGCGGGCCCGCCTCGCCAGAAAATCCCGGCGCAACGGGTTCGAGCGTGTGCGAGAGGTACACGAAGGGCCCGAGTGTGGGCAAAGCGTCCGCCTGCTCCTTGAAGATGAAGGGCTTGACTTTCGCCGAGAGCGCGGCGAGGAACTCGATGGGACCCTGATAGTCGAGGGCGGTGAGCTTGGGGTAGAGGCAGACGGCGACGGAGAGGGAAGGGGAGGACATGGTGGTGGACTTTTGGACGGAGAGGTGCGAGGTTTAGTTTCTGAGGTTGAGAATGCGACGAATTGGCGCTGACGGTTCTGAGAGGAGATGAAGACGAGGGGATTTATATGGTCGTCCCACCCAGCGTTCTAACGCCACTGCGAGATCGTCAACTGTATACCCATCACCTGCCTATCACCAGCAGGACAGATTCTGAGCAACGGCGGGCACACATGCCCCAGCACAAGTCGTGTAGTCGCCTGCCGCGCCACCGCGCGTCAGTGCGGCAGCAGCGACGTCGCATCGCCCGTGGGCGTTTCTCGTGAGAGGAATGACTTGAAGCGCAGTCTATGACTCTTCTCGGAGGAGTTCGAATCACGACTTGGGGAGGTCCCGCAACTCCCCGAGGACGTGTACGCCCTCCACGGAGGCGAACGGGTTGATGCGCTACTCGGTGGAGGTCCAGAGGTTGTTGTCGATGATAACCGAAATGACGTAGTCTTTAGGTGCTGCCGGTACGACGCGTAGCCTCTCGGCGTCGCAAAAGTCGGGGAGAGGTTGGTGATATGAAGCTGCCTGGAGGTGGGGTGCGTTCAGGCTGAGCGCTGAGCATCTGCTTGGCATCTGCACCATCTGCTCAAGCTCGGAGCTGGTTGAGGCTGCCGGGGACGACTCGGGTCTGGCAGGTTGGTTGGACGCAGAGAGGTTTGCGCTGGATGAGAATCACTGACCTGTTCCCCGTCTTCATGATCCTCTTCCCTTTCCTCGCCTTCGCCCTTCTTGTCCTCCTCAATCGTGCGCTTGATGTAGTCCCACGCCCGCGTCCACACAAGGCTGTCCACGAGTAGCTTGTCAAGTGACGGGCCAGAGGTATTCTTCCCGCAACTCGGGGAGATGATGTCGCGCTCAAGCAAGGGCGTCTGTATAGGCTATACAGACGCCCTGCTTCTGCTCGTCTTCGAGGATGTCCTCCATCCCCAAACTGACTCATCTTCATCTCGAGCTGTGCGAGTTTGGGCTCGATGAAGGACGCAGGCGCGCTGCGGATCTGCGCGCCCCAGCGTCCGCGAGCTGCCGCGCGCCGCGCGCGAAGACCCTGAGCGCAATTCGGCCGTGCGAGCAGCCTTGGAGTGCACGATTATAGGACCACAAGGGACTCACTAAACAAGGGGCCCAATAATTGCTAGGATTGATGATTCAGCGATGTTGTAGTGCGACAGAGTTCCGTAGGGTACAGCCAGGTACCCATCTACATCCGTTTGCGGCGTATACACTTGAAAGCGAGCTCGATAGCTGATAAATATATTGACAGGACTTCTTGAATAGATCGCTGGCATGCGCAGCATGGAACAGCACTGGACGGTCAAGCGTCAGTATACGGCAACAGGTCACTCGATGTCCGACTCACGCACCTGGTGTTCATTCCTCCTCTTCCTCGTCGTCGTTCGGTCCCTCGCCATTCTCCTCCTCTTCGTCCTCCCCGCTATCGTCCTCGTTGTCTTCGATGGGTAGTATTTTGTACTCCCGATACTTCTTGATACGCGGAGGTCCGGCGAACGGACGAGACGGTAGTTGTAGTCGCAAGAGGGTGGTCTGCCCGACGACGAAGTCGACGACGGAACCGTCATCGGCGGCAAAGGTCTCGGTGGTCCCTTCCGGCCACTCCGATTTCTTCAGGTCGAAGCAACAGCCTTCCTCTATCGAGGCAAGACAGATCTTGTCACCATCGGCGTAGATCTTCAGATTGGTGGGCCGCAGCCGAGGTTTACCGGTCTTGTTGCTCATGAAGTTCCAGCACACCAATCGCGAGTTATCCAGGCAGCCCGTCCACAGGCGGATGTGATACGTGCAGCCCAGGATCGGGATATCACGAATAGAGGGATCGTCTGGATGGGGCGTGCCCTGTGGGAGGTTGTGATTAGTCGACGACGCTTGGATGCAAGATCGTTCCTGGCGCACCCCAATGACATCGGCCTTCTCGGATAACACTCGCATGAATTTCCTCCCTAGCTCGACGCTCCCAAATTCGGCCGCATACCTTGCTTGCATCTCGCGCGTGAGTCTGAGTTCTGCTATCGTCGAGAGAGCTCGTCGCCTGGTGACGTACAGGACTTGTGGAGGTGTCTGCGCGTTGACCAATGTTGTCTTCGGAACGTGCTACGCACATGGCGTCATTTTTGATGGGGTCAATATGACACGGGAAAGACCTTGCAAGCAAGGTGACCTTGTTAACTGACGGTAGTGTAGGCAAATTCCAGAGACACATCTCTACCTCGTCAATATGGATTCTTGGATGGACTGTCATGTCGCTCGCGTGTATTGCTAGCAGCCCGCAAACCCAGTTTCTACACCCGCCTGATAGCGGGCACCAGTCCCTCGAATACAAGATAAATACATCCATGTCCGCTGGAGGAATCTAAGGATCGTGATGAAAGAACGTGCAGAATTACAAGTCATGCTATCGACCACGGGTCCTGCGAGGACTGCGACATGTCCCATTCCATCATCTGTGAAGCAGCAGACGTCGCCCAAATATCACTGTTGCTGCCGGCTCCAAGGCCTGAACTGAGCCATTCCGGTTCCACACGTGTAGAGCTCCAAGTAGAGGGGACGCTAGACCAGCTGCCCATAGGATCTCTTGACGAAGTGCCAAGCTCAGCTAGCGAATCCCTGTCGAAGTTTATTGGAAGTGAGTATGGTGGTCGTTGTAGTGAGATATGAAACGTACTTGGCTAAGGCGTCCAACTCTGTGACGCGTTGCGTCAGGCGACAGGAGCGTCGTGTGGTGGCGTGGACGCGCGAAAGTACCTCTGCCGCCTTCCTCAACCGGAGGGACAACTCCAGGATCGTCGCATATGCTGCCGGATCATGCAGACATCCACAATGCTCGACGTGTCTGGCGTCAGCGCACTTGCCCTCGATGCGTGGACCGAGCAGCGTCGACAGATCGTTAGCTATCCACTGGGCTGTGAAGTCCTCGGAGGAGAACGTCGGTGGTGGGTGCCTAGTGCCTAAAGTCTCGTTGCCGATGAAGGATATGACGAGCTCGTCCATGGGGCTGGGCATGGAGGATATCGACGGCGATCCCACAGTGCAAGGCGACGTGCTTAGGGGCGGCGTGCGCGAGGCCTCGCTGCCATCCATGGACCGGCCTTCGAGGCCATCCGGCGTCACAGGTGTGGGAGGCCCGTCGAGAGCTATGCATGACTCGCTCGTCTGTGAATCGGTACGAGGACGACGAGGCTGAGGCTTATTCTTCAACTGGAAAGAGTTGAGCGATGAGAGCGAGGTCAATGCGCTGACGGACGAACCTCTCGAATGACGCCCTCCAGCTCTGCGACTCGCTTCAAAAGCCGAGCGTTCTCGTCCGACTCAGCTCGTTGGGCTGGGTCGTCAACCTCGTACACGCAATGCCCAGTCTATATTCGATAAGCCAACTGCCCTGTACTTTGGCCAGCCCACTTACCAGCCCGAGTTGTGTACAGCGCCCGCACGCCGGACGCTTCCTGTCGCACTGAAACAGCCCTCAGCAGAGCCCTCGAAGACAGTCATCCAACTCACCATCCTCTTTGAGGTATGGCAATTGAGGCAGGATTGCGTCGTACGGTTCCGCCGCCTATGGACCATCATGAGTGAAGAGTTCATGCACCGGGAGGAGACCCTACTTCTTCCTGTGGTCGCCCTCGGCAGGCGTCTCAGTCGACGCGACACGTTTCTTGGACTCCTGCTGCTGAGCGCCTTCGATAGTCGACATGGTGGGAGAAGTGGGATAGACGCACTTCTTGACACGCAGGTAGCAGGTATATAAACGAGCATCCGCAATTCAGGGCTTGGCAGCTATCCCATAGAGCGGATCAGCTATTGCGCAGGCGAATGGAGCGAACAGATAGAAGCTAGCCACATACGTGCAGACGTCTCGTTCTCATCAAGTACGGACCGAGTGGAAGGTTCAAACGGTCCCAGGGGTACAGTACCCGGGATTCTGGGTGGCACCCCCAAACTACATCTGGCCTGGCAATCATTGTCAACAGCCACATGCGCTCCGCATTCCAGAAGAGGGAAGGAAGATCGAGGACCTCACTTTGGGTGCGCGCCGCAACATGCATGGCTATAACCCGGCTCGACCGGCTTCGGATTATCGTGAAGGGGACTATCGCTACAGGAATATTTTCCATGGTGAAGATTGGGCTCGGACCCGATCTCTATCTCATCTGTGTGCGAGCAGGAGGCGATATGAAGGTGTCGCTGTTGATGGCCAATCAGTCTTGTTTCGCAGAAACGAATGAAAGCCTTGTTGGATTGTACGTACGAATTACCAGCGAGGCTAGCGAGGGGTGCTGCGGCTATAGTTCGGTGTACTTGTACCGATCCACGACGTCTCTGCGGTAGTGACAGGTAAGGCAGGGCAGATTGACCTTTCGCTGGTTCTCACAGTGACCGCAAAGGGCCACGATATGGCGACAAACTTACTCGGCTCTTGATCGGAGAACGTGCCCTGGCCCAAGTTCGCTTGGCACAGAGTGCTCCTCGAGAACAATGTTCACGAGGAGGGGCAAGCAACTGGCCTGCTCGAAGCTTGGCACGGCCCATTATGCTCACCGTCTCGGCATCACCCCACGCGAAACCTTCTTCTCTACACCGGGCCGTCTCAGATGTATGTCCGTCTTCGATATCCATACGTCCATGCCACGATGGGTAACAGTCCCCAGCGAAGTGGCAAGCGGAAGGAAGTGGGGAAACAGCGGCGCTGGGAGGTCCTCGTCGAGCCTGCGGCGGCTTGGCGTCGAAGAACATCAACCGCGGCCCCCCGAGTGACGACACGCGAGCGCGGTGACTGAACAGGTGCTTGTCAAAGGACCGAGCGCTTGTACGAATGTTCGAAGATAATCGGGCGGAGAGAGCTGCGGAGAGGTCCGTGAGTAGCGGCGCCTTCGCCAAGTCAGGCCCATTCGACGTCCGTTTGTGATATGGTGACGCCATCTAGTCGGGGGGCCGTTAGGTCCATCGAAATTGTAATGTGCTCGCGAGCCGGAAATCTACTTTTGTCAACAAACGATAATGGGAGCAGATCTAACTTAGATCTCACCGATGATAGTCCCCGAGATGCTACTGTCAGAACATACCATATATCTCTCCCGAGTGCGCACGCAGCGGAGGGCTCGGATGATATGGAGCACGCCTGTAACCGGCTCCTGCGCGGTCGGGGTGGCCAAAGAGGCTGAGACCACGTCTGACACCGTTCAGATAGCGTGCGGCAGTGGCAAAGCCCGACGTTTGGGTAGCCGTAGACACCCACTTGGCGCAACGATAGGATTTGCAAGATTTGCGCACGAGGCCGGTGATAATTAACGGAGAGTTCTGCAGACCGAGTCTTGCTCTGGGTGACATCAGGCATCCGTCAGTGAAGCCGAACGACGCTAAACCAGAAGAGTTAGCCAACTGACGAAGATGGGTACAATTGAGCTTCCATACCCGAGCAGTTATCATGCATATGGACGATACGCTGCCATCGCGCGGCCGTTTCGGTCATCAACCAGCCACTGGAGCTTTCACGACAATGCACCTTGCCAGTCTTGTCCGAGGACGATGTCGTGCCGACGACCGAGAGAGTAGAAACAGCAGATATGATAGATAGCTATGTTAGATTGGCACTGACTTATCATACATTGCGCACTACGCGAAGGCGCTCCCTAATCCGCTCAGTAGCGTCAACCACCATGCACGGTATAGCGTCTGAATTCCTTCCTCGTCCACCATTCGCTTTGCGCAGTCGACCAGTCCGACGTACGGATCGGCTTCGTGGCGCAAACTTAGGTGATAAAATAAGCGAAAGGGGAACTATGGGTCATTGCCTCTACTCACCCAATAACGTCCTCCTCGACACCAGCGAGATCGACTTCCTCCGCATCGCCCTCGACTTCTTGGGCGACCGAGTTGTACTCCGCCGACGCATGATTACGCTGGATAGCCAGACGAGTAGAGATGACCTCGAGAGGCGCCAGAACACCCGTACTCAGGAGGACGACCACGCAATAGATTCCAAACTTGACGGGGGAGAAATCCTCGCCAAGACCGGGTGTGTTAGGAACGAGCCAGCGCTGCAGAGGGCCCAGGAAGAGGACAACAACAGCTATGTGTAGAGCCTGCGCAGCAAGCAGACCCGGAGTCAAGTATAGAATCCAGGGACGCGAACGCTCCGTGGGCGTCAATAGCACGCGAAGGGATTTGATAGGCTGCAGCCAAGGGAGCTTGTAAGGTGTAGTGACAGCGCTATGAGAGGGTCAGTTAGTTAAGGGGTTAAAGATCGGAGACGGCAAGGCTGACCGGCAAGTGAGGATGGCGCTAGGTAGAGATATGAGCATGTTCCCAAAGCTGTAGATTAGTGTCCCAATGATGCCGACGTCGGGTGCCCGGTAGTGCCCCGCACCAGGACGAGGCGCATCGGCGAAGAGGATGAGGCCGACAGTGATCATCGAAGTCGTGAGGAAGGTGGGCACTTTCGCAGGATCGGTAAGTGCATTCGGGGGCGTCAATGTAATGCTCACTGAAGCCTTTGTAAAGACCAGCCCATCCCTGGGATATATGAGTATCATAGCGGACACGCATGCAAGCAACACACCTCAATCCGCCAGACACGGGCCAACATCGCGAAGTAGTTGTTGATCACTAGATGGTCTCGTCAGATGCGAAGCTGGAACAACATGGTTACACATACCTGGCCCGGTGTAAGGGGTAGCCCCGCCCTCAGAGTCCAAGTTCAGCGCCTTGGGATTGTAGTTCGCCCTGCGAATGCGTCAGACCACCGTAAGCGCCCGAGTTCCCCTCCTCGAACGCACCGGTATCGGATAAGTATGCCACTGAGGGGCACGACAACCGCTAGGCTGACCGCCAGAGAGACGATCAGCGCAAGCAAGTCCAGAAAAGCCATGAACATGATCGCAGGAAGCAGGCGGGAACACGCAACTGTGCCGCAGCGTCGCCGACAATGACCAAGGGGCAGTACGACACGACGCCACAAACGGCCCGGAAAGGGTTGCCGACGTCAGCAGCCTGCGCCGCGCCCCAGCCGAGGGTCCGTGCGCACGGCATTTGCCGGGGCGAGAGTGCACGGCGAGAAACGCCAGGCCCTCCTTCCTCCCAACCGCCACGTCGTCAGGCAGGCAGCCCTTCGACCGTCGCGCTCGCCCCAACCCGTTGGCTTTTTCGCCGTTTCTTTTTGCTTCTTCAACATGTTTTCTCGACCTTCAGTGAGCTACGCGTAGTGGCTGTCGTGCCCCGCACCAACGCGAGCAGAGGCGCATCGATGAGAGGCGAAAATTTTCGTCAACAGGCAAGGTGTGTTTTCTTGCGGTTTTTGGGTCATTTTCCTCAGGCGCACTTCACTGATGCTTCTCGTAGTCTGTAAGGCCCTCTGGACATGCCACCCTTCCTGCTTTGCGATATGTCGATGCTTGGGGCGACGCGCGGACCTACTGCTGAGCTTCGAATTCTCCTCATGGGAAAATTTGTAGGAGCCTCCGCACACTCTTCTATGTCTTCAGAAGACAAGCTATCTGTGTCTACTTTGCATCGCCTGCTTGGGCAAGCAACGCGGATGTATCGTGACCAGGTGCGTTTGGCTGTTCTCGCTTGCAAGTTTGAGTGGCAATTGACGCCCTCCGTCCCTGCAGACTCATCGACTCCCACCAATTCATCTAGGTTTCTGGTCCTGAAAACGCGTAGCGTCAAGCCTTGTTCTTGAGCGCTCTCAGCTTGCGAATCCACAATGCACGGAGCGACGTACGAGGAAGTCGAGGGGCCATGCCACATCGGTCGACTTCCTACACTTGCTACACAGCAACAACGCTGTACGTATAGGTCAGCGGCTCAGCAAACGACTCTGCCAATCTAAAGGGCATTGACCACCGCCGTTCACGAGAATTCGTCTATCGGTCTTTTGCCAGGTTGTCCGACTTCGCCTCTCTTTTCTCACCAGGAATGCGATGCCCTCCGTGGCGGTACTTCACAACAGATGCTCAAGGGGACGCTCTTGTCAATCATAGCTTTTGCCCTTCCGCCCGTACCACCCTTTCTATCGGTGGTATGCAGTGTTCGTCGTACCGATGCCAGCTTGGGCGTCGCTGTACTTGGGCTTCGACGGATGTACTGGCAGGGGTTTTTCTTGCGACGATGGATATTTCCAACTATGCTACCCTTTGGCGTAGCGTATACTCTACTATATGCGCATGCTTCATGCACCATATGTCCGACAGCTTCAACGCTTTCATGTTATATCGTCCTGCACTGTCGCGGTCAAGTCAGTTATCGCACATCGTCGCCCGTGCCGTCTTCAGCCTCGCCCAATTGCTGTCCTGCAAGTTCCCTGACAAGATTTGCAGAGGTGCGTCCCGCCCATGCTCATGTTGACGATGGGCCTACGAAGCTCAATGCACTCGTATCCTTCATTATTCCCAGGTCTTGTTCGTCGCCGGGCCTGCTGTCGGTCGCGTCCTGGTACTCTCCGATGGTGTCCGTTATTGACCTCATCTACTTTTTCCCTTCCACTGCAGGTCATATCGTCAGTGTTCATCACCTACTACCGTATGCTACATGTGTTGCGCTTGTACATGTATTGTGCGAATATCAGAGCTGCTTGTTTGGTTCTTGTCTGCACTTGTTTGACACCGCTTTGCACTTGCCCTTGACCACGACGTGAGTTGGCGGTCGGAATCGAAAGCGTCAGCCTATCCATAGTCAATCCTCGAGTAATATCCCCAGCCTTACCACGACGATAAGACGTCTCTTGAGCGCTGTCGACGATGTCTGGATTCGTGGACGCTGCGCTCAACAAGGTGCGAAATTTTCCGCATTGCGTTTGACAATGACTGAAGTGGCCGGCGTTTGTAGAGGAACGCTCTTGCGGGCCTCAAATTCAAACGCAACAATCCATCTAACAAACCTTCAACGTCCTCAGCGACAACACCGGCGATGCCTGCACCCCAGTCGCACGCCGTCAACGGCAGCCCGCCTGCCCAGTCCCGCGACGGGAGCGCACCGTCGCGGTACTTTGCCCCGAATAGTGTCTACCCTGCATTCGGCAATGTCCTCGTCCCCAACTCGAGCCCCATCGCGCCATCGCATTCGCACAACGCGCACAACACGCCCGGCAGCACCGCTGACGTGGCAGTCGCCCTCCAAGATGTTCACCCCCGCCCACCGTCTTCGATCATCTCCGCGACCTCCCCACCCTCCCTCGAACGCTCCTCAAGCGACGGCGCCGGGCAGCGGCGTCAGAGGGACAAGTCCGCTGCTGGCGACGTCGGCGACGAGCCTCCTCGCAAGCGTATAAACCGCGGCCCCGTCGACGACGCGCCGGGCGCTTCATCACCTGAATCCCCAGCGATTCGCGGCCCGGGCAACCGGAGGCGCATGGCGCCCCCGGGATCGCCTTCGTCGTCCGAGGAATCTCTCGTCGATCCTGTCAAGGTCCTTGTCAATGCCGCCAGCCATCCCCCCGCACCCGCGCCCGCGCCACCATCTACTACCACTTCCGCCCCCACTCCCGCGTCATCCGCGGCGACGCCCTCCCCCGCCGAAGCTGCCTACACGCGATTCAAGATCACGCAGCCCCTACACCCCGAGCCCCTCGTCCGTGCTGCTTGGATACAGTCAAAGGAAGATGTGCGCGCGGCGTCGAACATGCTCAATGATCAGGTTTGGATCGACAGGCAGTCGCGCCCGGCTCAGCCGCGGGCACCGCCCGCAACGAGCAAGCCGACGTCCGTAGCCGTCTCGAACAAAGCCAACAAGAAGTCGGCCATCTACGCACACCGTCCCGCCGTTCAGGCTCCTGCCCCGCTCGCGTTGGCCGCGTCGACCTCCACATCCTCGATGAAGTCCACGCCCAAGGCAACTCCCAAAGCGGCCACGACAGCTGAAGTCCCGCCCTCCCCCGCCGTTGCTCCGCCCCGGAAGCGCAAGATGGTCATTGAGGACTCGGATGAGTCTGACTTCAACGACTCAGACAGTGATGTGGAGGAGTCCGTCGATGAAGCGGAGATTCGCGCATTGAGTTTCTTCAACTCTGCGTCAGTGGACGTTCTGCAGGAGATGACCGGTATGTATCTACCTTTTCCGTCAGGTGTATTGTGCTCATAAGGGATGTAGGTTGCACGCCGATCCAAGCAGACAAGATCGTTGAGCTTCGGCCTTTCGACACGGTCGACGATCTGACTACGAAGCTCAACCAAGGAGCTCGTCGCGCGGGCCCCGCGGGACTTAGCCCGAAGGTCTTCAGCGATACCGTTGCGGTCTATCAGGGCTACGGCAGCTTCGACACTGTCCTGGATAGCATCGACAGCTTAGGCGCAAAGCTCAAGGCCGTCATCAACTCCTGGGCGCTCAAAGGCGACGGTGATGCTGCCAATGCGGAGGCACAGGATGACGGAGCGCTCAACCTGCAGACCTTCGATGCCGCTAATGCCAAGGACGAGCACTTCATCGCGAAGCAGCCGAGCCTGGTCTCGGACGAGATCGTGTTGAAGGACTACCAGTTGCTCGGCATCAACTGGCTCAATCTCATGCATCGCAAGGGGCATGGGTGCATCCTCGCCGACGAGATGGGTACGTACTCGGTTTCATATATCTCTGCATTATATTCACCGTCTTCCAGGTCTTGGCAAGACTTGCCAGGTCATCAGCTTCCTCGCTCATCTGAAGGAGAAGGGGAACACAGGCCCGCACCTCATCATCGTGCCGTCCTCGACGCTTGAGAACTGGTGTCGAGAGTTTGATCGTTTTGCCCCTAGCATCAAGTGGGTCACCTACTACGACGACCAGAAGACACGCGAGAAGTTGCGCATGGACTTGCGTGATGATGACGGGAGTCCGTACGGTTGGGAGGTCCTCATCACCACGTACGACCTCGCCTGCGGCAACAGCAAGGATTCCAAGTTCCTCCGCAAGTTCGACTGGGAAGTGAGTAGCTTCACTCTACCCACCCGTTCGCGGGTCTAACGTCTGTCCAGTGCTTCGTTTGCGACGAAGGCCATTCTTTGAAGAACTTCAAGTCGAGACGCTACGGAGAGCTGATGAAGATCAACCCGAAGTGGCGTCTGCTTTTGACCGGCACCCCCCTTCAGAACAACTTGCAAGAGCTTGCAGTACGTTGCCGTCGCTGTGTCTATTCCCATCGGCTAACCCGGTCGACAGTCTATCATGAATTTCATCATCCCGGAGAAAATCGGCCCAGTCCTTGACAAGATGCGCGCAATCTTCAAGACGACATCCACTGTCACCCTACTGTCCCAGGAGCGCATCACGCGTGCCCACAAGATGGTCACGCCCTTCGTCCTCCGCCGGAAGAAGAAAGAGGTACGCGCATTCATATACCGGCAACAATAGCTTCTGACCAACGTCGCTCTAGGTCTTGAAGGATCTGCCCGAAAAGCACGAGCGTGTAGAGTGGTGCGACATGGTTGAGTCTCAGCGGGAGATCTACGCGGAGGCCGTCCGCCGGTCGCGCAAGTCCATCCAAGAAGTCCAAGACGAGGCCGAGGAGAAGCAGAAGGAGGCCAAAGCGAAGGGCAAGAAGTCGGCGGGTGTCAGCAAGGTTACTAGCGCCCACGTCTTGATGGACTTGCGGAAAGCAGCGTCGCACCCGATGCTCTTCCGCAGGCTGTTCACGGAGGAGATGCTTCGCCCCATCGCTGTCGCCCTCATGTCGGACCCGTGGTATGCGAAGCGCTACCAGGGGAACGTCACCTATCTGGCCGAGGACTGCGCGTTGATGTCCGACTCTGAGTTGCAGCATAACTGCTTCAACGCAAAATGCAAGGTATGTGGTTTGTTAATGCCGTTGTCGCATGAGTATTGACGAGTTTACAGAAGGCACCGTCGTTCTGTCTAGACGATGCGTACTATTATGACTCCGGTAAAATACAGACGCTGCTGCGCTTGCTTGAGGGGTACATAGGCGAGAAGCGCAAGGTGTTGATATTCTCTCAGGTGAGTTTTGCGACGCGCGCTCCGCATAACTGAGGCTCACACGTCGCTTCAGTTCACACAAGTCCTCGACATTCTTGTCAGGGTCCTCCAACTCAAGGAGATCACGTACAGGATTCTCACCGGGTCTACCCCCGTCGACGAACGACAAGTCTTGGTAGACGAGTTCAACGAGAATGAGGACCTATCTGTCTTCCTTCTGTCGACGAAGGCAGGCGGCATGGGCATCAACCTCACCGCCGCCTCCGTCGTCATCCTTTTCGACCAGGACTTCAACCCGCACAACGACCGGCAGGCGCAGGACCGCGCGTACCGCATCGGCCAGACGCGCGACGTCGACGTGGTCAAGCTCATCACGCGCGGAACCATCGAGGAGGACATGCTGCGTCTCGCGCAGACCAAGCTCGCGCTCGACGAGGCCGTCGCGGGCGATGTCGACGATGAGAAGGGCGAGAGCGCCGTCGCTCGGGAGATGAAGCAGAGCTTGCTGTCCATGCTGCGCAAGCAGTGCTCGCCGGAGCCGTCGACGGCTACGACTCCGTCCGCCGTCTCGCCGAAGGTGGATACGCCGCCGAAGGAAAAGGCCGACAAGGAGGGCGAGGGCGAGAAGTCCGAGGCGGAGAAGACGAAGAAGCGGAAGGGGAGGGAGGAAGAGCCCGAGCCCGAGAAGATGAAGAAGAGGAAGGGCCGGGAGGAGGACGAGGAGGAGGAGGCGAAGCCTGCGAGGTCGTCGATCGCGGCCTCCAAGCGCAAGCGGATCGTGGACGAAGATGAGGACGAAGACGCGCCGCGGACGACTCGGTCCAACCCAGTTAAGGCGGCCGCGAAGGAGAAGGAGTCCTCCCGGTCCTCGTCGTCACGGTCCTCCCCTCGGAAGGAGCGAGCAGCAGCACCGTCGAAGACGCCGGCTGCTCGTAAGGAACGACCAGGTCCGCCGACGCGGTCGTCATCTTCTCGGTCTTCATCGCGAAGATAGTCGGCCGCGTTGCACTGGTTTCGGTCAGGACGGAATCGGTACGGGACTACAGGGGCCCGTTGTATCTTTATTAGAGTATAATTGCTTTGTTTCCCTTTGCTATCTGTTTCTCGTTTGTCTCCTCGTCTCCTCACTCGCATCTGCTCCTGCGCATATAAGCTTTGCATAGCTACCTCGTACATACGATACATATATTCGCGGAATTGCGCGTAGATACTTGCTCTGTATCCTAGCGCGGCTTAGTTTACTGTCAATGCTACTTGGTCGCGCGCCCGGAGCCAACGCGGGCTTCGGTGCTGCAGTTCTCCATTCACGACGTCGCAGTAGCGATGCACTGCGAGGGCGTAGGGATCCATATCCAGCCAGGCTGTCATTCATGGAGATAGCCCTCGATGCGCCACTCGAGCACGAACGGCCTTCCGGTGACGTTATCGCAATCTAGGACATCTGCGCAGCTTGGACCACCGAGCAGTGCACCTTCGTCCCGCCCTTCATCTCTACCCGACATGCCGCCCGCAGAATTCTCCCTCAGACTCCAGCACGGTGAGCTAAGGCCCCCCTCCGACGCGATAGGTCGCTCAGACAGCATCCAGGCATCACCGGCGGGTTCGCGCCACCCACGCCGAACGCCATCCACACCCTTACGCGCCCCCTGAACCAAACGACGCTTGCCGTCACGAGCGCGATCCGCCCTGAGGGGACGCCGAGCCTGCAGGATGCGGTGCCCAAGCAGCTCAATGCCGAGGACGCGCACACGACGCAGCTCCTGGACGAGCTGCACGGGATCCTGAAGTCGATCCCGACCGAGCAGCCGCCGGGTAGCGAGGACATCTACGGCCTGGACACGAGCATCGCGTGGGGGAGCGACGATCTGATGTGGTGTAACGGTGGCCCGTCGGGCTGTGGGGGCGGGGAGTCTTTTGTGAAGCCTACTGAGGAGGAGAAGGCCAAGTTCAAGCGCGCGGTGGAGATTGTGAAGGAGCTGGTGGACAAGCCACAGTAGTAAAGCGAAATCGGAAGTTAGGATGGATCTGTGATTGGTGGATGTGAGCTCTGTAATACTATCTGGATAACTTTCTCGACGACGATGAGCGAAGACAATGAATGGCAGGCTGGGCGTGAGCGAACAAGTGAGATCAAATCCGGTTCAATGCACTCCACGTGGTTCGTATATTGCGCTTTGACCGGGGTCACCGTTCGCGTCGCGCGGTCACCCACTCAAGATGACAATCCACAGTCTGTACATCTACGACAGGTAGGAGCGGTTGCTGGTATATTAGTGACGCGTATTTTAACGAAACAGGCACTGCGCATGCGTGTACTACCAGGATTGGCACAGGACGAGGCGACCCAAACCTGCAGCTGACGGTGGCCTGATGCCCGGCGTCTGTGCCGCGATGTCCGCCTCCGCATCTGCAGCAGAAGCTGCATCAAGCAACGCTCTCGCAGCCGCCTTTGGTAGCCCTCGTAACTCACTCTTGTCGACCTCTGGCGTTGTCGTTGCGGTCAACGAGGCGAGGTCACCGCTCCTTCCACCGACGGCCTCTCCTGCCGTTGCCCAGCAACCTCCTGGCGTCACCAGCACGGGCTTGCCTTTCGACGAGGAGGCTAAACTCGTCTATGGTGTCATTATTTCCCTGCGGAATATGGTCAAGAAGCTATCTGGCAAGTGAGTACCGCCTTAATTCTCGCTGTCGCCAGTACTAACATATGCAGGGACGAGCAATTCACTGCCTACAGGACGTCTGCGTACAGGCTGCATCTGTTCGAGACCGCCTCTGGGTAAGGTCACTTCGCTGGTGGCTAGTGCATCGCAGTGGCTGACGACACGTTCAGCTACAAGTTCGTCATGCTCTCAGACCCCGCGACGGATTCTTTGCGCTTCGTTATGCGGCAGATATACGTGGGGCCCTTCCTCGACTACGTCGTTCGCAATCCGCTCGTTGCGATGGACTCGAAGGAACATGGTATTGATAATGAATACTTCAGGATGGCGGTGGATCGTATGATTCGCGGGCTTAGTGTCTTTCAGTAAAAACGATAGAAAAATCCAAGAAAGAGGTCGTATCAGACTGTGAGCGGAGTAAAGAAGATACTGGTACAACAGGAAAGGGCATTTTCAAAACAGCGCATCATCACCCCTCCTACACTCACAACACTGCCTAGCTAACAAGCGGCGCACCAACCTCTCCATAACCTCATAACTAGCCTCGCTCACTATATCCTCCATCCACCCCGTATCGTCTTCCGAGTCCGGCATGATCTCGGTAAGATCTCCCGACAGCATCGTCGACATCAGGCGCGCCCGCCAGCGCCTCCCAAATGCGCACACAACGAGCGTGCACCCCTTCCCGCTGGACGGGCTGGGCAGATAGGGCGCGATCTCGGCGTGCGCGTCGAGCGTGAGCGCGAGGGATTCGGCGCGCACCATATCAGAGTCGAATGTGTCGGGCTCGAAGAGCTTGATGAAGGCGATGGGCTCGCCCTCAGGAAAGTTCCCCACCTCGTGGCTGTAGGAGTAGTACGAGTTACTGAGCAGGTCTGGGTGCTCGCCTACGGTGCACGTGTAGGTGTGCCGGCGCGTGACGGCGAGGTCAAGCGTGGAGCCGCCGTAGGGTACGGGCAGGTAGCGCGCGATGGAGAAATCAGGGAACCAGTGGTAGAGGATAGCCTCGTAAAGGGAGAAGGAGGTACCCATGCTATCTGCGAGGTCTTCGGCGATGATGTCGCCTAGGGCGGCGTCGACCGAGGGTAGTGAGTTAGAGCATAGTAGTGCGTATTGTTGGATGAGGAGTGGGTATGGGCTGTGAGGTGTAGTCTGTTGTTCCTCGCTCAAGGAGGCATCTGATGAAGCAGGAGAATGAGGCGCTGCAGTGGGCGAATTTGCATACGAGGGTGGTTCGAGTGGAAGAGACGCTGTATCGCGCGCATCTTGGACTGCAGAAACGGTCAGTATACGCTCAACCGAGCGTACCGAGACCAACGTACTGATGATGAGATGCTCCTTCGTCTGTGCAGGCGCAGGGATATGCATCGTCGTCCTATGGCCAACCTCTGAGGGTCAGCTCCGCCGTTCAGAAGAGGGAAACTACACGGCTGTGAGGAGCGTGGCCGTCAATGGCCGCCTTGCGACCTGCGATCTCGGTGGCGGTGTCTCGACATTCTCATCATTGAGTACGTCTCGTGCTCATGGGCGCTTAGCGAGTTGTTGGCGCCCGTAGACGCCTGCTATTCCGGTTCGAGTTCAATTCAGCTCAGGTAGATATCCTCTTGACCGAGGAGAATAATGCATCGTCAACGAGAGCTACCAGGGCTCTATGGTCACGAATGGCTGCAGTAGTGAATTGTCAAGGCGAAGTCAAGCGCGACACGTGGAAAGGAGCTCTCGGCAACGGCCGCCGCGAGGACCCACTTGGCCCTAACCTCCATGTTGATATTTCCAGCAAAGTCTCTCAGCGTCCAATACACCAAATCCGAGTCTCGAATATGCTAGAAAATTCACTGTCACTCCGGTGCCCATCTGAGCCGTCTCCCAGCAACCGCACTCGGCGTCCTCGCGTTCCTGCAACGCTGCCGCATTCAATTTCTTGGCCATGGTCTTGGGTTCCTGATTGTCCCATCGTTCAAGTCTGCCTCTCGGTATTTCCGAGGGCTTGACCCCCGGCTAGGCTCTTCGTGCCAAGCGACGGCTACGATACCCCAAGCAGACGGCAACACTGTACCAAGCAGACGTCCACGTTATACCAAGCGTCGTGCCACATCAATCGTGACATTTACCCGCCGGACTGTCGAGGGATGCATCCCCGCGGCACGCTTGGGTGCTGGGCGCCGATCAGGCCGTCTCCGGGCTTGGGTAGTTTATAAGGGCACGCCGGAATGAGTGTGCCCCTTACGCTCTCCGCTTGTCTGCCTGCCCCTCGCTCCATCCGCTTCTCCGTCTCTTACGCCGTCCGCGGCTGACTCCCCGTGAATTCTGTGAACCTCCGCTGTCCCTCGTTCTGCCGCTCGTTTTGTTTGTATAACACAACACGCCATGTCCGCCGGAGGACCCCCACTACCACTGCCGCAGAAGCACTTGCAGGCAGCCAGACACCGAACGGTGCGTGACTTCCATATACTCCACTGCAGGATCACTAATTATCAATGTAGTTGAACCCACCATCCACGCCTCTCCTTCGCCCGCGAGATTCAGAATCGCATGCATCCGATAAAGTGCGTGCTTACCCAACACCACCGGCCAATCGCATGCTCACGCCCTCCTAGTTCGCCTTCCCCTACGACCCCCTCGACTGGGGCTCCACACTAGACCTCGGCAGTCAGGAGCCCGACGACTGGCTGCACAACCCCGACCCCCGCCGAGACCGCCAGGTCGACAACGACATCAACATATTCACTAGCCGTGGACTCACCAACCTGGGCTGCCTCGTGGTTCTTGTCATTGCCATGGTCGGGCTGTTGTGCGTCTGCTTGCCCTTCTTTTCCCCTTGTCTTTCCTTTGGCATCGCATCCCGAACTCACGGGCCACAAACAGCGCGGGGTATCCCATGGCCTCTGCTTTGACCAAGACGAATCAATCGAATAACGGCGGTTTTAACTTGGGTGGTGTGTACTGTGGAAATTGCTTAGGTCACAGCAGACACTGACTTCTTCCCATCACAGGAATCAACGGTACCGGCCAAGTACCCGAGATCCCAGGCAATTACGGCCTGATAGACAAGGACACGCCCGCCGACGCCATGACCTGGACGCCCATCACTGGCCAAGGGGAGTGGCAGCTCGTCTTCAGCGACGAGTTTGAGACGGAGGATCGCACTTTCTACCCCGGAGACGATCCTTATTGGGAGGCTGTGGACTTGCATTACTGGGGTGTGAGTGGCCACAACGTGGCTCTTTTCTACTTAAGCTGATGTCGTTCGTGCAGACAAACAACATGGAGTGGTACGACCCCTCCGCCATTACCACCAAGAACGGCGCGCTTGAGATCACACTCTCCGACCATCCAACGAAGGGCATGGATTATACGGTACGCGTCTGATCTCAGTAGATTTTGACAGCCTCACCGATCATTTGTGCTCGACAGGGCGGCATGATGTCGACCTGGAACAAGTTCTGCTTTACCGGAGGCGCCTTCCTCGCCTCCGTCACCCTCCCAGGCTCGCCCAGCGTCGCAGGCCTATGGCCCGCCGTCTGGGCCATGGGCAACCTCGGACGCGCGGGATACGGTGCTTCCCTCGACGGGATGTGGCCGGTCCGCATCTCCCTCTTCTACCCAATCTTTGCATAGCTAACGTGGGATCACGCAGTACACCTACGACTCCTGCGACGTCGGTACCCTGCCCAATCAAACCACGCCAGACGGTCTTCCAATAGCCGCAACTATCAATGGCGACGAGGCTGCGGACGGCGTTCTGTCCTACCTTCCGGGCCAGAAGCTCTCGCGCTGCACTTGCCCTGGGGAGGAGCACCCTGGCCCCATGCATGCTGACGGGACGTACGTAGGCCGCGCGGCGCCGGAGATCGATGTTCTTGAGGCTCAGGTGCGATAGATCTTTTGAAGGCACATTGGTCTGAATGCTAATCGCTGGGCAGGTCGCGCAAGGCCCAAATGGACGAATGGTGCACGACGTATCGCAGTCATTGCAGCTCGCGCCGTTTAATGAGGCCTATACATGGTTTAACACCTCAGAGACGCTTATCATCCCGAATGCGACGATGTCGTCGCTGAATGGCTACAAGGGTGGGGTTAGCCTGGTCATCATCCTATTCGTGTCTTTTAATCCTCGCAGGCGGTCGATATCAGCAAGCCGCGTCCGTGATCTCGCACACCAATGCGAACTGCTACGAGTTCGACGGTACTGCGTGCTTCAGCCTCTACGGGTGAGCAGATAACAGCAGTCATGCGTATTGAAAATCGCTCAACAATCTCAACCAGCTTCGAATACAAACCCGGCTTCGACGACGCGTATGTGACATGGCTCAACGACGGGCAGCACGCCTGGACAATTACCTCAGGTGGGCTTGCGCCTGATCCTGCTGTGGAGATCGGAGCGCGGCCCGTTCCTCAGGAGCCCATGTACATGATTTTGAACTTGGGTGAGTTTTGTGTCGTTCAACGCGTCTGTCGTGTTAATTGACGGAAACTAGGTCTCTCTGAGAACTTCGGCTTCGTGGACGTCCAGAACCTCATCTTCCCCACGAAGATGCGCGTGGATTGGGTCCGAGTATATCAACCACCAGACGCTATCAACATAGGGTGCGACCCAGCAGACTTCCCAACTGCTGCGTACATCGAGCGCTTCCCCGAAGCTTGTAAGCCTCCCGCTTCCGCCGCGCTACTCGTAGCACAAGCTAACATGTGTAACCTCGCAGACAGCAACCCGAACTTGACGTGAGTAGACTGGGTCTGATCCTGTAGCCGCACTAACAATTGTGTAGAACATGGATAGACGACTACAAGCAAGTCTTCCCGAAGAACAAACTGGTGGATCAATGCTGAGGGGAGTGCTCATGCTAGATAGGGAGCACTCTGGGTTCCCGGGGGTCTCAGGGTATATGCATAGTGTATTTTATATCTAATCAGTGATTGTCTATCCGAAGGACACTTTTGGTGGTTGTACTTTCTGTCATTGGTCGCTGACGTCAAAGTTCAACCAATCACGGGAATGTCACATGATCCGCTTGGTGATAAACGTGATCGGATTGAACCTTGGTCTCACCCAGATCTGAAGTCTCGGACCGCCGCAATTTTAGCCTTTCGTTCTACTTTGCTCAAACTAGCTTCTGGATCAGGCATATCTATCTTGCGACTATCTTTTCTCTGCTGGATTCTGAGAAGGACTCGCCCAGCGTAACTTGCGAATCGCGACCCATGGACGAACTCCAGCTGTGCCATGACTGCAGCCGGACGCCAGCCGCCGCCGATCTCTGCCCAACCAGGCGGAGCCCTATTGCGTTGCGATGCTGCAACTTCTTTTGTCGCGCCTCATCGCAAGATGATTGAGTCTACCCACCCAAGTCTCAACCTCGCCGCCTGTCTTGATTCGTCCCCACAGCCTTACCAACTGCAGTAGGCTTACTCGGGCGACGGGGTCGATATAGGGTCTTCTCAGACTCGACGGATCGCTGAGACGCCACTCGTACTGACACCCGGGGAGCCCCCGACGACGCGCATATATAAGCAGGTATCTCCACGGTTGACGCCATCTTTCTGCTCATCCATCTTGCACACCATCATACGCCGTACGCAAACCAGGAGCTTGCACGCAAACAATAAACGCGTCTCTCTCAGCCAACTACCAATACAGTGAGAACCCCGCGCGTACGCGTTCTACACAGCGCTGACATACTGCCAGAAATGCGGTCAACCAGTGTTCTCGCAGTCCTCACTGCCATCGCACTTCCCGCCCTCAGCGCACCTGCAGTTGCGTCCCCACGAGACGTGAAAGCCATCATCTCCGGCGGCATCAGCTTTAGCGAGGACAGTGCCTCGACGCCCACTGCAACGGACACGTCCAGCGACGTCGCGGAGGACACCGCGACCCCCACTGGCTTTGGCATCATCGCCAGCAGCGTCATCCCCACCGCGTCCTACGACGAACGCATTTTCAGCTCCCTCCTGGACGTGCTCTCCAGCTTGTCCCCCACTGTCACCGACACCAGCGACGCGTCCGACCCGAGCAGCACCACTGCCGCCTCCGACTGCTCGTCGGGCGTGACCGTCGAGGTCGGCTCAGACGACGACTCAGACGACACCGAGTCCTCGGACTCGGACACGCCGGACGAGCCCGGCCCTGGCGACGCCGCCGACCTCCCCAGCATGGAGGGCGAGCCGCACAACTTCATCAATCGCCGCACGGCGCTCGTATCCGCATCAGGCTCCTGCGACGAGCCGTCTACGACGAGCTCCGCGACGTCCACGAGCGTCGCACCCACGTCGACATCCGAGTCCTTGAGCAACTGCCTGGCCAAGTGCTCGCGCAAGCGCGCCATGGACGAGACGCATGACTGCGTTGACAACTGCTACTCCGTCGTATAGAACCTGGTCGCACATCTGCCGCACCCATTCAGAGGGGTTTACTGGGAGGATCAGATTTGGGTTAGGCCGATAGACTTATAATCTGGCTTGCAAAATAGATATCGAGGCATTGTTCTTGTTCTTTGCTGCTCTCTTCGTGCAATGTTGCGCCTGCGGCACCATACTTCAAACACGGGTTTCATAACCCTGAAGATCTGAGTTAGGTCTTGTTATTCCGCCCTGTACACGTGATCCCACGTTCTCGGAGATATCCGTTTTGCATCACTCTGTGACAGCGCGTAACGCATACGCCTTTCCTCGCGCCGTCCCCTCTCGTTCTCCACTCACCATACCACGCCACATCACGCCGCATCACTTTCCGCCTTCCCGCGTCCCGCCGCGCTCGGTGGCTCTATTTCTCTATATCCTGGATATAGCTATACTACGCTCACAGTAAAAGCCCTCCGCCACCATTGACATCGGGTGGCCGCTCCAAGTGGCTTCTGTACCCCTCAGATCGTGCTGGCGGTTGCCGCACCCGCACATAGTATGATATAGATAGTTAATAGATTCATTATGTTTAACCATGACCTCGATCGCGTACAGTCGCATGCCTTCTCAGTGGCAACAGTGATAGCTAACGTCGGGTGGCAACACCCTGATTGTCTGATTGGAGTTTCCTTCAATGGTCCTATAGTCTGTTCGAGTGTACTTATGGCTAAATAAGCGACAATTGACTGTCTACACTGACTTTAGATATGCGAACCTTTGCCCTTAACGCGGTGGCAACTTTGCCGCTGCAGGACTTGACGGCGTGACGGCGTGAGGCCTACCGGCTTCTCGGCAACGGGTTTGTTTGGAGCACATGGAGTCACGTGTACAGGGCGGAATAACGGCTTGTATCAGAGTTCACAACAAGGTCACCTCGTCGACGTAGTAACACAAAGCCATATACATAAGTAACCAAAGCACGACAGCAGACCATAGCAAAAGCCCATCCAACAAACCTTTCAATCGATTCTGAAGCGCTTCTCGATCGTGTCATTGACCAGCTTGTACCCGTTCGTTGCAAACAACTTCGAGTGCAAGAAAGGCGAGATGTCGTAGATGTCATGCTCCTTCGCCTGTCGAAGTGTCAGTACTAGGTCCACAGGTACGCTGTATAGCCGACATACCTTGTCTTCAAGCTCGGCGACCTTGACAGTGACAAGCTCGGGTGGCTGGCGGCGCTGCAGCTGATAGAAGCGCGCCTTCTCCTTGACAATACCACCAAGCAAGAACGCCAGCAACTCTTCGTGGTCCTTCGACTGCGTCAAGTACTTCCTGAAGCCCTACATCCACCGTTAGCATCACACTCCACTGCACACCCACATCCACCAATCAATCAAACCAGAAAACCTTCACTCACCCTCTGCAACGTCTTCTTAATGCTCATCTTCTGCGCATTAACAAAGCTATTGACCGCCACCTCGATCGCGATGTCGATGTCGTCCGCGCGCACGTACTCCCGAAGCGCCATCTTCGCGCTCGCCTCCGCCATCCGGATCATGCTCTCCAGATGACGCACGGTGATCGGGAAGGAGCCCGTGGCGAGCGACTCGCGGCGGAGGTCGGCGAAGAGGCGCGCAAGCTTCTCCTGGTCGACGTCGTACAGCTTGGGTCGGACCTTCTCGCGGGCGTACATGATGTACTTGCGTAAGATGTCTTGGGGGATGAGCTGCGAGGAGGTCAATGATGAAGGCTGAAAGGGTGAGCATAAGTACTCACGTCTGCATCCAAGGTCGTCGCCACGTCCATCTCATCCGTCGCTTGCTCGAACGCCGGGTGACTACGAAGATGACTCCCGACCACGAACCGCGCCAGCAGCTCGTCCATGACCGGGTCCACCGTATCCTTCACCACGCACAACACATCGAAACGCGACAGAATCGGCTCCGTCAGCTCGACATTCTGCTGGAAGGGCACCGTCGGATTATACCGCCCGCGAATCGGGTTGGCCGCCGCGACAATAGCACAACGCGCCTGCAACGTCGTCACGATGCCCGCCTTCGAAATCGAGATACTCTGCTGCTCCATCGCCTCGTGGATGGACGTCCGGTCCGCGTCGTTCATCTTGTCGAACTCGTCGATGAGGCAGGTGCCCTTGTCGGCGAGGACGAGCGCGCCGCCTTCGAGCGTCCACTCGCGCGTGATGGGGTCCTTGCGGACGCTGGCGGTGAGACCGACGGCGGAGGCCCCCTGACCAGTGGCGAAGACACTACGATGGGCGGTCTTCTCGACATACTTTAGGAACTGCGATTTGGCGGTACCGGGGTCGCCGAGAAGGAGCACGTTGATATCGCCACGAATACGATGCTTGTGGTTCGGGTCCTTGGGTACCCCACCAAATAATGACAAGGCAATGGCGGTCTTGATGTCCTCATGGCCATAGATGGACGGTGCGATGGACTTGATGATGCGTTTCCGGATGCGTTCGTCCTTGGCAAGGTTGCGCATCTCGCGTTCGTCTTCCTCCGTTAACCGGAACGCCGAGAAAAGGTCTTCCTTCTTATTGACATGGTTCGCCTCAATGACCGTCGAGAAAACCGGGAAGCCGTTCTTGGAGTTCAACGATGCGTCGAAGTTGTTGCGGTAAATCCCAGTAATTTCCTACAGCTCGCGTTAGCGATGATCCCAATTTCTGCTGTAGGGAAAGCGTACCACTTCCTCTCCTGGCTTCGCACTGTCGATAAGATCCCAAAGCAGGATGACCTCGCGGTGCCGGGGAAGACGACCAGCAGGGACTGATCCCGGGGATTCCTGCAGCGTCATCTTCTGGTAATTCCTGTACACCGTCTGCGCAGCGTCAGCATGCATATACCCCACATAAAGCAAAGAGCGTACCTGTTCGGAGTTCACAGTGAACGGTCCCTTCGACTCGCAGTTGGGGCAGTAGCTGATCTTGAGCTCGCGCGACGCGTCCTGATGGAATGGACCCAGCACACCGCCACACTGACGACAATCGAACTTGACGTATTTGAGCTGAGGGAATACGCCACTCCGTCTTGTCACGACACCAGAAACGCGGACCAGGTTGTTCAAATGGGCGCGGCGGAGATCGCGCAGCGTCGAGCTCAGAGGTAGATCGGCCACACGGACGTGCACCTCGGAGTGTATGCGCCGGTACATGGGGTAGTAGACGAGGATGGCCTCCAAGGCGACCTGGTCAAAGAGTTCGAGCATGGAGCTTGGGCAGTTGGTGAGGAAATAGGCGAGGATGGGCTTCGACTCGGCGAGATGAAGGTACGAGATTTCCAGTGACTCGGCGTTTGCTACAATCGTGTTAGTGGAATGAGTAAGTTAGCATTTCGCTCGGGCACGCACTTTCACCAAGGTTGCGGATACGCATGCCGTACACAGATGAGCCGTTGTCGTCCACGTAGGTCATAAGGAACTGACGGAAGTGGCGCATGATAGACCGGGCAACGCGCTCGTTCGCGATCCACTCCACGATGGACTTAGCCTTGATATCGCTCAGCTGTTCGAGGGGTATTTCCTGTGATAGACGCGTTAGATGGTACCAGTGTCATGCGATGCTATACGTACATCTTCAATCCCATCCGCGTCGTCAATGTCCCTGCGCTCGTCGTATTGTCGTCGTGTTCGACGCTTCATCTGTGACACGCCCATATCGTCGTCGTCCACATCGCCTTCGTCGGCAAGATCGTCTTCGTCTATGAAGTCATGCATGCGCCCTCGGCGAGCTGCGCGTCCCCCTTTCCTTCCGGCGCGCTCCAACGCATCGCGCTGGGCCATCTTCCTTTCTGCGGCGCGCCTCGCGGCAGGAGTGAGCTCGTCCTGTTCCTCGTCGTCGATGTCTGCAATATCGTAGTTGTCCAAGGTGTCATTGCGCGAGTAGTCCCTGTGGATTGACGCGTCAGATCAGTGCCTGGGACGAGGTGAAGGCCACGCACGCTTCGAGATTGTCCGCAAACAAGTCCTCGCCATCATCGTCTTCCTCCACAACATCAGCATCGATGTCGGGGACTGCATCATCGTCTCTTTCGCTCAAGCTTGCTTCAGAGTCTGTTGTAAACCGAGGGGGAGAGGAGGGGGGCAAGGACGATCCCGAATCGCGTCGTTCGCGTGGTTGGGCGGGGGTGTTGTTGAAGCCATCGGGAGATTCAGACCTTTGGCGCTTCGCTCCTCTCGGCGTGGCCTGTGGTAGTCTTTCTCAGTCCAGTCGCCACAGAAGGGGCAGCATATCACTCACCATTGCGCTCGATTCGATGAGAAAAGCGCGTCCGCGTCGCGTTCAATTAGCCAAGGCGACAAACGCGCTTTGAAACTCCGCACAATTTTGTGGCGTACCGTCACATGAAACGCACGTGTACGTGGTTCAATTTCGCTCTACGCCTTTGCTGCGATCTGCTAGGTTCTTCTCCACTAATTCTGCTCAAGCCACCCTGTATATGTCTATGCAAGATATTCATGTATATTGTAAGTAAATTAGTGAGGCAGATGTGGTAGGATGACCGCAATCTAGAGCCGTAGCTCGAAAGCAATTTACAAGGATAGCGACTGACAGTAGTGCAATATACAGTGAAGGTCCATCAACAAGGCAATACAAAGGAGGAGGTTTAGCGGCCCCTACTGCGGCGGAGAGTACTCGGGCGGTAAATGGACAAGCTCCACGCCTTCAAGGAGAACCTCGGTCATGCCTCCGGTGAGATGCTGGGAAATATGGCAATGGATGACGCTTGCAGCAGGGATCTCGCTGCGGTCTGCAAACCGCTGTAAGTATGTTGAGAAACAGACTAATGCTGGCAACGTACATCTGATCACGAGCCAGGCTCCAGTTTCGTCAGAAACGGGCGTGTTGAAACTGTCTAGATTGATGGTTCAGCACGAGCCAGGACGAGCATACACGCCGGCGGGACTGACCACGGACGGCTGGGTTGACAAGATTGAAGGAGTCCGGGAGCGCGGAGATTGCTTCTGCGACGTTACCAAACTTCCAGTCGCCTTGACCTTGACCAAAGACCCAGTACCGGTTGAAGTGCTTGTGCATGGGATGAGGAGGACTAGTATGCCGGCGTCAGTATCACCATTTAAAACAAGGGTCCGAGATAGCTCACTGATGAGGCGGGACCTTAATGAGAATGTCCACAATCGTATCATTCGGCAGAATTGTCATGCTCATTGCGTCCATGACCAGACTCCCCGCAAAAGAGCCCGTGCCATATTCAATGGCCTCCTTCACCTCCGCATACACCTCCGGCCAGATCAGCGGGTCGTGGTCCTCATACAGCGTACCCGGCAGCCCGGTATGGTTCGCCGCCCACCGCGTCACGTTGTGCCGCGACATGTCGAGGGTGACGAGCGTGGTGTTGCCCTCCATGATTGGCGGCTTCGCAGGGAAGGGTGGGCCATCGACGAAGGGGTCGAATTCGGGCGCGGACATGGTGTTGTTCAAGTTGTTGTCGGCGGCGACGGGCTTGCTGTCGTAGGCCATGGAGGGCTTGGACTGCGGCAAAGCCGGGTAGCCCTGGGCGGGCGGGGCGAAGGTGTTCTGCTTGATGGAGCCCTTGTACTGGAGGACGCCGTAGCCGGTGAGCATCTGCGGAACGACATTCGCGGCAGCGCGGATGGTGTACGACGAGCCAGCATCCTTGTCGAGCTTGACCATGACCTGGAAGCGGGTGCCAGCGGGAATCTGCGACTATCTGAGCGGTTGCACTGCGTAAAGCCACCGTGTCACATACGCTGATCGTATCGAACGACTTCGTCGTGTCAACATACTGGCCGTCCACGGCTAGTAAGTCAAGTTAGACGCAACTCTTGAGCCAGCGGACGCACAAACCATAGACATAGAGCGGATGTTCATCTATGGAGAACTTCAATTCCCAAAGCCCTCCAACGTTGACGATGGCAAACGAGGCCCAACCATTCTCTTGCGGGTCGACCTCGAGCGTGTACAGCGGGCGGTCGGCACCTTCAAGTATACCTCAAACACATTCCTTGATCCACTCCGAGAAGCGAACGTACCTGTAGCATTGCACGTCTTCCACATGTCTTCGGGTATGTCCTCGGTCGTTCCATTGAAGGGATTGGCGATTTCGTTGCTGAGCGGTAGACAACTAGGTTTGACGTCAGACTCAACTTATCGACGTCTTCAACAAACGCGTACCCCTGAGCCGTAACATTCCCAAAGCCACGCGTCGAAGCCAAAGACTGAAGCTCGCTCATGGGCGGGCAGACCATCGATCCACGACCGTTGATCAGAATGGAGTCGGCGCAGCTGTCCGGAGTAGTAAGCATCACAGTCAGGTTAAGACTTCTTTCACATACAGAGGCTCGATGCGCGCCTCCTCCCAGAGCGCATTCACCTCCTCCGTCGGGCGGTGGCGCCAGTCGTTGATGGTGACGATATTCATGTTGGCCTCGGCCCAGACCATGGCGGCAGCATCGGTAGCGTCACCGCCTGCGACGGCGGCCAGCTTCGAGAAGGGGCGCACGGTGTCGTTAGCAGGGCTGCGTGATGGTGTCGGCATTGGTCAAAATCGATGCAAGCAACCTGCGAGGGCTCACCGAATGAAGATCGGGAAGTAGAGTCCATCGTCCTGCTGCTGTTCTACATGCATCATTGTCAGTGCGCTATCGTTCAAGGTAAGGACTAGGACTTACTCCTATGTGCATGCGCCCAATAAAGCCCAGTCTGGTGCGCATTCCAGCGGTACGTGAAGTTACCGCCAGGTTGGATGGCCTTCTGCGAGACGCCTGGGACCTGCGAACCAAGCGATCAGCACTATGCACATCGAGGGGCGGCATCCATAGCCAAGGGGCGCCATCGACACCCAAGGAGGTCCATCCACAGCCAAAGAACTCCCTCCGCTCCCAGCCAAACCACAACCCCACTTACCCCATCCGACCACGGCGACCCCCGCTGGTCAATCCCATGGAAGTGCACAGTCGTCGCCTCCGAGATGTTTGCCGTCACGACGATCTAAGAGGCGAACGTAAATCAGCCCCCGCCACCAAACTAAATACAGTAAAGTGCAAACTCCGCACCTCGACATTGTCGCCCTGGTACAAGATGAGCGGTTTCGGGGGGAATTCGCCGTTGATGAGGTAGACCATTCTGCGCGCCATGTCAGTCAAATAGGCTTCCCTAGATAGTGGCCTTCTCCAGGTAATAGCCCGGTCGCAGGGTAATAGTCATCACCAGGTCGTAGCGCTAGCCGTCCCCGAGTAAGGATTTGGGGCACCCACCTTTCCTTGCCGCCGTCGGGGTTTGCGACGCCCTCTGAGACGACGATGTCGATATGTTTAGGCTGTCCAGCATTCGCTGTGCCGTTATCCGCCTGAGGGCTTCCTGTGGAGGCACCGACACTGGCAGAGACGTCGATGTCCGCGTCGAGCAGGGACCGCGACAAATGGCGCGCGTGCTCTACATGACCGTTCCTCGACCACACAGAATGGCGCGCAAGGGCGAAGGGTGCAAGAGAAAGGAGTGGGATGAGAAGCTTCATGTTCAACGAAAGGAATGCCATCTACACGACGGGGTGTGAACGCGAACAGGAAGCAAGGGGAGTGGTAGTGGCGAAAAGACGGACGGGAGTTGGACTCGATCCACTGCGGAGGGGTCAGACCACTATGAAGGGAGAGGGAGGTATGCGGAGGAAGAGAGGAATGGAAAATGAAGATGCGCGAAAATGCCTCGAGGTTTTATAGCTCCACCGAGTTCGGAAGCGAGCGCTGGCCGCGGAGCTGTGTGTATATTCGATGCAGGCCTCGATGGCCAGCCCTGGCAGGGTAGACGACGATGAAGCCAGTCTGCCATGACGTGGATCGGTTAAAAGGCGGTCGTTGACGCCGCCGAGGCTGCCAGTAGACGGAGGTGCTTACGCCCATTGTCCGTGGGCCAGAGCGCGGGGAATCGTTCCGACATCTTTCGTTATGTGCTGGGTATTACTCCTTGGAATACCTCTTCGACACGTAGTGATTGTAGGCCAAGCACCAGCACAGAGTTGGATTGGTTGCACTACCGCCGATCTGCATGGCTTTACGGCGACGATATTGTTGAGATGGTGCGAGGAGACAAGTTCGAAGTCCGTCGAGATGCCAATGAAGTGATCTCTCGTTAGTGATGACACGTGGTCGAATTCTTTAGGCGCCCATAATTGACTGAGGCGGACAGGCTTTTGGTGAGCTCTTGTGTTCTGCTAGTTCATCAACGAGGTGGTACTGCACAACGCTGAGGGGGGACAAGACTTGTATAGCCCTGATATTAACAGGATAGTAATTACTGAATAGATAGGGCCTGTTGGCTGTCTAGAAGTCCACATCCTCAGAGTGAATGTTGTGGAACTTGCGCTCAGGCTCTGACGGTGCTTCCTCCTCGTCATCGCGAATTTCTGTAGAAGAGTAAGCACCAGCCCTATACACAAGAAAGCGCATGCTTACCATCCGCGTAGACGTCTGGGTGCTCCCGGAAGCAGTCCTGCATTGTCCTGAACGCGTCGACACAGTTGATGCCCTTAGGCTCGGCTTCGGAAAACACGAAGCAGGAGAAGGCAGCCCTGAACTGCTCGCCACAAGGCCCGTGTGCCATACCACCGAGACAAGGGCAGTCCCAGTTGATTTCACCGGTGTTGGGGTCGTAAGCACCGCCGGCTGCGGAAGCTTCCTCAGCCTTGGCCTCAACGGTCGCCTCCGCATCTGACGGCGTCTGTGGGGGCTCGGAGTCGGTGGAAGCCTCTGAAGACTGGGAAGTTGGTGCCGGCTCATCGGAAGCAGGTGCCGGGGAGGAGACAGGGGAAGTCAGAGTCTCCTTCAGCCCAGCCCTGGACGTGCCGAGCACCCTCTCCGCGGCAGCGACGGGGTCTTCGGCTTCGGCTATGGCAGACATGAGTGAGGGCCATTGATGAGGCGTACGACACACACCACTATCCAGTGCTATCCTATCAGCATGTAACCTCCATGCCAGGTAGGACGCGGTCACGGCGGCGCCTACACCGTACGCGACGCGACTGCGGACCCAGGGCGCAGCGGCGGGAGAGGCGGAGGTGTGGAGGGAGCGGCGGAGTGGGAGACGCGTCAGACGGGCGAACATTCTTTTTGGTGGTCGTGAGCAAGGGACGGACAACCTCGGACGCCCTCCCCTGCCGCAAGTCGGGCGCTTCGTCAGCCAACAATTTCAGGCCCGGTCCGATCACCCCGGTCCGTGAATCCGGACAAGGAAGTTCGAAATGAAGCTCTTTTTCCTCCCATAGAGAGGCAAAAGAATACTCAAGAAGGTCAAAGAGCAAGTGGGAAGGCAGGAGATCCATTGGAATTTACCTTAGTGCTGTAAGCAGTATGACAAACATCAAGTCAACTCACTTAACAAGTCGGTATCGATTAGGGGTCAAATCACCTCGTTGTGGCGAATACGTTACAGTAAAACCGAGGAGCCGCAGGTTCGAATCCTGCTACCGACATTGCTTTTTTCGTATCTGCTTCAAGTCTCTGGAGCTCAAAAAGGCCCCCAGTATCAGGAAGATACGGCAGAATTTTCCCCATTTTTTTTCTGAATTTTTGAGCCTTTTCGATGCAAGGTCAGCTTTCGTTGACGCGATATGCTGAACAACCTCAGTCGACCATCGATCATCCTTCTAACAGTGTGCAGTGGGTCATTCGGACAAGGCCTAAGCTCCCCGTACCGCAATAACAGCCGAAGTCAGATGCATACACCAGAAGCAAACCAATAAATTATTGTTCCTAATCGTACACTTGGTTGAATAAGATAGCGTCCCTAGTGTGTCGCACGTCTCGTCTGAATAGCCCTGGCACTTTCAGCCGCCATGAGATCGTTCAGGCATCTGAGGAGTACGCAATATCAGTCCACCGAGACAGGCTTCGCAGACAATGTACAACACACCTTGCCACAACCCCCGCGGCTTCCTCGACCTCCTGCTTGTCCGCACTCACAACTCGCAGAACCAGCCTCTGAAAGCGGTCCGGATGCCACCGCAACTGGGCCCTCCGTATCCGCTCCTTCCGTGGTACGTCCTTCGAATGCGCGTCCGAGAGCAAGAACGCCGAGACCTTCTCCGGCGTCACGTCCGTAGCTCGCGCCGGCGGGCGCTCAGTCGGCCACGGTACGCTCGCGAACCCAATCACCTCCCCACTATTCTTCAGATTCGCGATCCGCTCCCATCCTGCTTCGTACGCGCGCCATGCCGCCTCTGCGCGTACGGTGCTGCGCGCGCGCTCGCGTCCGAGACGCTCCTGCGCATACCTCCGCGCCCGCTCCTCGCTCGCCTGTGCACGTTCAGCCTCGCGACGCCCCCGAATACGCGCCTCGACGCGGTGCATCTGTTCCTTTAGCACGCGTTCCCGCTCCCGGGCCCGCGCATCCGCCCGCGCAGCATCCTGCTCGCGCATCCACCGCTCCGCGTCGAGCTCGTACGTCCGCGCCAGCTCATCCCACAGAGGGTCGTCCGTGCCCTCTGGTGGGTGCAAATGAGGGTACTCGTCGTCGAGAGGATGTACCGGCTTCCCAAACAGCTTCTCATGATGCCGCGTCCGCCATTCGTTCTCTTCGGCGGCGACGGCTTGTTGTTCCCGTACCCAGTCCTCCGTGGTGTGGACCTTGGGCTTGGGCTCGGGCGGCCAGCGTCGCGTACGAGAATCGGAGCGGCGCGAGCGAGACTCAGAGCGAGGCGCGTTGTAGTGGGGATCGGAGGAGGCGCGAGTATGTGAGGGAGTAGTTGGACGCGAAGACGTGCGCAGGGGATGGGACGCTTTCTCCGCAGGCGCTTGGCGCTTCAGAGGCTCGGGCCCAGACACGCCAGGTACCCAGGCGAAGGTCTGCCCTAGCAAACTTGGCTTGCGTACCCGTGCATGAGCATCCGCCCTCTGCGCTGGCCGAATATGCTCAATGTGAGCGTACGCGGTATTATACGGCACCTCATCGTTTCGCACATTCTCCTTGCGTCCCCGCACCCGCGAGCTGTCCCGACTCCCGCCCGGATCGGCGCGCTGCCTGCTGCTGCTCCGCGAGCCACGCGCGTCGTACGCAAGGCGGACATAGCCATCAGGGCTGGCGCGCGCGTAAGCGTCCGGCGTCGCGCGGACGTACGCGTCGCCCGCTGGGTGCGCGTACACGTCCGGAGTCGCTCGCGCGGGTCGTTCCGGGGCTGCGCGCACATAGTACGCGTCGGGCAACGACGCTGAGCGTTGATGATGACCGCGCAAGTATGCGTACCCATGCCCCGCCAGAGTCGGCTTCTCCGTGGTCGTGCGCGTCCGCGACGATGACCGCGGTCGCGCCTCGTAGTAGTAGGCCATCTTGGCGATCGAGGATCAGAGGTTCAGGATGTCGAACGAGGTGCAGAGTCAAGAAAAGGAGGCGCAGTCGGTTCAGAACCGCATGCGATAGAGAATTATGACATGCGCGAGGCAAGTTGCCCTCGATAGTCGGCAAAGGAAAAGCTAGGCTGTAATTCACTGATGCACAGATGGTCAGCGGCTAACGAGCATGTTCTGCCCACCTCTCCGCCATCCAGCTGACGATATACGCACCCCCACACCGCACCAGCGTGCCCGGCGACCCCCACCTGACACACCGACTTGGGCCCGGAACCAGTCGCGCATCGACGCTACCCGCGCGCTTATCACTGATTATGCGCCATATCAGCCTGTCTGAGTCGCGCGAACACGCCGCCACCTCATGTTCGCGCCCTCAAGACCCTGGAAAGCACGAACATGAACACGGGCAGCCTGCCCATATCAGCAACCATCTAATCTGGGAGACGTACGCGACCACGCACCTATTCCAGGAATCGAAAGACCCTGCGATTCTAGCGGAGCTGGAGGGCGGGCCCAGTAGCGCCGGCAAACTGGGCGCATAGGGAGATGATGAGGTACTATATCTCACCGGGTCTTTCGAAAATCCCACCGAAATTTCGAAACTCCCGGTAGCACCCTTCCAGATACCGTATTTTGACGCGGAAAAAAGTCAGTAGGGACCTCTGAGCTTGATACTACCTGTCTATACTTTTGGTTCGCGCGCTGGTTTGCGGTAATATCAGTGAAAGTGGCTGGCTATGAGGGGAGCATGGTCCGATCGATTTTGATGGCCATCAAACACGTGCGTCATCCGCTTCGCCTGCGTCCTGATCCTTGCCTCCCTTCAGAGCCCATAAAAGTACCACCACCCGATAGGGGACGCTGAGAGCTTCCTACTCATCTTTTTCCGGAGGAAAAGCACCCCGTTTTGAGGGAGTTAGCCGGGAGTTTCGAAGATTTGGCGGGATTTTCGAAAGACCCGGTGAGATATAGTATAGCTACAATGAAATTCTACAAGGGCATGGACATGGACAAACATACATCAACCAATACCTACCCACGACACCAACACCCATATCGTATGCATAAGTGTACACATATATGCGTGAGCGCATACATAAGATTAAGTCTGGGGCTGGTGCGGGGACACAGGTCCGCAAGGTTCGCTCGCAGCCGCCAGACCACAGGCATACAGGCACGTCGCAAGCATACGCGAGTGAATAAGTATGAAGGATAAATAGGGAGGGGCACGGCCGAGTGCGTGAAGTGGCACGTCCATCGACGAACAATGAGGTGTGAGTGCGTGTCTCCGCCGCGTCGACAATGGGAGTGCGGAGCGGTGTGGATGAGGTGTTGGTCAGGATGGAGTGTCGGTAGGTATCCCTTGTCGCTGAAAGTTAGAAGAGGAGGAACCAGAGCAGGTGCGTCCCGCGGCAACCGCGCGCGTGCGTCCTCCCACTCCCGGATCACGAAGCCCGCCCCGCGGGGCTAGCAAGTCATGCAGAGTAGAATCCGGAGTCGCTGCTGTACGTCTCGCCCTTCGCCGCCTCGAGCCGCACAGAGTCTGCCGCTGCATAGTCAGCCACCTGCCCCCATTCCATTCGGCATCAGAGCTTCGGACGATAGCGCGGGGTATGAAAGGGGAGTAAAGGAGAGAACGTGTGGGCAAGAGAGACACGTGTGTGTGAAGGAGAGAACAACGGAAGCGGAGAAAATTCACTTACTGAAGTAGATGTGACCCTGGGCCTCCTTTGCGGTGAGCCGTTCCATATGGTCGTACCGCAGGAGGTTGTCGAGTAGATCGATAGCTTCTGCAGTTGCGTATGGCTGGTTATCGGCGTTGATATACTTTATCCATGGTTGTCTCGGGTAGCTGAGAAACAGGGTCAGCACCATATAGCAGGGTAGTGTGACAATGGGCGAGGAGAGTTTCGAAGACGCGAAGTGAAGCTTACTTGGCCAACAGGGACTCGTGTTCCGTCTCATAGTGGATACCGTACTTCTGCAAGTATGCATCGAACTTCTCCGTTCCCAAACAGCGCAGGATCTTGAGCAGCTGCTCGTCGTTGTCGGATCCTCGGAAAAAGTGCTCTTTGCGGAAGATCTGGGGTAAGGTCAGTCACGTCAGAAGCTGTGCAAACTCCCCCACGCACCATCGAGGCGAACATGCAGCCGACGCTCCATAAGTCCAGGCTGTAATCGTACTGGCGGTAACCGACTAAAAGCTCAGGAGCCTTGTAGTATCGAGACCCGACGCGTATATGGTAGTCGGTATTCGGGTGATAGAACTCGGCGAGACCCCAGTCAATCAAGCGGAGCTGTGGAGGGTCAGTATGAGTGTACAGCTGCTTCTATGCATGCTTGCCTTTCGCTCGTGGTAATCAACCATGACATTGCCGGGCTTGACGTCGCGATGCATGATACTGCCAAGAGAATGAGGGAAAATGCGGGAAGAATGGGCTGGGCGCCTACCCATGGGAGTGCACAAAGTCCAGTGCCTTTGAAGGGAGTCAGCTATAAGTCTTGGCGAGGGTATAGCCTACGCACCTTAAGCAGCTGGAAGGTATAATGCTTGATGTCCGCCTCCGTTAAGCTGGGGTATAGGATCTTCCATTCGACGTTGTTGACGTATTCCATGACCAGACTGTGGTACTTCCCGGATGCTGAGCACCCATGTAAGGCGGGGGATAGGGGGACGCGGGATGACACGTACGATCGCGAACGACATCCAGGAGGGCAACGACATTCGGGCCGCCGGTTAGATTGCGCAGCACCTTGATTTCGCGCTTGATTTTCTTCGCGGCAACGGGCTTGAGGACCTTGACGACGCATTGCTCGTTGTTGACCATATCGATGCCGGTGAAGACCTGGTTGTCTATTGGCGCCAAAACAGGAGGGATAACTAGGCGCGCACCTCGGAGTACTTCCCTCCGCCGAGTCTGCGAACGATCTCATAGCGATCCGGCTCACTCCATTCGATCGTGAAGTTCTCTACTCGTATATATTGAGTGACTGGTCGAGGGAGGGAAGCTGGTTACGCACCGTAATCGTACCAGTCCTTGCCGAGAACCTTGTTGACGTCGGCGTAAACCCTGCTCATCGGTGCGGGCGGCGTGCGCTCGTAGTGGGCGCGGGAGGCAATGAGGGATGGCGGGGGGAGAATAGAAGGAAATTATGGCAGCCAGCGGCGCATCGAGCGTAGACGACAACGACCAGAATGATCACACAAGGCACCAAACAGCCCGCAAACTTCTCGAATTCCGGCCCTCGCTCGGCTTGATCCGTAACTTTGTCCCGGAGCACCCACACGCACCCACAAGTATATACGTCTACTCGACCTTCATCACAGAGTTGATTCGTGCCTCCTGGATCTGCTGGCGCATGCTTGCCAGCACGGGGTATCCCAACACGAAATTTGACGCGATGTACGCAGCCTGCAGGATCATCAGCGAGCCTACAACCGACCACCATTCGGACACTCACGCCAACCAAGAACGGCGTCTGGTGTTTGCGACACAGCGTGAACGCATATATCGACTCCAAAGCGTGTATCCCCGCGCATATCCCCAATGCCAGCCGCAGCAATCCCTGTCCCAAGAAGCCCTGCAACCATTGCCCGGGCAGCGCCAGCGGAGACGTGCTACCTGGCGGCATGAATGCACCAGAAATGGTGGGGATGAGAGCGACGAGGGTGCCGATAGCGAAGTTCGTCAAGGGGACGTAGAACTTGGTCAGACGGGGTGTCTTGATCTGCAAATGGGGCGCATCGTTAGGACGGCTCCCCCTCGTCAAGTTATGCACGCACCATGCCCAGGTTCTCCTGCGCAATAGACTTCATCTCCAGCAGCCGCGGCTTCACATCATGGTACCCCGCCAGTGGTGGGTCGATCGGCACGCGCACCGAGCGCAACTCCCCCGACTTCATCTTGCATAGCAGGGTCATGCTCTATTGGGCCTTGTCAGCGCTCCTGCGTCCTGGGGGGAGCGTATGCGGCGCACCTGTGTATTTATGTCGCTCATCTCCGCCTTCTCAATGGGCTCCTGCACCTTGCCAAACCACTTCGCGTACGCCACGAGCGTGTCCGGGTGGTTTGACATGTACATCTTCAGAAAGCCCGACTGGGCTGCGACCGGGTCTGCCATTGCTCGTCCAAGAGGTGCAACTTTAGATGGTGGTTGGACGAAGAGAAGATCTTGATTTGTGAATTGTGAGAGCCTACGCGTACCAGCGTTGCCGGCAGCCGAGATCAGCCCACGGTGGCGGGCACCGGCATTTCGGGCCGCCCCTCTAACGGAACCAAAATACACAGCTGGACGTCGTTTGCCTATTTTCCTGCGAATGCGATTTGTTACAGTATTGCCTGATGCTTCGTGATCTTCTTTCGTGAAGCCAAAAATCGGCGAAAGCCCTGTTCGCAAACATTTTGCAAGACATCCCGCCCCACTCGAAGCTGATGAACGAACGTCAGCGCACCTTGAGCCCGTCGACCCAACATCTGAGCGGTCGCGAGCGCGGTCCATGCACAAACAGCGCCAACGAGCGCCACCGGAAAGTGCCGGCAACGTCAAGCTGCGCGTCGAAAATCTCCAAGTCAGCACTCTGTTGTGCATTGACCACCACCCTCCGCTTGGGTGTGGGCAGGATCCTCGGCAGCGTCTCAGCACTGAGGCGACCGTTCTGCCAACCTTCGGCATGTCCATCAACGACACAACGCGCGCGCGAGGCGAGCTGTCCAGGGAGGGCGCGATGAGCGCGTCGTCGGCGGGCAGTTGCATGGGTTGACTTGGACGCTGTGAGTCTTCCGCTCTCTCTTCGACAACCACCGATCACTCATAACGAATGCAGGGTTTGCAAAGCCTTTCTAGCGTTGCCAGCAGCGATTTCGGCGTGAACGGGTGAGCCCATCGCTTGCTCACGGCACTTGACCAGTCCTGACGACCTCCCCACAGCCTGACACGCGTCATCGCGAAGGCGAAGGCGCAGTCATGAACGGCCTCCACCACGGCGAGACGCGGTGACTGCACCCACTCTTTCTTCAATATGGTACGCATAGATAAGCAGTAGAGTAGCGTCTAGTGTACTAGATGGTCCAATAAATATGCATGAAATTGCCCATACAACATACACGACGGAAATAGCCCCAAGAGAAGCCAACGAGCGCGCTGGAGCTGGGAAATGCTGCGACGGACCGCGCTCTGGACTGTGGAGCGTTGCCCAACTTTTCGCGAATCTCTCGGTCGCAAAAATTCCTACGACCGTATTCTGTGCTAATTTCGGGCGAACGTCGTAGGACATTCTGAAAGTGCGATTCGTGCTTCATTCCTGCGAACGCCGTCCGGCCGTGTAGGGACGACCTTCCTTGTACGCAGCTTCCATCTTCACATCATTGAATAATCCCACATAGCAGGCTCGTCCTGAATTATGGCGGCAACTCCTACGCAACAGAGTACTGGATCGCGGAATGGACCTCACTCCCGCTGCTTCACGATGATCAAGGGCTATGCCATAGAATGTGCTCCATATGCGCAGCAATCCAACTTTCTGTTAGCGGGACCCTCTACAGCAGCGGTAGATTCTGCTCGGACTCTGCAATCAGCGTCATTCTACCTCAAACTTAGCTTCAGTGTGCAGCCCAGGCGCAGATAGATGCTCGACGACTCGGACTCTGACAGTGGTTCTCGACTCTTTCTCCTGACATTACCATGCCCCTTGACTATACAGTACATGTACAAACTCGATGCGTCCGTACAAACGTCGTTCCAGTCTGATTCTTTCCTGACGTGAGCTCGGTCGGGTTCAAAGTGATGATTTTCCATATTAATTGCTTATAACTGCCTTAGGCGCGTACTCACCAGCGCACTGGGCGGGCTTCAGCTTCATCGAGTATGCGAGCGTATCAATTCATTATGCGAACCAGGTAAGTAAGGAATCCGCTACATTCCGAGCCGCTACTGGTAGGATGTGTCCATTGAGACTGAGACGGAAAGAGAGACAGCAAATTCAGACTAGGTAAACGATGCGCGCATATAAAGTTACAAAGCAAGAATCTCTATACATACATAGCGATCGATTCGGTTCCGATGGTAGGAAGCTAGATAGGTGATGGGTAGGTAAATGGTAGGTAGTAGTAGGGCAGTGCGTAAGCGAGGGGCAGTTAGATCATGGACAGTCAGAAACTCAGATGAGAGAAATTGGTGCAGATGAACTACAGGGCAATGTCAGCGGTTAGGTCGATGAGTAGAGCGGATGCTACTCACAACAGATGAGAGTGCATGTTCTTTCACAACGGCACGGGCTTCGACTCCAGCGCGCCTACTTGCAGGTACGAAAGCACGAGGGTGACCGAGCTGTTCTGCAAGCACAGCGTCTCCAGCTCGCGCCCGGACCACAACCGCCCTTCCCGCCCGGAGCTCTCGTCGCTCTCCTCCGCGCCCAGCTCCAGCTCGTTACGCCCCGCGCCATGGCGATGGTACACCTTGCTCCGCGACTTGCTTCTCGCGTGCGTCGCCGGGGTAGAGGCGGTCTGTGGCGCCTTGCCCGAACCAATGAGCGTCTCCTGCAGGACCGCGAGGGCGACATTCTCCGCCGCGCGATGGAAGGCGCCACGAGGAATAACCGCTTCCGAATCCCCAGCACACGTGCGGATCTGCCGCGGAAGGTACGTCGCCCATTGATGCCGCAAGAGGTGGTCGTCGACGCTGAACATGTACCGCCTCTTCGCGCCACCGCGATCACGGAACGCCACCTGGAAGGTGTTGCGCATGAAGGCACGCTCGACGCGCATGCCACAGCTGAGGGGAAGCCCGGTATACCGCAGCGCATTCGAGCCCCTGCGCTCCAGCACGAGTGTTGTCGGCCCAAGCGCGGTACCCGTCACACGGAACGACGCCTCAGGCGAGCGGGCGAAATATAATATCTCCGGGTCGAAGGTGAGCCCCTGGCCCGAAAGGTGAATTGAGAACTGGTTGTCCGGCTGCGGGATGCGGAAGATGATGGGCTCGGACTGGATCTTGTAGGTAAGGCGCATGGGCACTGGTCGCTTGATGGTGACCGGGATGTCGGGGAGTCCACCTGACGATGGATCGCGCGCCATGGCCAGGCGCTCACTGCAGATATCCCGGTATACATCGTCCAGAAGGTCGTCTGCAACGAGGTATCGAGGGTCGAACCTTCGGAAAGCTGAGATGAAGTCGCGGGACGATATCTGATTGAGCATGTAGCCAGTAGGCCCGGGCTCCGTCGCGACACCTCCATGCACAAGCTCGTTCAGCTGAACAATAGCGCGCACGAAACGAACAGCCAGATCCCGATCATATGCCACGATCCCGGCATTCGCCACGTACCACCGACTGGCAAAGGCATCCAGGAGGGTATCCAATGCAGATCGAGTCGGCGCGTGAATCGACATCAGGAAGGCGCGAAGAGCCTTGTCAATGCGCATGCCCGCAAAGCCGAAGGTATCGACGAACGTCTTGAGCACGACCTTCGACGTACGCTGCGCGAGGTATTCGCCCAGCCTCACCCTATCGAGCTCGAGAGTACGGAACAGCAACTGGCCTACAGCAACCGCGTCACCGGTCGTACCCGCCTTCGTCAACAGAGTCGAGATCGCCATGTCAGGGTCGCGCGCGAACTGATGCACGAATGTGCGCATCGCTGGACTCCTCGGAACAGCAGTCGCCGAGAGCCCCTTGGACTGCATGTCCGAGCGTTCGTCGTTGAACCTGAGATCGCGGAGGCGCACAACGCTCTTGACGATGAACTTCTTGTCAGGCGCTATCAGGGCCCACGTCGGCTCGAGCATGTTGTCCGAATCCTGGATGACCGGCTTGGCAATGACGAGGATGTCGGTGAACAAGAACAGGAACCTGTCCTTCACCGTATTCGAATCCACGACCTGCAGTACTGGCGAAGAGAGCAGAAGCTTGCGCGTGGGTTCCTCGAGGACACCGGCCCACATCGGGCCGCGCGAACCTCGACTCAAGCTCTCCTCGAGTTTCTCGAGAATGACGGGTCCTTGCGACTTCACGCTTGGCATGTAGGCGCTAGAAGAAGAGCCCGATGAGTTAGACGAGGACGTCGACGTTGACTGCGCTGGGTAGTCACTGAGAGACGATCCAGGCCCAAGCGACGAGGTCGGGTCGGGAGTCACTGTAGCAGGGTGTTCCGGAGGCGATGGACGCGGGGCTTCATACGATGTCGTGGACGACTCGTCCGTCTCCAGAACAGGTGCGACTTTCTTCGCGCGAGGTGTCTTCTCCGTATCCGTCTGATCCGAGTTCGACGCTGACCCATCCCTCACCTCCAGCGCCCGCGCCTGCTGAGGCGGCGTCTGCACAGGCAACACCGGCCCCCCTACATCCGACCACTCGCTGCCCGGACTGTCTTCCTTGGGAAGCTGCAGCAATTCCGACAACGAAGGCTTCTTCGAGTGCATGGGAGGTGCGATGATGGGAAGAGATATCGATGCCGTGGAGATAGAGTGGCCCATCTGGGGCGACGAGGCTTTCTTCTTCAGGTTCTTGCTGATCCATTGCCTGACGGCAGGCAGGTTGGTTGGCAGCTTGCTGGATCCTGACGGAGTGGGGGGAGACTGTGGATAATCATGCGACGAGGACGACGGCGCCGCTGACATAGGCGGAGCGGCCCCATTGTACTTCGCTAGAAGCCGCGTGTCCGAAGCCTGGTGCGACAGCTTGCGTTCTCTGCCGCTGCCCGTGAAGAAGCCCTGGAGGATTGGGGAGCGAGGACTGTGTTCGTCGTCCGTCTTGCCACCCATGCCAGAGAAATCCGGCGTCGAGGCTGACGCAGAGAAGCCCTCCTTCGCACGCCGCTGCTCCTCGAGCATCTTCATACCCGGAAATGGGAAGAGCTTTGCATCGTTGTAGTGCGAGAGGTCGCCGGAAGGCGGAGGCATAGGCGAGGCGTGACCAGGCAGGTGAGGCACGAGAGATTGGTACGACCCAGAGGCGGAGGGGGACTGCATCAGACCTACGGGGCCCGTGATGCTCGCTCCGCTTTCCCTGCTGACGCTGGAGTCGGTATGCTCGCGGCGCTCGCGATTGAGAACACTGTTCGACCTCGAGCGGCGGCCAGAGCTGGAGTTCGACCTCGATAGCGAGTTCTTGATCTTGTCCCAAGTGCTCGTCGAGCCGCCCTCACGTTTCGACAAGGATGAGTCGTTCGACAGGGTACGCTCTGTATCATGGAACCCGCTCTGCCTGCGCGATAGGACCTCGTCAAGAGGAGAAACCACCGAAGGACGCGTAGCTCCTGCAGACGGCGACATCGACGAGCCACTGCTGACACGAACATGGGAGAGAGCTCGGTTGGAGGCGGGGGAAGGCGGGTTGGGAAAGCTCGTGAGCAAGTCGTGCGAGGTTTCCGACCCCAGACCATGATCCGACGACGGTCGCGAAGACTCCTCCTGATCCCGGTTGGATGTCGAGGCGACTTCGGACTGGGCTTGGGCGTCGTCCTCATATCCATCCGCATCCGCGTCCTCTCCTTCGCTGGGCTCCTCCTCATCCTCGTCATGCACTTCGGGCACTGCAGAGATATGAGCATCCGGCCAATTACAGAAGCGACGCAGAACTCACCAGGGTCTGCTACCCAGCTGATCTCACGGTCTTCGTACGAAGGATACGAGTTGTTGTAGAGAACCTTTTCCTCCTCATCTTCATCGTGCTCGTCTTGTAGCAAAGCCCTTTCGCGCAATGGTGTAGCGAACGGACTGCTTGGAAACTCGTCGGGCTTCGCGAGGCTCCTCTGGCTGCTAAGAAACACAGGCACACCAATCGACCCTGGCGCGCCAGACTCCACAGATATCTGGGAAGGCGCGTCCGAAGAGAAAGGCACTCGGAAGCCAGGAGGCGGACGTGTGGGCATGGGCGGAAGCGTTTGTTCTTGGGCCTCGTAATCATCTTCGATGAGGATGGAGCCTCTCCTCTTCTTCGGCGTCGTAAAGCGATCCTGTTGTTGGGTAGTCGGCGGAGTTTCTGGCCGCTGCTGTTCGCGTGAGAGCGTGCGCATAAGGGGGCTCGTCATGAAGCTCGGCGTTGTCGATCGCGCACGGAGGTCCTGAAGCCTGTCGAGATCGGGCTGCAGAGGCGTAGGGGGCTGAACGGGCGTGTTTGGCGTCGTCGACATGAATTCAGAGTCTGATGTGGTCTGATGACCTGCAGCAGCCATCGCCGCTGCCTGCTGCTGCTGGGAGATACGCTGAGCCTGCCTGGATCGCCGTCTGCGTCGTTTAGCAGAAGGTGAGGGCGACGGTGATGGCGAGGGGGCAGATAGCTCTTCGGCTGCGCTTGGTTGCTCAGCCTCGTTATCCCCCCGTCTCGTACGCTGCCCGATCGCGGTGAGCATGAACTGCCTTGCTGCAACCCGCTCCCCTCCCGAGACGGTCTGGCTTCGACTAAGTTTTGGCATCGTCCCTGGAGGCGCTGGAGACGGCGTCGGGTCGTACGTCTCCGTCCCACCGGTAAGCTTCGCCATCGCCAGTCTACGCCCCGCACCGGCACTGTTCGACCTGAACAGCATGCCTCGCTGGAGCAGCTCAAGTGATGGCAGCATCGGAGTAGGTGACTGTGTCTGTGCCATTGGGAACAGTGAGGGATCGGGAGTGGGAGTACGAAGGAAGCGCGTCCGTGCGTCTAGCGTCTGAGGGATAGGGGAGATGAGCATGGGCATGCCGAGAGGCGGCAGCGGTTGTGGCGGAGGGGGAGGCATCTCTTCATCTTGTGACGAGTCCCCCGCGAGCATTTGCGATGGAGTCGGCGACTTGGCTTTCCTGAACTCCTTCGAGCCCCGTCCGCGGGAGCGTGACCGGTTCCGCTTCCTATTGCGCGAGCGAGGGCGATCGGACGGGGTAGCTGGTCCTTCCTCTGCCTCTCCTTCCACATCACCCATTCCTGACTCCTGCATTGTCTCTGTCACCGGGGTTTGCGTAGGCGTCGGTTCAGGTTCAGGTTCAGGTACCAGCGCCGGAGCTGGGGGCTCGTCGTACGTAGCCTGCGGGGCCAGTGGCTCCGGAGTGGTGCCGCTGATCTCTGGCGTGCCAGAGCCGCTGTCCGTGGACGCCTTCTCTCCCTCGCTCTGGGCCTCGGTGTGCATCGGTGGGCGGCGTCCGTCCTTCATGCGAGGTAATGAGGCGGCGCGCTTGAGCTTGGCAACCGCGGATGCGCGGCGCGCGCGCGACTCGGACGTTGGTGACCGCGTCGGGTCCTGCGACATAGTGTTCCCTGTGCTGCGTCAGGACGTGTGGGAGTCGTCTGGTGTGGGCGGCGCACCTTGTTGCCCGAAATCAAAGCCGTGTTCAGTGCCAGCCTCTGCGTGAGCGCCTGCAGCGCAGGGATACGTCTGGGGTCCGGTCAGAGTGTACAGAAATTCTCCTGAATTTTTGCTCGCCTTGCTTGCTGGACGTAGGAAGGAGGAACGGGATGCGGAGGCGCAGACCTTTGAAGGATTCGGACAAGATACAAAAAGCGTAGTCGCCCTCACGTGACACGTTACGTCGTTAATTAAGGTTTGCCAATTCGTCAAGTTCAACTTCGAGGCTGATCGTGCCCGTTTCGCCGCCTCGAGCAGGCCGTGCGTTCATCGACCTCCTCCGAAACATGATGAGCGTTGCTATGGACGTAGCCAGCCACGCTCCAGTACAGGCGCCAAACCTCGCAGCTTTACTTCCAACGCAGTCTGCTCTGCACGAGCTGGGATCCAGGTTGACATCTTCGTCCCCCAATCCTGGAACCCATTCACGGCACTAGCCCTGCCGTCGGAGATTGTGTCTGTCCCTGCCCCCATTCCCTCCCTATGTAACGGCTTGCCGCGCCTATTGGGTTCCCCAGCCGCATTGCGCACGCTTCCCTCCCTGTCTCTCCTCGTATCGTCATGCAGCCTAGCCGGATGGAGTCTGGGGAAGTGCGAAAGTTCTCATAGCTGCATCTGATCCTAGTCTGCCGTCACTCTAAGGAAGTATACCCCGGTGGTGCCGTGTAATGACTCGATGGCGCTGTGTCCTCCACTTCGACAATTATGGCCCTCCGCCGGTCCATCGCAATGTCGACTTCGCTCAATTACGGTGCCGGTTGATCGCCCCTTGAGATCGAGTACTCTTCATCCCTGCTGTGTTCTTGATAGCGTTTAAAGCTGCTGTATGGGTGAGGCGGACCGTGCTCGCAGCTGCGTTGGCGATAAGCCACGTTGTACATGCATTGTGCAGGCCTTGTGTTCGGTCATGGTAATTGTGATACATCGTCATGAATAACTCTGTATCATGTTGCGCCCTCTCGCTACGCATGATAGCCTTACTTCCTTGCTCTGTTTAGCTATCAGTCAAGACTAGGAGCATACGAGCTCAGAATCGCTCACCCTAATCTGCGCCGCCGTACAAACGTACGCTCCTAGTCTCACGAGACCATCCACGTCGCGGGCTCACGGCTCCTTCGCCCGTGCACCCTCCTACTCCCGCCCTCGCTTCGCTACCACGCAGTCAGCCCTCATTCCCACCAAACGCGCATCAGCTCTGCTCACCCTCATCCATCTCCTTCCGCATCTCCTTCCAAACCGGCCTCGCGAGCTCAAAGCCCTCGTTCACCTTCGCGTACGCCGTGCCACCAAGCCGCGCGACCGCCCGCAGCTTCGCGGGATCAATTGCGCTCCCATCCGGGGTCAGTATACTCTCGTTGACGTGGACGCGCTGGATGAGACCCAGGATAAGGGTCGTGGTGGGCGGCAGGTTGGCCTGGCCGGTTTCGGAGAGCGGCACGATATCGAAGTGGTGGTAGAGTTGGGGAGGGATTAGTCCCTGCGCCGCTAGATTGCTGGTTTGACCCACCTCGCACTCGAAGTTCACCGAACTGGCATCGACTAGCGCGGGCTTGATGCCCACCTATATAGCCATGTTAGCTTTAACAGCTTCCTGCGAGTTGTAACAGAAACCCACGAACACTTGGCCGCTTCCTGAGTCCCGCAATCTTCCACTCGTCCACATCCGCCGGACACTCCACACCGAAGTCGCGTTCATAGGTACAGCGAGGTGCTCGTTAACAATGTTGACGCTGAACTGCCTCGTGGCAAGGATGTTCTCGCGTGTATCTTTGGGACGTCGGGTAGTCAGGGAGTATGAGATGCTGAGCATGGGAGGGTTATGTCCGATCTGTCCTAGCCAGGGTTCGGCGTGAGTCTTGGGGGCGAGTAGGCTGACCGCAGAGGGACAGACCATGGAAAAGTAACTAAGGAGTCGCTTTCAGTAAGAAAGTGACAGGTAAAGAAATGCAGTTTGCGAACCTGAACGGCGCCAAATTGGGCACTCCATCTGCAGAAAGCGTCGACATGAATGCGATTGGACGTGGTACTATCGCGGAGCCCAGTATCTGGTATAGGTCCCTGAGCAAGCAGACCTCTGTTAGTCGCTCCGCACACAGCTCATTCACTCAAGACACACCTGGGTACTGCATCCTTGACCTCTATAGTCTTGATCTAATCGCTAACGTGCGAGGGCGGGGGAGCCGCGCCGTCTCCTACTCTCCAACTACGTTGCGGAGGGCTGTCGACCTTGAAGGCCGGGAGGCGCGGCGTAGTTCTCAGCCCGCGTGTGTGCCGCGCAGCACAGAGCCCATGAGAGCTCAGGACTCTGGAGACAAGCATGGAAGGCGACGACGTCCAGTATTCACTGGCAAGTGGCAATTGCAGCGCTCGGCTCGGACCGTGATGCGAGCACGTGGGAATTGCTCCCGATCAATGATCGTTGCGTTTACTCCGAATGGACTGTACTTCATTGTCCTGAGTGGTCTTGCCGGCGACATTATCTGCGACTATCTGGTCAAACTGTACGCCGGGTACTGCTCTGCAAATCTCAGTACTGATACACCGTCGGGTGTGCCGAGCGGTCGGGAGTCGAAGACGTTGGCTAAGATATTTCATGCTTGTAGGGCTTTTGCTTAGAAGGCTCGCTCCTGCCTCACCGATGTATGTATCGTTTACTTGGGTTGACCACAAGGTATTCTGCCTCACTCCGCGCGCCACCGTAGAAGTGATTGGAATATTGAACGTGAGATCGTGCCGACGGCCGACGGGGTCTCGACCTCGTGAATGATGTCAGCCGGCGCCTGCGCTGAAATTGCAGCGATGCCGAGTGGATGACTGTGTAACTACTTCCTGCACGTACGCCTTGCTCGTTCCCCCCGTTCTGCGCGCGCCAGGTGCGTTCAATCGCGCGAAGGCGACTGCTGCGGCACCTCTGCATTGAGTGGCGCACGTGGATAGATCCGAGGTTGCATTCATCAACGGGCGTGCCCAATGGCGCGTCTTGCCTTACTCCCCCACTCACTCCGCCCGACCGCGTCCCTGCGCCAGACGACCCGCGTTTTTGCGTCTCTCGCCCGCACACAAACGCGCATCCTACCACTGCATCCCCCAGTCCCCCTCCTTTGCCCTCTCGCCACCATGCAGCGCCGTCCGCATTCGACTGGGAAGAAGGGCGAGGACGCGCACACACACGAGCACGAACACACGCACGAACACGAGCACGGCGAGCACGGGCACGACCACAAACACGGACTCTTCACCGGGCACTCGCACGAAGACCATGCGCAAGAGGCCGAGCAGCTGATCACTGCGCTCCAACGCGGTGCGTACAGCTCTTCACTGCGGTCCACCGTCCCCTTCACTGACGCGCAGTACAGGCGACAGGGGGAGCAGAATAACAATCATTGGCTTGCTGTCCAACATCGGGCTCACAGCCGTGAAGGGCGTTGCAGGATGGGCGATGCATTCTGCAAGTCTCATGGCTGGCAAGTCCCCAATCCATCACGTGCTCGACGTGGCTAACCCCCCTCCTACCCCCTTCAGACGCCGGTCACTCGCTCAGTGGTACGTGGCACGCAACGCACCCTACTTCTCATCCTGATCGAGTGCCCAGACCTCCTCGGCGACTTTGTCGTCCTCATCTGCTGGCGGCTGTCCCGCAAGCCCAGCTCAGAGCGCTATCCATTCGGCTACGCAAAATGGGAGTCCGTCGGCACCACCACCGTTTCCCTCCTCCTCATTGGCGGAGGTGCGTATCCCCCGCATCCAGCTCCTTTTACCCCGCACTGACCCGCATCCCGACCCCAGCCCTCGGCATCGGCTTCCACTCCTACCACCTACTCCTCCATGCTCTCTCCGACGCCGCCGCTACGATGCCCGCGGGACCGCTGCACACCATGCTCGTCAACGTGACCGCGGTCGCCCCCGACGTGCCCGAAATTCTTGTTGAAGACCATACCCATGGCGTCGATGTCAATGCGGCGTGGTTCGCAGGGCTCAGTATCGCTGCAAAGGAAGTACTATACCGTGCGACGAAGAAGGTCGCGCTGGAAGAACAATCACCGGTCCTGCTCGCGAATGCCGTGCACCACCGGAGTGACGTGTACGGCTCTGCTGTCGCGCTCTTTGCCATCTTGGGCTCCTGGGTATGGCCAGCGCTCCCGCTGGATCCGTTGGGCGGTGCGTAGGCATGAGCATATCGTGCGACAAACCACTGAGCCCATTCGCAGGCCTCTTGGTCTCCATCGTCATCCTCAAGCAAGGCTTTGACCTGCTCGTCGGCTCCTGGAACGACCTCATCGACCGTGGTGTTTCGCCTTCGACTCGGAATAGCCTGCGCAAATCTCTCGAGCCCCTCATGGTCTCCCGCGCGACCACCGACGCCGAGGTCGCCGCGCTCTTGGACATTAAAGATATTCGGGCCAGGCGGGCCGGGTCGGTGATGTACGTCGACTTGACAGCCGTGGTCCCGGGCTCTACGACCATATCGGGTGCGGCATCGTTGGAGGACAAGATTACGGAGACGCTGAGGAAGGCGAAGAAGGAGGTGACGGATGTGCGGGTGCGGTTCGAGCCGGAGGAGAGGGCGCGGCAGTCGTGAGATGAGCGTTGTCGTGGTTGAACGGGGGTTTTGGGTAGTCTGTAGGTGTGTATGTATACATAATAATAGGTCTTTCCCGCTGCGAGGCAACTGGCTTCGATAAGGATTTCGCATGTACTTAATGTGAAGGACCATGGATCACAGGTATTTTTGAGGGGCAGGCTCGGGTTGTAGACCGTTATAGATACTTGTCCACTCCTCGCCCAGAGCAGCGCGTCGCACATCGATGGTGATACCAGCCGGCGATATAACGCGGTGGGGTGGAAAAGCAACGGGAAGGTGTCGAAGGCCATACGGGATCCAGAGGACGGGCACAAGAGATCCGTCAGCTGTTTCTGCGCGAAGCCACCCGTCCTCCTTTCGAGTATCGGCCCGCATGTACGATGCGATACACTCGGAAACGCTGCCGTGCAATCGACGAGGACTAACCTGCGAAGAACGCGCGCCATATCGTCAGCGACTATTCGAGCGCGAGCTGCAACAGTTCACAAACCTCGCTGTCATTCGCGGAAACTGAGTCAAGGACGTCCGAGCGAACCTTCGCGACCCCCACGGACTCGAGGATTTCGGCAGTGTCCCACACCCGAATACTGTAATCCTTCGACCCCGACACGATGAAGCGCCCGTGCGAGGCGAATGCAACAGAGTTCACGTAGTCTTCGTGTCTGAGCGTCACGCCGACTTGCCTGCCCGCGCTCACGCTCCAGAGTCGTACCGTGTTATCATCCGAGCCTGAGGCGATGTACTTCCCGTCAGGAGAGAAGGCGAGGGAATTTACTGGAGACTCGTGTCCTTGAAGTGCGTGGCCGATTTTCTGACCGCTTGACGCATCCCATAGCCAGATCGGATGACTGGTGTCGTAGTACGCCGCTGCGACTATCTGGCCATCTGGCGAATACGCAACGGAGTTGACCCATAGCCAACCGCATCCGTGCAAGACAAATTGCTCTTTCCTGGTCGCGAGATCCAGAATGCGGATTGTACAGTCATTCAACCCTGCCGCGACATGCTGGCCGTCTGACGAGAACGCGACAGAACTGACTTCCCGGCGGTACGTCGCGAATGCCGTGAATGGTTCACCTATGTGCTTCCCTGTAGCCAAATCCCATACTCGAACGGTACCGTCGTCGGATCCTGACGCAATGAGAGTTCCGTCGGGAGAGAACACAACGCAATTGATGGCGTCCGTGTGCCCCTCAAGAGTAATCTGGTCGCCTGTCGTCAGATTCTTCACTTGTACCGTACAATCGTTTGAGCCTGCGGCCAGGCGGTCGGCAGTGGGAGAATATGCAACGGACTTGATCTGGTAGCCGCATCCTTCGATGATCTTGCCTAGGCCCTCACCCGTTTCCGCATCCCATCCGCGTACAGTGCGATCCTCTGAGCCAGAGAATATGCGTCGTGCGTCAGGCGAGAGTGCGATGGAGTGTATAGCCATGTTGTGGGCTTTGGCGTCCGACAGATCACCGCGTACTGCGTCGGGTATGTCCCACACGCGGATAGTGCGATCGTCAGCACCAGATGCGATGCATCTACCATCCGGCGAGAATGCCAGACAGTTGACATACTCATCATGTCGCCCGACTACATCTCCGAGCGCCTGCCTGGTCAGTATATCCCATACGCGAACGGTACAATCGCGGGAGCCTGACGCGAGGCGGGTGCCGTCCGGTGAGAATGCAAGGACGCGAATGTCCCTCAGGTGCCCAATCAGCATGTTATCGAGCTGATCGCCAGTGGCCACGTCCCACAGGCGAAGCACACGCTCTCGCCAAGAGCCCGTCACCAGGAGTCCCCCATCAGGCGAGAGAGCAGCGCACCGTACGCGCGCATCCCCTATTTGTAGAGAGATTGAGCGGATCTGCCTCCCATCGGGCCAATGCCACACGCGCAAGGTATTATCTTGAGAGAACGACGCCAGATGGTTGTTATCCTGTAAGAATGTGGCAAATATGACCGCGGCGCTATGGCCTACAAGTGATTTGCCCATCTGTATACCAGATATCGGGTCAAATACTCGGACATTGTAGTCATTCGCGGTGCATATGGCCGTACGTGCGTCCCGGGAAAATGCGAGGCACTCCATGTCTTCGACTTGGTGGGACGGGACCTCACAGGCCGCACACTTCAGATGTCCGGAGGCCAAGTCTAAGAATCGCACTTCAGTGCCTTGCATGGCGAATGCGAGATATGTGCCATGGGAGGAGCACACCACGTGGGTTGCGCCATGATCGAAGTCGAGTATCTTGCCCGTTCGGTTTCCTGTAGCTACATTCCAGCATCGAACAGTATAATTGCCTACGCAGGCGATCAGGGACTTGCCGTCCAGTGAGTACGTTATGGTTTTCACTGTCGCCCGAGCGTCGATGATCGCGTTTTTGTCGTCTGGCCAGTCATCGTCTGTCGCGTCCCCAGAGACAGCAGACACCAGGCAAGAGAAAGATCCGCTCATTTTGCGAAGAGCGATAGCGGAACGAGGACTAAAAACCAGACCACTGGTATAGGTCTGAGGGGCAGACGCCATGATGCCTTCTCGGAACCGCGCATTAAACTTGATGCAATCTTGGATGAGTGTTCGCATTTCTGGCGTGCCATTTCCCTTGATATAGTGAGTGCTGGACTCGGAACCACATGAGTTTGCATATTTACCTCTGCCCAGATCAAATAGCGTTGTAGCTCTTCGGAAGGCACAGACTGAAGGTTCAACCAGCTACAAGCCTCCAACCAGAACAGGAATTGAGTCTGTAGGAAGTAGTGGACACGCGTGGTCAGACATAGCTTATGGTCCGCTGCATCGAGAGACCCAGATACGGTGCTTTCTTGCAGATGGTATCCAGCAGCACGGCATGCATATTGCACGCCAGGCGATATATACCGCTTTACCCTGTGCGAGAGGTCGGGAATCGCGCTGTTGAGCACGAACGAGGTGGAAATGCGGCAGATATTGAAGCGCAAGCCGCTAACGGGGTCGCCCATCATGCGGAAGCAGGTATCTGCGAGCCTGAACGGCAGCTGAGGATCGATGGTGATGGCGAAAGCACCGCTAGCTTCGGCGTCTAGGATAAAGTCGCGGAACGAGCTATGCAGGGGTCGAACAGGCTGGCCGCCATCTCCGCCGAGTCCCGTGAGGAGCGAGCTCAATCCGCTGAGCGCGTCGTCGATGTCTGCGCCAGGAAGCAGCACTTTGCCAAAATCCACGAAGACGGCTCGATTTTGGGCGCTGTGGGCCAGAAGAATCCAAGCAAGTACTTGCTGGTAGACATCCATCATCTCGCCATCATTTGGGTCGAAATGAGACTGGAGAATGACCTCGTACATTGCGTAGAGCCTTTGCCCAGGCGCTTGCATGACGCGCGCGATGAGAGTGCTTGAGGATATCGCGAGCCTCGGGTTGTCTTCCCTAGTGAGCTCTCGGCACAGCAGCGCGGCGCACTCGAAGAGGTTCTGCGCCGCATGAACGACATCGTCTGCCAGATTCTCTGCAGGCGTATGCGCAAGCTTTCCTCCTACGAAGAGCCTAATATCGCCTTCCGTATCCAGGGTGTCGTCGATGGGCAAGAACCGAACAAAGTCTACCCGCGATGCGAGATAGGTCTGAATGTCGCGGTCCGGACGACTGGTGATCAGAAAGCGGATATTGCGAGGAATGATCTCGTCGCCCAAGCAGTCACGGAGTATCTCTAGCAATGCTCTGCGTTTGGCCGCAAGCCCGGCGCTTCTCGAGGCATCGGCTTCGTCTGAATAAGGACATTCATCGAGCGCATCGATAATGAATACGATAGGGACGGAGGTCGAGCAATTGCTGAGAGGACCCGTGACTGATTGTTCGAATTGGTCGCGTATATCCAGGGTGGATAGCACGTCCGAGTCTAATGCGCATAGATTGTCGTGGTAGGACTTGCTGTGGTACGCCAGCTGCAACGCCCACGTAGGAATGAGTTGATGGGCCGCCCGATCACGATCCGCGTTGTCGAAGGCGAAGAACGGTGCAAGGACCCCAATGTTCTTCAGCTGCAAAGCCGCTGAGTGTGCGACAGCCGACTTTCCCGCCCCAGCAACACCGTGCAGAAACAGAGCGCGCTGACCATCAGGGTTGAAGACCCACTCTTGGATTTCACGCAGTACCGTGGTCCGAGTTCCCGGCAAGCAGCTCCGTGACGTACCCGCCTGGATGTGTCGTGCGTAGGGGAGGTGCTCCAGGGCTTCCTTGTTAACTTCGACGCGACGGTGAGTCGCAACACGAGATTCAGAGAGGCGAGCTTACAGATATTCTGGGCCAGTCGTTCGACGCGGAAAACGGCGGTCTGCGTGTCTAGATGGCCCTTCAGATGTACCTCCTGTGTATATAATTGTAGTTTTTGGCGTAGTATCTTGACTTGCTCGCTTGTTCTCCTTGATGTGCGGTCGCCTGGACGAGAAGATCTGCATTCAGCGCTGGCCGTTGCGAAGGAATACCCAGGCGTACCAATTCCCGCTCGACCTACTTCGCTAATCAAGGTCAGGGCACAATAGATTTGTAGTACGAGCGCTTCGCGAGCCTCTCGTTGCTTCGCTCGTTGGTCTTCATACTCTGGTTCGTCGAGCTCTAGTGTGACTTTGCAGGCTGCGCTCGTCTCGTCAATGAGGCAAAGAATGGCCTCATTGCGCTCGATTCTCGTGCCGAGGACCTAAGGGGACGTGAGTCTGACACCTCGCAGCAAGAACGATCCACTTACGTCGACGCCCATTTGCAGCAGCGCCAGTACTGCCTTTGAGATGGGGTTCACCTACAGCGTGGAGTCAGGTACTGATTACATGGCATGCGTCGCGGCGTACTTCTGCAGCGATGGTCCCAATTTTAACAACACGTCGAACATATCTCTCCATAGTCGCCCATTTGTCGGATACTGTTAAAGGAGCTGCCATCGCTATCGCGTCTACATCGCCATCGCATCGGGCCGTCACGGTCAGGGCTAGGCTAGCTTTGCTCGACAACGCTGAGCTGCACGATTCGAGTGGCACTGGCGATGGGTGATTGGATTAGAAGCGATTCGCGCAGTGCAGACCAATCGTTTGGTGTATGACGCACACGCTTGGACTATCCCATCTTGATTCAGCAGCGTGTCCAACGAGCATTGCTGGGTTGCGATGCGCTCATCGGCCTTGAAGCGGTGCTCTGCGAAAAGCTGTATCCGAAGAGTCGACGCTGGCCGCGCGGTGCTGTACGAGATCTAAGAGAGAGCCCCGACTGAGATCGTCGTAAAGCTCACAAGTCAAGGTGCATGTCCACCTCAAGATCGCATCGCTTGTATTCCCCGTCGCCAACGGCGAACGTGGCGTACAGGCGTCGAGTTCGCTTTCGCAACGCAAAGCGGTCCTTCTGGATACGCGGAACCTCGTCATTTCCAGGAGCATCTATGCAAGGCGGATTAGAGACTGCTGTTCGGGCCCGAGGCAGTCGAGTATGCACGCACGGTGTATAGTGAAGAGGTAGGCTCGATCGGGGCGCAGACCGTGTGCAACGCCCATGGTGGAAGGGGCTAAGACGGTGCTAGCTTCGTCACACCTGCAATTGCAAGCGCTCGCGCACGCCTCCCACGCCTTATGGGGTTCTTCGTGAGACTCGAGCGATGTCATACCAAGAGCAGCAAATGTTGGCATTGACCTATAGCGATACACGCTTCCTTCGATCAGACACGGAGCGTGCATTGCGACTGCGCGCCAGAGTCCTCGTACGGTCTGATTCTGAAGCCTTTGTTACTCCGCTCTGGTCAAGCGCAACTGACCTTGTTTGCGGGAAAAGTGGCGCTTGCGCGGTCCGAGTTGCCGAACTGACGTTCGAACCTTGATCACAACCATAGTCATTATTCCAAGTGCAGATCTCTAGTTAGGGCAGCAAATGGACTTCCGCATGCCATTCGAGTTCGGCCGGATGAACGAAGATCGTCCTTTCTTCTCCAAGAGGTTATATCGGCGAAGGGGAAACAGTGGGTGCATGAACCTCCTGTAGCCGCCGTTGAGGACTCGGGCACGACTAACACACTCGAAGGAACCACGAGGGTGCATCACAATGCTCTAGAAGTCTAGGACTACTTATGAAATCATCCCAGCTTGACGTTGAATGCTCGGTGACGCCCTAGCTAACATACGAACCCAACGACAGGCCCTGCGAAGCAGCGGTTGGGGGCGAGCTGACCTTTCGCCACAAAGGCGGCTAGTGTGGACGAAGGGGAGACCAAGTATCATATGCTTACGGGACAAAAGTTGACGGAACAGCGGCTCACAAGCAGGATGAGGCCGCGGGCCCGATCAATCCTTGATACTGGATACGCATGTTCACGGGGATTGTGTCGTCCAAAGGAAGTTCATGTCAGAAGGTTCGTCGTGCAGAGCTCTTGTCACTCCCTGCAAGTTGGGTTGAAGAGTACAGAGCAGAGTCGTGAATGTTGCCCTCGACCAATCGCTCTGCAAAGACGCGACTCGTCACCGGCTGTTTCCCGCGGTTAAATGTCTTGGCCTGGGACGAAGCGTGCGTCTACTTCAGTTGCTTCTTAATGGTGGGTAAGACGATTATGTGGCCTTTATAATGGATGGCTCAGCTGGAACGGATAGCTTTGCGCAAGGCTGAATTCAGCGAAGGCCAAGACGGAAGGGAGGCCGAGAAAGCCGCTAGCTGCGTCTGTGGATCGCATCCGCACAGGGGAGCCCGAATCGGACAAGTGTCTTCTTTCCGTGGGAATTACGTTCGGATTCGAGGTTCGCTCGGCGTCGCACGGGGATGGACAGTGTCTGCAGGTTTGCGATCTTGTCGGAGGTGAGAATTATTCGACTCATCCTGACTCGCAGGAGGTCGACGCTCGTGCGCGATCCGTCAGACAAGGAGCGGCTGGCTGTAGGGCCCTTGGAAGCTCACTCAGCGGGTGGTGGCCAAGATGCAGTATAAGGAGCAGCGACGACTACGAGCTTCACTACCTCTGTAATTTGCAGGCCTACCAACTCACTTTCATCGTTCTTCGAGTTCAAGAATGGCTACCACTGTCAAGGCGTACGGCGTCACGGGCCCCAACGAGCAGCTGAAGCCGCTCTTCATCGAGCGTCGCGCGCCGGACGATAACGACGTCGTCATCGACATCAAGTACGCGGGTGTCTGCCACAGCGACATCCACACTTTGCGCGGGGTACGCGCCCCCTTGTCCTCCCTCGTATGGAACGGGAATGCTGACAACAGAACCAGGACTGGGGCGAGATCCCATTCCCCATGGTCGTCGGCCATGAGATCACTGGCGTCGTTCGCAGCGTCGGCAAGAACGTTACCAAGTTCAAAGTCGGCCAAAACGTCGGCGTTGGTACCCTCGTGAACTCCTGTCGCACCTGCGAGAACTGCAAGGACGGCGAGGAGCCGTACTGTCTCGGCAACGACGAGCTCCCTGGCTATGTCGCCACATATAATAGCAAGGTCAGTTTCTCGCACTGGACCTCCTCCGCGAACCCGGTTGCTCAACGTGCGTGATAGGACTGGAAGGCGAACTGGACACCGACAAAAGGCGGGTACTCGCAGATGATCGTCGTCGACCAGGACTTCGTCCTGAGCATCCCGGACGGCATGTCTCTGGATAAAGCCGCCCCCCTCCTGTGTAGGTAGCTTGCCTTTACTGTCAGAATGATTTTCTGACGATGAATAGGCGCCGGTATCACGATGTACTCGCCGCTCCGTTACTGGAACGCTGGTCCTGGCAAGCGCGTCGCTATCATTGGCCTGGGTGGTCTCGGCCACATCGGCGTCAAGATCGCGAAGTACGTTGTTAGCTCTTCGCGTCAGTCTCTGAAAAACTGAACTTCGGCTAGGGCCCTCGGCGCGGAGGTCACCGTCCTCTCCCAGTCCCTCAGCAAGAAGGAGCTCGGCCTTAAGCTCGGCGCTGACCAGTACTTCGCGACGGCGGATGCACAGACCTTCGAGACGCTCAAGGGCCACTTCGACCTCATCCTCAGCACCGTCTCCGCGGACCTCGACTTCGACCAGTACTTGTCGCTCCTCCGCCGCAACGGCAGCCTCGTCGAGGTGGGCCTGCCCGAGGAGCCGATGAAGGTCCACGCGTTCAGCCTTGTTCTCGGCCGTCGCAGCATTTCCGGGTCCTCCGTCGGTGGCCTTAAGGAAACGCAGGAGATGCTGGACTTCTGTGGTATGTCCCCGCTATTTCGATTCAGAGCGTCCGACTCTTATGTGCATCGCAGCGAAGCATGACATTGCTGCTGATATTGAGACCATTCCAGCCTCTTACATGTATGTCCATCCGTATCGTCTTCGCGTTTGTCGCTGAATATCGTTGCAGCAACGAGGCTTGGGAGCGCGTGCTCAAGTCCGACGTACGCTTCCGCTTTGTCATCGATATTGCTACGCTGTAAGACCGTAAGACAGGCCTACTGTATACAAGATCGTGCCCATGATGAGCTATAAGCATGACATTTCCTAAATACGAACTTCGACCGCGTTGTTGCAAACCTGATGAGACACCTGAAAACCTCACCTCTTGAACCGCAGCGTCTGGAGTCGCGACAGCGACGACTCGCAAGTGTACAGATTACTTGAGATTTCGCCTGTTCCCCCTGGAGAGCATATGGTACGTAATTTCGCTCGCTCAAACTGCGGCTTGGAAAAACGATTGGACAAACTCCCATGCTACTACTACTGTGACGGCTTCCACCGAGACGTTCATACCAAGTTCAAGGACTCCTTCACTGACTTCCAATTGTGCGCCTCCCACAGGTGATTCGCCCCGCCGGCGCCATCCTCGTCGCATATCCTCGTTTCTGTGTTCAGAAGCCCCCGCTCGGCGATGTCCTGTATCTGCTGCAGATATTCCGCGGTGATCTTCTCATGATTCATGGGCACCTCATCGACCTCCACGACGTCCGCATTCAGTAGTGCACCGAGTTCCCGGAATGTTACGTGGCCACCCTCAATGCGTAGCGTTTTGTTAGCGAGTTCGGACAGCGGGTAGTGGGTGACAACGTGGGCAACAAAGCCTGGAGTTATCTGGATGAGCGCTTCCAAAGCTACGAAAAGCTTACCTCCGATGTCGCTAGTGTGCGTAACGGACACCGGCGTGTTCCCTTCAATGCCCTTGAGCAGGCTGATCTTCTTGTTGACGGTGTAGCCGACCATCGGAAGGGTGAAGGTTTCGAAGGCGCCGGTCTACGGCGAGGTTAGTCAGAGACAGACAAAGGCGGGTTACGGCGACTAACGAAGATGCGCAAGGATGGCAAACCGATGAATTCCAGATGTTCTACATGAGGTAGATGAGCATAGTACAATCAACTCCGGTCTGAGCAGTTGACGTACCCGCAACCTGTATCTTCGGCGCCAGGAAGAACGGCGCCTCTGCCAGAGGGAACCCTTGGCTGATCGTCCCGAACTCGCTTGGGACGAAGAGCTTGACGCCAGCCGCCTTAGCGGCGTCGGCGAGGGGAATCTGTTGGATGATACCGCTTCCGATCGAGATGACGACCTCGACCTGGTGCTCACGAAGGAGGCTCGCAGTCCCTGTAACATCATCGTAGTCGACAGGTACATAAGCGACCTCCTTTGGGAGCCACCCGGGCCGAGTAGTAGTTTTGCGGGTGAGCACGAGCACGTAGGCTCCTGGAGTGGAGGTTAGACCCTCGAGGAGGGGTTCTCCAACCGCACTCTGCACGCCGGAAACAGCGAAGGATTTGAAAGTCGCAGACATGCCGGAAAGAAGGGGGTTGCTGCACCAACGTTGAAGGGGCGAGGGATCCTGGTGCGTCACCAAGTCCACACGGTTCATCCTTTATGGGAAGGACTCACAGTATCGGGGATTGAGCGTCGACGGTCGATGCGGCTTAGGGAGTCGATGAACAGGTGCAAGCCAAACATGCTCAGTTTTGTGGTCCTGAAGAAGCGCGAATGCGAACCGACGATGTCTGATGGGCAGAAACTCATGGATCAGGTTCGAAAGAGGCGGTTGACTTCTCGGGCGCTATCCCGTACAAGCGGAATTCGATTCAGCATGTAAACCGCCTATCGGACGAGATCTAGGTGATAAACGAAGAACGAAGACTCTGTACAGATTAAGCAGAAAATCAGGATGAACGAGACAACCTCGCACCTATAACATAAGGCAGGTCGCTGCAATTCAGCTACGACCTGCCTACACCCTGCTTCCCGTTGGCGTCAAACGTGCCACCTTTGGCAGCTCGAGCGGATCGGTCGTGTCCTCGTGAGCGAAGCTGACTGTCTGACGCGTCAACGTCGTACTAGCGGGGTTCGTCGCAACCGCCCAACGGGATGCGTCAGTCGGTGTCAAAGTACCCTGGCGCGCCACCCCCAGCGTGACGCGCACGTTGATCAACATGTACGCGATGCCAGATATCTCTGCCGTGCAGTCCATGACAGGGAGAAAGAGCGGCCAGTGCATCGCGTAGAAGACCATCAAGATGGCATCGTAGACACTGTGAAGGGATGCCATTGCTTCGTGAGTCGTCAAGTGGAACACCAAGAGAGCCGACTTACAGGACGAGCGCAGCGCTTTCCACGAAGATGACCAGGCTTTCCTAGGACGTGTCAGCACTGAGAATAGCGCCAACAGAAAAAGCTCTTACGGAGAGGCATGGGCCGTCACAGCGGGTCGAGTGCTTGGCTGACTTCCAGAGGCGCCATGAGATCATTGCTGCGATCGGTCGTGAGCCTTGCTGTATGCGACTGGGTGGGCGACAAGAAGATACCCGTGCAATAAGCGTTCACTCTATGTCACAGACGTCAGCGCCGATGCTAAGCGGAGGAAGGATGCGATCATCTCACAGCAAGTCCAACGCAAGGATCAAGATGGTTGTCGCATAGCTCCGTTGGCTCTTGAAGCTGCTGCCGGTGCCAGGCGAACTCTCCTGCGTTGTTGACGTCAGTTAGTTTTTTTCCAGTAGGTCACAGCCATGATCAAGCTCACAGCGTAGTGACTGATGAGCTCCCCAAATGCCGTTGCTGTAGGAAGCGTCAGGGCAGTCAGTTGCTTTCTAAAATTTGCACTGACCAATGGCCCCGACGAGCGAAAGGAGCGGAATGCAGACGATCCACTTGCGATCTTGCCACACGATGTACAAGCGATATATCTATCCCATTTCAGCCATCTTTCGAAGCAGAGATCGAATGCACCATACCACGAGAAAATCGGCGACCGTCACTGTAAAGTACACGATCGCAGTCTTGACGAAATAGAGCGGCTCGTCAGAGTCGGCGAGATACGAACTGCCCGCTGGACTCCAGAAGATAGCTCGATACAGCTGCACACAGCAAATCGCCCAGTGCTACAGCAAGAATTCAGCAAGGCGTCGAAGATTTAGCAGAGCATCGAATTTTGTCTGCCAGATGACGCACCAATGTGACGGCCACAATCAGAATGATAATGCCTGCAAGGATCCACCAGTTCAGAGGTTTCTGGCGACGGATGCGCTTCCTGCACATGTAAAAGATCGACGGCAGGGCGAGGGTGAGGAAAAGCCCTTGAAGGAGAGACTGGACGGTGAAACCCCAGAACCCAATCGCAGTGTCGTTCATGCTCATGCTATCGTGAGTACAGTAAGGAAGAGGTGCGGGGGAAGGAAGGTTGAGGAGGGAAGGAGAGAATACGGGTCAAGGAGGGATGCGGGGGAGAGAAGGAGAGGAGGACTTGGGAGCTGTCAGTGCGGGGTCATATAGATCAGAAGTCAGTGATGAGTACTCAACAGCGTCCCAGAGGCAATTCGTCAGTTGAGCTCCGTCACTCACCCATCACTTTGGACGCGGCATTGACGGATACGATGATGGGGGTCGATGTCAGGCAAATCCTTACTATCCAGGCGACGAAGGTCCAGCCATAGCAGGCGAGATGACCTCTCACACTTTATGTACGGTAGTCAGTTCGTAAAACATTCCTTTCGTTACGAACTCTCCATTGTAGGAGAAATTGCATCTAGATGTGGCCAGCGTCAACGTCAGAGAGATCCGGATAAGAAGCATCTTACCAGTCTGTTCGAGGTCGTGAGGCGATATCGTCGCATCGCTAGACGGGAGTGTGGCCGATGGTACCTTGACACTGTCGCCAACGGTCTTGTCATCCAACTGTTCGGCCGTCTGTTCCGTAGTGGAATCGCTTGTCGGGTACGCGACCGCCCACTCGAGCGCGCTGCGCGGAGCTGAGATACCCTCGCGCGCGATACCGAGAGACACACGGACACTGATGAGCACATATGCGGTCGCTGCAACCACGGGAAAAATGTCTATGAGAAGCAAGCAGACAAGCTCGTGTAGCGCGTATGCGCTGAGGGCAGCAACGCCGCAGGCTCTGTAAAAAAATCCGGTGTTCAGCGGCACCGATGACCGATGGCAGCTTGGATATGTATGTACGCACAGAGATGCGCCCGAGCTTTCAATGAATATGACGAGGCTGTCCTGCGATACACGAGGGTAAGGACGCGGACCTAGCAATCGAAAGCAAATACTTACAGTAAGTTTTGGGCCACCCGAACCGACACCAGCATGGAAGGATTTCCAGATGCGCCAGGAGATCATCACTTCGAGCGTATGAGCTATTGCTCTTGACCGAAAAGCAGCCCCTTACGTGTGCAATAAGCGTTCAATCTGGAGAGGACTGGCGTCAGAGTTGACATGTTGTTGTCTCAGTCTCAAGGGTTCACCTACGACATGTCCATAGCGAAAATTGCGAAGATCCATTTCGAAAAGGGTGGCTTGTAGATGCTATCCGTAGGGCGCTCTGACTGAATCTCCATCAGCCAGTAAAAAGGGATGTTTGGGTGCGGACTTCACGTCGAAATGTAGATATATTTCGAACACCTCTGCGGCTGTTCCAGATATGTTAGCTGTCAACAACGGTGGACAGGACATGGACCCACCGGCGGACACAAGGAGCAGCACAATGGGCAGGAAAAGCACCATCACTTGGTCACGCCATATCATATGGAGGCGGTAGATCTGCCAGGGGTGAAGCGTCAGCCCGACTGGTGGCTGGCCAGCGTACGGAAAGGTATGCTTACGAGCAGCGTAGCGGCGACGGAAAGAGTCAGGTACAACAAGGCTGACTTGGTGACATACGTCGGCTCGTAAAAATCTGTGATGTAATAATCCGCGTCGGTGATGCCAGGCGAGAAAAAAGCCCCAAAAAGTCGCGCAAAGCCTACAGCCCAATGCTGAAGGGAGAAAAATTAGCCCAGTGCCGTTACTCAGTAGATAGTGGGCATACCGCAGTAACGCTGGCAATGAGCGCGCAGACTCCCCCAAAGACCCACTTGTCAAGAGATGCATTGCGCTTCCGCCTTTGCACCATAAAGTACAGCGAGAGAAAAGCGGTTGACAAAAACAAGCCCAGTAATAGCGTCTCAATCGCGAAGCTGATGAAAAAGATGCGAATCGGTTTGTCTTCGGCCATGCTAGACAATCGACGAGACGAGAGGCAGCAGTTTTGCACCCCGGCGTGTCCTTATAGATTCCCGAGAGCCTTCACCGCCTTCCATCACCTATAAGCATCTTCTGTCGGATCGAATAACACTGTTATTCAAGAGGGAACATACGGGTGGCGACTGCGATCATCCCACACAGACCGATATCCAAGGATCAAAGGCGGATGTGGCGAGGAGAGCAGTACTGTTGAGAACGCCTTCGACGCAAAGAGCTCATATTGGAGCAATACATGTGAGAACGATATCCAAACGCAACCATCGTAAGAGGCAAGACGATGCAATGACTATCGTTGTCGAGTACACTCCGAGTGTTTCCCATTGTTTGGCATAGATATCATTCGTACGCACTTTGCCGGGCCAAACACCTGCGTTCATTGTCCCGTCGCATCAGACGAGGGCGAAGCTCAGCCCAGACACCAGGACGCACTGTAGTCTCAATTCAGACAAATGGATGCTTGATTCGGCTTTCGCGAAACACACGGCATGTTCGTCTAGAACAGAATGAACGGCTGAACATTAGGTAGGTACTATTGTGGTGGTATATGGTACATTGCGATGTTCCAGATTCTGTGTGGTATCGTGGACATTAGCGTGCGATGCGACAATATCAAGTATGTACATGGGCGTGTAGATGGGGGTGTTGAGTTCCAGGGAAGATGCGTCTGTCGTGAATGCAGCAGGAAGTGGACGAGGAACGGGAAGGAGCAAGTCGGTGAGCGAGGGCGCCAGGTCGACGGGCAGGAGCGCTAATATCAAAGGATAAGTATACCAGGCGTGCGGGGAATACGAAAGTCAAGCACTGAACGACCAGTCCCGGCTTAGTGCCTTGCCACGGTCGGTGTCCGTTGCCCCTCGTCTTCCTGCGCGGCCTTCCACTCGCCGAACTGGTTTTCCCCATCCTCCAGCGGCTCGTCGATCAAGCTCGCCGACCGGCTGCGCGCGGCACTGTTCACCCCATACGGGCCAATGCCGCTGCTGAGCAGCCCGACAGCCTCCACATCCCCGCTCCCACTCGCACCGCCCGCGTTGATGCCCTTGCCGCGGTGCTCGTCCTCTGCGTGGCGCAGGGGATTTTGGTGGTGGTCGACATCATCGTCCTCGCCCAGATCATCGTCGCTAGGCTCGCCGACTGTCCACAGGACGTGCTGCTCGCCGGCCTCGGGATTGTCATCCTCAGCAAGGCTCTGTGCTTCCTCGTCATCGACCTTCTTGCTCCGAGGGCGCTTGGGACGCGGGCGCGCCTCAGCTGCGACCTTGCTAGCGTCCGGCACCTCGGGCTTCTTGTGGGTGAGGAGGACGACACCCGAGATCAAGATGAGGATAGCCACAAAGATGAGGAACAGCGTCCATGGCTGATACGCGTCAACCTCGTTATTGAAGATCAACGAGTCAAGGAAGCTGCAAGAGGATGAGTCGAAGCAGAGGAGCAGCAGCATGAAACGTACCCAGATGCAGTGTAGACACCGTAGAATACAGGAACGACCAGTGTTGACTCATATACCTTCAGACCCTTGTTCAAGCATATGATTTGCATGACGGCCGTGCAAGCGAGGAGAATGATCGTGAAGATGGGCGCAGCGTGTCCGAACTGGTTACCAGTGTTCTCGTGCGAAAGCGAGCCGGAGAGAAGTTTGACGGTCGCTTTGGCGAAGACCAGACACAGGCCAGCAAGTCCGCCGCCTGCGCACGCCCAACCGATGCCCAGCGTCCACGCAATCAGCTTGTCGTCCTTTGTAGCCGTCCATACTTCGAGATAGTACGTGAGCATCGTCATGATGTACGTCCAGAATGCCATGACCGAGCGGAACGCTCGTACGATAGCATTGCCGCCGTTCGGGTTCGTGGGAGGTGGGCGGGGGGAGGTCGAGATCTCGTTGCGCGAGACGAGAAGGCGGTCGAGGCGGTCGGTGCAGATGAGATGGAAGATGAGGGAGATAGCCATGACGAAGAAGTAGCCAAGCCAGCCTCCGCGTCGCCAGAGGTGTGTAAGGCTGTCCACATCCGTGCCTTCAGCAAGGCCAGAGTTGATGCTGCCAAAGGCGACGATGCCAATGACGCCCTGGGAGACGAGTCAGCGTGGGTATGCAATGCTTGCGCTGAACTGGACGAACAAGGATGATCGTGACGGTGCCCTGACGGAATGTTAGTCTTGACATCCTCCATGAGAAGAGCAGGACGCACATAGATGTCAGTAGACGTTACTGGTGTGCCAACAAGGAAACGCGCAAACAGGAAGTTGAAGATGAGGGACGTGGACCCAAGAGGCGCGACATATTCTGGTAACCAGTGGGTATGAGACATGCAGAACGCAACTGCAGCTGGACGTACCTGCACGCATATACTCTAGTGCGAGCGTAGATCCTATAAGCTGGGACAATCTGAGGGTTGTCGTGAGCGACGAAGGTGAGGCAGCCGGGTAGCACTCACATATACAACAACATGCCGAGCAACCATAATGGTCGCATCCAGTCCTTCCTTCGTTGCGCTTTGGGTACATGACTTGTACGCACCTATGCCTAGGGTCAGGGATGCACTGAGGTCTAGAGTGGGTCACGCACATGGTCTAACTTGGTAAGATTGAGTCCCGCCGCGTTCAGGATGCTCGCGAGCAGAATGATCGCCAGTCCTATAATGAACGCGACGACCGGGCTCCCATGACGTCTGTGCACTCCTTCAGGCGGTGGGACTACGTCGTCGGAGGGGCCGTTGTCAGACATCGGCAAGCGTTCGTCGCCGTCGTGGCCGTGGAGGACAAGGAGAGAAGACCTGTCACCGTTGTTGATGCCGACGCGCTCGACAGTGACGCCGCCGCCGCCACGTGCGCGCCGCGTCGGCAGATCGCGTAACCCCATTGATGATGCGCCCGCCGGCGCCCGGGTGATGCCGCTGCGAGACCGTTCCGGAAATCCGAGACGCACAGCCGCGCTGGGGGAATGTCATCGCGATGCGCGACAACAGCTCTTCCTCATCAACCACCAACACCATGTTCTACACGACCCTCTATGTATTGGCAGTAGCCCCCTCCCTTGCACGAGCGGCTATCTGCGCCTTTGAGTGCGTATATTCCATCCCCTCCTCCTCGACCCCGCAATGACCTCGATCCCCCCAGTGATGACAACTGTGACTCTTCATATTCTCCCGGCACTTACTTCGGTATCGCAGCAGCAGTCTGTACGTGCGAATCCATCATCTATGTGTATTTCCCCCCGCTCACCTTCCCCCAGTCTGCCTCATCTTTCTACTGCTCGTCTGCTCCGTAATTGCTCGTCGAAGGAGGATGCGCCGCAACAAGACGTTCATGCAGATGCAAACCGGAGGCGCTACAGCACTCGGACCAAATCCCCGTCCAGCGTACTCTCAGCCGTTCTACGCGCCATGGAACCGACCAACAGTCCCCCCATCTGCTGACGTCAATTCGCCCTACTTCCAACCCGCACCTCCCTACGAGCCGCCTCAGACACCCCTTGCGCCCGGAGTCAACGAGCCTTCATATCCTCCACCATCTTACAAGCAGCCGCTGTAATCCTTCTCCCTGCTGCTCGAGTGCTTGATTTGTTTAGAACATATCTATTCCTTCGTTATCGCTGTACCATAGTTCTTCCTACCAGTGTATCACTATGTGGACACCCCACCCCCAAGTCGGACTTGTACTTGACCTACCCCTCTATCATATTTATGAGCTTCCGGTGTTACTCTAGGGTTAGCTGTATTCGCTATACACGGTATTCCGATGCATCTTCATCTCGAGCCTGGACCGACCTCCCTATCCGTGTCTTGCCGGCCTCGACACCTTCACGGTACGTCACTACGTGTGCCAGTCGTTCAGGTTTGCAGTTGGGTGCGAGGCTAGGGGTACCGTTCTTAAGCCAGTCTCCATCGAAACATGCTGCCGAGGACCATAAATGTCATCTGCAGGTGCGCCGGCGGGTAAGTCGACAAGCGAACCCAGACGAGCTAGGGACTGAGGGACAGCCGCCCGCGCAGAGCTAGTCACCGCCGAATGAAACGGTGTGCGCGCGGCTACGCGGTACTCCAGAAGCCTTCGCCTCTCCTACGCGAGAGTATAGGACGCAGAGTCGCGTCGCAGTAACCAGAAGAGAGGTAAGGACGCGGGGGAAGGTTGCGAAAGGGCAAGTTATGGAGCGCAGAGGCAGCAGAACGCCGGCATCACCGCCCTCGCAGGCGCGGGAAATGAGGCCCAGCATCTAAGCCTCCACCACATCCCCCCACACGCCCCGGACCCACTGCACGCACTGCGTCTGCAGCATCCGCACCGCGTCCCGCAAGGCCTTCGCCAACACCGCATCCTCGAAGCCCTTCGGTGGGGGCGGGAGGCCGGTCGGGACGTCCTCTAGTGAGTCCGTCCTACCTTCGAGCGAGTCCGACCTGCCGTGCCCCGCTCCCGACTTAGTCCTCCCATGCCCGACCCCATCCCTCCCCGTACGCATCCTCTCGGGGGCCACGGGCGGTGGCGGCGATGGCGCCGCGAGTGCGCGCGCCAGCCACTCGAGCACACGTTTCTGCAGGAGCGCGAACACCGGGTCCTCCGCGCGCAGCGTGCGCTCGACCGCGGCGCGGACCTTTGCTTCGTCTTCTAGGGGTGAGGGCGCGCTTGTCCTGGATCCTTCGTCACTGCTAAGCGCGCTCGCATCGCCCCCATCCGCGCGAGCCTGCCTCCGCGCACGGAGGACCTCATCGGCGAGGTTGACGATCTTCGTCTCGCCGGCGGACGCGCCAGCTTCGTGCTCGGGCTTGATCTCCGTCTCGAGGAGTGTCCATAAGCGATGTGTTAGATCGTTGCTGGTCGGGGAAGGAGAATGGGAAGTATGGGGTGCCTGCGGTATATTCACGAGTGAACGCAGCGAGGCGACGATAACGAGAGCCTGCAGGTGATTCTGCAAGCGGAACAGGTCGGGCGCGCAGAAGAACAAGGGCGGTGGAAGATTGTTGGGCGGTGGCGGTGGACGCGATTCGGCGCTGTCCGACGGCTGGGAGATGTATTGAATTATGTTCGCCGCCACAGGAATGTTGGCGCCCAACGCGTCGAGTAGACGTGCGATCCAGACGGGCAGCTCTAGGGTGTTCGCGTGGGCCTTGACCTCGTTGATCCACGCAATCCATGCCTCCTTCACCGTGTCTTTGGACATGAGGGTGAGGATAAGCTCCCGCTCGCGGATGCGGGCTTGCTCGGTGACGATGGTGCGTATTTGTTGCTCTGTCATGACGCCGAGGACGGTCTGCGTGAGGTCGGACTTCATTTCCTGTGCGAGGGAGATGAGAGCTTGGATGCTGTCAATAATGACGCGGGAGGCGATGGCCTGGTGCTCTGCTCTCTGCTCTGGGTGCAGGGAGTCCTCCGAGGAGTAGGGTGGCGCGCGGTCAAGCTCGGAGACTATCTGGTCTATCTTCTCATCGCGTATCGGGGCGCAGCGTTCCTTCAGAGCCGAAAGCGTGTCGCGGAGTAAAGCGATGGTGGTATGCAGAGGTGATACACTTGGTGGTGGATATGGCGCTGAGAGGACCGAGAGGACGCGGTGACCAGGCGGAAGTAAGCCTTTGATCGCCTCGTAGATATCTGCATGTAGCCTATGTAATCGGTGAATCTGGATAGATGGATCTTGCGAATTGAGGGCTTCGAGTGCCTCAATTATTGCGGTCAATGAGGGACAGGAGCATTGGTAAGCACGCAACTCACTTCATCCCAGAACGCCTTATGCACCATCTTCTCTACTCGAGCTTGAAGATCTGCCATCCCGTTCTTGGCTTCTGGTGCAGCTTTCGCCTGTTGACTCGAGGACCTGCTAAGCAGCATGGATAGGATGGACTTCCCCGGTGGTACGACCTTGGAGGGATCTGTCGCCAGTACATGGAGGAAGTAGACCTCGTTTGCGGCCTGGGAAAGCTCTGCCGGAAACACAATGGACGATCCTTCCCAAGACATTTCGATTGTCGGGGTCGAGTTCAAGAAACGAGACAAAGCTCAATATCAGTGACGTCACGCGTTTTACTTCCTAATCCGGCAGTGCCTTTGACGGAACCATCGGACCGTCGAGGCCGGTGCCCGCGCTCTGATCGGCGCCTTCCGGACGTTCTCCTTGCTTCGTACCATGACAATCTGCTTTGAGGCGTTAACAGTGGATCACACATCTCCCCAAGCGCACCTTTGAACTCCGCTATGAACGTCTCCTGACAAGACTCAGGACGGAACATGCAAGAAAGCCCCGGGTTCCCAGATTCCGGCACGTTCATGGCGCTAGCTACTGCTCAATGCTGGTCACCGCCGGACGCACGAAGGCGAATGCGAACTCCGATGCGGTCAAGGTCATATGCCCATCCACCTTTGGGAGACTGTTGAGAAGCTGTTCCGGGATCTTATCGCCCAGTACCCCAAGCGGCATGCGAGAGGCGTTCTTCTCCCTGCCAACCGTCCTCGTAGCAGAATACGTGCGAAGTGCGCTTCGGTGCGTCAGATTTCTCTCGTTCTCCACGTGCCTGAGAAACCCTGGGCACGCTGGCTGCTGTACTAATTCAGACTGCGGCCTATGGCTAATGGGGCGCGTAGCGAACGCGAGGCCGTTTACCGATCCTCCGTGTCGATCACCATGGTCATCTTGACGTACGCTTTACTCAGTGCTATTCCAGCCTCACTTCTACTCCTAGTCCTGAACCTGCTGTCCTGCCTCAAGTCGTCGAAGGCTACACGAGATGGCGCTTCTACCGGGACGCGTCCGCACGTTCATCTTCTCGCAATGCCCCGGGCCGCTCACGGCAACTAGAGGGCAACGAGGGGTATTTACGTTTCACTCTTTACCTTGTGTCGTGGGTCCACTGCAGCTCACCTGATTACGATCCCTCAATGTCTTTGTGAGCAGTCGTTCGGCCGGACCTTGCGAGATGCGGAAGCATACTTGGGGCGCTACGAATACTACTCTATCGACACGCAAGCAGACGCACTGCAGACGAACATCAGACCCTTGCATCTTGGCCGCCGGGCACCATATTTCGTGACCATTGTCCGCGACAGCACGGTTTCGCTGCGCCGGATCTCCCAGTAGGGAGTTCACCGGACCTCCCCAGTGGTGCGCCCACTCATCATTCAATGACGAGTTTGCGCCCTCATGCAGTCGCCAGAACCCCGTCTTGACTAAACAACGACTGTTTTGTCTACGCTCGTCTTGTTCAATGTATAATGGCATTATCACGCTGCCGGAAAAGGCGGCATGGAATTTCCTCCGTGGCGCACCCGTGTCTCGGACGGGTTCGCAACATTATCTCGATTGATGCGGTCATGTCGAAAAGGGCCCATTTGGATCTCCGTGGATCATGTCCAACGTACAAGCTATCCAGTCCCCTAATCGGATCTAACCCGGCTTGCCAAGTACTTAAGAACTCGAACACAGTAGGTACGACACCCTCACCCTTCCCCCTTCTCCCTGCGTTGCCTTCATCACCATCACGATGCCGTCTGCACACACATCCTACACCAACGGTCATGCCCATCACTTCACCAATGGTGCCAACGGCGTCAATGGTGCAACTACGAAGAGGCCTACTGCGCAGGCCAACACGCTACTCGCCAGCTTCCTCGACAGCCATCGCGAGCTCGAAGCCTACAAGTACGTTCTTTGTCCCATTGTTAATGATCCATGGAGCTTATAGCAATCTTAGACATGGAAAGCCTGTGCTCGTCGACGGAGACAACCTTACCGTTACCGCGGTCGCCGCTGTCTCACGCTACAACGCGACCGTCGCACTCGATGAGTCCCCAAGCATTCGCGAGCGCGTGAAGAAGAGCCGCCAGGTAATCGCTTCGAAGGTTGATAGTGGTGCGAGCGGTACGTGTCTATCATTAACCTCTCATACAACGTCCGCTGAATGTAGCACCGCAGTATACGGCCTCTCCACCGGCTTTGGAGGAAGTGCCGACACGCGAACGGACCAGCCTATCCTCCTAGGGCACGCCCTGTTGCAACATCAGTGAGTGGCGCAACCGTAATCTGTATTCTTACCTACTTACCTGTTATCTATAGGCACGCTGGTGTTCTCCCATCCTCCGACAAGGCCCTGGAAGTCCTTCCATTGCTAGATCCGGTTGCGTCAACATCAATGAGCGAGAGCTGGGTTAGGTAGGTCGCTCTATCTCTGGCTTGAATGGCGAAATTGACCGTTGTTGAGGGGCGCGATGCTCGTTCGGATGAACTCGCTGATTCGGTGAGTACATTGTTGCTCCGTCTTTCGCGTATCGAGCTCACCTCGTTACCAGCGGGCATAGCGGTGTCAGGTACGCCTTTGGCTACATCTTCATGAGGCGCCGCGCTCACACCGCCTCAGATACGAGTTGATTGAGCGCCTGGGCGACCTCCTCCGCGAGAACATCACCCCCTTCGTTCCGCTACGCGGCAGCATCTCCGCCTCAGGTGATCTGTCCCCGCTTTCTTACGTCGCCGGAACCATCGTGGGAAACCCCTCCATTCGCGTCTTCGACGGTCCAGCGGTGTTCGGCGCGCGGAAGATCGTCTCTTCGCGTGACGCGCTAAAGGCGCACGGACTGGAGCCTCTCCCGCTCGTATCGAAGGAGCACCTAGGTATTCTCAATGGCACGGCTTTCTCGGCCAGCGTCGGGTCGCTTGCTATCCACGAGGCCACCCATCTCGCGCTGCTAGCGCAGGTGTGTACGGCGATGGGCGTGGAGGCGCTTTCCGGAACGCAGGGTTCATTCGACCGCTTCATTCATGATGTTGCTCGCCCTCATCCCGGGCAGGTTGAGAGCGCGCAGATCATCTGGAATCTCTTGGACGGTTCTAAGCTTGCCCACCGTCACACCAAGCAGGACGATGAGGTCGAGCTGCACTCGGACAAGTACTCGCTCAGGCAAGATAGATACCCCTTACGAACTGCTCCGCAGTTCCTTGGTCCTCAAATCGAGGACATCCTTGCTGCTGCTGCGTCTTTGAAGCAAGAGATTAACTCTAGTAAGATTGTTCATTTCGGGAAGGATCAAGTTGCTGACATCCCGCATTAGCGACTGATAACCCCCTCGTCGACGGGGAGACCGGCCAGATTCATCACGGAGGCAACTTCCAAGCGATGGCCGTGACGAACGCGATGGAGAAGACGCGCCTTGCGCTTCATCACATTGGAAAGCTTCTCTTCGCACAGAGCACGGAGCTCATGAACCCCGCCATGAACAACGGGCTACCCCCGTCCATGGCGGCTAGTGATCCTTCCGTAAGTCTCTTCTGACATAGCACTCATACCGCCTCCGCTGACACTCCCGCAGCTTAACTATCACGGGAAGGGCATCGACATTGCTACCGCCGCGTATGTCGGCGAGTTGGGCTACCTGGCCAGCCCGGTGTCGACACACATCCAGTCCGCGGAGATGCACAATGTAAGTGCTATCTCGTCTCGAAGAGTCGCCTGATCTAATTCCTCTATCTCTATAGCAAGCCGTGAATAGCCTAGCGCTCATTTCCGCGCGTGCTACCATTAACTCACTAGAAGTCCTGTCGATCCTTACGGCGTCATACCTGTACATCCTCTGCCAAGGTGAGTGCTATCTGTTACGGATGGCATCACAGTGTTTAATGTCATATCAGCATTGGACCTCCGCGCGCTCCAGTCCGAGTTCCTGGACGGCTTACGCCAAATTGTCGAGGAGGAGCTATCGGGGTCGTTCGGCGGATTGTTCCAGTCATCCGACCTCCAGTCCGTCCACTCTTCCTTGTACGCCACCATGCACAAGGTCTTTGAGAAGACGAGCACGATGGACAACGTCGACCGCATGCACGAAGTCGCTGCCTCGGCCTCGACCGTTCTTCTCGACGTCTTCTCCCAGCCTAAGTTCGCAGGCGCATCGGACGCGCTCTCCGGCATCACCACTTTCCGCACGCGCGTCGCGGACCGCGCTGCCACGCTCATGGACGACCTTCGTCGCGCATACCTCTCCGGCGAGCGGGGGGCCGCGCCGGCGACGCCGTACCTGGCGAAGACGCGCTCTGTGTACGAGTTCGTCCGCGTCACGCTCGGCATTCGCATGCATGGGTCCGAGAACTACAACGGCTTCCCCAATGGTATCGGCACGGACGACATCACCCTCGGTCAGAACATCTCTCTCATTCACGAGGTTCGTACGATACTCTTCATGCCAAGCGCATCGCTGATGTCCTTTTCCAGGCTATCCGGGATGGCAAGCTGCAGGACATCGTTGCCAGCCTTTTTGAGTAAAGGTCGAGATTGGGCTCCGTCGACTAAGTTCTTCTCCACTGTAACATATTCCTGGATTATCCCCTGCATTTGTACCCATAGATGTACCACCACCAATCTTACAGTCCTCGTTGCATGTTTGCGTATGACCTAGGGACAAATTCAAGAGCTTGGCTTCGTTCGATCAGTGGCACTATTGAATTGAAGTGCAGACGCGTTGAAGCGTCTTTCGTATGATTTGCTTTGTACCACAGCATTGATAGCAGAACAGCAAACAGACTAGCAGGAATGTAAGCAGGTATATGCCACGTCCATCACGCAGGCGTGCGATTATACACAGAAGGGCATAAGGTAAGTACGCATAGAGGAACATCATCAATCCTAGGCGTCAAATTCGTGCTTTTTCGTACTCGCAGTCGTCAGTCTGCAGTCGACGAAAAATCCCTTCACGGTACAGAAATCCCCTGCCCCTGCAGGTACCCCTTCAGGTCTTTGATGAGCTCGAGCTGCTCCTCCGTCGTCAGCCCGCTGACAATCGTCTGCAGCACGGACCCGACGGTGACGTGGTGCTCGCGGATGAGGCTGCTATAGTACACGTAGGTGAACACGCCCATGAGGAATCTAGACAATCGAGGTGAGCGACGTAGGATGGGGAAGAAAGAGTTCACGCACTGGCAGTCCATGCGATCAGTCATGCCACCATGACCAGGGATACTGTGGCCGAAGTCCTTGATGTTGAAGGCGCGCTTGAAACCAGAGGCGAAGAAACCGCCAAAGGGCGCGACGAGGGAGGCGAAGATAGCCATGACAAGTACGTGGCCTTGGAAAGGCGCGTACGGGATCGTCTTGATCTCATGACCGAGCTACACATTGTGGTTAGAGAAAGTCATGCTTCAAGCGAAGTCAAGTACGCACCAAGTTCGAGAGGAAGGACGCAACCGGCCCCCAGATCTGCCACTCGCGCCACATGAAGACCGGGTTGGGCTTGCACATGAACTCCTCCCAGGCGTGCTTGCCAAGGTCGCGCACCGGGCAAATCATGTAGTTGAATCGCATGAAGAAGGTACCCCAGGCGACGCCGAAAGCCATGGTGCAGAAGAACGCGCCGACAAAGCCCTCGACGGTCTTCTTGGGCGAAAGCTGGATCAAGGGGGTCTTGCCGAAGGTGATGCCGCAGATGTAGGCGAAGACGTCGTTGCAGATGACGAGCGACGCAGGAACCCAGAACCAGATGACACCCTCCAGAATGTTATTGACGATAAAGTGGCTGGACCCGTATTCAGTAATTATCAATGCTGAGATGACGCAACTGACCTAGAGACGACGACAAGGAGCAAGCTCATGTGTACCCAACAGAAGAGACCAAACTGTTGCTTGAGTTGGCCCTTCTGCAGCGACATGACGAAGCCAACGAAGCCGAGCGTGTAGAGCATGAAGCTGAGCATGCGATGGTTGGTCGCGAAGGGTAAGAGGTTCGCGTCGGCGAAGACAACATGCTGGGGTAGGACTTGAGCACACGGCGGCCATAAGATGAAGTCAAACAAACCTTGAAGTAGTAGATAATGCTCTCGCCGTAGAGGAAGTAATTCGTCACGGCGAAGAAGTACCAGTTAAGGGTAACGCTCCATGGGTCCTTCTTGGCCTCGATCTTGGCGTTCTTGCTGGACAAGGCGAAGAGGTTCGTCACTTCCCGGTAGACGAGTGTCTGGCATATGTGGACGAGAAGCACCATGTATCCGTGACCAAAGGTCAGGAAGCCTACATGCGAGTGTTAGATCTATAGTTATGGGCGATATTGACCAAGCATACCAATGAACGCGGCAATCATGATGAAGGTCCATATCGTCCGAGTGATGAAGGCCGCCTGCTTCTTCTGCTGCTCAGCCTGCTTGGTGTCAAAAGCAGGGGTAGAGGTGGGGGGTTGCGACGCTTCCAGTCTTGACGGCGGCTGTGCCGCTGGCTCAGCCGCGAGTTCCTTCGGCTTGTTCACAACCGACGGTTTCTGTGCAGCCGGTTTGGGTATGGGTACGTCATCGGCAACGGGTCCGTTGGGAGAGGGGGCGGTGGGTTCCGGAGTAGAGCGCCCAGAGACTGACGCTAGCCGAATAAACGGCTCGTCATGAGGCCGGGCATGGCCATTCACGCCGTTCGCTACCGGTACTTCCTGCGGCTTGGGGGCGATAATTTGCGGCTCTGGCTGCGCGGGCGGTGTCGAGTCCCCATTGACCTCCGTTGGCGCGGCCTCGGCAGCAGCGACGGAGGGGGCACTCGCAGGCGGTGTGGTCGCGTCTGGTGTGGATACTGGCTCGTCTGTTGTGAGAGCCTGCGCTTGCGCCTTTGCAGCCGCCTTCTGCTGCGCCCTCTTCTCAGCCCGCGCCGCGCGCGCAGCCTTTTTCAGAGCCGATTTCGTGGGTTTGCTGGGCTCGGGCGCGCTGCTAGTGCTCGTGCGTCAGGCTCCCCGACAATCACGCGTCATACGCACAACGCACCTTTGCGCGGCCTCGGAGTCGACCTGCTCCGAGATCTCTTCGTCGGACTCCTCGCCAGAGTCCACGGGGAGTGCGGAGAACGCTGTCCTGGTTCCAAAGCGGTTCGACATGACTGACTGCACAGAGCAAGAGGGTGAGCTTCCTCGAAAACGCCACCCCGGACACGTTCTTGAAATCGCACGTGATACCATCAGCCAGCCACGCGCCGATCTGCGCGCTTAACTTGAACTTGGACACCCTATCCATCCCCCGGTAAAGACGGCTACAACACACGCTATCCAAGGAACCTATACAACCCCCTTGTTTTTAGATGGAATTCGAAGTTATCGCGCGATGTCCGACGACACGGGCCCGCGCCTCTCGTATGCGCCTCGCCCACGGCGTCACAATGCTCCCTACCTTTATGCCTGTGGCTACTCAAGCCGCGATCAAGGGGCTTACACCTCAGCAAGTCGAAGCACTCGGAGTCACTCTGATACTCAACAACACCTACCACCTAAATCTCCGTCCTGGTATAGAGATCCTCCAGGAGGCAGGGGGCGCGCATAAATTTCAGAATTGGCCTCGTAATTTATTGACGGTGCGTTCCTCCTCTTCATGCGTAACTCACACCTTATAGCCGAAGAGCAGGATAGTGGAGGCTTTCAGCTAGTATCCCTCAGCAAGTTCACCAAGATCACTGAAGAAGGCGCCCTATTTGCAAGTCCGTTTACCGGGGAACCTACTATGTTGACCGTACGTCTGTTGCACGCTCTCGTGCACTGCGCATCTCATATATCTACACAGCCTGAAGAGAGTATCTCGGTGCAACATGCGATCGGCGCGGATATCATCATGCAGCTCGATGATGTTGGTGAGGCCCTTTGGTACGCTATACGTACTCTAACTGATTTTTTTCGATCTAGTACCATCCCTAACAGATGACCGCGCCCGTGTTGAAGAGGCTATGGAGCGCTCTGTAAGATGGCTAGACCGCTGTATTGTTTACCACGAGCAGTCCGGCCGGAAATCCCAGCAAAACCTCTTCGCCATTGTACAAGGCGGCCTCGACTCCCAGCTGCGAGACCGCTGCTTGGACCAGATGATTGAGAGGAAAGACAGGGTAGCTGGCTATGCTATCGGCGGTCTCAGTGGCGGTGAAGCGAAGGGTGATCTTATAGTCTTTTCAAAAGCGCTTGCCTCCGCTGACAGCCTCTCAGACGTCTTTTGGAGGATGTATGGTCCCTGTTTCCGATGCCCTCGAATATTTCTCAACGTTCGCGCAGGATAAGCCAGTGCGCAGCAAGATTACCGGAAGACCGTGCGTCGACCCAGCTTCTTAATCAACACCTTTCATTGAACACTCGTGGTCTTTAGGTCCCCGCTATTCTATGGGAATCGGATTTGCGGAAGGCGAGCCTGCGCGGTGCCGTGCCTACTATTTTCTCAATGAACCATACCCCAGATCTCCTCGTCTGTGTCGCCCTTGGCGTAGATATGGTGCGTACTCCGCATATCTTTGCTTCTAGTGCTGACGGACGTAGGCCGATTGTGTCTTCCCCACACGGACAGCGCGCTTTGGTGTCGCGCTAACCCACAAGGGTCCACTAAACCTGCGTAAGTATCGTCTATCGTCCCTCTATCTTCCCCAGCCCATTTACGTCTGTCGGTAGGGCTCGCTCGGCATGCGGCCGACCTGAGCGTTATTGACCCCGCATGCCCGTGCCCGACGTGCACAGACGGCACCTCGCGCGCGATGCTGCACCACATTGTTACGCACGAAACTGCAGGGGCCCACGGTCAGTCGTCCTGCGATGTTCTGTTTAGAACCACAGAAGCTCACCTCAATCTTCAGCGGTGACACTGCACAATATAGTTTTTCAGGCGCAGGTGATGGGCCGTGCGCGGGACGCCATCATTAAGGGCACTTTTCCCGAGTATCTGAGGAGCTTCTTCGCGGAGTATTTTGGCGACGTGGGCTATCCAAGATGGTGTGTTGATGCGCTACGGAGTGTCGGGGTCGACCTGCTCGAGGGCAGGGAAGACGTGCCCATCATAGAGGGCAATGGGGCGAAGTGGGAATATGCTCAGTAGATTAGAGTTTACCTGTATTACTGAGACGGCGTGGGCCAAACATCTGTGGGTCACCATGTTCCAAAAGAAATGGGATAACCCTCGGGTCTCCCGCGACGACATTGATAGCTGTGCGGGATCTCTGAAAGCATAGCGAAAGCTTGCGGTTGTGGCACGAGCTCTTCCCCAGCCCAGCCACCACGCTGTACAACAGTCTCGCCAGCCTCCAAAGCGGCCAGTGACGAAGTTCAACATCATATCACGGGCCATCACCTGAGCGTGACAGCACGCGGGGGACGAGACTTGCAATCGGCGCGATCGGACTAGCCTGACGGCGCCAATATGGACCAGCGACTGCGACTCTTTTCCAGCCCTCTTCCGTTTACCTGTACACCTTCCGATAACTCCTCCTGGCACCCTGGTCTCTTATCCATCCGCTGGGACCTCGCACATATAAAGGCAGCCCGTACTCGATAACCCGCATCCCGTTCTGACTCGATCATCCCCTCCCCCCTCCCCCGCAAATCATGGCACCTACCGCCACCCTGGAGTACGCATCCAATGCGCCAGACCCCCTCCCCTACCCGCGCTTGGCGAAGCACCACCTTCTGCCGGGCAAAAACACGCCAGACTACCTACGCCTCATCCTCACCTCCAAGGTCTATGAGATTCTCGACGAGACCCCGCTTGTGCACGCCACCAACCTCAGTGCGAAGCTGGGGAACCAGATCTACCTCAAGCGCGAGGACCTGCAGAAGGTCTTCAGCTTCAAAATCCGCGGCGCGTACAACTTTATGGCTAGCTTGACCGAGGAGGAGCGGTGGAAGGGCGTCATCACATGTAGTGCTGGTTAGTGGTCGTCCCCCTTCCCCCCCCCCCTCCCGTTTTCTGATAGTATCTCATCCGCAGGCAACCACGCACAGGGCGTCGCCATGTCTGGTGAACGCCTCGGCGTCCCATGCACGATCGTCATGCCCAACGGCACCCCCTCCATCAAAGTCCGCAACGTCGCGCGCATGGGCGCGAAGGTCGTCCTCCACGGCGCCGACTTCGACGCGGCCAAGGCCGAGTGCGCGCGCCTCGCGAAGCTGCACGGCCTCGTCTTCGTTCCCCCGTACGACGACCCGCTCGTCATCGCCGGCCAGGGCACCGTCGGCGTCGAGATCCTCAAGCAGGTGCCGAAAGCGGACACCCTCGACGGCATCTTCGCTGCGGTCGGCGGTGGCGGGCTTGTGTCGGGCATTGCGGAGTACGTGAAGCGCATCGGGTCACCGAAGACAAAGGTCGTGGGCGTTGAGACGTTCGACGGGGACGCGATGGAGCGCAGCTTGGCGGCGGGCGAGCGCGTAACTTTGCCGGATGTGGGTCCATTTAGCGACGGCACAGCGGTGAAGATTGTGGGCCAGGAGCCGTTCAGGATCTGCAGGGAGTTGCTGGACGGCATCGTCAAGACTGACAACGACGAGATATGCGCGGCCATCAAGGACATCTTCGAGGGTTCGTCCGGTTCACTCGTACGCTTGATGAAGGGCTGACACGGTTGCAGAGACGCGCTCCGTCACTGAGCCAGCAGGAGCCTTGGCGCTTGCCGGCCTCAAGCGCTACATCATGAACAACGGCCTCATGGGCGCGAACAAGCGCTTCGTCGCCGTCGTCAGCGGTGCCAACATGAACTTCGACCGCCTTCGCTTCGTTGCAGAGCGCGCCGAGATCGGAGAAGGCCGCGAAGCGCTGCTCAGCGTCGAAATCCCCGAGACACCCGGAGCGTACGTCGCCTGTCCGCCTCCCGCCTGGGCTTTGGTCACTGACTTCCACGACAGCTTCATCAAACTCCACAGCAAAATCCATCCCCGCGCGATCACCGAATTCATCTATCGATACAGCTCCGCGGACAAGGCGCACGTATTCATGGCGTTCAAGTTGCAGACGCCGGACCGAGCACGAGAAGTGCAGATGGTGCTCGACGAGCTGAACAAGGATGGAATGACAGGTATCGATATCAGCGACGACGAGATGGCCAAAAGTCATGGGCGTTACATGATTGGCGGGCCACAGAGCGTACCGAATGAGCGCCTATTCAGATTCGGTGAGTGAGTCCGGTGCAGTGGTGTGAATTGAAGTGCTAATGCGCTGCCTAGAGTTCCCCGAGAGACCAGGCGCGCTGCGGAAGTTCTTGCTTGAGACTCAGTCTCACAACTGGAATATTTCGCTGTTCCATTACCGAAATCATGGCGCTGGTGAGTTCCACTTTTGACCGTCTCTCGGCAGTATTTCTGACCGTCTGGCAAGACCTAGGAAAGGTTTTGGCGGGCTTGCAGATCTCTCCAGAAGACTACGAAGTCTTTGATGGGTATCTCAAGACCTTAGGATACACATTCAAGGAGGAAACGGATAACTTGGTGTATAAGAGGTACCTCTGTAAATCCTCATAGACATGTACACCTGTAGAACACGCAACCTGTATCACTAGACCGATCGCGCGAGCTTGCTGTGTGTGGGGGGAGTCTGCTGGCATCACGCGTGCATTGCATGACTGCGAGAGGCGACGGTGTAATTGCGGCATTGGCACCATTCATCGCACCCTCGGAATAGCCGAGATGGTTTCCGGACAGCCTTCACGTTCATTCTAGGTGTGCTACCGTACATGGGGGCTGTCTGGGGTTCATGTGAGGGACGATCGGACAGGTGTGTGTGTGCTACGCACCTAGTGATGGTCCTCGCCATGGTGTTGCGTAGCCTTCAAGGCCCGCTCCGGCTTGAAGTAGAACTCGTCTGCGGCCACATAGACCGTGAACGCAAAGAGACCGATGCCAAAGCCGGGGAAGAAGTTCGAGAGCATAGCGCGTTTGGAGAAAACCGGGTGTGATCTCCACGCCTCGAGCTTCGCCCAGGGGTCCCGGAACACTGGGAGGTGGTTCGACATCTGAGAACACTGTTTGAGTCCTGCGACGTCGGCGGCGTAGGTGCCAGTCGGTGCTCACCGCTGCGACAAAAGACAAGAGAATGCCGTGTTCGGCGCCCTCGGCGGACCAGGGACCTGTGCCGGTCCCGTGACTACCTTAGGGTCAGTCGGGCGGACTTGACAGAAATTTCTGATCAGCCCCGCTGTCCGGCTCTTGTTCCTGCTTTCTTTGAACCCCCTCGCTTCCGCAGCCACCGAGGTTGTCGGACGCCATCAGCAGCGTCGAGCGCCCTCGCTTTTATCTGATTTCTTTTGCCACATCCCTATGTCGAACGATATCGCCATGGCCAGCGACGACGACAAGCCTCTCGCGTCTAAGGCGGCGGCAAAGGAGGTCAACGGCGCCCCCAACGGATCCCACGCAAACGGAGACCGGGAGATGTCCGCGTTGAGCGAGGACGAGGACGAAGTTCCACTGGTGCGCTCAAATCACTAAGTCAGCCGCGCGTGGTCAGCTTACTGAGGTTTGGGGACTTAGTCGCAGCAGAGCAGAGCTCCACCACGTACGAAGCGCAAACGGCCCGTTTACGCAGAATCCTCGTCCTCTGAGGATGATGTGCCCCTGGCGGCGTCCCCAGGCAAAAGCCACTCTGCCGCCGTCCCCATGCCCGGCGCCGTCGAGGCCACCACCGTCCCCGCGTCATCCGTTAACGGCAAGAAGAAGGGCCGCGGAACCAAAGCGTCCGACGACGGTTCCGACTACGACGACGCCTCCCCACCCCCCAAACGCGCTGCTGCCAACGGCAAGGGCAAGAAGCCCGCGAAGAAGAAGCCGAAGGTCGAGAGCGACGACGAAGCCGACGACGAGAGCCCTCCTCCGAAGAAAGCCCCTTCGCGCAAGCGTAAGGTGAAGGAGGAGAGCGACGACGACGAGGACGCGAAGCCACTCAAGAAGAAGGCTGCACCTCGCAAGTCCAAGGTCAAGCAAGAGAGCGACGACGACGATGACGACAAGCCCTTGAAGAAGGCTGCGCCGAAGAAGGCATCTACCTCCAAGGCCAAGAAGGAGGCTGACACCAAGGAGACGAAGCCGAAACGGGGCAAGGCGAAGAAGGAAGAGTCCGACTCGCCGAAGAAGACGAAGAAGCAGAAAGAGGAAGAGGAGCAGGCGGAGATCTATCGCTGGTGGGAGCAGCAGAACCAGGACAACTCTGTCAAGTGGACGACGCTCGAGCACAGCGGCGTCATCTTCCCCCCGCCCTATGAACCCTTGCCCAAGGACGTCAAGATGAAGTACAATGGTACGCTACCACCTCGCGCTCTCCGGCTGCTTTCTAACTCTACTCAGGCAAACCCGTCAACTTGTCCGTCGAGGCTGAGGAAGTCGCTGGCTTCTATGCTGCACTCCTAGAATCCGACCATGCGCAAGACGCGACGTTCAACAAGAACTTCTTCCACGACTGGAAAGAAGTGCTCAAGAAGCATCCACCGGTAAGTAGGTTCTGTTATAGGTTTGCAACGATGCTGAGTGTACTTGTAGTTGGACGGTACGCAGATTACGAGCTTAGAAGCCTGCGATTTCCGCCCCATGTTCGAGTATTTCGAGGCGGAGAAAGCAAAGAAGAAAGCTATGACGCAGGCGGAGAAGAAGGAGTTGAAAGCTCAGAGGGAGGAGGCGGAGGCAAAATATAAATTCTGCCTCCTCGATGGTCGTAAAGAGCAGGTCGGCAACTTCAGAGTCGAACCGCCAGGTCTCTTCAGAGGCCGCGGCGACCATCCGCGCAAGGGTGCTCTCAAGGTATTCATCATTGATATCTTGTCGTCATCATGCGCTAACCACGTCTAGCATCGTGTGCGGCCGGAGGACATCATCCTCAACATCGGCAAGGATGCCCCCGTTCCCGTGCCCAACATGCCTGGGCAATGGAAGGGCATCCAGCACGACCAGACCGTGACGTGGTTAGCGACGTGGACGGAGAACGTCAACCAGAACCACAAGTATGTCTTCCTGGCGGCTGGCAGTTCTCTCAAGGGTCAGAGCGACATGCAGAAGTTCGAGAAGGCGCGCGAGTTGAAGGTAGGTATCTATTCTCCTGCTTACACCGCGTCGTACTCAACATATGCCAGAACCATGTCGATCGCATCCGCAGCAACTACGAGAACGACCTCAAGTCGAAAGTCATGGCCGAGCGCCAGCGCGCGACGGCCATGTACTTCATCGACAAACTCGCCCTTCGTGCGGGTAACGAGAAGGGCGAAGACGAGGCGGACACGGTCGGCTGTTGTTCGCTGCGTTGCGAGCACGTCACGCTCGAGAACGACAAAGGCGAATACTATATCACCTTCGACTTCCTGGGTAAAGACTCCATCCGGTACTACAACCGCGTCCAGGTCGACCAGCAGATCTTCAAGAACGTGCGCATATTCAAAGAGAATAAGAACGACGACGATAGTCTGTTCGACCGCGTCAATGTACGTTCTTCTCTGCTCTGCCCGGACCGGCGCCCGCTCATGCCTTGTTTTAGACCAGCTCTCTCAACAAACATCTCACGACGGAGATGAAGGGCCTCACCGCGAAGGTCTTCCGTACCTACAACGCGTCCATCACCTTCCAAAGGTTGTTGGACGAGTCGGGGCCCTCACTCAAGAACGCTACGCTTCAGGAAAAGCTCAACGCGTACAATGACGCTAACCGCATGGTCGCCGTCCTCTGTAACCATCAGCGCTCCGTCCCCAAGACGTTTGAGCAGTCGATGGAGAAGATGCGCCGGAAGGTTCGTGTCAATACCTCGTTCACTGGTCTACAGTTGCTTAGTCGTGTATTAGGTCATGGGCCTCAAGTACGACCGCATGAAGCTCCGCCACGCTCTGTTCAACCTCGACTCCAAGTACAAGAAGGACAAGAAATACAGTGCGATGGAGTCCGACATCGACGACGACTTCGTCGAGTCTTGGGAGGACGAGTGCAAGGCCACCGACATCGAGAAGGCGGAGAAGAAGTTCGCGAAGGAGAACGAGAAGTTGGCGGAGGAGGGCAAGCCCGCTCAGTCGGACAAGGTGCTGAAGGAGCGCATTAAGGATATAGAGGACAAGTATAAGGCGCTCAAGAAGGAGCGGGGGACGGGGAAGGCAGACCCCGGGAAGAAGACGGAGGAGAAGATTAAGGACAACATTGAGAAGCTTGATCAGAGGATAAAGCAGACCAAGCTGCAGATCACGGATAAGGATGCAGGCAAGGAGATTGCGCTCGGCACGAGGTGGGTAGTCCGCGTTCTCCCGTCATTCTCAAAGCTGACGGTCGTCTATGTGAAGTAAAATCAACTACCTTGACCCTCGGTGAGTGTTGCCAGACCCAACTCCATATGAGTTGCTGACGTTCCCCCAGCATCACGGCGTCGTGGGCTAAGATACACGAGGTACCCATCAACAAGATGTTTTCGAAGACGCTTGTGCAGAAATGTACGTATATTTCTCCAGTGCGCTGTCGCTTTGGCTGATCCATTGCTTGCAGTTCCTTGGGCTATGGAAGTAGACGAAGACTGGAAGTTTTAGGCTCCCCGTGCTCTCGTGCATGTCGAGGCGCCCTCAGCGTCAACGAACATGCTTATACCGTTGTGGACGGACAGGACGGCGAGGGTCCTAGGACATGGCATCATCCCCTCGTCGCTGTTACATTAGCATCTCTCAGTCGCTCGCATTTATATATCAGTATTCTCGCTGTGTGTAGTGCTATATATTATACACCTGCTTTCCTGCAACTTCAGTCCAGTTTGCGTTCAATGCAGCATGTCCTTAGGCGCTAGCGCCGCAGCGGGGCCGGAAACTGATGGCGGGCAATTGGCCGCCGTGTCCTTCACCTCTTCGTCTCCGACCACCACCATCCCCCCATAACTCCCTGCCCGTCATGCGCCGGGCGACGAGTCTGCTTGCCGGGCTCAGCCTCGCGGCTTGTGCCCAGGCATTCTACCTGCCTGGAGCTGCGCCTCACAACTATGTCGAGGGCGACCGCGTCGAGCTATTCGTCAACGCGCTTACGCCTATGCTGTCTGGGAGCGACGATATCAAGCTAGTGCGTTGCAAGCTCTAACCCCCCTGCTTCTGCTGACTATCCGACCTGAGTAGAAATCCATGATCAACTGTGAGTGCGCTCGCAGTATGAACACGTCGAGCGATCCTGACTTCACGCGCGTCTAGACGACTACTACAACCCGCGCTTCCGCTTTTGCGAGCCCGAAGGCGGGCCACAGAAGCAGTCAGAGTCCCTCGGCTCAATCCTCTTTGGAGATCGTATATTCAACTCCCCATACGATGTGCGTCTCCCCCCTGGAACTGGCGCCTCGCTGTGCTTAATACGCTACCAGATCGAGATGCTGCGGAGAAACGGGACCTGCGAGGTGCTCTGCGTGCAGGAAGACGTGACGGCTGAGGACGCGAAGTTCATCAACGACCGCATCCGCGAAGACTACGCGCTTAACTGGATTGTGGATGGCCTCCCTGCGGCGGAGATGAAGATCGACGTGCGCACGGGGGAGCTGTTCTTTGACATGGGCTTCAACCTCGGAGACAACGAGGGCCCGCGGCATGAGATTCCCGCGTTGAACAACCACTACGATATCGTGTTGAAGTGCGTTATGTCGTTACCTGCGGGCTTTGAGAGGGGGCGCTGAATCGTCGCAGATACCACGAGCCGACGCCCGGAAGCTATCGTGTCGTGGGTGTTCTAGTCTGGCCTGCGAGCATCGGAGGCCCGCAAGACGCAGCGTCTGCGACGTGCCAGCCAGAGGGCGCAGAGCCGCTGATCTTAGACGAAACGAGGAACCAGACGGTGCGGTACACCTACAAGGTTACTTGGAGCGTACGTCGTTACTCCTTCTCACATGTCGCAATGCTCAGGACCCTCTAGGAATCCGACACGCCATGGGCGACGCGCTGGGACCATTACTTGCATATCTTCGATCCCCGCATTCATTGGTTCAGCTTGATCAACTCCCTCGTCATTGTCATCTTCCTCTGTGTCATGGTGTCGATGATCTTGCTACGTAGTGTTTCCCGAGATGTGAGGATTATTTTCCTATACCTGGTTTGTACTAACCTTTCGTGCAGATTTCGCGGTACAACGCAATCGACTTGAGCGTGAGTAGATAAGGTGAACTTTCACGCCTATTTTCTCATCATTACTCAGGAGGATGTGCAAGAAGATTGGGGCTGGAAGCTCGTCCATGGCGAGGTCTTCCGGACGCCCTCGAATCCGACAATACTCTCGGTCATGGTCGGTAACGGCGCTCAGCTCGCCGCTATGGTTTCCGTGACGTTGGTGTTCGCTCTCCTGGGCTTCCTCTCACCTTCGAACCGCGGCTCTCTCGCAACAGTTATGATCGTGTGCTGGACGCTCTTTGGGGGGTGCGTGGAGGCATGAATCTGCATGAAATCGAGCAGGATGACTGATGGCGCTGTAGCGTCGGCGGCTACGTCTCTGCACGACTCTACGCCACTCTGGGCGGTACTGAACGTCGCAAGAATGCTTTCTTGACGGCGACCGTTCTGCCAACGTGCGTATATTTTACAGCTTCCTCGCCCAGTCAATCCGTCGCTGACATGCTGCCTCAACAGGATCATTTTCGCCGTCGTATTCTTGTTGAACCTGTTCCTGCTTGTAGCGGGCTCGTCCGGGGCCGTGCCGTTCGGGACGATGCTAGCCATCGTGGTGTTGTGGTTTGGTATCTCTGCGCCGCTGTCCGCAATTGGCGCGTACTACGGTTCGAAGCATGGGGTATGCCTTATTGAAGTTGCTGTGCGTTGTTTGATACTGATGCGCATTCTAGGGTGTACCGAACCCCGTCCGCGTAAACCAGATCCCTCGCCAGATCCCCCCAACGCCCCGCTACTTGCATCCCTGGGTAGGTCACCTGTAGCTGCCTTATTTCCATCGGTTTGCTGACGTCCTCGCGCAGGCTGCGGCACTCCTCAGTGGCATACTGCCTTTCGGCGCCGCCTTCGTTGAGATGTACTTCGTGATGTCCAGCTTGTTCGCCTCACGCGCGTACTATGCCTTCGGCTTCCTTGCGCTGACTGCCGGTGTGGTGGCACTGACGACGGCAACGGTGACCATCCTGTTCACCTACTTCATCCTCTGTGCTGAAGAGTACCGGTACGTGGTGTGAGAACATTTTGCGATATCAATGCTGATGCTCGCAATCAGCTGGCACTGGCGCGCCTTCCTCACCGGTGGCGGTTCCGCTTTCTGGCTCCTCGCTTACGGCCTATTCTACTGGGCCTCTCGACTATCATTGGACTCCTTCTCCAGCGTCGTTCTATACCTGGGATACCTCCTGCTTCTCGTGCTCCTGGACTTCCTAGTCACTGGTACGGTCCTTTTCCGTTTCGCTTATACACAGCGCTGACCGAGCTCCTCCCGCAGGCACCATCGGCTTCCTCGCGTCGTACTGGGCGGTCCGCCGGTTATACAGCGCCATTCGCATTGACTAAGCGCATGCGGCTCGATGCAATGTAGATGCTGGTGGGCTGTATTAATCGAGCTTGGACTCCTCCCTGTAGATTGCTAGCTTTACGCTCTATGTAATGCTCTCCTTTATCGTACGAAGAGCGCCGTCCTGCTTTACTGTTCCCTCTGCGCTCGAGCGATTTTGAGGCACAAGGGAAGGCGTCAATTGTGGCGCGGGGGTTCTCACCGTCTGGCTTGCACACCGAGCTCTTCTCTGGCCTCCCAAACTGATTCTTGTGTAAATACGGACCAGAGAACCTCTCAGCAGACCCAAGTTGAGAAGATATCAGGGCCGACTCCGTCCGAACCGCTGCCGCAAGTCCCGTCAGGCGTTACGAGAGCGGCGTGATGCTGGGAACTGTGAGAGATCCCAACACATGCTGTGCGCCCTTTGCACCCTACAGAAGCGTCCAGCCAGTCCCAAGGTGCCCCAAGAACGGTTAGGCGCTTTGGGAGTCTGGATCCCACTTCGCCGTCCATCAGCGGCACGATTCGGCAGCATAATCGCTCGGCGGCGCATCTCCGTATGTCAATCCCCTTCTTCCGCTAATTGTCTCCGGCCCGTATCTCTTCCTTCCTGCCACAATCCTCGACGTATAGGTGCGTGGCATACATCCCTAGCTTCGCCTCTGAGCTAACTTTCGCTCACTCTCCCCACAGCGCCCAGGACGGACCGAGTGTGGCGCCGTGGGTGAATTTGTGGCAAGCGTAGTCAAGCGAACGAGTGCGAGTTGTCTGCTATGCAGGCGGTCGCTGCGCCCATCGCTCGGCCGTTCCTTGGCTCTGAGCCATCCCTTGAGAATGCTGGAGGCCAAATGGAGGGGGTGGGCGGCGAACAAACGGGCGCCACTGGCCCTACTCCTGGTGCGTGTTGGAACTCTGGTCCTGGTGATCGGTCTGGCTCAAGCTCCCCAGGTCTTTGCATCCCTCCCAGGCTCTCTGGGCTTCCTAGCGCACCAGGAAATACCGGAACTTCAAAGACACAGGCAACACCCGCCGACGAGCCCAAGGAGAGCGTAGTAGGCGCCGTCCCACAGATACCCACGCTTGCGCAGGCCTCGGCCCCATCTTCGGGCCAGGATGAATTCTCAGACTATGAGGACGACGATGAGGACATCGACCCCAACGCGCCTCCGGTTGTGTTCGGTGAAATGGATCTTGGCGACATGCTACCCTCCGACGTGCGAGAAGCCACGGAACAGGTTGACCCTATCCGCACCAAGGCAGACGCGCTCGGCTTGGATAACTCTCAGAGCGCCTCTCACAGCTCGCGCTTTCGCACCTCTCGCTCTGCTACTCCGGGCGCTAAACACAAGTCCCGCATGGCCTTCACTCCCCAGCTCTCCTCACCCTTCAACAACCTACGCCTCTCCACCCCAGATCCCTCTTCCGCGCGGCAGCGCTCCCTCTCTCAAGGGTCCAACTCGCAAGGGTCCAATACGTCTCTCGGTCCCAAATATGACGGCGGAAGATCGGCGCCCGCGCACTGCCCCTTCTGCGACCGGCGATACGCCCGGGAGATCGACATGCAGCGCCACGTCGAGACGAGCTGCCAGGTTGCCGCGAAGTCCATTCTTGCTGAGCAGGAATCCCCCGGGGGCAGCTCACTCGGCTTGTCGCAGGGTTGGAAGTATACGCTGCAGGTCCACGTGTGCGAGGTGTGTGGCGCGCGCCTGTCGCGCAGAGACGCGCTTTCGCGACACCTATGGAATCAACACCGTCGCCGCTTGCCGAGGATAGACAGGACCCGAACACGGTCAATGTCACAAGTCGGATCGGAGAGCCAACCCAGCAACGCAGGTGGGAGCGGCAGCAGCCACGAAGGAATAGAGGGCGCAGTCAAGCAGGAGGCCGACGCTGAAATGAGTTTGGGGGGCAGTCAAGAGCCGCCGAATAGTGAAGGGAAAGACGAGTCGTCGTCTGAACTCACGGACCTCGACTACTATAGCTCAGGTGACGAGGCAAAGAAGGACGCTCGCCGGGTGGAGTCCTCTCCAGATACGCCCCTCGCTGAAACCATTGAGAATCCGGCATCTCGCAATATCCGCAAGCGAAAGCTGTCTGCTGCTGGCGCGGAAGATCCAACCGTCCCAAGTCAAGGACCGCTCGATGCTGCCATACGTGCGGCCAACCTCGAGGATGCCAACAATCCGGCCTCAGAACTGAACGGATCGACGTCGTCACGTCCAGGCGGCAAGCGTCAGAAGAAGACCCGCTTCTGGACGTACTCCAAGTCGCCCGAGCCTCAGCCACGTCCACCGCGCACGCCTTCGCCTATGGAAGCCGATACCACCCCAGGGCCATCCTCTCAGACGACTCCGTCTGGTGCTGTCACCGCTGTGGTAAGAGGACCCGATGCCGCCGCACGCGAGGCTATCCTGCGCGCGGACTCCCTCGCAATCATTGTCGACCCCTACCACGTGAAGTGTCGCCGCTGCGCTACAAGCATCAAGCTCAGCGACAAGTACCCGTATATGCTGCGTATGTGGGAGAGGCACAAGCAGACGAGGGGATGTCTTGCGGGGACGGGGAGGACGGCGCCGATGCCGAGGAAGTCAGGTCCTGGGCGAGGGGATGGCGCTAGCGGCGCTGGTGGCGGTGATGATGCGGACGGCGGCGCTGCAGGCACGAGTGGAATGAATGGACAGTCAAGCGGTGGGATGGACCTCAGCAATCTTGGCGCGAATGGGCAGACTGGTGGCGGGGCTTTGGATGCTGGTGTCTATCAGCACAGGGTGGGTGGATAGTGCTCCGAATTCCTTTCGCAGACGTTGAACCTTAGTAGGCAGCTATATTTACGCCACAATCTCCCTCAAAGCCGCTTAACCTGAGGCCAATTTCCCCGTCCCCGCCGCCGTCTCTGTCCGACATGGAAATTGAGGAAGAGGAGAGGAAGCCCATCCTTGTCGATGGTGTGGCGATTCCCCCCTCAATGCGTTTCGACAAGGGGCATCCTTTGACGTTGTTCTCGCAACGGATGCCAGCCGTCGACTGGTTCGAACGAAATGAGGCGCATGCGCGAGAGCTAGGGATATGGATTGAGGAGCCGCCCGTCAGCGGTACATCTGAGTGCGTCTGCTTGCCTGACCAATGTGTATCTGTTATAACAGGATTCTCTTTCAGCGAATCGCGAGCCTCTCTTGCTACTCACGAGCGACCTCTTACCCCTGGGAATGTCTCCGACTCGTCGGGCGATGTCCCATTGCATCAACAAACCAAGAGAGCGGTGAGGAGCCACGGAGGACGTCCCACAAAGGCCTCAACCATAGGCCGCCCAGTATACCTGCTGTGAGTCTTGTGAAGTGTATGCGAGGATGCTACTAAGCCGCCACCTCGCAGGTCAACTGATGCGCGAGAAGAATCTATACCCGTCGAGTGGGAGGTAGGGATGTCTGGGCGCAAGCGCAAGCGCCGAGTTTCGGCAACGCCAATGACCGACCCTGACGAGGGCTACGTGAGCTGGGCGTCCGAAAGCGAGGCCGACTCAGACTACAAGTCCGGCAAGGCGAAGCCCGCGCGCCCAAAGGGACATACTGCTCCTAAGCCCAAGCCCAAACCAAAGGCACAATCCTCGCCCCGCAAGCGGACGCGCACCACCAAGCACCAGACCCCCGCCGGCACCTTCCGCCGCGGGCGCCCGCCCAAGCACGAGCAGCCCATCCCGTCCACATCCGCCTTCGCCGGCTTCGAGGAGCTCCCGGACGAGCTCAAGATCGAGCCCGCCGAGCTCGCGCCGCCCATGACCGACACGCGCTGCCCGCACTGCAACGCGAAGTTCGGGCGGCCGGCGGACGTGCGCCGGCACGTCGCGTACATCTGCCCGGCGCTGCAGGGGAAGCGGTCGTTGAAGGACTGCACGTGCAGTCGGTGTGGCGCGGTGATGGCGCGGCCGGATGCACTGGAGCGGCACCATAAGAGCGCGTTCGATTGTGTGGACGGGACCCCGAGGACGGTGTGGCCCATGGGGAGGCCGGAGCCGAGGTCGTTCCCGAAGCTGGGGACGAGGCGCCGTAGGAGGTCAGGCGGGAGTGCGAAGTGAAGCTGGGTGCCGAAGAGATGCTGTTGTGCGAAGAGAAGCTGGGCGTGTGGAATACGATATGCGAGGGACGTTGTACAGCAAAGGGAAGAACTGTTCTTGGATTAGCTGACTAGCTCGACTCCTCATGTAACTATGGAATATACGTACTAAGCATATGCACCTGGAATACCATTCTATCTTCACCTTGCTTGCAAGGTCTCTTGCAGACCCTTTATTCTTCGGGATTTCTAGTACACACAGACAAACAACGCTTGACCTACCTCTGTTCGAACCCCGATCTTGTCTCGCAAGCAAGGTCTCCGCCGGGCGCAGCCGGCGCTTCCTCTAGTTCTTACATGACCTCGATTAAGTTGAATGGACGCACCGCAAATACTTAGTAGGACTGGTCAGGGGCAGGTTCACCAGTGAAGCGTCGTATCCATGCATGCGCAATGGTATTGCTGGGAAAATGAGTGGAGTTGACGTGAGTAGCTCTAGTCCGACTCCCTCAGCCCGACAACAAGCACATTACTCTTCCCCGCCCGAAGCACAGCAAACTTGCCCTCAATCAGGTCTTCCCGCTCCAGGGCCCTATCCTCGCCTACCACCCCATGGTTCACGTAGAACCCCTTCGACTTGCCCAGTCGCCGTGCTTCACCTGATGAACGCAAACATCAGCTTAACAATCCCTATATTGCCTAAATTGCTCAGAAAAACTCACTCTTCGACGCCACCAGCCCGTGCTCAGTGGCCAGAGAGAATATCCGCGCGCCGACCAGATCACCTTCGTCGAGCAGGACGAGGCGGGGGTCGCCCTTCAAGGCGGAGAAGACTTCGCTGGCGGTCATGTCGCCGGCATCGCCGAACATCAGGCGAGTGGCCTTTTCGGCGAGCTCGCGGCCGGATTCTGGAAAACATCTTCAGTATGGGCGACACAGAGGGGGTTGAACAGTACGAGAAAGAACTGACTCTGATGCACGAGCTCGGTGACCTCTGCAGCAAGGCGACGCTGGGCTATCCGCTTGTGAGGGGCGGCCTGGGAATGAGGATTAGCAGAGATAACGAGAGGGACAGAATGAACGTACATTGTGCTCCTGCATGACACTCTCGATCTCCGCGTCCGAGACGAGTGTGAATAGCTTCAGGTACTTCTCGACGTCCTTATCCTCAGTCAAGATCCAATACTGCGTGAACATGTGTGTCAGCGCCAATGTCGCATCTGGCAGGTGTGTGTGATGAGGCAAACCCGTACCTGATAGAACGCGAACGGGCTCGTGAGCTTCGTATCTAACCAAACCGCATTCCCCGCGCTCTTGCCAAACTTCTCCCCGGATGCTGTGGTGAGCAGCGGCGTCGTCAGGCCGAAGCAGCGCGAGGACACCTTGGTCTCAGAAGGATTCTCGACAGCATCCTCGCCCTCAAGGCGCGCGATGAGCTCGAGGCCGGATACGATGTTGCCCCACTGGTCCGAGCCGCCGACCTGGATGGTGCATCCGTAGTTGCGGAAGAGGTGGTAGAAATCGTAGGCCTGAAGCAATTGGTAGGAGAACTCGGTGTAGGACATGCCGTCCTTCGATGTGAGGCGGGTTCGGACGCTAGTTGAGAGCATGTGAGCAGAGGCAAAGTAGATAAAATGTAGCTTTACCTCTCCTTGTTCAGCATCGTATTCATACGCGCGTGACTGCCGACGACCATGAAGAAGTCGAGCATGCTGAAGTCCTTGTGCCACTCCAAATTACTCTTGACCTGCAGGTCAGAGAGCACGCCCCTCGTCGAGATGCCCCGCGCCTCCGCATACTTAGTCGCGCCTTCGAAAAATTTTCGTAGCGCGGCCTCGAGCGAGGCGACGTTCTGCTCGACCACGCTCTTGTTGGCGGGGTCTCGTGCGGTGCGGCGCCCAGTTGGGTCACCTAGCAAGCCAGTTGCTCCTCCAATCTATTCTCTCTCGAGGTAAGCATCGTTTTGGAATGTGTAATCATTCAACTTACCAGCGGTATGATCTTATGGCCAGCTGCATGGAACCGGAAGAGACACATGAGATAGAGCAAGTGTCCAGCATGCAGCGAAGGGGCCGTCGGGTCAATCCCCGCGTACACAGTCTGCTGGGATCTTTGAAGGGCATTTCCGAGGTCGTCTGGCCTGTACAAACCTGATGAGGGCCATGCAAGTGAGTTAAATAGCGCTATTTCCTCACCGCGTGGCGTCGGCAACAAAACCACGCTTCTTGAGGTCGGAGTAGAGCCCAGGGTCAGCAGGAGCAGGCGTGCTGAGTCCCCGGGAGTATTTTGCTGCTCTCGGGACTGGGCCCGTACGAGCACGACGTGCTATGAGTGACACGACATGGGTAACGCGCATCGGGGAGGAAGAGAAGGGCGCGGTCACGTGCATCTTAATCCGGCCTTTGCCGTAATTGTCCCTCCTATGATATTCGCGACATACGGAACACCACTAACATTGATGCTACTGACCAACGCAATGCAGATAACTGATGGCTCATACGACAAACAGGGTATAGAGTATGTACCATCCCAGCTAGCATCCGAATCCGAACTGAGTAGCACGGGGAAAATTACACGACATTCCACGCGACCAAGAACTTGAATGCCATGCCCTTCTTCCCAATGGCTTTCTTGAAAGCAGACATGGGATACCCGAAGCCATTGACTTCTTTGACAGCGCCGAGAAGGGATCGTTCGGTAATCGTCGTCACAGCGTAGATCGATACTTTGTCGCCACCTCTTGGCACGTAAACCGAGGCACTCCAGCCACCTTGGTCATTTCTTTCCATCGGAACCAGCTTGTCCGAGGTCTTCACCGCGTAGATGTAGTTGTCCTCTTCCGCGATCGACATGTGCTCGCACAGCTTCCAAACGCTGAATACCGTCGTCGCACCCCCCTGCACCTCCTTCGAGATCGGCTGGATAGTATCGGGGTGCAACTTCTGCTCGTGGAAGTCGCTGTAAATCTGCGGACGCGGCGCAGCCATGATGTAGTCCGCCCACTCGACCACGCCGCCGTCCTCCTCACCGATGAGCTGGAACGAACGGTCGGTCGGGAAATGCCTCTGGACGAATTCAATGGGCGTCATCGAGAACCACTCGGGCGCATAGCGTCGATTATACACGCCTCCCACGAGCGCGCCCGCGCCCCAACAGGGGTCCACGAGCTGCCAGACGCCGTCCATGTAGCAGCAATTCCATGCGTGCCCTGTATGTTCCTCCGGCACTGCTGCGCCAGGCGGGAGCGCCTCGAAGCCGAATCCTTTGCCATGCCCGCTTACTTCGTATGCAGTAAGCCCCGAAAGCTCGGCGAGGTGCACGAACAGACCGGCGTATCCGCCGCAGACAGCGAGACCGCTACGCAGCGTGTCCTCTGGCGTCACCGCGCGGACGGTCCCCCCGAAGAACGCCTGCGTATCGTAGTCGACGTTGTGGTGTAGCCAGGTAAAGATCGCCCGGAACTTGTCCGTCTCGGTAAGGAATGGGGCAGTCAGATCGTAGGCCAGTTGTTCTAGTGACTGCACGGATTGGCGAGGGAATTGCGCGGCGTGCGCGTCAACGACGGAGAAGTCGTGGCATTTGAGACAAGCAGGGCGTTCAACGCTCTGTGCGTCTGTGGATTGCTCTGCATACTGAGGTTCATACTGAGATTCTGGCTCGGTATCTGGCTCGGGGGGAGGAGTAGGAAGCGAGGACCTAGAGGGTCGATTCGGTGGTAGAGGAGGCGGTCCCTGCTTGTCAGCTTTGCTGGTCGGAGGTGGGGGAGGCGGGCGCCTCAGCAGCCGACCAAGCTCGGGATCGTCTTGCTCGATCTCATCAACCGTCAAACGACGTACAGGGCGTGGCCGCGATGTCGCGACAGACGGCAGCCCGTATGTCCCCTCATCGTCGCCTTCGGTCTCTGGTGTCGGCAGATAGGCAGCAGTAGACGAGAGCGTGGACGATGTCCGACGCCGCGGGGGTGGCGGAGGTGGCGATACGCCCAGCGGATGACGCCCACTAGGGTGCTCATTGTGAATCGAGGTAGCGGTGCTGCTCCGCCGGGGAGGGGGAGGGGGCATTCGCCGGGGCGGCATGGCGGGTCTTCTTCGTCGCCAGATGCGGGAAGACGGCCTGAAGACGGCAGGAAACAAGGGCAAGTGCGGCAGTACCGCAACCCATTCGCGTTCAAACGTCCTCTTGCCGCCCGCACGTAAAAGTCACCAGGCAAGTCAAACATATCCCACGCCCGACCGCATCCCCCTCATCGATACCGCAGAGGCGAGCTGAACCGAAGCTGAAAAAAGGAAGAGCATACGCTACTTTTGGGAGGGAGGTAGAGAATGGCATAGGCGGCATATCTTATGTGAAGCGTACAACATGGGTGTCATATAGTCACAGCGCGGGGGCCCAAAATCGCAGGAGAGCATTCGACATGCAAACGGGTAGTAATACGTAGGAGGAAGGAATTTATGAGCGGGGCTTCTCCTGTAGTAAGGCGTCAGATACTCCGCGCAGGTACGCGATAAGGCGTGCGACTGACCTTCTTCTCCTTCCAGAGGGCGAGCAGACCGACGCCAGAGACCTTGACGATCTTGAAGCGCACACCCGGAATATCACCCTTTGCCTTACCCCGGCGACCGAAGCCGGAGATGAGGACCTCGTCGTTCTCGTCGACGAAGTTCAGGCAACCGTCGTTCTGACACGCTACGTCAGCATATCGTTCGCTCAAGGACGGGCTTTGACACGCACGGGCACGAAAGCGGTGACCTTCTTGCCGTTCTTGATGAGCTGCACGCGGACACACTTCCGGATAGCAGAGTTGGGCTGCTTGGCCTCAACGCCGACCTTCTCGAGCACGATGCCCTTCGCGTGGGACGATCCACCAGTGGGGGACGTCTTGTAGATGTTGCCCAAGGCGCGCTTTTTGTACGCCTTGTCCGCCTACGAGTCCACCAGCAGATCAGCCATCGCTCGAGGGACGGAATCGGAAGTACGCACCCAGCGGTTCTCGCGGCGATCGTTGCGCAGCTTGCGCGCGGCCTGAAGTCCACGGGGTTTGTTGGCTAGCGGACGGTCATCAAGGGTGCCTCCGACGATGGGGGCAACGACGTACAGCCCATTGCTTATGTCTTGACGCTGCGGCGGCGGGGCTGGCGGTGGTAAGCGATGGGCGAAACGTCGGAGTCTGAATTTTTCGCTAAGTGTGACCCGTCACTAGGTCAGGTGACTAAGGTGGCTTAGCACGTGACAAAAAGTTCCAGACTCGCGCGCCGTTCGACCTTGCCTTCTGCCAATGATCATCACCTCATTACCGTGGTTACTCTGGAATCCTGCGTGCACGACCGCTTCGCTCTATACACCTCAAGTCTCTGTTTAGGGACCAACAACATGCGCATCGCCCATAAGCGGTTGAACCTTTGCAGCCGAAACGAAAAAACCCTTGCGCCTGTCCCGCTCAATGCGAAGATTCAGTTCAACCGCGTCCTTCTGCTGCATGTTCTTTCTCCTTCTGAAGACCCCTCGTGCTGTACCGTCTAGCCCAGGCCCTCAGGTAGCACCCTCATCCCCAGTGTTCTTCGCGCGTTTCGCCGATCATCAGTGCGCTGGCGGCCTGCAGGCGCTTCTTCAGCCTTCCAAAGCGTTCTGTGCCCTCCCCAGTGTCAGTAACTGTCGTTTGCGGTGCGCTTTTTGAATGAGAACGTGTGCCCTTTGTGCGTAATCTGTGCCTCCTCACTGGTTCGAATTCCCTTGTTTCTGACGCGGTTCTCTGTATCTGACTTCGATGCGCTCGACCGCGCACATTGTGCCATCGCTGTACCGCCCCCTCGTTTGATGTTCAACGCTGTCTGCGAAAGGCCGGTCAGTCTACTTCTGGATACTCCCCCCCAATCCGAGGGTTCCTCTATGGGCATGTCGACGAGATCGGATGCTTCCCCGGTGGATAATCCCTTGATCAGATGAGCTCGAATCGCCGTCAATGGCGTTCCGCCTGAATGCGTTCAGTCGGAGACGCTGCTCTTTTGCCGGCCATGCTATACAGGGAACAAATGTACTCGCCGCTGTGAGCGTGCATATCCGCCTCTGTAGTCAGTAGCGCCATGGATTTCGAATTCATTGGCTTGTAACAGGGAAAATGGTGACCTCGCGACTCTGGTCGGTCTTTCCGTCTTTATGCTCCCCACGACATCGCACGGAGTCTCAATCGAGCTCACCGCCGGGTTCGGGACGTCTGACAGAGCGCATCACTCAGCAGAGAGCGCGCCCCGAACCTCACGTCATCCGGCATTGTGACGCCCGATGGCGGGTCAATATATAGTTCGACGCCGGTTGTTTTCCTCTTTCCATTGCGTTTCTCCTGCATCCAATACGCTGCACGACCGAACGCTACCATTATGGCCACTCTGAGCGGATTCTATGGCTGGACAGATACGCTCAAGGGCGTATACTACGGTCCTGGCGTCATCCAAGCCGCTCTTCCCAAACTCCTCTCTACCCTCAGCGGCACGAAAGCGCTTATCGTAACCGGGAAGACCCTGTATCACAAGGTATGCTTCTCCATTCAGTCCGATTTCTTCCTCTGTATATTGACTTCGCCGCCTGCAGACTGACGTCGTGAAGACCGTGGAGTCCATCCTGCGCGCCAACAACGCATACGGCGCCACATTCTACGACATCGGCGAGCATTCCCCCATCGCAGGCATCCGCGCAGGCGTCTCCGCCTTCCGCGACAGTGGCTGCGATATCATCGTCTCCGTTGGCGGTGGCTCGCCCATCGATGCCTCGAAGGCCATTCTATACTACATCCAGCCGGAGCGCGGTGGCCCGATGCCGTTGCAAATTGCCGTGCCTACGACGCTGAGCGCGGCGGAGTACACCGTTGGCGCAGGTTTCACCGACGAGAAAGGTAACAAGACGGGGGTAATGTCGCCTGAACTGGCGCCGGCTGGGATCATCCTCGACGCAGAGCTCACGCTAGCGACTCCCGAGCGGCTCTGGTGAGTATTGGATACAATAGTGCGCCCATCTGTAGGTCGTCCCTCTTATCATCCTTCCAGGTTGTCGACGGGCATGCGCGCATTGGACCACGCGGTAGAAAACCTCTACCGTCAGGTTACCCCCATCCCGTTGAAGGCACTGGCCTACGCGGCGATCGCCGACCTCTTTGAGTATCTGCCCAAATCGAAGGCGGATCCGGGGTCAGTCGAGGTGCGGCAGAAACTGCAGATTGCGAGTTGGATGTCGCTCTGGCCGCTCAGGCAAGACGCAGGACAATTCGCGTGAGTATTGATTCACGATGTACATCTTGATCGCACTTCACACTGTGCAGGCCACTGGGACTCTCTCATGGACTGGGGCATAAGCTCGGTAAGTCGGCCTGCGTATTGCATGCAGTTTCGCAGGCTGATGCGACTTAGGCGCAACATACGGTGAGGTGTCAGTGCATTGACGCCGGCTTCTGTATTAACGCAAGCAGGAATCCCGCACGGGATTACATCGGTGAGTGCTCAACATCTGTTCTCGAGACCTCGACGTTGAGCGCAGCTCATCCTTCTTCCTGTAGTGCTTGACGCTCGCGTCCGTTGTTGCTCTGCAAGCCGAGATAGGCTCCGAAGATGACAAGCAGAGCCTTTCGAAGGCACTCTTCTACATTCAGGAGCCATCCAGTGGCGACCTCAAGCGGGATGTCCTGACACTTGCATCGCGAATTCATGGGTGCGTCCTGCCCGCGCTGCTTGCTGCTTACCGATCCTGAATGAGATAACCACGCAGGCTTGTCGAGTCTCTAGGGCTAGCGTCCAGCCTCGAAGGCTATAAGGTGCCCAAGGAAGACTTTACCAAGATAGCGGCGCAAACAGTGGGGAGCAATGGCCCGCTCCATGCCAAGGTGTTGGGCTTGCTGAACGATATATACGTACCTGGCTTTAAGGTCGGTGCATAAGCTGGATAATAGCCATGGGCAGTTGCACTTTCTACGTATATCCTGTTCGTGAGCTGAAGGATCAAGACAGTGTACGAATGGTTTCGTTGACTGGCCTTGTTCGCTTCAACTGGTCCGAGTCGTATTCTTCTACTTTCGCCGTTCGTAATAGGAAAGGTTCTCTTTCGCTTCTGCGCTTCTCGTGGACTCCTATAAGTCGAGGCCTTGTTGGCTCTCCATGAGCACAAAAGGCGACAGTCCGCGCAGTAGTACTCGTTGCCATTGTTTCTGAGTAGGGGCAATATTTGAGGTCAGTGAGGAGGTCACAGTCTGTCACACAGATCCACCGGTTGCCACGTTGCGGAATAGCGTTGTCTTGAACGTTGAACTACTTCAGTCTTGTCTAAACTAGACTCGCGCCTCGAAAAGGAATCTCTATGTGTGCGCCACGAAGGACTTGAAGAATCGGACAAGCCCGCGTTGCAGCGGAGATCTCCTATCGCTCATGTCTCAAGGGAGGAAGCTGCTGGTCTGTCCGTCCTACGCTCTCGGTCGAGCTCGCGCCGCCATATTATGTACCATGACTATGCGCTTAACATCGTCCGCAGCCTCCGCTAGTCCGACAAGCGCAAAAAAGGCCCTTGCCCCGGTCAATGCCTCATCGCCCGACTCGGAAGCACGATCACAGTCAGCTGAAGGCCAAGCTCGGTCACAATTTTGGACATGATTCTCATGCTCCGAGTCGCTAACTGGAGCGGCTAACACAAGCAATTATTCATGAGGCTATTCTGGAGGCCTCCGAGTTGTGCATAGTAGTTCAGGGACTCGGCTGGAGGGACTTATAAGTATGAAGTTCGTGCTTCCTGGGCAGTATCAGCAAACCTGATAGCTCAGTAACAAAGTATCGGTCGACATGTCTGCCGGATTCAAGTCCATCGCCGTCGCTGGTGCGCAGGGCAGCATTGGAAAGGCCGTCCTCCAAGGCCTCACGGCTTACCGTGGTGTCTCCGTACTCGTCCTCACGCGCAAGACGACGCCGCGCCCGGAGTGGCTACCCAAGGAGGTCGCGCACGCAGGAGTGGACTACGACGACGTAGACGGCACCGCGGCAGTCCTTCGCGAGCACAAAGTCGAGGTAGTCGTCTTCCCAGGTTCTGGCATCCTTCAGCAAATCCCGCTCGCGGACGCCGCGAAGGCTGCGGGCGTGCAGCTCTTTGTGCCGAGCGAGTATGGGACGGTGGACAAGGCGTTCACTCTAGAGGAAGCCCCGGACTTCTTGGCAGAAAAAGTCAAGGTTGCGCGTAAGCTCGATTTACTGGAGCTGCCTGAGGGATACTGATTTGCTCTGCGCAGAACATCTGGAGGCTATCGGCCTCACGTCTGTGCGCGTCTACGTGAGTTCTGAGTGCGTCTGCATGGTTCGTTGGTTGACTCGTTTGCAGACCGGCGCGTTTCATGACTTCGCCCTCCCGCTGGTCGGCTACACCGTGAACAAAAAGGTCAACATCCTCAAGGGACTCAAGGGTGACACTCCGATGTCCATAACGCACACGAACGACATCGGAGGTAAGCTTGCGCACTTCCTGGATGAGGCTCCAGCTCACCCCAACACAGGCTTCATCGCCTACGTGATCACTCACTACCCGCTCTCCGACCTCGCTTTCAAGTCTCTCCGCATCGAGGGCGGCCACCTGTCGTTCAACCAGCTCGCTGCTCTCCTCAACGCGCCTGTCGAGCACGTCGACGAGGTACCGACCAATTTCTATGACAAGACGTTCCTCGCGCAGGCGCAGACGTTCGTGGACAGGGGGCTGTTGAACACGGAGACGAAGGTGTGCGAGGGCGATGGCGCTGGCGGGGCCAACCACCTGTGGAAGGGTCATAGGTGGACGACGGTCAAGGAGTCCTTGAACCTGCAGTAGGACCTATTAAGTAACTCTGAACTGAGTATATAGCGTTGTAAGAATGTCTAAACAATGACTACCAACGAGGGTGCATATGAGCGCCTCACGATTCAAGCGCAATTCGAACTCGAGAGTCGGACCATGCTGCCGCGTAGAACCATATGATGACGTCGATCAGAGACTGCACTTGGATCCTACCGCCATGCATCGTGTCCTCGAGATCCCCGAGCTACAGCTTGCGATTGCCCAGGAACTCATACCGCCCGAATCCGACTGGTATCGTCATAGAACGGACCTCTACAGGCTATCCCTCGTCTCGCATTCGTGGAGATCCATAGCGGAACCCATGCGCTGGGAAGAGGGTAATGACTTCGGAGATATCCTGTGCATCTTGCCCGCAGATGCTTGGGTCACGGTGAACTTGGAGGATTCAGACTGGCAAGGGAACACCTTCGTGAGGAGGGCAAGGGTGCGTGGCCTTGTATCAACTACACCGATTCTGTCTGATGGGGCGTCCATTGTATCTACGCCAGTCGATATGCCGCCCACTCAATTCGCAGGACTGGAGAACACTCCAACAGCGGACACGCTTTGTCCAGAGCTTTACCCTGAGCCAGGATGCAGGGATGCAGCAGACGCTCGCAAACTTGCTGAGCACAATCCCGCCTGCCGACACGCTCTTTCCGAAGCTGACGGAGTTGGTCTTGACTTTGGACGAGGATGACCAAGAAGACTTCAGCTCGATATACTCAGCATTCGTTCTGGCCGTCACCACTCCGAGTATCGCTCACCTGGCCATTCGCAACTCGTTAACACACGCCCCGAGTCATATATATACTGCGACTCTGACACAAGTCATACGACGCTCTCAAGGACTTCGCACCATCGTATTCGAAGCCAGCGCCGAGTTCGAGAGACGAATGCCGTTTCCTCCCGAGAGCTCCTCGCCATACAGGAGTTCCTTCCAAGCTCTCGGCTCGTGCGACCTGCTCACCTCTGTCAAATTCGAGATCACTACGTACGAGTACGACTCCTGCCTTCTACCCACTCTTGCTGCCCTTCCCAACCTACGAGAGCTTACGCTGAAGAACGAGTACCAGGCGGAGTGGGTGGAAATGGACGCACTCGAAGCCCTGGACGAACTGGAGGCGCTACTGCTAAGGCTAGGAAGTGTCCGGATACCCACGCCCAGCTTTCCGTCCCTGCGATCTATGCGCTCGTTGGAACTCCCTCATCGGCTCGTTCGTGCTCTCATCGCGGCTGGTGGTTGCTCCATTCCCTTGACATCCTTCGAAATCAATACGGATATCGATGATTACCAACGCTTTCACGACATTCTCTCGGCTGTATGCATGGGCTGCCACGGCCCCACTCTGACTGGCCTGTCCGTCGAGTGTTGTTGCATGACTTTTCGAGGCTATCCCACTACCAGCGTCCTCGATCTGTCCGCAATCGCTCCAATCTCGTCATTCGCTCGTCTATCCAGGATCCAGCTCGACGGCCTCGTCAGCGTCGACCTTTCAGATGCCGACTATGCGGAGATCGCTTGTTGGTGGCCCGAACTTGTCAGCCTCGCTCTCGTCACCGAACGTTCGACGCCTACATGCTCGCTTGCAGCGCTTCTACATCTCCAATCGTCGTGTCCTTACCTAGAATACCTGGACCTTGCCCTCAATGCTGAGGAGGTGCCGACCATAGCGAGCTCGGATACTCGATCGACCACAAGCACGCAACACATCTCGCCACCTCGCTTTGAACTTCAAGTACGAAACTCACCTATCGCGGAAGACGTGGGCTCCGTCGCTCTCTTCCTGCTGTCGCTCTTTCCGAAGATACAGACGGTCAAGTTTGAAGTGGGCTTCGACGATGATGCCTTTCATAAGGAGAATGCGGAGGAGTGGGTTATCTTGGAAAGGAGGGAGGCATGGGGAAAGGTGAACGATTTGATCGTCAACCACAGGAACGCATGCATGTAGAGAATGTAAACCCTCTTGATGCAAGTCAAGCACGATGCATAAAGAACAGCAACATAGGTTGCCTTTGTCGTGTTGATGCACTAACATACCACGCGATTCTGACGGGGTTGGTCCTCGCCCGAGGTCGACATCCCTCATGGCGCCCGTCGGGAAACCACCTAGTCTCGAACAGGCGGCACGTTATACAGAGTCTTGTTACCAGTATGTGCCCCGCGGTTCGAAGTCAGGCTCGGATCGTACTGTCGTGTAGGTCCATATGATAACGTCGATCAAGGACTGCACTTGCATCCGACCACCATGCACCGTGTCCTCGAGATCCCCGAGCTGCAGCTAGCGATCGCCCAGGAACTCATACCGCCCGAAACCGGCTGGTATCGTCGCAGAACGGACCTCTACAGGCTATCCCTCGTCTCGCATTCGTGGAGATCTGTAGCCGAACCCATGCGCTGGGAAGAGGGAAATCGCCTCGAAGACTTTCTACGTGTCTTGCCCACCGACGCCTGGGCTAGGGTGATAACTGAAGTCGAAGACTGGTACTCGGATACCTTCGTGCTCAAGAAAATCCGGACAAGAGTGCGTGGTTTCGTGTTCCCTCAGTCGACGGTGATTGATTGGGCGTCCGTTGTAACTGCTACAGTCGATATGTCGTCACCTCTCTCCAGACGATTGGAGCGCGGTCTACCAACGAACACGCTTCGCTCGAAGCTTGATCCTGCGCCAGCACGCAGGGTTGCGGGGAACGCTTGTAAATCTGCTATCGACCGTCCCTCCTGCCGGCACCCTCTTTCCGAAGCTGTCAGAGCTGGTCCTTGATATGGACGACGAATTTCGAACAGATTTCACTTCCGTACACTCAGCTTCTATCCTGGCGATTAGTACCCCCAATCTTGCCCGCCTAACGATCAAGAATCCATGCCATGCCCCAAGGCGCATATACCTCGAAACAGTATCAGAACTCGCGCTACGCTCTCAAGGACTCCGTTCGGTCGTATTCGACACCAAATCCCTACTCATCGACTCGCCGACCTCCCCCGTACACCACCGACCCTCGCCATACAGAAGCTTCTTCCAGACCATCCGCTCCTGCACGTCGCTCACTACCGTCAGACTCGATCTCTACGTGTCCAGCTACGATAGGCACATCCTTGTCAACCTTGCCGCCCATCCCAGCCTACGAGACCTAACGCTAGATATGGAGCATTCATACGACCTCGATGAACTAGACATGTTGGAAGAGATCGACAAGACGGAGGAGCTGCTGCTCCGACGAGGGATGAGCTCGATACCGACGCCGAGTTTTCCTTCGCTGCAGATGATGCGCTCTACGCAGCTGCCGCATGCGGTCCTGCGCGCCCTAATCGCAGCCGGCAATCGCGCTATCCCGCTGTCCACCCTGCACTTCGAGGCAGACACCAGTAGCTATGAAGACCTCCGAGCGACAATCACGGCGATATGCTCGGGCTGCGACAAGGCGACTTTGACCGAACTCGACATAGAATTCCTTTGCACAGATCCCCAAGGCGATCCCCGTATTAGTGTCCTTGACCTGGACGCTCTTGCCCCTATCGCGACCTTCGCGCGTCTAACCCGGGTGGAGCTCGTCGGCTTTGACTGGGTCGACCTCCCAGACACCGACTACTCAGAGATCGCTCGCTGGTGGCCCGACCTTGTCAGCCTCGCCTTGGTAACCTACCGCTCGACCCCGACATGCACTCTGGCAGCTCTTATACCCTTCAGCTCGTCGTGCCCTCGTCTAGAATCCCTCGACCTATCTATCAGCGCAGAGGAGGTGCCAACCCGCACGCTCTCGGGCGACGAATATCCTACGACTACTCGACATACTCTGCCCCTTCTCAAACTCCGCGTACAGAACTCTCCTATCACTCAAGATGTGGACTCGGTCGCTCTCTTTCTTCTCTCGCTCTTCCCGACAATGCAGGAGGTCACATACGACATGCCAGCTGAGGATCTGGACCCTCACAATAAGGGGAATTGGGATGCAGAGGTTGTGCATGAAAGGAAGGAGGCTTGGGGGAAGGTGAACGAGTTGATCGTCAACCACAGGAACGCAGGCGTGTAGATTCTGCCGAGCAGCTTCTTTTAGATGGCAGTCAAGCACGATTACAATCACGATTCTCCGAACGCGATCGACGCTTCGCTCGAAGTTGAACTTCGTTTCGTCGTGTTGATCAATATTTGTGTCACGCGATCCTGGGAATTTCGTACGCAGGTACCGAGGTTGGCTTTCGCCCGAGGTTGACCTCTGACCTCATGGCGCCCGCTTCGTTGCACCGCCATCTTGAACAGGAAGCACGGTATAAAGTCATCGAGGGCGAGCCTATACTCACCAGAACAGACTCCCCTTCACCATGCTGTCGCGTATACTGGGGTGCGCGATCCTAGCTGTCTCAGCTGTGGCCCAGTTGTCGAATAATACCGTTGCGCTTGACTGTAAGTGGTACCAACCGATTCCTGATCTTGATTTCCACCCTAATCATTTCTGTTAGACGGCACTTTCATCGGCGAGCGTAACGACACCACGGGCGTCATCAACTTTCGCGGCATACGCTATGCTGACGCGCCTGTTGGCGACTTGCGCTGGAGGGCACCTGTGTCGCCTCCCTCAGAGAATCTTGGCAGTGTGAACGCGACTTCGGTAAGCTTCTACATCCAAATGCGCTCGCCACGAGCTCACCTTCGGATAGTTCCCCGCCGCTTGCATTCAGGCTCGCCGAGCTGATGGGGACAGCGACCCAAGCGATGGTCAGAAGTCAGCAGCTGATGAGAAGACTTACTCTGAGGACTGCTTGTTCTTGAACGTACGCTTCCTCCGCGTTGTGTTCTCCCACCCCGTGAGGATACGAGAACTAATTCATTCCACAGGTCTATGTCCCCGTCGGAACAGAGGTCAACTCGTCGCTCCCTGTACTCCTCTTTCTTCACGGTACGATCCTCTCGAAGCTGGTCGTAAGACACGAACTAACACCTCATGTCAGGCGGAGGCTTCCAGAGAGGCGACCCAGACGACGCTCCTGCAGACTATCTCTTCGAAAGCTCGGCAACCCCGTTCGTCTTCGTCACCATTCAGTACCGCTTAGGCGCGTACGGGTACCTAGGTCTGTCCTCCACAGCACTCCACTGTCAAGCTACGAAGTCCTCGACTTATACCGCATCCCAGGCGGGAAAGCCCTCGGTGACGACGGGGACTTCAATGTAGGGTTGCTTGACCAAAAGGCGGCCTTCCTCTGGGTGAGAAATTACATCAAGAACTTTGGCGGGGACCCGAGGTGAGTCGTTGTTTGAGCGCTGTCGTATGAGAAGAGAGGAGTGCATCAGCGAGGTGCTTACCGCCCATTCATCCTAGCCGTGTTACCATATGGGGCCAGTCTGGCGGCGCGTCGGCAGTTATGTTCCATGCAAGTGCCAAGATCATAGAGTCCAACCTCGCCTCGTACTGACACTCTCACCCTCTTAGCTCTTGGCGCAAAATGGGAACAATGAGGGCCTCTTTGTCGGTGCGATCGCGGATAGCCCGCCTATCAGCCTCCAGGCTGACTGCAATGGCCCTTACCACGAGATGGTCTCGTCAGAGATCGCGCAACAAATGTGAGCCGCGCCTAGCTCACACGTATTTTTTCATCGCTAATGAACGATGTAGTGGTTGTGACAGCGCGGACGAGCTCATGGACTGCCTTCGTGCTGCGAACGAGTCTGCCCTTACAAATGCGCAATCGCAAGTGCTTTCCATACACTCAGACATGATCTACGTCTTCCAGCCGTGCATAGATGGGTTATACCTGACTTCGCGCATCGTCCCCGCCTTGCAGAACAATACCATCGCCCACGTTCCGCTGCTCTTTGGGTACGATTTCCTCCTTCAGAACTCTTATGCGCTCTCTAACTCGCTAATCACCTCAGCTCGAACACCGAAGAGGGCGCACACTGGTCTGAGAACCTACCTGCAGCTTGCGCGAACACAACCATGCCCAACGCGACGGAAGACACTGTGTACTGCTTCACACGCGGCCAGTATCCCGGGCTCACGCGGGAGTCCTTCGATCGCGCGTTGGAGCTGTATCCGCTCGAGAACTACAACAACTCGGTCGATCTGCAGGGCCAGCGTATGTTGGGGGAGCTGCGCTTTATTTGCTCGGCGGTCCTGGCGGGCGAGCGTGTCCCGCATACGTACCAGTACCAGTCAGTACTCCCTCCTTAGTCTGCCTGGCTCAGTACCAACACGGTCCACAGCTACGACAACCCCGACGTGGGTTCCGAGCATGGAGACGAGCTGGCGGCGTTCTTCGACCCGCCTGACAACAACACCTTCTACTCAGCCATGCGCCAGTACTGGACGTCCTTCGCTACCGGTAATCCGCCACTGGCAGATATCAAGACCTCGTGGATCGTGAGCTTAGCTTTATTTTGACGCTGACCATACACTCATTATTCGCAGGACGCGCCAAACACCCGTATGTTTTTGCATCCAGGGAACATTAGCATGGTCAATGTTGAGGCCGATCTGCTTGAGCGCTGCAACTTCTGGCACAGCATTCATGAGGAGCTTTCGACTTGAGTAGCACGGACTTCTATCGGACAACATGATGCGCATACATATACCCTCTTTTGTAGACTCAGACTCTATCCTATATATTCCACTGTCGACCATGGCGTATATATTCAGTTGATTGACGGCGAACATGGGTCTTTCTCTCTGAAATTCAGCGATGCCAAACTCTCAAAGGACTCCCCATAGACGTCCGGTTTAGGACATTTAGGGACGTGTCGCGGTCTATACCGCACGTGACCGCGACAATGAAGCCGCATGGGCGGTCCGAGATCCTTGTATTCTGCAGGTTGCCTCTTACGTTCACAAAAGCGCTCGCGCTCTCCCTCGCTACCCTTCCTACTCTCTCAAAATGCCCGACGAAGACGACTTCATGATGGCCATCGACTCGGACTCCGACATGGAGGAGATGGGCCTGAGAAGTAAGAAGGGCAAAGGCAAGGCGGCGGACAAAAAACGCGACAAGGGCAAGGCGAAGGAGAAGGCAGAGACAGTGCGTCGCGCGTCGCCAGTTGCGCAGCAGTCTGACATCTCTCAGTAGCTCGCATACACTTGGGAAGCATCGTATACGCGTTCGTGGGACACGGTACAGGAGGATGAGTCTGGCAGCTTGCAGGGTGCTGTTGAGGATTGGGTCGTCCGGGCGCGTCGGAAACGGTGCGTCCAAGTCTCGCAGATCATGCTTCTCACTCATTGACGGACCTCCCCCCGTCTGCTGATTGTTTCGACTATCTTGCAGCCTACAAGCCCCCTCTACTGCGATTCGGCGCACGATCATCCGACACTTGGTGTTACTCCTCGATCTGTCGAGCGCGATGCTCGACCGAGATATGCGCCCGACTCGCTTCGACCTCATGCTGCAATATGCGCGTGAATTTGTGGTTGAATGGTTTGACCAGAACCCGCTCGGACAGATCGGTGTCGTTGGCATGCGATCCGGGATTGGCGAGCGAATATGCGAGATGACTGGTACGTCCCAGCACCCTATCATGCTCTTCCATTGGCTCACACGTAGGGCAGGCAACCCGCAGGACGTGTTGAAGTCCATTTCTGAGCGTCATCGTCTCGAACCGCAGGGGGAACCAAGCTTACAGAACGCGATTGAGATGGCGCGTAGCTCGATGAGGTATGGCTTCCGCAACTCATTACCCCTCCCCAAATTGTATGCTCATATGCTCGGTCAGCCACCTCCCTACCCACTCCTCCCGCGAAATCCTCCTCATCTTCGGCTCCCTCACAACATGCGACCCCGGCGACATCCACGACACCCTCGACACCTGCGTCCGCCAAAAAATCCGCGTCTCCGTCGTCGCGCTTGCCGCCGAAATGAAGATCTGCCGTGAGTTCTGCGACAAGACGGGCGGACAATTTGGCGTCGCGCTCAACGAGGGCCACTTCCGCGACATCCTCTTCGAGCTTGTTCCACCGCCGGCCCAGCGCGCCCTGGGAGGTGCTGGTATGGGCGCCCCAGGGAAAGCGACCGCCGCCTCCGGCCCCTCCGCCGACCTGATGATGATGGGCTTCCCGACACGCCTACCGGACACGACGCCACCGAGCCTGTGCGCCTGCCACGGCGAGCTGCGCAGCGCGGGCTTCCTGTGCCCGCGGTGCCAGAGCAAGGTGTGCGACGTGCCGACGGACTGCGATGTGTGCGGGCTCATGATCGTGAGCTCGCCCCATTTGGCGAGGAGCTATCATCATTTGTTCCCGGTTAGGCCGTATGCGGCGATCCAGGCGGCGGAGGTGGCGGGCGCGGCGAACGGGGCTGCGGGGGCGGGGGCGAAGACGACGTGCCATGCGTGCGCAAGGGCATTTCCGACGACGCCGGCTGCGAATGTGAGCGAGGGTATGAGTCCGGTGGGGAGGTATCGATGTCCGGAGTGTCACTTCGATTTCTGCTCGGAGTGCGATGTGTTTATACATGATGTTGTGCATGCGTGTCCGGGGTGTGGTAGATAGCAATGGGACACTCACAGCGATGTGCAAGCTGATCACTGCATAACCAGTAGGGATTCCCTTCCAAAAAAACAACATTGGTGCGCTCTAACGCGAACATCTAGAGTTACAGTGAGTAAGTACAATACACTTCGTGTCTGGTATACATGCAACAGTCACGTCTACTCTGCCTCCGCACCCGGCTGAACGACAGCACCATCGACGATATCTGTACCAAGCGGGGACAAGACCCGCGACGCCTCCTCCTTCGACTGGGTGCTCTTCCCGCCCTCCTCCACCGACAGCTTCGCCATCTCCTTGATGAACGAGCTCCCCCAGAACGCCGCCGAGTACTTCTCGACGTACTTGAACAGCTTCTGCTGGTTCTTCGCGCGCGTGTCCGCGTCCATCGTCACCGCCTCGTGAATCGCGTCCGCGACCGCCTGCGCGTCCCAAGGGTTCACGACGATCGAGCCGTTCAGGCTCTGCGCCGCGCCCGCGAACTCGGAGATGATCATCGCGCCGTGGCGCTCCTGCTGGCACGCGATGTACTCGTACGAGACGAGGTTCATGCCGTCGCGCGTGCTCGTCACCAGGCACACGTCGCTCACCGCGTACAGCGCGCAGAGCTCCTCGAACGGCAGGCTCTTATGCATGAAGTGGATGGGCATGAAGTCGACGGAGCCGAAGCGGCCGTTGATGCGCCCGACGAGCTCGTTCACGACGGAGCGCAGGTTCTGGTACTCCTCGACGTCCTGCCGCGAGGGCACGGCGAGCTGCGCGAGCACGACCTTGCCGATCCACTCGGGGTGCTGGGTGAGGAAGAGCTCGAGCGCGTGCAGCTTCTGGGGGACGCCCTTGATGTAGTCGAGCCGATCGACGCCGACGATGACCTTGACGCCGTCGAAGCGCTGCTCAAGCTGCGCGATGCGCTTCTTGACGGAGTCCTTCTCGAGCGTCTTGATGAAGGAGCCGGGCTCGATGCCGATCGGGAAGGTGCCGACGTGCGCTAATCGGCCGTCGAACTCCACGCCGTTGGGCATGGTGGGCAGGGCGAGGATGCGAGTACATGAGGAGAGGAAGTGGCGGGCGTAGTCGTATGTGTGGAAGCCGATGAGATCGCAGTAGAGGATACCGAGCAGAATTTCTCGTCGGACGGGAAGTATTCTGCGATTCGTCAGTATCTGAACGACTTCCCGTGGGCAGATCGCGCACCTGTAGATCTCGCTACTGGGGAATGGTGTGTGCAAGAAGAAGCCGATCTTGACGCCAGGAATCTTGGAGTCCGCGGCCACACCCTCCTCCTCGTTGATTCCCTCCGTGATTTTCTCGAGCTCCTGCTGTATCTGTCCGCTCTTGGTCGGCCCATCGACGAGATTGCGGAGGAGCATGGGAAGGAGCATGAGATGGTAATCCTGGACCCAAACCATCGAGCCCGGTCGGATCTGCTGCATAACGGCCTCCGCAAACTGCTGGTTGGCCTGGCGGTATGCCAGCCAGTTCTCCTCGTCGAAGTTCATCTCGCCGGGATGGTAGTGGAAGAGGGGCCAGAGGATAGAGTTGGAGAAGCCGTTGTAGTGGCGATCAGCGACGTCGTCTTCAAGGTAGACGGCCTGGCAGGAGTACTCCTCCATCAGGCGCTTGTCGACGTGCGCGCGGTCCTTCTGCGGGATGCAGAAGCCCGGCCAGCCGATCCAGGTGAAGTTGAAGGACTTCTTGAAGCCCGAGAGGGCAGAGACGAGGCCACCCGAGGACATCTTGAAGTGGTACTCGCCCTTGTCATCCTTGGAAATCGTGATAGGGAGGCGGTTCGAAACGACGATGATGTGTCCGCCCTCCATGTCTGGGGATGAGATGGGCATCGTGGGCTGCAGCTCCGGGGGTCTTTATGGGATGCGGAGGAGTGCGGGGGAGACTAGGCGGCGGTCGATGATCAGATTCGGATTCGCCGCACGGGCGGATGAAGAATGTGAATCGTCGCTCTCGAACTGGCAGGAGCCTTTTGTGGTCGAGCACCCGCCCAAGCGTCACCGATGAGAAAGATGGGAAATTCGGAGAACGTTCGCGACCCTGGCGGGCATCACCTCTGACCGCATCGGGCGACCCGAGTGGCGCATCTCATCCCTCCGTCCAGGCTCTCGTCCATGCAAGGCCTTCGCTTACGGTCAAGCGAGGCTTCCTACAAACGTTCGGCTGACCGAGATTACAGGGATCAATGAAAGATCAGTATGAGATCAGTGACTCACAAGGTTAGGATCACGTGGAATAGTGAACTTCAGCTGCTCGTCAAGCCCAAAGCTGCAAGCCCTACCTGCTCTAGTGACTGGGAGACAGAAGTGATCTTGGGGGTAATGGTATGGAGGCGACTGTCAGACTGGCTCTAGACGGGATAACCTCGCCTGTTAAACGATGACAAGCGTTTGCTGGCAAACAGCAAGAACTACGACGACAGATTATAGCGCGGGAAAACTAACAAGGGCATATAAGATTACTTGTCAAGAGCCTGGTGCTACGGTACAATCTCAAAGGCCGTTGCTTTCTGCCAATGCAGATGTTAACGTTGTGGGTCCAGCCCGGAAGATGCCGAGCACGTGTTTCCCTGTTAAACTTTTTCATTCAGTGGTCGACCTTGTTCCCCTCATTCACGGCCAACGGTATTCAACACCGCACTATGGAGCTCCCTTTGTACCCGTATACGAGTAACCCTAGAACTGTCAGCACCTGGACTCCCTTTTTGCAGTCTTCCGCTTGGATTTGCTCGGCTTCAGACAAAATAGAAAAAATTGTTGACGATCGTTCACCCCGAAATTTATACTCCCTTCCGCCTCTCCTCGTCTTGGCTCTGCGCTCGCTGCTCGTCTCTCGTCTCTGCTTGCTTTCTTTCGCGAACTTTTGAAGGATGGCAAGACGTACCTGACTTGATCCTCCCACTGCGGACTTTGTGAACATGGGCCGCACGCGAGGCAGGCACGGAACGCTGGTTGGGCGTGCCCAGCTGCGCGTGCCCGATCACTTTGTCTCGGAGGGCATTGTGCCTCCGATCTGGCTGCGTGCGCAGCGTCATTCAAGGCCGAGCCAACGCGCTTTGCACGCGCTATAAAAGCAAGGCCGGGAAGGACGAGGTACGCATTTCCCCCCGGTACTCGCTCCGACCGAACAGACTCGTCTGTCCCTCCCCGTCGCTCTACCCACCCGGACACACCGCTCATTGTTTAACTGTCCAAAATGTTCCGCGCCACCGCCGCCACTGTCCTTGCTTTCTCTGCGCTCGCGTCCGCGTTCTCGGGCGATGGCACGTTCTACTCTGCAGGCCTTGGCGCTTGCGGGATCACGAACAGCGACTCGGACATGATCGCCGCCATCTCGTCGACGTACTTTGACGCTTACCCGTGCGTTCCCTTCCCCCATTCCCTTTCTGTCCTTCCTGACACCAATTATAGCGGCGCGACCGGCAACCCCAACTCGAACCCTATTTGTGGCAAGCAGATCCGTGCGACCTGTACGTCCCTTCCATATTTTTGTCTATCGATTCCTATGTTTTCTAACCACGTCTCCCTTTTAGACGGCTCCTCCTCCGTCGTCGTCGCCATCACGGACCGCTGCGCTGGCTGCGCGGGCGAGTACGACATCGACTTCACACCCACCGCGTTCTCCCAGATCGCCGACCAGGCCCTCGGCCGTGTCGAGATCACCTGGGAGTTCGTCGACGGGTCGGACTCGTCGTCCGGTGATTCGTCTTCCTCCTCCAGCGCCGAGGCAGAGACCAGCACCTACGTCCCAGAGACCACCGCCGCGGCCACCACCTACACTCCGGAGACGACCTACACCCCGGAGACCACCTCCTCGAGCGAGGCCGCAGCCATGCCTTCCTCCAGCCCAGCCTGGAACACGGACGCCCAGCAGGACACCGCCACCTTCCAGGGTGCCGCCGCGGTCGAGTCGACTTCCTCGGCGACGTCTTCCTCCCCGTCTCCCACGGCCACCAAGACGTGCAACCGCGGAGCTCGCAGGCGCCGTGACCTCGCCCGCCGTCGTAGCCACCGTGCCGCGCGCCACCTTGCCGAGTCTCACTAAAAAGCTGGCTTTTTGGTTCGAGTACGGCATAATGTCACCGCATCGGGTACAGCCCGGACTCGCTCGCGCTTGCGTGACTGGAGTCCATAGATATGGGCTAAGCTATATATCTTTATACGTACAGTAACACAAGGGTTCACTCCGGTAGTGAGATATTTGGTTGTTGTATGTATCGTGGCTATTCGTGATAATCGTATAGAGTTCCAGCTAGGCTGGAAAGGGTTCATCGTAGCGTCATTACAAGCATGAGTAAACTCTCGAGCGTCCCTCACGCGCAACGGGTCAACATCCCTGCTCAGGTGACAAGCTCTCCGCTGATGTCGTGCCAAAAGTCGCAGCGCTGGCGGAGGTTGTTGTCGACATTCTCCATGGCTATCCTGCCTGGGTGCAGCAACAAGCGGGTGTTGGGCGTGTTCTACACGTCCATGAGTGGATGCGCGACGAAGGGGAGCAAAGGGGCGATGCAACGATGAACTGAAAGGTAGCAGTGCTCACCGTCCATGCGGCCGCCCCATTTGCCTTCGGCTGATGACTGGTAGCGAACGAAGTCCAATACTGGCGCATCGTAGGCCATATCGAGCTGCTATCTGGCGGGTAGAAGAACGCTGCTAGCTCCGCACCGTGATTCGACCCTCCGTCGTCGGGGTTATCGTAGCTGTAATCCCAATGAGCACTAGTCGAGATTCCCAACGAACAGAGATCGGCAACACTCACTGATACTGATACGTCCCCGGAATTCTCTCCCCCGCCAGCACCGCAGAGCATATATACCGCATCTCCCCATACATCTGCTGCGCCTGCCGGTCGACGGTTCCGTAAGACCTCAGCGGATAAAGCTGGACTGCATGATTGAACGAGTCTCGTGTCAGGCCTGGATATTGGCCCTGCAGGAAGTAGTACGCGGTGTCCTCTGTCGCGTTAGGCTTGGAGGTGTTTGCCCAGGGTGCGGGGACGCCGGCGGACCAGCCGGCGCCTTCGTTTGTATTTGAGCTGAGGGGAATTAGGTTAGGGAGGGGGATACATGGGAAGGAGGAATGCATACCCGAAAAGTAGAGGGACGTGGGCGATGGCGTTGGACTCCAAGGCAGGAACGATGCGCGAGGTCAGGTACCCATAGTCGATACACGGTTGGAAGGGATAGAGCATAGTCGGGTGCTGCTTGAGCACTGTCGATGTCGCCCAGGAGAGGTCATCTGCTGCGACAGCGCGAAGGCATCCCATGAGATCCTGCGCATTGTTGCAGTCGCTGTAGACCGCATGAGTACAACAGTTGAAAAAGATTCAGCGAACGCACACTTCGTTCGCAATCTGCGCTAGCAGCGTCTCTGAGAATGAACCGGTACAGTCAGCCTGAAGACCAATGGGTGGGCTATCAGCTATGGCCGCCGAAAATAGGCCCTCGTTGTTCCCGCCTTGCGCGAGCAGCTAGAGCGGACGAATTTTCAATACACGACGGCCTCGCGAGGTCTTCAATAGCGCTTACATGAAACATGACCGCCGACGCCCCCGCAGACTGTCCCCATATAGTCACGCGACTGCATTGAATAGCAGTCAGTAAACGTTGACCGGCGGTTCAAGGTGTCGTAGCGACTAAAAGCGTCGTAAGGCACTCAAAGATGACGACTTTACCTTGGGTCCCCGCCGAAGTTCTTGATGTAGGTCTTCACCCAACGGAACGCCGCTTTCTGATCGAGTAGCCCAACGTTGAAGGCGCCGTTGCTGCCCAGGGCCTTCCCGCCTGGAACGCGGTGTCAGTTTCAGCGGTCAATCGAAGTATGGAGAAGGAAGCTGCGATGGCAGGCGATATGGACTTCCTTACCTAAGTAGCCATACGATCCTAGGCGATATTGAATAGTGACGAAGATGAGGGGCGTGGTCGAGCTCTGCAGAAGGTAATCTCCCGGGTCGCCGTCTGGGTCGCCGACTTGAAAGCCTCCGCCTGGTGGGGGTGGAGGGTATCAGCGTGGTGCTCGAGGGTTTCGTGCCCTGAACGTGTGTACATACCGTGGATGAAGAGAAGCACGGGGAGTGATGAATTGGCCTTTGTACCGGTGGGGACGTATACCTGGGAACGAGATCAGTGAATTATTTCCACGATGCTCGGCGCTCTGAGATGGTATGAGCAAGATAAGACGCACATTCAAGAATAGGCAGTCTTCAGAGTACCCGTCCATCGCGTCAGACGTGTACTTAAACACAATGTCGGCTTCATCGACTTCCGTTGTCGTCTGAAGACATGCGGCAGGGAACTGTCCGAAGTGTAAGCTCGGTAGACATGCTGAGAGGTACGGAAGCGTACAGAAGTCGCGTCCACATTGCCAAGGTTCTTCGAAGGAGGAGATACAGGTGCCCTCCAGCGCAAGTTGCCTACAGGCGCGTCGGCGTATCGTATTCCGCGAAAGCTGATGACTTTCGTGCCGTCATTTTGCTCGCCAGTGAATTTGCCGTCTGGGCAGGAATGAGTATGACAAAAGCTGCAAGTCAAGGGAGTGGCTCACAGTCAAGCGTTACGACGTTTCCTGACAGCTGCGCAACGACTGAGGTGGCGAGCGCTGCACATCCTAATAAATGAGGCAACATGATGAGCTGAGCGCGACTCGCTCAGGCTGATCGTCCGGCTCGTCGCCAGGGCTTTTATACGATGCCGCCACCCCAAAATAGCGGAGGATCCGATTACCTTCATGCTAACGTGAGGATGCGAGGGGGATGCGATCCTCCGGCTGCAGCGCGTCTGCATCAAGACCTGGCGTCGCTGAGGGTCTCACGCGACGTCCTGCCCATATGCATCCTCGCCGTCATGGTCATTTCCCCACAGATCAAGGGCCGTAAAAGCCGATGTCATCACGGGATAGCGCTATATATTGTTCGAGGAGCAGCGGTGGTTGGGCGAACGTGGTGTTCTCCAGCGGGCGCTGTGAGCGCGAAAGCCAACCCCCTCGGTGAACGGCACCGATACCTCACGTGGGTGATACCAACTTGTTCACGTGGATAGCTTGTTCGGAGCCACCGTCCTGCATCCTCTCGAGCAGCCCATCCGGCTGCTCATCTTTGCGTGTACCTCGGGACTGAATGTGGTCGACTCTCTTTGCCTACCTATGCTTCTCCTCAGGCACGACGCTTGGCGTGACTTCTCGTGCGCTTCCGAGGCTCGTGCACCCAAGTCCTTCACTTCTGTACCATCTGCACCTGCTTTCTGAGGAGAAGGACTCTCCATCTGGCACAGAAAGCGGTACCTATCATGTATCGACCGAGGTTGGATCAGACAAGGTGCGAAGGTAGATCGAAGCCAACGTAATTGAGATCTTGAGCTGGAAAGCGTCCATAAAGCTGAGCTCCAGGAATTTACATATGAACAACTGCGCTGGGGTAACTATCGAAAGCTCAAGCTGAAAGACAGGAACAAGCAGGAGAGGTCGGGAATTGCCGATTTTGCTGCTGAACTTACCCCATAAAGTAAGTCTTCTCGGTGCGGAATCCGGACCGGCCTCTTTGCTCCTGCACCCACGACCGACCAACAATTCAGTCGTGCTAAAAACAGGCACTTGCTTTCTACGCCTCTCATTCTGACGCCCGACACTTATAAGCCGCTATGCCCCCAACAATTGATCCTGTGTTGAAAGACAAACCCGCCAACCCTCCTGTGGTTGTCCCAAGCGGCGGTGGCAACAATATCATCGTCCGTCCGGTACAGGTGAGCTGACATAAATTCTCCAATAGTACATTAGTTCTAAGGGCGATCTATAGAGAGGAAATCCCGTTCTTGAAGCTATAAAGCATGTCGGGAAGGAATATGGCGACATTGTGGCAGACTTCCAAGTCGGTCGAACAACAGGAGTCTTATTCCTGAGGTATGCGCGTTCCTTATGCGATTAGGAAAACTTTATTGAGCATAAGCAGCCTCAAATATCACCGACTACACCCCGAATACGTGCACTCGCGTATCGAGAAGCTGGGGCACAGCTATACCCTACGCATCTTACTCATCTTGTGCGATGTTGTAAGTGCCCGTATTGCGCAGCGCCCTACGGAGGCTCACGGAAATTCCTTTAGTCGGAGCATCGAGATCCCATACGGGAGTTAACGAAGGCGAGCTCACAGCTGGATGCGTAGGTCCACAACACTGACAAGTACTCAGCCAGACCTGCCTCATCAATAACATCACCGTCATCGTAGCTTTTTCGTGAGTGATTGCCTATACCCCGCATCTCAACCATCGTCTTCCCTCATGCTCTCTGTCATCCGCCCTTACTCCCTTGTTGCTCCCGCCGTCATCTAACTCGACCCTCAGCGTCGACGAAGCCGGCCACTATCTCGCCACCTTCAAGCAGTTCGAGAACCGACCACCAGACATGATCAAGGAGCGCGTGGACAAGGACTACAATTCTGTTTTGCGCTCGGCGCTTACGAGTATCAGCAAGGTCAATAAGACGGACGTGGAGACGTTGCGGACGTCGTTTGGGGTACGTGTCATCACATTATTTTTCACCGTTCAGTCTCCCGCTCCGAATGACGTCTATTGAGCCTGACATTGACCCTTTCTATCCAGAGCTTCGCCGACATCGCCCGCGCCTCCTCAGACCAGCTTTCCAATCTCCCAGGCTTCGGACAGGTCAAGGTCAAAAACATCAAGAACGCATTCGAAAAGCCCATCCGAAATAAGGCGACGAGCGCGCTGCCATTCGTTCCGTCGCAGGCTTCTCAGCAGAGCTCGATGGCCTCGTCGTCTCAGGCTTCTACGTCGCAACGAAGCTCGACGGCGGGCGCAGGATCGTCAGCGTTAGCTACGCCGTCGCCTGCCGCCATCGCCGGACCCTCGACGACCTTAACATCTTCAGCCGCATACTCTTCCTCCACCTTAGGTCCCTCGCACTGCACACCCGCCACACCATCCGCTCCACGACCGGGCGCGCGATCCCCCAGCCCAGAATGGGACATCGAGAAGGACCTCAGCCCGGAACCTGAAGCGTCTTCTAAACCTCGCCCACCGAGATCACCTTCACCCGTATGGGATATTGAGCTGGATCTTAATTGAAGTTTTCGTGTAGAAGGGTCATGCATGGACCTTCATACGGATTACAGGATATTATATATGTTTGCTAGTACAGAATAGCTTAGTCTATGCTCTCTATTGCGATCCGGGTCTCTAAACTCCCTTTGAACGGTCCTTCCACCCTTGGAGCCTCTAATGCAATCCCCTCACCGCCTCCATCCCTCCAACAATCTTCTGGAACGCCGGCAACGACGCCTTGTTCCTCTCCTCCACCGGTCCACCCAGCGCCTGTTCCCACCATCGCTCCGCCTCCGGCACCTCCTTCCATCCACCCTTCAACAAGTCCCGCATCTTCTTCACGCTCCCGCCCTTCGCCTTCACCCCGATACTCTGCACTGTCGCCCAGTGCGGCGGCGGGTTTGTGGGCGAATATGGTGCAGAGCCCTCCGGGGCCGGTTGGGAGAACCCGTTCGTGGCGAATACGAGCGCGGGCGGAACCGTAATGCGTCCAATCTTGAAGCACATCTGCGAGACGCTGACAGTGTGAACGATTGCTCCATCGTCCTCTTCGAAGGATAAACCGGCAGAAACACCCTTAAGGGTTTTCTCCGTGGTGCCAGGGGCAGGGGCCGAGTGAGGGTTGGGCGTGGGAGCGGAGGAGGCGAACTCGTCGGCGGGGGTGCTGATGATGTGCATGGAGAGGTTCGAGGGATCGGCGGCGGGCTCAGCGGTGGGGGTGGGAGGCTTCTCGTTGTGCTTCTTGGCACCCTTCTTGGGCATGGTGACGAAGCGGCAGACGACGTAGAGCTGGGGAAAGCGATAAGACGGCGTTCATTGCGAGCGGGAATACACGCACCCATTTCTGGTCCCACGCGCCAACGCGGATGCGAACCTGATACGGTGCGAGCATGGGGATCTCGCGAATGAAATGGTAGTGCGTGGCCGCGAGGGGCATCCACCCGCCAGCCACGAAGAAATTAGGCCACGCAGCCATAGCCGCCTTGAAGCGCGCGCTATCCAAGGTCTGAGTGACGGTGTGAGGGGGTTGTAATGTGGGGGGAAGGACCTTGAAAGTACCTTGGCATAGCTGGAGTTGCTCAAGTGCAGGTTGAAGTCGCTGTCGTCGATCCCTAAGTGCGCGTCAGTACGTCGGTCCGGACACAGCTGGCAAAGGCTGGCGCATTCTAATCTGACCGTGACGAGCGCAGTCACCGAGCACAGTTCGCAGTATGATAATCGGGGTCGGCCGTGAGGTGCTACAAAGGCCTCCTAGCCAGGCGCTTGCCCGCCTGCCACTTCACGGCTGACTTCACAAATCATATTGCAAGGCAACTGTGCCAGCTACTGCACTCGTCAAAGTCAGATAAAGGTGCGCCGAGGCTTGCCGACGATGAGATGCAAGACCCTAGCCACGTACTTGCGCGCGTGTCATAAGGGACACAGAGAGTGAAGGGGTCTGTGCCGATAGGGGTGAGGTCCTCCATCCACTTGGCTTCCAGTTCATCCTTCTTCTTCTGAGACTTGAACATGTTCTTCAGCTGGAACAGTCGCCATTGGATCCTCAACAGAATGACGGAGCGAAATACTCGGGCTAGAGACGCGTCAATGAAGTCCAAACGCGAAGCATAGCCCACGCACCATGCCAGAAGCCGGGGAAGGAGCCGATGTTCAGGACTACAAGCGCCACAGCCAAGTACTTGCAGAACGAGGGCGCGAAGGACGCTGCCTTCGCCAGGTACGGCGTCAAGGGCCTCAACTTGTCGAGTGCGTCGCTCATAATGATGTCGAGGACGAAGGGAGACGTGTATTCTGTGCTTGCTACGGCGATGCGCGGGTGTATATACAACTGTCGCAAAACTTTGGGGCGTTCCTTATTTGTTATTCCGCCCGGGTGTCGGGACGCGGATTACCGGTCAAAATTCAATGCTCAGCAGTGCTCAGCGTGCTATTCCGAAGGTTCCGAGGCCTCACAGCGGAATGCCTTGGCCTGAACGGTTGAGACGACGGCGTCGACAAGCGAGGACTGAGCGAATGATTCCAACATAAGTAGGCGTGACTGTGACGTTGACTACGCGAACGTCACACGTTCCCTCCTCGTTCCCACAATCCACCAAAGACGCGCCGTCAACAAAGCCGCTCGTTATGGCCAAACCCGCAAAGAAGGCCGCTGCTGCCGGCACACAACCAATCACAGCTTTCTTCCAACCACGACTATCGCGCGACGCGTCGTCTTCGTCGTCTGGGACGGCGAGCGCAGCTTCGATCTCAAAGGCGGCACCGCGGCTCAGGAGCGCCACGAACGCGCCCAAGGAAAGCGCACCTACCAAATCCACTTCAAACTCATGCGCAAGTAGCAGCGCCCTCTCCCCCACCCGCTCCTCGCCCAGTGGCCGGACACGATCCAGCTCTATTCCAGACGCGTCGAACATGTCTACACCACGCAGGTCAACGCGCATACAAACACTTGCCGCCACTCGTGAGTCCGACTCGATCTTCGCTGCACGCGACATCCGTCTCACATCTCGCAGAATCGCCTTCTTGCTCATCGACGCCACCGTTGAGGGGCAAACCTCGATCGAACACCCTCAAGCGCAAGCAGGACGATGTTGATCCCGAGAACGAGTCCGTTGTCATCATACACAAAGCGCCACGCAGGCCAGCTCCTTCTACCTCTGCGTCCACTTCACGAGGTGGCCCCTTCCTCGCGAAGGAAAATATCGCAGAACAGGGGGAAGTCAGGGTGAATAAGAAGCCGCGCCTCTCAGACCTGGAGCCCCCGCGCACGCCAGCCCAACTAGCCATTCCTAGCAGCCAGTCAGATGAGCTGAACGCGTCGGCAAAGCGCCTCCAGTGGCAGCGTCCCTCCGCCCCTTCCGTCGATCAGGGTGGGGATTATAGCATGAACACCGTCGAAGACCCGACCGCCTCATCACCACTCACTGGACCAGCCGACAGTCTTTATGCCCGGTCGTCGTCCCCGTTGACCAGCGTGACCACACCGTCATCAGATGTGGCTGAACCGACTCCCTGCGAGGACGTGAATGCTCTGGCGGATGCGGTGGCTGCCCGCGTCAAGGCCAGATTGGACGCAATTCCCTCAAGCCCTGAATCGCGCCTATCGGATCTTCCTGATATTATGGATAGTGATGATGAGTTCGACCTCCTGCCTGCAGTCCCTGTAGTCAAGTACGTAATATTTTCGTCTTTCAGTAGACTGGAATTAATAGACCCTACGCAGACCTGCACCACCAGCGCCTGCCGCACGGCAACCATCTCCAGAGCATGCCCGTCCCCAGCGTGCGCGCAAGCAAGCGACACGTCTCCCGCAGACGGTTGTTGCGCAAGCGGGGCCATCCAAGCCGCGTGCCACAAAGGCTTCGAACCCCATCGACTTCCTGCTAAAGGAAAAGGCTCGGGCGGACAAGAACAGCCGCGGCTCGGAGGCCCTCCTCCGCGCGGAGCGTATCGCCAACAGGCAGAACTTGATGGACGAGCTCGACGAGGACGAGGATGACGATGACTGGCGCGCTGACGTGAAGGCCGGCAGCAAGCATCACCAATGGCGCATGTCGAGCCCAGTGTCAGTGGACCCGGATGATGATCTGGAGGCTGCGGAAGTGGTCGAGGCGGTGGACGTGGTGCAGCGGATGCAGGTGTTCGACGAGAAGACGGGGCAGGCGATCAAGGACATCGTGCAGCAAGACCACTCGAAGACGGATGTAGAGGCCAATCGGGTGGCGGGTATACCGCTTTGGAGGGAGGACTCGAAGGAGAAGGCCATGGAAGTGGACTTCGTGTGGCCGACAGTGGCGGGTGTTCAGGAGCAGCCGCTTCTGCGGGCCGTCGCGGATGCCATCCGGGACGAGGATCCCAGCACGCTGGCTCTGTACCTCGGTACTGGCTTCCTCGCGACGCTGGACCTCTCAAGCAGCGACTCCATTGTCTCGGCCCTCTGCACCCTCGCCCTCGATACCCGTTCTGGGGTATCGTCGCCCGCTGTCCGCGCGCTGCTGGATATCTGGGGTTCGCCCGACTGCAAGGCCACTGTCGGCATCAGCCTCGACAGTGCCGTGTCCGCCCTCTTCCGCCTCAATGCCAACCCGACCGTGCTCGAGGCAGCTGGCTTCGCGAAGGAAGGTGTCGCGCCCATCCCCGCGGACGCTGAACTGCGCGCAGAGACTCTGTCCGTTGTCCTCGATCTACTCGTTGCATCGGCGAATGCACGCCTCGTCCCAGAGGGCGACGTCGGCAACTGGCTCATGCTCCTCATCTTATTGGGCATGGCACGCGAGCCGTCTTGTCATATGGACGGACGGATAGTCCTAGCAATCGACGCGCTGCTGATGACGCTGGGACCATCGGAGGTGGAGATGCCTATCGTGCGTACTTCTCCGTCATTAGCTCGAACTCCTGCTGATTACATCCCTCAGGAGACCGCAATCTGCAACAGACTCCTACCTTTCGCCTTCGAATTGACGCCTGTCAACAAGGCCATGCTGGCCTCGCTTCTTGCCGCCGGTTCCGTGCGCGCGCGCCGTATGGCGTCCGCCATTGCCTTCGCGCTCCTCAATGACCGGCAATTCGTCGAGAACGTGCGTCTTTCCTTCTTGTGCTCTCTCTTTCTTCTCACCAACACCTTCCCCCTCAGACCCGCCTCCCATCCGGCTGGGCCGTCTGTCGTCTGCTCGCCCCCCTTGACGATGCGCCAGCGGAACTCGCGCAGCGGTTCGAGGTATCGAAGGACACGAACACGAACTACGAGGATCTTGCGGGGCACGTGCAGCTGTTGGCTATCGTGCTACTGGACGCGCACGCGTTCGCGCTGCAGGAGTTGGTGAAGTACGGCCCGAGGCTGCAGAGGAAGACGGACAAGAAGGACCAGGAGGAGCCGACGCCGCTGATGCTGGTGCAGGAGCAGGCGCAGAGGCTGCATGAGGCGATACGTGAGTTTCCTTGTTGATCCTCTTCTGCGTGGCCGTTAGGGAACAGGTCTGCTAACGAATACCCCAGCCGACACTCGGGCTGCGCATCTAGACCGGACGCGCGCGAAGCTGGCGCTGAAGCAGCTGTGGTCGCGTATCTACTACCAGCGCGAGGCGGTCGTGCGTGCGCACATCGCGGAGCACTCGAACGTGAAGAACCTGCTCATGAAGCAGGGGATCAAGCCGCGGGCGAAGGGGGCTGCGGTCAAGTTCGCGCCGAAATAGGGGGCTTGCGAGCACGGCCTTGTGTGAGGCACGCTCATCATACCAAGGTACCTACATGCATGGGTACCCAAATTGTAGAAGTCTTTGAAGCGCTTCGACTTACAGTAAGTATACGTTCCAGTTAGCTAATTTCTCTTTTCTTTTTTCTTGATTCTCCGCCGCGCTGTAGGCATGCTTGTTTTTATCACTGTTCTCCCGACGCATCATGAGCTCTCTCGAGGGCTGGCTACTTACGCATTCGATCAGGTAGAGAAGACAAGGCTTGGACTTGCCCACCATACCGTATACCATACGTACACAGCTACTTAGTTTGTAACCTCTTGGCCGAATGTTGGCGTATTGATTCTTGTGTTTTTCGCCTTCCTCAGGACGCTCGAGGTGCAGACGTCGCAGCGCCCTCTATGGGACGCGCCAGGATGCCGACAGCCACGCAGGCTCAATTCAAGCAGTGTACCAGCTTGCGAGCCTGAGCGGTTCCATCTTCAAGTTATCGGCCGAGCGGTCACCTGCTATCGAGCAGGACTCGGGTCTCATGGATGAAGAGCTTCCAGTGGGCGATGACGCTGGACAACAGCTGTATACTGAGCCAGGTCGTCTCTGCAGACATTGAAGGCTGTCGAATCAATGTCCCTCAAATTGATGGCTTGTACCGACGGTATCACTGACGTCTTCACACTAGAGGAACGCCGGCTGCGCCCGGCCGGGACCTTGCTTGATTTTCAGGGTGTCCTCACACTGCACAATCATATCCTCATGTATGTTCAGATTCACGAATTGCATTCTATAACTGGGTTCTCGCCAATTCTGAGGCGAGTGTCGGATGTGGGGCGTGAATGGACGCATACACATGGCTGGCCCGAGCATCTCCCCAACCTACCGTCTGTCCTGTGTGAGTTACCTCTGCGCTGCCGCCCTACGTCGGCGTATTAGGACTCATTGAGCAGGTACGGCACCTTCGAGCGCGTTGACAAAATGATCCGCACGCCGCGCTATAAGAATAAGCGCTTCACGCACGCGTTCCTCTGCGCCGCGTCCGCCGAAAAATGCAATCACGAGTAAGACCAGGGGGGGGGGGGCTGGCCGCGAATGTGGCGAACGCGATGAAGGGCGCTGAGGATGGGGCAATGCGTGCGCGAGGTGCCAGGGTGGGGACACATGTTCCGAACGTACAAGCGGGAAGATCGCCATGCGTGAGCTTGTCGCATCTGCCCAAGGGAGGATCGGTCAGCAGCACACCGTGAGCACGAGCAGACTGGCGAGGTACTTCTTCAGGATGTTGCGGAGCTCAGAGTAGTTCACCTTCAAGAAAGACTTCAAGCTCGTGAAGGACGTGTAACGCGTGGCGATCCTCTGCTTGTAGAGGTAGAGCGTGTCCGTGGCCTAGTTGTATCGCAAGTTCAAGATCGTCTTGGACGCGGATGTAACGCTGTCCCATTGATGCGGTTCACGAGCGTGTGGGCCTTGCCTAGCGCGCCGAACTTGCGGGAGGCGGGAGATGAGGCCGTCCTGGACGCCGCGCTGGCGGTCCTCAGAGAAGTGGTACGCATTGAACGAAGAGGTATAAGGGTGCGCCTTGGCGTATCACTTTGTTAGAGCTTAGGAATGGGTGACTTACGATGGAGGGGACGGGAGAACGCGCACCACGCTCGGACGCTGACTGACAAATTCGGCCTGCGGGCAATGTCTTCAAAGGGACTCCTGTTCCTGGTTTTCGAAAGGAGCAACGATGTTGCGCAGCCGCGATTGAGGAAGGGGGGGTGAAAAGATCGTCGGTGTGGCGTGGGATGTGCGCTTGCCAACAAAGGAGGTGCGCTTGTGCGCTTCGAAGTCACGATAGGACTGGTCAGAATCATCCTTCGGCATCTCCAGCTTGTGGATCAACTTTTTGAGGGTATCGTAGCTGTACTGTACGAGAGATCAGAGGATGCCCTTGCACCCGGTCAGGCCATGCACGCAACGTGAGAGCAAGCCGAGCACCAAGCTGGGTAGCTGAGGCGGCCCGTCACGTCGTTCTGTGTGGTTCTCGGAGGTCGCGCGCGTCCACTTCAACTCGAGGTCGTGCGGAAGAGCGCTGTGCTCCACGCCGTGCGCATGGTCTGCGGACATCCTCGTGCCATGCTGAGCCTTGTTTGATGATCGTGCGCGGGTTCTTGTCTCATGCCACGATTATGGTAAAGCGCCCGGAGAGCTCTGGTATTCGCGCGGAAGTACAGATCCTTGACATACGTAGAGGGAGGAAGAAAGTGCAAGTGATCGGAATGCAGGTGACTCATTGTTGACGCGTGTGTACTAGGAATCCCGGGGAATAAAGGGTCTGCAAGAGACCTTGCAAGCAAGGTAACACCTGCCGCGTAGAGTACAATGGTCATACCTGCCCGCGTGGAGCTGTCTGTGATGGGCATTCAATGCAGGTGGAAACCGAGGACTTGACTTTACAAGCGGGGGAGCAATGACACGCCGAGCATAATTGAAGCTTCACTTCGAGCAGGCACAAGTGGAGAGGACACTGCTGAGCGTGGGCAGACACCTCTGCGGTCATTGACTGCTGTTGTTTGGGGGATGGTGTAGACACCACCAAGGTGGAGGGCGGCCAAGCCAGTTTGAGGGTAGGACATGGACTGCGCTTTACCTGGGTCGTCCCTTCGCCATTCATGACCTTGCCTGAACGCCGGAGACTGATCAGTCGAGCAGGACAGCCGTGACTGCTCAGACTATGGTCAACCTGATACCATCGATGAGCGAGAAAGAAGCCATACTAGTATCGTGAATTTACGTGCCTGCAGCATCCCACCGCATCCCCTACTCGCGGGGTATATCAACGGCCGTGCTGCCGACGCCCGTACGGTACCGAAACTGAAAGGTTAGCCTTTCCTTCCAAAAGCGGTGTAGATCCCATGTCAGAGGGGTGCGCGCGACATGGGATCGACAGCGGGCGCCGCGAAGGAGTGTGCGGCGCGGAGGCAAAGAAGTATGGCGCGTCGAGCTAATCAAGGCGGAACGACACGCGGGCGGACGGACGATAAGGTGAGCAAGCTCGTCGAGGCGGTTTGCGAGAGAGTTAGCCGATATGACGAGTGGCGGGGACCGGCGCGAGGCTCGTCGTGTTACGTGCAAAGTGCAGTAGGCGCACTCTGGTCTCGGACATATCATTGAACGCTATGCGCTCAAGTGGGCTGAGAGAGGCGTGTTCAGCAGAATCAACCGGAGGACATGATGAAGGTGACTTACCGAGGATAGTGGCGCAGGGCAAGCCTCACGGAACGCGTCCTCGATCGAAGCGTCGGTTCGGAGTTCATCCTGCTTCCGAATGAAGGGTTCGAGGGCGCGCTGAAAAACATGAACATCGGAATCCTGTCCGGCTCTATTACACGGTAAGGAGTGGAAACTACGCAAGATGGGTAGTACAAGTACAGGATAAATAATATACAATAAGTAAAACATGGCGATGGTACAGTAGATCACTACGACGTCCCGTGATTCAATGTCACAAGTAAAGCAATGCGAAGGAGCAGGCGAATGTAGTGGTAATGAGGGTCTAGGGAGGGGAGGCGCGTACTACGGGGTTGGGGAATGGGCGTCGAGGCTTCTACGAGCTGTCGTCTGAGCTGGCGGAACCAGCGGAGTGTGTGGTCTGCGCTTTCAGCGCGACGTGCTCGAGTTCGACTAAGAAGCAGCCTTCCTTCCACTTCTCGGTCTCCTCGTGGGCTCGAACGATGTACCAGCCGAGGTAGGCGTTGCAGTGTCGGCACATAACCTCCTGCATGGTGTGCGCGCCAGTGACCATGAGTTGTACGACGGGTTGAGAGACCCTGACGTTGAACCTGAAGCGAGATGAGTACGGGAACGGCGTGGGATGGTACGCGGCACGCACATTTGGGTATATAGAGCAGCTTTGCCGGCGTAGCCTTTAAATGGCCTGGCAGTGGGCGGAAGCTGGGGGATCGGTCAGTACACGCATCCTCGAGCCTAGCCAGCCGTACGTACAGCAGACGGGGACAGGGCGGAGCCCTCTGTGGTGACACACGATCGGCATCGTTTGCATGTCATGTAGTGGGGAATAGAGGGAAGGGGCCGGACAGACGCGGTACGAGGGCGCGGGGTGGGGGGAAGCCGTCTGCTGAGAGGCCGAGCCTTCGCCCGTCCATCGGCGCGCGAGAAGGCGTACTCGGGAGGGTACGAGTAGCTGTAGTCCGCCCTATCCGGGGATTGCTCATCAGAAGAGTAACGCAGAGTCGAGGTGTCCGACATGGCAAGCTGAAGAGAGAGAAGGTCACAGCGGGGGCGTGGGCGTTTTCGAAGACCAGGTACATCGGGGCCAGGTACTTATACTCGGGACGCATGGGTGGTGGAGCGCATACCGGGGGCACAATGCCATCACGCGCAGACTGATGGCCATCAGCGAGTCAGATGGGGGTTTGCGAACTTGCGGTGCGGGTCTGGTGCGGTTCGACTGTTTGGGCACCTGTCGGGGGCTTCCAACAGGGCACAGATGAGCCATTTCTGGACGAGCGGTTTGCAAACGGCGGCAGAGAGGATGAGAGTCATCGAGCGCCTTCAGTCGACTTCTTTGTGCGCACGCCTCGACTTTCCGAGTCTATACAACCAGCAAAGGCGACCAGGGCACGTCAAAGATGTTATGCAGGACCTCAGACAACCGTCGCCAGTCGTTCGTGGCCGAGACTCGCTATTGCGGGCGGACGAGGGGGAGGGTGGGATGAAGACACGTTCCAGACTGAGAGGGCGTGCGAACGTTGGCGGGAGTAGCCGGATACGCCACAAATCGAATAGCCCACTTTGCATGAGTTGCATGTTGAACTTGAACTTGTTTCAAAGATCCTCGAGGTTCTCTAGTCCATTTCTCCTGTCATGCGTTCCCTTCTCTTGATTGTCGCAGGACGGAAGGTGCTCTTCGACGATAACGAGAGCCCGCGACCGGCCACCCTCGTTATCAACACATCGACAGGAAAGATACAGGAAATTCGTCCCGTCTACACGTCCAAGGAATCTGCCACCATACCCGCAGAAGCTAACGCGCGATGGGTCGATGCCGGGGACAAGCTCGTCATACCAGGTCTAGTGGAGTGTGTGAGCTCGCTCGTCCATGTCCCCCGGCTGCTAACGCTGTCGATAAGCGCCCACGTACACCTTAACGAGCCGGGCAGGACGGATTGGGAGGGCTTTTGGACGGGGACGCGGGCTGCCGCGTCGGGCGGAGTCACCTGTGTCGTGGACATGCCACTAAATTCCATACCACCGACAACCACGCTGGAGAACTTCGAGACTAAGAAGAAGGCGGCCCAAGGCCAGTGCTTCGTTGACGTGGCCTTTTGGGGAGGCGTCATCCCGGGAAATGAGGTTCGTCCCTGAGCGCGCGCTGCTCGGTCTTCTAATGCTTAATTCAACGGGAGCGCAGGATCATCTTGTACCTTTGGTTGACGCAGGTGTTCGCGGATTCAAGTGCTTCATGTAAAGGGGATCATCCATCGAGATTGTGGCAAAGCTGATGTGCTGACAGGATCGAGAGCGGTGTCGACGTAGGCAGATAGGCGCCGGGATTAGCTCATGCTGACCCTCTTCTAGGAGTTCCCTTGCGTAAATTCTCAGGACATCAGGAAAGCGATGGACCGCCTTCAGGTGATTTACATATTGGCCAGCGCGACTGGTGATAATGACTCGTCGCCCTTCAGAAAACGAAGGTCCCTCTCCTGTTCCACGCTGAATTAGCGTCAGAAAACTCGAACCAGGATTTCTCTTCCCTGGATCCAACCTTGTACTCGACCTTTTTGCAGTCACGGCCACAAACTCTCGAGTCAGACGCTATCAAGGAAATTATCTCCTTCCACGCAGACTATCCCGACCTCCGGACCCATGTCGTACACCTCTCTGCATCTTCTGCCCTTCCATCCGTGCGCGAGGCGAAGAAGGCCGCCAACTTCACCATCGAGACCTGCTTCCATTATCTCTGCCTCGAAGCGGACGACATCCCGCACGGGCACCCTGAATTCAAGTGCTGCCCGCCCATCCGCGAAGCCGCGAACCGCGAGGAGCTGTGGGCCGCATTGAAGGACGGCACCATTGACTGTGTCGTCTCGGACCATAGCCCTTCTGTCGCCGAACTGAAGTGCCTCGATGATGGAAATATCATGAAGGCGTGGGGAGGGTGCAGCTCGCTCGGGCTCGGGCTCAGCTTATTGTGGACGGAAGCCTCTAAGCGCGGTGATATCGCTCTTGCGGACATTGTACGGTGGACGAGCCGTAAGACGGCAGAGCACGCAGGTTTGGCGGCGCGCAAGGGCCAGCTGCGCGCTGGATATGACGCAGACTTCGTTATTTTCGATCCGGATGCGTCCTGGACGGTGCGTGCTGACGAATCTGACAACGAGAACGCGTGACTAACTGTCCATAGGTCACGAAGGAGCAGATGAACTTCAAGAACAAGCTATCCCCGTACGAGGGACTGACCTTGCGCGGACGCGTCGAACAGACATGGCTGCGGGGCGGGCTCGCGTATGATATCGCCAGCTCTGACCTATTTGTATCGCAGCCGCGAGGTCAGTTGCTTTGAACGTCTGTGAATATGGTCTTGATTACTCTACGAATTCGAGGGGCCTAGCGGTATAGACAAGGGCGCGCGTACCGTAGCTGGAAGGAACGATCTGTTGAACAGTGGCCACAAATTCCGATGAACAAGGGTAGGCCTCGCATATATCGTAGTGAGGAGAATGTGTGAAGCCTACGTACCCGTGTGCTGTGGGAAGTTCTGAAGGGTCTCCGAGCGCCATGGATTCGCCAAGCAAGAGCACCTGGACGGGCACGAAGCATCTCCAGCATCTCCGCCTGGATTGGCTTGTGGGTGCCTGGATCTTCGCGCACGTGGCATGGGCCGACCCAGGACCGATCGCTCCGGCGCGCGGGGAGGGCGCCGCCGACTTGCTTCAGACCTTATCTGCTTCCCGCCCGCGCCAGCAGCGTCCAGCTCCGCCTGCTCTCAAGCGCCCTCATCACTGCCCGTCGACGTCTGCACCAGCGCAGAGGCGGCCCTCGCAGACTTTTACGATGAGGACGACATGTTTCGCGAGCGCTTTGGCTGGGGTATGGGTGCTCGCATTCCTGGCAGGGCTCGCGAATGCGTACATTCCGGCGTTAGGTGTGTGGTCAAACCTGTCATGTGGATGGGCAAGTGCTGAACTGAGACGTGCAGCAACGAATGATATGGATAAGGCCATCGCTGGAGGTCTGAATGTCACGGATCAGTCCAAACTGCACGTCCAGTGGTACCAGAACGGGTGCGTCGCGCGTTGAGCTCAACAGGCTTCACACCGACCCTCAACCTCCAGATCGTACTGGGAAACCGTCTCGTACCAGCTTCGCGGAAGCGACAGCGTCGGCATCAGCAAGGTTTTACTTCTCCATTCCCCGTCTCCCATAGCCCTGCTCACACATCTCCAGGGCGCTTTGGTACACTTCTCCGAAGAACAGGCGAACAATGACACGGCTCCCAGTGAGGAAGAACGGACTCTTCAACCCAAAACCCAGCTGACCTCGTGCGCAGCCCTCACGCCGTGGATCGCCATGGTCTCTTGTGACCGCAACGCCTCTAACATGTCGATGGAGATCGACATCTTCACCCTCGCCAGAGATAAGGGCGCTGTCGGTGCCGTACGTTCCTCCCTTCTCCCACTTGGTCGCACGCTCAAAAAGGATTCGCGATCTCACAGCTCCTCTACTCCCTCAATTCTTCCGCATGCATCATCAACGCCGAATATGCCGACCCAGAGACTTACGACCAGGTCTTCGACATCTTCTCGACACAAAGCAAGACCTCTGCGCATCTGATCGAGTACCAGTTTGGCCAGAGCGGCGCTAACGAAACTCTATACGGTTCCTATGACTCGCAACGCCTGAACGATTCCTTCAGCGTCATCAACAACAGTGTCGCGACCGGTACACCGATGGCCCCAGGATATCTCTTTGCGACATTGCAGGCGTACAACGCAACAGACAATACGACATCCTCCGGCGGGGGCTCTAATAGCGAGAACCACTCGTCGGGCAACAAGAATACGACGCTGGCTATGTAAGCAACCAGGCGCTTTCATCGCTATCTCGGTGCGCTGACGCTCTTCAGGATTATTCTCTACGTTATAACGGGCCTCGTATCCGCCCTGTTCTGCGCAGTCATTGTGTCTGGGGTACGCCTATCTTTGCCCTTATTTGCAAGGTCTGACAGTGCCTCAGGCTATTCGCGCTGTCCGCCACCCGGAGCGCTACGGTCCTCGGGGAATGATGCACCGCGGCGGCGTGCCAGGAGAGTACGGCCCTCAGAGTCGCGCGAAGGGTATCACTCGCGCCATCTTGGACACATTCCCCCTGGTGCACTACCGCCGCCCCGCAGACGCGCCGCCCAAAGACGTAGAGGAAGACGGCGAATCGCGCATGTGGCAGATGCGGGACATGCCCTCGCCGTCTAGCCACTCCGGGGCGGGCGGAATGGGCGGCGCCGCTGCCGCTCAAGCTCCGAGCGAGGCGGGCAGCGATGCCCACGATGCGTCGCGCAGGCGGTCTGGCAGCATGACGCAAGACTTGGCGGACCAGTGTGACACGGCATTCACGAGCGGGCAGGACAGTGCGAGGAGCGAGAGTGGTCCCTCTACATCAGGCCCTGCGCCGCAATCTGCTGGTGCAGAGATCAGCCCGGATGCTATGGGCACGGAGACGTGTCCTATCTGTATCGTCGACTTTGAGGAGGGAGATGACTTACGCGTTCTACCCTGTGCGGGCAGGCATCAGTTCCATCAGCGATGTGTGGATCCCTGGCTGTTGCAGCTTTCGTCCTCCTGCCCCATCTGCCGTCAAGGTTCGTAGGACATCTCAACTCTACGAGTTTTCATAGCTGATTTGCTTTCCTCGATAGATTTCCTTGCCCTGGAGAATATGCTGGCCCAGGGCCCTGACGAGGATGGAGAGCCTGGGCAGCCTTCAATGCACTCGCGCCCGGAACCCACTACGTCCACTTCTCACAGCCGCTTCTCTCGCTACCTGCGCTTCGCACGTAGGCGCAGGCATGAGGCAAACGAGCAGGGGCCTCCGCCGCCTCCCCCACCGCCCATGGTTGTCCCGCTCTAGTTTCCCCTCACGTACCCACCATGAACTCCCTTGTACACTTTTATATCGCTGCTACCCTACTGTACTGTATACATACGCTGAGCTATCGTATATCCTGTGCCGAGCCTGAAATTGGACTTTGTTGTTTATTGACACGGACACGGACGTTTCGGCGATAGTGCCCAATCCGGCAGCGGACGCGCGCCTCCGCGGGACGTTTTGAGACTTGCACGCCCCCGCCATCACACCATGTACGCGCGCTGTAGAACGACACGCAATCTATCGCGCCTGCTTGCTCTTGCCTCTGTCCTGCTCCTGGCGCCGTGCGTAGCGGCGGACGACAATGCTTTTGACTGCAAGATTACTATAGGTATGACGGCTGCAGGTCGGCGGTGACTGGCTCTGACGCACTGGTGCGCAGACGGCACGCAGTATGACCTTACGCCTCTGGGAGGGGAGAAGAGTATTGCGCGAACAAGAGAGTTGCCCCCGAGTACGATGGTGGACACCTTGAGGTTCGATATATGTGGAGAGCTGCCGAAGCAGGAGGGCGTGGACGAGCGGGACCAGGTGCGCCACCCTGTGTTTCTCTTCATATGCAGATTTTGCTGACGACTATATCCTCACATAGTGCCCAGCAGGAACTCGAGCATGCCTGACCACGATCAACAAGAAGCCGGATCATGAGGACCGTGTCGTGTCGGTCGTTCCAGTAGCCCAAAGCTCATCCCTCGAACCGTCATACTCCTTACTATCATGTATGTCGCTATCAAACTGCAAATTGACCACAGACTGACCTCCCTGCTAGCACCAGATGGCCTCTCACTGACGCTGCACGGCGCCTCCTACCCACATCCCACGAACTCGACACCTACGCCTCAAGCACTAGTGATGACGTTGCTATGCGCTTCGGAAGCCTCAGACCCTTCATTCACCTCATACGACGGTGAGGAACTGCGCGTAGAGTGGAAGCACACCGCAGCTTGCAAGGACGCTCCCCCGGACGGCGGCGAGAAGGACGGCGGTAATGAGGATGACAAGACCCCTGCTGAAGGAGATGAGCCCGTATCTGAGGGCATGGGCAGCGGGGTCGGATTCTTCTTCCTTATGTATGTCATCTATGCTACTCGAACGTTGTATCTCACTGACCCACATCTAGGTTGGGACTGGCTCTCGTCATGTATTTCGGCTTGGGCGCCTACTACAACTACACCACATATGGTGCGACGGGGATGGATCTCATACCGCATCGCGACTTCTGGAGGGAGGTGCCGAATATGTTCAGGGACGTCGTCGCGCACTTGTGCTCGAACGTGCGACCACGGTACAACAGTCGCGGAGGGTATATCGCTGTGTAGTTGATGGTACGTCGTGTTATATTAGAATACATCATAGAGGAAATTACTTACAATGCTATATAGCCGTAGACCTACCGAGGGTACCTTTCGGGCTACGTGCGGTGGTAACTTATCTAGCACTTAATGCTCAAATGCTATCGGATATTGCACCTTGACGACGGTTGTACCAAGTTGAATACTTGTGTCGCGAACATACAGCGCAAAGCCCAAGGTGCGTCTCATACTGGGTCTGCTTATCTATGCGACAGCCATTTCTACTTCAGGGAGGCAGTTGCCTCTGACTGTCATAACCCTTCCAGCTCCATCTCTTGCCTCCAAGCTTGCTCGGTCACAACTTCTTCGTTCCGTTCGTTCTCCGCTTCGTCTATCCCTGTGATCTCCCGGTCTATCGAACGTCCGTCAGCCCAACTCAGCGATACAATGAACGCACTCACCTCGGGCAGCGTCTATGATAACAAGCCACAGCGTCTCATCCGACTCCCACCTGTCCTTCAGCTCCGCGTTTGCCACTCTCGTCTCGAGCGAGGATGGCTTTGGTCCCAGCACAGAAGATCCCAGCAAACGAGGTCCCAGCAAAGAACCAACGAGCAACTGATTCTGCTCTCGGCGCACCGACACCTGATGCGATACGCGGTCGTACACCGACGCCTGGCTATAGTCGCCTGCGTCCATGGCGGCCTTCTTCGCTTGCTCCTTGGCCAACTTCTGCACGCGTGCAACGCGCCGTCGCTCCCGCCGCTTCGCCTGTCCCTCGTCGAACTTGACGCCCCACGACTGCATCGTCTCCATCGCGCCCTTCGCCTTCGCCGGCGGCGGCACGTCCATCGACACCGGCAGCACAGCGTCGCCCAGCGCCTCCAGCCGGCGCTGCACCAGGACGTGCATCTCCCAGCCCTTCGCATCCGCGGCCGCGACGTTCAAGCTCTCCGCACTGCTCCCCGGCGACGACCCCGACCTTGACCCCGACCCCGCGATTGCGTGCACGAGCCTGCCCGCAGTCGGGAGCGGCATCTTCAGCAGCACCTTCCCCACCCCGCGACCAACTTTGTGCAGCGCGCTCTTAGGGCCGACGCCGTCCGGGTTAACGCCGATGAGGGTCATGGCGCCGGCGGTGGTGCAGATGCGCGCAGCCAGGCCGCGGGGGCGGAAGATGCGCAGGTTGGCGGCGCGCATGTAGCGGTCGGTGAGGGTTTTGGAGATGACTTTCATGCCCACCTTCGCGCCGACTTGGAGCGCGATGCCGGCGATCATGAACCAGTGGTAGGGTCTGAAAGGTGAGCGATGTACTTGAGCTTGCTGATACCGCTCAGAGTTGGCACCTACTCACACATACGCGATAGCCACACCGACCATGTGAACCACCCTATAGCATACGTGAGCACACCATCTGCAATACGTTCTGACCTTGTCTCACCTCAGCGGCGGACTCGCGGCAGTCGCGATATTCAAACCATCTAAGAAGGCCACAAATTCCTCCATGGACAAATTGACTGTCTCCCGCAGAACATCACTATAGCCACGCGCGAATGGCGTGCCCTCCCCTGCCACAACCTGGGGCAAGCAGAACGGGAGCGGGAGCTTACTCGTTGGAGGTGCAGCATCGGTGGCGGAGGGTAGGAAACTGTCGATGAGAAACTGCGAGTCGCGCTCGACCTGGACGCCGTTCGCTACCTCCTCTTCGCTCTGCGAGTATGCGGGTGCGGGCGTTTCGTGGGCCATGAGTAGGGGGATAGAATGCTGAGGGATGGAACGATGGCCCTTCTGCCAATAATACCACCCAGGTATATATGCCACCTCCCAAAGGAACCTCGGCGCCTTCGCTTAGTCAGCGAGCTCCCCGAAGTGTTGCACCGATGCACAGCGTGCTACTCGGTGCATAGGCCGCATAAGCTCCTCAAGCGTTGGCAGTGTGACCTTCTGATATCACAATGGAGACGAGCGAACAGATCGCAAGATGGAAAGGAGAGGAACGAATGTATATCTTCATTGAGACCAACAGCGCGCTACAAGGTAGATATTGAGATGTTGAGGTCAGATAAGGGGGGTATGAACAAGTATCGATATGTCTACGCGCCACACCGTCCATCAAGGATAGGTAGGTGTTGGTAGATACCCATGGAAGACGAACAACATAAATAGCAGACTGAATCCGGAGTAATACTTGATGAATTTTCTTTTTAACTCTAGGACTTCACTTCATTGTTCTTGCCCCGACATCTCCATACTCTGATATGAGTGCAAGAGCATACTACTACCCATGCTAGGGGTAGGGCGTACGAACGAGGGGGCGCTGGCCGAGCGACGTGAGCCTCCATCACAATCGTCGTCGAATGCCAGCGCTCACCTCGCCGTATAAGGAACCCGCTGGTTCCTCGAGACAGGCGACCTGGGGTCGCTGGGGATGTCGTACCCCGACGAGGGGACGTGCATTGGAGCCATGCCAGCAGACTGGCGGGGCAAGGCCATGTCAGTAGACTGGCGAGGAGAGGCAAGGCCGGAGACGGATAGCCCAAGAGAGCTGAGGGAACTGTGGCTTGCGTCGGAAGACCTTGGGGAGGCCACGGTTGGGCGCCTTGAGGGAGGTGGAGAGGGCGCATGCGACGATCGCGGGGAGCCTGCCTCTGGGAGCCTGGGAGATCCCGCGTCTGACACTCTGGGAGAGCTCGCATACGACAAGGATGGAGAACTTGACGTTGAGCTCGCCCTGGGAGAAGCACCCGGCTGGATGTAAATATCGCCCATCTGGCGCATCACGTCATGCACGAGACGTGCGGCATCACTCATAGTTCGACTATGGGAGGTGTGGTCCCTTCGGCTTGAGCGATGACTTGAGCTTGAAGAGCCGGAGCTGCGGTGCGGAGAGGCCACCATCTGTTGCTCTTCTAGGCGAACAGGACTCGTGGGGAGGGCTCTTGGCGTCAACCTCGGAGTAGCCATGGACTCTGGCGACGCAGGCCTGTGCACCGGCGAAGGAGGCACGCTTGCAGCAGTCCTGAGTACAGGAGCCGGAACGACAGTGATCGGGCGACTACTTGAGTGTCGTGAGGACGGGCTTCCTTGCGCACGGGAAGAGGCGCGGTCACGTGGAGATTGGGCGGGAGTGCCGTACTCCCCCACGCTGATAGTGCGCGAGACCTGCGGACTACCAGACGAAGGGAGCGGCACCGAAGCCGACCATCCTTGAGACGGGTGGGACCAGTCATTCGCCCCCGTTAGGGACGAGGCCGAGCTGCGATCGGGCGAGCGCTGCTCGGGAGTTGCCGAGCGATGAGAATGGATGTGCGCGACGGTGCCAGGCGCATTCGACCGCACGACGCCATCTCCGTGACATGTAGGACATACCGTCGACGTCTCCATCTGGTCGATTTGCTCGAGGTGTTCTAGTAAGGCCCGCGCTATCTCAGCGGTGCGACGAACGTGGGCAGCGGATCGAGGGCTCCCTATGACGGGTGCGGACAGCGATGGTCCCAGTGCTCTCGTACGTCTGGTGCTTGAGGGTGTGGATGGAGAGCTTGGCTGGGCAGCAGGCGGCGCAGTGACGGTCTCTTGCGGAGGTGCTGGTTGCGTAGCGTCGTTCTCGGACCGCGTACGTCCCAGTCCGGTTGGTGGGCGCGTTCGGACTGGCTCCCTGCTACCATCCTTGTTGATGATGTATACGTCGCCGCGTTCCATTGCCTTGCGATACTCTTCGTGAGCCTCGTACTCAGTCGCAAAGCTCTGGTGGATGGCGCCCGAGCAGTCATTGGTCAACGCTGCGACTCTGACCCTACGAGAACGCGGTCATTAAGGTGCGCAGCGGGCGATATCGTCGAACACTCACCAAGTGTTGAACACCCCGACCTCACGGCCGCGGGTGACCACGTACCACTTCCTCTTCGCCATGTCCCGGAGGAAGTAGGAGGGAGAGAAGGTGTATCCAGGTTGTACGTACGCGTCGGGACGGAGACGCGTGCCAAATATTAGTGTTTGGTCGAATTTGGTCCCGCGCCAGACGCGGTCCGCGATCACGACGCGACTTGCCATCGTCCGCACCTTCTCCTCCTCCTCCGGCATGGGCTCCCTCGACGACTCGCTCCTTGACATTCCCTCGGGATCGAATCTCTTGTCTGAGTCCCCTCTGGGGCCTTCACATTCGCGCACCGGGCCCTACGGCGACGACTTGTCTTTGTCCGAGCTCGACCAGACTGTCACGTACGAAGGGCCTCCGAGCGGAGATGCAGGACCGTCAACGCCAACGCGACGAGACGGCGATGGCGACGATGAGGGGGATGATCCAGACGATCCCGAAGCCGCGGAAAAGCGACGAAGACTGGCAAGCAAGCGACGCGAAGACAAGCTACAGAACGATCTCTTCATACTCCGCAAATTGAATTCGACATTTGCCGCACTCAGTGAATCACTCCAGGAGGCGCACGAAGCGAGAGAGGTACGATTTTGTGGTTGCCGCTTGCTTGACTAGCCTTTGACTTGCCCGACAGCGCGTTGCACTCCAACTGGAACAGACCGACGCGTTATTGAATCGATACACAAAGATCCTATCTCTCTCCGAGGACTACTCGCGTCTTATACTTGATGAGGACTGGCAGGGAGGGGAACAGGTGCGTGGCTTGCAGGACGTCGAGGGCGTTGCTGATCAACAATCAGGACGAGGAAGAGTGGGAAAGGGAACGGCGCGAAGAAGAGGCCAGACTGCGACGCGAAGCAGAAGCGCGTGCCGAGGCCGAACGCCGGGAGCGCGAAAAGCGCGAACGCGAAGAGGCAGAGCGAGCGAAGCAAGAGGAGCGCGAGCGCCTGATACGAGAGCGCAAGGAGCGGCAGGCCGCAAGAGGCACTGTCACCGGCGTCCGTGGGACACGCGCGTCTATGAGAGGTTACGCGCGCGGGAGCGCGAGGGGCGCAGGTGCGTGTCGGTGCCGGGTGACTCAGGCGTCGTCGCTGATCAGCGCGTGCTCACAGCCACTAACGCGGGTGCGCGACCCGGTAGCGCGAGCGGTACGCACCGAGGGACTACTACTGCTCGACGTGGGTCTACCTCGAGAGGTATACCACGACCTGGTTGAGCACGGGTACTACGGGGAGAAGGGGAAGGTGCGAAGGCCATATACCATACGCATATCTATGCTCATGTACGTGTATACCAGATGTATTGTACTCTGTATTGGATGTATCTCAACGCTATTCGCATGCTGCCGTCGCTGAGGACAAAGGGAGCACCTATCGTAGACAGGCGCCGCGGCGATCGTCGGCTGATCGGTCATCGAAGTCGACGATAACGCGTCCTGGGGAACTTGTCCCCGTCGTTCACCATGGCGCTCAACTTCAGAGTCGGAAAGGGCATCCTGAGCACCCTCTCTCCTCCGTGAGTCGCAATGGACTCACTTGAATCAACACCTAACGCGATCGCCCGCAGCATACCCCAAGCCCATGCGTGGGCGACCGCGTACAAGCCCACCCCCAACCGCCCCCTCCTGAACATGTCGCAAGGCGTCCCCGGTATCCCTCCCCCACCCAAAGTGCAGAAAGCCCTCGCGACCGCCGCCGCCAATCCCGAGAGCTTCCGCTACACCCTCCCTGAAGGCGATCCCCCTATGCGCGCCGCCCTTGCCGCCGAGATGAAGCACGTCTACGGCCCCCAGTGTGATGTGACTGCAGACGATATTGCGCTCACTGCGGGGTGTAACTTGGCGTTCGTCGCGTCGATTATGGCGCTCACGGATGCGGGGGATGAGGTTATTCTGCCGGTACCATGGTCAGTGGACGACTGTCATGGACGATGATGATTGCTCACAACTGAATTCAGGTACTTCAACCATCAGTAAGGTCATTGTATCGTGCGGTCAGACTGTTGTTGACCGGTTATGCAGAATGACGCTCAGCATGCTCGGCCTGGAGACGGTCTGCCTGAAGACATACCCAGAAGACGGTTTCCAGCCTTCAGTTGAGCGATGCGAGAAGCTCATCACGCCGAAGACGAAAGCCATTGCCCTGGTCACGCCGAATAACCCAGTATGCTCGCCAGCCCAAAGCACACAACATCTCCGCTAACGGGATATAGACAGGCGCAGTGTACTCCCGCAGCCTCCTGGCCAAATTCGCCAAGCTGGCGGCAGACAAAGGCGTCGCCCTCATCCTCGACGAGACATACCGCGACTTCATCACGTCAGGCGAACCCCCGCACTCCCTATTCGACTCCCCCGACTGGCGACGCACCGTCGTTCATTGCTACTCCTTCTCCAAGGCTTATTGCATCCCGGGCCACCGCCTGGGCGCCATCGTCGCGTCACCCGAGTTCCTCACGCATGTAACCACCGTCCTCGACACCGTGCAAATCTGCCCACAGCGCGTCGTGCAGCTCGCCCTCGCACCCCTACTTCCTTCCCTCCGCGGCTTCGTCGCCGACACCGCGCGCGCCGTCGAGCACCGGCACAAGCTCTTCCGCGAAGCCCTACCACCAGCCTGGCGGCTTGGCGCGCAAGGAGGGTACTACGCCTTCGTGCGCCACCCGTTCAAGCACGTTGCGGCGTTCGATGTGTGCAAGCGGCTGGCGGTGGAACTGGGCGTGGTCACCCTGCCGTCGGCGTTCTTCTGCGAGGAGAAGGTGAATGGGGAGGTGAAGGAGGTGACAGTCGAGGATGAGGATAAGTGGATACGGTTTTCGGTGGCGAATATTGCGGACGAGAATGTGCAGAAGGTGTGCGAGAGGCTGAAGGAGAGCGAGACGGCGTTGGGGTGGGAACTGGAATGACCTTCGAGGGCATTGTAACAGAGAAAAGCGTGCTAGCGATCCGTTCTGAACTCATTGTGTTGCCCCAGCTCAATGCTGAGAGTGTCACGCTCTGTCACGGTTGAACTTCGAGCGGTCAGGTGACTTCTTCGCGCGCGCGCCCCGCGCATCTCGCGCTCTTCGCCCTTTCCGCGCTCTCTGCGCGTCCCTCGCCTCCCTCGCCCTGCTTCCCATTCGCCACAAACATTCAGTCTCCGCATAAGCTCTCTGAACTCCGCCCGCACCTCATATATAAGGGTGATACGCCCCGAACACACCTTTTCCTCAACCGCATCGTTCCCCGCCTTTCTCCCCAGAAAGGTGTCCGGTGACCTGGCCAGCCGCTAGGAGCGCGTCAGCGTCCTCTACTACGGACGCACCTCCTTGCGCCGACGTACCTTTCCCTAGGTCCTTGTGTCGCTACTGAAGCGTATCGGCATGGGGCAGTTCGGAAAAGGAGGAACGGCATACCCTTACCGGGTATCTTGGCTCTAGTCCAAGTACGCGTCGGAACGCATGCATCTGCGAGGGCTGGCATACAGTCGAATTTTTTCCTTTACCCAAGGAACGGGTTGATCGCTATGTAGCGACTGAAGTATTTAACACGAGGCTGAAGGAGGGAGAGACGGCGCCGGCGTTGGGTCTAGCACTACGGAAGCAATGTATGCGCTCCTCATCGATGCTGAAATTGCCACATATCTTCAGTCGCCGCCCCGACCAGATGAACTCCGATCACAGATAATAGATAAGAACTTGCGCCTTGCGAGGCTGTCTTTTCACTGCATCGTTCCTCTCCCTCTGGTCCCAGCCCCAGAGGGAGTCCGGTGGTCCGGCCACCAGGAGCGCGTTGGTGCCCATCAACGCATGGGTGCACCTCCTCACGCCCAGCTCGGCAATGTATAAACCCTATACAGTCCGGGTCGGTGGGTAAACGCAGCGGCAACGGGGAGATTCGACTGGTTGAGGAAGGAACAGTGTACCCTGTACTGGGTATCTTGGCCTTAGGTTTCTTGACCTTACATAGGCTCGAGGACGCGTTGGAACGCATGCCTCTGCAAGGGCTGGCATACAGTCGAATTTTTCATGAGTGCTCGCCGTCGCGGGTTTCGCCATGGCCTTAGAGCAGACTATCTTCGTACATACCCTGTACTTCACGTCAAATAGATCGATCAAATGACATTTGAGGATTACTATCGGCAGCTTGGGCACGCAAGGCAGAGAGCGGATAATTGCGCAAGCACACACAACAGAACCTATCCACAACATACATGCAATTGCGCTCATCTGCGCCCCTTGCGAGCCGGAGGCCGCGCATTCTTCGCCTTGCGCTTCTCCTGAATTTTCCTCGACTTGCGAATCTGATCCACCGTCTTGAGCTCGTTCTTCGCCCTCCCCATCGTCTTCCCCGCGAACCTTGCCCCCTTCTTGATCTTCCCGCCCTTCGCCCCCGGCTTCCCCGACGACGCGCCAAACTTCGACGGCCCCGCCTCGTCCTCCCCAGCCGCCTCGTTCTTTTTCTTCATCTGCCGCACCTTGCGCTCGTAGTCCGTGCGCAGCTTGTCCAGCGGCTTCGTCGATGTCGCGACCTTGTTGTGCTTGAAGCGCTGCCCCGGGCGCCCGCGGTTCACCGACTCGCTCTCCTGCTCGCCGACCTTGGGCAGGCTCGCGTGGCTGCGCTGCTTCCACTCGTCGAAGCGGCCGCTGCGGTAGGTGGCGGGCAGGCGCTGGCCGCTCTCTGTGCGCACGAGTTTGACGTTGTCCGCGCCGACGCCGTCGCCCTGCACGAAGCGCTTCTTCTTCTTGTCCCAGTGCATCTGCTTGCGCTGCTTGTCGAGGAGGTTTTCGTCGCCGGTGAGATCGAACTGGGCGCCGCGTGCTTGCTCGACAAAAGATTGGCCATTGGAGAGGGAATAGCCTGCTTCGGCGATGGCATCCTTTTGCTGATAGGACAAGTAGAAGTCATTGTCGCGGAAGCCTTGTTGCTTGCCGGTGTCGAAGACGCGCTGGGAGTGGATGAGAATCTTCGATGCAGCATCCCACTGGCACACTCACAGCGATATCCTCCTCGTCGGCCATTTCGACTTCCTTGCGGCCACTCGAGACCTCCTCTTCCTCGTCTACAGGCGCGATCGCAGACGCAGACAAAGCTGCCGCTTCCGCCCGCTGCCTCGACTTACCCAACGCAGTCCGTCGCGCCTTCATAAGCGCCGCCGTCTCGCTGTTGTTCTTCGACCCCACCTCAAACACCGTCTCCGCCGGCCTAAACGTGCTCACAGCCTGCAAAATCGCCTTCCTCGCCTCCTCCGTCTGCCGCTTCTCCACCTCGCCCTCCCCCCTCAACAACACCGGATGCACCCCCGTCTGCGTGCCCGTCAGCATCCACTTCGGATCGCGCAGGATGTCCTTCGCGCGCTTGTAGCTCGGCGGCGAGGCCTTGCCCTGGCTGCGCTCGTACATGCGCTGGCCGCGCTGCATGACCTGCTTCTGCATCGCGAGCGAGTGCTCGGTGTCGTGGAGGGAGACGATGTACTCCATGTCCTCGTCGATGGACTCGCGCCGGAAGGTGCCGAGGATGAGGTTCTCGGCGAAGACCTCGTCACCGCCCGGCGGGGCGTCCGGGCGGAGCGGGCGGCCGAGGAAGAGCTGGAGGTCGAGGAGGTAGGGAAGCTCGGTGTTGGTGACGAAGGACCAGGCCCAGCCTTGGCGGCCGGCGCGTGCTGTGCGACCGACGCGGTGGACGAAGACGCGGGCGCCTTGCGGGAAATCGTAGTTGACGACGTTCTCGAGGACGGGGATATCGATACCGCGGGCGGCGACGTCGGTGACGACGAGGATGGTCGTGATGCCGCGGCGGAATCTCTCCATCTGCTGCGAGCGCGCGGTCTGGTCGAGAGAACCGTAGATATGCGAGACAGCGTAGCCGGCCGTCGAAAGCAAGGTGGTGAGATACTCGACGTGGTGCTTTGTAGCGGCGAAGATGAGCGTCTGGTGCGGGGCAGTAAAGATCTCTCCGCGCTTCGCCTTCCCCTTGCCCTTCGACTTCGTAGCACCCTCCTCGTCCTCTTCCGCGTTGACTTTCCCCAGCGGTACCTTGATAACGTCGCGCAGAAGCTCAAGCAGGCATGCCTCCTTCTCGGCCGCCTTGACGGAAAAGAAAGCCATCTTCAGGTCGGAGCTGATCTTGCTTTCTGCGTCCAGTCGGATGAGCTTCGGGTCCTGCAGACCGGCCTTGGCAAACTCGACGAGTGATTTCGGCAAGGTAGCGGAGAAAAGGAGGGTTTGACGCGAAGTCGGAAGGCGGTGGAGAATTTCGTTGAGAGCCGTCTCGAAACCCATCTCGAATAGTCGGTCAGCCTCGTCGAAGACGACATATTGGACAGACTTGAGGTCCAAATTCATCTCGACGATGAGGTGCAGAAGGCGGCCAGGGGTAGCGATGATGCTGTGAGATACATGAGAATAGTCCTTCAGTGAAAGAAGTCAAGGACGTACACATCAGGGTTGTTCGTCATCATCTCGAATTGCTCGTCCATTCCCTCGCCTCCTACAATGAGACCCCATCGCAAGCTCTGCCCCTTCGACGTCTCTTCGGTCTTTGAATCGCCAGCGTGATCTCCCTGGCAGGAATGCCAGCCGCGTGCGAGCTCTTTACCGACCCGTAGGATTTGTAGGGCCAGTTCACGAGTGGGAATGAGAATGAGTGCGCGAGCACCAAATGTCGTAGAGTGACGTCCGCCAAGGCGTTGAACGAGGGGAATCATGTAGCCGAGGGTTTTGCCTGAACCCGTGCGTGCCATACCAACTAGGTCGCGCGGAGGGTTGGCAAGGAGGGCAGGGATAGACAGACGTTGGATGGGTGTGGGTATCCGGAAGCCTTGCAAGGTCAAGGATCGCAAAAGCGACGGATGCAGACCTTGAACCTGATAAGGACCAACGCTGAAAGCACTGGCGGGGCTAACTCACCCATGCTTTGGAAGCTTCCTCCTCCTACTTCCCCCTTCGTAATCTTCGACTTCCCCTTCACCTTCTTCACCACCTCAGTGCCTCCCTTGATATTGCGCTTCGCGATGGAAGTCTGGATGAATTCTTGCAGATCGTCGTCGTTCCCCTCGTCCTCCTCCAGCCGCGGTTTCTTGCCCACGAGGGCGGACGAGATGTCCATCGAGTCATCCTCGTCATCCTGCGCAGCGACGACAGAGTATCCCGAATCAGAGTCGGAGTCCTCCGCAGCAGGAAGGGCGCGTTTGCGTTTTAACGGTGCCATCGTCGAGTGTGTGGAAGAAAACAAGTGATCGGGGCCATCATGCGCGCTCCGGATGTACCGGGCCGCGGTCAACTGCCGCCGGCACGATCACGACGCGCGCCTCCTTCGTGCGCCGACACCGTTGTTCGCGGGCTTACGACGGTGCTCGCGCTGATGATATCCTGACGCCCCTGTAACGCTCAACTCTTGCTTCCCACCACCATCTCACTACCCCATGTCTCTTGCAAAGGTCCCCTTCATCCTCTCCGTTATATGGGGGATTAACCGCACGATGACGCCGCCGACACCTCCCCCGTCGGCGAATGCACGCCATGAGGTGACTGGGAACTTCGTCGAACGGTGCGTACCTAGGCTCAATGCGCGTAACACTTGCTGAGGATTGTACTGCCTCAGGAATCTCATCCCTCACCTGAAGATCCTGCGGGTGAGTCACCGCGCCGTACACGTTCGAGCCTCCCCACCGCCTGCCCTGTAGCCCTGCTTCTGACTCTTGGTCGTAGAATGCATTTTGGATATCTGGACTCATCGAAGCCATCACCATACTTGCGGGGAACTTTCCTGATGCACCATACGCCGACTGGATCCTCCGCACCTTCCTCCCGGATGGAGGCCTTCAAAGCCTCAGAATCTCGACCCCCTTCCTCATAGGTATGCTACTCAGGACAGCCCATCCCCCAGTCGAAGCTGAGACTCCCCCCAAGGCTGGGCCATGAACCTCGCCGGCACCCTCGTGCGAATCCACTGCTATCGCAAGCTCGACCGCGCCTTCACCTTCGAGCTCGCCGTGCATGAAGAGCAGAAGCTCGTTACGGACGGTGTATACAGTATCGTACGCCACCCCAGCTACACCGGCGGTCTCGCCGCGGGCATGGGCTGCTTCATGGCGCAGCTCTCCCCTGGCTGCTGGCTGCATGAGTACAGCGGCCTGGTGCCCACCTCGCCTCTCGGCACGACGCTGTTCTGGCTGGCCCTGGTGATCCCGGGATTGTATGGCTTTGCTAGTCGAATCAAGACGGAGGACGCGATGTTGAAGAAGAATTTTGGCAAGCAGTGGGAGGAGTGGGCGAGGCGAGTTCCGTACAAGCTTATTCCAGGTGTGCTATGAGGTCTGTGTAATTGAGTTTCTCGGGTCATAGTCCGTGTACTCATCTGCAACGATCTGAATGCTTCGGTCGCAGGAGGCTACACAGGTTCGTGATGACTGCCCAGAGTCCATTGCGAGCCTGGCCAACTTGAACAGGATCTTCGTTTGATATAGTCATCCCTGAAGCTTCGTCTCCGCGTACACAGCTGCTGAGCTCACCATACCCTACGCAGTTGCCGTCTCCCGCCCCTTCTTGAAGCGTACTCAGCTTCCACGCACCCCCTTCAGCCTGTTTCGCGCGTACGAACGCGCAGATCCCAAGTCCCCGTGGTGATCCCAAGCCCTCGGCCCATCGGACCGACCCTTCGCTTCGGTCACGCGCTCGTCAGCCCGCGCCACTTTTGCGCCTTCTTGCGAAACAGCGCGGCCAGAGAACTGCAGAGAAATGGAACCCGGCTGGTTTCTTCCAGCATCTCGACAAGTTTCTGCCTCAATGTCAGAGATCTCTGCAGGCGCTGCCGAGATCTCTTCAGGAAGAATCCTGAAGATGCTCACTGCGTCTTACGCCTAGCCCCTGCCGCGGCCCGCCCTCCCCAATGATATCCTAGGGGGGTTCCGCCCGACGCACATATAATGGCTCTGTCGTCGGGGGAGATGCAAGACAAAAACATTTCCGTTGCTCAACGACAACGCGAACGCACTTGACTCTGCGACGACGTTCGTAGACTTCTGCACTCTCAACAGCGCTATGAACACGGTTCTCGGGATGAACGCGTCCCTCGCGAAAATTCCCTTCATCTGCTCAGTCCTCTGGGGGATAGACAGGAGCATGACGCCTCCGAGGCCACCCCCGCCTCCGACCGATAGACTGCCAGTACAGGGCAACTTCATCGAGCAGTGAGTATCTCCCTTTCCTTCTTTACGCCTGCGTGCAGTACCCTTGCTTACTATGGTTGCTCGCGCTTAGGTATGGGATTCCAGCCGTAGGCTTCCTCAAGGCAAGTAACCGGTGCACCGTACAATGCTTTCGCTCGGTTTCTAACCCCCCAACAGAAGGTCATGCTAGTCCCTGGCTTCATCGAAGTGGCAGTGATACTGGCTGGCAATTACCCCGACGCGCCTGGCGCGCCTTGGGTTCTGCGATATCTTCTCCCGCCTGGCGGCCTTGACGCTCTACGTCTAACAGTCCCCTTCCTCGCTGGTTCGTAGATCTCCTCCCAATCCATCAACATCCCCTTTCTGACTTCCCCTCACAGGCTGGGCTCTCAACCTTGCCGGCACCCTCCTCCGCGTCCACTGCTACCGCAAGCTCGACCGGCACTTCACCTACGAGCTCGCCGTGCAGAAGGACCAGAAGCTCGTCACCGACGGCGTCTACGGGATCGTGCGCCACCCCAGCTACACCGCGGCCGTCGCTGCGTGCATCGGGTTCTACATGGCGCAGCTCTGCCCAGGAAGCTGGCTGTACGAGTACATCGGCGTGGTGCCTACTGCGCTGCTCGGGACGGGCCTGTTCGCGATCATGGTTGTGGGGCTAGGGGAACGCATCCGGACAGAGGATGATATGCTGAAGAATAACTTTGGGGAACAGTGGCAGGAGTGGGCGAAGCGGGTTCCGTATAGGATTATACCCGGCCTTATCTGAACAAGGGATTCAAGCGCAGAGCTCTAATGCTCCACAGATAATACATACTACACAGCTTACAATAATGTAGGCATAATCCATTCATGATTTTCCAATGCTTCGATTCGACCGCAAGAATCCTCAGAAGCCTGCACCGCCAATTTCTGATGCACTTCGTCCCTACAGAGTGATCCTATGAGCCTAGTCCTACGACAGTGTAATTGAAGGAAGCTTACGCTTTGCGCTACATCCAGCCTACGAATTTCAGAGTAAAGTAACGCAACCAGGAGGAACGCGAGCTCTGCGGGAGGCACGTCGCGCTCGAGAACGAATCGAGCGGGTTCGTTCTTGCGGAAGAAGTGCGAGCGCGATGAACGGAAGTACGCGATGACGGTCTTGGTTGATGACGATGATAGGTCTTTGGCCTGAAATCGAGGAAAGGGGAGGAAGAGGAACGAAATCAGCTCGATGTGTTGGAGATTCCTTACGCGGATGACTTACCGTCCACGCCCCGTCCGCATAGTCCAATTCGTACTCTTGCTTCTCCCATTTCCAAGCTCGTGTGGTGGTCAATCTGCCACCTACATACACTTTGCACTCGACATCGCTGATGGGGTGTGTCTCCGCGCCGATGCTAAGGCAGCGCTCCGGCCAGTTGATGGACGCAGACAAGGCGGAAGTGACGAGGGTCGTCTCCTTGCGGATGCGCCCATAGTTGGTGTTGATGTGGATGGTGTAGTCGGCGTCGCTGCCGCCATCGTGGATGAGTGAGCCGTTGAGGATGTCTTCGCCGGCGAAGGTGAGTGTGCGCATGATGGTGGGGTGTAGGGTGCGAGGTGGGGGAAGTAGTAAAAATCGCGAGGGGCTTACGGACTTATATACGGATGGGACGGGGTGAGTAGCACGTATCCGTGTGCTCTGTGTGTATGAGGCGCTGTGAAAGAAAAAGGTGGAGTAGAGATGCGGTGCATTATGATGGAACCGCAAGAGAAATGTCGCCTCGGTGATGGGGTGCGTCCCGGGTGTGCTCGTAGTACTCCTTCACGTTCAGGAGCGGGACGTGCTCGAACTTGGTGCCCTGGAAGCGCCTGAGGGGGACGAGGACGACGGGGTGGGCAAGCGTCAGATCGCCAACCTTAATTGGCTGAAGAGTCTGACAATCGCGGAGGAGGACATGATGGAGGAGTTTGCTGTGGCCCTGCGCTAGTTCAAGAAGCAACTCAAGAAGCATAGGCTTTCCAAGGAGCTCCGCGACTTGAATGGCAAGCCGGACGACCTCGAGCGCGCGAGCGGCGGATTGTAGGATGAGGTAGAAAAGGGGATGCACGTTCCCCCCGTTTCTTGCCGTTTCTTGTGGACTTCTTGTAGATGCCGACACAAAGAATATACTTGAGAGTCAATGCGCATTTGTCCTTCCAGCTTGATGACGAACTACCTTACTGTCTAATACATTGCGTATCCTCCGGTCGCCGAGATTGTCTGCCCCGTTATCCAGCGCGAGCTCTCCTCCGCGAGCCACGCGACGATCTGAGCAATATCGTCCCCTGTCCCGAACCGTCGCTCCATCGGTGTATGGGCCTTTTGATAATTTTTCAGTTCTGCCGGTACCTTGTCCAGCATGTCGGATTGCACTGGGCCAGGCGCAACGACGTTGACGGTGTGGCCCTGCAGTCCAAGCTCAACCGCCCACGCGCGCGTCATCCCCTCGAGGGCGGCCTTGCTCGCACAGTAGAGCGAAAAGCCCTGAGAGGCCGCCCGCCCGGCAATAGACGAGAGATTTACTATGCGTCCGTGATCTCCCAGCACTCGCGCGACGGCTTGTGACATAAAGTACGCGCCGCGGACGTTGATGTCGAAGAGGGATGCGTAGTCCTCGGGGGTGACGTCGATAGCGGGCTTCTGGAACTCGACGGCAGCGTTGTTAACGAGGATATGGATGTGCTGGGTAGAGAAGGCGGTGAGGGTGGCGTCGACGATTTGTTGAGAGGAGGGAAGGAGGCGGAGATCGGCCTTGACGGTGGCGGCGGCAGAGCCATTGTTCAGCGCGGCTATGCGGGCAACAAGGTCGTCGGCGCGCTTCTGGCTGCTATCTGAGGTGAAGGTGATCATGACCTGATGATGCCCGGGTAGCAACCTGCAGCGCGGGAGTGGCCAATACACGCACCTTCGCACCACGCTTCGCCAATTCGAAAGCGATATGCTCACCAATACCGCGGGAGGCGCCAGTCACGATAGCAACCCTGCCGGCGAGGGGAAGATGCGTAGGTGAGGTCATAGTAGAGGAAGGGGGCGGTGTGGTGTGGGTGCAGTGAGATGGTCTCAATCGACAGCGACGCTGACCTTATAAGCAGGACACTTTGGGCCTACATCGTTTAGGCAGAATGTGGGGAACACATTGGTGTGCTCATTCACCGATGTCGAGTTCGGCGTCAAAGACAACGTAACTTCTTGAGCTTCCCCGCGTCGGATGTTCGCAGCGGGGGTCCGAAACGGAGGTCGACCTAAACGCGGCGCAACGCCCTGGCTCTGGACGGTCCAGGGCATGCGACCGAACTGTAATCATCGCGGGCTCATGGTGCATTTATCATGAAGAAGTACTCGGCTATGTCGAGTGCATCGCGTCGAGCATTCGGAGGGCCCTGTTCACAGGCATGCCGGGATGCTGGCGAAGATCACGGTAACTGAGAAGAAGAGGTGGAGTCACGTCACGGTTCAACTTCATGTCGCGATCACGTGTGATGTCGTCACGTTGAGTTCGACGCGAGCTCGGTTGCATCTGACCTCCATCACCTCAACACGGTTCAGGCTGACCATCGCCTTTGGCCGCCCCTCTCCCCGGAAGAACCACTCCAAGCTCACAACACCATGGCTGATCTCAGCTCCCGCTACCTTCCCGACGTGTCCGACTCGTATCTGCTCGACGAGAGCTCGATGCAGCTGGAAGACGATAGCCCGGATGCCTCATTCGCCTTCCAGATGCCCATTGCTCCGGGAAGGCGAGCAGTACCCGCAGATATAACGCAGGACATGTCCTTTGACCTCCCCGCGAGCGGTCATGACAACCTGCTTGACGACGATGGAGACGACTTCCTCGGTGCGGCGGATCAGACGTTGGGTACGCCCGCGCCACCGAGGGCTGCGAGGGCGCGGGGGACTCCAAGGCTTGACTCGACCGAGAAAGACACACAAACGCCCCGCAAATCCGATGGGCCGCTGACACTCAGCCAACTCACGCCTCGTGCCCCGAAATGGCTCCCAGACGATGCTAATCAGGATGAAGACGACGAGGAATCGTATGAGGAGGAGGAGGTGCGTTGCGATGATTGCATACTCGAGCCTAAGCTGACAGGGTCCCCGCAGTCCGCTCCCCTTCCGGCTATGAACACGAAGTACGATGACAACCAACCAATCCCATCCGGCAGCGCTAGCAATGCCGGTTACTCCTTCGACGACTCGAGCTTTAATGAAGTGTCCACCTTTGCACCCGATGCAGAGAGCACCTTCCTGTCTGACGCCGACATGTCCCTCGACCCCGCAGCAACGCGATTACTCGCATATAGTGAACAGTTTGGGTGCGTCAGGAGTTCTACTCACATCGGGTACTTGCTCATTTCTTCGTAGCCTGCATAACACTTTCGCTCCTCCCGCACCTCCACAGTACAATGAGAAGGAGGCGACCCCGAAGCGGAGTCCACCACGCAATGACGAACCACTCACAATCTCGCAACTCTCCCCTCGCAAGGCGACGCCCTCGCCTACCAAGAAGACCCCTCGCAAGGCCAAAACACCTGCGAAAACCCCCTTCACTACGAGAAAGGCCAAGACGCCAGCTCCGCCATCTGCCGCTGCGCCCACCCCGCACCCCACTGAAGCCACGCCCGTCGCTCAGGCGGTACCCAGTCCGGTGGCCTCACCCTCTTCCGCAGCCGCGGCCTTGCCTGCTCCCATGGAAGCCATCTCGGCGCCACCGCCGTCGCCGCCGAAGCCCATGCGTGCGCCCTCGCCCATGAAGAGGTCTAGCAAACGGCAGTCGACAGCTCGGGAGGAAGAAGAGGAAGACGAGGAAGATGACGATGAACCGACTACCGCGCCAGCCGCCGCTCCCTCGCAGACTGCCGGTCCTTTACAAACCGCGGGTCCCTCGCAAGCTGCCGGTTCCTCGCAAGCTGCCGGTCCCTCGCAGCCTCCTCCCAAGAAAGCGCCCGCTGCCACCGAGTCCAAGCGCCCTGCGAAGCGCGCAAAGATCGAACCGGTGGTGAAGCGCGGGCTGAACGCGTCGAAGAACGCGCAGAAGAGCTCGCTCACGGAGCGGAGGCGGGTGCCGTCAGGGCCAGCGGCTCGTGGGCCAGCGACGCGTGCGGTGTCTGGGACGACGACGCGTGTGGTGTCTGGGACGACGACGCGTGTCGTGTCTGGGACGACTACAGCGCGTTCGGTGTCAGGGGCGGCGTCGCGTCCGGCGTCGGCTGCAGCTCCGCGTGTGACTCGCGCCGTCTCTGCTGCGGGTACGCTGCAGAACTCGAGGGCGAGGAATCAGGCGCCGGTGGGAGGGAGTAAGCCGGCCAGCGCGAAGCCCCCTTCGCAGGTAGCGACGACGGGGAAGAGGGAAAATACGCCGGCTGCGCAGACACAGGCCAAGTCGGTTGCGCAGACGCCGGCGAAGCCGGTTGCGCAGGCGCAGGTGAAGCCAGTCTCGAGGAAACCTCCTTCGGCTGCGCAGACGCGCGCAAAGCCTGTACAGCCTGCTCAGGAGCCGGCGATGGTGATGGTGGCCGATGCGGCACCCGCGCAAGAAGACTCGCAGCCTGCTGCTCCTGCTCCCTCAATGACTGTCGATGCTGGCGAACAGGAAGTCGAAGAGCCTGAGGCGGGTGCTGCTTCAGATGGGGACACGCAGATGGTCGTCGAAGAGGCGTCATGGGCGGTCGCTGATATGGACAACTGCGACGACTCGACGCCTCCTGCTCCTGCTCCTCGAGCGTTGAGCCCCATCGACGATGACGCTGAGGACGAGCTGCCACTGGGTCAAGCAGAGCAGGAGCAATCTCACGAAGCGGTTGGGGAGGCAAGCGCGGCACCGGCAGCAACGAAGCCACGACCTCAGCGTAAGCAGCCCGAGCGCAAGAAGCAACCAGAGGTGAAGAAGCAGCCAGTGCCCAAGAAGCCCGAGGTAAAGAAACAACCGGAGGCCAAGCAGCAGCCTGAAGTCAAGAAGCGACCTGTGGTCAGAAAGCACCCAGAGGTCCTGAAGCAGTCCGAACCCAAACCGCCGTTCGACGCGTCGTCCTCCTCCGATACGAGCAAACCCTTCATTTTCGGCGCTGGCAAGCAGGCCAAGTTCACCCTGAGCACGTCGTCAGACGCGGGGTCGAGCAGGCTGCACGAGTCGGAGGGCTCTGCGCATGCGCGCTCGCTAAGTCGCTCAGCGCTGAACATGTCCGTGACGGAACCGAAGCCGTTCACCTTCCATACGGATATGCGGCTAAGGGAGCGGGAGGCGTTCGATGCGAAGGTGAAGGAGCGCCTGAAGCGGGAGGAAGAGGAGGAGGCGGAAAGGAGGAGGCAGGCGGAGGAGGAGGCGGAGAGGGAGGTGAGTCCTTGTGGTGTTGATTGGCGGATTGTTTGCTGATGAAGTGTTTTAGGTGAAGCAATTGCGCAAGCGTATGGTACCGCGGGCGCATGAGGTGCCAGAGTGGTATCGCTCTGCTCCTAAGAAGCAAAAGCTGGACGAGTCCAAGTAGGATACGCGAGAGGGGGTGGACAGTTGTATAGATTCCTTGAACTCTCATGTAGTTGTTTTGCGCGTCTCTGGCAGACGTCCGAGTATACGAGCTTGCTTTCACGCCTTATGTCCTACCTGAAGGTATTGGGACATCGACTGAGCATCGCAGGATGTTGGCAAGTCGAGAGAGCACGTGTGCGGCACTTAGCGCCGGTGTCCGACTTGATCAGCTTGCCTTCACCTGTCGGCACCATTACATCCCTCCACCTGCACTGAGCGCGTCTGCGACGTCCTCAGCCACACTACATGTCATTTTCTGCTTGATACTTCCCTAAACCACAAGGCTCTCGCGATGGAAACCACTACCGAGCCGACAACTGTCGCTGCCGCTCCGGACGCCGCGCCGCCATCTACGGACGATGCGCCGGCCTCGCCTACCTCAGAGGAGTTCAAGTCTCCGCGCGAATCTATCAGCAGCAAGCCAGCGTCCCGGAGAAATTCTGTGCGGAAAAGCCAGAGCTCTGGTACGCCGACGACCGAGACCGTCAAGGACACAGGAGATGTCCTCTCCCTGGAGGAGCTCAAGTCGCCGAGCAAGGCCGACTTCAGCAAGGATGCGACTCCGCGGGACTCGATCAGGAACAGCGAGCTCACTGAGGTCACCCTCGAGGGCAGCGAGAGCTCGCACGAAGACTTCTCGCCCGTCGCGCTCTCGTCCGGGACCAGCGCTCGCAGCTCGGTCTCCTCCGCGCAGGCCGCGGGCAATCGGTTCAGCGCGACGTCCCTCACCTCCCCCATCACCCTCATTGATTCGAAGCCGAGCTCACACAAGAAGACGCCGTCTACGACGACTATATTGTCGACGCACAACTTGGTTGTGGAGGAGACGACGCGTACGAATAGGACAAGCATCGACGGGCAACATAGGCTGCAGGAGGAGTTTGAGAAGCTACAGAAGGATAAGGAAGCTGAGGCGGCGGAGAAGGGCTCAGCGGATGGAATTGACTGGAGTGCGTGTGCTACGTCCCTGATGCTGAACCCTGACTGACCTTGCTGCTCAGACTTCTGGGGAGATGTGATGGGAGGTACGTTTAGCCCACTCATCCCGACAAACCTTTCTCAGTACCTCTAGATTACACGCGCTTCGCCGCTGAACACCCCGAGGAGCTTTCGCAAGCAATTGCGAAGGGCATCCCAAGCTCACTGCGCGGCATGATGTGGCAACTCATGTAACGAGGGAACGTCACTAGCCCTTCGCGTCCGGCTCACTCGCTACTAGGGCTGCGTCTAAAGATCCGGAACTTGAAGCTACTTACCTGAAGTTGCTCAAGGAGCCAGGCACTCCACATGAGAAGGCAATCACTCGTGACCTGGGGAGGTCAGTCCAAGCATCGGATAGTGCTGCCGTCTGGCTAACGCCTGCCACAGAACTTTCCCCCATCACGACTTCTTCACGGATGGCGCAGGCATCGGGCAAGAGAATCTCTTCAATGTGCTGAAGGCGTACTCGCTGTGCGTCTTCTCTGTGATCTTCTGACAGGTTGTACTGACCGGGCTTCAGATACGACACACAGGTCGGGTATTGCCAAGGCCTACCGTTTGTGGTCGCAATCCTCCTGCTCAACGTATGCCCACAACCTCTTAACGGGTGGCGCTTTGCAGACTGATGCGTAGATGCCCGACGAAGAAGCCTTCTGCTTGCTAGTACGCTTAATGCACGACTACGGCCTGAGAGGGCACTTCTTGCCTGAGATGCCGAAACTGCAGCTACGATTAGTAGGTCATGATTCTCATTCGCCTAGGCTAGGCATACTGACGGTGGATAGTTCCAGGTTTGCTCAATATTTGGGTCCAAAGACGCTAGAATATTGACGAAACTCAGTTCGACCGACTGATTGAAGAGCTCCTTCCTGGTACGCATGGATAGCTGCTGCGCAAGCACGCAGAGTTGTTGAAGTGCGCTCCTCAGTATTACATGTACACTTCTTGCGGCAAGGCGTCAAGTCAAGCATGTTCTGCTCGCAGTGGTTCCTCACGATGTTCAGCTACCGGTCCGTTGGCTTTCCTCCGACCATAAACTATCGCTAAACTCCCTCGCAGATTCCCTCTCGACGTCGTCTTCCGAATATACGATCACGTCTTAGCCAACGGCATTGAGGCCATCTTTGGCTTCAGCATCGCGCTTCTGCACAAGAACGAGGAGACCTTGCTGAAGATGAAGTTCGATGAAATCTTGGGCTTCCTGAACATGAAGTTGTTCGATATCTACAAGGTACGTCTCTCAGCTTTCCTCATGGCCGCGAACCCAACTTTTCGGCTCAGGTCGAAGGCGAAGGAGATGCTCCTCCGACATATAAGGTCGACGAGTTCATACGAGATGCAGTCTCGCTGCGCATCTCATCGTTCATGCTGGACAACTACGCGCATGAGTACGAAGAGTTGATGGTGCGTACTGCTGCACTGCTAACTCGGCGTGGTGAACCTCATACCCGGATAGCGGGAGACGCACAAGAATGCGCTCGAGAAGGATGAATTGCGTAACACGAATCGCGTGCTAGCCGCGAAAGTGTATGTGCTGCAAGCTGCTACTCGAACGATATCGTTGACGCGCTTACAGGAAAGAGCTCGAGGAGAACCTCTCACAAATAAGCACGGAACACATAGAAATACTGGTACTTGACATTCCCCTCGCACGAATGCATATGCCTGACACTTATTCAGAACGAGCTCGTAAAGCAACGATTGCGCAATGAAGAAATGGAGGAACAACTCGTCCGCTACAAGCTGCTGTAAGCCTGATCATCCTTGGTTGGAGGCATCGCTCACCAACGCTGCGTAGATACGCTGAAGCAATGCATCAAAACGAAGACGCAGGATCATCGCACCGACTCTCGCAAGCCACAACTAACAGCGCACATCGAGGAAGCAATAGAGCCAGCAGTAATAGAGGGAGCACGACATGACGCCGATGGCGAGCTCTTTCTTGATTCCTTCTGACTTGTGGATCGTGCTCGCTTGCATAGACATTTGTTATCGCTTTCGTACTGCTCTTATCCGCATCTTCACAGTACTGTAGTCCTAGAAATGCATGGCCACTGGGGCCTCAAACATTGTCCAAGTTGATCAGCGCGGGCAATCGAAGAACAAAGCCTTCCTTTTGGGGTATGCTTTGTGGGCGCAAACGCGTGACCTCATATGATCTAGACGTTCGGGCGACATCGTCGCAACGTCGGAACTCTTCCTACTCCTCCCTAGATACCTCGCAAAAGCCGCCCCCCTTCATCCCTTCCATCCCCACCTACATCTAACATGGATATTTCGTGAGTATGAGACTGTGAAGAATGCAAGTCGCTCACCCCGCAACAGGTCGATCTTGCAGGGCGGCTACCAGCACCCAGTCTCGCGCGCATGGCAGAGCCCGCGCCAGCTCACGAAATCCATGCTCATGTACCCCATCTTCATCACCGACGACCCTGATGCCGCTGAGGAGATGACGACGCTGCCAGGTCAGCGTCGCTGGGGTGTCAATAAGCTCGAGGGCTTCATCGGGCCCCTCGTCCAGAAGGGATTGAAGAGCGTGATCCTGTTCGGTGTGCCCATGAAGGCGCAGAAGGTGCGCTGACCACGTCTGAAAAAGGGGGACCCGTTGCGCTGACTCAGTTGCAGGACGAGAAGGGAACGCTAGCGGACGACCCTGATGGCCCGGTTATCCTCGCTGTCAAGAAGCTGCGCTCCCTCTTCCCCGACCTCTACATTGCGTGCGACGTGTGTCTCTGCGAGTACACCAGCCATGGACACTGCGGCATCCTGCACGAGGACGGGACGATCAACACCCCGCCCTCAGTCGTGCGCATTGCGCAAGTCGCGGTCAGCTACGCGCGCGCAGGTGCACACTGCGTTGCGCCGAGCGACATGATGGACGGTCGTATAAAATCAATAAAGCAGGGTCTCATGGACGCAGGGCTTGCGAACAAATGTACACTGATGTCGTACTCGGCCAAATTCGCGAGTGCGCTCTACGGTCCCTTCAGGTACGTCCTCTGATCACTTAGTCGGAGGACTCAAGCTCATGGCTGCTTGCAGAGACGCTGTGCTGAGTGCACCTTCCTTCGGTGACCGCAAATGCTACCAGCTGCCTCCAGCTGCGAAGGGACTGGCGCGTCGCGCTATCTTGCGCGATGTGAACGAGGGCGCCGACATCATCATGGTCAAGCCTTCCCTGCCATATCTGGACATCATCGCGGACGCTGCGCAGCTTGCGCCGGACCACCCTACTGCCTGCTACCAGGTCAGCGGCGAGTTCGCTATGGTGCACGCCGGCGCGCGCGCGGGTGTCTACGACCTGAAGACGATGGCGTTCGAGACGGTGAACTCGATGATTCGTGCAGGTGCGTAGAATTCTGCTTGGGATCCGCTATGTGTATGGTCCGCTTGCTGATTGTACGAACAGGCGCTGGAATCATCCTGACCTACTTCACGCCCGAGTTCCTTGACTGGCTGGATGAGTAAAGGGAGAATCGTGCCAAGTGTAATATTTAGTCAAAACCAAAATCAAGCACAGGTGACCCAGGTCACCGTCACCGCTCACTTCTGCCTCCGAGGCTCATGTATGTCCGCTAAGGTGGACCAGTCGAGGTGATGTGAGTGGCCTTCGACTCCTCAACTCGGTCTCGCTTTCGTAGCTAGCCATTTGTTAGAAAATGTGTGAGTTACGTTTCCCTATGCTGTATCTGTTCAAGGATGATGATGCTTAGCTAGCGTCCTGTTACCCCGTACCTAAGGCCAGCCACAGTGAAAAGTCATCAATGAGGTGCTACCATGCACACGTCCTTGCCGATCCAAGAATGTTCTACGCCTGTGCCGATACCGAGTCGCAGCGGACACCCCCTGCATCATCCAGCGACGTATCCCTACACGCTGAAGCTCTTCAAATTCAACACCTTTCAGTCGTGTGACCCCAGTAAGTGACTCATTGATTCCCGATGCCCGGTGACGCACTTGTTTGAGGGTCAGAAGGAGACCATGCGCTGTACGGGAATCTCCCGCAATTCAACAGGCCCTAGAGGAAGGCAGTGCCAGTCCTTCATGCATACGACCCGCTCCTTGTCGAACCACACCTATCTATTTCTCATGAAACAGGACTGTCCTTACCGGCCCCCGCCTTCTACAGCTTTTTGCTTTCATAAAGGGAGGGTGCGCCAATGGCGGTCACTCAATGCGGGTGCTTTGTCGTCGTCTTTCCATCCGAATGCTACGCCTCCATATCTTGTGCTTAGCCGCGTATGTCGCTGTGGCGGCCGCGATTGAAGCGAAGGTACGTTGTGGGCGTTGCCGTGCGATTCATGCTGACCAGGTCATAGCGCGAACCCGATGGAATCGCTTGGTTCTCATGTAGCATCCTCGACCCGTTATATGGTGTCGTCGGTCCCGCACTCAATGCGTCCTGCGTGTGTGGTTACCACGAAGTGCCATTGGACTATGCGGACGAGTCCGCGGGTAATGCCAGGCTTGCGGTGGGCATCTATCCATCCACAGCAGAGCGCTGGGGCACGGTCTTTACCAATCCAGGTAGGCATTCCTTGAACAACATTGCGCCGTCTTGACTCCTTTCTAGGCGGACCCGGTCTGTCAGGCATCGAATTCCTGTTCGAATACGGCCCGTATATCAGCGCAGCCACAGGCGGCCACTACGACGTCGTTTCCTGGGATCCCCGCGGCTCGCAGGGACAGACGTTACCCGGCGCGCCAGCCTGCTTCGATAGCCCCGCAGACAAGATCGAATTTTTCAAGGGCACACTCGAAGCGACGGGGATTGACATCAAAGGCAACCTGACCGACCATGGCCAAGTCGATGAGCTGTACTCGCACGTTGATGAGATGGAGGCGAAGTACGTTGAGCTGGGGACACGATGCGCGCTGGGTGAACAGGGGAAGACACTGCCTTACCTGGGCACGGCAGCGACGGTGCGGGATATGGTCTCACTTGCGGATGTGCTTGACCCGGGGGTAAACGAGATCAACTACTGGGGTTTCTCGTACGGCACGATGCTGGGCTTCACGTTCGTCAATAGTAAGTCTTTCTATGTATCGCACGGAGCACAGCGCGCTGACTCTGTACCAGTGTTCCCCGACCGTGTTGGCCATGTCGTCCTCGATGGATGCATGAGTAGGTCATGGTTGACGTCTTACGAATCCAGATACTAATGTGCATTAGACCCCATACTCTACGCCGATAGACCTATCACGGAGGTAAATATCTGGATTGACTGGCGATGGCACCTCCACTAATCGTTCCAAAGTATCTTCCCAACTTCGTTGAGGGCACTGACAGCACATTTGCCGGCTTCGCTGCTGGATGCGCCGCGGCGGGCAAAGACGGCTGCGCGCTCGTTGTCAACGGCAACGAAACCGCTGTGGACATCATCAACAGCGTCCAAGGCTTGCTGGACGTGAGTCGCAGCAGCTACATGCCTGTAGCATATCACTCACCCGTCCCGATCAGCTTGCACACGAACTCGTGGTGGCTGGTGTCGACATGAGCCAGATACCGACGTCTGCCGAAGTCCGCGGTCTCCTCAACGGAGCCATGTACGCGCCTACTCAGTGGTCCGCCCTTGCCACCGAGATCGCCGTTTACGCCTCCGCATTGGAGCTTCTTGCCACCAACCAGACCATCCCGCCCGCTCTCGCATCGGTATTAGCGCAAGCCAAAAGCAGTTTCTCAACAAGCCCAACGTACGGACTGCAGGCTGTGACCTGCGCGGACAGCGTCGACGCGGGCAAGATGACCATGCGGGGCGCGTTCGACGCCATCGTGAATGCCTCCACGAACGTGTCGCCAATGTTTGGCCCGCAGTGGGGGACGGCAGGGGCTCTGTGCTTCGCTTGGCCGGCGCGTGCTGTGGAGCGGTATACGGGGCCGTGGAACAACAAGTTGAAGAGTCCGATCCTCGTCATTGGGAACACGGTACGTGTTAGATTTTCGAGAAGGTCGAGCACTTATTGATTGGACCCGCGACCAGTTTGACAACATTACGCCCTTCCAGAATGCGCAACTCATGGCCGATTTGCTGGGCGATAGCGCTGTTCTCCTGGAGCAGGTCGGCTATGGGCATTCGTCCCTTGCGGAGCAGTCCTCTTGTACGATCGGCGTCGTGGCTGAGTACTTCACGAATGGCACGGTGCGTGAATTCTGCCTTCAAGCCAGGGAGTTCGTTGTTTGACGAGCCGTCAGCTTCCGGAGGGCGACGGGACGAAGTGCGATATCGACGATAGTGTCATCCTATTCCCGAAATCCAACGTCACACAGGCCATGGTGCGACGAACTATCCTTGCAGCCAAAGGTATCCGTCTGTAGGGTTGGCAATGCAGTGTCCACTCGTCGAAGCTTGCTAATTTGCTTTCACTCTCCTTTCGTACTGTATGATTCAAAGCCCCTCTGCGCTATATTATGGACTTGACCCGGATGCAGTAGTGGGTTCTCGATTCCAGATGATCGCCCTCAAGGGTGAGGACAAGGCAAGGACATTGCCGGTACTCGAAGATAGCAAGGCGATCCACTCCATGGTGATAGTGAAGTCGCATGCATGAAGGGACTGTGACTTACCATAGTCGGAGCCGTCCATATTTGCATTGTTCGCCGTCTGGAGATACTATTCAGCAGCAAGTGAGGTGATGCCTTATGGTCAGGGTCGTCGTGTTCCTTCAAGTTCATCATCTTTTGAAGTGAGTCAAGATCCTGTCGCGGCCGTGTACTTGCTTGGATGTGGCGATGGATGATGCACATGAGCGAGTCGAAGGGCGACTGTCAGAGCGGAGGACAACACCTTCAGGATCTCGGTGCCGCGGCCTTGATTAGTGCCACCCGGACGATCAAGGGTGTGGCAAGGTATCGCTGAGGTCCATTGTCTTGAGTTAGTCGCTTCATTGTCCGGCAATCTGGTTGAGCCGAAGCAGCTGGCGATGGGTTGGAGTTGAAGGCTTCTTGAGGCCTTGAGGCGTTCAAGTCGGTGGCTGGAGCGAAGGCCTTTGATGTGACTGTGACCGGGCAATATGAACTCGGCATTGTTTGAGTCACGTGCTCAGCCTCCGTGTCCTTTTCCCACAGATCCCACGAGCGATTTTGGGATCCGCTAGCCCTTCCCCGCTATCCAAAATTCTATAGCACTTGTATTAGATGCTCTGAAGCCTTGGTTGGATTTTTTGGCACCGTTTTTGAGAAAGAAACACCGTCACAACATATTTTATGAGCAATTCACGTGTGATTTCGATACGGTCACATGGGCTTAGGCCGCGTTGGTTTGTTGCGGGATGTTTGCTTCCGATGATGGCCGTCCGTTGAAGCACAGCCACGTTTCTTGACTCTGACCATCATAAAGCCTCGGTGCCACCTTTCAGTCCACGACAAGTTCACGATTCTTGTACGACTAAAGGGCGCGAGCTCACCATCGCCCTCGCCGAAGCTTGGATATTCGCTCAAATTTCCACGAAATACGGACAGATACCCTACATCATCAGGACACCGACTACACCACCATGCTCCTCTCCACGCCAAATCGCGACTTCGTTCACTTACGCGGACGCAAGCACGACTCAAACGTCTCACCGCGACGCGTGCAGTACAGCACTCCATCCAAGCCGCAGCGGCGAGCGGAGTCGCCGATGCTCACGCCGTCCCCGCTGCGCTACCCGTCGCTCTTCAGCCAGGACCTGGCCGATCAGGAAGACGATGTATTCCAGTCGCCCGTGTACCCTTCGACTGCGCGGGCGCAATCGTCCGCACGCGTCTCGACTGGCGCCCACGGCACTCGACCCATCGCACCCCAAGTGGACGAAGGATCGGTGTTCATGGCCCCATCCCATTCCACCGCGTCCTCGAAGAAGGCGACGTCGTCCATCAAGCCGATGCGCACCCCCTACAGACTTAGCCATCTTCCACCCCACACGTCCAAGCAGCCGCCGGTCGGTGCCCTCGCCTTGGAACCCCCTACAACTGCGGGCTCAAAGCGGAAGTCAGCTTCCGCCAGCACCACCTCGCCCTTGCGAAACCACTCTCTTACCCCGCTCAACCTCACGAGCTTTAAGCCCGGCGGGTTCGAGTGCCTAGCGCCGCTGCCAGCGCCCAAGTTCTCGGGTCGCAAGCCGCTCACCGAATATGAGGCGGACGCCCATATGTCGCGCCACGCGAAGGAGCTGAAGAAGTTGCGTCTTGAAGGGCTCAGCGACGACTCGGGATGCGAGATGAAAGAAGACGATGAGGGCCACGCGCTCTTTTTTGCTCCAAATCGAGGAGCGGACGCGGATGATGAGGCGAAGGCCGTTTCCCCGGATGGACATGTTACCAAACGTGCCCGTTCGAAAGCGATCCCGGGCGGCACACGAGCGCCGTTGGTTCAGGTGCGTGCTCGTATGACCTTGTCTGGACTTACACTCATATCTCTGGCAGATTGGCAATGAGACTGGACGCTTCAAAGTACCCGCCGCAAGGTCGTCTTCGTTGCGACGACGCTCTCATGGGCGCATGTCCTCGGCATCTTCGGGAGAAGGTCCTCCTCCGTCGTCTGCAGCTCGGCGTCGCACTATGGCTTTGCCGCCTCGCAAGCTGGAGCGCGTTGAATCTGCGACTCTCTTCTTCGGACCCGCCATTCCCCAGCCAAAGAAATCACATCCGCAATCGGAGAACGTGCTATCAAGCAACTCGGGCATCGCCTCCCACCGTCGTAGCCAGACGGGCCCTGCCCTCGACAATTGGACAAAGGCGCGCTCGCGTTCTCCTTCGCCTCGCTCCTCGCCACAATCTGTCCCCCACGAGTTCTCCTCTGGCGGGTCAGAGTTCGACGATGACGAGGAAATGTTCTTCAACGGCCCGGCGATACAGCCGTTCGCCTTCAGCGTCACCCAAAACACTCCGCCCCCAAAGTTGGTCACGAAGTTCAAGCCTCGCGACTCTGGTATCGGCCTGAGCGATGACGACAGCTTCAACTTCGGTCCACCGCGCACTAGCGGTAGCTACATGAACGCCATTCCTCGGGCATCGAACAGTGCCAGCACGATCAACTCGGACAGTGATGATGCCCTCATCACTCCTGGGGTTGGCCCTGGCGCCGGATCCGGTTGGCCCGAGGCGCATATCGTCGTAACCGGGACGGAGGAACACGAAGGCGCCTCTGGCGGGCCCGACGTCGATGCATTCATCCAGCGAACTCTGGCAGGGGCGGGCAAGGCAGGCTCTGACGGGCCCAAGAAAGCGCCTGGCACGCCTGTCAAAAAGCTGCGCCAGTTCAACGGCAGCCGGCCGTGGCGCAGCGCGGTGGCGAATAAGGTTGGGTTCAGCTTCGATACCGAGAGCAAGGGCAAGAACAAGAAGACAACGACGAACAAGCCTCGCAAGAGCATGCCTGCCGCCTTCCCTCCGCCTCGTCTCGATAGCGACTCGGAGGATGACCAGGAGAGCCCCAGCAAGCGCGGCAAGTACTCTGGCGTCGGCATGGGTCGGCCCTCGGCTATCCCGCGCACGCGCTGGCTTACTCGCCGAAGCAGCAGCGGTTTGTTCAACAGTGGTAGCGAGTTAGGGACGCCCACCAGGGCTTCAGGTAAGTACGCTCGGCGTCGTTGCTAGCCGCTTCGTTGACTTGGATTCAGCAGATCTTCAACTCCCCACCCGCTCTCCGCTGTTCAGCACCTTCCGGCGCTCTCCGTGCCGGACCTCGTCCAGCGGTTCACAATCGTCCATGACAAGCATGGCGTCGCCGACGCTGCGCTTCCCGACGCCCTTCGGCATCCTCCGGCCGTCGTCTCGCTCCAGCGTGCGCTCCCGCCAGCCGTCTGGGGAGATGAACAGTTACGAGCAGCCCGGCCGTTTCGATCGTGATTTTGAGGAGATCGCGGAGGTTGGGAGTGGCAACTTCGGCAAGGTCATCAAAGTGCGCTCCAAATTCTCGTTCGGCAACACCGTCTTCGCTGTCAAGAAGTCGAAACCGTACGAGGGCACCAAGCACAGGTATGTTTGTTTTTTGAGGGGCCCAAAGTTTATTCGCTAATATGTGGTCGGTCAGGCAACGGCTCCGCGAGGAGGTTGACATTCACGAGCATATATCGCAGGCTCTCGCGATGGCTGGCCAGACTGCGCACCCGAACATCGTCGCCTACATCGACAGCTGGGAGGAGGAAGGGACCTTGTACCTCCGGACGGAGTTTTGCGAGGGCGGCAACTTCGCTCACTTCCTGCGGGAGTACGGACGCCACTACCCTCGCCTGGATGAAGGCCGCGTGTGGAAGGTCCTCGCCGAGATCAGCAACGTGAGTGTGACCTCCATCGTGTTCAATCTCTCCAGATTGTATCTTTGTGCATGGGACTGACTTTTTGTGCAGGGTCTGGCCTTCATCCACGCGTGCGGTGTCATTCACCTAGATCTCAAGCCGGAGAACATCCTGATTACGGGCGAAGGCCGCTTCAAGATCACCGACTTCGGTATGGCTACCGAGTGGCCTCGCCCGCCTGAGAAGAGCGTGGGCTTCGAACGCGAAGGTGACAAGTTATACTTGGCTCCTGAGATCCTTCGCGGTGCCTACGGCAAGCCTTGCGATATCTTCAGGTCAGTCATACAAGCCACCTGTATGTATACGTCGCTGACAGTCTGTGTAGCTTGGGCATCACTATGCTGGAAACCGCGGCCAACATCATTCTGCCAGACCAGTGCGTAACTCATCTGTTCCCTTCGCGGCCGTGCTGACAATCTGCGCAGGGGCGAATCTTGGCAAAGACTGCGCCAGGAGGACTTCGAGCAAGTGGAGTGGACCGGAAGTCGGGAGCTCCTGCATATCATCGGGCGGATGATGTGCACCGACCCGGATGAACGTATCGATGTAGAAGCGCTGGTCGCGCACCCCATCGTGTCCCGTGCGCGGCAGGCCATGGAAGACGCGCTGGCGCGTGCAGTTCAAGGAAAGGAGCCGTTCTTCGCATCCTCGCCGCTCGCAGGAGCGCCGCCTGGTTTCTTGGAGGAACTCCTCGCAGATACCATGGACGACGCGATGGACCTCAGCTTCTGAACTGCTCCGCCGCTCCGGGTCTCGCCTGGTAATACCAGACGCCACTCCGGTGGTCGTCCAACATCGCTCGTCTTCCTCATAATCCGCATTTCGTGACACACCCTACCTACGCATCAGACTGGTTCAGGCCTTTTCTTGCATTTGTCGCATTTAATTCTTGATCTTGATTTTCTTCCATCATGGGTCCTCCGCTCAGTCTTCTCGCCGCCTCTGTCCGTATGAAGCATCATCCGTACACACCATCCCTCGCACATATCATCCTCATCCACAATCTCTGCATGTCACTTCCAATATATATACTAATTATTCACCTTTCGTGCGCTGTTTTGCTATCGAACGTACACACCCTCCCTTGCAGAAACCCTATCTATACCTCTTCCGGTGCATACAACCTTCCTTCGTGCCACACGTCGCCGTGATGGGTGCAGTATTATCTTCATCTTTCATCTTCCTCTTTCTTACTCTCCTGTAATTCTTTTACGACCACCACCCGTCGCCTTTATTTCTTGATCTTTCTCCACTACAGCCACTGCCTGTTCGTCTTTCTTCTCCACCCCATCCGGTTCACGATCCCTCTCGTCTCGCGGGTTATGTGGCTGTTTGGATTTGGGTCTGCCTCTCTGGCTTGGGTTCATGCCTGCCTCCCTGGATATGGGTCTGCAATACATACCAAACATACATACGTCTCCTGTTTCTCTTCTTGCCTTGCCCTCCGATTTGTAACGCATACTATACATGAGTGCACAGTACGTAGGTACTTTAGTGTCGTGTAAACGGCGGCTATCTATGTTTTACCCCTTCAATAGCAATTCAGCGACACCTTGGTTCACGCAAGTTTGGAGGTTGTGGACGCCACTTGAGCACGCGGAGCGTCCGTTCACGCAAGTCGTCCCGTTGGGCTCGGAAATTTCGCAAATTCAGTCGGAAGGCAGGTAAGGGAGCGACTGGTATGTGTCTAGACGCGTATAGGCGGGTTCTTCCGCAAGGTAAGTAAGTAGGCAGACCGGATTGAGGACATCCGGGCTCCGGAGGACGCGCTGCAGAATTATCGTACCGAGAGGTGTCATGTCGTGGACTCATGGCGGTCCGCGGGCGAGAAAAAAGAGGCTACGGTATCCGGTGGCCTGTCATAGCGAGAAAGACACAAGGAAAGCGCTAGGCGAACGGCGTCTGGCTATGTAAGTGAAGAAGGTTGGCTTAGGTTAAGACGGAGATCAAGAGAGAAGGAAGGATCAAGAGAGAAGGCAGACGTCGGACACGACAGGCGTGAGTTGCGTTATCCCGAGGGGCAGTTGCCGTTATCGATAGGTCGATAGCGGTGGTCCTGGTCGGCGGGCGAAGAGGCGTGTGTGGGCGGGAAGGCGGTGATGGGCGCGGGAAGTAGGGTTCGGGACGAAGAGGGAGGTGGGCGCAAGTAGAATGAGGTGGCGAGATGCGTGAAGGGATGGCGATAGGTTGAAGAAGTATGATGGAAGGCGACATAGGATGGATAGACGCCAGAAGCAGGTGGCGATGTCGAGGAAGATTAAAGGGACTCAACGGTTCCGGAGGGGATTGGCGGTGCCCCATGCTTCTCCTTGTGCGATCAGCAGCCTCGGAGCCTTCTACCTGAGCGCTCGACGTTGCCGTATGGTTGAGCGATGACGCCGGCTGGTGGCGAGCGGTTGAGCTCTCATGTTGCTTCCCCGATGAAGAAGATCGGCGGTGCCATATGTGCCGCGGATCGACGGGGTCGCGCGCTTCCTCTCCCCTTGCGCACGCGTATGGGCCTTCTACTCGAGCGGTTGACTGGGCGCATGCTGGACGGTGACGCGATCGTCTGACAGTGGACAAGCTCTGATGTTACTTGCCATTTTGGAGGGATTGGCACTGCCGTACAGTACATGTCGCGCGCCTACTCGCATGTCGCGCGCGCATTCGCGTGTACGTAGGGGACCTGTTCGCGTGTAGGGCGGCTGCGTAGAGGCCTGACCGGCTTCGTTGAGAATAGAAGCGTATGCCTAGAGAGTAGAAGCGCTCGCCGCTCGAGCAGAAGGCTGCAAAAATCCATAGGGTCCGCTGAGGATTCTCACTGCCGTATGTGGCCATAGGCATCCGGTCGAGGCGTAGCGCGGTGGTTGGCAGACACTGCCGTAGGCGCTACGCCGTGCCCGACGTGCTACCCAGGCGTGCCCGGCGTGCTAAGGCGTGCCGGACGTGCCGCGTCGGGCTCCGTGGGCTCGGGTGAGCACGGCACATCGACTGGTGCACGGACGAGCACGGGCAAGTCACTGCGTGCTCGCGCCAACGGGCTAAGCGCCCTAGTCGACAGGTCGCGCACGCCGCGGGCAAGGTGAGCACGGACTTGCCTATACACCACGTGCGGGGACCTGCTCATACAGACGGGGACTTGACCAGACGACGAGTGGGGCGGACCTGCCTAAACAGACGAAGCTAGCGGCGAGCATTGGGCTTGCAGAGCTGCGCGAGTGCTGGAGAGCCCGAGCGATCCGGACTGATGATTCCAGGCGTACAAGGTTCGCGAGCGTGCAACGACGCTTGCTTATTGGCTCTTGCGCGTGGACAGACGGAGAACGGGCGAGACAGACGATGGCTTGGCTATTGCATGCGTGACTGACGACGAGCGGTCGACTTGTACTTGTCTTGAGGTCTCGTAAGCTACGCAGACGAGCGGTGGAGCGCCCGACCGATTCGATGCCCTGGAGCGCGAGGTATCTGGGGATGTATTTGTTGTCAGGCGGGGCACGATACATAGTAAGGGACAGCGGGCTGCGACATACTAGGGGGTGCATGCGACATATCAAGGTTCTGGAGGATTGAATAGCGGCGACGCCGGTGAGGATTTACGGAGTTCATTCATCAGCCCATCCTCGCGGGAGGGGTGACGGAGGAAATTGCACGCCGAGGACGACGGTGAGCGCATCAGGGAGCGAAAATCCTGGCTCGTGTTGGTGCCGGGTATACAGCCTTGCGTTGGTGCGAAGGTGAGGCTGCGCGGATAGCAGTTTATCGAGTCTTGCCCAATTTAATTGAGATGTTGCCTTGTCGACGTATATTGCTGAGATGGCAGGAGCGCGTGTACCACCGTGAGGACAAGGGTCACCTTCACGCGATGAGGTCGGGCAAGTATCGTCTGCGACGAGAGGTCGAGGCATGCGTGATCCTGCGGTGGTACGGATAAGCTGCCGGTTGTGAGTCAGGCCTCAGAGGTAGAGAAGCAAGAAATTGTGGCGCGACGAGCATACCTTTCGAGAACGATGCATGCTGGATATCCGGACGGAGCTCGTCGCAATATCTTCGCGATACGACTTGCCGCGCAGGGCTCCAAAACACGCCTAGTACACGTTGCGAACGGAGAGATACGCAGCACCATTGCACGCAAACTGCCAAGTCGAGTTGTGGGTCCACTGCCACTGATCACGTACGCGCACTAGTTTTATCTACGTTCGGCCAAGGCATCACATCGGGGGCGGGCGTTGTGCGGCGCATCATATCGGGCGCCGGCGTTCCCTCATATGGCGATGTGCTTTTGTGGTGGAGTGGCTCGAAGTGCAGCACAGACATGAATGGAAGAGTTGCAGGGTCACTGGGGGCGCGCGACGCAGGGTCGGGGTGCGTGCGCACTTGGGCTGCGCCTCGCGGGGGCGGGAGTGTCCCGGGTGTTTACTAGTGGGAACGTGATCAGCGAAGGCGCTGTCGGATAGGTGCATGGAAGTTCGCTGGAAGACGGGGTGAGGCTAGAGGGCGCTTCGCAGAAGAAGCGAACTGGGGATCTGGCGGGCCGCGGAGGGGGAGACGGGCGCGGGGGCGGGGACGGAGGGCAGCGGCGCGGACGGTGGACGATGACAGTGACAGCAGCCGCGACCGCCGCGCGCGCTTTGCAGCGTCCGTGGTGATCATCAGTCGGGACGCGGTAGCTCATGTTGTTTGCGCATATTTGCGAGGCGCGAAAAGACCGGACTCGCATGGGGCATCGGGGACGCCTGAGCTGCAGGCTGGGCACGAAAACAAGGGGCGTGAGTTCACGGGATGGAATACGAGTGTTGGGTCTGGGAAGTGCGAACCCAGGTACCGGGAAGCGGATGGTCGGGCGGGGAAATCGAAGTGAAATCGGGAACGAGTGCAAATTGCTTGCTGAGATCTTGATGATTGATCCTGGGGCCGGGGCTGCTTCAAATCGGAACGGCCACTCAACGCTTGCTCTTGACCTCGTCTTGCATGTCGCCCCGCTAGCCCTCATCCTCACCGCGCACCGTCCTCGGCCAGACCCCCCTTTATAAATATTGTACCCTCGACGTTTCCCACAGCGGCAGCCGTATATAATGCTTCCACGCTCCGCCAGCATTCCTTCTCCCACCCACGCTCTTTCCCAGCCAGCGCATCCGCAACAGGTCCCCCCACCGCCCTTTTATCCGGACCAGCGCTCCTTTGAGCCCCTCGAATACGGTCACCGACACCCGTCCCACTTCCACGGCCATCCCTATCTTCAACACCCCGGGCAGCCCATGGACATCCTCGCCGACTATCGCACCTTCTTCCCCTATCAGCCCAACGAGGTCAAGCACCGTCGGCGTACCACCGCTGTCCAGCTCAAGGTCCTCGAGGGCATCTTCAAGACGGAGACGAAGCCGAATGCTGCGCTGCGGAACAAGCTTGCCGTCCAGCTGGAAATGACCGCGAGAGGTGTACAGGTGCGTCGCTAGTGCGGCCAGGCGCCGATCCCCCCTGCTGACCCTCGCTTCCAGGTCTGGTTTCAGAACCGACGCGCGAAGGAAAAGCTGAAGGCCAGCAAGGCAAGCAAGGCAAAAGAGGAGAAGAGCAACGCCGATAAGGCCGACGCATCCCCACCCAGTCCCTCCAACCCTCCCACGGGAGGTTCGTCCTCGTCGACGACGACGCCCGCGGCCGAAGAGTCTAAGTCGGACCAGTCGGCTGCCACTACTCCACCCACCACACCACCCTCGAAACCCGACTCGCCCCCCGACTCGTCGGCGATCAGCCCACCTGCGTTGACCATCAACGTAGCGCCATCGGAGCCCCCGTCTTTGCAATCTCCTTGGCAAGCCCCTGCATCTGGCGGTTCTCCCGCCCAGCACACCCTGCCGGTCGCCCCCGTCCCATCGGTCGACGACGCGGCGCTCCTAGCCCAACGGCGCGGCTCGCTGCCCGCCCACCTCTACTCGACCGTCGATCCCTCGTCCGACCTGCTCTCTGTGCACCATGACCAGTTCGCCCGGCGGCGATCGGTCGACGCCAGCCTGCAGCGGCTGCCGTACAACCCGTACGCGCCTGTCGCGCGCGCGCGGAACGGCATGCACTCTGGCCTGAACCCGCACCGCGGTCCTGCTCAGCGGGGGCTCTGCCCACCGATGGCGCGCGCAATATCCATGGACGCGCGGCGCTTCTCGGTGGACGTCGTGCCCTCGGCGCAACGCATGTACTCGCGCCCATCTCCCCAGCTTCCCTACAGCCGTCCCTCACTCCCCAACGGCTCCCTCACATCCCTTCCCAACGGTTCCCGCCCCTCCCTGCCTAACGGCACAATGTACGCCTATACGCAGCGTCCAGTACCGCCCTCACCCATCCCCGGGCCCCTCCCCGCACCCAACTTCTCCTTCGGCGCGCCCATGCCCCCGGCCGAGTCCGAGCAGGACTCGCCGCGGCGCGAGGACTTCGACGGGCATCCGCGCGACTTCGACGGGCAGTCGCTCGCCTCCTCCTACGCCGCGTCCTCCCGCTTCGGCTCCCTGGCGTCCATCAGCACGACCGACAGCCAACACACGTACTACTCGGACGTGACGGACCCGGCGGATTACGCGCTCCGGCGCGCATCTATGTGAGTGCCCCTGCCCCTTGTGATCTTTCTATCCTATACGCGGTCTTCGCATCCCATACTGTCTTCTCCTATCCTAAGCTCGGCCTTCGCATTCTAGGCTCGGCCTTCGTATCGTACATCCCATCTTCCCATCCCATACTCCGACTGATAGATGAACTCTGTGCACAGGACCTCGAACCAGTTCCTGGGGATGATGAGCAACCTTGATGTGAGCGATAACAGCGGAGAGCAGTGCTATTCAGGGAAGCAAGCGGGCTATCCAGGGGCGCAGGGGGGTATGTATGGGGCGGCGCAGGCTCAGCAGCAGCAGCAGACCTCGGGCGAAGCGGCTCATGCGGTGTATACCTCCGAGGCGGCCCATGCTGCGTACCCTTCTCCGGCGCCGACGCTTTCGCCGAAGGACAATGCGCTTGGGATGGGCCCTGCTCACATGCAGCGAGCGCAGTCTACTGTATGTCGCCCCTCGCCTGTTTCTGATATCCTTTGAACGCCTCTACAGATGCAGAGCGAGCAGCAGCAGGCGTACGAGCAACAACAACAGCAACAGGCATACGACCAATCGCGCTCGTACGAGCAGCAGCAGCCATCTGTCCCCGCCAATCAGTCCTCTTGCAGCCCGCCGGACGCCTACTACCCCGAAGGTAGCCTGCAGGTGCAGTACCCGGACATGTACGAGACGGGGATCTCGCCCTCTGGGCACTACGTCCCTGCCACGTCATACTCTGTCCCGGCGTACCCGCTGGACGACAACTACATGGGTGGCTATACTGCAACCGACGCTGGCTACGCAGCCAACGATGCGGGCTACGGCGTCAACGACGCGAGCTCGCGGCTCGAGTTCGCCCACCCGCCCGACTGGAGCACGGGGTACTCACCCGTCGCGGAGACTGCGCCGTGCGACTTGGGCGCGTACGTGCGGTACCAGTAACCCCTGGCAATCATTTGCTGCTCGCCAACCAGCCGTCTCCGATCCTCACTCTCAATCAAATCAACCAACCTTAAGCACACTCACTCGCCTCTCTTGTTTTCCCCTTGCATATTTAAGCCCACTTACGCCTCGCCCGTTGTACAGCTCTGTATACTAATGCTTTCCTTCTCCTCTTCACCTCTTAGTCTCCCACCTTCGCTTCGCCTTGCGCGTGCGCACCCTTCACCCTTCCAACCTTCAACACCAACACGGACCTGCGGTTTCTTTATTCCTTCTTTCATTCGCCTTCTTCGTTATTTCCTTTTGGCCTGCCTTTATCTTATTGTACTCATTTTTTCTCACTGTCTCTCTCGTGCACTCAACGCGCTGCTACTGGTGTCTCCGCCGTACATATCTTAGAGCTTGTCCATAATCGTCCGTCTCGTCCCGCTAGTTTTGCCTGTACACTTCTGCAGGTTACCTTTCACCCGTACTCATCAACATCTGGATTTCGAGGAAGATTGCGCAGCTATCGAATCCCATTCCATGTTTTGCATCGCAGCACACAGGTTCGCCATCGCACTCAGACTCCGGTCTATCTTCTTCGGACAAGGTCCGGGTGGCCACGATCTACCCAAACAGTGAGGAAGCGGTAAGGCCGTGATGGGATGTCAGGCGTAGTGCCCCAGAGTGATAGCAGCCCGACGTGCCCGTGCCCCTTGATCCCGCCGCCCTTGAATGGTGAATCACAGTGACGCGTATTTGCTTCCGCTTTATGGCCAGGCCAGCGGCATCCCAAAAAGGAAGGTTTTCTATTTGACCCATGCGGTTATCTTTCGTGCTTCCGGCTTCCTAGGATCCCTACCACTGCTTCCTTGTACTCCCGTCAGCTCCCGTCTTGGCCCATGTAGCAGTGCCATGGGCGCGTTCTCTCGTCGTTGGTGGGTATGAAACCCAGGCGTGAGCTACATCAAGTAGGCTCGGGCATCGGGCATCGTGCTTGATTTTCCCCAAGGTCACGTTGGGATCCCTGAGGCCCTAACACGAGGCCTGAGCGCCGCGCGGGGTTCTATTCAGTAGGAGTTCAGCCGCTCTTCCGATAAGCGAGAGGTGGGTCCCGCCGGATCGGCAAGGCCAGGAGGAAGGGAATGACGCTATCGTCTTGGGCGCTTATGCTCGTCAAACATTTAGTGAAAGAGCGAGCTGAATAGCGCATGAAGGGGCTGAATTGCCTAGAGCGCGCCAAAGCGCTAGGGCTCCGTGATGATACGCGGGATCGGCGCGAGTCAAGGCAGCTTCACTGAGTCTCAAATGTGATAGATGAAGGCCATGTTAGGACATGATAGAACCTTGGGCTTGTCGGTAAACTGTATGCAGCAGCGAGGCCCCAGGGTCGAACTCTGAGATACGTCCGCTCCTCGGAGGTTGAGAGCGCAAAAAACCCACTCCCGAAGGCGTGGTGCGTCGTCTGACATCGAAGAAGACGGTGGGCATAGCGTAGCAAGGGCCAGGTGTATGCACGAAGTGCCTGATTTCTGCTCAGTTATATGCGCAGTCCGATCATCGACGGACGTGAAAAGAGCTGATAGGCGGTACAGTGGGGTACCTTGTGCACGATAGAATGCGTTCTCTAAATGGGCGGTAAAATTAGCACTCCGATCTCTCGCACTGGCTCAGAAGTCGAACCGTGGAAAAAAACAGCGCGTGATCTTCGGCGGATGCCGGGCATGGGACACGCACTTTACGCGCCCTGGCTCTCACGTTGGATCTCTCATCTTTGACAGCGGCGCAACGACCTCAGACATCAAAGTAACTATCTTTTACGAACAGCGCTGAAGTGGCGATTGCGTCCATTGCTTGAACATGGGGCTCTTGTCGTCGATGTGCTGCCTCTCTTCTCCCCTACCCTTTCACTCTCGCAATCGTGGACCGCCACATACCGTCCAAGAGTCCTCTTTTCGACCCGCTGAGCAATTCTACTGATTTTTAACTTGATCCTGGTCTCTTCCTCCTTCCGTATTGCTTGTTTGACGTCGGCAGGACGGATTTCAGGCACGCCGTTCGACATATGCGCTGAGAGGTGGACTATAAACTGCGTCTGGATGTCTGCATTCTATCGCACGGTACCTTTGACCGAGCTTAGAATCGCCATCGCGCTTAAAGTCAGGGCGCTTTGGATGACCTTGTGCAAAATCGCCTCAACCCCTATGTCAAATCGAGGTAAGTAGAAGGCCCCATCGTCGTCTTCCTCGCGTGCCTTCCCTTAGCTCTGAAGCGAAGGACGTGTCTACCTGGCTAGGTGCACTCCCTTTGACGTGCCCTGAATAACTGACCGACAGCACAGGCACTCTTGCCGTACGTGACATGAAGCTCAGGATGTCTCTCGCCGACCTGCAGAACCGACCTGTGTGGTTTATAAAACTACAGGCGCTTGGGACCGGAGCAGCAGACTCATTCCTTCTCCTGCCCATCCATCTCAACCTCAGTTCGCAGTCTTCGCCACTACGATGTCCTTCGTCAATGTGAGAGAGACCTAGCCCAACCCTGTTGTGCGACTACTGACGAGAGCTCCTGTAGCACGACTACGTCCACCAGCTATTCAAGTACGTTTCGGCGGGGCTATTGCTTCCGGTGACGGAAGAGCAATACCGGGCGCGCGTCTTTCTTCCTGCACACGTTTCCGAAAAGGTGTCCGAGATCGTCAGGCATCTGACTGAGGCACATGCACTGGTGAGCCAAAGCATTGACCTTCATACGGAAATAATCTCACAACTCTCAGATTAAGCCTCACTGCGGGGCATACAAGGACGACCTACACCCTACGATCGTCCAGCTTGCCGGAGAGGTCCATGATCTCCTGCAAAAAATGACAGATGGCTTAGATCAGGGTATGTTGAACAAACTTGTTGCTGGCGATTCTGCAACACGACTAATGCATTCGCATGATAGCTCCGGATGATATCAAAGGTCAAGCGGAGGAGCACGTCTACCAGATATCCATCCTCTTCGACAGAGCCCAGAAGACCATGCACAGCCTGGAGTCCTTTCGAGAGCATATAGGGGCACATCGAGTAACGATACAGGCGCGGTGCGATGACGCGCGAGAGATGCGGGATGCGCAAAATAGCGTTTTACGCGACGTGGAGGGCGAGCTTCAGGGCAGTCGCAATGAGTTGGCGATCAACATCGCATTGCATGAAGAGTGTGCGTATTTCGAGCACTTTCTGGCTCGCACTTCGCATTGATTGTGCCGCTAGACAAAACCAAGGCTATCCTGGCCGCTTCATCGGCGGTGATATTCCCCATTGCGGGACCCCTCGCTGGCGGCATAACAGCGGGTGTATATCTGAAGAAGGCGGCCGACACGGCTCAGCGCATCGCCGAAATCAAGGATCGCATCGAGCGCCTGGTGGCGACTATCAGTTCGACAAACACCATCATAGCCTGTCTGCACGTTATAGAGGTGTGTTCTGGCTTCGCGTCCACCCATATGAAGTTGAACAAACGGCACTATCGCAGGCGGATCTGGAAAATATAATGACTTTCAGCAGGGGAGCCGCGGAAACCATCCACAGAACAATCGCCTTCTGGCAGCGCCTCGCTGTCGAGCTGACGCAGATCAAGGAGGCCCTGAACAAGATCGCTGAAGAATCAAGCCCAGCTAATTTGTTTGTGGCAATTCTACGGGCTAACCTCAAGGGTGTCGGGGTTATTGGTGAGTTGATTTACATCGCTATGTGGACGAGATCTGACAGTGACATAGTTGCCGAGTACAAGGAGGTCGTCCACGATATCGACGATGCACACCATGATGCGGTGGATGCCGTGCTCGCACAGCTCAGCAATGAGTGAGCCAGTTCTATTCGGAAGCCCGATTGTACAACGAAGTGGGATGCGTCGAACCGAGGCGAAGTCTTGGAAGGTTTGATACACGGTGTATACATATGCATCTACAGTATACTTTGCCAATCTACCACTGCGCCGTGAATCCACTATTGGGATCCTGCTCGACCGCGTGATACTGCGTCCTCAGCATCCTCTCCATCTCCGCAGGCGCCAACGTCGCCAACACCTCGTCCGCGATCGCATCCGCCCTCGTCAGCCCCACCTCGCCCTCCCGTACCGCAACATCCCTCGCGTCCGTCGCCTCCACCCAGTACAGCTCCTCGACCTTCCGCGTCCACTCCTTGTCGCCCCACCGCGCTTCGCGTGCGTCCTGGCCGTCGCCGTTAAGACCAGCGTCTCCTGCGTTGGCCTCGCTGGCCAACGCCGCGCGCGTGGGCTTGATCTGCCCACCGCCGTTGACGCAGCCGCCGGGGCAGGCCATGACTTCGACGTAGTCGTATGGCCGGTCGCGCTCGCCATCGTCGGGAGCTGCAACACCACCGTTCTTCGCTGCGCGGCGCCGGGCAACGACTTCGCGAATGCTGAGCTTCCCGCTTTCCCCATTCGCATCGCCATTGACCTGCGCGTCCCCGTTCGCGGCCGTGGTATCACCATTCGTCTTCGTTACCGCTCGCCTACCGACTACACGACGCTGCGGCTTGCTGGGCTTGCCAACCTTGCGCACGAGGTTCTGAAGGTTGCGGAAGCCGTAGCACTTCGCGCCCTTGAACAGGACTTCGCCGAGCATCGAGGACTCGGCTGGTCGACGGATGATGTACTCGACGAAATCATCATTCCGGCCCTTGCGTAGCTCGAGCTGTACACCGCTTGGGTTCTCCTGCATGATGTGGGAGACGATGGCGTGGAGGTACGAGCCAGAGGACGTGCCGGGATGGGTGAGGAGCTCGGGGAAGAGATGCTCGAATTTGGGGAGGTTTACGGCGGATGGAGGTTGGTCGTGGTCGTGGTGGTCGCCGTGCGAGTGATGATGATCATCTTCGTGTGAATGGCCATGCTCGCGCGAGACCGATTCCTCTGCAGTACTCGTTTTCTCCGCCGGACTCGAGTGCCCATTGGCTTGGCCATCAGTTGGCGGCGTCGCCTTCTTCGAGCAAGAGCAACTGGCGGACGACTTCGAGCACGACTTCGGCGGCGGTCGCTTCTCTTGTATGAGATGGCGATCCTCCTCTAGTAATGCCGGCTCGGCGGCTAACGGGGCGTCTTCGTCCGGCACGGCAGCAGCAGGATCCCATCCCCTACTCCGGAGCATGCCCTCGAACTCGCCGGCCGTGATGACGCAGTCGACCTCACGCACGGCCTCGTGAGGGTGTGCGGCGACGAAGTCCTGTCGAGATGCCTCGAGCTTTTTGTCGTAGCAAGGCATGACGGCGAGGTGGTATATGTCGTCGGGGCTGAATGGGTATTAATGAGCATACAGACGAGAAGCGGCGGCTGAACACGTACTGAGCGCCACATCGCTCGCCTATCCATTGCTTGACCAGCGTACCCATGATTTGTTGGGGGCTCTTGGTCTTTGAGATATATGGAAGCATCTCTGCGTGGGTCTTCTCCGCGTAACAGATCCATCCCGGACATGCGCTTGCGATCATGGGTAGAGGATCGATACCTGCTACGCACCATCAGCTCACAGTGGTCTGACTGACATCTCATGAAACGTACCGTCAACTTTTCCGCCGCGAGCTGCGTCCCTCCTTTGCTTCCACTCAGCGACAGTTTCCCGCAACGCCAGATGCCTTGCGAACGTTGTGTCGAAGACAGCCTCAAAGCCCATGTTGGATCGGCAGAAGCTACGCACTCTCCGTAGCATCTGACGCGGGGAGACGGTCGTGGAAGATACAGAGGCAGATAGGCTGGCGAGCACTTGCGGCGCGATCGACATGACGGGGATGCGATGGCCAGACTGGCCTGGGGGAGGATTGGCGTCGACGAAGGCAAGCACCTCGATGTGTGATTGTAGCGTGATCAGTACGCTCTCAGCAGATGTGATGCAGCCACTGTCGTGAGGAATAAGCGCCCATTCCCCGATCAGACGCGGGCTAACGCACCTGCATGCCAGACAATCGTTCAGGTTGATCTGCGCCTGCTCTAGCTTGCGTCCCTGTGTAGTCTCTGTTGCGGAGGACACCTCATAGTATGCGCCGGTGGAGTCTATGTGTATCTCTGTCTATGCCATGAGTCAGAGCTGTCGAGTCTCGAGCGGTATAGGGCGACTGACAGCAGCTTGCGATGCATCCTTCTCGGGTTTATTCGTCTCGGTGACGGGCTTGATACATGCTTGAGAGGGTGTAATGAAGTCGTTCAGATCAGTCAGAGTCTAGCAACCACGATAAGTCACCTTTGAGTGCATGGGGGATGACATACTCACCAGAGCGCCGGAGAACGCCATGCCTGGTGCTACAATCGCTGTTGCCGTTCCTCTTGACGGATGAAGAGCTCTGTGCTCCGGATAGGGGGTCGGAGGACAAGGGGGTAAGCGCTCTTCGAGGTGACGGTCCAGAGCAAGTTGCAATCTACTCGACCCCATTCGCCACCAATTCGCCACCCGATTTGTCAGTCCTGAAATCGAGATCGCCGGGCCGGTACTACCGCCCCTTGCTTCCCGCCATCGCAGGTCTGCCTTGACTGTATATCTGGGAAGACGTACTCGCGCACAAGAAACCTCGTTTTCTTCTGAACGTTGATGATACTCAATTTTCTGGAATTCCCGCTGAAGGCCTGGCCCTGCTATCCGTTATCCAGTGCTGATTGAGAACTTCGGATATCCCATCCCTGGTGCGCAACAAGCATCGGCATTCGCGATCATCCGAACCTCAGTGACACTGAGAGTATACATCAGGAGCATCAGTCTTCTCAGGTGGACTGTATCCTTTGGAGTAAGCGTCCTGTCGCGTCGCGGGTCAGAAGCTCAGGACGACGCCGACATCTCTGCGCCATCCTTGCCTCCTCTGCAGGACATTCAATACCCGACTCTTTGTCTTAAGACCCCCTACAGTACGGCACGCTATGTTTGCAGAGCTCGCGTGCGCCCCCAGTCGGCTGTCTTGAACTACTGCGCTGCTTGGGGCCTGAGCCCACCGCTGCCGAAGAAAGCGATCACTCAACGCGATTGTTTCGACTGTCCTGACTTCCGGTGGCTGAAATTGTGCCAATATGCCATTGAACCCCGTGTACATTGACGCCTCGAAGGCGTTGCGAGCAGAAGCCGATACGCAAGGATATATCTAGGACCCCTGTGCGACCTAGAATTGGCGCATGAATATTCACAACTTCTGCGGCAATCCATATAGAACCACGTCAGTACCTACATATCTTGTTCTCTACCCGTTACTGACTCTATCCATGTAGATTACACTGTCGAAGCTGGTTGTCTTGAATGCGACGAAAATTCAATCACATCCGACGTTGTGACTGAACCGTGGCCTGCGCGTCAAGTTGCGCACGAGCATCCGAGATGTTGCGTTTCTGTGATACAGGAGGACACGTGGAGTCTCCTCGAATGTAAGGCGTTGCGCAAGAACACGACACGGCTTGCCCGTGGGCTTATGACTGACTAGGTGGACTATTGTTCCAAGAGACCGGTGCCGCTATTTGGCAAGGATTACGTGGATCTACCAGACCTTGGAGTCGCCCAGTCAGTTTCTGAAGAATTTAAAGAGCACGACGGCGCAGTTTAGTACGGAAGGCACGTTTGATCTCTGTGACCACCTTGGGGTCCAGTCTGATTGGCTTACTGAAATTCCCCACAGAGGATACAAGACGCTCTCAATATGGCTGATAAAGTGGCTGATGCGCGCATGGTGTCGTGGAACAATGGGACCGCGACGAATCCGCCCGACCACGCTGGCCTTGAGGCGGTCACGTGATGAGCACATGAGAGCCACATGTGCATTGCCTTTAAGTAGAGCCGCGTGGTCGTTGACGCGCTTTGCTCTTCCCTCCGTTAACCTCGACGGTTTGTTCGTTGCACCTCTTGGACCTCGTCTACATTTGTCGCTTTAGGTGCGCACACGCCTGCCTTGTCTATCACAGTACGGGCCTGATCCTCTGCACAGTTTGTTGTCCATGGCCGATCGCATCCAGTACTGCAGCCTAGAAGAGTTTCGGAAGTGCTACCTGGAGGGCGTCGGATTTAGGACGCTCGGAAGAACGCAACTGCGCACCATCGAGGCCAGACTGAGAAAGCAAGGCAAACTCGACAAACACGGCTGGACGGCACTCCGGACCTGGGGCACTGAGGACGCGTCTTCCCCTCGCCTCCAGTGGACGGCCATGGAGGTCGTCATATCCAGCATCCAGCGCGCGGCACAGTGGGCGCACCCGAAGCGCTTCGGCGAGAAGAAGCGGAACGCCCATTTCGAGAGCCGGTATCGCGCGAAGATGGCGCCGTTTCAAGAAGGGTATATGGAGCGTGCGTACATAGATGGGTTTACAGTGCTGAAGAAGAAGGCGCCGAGGGGAACGCGATTGGGCACTGCTTTCGACGTGCCTCTGATCAGTCGGGAGGACGCGACGCGTGGCTTGGTTTATGGAGCTGACATCGGCGTCTCGGTCTGCTGGGACAATCGGGACGACGACGACAACACAGCGATGCGGGTACGTTGCCATGTCGTCCGCGGTTACATGCAGCTGATCATCGCCTCCAGAGTCTCGTCAACAACATCGGCGCCGCAAGTTTCCTCCTATATAACGATCGCCGGCGCGCGTTCCAGTTCACTATGACTATGCGAGGCACACGCGTTCAGTTCTGGTGCCACTCGCGCTCTCATTCCGTCGGCACCTTTCAGATGGATGTCAACAAGGTGCGTGCAACAATGCTCACGGCTCCGGCTATACTCTAACACACATGACAGTGCTACAGGGAATTTATACACTTCGTCCTCTTTATCCTCTACGCCAACGAAGCGCAGCTCGGCTTCGATCCAACTGTCATCCGTGTCGTTGATGCTCATGGTCGGCCTCAGTACCAGTTCGACGTCGTCCATGAAGGCGAGGAGACCCCAAGGGTCTATCAGACTCTCGACGTGCTCTTCCAATGTGCATTCACCAACGCACTCCATGATCGTGCAATGGCGGTATACCGCGTCTGCCCGGCGACGAAGGGCGACGGACTCTCGGCTAGATTCGACCCAGCCAACCACCGTGTTCTCAAAGACTTCGCCCAATTGGCCACCAAGCCTTACGAATTAGCTGAACGCAATCGAATCCTGGAGTGTCTTAAGAACGCTGCTCAAACCCCAGAGGAACGCGCGAGATGCGACGGCTTCTTCACGACGGTGCTCGCCGACTTCGAGGTTTTCGACATGGCGGACCGGTCGCCCTATCCCGATCAGGCCTTGAACCTGGTGCCTCTCAGAAGGCGGCGAACCCTCGTCAAGGAAGTCTGCGACGACTTATACGCTATCGAAAATGGGGTGCTCTGTTTCTACACATTGGCCGAAAGCAGCACCAGTACGTCATCTGTTTGTTACCAGTCGGTCGATTCTGACGTGCTCCTAGTTCTCTTGTTCTTCATGCGCGCTGGCGTCGTCCACGGAGATATCAGCCCGGGAAACATCTTGATGCCGCTTGTAAGGCCGCGTTGTGGCAGCGAAAACTACTCGGCAGTCAGGATCGCGGACTTCGAATACACAAAGGACTACAGCAAGGCGGTGGAGGGTCTCAAAACCGTAAGTTCGTCTACAGGTTCGAAGATTGCTCTGATCATGTATGTCTTTAGGGCACTCCGGAATATATGGCGGTCGAAGTACAAGCGGGACAACATCTCTTCTACGCCGAAGACGCTCCGGAAGCTCTGCTTGCGCGACACCACTGGAGCTACAACTTCTACTACGACGCCGAGCCGCTTATCTGGATCGCTCTCGACTTTGCCTTGTCCCGCTTCCGCCTGGAAGCGGGCGAAGAAAAGCAGCCTGAAGAGCTCTGCCAACAGCAGCTATTCCGCGACTCAATCATCACCTGCTCCCCTGAGGGCACACACGCGCGTCAGGACCTCATGATGGGCGAATTCTTCCAACTCGGCCGCCTCAAGCTCATACTTGAGCGCGCGTACGGGCCGAAGTCCCCAATGCTGCTTCTCGTCGGGCTCGTCATCAAGATGGGGAACGCGCATCGTGCCGCTCAGGGGAGCCAGCTGATTCCTGAGGACGAGGAACCCGGTGACGACGTATTCAGGCAGCTGGAAAAGGAGAACTTCGACGAAGATATCTACATCGTCATGCACGAGGCTTTCATGATGATCAGTGAAGCCTTGGAGGACGTGGATCTGATACCTCTGCGAAATGCTGGGATAGACCAGGAGACGGTTGCCTCGTATGATGCTCCGGAGCTGATGAGGCAACTTGACCAGTCGATCGTCGATGCTCTCACGCCGGAGGAGAAGGCATTGATAGGATTGGCGCCCGCACCGATGTCCCTGGACGCTGCGAAGGAAGAGATGCACGAGCATCCCGACGAAGTCCCATCTACTGCTCACTCGGATGGTGAGGTATCATTGCTGGGACCGGTGTCCCTCGAGAACACTGCTAGTGAAGAAACGGCAAGTCACAGCGACCATGTCGCATCTTCGACTACGGACGAGGAACAACTCCTGGATGACTACGCGCCAATCATGGAGCATGCCGAGGCAGAGAGCGAGGAAGACCACTGCACAACCGCGGCGGCGCTTCCGCTCGCACACGAAGTCATGGCGCCCAACAATCGAGACGCTCGCGAGGCGGAAGAGCGGGAGGCCAGCGAGCTTAAGAGAAACAACTCTGGCCGTGTAACATTCCCCTGGCTCAAGCTCGTAGGGGAGAGCGAGTCCTCGCCTGCCGCATCGCACGCGGTGAAGAAGTCTCGCAAACGGCAGGAGAACGACGAGAACTGCCCGACGCCTGTCGTAGACAAGTCATCGGTAGCAGAGGCCTCCAGGATGATGTTGCCGAAGTTTGGAGGTACGAAGTTGGGCAACCAACTTCCCTTGCAGGGCTAGGTCAAGCTTACGCGCTCGAGAGGATGTCTACCTATTTATTTGCGTCTTTGGTCGTCATTAATTGTAGCACATGTATGCGCAGGACTTGGTTTTGCAGAAAGACATCGTCAGATCTGTTGATCAGCGATTCAAGAGTTATGGCGGCCATACATGCACGTGACATGCAGTTGATCTTCGTTGAACAAGATAGGCATGTTCATGAGTTTACAATAAGAAGCCAGCGTAAGGCGCGATTCAGGCACGCTGCTCGTGAGGAAATGCTTGAACAGCGAATTGGGTCAATCAGAACAATTGCACAGCTTACGATGATAAGTCATGGACTTCCATAACACACTCGGGCTCCGACCAGCTCTCCTAGAGATGCAGCTAGCTTGTGTTGCTAATCCCCGCCGACATGGAAAGAATACAAATGACACAGCTGCATGGTACGGCTCCGCCAGCATCCCTGTCCTATAGAGCCAGCAGCGTCTATCAGTCACCTACGCTAATGTCAACAGAGTACACATCACCGAGCGCCGCGCCAGTCAATTCGGCCTCAACATCAGCCACTGTAAAGCCCGCACGCGACAGTCTCTATATTCTGCAAGTGCCATCACCGCCCTGCCCGCCCTTCTGTCGGCGCCCTCGACTGTAACCCCGGACTCAATGCACGCCTGGTCATAACACCAGCTGCGGAGAAGCCGCACGCGCCCCCTCCGGCGGTGCGTTATCCGTGTCGCTCCATCGCGGGTCGCGCTGATGTCCCCGAGCCCTTCCTCCGCGCACGATTTCGCGTTTTGGGGGCGCTGAGTCGCTGCCCCCGGGCCCTGGGCGGGCCGCCGCGCGGCGCGAGGGCGGGCGGGCAGGCCCCACTCGCCTGCGTGCGGGCAGGGTCCGCGACTGCATGCCCCCGGGCACGGGAAGACTGGCAGGGCGCGCGACCTGACCTCCCCGGCGGCCGCGCGATTTGCGGGGCGCCAAACATGGCGAAGGGAAGACGGGGAACCCGGGCGAGAACGTCACTTGCCATGCCCACAAAGCAAGGACATCACGGGGAGGTACTTTTTGGTGAACGCCATTGCGCCTTCTTCTGCCGCGAGTCTACTAGGACGGGACGCGCTGCGTGGCGTTGTTATCTAGCCGGAGGGATGGCGGTCGATGACCGATAAACGAATGAGAAGAGCAGGGAGCTCGAGGTGGCAGGCCAGCAGATTAAAATCGCGCGCGCAATATGAATCAATTGACAGCTGCGTAGCCTCGGATCGGGCCAAGTGGCGAGCATCTTCCCTTCGCGAGGCGAAAGGGCGCCCCCGCAGCACCCGGACTCTCAGCGAGTCAGTACCAGATCAGACGGCGCACCTTCGCGGCGTCCACAAAGCGCAGCGACGAAGACGATCATCGTCGCGAGATCGCTGTGAGAGGTGTCTCGTAGATCTGTGAGGCGGCCGTGAATATATTAAGCTCGCTGTCGCGTGAGAGGCGGAGATGTCAAGCGGTAGGCTTTACCAACTTCCACCGCGCGTGAAGCGGTATGTAGTGGCTACAGGCAGGAAGATCCACGGAAAGGTTTGAAGCTCGAGGAAGGGGTGCATGGTACGGACGCGCGGCACTTGTGTGGCGCATGCGCGCGCGCTCATGCTTCTGGGCATTTTTTAGGCAGAAAGTAAATTGGACAACGACGTAGAAGAGCTATCAGACGGATCCTTAGCGCGTACCTGCCCCTTGAGCGGCGCGAAGGCGGAGAAGAGAGAACCTCTGTCGGCTGTCCATATCGAGGATGTCGGACCTGTTCGCACGCGAAGCTCGGGGCGGCAGTTGCTGGTTGGCAACAAAGTTTGCGAAGACATGATGAGAAGGCGGGCTTGTACGTCGGTAGCAGCTACGCGTTGAGTCGAGCTCCAGCAATTCGGAATGCCACGTCGGAAACAGGAGAGGTTGACGAGAGATGCAGGTACCAGGAAGAGTGGATATCGCGCGAGAGTGAGCCCATTGATGTCTGCGATACACATCTTGATGCAGCACGAAGGGTACGCCGTAGGGGAGAGGTAAAGGGCAGAGAGCATTTCCCTCGCTCCTTCTACTTGGAATAGCGGCGAGGCGGCCTTCCTGGTGGTTGGCGTGGTATAGACGAACCGCACTACCGGAACTCGCTGCAGTAATTCAGTCAGCACATGGGACAGAGCAGTGTCATCATACGATATTCTTGTGCAGCAAAAGACGAATGAATCGGTGTCGTAAGCGAGAGCAGGAGATAGCAGAGGAGCTCATGCGCACCGCGCAGGCCAGAATTTCGGTCTTCTGGTACTGCGGGGTAGTTGATCGGCTGTTCAGGTGGCAGGCAGTTCCGCCGCTGCAAGACTGACCCAGGATGTGTGGCGGAAATTTAAGTTCGAGTTACCCTGGGTTATTTCCCCGAAAATCCCAATACACGGCCATGCATTTGGCAGGTTGGTCGCGGGACCGGATGGGCGTGAGGTCGTGAGAACGTGCCCCATTTTGCTTCCGCTCGGATCTGCGCACAAGCTTATCGGCACGTGCGCTGCCGCACAAAGGCACGGTCCCAGTGGCACTATCTGCATCACAAGAAAGCACTTGGTGACGGCGTACTTCTCGGACGAGGGCCAGGCAGGGAGGCGTGCGCGGGGGGAGGTTCACGTCCTGTCAGCCAGCACACCGAAGATACGGCCACGTACGCGAACGCTGCGCATTGGCCCCGGCTCGGTGGCGCGTCCTCTCGTCTTGTTGGGCAGCGGCACCGAGCACCAGGGCACGGTAGCCACCGGCGGATGACATGACGGCAGAGGGTCCCTCTTTGTGCGGACTAACCCGTGATCGCATTTCCGAGGGGTATTGTGCGAGAAGACAAGAAGAGAGCACGCGCGAGAAAAGACGGAGAAGGGGAAGAAGCTTGGCAGAATCAGCATTCAGAGGGGGGGCGTCGAGGGTGGACGCACTAGCGTATTCACGGGTCACTTGCAGAGCGAGCTATCGACACGTCCATGGCGCCTGTTGGGCGGCGCAACAGAAGAGGAGTGCAGCGTGGAAGCCTCGAGTGACGTCGGGACGGGCAGGAGCGTACGGATCGGGATTAGACAGCGAAGAGGGAGGCTAGCGGACTGAGAGCGGGGGAGGGCTGAATACTGTCAGAAGCCAGATGGGGGTTACTTTTATAGACGTGGCTGCAAGACGGTATAGGGTCTCAAAAGCCGACGATGATCTAAGTCCGTCAATAGGACTAGGACGGACGACGGTAGACGACGTCGAGAGGTCTGCGTACGTCCTTGAGCCAGGGTCTGCACGGCGAGGGGTATTACAGACGCGCGGGGAAAGTGTTTTCGGGGTGTGATTTTCCAGACCGTGTTCGTTTTGGTGATTGCTGATTGGGGGAAGAAGAGACGCACGGTGCCGGACAGCACACGACGGAGGCAAAGCGAGTCGATGGGCCGAATCCGGCATCTCGATCATCAGATCCAAGTTGGCACCCAACGTTATTTGTGCCGGTTGACATTCAGCCCCGCGTCCTCTGCGTCTCCTCCGCCGCTCCTTCCTTCCTGCGACCATCTCCGTCGTCCACAGGCAGCGTCCCGCCCGTGGGACAACGCCCGCATTGCCGCCCCCGCTCCCCGCCTCCGACCCCCTCCCGACGCCGCCGCAGCAGCCATGGATTACTCCCAGCAGGGCATGTACTCCCAGCCGCACCAGCCAGACCTCGACGCCCCGTACCTCCCCCCTCCGGATGGCTCGCACTCCTCCTACGACCATCCCGAGTCGATGGAGGCCCCTGAGCAGTCCAGCTACGACATATTCTCCCATAACTCGACCCATAGCGCGCCGTACGCAAGCCGCTACCGATCGAGCACCAACTCCTCGCACGGCTATCCTCCGCCCGGCGACGGCGTCTACTCCCACTCCTCATTCGCCGACTCCGTCCCCTCCTTCGGTGGCAGCGACTCGTACGGCATGATGGGCAGCTTGCCCTCATCGTCATACCCCAGCGGCAAGGTCTCCCCCGTCACCCCGAACGACCCTGTGGGCGGCATGCAGCATGGCCATCCATACGGCGCAGACAAGGTATACTCGAATGGCCAGGCGGACGCCGCAGAACGACACATGCATGGCTATCAATCCCGCTTCGCAGACGAATTCCCTATGGGCGGCGTTAACAACGGCCTGCCTTTCCCATCCCTTCAGCAGTACTCCGACCGCCGATACCCCGCGGATAGCCATTATCCCGGCTCACATTCCTTTCCGCCACACATGTCCCAGCACGGCGTTGCCCCGACGGCCACGAACGGCTCGCTGGCGTACGACGATCGCTATATGGGATCGGGGCACCTTGACTCCCCCATGCGCCCTATGTCTGGCAGCGACGATCCCCTTCGCATGAAGATGCAGCCCATGCTTCCCGGTCCCAACGAGTTCCACGCCTTCATTAGGTACGTCGCGCTCCGAAGTTCCGCTATGCTTGCTCATCATGCACCGCAGACCGTATGTCGAGCAGTACATCCGCACCTCCAACCGCCTCGCATTTGGAGAGCGATCGGTCATCGTCATGTCTAGCAAGGTCGCGCAGAAGTCATACGGCACTGAAAAGAGGTGCGTTCACGGCGATCTTGCCATATATAGATCGTGCTAAAGGGAGATCTCGTGCAGGTTCCTTTGTCCGCCACCGACGTGTATTATGATTGGCAACTCTTGGTGGACGGAGGTCGGGCGCCAGGGCGAAGAGCCGAAATTGACGCCTCCCCGTGTCGTCGTTTCAATCTCCGGCGAGGCGCAACCTCCGGAAGGTGCCATCGAGTGGACTGGGGCTCTGGGCAAGGCGTTCGAACCGAGCGAACCGCCTTCTGGCACGACATACGTCGGTCGCTGCGTTGGCAAGCAGCTCTACATCTCGGACGTCGATGAGAAGAGGAAAAAGGTGGAGGCGTTGGCCAAGATCATGGCGCCGGGCTCGGAAGACGAACCGGAACATGTCATCGGCTGCTTCCCCAGTCGTCCCATCAAAGTTATCAGCAAGCCCAGTAAGAAGCGACAGAGCGCGAAGAATCTCGAGCGTACGTCCTCCTTCCTACGGTCACAGCGCTGTCTCACTGACGCTGCGCAGTTTGCATCAACCATGGGTCGACGATATCTTTGTTCCATCGTCTGCGGTCGCAAACCGTGTCCACCAAGTACCTCTGCGTCTCCGGCTCGGGGACCTCGTTCAAAGGCTCCGACGGCGCGCCTCTGATGGGCCTTGACCAGCGCAACCGCACGACTACACCTTCCTTTGTTGCCCGCACGGCGAGCTGGGGTGAGTTGAATCTGCCAGTTGCCCAGAAAGTTTAGACTCATCCGTTTGTCCGACAAATCACCTAGACCCATTCGTACTGTATATCGTCGACGTCAGCAAGCCATCCGGCGGAATCGACGCCCCACCGCCGCCCCCTCCTCAGTCTGATTACCCCTCGCCGCCGCCGAACGCAATTCCCTTCTCGACCAACGGCTCGCAGATACCAGTGTACTACAACCAGACGGTCGTGCTGCAGTGCCTGACCTCTGGCGTCGTCAGCCCGGTGCTCATCATCCGCAAGATTGATCATCAGACGACGGTCGTTGGCGGTGGGCTGCAGGCTGGGTCGAAGGGCGTGCCCGACCTCAACTGCGTGCCGGGCGAAGTGTGCGGCGACCCGGTCTCGCAGCTGCACAAGGTGGCGTTCGAGGTGTACGATGCGTCGAAGGCGACGGGGCCGCCACCGGCGGGCTCGCCGGGTGATTCGGGCGCTTTCTTGTCGTGTATGGGCGAGAAGGTCAATACGTACCGGCCCATCGACGGTCGCCAGTGGATCTCGCCCGACCCCAGCTCGCCCACAGCGTCGTCGCCTGGTGGAGAAGCGGCATTGGGGGGCGCCGCAGAAAGTGGGCCGCCGTCACCCAACGGCAGCGACTACGCGTCGAACGATGGCGGGCGAGTGAAGAAGAAACGGTCGACATCAAGCGCGGGCATGATGTCCACGCCTGCGAAGCGTCGTCGCCCGAGTTCGGCGGGCTCTGTCGGCTCGAGACGCGGTGCGGGCAGCGACCCAGTTGCGTGCTCGGGTGCGACTTGGCAGGTCGACATTGGGGAGACGAGCGTGTGGACCATCGTTGGCGTTGGTGAGCAGACTTTGATTTACAAGGTATATTTCTCAGAGCTGACTTCTTTCCTCACAGACCAGGTCCGCTACAACTTCTACGTGCCGCCAATCTTGTACGACCAGCAGCACAAGCCGGCGAGCGGCTCGTACCCCGTACCGTCGAAGGCCGTGACGCCGTTCCCCGGGGTGGTCAAGTACCTGCCGCCAGACCGCGCCAGCGAGCTCCCCAAGCACCACAACGCGCGCAACATGATGCGCAACGGCCCGTCGCCGAACAAGCTCTTGACGATATACGGCGAGAACTTCTCTAAGACGGACCCACCCAACGTCTTCTTCGGCGCGGACCCCAGTCCCTACGTCGAGGTCCGCTGCACGGAGGTCATAGGCTGCTTGCCGCCGGAGAACACGGTCGTGAAGCGCCGACCGATTGTGCTCGTTCGCTCGGACGGTGTCATGTTCCCCTCGTCCGTCATGTATCCCTAACCGGTTCGTGTCGTGCGCGCGCACCCATTCTATCCCTGCTCTTGCTTCATTTTTATGCCGTGTCTTGGATACCGTGGCCTATTGATTGTTCCCATTGCTGCTCTCGATACCTTTTCGCTTGGTTATCTCCCTCGTTTTGTGTATATATCGATGATGACATGCCTGTGTATATACCTGGACGCGTAGTAGACCTCCTGGTTTCGAACAACCTATCCGCTTTGCTGTGTACCCGGTATGTACTTACGAAATCAAATGCGACATTGTAGACTGTAGGGGAACATGGCATGCGAACAACGCACTCTTACGCACTCTTGAGACTGTTAAGCGTAGGCTCTGAGCGCGACGGAATTCCGCTGGACGAGCGAGAACAAAGCAAGGGTTCATATTTGCTCCTGTTTGGCAAGAGCTCCGATCACAAGAATGGTGAACGCCTCAGAATGGGCACCTTGACCATATACCCTACTTACTGCACCTCTAGGTCGGCTTTTTGTGCACCTATCGCTAGAGAACGACGATTTTTCTGTGCGGAACGATATAACCTTTGTCCCAAACGGCCGAGAAACGTACAACGGCCTCTTTCGCCTGCTCGCCCGCGTTACCCTAGCAACCAGACCACACCCTACGGGCTTTCGACTCAATGACTGCCCATTCCGCCTCTGCTGCTTCGGCAGGGCCATGCCAGGTCAGCCCCGGAGGGACTTACACGATAAATGTGCGTAGTCGCTTTGAGCAATCGTGAACAGTATCTAACATTATGACTCAGCAAATTGTGGCCGGCTGCAAGATCTTCATTCGCCGCCCTGGTCCCGATGGCAAGTCAGAGGAGGAACGCCTTGCAGAGATCCTTTCCATTCGCGACAAGCCCGAGAACGCATATGCGCGACAGAACAATCAGGCGCCCACAAAGCCGGAGGACAAGCTCGAGTTCTTTGTGCATTGGGACACCTTTAACAAGCGCTTGGACGACTGGGTCCCTGGGTCGCGGCTGGTCTTGACGCGCGAGTTAACATGGCCACCACCGCAGAAGGTCGACCCGAAGGCGAAGAAAGCTCCCATGACGCCGAAGGCACCGCCCGGGAAGGCGCCACCGCGCGGACACCAGCAGGACTTGCTCAAGCGCGCGACGTCCAATGCGGCGCTCGCTGCATCTCCTCCGCCTGCTACGCCTCAATTCGTGGGTCGCTTCTCACCCGCACCCTCACCTTCGCCCTCTGTCGTGCCGTCGAAGCGCAAGGCACCCTCCGAACGCGCAGAGGAGGAGGAAGATGAGGATGAGGACGACGACGCCGATGCTGACGGTGACGCCGACATGGATGTCGACGCTGAAGGCGAGGAGGGCGAGGGCGAGACGTTCGAGCTGAACATGGACGACGCCACCCATGGACAGCCGGACCCCGCACAGGGGCTGAGCAAGGAGGAGGAGATCCAGACGCTTCGCTATCGCGGAAGCATGACGCAGAGCGTGTCTGAGGTCGCGCGCATGAAGAACCTGAACCGACTCCAGATTGGGAAGCACGAGGTGGACGCGTGGTACTTCAGTCCGTACCCGAAGGAGTACGCGCATCTGCCCGTGCTGTACATCTGCGAGTTCTGCCTCTCATTCTTCCCGTCGCAAATGATGCTTGGCCGGCACCGAAAGCGCTGCACCCTCATGCACCCGCCGGGGAACGAGATCTATCGACATGAGGACATCTCGTTCTATGAGATCGACGGCAAGCGGCAGCTTACCTGGTGCAGGAACCTGAGCTTGCTGTCGAAGTGCTTCCTCGACCAGTAAGTCTTCTATCTCATGGCGCTTTTGACCTCATGCTTATCCCCTGTCAGCAAAACGCTTTACTACGACGTAACGCCGTTCTTGTATTATGTTATGGTGCGGTCTTTTCCTGGCAGAATTCTCTGCGCTATCTTACCGTCGACCCTTTTTGCAGGCCCAGCGTGATTCGACCGGCTGCCACATGGTTGGCTACTTCTCGAAAGAGAAGGAGTGTGCCGAAGGATACAACGTCGCCTGTATTCTTACGCTGCCGCAGCATCAGCGCCATGGGTTCGGGAAGCTGCTCATCGAGTTTTCGTACGCTCTGAGCAGGAAGGAGAAGAAGGCGGGCAGCCCGGAGAAGCCGCTCAGCGATCTGGGTCTGCTCGGCTACCGGTCGTACTGGGCGGAGGTCATCGTCGGCTATCTCATGCAATGCGGCGACGACGTGAGCATCGAGGAGATCTCGAACGCGACGTTCATCACCCAGGCAGATGTCATGAATACGTGCGTCCTTCTTTCTTTCTTTCGCTTTCTAGCGACCTTGTTCTGACTGATCCCATGCTGCAGCTGCGTGACGCTTGGTCTCTTCCGCCACTACAAGGGTCAGCACCGCATATGCTTGACGCCTAGCATCGTGGAGAAGTACGAGAAGAAGTTGAAGAAGCCGCGGCGGAGGATACATCCCGAGTGCCTCCAGTGGACGCCGCCTGTATTCACGCGCGAGCAGCTCCGTTTCGGCTGGTAGGCTTCGGTGGGTGGTAGGCTTCGTGTGGGAGGCTACGAATGGATTTTTGGCTGGGCCCAAGCTGTACTTCTAGTGTATGTGTATTGTAGAGTAGCGGAAGCATGTTCTTCAGCGTGCATGTCAGAGCGGATAGCATGTTTTATGCGATGGAATGCGGCGAATGCGAGGCGGAGGAGACGAACGCGCTTACGGCAAATGCCGGTCTTTCGTCTCACGGGCGTCGGCACAATCTTGCATGGTTTCTTCGTCCGTCATGCATGCCTGGATCAACATGTTCCAGCAGATCACTGCGGCATGACGAACAACATACTTATATGCTCGAATAGCTCGCGAGATGCCACGAAGGAAGACCAAGGCGGCTTTCAATCTTTTTTGTGTAAGCAATCCTTGGCTCCAGCCCGACTGCACGCGAGGGTTCGGACGTTGTCAGCCTCCTGAAGCATCCTCGCCAGGTCGAAGAACTTTGCAGAACGCACTCCACGACGTGCCCAGAGGCTCAGCTCTACGCTTGCGCAATGCAGAGGCTTATCACACGCTCTTGGCGACGCATATCGCACGACAGCCGCCCTCGTCTAGTACTTATCTGCGTCACGAGTCGCGTCGGCCGAGCGCAACTACAGCTTCCCGGGACCTGGCTACGATGGCTTTGCATCTTGGTTGGGCACCACCATGACCACCTTGACCAGTACGATCACCTCGACTAACACCACGGCCACCTTCACCACCTTCACCAGAAGTGCTGCTGCTATGCCGCTCGACGAACTCGGACCTCCGCCACCATTCTCAGCGACTCCGTCGTATAGTACTCTCCCTCTCGATAACGAGCAGCGCCTGGAATACACGCCACGTGCGCGGGATAGCACATACAGCGACGACAGGAATGGGACCTACGCACGCCGCTGGCGGAGCGCGATCATCGCTCTCAGCGGGCAGGCTTCGAATGCTTTACTGCCGGTCTACGGCCGCGCGGAAGTGGTTGAGGGCGAACTCTGTCTAACCGAACGTGCTGGCGTTCAGCGTATAGTTGTAGAGGTTTGTACAATTCCCTCATCACAGATGCTCTCCGAAACTGAGCTCAAGTCGCTTCACAGCTCGAGGGCGTCATGACGACCGCGCTAACCAACAATGGGAGAACCGAAACCGTCCTGGTGCAGCGGCGACATATCGCGTGGGATGGCCCGGGAAGCAACGGCGGCTCGGATATGTCTGAATGCCCCAGCTCCGTCATTGAATGTCCAGGCTCCATTGCGTTCGCAGTTCAGTTTCCTCAGTCGTATGTGGACAAGAAGGACGGCAACCGAAGGCGCGCGCTGCCGCCTACCTTTGAAGCCAGCTTCTACCAGCTGCCGGTGCTGACTGCGTCGTGTGCGTATACGCTGCGCGTCACTGTAACACGGGCGAGGAAGAGGCGTTCGTTGATCGGGAGTGGGGAGAGGGCGAAGACGTGAGGTTCCACCTTTTGTATCCTGTTCGTTGTTGACAATTGCCCAGATATGAGCTCCCGCTTCTCTATCGACCAAGGCATCGACCGCATCGACCATATACGGTTGGGGGATCGTTGTTCTCGACGCTGAAGTCGCAACCGGACGAGTGGCTCCAGGTAACAAAGACGATGGAAGCAAAGGGAGAGAAGGGGTTGTCACCGCTTTTTTGCAATGTTGGTGCGCTTTTGCTATCCGAATGAGCGAATGCTGATGTATCAAGGCTAGCTCTTCGTCCCGTCTATGCAAATATTCTGCATCAAGGACTCCATACCGCTACACCTGCAAATCTCGGGACCTGTCACTTCTTTTCGCGAGTTCATGCCTGAAGCCTGTCGGGCTGCAGGAGACGAATTAGAAGGTGACACAAGCGTGACACCCACTGATTCGCCTCGCACGAGGAGAGCATCGCTCATACTCGATCCCACACGAGTGCACGATGTCCTGCACCCTCGACATAAGCAGAACGTGGCGGCACCCGTAGCGCGACCGACGATCCGCGTATCCATTATGCGGCAGGTCTTCGCAGAGGTCAACGGCACGAAGACGTGGCGGATGCTCACTATCGGGGCCGGCAAGGTGACACAAGTATTGCCACCACCGTACGATGAGTGCTGCGCGCTAGACGAGTCTATCGCCGTTGACTGGGAGGGCGAAGTGCGGTGCGACGACTCGGTCAGCGCGGCCGGATTTAACAACGGGCACCTATCTGTGACGGCGAGTATGCTTTGAAGAGATGGTCCGCGAGTGTGCTGACTAGATACACTCGCATAGGACTTTCTAGCGTTGTCGATACTGCCAGCGACTAGCGCACTCGAAATTGTGCGGCTGGCGCATCCGCTCCGACTGGTGACCGATCCGTGGACCGACGACGACGTGCATCCTCTCGACCGGTAAGAGTGGTGGATAGGGCTTGGTATATGACTCCTGGAGACTCCTGTGTGTAAGTAACGTGTAATTAGGTGCTCACACCTGTAAGTCACCGACCGCGGCATTCGCCGACAACTTGTCACGAACCAGTCACGGTTCAAATTCATCATCCCGATGTCCCGTGCGTGCTGTTCGCTGCCCTCTCGCGTCGCCGTCATGCGGACTGCCAACCCAGCTCTCGGCGGCGACGACGGGGTGCGTTGCCCGAGTCGAAGGCGCGGTGATCGTCGAAGTCCCTGGCGCGCGTGGACCTGGCACGTTTCCGGGCGCGTGTTCCTACGCGTGCCTGTACGAGTTGACGGTCGCGCTCCTGAGTGCAGTGCGAGCGCGCCGTTCCGAGTCGCGTCTGCGCACTTCCGGCGCGTTCTGTCGCGCTATGGCGGGTAGCACGGCCGGGCGAGGCGATGGGCGGATGCGATAGGCGACCGTCGATAAGGCGCGGACGAGAGGCGGAGGAGGCGTGGTGGACGGAGTCGGTATGAATGTAGATGCGCGTGTGCACTAGAAATATATAGGGTCTGATTGTTAGAGGAGCTGGGCCCTGCCCTGCTTTCCCTCCCGACCGCCGTTTCCTGCACGTTCGTCGCCGTCCCGCCAGCCCAAGCTGCTCTCATTCCAGCTCAAATCTCAGAAGCGGCGTTCTTGGTTTTCTCCAATCCGCGAGGAAACACATTTGGAGCAGAGCGAGTCGGCTGAACACCTTCCCCGACGTCATAAAACCAGGTCACTGCTCACGAGAACCACTTCCGCCCCGGCCTCCATCTTGTCCCTTACCACCACCGCCCCCATCCACATCAACAATCCGAGGTCCGCTCACCATCGTCCCCTTCGTCGCGCAGCCCTGACCCCATCTAGAGCAGCCATGGCAAGCCTTATGCCCAACCGCGCAGAGTCGTTCAACACCCGCACTCGGGGAACGAGCCATATCGATTTCAAGACCGCGACCACCGGTGTCGCGGCCAAGGCCATGCGCAATGAGCTGAGCCATCTCGTCTCCACGATCTCCGACCCGCAGGAGAAGAAGGTGCGTCCGCCGAGCGCAGCATACGCGTCGCGACTGACCCCAGTGCGCAGAACTTTGACATGGAGATGCAATCCTTCTTCTTCCTCTTCACCCGCTACCTCGCCGAGCGCGCCCAGAGCCAGGATCTGTGCGTGATCTGATCCTGTCTGCCCATCGCACGCGCTGATCGACCTCCTAGCGATTGGGACCGTATCAAGTCGCCCTCCGATGACAAGGTCGTCCCCTATGCGCAGCTCTCCGAGCCCAAGGACAAGAGCGTCCTCAACAAGCTCGCCGTCCTAAAGGTCAACGGTGGTCTCGGCACGTCCATGGGCATGACCGGCGCGAAGAGCGCGCTCGAGGTCAAGAACGACATGACCTTCCTCGACCTCACCGTGCGACAGATCGAGCACCTCAACACGAGCAACCGCGTCGATGTTCCGCTCCTCCTCATGACGTCCTTCAACACGCATGACGATACCCTGCGCATCATCAAGAAGTACGCGAATCAGCAGTTGCGCATCACCACTTTCAACCAGAGCCGCTACCCCCGTATCTTCAAGGAGACCCTCCTCCCGTGTCCCAAGCGCGCGGACGATGACAAGAAGCACTGGTACCCGCCCGGTCACGGTGACGTTTTCAACGCGCTCTACCAGTCTGGTGTCCTCGATCAGTTGATCTCGGAGGGCAAGGAGTACATCTTCATCTCGAACTCGGACAACTTGGGCGCTGTGTGCGTATCGTTTGCCCTGTTACTTTACCATGCACTCACTCGTGGTACAGCGTCGACGAGAAGATTCTCCAGCACATGATCGACTCTGAGGCTGAGTTCATCATGGAGGTCACCGACAAGACGAAGGCTGACGTCAAGGTGAATGCAGCAAAGCATCATACGGAGATGTTATACTGACGCTTCCACCAGGGTGGTACCCTCATCGACTACGATGGCAACATCCGCCTCCTCGAAATTGCTCAGGTCCCATCCGAGCATGTCGAGGACTTCAAGTCCGTCCGCAAGTTCAAGATCTTCAACACCAATAACCTCTGGGTGAACCTGAAGGGTAAGCTATCCCTCGTTTCGGCCTCTCCTCCCGCTCACAATTTTGATAGCGATCAAGCGCGTCATGGAGAACGAGGGCATGGAGCTCGAGATCATCATCAACCCGAAGGTGAACGACGACGGCCAGCCGGTCATCCAACTCGAGACCGCCGCGGGTGCCGCGATCAAGCACTTCAAGAACGGGCACGGTATCAACGTGCCGCGGTCGCGCTTCTTGCCCGTCAAGAGCTGCTCGGACCTGCTGCTGATCAAATCGGACATTTACTCGCTTGAGCACGGCCAGCTCGTCATCAACGAGCAGCGCATGTTCGAGACGACGCCGGTGATCAAGCTTGGGGACCACTTCAAGAAGGTGAGGAGGGTGTGGGTTGTGAAGAGTGGGGCAAGGCGCTGACGCGGGTCGTACAGATCCAACAATTCCAGAAGCGCTTCAAGAAGATCCCCAAGATCCTCGAGCTCGACCACTTGACGGTTACTGGCGACGTCTACTTTGGCCGCAACGTCACTTTGCGCGGGACGGTCATCAGTGCGTCTTGCCTTTCGTTCACGCTGCCGTGTTCAAGCTAACTCTGCTTTAGTCGTCGCGAACGAGGGGCAGAGCATCTACATCCCCGACGGCTGCATACTGGAGAACCGCCTCCTGTCGGGCAACCTGAACATGATTGAGCTGTGATGAGCGTCGACGACGGACTGAAATACACGAAATTACGATGGGAATGCTATGGACAAAATCTTGAGTAGGGTAGCTTTTGTCGTTTGGGGTAGTGCGCGCGCTCGGCGAGGGCTGCGCGAGCAGGGTTTTACCTCGCGAAATACCAACGAAAGCGACACTTGAGTACGAGTGCTTTGATTTTCTTGCGGACTTTAGACATGCCCTAGAATATATGGCAGAGAATGTATGAGGATGGGTTTCGTAGTTCTTTCTTGACAACGTGAATCATCTCGATCGAACCAGCATTTCGAGGGTAGGTCTCTGACCTTGACGAGGTGCGCCACCGGATTGTTGTCTGCCATGCTCGACATGCGCCACAACGATGTAAATATTTGTAGAGCAAGCTGTTGGTGTCTGTTGTACGCCTCGTAGTAGCACGCCCTGCATCAGACATGCACTCGAGGCAGTTTAATGGGTGGGAGTCCCAGTGTCCCAGTGGGAGGACTTGAACTTGCGCGCGACGCCCGGGTCTATGATGCAGGCCTGATGTTGCCATTGTCCGGCCCATGTCGCGCACGTGAATCTCACGTCTTGAATGCGACCACCACCACCATTGTAACATGAACGTCCAGGGCGCCTCCGAAGCCTATTTCTCGCCCTCCAACGTTGCTTCGCCGCTCGCCAGTCTGCCGTCCTTCGCTTCCAATCTGGCGTCGCTTCCGGGAACGCTAGCGTCGCTCCCGGGCACGCTCTGGCGCCTGTATGTTGACTACCTGTGGAACTACGACGCGAACTCGTGGGTGGCGCATGCGGCGTACTCGATGCGGGTTATGGCGGTGCTGCTCATGCTGCCGATCACGGTGCTGACGATGTTGGTGAGTGGGTGTACTTCCTGGGCATAAGGGAAGGAGAGGTGGAGCAAGGGAGATGGGAAGGATGGAAGGCACGGATGGTGCTCGTGCGACGCGTGCTTGCGATGCTTGTGCGACTTTCCGTGCGTCGCCTGCATCTGGTTGAATTCGTGCATTGCCGGGAGTAGCGTGCTGAAGAGGGAAGCGGGGAGTACGAGACCATGCTCGTGCGACCGCGATTGATCCTCCGCACTTCCTTCTTATCAGCCTCCCTCGCATCTCTCTGCCTCCCTTTACCACTCTCATCCTGCTCGAAACCGTCACAATGAATCGTTGAACTGATTCCTTCATTCCAGGACATCGCCTCCTACGTGATCGCGCGCACGCTCGGCGTCATCGACGACACCCGTGCGAGCACGAGCGACAAACTCCCCCCGCCCATCATCCGCATCCACGCCGCATCCCGTCGAAATACCCTCGACCAGTCCTCCGAATCCACCGCGGACTCCCCGTACGCCTCCACATCGGCCTCGAGCTCGCCTGCGCACGATATTGCGGGGTTCCCTGCCTCGTCCGATCCCTCCGACCCCAACGCGCCTTCCTCTTCGCACTCAGGATTGCCCACGTCTTCAGACCCCTTCAGCAACTCTCAACCATTTAATTCCGACTTAGCATCCCCCACCCCCTTCCCACCCGCATCTTCCGCGCTCCCCACCGAATACTCGTTCTCAGACGACGAAGAAAGCCTACACCTCCCGGGCTATGAGGGTAACCTCAAGCTTTCTGGCTATGGTGTGTTTTCGCCTGCCGCGAGCCAGCCCGGGTCGCCTGTATTATCCCGCAAAGGCTTACCTGGGTCTGCGGCGGGGTCTGTTGGGGCATCGGAGGGGAGGTCACTCGCAGGATCAGTAGCCGGGTCAGAGGGCAGGGGATCAGTGCCAGGCACACCGGACGGCACGCGCTCGCTACAGCTCGACGGCGTGTGGAAGGGGCTGAATGGGTTGAAAGCTTTGGAAACGCCTGATGGGACGCGCTCGGTGCAGTTGGGGGATGAGGATGGGCTGGTGTTCCGGGGGAAGAAGAGGGGGGATGGGGAGGAGGAGACTTAGGTAGATGGGAGGAAGAGGCGTAGGCCGAACGGCTCGACGATACGATCAGCCTTGCGAACGACTTTGTGTTGCTGTTGTCGGAAGTGGAGGTTCAGACAGCGTAGCTTACTGGCATTACTTAGAGGGTTCGAGATAGACAATGGGCGATAGCAGTAGCAGAGGGACGATATCCATCCTGATATGGCAGATAACTGTGTGCGGTGTTACTCTAGTTACTGGTCCGAAAAGAAGCTTCATTTCGCAGATGCAGACAAAGGACTGACCGTTGACGTACCGGAGGTCTTGAACGGACCATAAGCGCCGCTGCGAGCGCCTGAACGAACGGCACGCTGTCTCGCAAGGCTACTCGTGGTTCCATTTCACCCTTTAGTTTGAAGCGGCGCAAGACAGCTCCGCGAAAGGCGCTTTGTTGAAGGGCAGCCATAGACAAGCGCCCAATGACACAATGAGTCACACCAATCTTCCACTGCCTCCGGAGCATGGTCGGCAAAGACAAGCGCTGATTCAAAGGCTCTGTGTCGCAAATTGGAAGGGCACAGAAGGGTCGGGGTCTATACTCGTTACTCAAGTATGTGTCTACAAACGACTTGACTATGTGTCTACGAACCACACGACTTTGGACAGAGCGCAGCACCTTTATGTTGGTGGCGTTTGCCGATCCTTCCGATTCAGGAAAATACTACCAATCAGGTACGCCTTGTTTGCCGTCCACGTAAAGGGGATTCATTGGAAGTACTTCCTGCGCGGAAGATCGAGCCTTTGTACGAGGAAGCCAAGAAGAGGAAGCCGTCGATAGTGGGCAGTGGGCACAGCGCCTATCGATGAGCTTTCGAGGGTACAAGGCGCAGCATGGCTTGTTTGTCGATGCGGCATGGCATGGTTGTCGATGCAAGATCGCCCCGAGAGCGATCCGTACCTGCCGCAAACCGCAGGGACCTTGTTCCGCGGCTAGCCATTGTCCCGGCGCGGTCAGGAAGTATTGAAGGGTCTGACCACCTTGTTGACCTTGTGATTTCGCTAGCGAAAATAATCAGGGTACAGCGACAGCCTGGGCCTGTGCGCGTCCGGCGCTTAGCGCGGGTTGCTGGACGCCGAATATTTGGATGGCGGTCTCGAAGATACGGTGCTCTGCGGTCGATGGTCGCGTGTCGCGTTGGGGATAAGTGGCGAGTTCCTGTTGGCCCGGGCAACTGTAACCGGGGACGGGGCGGCTGATGGAGGGCAGTTCCGGTGTTTGTTGAGCAGAGTTCGAGGTCCGAAGTGCTTTTGAGTCGTTTGAGTTTAGCTCAGGGAAAGGGGAAGAACAGGGTGGTGGCGGCCTTCCCCATGGCACACAGGCTATTGAGAATGGCCGTGGGAAGGCAGAAGCCGGTGCACGTGTCCCCCAACGAAGGCAAAGTGGGGAACGGCAGTTTCCGGTTGATCTGCGATCGGGGCCCCTTGATGTCATCGATGATTCGCCCAGCGCATTCTATTTGCATGCATCCGCCACGCATATATCCCACACCGTTGCCATCCGCCATCCCGCTTTCTCTCCTCTCTTCCGCCCACCATCATCTCCGCCGCTGAATCTGCTCGTAACATATTAGCCACCGCGTATTCCGCGCCCCAAGCGACCATGGCTGCCTGCACGGGTCAGTCCTCGTTCGCAAGCGCCTGCCTTGGTTGTCTAACATGCAAGACAGCCCACAAGAAATCGCGTTCTCTGAGCCTGCGCGTTGATACACGGCCCTCGCCACTCCCGTGCACCGAGCCCTACACGCCTTCTCAGAGCGAGCGCCTTCTACGCGACATCGCCTCCCGCGACCGTGCGGCACAATCTCCGCGCATGCGCGCACGCGAGGAAATTCAGAGGGACCAGTCTCGGTCGCCATTTGAGGCGCGCGACAGTGCCGCCGGCAGCTATCTCTTTTGCACGTCCCTCGCCCCGCCGGCCACAATATCCGACGCCGACAGCAGGGCAAGCAGCAGCACAAGACGCCCAAGCAGTCGCGCGCGTACGTATCGGTCGGGCAGCGAGAGTACGGCCTCGCTTGGTCCTCGGACACAGGATGGCATCGACATCCGCGCCCGGCTCGAGCGCATGCTGCTCGAGGACTGCTGTGGGCCCGAGGACCGCCCGCAGTGCTCCCGGTCGCGCCCCTCGACGCCGCGCGTCCCGCAGGTCATTGGCAGGCCGCTGACCCCGGACGTGTCGGCCACCACGTTCTCGACGCGCGGCGGCGCGTATCTCTATAACACGGAGCGCCCGTCGCGCGTCAACACCCCCACGCCCGATCGGTACCGGCCGCTGCAGCAGCACTCCCTTCCACTTCCAGTTAGGCAGTCTGTCGCGGCGCCTGCTCCCCGCCGGTTCACCACGGGCTCGCGTCGCCTCCCGGATCACTGCCCCACGTCACCTCTTGCTCATGCCACTTTCGCCAGTCCTATCCCGGACGCAGATGAGCACGGCTACATGATGTATGCGTCCCCACCGGGCTCGACTCCACCCTCAGTCGCTTCCTCAAAGCACTCCACCCCTGCGTCGTCGGCGGTGCAGACGCCGCATTCGTCCACATCATCTCTCGAGCAGGATCCGGCATCAGTTCACCGGGAGCCATCTGTCGAGCGGCTGCCGAAGCGCGGGCTGTACGAGAGCGCGCGCAGGCGGCCCGGCTTTGACGCCGACGAGGCCTCGCGGCGGCTCGCCTCCGTCGAAGGCTATGTCAGCTTCCAGAGCGTCGAGGGCCTGGGCGCGCCGCCGGACTGTGCGAACGAGGAGCAGGAGGAGGAGAGCTCCAAGCGCATGATCCAAGCACAACCGTGGCGATGGCTATGGTAGAGGCGTAAAGGTCTCTGCTTGGTCAACGTCCGGTAATGGCGCCAGTAGTGTGCTGCCCTTCGCCCGGCGTTGCTGCTCTTGGGCTTTACCGGCCGCGCCGACCCTCGACCTCCCTCGACGCATCTCCCGGGTACATACATGGCTGCCCGGGATGGCGCACGAGGGTCCTCCCTCGGCTAGCAAAGGCTGGACCGACAAGCCACCCCTCACCGGTGGGTCCGATTAGACCACCCACCGGTCAAACAAAGAAAGTGAAGTGAACGTGTATTTGTATGGTCCTGCTCCACAATCTGCTGCACCACCAACCCTGCCCTGCCCTTGTACTGCTACTTATCATTATTACCTTGCTATTCCGGGTTTTGGTTGTCTGCTCTGTATCGGGGATTGGAGGGCGTTGTCGGCGGACGCGGTGTCGGCATGCTAGGGTGCATGGAGTGGTCCCTTTCGGGACCATGCAGTGCGCCTCTGCGAGTCACGCCGTACCCTGCGCCGGGTCCTCCCTCCCCGTCTGTGCTAACTCCTTGTTTGTCTGTCCTGTTTGTGCTGGGCTGGAGTACTCACATAATCGTTGTCTCTTTACCTATCGTCTTCAAGTCATATTTCTCGTCTTTCTGTCGTACTACTCATCATCCTCATCTTGTCTATTCATCCATCGTCTACTAGGGACTTTGCCCTCTTTACACTAGGATACTATAATTTTTGGGTGGGGCGCTGCTTGCGTGGGGGCGGCGATAGCTGCTTTCGTGACGGTAGCGCGCACACCCGTATATAGATTGAATGGAGGGCTGATTTGGTTAGAAAGGAACGTGGTGCGATTCAGTGGACCAAGGAGTGTTGCGATTCAGTTGGCAAGGAGCGTGTTGTGGGTCTGTAAACAATGGCGAGTCAGTCAGCAGGAAGGGGCGATTCAGTCAATAGAACGGAACGATTTTGTAAGGTAAGAACGTGTGCGTGTGGGGTTGGCTGCTGAATGGATTCGCGAAGCTGTTCAAGGGATTCGCAAAGCTGGTCAAGGAATTCGCGAAGCTACTTGAGCACATTGAGTGTCAATGACCGTCAGGAAGGCTGAATGGCATGTCGAATACGATGACGGCCACATGAGGGTGAGCACATGCAGTGGCAGGGGATGTATGCGTTCAGTGGCTCAAGTCATGTATATGTATCGACATTGTCCAGTGACACACCGATGAGGTGTGTGCCAGACCGCAGTGTCAATGATAGCGCTGAGACTGAAAGAGCTTAGAGCGCTCGTGGGGGTGGCTTACACAGAACGCGAAGCACACAGTGAGTGGTGAAGTGCTGAACTATGCCGTTAACGAAGGTCACTCGAGAGGAGAAGCGGTGTCACGCAAGGGGGAAAGCAGCACGACTCAAGGGAAGATGCGGCCCTGCCTTCCGGTCTGTCGATATAGATATAGATAGTGTTGTATTGTACAAGGGGGTAGGACGGAAAGAACAGCGATCCGGAAAGCACCCCGTACTCCTTCCCCCTGCGAAGCCAGGTACGCAACTGGATCAGGTCAAGGTTGCGATTACGGGACGAACGAAAGAGAAAGGCACGTCCGATAGCAAAGTCAGAAAAGCGCCCACCATACAAGCCCGGACCATCCCCTCGCTCCTCACCTCACGCAACCTCCTCCATATCGTCATCGTCCTCATCATCGTCCTCGTCCATCATCATCCCATCCCCATCCTCCATCTTGAACAAGTCCCCTCCCTCCTCCTTCACCCCGTACTCCGCCTTCATGTCCTCCGCGCCGCCGCTGCCCGCGAACAGCGCCTTAAGCTCCCACGAGCCGTTGTGCTCGCCCGAGCGGTGCAAGGTCGCGACATCGTTGAGCACCTCCTTGAGGTACGCCTCGGGCTGCTGCGTGCGCTCGCGCAAAGGCTTGAGCGCCCAGTAGGGCTGCTCCTTGAAGAGGTTGAAGAGCATGTCGAGCAACTCGTTGCGGGGCATGCGCGCCATGCGCTCGAATTGGCCCTTGGCCTTGGGTTTGGGGCGCTGGATCAAAGGTGAGCATAGAACACGGCGGAGGAGATGGGGATACGTACACCGAAGTCGAATGCTCCGCTGGGGCCACCGAGCGAACCGCCTGTGTTGAGCCTGCTGACGGCACCTTTGTCCAGGCCGGATTCGTCGATGTGTCTAGAAAGCAGTTTAGCAAGGCGACGCAGAGGCTGATAACGAACGTACTTGGTAGCGCGACGCGGAGCATTGTGATACATGCTGCGCATGCGCATCTGGTTGCGGTATTTCGCGTTGAAAGCTGGTCGCATCGTGCACTCATGCTTCAGGCGGCCAGTCTGGAGAGTGTGTGTTAGGGTGCGTCAGAGGATGGCACGCTGACCAGCGTACAAGAATTGTTGTTCGCGCGCGTGAGTTCGGTTGTGAGGGTTGTGATGCTGTGAGTGCGCTCAGCGCGACAGTCGAATCTTGCAGTAAAGAGACGCATACAGCCGCTCAAGCCAAAGCTCGCGTCTTTCGGACGCTCAGCGACCACGAACTGGTTCATGACATTGTCGTTGGTGATGTCCAGGTCATAGAAATCGGGTTCGGTGTCCGCATCGACCTTGTGGTGCGTGACGAAGTCGAACTGGGGATGTCGTGGGTTCTGCGCTGGTGGTGTCTGTGAGGGACTGTAGCGCAGGTAAGCTGCGTAGTCGTGTGAGGAGAGTGGTTTGGACGCACTTTCTAGGGTCAACGTTCGGGGGGAGGAAGAGGATGATGCGGTGTTTACGGTTTCCGTAGAAGTTCTGGTAGACGCGGAGGGTGGCTAGGTGCGCTAAGGTTGGGTAAGTACCAAGTTCAGCACGCTGTGAGCTGTAACGCACAAGTTTCCCCACTAGCAGAGGCTGCTTTCCACCGTTCGAGAAGGTGTTTCGGGATCTACGACGTGGGCAAGGCGAACTTCAGCTCCGTTCGTCGGGCAAAGGTCGATTGGCGCACCCTCACGGACCACACCGCACCGTTTCCTTGGTCAAGCATGAGGTGTTCATCTGGATCTGGTTGCTGGTCGCCGTCGTCTGCAGCCATAGCGGCGTCGACGAGAGGCTTCTTCTCATCTTCTTGCATGGCATCCATTGTGTAGGATTAATGTGAGCGTCGCTCGTGTTTTCAGTCGCGATTTGTATGTTCTCAGTTGTTGCGTGAGCTATGCCGATTCACTTTCGTTGCAATCTGAAGGAAGAAGCAGACGGAGAACAATGGCAGGGTGATGGTTTGGGACAAGGACGAATGAATGAGAACAATAATCGTGCCGATTCATGCGTCACTTCACGTGGCTTTCGCAAAAGGCAGGCTTTGTTTTCTGCCTCAGATTCGTACCCTCCCCATCCCCCGGGCCATCAGTGCTGGATTATGAGCGAAATCCATTCTATAATATGTAGCGCCACCTCACATACGTAGTTGTAAGTACACATTATTGAGATAGCTGAGGGTATCTCCCTTCGGCGACCAGCACCGGGGGCAATAATTATCGGTGAAAAGGAAAGGAAACTATCAGGGAGTGGAATGGTATAAACAGGAAAGAGCGGCATAAAGGGGGCCGCGAAGCGTCATGACAGCCGCGTAGGAAGTACACTGACAGACCCGTCGTATACCACAGAAGTACTTGGCAGTAGCGCGCCAAAGCTACATGAAGGCCATCTCGGTCAGCTGCCTGGATTCGTCGTCCTTGATACGGTGGACGTCCTGCATGACCGTGCCCTGCGTGTGGATGGTGGGTGCCACGGCCGTGCGCGCGGGTGAACGCTCGCGTGACACATCGACGCTGCGGTTGCGCGCACGACGACCTTCGCCTCGCGGGCGCATGAGGGACTTGCTGCGAGAGAACTTGCCCCCGGACGATGCCTCCCCGTCTCCGTCTCCTTCTCTACCGCGACGGAAGGGATTCAACGTCTTTCGCCGGCGCACTCCACCCTCTGGCGGGGGAGGCGGTACGTCCGGAAGAGGGATGCCGGGCTTGCCGCGCGCTGCTTGCGACCAGCTGCGCTTGATGTCGACGCTGCCTTGGATGATAGGCGCGTCTTGCGAATCGCCGTAATCGTAGGCGTCGAGGATGACATCTAGCGCGGCGTCGTGCTGCTTATCTGCTGGCGAGCGCGTGGCGGCCTGATCGAGAGCAGGCGACGTGTGCGCGGACGGCGGAGTCTTCGGCGACTCGCTGGCCTCAGGCGAGGACGAGTCGCGCTCGGGGAGCGATGGCAGAGTCGATGGGGGCGGATTGGGGCTCTCGCCGCCAAAGGAGGGATTCGGCGAACCACGATGGCGGGAGAGGGAGTCCGTCAGGCTATCCGCGATGTCCAGGCCTGTCGAGGGAGGTGGGAGCGGCAGCGCACAATCAGGCGCGGGGTAGGACGGCCTACCGCGTCTACGTTCAGTTTTCATTTCGCGAGAAGGAGAAGGAGGGGGCTTCGGCGACGCCTCCGGGGTAGATATAGCCTGCCCAACAGCCTCTCCCATGGGTGTCGAGATAGCCTGGCCTATAGCCTCGTCCAGCAGGCTGTCTGAGCTAGCGCTGCGAGGTGCTGCGCGCTTCGGGAATATGACTTCCGCGGCCGCGCCAATCTCCTTCTGAGCGCGCCAGCGGCTGGGGCTGTCCTCCGAGATGGGTTCGATGCCAGGCGGGGGCGCCTTGCGCGGCAGGGACGTGCCGCCTGTCGCGCCACCAAACTTGAAGTCCTGCATCCGCGACTTGTTATCCACCTCCGCCTTGGACTTGTACTCCTGCTTGATGCGCTCCGCCGTAGACAGTGACTCCGCGCGATTGTGCGCCTGGTTGGGGTCCGGGCTCGATGGGACAGACCGGTCGCGCTGCTTCTCGAGCTGGCTCATGTCGGGCTGAGGGAGCAGGCCGTATGCGCGGAGCGCCGCTTCACGGCTCTCCTTATTCGTGAAGTCATTTTGCGCAGGACGGCGAGGACGTGAGGATCCCCCCACCGACTTATCGCGTTTGAAAACGCCAGAGACCGAACGTAACAAGCCGCCAGACTTGGGCTGCGCAGCTGGCGGTGGGTTCAGTCCACTGCGAAGATCGTGAGCGACATTCTAGGGTACGCAGATACAGTCTACTCACCCTTGTGACCTGCCACGGCTGTTCGGCGCCTCGTTAGTATGCGCTAGCAAGGGCGGGGCTGCATACGCACCTTGGATGCGTATTGGCTGTTCCCGAGGTGTTAGCCATGGCAACGGTCATGCCAGAGGGTTTTCTGGCTGTGTTTGAGAGGAATGCAGTCCGCCCAGCCTCAGAAAGCTGGGGAGGACTATTTCAGAGTGCAATACAACTGAAGGTAGGAGGAAAAGAAGAAATGGTTGCTGGCCGCCGGGCGTACTTCTGAGATCACCGCGATCACTGCGTTCACACGGGATTATAGCAGTTACCCCGCCGGAGACGGCGCGGACAAAAGTAATACAGTCCTCCATCCGCTGTTTCAGCTCAAATGCCTAGAGATACGCGTCTATGTAACACGCGTTTAGTAGCCACCCAGGCATCGCGCAGAGGGAGGAGGGTATTTAATGGCGCGTCACACATCAACTCCTCGCCACCCGGCGCAGCATCACTCGTATGAATGTGGACTCTCGGTGGACCTACACCACGTATCTGGGCGAGTTGATCAACACGGCGTAGCCTTTTCATTAGGCTGGCCGTAGGGGGACCGCCCGGTGCTGCGCATTCGGGCATCCTCATCTGCACTGCACGATGTGCCCCAGATCTTTGTACTATGAAGACTGTACACTGCCGAGACCGTCAGCGCCCTCGCTATTTCTTCTGAGCCTCGGCAGACTCACAATGGCCTCGAATAATTTATCCGTTCATCACACGCCCCAGTTAGTTCACTACCTGCGCATCCACTCCGAGCGGCAGCATCGACGTGTCCTTCAGAACCCTACGATCCCACGACGACGTGCCCAACTATCATCCAATATCCAACGTTAGCCCGACGATGCGATCCTATATTCCGACAACTTACGTGTGTCAACGCATTTTGGGAGGACAGAAGGTTCATGTGGTCGGGCACGCTGTCGCCGTTCTGTCATGGGCAGGTCGGGAAGAAGTTGGGAAGGCGCCGAATCAGTACAGGGTTAAACTGCGGAAAGCCACGAGCTGTTGCTTACCAGCACCGTGTCATCCAGTCCGCGGAAGGTTAGCTTGAGGTCGAGAGGCAGCTGTGATGGTAGGACGAGGACGTGCACGGTAGGGTGGAAGGGACGCTCGGAGGCGACGAGCGTGGCAAGGTCCTGAGAGGAGAACTTGAGTGACGACGCAGTGAAGAAGGGGACGCAGGTAAGACTGACCATGGCGACAGTGACGGCTTGCCGTATCTCCTTCCGCTTCCCTCGCGCCTCATGCCCGACAACCACGAAGTATTCCCAGATGCAGTCGACAACGAAGACCGATGACTTGAGGGATGAGTGCGTCAACAATACCACAGAAGGAGTGATCTGTAACAAGCGAGTGAGCAATGCAAGCAATCAAGCAGAAATTGCGGTTTACTTTGCTTGCTCCATCCTCCACCAACCATACCCTTGGGTCAATGTTCGTGGCCTCCTTCCTCCATTGCCAGTAATCCGCACTAGCCCACGCCTCATCGCCGAGCATCGCCCAGAACATCTCGTCCTGGTCATCCTCTCCCTCCGTTAATCGGGTGATAGCATCCTCCGCTCCCCCGGAGAGAATCTTTGCGTATTGCAAAGCAGCCTCTCGCTCCTGTGCGGTAGAACCACGTCCGTGCCAGACGTATTGGGTATTCAGGATGGAAAAGCAATAACTAAAGCCGGAGCATAGGTTCTTGACGTTCTGGATACGAAGTCAGCGACGATAAACATGGATATATACGCGTTTCGCGCACGAAGTCAAGCTCGTCGATGTATACGACGCCTTCGTAGGACCGCACGACGTGCATCGCGGTGTTCTCCGACGACCAGAGGGTGCGGGAGCCCTGCAAAAGCATGAGATCAACGATGCAGATGTAGTCTACCGACTGACCTGTCGCGTGCTGAGCTGACCTCCCAGTACCTCGACCAGAGCGCTAGGCTCGGCGAACTGGTCAACCCAGATCTGCAAGAAACCCATTAGCTCGTTTCTGGCGTACTCTTTCCGCTGTTCACTGACAATCTCCGTATGATATCGCTTGGCCAGCTCCTGAAGCTTTTGCTCCTCCCGCTCGCCCAGTTCGCTCTTCGCACCCTTCCAACCCCAAACTGTCGTATCCACCAACCCGCTCTTCTTCGACTTGTGCCGATGGATGATGGCGAGTACCTCGTTGTCGTAGAAGATGTTCGCCGACGCATCGGGCACCGCGGTGGCGTTGTTGCCCGAGATCTGCAGGACCTCGACTGAGATAGTCTGCTTCTCCTGCCTGTCTAACCGAGGTGGGCGCTGGAGCAGTGTTTGGGCGTTGATCTTGGGCAAGGGACCATCGTTGATGTCTGCGTGCATGCATGAGCATACCGGCATACTTAGAACATCCAAAGTTGGTACTCACTGACATGCAAGAGGTCAGGCTCCTGCAAGGCCTTGGTTTGCGTGTCGGCCTGAGCGCTGAACGCCTTCATGTCGAAGTCGTTCTTCTGTCCTGCACTCCCAGACGGCGACTTCATCGTCCCGACCGGCGTCGGCGCTGGGGTTGCCTCCTCCTTCAGTGGAGGAAGCGTCATAACAGACGATTGCCTAGCAGCCTCATACTGTGAGCGCCGCTTCTCTGCAACGCCCGCATGCGCATGTCGCATGCGCGGGGACGTGCTCTCCGGAGATACATCCTGCTTGGGGGAGGTCGGCGAAGCGAGCGGCGAGTCAACTTTAGGCGGTTCAACAACGAGCGAAGGCGGCGAAGGCTGCTTGGGCTCCTCCTTGGGTGCCTCCTCCTGCTTGCGCTCCTTCTGCTCGTTAAAGACCTGCGCAAGGTCCATCACCGTGGCACGGTTACCGGTGCTGGGTATCCGTGTATGCCGATGTTGCCCAGGCGCCGGACTCCTCGACGGCTCTGGCGATGTCGATGAGGTCGGGAAAGTCACTGGCGAGCGCGGCTCCGGGCTCTGAGGCTTCGGGCTCGTCGTCTCGGGTATGTCCATGGACTTCGGTATCTCGGCCGTCAAGCCAGGTAAGGCACGTTTCCCGACCATGCCGCTACTGGGTCGGTTTTCCGGCGTAGACAGTCCACCATACTTCGACGATGGCGTCGAGGCGGGTGCCTTCACACCAATGACACCCTGCCCCGTCCACCGGTCGGTGATTTTCGGCCTCCCGTTGGCGCCTGGGGAGGGCTGTGGGCTCGTGGTGGCTTGCTCCGGTTGGGAAGGTGGGGGCGCAGTCGTGGCGGGCGGAGGTACGGCGGGGCTGATGGGGCGTGCCTCACGTTGTTGGGTGGCCTGCTGCAGTGACTGCGGGGTCTGTTCGCTTTGAGCAGGTGCAGAACTTGGCGTTTGCTCCGCCTTCACCGCCGAAGCGGACGTGGCCGGTCGTTTCTTCGGTCTCTTCGCCCGATCTTTCGTTGGCTGTCTCACAAACAACACCACCACCGCGTCGGGGCACAAACATGCAGCGCACAAAAGAGCGTAACATAGCAAGTGAAAGGGTACAGAAAAACCAAGAAACCGTAAGCGCGTTCCCTACATGTCATACCAAAATCAACGCACATGGATGAGCGGCTTGCCCGCCTGCTGTCCACCGATGAACCCCATCTCGTCGACCTCCGGGACCTTCTCCGCTGCCCTGCTCGGTGGGCGGATCACTGCGACGGTGGTCTTGGACCCGAGGCCGGGCGCGCCCTCTGGAGGCATCTTCTTGACCAGGGAGTCCTGCCTGGCGGGTGCGCTAGCTGCAGCTGCCAGTCCCGGGAGCGACACGCGCCCCTTCAGGCCGTTCGGGTCCGGCGAGGTAGAGGACCTTGCGCCCGACGCAGGTTCCGCGGTCCACGACTTGCGGACCCCAACAGGCTTGGGAGTGATGATAGGGGGAGAAGGGCTGGAGGAGCCGGCGTTCTCTGGATGCCAACGGTCAAGCACGGAAGACTTCTTCGTTGGCGTGGGACGTGGCCTGTCCTGGTCGGCGGCGTCCTGCTGCAAGGTCTTCTTTACCATGTTCTGGACGAAGCCTCTACCCTGCAAGCGACTGATGCTGGGCGTGGGGTCCTTGGGCGCAGGCGCCTTCAGGAAGGCCGGAGATGGTGACGAAGACGGTGGTATGACGGGTCCCTGGGACGTACGCGGCTCCGGCCGTATAGGGCGCGCGAGCGAGGGAATGGAGACATTCGACCCTCTCGGCGACGAAGAGGAGGTAGAACTGCTGAAAGACTGGCGAGAGGTGAAGGATGTAGTGCTCAGAGGGGGAGAAATCGGTGGCGGTGGACTCCTGCTTGAAGCAACGGATTCGCGAGAAGTCGTGATAGATCGAGGAGCATTCGAAGAGCGGGAGGATGGGCGGGGTCCGGGATCCGGGGTGGCTCGCCCGCTGTTGACCAGAATGCCTGGAGGCGATACAGCCCTATCGCGAGATGGTGTCGTCGGACGCGAAGGTGGCCGCTTGGTGTGTGGCTTGGTATCGAAGGACACCGACTTCCTCACAGACCCTGTGGGCGTGCTCATGGTTCTCTCCCGTGTTCCCGTCTTCTGAGGGGATATTGAACGCGCTTCCGAGGCATCGCTGACCTTCTGCGACATGGTTCGCGAGCGCGGAGATTCGGTAGGCTGGCTGAAGGGCACCTTAGAGGTTGTGCGCGCCTCCTTCTGCGCAGACTTCGGTCGCGTCACCATGCCAGGCATTGCAACTCCGCCCTTCCCAAAGATTGGATGTGGCGCGTCAACTCGAGTGCGCTGCTCAAATTGGGTGGGATCATGAGCGTCCTGTTGGGGAGCGTGCTTCTTCAGTGGGGGTCCAGCGGCCTTGCTGCCTCCCATGAATGCCGCAAGCGACATTGGCTCCGGCCGATTAGTGCTGGGACGAGGTGTTGATGCGCTTGCGCCAGTGAGCCTGCGCAGTGCGTCCTCCTGAGTCTTGACACGATCTGTGGCATCAGGAGGTTTGCTAGACGTCGGGGAGCGATCATCCTTGAGAGCACCCGCAAACTCCTTGTGCTGAGCTATCCAGCTTATGAGTCGCGCCGATGCGCATGATGCGAGCGACTCACAGAGATCGAGACTGTTATTCCGGCTTCCTACACCATGGCTTCGGCGCATGCGAGCGATTCTCGACGCCTGAATTTCTGCCTCCAAGCGCTTCTGCTCGGCCTCTTCGTCTGCGTCGACCTGCCGCTGGAGGGCCTTGATCCGACTCGTCCACTCCGCCAGACCGGTCTCCTCAGGCTTGGGGATGTCAAAGCTACGAAACTTGGAGGAAGGCGTTGAGGGTTCCATCGGTCAGGTAGATCAAGGGCGTAGAGTCACAGGAGGGCGAAGCGGTCGTGCATGAGAGAGCAGAGGCAGGCACAGCGCAGGCGCGTATTACGGACACGGGCACGTGGCTGGTTCGAGTTGGACCCACACCACCACACAACATTAGCTCGAGTCTTCCACAAGTGGGAACATGATATGACATGTAAGATATCCAGTGAAGAGATGTCAGACAAGGGGGATGGGCTCACAGTAGATTGTGTCCGTTCAGTCACACACTCTGGGTCCACTTCCTACCACTTCCTATCTCATAGCACCCCTCCCAGAAATTTACTGAGGAGTTCTCAGCGAAGCGAGAGAGTACATCGAGATGTAGAATGTGAAGGAATTCCCGTACGGCTGGGCGCGCGCTAGCCAATCAGTTTGCGTTCAGTTGTATTTCGATCCCCAGATGGAACATGAAGCATGAAGACCATACCTCAATCTACGGAACTCGTGCAAATAAACCTCGTGGGGTTCCAAAGACTCTACGGACACACTCTACTGATAAGGTTCGATTTCATTATGCGCGTGGGCGTGTGCTTACTGTAGCGTAACGAGCGAAAAGTACGAGAGAGCGACAGGGATATACACAAAACAGCACGCTGATTACAACTAACCCAGCAGAGCGTATGCAGAAGCCAAAGTAAAGGGGCAGGCAACAAGGGGGCCAAGCAATGCCCCTGAGGTCATTGTAGTGAGGGCAGCGTTGGAGTCTCTAGTAGAAGAGGCGGTCTCGGTGGACGCGGTCTGCTTGATACCGCTGGGCATGGAATCATCTGGTGAAATACATTGAAGTGAGGACATCGACCTGGTAGACTAACAACGTACCAATGAAGTCATTCCCGCACTTCCCCTGAGCAGTCTCCTCATTGACAAGTTCGATGTTCGGCGAGAGGGTGCTGTAGAATGCCTTCACACAGTCCGTGCAGGTGATATTTGAGGGCACAGTCAGGTCGTCGCTTGTCAGGATCTTGTAGATGTTGTTCGGCGTGAGGGGGCCAAACATGTCCTGGAAATTGTTGAGGGTTTGCGACACGCAGTTGGTGTCCCCGCTGCGATGGCCGGTCAGTTCGGGATTCCTTCAGCGCAACGAACTTCGATCACGCACTCTGACAAGCATAGCAACTCTCGTAGAGTCGGGTACACCCCCTGTATAACCTGGGCGATGGCGGAGGCGGCGTCCGACGAGATTCCGAAGGTGTTGAGCTCAGTCGAGCAGCCATGGGTGATGTTCGCAGTGATCGACCCAATGATCTCGTTGCTGCACGCCGGCGCAGGGCATATCCTCTCCACCCAATCGCTGATCGGTGTCACGATGGACGCGTCCCCCGAGAGCATGGGCACCAGCGAGGAGACACTGAGACATGCGCTAGCATCCGGGTTATTGGCGACATTGAGGATGGCCGTCGTACAGTCGCCTGTGAGCCTGATCATTCGATCATCAGTACGGTCGAAATATTCAGAGATGACGACCACGCACTGCGCTGCAGCTAGTCCGACGGCCGACACGGCCAGGAGGCCGGCGACGGCAGCACGAGGCATCGTCGACTCCAAGAAATGAGCGTTGAGGACGTGGATGATCGCGGCAGTCGGCACACTTTATACCGCGCATCCGCCGTAAATACGAGCCAGCGCAGGGTGGGCGGTTGTCATCATGAGGTCTTCTTGAGTTCGTCACCGAGCATGGTGATTTGCGAGCGATTGGTTGTCTGATCCGGGCTTCTGAGCGTATGGAGGTCGATGAAGAGATGATAGCGGGGTTTCCTCCGGATCACACGTCGTGGACTAGTCGGCCTCGGCAATGCTGTCGGTACAGTAGCAGTCATCGACATTGACAAGGCCAGCCTGAGGCCGACTTCAGAGCCGCCAGGAGCACCTCCATGCCCTATCGTGCCTGTCTTTGGAGAGCGAGCGAGCTGCGAAGTGGCTGGCACCGTGTTGACTAGCATCGCACAGTTCATCCGTCCATTGACTACGATAGCGTCAGACACAAGGTGCAATGACCTCGCAAGGCGAGGTAATAGATAGATCTTCAAAGTCCTAGGATAAATACTACGCACACGCTCAACCCAACAGCGCGAACACCGACCCCACAAACGCCATGGCGAGCCCACTCGAGCCCGTCAGCGAAAGCGCGCCATCGTTGTCACCCTGTGAGCTCGACGCGGTGTCCGTGGACGCGGTCTGCTTGATAGAGGAGGGCGTCTGTCCGTCTGCGGATTGTGTTAGCATGATAGCGGCGAGGCTACAGAATGACAGGTCCAACGCACCAACGAAGTCATTGCCGCACTCTGATGCCGCGTCGTCCTTATTGACAATGCCAAAGTCCGAGGCGACCGTATTGTAGAGGGCCTTCGTGCAGTCCGTGCAGGTAATGTTCGAAGGCAACGTCACATCGTCGCTCCCGAGGACATTTTGGATGTTCGTCAGCGTGAGGTCGCCGTACGTGGTCTGGAAGTTCTGCAAAGTCTGGACGATGCAGTTCGTGTCGCCGCTGCAAAATCGCAAGATGTCAGCAATGCCTACCTCGCGCCAGGCACGCCGCAAAGACTCACTCCGACAAGCACAGCGCCTCGCGCACGGTTGGGTAGTAGCTCTGGATGATTGGGATGGCATCCTGGGCGTCGCCGGTGGAGATCCCGTACGACTCGAGCTCCTGCGAGCACCCCTGCGTGACGTTCGTCGTGATCGCGGAAATGGTGTCGTTGCTGCAGGCAGCGGCGCCGCAAATGTTGCCCAGCCAGTCTGAGATCGGGCCGACGATCGACTCGTCCTGGCTGGTGACGAGGCTGGTCAGGGAGCCCAGGCTCAAACACGCGCTGGCCTCGGGGTTGCTGGCGACATTGAGCAATGCCGAGCTGCAGTCGCTCGAGACCGAGAGCCTATAGAAAGGGTCAGAACATGTCACGTCCGACGATCAGTGGGGAGTACGCACTGCGCTGCGGCCAGCCCGAGAGACGAGGCAAGGAGAAGACCGGAGGCGAAGACACGGGACATCGTGAGCAGCGAGAGGCAGAAGGAAAGACCGTCGAGGGGAGAAAAATAGACGGAAAAGCAGGTACGCGCTCCCTCGATGGGTGCGCCCATTTATACGAGCGCGCCCACATTTGTAAGGGCCGCGTCGCTAAGCGCCCTGGGCACTTGTCACCATGAGACATGCGTTCAATTGTGTGAGCCTCAGTGTGCGGTCTCGGGCTGCTCTCGGCAGCCTGCGGATACCGCGCATGGGTGTGAAAAGCGGTGCCGCTCGAATGGAGTCTGAATCAGTCGGGAAGATCGGAAGCAGGGGGCGATGAGGCCGAGGGCCTGCATAAGGCATGTGACCTCTCGGGGCCGCTACCGCTCTCCACGGATGCCTGTTGACTATGGCAACCTGGGATAGATGCCATCGTTAGTTCAATTGCTTTATGCTTTTTCGAGATCGGAGAATTCAGTGGACGTGGGCGCTTTTGTCCTAGAACAGTATGCGAACTGTGCTGGAAACCCTTTCAGCGAAGAGCAAGAGCACGGAAGCGAGTTAAGCAACGAGTACAATAGTAATACAGGCGCGGCCGCTGTAAGATAGAAGCAAGACAAGAAATTGCGGTGCAGATGGAGGCTGGGCGGACGGTCATCCGAGATGACAGTGCTAGCCGTACCACTTGTCCCCAAGCTTCGTCTTGGCCGCAGCGCGCTTGGGGACCATGGGCTTCGTGATGTTGAATACCTCGATGGCACGCTGGAAGGGCATGGTGAGCATGACTTTCTCGGCCAGTGGTTCTCGGCTGGACATACCCGCCATGTGGCAACGTCGAACTCGAGTACCATTTGTTGCTTGCGCAGACCATTGGCGTACTCTTCCTCTCCTGCTGGAGAGCAGGCGTCTAAAACCGAAACAGTAAGAAATAATCAGCAGTTGGATAATTGGTGATTTCAGTTCGGAAACGTACAAATGAACGGCTCCTTCGTGTCTTCATCATACTCGAAGGCAACTTTGCCGTCGCGGATGAGGAAGGACAGATAGAATATATTCTCGACGGACTGAGCGAAGTCCTCTGGGTTGATGACGAACTCGAAGAGGTTGACCCTCCCGGGCAAATCGTCCCATTCTGGGTCATATTCGTCGGGTCGGTTGGCGTACTTTTGATGGCGGGCGCGGTTCTGTGCCTCTTGTCGTATTTGACACTCGTCCGTAAGTATGTTTTCGAGCTGAGGAATGATTAGACAGGAGGAAAGCAAGAGCTTGGCGCATACGAACCTGAATGACGTTCTTTGTTGTCTCGTTCTCCGCGCGTTGGATGTCTTCTTCGCGAATTTCTTGAGGTTTCTTCCTGTCCGACTCGTTCCTCTCGAGCTTGGCGCGCTTTATTGGCCCACGTTTCTTCGCTTCTATAGACAAGGGTCCAAGCCTGGTTTACCCCCTATTCAGACGTCGTAAATCGAAGTTTATTGTTTACTCACATGAATGTCATCGCGGGTACCCTTCGGCTCTTCGCCAGAGCTTTACGGCCGATAAGATCCCATTCAAGATAGTCGTCCGCGTCTAGTCCATCATCAACTTCACCATCATCACCGATGGTCCGCTTGCCACCCATGAAGGTGACCAGTTTGGCGACGAACTCGTCGACGTCGAAACCTCCAGCACCGGCCCGCATTGCGCGGGCCTTTTGTGCACCCATCTTGGAGGCGGCAAGGAGGACTTGCGAATCAAGTGTAGCTTCTTGGGGGGCCTTGACTGAAAGGCAGGTGAGGGGGAGACATTGAAGTAGGGGACGATGGTAGCGCACCTTGTTCATAGTTACTGTCCGCTTCTCGGATGATTTCAGCAATCCCCTCTGCCGTCACGTCGTGCATATTGGACTGCCCTACACATATATTCAGCAAAGACGCTTCCAGTGGGTCAACTGCGCACATACCCTCATCGAGGCGCTTCGTCAAGTCGCGATAGCGCTTCCGGACGTGGCGCTTCTCTTCCTCATTCTGGTCCGGGTCATACGCGTCTAGAAAGGCGTCGGTCATTGTCCCCCTCGCACTATTATGTGAAGCTAACGTACCTTCCATGTGGATGTCCTGCATTTTAGAGTGCGTCTGTGGGAACAATCGCGGCGCGCGTGATGGGCGGGGAAGAGATCAGAAACGTGACGTGACTGGACGCGTCGGGCGCTTGTCACAGCGTGTTGGTGCCGCAATTGGTCTTCATCATCTTGACCGTTCCCTTCATGCCCATACGATATGGCTAGCTCGCATGTCTTTGGAGTAGGTATAGTAGTCGAAGGGGAAGCTGTGAGCTTACTCTCCATACAGTATTCGAAGAGTACACGAGCCAAATGCCATGGGCCGCCCCCTTGTAAGGTTAGTGTAATTGCGCAGCAATTTCCCTTCATCATCTGAAGAATGCAGGGGTCCCCTATGGCACCCGGTAGCCTGAGATACGGACAGCTTAAATCGACCAACTTGGGCGAGAATGTAGAGTGGATGCATTGGTGCGTCGATCGGCATGGCATTACTGCCCGAGCTGACCTATGCTCCTCCCAGGGGATGTGTAACGCCTGTTATTCTCGCACAACTTTCCAACGTGAACTTGGAGACAATCGAAGGCTTCAAGGACCTGCAAGCGCATGACCGGCACAAGATTCGAGAGGCCGTCAGGCTGCGGCGCATAGACCCGGCTGATGTTCCCCCAAGTGCCAGAGTCGCGGCTGCACCCCCTCCTGCCTCTCAGACGACAAGGAAGCGGAAGGCACCCGAACCAACCCCGCAGTCCTCTACAAGTCAAGCATCCTTCAGCACGCCCGGTCCTTCTCGACTCTCTCAAGCCATCGAAGACGAGGCCACCGAGGACAATACTGAGGAAGCTGCGGACGAGCTTTATTGCACGCTATCCACGGGTGTTGTGGGTATTCAGTACTACACTGGTATGATTACCCTACTTGCTCTTCCTTCGGGATCTCATCACCTTTTAGGACTCGTTGGCGCCGGCGAAGAGGTGCAGCTCATCCGGGAGCCCAACAACCGCTACGACCGCAATGCCATCCGTGTCTCCAACATCGCGGGCTCACAAGTCGGGCACATTCCCAAGAACGTCGCCGCACGCCTCGCACCCCTGCTAGACCGAGGCGAAATCACTGTTGAGGGCGTCATGAAGCAAGGCAACTGTACGTGCCCCCGTGTGTGCGTCTTTCAGAAAATTATGGATAGCTGACTAAATTACGCAGTGGGCTCAAAGGCCAAAAAGTACAGTTTAGATGCGTAAGTGCATATATCCTCGTTCAACGGGCCATTTTGACCCGAGAGTCAGTGAAATCAGGATATACGGTCGCTCAGACCGACGCCGCGAGCTCGAACCTAAGCTCATCTGGGCAACGCCCGGTCAACGGGGCTTTGAGCAGCTCCGGAACCCCACTGCTTCCTCCTATGGCGGTGGTGGCGGCGGCTACGGCGGCGGCATGCCCCTTCCCCCCATCCCAACGTACACCGGGGCGGCGTCGTCTTCACGAATGACTAATGCCCAGATAGAGGCGCTCAAGAAGCAACAAGAGGCCCTGAACAACGCCGCCGAGCTGAAGCAGATGCTCAGCGGGCTGGAGAAGGTGGACGACGAGTCGCGGAGGAACTCGGTGTTGGATACGTTGTGCTCGGTGGACGATGTGCTGAAGTTGCCGGAGCACCCTGATCCGCCGGGGGTTGCGAAGGGGGATCTGGTGGTGGAGTTGTTGAAGCATCAGGTGGGTTCGGATGTCGTGAATGAAGGCGAGGACTGTGTTGACATTGGTACAGAAACAAGCGCTGCAGTGGGCGATTGAGCACGAGTATCCGAAGCTGCCGGCGTCGGAGAAAGATCCCCCTGTGCAGTTTTGGCAGTACAAGCAGATGGCGGGGAGGGTAAGTCAATGAATGCCGCTGCGACGCTATCATACTCATGCGTCTCGCTAGCCGTACTACTACAACTGTGAGCCATCATCTCTGTCTTTGGGGACCGTGTTTGCTGAAGTAACATAACAGTGGCCACGAAGACGCCTCAAAGTACCGCTCCTACACTTGGCAAAGGCGGTAAGTGCGCCCTTTCGGACAAAGGGGCCTATATGCTAACTCATCATGCAGCCCTGTGCGCGGATGCGATGGGTTTGGTGAGTTATCATTGCGACTTCGCGTACCTTGATACTTGACAAGATATTTCAGGGCAAAACCCTGACCATGATTGCCCTCATCCTCGCCACCAAAGCCGACAAGCCCTCCGGCTGCATCAAGGGTACTCTCATCGGTAGGCCTTCCCTCGCCCTTTCCACCCCTCTTACTCACTCCACCCCCTAGTCGCCCCCCTCTCCATCATCTCCAACTGGGAGAAGCAATTGGAGGACCACTGCGCGCCCGGCGCGCTCAAGTCGTGCACCTACTACGGCGCCACGCGCGGCATGTCAGCCGAGGAGCTGAAAAAGTACGATGTAGTGATCACCACTTACCAAGTTATCTCGGGGGAGTGGGCGGACCGGGCGGGGACCGGGCAGCCGGCGAGGAAGAAAAAGAAGGGCGTGGCGGGGGGCAGTTTGTTCGATGTGAAGTGGAAGGTGAGCAAATATCATAGGCGAGAGCTGAACAGTCTACTGATCGGACGACGTAGCGCATCGTGCTGGACGAGGGGCACAGCATCCGCAACCCAAGAGCGAAGATGACGCAGGCTTGTTGCGCGCTGGAGGCCGACCGTCGCTGGGTGCTGACAGGCACACCTATTGTACGTACCCTGCTGCTCAGCCGTTCCCTTTGTGCTAATGTTTGCCGGCAGATCAACACGCCTCGGGCAAGTGATTGCTCAGATGAAAGCCGAATTTGTCGCTGACGGCGCCCTCACAGGATTTGGGATCTCTGCTATCCTTCCTACGTATCTGCAAGCCTTTGGACGAGGAAGACTTCTTTAAGCGTCTTTTACTGCGCCCGCTGAAGGCCGGCGATCCATCCGGGGCGGAGATCTTGAGAGTAAGCCGGTCGATGTCGGCAAGCTTTTTACAAAGTCTGACAAGGGGTTCGCAGGCCTTGATGGGCCAAATTTGTCTGCGCAGGACCAAAGAGGCAAGGCTTTTTTGCTCTACGAACTTGATATTTGCTCGTACTCAACCTTATCCAGATGCAAGACTCGGAAGGCACTTCACTTGTTCCATTGCCTCCTGTTGATGTCACGGTCGTTCCTGTTGCTCTCGATCCAGAGACAAGGGCAAGCAGTCTTATGAGCACGGTCGACATACTGGCTGATGTGCACGCAGAAAATATACGACGAGGTCGAGGAATTGTCTCGCCAACACGTCGAATCGCTCATGAACTCCACCGACAACCGGATGAGCGCAGTGTGTACTCATCGTTCCTTCAGACCCGCTTGCGAGCTGACCCTCTTTCAGAACACCGCCAGCGTCCTCAGCATGCTCACCCGTATGCGTCAGCTAGCCCTCCATCCGGCACTCATTCCGCCCGACTACCTCGAGCAGCTCAAAGCCGGGCAGGAGCAGGGCGGCGCTGCCCCAGTCAAAGTTATCTCGCCCGCGGACCGGGCCCGTCTGCAGGCCATACTCGCTCGTCACATCGAAGACTGCGAGGAATGCCCGATCTGCTTCACCATTCCCAACGACCCCAGGATCACGTCGTGCGCGCATATGTTTTGCTTGCCTTGGTGCGGGGATGCTCTTGTAGCAATATACGACCTGGAACACTGACACCTACCGCTCACGCAGCATCACCGAAGTCATCGCCCGGGACCCCAAGTGCCCCATGGACCGCCGGCCGCTCACCCTCGGCGACCTCATCGAGCCCGCGCCGCCCATGGACCTCACGCAGGCGCCCGTCAGCGAGTTCGAGGAGGACCGCACGGGCATCCGCGCGGGGTCGTCGGCAAAGATCGACCAGTTGGTGAAGCTGCTGCAGCTGAATCCGCCGGCGGATAAGTCGCTGGTGTTCTCGCAGTTCACGTCGTTTCTGGATAAAGTGAGTTGCCAGAGGTGGATGAGGTGGTAGAAGGTTGCTGATGATATGGTTCGCTTAGATTGCGGAGGCGTTGGATGAGGCTGGGTGGGTGGTTTTGTGATATGGGAGCTGACTCGACGCTGATCAGTCTTCCGTAGCATTCCCTATGTTAGATTCGATGGTCAGATGTCCGGCAAGGTTTGTTTAGAACAAGTCGCGAATGCTCGTACGAAGCTGACATCGCTTCCAGAGACGCGAAGAGGCTATACGTCGCTTCTCCGTGCCCATAAAGCCAACCGACACTGGTGCCGCCATACCTACCCCAACACCAGCTGCAGCTCGCCCTCTTGCGGGCGGCCCTTCGCCCATCAAGCCTCGCCGCCGTGCTCAACGCACTGGCAAGGCAATCGTCGATTTGGACAGCGACGACATCGAGGCTGCGGGTGATGACGATTTCGTCATGAACGGGGAGGACGACGACGACGACTTTGAGGAAGACTTCGCTCAGGCGATCAAAGGAAAGGGCAAGGGCAGAGCGACAGCGCCATCGAAGTCAGCCGCGTCGAACTGGCTGCCGGGCGGCGTGAATCCGAAGGTTATGCTCATTTCGTTGAAGGCGGTATGTGTTTTTGTTCGATGTTCAGTACATGAGGCTGACCATGCGAAAGGGTGCTCTGGGTCTGAACTTGACAGTGGCGAACAATGTCTACCTGTAAGTTCTCGTACTCAGCTTGATCTCGCAATTGATACTGAAGTGATGTGCCTTCGCAGGATGGACCCGTAAGTCTTCTGTCGTGCCACTCACGGACAATGCGCTCATACCTACTAAGCTGGTGGCAAGAAGGCATCGAGAGTCAGGCTATCGACCGCGTCAACCGAATCGGCCAGACGAAGCCCGTGCACGTTTATCAGATGATCGCTGAGGACACGGTTGAGTCCAAGGTGCGTTGACCGCGCATCCTATTGAGCCACTCTTAACAGTTATTTTCAGGTCCTCGAGATCCAGGAGCGCAAGAAGAAGCTGATTCAGCAGGTCGGTTCATATCATGGTAATCCTGACCGTGCACTGACCTCTTGCAAGGCCTTCTCCGGCATGAAGCGCACGGAGACGCAACGCCAGCAGCGTGAGGCCAGACTTCAGGGTGATGTTCTATGGTTTTGGCATCGTACCATTGCTGATATACCTGCGTAGACCTCATCCAGATCTTCGGCGTACAGCAGAACGGGCAAGGGAATGCTTAGAACTAAACTGAACTGCTTGTGCTGCTATTTTTCTGCTTAGAACCCCCTCCACCTACTTACATTTATCCGGAACAAGCTGTTTACTAACGTACCTACTTGTGCTAATACATCTTGGGCTGCAACCCACTGTTTATTGGTAGCCTTTGTTCTCCCTGATGGGGTTATTGCCTGATCATCGGCCCGCATAGTTAGTGATGCGCCTTGGCCTTGTAGACTGCTCACATCTTGCTTCCATCATGGCTACCCCCCAGCCCCTTCTCACTGACCTGCATGTGAAGTACATCCAACGTCTGGGGAAGGTCAGAGTTGCAAAGAACCAACCTCAACAACATCCTAATGTCCCCAGAGTAAAGATGATCTCGCGTACCATCTCACTGCCCATCTGCGGCTAAATGCGATCTACTGGGGCTTGACTGCGCTATGTGTAATGGGGAAGCCGGACGCGCTGGAAAGGGATGAGCTTATTGAGTTCGTCTTGTCATGTTGGGATGAGGAAGCAGGTGAGAACGGGACGACATAGCCCGCAAGTCGAAAGCTGATGCAGGGACAGGCGCGCTTGGCGCACATCCGGACCACGACGCGCACATGCTCTCGACCTTGAGCGGGATACAGATCCTGCTCGAGCTAGACGCGATAGGAAGACTCGACGTCGACCGCGTCGTCAAATGTACGTGCTGCGTTCCCCTTCCTTACCACCCTTCTCACACCCCAAACAGTCATCCTCTCCCTACAACAACCGTCCGGTGTCTTCGCTGGCGACCGCTTCGGCGAGATTGACACGCGCTTCACATACTGTGCCATCAACGCCCTCTCCCTTCTGGGCCGCTTGGGCGACTGGCCTGAAGAGGCGCGCAAGCGCACTATCAACTACATCCGCGAGTGCCACAACTACGATGGGGGATTCGGCAACGTCGTCGGCGCCGAGAGCCATGCTGCGCAGGGTGATTGCCACTCTGTCCTTTGGCCCTCTGGCTGAACGCTGACAATGTTTTTGTAGTGTTCGTCTGCATGGCGGCGTTGACAATCTTGGACGCAGTGGACGAAGTGCTGTCACCAGACGATCAGGAGACGGTGTCCTTCTGGTTGAGCGAGCGACAGCTGCCGAACGGTGGTCTGAACGGCCGACCAGAGAAGCTCGAGGACGTTTGTTACTCGTTCTGGGTACTCTCTGCCCTCGCCATCCTCAACAAGCTGGAATGGATCGACCGGGATAAGCTCGTTTCGTTTATCTTGAGCGCGCAGGTTGGTTCATGCTCACTTGCTGCGTACCGTATATACTTACCTCGCTGTACAGGACACAACGAAGGGTGGAATTGCAGATAGACCCGAAGACGAGCCCGATGTGTTCCACACGCAGTTCGGCGTCGCTGGTAAACCTACTCCTTCACGCACCTCGTATCGCTCACGCTTACCCAGGCCTTTCTCTCCTTGGCTACCCCGGGCTTGCAGACCTCGACCCAGTATACTGCATGCCTGCCGCGCTGATTGAGAAGATGGGCCTCCGGAAGCGCTGGAAGGCATTGCCTCGTCAATCCACCGCTTAGCAGACGACGATATCTGTCGATGCTGTACGCGAGCTATCGCTCGCAATGTTGAATGCTGTAACAGTATCTACGGGATAAACAATAATGTTCAGGATATACAGTGGCCGCTGAACACAAGTCGGACACACTGGTACACGAATACATCGAAGCTGAGGGTCAAACTTGATGGGGAGACCCATAAATCATGTCTCCTTCACCCTAACATCCGCCGGCTCCTTCTCGCTCGCACCCTCCTTCTCACTTACCCCATCCCTCGACACCTTCTTCACAATATCCTCACTCTGCAACTCATCCTCCCCCTCGATCACATTCACGCCCATCGCCTCCGCCTCGATCTGCTTGACGGGGCCCGTGAACCACTTGCGCGCGCTGAGGAGCCAGAAGCCGACGCTGTAGGTGATGACGATGCCGACGGCGACGGGGGCGTAGTTGAGCGTTTGGGAGTTGACGGGCTGTGAGGAGGGTTAGTTGAGTGTCGGGTGAGCGTCAGGTTGAGGGCCACGTCGAAGACCAGTGTCGAAGGTGAGGTTCGGTGGACGAGAATAACCGGCGAGAGGTGGACGAAAGAGGAGAAAGTGTGGTGAATGGACGTACATTTATCGTCGGCAGTACGAACACTATGGCGATGAACATGATCCACACGACCGCGGTCATGGCCACAGGGAAAGAGAAGGCGCCCAGATGAAAAGGTCCGCGGACGAAGTGCTTGTGATTCATGACGCGGAGAGCAATGGGGATGGCTAAGGAGAGGAGCAGACATTAGATTACAACCGTACTTACGGCTCGAGATCGCAATGCACATACCGTAAGAGATATACAAGCCGATCGTCGCAATGGAGGTCGCCGCGGAGAACGCGACATCGCTGCCCAGACTAGGCAGTCCGAGGATGAAGCTGAGGGTGCAGGCCAGCCATACTATGTGGAGTCAGGACGCGGTCAGAAACGCGGGGCGATAGACTCTACCTGTGCGAATCGGCGACCTCCACTTCTTGTCGACATGGGCGAACCACTTGCCGCCAGGGATGCCACCTAGCAGGGAGAGTAAGATTGAGTACAGTGAATACTTAGATGAATTTGAAGGGCTCACCGTCGCGCGAGAACGCGTACATCATCCGCGAGTTGGATGTGATTGAGAAAGTACTGAGACAATATAAGCTCGAATCGCCTCAGCCGACGCAGAAGTGTACGGACCCGCAGAAGTACATGCAGCCAATGATGATGACCTATCACGCCGTCAGGTCAGCTATCCCAACAACATTGTTGTGCGCTCGCGGAGCTCACCATAAGCACAATGGCACCATCCGTCCCTACGGCATCAAGTAGGATTTGCGCTACCGGCTGCCCGGTGCTCGTGTTCGCGACGGCGTCGTAGTCCTGAATTGAGAACAGCAAGCCAAGCAAGAGATACCAGCCGAGGATGGCTGAGACGCCGATGGCCTGATTGTTGCGTCAGTATAGCCGAGAAAAATGTACGCTTTAGGAAGAATATATGCCCGAGGAGGAATATATGCGCGAGGAAGAGGACAGTGAAGGAAGGCGTACCATGACGATGCCAATCGAGCCTGACATTGCCGCATTGCGAGTCTCCTCAGTCATCTATAAGGCTCTGAGTCCATGCCATTCGATCCTCTGACGGCAGGAAACGTACGTGGGCACTGGCGTCGAAGCCTGATTAGGACATCAGCGATAGTCGTCATGAATAGTTAGGGGACGACTTACCAGTCAGAGTATACTACGCAGCGGCGAGCTTCTATCAATATCTTATCGTTCAAATAAGAGCTCCAGCCTCACTTGCGCCATTAGAATCTGTCAAAAAGATAGTCCCGGCATCAGTAACCATCCTCATAGGAAGCCCGGCTATCCTCACCCCGATAACAGCAACATACGCATTGCTCGCCCTCGCGCCCCAGCCGATGCTGTTCTCATCCGCCGCGGTGCCGTCGATGAACTTGAGGAAGACGTCGTGGCCAGACTGGTGCGTGGGCGCCTTGGCGAGGACGACAATGACAAGGACGATCGTGCCAAGGGCGTGCCACCAGACGGAGATGTTGTTGAGGTGGTGGAGGATGTGGACACCGAACGTGTTAATGAGGCCCTGGGTGACGAGGACGGCGGCGTAGATGCCTTTTTTCTCGTTGTCAGATCGGTGTTTAGTACTCAGCAGCAAGTGACGCACCGATAGTCGTATTCGCATCCGGTACGAAGGATGTCTTGAACGTGCACACCGTAGAGATGAAGTTTGCGCAGCCGAAGCTGATACCGGTGGTGACGGCGACTTGGCCCAGCAGGTTGAACCAGCCGGTGATCCAGGACATGATGGCGGCTGATCGTGGTGTCGAGAGCATCGCTGCCCAGAAGTAGGGCCCACCCGAGGTAGGGTGAGCGCTTAGCCGGAAGTCAGCTACAAGGAACGGCGAGGTGTGGGGAGAGGAATCTACCTGCAGACTTCCGCCATGGCCATCCCGACCATGAGGGTGAAGAAGGCTGTAGGTTATTAGACTCGAGATCTCATAGAAAGCTGTAGACGTACAGACGATTACCCAGCCCCAGACCATGACAGCAGGACCTCCCGTGGACTAGCAGAAATCAGAGACCTTGAGCAGAGTACGCACGCGTCAGACGTACCAAGCCATACGCAAATAGAGATGGTATCCCAGTCATGACGGAGATGATGGAGAACGACACCTATTGAACGGTGTCAGACGGAGGACAAGTCTGACCGACTGCTATCGTACCCCGAAGTTCTGCAAATGTGCATTAGCCTCCATATCATCCACTCGCCCACATTACACTCACCTGCAGGACTCCAAGCTCACGCCTGGTCGTCCGATGAGGATTGCCCAAAAGTCGGGTAGGGGAACACTCACTTGAGCTCCTGTTTGTAGCCCATACGCGCGAGCTCGGCCTCATCTCCGGCCATGGTCGCATTCGTCTGCGCTTCCTTGTCTGCCATTTTTGCTGGCAGTCTCGGGGCGTCGCGGTGATGGAAGAAGAGCGCAAGCAAGCGATTAGGCGCCCCAAGAGATTATAAGGAACCCGGCGTACCATGATGGCTGCGGCGGTGGGCGGATATCAGCATCATCACATAGATACGCGCCCAGCACCTCCGCCAGGACGTGCATACAATGGAAGAAGCGCGTGAAGTTCACATGGGCAGGTGCTTATCGCGCCGCGGCGGTTGCCGGCAGCAGATATTCAAGACATCTTCGGAGCGCCGTCGAGCGGGGCATCGCTCCTTGCAGCGATCGCGGCTATAAAATCAAGAGCTTTGGTCGTTATCTGACATGAACATAGATATGATAATAATGATATGGGCGGAGACAAAGTGCCAATTTGTGGAAGAACAATGGGCATGCCATATATGGCCTTGTTTGTCTGCGTTTTTGATCTCCGCTCTGGTTCCGCTCCGGTCGGCACTAGCCCGCCGCTTGCTCTCATCCATCATCACATTCCCTACCTTGGCGTATTTCTGTCATGCAGGGAACGACATACTCGGTGACCAGTACATGGCATGGGCAGGATATGCAGAAATACCCAGCGTGGTCGAACGCAGAATACGACCACGAGCGACGTCCGTTACGCGCCGCCCAAATCCATGTCGACGGCTCTCTACTTCCAAGTGCCATACCGCCCACACCGAGTTACGGCGCATACGACTTCTCTTCAAACACCGCTTCTCAATCGGGATCGCGCCACTGGACGAAGGACCATGGACCGATGGACGTGGACGCGCCTAACACGGATGAACGCCACTCTTCCACATCGAACACCTTCCTCCCCACACCACCCCTTACGAACAGGTCGCCCATAGGGCCTACAAGCTTACTGCCTTCCTTGAATCCCCAAGTTTCTGCCCAAGCAGCATCTTCAACAACCATCTTGCCGCAGACATTCTTCTCATTCGATACCCGCATATCCATCAGCATTCAAGGACGCCCCATAACTCTGGACCTTCGTGCACTCGAGAACGACCCGCAAGTGATCATGGAGCTCTTGCGAGCGACGGACGCGGAACGTGCCAATTGGCTGATCGCTGCAGTGTACTTTCGCCGCGCCGGTAATCCCGCAGCTGCTATTGCTATCGCTAACTCTCTAATTGAAGGTCAGGGTCTTAGATCATCTCTTCACACACGTCTTTACATCTAACGCGCGATCAGTCATGAATGCGCATAGCGTCCAAGAACAGGATCGCCATCCCGCGTATATCTTGCTTGCCGGATGCGAGTCTGACCTGGGCAAAGTGGCCCGGCGTGTGGATCCTGACAATGGAGACGCGAAGAGGCATTTCGAGAGCTCTCGACGCTGGTTGCAAAGGGTGTACGGCGTCAACGTGCCGGACGATACCACTCCGCTTGGTACGACAATGACGACACCACTCACAACGACCTCGCGACCGGACAAAGACACGCCTCGCGCGCCGCATTCTGCACAAGACCAACAGGGAGCGGAAGTCTCTTCGCCTACGAGTTCGCGTATCGCCAAGTACAACAAGGTCCTCGAGCGGGAGGTGGATTGCCTCCGGGACAGACAGAAGCGCAACGAGGGTATTATGGACGAACTCCGCCGCGAGAAGCGAAGAGCCGAGGACGAACTGGAGAACGAGAGAACTGTACGACGCCGTCTGGAACGGCAGGTGTCCGAGCTGGAAGTGGAACGGGATTCGGCTCTGCGCATGGAGGCTACCGCCTTACAGCAAGCACGACAAGAGGTGGAATCTCGACGGCGGGTGCAGGAGGCCCTGGCGGAAGAGCAGGAGCGCAGGCGGGAGTTGGAGAGCAGAACTGGCCAGGTTCAAGGTCGACCGCTTCTGGAGGATCTCGCAAGGTTATTCCAGCAGACGTCGCAGGAGAGGTTCCCGACGACTGGCAACACGACGCCCTACGGTGGATACGCGACGCACGGTTATGGCTCGCCGTCCACCTTCCGCTAATACACGCATCGGAAACGCAGCATAGGCATTTTGTAGCACTCAGTCATTCACGGGTTGCATGGATCAATTGTAGCATTTTGCATGGATAGTCTGCACCACGTCTGAAGGCATCGGATAAAGGAGCGGAGTTGTGGGTCCAAACGCGGAGCGCCACAAATCACGTCGGGTTTTCCCGAAGCTGCTGTACAGGTCAAGCCAGCTCGCTCCACGTGACGTGCACCTGCCGATTGCGAACAGTGAGCTCGTCGTGCCCAACGTCCCGCTCGCCGCCTGAATTTACGATCCAGCAAGGTCCACCACCGGCCCCCTCAAGACTCATCAAAATGGCCGCCACGACTTTGCCAAAAGACATCTCCAAGCTCGACCAGGAGGTCAAGCTTTTCGGGAAGTGGGACACCCAGGAGTACGTGCCCGATTTGAGTTATGGATAGTGCAGGAAACTGATCTGCATGCGCGCCACAGTGTTGAGGTCAAGGATATCTCCTTGACGGATTACATCCAGACGCGCCATGCTGTCTACCTTCCCCACACGGCCGGCCGCTACCAGAAGAAGCAGTTCAAGAAGGCGCAGATGCCGATCGTTGAGCGCCTCGTTGACAGGTGTGTTGTGCGCGTACCGCAGAGGTTGCCCGTGCTGACGATTGCTAGCTTGATGATGAAGGGCCGCAACAACGGCAAGAAGCTCATGACCGTCCGGATCGTCGCGCACGCATTCGAGATCATCCACCTCCTCACCGACCAGAACCCGATACAGGTGCGTACTCTATGACATTAGATGCAAGACCCCTTGTTAATTATGTACGCAGGTTCTCGTTGACGCCATTGTCAACACTGGTCCCCGTGAAGACTCCACCCGTATCGGCTCGCAGGGTACCGTCCGTCGCCAGGCCGTCGATGTCTCCCCCCTCCGCAGAGTAAACCAGGCGATCTCGCTCCTCACGATCGGCGTATGTTACTCACGTCCATTCGCATGATCGCGCCCACTAACACTCATCCAGACGCGCGAGTCCGCGTTCCGCAACGTGAAGTCGATCGCCGAGTGCCTGGCTGACGAGCTCATCAACGCCGCCAAGGGCTCGTCTAACTCGTACGCCATCAAGGCCAGTATATTCCCATTACTTCCCCTGCCGATCGCTCATACCCCCTTCCCCTCCAACAGAAGAAGGATGAGCTCGAGCGTGTCGCCAAGTCTAACCGGTAATCGCCCTCTCCCGCTTGTCGGTCCTCCTGTGGCGGATCCCAGGATCGGTGGCCGGAACTGGGAGCTCTGTCGGCTGCTACAGTATATGGTCGCCCTCGCATGTACTCATATGACCACTATGTCGCACCCATGCACATTCACTCAATATGCTCGTCTAAGCTTGTCTTTGGAGTCGGCGTGTCTTCTCTGCATTGCGTTCGGGGAAGGGAAAGAAGCTGCTTTCTGCGTTAGCGTGCGTGCGAACTGCGAACTGCGAGCTGCGCGCATCGTCGTGCGTATCTTGGGGAGCTCACGTAGCAAATGGAGTACGCATGTGTGCAATGCTTCGCCACCCCCTCTCGCGCCTTGCCACGCTCGCGGCGTGATAGCCCCCGGTTCCTTGCTCTGGTCCTATGCCCATGTGCGGACAGCTCATGCTCGCGGCGGATAAGCAGCTGCCACCGCCGCACGCCAAACGGGCGCCGTCCAACGTGTCTTCCAGCTTCCCGTAATACAGTCGCAACTGTCACGCAGTCATCTGCTCCTACCCAGCTGAACGTGCAACGTCCACCCCCACAATTTATCCAGTCAATCTGACGTACCTTCCGACTCCCTATGTCGGATATCGCTAAAGCGAACCAAGTTCTCACTGATGGGCCCATCGCCCCAAGCACCTGCGAGCTCATCTCACCAATCGCAGTCCCACGAACGCCGAACGCGATTCTGATTCTTTGCAATGCAATTTCCAGTTCCAGTCCAGTCGATTCCAATTGTTACAAGTTATACTCCTTCCAGACAGGCAATTGACATTGGAACCAAACGATATATGATAGAAACAACCGGTGAGAGAGATGAATGCCCAGCGATGATGATATGCGCGCGAGATATGGGGGGAGATGGGAAGGTGTCCGCAACAGGCCGTAGTACGTACGACCCGCACTCGGTGGCGAGATGGGGGGAGCAATCCGCCGATAGCAGGCGAAATCCCGGGATAGCGTGTACGCGAGGGCTTGTCTGGCAGAATGCACAGCACCATAGCAAGCGGATCGGCGGTGGGTGGTGGATGGGATGGATGGGCGGAGGATAGAGGATAGGGCGGGTGGGGGCTAGGGCAATTTAGAGCGCAGAATAAATAGGGTACGCGATATGTAGATGATGATGGAGAGCTTTTGCAATGATGACGCGACAGCAGAGCAGGATTGCGGGAGAGGAGACGGGATACAGATGCGCAGGGTGTTCGTGTCTAGGGCTACAGAGGCGTCGGTGGGACGGCAGCGACGCGATGCGGCGTGAGGTAGCAGCGCTGAAGACCGGAGATGGCAGGTGTCGTCGGGCCTCTCCGGTAGGTGTTTCAACTCCCTGAGATCTGTTCCACTTCGCTCCGAAGAGCTAGCACGGCAGCTGTGGACGGCGGCGCAGGCGTCGACGGACGCCGAGGGCGGAGGAGTAGAACCCGGCGAGGTATCACCGCGCGGCGGAGGGAGTGCCACCTCCGTTAGCCGTCGTGGGCTTTGGCACGCAGCCCTCGAGGCCCATGTATCCGTACTTCGGGGCGAACTCGCTCATCATCCCTCTGCCGATGAGGACGACCCAGGCGAGGCCTTCGCCGGTGGCGCACGATGTTGGCCAGAACAGCTCGCCATCGTTGTCGTCAAAGTCGACCTCCCACTCGTCTGTAGGCAGCAAGCACGTCTGCATGGCGCGCGTGAACGTGCGGGGGAAGTTGCGCATGAGGATCGGGAGGTTCAGAAGCGACTCGGCCTTCTGCATGGAGTGGGCGATGTCCATGATGTCGTCAGTCTGTGCTTTCCAGTCCGCCATCTCACTTGGGGCAACGCGTATCCGCGCTTCCAACATCGCGCGTGCTGCGGGTACCTCCAAGAATGGGACAGACGGATCGGGTAGCAGTGACGGAGGAACACCAGACTCCAACGTTGGCACTGTTGGGACAGTCGAAGCCGGTTCAGGTGCAGATACAGGTGCAGCAGGGTTCGGTGTCGCCGTATCGTGCCCTGTTGGTGTCGAGTTCGCACTCTTCGACTCTGCGATGCTGGCGGGCGAAGGAAGCATCTGAGGGGTCCCTGGCTTCGTCGCCGCAGTCCCCTTCGCAGCCTGGTGCGCCTGCTCGGAAGCGACCTTTGCTTTCTCCATCATGACCCCTTGCATGTGGGAGAACAACGAGTCGACGCGGGCCTTGAGGGGAGGCTTCTTGTTGGCGGACTTCTTGTTGCGGTAAACGATACCGCGAGATTTAATGTATGCTCGTAGCATGTTTCTGTCAACACTGTCAGTCTGTGCACAACAAGCGTGATGCGGGTCAGCGTACAGAAGACCAAGGAACGCCTTGTCCATCGCCGACTCCGTCATAGCCTCTGCCCATCGGGTTTGACACAGGGTCAACAACGGGTATAGGGTATCCCACGAGCGCTCATCAAACACATGAGAGAAGTTGTCGCGACACCAAAAGGCGTAGACAAAGTGCAGGACGGCATCCAGCAGCTCGAGCCGCGCGATGGTGCTGCTGTGGATGTGGTACGGGTGGTCCGTTGGGGGCGGATCTGGGAGTGCTGCAAATCGAGTGTTTTTGACGGGAAAGGTAGAATTGTAACGCTTTTCAGCGGACCACTTGAGCAAGCGGGCGATTTCGAAGTAGTGCTTGTGGACGCTCTCGCAGGCTTTGTGGTCCGTGGGCTTGGGCCGCTTCGGGCGGCGGAGCGGAATCGTCCCGGCGAGAACGGGCGCGATCGCCGCCGCGGAATTGGCGGCGCCCTGGTCTCGCGTCGTATCCGAATCCTCGAGCTGCCCTGGGAGGGTGCTGACGGAGAGGTGAGATGGTTGCGGGGCGCGGGAAGGCCGATGGTGCGATGAGGTCGGCTGAGAAGTCGATGGTGCGGAGCTAGAGGCTGGCGCCTCGTCTAGTGCGGGACCCGTGCGCGCGCGCTTGACTGCATCCTGAGACGGTGCTCGCGGGCTTTGCTTGCGCTTGGTGCCGACGACTGGAGGGGTTGGGCGTGATGACGCATGGGGTGCGGGCGCGAGCTCGGGTGAGAGCAGGGGCGGCATGGGGTCGAGCATCTGCCAGGGCAGCGGGGTCAGTGCGAGCTCGTCGGTCTCGGGGAGTGGCGCCTACCTTCAGGCGGCGCTGAAGGACGTCGCGACCGGTACGACTGCTGGCCGAAGCGTCAGTGGGGGCAGGCACGAGGCGCCCGACGATCCCGAGCTCACCGTCGTCTGTGGGATGAGGTGGAGGCGGACATGGTGGCTGAGGTCGTCGGCGCGGGCAGCGGGCGGGCTTTTGCGGCGGCGACGGCGGCAACGATGTGGGAGGAGACAAGGGGATGTGAAAGCAATGCTCGATGCTTGGAATTCCTCCGTCACCCCATGTGACGGTCACAGAAACCCCCATATAACAGCGTCTAATCAAACCGCTCCGTGTCTGCCGTCCGTGCGGCCGAGAGGCACCCCGGGCCACAGCACGCCCCGCCGATGTTCCCCCAGTCAGAACAGGCTTATGCTCGCTCAGATACCCACCAAAACCGCGGAGAAAGCAGCGTATCCGCCATGTCTCTGGGACTGCACGTTTATAGCACCCTCCCGACGATGCGCCGTTCTCAGCTGGCATGACCACACTTCAGCCTTCCAGCATGACACTACTCCGGCCCACGCCGCGGTGGCGATTATCCCGCAGGAAAGGAACGTCTACTGACCTCCCGCTCAACCTAGGTCCTGGCCCTTGTGTCTTCGCCCAGACGTAAACCTTTCATGACGCCGGTGGACCCACAAAACTTGGAGCTGCAGTCAATGGCCCAGACCACTCACACGCGCTACCGACATATACAATCCTACAATGACTGTGAACGCTGACAAGCACTGTGGACCGACCGTGAGCCGGCCGACGCGACGAGTCTTCTCGGACGCTCTGACTCTGCACAACTCTTCTGTCACGCTCAATCTCAGATCGCGTCCCGATGGGGATGTCTCAATCAGCTCCGCCCTCACAGCTCCAGTCGAACACAACCCACGTTTATTGTACGCCGCAGCAAAGACCTGCAGCAACAATACAACTCATTGGGAGGGCCTTTTGTACTCCTCGCACCGCTCCGAGCATCGAAAACCAGCGCCAAGACCTCTGCACGGCACGTACCAGTCTGCCTCCGCCCGCGGGCCTGACCGCCTCCTCGAGCTTGTCCGCCAGTCATGTGCCGCCAGCAGCCTGATGAATTGAGGGGGAAGATCCCAGTCGCACGGCCCGACACCGGCGTTTTATGGCTAGAGGCGACACGCGCCTCTCCGCGCGCTGCACGGACGCCCGCACACGGTGTGTCGCAGCCTGCCGAGGCTCTGCTGGCGTACCGATGATAGCGGTGCTCCTGGACGGCCCGCGACAAGCGAGGGCACCTCTCAGCGAGCTCTCACTGCGTCGCACTCACTTTGACGGTCTCCGGGCGCGCCATCACCGGGAACTCAGAGGCCACTAAACTGTCCGCCATCACCATAGCTTCGATCCGCGCGAAGTCCGGTACGTTCGTTGCTGAACTTCCATCCCTCTACTCGTTCCATCCCATCGCACCCATCGCGCCCCCGGATCCCAAGGGCGCCCTTCCATTAGCGCGACGCCGCAAATGGCATAGGACATCCGACTTGACAAGACGATTGCATGATTTAGACGTCGTGTAATTGCCACCCACAACGACCTTCCATTCATTCCCCGCCATGCTACCAACCTCCTCAAGCGGCAGAAATCTCCCGGGTGCGCATGGCGAAGAGCACGGACAGCGGCGCATGACTGCTGCTCGTGTTCGTCGCGTCCCGGAGGGCCGACTGTACCGACGCCGCTGCCATCCGCTTCGGGCGGACGCCACCAAGCCTCCGTCGTGGGATTTAGTCCGCAGGGGGCGCGTTCTCCACGGGATCCCGTACAGATGACCAGGGGACATAATTTACAAACGTGGGCGCGCACGCAGTGGTCGGGGGTCGCAGGTGCGACGCTAAGCTACGGGAGCGTGCGAGGTCATCGAGGTACTTAGCCTGCTCTATTGATGTACAGTACGTACAGAGTACAACATCGCGATTCTACTAGCGAAGCGCCGTGACGCACAGATCATCGTTTGCGCTCTCACCTCGAGCCTAACCGCCCCGGCCGGTGGCGAGTAACACGGAATCGTCAACCTGACTGAGAGGTCCCCGCGGTAATCAGAAGACCGGCCGTTACAGTGACTGTCTTCAGTGAATCATTCACTGCTACACGCACCATAAATCACAGCGGCCTTCGCGCCCTGCGTTCCATCGCCCCGTGCGTTGTTCGAGCGACGGGCCCAGACCCGACCGTCCCAGACCGTACCGTGAACGTTCCATCGACCACCCACCTGCAAAGTTCACCTGTCCCCCGCGCAAATGAGCGCCGCATCTTCGCACTCGAGGACCGCCCAGGCAGATAAGGACCGCTGCAACCCAGCCCCCGAACGTAAAAAGGAGGCGCCCCGGTCTAGCTCCGCCGGCGTTACACTGGTCACGACAGAGGGGGCGACATGGACCGTGCGCTCTGCGCTAGCCAGCTGAGTCGAGATAGCACCCACGCATGCGCTCTCCTCGGGAAGAACCGCGGCGCATCGTACCCGACGACCTTCCGCTGGCCCCTCCCAGCCGTCGGTCTCGAAAATCGGAGTGTGGAGCGCGCAAGGGGCAGCCAACCCCGCCAATATGAAAGATGCCGGCGGATCGCGCGGCAGCAAACGGGATCAGATTGAGCGGCAGGCACGCGCGACGCGTGGCTCGAGGTCATGATCAACAACGGTCATGTGATGGCGTGAAGTGCCTGGTGGTGCTGAAAGAGAACGCGTCCACAGCTTCGCGCGTTTGTTGACCGCTCAAAGAGGCGCATATATGCGGTTCAAAGCACATCAACTGTCACAACTTGTCATCCGATGGAAAATCCTTGATAGTATAGTAATGTACAATTGTACGAGAGCAACAGAACAATCCGGAACGAGACAGGAAAATATATGCGATGGGTAGGCACTGTGGTGGATATATAGGCCAAGGATTCCAGAGAATGTCCCTCACGCCAGTAACCCAGCCGGACGACACCGCCCGCCAGACCTCGTATGTACTCACGAGTTTGTATGTGGTACAGAGACGAATAAATAGAGCGATGTGCGGAAAAACGCGGTCGATGAGAGGGAGAACACGCTGATAACGTCGGATAGCCAGAGATGATCAATGGTGGGAAGGGTGGGAGCGCGTCTAATGGAGTGCGCTACGCGCGCTTGGCGGCCTTGCGGCGGGGCGGGGGCGCGGCGAGCTCGGTGTCGGCGTCAGCAGCCTTGCGCTTTCCTAGCGCGGCAGCCTTCGCGGTCTGCGTCTTCGCACGCGAAGGGCGGGTGTTAGTCGGGGTCGCAATAACGCGCGGGGCAGCGCGGCCCTTGGTCTGCTTCGACTCGGCGGCGAGATTGGTAGAGGTAGCCTTACCCTTGCCCTTCGGGTCCATGGGAATGACCTCGACAGCGGTTGTGACCGAGCCGGGGCTGATGTCGCGAGAGTCAGCGCTTGGCTGCGTGGGACGGCTGATGATGCGGGGTGACGACATAGTAGGTGGTGTGGCAAGCGTCGGCGTGCTCTCTGAGGAGACGGTGCGCGAGAGCTCGGGCGTGGAAGCGCTGTGGCCCGAGCCCGACGCGGCGGGGGCCTCGCGGACGCGCTGGCGAGTCCTGGGCTTCGCAGCGGGGGTAGTGGTAGTAGATGGACCAGCGACCGCATTCGCCTTCGTTCCGGCAGCAGCCCTTGTGCGCTTGCGCGGCGGCTCCGCGGCGGCGGGGGCGGCAGCAGCAGCTGCAGCAGCTTCCTCCGCTGCCTTGGCCCGGGTGACGCGCCTCGTGGGCCGAGTCGCGCTGCGCGTCGTAGGTCGGCTGGCGCCCGACCGGATCTTCTTCTCCTTGGCCCACCACTCCTCACCAGGCGCGACGATCTGGTCGTACCAGGGGGCCTCCCGCTTGACCTTGTTGATCCAGTCGGGATGATGAAGGGTGCTAAGGGTGAAGAGCATGCTGTCGCTGCCGATCCACGAGCCATGGTGGTAGATGGCCTTACTCTTGTCTTTCACTGGAAGAAGGATCATGTCAGGATTGCACGAGGGTCACAACACGTGTGACGCACAGACGAGCTTGTCGAGGAGCTTGCCAATGGTGGGCGCTTCGCGCCTGCCCCACAGCAGCCAGTGCGCGGGATCGAGGGGGTGATAGAAGGTCTCAAGGGCAGCGAGAGCTACGACGCGGCTGTCGTAGTTATGAGGAAGCTTCAGGGTGATGCGCGCTTGGTGAAGGTAGTCTTGCACGGCGGGGTGCGCCGCACTGAGCACGACGTTGCCGTGCTGGTCTTGGAGGACGCCGAGGTTGATGTCCTCATAGATGGGGGTGTAGTATCCGTACTTGGCTTCGAGAGCTGCCATGGAGGAGGATGTGGTCATTGCTGGTGTTCGGGTGTGGATGGTCTGCGCGGTGGGGGGTGCGGGTGGTGCGCGGGGATCGAGTACTGGGCAGATGTGAGTTGGTGGCGCAATCCAGAAGGGAAGCAGAGCACATACCTAGGACGCGAGTGTCTCGGCTGCGCTCACGGCGGGGGAGCGATGGGTTAGATGATATTGCGGCGGGCGGGTCGGTCGAGGCGGGGGAGCGGCGGGGGCAGCTGCTCGTCTGGCGCGGGGCACGGCACTTGGGCAAATTCTGGTCGGATTTCTGGGCTGGGGACGCGTCGATGGAGCAGAGGGCAGTGGAATGGGTGCGCGCGCGGACGATGGGTGCTCTGGTCAAACAGCGTCGTGCACGAGCCCTTTACACTTTCAATCACTCGAGGCCCCCCCGCACGTGGCGTCTACATCCGCCTCGTGTGACAATAAACGGATCGGTCCGCCTTTGTTCCCCCGCATCACAATCACTCATGGGGACAATAGCGGCCCCCTCAGACAAAGGAATGCGCGCTCAAGGACCCAGCGGACGAGCAGGACGCCCAGGATGCCTCCATCGGGCGGCCACAACAATTCGGGATCTTCGTGCACGATGCCATGGCTCTTCAGCCGATGACGGGGATAGCGATCCATTCAATCCGGACCCCGGTTGCCGACCCCGGTCACCGGAAACAGTTAGCCTCTCCGCTCGACCCGCTTCGGTGCCCCTTCCTCGTCACCTACTCGACACCAGTCTCCAAGTCGCCGCATTGCTCGTCTTCGCAGACACAGCTCAAGTCCCTCTTCCCTCGTCAAAGGTCGTCAAAGAGATGAATCGATAATTCCCTTCCCCGCAGGTCCATTATCGACCATCGACGAGATGGATATAATCTACGCGATATGGCCTGGATGTGACTGGACGTGCTTCGATCGTGGACTAATCGCGCGCGAGGCCGCGGTGATAGATGCTCATGTCGCTGCTTCTCAAATGGATCACACGGCGAACACCGTCATTCGAGACATGTACTACTCGTAACTAGACGCGCCGAACTAAGCACTTACGCTGGACGAGTAGGAGCGTCGGTCGTGGTTCGGGAACATGTCAGAGACCGGGTCGAGAAGAGGAAGCAGGACAGTTATGTGCTTGGGTTTCGGGCGGGGAGTTTACTTGACATCAACATCGGGCTGGCCTACCATTCCAGACGTACAGATCATATGCGAGCTCACGCTTGGAGTCGTGAAGGTTTCGGTAAAGCACGACTAGCACGTTCCAATCAACAGACGTCCAAGGCATGCCCGTAGCCATTGAATAGGAGCATGGCGGCCATGCCCGACGCAATCTTATCCGGCACAGTCAAAGAGATGAACGGAGATGATTGGAAGGATGAAGATACGAGGAACAGGGATACATGGTACATGGGGGGTCATCTAGGAAAACATGAACGTACATTGACTCGGAAACTTGTCACACTCCACCTTCTACACATCCAACCTCCTCACCACCACGCCAGCTGCGTTCGCAGTAACAATCGTCCGCTCATCGAACGCGACCGTGCCCTTCAGACCCGAAACGTCCTCTTCTTCAACCTCACCGGCGCCCACCTCCACCCCGTCGCTCCCGCCCTCGAGGTCCCAGACCCAGACGCGGCCATTCGCGCCCAGTGCAACGCAACGCCCATCGGCCAGAGAAAGTGCAGAGAGCGCACCTTCCGCACCATAGAGATGTCGCACGAAGGTAAGCTTCGCGGGGGTGGAAGGGGAGGAAGGCAACGAGAGGCGGTACAGCTGAACTGGCGGTGATGTCACGTATGTCGGAGGTGATGAGGGGCAAGATGAGGGAGACGACGGTGGCGAAGATGATGAGGGGGGACCTTGAGCAGCGCTGACCGAGGGACCACTAGGCAAAGGTTCCCCGCCAGCCAGCACGACCCAGCGCCCGTCTGTAGCCGTATCGGCGACAGCGACGACCTTCCGGCTCCACTGAGCCCGCATCGCGCGAAGCTTGGTATGGTCGACGAAGCCCTGAGGTACGTCCAGCGCGCGTGCGGTGCGCGTAGAGGTGATGGTGAAGGGTGGCGCGCTGGGCTCGGTGTGCAACATAGAAGCGGCGGAGGGAAGGGAAGGGCTGGATGGTGTAGGTCCGGCAAGGATGATCTCAGTGGACCCGAGGGACCAGTGAGAGGGGAATACGGGAACGGCGAAGGAGAGAACGAGCTTATAGGCGGCGGGGGATGATGAATATACCGAATCCTCGAGCGGGTCGGTGGCATCGCGCGCAGGAGGAACAACTGCTCTTGATAGAGTTGCTATCCTCGCAGAGACTGCCTGCCCAGCGCGCGATGAAGACGGCGCTTCAACACTAAAGGAAGAGAGCTTGTTTGCGCTCACTGACACCGCCGACAGCACCATCGAGCTCGGCGGGTACGACGTGAAGCTCGAAAGCGACTCGACCCTCCGCACGGTCGCACCCGACAGATCATAGACGTTCAAGTCAAACGACTGCGACAGCGTCGTCAGCAGCGGATGGTGGTAAGCAGCCTGCTGCGTGCGCTCTGCGCGGCGAAGGGGCGTATAGGTGATGCAGCGGCGTGCTGCAGAGAGGTGTGCGGGGTCAATGGAATACACTTGCATGCCCCCGTTGGACAGGAAGGCGGCGATGCGGATGTGACCTGCGACAGGAGCGGACTGGTCCATGGCGAGAGCTGTGATGTGTACAGAGGTGGGGTCCGGAGGTCGTGGACCGCTGACTTGACTTGGCCAGCAATCTATGGTATGCTGCGCGGTAGGGCTTTGGAGTCTAATTGTGGGGGTTGGCGAAGACGCAGAGGCCGTGATCGTCAAGGCGCCTGCAAGCAAAATGTGGGCTGGTGCTTTCGAGCGGGACGCAGTAGACGCTTGTAGTTCCCCGCTCGACCCGGCAAGAGGAGGCGACAGATGGTGCAAGCGCTCCGCAACACAGCGCCCTATTCACGAAGGATGGATAAGCCAGTTCCATTGCACCAATCGACATATCTGCATACCAGACTTCCAGTTCGCGCTAATGCGGAACATCCACTTCCAGTCCCTATAGTCCACGTACTTCTCCCTCCCTGCGCCTCCCCTCGCCGCCCTCCCGGGAAGGGGGCGCACCTCCCGCCCGTCAGTGCGCCCGATAAAGCCCCTCGTCCCCCGCAGTCTCGCGCGGCCAAAGGTGTGGAGGTAGAGCCCCTTCCATAGATGGTTGTCGGCGGATAGGCGCGCCCAGTTTCTGGATGTCGATTGCGAGAGGCAGAGATCCCGGTAGGAGAGGAAGGAGAAGCAGAGAAGTATGAGCTCGTCGTATAGCGCGGTCTCGAAGGTGAGCGTTGGGGACGTCTGCGGGGTCTGATGGGCTACGGTTTGCGCGCGCTTGCGAGGGGGGAGGGGTGCTGGGGACAGTGTATGCTTTCCCATAACGGCAAGAGCGTCGAAAGCAGGTAAACGAGCAGATGGACGCTGGAGATTGTGATTAGCAAGGCTGCGGGGATTTGTGGCGTTCATCGCGGGGTTGCCGGCAATTTCCGAAAAGCGCCCACAACGTTGGCCTGGGATTGTTTGGAGGAAAGGCCTGAGCATTGAAGAAGGACAATGAGATACAGTATTCTTCAGATATATATTGCAGTAAAGTGAAATGATATGTCCGTTCCGTGCGTAATACAAAGATCAGAAAGTCGTGCCAAAGGAGAACGGCCATTGAACGTCTAACATGGGCCCAAATATTAGATGGTCTGGCGATGGAGTGTTGCCTTTCGAACATGCATTAGCGAACGAATCACCTGAAATCAGATCTCGTTACTCACCAGTGACCGTTGAGCTACTAGCATTGCCCATATCTCCAACGTCAAAGGGATTCTGGTGATAGCCTGGTGCATTGAACGTCGATGGGCCAGCCGATGAAGCGGTAGAGGAATCATCGCCACCTATAGTGACAGGACCCATACTGCTCGACAATCGCCCATCCCCAAGTGTAGACCACACTTCGTCGGGCATCGCGCCAGCGGTCGGATGAGGCATGTCAGCAGCGCTCGGGGCGATGGGCTGGTCCGATGGCAGGGCAAACAGATAGGCCAGCTCATCCTCCGATATACCAAGATCGCAAACGCCACCGAAAGCAGGGGCGGCTGGAGGAGGGAAGTCCGCGCCTCTAGAAACGAATCCGTCATTGGACGAAGCTGACGAGGACGTCAACAATGGCGGTGTCTCCTCCGTAATGTCGCCCTCGTGCGCTCGCTTGTTGCCCTTCGGCGCGATATCCGTGGAGAACTTGAAGCCGCCGGCAGGGAACAGGTTGTACAGGACGTCTCTGAGCACTTTGTCAGAGTTGGTAAACTTTATGCAGGCCGAAACACTCACGCCAACCTCCCCGGAAACTGCCACCGCTTCTCGTACTGCGCCATCACTTTCAAGCCCTCAAAGACAAGCTTGACATCCTTCTCCCCATCGCCTGCGTTCCCCGTTTGTTGTCGATGCAAGACGTAGAGGATGAGGACGATGCAGGAGCAGAAGATGGCCATCTGGGAAGTAGTGTCAACGCGATTCGCTCCGATCAAGAGAGAAGGTAGACGCACGACCGCATGCGGCCAAGGCGTGAAGCTCATCTTCGAGTTCCGCTCCATCATGCGAAGGCAGGTGCGCGCAGCGTTGGCGCAGATAGCGAGGGATGGGAACGACTGCGACGTATTCGGCGCCACGATGAAGGGTCGGTGCAGCTGCGAGTGAAGGCTCAGCTCAGTCCTCTCGACTGAAGAGTGCAAGGATACAAAGGCACCCAACAACTAACCTGTATCTGCGCCAAAAACAAGGCCGCAGCCAGCAACATCGCCTGATCGCGCAGCTCCGCATTCGTCTCATCGGGGCTCCAGCGCAAGAACGTAGGCAAGTTCTCGCGCCAGGAGTTTAGCGCCGAGTCGATGCAGGATACGACGCGCAGCTGCCAGTCGCGGCGGGACATGTTCGAGCGGAGGCGGGGTTTCTTGATGGAGTACTGGCGAGGACGTCAGATGCTGAAGCGGCTGGAAGGTGAGAAGAGCTTACGATGGTCTTCTGAATGACGCCCTGCATACCGGTCAGCAAAGGTCTATCGCGCGCCAAAGACGGCAACTCACTATAACATGTATAATCCGAATCAACTGATTGAAGTACACCCCACGCCCGATGCGGCCCTCCGGCTGCTTCTCCGGGGTGAGCCAATATTCGTCCTCCGCTTCGATGACCGGGTCGAGGTCGATGTCCTCGCAAGTCGTCGCCCGTGGTCGGCCCATGTACGATGAGAGTTGTATGTCCTCGATGACCAGAGCCCAAAAGACACGCTTGTACAACTCGTCCTCGATAGCGTTGGCGGTCTTGCGCTTGCGGTGCGCGCCGACCTCTTGGGCGAGGCGAATCCCCATGGAGAGGGCTGCGTGCTATGTGAGAACTGGGATAGTCTCACGACTGAGAACACGCACTCTTCCAACAATCCTCCGGAACCGACGTCCCCCACAAAAACAACACCCCTAATGCGCACGTCTGCAACTCACACAACGACGGCGCAGACCGATAGCTCCTCCTGATAATCTCCACCTGCGACCACCACTGCCACCCCGCGCTGTTCTCCGACCCCGGTCGCCTGTCCGCAAACACGCGCGGGTCGTCCGAGTGCCGCGACGCCAGCGCGCACATCGTCAGGACCAGATACCCGTACGAGCGGTCGCGCAAATAACGCCGGCTAGCGAGATCCCGGTCGACAGTCGGGCGGTGCATGATGGGGACCCAGGACTCGTTGGTTTTGAAGTAGAGGTCGACGAGCTCGAGGAGGAAGGAGTGATCGGGGAATGTGAGGGGCGGTTGAGTGGGGACGGAAGTTTCGATTTCCCACTATGAAGATGGAAGGGTCAGTATCGACGCGGACTTCAAGATGGCAAGAGCACCCACAGGCCTCACAGTCCAATACTCCATCCGCTTCTTGATCTCAAAATCAAGATGATTATAGCTCGCCCCCGCATACCCATCCCTCATATCCATCGCGCTCTTGATGAAGTGCACATTGCTGCTCTTGCCAAAATACCTCCCCTGCGCAGCCCAATTCAGCGTGAGCTGCCACAACCGGTCCGCCAGCCCATCCGCCGCGTCGCACAGCTCGTCCGTTATCGGCTCCTCGTGCGAGTCCGCGACCGTCAGGTCGGGCACGTCCTCATCCGCGACGTAGGCGATGTCCGAGTTGGTAGGCTGTGGGGCTTGCTGCGCGGTCTCTTCGAGGCTGCGGGCGTATTTGGCGAGGCGGAGGGCGGCTTTTTGCAGAGAGATTAGGTCGACGGATTGGAAGAAGGCGTGCGCGTCGTCGAGGATGCTCGTGACGAGGGCTTTGGAGTCGCACAAGGATGAATCGGAGTCCGTATTCTAGTAGATGGAGCTGAGTACGCTATCTGGGTAGACGAGGGGTGACAAACCAGGAGAAAGTCGTTGGTATCTTCGACGGACATGCCAAACGTGCGCTCTACTTCACGTAGACGTTCTGGCGTAGGCTCCGCTGCTTCCGTGCTAGATGACAGAGGTGAGTCCCATAAAGAGGACGTTGAGCATAGCTGAACGTACGCTGGTCCGCCCTTCTGCAGGAAGGGGATCAATGGTATACATACATTAGCATCGCAAGACATACCTTTCCGTGTATAGCATAATGCGTGCAATGTGAATTGAATGCGACACAGCTGCGAAGATGAGGCAGTGCGCGGGGGGAAGACGGTTCGGGACGTACTTGCTGCAGCGGCCTCCTGGGTTCTTTGCGCTATCGCCTGCGCGAGTAAAGGTTCATTCTTCGAATCGTACATCAAACAGTATCTTTGGTGCTTACACTTGACTGAAATACTCGTCAGCACCAATTCATTACAGTACATGAACATGCCACGCACTTTTCCTGGTAGGCCACGAGAAGAGCAAGGTTAACGGATGTCTAACAAGTAATACTTGTCAACAGACCTCCTACGACATATATCGCAAGCACCTGGTGAGTACGAAAACGTCGGTCATGAACCCATCCACAATGCGGGGGACTCGGTAACGTACCTTGCAATCTCCGTTTCTTGGCCTTCGCGGGCGCGTCTCCAGAGGAGGACGCCTCCATGGCGATGGGCATAGCGTGCCAGTTCAGAAAGGTTCACCTTCAGCTGTGGAGTCGATGTACTCGATGCTAGACGAGGGCAGAAGGCAAGCAGTGGCGCGAACAGGGGCGTACGATCGTGCTCGGCGGCGCGACGCAATCATCGGCGCCGGGTTGATTAGCGGGATGTTTCCCCGACATCACATCCCACGTGGCGGTGCACTTCGGCCCACGTGCTTTCGTTCAATCGGCTCCGAGTGATGAGTTGAACTTGAACGCGGACTCCAAGTTCTGGTCAGCGTCGACGAGACGTGCGGTTCTCGCGAGTCGGTGTGGTAGCGACGTTGATAGCTCAAAGCGTGTTCTGCCCAAAGCCCACAACGATGTCCCAAAAAGAACCTGCCACAACCGCCACGATTACCTCCGTGGCAAACCATGTCATTGGGCAAAAGCTGCGAGTTGCTGGCCGGTATGTGGTCTATACGCCGTCCATCTCTTATACTCATACTCTTCTATCCCTTGACTCTGGTATCTTCCACGCCACCCAGCCTCCTCGCGTACGACCCACCGACTTGCCTCGGCATCGTGGACAACAAAGATGCCGCTCTCCTTGTCGACCTCACTCTATGCGCGGATACATGGATCCTAGAAGCTCTTCAAGGATGTGTGATGGTCACTGGGTATCTGGAGAGATACAATGTGGGTCGCCCTTCATACCAGTCTCAACACAGACGCCTAATCGCGTCGCAGAAAGCCGTCCCCACACAACTCCTTTCACCACGCAACGCAGCAGTACAGCTCCACCAAGAAATCGTGCTGAAAGCGCTTATAGCACGTGCAACACCTGATTTAGACATCAACCTTTGGGATCATGCTGTTCGAGAGACGCACGAGACATCGGGCGAGCTAGAGCGGGAGCAAAGTAATGGGTGAATTTTTGTAGTGCTTTCGTTGACGCGCCTCGTGCGGGATGGCCCGCAGAGCAGCAGTCTTATGTATGATATACAGACGCATGAACCGATATACCCTTATAGATCCTATCAAAAGGATCAGTGACTGCCGGAAGAAGGCGACATCCAAGACGCGTACATTTTCCTCGCCAAATGATGGCAGTGCCGTCGCTGCTAGCAGTCAGCAGTTCGGAGGCTTCAAGGGGATGGTGCTCCGTCCAAGTGATCATTTTTCCGTGTACCTGGGAAGAGTTTAGAATACGCGGAAATAAGTGAACGAAGGAGACGTACTTTTGGCGGTGGATTCGGCGCCAGTGGTTTCGCCTGTAAAGGAGTATCAGCATTCAGTTATTACTGATTGAAGGTAGTCGCATTACCTCTAGCAAATCCCAGGCCCATACCGCGCCATCCTCGTCGCCACATATGACGGTAGCCTCGTTATGCCCGAAACACGCACGACAACGATAGTCATTGTTGTTGTGTCCGGTGAAGCTGTTGAGCATTTTCCCAGTAGACATGTCCATCAGGCGGACTGTGCTGTCGAGCGTGGTGACCAGGAGCGTTTGGTCATCGGCGCTCAACGCAAGGCCGACTACTGGATCTGAAGATATGGTCAGCATACGAAGCTGTTCATAGAAGGGAGAAGATGCTTACTGCCCATATAGTCTGACCTCAACTCGCCCATGCGAAGGTCGTAGGTGCGTACATGACCGTCAACGCTACCGGATATTATGCTTGTAGCACCGACGACAAGCGCCTGCACCGCATCTCTCGACTCATCCAGCACCTGAATCGGCGTCCTCGACTGCGACTTCAAGTCCCACAACCTCACACTCGCATCGAACGATCCACTCGCCACCACCGTCGCATCCGCATTAAACTCCACGCAATTCACCCTCGCCAAATGGCCCGACAACCTTCTAATCGTCTGCCCACTCGTCACATCCCACACAAACACCGACCTATCGCCCCCGCCGCTAGCGAACTTCGCGTTATCGTGCGCGACAGCGAGGCCGAGGACCTCGTAGCCGTGCGCAGCGTAGGTCTTGATCTCTGCGCCGGTGCCCGCGTTCCACAGGCGCACGGTGCGGTCCTGGCCGGCGGTGAGGGCATATTTGGCGGCGCCTTTGGCGTAGCGGGCGACGTGGATGGGGCCGCGGTGGCCTTTGAGGGTGACATGGGGAATGCGAGGGACGCCGCCGTCGCTGCTCATGGTGGTACAAGACGGACCCACAATTGGCACGTGCTCGGGGCGGAAACGGTGATGGGGCCAATACGAGCAAACAAACGCGCCTTGTCTCGAACTGCCATATCGCTCCTCCCGCATAGTGTCGTTGATTTTGCGACCTATTGCCCAAAACGTGGTACATAGCGCAGGCACTGTGTCTGCTACCTCGAAGGATAGCACCGTTCGATGGCCTTTACATTGCCGGTCGTGCATCAGCAAACCGACACCATCCTTTTGATGCCCAGGGCCTTTTTGATGCGTCCTTTGTCCGTTTGAGGGCGTCCTTTCGCATCCTTTTCCGTTTCAGCAGTTCCTTTTTGTCCTTTCGTAAAAGACGCACATCCTGCATCAAGTCCGACGAAAAAGTATTCATTCTAGCTATACACATCAAATTATTATTGTACGAGCGCGTGTGGTCTCGGCTGTAGACACGGTATTTATGCTCATTTGGGTCCATTCGATGCGCTACACCACTGTGACTGCCAAAAGCAATGTGCGCGCCTCTCCAGAAGAGGCGGGGGTTGCTACTCTCGCGTATGGCGGACTAGATACGTGCCGCGAGCAAGTGGAAGGGGTTGGGGAAGTACGCACATCAAGGTCGATGAGGCGAGTGTTATGATGAGTCGCTTCAGGACCGGACAAAAAGTGACAGCAGGAGGCGGGAGGGGCGCAGGAGTTGCATGGTCTGTACGGTCTGCAAGGTTTTGGAATGCGGCGTGATCGGCAACGACTAGCGACAAGTCAGCGATAAGAGGGCAGGCGAAGGCACACACTGGGAGCTGAGGGACCAGGGGCCCCAACTCCTTCCCAGCAGCGAATGGCGCGATCTCAGCGCGACCACCGCGACCCGCGACGGCGGTCAAAGTCAAGTTTGAGCGCTGCGGTGATTGCGCGAAGTCAGAATCAGCCGGCCCTCAAGCTCCCTAAGGTTACTGCCAAACAAACACAATCTTATCAACAGAGTCACGAGCTGCGGTCGCAACTGTCGGCAGCCCCTTCGTCTCTCCCTTGCGTTCTATGCCCTCCTGCTGGTACGTACCGTTTGCCTGACTGGCCCGGCTCACCAATCCCAGACACTGCTGTAGCTTCGCCCGCGCCCGCACATCGTGTAGGTAAGTTGCGCGTCGTCAGTCTGGACTCGCTTGCTCATCTCGTCCTAGATACACGGGGTGTCCTGAAGGAGGTATTTCGTGGTATGTGATGAAGCGCACCCTCGCACTCGGCGCGCTGACACGAACGGACAGTGTAGCCTTGGCTACGGAAGCATGCACCGGACCCCCACACCGCCTTCCCCCATCATTGCTACATGAGCACTATCTACAGAACCCCTTCCCCTTCCAAATTACACTGCCATACTCACCACTTCCGGCCGTCTTTAGGATGATCATGTACACCACGACTGATTTTAGCATAATATAACGTAGTACGATGTAGCGTAGTGGATAGTACCAATATACAATGTTTTTGCTCCCTCTCGCGATGCGATCCCGAAACGTCCCGCAAAAGGATCAGAAATTATGCAATATACGGCTCAACGGAAGCCGAGCTCTGGCAAGGACGACGTCCTTGAGCAGGATTCAGTAGCCTGTACAGGCCGAAATGTCCTGCCAAGGACGACCCCACCTTTCCTGGGCAGGATGCCGCGTCCTTGCGTCCTTTAGGTCCTTTTTCGTCCTGTCAAAGGACGAAAAGGACGCAAAGGACGGGGGTGTCGCTTTCCTGATGTGGCCATCAAATCTCTAAGTAAATTCTGCTTTCCTAAGTACGCGAATGAAGATAAGCTACCAGTATAGGTCCCACTGATCCCTGTAAAAGTTGACGACATAGGAGATCCTGAGACTTGACCCTATCCACTCAAGTGAGTTGCGTCTCGCGAAGTTTCAGACGCGCTCCCCTGATTCGCCTCGTCGCGCGTATAAACGCGGTCAATTCGGTAGACAAGGACCCACATACCTGCCTTTCCTCACCCTCGCCATGCCTTTCTTGACCTCTATCCTCATTATTGCCCTGGTTGGCGCTGCTCATTCTTTCCCTTTTAACTCTTCGCAGCTCTCATCGCTTCGGGTCGACTTGACTGGTTCCAACAACGTCTCTTCCTTCGATGCCTTGCAGCTGCGAGCGATAGTGACGAATACCGGAACTCAGACTCTCCGATTGCTAAAGTATCAAACTGTGCTGGACACGGATCTGCCCACGAATTCCTTCCGCGTCACCAAGGGCGAAGAAGAGGTTCCTTTCATTGGCATTCGGGTATGCATCATCATTGATTCTGAATCCCGTTGCAATTTCGCTCACCTCGTCTGCTAGCTCACTATCTCTGTACCCGATCTCGATGATTCCGCCTTCGCAACGTTGGCACCAGGGCAGGCCGTTGAGGCCGTGCACAATCGCAAGTAACCTTCTCTCTTTACGTAAATCGCCAGTCTCATTTTTTGCGTCAGTATCTGGTCGATACGACTTCTCGTCCTCTGGCGAAGGCGTTTACTCCTTCGACCCCGTGACGGACTTCATGATCCTCGACGACGATGGCCTTTTGCTGTCGGCTTCAGATTTCATCGACGTCCAGCATCCCCCGACTGCCCAGATCGTGGCGCTTCATGGTCCCGTCGCACCCCCGCTTGCGCAGAAACGAGCGACAGCCACCTGCAAGGATCCAGCGAAAGCCAAGTTTATTGACGCCGCCTATACGGAAGCGAAGTCCCTTGCCCACCAAAGCTCGTCGTACATCACCTCCCATGGAGCCGGTGATGATTTATATAAGTGAGGTTCTGATCTTGCGTGATGTTTCCTGCGATGCTGATAACAAGCTAGACAATACTATCACGGCGCCCCGACGGGCGATGTCACCAGCATCTTTGACGCCGTAGCGAACGAGACATCGCCTTCCAGGCAACTCAGCTGCGACGACCCGCGCGACTCATGTAAGCGCGGTATGCTTGGCTATACGACGTTTCCCGACACGAATGTGAGCAGCTCGCTGTCAGACGCCCAAGGCTTAAGCACTGACACCAAACTATCCCCAGGTCTACTTCTGCCCGCCCTTCTTTTCCGAAGTACCCTCGGAGAACCTCTGCACTTCGACAACCGTGAACCAGCGCAACGTCCGCGGCGAGACGATGCTGCACGAGCTGACGCACGCCCTGTCGCACACTCGGGATCTCGCCTACGGTTGCCAGTCGGTGCAGAAATTGTCTGACTCGTCTGCGCCGCGGAATGCGGACTCTTATGCGGTAAGCTTCTGTTATTTTGACATTCGTAACTGCCGTCCTAATGCCAAACCTCAGTGCTTTGCTACCGAAGTATACGCCAGGACCATGTGCCACTGAGCTTGTGTATGGGCGGTATAGTGTGCAAAAACCTCTGTTGAGGTATTTCGACACAAGGCACCGCCGAGCTTCAATATCGACGCACGACTGCGACGAACTTGCGGAATCGACACATGTGATCGAACGATGCCGTGATAATGGTCTTCAATGTTTGGCGTCCTGGCCGAGCGATAGTACGATGAGTGGGAGGAGAATTATGGGTGGTGGCGTGGCTATAATGGCCCGGGCTCGGGATTCGCCGACTTGACGGTAAGCGCTCGGCGCCAAAACCTTTTTCGTGACCTGGCCGGTAATCTGTAGGTCTGTGAAGGCTTGCTCGACGCTTCTCGGCGACTTCAGATATGCTTTCGGGCTGAATCGTGGACCTTACCTCTTTTTCCGGCGTGGGCGCGCTCGTCAAGGAATGGAAGACAAGGCCGGCGTTCTGGCAATTCCGTCAGTTCCATCCCATCACGCCACACAGATCGCTGTACAGAACATAGATAATGTTGATTCCTGATCAGATCCCCTGAAGCCCTTCTTTCCCGATGGGCTTGGTCACATTCAACAAGGTCAACTGCCGGCGCCTTAAGCTGCTCCGATCCTCGTGTCCACGCGATGCCTCTGAGCTCAGCGAGCACGTTGCGGTCTTCCCCGCGGAGCATAGCGGCCTCGGATTGGGCGCGCTTATGTCGCTTGTGGCGCCGGAGGTGAGGCTGACGTGGTCGAGGCTGCTCGAGAATATGATTGTGATCCCAGCGTTGGTATGGACTCCGTGGTTCAGGACATTGTTCTGTCGGACATGCCATACTTCGGGTCGTACCTTCGCATTTCATGGAGACTACAGATGCTTGGGTCATTGAAGAGACCAATCTTCAGCCTGAGAATGAGTCTTTCGGCGAGCATGACGAAGTTCAACTTACCCACGTGAGCGCGGGAATGCACCCCTGAGATTCGGCAACAGCCGAACTCGCGAGGCTCAGCGCGACCGCGACACCTCCCTTCCGCCGGGTGTTCTGCCATGGTGAGGGCTTACTCGACAGGTAAATAAGCACTCAATTCGATCATCTGCGTCGTTTTCGCAAGTGCGTCGCAGTTGTGCGTCAATATCGAAGCTCGGTCCTGCCGTGTGTCGAAATACCTCGTCAGAGGTTTTTGCACACTATACCGCCCATACTTGTGAGCTGCGCGGGTTGCGCTGTAGGCCGTGTGTAGTCCTTGGGAAAGCAGAACGTTGCTTCGAAGCTCGAAAATGTAATCAAAGCAATGATGCGTTCTGTGCACCACTAGCTGGTATGGGATGTCCTTGGACGGAACACTCGACGATAGTGAGTTAGACGTGTCTCCCTCCATCAGAATAGCATGGACCTATAACCTGCACGTGGAATGCGAACAATGGTCACATCGGAGGTCACGGTTTGCCGAGCTCGAGGCTCGCGCTGCACGTTCAATGGGCGTTATCGGAGCCATCTGTGGGCGCCAAACGCCAGGCGCTTAATGGGGCGTATATAAGGAGCCATGAGTTTGGAGCGTGTCCAGCATCTTTGCCTGCTCCAATATCCGGTGTCCTCGTCGCTCTCGCTGAAAGAACGCTCAGCCATGGCCTCTCCATTCGAAGGGAGGGAAGTCGAGTTGACACCAGAGCAGAAAGAACTGCACGCCAAAGTCGAGAAATACGAGGTGAGAGTGGTTATTAGTGTCGTTGCCATCCCGTCTCATCCATTATCTGCAGCCATTTCTGCCTGAAAGTATAGACCAGTGGAGACAGCTGCACCATATCAAGGGTCGCGGTGTCACACCCACCCATCTTGCATGGGCGTACCTCTCCGATGTGTTCAAGCGACGAGGATACGAGCTCTACGTACCTGGCCGTGAACGGGAGCTTCCCTTTATAAATGTAGGGGGCGAGACCAGGGAGTTCACTACAATGGTGTATCCTGCGGGATATGAAGACGCGCTCTTCTCTCCGGGAGGCAAGGGTCTTGAGGATGAATATGGCGTCCTTGTACAACCTCGTTACATTCGCGCAGTCTTTGTGAGCGTTGTTCGACCACCCGCTGAGTATTGCCAGTAGACTCACTCGACGCACAGCCCGATGCGCTGGTGTGGCCGGCATCGAACAGGTCAGCGTACTCGGCGTCGTGCTTCCCTCGCGCTGACCATTCACTCAGTGCTGGCAAAGAGTTCTTCATCAAGGTCATCTCGGACGGGCAGAACGTCAAGGGCGTCAACGAGCTGCGTATTCTCGAGTACCTCAACCACCCAGACATCCGATCCGACCCAAGGAACCGCACCGTTCCGGTGGTCGAGTACATCAAGCACGAGCAATATACTTTCGCCGTTTTCGCCAGATGGACGGACTTCCCCTACGATGAGATCAAGATACCCATGACAGCGATCGAGAGCTGCACCCAGGTTACGGAGGTGAGACGCGTGCTATATCACTTACATATGGTGGCTCATTGTCATCAGGGCCTGGCGTTCTTGCACGAGAAACGCATTGCACACCTTGTTCGTATTTTCCCCTACAAAATCGTGCATCCAGCCTGACCTTTCCCGAAGGACATCTCTAACGAGAACATCATGATCAACTTCTTTGGGCCTGAACGTCTTGCCATCGTCGTTGAGGACCTGCCCATCAAGTACGGTCTCATCGACTTCGGCGAGAGCCTCTTTTTCGAGGCGGCCGATGCCGAGGCTTTGGCCCCTCCTCGGGATTTTGCACCTCGGTTGACGAGCGCACCGGAGGTCAGCTCGATGACACCCTACGATCCTTTTGCGGCGGACGTGTATATGACCGGCATGATGTTTCTGGAGCATTTTTATGTGAGACTCGCAAATTGCGTTCTCCTAGCGAGCCACTGATCTCGACTCCATCAAAGGACCTGACAGGCTTCAGTCCCGAGTTCCTCTCCCTTCTCCAGTCCATGACACGCGCTGAGCCCAGCGCTCGCATTACCATGGCCGAAGCGCACAGTCGCTTCGCCGCCTTACGTGACGCCTGGCTCAACGATCCCGATCCTTCAGTGGTCGATGTCCGCGGCTGGCGGCCGAACAAGTACAGAAGGACGTACCTCAACGTCCGTCGCCCCTTTCCTGGTTCGATGCCCATGCCGGCGAACGACGAGGAAGCGAGGGCTTTGCGTCAGAAGATGCGGGAGGACCGGCAGAACGAGAAGAAGTCGATGGCGCGCTGGCCAACTCATGCGCATCTGCTGCACGTGGATCCTGTTGACTATACCCTGGGCTGTGTGCATGGCAATCATGCCGCGTCAATTCTTGATTCGTGATAGTAGTTCGTTGAGGGATAGATAGTTATACAAGAGAGCATAGCGATCGTGCTTTGCTTTAGGCTCGAGCAATGCGTGGATTCATGCTATTTGTTGGCGAGGACGGATGGCGCGGGAGGTCGTGATCTGCCCGGAAAGCTGAAGTCCGTCTTCTAGATAGCAGAGCACTACTCTAGATCTGGATATGTCTGAATGTCGGCTCGAATTACAATCCTGAACTATGAGGTTAACTGTACTGTGAGATTCTCGAATCAGTCCTTCCCCAGCGGTTGTAGGTCATTGGAAGTGCTACGCACCGAGTTTTGAACCAAGCACGCAAACGCGTAGATAAAGGAGGCATGGCATTAGCTACTCGCCGACAGCATCTTCTCGCGCATCATCTCCGCGAACACACCCAAACGTACGCGCAATTGGATCCACCTGCAGCATCCACGAATCAGGAGGATGATTAAAGTTTGCCAAAAGCAAGATCTCGCTGTCGCGGAGTTCGCGCATGTACGCCCGCAATGACCGAGCCTCCGCGTCGTCCTTCGGCATGCGAAGGCTCCCCGGAACAGCACGATAGGCGTTGAGGCGCGTCTCGTAGTACTTGTTGCGAGTCTCTCCTGTACTATTGGAGATGGTGGGGGAGGGATCGTGGATCCACGCATTGCGCAGCGCGAGGAGCCGGCTATGAGCTTCCTTCATCGAGATCCGTTCCTCGGGAGAGTGTATCATGGCTTGCAGTATAGGCAGGAATTCGGAGGTAAATCCCGTCAGATCCTGCACGAAAGTCAGTGCGAAGGTAGGAAAACAGCGACAAGAGCACTGACATAGAAATGTTCAAGCATGAACACGGCAGCCTGGTATACATCGGCTGCAAAGGGATCGAACGGATCCCCCGAGTCGACCTCGGGTGCACTAGTACGATGAGGCGCGAGCCGCAGAGGGGGTACAAGCGGGCCGGAAGATTCTTCCAGGAGTATACTGGGACCGAAGTCGATGAGATAGTACTTGACGGGCAGGTGTTCTCCGAGCGGTTTCATCGCAGGAATAATATGGCCGGCGTAGTTGATCATGATATTGTGCGGGGAGATGCCCTGCCTTAGAGTCAAGGGGAACTTCGTCCGGACACCCAATCGTACGCACCATATGAGCGACTCGATTCTCATGCAGAAATGCGACCACCTTCGACGTTTGTCACTTCGAGCACGAGGATGAATATACGAAGCTAACGGACCTCAGTGATCTGTACGCAGCAATCGAGCGCGGTCATGGGCAGTTGAACGTCGTCGTAAGGGAAAGGGGTCCACCTGGGAAATATGGCAAAGACATATTGCTCGTATTCGATGTACTCGACCACGGGAATAGCGCGATTCCGTGGGTCTGCACGCAAATCCTGCCTCGCAAGATACTTGAGGATCTTGAGCTCGTTTAGGCCCTGTGCGCCTTGGCCATCAGAGATGACCTTGATCACGAAGTGTTTGCCGGCCCTGTTTACTGCAGCCCATGTGAAAGGAGTCGCCTGAGGTGGAGTCAGACGAATGATTTCGGGCGCAGGATGCATAGTACATACACGGTACGGCGGCTGGACGGAAGCAAGCTCGAGACCGCCGTACTCGTCCTCGTGTGCAGTGCTCTCCATGAACCCTGGAGGATACACCATAATCTCAAAGGAATTGCTACGTCTGATATTGCGCGGCACATAGAGCGAATAGCCACGTCGGCTGAAGACGTCCGCCAAATAGCGCCAAATGAGATAGCTCGCGCCAAGCACGCGGTCCCTCATCCAATATACATCGATCCACAAACGGAGGGCACTTGGTAGAAATGGCTGCAACTAGAGTGAATAGCTGAGGTACACCTGCGACGTGAACACGCACCTTTTCCTGCTCAACTAAGGATTGTATGGCATCCAGGTTGTCTTCCATTTCGTTCTGAGGGCAATTGATGCAAGGATGTTACTGCGAGACGTAGACCTCTGCACGATGGATGACGGGCAGCGGAAAGGGTAGGCAAAAGAGGTACACGTTGAACGCACGCTGTACGAGGTGCAATATCATGACACATCGGACCGACCTTGACATGTGAGGCGCCCACACAGAAATTGTACGCGAGTGATTTCCTGGTATTCAGCACTTCGACATGTAACTTGTCTTTCCCTTCGCTCTCGCCTGCTGGGATGGATAGATGATCGCTCCCTCGCGACTCAGCTGAAGTTCGGCTGAAGTGAAACTGAGGCCGTCCGAAATCGTTGCATGGAGGTGCGTTGTCCAGTTAAAAGTACATCAAATCTGAATTCGTCCGAACACCGTGAAGGAGTACATCAAAGACCGTGTACACTATGAAGTGAACTGCGACAAGATGGACGGCGATTAGCTCGTGAGCACATGTTGTACGTTTTGGCACGCACCGCAGTAAGGTAGGACTCCGCGACTATACGTGCGCGCGCGTTCAAGCTGAGCTTCATCTCGCTGATTTCCCGATCCACGTCCTCCATGAACCTGAGAGGAAGAAACATGATGAGTGTGTGTAGAAGAGGTACGGGTATGGCACGCACTGAATGATAAAGTCGACGATCTTGTGCTTGAGCATGGTTTCCGTGTGCGTGTTCGTGATGAGGAATGAGATGTCGTAGCCCTGCATTGCAGCGTCAGCATATGAGTTAGACGAAGGACGGAGGCAGATGAATGTTTATGAGGGTAGGAGGGAGGGTATGTTCGGGGCTGCGTACCTGTACGGGCTTGCGTCGGAGGACGACGAAGTTCTCGGCGCGCTGCATCATGAAGCGTGCAAACTTGTGGCAGAGGATGCGTTCAATCTCGTCCGCTTGCTTGATCTTGATGCTCAGTCGGACAGAGTTGATGGATGGTTCGATGAGTACCCGCTCGTTCTCGTTGCGGGAGATCGTCAGTGGATTGAGGAGCACTTCCTTCGACGCTCTGCAGGCCTGAATTAAATCAGGACCCAGGAATACAGTACAAAACTCACCCGGCCTCCACCTCCGGCACATTGTGCCGCTCGACGACCTATACACGCGTAAATCGGTGTCATTCGCGTCCGCGCGCGGGGGAACGCACCTGCGACGAGAAGTTCTCGAGGGTGAGCGCCGCGGTGAGCGTCGAGCGCACGGCGGCAAGGTATGGTCTCAGCGAGTTACTCTATCCGCTTATCATCAGTCTCGAGCATCAGGTCGGTACCAGCGACGCGCACCATCGTGCAGGTTCAGGGCAAGCGGAGGCGCAGTCCAAGCGCCATCCGAATGCGGAAGTAAGGGCGGCCCGGCGAGCCGCCGCGCATCGAGAAATTTGGCGGGCGCGTTTTTTCTTGTTCTCAACGTTCATCATCTACTTGACAAAATGGCCACTGCTATCGGTGTCTGGTACGCAGATTGTCTTCCCCCATGACATGCAGCTGACTGAACGCGTCTTCCTTTCTTTGTCTGCCATTTAACGCGTCTGCTTTACCTACGCGTTCCCCCTGGTCTGCAGGAGCGAAGTCGTCAAGCCGGGTACTCCCCTGGTATTCGCGCCTGCGGCGGATCTCCGAATTTGCAATGTCTCCCTTGGAGAGACCCTGGCGGATGAGAATGCGCGTACGGTCCTGAAGATCACGCACATGACGCCCACCGTCCCGGAAGAGGACGAGGATGAGGACGAGGACGAAGACGATGAGGAGTCCGTCCCCATGAAGGAGTGCGAGGTCGTCCTCTGTGCTCTTACCCCGGGAAAGGTACGTCGGTACATCGCTGGTTGCTTACGGTCTCGCTCATCTCATTCTGTGCAGATCGAGCAGGCTGTCGTCGATCTCATCCTCCAGGAGGAGCAGAGCGTTGCCATTGAGGCTATCGGCAAGAAGTACGTCTTATCTTGCCATATCTCCCGCGTTTTGCTCATCGTTCTTTCCCAGCGAGATCCACCTCGTCGGCAACTACATCGGTCCGCGCCACAGTACTCATTCAGCCTTGCATCTCACTAATACTCCCTATAGAGCAGCCCGTCCCCTTCAACAACGGCGAGGACAGCGAGGATGAAGATGATGAGTTTGGCAGCGAGGATGGGTACGACCTCCGTGATGTCTCGTCGGACGTCGAGATGGACGCGGATGAGCTTCTGTCCGATGACGAGTGCGTACGTTCATGCAGCCACATGATGCCATGCTGACCACACCTAAGGCGCTTCGAAGAGATCAATGAGGACGCTGAGCCCAAGTCGCTCAAGCGCCCCGCTGCAGACGAGGCCCCCAAGTCCAAGGCCGAGAAGAAGTTGAAGGCCGCGGATGGCAAGGCTGTCGAGAAGAAGACCGAGGAGAAGGCTGACGGTGCCGAGAAGAAGGACGAGACCAAAAAGTCCAAGAAGGAGAAGAAGAAGGAAAAGAAGGAGCAGCAGGCGAAGGAGGGCAAGGCCAAGGAGGGCAAGGGCGAGGCTGCCGCACCCGTTGAGCGTGAGCTCCCGGGCGGCATCAAGGTCAAGGATGTCAAGATCGGCGACGGCCCGAAGGCGACGAAGGGGAAGACGGTCGGTATGCGCTATATTGGCAAGTTGACGAATGGCAAGCAATTTGACGCGAACACGAAGGGCAAGCCGGTGAGTTGTGTGGTCACGGCTGGCTACATGCGAATCACGTCTTGGTCCTGTACTCATTGCTGACGCTCTCGCGCCACAGTTCACCTTCCACCTGGGCAAGGGCGAGGTCATCAAGGGTGAGTTCTCCGGCCTCTCAACCTTATTTCGTCTGTTTTGGGTTGCCTTCGTCCTGCGGCATCTACATTTGATAGGACTGCGCCCACGTCGCTTCTTCTATGAGAGGGTTATGCTGCGTCACTTGCTGCCCTTAGCTTCTGACGTCTCGTCTTCTGACATCTGCCGTCGTCATCCATCCCTTTTCCCTCAACGCTCCGTCTGCCCTTCCCAACTCTCTTCTGCTTCCCTGCCAGCCCTGTGGCCACACTTCAGCCCCCTTTCTTCTGCGCCACCCTTCGCATTCTCAGCCGCGCTGTTCCCATCCATCTTCACTGTCATCCTGCGTCTAGTGCCGAGCGTGACACTCCCTGCGTTCAAACCCGTGTCCCCTCCTCGTCATTCCTCACCTACTGATCATTGTGAACACGCCGTTCTCTTACTCAAAACCCTTGTCCATCTTCTGCATATTGAATTCTGTTGTCATAAACGTTCTTTACTCACATGCTATACAGGCTGGGACGAGGGTATCGTTGGCATGCAAGTCGGTGGTGAGCGCCAGCTTACCATCCCTCCGGCTATGGCATACGGCAAGCGCGGTATGGACGGCATCCCTGCCAACTCGACGCTCCTATTCGGTGAGTTCATGTCCGCCCCTGGCTTGCTGTCCGTGGTGCTCGGGACGGTGTGGTCGATGCGAGGGCATGTACAGGGAACTTCGCTCCGTATACAATGGCAGGGCATGCTCGGCACTCGGTGCGGTGGATGCAGATGCGGGGGCAATTGGGGGTGTGAGCCCGAGCGCGGTCGGAGAGAGGGCTGGGGACCACGCTCCGGGTTGGGCTAGAAACAAAGCTCCACCCGCGCGCGGAACCGCTCTGTATACGGCTTGTGGTTGCCCTGTATGCGGCACAGGACCTTCCTCCGCGTCCACCCTATACCCATCAGCGCGAGGCGATTTCCCCAATGCCTATCAGCGCGAGGCCGTCCACCAAACGAGCCCGTGTCCATCCATCCGGTGGTCATCAGGGCGAGGTCAACCTCCGCATCCCGCATTCGTCCGTCATCCGTTCTCCTTTTCTCTTTATGCCCCTCTTCATCAGGCCCTCCCGTACCCATCTCCCGCTCTTGGACCGGTTCATTCACGAACTGAATGTACTGACGCCCTTTCGCAGAGGTCAAGCTGCTCTCCGTCAAGTAAGCAGTTGCCTTGCGTCGATGACGCTGCGAAGACGCCGGCGGTGTTGTGTGTGCCAGGCCCGATCGCAGTGTGTAGGGGCGGATGACAATGCGAGGGCGGCTGCGTAGTGCCCGCTGACGCTACGCAAAACTCTCTTCGTCCGCTCCCTCGCCGTCTACCTGCCCCCATCTTACGACACAAAATCTACCGAGGGCGTCCTCGAACGAGCTTCATGAACCCCAAAATTACGGACATCTACGAGATGAAGTATCGCTTGATTTACTTGCTACAACGATCAGCTTGCATGTATGTACCAGGTGCTTGTTACAGTGCAGTCTTGGGCTGGCGCGTTTCAATGCTGATGAGGTTGTGCGCCAGATGGTCGAGTGTGTTGTGCGCTGCTGACGAGGCCGTCGGACCCAAAAAGTTGCTTCCGTCGGTTCGGGACCAAAAATCATGTGACGAAGTTGAACTTTTGCGCGGATGCTGCATTCGCGAACTCGCTACTTTGCACACCAACTATGAAGGCGTCTATGTCCACCCACAGTCGATGTGTGTGGCACACATTGCTCAAGCGCTCAAGTGCAGCCCTACGCCCACTCTAGCTGTGCAGAAATGGAACATGAACAGTATCGACGGCGTCTGACGCATCCCGAGGGTCCTTCGAATGTTCTTCCTTCCGCAGGGTTTCTTCGGAAACTGGAGCTTAGCAGAACTGACTCGTCGTCCGATGACAGTGAACCACACTTACTGTATAGGGCCACACACCCAGCCACTCGCGATCAAGGGAACCTCGGGGTCTATCTCGTCATTAGGAGCCCGAACGTCCAGACGGACCATTTAGACCCAACGCGTCGCCCACATGCGGGCCCCTCAACGCGTATCTTCATCTGGAGCGCGTCTGGAGCTGAATGAGATAGACTTGCGCACGCCACATTACGCTACAGCCTATGTCAGTGCACGAGGCGAGACACGTGTTGGCGAAGACCACCGCATTTGGGCCGTACGGTCCTGTTCCTTCCTCCGAACCGCCAACATTGCTTCTCCTGACTGCTTTCCCCGCGAGCCCTGGCCGGCCGCGCAGCCGCTCGCAGCGCCTATGTATTGAGGCGCTAACCGCAAGTATATATACTGCCCATCCCCAGCGTCCTCGCCGCCGAATATTCCGTTCACCCTGCCAGCGGACCGACAGCCATCAGATTCTGTGTGGCGGCAGCCCACTATAACTAGATCCCTCTGTGGCGAGTGACGTCGATCGTGCTCTTTTGTGTCTCTTCTCTTCCGCTCCCGCCGCTTTTGCCCCGCCGCGAGGACTATATCATCCCCTCCGTGGGTCCATCCTGCTGCAACGTACCGACACCCACCCATCAGAACACTAGAATCCGATATCCCCCATCCCCCTCCTCATTGCACCCTCATGTCTGAAGTCGATTACTCCCCCGAGGCCTACATTCGGTACCACCAGAAACAGAAGCGCGTCGCAGACTGGGTCGACTCGACCTCGTCGCACTCGCAGCGCTTCAGCAACCCCTCCGCGCCGAGCGTAGCAGCCAGCTCGAGCTCACACCGCTCTGGGCGAGCACCAAGCGGGGTCCATGTCGCGCACTCGCGCTCGGGATCTGTGGCGCCCGGGCCCTCGCGGGCAGGGTCGGTGGCGCCCAGTCGCTCAGCGTCTGTACCGCCCTTCCACGCCCCGCCACCGCCAACAGGCTTCGGACCCGCACCCAGCTACACAGGAGTCCCTACTCAGCCAGGATCACGCATAATACATGCTCCTCCAGGCTCGATAGTGATCATTCCGAGCGCTAGCGCTCATAGCTCGCCCTCGGTGGTCAATGGCCCGTCGCAGATGTCTTCCCCTACCTCAATGCCGGCCTCGCCATTGTCGATGGGGTCGTCACCGCCCAGCATGGCAGGCTCCGCCCATGCGGCGATACCACGAGACTTACCGGGATCCGTAGCCCCGTCGCTGTCGTACGTCAATTGTTCGGTCTTCATGCAACCAACACTCACTAGTCTATCGCAGTCACGGGTCCAACAGCTCGCGCAGCAGTACGCATAGCTCGCACCGCAGCTCAGGACACGGCTCGCACCGGAGCCACGGCAGCAGTCGGAGCCAGACGTACCCGCCTAGCAGCTACCCCCCTCCTGTCATCATCCCAACCAGCTCCCTCGTCGATTCCCCGCGAGGCACCCGGTCTTCCTCCTCCCATAAATCAAAGTCCCGGCATGGCCACAAAGACTACGTACAAGTACCAGTCACCGTGCCCGGCTTTGACGTGAGGGTGAGTCCGCACCCGTACTCTTCCAACAGGAACATGCTGATTGAGTCCTTCTAGGGTCCGACCGGCGAACCTGTCCAAGTTTACCAAAGATACTACCCTCAATACCACCTCAGGCGATAGACTCAGGCCATCGCGCCTTCCATGCCCCTTTTGACACTCTTGCATGACGCATGGACATACACATACGTACCGAACCGGCCAGAACGCACCTCTCGGATCACTTTCTCCCTCACCTCTTGCGCCTCAGATCTCTTGCTCCCTCGTGGATTGGAGGAATTATGGAAATACATGGGTTCAATAGTTGTACCGCTGTGGCTGTCTTCATTATACCTACTTAGTTACATACAGCTGTGTATCTTAGAGTCTCTTGGACGAATGGAATTTGTTGGTAGTCTTGACGCATTACCAGTTGTGGGTCCAACAGACGGGTGCCCATATGTCAGCTCACGTGGATATAGTCACCTCTGTCGAGATGTCCCTTTGTTTCTTGCCTTCTGCCACCGTCTTTCGCTTCTGATCATGGATGAGAGCTGCGGCCACAGTAAGTTCTGCGCGAACTGTGGCCATCCAGCTGCACCCAGCTTGATACGATGGCCTCAAGTCGATAGTCACAAATGGCTGTCGACCCTCAGAGCTGGACATTTGCCTCCGGACGCTGACCGCGCCACGCTCGAGAAAGAGCTCGATGCCCTACGCGCTGCCGCCGATGCTCATGAGCGAGAGCTTGATAGGATACGTACTAGGATGGTCAACATACAAGCAGACGTCGACCGCTTGTCATGCTTTCTTCAATCGCCTATTCGACGCCTGCCCGACGAGGTGATGGAGGACATCTTGCTGTGGGCTTGGATCGCGTCCAACTCCCACGCCTCTCGAGGTATACCCGCTCGCAAACGTCATCTCCAAAGCGCGGAGGATCTCCCCGCGCTGTGTCCCTCGCGCGTGTACGCGCCTCCCCATGTCTGCGCCTGGTGGCGTCGCCTCGTCTTGAATAGGCCCGCTCCGCACCCTTACTACGAGCTCGCTACTCGTGATCTTGTCGATTTTAGGAAGGACGATAGTGCACAAGGCTGGTGCTACGCCTTTCCGGACAACTTGGGTCCGACACTAGCGCGCTTGCCGTACCCCGACCTCAACATTCGAATTGACAACACTAAACATGGAGGGAGGATCTTTCCCACTCTAGACGAGACTAATGCGCATCCTGAGCGATGGCGCTATGCTGTGTTGGAGAACGTACCGTGTTGGATCATGCAGGAAGTCGGCGAACAGCATCTCCCCTCCCTCCGATACCTGCACATGTCCCTTGGCCACGACGCGGAGCAAGATGTAGGGCCTGCACTCAGTGCCCAGGAGCGCTCTCTTCTACTTCGCAACGCGCCGCAGCTTCACAGTATTTCCCTCATGAAGAAGCAAGGCCTCCAGATGCAATGCCTCCCTTTCACGCTGCCCTGGTCGCAGCTTCGACAAGCGCGTCTCAGTAACATACCCCTTGCCGTATCACTGGAGATCCTGGCCGAGTGCAAGTTTCTCAGTTCGTTTGTGTGGTGGGACGAGCGCACCGCGAACGAGGTCGATCTGCAGGATATCATGCCATCCGGCCGAGTAGTCTCCGACTCCGTCACCGAGCTGTCCGTCGCGCTCGAGGGGCTCGAGAACACAAGCCTCGGAAACTTGCTGCGGTGGGCATCCATGCCCTCTCTCGCCAACATTGAAGTGGCGTACGCGCCGACGGGGCTGCTAGTGTCCTTCATCAAACAGTCCGCGTGCCGACTCACCACGCTGAGCCTCCATGCGTCCATCTACACGATGTCTTCAGAAAATTTCCTGGTCATCTTCGAAGCCGTGCCTGAGCTGGAAAGGCTCTCCTTCCTATATGACACGTACTTCGAGGATGACTGGATGCCGCAGTACGAAGGGGAGACGATGAGCCTGTTTCTTCACGCTCTCTCCACCGCGCTCTGTCACGTACAACCGCATCCGAGCACAGCCTATCGCTACCTGCCTCGGCTGAACACGTTCTTCTTCCGCTGCCCGGAGCGATGCGACACATCTTTCTTGGCGATGATATCGCTCAGAGGACGCAGCCGCAGGCCAGATCCGCGTAACCTGGCGAAAACAGCACCTTTGCGCGAGGTCTGGCTGGAGACGCCGCTCAATCAAGAGGATGTTGATTTCATGAGGGTATTGTCCCTGGCGCAGGGATTCGAGCTCTACGGCCTCAACACATGTAGTGCGATGTACGATGCGCTGTTGCCGCACGACTGGAAGCCGCCTCTCGAGGTATCGAGGTGCGCACTGATTGATACACGTGCGCTGCTGCTTTCGACATAAAGTCATTCTTCTGCAGGCAAGATAGACCGAGTATCGACGAAGAGAGCATCTCAGTCTTTCACTAAGATGGCGTCAAAGCGGCAGGATCCGCGTACAATCTAGAGTGTATTTGGTCTAGTGAGTAAGTACAACAACAAACCCGAAGAGTACAAGAGCGAGAGGCATCGAGACGTTATTTGTCCATGCGGATCCCGGTACCGTGGCATCGGGCCTATGCAATGGAGGATTAGTACAATCTACGCAAAGACCAGACGGTCTACGCACGCAATACCGTTGTGGTCTGAGTAAGACGGACAAGTATCGTTGGAATTGCCCTTGCATAACCGTCAAACTCTGCACGAGAAGGCGACGCAAGACGTACGGTGGGTTCTACAGGGCAACACGCGCTCTCGGGGCCAAGATAGTCGACCGCGCCGAGGGCTGAGGTATCATCGAAGCCCGCCCAGTTACCTTCGCAAGTAACAACCTCATAAGTTATGTTCCATACGCCAAAGTCCTGTGAGATAGATGAGTAGTTGTCAACTTGACTATTGAAGAACCCAGCGCACAGTAAATCCGTAATAAGAGGCATTCGAAGGAAAGAAGTCGTCGGGTATAGCGTCAGACGGGTATGCCAGGTCGAAGTTGAGTTGATGACCGCCACTGCGAGTGGAATGAGCAACGCAGCTCCTGGCATACTGAGACAGATATTTCACTGATTAGTTTTGTCGTTGGTACCGGAGCACCATCCATCCTTGGTGAGAGGGCATCTGAGGCATACTAGTAAGCACAGAATTAGCAGGAAGGTGGGGGAGCGGACTTGTCGGTGATCTTGATAACAATAGATTTGGTTTCGTCGGGAAAGAATGGGGGGTTCGAGGCGTATGTGTTGAGTAGGGTTAGGTTGAAGCAGCGGCCACAAGCGGGTCCTATGAATATGAATGAAGGTCAGCCCATCGGCTTCATGTTAGTGCTTTACGCACCATACGCAGCACTACTGCCATAAGCCATTTGCGACAGTGCCGCAGTAGGGTACTTGGTGCTTCCCCCCACACATCCGCAGGACGCGATGTAATCCTTTGGCAGGTCGTAATGGGTCATGGTTGCCTCCCCATTATTTGGATAGTCTATCCAGTCCGACGCGTCGACAAGCCGCGCCGCAAGGACAGCAAGTACCAGACAGAGATTCATAATGAGGACGCTCATATTCGCATCTCTGAGGATGTGAGCTGGCGCCTCCAAGGTCCTGGGAGCGGAGGGCAACCTGGGGGAACTACTTCCGCTCCTTGAGCGGCTCCCGAGCCGGTACCGGCGATCAACACCCAGAAAGGCAGATTGCTTGCCGATTCCGGCCAGAACGCTCGCCGTCGTCGCCACCGTCCGCGACGCTGTCAGCGTCGATGAAGGTCCTATACCCTGCGTCGCACCTGCTCTCTGCGCTCAATGACCATCTGCTTGCTATCAAGATAGCGCGACACTCGCCATGCTCCGCGTGCGAGGCGTGCTCCGGCCTTCATCCATCTTTCGGCGTCTCCGTTGCGCTCGACGTCAAGGGTGAAGATAGCGACTCAGCTGCGGTCAGTAACCCCTTTGCATTCAACGAGGACGAGGAGGATGAGGGCGACGCTGGCTACATTGAGAGCTGTGCTTGTGGTCACTCCGTCAAGGATCATGGCGCCGATCAGGTTGTCCTCGGACGGGATGAATTCATGCGTAGGGGCAAGGTAGCGATACGAATAGATGAGCTGTTGATGGTGAGTGAACTGCAGTCCACGACAAGGCGCGATGCTCACCGAGTCAAGGATGCGCACAGACTGTTAGAATTCGATTATGTAGACGGAGATATCTTGTCGCTTCGACAGCAAATGAAGCTGCCGGGCGCGTCCAAACCTGCCTCCTTCGGCTCTCGTTCTCCAGGTGACTTGGCTCGCTGACCCTTGTCGATGATTCTCTCATTCTTTGTCTAGCGCCACCATTTCAGACTTATTCCACATCATCCTCCGCCGCGTCTTCCCCATCTACACTCAGCGACGACGTACCCACAGCTCCCCCATCAAAGAAGCGCAGGGTTTCCTTCTCATCTTTGAGCGAGCAAGACGACGACGATGATGACGAGGAGCCACTCGCGTCGCGCGTCGCGTCCAAGATCGCCCAAAACCAATCACCCAGTAAACGGCATCCTGGCACCGGACAGAAAGCAGGAAAAGCATCGACTGGACTGGCCCCACAAACGCAGACAACGCTCGCGCCAGTATCGGTCGCCCCCATTGGCACGCCAGAACTGGAGGAGATGAACAACGGTCGGTCGAAACCACGAAAGACACCAGAACCGAAGGTCAAAGTCGAAGACAAGCTGGACGAGACACAACTCACGCGGCTAGCCACTGGTGTCAGCGTCGACGCCGCCGGCTCAGGTGGCGTGCTCCCGCCACCGAAAGCCGAGAAGCCATACGTCGCCGAGCTAGAAAAGGGCATAATCAAGATCGTCCCTGTGATAAACGACGGAGAGCCCCGGTCGAGCATATTGTTCACGGGGCTGAAGACCCTCTTCCAGAAGCAGCTCCCGAAGATGCCGCGCGAGTACATCGCCCGACTCGTCTACGACTACAACTCGCGCGCACTCGCCATCATCAAGCGCGGCCTCAAAGTCGTCGGTGGCATTCTCTTCCGCCCCTTCCCCCAACGCGGCTTCGCCGAGATCGTCTTCTTCGCCATCGCCGGCGTCGATCAGGTCCGAGGCTACGGTGCGATGCTCATGGACAACTTCAAGATGCACATCCGCCAGACCTATCCAGACATGCAGTATTTCCTCACGTACGCGGACAACTACGCCGTTGGCTACTTTGAGAAACAGGGCTTCTCGAAGGAGATCTCTCTCGACCGCTCTGTCTGGGCTGGCTACATCAAGGACTACGAAGGCGGGACGATTATGCAGTGCACGCTGCTGCCGAAGGTGGACTATCTCAAGAAGCAGGAGATCGTACGCACGCAGCAGGAGGCGGTCTTGAAGAAGATTCGGGAGATCAGCCGGAGTCATATTGTACACCAAGGCATCCCGGAGGAAGTGTGGGCGAAGGCAATGGCCAGGAAGCCACCAAATTATGAGCCGAAAGAACAGAAAGATGAGATGGTCCTCAGTCAGGAAGAGGTTCCCGGTCTCAGTGCGTATCCCTTCCTTTTCGCCGTCGAAGGGCGAATTAACGTAACAAAGAGGAGAGTGGCTGGACGCCCGACATGATCGTCGTGTATGTAACGCGAACTTCTAGCGAGGTGAAAGTGCTGATACAGCCTTGTAGTACGCAGGTCCCTCGACGAAATCCAGACTTCGCCTACATGGAGCGTTTACTGGCAGACCTGAAGGGACACTCGAAAGCGTGGCCCTTCCTCAAGCCTGTCAACAAAGACGAAGTACCTGACTATTATGATGTCATCACGGAACCCATGGGTGCGTCTCCTCTCTTCATGTGCAAGCGTGCTTTGCTGAATTCTTGCGCCAGACTTTGAGAAGATGGAGCACAAGCTCACGACGCTGCAGTACAATAACGTCGACGAGTTCGTCGTTGATGCGCAACTCGTGTTCGACAATTGCCGTCGTTATAATCCGTCGGATTCCGTCTACGCGAAAGCGGCAAACGGGCTGGAGAAGTTCATGAAAGACCGCTTAGCCGCTGCTGGGCGGTGAATTCGCTCGTGGGCAGAGTGTATCACGGGCGAAAACTCACTTTACTGCGCTGGACCGGTGCGGACACCTTGACTCGGCACTTTATCGCTGTACTATTTATCTGTTGTATCATATGCCTCTTTCTGTGCTGTCTCAATGCCTTCGGCGCGCTGTGTAGCGGCCTTCACCCGGGATCCGCGAGTGCCCGTAGCCTCCTCACGACCGCACAACCGTCAGTCGAGTCATATCACCATCGATTTCGACTCAGGATTAGTCAACGGATGGCGAGGTATATGAAGGGCATCGCGGAAGCGTACGCCCACTTCTCTCCGTACACCCCATGGTCCGTCACGATATCACCTTGACTTCGCCCACGGGCAAGCTCGTGCTAACCTGCCCTTCCGACCAAGACGACAATGAGAGGATTGCGCTGTTGCGGACCCATCCGGAAACCCTGCGCTACCTCCCCATCCTCCCGAAGACAATGACAGTCGAGGATGTCATAAAGCGCCGGGAATCACGCTTGGACGATCCTAAGACGCTGGACTGGAACGTCGACATCGTCGATGCAGATGGCAAGCGCACGTTGGTTGCAATGACCACCATCTTCGCTATCGACGAGGAGTACAGTTCGGGAGAGACGGGGATCCTTGTTGCCCCTGATGCGCATCGCTCGGGGCTGGGGACGGAGGTTTTGTACACGGTGCTGAAGTATGGGTTCGAGACGATGAAGCTGCACCGAATACAATTTCAGACGGGGGCGGACAACGTTGGTATGCGAGGCTGGCTGGATCGGGTCGCGGGGGCGTACTACGAGGGTGCGCGACGGGATGGGTGGAAAGGCATAGATGGCAAGTTTGCGGACGTCGCAGTCTATAGCATCTTGGAGGACGAGTGGCGGGAGAAGACAAAGCGCTTGTTGCTTGAGCGATTGAAGGTCGAAGATGAATCATGATATACGTACTTTACAATGCAGAATACCTCTCAAATTTCAGCACCGGTTTGACTCGAGTTGGAGCGACAATATGAATGATGTTGTGAGGTGCACACGAGCAAATTGGCTTATGACAGGACAGCGGACGAACAGAGGGGAATCCAGAGCCAGTAACTCGCTCAGTTTGCCATTGCTTGCGTAGTACCATTACTGCACCCAAGTACAAAGCTACGAAGTCCATCGAGAATTCACATTATGCGTTCGTTGATAGGGTATGCTATAGTCCATGAGCCAGTTCGTCACTTCGTGCGTTACGCGTAGTGAAGGAAGTCGTTGAAGTTCGTGTAGGGGATGGTGTCGCCAGTTTTGGCCCAGTCGAGGATCGGCTGCCAGCCGGTGGAGAGCAGGGTGTCGACGCTGCTTCGCAGAGGATCAGCGGAAGATTGCCAAGTCGATGCGTGAAGGAGACATACCTCGGCCAGTCAGCAGAACCGATGTCGCTCAATGTGCCGTAGATGAAGTCAATGTAGTTCTGCTGCGTGATGGGGCAGCCGTTCGGCTCCCAGGCGCAGTCACCGACGATGCCGGCGTAGATCTGAGGCGAGGGTCAATCGATGAAGGAGCGAGGGGAAACAAGTGATACCCACGTTGTAGTCAAGGCTGGGCTGCTCGTTCTGGCAGGCGATGTCCATGTTCTTGCATGCAGCGAGGCCTTGGACGGTCTCGGGCTATATTGCAATGAGAACACCAAGGATGAGACGTCTTTGAGGGGTTCTCACCCAGATCTTGTTGGAGCTAGCAGCTACGGCGACACAGGCCTTGTTGCCCCAAAGGTTGCCAGTGCCGTTGACGGCAGCTTCATTGCCGGTGCATGCGTCCATAAGGTTACGCTGGTACTGCTCCTTGTCGGGGTACGAGAACCCATGGGTGGCAGAATAGCAGGCGCCGCCATTGGCAGAGCATCCATCGGCCCTGGGTGAGGGGACGGCGAGGGCGACAGAGGCGAAGAGAGAGGTGGCGAAGAGGGAGAACTTCATGATTAGGTGGCGAACTTGGATAGGGAGGAAGGTAGGAGGTTTGGGCGTGGTGGAAGGTATAGACGAAAGACGAGGTCGTCAAGTCTGGTCTACACCCACCGTACTCCCTCGCATTTATACTGATCACCGACAGGAGACCCACCGAGAGTTCCGACTCTGGGGCCAGTCCCGAAACATTGACATCGTGTGCGCGTTGTTCTGCGTTGCGGCAAGCGTTCACCGCCTCGTCCGACTCGTCGAGGAGATCGGGCGGCAACCTCGTGCTTTTCGACAGGAACGACCGTCCAGGTGACACTGCCACATCGTCGATGGTCGGAAGATCTCAAGGGCAACACAACCGACGGCACATCACCCGTCTCGATACACAAACCGAGCCCGATATTCCCACGTTGCCTCTGTTACTTCATTGAGTTGCAGTTAGGACTGGCTGTGCAGGTCGCGCACCTTTACGGCCGTCGAAAGATTCACTGTCTCGCGAGTTCGTTCGTTGATTTTGAGAAGGTCGAGATTCTTGAAGCTTGAGGTTGAGCTCACAATCATCACACACAGGAGAGGCATGGAAGGTGCATAGGGTAATAATCATGGATCATACAGAGGGTGATGAGTGCAAGTCGAGTGCTAAATTTTGTACCCCATCATTCCATAGTGCCCTGCTCGTCATAGTAAGAAGTACAATGCCACGATACGCCTACGCGTTGTGGGCGTGCTTCTGCTTGCCAGCACGGAGCTTGCGGACGTAGAACTGCAGACTTGTTAGCATTGCTTGGGAAGCAGGAGACGGACATGAGGACGTACCTCGAGCTCCTGGCCCTCGAGGATGTAGCCATCAGCGCGGCCGGACTGGCCTGGCCGGCTGGAGATCGCAGCGTAGAGACGACCAGCGGCAAACTGGCTCTCAAGAAGGGGGTCGATCTTGGCGTCCTTCTTGCGCTCGGTGAGCTTGCGCTGGACGTGGTTGGACAGCTTCTTGTCCTCAGCCTCAGGTGCCGGGGCGTGCTGCTTGCCCTTCTTGGTCACGGGCTGGGCATACTGAAGGTGGATATGTCAACTATGAAATACATACTGACAAGTAAGTGAACGTACGTGCGCCTCGTACCACTGACGGAAGGGGGTGGCATCGACCTGAACGATCGCGCTCTTGACAAGGGTGTTTGTACGGACAAGCTCGTTGTTCGATGCGTTGTAGACCTTCAGATCAATCAGTAAAGCGAGATCTGCCGCAGGTATCAACTGTGCACGTACGACACCGATCAGACGAGTCTTGCGCGTAACATGCTCCGAGCCCCAGGCGAAGTTGCCCGTGTCCAGACGAAGGGCACGGAACTTCTGGTTGCCACCGCGGGTACGCACAGTGCGGACGCGCTTCGCACCGAGCTTGGTGTTCGCAGCCTGGCGACCGAGCTCGAACTTTCTCTTTTTGCGGAAAGGGATCGGGGCGGCTCCGGAGGCCGAGCGCTTGTGCCTTGAGGAGCGCGAGATACCTTGCACATCATCAGCAAGGGGAACGACGGCACCAACGACCAGCAGCACTCACCCATCTTGAGGCGGTCTTGACGATGGCGGCGACGATCCCAAAAGCGTAGCCGGAACAGGACGTCACGTGCGTGTATAGCAGCCACATTTGCACGTGATGTCAGTTGCTGCAGTTGCCGCGCGGCAAATCCCGCGTTGGCGCTTAGTCAGACAGGGAGAATTATCGAGGCGACGCTATCAGCTTCAAGAGCGACCGCCGCAAGTCCCCGCACTCCTCGCCGCCGCTGTCCATCGGTCTACCCAGATAGACCGTCGCCGCCTTTACATCAGACAATATGGGAAAAGGTGCGCTTGTCGTGGTGAAACCTGGCTCGTATGTCCGATTAATCATCCGTTTAGTTCACGGATCCCTTGCCCGTGCCGGTAAGGTCAAGTCGCAGACCCCCAAGGTCGAGAAGCAGGAGAAGAAGAAGGTGCCCAAGGGCCGCGCGAAGAAGCGCATCTTGTACAACCGCCGGTGTGTAGCGCACTTCCATCCTCCCTGATCGACGCTGATGAATCATCCAGCTTCGTCAATGTCACTACTCTCCCTGGCGGCAAGCGGAGAATGTGCGTGTCTCTTCGTCTTCCACTCTTGCGACGCATTTCCTGTCCTCGTGCTCTCCTGATGATACTCGAAATCAAGCATAGTTCACACTGAAACTATCGTGTTGACAAACAAGCATCAAAACGTCTTTCGCTCCTATCTGACCCTTCCCTCGTCTCATCCTATATCGCTATACCCTACATGTCACTAACCTCCACCTTCAGGAACCCGAACCCCGAGAAGTAAATGCCTCGTTGGACGGCCTGCGCAGTGCGCGCGAGGTTCACGCCCCTGGGTATCGCGGTCCTTCACCACCGCCTGACGGCCTTGGTTGGTCGGGGTCTTACTATGCTTTCGCCTATATTATGCGGCTTGCTATGATCATGCACATTCCATCTCCCTGTATTTTACATGCGATCGAGCAATGCGCAGACGGATGACTGCCGGCACCCTGAGTCGAGCGCCCGGTGCTCGAAGAATTGTCTTTTGTGATTAGGGCTCCCGGAAGTGCTCACTCAAGTATACTGAATGATTTGCGCCTGTCGTAGCACATCTCACCAAACAAGACTGACTGGACCTAAATCCGAGCAACTCCCGAGTCAATGGGTGCGGCGTATCCCAAGGACTTCAATGGACCGAGACTCATAGCGATGCACGCAGCACCGACTGTCTCAAGTCCCCTACAGACGTTCTACTGCATTTACCTGTCTTATGACTTGAGGTGTTGAGGCGAGGAATGTAGAAAAAGGGCGTGCAAAACAATTATGGAGAAGGGACAAACAGCAGACAACAATGTCCATACTGCGACCAAATACAGAAAAATAAACGCGAGCCTCCCGCCATCACGCGCCACTGCGAAAGTACTTGGCTTCCAGAACCTCCGATGTCTTTTCAGCTGTTCCTAAGTGAGAAACAACGGCTTGGCTGGCGGGAGTAGCCGGACGCACGGAATGGGTAGGAGTCGGACATCCCCCGCGGTGACCTCGTCAGCGACATAACGGGCTGTCACCTTCTTATATGGCGAGCCCGTGGCGCATGCTCGAGATGCAATGACACCTCTGCTTAACATGTCTCTCGACACTCGCGACGTTGAGACCGTCCTTGCGACGGTCGGAGCTATATACGTACTTCGGCGCGTTTTGGATGGACGCAGATGCCTTCAGTCCGTAGGGTCAGTAAAGAATTTATTCTCAAAGCATAACTATACACTCAACATTACTAGGCATGCCTCTGGACCCAGAACGCTCCTCTCCCAAATGGGCGCCCTGGCCAACATCCTGCCTGTCAAGCCGCCCATCGGTTACGGGGTCCAGTACGACTTGGTCTCCAAGTTCAAGTGCGAGTACCTATGGTTATTTATTGCGTCCCCAATAGCTCACTGACTACCCCTAGTCTTCGAAGAAGCCGACTGCGACGTGATTGCTGCGGTACGTGGATAGCGAACCTGGGACGGTATGTGCTCCACGGGCTGATTGCTGACGAGGCTCTAGGTTTCTTTCTGGCCTCATGCGGAAGCCGTCCTCCACATCGCGAATGCGGAAACCATCAAGGTATCTATTTCATTTGAATGCCGTTCTGCACCGTTACCAACGCGTCTTTAGACAACAGCCTGGGCCAGACAGCGCTTCCCGAAGCGCGTCGCACAATATAGTTTCTTGGATATGTTCGGCCCTAACATCCTCACCTCCGAGTTCGACCAGTGGAAGTTCTTCCGCAAGGTTGCTGCTCCAGCATTCTCAGAGGTCAGTGCATTCTTTATTCCATACGGCACTGCCAGCTCATCCATCGGCAGCATAACAATCGCCTAGTCTGGGCGGAGGCTACGCGCACCATTGTCGAACTCATCGAAAACGTCTGGAAAAACGGACAAGTCGTACATGTAGATAACTTCCTCGAGATAACGCTCTCGGTGAGTGATGAACCTGTTCTTCAGCCCCTTTGCTCAAGCATACGCTTAGGGTGCTCTGCATGTGATCGGAGGCGCTGGTAATGTCGTTCCTTGGTCCCCTGTAGTTGCAAACTGACCTTGTGCTAGGTTTCGGGCGAAACATGTCCTGGGGTGACGACGCCACCGCTCCCAAAGGTCACCAACTCTCGTACAAGGAGTGCATGGTCATCGTCAGCACGAATATCGCCGTGCGCTTGATTTACCCCGATTGGTTCCCGAGTATCACAAGGGACTTGCACCGCATCCGGGCTGCTTTCAGCGAGCTTGAAGTACGCATTGGTCTGCTGGCGTAATAAAATGGCTGACGACGGCGCAGACATACATTGACGAAATGATCGACGAACGTCGGACTAGCAAGGAAGAGCGACACGATCTGCTGAGCCGACTGCTTGAGGAGACTGACAATGGCGATAGCGTCATGAGCAACAGGGAGATCCTCTGTGCGTTTTCTATCTTCTTTAAAAATTCATTGACTGACGCGCCTCGCAGCCAACATATTCATTTTCCTCGAAGCTGGGCATGAGGTGGGCGGTCGCGCGCCTCGAATATACTCAAACTCACAACCCCTGTAGACGATAGCACACACCCTCTGCTTCGCCTTCGCCTTCCTGGCGCTCTATCCTGACAAGCAAGAGAAGGTCTACGAGGAGATCAAGGCTGTGGCATCCGGGAGCGGCGACCTTCCGGTGCGTATCTGCGTTCGTTACATGGACCTTCGTTGAATCGATCTGTAGCAGTACGCTGACATGCACAAATACGCCTACACCCTCGCGTGAGTAAATCATTTAACCACGATGTCTAGACTCCAATATCCATTCACGCCTCTTTCAGCGTAATCTACGAAACCTTACGCTTGTTCCCTCCTGTACGAGTGCTCCCGCATCCGTCTTCGCCTGACTATACTTACGGACTCAGGTCGTTACCATCCCCAAAGTCAGTACGCAAGATCAAGTCATCACAAGCAATCGTCTCTCGGACGGGTCCAAAGTCGAGATCTCTTGCCCCGCAGGCACGAGCGTTCACTTCTCGGTCGTCGGCTTGCATAATAATCGTGCGTATTTTCCTGTCCTGGTAAGTCTGCCTCAAGGCTGAAATATCTGGTAGCCATCTACTGGGATTGTCCTGAGGAGTTCAGGCCAGAGCGCTTCCTCGGCGACTTCAACAAGGACGCGTTTATACCCTTCTCCGCCGGCGCACGAGCGTGTTTGGGTCGCAAGTTCGCCGAAACGGAGGGAGTCGCGATGATGGTGTCGCTCATCTTGAGGTACAAGTTTGAGGTGATGGACGAACCGAGGTTTGCTGGGGAGACCTTCGCGCAGCGCAAGGAGCGCGTTCTCAAGACGGCTGTTGGGCTGACTTTGACGTGCGTTCGACCTCTGCACGGAGTGGCGCGGATACTGACCAAGTGTTGTGCAGGCCTGCGCGCGTTCCCCTAACGTTCCGTCGCAGGGATTAGCTAACTTCGACGTTTGGATGTAGGTAGCGGACAAGTAAATGGAATTCGTCGTCTGATACTTCACGCATGGCGCCCACGGCAGCTAGTCCAACACTTCTCTCGGAATATCCTCTGGTCGACGATGCTTTGAGCATCGGTCGGTTCGAACTTCGAACCTACTTATCGTGGGCTCGAGTTGGGCGGGCCCGGGCAAAGCGCGTGGTTCGGTGCCGAGCGTTCGGTGGAATTTGACCAGGACGGTTACGTAGCGCGTGCAAGGACTACTGGCAGCAAATACCGCCTACGCTCTCCGCTGGACTTGGTGACGCACTGGGGGCCTGAGTACTCATATTCTGCATCGAACATCACGGCAATGAGCTTTCCATGAATGGTCGCGTTTGGACATTCGTCCTTTGCTGTTCCTCGCGCTGATAGCCCTGAACGTTATTGACACGCTTCAGCACCTTCGATAGATGAAGTAGGTGAGTCAGCGCCACAATCTAAGCTCGTAACATGCTAACTAGGTTTAATGGGCAGGAGCAAACGCGTTCCGAGCGTCCTAAAGCATCTGGTGAAGCAACGTCAAGGTTGAAGCGTTTGAAAACTCTGCAGGATGAACCGCGACGGACAAAGTACCGGCCAATAAATTCCAGATACTCATCTGCTTACTCGGAGCGTCTTCAGCCGACAGTGAAGCTGGCGGAGGGCCCATTTTCGCAAACGAAGGCCATGCCGGCCGAGTAACGAAATATGTCGCCACTCGTGCGGACACGCTGCGAAAGCGGGACACCGTCGGGCCAAGGACGTACTCCAGCATGCCCCACGTCAGGAAAAGCGGAGCCTCGCGCCAGTCTGCCCCCGCGTACCTCCCAGGAATACCGCTTACCGTATGCTTTTTTGCAGCGTGTCTAATGCGAGGCTCCGCGTGGCTGCTGTGGTTGGCGGAAGGCTGCAGAAAAGCCTATCACCCTTACGTTGTCCGCTCACATCGAACAGAACTGCCGAGGGTGGAAACTCCTCTTCCAGGACCAATCTATGACAGCGACACGCCTTGGGAGGCGCTGAAGATGGCTACAAAGTCGTAACGCCGTCTCCTGCGGCCATTCAGACAAAGGAGGGCGTACTTGCTTTTCGTTGCAGTCATACGTACTAGCGCTGCAGGTTGGGATCGATGCAAAGTTACGTGCGACAGCGCAGCAGGTATGTGACCTGCCAGAGACCTGTATGCCCCGTCGGTTGGGTAAACCACCGAGGGACGCGCTCATTTCTGCGCAGCATCACAAGGGTACGAGAAGAAAGGCGCGGCAGCGGGGTGGCTGGCTTGACCTTCAGGCGCGCCAACCTGTTGTAGAATGGATGGCGTAAGACGCCACGCCCTCGCTTAACGTCGGCAGAATCAGAATGGAGGTTACGGACGAGCCTGTGGAATATTACTCGGGCGCATTCTAGGGGCTCTTCTTCCAAGAAGTATGTCTTATCCTAGTCGGATGAACTAGCTGTTACTCACAAAGTACGCAGGTCCTACGCAGGTCTCCTGTTCGCGCGCCACTGCTCTTACTTCCCCAGGCAGGGAACACGGTCTTCTCCTGCGTCTGAATATGGCGTAACTTGTAGGGAGCGGCCGGGCCGATGCGCGAGCGGTCCGCGGGGTACTTCTGCTCAGTAGACAGCGCATCATCGCAAGTTAATCGATTATGTGCTTGTAAGCGTCGCGTGTCGTGCCGATTGGCTCGCAGGACAGGCTTGCATGGGATGGCAGGCATTACGGGACGATAGGCCATCTGTGTGGGAGTAGAGCTCGTCGATCCAGCAAAGGGGGTGCGGGCACCTGCAGCGCGTCGGCACCTGCCGGCTCCGTTTGTAAAAAATCAGGACGTTGTTCCGCTCGCCGAGCGCTGCATTTCAGGGCCACGACGCCGCTCGGGAACACGCCTGCCTGTCCCACACAAAAGCACTGAGCGGCGAATCCGAGACGGCGGGGATAAAGACCATAAGCAGCAGCCCCGTGCGACGAGGCACGCATCGTGTACACATGTAATGCTTATGGCACAGTTTCGATCACAACAAGAGATCTGCCAACTCGATCTCTGCATTCAAGAAGGGGCGTATTTTATCGAGTGTATAAAGCCCGGGCGCCGTCATCGTCTTGTCCCCATCTTTTGCCCTGGTCTTGCTCGTCGCGCCTCGTTTCCTGACCTCCGCTGCCCTTCCCCGCGGCCCGATCTGCTATCCCCCACCCCCGGGTGCACCTACGGCTTTGTGGCGCAAATGGGAGCGCAAGGCGTGCAAGTAAATCTCCGCGAAAAAGACATACATTCACGCTCGAATCAACCTTATTCAATACGGCCTTGCACCTGCTACTCCCCGTCCCTCCACCATCATCTGTCTCCATCCACGGAAGCATTTTCTTCGCTACCTCCGATGCTTCCGATCCCATTCGGCTGGCTCTCTTCCATCCCATGGTATTGTGGCCTACGTCTGACCGCTGGGATGTCACGCAGCGGACGGCGGGGGCACATACCATGAGGAATGGAAGAGGCCTGCCCAGTTGGATGTGGTTGCTTCATGTAGCTTGAAACGCCCGTGTCGTGACTCTTTGCGGTAGTCGCCCACATCCCTTGCGCACGCACAAGCTCTACTGCACCTTCGTCTCGTCAATACGTTGCTCCCGTCTGTTCTCCACCTACTCTCCACGGCGCCGATCTCACAATTTTTACCGATCGAGATTATGCGCGCCCACGCGATCGAGCGGCGGGTCCTGCAGTCGGGACCACATAGCGTAGCCCCTGTCTCTTCATTGTACCTATGCACTATATTCCGCGTCTCAGTCAAAGCCTTTGTGCCGCAATCAGAGGGCCAAAAAACGTTGCACGCCGGCCAACACGCTGAGTTGCAGGCGGACGCGTGTATGTCGCGCGACGCTGACTTCACGGGCGAGCTTGCTTCCGTGGAGGAAAATTAACGGAAGCATCTGTGTGGGATCTGCTTCCGCTAACAAAACCTGCCATATCAGTATCGATCATTCATTTCCCCTCCCGGCGTGGACAGCTACTGTCACGCCTGTCTTACATCTTAGTCCAAGAAGTACAGATTCCCCCTATGTAACTACAGTGTATGTACCGCTCGTCGACATGGCACCGCGCCTAATGGTATCACGTGGTATGGACAACGGCGCGGTGCGAGACGTTTGTTATGTTTAGCTTGTGGTATCAAGCCCATTTGCCGGGAATAACGGGGTGAGAGGCGGATAGACCGCCGTCAACGGCCCAGTTCTGACCGTTCACATAGCTTGCCTCGTCTGCATTGCCTGGTCAGTGGAAGGTCGACCGGACGATGAGGGAGACCTACCTGATGCGAGGAATAGCGCGACGTTGGCAATTTCTGGGGTGAAGCGTTGGTATACAGCGTCGAGGAAGAAGTGGACTATTCTCCTCACCTTCGGGTACACCGAATCGTCCAGAGGGATTGAGCTGCCCAATCTTCGCAGTGGACCCGCGCGCTTGAGCGTACTCGAACTGGTCCGCGGTCATCCCGGTTTCAATGAGTCCAGGACAGATGCTGTTGACTCGGATGTCCGTGCGCCGCAGCTGGTAAGGGGCCGTCTTTGCCATGCTGTTGACGCTGCGAGGGTACTCAGGATATGGTTGGCGCGAAGGCCTCGAAGCACGTACGCAGCCTTGCTAGCGCTGTCTGTAAACGAATCAGCGAATGACGCTGGATTAAGTGCGTAGTATCGCACTCACAATCTACAGTACCAGCGCCAGAGCGTATACCTGCGACTGCAACGAAGTCAACATGTCGTATTCCAACTATAAGTATAAGATGCGAAGAGAAATACCTGAGGCAGTGAGGATGATGCTGCCACCGCTGAAATCCTTCCCAGCGGAAGGATTCGGCTGGAGCATGGCCTCCGACGCATAGCGGACAGCCAAGAAGCACCTAGAGGCGCATTAGCCGATTTACGATAGCATGCGGCGGCACAAAGAGGGAGACACCCACGAGCGGACGTTGATCCTCATAGTCTTCTCGTAAGTCTCAACCGACGAGGTCTGCAAAGGGTCGCGCGAAGCCCAGCCAGCCTAGCAAGAGACGTAAGAGCTTGCGGCGGATGGACAACTCTACCCCGCGTACGTTTGCGAAGAAGACGTCGAGCTGGCCCTCTTCCTGGATTGCCCGGTCGCAGAGACCCTTAATAGCGGCCTCGTCCGAGGCATCCGCTTGGATTGTGGTCACCTGGATTTATGAGGTGAGGGGGAGGGAGGTAGGTCGCACGTGAGGGCAACTGACCTTGACGTCGGGGTACTTCTTCTCGATAGTCGACTTGAGGTCAGGGAGGTTGGTCGGGTCGAAGTCGAGAAGGTATAGATGGCGCGCTCCTAACATATACCGCATGTGTTAGGCTTGCCCTCGTCGGGGGGATGGGGCGAGGGGAACGGATACCTTCGTGCGCGAAGCGAATAGCGGACGCACGACTGGGCGGAGCGTGAGGAGAGCGTCAGTATAGTGCACAGCTGGCCTTGGCATAAACCAACGCACCCAATGCCCTTCAACGACCCCACGCCGGTGACGATGCATACCTTCCCCTTCAACCTTCCCCCACGGGGTTCATGCTCAAGGTGGTTCTGAATGCGCTGAATACGAGCCACAGTGCGCTTGTACGCGACCTCGGCATCGTCCCCCTTCGCAGTCGAAGTCTTGTAGGCCGACATGGTGTCCGGAAGTAAGAAGGAGGGTGATTGCTTTCCGCCTGCGTCGATGATTTAGACAGGTCACGTCGCACGCCCACCGGAACGTGAATTGCCGTGTTCCGGGCATCTCAACACCCGAGAACGCAGAGAAAGCGGGATGTGGGCATTGACTTTGCTGAGGCTCCCTTCGCTGGCTGCGGAGCGCGTAAGATGGCGCGTGTTCCAGCGGCCGCGGTGTTGCAGGCAGAAGGAAGGGCCAACTACTTAGCCCCGCTGAGCGCGCGTCGGACGACGAGCCGCTTGGACCATCCAAATCAGGCCGACGCGCACGCGTCGATTTTTGGAGGCGTCGTCGACGTCCATCTTTCTTCACGCGTCCGCGATGTCTAGCATAGAGCTCATAAATCCAAAGGCGGAGAGCGTCCGCAGGGCGGCAGCCCTCCAGGTACATGGAACCCCAAAGTTGGATGTGGAAATACTCAAGATTGCGTAGGTTAACACGACGGGCGCGATGGGTCTCGCGAACGTGGTGAAGGGCAATCTCGGTGCGTGTCGCGCGTTCCACTGGAAGGAACCATTGCTGAGGATGCTATCTACTGAACAGGCCCGCGAGGAACGCTGAAAATGCTGGTCGATGGCGCTGGGCAGATCAAAATGACCAAGGATGGGAAGGTCTTGCTGTCCGAGATGCAGATCCAGAACCCGACGGCGGCGATGATCGCGCGTACTGCAGTCGCACAAGATGACCAGGTCGGCGATGGGACTACATCGGTCGTACTGCTCGTCGGAGAGCTCCTCAAGCAGGCCGATCGCTACATCTCCGAGGGCGTCCACCCTACGGTCATCGCAGAGGGTTTCGATCTCGCGAAGAAGGAGGCGCTGAAGGTGTGTATTCCGCTACATGAGCGTTGCATCTGAATAACTGCTTTGTGTAGTTCTTGGACACCTTTAAGCAGCCGTCCAAGCTCGATCGCGCAACTCTGGTGAACGTCGCGTACACCTCTTTGGCTACCAAGGTCAACAGTGCCATGGCCAAGCACTTGTCTTCCGCTGTCGTCGATGCTGTCCTTGCGATCCGTCGTCCTCCTCCCCCAGAAGGTACGTGGACGTGACATACCCTTTAGATCTGGCTCACTCGCGTGCAGACGCGAAGGATCAGTGGAGGGAGCCCATTGATTTGCACATGGTTGAGATCATGAAGATGCAACATCGGACAGCCAACGAGACGCAGCTCGTGCGCGGTCTCGTCCTCGATCACGGTGCCCGTCACCCCGACATGCCGAAACGCGTCGAGAATGCCTTCGTCCTCATTCTGAACGTCAGCTTGGAATACGAGAAGACGTGAGCCCAAACAACTCATCTATATAACATGCTTCTCACTTCCACCAGCGAGGTCAACTCCGGCTTCTTCTACTCCTCGGCTGAGCAGCGGGAAAAGCTTGTCGAAGCTGAGCGTAGAGCCGTCGACAACAAAGTCCGCAAGATCATCGAGTTCAAGAACCTTGTCTGCGACCAGGCCGTCGACAGCAAGGAGAAGCGGAAGAACTTTGTGATCATCAACCAGAAGGGTATTGATCCTATGAGCTTGGACATGCTCGCGAAGAACGGCATTCTCGCACTGCGTCGCGCAAAGAGGCGCAACATGGAGCGGTAAGCACACTCAGTGCTGCAAATTGGCACTGTACTCATAATCCTTTCAGCCTGCAGCTCATCTGCGGTGGCGAGGCGCAGAACTCCCTCGACGACCTCAACCCCTCCGTCCTCGGCTGGGCCGGCCTCGTTTACGAGCACACTCTCGGCGAGGAGAAGTTCACCTTCGTTGAGGAAGTCAAGGACCCCAAATCCGTCACTCTCCTCATCAAGGGCCCGAACGCGCACACCATTCAGCAGATTCAGGATGCCATCCGCGACGGCCTGCGCGCGGTGAAGAACGCGCTTGAGGACCAGGCGCTCATCCCCGGCGCGGGCGCTTTCGAGGTCTCGTGCGCGGCGCACCTCGCAGGGCCGGTGAAGCGCAGCGCGAAGGGGCGCGCGAAGATGGGCGTGCAGGCGTTCGCGGACGCGTTGTTGGTGATCCCGAAGACGCTCGCGCAGAACGGCGGCTTTGATGTGCAGGATGCTATCGTGGCGCTGCAGGACGAGCAGGCGGATGGCAACACCGTCGGTCTCGATCTTGAGTCTGGCGAGCCGTTCGACCCGACGGTGGAGGGGATTTGGGACAACTACAGGGTGAAGAGGCAAATGCTGCATTCATGGTATGTTGAAGTTTCTTGTGGTTACGATTGGGTGCTGACCATTGTGCCAGCTCTGTCATTGCTGTCAACCTGTTGTCGACTGACGAGATCCTGCGCGCGGGCAGGAGTTCGTTGAAGCCAGACGGTCCGGGCTAAGAAACAAAATTTGTATCATAGTCGAAGGTGCTTGTAGCGATTGTATTCATCTTACTGACCGTCTTTAATCGTGCGCGATGGGCAATCTTGCGACCTGTATTCGTGGATGAATCAAGGTTCTGCCATGAAGACGCACAAGTGAAACCCGGGCCTGATGCCTGTGCGAGCATACTGTTGACGCATCACTGCTTCTCCGCATACGAGCATGGGCAAAGAAATGAAGAGTTCTCTGTTTCACTAGCGATATAATCGGCAATACACGCCGTACAGACAGTTCGGTTGTCAACAATCTCATTTCTTGCAGATGGCGCACGAGAGCGTTGCTCAGCAAGCCGTTCAAGCGGCAGTGCCGACCTGCTTCTGGAGCTGCTGAGAAAGTTGGTCCAACGAGATCTCCTGCACAGGAGTGACGAAGGCGGCCTCCCGATATTTGTCGACTGAGTTGCACGATCAGTATCGACCGATTATGGAGGAAGGATTGATGTGCTAACCGGCGTTCGCGAGTGCGTTCCACCCGTCCACCACCTTCGAATCAACTATCTTCTTGATGGCCGCATTCGCTTTGCTGGGGTCGGTGTTCACCAGGTCCTTGAGGTTTGCCAGCTGCCCAGAGATGGCCTGAAAGGCGGCCAGGACCACTTGTATCAAGTGGGTGGCCGGTCCGACCGCGGCGAGCAGACTGTCGAAGTCCATCTGTTGAAAAAGGGCTCAGTCATGCGACTTTGGCGGATGGAGTGAGGTCAGGACGTACATCCACTGAAATGAGGTCGGCGACGATGCGCCTCTCGTCCGTAACCACTCCAGTACGGCTCCCGGCCTCGTCCGTCTCCTCTGCAATGAGCCGATTGACCAGCTTGATGCGTTCGGCCATCGCCGCGGCAGCCCTTCCACTGGCAGCGGCCACAACTGAGGAGGTGATGACGCCCAAGAAGGGGACCCAAGCGTAAGTGAGAGCCGTGCTCGCCACAATCCTGTCTGCAGGGCATGGTCAGCGTACGCGCGTGGACGTCGTCACGAAGATCACCCTTACCGTGCTCGTACTCGGCCTGGTCTGCCTTAAGTTCAGTATGGTTTTCCTCGAGTTGGCGCTGAAGGGCCTCGAGGGATCCGGCGTCCGAGGTAAGCATGTCCTCCACGGCCAGCTTGCGCTCTTTCAGTGCGGAGGAGTCCTCGTAGGTCTGATCCCCAAACTTGCTGACATTCTCGACGACCTCCTGGATCTTCGTCTGGATTGCCGTGGCGTTCTTGATCAACCCGTCGCAGAGGCTGTCGATCGTTTGCTTGAGATCGTCTTTCTCCGGCTTTGAAGAGGCGGTGGCCAAGCTGCGGATGCATCGTAGGATGTTCGCTTTGGCGAGCATATCAGCAGCATGACGAGGCGCGCGGATCTGATAACACACCATAGTAGGAGTTCTGCTCGGTGCCACCCGCATCCTGAGCATAGCTGTAGATGTCGTCGGCGATGCTGACGATGCTAGGGTAGGTCTTGTCCTTGAACGTCTCGCAGTGGGCTTTGACCTGCATATTCGTGAGTCTTCGCGCGACAAGGCGAGCTATGATACTCCTTACATCGTTGAAGGTTGCGAGCAGCGGCGTCACGACTTCGGAGAGCTTTCTCATCGTTGCAGTCGAAACATTCAGGCGCTGCTGAAGGGTGTCCGTATCGCCTGGGAGAAGTACACCCGCCCAGACGTATCTCGCGAGACTCGCTATGTCATCCTGCTGGAGGACGTAGTTCCCGCTGTCGCTGAGCAGGCCTTTGGGCGACAGATCAACAGATCGGGCAGTAGACATGGGCTTTAGGTGAGGGGGACAGTGAAGATGGCCGACGTGCCAGAACCCGGGTTCATATTGTAAACGCGAACGAAGACCGGCCCAGCGTTGCATGCAGTGCTCCCAATCGGGCGAGTAATCTGCGAATAAGGGTCAGTGGTGCCGCCAGGTACTTCATGCCAATGAACAAGCCGTACAAGGTCAGCACCCTCGCTGCGGAGTTCAAAGAACCTTCTAATAGGCGCGTTAGTCGCCCCACTTGTGCCAACCAACGTATGAGTGGCGATAGATAGCAAGCTTCGTTATTCATCTTCGAGCCGGTTTTGCGAGCAAAGCCCGCCGTGAGGCCTTATAGTGGCGAGGTGTTTACTCGCCAGCGTCATCGTCATTCCGCACTAGGGAAGATTGCATGGTTCAGGAGACTGGGGCTAGCAATAGCCAAAGCACGTCCCCTAAGTCAGACGTAAACCGGACGTTAGAGCGTAGGAAGTCAAAAATTGGTCTCCGCAGTAGTCTCGTGAGTGAAAATATGGCCGCGTGCTGTGAGTTGGACTGAGGAGGACAGCAGTTCTCCGCTCATACACCGGAGGGGTACCAAAGCACCTTAGTGTGCGCTGCTGCTGGTAGTGACACGATATCAAGATGATAGGTCTCAGGGGTCGTCCAATGTAGATGTCGCCTAGAAGAAGAGCTCGGACTGGTCGCAATTACTTCGAGATGAGAGTATTGCATCCATGGTGGTTTTGTGTGTTCAAGTTCAAGCTCTGAATTTCCAGAAATCACGACCGCGGGAATCATATCGGGGAATGCCGATGTCCACTCTGCCGAGGCCTCGGCACCCCCAACTTGCCATAGACCATCGCGTTTGCGTCGGAGACTTGGCTTGAATAGCTTCATTGAGACCAACAAAGCTGAACATGGCAACCTCAAACCTCTCCAGATTTATCGAACGGCAGCGCCAGCTACTGTCTGCCGAGCGTCAGGCGGAAATCGAACGCTCGTCCTTGCTCCTCTCAAACTGTGGCCCGAAGCTGCTCGAACACAAAGGCCTAGCGCTCCTAAATCTGGGTGTAGCCTCAATCAACATTGGACTAGGTGGAAAAACGTGCGGCTGTCCCTTACCACTTTTCCTTGATCACCCTCTACTTTGAGCGCGAAGAACCTCTGCTGACGGGATGAGAAGATAGTCTTGTTGAACTGGAGAGACCCTCCGCACATCATGCTAGCCCGATATTCCCACTTCATACGCTACGGTCAGACTCTTCTTTGTACTTTCCGACGTGGCCCTCATGATTCCGTACAGCACGGGCGATCTCGCGTGTATCGAGGCTAATGTTACATCGACACCAAAAACCAAGGGCGCAAGCAAAAAGCAAGCGTCTACTACCGAATACAAGGGGAAGGTGGCTGAGGGTGTCGTGTACAAGGTATCCACAATGTCGTTCTGCGTACCTGTCATACTGATTTTGGATTGAGATGTCGGATACGCGAATCACTGTCGCTGTCGACACGGATGAAGAGCTTGATCTCCCCGATCGCCTGCGGCTGGTCAAGCTGGCAAATAATGTTACCTACGATAGGTATGTTGGAACCTCTCCAATCAGCCGTGCATTTACTGACGTTCGACTCACAGAATGGACAAAGCTATCGATACTTTAGAGAAGATCACGTCTGACAACGTGTGCATTTAGTACCAATGGCTCGACAATCCCTGAGTTAGATTTCACAGCCACCTGACGATAAAGCATTCCCGCGCCTCAATACCATGCACCACGTTCTTCTCGGACAGGCATCACCGTCTGCGAAAGTTGCGGTCAACGATCTCGAGTTCTTGGATCCGACGCTGAACGACAGCCAAAAGGATGCCATTAGGTAGCTTCCATCCGCTCGAAGTGATTGTCACCCAACATTATTTCTCCACAGATTCTGCCTCGGCTCCCCCGAAGTCGCTTGCATCCACGGCCCACCTGGCACGGGAAAAACGCACACCCTAATAGAGCTCATATGGCAGCTATGCGCTCGCGGCCAGCGCTTGCTCGTATGCGGTGCCTCCAACCTCGCCGTCGACAATATCCTCGAGCGCCTGTTGGCGCTTCCCGCGGACTCCCGCACGTCGCGGTTGAAGGTCACGCGGGTAGGGCATCCTGCCCGCGTCATGGCCAACGAGGATGTGCTCGATGCAACACTCGAAGTTCAGGCAGGTCGCACGGATGCGGTCAGTCAACATAATACCCAGTTGCGGTCTCAGTGGCTAAGTCGGACGTAGGCTGCGCTCGCGAAGGACGTCAAAGCTGAGCTTGAGGCGGCTTTAGGCGTACTATCGGGGAAGGGGAAGGGTGCAAAGGGAAAGGCTCCGCGAGGACTTGAGCGCAAGAAGATGTGGGACGAGGTCAAGGCTCTGCGGAAAGAGTACGTCCGCGTCGTCCTGGCATCCGAAGAGATCTGATCGAGACGCCTAGGTATCGCCAGCGCGAAGGAGGCGTGGTCAAGTCCGTTCTATCAGAGGCTCAGGTACTGTCCTTCTCAGTTCCTCAAGCGTAGACTCACCCCGCCTCGCAGGTCGTTCTCGCTACCTGCCACACAGCAGGGAATCGTCAACTTCGGTCTCTGGACTTCGACACCGTTATTATCGACGAAGCGACCCAGGCCGTCGAAGCCGTCTGCTGGGTGCCTATCTTCAAGGCGAAGAAGCTTGTGTTGGCGGGCGATCCAATGCAGCTGCCGCCGACCATCCTCTCGATCGATAAGAAGGGCAAGGACAAGAAGGTCGGGAAGGACAAACCCGCGACCGCGAAGGATGCAAAGACCAAGAACGACAGCCCCGAGGTGGTGACGGTGGACGATGTCGCAGAAGCGCCGCCTACCTCAGAGAGCGAAGACGATGGAGCCGACGCAGGCATGGCGGATGACACAGAGGAGGCTGAGGCCGACATGCCAGCACCACCAACAGACCCTGCTCCCGATGCTTCCAAAGCCCAACCCAAGCAACGGACTCGTACACCCATTCTTCGGCCGCCGCGCACGCTGGAGACAACCCTTTTCGACCGGCTCGAGAGAATGCATGGCCCGAGCATTAAACGTATGCTCAAAGTACAGTACAGGTATGCTATACGTCTGCACAAGCGGTGCGCTCCACGTTGAGCGATTTTTGGGTCAGAATGCACGAAGACATCTGCGCCTTTCCTTCCAAGGCACTTTATGGCGGCAAACTCCAGCCCGACCCCTCCGTCGCGAAGCGCCTCCTTCGCGACCTGCCGTCCGTTCAGATTGCACGCGAGTCTGCTGGTATAGGAGAGGATGAGGACGATCCGCTCGCCTCACCCGTCGTCTTCTTCGATACGGCGGGGTGCGAGTACTACGAGCGCCTGGAAGGGGATAACGACGAGGGGAGCCGCTGCAACGAGAATGAGGCAACGATCGTCAAGGGCTGGGTCGGCGAGCTCGTGAGTATATTATATATCTTCCTTTCCGAAGATTGACCCTGTACGAATAGACACAAGCCGGTGTCCTGCCATCGCAGATAGCGGTCATCACGCCGTACCAGGCGCAACTCGGCTTGCTCACGTCGCTGCTTCGGCCACTTCATGGGCCCGATCTCGAAATCGGGACTGTCGACGGCATGCAGGGGCGCGAGAAGGAGGCAGTCATCATAAGCATGGTGCGGAGCAACGACAAGGTAAGCTCGAGGGAAACCTCTGGGGCGATGCCCTTCTATCTCGAACGTCGGTCGTGGATACAGTCTTGATGATACTCTTGTAGCGCGAAGTTGGCTTCCTCAAAGAAAAGCGGCGTATGAACGTCGCCATGACCCGAGCCAAGCGGCAGCTTTGCGTCGTCGGCGACTCCGGGACGGTGGCATACGGCGGCACGTACCTCAAAGAATGGTTGGCGTGGCTGGAGGCCCACGCTGACGTGCGATACGGTGGCTTGGACTGAAGTCTGGGAAACTGGTCTTGTACAGTTCTCAGCTATAGCGAGGACCAGAAGTGGTAAAGAAAAGGAAACATCAATGATCATCGTCTGCCAGGGCCACATCCCGATACTTCCTCGGTATTAACCCTGCGTCATGCTTCCAGCTTTCGCCTAGCGCAGCCACCGACCCTCTAATAAGCTCGGCAAGATGCTCTGATCGAAGGCAGTCTCCCCATTCTTCTTTCTAGCCGGATTTGACTGCATAGCTATCCACGATTGACAGTAGGAGTTCTTCTTCCACCGGCAGGATTCACAAAGTTCCGATTCAGCTGAGGGCTACGCGTCACCGTTAGCCAGCTCACAGGGTCTGGTGCTTCAGTGCCACCGGCCGGTGCTGAAGATCTTACCTTCCATTCGAAAACAACAGCCTTCGAGGGTGGAGACCGGCGCCTTAAGCTGGTCTTCGCGCATGGCACTAAGTTGGTGAGGCGTCAGTTGACCCAATCAATCCCTCTACTCTATATAAGACGCCGTCTGCGGTTCACCTCTTCAACAGACCCCTTCTTTCGACCTGCGTACGAGTCTTCACCAAACGCCATGTCTTCCACCACCCCCGATATGTCTCCCGGCGCTCTTGTCGACAGCGACGGCAACTACTGTCTACAGCAGGACGACATGTACAATCTCCTGAAGTACCTGTGGTCGGGCGCGCTACTGCCTCTGACCCCCGCCGACTACCAGACGCGCCTGGACATCTCTGACAGCGCTATGACCCAGTATGCTACTGTCATCGACAACTTGGTTGATGAGTATAAGACGGTGAGCCGCGCCGATATATCATTTATGTCGCCGTTTGCGAGCTTGACTGATGCACGTGTAGGTTTCCGCCCATTGCAACACGTTCAAGAACACGACGTATCCGGCTATAGTGAACATCGCCGCAGACGTATACAGCTATGCCCAGAACGCTGGGGGCACTGTCGATGACTCGCTGTACGGTACGATAAGCTGTTATACCTGTTAATCACGCGACTAACTTGGCGCCTTAGCCAGCATCTTTCAATTGATCAGGAGCTTCGCAAATACCAGCAATACTACGGACGACAAGAACAAGATCACGCAGCAAGTCGACGATCTCATCAACGTCCAAGTTCAGGCGATTGCTGGTATCTTGACGAAGGCCGAGACGGCAGTCACAGACCTACAGAACTTCGAGACGCAGTGTATGCAGGACCAGTCGGACCTGCAGGCGCGGCAGAAGGCCGTTGAAGACGCGATTACTGCTGAAACCGGCAGCCTGGCTGACTTGAAGGCGAGACTCCAAAGCGACCGTCAGACCCTCGCGGCCGATCAGGCAGCGTACGAGCATGGTATATGCTTACCGCTGCTCTGCTATGGCAAAGCCTCTGATCACGATCCCAGACAAGATCGTTGCGTGTACCACCCTCACGTACGCCTGGGTTCCCTTCTGGGGCATCATCGCGGCCTCTGTCGTTGCTGGCATCTTTGGCCACGCCGCCGCTGAGCTTGCCGACGACATCGACACCCTCAAGTCGGACATCAGCACCGAGAGCGCGGAGGTGACGGACGATACCCGTGTCATCGCTGACCTCACGGCCGTCGATGTGCGCTCCCATTCATCCGTGTCCCGGTATAGCGAGAACTAATTTGTCTCCAGACAGATCTGACGAGCTTCCTTGCTGCGATTCAGCCCGCCATCACCACCATCCAGAAGATGCATGGTATCTGGTCTTCCATCAGCGGAGACCTCACCAGCCTCCAGAACATGATACACTCGAGTGTCAGCACGGCGGAGGCGGCCATCGCTGGCATCATCGACCAGAAGGTGGTAGATAAGTGGAATGACCTCGCGAATAGCGGTGAGTTATGCTGTTCTCCCTTAACCCCTCTAGCGCGTTCACGACTGACAGTCTATACAGTGCAGAAATACCAGCAGGCCGCTTTCCTGACTCAGGCGCAACAGACGACGATCGACCAGCTTTCTGATCAGCTGCACCAGCAGGCCCAGCAGACCGCGGCTATCTAGTCAACGGCCCCCGCGAGCGAAGATCACAAACAAGCGATCGACATATCTGCTGAAGCCCGTTCAGACTTATTGCGTACAGGATCGACTCGAGTATTTTGTTGCGTTCACAGAGAATCATCACGAATATAAGCTGCCGGAATATAACATGTTGCTTTCGAACGAAACATTGAACGCAGTGGCAGAGGCCGGTGTGATTAAGCCGCGCGGAGGTAGATGAGCGACCGCCGACGGAAGCATACACATTCGGATATTACGCAGACCTCGACATCCCCTTGGCCTGCTCGGTGTCGCTACGCAGCTCTAGAAAAGACAAGATGGCAGAGATAACCAGTTGGTCTGACCATGGCAAACCTGTGCTACCGCCTCACCATTTTCAGAAATGCTAGAGTATACAGCCATCTATGCTACGTGCACGGCCCGTGTCCACATCCTCTTGGCTCGCGCAAGCAGCATGGACATTCCAAACGTCCTCTTCTCGTACGTAGGAGCAAGGGCGATCCTCCCGCACATGAGGCGATCGAGTCGAGTGCGTGGCCCGAAGATGCAAGGAGCTTCGGTCCGCGCAAATAGCCCCGGAAGTCGAAGAAGGCGGGCTCCGCGGAGCGTGCGATGTTGCCGCCTAGCTACATGACGCTCGTACCGGACCCGTAGGTCGGTTGGTCATACATGTGCATACACAGCAGCGCGGCGAAGGGAGGGCGTCGCGGGAACTGCATGGTCCGCCGTCGCGTGCCGGTGTTGGGGAGCTCATACGTGGCTGAGCGCACCGTCGGAGCTATCGCGATGATCTGCAGCATGGCGGGATAATCAAAGAGCAAGGAGTGTCGTCCGAACGAGCCTCGTAGGGTGCTTGAGGGTTATGGGATGAGGTCGATGTAGTCGAATTGGGCTCCCTCGGGAGGATTCGACGACCATAGGCACTTGTCATAGATATTCATCGTCCAGTCGTTGCTACAATAGATGGAGCGACTTGTCTCGGAGTTGCCCCCACCCACCAATCCGCTGGTCGTGAGCATCAGGGTGACGCGGAGTGCATTTCGAGGCTCGCGAGCCGACTCCTTGCGATACCGCGCAAGAACGGCGTCGCATTTTGGTGAAGGGGGGTAAGCGTTCTTCGACTTGGACTTCGGCTCAGGGCTGATAGATTCCAGCCAGTCTCGGAGGTCGGTCGGCGAGAACTTGACATCGACGACGCTGTCAGAGGACCCGGACTCGGAAGCTCGGGCACTTCGAGGAAGAACGGCTGATTTGGGAGGAGATGGCCGTCGCTGTGCATGGTCATAGATGGAGGGCCTGTCCTGGTGATGCTTGAGCTGGGGAGAAGGGGCGCGAGTAGACTTGCGTGCGGCGCGCTCCGGCCTCTGCCCGCGCGAAGGATTGCAGGTCTTCAGCTGGGCACGCGCAACGGAACCGTCATCGCTAGAAGGATGTCGGTGTTTCTGCCAGACATCGGGCCCCACGGTGAACTCGACAGGTGGTGACTTGTTCCATGGGCATATCACGGCACTCGTAAGGTGGATAAGTCGCTCCGCTTTCGCGCCCGAGAGCGAATAACCAGACAGGATTTGATGATATGCGTGGAAGATCACGAAGAGGGGATGTGCGCGAGACCTGATACGCGGCATCTTGGAATACGCCTTCTTGATCGTCCTGACCGTCAAGCCTCGCTTGAGGTACATCGACGGTCGGTCTCGCCTGGTGATGGATAGCGGCAGGAATTCATATTCGTACTCTTGTTCTGGAAGTTCCTAGGGTTGTGAGTATCTGAATGCAGGAATAAGGAGCGCAACGTACTGCGGTGAAGTGCTTCCTTTTGTTCATGCCTGCGGTCGTATTGAACTCGGTCAAGGCCTTGATAGTGTCAAGTGTCTTCTTGGTAAGAAGGATAGCCCACTCGGAGTTGTCCATACGCTCGGCCATGTCGCTGCGAACTAGGTGCAGGAGATGTTAGGATCGTAAACGCGAGGTGGACTGAGCGACGCACGTTGTATATGGTTCAGCGGTGTCGAGAGATCAAGTGTCCCTTTCTCCATACCCCAGTAGTACTCGAAGTGTTCCATCTGTCGAGCTGCACGATGAGAGAGGCTCGCGCGCGCCACGAGATTCATAGACCTGGCGACGATAGTAGCCTGTGTCCAGGTTGATGAGGCGGTAGTCGATGATTGGTAAAGCTTCCATGTCTTCCTGGGTAGAGATAGAGGTCGATATCATAGAAGGGGGCATTCTGAACGAGGAGGCGAAGACGAGGGGATGGGCGGCGGGGGGAGGGAAAATGCAAGGCGCTCGAGCGCTGGCGGCAAGTCCGGCCCGCGAATAGGCGCCGGCCCGATTCGGGATCATCCGAACAATGGCTGATCAATGGATTCCAAACCATTCCCGACTCGTGAAGGAAATCCATATCGCTCTCAGTCCGAACTTCGACCACACTAGCCACAGACCTCTTATCTGCTTAAGCAGCACGGAATCTACCTTTCTCTCCAGCAACTTATCATGCCAGCCTCCACCTACGCACCCCCTCGTCACTTCATGAGCATACAAGCCGAGGAGGAAGCGCTTCTCTTCTATCGCACCTGGAGCAAGATCGGCAAGGCGAAGCAGCGACCATCGTGCATCGACTTCATCCCCGATGACGATCTCTCTAGAAGCATGCGGGGCTGCCTTGAAGGCGCTCTGCAAGACCACGACAGCGCCGCCGACCTCTCATCAGCTGGTCGGAAGGCTTTCATCGAGGTTCTGTGGGATGTTGTGGAATCGTGCCCCGCCTTGCAGAGGGTGTCTGACTGCGTCCGGAATGTGCGTTGCTGCGGAAGTGTACTCGGCTCTCATCTCTAATCTGTCGTCCTTTCAGGCGCTCGTCGACGGCCTCAGCTCTACCGAGGTCATCGAAGCTGAACTCCGATCTCATACCTACCCCGACTCCGATCACTCTAGTCCTTCTCGCCTTTATATCACCATCGCTATTGTTGAATCTGAATGCCCTGGGATGCGCGTTACCTACGACTGGGCGATGGAGAGCTTGTTGCCGGTCATGTTGATGATTTGTCCCACTCTGGCATCGTAGTGCGTATCCCTTTGCTCTCCGATTCTTACCTTGCCTCATCAACCTATGTGCTCTTCCAGCGAAGTGATTCATGGCGCCTTACACGGTCCGCAACCCATAGCCAAGGTGGTCTCCCTGGCGGGCCCTGTCGCGCACATTACGCCTGAAGACAACAAGTACGCCCATGCACCATCCGCCTCCGCTCCTCAGCAGCAACGTACTCGCGGTCCGCGACGCAGTGGATCACTTCACGCACCTGGACCTATTCGGCGCCAATCAGCTCCGCACCGCCCGTCTCCCTACCACCGCGCTCCTCAGCACCCACTTCAACGTCTGTATCCTCAAGTCCCTCTTCGCGCTCTAGACGCTCGCACTATACGCCATCACGACACTCTCCGCTCTTCGGTCTCCGCTAGCTACGCTCCTGCTCGAACTCACTCTGGCGAACAAGCGCACTCGGTCCAGTCTGGCGTACCTCCCAAGGAAGCTCCCTGTACCCTCTCACCTCCTCGCAGCGCTATGGCCTCCACGCGCAAGATATCTCCGTCGAACTCGATGGCGTGGGTTGCCTTGCTCTCGAAGGCGCTCCCGGACGGTCTACATAGGGCGTCACCGACTCGAGCGCGCAGGCCGTAGTCGCCATTCGAAATCAAGATATCGTCCATGTCGCTGCCACTTCCTCTCTCGCCGTGCGCCATGCGCGAAGCATTCAGAATCTGCTTAACTACAACAACAACGACCTCCCCTTGCCCTACTTTCACCTGATCACGCACTACTACGAGCACCCCGCGCTCACACAGGCTACGCTGACGCACAATATCGATACAATACTAGGTCAACTATACAACATTAATGCTACGAGGGATAGACTGTACAAATACACTGGGATTAATACGCTGAAGCTCTGACGCGGCGATCGCAAAGCCGGCGGCAGCGCGCTCCATCTTCAATATCACACCAGCCCTCCCTCCCTCAGATGAACCTTCCCAAACAACACGGAGAACACCCTCTCGGGGTCAGCGAGCGATACGGTGTGCAGCGGCGACGCGTCCGTCGCATCCTGCTGCACCTGAAGTTCAAGGTCATCCTCCAAGCGGGTGACGATGCGCTCTGCGTTCGGGGCGAACGCCGCGGTGAGTCCAGTGGTGTAGGGCGTGCAGGGCGACTCGCGTGTCGGCGCTGGGACCGCTGTGGCACGAAAAACGGACACTCAGCTTGCGCACCCTGGAGTACACCACGCTGAGACTAAAATCCCGCGCCGCTGCCTCTTGATCGCGTGCTTCAGCTTCGCGCGGGCTTGTATAAGTAAGCAGCGGCAGAGGATGGGGCAAGGAAAGATGCGAGACGCGCGGCCAGCATTGAGAGAGTGGCGTGAGCTCGGAGAGCGGCGCGACGAGGAGGAGACGGAGGATGGGATAAGGGTTGTAGGCGTCGATCCGGGGGACACAGCACGTCAGCAATTGGGACACCTGGCGATCGCAGATAACCGTACCGTGAAGGATCTTCGACGAGCATAGCCAGCAATTGCAAAACACTGTTGATTGGTACATAGATATACGGACTGGTCGTAGATACAATGACGGCGCAAACTAACCATGTTTCATTCTGGTGCACCGATAGATGAGGACAAGCTGAACAGCGCGAGTCCATGTAGTAGAGAACAGAGGGTACAGCGCCAGCATGACGTCTCTCTTCATGCATCCGTAGGGTCCGCGAGGAGATGTTCTGAATATGACTAGGGTCTCGAAGAGTTCGGATCCAAGAGAGCTATTCAGCTTCGCTGCCAAGATAAGGGCGCTGCACAAAGATCATGGTATCGTGTAATCACGAGCGAGATGAGGACGAGGAAGTGAGCTCGCGATAGGGCAGAGAAGACTGGAAGCAAGATGGAAGCGCAAGCCAAGCAGTCGCAGCGCGTGTCTGCATTTGTGGCGCCCATCTGTGTACAATCACGTGATAATCTCACGTAACCATCACGCAATCAACATCAACAATCAACAATCAACAATCAACAAAGGCTGTTGAGCTTGACGGTCGCGTATAAAACCCGGCTGTCCTTCTCTTCTTTCCCCATCACCTTCCCCCTTCTCTTTCTCCTCCCCCCTTTTGGCTCGCTCACTTCTCCCCCCTACTCATTTTACCTCCCATTCGACCCTCTCTGGGGTCCTACACCGCTCGCGCTCCCCTGGACCGGGCTTAAAGTGTCGCTGAACCCAGTCGGCTCGTACGTGTCTCTCCTCTCTGGGGTCGTCTCCAGGCGCCCAGAGTGGATTCATTACGGAACTGGCCGTGGCGACGCAGTGTGGGCTGTAGAGAGGACGGCTGACATCGGCGCGTGCGGGAGTGAGTAGCCGATGCACGGTTGACCAGTCGTTTCAGTGTTCACCCCCTTTTATCCTCTTCGTTCTCATCTTCCTGTCCTTCCCGTTTCGAACAAATCTCACTGCCCAAGGTTCCAACGGACCGGCATAAAGGTCAGCTAGCCACGGTGTGCACGAGTCCATCTTGTTGTCGAAGGTCGTCTCCGGGCGCGCGACGCAAGGCGGATGAGGACCCGAGTCATGCGGCAGGCGACCGGTGAGGATTTCGAGGCGGGGCAACTGTAACCGTGCGTGTAGGTATTCCGGGGACCTAGCGGAAAGCGGATGCCTTGCGCATGGTCAGTTGCACCTGGGGGCCTCGTCCGCTCGAGCTCGTGAGCGTCGACGGGTCCCTTTGGTATTTGTACGGACATCTACCGACTACCCGTAGTATTCTATACTTGTTCGCTGCATGGGCACTAGACTACTGTACATATTTACGCCACTGAGCCATGCTCGATGAATATAATGTCCCTTCCACGTCCATGGACTGGCTCACGATCTCAACTCGACTGAACCATCCCGGCGCACACCCGCTTTCACGATCCCGTCTGCTACGGCTGCCTTCATTTCTGAGCGAACTGTATCAATGCCACAAGCACATTTGTGGCACTGCAGACACGGACAAATCACGGTTCACGTATAACTGGTCGGGCCGAGCAGCTCCGCCCGATCGCGTCGCCTACCGCCGCTGCTCATCGTATGTCACGACTAGCTCACCAATACACCGCTCTTTTCCCACAAACACGGCAGCACTCCTGTCCGCGACTGCCATCTTGCCTGCGTGAACCGTAGACCGCGTCGTAGTCTTCATAATGGCTTCAAGGGGATGTGCTTTGGCGTCAAGGACGTCGGCGAAGCTGGCGAGCCCGGCGACGCAGATGACGCGCAGGACATTCGCGTCGTTGTTCCCCTCCAAAAAAAGGTACGTGAAGCATACTTGGAGGAGGCCTGCGCTGACAGGGATGTAGTCCTACAGGTGGGTAATGTACAAGTGCGCAGATCAGGAGGTCGGGCTAACGCGCCCTAGCCATCGTCATGTTGAACATGGGTGGTCCCTCGACGGTACGTGGTCACAGAAGAAGTCAAGATCTACAGAGCCGACTCCACTGCAGGTCGCAGAGACGCACGACTTCCTCAAGAACCTCTTCCTTGACGGTGACCTCATCCCCCTCCCCTTCCAGCGTTATGCGGCCCCCATAATCGCCAAGCGGCGCACGCCCCAGATCGAGCAACAGTACACCGACATCGGTGGCGGCTCGCCCATCCTCAAGTACACGCGTCTGCAGGGGGAGGGCATGGCGAAGCTCCTCGACGAGCTCCACCCGGAGACCGCACCGCATAAGGCGTACGTTGCGTTCCGGTACGCGAACCCGCTCACGGAGCAGACCGCGCGCGAGATGCGGGAGGACGGCGTGACGCGCGCGGTCGCGTTCACGCAGTACCCGCAGTACAGCTGCTCGACGACGGGCAGCAGCCTGAACGAGCTCTACCGCAAGGGCCGGAGTAGAGAGTTTGGGAATGAGGTCGAGTGGAGTGTGATCGACCGGTGGGGGACGCATCCCGGGTTCATTGAGGTGCGTTGAGTGTTCTCCGTTAGCTTGCTCGGACTTACCCTGTCGCGCAGGCCGTAGCGCAAAACGTAGAGTCGGCGCTGGCCAAGTTCCACCCGTCGGACCGCAGCGACGCAGTGATCCTCTTCTCCGCGCACTCGTTGCCGATGTCGGTGGTTAACCGCGGCGATCCATATGTGTTGGAGGTGTCTGCCACTGTCGCTGCCGTCATGGAGCGCCTCAAGCATCAGAATCCCTACCGGCTCGTCTGGCAGTCGCAGGTCGGCCCTTCCGCGTGGATGGGCCCACAGACGAGCGACGCTATCAAGGGCCTTGCGCGGTTAGGACGGAAGCAGGTCGTGCTTGTGCCGATTGCCTTCACCAGCGATCACATCGAGACGCTGTACGAGCTCGACTTGGAGTACGTGAAGGAGGGACGCGAGGTGAGCAGTACAAGCGCCTATTCACAACATTACGAGGGTCTGATCCTTTGCTAGCTTGGCATGGAGGTCCACCGCGCGGAGTCATTGAACGATTCGCCGGTATTCATTCGCGCGCTTGCGGACATCGCGGCGAAACATCTCTGCGACTACGGCGCCGGGAGGATAGGACCGACGAGCGTGCAGCTCGGACTGCGGTGTCCGGGATGTACAAACGCGACCTGTGGGCAACAGAAGACATGGTTTGAGCGGGGTGGTCGATGAGCGGGGTGGCGTGGCGTGGTGCGGGGTGCTTCCGCAGTGCAGATACGACTACAGTACACATGTCGATAATCTTGAATCATACACTCACTATTCAGATGTACAGGTCAGGGGACTTCATGGCAAGGAGCCTCTTCTCCTTCGCTGGGTTCCTGCTGGCCCGATGGAGGGCCATATCGGCGCTTGCCTTCATGATCAGTGATCTGAATCACTCAATCTCGTACCACAATGGGCTCCGGCTCTCGTAAAGTGCGCGCACGTCGCGTCTTCGCCGAGTTCGCAGACAAGCGGAATCCAGAAGCGGCGCCGTTGGGAAGATAGTATCTTGTCCTGATCCTTCATCGATACAGTACGCATGACTGCGCCAGCTAGCCCGACCATCGTCTCCGCGCCCGGCAAAGTCCTCATCGCCGGTGGCTACCTCGTCCTTGATCCAGCATACTCGGGCGTCGTCGTCTCGACATCCTCACGCTTCTACACCGTCGTCCGAGATGCCGAGGACGTGGGGAAGGGCAAGATACGGGTCCGATCGCCCCAGTTTACGAATGCGACTTGGGAGTATTCGGTTTCTAAGCCCGAGGACGAGAAGCTGTCCGTAGAGGCGAGCGCAGACAAGTGCGTCAGTGAACACCATCCCCCCGTGCTGTGACCGACCACAGGTGCTCGCAGCTCAAGCAAGAACAAGTTCGTGCAGCTCGCGCTCGAGAAGACAGCAGCGCTCGCAGCGGAGAAGCTGGGCACAGACGCTGTCACCAAGGCACTGGAGGCAGGCACCGACATTGCCATCGTTGGGGACAATGATTTTTACTCGCAGCGCGCGCAGGTACGCGGGCGGCCTCCATTTCATGATTGGCGCCCACTAACGGGTCCGGGGATTTGTCTAGCTCGACTTACAGCATCTCCCGCGGACGATGGACTCGCTGGAAAAGTTGCCGCCATTCACGCCCACCGGCGGCGTCTTGGCCGACGTACATAAGACCGGGCTCGGCTCCTCCGCCGCGCTGATCACCTCCCTCGTCGCCGCGCTCCTCGTCCGCCTCGGCGTCGTCACCACCGAGGAGTTTGCGGACACGAGCGGGAAGAGCAAGGGCCGGCGTCTCTCGCATAACCTCGCTCAATTCGTGCACTGTCTGGCGCAAGGGAAAGTGGGGAGCGGATTCGATGTGTCCGCCGCGATATTCGGGAGCCATATCTATACTCGTTTCGATCCTGCCGTTATTCAGCCGCTGATGGATGGCGATGCGGTACGTGGATTTTAGCGCGCGTCTCAACTGCTTGGAGACCTTATAAGGCTCACGGTCTTGGAGGGAAACCAGTGACTCACCCCCTCCCCCAGAAAATGCCCTTGCTAAAAGTACTCTCTCCGACGAACGCGGCGTGGACCTACGATGTGCAAGATTTCAGGCTACCACCTCTCACGCGCATCATGCTCGCCGACGTGGACGCTGGTAGCGATACACCGTCTCTCGTGGGCAAGGTGCTGAAGTGGAGGGCAAACGACACTGTCAAGTGTGGGTCATGGGCACCCACCTCTTCGTTCGCAGAGCCTTACCCACCTCTCAGCGAAGGCCCTTTGGACCGCACTCGACCAGCTTAATCAATCTCTCGCGCAAACTTTGCTGCACCTCTCGCGATTGCATGACGCAGATCCCGAAGGCTACGCCAGCGCTGTCAAGTACATTTCCTCCTTGCAGGCCGTCCAGGTACGCGTCGTATGGCCACCATATTCGCGCCGAGCTGATCGCTGCATTGCTCTTGCCCAGTGGCTCGCCAACCCCTTCACCCCAACCGATGAGGCTCCCGTCATCTCCACATTCTACGAGGCTCACCGCATCACGGAAGTGCGTTTTCTGCGAACCTCGCCCCATCGGACCGTACCTCTGCTTCCCGCCATACACGAACTAACATATCTACTCCCCAGGACATCCGCGCCCGTATGCGCGAGATGGGTCAGCTGTGCGACGTGCCGATAGAGCCGCCGGAGCAGACGCGCCTGCTAGATAAATGCATCACGATGTCTGGTGTCGTGGGTGGCGGCGTCCCGGGAGGTGCGTAGCGCCGATATTGGGGTTTCCCTTGCTGATTTAATGATGCTAGCTGGGGGCTACGACGCGATCTGGTTGCTCGTGTGCGATCCTGAAGACCCGTCGCCGGAGATTGCGCCCTATAAGCGGGTGCAGCACGTCTGGACGAAGTACGAAGAGCTCGACGTCTCGCCGTTGCTAGCGCGGGAAAGCAAGCTGAAGGGCGCGCGCATTGAAAAGATGGAGGACATCAAGGGGTTGGAAAAGGCGACTGAACTGCCGCACTGATCATGTAGACGTTAGTCGCCGAACATGTTTGTACATCTCACTTACCCATCTTTCTTGATGTATATCTATGATGAACTCAAGCCACCTCGCAACATCTCACACTGTAGGATTGTCCATGTCCATATCCATTAGATGTCCATAACATATATCCTACGTACAAATCTTTGGGTCGCCCTCTGGAGTCCATGATTTGGCAAGCGCCTGGCACAAGGTAAAGACCATGACGATGAAGCCGAAGGCACAGGTAGCATACGCCGGTAATTTCTGACGGCTGTACCACGGCCGTGCGGGGTTCTGGAGCTGGATGTAGCAAGCTGCGGGAAAGATGTAGGCGAGCGTGGTGGCGGAAGCGCCGCCGGTGATCTCTAGCATAACACCCAAGTCGCACGTAATAAGGGAGACTGGCGGTGGTTCAGTAAGGGGGCAGACCGAGAGATTGGCGCTACTTACCGAACATGGCGGCGATCAGGATGACCGTGGTGAAGAAGACATGTCGCTGCATGCTGAAGGTCTCGTGCGAGAAGAAGTAATGTTCAATGACCTGGCATCCGTCAGTAAGCGAGCCTGTTTTGACTGCCACCGTTGGCGCACCTCTCTACACACAAACAGCTCCAGAGGCAACGTCGTGAACATGTTGAGCCCAAAGCAGAAGCGGGCGATGTTGATGAAGGTGTTGTTCTGCGGGCGTCATGCTCAGAATTGTTAGGTAGGCGAACATGAATGGCTAACTTACTGCGCTAAAGTTGTTCAAGATGTTACCCTGAGTCTTGTCCGTGAAGGTCATGTATCCTGGGATCGCAAGAGTACAACATGCTACCAGCGACACAAACGTCGAGAGGTGGGTGACCTTGGCGAACCGGTCAAGAGTAGGCATACGCAAACTCCCATAGATGAGCAATGAGTTGTGGTGGCATACTGCCCTGGCCTTAGTACTTCTTCCACGGATTCCGAAGTAGACTCACCGAAAGCAAAGCTGACTACGCCTATCGCTTGGAATAGGCCAGGTCCGAGGAAAGAGAAGCGCTTCGATGGGTCGCCCTTCATGGTATCGGGCACTTTCGGTCCTTCTATGGTAACCGCCGCCACGATAACGACCATAGATATTAGCGCCAGGCCGGAGGCGCGCGAAAGCTTGTGGATGTCGCGATACAGAGAGAGCGGATAGGAAACGCAGATGGTACATAGCGCAATGATGAACTGCCGGTTTGCGAATATTGAGAGTACAGGTATAGAAGGAAGATGGGGGAATAGAGACCGAATGACGTGGGGTATCGTGTCGCCGATGATGATGCCAAAGGCGCACATGCCTGACGAAGGATGAAGTAAGCTTGTGAGCTACCGGCATGCGAGTAGGTCGCGTACCTCCAAAAGCGAAGGCAAACTGGAAGAAGGACACGGCGGCTCTACCACTCGAGCCGAAGCAGCGCGTCATAATGTCGATGTAGGACGTGCTCCCGCTCAGCTTTGCATTGATGACGATGAGGCGTATAGTCCAGTCCGTCACGATGCAGAGTACGACCAACAAGACTAGCCCAACGAAGAAGCCAGCCTGATTGATTGCGTACGGGAGGCCTGAGTACTGTCAGCAGCAGCTCCTGGACGGACAGCACGGGGGAGGGATCACCTATGATACCTGTAATGCTACGTGTGAGAATATACCGCGCGCGTGAAGGGGGCGACCTAAGTACCAGCTCCTAGGATCGAATTCGCCATGTTCGCGATCGAGTCCAGCATGCTGCCTCCCGCTGTCCGTTTTGCAGCGATCTCTTCCAGCTCGGCTTCCTCGTTCGCGTGGCTGTGGCTCAAGGGCAGCCTATCGAGTCCCTGGCGCGAACTCGACGCGTCCATCAGGCCCACAAGCAGCGGCATGGATTGCTCTGAGCGCCTGCGCGTCGGGATGTACTCCAGGGCATGTAGATCGGTTTCTTCGACACACTCGTCGTCTAGGTCGAACTCTGTGCGATGGCCGATAGACGCCCTCGTCAGTCCTTGCGTTCCCGTCCAGCAAACGCCAGCACAACGCACCTGCTTCCCTGCTCGAGGTAGTCGAGCGTAGCGAGGGCGCTATGACTCTAGGTGCCTCCTCAAATCGTACACTACGCGATTTGTTCGCAGGAGTGGGTCTGTTGACTACGCCGACGCCCTCATCATCGCTGTCGTCCTCTACGGCGAAGATAGTTTTCCCATTCTCGTGAGAGCCAAGGAGGGGCTGATGATATTCTTCATCGCGCGCCATCTCTGTGCGCCGTTATCGAATTGTGAAGAGATTCTGGGGTTATGACATGGGAAGTAGGTGAGGGAACTTGCAAGCGTGGCGGCTGGCCACCGCATTTCGGGACGAACTTACCGTCGGCTTTTGCCGTGTGCACACCCACAGGGACCCATATGTTCAACTTCCGCTGCGCCGCAATCTTTACGCGCAGCTGTAAGTGCGCTGATTGCGACAAACGAGCGCTGTTGGTTATTGTACATGTAGCGTTGGCATAGAGCTACTCATGTCCATCTGATCTAACTTGCGCCTCCGACGCAAGTGGACAGCGTTCACGTGTACTACAGCGCCTATGTTAGGTATCTGCGAGAGTACCAGTACGTACGTCGTCTATGTATATGTGCAATCCTCAGAAGTCATCTGTCTGAGCCCGTGATACTGTTAATCGCGCACAGATTCTGTGCGGGTGGCCATTCAATTTTATTGAAAGATTACTTCTACTGGGTGAACCTTGACTCCCACCTTGAGGGTTGCAACCAACATGGATGTGCAAAGCAACTCACTTGTCCGACGTCTATTTCTCTACCTCTGAAGCGTCTCAGCTCACCGGTTCACTCGAACAATGATATTCCTACTGGGGTTAGCGTGATTGGATGGCGGGTAATCAAATGCATGTCTGAAGGGCCGTTGTTGCGCTGCCGATGCTGCTTTCTCCTGACGCACATCGGCTGACTGAATGCGCACGGTGACAGAAGATTAGCGCACCTGATCACGCCGTGAAGATGCCTCAAAACAAAGAGCGCGCTTCTTTACTCCTAGCAATCACCATTCGCGCATGCCCGGACGACCTGCACAACCTTCTTCCGTTCCCCTCTCATGCCCCCAGAGACGACAGCGAAGACTAGTAATGCGCGCAGGAGGAAGCAGCTCACCGAAGAGGAGCAGCGAGACATCGAGACGAAGCGGCTGCGGGGTGCGTCTTACTCACGAGTCGTGTGGCGAGGAGGCTGAGCGCCTACAGGCGAGCTCTCGTGCGCGGAATGCCGCAGGCTGAAGCTGCTATGTGACAAGAAGGTGGGGGACTGGCTGGGCTCTGTGGAAGTGCCACTCACTGCGCCACTAGGTGCCCTGTGCTTCATGCGTGAGGAGAGGATGTGAGAGCATCTGCCCTCTAGGTGCGCCGCCCGTCCCCACCACGCAGAAGTAACCTAACCCCGCATTCCAGGGACCCTGTCTGCGGGCCAGGGCACGCGCTTCATCCTCGCGGGGACGGACAAACTTCACGCGAAGATAGCCGAGATGTCTCATCGCATACGCCAGCTTGAGGATGGGCTTGCGATCGTCCAGTCCTCGGTCTCCAATGAACGGCACCCCCTCCTCGACGACAACCTTCTCAAGGTCAAGTTCGGAAGTGAAATACTGCAACCGGTCAAGCATGAGGAGGAACGAGAGACGTCTACCAGCCCACTGATGGACACCATCGGTACCCTGACCCTCAACGACGAAGGGGACTTCAAATACTTTGGCCGATCGGGAGGCTCAGAGGTGCGCTGAACTCAGGCCCCCACGCATAGCCATCACTAACGATCACGCAGACCCTCATGCTGGTGAGCACATTCCCTCGGGCGCTTACGATTACCCACTCATCTCCCTCAGGCCAGCGAAGACCTGGGCAGTCCCCACGAGCCAGACAGTCCGTCCGATGATACCCCCGCCGACGCCTCCGTGCCACACGATCTTCCCCGCGAAGTAATCGAACTCGCAAACCGACACCCCTTCGCGCGTCACAACAACAGTGTCAAGTATCTGCCGCTCATTCAGAGCTTCCTCCCCCCGAAGCAGCATGCTGTTCGCTTGTGCCAGTCATATCTCGATCATGCGGCCCTCTTCTTTCGACCTGTGAAGAGCGATGACCTCTTTGAAACGTTCTTTCCAGGCATCTACTCCTCCCAACCGCCCACGGCTCACGCGCTAGCCACATGCTTTCTACTTTTGGCTGTCGGTTGCCTGCTCGACGTGCACTCTCCACCATGCAGCGCGGAGGCGGAACGGTACTATCATCTCGGCCGCGCTGCCCTCGGCTTGCGCTCCGTTCACGACTCGCCAGAGACTTGGACGATCGTAAGCGTGGGCCTCCTGGCCACCTATCACACGCTCGCGGACAAGCAGTATTCTCGGGAGAGCGCCGTGAGTTTCCCGGTAATACAAGTCGAATCGCCGCTGACCACCGACAGTGGACTATCATGAGTACGGCTTCCAAGCTGGCGCAAAGCGTGCGTTCTTCCTTCCCAGTATAAGAGATGACGCTCACATCTCATCCCATACAGATGGGGCTTCGTAAGCACGTCTTTCGCTTCTAGCATGGGGTTGCCTACTCAAATTGCTTGCTTTTGACGATAAAAGACCGTGACAGCAGTTCCTGGAACTTCGACGCGAAGGTGGTACAGCAGCGAAGGAACCTCTTCTGGGAAATAACTGCTGCTGACGTATCCAACGTGTGAACTCCCTCTCCTTCGCTCTATACCGTACTCAATCATGCTGCAGTGCCTTGCCCTTGGCCGACCGCCGGCCATACACCTCTCCTTCGTCGATTGCGAATTCCCTTTCGATGATGAGGCCACCCTCAATCCCTCAGGCGAGCCTGAGAGCGGCTGTACGGGAGCCCCATGCACTATACCCTACCCTCACTGACCTCATGGCACAGTTTGGCGTATGAAGCATACTTACGCCCGCGATGTCTTCATGCCGGTTATCCACGTCACTCTGTCCGCACGACCTCAGCCCTACGCGGCTGTCCTTGACTTGGACAAGCGAGTGAGAAGCATCGAATTCCCTACCTCATTCCGGCCATATGTCACTCTGGCGGAGGCAGGACCGGCAGAGTTCCATAGCAGCGCCATCAGCCTGATGGGCTTCTACGCGAGCCAGCATCGCACCGTTAGTACGTATACTTCTTGTTTTATAACCGAGTATGTATTGACTGGTATATCTCGTGCAGCCATGCTGTATCTTCATCGGTGAGCCAAAGCACTTTCGCCTGTTGATTTATCATACTAATTGGCACTACAGATCCTTCTTTGCTCAAGCACTATTGGATCACCCAAGCAACCCGCTCGCCAGCCCTTACGCATTGTCCTTCCAAACTGCCCTTCGATGCGCATCTATCATCATCAAGGGTGCAGCTCACCACTTCGAGCGCTGCGAGGCCATCGCAGTGCGGTGCTGGTTTCTCATGGGGCATGTTTTCTCGGCTGCGGTACGTTACCTTCACATCGTTCTCGCGTCCTCCCAATGCTGACGCCGACCTATTGATTACAGGTTATCGTTGCAACTGTCGCTACTCGTTCGCCGACTTCGCAACTGGCATCTGCTGGAATGCGGGATCTCAGCCTTGCGATTCAGCTCTTCGAGCGAAGCGCGCCGCATTCGCAGCGCGCACGGATAGGCTTAGTGAGTATATTACTATCGTATCCTGCCTATCATTCGCTCAATTGTCCCAAGGGTGTGCTGAAAAAGATGGCCGAGAAGGCCAGGGTGAACAGCGAGAATGCGGGGCAGACGCAAGGAGCACCGAGCGACCTGTCGACCATGTTCAATCAGCACGAAGAATCAGACGATGAGCTGGCCATCTTCGGTGGTCAAGCCAAAATCCTCTCGACCTGCAAGGGAAAGAAAAGCCCTGCGGGCCAGGATCGCGGGTCGAGGGGAAGTTCGTCGCGAGGGTCGTCAGTCGGGATGGACACCTCTGCGCCTCGCCCTCTTCAAGTATCGACAGACTGGCCTCCGGAGGTGCCGCCCGCAGGTTACGGGAACGGTTCGCAGCTTCGCGGTGCGGATGGACATCGACAGCAGCCCTTCCCATCGACCATGGCGGACGGACCCATGCGAGGACCGGCAACGGTGGAGAGGCGGCCTACATACCCATTGCCATCGACTTCACACCATCCGTATGACGCGTACACAAGTGGATCATCCGATAGGCGACCGTCGGGGTCGCTGCCGCCGCTGACGTCGCCCGAGCAGATGCAGCTGCACCCCCCGGAGCAGATACGACTGCGCTCTCCGGAGCAAATACACTTGCACTCGCCCGGGAACGAATGGCCCTCGCCAACGGATGCTTGGAGGGATCCCTTCCCTTCTTCATCCTCTGCAAGCTTCGGTTCTAGGTCGACCCTGCCGACGCGCTCCATGCCTCCACTGGGCTCCGGTCCGCCATCAGACCTTCGCCTTCAAACCTTACCTCCTAGCATGCCCCCTCCGCCGCACCACTACTCCCTACCTATGGACCTCCCGCCGCTCCCTCCCTCGCACCCGAGCTCGCACCCGCGTTCGCACTCAAACCACCACCCGCACCATCAATCCCATTCGCATCCGCCCTCGTCGCCCTACGCCGCGCACCCCTCGCAGATGACGATGTTCCACCCCGCACAGATGAACGACTATGGGATGGCCGTGCCGAGCGTGGGCATCGACCCGCCATGGACGTCCCTCATGCGTGAGTGCGCGTTCGGGGAATGCGATATTGCGCATCCGGGGCTGGCGGTACCGGAGTATCGAGCGGCGGGGAGGAGGGATCTGCCCAGCTGATGTACTATTGTAGCCGGAGTGTACGCACTGAATGCATGCGTTGTAACGACACCTTTGAGTGCTTTCTGCGCGTTGTTGGTAGTTTTCGCGAGCCATGTATCTACTCGTCCCAAGCTCACGCCATCCAAGTTCCAGAGAATGCGCCATGCTATTGCACGTCAATATTCTAGGGAAGCAACTACAGTACATAGCGATGTACATCAACCGATGCGTAAGTAGGTTGAGCGACACCGATCCGAGAAGAAAGAAAGAGATATACCGGCGAATAAATAAGGGAATGTGCGGGACGTAGTCGACGAGAGGATTAGCGTGTACATGATCCACGGGAGACGAGCTGAAGAAGAATCCAGGAAGAAAGTAGACAAGAGAAAATATCCAATCAAAGAATTCCGAGTTCCTTAAGATGCGCCTGGCTGAAGATGGACGAGTACATGTCGAACTTCGTCGTGAACAGGGATTCCAGAGGGGTCAGACCAGAATCGTAGACGTAGCCAGCGTCTCGCAATTCCAGGACGCTCCGAAGGTGCTCGCGCACGGTGTCTGGAGCAAGTCAGTTGCCATCTCCTTTTTGAAGAGACAAGTACATACCCAAAGGTCGGTCCACGAAAGCTGGAAACAGGACTTCCACAGGTTCGACTGCGACAGAAAGGATGGGGGAGTAGATACGGAGAACGCCCTGGCGCAGCTGCTCGTAAGGGACATGCTGAGAAGCGCAACCAACGGCCCGCAGGAGAGTACGGGGAGAGTGTGAGCGTCGCTCATGCCAATGGTGGGGGGGCTCACCGGTAATCCTGCCGTCGCGTCTCGTCGTGATGGAGACAGAGGTGCTGACCCTGAGTTTCTTGACGGGACGACAATCGGTCTCCACCTCTTCATCCTCTGCCAATGCGTCGCCGCCTATAGTGACCAGCAGTGAAGTCCAGTGACCACGGATAACGCCGCGAGTGATCGCTTTGGTGACTTCGGGTAGCCACTGACCACGCCAACAGTGATCACCGCGTCACCGTCCGCCACGAGTGATCACGAATCCGGCCGTTTTCCGACAGCACAGTAGGACTAGAAAGTTGACAGCCGTTCCAATGCAGTCATTCTCGTCGCAGGAGCTCAACTAAAGTCACGATGGAAACGAAGATGGCCACAGAAGTAAACCATGGGACTACAACTATATACATGGTAGGTACGATTTAGAAACGAACGATCAAGCCACACCGAACAGGTGTGGTAATGCAGCAGATCCCGGTACCCAGCTTCTCGCGTACCCAATAGGCTGTAATACGGGATAGCTGCTGCACACTCCCTATGCTACCCACCGCATATCCAAATAGGGACCGCCTGCCAAGCACGCTGTGCGCCCGTAGGCGACCCCAGACGACGAAGGCGCGAGCTCACCTAGATCGATATGCTTTAAGCCCGTCCGCGGGGACCGTAGGCAGTGAGAGCCAGTAGGGAGCAAAAGAAAGAAAAAGAAAGAAACCAAGCCGAAGAGAAACACGAGCCCAAAACATGAAGAACACGAAGCAGAGGAGAAATGACACAGAAGACGCACGAAGACGAGGTCCGTTGGCGAGTTCGCAGGCAAGTCCTGAGGGACAAGGAAGTTAGCAAGGTAATATATTGGTGAGTACGAGAGCGAGAAAGAGAACTTACCGACGCGGAAGAGGCGGGGTGTCGATGAGGGAGGGAAGGAAGGAGATGGAGAATAGGCGAACGTTGGACCCGCGCTATAAGTATCGGGGGCAAAAATCTCACAGCCACTTTCCCACGTACCGCCACTCGACAGCAGTCAACAAACATTCAGCTCGGGGCTTGGGTCACTCATCGAGTCGAGACGACGCTGCACCTTGCAGATATGGCGGCTCGGCGGGTAGTCTGAACTTCCCAACATGAACGCGGGAAGGAAGCGCCTGTGCGGAAGGGACGGTGACATGTGATGTCATTCATTGCGGGTGATATGATTGTGATTTGTGTGACGTTGCCAATTGCCTGTTCGAGCGCTCAAAGGCTTCCTTCTCGGGACTATTGCGCCAAGCCCTACGGGAGACTCTCACGGTGGCGACACCATTGCCAGCGCCGTCGACGACGGCGACAACCAGACCTGCTTAGGTGTCCTACGCTACTCATCAGTCATCTTGTAGCCTCCGGGCGCGCGACCTGGATCTCCCGATTGGGGATCGTGTAGCACTTACATTTGAATGGCAACGCTTCCGCTATTCTTTTCCTCTCCATCGTGAAGCTGCACAGGGCCCTCACAAGTGATTACACGGTAAGCTCCCTTGACAATGGACATGCGCTGTCACTTCCGGTCCGAGTCTCCGCTCCCATGGACGTGATGCTGGACAGAGCAGCGGTCTGTCCTCAACCATCATGAAGACCGTTGCAACTGACGGATGTCACCTTAGAATGATTAACTTGTTCCCCTATGTGCACTACTTGTGCTTCCGCGTCCAATTATGCTTCCGCGTACGCGCATTCCGATGTCGAAAGGTCAATCTATGGCGGGCATAGGGGCTTCGGATGGGGTCCTCATCTACACCAGTGCCTTCGACGCGTCAGACAGCCGTGCTACGCCCGCAAACCCTACAGGTTCCCTTTTGGCAAAATGTCGAGGGACGATTTGGCATCCTCAGCTGCCGCTGGACGGCGCGCTGCGTTCTCGCTAACTGGGTCGCTCAAGGTGCGCTACTCGCCCTCATCCAACCTTCACCTCTCCATAACAACGTCGCAGACACCCCTCGGACGCACAATCAACACCACATCAAGTCGCCGTAGCTATCACAGCACTATCGCATCCCCCAACCCCACACGCTATGAACAGATCTACACCGCTGTCATTACCGCCGCCATCTCGACTCTGATCACGACCTTCTACTCCCCTAACATCCTCGCCTACCTTGGCTCTAACCTCTTCGATGGACTCGTACATGGGTCGCGCGTAGTCTTCGATATCTTGGAGCGCCGTGGTGACCTTGTCCTATACCTATACATCGGCAGACTCATACTGGAGACCTTCCCGAGGATCTGTGGCTTCCCGCAGCTGTTCTTTGTGAGTTACGTGTAGCGTGTCTATCAGTTCAGTCCTGACTACTGCCTCGCGCTCGCTGCAGGTCATACGAAGCGCCCTGACCAGCAACTTCTTCCTCGGCTGCCTGCTCAAGGGGCAACACCTATGGCCGGGTCTTATTGGGGAGAAGTCCGCCGCGGACATGCTCGAGGCGATCGTGGGGAAGCTGGACCAGATACGCGGCGCTGCCACTGCTGAGGCCTTCGTGGATGACCTGTTGCGACCGTTCGTGGGTCCCGCTGTGCTGTCGGCGATGAAGTTGTGCGTGCTCGCGGCTTTGTGGACGCCTTCATAGGTGCTGACGTGCGACTGCACAGGATGGAGAAGTGGGAAGCCCATCCTCTCAACCACGTACCTCCGCCGACTCCTGCGCTCCTTGTCCTCCCGAATATGGCAAACTTCCCGCGCGAGCCGCGGCATGTCGCGGCGTCTGGCCCAGCCTTAGGTTCCAAACGGCGGAGACCGACGCTAAGCGACGAGAACGAGCGCGATGGATTGACTAAGCGCGTGCGTACCACGTCCAGCGGCGAAGGTGCAGCGCTGTCCGCATATTGTACGTTCCCTCTTCGTTCTTCTGTTTTCATCGTCTTCATCTGACCACCTATCTCATAGCCCCCTCCGTCCAATCCCTGCGCTCCCGCATCGCGTCGAAGATCATCGAACGCGCCATCCACATCTTCTCCCACCTGCCTTCGGTCAGCATCCCCAAGTTCGACTTCGGGTCGTGCGACACCAAAGGTCTACTTCACGGCAAGGTCGAGAAGCAGGTCGGACGGGATGTTTTGGCGTACAGCCTCGGCGCATACATACACGATCTGGCTGTGGAGGGAAGGCCGGAGACGAGCGTGTGTGCAGTGTCGGTGCGTGGGGTCCATTCGTCCGTCATGTCGACCACGGGCTTGCATCGTGCACCACCGCTGATGCGCCTCTCAGGTCATGCTCGAGTCGCTCATGTCAAAGCCAGTCGTCGACGCCATCTCCACCACGTTGGGCATTTCTCCCTCGGATAACTTCGTCTCCATCATCGCGCGGGCGTCGTTGCATCACTCTGTCGAGGTTGTTCGGGGGGCGATCCAGAAAGTCTACGAGCCTGTCATAGTAGAGACGATGGGAAGTGCGCGTTCGCTAAATGCGACCTATACGAGGAAGGAGCCAGCGAGTGAGTATTTTCGGGCGTATGACGGGCCTACGAGCCACGGCTCGGGCGGGCTGTACTACGGAGCGAACTCAAGCTGACCGTAGCCCTCCAGACCGCGATTACTTTCGCCACGTCGTCGCTGGATTTGAGGCTGGCATCGACCTCGAGACATCTGAGGATGGGAAGGACGCGTCGCCGCTGCACACCGTCTTGCTGGCTGATCCCGAGAGGGTGTTCTCCATGTTGTTTGGGGAGGATCATCTGAAGGAGAGGGGGCTAATATGAAGAGGGCGTTGCGCCGGCTTCGCGATCGTCGTGTCAGACCTTCACTGTATCCAACTAGGTAGCATTGATGTTGTATAGTGAACCTAGTATTGTATTGATAGTGTGCATCAGCGTAGTCTGTGTGAGCGAAGGGTGCTCGTATTAATGCGTGGTTGGGCGAAAGTAGGGCGAGGGGAGTTCGGTGTCGCTGTAAATAAGCAGTTTCTGTATGCTTCGCGCTTGGCGCGCGGCGGGAGAGAAAGTGGCAGCAGCATAGATGACTTCATAGGGCGACTACGGCTTGCGCGTTCGAGTCGGTGACGCCTTGTGTAGACCATCCGGGAGTGCGTTGGAGAGCAAGCATCGAGTCCGGCGAAGTTATCTTGCGTGTGAGGGCTGCAGCGCTGCGAGGCGGCGAGGAAGAACTAGTCGAAGACACGCGAGAGGATGCTGTCGTATGTGCATTTGTACCAAAGTGAGCCCGAGCAGGGGCGTAGCTAGTAGGTACCGGATGAAGCAGGGTTTGTCGAGGGCGTGCAGGAAGAGCGGCTTGAGCGTGAAGGGGGGCTTGAGGATAGAGACGTTGAAGCGGGTATTGAGGAGCACGGTGGTAGGGAGACTCGCAATGCGGAGCTGATTGACGCCGAATAGGACCAGGCCCATGTATGGGTGCACAGTGTCGCGATATGCGAGCATGATGCTGCTTGGGAGTGTAGGCGGATGGTGCTTGAGAGTACTTGTTGACTTCGGGTGTGATGTGCGCGACAGGGCCCGCCAGGGAGACCACCTTGGCTATGGGTTGCGGACCGTGTAAGGCGCCATGAATCACTTCGCTGGAAGAGCACATAGGTTGATGAGGCAAGGTAAGAATCGGAGAGCAAAGGGATAGGCACTACGACGCCAGAGTGGGACAAATCATCAACATGACCGGCAGCAAGCTCTCCATCGCCCAGTCGTAGGTAACGCGCATCACAGGGCATTCAGAATCAACAATTGCGATGGTGGTATAGAGGCGAGAAGGACTAGAGTCATCGGAGTCGGGGTAGGCATGAGATCGGTGTTCAGCTTCGATGACCTCGGTAGAGCTGAGGCCGTCGACGAGCGACTGAAAGGACGACAGATTAGAGATGGGAGCCGAGTGAACTTTTGCAGCAACGCACATTCCGGACGCAGTCAGACACCCTCTGCAAGGCGGGGCACGATTCCACAACCTCCCACAGAACCTCGATGAAAGCCTTCCGACCAGCTGATGAGAGGTCGGCGGCGCTGTCGCGGTCTTGCAGAGCGCCTTCAATGCGGTCGCTCATGCTTCTAGAGAGACTGTCATCGGGGATGAAGTCGATGCACGATGGTCGTTGCTTCGCCTTGCCAATCTTGCTCCAGGTGCGATAGAAGAGAAGCGCTTCCTCCTTGGCTTGTGTGCTCATGAACTGATGAGGGGCTGCGTAGGCGTAGGCTGACATGGTGGAGTTGTCGAAGGAAATAAATTCCGAGCTGCTTAGTGTAGAAATCTGTCGCCGGTCTGGTCGATGTTCTTACTGAGAGCAATATATGGGTTTCACGAGTCGGAAATGTTCTGATCTCCACTCGGCAATGTCCGGTGCAGGGCTCGGTCCGCGGCCTCCATATAGCAGACCGCCAGACGCACAGTACTAGTCGTTGTAGCAAGATATTGAGAATCTCCTACCTATGGAAGACATTTGCAGCAATGAACTCACGCGAGAGAAATCATCCGACTTGTAGTTCGGGAATCCAGATGACTGTTGCATTACAGACAAGGAAAGATGCCGTAGCTGAAGGTACCGGTACAACACGAAGGGCCCAAGCCATACAATAGTCGATAAGCATAAAGATAGACGTCCAGAGAGAGACGAGCGTCGACAGCACGCAGTGTTGGGAGCGATTGATTGCCTAAGTTACCCTCCAAGATGGGAAAGTTGTCGTGGCGCGGATGAGGTGTCAAGCAGATACGAAAGCCCGTCACAGGGTCCGCCCTAGTCCTTGGTGGGAGGAATGCTGAGGCCATACTTCCACATCAGATCACCGATTTGGCGCACAAGCTCCTCTTCTTGGCTCAGGTGGGCGGGTGCGTGGACGTGCTCTTTTTGCAGCGTCTTGTACGCCTTCCAAACGACGAAGTAAGGGGAGCAGTGCAGATCGATAATCGGGAATGGTTCGTCATAAGGGGCATAGTAGGTTTTATCCTCGATGGAGTCGACCGAAAGCTTGCGATGGATCGGAGAGCGGCAGGTGGACAAGACAGCGATGTGGAACGGCCGGATATCGTTCGGGAAAACCTTTCGAGTGCGTCAGCTACGATATCGAGATACGACGAGTGGATGTTTTACGCACGTCCTTGTGATGCGTAAAACCGTTCGGGCCACGCTGGGGTGACTCTTCCTGACCCTCGATAGGGTTCAGCACCTTCTTCTGTAGCGCGTCCAACAACCGGCGGAGATCTTGAACCACGGGGAGGAGCACAATATGGCCATTGTCCATTGTGATGTGAGTGTTCGCGTCAACTGGCGACGCTCAGTAAGTCATTATTCTGCAAACAAGGACATAGAACACGCACGAAAGACCCTGTTCTCTGGGCAATCTATGTCGAAGGTGCCGGGCTCCAGTACCATGATGGTCTCAAAGCCTTTGGCCTGGCCATACATTTCAGCATCATATGGTACGAGCATAGTTGCCAAGGCGAGTACTCACAACCTTTGGCCTTGCCATCTGAGCGCGATCGACCTGATGACAATCCTGCACGATGCCTTCATTATTGTCGCCCAAGGTGACCACACATATCTGACCCAAGGGGGATTTGTCGATCAGATCCTGGTGCCCTGGCCGGCTCGCAAGACAAGCAATGTTCCCCGCGAGTGGTGTAGATTCCCTAGATGTTGTCGAACCGTCGTCCTCGTCGAATGACTTAGGAGGGATATAATCTGGGTCGTAATTCGCAAGCGTAGGAAGCGGGGATGGGGCGCTCGAGCAGACATCAGATAAGGCGTCGTCAGGAGCAGTTTGTCGAAGATCCCCAGGCTCGTCAAATCGCACGTGGTAGCGTGTAGTGGCTTGAGGAGGAGGCTCCGATGTCTGCGAAGACGCCGGTAGAGTCACTACATCGTTGGGCGCAAGTTGAGGTGTAGAAGGCGAACCGCCAGAGACCTTTCTTCCTTTTTCTTGTATTCGGGAGCTGCGACGAAGAGTGTATGGTGCGGAAGCGTCGGTCGTCTTCTTGCCAGTGGCACGCTGCCCGCAGCCAGTGCCGTCCACGGAAGGTGTTGTTCTCGCTCCCTTCCGTACCTTCCCCATCGGGACGAGGAAGTTCCTATCATGTATTAGATTTATCTTGACACCAGGGTGAAAGGCTCTTACCGTGTTCGGGGTTCCGCTGGCGATCCTCATCGAAAAGAACTGCTAGTTATATAGGGAGGGCGTTTGTGACCATTCTCCGATGCATGGTACGGGTGTGGTCAACGCGAGCATAAACATTGAAGACTTTTCCTGTTTAAGGAAGTCATACACACAACACAATGGAAGGCGCAGCCAAGTCTCAGAATCCATTGTTCGACTCTTGTTCGGCCGATCCCGATTCGGGCCGGTGCCTATTCATGCGGGCCGGACTTCCCGTCAGCGCTGGAGTGCCTTGTATTTTCCCTCCTGCTGACGCCCATCCCCTCGTCTACGCCTCCTCGTCCGCAATGCCCCCTTCTATGCTATCAAGCTCTATCTCTACTCAGAAAGACATGGACGCTTTGCCGATCATCAATTACCGCCTCATCAACCTGGACACTGGCTACTACCGTCGCCAGGTCTGTAAATTTCGTGGCGCACGCGAGCCTCTCTCATCGTGCAAATCGACAGATGGAACACTTCGAGTACTACTGGGGTATGGAGAAAGGGACACTCGATCTCTCGACGCCACTGAACCATATACAACGTGCGTCGCCCTGTCCACCTCGCACGTACGATCCTAATACCTCCTGCCCTTAGTTCGCAGCGATATGGCCGAACGCATGGACCAATCCTTGTGGGCCATCCTTCCTACCAAGAAGACCCTCGACGCCATTAACGCTCTGTCCGAAGTCAACAAGACCGCAGGCATTGACCAAAGGAAGCACTTCACCGAAGTACGTCGCGCGGGTTATGCATGCAATCAGATACTCACGACCATAGGAACTTCCAGAACAAGAGTACGAATATGAATTTCTGTCACTATGCGGCACCAAGCGGGACCGACCGTCGATGTACCTCAAGCGAGGCTCGACTGTCAGGACGATCAAGAAGGCATATTCCAAAGTACCGCGCATCAGGTCTCGCGCACATCCTCTCTTCGTGATCTTCCACGCATATCATCAAATACTGTCCGGTTATTCGCTCTCCGATGCGAAAGCGGAGCGACTCATCCGATTAACGAGTGCCGTGACACGCCCGTGGAACAAATCCCCCCCTGTCGAGTTCACCGTGGGGCCCGATGTCTGGCAGAAACATCGACATCCCTCGAGCGATGACGGCTCCGTTGCGCGCGCCCAGCTGAAGACCTGCAATCCTTCACGTGCGCAAATGCTGGAGCGCTCCTCACGCAGGTCTACTCGCGCTCCTTCTCCCCAGCCCAAACATCGCCAGGACAGGCCCTCCATCTATGATCATGCACGGCGACGGCCATCTCCTCCCAAGTCACCCGTTCTTCCTCGAAGCGCGCGTGCTTCCGAGTCCGGGTCCTCCGACAGCGCCGCCCATGTCGATTTCTCGCCAACCGACCTCCGAGACTGGCTGGAATCGATCAGTCCTAAGCCAAAGTCCAAGTCGAAGAACACATTTCCCCCTTCGCCAAAATGCGACGCCGTCCTTGCGCGGTATCGGAAGGAGTCGGCTCGCGAGCCTCGGAACGCACTGCGCGTCACGCTGATGCTCACCACCAGTGGATTGGTGGGTGGGGGCAGCACCGAGACAAGTCGCTCCATCTACTGTAGCAACGACTGGGCGATGAATATCTATGACAAGTGTCTGTGGTCGTCTAATCCGCCCGAGGGAGCCCAATTCGACTACATCGACCTCATCCCATAGCCCTTAAGCACCCTACGAGCCCCTTTTGGACGACACTCCATGCTCTTCAACCTCGCAATGTTGCAGGCCATCGCGATAGCCGACGGTGTACTCGGCTACGGATGAACTCCTCAGATCCGGCACGCGACACCGGACCACGCAGCTTCCGCGACGCCTTCCCCTTGGCTGCGTCGTTGTGTATGCATGTGTACGGCCCGACGACCTATGGGATCAGTACGACCGTTCCCCGTAGCTAGACGGCGATAGCGCTATCGCACGCGCGGGGGAGCACGCCTCCTATGACCGACCCTCGGGACCATCACACGTCCAAGCTCCTTGTGGTTTCGGGCCAGGCTCTCGACTCGATGTGCGAAAGGTCGTGTGCTTCTACACGCAGAACGGCGACGATGGGGGTGCTCGTCATGCTTGCGCAAGCGACGTGGATGTATACGAAGGACGTGCACGTACAGTACAGATGTTTGCGTGTACAGCGCTTTCAAGAATAGTGAGGCGGCTGCGACGGTTTGCCAATCACGCCAGATGCACCGGCTATTTCTGCAATATTCTCCTTTTCCAGATCCATGTAACGACGCCGAACGGCTGAGGAAATGGGGTTATCAATGACAACAAGTCATCGCTCCTCTTTGGCTAGGACTAACACGCCTTCTTACAGAGGACTGGCGGCGAGGTCAGTTACTTGTACGAGCTGTCTGCGTGCGCGAGCTGGCGGGGCCAGGTGGGCACAGGCCCTGTACTTGCCGTCAAGCTCGACCGTGATTATGCCTGCTTTGCAAGCGAGCGCTAGACATTGTCTATCGATGCCGTACACGATTTTGTCGACTCACACGAAGCTCTTTACCAAGCCCGTTGATAAGGCACTGGAAATCGCGCACAGAATCTCGATATTCTGGGGCGCAGGAAAGGGAGGATGTCCATCCGAATGCCGGACAACGCTACCATCGTCGAGCTCATGACTCCAGCCAGCAGCTTTAACGAGCTGCATGGCAACACTGGAGGATACAAGCACGACGCACCCAAAGCCGGCTCAGCGAAGCACAAATGCGTACAGTCACTGAGCAATTTCAGCGCCCTTATTGACCGGAGAACCGTCGAAGCACGCGTCGCTTCACCTAGGCTCGCCCCGTCTCGCATGCGAACATCCCCTCTGCGAGATTGACCACCCCCCCCCCGCTTCAGGCGACGTCGGGGGTATGCTCTCAATGTGAATGAACTTCAGTGTGGGGGGTTCCGCTAGCCACAGGCAGAGCCTAGCTCCCCCTCCTCGTACACAGCCATGGCCAAAACCGGGAGAAATGAAGCGGTCTCTCGCGGTGACGCGGGGCTGTAATATCCGAGTGGACAAGCACAAGAGGACTTCGAAGCTTGTGAGCGCGTTCAATCCGGACGCCGCAGGAGCCTTTCACACGCAATGTTATAACGCGAAGGCAATGGAGATGTGATATTTGTCCCTTAAAGTACACGGCGAGAGCCAATACAAAAGGATCTCGTCACATCTCAACGAGTACAAACGAATGGCGCACAGAGAAGTATCGCCAGAAAAGTATCGCCAAGACATCATCCGAACCACACACCGATGCTCTCAGGTTGAGCGCCGGATGAATGGCCGATGCAACTGGTCATACGCAAGGCATCCGCTTTCCGCAAGGTCCCCGGAATACCTACACGCACGATTACAGTTGCCCCGCCTCGAAATCCCCACTGGTCGCCGGCCTCGTGACTCGGGTCCTCATCCACCTTGCGTCGCGCGCCCGAAGACGACCTTCGACAACAAGATGGATTCGTGCACACCGTGGCTAGCTGACCTTTATGCCGGTCCGTTGGAACCTTAGGCAGTGAGAATGGTTCAAGACGGGGGAGGGATGGGATGAGGAAAAGACGAGCGATGGAACCGAGCTATAAGTACCGGGAGCAAAATCCCCACTGCCACTTTCCCACACACAGCCACATTCAGAGCAGTCAACTTGGCGCAACCACAGCCACCCTCCGCTCGTCGAAGAAGAGCACGAAGCGCTGGTTTGTTGAATCGTACCGTATGCAGAACCCGCGTCCTCTGAGGAGATGAGCGTGGGAGGTAGGAAGCACGCGGGCGGAAGAGCCGGTGATAGACAGCGTAGATGTCAATGACGTGATGATGTCATCTGCTGCAGTGTGACGTCGACGTGATGTTACCTCTTTGGGTGAACAATGGACTGCCTTTTATGGTGTTTTCGCCACGCGTGTTGTTTCGCACTCTCACGCCCTCAGCGTCGTTAACCACCGGCGTATCATGAACATGTTCGGTGTCTGGCTCTGTCTCGGCTCTGATAACAATTTGACGACCTCGCGACCACTGCTATCGTACACAACATGCCATTCTGCCAGTACATCGCCAGTGACTTCTCGTTCCTACGGTATCCTTTTCCGAGTGGTGTGCTAGGACTCATTCCTCGGGCTGCTAGCTATAGCTAGCGTGCAGCTATCTGATGCTCTTGTGTCTCATTCATGGGCCGCTATGCACATCGTTGACTTCTGGTGGTCATTCGGGCTGCCGCCCGCGCTGTCAAACACGATTTCAGGATGACGCGTCTTCGACATCTTACGATGTTCAGGGCCAAGGGTTGGCTCCTCTTGTTCCCTACTCCCATCTCTCGCTGCGCGGCTCACTACCTCCGAGCACCCCGCGCGCGCATCGGTTTCCTTCGACGCGCCTTCCCACGAGTCTCGCATCCTGAACACTCTCGTATTTGTCAAAGACTCGTATCCTTTCCTCCGCACGGCCGTCCGTTCCTTCGTCAGTTCATCATTCTTTTAGCCAAACTGGATGGAATATTCTAATGAGAAACCCAACCGTAGAAACCTTATCTAGAAACCCGGTTTCTGTCGGCGAGCATCCCGGCGACGCGCCGGCGAGGTCATTAATGCCGCGCTCGGCATCACTGCACGAGGCTATCGGCCAACTCCGAGAGGCAGACGAGCTCGACAGCGCCGGCCACCGCTGAGTAATTTTGTAGGATATCCCTCTTAGATCTGAGGCAAGGATGCATACATGAGTGTATAGAGCCTTATCCTGACACAGAATATACCTTAGGACCCTCTGGAGGGTGCTTTCCGAGGGTAAATGGTTGTCTTTCCATTGTAGTCACATGACCATTGTGTCTACCGGTGGACACAATGTCCTATGGGTCAGTGACGGTCCTGCTAGCTAAGAGGGCTGACTGTGTCGTATTGGAGTCAGTAGCCTGGTATCTTACACCCCTACACCGGGCCACTACGCTGGAAACAGGCTGTACTGTGGCAAACGGAGGAGGTGCCACAAGCTCGGCGGCTTCGGCAACTGGAGGCGGGATTGATGGCGCATCACCGTCTCTCGGGCACACGGCCGGAGAGACGCCGATAGAAACCCAGCCTCGTGTAAAGAAGTTGTGCGGGTTTCTACAGAATTGCCTTATAAGGAAGGCAAAACGTAGAAACCGGGTTTCTCATTAGAATATTCCAAACTGGATAACGAGGTAGGTGCTCAGAACTAGGTTCGGAGCATTTTAAAGCCCCAAAAAGGAAGGTGAAACCGCGTGCGCGCGCGTGGAGGGGCTTGATCCCGAACCTAGCTCAGAACCGCATATATGCGTGAAAATCGACCCATTTGATAGTTATGGCGCCGAAATCGGGTTCATCCATGATCTCCCATCCTTCTTCCGACGTCGAAATACACGTCTCCAACAAAGTGGGCATGTACAACCTGGCTTCAGCTTGGGTCCTCGTCGGCATGACCACTCCATTGTGCTCAACGGTCGACATCTTCCGCTTCTTCACACACGCAGTCCTCATGGCGCAAGGCCTGTTCGTAGGTGAACGGAGGGCCTTCGACATGATCGAGCTCAGAGGGAACCACTACCTCTACGTGGTGATAGGGCTGCTCATTCTGGAAGAGTTTGGGTACATCTGCCGCCTGTACCCTGACGTGTACAAGGTGCGTGCACCTGTCCGCATGGCACCGTTAGGAGAATACTGACCTCTTTTATTAGTTCGCTCTTCAGGCCATGACCAACAACATCTCGCTGAATTCCCTCGCGAAGATTATCAACCTTCATGCAGGTCCGATCCGGTCCAAGGAGGGGGCTGATGAGTTCGAAGCAGCAGTTGGCCAGATTGAGTGGGAAGGGGAGGCAAGGGCGAGAGAACTGGTGAAGCAGATCTTCCTTCCGCTGGTTGGACCGGCTGTCCGGGCTTGCGTCGAGTCGCTAAGGTACGTGTCAGCCCACAGTTGCTCATTAGTTCACTTTGACTTGATTCCGCGTGTTAGGAACGAGCTGTCGCCCTCCGTATCTGCTACACCGCCATCTACCGCATCGTTTACCTTCTCCTTTCGAAACCTGCCCGCAGAGGCTTCTGCGAAGGGATACGCGCACCTTGTCCCCGCTGTGATCGACCCCTCCTCGGCATCGGCGCACCTTCTCGATAGCTTCTCGGAACCCTCTTCTTCCATAGGGCATTCTCAGGCATCCTTCCAAGGCCAGGCCCACGCTCCAAGCTCGAAGAGGCGTCGGGAAGAAGAAGAATCTCTAGCGGATGAGACAGAGGTCACATGCCTGCTGCTCGGAGAGGGCGCAGGTGCGGAGGTGTCGGCCAGTGCAGAAAGAAATGGCGCGCCGCCCGCGCTTCTTGAACCTCCATTAAAGAGGCGCCACCTAGGCGAAGCCCCCGTCAAATGGGCGCGGGACGCAGACAAGAAATTTTCCAAGGAGAAGCGGAGAGCCGGGAATCGTAAGCGGCAAGGAACAGATATCAAGAAGGGTACGTTCCTCGCACCGTTCTTGTACTATATTGTCTTATGTAGTAAACTCTTTCAGTGATTACACCAGACTCCCTCGTCGAGCCCATCTGCAGGGCCCTCGATTCGCTACCCGCCGGTCGCTTGGCCTTCAGCTGTAACTACTCGGGACCAAGTCTCTATGGGAGTACCATCGACGCGGCCATGGGCCAAGACCTCGTCAAGTACTATCTAGTGGCAGCACTCACGGATGTCTGGGCTGACCACGGGATGAGTGCTCACGCCGCCGCAGTGAGTTGTAGTTCCGCTGGGCTGACTGAACAGATATTGCATAACATCTTCTTATTTTCGTTTAGACAGCTATCGAGGCCATGGTCTCGGAAGAAGTCGTCAATCGCATCGCCCGCGCTCTCGGGATGGTCGAGCATGTTGATTTCCTCCGGGCCGTCGCACGCGCATCTCGGGAGATATCGTTCGATTTTCTTCGGACTGCCGTCCTGGATGTCTATCGAGACGTCGCCCCTGTCGCGATAGAGCTTGTCAAACCGCTCTACATCGTCTTTTCGTCCGAGTCGCTCGGTTGGTGGCGCCTTTTCTCCCCCGGTCCTTCTGCTTACATCGCCTTTGTAGAGCCCACGCGGGATCACCTTCGCAACGTCTTGCTCATCCAAAACGCCGGCTACACCTATCGCTCCAACCTTAGCCGTGTGGAAGCCGTTTTGTCGACGAATGCCAGGACCATCCAGCAGCTGTTCCACAAGGATCTTCTTCGCGGATTGAATTTCCTCTAGACGCACGTAATTTCGATTTCGCCTGTCACCGCTTCGTTCATCTGGGACCCTCGTACATCCTACTCACATACCGCATATCGTTTATCTCGACCACATACCAGCGCTCATCGTACATATATAGTAGCTACGTCTCTTTTCTCCGCGGCCTTTTATTGTGGACTGGCATCAGTGAAGGAATATAATCATACGAGTTCATCGTAATCCTTAAGATGCTCAAGAGACGCAAGTCGTTCGGCAGACTGAAGGTTGTCCACTTGGCGCGTAGAGCCACAGCGAGCGGAAACCCGGCGGTTCATTCGACGCAAAAGGGGCGTAAAATTATGTTATGCGCCTATGAGGCTACAGGGGCAACGTACGGGAGGGGAGGGTATCACAGGAGAGGTATTATCTGTACGTATAGCCAGGAAAGATCTCGAGGTATCACAGAGAAGCTTGAAGGGCAGCGCGCATGACAGATGTAGGCAACGACGGGCGATACGCCTAGAAGAACCACCCCGAAAGCGCGGAAAGGGACGGCCATGCACCATTGCTTTGCAGAGCGCCGTTCTAGGTAGCTCGTCAGAAACGCGCTGAGATTGCACACACAGATCGACATACTATTTGCGCATCGATAGCAGGGTCGTGAACAGAGGCGAGAACGGGGCGTGGCAACGACACAGAGGCCATGGAGGAAGCCGAGGGTGAACTCGACGCGAAGTTGGGCGCATGCGTCTTGTTCTCCTTCTCGAAGGTCGCCGGAACTGGCGCGAGGTCCATGTACGGCGAGAGGACGTAGCTATCAGACATCATCAGCCTGTGCCAGACGAAGATGGTTCATGCGTAAGTTTACGCACCGAGCCGCCGCTGTATGTGCGGTCATGTCGATGATGGGTATAATATTGGCGGTCACCCATGACTCAAGAGCCGTGGTCGAGTCAAGCGTGTGGTCCATGGCGGCAATCATGCAGAGAAAGGACTCAGCCTTGTTCTCCTGCGCGCCCGGGTGTGGTTCATGCAAGCGAGCTTCCAAGTTCAGGACCTCGTCCAAGGTGAGGGCTTGAGTAATCGCCTGTGTACACGTTGTGTGAGCACATCTGGTCAAAACTACGTTTTCTGAGATCACGCTTACCTGTTTGACTTCGCTTACAAGACGGTGGGCGTCTCGCGAGACTCTAAAGCCGACCATGATCGCTTCCTGCAGAACGTCCCTACCACGGTCAATAGTCGCCTGATTCTGGACGTCCGGGCACATGATACGCTCGGCCACGTCCACGCGCTGTTGAGGATCGTCGACGAATTGTAGGGGCGTGAGCCGGGGAGGTATAGTGCCTTCACACAAGGCGATCATGAAGTAGTAGGAATGCGCGCCTTTGAGCGCCGCATCGGTCACCGCGGCGGCGCGCGGTGAATATGAGCTATTTGTACACGCGGGGGTCGTGGAGCTCATGGGGAAAACTGAATGGGGCGTCAGAACGAGAGGGCGCTTCCATGAACTTGGCTTACTGTGCGGATGGTGTTTGGGTACCGCGAGGGTGGGACAAGAGAGGTGAGAGAGGGGGTCAGAAGCGATCCGCTATACTCACCCCATCGACATTGGCCAATATTAGTGTCGGGCGAGGAGGCAAGCTAGTCGACGGATCCAAACACAGAGGCCCCTCTAAGAAATGCGGGTATATTTCATTGAGGCTGCGCGGCAAACGAGCCCGATACACCCGCAAAGGACTTTCAAAAATCCTATCATTCGTACGCCCCTCACTTTCGACACTCAGGCGCCCACGACACATTGCCAGGGAAGGAAGGCTTTCGGGACGATGATGGTCGGAATCAAAAGTTCAGCAACCCCGTGACCGCGGGATACGAAACCACTGCAGGCTCGCCCCGTTTTTTCAGTTAGTACCTCATCCCGGTCGGCGAACCTTCAGAGTGGTGCACCATAACTATCTCAAGGGCCGCATGCTGTCCATCAAGTTTGGTAGCCAACACTCAGAAGGCCGCACGGTATAAAAGGTGATCCAGCTCGAACTCGAAGCCTCCCCGCACGACTTGGTGTTCGATGAATGTGTCTTGATTTGCTAAGGTTATTAGAATGCTACAGGATACAAGGAAGTCCGCAAGCCGAGACGAAGTAAGCACTGCAGGGGGTGAGGGCGCGATGTAGTGGACAGAGAAGCAAGGTGGGCAGTCGAGAAGGTAGTGTGCAGACGAAAAGGTCGAAGGCAATGCGAACTGTAAGTAAGTACGAACGGCCACGGTACGAATCGCACGCGAAATCCGAATACAACAAGCGATATCGAAAAGAATTTCCGCCTTCCCAAAGACCGTGGTGTGTAATGGTGGGATTAATCAAGAGATAGGTAGAGACAAACCGGGTGAGATGCACAGGCCTGAAAGGAAGAGATGAATGAACACCCCCGAGGGAAACGATGAACAGAAGGAGAAGTGCGTGCGAGGGGGACGGAGAATGCGAGGTATAGACATGGGGAGGTATAGTGGATTATAATGAGGGGGTATGTTACTTGGGAAAGAATGGATGGTCCGCTGGACAAATATATTGGAGCAGGATACAATAGATAGGGGTGAGTTGGTGAGGGGGAGATCGCGGTCCCAGTGCTCGTGAGTAGGGCCAGCGAGGGACGAGCCAAAGGGGTCACAGATGTAAGGCAGCGGGGACGGTCGTCATCTCAGTGCGGGTTGCGGCGAGTGCGCGATTTGGATGACCGGGATTGTGAAGTGGCTGGAACGGCACCGAGCCCGTGCTGTGGCGCGTAGTCGGGGTCGATGTCGTTACACTTGAGGTGCAGTAATAGGTTGTGCACGAAGATCTGCTCGAACCTGCCACGCATCAGCTTCGATACACGTTCATGCATCATAGAAAGCACTCACTGAGCATTCGTGAACACAACAGTCATACTTTCCGAATTGCACCTAAGCAAATTCGGCGCCATCACAAGCGCTAGGTTCGCACTCGTCATCTTCGTAATCGCCTGCGTCCTCTCGTCCAAGAACAGCTGCAAGAAGCTGATCACAAACAGTACAACACGCCGGTTGATCGTCGGCAGTCGCTCGACAATGCGCACGCACGCCTCCGGGTCTTTCGCGCTCGTGATGCACTCGTTGTACATCTCCTCCGGCACGAGCGGGTCGCACAGCTCGCGCAGCCAGAGCTTCATAAGCGACGCCAGCACATGTGGGTCGTCGATGCCGTCGAGGGTGTAGAAGCCGCGGTCGATGCGCAGTTTGAGCTCGGAAACGATGTCGCCGTCGCCGGGGACGCGAAAGATGCCCTCGTGCTTGGTGCCGCCGAGGGCGAGGATGCCATCGGCGAGGAAGGGGAGGATGATGGGGACCTTGGCCTGCGGATAGTTTCGCTCTTGCAAGCGGTAGATGGCGTCGAGAGACTCGCCGAAGGTGGAGGGGTTGAACGCGGCGTCCTATGCCCGGTCAGATGCAGATCGACCACAGATGCTGATGAGACTTACAGATGCAGTCTCGATCTCCGTGACGGTGGGTGCTTTGCCGCGAGGGCCCTTCTTGGAGATGACGGCTAGCCTTCGCAAGCAGTACTTGGCCATCACATCTATACGACCTTCCTGCTTTGATGTGTGCTGCTGAATGAAGGAGCGTAGGTAGGACTCAAAGTTCTTGGATGGGGGAAAGGTGATAAGAAGAACGCAGATGAGTTGCCAGCCCCGGAAAGCGCTCTCCCTATGATACATCAGCGGCAGGCTCGACGATCAGGCAGCCATGTACGCACGGATTGGGATTCCCTGTCAATTGCTTGATGACCTGGCAGTATATCTCGTCCCGAAGCTCGGGATGGGAGACACCTTCGCCCAACAACCATCGCTCCTCTTCCAGCATGCTTGACGTCTGCGTAGACCCTAGTGATGTTGACGATGCATTCTTCTGCTGCGAAAACCCTTCGGTGCGCCCGCCGATATGCCGATCCTTCTCGCGATCGCCCATGATGTACTGCACAACCTTGAACGTCCGTACAGCCTGCTTGTGAAGACTCCGATCCAGCGTTTGTAGCGGTGAAGTCAAAGGTTGCTGTTCCTGCGTAAGCAGCGCGCTACAGCTGAGTGTACCGCCACGCACCTTTTGCCACGCCATTAGCTGCGTTACGGGGATGGTGCGCCTGAAGAGGAACCCACGCCGATGCGTTGAGAAGTACTTCTTCGCGTAGTCCGACTGCGAGAACTGCTGTATATCCATCGCCAGATCGTGGGGGAGTACCGGGATCGCGCTGGCGCGCAGTGACGCGTTTGTCGAGGGCGCGACCGATGGCGCCACGACGGAGGATTGCACAGGGATGGGCTGCTGCAGTGTCCGCTTCTTGACGGGGCTCATGTCCAAGGTCGCCGCTAGAAACGACGGCCGTCAGCCCGAGATCACGAGCAGAGATGTTAGCGTACCGTCGTTCATGATTGGCCCGCTGATGGCTTTCCCATTGATCTTTGGCGCTGGTGTTGAGGGGCGATCGGGAGTGCGAGGGATGGGTGTTGCGGTGCTACGCGGCGGGGTAGAATGGCTGGAAGAGAGGGAGGGGGTACTCGGCCGTTGGCTGCTTCCGTGACTACTTGATGACTTGACTGACAATGGCGTCTTGTAGGAGCTTCCGTGCCCACTGTCCGAGTGCGAGCCCTGCAACTTCTCAACAGCGGCGTTGAGACTTTGCGGCGTCATGGGCTTCATGTACGAGACGTGCTTCCGGGAGGGGGACGGGCTGTCCGAGATGTTCCCATCGTTGCCAGTGTGAGGTCGGCCGGGGCTGCCCTTCTTGCGCAAGGAAGATTCCCCATGTGGTAAGGAAGACATGGATTTACGGGAGGCGGACGACGGCGGGCGCGACTTCTCAGAGGACGCTGGCGACGCCGGGATGGGCGGTAAGTGGGTTCCCCCCATACGACTATGGTGGTGATGTCCGTGGTGAGCAAGGAGACGCGTCTCGTTGGAGAATGCTCGCCTTTGGATGTGGGCGGATGCGGGGCTCAGCGAGCTGGACTTGTTGCCGAGCACGGTGCGGGTGGACTGCGACTTGCGCACAGATCGGTCGAAATGGGTGTCGAGGTCTTTGTTGTAAGATTTTGTACGCCGGTAGCCCGCTTTCCCCGCGTCCTTCGCAGATGTGATGGGAGGTCCATTGTATGCCATCATCGACATGCGACTGCCGGCTGTCTTGGATAGCCTACGACCTAGGGCAGTGTTCTGCGCGCTGCCTTAGTGCGCGACGCGTGAATGGAGGACTGCGCACGCACCTGGATGATTCCCAATGGAATGACGAACGCGTTTGGGCGCTCCCACACCGTTTCGCCCGTCTTGGTCTGGTAGTAATAGGGTATCCCTCCCCGCGTATCGTCGGTGAGCTCCCACCATTCACCCTCCGAACTCGGGGGAAGACTGGAGAAGGGTCAGTGCACGATCATCGACGCGAATAGACGTATCACGCACACAAAGTTCCCGACCGGCGCATCCCAACTCACTTCCCCGGTGGCTGGGCAGGCAAAAAACGGTGTATCCGTCTGGATCGGAGTTCAGCGGTTTGGTGCAGGGGGGAGGATATATACCACGCACCTGCGGGTCTATGAGCGTCACCCAAAAGTTCGCTCCCCATTCGCCATCTCGATTCTCTGCGGCTTTCTTCGCGCGCGAATTCGGGCTGAGCGTCAACGGCGTGCCGACCCTCGGCACTGGGGCGTCCTTCGTGTCTAGCGCGGGCAGTCCTCGATGTGGTGTTGTAGGCTGGACGTCTGGCTGGTCTGGGGTCTCCGGAGTAGCGATTTCGTGGGCAGGAGCGGGGGCGGAGTCGGTGGGTGCGGGTGTCGCCATGTCTTTCGAGAAGGAGAAAGGGTATAATGAAGGCTCCGGAGAAAAAGGAACAAGGCCTGCGTAGCGAAGAAGAAGAGAAGAACGAGCCCTTTCTTAGTCCCAGCCGTCAGCGGGAAAGAGAAGGTTCGATTTCGGATTCGGGGATCTGATGTCCAAGGTCGGCGGTTCAATTTCAGGGACAATATCGCATACAGTACTTATGGCTTCGGGCCTTTGTCAGCCAATTGCAACTGCTGGGCTTCGACAGAACGTAGATGCAGTATATGTACCCGCGCGTTCAAGGAGAACTGTGAGCACCGCGGATTCGAGGTCGAATGACTGTCGGTATTTGCCGATCCGGGCTTTAGCACTTGAAGCTTAAAGGGCTGCACCCCGACATTACCAGGGAAATACTGCACCTTCACCCCGTACTTACAATTTTGGTCTGTACACGGTACAGAGACTAGAGTGACTATGTGAACGATCGGATCTACAGAATCATGCCCATCCTGATGCAGTGCGGCAGCGCGGCGCCCGCCATGATCCATCCAACTTTGGCGTGGAAAGCCACACATCACTTGTCCTTCATTAGCTCCTTGGCCTTCGATATAAACTCATTTAGCGCCTCCACCTCGCCGCCCTGGCTGTCCGACTCGAACGAACGCTGCACCCTCTCGTAAAGCTTCCCGATTCCTCGATGTATGTCGCCTTCGCCCTCGCCAACGAAGTCGCTGATCTCATACATCTCATCCACCCACCGGTAGGCCTTGGGCAGCATGCCCGGTACAGATGATGTGATGCGTGAGAGCAATGCAGGAGCAGAACCATTAAGTTCGTGCAGCAGCGCGTCCGCTGTGGCGGGCGAAGACCGGTGAGCGGCTACCAGTACTATCAGCTTCCGCCCGTTGCCTACATGTAAAAGACATACCCAGGACCATTGCAGTCAATATTCCAGTCACACCCTTCGTCATACCCTACTCGCAATGTCAGACCCTTCTCGACAATCCACCCACTTAATACTCACCGCATACGACATCTTCAACGCACTTGCCGCACCCACATCCGCCCCCTCTCCCGTCAAAAGCACGATCTTCATCCCATACTCATTCAACGCAACAAACCTCTGCAATGTGTCCAGATCGCCTGGCGCCGCCGATGCATATATCGTTGGCATGTACCCACTGTCCTTTGGCGGTCCCCCAATTATTCCTGCGTCCAAAAACCGCACGCCAGTGCCAGCGAAAACGTCTCGGATTTTCTGTACGGTCGTCGGGTTCACGGCGTTACAGTCGACGAAGACGAGGTCGCTTTCATCGCCAGTAACATTACTTTTGTCGGTGTTAGCGAGGTCCTTATCGAGCGTCGCCCGAAAACGATGCGCGAATGACAGCGCGTCACGAGGTGGGAGGATACTGAGGACCCAGGCACATTTCTTGGAGAATTCGCCCAGAGGTATGTCTTGCATTCCAGCATCCTTTGCGCGCTGGTGGGACGCGGGCGAGCGGCCGGTGAGGTCAGTGAAAACGGTGCAACCGGACCTGACGAGTCGCCGCCCGATAGCGGCGCCCATCGCACCTATGAGATGGATCAGCGCGTCGCGAAGGAGAGCAAGAAACATGAGTGACGACGAAGTGGGAGAAATACGATCGAAGTGGGATACCGCAGTGGGTCAAGGGGATTCGAGAGAAGAGGCGCACTGCGGCCACGTACCCGCAGCGACGATGCCGATAGAGGCCATGTTCGGTGCTAAAGGAAGCCTACTATCTCGAAGTAGTAGATGCGAGGTCTATCTCTTCGCAGCGACCTTGCAGTTGATGACAGTGAGTGGCAAGAAGCGGAGCAGCGGGCCGACGCGATAGCACTATCAATAGTAACGAAGACGTGATAGGTCACGGATTCGCGAGAGAGCTGAAGAGGATCGTGAAAAGAGGTGGCAGTGAGAAGAGCGAGTAGTATCCCTGCCAGCTCGGTTGGTCGATGTATTCGCAGAACGGTCATTGTTGTTGTTGGAAAAGTTTACATAAGCAGAGGGATCAATAGCGTCGGACGAGCGAAAAGGCAGGTGGCAGACCACCGACGTACGCGGCCCTCGGAGAGGCTTGTGTGCGCATCGATGCGCTGGACTGGTTACCAAGGCCTTTGGCGTCCAAGATGTCGCGCTAACTGCTGCCAGCTGCGCCACACTGACCGCACATGATCACAAGGGTCCGAGGCCTCCCCGCTAGGCGTTCATACCCGACGTTCACCAGCCATCCGCGTCCGACGAGGCCAGAGTGTCGTCCTTCTTGTTCAGCAAGCGCCGGGCGTCAAGTCGGTAAAGTCCGGGGTGATCCCTGAGCCTACAGTCCCTTCATATCCAGAGCTAAGCGACGTCTGATAGGCAGCCCAAGTGGCATGAAGTATCAATCATCGACCAACAGAAGAAAGCGCCGGGAAACCCTTGTCGATACGACCGGGGCGGAGAAGCAGTGAGCTGCCCTGCAGGAACGGTAAGCATACTCGACCACATTGTTATCCTCGAAGAGTGGAGCCGACGACAGCACCACATTAGGCGAAGCGGTCCGAGGAACTGTGGTGGCCATAGGTCTGCGAACAGTGCTTGAAGTTCTTGACCGAGTCAGGCAGAGTCATTCATTTACGCATTTGTCTTCGAGTCGGTGCCTTTTGAGGTCTTCTGCCCGGACATAGCCACAGACAGACGCAAGGATTCGAAAACGAGAAGTGGTCGTTGAGTGTTGACCGTGAAGGGCGGTGATGAATTCTCCTCTTACTGAGCTTCCGAGCTCGGGTGAGGCAGGATCGAGTGTTCCGACGCCGCCGCTTCGAGCGTCGATCGCGCTGCGTGCAGGCAACGCAGCGTGTCGCACGCGCACGCAACACGTTCTACCGACCGCGTGGAGTCGTCGAGGCGCTGCACAATGATAGGCAGATTTGGAGCAAGTATTGAGATTCGGTGCAAGCCAGAGCAAGGCGGTTCGCCGCCTGCACAGTGGATAGACAGCAGTGCGCCGATCGACAAGCCGGGGCACTGCCAGAGTCCAAGGAAGCCCACTGACAAACATCGCCTCGCGACATCCGAAAGAAGTGGCAGCGCATTTGAAGAAGCAGAAGCCCGTCGGCGGAGTTGGGATGAGGGCGTCTCCTAGATTGCGGCCAAGCAACTCGAAGGGCTGGACGGGTCGGGCGCCAGGGTAGGACGGCATGCGAGAGCGCCAGCACAGGACCATGGGCCACCCAGAATGAACAGTAAGAAGAATAGGCGGCGTACCGCCGCGGCGGAGGTAGCAGCGCCTCGCGCTGGAGAGTCCTATGGGCGTCTTTTGAGAGCTTTGTGTCAGGTCGCTCGGCGGCCCGCGGGAGCCTCGGTTCGGCATGTGCCGCGTCACGTGTATCACATAGTTGAATTTCTTTCCGTCTTCGATTCTCGCTTGTTCACAGTCGTAGACCAGTTCAACTACACCTCAAAGCCTACAAACTATTCAGATGTGCGAAGAGGTGGTCCTTCAGCCCGAAGACATGGACATTGCGGTGTGTGCGTACATGGTAAGTATAGTACATATGTACATGCGAAGCGAGCGACACGGAGATCATCCATTCCTCAACGTTCAGTCATAGAACATGCCAGTGGAATAAGACATGCAGAGTAGCTAATAATACATTCCCGCGCACCGACAGAGCCAGTCCTCATCGAGAAATCTAGCCGATGGATAGGCTACAAACCGTTGCGTAGGTTCCAGACATAGCAGCTGCGCCGGGCGAGGGCACAGCCCAGGTATCACATACAGCTATGGGTATACAGCTGTACGCCCTCGGTATAGCGTCCGAGGGCAGAGCATACAGCGTTCTGTGCTGTGGCTCAAGCATCGGCCCTACAGAGGAAGTCATATAAGCCTTCTGCGCGTGCGGACAAGGCGAGCTGTTGGTGCTCACTGATGCATAGTCAGGCGGTTGACTGCCAAGGGAATGCCAACGAGGCCAACGATGAGCACGACGCAGCACGCGATCTCCCCGGCCTTGCGCAGCTTGCTCTTGCGCGCCTGCTCCTCGCGAGGCCAGTGTTTGCGGTCAAGCACTTGGCTCTCTAGATCAGGGTGGTCGAGGGTGCATCGGCATGTGGGGCTGCCGCATGAATTTGCACCTGCGAGGGTCTGAGTTCGATGACAAGGGTGATGTACGTGCGCGTACTCACCAGGGGTCCTGGTAGGGTTGTTGACACAGACGGACGAGCCACATGAGGGTCGGCGGTACGAAGGTGGACGAGAGAGGGTATAAGGAGGTAATGGCGTCGTGTCCAAGGGCATCAGCGAGCTCAAGCTCATCCCCGAGCGCAGCGCGGGCGCGCTGTAGACGGGGTCCGGGAACGTGGGAGTCTGAGGGGCGGAGTCCGAGCGCGAGCTAGACGCGTATGTCGGGGGGGCCATGGTGATCAGGGCGAGCGAAGGGGCGGAGGTGATCAGGGCGGGTGCTGCTGGTGTGCTGAAGTGTAGTTAGGGGAGGCCCTGAGCGAGGATCCGGGGTCGGGTCGAGCCTTTATAGGTACGGCCTCCGACTGTCTAATCAATCTAGTCGAGGAGATGATAGAGTGCAATGAGGCATCAAAGATTGAGTGCGCCCTAAGGCCGATGGCCTTCGTAATGTCATTCGTCACAAGCCTCGACTCGCAATTCATAGAAGCGTGTCCTAGTATGTCGCGTATCGGGCCACCGCGCCTCCCGACCCATCGTCGTGGCCGCGTACGCCGGGCGCAGTGACCACCGACAAAAGGAAGTCAAGAAGGAGTCGGTGACCGTAAAGTACGGTGCGTAGCTCGGGTGGCGTACAGAATTCCAGCTTTCGTGCGCTGCGACTGCGAAAGGCGATTCAAAGGGGGCGAGGCGGACGAGCGACAATTCCGAGGTTCGCGCGCATCGAGTGGAAGTCGGAGCGCATGGATTCGGAGGAAGTTGATAGAGCGAGGACATAGCACAGCACTGTTAGCATAGCGCATCAACCCAAAAAGTCAAGATGAAGGCGTACCTATAACGGCAGCATCTGGCGTGTGGGCCGTATGCGCCCCTACCTGATCTGGGAACAGGACAAGGGACAGCACCTGATGGGCCCAGACTTCATTGTTGTAGCCAAGCGATGGAAGCCAGATATGCTGTGCGCATCGGGGCCACCTGAGTGGCTTCGGGAGTCGGGGGTGGTACTGCGAACACCACGCCCGCGTTGATGCACCGACGTGACCTGCCTTCTTAGGCAAAAGACACTATGGCTATGGATCAGAGATGGATACATACCTGGTAGTAAGAGGTTTGGGAACGGCGGCATGGAGGCGGACAACAGACATCCGTGAGGCGAGTGAATCGCTTACTGGATGGCCAAAACAGCCCCAATCGGTGATGACTCCAGACAACACAGCAGAGCGGCGCAACCACTGTACACGAAGACGGAGAAGCACAGCATCGAGAACAAGGTCACTTGCTGTCCTCTGTCAGAGTTCAGGGACATGCTTCTTACCGCGGATGCACTGGTCTTCACTGGCACGTTTTCAAACACGCGTACACCAAGTATACTTATGAGGTCTGTCAAGAGACCCACGCCTGTTAAGTATAGAATGAGCAGACACTGGTTCGTCGGCGGTGGCCGACAAGTCATACGTACGAGGGGACCATGAGCGCGTCCGCCAAGAAGGAACAAGTCACTTTTCCAAAACGGGAAACAATTGTTCCCCCGCTCTTGCTCGACGTCAGTCACCTTTGCTATCCCCCTCGTCACATTGACTCGAAAGACCTTGCTAAATATCCATCGCCTATACTTGACGGACACAATGACTTCGCTGCGCACATTCCAGACCGAAATTGAGGACATCCACAGCCGTGAGATGGCGAAGCAGCGTCTGCAAGGCGCGCGGCAGCTCAAAGAGAAGGAGAACAAGCACCCGCAGCCCAAGAAGGAGACACACGGGGCGACAGATGACGAGCATGCTACGAGGGCTGCAGCCATTCAAGATGAGAACGATACGGAGACGAGCATGAGGGAGGTTGAGGAGCAGATCATGGTGCGTCGTCGATGTCGCGGGGGGGTGAAAGCTGACTTATTCCCCTCAAGACCCAACTCCTGGCAGGCACGCAGAAAGAACATGACTCGGCTCGTGATACCCTTGCCTCCCTCATTACCCAGCATCATGGCGAATACGTCTTCCGGATAGGCGTCAGCGCGCCACACACGAAGCTCTTCGCGGGGAAGCTCACGGACGCGGATGAGGGTTGGGAGGGGAAAGAGCGGACACTGGAGGAGGTCGACACTCTGGTCGAGGGGATCAGGACAGCCGTCGAGGAGATCGGGGGGAAGGTGCGTGTATGGGGTACTGAGGTGACGGGCGCCTAACCACTTAGCCAACTTCAGGTCTGCGTGCTCTTCGAAGTTAAGACGGGTCACCCTCGGGCGACGCTACTCCTGCGACTACCCCCTCCGAGCGTCTCTTTGACACCGGAAGTGCGCTGCGCGGTTGTGGGCAATGTCGACAGCGGCAAGTCAACGACACTGGGCGTTCTGACGCGTGGTACGGTCGGCGAACGGTCATCTCTGCTCTTCGAGCATGATCTTATTTAAGCCCAGGTGTACTCGATGATGGGCGTGGTAGCGCACGCGTAGGCCTCTTCCGCCACAAGCACGAGATTGAGACGGGGAGAACATCATCAGTGGGCATGGAGGTACGCGCTATGGTCAAGCATATACTCTAGTTCGCTAGTCCTGACCAAGCGCAGATCCTCGGCTTTGGACCTGACGGACAGCCCATACTCCCTCAATCTACCGACCCGAAGGCGGTGCACCGCGAGAAGCTTGGCTGGGATGAGATCTCCAAGCGGTCCGCTAAGATCGTCTCCTTCATCGGTATGCCGTTGTACCCATCTCACCTGTCACCCCTGCCGACACACGCTTGCAGATCTCGCCGGACACGAGCGCTATCTCAAGACCACATTATACGGCTTGACCTCCGGGGCGCCTTCCTGCGTCGTACTCATGGTCGGAGGCAACGCCGGCCTCATTGGCATGTCGAAAGAGCACTTGGCCATCGCGCTGGCGCTCAATGTCCCCGTCGTTGTCTGTATCACCAAGGTTTGCATACGTTTGCCTGTTATATATCCCTCGTTTCCAAGTAACGCCTTCCAGATCGACATGACCCCCGCCAACGTCCTGCAAGAGACCATCAAACAAGTCTCTAAAATTCTAATATCTCCTGGCTGTCGAAAAACACCGGTCTTCGTCGAGTCTATAGAGACAGCCGTGGAGCTTGCCTCGACATATGCAAGAAATCGATTATGTCCTATATTCCGATTATCGAACGTTGATGGAAGAGGGTTGGATTATGTGGGTGACTTCATGCATACCCGTTGCGGCCTATAGCGATTGACCAACCCGTCACCAGGTACGCACCTTCCTCAACTTGCTCCCATCTAGCGAGGCGGATGTGGATAAGTTCGCCGTGGACCAGCCGCTTGAGGTACGCACTCCTCTCATCCATATGCTGTTGTTTTATTGCAACTTGACTGACCACTTCCTCTTCCAGTTCTCCATCACCGAAGTCTGGAGCGTCCCCTACGTCGGCACGGTCGTGAACGGGATCATCAACAGCGGACGGATACAGGTCGGCGACCAGATCATGTTTGGACCCGACTCGAATGGGAATTTCGCGAACACCGTAGTGAAGAGCATGCAGAGGAAACGGTGCGTAGATAGACCGAAATACTCGTTCTGCCAAAGGCACCGTATGGGGCACTTACTGACGAGCTTCCTAAGAGCGGACGTCACCACCGCCGAAGCCGGGCAATGCGTCGCTGTCGCGCTGAAGCGTGTCCGTCGAACCGACGTGCGCAAAGGCATGATCATTGTCCATCGCACCGAGGCGGGCCCGCCGAAAGCCGTCATGCGGTTTGAGGGCCAGGTTCTAATTCTCTAGTGAGTATCGCAGCTGATCCTTCCCCCTCGACATTCACTATATCTAACTGCGTCTAATCCTATCCCTCTGCAGCCACAACACCACCCTGCAACCGGGATACCAGGCAATGCTGCATACAGGCGCCGTCCGACAAACGGTGAAGATCCTCTCTATGGACCACCCACAGAATGTGCTTCGGTGAGTGTTGTTGGTATCCTCGTTGAGATTCGTACTGTACAAGGTTGTGTCTGTGGCCCTCTGTTGATTGCGGAAGTCAAACTCCAAGATCGACGATCGCTAGTACACGCAGAACTTAGCTCAGTCACTGACGCGGACAACGTACAGGACCGGCGACCGCGCAACCGTGCAGTTCGAATTCATCAGCCGCCCCGAGTTCGTCAAGGTCGGCATGAAGCTTCTCTTCCGCGAAGGAAAGACGAAAGTGAGCACTGCAGTCAACGCATAGCACGGCGCTCACCCTCTGCTCGACAGGGCCTTGGTGTGATCACCAAACTGTTATGAATGAATTTCGCAGTAGTGCACTGTAGGGTGCACTGCCCGCGCTACTGATCCCTTTCTTTTCTTGCTGTCTCTTGTAATAATTGTCTGTACTGCTAATCTGGAGGATCGTGTATGTTTTATTGCCCCTGTATCCCGTCAATGTTGATCTCTTGAACTCTTACGGCCCACCCCACAGTCGAACGAACAAAAGCAACAAATTGATTGGGTAAAAGGCCATTGTGAGTATTATACAGCTCGCCACGCCTAGGGCGGGCGGCAGAAGCGCAGACGCTAGGCCTGGGCGCAGATAGTAAGGTCATGAGGTTCGTCAAAGTGGAGATTTGATGCGCAAGGCTGAGAGTTGCGGTCGAGGTCGTGTATCTCGCCGTCGAGCATGGTGCATTGAAGCTCGAAAGACACTGCATTTAACCGTCGATGGGCTGGTATGCACGGTTGCCTGCAGCCCACTTGTGACCACGGTCGGCGGAGATACCGGTGGTGATGACCGCGCCGCCGAGAAGGATGCCAGCGATCCAGGTCGCGACATGCAGAATGTACGCGCCGCCTATTAAGCATCAGTACTCGCTTGTAGTATAGAGGGTGTCAACGCACCAAAGCTGCCGCCCTTGAAGGCAGGGTAGGCCGACGTCCTTAGCTCGTGCGTCACAATCGCGAACACGATAATCTGCAGGGCAGCTGTCGAATATATATCAGCACCTAACCGTCCCCTTGAGCCATCCTATTTACCTTGCAGCAAAATCAGTCCCGAGACCGCGCGCCACACCCGCCTGCGACGCGAGCCCGAGCTCACGCCGACCAGGATCGCGAACAGCGCAATCGCGCCAAAGCCGATCGCGAGCTCCTCCAAGTAGCCCGCGCTCGTCCACGCCGCGCAGAAGCCCGCGTTGTCCGTCTCGCACGCGTCGGTGACGCGCGTGGGGAACTTGCGGCAGACGTAGTCCGTGTACGCGAGGCGGCCCTTGTTCTTCGAGGGGTCCGAAGGGTCGGGGTCGATGGGGACGAAGATGACCTGCCGCTCGCAGCGCTTGTCGAGCCCGTAGCGGACACTGACGTGCCCCTCGACGTGGTCTTGGTCCTTGGTCACGACCCTGAATTGGTGCCAAGGTGAGCGCCCAGGGTGGAGGGGATGGGGAGGGGAATCCTCACCAGTTGGTCTGCCGCGCGGAGAAGGCGTTCTAGAAGGTGGGGTATAAATCATCGCGGTTATCGGCTGAGGCATGGGGACGTACAAGAATGAGGATGGCTGTCGCCAGGAAAAAGGTGAGGACATAGGAAATCTTCCGCATCGTGGAAAGCCGTTCGTCGTCGCTGAGGACAAGCAGCTAGCCCCGGGATCCCGGGGCGGACCCCAGTGACGACATTGATTCCATACACGTGGGTTGGACCTACAACGAATGGTCGCCCAAAATGGTGCAAGTCGCAGTCCCATCCCAAGGGATACTTATGTACATCCTCAGGGTAAATTACAGTTGTCCAAGTCCTGTGTACACCGACACAGAAGCTATCGCTCCCTACGCCGGCATCCCCTCCCTCAGATTCTGGAACTTGCTCGTCCCATACTCCAGCCAATTCGGCGTCGAGTCCAACCGCCCGCCCATCGCATCCTTCACGACCTTCACCAAGCTACGCCCATCCTGGTAGTCCTTCCCAAACCCGCTGTCCGTAAGGTCCTTCCTTGGGCCGGCTTTGTCGCCGCTGAGCTCCCAGAACATGCTGCCGGCGAGCCCTTGCTGGGCGATCCAGGAGCCCTTCCAGTGCGCAATTTCCTCGGTATCAAAGGAGACCATCTCTTTGCGCTGATAGTCATAGGACCAGCTGGCGCCAAGCTGGTCGTCTCGGAAGAGGTGCGAGCCGGGGAGGGGGAGGGTCTGAACGGAAATGGTCAGTCCAGGTATTCAGAATACAATTGCTGAACCTACGCGATAGTCGTAGACACCCTGCTCCCAAGTACCGGCGCCGACACCACTGAAAGGCTTGCCGGGGCCCTCGGTCGAGGCAAAGCCTAGTTTATGGTGAGCTCTATGCAGAATCAGCAAAACAGATGCAACGTACTTCGCCCGTACAGCGGAACGCCTACGACAATCTTGTCGCGCGGCACGCCCTTCTGCAGGTACCAGTTGATCGCCGTAGAGACAGACAGCGGCTGGCCATACAGGTTCGACTGATGACCAGCAACGCTGTCCCACGAGCCGGCTGAGAAAGCCGATGTTAGCAAGCGTGGTTGACGAAGTCCACTTGCAGGACCCACCGAAGTCGTAGGCCATCATGTTCCAGATGTCGAGGTAGCGGTCCATTTCCTGGACGTGCAGACGATTGTAGTTGTCCGCACCGCACGGCGCCGCGATGGTCAACAAGAACTTGTAGTTGTAGCCATTGCGCCTCGCGTAGTCGTCCAGGCCCTGCCTGAGCTCGGCCAACAACGACACGTAACCGCGCGCCTATCAAACCCCATCAGCATTCCACCTCCAGTCTATACCTCTCCCCACTCACCTGCTCATCGTTTTGCGGATACTCGTAATCTACATCCAATCCATCGAACCCATAATCCGCCAACAAGCGCACTGCACTCGCGACGAACTTCGCCCTCAGCGCTGGGTTTACCACCACCGGGTGGAAACTCGGCGAGTACGTCCACCCGCCGATGCTCAGCATGATCTTCAGGTGGCGGTTCTGCTTCTTCAGGAGGTAGAGCTGCTTGAGACAACCGTAGAGGTTGCCGGCGGGCTCGTTCCAGGAGTCGCCCTCGTAGTGAATGTCCTGGTCGGCCCAGAGGTCGGAGAGGGCGACCTCGCCGGAGCCGGCGTTGACGTTGGCGAAGGCGTAGAGGATGTGGCTGGGGTGGTATGGGTGAGAAGATGTGTGGGAAGGGAGATGGGTAGGCTCACGTCAAGTCTTGCGCCGGGATGAGCTGGGGAGGGTACTTGCGACCATAGATCCCTGCGTGATTGTCAGTCGACGGGTGCCTCAATTGCTCGAGCAAGTCGTAACCATACCCCAGTTCACAAAGCTGCAAACGTGTCGGTCAACCAGGTCCCTCCCAACGAACTCGCTGCATACGCACTAGCCAACACTGTACTGTCCGTTCCTCGGCATCGTAACGTTCTCAGCAGGTCCTTTCACAGGCGCTTCCTTCAGAGGTTCCTTCTTGGTATACGACACAGAGAACTGGCCCGCTTTATACGCGCCAAACGCAACTATGAAGAAACCTAGAACGAGAAGGAGAATCCGTCTGTGCGTCGCGCGGTTATTAGGTCGAGGGGCGTCCTCGACGGTTAGTTGCTGCTCGTCGCGGAGGAGCTGGTGCTGAGGATCGAGATGCTCTTCAGATTCGCTGCGAGGGAGTGCGGTATAAGAGGACATTCCGAATCCGAGGCAGTACGCGCCACTGCCACAGTGACCGGCGCGAGAGCGAGGGTGACGTCATGGTAACGGCCTCATCCCATAAATACCTTCCGGATATGGAAGGTTTTATTCTTTCCTTTTCCTGATCTACTCCTGCCATGAGCGTTAGCCAGATAGCCTGCCCTGGCTAAGATAATCTGACTCTCAGACTAATGTTCCTACTTTACGCGAAGGAACTACGATGACTGCTTTAGAGCGCTGCGATATGGCGATACAGCCAGAACTAGGACACAAAATGGCTCAGCTGATGACACTGCCAAAACAGAGCGCGCACATCCGGTTCACATGGTGCTTACTTCCTTCGATACTCGTAACCTCGATGAACAGTCTGATTCATAAATCCTCCGTTGAGTGCCTCGAGCCTTACCGAAGATCTGCCTCGCCGAGTATCTTCCTCTTCCCCTACATATAGAGAGGCCGACGCAAGGTATCGTGCACCTTGCTGTTCATCTCACTATGATCATGAAAGTTTCCGCTACGCTCTTCACCGTCGTCTTTGCCAGCGCTGGTAAGGACTTGCGAGAGAACCGTGACAATGTCATCGAGCTATACCTAATGCGATGAGCGATCAGGCATCGCCATCGGTGCGCCTCAGCTCCCAAGAGCTACTGGCACCACATCTGCAGCTGCCGCCACCGGATCGCAAATCCGTGCCGTTCAGGATCCTGTGTTCCACTTCTACCTCCAGAACAATGGTCAGTAGCACGTCCCATCCCTTTCCTCTTACTGCTCACCAACGCTCGTCGAATTCTCCGCTTCCCCTCTGACCCCTCTCCAGTCGGCACCCCCATGCTTGGCCCCGAGTCCTCCTCCGGGTACTTCACCCTCGGCTCCACCATCGCCCTCAACTCCGACTCCTCCGCCACCCCCCTCTACCTCAATGTCAACTCCTCCGTCTCCACCTCCTACCAGCCGCTCACCCTCGACGACACCGCCTCCACGACGGATTGGGGGTTGGAAGGCGACACAATTATCCTGACGAACCCGCGTCAGCTCAACTTCTTGGCGTGCGCGACGGCGGACGCGGCGTTCTATGATGTGTATGTGCAGAATGGGAACGACACGCCAGGGGGGAGTTGTACGATGATTACGCTGCACTTGCCGTGTTTGTGTTGAAGGTGTATATTGAGCAGGGACGGTGGGGTGGCCTAGCTGAATGGATAGGCGAATGCGTGTTGTGTATTCTAGCAGGAATCTATGGTGATCAGGTAGATGGATCAGGCTCTCACCGCGCCTGATTCTTGCTAGTCTAGTCGTGTATTCATCCGCGCTCACGGCTGCCTCCCGCCCCCCTTCACCCTTGCATGCTCCCGCTTGATCGCCCACTCCACCGCCTCCGCCACGTCCTCCGCAATATGCGTCGGCCGGTGCCGCGGCGGGCCCTCCTCGGGGTCGTACACGCCCGTGTGGACGAGGACAGAGTTCCAGTTCGCGCCGTTGGCGCCGGCGATGTCTGCGTCGTAGCGTCAGTCCCAGAAAGTGCCAAATCAGAACACACCACGAGGAAGGTGCAAGAATTTCTTGCGTTGACAGTGGGTGCAAGGATATCTTGCAGTGGCAGGGATAGACGTACCAGATTCGGGGTTATCTGCAGGAGGGCGTAAGTACGAGCCTCAATCTTTAGAGACAGGCATGTGCAAGCTTACCACCAATCATGTACACCGGCGGCAGCGCACTACGTATGCCATACAGCTTCTCGAGTCGGTCAACTAGGACCTTCTCGGCGAACTTGTACGTCGCCTCCGTCGGTTTGCCGTATTGCACGTAGGGATAATTCAAGCCGGTGAGGGACTGCAAGGTATGGTCAATACGGCGGAAGGCCATACCCCCTAAAGATGTCGTATATCTCAGACGACTGCTCACTTTGTACACCGCCTGGAACGCCTCCCTAAACGCCCCCTGCCCGATCCTTGGTCTCGCAAAGTCGCTCTTCCAGATAAGGTCCGGGTTGCAGAAGACGATTTCGATGGGGTTCTCTACTTGCTGCTTCGGGGAGAGGTGCGGGCCGCCGATGATGCCGCCGGACTGGACGATGTCGAGGAGGATTTGGACTGGAGACGAAAAGAAAGGTGTTAGGATGGTGTACAATATGTGTGCAGAGGTCAAAAGAGAAGAGCACTCACTATCTAGCGCCCAGTTCCTCGGGTCGTGGAATACGAAGACAGCGTGGATGGGTATTTGCGAAAAGTCGAGGCCTTTCTAGGGTATTGTCAGTATCGACCCTCGAGCATCTGCATGTGGCCTTGATTGCTCACCCTCGCCGCAGCTCGCTCGAAGTCAGTCTGGTCGTGGAAGTTCCACACGGCGTGATTCCAGTTGTGCACGTCGAGGGTGGTGTAAACGTGCTTGTAGCCGTACCTGCGGATAGTACGGTAAGTTGAACAGTCAGAAGAGCGTCAACGGCATTCGGAATGACACTCACTCCTCCGCAACCTCGCGACACTCGTTGCCTTTTCCACCGAGAACCAAGATGGGCTTGTCGGCGTACTGCGAGGCCTTGGTCTTGAGGATAGTATGCGCTTGGAGGATTTGTTGGTTGTCAATCTGATAGCGGGTCAGCTTCGAAAACGCCCAAAAATGTGGAAGAAGCTACATTACCTTTGTTCCAAGTTGCTCCGTCAGTTTCTTAGCCCGGATGGACTCGGAGACGCCACCACCGTTAGTGAGCTGAGTTGCAAGTCAATCAGCAGTTCAGAAGGCCTATAGACAGGGCGTACAAGAAGAAAGGGTATGCGACTGTCATAGCAGAGTAATGAGAATGAATTAAGCCTTCCAGGTGCAATATAGGAGACTTACGATCCGAAAGGGTTATTTCCCTCGAGCATGGCAACAGCCTTCGAGGCAGCAGGGATGACACTCGGACCGTGTACGAAGACACCATCCTATTATCAATGTGGTTAGTCAAGAAGCCTCTCGTACCTGCAAAAAAGCTTACTATGTCGAAGACGAATGCCAAGGGTGGCGGAGACGCTATAGAGTTCAGAGCAAGAAGTACGAAGGTCAGTTCGTCTGCCAAGTTGTCGCGACAGCGAGCTGATCATACCCTTCGATATATACCGACATTGATTCAAGGTCGCGGGGGTAGAAAGTCGTACCCGAGGGGCACAACAAGATGCCCTGCGGATTCCGAACATCACGAGGCTGTCACGGAAAAGAACAAGGGTGCACCTGTTTGGCTGTATTGACAGGCGACGGAGGTATTCGGGCCGGCGGCTTCATCAACGGTCAATTGAAATCATGCGAATTTCATTTTCTTTTGTTCTCCTGCGCCGCGTCGTATACCCAGAAGCTTTTTTAAGCTCAAAGTTCCCTCGCTCTTGACCTTCATCTTTCTGCAAGAGGTCGATGACAACCAGGTATACTGCGCGTGCATCCAATAATCGAAAGACGTTAACATCGAAGCTCAGGCGAACATGATACCCTCACGGCTGCTCACATCAAGACTGCCTCAGTCGTCGCCCTCCGTGGCGCTGGAAAAGGGCGCATACCGCATGCGCAGCCCTACAAACCTCACCCGACCTCGCGCACAGTCTGCCCCTACGCGCCCACCCCACATGCGGCGAGATCGCGACACCGACCGCAAGAACGCCTACCTCGCCATTCTCATCGTGCTCCTCGCTATCGCCTGCCTCGGCTCCTTCGGCGCCGCCTACTACCTCTTCTCGACAAGGTGGGCAGCACCCCCACCCCGCTCTCCCTCCGCCCTCGCTCCTGCTGACGCCGCCGCCCAAGTCATCGCATACACCACCCCAAGCCCGCTCACCCGTGAGCCCGGCGAGAAGTACCTATCGTACCTACCGCATAGTGGCTTCCACAATCAACGCATTGCTTTCGAGAACGCGCTCGTGCTCGCCCGACTGCTCAATCGCACGCTGCTCGCGCCACCCGCGCGCCTGGGGGCGCCGCTGCGCTACGTCAAGTACGCCAACCTCGTACGCCACCTGGCGCTTTCGGATAAGGAGGGGTTGAGGCACTGCGCCATGGTGCCCGAGAGCATCCCGCTCCCGCTAGAATGCATCGGCTACGACACATACACCTTGGTTCCCTGGGGCTGGCTCGTCGACCTCCGTGGGATCTCGCAGAAGCAAAAGATCATCTACCGCTGGAATATGTCCGAGTACTACGTCCCCGAAGCCCTCGATCTTGCACCCTCCGACATCCTCCCGCTCCATGAGAACGATGTCTACCAATATCGCTTCGTCGACACCCTCACCAACCTTTCGCCCTCTAGCAGCAAGTTCGCCGAAAATCTCTACATTGCCGACCTTGCTCGCGCCCCGGAAACTGTTCTCGAACTCGGCACTCTCTTTGGCTCCTCGCGCATCCGCCTCCGTGACCCCGCCAACCTGCGCCTCCGCCGCGACATCCGCGGTAGCATGCCTTTTGCGAGCCCCGAGCTCCTGCGCACCGTGCACGCCATCACTCGTCGTCTCGGCCGGGACTTCGTCGGCGTACACGTCCGGCTGAGCGACGGCGTCTTCAAGGAGAAGCGCGCGACCCTCGCCCGCGATATCTGGCGCGACCTCGTTTACAATGTTAGCAGCGCCCTTGACGACTCAACCTTCTCGCAACTCGAGAACATCGCCTGGTCGCCGACGCACGCTACACGTACCGGCAATCCAGCCTTCCGGCGCTCGCCTTGCCGTCGCTGGCCGCACCCTAAGGACCTGCGCAAGTACAACGTACCCGTCTTTCTGTCTACCGATATCCCCGATCCGGAGAACGACCCTGACCTCGCGGGCTTCTTCCGCACGTTCCCCTGCACGCACCTTCTGGGCGACTACGAGGCGGAGCTGGCTGGACTCCGGCGATTGAAGAACGGCTACGACGGACTGGCGATGGAGCCTTTCCTGCTGCCCTTCCTAGACGCGATGATTGTGGGGCAGGCGAAGGTGGCGGTGGGGACGGAGGGGAGCACGTTCAGCCGGTTCATACTGGATGTGCTGTGGAGGGTGAATCATGGGCTGGAGATTGAGCAAAGAGGCTGAGTATATGGATAATGTACTGATACAAGAGAAGGGGCCATGGGATAGAGATACTGTACATTTATGACGGCGCAGGCCTTGGGGGACAGAGAGAATAGTTATTCAGGCCCGCCTGACGCGCAGCGGCATTCCGTCCTTCGGTTCTGAGGAATCGTCAGCAAGTTTCAGAGCCTACATACACGACAAACTCACTCATCGTCACTGCTGCAGTCGGCTGCGGTACCTGCCCTTCGCACGCGGGCTCGAACTCGAATTGGGCAACGAGGGCTCTGTGGAATGTCGTCAGTAGCTGGACCACAACATTGTCAGCAAGAACATCGAGCTAGACAAGCACGACGTCCAGCTGGGCAGTAGGACTACAACAACGTCGAACTTGACAACCACAAGATCAAGCTGGACGACCGCAACGTCGAGAGCCGCACACAAGCAAGCTCAAGCCAAATGGAGATCCACTCACGCCAAGATCGCCTTCATCTCAATGATCGCCATCGTCTTCCCAATGCAAGCATGCGGGCCGGCAATGAACGACTGGAAGTGCGCGCTCTTGGGCGGGTCGAGCCAGCGCGTGGGGCGGAACTCCTCAGCGTCGGGGCCCCAGAAGGAGCGCATGGTGTTGACGACGCGGATCTGGGAGGCAGCGGTCATCATGATGATAGTCGAGAGTACATGGACGGGTGAAGAAGAATGGAGGGAAGGAATGGGTAACATTACGAGAAAGGCTGGCAAGGGAAGATGGGATAGCGAGCGGGGAACGCACTGGCACATAGAACACCGTCCCCTTCGGCACGAGCACGCCGTCGATGTAGTCCGTCTTCGCCGCCTTGCGGAACGTCATAGGCACGGGTGGCATGAGGCGAAGGCTTTCCATGCTGGACAGGACGTCAGTATTCATGTCAGACGCTGCACCTAGACGAGAGAGGAAGGGAGGCTATGACAAAAGGAAGAGGCCTTCAACTCACACCACACACTCCAAAAACTTCAAATCCTTCAACGTGCGATAGTCAGGATGCGGGTTCACGTCGTAGACGGGTTTGAGCTCGTCGCGGAGGCAGCGTTGACTTTCAGGGTCTTTGGCGAGCAGCCAGAGGGTCTGGGAAGTATGATCAGTGGATATGCCTCCTTGGACCAGATAAAACAACCACACTCACCCAAGCCAACCCAGAAGCCGTCGTCTCATGCCCCGCACCGAGGAAGGTGAGGACCTGATCCATCATCTCCCCATCGCTCATCGCATATCCCACTTTCCTACCCTCACTGGCTTTTTCTTCCGCCATCCGCGCGCGCACCAAGATACTCATGATATCCTTCTTCGTCTCGAAATCGCCCGGCGCGGAGTGCGCTTCTTTCATCTTCTCCTCGAGAATGCCGGCGGAGACGCGCTTGATGCGATGCATGGATTCCAGGAGGATGCGGGTTTGGGCTGGAGGTGGGGAGTCAGTCACAGGGGAGAAGGGCAAGAAGCCGTAGTCAGTAAAGTTAGTTAGCCGGTGCGGCGTCAAAGGTGAACTCACGCTGCACAAATTTCCCCAGTACCTCCCGCCACCGATACGCCATGTCTGACTGCAAGAACCTCGCCGCGCCGGGGATGCTCACGAGCGCGATGAACCGCGCGAGCATGCGGCCGTCCTGCATGTTCACGAGCTCCTCGTACGCCTCCGCGAGCTCGTTGTGCGGGTTGTGCAGGGAGTCGGTGCGGTAGCCGAAGGCGGTCTCGCAGATGATGTCGAGGGTGACTTTGCTCACTGAGGGTGGGTGTCAGTGGGCATGCGTATGAGTGAGCAGGCTTTATAGAGGGTATGGAGGGAGAAAAGAATGGACAGAGCGGCAACTTACTCCACTCATACATATGAACTATGGGCGCCTTCGTTCCCGACCTATCCGCGTCGACCTGCGCACCGATGATCTCAAGGAGGCTGTTGCGATCCTCGTGTTAGCCGCGCGATGTCCACCTTTTTCCTCCGAGCAATATGCTTACCCGTCAATGGCCTCGTAGTACATGTCCGTCTCTGCAATCACGTTAGCGAATGTGGTCGCTACCGCGAAATAAACGAATGGGAAGAGGTGGACACTCACGAGCGGCCAAATTAGGCAGCGAAAACGCCGGATTCATCACCTTCCTCATGAGCTTATGTTCTTGCCCCTCGACGGTCAAGAGGCCATTGCCTGCCACAATCCCCAAGACGTTGCGCATGAAGTCGGGCTGAGGAGAGCATCGTCAGCCTTGTGTGGTGTCACAAAAGTACTTCTCTCGAAGACGAAAGTCAATATCTTATTCACTTACCCTTGGATGATCTACCGACTCCTGCAAGATCTTATGCAGGGCCTCATGCGAGGTGAATATCAGGCGCTCGATCCCCAGTGGGCCCACCGCACGTACGACGGGCCCGTACTGCTTGACCCATTCCCGCTGCAGCACGCCGGCTTCGCTCCTGATGATAGCGGGGAAGTGGCCAGCGAGGAGGGTCCATAGCTTTCGGGTGAGCCAATTGCCGGATGGATTGGACGAAACAGTGCTTGGAAGTCCATCGCTACCGAGGGGAGGACCGGGGACGTTGCGGATAGGGGAGAACAGGTAGGGATAAATGATGAGCTGGTGAAGGGTGCGGTAGGTGAGGAAGACTGAGGGTTTGTGGTCAGACCAGGTCAAGTCCTTTGCATATGAAGATCACTCACGCGAAGCTCCCACCACAACATACGTGCCCATTCCAAAATCAGGAAGGGTCACCGTCAGCGGTCGCTCTCCCGCAATAATCATGGTGCAGTGCTCGCTAATTGCCCGATAATGAAGAGATGGTGGGGTAAAGAGGCAAGATGTGGGGAAGCAGCAAGCCCATCAACATCGCAATTACCTTCATGTGATTGAGCGCCGTCTCGCGTCAGCTGAACGTTGGGGTCCCACAGCTGTCAATATCGAGAGATGTTATTCGCTGTGCTCAAGTCTTCTCTCCGACATCCAGCGGATACACATCGCATGTCGAAGGAGGGCGAGGGCAAGGTGCGAACGCGGCGCGCTATGCCGAGAATACGTCGGTCACGGCGTGACCGATCGCGTCGGGCGGCGGGCCGACACGCACCGATTGACTTGCTCTTGACCGCGTTGACCGCGACTCTCTTTGGTGGCAGACAGACCAGGATGGCCCTCGCAAAACCGACGCAGCTCTTTATTGCGGGGCTGGGCAGCATGACACACCCAGCGACAAGACATAGGTGGGCCAGTTCCGTCTCCGAAAGTACGCATGAACTCATGCTGTCCTTCCTAGCGTTGGTCAAATTATCGTAGACGGTCTGGCTGCGAGGTTAGGCATCCGGGTAGAGAGCTGCAGGAATGGTTTCGTGGGCACCGGCAGAATGAGTCTCGGTGACAATACGGGAATGGTTACCCTGTACAAGACCAGTACGTCGCTTGTAACCCACCCTTTCCATCTCTTGTTGAGACGTATGCCATTAGAATTTCCCATGAATCTCTCCGGCCCTCCCATCGTAGCGAAGATGCAAGAACTCAACATGCGGGACCCGGAGCGCTTGATTGTCGTCCAAGATTCCCTGGACCATGAACCTTTGAGCCTGTCGGTCAAGAAGGGCGGGTCTGCAAACGGTCATAACGGCGTGAAAAGCACTATAGCTGCGCTGGGAGGGAAGAGCAACTTCTGGCGCTTACGAGCTGGCATCGGACGCTCTGGCGGCGACATCCCCAACTATGTCCTTGGTCGTCTGTCTAATCATGAGCGTACATATTGGCGAGAAGAGGGTATCGACGAGGTCATAGCAGCAATCGAGAGGATAGCAGAGAAGATGGGCACACGGTAGCCTCACAGCTCTTTTCTCATTGCCCCAATCCTTTTCTTGAGTCCTTCGCGTTGAAACTTTGGAAAGTTCATAAAGCCCCGGCCCGCCTTCCGGAAGTATTCGCGAAGCGCGGTCACCATGGCGATTTCGAACATCGGCGCGTCCCGCATCATCGGTCCGCCGCCGGTAGTCATCAGCGCTGCAGCCTGACGACCTTTCCTTCCTTCGTACCACCACCACCTCTCGCAGGCAAGACCTCTGGCAGGTCCCGCACCCTCTTTTCTTCGTTCTTCAACCGTCCCTTGGACCCTTTTCTTTAGCCCACCCACACCGCTATCCGCAAGCTTGCTTTACTTGTCTCCCGACGCTCCCGTTCTTTTTCAGCAATCTGCATCCAGCCACTCGACCGACAATTCACTCAATTACTGACAAGATGCTGAACGTTCACTCTGCGACTACCCCGCGTCTCGCTGCTTTCAGCCCGCTGCCTTCTCCCCGGATGCCTACGCCTCAGACGGCCAGCTTCTTTCCTCGCTCCCCCATGCCTGGCATGCGGGGTCAGGAAGGTCAGTCTATCGCCACCTCATAGTCCATCGGGTACTGATCCTTGCACCAGAGGTGCTTGACCGCTGGATGGAAGGCTTCCAGCAGCACGAACAGACCCTTGTGCGTGTCGGTCTCGTGTGGCGATACTGCCTGCTGATGTTTACTTCCCAGGCTGCGATGGCTCAGGCTACCTTGGATCAAAGCTTCAGGGATGAGCTTGCAACCATCGAACAATGTAAGCTCCTCCATTCGTGTCTGTCCTTTGGTAGCTCATAACTCGCAGGGTTCACTGTGCTTTCCGAGTCCGAGCGCACGGCGACCGCCTACACGCTCCTCCAGCACTCCAACCTGTCGCAGCTCCATTTCTTTGCGTCTGTTACGCAGCAGATGATTCGCACCATTGAGGGCCAGTGCATGTCGCGTACGTGCCACTTACTTGCGCTCATTAGGTCATGCCTAACCCTTCGGACAGCTGCTTTCCCTGACCGTAGCCGCAAGCAGCGTAACAATGACTCGCTGCGCCCTCCTCGTCTCCAGATGCCTACTTCCTCTCCCTCGTCCCCGCGCTCTTCTCCGCGCGTGGACTCTTACAACACCCCCTCCACCGCCGTCGACAACAACCCGGGCCTGCCCCTCAAGAGCAGCAAGGCCCTCGACTTCCCTGATCTCCCCGACACCGCCCAGGAGCTCATGATCCCCGGCCGCGCGCCGGACATGGGCTCCTGGGCGAACCTCGTCCCGACGCCCCAGTTCAACATGTTCCCCAAGGCGCCGGAGAAGCCCGCTCTCCCGACCTCCCCCTTCGGCGTGCTCAACCAGTTCAACCTGAACACGCCTAACCCGGCGGAGACGCAGACACAGATGCTCGCGCTGCAGCTCATGATGAACGGGCTGATGAAGAACGGGCAGGCGGTCGACGCGAACGTGCAGCCCGCGGTGCCTGCCATGTCCGAGCCGCCCAAGCGCGCGCAGCGCGCCTCCGTCTCATCGGCGTCCAGCAACACCAACAACCAGAACAACTGGCGCGCCGGCGGGGCGCAGAACGGCGGCGGGCGCTACGGGAACCGCGGCACGCGCGGCTCCGGGCGCACCTCGGGTGCCCGCGGCGGCGCGGGCGCGAACGGCGCGACGCCGCTCACCGAGGAGGGCTTCGACCCGCGCATGCTCACCGACATCCCGGGCTGGCTCAAGAGCCTGCGCCTGCACAAGTACACCGCGTGCTTCGCGCACATGCCGTGGCAGGAGATGGTGATGCTCACCGAGGAGCAGCTTGAGGCGAAGGGCGTCACCGCGCTTGGCGCGCGCCGCCGCATGATGAAGATGTTCGAGGTCGCGCGGAAGAAGATGGGCATGGAGGAGGGTGGTTCTGGTAGTGAGGGGGAGGCGGAGCCGTCGATGGACGTGTCATCGTCGAAGACGCCGTCACCGGCGGCGCCTACTGTTGCCCTTCGTGCGTGAACGAGCTCGGGACTGCTGTAATTACTGCCAAGCTTTGTGGACAATTTTTGGCGTTGTACGCCGATTTCAATCCCTTTATATCGATGCAAATATAGGATGGTACCACAAACCTTGGCTGACCTTGGCGTGAGCTTCACAAGACAAAACTGGACATCGCGGACACACAAGAGCAACTTCGATTCAACATTCAACTATCCAAGCCTTTATACAACATCTTCGTACGCGAGTATTCATACATTGACAGAGAAGCGTTGGCATAAGCACGGGATGCGAGCGAGCCTTGCGCTGTTTGCAACTTCGGAGAGCTTCAGTTGGCCCTTGCGGCCTGCCCGTGCAGTTGCTTCGACAATTCCTCCAGGGTCGTCTGCTTGGGAGGCTCCTCCACGACGAACGCGGCCTGCCTGTACTTGTTGGCTGTGTGACCATTAGCTCGCGTTCACAGAGAATCCTGGACAATGTTCAGACTCACCAGCCACCTTGAGCGCATTCCACTTCTCCACCAGCTGGCTCTGGTCGATCTTCGCCACAGCCGCTTCCGCCGCGCTGGGGTCCTTGCTCGCCATGTCCTTGAGTGTCACGAGGGCATCCGCGATCGTCATCCATGTCTTGATCACTTCTTCGATGCATCCCGCAGCAGGGATAGTCAGAGCGTGAAGGTTGCGGAGGTCCGCCTGATAGCAGGGTCAGACGCAGATTCAGGCGTGCAGATGAGGTGAAGCGGTACGTACATCGACGGCTGTAAGGTCGGCGATGATGCGGGTCGCGCCTGCGCGGTTCCGGTTGTTCTCCTCCTCCTCCGTGCTAGCGATGAGCTTCTTCAGGTCGTCGATGCGCTCGGCCATCTTCTTTGCCTCCTTGCCGTAGAGGGCTGCCACAACAGTAGCAGTGATGGTGCCGACGCCGGGAATCCAAGCATAGGTGAGACTGGTCGCAGCCACAATCTTGTCTGGAGGGGAGCTGAGACGTTCACTGAGAGGCGACGATAACACGATTCACGTACCGTGCTCGAGCTCCGCCTCCTCGGCCGCGAGCTTCTCGCGGCAGCGCTCGAGCTTCTTCTGCAGCTCGTCGGCGTCTCCGATAATGTCCTTCAGCTTGCTGATGATGGCGTTTTCGCTCTCTCTCATGACTAGTTCATCCTTCTTCATCTGCCTCCCAAACTCCTGAAGCTTCTGCATCGCCGTCTGCGCATTGCCGATGTTCTGGTCGATGGACTGCGTCTCCATATCGACGAGGGAGCCGATAGTTTCGACGAGGTTGTCCTTCTGCTCCTGCGAGGTGGCAGTAGCGAGGGTCTTGATGGACGAAACGATGTTCGCTGCATCCGCCCTCCGTCAGTGTCAGGCGAGTGATGACGCAGAGGGACCTACCGTAGTACGAGTCCTGCGTTTTACCCCCCGCGTCCTGGGCATAATCATACACGTCGCTGGCAAGCCCGACGATGCTAGGGTATGTCGTCTGCTTGAACGTCGTGCAGTGACCCTTGGCCTGGAGAATCGTTAGCTATTCCGCTGGAGTAGATGGTGTAGGTACTCGCCCTCGCATACGACTCGAGGAGCGGCTTGAGGAGGCCGGACACCTGGTCCTTGACATCGTTCGAGACCGGCACACGCGTCCAGTACTCGGCCACGGAGGTAGGGAGCAGCACGCCAGTCCACGCGTACTTGAGCAAGTTGTAGACGCTGTCCTGCTGGAGGACATAGTTGTTGGCGTCGTTGAGGAGACCCATAGGCGTCAGGTCAATCGTGCCCGTCGACTGAGGTGTAGGCCCCTTAGAGCCTGCGTCTGACTTGACATTGTAGCCGGGCTTCATGCTCATAGCCATATTTCAGAGATGGAACGGGGTGTTTCTGGTGGTGGGGGATTAGTTCGTGGTCGGTGTTGTATAGGCGACACTTCTCACTCCTTATATACAGGCATAGATTGGGAGCTCTCGTGTCATCTGGGACCACCGGGTGACTAGGTAAGGTCCTGCGTAGTGCCGCGAAGTGGGGCGGCTTCGAGGCAGAAGGCCATTGGGTGTCTTCATGACCTGTCGGGCGCAAACCTTCGGCCAGCTCAGCGGCCAGGATGCGGCTCTTGCCCCAACATTTCCAGGGAGAAGGTGAGTAGTATGTAACGAGATACGCCGGAAGGCCAACTCACTTGATCAGGCTCTGCAATGATAGTTTTCCGGACAATCTGCGCCGGGGGGTCGGGCGTAAAAGCAGCGCCTTCGAGTCCAATTGTGTAAAGCCGTGCTAATCGAGAGCACTAGAATAGGGTCGGCGGACGAATCGTTATGATCCTGTAGCCTCAGGTGGACGTCCTTGGAATGGTCCAAGCTACTAAGGCGTCGACCTGACAGGAACCATTGGCCTGTGACCACCGTCGTCTGCGCCCCTCATTCACCTGCCAAGACAAAAGGCAACACTATAGTAAGGACATGATATGGTGAGGGAGTGAAAGGCAGGATAATTAAGGTCGTTCTCACCTGCGCTGTCCATTCGTGAGTGACGGGGAAAGCAGGCGCATGTTGGGTCATATTTACCTCCATGGCGCTATCAGTGCGGCCACGCGATGTCGTTTTGATCCCGACCATCATCCCTCAATACCATCGACGCGTCTTGCATCGTTGGCTGCGTGTTCCAGAGGGGCGACGCCTCAAGGCCCAAGGATGCAGTTCTTGGTTCAATGCTGCTTGAACGCACGCCATTGGCAGTGCTACCCTCGACACAGAACACCCCTATATGAATGTTAGGGATCAAGCGCAAGATAGACGATGCCTCCGCAAGCTTCCAGGACTAAGGTCAGGAGCCATGTATACAAGCGTCTGCATCGAGCGGGACTGTCTCTTGCTTCCTACCTTTTCCTCCCCTCCCTACCGCGGTGAGTCCATCATCCGACCCGACGTCGTCTCGCTCTGACCGGCTTCACAGAAACATGCCATCCTCCAAATCCGACCGCACTCTCACTTACGCTGCGCGAGAAGGAGGTCTCATGTACTACGATATGGTCGCCGACTCCGAACACCTGCCACCTCGGCGCTCGCCCTTGCAATTCCTCGCGAAGGACCGCCGTCCCGCTGTTATAGAGCGCATGCTCATTATAGATGACCTGGTTGAGGGCGAGACCGCCTATTCTCGCGGCAGCGTCATTTTCGAGCAACAAGTCTCCGACGCCGTGGAAAGGTCCAGGACGTTGAGTTGTCTTTCGAGTCACCTCAAGGGGGTAAGTACGCCCTCAACCTTCTTTCGCGGTCTGCTCAAGCGGTATCTAGGCTGTCATCGGCGCGGTCACGTCGCGCGAGGTCGTGTACGAGGAGGTGGCCACGCACGAGCCTCACCCCCACACCCACAAGAATCGCCCCACCTCGCTGTACGAGATGGTTGTAGCGATCAGTCTGGAGCGCGGTGGCGAGGCCGCGCTAGTGTCATGGGTCACCACCAACATCGCCCCGGTCTTGGAGGCTGCAGCCGTCCTCGCAGCCTGTCGGTGCGTGCCCCTCCCTCCCGCAGCGTACGACATCTGACCTTGTCTTGTCTGCTAGAGACGTCGTGATGAAGACCATGGCCGACAATCTCATCCTTCCGGACGAAGAAGACGAAGACGAAGATGTGCTGTATACCCCTAAGGCCTACCAGCCCGCTTACTTCGCCCCGCCGTTGCCAGAGCGTGCGTTCGTTCGTGAGTGCACTGAGCATCGGTGCTGCGCTGTCACGCTGATGCACCGTCTGTTCAGCTCGTACCAGAGACCACGGCTACCGGCAGAGGTCGGCACCAAGCGCGCGTCCCACGCGCACGCTCCCTGCTAGATTGCCGACCGGTCCACCCGAAGACAACGTTGCGGTCACGGCCCCTCTTCTCCCCGTGAGTATATACCACCGTCCTTTCGTAGCATCTCTAATCGCTGAGGCAGGTCGAGACATTGGCCGAAGAACAATCCACCTCCAATGGTGCCCGAGTCGTGATAGTCGCGCCATTGCCTCTGGCTACGTCGCTCGAGCCGCGCGTCAATCCTGTCATGTTCCTCCTGGCGAGTATCCTGGCATTCCTCAGACTGCTCGTCGGGTGGTAGACTTCTCGGGTCCCTTCGCGACCGAATTCTGTATGTCCCATTCGCTTTGTCATGGTATCCTGGTTGTTGCGTACCCTGTAACGGTAGAGGGTCTTTGCCCGAATATAATATTTTTTCTCTGCTCCCTTCCTGTGGGACGGTACTGCTGTCTTCCTTGGATGACTTTGAAGGCCGGGAAGACCTTGGAAGTGAGCACAGAGTTGGCTATCGGATCGTCTTCAACGCGTCCGGCGTCGCCATCGAGAACAGAGTCGTCGCGCCGCGGCTGCGCGGGAAAGGTCCGAGCAGGCAGCGCTTTTACGAGGACGCACGCGTTGAGATGGCGGCGATGTTTGCGTACTTGATGTTCGCTGCGCTGTATGCATGCAGACGGTTCGGGGCACCACCATCGCCGTCTCGCGCGGGCTCGTCTGCAAAAGGCCTCATTATTTCCTGTCGGTACCAGGGTCGTCTAGTGTGTGGGGTATTACTACAACATATATGGGTACGAAGGGGAGCGTTCTTGGGGGTCGTACACGGGATAGTTAATGCACTGCGCGGCGATTATAAGTAGTATGTTATAAGTCCAAAGAACGAATGGGAGAAAACGAGAAAAAAAGGTATCAAAGAAGGCGTAAGATGCGAAGGAACCGTCTGTCGAAGATGTGTTCGATCGTGAAGCGATTCGTCGCGAGCACAGCGTGCATGGGGTGGACATTTGGTTGATGAACGTGGCCAGCCTCCCGAAGCCGCAAGACGTCCACAAGATGCTTGCGCGTATGTTCTACGAGACGGTGATCAGCGTCACAACCAAGATGTCCGTAATCGAAGACTCACCAAGCGAGTGGGGTTGGAAATAGACGTAAAACGGCCTAGCAATGCCCAGAGCAACCGGAAGGACATGGACGTAGATGGCCAGCACCGCCTGCCGAACGACTTTGAGCGGATGCTCACGAGAGGCGCGAGCTACCATCCGGAAGAAGGTACCGCGGATATCGAGTATGCGAGCGATATATTCGACAGTTTCCGTCGAGATCATCGCCTCCACCGCTTCCTGAACAACCGTGAGCATCTATCCAGACCAGCGAGGACTTCAGCGATGAGCATACCTTTGCTGCGTGTGAGCTCATCCCTTCGTCGGCCCAGTCATCGGTGAATGCAGCCATGAGGATGTAGTGAACCAGGTTTTCTCCGACGCTTTCATCGATCGCGGCAGGGTAGACGCTGTCGGTTGCGCAAGGAAGGTTAAAGACGATGGCACCGGGAGGAAGGGCTTGTAACGCGCGACAGATAGGATCGTGAGATGCGCGGGACGTGACTGCGGAGGGGTGAGCATGCGCGGGGAATCATGGGCGCTCCAACTAACCAGGGGTCTGTACTGTCGCGTTGACAGGCGGTACAGCTGCAAGAGGCTCGTTCTCTTTGTTCCCCGGGGATGCTCCAAACTTGCGCTTCTTCCGATGCGGCTGAGTTTGCAAGACCGCGTTCGACGACAACAATTGCGAGTGCTCGTCCATACCCTCCTCCTCCGCTCCAGCGTCGGCTATCGGATCGTCGTCTCTGCCCCGCTTCGTTCCTCGACTCCGAGCATCTAGCGCCACGTCGGTGTGCGGGTGGGCGTCGGAAGACGGAGCTGTGGACTGCTCAAGGGACGTCGCGCTCGAGGGCCCGGCAAGCCGGGAATGCGATTTGGCGCGCAGATGGAAGTGACGATCGACAGCGTGCTCGACAGGAAGCCTGTCGAACGCCAGAGTGAAAGACTTGATCCTTGGCGACAGAGTGGGCGGGATGCGGGAAGGCCTGTCCGCATAACGCGCGCTGAAGCCGTCCGTCAATGGAAGTCGCAGAGGCGGGGATGGGAGGCGCACCTGAGCTGTGCATAGCATGCCATCACGGCCGACTTCACGAGGGGCCGGAGAAGTTCCGTCACAAGGGCCCGGGCTCGAGCGTGTCCTAAGACCTGGTCGAGCTTGCCAAGGATCGCTTCCAGGAGGTCGGCAGCTTCCTTGTAGTCCACGACGCCCTGGAAGATGTTGGTCACTTTGGCGAGGGCGTTCAAGACTGCGTTGCACGTAATGGCCTGCAAGGCGACCTGGAGTCATAAAGTCAGTATAGTCCCTGCAAACCGAGGCGCTCGGTGCGTACCTTATGGATGATTGGATACTTGCAGCACAAGCTTCCATAATCGGCGAGAATGACGTCGGAACCAACAACGCCTATGAGGTTGTCGCCGCGATGCTCATACATGTCGAAGATCTTCCGATGCCCAACCAGCAAGCCGTCCCGTAAGGCGCGCAGATGGCGAGCCAGTTGTTTGAGGAAGTCGACCAGGTATAGCTCTGTCGTCGCAGTGATGATCACGGCGGCGGCGGCGGCGGGAAATAGACGCGGCGCCTCGGTGATAGGTATATGGACGCAAGACGACCGGGCGAGATACGCTCCTGAGCGTTTGAGAATTGGGACAGGCGCCTTCATGACTGAGAACTGACTGCATAAGTACTTGGACAGGGCGGCGAATGATACAACTTACTATTGGCCTACGCGGGCAGTGGAGCAAAAGGTGGATGAGCTGGCGGTAAACGCTGCGTTGACGTAGAGAGGATGATGGTATCGCAGCGGGTATGAAAAGCGAGAAAAGGGATTGAGAAGAGCGGTTGGGCTTCACTGGATGAGAACCGGGGAGGGCAAGACTGGCAAACAAAACGAGATGATGGGAGTGGGTGTCAAGAGGCGAAGGCATGCCCAAGCGCGTCCCGTGCGCCTGTCACCAGGCTGTCACGCTTTGACAGCGTTGGATGCGCGAGCGAGCGAAGCTCGACCCAAGCTCGATCGAATATCTCGGTGTCCAGAAGGCGTGGTTGGGCAGGGAAGCCTGCTTGCCCCGTACTTTGATGGCATACTTCCACCAGGATCCCAGGGCAGATCCAAACACGCTTCTGATGAATGAGATTCGCGTAGTGTGATGTCAGTCTTCAGAGAAAAGAGACGTGCTCAACATCCTTGAGTCGACGCCTGTCGAGGCAAAACCGGTTGCGTGTACAGCATATTCAAGATGCTGCAGCGCCGTCAGCAACGTCTTGAAAGAGTGAAGCGGCAGAGCACAAGGTCTAGGCTCGGTTCTTTCTCAGTTCAGATAGCCCAAAGTATATCGTCGAGAGCCTCGGTCCATTATGACGGTCCCCACTGGACATAATTGCTGAGGATATACTTGCTCTTGTCAAGCTTCGCTTTTGCGATGTTCTGGCTTTGAGTCTTCGCTTCGCCTTCGCTCGGGATGTGAACTTGCGTTCGAATCGTAAGTGCACGTGACTTTTGCTTTAGGTCACGTGGACTTAGCTTTGGACTTGCGCATTTTGCCATCGACTTCCTCTCCAACTTCCACTTCCACTCGCGTGCACTCTCTGTGATAGACACCGTGGCAGAAACTCTCCATTTATGTATATCTGCGGGCCACGCGTCTCTACTACCACTCTGCGCGGCCGGCCAATGGGTCAGTGGGTGACAGTGGGTCCGTCGCAGCCACGGGTTTCTGGCAACCGTCCGCGAACGAGTCCCAGCAAGCGGCCGTGTATGCATCGCGAGTATGTCTGGACTGAAAGGCCCCCTTTAGGATATCTGGTAGACGTTGTCGACGCACTTGCCGTGTCCATGCTAGCTACGACATTCCCCATACAGCATGGCCGTGGGTGCGGTATTTTGTCTCCTCCACCATTCTCTCTGGCATCCGAAGAGCATAAGAGCACCCCGTCCTACAGTTCCGACCACCCTGCGTCGCTCTCGAGCCGCCAGAGACACGCGCGAGGTCCTTCAGTACGAAGAGGTGAGTCTTCCTCCTCTTCCTCCTCTTCTTTGCCACTTCCCACACGCTTTTCAATCTCCTATGACGAGTAATTTAACCCCACATGACTCTTTGCGCTGCCACGACTCCGCGCGCCCTCGATGCGCCATTCTCATGCCCGCAAAACGCGGCATGCGTGCGATCTCGAGTGGTTGAGGTGTAACGAGGGTCCCCCTCTCCGTCTTTCCCTTGCCCGCGTTTGCTGAACAATGACAAGTTGTTTTACAGGCTCCCAAGGGAAAGCAGGACATCCAATCACGCCGCTGAGATGCCGATCTCAGTCACCGTGCTCGCTCCCGAGGTGGAGCGTTTGAAAGCTGAGAAAGGGATCGAGGCTGAACACGAAGGATAGGAGTGATGCAGTTGCAGCAAGAAGAGTGGTTTTGCCGAGGGCTTGGGAGGGGACGGGGGAGGGGAGGAGGGGAGGAGCTGAGTTGCCCGCCGTGAAGCACAGCGGCGCGGGAGCAGAGTGAGCATCGGGCAGGCGCTGAGTCTATGGTGAGTGGGGGAGTCCTTTCTGTTGATCAGCGCCACTGATGAGGGGCAGATACTTGCGCGCGTCGACATTGCTGAGAGCAGGAAGGCGGAGGAAGGCGTCGGGTGTACACGCGCACTAAGTCATTGAGCTTTCGAAAGGTGGCTTTCGAGCGATCGCGGTGAAACAGAATGTGAGCTATGCGATGCGCCCTCAGAGTGAACGGAAGGATGTGCACTCGTCTTTCGGCGCGTCTGTGATATTCCACTGTTTCTGATGATGAGTGCTCCCCCTCCGCTTCGACAGCCCCTCCCCTTCTCATTGGCGACGCCTAAATTACTCTTCTCCAGCCAGTCGCTACCTCATGTCCTCTCTTTCATCCCCTTGTTGCACCCTCCCCCTCGTCTCGCATCTGTCGTCTCATCTCGCCATCTCACCCTCCTCCTTCTCAACCTCTCCTCCTTTCCTCGCTCTCCCCAATCTACTCCCCACTTCGCATTCCAGAAAATCCCCTTGCGTCTCCATCCCGTATCTCCTTTCCATTCCGCCTCTCCCCTCCAATCCGCCTCTCCCCTCCAATCCGCCTCTCCCCTCCATTCCGCCTCTCCCTCCCTCCCACCCTCCCACTCGCCTAGCTCTTCAATTGCTTCCCGCCACTTTCGCGCAGCGAGAGGGAATTCCCGCTCTTCAAGAGGCTGCGCTCGCGGTGTGGGAGACGGAGTGCTTGGCTGCCCAATGCAGTATGGTGGGGCTGCTTGAGCGCGCATCAACAAGCTCGAAGGCGACCGGTCGAATCCCACGGACCACAAGCAGCCAGTCGACGGACTGCAGACGCATCGCAGGCCCGAGAAGAAGGCGTTGGGGAACGAGCAGAAGGCCAGCAAATTCAACCCAAACGGTATGTAAGCTCGAGGGCGAGCCACTCCAGGCGCGGTCGGCCTCACGCCTCCCCATCAATGGGAAAGATGCCTGCCCACGCTCGAGCTTTGAAAGTCCACGCGCGGCACCTCGACGAGCGACGCAAAGAGGGCGGATCACGCTCATCCCCATTCCCTCTCTGGTTTGACTTCCACTGTATGTTGAAATCCTCGCTCGTTCTACATCCCGCTTCCGCATAGGGCCAATGCCGGGTGGAGCAGGGAGCAGGGGAAATACTCGTATCTTTTCTTGACTTTCTGCCTCGGTGCTCTGCTACTGACATTGTTTATGGATTGAATGCGGCAAAGGAGGAGTTTCCGAAAGAGGAAGTGCTGATGTTGCTGCGGAGATCATTGAAGCCCGAGGGTGCAGCCTAGAAGGATGGGAAGGGGGAAGGAGGGCTGCCCTGGCGTAAGCGCCGAATGCCATTGGATATCTCCCGACCGAGCAGGCCAGGAATACAATACCTATAATTCGAGTTGATCGGGATTATCTTGGCATCTGCACGCAGCTGAGGATGTGCGGGTTGGGCCCTGTACAAGTGGAAAACACCCGAGGGGATTGTGAGGGAAAGCTCGCTCCAGTATTTTGCACTCGAGCTGCAGTGAGGCATGCCCCGTACAGGTATTCCATGAAACGACGTCGCTGCTCGTCGTCAGAGGTCTCGGTCTAGGAGCACGCTTTACGCTGCCGCCATCCCGCTATCACCCGATAATCTGACTCTTGTTACTTTGTCCTAGCTCTCAACGCTTGATCGGGCGCGCTCAGTGTTTTACGTCCACAGATTGTTCTCTCTCATCCCCTAATCTTACGCACGTCTGCGATACACGCAAGCAGTGGGCTGTCCCTACTATCTATACTAGGTAACTGTCACAGTTCGTCACGGTTGTTATGGTCCGGGGATACGGCCCGGCGTCCGACCTGCCGCCTCCACGTACTGCCGCACATATTTGTTTACAAGAACAAGGAAAGATACAATAGTACTGAGCTGAGAGTCCAGTGCTGGGAGATAAATCGTCATATCCAAAGTCAAGAGTCGAGGTCAAAAGCTAAAGCTAACGTCACGTGCAAACGCAAGTCAAAAGCTAACCTCACGTGACCTTGCGCCAAGTCTAATAATTTTGTCCAATGAGGGCACGCATAGTCCATCGCCGCGCGAAGAAGTAACCTCTTCGGAATTATTGAAACCGAGCGGCGCATAGACTCTTGTCTCGTGGAGGGGTTGGTCAAAAGCACATGCAGTCAGCACCAAAGTAGTTTTTCGAACCAGTAAACGGTTTTCGTGCGAGATGATAGAGCGAAGTACGATGCTGCGTCAAGACAAGTTTTGCAGAAGTTTTGCGCCATGCATACAGTCGGCTATTGCCGGGTAACACGTCACGCTCTGCCCACGTGCGTCATAGGCGCCACGCGTCACGGAATTCGCCGAATGTGGCTGTGCCGATTTATGGACTTCGTGGCTGTGTAAACCTTGTTGATAACTGCCCGTCGATGGAGGTATAATAGTCTGCGACCTACGTTGGCGATTTCTTCACCACCTTCCCTTCCATTCCCTTTTTTTCTTCCTTTTCGCCCATTCTGCGGCACACTCCGCCCACTGTCTTCACTGCTCTCGGTGGGCTCGCGGCTTGTCGCGGACCCGGGATTTGGTGGTGCTTTCGGGCGCTGTGCTGCGGGCAGTTCGACGCTCGTGTGCTCTTGGCGCTCGGACCTTCCAAGCAGGACCGTCACAATCAGTCATGAGTTCAGCTGCATCGACACTTGGGCATTTGCTGGCTTTTTTTCTCTACCTCGCTCCCGCTGCTCCTTAGTTTCTGTTCGTCCTCGAGGGCAAGATCAAGACCGCTCGGCGCCGACACCATCCTGCTCGCATTCGTCGAACTCAAGGTATGCTCGCTGCATCGCCGCCTCCCTCATATCTAACCAACGTTCAAAGCGCACTTCCTCTCCCCTCGCTCCATCACACTCACTGCCAACGGTCCCCACGGACGGGCATAAGCGTACTAACGCTAACGCCGGGATGCTCGACCCTGTCGTCGTCGGGGTCGTCCTCGGACGCACGACGCGGCTAGTGTGCTCGGACCCGGTGCAGTGCGACGCGGTGAGAGGTATGGGGCGGGCGGTTGCATTCGCGCGCAACGGTGTACCGTAGCCTGCGATCAGCCACACTTCTCGTCTGTTCTTCGCCTATCCATGCTCGACATCCGCGATAGCAGTCGGAGCGGCGATGTCTCTGCTCTGTCGTTACTACCACCTTCGTTACTGGGTGCTTTGATGTATAGTTCGCGGCGATGCAATAGACAATCTGCCTATCTTTCCTTCATGATCAACGACGCACCAAGAGTCGGATGCCATATTACTGAGCGACGTCAACGGCAGGTCGATGGTCACGCTCGTCGTACTTCGTCGTCTGTGAGTATGTGGCGTCGATTATGGGCAAGTCTACTCCTAGTATCATTAACAAGCGGCGTATAGTACTACGTGATATGGCGCACCGGCGTCATACCCTATCCTTCTGCACATTTTCCCAGTCTCCAAAGCCCTCGTCACCACCGAGATGGTCCGCCTTCCCTTTCCAGTCCTTCGCGCCATAGCTCGCCAGCTTTTCTATCCTGTGCAGGATGCCCGCAATCTCCGCGGCCGGGACATCGTCGTCCAAGAAGAGAGACCGACTGCCGACCTCCGCCCGTATCCGCTCGACGATTTGCCGCGTCTGCGAGTTCGGGACGACGCCGTTGACCTTCATCTCCTCCATCGCCTCCACGACGCCGCGGAGATCGCGGAAGCACTTCCACCGCGTCTCGAGGAGCTCGTTGTATGCGAGGGTGCCGCAGCCAAAGACGTAGGAGGCCATGGAGAGATTCTTCGCGTAGTCGAAGATAGATAGCGCGAGGTGCGGGTCGGCGTACTTCTCGCGGAAGTTGCGCATGAGGCGCGCGACGAGGTGGGGGTAGGCGGGAGACTGGAGCATGGGGAGGTCGTTGCGGGCGGGAACTTGAGAGTCGCCACCGTCATCGATAGCCTTCCTCGACTCCGCCTCCAAGCGCTCCGACTCGCCGAAGACCTCGCGCATGGCCCACTCAAGGAGCTGCTGGTCGGTGTCGCACAACTCCATCGCCTCCAGCTTGCGGTCGAGGTCCTCCGAGGACTCGTTCGTGAACTTAAGCTTCTTGGAGTCGAGCCGCAACTTCCCGAAGATCTCGTCAGCACCGCGCCTGCCAATGGCGACCTCCGTCGCGTCCGTCTTGTGCTGCTTCTCGGAGACGGCGTCAAAGATCATGTCGAACATCTCGTCGAAGGCACTGATCTCGCGTGCGGTCATCGCTTGTCGGCGACGGGGACGCTGGCCCGGACGAGGGTGACGACCGAGGGGGTTTGGTCGCGACATTTGAGGAAGGTCAGCGAAGACGGAATCCCATGTTGAGTGCTTGGGGGAGAGGAAGTCCTCAGTCTCCTGCCTATCGAGCAATCAGAGGGGAGTAGCATGGAGTCTACAGTTCACGCACCCTTTGTTCTCGTGAGACTTGGACGCAAATGTCCGTGTACAGTGCGGAGACAGCCAGGTATGGTTGAGGGGAGGAGCTACGGTTGCTGGCCTACTGGAGGCGGGACGATATCGTCGAATGGCAGCTAATATATATAAGCATGGACCAGTACATACGTTAAAGGGACTCACGCTTGACGGCATTCAGCGTCCTTTGCAACTCGGGAAGCATGGCGGTCGGAGGGAACAAGTGATCGCGGGCGTTTATTTCGCTCGCGTGCGCGGCTGATGTCTCCGGGAACGCGACTTGTCACGGTTGAAGTTATTGTGACATTGCCCCCACGATGCTCTATCTCAGGACAGCTGACGAGTCAAGAGAAGTATAATAGTTCATCGATTGCGCCATCCACTGGTGCATCTCATTCACCTCGCGTACAGTATGCTCTGGTCTTCCACCGGGACCGAACGTGATCGTCGCGGGCTACTGGTAGATGAGTCTCACGCTCTGAACCGTCCAGTAATTGCTATTCACGACAGCCAAGCTCGGACTCGATTTCTCGGCAAGAAGATGCTGAAGGGATGTATCCTCTACCCTATAAAGCGGCTTTTTCTTTGTCGCGAATACGGCCGAAGTTTACGTCTATAGACTAGTTCTGCCGACATTCAGCACGTCGCCAGAGCGATACAAATGACTGGGTCTCTTCTTGCAAGAGACAAGAGCTGCACATTCCACCTCGCTGCCTGCAGAGCCAACAGTTTGGTGGACAGAAGGCACGGCCGGCAAATGCGGGCCGGGAAGGGACCGGACCGCAGTTCTTGCCTGCCGATCTTAGTTCATTGATTCGAATGATTGACGCGCGCAGTGAAGGCGGTCCTTGGCTTTGTCTCCGTTCCATTACAACTCTTTCCAAGATGCCAGAGCAAGTCGGCATGGAACGCTTCGCTCTCGAACGAGGGCATCACTGGCTGCAGCGACGGCGACCGTCCGTCCAATGGCATGCCGCGACGCCACAATCAGGGGTCAGAAGCACGTCGTCAATTGACAATAATCCGCACCCAACCCCTGAGAAAGTGTAGCCGGCTACTCTTAGACCTTCCCCCCTTGGCCCCTCCCCTGCTCTCTGCGCGCCTCCCCAGCGTCCTTCTTGGGCTATGCAGTAGCAGTGGGCCCGACTCTTCTTGGTCTCCCTCTCGTTCCTTGCTCTGCTCTCAATGGGCCCCTCTGGGGACTTTCATGAGCAGACAGCCACCACTTGTGCGTCCATTCCCATACGACGACAAGACCGGGTCTCACTCTCGATCCCCCTTCCCCCTAGATGCGGCTGGTGTTTTCGCATTATGTGAATTTTTTGCTACAATCGTTTTCGAATGGAAGTGGATCTGGGGGATACAGCACTGGTGCGTGGTCGATTGTCGCTCTTGTTCACCTTTGGCTCACCTCCTCACAAGGTGGTCAAAGTTCAACGCGATCAAGGTAGTATACCTCTTGGCCAAATATCTTGGGTTCGCCTCTCAGCTGTACGTTCTCGCATCCCCCCTCCCCCATACTATGTATTCACCTCGCTCGTCAGCTCGAGCATCGCCATCGTTACCTTGATCTATCGCGGCGACGGGCCTACAATAGCCGGTTGCGCGTATTGGGTTTGGGTACAGCTCACCGCGCAATGGCTGCTCTGGACATGCCTAGAAGCTCTGCTCATGCTCAGACGTACGCGCTCTCCCTCTCGCTCGTCGTCGTCACGGCTGACAATCCCCCTTGAAGTATACGCCCTCTACAGCCGCAGCAAGTTCATGGGCATTTTCCTCTTCACCTTCATGTTCGCGGAAACTGCAGTGGCCGCATACCTTTCCTTCTCGCGCCTGCATCAGAACTTTCCTCGCGTCCACTATGGTGTCGCACTCCCTGTGCCTCCGTGGCTCTTTGCGGTGGATGAAGGAGTGTGCTTTCATAATGTCAAAAAGGGGATCCCTATGCAGGCAGTTTATTTTGGGTGCGTCGTCCGTCTCGGTTCACTTCAGTGTGCATCTGTTGATGGTCAATCCTCGCTCTTCATGACATCTGCTTATTTTTCCCTCGTAGCATCGTTCAGATGGTCGCCCAAGTCACGATCCTCATTCTCACGCTCGCGCGCTGTATACCCGCGCTCAAGGTACACCACACGCTCAACCGGTTGTTATACCGGCTCGTCAAGGATGGACTTATCTCCTTTGTGGTGATCATGGGTGAGTAGCAGTCACATAACGACTCTATTGATCACAAGCAGCGATCTCCTCTACGTGCACCCTCCAACCCATCGCTTTCTCTACTGTCATTCGTTCCTGATACCTTCGCAGGCGTTATTTTCGTCCCTGTCAGCGCGTACTTCGTCGGAAAGGCGACGCTGATGCATTCCTTCCCGATCTCCAACGAAATTCTGTCGATGACGGTACGTTTGCCCCTCTTCTGTCGTACTCCGTTCGTACTTCCCCTTCCCCTCCATGAAATGTCACTCACTCCGCAGCCCCACGATGCTCACACCTTCTCTAGACCACCCGCCTCATAATCCGCATCCAGACTATGGACAGCGAGATCGAGCGCGAGACACGGCGGCCGTCCGGCATCGAGCTCACCTCCGCCGTATCGAGCAACCTCGACGGCACCGGTACCGACTGGGGCACGAACTCGGAGTATCATGCACGGCAGAGCTCGGAATACCACGCGAAGTACCCAGCTCGACGGATCTCGGCGACAGAGGAAGCGACTGCTCGTGGCAAGGTGGATGTCGTCGGTGACAAAGTGGTCGGTGAAGGGCACGGACGCGTCAGCAAGCTGGCGTGCAACACTAGGTTCAGCGTCGCCGACGAGCAGAAGGGCGAGTGCAGTACTGGCACGCCCACCACTTCGAGCAGACCGCACTCCTTCAGCGTTGTATAGTATATAAGCGGAGCCTGCACATGGCCAGCGCACCCCGCGGCACGCTGGTAGTCTGACGGGACGATACCTTTTGAGCGCCGATAGCTAGGTGAGCGAGGCGTCTGATGTTGAGACCACTTCTTGGTGCTAACTTCACACTCGCAAGTTCACGCATCTTCATAGCAGACACTCCTTCAACATGGTGCAATATACTTACTATACGAACATTCATAGATGGTAACACATAGGAGGGCGGATGGAATACAATGGAAAGTACAGCATACTGTACAGATACTAGACGAGCAGCGTGTACAGTCAAACGTGGGTCGTTCCAGCGACCGCACCTATCGAACAGGGATAGGAGACGCGCAGACAGAAGGCTGCTCAATCGTCCAAGGCAACGTCTTGCCTTACCTGCTCATGGACGTCGTCCCAGGACGCATAGCCGCAGAGCGAAGGCAACCGCTGCCACGCCGCGTCCTCCCACCTCCTCAAAGCAACCCGCAGCGCCTTCGCACAGGTCCTGCAAAAGCGGTCGCCCGCAAGCATGTCGTCCGGTCGCGTCAGCAAGTTGACCCTCAGGCCGTCACCGCTGCTCAGGTCCAGATACACCCAGCAAGCCTTCTTCACGAAGTGCAAGGCGCTGGTACCACCCGCGCATCTGCAGGGTTGCGTAGAGCCGTCGAGCAAGAGCAGGGCGCGGTCGACGGTAGATTCGCAGAGATCGGGGAACGCAGAGGTGAGCTTGTGACGGACCATCATTATCAGGTCAGACGCAGGGGAAGCCACGATCGCGGAGAGAGGCTCCTGCGCGGCGGCGTACAGGGCGGCGGGGATCTGAGCGTGCGCGCGGGCTTGTAGCAGGACGGGGAGAGCGCGAAGGGCATGGGTGTGCAGAAACTCTTCCTTCTCTTTTACGGAGTCCACCCTCATGACGCCGGGCATGCCCTTCCGAGGCGCAGAAGACGGAAAGAAGAGAGTGAGGCACTTAAGAGCAAGATCGCGGGCGCGCTTGTCTTCATAGAGGGTGCTTATCCTGAGCAGCCCGAGCGCAGCTTTGAAATCTACATGGACGGGTCCTACGCCGGCATCGAAGACGAAGAAGAGAGGATAACTAAACCACGAGGATAATTAGACTCAGCTCGATAGCAAGTCTGGATCAGACTTACCGTCCCTTGTCCTTGAGCATGTATCTAAGGTAGTGTGCCATATCCTCGACCGTTATATCAGGATGGATCTCCAGCACCGGCTGACCGTATCTAGTCAAGACGTCGCCGTTGTGTCGCTGTGCCCACTCGCGCTCCCAGACCTCGCCATTACTGAGCCCATCCAAGAGTTCCTCCCCGTCGACAGCGAAGAGGGTATCTCCCACCTTGAGGATGAGGCTGGGTTGCTCGTGCAAGTCGTCCGAGATGAGAAGTGTCCCGTCCTCATCGTCGTAGCGCGCTGGATATGGCATATCATATGACTTGTGAAAGTTACAGAGCTGCACGGCCTCGTACAGATCGATATCGCCCTCCCATGGCTCCATCCTCTGATCGTAGTATGCAGCGCAAGGAGCAACATAGATCAGCCGTCCATGATCGGTAGCAAGCCAGGTGCGTCCAGGTGCGGGATTCGGGGGCCAAGAACGGCAGCGGTACAGGCTGTAGTCATAGGTATCGTGAATGGGAAGCCACTCATAGAACACTGGCAACCAGTTCGACGCGCTGGCAGAATGCGATTCTGAAGAGGAAGCAGGGACCTCCGGTGGATTCTCTTCAGGCGAAGTAGGTTCCTGCTCCATGGGGGTCGTTTCCTGCTCTGTCTGAGCCGTGCCCTGCCCTGTCGAAGTTGTTTTGCGTCTCTTTGATGATCGAGGTGACCTTTGGGGCTCGCCGGCGCCGCCAGCAGCGCCCGGCCACGGCCCAGTCTGAGCGCCCGCCTCCGCATATGTGCGTTTCCTTGCATCGCGACGCGCCGTCGAGTCGGGCATCGCCCCAAGATGAGGATTCAAAAAGTGTCTGTCCATGGGGGGTGAAGGGCGTCAATATTGGGAATCGGCCTTTTATATGGGCTGATATCGAGCAGATATGCATGGTTCTTTGAGAAGATAACCATCCATGAAAAGGTAGCTAGGATCCCGTTACACGCATGCCATCAAACAAAGAAATGCGCGTCTTTGAGTGGCCACAAGTCGTTAGCAGTCATCGCGGCGTCGATGATTGGGGACAAAGGACGAGCAGATAGATTCGCCCACTGATTGAAAACACGTGGCGCACTTTGCCGGAACGATCTGCCGAGAACGCGTCAAGGCGCGTCGTGCCGTATGATCGCCTGGTCTTCTTCCCCTTCCTCCTGCAATCAATGTCCACACCGAACGTCGCTCCCACTGCGCAAGTAGCACCTCAAAAGGAGTTCCAGGACTGCTTGCAATGCCGGGTAGTCGGCACGGCGACCTTCGCTGGGTTGGGTGTCTACTCTTTCATGCAAGCGCGGAGAGCTACTCCTGGATCGCTGTGGGAGAAGAGGATAGCGGTTGCGTTGGGAGCAGGTGCGTATGCCACTCATTTTCTCGAGAGTAACTACTGAGGCGCTCTGGCTGCAGTATTTTGCGCCGGCGCAGTCGTGAGATGGAATAACTGGGGAATCCCAGGGACAAGAAGTACAGAGGTGATCATGGTTCGGCAATCATTCTGAGTTGTCTGGCTGACCTTGCGATAGCCTTCTCCTTCATCACCATCTCCCACTCCATGACTATTCACAATGGCATAGCATTTAGAAGTACATTGACATGAACACTTGATTCGTTCAGTTGTGCGTGAAGTTAGGCTTTCTCTTCTCCGCGAACGCAGCCATGCCTGTAGAACAGCATCAGCAGAAACTCTGGCTGAAGGCGCGAAGACACTCACCCTCCTTCTGGTCGTTCGTCGCGAACAGACCCTGGAACGTTCGGCGCTCAAACCGCAAGCCCTCTGCCAAGTCGAGCTCGTACGCTAGAAGCACTCATCAGCAAACATGCACCATATTCTCCCCTCTGTACCACTCACCAGCATTAACCACCTCCTTCGCTGCCTGCACCGCAATCTGACCCTTCCCGGCAATCTCATTCGCCATCTTCACCGCCTCCTTCACTACCTCACCCTCGCCCTCTGCAACAACACGGCTGACCAGCCCCCACTGCGCCGCCTCCTGCGCGTTGATTTGCCGGCCGGTGAGCACCAGCTCCATTGCGCGCGACTTGCCGATGGCGCGCGTAAGGCGCTGGGAGCCACCTCCGCCGGGGATGACGCCCAGGTTGATCTCGGGCTGGCCGAACTTGGCGGTTGGGGATGCGAGGATGATGTCGCACATGAGGGCAAGCTCGCAGCCGCCGCCGAGCTAGCCAATGTGTCAGGGGGTGAGTGAAGGGGGATGAGGAATGGGGACGTACGGCGTAGCCGCTAACGGCCGCGATGATGGGCTTGCGGATCGTCGTGAGTGCGGACTGCCAGTTCGCCAGGTAGTTGTTCTTGTAGACGTCGGAGACTGGATGTGTCAATCAAGTGCTCTATGGAGACAGGAAGGGTACACACAGGTCTTGTCCTTCATCTCCTTGATGTCCGCACCAGCTGTCCAGCATGTCAGCCTTTAGTGCGAATGAGGACGCGGTGGACGCACCGGCGAAGGCCTTCTCCGAGCCCGTTAGCACGATCGCGCCGACCTGCTCGTCTGCATCCGCTGCAGCAAGCGCCTTCCCAAGCTCCAGGAAGAGAGGAGTGCTCAGCGCATTCAGCGCCTTAGGCCGGTTGAGCGTGATGAGCTCAACGGCGGGCTCAGGACGCGACGTGAGGATGTGCTCGTACTGCGTCGACATCAGGCGAATGGATCCCCTCAATAACGGACGAGCGGTGCGTGGGCTAGATAAGTGCTTCGCGCAGGAACGCAAGAGGGTGTAGGACATCACGAACGCAGCTCAGCTGGTCAGACCAGAGGAACAAACGACGACCGCCACGATGACGAACGCGGGGTATATACCCGGGCGCGCCGGTCGGCCGGGCCAGAATTCACGCTCTTCTGCATACAGTCTGCCCATCGCTCTACACGCTGAGCTCGCTACTTTGTAATCGTACACCACCGCTCTCTCAGATGTTGATCCCAGGCGCGGGGAAGAAGGGGAGGATGACCAAGCGCTCCTTGTCCCACTGTCAGCGATGAATCAGGCCGGTCAGTCGCGCATCAGAGGGGGAAGGGCGGGTGGGCACGTACGACGTCGTTCGTGTAGTACACATCCGCCTCCACCTTAGCCTTGACCCTAATGAAGGGGGGATCAGTTATCGGGCGGGATGGGGTGCGGGGGACGTACTCGTCGATGCTCTCTGCCTCCACGATCAACACCGATCCGACCAGTTTCTTGTTGGGTGAGGTCACCGATTCTGGCGTCCCCAGCGCGCCCACGACGCCTGCGCTACGGCGTTAGCGTATCGCAAGATAGGGAGCCCATATATATGCACGAGAGAAACCAGAGGAGATCAGGGAGGACGCATTCTCGAGATGCGCAGGCCGGACGGACATCCGCTTCTCGAAAGTCCCCTCCTCTGCCCTATCCGGGGCGTAGACGAGGAACTTGTGTTTCGTGGGGGCAGCAGTCGTCATCCTAGCAGCGCGATAGAGCGGTGTGGTGGGTCTGAGGTGGGAGGGACGCAGTGCGCGGACGAGGGGGTAGCGGCAGAGGTTGACGTTCATCGCTGGCTTTATCGCACGCTATGGCGTTACGGCGCGGTCATTTCACCGTTTATACCCTTCTATCGACAGTCTGGAAGCGGTGTTATTACTCCAGGTTCTTGTGTTTGGGTACTATAGGTTCATGAGGTATGTATAATGCGACTAGTCCGAGACCAGTCATGAAGTGTCCGGTCGGGAATGGGTAGAGGAAGGCGCGTCCTATGTAAACTAATCAAGATCGTCACTCGTACGTGAAGTATTCGCAATGGTAGTACAGAGTTCGTTGCGCGCGCATAATTATGAGAAGAACATTGTTTGGCTTCGGTGCAAGGAGAGTGCCTCGAGTCTAAGTGTATCGTTTCAGCGTCTATAGCGTCGCCTGGCGTCGTCCAACAGTCGATAGCCTCCGCATTAGCCTGCGTATCGTCGTCTTGGGTTTGGTTGGTTCGGTCTGCTTGTGCTGCGGTGCCCCCGCCTTCCCAGAGGCCGTAGGCGGGGATGTCTGCAAGGTCACCTCCATCTTGACCGCAGCTGCCGCCAGAGGCCCGCCGGTAGTCTTGCCAAGGGATACAGGCTTGACCATGCCGCCATGGGTATCGTCCGAGCCGAAGGTAGACAAAATGCTGAGCCGCCGCTGAGGTGCATCCGATGTCTTCCGCGAACGACCCAACGACTTCACGCTCTTTATGCTGTTCCATCGGCGCCGTTCGTCCTCCTTCTGCTGCTCAAGCCGCGCCGTCGCATTTGAGTTCTCGCGCCGCGCCTCGGGCCGCCGCCCAATGACGATCCCCTCGTCATCCGCATCCGTGTCCGCATCCTCCGCCTCCTCACGGATCGGTGCACATTCCGACCCGATGCTCCCAATACTGCCGTTGCTCGCGATGCTCGTCGCCGAGCTGTGGATCTGCGGCGGCTCAGAGAGTATCGACAGCATAGACTCGCGCGAGGACGAGTTGCTGCGCGTGAGCGAGAGGCTCGGCCTGGACTGTGTCGGGCTCTGACGTCCGCCATTGCCCTCCTCGCGCATGCTCGTCGACGACGGTGCGCGCGACACGCGGCGCGCCTTCTTCGCCGGGACGGGCATCACGACACCGCTGCCCAGGCCCAGGCGCGTAAATCGGGGCGTCTCCGCATACGTGTTCTGCGTGAGCCAGCTCGAATCCTGCGGGGCGCGGGTGGCCGTCCGCGGGCGAGGTGCGGTGACATCGGCCTCGCTCCCCAGCCGTCGATCCGGTCCGCGCGGGCGAACTTGGTCGGGCAAGCTCGTCGCGCTGCGTGTCCTGAGCCGACCAACGCCTAAATTGCTATTCTTGCTAGCGCGAGGGTCAGGGGCGGACGGCGTCGCCGGCATGGCGTAGGGCTTGGGGACCGAGGAAGACGGGGAAGGTGCGGCTGGCGACAGCACAGAAACTCTGGATTTCTTGCGAATCAGCGATTTCACCGACAGGATCGAGGCACGACGCGAGGGTGGTGTCGGTGAAGGGCTTGGCGGGGCCTGAGTGAGATTTGGTGGCAGAGGAGGGACGGGCGGGATGTCGGAGACATTTGTATTGAAGGGCGTGCGCATGCTTTCCCGACGCGATGGCGGGTAGAGGAGTGAAGGGGCGCGTTGGGAGAACTCAGGAGTGGACGAGATGCGAGAGGGACGCGCTCTGATGGTTTCGGTATCGTTGTCGTCATCGACAGCGCCCTCGCTCGACAAGGCGGGACCAGCGAGCGGCGATGAGCGCAAGGGCCGTCGAGGGTTCATGCTGCTGTGCCTACGGTTCGTAGGTTGTGGCGGGAAGGCTGGCGAGGGTGCATGGATGGGCGTCATGGTGGTAGAAGATGGGAGGTACATGCTCATGTGTCTGGAAAGCGCGGCGGGTCGTGCAGAGTCCATGACGGTAGGACTTGACCTGATAAAAGATGAGAGGTGCGACAGGCATCAAAGTATAGATAACGCACCAAGTGGTGAAGCGAAGCTAGAACGGAGAAGGCAGACGTCTTAGAGGTGTGTAGACTGCCCCACCGCGGTAATACGCCAGGCGCAGAACTTACTGGGGAACGCTCGGCGCCGCTCGCTCGCAAGGCAGGTAGTGCGACACAGGGGCTGGTGAGGCGCGAAGATAGCGAGGAGTGACTGTGTATGGCGACGACTGGTCCCAGGCGCGCGTCGCAGGCGAGATGCGGTCGTGGTGGTGGTAGAAAGAAAGGCGAGTGCGGGGATGGAAGACCGCCGTACGCGGTCTATTGATATGGCCGTTGCGGGGGGTCTATGTATGACAGACTTGAAAATCGCTAGCCGGGGTTATATGTCACCTCGTTGCTGTCACTGCCGATCAGGATAGGGGAGGGGGGCAATTGTCAGCATGAACAAATGGAGGGCGCGTTCAAGAAACAGGGCAGCAGGGCGCCCCGTGGATGAGGCGAGGCGGATTGTGTGCGACATGCGTGGGGAATCCGTGCTATGTATATATCCATTATCGCGGGCAATTAGCGCCCTGCACTGCCGCCCGTCCGCCCGTATCAGAAGGAGAGGGCTGTCGGACATGTAGACAGTTATGAGCGATAGATGAGCCACCGACGACAGTGCAACGCCATTGGATCTGTTGTGCTAGCTCGATGTGCGCCGATACCGGTGGGAAGGCGTCGGCGCCCCGCAAATCGAGGACGTCAAATCCGCTGCTGCTATTCCTGCATACTTTACAGCAATTGTGGTAAATGAACTCGGGCTTCTTCGACCTATCTGCAGATCTCTCTAGAAGGAAGCGTGAATGAAAGCACTGGGGTCCGGGCGACGTACGTCTGCTCGAGGTCCACTTTCCTAAAGTTCAGCTTTCCAAGTCGCTCGCCAACACTGACGCCGCCGATGACAACGCGCCGGAACCGAACACCGCCCGAGGTCGAGATCCTTGTCAGGGATACGATTGAAATGTCGAGGGAGGCGGTTTGGCGCTGTTTGCCTACCGTCGGTGCCTATTGTGGCGTTAATTGAACTGGCGGCAGTTGCCGTTAATGATGTTGAAGTAGACCGTCATCGAGCCTTTGTCGCAAAGACCCAACACAGAACAGATCCAGCCACCAGAGCCCAAATGGAACACTCACCTTACTCTTCTGATAACCACTCCAACGCCTCAGATACCAGCAATATGGTCGTCCAGTACGAGCCTCCCTCCGATCCTTCCAAGCTAGTTCACCCGCTGTTCAACTCTCCGGACGCAGACGTTGTCTTTGCCTCAAAGAACGGCACCAAGCTCTTTCGCGTACACTCATGGACACTACGTACGACATCTGGCTTCTTCAGGGAGATGCTGTCCCTCCCACAGCAAGGGCAAGCTGGATCGAGTTCTCCGGGACCCCGAGGAGAAACGATGCAGCTCTACCTCGACGAGGACGAGAAGACGCTCGATGCCCTGCTGCGAATGGTGTGCGGTCTGCCACTCCTTCCTATCGACACGCACGATCTCGCCGATGGCCTCCTCTACGCGGCCGAGAAATACGACATGCCCGGACCGCTGTCTATCGTGCGCCTCGTTCTGCAGACGGCGCCGCTCGCGATGGACCCTCTCCGGCTGTATGCCGCGGCCTGCAGGTTTGGCTGGGAGTCGGAGGCCAAGACAGCGTCGACGCAGACCCTTACGTATAATCTCCACGACCCGATACACCGTCCGGCCCTGCAGCGGCTATCGACGACCGCTGTTCTTGATCTCTTCGCACTGCACCGCGCCAGAAGAGAAGGGTGCGTGGCGCGTCAATCAGCTTCTGTGGCCACGAACTGACGAGGTTTGCCTCCAGGCTTCGCAAGCGCATGAACGAGCCTCCATTTGTGCATGGTGGCGTTTCGCCTTGCGTATCTTGCCAGCGTCCTATCGACTACCATACCTGGCGAGAGTTGAAGTACAAGATCATCATAGAGATGGATGTTCGTCCGTTGGGAGATACGATCATAAATGAAGGCCTGCAGGATTGGCCAGAGGCGACTGCTTGCTGGCAGGTAAGTGTCTGTGGCTGGTGTCGCTAAGCGGATGCTGATCTATTGCTAGGCGAAGTGCGTGTGCGACCGCTTCCTGTACGACAAGGTGGAGACCTTGCGCGTGATCAAGGACTGCATCGAGGGCTTGCCCAAGTCTATCTGTGAGTGTCTTCACATTTTGTTGTATTCTCGCTCATCATATCCTGCTTAGGATACCGCCTTTCAGCTGCTTTCCCCTATAGACATATACCATGATGCCTTCTTCAGCCTTCTGCTTCACGTTGTCGATGCTCTGTTGTTACTGGATCTCAATTGTACTGCCCTGGAGTTCTGCTACATGCTCAATACTATCCCTTGTATCCGTTGTACGGTCCCGATGTGTAGAAAGAATACACTTGAGCCCATTGCCTGAGCTGTTGACCCTGGGCTGGCTGGTCTCCGTGCGCGTGGCTCTACTGATGACGCGCTTTGATGGCAGCACAGCATGGTAGCTCCAAAATTAGCGCCTGGCGTCTTCCATCGAGCAACGCGGCCGTTGACCGGCAAATAAACACAACTTGGCACCCTATTTTACCAGCGCTTCGCCTTCGACTTCGACAACCCATCCTCGTCTCCTCCCGTCCACCATCTTCACCACTACATAGCTCGCCCACACCTCAGAGCACACAATGCCTTCGTTTCTAACTGCAGTCTCTCTTTCCCTCTCCCTGCTCTCCTTCCTGGGCGGCATGCCCGTCGTGAGCGCGGGCAGCTCCTGCGTGGCGATGGACATCAACTGGAACCTCCTCGTCTTTGGCTATGGCGGCAAGGACTACAACGCGGGCACGAAGGACAGCTGGGCCTCGGGTGCGTTGGGCGTGCTCGTCGACGTGCTGCGCGTGCTTACTGGCAACCGACTATAGGCACGGCTACCGAGATCACTGCTGACGGTCGCCCGTATGTGACACGCCTGCTCCGACGAGCTTGACGTACTAACATGAGAACGCAGACCATTCGATGGTGACAATGTTACCTGCTACTTCGCCCAGGTGTGTGAACGCGACGCGCCCGTGTCGCAGTTCCTTACTCACGAGGCCCACGCAGTTCTTCAACGCCATCTACGTCCTCGGCGCTGACAAGTCTGACGCATCTTCCCTCTACATCTACAACGTCGCTGGCAAATCTTGGTCCAAGCAGTCCGTCAACGCCGGCTCCCTCGACACTTCTGACTTCCAGGCTATCCTTGACCACGACACGAATGTGTTCTGTGAGTTCCAGCGGAACCTTCTGTGCCGCACCCTTCTGATCATCGTCTTCTAGACGCCGTATCTCACAACGAACTATTCTCCCTGGATATGGGTGACCAGACTGCTGCCAAGGATGGCGCCGCGTGGAACGACGTCCAGTCGGCTGGCTTCGATGACTCCTACAAGCCCGTGATGGCTCTCGCGCAGAACCACATCCACTTCCTCGACGTTCCCGACGTTGATGAGGGTAACGCGAAGATCTTCGTCATTCACTGTGCGTACCCCATACTTCCCGTGATCTTTGTACTGATCCTTCGCAGTCTCATACATGCAGCCCGAGCCGCAGTACTATGGTAACTTCCCGAAGACGCACGGCCAGGCCGGCTCGATCTTCCTCAACGAGGGTGTACGTTCGCTCTCAGACATGTGTTGCTACCTCTGACTGACACATCTGTTACAGGTCCAGCAGGAGTTCTTCTTCATCCCTGACGACGCATCTGCTACCTACGTGATCAACGTTGAGGTGCGCCATACGCAAAGGACCTTCATCATGTTTCCTCCTTCTGACAACTGTACAGAACAACTCGACCAAGACCCTGGCTGGCCCCACCGCCGACGCTGCCGCGTCTTACTTCGGCGCTCCGGACTCGATCGTCCAAGTCACCACCGGCGGCGACGTCAACTACATCCCGTACGACGCCAACTCGGACAACGCCGGCGCCTCCTGGTCCGCCGTGCAGAACCTCGCGAGCTTCAAGCCGTCTACCTCTGCCTCCTCGGGTGCGTCTCAGACCGGCAGTGCGACCGGCTCGGGCGCGGCCACTGGCTCGGTGACGGGTAGTGCGCAGGGCGCGTCTGCGTCTAGCACGGCCGGCGCCAGCGGTGACAACAACGGCGCCTCTGGCATGATGGCCGGCGCCGGGACGGCGGCGGCGGCGCTCGCCGTGCTCGCGCTCTCTGCGTTCGTGCTGTAGGGTGTGTTTGGACTGATTTGTTGGTAGGTATGCGGTTTGTAAGGAAGTAGTCGGTTCTGTCTGTCTATATTCGTTGCGCCGCGATGTCGCCTGTCGTTCGTTGTCGCCTGTCGCTCGTTCGTTTTTTGGTCTCGCCTTCGCCTTTCGCTCCGACTTTTTCGTGGTGGGTTCTCGATGGTTTGACTGACGTTTGGTGGGCGGAGATTATGGATGGAATCGAAGGCTGCATCATCCCTTACTTCTCATGACCGATCCTCATCTACCTCCCTGAATCCTGCATGTCACGCATCCTCCAGCTTTCGCGCACTTCGAGTACATATTCAGCGCTGCATGGGCTCTGTTACACTACCTCCCTCCGCCTTGGAATACTTTCACCCATTACCTACGCTTCCCCTGCCCCCTAATCTGCTCGAGCTCAATCTAGTCGGGCCTTCTCTTACCTCGATCAATGCTCTGGACTGGACTGGAATTACCTTCTGAATGCCCTTCGCTTCTCTTTGGGTTAACTGATGCCTCAGCGATCAGTGCTGCGTGCAGGGCAGGACCGGAAGGCGTCGCGGCCCAATTGACACGACCGTGCATGGCTCCTTCCTTTCCTCTTTGCTGCGTTCACATGCATCATACACGCCGCGAAAGCGGGCCGTGGCTGTCGAATTAGAGCTCCTCGCGAAGGCATTGAACCACAGATCCATCACCCTTATGGCACTGAAGTGAAGGCCAACCTTTTCTTCGTCCCTTCGCAGCACGACTCTCAGAAACGACAGGTCTATTCACAAAGGAATGCGGTTGGACAAGCCATTACAGCGGTTTGCGTTACTTTGCGGAATCCGCGCGAATTCCGCGTGCGTGTCATGTTTGGCCGCAGCCTCACGGCACCTGCCGCACGTCGCCTGGCATGGACTTTCAGCCCATTATTTAGCTTAACTTCTCGACCAAGCGGCGCCTACTACAAAACCACGTTCTCCCTTAGGACTTGGCTCACCAAGTACTGCATACAACGCTTCTTGGAGGTCAAGTCGCTGATGAGCCTATCGGCTATTTCGGACCTGAGTCCAGCGCGCGTGCTCTCGGAAAACGCCGGCCTGGCATGGAATAAATGATCGCATACCGTTGTTCGAGCATTTTGCTCTGGAATATCTCGGAAAGGGACCTCACAGCCATATATCAACATAGAGCTCCAGTTTCTCAGCAAGATCTATATGGTATCGAACGAGGGGCGACTTTCTGAGGGCTAATCGGCAGGTGCCGCGAGGCTGCGGCCAAACATGACACGCACGCAGAATTCGCGCGGATTCCGCAAAGTAACGCAAACCGCTGTAAGAACAAGCATCGCATGCGTGCAATGTCCAATATGTAAGAAATAAAGAAAAAGGGAACGTAGGTGACCGAACAGGCTGTCGTGCAGACAGCGCTTGTAGATGGTTCGTCCGGTCCTCTAGTCAAGATGCGTTTGGGCCAAATCCACCGGAAAGGTGACTCGCCGGCAGTTCGCCCTTTGTCCGGAAGGGAGGTGTGAGATGACAGGTATGACAGGTAATCACGGTGAGCACAAGAGGTAACGGTGCATGCGATCACGGATGGTACAGGGGGTGCACGAAGGGTACGAGCGTGATCACCGGGAACACGACCTCACAAGCGATTATACTGTTTGACTTCAGGGCTTTATTGATTCGCGACCTTGAGCACCTTTGGCTGCGGCTGGTCGTCGTCGTCGTCGCTTTCGTCATCGTCATCGACGTATTGGACCTTCGATGAGAAGGGGTTCGGCAGCTCGTTGTCGCCCGCGCGCGAAGTGCGGTCACCGGCTGCAGGACAATGGTCAGCGACTCTCGTCAATGCGGCACCAAGATCGAAGACTCACCTCCCGGCTGGTAGTGAGCAGCGTAGCTCTCGCCGTTGTTCGGACGCATATCCTGCGCCCCGCCAGAGTCCATATCCAAGAGGCTCCGTGCACCCGACTTGGCGCGCATGAGCGGCGCGGCAGCGGCACCAGCACCGGCGGCAGCGGTCGTGGCACCCGCAGAGTGAGACGAAGCAGAGGGCGCCGTAGGGGCAGGAGCGGGTCCAGCATCTCCGTATGCCTCATACGTCGGCGAGTGCGACGGCTCGCCATACGCGTAAGCCTGGTCGTAGCCACCAGGCTGTTGTTGCTGGTCGAAGCCGCCGGCATAGGCGGAAGCGCTGCCGGGCTGATTCTGATAATAGTCCGGCCCCGCGTACGCTGCATATGGCTGCGCCTGGGGCTGGGCGTATTGAGCCCCGCCCTCAGTGCTACCATAATCGTACCCTCCAGCAGCGCCAGCGTTGTACGAGGATTGCCTGTTCCCAGCAGCAGCCATGCCCGCAGCACCCGCGCCAGCGACACCGGCGGCAGCGTACGGGTTGTCGTATCCATTTGAATAGTAGTTGTTGAAGTCCTGCATGTTGTAGGTCTCCGTGGGCATTGGCGGCTGGTTATATGTTCCGTGCGAGTGGTCCGAATACGGGTTCGAAGGCGGATAGGAGGACGACGCAGGGTAATCGTTGTCATCGTCATCGAAGCGCGGGGCGGTGGCCATAGCGGCCTCAGCGGCGGCCTTTTCGACCTCCTTGTCGAACTTCTTAGCGCGGCGTCGGCGAAGGAAGGCGGTGAGGAGGTAAACAACGATGACAGCACCGACCACAGCGACTGCGGTGAAGGTGCCGGCAACTGCGCCCTTGTTGTTCCAAAAGCTGGAAGGAGCATACAAGTGAGTCTAGGGCAATGCATATTGGGGGCATACATACCCTGTGTCCCCGTTCGAGCTGTCGCTGCTGGAGGTACTGCTGGGGGCGCTGCTCGTGACCGACGGACTCACACCCACGACGACAGTACTGGTGACCTGTCCCCCATCTGTATTTGTTGTAACAGCAAGGCTTGTCGTGGAAGAAGTCGACGTCTGGGAAGTACTGCTCGTAGTCTCCTGGGTCGAGGACGTAGAAGAGGTCGAAGTCGTACTTGAGGAAGTACTCGTAGGTGTAGTACTTGTTGAGGTTGTGGTAGAGGAAGAGGAAGTAGTCGAGGAGGTGGTTGATGTGGTGGTAGGAGTCGTGGAGGTGGTGGTGGGGGTGGTGGAGGTGCTAGTGGTGGACGTTGTCGTCGGAGTTGTCGCAGTCGTTTCCTCGCGAGTAGTTGTAGCCTCGCGAGTGGTCGTCTGCGCGGCCGTGGTCGACGTATCGGTCGCGTCCCCACCGCTGCAGTCCCCTTGAGTTCATTTCCCGGTTATCTCGCAAGTCCAATGCTCACCCAAAGATCGAGGATACTGCTAGGAACGCCACATCAGTAAGGCACCAAGCGGGCGGGGGCGGGGCTGCTCACAGTCCATATTCCACAAGTGCTAGGACTAGGAAGTAAGGAGCGTCGTGGAAGATGAATGCGGGGTCTGTTCACCGTCGCGGGTGAAAAGAAAGAGTGCAATCGGATTATGTAAAACGCAGCGCCACTGCGGAGGCAGCGTCGGCAGACCGTGACACGGGGTCCGGCAGGCGTCCAGTCCGGTCCCGCCCTGCGTCGGGTGCTGTAAAGACAGAGGGGGGCAGCAGCGCCTGAGGAACCTGAGCGCAAGGATGCTGGGAAAGAGCAACCGACAGCGAGCGGGGTTACGACGCTCGTCACGGCAGTTCGCCTCCCTTTCGGCATCATGGGGGCGCGCTGCGCACTGATGGCGCATCAGCCTCACAATGAAACGGCCCGGGCATTGCGGGGTGAAGGACGCCGCTTACATGTACTTCATGGACTGTAGTCGCTCGTCTATACCCAGCGCAGGTTTGTATGGCCTCCTTTTTAGCGCGAAACACGCCAGGTAAATATACTACGTAGTGGAAAAGGCGACTTGAATGCCAGTCACCACTGCGTCGAGAGTACGCTCTCAAGGGAGTGCATGGCTGGACACATTTATACCTCGGCCTTCATCAGGAGTCGTAATGGCCGCTACATGGTTCTCAGAACTGGATAAGTATTTACTCAAAGCCACGGATCCGCAAGGGCGCAGAACTGCTCAACTTGAAGCTCAGTCAAACAAAACTTGCAACCCAGTTTGGCGTTACGCAACTGGGGGGTCGACGGTTCTGCCCATATATCCCAAGATTCCTCGCCTTGTGAGAAGCGCAGATCCTCCAAAGTATGCGAATAGCAGGCAGCCAGAAAACGAACATAGCACGTGACCTGAACACGGTCCCGCCACCGCGTGGCATCAATCAATGATCACCGTTCACAGAACACGAGGCATCTTTGCATTGTCCCCCACCACGACCACCGAACGTGCCCTCACCATGGAGGGCAGCAACTTAGCGCCGTACTCCCGCTCAATAAGCGGCACCGCGCCCGGCGCGCTCGACCCGCGGCAGCCGCAGCGCCTCCTCCGCCACCCCGCGTCGCGCCTGCTGTTCGCGAGCTTCGACCCAAGGACGGCGTTCGCGACGCCGCCGGATATGTCAAAGTTGTCGCTGAAGGATGAGCTGAATCGGCCGAAGAGGGTGGTGGTGGAGGTGGGCCCGAATGGGAAGAGCAGTTGGCGGTTTGTGCCGAGGGCGAAGCGCGATGCGGGTGTGGTGGATGAGGGGCAGTGGCCGAGGGTTATCGATATTTGCGGGTGCGTGGGGTGTGCTATCTGGTGTGGAAGAGATTGGCTGACGTGAATTGCATACAGAGAACGCGTCCTGTGCACCGAGGAGCAATGGGAGATCTATAAGCTCGATCCCTTCTACGAATGCGTCGTGCACCCAGAAGGCACGCTCACCACCATCACCCCTGTCCCCCAATCCCCCACCGAAACGAAAGATGACGCGCTCTTTGGCAAGAAGCGCGTCTATGCAGAAGACTACTCGCGCCCCTCGAAGCGTTTCCGCGCTGGCGAGCCCGAACCATCGCCCATGGAGGATGACGCGGATGATGAACCTGCGCCTCCTCCCAAGCGCGCACGCTCGCGGTCTGTGACGCGCGATGCGAAGCGGCTAAGGCCAGGGTTGGAGAAGCTCAGGCGGCAGAAAGCGACGCAACAGCGACCAGACAACCAGCAGAACGAGGAGAACCTCCCCGAGGCCGCTGCCTCTGACCACGACGACGTCATGGAGGACTGGGTCCCGCCAAGCTACCACCCCAGCGATGCGACGAAGCGCGGTCGCGGGGACTCGGAGGCGCATACGCGAGAAGCGTCGCCCGAGGTTGCTGGGGAGGCGCACGACACCAGCGATCGCACGCACCGCACGTACGAGCGGACGAAACCCAGCAAACGTGCGCGGACAACGTCACCTACAGCGGCGAGGCGGAATGTGCAGTCGCAGCACTCGATGCGCGAGAAGATGAAGCGGGCGAAGTTGCAGGCGGAGGCGAAGGCGCGGGCTCAGCAAAGACACGCTGAATTTCTGCGGGGCGCGTTCGGTGACGCGGCGCCGGATGTGAAGTATGAGAACGGTGCGTAGCGTTGTAGTCGTCTTTTGCTGATGCTAACATACAGTAGGCTTCACGAATGGGTTCACCAACGATGCTGGTGCCACAAATGGCGTGCACCACGACGATGACCTACCTGATCTGGATGAAGAGGACGAGGACGAGGTGGACGAACTGTTGTCTGACGACCAGGACGATGAGGAAGCCGCGCGCCAGGCGGCAATTGAGGAGTCGCGTCGAAAGCTTGCAGAATTGGAGAAAGACCGCCCGCTATGGGAAGAGCAGGCACGGAAACGCGCACAGAGCGAGCAGGTGGAAGCCGAAAGGATACGGGTCACTGCGGCACAGCAGGAGACTGAGCGCAGACAGCAGGAGAAAGCGCGGCGGAGGCAAGAAGAGGCGAAGAGAAGGCAGGAGGAGGCAAAGCGAGAGGAGGAGAGGCGACAGAGGGAAGAGGAGCTGAGGCGTCAGGAGGAGGCTCGCCGCCAGCAGGACGCTGCCCGCCGTGCTCGCCAACGCCGCTTCGCATACGGTCCCTGGTCGACCGCGCGTGCCCTCGAGCGCTACCGCACTCTCGCCGACGAGTTTGACCGCACGAAGTGGACCGTGGAGACTTCGCCTTTGACCTTCGAGGACGTGCCGTGGCCGGTGCTGCACTCGCCTGCCTCTGGCTTCACTGTCGAGGACGTGGACTGGGCGTCCGTGGAGGCGTTCTTTACGGCGGTGCGCCCGAGTATGCGGTCGCAGGACTTCCGGACGTTCGTACAGAAGAGTCATCTGCGGTTCCATCCAGATCGGTGGCGGTCGAGGGGGTTGTTGAGGGCGGTGGTGGACGAAACGGAGAGGGAGTGTTTGGATGTGGGTGAGTGCATTCCTGACTTTACGGGGCATCGCAGGTGCTGACTCTGGTCACAGCTGCAAACACTGTCGCCCAGGCATTGACACCGATATGGAGCGAGTTGAAGGGCCGCTGATCAGTGCTCACGACGGTGTGGAGGATCAAAATCTATGTGCACGGAACAGGAGGATTTCAGGTTATCACGCAAGGAAAGCGTCCATATGTATTGTATCTATTCTCATCCCCCGCAAACGGAATGGAACTGCTAGCAGGCCAGCAGGCTCGGGCTCTACCTGTCAGTGGACTGTATGTTACTGCCGGGATGAACACAGTGGGGACACAGCAGGCGTCAGATGTCGTCGGGAACGCGTCAACGCGCCCATCTCGTGATCGTTGGTGTTGGCCGGCTGCGCGGGCCGATCTCCGCGCTCTAGCTTGGCACACAGGCCCAGTCAGTTCATTCTGTTCACCCCCTCGGTGGCGAATAATTCTGCTTTTCCTCAACGCTCACGCTGGATCCGGATATCACAATCGGAAGCTTCTCATCGAACTCCACGACGGCCATCGACTCACAGGCGCTCACGCGTCTCGGCCTCGCGCCACCAGCCAGGATCTGAGAGTGCTGCGCGGATTTCATTCGGCCCCGCTCTTGCGCCAGCGACGACGTAGCCGCGGGCTTGCCACTCCCCACCATGTCTGCCTCCCGGGCGTCTTCAGTACGCAGGGTGCGCTCAGAGAACGACGTGTCGAGCGCGGACGCGTCACCGGTTAGCTTCCTTCCTGCCGGCACAGCTATAGCATTGCACATAACGCCGCCGACGCCGCCTGCCTCGCCGCCTGCACCGCGCCGCGCCTCGAACGAGGATATTTCGGCCCTTTCAATACCTCAGCAAGCCCTCACGCGGCCTGAGAGGGTGCACGATTCCCCTCCCTCCTCGCCGCCAGCTGTGGCGCAGGGGAACGCAGGACCGGCAGCAAGGCCGCCCCGCCCATCGATCGCCACCTTCCGCCATGATCGCTCGCTATACACACGCGCGCGTGAGTTCTTTGGCTATGGCAGGGACGGCTCGCGCGAGCGACGCGCACTTGTCGGGCTCTACTGGCGCCTGATCTGGGGTCTCATACAGGTGCGTGCGGCTTGTGTGGCAGCAGTGTCCGTTCGCTAATAGAGCTGTTGAATTGATTAGATCACGGTTGTTATCATCTTGCTGGCTATCGCGGGGCACACGAAGAGTCCGAGCCCGTACAAGGACTCGAATGAGTGGGTGGCTTGCGATCGGCCGTTGGGAGCGTGGGCGGTGGTGTGGGCGGCGCGCGTCGTGTTCGCGTGTGGGATGCACTACTGGGGATGGACGCGGGATAAAGCACAGTGCGTGGTCCTGACTCCAAATGCAATGACTGTCATTGACGACCACCCTCTAGGCATCTTCGCGCCGATCAAGAAAGTCGACCTGACATGTCCCTCGCAACCTTCCAGCCGCCACTGGCCCATGAGCCGCGGTCCGCGCGCTTCCGGGCCCCTCCCCAGGCTTCCGCTTCTCAATCCTCCGCTTCTGCCGAGGCCCCGCCTCTGCCGAATACTCGGCTTTACGCTCGGTGAGTGAATCCCGAACCTCCCACTCTTTCGCCCTACAGTCGCTACCTCACAGCGCTCAGACACTCATGAGCTATATTGATTAACTGTGCTCCCACCAGGATGAACACCCTCGTCTCCCTCCTCACCCTGAGCTGGTTCCTCACCGCGCATATCCTCGAATACACCTCCGTCGACACCTGCCGACATGATGCGCCACACATCTGGTGGCTCATCTTCGGCATCCTCTGCATCATGTACCTCATGGTTTTGGAGGTGCTTGCACTTGGGTACGTTCAGTCTCATGTATCTTCTGGGTTCCCTCGTCGAGCGTTAGTCGACTGTGTGGCGAAGCTGCTTGCGCTTGTTTTCTCGTTCATGGCTGTTATGGCTTGTTCTTTCGCCTCTCAAACTTCCTCATCGCGAACATTCGTCTTGTGTGGTATTCTCACAGCATTGATCGGATGCTAACTATCGACTATAGCATGGTCGTATTCATAATTGCGCCCGTCCTCTTCGTACGTCTTTCCGCTTGCCTTGCATAAGTCGGCGCCCGCTAATTGAACAACAGCTCTTTTGGAACATCTTCCTCATCTGCCTCGGTCGACACCCAATGCAAGCCGGCGCGCCCCTCCGTCCGGCCATTGGAAAGTTGCCAAAGGATGCGGTCGACTGCATACCGCTGGTCATGTACATCCCGCCGCCGCCCGAAGAAAAGGCGCAGAAAGAGGAGTCCAAGGCAGAGGACGATGCGCAAGGGAAGAATGCGCAGTTGAAGGAAGAGACCGAAGGGCAGGCGTCGAGTCAAGCACCGGAGGTTCAGTACGAGTACCCGCCAAAGCCGAAGGAACCCAAGCAGCCCAAACGACACAAGTGGTTCAAGTTCCTGCGGCGAAAGCGCAATTCGGAAGGGAAGGATGGTGAAGATGGTGACATGGATGAGAAGGTCGGCGATGGGGAGAAGGGCGAAAGTGGGAGTGGAGCCTCGAAGCCACTGAAGTGGGAAGACCACTGGGACCTGGAGGGCTTCCCGAGCGTCGTGCTGGAGGGAAATCGGGCGGCGTGTGCGATCTGTTTGATGGACTTTGAGGAGCCGAAGTGGGTGGGTGGGGTACCGCAGGTGTCAGCTGAGGCACCGCCGGCAGCGACGACGAGCAGTGCGCCGACAGCGGCCGATGGGCCGGCAGAGGCGGAAGATGTGCGCATTCAGGTGGATCCCGCGACGTCGCAAGAGGCGCTGGAGCGACTACGACTCGAGGATGCGGGCGAGGGCGCGCAGCCGCTGAGGTTGCTTGCTTGTGGGCACGTGTTCCATGTGAGTCGATCTCCGTTCGCCACGATCGGCCTTGCTCATATATCTTTCAGCAAACATGCCTCGACCCATGGCTCATCGACGTCTCCGGTCGCTGTCCGGTCTGCCAGCGTCCTGTTGAGATACCAGAACCACCGCCAAAGAAGGAAAGGAGGCGAGGGAGGCGATAGGTGTGAGGCATCCTCATCATGACCTATTGTCACCCAAAACCTTCTCCCCCGCCCTTTGGCGCTCGATCATATGCACGGCCTCGTCATCGATGGCTTGTCCTCATTCTGTATTACCACCCCGCTCACTTCGCTAGATCTCCGGGTCTGTTCGGTGCTTGTTTATCGTGTTGCTTTCGTCGTTGTTTTCAGAGAGCCAGAATATCCTCGATTGCTCTATTTCTCCTTCCATCTCCGTCCACTCACTTCGCCGCAGGGATGTACGCCTACATATCTTGGCTCGATATAAGTACGATATGGTGTATTAGTATAGCTCTATCTATGTATGAAAGTCTGTGATAAGTCCGATGATTACTTGTTTGCTCGTCCGGTGCACTCTCGTACGTTCAGCCCGCCTTCTCTTGTCCACCTCTCGTCTTCAGTAGCGCCCCTAGTTCATCGCCCCACCTCTCCGCTCGCTGACCACGACCGGCATCTTGCCCTTCACCATGACGAAGAAACCCTGCAGACCGTCCTCCCACTCCTTGGGGTCCCACCCGTCGGCAAAGCGCAGGTCGAAGCGCCGCAGGGTGGCGCAAAGCAACATGCGCATCTCCATGTAGGCGAGCTGCTTGCCGACGCAGTTGGCGGGGCCGTGGGAGAAGGGGATGAAGGCGGCGCGGTTGAGGTTGTAGGCCTCGAGGGACTGTAAGGGAGTACGTTAACGAGGCGTGTATTTGCGAGAAGTGACGAGAGTACCTTCGTGAAGATCTCGGGCTCGAGCCGCACGCGGTCTTCTTCTGGGAGCCAGCGCTCGGGTACGAAGGAGTCAGGGAGGGGCGAGAAGTTGCGCCAGTCGCGGAAGACCGTGTACTGCGGGACGAAGGTCTGTGTGCCGGGAGGGACGTAGCTCCCGGCAACAACCTTCGCCTGCGTCTTGTCGCGCACCATACGGTGGCTACCTTCCGGTACGGGCGGGATCAGGCGCATCGCCTCGTTTCTGGATACATAGTAAGGTCAGCGAAAGCATTCGAAGGCACAGTCCATGACTGACATGACCGCATTAAGGTATGGCATCCCCGCCTGGCGTCTGTAGTCATACAAATCATCGCCTTGGTCGTCAATCTCGCGTTGCAGGCGTCGGTATGCGGTCGGATGGCTCATGAGGAAGTAGAAAATGACTGAGAGCGCCGTCGAGGTCGTATCAGAACCGGCGGTGACGGCGAGGACGCCTGAAGGGGTAAGTGAGTGAAACTGGTCTGTGGTGAGCAGTAGTTCAGGGTGCCCTTACCATCGGCAACAATCTCCGGGAAAGCAGGCTTTTCCTTCGACACCCCGCCCTCATCGGCCTGCTCAAACCGCCGTCAGATCTCTACGCTGTACAGAGGCTTGCGAACGACGTACAAGATGGTAGAAGATGTCTTCATACGGCGAGCCTTTGCGCACGCGCGCTGCGGCGACGCCTATGGCCCACATCCGGAACTCATGTACGCGGCTGGGGAGGAACCTGGCAAGCGTCCCGCAGATATCACCGAGCCAAGGTATGTGGGAGCGGAAGATGAGAGGTCTGTGTGGTGCTGGGTGAGGATTTCGTCCGACGAGCGGTGAGGACAGACTCACTTCTGAACCACATCTTGCAGGTGCAGCATGCCATCGACGTCGCCCTTCTGCATGGCTGCGGAGCCGCCTCCGTAGCTGATGAGCGGTAAGCAACCTCTCACCGAAAGGAAACAATCGAATCGCACGCAAGGTCGAACATAAAGTCCCAGCTACAAGATTCCCGTTCGTCAGTCAGTATCGCATGAAAACAGACCAACAAAACATACGCGAAGTACGCGATCTTCTCGCACAAGTTGAAAGGCTGTGCTGTGCCAGTGTACGATAGTGCGCTTGTCGTGCCCGCCAGCGTATCCACGAATTCCGTAACCCGCTTCCTGATAATTGGCTCGTACACCTTCAGCGCCGACGGCGTGAACGCGCGCTGCCACTTCTTGCGGCGTGTGGCGTGCTCCTTTTTGTTGTGGATGGCGACGAGGGTGCGATTTTCCTCCCGGCGGCCGACGCGCCCATCCCAGACTAGGAGAGACGTGAGGTCAGTAAAGGGTTGGATGGGTAGAGCGGGTCAAATAGAGCACGTAAGGGTGAAGTAAAGCACGTCGAATAGGATGGGAACTAGTAAGGAGGAAAGGACTTGCATGTTCCCTTGGGTAAGCCCGCGGAACCGAACAACGGTTCGACGGCATCCGCGGTAAAGAACGCAAGCTCGTTAGGACCTTTGCAGGAGGTAAGATCGATGTCCCCTCCAAACGAGCAAGTCGAGACGTACCGACGCGCACGACGTCCCCATACTTCTCATGCAGACGACGGTAGTGGAAGTGCTGTTTGCCACCAAGAGAGATCCACGCGCTGTAGAGCTTGCTGATTTTGCATAGGATGGGTCCTGGGTATTCGGCCAGTGGGTGGAAAGGCGATAGACGATAAAGGACGATGGAGCAGAGGAGCGTGCCGAGGTATGTAGTGAATGCAAAGAGTACGGAGATGAGTATCGACGAATGGGGGCGGAAGAGGGCGCTGAGGCCTGTAGGGACGAGCAGAAGGAGCGTGATAACGCTGGTTAGATCTTGCGGCTCGAAGCGGTTGAAGATGAGATGACAGGCCTGTCGGGGACGATGAGCAACAAGATGGGAGGATATAAATGAATGTTTACCAAACCGCCAAGCGCAGAGAAGGCGAAAGCATTCATGACAATCATCGCGAGCGATCAAGGTAGAGCACAATGAGGGAATATTTACAGTGAAGGGACGTTCGACAAGTCGAGCGCGATTCGTGTCGTCGCGGGCCCTCTTATACGACGCAGGTCAAGGTTTATATCGACGTGGTCGACGCCGCTTCTTCAAGGGCCCTAGTAACGCCGCAATCGCGTCTAGCGTCAGAGGGCCAGGGAGGGCCCGAGACATGTTCAACAATCATGCTCGGCGGCGGCGGCGCATGGGGCCTCACAAGGGACGTGGAGTTTGTCGGCAGGAGACCATCGCACTAGTGAGGTCGACCCGTCTAATGAGATCGCGTTGTACAGTGTGCGGTCGCGTCGTCGAGCTCGCGGCTTGTTACTATGTGCGTATCCTGAACGTCGGGGCAGGGCGAATGCGAAGGCGGGCGCCGCCGTTCGACGGAAAGTTCCTGCGACATACGCACCTGGAATGAATGTGGGGGGCGTGCCAACGCACAGGTACGTACGGCGCACGCGGCGGTTACATGTCGGCTGGATTGGATGAGGGTCGTTTATGTTGATACATGCGATAGAACAGTCCCAAAGACTCCCAGCAGTATCAGAAGGAATCCAGAGATAAAGTGCAAGCAAGGATTTCGACGTCCCGTGTATCCGAATCTTTCGAAGACAGATGAATCTTCGACATGGATACCACCACTCGTCAGAGTGCAGGGGCCATCAGCGGGAGACTTACCGAGCGAAGCTTCCTCGTCCAGAGGCTGTGGTCAGCCACTGATGTGTTCATCACCTTTGCGACAGTGAAGAGGTACAGTAGTCGCTACAGTGACCAAGGCTCAGTGAATGCTGGCGGCAAAGCGGGTCGGATTCTGCGCTATGTGAGTCACAGCCAAATGAGGACACAACCAGGTTGTGGTCTGCATTGAGACGTCCTTCCCGGGCTCAGCGGTCACGTTGAGGGGCTGTGGCCGGCGATTATGAGTGTGCGGACGAAGAGCAGGGGAGGTTCTGTAAGCTGCCGTCAACGTTGGTGTGGGAACGTGCAAAGTTGTGATCCGATCATCCCACTTCGGACTGAACATTGTACCCAAATCGGGAAGCACCTTTGTCCTCCCCCATTCGTGCACAACCTCCTGGGATCTGCCGTACATACGTCGGCGATAGGTTGCCTCGAGACCTGCACATTGCGTCTGCAAGGGGAAATAAGGGGCGCTTTTTGCTTCCGCACCATCACAAAGTTTATTCGTTCTGCGCGTAGCGAGGCACTCCCTGACGAAACTACGTCCACGAAGCATGAGGGTGCCCTCGCAAATGAATACACCACGCCCTACTTGGAGGGAATCTCGGGCCTGACCGACTCGCCGCTCTGTGTCCGAATCCCTGGGATCTTGACTTTTTGGGAAGCACCTTTATACGCGAAAGCGGATGGACAAGCCATGCGCAGGATACTTATACGATGGACCCGGGGTGGTCTGCTGCAGCGCTTCTGTCCTTGCTGTGCCCTGCCCCGCCGCTCCCATTACTGTGCATGAGTTAAGTGGCGCGACCTTTTGCGCCTCACCCCACGATGAAGCCCTCCATGGCACTGGCAGTCTGGTTGGTTGGGTTCGGTACGTCGTCGTCACTACCTTATCGTCTTGCATTGTCTTGACCTCCGGCCCTAGCTGTTCTTCTGTCCCTGTCCGCACCGCTGCCTGCCCGTGAGGAGCTGGTGGTCGAGCAACCCTTCAATGCCGCTGCCACCCGCCCCGGATTCGCTCCTCTAGCTACCATCGTGCCCATAGGGGAGGATACGACGTCCGACCGGCCTGACGTTGTCTACGAGCACTCGCCTCGCGCGAAGCTCAAGAACAACTCCCTCGCTCATGCCCGCGACGTGTGGAACGCCGTACGTAAATTATTCTCACCATCGAGAGTAATTCGGCTAACAATAATCTCACAGAGCGAACCGACCGCCATTGCTTCTTTCGTACACGACTAGCTTGGTACAGGGCTGCCAGCATCCATTCAGATGGACGCCGGCGTCCTCTGGAGCTTCTGCTCCCTGTACCATCCGAGCCCCCCGCCCTCCGTTCCGCCCTCACCGCCACCCCACCCGCCGCTCCACACCCATCGGCGGATCCCGACCTCCTAGAAGACAGTGTCACACACCCACGCATGCGCTGCACACACCCCTGCGCGCACTCCGTGTTGCACGCACCCCACTCACATTCGCTTTGTCGCCCTCGTCAGTCTCGCTCCCCTCGCGCTATCCTTCGCCTTCGTCTCATCTTGGATTTGTTGTCTCTTGTGCAGATTCTTCTGGATTTCGGATTCGCTTCGCTCTCTCGAACTCTTGGACTCGGATTCATGGAATGGGGACGATGGCCGTCGGCTCATACACCGACGCGCCCGTCCACTCACTTTGCCTACTTACAGCTTCACCTAATTCCGGCAAACGTCTGCCTTTGGACGAATTTGTAGCCTTAGATACGACTCCGACTCGGTGTATTTGCACAACCTAGTGCATGTACGCCTCGACCCATGTACGAACAGTTACAGTACCGACTGGCACTCCTTTGCTACGCACGCCTCCCTTTGCTCTGTATCGATGTAGAACGTCATACCCTCTACTCATCCGCTATGTATCTTGTATATACCACGGGTAGCAGGCCTCCGAATGCATCGAATGCATACCCACACGTAGAGTACATCGTGAATTGAACAGGATTTCACTGACATACTTTCCAAGTCACAAGCAAGATCAACCGTGACGTCACACAAACGCTCCGCCACTGGTGATGTGAGTGAAAGAGATGTTTACCTTGGTAATCGCGGAGTCGGTATCTCACTATAGTTGAAGCTGAATAACATATAACTGGATCGAAGTCAATCATCGCGTTAGGTTACAGTGGTCGTATACGTGAGTAAGTAATGTCCGTAAATAAATATGCCAGGCGAGGTACGCTACATCGTAGACAAGCTCAAAGAACAGTGAGAGAGAATCATGGCAAATCGTGCAATATAAGTTAGACACCGTTCAACGACTCCAAAGACTCCATCATTTTCTGCTGCCTCGCCTTCCTGCGCTGGTAGATAATCTCCGGCTTGATCTTCTTGACCCGCGCGCCAATGAAGCGACCAGCGACGATGGTGACGATGATGATGAAGGCGACAAAGGCGCCCTTGAGGGCTTTCGGGCCCGCGTGCTGCGCTGGATGGGGGTCAGCATTCGAGCTTATATCCGCAAGTGCGAGGCAATGCACGTACTGCCTTCATCCTTGTCGTCGAGGACGACGCCGAGGTAAACAGGGAGCAACTGTCGCGGAAAGCCGATGACGATGGCTATCAGGTAAACCCATAGCTGGACATCGCAGGCCGCGACGAGGACAGTGACGACTGAAATAACGTGAGCTAGCGCTAGGCGACAGTATGGAGAGGCGGCTTACAATGCGGCGGGAAGACACTTAGGCGAAAGACCGCGCAAATTATCCAGCCACCTTCGCGTACCACCCTGGCGTAGCAGGCGTAGGAGACACCCGTCTCTTCCTTCTTCTGCAATCTTGCGCGGAAGAAGTACTTAACCAGCCTGCGAAGACGATTAGCGATGCTCCAACATTATCGAGAGTAAAGGACGTACAAGAAGAGCAAGATCTCGCCGATAACCGTCCCTGCCGCGACGATACCAAAGCCCTCTCCCAGACCCCAAATCATGCCACAGAACATCGCGACGACTTCCTGGCCAATGAGTGGCGGGAAGGAGATGGCGATGTATATCGCCAAAGGGATAACGAAGCCCCATGGACGCCTGCGCTCACCGTCAATCAGGCATCTCGAAAAAGGGTGCTAAGGCTTACTCGTCCATCCACGCCTTGACAGGCCGAAGTGCGTGCAATATCCTGTCGTTCATCGCGAAGATGACAATGAACGCGACCAGAAGAATGACCGCCACAACAATTTGTTCTAGCCATGAGTCAGTACCGCACGCGCCCAGTTGATATGAGATGACTTACTCCAGTACATCTTCAGCATCACAGACCCACTATAGGGCATCTTGCCTGCAAGCAGATTCGCTTCGCTTGGTGTTGGACTCGGTGTACGCGCCATGCCAGTGCGAGGGGGCGTATATTGATATTGTGGCGCCGGCGCAAGAGTCTGCGCGTCCGCCTCCCACTGGTCATGGTGTATCGGCCTCGGCTGCACGATAGGATTGAGCGGTGCGAGCTCAGCATAGGAAGGCGCCTGTCGTGTGTGGCGGGGCATCGTGGTCGTGGGAGCGCGCCGGAATTCCAAGTCGCAAATCGGGGAGAGCGGCGAATGGGGGAGGCCGAGAGGGTCGTGAGGTGTTCGCGGGCCTTGGGCCGCTGAGAAGGGTGAGCCTGTGTCATCTTGGCGCCCAGCCTTTATAACTCGTAGGAGAGGGTGCGGGAGGATTCCGCCCCTTGAAGCGTCGCAAAGGATTGCAGGGGAGGAATCCGCAGATCTTGCGGCAACAAGCCGCGGCGTGGGCGGTCCGACAGTGGCGATGTCTCGCGCTGAGTTTCAGATGGTGAAGATAGCCATTTTTGGCGCGGGCCTGTGAGGGAAGAGCTGAACGCGTACAGCACGCTGCACCCCGCTCATCATACGTGTATGCGAGGGACTCATATACGATGTCAGAGAGAGCCGAAAGATTGCGCACGTCGACGGATGTGATAGTCAAAAGCAAGGGAAGTTCGGATTGAAGGCCAATCATTCTGTCACCCGATATTCACGTGAGGAAAAGTTCAACTTCTGCGACTTCGGTTTCCTAAGGATCAGCAATCATTGGACTGCATACTGTCGTCATTCTCAAGAAGTCTGTGCACCATGGGTCATGGGATGCAACACCAATCGCGAAAGACACCCTTGGCCGGCTATCTTCACCTCTCAACCCACTCAATCAAGCGCCTCGCTAGTTGGACCCAGCCTGCATCCCTTCACGCTCAAACAAAGATTGCCATTTTAAGGCACATATGAATTAGGTGCAGTATCAAAACGACTGAATTATTCCGCGTATCAAGGAGAAGGAAGAGTGATGTCCAAGGGCAAGTCATTGAGACTGCCGCGATTGTCCTACGAAAAGCATACTCGAAACCCCGCGTTCACTACTTAGGCGAACGAAGCGCCGCTGGAGGCAGGCAGGTCGCCGGACGCAGTGGGAGCACCGGAGCCACTAGGGGGCGCGCCGCTGCCGCTGGGACCACCCTGGCCGCCGCCCGGCGCACCGCCACCCATGCCACCTGACGACTCGTTCTCGACACCACCCTCCGCGTAGTACGATGCCGCGGCGGAGATCGTGTAAGAGTTGGTGAGGTTGACGCCGAACGCGGTCCACGCCATGATGCCGTCCGAGACGTCGTCGCCGAGGAGGACGTAGGAGACGACGGGGTCGATGTCGGCGGACTCCTCCTCCATGATGCTGTCTTCCTCGTTCGTGGTAAGCTCCTGCGTGTTGGTGCTGTACGGCTCAAGTGCCTCGACCTGGGTGATCAGGTCCTGGTCTGTACGGAACGGCAATCAGTTATAGCCGCTGGAAATTGTAGATCTCGCGTACCGAAGAACATCTGTCCGACGTGCGAGACGGTTTCGGACTTGTAGGTTCCGTTGGGGTAAACCGTGCCATCCGCCGCAGTGTGGGTGGCGACGTGGATGTGAGTCGTGCTGAAATACGTGAATAAGCGACCGTGATCGTGTGTAGAGGGATAGGAAGGACGTACCGGCCAGTGTAGTGACCCGGGAAGACAGTCAACCACTGCGCGACCCCATCCTCGTTGGTCGGTTGAAGGCCACGGAGGAAAGTGGTGTTCTGATGATCACATTAGACGAGAAGCAGGGACGATTAAGATAGCATACCAGGTTGGCGGCGTCACCGTTGCCGTTGTTCTCAGCGGTGACACCGGCGTAGACACCAGTGGCGTTAGCTGTATACTGATGAGAAAGGTTGTATCAACAACTGGGCGCACAAACGTACCGTGCCAGAAGTCAATGTAGATGTCGGGAACCGGCTCGCAAGTGTTGATGTCGATAACCTGGACATCGACGTAGAGGTCGACGCCAGCCTGGTCTTCGCGGATGTCCCAGCGGACGAACTCGCCGTCAACATCTGGAATAAAAAGTTAGAGATGAACTGTAGATGAACAAATAATATCCGGAACATACAGTAGGGGCCCTCAGTAACGTCGGGAGCGAGAATGCACGCGCTGTTGCCAGCAAAGAGGGTATCAGCATCCGTGTTGTTCGTAACGCCCGTCAGGTTCGACTTGTGGTCGGTCGCCAGCACCGTGTCAAAGTCGCGCTTGTACGGGGCGTCTGCGAAAGGGATATGTAAAGTGGCAATTACATGGGGGGATGCACGTACTGCGCTTCAGGCCGCGGACAGAACGAGCGTCCTCCGCGAGTGCGGCGCGACGAGCGATGGAGCGCTCGTACAGGCCACCGCGCTTGCGCAGTTGGTCCTTGCAGCCAGCGAGGGAGCGCTGAGCGGCCTTGACGAAGGTCTCGCGCTTCACGAACTCCGGCGAGCCGACAGCGTGGTGGGGGTGGGCAGAGCCAACCTCGGCAAGGGAGATGGCAGCGAGAACAAGAACGGACGGGATGAAAACCATGTTGAGATGGAAGCGGGTGTCGAGTATGGATTAGCGGAGGAAGAGAAGAACTGAAAGACTTGGTGAAGTTCTACATCGTTTGTTCTGGCTTTTATACTTCCTGAAAGGCAGCAAAGAGGCGTGCAGTGACGACGATGCGCAGCTGATGCGTGGATCGGACAGCCTGGTCGCAGGCAGGAGCAGACATGCGAAGTAATAGCCGGTGTCCGATAGGGCGGACGGCCTCTAGAATTTCCCAGTAAGCGTCCGCTCGACCGGGGACGGTGCGATGCAATTCATCCCTGCCGCCGTGCCCCAGAGCTGTCTGTCTGCAGTAAGTCTTCGGGCCATACTCAGTCAGACGCACCAAACAGTAGAGCAGCTTAGCGTTAGCAGCATGCAGATCAAGCGCGCTGTACGCCCTCGGTGCCTTGTTGAACGACATCACAAGACCGTGGAATGCCAAGCCTTTCGTGACCAGGGCACAGCCACTGCGCAGCGAATCAGTCTCACAAAGGGAGCAGCAGCCAATGATATTGGCCGGATATTGCAGGTGCCGCTTGCTGTCCCTTTCAGGCAGTGCATCCTCCACTGCTAGAGGCGGTCCGCAGTCTTCCGCATACTTGCGCAGCATGAAAGTCGAATGGCATGCATGGTCGCTGCTAAGGTGACGTTCATGCGCGGTATGAATCCGGTGCCTTCAGAACGCCTTTCTGCTGCGTGGGGTCCGACGGTACGCTCTCTCGAGGATAGTTTGGATGAGCCTATTGATTCACGCAATACCCCAGGGTGCGCGCCTGCGCGAGAAATCGGCAGGCGAGGCAGGAAGATTGGTTCAGTGGGTGCGAAGAGCACAAACGCTCGACTCCATGCGCTTCAGCGTCCAGTGAGAGATTTCGAGATCATTCAAGAAAGAGAATGTGATTGGGCAGCAGGGAATCTCCAAGCCCGAGGAGCCATCGTGGTCGCTCTTGTCAATGGGTGACTTCCCGTAAGAATTGGAACGGTCCAAACCAAAAACAAATTGCACAGCCTCACTTCTGAGCAAAAGAGTTGGAACGCGCCGACCCCCGTAAGCGCCGACGGGCCAAATCATTTCGAGAGCTTTCCAACAGCGCCTTTTGATGGGACCCACAACGTCCAAATCCGGTAAAAAATCTAATTAAGCCCACCATGCACCTCCATTCGCTGTAAAAGCTCGTAGGAAGGATGAGAGTGCGTGTGTTTAATGCATGTGGGTGAGAGAGAAGCGGAAAGTAGAGCGTAAGGCTCGCTATAGACTGCAGGCTGCTGAGGGCGGACGGCACGCGATCAGCGTGATGATGTCACAATGGCAGTTTGGAAGGCCTTTGGAATCTGGCGAGGGGTCGGGAGGCCTCGCCAGATTGCAGAGGTTTGGAAAGGTTCGAAATTGCAAATTGCGCATCGCCACCCCTCCGGCTTCGCGGCATGACGCAAATTTGGCTGTGCAGAATGGGTTTGGACGTTCCAAATCCTTACGGGAAGTCACCCAATGTCAAGTTGAACATGCCTCTAGCCCGATCAATGATCAAGTTGACACGTGGGAGATATCAACCCCAGAAAGGCAAGTGTTGTAGCCGAACCTGGCGAGCCGCCAAGTGAACCGCCGCCGCACCGGCGGTCTCGAGAAATTTGATACTTATACTTTGACATCCGGGCCTAATATGACAGGCATCGGCTCGAATACTCATTCATAATGCTTTGCTTTGACTTTACCATTGCTTTCCAGCTTGAAGACCTGGAAGGGTTGCGACATCGCAATTGTCATGGTCAATCCTCACGAATCCTGCCAATGAAAGGGGACAACATCTCATGCACATTTCCTACGTTCCAATAATACCGATAGATAATATGCTCATCACTCGTACTACACTCGTTATACAGGAAGGACCGTGCTGTTTTAGCACTGGGTATCGGCGTAAACCTGGGTAGAGAAGCACTGATCAATTGCGTTAGTAGGCTATCCATGCCGTATAGGTCATCGTCGACTTACGTTGAAATTGTCCGCGTTGGAGATCTTCTCGCTGTCCGAAAGCTCCTGGTCAGCAGCGCACCCATAGCCGACATCCTCCGTGTCAGAGAGAGCGTGCGTCAACCTATATAAGTGTGAGAACTGCGCATTTGACGCGGGTGAGTGCCTGTCAACGTACTCGTGGAGGGTCGTGCCGCCACGGATGTTGCGCTCGTCGACAGTCGTGCCCGAGCAGAGCTGCGTGGTCTCGACCTCATCGTAGAAGATGTCGCAGAAGTAGATGTTGGTAGTCGCGATGACGGTGTATGCGATCACGCCCTGCGAGCACGCGCCGAGCTCGTCGTTGCAGTTGAGGGTGCGGGAGTCGTCGTTCTCGGCCGCAACGGCGTCGAAGCTGAAGGGGACGGCACGTTAGCAAGGACGATGCTGTGCAACAAAGAGCAAACGTACATGGAGGCCACCTCGGAGGCGTCGTTGGCGCCGAAGTAGGCAGAGGTGAGCTCGGAGTCACCATTCGAGCCCAGATAGTCGGACGCGATGGTGGCGAGCTCCTTGGCCTCGGTGTAGCTGTAGCATGTCTATCTGAGGATGTTCAAGTTCCAACAACTCGAGTCAGCTCACCTGGAGTCGATGAACGACGCGAGCTCAGTGTCGTCGCAGGTGTTGACCGAGCGCTTCGCGTTCGGGCCCGGCTTGAGCTCGCGGCGGGCGATGTCACCGCTGACGGACACCTTCGCAGAGCCGGCATTGACCTCGACTTTGGAGAAGTCCGCAATGGACTTGACCTTGTTGGCCGAGACGTCCGGCACCTGGAACCAGGTCACCGGCTTGATGTCGAAATCACCCGCACCAGCGCCCTCGAAGTTATAGAGAGCGGAGACTGCAGAGCGTCATCAGCGACATCCTAATCACACCGAAGTGAAAATGGTGACTTACTGTCGTGAGTGGCATTCACCGTCTCGCCAGGCTGAATGGTCACGTAGTTGTCCTCCGTGAGCTTGTCCATCGCGAGCGAGATCTTCACACCCGAGAAGTCGACCTTGCTGTCGCCCTTCGACACGAAGAACGAGCGAGTCGGCAGTTCGTTGTCGAGGACGGAGCCGGCCTTGAGCACCTTGACGGGCGCGCTGCCGGTGTTCGTAACGGACGCGGTCACCTGCATCGCGTCCAGGGAGCGGACGTTCTCCGGGGCGGAGATGTCGATGGAAAGCTCGGAGGAACGGCGCATAGGGCCGGCGGCGACGGCGGACGCGAGGCCAAGGGTAGCAGCGGCAGCGAGGGCGAACATGTCGACTGTGGGTGTTGAGGAAGGCGAGAGAGGAGGATGAGGAGGACAGGCGAGTGTTCGCTGCTGGGCTGAAGAGTGCAGACATCGCCCGGAGCCTTATATACAGGACTTTGCCAAGGTAAAAGCTCGGCGTACGCATGAGAGGACGCCCATCGTCAGTCCATAAAACAGGCGCGGCAGCCTGCGGAGGCCGTTCGTCGTATGCACTTGCATGCGCCTGCGCTGACGCCCGGCCTTCTGGCGATAAGAGTTGCTAGGCCGCAGAGGTCATCGGCACCGGAGATATCTGACAGCAGTCGCTCGCTCGCAGAGGGAGGCGTGGGTCCACAGTCCACGGGTAGGAAGCGTTGAATGCGAAGACGTGCACCATGCGGGCGTACGATGCGCGCGCAGTTTGAGAACGACGGCAGAAGAGGCGGCAAACAGGTGACCGGCTCCATAGCCACACTTTAGGTGTTTCCTCGGCAGCCTTGGCGCGCTCGATAAGGCAGGTTTTGAGTTCGTGCACCGAGGCTGAAGAGTCGGGGCTGAATTGCGAGTACGCCCGCTTCTGGCGCCGTGAACGCAGCTGAGCGAGTTTCCTCGTGGATCTTGTTCTGTGTGCGAGATATCGCTGGGTAGTGTCATCTGCAGGAGAAGATGCCAAGGTCATGGTCGTTTATTTGCATGTGGAAACTGACTGACAGACTTGAACTTTGCAAACCCAGCGTATATGCGGGCTTCTGGGAGAGTCCAGAGCAGTCAAGGGAGCTGAAGAATCGGACGATTTTGTTGTGCTGAGAGAGCTGTCCACATCGCATCGCTTGCTAATGCTTTTGAGGCTTCATTGGAGATGGTGACTGAGCAAAGGTGAGCCAGAATAGTTCCGTTGATGCCGATGATGGCGTGTCCCGACGGCTTGATGGTGACTCACACATATGGGCGCTTAATGGCCAGTACGCCTGAGCTGCCTGCCACCTCCATAGAAAGACTTGCTCCCTCCCGCACTTACCGGATAGCCTATGCATATGACTGTCAGGGACATGTAAAGAATATTTTTTGGAAGTGGACCTTACCAAGCCCGACATCGGGGGCTTCGGGCAGCGGAGGTGGTTAGCAAGACGAGACAGACGATTCAACTAGACACGTCTTTGGCCTTCAACAGATCGTATGTTTCTCCAAGAGTCGTTGGCGTGCTCGAGAAACAAGGATGTACAGAATTGTTTGTCATGGAAGCGTTGTATATAAGGTAGCTGAAGCGCGAAGGGTTCACCAGAATTCCTCGTATACGCCCGCAGTAACAGCACAATGGCCGCCTACCAGCCCCAGAAACCCCTTGTTTTTGTGAGTACTCTATAGCGGGAGATGAAGTCACCAACTCATACTTCTTCATCCCAGGTAACCGGCGCATCCGGGTATATCGCCTTTGCCGTCGTGCACGAACTGCTGGAGAAGGGCTATCGCGTCAGAGGCTCCGCACGCGGCGGCAAGGTTGCTACCCTGCAGAGTATCTTCGCAAAGTACCCGCTTTTCGAGGCAGTCGAGGTCGCAGATATCGCGTCCTCGGACCTCTCCGACGTCTTCAAGGGTATGCAGTAATTGACTTACGACAAGCCGGGCCGCTCATGATGTGATAGGTGTCGACAAGCTCATCCATATGGCTGCTCCGCTCGTGGGTCGCGCGACACCTAAGGAGGCAGTAGATGTGAGCGCGACTGTCATTTTCGACGCAGAGAGTAGCTGACAGACCTTTAAGCTGGGTATTCACGGGACAGTGCACGTCCTGAACCACGCTGCCGCCGCGGGGATCAAGAAGATTGTTGTCACTGGTTCCTCCATCTCCTACAACCTGCCTGACGGCCCGTTCGGTCCTCGTGGTGAGCAATAACGACGAGGAAACTTGGACATGCCTTTACAAGCTCCCCTAGACTTCAATTCAGTCACCATCGAAGCCGCGAGTGCGCCGGATTCCGATCCTTGGCTAGCCTATGCGGCGGAGAAGACGTTCACTGAGAAGGCGGTCGTCGAGTTTGGGGAAAAGCACCCCGAGATCGACATTTCGATCGGTACGTTCCTGCACTTCATCGTGCCGAGGCAATATTTGACGTACCATAGTCGAGCCTCCCTTCGTCTTTGGGGCCTATGCGCCAGGATTTGAAGCCCTCGTGCCCCCGAACAGCCCTCAGAGCCTGTCAACCATGGCATTCATCTACCGCTTGCTCCAGCCGGATACAAAAGACTTCATGCCTCCGTTCGGCTACGTGGACCTGCGCGATGTCGTGCGCGCTCATATCGCCGCGATGGAGATTGACACCAGTGCCCTTCCCGTGCACGAGCGTCGCTTCGGCATCTTCGCGCCGTACGACACGGACGCGAAGGAGGCCATTGAGTACGTGGCGCAGCAGCGGCCGGAGCTGAAGGACAGGCTGGCGACGCCCCAGAGCCACTGGGGGGCACGGCAGACTTTGTTTGGAGGAGCAGAGAGGGCGCGCGTCGAGAAGACCTTGGGTTTTCGTCTGGCTGAGCGTTACAGCTGGAAGGATACTGTGCTTGACACCGTCGATGCACTCATTGCTCTGGAGAAGAAGTGGAAGGGGGAGACTGGCATCAGGGATTCGGGGGTTTTCTGATATGCCCTTTTAGCAATGTTCAGGTTCAACCATCATTGATCTCGCTGGCCATGCGCTGCCACGGCGTGGCCATGGACTCACCACAATGGTGAGCCATGTCCAAATTCTGCCAAAATGGTGCTTACATGGCATTGTGACTCCCGTATCGCGGTGTCTTGACCATGGCATGCCCGTAGGGTATTCTCATGTTAGGCCTTGCCCATGCGCTGGGGATGTGTGTACCACGCTCACGGGCGAAGGTCGCGCTGTACCATGCAGACATACATTCTCTCGCCGAACTTGTAGTCCACCTATATACTGGTTTCACAGGGTCGAAGAATACATCACGTTGGTGTGCTTAACGGTCTCCATCGTCTTCAGTAAGTAGCTTCACCAGTTCTCACAGCTTGCGACATATGAGGCTATGTTTTATACACTGCACAAAACGGGCGATTATACAGGAAGTGCTATTAGTTGTCTGTCTGTTTGAGAACGACCGTCATAGCGAGCCCTGCGGAGCCCAATTGCCGGACTTACGGATAATTTTCTCTAAGTCCGCATTCCGCACGCGACGAGCGGACCGATCTCCGGCTGCGGTTCATATCCCGCTCGCGTTGCTACCCGACTTGACTCCCGCTTCCACCATCCTCCTGCGGCCCACCTTCACATACCCGCTTCGAGCTTGACGCCATATGCAGCCTCTACCGCGCAGATATACGGAACGCGCTCCGCAAGCACAACTAGGCTGCCGATTCGCGCGCCACGTAGTCGCGGAAAGGAGGCACGCAGCGCGTCCTCAATGGTTCTGCACTTCCATACTGACCCTCATTGATTACAGTGGGCGGCGTCCCTGATGCAAGTAGCCAACAAGTTCAGTAGCACGCGCTGACCGCCATCCCTAGCCCCTTCGCGCTCGCGCCTAGGGAGCATGTTCTCCTCCCACCTCGGCAAGCGGTGCTCCGAACGGCGCACGCGCGGTTGCTCCGAGGGACTCCCCTCGTCGACGTCACCCAAGTACAAAGGTGCGTCCCCCGTTGACCCTGCACGTCGAAAATACTCGACCACTCCCCCGTGCACGCGAGCAACTACTACAGCCCGCGCATCAGCGCTGCCTCGAAGCGGAACACGAGGCTGAGCACCGCCGCGAGGAAGAAGAAGCGGAGGCGGCGCGGAAGGCTTCGCCTGAGCTCGGGATCAAGTGCGCGACGTCGGAGCGGCGCCGGCGCGAGCAGCAGCCGCGGGAGGAGGTGCGCGAGATCGCGGAGCGCAAGCCACCGGACTGGCTGCAGCGGCAGGAGGAACAGTGGTTCGAACAGTAGTGCGCGGATCAGGCGCGGGCGGCGGAGGAGGCGAAGCGGCGGGAGGAGCCTGGAGGGGGAGAGGAAACGCAACATCAAGGAGGCGAAGGTGAAGGCGGTGGCGTCTCGTCGTACGTTCTCGGTTATCGCTACTCATTTACGAGACCGTTGCTTTTATCTTCAAGTACCCGCTGTATGCTGCACAGTAAGTGTGAGGTGAGGTGTAGGTAGCGCTTGTAGTGTACTGAGCGAGTAGTGGGTCCTTATTGCAATAAAATTGATTTTTATTCACTCTCAATGAATTATATTGTGAAAGCTAACGACAAATGAAGTTTATGTGCCGTGGTACACCTAGCCAGGTAGGGTTATGACCAGCTCGAACCAGTGGCGCCAGCAACGCCCGTCACGGTTCGAGATGGCCTTGATGGCGCGTGACACCTTTTTTCATCAGAGCTGGTCATGGCAACCACCATATGATTGCAACATGGCAGTCATGGTACGTGCCGATGCTGCAGACTTTTGATGGGCAGCATAAAACAGGGAATGTACTTTTCCCTGATGGGGAACTAGAGTATAGTGGTGCAGCGAATTCCCTATAACTGTAATGACCGCGCTCGAGGTGCAATGGTGTTGGTTGTGATATGGCGAAGGACGAACTGTTTAGGGCCTGTTCGGGAAAAAGAAACACGTCGAAGTTACCCGACTTACCTGCCTTACAAGGCAGGTTAACGGAGATCGGCGAACGGGACGAGAGCCTCCGGCATACCGAGAAGAACAGTCAGGAAGATGCTGACAACCTCTCCGATATCGAGCGGTCGAGGCCTGACTTACTTGCCTTCAAAGGCAGGTAAGTCACGCAAGTTAGCTGACTATGACGTGTTTCTTTTTCCCGAACAGGCCCTTACTTGCATCTCTTCAACCACGTGCGACTGATCAAAATGACTTAACTCAGGTGAGCTCATGTTGAACTTTCATCATGGCCTGCATAGTGCCCTCTTCGGCCGTCATTCTGCAACGTTACTGCACCTTGACTTGCATAGTGCATCGAAGTCGTGAGTGGTCCGTAAGGCGAAGCCCGTTGGATGGACGTACTTGCCCTTCGCGGCAAATTCTCACTCGCTGGTGAGCTAAGCCTTGGTCTTCCCCGAATTTACCCTAGCAGGTGGAAGGAGGAGCCCTTCATTCTCCCTGTCGCCAGGGGCGCCTCATGTGAAGGAACGATCAAGCAGCAGCGACCATGCACTGCCCGCGCCGCCACTTGTGGATGACGTGCCTCCAAGGCGCTCCACCTCCTGCTAGGTCATGGTGGATCCAAAGCGCGTCCGGACTCTGTCTACCTAGTGATAGCCAACTCGGCAAGGGCCTTGGCAGACGTGATATAGCGCAGGCGCTGGGCTCGCGCCACACTCACCTTTCACTCTTCCCCTCCACTTTCATTGACGATCTCTTCACGACTCTACGCCGCATCTTAAGCACCCATATCTAATCCCCTTCTCATTCTCATCACCCAGCGTGATGTATACCAATACTACGATCACTCGACTCGCGCTTCTGATCCTCATATTCATCCTGTCCGTCGGAAGAGCCCGCGCGCAGAACAACTCGACGAAGGCGGGCCTTGCATGGCCAAATGGCCGCTATGACGATGCTCGCCAGTTCACGAAGACCGGGAAGGTGTCCTGGTATGTGTCTATGCTATATTGCAGGCTGACGCTCATGAAACGGTAGGTACTACACATGGAGTCCTTCACCAGTACGAGGGCTTGACCTCGAATTCGTCCCCATGTACTGGGGCGAGAGGCAAACCGAGCAGTTCTCCGAGTCTATCAACGACACGATCGACGCATACGATGTGAAGCATATCCTCGCGTTCAACGAGTGCGTTACCCTTCTTCCCAAACGAACATATGCTGACTGACATTCAGACCCCAACAAGAAGGACAATCGGACATCAACGTCACGCGTGCCCTCGAGTTGTGGAACGAGTATCTCCTTCCCCTTCGCGACGCATATGGGGTCAAGCTCGGCAGCCCGGCCCCGACCAGCGCTCCCGACGGCATGACGTGGCTGCAAGACTTCTGCGACGCCATCGACGACGCGAGAGGTAGCGATGGATGCCCTGAGGTCGACTTCGTCGCCTTGCGTGAGTTTCGTATGACTTGTGGTTTGCTCGTAGTTCCTGAAGTTATACGCAGATTGGTACGACGTCGATGCGGACAACTTCAAGACGTACATGGAGGAATTTCACGACACATTCCCCGGGAAGTCGATCTGGGTCACTGAGTGGTACGCAGATACATGTAACTATATTCAGCGGACTTACTAAGTCTCTCCTACAGGGCCTGTCAGAACTTCAACAGCGGCGCTCAATGCTCGTACGCCGACATTGTCACCTTCATGAACGAGACGCAGAGCTGGATGGACGAGACAAATTGGATAGAGCGCTACGCGTGGTTCGGGGCGATGCGCGACTTGCAAGGCGTAAATGCTGTATGTTCTCCTCTTCGATTTCCGAGAGTACGCTGCTGACGAAATCTTCGCAAGGACAACGCCCTGCTCGACAAAGATGGCGACCTCACCGACCTTGGCCAGCAGTACATTGGCGAGGACCCTGCGGACCCAAACAACGACAGCAGCGCGCAAGCCCTCTTCCCAGCCGCCCTGTATACGCTCGCAGCCGCCTGGCTTTGCCAGGTTGCGGTGGCATGATCGGAGATGATACCTGCTACGTGACTGAGGCCTGGACAGCGATGGTTGTGTGCGGATACATGGACGGATCTCCTCCTGGACACTGTATACCTACTCTTGATACCCTACTTACTGCTCGACTGTAGCCTTCACATGTAATTTGATAGATGCTTGCCTTCATGCCCTTCGTCTCGCGGACGAATATCATACAAACTTTGCCCTGAAGCTGTCAGAGTTGAAGTAATCTTACCCTCAAGCCTCGCCAACTCGGCCCATCACGCTCACACGCAAGAGAGAGATTTCAAAGGAATTTCAGAGAGGAAATATATACTAATACTGTTCAGCTGTACAACGCACACATGCTACATGGAGTACGGGGGAATGGGACGATGCAACACAGCAAATGATATCGAGATGCTAAACAGACAAGGGAGGAGGTAGTAGTGGGCGGCCAACGAACGCGGAGGTCGAGGAAGGGGTAGCAAGAGCGCAGGCGGGTGGGTGGTAGTAGGGGACGTGAGTGGGTACCAAATAGAATACGCAGGATATGCACGACGTCAACGTCCGACATGGTGCAGCACTACAACCGCGCGAGGGCGCTTTGTCCAGGCGCAGAGTAAACAAACAACCGCCCAGGGAGAAGAAGAAAGTAGAGAAAAACAGAATAAGTGAGAAGAACAACAGGGTGGTAGGGTGCGTCCGGCAGACGCGGCGAAAGGAGCGTGTGTGGTTGGAATGTGCAGGTGGGCAGTACATGCAAGAACAAGGAGCACAAGATCAACTACGGGTCGACTTCACGCGGAACTGCGCGAGGATGGCAAGATGGCTAAAATCATGTTAGCATCGTGAACTTGAAAGGAGGGCTTGAGGACGCACTCTGATGGAAAGTGGGCGTTCGGGAACCCAACGACCTTCTCCAGATATGACCTATCCACCTCACCCAAGACCTTCTGCACTGCGACTGTTGGCGCCGAGTACCAGATGTAGTCGATCACACCCTGGAAGCTCGGCGTGTAGTTCGTCATCGGCAGCAGTTCCGCCCCAGGTCCCGGCCCCGGCAGCGCGTATGCTGAACGCAGACCGAACCGATGACGCATCCCCTCCTCCGTGTACCGCCCATACGAGTGTCCCAGGAAGTCCGGGTGATCTGGAGGCAAGCTCCCCGCGGACAGGTACTCGTACACTCCTGAGCGCGGCACGCTGTTGTAGTCTCCGCACACGATGGTGGGGATCTTCGTGCCGTCGGAGTACGAAGGTGGCGGCTGACCAGATTCGGTCTTGAGAGGCGGCGGATACCGCGCGAACGCGTGCGCAATCTTCTCGAGCTCGTCCATGAGCATGCCGACCTGCACGAGCTTGACGTCGCAGAAGTCGGCGTTCCAGAACATGTGGGCGTTGGCGACGATGAAGCGCGTGCCAGTCGAGCGGTCCTCGAAGCAGCAAACGACGGCGATGTACTCCTTATTGAAAAGTCGATTGAACATGATGTCCGTCTTGATGAAGTCGGAACGCTGCATTGCAACGGCGCTCAACTCCACCAGGTGCTTCTCAACGAGTTTGAACCTGAAAAAAGTCAGTACAGCGCCAGGCGATAGGGTATGCGTACGCACCTATCAGACCGGTAGAAGGTCGCGCACCCGTCGACAGTTCTTCGCTCTGCCTCGCCCATCGTCCGTGCTCGTGGCTTCGGCCAGAAGACCGCCTCGTACCCATGCTCCATCATATGCTTCAAGAAGTAGTCCTCAAACTGCCCGACATCGATCTCTTGCAAGCAGACGAACTCGGCCTGATGTGCAACAAGCTCCTTCAGGATCAGCTCCTTCCGATAATCCCACGCCAGCGCCCAAGACGGCGTGTACCCGTACAACTTCTCCGTCGCGTACTTGTCGCATAGGATGTTGTAGCAGAGCACGCTGAACGTCTCTGCGTTGTGATCTAGGATGGGGTCCGATGGCAGACTCACGTCCTTCCACTCGCGGTCTGGTGCCGGCGCGGGGACGGGACATGAATCGCGGAGGTTGGCTATGAGCGCCTGGGTGCCATCCTTCTGAATGACCGACTTGATGGACATATCCAGAGGGTTCCCCTCGATGCCTAGAGTGCGCAACTGGTGCAGCGTACCCAGCTCCGGCGGTATGGTGGTGATTTGGTTGTCGAAGACGTAAAACTCCTTCAACGACGTGATCATCCCCAGCTCCGGCGGTATCGCTGTCAGCTGGTTCCCTGAGAGGTCCAGAAGTTCCAGATGCCGAAGCTTGGAGAGTTGTGGGGGCACGGATGTGAGGGCGTTGTGATTAAGGTAGAGGTTGGTAAGGAATGTGAAAGAGAAGAGGCCCGATGTTGGCGGTATGTTCTTGATCTGTATGCCACCCATATCAAGCGAGTTCCACGACCCCTGCGGCGGGCGCGCTGCTGTTGGTCTAGGTGTCTCTTTGACCGGAGCTGCGGTGGAAGAGGGGTGGTTCGCTTGATGACTAGGCGACATTTCTGAGGGATTCGGCGTAGCGCGGCCATTGGTCTCTGGGTCCTTCCCGTTGGTTTCTGGCGGAGCCTTGATAAGGTTGGGATTGGTGATCGGTACGGCAGACTTGGTCACAGTGCGCGAGGCAATTGCGTTTGCTCTCGCTCGATGATGAGGCGAGCGAGAGGACCGTATCATCTTCGGGACACGTCAGATATGTGTGCGACTGAAAATCAACTGCCACGCACCTCGCACTTGATCAACTGTTCATTCCAATGACTGGTTAGGAGCTGACCGACTGGCGATCCAAGGGGGAGCTGGTTCACGTTCGGTGGCGAAGGATAATGAGAGAGGGATGCCTGATGATGGTGATGTTGTTGCAGCTGGTGGTGTGGATGCATCATCTGTGGCAGCGATCCATTGGTGTACAGGCCGTATCCTGGGGATGTGGGCGGTGGGCCACCAACCCCAGACTGGCCGGGCGGACCGAGGACAGGATGATGCTGGCGAGACCATGGGTTCTGGTCGTGGTGGTTGGGGAGTTTGTGGGCAATGCCAGGGGACTGTTGTGAATAATACATCACATGTAGGAGAGCGCGAAGGCAAGCGAACGGCGTCCAGAGTGCCTATCAGGTTCCTATACTGATCTGTATGTTTTCAAGAAGATGTGTTGGTGGCGTGACAAAGAGATACAGTGGCCCAAGTCCGTTTGGATCTGTTGCAAGAGCGCGGTCCGAGGAAAGAGGGAGCGTTGATGATTGTTCTCGACAAGCGGTGCGCTGGGCGATCCGTGCGAACTCGTCATCACTTCACGTGCACACATTCCATCGAACTGTGACAATGTGACACGTCCTACTTTCCTACTTACCACCGACTACCCAGCCTATGATGGCCAGGAAGCTCATCATACTGCTGAAGTGGGCATGCTCTACTGACTGGACCGAAGACCCTCTTCTGAGAAGCTCCTTTCCGGTTCTAGGCGACTTCTACGAGTCTGAACCTTTGGGACTTGCCCCGGATCTCAGAAATCCGCATTGAGGCGTTCGTTCTCGTCGCGTACATCGATGCCGGACTCAGAAGAGTTACTTTGACAAGGATTGGAAAGATGAAGTGGAGCCAACGCCCATGGACGAGCGCGCACCGGAGCGAGACTTAGACAGGATGTGGCGCTTCGTCATGTGCTGGCACGTGCGATCGCGGACTGAGGACGCTGGCGGCCGTCGGGGTTAGATTCGTGTCTTTGCCTTCCCGTTCTGAGCGCGAAAATTCACGTCCCGCCGCCGCACTTGTCGGGTCAGATGCAGCACCCATCAGTTCACCGACAGCAGTATTTAATGCATCGTACCATCCAGATTCCAATCATCGTACTCCTTTGCCTCCGCCCACCATGTCCACATACCAGGCAACCGCGTCCGCACCGGTGAACATCGCTTGCATAAAGTACAGGGTCTTTTCCTCCATCCAAAGCTGTGCTAACGAAGCACTAGATACTGGGGCAAGCGCGACACGAAGCTCATCCTTCCGACGAACTCATCGCTCTCGGTTACCCTCGATCAGGATTACCTGAAGTCTACCACTACTTCTCGCGCGGACCCATCGTTCGAGAAGGACCAGCTATGGTTGAACGGCACTGAGGATGAGATCAAGCCCGGCAGCCGTCTGGAAACGTGCATCAAGGAGATGAAGCGCTTGCGCAAGGTTGAGGTCGAGGACAAGGACCCATCGGCCCCCAAGGTGAGATCGGGGTACTCTTCTCGCGATCACAGCTCATCCCTCGCAGCTCTCTACCTATCATGTTCGCATCGCGTCATACAACAACTTCCCCACTGCTGCAGGCCTCGCGTCGTCCGCCTCCGGCTTCGCGGCTTTGGTCTCCTCCCTTGCAGCGCTGTACAAGCTCCCCGTATCCCCCTCCACCCTTTCCCTCATCGCCCGCCAGGGCTCCGGCTCTGCCTGCCGCTCCCTCTACGGTGGCTTCGTCGCTTGGGAACAGGGCACCAAGGCCGACGGCTCCGACTCCCTCGCCATCCAGATCGCGCCCGAATCCCACTGGCCAACCCTGCACGCCGTCGTCTGCGTCGTCAACGACGCCAAGAAGGGCACCTCCTCCACCGCGGGCATGCAGCGCACCGTCGAGACGTCCCCCCTCCTCCAGCACCGCATCAAGCATGTTGTGCCCCAGCGCATGGCCGAGATCAGCGACGCGATCCGCGCGCGGGACTTCGACGCTTTCGCGCGCATCACGATGCAGGACTCGAACCAGTTCCACGCGGTCGCGCTCGACACGGACCCGCCGATCTTCTACATGAACGATGTCTCGAAGGCGATCGTCGCGCTCATCGTCGAGTACAACCGCGTCGCCATCGAGAAGACCGGGAAGCGGAAGGCCGCGTACACGTACGACGCGGGCCCGAACGCGGTCATCTACGTCGAGCAGGAGAACGTGAAGGAGATCGTGGATTTGATCTTGCAGTATTTCCCCGACGCGGCCGCGAACTTCAAGGACGTTTTCAACTTGTACGCGAACGACCAGAAGAAGGGGGCTGTTGTCTCCGGCTTCAACGAGGCTGTCGCGCAGAAGTGGGAGGGCGGTGTCAAGGGGATCATACACACGAAGATCGGCGACGGCCCTCGCACTCTCGGTGAAAATGAGGCCCTTCTCGACGCGAGCGGGTTGCCGAAGAAGTTGGCGTAAGGGACATGCGGCTGGTGGGCTGGGCAGCATGATCTGTACTTACATCTAGAGTTCGCTTCCTCGAGGGTAATGGCACTGATAATTGCGGATATCATCCGACGCGTCTGCTTGAGTGTTTGTGCATGGTATGGACAAGCTACAAATACAGCCATTATACAAGGAGGTTGTTTCGCGAAAATCAAGAGCCCGTGCCACAGTGACGAAGTGGCCATACAATACCAAGCACGATCACTCCCATTCCTCCCCATTCCTACCGCCTAGCCCCGGAAGATCGACCAAGTCCAACAGATTACCTGTCGGCTGCTTCGCTTCCTGGTCCACAAACTCCAATAAGCTTTCGAACACGGCCGTTCTCTGCTCGAAGGAACGGCCAGGGAGCCCGCTCGAACCAGCCTTCTCTGAAGGATCTGGGATGCCCAGCATGTATTCTGTGCTGACTGTTGTTCGAGGTGGTGACGCAGCAGCAGCAAAAGAGGCGGTCGATGTCGAAGGACCGTCGTCGGTGGGCATGTCTTCTTCTGCGGCCGGCGAGTCACCATCATCATCTTCCTCGTTGGCTCTAAAGCGTTTGTGCGGCGGCTCTCCGTCTGGCGATGGAGGCGCGAGAATGCACGTCAGCAGTGAACGAAATTGCTCCGCCTCTTCACGATCTGAATGGTCGACCACCGTCGCGAGCTTGCTCTGCAAGAAAGCCAGCGACTCGATCGCTGGCTTCGTACTGCACATCTCGCGGAACCTGCAAGGGCTCTCATCAGCCACGCTGCACTCAGCAAAATCCGCTTGCACTCACTGTTGCCTCCGAATCAAAAACCGACTGCGACGCACCACCTCCGCCGGCGCCGGCCTCTCCAACCTCATTGACCAAAAATCATCCAGCCTCTTTTCCTTCTCCACCTCCCCCGGCCTCCCCTGCCCAGGCGCAACATTCTCGTCCCCGCCCTCCGAGTCCTGCTTGCTCAAATCCGCCTCCAGCTGCTCCAGCGTCGTCCGCGCGGCATTCGCCGTCGACCCGTTCCCGCCGTGCATGTACAGCGTTCGCGTGCTCGCGTCGTACACGAGCTGGTGCGCGTAGCGCGGGATGGGTTCTTGAGGTTCGGATTCGGAGGTGGAGTCAGAGGAGGATGAGGAGTCGGGCAGGAGGGGCGGCAGGATGCGCGTCCATTTACCGGCGCGCGAGCCGTAGCGATAGACGTAGTAGGGAGAGGTGTTTTGCAGGATGGTCTGTCCCCCTTGAGTGTTTTGTGGCCGGACCAGGCCGCAGAGGCTGGCTTCAGGATCAGTACAGACGATGGTACACTGTGCGTAAAGCTACTCACACATAGATCTCCTTCAGCTCCGGGTCGATGGCAGCGCGCTGCGTAAAGCAAGGATCCGGACCACCCGAATTCGTGAAGTTGGTATACAGCTCCCGCGCAGAGTTGGTCTCGATATCGTACGCGTACATGTCGGCGAGGTATTTGCCATCGCGCTGGCCGCCAAATATGTAAAGCGTCTTCGCGTCCGGATCGAGGACCATCGAGTGACCGAAGCGAGAGGGAATAACCGTAGGTCCCGAGCTATCGGTGGGTCTGTCAACGTCCTCAGTGAACGGGGGACTGTGCGTCCGGTGCAACGTACTGTAATGTAGTCCACTTCGCTTGCCGGATGTTGTAGCTGTACAGTCCGGAGTAGGTGTAGTTGTTCCAGTCGCCGTTGATGACGCGACCACCGAAGACGTAGATGATCTGCGCCTCGGCATCCATGACCATCTGGTGGTCGTAGATCAGGGGAGGTCCGCCGACGCTCTGCAGTTTAAGTCAGTAACGATTTCATCTACAAGAGCGCAAGACGCACCGCTGTATCATCATACAAGCATCGCCATCCCGCGCCCTCTGACCTGGTATCGAAACGGTGGAACTCCGATCGGAACATCGAGCTCGTCCCACCAGGTGTCGGAGTCGCCGCCCCACCTGTCGACGCAGCAGCTGCCGCCCTTCCACCCGAGCCCGCACCCGCCCTCGAATCGGCCCCCGTCAACTTCCCCAACAAATAAATCGCCCCCGTATTCGGATCGAATACCATCTTGTGACATGACCTTGGCCCGGGATCGCTCCCATCGCCCGTTTGCTGGCCCTCGCTGATCCTCCGCCACGTATCCTCCACGATGTTGTAGACCCAAAAGTCAGAGAGGCTGCGCAAGCCATCCCAGCCGCCGTGGATGTAGATCTCGCGCCGTGTGGGGTCGAAGCACATGGCGTGGCCGGCGCGCTGGAAGGGTGCGTCGCCGTCGCGGTCCGCGCCGCGGAGGCGGGTCCAGAGGGCGTGCGGCTGGCAGGAGTACAGGTAGGAGTTGAAGAGGCCAGCTTGGGCGATCTTTTCGAGGAGGCCTTCGGAGGCTTCCCAGTCGCCGTCAAGGACGACGCTTTTGTAGAGTTGGCTGATGAGAGGGTGCTCTGTCCGCAGGCCGGTTTGCGTCAAGATGGACTCGTAGGGCGTGAGGAATCGTCGTTGGCGTAGGTGCTTCAGGACATGGCGGAGAATCATGGTTTCACGGTACTGATTTCATTGTAAGTGAAGAGGTGCGACGTAGAGTCAAGGTACCAGAATACCTCTTCATAAGCTCTCTGCACTTGCTGCACATACGCTTCGTCCGAGATCCCCGTCATGGACACCTTAAGCGGGTTAGAATGAGCACAAGCATGGGCTGAATGAAGAACTTACATGCCATATAGACGTATTGAAGTGGGGATTATGCCCGGATAGAGGGATGATCTTCACATAACGAGTGGGGAAACTGAGGCCGGCATTATTGGTGTGTTTGACCGTGAAGGACTCTGACATGGAGTCGTTTTTGAGGCTGGCGTGTAGAACTCTGGACATGTTATCCAAAGAAGTACCGACAAGGACGGCGAACTCCTTCATGTTGCATTGGTGTGCTTAGTCGACCCGCGTAAGGAAAGGTGCAGAGCTTGGCGAGGGAAGGACGTACCTTTGTGAAACTGAATGCATCCCGCTGTTAGTCCTCGGGATACTTCACGAGATCATTCCGCCACACCTTCCCAAACGTAATGCTCTCTGCATGGCTCGCTCGTCAAGAAAGATCAGGAAGGACGGCGCATATACTCACTCAGTACGGCGAGTGATTCCAATTGCAGTATGATCCACTGTTTGGATGGTCCTGAGCGCGTCGCGCCGCTCCAGCGACTGCTCTGGTCGGCGGGATTGTCGATGAGGATGTTCTGCGCGACATAGTTTCCACTATGCGAGGAACTGCTTTCGATGTGGTAGCGCAGGGGGACGGAGGATGGTTCGGGGATGCGCGTAGACATGATGGCCGCTATACGTTTGTGAAAGGGAACGATGGCTGCAGGCTAGGCGCGTAAGGCAAAGCGGAACCTAAGTTGCTGATGCCGGGTCTTGCAAGCCGGCTCGAGGTCCGCTCGCGGGCTCCCGCAGGAAAGCGGGACTGCGGGCCGGGGGCGGGAGCTGTCGGTGAAGCCGAGGCGACGGATAAACACGGATTTTGGCGCCTGCGTGGCGCCCGCTCCGAAGACAGCAAAGGGTACCTTTTTGTTGTCGGCCTTTGTGCGTGAGCAGGGAGGAGCTGGGGGAGCTGCAGACACGCAAGATGAAAGTCAGCGGGGGTGGCGACAAGCGGGGACATCGCAGATTTGATCGCCAGCATGCGCGAAAGGCGGCGATGCCGGGAATGGGGGAGCACGCGGGCGATGGGCCGGAATTAACCCGATAGTATATATACCCGCGCGCGACGAGTGGTGATCTTGTTGAACTCCCCGAATTCCCCGCTTTTTGACGATGGAAGGCGAAGTCGACTGGTGCGCCACTTGTGGGCGCCAACTCGCCGCGAAACGCATAACAGAGACTATCAGAGGTGCGTTCGACGCGTCCTTCGCCTTGTTCCTTCCATTGACCGCGTCCCAGTCCCTGCGCCACAGAACGCTCAGGCGCAAGCCCCGACGCGCTCTGGCACCATACGCCCGAAGGGCCGCAAGCAGCCGCCACCACAGGCGCCCGCGCAGCCCGCTACAGTTCTAAAGACGCGTACAGTCTATGACAGCGCGCCTCTCCCCCTCTACTGCTCCGACAGATGCCGCCTCGCCGATCTTCAGAGCCCCGCCCGCTCGGGCGCCCTCGCGATCGGTCACAACCCCGTGCGCCATCCCTGGCGCCTGGACGACGACGACGTGTCCCTCATTCCCGACTGTGCTGTGGACGATGTCTCCAGCGTAGGGACGGCGTCTTCCGCGTCCTCCACCTCCTCTCTTGACGGCGCCGCCCCGGAACTTCATCTCCGTGATATGGACCCGTCCCTGGCAGCCATATTCCGTGGCTATGACTTCCGGCCGATGCCCCTCATTCCTGGCACGGCGCCTGACGCGCATCCCGCCGTCCCTCGCGCGTCGCGCCGCAAACGTGACCTCGACGCGGAGTACAACGGTGGCATCATGATGTCTGGCAAGCGCATCCAGGAGTGGGTGCACCCCGAGCAGCCTAAACCTAGCCGCCCAGCGTACCCCCTTCCCCTACCTGAAGGGCACGCGCAACCTCCCTCCCCAGCGAAGCCCTCTGCCACCTCCCAAAAGGTCCCGAACTGGAACGACGGTACCAACGCGTGGCGCGCGTCCATCTACAACCTCTCCTCGACTACCGACGTCGAGCCTATGGACTTGCGCGAACACTATGCGTACAGCACGCAGGTGGCATCCGCTCACCGCTCATCAACTGGAGTCGTCCCCTCCATCCGGTCCTCCTCGCCTCCCTCTCCGGTCACCTCCACCTCCTCCATCCCCACCCTCCGCAGGCACTCGAGCCCGTCGACTGTACGCACGGATCCGGACGCGCTCTTGCTGTCGAAGTTCTCCGAACCTTTCAGCAAGCGCAGCGAGTCGCGTCAAAGCCTAAACAACGGCGGCTCTCCGCGCCCGTCCTCGTCGATGCCCGAGTACCGCGAGAAGAACCTCGTAGCCCGTGGTGCCGAGCACGCGCTTCTCGTCCCCGACGTCAAGCTCAGGATGCGCAGGGGATCGCATTCACGCACTGGCAGCAGCCTCCCGAACACGCGCAGTCCCTTGTCAATGACATCCCTCACATCGACCGACGAGGAGGAGACCGATGGCGACGACGACGTGACGCTCACCGAGGACCAGCTCAGCGAGCTCAAGATCTCTGATAGGCCCAAGCGGCCCACGATCGAGTGTGAGTTTTCTCGATTTTATCCGCCCATCTATCGTTCATTCTGACTCCTTCCTCAGCTCGCCCGTGGTCCTACGACGGCTACAAGACGTACACGGCCATGCCGCTGAAGCGCGACGTCAGCAGCCTCTGGCGCTGGTAATCGCCTGCACTACGCTACGCCCTTGCCCCCCTCTCTCATACGCACCCGCCTCGACACCTGCATAGCCTATCATCATTTTCTCGCATGGACCAAGCAAAGGCCTGCCAGCATAGCATATCCCCTGCACACCATACCCGTCGACGCCGACATCGACACCGACGCCTTGCACGTATCTCATCGACACCTTGCACGTATCCCCCATCACGCCAAACCACACGCAACGCAGTAACTTACGTCTTCCGCCCCCGCGACGGCCTGTATCATGCACCCAGCACCCCTATCATCCGCGCCTAGTCAACGCCTACCTTACGCCTCATCCTCACCATCCACGACATGTACGGGTCACGCCGCGCCGCGAGCACGTAATCATTCCTCCCTTTTGACCCTCGGTGCCGCCTTCGTTCTCTACTGTGTACTATATCTCCTACCTTCCTCCTTTCCCCTTGAACTCGTCTGCGAGCGAGCCGAACTCTTTGTCACACTGTGCTATCTTCCCTACGCATGCTACCTTGCTTCGTCATCATACTCGACTTTTGCCTGCTACTTGTTCATACTGTATTAGCGTTAATACTTCTGAGCCGTGCGCGGGCTCGTGTACTATCTTGTGACTGACTACTACATACTGGCTACTTACTATTCTCTCTTGAAGCGGCATGCACGAACGGGTCGTATCCGTAGGGTACGGGTCGTAATGAGGGAACACACGAATGAATGGAATGGATAATGGACTGACTGACTTGCCGGGTGACTTGGAAGCGATTGATCCCACAGATAGCCTTGCTGTGGGGAGGCGCGCGAGTTAGCCTCAATTTCTGTTCGATTTCCACATTCTGTCCCAGAAAGGGAGGCTTTGTATTCCGTGCCACAATGTACGCAGCGAACGCACGTTCTAGCAAACCCACGAAAGGATCCCATCTTCATCCTCTTCGACCCTATTCTTCCCGCGCAGCACGACATGCCCTGCATCCCTGTCTGCGAACAATGGTGACTTGCCAGGCGGGCGGCGAGGTTTCTTCTTCGGTTTCGGAGCAGGCTTTGGTGAGGGGTCGGCCGTAGAGGAATGCTCGGAAGCGAAAGTCTGCTGGGCGGCGGAGGATTGCTCTGTCGGTGGACCTTCCATGACAGTATCGCCCTGGTCATCCGCTGCAGCTGCATTTGAAGCAGCTTCTTCCTCGTCTGAGAGCGTCGCAGTAGATGGACAAGGGATCCGTCGTTTACGCCCGCATGTCGGGCAGATATACGAGAGAGTATGGCCGTGGTTGCGTGAGGCTGTGGCGCACTGTCAGGACTCTGGAAAAACGCAGACGGTCAGGTTGGACCTACATTGTACCCTTACATTCACATTCGCGCCCGGGATCATCACCGTATCACAGTTCCTTGCCTTGCAGATAGTGCGCTTGACCGCAGGATCTCTGTAAAGTCCGCGTTGAGAAACTGTTTGTGCAGAGAACAACTGAATACGCACATCCGCATCACCGACTTCCTCCCCACCGCCTTCATATTCTTGATGTACTCCCTCGACAGATCTGCTATCGTCGCCTGCCTGCGCGTGCCATTCTTCGGGCCCTCAGCCTCCCCTGCAGGGAACCCAGGCTTCGCCCAGCGCTTCTTCGATCGCCGCCTACCCTCTGGAAGCACGGGTCTGGCTGGCGGTCTCCCCCGCCTACCAGGAGGTGCGTAGCCGGTGCTAGAGTTGGGTGTTTGCGGTATTATCGTGTTGAGATACGCGCTGCTCTGGTAGAGGAAGTTCATGCGCTGAAGGAGGTCGCGGTTGGCGACGGCGCCGAAGTTGGGGGCCGCATCTTTCGCGGGTTTGGGCTGCTTGGGAGGTTTCTGCTTCTGCTTCGAAGCAGATAGTGCGGCATCCATTGTAATACGAGAGTGCGACCCAGCTGGGGACAAGACAGAACGAGGCCGGAGTCCCAAAGATGATGAAGGTCGAGGACAGGATGGATTGATCGCCGCGGACGCCTCGGCTTCAGATGTGGCGCGCTCGAAGCCGCCTTCAAGTTGCACTTCACGAGTCGTGAACTACATGAGCATCATGTAGGACAATAGACGCGATGTAATACATCTGATATACGTAGCACCTCACTACTGTACACATCGACAGCATTCACATTCATGAGAGGGTCTACGAGATCACCTCGGCATACGTATAGACCGCACGTCTCGCTTCATGGAGATACCTCGCAATCAAGCCTCAAAGCGTCAGCTCGAGAGGGACTTATATGGTAGATGTCGCGTTTATAGCTCCTCGCGATTCTGGCTCTCCAGGCCGACAAGCTCGACGTCGAAGACGAGCGCTGAACCGGGAGGAATGATGCGACCAAAACCACGCTTGCCTGAGGGTAATCATTAGGAGGGGCCTTCCACAGACGGGGGTGCGACGCACCATAGGCGAGATCGGCGGGGATGGTGAGGGTCCGCTTCTCGTTCAAGCACATCCCCTGGATGCCTTGGTCCCAGCCCTTGATTACTTGGCCGACACCGACTATCATAAGGTCAGTCATACACGCTGGGGTAGTCGTACAAACTTCGCTCACGGGTCAACGGAAGGGGGGCGTTGCGATCGTAACTGCGAGGCGCTCAGTCACAAGTAGGAACATATGAGCTTCATGGACGCACCTCGAGTCGAATTTGCTACCGTCTGAGAACAGCGTGCCGGTCTGGTAGAGATTAGCTGTCAGTATACATAGAGGGAGGCACAACAGGTGGTTTACGCACGTAGTGAACTTTCACTTTGTCCCCGCTCTGCGCCTTCGCCGGGCACTCAGGTGGCGCGTACGTAGTCTCAACGACGAGCTCCTCAGGGGGTTCCGCAGCGTTCACCGTGGCGAGAGCAGCAAAGAAGACAGCAGAAAGTATACCGAAGGCGCGCATGACGGTTGGGAACAAGGGAGGTGGGGACACGTTCACACTTTGCGCGCGTTGTCTCCGCGTCAGACGGACACCGCACGACGCGCCCGTAACGCGATCGCGGAGGCCCGGTCCGCAGTGCCGGTCCTTGTCCTCGTCTTCCCTCTCGCGCCCATGTATAATCGTGCGTGCCGTCTGGCGCTCCGTCAGAGACGACAATGCGCACCAGGACTACAGCCTCTGCAGCAGAATATGTACCAAAGAGCTCTGAGCTCATGCAAGCACCTGCGAATGCAGGACACTCGGGAAGGAGCACACGTACGCCCGAGCACATCTTCGGCACTTGCGGAGCCCAGTGTCATTGCGAACGACACCTCGTCATCGACGTCTATACATGAAGATCCCCCTTCGACTCCCTTACTCGATGTCCCCCCTCCGGTCAAGGGCTGGCCGACCCCTTGGCTAACGCGGCAAGAGCTTGACGACTTCATCCTGCAAATGTCTCGCAGAGGGTGGACGGTCCGACCTCTTGTACCTAGTGATCCCTCTCAAATGCTGCTATCTGCGTCAGCGACTTCTGTGACATCCATCGTCGGAGACCAGGTACGTAGATCATCCCACATACCCGACGCGAAGACTGACATAGACCCCGAGTCAGTAGACACCGCCCGGTCTAGCAAGAATAAAGAAATTCTGCATGTCGTTGCGCAGTTCCCCTTCACTCGCTACGATGCAGCGCTGGAATTCGTGGGCAAGGTTGGGAGAATAGCCGACGACGAACTTGTGAGGCTCCCATACCCTTTTAACTGCTTCTCGGCTGACAGACCTTATAGCACCATCCCGAAATGATAGTCACGTCCAGCAAGACTGTCGTGCTTTGGATGACGACGCACAGTGCAAGACCAGGGAAGGACTGGGCACTTGTGGATGACGCTACCCCGCCTTCAGCGAAGGACAAGGCGGTCAAGCCACCACATTTGCGCAAGGTTCCTGGCTTGACCCGTCGCGACTCCCGACTGGCCGTGCTAATCGAGAATCTCTACACGGCAGAGTACTTCTCTGGTCTCATCCGTGAGGTCGTTGCGGAACAGCCGGATACGAAGTCCCTGCACGAACAGTTGTTGTCGCTAATCAGCGGTCGTACCGTGTCGCTCCCCAAGAAAACAGCGGAAGGCGCGACGGAAACCCCGCCGCCATCATGCGCCGCCTGCGGAGGCGAGCATCCAGTGTCCGTCTGCGATGAACGCGGCCAACATCCCCCACGTATACCTTGTCAGAACTGTGGGGAGGGTCACTATCACTGGGCCGCCGACTGTCCTCAAGACGCAGAATATCGCGCAAAACACCATCCTCCCGCCATCCAGTCCTCCAGACGCGCCGAGGGTCATCGGCGAGTGTCCCACCAAAAGAATCGCCAGCAGGAGTACGGGGCATGTCGTGCGTGCGGTTCTGTCGAGCACGAAGTTATGCATTGCCGGAAACGGCGCTCCATAGCGCCGCCGAAGCCTTGTCGTCTTTGCGGTGGCAACCACTGGGTATACGACTGCAAGCACTTTACTCCCTGCCCAGCGTGCGGCGGCGACCACACGCTCTTCCTCTGCATCCGGCGGAGTTTCATCCCCCCGACCAAGCCTTGCTCATTATGCGGGGAGGAACATCGACACTGGATGGTCGACTGCCCGCTGTATGTCGATAGGCATGAGGCGAAACACAAGGAGCACAAGTACACGAGGGAGGAGAAGGTCATGAGGGAGGTTTTGGATGGGAAGGGACGCGATGGCAGGCAGTTACAGAAGCTTTTGGAGAGAAGAGATGCCTCCGAGGCTTGAGGTCAGTCTGTAGACTCATGGCATCAAGTATCATACTGACTAGGCTTTCAGCTTCTCGGCTACTATACATTATGCCTGGGACCGTCGCTTGTGTACCTTACTTTGCTCTATCGTAGTATGCCTGCGTCCTCTTCCAATTGCTTCATCATGGCTTGCAGACATTGGCCACCATCACCGTCCATTGGCCATTTCACTGAACGATGATACGCGGCAGACTACGGGTCAGTGTATGCTCACCCTTGTCGACCTTGCGGAGGGGTTTGCTCAGGAGCGAAGGCAAGCCGTCCCGGTCCTGGTGCGTATATCACTAGGTCCTCCATCGATTATCTCTCTAATCAGCATACGTCAGACGCCTCGTTGAAACCTCATGTTTGCGGCGAGGCAGCAGAGTCTAGAGCCTTGAGCCTGGTTGTCATGGCAAGGCGCTGTGCTACAAACATGGCACGCCGCCTCTTCAAAATTACTGCAATTGGCAGGCGACTTGCAGACGCCCTATCACACCTCCAAAGACGTGCGGCGAAGTAATTGCCATACCAGTACGTGCGTCACACCTGATTCCACACTCGCACCAATTCCTGCAGAGGGCGCAGGCTCACACGAACGTAGATCACGGATTCTCTGCGCACGCCACTGAGCCACTCATCAAAGGGCCAAACATGCACACACAATCATTATTTCCTTCTATGAGATGGAACCCGTGGGAAAGCAATCGAGGAGAGCAATCGAGGACAGTGCCAGAAAGCTATAAAGCTGGGGCTGCGGGGGGCTCATGGCCGTGCCCTCGAGTCCCCAGCATCCATCTGAACCTCCTTCCAAGCCTCTATCCGCCCAATCCCCGCCATGACAGGACCCGTCCGCACTAAGGTGCACATTGCAAATTTCCTTTTTGGGTCGATCCCAGCACGCTCACACAGAGTTGCAGGGCTGCGTTACTATCAACGGCATCGACTTCGTCGATCATGTCTGCGTGGTTTGCGACAAGATCTTCCGCGACAAGAGGGGCAAGGACCGCCATTCTACCACCCACCTCCCCGAAGACGACCCAAGGAAGAAGTACGTGCACGTCCCTTTGGGCGTGAAGCCATGCTCACTAAGCTGCGTAGGACCTTTACTTGCGAGCATTGCGGCAAGTGCTTCTCGCAGAAGTCAGGCATGCAAATACACGCTAAGAGGCAGTGCGTGATGCATGCTGTATATCAGCGTCCTCGTTTTCACGTACTACTCTAGCACTGGCGTCAAGGACCTCATCTGCGATGGCGATGACTGCAATTTTGCTACCCATGACCCATCCCTTCTGAACAAACATCGACGCCGGATGCACAACATCGCTCCAGAGCACCGGCGCAAGCGGCAGCCCCAGCGACCCAAGGCCGAGCTGTCCAAGGAAGCGCCCCAGTCGCCAAGTGACCTCGGTCGTTCCTCTCCCCGGCCACTTTCACGCGCCAACGCCGCGCCATATCCTTCACAGAACTACTACGATCCTCCCAGTCAGCGGTTCTGCCAGACTGTCACGAACGCGCATATCTCGGCAGCGACGCCGACCGCGCCAGTATCTCCATCATCTTCTACGACGTCGATATCCACCTCGATCGTCTCGACCGGATACTAGTCCCTGCTCCCGCGATGCACAGTGCTGCCGATCCATTGCTCACCTCCGCCGCCTCGTCGAACTACATGCAAGTGGCATTGCCACCGCAAGGTGGCGTTGAGAGCGACACCTACGACATGGCAACCATGTGGTCCACTACTGCCACCTCAAACTTGGTCGACACGAGCAACGATATCGGTTTCTTTGACGCTACGTGGTGGGACTCGTGGTCAAATCCTCAAGAAGACATCGACCTGTCGCATTTCATTCTGCCACCGGCTGAGAGCCAGTGCGCAAAGTTTCCATGCTACTTTTCCATCGACGGTAGAGCGGTCTTCCCTGAACCAGCCCTACCGCTATGCCACTACGCTCACACCAACGGCGTCAACGCCCTGTACGGCGACTCTCCGTACGCCGCTACACCCAGGATCACGGACTGGATCATCGCACCCTAACCTAGTCGGCATTCCTATCTCGTACTCCTCAATTATCTATCTCTGTTGTATCTCTCCATCTCTGGTGTACTCCTCCTTTCGTCTCGTCATTTCAGTAGTTGTAGAACATCGCGCACGGACGCTGAACGCCTTCATCTTCTATCGAGCCACTTTGTGGCTACAGTCTACCTTTGTTACCCTACTACTATTCTCGCTCATGGTATTCGGACATTGCATTCATCTTGAAATTCCAGTGTAACTGCGTCAGTACATTGACACGCTCTTCAGACGTTACCGCGTCCGTCGTCGCCCCCAGGCATACTTTGGTGTTCGAACTCGAGCTTGCTTTGGTCCCGCTTGCCAAGCGCGTGGCATCTTGGGCGGAGCCAGGACTCGTGTTCCGACGTCGCGGCAGCGCAGCCGGGGACAATTTTCTGTCGTTGTCGGCGTCGTCGGGTGCCTATATGCGCGCAAGCCGGCGGCTCACCAACGGCTCGTGTCAAAGGGAGGGCATCGACGACGCCATCGTCGCTAACGACACCGCCCACGATGTCCCCAGTCTCAGACGGAAAGCGTCATTGCTCTTATTTTGACGGAAGACCGACCAAAAGGGACGAGGATTGCTCCCTTGAGGAAGGGACGTGGATCCCTAGCGCGTATCGATGTGGGTTATCGGGACGTATTTAGCGTGCGGGAAGCAGACAATTAGGAGGAGGTGGGGTGCCGTGGACTGGCGATTTTCACGGTTTATTGCGAATTTTTCCGAGGGACAAAACTGATTCCGTCCCGCTGCCCTCGAAAGAAGTGATGAATCTGAGTCACTATGTCACTGACCGACCCACTGGATCCGTAGAGCTCAATTCCTTTCTGTTAACGTCTGTCCCAGCTGCTAACACTGAGGCTATGTGCTCCAAAATGCGCAGAAATCGGCAAGTCGTTCAGTGTGATCCAGAAGTCGAACAGTCACACACGTGAATCTCACGTTCGTCGCCGTTACAAACCGTCACTGGCCATATTCGGCGTTCCCCTGATTCGCGCCCCCATCTCCGCCTCTGCAAATCAGCATCCGGTTGTCTTCCCCCACGGAACGCTCGTCCTCATTGACACTGCCATATGGCAAAAGTCTTGGATATCCGCCCTGCACCCTCGCAAACCGCTCCCGGGGGGTGAAAAAAAGCAGAGACAATCTCGTCTCACTGGCCATCCTGGCTTCCGCGTCACCGATGTACGGCTTCCGCACCGCAAATGATAGGTAACACATACCTCTGTCTATGTCTCGGCGCCGGCGAGTGCGGGGTATAAGAAGCGAGGGGGGTGTTGGAAAAACCTCTCTATTCTTCCCCAACGCTGGAGCCGCCTTGACGAGTGCCCATACTACGTCCATCATCAACGACGCCCATCGACACTCTGCCAACGCAGCTCCGCCACGATGAAGTTCACACTCATCGCCGCCATCGCCGCGCTCCTCGTCGCCTCGTTCGTCAGCGCTTCTCCCGTCCGCGTCTTTGGCGCAGTACGGAACGTTCAGGCCAATGATGCCACACTCACGGGCCGCGCACCGGAGGGCCTGACCAACGCCCAGCGCATGGCTCGCGGTCTCCCACCCATGAAGCCCCGGTCTCTGTCAACATCTCGTGAGTATACCTCGTTCTCTCCCCGTCGAGTTTTCACTAACTCCCCGCTCAGCCACTGCCGCCAAGCGTCAGACCAGCGCCGTCCCGCCTGGTGGCCGTCGTCGCCGCAGCTTCGAGGATGAGGAGGCGACGCCCGTTGAGCGTCGCCAGACGAGCGCGGTGCCGCCTGGTGGGCGCCGTTCGGTGCCTCGCATGCAAAAGCGGGATCGCTACGCAGGTGTATACGCGCAATGAGCACCTTATCGTACTCTCCCTCGCTTTGTACTCGCTCTGCCCGCATACCATCCTGTATACATCTACCATTCGAAGCCCAGGACGTGGCTCAACCCGAACATTACTTTGTTGTTCGTCCTTGCATATGTACTTTCTTATTCACTTTCGCATTCGCCTTCGACTTCGGATAGAAGTCGCTTTTAGCTCTCACCTTTTGTCCCCGCCCCTATTACTTTAGATACGTCGCTTGATTAGAATGAAACGCGCAGTCCTTTCCATCCAATCTTATTCATGTTCGTTTAGAATACGAGTGACATAGGCATGAGAGTGATCGCGAAAGGCAGACAATTCTATCCTGATTGTGCTGGCGCGAATGATGCGCTTGTCTGGCAAATCCATGGATGTTGACCCCGCGCGACGAGCTGGGAGGGCGTAGCCGTTATGCAGCCTGGACGACGAGTCGAGTAATCGAGAACCTTGAGGTTAGCAACACACCATGCTCAACTTACCAAGGCGCCAGGAGCAGGAGGCGCTATTTCAGAACGATATCCGCGCGCCAAATCCCTCATTCAAGCCACAGATCTCTTGGCCTATCGAACAACGGGCGTTCGCGCCTGAGGTTACTCGTCGACGAGGTAGGTCCTGAGCCTGTGGTCCCGAGTCCGCCTGAGCGGTGGGGGCTTTGCGTACGAAGCTATCAAGCCTTACTCCATGGCTGAGCGGCCCGAGCCACATCGCATCTTCTTCAAAGAAGTGGCTGAAGGTCTCTTGCGCAGTGCGACCACCGAAAAAAAGGCAAAGATTAACTCGCCTCGATATCGTGTTGTATACAGTTGCTTCGTTGGAAACATATCTCCAATGAACCTTTGATGAATGCACAGCGCGAAACATTGTTCAGCGTAATGCGCAAATGCCCAAGCGAGGACAACAGAGGCTACGGCGAAAGTTGCAGTAGAACAAGCTCAAGTCAGCCACCGCTCGGCCCACAAGTCGTTTCGAAGAATCTATTGATCCGTTTACGAGAAGGCTCTCGGAGTGATATGTTCCTCTGATCAAGGACGCGCAGCCGGTGAGGATCAACAAGTCCGCTGCATATTCCGCATCGTGAGAAGTTGAACTGGTCACGGGATAGACACAAGCGAGGACCTACAAGTCCAAACACAAATGAAGGTTGCACGATGACGGCTGTTGCTCTTGGGGGAAAATGAAGTTGCATGTCGGAACGAAAGGTCTTGTAAGTAAGTAATTGCAGCAAAATTCATTGACTTTGGGGAGAACTCTATGATACATCTCAGTCGGCGTATTATAGTATACATCTGGTTTGGCTTTCGTATAAGTACAAGTGAACGAAAGGTATGGTGACAGGCCGTCGCCAGGGTAGAGTAGTGATAGGACAGTGGTCGTATATTAGAGTTTGCGCGCATCTATAGGCTCGAGTCGTGTTCCAGGGTTGACTACATCGAATGGGTGTTCAGACACTGGCGTAGATACCAGCGTAGCGATCGCGGTCAGAACGGTATGCAAGGCGGCCGGGTGCGCGGCGCTGAGCAGAGGGAGCCTGACGACGCATGGCAGAGGGCGCTTGACGCTTGGCCTCCGTGGCTAAGGAGAGATTAGTTTTGAACTGTTCGGCGGAATCAAGGAATACTCACGAGTCCCCATGGCGCGCGGCTTCAAAGGCGGAAGCCCGCGTGCAAGACGCTGAGCGTTGGTCTCTTGCACAGCCTGCGCGGCGCGAGAGTTGACGTCCTGGACGGGCATTGCGGCCGCGAGAGTCGCAAGCACTAAAGCGATGACCATGGAGACGACGAAGAACTTCATTGTGGTGGATGGAGCGGTCGTTGGTGTCGAAGGTGGATCGCTGGCGGTCGTACGAGTCGGTAGTGAAGATCAGATGAGCCCCGTCCAAAGCTATATATCGTGGGCAGTCAATAGCACACGTAGCGGTGGGGCATAGCTGGCGTTGCTGAACCCGCGCGTCGTCAGCGCAGTGCTCCCGACGCGCCAAAGTGAGACTGTTTCTTCTTTTCTTGCGAGGCCAGCAATAGAGCTCTCGTGATATCATGGCGGCCAAAGTGGAGGATTGGGGAAACTCAGACCGGGGACCCACAGGTCGGACAAGCGCGCATCGACGTCGAACGTCATTGCAGCCTGATCAAGGCGGAAGGCAGACCGCAAGCGCAAGGGCGATAAGCTTTGCGGAGATCGGGCCGGAACATCCGGCCAAAGTTTGATGATCGAGGCGTCTGGCGCTTGCTCCTCATCGTACGCGCCCGCTCCCCCTAAAACACGAACATGAACTCCCCTGTGCGTAGCATATACCTGACTTAGACGTGTACTTATGGTACGGCTAGCCAGGGGTCGAGCAATGCCCTCAATCGATCTATGCAGGGCCTGTGGTCGAATCACAGGAAGAGCCGTTTGAACATCAATAGCCTGCCGCCCCCCACGCCGGTTACACCGGAAGAAAAGACCACACCCGGACCGTCTGAGCCTCAGGAAGATCCCATCGCTACTGCTGCGCCCCCCTCTGTCAATGGCAAGCGCAAGGTGCGTTCGTCTCGCGGGGACGAGAGCAGCAAGCGCGCGAAGACGTCCTCTACACCGAAGGAGTACGCCATCCCCACCGCCCGCATCGCAGATCTAGGTGGCGTCAAGGATTGCATCGAGAAGCTTTTGGAGCTCGTAGCTATGCCCCTTTGCCATCCCGAAGTCTACCTCCACACCGGCGTTCAGCCACCTCGAGGCGTCCTCCTTCATGGGCCTCCAGGTTGCGGAAAGACTCTGCTTGCGCATGCGATAGCAGGCGAACTCGGAGTACCCTTCATTAGCATATCTGCTCCTTCTATTGTATCCGGCATGTCTGGAGAATCGGAGAAGACACTTCGTGACACGTTCGACGAGGCTAAAGTACGTCCACGGTCATCTCTTTCCTTTCGACAAGTATTCATCAAAGTAGCGCGCTGCACCATGCCTTCTCTTCATCGACGAAATAGACGCCATTACACCCAAACGAGAGAGCGCCCAGCGCGAAATGGAGCGTCGGATTGTTGCGCAATTCCTGACTTGCATGGACGGTGAGTGCTGTCTCAGTACGCAAGCAGCCGACGCGGAATCTAACGATGACTCAGACCTCTCGTGGGAGAAGACCGATAACAAACCCATCATCGTCATGGGTGCCACAAATCGGCCAGATTCGCTTGATGCCGCTCTCCGGAGAGCAGGTCGGTTCGACCATGAGATCAGCATGGGTGTACCCGACGAGGAGGCGAGGGAGCAGTAAATTCACCCCATCATCCCTAGTTTGAACGCGCTAATCATTCGTTCACTCAGGATTCTGAGGGTCCTATGCGCGAAGCTACGCCTCGAAGGTCATTTCGACTTCGGCGCGCTGGCGAAGGCCACACCTGGTTACGTCGGTGCCGATCTCGCAGCCCTCACTGGCGCAGCTGGCATCATCGCTGTCAAGCGAATATTCAAGACTCTCAGCGAGGGGAAAATAGAACTGCCTGTCGACCTGGCGCCACAATCCCAACTGCCTGAGGCGGAAACCCCGCAGGCACCCCCACCAGAGGACGCACCAGCGCCAGCGGAGGGCGATGACGCGATGGCCATTGACGACCCCCAGGCCGAGACTGCTGCACCTGCCACAGAGGCCCCATTCACCCAGTTCTCAGCCCTTTACCCGACATCCCTCGCGCGCTTCCTCACCACGCATCCCGACCCGCTCTCCCCTGCCCAACTCGAGCCGCTCTGCATCACCCATGCTGACTTCCGCGCCGCGCTTTCTGAGATCCAGCCCTCCTCGAAGCGCGAGGGCTTCGCGACCGTGCCCGGCGTGACCTGGGCGGACGTCGGCGCGCTCTCGCGCGTGCGCGGGGAGCTGCAGATGGCGGTCGTGCAGCCGATCCGGCGGCCGGACGTCTTCGCGGCGGTGGGCATCACGCGCGCGGCGGGCGTGCTGCTGTGGGGCCCGCCCGGGTGCGGGAAGACGCTGCTGGCGAGGGCGGTGGCGAACGAGAGCTGCGCGAGCTTTGTGAGCGTCAAGGGTCCGGAGCTCCTGAACAAGTACGTGGGCGAGAGCGAGCGAGCGGTACGGCAGGTGTTTGCGCGTGCGAGGGCATCGGCGCCTTGCGTCGTGTTCTTCGACGAGTTGGATGCGCTGGTGCCGAGGCGAGATGATAGCATGGTAAATTTTCCCTATATTCGCTCCGTACACCATTATGCTGACTGTGACCTCCACAGTCCGAGTCTTCCGCACGGGTTGTCAACACCCTTCTCACCGAGCTCGACGGTCTCGACTCCCGCGGCGGCGTCTACGTCCTTGGCGCCACCAACCGTCCCGACATGATCGACCCCGCCATGGTCCGCCCCGGCCGCCTCGACAAGCTCCTCTACGTTGATCTCCCCGACGCCGACGAGCGCGCTGAGATCATCTACACCGTTACAAGGAAAGTGCCCCTCGATCCGGCCTCGCGCCCCGCCGTCGCGGACATCGTTCGGCAGCGCTGCGACGGGTACAGCGGTGCCGATCTCGCCGCTGTATCTCGCGAGGCGGGTGTAGTGGCGCTCAGGAGGGCTCTCGGACGCATTGAGGAGATGGAGAGCGCGGACGGTGGCAAGCACGACAACATCCAGGTGTCGGTCACAGTTGAGGACTTTAGCGAGGCCGTTGAAAAGGTTGGGCCTAGTGTCAGCGCAGCGCAGAGACGGAAGTACGACGCGATGCGCAACAAGTTCGCTGGTCTTCCAGTGCGGGGTAGGAAGGAAATGGCACCGGAAAGTGTTGCAGAAGCGTAGAGCTCACACTCCGCTTACATAAATGCAGTATTAACACATTACAATTCAACCCTGTCCGCTAGTAGAATACAAAGGTAGATAAACCCATTGCAACTGAAGTAAGGCTTCGACACGGTGACCAATCTGTGAGCGATACTGGGCCATTTGCACCTCTCAACTTGTCCGGATTTAGCGATCCTGCAGCTCGTTGAGAAGACGAAGGATGCTAAGGACTGGAAAAGGCAATGAGCTTGCGGTGCGGTTGAGCAAAACCCGATGACTTACAAAGGTTCACGAAGTCAAGGTAAAGGGAAATGGCACCCATGATGTACTCATCCGGTGACAGGCGCGCGTTGATCAAGTACGTGTCGTAGACGATGTACCCACTGAAGATCAAGCATCCGCCAACTGCGTAGATGAGGCTAAAGGTGTGCGAGAAGGGAAGGAAGAGCCCGACGAGGCCAGTCATAACTGCATTACGATGAGGTAACGGAGCTAACATCGGAAGGGAGTGAACATACCAAGGGCGAGCAGGCCTCCGAACAAAAACGGTGCCATGCCGGAGAAGTCATACTGCAAACTGGGTCAGCGTTTGAATACAAGACAGATATATACAGCATACCTTTGACTGCAAGGTGAACAGCGTCAAGCCGACGAAGACACCCAGCGTAATGAACCTGCGTCCAAGTCAGCAACGGACGATCAAGGACGAAAGCGAGGAAGCGCACAAAGCTTGGAGTACAATGACTTTATCGAAGAATGCGACAGTGACACCTAGCGTAAACGCCTCCATGATCGTGAAGCTGGAGAGGAGGACCAGATTCCATGGGTGGTTGTGGCGCTTGAAGAACAGGAGGGCCAAGTTGGCGAGGGACAAGAACAGGGGAGCATAGAATGACCAGGTGCTGCGTGGGGTATGAGTATCGGAAGGTAGGGGGAGAAGTAGGGATCACGCACTGGTGAAGCACCCAGGTCATCACGTCGTCTGAGGTCGAAACGCCTGCGGCGACGATGGTGGTGGCCGCCTACAAGTCTAGTCAGGGTTCGCTGGCGTATATCTATCCTCAGTCAGGCTCACAATCTGGCATACTGTTCAAGACACATGTAAGTACAGCGCGCTCAACAATTCGAGGGGGGACGCACGCAATATAGTAAACACCTTCCTCACGAAAGCCCGCCGGATCTCGGGCGCGCTCTCAGAGACGGTGGTGCCATACTTGAAGTCGTCCGGAAGATCCCCAAAATCAGGCTGGTCGTAAATGGCGCCCCGCATCCCTGCTGCACTTGAACTCGCGGCGCCTACACCCTCAGTAAGCGCCGGGGTTCGCCACTGAGCAAATCGAGGGCTCACCTAGCAAGGGGTCGCGGGCTTCATCGCTTGAGGGCTTCGTAGGCGAGGTCGCCCCGTACGAGGGAGGGGCTTGCTGAGGATACTGTGCCATCGTTCTCTACAGCTGTAGGTGGTGGTAAGAGTCAAGATGTAGCCGCTGCCGCTGCATCGCCGAGCGGTACGAGAACGATATAGAACATCACATCACATCGATGACGTAAGAACTTCATTCGAGATCTCTTGGACGCCTTTCGTCGAGTATCTAGCCTTTCGAAGCCCAAGCGAGATGAACACAACAAGTCATGGCATTCTGCACATTATACGGGACACTAGTAGGGTACTCCTTCGACTGCCGCCCCGTGATACATTGTATAGACAAGACGAATCGCGAGGATCAGAGTCAATCCACCTCCAAGAGCAATTGCATTCGTAAGGCATCGTCAAGATGTCCATGGCTGTTGAAGATTGCTGATGTTGCGATATTGAAGCTACTGGCGCCATGGACGTCAAGTCATGACGCGACATTATGGTCAGCTATGCTCTGGAGTCCAGATTAAGCACGAAGGCCACAGCACATGAAGTGTACTTGCCTTAGTTGGAGCCGGCATCAGCACTCGCGCTGGCAGAGGGGGCCGCCACTGGTGCGGACGGGACACCAGACGTCTTCGGGCCAGAGCCCGGCGCGCCGGCAAAGCCAGCGCCACCGGACGGGGCAGGGAACGAGCCCGAGAAGGACACGGAGCCGTAGCTGCCGCTGAACCCGCCAGAGCCCGGGGATGCGAAGCCGCCGAAGCCACCAGCAGAGGCAGAGGCAGAGGGCGCGGCGCCCTCGAAGCTGACGCTCAAGGACGGAGCGCTGGAGCCGGTAGGGGCAGCGGAGTTGGCTAGCCAAGTCATCAGCGCCATGTAAAAGGTCATGAAGGCAGAAACATACCAGGGGCAGACGCCTGGCGACGGACGAAGCCAGATGCGGACGGCTCCGCGAAGGCCACCGAGAACGGGATGTCGCTCGGGAAGGCGCTCGGGAAGGCACCGTCGAAGGAAACAGCGTCGCTAGGGAGCTGATCCATGAGGGCAGACGGGTCGCAAGGGGCGGCACCAGGGAAACCGCTGGCATCCGGGAAAGCGGCAGGGAAGGAGCCACTGGGCGCGAACGAGCCGTCCTCCTGGCGGCGGGCAACACCGGCGGAGGGCATTGCGAACGGAGGAACGCCGCTGCCAGAGGGTACAGCGCAGGGCGGAAGGACGCTAGGCATAGCTGGGAAGCCGCCAGATGGCTGGGGGCCCGAAGCGCTGACGAGGTGTTAGTTGGGTGGCATGCATGAAGATGAGAGGACATACTCAGAGACGGGGGCACCGTGAACGGCGGCGGCGACGGCGACAAAGACGAGAGCGAAGGTGCGAGAGTTCATGATGGTCGATTGGTATGTGTGGAAGACTGGGGCAGGTAAGCCGGGACGTTCAAGCACTGACGACGCAGCACGTACCTAGTACGGCAAGTCAAGGGGTAGTGAGAGGTATATTATGCAGATGGAGCCGGGTATGGATGAAAGGACTGTGAGGGAACTGTGTGAGGAGCCAACGACTTTCCCAATCTCTTTTATACCTGTTTCTGGCGTCCACATCGTTGGATTCGTGGCCTGACGATGATCGCTTTGGAGCCTGGAAAACAACGCGCAGTTATCGCACGATATCGTTGCGAGGAAAGGGAGGCATGTTTTGCGTCCGCAGCGAGTCCAGGAGGTACAGGATGGCGACCTTCATTATAGGCGCAGCAGGAGGCAACGACGGTCGATACCAGCATGGGCGAAGGACCGCAACATTTACCCGAGTGATATTATAATAGTAGCAGCCAAGCAAGGCAGGCATCGAGGGAGATGGCCAAGTAAAGCTGAGAGGCATCTCCAGCTTATTGGCCAGTCACGTTTGGAGTATTACAGACTGAAAGGCTTGTGCGAAGCGCTCGAAAAGTGTCGGTTTGGCCCGGCCTGGTCGTGGGAGTCAAAGAACGTGGTCGCGATGTTCCCACGCCCCTTCCCCGTGCGGATCTAAATTCAACTCCCATTCTGCCGCAATCTCGCCGAGGAGACTCAATGCTCAAGTGATGCCTGTGGTCGTTCGCCTGAGGCAGGTGTACTGCTACGCTCAAGCCAATTCTATCTCTACCCTGCAGCGACGCTGGCAATCCTATGCGATAGCTAGGGACGGAGTTGGCCTTCCCGCCAATTCGGATCTGCTTGACCGCTATAAGGGCCTTGTCGCTCTTGGGCATATCAAACAGGATGAAGAACAGCTCAGAGTGGTCATGCAGGTATGAGCTACCCATGGCCTCAGCCTGACGACCATTGACGATTTTTAGTTGCGTCGTTTGACAAAGGAATTGGAGGGTTATTCCCCGCCAGCCATTTCGGCTGCACTACTACAGAGAAGCAACTACTCTGCGACAAGGTCTTCATCTGAAAATACCAAGGAGGGCATACCAGAGCCAACGCCTTGGTGGAAGCATTCCGACGATGAGGGTCACGTCTCCGAACGCGCTGTGGCTACTCGCAAGTCGCACGCAGAAGAGCTTGCAGCTTTGACGACGCCCAAGGTAGGCATTCGCCTTCAAAGTCCGCGTGGCACTGTAATTGCATGTTCATCCTACTCGCAGGGACTCCTTCTCATTGGAACGCCCGGGAGCGGCAAGAGCTTCTTAGTTGACCTATGGCTCGACACGCTGTCGACACCTTACAAGAGCCGAAAGCACTACAGCCTTCTCGTTCTGGAGATCTATCGTGGCGTCTGGGAAGAGACGCAGCGGCGCATGCTCGAGCGTCATCACGAACCTGATGCTGTTCCTGCCCCACCCGAAACATGGAACAAGACTATCCGCGAGCACTGGCGTCGACTAACCCGCGCTGGGGCCGCGCCCATTCGGTGGGCTTCCGGCGCGCGAGGCTCTCAGGCTTTCTCCTGGTACTCGGCGACCTCTGAGAGCATCGCGTACACTGTCGCTCAGCGTCTCGTTCTCCGTCATTGGTTACTCGTACTCGACGAGCTCCAGCTTCTTGACGTCTCCAGCGCCACGCTCCTGGCAGACGTTCTCTCTTGGTACTGGCGAATGGGCGGCGTCATTGTGGGCACTAGCAATCGCGTTCCCGACGACCTGTACCGCAACGGCGTTCAAAGGGATCGACTTGAGCCTTTCGTTGAAGCCCTAAAGATCCGTTGTCCAGTCGTTGAGATGCGCTGCAATACGGATTGGAGGGAAGTTATCGCGCATGAAGGGGGTGGTCGGTCATCCTGGTACACGACGAAGGAGCGTGCAGAATTCGACCTGGCCGCAAAGCAGGAAGATTTCGGTAAAGCTGGTACGTTCGATTTTTGCTATACGGCGCGATTCCCCATTGACTTCATCAGACGCCCACAACATAACCGTCTTCGGTCGACAAATACCGACTCTTCGAGTGGGGAATGGCGTGGCCATGTTTACCTTCGCTGAGCTATGCCATGAGGTATGTAATACAATACAGTCCCTTTCCACTGAGAGTCCCAACAAATATAGGCATTGGGTCCGGCGGACTACATCAGTATCGCCGCCAAGTTCAGCACTGTCTACTTCACCGACGTTCCTGTCCTTCGCATCTCGGACAAAAACCAGGCGCGACGCTTCATCACCCTCATCGACGCCTTGTACGAAGCGCGATGCCGCATCGTCGCTCTGGCGGAGGCCCCTCCTTATCGCCTCTTCTTTCCCGATGCGAGCACGGCGGAGCAACAAGACGTCGATGTTATGATGGCTGAGTCCGTGGCTGAGACGCGGGACACGTACAGACCTAACGTTGCCTCCTACGACGCACCGAACATGGAGGAAGCGCCAGAGCAGGTGAAGACGAACACGCCGCTAGATCAGCTCTCGATTTTCTCGGGTAAGTTCATGCATCCCGGTCGGCTTGATGATCTCTCTGACGTGTTCACGTAGGCCAAGACGAACAATTCGCCTTCAAGCGCGCGTTTTCCCGTCTCATGGAGATGACAAGTCCGGCGTACGCAAGCCGAAGGAAATGGGTACCCGTCCCCGATAGGCAATGGGAAACATCGAGTGCTACTTCTCAACCACTGCCTACAAGCCCTGCGCGTCGACAGACTCGCACTTCTCCCTCGCCAGACGCTAGCGAGATCGCAAATTCCGACTTCGCACAGGAAGCAGCTAACAGTACGACCACCTTCACTGGGCGAAGACCACCGGCGCCGCATATCGCTAACAGGCATGTATGGGGCGTCGACGATCCTGTCGAACGATCCGGGTCACACTCAGCGCAAGGCACAGACAGCAGGTAGATCGTCGAGAGGCGCAAGCCATGATGATTATGGTATGTGTACAGTATATGGTGGTGATACATTATTGATGTCGATCGCGTATGCTACAGTTCAGCACGCAGAGAAGATGTTCAAGCGTTCTTGTAGAAGGTCTGCTTGGCGTCGCCCTTGTCTTCACGCGCAGCACCTACGGAACCATCGTCAGAAGATATGCAGAGGCGTAGTCGATCTATCCACGTACCAGAGTACTGCTTGTCCCGGTCGCCAGTAACGGCGCCGATGATGTTGTCCTTCTTGCCTGCAATGCGATCGCCTGCGCCCTCGACGTAGCCCTTCGCGCGAGCTGCGTCGTATTCGGCGTCGCCCTGGAGGCGCTCCTCACGGCCAGAGGTCTGCCACGTCTCGGCGCCAATGAGATTACCGACGGTCTCAACCGCCTGACCCTTCAGCGAGTGGTAGTTGGCGCGGGTCAAGCTGGAGTATATGATCAACTTCATGTAATACCAGTGCGAAGGACAGAAGCGCTTACTTAGGCTCGCCAGTCTGCTCGTAGTTAGACATGATGTTTCGTTGAGTTAATTGATTGATTGGGTGGGTTGTAACTGGGTGGTTCGTTCGAGAGTGAAGAACAGCGACTGAACAAGGCCTGCCTTTTATACCTTGTGAGGAGAAATTGCCCCTCACTGTCCGTCATAAGTAGCGTCATGTTACGTCGTAGGTTGCCGCCACCTCATCATTACAAACTTGCCCTCGAACCGGTGCTTTGCCGGTGAGGAGATGGCGCTGATGTTCCTTGAGGCAGGTGCAATGTAGAGGGAAAATGACGTCATAGAAAGTTGAACCGTGCGAAAACTGCCGGCATATTCCGTAAGCTCGACCTTGGAGCTATCTTAGCCCAGAGAAAAGGCTGAGCAGCTGAGCCATACGAGAGAAGAGTACAGATGGTGTCATGAAAGAATATGAATTGTCAAGCGACTGTGATGATATCTAGGCGATCGGGGAAGAGACGCAGTATACCCAGCACGATGTATGTACGGCGCGAGAGGTATACTCTACATTTCGGCGCATGCGCCAGTAGCACAAGAGGGTAGGTGATCATGTCAAGATGAACCCTTCGAAATCCAAGAACGCCTCGTCAAGAGACATCTTTCGAACAACCAACGCCTCGACGATCAGCCTTGGCTGATTTTCGCCATTCTTCTCCACCATTACTGGCCCATCCGTCTCAACCTGGGAAACATGGGAGGACGAGGGGAAGCGCGGCGCCGGAAAGACGTCGTCGTCATCGTCCTCTGCCGCGACCTCGACAGGCTCATCCCCAAGCTGGAGGACGGGCACGTCAACGTCGGCCGCAGACGAAACGACCATCGGATCGTCCAGTCCGACATGCAAGCCCTCAAGCTGTGGAAGAAGAACCTCCTCGGCCTGATCCAGGCCCGGAGCATTCGCCTCCTGGGAGCCGTGTTCCTGCGAGGGGACCTCCTGCCCGGTTGCGTAGACCATAAGCGCCCGCCGCCGCTCCTCACGTCGTCTGTCGCGCGCTTGTTTCCTATGCAGCGCCTTGTCTGGATTACGCTGATAGCGACTGCCCTTGTTATCCTGCTGCTGACCCTTCTGAGCCGGCGGCGAGGACACGAGGTCGCTTCCAAACTTCTTGTTGCTGTTCTTCTTCCCCCGCTTCGTCTTTCCAGCACGAAGGGGGATGGGCGGCGACGCACGTGTCCGCATAGGGCGAGGCTTATAGACAGACGCTATCTCGAGGTCGATGGGTGTGTGGGTGAGGTAAGGGTCCATATTGTCGGGCTCTGGGTCCATGGAGAACATGCCGAGCTCGTTGTCGCTGTCGTCCGGACGCTGCAGCACGACAGTGGCGGATAGATCCTCCGCGTCGGTCTCCGTCTCGGGCTCCGTGGTAGTCTCCTGCTCCGTCTCCGTCGCAGTCAGGGTGGATGCGGACTCGTCCCCGCTACCACCGTTCTGTTCACGCCGTCGTCGACGCCGGTGGTGCACCCTGTCGTTCTCGAGGAGGAGCGCCATGGCAGGGGGGACTTCGACCTCTTTGACGATGATGACGCTCGCGCCGATTTCCCCGGCCATCATCTCGAGCGTCTCCAGTGACTGCTCTAGCTCGTTGCGGGGAAGTCCAATGAGCGCGCCCGAGTCCGCAACGCCGAGCTCGTAGTACGCCTGACCGCCCCCCTCCAGCAGCCGCCACTTCATCTGCGTGACGAGGCGTGCAAAGCGAGCAGGAGAGGGGGACAGCAGTTGCAGCTTGTACTCGACGTTGCCGTCATCGGATTCGGGAACGAGTTTGGGAACCGCGCTGACGGTGATCGGGCTCGGGCTCTTCGAGAGCGGGGAGGGGGACGCCGAGGCGGGTGTCGACAAGAGCGAGTCCCAAGGGCTGGGTACACGGGGAGACTCTGAGTCGGACTCTCCGAACATGCGGGGCAGATCGAACGGAGTAAGGATGGGTTTTCTGTTGCTTTTCGAAGGATGTTTAGGCAGGGCGCGATATTCGAGTTATCATGATAGTGCTCTGAAAGGCGTGCAGCGCGACGAGGTCCTGAAAGGGAGGTGAGAGCGCTTTATAAAGCGTTCATTGTGACAGTTCAGGAAGAGTCAGTGAGATAGCACAGCCACCCGTCCATCACAGCCAACGTGTGTGCGTCAAGCCCAGTCACGTCCTGCATTTTGCTCACATCCTTCTCACACCGCCGAGCCATCTTCCACACCGTGTATTGCCTACATGCAACAAAGAAAGATAGTCAAAGCAAACCGAAAGCGCAAAAATACGAAGTCCAGCGATTTAGCGAAGGGTCATGATGTCCGCGTTCGTGGACCCAAGCCTCCCGCGTATCCCGCCACCCGTCTCGTCGTGGTCCTTCGCCTTCTTCTTGCCCTCCTTGGGCACATCCCAGATACGCCAGAAGCGCAGATCCTCGTCACCAGAGCTAGCCGTGCAAACCATGTCACCCGCCGGCGAGCAAGTTGCATACAGAACACGTCCGTCATGTGCATCACGGATGTCTGCGACAAGGGACATGCTCGGGTAGGCGTGTACCATGATTGCGTTGGTCGGGTAGCCGTGAGTAGAGAGGATCTCCTTCTTGTGCGGCGACCAGATGAGGTTAGCCACCTGGGCGGGCGTCTTCAAGGTATGAACGCGAGCACCGGTTGTGCTGTTCCAGATGTTGATCGATCCGTCGTTGGACCCTCCACCGGAGGCAAGGAGAGTGTTTTGCCATGGGCACCAAGCAAGCGCCTACGAAGACAATGAGCAATTCGATCTCAAGAAATATCCTTCGACATACCTTCACCGCCGCCGTGTGGTTCCGCTTCGTCCACTTCGCGTTGCCGCGAGCGCCGGGGCGTACTTCGCCAACACGACCATCCCAGATGTTCACGACGTTGTCGTTACCACCGCTAGCGAGCAGCTCTCCATCCCCTCGCCAGGTCAGGCCGCAGACTTCGCCATTGTGACCCAATAGCTCCATGACCTTGTGCCGACCGATGCGAACGTCGTGATGCCAGATGCTCCCATCCCCGCAACCAGAGGACAAGATGTGCTGATTCCACGACAGACTCGCGACTTGCTCCTGGTGTCCGGCCATCGTGCGAAGCTTCTGGCCCGTCTCGACATCCCAAAGCTCGACGTCTCCGGTCGCGCACCCCACACCTAGGAACATGCCGTCCTGGGAGAACGACACGCTGCAGATGTGCGAGTCCTCCGGTGCCTCGCCCAATTGCACGACAGCGGCCGTATCGGCATTCCAGAGGTACGTGCAGTTGTCCAGAGCGATAGCTACCGTGTTGTTGCACGACCAGTCAACCAAGTTCAAGTAGAAGTCGTCCACCAGACCAGGCGCGTCGAGTATACGCTCAGGCTGATTCGAGATCTTTCGAGCCTTGGTCGACAGGCCGCCCGATGAGTTGGTGGTAGGCGGGCGGGCGTATAAAGGCCGAGCGACGTCGATCTGCTGCGCGAGAATGTTGTTGGATGATGCCATGGGAGGAGGCTCTGCGTAGCCGAGGATGCGCTTGTTGATGGGTACACCAGTGGCCACAGCGAGTCGGGCTGTATGCCCAGGCGAGGCCGACTTCGCGTCGAGGTGCATCTGCTCGAGGGTAGCCGCCACTTCGTCAGCGCTGTCATTGACTGTGGTCGTGATATAGCGATCCCTGGTGTCGGCAGAACGATTCTGATGTACATGTTAGCCTGAAGCATCTACACAAACCCAGAAACGCACGGTGGCAGGCGTCGAACGCGATCGCTTATCAGGTTTCTCTTTGGGCTGCTGGGGCGGCGGGACGATGTCGCGCGTGATGACATCCAGCTTGCTCTCGAAGCCACCTTTGCGAATGACGCCACCGCTGGCCTGCGACTGAAGATTGTCATTCAGCGCGCCGGCACCAGATGCGATGCGCTTGATGGGCGAAGGCGGACGGGAGGGCGGACGAGACCGCGACGTGGTGGGTGGTACAAGGAAAGGGTTGGTCGTGTCAAAGGGATTCGTGCCAGCGCGACTCTTTGAGTGCGACTGCGCTCTGGTCTTCTTGGTTGGCGATGGATTCAATGATATGTTGTTCATGCCGTTTGCCAGCGAAGGCGTCAGCGGCGTCTTCGCGTCCGACCGCCCTCGGCGATGGCTGGGCGTTTTTGGGTTCGACATCAAGCGAGTCGTTAGAAGATGAAGATACTACGGCGAGGTTGTGCGAGGTGCAAACCAAGAAGAGACAGCAGATGGCAGCGACAACGAGGGCACCTCGTGCCGAGCAAGCGATCAACCTTTAAACGTGACACATCATGTGATCGCGGTTGGTGACAGATGTGACAAAGCGAATAAGGACGCTAGGGTTGTGGAAGTTTGGTCGATTAACTTACCAAAAAGCAAACTTACGGGTAAATAGCCATCACGTGACACGTAAGTTACTGACCGGCCCTCAGGGGGGTCCAGCGGGTATGTATCTTACTACCGGGCACGTGTGGGCTGGAAGGCCGCCTGCGTAGTCAGAGGGCTGCTTCAAGGACTACAAGCTCAGTATCCAATGCTGAGCACGATTTCTATGCCGGGGCAATGGCGAATTCTGCGGTGGCGCAAATTATTTTCTGAATTTTTGCCGCCGCCATCTCCGGCTAGCGAGACGGGCCGTCAATCCCGAATCACACGCTGACCACAACCACCACCTCCAACGCTGCTCTTACACGGCGCGTACATTGCTAGCTCTCCAATCTCCTCTTCATTCCCTATGCGCATCCCTCGCCATCCTCAGTGGCTGGGTCGAGGCTCGCGTATACGCGCTTCGCACGCCTACAGCGCGCCCGCTGCTCGAAAACCGGCTCGACTCCAATGGAGAGAGTCTTGCCAGCAGGGATGAGGTGTGCAAATCCGTTCATCTCGCGTCCGCCGTTCGACTGACGCATTGTCCGCAGGTCTCTCGCCGCTGTTGCACATGTGTGCACGCACCGCAAGTCCGCGTTACAGCGCTTCGTTGCGCTCGTTTCCTTCCTGTAGCACTCCTCCCAAGGTTTTCGGAACGGACTCGGACGAGACTTCCTCCTCGGGAAAGCCTTCGGCCGTCCTTCGAGCTGACAATGAACCCAACGAATGAATGGACCCCTCCGAGATTGCATTTCAATTGCTTCGAGCCGATGCCTTCGTAGAACCGAGCGGCATGGGTCGGGACGACTAATCCCCTTCCTTACCCGTGCTGTAGGGCAACACGATCAACCTACGCCAGCCGATCCGGTCAAGCGATGGTACCATACGCCGCGGGGTCTCGCCGTCCTCTCTTTCCGCGGCGCGTCAGAGTTGGGATACGACTACTGTAAGACCAATACTGTTTCCTACTTAGTTGATGCCATTCGCTCGCCGCCTCGTACGTCGCCTACGTCACAGTGGGTATGGGTGATGGGGGCAATCCACATGGTTGGGTAGACGCGATTTTGTCCTATCGGTGGCTTACATCACTAGAGTATTTACATTCAGTCTATGTAGTCTTTTCAATATGATGTGGAGATATTTTCAGCATTCTTGAGACTTCCTGCATCGTACCAATGAAGCTATGAAGCTGGAAAACCATGCCTGACTCTCGGGAGCGCCTGCGCGGGTTGATCACGTGGTCACGTGACTGGTAAGTAACCGGTAAGTAACCTGTCAAAAACCCACCCCCCAGGGGGGTTCGGTAAGTGACTGGTAACAAAGGGTCGGCCGAGTTTCTTACACAACCCTAAAGGACGCGACTTTGTCAGAACTTTCATCGTCCAGCGAAAAGATGGGCAGCAAACGATAGAAGATTCAGATGACTCGAGCATGTCGCGATCTGACTTTGTGGTAGTAGGTCGAAGCCGCGTATGCATGTCCTATGGTCATAATGATTGCGTTGCTCGTCGCGCGTCTCCCGCCGAACCTGGCGTTCCGTACCTCGCACTTACAGCAGAAGATAGGCATATTTAGACCTTGCGAGCCCTGGTATTCCCTGAAACTTGCCGTTCGCAATTGCTTGTACTTTTAGATAGCACGGGCCTCGGAATCCTCAAGGATGCCACAAAGGTGAACTTGCTACTCAAGATCGTTCTCGGCAAAGAGGAAGGTGGTAGTCAAGACGATATGGCTAAAATATTCCAGCTCTGTTATGTTTGCAAGCGAACGCGTACTTACGCGGCCAAAAAGCATCACGTGCGGTGCTGAGTTGAACTTGAGACTTATTCAGTGTTCCTCGTGCGTGCGCAAAAGACGCCCTCTGATTGGTCCGGCATCGCCATCCGGCCGCGCGGATGAGGTAAGGCGAGCGAGAATGCGGGGTAGCGCGCCCTGCATATAAACCAGCCAAGGTCAGAAGGTTCGCATCTCATACACATTCGCACGTCCGCCCCTCTTCCTCCCTTCACCACCATGTCACAGGCTTTTGCGCGCCTCCGCCAGCCACTCCGCGCTGCGTCCCGCCAGATCGCGCGCCCCTCGACGCGGAATGCGACCCCTACTTTCCGAGCGTCATTCAGGCGCTTCAACTCGACGGAGGCGCCCAAGCCTCCCAAGTCCAACACCGGGCTTTATGCGGGAATCGCTGGCGGTGCCCTGCTGGCTGGGATCGGTTTCTACTACTATTCGCAGGGAATGAACCCGCTGACGGCGGCCAAGTCGGGGGCGCAGGCTGCCAAAGTTGCGACCAACTTCGTCCCTTCGAAGGAGGATTATCAGAAGGTGCGTTGGCGCATTCGTTCCCACGAACCGGTTGCTAAGATGTGTTCGTAGGTTTACAACCGAATCGCTGAGCTCCTTGATGAAGCGGAGGACTACGATGGTGAGATCCCTCATTGTATCAATCACACAGCACAGTCTGAATGAGACGCTCGAAAAGACGGCTCATACGGTCCCGTTGTCCTTCGTCTCGCTTGGCACTCCTCGGGGACGTACGATAAGGACACGAACACGGGCGGCAGCAACTATGCCACCATGCGCTTCGAGCCTGAGGCTCTCCACGGGGCGAACGCGGGCCTTCACGTTGCGCGCGAGCTCATGGAGAAGGTCAAGCAGGAGTTCCCCTGGATCAGCTATGGGGACCTCTGGACGCTCGGTGGTGTCGCTGCGGTGCAGGTGAGTTCACAATAGCCGTGGTATGAGTGTAGCCCTCTGACATCCTCGAAGGAAATGGGCGGCCCGAAAATCCCCTGGAGGCCTGGTCGCGTCGACGGAACGGCTGAGAAGGCGACTCCTGATGGCCGTCTCCCAGACGCCTCCCAGGGAGCTGACCACCTGCGCAACGTAAGTCCACTTGCATGTATAATGAGTGCTTGACTGACCGAGCGACCAGATCTTCTACCGCATGGGGTATGCCTCGAAGTGCTGAACGCCTAGGACGAATACTTACACTACCCCCTAGCTTCAACGACCAGGAAATTGTCGCGCTCTCGGGTGCTCACGCGCTTGGCCGCTGCCACCGTGACCGGTCAGTTGAGCTTTGTCATGAATCACTCCCTTCACATACTCACACGTTCTACCCAGGTCTGGATTCGAGGGTCCCTGGACTTTCTCGCCCATCACCCTCACGAACGACTACTTCCGCCTTCTCTTTGACGAGACGTGGGTCTGGAGGAAGTGGGATGGCCCCAAGCAGCTTCAGGACAAGTCCACTCGCTCGCTTATGATGCTTCCGTAAGTCTTTGCTATCGCTTGGTTCGAGGTCGAACCGTCGCTGACTTAGGTCGACAGGACGGACTATGTCCTCGTGCAGGACAAGAGCTTCAAGAAGTACGCGAAGCAGTACGCGGACGATCAGGACCTGTTCTTCAAGGAGTACGACATACTCTCTTTGCATCGAGTCGTTGATGCTGACATGCTCCTAGCTTCGCCAATGTCGTCTCGCGTCTCTTCGAGCTCGGCGTGCCGTCTGAGCAGTTCGTGACCAAGGAGCCTTGGATCATGAAGAACGCGGACGAGAAGGACGAGTAGATTGACCCATGCTTCGTTCGGGCCAACACCTGGAAAATCATGTGTGAGAGGACCCCTTGTTCAGTGCTGTCTGCTATCTATTTCGCATTGTATCACATACTTTGACCCTTGTATCACAACTATCGTACCTTTCCTTTTGCATGAATTCACTTTGTTTGCTGCCTAACTTGTCCTCACGTTTGACGAGCAATGATCAAGCCCGACGCAGAAGGAACACAGCTCATCCCAGGTGTGCATGGTATAGTGGACGTGGTGTATACTGATACAGCTGGTGAATACATCGAAGGCAAAGCGTCTGTTTGTCTAGTGGGTCAACGTAGAAGGGATGAAATACAACGCCCACATACCATCCTCTCAATCGCCAGACTACTCATCCAGATTGATCGCCTTCCCGAACTTTGCGTAGAGGACGACCTTCAGCTCTTTCATCTGTCGCTCGCAGTCATCGACGCTGTCAGCCGCAGCTGCTAACCGTTTCTCGACGTCCGCCTGGTCGCGTGCAAGCCGTTTTTGTGCACGAGGGAGGGGAAGGTGGAGGAAGGTCTCGCCGACCTTGTAGCTAGAAATGGTGTCAGTGACAATGCGACGGGCATGTGTGGCAAGGCATTGAGCATTCAGGTGGATTATCCTGAAACCCAAGGGTGGCGGAACGTTGGCTCGGGCCTTGAGATGTGAGATGAATGCATGTGTTACGCGGCGGGGAACAAGGGTGGATATAGACTGATGCCAGGGCACTTACAGCACAGGTTCATCTTCGTCAGCAAGTTCAAGCTCAGTTGAGAGATCTTCTAGAGCTTCCTTCTCGACCTAGAAAGGAAGAGGTCCATTAGATGGAACATGGCCGATGTAAACCTGTAACGCACCTTCAACTCCTTCAACTTCTCATTCAGGTCCCGTACGCGCGTATTCAGCTTCGAGAATGAGTTTATTCTTTGCTGGTCCTCTATTTGTCGTGTCAGCAAGCTGGCATCCCCAACAAACGCGCAGGGGACGGCTCGCACTTGAGGCGATCGTGAACCCGGGCGTGGCGGATTGGCCTGGACTGCTACGCACCCCATGTCACTTCCTCAGCTTCCTCATTCTCGTCCTGCTTGTCAAGCTAGGCAGGTGTAAGTGCACGGACGCGTATTCGGACGTGGATCTTACCATCCGCATACTCTGCATGGTGGCGATCGTCGAGGGCAAGTCCTATTCGGCATAACGGGCCGACACGCGCGACAATCCAGCCGGACCGCGGCCCGTCGGTGATCGGTCCTGACGTACCCGGTACGCGCCCATGGATCTGCTCTCGGCTTCCACCTTAACCACCACCACATAGGTCAGCGGCGCCCTCAGGGAGGACAGCAGCGAGGATGCCTTCCGAGATCGCTTGGAAGCAGTACTTTGACGTGCTCAAGAACGTCGTATGCGTCTACATCGTCGCACGCCAGCTCCTCAAACTCAAGCGCCATGTACTCGCTCGCGGTCTGACTGGCTCGGTATACGAGGTGTACGCGGCGATGCAGCAGGTACGCTCACTTATGATACTCTGTAATTCTGATGAACTCAACAATTCATGTCTTAGCGCGCCTTCCAACTCGCACTCCGCCTCCCCTCCATGCAGAAGAAGGTCCGAACCGAGATGGACAAGGCGAAGCTTGATATCGAGAACAAGCTCGTCCCGAAGGGTCCTGATGTCACCCGGCACTTGACGCTACCGCCTAGCGGACTGTCTGCAGAGGATATCTTTGCAGAAATGGACAAGCTGGATAAGGAGGGGTTGTCGCACACGGATTGGTCCAAGGGCAAAATCTCGGGCGCTGTCTACCGTGCGTGTTCCCCTCTCCTTATCTCAGTCTGCACATGATTTCTGGAATGTCATGCTAACGCTACCTACAGATGGTGGCGAGGAACTTTCCAAACTTATTGCAGCGGCGTACACTCGTTACCTTGTCTCGAACCCCCTTCATCCGGATGCCTTCCCCGCGGTCCGCAAGATGGAGGCAGAGATCGTCTCCATGGTTCTGCGCATGTACAATAACCCGACTGGCGCAGGTACTATGACTAGCGGAGGCACTGAATCCATCGTTATGGCTGTCAAGACGTACCGCGACTGGGCGCGCGCCACAAAGGGAATCACGGAGCCTGAGATGTGCGTATGCCCTCTTCGTGTGGGCTGTCAAAGCAGAGGCTTACTGACGTGCCCCAAAGGGTCATCCCCTCGAGTGCGCATGCTGCCTTTGACAAGGGAGCGGCCTATATGGGTATCAAGGTACATACCATCCCGGTGGACCCGGTGACACGGCGAGTCAACATCAAGCGTGTAAGAAGAGCAATGTGAGCAGCTCGTACCCCTCTTATCTGTTATCTTATGAAAACATATATAGCAACTCGAACACCATCCTCGTGAGTCTTCACACCTTTCCAAACATACCCAGTCACTAAGCGTCATTTCTTTGTAGCTTGTCGGCTCTACCATCAACTTCCCCGACGGCAACCAAGACGACATTGTCGCTCTCGGCCAGCTCGCCAAGAAGTACGGCACCGGGCTGCACGTCGATTGCTGCTTGGGCTCGTTCATCGTGCCCTTCATCGAACCTGCAGGTCTTGCAGACGATGAGCATTTCAAGCTGCTGCCCTTCGACTTCCGTGTCGAAGGCGTGACGAGCATCAGCTGTGATACGCACAAGGTCAGCTGAACAGCAGCTCTCCTTTATATCCTACCAACACCAGAATCTCTTGCTGACGGGCTTTCCTTTGTAGTACGGCTTCGCACCGAAGGGCACGTCCGTCATCATGTACAAGGACGCCAGCCTTCGCCGATTCCAGTACTATGTTACCACGACATGGTCTGGCGGCGTCTACGCCTCACCGAGCTTGTCGGGCTCGCGTCCTGGTGCACTTATTGCTGGAACCTGGGCCGCCATGCAGCATATTGGCTACGAGTGCGTGACTGCGTCTCTTTGCGTGTATCGAAGGGCACTTGCTGACTCAGTATCGTATGTAGGGGCTATCTTAAGTCGTGCCGTGAAATCGTCTCCTGCGCACGCTATATCGCACGGCGCATTGAGGACGAGATTCCGGAGTTGCACATCATGGGCGCTCCTCCGGCATCGGTCGTCGCTTTCGCGGCGAACGACGACAAGAAGGTCGGTGTCATCCTATTAAAGCCTACTGTTAGATGCTGACAACGATCTATCCTTGTAGCTTGAGATCTTTGAGGTCGGTGACGCTATGAGCCGTCGGGGCTGGCACTTGAACGCCATCAACGACGGCGCGCCAGGTGGGAAGGGCGTGCATTTGGCGGTGACGGTGCGTTCATGCGCTTACTTTTCCGGTCTGTTGCGCTGACGCCAGCGCATAATAGCGCTTAACGGTCCCTAACCAAGACGTCTTCATCGAAGATCTGAAGGACTCGGTTCGCGAGGCGGGCGTGAGCCCCTCGGGCAAGGGCACGATGGTTGCATTGTATGGTGAGCCCCATTATGTGGATGTTGTAGGCGAGTGAATGAAGCTTACCGCGTCCTTACAGGTCTCGGCTCCTCGAGCGCCATCGGCCCGTCGCTTGTAGGCGAACTCGCGGAGGCGTTCATCGATGCGACGCTCAAGGCGTAATCACTGCCGCGATGAGGACGTGATGTAGGCATGCGAGATGACTGGATCCCGCGCTCGAACACCGTTGCTTGAATACTGGAATCGAATAGATGCAGGAGGGATACCCGAGGGGAACTCGGTAGGACTAGTGATGTTGTCTGGTAATTTTTCTGTCATTTATGTACCACCTTGCTTATCACGGCTGTAAAGATGCCTTTGTTTCATGCAAACACCGGAGAAGAGGCTCCGTTGACCGCTCAATGCGTTGGCTGCTGGCCATAAGCTGATACCCGTGGCAGAAGTGGGTCCAGTTCGGCATATCCCGACTAGAGGACCCACATGTTCATTTCGGCCATCTGGTAGGTATCTCCGCCGCTATTTCCCTCCTCGACATAGCAGGTGTGTCTCGTCAGTCGTCCGACCAAGGCCGGATGGAAAGCTCACTGATGACTTCTATCACCCCATCCCGCGGTCCTCCGCACCAGGAAGCGTTCTCATTTCCCCGCCTGCGGGGCGTGCCACATTTCTCGTCTTCGCTGCTCGCCTTCGACGCGGGGATTCGAGGCGTTCTCCATCTTGCAGCCCTCCTTCGCCTTGAACCACCGACGAACACCTTCCCTTCGCCCCGAGGTGCTGTACGCCTTCGCTTCGTGTCCCCGCATCTGCTGAGCGGCCTCCCCGCGTCGAACACGCACCTTCGGTGTGGGGCACGTGGGCTTTACTCGCTCACCAGCGGGGTTTGCCAGCGCGGGGAATGACTTCTGACCGTCCGTTCGCGGGCGTTGCACGATCAGAATACGATGCGCTCTGTATCCGGGGCGCGGGTTCTGTCAGCCCGGCTCGCTGGAGGAGGGAGTTGTGCGAGGAAGTACGGTGATGCGGAGGAACGGTGCGACGGGGTCGTGTGAGGGCGTATAACTAGGTCTTCGCCCGTAAAGTGGGCTCCAAACGAGGCTTTCGGAGCGTGTAGCTGCCATGACGTCCGGAGGTTCTATGCCAGCTCTGATTCCGCCTGCCGTGCTTCGCGAATGTCGGCTTGCTCGTCTGTTTGCTGCGCCCCTGGCCCTTATCCGACGCAGGCTATCTGGCCGTCGAAGAGACGGGCTTTCATACCTGGAGCAAAGGCTAACTGTGTGCTTAATTTCTTTAAGGCTTCCGATACGAGCAGTGGCTTCGGCGCAGCGGACATATCCAAGGCATGCCCTTCTATCGGGCAGCAGGTTTAAGTAGAGATACACATCGACAGCTCGTTTTTCCTCGCTTTCTGAGGCCGACCTGAGGCAGCCAAGACCAGCGTCAGCATGTAGCGCATGAGAGCAAGCCTCGTCCTGCGTCATCTGCTCGCACGTACACCTCGTATTTCCGCCATTGTGCCGCCATTGTTCTGATCATCTTCATTGCATCCTGCCAGATGACCATACAGACAAGGCATGTCAGCCGGACGCAACGTCCTCCCATTCAGAAGCAACGCCTCGCATTCAAAAAGGACGACCTTTGCGCTCCACAGACACAAGCCTTCCGCTCTCTTCCTGACGCACGGTTGGAGGTCCGTGCCGTCGAGGGTGGCCTCCGCTGGCGTTCTCCTCGTCTCGGAGGCCGCAAGAGTACCTGAGCGCAGCAGGACCATGCTCTTGCTGTCCTTCTCGTGCATGCTAATGTCGCTCTTGTTGAATGGATGATGCGTCTTCCATTGTTGTGGGTAGTACGAGGGTTAGTTGCGTTGCTCCAGTCCAACGCTAAGCCTGAACTTCCTCGCCGGCGATGCACGAGAAGGGGGAGCAATTTGTACGTTGGACGGATCCCTCATTTGCCTACCGCGCCCGCTTCTGACAGGGTGCTTCACAGTCGGCGGGCCAACCTAAAGTCACCTAGTAGACGCAAAACTCGGTCATGGCCAGCCGAACGCATGACGACCAAGGGCTCTAAATCTTGCCACACAGTGAACTTGTTGACGCTTCGACGATCTGGCCACATATTAGTGGCATTGTCGTCTGCAGGGGGCCCTCTGCTGACGTCCCGACGGCAAGTGCCCTACTATTGCTGAGAGTTCTCTTTTGTCCAGAAAGCACAGTCATTCAAAAGAGCATTGCGGACGCCTGTATATTGTCCCGCGTGCGAGTCGAACCTTGATTGGCGGTCTGAGTAGGAAGAGGCCACGGCCAGACAAGATCTCGGTGGGATGCATGCGTCACGAAGAGTAAACGCACTCAGAGGAGTGCACACGTCTTAGTGAGTCTGCGTGGGCTCGGAGAGTAGAACACCGAACGACAGTATTCCAGAGTAAACGCAGGTCCGGCGGGCGTACGCATACAACTAGCGAGCCAATCGGATGGTTCAGACGACGACGGGGCTCATCGAGGCGCAACAACCCGCTGAGCTTCGAAAGAGCGCGACCGCCTAGGTCGACAAGACGACCGTGCCACCGCGCGACCTAGGTAGTACCACCACGCGAGAGCAGTAGTGCCACCGTGCGAGACAGCAGCCGTAGGTTAACCGTCCCGTGGGACCCGCGGCCTACGCTCGTAAGCCAGCCCTTGTCGGCCGACATCGCTTTCAATGCGCCCGTCTGAAAATTCGAAGGTTCTCCGTTTTGGGCGAACGACCTTCGCGCCCCCACTCGCCTTCTCGCAAGGTCCGGGTTCGCCTGCGCGGGAACCTGACTTCGCCTGTACGAGAGCATGACTTCGCCTGCGGGAGAGTCGACTTCGGCCCCGGCGGATGGCATCTGCCGCACAACAAGCTATGAGCCGGGGAGAGTTCGCGCAGGCGGCGGGCGGTGGGCTTCGCTGAGCGCAGGATCGAGGTTCAGTGGGGGTTCTCTAGCTTGGAGATCACGGTCGCTGCGTGCAGAGATCGCGCTTCCATCTCGCGACGGTTACGTGTCGCACGAGAAAATAGCGCGCGAGCGACGATAGAAAGAGGATTACGGCCGCGTGCAGGGAAGACAAGCGCGTGTCCGTGGGAGATTACGGTTGAACTTTGGTTGGAGGCGAGTGGCGGAAAAGCTCGGAAAAGATGTTAAGTCGGCGGAAGAGATGTTGAGGATGATGAATGGTTGAGCAAGGTAGTGAGCTGTGTCCAATTAGACAAGAGTATGCGTCGAATCAGGGACAGGACGTCCCGCGGCCGCGGGAGTGCAACAGCTTGTACTTCAACGTTTGTGATGGTCAATGAATGGCCAGTAGTACGCTCGGAGGATACCTGTCATGCGTCCACTGCTCGAGGATCCGGAGGCTGGGCATAGACTGGGTGTAGAGTACGGTCGAGGGCTGGCGTCTTCTATCGGATGGAGGCCTTGGGCGGGTGGCAGTCGAGAAGCGGGAGCAGTCCGAGGTCGTAAGGTGGTCGGCGTCCAGAGTGTGGCGAGACGCGAAATTTTGCAGCGAAGCAGCACGTACGAGCAGGGAAGACCAGGCGCGTGAGAGGCGTCGCACGACGTGCAAAACGGGGGACGTCCCAGAAAGGTTCGCTCATAGAGCCCCATCAACGCGCGCAACACGCCGAGAATGCTGCCGCCATGCAGCCCGAAATGGGTGCAGACATCGCAATGAAGTGCGGGTGCTGCGCGCGCTGTTAGGCGCGCCATACGTCCGGTGGGCTCCACCTCCCAGCACGATAAGCGTCGCGAGAGCGGCTGGCAGCGTGATGCCTCATCATTATGAGAGGAAGCATGCGCGGGATAAGCCAAGCAGGACTGCATTGCGCCGTATATGGGGTTGCTGCACGTCCGGCAGGCGGTGGGATTAGAACTTAGAAGGGGGTCGAAGAGCACATACGGATCGAGGTGACTGTGATGGCGTATCCGCGGGATCTTTCCTGGATCGGCAGTTATCGCCAGATCTCCGCCATCAGGATGGCGATTGCGGTGGGCGCGCCCGCCCCTGAGTGCGCCGCTGTCCGCGCTCGGGACCCATGCGCGTCGCTTGGCGTCCATACTCCTCGCTTGTTATCGGGTCATCTCGCGAGAGGCTGCGGTGCGGGTCGGGTGCTCGCAGTCTGTAGGATCAGCCGTGCACTGCCTCGAGTGCAGGCCGCATTCATGCGAGGGTGCTGAATGAAGAGGTGCCTCAAATAGATGTAAGACAGCGCCGTTGCAGTCAGACAAGGCGTAAGTCGGCGGCTCGGGTGATATCACCAGAGCGTCGGGTGTGGAGAGCAGGGTTTGGTGCGATAACCGCGCGGGGGTCGTGCAGCAACCGCGTCGCCTAGCTCTGGCCCGGGCGCGGCCTGCAGTATACGCGCTGGATTTTCCGAAGCGCCTGTGGTGGGAGTGGACGGGGACAGAGCGGCGGCGGCCTGGACGCGGGTGATCGGACCGGGGCGCACTGAGAGGAATCCCGATTTAGCGCATGATCGTCGTCACAAAGATGAGCCCTGCGCAATGCTTCAGCTTGGGAGGCTCGCATTTTTCCCTGCACACTCAGCTCCGGCAGTCGCCAGCCTGGGCAGAACAGGGTCCCCCTCCGCACAAACTCTCCCTCTTCGACTTCTTCCTTCTTCCCACCATCCACGACCCCTGATTCCTCTTCTACCGTCCCCCCTTCCGCGAGCATGGCTTTCATGCTAGCCCATAATATGTCCCGCGACCAGCTCTTAAACCACGAGGAGGAGCTGGCCCCCGTCCCCGATGGCACCCGCTCAGCCCCCTCCGCCTCTGACCATACAGACGGCATGTACCAGGACCGCAAGGAAAAGGAGCGCCACCCACGTCTCGAGATTGTTCTCGACCAGGACTGCCTATACCTCCGCGGCACCGGCGTCGACGTCGAGCCCGCCCGCCTCTCAGGTCACCTCGTCCTCTACCTCACCGAGTCCACATCTGTGCGCGAGATCACTCTCCACTTTCGCGGCAAGGCCCGCCTACCCATACCCTCCCATGAGTCGTGAGTACACCCGCCATCTTCCTCTTGCACGATCTCACATCACTTGCAGGATCGGTCTGCAGAGCTCGTCGCTCACCTACATCATCTGCAATCACGACTGGTCCTTCCTCGAGGGCGAGAAGAAGCACTCGCACACCCTCAAAGCCGGGCGCCATGTATTCCCCTTTCAACTGCAGATAGGCGGTTCACTGCCATCCACTATCTTCACCCCCGTTCTTGGCGGCGCCTCCGTCATCTACAAGCTACGAGCACACGTCGTCCGCTCGGGCTTCCACAACAACCTCCAGGCCATCTGCCCGGTCATCATCCTTCGTTCCTTCGCTCCAGAGGCGCTCGAGTATCAACAGACGCTCGAGATCGAGAACACATGGCCGGGCAAGATCATGTACTCCATCCTCGTCCCCCACAAGGCCTGGGCGGCGGGCGACAACTTGACAGCCCTCGTCAAGTTCTCGCCACTAACGAAGGGCACGTCCGTGGTCAGCATCACGACGTCCATCCACGAGACGACCAAAATATACGCTCGCAGTGGCTTCCAGGAGCACAATCGTGTTGTCGCCACAATGAAGCACGACATCATCGGCGGCAAGGCCGTCGCCTGCGTTGACAATGATACGCGGAGCAAGCAGACCTCAGGGCGATCGACGCCACACATCGCCCCCACACCACCTATGGCATCGCCGGCCGTCTCGACTGCGAACCACACTAATGCTGGCGGAGGATACTTTTCATTCTCTCACGGGTCGACGCCACCGCCGCCGCCACCTCCTCCAGAGCAGCCGGTGGCCTCATCATCCACCGCCCCGCCGCCCATACACAACCCATGTGACGATGAGCCCTCCGCCGACGTCGTCACCCACCTCGTCCTGCCCATCCCGCGCAACCTCACACCGAGCCACGCTCTCGAGCCCATCATCGTTATGCACCGCATACGATGGAGCATCCTCATCCACAACGCCGACGGCCACACCTCCGAGCTGCGCTGCTCGCTGCCCCTCCACATCCTCGCCGGCCGTCTGCTCGAGGAGGCGCGCTCGCATACCGCCGCAACCCGCCGCCTGCTCATCGGCGGGCCGGAGGTGCCGCCGGAGGAGGACGAGGAGGCAGAGCTCCCAAGCTATAACGCTCACGTGCGGGACCGCGTTGCGAACATGTACCTTCCAGAGGGTGCGACGATGCGCGTGACCAACCCGTGGGTCACGACGGGCGTGTCGCCTGTGGTGCAGGCGGATGGCATGCCGGTGCCGGCGTGGCCGATGAGCCCGTCGGGGGCAAGTACGCCGCTGGAGGCGCACGTCTTATCGCACCTGCCACACCAGCCGGGCTCTGGCGCGAGCACGCCGCTCGATTGGGTCAATTCAGAGCTGCTGCTATCTCTGGAGCGCGACCCGCCTCCGCTCAGTCAGGCCAGCCTAGCGCGGACCGTCACGACGCCCGGCACGCCACCAGATGCTGGCGGCAGCGCCGAGGCGTCCGCTGCTCCCAGCCGTGGCCCGAGCCGCCCCTCGAGCCGTCCATCAAGTCGTGCCCAATCCCGTGCCCCCAGCCGCCTCGGCAGCCGCTTCCCCTCGCGACACTCCTCTCCCGAGCGCGAGCCGCGCAAGAGCACTGCGCACGAGACGTACGTGCACGAAGGCCAGGCCTCGCGCGCCTCAGACGGCATCTTCCATGCCACCATGAAGCCCTTCACCTCCCTCCCGCACCCGCAGTGGCTCTCTTCCCGCTCGTCCTCATCACACAACGTGCCCACGCTCGCCGAGCTCGAGGGCACGGCCGGCAGCGCGAACGGCAGCGCGGGCAACTCGCCCGGCGCGCGCGCGTATAACGTGCCGCTCTTCCAGGACCCGAACTCGGGCTCCGCGCTCCTGCACCGCGCGTTCACGGAGGTGCCGGCGTACGAGGTGGCGAGCCGCGGGTTCATTGGCGGCGTGCCGCCGCTGACGAGCATGCGCGGGCTGCCGAGCTACGACGATGCGCAGCGGACGCGGTCGTCGAGCGATGCGTCGCAGCGGTTTGCGGGCGACTCGCAGCAGCGGTCGATCAGTGAGGGTGATTTGGCCGGACGGTTCCGTCAAGCGATGGGACTCTCGTACATGTCACCTCCGCCACAACTGCGGCCCGCGGGCGCGTCGACGACTGCGCTGAACGCTACTGCGCCAGCCTCGCCGGCAGCCCGCACATGATGATGCTTCTTGTAGGTTTGCTCGCGACCTCACCTCGTCTTCGTCATCCTTCCTCCTAATTCAACTGCATCCTCGTTTCCTTCGTTTCTCTCTATATACGTGCGCTCACCATGAACATACCTCCAAGCGCCCCATGCCACCCCCCTCCCTCATCCACTGAACGAAGAACAAACATAATTTTCGTTGTTACTGTCATTTCACGACCTTCCCCATGATGCTTCGTACACCGTTCTTCAACGATGCTCTGTACACCCTAACGAAATCAATCATTATCCCCATAGACTTCATTTGCCTTCTTAGCCTGTCTCTTTGCCTGTCGCCCTTCCACTCATATCCGAACCACGTCTCCTCTGCTTTTATATACACCCCCTAGACTTCCCCCATAGAGCTTCCCCCACAAATGGACGCTGTACAATTATGTATTTCACTACCCAGGTTGTTCGTTCCACTACGACGCAAGGTGCTCGCGCTACTACGACCCAAGTTGTTTGTTCTATGACGTGCACACATAGGTTGTTTCGGTTATCCTCAGATTCGGTCTACGGTACTTTGGCTGTTGTACGGTTTACTCTGCAGACTGCGCAATGCGACATTGCTGGAAGAGGACATCTTTGCGCGCGGGAGCTCCCTGCGGTGAGATAACATCGGCTGGCCAAGGGAGGATTGAGCGGACAGACGTTGGGTCAGCCTTGCCCGGCGCGGCCAGAGCGGGCCACGGGGGACCCTTGCCATCGGGTCGGTGGCGTAGTTGGTTATCGCATCTGTCTAACACACAGAAGGTCCTCAGTTCGAACCTGGGCCGACTCATTCGAAATCTTTCACCGCCTTTTTGATTCTCGGGCGCACTACAAGCGACGCATGCTTCTAGGGCTAACAGCCCTAGCGTAACCAGCGAGAACGATGCACAGAGGATTCCGTTAGCATCACGACTCTTGATAATGTGGGCAGGCTCGGCAGTCGCCGAACCGCCCAATCCACATTGAGGGACGGTTGCTTTCCCCTCACACTACGAACTTCTGCACATGCGATTGACGTTGATTTCTGGCCGGCGAAAAAGCAGACCTCTCACATTAGAAATGGAGGATATGGCCTATGGCTCTGAGCCGCCCGGCGTGTAACTCTCGTTGACAGGGCTATCAATACTTTTTGACCTTCAAGTTGACCGTTCCAAGCGACGGTACATTGCGCAAGTCATAGGCAGACATTGCTTGTCCTCCCTCCTGACTGTCGTCCACATATCCAAGACACTATAACCGTCATGCTCTCGTCATCCTGGTCAGGCGGCCGAATGACAATGGGATACGAACTCCCCAGTCCCGCTCTAGCTGCGCTGTAATTCCTATCTCATCGATAGCCAGCGCGGGGCCTCCCTCAACGTGACGCTTCCTATCCGACGACTGCGACCAGCACCCACCAACGACAGACCCATTCAGCATGTCGACGTCTCTCCAATACACACCCCTCGACGAGATTGCGAAGGTACGCTCCGCCTACCGAGTTCTTCGACTGCTCCACCTCTCAACAAATCGTATCAGACCCACGCCCGCCTGCGCGCCACATTCGACTCCGGGAAGACCCTCCCACTGGCCTATCGGCGGCAGCAACTGCTGCAATTAGCGCGCTTGGGTGAGCTGCGGTCCAGTATATCACCTCTATCGAGCTATCTCTCAACACGCGCGCAACAGTCCAACAGAACGCCCCCGCCTTCGAGTCGGCCCTCTGGCGCGAGTTCCGGAAGCAGCCGCTCGAGATCGCGATGGTGGACCTCAGCCCCGTGGTCTCTGCGACGCTGTATGCGGCGGAGAATCTGGAGCGGTGGGCGGGAGAGGAGGAGGAGAAGGAGGATGAGGAGAACGAGATAGATGCCGGGATAAAGGATGTTCTGACGCAAACATGCCAGAAGAAGCAAACGACAGAGCAGGAGAAAGCGAAGGACGAAAGCAAGCGCTGGCACACAACGATCCAGAAACAGCCGAAGGGGCTGGTGGTCAATATCTCGTGCGCGCTTTCATCCTCTGCTATCCTTTCCCTTTCCCCTTTGACCCATTCCCCTTCCTAAATACCCTCTCCCCTTTCTAATAACCCTTTCCCCTTCCTAATTCCCCTTCCCCCTTCCTAATTACCCCTTCCCCTTTCTAATCAACCCCCCCAGCCCCTGGAACTACCCCATCATCCTCTCCCTCTCCCCGCTCGTCGGGGCCATCGCCGCGGGATGCGTGGCCATCCTCAAGCCCTCAGAGCATACGCCTATCGTGTCGGCCATGTTTGCAGAGCTCTTTCCGAAGTATCTGGACCCCGACGCGTATGCGGTGGTCAATGGGGGCGTGGAGGAGACGGGGCGGTTGCTGGAGATGAAGTTTGGTGAGTGGGTTCTGCTCTCTTGTAGTGGAAATGGCGGGTGGTAGGATAGAGGTGGCGGGTCGGCTCGCTTCTGACCTTTCGCGTTGGAGTCGGCCGTGTGGTATGATAAACCTGCTAACCGCGCGCACACAGACCACATATTCTTCACGGGTATGTTTGTATCCCACAGCCCCAACGGATCCACACCTACTTACCACACACCGATATAGGCTCCACCCACGTCGGACGCATCGTGGCCGCCGCAGCCGCGAAGCAGCTCACGACGGTGACTCTGGAACTGGGTGAGCGTCTGTCGTTCCTTTCTCCAATTCCCTCCCGGCCGCGCTATCTGCCCCTTTCATATTGGGTCGAGCGTGGACGCTCCCCTTGAATCACGTCTTGGCTCTCCCGGCGGACCACTTGTTCCCATCACAGTGTCCAGAGAACGCGCCTCCTCACACTCATCCTAGGCGGCAAATCCCCCGTCTTCGTCGACGCCGCGCACACGGACCTCGACATCGCGGCCAGGCGCATCCTCTGGGGCCGGCAGGTGTGCGCGGGGCAGGTGAGTCGCGGGCGAGGGGCTTGTGACCTTTCCGTCGTAGCACTCGTCGAAACATATCTCGATTTTTTTTGCTATGCATCCACTGTAACAGAAGGCGTGCGGAAGAGCATGGACTAACACACCTTCCCCTCCTCTTCCGCCCAGGTGTGCGTCTCCCCGGACTACGTCCTCGTTCCGCGCGCGTATCAGGACGCGTTCGTGGCCGCGGTAAGGAGGGCGTACGAGGAGTTCTGGCCGAAGGGGGATTCAGGTGTCAAGCAAGCAGGGACGGATGCATGCACCGCGAGGGACGGGGTCGGTTCCACCCTCTCGGGCATCCACCAGAGCGCCATTAACAGGATCAGTGCACTCGTGAGGGAGACGAAGGGGGCTGTCGTCGAAGGCGATGTGGCGGCGGGCGCGACCGCCCCCACCATCGTGCGCGATGTCGGTCTCGGGGACGCGCTGATGAGGGGGTGCGTATGCGGATCGTGGCCGCGTCGGTTTCTGACGATGTGTGGGTTTCTGACGATGCGTGGGTTTCTGACGATATGGCAGCGAGATCTTCGGCCCCATCCTCCCCATCGTGCCCATCGAGGGAGGGTACGGCCCCACGTCCGCATACTCGTCCAGCGATCCCTGCGCAGACATGTCCGACAATACCTGCTCGGACACGTCCGACGATACCTGTACAAACGAAGCGATCAAGATCATCGACCCGCACCCCGCCCCGCTCGTCATCTACGTCTTCACGGAGCGGGAGGGTGTGCGCGAGCGGTGTGAGTCGCGTTCTATCTCGATATCCTTCGTGGAAAGGGTGTAGTGGCTTTTCTTGCTTTTCTCGGTCCACATTCTCCCTTCGTCCCATCGAGGCATGGAGATGGAATGCTTCCGAGTCATCGCGGTTCTTGGCTTTCGAGCCATCGCTTCTGCTTGCTTCTGAGCCGTCGCATCTCTGTGCTACCAAGTCGTCGAGGTTCTTGATAACCGCGTCGTCGCTTGTATCTCCACAAGAGCAAGTGAGAGGGCGACTTGTATTCAAAAGAGCTGACGCCCCTTCCCAGTCCTCAACGCCACCCGCAGCGGCACGCTCGTGCTCAACGACTGCGTGCAGCAGCTGGCAGGTGCGTGGCTCCTGCTTTCCTTTTTGGACTCCTACTTTCCTTTCTCTAATTCGGGGTCCCCCTCTCTCATCTCTGTTATGCGGCGGCTGACGCATCCCCCCTGTTTGACACTCTCCCATCCTCGCCTGTTCGACTCCCTCCCATCCTCGCCTCCTTGTCCCCGACGCAGCCCTCCTATCTATGATGCACCCCTCCTATCTACGACGCAGCCATCCTATCTACGACGCGGCTCTGCGAGTCACCATCTCTTCGCCCTCAGCGGCTTTGCGAGCGCGCGATGGCGCTGCGACTGACGCGCTCGATGGCGCTGCGACTGACGCGCTCGATGGCGCTGCAACTGACGCGCTCGATGGCGACGCAACTGACGTTCCCCTACATAGTATACGAAATGCCCTTCGGCGGCGTGGGCGATTCGGGGTGTGAGTGTTGCTTTCTTTCTGCTTTTTCTTTCTTTGCAGGATGTAGGACTCACCGTCCACATCCTAGCCGGCTCCTGGTTCGGCAAGGCCACCTTCGACACGTTCACGGATTTGCGTCGCGTGCGGGCGAGGAAGTAGAAGACTGACGCGCGGGCGAAGGAGTAGAAGACTCACGTGCGTGCGAGGAAGTAGAGGAGAGGACTCGATAGCGAAGGTTGGATTAAGGGGTCGTAATGTAGTATATGATAGGAAGGCTACAGGCGTCGTGTACGTGTATGAATACAAGGGTCGTGTACGCGTATGGATACGGAATATAGGCGTATATGGCCACAGAAATGCGATGCTTGATAGCCACACAGTGAAAGTCCTCCATCCTACGCATTCTCCACAGCCACCTTCTTCCCCCTCCTGCGTTTCTTCGTCTTACTCTCCCCTTCCACCTCTCCTACCGCCCCCACAACCTCTCCCTCCCCCAACTCCAGCCCCTTCTTCCCCTCCACCGTCGCCTTCCCCTTCCTCGCCCGCTTCCTCTTCTTCGTCGCACCCGCGCCCACAACCACGACCTCCCCATCGATGCTCGCCCCTACACCCTCTGTCGTGTCGAGCCCTCCGCCGCAAGCGCTTCCTCCTGTCGTGTCGAGTCCTCCGCCGCAAGCGCTCCCTCCTTGCGCAACTGCAGCGGTATCGGCGGGCTTGCCCTCAATCTTCTCGTCCTTCCCCTTCTTCGCTGCCTCTCCTGCCGCCGTGCCTCCCTTCGCTGAGCCGGTGCCGTCGTTAGGCGCAGCCCGCTTCCCCTTCCCCCGCTTCCTCTTCCTCGAGGGCGATACAGCCTGCGCCGCCTCCTCCGCCCCGTCCGACGCGTCCATCATGACTCGCTGGAGGGAGGCGCCCCTAGCTGGCGCGTTGTCGGCGAGTGCGCCCCTAGCTGGCACGTCGTCGTCGGCGGGTGCGCCACTGGCTAGCGCGTCGTCATGTACCCCACTGACCCGCTCGTCGGGTACCCCACTGACCCGCTCGTCGAGTACCCCACTGACCCGCTCGTCGGGCACGCTGGCTGCCGCGTCGTCGGGTACTCCCCTAGCTGGCGCGCCGTCGGCGGTCTTGCCCATGGCGGCAGGCCCCGCCCCCTCCCACTTCGCGCTAATCGGCCGGTCTTCCTTCTTCGTCTTCCCTTCCTTCGTCTTCTTGGCGCCCTTCCCTTTCTTCCCTTTCTTCCCCTTCAAACCCTCCTCCCCACCATCCACCGCCGCCTCCTCGCTGGGGGCACCCTTCTCCTTCCCCTTCGCTCCCTTGTCCTTCTTTCCCTCTCCCTCCACCGCCTCACCCTCAACCGTCTGTCCCTCCCCGCCCTCCTCCCCATCACCATCCACCACCACCTTCCTCACCCGCTTCGCCCGCGCTCGCCCGTCACCATCAACAAGCTCGAGGTCTTCGTCGCTCCCGTCGTCGACACCCTCTTCGACGGGTTTGACCTTCTTCTTCCGCGGCGTCTTGTCCCCGCGCCAGCCGGGCGGGCGGAGGACGGCTGGATGGGGTGCGGTCAGCTACCGATTCCTGTTGCGCTGCTCCCTTCCTCCTGCGCTGCGCCACGCGCACAACCCTTCGTTACACCCGCCGCTCGCTCCCCAGCCGCCGCTCGTTCCCTAGCAACCGCTCGCTCGCCGAAAGCGCGGCAAAGGGTGATCCTTGAGAGCAGCGCAGGTAGGCGTTCGAAACCCGCCTCCCCTCCCTCCCTCCTTCCCTCCCCCCATCCCTCCCCCCATCCCTCCCCCCTTCAGCCCCTCTCCTCTCCTTCGCACCCAATCAAACCAAACCAAAACCCATCCCCCTCTCAAAAACCAAAAAAAAAAACCAAACGAAAAAAAAGGATGAAACCAAAACCCCTTCCCCCCCTCCACCAATCCCCCTCAACAAATCTCAAAAACTCACCCCCATCGACCTGCCCCAGCCCATACGTCCGGTACAGCTGCAGCACCGCCTGCTCCTTGTCCTTCGCTTCGATCATGAGGTCTGGGGAGGTGTCAGTGGGTGCGACCACGGTTTCCTAGCCACTCCACTCCCAAACCATTCCCCTCCCTCCACCACCAAAAAAACCCACACCCTCCCCCGCCCAACCCTTCCGCCACTCTCTCCTCTTCTGCCACTATCTCCTCCCCCGCCCTTCGTCGCCTCCCCTCCCCCTCCCACCCCCACTCCCTTCCTCCCCCCTCCACCCAAACCTAACCCGTCCCCTTCCTCCCCCCTCCACCCGAACCAAACCCACCAACCCTCGCGCGCAGCGAAGAACTCGCCAACCTGAAGAAAAACTCGCCAACCCAAACCCCCCCCCTCTTTCGACACCCAAGCCCCAAGCCCCTCCCTCCCTCCACCCCTCCATAAACCCCTCCCCTCTTAAAGCACCACCGCCCTCCCGCACCAAAAAAAACCCCACTCACCCACATCCCCCTCCAACACCTCCGGCAGCCTCGCCACCCGGTCCGCGTGCGCGCGCCGCTCGGGGATGGTGCGTGCGGTGGGGCGGGGCTGGGGGGTTATGGTCAGTTTTTATTATTATAGGTTAGTGAGCGTATAAAGGGGTGGAGGTGAGAGGGAAGGGGGGAGGGGGTGGAAGGGAGGGGAAGGGGAGAGGGAGAGGGATGGGGGTGGGGATGTGGAGGGAGGAGGGGAGTTGGGGTTAGGTGAAGGAGAGGGGGAGGGGACAGGGAGGGGACGAGAGGGGGAGGGAAGTGTGGAGTCGGGAAGCGTACGCGGACCACTTCGTCGTTAGACCGTCATCCGGACGTCTTCGTCGTAAGGCCCTCATTCAGACCTCTTCGTCCTCCCCTACCCTCCCCCCCTCCCACTCTACTCCCACGTCCACCACCAACCCCACACACCACTCCCCCACCACATGAAAAAACCACCCCCCCCCCACCCCCACCCCACCACATAAAAAACCCCTCACCCAAACTCACCTCACTCAAATGCACCTTCGGCCTGATCCCGCGCCGGTCCCAGATCGCCCGGCTGCGCGCGATGATGTCCGCGATGGGGAGGAGGCGGCGGAAGCCTGGGGTGGGTGAGGTTAGTTTTTTATTGGGGGGGAGGTGTCAGAGTTGATGGGGGGGAAGTGAGGGAAGGGGAGGGGTGGGAGAGAGTATGAGCATTGGAGGCGGAGGGGGGTGAGGGGGAAGGTGGAAAGAGGGGAGATGGAGGCGAGAGAGAGTATGAGGATTGTAGGCGAGGTTTGTGAGAGTTGAATTGTTTTTTGTTGGGTTGGGGTGAGAGGGGGGAAGGGGGAAGGGGGAAGGAAGGGTGAGGGAAGGGAGGGAAGGGGAGGAGGCAGATGGAAGGGTGGGAGGAGAAAAAGAAAGGAACAAAGGAGGTTAATGAGGAAGAGAGCAAATAAGACCCTAACACGCACCCTGCGGCACGCTCCGATACCCGAGCTCGTTCAGGAGGGCGGAGGGGGCGGAGGGCGGGTCTTCGGCAGGAGGAGGGGCGACGTCCGTAGTTTGCGTCTCGCCGACGTCCGTAACTTGCGTCTCGTGGACGTCCGTGGCCTGCGTGTCGCCGACGTCCATATCCGTCGCTTGCGTGCCGAGGTCCACGTCCTCATCACCTCCCACGGGAGGTGCATCGCCGTCCGCACCCGCACCGTCTAACATCGTCAGCGGGTCGACCGCCGCAGTCGCCAGCGGGTCAACGACCACGCTCCCCTCCTCCTCGTCTCCCTCTCCCTCAACTCCCGTATGCTCCTTGACCAACGGCCCCGGATTGATATCATCGTGATGATAGTCGAAGACGAGCGGGATGTCCAGGTCCTCGCAGAGAGGGAGGAGGTCGTGGGCGGAGTAGCAGAGCTGGGGGGCGGGGGGCGTGAGTAGGTGTGTTGTGGAGGGATAGGGGAGGGGGGAAGGGGTGTGAGGAGGGGGGAGGAATGGGAAGGAAGGGAGGGGGGAAGGGGAGGGGAAGGGGTGAGGAGAAGAACGGGAGGCTTACCTCGTCGTTCTCCAACACGAGCCTCGCGCGGACGTTCGGTGGGAGCCTGGTGGTGACGGAGTGGCGGATGCGGTCGAGAGCAGCGGCCTTGTCTCCATAGGTGCCACCGCCGTGGATGATCATGACCGCGTCGGGGCCCTGGTGCATGCGGTCGAGCATCTCTGCGTGGTAGCAGAGCTCGCGGATGCTGGCGTCGATGACCTTGGGATTGTTGCTCCCCAGCTGCGTAAACTGGCCCGGATGCGTCGTAAGTCTGTGTCCCAGCCTATTCGCCAGCTCGCCGGCCTCCTCCAGCACATCCTTCGCATACTCCAAATCATACCCCCACACCGGGTGCGACGCAAAGGGGAACATATCCGACGAGACGCGCATGAAGCGGATCCCGTGCGCCTCGTTCCAGTTGATGAGGGTGATGAGGTCGCGGGCGTTCTTCAGGCCGAGATCCTTCGCGAAGCCGATGCCCTCTGCGTTGAGGGTGGCGATGCGGCAGGTGCGGGAGCAGAAGACGGCGGCGGAGGCGGGGGTGGTGTGGCGGAGGAGGGTGTTGAGGCAGGCGTAGCCGAGGCGGCCGTGAAAGGAGGTGGTGAGCGAGGGCACGGGCGGGATGGCGTACGTGATGACGGGCTTGGGCTTGGGGGTGCGGGGCGTCTTGGGCGTGCGAGGCGTCTTGGGCGTGCGGGTCGCCGTCTTGCGCTTCTTCTTGGGCGGCGGGGAGGGTGGGGGTGAGAGGGATGAAGAGGGTGAAGGCGAGGCGCGGGCGGTGGACGTGGAGATGCGCGCAGACCGCCTCGTCGTTGGACCGCTGCTGCTGCTTGCCATGGTTGCTGTGAGTGAGCGGAGCGCACGGAGCATGACAGCCGACCATCTTGCTCGCCCCTGCCTATGAGTGCGCCCTCCGCCGCCGATCGTGCGCCAGAGATCGTCGCCTCCCGAGACAGGCGCGATCGACCAACGCCTGACGTCACCCGCTGCCCCGGACCGAACCTGCCTCCGCACTCGATCACCTCCCTTCCCAATCACGCGCTTTACACCGAACGCGCACCAGGACGCCAGCGCGCAACCTACTCGTCCGCCCCGCGCCCTACTCGTCCGCGCGCCCACCATGTCCATGCGCGCCGCCCTCTCCGCCCACGCCTCCCTCCTCGCCACCCAGTATTCCACCCACCTCCCCTCCATCCTCGAGCTCCAGACCGTCTTCCTCCACGACATCCTCCCCGCGCTCGCCGATGAGCTGGACCTAGATGCGCCCGCTCAAGCCGCCGCCCGCTCCTGGCTCCAAGACACCATCACCCTCTTCCACATCGCCCGCCGCAACCAGTGGACGCGGAGCTGTGCGATGGACGCGGTCCGCAAGACGCTCGTATGGCGCCTTGAACATCTTCCTGTAGCAAACGAGATGGAGACGGACGCGGCCTACACTCCTCCACCCCACCTCCTCCCCCACCCCGACCCCGCCGGCCGGCCCGTCCTCGTCCTCAAACTCCGCGACCTCCCCCCACGCGCCCACCGCGGCGCCGTCATCCGCGCCCTCGAGCGCCTGCGCGCACACCTCTGTCGCTTGAATCACGAGCGGCCGGAGGGACCTTCCTCTCCGTCCTCTCCCTTGACTGCGGCTCCGTCGAGTTCCAAACCTAACGCCTCGACATCGCATACCCCCTCTCACTCCTTCGACGACACCTACGCTACCCCCGCCCTCCAATACCTCCTCCTCCTCGACCTATCCTCCCCTCCCTCCACTTCCTCCTTCCCCACCATGAGCATTCCGAACCTCGACCTCGACCTCATCACCTGGACCCTGCGCGACGCGTCGCCCAAGTTCCCCGGCCTCGTCGCCGGTGTCCTCGTCCTCAACTACTCCTGGGCGCACGCGGGGCTGTGGGGCGTGGCGAAGAGGCTCATACCTGAGGTGAGCGTTCTTTCCTCCTACTGGCTACTGAGCCTTTCTACTGGCTACTGAGCCTTTCTACTGGCTGCTTGGCCTTCCTGCTGGCTACTGAGCCTTCCTGCTGGCTACTGAGCCTTCTTACTGGCTACTGACCTCGTGTCGCGCTCCCTCCGCCATCCTCGCACCACTTTCTTCCCTGCATCCTCCCATCTCTCTCGTTCCTGCGTTCCCGTCTCTTTCATCCCTGCATCTTTCCTATCTCTTTCTTCCTTGCACATTTCCCGTCTTCTATGGCATTGCATCCCGCTACCGCCATCCTACTCCGTAGGCGCTCGGTGGCTGACATGCATCTGATACCCTGCTCGAGCGGACCTATTCCTTACCCTCGAGCAGCCCCTTCCTCCCCATTCCCTACCCTCCCTACCCTCGACAGACCACCCTATCGCATCACATGCTAACGACCCCATAGGCAGGCTCCGGCGGTCGCGTCTGGTTCCCGACGACGGAGGAATCGGTCGACTGGTTTGGGGAGGCGAATTTGCCGGAGGGTGCGTTGTTCGTCCATTTTGTTGTCCTACCTCTTCCACTCCTCATCCCATCCCTCTCCCTCTCCCTCCTTCCCCACCCCCTTACTGACTCTCCCCTTCCCTCCGCTCCTTCCTCCTCTTCCCTTCCCTCCGCTCCTTCCTCCCCTTCCCTCCCTTCCCTCCCTTCCCTCCCTTCCCTCCTCCCCTTCCCCTCCTCGCCCCCTCACTAACTCACCCACCAGAATATGGCGGCTCCCTTCAATGGCCACTTCCCTCGCCACCCGACCGCTCAGTGTCACCCGAACGCTCAGCGTCGCCTACGCCCTCTGCCACCTCCGTCTCGTCGTCTTACGGCACCAGGTCGACGAGAAGCGCCTCGCCAACAAGTCCTTCCTCACCAACACCCGAAGACCTTGCACCCCCGCCCATCCCACGCGCCATCTCCCTCTCGCCCTTGTCGCTCTTGAACCCGTTCTTCGGGTATCCGGCGCGGTCGCACGCTGCACCCTCTCCTTATACCATCTCACATACGCCCGCCCTCCCGAGCCACCTCCGCAACCACACCCCGCATCATCGTCGACATTCACATTCCCTCCCCCACGGCCGCCGGCGCCGCCGAGATCTCGCGCGCACGCTGCTGTGGTTGTTGTGGGCGCGGTGGGGCGGGGTGATCAGGGCTGTTTTGTGGGCTGTCGCGCTGGGGTGGGCGGTGAGGGGGTGGAAGCGCATCCTGGGGAGGGGGAGGGGGGCAAGGATATTCCAACGGGGAGGACGCATGGGGAGGGGGGCTGGCAGAAGTGAACTAGGGAGGGAAGGTGGTGGAGGGGAAGGTGGAAGGATACCGCAACGGGAGTGGGACGCGCTGTTGGCGCTGGTGTTTACTGGCTTTGGGGCGGCAGGGGTTTGAGGAATGGGTCGAGGGACGGTGGGGGCCACCGAGCCGGAAGGGGAGGGATGATACCGCGCCGGGAGGGGAGGGATGATACCGCGCCGGAAGGGGAGGGATAACACCGAGTTGGAGACGAAGGGAAGGGTCGCGCGCAAGCCTCCCAATCTACCTCTCGCCTCTATGCGTGGGCGCTCCTTCACCGACCCCCTTCTTCGCCAACGCCGCCTCGCCCTTCCCTCATCTTGATGCGCCCGGGCCCTTCTTCGCCAACGTCCCTCGCTTCGCTCGTCTTTACGCGCGCCTGTGGTGTGCGGTCGAATGCTAACTCCGCCTCGCCTTTGATTCCGGCATCGCCGTTGACGCCCGCCTCGCCGTTGACTCCCGCCTCGCCTTTGACTGCCGCCTCTCACGCTCAAGCGCCTGCAGGGGGTGCGGCACGCGCGAGGCAGGCAGGGAGTGCAGCACGGCGCGGGGCAGGCAGGTAGTGCAGCACGCGCCAGGGTAGGTAGGGGGTGCGGGGGGCGACGACAGGAGCGCGGGGGGCGGGGCCGACGGCAGTATTGCGGGGGACGATCCAGAGCTGCGCCGGGGGGGGGGGGGGGGGTGGAAGACGAAGAGCGGACGGGAGGGGCGACGCGACGCGAGTGAGGGGGACGGAGGAAGAGTGAGGGAGCCGGGGACGGGGACGACGACGTCGCGCGAACGACGGGGACGGGGACGACGACGTCGCGCGAGCGACGGGGACGATGGGGTCGCGCGAGGGACTGGGACGACCTCGGAGGGTGTATGGACGACCTCGAGTGTAGTGATGACCTCGAGTGTAGTGACGACTGACGGTGCAGGCGCCACCCACTCGCGCACCTACTGGTGCCCGCATTTTCGTGTAGACTCAGAGTACCCTGGTAAGTAGGTATAGAGCTGAGCTGGACTGCATGCGTATGGGGAAACGGCAGGACCACCCGCGTGTGGTGGACTAGTACATGTGTCTGGGCGGACAGTACTGTACATGTGTTTGGGTGGACTACTACATGTGTCTGGGTGTACTACTACATGCGTCTTGCTGGACTAGTACATGTCGTTACAGCGTGCGCAGACCCTTCTGCAACCTTCACGCACCGGGGTGTGGAGAATATCTGCGTCTTGAAGAATATCTAGTCGTGAAGACTATCTGCATCGCGAGCCTTTGGCCTGTCATCGCGAGCTGCGAGCTTAGAATTATCTGTCTGCTCCTCTCCTCACCTCCTCTCCCACCCCTTCTCCTCACCTCACTTCACCTCACCGGTACCTCACCTCACCCCACCCTTCCTCTTCCACCCTCTTTACTCCTCTTCCTCTTCCTCACCTCCTCACCTCACCTCACCTCTCCTGACCTCCTCTCCTCCTTACCTCCTCACCTCTTCCCTCCTCTCCCCCCCCCTCCGGCCGCCCAAGCGAACATAAACCATCTCGCTGCCCAAGATGAAACATAAACCAGCTCGCCGCCAGAGCGCAACATAAACTCCCTCGCTGCCCGAGCAAACAAGAAAAAATAACAATGATTGTGAATGAGTTCGGCCCTGGCCCAAGCAAAAATCAACCGCGCCTACGTGGAATGAGTCGGCCCAGGATCGAACTGAGGACCTTCTGTGTGTTAGACAGATGCGATAACCAGCTACGCCACCGACCCTGTGGTGGATGAGGAGGGGGAAGGGGGACCAGGGGAATGGGTGGAGGGAGGGTGGGGATGGTGTGAGAGGGATGGCTGTGGGGAATGAGGGTGGGCTGAGTGAGGGAGGGAGGGGGGATGCAGCGCCATAATCCTTGTCTTGAGATGAACGCACCGAGATCAAATGATTGGCATTGAACCGAGATCGAGTGATTGACATTGAACCGCGATCAAACGATTGTCATTACCCATATAATACTCGGAAAGTCTCCAAAACCCAAGAGTACAGGCGTCCCATTAGGGCAGCCATTGTGTTGAACGGAGCGACAGTGGCCGGGATGAACTGTTGCGACGCCGAACAGGCCTGACCATATACCAAGCCTCCCTCTCACTGATATTCTTCCAACTCCCTCTGCCTTCTTTCCTTCTCCTCCCTTGCTCGTCTCTTCTCCTCCGCTTCCTCCCTTTCCCTCTCTCTCGCCTTATCCCTCTCCTTTACCTCCTGCGCCCGTCTCTCCTTCGCCGCCGCTTTCGCCAGTCTCTGCCTCTCCCTCTTCTGTTGCATCCTAAGCGCTTGGATGCTAGCCATTCGGCTGGCCTGTTCGACGTCCGTCTGCGTCGCGGCGTCAGGCGCCTGTGATGCGGCGTCGGGCGCCTGTGTTGCGGTGTCGGGCGCCTGTATTGCGGCGTTGGGAACCCTCGCATCGACGTCGTCGGTGGCCTTCGCGTTAGCAACGACGGGCATCGTCACATCGGCGTCTGCGAGTGCAGTGGCTAATACTGATGCTATGAAACCGGAGGGTGAGGTGGCTGAGGTGGAGGGTGGAGCGATGGGCGCGAGGGGTGAGGCGATGGGCGCGAGGGGTGGAGCGGTCGGCGCGCATTCCAAGTACGGGGCGGATAACGGTGTTGGCGCTCTGACTTGCGGTAGGGCGACCGCTGGAGTCGCAGAATCAGAGTGCGTAGACGCAGTGAACAGCGTGGGCGTCGACTCCTTTGAAGCGGACATAGCGGGCGTGGCTAGCGTGCGAGGGGGGGTGGCCAGCGCGTGAAGAGGAGGCTCGGCTGGCGTGGTCAGAGCAGGTGCGATGGTGGTAGACGACGTTCTCATTGCCCTTACGAAAGACGCCGTCGCCTCCGGCGCGAATGGCACCTGCTGCGCTGCCGGCGTGGTCGCTGGAGGAGTATTCGCGGTCGCCCCTGCAGGCGTGGCGGACATCATCGCTGCAAGCGTGGAGGACGTCGACGCTGCAGGCGCGGACGAGATCCCCGTTGCAGGCGCGGACGAGATCTTCGCTGTAGGCATGGATACAGTTGTCGCTCCTGGCGTGAATGGCATGGCTGCTGCGGGTGCAGATGAGGTCTTCGCAGGCGGTGCGGTCGACGCCGTCGCTGCCTTCGACGTAGCAAATGCACCCGGCGCGGGCAAAGCAAATGCATCGGGCATGGGCGGAGCAAAAGCATCTGGCGTGGGCGAAGCAAAAGCATCCGCCACGGACACCGGTGACGGCGAACGGATCCCCGTCGTTGAGGTCGACGGCGCCTGCGCCAATCCCGCGTTCACAATTGCACGCTCGACGTCAAAGGATCTGCCCTTCGCCTCGCGCTTGTCGTCCCCCCTCACCTCGTACGAGTACCTCTCCTCCCTGATCCTCGCGATCTTGAGCACCGTCCCGGCACCCAGACGCTCCGCATCCTCTTCGCTCACGCCGTCCAGCCAGCGCTCCGTCGTGCACGCCTCCACGAACGCCGGGAGGAGCCACTCTTGCAGTTCGGTGAGGTCTTCAAACTCCCGCGCTACGGCAACTTTGTCCACCATGCTGCCCGAGCGGTAGACCTCGTCGACGGCGCGCCTGCGGAGAGAAAGGAAGGACCACTGGTGCGCGAGGCGGAGAACGGAGGTCCACTCGGCGGCTGTGGAGAGGGCGGGGGTGGCGATTTCGCTGGAGGATGACGTTAATACGCAAATGCAGAGAAGTAGGAGGAGTGTGAGGAATATCAACGATATGACATGGGACTAACAAGAATACAGTATACAGGTAGCTCACCTGGGATAGATCAAAGTCAAAAACCGGTCGAGGTCCACGGAGGAGACACCAGAAAGCTCGATAGGTCCCTCGTCCGCACCACCCGCAAGGTATCGCGCAGCGAAAGCGGGCGAGTGCGCCTCGAACGAGTGGCGGAAGACGCGGTAGAGGGTGCCGTCGTCGAGCTGGGAGGGCAAAGGGAGGTTAGCATGATTTGAAGCATGGTTAGCATGACTTGAAGCATGGTCATAATGATTGGGAGGAGGGTTAAGATGCTCGCAAGCATGGTCAAAAAGAACAGTATGCGCAGCAAACTCACCAGCAGCTCGACCGTGCTTGGGTCGAGATAGAAACGTGGATGCTTTTTCGTTGGTCGGGTTGGCGGCATAGTAATTGGGACGCTGGTCTTGGGATCGACCTGTGCGGGCGAAGCGGAGGTAGGCTGGAAGTCTTTAGGTGTGCTACTGTCGGGAGCCTTGACGTTGTCGGGAAACTTTGCGTTGTCGAAAGGTTCTGAATCTAAAATGTCCATGAACTTTGCGCTGTCGAACGACTGCACACTGTCGATGGATTGCACGCTGTCGATGGATTTCACGCTGTCGATGGATCGCACGCTCGTAAAGGAGTGCGTGCTGCTGGAGCGCGACCGTCTGTGGCCGGACATGGCGGTAGGAAGCAACCTTGAGGCGGAGGCACTAGACGATCTCGAGCTAGATGCCCACGATACATGCGTGCAGCGCATGTACGGCAGTTACGACATCCTAGTACGGTAGGCGCCCATCGTGAGCTTCTCAGCCGCAACACGAGCGTTACGTATGGAAGATAGGTAGTGACAAAGGACTTCAAGGTATTCTTAAGCATGCCTTGCACAAGCTTCCTCAGGTTGTAAGGGAGCAGGAGAAGACGTGAACGGAGGTCTGATTGAGATGACCATGATAATGGTGCGGACGCAAGCGCTTTGTTTGCCCGCGTTTGTGAATCTCGCCAGCCGGAACGTGCCGAGCGGAAGAAACGTGATCGTTGTAGGGTAATACTGTTACATCCACATTTTCCACCACTTTAGGGCACCATTCAGGCCTTAGAGAAGGCCCCAGAGGCAAAATAAAGTTGGGCAATTACTGGTATATAACGCATGCATTTACCGCAGTTTTCGAGGGCTAATGGCTCAGTGGCCATCCCCTCAGAACCCCTCGCGGTGGTCTCCAGTGACCCAAAGTTGCTAACACGATGTCTTCCGTTCGACCCGCTGCAGGTGCAGTCTTTGGCTCTGGATATCAGAATATTTAGATAGTTTCCTCTTTTTTGCTGATGAAAAAGAGTCTCGTATTAGAAGTTGAACTTGCAAGTCACGCTTCAGCCACGCGGGGTAGCGATCAGTTGATCGGCAAAGACCGACCTACTATTGCTTCCGCCTCGCCTAGCGCCATCGTAAGGCGATCATCGAATGCTGAGTCTTGCTGACGGAGAAAGGTACTGTTGGCCAGCTTATGGACATCCATGTAAGGAACTTGTGAAGCTGACAAAGGCAGAGAACGTTCACAGAACATGCCAGTGTGTCTAGGAGCGGAGGAGGAAGAGAGTCAGACGTGACTCGTGACTCGACGCGTCGAAATTCGCCATTCCACTGAACATACCGCTGTTATCCATCGCACATCGCCAAGGAGTCTTCGGGGAGGATGTCCCTCGCCGGCTGAGACGCGTCCTGTCCGGCTGCGGTGCGTTCATGGCCCGACGCAGGACGGACACGACGTTTTCATGACTTTTCGTGGCGCGCGGCAAACTCCGTTGTTCATGTTCGAACGACTCACTGATGCTGCGCCGCGGGGCGACCCCGGATCTATTCATGGGGAGGGGCGGCCGGGCAAGTCGTGCCAGTTTCAAGAGTTCATGACCCTCGTCACTGTTTGCCAGCCCTCCAGAAGTCCGAGGTCGTTGTATACATTGCACCAACCCTCGCGATCGCGCAGCTCCGCGCTGCGCCCGCCTCCTCTGGTCGAGATCAGCGTACCCGCTCAGTCCCGCAAGTCCTCTGTCGCCGTTGCCTTCGCAGTCTGCCTCGACGCTCCCGCTCTGCAAAGCCTCTACGTATGACGCCTGCCCGACCCCGAGGCCTATCGACAGCCCTCGCAAGCTCCGAGCCTTGTCGCCGCCGGCCCTCCGCCGACGGCCATAATCCTACGAGGGCCGCCGGCGACATCCTCGCGGGCCCAATGGCGACACCCTCCCCCTCCTGAGGCACCCCGACGTCGCGCCGAAGACGCACACGCACTCACGTCGACTCACCCGCTTACCAAGATGGGCGCCTAAACCGGGGTTGGCGCCCGTGCGGCATCAATCGTCGCAAACGCGGACCCCCAATTGTGACTTGCCCGCCTAAATCACTTGGGCAGATGACGAGCGTGGGCCCGTATTGCCGTAATGTGCGCCATTGGGTTGCCGCGACCTGCGCAAGGACCCCCTCGCCATCGCCCGGCGGGGGCAGGTGAAATGACTCGGGGCGGGGACTTATAGAGCGGGGTAGTATGCTGGGATCTGCACGCTCGCAGCCCATTTATACATCGCTTGCTTGAGTTTATCACCTCGTCTGCTCTGCACCAATATGGCCACAGTACAAGACGCGTCCACCTCGATTCTCGCGCCTCCTGCGACTACCTCTTCGGCCCCTGACGCGTCGTCTGCCACCCTCCCGCCACCGTCGCACCCCGCCATCCACGACGCGACTATCCTTCCGCCCTACTCCCCTGCGCGCGACGCGCCTCCATACACACCTGCCGCACGCGACGACGAACGTGTGCTCCTCGCGCAGCCCCGCCGCAATGAACGCGACCGCCCGCCCACGGGCCATTTCCTCCAACAATCCGGGCCCATCTCCCTCGTCCTCTACGACCAGGCCGAGGGTGCCACTACTCCCCTCTTCCGGCAGCGCGCTGACGTGCGCGGGACTGTCGGCCTCGCCCCCAGGCTGCGCGAACGTGCGTCTGAGGTCGTGGTGAGGGTAAGTCTTGGGTGTCTTACATACGCGTCCATCCATCCTGACTTTCTCGCAGATAGAGGGCCGGCTCGAGCTCGCCTACTCTGGCGGGAGCGCGCAGACGACGCGCACGGTGGACGATTGCTACACCATCTGGTCTGCGGACGCCGCCGAGGGCAGCAGCATGCCACCGAGCGAGGTTGGCTTCTGCGTACCGCTGCCGAATGGGTACGCAGGCTCAGACGGGAAGACGTACACGCTGCCCCCGAGTTTTCTTTGGGTGCAGCACGGGACGGCGGGGGTGTTCGTGAGGAGCTACTACCGCTTGCGCGTACTCGTTTATGAGCGGCCACATGGGCCTTTCGGATTGCTTGCTGGATCTCGGAGGTGAGTACTGATGTGGTATTCCCGAGCAGTGCAGTACTGACTGATGGCTCTAGAATGCTTGTGCCCTTCGACTACCGCCCGAGGACGCGGCCAGTCGCCCCCTTCTTCCCGCTCTCATGCTTCTTCTCCACCGTCAAACACATGCCCGAGGAGTGGGAAGAGACCGCGCTGGTTGTCGAACCCGCGGCGGGCTCTAAGCTCGGCTGCGTGCAGTGCCAGGTAAATTCATCGCCATCTGCCGCAAAAATTCCTTTCTCATCATCCACCCAGCTCTTCCTCCCTGCGGTCAAAGTCTTCGCCCTAAGCGACAAAATCCCCTTCCACGTTCTACTCTCTGGCCGCGTCGACGCCTTACGCGCCTTCGTGCCCCTGGACGAGGTACCCAGCCCCAGCGACTGCCGCAAAGGCAAAGTACGACCTGGCGGTGTCGGCGCGGTGCGCATCTCCATCGTCCGCGAGGTCATCGTCGAGGTGCGCAGCACGCGCATCGTACGCTCCGAGCGCATAGGCGAGGGGCGTATCTGGCCCGTGCCGCCGACGGTCCTGGCGATGGAGGACGCGAGCAAGCGCGCGGTCGAGGATTGCCCCTGCGAGAACGCCGACTGGGAGGGCGAGCTGGCGTGTCGGAAGGATATCATCACGGGCGGGTTTACGGCGAGTGGGCTGTGGGTACAGGTACGTTGATTTTGTGGCAACTTTTCCAAATATCGACGTGGCTCATGCGATGTGTAGGATGTTATCCTCCTGGAGTTGACCCCACTGGTTCCGGGAACGATGCAGAGCGTGCGCAAACGCGTGCCCATCCGGCTCACGACGGAACCATATACGGAGCCGGACTAAACATCGGATGTACACGATCCGCTGTTTCCTTGCTTCTGTCGAGGTGTCGCCAGCAATCATTCGAGCTACGCGCCCTAATATCTTCCGACGGCGTCGCGGTTCTACATCATCGGCGATCGCTGACAGCAGAGCGCAGTGCTATGGACGCATGAGGTGGGAGAGCCGCCTATCCGGCAGATTTATAGCAGATGCCCTCGACCAGTCACGCATGGTGTTGGTCATTGTATTGACGACCATGTTCACGAAGGACTAGCGCATATTCGACACTGATACCTATGGTATACACAAATTTCAGTACATACAGCAGTACTATACTGGCAGGGATTAGCCGTTCGTCCCTCTATCGACTCGTTAGCAGAAGAAATATACTCATTTTACCTAGGAAACTAGTGTTCATCGCAGCCAGGATCTCTCCTTGATAACCCACAAAGGAGTGAATCGGTGACTGCGCGCAGTGTGAGTAGCGAAGAGGGCAAAAATCTATGCATTAAGGGGGAATCGAACCCCCGGCGGGTCGATGGCAACGACCCAGGTTACCACTACCCCATTAATGCTTGAAGGCATGGATTGTCTCTGCAGGCTCGGAGTCCTTCAATTTACAGAAATAAGCCGCGGGACAATGGCTTAGCGGACATTGAGCAAAAATTATTCGTGTCAATGTTGCAGAAACTGGCACCAAAGGATCACTGGGAAGATACCGCGGCAACTGACGCGCGCACATTCAATTGCGCGTGGCCATAGCCGGAAGGATATGTGCTGCCATTATCAGTATATAGACTTGCATGAAGGTCGTCCGCGGTGCGTGAGGAATACATATTATACATAACAATCCACGTCACAAGAAGTACTCCGGGAGCTGCGGAAGATGTCAGCTCACGGGCATCAAATTGAAGATAACATGGTCTTGAAAGAGCGACCAGATTCGCCGAGATGCAACGAGTGAGGAGCAAAAGAGCAAAAGAGCAAAAGAAAACCCACTCACCCTCCCCTGCGGCCCTCCCGGCCCACCCGGCTGGCCCACGCCTTCCCGCTCGTTCTCCGGCGCGGCCTCAAACACATTGAAGAACATCCCCTCTCCACCGTCGGCGCCCGTGATGTAGCTCCCGCCGCCCGGACCATACCCCCCGTTACCCATACCCATGTACCCGCCGCCAAGAAACCCGCTGTTGACCTGCGCGCTGGGGAAAGTGGCTTGCTGCCCAACGAAGCCCCCACTAGAGCCGCCTGGGGGACTTCTACTCGACTCCGAGCGGTCAGGGCAGGTTTCGGTGGGTACGACGCTGCCGCCACCTCCAGGGGAAACCTCGAGAATGGAGGCCATGTTCCCGCAGCGGTAACAGTAGTTTGGAGCGCTCCAGACCTGAAGGGAGAACGTTGAGGACAGATGACGACGAGGCAGCCAGGGATTGGTACTCACCGTACTTAGATGTCGGTCGAACAACTGGGTAAAGCCCTCCATACACAGCTGATGCGCACGCAATATATGCACGAGTTTGTTTTGGTTGAGGAACTTGTACACGACGCCTGCACCGAAGGTGTACCCTGCACCTCGAGGGGAGATTGCAAAGTCTTCCTTTTCGGCGTCTGGGTCTGACCAGACGAGATCCGCCATGGGACCCTCGTGGGGAATTTCTTGAGAAATGTAACGTGAGACTCCCAATAAGAGGAAAGGGAGGAAGCATCAACGTACCCCGGAACCGATCGACGACTTTGATTTGGTCAATGGAGTGTATTGACGGTGAAAGACCTTGGCGTAGTTTCAGTATCGAGGCATGAAGTGATAAAAGAAAGGACTGACCACCGTGTACACAGAATATCCTGTCGTCGATGACGACTGACAGTGTCAAGAAATCGAACATGTCCGTGAAGTATGTCCACACATGCGACGAGCCGTATTTTCGAGTACATTCCGTGTAAAAGCCGTATGTCTAGACAATGTGGGAGACGAGTGATGCAGAGAGGCGATGCAGTCGAGAAGGGGGGGACGCGAGACAGAATAGATGCAACGCTTGATCAGCGGTTATCTACCAGCAGAAGGGATATCGCACCTGCGTCACTGCTCGCGACTCATGGTTCCCCCGGATAAGTTGTACTCGATGCGGGTATCGTAGCTTGAGGCACGTCAAGAGGGAGATCGTCTCCACGCTGAACAGACCGCGATCGACGTAGTCGCCTATGACCATGCGTCAGAAACTTGCGACGGGACTGCGTGATTCTTACGCACCAAGGAAGAGATAGTTCGTATGCGGTGCGTAACCGCCTATACGGAAGATCTCGATCAAGTCGTGGAACTGGCTTCAGGCTTGAGTTAACGGCGACTCCTCGAGGGGTAATGGAAGAAGGGGATCGGGTAGACGCTTGTAAGGCGCTCGCGTGCAGAGCAAGAAGGATCAGGTATGGCTGGCGCTTGTGAAGACGGAGAAGGACGAAGACAGCAAGGGATATAGCAACACGGGTACTCACCCATGTATATCCCCCACGACCGTCACTGGAGCGCTAACATGCACAACATTGCTCTCCTGCATCAACACCTCCTTCGTCTTCTCGCAGATCTCCCGCAAAAGCGCTTCATGCAGAAGTTGTTTCTTCAGCAGCCGCTGTATACACGCGTCTAGGTCGAAAGGTGCCATTGTCGGCGGCTAGGTATCGATCCTAGATCTCGAGGAGGTCGGAGAAGAGCCAGGGTATGCGTGACGGTGCCGAGATGCAGAAGGATAGGGATTAAGTCAGCCGGGTCGTCCGCGCGTCCTGGTATCTCTATGTGGGAAGGGGTCTTGTGGTATGTGCTGTCCGTCGACACGTTCACGAAGATGGTAACGAGTCGCGTTCACCCACAAGAGCAAGATGTTCGGCGGAGGCAAGGGTCGGTCCTTGTCGGTCGTCGGTCATGCCGCTTGGACACCGATCGCTGACGCGCCCACTCGCCAGGCGCTCCTCCACCTCGATGCATATCTACTTTTCCGGCGTCATATCGTTGCCTTCAGGTTAGCGTCTCGTATACCAGTCAAGCAAGGCCATCAGGTACTGTGTCCGTCTTCACGTGAAGTTCATAGCACGCGGAGTTAACTGAGCAAAACATGCTTTTTGCGGATGACGATGTAGTATATGTGGATTTGGGTACGATGCGGTGGGGTCCTGTACTAGGGGATACGCTACTGGTAAATGGTGATGAAGTATGCACATGGTTATGAGAGGTGGGCATGAGTAAGCATATAGATAGGCAAGGAGGGGTCACTGAAGGCAACAGTGGAGCATGCGACTGTGGTAGCCTCGACGACGAGGTTCGTCAACGACAAGGCATTCGAATTGTCCAAACGACGAGCCTCAGTAGGCGAGCGCCGTAGTCTAACAGACGATGATCTAACAAAGATCACCACTCGAATTCCCTGGTCATCATAAGTGCGCTGAAACATGCCACATAAACTGCACTCACCCCGTGCACTTCGAGAACAGGTAGTCGCGCCCGTTCATATGGATCACACCATCCTTGAGAACACACTTCCATTTGTTCTTCACACGCTGGACCTGAATGTGCGACATCAGCCTTACGCCACAATCGAGTGTCTTTTCGTACGCACCTTGTCGTACGTACAGAACACGATATCGCCGTCAGCAGCGCCGCTCGTTGCCTGCTCCTCGCCATTTTGCTCCCCATCCGAATCGGAGTCGTCTAGGTCGGAATTGATCTCCTCGTCATCTTCCGGAGGAGGACGAGGTGGAGGCGCAGCAACGGGCGTTGGTACGGAGACTGGGCGAGCCACCTGTGGTGGGCGCGGCGGACCAGTTGGCTGTAGAGATGGATGCGTTGGTCGAGGTGGCTGAGCAGACGGGCCATCTGCTTGAGGTATCCTTGGTTGCTGTGGTGGCTGCCCAGTCTGCGGCCTTGCCGGTGCGTATAGAGCTGGGAGAGTTCCGCCTGGAACGCCCGGTTTTGGAAGCGTGAACAAGCTGGCTGGATAACCTCGCGTGGGGTCCGTCGGTTCCGTCTTCACCTGCGGCTGTACTTGCGGACCTGGCGGTGGCGCATAGTTGTACGGAAACATCGAATACAGTTGCGGCATAGGCGGGTGATGCTGTGTTGCCTGCTGCAAAGGGGGAGGTGCGACCGCAGGAGTGGGCGCCGGCACTGGGGCGGGCGGGGGCGGCACATTGTTATCAAAGTCGGCGACTCGTGAGTTGATCACCTTCTGCTCCCATTTCTGCGAAGCATAAGCAGGGCGCCAATAAAGGGTGGGAAATACGCGCGCACGTCCTGGAGCTGGTCGAGCACCTCCTGAGTGACACCATACTCGTCGAACTCGGGCTTGATGTTCGCGATCACGTCGTCGATGACAGTGCGATAGATTGTGGGCTCGATGCGCGGATCGTCACTCTCGCGGTCTCTTTGCGCGAGGGCGCTGGTGGCTTACCACAATTTTGTTCGACATCGCAAACGGGCGATGAGGGGTTTTACTAGCGTCCTTTTACACACGATCCTATTCTATGGGTGCGGCAGCGGCGCGGGCGACGACCGACGGGCGACGGCGGGCGGGGCGCGGTGGGGGGAGAAAGGAAGCGGGGCGGCTTATATAGCATGTGCGCTTGCGTGTCAAGGGGAGTCAGGGGAAGCTTTCCCACGCATCGGGCACCCCCAGCAATTTGTGGCGCTCGAGACATGAATTGTGGCGTGCTTGCCACTGCCACAGTCTGTCCTACGTTCCGCTCTCATCATTCCTCTCTTCTCCGCGGCGTCGAATCTAGCTAAATATCCAAAGCGCTCGGGTGCTTTCTCCTCAACCAAACCTCGGAAACTGGAGGGGCTGCCTAATCCTCCACACCGTATCTGCTGGACACTGCTCTCACGACTCCAATTCTCCCAAGGTCAACAGCTAAATCGTCCCTGTAAGTGCAGACATGTGCTTATTTCACTGCACTCATGAGAATACGGGCCTTACATGCTTTCGGATGCGCAGAGATAGGACACATGGCTACAATGTGCGATGATGTGGAACGCTGTCCGCTTCGTACCCAAGCATTAATGGGGTAGTGGTAACCTGGGTCGTTGCCATCGTTCGTCGTTGACGTTCGACCCGCCGGGGGTTCGATTCCCCCTTAATGCACACCTTTTCATGCTCCCGCACGACAAGCCTTTTTGTGCCACTGAAGACGACAACACCCAAACCAGAAATATCGCGTAGGGCGTGCCACACTGGCATATCCTCGCCATGCTCCCTTGCCCTCCATAGGTGCAGTAATATTCCATTCCGTTGCGACTGTTTTGATTTCGTAGGAGGGTCCTGAGCATCATGGGTTGTACCAGTGAGCCGACTCTTCACGGCATAGGGGCAACGCGGAAAGCGTCGACTTACGCAATGTATAATGGTGAGTGTCCTATATATTCTTCAATCTGTCAACACTCGAACACCCAGTCGCTTGATTTCTCGGACACCGAGAACGATCCCATTGGCACTGAGCTCAAGCATCCTACTGCCGATCCCCTGAGTGCACCCCGGATAGTAGGCTTCAACTTGAATAGCAGGCACGTTGGAAGGCTCGTACTGAATGTTTTCCCCGTACAAATACTCATCGCAAGACCGCCTCTTACCCCGGACTTTCCCCATGGTTTAGCCTGTTTTCTGCTTGACGTCAGACGATGAGACGAGGACTCGACGCCGCAGGACCTCTGTTGAATCTTCGGAACTCTCAGGCGGAGAAACTCGTCGTCAGCCTGCAGGCCTCGTCAAAGTGCCGCAGAGCTTCTCGCGGGCCTGCGTACTATATAAACCAGGTCTATGTATTCGGGGTCTTCGGCTGCATAAGCTCTTCAATCCCTTCTGTTTCTCTCAACTGTCGACACGATGAAGTCGTCCTCCGTCTCAGCATCCGCCCTTTCCGCTGCGCTCTTTGTGGGCGGCGCCTCTGCGCACACCATCTTCCAGGTGAGCTTCAGCGGACCGTCACGTGAGAAACTCGTTGAAGCCTGCTACAGAAAATGTACGTAGATGGCGTCGACCAGGGCCAGCTCACTGGAATCCGCGTGCCCGACTACGACGGTGTGAGCATTCTTGCATGTTGTTGCTTCTCGCCGTCCTCACAACAGTCTAGCCCATCTCGGATGTCACATCAAACGGTTCGTCTCAAGCGTTGCAGTGCCTTTCTGCATGCTCACAAAGACTTGCCTAGACATCATCTGCAACGGTGGCATCAACCCATACCATCAGCCAGTCTCTACCGATGTAATCACTGTCCCCGCCGGCTCGCAGGTCACCGCTGAATGGCACCACACTCTCAACGGCGCCGATGCTTCTGATGCCGCCGACCCCATCGACGCGTCGCACAAGGGCCCTGTCATTTCTTACCTCGCCAAGGTCGACGACCCTACGAAACTCGACGCGACAGGTCTTTCCTGGTTCAAGATCCACGAGGAGGGCTATGACCCGTCATCGAACACCTGGGGCGTGGACACGATGATCAAGAACAAGGGCAAGGTCACGTTCGAGATCCCGTCGTGCATTGAGGACGGCTTCTACCTCCTTCGTCACGAGCTCATTGCGCTGCACGGTGCGAGCAACTACCCTGGCGCGCAGTTCTACGTGAGCGCTTTGATGGATTGAGGTCCGACCCAACACTAACCTTCTGTCCAGATGGAGTGCGCTCAGATTGAGGTGACGGGTGGCAGCGGTAGCGCCTCGCCGAAGACGGTCAGTTTCCCTGGAGCGTACTCCGGCTCGGACCCAGGCATCAAGATCAACATCTACCAGACGCTCAACTCGTACACCATCCCAGGTGTGTTTACTACCTGGACATGGCCTATGCCTGCTCATGCATCTTTAAGGCCCGGAGGTGTTCACTTGTTAGACGTTCACTGGCGGGTGCAGTCCTTTTCAAATTATTCTTTGGATGTTCTGGGCATGCTCTGGCGGCTGGTGCGTATTGTAAAGGTCCATATAACTGCCATGAGTGTATTCCATGTTGTATAGTACCTTTGTGGATGAAACTACGCGAGAGTGCAAATATATGTACAGTGAACAAATTCCTGTGGCTGTCGATACGTAGTGAACGAGCTGTCCGACCTGAAGAGATGAATCTTCGTCCGACTGAGAGTATACGTACAGGACGGCGCGCCCCAGCAAGTGGGCCGCCGCACCCCAGGGCAAAACAATGCCACCTTGGAGCGCACGACGGCGCGTTGAGCGCCAATCGGCAATGCCGCTACACCTAGCGTGTGAGGCTTCCCTGAAGCAAAGAATAGATAGTGGTGCATGGCTCTCGCGCATACAAGCCATGGGGCATATTTAGCCCGAGGGGCTGGAGAGGACGCCATCCGTGACAGGGTCTTCCGGTTCAGCGAACGGGTCGGTCGTGAGCTTGATAGGTACCCGATGTCGAGAGGGTCTCATCATCCCAGGACGCAGAGGTTGAAGCTCCAGGTGTATGTAATCCTAATCGCGTCGTGAGCTTCGAGAAGGACGAAATGCGCGGGATAACATACCTGTACCCAAAGACCGCCAACAGCGAAGCTCCCGACCGTGACTTCCTTGCGGCAGGACAACTCGCCCTCCCACTCGGCGTCACCGGCGCGAGTGCTGCACTCGCATGATCGAGCGGAAGGTGGCACGGGCCACAGATGTCCATCGCCGATGGGCTCTGAGCGCGTGAGACGATTGCCACGAACTTCCATCATGACCTCGCGTATGAGCGATAGGCGAATTGTATCGGCAGTGCATTGGCACGCGCCCTTGCCCTTCGGCGGCGGGGTAGTGGTCGAGTCATCGGCCGACGGTACGAACGCCCGCAAGGATTCCACGGATCCTGCTAATAGTAGATGTACGGGAATCTTGTCGCAGATCCCGAATACCCTGACGGCTGGGACGAAGAGCTGATGCAACGGTCAGATGATCGACCAAGAGACGAACGGTGTACCCACATAGCACTGCAGAGCCGAAAGGCCCGAGCTATCCATCGGGTTGACCTGCATGGCTATCTGCGTCCACTCCTCCGGTAGGTGCTTGATGGTCGAAAAGAAGCATTCGAGAGGGAAGAACGGCGCCGAAGGTCGCGTGCGCGGGCAATATTCGAAGGGCATCATCAACCTGCAGATAAGCGTGAGTCACTCCGTCCAGCATGTATCGTTGTAGATAGCCGCCGAAGCACTTGCGCGCCGTACGAACCTTTCTGTTCCCGCAATCAGGCCAAACGGACCATGGCGCTTCTTGTACACGTACACGCGAACGCGGTAGTAGCTGCGCACGAAGAGGGCGGGTACGCCGTGGTGGATGGACCGGAAGGAGGGTGGGAGCGTGTGCGTACGTCCGTCGGCGGAGACGTAGTTGCTGGGTAGAGGCGAGGTGAATGGAAGCTCGCCGGGGCAAACGCAGCCACAGGTGCTGCTCCAGATAGTGTAGCTATCGTCGAGTGTGCGGACGAACGAGGAGCCCCCACCCGCATATGCGAGCTCAAGCCGGCCCTCGACCTAACTGGCAGGTCAGTCGCGAAGAGAAGGGGTACTCTGAGGTTCGACGCACTTTGAGGACTACCTCTTCCACCTTGCACCGAAGACTAGAAGAAAGGCTGATATATCCGCGGATGACCGCGCGCCGCCCGAACGTGGGCGTACTGACGCCCTCTTCCTGGTCGTACACGACAATCGACAAGGAGCCATACTGGCGAACAAAGTGACCTGTAGGTAGACGATTGGTTGCTCGAAGCCGAGCACAGATGACACGTTCTTCGGGACGCGCCGCAGGCGTGTAGGCGGGCGCGGCAGCGGCAGGGCTGTACGGTGGAGGTGCGATGGTGGCCATGTCCTATGGCAGTCACAGGCAAGACGCGTCTGGGGAACAAGCGCTGGGAACGGAGGCAAGTCAGAGCTAGCAGCACGTCTTTATACGGGCCAATAGTGCGCCATCGTGTCATTTGATGATCATGAGTGCAAGAGGGTGGGCGCCTGTTTCTGCCTTGGTAAGCCATGCCTTCCATGACAATGACGGTGGGAGAGGAATGCCGCCGCCTCAGGAGTCAAGGTGACTGAGTCGAGGTTTTCGAATGGAATGGACGCGAAGAAAGCTTGAGGTTGGGGTGGTCGACTGTGCGGAGGAAGAAGGGTGGTCACAGCTGACCACCTTCCAGGTCACCCTGAACTCAACTCCATTCTTGCAAGACCTTCGTCGCCAGGTAGTCATGGACTGGATTGTCCTGGACCACGATAGTTGACGTACTGTTGTGAGGTGAAGCAGGGCTGCAGACGGCGAACGGAATTGCGTGCTCGAGAACGGCACTGGGCAGTAAGATCGACCGCCTCGTCAAAGGCACATGTCTACGCCGCTGTGCGCAACCTCCCAGCGCCTATCAATGATCTGCAAGTCGAAGGGATGGTCAAAGACGGCGAACAGGCAAGATCCGGTGAGTATGAAAGAACTCACCCTCGTGGCGACCTTCAAAGTGCGTGTGTGCGTGACCGGCGTGACGTTGCTACGACAGTGAACGTCCTCGCGCCGCAAGGGGGTTGTTTAGGGACTTGCTCTTGTACCACGTAAAGCAGACACCCACAGTCACGGCTCAACTCCAATTGGCCCAGTCGCCAGCGCGGCCACATTGCCACTGGCTCTAGCTCTGAGATTATAGGACATGCGCCAGAAAGGACCTTTAGGTAACAATAAATCCCTGCATAGATATAGTCCACAAATCAAGTGCTCGTACAGTCCTGTTAGACAAACAACACGATCGCTCGCTTCATCACCTCACTAGCACCATGAACGTTGCCACCAAAGCTGCGCCGGCGGCGAAGGCTGGGCCGACGGCAATTGCGCGCGATGCACCGTTATTCCCCGCTACAACAGGACGTTAGAGAGTGAAGAAGATGCTGCAACCACGAAATACTTACAGCCGCTGCTGCTGCCTGATCCGGAGGAGCTGGTGCTGCTGGAGCCAGTTCCTGCCGGTGTGCCTGTTGTGCCCGTCGTAAGCGTTGCGGACGGGGTAAGGCTGGATGTAGAAGGCGTACCAGATGCGCCTGCGTTGGATGACAATGCAGCGAAACCGACTGAGGGGCTAGGCTCGGTGCGGTAGACGGAGTACACATTCTTCAAGAAGACGTCGCCGACGACCCAGTTCGGATTACCGCCGCCGCTGACAATGCTGCTTCCCTGGGTAAGGTCGAAGATACCCCCAAGGCAGTCATTGCTGACGCGGGAGACGCGGCCGAGGTTCATGTCCGCAGAGTCGATAGGCCACGATTTGCCCCCGAAGGACATCTCGACGTTGAGATCAGTATCGCACGCTGGGGGTTTTGTGAGGTGGAGCTATACTTGTCAGTCGGAAATACGTACGGAAAGACCAGAAGCCTTGCATGCTTTCTATCGGGTTGCTGCCCTCAACGCCCTCCCAGAATGCCTGCACATCGTCGGTAGGGCCGCCGATGAGGGTCGTCCCAGTATCGATGGCGCTGAGGCGGGCGTCTCCGCTCGTAAGCGCAACATCGTTGCCGTTCAGAGTGAGGGATTCCATCGTCAACAGCCAGAAGGTTGGGTTGTTGGGGTTCGCCAAGTCGTGGAACTCGATGTCACCGGAATAGAGCGACTCATTAACACCACCCAAAGTGAAAACGCCGCCAAATGCCTCCTCTTCTGCGCTGGCGTCGTCAACAAGTCGGTTGATCCAGAAAGAAAATTCTGGGGCGTCGAGTTGGTTGTCATTGGCCAGTGCCAGCCAAAGGGGAGTAGACTGGGTGGATGAAATAGACTGGAAGGCGAGTCCTAGAATGCCGGAGAGGGAGCCGTCGAGAAGTTGGCTCGTCGTTTGCGATACGGAAACTGCCACATAGTCAGCATCTGCAATATATGCAAAATGAAAGGGACTCGTACGAAAAACCTGCTCCTCAATGGTCAGACCGCCAATAGATACCTTGTCCCGCGCCAAAGTCCCCCGGACGGCGCCCGAGCCGTATTGTATAGTGGTGGACTGACGACTTTCTTCATAAGTGGACGATTGGCTAGCGTCGAATTGCGGGGTGCTGGATGTACATGACGAGCAGTCCGTGTCGGCGACCCACAGGTCTGAGGAGCCTGTGTCCAGTACGACATTGAAAGTTTGAGGACTAACAGCTGGTTAGTAGGCACATCCGAGTGAAACCTGAAGAAGATGGGCGTAGACATATCGGCCATGAATCGCATGGCTGAACAGCCCCCCAACGGAATGAATGAATGAGGTGTCGCATGGCGGCAGGTAGCCTCGCAAGTCGCAGTTGCGTCAGCGACGGAGCCAAGCATAGCGCCTGTCGCACATGCCCCACGCCCACCCAGCACCCCGATGCGAACGAAAAGTACACTCACGGTGTCCCGATCTCTACAGCACCAAAGTACGTCTGGTCGCCGTTCTACGAACAAATGTCAACTTCGACAGCATCGCGCCACCGGTCATGACAACGCACCTGGTTCGTGATCCCGACCCCCGCGATGGAGCGCTTATCCTCCTTCGCGCTGGAGAAGTTGTACTTCCCGCGCAGGTGGTCTGCCTGCTTCTGGTAGTACGCCAAGTCGCGCTTCTGCGAGCGTGCACTGTGCGTCAAGGGAACGTGGAGCGATCCGGCGGCGACCTGAGTGGGGGCGAGAGCCGCTGTCGCGCAGAGAACCGAGAAAAGGGAGAGAGAATACATGGCGGGAAGGAAGGGCAAGCGCGCTCAACACAGCCGACGATGGTTATATAGTACGAGGAGAGTGCCGAGAGGAAGAGAGGAGCATGAGAGATGGCGCCGAGAGATCACCCCGGTCATGGGAGCGTCAGCACAGGCACGTCGCCGATGCCGGTTCCGGCCCGGGCACGTGCCCACATCAACCGTCCATTGTCCGTTTTCGGCGCTTGCGTGCTGATTCGTAGGTCGTACGTCGGCGCATCTGTCCAATGTATCTGCTGCTTTCCTTCCGATAGGAAGTCCCCGCAGCGCTGGGACGTCTTCAGGCTCGCGACACAATGGCTGCCAGTCCGCCCGGTATCGGTAAACCTCCGAGATGGACAAAACTGTGAAACGTGAACGAGTTGCGATCTTCCACGCGCGAACGCCAAGCCTCTCAAGCTGAACAAAGACAATACTTATTGAATAGGGAATTGCTTGAGTACTCTTCTCGCAGTCGTAGAAATCGTAACACCGTAATTCAGAATCGTTGGTAGCTTGATCTATGTACTTCTTTACCGGGGCACCTACAGCCACATCCATTTGTCCTCAGTCGCTCTGCTCGCCCGAGCTCGAACCAGAGCTCAGCTCCTCCCACCTCGCAATGCGCAGGCGCTGCGAGGGAGGAATGCGGCGCTCCTTCTCAATATCATTCACAATCTGCACACCACCCTCCAGAATCCCGACGCGCTTCATCGCAAGCAACTAGAACGCTCATTAGCCAGCGCATCCCATCCTAAGAGATCCACTACTCACGTTATGCGCCGCATGGCTATGATCATAAACACCGCCAAAGAACGCCGTGCTCGCGTCGCGCCCGATGAACTTGCGGATAAGGTGCTCGCCGCCCGGGTGCTCCTCGAGGAACTCGGAGACGTCGTGGATGAAGCCCGCGATGAGGATGAGCGGTCGGTGCTTGGACTGCTCTTGGAAGGTCTCCCAAGTGACGACGGGGAGGTCGTTCGAAGTGGTTGGCCATTGGAGGTTGTCCTGCGTGCGGCGGAGGCGCTTCAGCTGCATGGCGAGTTGACCCTTGCGGACTTCGTTATCGGGGAAGACTTTGAGATGTGAGGCGAAGCCGATGCGGCGATTGGCCCAGATGAACCACTTAGTGGGGTCGTACTGCCACCACTTGATAGCATTGCGATAGTCCATGGGGAACTGGTGGTGGAAGTTGTGGTAACTGTCCGAACGTTAGAGAGAGAAGTATTAGTGACAATATTGCGTACCCCTCGCCAACGGTGACAAGTGCGGTCAGGAAGTGATCGCGCGGCGTGTGCTTGTCGTCGAAAGGTTGTTCGCCGATCCAATGAGCAAGCGAGTTGACGCAGAAAGTCGACTGAAGAAATGTCAGACGATCGGCGCACGAGCCTGCGAAGAATCACGAACATGGTGAACGATGACCAGACGGATGACGCCAGCATAGAAGAAGCCGCCGCGGGCATCGCCCCAGATGCTACCAATCATAGCAGGCAAGATGAAGGCCATAAACAGCATGATGGGCAGATAGTGCTTGTGCTGCCAGCTACAGTGACATTGTTAGCAAGCCTCGGTGCACGAGCGTCAAGAAATACGTACCGGACGAGAGGGCTCTTCGATAGATCGCTGATGTCGGCGACACCGATCTTGCGGCGGGGCTTTAAGAGCATCCAACCGATGTGCGAGTAGAAGAAACCTTGGAAGCGATCAGCTCATGCCACCTCCGCGTAGAGCAAGTCAACTCACCACGCTGAGCATTGTACGGATCGAGGTCGGTGTCGGTGTAGCGGTGGTGTGAGCGATGTCCGCGGCTCCACCAGCGGATACTGCCTTGAGCGGCGCCGGCGCCGGCGAAGGCGAGGAAGATCTGGAGAGGCATGATCGCGTTGTACGACCGATGAGCCCAGAGACGATGGTAGCCCGCCGTGATACCTGGGTGAAGATGAGCGTCGGCGTCATAAACCAGAGAATGACCAAACTGACCAAGCCCCGTCAGAAGATACCAGGCGAACATGAGCAACCCGGTGCGCCATTGCAGCGCAGTCGTAGAAAGACCGTAGATGCCAACAATAGGCGGAACCGTTAGAAGCGTCACACTGATCCAGTTAATCTCGCCCCAGACGTTCGCGAGTGTAACAGGAGGCAGCGGCTTCGTCGTCTTCAGCGTATGCTGCACATAATTATCCGGAATGTTCAAGTCCGTCGGGACGTATTTTTCCACCGACATGACGGGCGGGGCTGCAGATGTTTCTCGTCAGTGAAATGCGCTCAAAATCGAGAACATGGGCGGAATAAAGCGCCTGAAGCTCACCTTGGGGGTCAAGGGCGGGTGGCAACCATCCTCCGGCGAGGAGGGCGCCTTTATAATGCGAACGAGGACTTTGGGGCGGAGAGAAAGGCATGGGATGTCGGATGTACTCCCCATCATCTTTGGAGTGGGACAGCCCAGATTGAATATGAGCTCAGGTTTTTGGGGAGACCGGAGGGAGGCCCGCCTCGGCATGGTCCAGAATAGACGGAGGAGACCGCGCGTGGCAAGCATGGCGTTCCGATGGCATGATTGCGCCAAGAAGGCTGTCGGATCCGTGGTCTCAAAGAGTCTGTACAGCTGTGGGTGCTTGAAGACACCGAGGTGCAAAGAGCTCTATGGTGGTGAGAGTTGACTTCAGAACAGAAGTTCCGCCTGGGCGGCCGGTACTTCCGGTCCGTTCATGAATTACTGTATCTCCATTTGGTTCGCATTGATCGAGCCTGCTATCGTTTTGCTTCCCCGTGTTATACCAGTCTTCATTGCACTGTTCTACACGCAGAAAAGTAAAGATCCTTCCATACTCATCTGAAGACAAAAGGCACTCTATCACAGAGTAGTCAACACCGGCACAGCACTCTCAAAACCTCCGATACCCCTTCCATCCGAGCGATCATAACCCGATCGCATTCACCATGGTCGAAGCCCATCATCACCGACCTACACTCAAGCAGGTGCGACTATGCCTCTAATCGTCTCTCCTACTGTACTCACACGCCCTCTCCTGTCCTCAGCAAAACAAGAAGTTCAAGTCCAAACATGCGACAAAGTCATCGCTGAAGGAAGCTGCCAAAGGTACGACCACTTCCTGTCACATCTCATCTCCTTCTCCCTCATCTGTGTCCCAGGTCGTATCCAGCGCCAGAGCCCCAAGGCAACACAAGCAAACAATGCGGCCCAGTTACGCGCGAATCGAAGAAACAATGCGAAGCAGGCGCAGGCCAAGAAGCGGGAGGCGATCGTAACTGCGACCCGCTTGTTCAGCGGCGCCGACGGCGCTCCCAGGATCGTCGCAGTCATCCCTCTCACCGACGATGTATCTGCGAAAGACGCCGTCACTGCTCTCGCTTCCTCCCTTGATGTACCTGCGGACGATTGTCCGGCGACTGGTCTTTGGCGTATGCGGTGAGCACCCTGTCTTTCCCTCTACTTCTTCATCTTGCTGATCCTGCCCTCAGAGCCGATCGCTTCAAGACCTCCCTCCAGTTCATCAACGTTTCCTATGGCGATCTCTACGGCGCCCTCGACGCCACCAAAGCCGCCGACTACACCCTCTTTGTGCTTTCCTCGACCCAAGAAGTGACATCATGGGGCGACACCCTCCTCCGTGTTCTGCAGGCCCAGGGTATCCCCGATGCCGTCCCCGTGCTCGCCGCAGACGCTTCCCTCGACGCCAAGTCCCGCTCCGCCGTTCTCAAATCCCTCCTCTCCTTCATCCGCTACTTCACCCCCTCTGCGAACCGCGTCTTCGACCTTCACGGCGCGTCCGATGCGCTCAGTGCGCTGCGTGCGCTTGCAGAGGGCGTCCCGGACCAGGTACGCTGGCGCGCCGGCCGGCCCTACCTGCTCGGCGAAGAGGTGCACTACGTCGAGGACGCTGGAGAGCTCGCAGTGACCGGCGTCGTTCGCGGCGCACCCCTCTCCGCCAACCGCCTGATCCACGTACCCGACTTCGGTGACTTCCAGGTCGCGCGGATTATGAGTGCAAATCGGTCGCGTGGAGGCATGGAGGTCGAGCCAACGCTGCTGGCTGAGCCGGCGGAGGATGACGCGGAGTCGTTGGTTTCGAGCAATGACCCGGATGACATGGCGAACGAACAGACGTGGCCGACCGAGGAGGAGATGAACGGCGCGGCGCGGATCGTGGAGGGCGAGCAGCAGCCGGAAGTGCCGAAGAAAAGGCGGCGGAAGCTGCCCAAGGGGACGAGCGAATATCAAGCCTCCTGGATCATTGACGACGACGATGTGGACGGTAAAGAGGGCGATGAAGGCAGCGAGGACGAGGGCGCTGAGGAGGATGGTGCCGCGGACGACTCGATGGAGGTTGAAGACCGCGCGATGTCCGAGGTCGAGGATGACATGGATCTGGACAGCCGGAAGAGCGTAGCTTTCGAGGACTTGGACGCAGAGGAGGAAGAGAAGCAGTACGTGATACTATACTTGGATACACAACGTTGCTCATCAGACTCGTAACAGACTTGCTTCGTGGCGATCCCGCGAGCGCGAAGAGCAGGACGACGCTGCATTCCCCGACGAAGTCGACACTCCGCAAGATGTTCCCGCTCGCACTCGCTTCCAGCGTTATCGTGGTCTGCGGTCCTTCCGCACAAGCCCCTGGGATCCGTACGAGAATCTGCCCCGAGACTACGCCCGTATCTTCCAGTTCGACGACTTCAAGCGCGTTGAGCGGAACGTCAAGAGGCGAACGGAGTCGGATGCCACTGGCGTGCAGGTGAGCGTCACTCATGAGAGAACTTCGCGCATCATCGCTGACCTTGCTTCAGCCTGGCACCCGCGTCACGGTGTACATCAAGGGCGTACCTCGCGAGGCTGCAAAGACGCCGCTGACCATCTTCGGTCTCTTGCAGTATGAACACAAGAAGACCGTCCTCAACTTCAGTGTGCAGCGTAACACCGAGTACGACGGCTCTGTGCGGTCCAAGGACCCGCTCATCCTCTGCGTCGGCCCCCGCCGTCTGCGCGTGAACCCCGTCTATAGCCAGCTCACCCGCGGCGGCGGTAAGGGCACGAACAACGTGCACAAGTTCGAGCGCTACCTCCGCCACGGAACCACCGCCGTAGCCACCATCTACGGGCCTGTCACCTTCGGCGCGCAGCCGTGCTTGTTGCTCCGCGAGACGGAGGACGTGCAGGCACCGCACCTTGTCGCCACGGGCACGTTCACAAACACCGACACGACAAGGGTGGTGGCGAAGAGGATCATCCTGAGCGGTCATCCGTTCAAGGTACACAAGAAGACAGCCACGGTGCGGTATATGTTCTTCAACCCAGGTACGGCGCTCGCAATATGCAACGGAGACATGTGTACTGACTTCCCTCCAGAGGATATCCGTTACTTCAAGCCAATTCAGCTGCACACGAAGTACGGGCGTGTGGGACACATCAAGGAGTCCTTGGGTACGCACGGCTACTTCAAGGCGTACTTCGATGGACCGGTCACGCAGATGGACACGGTCTGCATGTCGTTGTACAAGCGCGTGTTCCCTCGGTGGGCGACGCTGTACAAGCCGCAGGAGAGCAAGGCAACGATCGAGGATTCGGCCAGGATGGAAGAGTAGACGAGTTTGGTATATTCCTAATGTCATTGTACCTCACCGTTAGTATGTATGTAAGGGCCTGTTCGGGAAAAAGAAATACGTTGAAGTTACGCTTAGTTACCTGACTTACCTGCCTTGTAAGGCAGGTCAACGAAGTTCGACGAACTTTCGACCGGTCGAGGCCTGACTTACTTGCCTTTGAAGGCAGGTACGTCGCGTAAGTTCGCTGACTATGTCGTGTTTCTTTTTCCCGAACAGGCCCTAAATGAGCCTCGTTGGGGGCCAGCAGGGCGAGGACGCCTTCGACGTTGCGCTTGCCTGACGCGTCGGCACCGAGTGACAAGCTTGGGAAGGAAGACGCGAATATGGTGACCTTCTCTGCGCTTATTCTATGCAACAGTATGGGTCGGTAGTCGTGAAGGCGACGACAAAGTAGGATTCGCTATTGATTCAAAGAATCCTCGAGGCGTACTAAACGGCGCGTTTATCGGCGTTTTGTCGCGATCGCCTGAGGCGGCGGCAAGGCATCTCCAAGGGCACGCCATTCGGTGCGCTCGATTCTGGGTGCAAAGCAGAGTTTGCCGAAGGTGAAGAAGGGGACAGTCATGATGGAAGCAGGAGCCAAGAGATTGTTTGTTTCTATTTCGGCAGACGAAGATCTTGAACTCGGTTTTGACTTCGATGTCGTTGACGACGCAGGCCTCCCCCGCCACCCACTCATAGAACACCTACACTCTCTTCGTACACTCTTGCCACCATGAGCGGCGGCGGGAACCATTGTTCCTTCGTTCTCCTTGCCGAATTCCATCTCCTCGAAGGCGCGCAGCTCAAGTACCAGTTCCCACAACCACTGGGTATCGATGAGGGGTGCGCCCGCGCCTGCATAGCAGAGGGGGACCATGCTGATCATGGCGGCCAGTGTGCTGGCTATGTCTATGCTTCCAGACGGGGCGGAAACGCAACTCGATGATTGGACTGTGTTCTTCCTGAACCAAACGCCATTCAACACGATCCAACCTGTCCTTGCTCTGGATGACGCCGACACAAGCGTACGAAGCAGTGTGGTGGGAGATCAGCCGGACCTGCTATGCGTACTCAACTTAGTGCGCACAAAGCATGATAAGACTTGGGAGAGGTGCGCAGCCGGGCTCCTGTTACCATCGACCCGTCTAACTTCATCTTCAGAGGAGCGAAAGTGCTCGCCCTCGCCATATGCACGCGTCACCCCTTCATCCAAATCTTCAAAGTGCGTGCGCGATCCGTTCTTGTGTAGATCACGTCCATTTGACGCGTCGCGTATAGCCAGTGCTCCTGATGGCGCTGGATGATTACTTCCTCAATCCCTCGCAAGATTGCCTATCCCGCCTCTTCGATGCTGTCAATTCCATGGACCTTGCGGGAGCGCCTTCCCTGTCACGGGCGGAGAAGTTGCTGATGCGAACGTCGGAGAGGAAGGATCTCTTCGCCGAGAAATTCCAGCCACCCACGAACGCCAATAACGCGCCACCGGTGCCCGCCAAACAGCATCAACCTTCCGACTCGTTCGACTCCGGTTTCGAGGAGGAAATTCTCATGCGTACTCGCGAGCCAGATGCCACGCCGCGAACAACTCGAGATCGCGCGGATACGACCACCAGCATGCGCACGGCCTCGACCCAACATACTACGTCTCACCACGCGCAATCCCCTCCATCAGAGACGTCTTTCACCCTCGGCGGGAGCGCTGTATGGGTTGGGGATGAGAGCGGGCTTGATCTCGCAGGCGGCGAGGCAGGCAGTTCTCATGACGGCCAGAGCGTACTTTCTGGAAGCAGTCAGACCCTTGTCGGCTCCTCAATCACGTCGCCTGGTCGCAAACGTCGATCCACAGGAGCATCCGTCACGTCGGTCTTCCCGAACGGTAATGCTTTACGGTCGCACCCAGCGGTGGCTATGGCGGCCGCGACGAAAGATACACACTACTACCACACAACAGTCCAGTACAAGGACCATCAACTACCCATCAAAATGCCGTTGTTCACCTTTCCCGAGGAAGTAGGAGATGTAAGTCATCCGCGTCGTAGACGCAGTGCCCGCACGTCGTTGCTCATGCCGTCTGATATAGTACTCTCTCATCACCCTCGTCAAACTCTTCCACTCACCTACGCTCGTATCTGGACCACACCATCCGCACCTCCATACGAATGGACCCGCAACTCATCCCATCATCATACTATTCAACGCTCTCGTCACTGGCAAGAGAATAATTTTCCTAGGCCACAGGAAACCTGCGGGCGAGGTCTCTACCTTTGTGCTCGCTGCTTGCGCTCTGGGTAGCGGTTGCGGCGCGGTGTTGCGCGGTTTTATCGAGCGAGCATTCCCCTACGCCAACTTGAACAACAAAGATGAATGGGAGTCTGTGTGAGTACTTCACGGTCATTGAACCCCGCGATCCGCGCTTGCTAGGGCTTCTCGCCATCAGCTGGCACCCACCATGCCCTCGAAAATTACCGGGGCTCCTGTGCCACCGGAGCCGCTTTACGCTTGCTGATATTATTGACAGCCCCGCGTACATAGCCGGCGTTACCAACCCAATCTTCGAACAGCTGGGGACCTGGGACGTTCTCTTCAATATCGCGACAGGGAACGTGACAATCTCGAAGGATATTCTGACCACGTATCCTCCGACTCCGCCAGCCGCTGGCTTCGGCTCTGCTTCGATCTCGCGCGAACGTGCCGCTACGCTGCGGACAGAAAACTCGATTGGTAGTGAAGACGGCACCGGCAGGGATGCTTCGAAGACGGACAACGCTGACAATCTCTTCATCGAAGATGTAAGTCCTCCGCGTATCAGCCTGGCCGTGTGCGGGACTCACTTGTGCAGATCCGCGCGGCCATCGACTATCACTACGGCGAGAACGCAGTTCGTCTACGATTTACGGAGTATGTGACCCGGTTCGTCCGCCTGGCGAGTCGGTACGAAGAAGAAGTCACTGGGACCACGCAAATCGGGTACCCTAGCCAGCCTTTCATAGAGGGCGGCCAAGGCCGGTTACCGCAACTCGGCAGTGGCATTATGTTTAACGACGACGCGTCCTTGATGAAGGAGCTGGCGGCGAACTCGCACCGCCTAGAAGGCTTTCGCCATACGACGAGTCATCGATACCTCATGGCAGTACGTCTAACTTTCGTCGTTCTATAGAGTGTACAATGTGGCTTACCTGGGTACTAGGACTTCGCCAAACAGCAGATACACAACCGTATTAAAGGCTGTGATGTACTGCACCAGATCTTCCGCCTAAAGCACGCGAAGATATCGGACATGGAGGCGTCGGTGATCATGCGAACTCTGGTAGAGAATTGCCGCACGTACGAACAAGCCGTGGAGGTAAGTCCTTCCGCGTCTCGTGTAACATCACCGACTCAGTTCTGTACAGCTCCTGGCTATGGTAATCCCGACGGGAGGTCTCACACAGCTTGCCTTCGGGCTGTTCCATCCCCACGAAATCGTCCGAGAGACGACTGTGGAACTGTTCGACCAGCTCCGCTCGACGCCGGTATGTATAGCCTCACCACGCGGATGCCACGGAATACTGACCACGCGACTTATGATCAGGTGGGCGTATTGTTCTTGCAGACGCTGAACCATTTTCAACGCTTCGCATACGTACGCCTCGCCCACGCTCGTGAACAGCGTCTGCAGGCGGAGCAGCAACGCTACCCTCCTCCGCTCCAGTCGCGCGCCCATTCAAATTCCAGCGCGCAGAGTGAGCGATTGAATGGCGCCTACTAGGCTGTTCGTTTTGCTTTCTTCTCGTCTCTCTCTGCGTCCTGTTGTCCATGCTCCTCCCAGGCCTGCTTTTTTCTCTATCTTTATTTTGGAATTTAATCACACATTTCATGTACGGTCCATGTAGCACATCCAGCCTCTTACCGGCACTGGCAATACCCTGCACGTCGTCCTGCTCCGCTGCAAGACAAATAGGCGTGCATGCTCCGCCTTCGGGCAAGTGCTGCTCCGTTTTGGTCCCGCCATTTCGTCTCTCGCGCGGCCAGGGATCCACAAGCCCGAGCCAGTGTTGGGGGGCACGGAAGGAAGACCCTGACGAATTCCGAACCGACCATTTCTGCGACGGCGCTGCCTACCCCCCACCTCAAACGTCGGCGGAGAACATACTTTCGCCTAGAGTTGCGAGAGAGCGGACTGCCCAAGGACAACCAGGCAGATGGCACTGTTCACGCATGTGCTCTCCACGATGATCGTCGTCAGCCAGATACGACAAGCGGGGGAGGTGGCAAGACTTGATTCGTCCGTGAGTAGTCTCTCCCTGCCCCAAAGTTCTCTCGCTCTCTCATCTTTGTTCTCTGTAGCGAATAGGCGTGCTGCATCGATTGGCGCATGCGTTCGTGCAGATGGACAATTTGAGGCAACGCTGATACCGGGCCGATTGGTGGCGCCCCAATGAAAATGCCCAACGTCGAGGCCACGGCCACGCTGGGCCTACGAAGGGCTGCCCGCGGGGAGATTGCCCCAGGACTGCTCATGGAGGACTTGGCTGCGATCTTCGTTGCTTAGGGCCCGCATGATCTGTTGTCATATCTCGCATCTCGTCTTCGGAGGCAGACTCGGAGTGCCCATGGCTTCAAGCTTGTGAGGGTTGCCTTTACCAAGGCGTGGGCGGGCGTGGGTGCGCGCTCGGCGTTAGCAAAAGAATATTGAGCTTCGGGAGATCGCCGGTAGTCGAACTGTGACGTTGTTCAGATCAGGACCAAGCTTCCTCCGCGTCCGCTGAGGACTCCGAGCCAGGGCTAGGCCGTGTAGATCAACGTTGAAGTTTGAACGGATGGTTCTCCGGTGGTCAAGGAAAAGGCTGATTCGACCAAGCGGCAGGCGGAGGAAAATCCCGGCAGGCTTGTTCAGCTGAAGTCTCTGCCGCACGTTGCCGCATACGATGGGCGCGCCGTTTGTATGGCTTCTGAGGCGCCGTATCAGGGGCGGCCGTAGATGAGACAGCGCGCGCGGTGGCTGTAGATCCTCGCTATCTTTGACCATCGGACCGGTCGAGTGAGGGGGAGAAGAGACTTTGTGGATGGACGAGGCCAGCGCCTCGAGTTCAGTTCAGCCTCGGGTCGGAGATGGTATGAGCTGGTTCACATGATGGTGCCTCTATCAAACCTGATTTTCCCATCGAACGGCTTTGTTGTAGCACGTGGTTATCATCGGGCTCTTCAGCCCGCCTTGGGAACGCGGAGTTGACGACGGGGACGAGGGGGGTCCGGGACGAGTACGCTGGGGCAGGTGCAGGTTGAGGATGGGTTATTTTCTGCGTCCACTTTTGTGAACTGTCTCCGCGTCGAGGCAAGACTGGACAGCGGATGGGGCAAAGGCACGGGCCGGGGAAGGATCGACTCTGGAGATTTGATGGACGGATCTATCTCCTGTAGTTCTCGAGGGGGGTGGCACATGGATTGAATTGGGTCTCGTGTGGCGGCTGTGCGGGATTTAAATGCATAATGATCGCTACGTGCTTGTGCTCATATAATACTGCAGATGCCTTTCAACCCTGTTGGACGCGTTTGACCTCTCCCCACCAGCCCCCTAGGGCCCCTGCTCCCGTTTCTCTGTTTATGAGGCACTGTCTCCTCCACCTATAATACTCCTCTCCGCGCACCGCGCCGTGGTATAATACCTCTCCCGTTCGGCCTCTCGAATTCGATCGATTGGCGGCCTTGAATCCCCGCGTCCTGCGCGAGTCTGCAAGGAACCGGCGTACATCCCCCGACATGGCAACCACCAAGGCGTCCTCCGACAAGGCCTCCCAAGCTCACAACAGTCTTCAGCGAGGGAAGGCTTGCTTGCGATGTCGGTGAGCAGTGCAATGGTCCTGTTGTCGTGCCCGAGCTGACTTTCGCGCGCCAGGAAACGGAAAATGGTGCGTTCGCCACACGACTCCTCGATCACCCTCACTAACTGCTCTCATTCAGCGCTGCGACGGCATCAAGCCTGCTTGTCAGCAATGCGTTCGCGCCAAGAAAGCAGACTGCTGCGAATACGATGATGGAAAGGGGAAGACGCGTACTCAGCTCCTCCGAGAGAACATCGCTCGTTTGGAGGCAAGAATACGAGAGCTTGAAGATCCCGACTCTGTTCCCGCGCATCCCCCATCCATTCAACTGCAGCAACGCAAGACATCTGGTTCATCCCCGTCCTCCTTGGGCTCGCCACTGGGAACGCCCATTTCCGCGACACATTCGCCATTCCCGTCCGGTGAGTTCGCCACCTTGTCGAGTCGTGCCACCATCCTGAACCCTCCCCGTTCCAGAGTCGTCAAGTCCCCCCAAGACCGGCTCATGGACGAGCTTGCCCGTGCGTCTTCATTCCCCCCTCCCATTCTGACAACGCGCTGACGGTGTATTTCAAGACCGTCGGGTCCCCAGATCCTGCCTTCGACATATTTTTCGACGACCACGCGGCTTTCGAAGTGTCGGGAGAACTCGCTCAGGCTTTGTACGTTCATAACCTCGGTCAGCTGGACTTTGAAACCTGTCTGACCTGCATATTAGGCTCGATATCTTCACCCCACATCGGCATCAATGTGGCCTTGAGCTCGATATTGGCCGCCTCCGCGAAAGCCTAACAGCGCCAATCGACGAGCGCCGACATGAAGTCCTGTATAACGCCATCTTTTTGTGGGCCTGCTTCGTGTCGCGCCCGGATCCTTTGTGCCAGAACGAGGAGCACTACTTGAACCTCGCTCTCGACGCGCTCCCCCTCGCTACTCAGGACGAGCGCTACGTCGTGGACGTCATCCAAGCATCTTGCCTACTCGCCACTTACTTCATGTGCAACGGGCGCATCGTCGAGAGCACGTATCATGCCGGCGCTGCTGCTGCCATGGCCATGCAGTACGGCTTGCACACAGGCGTCTTCAGTCCAATGCACGAGTGGTTCTCGCAGAGCTACGCCGGTATGGGCCTTCACCTTCCCAAGGACATATCGAAGGAGGGCGAGCGGATCCTTACCTTCTGGCAAGTCTACAATCTCGATCATTGTTGGTCCATCGTTTTCCGTCGCCCGTCGTTATTACCGGATGGACCTGACCCGACGACTACTATTCACTGCCCTTGGCCTCAAGACGTCTCCGAATACGAGATGGTGCGTGGTGACTGCATGTCGAAATTTTTTTGACGGCTAACAATTTCTCTAGGGGCATGCCAATATCTCCACCGGCTTTCAGACGGTGCAGACCTTCCTCCAGAACAGCTCAACGGGAGGATTCTCTGTCCAAGCGCTCCGTGCCAAAGCTTCCGCTATGTTCCACCGCGCCGATCAAATCTCGCGTAGTTGGGATCCCAGTACGTCGTTCTGCTTTATTCCCTGGGATCACGACTAATGTTTCTGCCACAGGGATGAAACCGACGCAAGCATTGCAGAACGACGTCCAGGTGTTGGAGCTCGTCATCGTCCAATACGTGGAGGCGCTCATACCCGTCTCACAACTCGACGCGGCGCTTCCCGAGGACCGGCTCGTTCTGCTGTGCGCGCACACGCTTGCTCATGCCTCCATGATTCAGCTCTTCCGCCGTTTCGCGGTGGACGACGGGCTCTCGTACGAGAAGTGTCTTCGTGCAGCTAGGGCCTGTATCAACATCATTGGCCACCTCAGCGACGCGGACTACGAATTTTTGGATCCCATCATGGGGGTAAGTCCTTGCACGTTGCTATCCTAGCTTCTACTGATGCCGGCCCGACAGCCATGCTGGGCGACCGCCGCGGACATATTTATTCAGCAGCTCGATGACTTCGAGAGCGCCTGGCCTCCGGTCAGTACGGCCGATGTCAGGGGCGATATCGGCACACTCCTGTATGCTGTGAGCCGTCTCAGCACGAAGTTCACGATGCTTGGTGAGTCATACCGACTTCTCCATCAAGCGCCACCTGCTGACGGTGCGAATCCAACCCCCAAAGTCACTGCCTCGTCCAAGATCCAGAAGCGTCTGGCGCAGGCCGGCACGACTCTATGAAAAGCGTACGAATGCATTGACAGCTGCAGCGCGCTCCTCCCCGCGAGCTGCCCACGCGACTACCTCACTCTACTCTTCGTTCGGACTTGACACTGACCCCCTTCGGACATTATCCCTATCTATTGACCGCGTTCACGGATGATTATCCACGCTAGTCACGACCGTCGACGCTACACGCTCTTTACGACCCTTCGCGGACACTCACTGGACTTTATCAATCGCACTTTTTGCCTTCGGACACTTGATACGTGCCGAGCTCGGACTATACCACTCTCGGACTATACCAACCTGGACATTGGACTCTAACATCGGACTGCATTCGGACAACTCTCATCTACGGACGAACTCTAATTATGCAGACAAGGGACCTTGTACAATATTCTGTATTTAAGCATTAAATGTATACGCCTACCTACTTACGTTCGCTTCACGGGCTCCATTTATTTACTCACGCACCGCGCTAGACGCTCCGCACATTGACCCTGCCCTACGGCAATGAACTTCACTAGCTATCTTGCTCTCGGACGCTCTCGCCTACTTACTACCGACTCGGACATTCCCACAACTCCGACAAGCACGAAATATAATTCTCTATCGCCTTCATCATCGGGTGAGACGCAGAAGTGTCGAATACGAGGAGATCCGTTGATTACGATTGACGCGGCCATATGAATGAGACGGGCATAGAGGAGCGCTCGCCAGGTCCGGAACATACCTTTGCAATTTCTGCTGGACGATCCACGGCCGTTTGCGGGCCAGAAGATGTCCAGCGGGGGCCCGCCGGTCCGACCAGCACCCTCCTATGTCAAGAAACGACGCGGCAAACAGCCCGTGTCGATGATTCTGTGAGGTATTGTTTCCGAAAGGAGGTAACGTCAAGTTGAACCGCCCGCGCACGGGTTCCACGCCTCGCACGAACTGCGCAGCAGTTCGCTCGCTAAGGCTGCAGGCACCAGGACGGCCGTCTTCTCATGCATTACTTTCGTCATTAGATCGATACAAGGGCGGAACTCGCGTGGTGAAGCCGAGGCTTGGCGTACGCAAAGGGAACACCCATTTTAGGAAGGTTTTTGGCCTCTGAGGCGATGATGTTTGGACATTGTCGGCGGCAGTACATCCACCTGCGTAAAGAGCCCATCCATGACGAAGCATGGAAATGATGTTAATTGTGAGAGTTCCGAGGCGATGATGTTACAAGTAGAGTATACAGTAAAGCAACGAGTGGTGGGGATGTATGTGGCAATAAATACTGGAGCCCTTCAAACGTATCTGGTCGGTCCTTCCGGCTTGTTCTGCTGCTGCTGAGCTGGAGCTTCTCGCTGAATACGCTGCTCAGCCAGATGCTGCAAATATTCGTCAGTTTGCAGAGATTACTGGAACAGAAGCAAGATGAATACCTGCTTCCACGACTGCAGCTGCGTCGTAAGACTCTCGAGTGCGCTCTCCGTCATCTCAGCAGCCTGTCAAATGTGAGCTGATGTCTAAAGTTGTTGAAGAGCAATCGACTTACCGACTCTCGGGCTTGCTGCTGCGCCTGGCGGAATTTGGCCTCGTCCCAAGGCGGATGGTAGCCCGGCCATTGCTGCTGATTAGGCTGAGTGGAGCCCGCAGGTGGTGAATATTGAGGCGCGGGAACGGATGCATCAGAGGGTGGGAGCTGCTGCTGAGCAGGCGCAGGGTTATCCGACTTTGCCTGAGCACCGGGGCGATGGCAATGGCCATGATGCCACCCGCCTTCACGGTGCCAGCCCTGCGGACCATTAGGGGATCCTGGGCCCGCATTGTCGTAGACTCCGGCAGCGACCCGCTCGGCGTGCTTCCTCGACCACCAGGTAGCGGCTCCAGCGCCGAGAGCGAACCATATCAATTTCGACATGTCGTGGGTGAGTGTGTGTGGTAGAGGGAGGTTTCTGAGTTAGAGGGTTGCGTTGAATATGCTGTAAATCGATGCCCCAGCGAGCAGTTTCTTATACCGATGAGCTGGTTGACGCGTAGAGTCGGCAGGGCGCTTGTGCCGGAGAGAACACGCAGTGCGGAGGACGCCCATGGGAGCAGCGCCGGTCCGACTCCCCTCTGGTAGGTGGCGCCGACACCGCCGCCATGACGCGCAGAGGCGGCACGGAATCAAACATGCCGAACAACGGAAAGCCGGCTGAATTCTGCAGATTCCAGAGTGCGTCGAAGGGGGCGTCGTTGAAGCCGGTGTCTCATCTGAAGCAACGATGAAGACGGAAGACGCGTATGACGGTGGCACAGGCTACATAGCCCTCTGTGTCTGGAACATTTGCCATTGGCTATGGACGCTGTTGAGTGTTCCCGGTGAACGCGGTTCGGCGGCAACTCGGCGGGGTTCAATTGTTCGGCAATCACCGTGATCTTGTGACCTTTCAAAATATCCCTTTTTGGTAGCATATGTACAACTTGGCCTCGACGACTTTGATGCAACGACCGATTTCCCCCTCTCATGGCGTCTATCTCCAGAGAGCAACATAGAAGGCTGCATGATACTACAGCTTTTGATGCTTCCATATAGGTCTAAGACGTAGCGACCGCGATTCGCTAATATAGCAGTCGAACAATGGACAGGACATTGTCTGTTGGCCAGTGCTCTCACAATGGCAATGTGCCCCCAAAGGTATTTTAGGTAGCAAAGTAGGCTCTGCGATGCCTCATGTTGCATACGCATGCTCTGATGATGTCGATCGCCCGTCGGGTACGCAACTCACTTGATACTCATATTATAGGCTACCCTAGAGCTGTGTTTCCCTGGCGCGAGACACGCAGTACGCAGTACTGCATCTGAAGGTGAGATATAGCCTTTATTGAGCCTGCTGAAATTTGAGATGATGTTTCCATTTGCAGCAAGCGACGTTTGTTCTCGCACTGTAGCACGGCGAACAAGTCATATCCTTCAGCAGTAACTGCAATTGCCGGTATCTCTGGGAGATGACCCATCTGTCTTTTGCTCAAGTAAGCTTACTGCGGTCTTCAGAGACGCTCGCTGTATCCAGAGGACCCCGCGAGGCCCTTGAGAGAAGCGACTTTTGGCGCGCTTGGTCAGAATTGGTAAGCAGGTCCCCTCGTGCCTATCTACCTGCGACATTGAATCGAATCGACGGCCATATTCTGCAGGGTACTGCGGGTCTCTCGCGCCATTTGATGTCTTACAAAGGCATTAGTGAGCAGGAAAGATGAACCATAAAGAGGTGAAGGTGTGGAGGATCTTCAGCATCGCATCCATACTCGTCGACGCGATTGAACGTTCTACCGCCTAACATGCCTCGTATTGCTACTGTTTTCGGCGCCACTGGCACTCAAGGTGAGCTTTCATCGTTCTCCGTGTAACACGCAGCCAACTAAACGCTCGTCAGGCTCTGCCGTTGTCGACCACTTGCTCAAGGATGGCACATTCGTTCCGCGAGCCGTCACACGCGACCCGAATTCCGCGGCGTCTCGCGCGCTTGCTGCACGCGGCGCAGAGGTCGTCGCAGCGGACCTTGGCGACAAGGAGTCGGTCAAAAAGGCGCTTAAGGGCGCTGAGGTCGCGTTCGGTGTAGGTATTTCGGCAGCGCGTCGTAATTTGCACGAGGCTAATGGCTTCGCAGGTCACCGTGCCATTCACGTCGCTCCCCGAGATCACTCAGGGAAGGAACATGATTGACGCTGCCAAGGAGGAGGGCATCAAGTACTTTGTGTTTAGCTCTCTTGCCAGCGTGGCCGAGATATCCAAGGGCAAATACACGCGGGCTGCTCACTTCGAAGGCATGATTCTGCCCGCATATGACAATTCGAGGTCGCTAATTGACCTTCCAGACAAGGTCGTCATCTCCAAGTACCTCCAGGAGTCCGGCCTCCCAAACTCACGCGTCATCGTGGGCTACTTCCTCGAGAACTTTATCAAGCTGTACGTCTTGACCTCGTCCATCCCCCAGCTTTCATACGGAGTTTCTGTGCAGGTGGGGCATCAAAAAGACCGCAGAGGGATTTGCTATCAACATGCCTTTCGACCTCGAAAGTCGCTTTGGCTACAGCTGGGTCGGCCACGATCTTGGTCCAGTCGTCACTGGGCTTTTCAAGATATACCCCGAGAAGCTAGCCGAGATCAACAATATCGACTTCGATGTTGACCACGACAGAGCGAGCTTGAAAGAGATGATCAACGAGATTAGCAAAGGTACGCAGGGGACGAAGGATTCGGAGAATGTGTTGTTGAGCCATGTCTTTTACAGAGCTCGGCAAGCCCATTGCCATCGAAGCTGCATCTCTGAATGGGTTCGCCCCATTGGAAGACATGGTGCGTACATGTGACTGTGCTTCTCGATGATCCTTGCCTCACGTTCTCAATCGTAGCGCGGGTTTGGCGCCGAATTCGACTTGGTTGGCGGTCGCCCAATTCCCGATCCCAAGCTGGAGGCGCTCGGCATCAAGCAGGAGGGGACCATCCAGGGCTTCGTGCGCGAGGTTTTGAAGCCCATCTTGGACAAGCAGTAGCTGTATAAATATCCATGTAGTCGGAACTTGTGTAAGCACAATAATTTGGACTTCTAAATCCTCAGAAGGGACTAGCACATCCGCGCGACAGACTGTATTGACGTCGACAAGGCGGACCATTGCCTACTAGATCGACCTCGGGTCACGGTGTACATATGCAGTTGGACCAACGCGACCTCCTCAGACCCTTTGCTTCCTGAATTTTGTCCACCACTGCCTCGTCGAAGGACGAATTGTTGGCGAAGTTCAACCGTGAGAATGCGCGCCACGCGATCACCATTTGACTTCCGCCCCTTGTCCGCATCCATTGTCTTAGACGTACGCGGTCATACAGCGCGTCCGCGCACAATATCCTAGTCGCGTCGCGGAAGCTACTTCATGTTGTTCTGAGGTGCTCTTGATTTCCTGAATTCCCCTGTCCTTTCTTCTACATAGACCGGCATCCATCATGTCCCCTCTTTCCCGAGGTATGTGCGTGTGCAGCATACACTGCTTCAGCTGACGTCCCAGTGGGAAGGTCTCTCGCTGTGGCGGCCACGAAATCTGCCTCTGATCGTCATCCCCCTGCTCCTCCTCGCATCCTATTACTACACGCCGTTCCAGTATGATATCTGGGACGCCAACCCTATGTCCCCACTGAATGCAGAAGACGTCGCGTCAATGCATATGCAGTCGCATGCTGCTGCACACACCGTCCCGGCGCAAGCGCATGTCCCTCCTCCACCACCACCTCCACCACCACCGCCACCGCCACCGAAACACGACCCTCCACCACAGTCGCCGTGGTGTGCTGGCGAAGAATGCTCCTCCGGCCGATGGGTGCCAAACACCGAGAAGCTCAAGACGCTCAAGGATGTGCACAGAGTGTATCCCAATAAGTGGATGCCGCCGTGGCCTGGATGCCCTGTTCCCTGGGATGCGAACGGCAATCCGATAGAAGACGAAGTGGAGAAGGAGCGACTTGAGGGGGAGCGCCTCGCGCGCTTGCTGAACTACCATTGGGAGCCAAGTCGGGGAAAGTTGATTGACTACGACCCTGTGGCCTTCGTCGTGCGATTGCTGAAGAGTCCGGGAGGGTTGATCATGGTTGGAGGTGCGTAGTTGCGCACAAATACTGTGATCTCTATCGACTCTTATTGCCAGATTCCCTCTCGCGCCAATTCTTCCACTCCATGTACTACACCTTCCGCCAATATGACATCGTCTTCGAGTCCAATCCAGGGCACCTGCGATTGGCTGGCACGCCCAACACGGAACAGTTCGTCCTACGCCCTAGCCATCCATTCACCAAGGAGCTGCAGAAGATGGCTGGCGTACCCGACTCGCGCATGTCAAGACCATTCTTCACATTGCTTGAGGACCATATGACTCTTGGTGAGCAGGACATTCGTGCCATCACGGAGGCGCCATCGACATACAAGTGGATCAACAACTTCCGCCGGGTGGAGGGCTGGGAGGACCACATCAAGTACATGGCGACGCCCGTCAAGGGCGAGGAGGAGAGCGTGAATCAGGACACCATCATCATCCTCAACGCTGGTGCGCATGTAAGTCATCCGTCTCACTCCTGATGACTATGCTGACGATGCCCAGTGGTCTCGCCATGAGCTTCCGATGATACCTCACTCGAAGGATTTGGGTGATCAGCGCTTAGTCGAGCGAGCCTACTCGCGCATGATCGACCTCAACGCTGCAAGACTCTCGCCCATCGCTCGCACCAAGATCTTCTACCGCACCACCTCCCCAGGACACCCGTCCTGCCACAACCAGGACGAACCCTACACATCCCTGGAAGCTGCGCACGCTGGCGAACGTAACCTCGTCGACCGGCTCATCGCTCTCGCCGACGACCCGCGTATCACGACGCCCGAAATGCGCCAGGAGATGCTCTCACAAAGAGTACGTTGGGACTGGGACCTGTTCGTGCCGCACAACAAGTTGTGGAAGAAGCGCATCGCGGAGTTGCAGCAGCAACGCGCGGCGCAGCAGCGGAAGGCGGACGCGCAGGAGGAGCTGGACAGGCGACAGAAGGAGGAGCAGGAGCGGCAGAGGCACCACCACAAGCAGCACTCGGGACGACCGAAGACGGATTCCGAGCCGCATTGGGTAGAGGTGGAGGAGGTGAATGCGCAATGGTACTACCTCGACATTTGGGACATGTCGCTGCAGCGGCCTGACGCGCATCTGAAGCCAGGGAAGGATTGCTTGCACTGTAAGCCGACTTCGTACTGGATGGTATCCGACGACTGACGTACTTGCCAGATTGCTTGCCGTCTGTCTTCAATGAGTGGATTCATCTGTTCAATCATGAGCTGTATCTCATCGAGAACGGCAAACCTCCCACAGCGTAGATCATAGGGAGTTGGGAGAGCCTCATCTGACGCTTTTGTCTACCTTACTAGCTATTGGGTTCTGTCTACCATTTGACTGACACTATCTATTCCCAAGTACTCACTATCTTCTCACTCAGCCTTCGCATCTTATCGCATCTTAGGGACTGTTTGACCAAGCTGTTAGTGTACTCTGCCTAGGTATACTTGTATACGACCTGCGCGCGACGTTGACAATTAATTGTGGTAAAAGGACGCAGAAAGACCCACAAAAATGAGCCGGTATGGGGGTTCCCCTAACGTTGATCAGGGGTCCTGCCCGCCATCAGGCCATGCCACGTGTGGGCTGTCAGAGATTTCTCCTTCTCATCGACGGCGACAGCGGCTGCAGTCCGCCCCTCTCGTCGCCACTCGCGTCGTCCGCGTCGTCTCAGACACCCCCGCCGGCACCGCCGCTGGAGCCCGCGGCCACGCCCGAGTTGCGCGCACCTAGGATCACCGTCTTTTGCAGCGCAAAGGAGCAGGACAGCCATCTATTAGCCGGCTCTAGCTGATGCTCTGGCGGAGGAGCTCCCGGACCGACAAGCATACTCCTCAGCACTCGCGAGACAGCGAGCGTGATCAGGGCGCACACGCCGGGGGCCATCTATCTCTCCCCTCGCAGCGGCTGCCATTTGCGCGGTTGGACCTCCAGCAATCCGAGCTACACAGTACATCAGCCGAGCCACAGGCCGAGGGCGACCTGATGTCGAAGCTCATTGGGAGACGCATCGTAGATCCCTCGCAGCTAGGAGAGCTTGCGGAACCTCCGCGGAAGAAATCGATATCGTACGTGCTCCGCGCGCTCGTTGCCACCCGACACTCACCCGCATCGTAGCTCGCCGACGAAGAGACGTGCAAGCACCACATCGCTTAAGAGCAAGGCTGCTTCGTCCTCTTCTCTACCCCCATTGCCCTCGCGGCCGCTACCCCCACCACCCGCGACGGCACCGACCGCGCACTACGACCCATACACGCCGAACAATGACCTCTACTTGCACAATTCCTTGCACTCGTTCTCCTTCGGCGCGCCCGCGACCAAGCCCGCACCCTCCACTTCCTTAGCACCGGACGAGCTCGAAACTGATAGCCATGAACCGCTCGACCTTACGCCCCGTCCGTCCCTAGTTCCATCGAGCTCGCGTTCACCCTTGTACCGCGCCTCTCGAGAGCAGGCGCCCTGGGATTATCCCGACGACGACGACGCAACCACCCCTGCCGCCGATGATCCTCAAAGTCATGATTCTCGAAGCCACCACGCACACGCCAGCTCGGACGTCGCCTCCGTCCGCACCTTCGGCTACTCCTCCCGTAACGCTTCCGCGACCTCACTTTCCGCGAGCGCCAGTGCAAGCGCGAGTAGTAGCAGCGTCAAGGCCTACAGCACCGGCGTTACCGACTACGAGAGCGATCACCCGCGCAGCCACCACGCCTTTTCTTCGGGCGAGGTTGAGTTCAGCAGCGATGATGATTTTGACGATGGCGATATAGAGATCTTCGATCGCGTGTCTGGCGTGTCGGACGAGGAGCGACGTCGGCGGGCGGAACAGGACTGGGACATGGCGGTCTTTGGCTCGCGGGACGGCCTACCGCAGGATCCCAGCACAGGTCGTCGCGGGAGTCTGCCTATGGCCATACCTGGAGCTGCGGAAAGCCCGCCTCGACCATCCGTCTCGACAGTTTCTGGCGACGAGATCATGTCTTCGCGACGCCCTAGCCGCAGCTTGGACGACGAGCTGGGCATGCTGTCCCTCAACCGTCCACCGAATGCCCTATCCTCGACCGCACCCGTCACAGAACTCGACTGGAAAGCCATCGGTGGCAGGCAAGACGACAACGCCCCTCAAGCCGGCCCGTCGACTCATCCGCACGCCGAAGCCCAGCGCCCTTCCATTGACCTTGACTTCGACCTCGGCGGCTGGTCGAGCTACGGCAAGGGTATCACCACCCTTGACTTCGACGATGTGGTGAAGGGCGACTCGTTGGCGGCGCCCAAACCTCGTTTCTGGACTGCGCCTGGTGGGGGCGGCCGGCGGCCCAGCACGGCGACCACGGCCAGCGCGCTAGGCTCGGACTCATTCACAAAGGCCGTCCGCGGTTGGGGTGGCGAGCGCGACGCGGAGCAACGGCGGGTGTGGTCCTTCCGAAAGGACCGCGCGGATGATGGCGGCCTGGAGGGCGCGCGGGACAGTATATCCAGCGATCGGACTGTTCGCACTGACCATCGACGGCCGCGCACGCCGCTGACGAAGGAGAAAGAAAAGGATAAGGACAAGAAGGTGTGGCGAGGGATGCCTGTGGGTGCGGAGGAGATATGGACGAACGAGATGCTTGGGTGCTTCAAGGTGTCTCGCAACGTTGCTCCTCGTGCGTGCTACATGATCATCGTCCGCCGCAAAATTACTGACCTCCTTTCTAGGACGCGATACCACGAAGAATGATACCCACTTTGTCGCCGTTCGCCATTTCCGCACCGAGTATGCGCGCTACAAGCGTCCAGCAAACGGACCCCCCGTCAACATTCACAAGCATTCTCGCGCAGTCGCCTTCTCCATCAACCGCAAATACAAGAAGAAGACGCCTGCCCATGATGCCGCTGCATTCCATCCGACAGCGTCTGCCCATTCCTCTCGCTCCGTCGTGGAAAGCATCGCTCGTACTACACCTAGCGGTGCAGTTTCGGTACACGCTACGGCGAAGATCATGCTTGCACCCCGCCATGTACAGACTATGTATACCAGCACACGCACGACGAGGCAGCTCGATGCTCACGGCTTACTCGACGACTCGAAGCCGCCGGTACCTTCTTTGTCGAGGGAGAAGAGCCGCACGCACGACCGCTCGAAAGAAGCCAAGCGACACAGCACACCTGCTAGGCCTACGCAGAAGGCGAAGGTACATCCCAAGGCCCCTGGCAGCAGCGGTGGGCCTTCTAAGCCCTCGTCACCTCCAGCGAGCATTTCCACCGCGGATATCTCGCGCCCTACGTTGATCACGAATCCTCGGTCTAGCTCTCGAGGAGCCCGCGATCGCCGCCGGCCTCCTCGCAGCTCTCTGGACAGCGATGAGGATATGCCGATACGCACGCCTCACGCGGAGGCCTTCTCGACGATGGACACCACGCAGATCGACATGCTTCGCCCGCACCTGAGCGAGTCGAAGATCTTCGCTCGCCTGCGTCGTGGTCGCTCTATCACGCCGGGCGGCCTGGGCAACTACAGCGTTCCGTATACGCCTCACTGGATGCAGCTCGATCAGCGCGACAGCAAGGGCCCGACGGACCAAATCAGCAAGTCCTTCAAGACGATTGGGCTATTGCCTGAGACACCTCGAGAGCGGAAGGCAGCGAAGGCCCGCAAGGGCTCGCGCGCGCAAGGCGCCGACGTCGACATCTTCGAGTTCGTCCCTGCAGACTCACTATTCATGCTCCTCCCGCTCTGGCCGAGCCAGACGGACTTCGTCTCCGAGGGCGACTCCCCGCGCGACGTCGAGATCCCTAACGACAAGCGGCTCTACTTGCTCGTCTACTACGTCGCCTGGCACGAGGGTGACCCGCCGCCGGGTGACAGCAAGAAGGCGCGCGGCTCCGGTGAGGCGCGGCGAGACCGGGACGACAAGAGCGTCCTGCTCTCCTCCTTCCGCATCACCGGCCGGCTCGTCTTCCACGACGAGCTGCAGGGCTCGGGCCTGCGCGTGCCCGACGAGGGCCTGACGGTGTTCGGTCCACTGGAAGAGGCGCTGCGCACGATGCCGCAGGCGAGCAAGTCGCGGCACGACCCAAGCATGACGGACGAGTTTGTGATCGGGCAGTGCTCGAGCCGCGATGCGGGGGTCGAGTTCTACCCGGAGGGCTTCGTGCGGTTCGATCTCTGCACGGTGCGCTCGGAGCCTGTGCCCGTGGCGATCCCGGAGGACTGGGAGCGCAAGCCGGACGAAATTACGCTGACCCCTGTGGGGCGGACGGTTATGGAGATGGCGTGGCTGGGATGCATTGCGCTCACCAGTTTTGGATCGCCTCATGAGTAGAAGTGGACGACGTTTACAAGCGTACGTGAAAGAGATGCCGGAGTGGCGGCAGTACCCAAGGAAACGACGATTTACGATCTATCTAACAACATATTCCCATCTTCCGTTCTGAAATGCATTCTTCAATTACCCCATGTATCCCTATCCCTATCTGACCGGTGCACTTTTCCTCTTTTCCCCTGCTCCATCTTTTTCCACCTTTCCGATTCTCTTCCTCTTCCTCTTCCCATCCCCTTCACCTCATCATCCCCTTTCCTGTCTTCTCACCTTGTCCGCTCTTCCTGCCCCCACACCTTGACTGTTTCTTTGTATGATTACTCGGGTCTGTGAGGTTGGGCGACGTGGAAATGTAGCTATATGCATTTGGTCGAGTATGGGGGTGGGAGAGTAAAGTAGAGGACGAGGTCCACCACAATGATTATGCCCGGAATACAACAAATTGTTTCAAATAAACGAGCAGGGGAGATCCCCGACAGCCCACACGTGGCTCGCTCGGGCTGATGGCGGGCAATGGAGGCAATTTACGAGACAACCGTGGGAACAGCACTTTGCCTCCTTCCGCCGCGGATGCGCATGACGCCCACGCAGGTCTCTGCATCGACCTCCCATGCTCCCCGACTCAGCTGCGCTTGCGCTGTTGACTATGTTTACCTGCTTTCGAAGGAGACAAAGTCCAGAAATACGATGATTCACCTTGTTCAACGCATTCCGAGCGACACGGGGAACGACGCATGCCCAAAGCCGCTTTACGGCCTCTGACTGTCGTGAGCCTTCGACGGATCCTCCCTGCGTTGCTGGTTGCTCTGGGCATGGCATGGGTGTCAACCTCACCAACGCAACCAGCCCATATGGTCGTACAAGCTACTGTTGGTCACAATCTCCTCCGGGCTCTCCATGCCTGTCGTATATCCGCATCCCTCGAGCCCGCCATCAGAAGATACGGCGCATCGCACTTTCTTGGGCTTTCCCTACGGTCACCTCCACCCTCGATTTTGCCACAAACTCGGGGTCAGAGGTCCTAGTCGCTTCCGCCACCGACAACGGCGGGTTACCATCGTATCCACGTCCTCCTGGGGCTGATTCCCGCGCTCGTAAGGGTACTACTCGCGACGCTATGATGTTCCAACGGCGGTCGGGCAGAGTCACGAACGCGGCCACGTGAGTGTGACGGTTCGAGTAGCTGATGCTCCCGCTGCCCTGAGTCCTGAAAGACTGCCTAATTCGCCGGTGTTCAGGGCGGGCGCTCTCAGGAACCGCTCCCGGGAGGGCAGATTACGGTTTTTAGGTCGGGGCCGATCGTGGCGGCGGCTCCAGCAAGACTGCGCGACAGCTGCCTCCTATGTCTCATAAGAGACCTCCCGCCCGAGTATAATATGACAGGCGCGCTATCGCCCGACCGCCTTCCCGCCCTCCTTGTCCCCGCCCGCCCACTCGTCCGCGTCGCACATCTGCTATTCTTCTCGCCCTGCTATTCTTCCCTCGCTCGCTTTCCTACTAGACACAGCCGGCGGCGCACTCTAGCGTGCGATTCGTCTTATTCGCTCTTACGCGATGCGCTTTTCTTCGGGAGTCGCAGCGCCTTTGCTATCCTTTTTGCTATGTTCGGCTTCGGTATCGGCTCGCATGACCGTCCGGTCGCTTTTCTCTAGAGAGACGGACCACCATGTCGCGGCGCAGCACGCGCCCATCGACACCGGGAACGCCACCACGTTCGAGTTGGAGAAGCGGGACGGCACGAAATATGTGTTTATGCACCACGTACGTTGCCTTCGTGTAGATTTTCCAACTTGCTGACTCGTCGTTGCAGATCGTAGGAAGTAAGTCATCTATCCGTCCCTCTTGGCGCACAAACGCTTATCTGCCCTAATCCTCAACCAGACACGTACGTCGCCTGTCCTCATCCTCGCCGACACAGACTGACCTGCCCGCAGCTACTCGTACACCCAGGGTGACTGGCAGACCGACTTTGCCAACATCCAAGCCACTGGCGTGTGCGTGCCTATCGCCTCGTTCCCCTAGCTCCCTGCTGACATCCTCTCTGCGCAGCGACGCCGTCGCCCTCAACCTCGGCAGTGACTCCTGGCAGCCCGGCCAGATCGCCTCTGCCTACGCGGCTGCACAGGCCGTCGGCAGCATCAAGCTCTTCTTCTCCTTCGACTACTCCTCCTTCGCCTGCTCCGTCGACCAGACCGTCTCCCTCGTCAACCAGTATGCGAACCACCCGAACCAGTTCAAGTACAACAACAAGGTGTTCATCAGCAGCTTCCTGGGCGGGTGTCGTAAGTGGCGGGTTCATGATCCGCGTGCGTTGCGAGGTGGCTGACGGGCGCGACGTGTTTGCAGTGGGCAACTCCGGGTGGCAGTCGATCAAGACGCAGACGAACGGTTATCTTATGCCGTTCATCGAAGGCTTGGAGGGTAGTTTCAATCAGTGGCCCGTTTTGGATTCGTGGTTCTGGTGCGTAGAATCACTGCGATGACATTGTACATGCACTCATACATTGTGCCAGCTGGGGATGTTCGTGGCCACAGGGCGACTATGACAAAAACGTGAGTCCTTCGTGGTTCATGCGCATACATCCGCTAACCTGTCACAGACGAGTGACGATGATTATTGTACGTTGATCTCGATGTCCATTCACCTATCTTGTTGCTCAAAGCATGTAGACTATAGTCAGCTCGGCTCTACTCCTGGCCGCTACGCTGCCGGTGTCAGCCCATGGTTCTAGTGAGTCGCTGCTCTTCCCTGCGCCCACTCCAATTGACTCCGTCAATAGCACGCACTACAGTTACAAGAACCAGTACTATCGTGGCGATGGTGAGCTGACTTCCCAATGTATCCTCATCGCCTTTTCAACCCTTCGCAGACTGGCTGCTCAACAACCGCTGGGACCAGTTGATGGCTATGCGCAGCCGTATGAACTTCATCGAGATCCAGACCTGGAATGATTGGGGCGAGTCTCACTAGTATGTGCTGCCATAATCAAGGACTCGTACGCAGTAAAGCTGACCGTATTCTACAGCATGGGCCCCATTCGCACCACGGACCAGCCGGCCGGCACGAACTGGGTCAACGGCTACCCGCACACGGCGTGGATGGACATGAACTTGTACTACATCCAGGCGTTCAAATCGGGTGCTTATCCTGCGGTCACTGTGAGTAGCAGAACGCCGCCCGAGGCGATCGTATTGACGAGTTCGCAGAGCGACGTCATCTACTTCTGGGCGAGGCCGCACCCCGCTGGTGCCACCGCGTCTTCTGACAGTCTTGGGAGACCCACGGGCTACGACTGGGCTACCGTATGTCTTTCTTTCCCTCACTCCCCCGTCTTGCTGACAATCTCCCAGGACGCCATGTGGGCCGTCGTTTTCTCCACCGGGCAGGCCACCGTCACCATTCGCTGCGGCAGCTCGTCGAACACGACGACCGTCGGCGCGGGCATCACGAAGCTACTGACGCCGCTCTCTCCCGGGCAGATGACGGTGACGATGGTCCGCAATTCGCAGACGATCATCAATTATACGCCGACGGACTATACGTATGTGACGAATCCGGCGACGTGTGAGTATCTTTCTGGTTTCGAGAGAGAAAAACGAGTTACGGTGAAGGGAATGTGAGGCTGACGGGCGATGCAGATAACTACAACGCTTGGGTCGGGTCTGCTCGAGCTGTGGTGACCACGCCGACCAGCTCCTCGTCTTCGTCTGGTTCGACGACACCAACCTCTACTTCGTCTTCGGCGTCGTCAACCTCGACGGCGACTGGCTTCACGTCTGTTGGGTGTATCAACGAGCCGAGTGGTGGGCGTGCGCTCACTGGCGCGTCTTACAACCTCAACAACATGACGATCGAGTACTGCAATACTCTGTGCTCAGGCTTCAAGTACGCGGGTACGGAGTATGGGAGTGAATGTGAGTTGGGCTGGCGCCCTCTTTTGACGAGGAGCTGACAGCTTGTAGGTTACTGCGGCAACTCGCTTGCCAATGGCGCGACTACGACTACTGTCGCCGCCTCGCAGTGCTCTTCCACCTGCGCGGGTAACTCTGCGGAGAAGTGTGGTGCGGCGTACAAGTTGAGCTTGTACTACCAGGCGAACATCCCGACGACGACCTCGAGCCCTGCCGCTCCATCGACCGTGACGAGCTCGGCGACCTCCTCCGCCACGTCTTCCTCTGCTGCGCCGACGGGCACTGGCTTCGCGCTGGTTGGCTGCATCAACGAGCCCAGTGGCGGCCGGGCGCTAACGAGCGCGTCGTACAATCTCGGAAATATGACGACGGAGTATTGTCAGTCGCTGTGTAGGGGATATAAGTATGCTGGGACGGAGTATGGGAGCGAGTGTGAGTACTGGCCTATTGTGGATATAGTGCATTGACTGAAGCAACATCCAGGTTACTGCGGCAACGCGCTCTCCAACGGCGCGACGACCAGCACGGTCGACTCGTCCCAATGCTCTTCGGCGTGTGCAGGCAACTCGGCGGAGAAGTGTGGCGCGGCGTACAAGTTGATGCTCTACTACCAGGCCAATCCGCCGGCGTCGACCAGCGCGGCGCCTACCTCGTCAGCGGCATCCAGCACGGCCACAACCTCCCGGTCTACCACAGTATCCTCGACGACGTCGAGTTCTGCGCCGACTTCGACTGCGCGTGGCTTCGCGGCCGTTGGCTGTGTGGCGGAGGCCAGCAGTGGGCGCGCGTTGACGTCGGCGTCATATCAGACGAGTAATATGACGGTTGAGTATTGTCAGACGCTCTGTTCGGGGTACCACTATGCGGGTGTGGAGTATGGGAATGAATGTGCGTATCTCCTTCTCAACAACTTTAGGCTTCACCTGACTGTAGTCCAGGCTACTGCGGCAATGCCCTATCCAACGGTGCTACTGGCAACGTACTCGACCCCAGCGTCTGCTCCGTCAATTGCGCGGGCAATGCGGCGGAGAAGTGCGGAGCGGCGTATCGTTTGAACCTCTACTACCAGGCCAACATTGGTTCCGGGACGACTTCGAGTGTGCCTGCCACGTCCACCACGCCCACGACCACCAGTAGTTCAACTACGCCGAGTTCGACTACGAAGACGTGGAAGACGGTCGGCTGCGTGGCGGAGGCGAGCGGGGCGCGCGCGTTGACGGGCTCGTCGTACACGCAGTCGAATATGACGCCGGCGGTGTGTCAGGCGTTGTGTGATCAGGGGAGCTTTACGATTTCGGGGACGGAGTATGGGTGAGTGGATTTCTTTACTTGCGATGCGTTCCTTGTGCCGTTGTTGTTGTTGTGGTGGTGGTGGTGGTGGGGGCGGATCCGGGCTTCCAGAATCAGACAAGCTGACCATCACTTGCAGGAACCAATGCTATTGTGGCAACGCGTTTTCAAATGGCGCGACTGGCGCAGTCGTGGCTGCTAGCCAGTGCTCGTCTAAGTGTGCTGGTGACAGCACGCAGACATGTGGTGGTCCGTACCGCTTGAGCGTTACGCAGAAGTCGTAATCCCTTCTCCTGTTTCCGACCTTCTTCGCCATCCCGACTAGACCTACGCATCCCTACACTCCTTCCACTTGCGTAGCCACCATTCCTCTTGCCGGGTTTCCGCCGTTCCTTCCACCTCTTTCGCCACCTTGGCCTGTCTGCCATCCCCATGTCTCGACCGTCTTCGCTTTCCCCTTCATGCAGTCGATACCCAGAACACAGCACAACACAACAAACTATACCGCCGCTCGTTTCCAGGTTCTAGACCTTGTACTTATATCGCGCACCGGCCTTCTGTTCGTCGTGTTCTTGTTTTCGTTTTTCGTCTTTATTCGTTTTTGCTTTCGTGGCGAGTGACAGACTCGTTACGCGGCGCGCTCCAGGCGCGTTGCCGTGGCGAGTTGCAAACTGCCTTCAGCGTTGGGTGGGCTCCGGCGCTTGTACAGTATATGTAGATATACCAGTGTGGCGTGAGGGAGAGGGCTTCTTGTGTACAAGTACGGCTGCGGACATCACTGATGGACCTGCCCCATTTGGGGATATCGCCGTGGTGGGTGTTGCGCGAGCTCGGAAAGTTACAGCTCCTTCACAGAACGGTAGAGCGCGGCGAGAAACCCCCAACTGCGAAGTCTCGTGTGAGGCGGGTCAGAGTGGCCCGAGGCATTGGAGGTACCGTATGTTAGGCCACCTAGGGACCCTTCGCACGTTTCATGACGAGTTGGTGGAGGGGCCCACAAAACGGGTATGTAGACGGGGGTTTTCGATGGCGCTCTACCGTTCTGTGAGGTTTTCAAGGTCGTCCGAGCTCGCGCAACACCCACCACGGCGATATCCCCAAATGGGGCAGGTCCATCAGTGATGTCCGCAGCTGTACATCGCTATATCATTTCCACGTTCGTTTATTCCTTTGGTGTTGTACATTTACTTGCAAAAGACTAGATTTTGCGAGCCATTGGGTGTTGGATATAAGGAAGTAGGACGGACGAGGACACGTCGAACTCGAAGCGCCAAGGATGATAAAAGCGAGCCTTTCCTCAGACGACGCCGTCGCTGCGGGTGGCGCACTTTCCGAGGTGTCGCAAGGTGAGGCCCTCTTCCTTGGGAAGGATGTCCTGTAGAGAAAGGGTTAGAGGGATTCAAGGCAGAGTAAGCAGGCGACGTACGAAGTCGAAGATTCCTGTGGGTATGGCCAACGTGACGCAGGCGTTTGGCGAGTCCTGCAGGGCGTGAATGTTGATGGATTGCAATGGGAGGGAGAACCATCAAGCTTACAACTATGGCGCCGACATGGCTCTCGACCGGTGCGGCCGAGAGGAGCAAGTCTAGAGGATGATTGTGCTCAATCAAAGGTCTGATACTTCCTTGCAGTGATAACTTACAAGCCTGCTCGCGAGAGTAGCCCAGCTTAATTCAGCGCGTCAGTCAGGCTTATCCAAGTGGCGGATGAGGGCGCCGCACCTTCATCAGGTAGGCGATGGCGTTAAGCGCGGCCTGCTTGTACGCGACGGTCGCGTCCATGTTGTACTGCTTGCCGTCACCATCTGCAAGACACGTCAGTAGAAACACTGTGATGGAGAGGTATAGACGCACGGATGTCGACGCTGATCCCCTCAAAGATGAGCTACGAGGGTATAGTCCGTTCAGCAGTGCGTCGGAGAGGAAAAGCCGGCGAGCTAACCTTCTGCGAATACAGCGGATCAACAGGCGAAGGCATGAAGATAGGCTGCTTGAGCGCGAATTTCTCAACGCCGCCCTTGATGATGGAGGTCTTGAGGGTGATGATGCCGGCCTGAGGGGTGTTGTCATTTGACGATATCTATTAAGCCAGTCAGTACGGCGCCCCTACCATTTCGATGGCCCCGCAGAAGGTCATCTCGCCCTATTGAGAAGGGATCAGTAAGAGTTTAGGAACGTAGAAGATCCGTAGCACGCACGTCACCCTGCGAGAAGTGCAGATCGCCAACGGAGAGATTCGCGCCTTTGACGAAGACGGGGAAGTAGCAACGGGAGCCCTTGGAGAGGTTCTTGATCTATGAAGCGTCATCGTCAGCACTCCCTTCTCCAATCCTCCATCATACACCTCCATCTCATCTCATGCCGCACACAAACAACCCTTTCCACTCACGTCACAATTCCCCCCATGCTCCCTCCCCGGAATCGTCCTCGCGCCCTCCCTCGCGACCTTGTCCCGAACCCTGATATCGAGGTCTTGGCCTACGTAGGCGCCGTTGGGGTTGGGTGCGAAGGCGACGGGCGGGACGGAGTTGGCGTGTGCCTCGATGAGCCCGGTCTCGCGCGCGTTCCAGGTGGCGAGCAGTTCGGGAGAAGGTGCTGGACGGAAGGGTTAGTGAAGCCCTTGAGCAGGAAGGAGAATGTATGGCGAGGACAGCGAGCGTAAAGGGGATATAAGGCGCTTACCCGTCCCAATCAGTCCTGGATGGCTCACGCCAGCGAAACGGACACCGGGGATGTGGCGGGAGGTAGCGTAGACGCCTTGAAGAGGAACGATTGCCAGTAAGTATTGTGTAGGACCGTCTTCCTCTGAGTGTACCTTCGAAGTCCCAGATAGCCTTCGCGGCTTTGCTGCTGAACTCACGAGCTGTTATGGGCACTGTAAACGGCTAATTGACAAATCAAAACAATAGGAAGCTCACCGAAAAGCCCACCGCCGTTCTCCAGCTCGAAGATGCCCTGCTTTTCATGAGCGCACGGTTATTAGGAATCTAGTGGACAGGTCATTTTACCGTGTAGCCCCAGGGCATCTTCTCGAATGGCGTGACTGAGAAAGAGTTAAATCAAGTAACCGGCAGAAGGGCTCCGAGCATGATATGGAAGACTGCGGGGATTACCATCGAGAATATCGACCACAAGACAGTCGCCAGGTTCCGCGCCCTCAACGCCGATGGGTCCAGATAAGTTGTGAATCTTGGTGAGGTCGACGTTCTTGATGTCGTCGCTGACTAGGATATGCATCAACATCAGTTTCGTGCGGCTGGAGAAAACGAGGGCCTACAATCATTGTTCCCAATTTGCGCTCCCGTCCAATCGACGCACTCTAACTTGAAGACCTGGCCGGGCTTGACGGTGGCAAACGGGGGAATGTCAGGGCTGCATTGCGGAGTTAGATGCAAGTGTACGTGCGACTACAGAGCTGCACTGACTGCCAGCGATTGTGAAGACCCTGCGATTGATTGGAGCACAGTTAGGTCATGGGGACTCGGTGTTATTCATTCTCGGTTGGACGTACCTTCTGCTGATCCGCTGGGCTATCAGTAGAGGTCAATGACTGGTTCGAAAGAGTGGTGATCTTAGCCTTACACGAAAGGGTCAACCTGTAAACAGGTCAACCGGTTAATTCGATCGAGTGAGAACTGTACACGCAGGACATACCTGCACAAGCGTAGGGTGGGCTACTGAGTTCTCCTTCGTGGCCATGGACGCACGTCGCTAGTTCAGGTGGCTGGAATGTTATATGGCAATCGTCGAAGAGCATAGATAGCGTGGCGCTCCTCGTTTTATAGGCGCCAGATCAGCGATAAGCATGGGAACTGCGGTCACGGCATCGTTGTATGCAGCGGCCAAGCTTCTGAGCTCAGGCAGCCGGCAGTCTCGCGGGAGATGGTCGTGGCTATCTTGGCTGAGATAGGATCGAAACACGAGACCTGCGGTGGAGAAAGAGATATGGCTTGCTCGATTTATGGTGAGAGCCTCTGGTAGAACTTTGCAGAGCTCAGTCTTGGGGGAGAACAATATAGTGACGCAGCCGCGCTTGTATCCTCGAAGGCCGCCGTATTACGGGCATGCATAGAGACGCGACGTCGAGCCTTCGATTCCCTTGAGTCCGGATGGAGGTCAAGTCCAACGTGCGCCGGCAACTGCCGGCCCTAGTGATCTCCATTACGACTTCGCGATGATGTCAGGAGTCAGGACGATGGTTGCTGTGCCTCCAAGGTTGCTCGCCACCGCCTCCACGACTGCGCCGACCATCCTCCTGTTTCCCTCTCTCCTACATATACGCCTCTAAGAGAGGGCTATCTAACCATGTCTTCCCCACCCACTCTCCCCGAACGCCGCCCGGAATCGCCTGCGATGCCGTCTGCCAGCTCGCCATCTCCCCCGCCTCCGGCGATCCCCACTGCTGTCGCGCCTGCCATCGCAAATCCTTTTGATGGGCCGGACTCCCCTCCCCCTGCATCTATGACTGAGCCGCAGCATGCGCCGCCGACGGGGCAAACTGAGCCGCCAGCAGACCCTCGAGTTGCCGCACTGAAGGCGATGTTCCCCGACTTCGATGACCAGATCTTGTGCGTACTGACATTCCCCTCAACTTCGCCCACTCTAAGATACTTGCAGGCTGTCCGTACTTGACTCTGTCAATGGCAATCAGGACCGCGCCATCGACATGCTGCTTGGTATGAGCGATCCAGAATACAAGGGAACGCAAGCACCAGAAGCTCCCTCGCGCCCACAAGTACGTGCATGCACACCCGCACATCCCCACGTTCCTAATTCCCCGCACAGACGCAAGAAGATCTCGACGCGGAATTCGCCCGCCGACTCATGCTTGAGGAGCAAGAAGCCAACGACCGCGCCGCCGCCATGTACTACGAGCAGCAGCAGTCCCGCTACGCCAACTCCGGCTGGCAACCCCAGTCTGGCCCCGGTGGCACGAACAACGCGCCGAATAGCGGGAACGACACGATGTCCGACATCCAGGCGCAGGTCAAGCAGTTCGGCGAGACCGCCGGGAAGACTCTTGGCAGCCTCTTCTCGAAGGTGAAGGCGAAGATCCAGGAGCTGGATACAAACAACAGCGGTGGTGGTGCGTCTGGATCGCAGGCGCCCCAGCAGCAGCAGCAGCAAGCGCAGTGGGCGGCGTCGCCGAACGCAAACTATCAGCCGTACAGGAGATCGCAAGAGTCGAGCGCGCGGCGGTCGCATGAGGCTGCGGCTGCGCACTACGAGGACTCGGAACCAATCCGTTTGGGAAGTCCTCCTGCAGAGGCAGGGCGCTCCTCGCAGGGCTACGATGTATCGCCTTCACCATCGCCCGCGCCTCGCCCCACGAGCCGCAGTTCGCGGCCCATAGACGGTGGTGGGTATCTGGTTCGAAGGTTGTCTGCACTCGACTGACATCCCCCAAGGCAAACTCGGCATCCTCCCCAAGCGCCCGGTCTCCCTGGTCCGCGATCCGTCGCCGAAACCGTCGGACGACGATGACGACCTGGAATACGCGGAGAACCCGTTCGAGACAGAGGACAAGGGCGTCAAGCCGGCGAAGTGAGAGGTGTCGAGCTGGTCGAGCGAGACTGCAGGCAGGCCGACCAACGGAGGGGTGGCAAGCTGGCTGGTGAGAGATGGCAAGCCGGTCAAGCGACAAGCGTCTAGCTTCCGGCTTTAGTAGAAGACGACAAGGGGACCGAAAGAGGATAATAATGCTTGTATTTGTTCGCGGCCTATATTATGGTGATACCCTGGGTCTACATAACTCACGTTCGCAATGGGTGTACAGTCGCGCCGACGGAGATTCTACCGCTTGCCACTCCCATGTCGTTGTCGTCTGACCGAGCCAGTCGCAGCTGCATTCGTCTCGCAGCAGTTGCATTCGTCTCTGCACAGCTGCTTCTCGCGCCAGCTGTGCATCGCCTACAAATGATCTGTCCTCCCAGTGCCAGCGGAGCGGGGCATACTCGGCTATGCGACGCTGGGCCACCATTTCGTGGTTCTCGAACCCCATTTCGCAGCCCTCGTCATTCAGGGCAAGTGCCTACCGCCTGTGTATCGCCGAATATGTGCCCGCGAAAATCCTTGCGTCATGGATTCGGATGTCGGCAATGGTCAGACTTGCGTCACGATTTGTAGGCAGGAAGAGCGCGATTTGTAGTGGCAGAAGATCGCGGCGCTGCGGGGAGGAACGAGAGCGAAAACGACTGGGAAGGGCTTTGTGAGGCGCCCTTGCCACCCAGTGTGTGAGTATATTATATCGCAGAGCCGGCTGGGCGGGCTCGGTCTATGGATGGTGTTGTAAGTATGCGGTACATGCGAAAGCGGCCGTGGCTATGTAGTGCGTAGCGTTCGCTAAGACGGGTGTTGCGAGTATACGTATGAGAGCAAGGTGGTATGCAAACTATAATACAGACAAGATGCGAGATATGCGAGTGCAGGAGAACAGGTCATGGTGCGATGCTGTCCCTGGGGAGGATGTGAGCGAAGTTGGCAGGGGGCAAGAGGGGGAGAGCGCACCTTGTATAAATTACGACGAGAGGTATATGGAGGAGAGCACTCATGACGTTGCGCGCACTTGGCGAGTGCCCTTCAATGCGGCTCGTTCTGTTGGGGTGTAAGGGAGGTTATGAGATGGAGTGATCAAGTGTATGCACCATTCTGAAGCGCCTGCATCGCTCGCGGATCGCGCGCATGCGATGGGGGAAGCTTCCTCTTCGCGTCCCGATCCAAGTCCAGGGATTTGCGCGCCTCGACGAACTGGCGGAGAGTGTACATCGCAAGCTGGTGCGAGTACTGGGCGCGGGCCTCGGGTGTTGCGAGCGTCATTGTTGGTGGTGATGAGGAAGGCGTAGTTGGTTGCGAAGGTGCAGTTGTGTGGTGGGGAAAAATGGGGGCAGCAGGCGCTCCATATATACGGCTGTCGACCCGTGGGACATCGTGCGTCACAGGAGAGGGAAGGTTCCGTTCATATCATCATGCACCGCTTCTCCATTTGCTTCCGCGCCTCGAACCTCGGAGCCCCGATTTCGGCGAGCACGGTCCGCCGGGCGCGCTTCTTCCCAAATGAACCCGCAATAAATTATGTAGGGAAAAGGTATTCAACGGCGGCGGAAGGCGCGCCAGCCCATCGTACGTATACGGTCCATAAATCCTTGCCCCCACGACATGGACTCCTCCAGCAGTCCATCAAGCCCCCCACGGGCCTCAAAGGAATCGTGCTGCCCAGGCTTCTCTCGAGCGATGAAGCGGAGCACGTCCTTGACCGTCACCAGCCCAACAAGGCGCCCTTGGTCCTCCACCAGGATGACGCGTGGCCTGCATCCCGCCATCAGAAGCAACCCTCAAAGATTCATCAAGAGAACACGCACCCCATGCGCTTGAACAATTGCATCACGATTTCCAGAGGGAGGTGTGGAGACACACTAAATGGCGTCTGTGGGGCCATGCCATCAACACTATTGACGAGGATGGGGAGGCCGCCACGCCGCACAGATACACATACCTGGTTCACCCAGGGCCATAACTTCAGTCCCTCTGGTGACGCAGTCGCATCCAGCACTTCCAGCGGTAGGTCGTCCTCTATGCCGACCGACTGCCCGTCACCAAGGTCCGTGACGTCTCGCTCGCTCTCATTTTGCGGCAAGAAGGTACACGGTGTGTCGTCTGTAATGCCTTGGACCTTCCGCGCGCGCTCTAGCGATTTCCTCGCGTCAGTGGCATGGCGCTCTCCAAGTGGCAGACCTACCGATGACATAACGGACCTCCGAACGCCCAATGTACCCGTGCATCGCCTGCGATGGTCCTGTCGCAGACGCGGACACGATCGGGAAACCCTTCACGCTCGTCGACCCCAATAGGTCCTCTGAAAAGACTATTAGACCCCCAAACCGCTTCCCTTGACAGTCCCCACTCGCCTACGTCCTTCACCTTCATCCCCCGCTCCTGGAACACGTACAGATCCTTTTTCATTGCGGCAGATACTGGCAAATGAAATTAGGCCAAACCGGTAACCCAAATGATTTTCGCGCCTACCCGAAACATTGTACGCATGATCCTCCTTCTCCAGGATTGGGAACCCATTGAACCTGATTGACTCATCCGCAATGCCAGGCGTGCCGAGGAAGTCGCCAACCGCCTTCGTGACGAGAAGAACAATCTAGCGTACGAAGAATTTCCATGTCATCATGATGCCCCACCGCCTGAGATCATGCCACTTACCATCGTCGGCAGGATGTAGGTCAGCGCACCGGTAAGCTCGAACATGATGACGACAACCGTCACTGTGATTCGCATGACGCCGCTGAGGAAAGGAGGGAGCGAGCTAGCCTCAGCCACGGACGTCGCTTCCGCAGGGTCGTTGCACCCACCTGAGGGTTGCAGCCGCACCGAGGAACGCGTAAGTGCCGGGGGTGATACAGGGCAGGTCCGGGGCGCAGACAGCGAAGATGCCAGATTGCGGGTAGGCTCTATGGGGAAGACTGTGTCAGTCTTCGTCACTGCAATATTTTCGTGGACTCACCTGTAAAGGGCACGGACGAGGATCCCGACCATCCGCCCGAAGTACGCGCCGACAGCCATGGAGGGTACGAAGATGCCCGCTGGCACCTTGGCGCCATATGAAACGACGACCAGCCCGATGCGTATAATTGTCGCCAGGAAGAGGGAATTCACCATCCGCCACTGCATCGAGGTTCTGTGAGGCCGTTTGGCACACGTTATACGCACCCCGTGCTAGCATTGTACTTACTGACAGAGTGCGCCGGCGGTGTTATCACACTCCTTGAAGAGGATGGCCATACTCTCGGTCATGTCGATCCTCAGGAAGCGGTTGGAGTATCCTAGCAATCAAGCATTAGCAGACGTCGATGAAGATAGCGATTCACCCACCTATCATCGCCGTAATGGTTGCGAGGAATACTGCTTCAGCGACACCATGGTTGGCGAGATGCTTTCGCCTGAAAGCCGCCACTTGCATGTTGAACTTGACCACAAAAGCGCCGTACAGACCCTGCAGATGATCTCAGCTACGTAGCAGTAGTATAATGCATGAGGCTCACCCCGAATATACCGAGGATGATGAAGAACATGATCTCGAAGAAATGCCAGTCGCGGTCGTATGTAACCTGGAATAATACGAGCTTCCCAGTACGATACGGATTCATCGCCTATCGAATCGTGAGGTCAAGCAGCGAAAAAGGGAAGTGAGTGAATACGTACGGACAAGGTGAAAGTGGCCATAAGGGCACAGAAGAAACTTCGCCACATCGTCTTGATGCTGAAGGAGTGGCTCATTTCCTGCGCATGCGCGTTAATTATTTTGCACTCAGGCGAGTGAACACCTTACCTCAATAGAGAATAGCACACCACCGATAGGTGCGCCGAATGCGACAGCAACGCCGGCGGCAGAGGCAGCGGTGATCATGTCTCGCATTCTTCCTGAACCGCGTGAGCTAGCGACTTTCCTTACCGACATGCTACACACCATGACTTCGTCTGAACTTGTCAAACAAGCCCGCGACTGTGTATCCGATGCAGGATGCGACGTGCACGGATGGACCTTCCTTGCCGACGGACAAGCCGGACGCGATGACGAGGGGCTACGGGATGTAAGATGCTGAGTAGTCCGATGGTTTAAGAGGGTGGACGCACAAGAGTCAAACTCTTCACGAACAGCGTCGAGAACCCAAGGAAGCCCTGCATGATGAACCCCGCCAGTATGCACTTGATTTCTGAAATCCCCGACCCCGCCGCATACTTAGCAAGCGAGCGCACCAGATGCGCGGCCAGGAAGGAGAAGCTCATCTGTTAAGTCCGTGTCAGCCCTGACATCCTCTTGTCAGGCACATACGCCACGCACTGCGAACAGGACATAAATGAACCAGCGCGCGACACTGTTCGTACTCCAGGGATGCCAGGAATCACAGGCGTCCGTCTCCTCCGCGTCCGCGTCAATCTCCCAGCAGCAGAAGTTCTGGTTCAGCCACCAGCCGTCGGAGCAGTACCCCATCTTGAGGTCGGAGAGCCATTCGGTTATTATCGAGATCAGCGCTGCGTTGATGCCGATGCAAATGCCTGGGAGGTGGCGGGGAAGGGAGAGGGGGGTGAGCGTATGCAGGGGGCAGAGGGTATAGCCACAAACCAACAAGGCTGACCACAAGCCAGCTCTGCGACGCGTTGAGCGCGCGTCGGGCTTGTGCGTAGAGCCAGATTCCCATTCGGCCGCGTCCGTTGTGCAGCGCTTCGTTTAACTGGCGCTCGGCGCGTATTCGTCTGTTGCGCTCCAGAATCGCATCCTGTACCCAGTCTTCCAGCCTTATGAGTACGCGCGTTGACCCCTCAGGTACACCGGTATGTGCATACCTATAGTGGTGAAGTCCTCATAGCGCCTGCCCGACGTCACGTCAGTTGCGGTCTCATACGCCAGGATGTTGTACTACGCACCGTATCTGCTCGAGCTCCTGTCCCTCATCCTCGTCTATGACGGTCGTGTATCCACGCCCACCTGGGCTGGTAGGTAGTACCATGACCGCGGCGGTCAAGCTGTTCTCGCGTTACGATATTGATCGGAGTTCCTCTATAGGCAGGTATTGTTCCCTTCCCTCATTGGGATGGTGTGTAGCGGCGCGACTTTCACCATGTTGGCCCTTGGGACGTAATGTATACACTCGGAGCAACATCGAGAGCTCGCATACGCGATGGGGGAGCGCCTCAGGTGCTTCTCAAACACGGTGTTACTTCGTTATCGCGAGGTCCGAGCCTAGTGGCTCGCTGTTATTCTCAGTTACACTACTCCTGCGATACTGAGTATCCCTCTCTTTCAGGGCCTATCGCTATCCTCAACCCAGCCCAGACTCCCTCGATCAGCGCAGCCCCATTCGCACACGCGAACACCAGCGTTGAAGCGTAGAAGAAATTCGCGTTCCCGGTACCCTGGGCTAACCACAAGTGATGGAACATGGGCATGAGGAGGGCGGCGTGTAGGTGTAGTAAAGCGGTGACAATTGGGTGTCGGAAGTCTGGTAGAAGAATTCATCAGAAATCCCGTGCGTTGGAGGTGAGCATGAAACTGACGAGGATATACTTCCGGGAACAGCGCGTGCATGGAGATGTAGAGGCCAGGGTCGGAAAGCGTTGGGTACGCCTTGAAAGTCCCGAGCACACCAATGAGCAGGAATGCCGCGTAGAGCATGTCGTGCCTACTCGACCATGAGTTTTTGACCCCAATCCTAGTTCAAGAGACTCACTGGAATTTTATGCACAGAGGTGCAATGTAGATGAGCAGATGGACCTAGCTGACGGTGAGTACGCGTAACAACGAAATATGAAGCGAGCGACTTACCGAGAAGACCATCAAGAAGAACGGCCGGAAGTGGTCGAACATTTCCGTGAAGAAGTACCACCATAATCCGGGATTTGGCGTCAAATCAGGGAGAGTAAGGCTGGCGGCAATGTCAAAATAGAGGTCGCAGGAGCACGAACGAAAATCTACCTCACACCCCACGTCTGCGGCACCCATGACCATCCGCCGGCAACCAGAGCAGAGGTGGCGGTCAAGAAGGTCGTATACGCTGTCAATTCGGCGACGAGCGGTAATAACCTGCTAACGTCGGGCTTGTACACTTGAGGGGACGCCAACTGGGATGTTGGTGAGGTGATGAGCAGCAGCAACGTCGGTGCAATTATCAGTAGAGATGACAATGACAATTGCAACAAAACGGCGAGGCTGAGTATTGCGGCCGAAGCTTTGCCTGATCGTCATCGTCAGGACGAGGGACATGCTAGACGATGGAGTGCATACGTACCTCGGGACGCGAACATGAGCGCTAGCAGCGCCAGCGCGTTCTCAAGGGAGGATGAGGATAAGGCTATTGTTGGGAGGAAGATATATGGGTTCAGGAGGTACCTGGAGTTCTGTCAGCGTCTGCAGGATCACGAAGAGGTGGTACGCACGATGCAGCCACCAGCCAGTCCCTCGAGCTCTCGGCGATCCCTTGTCTTCGCCTCCATATTGTTACAAGCGCCCACGCTGCTATCGCATCGGCAGTTGTCCATAGCAAATGAGCTGCCCATCGCGACTTGGGCAGTATCGTCGTGAAGAGCGAAAGCAGCAGAGGGGACTTCGTTCCTTTCAGCATTCGCCCGCACCTGCGCACTGACATACTCACATGGTGGAACACCCCTCCAGAGTACGGGTTCACGCCAAGATTATATAGATAGATTCCCTCCTGTACTGCAACGCGTTATTAGATGAGCGAAAGTGCGGGGAGACGCGTCGTACGATGTGAATACGAGGTCAGCGGGGAGGAGAGAAGAGCAGAGTGCTTCAATGCATCGGGAAGAGAAGTCTGGGTAAGGGCCAAGCGAGTGGTGACTAGCAAGGGGAAGGCGATGCGAATGTCCGCCAAGGCAGACATTCGGGCGAGATGGAGGTGGAGGACAACACGTGTGCGTGATGGGGAGTCGGCGATCGCGCCGTGGCGCGCGCCCTCCTGGTCTCTTCCATGTCGTCCATGATCAGCATTCAGAACAGACACTCCCCCAGACTTCGTGAGTTTGCAGCTTGAACGGCCTTGCTGTCCTGTAATACACGTCTACGGATCAATAGAAATACATTGGGGGCGACATTGCATGTTCGCGTCCAGCCGCATCATTCAACCTTCTTCTTCAAGTCTAACCACCCGTCCATCATTTTCCACACATTCTCCTGCTCCTCTGTCCATTCCTGCGCCTTCTCCTGCACGCACTCCGCGCATAGGCCCTTCTCCGCCCACGGTATGTTCTTCATGCGCTCCAGCGTCTCTAGGGGCCGGCCCACGCCGCCATCCATCAGTGCAGGCGATATCACAAGGTCCATCCACGTATCGGCCAGCACGTCGGTGCAGGCGCGGTGAGGTGTGGCGGCGGGAGTGAATAACATGGGGGTAAAGTGATCGACCATGGACGCGAGGAGGCGGTCGAGGACGGCCTTGTCGGCGGATGCGATAGACGCGTCCCCCGTCGTGTGGAAGTGATCGGAGTGCAGCAGGCTATAGAGGAGGCCTTTGCGTGTCTGAGGTTTGGGCTGAGTGATCGTAGGCTCGATCGGTCAAACTCTGCTTACAGAGTCTTCCAGCTCGAGCTCGCGCGCCAACGCCAACGCATCTACCAGGTGATCTTCCGGATGCGTGAATGGTTGCGGTCCGCTAGCAAACATATCCGAGAACACGTTGGACGCGAATTCATGCAGCTTGGGCAGGTCGAGGCCGGAGGGGCTCGTCACCCTCAGCATCGCTGCAACGCGAGGGAACGGTGAGTCTCGCGTCAAGGGTCTGGTAGCAGCGCGCTGAGAACGTTAGTTGTAATGACACGAGACGACATATACTCACACATCATGATATAGATGTTCAAGCAGTACGATCAGTTCTTCCGCCTGGACGCCGTCCAGTGTAATGTCATCTTGATCGAGGGATCGACGCGAGTGTCTCGCGAGGAGGCCGCGATGGATCTTGACGCTCGTTTCTTGTGTGCGGAGGATCAACGACCCGTCCGTGAACCAGAATGCCTCGTTGTTGACCATCGCGATCGGAGTGGGAGAATCAATGCGCGCCGTGCTAATGACCTTTACGTGGGTGGCGGTGACGGTCGCCGGTTACTCAAAACAGGCTTGAAGGCTTGCCTTATGCGGATGATGAGTATGCCTAACCAATGAGCGACAGGCATTCTATCAAAAAAGCGTGTTGCAATAGGCGGTCTCACTAACGACCCTAGTTGCAGGCGAGCGATCATTGGGCGCCGCAGACATACTGGAAGGTTGGATCTCCATCGTCCTCCAGACAGCTGCCTTGTTACTGACATCGCTACCTGCCTCGCTCCCCATAACTGGATGCACGCCACAAGAGACGCTCGCTACTAGTCCTCATTGCGTCAACTGTAAGACTATAGATCGTAACCTTCCCTTGCCCAAGGCCCATTCGTCGACTCGATTGCAGTCAAGGTCACAGATCTGACGCAGTCATGTGATGCGGCGCCTGCATCTGACCTGCTCAATCCCCTTGACAAAGATTCGCACCTTCGTGGACCAACTTCAAGATCCGCCTTGAAGTCGCGAGCCAAGTATGTACCCCGCGCGCCCTAGCCTATCTTGACTAACGTCCACACGCAGAAGAGAGCAGCAACTCAAAGCGAAGGACTAATGGGACAGCTAATATACAGCGGAAATAGAAGTCCTGCTCACAGGTTGGCGTATGGCATGCTTGTTCTCACAAAACCTGATTGCAGGCAACCCCCTGGTCTGCGATGCCTGCAGCTAAGAAGGGCACGCGTCGACAGCATGATAGCATCACTTCGCTCTACTCGTACATTGACATTCGGTACATATAGATCGTGAACACATTCGTACGAAGGTTGATCAAATATATTGCTCGATGCCTACTGCTTATCCAGGTGCGGCTTGAGCACTTGGCGTACGAACTCCTGGATGGTTCCGTCCTGCTTGATGCCGAAAGCCTCCAACTTGGGATCGGGAACCGGACGACCGCCGAGTAGATCGTACTCGACTCCGAAATCATACTGCGCATATTACCATTAGCTTGGGCTCGGGAGGTACGGCGAGCCGCCTATAGGTGGAGCAAGGTCGAACGTACAGCTTCGTCAAGGTCCGGGATTCCAGTCGGCGGAGCGCGCTCGACTTTGATGGGTTTTCCTAGCTCTGGGGGTGACGAGTGAGTCAACTGTATAACTAGTGCATGCCAAATATGCAACATTCACCCTTGCTGATTTCATCGATAATGTCGCCAACGCTCGCCTTCGCGTGGTCGATGTCGAAGTCTACATCGTTGATTTCCGAGAGCCTTGTGGTGTACAGCTTGAAAAGCTCGGTAACAACTGGTCCTAGGTCGTGCCCGACCCATGAGTATCCGAACACGCTCTTTGGATGGAAGCGCAATTGGACAGCGTAGCCCTCTGGTGTCTTCGTGAGCGGCGTCCTGCGGCAAACATCATGAACTTGGCCAGAAGTGCACACGAACGGAGATAAAGCTTACATCTTCACGAAGTTTTCCAAAAACAGACCCACTATGACACGCGCATTGGGGACACCGGACGCCTTCAGATACTTGACAACGGCGACCTTATCTGCGTACTCTCATTAGAAGTCGCCAGACGGCATTGAACAAGATCATACCTTCGGAGTGGGACGCCTTCGTGAACTTGCCCTTCGTGACCTCGGCTATACTGCTGAGAGAGCTGGGGCACTATCAGAGTCGAACACACAAACCGCATGTATGAACTACCTGAACACGAAGAATTTGAGGCCTGTCTCTTTGGCGGCGTCTACCAAGTTCTTTCCTTGCTCGAGCTCAGTAAGTGGCGTGAACGGCACTGTCACCTGTGTCGTGCTCATGAGCTTAAGCGAATGAAAGAGAGTGCAATGTACGCACACCGAAAGCGACTTCTGCGCCCTCCATGGCCTTCTTAACCGAATCCTTGTCGCCTAAGTCGGCCGCGATGACCTGGGCACCTCGAGCGGCGAGTGCACGAGATGCTGCAGAGTTGGGATCACGCGTGACTGCCCGAGGAACGAAGGTCCCATCTTTGAGAAGGGATTCGACGACCGCAGAACCTGTCGCAAATTCAATTTAGCAGGCCAACCAGCACCAGTTCGCAAGCCATTCACCTTGGGTTCCAGTCGCACCGAAGACAGTAGCAATGCGAGCCATCCTGAAAACAGAAGTCTGAGGGCAGCGATGTTCGAAAGCTCAGCTGGGGCGAACATGTCTTTTATTGGACCAGAGTCAGCTTTGTCATCAGCGTCTTTGTCAGGTCTCAAGGCGAGTCGGCGGAAGATCCGACTCGCAGAGCATTCGCAGCCGATCTGCCATTCATACACAAATCCCTGCCATGTCATGTCAACGAAGGCTTGCGAGGTCGAGAAGTAAACTGACGAGTCGTTGGCCAGAAGAAGGCACGGATTACGCCCGCGGACCAGATCCTGAGATTTTGAAGTGGGCAGAGTCCCAGCACGCCTTTAGGGGGACGATGCTCGCATGTTCGGCTGCGTAACCGAACACTAGATCGTTCATGTGCCCGACACATCAATTGCACAGTATTCCTAGTATATTTACACGTTCCATACCTACTGCTTGTCCAGGTGAGGCTTGAGGGCTTGCTGCACGAAGTCGTGAATAGTCCCATCCTGCTTGATACCAAGCGCTTCGAGCTTGGGATCAGGAATTGGGCGACCGCCAATCAGGTCGAACTCCGTAGTGAAGCCGCGCTGTGCGACATGTCGTTAGCCCGAACGGACAAGCAGCCACTATTCACACCGCGGCCGCTGGGTTGTCAATGCACTCACCATGTCTTCCAACGGCGCGAACTCATTCAGCGGCACGGGCTCGACGATGATGGGCTGGCCAAGCTCTACGCAAGAGGCCGTCAGCTGCGCTTCAAGCATCGCACTCATCTGAAGTTCACCTTTGCTGATCTGGTCGAGTATCTCCCGCAAGCTCGCCCTCGCGTAGTCGACATCGAAGCTTACGTTGTTGATCTCGGAGAGCTTTTCGGGGTAGATCTTGAAGAGCCCAGTGACAACCCGGCCGAGGTCACGTCCGACCCAGCTGTACCCAAACACGCTCTCGAGAGCGAAGGGGTTCTTGTATACGAGCCCCTTGGGTGTCTTGTTGATGGCCCATCTGATATGTTCACATGAGCAGGGCGTCGATTGGCACAACACGAGGCAAAACGCACAGCTTCAGGAAGTTGTCCAGGTAGACGCCTACAATGACACGCGAGTTTGGCAGTCCTGACTCCTCCAGGTACTTGGCAATGACCACCTTTTCTAGGAGCGGGGTCATCGAAAGAACCATGCGAAGCGCAGTCAAGATCGCACCTTCGAAGTGGGTAGCTCTAGTGTACTTTCCCTTGGAGATCTCTGCCATGCTGTCAAGAGAGCTGGGGTGCGTCCAGTCAGTGGGAGACTTATCTGACATCGGAAAGTCTCTTACCTGAACACGAAGTACTTAACGTCCTCCTCCTTGGCGGCGTCGATCATGTTCTTGCCTTGTACAATCTCGGACAGTGGTGTGAAGGGCACAGTGACCTACGATCTGATGAACACCGGAAAGGCCTGGGAGCCCAATAAGACAAACGTACTCCGAATGCGACTTCAGCGCCGGAGAGAGCCTTCTTGACCGACTCTTTGTCACCAAGGTCCGCCGCGACTACCTGGGCGCCCCTTGCAGCAAGAGCGCGAGACGCCTCGGAATTGGGGTCACGCGTGACGGCTCGCGGCACGAATGTCCCATCTTTGAGCAAGGCATCGACGACGGCAGAGCCTAACGCACGTAGATCAGCTATTCATTCAAATCATACATTCATCGTCGAACTTGCCTTGCGTGCCAGTAGCACCGAAGACGGTTGCGATTCGGGGCATCTTAGTATGCTCAGAAGCTCAGTTGCGAGAGGCACTCGACGTTCACGTCGTTCTGCATCTTCGTCGCGCTCTTCGTATCTTTATGCAACTTTTCTTCTTGCTCACTAATGGCTTTGTAAGATATCTCCGGCAGGAAAGCCGCGGTGATCCTCCGATTAGACCTTTGGACACTAGTCAGTACGGAGGGTAGAATGGCGGGTTGAACTTGCTTACCAATACTGACGAAGCGTGAAACGAAAAGTCGCTTTAAAGAACTGCCATATGAGCGCAACTCGCCACAATTTCTGGCTGATAGCTCGGCACTTTAGGGAGCGTTGGCACAACAGAGAGCTCGGGAAATGATTTCAACGCTATTGAGCTCTACAGAATCTGGATCAATCGTGTACAGTCGAAATTCTCATAATGAATAAGGTCTGAGCCTGGCCGATTTTATTCATTATGAGCGAATATTCATTCCAGCGACGCCACGCATGCGTGACATGTGGCGCGAAAGTGTGACAAGGCCAATTAGGGTCACGTTTGGCCTTCCGCCCTTCATTTATGGCATTGTTGGCGCAGTTGCATGATCTCTGTACAGCCTGCTGCACATTCCCTATGCCTTTGTCATTTCAGATCATTAAAACTTCTATTTTCCTCGACGTGATCAATGCCTTTTGCTGCCCAACTTCGGTGGCACCCTCTGTATTTCGGTGAATAATCGCCTCTCAGCCTATCCATTATCCATTATTCACACTTTGCCATTTTCCGCGCATACAAAGTGGGGTGCCGCCCACTTTCGCCCAGATTCTATCCATAATGAGATTTATTCAATGTGAGAATATCCATTATGAGAATTTCGACTGTACTGGTTGCGCAAACGGTATCAGCGCTGAAATTCTGGAAAACCCGACAGAGGTAAGGCAGGAGAACTTCCGGGGCGAACTCGTAAGTAGTACCTTCCTGCTCGATGTCCCACGACTCGAGCTTTGTATATCAGGTAATCTATGGCCCCCGTAATCGGTTGCTGCCAGCGCCTCAATCGCACTTGAATAAGGAGCGTCAGCACACGCTAAGCGAGGCCTTCGGTAATACTTACGCTGGACGCACGATTGGACGAGCGGCTCGATGTTAATTTGCGCAACGCGCTCGTCGGTAATGAGCCTTTTGGATGCTTGGGAAGACGAGGAAGATAATCAGCCAGAAGAAAAGAGGCGAACATACCCTTGAATATCCCTGAAATAATCTCTCCCAGTGAACGGCTATAGCGTGAGTGCGACGCGGTTGACAAGACCATTTGGGAGTGGCGTGAACGGAACGGTCACCTGCACGATGATACTGGGCCAGCGAAAGTACGCGAGGGTACACCGCTTCGGCGTCTCTCAGCGCCTTCTTCACCAATCTAATGGCCAAGGTTCGCTGTAATCACCTCGGCAAAGCGAAAGGCGAACGCGAGCGGCCTCAGAGTTCAAGCCTTGTGTCGCGACACGCGGCTGGAATGTGCCGTCTCTCAGCGAGGCATCAACGACAGGCAGAACTGATGAAGCGTAAGCTCAGCGAGGCTGTCGATGCGACAGGAGAGGTGTGCACTCACTGTGAAGCCTAGTGTAGCGATCTGGGGCATGTTGAATGGTAGAATATGAGAGACGGGGCCGCGAACACAACAGAGAAGCTCAGACGAGAGACATTACTGAGCGGTCGATGTAATCCGCTCTTGCTATTGTCAGTCATCCTACTTGCGCTCAGCTATTGACCATGAATGTCGCTTGAAGAGCCGCCGAATCGCAAAGAGGCTATACAGTCGAAATTCTCATAATGGATATTCTCACATTGAATAAATCTCATTATGGATAGAATCTGGGCGAAAGTGGGCGGCACCCCACTTTGTATGCGCGGAAAATGGCAAAGTGTGAATAATGGATAATGGATAGGCTGAGAGGCGATTATTCACCGAAATACAGAGGGTGCCACCGAAGTTGGGCAGCAAAAGGCATTGATCACGTCGAGGAAAATAGAAATTTTAATGATCTGAAATGACAAAGGCATAGGGAATGTGCAGCAGGCTGTACAGAGATCATGCAACTGCGCCAACAATGCCATAAATGAAGGGCGGAAGGCCAAACGTGACCCTAATTGGCCTTGTCACACTTTCGCGCCACATGTCACGCATGCGTGACGTCGCTGGAATGAATATTCGCTCATAATGAATAAAATCGGCCAGGCTCAGACCTTATTCATTATGAGAATTTCGACTGTACACTGGCCTCAGCTGGAATTGTACCATCTTGCGAGTCTCGACGGCAAGAAGGAGAGCTGATCAAGGTGAGGATACATTGCGCCATGCAAGACTGAGTCGAAGGTGAGCGTTCGCTACAAGGTCTCCTCCGAATCACGGGCGGAGACTGATCTGAGCCACGTGCATCAATGGGTCCTTGTGGACACACCCAATAATCCAGCTACGGCCAGAAAAGACTGTTCGTGTATGAACGTAGGCAAGCCAGCTTCGATACAATGTACATGTAATTGTCGTATGTTGATTCCATAGGTCTGGGTATAGCACATATTCTACAGGGGACCTCTCCACGCACCATATAACTAAATCAGAATGCCGTCGTAGAATCAACCTCAATCGTCGGGACAATCGAGGCGATGAACTTCAGGAAGACAACGAGGTAGAAGTCGACCCGCATGCCCGTCACTTCCTCGTCCTCCTCCGCCGGAGCGTCCTTCGTGCCGCTGCCTTTGCGACCGAACCACCGCTTCTTGTCCTTGCTCGAGGTCTTCTTCTGAGCGAGCTGCTCCTCGACGACGCTGTTGTTCATGCGTTCGATGACCTTCTTCATGACGCTAGCATGTTTGCATGGGTGCACGGAGGCGGCTTGAAGGGAAGAGGAGTGGGGGAAGGCTTCAATGGTCACTGTCTTGAACGCATGGTCGGCGGAGACGTCTTGGAAGATCTGTGAGGGAGTGAGGGGATTCCGGTTCTGCACTATTGGTGAGTTTCTAGAAATGAACAGGCGCGAGGGGAATCTGACCTCGTCGTAGCCGAGCAGCCAGATCCGCGGTGTCTGATAGTACTTGTCGTAGGTGATCATGACATCGTACGTGCGGACTTGCAGCAAGTTCCCCTTCGCGACCTCAATATCACTGAGTCTCTGTTAGAGAATGCAAGACGAAGAATAACAGGGCCGCGCACCTTGCCTCGAGCACGCCAGCCGGCTTTGCAGCGGGCTTGGGTGCCGCTGCTGCCTCGTCACCCTCCTCGAGCTCGTCCTCCTCCATATCGGGTATGTCATCCAGATCGGGGGTCGCGTCTGCGCTGACGGACAGGTTGGCGACCCCAGAGGACAATCCCTCGTCGTTGTGAGCATCATCGTCCGGGATATCCTCAATCTCGCCGGGGTTGGCGGCGTCCGTGTTCGCCTTGCGGCCCGCATGCGTCTCTACCCACTCGTCGTCCTTATCGCCCGCGCCCGACGCCTCGGAAAAGTTCAGTAGACGCTCCGCGTCTTCGTCGGCGTCCGTGTAGGCGAGGGAGGTAGCACGGCGGAGGCAGGGCACGCCATGGGTGATCAAATACTGCTTGTCCGCGGGGAGGTAGTCGCGCGCCTTCGAGGGGTCGCCCTTCTCCCTGTAGGGCGTAACATGAGGACACGAGGGCCAGATAGACAGCAATCTCACGCACCACTTCCAGACGGGAAACTTGTATGTCAAGAAGTCCCCCGCAGCCACAAACTCCTCTGCGGCCAGGTCAGATATGGAGGGTCGTGAGATTAAGGGCTACGCACCCGGCGTTATGCGTCCGTGCTCCTTAAACTTGCTCTCCTTGAGAACCTGACGCGTGATGTGTAAGATTCGCGTGCAGTCAAGCCTCATTGTCCGGGCTCACAGGGCTCAGGTAGTCGCGGACCGCCCAGTATTGTTGCTGGGGTCGTATTAGCCAGTGCATGGCACCACTGTGCGTAGGATACGCACCTGTATTGCGTGCATGAGGACGGGACCAGGGAGAACAAGATCAAGAGGTCAATCGATTTGGGGAGCAACACGCCTCGTTGCCGTAAATGGCCACAAGACCTCACGCGCCATTTGTGGCGTCGCGTCAACCCCAGAGATCGTCTCTTTCGTCTCCGTCAGGCTGCGCCTCTTTAGATACCTAGTAGAGATGCATAGATTCCCAGCTACTCCTACACAAGATATGCACCCTAGGTAGATCGCCAAGCCGCTTGAGGGTCAACCTAGCCCTCAAGCCGTCGCCGCTGCCGCTAACGCCTTCTCCCTTTTCTTCTTCTCCTTCCTCGCCTTTTTTGACGCTGCCTTATCGTCGTTCGTACTATCGCCCATGGCGCTCACCTCCGTAGCACCATCATCCTTCTTGCGTTTCTTCTTGCGCTCCGGCTCGCCGACGTTCGTTGGTGCCGCAGCCTTGTCCTCGGGCTGCTCCTCCTTGTGCTCCTTTTTCTCCTTCGCTGACTTGGCCCCCAAATCCGCATTTGGGTTTTGCTCGTCTGTCTCCTTGTGCTTGCGCTTCTTGCTCTTCTTTAACGGCTCGCCGCTGGTCTCTGGCACACCTTCGGTCGCGCCATTTGCCGCAGGCTCGGAAGACTATCAGGCTGAGAAGAAACTCAAGCATGAGATGGCCGCAAACGCACCTCTGCAGCATGTTTCTTCTTCTTATCCTTCTTCTTCTTGCCTTCGGACGGCTGAGGGACATCGATATTCATGCTCGAGCTAGGCTCAGGAGCAGCCGACGCGGCCTCGACCACAGCTGGTGCGTCCTGATGAATAGTGAGCATGTTGATGCAAACGGCGAGAGCGTTGACACCTACCTCCTTCGCTTTCTCCGCCTTCTTCGCTTTCTTATCCTTCTTGTCCTTTTTCTCTTTCTTGGGCCTATCAGACTTGTCCTCGACGACAGTCTCAGCACTACCGTCGTCTGTCTTCATTTTCTTCTGCTTAGGCTCTTCTGTAGCAGTCTGCGCGCGTCTGTCAGCCCGCGGTGCAGAGATACTGACTGAGAAAACGTACCGCATCGTCCCCTACAGACTTGCGCTTCTTCTTATCCTTCTTCTCTTTCTTGCTGTCCTTACCCGACGCAGCACGGTCAGACGCAGACGCCGTACCGTTAGCCACGACGTCGGGAGCAGCGGCCGGCGCCGGTGCAGGTGCAGGAGTCGGTTCGGTAGTTGGCGGTGCAGCAGGGGTGCTACCATTTGCGTTCTGATTATTGCCGCCCTTTCCCTGACCTCCCTTCTTCGCCCCTCGCGGCCCGCTCTGCTGAGCACCATTGTGCTGCCGATCGTCCATCAGCTTCCCGCGCTTGACTTCCAACTGCCTACGCACCTTCGGTCCCTTGTATAACCCCTTCTGATACTTCTCCGCCTCCGTTATACATGAGGTGTGCGGTTTCCATTGCGCAGGCGTGTGGAAGGATGTGCTGCAGTCGATGCAGTCGAAGCCGCCGCCGCATCGGCTGCTGTGCTGGTCGAGCTTGGGTTTCTTGACGACGTCGCCGCAGTCTGTGTATGATATTAGATGAAGGATAGGGTGAGGGAGTTGGAGGAATCGTACTATGACACCTATGTAGGGAGAAAGTTAGTAGGCGCTCGCGTCAAGGTGAGATCGGGTCGCGTACTGGAAGGACACCATGACGAAAGCTGATAGAGCGCTGTTGAGTTCTCGTGCACTCAAGTATCACTCCAAGGAGCTTAGAAGGTCGTGTCGTCCGCCGAGGATAATCTCGAGGCAGCAAAGTCGGAGGGGAGCGTGAAGGGGAATGTAGTCAAAAAACTGGATCCGCCTCCGGTCCGACCGATCCGTGGTGATCTGGGCACTTCTACACATCACTTTCCTTTCGCGGATGGAGCCCCAAACAGCATCTCAAGTGATCCATCTCCACCTATAGCCCCCAGAGATGAGATACAGTATACATTCATGAACCTAGCTTCACTACCCAGGTAGCCGGCACATCCTTCGTACCGGGGAAAAGCCTGAGCTTCACGAACTCCTCATCTTTCCCCAATCCCTTGAAGAAGATCGTGTCACCCAGAAAGTCTATCCTTCTAAGGGCCTTATCCTTGTCCCCGGCGTCGATCCGCTTCTTCGCAGCGTCCTGCACCCTCTTGCGTACCTTCTTGTCCCCGACGATCAAGCCCCACTCCGAGTCTGCCAAGGGCTCCTGCAGCGCGCTGTACAGCGCGTCCCATACCGCCTCGCACGTCACCGGCATCTGCATCACGATATCGATGGTCCAGGGGAAATCGTGCGCCACGAGCCGCAGCGTCGAGGCATGATTGGACATCGCGGGCGCCCGCGGGGTCGTGTAGTACGTCGCGGCGAGGACCTCTGAGCGTGGCTTATGGCGCAGGTCAACGCGCAGCATCGTTACGTCCTCCGCCAGCATCGGGTTCAACTCGGGGTATTTGGAAGATCGCGGGGCGGCTGGGGGAAGGTAAACTGGGGAGGGGTGTGTAAGATGGCGAGAGGACGTACGGTGTTTGCCCGCAGTGGGCGCATCGTAGGGACGTGGCCAAGCTCCTGGGCCATAATACTGTCCACCGTAGGCTGGTGGTTGGCCGGCGAATGAGGGTTGCGGGGTGGGGGCGTAGCCGCTAGTGTACGCGCTGGTCCAGGGTGGTTGAGATGCTCCCCAGCTAGCCATGGTGGTATAAGGAAAGGTGTAGGAACGTCGTTGAGCTGGCTGATGCCACCTGTTTAAGAGTGCATGGTTTGTGGCGATGAAGCGCGGCAGGCCTCCTGAACACGCGCGGTTTGGGCGCTGATGGACTCAGATAAAAGGGCGCCGACCAGTCGGGCTCGAGGCCAGAGAGACACAGCACCGTAGACATGTAGCGCATGGGGAACTTTCAGTAACTCAGAGTCAGCGTTCGTGATTTCAGCGCCTGAATTCGCCTGATTTAGGCCGCGACTGGCGATGTGTGACGGTGGTTGAGTTCAACGTCGGAACTCCGGGCCGACGTGATTGATTGAGGGGTGCACGCGTGCTTGGTCAGCACGATCAGCCTCCATCCCGTACCGCCATCATGTCGTCGTCCGAAGTCAAAGTTCCCTTCTTCAAGAAGGGAAAAGCCCGCCCCACTGCTACGCGAAGACAGCGCTCAGTATCCCCCTCGACCTCTACCGACCCGAGCGGCACTCAGGTCGTCCTCCCGCAGAAGAAAGCGGCAGGCAACCTTCTGAGCGCGGGGACGAAGCGTAAGACCCACCAACGCGACGACCTCGACAACGACGATGCTGAGAACGTGCGCGAGGGCCCCGACGTGAAGTACGCGGCTGGGGCCTCGCACAAGAACGACGCGGCTGAGATTCTGGCTGGCGACGAAATCGAGGCAGTCCTCGCGAAACGGCGGCGGAAGGAGGCTATCGACGCGGGCGAGGATGACGTGGAGATGCCCGAGGACGGCAAATATCACGGTCAGAAAGCCTACAAGAGTCACTTGCAGAAGAGCAAGGAGGTCCCGAAGGCCATGCGCCAGGGCCCGCAGCGCAGCGCGAACACGATACGACAAGTGACTATAGTGGACTATCAGCCGGACGTGTGCAAAGATTATAAAGGTGCGTTGTTGCTTGTCTTCTTGTCGCGCGGATGCTCACACGCTATACCTAGAAACTGGTTTCTGCGGCTTCGGCGACACATGCAAGTTCTTACACGACCGTGGGACGTACCTGGCCGGGTGGCAACTCGACAAGCTGGCCGAGAACCCTCAGCGGCAAGCAGGCGACGCTTCTGAGTCTGACTCAGACTCAGACGACGAAGATATCCCCTTCGCTTGCCTCATCTGCCGAAAACCGTACACCGACCCCATCGTCACCCGTTGCGGTCACTACTTCTGCTCCGCCTGTGCCATCAAGCGGTTCGCCAAAACGCCGAAGTGTCTGGCTTGCGGCTCTCCGACAGCCGGCATCTTCAACCGCGCAGACAAGGTCATCGAGAAGATGCAGAAGAAGCGCAAGGAACGCGAAGAGCGCGACAAGGACAGCGATGAGGAAGGTGGCGGAGGGGTAGAGATTGAGGGACTTGCAGAGGGGAAGGATGATGAGGGTGACTCGGACTAACCCCTTGACTATCTGTGGTGTGTAATGTCGTCAAAACGTCTACCACTGTACTCATAGTCACCTTTCAATGGTATCATTGACTACGTATGCAGCATAAATCTCTCCTAAGATGAATTCGCCGCGACTAATTCAGCAGTAAGGTTCGGCTAGAAATTCCAGCAAATTCCTTATCGTCTTGCGTCGCCGCCTGACGCTTGATGAAGCCGTTCGAGCTCTGCCATTTTTCTGAATAGAGAATGGCAAGAGATGACCGATTCCGACGGAAGCGCCCTTCTTGGTCGCCTCAACGAGAGTGCTCGCTGTCAGGAAATGGTCTTGTCCACGAACAAGGTTCGCGAGCAGCGATGCAGTCGGTATGTCTATCGTCTGTGTGGCCCGTGAAGCTTGCTAAGAGCAGGTTTGAAGTGCAGGTGAAGCATGGCATTGGCCGTTATGTCACTCGCGAGACTCAACCACCGTTTCCGCCACGATGTTTGCTGCTGTTATTCTCGGCATTAACCGCTAACTCCACGGGCAGTGGCAGCAGACGTCCCTTCGCTCGGTCATACTCTGGTATCACGGTGTCGCCTGACCTAGTCCATCCGGCGGAGGAAGGCACAGATGCGCACGTCGACCGTTGAACAAACGGCCAACGCCGAGTTGACCTGCGGCTGCAATAAGAAATGCATCGAGCGATACTTTCCCCCGTGCAAGCCGCTCAACTCGATCCCTAGCATCGGGCACGTCCTGCCACCGGTAGGGTCGACGACCACCGGCGCTAGCTCTCCCGACCCATCTCGATTTACTGCCGTGATAGGATCGACGAGCGGTCTGGCTAGAGAAGAGTACCGTCTACCAGGCCGCATCGGTATGCACGGTCGCAGCATGCGTCGGTGCGTCCAGTTGGGCTTTGTCGGATAGACTACGTTCTAACCCCCATAGCGTCCGCTATGACATCGACTACCGCATGCTACCAGGTGCTGACGCTGCGTCTGTGTCAAGACGCCTTCGCTCGTCCGGACGGTTTAGGGAGTATGGCGCGCGTTTGTATCGTGATCCTCGGTTGGCAGGAATCTTCTGGCACCTCCAACGCCAGCGATGTGGTACCCTACGCCGGCAAGTGGTGCTTCTCCCGCGGCTTGCCGTGTGGGCCGCGACGTATGATCCCACTAAAGCCCGGCTAGGCTGCGCTCTCTCTTTTTGGACCCGCGTTAGGGCTCGTGTATTGTTGAAGACGGAGACGACTTCGTGGCCGCCTTTTCAGACGTTCTGCATGTGCGCTATGCAAACGCGGGGCCGTATCGAACCCCGAGCGTGGCTGTGAGATGGATTGGATCGTTGACGCGCTGCGGATGCTCCCTCCCCGCCCTACACCAACGACGACAGTGCATCCCTTCTCTGGCTGTTTCTCGTGGGTTCTTCGTATCTACCGCTCGTGATGATGGAAAGCTTACCCGGCAGATGTCAGACAGTCGAAGGGCTCTATTACGCCTGAAAGCCACCTTCGCTTTTCTCTACGACGCAACCTATTTGGTGGGCGAGTTCTATGGAAATCGGGAGGTATATTTCCCTTGGACTCTTCCACGGTCTATATCTCCACATTTGATTGCTCCATTAACTTGACGCCTCTAGCTTGATGACGTTGAACCGCTGCCCTATTGCTCAACATTCGATGGTTGCCAAAGCTCAATAGCAGAGGCCCCCGTGCTCGTCGTCTTCCCCATACGTGTGTTTCGTGTCGGTATCTTATGGAAATAATTTGATTTGCAGCTCATATCTCCTCATGGAGAAAATGGTCAACACCCACACCTCCCGAGCACAAGCGCTGGCGGCGATCAACATTGTACATGATCACCCGCCCCCGCCCCATAGGGCGCTATAGTTTGGCGCTCCAGACCCCAGTCACTCGTAGTACGTGCGTCAGTGCGACTTTCGTCGTTCCTGGACTGCTTTCACCTTCGGCGGTGCTGACAGGAAGTGCTTTTGACGCTGGAAGAGCCGAAGACGGCGGCACTGCCTGCGGAAATCAGTCCACTGTTTCGGCGCATGTACCCGAGGCCCGTCGAGCATGGCCTGCAGGGGCGCGTCGCCCATCCGACAGTATACATGGAGGCAGTGGATATAATGCATGTGGCTGGGCAGCGACCGGCTAGTGGGGCAGACATGCATGCGTCCAGACTCAATACCCTCTGGCCAATAGCTTCCCGAGGAACGGAAACGGACAACGTTCGGCCCCGGGATCTGCATTGGTAGCGTGGATGAAGGACGGGTTGATGGAAGGAGGCGCGCGACGTATCAGGAAAGTCAAGGTTTGGATGAGTGGCCGGGCTGCTGACAGGCGCCATCATGTACGCGAGCGTATTTAAGGCGCACGTTGCAATCCGGCTCTTCTGCGTCCTTCTACCCTTTCATGCATCCCTCTCGCCCCACCTACTACTCTGTCCAGCGCCAGCACGGCGCGGGCTCGCGACACGCCTCGTCGCGCGGCCCTCATGCTTATGGCACATACACTGCTTTGTCGCCAGGCGCCCACGATGGGCTGATCGATAACTCTGGCCAAGGCAAGCTGGTGCGGTCTCTATAAGCAAGTTCCGTCCTGAATGATTTTGCAGGCTACTTCCCTCACGCCGTGCAATACAGCAACCACCCTTCTCAAGCCTCGTCTTCGCCGTCGCATTATCCTCAACCCCCGTACGGTGGTATGCAGGGCCTGTACGATGTGGACCCTCGTCCTATGGCGGCGTCTGCCCCATACCCTTCAGCGACCTCATACACGGCGCCCGACCACTACATCGGAGGGTCTTCTCTACCGGCAGGTCTTGCTATATCGGAGCCTTCGACGTCGACCATGGGAGCGGTCTCACCCGGCTCTTACAACGTCAACCCCTACGCGCCAGCTACCCCCGGGGACTTCCTACCCTCCCCGATCTCGCCGTATATGCCTCCGACCTCCTCCACGCCCTATGACTACTACTCCAGCTCCTCACCGCACCAATACTCCCCACCATCCTCCTATGAGTCCGCTCATCAGGCCCACTATCCCTATGGCATGCCGGCCACGATGTCTCATTACGACCCCGGTAGCCCTTCCGCTCTCTCGTCTGACGGCTCGTCGGCGGTACACTCCAGCCCCGAGCAACGGTCTAGCGAAGTCCGTCACCCATGCGAGCACTGCTCACGGACCTTCACGCGGCAGCACGACCGTCGGCGACACATCGAGAGCGTTCATAAGAACCAGACTGTCCAATGCGACAAGTGTCTCCGTACTTTCACCAGGTACGCCTCACCCTCTTCGCGCCTAACCCTCCGCTGATGTCCACGGTATAGGCTCGACTCGTGCCAGCGGCATACCGACTCTGGCAACTGCACGCCGGCGCCGCGCAGGGTGCGGAAACGCACCTGACGCCCTTCCCTAGTCTCCGTCTCTCATTTATCAACTCTCATCACATCGATTGTCGTGTATTCTGCTTGTCCTCTCCGTCTCTGACCATAATTGTCTATATTGCGCGACTCGTTGTTTAGTGCCAGGTCTGCATTCCGGTTACCATCTTCTTCGTATAAATCCGACACCAGGTTCCCACCACTCCTACGTGTTCCAGACTTTCTGTCACCTCCGTTGACCCGTGTATCTCCCGTCATCACTGCTTTCCCTGTTTTACTAGCTCTTCTACCTATCCTTGGTTAACTTCCGGCTCGGGAAATGAGCGGGTGCTCTCCTACCGATGTCCGTTCATGTACGCGCCCATCGCACTTAGCTGCTAAAGTGTATCGGCTTTAGCAATCTGTATACTCTAGTATTGACAGTTCTGATCTCGATTCGCCTTTGCGATGGGCGGTAGTTAGGTAAGGCCTCGTTCGAGCGTCTGATCCGTCTGGGCGGAGCCGAGGATAACGGGCGCGCGCTGTGGACGTCGTCCACTCTACTGGCCATCTCCCGAGGACTTGAAAGCGGAGGTCAAATAAGGCAAGGTTACACGGGTATATACAGATCAGCGGACCTTCCCGTGAAGGCGACAGAAGTTCAGGCGCCCTATCACGATCGTTCGCACCGCCCCGAGGGCGTGAAGTCAATGGCCGCTGTCGGGAAAAATGGTGCAAGAAGCCCGTTCGCCTCACACACACTGCAACTCAACGGGCCGTACACGTGTAAAACGCGTGAAAGGTAATCTGCTATGAACATCACGTACCCGCTAGTGAATGGCCCTACCAGATGCGAGGGCGGACGTTCCCCTTCGTACGCTTCTGAACTGCCACCGCTACCATCGATAGGAAGCGAACCCAAGGGTGAGGAGGTGACGGACCAGTACGATGGGTATCAGTCGAGGCTAGTTCATCCTTACGAGACGGCGACGGCAAGCGCTGCAAAAAGGCGCTGGCGCGGAGAGTGGCGAGGATTGGCAGTGTCGGTGGAATTTGGGGCAAATACGCGGCCGTAAATGCCGCTTCTCTAGGATGTTCTATGCCACGAGATGCACGCATCAAGATTAGGGTCTCGAGGGTCTAGAGAGAGCCAAAGACGGCGCCACATTCGACCCCAAGAGGACTTGAACTTTGCAGCGCGTTTCATCGGTCGAACGCTTGACGATGCGATCCCACAAACGACTTTGCGATCAACACAGTCCAAGTCTCTCGCCTGTGGTACTGAAAATCACCGACCGAATCGACCTTCTAGGTCAAATAGTCTCGAGTGCCCACCGCGACTCAACGCAATGGGAGCTGTTGGCGTCGACCAGGGACCGGATCGGACGGTGGCGGGGAGTATGGGTAGGCGAATATTTGTGGGCGGCGTGTACGCCTATGTCGGACCTCGTTCGATGCCGAGAGCACTAGAGATGTGAGACGAGAGGGCAGGATAGTTCATGTGGACATGTCAAGCGCAGTTGGCCGTCTTTCCACGGTGTGGCATGGACACGGGGGTTTGAGCGCATGCCGACAGTGTTCCCTCACTCACCGGGGCGTGCCACGCAGATTGTATGCACGGTCTAGTACAGTGATCATGGAAATAGCCACGAAGCCTCAAGGTCCTCTTCAATGGGCGCGCCCATGCCCATCGATGGTCGCAAGTTCACCGCCAGATCCCGGGCTCCTGCGTGCGGCATCATCAATACTGAATATCGTTAGGTCGGCCACGCCCAACGAGACGCCAATACTGACGGAGAAGACATGGCGAACGGTGACAGAACGGGAAGAGAGCATACAGGCACGAAGGACAATGTGAAGTGGGGATACATCGGAGGCACGGCGAGTACGCGATTCGCGGAGGTAGCCTCACGGCTGTGTAGCTTCTTGCTGTATTGGCTGATCCGGAAGCAGAAACAGACGACAGATCCGGTCAAGGGGCGAGGCTTCAGCACATCGTGGACGGCGTATACTTCATTGGCCCGCGATGGTCCCTGGTCGAGGTACTCCTTCCGTGGAGGCTTTCTCTGCCACAGAGGCAGTGCGAGGGGCAGGGCGATGGGTTTGCATCAGATAACACAGGCGAGGGAGTCTAAGGCTGCAGCATCGCAGAATCATGTCCTCCCGTTCTGCCATTCCTGCCATTCGAAGAAATTGTAGCCGGAAGATCGAAGGCCTGAATGTCAGAGGCGCACATAGACGATACTTGTTCGTACCAATCACAAATCGGTCTAGGAGTGCCACTGCGCTATTTGAAGCCATCGTCCAGGGCGTGATTTCAAGGTTGACAGATAGTATCTGTTGCTGGCAGACATTCCTACGATGAATGTGGGTTGCGAATACGAGTGCACGCGAAAGCTGAGGTACAAGAGCGAGCGCGGAAGCAAACCGTCCCATCAGATCACGGCGAATGCCGAAATGGCTCACATCATCACGTGCACAAATGTTGAGAAACGTGACCCCCCTCTAAATTGCGCGCACGGCAATTCAGCACGTTAGGATGGTGCGATTGGGTAATTTGGGTTGCATTCTGCGGGCTCAAAGATCTTCATCTGTTTTTGACGTTCATTCTCATTTTTCCCAAACTCGACGTCGATATTCATTAATGCCACTAAGTACTCCTTAAGTCTACTTTCAGTACTTTGAAGAGCTCGTCTTACTGCCCTAGCTGGTGTTCCTCATGCAGTCCTCAAGTTGTCTCAGTACACTGAGCTGAACCTTCAAATGAGGACCGCAAGACACAGCACCATTACCTTTCCAACTGCTTGCGAGCTTTCCTCTTGAGGTCACGCCATTGTCTGGGCAGGACGGCAATGGTCGGCCACGGCAAATGAGGCTCGTCATGGAAGGGTTCGGTGCAAACGGCCTTGTAAATAAGATATCGGAGGGCCGCGCCCGACAAAATTGAGTCTACGATCGCTCCACCATATCGGGAGTCAGGATTGCACGCGAGACGGTGCCGCTGCGATACCCGCGAACGGTGTCACGGCTGGCGTACATTTTCTCTGTCCGAGGACCCGCCGCCTCAGACACGCCAGGCGTGCGTGCCCAATCCCATTGCCGATGACGACTTCGGGAGGCAACATCCATGGACCGACGTGGGGGTAGTACATTTCGGTCATTCGAGGATGCCACCCCGGAGGCGGCTGGCCGACCAGCGAAGTACCGTCTTCGCGCAGCGCGGCGAACTGTTCACTGCTCTATGGACGAGCATCGTGGGGCGGCGTCGACGCAGAAGGGCTACATTGCGGGCATAGGCACATAGATTGGGCATAGTATCAACTTCATAGGATGCATCTGAGAACCATCAGTATCCAGCCCTCCGAATCCAGATAGATGAGCAACTCACAAAGCACGTTTTCAGGAGAATGCGTCGACGCGACCTCTCCAAGGTTAAGCGTCATCTTCGCGAGAGCGCTTCGCCCCCGAGGAAAGCGCAGGTGTCATGACTGGGGGCGCTGCCACGCCCGTGACGCCGACGACCAAGCCCTTGAGCCAGCCGTTCTCGCGGCGAAGGCCCTCGCACTCGCGCTCCAGCTCGGTAACGCGGGCCTCCAACTCCTTTGCCTTGCTCTCCAAAGCGACCTCGCGCTCCTTCTTCTTCTGCCTGAAACGCGCGGATGCCGCGGTGTTCCTCTTGCGCTTATCCTCTGTAGCGGAGAGCGGCGTTGTGAGGTCCGGCGTGGGCGTGGACGCCTCAACTGACGCGCGGCGCGTACGCTGACGCTTCACTGGAGGTTCTGGCGCAGGGGTCGGCGCAGGTGCGGGAGGCAAGGGAGTGGATGGGCCCATGGAGGGGGCGAGACCATGAAGGGCGAGGAATTGGGAAATCGAAGCGGCCTGCTGGGCAGACGCAGGGGGCGGCGCATACTGCTGCTGCGGCAAAGGCTGGGGAGGAGGGACAGGGGGATACTGCTGGAAAGGGAAGCTGGCGAGGAGCGCGTTCAGATCGAATTGCGACTGAAGCTGATAGCGGGAAACATTCGAGCCGATGTCGGTGCCCGTCACGACGTTGGAGTGACCGTCGCGCAGAGCAGCGGTAGCAGCGTCCACGCCGTGCAGCTCGGTCTCGTCGGAGTCCGAGCCATCTTTTTCGACATGCTGAAGCTTGTCAAGGACGGGGCTGTCGACATTCTGGAAAGCGAGATTTGTCCAGAGATCGAGCTGGGCAGAGAGATCGGGGACGTTGAGCAGATCCTGGTCCGCCGCAGAGGGCGGCGTGTGGATCTCGTTGAGGCCAGCTAGATGGGAGGGCATAATAACACGCTGCGAATGAGGTGATCAAGGCGAGGTGGTGGTGGAAGGATGGTGGAAAGGATGACGGGACGGCGGCTCATCTGTGCGGCCCCTGGCCCCCTTTACATATGGACAGTCGGGTAAGAACGCAAATAGCGCCCGTGGCTGACTAAAGCCTTCTAAGGCCGGTATTGATTCAGATTAGGGGCATGCGCTGCTGCGATCCACGCTGATGTTGAATTGGCGTTAAGATCCACGTCCGCTTCAAGGACACCGGAGTCAGCGCCCAGTCAGCATTGCCTGAAACAGCAAGGGCGTCCGTCTTCAGGCGCAAAAGCGTCTCTAAACTACAGTCCGAACAGTTCGACTGTGCTGTGGGGACGCTGGAGAATCGGAAGAGCCTGGGCTGCATGCGCAGACGATACCAGGTGGGGATGGACGAGTATACAGCGTCGATCTCCGAATGATCTGTAAGCTGTGCCAAGGGATTATCCAGTCCGAGCTCGCGCAGCGGTCCCGGGCAGCCACGTTCCCTTCGTCTACAGATACCAGGACCATCACAAGGGCAAGCACACACCCTTCCTGAGCCAGCAAGCATGAGAAGACGGGTATACACGTAGTCTGGGAGGCTGGCAATCATGATAACTGTTATTGCCCGGGCTCTCACGTTCGTCCCGTTGTATGAGCGACGACACGTTTATACCCTGGCCCATCGGCATCTCGTCGTACGTTCGTCCGTTGCTTGCGGAAGGGGTCGCTGTCGATAAAAGAGTGAAAGCACAAGGGGACCGAGGTTGTCGAGGATCGGCCATGTGAAGACATTGTTGACCAAAAAGGAAATCCACGCGGATGGTTCGTGTTCGAACCTCCACTTTCCTCGGAAAACATACACACTGCGCGTTCATACCATGTCGTACTACTCGGAAGGGAGGGAGACAGGCGCCTGAGAGAGATAATGTGGCTATCAGCGAACATGACACGCAGTTTGTCGTCATAGTAATTCTGGCACGAACACTTCAAGGAATTTAGTGAGATGCTTAGACTACACTCGCGCAGAGAGGAGGTCCGTAGGCCTACCTTCGTCGAGCGATAAAGCCAGTTGTTCGAGCTTTCTAAGAGGTGGGGAACTGAGATTAACCCAAGGGCTTTCCTCATTACTGCGAGGAGAAAGCTCGAGCGATACACGCTTTAACGCTATCCCACAAACTAGTAAATCGAGTGGGAGATGTTGCTAGATTGTCAAGGAGCTACGTGACACTGCAGACCAGGCAACTCGTACCGTGGCATGGCGTGGACGAACGCACAGGTGGTATACCCTAGGGTTATTCATTGCCAGCGTGAGGCGTGCGCACCCTAATCCTTCAGAAATTGCTCCGAAATTTGATCATGACATACGGTGGGCGACAAAAGGAGACAAAGGGTGCAAGACAGTGTCGCTTGTTCTGCATAGAAGTCGGAAGGGGTAGAATGCGGCGAGTGTCTCTTGGGCGCAAGCGAGTTCATGAAGGGGTAGTGCGTCCAGAAGCGCGGTGTGTTTTGCGCGTCAGCCCGCCAAGCACCGCAGACGCAGGGCACAGCTTGCCAGAGTTCCACGACAAGACGTGGGAGTTCCATTTGAGAAGAGACACTCTTGAAGGTGCGAGCGTTCCCCTAGGATCTGCGAAAGGACTTCGTTCGAGATCTCGTCAATTACCAACGCGTGCATGAGCAAGAGTGTCGAGGCGTCGCGATATTTCACACTGCTGTCACTGTAGACCATAGCGCATTCTTGTCTCGATGTAATGATGAACTTGGCGCGTACATAATCTTCGAGCAGATGGAAGGAGGAACCAAGGTGGACGTTTGTAGGCGTTTGGGCGCTTAGACCGATCACGCGTCATTGCTTTTTTCGTCAACATCCACGAACGCGTCGGCCCTTCCCCTTGCTCGTCGTCGTCGTCGTTGCTGTCGCCGCCGCCCGCCATCACCAGAAAGACGGTGCTGCTCGCCGCGGATACCGGTTGTCTCAGGTAAAATGCATCTGTACAATCTCACTCTGCAACCGCCAACGGCCGCTGTTCAAGCTGTTGTTGGCAACTTCTCGGGCGCGCGCACCCAAGAAATTGTAATCTGCCATGGCCCGCGGCTGGAACTCCTACGCCCCGATGTGCAAACCGGAAAGTTGACGACAGTCATTGCGACGGATGTGTTTGGCTCCATTCGCTCGATAGCCGCGTTCAGATTGACGGGAGGAACCAAGGGTGAGCACTTCGCGTGCATGTTCACTGTCCTCGTATTCACGCCCCCCTCAGATCATCTCATCCTAGGCTCAGACTCCGGTCGCATTGTTATCCTGGACTACGACCCAAAGTCGACGAGCTTCGTGAAGTTGCACCAGGAAACGTACGGCAAGTCTGGCGCGCGTCGAATAGTCCCTGGACAGTATCTCGCGACAGATCCAAAGGGACGAGCGGTGATGATCGGCGCAATGGAAAAGTCAAAATTGGTCTATATCCTGAACCGAGACGCGGCGGCGAACTTGACGATCTCTTCCCCCCTCGAAGCGCATAAGAACAGCGCGATCATCCACCATATAGTCGGTGTTGACGTCGGCTTCGAGAACCCCATTTTCGCCGCGCTCGAGGTAGACTACTCGGAGTCGGACCAGGACCCCACAGGGGAGGCTTTCAACAATGCGGCGAAGGTGCGCCCGAACTTCCTGATGAGTGGCGTACGCGCGCTTATACTTCCTCAGATGTTGACATACTATGAACTCGATCTAGGATTGAACCACGTCGTCCGCAAATGGAGCGAGCCAACCGACCCTCGTGCAAACCTCCTTGTACAAGTTCCTGGCGGTCAACTGGCTTCCTCTGATCGCTTCGATGGTCCATCCGGCGTACTCATCTGCTGCGAGGACCATATAATTTATCGGCATATGGACGCCCCCCAACACCGCGTACCAATTCCGCGTCGAAAGCATCCTTTGGAGGACCCGGAGCGTGGCATCATCATCGTCGCGGCGGTTATGCACAAGATGAAGGTGAGTTTGCGTGCGTATATCATGTCAATTCTTACTGATGCAATACACCAGGGCGCCTTCTTCTTCCTACTTCAAAGCGAGGACGGTGACCTCTTCAAGGTTACAATCGAGCACGAAGACGAGGACGTGAAAGAGGTCAAGATCAAGTACTTCGACACCGTCCCTGTTGCGAGCGCCCTCTGTATACTGAAGTCCGGCTTCCTCTTCGTCGCTTCTGAATTCGGGAACCAGTCAGTCCCCAACTTATCTTTGTTCTCGGGCTAACCATACTACAGTTACTTGTACCAGTTCCAGAAGCTCGGTGACGACGATGACGAGCCCGAGTTCAGTTCCTCTTCCTATCCTCAATTCGGCATGGCCGACTCGTCTATGCCTCTCCCCCACGTCCATTTTAAACCACATCCTCTGGACAACCTTGCCCTTGCAGACGAGGTCGAGTCGCTGGACCCTATCATCGACTCAAAAGTCTTGAACCTCATGCCGAACTCTGACACGCCCCAAATCTTTGCCGCTTGCGGACGGGGACCAAGAAGTTCTCTGCGCACCTTGCGACATGGTCTTGAGGTTGAGGAGAGCGTAAGCTCCGATTTGCCCGGTATACCGAACGCGGTGTGGACAACGAAGAAAAAGGAAGATGGTAAGTATTCGTTCGCTCAAATCATTCGTACTATGCTGACATTCCCTAGACGCCTTCGATTCGTACATCATCCTGTCCTTCGTCAACGGCACCCTTGTTCTTTCCATCGGCGAGACCATCGAGGAAGTACAAGATACCGGTTTCTTGTCATCCGCGCCGACCCTCGCAGTTCAACAAATCGGTGCGGACGCTCTGCTTCAGGTCCACCCTCAGGGCATCCGGCACGTCTTGTCCGATCGACGAGTCAACGAGTGGAGGGTGCCCCAGGGTAAGAGCATCGTGCAGGCGACGACGAACAAACGTCAGGTCGTCGTTGCATTGAGCTCGGCGGAGTTGGTCTACTTTGAGCTCGACCTCGATGGTCAGCTGAACGAGTATCAGGACCGGAAGGCAATGGGCAGCACGGTGCTCGCGCTCAGCATTGGCGAAGTGCCAGAAGGGCGGCAGCGGACACCATTCTTGGTCGGTTATCTGATCTTGTCAGATGCGGACCTTTCTGACAAGCATTGGTAGGCTGTCGGCTGCGAGGACCAAACCGTCCGTATCATCTCGCTGGACCCGGAGAGCACGCTGGACACTATCTCATTGCAAGCACTCACTGCACCACCATCGTCCATCTGTATAGCAGAAATGCTTGACGCCGCCATCAACAAGACGCACCCGACGATGTTCGTCAACATCGGCTTGCAGAATGGCGTGCTCCTGCGCACCGTCCTCGACCCGATGACCGGCCAGCTCACCGACACCCGCACGCGCTTCCTCGGTACTCGCCCTGTCAAGCTCGTCCGCGTCGCCATCCAGCGAAATCCCGCGATTATGGCGCTCAGCTCGCGCAGCTGGCTCAACTACACGCACCAGAACATGGTGCACTTCACGCCGCTCATCTTCGAGAACCTCGACTTTGCATGGAGCTTCAGCGCCGAGTTGAGTCCGGAGGGGTTGATCGGGATTACGGGCAGCGTGTTGAGGTGAGTGTTTTTCCCGCATTCATTCAAAGATGAGACCAAGGGAACGTAAAGTCCACGGACTTGACGAAACTTCTATTCAATTGATCCTACTGAGCTTCACTTGCACTCGCACACTCGAAACCAAATGCTAACACCCATCCCAGAATCTTCCAAATCCCCAAGCTGGGCGTCAAGCTCAAGCAGGACTCCCTCCCTCTCTCGTACACCCCCCGCAAATTCATCACCCACCCCAACAACCACTACTTCTACATGATCGAGAGCGATCACCGCGTATACGGCGACGAGACCGCGCGCGAGAAGATCCTCGACCAGATGTCGCGAGGCAAGGCCGTCGACGAGGATGTGGTGAACCTGCCCGTGACCGAGTTCGGGCGCGTCAAGGCGCCGGCGGGGACGTGGGGGTCGTGCATACGCATTATCGACCCGACGCAGAACAGCACTGTAGCGGTCATTCCGCTAGACAACAACGAGGCGGCGTTCTCGATTGCGGTCGTGCCGTTTTCGGCGCGGAATGGGGAGTTGTTCTTGGTGGTGGGGACGGCGGCGAATACGAGAGTTTCGCCGAGGACGTGTAGTAGCGGGTACTTGCGAACGTACCAGTTTACGAACGACGGCGCTGGGCTGGAGTTGCATCATAAGGTATTGACATGGCTTCTATAGCGAGTATAATTGTGCTCACCTATTACAGACGGAGACGGACGATGTGCCCTTGGCACTTCTGGCTTTCCAGGGTCGGCTAGCGGCTGGTGTGGGCAAGGCGTTGAGAATATACGACATCGGCAAGAAGAAGCTGCTTCGTAAGGCTGAGAACAAGGTAAGCAGGTCCTCTCAGACAGCAAGTCTATCACTAACGTGCTCCAGGGCTTTGGTACCACGATCGTCACCCTCAACACGCAAGGCTCGCGCATCATCGCCGGTGATATGCAAGAATCGCTCTTCTACGCCGTTTACAAGGCGCCAGAAAACAGGTTGCTGGTCTTCGCCGACGACTCGCAGCCAAGGTGGATATCGGCCGCAACGATGGTCGACTACTACACCGTTGCTGCTGGCGATCGCTTCGGAAACGTCTTCGTTAACCGCCTCGACTACAAGGTCTCCGAGCAGGTCGACGATGACCCTACTGGCGCCGGGATTCTGCACGAGAAGGGCATTCTGATGGGTGCGCCGCACAAGACCAAGCTGCTTTGCCACTTCCACGTCGGCGACCTCATCACGTCCATCCACAAGGTTGCCCTTGTCGCCGGTGGACGGGAGGTGCTCTTATACACCGGCTTGCACGGTACGATCGGCATGCTGGTGCCGTTTGTATCGAAGGAGGACGTTGACTTCATCAGCACCCTCGAGCAGCACATGCGCTCAGAGCAGAGCAGTCTTGTCGGTCGTGACCACCTGAGCTGGAGAGGATACTATGTGCCAGTGAAGGCAGTTGTGGACGGCGACTTGTGCGAGACGTTTGCGAAGCTTCCGGCGTCGAAGCAGAGCGCCATCGCCAACGAGCTCGACCGGACGGTGGGCGAGGTGCTCAAAAAGCTGGACTCGTTGCGGACGACGACGTCTGGATTCTGATTTGTGGTCTCGTGGACGTTAGCGCTTGTATTCACCTGCTTGGTCCCTACTTTACGTGTTACTCATGGTCAGCATACCTCATAGTGTACTTCTACAGAATGAACAGCTAAGCCTTTGGAGCTGTAATACTCTGGACAGGCGCGAAGACATGTGAAGGCTCCTGGTCTGCTGCGAGCGATGGCGGTGAATCGACTGACATCATTGGCAATCTCCGACATAGAAAAGCGCGGAAGCTTGGACTCTTTCCCTCCCGCCATTACCCATGCAGTCGTTGGCAGCGCGCACGATATTGCGCTCTCCCGTCGCTCTCACGATCCCCAGGACCTTCTGCAGGTCGCTGGTGACGTTGAAAAGCGTCAAGGTGCGCGACGGTGTCTGTCCCGCAATAGCAGATCGTGACTAACGCGCGTCGCTTGCGCGCAGTACACGGCGTCCTCCCTTGCTACCGGAGCGGGGCGTAATGGACAGGTCAAGTCCGGTGACCTTAGCCTGAAGCTGGCAATGCCGAAGGAGCTCGGCGGCGCGGGCGACGGTGCGAACCCGGAGCAGCTCTTTGGTGCGTAACATCCGCGGAGTCTTTCGATCTGCTTGGCTGAGACGTACGCGTCCAGGTATGGGCTACGCGGCGTGCTTCCTGTCCGCGCTTGGTGCTGTTGCACGCCAGCAGGGGAAGACGGACGCCATCAAGAACGCGTCCGTCGCCGTCGATGTCTCGATCGGCGAGCCCAGCGACAAGCCCGGGTTCGGGCTAGCCGTGGATCTGAAGGTCTCGGGTGCGGACGATGCCCTGATCAAGGCAGCGCATGAGGTGGGGCGCTTTGCAATCCCATTGGAGTGGTGGCGGGCTAACTCACTTTGCTTTAGATGTGTCCCTACAGCCGTGCGCTCTCTGAGGGTGTCGTCGTGAACGTATCCAAGGCATGAGAAGAGTTATACCACCTGAGCAGTAAGCTTCTGTATTACCATGTTGTACCTCTATGACTATGCGCATCAGCATATCTTCGTGTTCCTCCGTATCCTCTGCCTGAATTTCGGACCCCCAAACAAGGCAAGATTACATCCTGACGTCACGGCTAACGTTGTGGGCGCTTGCTCGTTGCCCTCGTCCATCCCTCCATCACGATACACGGACTTTACGGTCGGCGGTGTGCTCGGCTTCGTCATGATACGAACAGTACTCGCTGCGACCGGGGCTTATGACGACAGAAAGCCTTCATAGTCTACTGGCTTGCGAGTGCTTTAAAGGGCAAACGTGTACCCCACGCCACCTTTCCACTTTCTTGACTGCTACACTCAGCCACGCAACACAACCATGCTATCGAGGCTTGCGCTCCGTCAGACCCTCTCCCGCTCCCTACTTGCATCTGCGCGGGCGCCTAAGTCGAGAGGAATCGTAACTCTATCACCTAATGTCCTGGTGCGTGTTCGCAGCCATGTCTTCTCCATCATCTGACAGCAACTTCCTCTTCTCAGTACCTTTCATCTGCAGTAGCCGATCAGCCTGGACGCGCAGGCACCGCGAAGTCGCTCACCGACCAGCCTCTCGAGCTCAAGTTCGCCCGCCCGAAGACCATTGGCGGCAAGGGGAATGGGGTGCGTGCAGTCCCTCCCCTCGTCCCTTACCGACCCTCCGCCACCGACGCGACACCTGACACCTGCCTCTCCACCGGTGCCTCCAGCGCTGACATCACCCCCAGCAAACCCCCGAGCAGCTCCTGGCGATGGCCCTGTCGACGTCCTTCCTCGACGCGATGAACCTGGCCGCCAGCAAGCAGGGCAAGAACGGCATTACCGCGAATGCGAGGGTGCACGCGGCGGCGTTCCTGGGCCACCCGGAGAAAGGGCGCGAGGGGTTCGGCCTCTCGACGAGTATCGTGGTGGAGAACGTGGAGGATGACGAGCTGATACTCGCGGCGCGGGAGGTGAGTCAGAGCTTGCACTGCTGTGTACGAGATAGTCTTGTTTCGTTGGGGCTTTTTGGCAGATGGCGTGCGGGCGGGACGTTTGCTGATTATTTGGACAGTTATGCCCCTTCACGCGCGCCCTGACCGAAGGCATCGAGGTCAAGGTCATGAAGAGAGCAACGCCTTCGGAAGGTGAAGCTGAAGCCTCGGAGTGAATGTTAGTAAGGCGCCTCGGAGACTCACTGTCGGCGCTGTATACCCCAAGTACCTTACCATGGACTGGATGGCTGTCCCTGTACCCTACTATCTATAGTGATCTCTACTATCTAGCCGCAGATTATCTATCTGGAATACCTTCGCCTACTAGCGCCTTCGGCCTGTTTAGGATGCAAGAGAGTTCATAACCGCGAAGCTCGTTGGCGGCGCGCGTTATCCACGCGTTATGAGTTGCCTCCGAATGATGTTCGACATCATCGATGCGAGTGGCGCGCTCTATGTCCGCGAACATACTTCCCAGCGAACGCGCTACGCGCCCACCTTCCTAAAGTCACCGAACGTGGGGTGAGACAAGGGCTATGGGGTGGGAGGACTGCGGGGTGGCGAGGACGACCATCGACGTCAGTACGATCTGCAGCGCACCCGCACCCATCCTGTGCTGAACTCTACTTACTGACATGTACTCATAATCTCGGAGAATTCAGCACTACCTCCCTCCTCGACCATATGTCGGCCCTGCGATTGTCCATGGAGCAATATGATCTTAGTTGATATGCTATGCTACAATTGTACCACCTTCACATACCCTCCACTGGATCCGAAAGCAATTCTTCCCAACACCTCATCATAATCCAACGACGTCCAATCATTCGATGGGTTCTGCAACAGCACCCTTCCGTGTCGCGTCAGAGGCGTCCCCTCCACCCCCGGCAACCCCATACCCCCCTTCATCCCATCCCCATCCTCCCACCCCTCCCCCCTCAGCGGCCCCTCAAATGCGCCCGCCATCATCGCCTCATGCGAATTCAGCGACGGCACGTTATTCTGCATCGACCGCCCGTCGTCGTTCCCAAACATCAGCCCCGCGCTCGCGTAGTCCGGCGGCTGCACCCACACCGCGGTCCCGCACGGGCCCATGACGAGGTCCGTGCAGCGCAGCGCGCCCCGCGAGGAGTGGAAGCGCTCGGTGTGGACGGGCGGGAAGAGGAAGGGTGCGGGTGAGGGCGGGCGCGCGGGGTAGTTGTGCACGGCGGGGATGCGGGGCGCTGAGTGGGGAGCGATGGTTTGGGTGGGCGAAGTGGGTGATTGGGAGGAAGGTGGTTCGGCGGGAGGTGATTCGGCTAGAGGTAATTCGGTGTCAGGCGATTGGGTCGCGCCTTGAGTTGCAGGGTTTTGAGCGGGCGCGCTTGGGGTAGGCGAAGCCAGTCGCGCGGACGCAGATCCGGGGTATGGTGCCGTGGGGTATGTTACAGAGTAGTCGCCTCCTTCGTCGTCTGACTCTGCGGCGGCAGGGTTAGGCGATATCGTGTAGAGATCCAGTCCATGGGCGTCCGTCGTCCAGGGATCGTCGCATTCGGAGCGAATGAGGATGGAGAGTGGGTGAGCTGTCACGCCGCGGCGGCGGAAGGTTTGTACGGCGACACCGTCTACCCAGCCAAAGGAATGACTGGCGTATGGCCGGTACGTGAGAGGTTCTTTGTCGCGGGGACGAAGCTCAGGGGCTGGAAAGAGGTGGATAGAGCGTGCTCGGACGACTAGAATACTACGTCTTGCGAGTTCGACCAGTACACCGTTGTCGTGCTATTGGAAACCAACTCAGTGATCTGCAACCTGGTTCGGGAAGAAACACGCACCGTCAACAAGCTATCTTCCTCGTGTGGCTGCTCGAGTGTAGCGTATACACCCAGCTTCCAGTTGAGTATGATTGTCGATGTAAGATCGTCGCTTAAAGCGAGGATGTCTCCATCAAGCAATGTCGGCCTGAAGTTAGTCTCAAGCGGGTCAGCCAGTACTTCCTCCAGACGCGCATCTTCGCCCTCCTCACTCAGTCTCAACAATTGCACAACCTGACGGCTGAAAAAACACGCGCACTCAGCCATCTGCACGCGCGCATTGTAAGAAAATCGCGTACGGACTCGTCTTGTTGAAACCTCAGCGACAGCGCCACGGCCGCGTATGCGCATCCGGGCTTCCTATTCACCGCAAAGCCGTCGATCAACGCGCGTCGCGGGGACCATTCGCACGCCTTGCGCAAGCCCGTGCGCGCGTCGACGCGCCAGAGTGTCGCGATCGACCATATGCCCTTCGAGATGGTGAGCAGCCAGCGGCCGTCATAGCCGGGGAGAAAGCGGACGGCGGAGGGCGCGGTACCCGTGCCCATCTGAACGCTGCCGATCATGCGAGGATTGAAAGTGTTGGTGCGCCAGCGCGTCGCCAGGCCGTGCGCGCGGCGCACTAGGTGCTCTAGGTCGTGCGGGGGGAGGTTTTCGAGGGAGACATCGGGGAATGGGTAGCCAGGTGTGAGGATTTCAGAAATGCAGAAGTCGGTCCAGACTATCCGCAGGCAACTAGCGAGGTAAAACCTTCGGCACGTCTGTGCGGGGGAGGATGGGGAATCAGTGAATTGTGCATGTGCGCCAGCTTACGACCTTCCGTGCCAAGAACATTACCTGGCGTAGTGCGAGGATTTCTGGGATTTGGAGGAAGGAGAATATCTTGAGGACCACATCGTCGTCGAGGTCAATGAGTGACATGAGTTGAGGGTGCAGAGAACAATGGCGGCGGGCTTTGCTGATGTTTGGTGTTTGACGTCAGATCCGACGATCAGCAATCAAGTTGAACCTTCACGTGATCGATCTCTCGGACAACATGGAAAAGGCAACCTCTCCTCAACGTGCTCACGTCTAGACCCTTAACCCGACGGAAAAGATACCGAAGGACGCAAATTTTGGCTTCAAAGTTGTAGCAGACAACGTCCCCCATACCAGTAAGCATTTTCCTCACCGAACTTCCACTTCACGGTTAGCCCTCCGTCGCGTTGTTGCCTCCGCGCTATCTCCGTCTCGATGGAAAGTCTGATTTTCGGAGGTTGGCTCGGGATGGAAGGGTTTATGGACCGTTAAATCCGCTAACGGACGGGGCAGTATCCGATCGACCGGAGGCAAAATGTACCTCTGTTCCTGAAGATGAAAGGCCTCCACAACAGGCGAGGTGGGCGAGGGGAAATCGCTCTGCCACCCCGCCCTTCCCCGCTCAAATCTCTCCTTACGCTCCCCCAGCTTTCGTACGAGCTTTTTCTGGGATTCGTATCATGCTACGGCACGTAGATGGCGGCGTGATACGAAAAGGTCGGATTGTACTGCTTACTGAATCCTCGTTGAGTACGATCGAACCCAGATGAGCTGCCTGCAATTTTACGCCCTCGGCGTAGCTAGAAGTTCAAGTTCGCCTCCCTGCAGCACGGCTCTCCGCTCGCTTCAACACAAGCATATGTGCCGTGCGGCTTAAACTTGACACTCAAACCGTGAGGTCGGCCAATGGATGAGCGCGACGTTCCTGGCAGCAGGTGGTCGCGGAGCCAGCGCAGGGCGGGAATCTTCTGCGGCTTCTGAGGACTTCTGCGTCCTGCCCCGGCTGGGGCGCCGCACTGTTACGGCAACGCGCCCCACGGCGCAGGTGGGGTGAGCGCCGGGGCTCGGGTCCAGCGTACGCGCGGTGCGTTTGACACGGGGCATGCCGACTGGGGCCGATATCAGCGAGCGAGCTGATCCGAGGCTTGAGAGCGTCGAGGTGGGATGAAGGGGAGATGAGCGCCCCGTGGACGGGCGGCGTGCACATATCGGTGTCATCTGTGCGTTCTGTGCGCGAGGGGAGCCCGCTTCTAGCAGGCGGACAGAAAAGAACATGGGACAGCGGGGCAGATGGGGCAGATGGCGGGCAGTCGAGACGACGAGTTCCGGGGGGCCCAGGCCGGCAATCATCCCATCAGAGCAGCATCAATTCGCACTCTCCCGCAGACAGAGTCGGGATTGGAAATCCGCTGACGTCAGATGGGGGCGCCAGCTTTTCCTTAAAAGTCACAAATCGGCGCACTCCCCCTCCTCCCCCAACCGGACCCTGCAGACGACATGGCGGACGACAAGAAGCAAGCCGCGTTCGAGACCCCAGAGACCGGCTCAAAGCACTCCGACGGCGAGGACGACACCGGCCTCGTCGCACCCAAGTCCGTCAGCTACGCCAAGCCCCGCCCAGACGGGAAGATCGAGCTCAAGGATGAAGATGTCTGGGACAAGTTAGGATACACCTGGTCGCCCTTCAAGAAGTGGGGCATCCTCTGGTACGTTCCCCGCCTTTCCTCGCCGGCGATTTACTCACCTCCCCCAGTGTGATCTTTGCCGTCCAAGTATCCATGAACCTCAACGCATCCCTCTACGCCAACGCCGTCGGGCGGCTGTCGGAGGAGTTCAACATCTCCGAGCAGGCTGCTCGCGTCGGCCAGATGATCTTTCTCGTCGCATACGCGTTTGGCTGCGAGCTGTGGGCGCCCTGGAGCGAGGAGCTCGGCCGGTAAGTGTGCCAAGGCACCGTCTATTGTGACCGGATCGGGCTGACAGCGGACCCTATAGCTGGCCCATCCTCCAGGCCTCGTTACTACTCGTCAACAGTGCGTTGCCCCCGCCTCGATAATTTCTTATGTCCGCTGACGCCAAGCCCTCCCCTCAGTCTGGCAGATCCCGTGCGCACTCGCGCCCAATTTCGGCACGATCGTCGTATGTCGATTCCTTGGCGGTCTCTCCTCTGCAGGAGGATCAGTCACCCTCGGAATGGTATGTTGGCCGATCAATCATTAGTCTATTGCCCCCGCTCACCGATGATCACCAGGTCGCGGACATGTGGGAACAGCACAACCAGCAGTATGCGGTCGCGTTCATCGTTCTCTCGTCCGTCGGTGGCTCTGCGGTCGGTCCCATTATCGGTGGTTTCATCTCAACCTACTGCAACTGGCACTGGAACGTAAGTCCTTATTCGTGGCTCGCATATAAGCACCTTGCTAACGCCTGTCGCAGTTCTGGATCCAACTCATCTGTGGTGGTGTGGTTCAATTCGCGCACTTCTGGGTTCCTGAGACGCGCTCGTCCGTCCTCGTGACCCGTGAAGCCAAGCGGAGACGGAAGGAGGGCGAGGTCATGCTCTACAGCACGGCCGAAATACACGGTAGCGAGCTCACGCCGCGCAACATCATCCTGACATGGACGCGTCCCTTCGTCATGTTCATCCGCGAGCCCATTGTGCTCTGGCTGTCGCTTCTCTCCGGATTTAGTGACGCTCTCATCTTCACGTTCCTCGAGTCCTACTCGCCGGTGTTCGACCAGTGGGGCTTCAACGACATCACCAAGGGTTTGGCCTTCATTCCGTGAGTTTTTGTCTTCGAGATGTATAGTCTTTGCCGACTGACTGGCTCCCAGTATCATGATCGGCTACTTCCTTGCGTACTTCTCCTTCATTCCCTTCATCCGCAAGGACATGAAGGCGCGCAAGAACGACCCTGATGCCCTCGCTCCTGAGTCGCGGTTGTACTGGCTCTTGTGGAGTACGTCTTTCGGTCTCCTTTCCTTTGCCGTTCTGACTCCTCCATAGCTGCTCCCCTCGAGCCCATCGGTCTCTTCGGCTTCGCTTGGACGAGTTTGGGCCCGCCGCGCGTGCACTGGATCGCCCCTCTCCTGTTCTCTTCGCTCATCGGTATCGCCAACTACGCGATCTACATGGCGACGATCGACTACATGGTAGCCGCCTACGGCCCCTACTCCGCCTCTGCGACGGGTGGCAACGGCTTCGCGCGTGACTTCCTCGCTGGCATTGCCGCGATGTACTCCGTGCCCATGTACAATAACATCCCAGGCAAGCCGCTCGAGTACGCGACGACGATCCTGGCGTGCATTGGTGTTGTGGTCGTTATCCCGATTTATGTCTTCTACTTCAAGTGCGTTATTTTCCTTTCTCGGTGGGAAGGAGATATTGACAATCCTCTCAGCGGCCCAGCAATCCGCGCACGGTCCAAGTTCGCGATGACGCTGGAAAGCGAGCGGAAGGAGCACCAGCACCGCATCACCACCGTCGGCGAAAAGGCGCGCGCCGACCACATCGAGCGTGTCGAGGAGGGCACGGCCGGCGTCCCGACGAAGCGGGGCAAGAAGGGCAACGTCATCGACGACGAGAAGGCCGTCTGAGGCGCTCGTTCTCTTTCGTGCTGCCTTCCCGAAGGTCGCTGGCGTTTCCCTGCCACCGCCTTCTCGAAGTCAGACGCCACTGCATCCCGCGCCGCCTCTGCTACCACCACCGACATTAACCCCACATATACACACCACCATGTGAAGATAACCGGCGGTTGTACGAGGTACGCTGTACCACGGTAATGTTCTATACCCCCTCCGCGAAGCAAAAGGGTGTTATGTTATCCATCCGTTCTACCAACTCAACGATCTATCCTCACTACACGACACGCACACAATCAATTCACGTTACGAGCACTCAGCCTATAGACATACACACCACCTCTAGACTCCTACCGCCCGCTGGGATCTCCCCGCCGCGATGATATCTGGAGGTCCCGCGCAGTCTATGGCGCCTGCACATAATTGTCTTACTAGCCGTATATCACCCTTCTGTACGCCCTCGGCCTAGCGGGGGGCTATCTGTACTATAGTTACGTTCCTATGCACGACTATTTAACACGTCTTCAATGCACATTCTGACGACCGCATGAACCTCATTGAATACAGCGACGGCCCGCAGCAGACCTTATACAACGTCAATTTGGGGTTGGAAGATAGCTAGCGGCAAGGCAGCGAGGCGCTGAGTGATGGAATGAATGGCCATTGAACGCTTGCCATGTTTGGAAGGTATTGAGCACATCAACCTTCGCATGAGACCTCGCTCCCACCTCAGCGCAGAGACTGAGTACTTCCCCATGTTCTCTCATACTGCCCCAAGTACGCATTCAGTTCCCCATGCGCACAGATACTTCCCCATGGACGACATCCTATATCTGGCGGATCTGAATGTCCTCTCCACCTCGGGATAAATCCTCGCCTCATGTCTGCGTCGAGGGCGACTGCGCATTCTCGTCATGACAGGACGGGCGCTACCGTCATGACAGAGAAACACGTTCGTCATTGTGCGCGGGTGCTGCGAGATGGGCAGACGACGAGGTCGGGTGGAGCTCAGCCACCTGCACCCCGCAATCCTCTCACCCCATAAGCGTCTCACCCCGTATTCCTCCCCGCTTCTGCGTATTGGCGTGCTCTCACCCCAGGTCGGTGACTCTAGGTAGACGACCGCGCCCCCGCATTCGCACAGGCGGTGTGTTCGCGGGTATAAAGCGCATCGATGATGTGGAAGATCATTCGGAGGGGGACTGAATAAGCGTGAATAATGCGCACCACAAGCTTCGCGGCTGTGAACTGTTGCATTGAACTCTCCTGCTTCCAAAATAGGCGGGAGACGAGGGCGGCGAGAGGCTGATCATCTGCGGCTAGATATGAGAGGTCATCACGGGTAATAGGGTACAGGAGCAGCATGGCAGGGAATTTGGGTCATCATGCGCCAGAAACGAGCCTCAGGTGCCCTGCAGTCCACGTCTTCAGCGTTGGCTTCCGACAGACAGACCTCTTCATGACCCTGACCTTGGTAACTTGGTTGGGGCGCGTGAGGGGACTCAGCGGTCAGAGGATATGCCTTGTGCGTATGCACACCCTTCCCAATTTTCCGTGCCGCAGGTACCAGCTCCTCGAGGACTCGTTCCTCACCACAGGAACTGTAGGGACGAATCTATTGGCGCCCTTTCCTGTACGACCCAGATCATCGCCTAGAAATACCGACGTATATAACCTCGCATTCGCGGTAACCGTCACGTCAAAGAAGGACATCGCCAGGACCTGCTCAAGAATATCTGAGTATAGTACAATGACATAGAGAGATAGAAGGACCAGATGTCGCATAGACTCGGAGGAATGGTAAGGGACGAGGGCACTGAAGGAATTCGGCGCGCCGACGCGCAGGATGAGAAGGGGGAGGAAGTTGGCGAGCAGGGACGAGGAAAATGCAGGTATGCAGAGTTGTAGGGTTCTCCGAGAATCAATGGAATATGAGCTATGACAAAGATTGCTGCGTCTAGCGAGGATTTGTCGAGGTGGTATAGCTATCCAGAAGGTTTGAAGGTTGGCGAAAGCGGCGAGACATAGGGGGAGTGAGACGCATAGACAAAACTGTGTTGACGGAGCGGGAGCGCATAACATATATTGTCCTTCTACTTGCTCAACGCTCAGGGCAGAAGATGAACATGAGAGTAGGACGGAAGGCGAACATGAACTTGAACTGTCACGGAATCACAGTATTGTGACTGCGTGACACGCGTGCGAGATTGATCGAAAAGTACCGGGCGACCAACGCAACGCCAGTCCATCGTCAAGCGCGTCGAGCTCAGCATCAAGGACCGCCAGGAGCCTACGGTACGTCGCCTTGCTGCACGTACAACGCGTCGAGCGAAAGAACGGGAAAAAAAGAGCGCGATATGCGATGGATTGGTGCATCGCAAGTTAGATGACGGGTTGCTGATCCCCTCTGCAGGAACCCTCAAGATGTCTTCAAAACTTCCCTCTGTGCTGAGCGCGACCGAGGAGGACATTCAGCTCCTCCTTGCTGCCCAATGCCACATCGGCACCAAAAACTGCGACAAGCAGATGGAGCCGTACGTCTGGAAGCGCCGGGCTGATGGTGCGTCTTGCCCGCGATAACACTCGGATTTTGCTGAGGCAGCGAGCAGGCATCCACGTCATCAACATTGGCAAGACCTGGGAGAAGCTCGTCTTTGCTGCGCGTATCATCGCCGCCGTCGAGAACCCGAACGATGTCTGTGTCATTTCCGCGCGCCCGTACGGCCACCGTGCCGTCCTTAAGTTCGCCGCGAACACTGGCGCGCAGGCGATCGCGGGCCGCTTCACCCCTGGTTCTTTCACCAACTACATCACCCGCTCGTTCAAGGAGCCGCGCTTGATCATCGTCACCGACCCGCGCGTTGACCACCAGGCGATCCGTGAGGCGTCCTACGTCAACATCCCCGTCATTGCGCTCGCCGACACCGACGCGCCCCTCAAGTTCGTCGACGTCGCGATCCCGACGAACAACAAGACCCGTCACTCGATCGGTCTCATCTGGTGGTTGCTCGCGCGTGAGGTCCTCCGCCTGCGCGGCACCATCCCCCGCACCCCCGACGGCTGGAACGTTATGGTCGACATGTTCTTCTACCGCGACCCTGATGAGGTTGAGAAGCAGCAGCAGGAGGAGGCTCAGGCCAAGGCCGCTGCTGCTGCCGGCGAGGAGGAGGCGGCCGCGGCTGCCCAGCCGGGTCTCTCTCAGTGGGAGGTGACGAGCGGGCCCCAGGCTGGCGCGATCAACCCGGCACTCGCCGCGGGCGAGGGCGGTACGTATACTTCGTATTACGAGCGCGAACACCGTCTCATAGTCCGTCGCAGGTGCTCTCGACTGGTCCGCCGAGCCGGCCGCTGGCGGTCCTACGGACTGGTCTGCCGAGCCATCTGGTCCCACTCAGTGGACCGCGGATGCTGGCGCCACGACGACTTGGGATTAAGTGTAGTCACGTATGCTCTTACTTATGCGGTGGCGCGGCCACATTATGCTCTGCGTGCCATAAAATCTTTTTCTATGCCATCTCATGCAATCATCACCGTCCAGCGTGTCCTTGAAGTCGAAAGTGGCCATTGATTGCCCATCATATGCAACTCAATACGAGGGAAGGGTGGAATGTGTGTCGAGCGCTAATGTTCGTCCGCACACTGGAGAACGAAGTATACAACTCATGGGTATTCTACATCAAGGTATAACCCTCTTAGCGCAACGACCTTGGGAGTCATGTTGTTCAGGCGTAGTTGCGATATTTCCCTAGCTTTGATCATCTTCAACTGGCCGCCGTGGCCTGGTCTTCAGAACGACACCAGATTCGGAAGATACAGCGGTCCTACGGCCTCCCCCGCCAGCCACTCGATTGCGTCTGGCGCCAGTATGGGAGTGCAATCAGCCGGCTCTTCGACGTGCAGCTCTTTCAGGCCCCTCCAGCGCCAGATGCAGTGCAGAAAATCCTCGTGGTTGCCCATCCACTCCTGACACTCGATATTGCGAAGAGTCAATCGGCGGAGGGTTCCAGGATGGCCCATGTGCTCAGAAAAGCTCGCAAGCAGCTGGAACGTGAGGTCGGCTCGATGGTGGCCCCTAACATCGCGCACGACAATCTCCTCGAGAGCAGGAGCGTCGATCATGTCGAAGACTTCAAAGCAGCCCTGCCCCACTTCCAACGTGGACAAGGCGGACATGTTGGCGCGCTGGCGCCCCGACAAATGGCTCACGGTGTTCCAATCGGGGTCGTCGGACATGGACAGGCTCAAAGACAGCAGCGTGACGCTACATGCCTCCAGAGCGCTACGGACAACATCCAATCGCAGAACAACGTCGAATGCAAGGGAGAGGTGTGTGAGGGTAGGGAAACGAAGTCTGGGAATTCGGTGAACAAAGATGGGTCAGGGTTGTTGCGCCAGTGGAATGCCACAGCCAGGCGCTTCAACACCGTTGCCCCAGATAGAAAGTCGACCACGTCGTCCGTATTCTGACCCTCCAGAGTAATCGACACTTCTTCGAGTTGTGGTAGGTAGTACTTTGGCAGCGACCTTAGGAGATTGCACGATCCACGAAGAGTAACGGGCTGCCAACGCGAGGAGTGAGGGCCAAGCACTGCGAGAAAGCGCTCGAGTATGAGGTCGTCGTGCACAGTGTGCGACAGCTGTACAGGTAACACCCCTGATAGCTCTAGCTGGGCTTCGAACACGTCTCCAGAGGCAATAGAGCAGCCAGGAAATGGCGCTGTCGACGAAATGGGTGTCCAAAGCTGCAGTGTTCCGCGCGCGGCGGCTCGCCAGGCGCAACAGACGTGGGCCACTGTACACGTTGTATAGAGTGTTTGTTCAGCGAGGCTGGGCGAGAGGCGAGCGTGATAGACGAATATCTTTGATAAGATTTCACTGGGAAGGCGCCGCACGGGAGCAACGAGGGATTGGTTGAGCTCGAGCTGGCTGGACGATTGTCCGCGAAGCCGAGTCAGCTTTTGGATTTCAGAGTCAATCGACAGCATCCGTTCATGGATCTCTGTTGTGGAGATTTGGATGGCATCCCTCTCTGCAGATCCAGGGTTGAAGCCACTGCGATGCAGCTGGATGTTGGCGATTGAGGAAGCGCGTTTGAGCACGGTCGTGCAATCCATTGCCCTCGGAAAGGTTCGTCAGAGTACCGAGAAACTTGGCTGAGGACCTACAGGGCAGTGCAGGAAAGACTTCGTGGGGACGATGGAGGCCTGTGCTAAGGCTCGATATTGAATATTCACTGGATTGTCCGCGTGTCGGCCCGCGCTGCCGGTGTTACGCCGCAGACATCAAGATGCAGACGTCTGCCGTCTTCGCCAGCGCTGCGACTCAGCTCTTGCCACCATGCCGTCCTCCCAGTCCGTCCAGGAGTCCGCGATGAACTCCAAAGTGCTCCATCGCTTTCTGCGCGGAATAGCAAATCTCGCGCTGCATTCGTTCTTCACCGAGGTTCGCGTCATTGGCAGCGAGAACGTGCCCAGAAATGGGCCTATCATTGCGTGCGTGTCCCATCTGCCTTCTGGGGAGCACTACTGAAGATATCTGCAGTGCTGCGACCCATCACAACATGATGCTCGACCCAGTCATCTTGTGTACGCCCTCCTCTCCTCCCCTGCACGCGTCCTCACGCCCCTCGCAGCATGCACGTTCCCCTACAAGCGCATGCTCAATTACTGGAGCAAGGGTACGTCCTTATGTGGTCTCTTTTCCACACATGCTGACCCCTCGGCAGCAAGCCTCTTCAAAAACCCTGTCATGAAGTGGATCCTCCTCTCTTCGGGCAACATACCCGTCGACCGCAAATCCAAAGATCGTCAGGTCCTTTTCAAGGGCACTTTCGATGCATTGTCGCGCGGGGAAGCTGTTGCTGTCTTCCCCGAAGGCACGAGCTACACCGAGCCTCGTATCATGCAGGTCAAGGACGGTGTTGCCTGGGCTTCCCTCGAGTACTGCAAGTGGAGGCAACTCAATCCGGGGAAGGGACACGACGAGGACGTCAAGATCATCCCCGTAGCGATAGTCTACACGAACAAGTCTAAGTACAGGAGTTGCGTGCGTAAACACTCCATCTAAGGTATTCTCATGGCTGACGGTGTCTCAGGTCATCATCGAGTTCGGAAAACCCATCACGATGGACCCGTACAAGGACCATTTCCTATCCCCCACTGAGGGCGCATCCCGCGCGGCCGTCAAGCGCGTGACCCATCAGTTGGCAATGCAGCTCTTCGAGATGACAGTGAACGCGCCCGACTGGTGAGGTTGCACGCAGGCGACATCGACACTGCGCTAACGAGCTACAGGGACACACTGTACGCTGCAAGGATGGCTCGCGACATCATGTGGGAAGGCGAGAGAGCTTTGGACCTCGACCACTTTGTCGCTGTCTCTCAAACGTGAGTCTCGATTCCTTGACATTGGCTCGAAAGCTAACCGTCATTTCAGCCTCGTCGACCTCTTCGCTACTCCCAACTCTACCGGCAATGCTGTCTCAGTCAAGCGCCGCCTCCTCGAGTACTACTCCCTTCTACAGTCTACCCGCCTCTCCAACTCCGTCCTCTCTGCACTACCCCTCCCCCGCACGCTCGACCCCAAGTCATCCGCCACGCTGCCCTCGCGCTTGTACACCCTCGCAATCCTGCTGCGTGACTCGCTGTCCTCCCTCGCGCGGTTGCCCTTTTTCCTCTTCCCTCTCATCGTACATGCCCCGGTGTATGTCATGGGTCGTCTTGGCGCTCGCATGGTCAAGGACGAAGAGGAGACGCAGGCGCAGAACAAGGTTGCGTTTGGTTTCTTGTCACTGCTGCTAGTGTACCCGACGGCGTTCTTCTTTTTGTGGGCCCTGTTCTTGTACACAAGGACGGGTGCGATCCTAGCGTTCGTGACGGTCGCGCTATTTGCGAGGTATCACAACCAGATGATTAACGGTGAGTCCTCTGAACTTCCTGTCTTGGGACCTTACTGACGACGATGCAGATAACTACGAACATGCCAAGCGGCTCATCGCGACTTGGCGCGTCCTCATTGGCGTCTGGGCGCCCAAGCGGTGGGAGTACCCCCTCGCCAATCTTACCCAATACACCACTCCCGCCATCCCCAAGCCCAGCGAATGGGTCACACGCCGGCCCTCGCCATCGCCCAGCTCCTCTCCCAATCCTGGCAACAGCACGTCCCCCGCGCCTCAGGGTCGCAACGCCACATCTCCCGCTTCTGCCTCGTCCTCATCCTCCCTCATCCCACCCCAGCTACCGCCCGACCTTCAGCTCGGCACGGACATCGAGCCGCCGGTCAAGTCGCGCACCCGCCGCCCACCATCGCGCCGGATCATGCGCCACGTCCTGCGCGCGCGCATCGAGGCCGTGCGTGCGCTCGCAAGCCTGTTCGAGCAGCTCGAGCGCGAGCCCAGCAAGCGGTTGCGCGCGAGCGCTCACCTCGCGAAGGCGTACGGCGGTCTGGTGGAAGAGAGCAAGGGCGCGGAGATCAAGGCGGACGGCACGTCGGCGAGCGCGAGCGAGGACGTGCTGGCGCTGCCGGAGGGGTGGCGCACGGCGCGGGAGGTGATTGACTACCTGCGTGCGCGGGGCGGGAAGATCCCGCGGTTGGGCGGTGCGGAGAGGGAGGAGGGGGAGTGGGCGGCGGCCTTGAGTAGCGATGGGGAGACGAACTACAGTGGGACGGCGACGGCGGACGAGGAGCTGGAGTGGGTGCCGTCGAGTGCATGAGGTGACCAAATCTGGGGATTGTCAGGGCACGAGGGCTTTCCGGTGTGTATCAATGCGCGATAGCGTCGGGCGATTCGCCCAAACAGATGGGGATTGTATGTTGCAATTTACACTATGATACAAGTTGCTTTTTCTCTTCACTCGCTGCTGTCGTCCGACGCCAATGCCTCAGAATGGCGTGTTTGCCGGGAAAGCCATCGGGCCGCGGACCTCCTCGCGTTTGTCCTTCCCCAGGAGAAGCTCGACGAGCGTCAGCGCGAAAGGGAATGCCGTACCCGGACCGCGGCTATGTGCGGGGAGCGGTCAGCTCGCAGGCAACATCAGGGGAGGCAGCATGAGAGCGCATGCCTTACCTGGTCACCAACTTGCCGGACACAACAACAGGGGACTCGGAGTACTCGTAGTCTGCGTGATGGCTTCATTGAGTGCTCGACATAGGTGCGCCGAGGCGAAGGGCTTACCGCCTTCCAGCTGAGCTTTGACGCTCGGGTGCGACGTCAGCGGCTGCTTGGGCAGCTTCGAGGTCTGCGCGGCGAGGCTACCTGTACATAGTTTAGCTTCGGAACGACCGTCCTCGCAAGGGTCTCTTGCGATGTCACTCACCTGCACAGATCATTCCGACGTACTTGCCCGCATCGATGTACTTGCGAATGAGCTCCTGGACCGCCGGGTTCTGCGAAATCGTCTCCGCGCCCTTCGCACCGCCGGGAACTACCAGCAGGTCGAACTTGTCCTAACGGGCGTTTAGTACGAGCATGCGGTAAGGACAAAGACCTAACGCTTACCGGTCCAGAGTTCCCCGGCTCGAAGTAGGTATCGGGCAGGATCCCAATGCCGCGAGAGCCCTTCGCTACAGGGGGGTTGACGGATTTTGAATCATCCGCGGAAACGAAGGCAGACTGGACCTTCACGCCCGCGCGAACAAGGGTGTCGTAGGTGATGGTGCTTGAACGGGCATTAATGGTAAATCTGGGCAAGACAATAAATTGTGGTCGCTTACAATTCCATCTCTTCCGTTCCATCGGCGATAAAGATTAGTGCTGAAGGCATTTTTCTCTTCGGCTAGACTGGTCTGCCAGATGGTAGTTATCAGAGAGAACTGTGAAGCTGGACGACCTTGGGCATGATGTCAACCGAACCATGACACGTGCCCACTTCGGAATTTGCCGGTGGGCATGCGGCTTCCGGCCTTCGAGTCACCTCTTGCTCTCAACCCTCATTCGCGGCTGAATCATGTGTTGCCTTCAGGAGTTATTATTCCCCGCAAACAGTTTCCTACCTTGAAGATCTAAAGCATTCCCGCCAACAGTACATCTTGAACTGCGATGCGCTCCTCGAACGCGCGGCTTCTCTTGCCAGTATCGAACTACAGCGCAGGGATTTCGTCCCATCGACTCTCGAAACGCAGGCTATCCGCGAAATATCAAAGGAGCTGATCAACGAGATACGCTCAATTGACGCAGAGGACGAGCGGCTCCGCCACCTTCGTTGTCAGATGGTCAACCAGCTCGAAGTCAACCAGTCCGTCGCTGCTCCCGTGCGCCGTTTTCCCCCCGAACTTCTATCGGAGGTGTTCATTCACTACTCGGAGTCGATTTCCTCCACTCTCTGTATGATGACTGTTCCCTGCGTCTGCAGGTTTTGGCGGAGGGTCGCTCGAAGCACGCCCAAACTATGGACGTCTTTCAACTCTAGACCGCAAGATCGATCATATCGTCACCTCTGGCCAGACATATTGGCCCTGTCTGGAATGCTTCCGCTCACTCTTGATCATTATGCGATCGACGACGAACGTCTCGAAGAGTTTTTCGAATTCTTGCGTCCACATGCCGTACGGTGGCAAAGTATCAACTTGTCTGGAACTTGTACCACATTTCAGAGGCAGCCGAGCACTTGCCTGCCAAACCTCGAAGTGGCTTACATCTTTCTGAAGGAGCGTACCGGTAACGGGGCTCTCAAGTTCCTCGCGAACACGCCAGCGTTGAAGCTCCTCAGGCTCGAGCTCGTCATTCCGCCCAACGGTTCCGAGGCGATGCTACCCGCAGAGGAGATGGGTGCCTTCATACTGACAGATATCTTGTCCATACTACGGAGCTGTCACGCGTGCTTGACGACTTTGAACGTTTTGGTGCCCAACGTACCCGCGCTAGCACTGGATGATCTCCTAGTCATGGAGAAACTCTCGACACTCGAGCTGGGCGCCGCTTCTTATCGCCTGCTCGACTGTCTCGAGACACCCGCCGTCGAGAAAATCAGCCTCGACAACATTAACGAGCTCTCCGACGGCGACCCCTTCCCGACATTGGCTGACTTCCTCGCCCGCTTGCGACATCCTACCAAAGTCAAAGAGCTATGCTTCACATATATTAGGATGCAATCGCTAGATGGCTCGTTCCTGGAGTGCATGGAATATCTGCAACATCTTCGGGAGCTGCATGTGCAAGAGCCCACCAACTCTGCCAGAACCGCTCTATCTTGCAGGGATGTCCTGGTCGAGCTGACCTGCGTGGAGGACAGGGCGCCGCTCTTGCCGAACCTCGTCACAATCTCCTTGACGGTCGATGAGTCGGATGGCCGTATGTTACCCGCGTGGAGGAGCGCGTTGACGGAGATGGTCAGGTCGAGGGAGGTGCCGCGCATCTGTGCTGGGCAGGCCGTCGTCGCGTTGGAGCGGTTCGACACGAACGTGGATTCCACAGTGGACAGTTGAAGGCTAGTCATCGTTCTAATTACTGACAAGCTCGTATATTGTCTTCTGTAGACAGAAGGGCTGTGTTCTCGAATAGCCTATGTACTGCACTCAAGTATATAGCCAAGCAATTAGGAGGGAATATTACGCGGATGCGTGACTGAGCACCGTACGGTCCGTACCATTCATCCCATTCGAAATTGGTGGGCGCGTGGGGTTGCGTTGTCGTCTCCCTTTGTCCTCGACCGTCATGAACGCCCGCGCAGCCAGAGGTGAGTGCGCGAGTCCTCTTTCAGGCGCATAGGGTACGGCCTGACGGTGCTTGTAATCACGCAAACAGAGACATATGTTGACAGGCTCATCGCCCATGCGGCCTCGTACGGCGCTCGCATCGAGCTGCAACGACAAGGATTCATCCCCCCACCAATGGAGCGCCAGCAGATCCTCTTGGCCGCACATCATCTAACGCAAGGGATCCGGTCCATCGACACCGATATTCAATGGCTCGTCACCCTTCGCGCGCGCATGGGCAGCCAGCTCGCGATCAACGCGTCCGTTCTCGCTCCAATTCGCCGGCTTCCTCCAGAGCTGCTGTCTCATATCTTCGTCCTACTCGCGATGGAGATAGATCCCTGCATGAGAGCGCACACTATCCGCGATACTGTGGCCCGGGTCTGCAGAGAATGGTACACAGTTGCGCGGAGCACACCTCGCCTGTGGACCTACATCTCGTCGACGTTGCATGACCTGCCGCCATCAACCCCTAGGCGATACTCGGCGCAGGCGGCACTAGCTGGCGGTCTTCCTCTGCACCTGGAACACGGAGTAGGCGACGAGGACTATGAAATCGATGACGCCCTACTCGAGTCTTTCCTTGAGGAGTTGCTACCGTACGCCTCTCGGTGGCAGTATATCCGCCTCAACAGCTCGGGTGCCTTCTTTGCTGCCTTCCATGTAGGAGAGCTGATAGCATTGGAGGAGGCCCAAATATGCGTATTCCCCCCACTTGAAAGTGGGGCCGCTGGCTTTCTCGCCGGTGCATCTGGTCTGCGACGTCTGGTTCTCTCATATCAGCAAATGGACGGCGATGACGACGAAGAGAATATTATCACAAGGCTTTCGGTGCCAGCATTCCCACAACTCGAGGAGCTTACAGTGATTATAAACACCTATATCGATATGCAGCCTTTTCTATCCTTGCTTCGCGGATTCAGTAACTCGTTACACAACCTCTCCGTCTTTGCGCACTTCAGCGATCCCGAGAATGCGTACATTCCTCCTGTCGAGTTGATTGCACTGGAGACTGTCATGGCATTTAATCATGGCTACCGGCTACTCGACCATCTCGTCACACCAGTCTTAGAGGAGATCGTCATCGAAGATGTGTACATCGATGACCATGGCGATCCCTTCCCCCTGCTATCCTCCTTCTCTTCGCGAGTGCACCGCTATGATCGACTCAAACACCTCACCATCATCGATGTTTCTTTCGACAACGTCAACGGCGCCAATTCCTTCCTCCAATGCGCACCCGCGTTGCACTGGGTGGAGGAACTACACATGAGGGACTCGGTCTCACTCATGACAGAGGAGGTATTGCAGGAGTTGACTTGTGCGAGTGACAAGGCGCCACTGCTACCAAATCTCGCACATTTGACGCTGCTTGGCTCGCGCCGTCCCTCGCGCGCATGGAAGGTCGTTTTACGGGCGATGGTGGCGTCGAGGAAGGTACCTCGCGTGTGCGCATCGCAAACTGTCGTCGCTCTGAAGGACATCGTGACGGACGTGGAGTACTAAATTGACACCTATGCCTTGCACTCGTCATCAGGCAGTAGTGATGCCCACTACTTTGAATAGCTTCGGCGCCCAGATGATAGTAATAACCACGGACGTTCTTCAGTACTGACAATCTATGTTTCATTGTAATGTATTGCGATGTAACGAGGAGTTCGAGTTCATCCTCTGAGTTAACACAGGAAGCTTTGCATCTATCCAATCATTGGCAGACCAAAATCTACCCGTGACGCGCCACAAGTCGTGACTCCGAGTCAGCTGACCGCGAAACGTCGTAGTTTTCAGCTCTTGTACTTAACCAGCATCACGACGTGAGTCTTGCATATTAAAGAAGCTGAATTCGCAGGTAATATGACAGTCGTATCTTTGCTATTGCATCTTACCAAGTCCTTCAAGGCATGGAAGCAGACGTAGGAGCTCTCCTTGAGCGCGCTACTCCACTCGCCAATGTTGAGCTGCATCGCGGCGGTTACGTCCCTGACACGGACGAGGAATATGCGCTGAGAAGATCTTCGCGCGAAATATCAGCGAAAATGTTGGCGATCGACTCCGAGATACAAATGCTCTCCGTCCTTCGCGGGAAGCTATCTGGTCAGCTTGAACTCAATCAAGCCCTTCTCGCACCCGTCCGCCGACTTCCGAACGAAATCCTGTTCAAGATATTCACCTACTATGCGCATCCGATAGGCTTCTTCACGCCCTTTCTGATAACGCGGACCGTGGCCTGCGTCTCTCGCGCATGGCGTGCTGCTGCGCGAGGCACTCCGGGACTATGGACTTCCATCTCGTCAAGAACGGTATACCCCGGATGCTCCCCTCCATCGCAGACTGCTTGCGCAATGCAGGCTGACATGACGGGGATGCTGCCACTGCAATTATCTCATCCCGTTAGCGATGACGCCGCTCTACAGCACTTTACGCAGGCGCTGGACACGTATGCCTCCCGCTGGCAATTCATCTCCTTCCACGGATCCTGCAGCACTCTCCGAAAAGAGCCTCGTCGTAGCCTCCCGAGCTTGGAAGCTGCAGCAGTGACCATCGTTGGTCCGCCCACAGGCGACGTGCTTGATTTCCTTGCTGACGCACCTGCATTGAAGGACTTGAAGGTCGTGTTCAATTACCTCGAAAGCGAGCTACCGGAGACCTTCATGGTTCCTTCATTCCCGGAACTCACCATCTTCCCTACGCTCACACACCTATCGCTTTCCTTCAACAGTTGTCTGCGACTCGACATGATCTGCCCTGCGCTGGACACTTGTCGCGGCACCCTTATCTCTCTGACTTTGTCCATGGCCATCGATTCGGGCTGGGGGATGGTATTGGGGGGTTGGATCGTACCCATTACGATGACCGCCCTCGCAACCATCGAACTGGGCTCAGCGTGTTACGAAGTGCTCGAGCACATCGACACACCAGCTCTCCAGGAAATAACCATTCGCGACGTGTCGGAGGATATGCGTTCCCCATTCCCTGCGCTCACAGAGTTCGCATCCCGCACGCACCCCTCTGGAACGCTCACGAGGCTCAATCTGTGGAATATAGAGGAGGAAGACGAGACGAGCGACTCCTTGCTACTGTGCTTGGACGAGTGGGGTGGTCTTCAAGAATTGTGCGTCGTGGAGCCGGAGAACCACGCCCCCATGATGCCGGATTGGGCTTTCAAGCATCTTCAATGTGCGGCCGACGAGGTGCCGACGCTCCCGAACCTCAAGGCGTTCTCCCTCACCGCGAGGCCCCGCCGGCCATGGAACGCGTATAAAGCAGCATTGGAAGCGATGATTCTGTCTAGGGAATCGGCGATGGAGTGCGCTTCGGAAGCCGTCGTTGCTTTAGAGCGCGTGGACCTGAAAGTGGACTATGTGTAGGTCAGAAAAGCTATAGATGGTTAGTACACACCCCCAAACTCAAGAGAAGGACGCTCTTACCTGATTTTTTGGGCAGCCTGTAACAGGACTCTGCGTTGCGTACGCGCTGTAATCAATGACAACGCGATAGATGTTCCTTGAGCATAACAGCCATGCAATTATGTTCCTCTTTCTCTATCCCGTTTTGGTGGGCCACTAAATGCTGACGATGTAAGGGTGAGTCTGGCGGGAGATCGAATTTCGGGTCTCGGATATGGAATGCGCAACGAAGTTTGAGACGTGACTGCCATGGTCGCGCGACATGCAGACGTACTCACCCGCCCCTTTACTTTAGGTTTCATTGCAACCGCTGTACATTCGCGATGTTCTGCATGTCTTGCTCAACCCGCAACTTGTCCTCGACCACCACCATCTGCAAGTAGCCTGCAGTCAAGAATACGCTTTCGCAAAGAAGTACTTTTATACAAGATGATGCGCATATTGAAGAAGCTGAAGACGTCCCATCATACTGGACGCTCACTTGATATCATCGCCAGGCGAGGCTTCCCACCTGTAAGTCGATTTTATCGTAACCCCTTGCCGTTTCACTTACCCCCCGCGCAGGCTGACTCCAAAATCATGCAATGGGTACTGACGAACGATCCCGCTATCACCCTCGCTCACCCCAAATCTGTGCAATGCTTCATTGAAGCCATCGCACACAACCCTGCCGTTCAACTCAGCCTCGAGCACGTCCACCTCGTCGCGCCAGAGCACCCCGAGGACCGCAGCGCCATGCTCCACGCCCTCCTCGCGCTCTTCTCCATCACGCGCTCCGCCTACACCCGCCTCACCCCGCGACTCACTTGCATATATGCGCACGGGCCATGGACGCCCGCCGAGACACGCATGCTGGCCGACCTTACGCACTCCCCGCCCTCCCGTTTGCGCGCGCTGCTCCCGCGTGAGCATCCCTTGGTGCATGTCGTCCACCGAACCGTCGCCCACGTCCGTGCCGCACATCCTCCCGCGCCCCGGCGGCCCACCACGCAGGAGAAGATCCGCGACGCACTTAGCCGCGTCGCGCATTTGCACCTCAAGCGTCGCGCGCAGCACACGTCGATGGCGCACGCGCACGAGATGGCGATGCGCAGCGACGAGGAGATTAGCCGGTCGGCGTTCGATACGCGGGAGATGCGGAGGACTTTCACAAATGCTTTGGCACACTTGACGCGGTCCAAGGCATCCAGAAACCCGAAGCCGAAGGCGAGGACGGTGCCAGCCGCGGCGCCCTGGTTCGTGTCGACGCGCAGGGCGACGGCGTTGGTGGTCGAGGCGCGCCGAAATGCTCGCCCATCGCGCGCAATTGCACCGGCCATGCGACGGATAGCTAGCGGCAACTCGCCACGCCGTTTGTCGATTTCAGCCTACTTCCCAGTTCGTCGTGGTTCGCTGTCAAGCTTCTTCCCTCTGTCGGCGCCGATGCTGTCCTTCTCGCTGCCTTGCCCACCGGAGACTGTAACGCTGATTGTGGTCGACCAGACCATGAAGGTGGGGCAGACATTGGGAACCAGGGCAGTGTCAGTCTGGACGGCTTGGCCATTGTATCTCATTCTGTTCTCGCTGTTCCTCGCATATCGCACGCTTCTTCTCTATGGCTCGCATTAGTACGTGGATTGCTTGGACTTCGCTCTTCTCACCTACTTCGTTCACTTATCGGACAAAGAACGTAACACCACACTGTACATTAGCACCATATCATACTAAACGGATGATTGAAGGAAGAATGGTTGTTGGCATTGTCTGACCTTTGTTCACGAGAGATGACAATATTGCGCCGTGTATCCAGAGAACCAGAATCCAGAAAAAATCATTCAAGATACCCGAAGCCGACCTGCGCGTCAGCAACAATGGAGCCCCCTCCTGGTGAGTGCTATGGCAGAATGGGGGCGAACTTTGAAGGCTGGGAAGTGGCACAGGGCCGCGCGGCAATATGTGGCGGAAGTGGCGTCAAGGTCACATGATCGCTTTTCTCTTGTTTGTTGATCTGTTGATGTTAAACAAAAGCTGTAGAGCTGGACCATCGCGTATAAAACGCGGCGGTCCCTCTCTCCATCCCCCAACAACCTCCTTCTTCAATTTCCCTTCCCCCCCTTTTGGCTCGCTCACTTCTCCCCCCATTCATTTTACCTCCCATTCGACCCTCTCTGGGGTCCCACACCGCTCGCGCTCCCCTGGACCGGGCTTAAAGTGTTGCTGAACCCAGTCGGCTCGTACGTGTCTCTCCTCTCTGGGGTCGTCTCCAGGCGCCCAGAGTGGATTCACTACGGACACTGGCCGTGGCGACGCAGTGTGGGCTTGCAGGGAGGACGGCTGTTATCGGCATGCGATGGTGAGTCCGCGGCGCATGTTTGACCAGTCGTTTCAGTATTCACCTCTTCTTATCCTTTTCATTCTCATCTTCCTATCCTATCCTTTGCGCCTCGAGAAGCGCTCACTGCCCATGGTTCCAACGGACCGGCGTAAGCGTCAGCTAGCCTCGGGAAGCTCGAGGCTTTTGTCGTTGAGGTCGTCTTCGGACGCGCAACGCAACTGTAGTAGGACCCGATATTGGCGGGCGACGCGGTGAGGGCTTCGAGGCGGAGCAGTTGAACTCGTGCGTTCAGGTCAATCGTGGACCTCATCGGAAAGCGGCGTCTGGCGCACGGTCAATTGCATCTTCGGCCATACATCCGGCGCTCTGGCTCACGCCTAAAGCTTCGCCGATGTGTGGTTTGGGGTCTTAGGCTCTCGTTGTCGCTCTTCTGTTGCTGTTCTTGCAGGCGACGTGAGCCCTCCAATATAGATATGATGGTGTTCTCTTGTACTCGAGTATTAGCTTGCGTTGTCGTGTATACTAGACAGGTCTCCTTTGAACCTCTGCGCACGGGAAACTTACGTGACTCGCTTGTGTTACGTCCGTGAAATCCAGCCCCTCGCCCGTCGAGGGCTGAGGTTCCATTGCGTTGACAGCCTGTGACTACTGCGAAATGGCACCGCTGATGCGACTGAAGGACACCAGAGAGCCCTTGCTCTCGAAGCGCCGGCCCGGGATGGACCCACGTTGAGGGAAGCACACGCGCCCACATGACGGTCACGTACGTGAGGCTTCACCCATGGTTGAAGGCTTGAACACGATGAGGACGGAGAGACACAAGCACATTGACGTTTGACAATTTCATGACGGTGCGTTCGCATGACGCAACGCGCGAGCACACGACGAAAGGGATATGTCCAGTGAAGAATGTGATCCCATTGCAAAACTAGTCTATGCTTTTGGCGACTACAGCGACGCATTAGGGAGTAGTTAAGATTCGAGCGGAGCGCGTACTCACCAGGGTAAAGCAGCGCGCAGATGCCACGTTAGTGTAGCATTTACTTGAGCTGGGAGAAGAGCTTGGGCGCTGCGCAGTCCTACTTCGGGTCAGTACATGGCGGGAGCCTATGCAGGGAGTACGCACGTCTATGCAGTGCATCATGCTAAGGGGTGCATCAGTAAAGGGAACGCAGAGAGTAAGACGCGAGACGCACTGGACTGTGGATGCGTGCAAGTAACGTGAAACAGCGGTCAGCTACTAGGGAGGTCAAAGTCCGGAAAGTATACGCACAGCTGCAAGAATGTCAGTACAGGGGTATAGAAGAGAAGAGGTCGAACACACAGTTCCTCAACGCAGTCCTCGCCGTGGAAGCCCTCGCCTGCCTGCACTTTCTCCTGGCAGTGCTCAAAGTGCTTCGCCAGCGCCGCACACTTCTGCTCCTTGCACTCCTCACGGATGACCGGGTGAGACTGTAGCCCCGTCAGCAAACAAGTCCGCGTATAAGTCGCCGGACGCACATCCTCAGGCTCCTCCTCCTCTTCCTCCTCCTCAGCGGGCTCCTCCTGGGCCTCTTCCTCTTTGGGCTCCTCCTCAGCGGGCTCGGGGTCCGCGTCGGCGTGCACGGTGGGCAGTAAAGACGAGAAGAAGTCGGTGATGCTCATGGCTGGCGGTGTGAGCGCACGCTGGTGCCGGTCAGAGTTTAGCAATGGCTCGCTTGCGGTTGGCGACGGGACTTCGGAAAATGGCGTGGGACCCGGCACCCGGGGCGAGCCGGCTGCGACGCCACAAAGTGCGGGGCACCGGGCCTGACATCCGGTCGGTCGGACGCGTCGCGCAACAAGGACAAACGAACGCGTCTCGCCCCTGACGCTTTCCCGCGTTCCTTGTGCACTTACTGTCACGACAAATAGATGTGTGGACTTGACTGCTGATACGACACGACAAGATGCCTCTCATACAGATCGAGGTGTGCGACTTCAAGTCCTACAGGTGCGCGCAACGAGGGCGGCGATCAGCCACATTGCTAACAATACATCAGAGGGCACCAGACGATAGGTCCCTTCAAGAACTTCACCTCTGTTATCGGTCCCAATGGCGCGGGGAAATCGAACCTCATGGACGCCATCTCCTTCGTGCTTGGAGTGAAGAGCGCACAACTGCGCAGCTCACAGCTCAAGGACCTCGTCTACCGCGGACGAAGGTTACAGAAGGAGAATTCAGAGGAAATACCATCAGGTGCCATGGATGAAGACGATGAGGAAGAAGAAGGGGAGGGTACCGCTAAGAAAGCCTGGGTCATGGCGCTATACGAGGACAGCGAGGGCAAAGAGTGGCGATATCAGCGGACGTGCGTTCCTTGTCTCTGCCCTACTCCTCTAATCTAACACATAGTCCAGCATATCCACCACTGGTGCCTCTGAATACAAGCTCAACAACCGCGTCGTCACCTACTCCGCATATAACCAATCCCTTCAAACCCACAATATCCTCGTTAAAGCGAAGAACTTCCTCGTCTTCCAGGGTGATGTCGAGGCCGTCGCGTCGCAGTCGCCGAAGGAGCTCTCGCATCTCATAGAGCAGATCAGCGGCTCTCTGGAGCTGGCACGCGAGTACGAGGAAGCGAAGGAGGCGCAGGAGCGCGCCACCGAGAATGCGACGTTCAACTTCACCAAGCGCCGCGGGATTGCGGGCGAGATCAAGCAATACAAGGAGCAAAAGAATGAGGCGGAGCGCTTTGAGGCGCTCGTGCAGGAGCGGGTGAGGCAATACATTGACATGTGGGGTACATGATCGCTGACATCCTCATTTACATAGGATGCACTTCAACTCCACCGCTATCTCTTCAAGCTGTTCACCATCGAGGAATCCATCCGGAAGAACACCGAGGAGATCGAGGAGCAGAATGAAGGGCTAGACGCTCTGCGCAACGAGCAGAAGGAGAAGGAGGATGAGTTGGCTGCGGCGCGGTCCGAGCAGGCCAAAGCGCGCACATCTGTCTTGCAGTTGGAGAAGAAGATTAAGAGGTCGGACAAGGCCATTGAGGCGAAGGTAAATCTGTTGATTTGGACGTTTACCTGGATATTCACTGACCCGGTGCTTGACAGAGACCCGAACTTGTTGCTGCTCAAGCACAGATAACACATTCGGAGAGGAAGCTCGCAAAGCAGGCGGAGACGCGTGCTTCGATGGAGAAGAATGTCGAGCATCTGCGTGCCAAGGTGGCCAACCTGGAGAAGGAGCTCAGGCGAGTGAAGAAGGACGCGGAGGATGCCGCAGGTGCGCATATAACTCCCTTCGCAATGCATCGCTCAAATTGACGCGTTTACAGAGGCTCAACGTCGAGCCTCCCAGGACAACATCGCCCTCAGCCCCGAGAGCATGGAAGAATACCACCGCCTCAAGGCCGAAGCAGCGATGCTCGCCGTGGACGAGCGCCAGCGCGTCGACACCCTCAGTCGTGAGGCAAAGACGTCACAACGCACGCTGCAAATCTTGCAAGCCAAGCAGAAGGAGTTTGAGGAGAAGAAGCAGACTCTGTCGGAGCAGGCGGAGACCTTGGAAGCGAGGAAGGAGGAGGTGAGTATAAGGAACCATCGGGGCAGAAGGCCGAGCTGATATATACGACCAATAGCTCGAGGGCAAGGTGTCTGAACTGGAGAACGACCTCAATCGCGCGAGGCAGGAGTTGAGGAACCATCAGGAGACGAGGGCGAAGATTGCGTATGTTGTTTTTCACCTTTCACTTCAATCAACGTATACTTACCTGCTCTTGCAGTCAACTCGAGTCCGTCGCGAAGGAGAAGCTCGAAAACGTCCACGCTTCCCTCTTACAAGCCAGCGTCGACCGCCGGGAATCCGACCGAGAGATCAAGTTACGGGAAACCATCGAGAACCTGCGCAGGTTATTCCCCGCCGTCCGCGGCAGGGTCGCCGACCTCTGCAAGCCCTCCCAGCGCCGGTATGAGACCGCCGTCTCTGTCGTGCTGGGCCGCAATATCGACTCGATCGTTGTCGATGACGAGCGGACGGCGATGGACTGTATCGAGGTGCGTGTTATTTGTGTGGATCGTGGATGAAATTGGAGCTGTATTTGTAGTTGCTGACGAAGGGCTTTGTGTTTTAGTACCTCCGCAACCAGCGCGCCGGCCAAGCAACGTTCATCCCGCTCGAGACCATCCAGGTCAAGCCCATCAGCGAGCGCTTCCGCAATCCGGGGCGCGGGATCCGGCTTGCGGTGGATGTCATCGAGGTCGACAGCGCCGTCGAGCGCGCGATCCAGCATGCCTGCGGGACGGCGCTGATCTGTGATACGATGGAGCTGGCGAGAAATTTGCGGTATGAGAGGAATCAGGATGTGAAAGGTGCGCGGTGTGGTGTGGATGGAGGTGAGAGAGGAATGGATTCTGATAAGAAACTATTCCAGCTGTGACACTTGAGGGCACCGTCATTCACAAGAGCGGCCTGATCACTGGAGGGAGGAGCACGCATAATGCGAGAACATGGGAGGATAGGGATGTGCAGAGTACGTTGTGTTTACTACTGGAGGAAGGAAGGAGGATGGTTGACCCGTCACCAGGCCTCCAGCGCACGCAGGAGAAGCTCATGTCTGAGCTGAAGGCTCTCGCGAAGGATAAGCCCAAGGCTGGGACGGACGAAAACCTCCAGGGAGAAATCTCGCGCTTGGAGACCAGCCTGATGGTCGTGAGGGATGATCTGGCATGTTTGCTCTGTCCTCATGCGACGGCATTGTGAAGCTCACCTCTGAACAGAAAGAGATCAACTCGCGCCTTGCGGGCGTCAACGCGGAGCTCAAGCACGTCAACTCAGAGCTCAAGAAGAACGCCCCGGAATTGAAGAAGGCAGAGAATGCTCAGGCCAAGCTCGAGAGGGAGCTCGAGCAGTTGCAGGCTGTGATCAACTCCGCTGAGGACACCGTGTTCGCAGGCTTCTGCCAGCAAATTGGCGTGTCGGATATCCGGGAGTACGAGGAGCGGCAGTTGAAGGCGGCTCAGCTGGAGAGCGAGGCGCGGCTGCGGTTTGACAAGCATATCACGCAGTTGACTTTGCAGTACGTCGGCGAAGTCGCTCTGTGCGTAACGAACGCTGACAACGGCCGACAGACTCGAGTACGAACGCGACGAGTCGTTGAAGAACGCTGAAGAGCGCCTTGCCACCCTGGACACCCAGATCGCCAACGAGAGGACCAATCTCGAACGCTTGCAGCAGCGCAAGGCAGAGCTTGAGGCAGAGCTTCAGACGGCCGAGCGGACCCTAACCGAGCATAAGGAGAAGCTGGCGGGCTTGCAAGAGAAGCTTGACGAGCGCAACAGGGCCGTCGAGCAAGCGAAGAGGGCGAGCGTGAGGGCGTCGAAGGCGCTGGATCAGGCGTTGAAGGAGATTGCGACGAAGGTGAGTGTCGAAGGTGATAGCACGGGGAGTTACGGCTAACAGTTCGGGCAGAACGACGAGATCGAGAAGTTTGCTTTGGAGCGCTCGGCCATTTACAGGAAGTGCAAGTTGGATGGTGTACAGCTGCCGTTAATTGCTGGTAACCTCAGGGATGTGCCTATGGAAGAGGTGGGCGATAAGGTTATCAATCGTCGTTGCAGCGGCTGACCTGCTGCGTATAGAACCTTCGCCAAGAGGTCGCAATGGACGTGGATGAGCCCGAAGACGGTGCTCAACGCGCCAGACATGTGCAGGACTATGGCATCGAGGTCGACTTTGCTGAGATCGACGATGAGGAACGCGAGGTATGCATCTCCCATGAAGACGCTGACGAGAGCTGAACTGTCCCCAGGAGGATCCAGCGAAGAAACTGGCGGAGCTGGATGACGAGATCAAAAAGCTCTCCGCAGACATCGAGAAGATGGCGCCGAACATGAAGGCGATGGAGCGGTGCGTATCAGTGTCACGCACGACCATCTCATCGAGCTCAACGGTTTTCAGCCTTGACGATGTCGAGAACAAACTCGCCGAGACGGAGAGGGAGGCCGACAAGGCGAGGAAGGACTCGAAGACTGCGCGACAGCAATTTGATGATGTGAAGAAGCGGAGGTATGATTACCGCACTCATGTCCTATTTCTGTTCTGACCTCGCGACAGATGCGACCTCTTCAACAAGGCGTACAACCATATCTCCGAGTGCATCGACCAGGTGTATAAGGACCTGACAAAGGGAAAAGCCTCCCCAATGGGAGGTGTGGCGTATCTAAGCTTGGAGGATAGCGAGGTACGTGGCTCGAGGCTTCCTTCGTCGCCCCTGTACTGAACGCCGTTAAGGAACCGTACAATGCTGGTATCAAGTACCATGCGATGCCTCCTATGAAGCGCTTCCGTGATATGGAGCAGTTGTCTGGAGGCGAGAAGACAGTCGCTGCTTTGGCGCTCCTCTTCGCTATCCATAGGTTGGTGCCTTCGTTGAATTCGGCCGCGAACCTGAACTGATATTTTCCTCCTCGTCTGTTATAGTTACCAGCCAGCGCCTTTCTTCGTCCTTGACGAGGTCGATGCCGCTCTCGACAACACTAATGTCGCCAAGGTTGCGAACTACATTCGCACGCACGCCTCGGAGACCTTCCAATTCATCGTCATCAGCCTGAAGGGTTCGCTCTACGAGCGAGGCAACTCGCTCGTGGGCATCTACCGTGATCAGGAAGTTAACAGCTCGAAGACCTTGACCTTGGATGTAAGCAGCTCAGTTCTGTCTTGGAAGCCCTGGACGCTGATCAACCTTTCAGTTGACGCAATTCGACGACTAATGAAGGACTTTATACCCACTGCAAAATCTCGTATCGTTATTGCTGCTGCTCTCGTCTGTGTATATCTAGTGCTGCTCATCGATGTTGTATCAGGGTCAAACGAACGCTCCTCGTCGCTTCGTGAGTCAGGTGTTATGGCGCCATACCGAAGCGTACGATTCTATTGCGGAAGGTAGCCGATACACTCGGATACTCAAATTGATCGCTGCAGGAATAGAGGGGCAACATGGTGCTATGTTTGTCTTCTTTGTAAAGGACGCGCAAACGGATGCGTAAGCCTTTGGATGACGCGTCTTCTGATATATAAGGTCTTGGGAACAGGGCTTCTGTATACTCAGAATTCTTACTCTTCTGATCACCTGCCAATACCAGTATCTCCGAGAATGAGTGCTTGCAAGGACTGCTTCAAGGGTGAGCATTGTAACTGCTTGCTGCAGTTTCCTGACTGACCACTGTCGGTGCAGGGGTGCGACATGAAGGAACTCCTGAAGGTACGTTGCAAGGTTCATATTGTGGCCGTTTTCTCACTTCACGTAGGAAAGTGGGAGAAGATAGCTGGTGTAGACTGCTACATCAGCACTCCGTCAGGGGCCTACGCCAAGGAGAAGGTTCTTCTGCTCCTCGCGGACGCTTTTGGGCCCGTGTTGCCCAACAACCAGGTCTGTCTGTCGCTCCCTGTGGTAGCAATAGTCTCTTAACGCCTGCTCTCTTTTGGTCTAGCTCCTCGCAGATGACTTCGCCCGCAACGGCTTCAAGGTCGTCGCTCCGGACTACTTCGCAGGCGAAGCCGTGCCGGACGAGATAATGAACGACCCGGAAGTGAGACCCAGCCTCTGTTCCCCGTCACAGCTACTGACATTGCTAATCAGCGTGTAGCTAAGTTCGACATCCCTGCTTGGTGCGCAAAGAATGGGAACGGCGCTCGACGACCGCTCATCCACGCCGTCATCGACGCGCTTAAGGCTGAAGGCGTCACGGACTTCGGCGCCACGGGCTATTGCTTTGGTGGCTGGTACACTTTTGACCTCGCCAGCGACCGTTTGATCAAGGCCGCTTCTGTTTCTCATCCGTCGTTCCTGAAGAGCCCCGAGGATCTGGAGGCAAGACACTAGTCAACAATGGAGCCCCTCTTGTTCTAATCATGTATGTTTGCAGAAATATGCCAACAACGCCATCGCGCCGCTCCTCATCAACAGCTGCGAGGTCGACGATCAGTTCCCACTAGCAGCCCAGGCGCAAGCAGACGCTATTCTCGGCAATGGGAAGTTTGCTCCGGGATACAAGCGCACGTACTGGGAGGGTTGCGTGCATGGGTTCGCCGTGCGCGGCGATATGAGCGACCCGAAGGTGAAAGCGGGAAAAGAAGGCGCGTTCGAAGCAACAGTGCAGTGGATGAAGGAGCACCTCTGAATGTGCTTTGACTCAATGATTACTGGCATGGAAATACAAGTTCAATTACACGCTGCGCGATTGTTCATGCCAACATCTGTTTGTCGCACCAGTACTTCACCCAAGCATCGGCGTCCTTCTGATCCAGAGGTTGTAAGTCGCGCAATGTCTTGCTGACCGCTGCCATCTTGTCCGTCGCAAAGTCTCCGAGCCCGTGCCCTAAGCTCATCTCTCGGTAGAAGTCTAGCAGCTTCACTCCAGGCTGTTGACCAATGTCAGACAACCCAAAGACACTCGCACAGGGTGACCAACTCACCACTTCTTGCACATCCACGTCTGTACGAGCCGCCGTCGCTTCCAACTTTGCAAACCACTCCTGGAAGGAAATGATGGGTACGTCTCGGCCAAGTTGGCTTTTCATCGAGCGTTGCACGTCCTCGATGATTCGATTCCATTGCACGGGTCGCGGATGGACAATATTGTGCGACGGGGCCAGCCCATTTTCGAAGAAAGCAGCGTTGATGAGAGTGGCTGCGACAGCAGTGGACGGCACCCATGTAACCTCCTAAGGACGATGAGGACGCGATGCGTTCGTAAGAGCACCAAACGCACCTGCTCATCACTCGGCAGCACACCTAGCGCTACGCTCGTCTTCACCAGGATCGGGAACCAGTCCGTCGTCGCCCACGACCCGCGCGGCGCATCGCCTGAGATCTGGCCGACGCGCACCGAGCAGAATCGTATCCCGCTCGCTGCCAGCACGCGCTCCGCGGCGTACTTGGCTTGGCCGTATCCTCCACCGCCGACTGCGACTCCCGGGTCCTCGATGAGTTGCTCGGGCACTGGTCCTTGCGTAGCAGAATCCCAGGACCATGCCGAGCCGATGGAGTTCGTGAAGATGAACCGAAGGTTGCCTGCGTACACTGAATACCGGGCGAAGTCGACGAGGGCGCGCGTGCTGCGGACGCTATGTTCGAAGGCGCTGATATTGAGGTTGAAGTCGAGGCGCCAGGCGACGTGGAAGATCATGTTGACTGTGTTGAGCATCTGGACAGACAGGTCAGGTCAGTGGAGAAAAGAAAGCCAGCAGACGCACCTCGGCGTAAACTGCATCACTTTGGCCAAAATTAACCGCGCACACATCCCCTTCGAGGGAGAGCAGCTTCTGCGACTCTAGAAGCCCTATGTCCAAGCCCTTGTCCTCGAAGCGCGTACGCTGTCGATGTGCTGCTGGAGCTGAGCCCACGCGTTCGATGGTGTACACACGACTGACGCGCTCGTCTTGCAACAGCTGCGTTAAGATGTCTGCGCCGAGGTTGCCCGTCGTCCCAGTCATCAGAACAACGGTAGGCAAAAGGGGCGCTTCCGCGACGTCCGCAGGAACATACTTCGGCAAGGTTGACGCGTCAACATACCCAGGAAGCCCCTCGCTATGCTTCGCCGCCATACGCACGACGGCCTCCTTCGCGCTTGCTTCACTGGACACAATGTAGCCAGTCTCTCCCCGCGCCAACTTGCTGACAATGGTGGCGAGTTTCTTGATCGATGGATGTTCATAGACCACGTTCTGCCTAATTTCTGTCGCAGCAAAGACGGTGGATGGGTCTGACTTGAGTGCACTGATTAGCCTTCTGCGGAGGATGGTGCTGTTCAGGCTGACAGTTAGATGAGCATGGCGTTCACAAACTTGAAGATAGAACTATACCTATCGAAGCCCTGCTCAAAGAGGTCCACATGGCGGTCCATGTCACGGCCTGTGATATTGCGAACGTGCCGGGCAATCCAGTCCGCGATAGTAGGCGCGTCCCAGCTTGAAGGAGGGTTTGCGTCTAGGTCGTCACCCTGCTCAACGCTCTCCAAAGCCTTGTAGCTGCCGAGCGCGTCAGAGCTTAGGGACGTTGGGCGACTAGAATCGTTCACCCACATATTCTCAATCTCCTCTTCATATACCTTCAGCGCCAGTTTGCGAACCACTGTGCCCTTGTCAGTCCGAGGGAGGGGCCGATCCGGGTGCGCAACGAGGATGAGTTCCTTGAAGATACGACTGTAGGCCGGAGCGACCTTGTTTGCTTCTTCGACAATGAGCCTGTGTAGTCGGAGGGATTGATGAGCACTAGAGAACCATCTATGACTTACATACACACCAAACGGAATTCCGGAAAGCCGCCACCTGCACGTTGTCCTTGACGTCGATCTTGTGTCCCGCAGATGGTTCGATGAGAATGCCCGCTTCGTCCTTTCCGCGACCGAACATTACCGCGGCGGCGACGCTGGTACACTAATCAGCTTGCGTATCACCGCGTGAAGAGAAATCACGAACAGTGGACTGGTCAGAATCATACCTTCAATGGGCACGGGCACGGTCTTCTCGCCCGTCGAGTGTACGATGACATCGTCCTTCCGGCCCACACTAGGAGTAATTGTCAGTCGATGGTAGTGTTTGAGCGCAGACAACAGGCCTTACACCTTCCGCAAGTGCGGCTTCGTCGGATGAGGCAAGTACAAATCGTTCGTCGCATAAGCCCGGCGACCCGTCATATTGAGCACCGCAGGCTTGTGCCAGTGGTCATCCTCTGCCTTGACGGGTCGATCAGCTGTCCACATCGCGCCACCGACGGGTCACCAGACTTACTGGTATAATCAGCTCCTCAGTTCCATCATCCTGCTTCTCCCAGTCCAGCGACGCATTCGCATCCAGCTCTACCCAACACCACTCCTTCCAATCCTCCTCTTGCGTCGGCATGAGGTGGGAGGGGATACCGAACTCGGTCGCGCCGAGGATGGACCTGAGCTTGATGCCAGAAGCGGATAGGTTGTCTCCGAGGGCGTCGCTGAGGGGTCCGCCGCAGTAGATCTGAAATTTATGAGCGGAAGACTTTGGAGGGTAAGCCGAGCAGGACTCACCAAGACTTGCAGACTCTTCAGATACTCCAACGCGCTTGGCATATCCGCCCACTGATGCACGTACGCTGGTACAGTGACGATCGCAGTCGAACCGCTCGCGCGCGCTGCAGCGAGGTGTGCTTCAGGCGTCGGTGGTATAGGGACTTCTGTAGGTGTCTACGAGTCGTGATCAATGACTATAGCTTCCCGATGCTAGTTTCATTGCTGACCTTGACCGTTGGCGCAAACAGCGCAACCTCCGCACCACCAAAAAGTGGTACGAGGACATGCGCCCAGAATGCCAATCCGTGGAACGGTGGCAAAATATGCGACGCGAACCGCGGGCGGGGCTCGAAGCGGTGGATGTCGGTGATAGTCGCTGCAGAGATTCATGAGCAAGGCGAGATGCAGATGATGTGCAGATGGAAGGCAGAAACATGAAAAGTGAGTATGCTCACCGAGCCTCGTCCATCCCTGCACGTTCGCCTGTGTCTGCCCAACGGCCTTCGGGAATCCCGTGCTCCCAGACGAGTGGATATAGAAGAGCAGGTCATCCGGCTTTGCCTTGAAGTCTGGATAAGGTTCGAACTTCTCGTGTTTGGCCTTCTCCGCAGCGAAGTAAGGATACACGGCGCCTAGCGGGGGCATTTCATCGATAATCAGGCCATACTCCTCACCCAGCTCGGCCTTGAGGTCGCTTATGAGCGTGTGCAGGGTCTGCTGCGTGGCGACGAGGCGCCGGCAGCCCGAGGTGCGCAGGAGGTTCGCGACTGCGGGGGCGGCGAGGCGAGGCGAGATAGGGAAGGGCTGGAAGGTTGTAGTAGTTGAAGGCAGACTGTCAGTGAAGTTGACTACAGATAGCTAACAACAGGACTTGCCACAAGTCCGGCCCTAATCAGACCCATGGTAACAGCATGGTAGAGCACCGTATCGGAAAGAGCTACGATTCCGACAACGGCGCCGTCTTCGCCTTGTTTCCCAGGTCGTAGCGCATGTGCCACCCGATGTATAGCGCGCCCAAAGTCGCCGTAGGTGATCTCGTGGACGTTGCCATCGGGCTCGGCGCACGAGAAACAAGTTGCATCAGGGTTGTGCTCGCGGTGAAAGTCGACGGCAGCTGGGATGGGAAGGCTGCCATCTAGGGGTACGTCCGTGAAGGCAACGCCATCCCTCGTTGTTCGTTGAGATTGCGGGCTCATGAGGTGCGCTTGTTGGGGTTGGAAGTAACTTGAACATCTCGAAGCTTGTGCTGCTCCCTTGTGAAGGAACGAACCTGTAGCATTGCTCCAGACTCAGACGCACCTGCATCGTCTCAAACGCCCGAGGTCCTCGCATCGGCAGAAGGGTTCTTCTTGGGTATGCAGGATCGATTCCGACGAAGGCGGTTGTCCAACGTGGATGATATCATCACCATGGCTCTCTGGACTATGGACTTTGCTCTTTATTTCATGGCATGAATGCGGATGACATCGAGGGAAAAAGGCGAGTCTGCCGTTGCAGAAGAGCCCTCAAATATTCGACATGGTTGCGGTCAAGCTATGTGCGTGCCATGTTTGGCTAAGCATGATGCTTTCGGCAAATGCCGCCGAAGCATTGGTGGGCACCAATATCTCCTTCTCACCTAGATCGTATAGCTACACCCGATGTAGTAGTACAAGTCATCCTTCACGTGTCTCCTACTCCTCCCCGCTTCTCCTCCCTCTCCCTCTCCCTGCCCCCCTCGTGTTCAAACCCTCAGCCCTGGGGTGAACTAGTACCACCTCCCTCACAATGTATACCTAAACAACGGGCTCTCGCTCCCCATCTCCACAAACTCCTCCCACCGGCTCTCGTCGATGCCCTCCGCCTTACACCGCGCCTCCTTCGCGCGGTTCAGCCGCCGGTAGTCCCACATCGCGAATGCGGTGCACAGGATGCTGAGCCCGAGCCAGCCGAGGATTGTCCCGTGCCCGGTGTGGAAGCGCGGTGGGGTGATGTCTGGGAAGCCAAGTCAGTAACAATGTCCTGTCGCCTGGCGACATAGCCAGCGAGAAAAAAAGGCTAGTGGACTCACAGATGAACGACGAGCAAATCCCGCCCAGATTCCCAATCCCAATAACCATCGCAATGACCACGCCCTTCCTGATATCCCCGCCCGCCATGCTACCCGCCCACGCCAGGTTGACCGCGATGGTCGGGAAGACGCCCGCGGCGGCGAGGAACGTGCCGACGTAGCTCGGGCCGGGCTTGGACTGTGTGTAGAGGACGATGTAGCCGATGATGGCGACGAAGGAGCCGCCGATGATGAAGGGCCCGCGGAGGTTCATGCGGTCAGAGACGATGCCGACGATGATGGTGCTGGAGGAGGGGGTCAAATTCACGCCCAAGACGAAGAGTTATCAGAGGTTTCGACGTACGTTATGCAACCTATAGACGAGACGAAAATCAGCGCCGAACGAGTGGTGAGTGAGCAAGGATGAGTACTCACCCAGCACGAACGGCGGAATCGTCAACAACTGCGCCTCCGCATTCGCGTATCCAAGCTCCGCGATGATGGTCGGCAGGAAGAGCGAGATGGCATAGACGGTGATGAGGTTTCTGGGGAGGAGGGATCAGCTAACTTTCCTTGCGAGGTGCTCGCGCTGAGCGATGTCAGTTGCTCGCGCCCAGCGATGTCTGCTCCTCCCTCGCTCTCCGCTTTCCCCTCCCTCCTCTCGTCCGAGACTTTGGCAGATCCTCAACTTGAGAACGGACACTCACCCCATATACACCCCCACCTGCACCCAGCTCTTATAATCAAACAGCGCCTGCAGCACGAACTTGAAGTCGTAGTGCGTCGCCAGGCCCTTCGCGTCCGCACGCAGGATCTTCACGACGTGTGCGCGCTCCTCAGCGGTGAGGAAGGTCGCGGTTCCGGGGTACTGAGGAGGGGTGGTCAGATGCGTCGGTGTGTCGAAGAGGTGCATATATACGCCAAAAATGACCAAAATACAAGCCAGGACTCACATCATGCATGAAGAAGTACGCGGCCACGGCGCAGATGACGGTCAGGATGCCCTCGAGGCAGAACTATGGGAGAAAGCATCAGCGTGTGTCAATGCCTCAATGACATTCAGTGACGCACAATCCACTGCCAGCCATGTAGCCCCGCGATGCCCTCCATCTTTTCGATTCCGAAGCTGAGGGAGGACGGACGTGAGTAAGTAAACCCTTTGCCACTAACCAAGGGGCTTGAGGATAAAACACTCACGCAAGGATGCCACCAAACGCTCCGGCGACGGTAGCCGCAGAAAAGAAGATGGCAATGCGGGAGGAGACCTCGCGCCGGCGGTACCACAGGGAGAGGTAAAAGGTAACCTGAATGGGGTGTGAGAGGCGTTCGCCGAGACAGGATGATGTTGCTGAGTATTATCTCATTAAAATTGCACTCACTCCGGGGAACAAACCCGCCTCGGTAAGGCCTAGGAAGATTCGAGCACTGTGAATAGGATGAGAACGGATCCGAGCGTGAAGGACAGTAGGGCGTACATGATGAGGTCGTGATAGGTGTCACATAAGCACATGAGCGTCATGACGATGCCCCAGGCGACCATAATGGAGGGGACTGAATGCGAGAACAGTTAGTGACCTTCGTGATGGAGACGGTAGGCGCATATACTTACTCCATCGTGAAGGACGTGCTAGTTTGAGTAGAATGTTGCTGGAAGTTGATGAGCACAAAAGGTCGATGCTAGTGCCAACTTGGTGCGTACGATGGTACTTCCGCTAACGCATAGGGGATCTGTGACGTTGACATTAGGTTGGCGCTAAGACTGATCGAGGACACCAGGACGCACGAAGAAGACCGCCGCAACCTGTAAGCTGTTCAGTGGGCGATTTTAGGAGGCCCAGAGGGTCTGACACACCGTGTTGTACTTCAGACCATCCAGATGCGCGTCCACCGCCATCCCCGCGACCTTCGCATTCCCTAGACATCGCGTCAGCAGCGCACTTACCCCGTCCTCAGCGGGGCCTTACCAATGTTACTGCGGTCCCTGTATCGAAGTCAGCACCGAGTAGCGCGCCTGGGTAACCTTCACACTCACAAAAAGGACAGCAGGTAGAGCAACGACACGAAGGGGAGCAGATGCCAGTCGATCTTGCGGAGGATGCGCTTATGCTCGACCGGATCGAAGTCGTCGTGCTGGAAGGCCTGCTCGACGCGCCCCGGCGAGGCGTCCTCGTGGTACGATGCCTTCTCCTTCTCCGTCTCGTACGTGCTCATGATGGTGGGCGGAGGAAAGGAAGGTGGCTCGCGTCCGATGAGCGGTAAGCCCCCCTCTACCCGTCCATTAAACATGCATCACGTCAGCCTGCATAACGCAGCGCGTCCAGGGCGCGTCCGACGCGTCAAGCGGGTCTCACTCAGCGCCTGCGATAAGTGGGCGACTGAATGGCATGCGGGGTCTGCGGGGCGGAGCTGCGGAGATGGTGTGGGGGAGGAGGAACAGGTCCGGTCACGCGCTGATCACGGCGCGCGGGCCGACCAGCCCGGATAAGCGCCCACCTGCTTGTCCTCGACGATCGTCATCATGTCCACCGACATCCACCTCGCGGAAACCAGTGATACGTCCCCCAAGGTCAAGCCCAAGCCGTCCAAGAGCAAGGTCCCGGTGCCTTTTGCGTACTACGAGAGCGACGATGGGACGGATGAGAACCTGCTGATCATCCTCCACGGGCTTGGTATGTGATCGCGCAGGTGTGTGCGTGCTTGGCTCACACTCGCGCTCTCGCACAGGCGATACGCACACCCCGTTCGCGCGCATGGCCAAGCAGCTCAAGCTCCCGCAGACAGCCGTCCTTGCCCTCCGCGCGCCACAGCAGTAAGTGCTAGTCCGGTCGAACCATTCGAGCTTCCTCACCCTTCCAGAATCCCCTTCATGGACATGGAGTCCTTCCAATGGTACCCCTCCTTCGATCCTCTGGGCGAGCTCATCCCCAACCCGGATCCCACCCCTGCCCTCGACCTCCTCACCCGCGTCGTCGAGTACTTGACCTCCGAGTGTGCATGGGCTCCGCATCAGCTGCATTTCTTCGGATTTGCACAGGGAGGGAGCGTCGCAGCGGAGTTCGGACTGAGATGGTGGCGGAAGCATTCTTCCACCTCATCAGAACCAACACCGAACTCCTCTGGCCGCCTTGGCTCGATTGTGACCATCTCTGGTCCCCTGCTCTCCTACCCCACCATCACCCCGCCCTCCCCCACATCCGTCCTCGTCGTCCACCGAGCACCATCCAACGACCCCACGTTCCCGAAAGATGCGCTCGTGGCGTACAAGAAAGGGTTCAAGGAAGTCAGGGAAGAGACCATCGGCCGGGGCAGCCAACGCCAGGGCATGCCAGCGTCAAGGGAGGAATGGGAGCCTATAATGCGGTTCTGGAGCGAGCGACTGGGAAGGAGACAAGGAGAGGGCTTGTACGAGGTCATGACGGGAGCAGCGAAGACATAGTACGGGACGTTGGGCGTGAATGAAAGCATGATTTCTCCCGGCAAGTTGCGATGATGGAGGTTCAACTTCGTTTCCCACGGTCAATAGCCTCGAGTGCCCTGCATCTATCTCCTTGCGTATCACCTATCCCCTCCCGCCTCTACATAGTCGGACCACGCATCGCAGCGCTTTGAGTGTGCATCCTAGGAATTCGAACCTGCAATGAATCCCCTGACAAAGTTGCTCTTCTTGCTCGCCGACTCGGGGCCCGCCCCTGGTGATTGACGCCCGCAAAAAGACATACGATGACCGAAAGACTTGACGCTGACCAACAACATCGGGATATCATCTGCCTACAAGTACATAGACTCTGAAATCTCCTGACTGCTTCGTCTGCATCCCCTTGGGTGTACCCGAATTTCTCCGACTTTTCCCTTCCCACTCTCACCGCGTTTCACTGATACCTACCCCTCACAACTGACCCACTCGCATCTACTTTCCCCCTCCATCTCTCTCTCCTCCTCTTCCTCCTCCTCCTCCTCCTCCGCTTCTCCTCCTTGATCTCTCTCGTTGACTGTATCATGTCTTCCAAATCTCCCCCTCCCACCAAGTCCCTCTCACAGTCCCCCACCTCCCCCTCTGCCGCCCGCAGCACCTCACTCTTGACCATTCGTAGCACTTCACTCTTCACCCTCCGCAACGCCTCCCTCGCCTTCTTCGCCGCCCTCCTCTTCGGCTTCTGGAAGCGCAACATCGAGCCCGCGCTCGAGCTCGGCGGTATCTGGCGCATTGTCGAGCCGCACGGGACCGAGGGGTGTCGACTAGTGAGCGAGTTGCAGGCGTGCGAGAGTGAGTGTCTGCATGTTATGAGGATCACGCCTCTTGAAGTGGTATCAGCTTCCTCTTTTGGAGTGGCATTAGCTTCGTATATCGAAAGGACATTGTCATTCAATACGTTGACGCCTCTCGCTGACTGATTACCCCTAGAAATCGTTGTCCACGAGCCAACTGGCCTCGTCTACGCCGCCTGCTCGACCATCGCAGACCGGAAGGCCTGGCTCCCTGCTCTGAACTACTACAATGCATCTGCGAGGTGCGTGGACTTTCGACTTCGACCCTTTCTCGATTTCGTTCTGCTCAAGCCCATGAGCCATTATCATATGTTCGATTCTGACTACCCTCACATAGGTCAGGAAACGACTACATCGCCCTCTACGACCCCGTTGCCGATTCCTTTGCTAAACTAGACGTCATCGGTTTGGACGACCCGCGGGGACTGAGCTTGCACGGGATGGACGTGGTGCCCTCTTCGGAGGATCCTGACATGTTGTGGGTGTATCTGGTGAACCACCGACCGCCTGTCGGGGATGCTGAATCGTGTATGAATTTTGCCCTTTTCTTTTCTATGAGCAGTACCACTCAAGTCAACCCAGCAGCCACCCTCGCTCACTCCGAAGATCCCTCCATCGAGATCTTCACCACGCGCGCAGGGAGCAGCGAGCTGCGCCACGTTCGCACTGTCGCGGACCCGGTGGTACTCCATAGTCCGAACGACGTCGCTGGCTCCCCGGACGGGATGGAATTTTGGTTCACGAACGATATGAAGGACGTGGATGGGTGGAAGGTGGGTGGTGTGCGCTTTCATTGCTTGGAGGAAGTCTCAAACGTCTCGTCGACCTTCTCCACAGGCCAAACTCTACATGATCATGCAGGTGGCCGCCACCTCTGTCGGCCACTGCCACGTCGACCGCGGGTGCAAGATCGCGCTGGACAAGCTGCCGGGGGCGAATGGGATCGTGCGATTACCAGCAACACACCAAACTGGAAGGTTGAGCAAGACCGACACCAAGCTCATGCTCGGCAGCGCAACCCGCCCCGAGGTTCGCATTCTCGAGCGGCAGGCGGACGATACGCTGGAGGTCGTGGCGGTGTATGAGCATGGTGCGTTCTGCCCTTTTCCCTCTTCTTCCTCTTCTTCGTCTTCTTCCTCGTCTTCCTCTTTTTCCTCTTTGATTACCTACCACTCGTCCGCCCTGCAATGAGCTGACCAAATTCCTCCCCTCAGACCTTCCCCTGGATAACCTCACGGTCGACAAGCGGGGAACCGTCTGGGCCGCAGGCTTCCCCAAGGGCGCTGACCTCATCTCGAAGCACATCCCGGACCCGCTGGACAACCCGAGCGCGTCGACGGCGGTACGTATTAGCTGTGCGAGCGGGAAGTGTACGGTGGATAAGGTGAGCTTTTTCTTCCTTTGTTTATCGGAGCATCGAGGGGTGCGGAGCGAAGGAATGAACGAGGTAGGGAGCTGATCCTGATATGTACTTACAGCCCTTCGAGAGCGACGGCAGCAACAACATTGGCTCGGGGTCGACCACAGTCGCATACGACGCAGAAAGAAAACGTCTGTTCTTAAGTGGTACGCATCATCATTGTTGCTCGCACAGTCGACTCTTACCCGCGCGATCATGATAGGCGTAATGGCCCCCGGCCTTACGGTATGCGACTTCGAGGCGCCGCCCGTACCTACAACAGCCCAAGCAGCCACCTAAGCTGCTCCTGTGTTGATGACCCTTGCATTGCCCTAGTGTACACTAAAATCACATCTCACTCACGAGTCCAATGTTCCGAAAGCGCGTGCATCCGCTATAAACGCGGCACGCTCATGACCATCTGCCCCTCATGTGCCCTCATATCCTCCAAGTCCAAGATCCCTGCAATCAACCAAGACTCGGCAGGTTTTTGAGGGAGGTCGGCGGTACGCTGTGGTAGGGAAGCTCAGACCTCTACGGCTTTCACGGCAATGACGGAGGTACGCACGCAATCAGGCAAAGAAAGCAACGCGCTCGATATATCTTTCGCATCCGAGCAACGGTCCAGTATACAGTTCCCAATCTTGGCGGGTATGTCGTCGCTGCTGCAGAAGCACGAGACGGCACTGGGGTCACAGGCGCTGTCGCTGATGGCAGGGAGGAGGCACCGGGTGGCGCAGGCTGCAACAAAAGGACACGTGAGTACATCGAAGGCTGGAGAAGGGCAAACAAGACGTACCGGGTATAGCGGGTACCTGTACTGGTTCAGGTGCGTAAGCCGCGAATGTTGCCAGAGGGGATGCGTGAGCCATGATGCTGCTCATCGTCAACGCATCCAGGATAGCATATATGACGGTGAGAACGTGATTCATTGCGCTGGAGTGTAAGGTTGGCGGCGAGGCTTGTGGTAGGGGGAGGACAAGAGTGCTGGCCAGAGGAGAACAAAGGGAGGAACGGAGGTAGGCACGCGTCGCCCACGCCGCCGCCGGCAGCTATAAAGGAGCAGGAGACGAGAGACATCTTACTCGAACACTAGACATCCCACCCGAGGTCAGTCGATCCAGATCATCGTGGCGACCGGGTGGTCGCAACGTGAGTTGGTGGTGGACGGAAGTTCGGCACTGCGGCATAGACAGTTCACTGAATAGGGGCATGCGCATCGAAGGCCGGGATGACGGAGAGAAGGACCGGGGCGACACGGTGGAGAACCGGGAGACGTGTCGCGGAGCTGGGCGAAGCGATTCTGTGATGACTGTCGGTCTGCCGATCGCCAAACACGCACCTCCGCTGGTCCCCCTGGCATGAGACCAACTTTGACCCACCGTCGGAGGGCGAAAATGAGCGCCTGAGCAGGAGGCGCGCCATTTCCTGCCAATTAGCAAACCCGTCGGGTCTGACCTTGCCTGAGTCGCGAGGCGGAACCAATCGCTCGGTTGTCTCCGATCGTCGACGCGCCTAAAACTGCCAAATACGGAAAAAGTAAGATTTATTATCGTGAGTGTTGTAGTCATACACAGAGCTTGCGCGAGAGATCCAATGCACGGAGGAGGAAATAATGCACGAAATAACTTATCCTTGAATCCGTAGTAACCATGTCCGTGACCTTTCCAATTAGAGCAACTCCTGCTCACCCCTTCCCTCCTCCGGTGCCACAAACAGAGCCTCGAACTCTTCCGGACTCTGCCCGATGACGCCGAACGCCTTCTGTAACGTGTGGCCCAGGGTATCGAGTTCCTCGGTCACGCCCTTCATGGTCAGCGCGTATGCGAAGAAGAGCAGCTGACGCGAGCCCTTGACGTCCCGATTTCTGACTACGTCTAGCTTCCGGATCGCATCGACCTGATAGGTAGTTAGAGATTTGGACCATGGTAGGTCGAGCGGAAGACGCACCAAACGCTGCCTTGCCTTCTCCGCTGGAGGCAAGAAAGGTGGAAGAGGTGCCTTTAACCGGAAAGAGGCGGCCAGGATGGAGAACGCCAAGATGATGTTTCCCACCATCTCCCGCCGCTCCTTGTTGACCGGGATGATGAAGTCCTTGCGCACGCTCTGTTGGAGGGTATGTCAATTGCCCAGCTCGTCAACAGTGCGCAGAGAGCGCACCGTATACCACTCCTCCCTCGTTGTCACACATCGCATACTGTGAAGGCGATCCAGGATGACTTGCAAGCTCGTCAGGATGCCGCGGTACATGAGCACCGGGAATGGACCCTTCAATCGCGGCTCATGCTGTGTTTGGGCAAGCAGCCCCTGGAGCTCGATGAGCTTGATCTGCAGGTGTAGTTCCATGGCCATGAACTCCTGAACCGAGCTATTGAGCCGGTGTGGCGGCGACCTCAGCAGCGAAGTCGTCTCGTCAACGTGCCCATTCTCTTCTTCCGGGTGGTGCTGAGGTGAAAAGGAGTTCGATGCCACGAGACGGGTGTACAACCAGCCCAAGTTCAAGCAGAATCTGCGAGCACGATTAGCCAAGCTCTGACACTTGTGACGAGCTCAACCCACTCTCCCAGCGCATGCGAAAGCTCCCGGCGTGCCTCCGAAGGCCACCAGAGGCGCGAGATGACACCCGCCCAGATCACACCTCCAGTCACTGCCATCGCACGGTGCAAGCCAACGTCAACGACCGACGGATGTCTGTCGCGGGTGTTGTAGCTGATAAAGGTCAGCATGCGATATGAAAAGTAGTAGAAATGTGCGTACCAGTAGAGACAGGTTAAATTATACGTGAGCAGTACGAACCGCGAGGCCTGCACGTATTTTGGTTTCGCCACCGTGAACCAGAAGCATGGCAGCGAGAACAGGAAGCCGATAAGCGCGAGCCAGACAGGGTGCTCCGAGCATAGTGTGTACACGCCCATGGCGACGGCAGCGCCAAAGCTGTGTGATCATTGTCAGCCTACATCCACAGAAGACTTGCACAAACCACCCACATCGTCCCCGCAATCCGCTGAAAGCCCAAATAGTTCGTACCCCCAATCGTCGGCGACATCACCACGAAGTACTATGAGTCTCTTCTTTAGCATCCATCTTCTCTATCCACAATAATCGCATCCCACTTACCGAAATTAACGCCCAATCCCCGTACCACGCCAAGAACAGCGGCCTCGTCCGATCGAAGAACGCAGGCGCCGCGAGGATGCCTGCGCCCATACCCACCTTGAACGCGTACTTGGTGTCCCGCTGCGCCAGCCGCACGCCGAAGGCCCACACGCGCTGCTTGATGCGGCCCCATAGAGTGAGGCTTCGCGCAGGCGGGGTCAGAACGGTGTCGGGCGCGTGGGGGCGGACCTTGGGAAAGGTGGGCTGCCGGCGGGTGGCTTTGCGTTCGTTGTAGTACGAGGCTACGAAAGGAAAGCGTATCAGAAAGTTGAACAGGTTGAAAGAGGGATGGAGCGACATACAGAGTCTGCGCTTCAGGCCGGGGCGGTCAGGCTCTCGCTGGATCCATGAAGAAAGGCGCCTCCACCACGACTTGACGTTGGACAGCCGCTTCCACCACGCTGGGCGGTAAAGGCGCTGCTGTTCCAGGGTGTATATGCGTTCCATTGCATCCACAAGCAGGACCAGCTCATTCGCGAATTCCTGAAGCGTGAAGATGAAGCTGCGCAAATATCACCCGTCAGTTCACTTCGCTTGACCAGACATTGCAGGCAATGTATACGCACAAGTAGACCAGAAACACGTGCTCGTTGATCGTGTTGTCCGCTCCCGTCAAGACAACGTTGTCCTTGTTGTTCATGTCTTCCAAAGTCGGTGGAGTCGTCATCGAGATATCGCTCCGGCGATAGAGTCGCAAAACGGCATGGTTAGACGTGCTCTCGAAGCGGCCGAGAGACTTCTCGATGTCCTCCGCTAGTTGGGTAAACTCCTGCTGGTGGAAAGAGTCTCGTCGCCGGTTCGCGGGGCGAATGTGCCGGTGAGATTGCATGAACGACTCGCGAAGGCGTCTGAGGGATTCGGTGCAAGTGGTCTTGGTGAATGTCAAAAAGGCGCATACATGCAATAGCAGAAACGACTCACCGACAACTTCTTGAGCGGCGGCCCCAGATCGTCCACCAGGTCCCCAAACATTGACGCCGCAGCCTTCAGCATCGCGATCTCCTCATCCTCCTCGCTATCCACCTGATGCTGCGGCCCCTGCTGCAAGTTCAGCCCCGCCCGCGTGATATCATACTGCAGCCGCGTCCCGCCGCGTAAGCCATTCAGGTGTTGCGCCAGTCGATTCAGACTAGCCACTGCATCCTCATACGCCGCACTCAGCTCCCTCGCTGACTTCCCCAGCACGAACGTCCGCTCGCTCTTCCGCTCACTCAGCGCCTTCTTCAGGCTCGTGAAACTGCTCTGGTGCGCATCCACCGCGCGCTGGATCTTCTCTGGGCGCACCCAGCCTTTGTCGCCCTCGCCAGGGAGCGGCTCGAGCAGGAAGGTGTGCGTGAGCATGGTGAGGAGGGTCGAGAAGGAGTCGAGGGTTTTGGTCATGTTGGTCTGAAGGTTGGAGGCGGCGGTGACGGGCCAGATGAAAAAACAGACAAGGTTGGAGATGAGGGAGCCGGAGAAGATGATGAAGGCGACCTGGAGGAGGGTCTCGAAGCCGCCCTCTTTGATGATGCTGGGGATGTGGTGAGTATGAGGGTGAGGATGGAGATGTAGTTGGCATACACAACGAAGAGGATAATGCAAGTCATACTGCAAGCTAAAAGTTGGCGTGAGAGACGGTCTATGTGCGAAGGTGGGTATATGCACCTGTGTTGAAGCTTGGACTTGCCTACGAGCTCTTGAGTATGTGAGAAAGGTCTTTACTGACGGACGCACCATGTACACTTTGAGCCACGATATCGTCGCCATTGACAGACCGATCCAAAGGACAGCAACGATGTCACCGATCCAAGAGTTCCCGTCGAGTATACGCCCTGCCGTCGCCAGATCCTCCAGCCAGCGGAACATGGCCATGCCGAGAAGACAGATCAGGGAAGCATAGGCCAGCCCGAATGTGCAGTAGAGGTCCGCCTCCATCATGCCGCCCAAAGTTTTCGCTGGATTGTAGTACACAGCGCTAGAGGGAGTCAGCGACATAACTATAGCGATGACTGCACACGCACACAGTAGCAACCATATGGCCACTTGGCGACGGCTTCCGCTCTGGTCCACCACGCACATCCGCTATGAGGCCGGAAAGGGTTGGGTTGAAAGTGAAGAGCGAACCAAGGAAGTAGGCGAGGGCGCATTTGAGAATATTGCGGTATAGCAGAGGGACGGCGGGTATCTTTTCCCACTGTCTCTTGATCCTTGTTGAAAGGCTTTCTACAGGAGGCGGCGTGCGCGTCGTAGGCGTGTGCGTGTCGTCAGAGTCCGCCTCCGTCTCGGAGTCGGTCTCGTATTCGTCAGAGGAAGAGGCTGCCGCGGCATCGGGGTCATGGTAGGACTTGCGGCGGCGCGCGATGGTGGATGGGGGACCGCTGTGGGAGACATAGTGAAAGTCGAAGTCGTCGGTGATGGGGGACTGGACGCGAGAATGTCCGGACGCATATACGTTGTCGAGGTTCTGGCTGCTCGACTCTGGCAGGCCGATGACTCGTCCACCATAGTTGACCTTCAAGGAAGAGCTGATGTAGGATCCGGGGAGCTGTCCTTCGTTCTCCATGCGCTGCCCAAAGAGCGACCACTGCTGCCGCCGTCTGGTCGGTGTATATGACGACGCGATCGCCGTGTGCGAGGGTAGAGCACCGCTCAGCACGTTCGCCCCGCGGTTCCCCACGGTCAGCGCGCGTCTCCTACCTGGCGTGGGTGTTACTTGAGGCGTGGAGATGCTGCGATCGAGACTAGGCCGGCCGCCAACTCTCAATGGGCTGCTTTCATCGACTTGTTGGGGGGAACCGACGAGCGCCTGATCGCTGAAACTCGGCACAAAGCCGCGTCCATAGACGCTTTCATCTCGCGCTAAGCGCGCGGTGGCGCCCGGGATATTGATTGAGGAGGCAGCGCGGGAGAGCGTTTGTGGTGTTGGCGTCGTCGTCGCGGGCTTTCTGGGGGCCGATTCCATATCGAGGGCGCTGTGTGCCCGTCGTGCCCGCGGAGTGCCGCGTCGTGGTGGGGGCTGGGAACAAGAGGAGCAGTCTCCGTCGTCACTCGGGGTATGTTTGTCAGTTGACGCCGTCACGGTCGTTCATTTGCTCGACTGTTCGCGTTCTCTTGGCATCCGGTGACCGCACCGAACTCCCTTCGCACACATCTAACCCCATTTGGGGCTCCTTGTAGGTCCATCGTCGCCGTGTATCGTGTGAGCAGCCTTGCAGCTACTGGAAATACATATACCTACAGCTACATCGTCCTCGTGTATAACCCGTACACAAGAAACCACAAAAATCCTGATAGCGCAGCCCAAATCCCCCTACATCCCCCCTGATCTACCGCGCCCTCCTCACGAATTCCGAGATTCTCCTTCTATCCCTCTCGGAGAACTCCTGCGGCTCCCAGACCTCGTCTTCATCCACAAAAGTCTTCTCGACGACAATCTCTCCTTCTGTGGATCCCGGCCTCCAGCTCAATCGGCTTAGCTCGACACTGTTGAGAGCCCAAGGCGCCGCCGAACCGAGCTTCGCGGCTAGCGAGTGAATGCTCAGGAGCACGCGTGACAGCGCAACAGAGGTGCAGGCAAGAAGCATTCTGTAAGTAGTGTAAGCTTGTGAGTCTCAGAAGATCCCGTTCAGCGCGTACGAGGAATATATCGACGGAATGTTGATCTGCAAGGTGGGCAGTCTAAATCAGCAAGCGCCCTCAGCCATTTGGATAAATCCCAAGCATACCTGAGGATAATCGTGGAAGAACGACCCGATGGAAGTCAAGCCGACGGAGACTGTTGGAGAAGCATTGAGTGCGTCGAAGTCATCAGGCGGACGCATGCTCCTCACAGAATACAACGAAGTAAAAGGCCCCGCCGCTGCCAAATGGTGTCAATACTGAATGTCGGGCTGCGACGAAGGGCACTCACTCGCGTAAAATCCGCTTGAACAACGGTGCTTGGCGCAAGAACTGCCGATTGCGCACCGCGCGGATGAGCATGAGGACGAACAGCAGCGTCTGTAATAGCGGGTCAGCATCTCCTCCGCCGCGCGCAAACAATGAAAATCAATAAACTCACATGCACCACCAACGCCGGCAGATAAATCCTCCAAAACTCCTCCGGCCGACTAACTCTACAACCCTGTATATGCTCGATATTCCTCAGGATCTCCAGATCCGCCGCCGAGCGGATCGTGAAGTAGAACGTCAGGACGACGTTGGCGACATACGCGAGCGTGGTGGGGATGCGGATGAGGTTTGAGTCGGCGAAGAGGTACCAGAGGCGCAGGACGAGGGTGGCTTGCACGACGGAGATGGAGAAGGCGTTGAGGATGAAGGAGGCTTGAATGACGGGGCGGCAGCTGATTGGGGAGGAGTTAGTACATGAGAGGGGTGTGATGATAGATGGAAGGGTAGGAGGGTCGAGTAGGAGGAGTGAGCAAGAATTGTGGGAAGAAGGATGGCATGGCTGATGAGAGGATAGACGCGCACAACTGGTAGGCGTTTCAGTACGTCGACTATCAAGTAGGAGAGATTATCGCTCACTTCAGGTGATGGATACCATACGCCGAAGCCTAGGCTATCGTAAGCGCGTAACTCTGCCCCGTTGTCGAGAACGTACAGATCATCTCTAGGCTGTGTGTGGGCGTCAGACGATAGTCTCGTACGACGTGAAGGAGGGAAGGGGTAGGGACTCCAATGTCGAAGCGAGACTCGTCAAGCAAGCGTGAGCTCAGGGAGTGAAGAGGGAATCACGCACATCATAGTCACAGGCGGGAGGTAGCGATTCTGTTTTTGAGGTCGAGCGCCCTGTGGATGCATGGGGTAGGAATACGCACGACAAGAAAGAGCGCCTTGGAGATAGACCATGGCTCCTGCCAGAATTGCCTGATCTGCGAAGCATTAGCATGCGGTTGACAATCATGGACGCGTCGCGGGCATGGGGCAAAGCACAATTGCGCGCGGGAAGGACGACAAGCCCACCTCCGAGTTCAACGTCAACAACCAGTCGTAGACCGTCAAGCAGAAAAACGCAATCGTGATCCTGCGCCCGTTTTCCGCGCCCTGCAGCCGGTCGATGTCCTTTTGCAGGAGCTCGACGGTGAAGCCGAAGCCGAACGCTTCGGTAGACGCCATGCGAGGTGTTCCTGCTCTACCCTGTCGTAGGAGGACCTAGTCGTAGACGAGGTCGACAAGCGGGCGTCGCGGTCGCAGGGAAAGATCAGCCCGCGCTTCACCGCCGCAATCACCTATATACGTCTCCTTGGCCAATACACAGAGAAGCACGTCCGAACATCTTGTGGCGGCGATTTCGAGGCGGCGGATCATCAGATCTTTTATGCCCCTTTGGGATTGAATGGGTGATTAGGGTCATGGGGTGACTTCGAGGATTTGATAGTCCTGACAAGCGATGGGAAAGCAGTGCCAGCGGCACCAGGACGACTATCGATGACAGGCGTCGTAGCCTCTATCGCGTCTTCAAAGAGCTTCGTATACGCATGGAAAAGATCTTGAGCACCCACAGATGATTTGCTTCGAGCATCCCAAGGTAAAGCATGAATCCTCGGTTGAGACTTCGGGCCCACACAAGCTTCGCAGCACGCTGTCCCCACTTCAGTCAATGTAATGTCAAGCTGAAGAGCATTAGGCTGTACGTACTGTACCATGTCAAATGTCACGAAGATGGGAGAATAGCGGAGCCCCGGCGCGGAGGGCCCGTCGGCGGATTCGAAGTGAAAAGGAGGGTGAACCGCGGGGGCTGAGCGCAACGAGAAGAGGCCTGGTATGGGGTTCGAGGGGCACGACGCACGCGCGCCACGCGCAGGAAGCTTTGAGAGGACCTGGAAACCGACGTCGGTAGAACCACAATTGCGCCGGCTTGCAAAGGCCCACGGGGCAGGCGGCCGTAAGGACAGCACGTCATGAGACGTCGCGTCTTGTTCTCGATCTGTTGCTGTTCTTGAGAGGGCGATTGTTGGTGGCGTTGGATGCATGGAATCTAGCAGCACTGACAGACAAGGAAGATTGACATAGCTTGAAATAACCTGGACTTGCCGCTTGAGCTGGTAAGGGTTCTCATACGCAGCACGCTTTCCACGACCTCGAGTTGTTTATCCCTGAGCACGCTTACTCACATACTTTGAATAAGCATGACTTGTCACCACACATACATACGATATTGACAGCTACCACATGCGCACGAAGTTCGTGCAAGGGAAGATGATGGTTATGGCCAACAAACCGTGGGAAAGCACATCAATCAATTGCCGCTGCCAAATGCGGCAATCCTCCTCATCCTTCCCTCCTGGGTGCTGCACCCAACCTTGACTTCCCTTGTTTCCCAATGGCACCAAACCCTTATATTGACGAGACGCCTGAGAAACTAGGTATGCACTATAGTGCTCACTCTCCACGCGTCTAACGCACTTCAGCCCTCCGTGTGCTGCAATGTCACCGATTACCCAAGAAATGCGCAGAGGTCAGGCTCCGGAGGGTTCTGTTATGCTCATACAGCATGCTAATACTAAGTGTTGCAGAGAAAGACGGCTTTTGAGAACCTGATTGAATTGACGCGCATTGGCGCGCCCCCTCTCAAGATTGTGGCGGCACAGCAGATCTCGAGGTTTCTTGATGACTTCCCCGACCTCGAGGAGGACGCAATCAACGCCGTGTACGACTTATGCGAAGACTCACTAACTGAGGTGCGTGTCCGCAATTCTACGGGCCTTGCATGCCAGCTCACGCGGCGCAGGTCCGTGTCGAGGGATACAAGGCGATCGTCTCGGTGTCGAGAGCGAACAGGAAGTGGCTGAAGAGGAACGTGGATGTGCTCGTCCAGCTCCTACAAATCGGTGCGTCGCTATCCAATACGCGTTGTCGTCCTGCTCACGCGTATGCCTGCAGACCAGGACCACGAAGTCCTCGTGGTGAAGACCGCACTTGGAGAACACCTCGAAATCGACACCAAGGTCACCATCTCCGTTCTCTGCGACCAACTGGTTATTCCCAAGGAGCCCATCACCGATGAGGACGAGCGAACGACCCGCGAACGCCTCCGATCACTCGTGCTATCCTATCTTGTCAACGACGCGAAGAAACTGATCGTGGACGAGTGCAAGAAGAACCCCCATCTCTCCCGTGATGTTTTGTCCGCGATACAGCCAGTAAGGACTCCACCTTCTCTCGAACATACTTCAAGGCTAACCAAGTGTAGGCTCTCCAACAATTCGACCTGCAAGACCTCTGCACCCTGCTCGACAAGCTCGTATTCGCTTTACCAGGCTACGCTCGCAGTGAAGACGGGACGACAGATCTCTTTCCCTCCCTGATCACGACTGCTGCAGAGTACATCAATCCACCCGAACTGGGCTCTGCGCGCCCTCTGCTAGAACTCCTCTTGTCACTCGCTACCGTCAGCATGCCCCGGCTCGAAAAATTCTTGAAATTTCTTACTCCCAAGTTTCTACAAGGGAGTCGTCTTGAGAAGTACGACGCCGCAGATAGAATAGTCATTCTCAGTGCATTTGGCGAGGCGTTATCCACTTTCCAGTTTCCCGGTAAGGTGCAGATCAGGAATGCGGCGTGGAACGTATGTCCGTACGCGATTCAGGTGAGTACAACAGAATCCGGTGCATTCATTCTGACTAACGATCCCTCAGCATTTGACCGATCCAGTACACGACAAGGCCCAAGGCAAAGCCTTGAAGAGCATATTGGATTTCTGCATGCAGGTAAGTCTTTTAGCGACCTCCAACAATCTCCACCTCATCACATCTCCAGTGCATAAGCCGCTGCCCGGACGAAACGCCCAAGAGTCAGCCACTCGTTGAAAGCGCAAGGAAGATCACCGCCAACGAAGACCTCAAGCATCTGCACCACATAGCCAGGGTTCGCAGCGGACCCCTTGCTTGTTCTAACCTTTGTCCAACATGACCCCCTTTTACGCAGCTCATTGTAGATCCCCCGGCGCGGGGGACTAAACGCCCTTTCAAGCAGCGTCAAGATGCCCAACCGCAAGCTACGACGTCCAACGCGTCCCAAGCGCCCGCCCATCTTCAAAGCAACAAGCCGCATTTGCAGGCCCGGCAGCAGCGCAATAGCTTCTCGGGCGTACCAAACCGCCAACTCGGCGCCGACCAGCTCTCGAGACCGCAGAAGCGCGCGCGGACGGACGACGATGTCCAGCAGCAAGGCGCGCCGCCAAGCTTGCTGCACCGCATGAACATGGGCTCAGGCAAGCCGTACTCAGCCCCCGGTACGCCGAACCCGGAAGGTCGCGCCAATGCCTTTCAGGGCGGACGCGGCGGACCGCAGCGACAAGACCAGCAGGCCCAGAACGACAGTTTCGCTGGTCAATTGAGCATCAAGGGCGCCGCGACCCGGCAGGCGGCTGATGCGACACGACAGGCGACGCAAGCGGCGCGTCCGCAGGTGTCGCTGTTGGAACGGCTGGCGGATCCGAGCAGTGCGCCGCGCAGTGGGCGAGGTGGTGGCGGTAGGAAGGGTCGCAGAGGGCAACTCTAGTCTTGGTGTTTCTATCTACCTTTGGCATGTCCTTACAGTACTCCACGACATCTGAGCAATGCTGCCTTCTGATCCTCAGTTTCGTTGTTCGCTGTATGTGGGTTCAACCAAGCTGTGGGTCCTTCTCGGTCAATGCCGTGATCGTTATTCTCACGATGACATGAGTCACAGGGACGCGTCACGCAAACGGTTGAACTTGGCTTGAACGTCAGAAGGCCAGATTAGTCCCCATAACTGACTCTTCAAGACGACGCGAAGTATTCCAACGATGATCAAGACATCGTCCCACCAACCATATCTTATCCTAGATGGCGTGAGATCCATTTTCTCGCCGTGAATCAGGCCAGATATCTGAACGGCGCAAAGGGGTTCGGTACCACATTGGAAGACATCTTCCATGTTGATGTATCGCACACCGCGTTATGGTCTGCCAAACCGATTCTCGAGCAGCCACAGGTCATCATCGATGCTCACCTGGCTTTCCTGCGCGCAGGGGCAGACCTGCTATCTACAGCAACGTAAGTTGCGCCTCCTGTCATGACTTCGAAGATACTTACGCGCTTCTTCCACAAAGATATCAATGCTCCTACCGCACCTTCGAGCGTGCCGGGTACTCGGACGCGGATGCCCGCACCGCGATGACGCGGGCCGTACGCCTGGCCGACGAAGCGCGGCGCAAATATTGCGAGGAAAGCGGGAAGGCGCTCTCCGACATCAAGCTCGTCTTATCCTTGGGGCCCTTCGGTGCCACCCTCTCACCAGCCCAGGAATATGACGGATGCTATCCTCCGCCTTTCGGGCCGCAGGCGTACTGCACTTCAGGAGAGAACATCAACGCATTCCCTGCAGGCCCCGAGGGAGACGAGGCGGAATCCCGCGCCGTACAGGCACTGGTGGACTTCCACCTGGAGCGCTTGCATGTATTCGCCGCGGACGAGGAGGTGTGGCACGCCATCGATATCATCGCCTTCGAGACCATCCCGCTGCTCAGAGAAATTACCGCGGTGCGCGTGGCGATGGCGAAGCTCGTAGCGGGGGTTGCGGACGGCAGGAAGGCGTGGTGGCTCAGCGTGCTTTTTCCCGACGGAAAGTTTCCAGAGAAGCGTCGAGGCGAGCCAAGCGTGTCGCGCGAGGTTGGTGATATTGTGCGCTCGGCGTTTGCAGGGCGCACCTCCGTTGGCGACGAGATGGCGGTCCCGGATGGCGTAGGCGTGAACTGTACTGATGTGTCTCACTACTCCGGCCTCGTCGAGGCTTTGGAAGACGCGCTTCCCTCGTACATCGGCGACTCGGTCCGCCCTTGGCTGGTGCTGTACCCCAATGGTGGCGACGTCTACGACCCGGTGTCGCGCACTTGGAAAGAAGGGTCCGGGAAAGAGGAAACATGGGCGGATAAACTGGTCGACCTCGCTACGCGTGCGCACAAGGCGACGGTCTGGGGAGGAGTGGTTCTCGGAGGCTGCTGCCGATGCGGGCCAGACAAAATCAGAATGCTGGCGGAGAAACGTCTCTCTTTGGTAAGTTGTGCTTCCCTTTTCTGAATAATGAAGAGGACTGACCAAACATCGCCCTGCCACAGCCAAAATGATACCGTAGGTACGCTGCAATGGATAAGAATGCAGGCCAGTACTCCCGGCCGCCGTGTCGATAATCAGTGGGCAACCAGCTCGGATCCACGCGCGACTGGGCCTCGCAAGCCAGACGAACGTGATTTCTCACCCATGCAGTATGGGAGACTCGCAATCGTCTGAGGAGCGATGAAGAGCGATATCAGGACTAGATGAGCCTCGAATTTCTGACGAGACCCACTCGGCAACTTTCGAAATCGCCATGAACTTGCGTAGGCCGTCTCCAGACCAAACATTACAGATTCCGGCGGCGATGCCCTTGGAGTAACGGCAAATTCCGTGTCTTTCATTTCTCGTTGCCCAGCAACGCCGACGTGCCCTCGCGCTGCCCCGCAGACACGAGCAACGTGCTTCAGGTTCCGGTGTTACTTATCCTCATCAGGCGGACAGTGGTTGAGTAGGTATGAGACTGAAGGTTCACGACTTGCAAGCGGCTAGACGCCACACGCGGCTGTCGTTTAAGTTCAGCACCGGTACCAAGTCAAGTCACGCAAAAGTGGAAGTCCACATTTTTCGGGGACAAGCGCGTGAACTTGCCTTTTCTTTGAGGGATATCTGTATGCACGTGGGTGAGCCCCTGCGTGCCGAGATGTGTTCGATGTTATACGATGGGGAGGAGAGCATGACAATGATGAGTTCGGGCAACACACTCTGGGAAATCGAAGACACGAGCATCTTGCATCACTAATCATTGGTATCCTCCAAGAACGGAATTCACATATTTCCCGTCTCTCACCCTCGCAAAGTATTGCTTACGGTAGCAGTTAGCTGACGATTTATGAACGAAACATGTCACACGGCGTTACGGTCATTGTTGAACGGCAGTTGCCGAAACTCACTCGTGACGTGGCCACGTCCTCCACGTGTCCCATCTTCCTGCTCTTGCCACCAACACGTTCTGTTAGACTGCCTTGTTCGCGGCCTGCTGTTCCCTCCGAGTATCACAAAGGGCACCGAAACGTCACACCAAGCGACTATGCACAACGTACTGACCAGAATCAATAACCTCTCGGCTTTGCTGTCTTCGTGCTTGATGGGCCTAGTAGCAGTCATGGCGCTCTCGTCTGTCCTCCTCGAGGCTAACACGGCTCCACCCAAAGGCTCTGTCTCTATTCTTGCAATCAAGTCGTCAGTATCCTCTCCTTATTCTCGGCTTTACCGCTCCGCATTTCTGCCCTGCCGCTCATGTGCTGTGTCCTGCTATGAAGGGCCCCTGCAAGGACCCCGCACTTCCGCGTGCGCAATCAGGACGTGACCTTTACCAAGTTTAATATCACGGCAGGTAAGTTCCGCAAAGCTCCAAGTGTTGTATGGGCCCATGTTCCATGCCTACCGCACGAAATTATCCATCCATCCATCTGTGCAGCGTAGCCATCGATGCTCCTCTCTCGCTCGGTGCCAGCTTTCGGTCTCACGTCACCCGCAGATCTCTCTCCATTGTTTCACTGGAACACGAAGCAAGTCTTCGTCTACCTGCAGGCCGAGTACACGAATTCGCAGGGCGTAAGCGGTCTTTCCACCTCGCAGGTTATGCGGAGCTTTTTTCTTACGATCACACTAGGTGCATAACGAGGTCGTGATATGGGACAAAATCATTCGCAGCAAGGACGAAGCACGCCTCAATCTTGTCGACAAGCATAAGTACGCGTTCCGGGAGTTGTCTACTTCCTTTGAGTGCGTAGCCAGGTTCCTCTTTCCATCACTTCTTCCCTTCTTCGCCTCGCGGATCTTCCTCATCACTGCTCCCGCGGAGGCATTGTTTATCACACTCAATCTCGCTCGCGCACATCACGCGAGGCCACATTGAAGTTGCCATATCGCGTATCATCGCGTGTGTGAGAGGATCGAGGTGCAGTTGAACTTACGTCCCCTGCAGGAACGTCGAACCCGCGTCGTACACCCTCAAGTACAACATCATGCCCTATGTGGGCTTGCTGACTTACGGCGAGGCCGCTCGGACGGCAGAGCCGGTGGCATTCCCGGAGGTGCAGAGTCTCCAGTAATCTACCGATGACATTCAATACGAAGGGGGTCACGCTGGGTTGAATCTGTATAGATGGCTCCATGGACTGCTGTTCCATGACCTGTACGGGGTGCCCTACACCCATAACCACGCCTGATATCGTGTCGGGCGGGCCGACGCTCTGGAGTTGACGGGCGCGCCTAGCAATGTCGGTCAGCTGCCTCTTGGCGGCTTGATAGACACGGGTGGCTGAGAAGTAAGTGCGTCGAAGTGACGCAGGATGCGGGACGCGCGCCGCTAAGGGGGCGAGGTGCGCATTGGCGGCGCGCCATGTCAATTAGGCGGGACAGGGCGCTAGTGCGTTATGGGCGCGCGTGCGGCTGGAAGGGGAAGGGGGACCTCGTTGTGTGTCGCGTGAACAGAATAGGCGAGAGTCGGGTACCGCTCGGGCAATGCGTCAGGAAAAGGGGCTTCTGGTGGGAAGGAAGTACTGTAGGCTTTGTGCAGCGTGCGATTGCGTCGCGATGGGTGATAAATTATTGTAGATGGCGCGCCGGGTCGGTACAGCCTGGGATCATCACGGCCGTACGCCCGGCTCACGTCTTCCTGATTGTGGTAGGTGATCTGAAACGAAGTCGATGCACGGGCCCTTTGGGAAGGAACGTGCGAGCATTCGGGAAGGCCTGGTGATTGCCTGCCCCTACGCACATGAGGGACGGCATTTGCCGCCTCGCACCTTGCGATAAGGTGCTCAGGGGAAAGGCGATGGATTATCTGCAGGGCCCAGACAAAAGGATGTGCAAGGAAGACCTTTGTCGTGCCCAGAAGACGCCAAAGGCGGTTGATGTGATGGGATTTGATTCCGCCGGGGAAAGGAGCGGAAGCAAAAAGGAATCAAATTTCTCAGGTCACGAATCACCTTCCATAATTTACCGTGAGTACCCTTCGGGGCTGCTACCAGCCTGCAGACTTCTGTTAGCCGACGTCCTTACGACGTCGGGCATGAAAGAACTATTGGAGCTTGCGCTTAGGTCAATTGTAATGGGCGAAGCATCAGGACAATGCAGGACAGGAAAGAATGCATGGCTACAACCGGTGAAGGATGCGGTATACAAATGCCTTGGGGGTTCTGGCAGAGATCTACATGCTGTTAGCACGATAAACTGGAAATACATACAAAGCTGATCAGATCTTCATCGACATGATTTTAGATGCCAAGGTGCCGGGAAGCCGGGCGCGTGTCAGCTGATCAGAGTTGGCGTTATTTAGACTGCACTTTCCCTCTTGACATGCCCCCGAGCCTCATTCCTACCGCCGCCACACCTAGGACCAGAAACTGGCAAGAAATGGAGCATTACCCTGGGGGTTCCCAGGTGTGTCCCTTATCACTGCCACCCGGTTCTGAGCTCATGCGCGCGCAGGATGATCTGGACGACGAGTATGAGGCGTCGAAGCGCGAGATGGACGCCCAGTTCTATCAAACGTTCCCCGGGGCTCGCGTCCATCTCGAGCGACTTGGTATCATCAAGCCTGGCATGATCGAGCCCATGAAGCCGTCCCAATACCAGCAGTATCTGGAGGAGCTGCAGATCACCGCACGCGTCCACGCCCCCCTCCCCTCCTCCCCCGTCTCTCTTTTCGATACTATTTACGGCTTCTCTCACTCCTCGCTCGAGGAGGACGCGTCTTACGGCTCCGCTGCGTCTGGCTGCTTCGCGCACAACGGTGAGGCAGAACAGACAAGCAGCGGGTATCAGCCCGCTTCGCAGTTCGGCGAGTGCCAAACCACTAGCTACGGAGTGAGTACCCGGCGCCGGTCTGCCCAGCGTCGCCGCTGACGAAAGCATCCTCTTCAGCAGGTCGACTACTCGCTTTCGGACTGGTATCCCAACGCCGCTTCAGACGATCAATCGGTGTCACCTGCCGTCGCCGCCGACTACCCTCATCCCGTGCCCCAAGACGTCCTCACGAGCCCGCAAGCGTACGTCGAGTACCCACCTGCCCCTCCGCCGATCACTCCCACGTCGCCGACCTTTGCGACGACCCCCATACCTACCGATCATGCGCCCCACGCTACCCATCCCCCACCCAGTGCCCCCGCGATCGACACCGCCCACGAGGTGCCGACCGTATCAGTGTCGTCGCCGCCGCACTACCAGCCCTCGCCCCCGAGGTCGTACGAGGACCTCACGCCGTCCCCGGCGCGCGAGGCTGAGGCTGCCGCCGCCGCCGTCGCTAGAGGGCGCCGACATCATACCATGCAGAACCGTCGCGGGCGGGTCGCGCTTCCCCCGCTTGAGAAGCCGGCCGCATCAAGCGCCGAGAAGCCGCCCTTGGCCTGCCTCTTCTGCCGAGGGCGCAAGATTGCCTGCGGCGCGCCGGCGGCAGGCTCGAATACGTGCAAGTGAGTGTCACCCCCCATGCCGCATGTTCCATTCCACCCCTCCCTTATATATCATGCCCCTCGGAGCTCCCGAACTGGCGCGCGTCGCCGCATGACTCTGGACGGGTATCAGAGGACCCGAAGGGGCTTCTTATCGCGCACATCTGATTCTACGCGCTGATTCTGGCGCAATTGTCTTGCTGTGCGGTGGTGCTGACGCCGCTCCTCTCCTCTCCAGCCAGTGCGCGCGCCGGGGCCTCACCTGTGTCTACCCCACCGAGAACAGGCGAGGCACGCGTACGCGGCAGCCGACGCGCCGCAGCCCGCAGCCGCGGGGCAGGAAGCGCGACGCACCGCCACCCGCACCCGGCGTCGAGGGTATGCAGATATACGAGCCCGACAGCATGTGGCCGTCGAGGGATGAGAAGGACGAGGGGGAGGATGACGACGACATGGCGGGCGCTGGCGCGCTTTCGTCGTCGGGCAGGGAGGCCTGAGCCTGAATGTGCGCCGCAGCCCCACCTTGATCAATCTTTCTTGCCTCCTTTTCTCCATCTTCCTTCCTCGGGCATCTCGAGGCTGCGACCTCGAGCTGGGTAACGCAATCATGTTCCTTTCTTTATTTTCATCTCTTTTGTGCACCTTGCTCTCGCATTCCTGCCCTCATGCCGCTATGTATGACGCCATGCCACGTAGAGAATGCCATGTACTCGAACGTTCATATAATGCTGGTTATCATCCTCATCATCGACCCAACGAACTAAAGACCCTCCACCGACATTCATATCACTCTCGCCGTCCTGAGCATCTTATTGTTCGGCTCTGTATGTTGTTCTCAACCACAGCTTTCTTGTACTTCCCCATCTCTATCCCTCCCCCTGCATGATTCATGTATATATCTTGTTGTTCAATCAATATACTGCTTTCGTAGCCTGATCTCGAGGCCGACGATGAGGGATATTTGCCTGCTGTCCCTTGTGAGACAAACGGGTCACATCGGCCCTCGCTAGGCGCTCGTAAGGTTCCAAGCCATCTCCATCAGGGCTAAATGGAAGAAACCCTTCTAGACCGAGCCAGAAGATTGAACACGACTTCTAACTTCTGCGTGCAGCGCTAGCTTCTGGATATCCTGGTCGAACTTTCTAATTGCGGCGGATTGGCCGGAATGCGCCTCATTGGCCCGGGACGCCTCTCTACTGCCCTATAGGGCGGGCGCCGGATCCCTCCCAGCGTGCCTCCAGACTCCACCAGCGTCCTGAGCTCCATGATCCTCTCATGCACCATCGTACTCTCATGCTGCATGTATGATCCTCTCTTGCTCCACAGTCCTCCCAAGGCCCATCGTCCGCCGACTGCGCCATGCATCCTCGACTCGCGCAAGGATCACATACTCGGCACGCGCAAGTCCCCCACATCGTAGATGGGCGTGAGGCATGGAGGGCCCATAATCAGCCGCCTAGAAGGCTCATAGTAATTCGCCGGATGACAGATGCGCACCAGCGCCGCCATTGAGCGTGAAAAGGCGCGTACGACCCGCTATCTGATAGCTCGTGCTACATAGCCGCAATACTAAGGGCAAGGTGCCGCCATACAAAAGACAAGAGCGCATAGAGCCCGCCATTCATGATATCGGGCGCCTACGCTCCGCGCCAATGCACAATAGCCGGCGTCGGCCGCGGGCTGTGAGCGCGAGGCGTGCACGCCTACGCGCGGGAGACGCGTAACATGAGGCGTGTGGGAGAGGGAAGCGCGGGCTATGAAGGCGAACGATGGGCGCGGCCTGGGAGAGTGAAGGGAGGTCGCGGCCTTGAGCACGGCTGCTGTAGAGGAGCGGAGACAGCGAGGGAAGGTATGTCGCAGCGAACATAGAACATGGGGCTTGGAGCATGGATGATATGAAGATTAATGATAAGCGCGAGACGCACCTAAGACGTAGGATCCTATCCGATTGCGAAGGACAGCTCTCAGAGGAGCTGAACACAGCAGAATACGAGAAGAACCATCTGCGAAGAACACGATCTTGCGAAAAGTGTCAAGCGCCTGCGGCCTGGATGGGCGTACCTTCTCTATGCTTGCTTCCATGCATCGGGCGTAGATCGCGCTTCGCAGAGGTCATGTCGAATGAGATTGAACATGGCCTGGAGACGGAGTGAGAGCCTCCACGAATGCGCGAGTGGTCGCATGAGTGTGTGAGCAGATAGATGAAAGTGTCGAGGAGTCACATGAATGAGAAGAGTTCGATGGTGGGCGCGTATCGGCGTGCAACTTACGTCTCGTCGGTAAATAAGATGATCGGTCGATGGCCTGGCCATGAGTTTGTAGAGGACGATGAGCGCGAGCTCATGTCAGCGGCGGTGCTACATGAGGTTCATGTCAGTCTTGTGGTGGTAGGCGAGAAGAAGCATGAAGAATTGGTGAACTCATGTTCGGTCAGCAAGCTCAAATACTGAAGGGGCTCTACCTTACATTTCTCAGTCGCGACATGAATGTAGAGGTCGCCGAAGGGGGTCGACATCGGTAATGAAGACGAAGGAATCCATGTCGCAACATTAGTCGAGAGATTCCCATGCCGCGGCATCGCCGAGGCGCGACATACCGATGCATGTTCTGCCAAACGTTCATGTCGGCGCAGCGTCGATCTAGGTAATCCGGCGAAGAGGTCGATGAAGGTCGATGAAGGGCATGTTGACTTCAGGTGTGAAGATAGTACGTGCGGAACTGGCGAAGGACGAGGACCAGGCGCTGCTTTTCGACCCTTGGCGCGGTTGAGAGCCGCTCTGGCAATACGCTGCTCGTAGAGGATGCGATTAATCTTTTTGCGTGGGCATGCGCTGTCTGCGGTTGATCCAAATCGCGTAGCAGATATTAAACCATGCTGAGGGATCAGTGGTTCTTGATAGGGTCCGGTAACAGACTTGCTAAGTCGCACAGTCCAACCGGTGCCATTCCTTGCACTGATAAAGTTAACGTGAGTATATGACCAGCAACCTCTGGCGGTACACATACCGATGAATTGGCGGGCGTGCTTACCGGATGAGTGGGCACGGGCATGCCCTGCTTATAACGTACGATTGGGCGCATGCCTGACATACCAAATGCGAATCCACTAAACATTGTCCGGGAAATACGAGGCATGGTCGTCGCCTATCCACCGGGTCGTCAGCGTAGAGAGTCGTGAGCGTCGAGAGACCGACTCCACCTCGGTCTTGTAGATGCGCGTCGACATACCGCTGAATAGGAGGGCGGGGAAATACTGTTCGTGAGTTTACGCGTTCATGAAAGCCGTGAAACTAGCTTGCGGCTTCCAAAATACCGTCCCATCACTGGCGTTGCCGTCTCCTTCCGTGCGGGGCGGGATGAAGGGGACGGAACGGTCAGGAGACCGGAAGGCCGCGCGAAGGAGGAGCGTACTGAGGTGGCCCGCATAGCGTAGCATGGGAAAGCAAGTCATCAAGTTGCCAGAGAATGAACTCACTCTGAGAACCAGGGTTTTTCTATCCGACGTCAATGTCAAATAGAGGGGTGGAAGGTTACATATTGCAGAGGAGAGCAGCTGAAAACTAGCGACCATTGGTTAGATGAACGTCTTCGTTACAGAAGTCAGTGGCGCGGTTGTGTATTAAGCTTCACTTGTACTAGTGCCGCTTCGGACCCATCGCCGTATAGTACGGTGGCTGTTGCATAAAGCAAGATGAGGGTCATTCCACTGGCACTAGGTGCTTCGTCGAAGTTGCCACAAACAAGACGAAGCATGAGGTGCTTCCTCGGCCAATGCGACTTTGACATTCAGAAGGTGATGAGCTGCAAATTTATGTGTTGTCTTGAAGAGGGCCATTGTTCGCTGGCCATGACGCGTCGTAAAGAACAATAGCCTGATCATCAAGTGAGCGATGAGATCTGCGATAATCAGGCTGGTAAGACATTGCGCTTGAAAAGGAACAATGGACGTGCAGGACAAAGAGCACGCGGGGATAACCGCGTGCCTTCCATTTGATGAGAGCGTGTGAACAATAAGCAGGCGTTAAGTTCAACAGTCACGCATGCGTCACACCTAGAATCAAGCGTCCACAGGCCATAATCAATCTTTGCATTACATCGCAGCACATGCATGTGCACCGGATTGCCCAAGGTCACAGCGTTTGGCAGTCCCACTCACTTTAGTTCCGTGGGAATCGACATCAATCGTCCGATCACTTTTGCATTTGCCTCCGTTGGAACTCACAGGATATACACGGAACTCCAGCGATTTGGAATCCACTGAGTTCCGTGGCAATCCGTGCATATCCTGGGAGTCCTGGATATATACCATCGCAAAGCTCTGACATATCTACGATAGATGAGGCTTACTTTCGCGGTCCCAGTTCCGTAATTCTTTCCTCGGCGTGTCCTACTTACCAGAAAGGTTATGTCTTGTGTGCGGCGAGAGACCGCATGAATTCCCCAAGGCTCTTCTCGAAATCAGCACTAAAAGCTCAATCGCGGCCCGTGTTACATTTACCACCAGTCCAATCAATATCAAATTACTGCTTTGCCACCACGTGCAGAGTTGACTCTTGACTGTTCTTGTTCTTGACGCCCGTGTCGCGCCCTTGTCGCGCTTCGGAGTCGCGTATTCTCGCGCCTTTACTCTCTTCCACACGATCCGGACGCGTCAGCCACGCACACGTAGTCATAAACATTGATCAGGACCCTGGACCCCGGCCGCGCGGAGGCCCCAACCACAGGCCTGTGCACAATCAAGCTCTGACTCTCCGGCTTTATAAGAAACAACACCGTGCATCCACATACCATTCCTGCCCTCCCCCAACAAGCATCCGCCACTCGCCGATCTTCCATATCCGCCATGGACACCGAACAAGCGCCCGGAGCTCCTGCCACGGACGCCTACGGTTTCGACACCCAGCCGGACGAGCCCACCCAGCAGACGCAGCAGGACAGCCAGAGCCAGGAACAGCCCGCTCCTGACGACCATCTCTGGGGGTACCTCATCCCCCACAACCCGACTCTCATCCGCTGCGATTTCTTCAAAATCCAGGCGCGCTACAGGATCGGACGGCGCGCAGTCGACAACGACCTCGTGTTTCCGGGGACGAAGATCAGTACGTGCTGCACTCACCATGCTCTACCTGCCGCTGACTCTCGCATAGGCAACAACCATGCGATCATCCACTGGGACGGGACGGAGGGCGCATCGTCCAGAGTTACAGTGACCGATCTGTCGAGTAACGGGACCTACGTGCGTCATGAACACACTCTTTTGCGCCCATACACTCACACTGCACACAGGTCGGAGGAGTCAAGGTCGGCAGGAATCAGACCGCCATCCTTAAGGACGGCGTGGAGATCTGCTTCGGCAGCCCCCACACCCAATCCCGTAACAATGGGCTTGAAGACTACCGTGCGCGCCCCTCCATGCTGCTTACTGCCTAACAGCTCACCCCCCACCCCCTCCAGGCTTCACCTTCCGCAACCTCGCTCAGAAGAAGGCTGAGATGGGTATTTACCAGTTCTACGACATCGACGCGGATATCGGCAGTGGCTCTTTTGCCACCGTCAAGCGCGCGATCCACCGGGCGAGTGGCACGTGGTATGCGGTAAAGATCATACAGCGGAAGCACAGGCAGGACTCGCAGAACGAGGCTTTCGCCCGCGAGACCACGGTAATGGAGCAGCTGAAGCATCCCAACATCGTTATGATGAAGGATACGTTCTTCGAAGAGGACGGTTGCATCAGTGGGTACTTTGTGTTGACTCGCGTCTGTAGACTAATGCAGTGTCTAGACATCGTCATGGAGTTGATGGATGGTGGCGACTTGCTGCAGTACATCCTCGACAACGAAGGGTTGACGGAACATCACACGCAACAGATCGCCTACCAAATCTCGGATGCGCTTGCTGTAAGTAACCATACCAATCATTTGCACGACAAAGCTCATACATATTCATCGTCACAGTACATACACGCAATAGGGATTGCTCACCGCGATCTTAAGCCTGAGGTATGTTCCCGCATCAACTGCACTCCACAAAGCTCACTCGCTCGCGCAGAACGTCCTTCTGACGAAGGTGTCATCGCCGGACGAAGTGCCCATCGCGAAGGTAGCCGACTTTGGTCTGGCGAAAATCGTCTCCAGCATGACCATGCTCAAGACGATGTGTGGCACTCCGAGCTACCTCGCGCCTGAGGTGGTCAAGGGAGATGCGGAGGGCTACTCCGTACAGGTTGATAGCTGGAGTGTCGGTGTCATCGTATTCTCCGCGTACGTTGCACCTTTGCAATTACGATCCGTATCCTTTACCAAACTGATCGCGACCCATCGCAGTATCACCAACGCAAGCCCGTTCATGGAAGATTCGAATGCGGATATCCGCACACGTATAATGACCAGGCAGGTTGACTGGAACTTGCTACGCGAGCCGCCCAAGCATCCGGATACGGGCGTCTCCCCACTCTGTACGTGTTTTTCTTGCTGCGTTTTCCTCCTGCAGTCATTCTGTCTCGATTTGTATCCCTCAAACTAAATCTCCCTCAGGTCAGCGCTTCATTAGGGACCTCCTCGTGACAGACCCGAACGAGCGTCTCGCCATGCGCGACGCGCCGACGCATGAGTGGTTCGACCCACGGAACGGCTTCAGGCCTCTGTACGGCTACGCGCACGACCACCTCGCCGAGGCGCCGCAGCCGAGCCAAAGCCAAAGCCAGTCGCAGGCGTCCGCGTTCGACTTTGGCAGTCAGCAATCTGGGTTCAGCAACCAGGACTTCGCGCAGCAACAACAGCAGCCAGTATTCATGCACCCGCAGCAACCGCAGGCGTTCGGGCAGCAGCAAGCGGCGTTCGGGCAGCAGACAGCAGTGGCAGGGTCGGCCCCCCGTGTTTCCGAGGATGTGTCGATGCTGACCACGGGCGCAGGGGGCCAGGGTTCTACTACTGAGGGCGGTGCGGCTGATGGGGAGGTTGGAGAGACGGACGCGGAGGGTGGGGGTGGGGGCGATGAGGGAGAGAATGAGCAGGGTGGCGAGGGCGCCGACGCGGTCATGGCGGGAGCGAGCACGGCGACGATCATGGGTGGGGCCGCGGTGATGAGCGCGCCGGGGACGGCGGCAAGGAAGCGAATCCGCGCGGAGTTGAGCGAGGACGCGGTGATGGCGAGCCCAGTCAAGCGCGGGCGAACCAATGAGGACGCTGACGAGGCCGAGTCCGCGGACGCCTCAAACCCGCTCGACATGGTCGCGCCCGCCCCAAGGAGCCGTCGCACGCGCAAGCTGGCTTAATCCTCGACGTTAAAGCGCTCGTCATTGACCGGCTCGGTCCCTCCCACTTTATTTTCACTTCTCTCGTCTCCCATTCCTACACATCTACTACATCTGCCTTTATCTGACTATCCACTTGTATACTCTCTGTCTCTCGCTCTATCGCTGCTCTCGCTCGTCTCGCATCGTTATGGGTCACTTACTGTACGCAATCTAGTTCCGTCGTCCTCTGCAAGTTATGCAATGGGATTTTTTCGAGGATCATCGCCTTGAAGACGCTTGTCAGCAGGTAAGTGACGCGAGCGACGATCGCGTTCTCAACCGGCGGAGGCGAGGAACGGCGCATCACGCTAGCGCGTCGGCCCGCCTCTCGCTCCCCAGCGTCACCAGGACTTCGTCAAGAATCCCGTCCAGTCAATGTATCATTGCCTCGCCTCACGAGACTGGCCCTGTGAGAGCTGCTCGTGCAGGACCGACACGAGCCTGTATCATGCGATTCATCAATAGAGAACCCGACATAACCGGTGTCACCGTTTTTACTCTCAACGTTGGCAGGACGCGTCTGCCAAGGCTATATTGGACTGCGGACCGCACTGAAGGAACCCCTCGACTTAGCTCGATCTCGTAATTAACTCACGACGAGCCTTGAGGACGAACGACCCAGCGACGAGCTAACAGCACGAACTACACGACCAACAGACCCTTCAAACACAACCTATACCACAGTCTAGCATCATGACCGCTGTTCAAGACTCGGACCTGCTTGCCTATGTGGACAGGCTGAAGGACAAGGTGTTGGTGATCACTGGTGCGCTGTGTAGCTTTTGAGGTCTCGGAATGGGAGGGCCTGACGAGATCGTAGGCGGCGCTAACGGGATCGGCAAGCAGACGGTGCTCGATGCAGCCAAGCAAGGGTGCGTGGTTCGCCAGCTTGTGCAGGCGAAAGCTGACTTCCCGTCTCGAAACCGCATTCTTGACATACGCGCCCATTCACTCTACATCGTGCACGCCTCCCCTTTGTACACACACGCACCCACGCTCTACCTCGTGAAGTGCGAAGATCGTCATTGGTGATCGAGACCGCACAAGCGCGCAGGAGGTTGCGAACGAGATCGTGCGCGCGGGAGGCCAGGCGCACGCCGTCGCATGCGACGTGTCGGACTACGCGCAACAGAGGAATGTCTTTGAGCTCGCCATTGAGCGCTTCGGAAGTGTGGATATAGTAGTGAGTGTTGTAGCAAGGGCTCGGCCTGACTGTCCTTCTTCCTTTGCATCGCGCGCGCATCCACTGATGCTGTCGGCAGGTGGCATGCGCTGGCGTGTCCGAGATTGGTGGCTTCGAGAGGATACGCACGGATGACAAGGGCAAGCCACTACCGCCAGACCTCAAGACGGTGGACATCAACCTGTCTGGTTCCCTATACAGTGCGTGTCCTTGACTTCTCGCGCGACAAGCACATCCAACTCACCTCAACCCACCTCGCAGCCGCCCATCTCGCTATCCACTATCTTCAACTCAACAGACGAGACCGCTCGTCCCTAAAGAGTCTCATCCTCCTCGGGTCTATCGGTACGTACCTCCGTCCACCACCTCTCGCTCCCCCTCATCCTTCCCACCAGCGTCCTGGCAGGCAATCCCCGGCGGACCCCTCTACACCGCCTCCAAACATGCGATCTTCGGCGTAATGCGCTCCCTGCACCCCACTCTTGACATTCACAATATCCGCATCGCCTGCGTGCAGCCCTTCTTCGCCGACACCGCCATCGTCCCGTCCTACATGAAAGCTTTCCTCTCTGGCATACCCCTCACTCCCGTCCCGCGGATCGCTGCGACGATCTTGCACAGCGCGGCGGACCCGAGGAAGGAGACGAATGGGTGCGCGTGGGCATTGTTGGACGACGGACCGGTGATCAGGGTGGACGAAGGGGAGTTCAAGATGGGCGTGTATGGCGAGCTGGATAAGAGGTTTAACGCGCTTAACAAGTGGGTGGACGACATGCATGATGCGGATCGGCTACTGACCAGGTGTGTAGGGGCGTGAAGGGCGTGGTGTATGTGAAGAATACGTTTGAAGACCTATTCAGGTCGTTCGGGGCGGTACTATTGATCATCGCCGTCCTCGTTGGACTATATTTGCGCCGAGGAGCATAATTCGCGCGGCGCTTTTGTGATGTAGGTAGGATGAGAATCTGCATGCTATCTGAGCGGCTCTCCGGGTTTGCGATGGTAGGAGTCAACGATCTGGTCGGACATTGAATCGGGCGCCTGCGTATTGCGCGCCAGCGCTCCTCAGGCTCCAAGATTTCGACGATGGTCGCTGCATGTCCTCGTTGCGAAGGGCACACACGGAGCAGCCACTCAGGCGCTTCTCTCCACCTTTGGAAAGCCCGACGTCCAGTTGCCACCCACCAGCGCCTAATTTCGGCTTTCGGACCGTGAACTCGAGCCAATCGCAACTCTGTTGTCAAGTACGCCGGCGCTCTAACGCTCCCAAGCGGACGAAATATGTTCCTCATCATCCTCATATGTGCATAGACGAGATGATGGACACTAGGTATGGGTATGTGCACAGTTATCGTGTACTTGCATACAGCTCATTCTTCTCGAGATTGTTCCAGTAAAGGCGCCCGAGTTACCCACCACGCTTCTCGCCCATTTTACTCACACATCCGGCCCTGTACTCGCATAGTGCTCACCCCCGGAAGGTCGAGGCCACAGGTGGCATTGAGTCAGGCGACATGGCGCTCGTCCGCAGAAAAGCCCTTCGTCGATTCATCAGCGGGAAGCTCGAAGCAGGGCATGCCTGCGCACCCTATCACGACATCTTCGCGGTATAAAAGCAGCAGCAGGACCTTCATGGAATAAGACGACTGCCGCCTACCCCCTTGGACGCCAGACGAACCAGCCCCTACATGTCGTCGGACCTTCTCATCTACAGCGCACTCGCATGCGCTCTCGTCACCGCGGGTTACAAAGTCCTTCGTATCGGCTCAAGAGAGCAAGGCCTCCCGCCTGGCCCGCCAACCGTTCCCCTCCTTGGCAACGCCCTTCAAATTCCTAGGAAATTCACGTTTTATCGGTTGGCGTCGTCTTCATTTTCTTGATACATTTGTACTGATACGACCCCAGCTTCACGGAATGGGCGAGGGTGTATGGCGAGATCTACTCGGTATGACCGACGTAGTCGAAGGAGGCTACTATTAATGATGTGATGTTTCAGCTCAAGATTGGTTCTGGGACGGCCATTGTTTTGTCCAGTCCTGCGGCCCTGAAGCAGGTCCTCGACAAGCAGAGCGCAGATACGTCTGACCGGCCGCAGAACTCCGTTCTCGACGTACGTTCATCGAAGAATCTACTGAACAACAGCTCATCATCCGTGTAGCTCGTCACTGATGGATGGAACCTCTTCCTTTGCCGATATTGTAAGCTAATTCTGGAATACTGGAAGCAACTGTTGACCCAACCTTGCAGCCGATCGCTGGCGCCAGCTACGCAAGGCCGCGCAAACTCTGCTCGCCGCGTCGACCGTGAAGAATTACCTTCCCATCCAAGAGGCGGAGTCGACACAACTCCAGTTCGATCTTCTGACATCGCCCGAGGTGCGCCGCAATCGCATCCACCCTCCGCCGCTTGCTGACTTACAAGTACTGTAGAAATTCTACGGCCACATCGAGCGCTTCGGAATCTCCATCGTCATGTCTATCGTCTACGGCAAACGCGCCCCACGCATCGATGCCCCCATTGCCTCCGCCTTCGTCCATGAGAACGACCGCTGGTCTGCACTTCTCATGCCCGGTGCGACGCCGCCCGTCGACGCCCTGCCATTCCTCAAATACATCCCGGAGTTCCTCGCCCCTTGGAAGAAGGAAACGAGGGAGATTCGTGCTTTGCAGAGAGAGCTGTACTGTGGGATGTTCGATGAATGTAAGACGAGGGTGGAAGCGGGCGACGCGAACTTTTTCATGGCGGAGGTCATCAAAGAGCAAGCCTCCAACGGCTTGACTAGAGAGCAAGCGAGGTAAAATCGTTCTGAGCGCATCTTATATTTCACTGACTTAATCTCTAGTCTCCTTGGCGGCGCCCTCTACGAAGCCGGTGCAGAGACCAGCGCTTGCTTCTTGCACAACTTGGTCCTCGTACTGTCTGCGCACCCTCATGTGCAAGAGAAGGCGCATGCGGAGCTTGACCGCGTTGTCGGCGACACGCGTCTTCCGACGTACGAGGATGTCGAGCACCTCCCTTATGTGCAGGCCATCATCAACGAGACGCATCGCTTCCGCACGCTGGTGCCGTTGGCTCTTCCACATCGTGTCACGAAGGATACGCAAGTGAGTACATGTATTGGATTCCCAAGGCAAGGACGGCAACTCACCTAACGTATTGCAGTACAAGGGCTACCTCATCCCCGAGGGCGCGTCTGTGTTTGGTGATCTTCGTACGTTATGGCCTGGACAGTTTCAAGCCTTCGACGATAACGGGCTGGTAGATGCGGTGTATCATGACCCAGAGCTCTTCGAAGACCCCGACGTCTTCAACCCTGATCGCTACCTAGTTACTCCGCACGGCACACGCCCGGGCGTAGACGATAGTGATATGCGCTCGACTGTCATCTTCGGCTATGGTCGCGTACGTCGCTCATTGCTTTCCGAGATCACTACTTGATGATGTGACGCAGCGCATCTGCCCTGGAATGCATCTAGCGACCGTGTCCGCGGTGGGTGGCTGAGAGAATGACTGACACGATGTACGCCATTTTGACGCCTTCTATGTAGCTTCTAGCGACCATGAAGCTGCTTTGGGGCTTCGAGTTTCGCCCTCCGACAGACCCAATCACTGGCAAGGAAATCCCGCTTGACCTTCACATGAACAGGGAGGTCAGTCCCATCTTCCGCCTACCGCTGAGGCCCTTGTTTCATGCATCTATGTCAACAGGGCGCGGCGATCGGTCCACCTCACTTCAAGTGCAACATCAGTGTCAGGAGCCCGGAGCGCGCTGCAGTCATCGAGCGTGCGTTCAGAGTCGGCGCCACGGAGACATTGTCGGCCTTCGAGTATAATTTGGCGAAGGAGGACAGGGAGTGGCTGGACCAAGTTCGCGCGGGTTGAGTCGGCAGAGCGTGCTTACATACCTTGTTGTTTTTCTGGAATATACATACGATTGTCGTCGGCCTGTTTCTACAGTCATGAACGGGAGGAAAACATAGGTGCCTTCTGCAAGGGGAGGAGGTAGGAAATACATATGAATAGTTTAGCGGAGCAGAGTCTCGAAAGCAAAAAGATGGCAAAGGAAAAATAGGAAGCACTGTTAGTGTACAGATAAATTACTCGAAGACCGGGGCGTTCGCCCTCTAATTTGGTCATGGCACAACACACGCTCACCAACAATCAACTCTCTTCACCGAGAACCACTCCCAACTCGGATATAGGATCGTCTTGTCCTCTTCCCTCACCAAAGCTTCCCCCTCTTTGCCACCTGCTTTCTTGCCCCCCTTCCTGCAATAGCCACTCCGCGCCCACTGCCGGTCCCGCAATCCCAGCTCGCGGCGGAGCGCACCGATACCTGCCTCGTCGCTGGGAGCGGGGAGGAAGGAGAACTTTAGAACGCGCTCGTCGGCCTCGGTGCGCGGGAACGGCGGTGGTTTGATGGGTTTGGGTTTAGGAAGGCCGAGGTGGGAGCGGAGAGCGGCGTCGCTGGGGTGGGCGGATGAGGACGGGGTGTGCGATGAGGAGGAACAGGGCGTCGGTTCTGGTGAGCAGTCTGGGATCAAACTGCAGAGCTCGGTGAGGGCCTCAACGTTGTTAGGCTGTAGTTTGAGGGCCGCACGCAGATCTGGGTAAGCGAGAGCTTAATGGCGAGTACTCGAAGATAACATGATGAATACGAACCTCGAATTGCTTCATCCGTGCGACTGAGCATTCGACGCGCTTTGGCACGGCGGAAATAGCCTTTACCGCTGCGATGTTGGCCAAGAGATAGCGTGCAGGCCTTTTCAGCCTCTATCCAGCTTGTGGACGTCAGGTTGCGTCAGATGGCCGCTCTCGAAAGACGTACTTGCTCAACTTCAGATGCGCGGCGGCGATATTGAGTTGATAATGCGGGAGCTCAGGCTCGGTCTGATATGCAGCTTCATAATGCTTGACTGCTTGCGCATAGTCACCCCGGCGGAACGCAGCATTGCCCTGGGTGAACAAACTGAATGTTACGGCAATGTTAAGCGTCGACAGATGGCGGCTAACCTTTTCCTTCTCCCTCTCAGCATCATAGTACCGCACCTCCAGCATCTCGCTAAGAGACATATTCGGATCGTCAGGTCCTTCAGGTGGAGGCGGCACATTTGGCCCAAAGTCGAGCTCGACCTCCCACACGTCCTCCTCGTCCTCCGTCTCCCACCCCAGCACCCCACTCCCGCGCCCATCCCACTCGCGCTGCTTCCCATTTCTCGAGCGCCCGTTGATCCGCTCGTCGTCCCGCACCGTCTTCTCGCACACCTCGCCGAGGTGGTCCGTCGAGCACCCGCAGTCGCACCATTTGTCGATGAGCTTCTCGCGGAGGACGGAGCCGTAGCCGCGGACGTCAAACTCGCGCGCGACGCGCCAGAGGACCTGCGTGAGGCGCGCGTAGCCCGTGCGCACCTTCGTGCGCCACTCGCGGTCCCAGTCGGGCGCGGCGGAGGGGCGGTACTCGTCGCGCCAGCCGAACTTGATTTCGCAGGCCTCCTCGAGGGCGCGCTCGCCGTCAGCTAGGGAGCCGAGGTGAGCGGGCTTTTCGAAGATTGGGGGAGGGGCAGATTCGAGGGAGTCGAGGTGCGTCTTGAGAGCGTCGTAGTGGGGGAGCAAGTGCTGGGAGTGAAGGCCGCGCTTCTGGCAGACGTGGACGTTGTTGGACAGTGCCTACATGTGGACTTAGTAGTGAATATTGATGCAAAGGTGAAGGGACATACGAAGTGCCGAAGCGCGGTGTACGACCAAAGCACGCTCTTCGTCGCGACTCGCTCGCCAGCCTGACGCATGTCCATTCCGATGACAGCGCGAAGGAAGTCCTTGACGTCCTCTGAATCCGCATTATGCGCGATCCATCCCGGTCCCCCCAGTGCAATGCAGCGCATGATGAAGGTCGGCAGGTGTATCAAGGAGATGCTGAAGAGCCGCGTCGAGAATAGCCGTGCGATATCATGCTCATAGCGCAGCAGCAGCATACGCGCGATCGCCCGCTCGAGCTTCGTCGTAGGGGACAGGGGGAGGGAGGGATTCCGCTGCGGGCTCGGAGCGAGCGCCTTCGATTTCTTGCGGGCGTCCCCCTTCGCCCCCGCTGGCTTGCGCGGGAGGCCGCTCGCGGCGCGTTTCTTCACATGCGCGTACTTTGCTGGCATGGTGGCTGAGATCAAGGTGGTGTACAGCTGTATTCCGGGCCTGGGAGACGCGATTATTACTTGGCCGAGAGCGCATGATCGTGCGCCGCCGAAGATGCGAGGACTCACCGAAGTGTTCTCTACGTGTGGTCGCTCGAGAGCCTTACTCGACACCTCTCAACACCTCTTTACGACTTGCTGGTGTACACCGAGGTGTAGCAATTCCCGCAGACGAGAGGGAGCCGCCGTCCGCCGCGGATCCGGTATGTGATGTCCGATCTATGCGCTTGCCGAGCGTCGAATGACAGCCTGATGAGTGCTTGAAGCAGCTGATGTTCGCAGGGCAGCCGGTGGTCGTGTAGTAGGGCAGGGAACAACCTGCACAGTCGTCGACGGTCGTCAACGCGGCGCGCGCGGCGAGGGCAGTAATTAGCCTCGTTATTCTTCTCGCGTAACGATCACGATCACTGGACCGAGATCGAATGGACCCACAAGTTCGACTCGAGCTCAAGCTGGTCGGTATATGAGCAAGCGGAGTCAGCCGTAGTTACACAGGAAGGTTGCCTGGACTGCGATGCGAAGGCCCTGTTTTTTTATCTTGCGAAAGGTACAAGAATCCTTGGAAGGAATGGAGTGTCGAACCGAGCGATGAAGTTGCTTTCGAAGCCATTTATTGCGATCTGTCTACTCTGAGCTCTACTCATGAGAATGGTATAGTGCCGATTCTAGGTAAGGGAGGGAGAGTATTTTGGTGCCAGTACATGTGATCCACTTTTACAAGCCAAGAAAAGAAGCCAAAGGAGAGGGAGGATACATGGTATATTGTTACAGAATAAAGAGCCCACTTCAGTCAAGCTCGCGCGACGTTTAGGCGCTGTAGGTGGTGCCGATGTCGCCGAACTTGATGGCGGAGTAGATGACGGTGGCGTCGGGGCTCTGAGCCTCGACCTAAAGGGAGTTTGTGAGTCAGGAGAAGGAGGAGAGACTGTGCTGTCACTCACGTCAGTGGGGACACCGGAGTCAGTGCCGCACGGGCCACGGGAGACACCCGGCTCGCTCGGGTCCTTGTCGAGCGGGTAGTCAGAGTCGAGCCAGAGCATGTTGACGGCGTGGTCGTCCCAGATGGACATGACGAGGACGTGGCCGCGGTCGAGCGACTCGCCCATCGCCTCAAGGCCACCGAGCGTGCCAAAGTAGTTCTGGTCGCCGAACACCTCCTTCTGGTCCGCGCAGAACTGGTCCGTGATCGAGTCGTAGTCGTCGAGGCCCTCGATCTTGGTCGCCGAGTTCGCGACGACCTCGCCGCCCTGTACGTAGAGGCGGCGGATCTCGGAGAGCGCGCCCGACGTCGTGTTGTCCGCGGTGATGAACTGGGTGACGACGGTGATCGGCTGGGTGGTGTCGATGGTGAGGCCCTCGCCGAGGAAGGTGGTGTCGCCCATGCGGTAGCTGTTGAAGTCGCAGCCGTCCTTGTCGCAGACACCCGAGTAGCGGTCGTCGTCGTCACCGCAGTCGGTGCCCTCGCAGCGGGTCTGGTGAGGTGTGAGTGAGAAGCATTTGGCGTAGATCATCGGAGAGACGTACCTGGCCCTCAACGGTGCAGACGTGCGGGGTGTAGGCCGCAGCCTGGGAGTTGGCCTCCCAGATATCCATCTCAGAGCAGCAGGAGCCGTACGTGCCTGTGCCGGCGTTGGGGTCGTTGTCCGACCCAGCCCAGCCCTCGGAGTTCGCCTCGCCGTTGATGAACTTGATGTCGTGCGGGCACTGCGAGTCGCAGTAGCCCGTGCCGTACTTAGCGCCCGCCTTGTTGGTCGGGTACTTGGACACGCCGCCATCCTCGTCCATCTCGACGAAGTAGAGCGCGCCTATCAGTCGGAAGAGAAGCCGATTAGCGTCGCGGAAGTAGGAGAAGCGCCGCGGGCCCGCGTACCGTTAAGACCGCAAGGAAGCGTCGACATGTCGACGGTGAAGGTGAACTCCTTGTTCTTGAGCTTGAACATCTGGTACTTGTCCTCGCCGTTCATGAGGTACGTGCGCGAGCCGATGTTCTTCTGCTGGCCCGAGGTGACGAACTTGAGGCTGAGCGCGTCGCCGCTAGTCGTGATGCCGTAGGTGCCTGTGAACGCGTGTACTGATCAGCTTCGCGTCCTTCGCGCCATGTGACGGTCGCGCTCACCAGAGTAGTCCGCGCCGTCGAGGGCGCAGCTGGACGCGCAGGTCGCGCCGTCGGTGCAGACAGACTCGTCCCACTCGTTGCCGGTGTAGCAGTTGTCGTAGCCCTCAACGGTGTGCAGCCAGCGCCAGTTCGCGTCGATCGTGATCGCCGCGGAGTGGTCGGTGCAGCCGCTGGACGTGCACTCCTGCCAGGAGAGCGACGGGTGCGTCTCAGCGGTCAGGTTGCCGACCTGCTGGGCACGCGCTATCGCGGCGAGGGTGAGGGAGACGAGAGCCGCTGCGGGGAACATTGCCGAAGTCGGTTGGTGGTCCGGTAGAGAGTGTGTTGGGAGGATGAGAACTGAGGGACGGATCGGCGGGCTTATATACGTGAGCGTGCGGATAATCCTTGGAGGGAGACACGACCTGGGGCGGGGGCAGTCGAGGCAGGAGCACGGGTCATGGCTGCAGGGCGATCGGACTTAGAACCGTGAGTTGTCGAGGGTCCTGCAAGGGCACAACCGGGGAAGTACCGGGACCACCATGGCAGTCAGCTGGACAAAAATCAATGCAGACCCTGGAAGGTATGACAAGAGAGACAATCTCGCAGAGAAGAGCTTCAACAATTCAATTGCGGAGCCAGCGTCCGTCTGGCGGGAATTTGTGGCCTCGGGCTGGAGAAGAGCAGATATGACGGTGCAGACGGGTCTGCCTCGGGGAAAGAAACGTTCTGGAGATGCCTTGTCCGCAGTAGAGGTAGAATGCGGCGCAAACAGAGCAGTGCGGTGCCCAGAACAGAGTGTATCACACGTCGTGCACTTGATCGTATGTTCCCGTGAAGTTGATGGCGGATAAACACCTGGAGAAAAGGATGCTTCCGAAGAGTCGACGAGGATGGTTACTGGAGAGCGATAGCGAGATTAGGACATGGTCAGAACTTGGTCTAGCATGTTTTCTAGAGCTTGCCGCGAGTTGTAGGTCCAATTCGTCGTCGTTCAGCACGTTCTTGGGCGGCCATCAGGTCGCGTTATTCAGCCCATAATTGCCTATTGACAGTGAAGGCGTCGCTGTACAGACGGCGAACCGTTCTGCTAATTGGCAGAGTCAATTCTCGAGTGTCATGGGGACACGGCCGGGCCCCGTGAGCAAACTTCGGACCACGAGCAGAGATCCATACTGGGGGAGGACGTCTCTGGCCGATATAATGCCGTGAAAATTGAGTGTGAACTTCTTCAGAGTGCATCTGGCCGAGACTTGGTTCTCCGCAAGGAGGGTTTGGGCACGTGTCCGCGCTGGGCGTTACGTATGTCACAGAGTCACACAGCTATGCACGTGGCGTCGCGTGGTCGGCGTTTACCGCGCGGCGAAGGCAGAGCGTCACTCTCTCCAGACCGCGATGGGCTACTTCACGTATGGCCTCCCCAGCTTTCTCGTCGTCATAATTGCTCTGTATCTATTGTTTACCGGTATGCGAACCGGCTTGAAAGCCTCTGGAGCGACTGACCGACGCGCTTTCCCCAGATTCCGGAGAAGCATTTAACGTTGGACGTTTCCTCGAAGAGTCCTCGCCCTATGCGTGGGCAGCGACGGGCATTGGTCTCTGTATCGGCCTGAGTGTGCTGGGAGCAGGATGGTGCGTGTTGCGCAGCGCAAGTATGGATGAGAGACTGACGCGAACGGGCTTTGCAGGGGAATCTTCGTCACGGGCGCTTCCATTCTCGGAGGAGGCGTCCGCGCGCCTAGGATCAGCACCAAGAACCTCATCAGGTGCGCAATATACCCTCCTCTTCCTTCTCGTGCTAAGCTACCTCAAGCATTATCTTCTGCGAAGTCGTCGCCATCTACGGTGTCATCATCGGCATCGTCTACTCTGCAAAGCTGTCTAGCGTGTCTGACGAAGTCCTTTACACGCGCGAGAACTACTTCACTGGTGCGCGCGAACCTTCTTTCACCACCCAATCTTCCACTCACATTTCTCAACCAGGCTTCGCGCTCTTCTGGGGCGGCTTCACCGTCGGTGCATGCAACCTCCTGTGCGGTGTCTGTGTTGGCATCACGGGCTCAACGGCCGCGCTCGCCGATGCCGCGGACCCGAATCTCTTCGTCAAGATCCTCGTCGTAGAGGTCTTCGGCAGTATCCTTGGTCTCTTCGGTCTGATCGGTGCGCCTGCGAGTTACTGCCTCAAGCGAAATGTGAATACTGATCGTACCCTCATATAGTCGGTCTCCTCATGACGGCGCAGGCGCCCGAGTTCACCGCGGCAAGTTCGTCAACTTTGATGGCGAACGCGACGGTGGCAGCGCGCTACGCGGCAGCGAACGTCGTACACTAGTCACGATGTATGCAGTATTCGGGAACGGCAGCCAGTTCGATACCCAAATCGCGTCGAAAGCAACCTTGACTGACGGTGGAGGCTATCTAGCATCAACATACAACTGAAGACAGTTCTGCAAATATGTAGCTTCGCCTCCTATCGTGTCGCCCTCAGGCTGCTGCTGCTCGCCGACTGTCAGTCAATGACCTTCATCGCGACCTGTGATTGTCTTTTCAGCTTTCGCGACCCTCCCAAGTCAAGTACTGCTCACTCACAGGTCTCGGAAGCATCTACGAGTGCGAGGTTCAGTTCTTCCGGGTCTTTCTCGCAATTCTCTAAGATGCAATAGCCGACCAAGGCGGGCACTTCGCTGCCGCGTGCGCAGTAACATGTCTTCTGGTTCGGGTCGCAAGGGGCCTTTATCTCTTCCTTGTTCCAGCAGGGCTTCGCGCAATCTAGCAGTGACGCAGAATCAGCTTCACGTCTTTGATCTGACGAGCGACACAATATTGTTACATACCAGGCCTTGCGCGGGGCTCCGGTCGCGCGAGCGCGCAGCTGGCAGCGAAGAGGAGGACGAGAGCGGAGAGCTTCATGGTGTGTTACTGGGTTCTTGCGTGTGTGACGATGCGTCTGGGGTGCGAGACTGGAGAGCGCACGACCCTGTTGCTCGCTTATAACTGAGCAGGGAACGGGAATTATGTCCGCACAGACTGCACGCACCCGAACAGCGTCTACGTGTCTACACTTGGTGGGGCGCGCTCGACGTAACTCGGGGACGAGGGTCGATGTACTTAGGTCGGGGCGAGGGTCGACGTAACTCGGGAAGTGTGCTTTCCACTGCAAGGACTAGCGGGTAACGTAGCGGCCGGCGAGGACCTACAGCGGGTGACAAGGCCCTTTTTAGCGCAGAAAGGCCATCAGCAAAGGTACGTGAGTCACCCGTTGGGCTTCCCTCAGAACGTTGGCTGTGGTCGGGTCCGAGGGCGTGAGCTTCCCTAGTCAACCTCCCCTCCCCACACACAGATAGATGTACCTTTGGAGTCGGATAGCGTACGTGTGGGCGTGCGGTAGGTGCATCGCATGCCTGCGTAGCTGCTTTGTAGGAAGGTGATGGACACTTGGACCAATGTGCAGAGCCCCGCGCGTCAGCGTTACGCTGCCAAGCGATCAAGTTCAACCTCAAGCTTTGGGCGCCGTACCGAGCTCGGTCGAAGGTCGGCGCCGTCCATGTGCTGTCTCGTCGCATCGCTCACTTTTCTAGCCGCCAGCTTTCTGCTATCTCACGGGTCGAGGAACGAAAGCTACATCATATATCTCTGACTCGCCACCGGTAGGCCCAGCTGTTACTCTAGACTCCCAAGCCAGGCCGCCCTGTGGGCCTGTCCCTACTGCTCGAACATCCATAAGACTACTGAGCAGCTGGTTTACTTTCGACAAGCCGACACCTATAGACAAAGTAACTATATCGCTATATGACAGTGAAAATACACGTTCACTGGGCCCGCACGCTCGCCAACCACTCTCTATCGTTCTCATCCAAATTGTACTCGTAGGAAGCCAGCGTCTCCGTAGCATCAACCTTGAAGGCGTTCTTGATCTTTTCCGACCGTGCGGGACTGCGGCATCGAATGTCGCACTTGTAGCGCGGGGGACCAGCAGCGATGCCCTACGTCGCCATGAGCAGTGAGCGGTGCTTATACTCAAAGAATCAAAGCACTCACACCATGGTGCGCATGCACATCGAGCGGAACTTCCTTGCCCGTGGTAGGATCGACGGCTGGATGGAACTCGAACGCCCAGAGCAGCTTCATAGCAGCCAGAATGGCGGTCGTCGGAGCGAGGTGCATGCCGGGGCAGATGCGCTATGAGAATGATGAGACAGCATCGTCTGTGTGGGATCGAGAAGGACGTACACGACCGGTCCCGAAGACGAAGGAGGCTTTGAAGTCGCTGTCGTCTACGCCTGGTTTCGTGCCGTGCTCGGTGAGGAGGTAGCGGTCGGGGTTGAATCTCTCTGGGTTTTCGAAGAGCTCTGAAGGGGATCAGTACGTGATCACACGGTGCAGGACACGGTACAGGACGAGTGCACCCACCAGGGTCGTGATAGATCGCGTCTTAATACGCCCGTGAGTATAATTGCGACGTGGTATGCAAGACTGGCACGCACAAAGATTGCCAAATATTGTCGCTCCCTCAGGGATCAGGTAACCCTTGTACTGTCAAGCGCCTGTGAGACACCAATCTACAAGAATTGCACGATGTACATACGTGCACATTCCGTATCGCGCGATGGGGTAGGCTCATAGGCACGAGGGTCTTCAAGCGATGCGTCTCCTGCACGATGGCGCGCACGTACGGCAGTTTCTCGCCATCTTCGTAGACAGGGAGGCGTCCCTGTCCGACGACGGAGTCTAGCTCAGCTTGCGCCTTCCTCTGCACCTCTGGATGCGTCGCCAGAAGTATGACGAGCGCTTGCAAGAACAGAGCGCTGGTCTCCGAGCCGGCCTCGTACATCGAACCTGCGAGGAGGCTTGCGATATTGAGACTCAGCACAGGCTGTACGCGAGACACCAACGAGGCTAGCTCACCTCATCTGATCCCTGCCTAGTCCATGGCTAGCCTTGTCCCGAATTACATTGGCCATGAAGAACTCCCCATCGTTCGCGTCCACGCGCTGCTGACATTCATCGAAAAACTGAAGGTACAGCGCCCTTTGCATCTTGCGTATCTTCTTCGCCTGCTGCATCCACGGGGCCAAGAAGTCCGGGATCCATAGTAAAAACGGAAAGGCATCGACGGGCGGCGTCGCGCCGGGGCCGAGGAAGTGGTCCCAGAGCGTCGTGATCTCGGTGATGGCGACGGCACTGGGGGTCTCGAGCCGGGGAACGCGCTTGCCGAAAATGATGGCGGTGACGATGGAGTTGCTGAAGCGCTGGATGTGGTCGAAGAAATTCTAGAGATTAAGGACGGTGAGTGCTGAACTTGGGACGGCCGAGGTGGATGGAGCGTACATCGGGCGAGTTCAAGACATCAAAGACGAGTTGGGTGGACTCTGCTTCTTGCAAGGGTAGATAGTGTTTGACAACTGTGGACGCCAAAAGTGTTTGGGCGACCTTGCGAAGGCCGCGCCATCGGTCGGCTGAAGGGACGTCCAACAAGTTTAGATAGTCTCAAGAGGTTGGACGAAGGGTCACTTACAATACCGACAGAGAAAGAGATTCCATCCATCGGTTACCGTCTGCAACAATATTAGATGCAATTTGGTAGTCATGGGATTCAATGAAGCGAATAAAGCTCACGTCAGCGATAGGGTGGGGAGGTCGATCCGATGTGTACGCGCTCTGTTTGTCGAGAACATCCCGAAGCGCGGCTGGACTAGACAGTACGACGATCGTGCTGGGTCCCACTTTGAGCTGAAAAGATAGAGAACCGATGTTAGAGTCGGAGAAGCCCTTGGTAGCGAGTTGCTGCCCACCGAAAAGATTTCCCCAAACTCCCTCGCCCATTCTGTAAACCTGAAATGTGTGTGAGACGTAGCCAGGCCATATTGAAGTAATCTTACCGCTGGAACACGTCCTTCGTGGGAACTTGAAGGATATTCCCAAGTACGGGGCTTGTGGGAGGGCCAGGGGGCAGACCACGCTCACGAGAGCCGGCGCGGAGGGCTTTGTAGAGCACCACAGAGACGAAGGTTGCGAGAGCGAGGGTGGAAGTAGACATTGCGACGAGGAATATGCCCGATGTGTCAGTCAGGCGAAAGGAAGCAAGTCGATTGCTTGCCGTTATGTCGTAGAGGGTGGCCACGCTTAAGTAGCCGTCGCGCAGATCACGTTAGCCAGCGGGTCAGCGCCGAGTATACCGAAGCTTTGAGCTCTCGGAAGCGTCGTGAGACCAGAAGTGCCCCAAATTCAAAGAAGGTGGCGCATCCATTGAGCTCGGATACGACGGCCAGGAGGAAAGTTTGGGCGCTGGCTGGGTTTCAATGGGGCACCCACCGCTGCTCCTGAGATCGCCCTGGAGGATAAGTATCGATGAATGGCTGGGTCTAAATTCGTAGAGGTCATAGGTCCAACAATGGATTTTGTGGCCCTCAAGATCGTCAACTACCGCTTTGCCGGTTTACCGGAAGGTGCAGTTGTCCAAACATTTGCCACTTGCCAGCGCTCAGCGCTCAATGAGAACCTTGCGCAGAAAGTTAGAGGGGTGGTTGGTACTGTAGCATATAATCGGACCCTAACGCAACTTCGTGCGCCGGTGGGAGTTTGAAAAAGAGCTTTTATGGTCGGCGAAAGCCGAGTCAGTTCAGCTGTCACGCAGTCACTCAGTGTTCGTCTTGCGGCTTGCCCCTACAGCTACTAAGACAGATCATAATTTAGTTAATGATACAGCGAGACAGAGAATAATAGGTGATGTGATGTCGAGACAAGACGAGGAGACTAGATACCAATGAGCGTGTCGATGTGTTACGATTGAGAAAGAAGTGAATGAGAGTGGGAGTAAGTAGTAGGCGCAGATATGATCAATGTGTCAATCGAACGGAGGATAAGAAACTGGGAAGTCTGTCTATGCGCTAGACCTGGTCTTTATGGCGAGGAAGGGGCGGATCGTGCGTATGTGGACGAGACTATCTCGCTCGTACGGTACCTCCTTGCCGAAGGTGGTGGACAGGTCGTAACCCATCATCTCCCGCTTTTCTAGCACTCTTATATCAGAGAGCTGTGGCGTGCGGCCCGCAGATGCATCCGCAGAAGTACGCCAGAGGAAGCGCGCCCGGCGGAACCTGTAAACAGGGTCAGCTGATGAATCACGAGGAGAAAAACAGAGAACGCACTCTTCGTAGTCCTCTAACAAAGCTTCCATGTCATCTGTGGACTGGGTCCGGCTCAGAGCGTAACCTCGTAACGGCCCGCGTGCAGCGAACACATTCGATGGTCCCGCGCTGGCGTGATATTCGACTTCCAGCTCCGACATGGGGATATATCGCGAGGGCCATACGACCAGGCCAGGCGTCGGACGATGGGGCGTACGTGACGAAGACGACATACCACAGCCGAAGTCCAATTCCTCGTCGTCCTCGTCATCCACGCCAACAGAGCCCGGTCGCAGCGTGTCGGTGGACGCGGATCGGCGAACAGAGGATCGCCTTCGCGGCAGAGAGGAAGATCGTGGTGGCCGCGGAATGACAGGAGTAGCAGGGTCGGTCGCAGGCGGAGATGCTGACGTCGGGGCCGGGGATGGTGTGGTCCCCGATGGCCCGAGAAATGATTCATCGTCTTCGGATAGCTCCAGCATCGACTCCCGTTTACTCTTAGGCTTGTGCCGAAGTGCTGCATCCGGCGGCGCCAACATGACCTCGTATGGCAACATCTCGTGCACGCTATCCACGCCGAAAACGTCCAGCAGGGCTTTGCGTGCGACGATGTGCGGATGTTCCGGGAGGTTGTTGTTGGCGCGAATCTCCAGGAAATTCCGTTCGATACTGAGGCTCTTGTTGAGGCCCTCAAGCCAGGCCAAGGAAACACTGACGCAGCCAGGACCTGCGGACGCGCGGTCGGCGGGGGTCTGTCCGGCCGCAAGTCCAGGGCGCACTGCGAAGGCATCGTGTGCGATGTCCAGGACAGGGTCCTCCTCGACCGCTGGTGGTCTTTCCCATTTGGGCAGCTTGAAGCAGATTTGCACGTAAACCTGCGGCTCCGAAACTTTTCCGGCGTCGTCGCCCTCGTTGCTGGCCACAAGGAGCTCCTCGCGCGGCTCAGGGTCGATGACCTTCACCGGCTGCGTCTCCCAAGTTATCTTCAGCAGGCTAGGTAGTTTGATCAGAGGCTGCTTGTTCTTCCATTGGGAGGTGCTTGGCGTGCTCGGCGTCTCGGGCGTCTCGATCGTAGGGGTACAGGCAGGTGTAGCATCGAAGCCGGAAGGGGGCACAGGCTTGTTGTCGGGCCAAGGCTGACTCTGCGCAAGGAGCTGCTCGATGGACATCACCCCCTCATCGTCCTCAATGATGCGAGAGAGCGGGCGGCTACTTCTCTTCCAGGAAATGTCCGCTGGCACTGGGTTCGCCTCGCCTTGGGCAAGAAGTTCCCCCAAGTGGGAGCAAGCGAGCGATTTAGGGAGAGGCGCTCCTTCGACGATGCGACCCCCATATGGGAAGATCAGGTCGTCGATGATCACTTCCAGTCGACCACCCACTCGCAGAACGCGACGAGCCTCTCGGAAGAGGAATTGATAGTCCCCGCCTTCGCGGAGAGCTAGTTGCGGCCCGCTCAACCGGACGAAGTCGAAGGATTCGTCTGCGAAGGGAAGGGTGTGCGTGAGGCTGTACCGCATGATAAGTTGCAAGCAGCGAACAGGAAATAAGAACACTTACAAGTTACAGCACACGGGCGTGATGTTCTTCTTCTCTTTGAGCTTCAGTGAGTGCACGTTTGTCATATCAAGCGCGACGAAATGCGTGTTCGTCCAGATCTTGGCGGCATTTGTCGCCCACCAGCCTTCCCCGCAGCCGAGGTCGAGCACTGAGCGAGGCGCATTGGCGCAGGGGAACATAGTTGCCCCACCCGATAGGCGCCAGAAGAGTATCTCGTTCTGTTGTTGACTATGGCGTGCGTCAGTTACAAGTACAAAGAAGGGCGAGCAACGTATTGAAGACTCACGTAGTCAAAGTCGACCGATTCCAATTAAGGGGATATGGCCCAGGAGTAGAGATGCGATATTCGCAGGACAGATCATGATAGGAGAGCTCCTGGGGCACATAGTCGCCCAACTGTGGGAAATGCAGGCGCTGGACGTTCCAGTTCTCGCTCGGAACCTTCTCCGTAGGCTTTTCGTCACTCTGAGAAGGCGAGGGCCTGTGACCCAGGAAGAATCTCCTGCCCTCGGTCTTCTCGCCTTTGCGAGCTCCATCCGACGTGGATGAGGGCGTGTCGTCCTCTGAGGATGCTGAGTCCTGGTCTTCTGCGGACGTCTTGGGTGTGTTGGTATCGCCCGACGAAGCATCGCGAGCGAAGCTATTGTTGCGGCTGTGCGTCCGGAGGGTGTTCGTGGAAGGCCTCGGCTTCAAGTAGGGCGGGAGCCCTTCAACGAAGGACCGGAAGAGAGGACGCTTCGGAGTATTGCCGTGGGGGGTTCCGTTGGGGTCGCTGGCAGCGACGGTAGATAGTTGGGTGGCATCCGGGGTAGGTGGTTGGGTGGCATCGGGGAGATGATGAGTACCGTCCGTAACTTGGTCGGCCACATTAGCGGCCGGACCGCTCGACAGCGTCATCATCATGGCGGGATATCGAGTCTTCGGGTGAATGTGAGGGGTTGATAGATGTAGGGGTGGTTGTGGATACAAAAGTGCTATTCGCGGTCGATCTCGGTGTGTGGAGGTCCTCGCAGAAAGCAGGGGTCGCGGGGAATTTGCGGCGTCGGGCCTGTGCAACGGTTTCTTATAAAGAGGGGGTCATGGCTTTGTTGGAGCGCCGGTCCTTGACATTTGGCTTTGTTGTTTGCCGAGACCATGCATCAATGCAACCTACGGGTGAGGGTTTACAGGCGTGTGACGAGGTCTACGCACCTATTGAGCCTTATGGGGCAGTGTTTGTGTCGGGCTTGAATGGGTCAATGTTGCCGAAGCCGAACGGCGTTGGTCGTGAGAATGCCAACTAGAGCGGAGAATGGAAGAGATTGTCTATGTTACAGTGCCTATGATACAGATAGATGTCAAGACGAAGCTACGCCTTTGTGCAGCTCGCTAGGACAAAAAGTCAGCAAAACATGGGCGTCGCAAACACCCAACGCACCGTCGGCTGTTTTGCACGCGTAGGAAAAGCCAATCAACCGCGTCGCGGACGCCCGTGCTGCAGGTCATGAGGGTCAATGGTTATTCTGTGAGGGCCAAGCACGCTGGACCATACCCTTCGATAGCGCTGACACCGAGTACCTCGAGGCTGGCAATCCGTTCGCGCCGAGTACCGTCGCTCCCGTCGCCGCCTCCATCGTAGCGGTTTCGCCGTTGGCTCTCGATCTTACGCTGATAGTAGTCCTCGTAGTCGTGACGAATCTCCTCAACGGAAAGGCTATTTGGTGAATCCTGCTTGTTGGCGAGCAAAAGCAGGGGAACATTTAGGATTTGCGGCGCAGAGAGCACGGAGTCTACAGTCCTTGCACGCTGGTGAGCATGGTGATGAACGGACGGATGAGCGGGGTACATACCAAACACCTCCCAGCCCTCGCTAAGACGCTCGCGGTCTTCCGCATCTACAACGTAGACCACTGCGTGACAGTCATCGTAGTAACGATGCCATATGTTCCTGATTCCTCGTTGCCCGCCCAAATCCCAGAACTGAAGGATGGTTGAGGGGAGGGTGATGGTGCCGGCTGCGAGCCGGTCGGTCCCCTTCATGGAAAGCTCGCGGCGACCACGCACTATTCTGGCCGACTGTGGGCCCAATCTTATCTGGGGTCAGGCCTGGGGTTTCGTTGTAAAGGGTCTTGATCTTCTCCAGTAGCGTCGTCTTCCCTGCGCCATCGAGACCGATGATAATCACAGAGAATTCCTCCTTTCTGGTGTTATGAGCGGCAGCACAGACCCTCCACGACGCGCACTCACCTCGTAAGGTGTTCATGAAGTCCCTTCAATAGGTGGTACATGAGCGGGGAGGCACAGGTGTAGACTATTGATGAGCGCACGCGGCACACTTGACCGTGTTTGGTAGCGCGGTTGCGACGAGAAAATCCTTCTTCTCCCCGACCACCATCTTACTAGCACAAGTTCGCCGCCATGGCCCCCGGTCGCCGCAGAGGAAACAAGTCGAAGGGTATCCAGTTCACCCTGATGGTCGTGGGTGCGTTGGCTTGTGCTAAGAGTCGCGCGAAATGTATAAATCGCCCGCAGGTGAATCTGGGACTGGTCGCACGACGTTCGTGAACACCCTCTGCGAGTCGGATATCCTGGCGCACAAGGTCATCGATGCTCCCGAGAATGCGCACCTCGAAGAGGGCGTTCGCGTCAAGCCTGTTCACGTCGGTGCGTCGGCTGATATTGCCTCATATTTTACCCTCACACGCATCCACAGAGCTCGAGGAGGACAACGTTCGCATTTCCCTCACCGTTGTTGACACGCCAGGCTTCGGCGACAACATCGACAACGAGCTCTCGTGCGTTGCGCTGGTTGCCACGCAGTTTCCGCGGCTGACGTTCCCCCAGCTTCCAGGAGATCACGAACTACATCGAGCGTCAGTACGACGATATCCTCGCGGAGCAGTCGCGCATCAAGCGTAACCCGCGCTTCAAGGACAACCGCGTGCATGCTCTGCTCTACTTCATTGCGCCCACCGGACACGCGTGCGTCGTACCATGCCTACGCTCGCTCACACGTAACCCCCGTCCTTTAGCTTGCGCGAGGTGGACATTGAGCTCATGCGCCGCCTCTCCCCGCGTGTCAACGTGATACCCGTGATCGGTCGCGCTGACTCCTTCACGCAAAGCGAATTGCGCGCGTTCAAGAAGCGGGTATGTGTTCAATAGAGTAAGCCACGCTCCTTCCCTGTTCCTAACGAATTTCTAGATCATGGAGGATATCGATTACTACGACATTCCCATTTACAACTTCCCCTACGATGTCGAGGAAGATGACGAGGATACCATCGAGGAGAACATGGAGCTTCGCGCCCTGCTCCCCTTCGCCATCATCGGGTCGGAAGAGGAGGTGACCGTTGACGCGAATGAGCCGCCTGTGCGCGCGCGCATCTACCCTTGGGGTGTCGCCGAGGTGGACAACCCTGACCACTCCGACTTCACTCGCCTCCGCGGCGCGATCCTGGGCACGCACCTGAGCGACCTCAAGTCCCTCACGGAGGACGTGCTCTACGAGACGTACCGTACCGAGAAGCTTTCGCGCAGCGTGCACATCGACCCGCGCGACAGCCAGATGCTGCCGGAGGAGATGGCGTCGCAGAGCGTGCGTCTCAAGGAGGAGCAGCTCAGGCGCGAGGAGGAGAAGCTTAGGGAGATCGAGCTCAAGGTCCAGCGCGAGATCAACGAGAAGAGGCAGGAGCTTTTGGCCAAGGAGCAGAGCTTGCGGTGGGTGACATCCTGTAGTGATCTGCCGCAAAACACTCATCTATTAACAGCAACCTCGAGAGCCGTCTCGCGGCGGCGAACTCCATGCCCGGCACCCCGAGGACGCCTACGGCTGGCGGGTACTAGACGGCCGCGCAATCCTTCAGTCTCTAGCCGCGTACCCCACCAAGTTGCTGGCTTTACAACGATTGCCGCCGTTCGCTGTTCTATATATCTTGGAACTCTTGCTTTTCTTCGTCATGGATGCTTCCTATCTAGTGGTTGTTTGATTGATCTAGCCGCTCCTTAGCCCGCCCAGCTTGCTTGCGCGGACCACCTTGCTTGCTTGCGAGGTCCAGAGCCAACGACATTTTGACTTGCTTACGCGCTGCGCGGTGCTTCTTGCTAGCGAGAACTACCGTGTACGACCCCACTGTCGCTATACCCTGTGGTATCTATCTAATGTGTTGATTGATGTGCATTGTTGCAAATGAGTCTCGAGAGACTTTGGAAGGCAGGATCTGGCGTTCGGTGCGTTTGTGTGACCGCAACATCATCATCCGACGACAGTTTCACTGCTTGCTTGGGCGAGGGAGTATGATTGCCAGTACGTCAGCCCCTGTGCTGCACATTGTGCTGACTATGCTGCAGTTCAGCTGTGACGCGCTAGACATTCGACCGTTCATGCTAAAAACTACAAGGTCGTCACCTGAAAGCGTTGACGACGAAGGGATCTTGCCGAATCCACATCGCTTTGCACCGGGGACCAAACAAGGCCTTGCTTCAAAGCCACGTCGCCTGAAGCTCGGGATTCGGAGAGGCCTGTGTATAAACTTGCCTGTTCACGCGGTCGAGGACCATAGTAAGTGATGCCTCTTTACCGATCCGCAATGATACTGTGATAGCTCGACAGACAATGTACGTCAGACGCTCTTGTGTCCGCCGTCCCTTCATGAACGGCTGATAGGCAGGATGCTTCTTCACTCCGTTCATCCTTAATCACGTTGACTAGAAAGCACATACATTCGCTTGCGAAGGCTGCCGACGGAGGCCTCTGGGAATCTTTGCGCATCCCGCAAGGGCTGGAAGTACTTCTTCACCAACTGCGCGTTTGAGCCATGTCTTCGTCCGCTCCCCTATGATATCGGTACTCAGAGTGGCCGTGTCCTCAAGAGGCTATATAACGCCCGAGACGCAGTGCACCCAACCCAACCGCTCCCGAGTTTCCTTGCCCCCTTTCGTGAACGCGCAATATGTCGACTATGGTGGACACACTGCCGAATATTCCATTCGTGCCGTCGCTAACTCCCACCTCGCTTGCAGTCGCGGCCTTGACTCTAGCTGCATCCTACAGAATTTTTCGCATCGCCTCGCGCGAACACGGACTGCCGCCTGGCCCACCCACAAGCCCGTTATTCGGGAACGCCCTGCAAGTCCCTACGAAGGGAACGTACTTGCAGTACGTGATTTCTTCCTCCCAACGACTGCACATATTGAACGTCTCGCAGGTTCACGAAATGGGCGAGGGAGTATGGCGAAATCTACTCGGTTCGAATAAGTTGGGTCTTGCTCGCTATACGAGTATTCTGACAGTGCTCGCGACCTAGATCAAGATGGGATCTGGCACGGCCATCATCCTCTCTGGACCAGCCGTCCTGAAGGAGCTCCTAGACAAGCAGAGCGCTTATACCTCAGACCGACCGGAGTTCTCCCTCTTCGATGTGAGTATGAGTGTAATCTATGAAGCACCTCATTTTAATCCTTGTTCGTTCGCAGCTCGTCACCGGAGGCTGGGCGCTCTTTCTATGCAGATACAGTGAGTCGGCCAAGCTGGGCTTCGTTGCTCGCTCGCTCACTCATGTGCTTGCAAAAGACGAGAAGTGGCGCAAACTCCGCAAGGCCTCCCAAATGCTCCTCGCGCCCTCCGTTGTCAAGACATACCAGCCTCTCCAAGAGGGCGAATCAACACAGCTCGCGTTCGACTTATTAGAATCACCGGAGGTACATGTCTTCATCCTCTCTTTGGTCCTCTCATAATCTTACATTCCACTCACCTCTCTCCCCTTCAGCGCTTCTTCGACCACATATCCCGCTACGGCAACTCCCTCGTCCTCGCCATCCTCTACGGCCGGCGCTCCCCACGCATCGAAACCCCCACCGCCCTCGCCATTGTCGAGATCCTCAACCACTGGGTCACGTACCTCGAACCCGGCGCCACCCCGCCCGTCGACGTCTTCCCCATCTTCAAGTGGATTCCGGAGTGGATGGCCCCCTGGGTGGTCCGCGCGCGCAAGATTCGCGATATGCGGGCGGCGCTGTACCTCGGCCTGTTCGACGACTGCCGCGCGCGCGTGGAGGCGGGCGAGGACAAATTCTTCATGGGCGACGTGATTAGGGACCAAGCGGGCCACGGCCTGACGAGGGAGCAGATGAGGTGCGTGTGTCCCGGGACGGGAGCTCGACGACTGCTTACACTCGAACCATTTGCTAGCGAACTCGCCGGGGCCATCTACGAGGCCGGTTCGGAGACCACGAGCTCGACCCTGCAGACCATGGTCCTCCTGTTTGCTGCGTTCCCGGAGGTGCAGGCGCGGTTACAGCAGGAGATCGACACCGTCGTCGGCGAGGGTCGCCTCCCAGAGGCGAAGGACGCGGAACATCTGCCATACCTCAACGCCGTCATCCAGGAGACCCACCGCTTCCACACTGTGACGCCCCTTGCCATTCCCCATCGCGCGACGAAGGACCTGCATGTGAGGATGCTTCTCACTCATACAGCAAGAGCAGAAGCTGACTATGGTCTCGCAGTACAAAGGATACCTCATCCCGGAGGGAGCGACGATATTCGGCAACATCTGTACGCCCTCTGTCATCTTCCGCACGGAGAGTAGAGACTTACCCCGTACACAGATGGCCTATTCCACGACCCAGGTCTGGTTCGCACTTGCCCTCTCTCTTCTCGCCGAACTCAGAGGCTCCGTCAGACCTCTTCGAAAACCCATATACCTTCAACCCCGACCGCTACATGCTCACTGAACACGGCACGAAGCCAGGCGTCGACGACAGCGCCTTCAGGAACACCCTCATCTTTGGATTCGGTCGCGTAAGTTGCTTTTCTTCGGCCATTTGCCCTTTGCGACTTGCATGGCCCACCTATCCTTTCGCCGAATCTAACGACGCCCGACAGCGCATCTGCCCCGGCATGCACCTTGCGAATGTATCAGTGGTGAGTGGCTTGGCCTCCCTCAACCAGGATTGGGTTTGACGCACGACATCCAGGCGCTAGCTGCCATGAAGCTGCTCTGGACCTTCGAATTCCGCCCGCTAACAGATCCTGAGACGGGCAAGCCCATTCAGCTCGACACCATGAAGAAGCGCGATGTGAGTGGACTGTCAAGACCTCACATATCCTCCCCCCCATCCATCCTCCGCACCCCTCCTGCTCTGGGTGTTGGTGCAGAACTATACTCACTGATGCGCCAATTAGGGCATCGCCGCAGGCCCGCCTCTCTTTAAGTGCGATATCCGGTGCCGGAGCTCCGCGAGGGCAGAGCTACTCCGGCATGCGTTCAAGGTCGACGCTGCGAGCGCGCTCGCAGGGTACGAGTACAACTTGAGCGAAGGCGATCGGGAGTGGTTGAGCAGTGTCAGGTCGGGGTGAACGTTTTTGGCATAAGCCTCAAGAGCTGGTGCGCAAGATCGGTCGTCGAGTGCGTCAATCATTGAAGCTGACTTAACTGTGTTGGAAAAAAGGGCGAGTAAACCTTTGATACATCTTCGTTACGTCGTCAACAACCCTGTGCTACTGCTACACTTGAATGTTTGTTCTCTCCTCGCCTACAGCTGCAACTGCTTCGGCACGATCTCGATCCAGTAGCTGTAAACAGGACGTCAGTAACCATCTTCTTTCAACATCTCCCTTCTCGCCACCCCTCCCTCCTCGCTGCCGCCTTCTCACCACCACTCAACACTGGACTGGACTGGACTGAATTACAGAAAACCCACTCACCCATCCGGATCCAAAATAAACGCAATATGCCGCATCTTCCCATCCTGGGGCCGCTTCTTGAAGTTCACGCCCAGCTGCTCGAAGCGCGCGCACGCCTTCTCGACGTCGTCGACCGCGATCGCGAGGTGCCCGAAGCCGCGGCCGGGCTCAGAGTTGCCGTTCGCGTAGCCCTTGAAGTCGGGGTCGGACTCGGTGCCGTGGTTGTGAGTGAGTTCGAGGACGCCTGGGAGGGTGTTAGTGGGGGTGGGAGGGGAAGGCGCGGGTGAGGGTGAGAGGGACGAGTGGGGATGAGAGGGGGGACAGAGAGTAGAAGGGACGGGTGAGGGTGAGGGTGAGGGTGAGGGTGAGGGTGAGGGAAGAGGGGGTAGAGAGGAAAGAAGAGGGGGTAGAGAGGAGAGAAGAGGGAAGTGATCACTGAGAATTCTGATGGAGGGGAATGTTCGAGAATTCGTACGCACCCTCGCGCGAGAAACGGGTCGCAGCCTTCTCTTCGGCGGTAAGCTTGCCACCGTCATGGTCGAAGGCGAGGAAGTACAGTGTGAAGTCATCGCGGGGCTGCTCTGCAAGGTCGGATGCATCCCGTCAGCACTCCATGCCTCAAGTCTCTTCATGCTAGTCGCGCACTAGAGATCAAGTCCATGCCGAGGACCTGTATGTCCCCTGTTAGCCTGACATCCGGGCGAGACGAGCGACGACATACCTCCGTATAGAACTTGATTGAGGCCTCGGGATCCCTCACTCGGATCATCGTGTGGTTGAACTACAACGGGTAACGGCAGTTAGTCGGTGCCCTTCATACAATGCCCTGACGTAGCACCCACCGCGAAGCTAGCGGTCTCCGTAGTGCGCGGCATCTTGGAGAGAGTACGGGACTTGGGGAGCCTGGGGGCTGGATTTACGGGCCAAGTGGTGGTCGGAAGCAAGTAAGAGAATCCGAGGGACGATCATCTTATCAGCTAGCCCGGACGCGGACAAATAGATGGCAATCGACGCGTCGGGGAGGGAGGCGCGCTCCGGTGACGTCACTGGCCAGCGCGTCCGTGAGATGCATGTCTTGCGGACGGGGGCATGCCGGGGAAGTACGCATCCATCTTGCTCCTGACCGCCATGTCCGTATCTGCCCAAGACCAGCTGCACCTGCACCAGGACAAGGATAGCATACTGAATGGACTCGCCAATCACGCGGCCCTCGCCCCCTTCTTGCCCCCGACCCCCATGGCGAACCCACCGCCAGTCCCGGACGAACGCCTCCCCCAAGAACTCAAGGAATGCATCTTGAACGAGCTCGCAGCGACAAATGACCACATCTCCCTCGCCACCTGCGCCCTCGCCCACCGCTCCCTCCTCACCCCTAGTCAAACGCACATCTTCCACACCATCCATCTCCGCACCGCCGCCCTCACCGCGCGCTTCCTCCACCTCCTCTCCTCTTCCCCCCATCTCGCCCCCCTCGTCCGCGCCCTCCACGTCGAGGAGGAGCCGAACGGGCACGGCCAGTGGATCGCCCGCAGCACCGACCTCGCCGCCGTCCTGCGGCGCCTGCCCGGCATAAACCACCTCTTTCTCCGCCCATCCTCTGTCTGTTATGCAGTGCTGCCCGAGTCGCTGCGCGCGGCGCTGCTGGAGACGCTCCCATCTCTCCAGACCCTGCACCTCACCTGCGTGTTCCAGCTGCCCCTGCTCATCTTCGACCGGCTGCAGAGCGTGCGGAGCTTGCGCTTGTCCTGGGTCTCCTTCGATCGTGCGCCCGCGCCGCCGTCGAGCGCGAGCACCCGCCGGCCCCTCTCGAACCTCGCACTATGCTTGACGAGGGACAATCATTGGGTGCTGGTGCAGCGGCTGCTAGACCCCGAGGGCGCATTCCCCCTCGATGTACACGCACTGCGCAGTCTTCGTCTCGATGTGCTGCACGCCCGAGACACCCGCTGGCAAGACGACGCTTGCAAGGTCCTCGAGCAATGCTCAGACACCCTCCAAGCACTCGAGCTTGGGGCAGGCGTCCCTCGCGCATGTACGTCCCATCCCCTAGTTCCCCTTTCCTCCTTTCCCCCATATCCCCTTTCCCCCTCCTCCTACCCCACACCCCACACCCTCCCTCATCTTCCTCCCAGTCGACTACAACCCCGACGACATGTCCGTCATCTCCCTCGCCTCCATGCGCCAGCTCAAAATCCTCGCCCTCCGCGACGTCCTCGTCTCCCGCTCGGACGACGAGTGGGGCTGGCTCCGCAGCCTCCTCGCCACCGTCCCCGACATCGAGCACCTCATCATCGACTTCAGCCCCAAGCTGCACCCGATAGGGCAGTCGGGGATATGGGAGTGGCTGGATCAGAATCTGACCTCTGGACATTTGGGGAAGTCGCTGAAGTCAGTGACTCTGCATATACCCGCGCCTCGACACATACAGGTCGACATGCCTGCGACTATAGAGAATCTGCGCCAGCAGATGGGCACGCTGGGCGAGGTGACAAGGCTAAAACTCTGTGTCAAGCCAGGTAAGTCCGGGCACGAAGTGTAGTAGTACAATGCTGATCATCATTCCAGCAGTCGCATTCATGCTGGTCCGACCATCGCTGATACCCTCCGAGATTCTGGATTGCGTTGAGTGATATCTCTACATGGATACCCTTGTACTTGTTCCCCGGAAAAGCAAATCGTTCGCCCTGATCACGCAGGGTTGTGGAAGTTTGCGAATAGTGCAAGTGTTCAGTGCTACAGTATGGTACAAATCGAGGCATCGGGGACAAGAAACGAGAAACAAGACAGGCCCGACTCGATGATACATCTAGCCACGCTCGCCACGGAGACGGCGCGCAAGAGCGAGATCCTTGGGCTGGATGGTAACACGCTTAGCGTGGATGGCGGCCAGGTTGGTGTCCTCGAAGAGCGAGACGAGGTACGCTTCAGCGGCCTCCTGCAACGCCATGACCGCGCTGGACTGGAAGCGGAGATCCGTCTACACACATCGCCGATCAGCAAAACGTTCCCCTCAAGGCGAGCAGCATCACACACCTTGAAGTCCTGCGCGATCTCGCGCACCAGCCGCTGGAAGGGGAGCTTGCGGATGAGCAGCTCCGTCGACTTCTGGTAACGGCGAATCTCGCGGAGGGCGACGGTACCCGGGCGGAAGCGATGGGGCTTCTTGACACCGCCAGTCGCGTTCTGAACAAAGGCGGGGAGGGGGGCGCGTCAGCGAGTGGCACGGTGGCAGCAGATCATCAAACACGCACCGCCGCAGTCTTGCGCGCCGACTTGGCAGCGAGCTGCTTACGCGGGGCCTTACCTGGCGGGTTGTCAGCCAAAGAGGGACGCGACACACAAAGGGGAGCATCTACATACCACCGGTGCTCTTACGCGCGGTCTGCTTGGTGCGTGCCATTGGAAATGTAGTTCGAGTTGAGGGAAGAGGCTTTAGGGTGGCGAGGCCGTTTCTTGCTTGGCGGGGGTGGCGGTCGAAGGCAAGGAGCGGTGGGGTCTTGTTTGTTTGGCCGACACGGTTTTATGGGCGTGTTTGGGTCAGGTGACTTGGCGCGTCGCGGTTGGCACGTGCCCATCAAACGCGCCGCGGGCCGCGCAGATTCGGCGATCGGGAAAAGTGATTGCTGGTTCCTCGACTTGTTGCTTGCGTTCATGATGTCGCTGGGAGCGTTCGAGCAGTGGTTTGTTGCGAATGGGGGCTTTGTCGATAAAGAATATGTTGGGTTGACTGAATTCCCGGAGGAGGAAGGAGGCCGAGGCATGGTTGCCTTGAAGGACATACCGGTGCGTGCTTCTGTCCAGCAAACATCCGGGGGGAACTCAAGCACAGATCCCTTTGCAGGCGGATCATACCCTATTCTCTATTCCCCGCTCCATAGTTTTGTCTACACGCACATCACCTTTGCCTAGCCTTTTCGGCGCAGATGCATGGAAGGAGCGACAGCTTGACAAGGGTTGGGGCGGCCTAATTCTTTGCATGATGTGGGAAAGTGCTCAGCCCGATCGCAAGTGGAAGGGATACTTGGGTGCGTGATCCCTCCTGCTGTGTATGTCAAGAGTCTGACCATCGGCTTTGGCCCAGACTCCCTCCCCACTGAATTCTCCACGCCCATGTTCTGGACAGAAGAGGAGATCGCTGAGCTTACGGGTACCGCCGTGGTAGGTCCGTCTTCATCATCATCATGCTATCTGTTCACTTACAATATCACTATTGCAGACCACATAGGCAAACAAGAAGCGGATCAGGAATACACCAACAAGGTCCTCCCCGCAATCCAAGTGCGTTCCTCCATCCCTCATACCCTATCAACCCATCCTAACCTGCCCATCTTTCAGAGCCGCCCCGACCTCTTCCCCCCATCACTCCTCTCCACACACTTCTCCCTCACCGCCTTTCACATCAATGGCTCCCGCGTCCTCTCTCGCAGCTTCAACGTCGAAGAAGGCGATGACGACTCCGATAGTGATGATGAAGGCCCCGCAGACAAATCCGCCGACCTGATGGACGTCGACGCGACGGAGCCGCCCCCGGAAGGGGGCGCCGAGGAAGCGATCGAGGTGTCGGACGATGAGGACAGCGATGAGGAGGACGCGGGGGATGTGGGCATGGTCCCGATGGCGGACATGCTGAATGCGAGATATGGGTCGGAGAATGTGCGTCGGGGCTCTGTGTAGTGAAGAGAGCTGACGGTTATATGGTCTGCAGGCCAAGCTCTTCTACGAGCCCACCGTTCTCAAGATGATCTCCACCAAGCCGATCAAGGCAGGGGACCAAGTCGTACGTCCCGCCGAACACCCCATAATCATCCATAACTTATTTCTGCCCAGTGGAACACCTACGCCGACCCGCCCAACAGCGCCCTCCTAAGACGCTACGGGCACGTAGACGTTATCGCGCCAGACGCCCCCAATGCAAGTACAGACGGTCAAGAGAACGTTGCCGGCGCCCCCAACCCCGCCGATATCGTTGAAGTCCGCGCCGACCTCGTCGTGCGGAGTGCAATCGAGCGCGCCGGAGGTAGCGACGCGGAAGAAGCGGCGAAGGAGCGCATCGACTGGTGGCTAGATGAGGGAGGCGATGAGTGCGTAACCTTAGCCTTGCCTTACCCCCCTCCCTAGTCACCCAGCCCGATCCTTTCCTGTCAACTATCGATCCACCCAAAACTCACCTCATCCACCCAAAACTAATCTTATCCACCCACAGCGTTTTCATCCTCGACACCTCCTGCGCCCTCCCCACCCTCCTCATCTCCCTCATCCGCCTCCTCCGCCTCGCGCGCGCCGAATACGAGAAGGCCATCGCGAAAGGCAAGTTACCCAAGGGAAAGCTGAAGCCTGAGACGGACGAAGATGCGGCGGATGTGCTGCGTATTGTGAAGGACGCCCTGGAGAGGAAGGCTGGGGAATATGTGGGTGGGGCGGATCCGGAGGTGTGTATTCTTTCATGCCGTCGTACTGAGTACAAAAGCACGGCAAGGAGGAGATAACGACACTGACAATCCCTCCAGGCTGATGCTCAGCTCCTCACCTCCAATCCGCCCCTCCCGCCCCGCAAACGGTGCGCCGTCATTATCCGCCTCGGCGAGAAGCGCATATTGCGGAAGACGATCGAGCGCGTTGAGGAGATGTTGGCGAAGGCTGAGGCTGCGAAGGCGGGGTATAAGCTCTCGGGCAAGGATCAGAGGCCCACGAAAGCGAATGGTGGGAAGCGGAAGGGTGCAGCGGAGGAGGCGCGCGGAGGGGGGAAGAAGGCGAGGCGGTGATGATTAGTTGATCTCACCTTCAGTACTCTATTCCAGGTATGAAGGGGTCTTCGTATATTCTCCTGTGTTCTTAGTTGTTCTTTTTTCTGCTGTCCGCGACCCCCTTCTATCGGGTCTGGAAGTACTGCAGACTCAGTATAAGTCGCATGTAGCTTGACGCCAATAACGTGACTGCGTTCGGTAAATGATTGTGACAATGTCACCTTCGCCTTTCAGCACCTTCCTCCCCATCTGCCTTTCACCCAACTTCTTCTGTCATCTACTTGACCGTGCGGAGAGGCTGGGTGAGCACTCTGTTCCTTGCATCTTCAGCACTGGGCTCATACAAATCACAATGGACGCCGCCTCCGAGAGTACGCGCACGATGTCCACCGAACCCGCCGATGCGCAAACCCTGTCATCCATCGAGGATGTCTCTCATCCATCCATCCCTGCCGAACTCCAGATCCAGATCTTCGCTTTCGCCTGTACGGACAGCGACATCAACGTGACCGACATCCTGAGGTTCACACGCGTCTGTCGCTCCTGGCGCCATGTCATCTACAATGCCCCAGAGTTCTGGACGAGGCTTCGCCTGGACTGGGAGCAGTACTGCAAGGGGGCCCGAGCCGATGTCGTTCTCGGAAAGGCGTCTCCAGTTCAGGAGTGGATTGCACGCGCCGGATCACATGCGTTGGCGATCGACATCCACAACCCCTACCTGGTGTATAACTCCGAGAACCCAGCAGTCGAGCTCCTTCGAGACCCCCTTGTATTTCCCATGCATCGACTGCGCGAACTCTCCATCTCGCTCAACATGGTTCAGCGGTTGCCCGAATCCATCGTGTACGGCTCGCAAGTGCTCTTTCCATCTCTCGAGGTCCTCCAGCTAGACGAGCCTGTCCGTGAATCGGTGATATGGGGCTCCTTCGGTCGCTATCCCAGAACGCGTACCAGAGCAGTCCAGATGTTCCGACACTCTCCCCTCCTGCGCACGGTCGTGCTTGACGTGGCCCCAGCTCGGATGTCCACCACACTCAATCAAAGGCTGTCCCTGCCGTGGCAATCGCTTCAGCGACTGGAGCTATGCCTCGATCATTCTTCTCATGCTGGTTGGACTCTAGAGGCATGCACCTCTGTGACCAACGTAAAGCTCAAGCTCTCTCAGCTGCGCAACAACCCCACCCTCGACGACGATGAGCCTCCCACCTGTACTTTACCCTCTGTTCGAACCTTCACACTGGATGCGCATAGCGCATTTCCGACGGACTTTCTGCGAATGGTTGCCATGCCCAACCTAGCCAGCTTCGCCCTCATCGCTCATTACTCGAACATGAAGCGCATTGAAAGGTGGCCTAATGGCACTTGGGCATTGACGAGGTTCATCGGTCGCGCACCCCTCATCCGCAGCCTTGTCTTGCGCCAATCCGGATTTGAGAACGAGGGCGGGCTGTATGCATCACAGCATCTACCTCTCCTGGAGGAAATAACTCTCAAATGGCGAGCGACAGAGTGTCCTTCATGGCGTATCACAGACGAACTCTGTCATTCCGGAAGCTGCCCTAATCTCCGACGCATAATTCTCCACGGGGTGCAACCGATGGACGCAGAACACAACCAGGGCCTAGCTTTGTTCCTGGCGGGGATTCCAGCACTGGTTCAGGCTCGGCTCGCTTTGGCGATGGTTCGCCTCCAGCATGTCGAGGTAAGCATACGTAACTGCAGCGTTGAGGATGTGAAGAAATTGAATTGGTGTAAGGAGCTTATGGCTCTGGCGAACGATAAATTGCGCATAGATATTGTCCAATTGGAGCCAGAGGCCGCCAACTACGGTGAAGTGCCGGGTGGGTTAAAGAACCTGACACCGGCTTTCGAAGCCGGCGTCTTTTGACGAGGATATAGAGCACGTAACGATTCATTGTACAATCCATATAGCACTGGCAAGTCGCCACATTCGTCCTTCAATCGTGACTTCGGACGCTCTCCAACCACTCCTTGTCTTTTGGTGCTAAATTGCGTTCAAAAGGGATCAGTATCTCGGCAGCTTCGGTCCTAAACGACTCCTTGATCAGCTCAGCACGCGCGGGACTCCGGCAACGGATGTCGCATTTGAAAGGCGTGGGTCCAACGGCGAGGCCCTGCAGGAGCAGCCAATTTGTCAGTCCCAGCAAGGGTTGAAAGGAAAGGTACTGACATCACCATTCGAATGTACGTCGAGTTCAATGGGCTTCCCTGTAGCCTCGTCTATGGCAGGTCGAAACTCAAAAGCCCAAATGAGCTTCATAGCCGCCAGGAGCTCAAGATCATATTCAATCAATACGACATCCGATATTTAAACGCTGGACTCACCGTGGACGCGGATGCGACATGCATGCCAGGGCAGATGCGCTAGAGGTTAATCAACAAGCGTTTCGATAGACAGTGAACCCGACGTACTCGTCCCATGCCGAACATGAAGGTGGAACGGAAGTCGCTGACATCGACGCCTGGCCGGGTGCCGAACTCAGTGAGCAGGAAGCGCTCCGGCCTGAACTCTTCTGGTGTATCGAACAGCTCTGAAATATGATAAGACGCATGTACAGCTGTCGGCCATATGTGTCACTTACCTGGATCGTTGAACAATCCATCTGAGGAGAACATCAGGCCATCCGAAACTGACAGAACAACGCGGGATATATACGCACGAATATTTGCAATGATCATTGAGCCCTCCGGAATCAGAAACCCTTTATACTAAAGGAAGCTCTAGCCGCAGCGGCCACTCATGAATATGTCCAGACTCACATGCAAATCGCGGGTGGCACGATGAGGTAGGCCATGCGGTGTTACCACTCGGAAGCGATGCGTTTCCTGAATGAGTGCACGAATATATGGTAGGACATCCCCGTCCGAATGAACCGGACTGCGCGTGTCGCCAACGACTCGATCTATCTCTGCGGCAGCCTTGGCCTGTACTTCTGGATACGCGGTCAGGAGCATGACGAGGCCATGGACAAAGGCGGCAGTAGTGTGCGCCCCCGCCTCATAAAGCGAGCCAGCGAGCATGCTACGAAGGGAGAGTAAGCAACTGAGTTGTCTGACAGCACAGGTAATGAGGACGCGTACCTCATCTGCATTCTGGCCATTTCGTGAGCAGCCTGATCGCGTATGAGGTCCGTTAAAAACGACTTCGCCTGCGTATCCCCCTCATTCACGCGCTCCTGGCATTCGTCGAAGAGTCCAAGGTATAGCTTGCGTTGCGCCGTACGGATAACCCGAGCTTCCTTCTGCCAAGGCGCCAGCCTTTCGGGAAGGTACTTCAGGAAAGGTAGCATATCGACGGGCGGCGTGACTCCCGGCCGCAGGTAGTTCGCCCAACGTGTATTAACCTCGGCGAACGCGCCAGCGGTAGGCGTTTCGTGCCGTGGAGCCCGCTGGCCGTATACGACGGAGAGGATGATGGAAGCGCTGAAGCGGTGAATGTGATTGAAGAAATTCTGAGAGGTTGGTTAGCTGTGACGGCCTCGCGCTGGGTACAATTGATGAGCTCACTTCAGGCGTAGTCAGTATGTCAAACTGCAGCTGAACTGCCTCTGCTTCCTGGATAGGAAGGTAATCTCTGGATGCCGCGGGCGAAAGAAGCGCTTGAGCGGCCTTGCGCATCTGACGCCAACGAGCGGCTGGAAAGTGATGTTAGCGATGAAGATAGCAAGACCACAAAGTCAGCCTACAGTAGCGACACAGGAAGAAGCTCAACCCGTCTGTCACTAGCTGGAATAGATAGGCGCATCGTGAGAAGTCTGTGCTGGAGGAAAGTCTTGGTACTCACGTCGTGTAGAGAATTAGGAGGACGATCAGATGTATCGACGCTCTGGAGTTCCAATATATGCTTCATAGCCTGAGGACTCGACAAGACGATGGCCGTGCCGGGACCTAACTTGAGCTGAGGATTACGATTAGCGCTTAGGAGGACCATCGACGTTGATGACGCACCGAATAGATTTCACCATATTCCCTCGACCAAGCCGTGATTCTGGCAGCCACGTCATTCAAAAATTGCTGTAGAAATCGAAATGGGCTTACTGATGGTGTGCATCTCGAGACGGCAATTGAAGGAGATTTCCCAGAACGGGTGTCGTTGGAGGGCCCGGAGGTAAGCCGCTCTCTCGCGTGCCAATGCGACTGATCACGTAGATGCCCGCAAAAGAGCATGCAATGGCAGCAGCGATGAAGGAAGCCATTCTGAGCTGCTTTGGTGCGCAAAATAGGATGCGTCCATAATGCGATCATAGAGCAAGATAGGGCCAACGCACCTGCAGACGCTGGATGGCGGGGAGGGGAGGAGAGCTTCAACGTCCAGCGCTAGTAGGATCACTCGAGATATATGTAGTCAGGTGTTGACGGGCATCTAGCCGAGAAGTTGGAGTTTGCGACGTACAATGAAGGCTGGCTTATCAGACTGGACGTGCAGCAAGAATAGACGGAACTTCGCCATAGACAAGGGGCGACCGCGGAGAAGCTTGCGCTGAGAGAATCTATTCAGCCCCATATCTCGTGTGCAAGTTTGTATGCACGAGCGTAGCGTACGCCAGTTTCCAACTTGCGAACAGAAGCGCGGCCGTTGTCTAGCGTGGACCTAGTGTATACGCTAGTGCCATGTCGTGCTTGTGGACTCGCGTCCGCTCTTCCAATTGTTCGGATAAGGTAGAAAGTACATGGAATTTGTGAAGGGGAGCTTGTCATCTACGAGGGCTGCCTCGCGATGAAAGTACCGTGTCAAGTCGGAAGTATGCATTGGGTCGAAGTTCCCTTTGCGGCATTCGCCGAATTCTTTGTGGCGTTGAGTGGCGCCTTGGCGGCGACGGAGCTGGCTTGAAGTCGAACAGTACGCTGAACAAGCCCTCAATGTCCTTGTCATGCCAGGCGGCGCCGATGACTTAGCCGCAGATCCTACATTCAATCCTTTTGCCGACGATCTCGACGAGGAACCGCAGGGGCATCCATCTCCGCTGCACTATGCGTCCCTTCTCGACAACGATGACAGTTGTAGTTCTGGAACAGAGGGGAACGAGCCCGCTCAGCATAGACGAGCAGCGACGGACGTCCCTGCTCTCACTACGAGCTCCAGTCATCCTCTTCATACGGCCGACCTTTCGAACGAGAACATCACTCGACCGACGCTCGGCAAGGCATTGAGTGACCTGGAGCCTGATGTTGGATTGGGCACCACTCTACGAGAGGAAATTGAGGTAGATGCGAACGAGAAGCTAGTCCTGGTGCATGAGGTACGTGTGCGCGACTGCGGAAGGGGGTATCTGCTTACCGCGATTAACAGGTGCAGCCGAAGGACTCCCTCGCATCAGTATCCATAAAGTACGGAATCGCTATGAACGACCTTCGACGCGCCAACTCGATGTGGGCGAACGATTCGATCCATCTGCGAAAAGTGCTGTACATTCCCATCGACAAGGCGTCCCGCCTACCGAAGTCATGCGACATACCGTCAGACGATAATCCATCGCGCTCCAATCCCGAGCTCTCCATCACGCCAGCGGATGGACCTATCCCAGATATCCCAGGGCACGCCACCCTCAGACGAATACCAACATCCCGCCTTTCCTACTTCCCTCCCCAGTCGCCATCATCACTTTCCCCTCGTACATCTTTGGACTCGTCCTTTCCGCAACCCTTGCAGCGGCACGCCCGCTCTTCGACAACCCCTGCATCTACCTCTTCATCGCCGCCTACTATGGCGTCCCTCCTCAACGCCTTCCCCATCCGCCTGTCCTTCGAAAGCACGACCAGCACGTCCACGACTGATAGCGAAGAGCACGTCGAGCTCACCGATGTCAAGCGGTCACATCGAAAGAAGTCATCTGCGACCCTGCGCTACAACGCTCGCGCCGGTCTTAGCGATGCGCCCCAACTCAGCAACGGTCATGCGCTTCCACAGGCTGGCCTCCCTGTACCTGCACCAGCACCTACACCTGCTTCCCTCGTCGGCTCCCCGGGCCGAAGGGTCCGCACCTCGCAGATGGAACCAGAGCCAGGAATGATGGTGCCACCGCCAGCGTCCCGACGCCGAGGAAGTGTGAAGGATGCTGCGGCGGGCAAGAGAGCCACGAACACCATCTCTGACGGTCCTTCTTCGAAAAAGAACCGGGCGTCGCTTTGGGATGTCTTTGGCATGGACGATTCGGACGCTACACTGAACCAGCAAGAAGGAGAGATGGATTTGGAGGATGTGCTTTGAGACTATCTAGCCTACTATCCATCGGCGGTCTGTATACTATTGTAATCTGTGCGTGTTCATCGTCATCTTGAGCGAGTCGGGATTGACGAACATTTGGACAGATCCGGTATTTATCTAGCACAATGCATAGACGACCCACATATTGCATGTCTACGAGCGAGTTCTACGTGCTCTGAGAAGTCTCCCTCGCATGTCCGAACGGCCACTCTGGAATCAACATCCGACTCGGGGCTGTCAGCCAGCCCCACCCACTCGCCGCCGACTCGGCATTTTCAGTAAAGGGGGAACTTTCACGGTTGATAAAAGGCGCTGCTTCTACTGCACACCATCATCTTGCCGCTATGTCGCTTCCTGCCACTCAGAAGCAGTACGTCTTCCCCGATGTAGGTTCTCATGCGCCCCACCGCGATCCCGTCGTTCTCATCATTTTGTAGTTCAACGGCTTCCGCAACCTCACCTTGCGGGATGCCCCCGTCGTCGCCCCGGAGCGCGACGAAGTTCTCGTTCGGGTGCATGCTGTGTCCTTGAATGTAGGTATCACCGACGCATGGCTTGGAAGGTTGCCGTGTGAATAGGGGGATGACGCTAAACCTACCCACCTAGTATCGCGACATCCTGGTCTCCAACGGCACATACCCTCGCCCTGTGTACGTCCCTGCGTATCTTCCTCTCAGTCTCTGACAGCTCACGCCTCTACAGCAAAGGTACCCCCTTGGTACCCTGCGCCGACATGGCAGGCGAAGTCGTTGCTGTCGGGCCTGACGCGGGCAGCTGGAAGGCAGGCGACCGAGTCATCGCGTCCCCGACCCCTTCTTTCACAGCCGGCACATTCCGCGATGCGGCTCCCGTACCCGACTACGGCGCGGCGCAGGAGGGAGTGTTGACCGAGTATAAGATTGCTCCGGCACATGTAAGTTTCTTCCTCGTTGGGATGGCGCTAGATGGCTGACTTGTTTGATAGTCTTTGGTTGCCATCCCGGAACACTTGTCCTACGAGGAGGCCTCTACGCTGCCGTGAGTTGTCATTCCCCTGGTCTTATTGGCTTGGCTGACCCGAAATACATAGGGCCGCGCCGCTCACGTCGTACAACGCCCTCTTCAGCGGCCTAGAGCCCCTCAAGCCGGGCGACTTCGTCTTGACCTTGGGAACGGGCGGCGTATCAATGTAGGTTGAAGTGCAAGACCGCGGACCACGTTACTGACTGCTTTCCTTACAGCTCTGCGGCACAACTCGCGCTCGCAGCCGGCGCCAAAGTTATCCTTACTTCCTCTTCCAAGAAGAAGTTGGAGATCGCCAGACAGCTGGGGGTGCAATATACGATCAACTACAAGGAGACGCCTGAGTGGCACGAAGAGGTGCTCAGGATTACTGGTGGGCGTGGTGTTGACCATGTTATCGAGGTACGCGGCAGCTTCATGCAGGCCTTTTGCTGAATTACTCACGCCCGTTGCAGGTCGGCGGCATGGGCACATTGCTCTCGTCCATCAAGTCGTCCGCCATCGGCGCGAAGATCCACCTGATTGGATTCTTGGCCGAGGTAAGCGTCGTAAACCATACCCTTCCCGTAGCTTAGCAACTGACGACCGTATGTAGGGCCAGCTAAGCTCGGAGGTCCTCTTCGAGACTATCGTGAAGACTTTGACCCTCAGGGGCATCCTTATCGGGTCCATCGCTCAGTCGGTGTCACTCTTCGTATCGTATCCCTCGCACTCTCTAACCCAGTGTTGCAGACTGCGTGAGATGATGCGCATCGTCGATTCGGCGAAGATCAAGCCGGTTGTCGACAAGGTTTTCACCTTTGACAAGGCGATGGAGGCTTTCGAGCATCTGGAGAAGCACCTGTTCATGGGCAAGGTCGTTGTGCGGGTCTCCTAATTCGTAGCGACCACTGAGTGGGACAATAGTCCCTGCTGTAAGAAATCTGTACGATACAACCTTGCATTTGACTTCAGTTTCGTCTCGTGGCCCTCAGGCTTGTGTTCCCCAGCCGAGATTAACTGGTGCGCTTTACACAGTGAATTCCGCGGTTAGATCCATACAGTCATGATATAGTCCGTTTACAAGCCCTTTGAGTGACCGCCCTTGGCATAGAACTCCTCCATCCGCTTCACGATCGCGTCGAGCGCGGCGAGCCACTTGTCGAGTTCGGCGTCGACCTTCTCCTGAGATGCCGGCTCGCCACCCTCGGGGTCCGCAGCAAGCTTCGCGTAGAAGTCCTTGCGGTACGGGCAAGCCTTCATCGCCACCTAGATCAGAGTCAGCACGAATCCAAGTGAGACGAGCTAAGCAGCACGCACCGAGAAGACACCCTTGACGACGAAGTTGTGGTACTGCTTGAGCGAGTTCTCGTAGCCCTTGGTGAAGGCGGGCGCGAGCTCCTGCGTCTTGTCGCCCTGCGCGTTCTGAAGGGACTTGCAGGTGAAGGAGAGGCCGCGGAGGAGCCACATCAGGCCCTCGGTCGCGACGCGCTTCTTCTCGCCCTTCTCGTTCTCGACGAGCTGCTCGAGGGTGCCAGACTGGGCGGGGTGCGCGTCGTAGCGAGTGCGCACTTTCTGCGATGGGGGTCGTGTGAGGAGGAACGCATAGTGGGGTTGCTGAGCGCGCTTACGGTAATGTTGCCCCGCAAGTCGGACTGGACGACAGCGAACGCGGTGGATCCGAGGAGATCTGGGGGGAAACGCGGGGGATGAGAATGGGGTTGTGGTGCGATCATCGTCCACGTACCGAACAGACCAACCAATCCCTCGCAAGCCTCCAGGAACTGCAGAGTGTCGACGCCAGCGTCGGTCACGGGCACATCGGCAAAGGACTGCAGATCACTTGTTAGTCGAGGGTACGCGAACGCGGGGTACGACGCACCTTCACGCGCTCAAGGTATGGTGCCATCTCGTCAGGAATTCGTTACAAAAGTATACCTGTATGGACGTTCAGTCTGGGTATATAAGCAGCAGATCAACCTACGTACAAGAATGAGCAAGCGATGACCAGGAAAACAAGACGGATGTTCAATCGATGGTGAGGGAACGTACGCGACGCGCAGGGACGGGCGCATGCTCGTATTATGTGGCGTTACTGCGGCCCCCTGTCCGCAACGTTGCCTTCGCCCATCATGGACCTAATGAACCACTCTAGTTCTTGCGCTTCCTCCCTATACGTTCGCAAGCTCCTCTACGACGACTCGACAAGCACGAGTGCGTTGAGCAAGTCGACAGTAGCACTGGGGTCGGACCGATCGTCCGGACAGCCTCCGAATGCCAGCTGAATTTGCCATCTTTCGCGCGAATGGCGAGCTCGAAAGGGGATCGTCCCTGCTCACTCTCAACGCTCATCATGCCTCACGCAGACTCTTCCTTAGTGCCGGAAAGGTGCGAGCCAGACGCGAACTCAGGTCCCCCTTCTTACACCACCCTAAAAGCATACAGACGAAGGCAGAATTTTGGGATCATGTCCATGATCAACTATCTGCTTTGCTAGAAGGCCAACGATCCTGGGTATGACTCTTTCGCACGGCTCAACGACGCATCCTTGACGTCTCACAGATCACTAACCTTGCCAACGCCTCATCGCTGATCTTCAACTCCCTCGCCGCATTCCCAGCACACTTTGGGACGGAGCCCACGAAGGCCGTCAACTGGTGCGGTAAGTCAGGCCGGCTTCGATCATCTCCGTCTCCCCTCTGACTGCTGCTCCACTCTTCCTTGGGTCTACGGCAGGCTTTTACCTCGATGGCCCGCTCTTCCCCGCGCCACGGTTCTCCTCCGCGCGCGGCGAGCCTCAGAAGGATGCGCTACTGCTAGGCCCCTTCTGCGGAAAGCCCGCGTGCCAGTTCATAAACGTGACCCCGGGAAAGGCCCGTGGTGTGTGTGCGGACGCGTTCCTCAAGCGTGAAACCGTCCTTGTGCCCGATGTGGATGCATACCCGGGGCATATCGGTGCGTCGACGGACTGGTGGATTCGTTGATGTCGCTCACAGTTCACTGATTTAGCATGCGATGGCGATACCAAGAGCGAGATCGTGTGCGCCCTCGTATTGCGCCGTCCAGAAGGCGATGTGCCCCTTGGAGTCTTGGACCTTGACTGCCTTGCGGTCGGCGGTTTCGACGACGAGGATAGGGCAGGCCTCGAGAGGATAGCGCACCTCATCGTCGACGCGTGCGACTGGTAGCAGTCTTTGCAAAGAAGTCTTCGTAGCACGCTCATTGCGGCGTTTGCCTTCCGGGTGCGGTTGTACGACACTGTTGAATGCACAACTACAGCATCGATTGACCTGTATCACGCCCCTCCTGCTCCTCAGCACATGGGCTTCCCCAGGACCCGTCAGGCTGACCGCTGCTGTGAGTACAAGCTTTCGGTCCCAGTGTGTTCGCACCCCATGTACGTCTCCGTCTTCACGTCAACGCATGGCCCCTTACTATTTCTCAGCACCTGACACCCACTGGGAAACTTGACGCGTATCACTAGTCGCCAGCTGGCCGTTTTGGACCATGAGTTCTGAACGGTGTTTTGACAATTTCCGGGATACGCGGTACGCCTGAGATGGGAGCGGAGGAATTCCGTGGCTAAATCATGCCCGCCCTCTGTCCTTCGAACCCGACGTTCATCGGGCCTGTCTCGCCGTCGACTTGCGCCCTGGACCCCGCGATCCCTGCGCCGTCAGAAACTTCCAGGCTATGACCCTGCCCATGCGGCTCGCATTGTGTATTTCTCGGGTCCTTCATTCCACGTATCATTTTCTGTCTTTATTCTTCGCGAAGCAATCGGCCTACGCGGGTTGACAGCAGCCCTCCGCGCGCTCCCTTTGACATCGGTGGTTCGCCACGCCTTCTCGCCGCGCAGGCGCCCTCGTTAAGCGCCCTCGATCCACGCGCTACGCCTACAACGCCTTGTACTGACGACGCTTACGGCCCGCTAGCTCCACGACGAACGCACAGCCCTTGGGCTACTTGTCTTCTTTCTAGGTGTACACAAGCACGCGAACTCTGACTGCGGCGTAGTACTAACTGCCCCCGACTACGGGCATGCCACTACTTGTCCCCGATACGATGATTTGCCCGATGAAGCTCCCGATGCAAGTGATAGCTGTCCCTTTGGACGACAGCTGCCACAGGCCCTCCCCGATCTTGTTGGCGCCAAGTCTGACGCGTTTTATGACCTCCGTCGCCCAGGATCCCCGACGAGGTCGTACACCCTTTACCGCGTTCTCGCGGAGAATGTACGCGGCGCCACCGAAGTGCGATGAGGTCGGGACTGACTAGCATGCCTAGTAACTTCCATTGCCGCCGGTAAGCCATCCTTCCTATCAGAGAAGCACTGACCGGGCCTTTTACCGCCAGGACGTACCCCTTGGACCCTTGGCGCTGTAGACTGGATTTACCATATGCGTATGCCGTGTCAATCGCTCGCGGCTGCCACTCGCACGTGTTTCCGATCTTCCTGAGAATGCGAGCTCGATACCATGGCGCGAGCGTTACATTACCCGCACGCAGGTCCAGGTCGTATGCCGTCAAAACACAATAGACTGGTACGTTGCAGCCTCGCGAATCCCTGCGCACTGTAACCCACTTATCTATCGAACAGCCTGGCTTCGATGCCGGAATCCTGATAGGATTAGATGGGCAAGCAAACTGAACAGACCCGCGTGACTCACGCTGCCGTCGCACGCTAGCGCGTCCACCTTCGCGACATCGAAGCATCGCACCCCTTGGCGTGCCCCGAATCTCATCAGTCCCCCATCGCCTGCCTTGCAGAGCTGAATGCGGCAGGACTGAATGGCCACCCACCCTACCACGTCCCGTCCACCCGCGCTGGAATCCCGCCTGTCCTCCATCGATATCCTCGGGTCCGTCGTCCTCGCTGCGAGGGCCCGCAGCGCGGTCCGGTGGCACCAGACGGAGGGTCACAGGCACCTCCCCTTCCCCGGTCTAGTTTGCGTCGGAGAGGCAATCATCAACAGCAGCCCGATCGTTGTTTAGTCTATCTATACTCGACATTCTCCGCATGGTCATCGCGGGCGCTCCATCCCCATCGAGGCCGTGCTCGGCAGATCACCCGCACGAGATCAACAGTATATAAGCGCCGGCATGGTACTGGCGCCCTTCTTCCCATCCGCCCACTCACAAACCCGCACCATGTCTTCACAGCCACCTACCTGCATGAACCTGCGCGTGAGTGGGCGTCCCGCGAGGTACTCACTAACGCTAACGTTTCTCGACGATCCCAGGTTCGCACGCCCGAGGATGCGAGGGTCATCTTCCACGCGGTGGCTCTGAATATACTTCCGTGAGCCTTTTCCCTATGCCTCCGTGGGTGATCGGAGGCTGACTTATGCTTTCTCAGCCTCGTTACCCGCCGGCTGGACAACGAAGAGCGGCGATCCATCGCTAGCGGCTCCGTAAGCTAGCCGCAGTGCCGCGAGCTACAAGCAGGTATTGACCTCCCGGCGTTACAGGTATACGTCTGGGAAGAGCGTCAGAGTGGGCACGCCTACGCCGATTCTCATGGGGTACGCCGACCGGTCTTTCTTCCTTCGTCGCAGCTGCGCTAACACCTCGCGAATTCCCTCAGCTTGGCATCGAGCGTTGGACCGACTCCATCCGCTGGGGCCCTTCTCGGTGAGACGCTCGCGTAAAGCCTATTGATCGACCTCGCTGAATACAATGGGTAGGGTTCGCGACGAATTCCTCTTCTATCACGAGAAGGATGATCAACATGACGGGGATGCTGCAGGGCGCGACGCGGATGTGAAGTGCGCGCCACCCATCGTGTCTGCTTGATCCTGCCCTGATCACATTTCCCCGCACAGGACGCGCCGCCCGCGCGAGCCACTGGTCAAGCAGACGTACTCTGTCTTCATCAACATGGGGCACGGCATGAAACGCAAGCAGCATCTCATCGCGTACTTCACGCAGAGCACAGTGAACTCGCTACAGACAATAGACGACATCCCTGTGGTGCGCGGCGCGCTTCCTCATTCAGTCGAATGCAACTGACGGACACTGCACCTATAGCTGGCGAACCTTCCTGTACCTATTGGGCTCTATATCGGTGCACGCGTAGGGAAAGGGCGCAAAGACCCAAATGCGAACTCCTCAGTCAGCTACACGACGGCGTACCCGCGGCAGGCCTACGTCGACTGGCTGCAGCCACCAACACAATACGGCGCGCCAGCACCCTACCCCCCTCCGCCGACCACCACGCACGACGGCTTCTCATCGCGGGCCGCACCCGTCCATCACCCCATCGCGAACGAAAAGAAGGACCTGGCGCCACTGGTCTACCTGCAAAACGCGCCGCCTGCCCGACGGCATCCCGTCGACGAGACGGCGCTGATGGCCTTGACGCCGATGTTCAGCGCGTGGGTGATGTAGCGCTCGGTCCCGCGGTAGTGCCTTCGAAGTTCGCGTGCATTCACTCGTATTTAATCTGTATATTCTACGCTGATAGTGCAGTAGTGGCCTTGGGAGATCTGACATATGGACACTGAACCGTTTTCTCACTCGTACACACGTTGTTGATGGCCTGGCAGATGGCGGCGAGAGGACGCTGATGTGTGTGCTTGTTGATATACTAGACAGCATAGTGTACTCTATGGACGCTAAGGACGGGCAAGATCCATCATGTTTGGAGATCCCGACGTCAGACCTCTGCCAAGCTGGAAGACGTCCGTTATTCCCGGAGCCCTTTGTTCTCTGTGGACGCCTGTGGGTCCTGACTGTCCCAAAAGCCACGTGCGCTGCCTGAAGGGAAAACAACAGACAACAGTTACAGTAGCAACTTCCTTGCCTTACTCCATCACCTTCATGCGCATTTCGGAACCTCAGCGCTGAGCGAACATGATGTTGGCCTCCGTTGATCAGTACTGCGTCTGTCTGTGGGAAGACAAATGACGCTTCGCGTCGACTAACGTACACTTCCATGGCCTCTTCGTTTGCTCTTCACCCTCGTCAAGTCAACTTCGACCGCTCAGCAGTTGGTGCTGAATCTCGGATCATACTCACGTTCTTGGAATATACTATGTTTGCCCCTCCGAACACTTACCAATGCTCACGAGGACTATGCTGGTGCTCGCTTTTGACAACAACGCTTCTGGGAAGGGTACCCGCACACTGTGAATTGCCGCCTTCGCTCTCCGACAGCAGCAAGTGTATGGACTGGCCACTGATGGCTACGGCTTGAGGAGAAGCTTTTTCTCTGGCGTGGCAGACAGAGTGCCTGACGAATTCGCATCAAAATTCGCGCAAACAAATTCTACGAGGATGTTTTCTGGGGCACAAAATACGGTCCTCGTTGCAGTTCTCTTCTTCATCTCTTTGTTCTGGGCTGTATACTCTGCTACTACGGCGGAACGGTTCCCAGCATACCGGGCATATCTTTTTTAGCAATTTGCTCAGATTTCTCCAGCGTCGAGCCTTCGTTGGCTGCTACAGAATCGAGCGAGAAGCGGACTCTTGGTAGGCACGAGAAGCATCTTCCTTCGAATGACGCGAACCTGGCTACGGCCGTTGGAAGGAGGCGATGCGTTGAGCCTACGGGTTCTTCCAGTGGGCCGTCGGAACCGGAGCTTCTCTGGTACCACTAGCGGCGCAGTAGAGTATTGGAGGAGAATGACTACACGCATCATGCCTGGCCATTCTGGATTCATTGCGATCCCGAGGTCCGAGCCTGTGGCAGATCGAGCGGCATTCGCCGGTCCCGGAGCTCCTAGACGGTAGCATTGGGCGCCTGTGGCTGGTATAGAATGATGCGAGGAAGTACCCACAATGGCGTATAGACGCTCCTCATTCTTCCTATCGCCCCAATTCTTTCTATGTTTGTGTGGCCCGCCAAAGTCGATGTATAGAGGGTTGAACAAATCAGCCGCACATTGACAGCTATTGCTACGCTTTCAACACCCTCAAATACGCCCTCGAAACGGGGTAACGTCGGGTGGTTCAAGTTGAACAACGCTCACGTGCGAGATAAGGCGCCCGCGGCGGCGGAAGAAAAATTAAGGTTGCCGGAAGCGGATGGGGTGCAGCCGGGCAGCCGCACGGTTTCTTTTGATGAGGAGGGACGGCGGAAGATGTGGACGGCATGTTGCGACACAGGCTTCTTCCACGCCGCCATCTCCCGCTCGGACGCGCTGCCCTTGTCGCCGCCACATCCCCGTCCTTCTAGGCTGATCTCCTACGACTTCAGGTCCTGATAGCGGAAGCATCGGGCGGTAGAAGGCGCGGGGGTTAAGGTGCGTGTTAGCCTTCCAATCATAGCAATCACGCGGGCCTCATTCGTCACCCTCAGCACAGGCCTTACGGCACGCCACAACATATACACAGACTACCACCACTGCAGGCGCATGCAGGAACCCACCTGTACCAATATCCGGATACGCTCGACGAGTGATGCACACAAGATCTTCTATGCCGTCCAGCTCGGCGTCCTCAAGATGGTGACCAGGCGCCTCGACGCCGAGGAACGCGCAGCCCTCAAGAGCGGCTGCATCTACGTCTGGGAGGAGCGCGGGGGCGGCCAGAACGTCGAAGTGAATGGCTTGGGCATCGAGCGATTCACCGAGGGCAGGCGCTGGTCCCCTTCGCGCGTACGCGATGTGCGTGATCTGCGCTGCGGATGGAACCAGAAGCTCACCATACACCGCAGGAGTTCCTGTTCTACTACGAGAAATACGTGCCCCCGGTGGACCTCACCCGTCCCTCGTGCGTCAGCACCTCCTCCGCTCCCTCCACCTCTCGTTCACGGGCAGGCAGCAACGACAAGCAGCCCCCGCGCGACTGGGATCCCCTCGTCAAGCAGACGTACTCTGTCTTCCGCGTATCACCCGATCTCGGCACGCGCAAATGGCATATCAGTTGAGTCGCTGCGGCTGCGTTCATTGTGCGGATCCCTAACCTAGCGTAGCTGCTTACTTTACGCAGAATACTGTCGATCGCTTAAACACGGTCGACGATTTGCCCGCAGTCGGCTCCCTGGTTGTCCCTGATGGGCTGTTCAAGAGTACACGTGTCGGCAAGAGTCGCAATAGGCAAACGGACGACGGTCATTCCAAGCCCTCGACTACCGTGCATCGCACTTACGCGGCCTTCCCCTCCCCTCATTCATCCCTCCCCGTATCCCATGGCGAGTCGAGCGGGCCTGGTGGTGTCCACATGTTCCAACCCTATCAGACGTCACCGGACCGGGACCGTGCTATTGTCCACTCGTCACCCTCAACACACCGCCAGGCATCCCTGGAATCCCTTCGTGATGTGGGCTCCACATCCGATAGTATACCTCCTCCACTTGGCTTTTCTGGGCCATCCTTGCTGTCATCCAACGCATCTGAGCCTCCGGCACGACTCGCGCGGCAACCCCCGCCGTCGCTCGACATCAAGGGTGACCCCGGCCATTTCGCAGGCATGCCTCCCCCGAGCGTCCCATTAGCCCGGACCATCTGGACCGTTCTTGACGACCCCAATATGTACAACGACGCCAACCACAGCCTATCCCCCGTCCCTCCGAACGCGGTACCTGCACGTCTCCCCCTCTCCCCTCCCAGCCCGTGGCCGGGCGACTCGCGCCAGGTGCCGTCCATCTACAGCTATACCCCCAAGCCCAAGCCGCAGATCCTCGCGCCGTTCCACGGGCCCATCCACGCGCCGCCCTCGCCCGTGTCCGAGTCGGGCTCCTCTGGCTCCGAGGGGCGCAGCCGCGCGTACGAGCGCGAGCGCGGCGTCGGACCGGACCGTGATCTCGCGCCGCTGCATGTGCTGACGCGAACGCATCCCTACCGGCGCGACCCCGCGGACGACCACGCCCTCCGGCTCTTCGCCAGCGGGCCGCCGTACGACACGCCCTCGTCCCCACAGCCCGCGGTGTCCTCCCTGGCCTCCTTCCCACCGCCATGAAGTGCGGCGCCATGTTCCTATGCTTCATATTATGTACCGGCCACAAAGCTATCCCATGTCCACAAGCTATCCACAGGCCAAATATTGTCCCAAGGCTACAAGCTACGCGCCACAGGCTACGTCCAAAACGATGGTTTATGACTGTATATCTTACATGACACCGACACGCCAGTGCTCCTATCCTGTGCTTCATCCAGCGCTTCTATACAGCTTCTGTTCTACGCCATCTTTGTATCTTTAGCAATATTCGTTCGCATGCATCACATCTTACTTTGGAGGGGCTCGATACTCAGTACTCAGCAATCTTGACAGACTAGCGGACTACGTGGTTCGTCAGCTATAGGCATTTCTTGTTTGTATAAGGTATGGTTTTAGGCTCAACAACAGTCCATCTTGAATATATCCAGACTGAAGTCAACTATGGAATGATGCAGATGAGGTTTTTACTGGCGGAGGCTCAGGCGAAAAAGGACGAGAAATAGGACATCATATCGCCATGGGTATTCGTACAATTAGGGCCCAATATACATCTCGTGTCGCGAGCGGTGTCCAAAAGATTACAGCAGTGGTACAATACAATCATGGGTAACCACGACTCGAGGCCGAATGGTGGAGGCTGGTGCCATCGCTCAATGGCCGTGGCGGCCAAGATGCTTCGCGCTCTTGTTGATAACCTTCGCCTCAGCCTGCTTCGCCTTAGCGCGGCGTGCACTGTTTGCAACGTCAGTATTTCCCCAAGAAAGAAGCAGACGAAGAGGACGCACTCCTCAGCGGCCTCCTGCTCGAGGAATTTCACGTGATCCCTGGCGTCCTTGACGGCCTGGCGCGCCTGCATGAGCGCCCTGTCCGCGTCGCGCTCGGCAGTCTCAGCGTCAGCGACCTAGATGAAGTTCATCAGCATACCGTCATGAACACTGTGAGATGATGAGGATACCTTGCGACGCGCAGACGCAATAGTAGGGTCAGAGCCACGGTTGGAGCTGAAGAGCCCGCCGCCAGTGCTGCGAGAGCGCGAGACAGACGCGCTCGAGCGGTCGGACGACGTGCTGCGCCTGTGCGAGCTGAAGAGACCTCCAGAGGAGTGGCCGTTGGAGGTCGAGGTGTTGTGGCTCCGGACGGGAGAGGCGCTGCGGTTGCGAGAGAACATGCTTCCCTTACGGCCCGTTGGGCTCGCGGGCTGAGGCTCGGGGTGGGAAGACTTGAAAAGAGGCATGATGATACTCGGAGTCGATGTTGTGTTGAAAGAAGCTCAGAAGCTAGGTAAAAAGACCACCAGGCGACGGTCGGAGGTTATATACGACCCTCCCTCCGCACGTCATTTGGAGCGATGACTGCGACTCCAAGTGGACCTGTGACTAGCGCGAGCGAGACATTCTGCACGCACCTTGGAGTGCGCCACCGCGCAGACATACGGGACCTGGGACAGCCACCGTTGACCTTGCAACGTTGCTCCTGAGGTGGAACACTGTCCGTGCCATGACATCAAGCAGGTACGAGGAGGAAGGACGTGACGGTGGCGCGTGACCGTAACGTCACGATCGAACCTGCCTCGACGGGTCGTGCAGGTGGCCAGGTGCGGCGCGAGGGAGAAGCGAATCCTCGACCAGTAGCGCGTCCGGATTCGGAGCTTCGATCGAGACGTGCTTTGCTGGCGGCCGAGTCTGGCTGTTGGCGTAATGAGTGAAGAGAGGCGTTGCCGAGGAGGTTCAGAGCAGATATTCCGTGTATAGCGTGCTTAGCGGGTTACGTGACATTTGGGATCGTAGCGTAGATGGCATCGAGTCGTAATTGACGAACGTATACGAGAGAGCGGTCAGATACTGGACAAAGAGGCTACAGTCGGTCCATATGCATTAGCGCGGATAAAATCGAAGCGAGGGCGTTGACCGTGGTTTCTCGCTAGTGCTGATGATGGCGTTAGCCACGAGCAAGCCTGAGAAAACAAAGGGAACCGCACCGGCGCAGAAAATAGGGTCTGGCAAGGACGGCTCGCACACCGGATCAGCGTCCGCTTTCGACCCTACGTTTTGTCATTCCCGCTGTACCGAGCGTTGCGCGAGACTGTGTTCGGGGGCATCCACTGCAGATCGACCGCCTTCGAGGAAGAGGCCGGGCGGCTCTCCTCGACGATGATGGGCGTGTCGAAGACGGGGCCCGTGGCGGTGTTCTGCGCCTTTTCTGCCGCCTCCATGCTGTCGTGAAATTCCTCGCTATGCGTCCGTCGGTGCCGCTTCATGTTCGACTTCACGGAAAAGGCAGACTCGCATCCGGGATATTTGCAGAGATAGGCTGAAGGGGAGGTGTTAGTATGTATACTGGGGCGTGGCGGTCTGGTACGTGGTGCTTACGCTTCGAGTTGTTGTGGATGTTCATATGCGTATCCAGTGCGCTAGGCCTTTTCTCTTCAGTCAGGCATATGCAGCTACAACCAGTATCAATAATCATACCTCGTGAAGACCTTCTGGCAGACCGTGCACGGATGAATCTTGGAAGCCCTCCTCGATGACGGGCCAGCCGGTGGCGCGGTTGAACTGCCCGTCCCCGCATCCTCCAGCCCTTCAGAAACGTCTTCAACCCCCTCCGCCGCAGAAATATCCCCAACGTCTCCCGCGCCTGTCTCCAGCCCGGCCTCCTGCGCCTCGGCCGCTACTGACATCGTGCGTCAGATCGCGCTAATTGCCCTCAGCTCCTCCCTGCTCACGGGCGCTGTCCTTCTGCTGCGAGTACTTTGGGGCCATCGCGGTAGGGATGAAGGTTGACCACAAAGTTCAGAGCTGGGGCCAGATCAACTCTCTTCGCATTATCGCGCCCAGCTGCCGGATTCGAGTCCCAGCTTGCCTCATCTGTGCCGGCTCCTCGTCACCACGTGGAGCTGACTTTGTGGAGGCTTCGGGATTGAGGTAGGGCGAGAAGTGCACGGGATTTGGGACAGCGCTTTCGACGACAGCGGTCTGTCAAGCAGACGGGAGAGGCGAAGGCTACCTATGCGGCGCATATGCTGCGTAGAAAGTCAGAACGTCGTATACGAGTGGGCGGACCACTTACCGGTAAGGAGACTTCGATGGGCATGCTTCCTCTCTGGTTCTAATTGAGAGGCTACAGGCTGCCGGACCCCCGTCCGCAAGCGCGGGAGGGCTTACTTCAAGGCTGATGTCCGGCTTCAAGCTTGCGCGAAGACATTCTTGAATACGTCGAGCTTCCGCTGAGGAGTATAGCGCGCCTTCTGAGGAAGAGGACCCGGGCGCTTGTCTTGTGTAAGGACAGCAGCTCAGGACTCGCACACAATCTGTTACCTTGCACTGCCTACAGCGCCAGCCGGAGGGCTCATCGCAGGGCCCCGCTGCTGTGAAGAAAGGGTGCACGGACGGTCCACGCGCTCGGTGGTGACGAGCCGCTCTGCTTTCCAGACGATACGGGTGAGAGGACATCGTGGACGACGTTGCGTGGTACTGAAGATATTCTGCAGTCGAAAGCCGCGACCCTGAGGAGCATCCAGTCATCGTGGACCCATTCTTGCATTCTACGTCCGTTGGCCGCGGGTTGAACGCAGTTCTTCCCATAAGGCTTCGTGATTGTTGAGGCCCTGACCAGGGGGTGCACGAAGCCGGGGCATCTCTGGCAAGCATTCGGGGCAGAGCGCAAGCGAGTTCGCGGTCAGCAAGTGAAAGAAAAAGACTTTGCCTCTATTGAAGGCACGGGCTGTGGGATCAAGCGCGAGGGGATGAACACACTTGCCATATTTGTAAGTTTGGACGTCAACTCCGGGGCGTAGGTCCGACGATGGAAGAGCGGCGGCGCGTTTAAGTGCGACGTGGGGCTTGCAAGTGGCTGACTTTGGCTAGGGATTGAGTGAATTTGGAGCACTAATAGACGGCTGTGAGGACTCACGTACTGATGCATGGAGGTGACTCCATTGTCCGTCGGGGACGGTGTGAGGTTCCATGTCAGTCGATGCTACCTCGCCGAGAAGTTGGAGGGTAGAGACGCTAGAAAGCACAAGATATGTTAATCAATCGGAAGGACATGGGGGATGCGGGAAGCAATCACTCTCGTTCTGCATAAAACCAGGGACCCCGATCTGCAGAACACGAAGGGAAGGCGACGCCACATCAGCCACGCGACATCCACGTGCGCTCCCCGGACGTCAGTCGTGGTGGCTTCGGCGCTGCAGGCGCCTGCACGACGTCGCACTCGTCTTCGTCCTGAACTACCATCCTCCCCGCTCAGGAAGCGCACTCTCTTGTATATCACGACCACGAAAAACACACTCACGCGTTCACTACATCTTCCGCGGGCTCTGGACATGAACGGACACGCACTCAACGGCGCGACGGGGAACGGCGCCGGCGCAGACGCGAGCACGGAGCGCATTCAGGTTGTCAACGAGGAGAAGCAGTTCACGTGCGTGCTACGTGCTGTGCGATGTGGGCGAGGGTGCTAACTGTGCGCTAGACAGGAGCTGAGTGCTCAGGTGGAACGATGGGGTCTGCGCGATGCAGGCTTCAACTATAACATTGTCGCCGTGTTTGGCTCTCAGTCTACTGGCAAAAGTGCGTATCACGATGTGCGCCATATTGCCTTGCTGACCAGCGATCAGGCACGCTGCTGAACAGGCTCTTCGGCACTACGTTCGATGTCATGGACGAGACCAGGCGACAGCAAACGACGAAGGGTGCGCAAGGACGTGAGGCCCGAAGGCTTCGTGCTAACACGCACCAGGTATTTGGATGTGCCGCGCAAAGGCGATGAACCTCCTTGTCATGGACGTCGAGGGAACGGACGGACGAGAGCGCGGCGAGGACCAGGTGTGTTGCAACGCTATGTCTCCATACTCCCTTCCTAACCCATACGTCCCAGGACTTCGAGCGCAAATCCGCCCTCTTCTCCCTCGCCTCCTCCGAAATCCTCATTGTCAACCTCTGGGAGCACCAAGTTGGCCTCTACCAGGGCGCCAACATGGGCCTCCTCAAGACCGTCTTCGAGGTTAACCTCGGGCTATTCGGCAAGAAGCCCAAAGACGGCACCCAGAGCCGCACCCTGCTCCTCTTCGTCATCCGCGACCACATTGGCACGACCCCACTCGAGAACCTGCGCGCCACGCTCACCGCTGACCTGCTCCGTATCTGGGACAACCTCGCCAAGCCCGACGAGCTGAAGGACCGGCAGCTGTCCGACTACTTTGACCTCGACTTTACGGCACTGCCGCATAAGGTCCTGGTCCCCGACAAGTTCGAGGCGGAGGTGGCGAACCTGCGCACGCGGTTCGGGAACAAGGAGAAGAGCGACTACCTGTTTAAACCTGTGTACCATAAGAGGATTCCCGCCGATGGTGTATCTATGTATATGGAGAATATCTGGGTGAGTAGGTGTGGGTGTAATCGTCGGGCTGATATGCTGACAGCGATTGCAGGAACAAGTGCAGAGCAACAAGGACCTGGATTTGCCAACACAACAAGAGCTCTTGGCGCAGTTCCGCTGCGACGAGATCTCTGCTGTGGCGTTGAACGAGTTCAATGACCAGGCGAAGTCACAAAAGCGTCCTATCGAGGCTGGGAAGGTGATAGAGGGCCTCGGTAAGATGATGAACGCCTGGAGAACACAGGCCCTTGGTACGTTTTTTCATCACAACTGCAAACTTGGACATGCTTCTCATATTCTCCGCAGAACGCTACGACCGCGACGCCTCCCGGTATCACCAGGGCGTATACAAGCGGAAGCGCGCAGACCTCCTCGCCGTCATCGAGTCTTCTCTGTCACCTATGTTCCTCGGGCAGCTCAAGAACCTGCATAAAGCATGCCTGACCGCCTTCAAGAAGGAGATCGTCGACGGGATGAAGGGCGAGGGCTACGACTTCGCTGAGATTGTCACGAAGGCGCGCTCGACCTGCGAGACGCGGTTCACGGAGGGCGCAAAGGAGGCGCTCATCGAGGACACGGACTGGGTGTGGGAGGATGAGCTGGAGTTGCTGAAGGAGGAAGTACGAAGTGTGGCGGACCAGTGCAGGAAGGATGAGACGAAGAAGATGATCAACCAGATTGAGGTGGGTTGGGTGGGTGTTGGTCAGGGGAAGGGAAGGTTCTGATGCTTTGTGCAGCGCAACTTCAAGAAGCAGATCGCGGAGCCGGTGGATGTGGCGTTGAATCAGCCCGCACCAGACATGTGGGACAAGGTGCTCAAGGCGTTCCGCCAGACACTCGACAAGGCGGAGGCGACCTACTTGACGAAGGCGAAGAGTGCGTACGCCCTTGTTCTTTGGCCGTACGCTTGCTGACCTCTTATCAGGCTTCAACTGCACTGAGGAAGAGAACACCACATCCCTCGCTACCCTCCGCAAGCGGGCATGGCTAGCACTGCGCGCCAAGGTCGACGAGCACACCTCGGACGCCGTCTTCATCGGCAAGATGCGCGCCTACTTCGAGGAGCGCTTCCGCTACGATGAGCACGGCGTCCCGCGCGTCTGGAAGCCCGAGGACGACATCGACAGCCACTTCAAGAAGGCGCGCGATCATGCGCTTGAGCTCATCCCCCTCTACGCCAAGATCGCGCCGCAAGATTCCTCTTTGCAAGTCGAACTGCCCGACGAGCCGACGGACAGCCTGACGCAGGAGGACTTCGACTTCGAGGCGTCGCTGACCGTGTTCACCGAGACGAAGACGATGGATCTGACAAACAAGTTCAGGAAGGACGCGGATGCGTTCTATGTGGAGGCGAAGCGGAGTACGGTTGCGAGTGTGGCGCAGATTCCGGTGTGGATGTACGGGGTGCTGGTGGTGCTTGGCTGGAACGAGGCGATGGCGGTGTTGTTCAACCCGATGTACTTCACGATGCTGCTCATCAGCTTGGTGTCGGCGTGAGTACTTCGACATTCATCTTCCTTTCTGCAGCTGATCGTCGCGCAGATACATCATCATCCAGCTCGGCCTTGCTGGCCCATTGTTCCAGGTCTTGCGAACTATCACAGGCGAGGTAATGCATCTCCCACTATCTTGAGAGTCGACAGGAGCTAATGGACACACAGGTGCAACGACAAGCATACGCTCGTTTGCAAGAGCACTTCTCGCAACCCACCATCGCTCAGCCCGTTCGTGACGCAAAGACAGCGCGCGAAGAGGAAGACGTAACGAAAAGGCAGGGCAGCGACCCGAACTACTAATCTATTTGTGCATGCCATCTACTTAGCTACCGCGCTTGAGGGAGACAATGGCCGGACGTTGGCTTCCCGCATGTATTCACGACTTTTGGATGGATTCTAAAGTATTATAACTTTGTCTGAGTGTAGAACATCGTATGCTAAGAACACGTCGCCATTTAGATGACTGGGAGGGGGTTGGCCTGGCTATCGCACGTGGGGCGGTCATCAAGGACGAGCGCACAGATAAGATAAGCGCGCGTCGGGCTTGCTTCCCACCACCACTGAAGTCCACCGGTTCACTTCCGTCTCATCTCCTTCCCCTTGCACGCACGCAGAGGAGCAACCGGTTGCGTTCCACCCCAGGTCATCATGTATCTCAACCAGAGGGAGGAGGCGAAGCTCCTACTCCATCAGGCCAGCGCGTACGCCCCAGCGCCCCCTCTCGTCCTCTGACATCGCCAATAGGCGGGCTCCCTCGCGCAAAAGCGCCTGGCGCGCGGCCTGAAGCTCAACCAAACGGAAGCAGTGGCACTCATCGCGTCGCAACTTCAGGAGCGCATCCGCGATGGCAAGAACTCGGTGGCGGAGCTAATGCAGTACGGGAAGACCTTGCTGGGGAAGAGGCATGTCCTGCCTAGCGTACCGGCGCTACTGCATGAGATCCAAGTGGAGGGGACGTTCAACGATGGGTGAGTGGGTTGATTGATCGAGCAGTAGGTCGCAGGCTGATACCGTGCTTTACAGTGTCTTCCTGGTCACCGTGCACGATCCTGTTTGTACGGAGTCAGGGGACCTATCTGCGGCGCTGTACGGCTCCTTCCTTCCCGTTCCCTTCAACGACCTGTTCCCTCTCACTCCATCCGAGGAGTACGCGCTCGAGAAGCGACCCGGGGCTGTTATCGCGAAGAAAGAGGCCATCACCATCAACCAAGGACGCGAGCGTGTCAAGCTTCGCGTCACGAACAACGGTGATAGACCCATCCAGGTGCGTTTTGTAGTACACACCCCCTCAAAGAGCGCCATATCTTACTTCTCTGCAGATTGGCTCGCACTATCACTTCATCGAGACCAACGCAGCACTCTCCTTTGACCGCGCCAAGGCTTATGGCAAGCGCCTCGACATTGCCGCCGGTACCGCTGTCCGCTTCGAGCCCGGCGATGTGAAGACCGTCACGCTATGCTCTATCGCTGGCGCACGCATAATCTCTGGCGGTAACAACCTTGCCACGGGCGTCGTGGACTGGAACCGCACGGAGCAGATCGTGGCGAACCTTCTGCAGCGCGGGTTTGGGCATGTGCCGGAGCCTGGGGCGCTGGAGGTGACTGTGGACACGCAAATGCTGCGGGAGACGTATATCTCAATGTTTGGGCCGACGACGGGAGACCGCATCAGACTGGGGGACACGTCGTTGTGGATCGAGGTTGAGCATGATGAGGTGAGTACGCGGCATCAGGGAGAAATTATATAAGATGGCTGATACGGAGCGTAGACCGTCTACGGCGACGAAGTCAAGTTCGGCGGTGGAAAGTCAATTCGTGAGGGTATGGGGCAGGCTACCAACCGGTCGTCTGAGGAGACCTTGGACCTTGTTATCACCAACGCCCTCATCGTCGACTGGTCCGGAATCTATAAGGTACGGATTTCACAACCTCAGAACAACACCTATCTTACATCCACATCCCCAGGCAGACATCGGCGTCAAGAACGGCATCATCGTGGGCATCGGCAAAGCAGGCAACCCGGACGTCATGGCCAACGTTCACCCCTCCCTCATCATCGGCTCCTCTACCGAAGTCATCGCCGGCGAGAAGCTTATCGTCACCGCGGGCGCCCTCGACGCGCACGTGCACTACATCTGCCCCCAGCAGGTCGATGAGGCCCTCGCTGCGGGAACGACGACCATGATCGGCGGTGGCACTGGCCCCAGCGCGGGTACGAACGCCACGACGTGCACGTCGAGTCCCTTCTACATGCGCCACATGCTTAGCGCAACGGATGGTTTGCCAATGAACTTCGCATTCACGGGCAAGGGCAACGATGCGGGGCCCAAAGCACTCGAGGAGATCGTGCGCGCGGGTGCGGCGGGGCTGAAGCTGCATGAGGACTGGGGGTCGACACCCGCTGTCATCTCGAACGCGCTGGACGTGGGGGACAAGTACGACGTGCAGGTAAACATCCACACGGACACGCTGAACGAGAGTGGCTTTGTGGAGAGCACGATTGAGGCGTTTGGCGGGCGAACGATACACACGTACCACAGCGAGGGCGCGGGCGGGGGGCATGCGCCGGATATCATTGTAGTGTGCGGGCTGCCAAATGTGCTGCCGTCGTCGACGAATCCGACGAGGCCGTATACGAATAATACGCTGGATGAGCACTTGGATGTGAGCGGTGCCTTGCTACCTGTATCGCACGGTGCTGATGTTTCACAGATGCTCATGGTCTGTCACCATCTTGACAAGTCTATTCCGGAGGACTTGGCCTTCGCAGAGTCACGAATTCGTGCTGAGACAGTGGCCGCGGAGGATGTCCTACATGATACAGGCGCCATCTCTATCATCAGCTCTGATTCCCAGGCAATGGGCCGCGTTGGCGAGGTTGTCAGCCGAACGTGGAGAACGGCGAGCAAGATGAAGGACTTCCGAGGACCTTTACAGTCATTAGGGGATGATGAGTTCAAGGACAATGGGCGCGTGAAGCGCTACGTGAGCAAGTACACGATTAACCCGTGAGTGTTTCGCCGTTGGGCTCAGAAGGAGCTTTTCCAACTGACTATGACCCAGCGCAATCACGCACGGCGTAAGTCACCTCGTTGGGCACGTCGCAGTCGGCACGCTCGCAGACCTGGTCCTCTGGTCTCCTCAGCGCTTCGGCTCCAAACCCGAGATGATCCTCAAATCCGGCGTCATTGCCTACGCTCAGATGGGCGACGCCAACGCGTCCATCCCGACCGTGCAGCCATACTACTCCAAGCCGATGTGGGGTTCGAAGGCCGGGTCGGCCGCGCTCAATTCCGTTTCCTTCGTCTCCAGTCTTTCGATCACCTCCGGCACGATCGCATCGTATGGGTTGAACAAGAAATACGAGGCGGTGAAGAACTGCAGGAATATTGGGAAGAAGGACATGAAGTGGAATGACGCGACGCCGAAGATGCAGGTCGATCCAGAGAGCTATGAGGTGCTGGCGGATGGGGAGCTGATGGATGTTGAGCCTGCCACGACGTTGCCTTTGTCGAGGGTGTACAACTTGTTCTGAGGAAGAAAATCATCGTGCGTATACTGTATTTGTACCTAGTTTGCCGTTGACTGCACAATGTATGCATATGGAAGTTTCAGGGCTACTCTGTTTTCTTTTTGGCTCGAAGTTCAACATGGAAATCGGCAATACCCGAAGATCACGGGATTTTCTTCCGAAAGGAAGTTGAACGTCAACTGGACAAATAGCCGCAATTGACAAAGACTTGGACAAATTCCCTCCATTCCTCCTGCATCATCTCCCCCTTCTTCCCTCCCCTTGTCCTAGTTTTTTTTTCTGCGACATGAGAAAAGAATGGTGATCCCTCATTCAGTGATGTGAATCTGCCCCTGTCAAGGGCGGCACGTCAGTACGCTTCGCACTAAGCTTTGGCTCCGCGTCGTAGGCTTCAAGGCATCATCGTTCTTCGGCCCAGCAACGACGTCTATCTCGGTTCCTTGCACTTGACGACGACGATCATGGCCGCCCGCTCGCTGTCTACGGTCTTCTGGCGAGACAACGCAGATCCAACGTATGAGGCGCTGCCGCTGGATTCGGGAGACGTACCGCGGTGCGTAACGATCGCACTGTTCGACACACTACAAGAGCTGACGAGAAGCAGACAATCGCCTCCGTCGCGCGTGTCGCGGACCCCGCTACGGCTGGCCGTCTTGGTAGCAGGCGTCGTGCTGCTCGTCGTGGCTGTAGTCACCGTCGATCAGCACATTGCCGCGTTAAGGAACCGGGCGGCGATGCTGTCGTCATTCTGGCCCGTGACACAGCCGAATCGGACGGATGTATACGAGGATGAGAACAGCCGGACGATGCACAGGCTGATTGAGTGCGTGGCGGATGGGACGTGCACGGAGAGGCAGACGCATGTCGTGATTCTGGCCAGTTGGCACTTCAGAGGTGCGTAGGGAGACCACGAGAGCTAGGCAATGGTTGAGCGCGTTCTGCAGGCTCGGTGGAAGGCCAGGTCTCTGGAGAGGATATTTGGTCAGTGGCATGATTGTTCCCAAAGTTGGTGGTACTCACGGATACGACAGGGCTCGCAGTGTGGTACGTCGCGCCGCTGCGTTCATATTACGCCGACGCTAAACCTCCCCAGCTCCTCGCCCTGAAAGAGATGGGCTACAGCGCCATTATCACCGCTGGCACGAACGAAGACCTCATCCACACCTACCACCTCTTCCCCGACCTCGTCAAAGTCATCATCGCCGAGGGCTGGGACATCGACATGTGCAACAAGGACCCCTCCTGCGTCCAATCCGAGTCCAACCCGCTCGGCATCCCCCTATGGAAGCTCTTCGCCTTCCACTTCTGGGGCGGGCACGCGCACCCGCTCGGCGGCCCATGGACGCTCAGCCCAGAGAACTACCCCCTCCTCATGGGCGGGGATTCTGTCAACAACACCTACCTCGGCTACAGCATCGAGCGCGCGTGCGAGAAGCTGCCCGTCGTCGCGCACACGGAACGACCGAAACAAGCTTACATTCTCGCGAAGCGTCTTTCCTACTTCTACGACCACAATTTCGCGTGGCGGGACGTCGCGTTCGACGACGCGGGGTCGCCGGCGCGCTTCGTGGCGGGGATGATCGAGGACGCGGACGCGGCGGGGAAGAGCGTGCCGGCGGGCGTGGCGAACCACGGGCGGCTGAATAAGACGGCGTTCTACCTCGAGCTCGCGCGGAGCCGGGTGCTGGTGGGCATTGGGAGCCCGCTGCTGAGTCCAAGCCCGTACGATGCGCTGTGCATGGGCGTGCCGTTCATCAATCCGATCCAGCGCTGGGACCGGGCGCATCCAGAGAACCGCGAGGCCTGGCTGACGCAGCACGATGGTCTGAAGTACGAGAATCCGCCGCATGTCTATAATGTGCATGCGAATGATGTGGCGGGGTTCTGGGCGGCGGTGAAGCAGGCGATGGAGACGGGGATTGAGGGGGACAGGTGAGTGCTCATGGTGTTAACGTTCGCATTGACCGCTGAATATCTGCAGATATATCGTGTCGAACATGACGATGGACGCGCTGAAGACGCGACTCACGAGGATCATTGAGACCGACTGGGAAGGCCGCGCGAAATCTCTGTCGTCGTAGATTTGCGAGTTTTTCAAGAAGGTATGTGCAAGTGCTACTTCGAAGGAAGACTTGCCATGATTTCCTAGCGGCCTTGGCCAAGTTGTACACGGCCTTCACTTGCGCGACCTCTTGGCTTTCTTGCCTGTATGTTTGGTTATCCTCTCGTAGACCATATGTAGACCCATATATATCTGTGCTCACTTTGTTGCATGCTTTGTGCTCAGAATGGTGGAGGAGACCTTGCGACCATGAGTTGGTGACAACAACACAAACAAACATGGAACAAACACTTTTTTGTTTGGACGTGCTTTGATGGATGATCGGATGCCTTTTGTCTGCGACGGCCATGTTCCGCTACTGTCCTCTTCCGTGGCCTGTGTAGTTTTCGCGCTGGCGGACGTATGTTGAGGTGAGTCATCGGCCCTTTTTCTATGCGTCAAAGATGAGAAAAAGGGACCGTAAAGTCCAAAGGACTTGACGACAACTTCTAAATTGATCCTGCTGAGATCTTTTTCGCTTGTTGGCTCGCATCTTGAAGCTTCTGAAAGCTAACAACTGCTCTAGGGATGTACTGCGATCTCATTGTTTGCTGTAGCTTACCTGTGTTGTCGTCCATGTACCCGGCCCAAATTAAGAGTCGATATTCGCCCTGAGAATCGATGTTCACCGACGTCGATCCACCTCTCATGGACGCGTACATCCTCGCTGAGACCACCGTTGGTACTACTCCATGCAAGAACTCGAATGCCTTGCTCATGGCCTTGTAACCTGTGACTGTTGTCGGCGAGAACGCTCCAGGAAGCGATCGACGAGATCGCTCAAAGAACAATGGGGGCGGAGTGTGGGAAGACGCTATCAGGTGCGAATCATATAAGACTTGCATTGTTCTTGCATCCTCATACGTAAGCAGCGCCTATTGACCGGCATATGCTCTGGTCCGTCGGCTCCGGCGATCTGCGTATAAAAGGCGCACACAGAAGCTGGTGACTGGGACGCTCCTCTTCCTGACCCCCACTACCGCAACCTCTACAAAGCTTCACTACCATGGGTCAGCGCCACCAAGCCTGGATCATCGCCCAAGTCAAGCCCCACGGCGGTGGCAAGCCTCGTTATCGCTGCATCGGTGGCCTCCACCACCAATGGTGCTATGGCTCGCTGCCGTTGAAGGGCCTCATCCGCATCGCCACGCTACTCAAGCAAAAGCCGAATGCGGAGATCGTCCAGGAAGAGCTACGCAGCATCGAGGGCAAGTATGGCTCGCATCTTGATGAGGCGCCTAAGATCCCCAACTGCCCGTATGTCGTTGTGGCAGGCTTACTGTCCCTCATTTGACCACTGACGCACATATCCAGATGCCGCTACACGACCTTCTTGCTTAACTTGGCATTCAACGCCGACTTGGACTCTGATAGCGTCAGTGGCCAGTATTTTTCTAATGGCTCGCTTGGCAACGTGTTGCCCGCTTCATGGGGCTGCTGGGATGGAGGTGTGTTTTGTTCTCATGTTCCGGTCCGTCTGCCTTACCCTGTTACCAGACAACAACGATGGCCTGACTATCATCGATGTGACCGATCCCTACAACCCGAGGTACTGCTTCTTGGGAGGCAACGAGACAGAGACCGAGGATACCGGGCGGCTTACCGCTCAAAAGTACCTGGAAGCCTACTACGACATCGAACTCGAAGACCCACAGATGCGCGCGCACCTTCAACAGGTTCTGGACGCTTGCAAAGGGTTTGAGCTCATCGACGTCGCGGCGCTGCGGGAAGCTTTCCCGTCTGACTTCAAGGGGCCGCCGAGTGTCAAAAAGGCAGAGGAAGAGAAGACTGCGAAGAAGGAAGTGCCGTCCCTCACATCCCTCACTCTTGGTCCCGTCGTCAAGCAGGCTGTCCAGAGCGGAGAGCTGGAAGCCATTGAGCCGATTTTGATCCAGGCGGACAAGCTCCCTCAGATTCTGGAGGCGCTTCGCGTCGTTCAGGCGCCTTTTCCGGATTCGGGCCTTGCCTTCGTTTCCAAGGTCATCGAGGCCACCAGCAGCTTCGAAGACCTGAAAGGCATCCAACTCTCGGGCGAGCAGCTCACGAAAGTTATACCCGTTGACATCTCAAATGATGTACTCGATTTGTCTGGCAACGCCGTGCTCACCGCCGACGGCCTTCGCGCGCTCCTCGCGCACAACTCCAAGATCCGCCGTCTTGTCCTCTTCCGCACCGCCATCTCGAACGAGGACATGTACAAGCTGCTCGAGACGCCCACCCTCTTCGGCCATATCGAGGAGCTCGTCCACCCGCTTCTCATCTCCTGGAAGCGCGACGCCTTCCCCGCGACATTCACCCTCCAGCACGTCAGCGACTCCATGTCCTTCAACGTCGGTGGGGGCGTCCTCAGCGTGCCCATCATGAGCCTCAACAACCTCGCCGAAGGCCTGGGTCGGCTCGTCGCCGGGCTTCTCGACCCGCAGAATGCGATGAGCTTCGGCGCGGGGGATGCCCCCTTCGAGGCCGCGCTGAGCACGGGGCACATCCCCGCTGGCAAGACGTGGGGCGAGCGCGCCGTTTGGTGCACGCCTGTGCGCACGCAGCGCGCCGCGCCGAGCAGCTGGACCTTTGTGCTTAAGTGGGCGTCGTTTGGTGTCGGGGACTCGCAGTACGGGTTGATCAACACGAAGGTCGGCGCGGACGGGACGAAGGCGGTCACCGCGCATTCGGCGCAGAGCTTTTTGGATGCGTTGCAGGAGGAGGGGTACCCTGCGCCCTCTGAGGCCGTCGCACAGAAGTGGAGTGAGATCTTTGACGCGCTGGACAAGGCAGGCGGTCAGCGGATGTCGGTCGATGAGTACAAGGCCGCGACGACCGGCAACAGCAGGCAGCAGATGATCGCGCGTATGATGGGCCTGGCGATGTGATCAGTTTGGATGCCTGCCATGTTTTCTGCTTTGTGGGATGCTGTCGTTGCCTTCAGGTTGCTTGTTTGTTGTCAATTGTACTAATAGTCAGCGTATCTTGTCCGAAATTCCAATGCACTTTGAAGTCCCCACGTTCACTAGAGCGACTAAGTGACTTTTGAGGCTATCCACCGCCGTCTGCATCGACTCCTTGCTTAGCCTAATCTCGCCGGGATATAGAGCCTTTCTGTTCGAACTTCTGAGCAAATGCTACCCATTATGGCTGGTCAGTTGCGACGATCTATTATGGTACAGGTCCCATCCGTAAGCGAGCGATTATAAGTGTAGCAAAGGACCCCATAGTCCCCTAGATTCAGAGTGCGTATACCCGGCAATGGCAGGCAGCGAAAGCCCGAAGTAGCGTAACGACTATCTGGGATAGCTTAAACCGTCGATGCGAGCGCCAGCAATCCCGCGAGCAAGAAGCAAGGTGACAACGACAACCTCAAGGCGCCGTTGGAGTCGCTGGTGCTGGCAGCGCCACTTGCGGCCTTGGGCGTGCCATCGTCGGTGTTGATGGTCGAGTTGCCGTTTTTGGCGGCGGAGGCTGCGAGGCGCCAGTCAAAATTGGGCGACTATACGAAGAGAGACGCAGGGTCGATGGGAAAGGAGCAAAGGACTTACTGATAGCGTCGAGCAGCTGATCGTCCTTGTCGCCGCCAGCTTCCCACATTGCGAAGCCGGCGAGCCCCTGGTCGTGGATGAAGTTGCCCTTGAGCGTGATGGACCGCTGGTCTTCGTAAGAGATGAGAAGCTGCTTGGAGGCATCGTAGATGAATGGCTGAAGGGGAGCAGAGTTAGTGACAGTGATGAGTCGACGAAAGGTTTCCACTCACAGACTGGCTGCACCCATCCCACTTGTACTCCAGATCGCTGCGTGCTGCAGTCCCGTTCTCGCTCAGATAACCCTGCTCGATGAGGCCCCAATATTGGAGGGAACCTCCCGGTCCGCCGATGTCGCCGCAGACATTGACACCAGACGGCGCATCGGGCGGGTCCCATGCGTCACCGGCGGTCTTGTTCTTATTCCTTTCTTGGTCGATCTCCGGATAGAATGTGGTCAAGTTGTCGCCCACATCCTTCACCTCGAACGAGTGCGCGTAGCTCGGAACGCCCAGCAGGATCTTATTCGCTGGGACGCCGGCGCTGATCCACGCAGCGGTCCCCGAGGTCGCAGAGCCGCGCTTGAACGAATCCTGCGGGGCACACGCATCCGCGAGCGGCGCAGACGGGCCAGCAACGTGCGGTGTCTTCCCCGTCACGTCGTCGAGGAAGGGCGAGGTGGCAGGTCCGAAGACGTCGTAGTTCATGAGCGCGACGTAGTCGAGGGGCTCTGCCCAGGCGGTAAGGTTGGTTGATATGTTCCCCGTCGAGTCGTGGTAGGGCATGATGGAGGTGGCGGCAGTCAGGAGGAGCTTGGAGCCGGCGTCGGACTGGCGCAGCTCGTTGAGGAAGGCGGTGAAGTGGTCGACATCGTCGGGAGAGATAATGTTGCAGCCCATGCCTTGAAGGCCGGGAAATTCCCAGCTGCGGGGAGGTCAGGTAATTTAGCAGGGGAATGGGCATGTACGCACTCGAAGTCAAGGGCATCAAGGTTATATTTGTCCGCTAGGTTCGTGACCGTCTTCACGAATGCCGTGCGGTTGTCTGACGACCCGAAGTTGGTGGAGAAGAAGCGTGAGCCTGTCCAGCCGCCGATGGAGAGACCAGCCTTGACGCCATTGTCGTGTGCCGTCTTCACAAACTCGGGAAGTAGACTCTCATCCGACTCTTCGAGGGATAGCTCGTCTGGCGAGTCCACGGTTACCCTGTGGAGATTAAGTACATGCCCGAAGTAGAGGAACCAGTCACGCACGCAAATGCATAATGTAGCAAGCTATACTTCGACCAGGAGACATTGGACGGAGGGTAGTCCTCCGCATGCCAACCCGTGTACCACGCTACCGAGATGAGGTCCGAGGCATCCTCACTCGAGGAAGGTGCTGCTCTCGTTGATATCCCCAGCGCAAGGAGAGCCCACAGGGAAAGTGGGATGGACATAGCGAGCGTATGAAGCAAAGAGCGGCAGGGGGAAGAGAGGGGCGGGGGCAGGTGGTAGTTGCGGCGCTGTGCAACGTCTGCTGACCGCGTGTCGCTCCCAAATGATGTCGATCGCAGGGTCGGGGCTCCGTCGAGTCCCACGCTGCGATGGCTGGCGTTTCTGCTCGTCTGTGAGCTCGTGAAGGAGGCGGAAAGAAGAGGGTTCGGACGCACCTCGATCCGCACATGCTTTTTCGTCATGTGAGTGACTGGCAAGGGAACGCGAATCAGGTCCCGCTCCGAGGCTCTCCCCGGATTTTCAAGGCCAGCGGCCTCGCGTCGAGCGTCCTGCTAACCTATATGCTTTTTCAGATGCGGAGTCCATGGGTGGAGAAAAAGAGGAGCCAGGGGCGACAGCTAGCATGCTCCCGGTAATCATACAAGGCCTTCCTTTTATGGATATATCGCCGGCGCTAGATGTGACGTGACACAGTGGCAATTTGTGATGAGATCACGGTCTCCTGTTCCTGTCCCGGGCCATGAACTGAGTCTGACGCGTTAACTTGCGCGACATTCCTGAATTCTCCTCCTCGAAATCGTGTCACCTTGTTCTCCTCAGTGCTCCGAAGAAAGGTCCTGAGCACTCCGAATGGCCTCCGGACCTCAAGGATGGTGGGACGGCGGCCCCGAGCGGCACGGAATACGACTCAACCATTAACAAGTCGCTCCTCCTTGGTGGCGCACACATATCCCTCTTTCTATGCTTGTTATCTTTTAAAGTCTATCAAGACTCCGAACTCGAAAGCGTAAGTGTGGGCGGTATGCTTGAACAACTTTCGACTGACAAACATTGTCGCAGCACGTATATTGGCAGCACACCGAATCCTCCGCGACGAATAAGGTGAGGAACGTCTCGTAGTCAAAGGAACACTCTGAGCTGAAGTTTGCCTTCTCAGACAGCACAATGGTGGGTATTCCTCTAAATATCTTGGCCACAGTCGCTCAGCAGGTAACGCAGGCGAGCTCACCCAGGGCGCGTGGAAGACGAAGCGCGGGCGACCCTGGATCATGCAGCTCATAGTACATGGATTCCCTTCGAAGCTGGTAAGCTCGTGACCTGAATATCGTCGTTATGATTGACCGAACCGCACAAAGGCTGCCCTCCAATTTGAATGGGCATGGCAGCACCCCCACCTCTCTCGACATCTCAAGGACGGCAGCGGGCAACCCCTCGCCGCGCACAGGAACAAAGGCATAAAAAATAACATACAGTACGACAATTTCTACTCACTAACCATCACTCGCTCGCTAATCACCCTCGTCGCCGCCCAGAACCCTCCTCATGATGATCACCAGCCACCCCTATAACCTCTGGCCGCTGCACGTCAAGCTCTTCACCGCCGAAGCCGAAAAGTTTTGGGGGATGCTAGTGAAGGCGCCCGCGTATCGGGCGCTGCCGCGCGGGCTAACCGCCACTATCGAGCTCGAAGGTGTGGACGGGAAATCGGGGACGCGCGGCTCGGGGCGGACGGGGCCGGTCGATGTGGCGGATAGTACGAGTCGTTTTATCTTGTTTCGAGCTCGTTGTTCCTCAACCCTTCCCTCCAGCCCACTTCACCTCGCAATATCTGGCGAAGAGCACGGCCGTGGCCGCCTCCGCGACAAAACCGGTCTGCTCCGTATGCGGCGAGCAGATTGTGGATTATACATCAGTAAGTCGCTTCCCCATACTCGTCTCTCCCTTTCCAAGCCCCCTCCGCCTCAACTTACCGCCACCCCCATCAGGACCCCCTCACCACGACGCTCTGCCCCACCAGCGGCTGCATGTCGACCGCGCACTTGATGTGCCTATCGCAGGACTGGCTCGCTGGCGAGCCTGACAATCAGGGCCTCATCCCCCGCGGCGGGCACTGCCGCGAGTGCAAGTCCTACGTGCTCTACGGCGACATCATCCGCGGGAGCTATCGGCGGGCGGCGGGGAAGGCCGTGGTTTTGGAGGACGAGGAGGAAGAGGCCCTGGTATTGGAGAATGATGAAGAGGATGGGGACGGGAAAGAGGACGATGCGAATGGGATGGAGGAGGAGGAAGAGGAGGATATCAGCGAGTCCGACGGAGAGCTTCCTGTGGCAGGGCCTTCGCGTGCGGTACGGGGTGGTCCGTCTTTGCAGGGAAAGCGGACGTCTTCGCCAGAAAAGCGGACGCCTTCTCCTCTCAAGAAGGCAGTCACTCAAGGCAAGCGCGTCACTCGAAAGGTGGCCGTCGTCGGCCCCGATTCGAGCGAGGGCGAGGCGTTCGACTTCGACGTGAGCGGGACCTCGGACGACGAAGAAGCGCCGATTATACCTAGGGCGAAGCCCATACCGAAAACCATATCGCGGGCAGCTGGCAAGTCGAAGGCGACTGTTGCAGGCAAGACGAAGGCGACTACCGCTGGCAGAGCGAAGGTGTCTACCGCTGGCAAAGCGAAGGCGACCACACTCATTCGCCCTCGCGGCCGACCCAGGGAAGACGTGCGCGGTCGACCTCGCAAAGACGCCGCCGACACGAGCGAGGGTGAGGAGTTCGACTTCGACGTCAGTGGGAGCTCGGATGAGGAGGCCGCGGCGCCTTTGCGGACGACGAATAAACCCGCTTCGCGAGTGGTGACGAAGCCCGTTCTGCGCGCTGCTGGCAAGCCCTTGTCGCGAGCTGCTGGCAAGCCCTCTTCGCGAGCAAAGCCTCCTTCTCAAGCGATCAACGAGGTGCCACTAATCCCTCAGAAACGCCCGCGAGGGCGTCCAAGGAACGCTGCAAACGCGAGAGGTCTGCACACCGACTCGAGCGGGGAGGCGTTCGACTTCGACGGGATCAGGGGGAGCTCGGAGGAGGAGGAATCAATTCCTCGTCCGCAGAGGCAGCAGGATATGCAGGGGCAGTCGAATGGCTCAACACTCAGCAGTCCAACAAGGCAGATCGCTCGCGCTCTGGGCGCGCTGACGATGGACTCGCCGAAAAGAAAAAAGGCTACGAAATATATCGAGATTTCGGATTAAAATATATACACCTCTTATAGTCATCCGAGCTCAGTACTGATAGGTTTGGCTAATCCTTCGGTGCATAAGCATTCCTTTGCCAGGTTAGGAGAGCCGCTGAAAGCGGGAAGTTCCTTGTCGGACACCCGAGAAATGCCAACACACACATTGCTGGACAACTCAAACCGTGATCTCGGCAGATCCCGATCATAAAAGCGTGAACAGCTCGCCCGGCGCCGCGTACAATGGAACTCTCTTCAGCCACATTGCCGTAGACGAAGGTCGACTCTGTCATAGCCGGTTGCTTACTCCAGCTCATATCTGATTGCTTACGCCAACTTCTGAGTTACACCCACCGGCCACTGACCAACGAACAGGCCCAGGGTACGAGGCGTGGCGAGAAGGAAGTCCGGATTCAGAGAGGGCTTAGCCGCAGAAGGTCTCTTATGAACGTGCGGTATGATTGGCGTCGGCGGGAAGTGACAGGTTCGATTTCAGTGTTCCGACCATCTAGACTGACAAATCATGAGGTTGGGAGTTCGAACCGGGCCTTTGCCACTTCTCCATATGAAGTTCCCTGTACTTGTGTACATAATTTCTGCAGTACTTCCGGCCTGAAGAAGTGCTTCTCAGCCTCGACGCTCACGGAAACGCGAAAAAAGAGGTCGGCAGATTTTTCGGTGTTTGCCGGATGCTCGGCAAACGCCGATTAGCCGGGAACCAGACTATCTTCCCACACTTCCAAGGCTCTGTAGGCAAGCCCCACCACTTCATATGCTGGGTAGATAGAATAAGGCTACATACGGACTACTTACTGACACTCGCATGGCTCAAGTTTGGTTCTTGATTAGCCTATGACTCAAGTACTTCTTCAAGCTAGATAAGCACTGATAGCGCAGGATCCTAACCTTACTGCATACCGTAAGCAATAGAAGCTCAGGAAGAGCAGGCACACACATATATGCGGGCTCAGCAGAGCGTGTGAAAAGAGTGTATGTGATCTCAACCGTTGGAACTTACATAAGCAGTTCCAAGGATTGAGATCACATGACTAGGCCGAAAGCATACTTACCCTGTCACCTCCTTGTGGCAGACACTGTGTCAGATACAGTGGCGGCAAGATCAATTGCGCGGTTCCTTTTTGGGAAAGATCGCCGAGGTGAGGGTTAGCGGTGCTCGACGGGTCTCGGCGACCTCACAGAACGGGAGAGCGCCGTCGAAAACCCCGGTCTGCATATGAACTTTGTTGGTAGATACTCCCGCTCGCCATGCAACGTGTGAAAGGTGCCTACATGGCCTCACCTACTGTACCGCCCATTCATCACGCATGGTTCGGTCTTTCCGCACGATATCTTGTATACGGGGGTTTCAAACGGCGCTCTACCGTTCTGTGATTTCGCCGAGACCCGTCGAGCACCACTAACCCTCACCTCGGCGATCTTTCCCAAAAAGGAACCGCGCAATTGATCTTGCCGCCACTGTAACACTGCTAAACACCTACGTACAACAGGAATCAACTACATACACCCATCAGCATGGGTGGAGACAGGTATCAGTACTCAGCGGCATTTCGGCGCCGGCGCTGTCGGCTTTTGCCGGGATTCCGGAGAATGCCGGGATTTCTTCCGACCTCGTTTTTCGCATTTTCACGTCTTTTGGCGTGTATACACAGCATATATAAGTGCAGCACATGGCGTAAGACTGATGGGAGGTGGGAATTTTGAGGAAAAAAACATTCGGAATAACTGCAGTGAGGTGTCGGTTCGAACTCCCGACCTCATGATTTGTCAGTCCAGATGGTCGAAACACTGAAATCGAACCTGTCACTTCCCGCCGACAACAGTATGATGGCTGATTTCAACGAGAATTCGAACTCGCCGGCATTCGAACCTGGTCCTTACTCATGCACGTGGCCAATGCGGTGGTCGTTAGTCCGTACTCCCGAAGGCGTCGTGATATTCGACATCGCCCCTCCCACGAAAATGACCATCACGATTCTTTCTGGGGTCCCTCTCAGTTTTATTCGCTAATATCGCGGCCTGCAAGAGACTATTTAGAGAGGGACCTATACGCACAAATAATGGTCAACAGGTGACTTATGTTTCGTGTATATCGGGTTCGCGGAGCCTCTTGAAGCGCACAGAAACAACAAGTAGGCAGATCAAGAGCGTGCCGTATATGATACATTATCCGGAGGGCTCTGACGAGTTCTCCAGGCGCAAGGGGTCAGCATGAACAAGATCTCGCGGAAATTGCCGGCTATCGAAGGGAGCCCGTTTCTCAAACCCCCCCGTTATTCAAACGTGGAGGATGCATTCAAGTTTGGAGGCGTTACTGCAAGAGAAATTCTGGAAGACGGCGAAATCGACTCGAGCCGCCTATCGCCCTCGGAGTACCGACTAAGGAGCTCGAAAGCACGTGGCATACTAGTCACGGAACCCGACAGAGACGACTTCGGTCTTCGACACCAGCAAGACTATGAGCCTTGCCAACCCGACTAGAGCGGCCGATTTTACGATGAAATAAAACGTCATAGTGCGGGTATCCAGGCCGGAGCCTCGCTCGGGCGCGCCCTGTCATAGTCTCCCACGCGCCGAGCGTCACAAAAAGACTCAAGAGACTTTGCCATGACGTGCCTCTGAATATCCGAGGGTTGGGCTCGAAACTCACGCATTCAATCGCTGAGCTCCATTCGTTCAATTGTTCCCTTGAGTTCCTTCTTCCCCATTCCATCGTAAGTCCTGCATCTTTTACCTCTCTCCTCCATCCACTGCTCCATCACTGCAATGGTAGTAGGTCCTTCTGTTACGGAAGCGGTCGGACTTGCCCTGGTCCACGATTCAGACGCTAGCAAGCTAACCGAAGTCAACCTAACCAAACTTCAACAAACTCACCGCACACCATCGGCGGCCCGCTCGTCCCTTGTGCGGCTCTTCGAATCACCCGTGCCAGGAACTCGCCGCGTCTCCCATCGACACGAGGCAGCCCTCCTCCCACACCCGAAATCGTCCCATTGCTCTCGCGCACAATAGATTCAGACTGGCTCGATGGTCGCAAGTTGATTCTGGAATGCACGTACGCACCCTCGATGCAGGATAAAACTAAGCACGTACCCCGTCCCTCCCCAATATGAAGACAATCGCGAAGACTTCACCCTCCTCCCTCGAAATCGCTGAGGATAAATTATCTATTTTATACGTCTACGTTCCACAGGCCGCCTCCTCAGCGCAGCCAGTACAGACAGAGAAGCAGCCAACGGCGGTACCCATACAGAGAGCAGCTATATACACAGGCTCGGCGAGGAAAGTAGTAGGTAGCAGGTAAGTCAGTCAGTCGGCCGCAAGGTAGCTACGACGACGACGCGACAAAGACGTGTCCGCATCCCAACCCCGACGACGAGCGTCCTCGCTGTATGTCGACGCAGTCCCATAAGATAAATAGTAGCACAGTATAGTACTAGGTAGGAGCACAAGGAGCGATAGATAGGGCGGGTAAATGAGTGTGTGGATGGTAATGGTACGGTGTTCGCGGGTGGTAGGGTGGTAGGTGAGTAGGTACGTGGGTAGTTCGGGTGCGAGGTAGAGGAGTTCGGGATGAGGCAGCGAGGCTGAGGAATGCGAGTAGCCAGGCCGCGCGGCGTGGAATGTGTACGCCGCGAGTGAGGTGGTGACGCACTAGACGTCGAGGAGGGTGCGCCTGACTGGACCAGCGCACCGAGTAGCGAGGTGCTGCCGCGAGAGCGGTAGGTGGCGCGGCAGCGAAGCAGGGCGGAGGGAATGGGACGGCGGAGGTGATGGTAATACAGCGGGGGTAATACATTCGTCGGGGTCATTACATTTGTATGTAGAAGGAACGGACGCGCCTTGCGGCGCGAGCATTAACGGAGACCCAGGCAAGGCAACAGAGCGGGGATGGAAGAGAGCAGTGTCCATTCCGTGGCGGTGGCGGTCGACGACGGCGAGCAGATGATGGGTGTTCGACGAGGCCCTCCGCGAGCGGCGGCAACGACAAGAAAACCGATAAATAGCCCGACGGACGAGCAGCGAGGCGATTATAGGCAGGAGACGAGACGAGAGAGTCGAGAAACGAGACAGCCATAACGCAGCGAGCGGGTATATGGTTAGGGCATAGAGCTGGCGCATAAGAATACACAGGGCATTGGTGAGAAGGGGCGGGGCATACGAGGCATCAAATAGATGACGCCCGCGTCGACGACAATGGTGTCGACGCTGTATACGGGTGTGGGCTTAGATCATCGAGTAAAGCCCATCGCCGCGCCCGCCGACCATGCCGGTGTTGGCGCCGTTCATGCCGTTGTAGCCGCTCAGGCTGGTGTTGATGCTCAGGCGACGCGCGCCCTCGAAGCTGCCGCGGTTGCCCATGTGGAACTCGTTGGTGACGGGCGAGCCAGAGCTCGAGCCGCGAGAGCCAATAGAGATGGCATCCTCATCACCACGTCCGCTGCCGTAGGACATCTGACGCTGCATCTGGCCGAGGAAGGCCGGGGGCTCGCTGTCTGCGTGAGAGTCAAATCACGCTATACATGACGGATCTCAATCACACGCACTGGCAAACAGCTTCGCCTCCACGGCGTCCCCGAAAGTCATGTTGTTATCGAACATCTTGTCGGCGAAGTTATTGAAACCACCGTGCTGCAGCGTTTCATGTTAGCGATCAGGTCTATCAGAAAGTGAAGGGGGGTCGGGTATGATAGAGGTGATGTTCGCGAACAGTGTGGTGGTTCAGATCGGTGGAGGTGGCATGTGGTCCACCAAGGGGAAGTACACAAAGGGGATAGATAGGCCATATGTGCCACGCGAAGAAGAAGAATCATGTGCAACTCACCTCCTGGGGGAGGAAGGTCTGCTGCATCGGGTTGAGGTCGAACCCATGCGGGTGCTCGTACTGAGGCATGGACGGAGAGGCGATCATCGGGTTGGCGTACATGCTGGAGGATCATGAGCCGGAGCCTGCGAAGCACGCAATTACGCTACGTACCTCTTGCTGTCCTTGAGCATACCGGCCTTAAGCATGGCCAGACGCTGGGCATGCTCGAGCTGCTGCGCCTGGAGCTGGCGCATGTCGCGGGCATTGTGGTACTCGGTAGTAAGACGAGCGATGTCGCGAGGGTCGGGGCCGCGCTGGATCGGCTGCATGGGCTGCTGCTCAAAGTACTCGTCGTCTTCGGCTTCATCGTCAATCGCCTCGGGAATGACCTCGAGCTCGCCGCTGAGGACCATGTGGAAGGCCTCGGAGCGGGGAGGCTCCTCGACGGTCGGGAGGTTCTGGCGATGACGCCACTCGTTCAACTCGCGGCGGAGAGCATCGGCTTCGAGTTTGAGCAAGCGAAGCTCGCGGGCAGCAAGAAGGCGGTGGCGGCGCGCCGCGGTGATGTGCGCGATGGAGCTGTTGACGATAGCAGACTTGGAGGGACGACGGATCTGCGAGAGGTTGGGGAGCAGACCGGCAAGGTCGAGGAAGCGTCCGTTGAGGGTCTCGCGACGCTGGCGCTCGACGGCATTGTGGGTGGCACGACGCTCAGCAGTGTTGGAGCGGCGCGACGCCTTGCGCTTTTCGTACTGGGCAGTCGCGGTCATCTGCGGGGAGACCGGAGTCTGGGGTGGCAGAGACTCGTCGGAGCTGGAGGGGGAGTTGGGGCCGGAGTTTGAGGACATGGCGGATTCTATGCAAACAGCGGTCGTGGTGGTGAAAAGGGATGTCGGTGTCGATTTGCTGAAGGAAGGGGGATAGGCGGAACAAGTAGGGCCACGCGATTACTCAAGCGGAAGCGCAAACTTGGGGGAGAGTTGGTTGAGGAGGGTGAGGTACTGGGACGGAGATCAGTGGAGGCAAGGGTAAAGAAAAGTAACCACGTACTTCTTGATGAGATTGGGCGAAAATTGGTCCGCGAGCAGAGCTCAAGCGTTCAGTGTTATCCTTTCGTTTGGGGGGTAGGCGGGTAGTATGAGGCCGTCAAGGGTCGCGAGATCTGAGATGGCCGTCAGCATCGCAGTCGTCACAAGGAGGTTCATAGGGAGTAAAGGGGACGAAAGGGACAGCAAAGGCTTTTGGATCGCAAAGAGCTCAGGTGCAGGGCCCTGCCAGCTCGCAGACTCCGTGTGATAATGCTTATCAGCATACGCGTCGTGCGGTTACGGCGCGAATCCCGTCCGTCCAGCTGCCAGCCAATGTCCCTTAGCCATGCCTGCGAGCCTTGCGTATCTTTTCCTTCGCTGCACCTCTCGTCGCCGCAGAAAAAGTAGGATATGCGTCGAAGTGGCAGTAAAGGGGACGAGCACGAGGGGAAGTACGCACTCCAGGCGGTATCCTTGATTGGGCAGGGGTGGCGGAGGTGAGGGGACGAAAGGGGGAGGGGGTTGGAGGACGTCCGGGGACGGCTCAGCGCATACGACAACAACGACGGTGGGGGGAAAGGCCAAATCGTATCTTCCTCCCCTCCCACTATTTGTAATCTCGGCGTCCGGCCGCCCTTCAGCCGAGCGCCGGGCAACGGCTGCCAAGCACGGCCAAACAGAGCGCGAACTGGTCCGGCGTTGATCAATCTGCGCTGAGCTGGCACGACGCTCGTCCGCTGCTTCCGTGACGCGTCCGATGGGGGCTGGTGGTATACTTGAGGTATCCCTGTACTTTCAGAGCTGCAGAAAGCCCAAGAGGAGGAGAGGGAGGCTGGCATTGCTCCAACCACAGCCGCAGAGCCGTGACTACCTGATTAGGTCCCGCTGTCCCGTCCCTCGTACCCATCGACCGGTTTGGGTTCGGGAGTCACAGATCCCGACGCGCAAAGTCAGACCGAATCGTCACCGTTTCCATCGCTCCTTGCCCAGGTCCAGCCAGATCTGCAGATCTCCGGGTCGCTCGCCTCCATCTCAGCGTCCCCAAGCCCGCTCTCGGCCCGTGCTCGGCCCCTCCCCTTGTCCAGTCCCTCCCTATCAACCACCTTCCCGCGTACGCCGTTTCCCATGTCTCGAGCTTCTCTCCCGCGTTCCTCCCGCTGCCAGCGCCAGTGTTTCGGAAGGTGCTCAGCGGCGCGCGTATATTGCTCAGGCTCCCCCTAAACCGCCACCAACATCGACATTGATGTCGGCTGCGCCCTTGGTCTCGCCAGAGTCTTGCGCCCGCACGCGCCCTCCGTCTCACGGCCACTGCTACGCGTACCACTCCCCGGTCTGCAGATCTTTCTCTTCTTATCGTCTATCCGTCGTCCGATTGCGATATCGCTGGTCGCAGGCTCGTCCGGCCGCGTATTCAGGCTTTCGTCTTTCCTTGTCCCCAGGACCTCCGCCCGCCGTCCCGCTCACGAAAGCCCTCCCGCGTCATCCTCTCACTTTGCGAGAGTTTGCGCTGTTCCTTGGTCTTCATATCCGCGACTCAATTGCGCAATAACAGACTCCACACCTTCGGTAGGGCCTGGGTATAGACGGCTGTTGCTCCGTATAGTCGAATCCTGCTCCGTATAGCTCGACATCACTCACAAGACCTGCTCAGCTGGACGCAGGACCTTAGTTCTTCAGAATTCTTGCGCAATACCTCGTTGGCCACGTCTGCAAGCGGATAACCTCGGTGTATCTACACGGTTTAGACCTCCATCACGTCTCTGGCCGCCGCCGCAGAGTGGAGTCAGACAATTGCGGCCCCCGAGCGTCCGCGCAAGAGTACGCTACTTCCCGCATACCAATCACTCCTCGCACACCAATATCGTCTAACCATCCGTCGCTGATTGGGCGATCCTTCTTTGATTGGGCCATATACTGAGTCTCCCGCCTACTTGGCAACAAAGCTCTGCGGTCTCACTCGTCTCGTGCGCCTCACTCCCATCCGTCTCGTGCCCATCTATCTCAGCACCAATCAACCGCTTTCGACTCGCAGTCGATCTCCCGCTACCCGCGTTTCGCGCTCTGCCGCCCCACCGCCGTCCCGCTCAGGTGTTCGTGGTCATAGGCACCCGTATCCTGGTCCACCTCTCGTCTGATTCATCTTCACTTTGATACCCTCTTCCCGACCTTCCCGTTCCTTCTCGCTTCGACACCGCCCTGATGCAGTAGGCCCATCACTTTCCGGTGCATTGGCGCGTAATGTTCGACAGCCCATGTTACTACTGGCCCACCAACACTCATTTTGCGGCTAGCCCGGCGCGCTCGTCAATACAGTCTGTCGATGCCTTTTCTCCGCTAGTCCTCCTGCTTCTCCGGGCGCAATGCGCGCGGTAGGTGCCCGGGCCGCCTCGACCCACTGTATTGCTGCGCTGATTCCACGGTCAAGTGGGATAGTACAGGGCGAGCTGTCTGTCAGCTCTGCGGCAGAACACTGTCAGTGATGCAGACGCGTCCTTCCGCGATACAAATGTTTATTCCGTGCTGTGATCCTCTGGCTAAGCGAGGCGGTGCCCGAGTACGCCGGCCACTGCTATATATCGGTCAAAATGCGCCTCCCATGGCCACTGCCCTTCAATGCCCTCCATCACCCGGGCTTGCTTCTCCAGTACAGCTCCCGCCAAACAACGGCTAGCGCGATCCCCTCTGATTCCCTCCGTGCCTGTAGTAAGCCCGGAAGCGAAGGCCTCCGTGAGACGTCCGGGCGTATCGCAAGTCGCAAGTCGTGTACCGGCAAGGGGGAAGAGGACCGTGATTCCCTGCGTGAAGTTCGAGCGATTCCCCAGAGGAACTCAGCCGCGGACGAGTCGGGGCCGCACAAAGCTCCTGCCCGATTCGGAGGATCCCATTGTTTATGACCACGTGCAGCTCAGGCTGCTTTAGGCAAGCGTGCAAGCGAACCGCACGTGGGCGGTGCCGCCGCCGGCTTCCCACGCTCCATGGCTCTCGCCCATCAGAGCCCTGGCGCGCCAATCACCGCCCGGCGTCCATTGTACTGCGCGCCCTGCACGTTCTGCGCATTCTGATCATCGCGACTTCCCAACCCCCCTCGTCATCGCAGGCCTGCAGGGGACCCTCGTCTCATCATACCAGGTCGGTCATTTCAGGGAGACCCTGCTTCGCGAGGAACGCGCGAACATTCCGCGCGAAGAGGAAGGAGGCCCCGTGGTGATGAACATGGAGACGCGGAGAGATGCTTGTCTATCGAGACGTCCATGTCCGTGTTCCTCCGTGAGCGGAAGATATCTTGGGAGGCGTCATCTCACTTTCTTTGGATGGGAAGGCCATTGACAGCGGATGGGAAGTGTCGCTGCCGAGACCTCTGGGTGCGCAACTCCGAAGGATTTCCAGTGCTTTCTCTCTATCGAACTTCCAACGCAAAGACGTCGATGTCTTGGATACTGGGACCTTGCTCGTCGCTGGCCTACCGCCTTCACCCTCCGAAAGGCTTGCCTTGATCCCATTCCGCTGGCGTTTATCCTCATTTGGCATACCGACTCGTGGCCTCTCGTGGCGCAATATTGCCAGGAAGTACGCGTACGGATTTAATCGATGGCACGCGGCGGCGCGCCTGACCTTTTTGTGGTCGCGTGTGACCTGCCGTGGCCCCGCCTGACCTCCAGTGACCCCTCGAGGCCTCCTTCCTGGTACGCGACGCTCTTCGGAAGCAGATTCGTGAGAGGTGAGGCCCGTTCACAGCAGGCAACGCGCTCAGGTGACCCACAAGTCTATTGCAGAGCCAATCGTCGAAGTTCCCTCCTAGCAACGTACTTCTTCGCTCTGCGCAAGCATCTGCGTTCTGGCGCGACCGGCGAGGGTGGTTTTATTTTGGTATGAGCGTGCGGGAGCAGGATTTCTGCGCCTTACGATCACAAGTATGCTCGGGTACTCCTCCGCGCTTCGTCAAGATTATAGGTCCCGTCTTTGTTCATCCACCATTACGGACGGCACTTTCTTCTCTGTCGCTCTTTAGCTGCGATTAGGCATTCGTCGACGTTACTTCACTCGTACGACTTGAGCACGAACCCCCCACGCTGCACAGATTTTACGTCTCTCGATGCGCCTCACGGCCGTGGCGAAGCGCGACTAAACCTCGGATCCTCCCTTCGCAGCTAGATTGACGAGCGCCGCTGAGACTCTGACAAGCTGGCTGCTGTTTGGCGCTTTCGTTGACCCGCCTGTCTTGCTTTGGTCCTCTGCTTAAGGGTCTGCTGCACACGTTGCCGCCGGCTCGTACGTCTTCCCTTTTTCCGTCAGACGTTTTACCCTGCTTTGTTGTCGTGCTTTTGGGGCAATCGCATCGCTCGCGTCCATGATTATACCGACCCTTACTAGGAAAAGCTGAGTTATCGCGAATAGCTGGTCGAAGTACGAATTCTCTCAACCGTCTGGCGTAATCTTTTGCGGCGCATTCACCCTCTGAACCTCTCCTTTGACGGGTCCCCTGCGAGCCGACGGGCTCGACGGAAGGACTCGTGGCTGAAAGACGCGTGCCATCCCGACTGCCTCCTACCGTTCTACTCTCTCAGACAATGATAGCAACTTGTGGGCATGGCCTTCGAACGGACAACAATCAGAGCCTCTGCCACCCCAAACCCTGCCTAATGCAGCTCGGAGCTTCAGATACGTCGTGTCGGTTTGAGAACATTTGTTTGAGCGAGGGCGTCGTCTCGTCGGAGGCTTATCGTCAAGGAGGCTGAAGGGGCGCCACCATCAGAGCGTGTAAGGGAAACCAGCTCACCTCGATGGATAACGAGCTGTCGTCGATCGGTGGCGACCGGGTGGATGACGATCGCCACGCGGGCGTAGTAGATGATTGAATGGAGACCGGAGGTCTGTGAATGATTGGAAGTATACGCTGGCGTATGAACTGCCAGAGAAAGAAGATTGCGATAGGGGATCTACGGGCACGAGCAGATGATAGATAGGTCTTTGGGCTGATAATGTATTGAATGTAACACCACTGTATCAGGGATTTCTGCTTGAGGAACAGGCGGAACGTTGGACTGGTAGGTTACAGCCTTCCCCAAAGGCGCGAATCTTTCGTGCTAAGATTATCGCTGCGCTCGTTTACCTCTTCCTCAGAACTATTTGGTGGAAGTACAGTGCTGAGAGGTGTGGTATCTCATGTTATTCTTGGGGATGGATCGGGTTTTACGACGTTGTCGAGGGCCAGACTTGCAGGACGAGTTCAAAGTTCAACCGTGGGAACGCCTGCGCACGTTGTCGAGAACGTGATCCTTAACGTCACGGTTCATTTTCCTAGACTTTCACCTCGAGCGCAGCCAGCGTCCGCCCTCTGAAGGAGATGATCAGCTCCTTCCGTGGCCTCCATCCTCCATGAACTCCGACGAGCGGGACAAGGCGGTTGAGAAAATCTTGGTAATGCATCTGTGGGCGCCACGATCGTGAGCTGGCGCGGTGGCAAAACGAATTTCCTTCCGTTTTTCCTCATTCGGAACGAACCAATGGCCAGAACTCGACTTGAATTTCACAGCCGGTGCTGAGGTCATCACTGTCTCCTCGTCCGGCCCTTGCTGATTCTTCCTCATCCGGTATCAAGGCTAGATCAGCGCTAGTCTGCTCGAAGTTGGGAAAGTCTCACCTTCATCATGACGGGGACCTACAAGACGTATGTGCTCGAGGGATTTGAGAAGGACCTCTCTGGGCTAGTGCAGACGACGAGGAGTTTGCCGGATAGCCTGAACGAGACGGATGTGGTAAGCGCTCTGGGCTTGGGTCGGGTGTCCTGAGCTCACAACTGCAAGCTTGTCCGCGTACATGTTGTGGGGCTGAATGCGCGAGACCTGCAAAGTAAGCGCTTTGCCCAGCTCGCTGATGGAGAAGTACCAAACTGATGATTGCCCACCACCAATCTAGTCGCATCTGGGACGTATCCCGCGCCTCATCTGCCGCCAACTGGACTTGTACCGTGCTCGGACTGCGCAGGCGTCGTTGAGAAAGTAGGCTCGAAAGTCGATAGGGTCAGTAGTTCCTTTGTCCGCTAGGAAACACTACTCAACCCTTCCAGGTTCATCCTGGGGACCGCGTCGTTTCTCACGTATCGTACAACTGGATTCACGGCGAGATGGGCAATGCCATGCAGAAGACGGCGTGTGAGTGAGACTTTTGTCGCTACTCATATGGCTTCACTCAAGCATATATATTTAGTGGGCGGTGGAATTGACGGTGTCCTTTCCGAATACGCCATCTTACACCAGGTACGTTTCTATCCTGGATGATGGCAACCTCACCATTCACATGAAGATCAGGACGGCGTCGTGCACATACCGGACTTCATGTCCTTCGCTGAGGCATCGACTCTGCCAGTGGCTGCGCTTACCTCATACCACTGCCTCTTCGGCTTCGAGCGCACCCTGCAGCCCGGACAAGCCGTACTTGTCGAAGGTCAGTAACCCCAGAGAACTTTTTTTTTTTGCTGGCAAGACCTGTAGCTGAAATCAATTTAGGCACTGGCGGCTGCGCCATCGCCGCGCTGCAGCTGTCGCTTTTCGCAGGCGCACGGCCTATCGTCATCAGCTCGTCGGACGACAAGCTGGCACGCGTACAACAATTGGGCGTTCCGGCAGAGGATTGCATCAATTATAAGGTGAACCTTCTCCATGTTCGTCGTCGCTCAGGATCTAATAACGATTACAATTTCGCAGGCAACCCCAGATTGGGAAAAGCGCGTCCTCGAGTTGACCGACGGTCGCGGCGTCGACCATACGGTCGAAATTGGCGGGCGGAATACACTGCCAAAGGCCATCGCCTGCACCGCGCCCGGTGGCTGTGTGTCCGTGATTGGGGTCAGTCTTCTCTGCGCCGCCCACAATATTGCGCACGTCCAATGTCCTCGTCACTAAAATCGCATCCCCAGTACCTCGACGACTACAAGCCGAACGCCTCTGACTCGCAGCCCGACGTCGACATCGCCAAGCTCATCCTCTACACGCAAGCCAACGTACGCGGCGTCGTCTGCGGCTCGCGCCTGCTGTTCGAGCAGATGATCCGTGCGCACCAGCAAGCGCATTTGCGGGCAGGTATGTCTATGACCCAATCACTTCACGAGCGAAGCACCGCTGCTGGTAGTTGACATTATGTTGTAGGAAAATCCTCCAAGAATATTCTGACGCCTGTAGTCGACCACCAGTTCGCCTTCGACGAAGCGAAGGAGGCCTTCAAGTGCTTGGAAAGTGGGAAGTTCTTCGGGAAGGTTGCTATCAATGTCATACAGGAGTCGTAGGGTATCGTGATTGTCGTTAAACTCATAGCGAAGTAGCAAAGAAAGCAGACAGAGAATGAAGAGTCAGTGTAAAAATATTCTATGACGGCGATATCACTCCTGTGGCCGCGGCCCAAGCTTCAGGACCACGCGCGGCAGCTTCTTGGCGGCACTCGCATCTGCAGTGGGCTTCGGCGTCTCCTCCTCACTCTCGGTCAACGACGACTCCGACGTCGTCGACTCTGCGGGATGCTTCTTCCTACCAGCAGCCGCAGGCGACGCAGCTGCGGACGAAGGCCTCGATGCAGGTCTCGATGTCGGCGGCGACACCGGATCCCCCGGTTTCTTCCTCTGCCTAAGCTGCATCGATCGAGGCGGGATCGGCGCCTTGCTCGTCTTCCCCTTCTCGCTCAGCTGCGGGATCCGCTCCTTGAGCGCGTCGAAGTTTGCGGTGGCGCGGTCGAGCCAGGGCTCGGGGGTGGCGAGGGATGCGCGTCCGCCGCGGCGCTTTTTGATGGCTTTTTCGAGCTGGGGTAGGATGAGTGAGAGGTAAGGAAAGGGTGAGTGAGAGGGGAGTTCCGTATGTGTGGCAGTCGTAGACGTACCTTCACGAGGTTGTCTACGTTCCACCATTCGGGACGGACGCCTGGTAGATCGGATAGACCGCAGAGGTGCGCAAGTGAGCCGCTGATGAGAGCGCGGTCGCCGTAGCCGCCTAATAAATAAATAATTGCAGTGAGCCGGAATTGTAGATGCAGGGTAGCGGCGCGCATACCCTCGAGGACACTAATCAGTCTCCCATCGGCATAACGGTCACTGAACGCGCAGGCGTCCCGCGCGAACTGGTAGTAAAACGAAGTCGGTACGTTGCGCTTGTGGCGCTGCATCGATTCGTACTCGTGCTCGCAGGCATCAAATCCACAGCTAGAATGTATGTATAGTTAGCACATGGCCCACGAAACCATCTCTAGCGCTGAAGTATACCTGATGAAGACGAGCACGTCCTTTCCCGGGCCACCCGTTTTATCGAGGAATTCCTCGGCTCGACGGATGATCCTGGTATATTGTGACTGGTATAGCGCGTCGAACTCTTCTTGCGACTTCCAAGTTTGGAGATGTACGTTCTCGACATGCTGTCCGTGCTCTCCACGAATGGAGACGGAGGCAGCTTGCACGAGCGCGGGCTTTCCGTCCTGTGCAGCCAGTTGGTCAGAGAGTCTCGCGCGCATTTGTGGCACCGTACCTCGCAGGGATATGACAGTATGTCATGCAGCGATGAGTAGTACATTTGCGGTCCTGGCTTCACGTCTGGTGCGCCGGCTTCGCTTTCCAGAGTTTGACGGTAGGTCTCTTCGTTGATTTGCCAGATGAGCGACTGTGTTCCGTTTCCTTTGCACTGCGGTGAGGCCTTCTGGGAATATATTACGGATGATGTCGCTTACCATGATGGAGGTCTATGTCGAAGACGACTACGCGCCGGACGCCGTGCTTTAAATGGGCTGTAAAGGGCGTTCAGAATGAATGTCAAGGGTTTGGGGAAAGTCATCCCACCATGCGCAGCGCCAACCACGACGTTGTTAACAAAGCAAAACCCTGAGGGTGTGTCTTCGCCACAATGATGACCTGGTGGCCTTATTGCGGCAAAGGCGCGCCGGGTGCGGCCAGCGATGACATCGTCGACTGCTTCGCAGACGGTACCCATCGCCCCCTGCATCGCATCGATAGATTCTGGACACACTATGCAAACGAGGGGTTAGTGGACCATAGAGATTTAGTATGTAAGCTGGACTTACGATATAGGTCACCTTGCGCATACCCCTCGGGAATTTCTGACCCTCCCTGTCGTATCTTCTCCGTGCTCTCCTTCGCCCACTTGGTCAGGTTCTCGAGGTACACATCGCCGTCAATATCGCCATGAACAAACTTGACAGCAGGATTGTCAAGCATCTTCACCGCCGCATCTGTATGCCGAATGCTCCAAGCTTGGTTGTCTCCCTTGCCACTATCTTTGTTTGGGCTGATGTCGAGGCGGGCCAGAGCGTCGGCGAGCTCGTCGGATGGTGTGGACTCGCGCTTGACTTCAGAGCTTTTGCTAGAGGGTACAAGCTCCCCCAACCGCGAGTTCGCAGCCGATAGGCCCACGAGGACCGCGCGAAGACGCTCGGGCCTTTCTACTATGGCAGAAAGGTCCGTTGAGCGAATATATTGATGGTCGAAGCATTTGTTCTGCACATAGAAGGTGTGCTGGCCTCCTGAGTGAGGCGAGCTCATCTGGACTGTTCGGAGCTGGTCGGTGGAGAGGGAGATGGAGGACAGCAAGTACCAGCGAAGATCCGGGTCAAGTTGAACTTCAACTTGAGATTGATCGACGCCACAGCGACGCGACGCTCACGTGGGAAATCAGCTTGAGGGCAGGCTGCCTCGCGTTGACCGGTCTCGGCTTTGTGCAGCCCTGTGAGTCTATTGCGTAGCCCTGCTACTTTCCCATAGCTAAGGTGACGAGCAAGATACCATAGAATATCTCCTATACAAATACCGTGAACCGTCATATATACACCGGATGGTCGTGAAAGCTCTGCAAATAAGTCAGGGCTGTGGCGCGAACAAGGTCTGCAGCTTGTCAATCAGGATAGCCCATTCAACGATCGTTACACCCATCCTCAGCGCCTCCTCCCTAATTTCCTTGTCTCTCGTGTCCTCGGATAAGCGCGCAACCGCTCGAAGGTGCTCCTCGCTCGTCATCCCCAGACTTTCCAAAACTGGCGCGATGTGCAGTAGAGAAGGCTCGCACGAATCAAGTACGCGATCAAAAGCGCCCTCAGGAGTCTTGATGGAACTGATGGTCGCTCCCGACTGCGTGGGGTGGAACAAAGAGGATAGAATACGCCGATTGGGGCTGGATCCCCGGCGGCTATGTGTGTATCGTCGGTCTGCATGTTCTGTTAGAAGGTGTAGCAGATATAGACCGAATAGTAAACTTACTCAGCTGGGCAGTAGGGCTGTTCACGCCATTCGGCGTCGAAGTTCGTGGCGGAGGGCTTGGAAGCGACCGCGGCGAGGACGAAGTGCCGGTCCTTCGACTATCTGCCCTAGAGCCGTACGATGCCTTCCTGGGCGGCGTAGTTCCTTGCGGCAGCATCTGATTTAAAGTGTTTCAGCAAAGAATCAACAGACAGAAAAATCTGAGAATTACTGGAGGAGAAGCACTCCTTGCGCTGCTATCCATCCCAAGCCCCCGCACCTCCTCGATTACACGCGTGCTCCCCGGAACCGGCGCGACTGACTCCGGATAGTCGTCTGCGCCAACAAAGTAGACGCTCATCTCCGGCTCTGGCTCAGTTGCCTGCGCCGCCTCCTCCGCCACTTGCTCGCGCCATGTCGAAATAGTCACCGTTTTCTGTGGGCTATCCTCTAGGACGCGCCGCCGGACCATCGAAAACTCGGTGTTCCCCTGGATGATCTCTGTCTCGCGACGCACGGGCGGCGGCCAATCGCGCTCCGAAGGCGGATTAGGTAGGCGCTTGCTGCTCGCGCGGCTCGTCGTGGTCGGGCTTCGCCGAACGACCGCGCCGCGGGGAGGTCCCTGAGGCCATCCGTCCTGCGACTGGCCCCACTCGCTACCACTGCGCCCGGTAACATGGCGCGCAACTGACCCCGCGCGCGACGGAGTCTGCCGCCCCTCGCCCGCCAGAACCCGCGTACTCGACGACCCAGGGCCCTTCCTCGGACTAGCCTGCGGCGTTCCCCGAGTCGCATTCGCCTGCCCCATGGCCATTTGCCACTCTGAGCGCGTCTCTCCCGGGGCTGCTGTGTAAGTACAAGCGTCAAAGTCGCTCCCCAGCGGCGTCGCCGTGAACGCCCGGGACTCGCGCAGGTGTGTGCCCCACTCCGTCTGCGCGCCGCGCGTCGTCGTTCCCGCCTGGGTCATCGCATCGAAGTCGTCGTCCAGCGGCGGCGACGTCGGCGGCGGGTTCGGGCGCCGCACAAGCGTCTTGCCCGTGCCCTCTCGGTTGGGCACTAGGTACAATGCGCCCAGCTCTATCGCGATCAGTGTGATCAGTCCCGGTTCGATTATTTGCGGCGTGGGCGCATACCGCTGTCTGTGTCACGATGTCTCAGCATTTCGGGCTTGCTGGCCTCGAGTGCTCGCTAATATGTCTTCCTTCCTACGGTGAGGGTCGAACGCAACGCCTAGCGTTTGCGTTCCATCGATGCTCCCGCTCCCGGACATGAGGCAGCGGCATGGGCTCGGACAACCTCATGTTATTGCATTTTACCCACGAGCGACCTAGCACGTGGCAGACCTAGCTGTAATGCAATGCTTTATCCCATCGAAAGGTTAGTCTAAAGCAATGATGGCAGAAAGGAGTTCAGTTGTACACATTCGGCGCCGGGCGAGCTGGATGAATCCGAACTTGGGTTCGTCACGCAGTCATGCATTCACGGTCCGGACTTTGCCGAGTTCACGACTCGACCAAGATGTGGATTACTGTATCTTGCATGTCCGCCAAGGATATGTACACCTCTAGTTCGGCGAGGGGAAGGGCTTGCGCAGTAGACCGGAAAACATCTCGCAAGTCTCGAGTCTCTACGCGGCATTATGATTCATGGCCCTTTGCGCACCTCTCTTTGTGGGCGCGTGAAAGTGATGGCTATTCTATGCCACACTCTACATTGCACAAGGGAAAGGCATTTCTTCCGCTGTTTGCAAAACTGGCGCCTACCTTATGTTTGCAGAAGTAGGTCCTCGTGGTCGCACAATTCGGGCCGAAGCTCTGGCGTGCCGGGCGCTTGATTCTCAGGCTTGACTTCCTACCCTACTGTCATTCCCTCGCCATGTCTGATCCTTCTGGAGTACTTCCGGAACCTGTATCATTGACTTCTGGTACTGGAATACGCGTGGACCAGCTCAGAGTGAGGGTAGTGGCTTGCCACGAAGCCCGTGTTGACACTCGTCCACTTGCATAGCGCCGAACATGCTTCATATGCCAGCAGGAAGAGACATTCGACGGTGCGTAGTAGCCTCAGATGCTGGTTCTTTGCTGACCTATATGCAGCTGACAGCAATCCATCTAACGCCTGGGTTCATCCATGTCGATGCACGCTGCTAGCACATCGCACTTGCCTCGTGAACTGGATCAACGCCGTACACCTCCCCAAAGCGCCAGACCCGTACAAGATGGAAGTGCGGTGTCCGCAATGCAACGAAGTCTACACCTTTGCGGTCAATGATAGCACACCTTCGCGGTTGCTCAAGGTCTTCGACCTGGGCAACAAGATCGTCGAGGGCGCTGTGCAGATTGGCATGAGAGCCCTGGTTATTGGGGCCATATTGTCCTTTGGACGATGTGAGTAACATTCCCTCCCAACCTAGCGTCATCTCAGTTCTTATTTGCAGCAATATACACCGTATTCATCGCCTATGGCGCCGCCTCAATCCGCCTCTACATCGGCGAAGAGTGCGTTTTCATCTCCCCCTTCTTTCCCTCCCCCTTCCTTCCCTCTTCCTTCCCTCACCCCCGCTTACGCCCCTCCAGAATGTACCAAATCCTCCTCTCCGACGACACCCTCGTCTGGCCCTGGGAGGCCTTCATCCGCCTCCCCTGGATCCCCCTCAACGCCCTCCTCGGCTCCTACCTCTCTATCGCCAACATCCTCTGGGACCCCCTTCCCGCATTCCTCATCTGGCCCGCGTCCACCGCGGCTGCCCATCGTACTGTACGGCGCACGCTCCTCTCGCTCGGCCGATCCGACGCCTTCCCCCGCGGCGTCACCGCGGCATGGCCACCGTCACCGGCTTTTGTGCATTTCCTGGGTATACCCGGCGCGAGGTTCACGTACTCGCTCGTGCGCGGGCGGATGATACGAAGAATCGCAGGCCTGCCGCAGCGGGAAAGCACGGCTGAGAACACCCTGCGGCAGCTCGTCGAGGACTCGGACTCGGAGGACTCGGACGGAGAGGAGGGCGACGAAGGCGACGAGGTAGACGAAGCGGTCGCCCTACAACGCCACCTGAGCCGCCCCGGCTGGCTTGCGCGCGCGGGCCACTCCCTCCTCACGCCGTTCTACGCGAACGGAATGGGGTGGGTGCTCGGCGAGGCCGCACGGCATGCGCAGTGGCTGAAGACGGCGCTGGCGATCCGGCCGGCGCTGGACCCGCTGGCGGTGGTGCCGGCGCCAGTGCTCACGCCTCTAGATTTTTGGAAGACGGGGGCGATGAGGGGGGAGGATGTGAGCTCGATCACGGCGTTCTTCCGCGCGTTCTGGGGCGGGACGGGGCTGTGGGCGAGTACGGACCCGGTGTGGTTCCGCAATATCCTCGGGCTGGGTATTTTCATGGTGGTGCGTATCGTCTTCCTCTTGTGCCGATGCCAACTAACGACCTCGTCAGGCCAAGGATGCTCTGTATGCCCTGCACCTACGATACGCGCTCAGAGAACTCCGGTCGCGCAAGATCATCAGCCGCGATTTCGGGAACGTAGACAGGAGTACGCTGGACTTGATACCCCGAGATGTAGCCAGTTGAGGTCGGCTTCATGGATGACCGTGAGCTGATGCTATCTTCTACTTTTCTTGTTTCCCGCGTCACCCTCTCTTGACTCTCGGTCGCTCTTTTACAGTACGAGCATGACTTATCGCGCACGCTCGTTCGTGCAATATTATACAGATCCATGGTAAGTACAGTTTGATCGTCCACCGTCATTCATTCTTCCTCTCGTCGTCAAACCCCCTCTTCCTCGCTCGCGTCATGTTCTTCCCTCATCGTAATCCTTCCTCCTCCCCCTCCATCGTCCGCCCCCTCCCCCCTCCATCTACGACCCATCGATCGTACTCTTCCCCCTTACGACTTATCCTCGACCGGGAAGTCGCGCCCTGTCGTGCTCTTGTACCCGCGGCGGATCGCGTCCGAGATCTGCTCGTCCTTCGCCTGCTCAAGCGCGGATTCGTTCGTCTGCGGGCCCTGGCCCAGGACGTGCTCCTGCACCCAGTCGACGCCTGTGGAGGGGGTTAGGGTGGGGGACGTGAGAAGGGGGGTGAGGAGGAGGAGGGGGGAATGTGAGAAGGGGGGGGGGGCGAGGATGGATGTTGTTTGCAGGGAATGGAAAGCTACTACTAACCCTTATCAAGCGCGTCTGCAGATCCATGTCAGTTCCCAATCCCTACCCAGCATCCCTACTTCGTCCACTCACCCTCCTTCTTCTCCCCCGACTGCCCGCCGCCGAGCCCGTTGTTGATCTTGTCCATGAAGCCGCCGCCGCCGCTCGAGTGCTGCGACTGCTCGGAGGACTTGTTCTTGTTGAGGCTGTTCAGGAAATCCATGGTCGGCGGTTTGGGTGGTGGGTGTGGCTTGGGTGGTGGGTGGGTTTGTGTTCGTTAGAGTGGTGGTGGGTGGGTTTGTGTTCGTTCAGGTGGTTGTGAGAATGGATGGTAGTGCGTTCGTTCAGGTGGTCGTAGTTCAGTGCAGATGCGAGCTATAAGAGCGCGGGTGGGGTGGTGACGTTCCCCTGCATCATCGCCCTTGGCATGCGTCCCTTCATGGTGGTCGCCGGCGTTGGAGGCGCTCCGCGCGCTACTGGCGTCAGGCGATGCGTACTCGACCCCTGGTTACGCCGGTGGCTGCGCGCGACCGGGAGGCTGGGCGATGCGCGGTGACGTCAGGGGAGTGGGGATTTTGAACTTGGTGGGCGTCGGTTTGTTTGTGTTTGGTCGTTTGTGGTGGATGCGTCGTTGCCGTTGCCCTGAACGCTGCGTGCTCGACGCCGCCGCCGACCTCAAAACACTCGACGTGGCGATTTTATCTGATTCTTTCAGGATGGCGAGGACATCTTGATGTCTCGTAAGGCGCCTACATACGACCTTCGAGCTTCAAGCTTGGGGCGATGTGTGCTGTTCATTGTTATACAGAAATGATAGTACAGTTCCGCGTTCCATGCGTCCTTAACCTATCATTCAGGTCATCTCTCCTTCCCATCTATTTATCCTGGATGGGGACATCCTTGCCAGTGACGCCCTTGAACCCACGACGAATGCCGTCGGAAATCTGCTCGTCCTTCGCCTGCTCGACGGCAGACTCGTCGTTCTGCGGGCCCTGGCCCATGCGCTCTTGGGCGAAGTCGACGCCTGGGGGGTTGTCAGTCACAACACCTGGGGGGATGCGCTCGCGCCACTGACCCTTGTCGAGGGCGTCTGTGAGGGTGGATCAGCGGTGCGTCATTGATATGCGAAGATGAAGCTGCTCACCCTCGTTCTGCTCGCCCTTCTGGCCGCCGCCGAGGCTGTTGTTGGCCTTGTCCATGAGGCCGCCACCGCCACTGTGGCGCTCCTGCGTCTCGTTGCCGGAAGACTTGCCCTTCAAGAAGTCCATGATAATGTTATAAGGCTGTTCGTTGGTTGGGTGATGTGTAGAGTGGGTTGCGATGCAGGTCTCTTCCGCTCTAAGCATTCAGCTCTTATAGGAATGGCAAACGAGGGTCGGTGACGATTTCAGTCGTACCTAGGCGCATCATCGTCCCCTCACCGCATGAATGGGAGCGTCGTTCGCTACGTAGCCGCCATTATCCATAGAATAGGCCGGTCTGCAGGTGGTGATGAGGCACTGCTTACGGCCAGGACGCCAGGACCCTACTGCGGGAGGGTCACAAGGGAGTGGACATGAAGGGCGCTGAGGACTCAAGACATCAGAGTGAAGTCAACTGTTCAACCGGGCGATGTGTGAATCTGTGGGTCCACGACCGGCGGTTGCCGAGAACGTGACCCGGCACGCGGATCGCACGGCGCGTGATGTCAAGACGCGTCTTTCGCGTCTTGTCTCGAACCGCGACGCGCCTGGCGTCAAATTTTGCTTCTGGGGTCAGAATACTTGGAAGGATTATTCTTTGAAACACCTGCAGTGGTCAAAATGTCCACCGACCCCCTCCCATCCTGGATAAGAGAACTCCGCCTCTCAATCAAGGAGTCCTCTGAGCGGGGGTTGATTGTTTCTACGAAATGGTAAGTAACTTCCCAATCTGATCAACCGACTGCAATACATATCTGAGCGCAGGGCAACAGACATGCTCAACGCTATTCCGCCTGACCGGCGGCGAGCGGCAGGTGGCGGGCCCGAGGACCTGAGTATGCGGATGCAGAGTAAGTCCAGTCCGATACACGGGTGAACCCAGTACGCGGCGTGCATCTAGTATGCGGTGTTAAACGGTAGACGTGCTTCCTCTGGCATATCAGCGCGTATACGCGGCTCGCTTTCTTTGTTGCTCTTCCCACAATCCGTGCGGGCTGGCTCAACGAAGGCCCAGGTGCAGACATCTCCGACCCAGAAGACCAGGAGGAGGAAGACTTCTTTACCTACGCCCGGCAAGTGTTCGATGCGAAGGAGTTCCAGCGCGTGGCGACGATCTTGCGGGACTGCGAGAGCCCGAAGGCCGTCTTCCTCCGGCTGTATGCGCGGTATTTGGAGAGCGAGAGGGTGGCGCAGTTGCAGTGGTGGAAGCTCAGCAGTAAGTCCGCTGTTTGTGGTATTCACGTGCCACCTACTGACCTTTGTATGCCACCCGCCCACATCGAATAGCTTCGCGAGAACAGCCGCCCGCACCAATCAACGACGACCTTCACGAGTTGTTGGAGTTGACGGGCAAGCCGACGGACCCATGGATACTCTTCCTGTAGGTTCTTTCTCTTATAGGCTCTTCGTACACGCACAGCGCTGATTGCTGAATATTCGCAGGCAAGGAATTATCTACTACCGACTATCGCGCCGCCATGACTGCATGCGCGCCGCGCTCGCATCCGTCGCCACTCGCCCATGGAACTGGTCCGCCTGGGAGCTGCTCTGTTCCGCCATCGAGACGTATGCTGAGGTGCGGTTTTTCGCATTGTACTCTTTCTTTATCGTCCACTTCTTTCTTTATTGTCTACTCCTCTCTTTCTTTGTCTCTACATTCCAAGCGGAACTGCCCAAACCGGCCTGGCGAACAAAACTAACACCCTTCCCCCACACAGCTCGACCACGTCCTCGCCACCCTCCCCCTCGACCCCAAGCACCCAATGTCGATCTGCTTCCGCGTCAAGGTCGCGAACGACTTCTATAATTCTGGCCGGGGGGACTTTAACGCGGTATGCGCTTTGCGGAGGATGTATTTCTGCAATAGTACGTGGCTGGCGGGGCAGGCGGCGCGCGTGCTGTTGAATACGAGAGGTAGGGGTCTTTGTCTAGTAGATGGTCTTCGTCTAGTAGATGGTCTTCGTTTAGTTGACCCTGCACGCAGACCTCGACGACGCCGAAAAGCAGTTTGACTCCAACCTCGCCGCCGAACCGTTCCGGCTAGACGACATCGACGCGCACGCCAGCACGCTATGGCTTGCGAACAAGAAGGAGCGCATCGCGGAGCTGGCGGCCCATTTCGCGGGCGCGCCGCAGGACAAGCCCGAGTATTACTGCCTTATGGGTGCGTGTCCGTCTACCGTTTACGTCGTCCTTCGCCATAATTCTGTATAATCGATGCATGACCAATTATTGTTATATGTCAATCAGGATCGACTAACCCACTCACCCCCAGGAAACCACTACTCCGCACGAAAAGAACACGAGAAAGCGGTCCGCGCCTTCCGCAAAGCGACGTATCTCGACCGGACGTATGGCGCGGCGTGGACCCTTATGGGCCACGAGTACTACGAGATGGCCAACTACCATGCGGCCATCGAGTCGTATAGGCGGGCGATTGGTGCGTGTGCTCGATTTTTCGACCTATGTCTACATGCCCTCCAACGAGGGAGAATGTGATCAGGATGAGCCCCATATGCTTACGCACCACCCAGGCGTGAACGCGAAAGACTACCGCGCGTGGTCCGGCCTCGGTCGCTCGTACTCGGCGCTGAAGCTGCATATATATGCGATTTATTATAATAGGAAGTCTACGGAGATCAAGTACGTGTGGCCGGTTTTTGGTATGGGTAACCGGCCAGGTGAAGTGGCTGACGATCGCGCAGACCGGGCGACGCGCGCTCGTGGATGGAGCTGACGGCGGCGTTCGAGGAAGTGAGCAAGTATGTGTTCTTGCTCTTGACTATACTTCTTCCGCATGTAGTCCTTCTACGTGTACTCCCTAGTAGAAGGAGGATCGTCGCAAACTAAATATCCTCAAAGAGTAGACGCTGACCCCCCGTCTCCCAGATACCGCGACGCAGCCGCCTGCTGCCGCCGCGCCATCGGCCTCGACCCAGACCGAGAGAACGGCATCAGGCATCGCTACAAGCTGGCCTGGTACCACAAGCGCGCGGGAGATCACCAGCAAGCGTTGGAGACGTACCTGGAGATCATCAGGATTTGCAGAGAGAACTGTACGTGTCCATGTCTGATTTTGTCATCGTCCTCCCATTCCCCCGCGCACCCCTGCACATACGTACCCTACGCGCATGCTCATTGACACTACGTGCATGCTCATTCCACATACGCGTGCTCACACCACCCTCGCAGACAACCTCATGCGCCTGAAGGAGAATATTCAGTCTATCGTCGCCTTTGCCGAGCTGCAGATGACGCATGAGAGCTCGTTCGGCAACATCGTCGACGCGTATATCATCCTCAAGAATGCGCCCAATCCTGAGGTGAGTTGCTCATGGCCCTACTCGTCTTTTACCCGCGTCTCTCCCTTGCCATTGTCTCCCTCGTCTGTGCCACCCTCCTTGCCCCGTTCACTCAATCACTCACTCCCATTCCATCAATAACCCCCACCCCAGGACGTCCCCCTCCCCCGCGCTACTTCCAATGACCCTTACGCGGCCACCGAGGCCATCAAGCGCCAGCGCGAAGGCCAAATGTACATCAAGCAGTACATGAAGGAGAACCCAAAGGAGTTCCAAAAGGTGCGCGACCTGCTCGCCCGGCTCGAGGGATCGATCTGGCGGCTGTCGGCGGAGAGGAAGCAGGAACTGAGGAGGCGGTCGCTGTTGAATGGGATCCCGGGGCTGAAGGTGAATCTTGTGTAGAGGGTGGGAGGAGGAGGAGTGGGAGGGTTTGGAGAGTTGGGAGGTGAGTCGAGCCGATCTTCAACTCAGATGAATTGTCCACTCAAACTCGCTCGCAGGGGTATACTTCTCTTGTATTCGTATGCAAATTCCAAAAGAAATCTTCGTGCACTTCTTCCATCTCTCCTTCATCGGTATCTTCAGTGTACACCGATAGCAACCCCCTGCTACAAGTTCCCCCCTACGCCAACGAGAGACGGTACGAGTAAATCTGGCAACAGCAATTATGCTACAGGTCGAATAGTGCGTATATGTGAGGTAGATCTACCGTAAGATAAAGCTCATGCGACAGGGAGAGAGATCAGAAGCATCCCATGTAGTAGCTACGTTCCCGAAGAGGCAGATACGATTCCGCTAGATACAGCCAGCGGTACAGAGTATCAACCGGGCGGGTAGGTGGGGAGAGAGGGATAAATAGTTCAAGTCCCTAGTCCGTCCAGTCCGGGCTGGACAACCGAGTCAGAGTGATAAACAGATGAGTCGGGCCCAGAGGGATAAGGTCGGGGCCCTACAAGAGAGACAGCAAGCCCTAAGGTCATGCAAAGAGACAGCAGACCCGAGGGAAAAAAATCTCGAGCCTGAGAGAGTGGCGGGGGTAGGACGATAAAGTCGCGAGTGTAGGAATAAGAAGGCGTGTCCGAGAGGCAACAGGTATACCCAAAGACAAAGTAAGATGGGGAGGGTGAGGGTGTAAGGTGGGAGGCGTGGAAGGTTGGGAGCGGGGGCCAGGCGTGTAGAATGGAGGGCGGTAAGGTAGGGTGGTCGGGTGGGGCGTGAGGATCGTGCCAGGCGTCGAACGTCGTACCATGCATCAGACGGAGACAAGGCGAGGCGTCGGCGTCGCGGAGTACATTTCATGTGTCGGGAAGGTCTAGACGCGGATCGCTCACAGCGCCATGAGCGCCACGACGGCCGAGAGCACGACCGCAAGCCCAGCCGGGCCCACCGCCATCGCGCCATTGTTGTTGTCGTCCTGGCTGTCGCTCGTCTGCTCCGAGCCCGAGCCCGACGCCGTGCCAGTCCCGCTCACACGGCCGCCGTTGTAGGTGGCGCGGATGATATCCGCCGCCTGCTCCGCCACGCCGTACGTCGGCGCCATCAAGTGGCACGCCAGCGACACGGGGAACACGGACGAGTCCGCGACGCGCACGTTCGCGGTGCCGTACACGCGCAGGCGCGCGTCCACGACGCCGCCCTTGCTCTTCGGCATCATCGCGCAGGTGGACGAGGGGTGGTACTCCGTGTACACGTTGTCCTTGATCCACGCATCCCAGTCGTCGTCGCTCTGAACGTTGCTCCCCGGCGTCGACTCGTCGCCAAAAACGCTGGAGAGCGCGTCGCTCTGGGCAACCTGGCGCGCGAACTTGAAGCCCGCGCGGAGGATCTGGAGGTCGGCGGTGTGCGAGAGGTACTGCGGGTCGATGACCGGGTAGTCGAAGGCGGAGGTCGAGTTGATCGTGAGGCGGCCCTCGGAGAAGGGGTGCTGGATAGCAGCGGTGATGCCGACGTAGCCGTCGCCCATCAGGTTGAGCAGGAGCTCGATGCCGCCGACAGTCTCGTCGAGCATGTTCGCAGAGAACTGGTAGATGCTCTTGTAGCCCTCCTTGACTTCGTCAGGGTAGCTGCCGACGAGGTTGTTGACCGAGTCGTCGAGCGCGGCGAGAACGTCGCTCTTGAGCTGCGCGACAGCGTCAGCGCCCATGATGGCGGTCATGTTAACGTAGGCAGTGGCTGAGTTGACGAAGGAGAGGAACTCCGCAGAGGTCTATAACCCGCGTTAGCACGCATATACCCAGTTTTTTCAAGTTTGTCGTACCTCGCCGTTCTTGAACAGATGGCCTGCCGTGTCAACGCTGGTCGAGTAGATGATAGCGCTTCCCAAATGGTCGATGAGATGGCTGCCGACACCCGGGAGCTCGACAACCTTCTCAACGCCAGCACTCGAAAGCACGTCTGACGGACCGACACCGCTAACCATGAGGAGCTGCGGGCTGCCGATGACACCACCAGCGAGGATGACCTCCTTGTTGACCTTGACGGTCTTGGTGGAGACGCCGTAGTCAGTCGAATAGTCAACACCAGTAGCCGTAACATTGTCTGCGTTGCTCGTATCGAAGTTGATCTTGAGGCCGTGCGCATTTGGCAAGACGTGCAGGTTGTCGCGCGGCGGCAGAGGATCGAGGTATGCGGACCTGGAGTACGAGCGGGTCCAGTTGGCGGGGTTGATGGAGGAAGTCGTAACGAAAGTGCCGTGGGTCTGGCCACCATCCGGGCTCGGGTTGTGTGGGACACCGAGGCTCTCAAGGGCGGACTGATACTGTGAAACAGCCTCGAATGAACTAGGAACACGGTCAGCCGTCGCCTCATACACGCTTGATGCACGACTCACTAGCCGGGATAGCTAACATGCAGAGGTCCGTCCGAGCCGTGTACGCTGCTGTCGTCATCGATGCGGGCGAGGGACGCGATGTCACTTGACGGGGGGCTGTACGTCTCGGCCTTGTTCATCGCCTTGTGAAGGGCGTCCCAGGTCCAGTACTGAGCACCATCCTCGTCGTCCTCGGCTACGATGTCGTGCCAGGCGTTGATCTCGACCTCTGAGGGCCGCACCATGTACATGCCGTTGATGGCTATATCGGAACGTGTGAGTGGACAGCATGTCGGGATGGGAATAGACGCGTACCCGAGGAGCCACCCAGCACCTTGCCACGGGGCCACGAAGCCTCATGACCGTTGATTCCACTCTGGGCTGTGGTGCTGTACGCCCAATCATATTCGGACTTGACAAGTCCATTCTGGTAAGTTTCCGCGGGAGTGTCTGCAGCGCGAGTTAGTCACCGCGGATGTTTGTGGGGACGAACGAGACGTACTGATGCGGTCGGCGACGTCGTCGCCGGTGCCACCTGCTTCGAGGACGAGCACAGTGTGGTTAGAGTCCTCGGAAAGGCGGGAGGCGAGGACGAGGCTGGGTATATGCGTCAGAAGTCGCGCAAATTTGTTTGGCTTGGCACTCACCCAGCGAGGCCGCCACCGACGATTACGAAGTCGTATTCATCATCGGCAGCGTCTACGATGCCGCGGGCGCTGTGGGATGCGGAGGCGGTAGCGAGCGGAAGTGCGCAGAGCGCAAGCGCGAGCGTCGAAGTCGTCGAGCGCATCGCGGCAAAAGTCGTGTTGAGAAGATGGGGGACGGAAGAGAAACGTTGGCCGTAAGAGGAAGCCGGGGCTTATAACCCCGCACAAGCGCCAGTCACCTGATCCACGCGGACCTCCGAAGTTGCCTAATCAGGCAGCCGAGTAGCCTTTTCGGGACAAGCGCCTGGGCTCCGTCGATGGGCTGTGCTTGATGGGTGTTGCGTCCGGACTGACCGCCAAGACCTGGACCCCGTCCTCCAGCACGTCGCCAGCCCCGTTGCATTCGCCGCAATCTCGAACGCGATGGGAGCACGCGCCCAGCCCGCAGCCGTCCACACCATCCCTCCGACGTCGCTCCCACTCCATCTTGCGCGCGAACTCACCGACGACCGACTTCACCCGCCTCGATGCCCTCCATCGCGCCAGGGTAGTCCCAGGGACTGCCGATTGACGTGGTTCGCATCAAGAGTCGCGCCCCGAGGCTAGCCTCTTCATGAATGAATAGTCGTCTGCGTCTTCTCGCCGCGCTGAACCCCTGGCCGACCAATCTGCTCCAGCGCATTCAATTTCCTCGGGATCAAGTTGATATTTGTGCAGGTACTGCTCGTTGCCATGGCGAAGTCTGCAATATAACAACTGTCAATATCTGCGTCCCTGTACGCGGCTGGGTCTGTCGAGACAAGAAGAAATTATGGGTGCCTGCGTCGGACGATTGCACGATATCGTCTTGTCCTCGAGGGACACTCCGCTGCCTTGCACAGCCGACGGTGTTTCTTCAGCCTCGTCGTGCTCTTCTGGTCTCGCCGTCGCGCTGGTCCAGCGTCTCGCTTGATCTCTTATGCATACCCGTCCGGCAAGGCGTCGGTAAGATCTACTCTGCGCCGCCATAGAACCACAGTGCTTCGCCAAGGAGTTTGGGTGAGCAGCGCAGACCGCCGAAATTGATCACGTGCGTAAGTCGACTTGTGTGCTGAATCTAAAGAAGACATCAATCAGTCAAGATGGTCAGGCAAAACTCGCGTGTGGATGCACATCGTTGATACTCAGTACTCGTCGCTTGCCTGTCCTGGATTGCAAACCTCTAGACGAAGAGGGCTACGTCAAGAACGTGGATAGGTAGATAGCGATGGCGGAACATCAATGTTACAATTGGGACAGACCCATTTGCTACAGACACAGTGGAATTATTGCAAGAAATGACGCATGACAGCTCGCACCATTGATTGTGACAAATCATGCAGAGGACGTCGTAGGCGGCGTAGCAGAGTACGGCGGAAGTCCCCATTCTTCTGGCACAAACTCCTCCACTGACCGCAAGATCTGGTCGGGCCGTTCGTGGCTGTCGTGTGGTACGTCCAGCAAGTTCACATCCGGCACCCACACCACTATGGCGCACATTAGCATTTAAATCCCTTCCCCTACCCGTCGATGAATCCACTCACCATTCATCCCCGCCCTCTTTCCCGCCTGCATGCCCGGCATCGCATCCTCAAATACCAGCCCCTTCGCCCTCTCCCTCACCTGCCCCTCCGTCGCCTCCACCCCCGGCACCCCCACATCCCTCCCCAACGCCCCCCTCGCCGCCGCCAAAAAGATATCCGGCGCCGGCTTCCCCCTCGCATCTGCCAGATCATCCCCGCACACCACCGCCGCGCCGAACCTTTCAAACACGTGCCCCAGATGCGCGGTCTTGAGCGCGTACTTCGAGCGCCGCGAGCCGGTGGCGACGGCGATGGGGATGTGGTGCGCGTGGAGGTGGGCGACGAGGCGCTCGATGCCGGGGAGGAGCTGGACGGAGGGCCAGGCGGCGTCCTGTAGGCGGTTGCGCTCGAGGGCGTAGTCTTCGGGGTCGAGCTGGATGTCGGGAAAGAAGGAGAGGAGGTGGGCGATGGCGTCCTTTTCGGCTGAAGAGGGAAGGGGAATGAGTGGGGGGAGGCTGGTGATGAATGCGAGGAAGAACGTACGCTTGCCCATGCATCCGGCCTTGATATCCCAGGTCATCGTCTTTCCGTGTCTTCCAAGGATCTCATCTACACACTTATAAGTTAGCCAGTGCTCGTACATCAACTATCGGACGCGCGTACTGGTGACTTCAGTATAAATCCGCTCGGAGTCGATCATCAGGCCTATGGCATATATGTCAGTACAATATTCCCCTCCAAGTCATCGCACCTCACCATCCATATCAAAGAGCACATACTCGATCTTCGGACGCGTCGGGGAGGCCATGACAGTCAGAAACAAGGTATGCAGACCACGGGCGCTTGATCAGCGGGCCCCGCGCCGGCTGCCGGAGCGCAATCAATGATCGGGAATCCGGGGTACTCCCTCGGGCGTCGGCGGCAACGACGCTCCCACATCCTTCCTCCCCCAACTCCCACCGGACGCCCGACGCCCTGAACACGTACGCAAGAGGTTCTTCCCTGCCGGCATACCCTGTCCCTTCCCAAATACCCAACTCCACCCCTCCGACCTTGTCCCCCACCCCCACCATGTCCATCCCCACCGCGCACCGCAAGCGCCCCTCATTCAACCCCTCCTTCTCCCCGCCGCCCCCCGCGCGCAGGCGGCGCGCGCAGGTATACCTCGCCCTCGCCTGCGCCGCCCTCGTCGCGCTCTTCCTTGGCATCCCCCAGCGCATCCTGAGCTCCACGTATCATGCCTTTTCGCGCGCCCCGCGAGCCGAGGTTGGCGAGATCTATGGCTTATTGCACATGGTGACGGGGAGCCTGGAGGGCGAGCTCGAGCAGCATCCGCATAAGCTGGGGCACGTGGACCCGACGGAGCCGTTACCGCTGTCCGCGTACGCGGGGGAGGAGGACGTGGATTGGGAGGAGGAGGAGGCGGAGATCAACGAGCGGACGCCGGTGGTAATTTTCAGCAAGACGTATTGCCCGTGAGTGTTGACTTGTGGTATCCGCAAAGATTTGTAGCTCAATTTCGTCACGTCTAGATACTCCAAACGCGCAAAGCGCCTACTGACGAAGACCTACCTCCTCGAGCCGCCGCCTGCAATCGTGGAGGTCGACCTGCGCGAGGACGGCGCGCAGATCAAGCAACTATTGTCGCGACTTACAGGCCGTGCAACCTTCCCGAACGTCATCGTGCGCGGGCGCTCGATTGGCGGGTCGGACGATGTGCATAGGTCAGTGGAGAACGTCACCCTCGCAGTAAATACCTTCTGACGACTTCGTGCGCAGGCTACACGCCGAGGGCACCCTAGAGACGATCCTGAAGGAAGCAGGCGTTGTGGTGACGGTGCTGGACAAGGGAGAAGGAGAGGGAAGGCAGCAATGAGCTGTGAGGTAGGCTGAGGCGAGAGGACTCCGAGGATGGATGGATATACGTGTGTTTGTCCTTGTTCGACTCTAATGTATAACAGGCTTGCTGTAGCGCGTGCTCTTTGGTGAGCCTTTGGGTGAAGTTGCTGTAACAACTTGAGGTGCGTTGCGGACTGTTTGTAAGGCAGTCATCTGCCTGGACCTCGAAGACCATTTAGCTAGGGTTGTTCGTACAGACGCCCGCAAGATAGTGGTCCGAATCGGGGATGTAAGCGGCTATACGGTCAACATTCAGTAGGTACTTACCCATTTGCTCGTGTGTTCACGCAAGACTCATTACGCTGCAGTGCGCTCACCTCGCTGAGTGCTCGCGCCCTCTTCATGGGCGGGCTGTCGCAGAATCAGGTGTGGTGCCGGCTGAAAAGCCTCCGCCTTCATGACCTTTTGTCCTATGTCCTGTGGTGCACGAAGAGACACGCGCGGTGAGATCTAACTTCAACTGGGAGTAACATTAAGACGGTGGACTATATTGACTCTATGGCAGTGTCCTACACTTCCATAACGACGTCCTATATCCCACCCATGGCGGTGCCTTCTTCATCATTCACTCTCGCTACGCAGGCCCGATCCTCGAATTCATTCGCCTTGTGCGACTTCGCTGAATCCGAAATCGGGCTGATGGCTTCCTGCGCGCTCGCCCATTGTATTGTCAAGACAGGCAGATCCTCGCTTCGCGGAGGCCAACGCAGCCGCCTCGCTGCTCAGCAGACCTCGCTGACGACTACCACAGGCTTTGAAGTGGGCCCTCCCTGGGAACTTGCCCATTATCCATGGCGCCGGCATCCCCGACACAGCGAGAGCGCTCGTCAGGATCTGCGTCGCAGCCTCCCCTTCAATTGAGTCCCTCCGCTCTGCTGACCGCGTTCTATTGATGAACAATGGAGATAGGGAAAGAACTGCCTGTGTTTGCGAACGCCGCGCACTGGGGGTGTGCGCCGGTGCGCGAGTGTATTTGGAAATAGGGTATAGGCAGCTGCTTATCGATCCGTGGGTTGCGAGTCGTGTCCGTCGGCTCATCTTGTTGATTGGGAACCGGGAGTATGATGCCCGGGTACTAATAGTAGAACGAGGGGGCCCTGAGGGGGAGGGCTTTTGGATGCTAGAGAATACCACAGTAAATTCTGGCGTACAGATTTCGACCTGGTTGCGCTGGGATCTCGAGCTAAAGACAAGCTCGTTGTTTCTGAAGTGGAAGTTCCAGTGCAAGGCAAGTTGAACTCCGAGCGGGACCTGAACCACGCGGGTGACACGCGACCGCACCGGCCTCACGCGGGGGGCGAGACATCGCGCAGATCATCGCGCCTGGCGGGCCTGATGTCTTTCCTTTGCGTGTTGCTTCGCTGCTCCGGTTTCGGTGTCGGGCGCTTACTCACGCTCTCCCTTCATAGTCTTCCGGAGAGGGAAAGGGGGCACCTACTACAACCTCGCCACCACCACTGCCAGCGCCAGCCATGAACCCCGCCCCCGCGCAGCAGCAGTTCAAGTCCTGGGACCCGGCGTCGCTGTCGACGGTCCACAAGAAGAAGATCGCGTGAGTGCCGAGCTATCGGGGATGAGTGCGGTCTTCTTATGCGTGTCTTTTGATAGATGCTTGGCATGCCGGACAGTCAAAGTACGTACACTACACGTGCGTGGAAGATGAAGGGGGAAGCTCATTGTGGCCAGGTGCGATGCGATATACAAGCAGGGCGCTCTAAATGCCAGCGCTGCATACGACTGAAGACGCCATGCGAGCTCAAAGCTCGGAGGAGGCCACCGAACGCGAAGCAGCAAGCAAGCACTTCACAAGCCCCCGCAGAAGCACCTGCCCCTTCGACTTCAGCAGCGCCCCCGGCGGAGACCGCGGACAATGCCAACTGGCAGATGCGCGAGCCTGACGACAGACCATCCAGTCCGGACGACTCCAACCAGTCTACGGACGAGGATGACTGGCACGACTACCTACTGCCAGCAGCCGCCGCGGTCGGCTCACTTAACTTGAGCGAAGACACGGGAAACTCCCAGGACGGCGATCCTATATTGATGAGCTACGTAACGAGCTCAGAAGCTGAGAGTCTCTTTAGAGTGTGAGTGCTTTCCCCGTCTCGACCGGTATATCGCCTCTTCGGCCCTACCTGCGCGTCGCAGCACACAATGTCGACCCAGAATCTTTGCTAACCCCCTCCCCCCAGTTTCTACTCGGACGTCAACCCCATGCTAATATGCGCCATCGACCCCGTCATCTATACCCTCGAGCACACCCGCGCCACCTCCATCCCCCTCTTCACTACCATCCTCGCCGTCGCCGCCCGCTTCGAGCTCCCCGACGTCTACCTCCGCCTCCGCCAGCTCGCCGAGAACCAGATCTCGCGCATCTGGACCACGGACACCTCCCCCACCCTCGAGCACATCCTCGCCTACCTCATCCTCGCCGCCTATCGCCCCCTCGAAGATACCGCCGCTTACCGTCAGATGGGCCTCGTGGTCCGGCTCGCGTATGAGCTCGGTTTGCACCGCGCGCCCAAGGGGCCGGAGAAACATTCGAGGGCGCAGCGCAGTCGGGAGCGCGCGTGGTTTGCGCTGACGAGTTTTGACGAGCTAGTAAGGCGGCGGCGCGGTCTGCCTGCGAGGGAGGCGTCTGCGGGGCGGGATGCTTATGCCTGGTGGCGAGAAGGCCGGGACGCTGGTACTCCGGAGGATGCTCTTGTAGCGTCGACTGCCGAGTGCCAGGGCCTCGAGCCCGGCGCGTTGGCGGACTCTGAGCTACCCGCTCAGAAGGCACCGCGCCCGGACATCATCGGTCGCAATCTCGAAGCACGAGTCGCCCAGTGGGCTCAACGATGGACGTCGGAAGGTGCGCAAAAGACGACACGGTGATCTTCGCAAGGGCTGACAATATGTATAGACGTTCTCAATAGCGTACCGCAAGGGACACGGCTGCTCATCGAATTCCATCGCCACACGCAAGCTTTCCACCTCGCCGAGGACCGCTTCCGTCACGCGCGAGGACCTGCGAAAGAGGGTCTGAACCAGAAGGACGACATGACCTCAGGCATCGTGACCCGCCTTCGCTGCGCGCTGTTTAACACCGCGTTCGGCTGCATTGCACAGATCACCAAGTTCGGCTCGTGGCTGCGATACGCGCCCGAGTTCGTCCCTGTGCTGTCCGCGCACTATGCGGTGTGGTTGGCGACAGTGAGTTGTTCTTCGAGAGCTCCAATAGGCACAACTGATGCACTCACTAGCACACCAAAGGTGCCGATAGCGCGACGAGAGAAGCAGTGCGTACTGTGATCGTGGATTGTGCGCAGGTGTACGCGAACGCGGTTCGTGGTCCGCACGACACGGTGTGCGTCGCGCAGGCGCAGTTCTTGAACGAGATTGCTGCGTCGTTACAACACCCAGAGCCTCCTGCGCCTCCGACCCACCTTGCGCAGAAGAAGCCTCGAGCCTCAAACTCTGCATCCCCACCGCCTCCGTTGTCCAGCGTGCCCTCCTCAAGCATGGCGTCTGCACCTTTGGGGTCGGCTGCCATTCCAATCTCTGCGTCGTTGGCGTCTGGGTCATCATCGTCGTCCCATTCATCTCCAGCCTCGTTCATCGAGAACTCATTCACGGTTGGGCAACAGGCCAACTGGAATGCTTTGCTGGACGGTGACACGGGATGGATTTCCGGCGGCGCCAACACGCCTGACAACTTCTCCCTGCACGGCGGATCCAGTCACTCCTCCAACACGCTTCAGTCCTTCGGTAGCCTAGGCAGTAACTCCTTCGGCGCCGACCTGCAAGGCGGGGGTTACGCATCAGAGAACCCTCGTGGCACCTTCGTCGAGGCGCAACTCCGCGACGCCTTCAGCAGTCAGCAGAAGCAGCACCACGCGGACCCTCTGTCGTCTCAGCAGTACTGGCCCTGGTACGACGAGACGCCGTACAAGTCGACCGGGTACGCGCAGATGGCTGTAGGAGCGGAGCAGCTGCGTGCGGCCGAGTTGCAGAAGCGGCAGGCGGACTTCGCGGCGCAGGCCGCGCAGACGGGGCCCTCGTCTATGCTTCCGGGGCCGCGGTCATCGACGGGGTCCATGGACCCTACGTACGACGCCAATATGGCGAAGATGGTTTGCAATAATCCGCATTGGTGCGTAGAGTCTTCGTGAGGCCTGGTCCATTACTGATCTCTCGCAGGTCGAGTCTGTTTCCTGGCGTGAATCCGCAGGATATGCAAACTATGTATGGTTATGGCTAGCATTGTAATGTATCCTAGGCTATGTATTTTATGCCTCGTCTCCTTTGAGAAGCAATCTCTTCGCATCACCATACCATTGGTGAGTATGCCATGATAACATCTACTATGTAGTATTGTTCCCTCAGTCGAAAGCGAAGATCCATTGCAAAACATTCCAGTCCCTACGCCGCTCTTCGTCCTTGCCATCATACCCGATCAGAGTTGCCGGAACCTCGAGGACTTCTTTGAAGTCTGTCCAGGCCATTGGAACCAGGATCCGGAGGTGAGACGGAGTCGCACAGTTGCGTAGAGCGGTACGAGACCGCCATATCTCTTGCAGTAGCTCCCGATCTTGCTCCCACTCCTCTCTATCCCCCGCAAATGGTGCAATTCGGTTGTAGAACACCACCAACTGGAGATCTGTCAATGCCGGACGGGATCTATCCAATAAAGCTTCTGAGCCAAGTCATAATGGACATAGTCGGTTGGGTGGCTCCATAAGCCATTGGCATGACTATTGGTATCAGTTCCATGAAGCTCACAATACTCATGTTGTCCTCCGACGAAGTAAAAGGCACGCAGCCTGCGAGGCAGCAACAATATTCCGTACAGTGTGTCTGCGCTGTAGCTGAACATATTGCGGAGCACGAGCGTTTCGACGGGTTCCAGGAGATCTCGAAGGAGAGTATAGCGCTCCATTAGGAGACCCTCTTCCCAGTACCACGACATTCTCGACCTGATACCCAGCAACGCATCGAGCATGAAATATACCAGACGAGGTGCCCTGATCGAGGGACACAACTCTATGGCCGCGTTGCCAACGCAGAACCGCTCAAGTAAAGGTAGATGAATAAGATCCGATGGCAAGGTGCCAGACGCAGAATATATCCGGAGTTGGACGAGGTTCGAGCACAGAGAAAGCGGGCTTGGTGGTCAACCCAAGGGTTTTCCAAGCGGCCGAAGGCCGCCCGACCAACCTGAAGACTCACGTGAAGCTGCCCAGGGTTTTCCGCGCCGCTGCGCGGCGGCCTCCCAGGGTTTCGACTGCATCGGGCGGCGCGCCGCCACCACCCCCTCGCCATCTCGTCAAGCAGACTGATGACCTGCACGCGCATAGTCACATCACATCAAGTTCAACTTGATGGCATTTAGTCCGTCTTGAAGCCTTCTGGGGTACTGATAGGTCTGCAAGAGGCTCTGATGCTCATAGATTTTTTTAAAAATGTTGTATTGCCATACTACTTTACATGTGACAAACAGAAGCTATGGGGAAAAGACAGAAAGGGAGGAGGATGAGTGGACAACGACTGACAAGAACTCGCCGAGTCAGATAGGGGAGAGACGGGGAATGACCGTATCGAACCGTGGTAGCTAGGCGCGATCGTCGGGACGGTGTTGGACGGTGCTAAACGCGCGCGAGTGGGTAATTCGGCGGCATTGGGGAGTGCTCGATTAGGGGGAAGGGATGGCGAGCGAGAATTATCTCGGGAGGAGGGGGGAAGGGGGCGCGGTGGGAAGGAGTCCGCCCGCAATGTATGCTTGCTGCCATTGTTGTGGGCTTGGCGGCTATGATCAACGGGCTTGTCGGCATTACTTGGGGGCGGGGTGGCGGAGCCCGGGCGCGGTACGACGTTGCTTGTCCATTGTCGGCCCATTCGTAGAGCGAGCTGTAAAGTTGTGAACAGCAAAAATATTTGGTAGAGCTCACTGTATCGTGCAATTCGACCTCGAGAGCAGCTATGACTGCTCGCATGTACCGCGCTCGTTCCCTCCTGTTCTGAACTCACTTCTTCCATGACGAGGTCCTGGTCCTGCGCCCGGGTAGTCCTGAGGGTGTCCATCTGTGGTCGGACGACCTTCGTGCGTCTGCGCTAACGCGCTGAATGGTCGTTGATGACAAGCTTGATCGTGGGCGTCTGCGTCGCCGCGATGTGGCGTCGCCTCGTGGCCCGAGCGGTTTGGTCTCACGTGCGACCAAGTTGGTTGCACGTGAGACCAACTGTGGGAACCTCCTTCCATTTAGGAAAACCCTGGGCATGGCGGAATAGACAGAAAGAAAGCGCGTGAAGGTCGTCGAGCCTTTCACACCTGACATCAAGTACATGTAGCCTAGACCAGTCGAACCCACTCGAGGCGGGAGAGCCGGCGAAGGAAAGTTGCAGCTTGCGGAGGTTTGGAACAAGAGTGGTATCAGGGAGCGCTACCGTTTCATCCTCAGATTCATCGGGTGGATGTCCGCGGATAGAGAGCGAGGCCAACTCTGGGAGAAAAGGATAAGGTATTCCGTTGACGAGGGAAGTGACGCTGTCGAGAGCCTGCAATCGATCTGCGTTGGCCCAGATCACTTGCCACACTTGGGGATTGATAGGTATCCAGGATGTGACGGAATGTTCAGGACCCACGGATACGCGAAGAGGATATCCGCCGGAGCGTTGGATATACTCAGTCACCGCAGCGATCAAGGACTCTCCTCTCAGTCCGCGCCAGTCCAACTCCCAGTCAGGCAACCGAAAGTCTGCCGATGGCCAGCGCAGTCCGAGCGCGATCTCTCTCCAGACGTGGCACACTTGGGCGAATGGCCATGTATTGGTGCCAATTGAGTCGTCAAACCACGTGGGCGGGAGCGTATATGCGGCGATTGCGCGCAGAACTTCTGGAGGCACGTAGCGGATGGGTGCGAGGAGCGCTCTCGCGTCAGCAACTGAGTCCTCGATGCTGGTCTTATGCAATTGGAAACGCCACAATGCTGCCTCAAATCGCGCGAGTTCGGCGTCGCAGTCTTGGAGGCTGGCCTCGAGTGTGGCCAGCCCACTCCGAAGCCATTCACGACTGTGATCGCTGTTTGGTAGATAGTCTGTGCGGGCGAGGCGGGCAAGATCATGGTCACCGCAGACGCTGGTGAAGCTGTAGCCACAATTGGAGCAGAGCTGGGTGGTGTGGTGCTTGTAGAGTTTAAGCCTTTCCATCGGTGCCAATGCCTATGATGGGTGTCAACAAGTGTACCTTGGATGGGCCCCTAGCTCACGCACTTGGGATAATTCTGATGTACGAGAGTAGGATCTGCCGAGGGCTGCTCGCACTACCGTATTTAAGCACTGGCATGTATCGGGCCGATCGAGGTGCCCTTTTGTTCCCTATCGTTCCACAATGGTATGCAGGTCTATGCTACCGCTGTGGATTGAATAAGTCCGGACCTGATGTGCATTCCGTCTCGGAGTCATTATGAGATGCCGCTCAGATGCGGGAATGTACTCAACGGCGAAGCTTCGTTGTTGTGACTATATCTGAGCTAGAGCACGGAGGTGGGCAATTGTTTGGGAGACCAAAAGGCGCGACTGGTAAAGACGATCCATACGTAGTTGTGGAAATCGCCGCGAGCATGACAGTAGGTCGTATTCAAGAGCAGGCAGGAGAGTCCATAGAACCTCGTACATTGGGTACGATTCGAGTGTTGTCAAGCGGATGCCCGGCGGCCTGTACACAGCTGAATTCCACAGCGCCCCAGAAGGAAAGCAGGCAAGCAATGACCATTGCAAGACTACCACGGCAACAATGATGATTGGATCGGAGGTATCGTACGAAGTGTCGCCGATGGTGATGGTGGGTTACAAACTTCGCATTGATATGTGGCGATTGGCCCTCGTAATAATGGATCGCAAAACCATGATGAGATTTACGGCATGCCTACCAACGGGTCGGTGGCGTAGTTGGTTATCGCATCTGTCTAACACACAGAAGGTCCTCAGTTCGAACCTGGGCCGACTCATCATTTTGCCCCCGTTTGCTTTCCCCCCACTTTCCTTTATTTGTCCACCTTGTTTGTCTGCCTTGAAGGGATGGTATCTGCCAACGCAGAGTATGGGGGTATCATAGCGTCGCATAGGATTAGACAAGAGAAATCGATACAAAACAGATCATAAGAACTACGGCGCAGACGGTTCGCCTTCGGACGAAGCCCTGGGCGTCGACGAAGATGGCGCCGAAGACTCCTCCGTCACCGTCGACGGCCCTACAGCCCCGACCGACGCCTCCGCCTCAGCCGAAGGCGCAACGACCTCACTCGGAGGCGTGAAGAACCCCGCCGCAGTGATCCCAATCGCCTCCACTCCCGCGCCCGCCGCCTTCCTCGTCGTCCCCCGCCCCACCGAGATCGACCCCTTCTTCCCGCCCGCGCCAATCGTGCCGAAGCCACCGTGGTCGATGCTGATCGTCGAACGTGCGCGCCCGACCGTGCCAAAGTCGCCGTGCTGCGGTGAGCGGCCTCCTGGTGCAGGCGCGGACCTGAGGGACGCGCCCGAGCCCGACTGTGAAAGGCCTGACCGGTTGGACACACCAGATTGCGACGACATGCCGGACTGCGTGGTACGATGGCGTGGGCGGAAGGCGCTGGGCGGGCCGTGGCCGTTCATAGGGCGCTGGACTGAATGCTTCCGGCCGTGAGATGGAAGGCCGCCGTCGACGGCGATATCATCGATGCTGTCCTCCTCGTCCTCGTCCGCAATGCGGAAGGTGCCACTCGCAGGGCTTGCTAACGGCCGCATCCACGGCTGGCTGGGCGAGCGGTCCCAGGCTTGTTGTTGGCCTGGGGACTGAGCGTACGACTGGCTGGTGTGCGGCGCCCAGTTGGGATTCGCAGTCTGATTCCACCCTGGGCTCTGCTGGTTCCACTGCGGGCTCTGCGTGTACAGCTGCCCGCTCTGATGCCACCTTGAGCCCTGATTCCACCCCTGGCTGGCGCCCGACGCTGTCGACGCAGACGAGGAGACGACGGCCGTGTCCGTCGTGGGTGCGATCGCCTCGCTCCGGTCGCGCACCTCGTCGAAGATCTCATAGTAGCGCTGGATGCAGAGCTTGATGACCATGCCGAGGGTCGCGCAGCCTTCCGAGGGGGTCGAGGGGGAGCTCGGATTGGGCGACGAGCTCGACGGCATGTCGAAGGGCGAGGGTCCGTTGGGTATCGAGCACATCATCACGTCACGCATGGGGGCCTTCGAGGACACCAGATTGGGGCAGAGGACGATGGCAAGGTTGTGCGCGTCCATGCGATTGCTCGCCGACATGAGTGATACCTCGTGCATGAGGTCTGAACGGCATTCGTCAACGCGACTTCTCACCTAAGCCAACAGGTTGTAGTACTCACGAAGAACATGCGACAGCAAAATATATGCGCACGGCATCAGCTCAGGCAGGATATTCTCCCGAATATAGAGGACAGCAGACATGTCGGCCGGATCGCTCGTTGGCACGGGGCACTTGCGAATGATGGGGTAGGTGGTATCGGGGAAGATGGGTTCGGGAAGGTCGCGGAAGTACTTCTTGAGGAGGACCGCGGCAAGGTGGGGGTCGCCGAAGGTCTCGAGGGAGACGGTTTGGCCTGGAGTAATGATAAGACAACGTTGAAGGTGAATGTATGTGCCTTTACTGACCTCGGTCGTAGGCCGCTTGGGCTGCGCGCAATAAGGTAGTTTGCGGCGAGCGTCTGAAGAGTCCCTCGTCGTGCAAGCCTGTGATGAAGGTCAGTGCAATTTATGATCGGAAGATGCACTTGTACATACCCGTCTCTCGAAGGAATTGTATGCAGTCCTTTACTACCCTTGGTATGCCACCCTTCTCGCCGTCATAGCCCATGAGTTCCTCAAGTGGTACACCGAACACACTCGAGCGAACAGGCATTGGCAGAACAATCTCGCGCTCGTACTGAGCGTTCTCCCTGGAAATTGTTCAGGACAAGTGTCGCGGAAAAAGCAGCACGCACTGATACACCGCGGGTGGGATATCGATCTGTGTCAAAGGCACATGGTATGCAAGCTCGGACAGGGTACTGATGTATTCTATCTTGCGGAAGAACTTGGCGCTGGAAGATCGTGTTGTTAGACGACGCGCACAGAGAATTACGCGTGTTATCACCTGATAATGGCTCCCGCGAGCGAGAAGAGCACTATGCGTTGTCAGAAGAAGTCTCAAATGAAGGGAATGTGTGCGCACTCTTGGAGAAGAACGTCGAGTGCACGATGTACTAGGGCATCGTTAGTAGGGTGTAAGTGTTGAGAGAGGAGAGGGATCGTACCAAGCGCTTCAGATTCTTGCGGTACTTGCGACTGAGACTGCGGTACGCCTTCCATACCCAGTTCCAGCCGGGCGTATGCCTGCCGCCCGCGGCAAAGAAGACGACGGTGTAGTCGGACTCCACTGATTGCAGGGTGAGCGAGTGTAGAGGTAGGAACTTGGAGCACCGCACCGTAGAGATTCAAGTACGCGAGTATCCTCCTGCTCTGGGGATTAGGATAGGAGCATGAGGGGAATGGGTGGCGCACGTCAAGAGGACGTCGTAGTTGACCTCCTTCGGGTCAGGCAGCGCAGAGGCGCACATCACCACCCTGTACATAGGTCAGCAAGGCGCGCGCGCTTCCTCGCAGTGCACGTACATCGGCCGCGTCCTAGCCATGATCGTTAGCCGCGCGCTCCATAACAAGAAGACGCTTCACGCACTCATAGTCAACGCCCGCCTGGAATATCATCCTGTTCATGACCTCCTGCACCTTCTCGTGCTGTGACTGCGGCGCCGGCACTGGCCCGTCCTCGTTGCGCCGCAACCATGGGGGATGGAACATGGACTTGCGGCGCGGCGACGTTGGCGTCGGCGAATCCGCTGAGGGGTAGTAGGGGGACGGCGACGACGGCGCCGAGGGTGCCAGCGACAACGCCGCGAGCCGCTGCTTGAGGGAGAGCGCGGGCGGCATGGAGGGCAGGGGTAAAGTCAATCAACGCTGCATGTCATTATGCAGTCGCCACGTGGGTGATTTTCGGTTGTTGGTCAAGGAAGTTTGAGAGCGGCCTTCGAGTGTTTCGCAGTCAACAAGGACTAAAGACTTGTAGAGATGAATGGAGAGGGTGGAAGGTGTATACATTGAGTGGACATCTGGTGCACGCCAAGATGCTCGGTAGATGTGCAAGTGTGAGGTACCGATCGACTCGGCCATTCAAACCCGTTGCACCTGCGTTGGATGTCCTTGTTCCATTTGGGAACTCCCTTTGTTGTTCATATGAACAGAATTCTGTTGACCTCACATATCTCCCTTTCAAGTGCTTCCACAGATGCAGCCATCATTCTGTGTGAGGGAGGAGCAGTTGAACCGTGGGGAATTGAGCGGCAAATGCCGGACGTGCTTGCTTCTGACCACCATCATCGAACAGAGGAACCTTGGATTTACTCATTGCTGTCCTGTAATGTCTTTCCTGGCGTCGATGGTTCTCTCCAAACGATTCTTCATCAGTCAAACGACGTCTATCTGACGGAACAGGTCGCTCCCACCATAGACTAAGCTGCGCAAATAAAAATTCCCCCATGTGACGGCGTCTGGAGCTTGAGATATACGGCATGAAGCTATTTCCTCGCTCTTCGCCTTCTGAGATACCTCCGATACTGTGTCTAGTCTCGGCACAGTTATCCCTACGAATGGCTATGTTCAGATGACGACAGCAGCCCATACTCGGACCCGCGCGCTACAAAACTCACTGCGGATATACGCGCTCGCCACTCCTACGCACCATCTCACTCATCTTCTCGCATCCGCCTGCGACAAGAAACCCACTCGCCTTGCTGCACTGCGACACGCCCGCCCATCTGCTTCCTTCGCGGCAAACAATACACAAGATTGCCCAGCACGGAGGTAAGCGCTGCATCATCGTTAATTACCCGAGGTTGACCTTTTCGCCACTCGCTGGCTGACATTGCGCCTCCTTCTGCCTTGCTTTACGCCTCCATGTCCATAGCCATCTGAACCGTCCTTCGTCCTTCGCGTCTGGCCGCCCGCCATGTCGACTGTACATTCTGGCTCGACTTTATCGTCGGACTCTACGTCTTCGAGCGCTTCGGCTTCTTCCAGGTCTTCATCGCCTCTGCCTTCCGCCAGCTCCAGCGTCCTGCATCACAGGAGGCAGTCGCTTCCTCGCGCGTTGAAGCTCCTCGACGGCCCGCCGGTGACAAATCGGCGATCAATGGACGGTATACCACGTCGATCAGTGGACGGCCCACCTACGCGTCGATCATCAGTGACGGACGGTCCGCCGTCGCGTCGGTCCACGGAATACCAGCCGCACCGACTGCGAGCGCTGGCTGACCTACGGCATTTGCCCACCATACCGTCGCCGATCGAGATGCCCCCACACCACGATTATTCTTTTTCGGACCTTCATCACGAACACGCACCCACTCATTCTAATCTTGCATCTTCCACCATATTTAATCAGCAAGCATCGTCCTCGATATCTCATACGGCATCTTCACTATTTATTGACCAACCATTGCCAACCTCCCACCCTGGCTCGTCCACTGTACACGATCCTGGACCATCCACCCTTCCCCACCCCGCCGCAGCCGCCCTCATCACCCCTCCTTCCACACCCACTCCCGTCGGCCGCCGGAAACCCAGCATCTCGTACCTCCCTCCGGATTCGCCCTCACATCATACGCGCCGTCGCTCGTCGGTGGTATACAGGCCAAATTCGCCGAGCTTCGAGCCCCCCACCAAACATGCCCGCCGTCGCTCGCTGCTCATACGCGGCTCCGAGCTGCCCGTAGCCGACGCACGGTACCAAGATGGCGGCGAGCATGGTCAAACGGCGAGCAGCGGCGCTGAGACTCAGTATGCGACGGACTCGCGGCCTTGGTGGTCCTCAGAGGCTCCGGTTAGCGCGCCTGTCCTGGGCACATTCGACGCTCCCACCAACGCCACTGCCACTGCCCACCTCCCTCTCCACAAACAGCATGCCGAGCTGCTCTACTCCATCGCGCAAGAGGAAGCGCGCTGCGCTGAGCTCAGGGGACAGCTCGCGGTGCGCGAGGCGCGATTGGCGGGGCTGAAGCAGCGATGGGAGGATCGGCGGGCGGAGAGGTGGGGGGATCGCAGTCGAACGGAACCACGAGAGGAGGCATATCAGCCGGAAACGCGGGTGCCGAGCCAGGAGCTGGACGTGGAAGGAACCGGCCAGAAGGTGGAGGACGAGGACGACGAGGAAGGCGATGGAAAGGACAGGGAGAGCATCTTGGAGGAGACGATGAGGAAGTTGGAGGGTAGGAAGGTTGAAGTCGACGAGGGAAATGAGGATGGCGGTGAAGGTGAGGCGAAAGCAATCTTTCGCAGAGTCCACAAGTTAACCACAACAAATCAGGAGTTGCGGCGAAGAACGACAGCACACCAGCATCCTCTTCGTCTGCATCCTTACGGACATCGTCAGTCGCGACAATCACCGTCACGGACCCTACTTCCCCGGCCTCCTCGTCGACGTCTTCTCTATCGTCTACACTGTCTTTCGGCGGTATTCGCGACGCTCGCCGATGGGTGCGTTCGCTCTTCGTAGGTCCCAAAGGCCGGCCACCCTCGTCATCGAAGCCCGCGGGCGATCGTCATTCTGCATCAACCTCAAGCTCAGACAAACCATCTCCCCCTCTCCCGAAATGCACCGCTGCGCAAGCGAGCTACGCCCCGCCGCAACACCGCGTCTCGATGCCGTACGCGAGCGGTCTGTCCGCGCAGCCATCTGCCTGTACTGCGAGCGGGCCATCCACCTGCACTTCCAGGGGCCCATCCACGTACGAATCTGGTGCGCAACCGAGCGGCTCTGTAGCGCATTCGAAGCCTGACGTCTCTGCTGGGAGCGGTCTGCCCGCTGTCGCGCTAGACGCGCGCGCCTCGTGCGACTCGAACAGACACTGGCATCGCAGGACGCCGTCGGAGATGACGATCTTTGCGCCTGAGGAAGAATGGGTTTGGGCGTGGTATTTCGTGGGGAGGTGAGGGTTAGGGAAATTGGCAGGGTGACTACCCGGCGCTGAAGGACGTGCGTCCTGGACCACCTCACCTGGGACAACCTATGAGACCAGGGTCAGTCGGCTGCCTGGCGAACCCGAGCAGGTCAGAGGGCCATTTGCAGTCGTGTGCATATTGTATACAGCGCCAGGGTATGTCAACTTTCATCAGGTTCGCCTCGCACGCCATTCAGTCTCGCTAACACCGTATCAGTGAACTCCAGTATAATATTCGGCGAACTCCGGTGCTACATACAACGAACTCCGAAGTTGTTGTGCCTATTTATCAACGCCGTTTGCTCTTCGTGGGCGCCAGCAGTGTTGTAACATCGACTGCATGTCCTCCTACCATTGCGATTCATCCTATCCTCTGCGTCAGGTCGACTGCGTAGGCCATGCATAAGCGAAGTGTGACAAGAAAGCACTTCCTTGGCAAGGATTGAGTAAGGACGGCCTTCATACCCACTCACCGTGGGATGGGGGAGGAGAAGATCGAGGTACGCGCGGCATTGCCTCCCCGCCAGCGATTCTGGCGCGGTTGGATGCATTGTCCCTCGCCGATCCGATGCAGAGCCGGCGTGTACTTCTTGGGGCCCCCAGTCAGGCCGCCGGACAATAGACCAGGACCTTGTCCCGCATGATGGCAACACGCAGTACAGACGCGATAAAATCTGATGGTCGTCTCCGAGAACGAGCGAGCCGCCGCACACGATCCTCGAGGATTGGTTTTGCGATGAGCGCCACGACTGTTTCTGACCTCTGAACCTGCGAGCTGAGGGGGCTCGGCTATCATGTATCGGTGCCGCCCGCCTTGCGCGCCCGTTTGAGGCGCGCCCTTGTTCCCCAAACGGGTAGTTGTGACGATATGTACTCCGCGTGGCGCACTGATCCGGGCTCATCAGTTCATCCTCGTCTGCACCCTGCATGTCATCGCGCAGCATATCGACCGTGATGCGTGTAGGCTTTTACCTGTCCTGTCGTCATCGTCGCCCCGGCAGCGAGAGCAGCGATAAGAACGGGCTGAAAAGGCACGACGCGTCCCACAGCACCCCACCCACCGTCCTGCTCGTCCTATCACCGCACCCGCAAAGTCCATACACACCCCGCTGATCTCTCATCACCCATTCAACGATCGCCCCTTCCTCGCTTGAGGCTCACTTAAGCCGAAGCCGCACCAGGAACAGGACTGCAAGCAGTTCTGGACGAAGAACCAACTCTTCGCCTGCGCTAGCGCGTGACACGTAACCGGTCGCTTGCTGGCCATCCAGCCGGTTTACTACATATAACGGGGACCGCCCATATATGCCGCGCAGCCCCCTCACGCACCTCCGAGCCTGCGTGCGTTTGTAACCAAGTTGTAACAAGTCGTGGGTCCGACGCGCCCAGCCGCACGCGCTCCCCGCTGATCGATCTCCCTCCGCACGACCCTTATACTCCGCCCCGTGTAATTCTAACGTTGATCGCTCTTTCTCCCTTCTTCATCTTGTCTTCGTCAGCGACGACCACTTCGCGCACGACAGCATGTCGAGCACACCGTCGCTCAACTCCAGCGCCGGCTCGTCCACCTCGGGCTCGAAGCGGCCCAAGCCTCAGCAGCGGCGTCGCGCGCCCTCCCCACCATCTATGTATGTGGCGTACGACAGCACGCGTGCAAAGGCCCCGCGCCCTCTTCCTGAGGTCAAGCGCAAACCAAAGAAGGAGGCAAAAAGCGCACGCGACCAGAATACTTCCGATTCGTCCCTCCCTCGAAGCCAAACCTCGGACTCTTCGAGCAAGAGTGGGACGACGAAGTCCAAGTCGCTCTTCGGCTTGGGCGGCCTGAGGCGCAAGACCTCTACTTCTCTGTCCCAACAGGCCCCACAGTCCCCACCGCCTCCCCGGCAAAGGGGCACTATTCCATTCGACAACTACTCGCGAAACGTGCGCCAGCAGCCGTCGCTATCTTCTCTCCCCGACTCTTCTTACGACTCGCAATGGACGTCGCGCGAGGCGTCCCAGTCGTCCCTGCCGTCGATGTACACGCACTCGTCTCAGCCGTCCGTGGAGAGTTACGACGCTTGGCCACCATCGAACGTGCAATCAAGGCCTTCTACCGCCCATTCATCCTCCTCGTCCTTCTCGTCGATGCTGCCAACACCGCCGGAGGAGGAGATGCGCCGTCGCCAGCTCATTAAGGCCAGCCAGCTGCTAGGTGCGCTACCACGGACTTAGAACATCGTAACATGCGCTAATGCATCTCCCAAGGTACATCCGAACGGCCGGACGAATTAGCCTCCCCCGCTATCAAGGTGCGGCCAGCACCGCTGGTTATCGCGTCCGCGGAGGAGTACCAGGCCAGCCGGCTGCAGCCCGCCACCGAGGAGCCGGAGAGCATCACGCCCACGAACGCGAACTACGAAGATGATCCCTACGCGGCGCTCGAGCGCGCGAGCTACAGCAGCTCCATGCGCCTCTCTCCCATGATCTTCAGCGCTCCCGCCCTCCCCAACGCACCTGCCGCCCCTTCGCCGCCCTCCCCCATCGCCGTCGTCGCCGACCCCGAGTCCCCCTCTTCCGACTCGGACGGAGATGCCATCCGCGAGGTGCCCATAGTACGCGAAACGCGCGAGGTGCGAGCACCCGTCCTGCGCGAGGTCTCTGTTATCCCAGAGAGGATGCAACTTCAGACGCGGGAGCTTCCCGCGGTCGCCGCAGGGGACGTGGCGGCCGCTATCGCGACATCGCCCGCGACGCCTACATTCGCGCCGCGCGCGGCGAAGCGGCACTCCAAGTCGTTCTCCATCGGGCACGTGCACACGCAGAGGCCGCGCACGCCCGCGGCGCTCGTCGCGCGCCCCGACACGCCGTTCGCGGACTACGTGCTGGACGACGGGTACGCGACGGACGGGGGGCTAGCGCGCGGCGACCAGAAGTACGACGACGAGAAGGGGCTGTTCCACTCGGCGGTCACCGCGGGCGAGATGGAGTTCCTCGCGATGGCGAGGCGGGACGCGGCGGTCATCAAGCGCGACAAGCGGCAGAACTGGAGCGGCGAGTGGAATCAGAATGACATGCAGGAGGTGATCCACAAACTACGTTGCCTGCGATGATGTGCTCTTCTTGCTTCTATCCACCATCTCTTTACCGACCCGACCCGACCCTACCGCGACGATGCTTTACGTTCACGCGCAGAGTACCTGGCGTACTACCGCTTCGGCCTATACACCGCCGTTACCCACTTGATTTGCCCTCACCCACTTGCTCACCCCACGCTCGCCTATCCACGAGACATACCCGCTCCTTAGATATCCCTTTCATTTACTACCTCTTTGCTTTGCATGGACCTCTGGATGCTATACTTTCAAGTCGACTGCGTCGCTGACTGTCTTATTACCCTCGGCAATTGTTGTACTAAACCCCTCTAATTTATCTATAATGTCGCTTGCCCTGCTTGGGATATGGTATTGTACACGATATTGACCCACTGACGGCCCTGAAGAAGATCACTGAGCACTCGGTACGTTCCTGGCCGCTCATCGAGGTGGCCTTCTTCGGAGCCTGCGGAATCCTCCAGCTCGGGTTGCTTTGCCTCTCTTCGAACTGATATACCTGCAGATCAGTAGTACAGGCCGGTTCGGATAAACAGTGTTTTGCTGCTTAGGGTGATCAATTAGCCTAAGTAATAGTAGTGCTTCGGTTTGTACCATGCTTGCCTACTCTCCTCCGCTTCAGTCACGGTTCAACTTTAGTGTCACGTGAATCAGTCACGAAGAATTCCCACGGTTGACAATGACCGTTTCTTGCATGGCAAGTCATGAGTCGAGTGAGGGTCATACATCCAGGATGATCTGAAATACAGTTCTCACATTATAGCTACAGTTGGCGCTCTACGGCAGATACACTACTAGAATCATCCCAGGCTGTCGTCAGTAGGCGGGTCTAATTTAGTCTACATCCATCTCGGAGGGGCCCTGCGCGCCCTCGTCCTTCTTCTCAGGCTGGGGCGTCTCCGTCTTGGGCGCCTCGCCCTTGGGCGTCTGCGTGCCCGAGCCCGCACCGGGCACGACAGGCGGCTTCGGCTTCGGCTTCGTGAGGATGGGCGTGGCGAAGTAGATGACCTCGTCGCGCTTCTTCCCGATCTCCGCCGTCGTCAGCACCGGGTCCACGTTCTTCGGGCGCTCGCTCTGGCGCACGATCTGGTCGTCGAGCCACTTCTGCACGGTCGCGACCTTCTCGACGACGGACTGCTTGTCCGCGTCCGCGATGTGCGAGAAGCGCTCCTCGCCCGAGGTCGCCTGCGCCATGTAATTGTTGAGCGTCTCGCGCAGCTGGGCGATCGCCTTCGCGCGCTCCTCGTTCTCGCGCCAGCGGAAGGTGATCGGGTCGCCGAGCTTGTGGAGGGCGTCCAGGCGCTCGACGTATGCAGACTTGGTCGCGTCCTCGCCCTCCTCGGTGTAGAGCCAGTCCTCAGCCTGTTGCAAAGCCTCGAGCAGCTTCTGCTTCTCCTCCGGCTGGACGTAGGCAGCATACCGCTCGTCGAGCTTGCCACGGGTGTCGTAGACGTACTCCTCGAGGGCGTTTTTGCGGTCCTGTACATCATTTAGCAACGAGTTTTCAAGCCTTCAGATCCGGTACATACCTCGGTATCCATGACAAGCTTGTCGGATGCCCACATCTGGGACTCCTGCTCGCGGTACTGCTCCAGGATCGACTTGTCGAGCGAGGTATTGTGCGCAATGAACGGCAACTCCCTCTTCCGCACGATCTTCTTCTTCTTCGGCGGTGCTGCCTCGCCACCATCCACATCCATCGCAGCCGGCTCCTCACGCTCCTCGACCTCCTCGACGTAGTACGAGTCGAAGGCCATGATGCCGTGGATGTTGAGGCGCGCGCGCAGCTTCACGGTCGTAAAGTCGCCCGTCGGGTTCGCCGGCACCTCCTTCGCGGTGAAGCGGCCGATGAAGGGGTTAATGCCGCCGGGGAGACTCGACGGGTCCTCGTACGCCGCCTGCACATCGAAGGGCTCCTTCCGGCGCAGCGACAGCGCCTTGACGATCGGCATGGCGTTGTTGTGCGGGAAGAGCGTGACGGGCGTGTCGTCGTCCGAGCCCGGGACCGGGTCCCACTCGAGCTTGATTGGGTAGAAGTTGATGTCGGTCATGTGGAACTCGCGGACCTTGAAGACGGGGGAGAGCATCGCGCAGGAGAAGGTGGCGCCGCGCGCGGCGGCCTCGTCCTGGTTGAGCGTCGTCGAGAGAACCTTGCCGGGGAAGACGGACTGGATCTTGGCGCGGACGGCGGGGACACGGGTCGAGCCACCGACGAGCTCGATGCCGTCAATTTGATCGAGGGTGAGGCCGGACTCCTCGAGCACGCGCTGAAGGGGTGCGGGGATGCGCGCGAGGACGGGCTCGACGAGGCCCTCAAGCTCCTCGCGGGTGAGCTTCGAGGTGGCATCGATGTCGTTCATGATGGACTCGACGTTCAAGGGCGCCTCAGCGTTAGCGGAGAGGACCTTCTTGAGCTTCTCGCATGCGGCCGCGAGACGGAAGGTCGCCTTCGGGTTCGAGAGCACGTCGATCTTGTACTTCTCCTTGAACTGCTCGCCGAAGTACTGGACAAGCGCGTAGTCGATGTCGCGACCACCGCAGCGGCGGTCGTAGGCAGAGGCCTTGACGATCAGACGGCCCTTGGAGAAGGAGACGGCTGAGGCGCTAAGGGACGAGTGACCGACATCGATGAAGATGATGTTCCGCTCGCCATCCTCAGGAAGATCGGACTTGGTGATACCGTAGCCGAGGGCGACGGCAGTCAGGTCATTGACGAGGCGGAGGACGTTGATGTTCGCAATCTGCGCGGCATCGAGCATCGCGCGGCGCTGCACATCCGTGTACCATCCCGGGACGGCGATGACAACGTCCGAGACAGCGTTCTTCAGCTCGGCAGCGGTGATGTCGCGCAGCTTCGCGAGGTACATTGCGACGAGCTGGGTGATCGTAAAGGTCTGGGGCTCGCCCAAGTAGTTGACCTGCGGAGGATGTTAGCGCGTGCCAGTAACTCGATCGCCATCGTCCACGCACCTGAACGCCAATAGTACCCTGTACATCAACGAGCTTGACGTTCAGGAACTTCTTCTCAAACTCCTGGACCTCCGGGTCCGAGAACGTGCGGCCGATGAGGCGCTTGAGCGAGCCGATCGTGTTCTTGAAGTTGGAAGTCTCCTGCGTCTTCGCGGCCTCACCAATCGCGCGCTGTTTTGGGCCGAAGGCTACCAGAGACCTGTGCGATGGGTCAGATGCGCTGTTCCCTTTCACGAATCGCGACCTGGACGTACGGCGTCGCGCGATTTGAGACTTCATTGGTGATGATATCGATTCCGCGGTGTCTGGCGACACCGATCTGCACCAAAATTTTTAGCAGAGGTCAAGGAAGGTGCAGAGAGCATACCTACTTTGCTGTGGAGAGTGCCAAAGTCAATACCGACGACGGACATGATGGGCACGGACAAAGGTGCTGGAGGGGGACAGCAAGGCGTAAATAAAATCGACCAAATCGGGCATTACATTTGAACACGCGTCCATTGTTCTCCAAGGTTCGAGGGTGTTCTACAAAGTTACCCCCAATCCGCCAAGCTGCTCTGAATGCCGTGCTCCTCGCCATCCTGCACGCTGCAACGCCGTGGCTAACAGCCTGCACACAGGCGGCAGAAGCTCAAACGACGGCGATGTGCGAAGATGGGCACATGATCGAGGCCGAGCCTTACTTCCAAGCCTACTTCTCGCCGAGGCTATTCAGTCTTGCTTCGTCCCTTCATGTTATCCAGTCGTTGGTGTAGCTACTGGCCTTTGCGCTAGTAAAATCGAGGACTTCTGTTGTCTGAACTCGGATACCGTAGCAAGGCGAAGGTCGAAGCAATTTTGCCACTGCTTTGCTTTCCAGGAGTCTCTCGATCAAGCAGATGTTGTAAAGGCAAAGGTATTGGATGGTTCCAGGTGCAATTCTATTAGATGGCTCAGAGAAAGCTCGTGAAAATCGTGAGCGATACAGTACAACAAAATAATCTACTACAAGCAAAGCAAAGACGTGCAGGATGCGCGATTAATCCATCGTAATTGAGACGAGGATGCGTAGAAGAAGCGTGAAGTCGTGAGGGGGAAGGGGAGGGGAGATGGGAAGGGAGTATAGTGGAATGATGTACAGGGATGAACGGATTGGATTTTTGATTGAGGGGAAAGGAGGAGGGGAGAATAGGGCTTAAGCGCCGTAGAACGAAACGTTCTTGCGCGGGCGAATTTCGCATGCGTGGAAGATCATGCCCGCGAGCATCAACACCATAAGGCCCCCTACAATCAAGTTAGAACAATGATAACAGAGACGTAACGGGAGACTCACAAAGCGCCCAAGCAACACCCTGGATGGAGACCACGATCTCGCACTGGCTAACGTAGTTTTGCCATGCAGGAGGGAACGTGCTCGGATCCGCGTCACAGTTCGTGCCCCGGAAGGGGGTGACGGCGAACATCACACCCGCACCCGTGCCCCAGAAAACGGCGAACACGAAGGTGAAGAACATGATGACTGCAGCAGCGATCAGGATCGTGGAGAGGCAAGCAGGAGGGGGAATACGCACAGCCCATGCTCGTGTAGAAGTGCCCGATCAAGTACAACAGCGTGCCGATGCAGCTGAATAGTAGGAGACCGAGGTCATGCTTGAACTCCTTGCCCGGGTACTTTTCGTAGCCATTGCCTCCACGCTGGAGCTGCTGCGAAACTAGACCGAGCTCGGAAACCGCTGCCATCAAAGTTAGCAAGCATCAACTGAATCTGGCGAACGCGACGTACTGAGAGCGAAGACCAAGAAGAAGGCCAAGGCGTACAAGACGCGACGAGGAGACCGGATGAAGGCACCGAAGGCGGACCTCTGGACTTGGTTCTTCTCTGCGATCGGTCGTCAGCGATGGACTTAAGCAAGCACAATGGCCGAAGCTCGCTCACCGTTGGCCATTGCTATGGTCTTTGCGTTCGCTGGGGGAAGAGCGATGTGCTGAACACGGGGGGTGGCGCTGCAAATGCACTGCAGATAACGGGGAGCCCGCCGTGCTATGTCATCCGCCCTTTATACCCTCGCATACGCCCCGAATCTGGGTCAGACGCCGGTTCGTCCCTACGCGCGGGAAGATCAGTCAGCCGCCGGCAGCAAGTGATACTTGGGGGGGCGGTCGGCGGCACAGCGCGGCCATGACAAACTCCCACTGACTCGGGGTGAAGATCAGGATCTCTGCGTTGTCTGACCGCTTCGTCATAGGCTCTCCCAGTTCCAGAACCGCAGACAGTGATATGGTTGGCGGACGCAGAGCGCGCAGGCATCAGATGAACGTCCACTTGAGGTCGAGAAGGGGGCCGCTTCGCCACGAAAGTATGGGCGAGAATCCCTCCCAGCGTTCATGCGCGCCGCCGAGGGTGCCGGATCGAGAGAAATACGCACACTGCAGGCGTAGAGCGCCGCCGCCTCCATGCGCCCCCGAGAGCCATCGGATCCGATTCAGACCTAGCGTCCACTGAGACGCCGCATGTCCCGGCCTACACCGACGCTGAGTCAGAGGGTGAGGAAGTTTCGCGAAGCCCGCAAGCTTGCCGGACGTCAGATGAACCAGAGGCGACGGCAGAGCTCCGCCGGGAGCGTAGATATTTGCGATCAGTCACGGAGAGTCGATATTTTGAGCGAGTCCTGCCGCGAACGGAGCACATTGAAAAGGCGGCTGGGCGGAGGCTTTTCAACCGAGTTCGGAGGTCGAGATGAGAGTAGAGCGCAATTCCCTCAGGACATCATCGAGGTCGTCTTGTGCAGCGATCAGACGTAGAGCGCATTCGTAGTTTGCAGGCAATGACCTTTCAGCAGCCAAAAAAAGGCATGAAAGTCTGGGCGCCGGGACTGGGAAAAGTCGAACAAAGGGATCATTGATCGGCGGCTCCCGGATTTCCGTCACGTGTGTCTGACCGGGTACTTCCGCGAAGCTTTTTTGCCTGTTTCGGATTCTCTCCGAGACGGACCCACAAGTGATACTCCGCTTCACGACCCGCTTGTTTCTACCAAGAAGTGGTTTGGTGACTGCCCTTCAATATATGCCTCGCCTTGCATCTAATAGTGAGAGAAAATAATGTATCTACGTGCCTCTGAAGGCTTTTCAAACCTGCCCACCCGGCTGCGGCTCGACCGTGAAGCCCGGAGGCGGGGCGCCCTGCTCGAGCGGCTTCATCGCCGGGAAGAGCAAGACCTCCTTGATGTCTAAAACAGTGATGAGCACGGTTCACGAAGACGGTCACGAGACCACGTACTGGTTGAGTTCGTCAAGAACATGACGAGCCGGTCAATACCAATACCCCAGCCACCGGTAGGCGGCAGACCATGCTCAAGACTATATGGGGTATAAGTGTCACGCACAGCATCTTTATAAGAGATACACTTACGCATCCACGAAGGTCTCATCGATGCCCTGCGCCTCGTCATCGCCGGCCTCCTTCTGGCGCACCTGCTCCTCGAAGCGCAAGCGTTGCTCGAAGGGATCGTTCAACTCCGTGTAGGCGTTGCAAATCTCCTTCCCGCACAAGAAGCCCTCGAAGCGCTCGCACAAGCCCGGACGTGAGCGATGGTACTTCGCCAGCGGGGACATGACTTGCGGGTGGCCAACTAAAGAAACGTTAGATTGACGATACACCACGGTCATCTGAAGCATGCGTACCAATGAAGGCAGGCGAGATGCACAATGGCTCGATGAACTCGCCCACAAGCTTGTCCAACAACCGCGCGTTCGTACGCGGCTCGCTGCAGTCCACGTTGTGCTTGACGCACAGCTCGCGAAGGAACTTGTTCGCCTCCTCCGTGTGCAGCGTCTCGCCAGGCGGGAACTTGACCCCGAGCTTCTCCTCGAGGGTCTCGATCATGTCGTACCGCTTCCACGGGCGCTGGAAGTTGAGGTTCAAGACGCGCGCGCCTTCGGTACCGGCGTTGCCATCAGGGTAGAACTCGAGGGTCGTGCCGCCGGTCAAGGACTTGACGAGGCCCTCGATCATCGCCTCGGTGATATCCATGAGGTCGTACATATCCGCGTAGGCCATGTAGAACTCGCAGATGGTGAACTCTGGGTTGTGCGTGAGGTCGATGCCTTCGTTACGGAAGACACGCCCGATCTCGTAGACACGATCGAGGCCACCGACAACGAGCTGTTTGAGATACAGTTCAGGAGCAATACGGAGGAAGAGGTCGAGGTTGAGATCGTTATGGTGAGTGACGAAGGGCTTCGCAGTGGCACCTCCGGCGATCATGGAGGTCATGGGTGTCTCGACCTCCATGAAGCCAAGGTTGTCCAGGAAGCGACGGATATAGTTAACAATCCGGCTGCGGGTCACGAAGATCTTGCGGGTGTTCGGGCTGATGATGAGGTCGAGGTAGCGCTTGCGGTAGCGAGTCTCCTGGTCCTTGAGACCGAAGTGGGAAGTAGGGATTTGGTGGAGGGAGGGTGCGAGGAGGGTCATGGTCTTGGGCGCGATCGAGAGTTCGCCCTTCTTGGTGCGCATTGGCGTGCCGACAACACCGACGATGTCACCGCGGCGGAAGATATCGTGGACCTCTTCGAACTTGGCGGGGTCCTCTGCGTCTTGCGCATTCGCCATGACCTGCACCTTCTGGCCCTCGCTGTGGATGTCGTAGAAGCGGAGCTTGGAGCTGCTGGCGCGCATGCTGAATATGCGGCCGACGATGCGCTCCTCCCTTCCCTCAAGCTTGTCGCCGTTCGCAATGACGCCCTCGGCGCCGTACTCAGCGATGTACGAGGTCATCGAGCGCGAGACGTGGAACTTGTGGGGGTACGGGTTCGGGTTTTGGGTCTCCTTGAGCTTCATGATCGCCCTCGAGCGCATCTCGTAGTATTGCTGGGGACGTGGTGAGGCTGTAGGGTCGTGATCGGGAGAGGGGGGGACGCACGTTGGGGTTCAGCTGCTCCTCCTCCGCTGCTGCCGACTTCTCCGCCTTGGGCTTTGCCGTAGCGGCGGGGGCAGCCTGCGCCTTCGCAGCCTTGCTGGCCTCCTTCGCCCGCTGCTTTTCACGGCGCTTGAGCTCCCTGCACACATTGTTTTCAGAATGCCCGATCCAGTAAACAAGACGACATACTGCTTGGAGATCATCTCCCCCGTAACGGGGTCCTTGTGCGTGCCAGTGCTTTCGGTGGCCATTGTTCGATTTTGGGGGCGTATGGACGCGTACAAAGGTCGAGTGAGTGTACGAGTAGGTCGCGCAGATGGCAATCTGGATCGAAGCAGCCGATGCATTCGACTTTTCCGGCTATCGATTTGGATCGAGTCAATGCCAAACTTGGGAGGATGAGTCACAATCCGAGCGGCCCGCGGTGCTCCGGGGTCGAGGGTTCGATGTACGTGGGTGAGGGAGGCAACCACCAACGCATTAAATGCGCAGAGGAGAAGGAGATGAACGCAGAACGCATGTTGCAGGATTGATGGTGGTCACAAAGATGCCATCAAAAACATGGAAGGCAAACGGTTTCTCGAAGTACTAAGGCCAGTGCGTAGTATACAGCAAAAGACATCACAAGAGTACGAGAAGCAATGTGAACACGGTGACAGGGATCACCACTAGTTGCGCCACAATGAGCTAGGAATAACTACTCTGGGTACTCGAGCTCTAAACCGTCCAAAATCTCCACCTCTGAATTGGCTCGAGACGTCTCCCCGCTCGCAAAGTGCGAGAACTCCAACGGTGGAGGCAGCTGCGGTTCCTCCTTGACGAGAGGTGGCGGTAACGCATCCGGAGGGGGAGGCAGATGGACGCTCTCCTGCGGCAGAGGCACAATCTCCTGCGGCAGGGGTACACCCTCTAGCGGCAAGAATGCACCCTCTTGCGGCAAATGTACACCTTCCTGCGTCAAATGCTCGCCCTCCTGTGGCAAATGCACAGAGTCCGGCGACAAGTGCATGTCCTCTTGAGTCAAATGGACATGCTCGTCCGGCAAACGTGCGCTCTTCTCCTGCGGTGAATGCACCCTTTCCTGCAAGCGCATCCTCTCGAGCTCGCGTTCCAGTTCGGCGATGCCTAAGAGCGACATTGAGTATAAGGCAGAGAACAGACGAAGGAAGGCCAACGCACGATCCTTCGCCTTGTCGAGCTCAGTGGGTCCGCGAGGCGGGATAACCTTCGAGATATTATTCTCGTAGTTGAAGCGGGCTGAAGAGCAATGCAATAAGTGCACCGCCAAATCTGCGTGGTCTGAGAGGGACTGACGATTAGACAACTGCGAAGGGTTGACGCCCCCTTTCCACGCCGGTATGAATATTTTGGCGAACTCTGTGAAGCAATATTAGTTTATCGCACTTCATCCTTGATGCTCAAGGCATACCCTTCTGCAAAGTCTGAACCACGGCAACCAGTTTCGCGCGTTCGGTCTGCGCTTCTGACAAAGCTTTCTCCTTCGTACTGAGTGCTGTTAAGTGGGGTGAGTGTCGCTATAAATCTCCAGAGGATTTATCTACCTTCTCTCAATTCCTTTTCTCTAGCATCGACTCGCCGTCGAGAATCCTCAAGCGAGTTCACGACTGGCAGGTGGTCAGCTCCATAACTTTACCAATTCAGCTCCATCGCATTAACGTACCTTTCTGCACGTCTGCCTCCAGCTTCGGGATGTCAAGGTCTTGTGGGTTTTGTAGCACTGTCGACGCGTCAGACAATTTTCAGAATGGTAGTAGAAAGTGCATTACCCTCGCTGACGTTCTTGAGCTGCGAGAGCGCATTGTTGAGCGAGACAGATGCGGCTGTAGGCTTGCGTCGTGGGAGAGGCGCCCGTGTTGGCAGGGGAGCTTGCGACGACGCTTGTGGCTGCGGAAGCGCCACGATAGGCGGTGTGATGGGCGGAGGCTCAGTAGGCTCTACAATTGCGATCATGAGCCAGGGAAGTAAGACGGTGTTCCATACGTACGATTATGCTTTGCGCCTCGTCTGATGTGATTATTGGAAGGCAGGGAAGGCAGGTGCCGCACGGCCGGCGCGCTCGAGATACTCTCGATAGACTCGTCCGGAAGGTCGTCATCTCCCTGCGGTGCGCTCAACAGAATTTTCGCAGCTGCAGCCGCCGCCGCGCGCCTCTGCGGCACCGGTACCGGCGCCGAAGCCGGAGGCACCGCAGCCTCGACCTCCCGCTTCCTCTTCCGCGCGCGCGGTGGGTGAGACTGCGTCGTCCCCGCGCTCTCCGCCGGCTCCTGCTTAATCTTCGGCCTGCCCCTCTTCGCCGGCAGGGGCGCGGGCGCGTGCTCATTCGCGAGCATCTCGACGATATCCGCCTTCAGCCGCGCGCGCTGCGTCTCCGCCGCGTTCGGCTGCGTGAGGGTGACCTTCGGGTGCAGGATCTCCTGCGTGAGGCCCGCGAGGAACATCGCGGACGCCCATGTCGAGGTCTTCGGCTGCACCCAGAGGTAGCGCGGATAGCGATTCTCCCGGTCGAGATACGGGTGGCGCGGTGGCGGGTATGTCCCCTCCCAGCGCTCCCACGAGCCTCGACTATGGGACGGGCCGACCGTGCAGTAGTAGAGCGCCTCCTCGCCCTCGGTGGTATCGATGTATACGTCCCCGGGCAGGCCGAAATCCTCGCGTGGCGCACCCCTGCCACGGAACTCCACGAAGGGGAGCATAGCATACGTGAACGTGCGCACGTTCTGGCTGCTCAGAAGCTGGTAGGGGTAGTCCGGTGGAAGTCCCGCAATATTGACTTTGACGCGTCGCTTGACCCAGGAGGTGAAGTTGCCGTCGCGCTGGCTGGCATCCGGGGATACGTGTGGATCGTCCCAGGGATGAACAGTGATGATGTGTTTCTGCAATTGAGAGGCGCTTGGTGCAGAAGCAACCAGTTTGGATGTCGACGCTACCGCATCTGATCCATCTGGGAGGGATGTAAGCACTGGTACTTAGGCTATGACGATGAGACGCACTGGCGATCCCGAACTTCGCTTGGAGGGCCCTGCCGGCTGTTGGCGCCATTATGCGCTTAAATATGTTAAGCTAGGTCGAAATCGAGCAGTAGACAGAATTTTGAAGAGTTGCCCTTCAGTGAGGCAGCAACCCCCGAGGCGGTTGATGAGTGAGGTGGACAAAGTGAGGTCAAAGCGGAAACTTCGCACGCGTCACTGGACATCGGTCCGATCGTCGCTTGCCTCAGAGCCATTCCGTCAAGTCCGGGTTCAATGTCCTTTGCGGACGAAGGCTTGTCGGCAGGGTATTCCGACCATAGCGCTCATCGTGTAGGAGGATTGATCGCTGAGACGCCATAGCTTCCAACGCCACTTGTAGTAATGGAATTGAACCACACCCCAAACCATTAGACGCATCCTCAAGTTCACACCACAGCGAGAAGGAATGGAAGGTCTAAGTTGCTCATGCAGACAAAGTAAGGTGGTATCACTATGCACAATAGTCCACATTAGCCCGAGTGCGTTCGGGCATCGTACATAATATCAGGGCGCCCATCCAGGTCGTCCGTGCGAGGCGTGCGGGTTACGGTCCGTGCGATAGGTAGGCAGAGTCAGGATGGGGCGTGTAGTGTCAGGAATGGTACGCGTAGTGGCAGGAATGGGACGCGTAGTGTCAGAAATGGTACGCGAGTCGGTCGTACAAGTTGGTTAGTAGGTAGGGTAGGGCGGTAGGTACTTCAGACGAAGGCGACTACCTTACGCGAAGACGGCGACACCGCCCATGGCGACCGCGACGGTGGCCCACAGGACACCCATCCAGGCGATGCCCTGGCCCTCGGGGGCGCGGAGCATCGAGGCGGCGTTGCTGCCGCTGGCGTCCGCGCTGGAGCTGCCGGCAGTCGAAGACGCGCCGCTCCCCGAGCCGCTGCCACCAGAGCCAGACGCGCCCGAGCTCGCCGCCGCCTTGAAAAGCTCCTCGCTAGAGAAGGACTGGCAGTTGCTGGAGGCGGGGACCTTGGCGCTGAAGGGGATCGTGGAGATCTCGCCCTCGCTCTCGGGCGGCTGCGTCCAGGTGGTCGTCTGGCCGTCCGAGCCAGTGTAGACGCCCGGGAAGTCCTGGTTGTCGCCCTCGCACGACTCGAAGGTGCCGTTCTGGGCGTTGTTCGGCGCGTTGTACGCGCAGCCGATACGGTCGTAGATGTGCTGGCAGTAGTCCGCCGCGTGCTCCTTGCTCGGGTCACAGACCTTGAAGCAGAAAGCGTTGCCACCCATGAAGCTGGCGAAACGTGTCAGCCATCTGTGGTGGTGCTGCGCAGGGGGTGGGGGACGTACTTGTGCCACTCGATCACCTGCGTGTAGCTGTCGTTGCTGTCGGACCAGGCGGTGGAGTAGACGAGACCGCCCATGGGGTTGCCGCGAAGGTCGGCACCGTGCGGGTCGAGTTCGCCACCGAAGTCATCCGCCGCGATGTTGATCTTGCTCTGGTCGATGAAGCCGACGACCTGGACGTAGTCCGGCGTGCGCATGAACTGCACACCCTGGAGAGCGCCGTCGGGGATGATGCGCGTGCCACGGCCGGGCTTCGTGCACCAGGCGACCTCCTCGCCCTCCGTGTCGGAGATCATGGAGTCCTTCTTGGACGGTGCCCACAAGCAGAAGTCTAATATACAGATGAGCTGAGGATCGATGAGGTGTTTTGGAGCACATACCGTCGAGCGCATTCAAGAAGCTGGTCTGGCACATGCTGTCATCGCCCTCCGTGGTCGAGTTGCACAAGTTGTAACCCGCCTGGCCGCCACGAACGAGGTTCGTGTCAGTGTCGGCTTGGTAGGGCTGGAAGACGTCGTTAGTTTGGGTGGCATACTGAAGGACGAAGGACGTACGATGCCATCCGGGTATGAGAACGTCTTGCTCGCGAGCGGTGTCTCGGGGAACGAGCTCTGGTCCTGCGCCGCGACGAACGCGGGGAGGAAGAGGAGTGCAGCGGCGGCGACAGACATGGTGATTAGCTTGCAGAGGATAGAGTGCCGGTCAGAAAGAAGGACAGGTGGGCGCCAAGGGCGAAAGCAAGCAGAGTGAAGCCGTACGGCTGAGAAGCGCTGAGATGGAGGAAGAGAGAAAGAAGTGACGGAGGTCGAGCTTTCTCGGTGGGAAGCGTGAAATTTCTAGTTGGCGGTGTCGTCGTGACGGGGGTGCTTCTGCTCCACTCCCGGCTGACAAGCTCTCCACATTCATCACTTCGGGGTAGGCGATGTGTTTTGCGCATGTTGCCGACCACAGTTTACTGAATCCTCCACGCCAATTGGTGCACAGAAACACGTCAAAGCGGTCCCAGCAGGAGCAGGTAGCGAGAGACGCCAGTCCTGGAGATGAGGTATTTTTCTGGAGCAAGCAAGAGAACAAAGGAAAGTTGAACATCGGCGTGGAAATGGCCTTGTTCCAAGTTTAGGTGGTGCTGCGCGAGCTGCGCATGTGACGTCACGCCCAACCGGCCAATGCCGGAGCCTCAGCCTCGACGCACTGAGCGCCTCAACAACGCAAGTTCGACTCTCGTCAGAACTCTCGCCGCGTCTCTCTCTGAAGGGTCCGCTCTTCCCGCTCTTCTAAAGTCTACGCTGCATCCCACGAAACTGGACGATGCCAGGTCATTTTCCGGAGGATGACTGCTGCTGTTCGACAGAACATTCCACGCTGACTTTTCTGTGACGACACCGGAAAGCTTCAGGGCACCCAACTGCATTCTTCCACTCGTTGCCCTCCATCCTGTGCTACTCCCGGCATAAGCAAGCCGTCTCGCGAGGGTTGTTGCATGTCATCTCTCATCTTGAACTTCGGACCCCAAGACTCATCAAGAAACCTACGATCTCGATGTGCTAACGTTTCTCATCTGTTGGTTGAGGGACTTATCTCTCTCGCTATACATGATTACCAGCGATACATGTTTGACATCCATCGCATCCATTGAGCTCGCGAGGGCTCGAGTGGACGATGAGACGCGCCCGTAAGGGGGCCCACACTAGGTGAAGCTTGATCACTCCGTTACTGCTGACGTGTGTTCGACAGGGTACAGTCCGCATTCGCCTGCAAACTTCAATTGCGCGCTGGCCTTCAGAGACGCCGTGACCGCCGTTGAAGGGTGGCCTGCGACTGAAGCTCAATCTCAAGGGAACGGTACTAATTGGTTCGGGCTTTCGGCGAATCCCGAGTCGATGGCTACCAGCGCTTTTGGGTACCCTTCTGTCGCGATCTCTCGCTCGGTCGCAGTGCTGGATGCGTGTCCTATCTCTGTCAATTCATATTTTCGATTCGTCCGCCAACGCGGTCCCTTTGAGCCCCACGGTAGCTTTCGAACTGGAACTGCCGCCCGCTCGCAGGACTGGGAAGGGGTTCAAGAGCATCTCAGCCCCAGCAGCGTGGAAAAAGACGACAAGGACTCGGAGACTTGGCTGAGATTCCGGAATATCCAGAGAAACAAGATAACTACAATACACTGAAACCGAACACAAATCCTCCTCATAATACCCGTGCGCCACAAATGACCTCCGCCCCGCCTAACACGCACACGACCCGTCAGTGCACTTGCACTCCCCGCCCCTACAGGCGCACTCGTCGCCCTTCTTCTGGCAGGTCCCGGGCGCGCAGCCGCAGGCGTCGTCGCTGCCGCACTTGCAGGATGTGGGCGTGCAGGAGCAGCTTCGAAGGGATGTCGGTGAGTCATTTGTACCTCGGCCAAGGGTCCAGCCACTCACTTGACCTGGCAGCCACAGGGCATGCAGCCGCAGCTATCCTTGCAGCAAGACTTGGTGGCGGACTGTGGGCAAGGCGTCAGCATCCACTGCATTCACATTTGCGATAAATAGGGCTGACTGGGGAAGTCATCGTTCTCGTTGAGTCGGTCGGCGGGTCAAGCTTCAAGGGTTGTAGGCAAAGCAGGTGCGTTACTCGTACGAAGATGTCGTTCGTCTTTCCATACTCGCCTTTTATACCCTTTACCTCTGCGCTCCAGATAATCCCTCATACTTGCTCCCGAAACTTGCTCAAGCGCGGGCTCATGGGATGCGCTCCAGAAAATCGCGCATCCAAGCGACTCCTAGGCCGAGCTCCCGCCGCTTGTCTCCCCTTCGTGCGAGACGCCCCGAACCGATAAACTTTACGTCTTGGCTAGCTCCGCTCACTGGGGGAAGGAATCGACGTGAAATTCGCTCGATATTTCGCTTAGCTTTGATGGAAAAACACTACAATCTGAGTGAAATTCACTCGAGATCCAGTGATTTTCGCTTGGCCTCAAGCGAAAATGTTTCACGCCAAAAAAGTCGCGTTTCGCGACCTCTGTTTCGCTTGACTACGAGCGTAAATCACTCTTCAAAGAGTGAAATGGCCAGTATTTCATTTTTTGCTGCTTTTTGCCATTTTTTCTCCTTCGCACCGCACTCGTATAGGAACAAATGGATATATTCAAGTGACTACTACTACAACTCTCGAACAGCGGGTCTACAGGTATCAAGACGAGGAAGTGGGCTGTCCAGCCTCGGCCAAACGACAGAATCATGAAGGTAGACGAGAGCTGCGTAGGACTTTGCTAATTTTGATAGTCGAGAGACGAACATCAACGGTCGTAAGCCCGTATACAGAGCGAAGAGGCAGGACTTACCAGCCGTGCCGAGGTCTAAGAGTGATATCCTGACCCTAAGTCGCAGCCCGGCGGAATAGACTGCAATCCTCGTCAGACCTGAACTCAATTTGAAAGGGGGGGTGGCATGGAACAAGCATACCCTATAATTCAGTGGGCTCTTGATGACGCATCGGACGGCGGAATGGTGCACACTGCATACAAATTTGCTGATGGCACGAGCGAGCGGGAGGTGGTGCCGCGAGGTATACGGTGTGCAAGGACTGGGGAAGTTGAAGTGAGAAGTAAGAGGTGGGCGGCGTTCAGTGACATGAAGGGACCAATCTGCAATCGTCCCTTAGATTGACGTTCATCTCTGAACAAGGCATCCCACTACGCACTGTAATCCCGCGGGTTGGGCAGCGCTCAATCGCGTTCGTTATCGATCTCGAGGTCGTGCGTCGTACGCTGGGGAATTGTGTCCATGCATCACGGCGAGCGATGTAAATGATAGTGGTCGAGGACAAGACTCGACGACCTGCGACCCCACATACGTCACCGTGTGGCGTCAACGCCACATAATGGCCGGGCCCTCGGTTGCTCATCGCCGCGCATGTCCTTTTGTTGACTTCTGTGACGATGGAGACTGACTTTACTGAACCCCGTTGCAGCTGAATATCAATACCAGTCAGACAACCCTTGGTACCCTCTTGACCCTCGATACGCTGATATCCTTAAGACCTTTACCCATCTCGCTACTCACAATCATCCCTGTGTATCTTTCGCTCGACATCGGCCAGGTGTTAGCTCAGCGAAACAGCATCGCTCAAGATCATGCGAATTTCGCTTGCCCGACGTGAACCGGATTCGCATGATCTCCAGCGAAAAGTGAAATTCACTCAATGTCAAGTGAATTTCGCGCTGATTCCTTTTCCCAGTGGCTGGGCACGCGCAGGGAGGCTTCGTTCAACTCTGACGCTGTGCAATTGCCTCGCCGTGCAGACTGTGGCGCGTCTTGCGCTCCCAAGACATTTCTTCGTCTATTTCCGTGGCTTCCGTTGCCTCTCCTCACAGTGATACTGCGCTTTGAAGTCAAACAATCAGACGATATGGCAGGTGTCTCAATGGGTACGAAATCTTCGCCGCCATGGACTTTTGGTTTATATATTGATGGATCTACAAGCTGCGCCCAGGTAAGCTCGGCACAACGTCGTCTATGTATAGGGATAAATATGGTACATAATAGAGAAAATATGGCCGCCCATAATATCCGTAGCCTTTTGCCATCCGAACCCCGTCTAAAGCAGCTTCTTCCCGCTAGTCTTCCTTGAATGTCGCCCGTGACGGCGATGGTATCGCTTCGGCAAGTACGTCGTCTCCGCATATGACCACGTCAGGACGAGGCGTAGCCACTTCGCCTACCGGCGCGCCGGCTGACACTGGCGAGCTCGACGAGCGTCGATCATCGCTTCGTGTGTCACGACCACGGTCAGGCGACCGACGACGAGGCTCGTCGGCAGGGAGGGTCCCTCGTGAGGAGCGCGATATATCAGCCTCCTCCATGCCACTGTTCTCCTTCGATTCGCGAGGCTCAGTGTTCCAATGTACGGCGCGCGTGTCTGGATCGGGGCCCTACAAGTGGAGGTGAGCACGTATTGACCACGATCATTGGGGTTGGACTGACCGAGGGCGGAGACGTCGACCGAGCTCTTAGAGTATGCTGGCCGTCCAATGGTTCATCCGACAAGCGGATGTTGCCACAATCTAGGGCAGTCGACTCGGAGCTCTGGACAGCCACGCGTCAGCCTCGCTATCTCCTTGTAGATAGCAGTCACTTGCCTGCGTATTGGTGCCACTCGAATCTGTTCGTTGCGATGTCCTCCGCTTCGCGCTCGTCTTGCGTTTGCGGCGCCCGCCGACGTCCTTCTCCGCCTCAAGTCGCGCCTCCAGGGACGCCCTCACGAGCGTCAACTCGTCTAGGCTGAAGACATCCATTGTCCACGCGGGGGCGGTATCTTGTAGTACGGAGATCGCCTTGCCGTGAACGCGCTGCACAAGGTCGTAGATTTCCGGGAAACGGGGATGCCATGCGGCAACACAATCCAAAGGGCCCAGTTTGACGAAACGGCGAGCGAGCATAACTGTGACTTGCGCTGCCCAGAGTACGCGGGCAGCCAACTCGCCCGTATCTTTGTCGGACAGGGAGTCGAGCCAGTCGGCGATCTCGATGCCGATTTCGAGACTGAACAATCTTGGGGATGGGACATCAGCGTCTCGAATGTCGTTCTTGTTCAGATGATCAATGACTTCGTGCGCGAGAGTCAACCACCGGAAGGAGTCGGCGTCCCCAATATCACACAGGCGCAACAGGTCCTGAGCAACATAGAACAGCTGTAAACAGAGATCTAGATAGTGCGTGAATAAATGATTATAACCGTTGGAAAGCGCAGCGAACCCGTGCTCGTTTTTGTACTTGCTAAGTTTTGCAGCGTATCACTCATCAAGAAATCGATCCGGCGGGGGATCTCATCCCCTCCTTCCATCTCGAAAGTATTGAAGATTCGGATGACATGCTCGAGACGCGTCTCGACTCGAGGAACCCCTTGATCAGCGTCCAAGAGGGCGTGCATCATCGCCTCAGAGGTTGCCCGCGAGTAACCTGTGGGGTCGAGTTTAATCTTGACGTCGTCAATCAACCTATCGTCGGGCGAGGTCAACTCGAGTTGCTCGGTGAGATCGCCTCGGAAGCATTGCAAGACGTATTGGGCATTTTCGGCCTTGTGCCGTAGGTGCCATAGGCAGTTCCAGATCCAATCTCGCAAGGACGGGTGCTCGAAGGTGAGTTCGATGAAGCCTAAGCAGCGCGCTAAAGAGACAGGCGCGTTGTCCCATGCGGCAGTGAAGTCTCGCTGGCTTGTCCAATCGAGATCGAACTGTGTCCAGGTCGAAAACACCTGGTAAGGCGAGACGTGCTGGTGCTCATTCGCTTCCTTGCTGCACAGCGAGAGAACATATGCGTACGCCCAGGCGAAGAAATTCAGAATGGTAACCAGGCTGCGCATAAACAACCACGCCTGTGGCGACTTAAATGGCACCTGGTAGATTTTATGGAGGCGGAGGCCGCGGTGATGACGCACATATTGCACGCCCGGGAGAATGGTCGTGATGAGGAAGAAGAGCATAGTAGAGGAACAGAGAATGCTGATGAGCACAGCTACGCCCTTTTGCAGATGCCAGAGCAAATCGATGACACCAGCAAGGAACAGGAAAAGCGCGGTTTGAAGAAGTAGGGGGATGGTCGCTATAACAGCGCCAACGTACCACTCCGTCAGACCATCGTACTTCACCTGCCTGACGGCAAGATTGGTCTGATGTGAGTGGCCCGTGTCACGCAAGAACTCTCGCAGCCATTGCTTGGAGACGATCCCGACCAGAGCCGAAGTCAAGCTGAGAGTGAGACTGCTGAACCAGAACCCATTGATGCGAGTCATAACGTCGGATGGAAGAGGGGTAGACCTGCTGACCGTCTTCACCGCCGTCACGTCGACATGGGACATGAGAGCGAGTATTTGACGAAGATAGTCCGCCGAGATATCGTCCGGCTCGACCATCAGCCACTTGTAAGACTCCATGATGAACGCTGTGAGAACTGCAGAGAACAGACCGGCCTGCAAGAGGCCCTCAGCATGGCGGAGGGTGATTCACGAAAGTGCGGACTCACAAATACCATGAATGATTCAATCTCATCGCGCCAGGATTGGCACTGAGAGTTGTCGTGCTTGTACACAAGTGTAGCGCAGTTCGGAAGGGCAACATCCGCGCCGGGGGGTTTATGCGAGAAATCCTCGCTCTCGGTATGTCGTCGACCGTTGTTATCCGGCTGCCATAAAGTCAGCGTCACGGAAAGACGATGATGGGGTCAGACGCACCGCAGACACGTCCACTCCACATTTTCTCGAGCTGCCAGACTGTTGAGGGCTCGCAGAGAAAGGATCCGTCCTTTGCGCCTGATCGTACGTTGATATCGATGTATTATCGCTGGGTGTGTCGCAGAAACGCTTACTTGTGCTCCTCCGTGAGTGAAGGCCATGGGTTTCCTTCGGGACTACGTGGACATAAGCTTTATATGACAAGCCACGCTTGAAAAAAGACCCACTGGTATCTCAGCCGCCGCGGCGCCATCCGTACGGGCCTACCAGTCAGGATTAGCGCCATCGTTTACGGCGTCCAAGTAATCTCACCGTGGTATCGTTGGCTCGCTGGTGATGGTACACAGGTAAGATAGGCTTCAGGTTGGACTCGACGCGAGGCATGACTGCGTTGATCCTGGGAGGGACGGGGACACGATGGTGGAAGGACGGAGGAGTACCAGGACGTAAGCATGCGTGCGACACATGTTCGTCCTTCCATTGTTGTGATTTGTCAATTACCTCCGCTTCGCCCACGTTGAGATGATAGGGGAATATATCCCACGCTACGCTGAAGATTCCCCTCGTACAACATGCCAAGAGAGCACCAAACATTATGATAATGTACAGATATGCAGGATACTACCAGGCCCGCCGTCGAGCAGACAATTCCGCTTTGCGTGCCGAGATGATCTTCGTCTCCAGCTCCAGCGCCCGCTTATCCACAGCGAGTGAGTAAGGCTTCAAAAACTCCTTGAGGACGGCCACCTGCTCCCATTGTGCCATTTTACCATCAACACACCCTTGGTCGTGAGTGAAGCGGTAGTAGGCGGACGCCAACACAGAGTTCTCCTGTATGAAGGCTTCCGATATGGCGTCGCATCTAACTGCAAGCTCGAGCATGGCAGTCATACATGTCGAAGGAAGCCTAGGTTGGTGCATGATTCCCCGCGGAGGAGATGGATCTATGGTGTTCGCACGTCCGGCGCCCAGGCTGACGAAGTAGGTGACTTGTCGAGAAGGAAAGAGAGACCGTGCCTCGTCGAGGAGGTCGAAGGATGGATTGCAACGAGCGTCTCCCGCGTTGAGATATGTCGACGGTGTGCCGTTGATATCGGAGAGAGTAGGAGGATCGAAAAAGATGGGGTTACCCATGGTCGCGCGTACAGCTTCGACGAAGGTGCACCGGAACGACGGCTCAGCCGGATGAGCGTAGGTGCGTAGCCTCTGTGGATGAAGTAACCCGGATGTATCTTGCTTTTGGACGCAAACAAATCTGCGGGCCATGTTTGTAAGGGGGAAGACAGTGATCGAGGAGTTGAGCACTCACGTATTGCAGCGCGGTCCACGTTCGGCGAGCATCTGCGTATCACTCCCATTTCCAAAGCGATTGCATATCTCCTTGAGGACCTCTTCGAAAGGCGCGTCCCTGAATTTGGCTGCCTTGGTTCGAAGGAAAACTCGCTCGACAACTCGAGTATAGCATTCAATAGCATCGTCCATGCTGAGGCGCAGACGACCCAAGAGGAGAGCTATCAACCTGTGGTCCCATCAGTCATAGACCTCCAGGAAAGAAGTGACCTTACCCGCCAGTGCCACTGCCCGCAATAAGATCGAAGTATTCGCATGGGAGGCCGGGCTGCTGTGATACATGGTCGACTTCGCGCAAGATATGCCGGAGTAGCAGAAGCATTGTAAGTCCTCTAGCCCCGCCATCGTCTGCATGCTCGAGATCAGCCAGCGGTTGCATCCCCCTAACGGCTAACTCAACCGAACGCGAGCAACCTGAGACCAGGTTGTTTCGGTGTCGCAGCAATAGTATTGGATCCTAGGCCAGGTGAGGTATTTCCCTCGTTATAGGTTCTAGTCGTAAAAGAAGAGCTTGGGCCAAAAGCGCGCTGCTCAAATGTCTACCTTGTCAGAAGGCGGAACTCATGGGGGGATCGTGCCATGCTCACTGTAGCCATCCATGTACAAGCTTAAATGTCAGTCCGAGACATATATGGGTATCCAGACTATCCCGCGCCGTGGAGTGCAATGGCCGGGAGTCGTACGTGGACGCGAATGGTGGTTGAGGACAAGATGTTGGAATCGGAGGCATTGATCGATTCGATGACAGTATGCCCCCGCCCTGCTTCCGTTCGGTCCGATCTCCCCGGGAGCTTTGTATCCCAGATGGGGATATGCTTCGAAGGTTGTTTTCGAGGTTGGCGGAAGAGATCCTCGGGCGGGAGAGCGCGGTGATGTGTCGCTTTCATCGAGTAGGAGCCTCAGGTACATTGAAGGAGTGTCACAAGTTACAAGAGATATGCCTCAGATAGATTAGGTATGTCCGTATGTACACTGCCAGTGACGCGAGATAGCCCGCGTCCGAGAAGGTTCTCCGCGGTACAGATAATTACGGGGTATAGGAAGGACAGTCTATGATCTACAAAAGTGTAATTATATCCAAGATAGATCCGATATAGATGAGTAGGTAGGGTCGGAGTATCCACGAGGATGACCGACGTGCATCAGCCATCAACCAACAGCAGCAGACGATCGAACAGTAGCAGTGAACGTCGAGCACCGCTGCACTGCTCTACTCCTCTTCCACTGCTGGCCGAGGCAGCGCTGGCACACCCCGCAGCATGTATCCGACGCGCCGTCGCCAGTGAACAGCGGACAGGTACGCGGAATGGGGCGCGCAATCGCCTTCTTTCTTCAGACGAGATCGGAGCTTCCAAGTCGAAAGCTTGCTGATAATCTGTCACTGTGGTCAGTACTGACGCTGGCGTACAAGGCAAAAGCTGACGTACCTGATTGGAGCGCTCGACGACTTCGTCCATGGTAGGCCGCTTTGCTGGGTCATCCTGTATCATGGCCGCGACGAGGGGCGCCATGAACTCGACGCCGCGCTTCCTGCTGTTGAATTCGCAACCCTACAAGCACTCGTCAGTCCCGTGCACTCCGTCCTGAATCTCCAGATTCCTCACCTCAAGAAACGTCCGCCGCACCATATTACCCAGATAATAAACATCAGTGGGGAAAGGATCGCACGGACCGCTTATGTTCTGGAACTCCGGCACCGTCTTGTCACCACCAAGGATGGGTTCCTCGAGGGGTCGTTCGAAAGGGAGGTCAAAGCGTCGTGATAGGCCGAAGTCGATGAGGTAGTAGGTGACGGGGCGTTCAGTACGCGTGTGCGCTTTTGCCTTGCCCCTGAAGTCGCGGCGGAGTTCGGGGCGTCGTGGATGGTAGGGGTGGTCGTATAACGGCGTCGCGTCCATCATGATGTTCAAGTCGATACAGTCACTGTATGTCTGCATCAGACGGGGGAAGGGGAACGAATGTCAAACGACGCACCGATGCGCAATCCCGTTGCGGTGCATGAATTGAAGACCCTGTCGGACGATTCAGTGGTGGGTTCGAGCAAAGCAAGACGTACTCACCTCGAAGACCTGCCTGAAAAACTCGACTGCCTCGCCTACGGTGTCAAAACGGGGGTTGTCAAACTGCCTGCAGAACGCCATGACGATGATCACGAAATCCTCATGCCCAGGCGGGTGCAGTACATCATACACCGGCACGCAGTGGTTCGTCGGATCCAATCGCAATGGAGGGGACGACAGCAGGGCGGAGATACTGGCCTCATGGGGGTGCAGGGTCTTCGAGATGCACTTGAGCATGACGACCTTGCCATCCGAGATGCGCGTGGCATCCAGCAGGAAGGGATACTGCGTGAGGGAGGGGGACAAGTCAGAAAGCTTGATACGGTGAAATGAGTGATGGGTGCACGCACCCCGATAGGTTCCCCATCCTCGCAGTCGCTCGCGCGCTTCTTGGTCCCTCGCCAAGAGGGGCGCCAGCCAGGCTGGTACCGCGGTCGCAATGCGTATCCCCTTTGCTTTAACCACGGCTGCAGCTCCACCCAGAAGAGCTCCGCATCGGTCAGCACGCCCCGATTCTTCGGCCTCTCCTTGAAGTAGTCCTCCAGCCGGTCGCGACTGACCGCCTGCTCAGACTTCGTGCGGGGTGCGGGGAGGGGGAACTTCTCCTTTTCCATCTCTTGGGTAGAGTTGAGAGTGGGGTTGAAGCTCTCGCGCCGCTTCTCCTCGAGAGACATGGTGGTGGGAAAAGAGGTGCAGTACAGTCGACATGAACGTAGTGAAGAACGATAACATTCGCCAAGTGCGGAAATCTCGGCGTCATGATCCCGGGCCGGCCTTAAAGGCGGGGACGGCGGGCCGATCTGCTTAGGGGCGTGGGAATAGCGCGTCGCGATCGAGACGCGTGCCGCGGGGTTCGGTTCCATATCGCGCTCGACCCGCAAGTTGTCTCCTTCCTCCATCGTCTACTCCCTGGACAGGGATAAGACAGGTTATGTCCTGCAGTATATGCCTCGGAGACTTCAACGAGGCCGTCTCCGTGCCATGCGGTCAGTATTTCACTTACGACGCGACGGGTGGCCCAAACTCACGCTGTATCGTTGGTTAGGGCACGCATTCTGCCTTGAATGCCTCAATAGTCACATTGAGACATCAATGGAGAATGCTGCGGAGGAGACTACGGTAGTTCTTTGTCCTGATTGTCGCGCCCCTTTCAAGACAGGTGTGTTTAGCACATTGCTGTCATCGGGACTGCGCTAACACCTTGTCGCTCTAGTCATGCCCGAAGTAAGATCTACGCTCCCATTGAATACGGATTCCCTCATACGGATTTTGTCTACAGCACAATCTCATTCCCAAGCATCTGCGCCCCTTTGTTCAACCATCCGTTCGCCGCTTGTACCTCAACGCGGCGGAGGACACCGCGAATCGAATCAAGGCCCTCGAGCGGGACAAGCAGCAACTGCTTGCGTCCTGCGAGCGCCATATGGGCGCTGCTGCACGCCACAGGGAAGGCGAACGCGCACAGAGGACCCGGGCCCAGGAGCTTGAAGAGGAGCTTCAGTCGACCAAGGATCGTTTGATGGGCATCATTGAAACATACGACGAGCGCCTCTTCGATATGCAGAGGAAGATTCGGTCGCTGGAAATGACCGTGCAACAGAAGGAGGACGACCTTGCCAGGATGCGGACGACGGTGTACAGTGTACATGCCGAGTAAGCTCAGACGTCGTCAGAGGATGGTACGGGAACTCATAACATTTCAGAGCTAACGAATCCCGCGGGGAGAGGAAGAAGCGCAAGGTGATCTCTCCAGTCGGCAGCGCCATTTCCGAAGATGAGCGAGACGAGCCGCCCGTCCGTCGCGCGCGGAAGTCCCTACCTCGCCGAGCCGCACCCTCTCACTCAATTCAAGTCCAAGATCGTCTGTCTACAGCTTTGGAAGAGTACTACAAGAAGACCCTCTCAAAAGCGACTCCATTCGTCGTCCCCATTGCTCAGCCACCCAGTGCTAGTCGAACCCCGTGCACGCTCGTCCCACCGAACCGACGCAAAAAGATGAAGCAGCAGGAAGGACTGTCCGGAGGGCGCGCCGACGCTAGCACATCGTCCGCCCCTGGCCGATCGGCTGAGGCTGGACCGTCCACGAGTCGTCGAACGGTCTTCATCGTCTCAGACAGCAGCGACGATGAAGCGCCACCCACCTTCGGCCGTACGTCGACACGTCAGGACCACAACCCGTGGCGCGTTGCACCCCCGCTCAATGCCCAACCAAAGCGCCGACGCGTCGAACGCGTGGACGATTCCGAGTAAGTCTGTTCCCGCTTTCGATGCATCGATATGCGGCGCTAACCTGGTTTTTTATCAGCTCCTTCGACTCGGAAAACGACACGGACGACGACCTCTCCGAGATGTACCCTGGGCGGATTCCTATTCTCGTAGCGTCGCCGAACAGGAGTCAGCGTTTCTAGTTTCTCTTGATTCAGACATCTTTTGCATTGCGAATTATCTTGCCGGGGCAGATGGACCTCTATACGCGTCTCCCTCTCAATATGCTCGTCGTGCGTGCCATCTCTTGAATTTACATGGTGCTTTATCTTCTTGACCGTGCCAACACTTCTTGCCCATCACCATTGTCCGACGTTCCGCCTATGCCATCTTGACGACTGTCTATGACCTCTTCGCTACAGCATATATGTACACCATACACCATCGCAGCTTCAACGGCGTCGACCTAGACTCACCGTGACTTGAACCGTGACAATGGCACATGACTTCACGCGTCCCGACGCCACAAATGCCAGTGATGGTTTAATTGAACAACAAGTTGACCCGTGAACAATAAGTGTGCAGTCTTGGCGGGCTCGTGAGTACTCGCAAACCTCGGAACAGTCAGGTCCTAACGCTTGCATGGAACATGCTTGTCGATGCATAGATTCGGAACAAAAGGGCGGACCAGCGGCCCGGGAACACCGCCTCGCTTGAATGCGGCGTCGCGGCTCGCGATCCGATTTCGTTCTTGTCCATTACGATCGCCTCGCCAGCGTAGGCAATCTCCTCCCTCCCCCCAGAGCTGGTCTGTACCAACACCCGCCTGATAGACATCTACTCTCATGCAGAAGCCCGAATTCTTCGAGTATACCACCCGACTCTGCTCCAGTTGTGGCCACAAATTCACCAGCATCTGCGGTGGCCATGGTCTCGCATGCCTCGCTCGCACGCCAGACGAGCGTACCGACAATCACAGCCGCGGATTGCTCCGGAGCCGACTCGCCGAACTGGAGGCTGGCTTACAGGAATGCAACGACGAACTCGCGCGAATCCACGCGACGATGCGCCATTTGCAACTGCATAAAGCCAGCATCCAACACTCCATAACCGACGCGAGAGCGCTCCTTGCACCCGTCCGCACCATGCCTCCGGAGATCCTGCGCGCAGTCGCCGCGTACACGCTCCCGCCTCGCTGGTTCGACGACTCGATCGGCGCGCATGTATGGCCCTTCACCCAGGTGTGCCACACCTGGCGGGAGATCGCGTTCGGGCTGCGCTGGCCTTGGGCAGACTTTCGGTTGCCGTACGTGTGGGGGAATAGGCGACTAAAAGGAGAGGCCTTGGTCGCCGCAGTGATTGCGTATACTAAGCGCTCTGGCCAGCACCCTCTTCGCGTCTGCGTTTGGCCTGCGAAGCCCGAAACATCCTGGGCCTACATGTATGCATGGCTGTGGGATATAATCTGGGCTAACGCAGAACGCTTGCACGCTCTTGACATCGTCAACTCGGCCGTGAACCAGATTCCCTACCCGTCTCTCCCGGCGCTGACCTGGCTAACCATCCGCGGCGATCCAACCTCTGACTTCCAAGACGAAGTAGCACTCCCCGAAACCAAACTTGTCCCGAACCTTCGCTCGCTGCAACTTTCCTTCGTCGGAACCGCCGCCTCTCATGGATTCGAATGGTCTATGCTGCATGCGCTCGATGTCAATTGCGCAAACCTCGAAGACCTTCACGTACTCTCTATGTGTTCGAACCTCGTCAAACTCCGCATGCGTTCGGGACCTGGTGTCCTTCCATCGAATCCCATCCATTTGCCGTTGCTCAAGCGACTCTGCATTGGTTACGCGGCAGTAGAACTATGTCCCTTTATCAGGGCACCTCGTCTAACGCACTTCATACTCGATGCGACGCGGGAGACGTCGAGAGGGACGATGTTCTACCTCGAAGAGCAGAACTTGCTTGGGCGCTATGCTTTCCTTCTTAAAGGTCTCTTGGCCCCCGTCGAAACACTCGTGCTCCGAAACATGCACAGCTACAGCGCGGACACCCTTTACGGGATACTGTTGCTGCCGTGCAGGCTGCGTGAATTCTACTTCATCTCAGGGGCACTCGAGCCCCGCAGAGGTCCTGGATCCATCGCATCCATCCAATGGAGCTCGCCACCCGACCACATCCATTACGAACTAGCTCAAAAGCTCGTCCTGGACGAATCCTGTCCTGCGCTGGTAGATCTGGAGTTGGTGGTGTTCTACAACCAATGTGGACCGACGAAGGGGAACGATCTGGAAGAAGAGGCGGAGCTGGTGCAAGATATATGGCAGACTCGGGGTCCTTCTCAAGACAGCGGGGCGCTTCGGTCTCACCTTCGGCTCCTAGTACCGATGGTTTCGACAGACGAACTGGTGGGCTCGGAAGACTTATTTGGATACAGTAACAAGGGAAAATGCATGCCCGGGGACTGGGATACTTTGCAGTGGATCTTCGCTTTAGACTAGCATGACAATATATCAGAAGCCATCACAATGGCATACTCGTCACCGTAACCATGCGAAATTAACTTCCTCAGACGAGCCAGCGTCGAACCAAGGGAGTTTGACGTGATTTACGGTGATATGAATATGATTGTGAACTTGAACCGTGACACGATGTCCCGTGATTCGATTTTGTCAGCGTCACGAAGCCTTTCCTAGGCTACCTCCAGCCACATCGCTCTGGTCAGCGGGCTGCGCCTAATACGAATGCGACGGCACCTACAGCACTAAGTCTGACTCGCTACCACGAATCCAAGCTGCTTCAGAACAACATCTCGAAGCGTGATATGAACGATCATAGTGCCCTGCGACTCGGACATATCTCACAACCCTGCCTACTTCTGCAACGCAGCGATGCGCTCTTCGACAGGCGTATGGCTAGTATACACCTTGAGGCGTGTGAATTGGCTCTCTTTTCACTTGAGCGTCACCCCTCTGGGGAAGCACGCAACCGCGATGACGGGGAGATCGCCCTTGACGTGGTACGTGGCCGTCGCCTTTGCGAGTATCTCGCCGCGTACGACCTCTGACGAGCCTCATTAGCGATATTCTCACGAGTGCACGGAGACGCTCCTGCCAACGCTCAACGCCGGCCTGTCCAGTCTACCAGATGCATCGACTTCAGGCACGCAAAGGTCGGAGTCATCGTCTACAACGTCGGGGTCAGCACCAACAGAAAAAAGCGGCTAGGTGCATACCAAGAGGGTTATTATACGACTGGCAAGGTCCGGCGCATCTGAGAATTGGATGGTTGCGTCCGGTAGCCAGCTCGTGTCAGGCTACTTGCGCGTGCCCAGATATTCCATGATGGCGAAGAACTTTGATACAATTCGTGAGCATTGCGCTGCTGCGACTCGGCGCAAACGAACGCACTTTACGGAACCAAGCGAGGCCTTTTGCTTGTAGCTCATTTGATGAGGCTGACATGGTCGTCCGTTGTAGGCGTGGCCGTGCCCAACATTGATGCTCAGACGCTGAACTTCGCCTTTCCGCATCTCAGTCAGCCACTTCTCCTCCAAAACGGACGGATTTCTAGACGGGCACTTGACTTGTCTGCATCGCTCTGACATCGTGCACTTCGACGCCCTGCAGGTGAGTGCCCTACCAAGCCACACAAGCTGTGATGCATCCTCGCTATACTGACTAACCCTGAGAATAGTTACCTACATCTCAGTCACCCGCTCTCGCTGAGCATGTCCGACGACGGAAGCGTTCCTCGAATGTGCGAAAAGTGCGTTCCCAAATCAGACGGGCCTGCAAGATCCCAATTTTCCAACCGTCTAGTGATTATGTTTCTGCGAATATGAACCAGATCCCCGCTCAATTGCTCGCTGCACCTGCGTTCTTCATTGCCACCGCTATCCGCTCCTGCAGGGGTGTCGGATTCAGGTAGACCTCAAACCTCGACATCTTGTCGAACCCTCCATCCACCGTCAGCTCTGTCGGGAAGAAGCACACAGCGAACCCCGGGATGGTGATATCCTTGCGTTCCGGGTCGCCCTTCGCGCGGTACGAGATAGTCGCTCTCAAGTATATCTTGTTGCTGATGACATCTAGCAGACACGAAAAAACGATGAGTGAAGCGAGATACGGCAGAGAATGACGAGGCGCCCACCCAGGCTAACGATCGAGTGCTTCATGTGCTCGAGATGGGGGAACTGCGACTTGAAGAACTGGACGAAGTGGTGAGTGCGGCATTCATGATACAATCGAGATGATTTACCTCTACGATGGCGTCTCGCCCGGCGACCTCTGGCGCATTGGAAAACTGCAGCACGCCGTCGAATGTCCAGAAGGAGTCTACCCATGGCTCCGCGACCATGTTGTCGCTAGTAGCATGAAACTAGGTACGCTTCAGCCCCCTTCATCCTACGTGGCACCACGAAGACCAGACGTACCCTCTTCATCCACTCGGTAGCTTTCTGCTGAAGAGTCTCGTAGTTTGACGACATTGCGATTCGTGTCTGAGGTGGAGAGTGCTGTATTGTACTTCCCCCTTCATCCCCCGAGCTTTATATACCTTGCTCTCGGAATGCAGTGGCTACGACTTTGGCGTGCTCTGCCTTCATCGTGAAAAGAACGCATTTTGGACGTTTAGTCATGCCGACTCGGCGGCGTGCTGACGGAGCTCGGATGTAAGTCCAAAAGGGGGATTCTTTGTCTCCGTTCGGAGATCCGGCATCTGCCGATATCTGGTACCGACCACGCTTTCTCAGCACAACCGCAGAGCTTCCATCCACAACTTTCAAGTGTGATATGAGCCGCAACGGCAGTTTTCTTGGCAGTTCTCAAAAGCCTGCAAAACTATTGAGTCCGCCTCGTTTTGAACATCTGTCACGCGTACGCTGTCACACTTTCGCTCTCTTCCCCAACGACGACTCGTCTTCGAAGGACGTTGACGGACTGCCGGCTACTGGATGTACTTCCCTAACGCACTCGTGGCAAAGCTCTGGATGAGACCGGGTCGCTCTACGCCCTCTCCGGACCTGCTGATGGTGCTCGTACTCTGAACCGGACCGATGAATCAATCAGCAGAAGCGACGATGGTTCTCTCTTGCTTTCCGACATCAGGTCGGATTCTGCTTGATTCGCTATGCCTGTTGCTCTGGTTGTCGGCGCCTCTCGAGGTATAGGCCTCGCACTCGTGCAGGAGCTACTCTCGCGAGAGGACACCACCGTTTTCGCAACTGTGCGCAGCGCACCTCCTCCAGAGCTTGTCGAGTCCGGCGCAAAGATCCTGACGCTTGATCTCACCGACGATGCCTTCATCGCTGGTGCAGCCGCTCAGGTGCCCGCACTGGACATCCTGATCGTCAGCGGGGCCATGGGCGAGGACGACAAGCTGCAGACGACGTCGCCGGAGCGGCTACTGGAGTACCTCGACACAAACGTCGTTGGCGTGCATAGGACTATGCGGGCATTCTTGCCAGCTTTGAGGAAAGGGACTGCGCCTCAGAAGAAGGTCGTCTTCATCTCGTCTGCTTGCGGGTCGCTCGAAATAGAGGTCAATCAGACGCTTGGGTTCAGAGGAGTGAGTCGCATCCCTGCTCGTGTTTAGATCGTGAAGAATACTGACACGCTGAAGCCGTACGCGGTGTCCAAAGCCGCGTTGAACATGCTCACAGTACAATATCACAATGAGCTCGTCAACGAGGGCAAGGAAGGTGTGTTCATACTTCTATCGTGCGCTTGCGCGCAGAAGGTTGACTCTGTCCAGATTTCATCGTGATCCCTCTTGATCCTGGCTGGGTAGACACCTACATGGGTAGACTGTCCGGAGACGGCGGCATGCCTCCAGCTCATTGCGCCAAAGGTATCGCAGATATAGTCTGGGGTCTGAAGCCTGAGGATAGCGCGAAGTTCTTGAGGTGGAACGGGGAGAAGGTGCCTTGGTAAATCCCATGCTTGAACCACCTGTCCATAGTCTGAATAGTCCTCGAACACGACCGATGTACATTCTATCTGCAGTACAGACTGGCAAGTGTAATTATCTTACATCGCTGCGGAACGCCGCTCAATGGTCAGCTGAATGTTGGCGAAGAGGTCCCGTGGTCAATTGTGCTCGATCCGGAAGCGCGGACGCGTCCCTTCGCGACTTGTCCTCAACTACCATCTTCCCTCCTGTGCACGTTCGTCCGAAGCGTCAGACTGCGCGATGAACAATGTCTCCGCACCTCGCATGCCCCCTAGTCGAACGATATCATTGGCGTCGTCGCTGTCAGGCGATGCTGGCCATACTGCACCAGTCCAAGGACCCAGACTCCAGGTGAAGCGCGTAACGCTCACGTCGAAGAAGAACTGGTGGATGGGTGCGATCACCTCTCACGTACCCGCGGAACTATGTTGATACTTGAAAACTAGTGGAGATGGACGATGAGGAGGAACCGCCGCCAAACCAATCGACGCGAACTTTTGCTTCTGACGAGACAGTCGATGTGCTTGCGCCATATCACCATCGCGCGGTCACCCCCACACCACACCGACAAGAGGAATCACCCGAGCGAGCACCGTCTCCCTTCTACCGTCCACCACGCCACCCATCGTCGATTTTCTCATTCCCTACCCCTACCGCATATGCTGCCCCGCCCAACTCCACCGCTGGCCTTGCCACCTTCGCGCATGGATCGGCATCAGAACTCTTCAAGTGCGTTGTTAAGAAGCCCGACATCGTCCAGCTCGAAGTGAACGGCGAGATGCAGTCGAACGCGTCCGACGTGACCGTCCAATTCCTCGCCGAGCTGCGCGTGTACACCACATTGCCCACCCATCCCAACATCTGCGCCTTCCTCGGATGCCTCGAGAACGTCGGCATGGTCCTCGAGTACATCGACGGGCTGACGCTGTATGACGTCGTCGCGGCCCGTCCGCCGCTGAGCGAGGCGCAGAAGATTGACTACCACAACCAGCTCCTCCGCGGCCTGACGCACCTGCACGAGTACGGGCTCAGCCACGGCGACCTCTCGCTGCTCAACGTGCAGGTCACGCGTGCCACGAACACCATCAAGCTCCTCGACTTTGGCCGGTCCGTCTCCTCTGCGTCCACTCTAAGGCCGCCCGACGATGAGCCGGTGGACCCTTTCGTGGCGCTCTCGCAGCGACAATCGCCGCATGCGCCGCTCTCTGCCGCGATGCCCAAGGTCGAGCAGATACACCCGGGTACACGGCCCTTCTCGGCGCCCGAGATCCTGCGCGGGGAGTGCACAGACGCGCTGCTGGCGGACGCGTACAGCTTCGGCATGATCCTCGTCTGCCTCGACCGCTGCGAGAGCGTCGACGTGAAGCCTTGGGACCAGCGGAAGGACTTGTTGCCCAAGAACTTCTTCGAGGGCTGCGCCGTGTTTGAGGAGCGCGCCAGGGAATACCTCAGGAAGTGGAACATGGACCGAAGACGGCTGGTGAAGGAGGACATTATGGACGTCCTCATGGGTTAAAAAAGTACGTCGTGATATCGACCGCATCCTTGTATACCCTTTTGTACTTGTGCCCTGCTGTTTGCTCTGTATTCGTATCCTTGTTCTTACGCTACGCACATTGTACATTATACCGACACGAACCCCACTCAGTCTCTGTACTCCTACCATACCCTCGTCGCGAGCGATGAATCCGCCTTCTGGGACACTCCCTTGCTCTCCTCACTCGCACACTCCTCGAGTATGTTCAGCAAGTGTGGAACATCGCTGACCTCGTTGTACTTCGCCAGAGCCACAGAAGCGCCAGGGCGTTTGTAAAAGGCACCCTCGAACTCCTTCGGGTAGAAGCCCGCGAACTCCCAGTCGATAATGGCGTTGATCTTGAGCGTCTCTGGGTCGACGATGATATTGTGCTGCGACATGTCGTTGTGGCAAAGGACGAGCTCGTACGGCACGTCGGGCCTGAACGCGACCTTCTCGTACTTGGGCAAGACGCAGGCAAGGCGGTAGGGGAGACAAGCGACGCCGCAAAATCCGCCCATGGCGGTTCTCTTGACGCTCTGCAGCGTTCGGATGTGGGCCTCCACCTCCTTCATGACGACCGCCTTCGCGTCGTCCGGCAAGTCTGCCATGCTGACCCCCGGAACTTCGTCCTCGATGAGGTACGTGCGCCCCCCATCGTCGAAGGAGCAAACGACGTTGGGGACGGGGATGTCAGTGTGCGCCCGAACGTATGCAATCGCAGCTGCTTCGTTGCGAACATGGACAGCAACGTCGTAAGTGGGGGGAATAATTCGTCCGCCATCTCGCATGGCCCATTCGACGTCGGAGAGGCTGCGCTTCATGAAGCGCTTGACGCCGTCCTGGCCTACGAGCTTGTAGTACTTCTTTTCGAAAGTGATGTACTCGCAGCCGGGATCTTTGACTCGCTGTTTAGCAGACGATGAGCCTCAAGCGTAACTTCGAGGACAGAAGAGCGCGGCACATACTAGCGGGTTGTGCTCCGGGGGAGTCCTTGGAACGGGCGGTGTGTCGACGAAGGATTGCTCAGCCATTGAAAGGGGGGTAAGGAGAGTTATCAGTGGGGTCTACGACGCGTCTCCTGGGTGGGAAAAGGCAACATCGCCACTGATATATGGTATCGACGTTTAAGCGCTGGGGCGTGACACGGCGTGACTGTTCGTTTCGGGGCTCAGTAAATATGCGCAAATATCCCATTGTTCTAGCCGTGACGCTGCCGTTCAGTCGACTCGATAACTTTGACGATCACAAGATATCCCACTGTGCTGTCACACAACATCTGTTTCTCTGCGCTAGCTATGGCCCTTTTCATTGTAGGCTGAATAACATGGGCATTTCCCAGAGGATTACCAGCAGGTTCACAGTGGGCCCATGAACCGCACACCCCACATGCCCACCTCCTGATCCGTTCTACTCGCTACAACTCTAATTCTCCAGCGCGTCAATGGAGTAATCCATTCTCAGGTCAGACCTGACCGTCGAGACTGCAGAGAAGGTCCTTCCCCGCGACACCTACATCAGCGCCCACTTGGGGTTTCTACTCTCGACAGGCAACAGCTCCACCTCTTCTGCATGCGGCGCGTTTTTAACATTCAGGCTGTGGCGTGTATAGCTATCCACAACTCCGCGTATCTCTGTCATTGACCAGGGTCCTCGTTCAATTGGCTTTCCTCTGTAAGTGATCAGATAGGCGCTGACTGTGCTAATCATCTGATTGTCTCTAGCATCTAAATCGCGCACCCTTGATGGACAACTCTGTCTCCAGAACCTTGATTTGGGTTGCGGCTCCGATGAAGACTCAGACAGTGATCTGCGTGGTAATCGTTAGCTCTTCGAATGAACGTCACGGTCAGCAACTTCACAGGCGGTCTCGAAAGCCATTCACGTTCACTAGTGTCATATCGAGCAGCCTCATAGGTGTCAAGGCATCGAAAGCGCTTTGGCACATTGGTGGGCGGACTGTGAGCTGCGTCTCAATTGACTTGAACCCGATAGGCGCTGCGATGAACGCACCTGGCCGACTTCCATTCGTTCGGCTCCGACGGTGCAAGGAGGTGTTCAAGATCTTCCCGTCCACTACGCTTCCCAATAGATAGTAAAGTCATCGAGCAGTGGCTTTGCATCTCAATGGCGCAGACATGCTCCCTAACGAGGGCTTCATGGGCGCTGGGGCCCATTCGAAGTGTGATGCGTTGCGACCTTCATGGTCCGACCTGGACTTCCGAGTCCGCGACACTGACATTTTATTGTATGGACAGCACCCGCCTGCGTGGCGTGAGTGATGAAGTTGACTCACGACCTCTCTCTCGCTGAAGGATTAGACGCGCACTTGCGCTCGAACACTGCATTTTCGACTGATATAAAGGCCAGTGATTGCGACCGGATCCTGCAGCTTTTCGTCCAGATTCTCCATCTACCCTACCGACGCTCTTCGCTATGTGCTTCAACATCGCCAACCTCGCTCGCCTTCAGGCCGCTCGCGCCTCACGTCGTGGTGAGTGCATCCATGACATGGTCCTGTTCGACGGCTCACGCATCTCTATAGATCATGGCATGCTCCTTTTCCCCGGCATCGGGGGCGCCTTTGCTCCCGCCGTCCCCGATGGCAACTTGGCCACGGCTGAGGTCGGCTATGTCGCTAACGCCTTCGCTGGCACTGGTGCCGACTTCATCGCCGATGGCGGCTTCGTCAACGACGTGTTTCTCGCCGGCAACACGATATTCCCCACTGTCGGAGGTGGGACGCAACGCCCCTCTCCCTCTGACGCGGCGCTCGTGAGGTGCCCCAATTGCGGGGATTGGATCTCCATCACGCAGCCGTACTCCAACTGCCCGAACTGCTCTGGCGAGTCGACGAAGAAGTAAAGTGCGTGCTGTATGTCTAGCAGCGCGCACTCCCACTGACGACGAAGGTGTAGTCTGGAATGCCTGAGTACTTTGTGGCAACGCCCTCGATGACTTCGTTGCCTGGAGTCTAGAAGTTTTCCCTGTCTGCGACCTTGTTTTTGTATGTGTTCGTTGTATCGAGAGGGTTTTCGAACCGTTCTTTCTTGCGGGAGCCTTGCCAAAAAAGGCTTACACTCGAGAATCTCTTCGGATGTGTCGTCTCGTAGTGTATCGCGTTGTTCTGTATGAATAAATTGTGGGCCTAGTGCTATGAGTTTGCCGTGTTGTGAAGCCTTCATTGCGACGCAGAGACCGGTCTTTCTCCAGTCGTGTATCTACCTGTCCGCTGTTGGGCACACCTCTTCGCCTGTCACGGCAGTCACTTCAGCTCGTGCTCTGCCTTGAAAAAAGAAAACGAGCAAGAAGACAAGGAAAAGGTTAAAGCAAAAACTCGGATACACATCGTGATACCACTCGGGCCAATACCTAAACCGCTTGAATACCTACACCGCTCTCATCGCCTTCTCCATATCCGCCTGCATGGAAATACCCCTGCTCTCCTCGCTCGCGCACGTCTCGACAATCTCGAGCAACTTCGGCACGTCACTGACCTCGTCGTACTCCTTCAAAGCCATACAAGGTCCACTTCGCCTGTAAAAAGCGCCCTCAAACTCCTTCGGGTAAAAGCCCGCGAACTCCCAATCGAGGATGGCGGTGATCTTGAGCGTCTCCGGGTCGACTAGAATGTTGTGCTGCGCCAAGTCGTTGTGGCAGAAGACAAGGTCGTAGGGCACGTCAGGCTTGAACGTGACTTTCCCGAAATTTCGGGGCAAGACTGCCCAGAGACGATATGGGAGGCAAGCGGAGCCGCAAAACCCGCCCATGGTGGTACTGTGAAGGCTTTGGAGCGTCCTGACATGACCCTCCAGCTCCTGCATGACGATGACTTTCGCATCATCCGGAAGATCCTTCATAGCAACGCCCGGGACCTCGTCCTCAATGAGATAGGTACGCCCACCGTCGTCGAAGGAACAGACGACGTTGGGAACAGGGATATCGGTGTGGGCCCGGACGAATGCGATTGCGGCAGCCTCATTGCGAAGGTGAGAAGCGATGTCGTAGGCGGGAGGGATGGGCAAGCCGGTGAAGGAGCTGATAACCCACTCCGCTTCGGTCAAGCCGCGCTTCATGAAGCGCTTTTTGCCGTCTTGACCGACGAGACGGTAGTATTTCTTGTCAAAAGTAATGTAGGTGCACCCAGGATCCATGACGCGCTATATGATTTAGAGTGAGCGGTCAGGATAAGCGTGGTGTATAGCACATACCAATGGATTGCGGTCTGGCGGGTGTTTTTGCAGGGGGTAGGACGTCGCAGAAAGAGGCAGAGTCTCCACAGCAGTAGCTGGTGAAGCCTTCGTAGAGATAACCTGACTCGCATCGCCCCTGCACTCCTCGAGGATTTTCAGCAAATCGGGAACGTCGCTGATCTCGTTGTACTTGCTCAACGCGTCCGAGGGACCCGGCCGCTTATGGAACCAGCCCTCGAACTCCACGGGATAAAACCCCGCAAACTCCCAGTCAAGGATGGCGTTGATCTTCAGCGTCTCCGGATCCACGATAACATTGTGCTGCGACAAGTCGTTGTGGCAAAGAACCAGCTCGTATGGGACGTCTGACTTGAAGACGATCTTCTCCGAGCCCTCGGGAAGCGCCTTCGCGAGACGGTAAGGCAGGCAGGGTACGCCGCAAAAACCGCCCATTGTCGTAGCCCTGATGCTATGAATCGTGCGCATATGCGCCTCGACCTCCGCGATGACGGTGGGCTTCACCTCCTCAGGCAGATCGACCATTTGCACCCCGGGCACCTCGTCCTCGATGATATACGTCCTGCCGCCATCGTCGAACGAGCACACGACGTTCGGAACGGGAACATTGGTGCTGGCGCGCACGAACGCGATGGCGGCTACCTCGTTGCGGATATGGGCAGCGACGTCGCAACTGGGGTGCACGATGCTCTTGTCGGAGACCCTAACCACCCACTCGGCCTCAGTGAGGCTGCGTTTGAGGAAGCGCTTGACGCCGTCCTGACCAACGAGGTCGAAGTATTTCTTGTCCGCGGTGATACCAATGCAGCCCGGTTCTCTCGTTCGCTGTGTTCAGGTCAATCACAGGCCAAAGAATAAATGTACCACATACCATAGGGTTCAACTCAATCGGACGAGGTGGGAGGAGCGGCGCGCTCGACGGCGGATTTGGGGATGGCTCAGTCATATTGTCAAGAAGGGGGGAAGACAGGAGGATCGATTTCGGCTGTCAGTGTTTTTGGGGGTGACCTGCAGCCGATGAATGTGGCGTAAATGGAGGCGTGGCCAGTTTCGCGGAGATCCAAGTCCCAGTAGAAGACCAAGGGCGATCAAACCCCGCTTGCGTTGAGCGCCGAGTGACCGTGACAATGGTCTGTCACAAGCGGAGCATATCCAGATACTGAGATAGGCAGGCAAACATTCAGTCGACCAACATGGGCAGAAGCTGAGCGTCGATGAACAACACATAGGCGTCGAGGGGGCGGGAAGAGATATGCCTCGGTGCGATGTGGGCGACGACGGGCGCAGGGAATCAGCGAGCTTCGAGCCTGGTAGTTCGAGCTCGCCGCGAGCGCACAGGCGCTCTCATGCGGACTGTCAATGCGGGAATCAGTCAGGAACAAGTCCACCGGTTCCGTCAGGGTCACTTACGGTGAGAGTCATCGACCTTATAGACAGGAAGCGCCCGCCACCGATTGCGACATACCGCAGGTCAGGAAGATTCACATTGACTGAATGAAGACACGCGTCGGTCGGCAGCGTGCGTCCTGTCAAACTTAGGCAGTCACTGTCTGCTAATAGAAGCTGCTCGTGTCGGTGCGAAATCCAAGGGATGATATGACATGAGCGTCAAGAGGAGGTCCGCTTTATGGCCGGGACATGACGGACGGTGGCTGAAGCCGACGATACTGGTAGAGTAGACGACCAAGCTGGTATATTCATAATTGAATATCTGAAGATACGGAGTCGTTAGTGGTTTCTACGGGCCGGAAACTTGAAGATGCGAAACCGTACGGTGACTTATGAGCGCCCGATGCTAGTAGCAGCCACAGCAAGCGCACTTCTAGTACTAGTCTGTAGGTTGTCTGGCGCAACACAACGGCGGAGTCCACCATGTGGAGCGCTTCTCGTATCCCAGCTCACGCACGCCGTCAAAGTGCGAGGACCAGCCAGCGTTGAGGTGTCTCAGATGATGCTGCGGCCTTCCTTGACGAACGCTGAGTACCGCGTCCTTCGCCGACGACTACTGAGGCGTATCGTGACCCGATCGTGCCCTTCCTTGACGAACAGCCGTGTTAGCGCGGCCTTGGCGAGCCGCTTGATCGAGGGGCTTTAGTACCCATAGCCACTTCATCGAGGAGTACCGAGGATACCCAATGATGATCGCCGAGATGAGATCTCTAGCGCAGTGTTCATGAACAAGGTGGACCAACAACCGGAGTGCTAGGGCAGCCTTGGCGATCGTGATCCTCAAAAGCGCCTTTGGATGCCTTGTCAAGCCCGCACGTTCGCCGTTGAGGGCTGACCTTGGCGTCGTCAGCGCCGCCATTCGACGCCGTTCTTCGACCGTGGTGCAGACGGAGCGTGTACGGCGACGAAGCTCCGCAGGACATTGAGGGCATAGAAGGTGGCCACCCAAGTGTGGTAAATGGGTTCGTGCGCGTCGAAGCTGCGAGAACTGGCCACAAGAGCGCGGAGATTGGGTCCCGAGGAGCGGAGGAGGCTTCGACGGCGCACTACGCCGTCCATCGACCGTCATCGACACCGGTCACGAGGCCGCCGCCGCCCATTCGCGGGCTTCTTCGCCCTCTCAGAGAGCGCCGAACGACGTCCGCGAGGGCATGGCATTGTGGGTGCTGTTGACGGAGATGGCGCTGTATTCCTGTATCCTTCCGCTACTCCTTCGATTCTGCTCATCGTCTCCCCGTATCTGCCCCGCATGCGTCAAAGAGCAAGATAGGCCCGCATTTCAACCTCGGATTGCGTAGAATGCACGTACATTGAGTAGATTTTGGGGCGCACATTGAGTAGCTCTCCCGCGATAGCCCTCGAGCGCGCGCGCGCGATAGACTTCGGAATGACGATTGCGATAGAAAAGAGGGCCCGCATAAATACCTCTCGTTGTCTGCAATATTCAGAGCGCCCCAATCAGGAGGGAGAGAAGCGCGGCACAGCGCCAGACCTTGTCCCAGAGCTCTTGGCATCTTCCCAGAATATAGCCTATGGGGCCTCGAAAAATGATGCCCGACGCCTCTGGATTGGGAACATGACGGGACGTCCCGACGAGTTAGTTTGCGCCGGTTAGGTGGCCAGATCGGACATGAAGTGTACCATGAGCGGCTCGAAGATGATGTTGAGTCGACCCGTAGATGAACGCATCCGCAATTAGGCGACGCGCGTGCACATCGAGGACGACAGAGGAAGACTGGAAGCTCTTCGAGCCCATGCGCAAGTGTCAGCGCCCGTGAGGCTGGAGGACAGGTCGCGTAAGATGTGGCTGAACAGGCAGATTACAATGCGCACCGGTCGCATCAGGCGTAGATTGTGGCTGAGTTCCTGCTGACCAGTGACGAAGGGCTGAGCGCTCAGCGCTTCCGCCGGTGAGATCTCCTCTGCGAACGTCATCGTCTCCCCTCAAGCCAGCGTCTGGTAGATAGAAATGTTCGCGCAAGCATTGCACCCCAAGAACGTATAGCGGACGCAAACCGTCAGAAATGGGTATGCGTGCACAGAGATAGGCGAGATAGACAATATGGAAGGCCAAAGAATCGAAGTTGATGCCAGGAAGCAAGCCAGGGACGGTGGCTTGAAGGCGTACACATCCCTGCCTCCGAGAAGACGTGCAATCAAGGAAGGCGTACGCATCGCCAGCCAATCGTTTGTTGTCGATTAGGCAGCGAATCTTCGGGTGGATGCGATGGAAGCAGAGAGAAAATGTTTATGCGAGATGGAGGTCCAAACAATATGGAAAGATGATTCTTTCTCTAACAATTCCTCGCCTGCCAGTGCGAACAAACTAAGACAACATACGCTCTTGACGGACTCCTCCAAGCTCGGAGGTGGAAGCAAATTTGCCCGAATCCGGTGGACGGAAGCAAAGTACAAGGACTGCACGATCGGGGACCAGGCCCTGGAATTTTGCCAGTCCATACCAACAAATTGGAGGTCGCGCTTTCGTTCTGCAAGTCGTCAAAAGAAGATCCCGATTTCGGAGACAATGGTCGGGCGCCTGAACATGGGGAGGTGGAGCGTGACGTGTGAAGAATAATCGAGGGCGTGCACACCGCGGTTATTCCGAGCGTCGCACAGCACCTTTCCGCGCGGCGCACAGACAGTCGCCATGGGAAGGGAGGTTTTGGAGCAGGACTGCAGCCGGTAGCCATGAGAGGGTCTGAGATGAGCTGAGATGCCGATATGCGAGGATGGCGGACGTGACGTCCAGGGCCGAAGATAACACGTGGAGTGCACGTGCAGCAGTTCGAATTTCCGTGGAAGCAAATTTCCGGGTTGGACCAAGCCATTGTTCTAGCCGTTCGCATTGTCCTAGCCATCCCTGCGTTCCAAGGAGGGTTTGGGTGGTCGGAGGATCGTCCTGGGGCCGTTTCAAACGACGCGATTTCTAGTGGCAGATAGATCGCAAGGCGCACGTACAGTGGTGGGGATGGGATCGGGCTTGGTCTGTGGCAGCAATGAGGTCGACGTGGGTCATGCATGATGAACGTTACACATCGCTACCCTCGCGGAGAAAGCGAGTGCAGTGCGGCCGGGAGTATGGCATGGCCGGTGCCCTCCGTCCGATGCGCGAGCAGGCTCTGGACGAGGAACAGAGAGGGGGCGGGCCTGAGTACCGTATAAGAGAAGAGAGGACAAGGCACTGTCTATCCCGAACAAAGGCCTGCTATTCTGCGAGTACAATGGGTGGGAGTAAGGCGCAGATATTCGTGCGGGCTCGAGCGTCCGGGGACCGGTGATGCGGCCGTCGATAACGTGTGAAATGGATGAGAAAGGGTCACGATCTCCGAGTGATGTAAAAAGCGCGAAAAGGCACGTTCCTTTCTTCTTGTGCTTTCATCCTCCGGACGCTAAATTATCGCCGCCTGGACCGTCCAGTCCTCACGCTCTTTACCGACCCTCACCCTCTCCCCCTCGTCGCCACCATCGCCGCCACAATGCGTCTCTCCTCGCGCTCGCCGCTCAAGTCCCTCGAGACCATCCTCCCGGGCCCCGTCCAGCTCGCGCCCTCGCCCCCGCCCACCCCCAAGCTCACGTCGACCCTCGTCTCCCGCAGGGTGCGCTATCGGGGCGTCTACCTCCTGCTCCTCATCATCTCCCTCTCCGCCTACTTCTGCCTCATCCACCCCACCTTCTCCTCCCGCCTCGCTGTGCGCGGCTCGCGGCCCCTGCCCCCCGACCCCCTCGCTGCCGCGCTCGACTCCATCCGCGCGCAGATGGTCCACGGCCAGCGGCGACCGCACCTCGGCGGCTCCCCGCTCGTCCTCGACGCGCCGCAGGAGCTCGCGGCCGTGTCCAGCTTCCTCGCGAGCCTCAGGAGCAACAGCATCCCGCACTTTGTCGACCCGAGCCAGCCGATCGACCCCGAGCTCGTGCTCGAGTTCGACACGCGGAGCCCGCGCGCGCAGGAGGAGGTCCGCGTCATGGTGAAGGACGTCTGGGCGCAGAACCCCGTCTTCCTCTACTCCAAGGTGCGTTCGTCGCCCCGATAGCGCCCCGCGTATCTATGCGCCCCTTTCCTGTCCATCCATGGGGGCCTGTCTGCCCATCGACACGCCACGCCGATCTTCGGACTTGTCTTCCCGTGGAAAACCGCCCCGTCCTGCCCCATCACGTCAACGCGTTTCAATGACGATGCTAACTCCGGCGCCTACAGCGCGCGTCCGCGGCCTCGCGCGAAGTCAAGGCCTGGCTCAGCGAGCTCAACCTGGCGCCGACGCCCACGATCATCGACATGGACACCCGGTCAGACGCGGACGTCCTCGCCCCGCTCCTCATGCGCCTCACAGGTGCAGACTCGCTCCCCATCATGCTCGTCGGCGGCGAGCCCGTCGTACGCGACATGGACGAGTTCCGCGCCCTCCGGGACAGCGGTGAGCTTAAGACGCGGATAAGCGAGGCTGGCGCCGTCGTTGGCGGTGCTCAGCGCCGCAAGAAGCACTAGAGGACCCACCCGTCCCTGGTGCGTACGCAATATTCCGCGCGGAACCTCTTGACTCACAGATCCTCGCAGGCCGTTACGACCTCACGCCGCGGTCATGCTTTCGCCCTCTGCCACGGGCTTTCCGCCCTCGTCATGGCTTTTCTCTGCCACGTTCGCGACGCTGCCGCGCAGCCGTGCACTCATGTACTCACAAATAGTTCATATATCCTCGCTATCGGTTTCCCTCACAGTCGCTCTCTGGCGGTACTTATCTGGTTGGTTGATTGGTCTTGTCGTTCGGTCGTTCTTGGTGACATTTAGGTATAATTATCAACTGGTGGGCACGTCGCTGGCTGGCTTGGGATGCAGATGGGGAGACGGACACTGTGTCGACGATTCAGGCCATTCGTGGTCGACGAACCGTAGTAGCTTACTGCCCGCAGAAACCGCATATGTACAAAGGCTACATAGCCGCACACTCGCTGCAACTCGCACGGACGCTGCTGTGTCGTACCGTATATATACCGACTTCTGCTAAGTACTTACTCGTACTCTGCTATCCACTCGTACTACTCATGCCAAGGACAACGCACATCCTGTTACAGTTGCGATTTCGCTCACAATTTTCCGGGTCTCATTCATCTATCCATAGTATACTGTAGAGTAATGCTCAGACCCATTGTCTAATAGACATGTTTGCAAGCGCCTTCTGTGGGTGGTGTAGTCCAATGGCAGGGCCGTCCATGGGCGCTATGATTCTCAATTACGGGTATGGTGGTTCCCACCTACGCGTCTGAGGTTAACATTTAGCACGGAAGCACGGCGAGCGGGGCGAAGGTAGGCTCGCGCACGGAGCGAAGCTAGCGGAAACCGCACGAATGGTAGCGGAAACTGCACGAACGATTCCAGAAGTCGCGGAGGTTAGCCTCGAGACGAGTTGACAGCCTTCTTGGACTTAACAACGGCCTTTCGGGGCCTGCCGACGGTCTTCTTGGACCTTCAGACGGCCTTCTTGAGCCTGCAGAACCGACCTTCGTGGTCCTACAGAAGCTCGGCTCGGAGGGCGTGTTCGACGCGAAAATGAGCGTGAGACGTCAGGCGACGTCGAGATGGTCTCGAGACGTTGCGGACCGTAATGCATAATGAGGGGTTGCCGCCCAATGAGGTGTCGCCGTTCGCAACGAGGCGTACCCACCCAAAATTGAAGAAGTCGCGAAGGACGGCCGCATGTTGCAGAGTAGGCGGCAGGTGTTGCAAAGTAGGCGGGCAAGCACTGCAGCCGTGTTGCAGAACCAGCGGCAGGAGTTGCAGGTAGGCGGCAGTCGCGGGTGATTTGCGACTCCGGTTGATTCGCATCCTACTAAAGAGGAGATCACCGCCTCCATAGAACGTCTGACGACTGTCCCAGGTCTATAAAAGTGATCATCAGCACGGAGATTACGCAGAAGGGAGCTGCACTCGCCGAATCACCGTTCATGAGGTTGGGGACGGCCGAGTCGTCCGACGAAGGAGGCTCACCAGAGATCAAGAGGCGAATCGCGAAGGGGAAGGGATCTGTCCATCCATCTTGATATTCACACACCCTATAATGATACGGATATCCTTCTCTATCTTACCTACCGATGTACAACGACGTTCAACCGACGTAGATGTCGTAGAACTCCTTGATGAGCTCGTCCTGCGGCGGACCACCCTCCCCTCGCTCTTCAGCGAAGACCTCGGTCGACATACTAGCAATACAAAGGCCAATCAGCGAGCTATCTCTTATGAGATGGGTGAGGTACGCACTAGCCAGTGATCTGCCACTTCCCGGATGGCTTCAACCCGAAGGTAACACCCGTCTGGATACCCGCACGCTTGCCGAGCGGGCGATGAGAGCTAGGTCCTTCATCAGCGGATCTATCTCGTATACCCCTTCCAAGCAGTACTCACAAGGCACGCTGCATACTCTCCGAGTACCACCCAGGCTGTGCGTTCGGCTTCCCTACGGCGGCAAAGAACGCCTCAACGGCCTGCGTCGTCTGCAGGTCATTCTCGCCGTAGTTCGACATGTCGAAGTAGACCTTGGGACAGGGGAGCGGGTGCCCAGGGATGAGCTCGTAGTAGTAGGAGAGGCCGCCGACGCCGCCGTCGAGCGGCTGGAGGAGGTCGTCGTCGGAGTTGTTGGGAAAGAGGCACTTGTAGAAGAGCCGGAGCTTGTCCATGGCCTCATCAATGACGGGCCCGTTGAGCTTGCCATCGAGCGTCATATCCCGCAAGACGTCCTTGAAGGTGTGTTGAGCAAGTGGGAAGTAGTAGATCTTGCTTTCAGGTCAGCGATTGAGTGTGTGTGTAAATCTGAATCAGACCTATACCTTTAGCCTGTTCTTGTTATCGGGAACGAGATCGCACGCAACGACGAGGAACTTGAGCTTGGACGGCTCGCCGGGGCCATTGACATAGTCGCGCATCACGTCGAAGGGCGCCTCCAGGGCGGGGTTGAGTTCCTTGAGCAGTGGCCGCAGGGGCTCGAGGTCACCCTGGTGGTTGGTCATGGTGACCTGGATGCCATTGGCGTCTTCGTAGCTTGCATGCGCGCCCCGTGGACGAGGCGGGAGGTAGTACTGCTTCAAGCCAATCAGGCCATCCGGCTCCAGATCAAGGGCTACGAGCGCTCAGGCGTCAGTCGATGCTTCGGAATGATATATAAGTTTCACACTTACCAACCGCGTAATGGCACCCAGGTACGGGCGTCGTCGAACTCGGCAGGTTAGGGAAAAGCCACTTCTCCATCTTATCCTTCCACTCCTTCGTACCCTCGTGATCGATCAGCCCCATCCCGCCTTCGCCCCAGAGCCAGTCGATAATACCCCCGCCAGCAAGACGCAGGCCGGTCTCAGGGTGAAAGGGATCGATCGCGAAGCGTACACGCCGATTTTCAGCCTCATTTGGGTCGGTGTTCGCTGGGATTTGCCAGGATAGCTCGGTGTTGGATCCGTCACGGACCCACATCGTGCGGGTCTCCTTTGCGTGCCCGAGTTTAGGCACGCCGTTGAGGCCGCCGAGACGCGCCCACCAGAACTGCGACAGAGGTCAGGCTGATTTAAGTTGAGGATCCGAGCCTCACGCACGATTAAGTGGCTGGTTTGCACTCTGACGGGGTACTTTGCGCTCTCCAGCATCGACGCGAGTGAGCGTGCTGGCCTCTTCCATTGCCAGGCCGACTGTTCAGAAAGTACAGGGAGGATCTACTCCGCATCAACATCAGCTTCAGGACGAAAGGAGGAAGCCTGCGCACGCACTGCAGTCAGGGTATCGTACACTTCAAAGCCGGGCTCGCTCTTGAGATCGGCCGGGACCTCCTTCAGCTCGTACGAATCACCAAGTAGGCGCGACGCAACGAGCTTCACGACCTCCTGCAATGGCTTACCCGCACACTCTTCAGGCGAGGGCAGAGGCTTCGCTTTCTGGATCTGAGCTGCGCAGGTGATCAGCAGTAACCCATCGAAGAGTGCAAAGGAACACACCAAAGTAACGCCCATCGTTCCACGGCGCCAGCGCGTCTATCGTAGCAGTACTCATCGTGAAGGGCGAGTATGGGAGTAGAGGGCAAGCTGTACGCGTCTGGGCTGCTATTGAGTGCACCGCTGTCGGGTTTACCCCGCTGGTATCTGAGCGAGATCAGCGTTACAGGGTAGGTGGGCCGTCGACCATGTGGAGAGGGTGCAGAGATTTCAACATCGTGCCTAACGCAAATCATGAAGACGGAGCTGGAGGTCGTTCCGAGGACCATCTTCCGCGATTGGCGGCGCGAGGGCGCTGATGCGAGGGGTGAGGATATTCACTAGGCGGTAATCAGAGAGACTGCGGTAGCTGAGACCCACTCTGTTACGATACTGCGACGCGGTGGTCGTGTGCGAGATGGTCTGCTCAGCAGCAGCTCATGAGTCAAGGGTTATCGCAGAGTCGGTGTGCCAGGGGAAAGCATCGCAAGAGCCATCTGATATAGCACAAGATGTCGTCGTTATCCGGCGAGTTGTAACGTCTTCGGCCTCACAAGGCTACATGAAACATACAGAGAATCGGCGCATTGCGATGTTCGGTTGAGACCCATGAGGATGTGAAAGGTATTTGCCTAGCGAAGTACAAATTGGTACGTGGGAGGAGGAAGAGGTGCGTGCGAACAAGGACTACCGAAAACGGAAAGATGAGTCACCCGCTTCTGACGATGTGCATTTCTAGAACTCCGTTGTGAAAGGACCAAATACGGAGTGGATCCATGGGTATACTTTACGACATGAACAAGATATTACTGAGTGTGTAGGATAAGAAACCACCCCTTGTACTAACTTCATCCTCGGGTACAAACAAGTCAAGGTTGGGTATCGTCTTCAAACTGGCCAACAAGATAGATACGTTCTTCCGCATGACGATCTCCCTCCAGCTCGGTTGCCCCTCTCCAACGTCGCGGACCATAATGCAGAGGTCTATTTTACGCTTCGGCGGTGTTGCCCAGCGTCTCGACGCCATAGACAGATGCCTCGCGTACAGGTCCTCTGATGCTGGTTGGTAGGGGAACTCGAGTTCGAGTCGATGGAGATTGGGGCAGAGTAAAGGCTGGCCGTCGTTCGTCGTCTCGGCGAGGGCATCGAGGAGGCCGTCGTCGTACCTGCATGACAGATAGAGCTTCTCCAAACCGGACAAGCTGCGCAGAACTACGCTGCAGGACAGCATGGTACGATCTGAGCCTGCGACTACTGGATGCTCCTTGTCGCCAGGAAATCCGAAGCCTTCTAAGCGAAGCATCCGCAAGCGGCGCAAGTCCGAGCTGTGGACGAACTGCAGCAATGACTTGTCGAACTTTGGCAAGTACGAGTCGTTGTTTTGCTGCAGCTCGTGAACATCAATCTTGAGCGTGAGTTCCTCGAGGTGCAAGCAGCGCAGACGCCCCAGCAGGTCCTCCAAAAGAGTCGCCTGCCACAATATAGACAGTGTGCGCATCTCGGAGAGCACAATCACCTCCGTCGAGCTGCTCCATTCTGGTGCAGTCGGGAATCCGCCATGCACAGCGTCGACTGTGTCGTCTATCGCAAGGACGCACTCGCGCAGCGCCCCACACGCCCGAAGCGCCTTGACAGCGCTCCTCGTCGTGCAGAACACCCCATACATTCGCAAGCTCGTGAGCGTCGCCCACGGCACGCCCACACCGCCCATGTTCTCCACATAAGGGAAGAACGAGCCCGGGCCCGTTCCCTGCAGCACGAGCGTCTCGAGCTGCGGCGCATCCAGCAGCAGCGGGCCCTGCTCCGCCCCGCGCCCACGCCAGTACTCCTCGATCTGGTACCCGAGCACGTGCTTGTTCTGCTCGACGGCGAGGCGCAGGTAGCGCAACGCGGGCGTGCGCACACGCGGGAACACGGGCCGCAGGCGGTCGAAGACGCGGATGTGCAGCTCCTCGACGCGCTCGGCGTGCCCAGAGGTTGCGGCCTCGAGATACTGCGCGAAGGACGCGGCGTACGGCGGGTCGCGCGGGTCGTCGTAGTGGGAGTCGGCGATGGTGGCCGTGAGGCGGAGGGGTGCTGATCCAGAGCGGGCGAGGTAGGTGGCGAGGCGCTCGCAGGGGAGCGGTTCGGTGTGGTCGAGGAGGATGTTAGACCACAATGTCCGCGCCTGAAGCGCTGCTCGGCGCCACCGACAGCACACGTGCGAGAGGTCGACGACGGGCGACGGGCGCTCCTGGAACCGCTGCCAGCTCAGCAGCGTGTCATATTTATAGTCGTAACGTGCAGCATCCTGGCAGACCAACTCGAAGATGTACACCAGCAAGTCGTCAGGTAACGAGTGCACTGGTTCGAGGGCGGCTTTGGCGAGATAGACCTTGCGTGAAGCATTGATAAGCCGCGTCTGCAGATTCGCAAGCTCCTTCCATGACTCGGAGATGAGGTCTGGAAGCGAGACCGAGTCGGTAGCGAGGACCTCCGCGCGTACGCGCTGCAAGCCTTTCTCGTCTATCCCTCTTGACGCCTGGAAGGTCTGTTCAATGTCGATTGACAACATGATAGCAAGCTAAACCTAAATTGTCAGCAAACATCCCTCCCGAATATCGTTTGAAACCATCACGCATACCTTGAAAGTTATCAGAGGTAAATACCGTCGTGATGGCAGGCAGACGACCGGACAAAGACAGTGTGGCTCATGACATGCAAAGGAGCGATAGGTAGTCTTTCACGTTCCCTCTCTCTCTCCGCACGCAAATTAACACGACTAAGCAGACCAGTATCCCGTGCGCGAATAAGTAACGTGGGCGTTTAGGTTGAACTTGCAAGCTGGCGACGGCGTGACCGTACACGTCAGGAATCAGTCACGTGTATGTCACGGATGTGGACCCACAGCTACCGCTCGAATCGTTGTTTTGCTCGTGAGCACAGCAGGCTTTGCATCAAATCAATTTCGAGTTTCTTTGGTTGAGGTAACGACATCATAAGGATCCCGCAAGGCTTTCTAATAAAGCGACTGCAGGGAAAGGTGGGTATCCAGAAGGGATAGTCTACATCAGACGCGTAAAGCCTGTATGAATGTGAATAATAAGGAGTGTACCATACGGAACCAGCTTAGCGATACAGAGTGCAAGGTCCTTGCAAAAGGAGAAGAAGAAATACGGTCCACGAGACAGGGAAAAGCGATTCGATAAGGAAACGATTCGATAGACAGAATGAACGAGACAAAGAGTGACAACTGCCGATAACGGAGAGCTACTTACTAGTTCAAGGAAAAAACTAAACAATCGAAAGCATAAGAAAGCGAAGAACAGGGACCCAGCCCAGGCGACTCACATATTGCTTCCAGCAACAGCGCCTACTTCGACGCGTCAACCTTCTGCGCGTCGACCTTCTGCGCATCGCCCTTCGGCGCGTCAGCCGCTCCCGCCTCCGCGCCCTCTTCCACGACAGGGTCCGTGTAGAGCCACACGACGCCCTCCCCGTCCTGGAAGTCCACCCCGTCCTTCTCGAACTTCTCCGTCCACCAGATGAAGATATCCTTGATGAGCGAGTCCACGTCCGCCTCCACCAGGAACCCGACCGTCCGCACGACCTCCAGCCGCGGGTACAGCGCGCGCGTCAGGCCCTGCAGGTGCGTCTTCACGCGATGCGCCTTGCTTGGGTAGAGCGAGTCCGCGCGGACGCCGCGGATGCCGACGCGCCGTAAGGCGGAGTGCCCGTACGCCTCGAGCTCAGGAGCACCGGCGGCGAAGACGAGGGTATCGAGCAATGGGCAGCGGTCTGGTTTGAGGAAGAGGTCCGGTTTGACGTAGACGGTGGGCGCGCGCCGCCCGATGATAGGTGCGGGCTCGGGCTCGGCGTCGCGAGAGGGTGTGGGGAGGTCGACGACGGTGATGCTGGCACCGTGCGCTTGGAGGAAGCGATCGATGACGGCATCGTCGATTTGGGTCGCATTGGGGGCGGTGTAGAGTGTGAGACGGCTGAGGGCGGGAAGCGTGATCTTCTGCGCGGCCGCCAGGCTTCGCGCTTCGGTGGATAGGACGAGGGAGGTGACGCAGGGGAGGGTGGGCTTGATAGTCGCCTGTTGTGCAGGGAGCAACCGATCAGGATCCTGCCCGCGGAAATGGCGCAGGTCGAGGACACGGAGGTTCTGGAAGGAGCCTAGGAATGCAGGTGACGATGGCCAATGGTCCAACTGCTCGGCAAACGCAAGCCACATCGGCAGCGACTCCTTCCAGTAGATGCCCTCCAGCGTGCTCCCATATACACGCGCGATGCAGTCGAGGAACGGTTTGGGTGGCGAGTGCATCCAGTGGGCGCTTAGCATCCTGACGTTGGGGCAGCAAAGGAAGATGCGGGCGAGGTCCTGCAGGAAGGACATGGATGACGATCCGCGCGCGTGAGTGTATATCTCGATGTGCCGCGTCCACTGCCCGTAGTAGGACGTTGAGCTGGGCTTGATCGGGCGCATGTCGACCTGCGCTGGATGGGCTTCCAAGGCGCGCAGGATCTGACGTGCCCTCGCCGGGCTGCGGACGACGATGTGACGATACAGAAGGCGGAGGGAGAGCTGGTGCCATTCCTTGCAGACGAGAGGTAGGGTGCATCGCATCCGCAAGGAGGACGTAGACGAGTTCTCGCCCATGATGTTGTGCGTGATGTTCTTCAGCGTGAAGGGATCCATAGGCTCTATGGTCGCTTCATGGTGCACGTAGGTAGCGAACTGAAAGATCTCAAGCCATATCTCTGGCGGCAACACCGGCGTTCGTCTGTAAAAGCGGCTGGGATGGAGGCATACTATCGAGCTACGGGTGCCTCAGCTCACGGAGAACGAGCCAGAGCGGCGAGACAGAAAGCATTACCACTGAAATGGGTTGAAGATCCGTTCTGTCGTTCGCGCTATGGCTCGCATCGGTGCTGACTTTGGTGATGGTGAGCGTCCGAGACAAGGAACGCGTACCGCGGCGCGATTGTCCTCATTTATTGGCGCCGGGCCCCTAAGCGGCATCGGCGCCGGCGCCGGACCCTCGTGAGTCAACGGTCGGGCCGTACGCCTTTGCCACTTCTGGAAGTACGGAAATCTGCAGGCGCGTCACCTCGGCAAGCACCGACAAACAAGCCTCCTCCGTCCTTCCATTGTTAACTCGTTATGCGCTGGAGTGCCGTCGCCGTCGTTCTCGCCGGCCTGAACGTCGCGAGCGCTCTCGATGTATATCTATATCCGGCGCCGCTGGTGAAGCGCTCATCGCTGTCGCCGGACGATGCCAGCGCAGTCCTGTCTCGGCACTTTAACCTGGAGTCTTTCGAGCCCGTGCGCGACGAGGTCCTGCGGACCCAGGACTTTATTGGAGAGGGAGAGCAGAATGCTTTGCTGCTGACTATGGAAGAGGAGGATGCTGCTGGTGCGTGTTAAATGCTGTGCATCGCTGACTATCCTAACACGCGCTGCAGCTGTCATGTCTGACGCGAAACCCTCATTCCGGATACCAGCACCTCCAGTCGACTCCCTCTACTCTGTTATCTCCACCTACCTGAACCGCGCCCGGCATGCATTCTCCAGCGTCTTCGACGGCTCAGACCTCCCATCCTGGACCAAGGACGGCCTCAACTCCCTCGTAGAGTTCACGAAGTCTGCAAGCGCTGCTGGCGAGAACTTCTTCGCTGCTATGGAGTGCACCACGCTCCGCGACATTCGTCACGCCCACGGCAAGGACAGCGCCGAGTACGCCGCCGCTGTCGCGCAGATCCGCGACCTTCTTGCAGGCAACCACCGCATTGCTGTCATCAGCTTCCCCCGCGGCGGCGCCTCGAACCTGAAGCGCGCGCCATCCCCACAAGAGTCGCAGTCCCCCTTCCCTCCGACCCGCCCGCCCCCGCAGTCTCCTATCGGGTCCGTGTCGACCTGCTTCGAGGACGCGGACGTCTGCTCGAACAGCACGGACTCGTGCTCTGGCCACGGCTCATGCGTCCAGGCGAGCAAGACAGGCCGCACTTGCTTCGTATGCGCTTGCGCGGCGACCAAGACTGGCGAGGGTTTGCAGACGAAGACGGAGTACTGGGCTGGCGATAGCTGCGAGCGCAAGGATGTTAGCAGGTGCGCGTTTGGCTGTGTCAATAATTCGCAGCTTGCTGACCGCTCTCCAGCCAATTTGTCCTCCTGGCTGGAACAACCGTCGCAATCATTCTGCTTGCCGCGGGTTCCATCTCCTTGCTTTACAGCGTTGGCGATGTCGAACTCCCGAGTGTGTTGATGGGCGGTGTGGTGAATGCGAAGAGGGATTAGTTGCTGTACGCAAGTCTGCATCTTGATACCAGCACCCTGCCCAGGACCCTTACATCGCAATGTACGAGATTTGGCTCAGAAATGACAGGTCTTTGCAATACCTCACTGATTCGAGAAGAGCGCTGCATCACCTCTGTTCAGCGCCAGTTGCGAGGTAAGCAGGTATTCTCCGCATACGAACTAGTCGCTTCGCGCACAGGAATGGGTGGTGGATGTTCCTGCGTGTAATGTGAGCATCTATGTCCTTCTACGCAGCGATCCCTGTCCGGTGTGTACCGAGCTGTTGACAGGCTTAACCCCTTCTAACGCAAAGCAGCTTACAGTGAAAGTCAATCAATCAACTCTATCGCGCTATATCTGCTATGTGCGCAGCGCGCCTATTCTACATGCTGTACCCGTGTACGGATGCTTGTCACCCATGTGCTCTGGCAACCCGGGAACCGTTGGGAGTGCGACCTGCATCTCGGCTTCTATCGTGTACTGAGCAGCTTCGCGCATTCAGCGAATCTTCATGACGGCAAGAACACCCCCGCACCCTAATAACTACATTCGAACCGACGTTGCTCCGCGCATTGAGCGCCCGGGTGGCGCAGCTCTCTGCTCGACTGGGCCCCGTCATGAATACGCTTGACTATACAGATATCGGTCAGGTAGCCACGCTCTCTCCTTCCAGCGCGAGCGTACTCCCCCCTGGGTTCCGCCGCTCTCTCCCAGAAGTGTGTTGGCGGCGCTGCCCTTGTACATAACCAGCCCCACGCCCACCGCCGTCACCGGGGGGCGCGCCTACCGCAAACATACCTGCAGCACGATGTGTGCGCCTGCCAGCTGCCCATCGTCGTCTCCTGCGCGACGACCTGTCATCGGCGCGCGCCTCCTGCCGGGGAACCGGGGCGCCCCGCGCTCGGTACGAGCCTAACTCGCGTAATGCACATTTTAACGCGGTTGACAGCCAGATCACGATCCGGGGGCGTGGGTTGAGTGAACAAATCACTGCTACATATAGACCGTGACCGTGAGTGGGGTGGCGCATCGCCATCGTGCGCACACACACAACTCCTCTCCTTCCCCCATGGCCATGGCTCAGCAAGTCCGCCTCCCAGCGCAGCCGCCGCCCGCGACGTGCAGGGGCGTCTTTCTGAAGTGGGTAGTTCGGGTGCGTGCCGGGATAGCGCTGAGTCGGCGTCGGCAGGGATGAAAGAGACGCAAAAACCGTGCTCTATGCTGTCTGCATGGGGATGTTGCCCATCATTCATCGCCGCCTGGACGACTATGGTAGACGAGCCGTTCGCGCGGGGGACGTCTATGTCTTCGAGCCCAAGTCTGCAGTTGCGGAGCCTGTGCGTATGGTCTTCGTCACTTCTCCCAATTTTTGAGTTTGACCCATCTGGCAGAATGGCATCGAGCGTTGGACTGATGGTGAGTGGGATGACCGTCACTCAATTTTTTCTTATTGGCGATGGCAGGCGTAAGCTGGAACCCATCCAAGAACAAAGACTATTTTCTATACTACGACGAAAAAGCGCGGCAGCTACCCGCGGTCGAGTCTGGCGAGCGACAGTACGTCTTCTTCCCTCCACCCACCTTCTCGGCTCATCGTATATCAGCTACTACCTCCTCAAGCGTACCTACGCTGCAACGGTAACCCCGCAACCCGGGGCTGTCCCACGCGAACTGCACCTCGTCTGGTACGCCGCAAGGGACGACGCGCATAATCATGGGCTTGTCCATATCCGCAAGGTCTTCCAGGACACGCACCCGAGCTTGGCGCACCCACCGGCCGACATCGACCTGCTCTGTATCCCCAAGCGCAACGTCCGACGCGCGACTGACCGCCAACGCAGGGAGCGGAGGCGTACGCTGCCCGGATCCGAGGACGGGCCTTTGAATGGCGAGCAGGGCTTCGCGGGACCGGTATTGCTGTCGCACACCCGGCCCAGCATCGACGCGATCGCAACGGACGCGCCGATGAGCTCGCCTCCCGGCCTTTTCCTGCCCATCCAGACGACGCCCCGGCGACCGGCTGGCTATTTACCTCCTCTCGCGCCGATGACGCCAGCATGGGAGAGGGAGGAATCCATGTTCACGCGACGCGAGCTCGAAGGCCCCTCGCGGGTCACGCCGCAACGCCGCACACTCACGCTCTCAATGGGCACACATCCCGGAGAGTCTCCTCTTTCCCAGCCTCCCGCGTACCATCAGCCGCCCGGGCTGCGCCCACTGTCATCCTGCTCGTCGTCGTCGTCGTCCAGCCCTGGGTCCGATGCAGACGATGCGCTTCCGGAGCGCATGCGAGGCGACGTCCCGCCATCTCAATGGCAACCGCTGTTCGGCAGCCAGGGCGTCAACGTCGGTGGCACGACGGCGCGACCGACGTTCTACATCCCGCTTCCGCCTCTCAAGTCGTCGTCCTGCTTTGGCGAATCGGGCGCGATCCTTCCAGACGTCCAGGACATGCCCGTGGTCGAGCACTACCAGAAGCGCGACGAGAGCGACGATCGCATGCTTCAGCAACTCGAGAAGTACTTCCATATCTAGAGGGCCTTTCCTGTCACCTCGGTCGTCCGTATGTTCCGCTTTCTCCTCTTTCTTTCCCCTCTACTGCACCCGGGTTGTCATGTCAAGCGTACATAATGCATAGTCATCTATCTACCTCGCGAACACATACATAATCGTCATACAGTCCTCGTTCTACGCCTTTCTATGAAGCCACGAACGATAGCCGCGCCAGCCGAAGCCTGCATACACTCCCTTCCTTGTCAATGTATCGCTAAGGGGGGTGCGGCGCTTGTGCCTCAAAGCTCCCAGCACGCGGTAAATAAAATGAGGGGAGGCCCGCGTCCCTCGGCAATCCGAAAGCAGACGACGGTCAGGCCGGCTATCACCCGCGTCTTCATGGCCTTCCTACCGCGCCGTTTGCCTCCCAAGGCTGCGTACAAAGCCGTAGGTCGCTGGCAGAAGTGTTAGTGCTGAAAATGCACAGAATAGGAGGAGCCTACCAAGTACAATGCATTTTGGCCACAATTCCTTGTATTGGTGAGAGTGCGTTACGGCGATCACCCTGGTGTAGCCGAATTGCACGAGCGTCTCTTCCAGAAGTTTGTTATCGCCAGGGTACTTCCTGTGCAGCCTCCCACACTCGCGCTCTATTCCTGTCTTGGATCGCCCGTGCTGGTTTCGAAGAAGGATTGCGTCACAAGCTAGAATTTGGCAGGGGAAAGCATTAGGAAAGGCGTTCATGGGCAGTCAAGTGTAGGTAGCTTGCCTTTAATAAGAAGTTCCTCAAAATTTCCATCCATGCTCATATGCTCGCCAGCGGGTGAGCATTCGATGGCAAGGCGCATGAAGAATATGGCATTTTCCGTTTTAGCCTGGGGAGCCGCCGACTTGAATGCGTTCCAATGATATTCAGTCAGTTGAGCGTTGAGGTAACGCACGACGGCTAGTGCTACAATACAATAAAAAGCTGAAGCAAGTTAAGAGAAAAGAGGGGTTTCCTTGATTTCAGACGAACCCACCTTTATCAAACAAGTCCGGATCATTCATGGGCTCAATAGCACATTCTTTAGCGAGGGCATATGTGGCCGTTGTTTCCTCGTCTTGCCCCGCTCGATCGTTGCTAGGAGGCGTATAGGCGTAGCCTATCCGGCCACTTAGCTTCTTGCACAATGCGACCACTATAGAAATTCAGCACGTTCAAATACTGTAACGGCTCAAGAATTCCGCACTCACCGTCCCGCAAGAGGTCGGCCCGAATCGCGCCAGTCCGAAGGGTAGGAGGTCGCCCTTTGTGTGGCTTGAGGTAAGTCGATTGCTTCCTCTCCCCGAGCAGCAAAGCCAGCCATACCAGTCCCTCGTCATCGCGCACGCGTCTCGGCGACGAGGTATAGTCCTGCCGAGGCGTGGCGATGTGGTATATCTGCTGCTGCACCGACGGCGGCGTGTTCCCTGCATGAGCATAGCTATAGTGAGGGGCAGAGACCGACCGTTTGTGGCGCGGAGGTGGCGGCTCGGGAGGGGCTGGGCTGACGCTGTCAGTCGTGCTGCTTAGCTCGGGTTCCCCCTGCAAGTCTGGCGCTTGCAAGGGTAAGGGGGCGGGAGTAGCAGCCGGCCGCGGTGCAGGTGCCTGGATGGGCTGTGGCAAAGGCGATGGCGCTGGCAAATCACGGTGCCTTTGAGTATGATGTGGGCGTTGCTGAAGAGGAAAACGGCCGCGAGAGGGATTTGAATCAGGCGGCGCCGACCCGTCACGACGAGCTTGGGTATTGTGCCGCGGCTGGTGCTCTTGGTACAAGCGGCCGCGCGAGGGGCCTGGCTCAGGAGCTGCTGCAGCGTGATGTTGGAGAGGCCGAGCTCTTGCAGCTGGAGTCCCAGGTCGTCGCTCTCTCAGAGTCGGACCAGTGGGGAAAGGTATTGAGGCCATCTCAGGCGGGAATACCACACGATCGCGACTGCTCGCTCTCTCGTGTCGCTGTGCCCTTCCAGTAATCGCACCAGCCCTTTGCAAGTCTGTAGCGCCTGGACCTCGTTGAGGGCGCTGATCTTCAGGCAATTGGCGCCGTGCAGGAACATGATGAGACCGATGAGGCTGGTGCTGAAGTTGGTCTTGGTGGTGAGGTGGAGGCTCTGGGGGTTGCCGTGTATCTTGAAAGTCCATCATCTCACGAGGACTTATGCGCTCGTGAGGAGGCACCTGGCTATGCATGACGAAGGGAGGCCCATAGTCAGCCGGAGTTGGCATGCGATGCCCATACATCTGCGCATAGACATCCTGATCCTGCCCTGCATCAGACTGCGTGCGTCTACGGCGACGGAATGGGTTCATCTTTTGCAGCGCAGGCAACATCACTGGCGCCTAAGTGGGGGAAGGAGGCAAGTTATGTGGCGACAAGCCCGCGCTTGCGGCACGTTCCTATAGTGTCGGAGGCGCTGTGGCAGTGCGGCGCGAAGACGCGTAATCTGATTCGCTCTGATTCATCGAAGTCGTGGTCATTCAATTGGGGAAGGTGTGCGAGGACCAGGCTAGTCGTGTCTATTGTTCCTCGTTGCGGGGCGACGAGAGAGAAGTTCTTCGAGTGCATTCCAGAGACTCGTAGAGCCTTACGCCCAGCATTATTCCATGCAGCATAAATGCAGCATGGAGCTGACTCTGTTGGGATGGAGTCGGAAGATGAAGGCGAAGGTCAAGCGAGGGAAGCGGATGAGTCATGGATTGATGCGTCTCGGCATATCCCGGAGGTCACGTGTATGGTATGTTCAACTTCTCTCATACTTACAGACTGAAGGCTATTCATCGCTTGTTGCTTTGAGCTGATTCTTTGTCAACTAGCGACACCTTGATAAATGCATAGGTATGCAGGCATATTGATAACTGGTCATACAGAATTCAGGAGGCAGCACAGGCAACGTTCAAATCATGGACTCGGACTAGTATTCTGGGCGTTATCAAGCGCGCGCTAGCCTTTTAGCCCTTCGTCATCATCGTACGCACAGCAGTAACGATATGTACTGTATAGTGACCTCTCCTCCGCTCCCGCGGAGTGCCCCATCCCCCCTGATATCACCACCGAGACTGTAGGGTTGAATCTCGTACTGCCGCGTATAGGGCGAAAACCCGTGCTATGCTGCCTGGGGTCATGGCACATGAGAGAGAAGACTGCAACGATACATTTTCAACGCACCTTTTGTATGTACATTCTACAGTCTATAGTAGGTCTTCTATACTTGGCTGAGGGCCCGGGTCGCAAGCTCGTATCCCAAAAACGTCGCGCCGTTTGCGAAGGGCGAACTATCGAAGCGTAAGCAAGCTCTTGAGAAGTCTCACTACACGGGCACGTACCGGATCAGTGTAGGAATAAGCCCGCGCGTAAACGCCGGTAGCCCCTCTGTCCGCCAGACGGTGCGCAAGCAGTGGACTGCACTCTTGTACTTCTGCCCCGTCGCTGGCGAGAACCCGTCCGTCTGCATCCGCGACTTGATCATATCAATCGGATATATGACGGCCCAGAGCTAGCAAAAGCAGCGCACGCGCTCGTCAGCCAAACTGCCTTTCAACACACCTGATTGCATAGCGCAATCCACTCACCGCATACCCGGCCAGCGCGCCGTACAGGATCGCATTGAGCGGGCTGATTTGGTCTCGCCGGATGTTCTTCTCGCGCATTTCGCGCTGCACGAGCTTCTCGTACGTGAGGAAGTACATGCCGTAGCCAGTCGCCTCGCGCAGAAAGGTGACGCCCTGGCCCTTGAAGATGCCCGCCACGCCGTGCTCGCGGAAGATTTTGGAGATCGCGTCGCCGGGCCCTTTGTAGATGGGATTCGTAGCGGACTGCGTTTGTAGGCCTAGACGTCAGGAAGGAAAAATATTTGTATTAGTAGCAGGTGGCACTTGGAGTCGATAGGACGCACGGATACGGATGTGCTCGACGGGGCACGAGACGATGCCGTTGGCGATACCGGCAACGACGCCAGCGGTGAAGAGTTGCCCAGAGCCGAAGGCAGTACCGTCTGGTCCGCCGACACCGCGAGCAAGGTTCTGTGCTTGGAAGATGCGTTTTGTGTACTCCAGAGCACCGAACTGGATCGAGACACAGACACCGATGCCGAGCAAGGGTGACAGGGTACCCTACAGACAGAGTTAGCATATGAGTGAGTGCACGAGGCGTGACACGCACCTTGTAGAACGCCAGCGGCCCCTCGTTCTTCAAGATACCCCCTGCACAATGCATCATGCCCGAGTACGTCCCCGCAGGCGACGTTTGCATTCGCTACGCGTACAAACCATCGGTCAGCCTGCCCCCCACCTTTTTACACGCGTACCGCTCACCACTTTGACGATATCGAACGGCTGGCCGACAAGGACCTGGTCCGAACGCGCTTCAGTGCTGTACTCGCGATCCGCACGACATTGCGCGCACTTGGAAGATGCCGCCGACGGTGCCGGCCGTCAGGTCTTTTGCGGTGCTCGACATGGTGCTGGTGGGGCGAAAAAGAAGGGGAGGGGGCGCGAGGGAACGGAGGGGAGGAGGGGGAGAAGAACAAGGCGCGGCGGCGCGTCAGAGTCATTATTGCCAAATTATTATGCATCGGCTTTAGACGGAAATCTGATCGACGAGGCCGATAAGGCAAGCAGCTTGTCGCCGGTGGCAGCTGCAGAGCTCTTGTGGCCAGTCAACAAAGGCGGATATGAAGACAACCGGACCATGTATCTACTCTATACTGCAACAATACTTTACAAGAATGAGTTTCCCTTCCTTGACCTTGCATAAGATAAATAGATAGTGAGCGTCCATCCCAATGCGGATCCAACAAGGTGAGCGGCCCAGCCTGCTCTCAGTACTCATCCACGTCCGAAAGCGACACATAGTCGGACACGGACTGCGTGTCCTCGTACTCCGCCACCACCTCCGCCATCGCGTAGCGCATAATCGGTGTCATCGGCACGCACTTTGGACCCACCACCGGCGCCAGCTCTGCCTCGAGCTCGTTCAGCGGCTGCAACTCGTCGTCGTCGTCCTCCGGGCCCATTCCAATCCCGCTCATTGGCACACCGTCTTGTACATGTACGCTGCCGTCGGGCGCGACCGCGGTGTCGCTGCTGCGGCCCATCTGCCGGCGGAGCCACTCCTCCGTGACACCCGTGCGCTCGGGAGCAGCCTCGTCCGCGACGGGGTCCGTCCAGCGGATGTCGAGCACGCGCGCGCGGACCATGCCATCGACGGCGGCGACGCCATACTCGCGGCAGAGGGAGAAGTAGGGCAGGGCGTGCTCCTGGCGCAGACGGCTCATGACGCGCAAGAGCTGAAGGGCGGTGAACGGGTGTGCGCTGTCCTCCTCGTTGTCGGGCTGAACGGGCGCGAGGGTGCGCATCGTCGATGGTGTGTGGGCGCGAGCTTGTGGCGCGGCCGAGGGTGGCGGGGCGCGACCACCGTTGGGAAGCAAGGTCGCTACGCTCTGGTTAGGAGTTATTTCGCCATCCGAGCCTTCATCATCACCAAGCTTGCCGTCGCGCTGTGCAGTATGGATGACAAGCAAGTTGAGGAGTGCATGTGCCTGCAGGAAGTGAGAGCTCTGCTTGACTGAAAGCCATCATCAGCATCCACTTCCGTCCCGAATCAGCCTCACTCACTATCCAGCGCACCCCCCGCATTCACATAATCCGTCACATAATCCGCCCAGTGCGTCAGATGTCCGCCAAACGCATCATACAGCCTCTCGAATTGCATCCCATAGCTCCCCTGCAGCCGCTGCGGCACGCGCGGGAGCAGCCGGTCGTTGTAGAACGCGCGCGTCTCCGCCTTCGTGCAGTCACCGATGGTGAGAAGCTTCGCGTGCTGCAGAACGTTATAGCGGCGAAGCCAGGTGTGGAAGAAGGCGTCGGAGGTGGCGAAGACGACGTGACAGAGGCGGTCTTGCTTGGTGAGGACGAGCATGGCGTCGAGGAGGCATTGCATGGCGGATGCAGTGCCAATGGACGCGGGGTTGCTCAGTAAGTCAGGTAGACGGTGTGCTTCATCGAAAAATACGACCTAGCATAGTGTCAGCACGCCGGTTCACTCGCTACACAACTAACGTACCGGCATTCTCTTCCTCGGTGCCTCCGACTTCTTGCCTTCCGAACTAGAGAGCGTACGGTTCGTGTCATCGCCATTTCGGCGGTCCGTCTCGGTACTAACTCGATGCTGCTCCTCTTGTAATCGGCGCTCTTCAACAAGATCCTCGGACGCACGACGTCGTCGCAGACCCCATCGTATGCTGGAGGCACTGGACTGAGGCGGGTCGGGCTCTTCCCTGGCTTTGCCCTTCCCCTTGTCGCGCTTCTCCTTCTTGTGCTTCTCAGGTTCGAATTGCCAGTATTTGAGCAACGAGCTCTGCAGGATGAAGTGAGTTTAGGGTGTGAAGGTGACTGTCTGAATGCGCACCTGGAACAGCTCCATGAGACGCGCGATATCGCTAGTACGGATTTGGTGGACGGAGAGCTCATTGGGCGCGTCATTGATCCTCTTCTGGACGTCCGCACGGTCGTGCTATGAATCTTCGTGAGTACATAGCAGTATCACACACAAATCATTACACACCTTGAACGCCCAGGACTCCTTCTCAAACTCCTCGTAGCCTTCCATATCCGTAGAGATGTTCAGGAAGTACTGCTCCATCTGCTCGCTGAGGCTGATGTATAGACTTGAAAGGTCCGCGAAACCCGCGATGCGAAGGTCGAAGTGCAGGACATTGAACTTCTCCTCGGTTAGGACCTGACGTAGGAGGGCCGTCTGGACGGATCGTCAATCAGTATCAGCCACTGCATCCACCGACCGTCGCTTGCAGCGCACCTTCCCCACCGAACTCGACCCAAAGAGCACCGTGAACGCCGGCTCTCCACCCAACGTGCGCTCGATCGCGCGCAGCTCCTTCTTGCGTGGGAAGAAGCCGGCGAGTGGAGAGAAGGTGTGCTTCGGTCGCAGCTGCTGACGCTCGCGCGTCTCGGCCAGCTCTTGCTTTGCATCCGAGAGGAGCTTGCGGGACTCAGCGAGGGAGCGAAGGGTTTCTGCGGGCTGGTATATTGGTTAGCAGGTGTTCCTGCAAGCAAGAGCAGGATGGAATAGTATGGTCAGGTATGCGAATGTGCGATGGGAACAGCAGATGGTATGATATGCGCCAGCAGAAAATGGGATGGTCAAGAACACTCACATTCGCGACCACGCCTAGGATTTCGCTAAGCCCGAAGAACGATCGCCGCTGGAAGTCAGATGGACGGAAGGAGCGTCTGTGCCGAAGGTTAGAGCGGAAGAGCCAGTGCGAGCCGCTAGTGTGCACGCGCGAGTGTCGGTTTGAGGGCGGATAACGTGCGGACGTCGAGGCAGAGCCTGTGCGCGATGACATCGGCGGTGCCCCGTTCCTTGTTGACGTCGACGCATGCCGCCGAGGCTTCTGCAGCCTGCGAGAGGTAGTGGTGTTCACTGAGGGAGTGTTCATGGATGGACGGGTCCAGGGAGGGGACGCGCGTCCAGCGTGCGTGGCGTTAGATATAGGGTGTGCGCAGTGCGTTGTCGATGTGCGCGAGATGGGGGTTATGATCAAGGGTTGAGGTCAGCACGACTTATCAGCCCGGAGGGGATGCACGCACGCAGCCACGCGGCGGACTGTGGACGCCCTGGACCGCGCACCCCAATCATCATCATCATTCTCCGTCAATTGTCACGTTTGCGAAGCGAGGCCGAAATGAGGCCGCTGATGAGAGGGCGGTAAGTACCCTTCCTGCTCTCTGTGGGCGATGTCGCGGGCAATGAAAGTTCGGGATGAGGTCTATTCGGGTCTGTGGGCGCGCTGAGGGCGGCCATGACGGCGCACGTCAAACGCGTCGTCATCGTCTCACTCGTGGCTCGGATCGTCGGACAGAGCATGGACGACAAGGTGGAATGTACGGAGCAGGAATGAGGTTGGGATGCTGCAGTAACACGCGACCTAGAGCACATATGTCATGCTTCCTTGGACTGAACACAATCAAACACTGTCCTGTGGCTCTCGTCCATGAACAAGGGTATGCGTATATACGCTCCATAGCTCAAATAAAAGAGAATTTGAGGGTTCAAGAGCCTTAGACAACGTCGCTGCGAGCCAAGCAGTTCAATGTCAGCTGGAAGTTGCCAGGAAAGAAACGAGGAGGAGGGGTGTGACTCAGTGACTGTGACCGTGCCTATCGGAATCGACGGTCCGAAATCGCCGCAAACACATGTCAATAATCCTGCTCCCGCCCGCCATATCGCATTAAGCGCCCGTTTCCTTTTGCGTTGCTGCCTCCTCTATATCAACACTGCGCCTCGGCCACTCTAGTACTCTTTGCATTGCTCGACCCCTCACTCACCGCCTTTGTACTGACCTGGCGATTGGTCCGAGCACCTGAAGATGACTGTTTCGCAAAGAAAGCAGGCGCAGATAGAGGAAGTACAAAGTGCGTGGCACGTACTTCCACCCTTGAACGAGTATGCTCACCTTCCCATGGCTAGCTGTGAACGAACCAGGCGATCAGATACACTGCGACGCGTGTGGCTGCGATCTGACCCACTCCATACGCTTCAAATGCGCTGCACCCGAATGTAAGACAGAAGAGGGTGTAGACATATGCCCCCCTTGCTTCTGCGCAGGGAAGGAATTTGCAGGTCATAAGCGTACACATCCGTACCGGGTCATCGTGCGTCCGCGGCATCTCTGCATTGAGCGGACCACTAATTGTTTCCAGGAATTCAGCTCGAATCCTATCTTCACAGAAGACTGGGGCGCAGATGAGTGCGTACAACTCAGCGTGGTCCCTCAATACTATGATCTGATTTGCTCTAGGGAAATGCTGCTGCTCAAGGGAATCGCTAGCTTCGGGTTCGGCAACTGGAAGAGAATAGCAGAACATGTCGGTACCCGAACAAAGGAGGAGGTCGAGGAACACTATCATAAAGTCTACATCGAGTCCAAGGACTGGCCACTACCCGTACGTCCGCCCGTCGTCCTCTGCTGTCTCCTTCTCATACCAATCCTCTTCAGCGAATGGACGCCACCTTCGACATCCCCCCAGCCGAATTCCAAGACCGCAAACGCCGGCGCATCGCCAAGATGTCTGCCACCGTCCCTCCCCCGCCCCCCACCGCACCCACCTCGGCCCCCAACGTACACGACATCCATGGCTTCCTCCCCGGGCGCCTTGAATTTGACAATGAGCTTGAGAACGAGGCGGAGGACCTGGTCAAGGACCTCGAGTTTGGTGTCGTGCTCAAGTACGGCGGGGAGGACATCCCCGAGGACCCGAATGATGTAGACGTGAAGGCACGCGCGAGGTGGGAGGAGGAGAAGCGAAGGCCGCCTGCGCCCCCAGTGGGTGTAAAGGGGACGAAGGCACCGAGAGGCATGCCGGGGAAGAAGGCCCCTGCGGCACGGGTGATGGGGAAGGATGCGCCGAATGGGCATGCAAGGGTCAAGCAGGAAGATGGGGACGAGGATGGTGAGGAGGCGGGGGATGAAGTGACGTATCCACCGCCGTTGGAGACGGAGGATTCGCTGAACCTAAAGTTGACTATGCTGGAGATGTACGCGCAGAAGGTGCAGAAGCGGATGGAGGCGAAGGCGGTGATGTTCGACCGTGGGTTGTTGGATTACAAGAAGGTGGGCGAGCGACATGGGCTTTACAAGATCGTATACTCATATGAGGTCCAGATGCAAGCTAACGACAAGAAACGACAACGAGAAGAACGCGAGATCCTTCACCGCCTCCGACCCTTCTCCAAACTTCAAACCGCCGAGGACTTTGAGGTCTTCAGCGCCGACATCCTTTGTAAGCCTCTTTATCCTCATTTCGTCCTCACTGCTGACGCCCGTCATATAGACGAAGCCCTTCTCCGCAAACGTATTCAAGATCTCCAGAACTATCGCCGCCTCGGGCTTCAAACCACCGCTGATATCGAGAGATACGATATTGACCTCGCCAAGCGCGCCGCCTCCGCCAAGGCCGCCACCGCCCACTCCTACTACGCCCGGCCCCGTGCCACGCCCGCCGACTCCGACAACGCCGCCAAGCGCCCCGGCCCGCTCAACCTCGCCAACTCGCCCGCGCTGCACCTCCTCACGCCCGCGGAGCAGACATTGTGCTCGCAGCTCCGGATCCTGCCACGCCCGTACCTGGTGGTCAAGGAGACGCTGGTGCGCGAGTATGCGAGACGCGGTGGGAAGCTGAGGCGCAGGGAGGCGCGCGACTTGGTCAAGATCGACGTGAACAAGACGAGTCGGGTGTGGGACTTCTTGGTGCAGGCGGGATACCTCAATATCACGAGCGATAACCTGCAGGGGCAGAAGGAGACGGGGGTGAATGGGAGCTCATCACAACCACCTGGGACGGGGGCGACGACGCCTGCGCTGGGTGGGCAGCCCAGTGGAAGCGCACCGACGCCCACGCCACCGAAGCCGCCATTATCAGCGCCGCCCTCGTCGACACCTGCCTGACCGGTTTATATAATTTATTCGCGTTGTCACCTTTTGTACTCATACACACTCATGTTCTCTCTTATGGCCTGCAGTAATGCTAATCGGATTGCGCACATACATATGCATGGCATTCAAGTACGAAGTAATTCGGCAACTTGGAACGGTGCAACAGGGTCGCCCTGCTCGACATCGAGGATGCTTTCAGCTTCAGGACCGATCTTCTTCAGCAGCTGCTCCACCGCTACATCGTACAGCACCCGTATATGCACTCGCTTCAGGCCAGGACAGCCACTTGTCGAGGACGATATTGCGCGAGTACGGAACAGGTCGCACACGAGGTCGATGTCTTGGTCCGTCCATCGAGCCAGGTACGCCCCGTTAATAATCTCTACTTCCTCAAGATCGACGAGCGTCGAATCGGAGTGGGAGCACGCAAGAGCCTGTACGAACTTCGAGTTCATGCAGTACGGCATGCTCAAGGAGCCACCACCGCTCTCCTGGATGAACGACACCTTGCGCAGCTTCTGTGGGATTAAAAACACATCTCGGATGTGAACTGCCGAGTGGGTGTGCATGTTGCGCAATGCGATCGTGTCGCAGCCCCGGATAAGGTCATTGAGCAGACTAACGTCGTAGAGGGACATTCCGGGTTCCCAGAGTTCATCGTCGTACGCCAGATTCAGGGTGAAGTGTCGCAGGGAGGGCGCGACGATCAGAGGGCATAGTTTGATAGCGGCGCCGCCGATCTCCAGAGTATGTAGTGTCGGAAAGGAGAAGGAATGGGGTATCTGTAGCCTGGGTTGATACGATCTGACCCCAGTCGAGAAGCTGAGGATCTCGACGTTCGTGCACTGCGACAAAGCAAGGATGCTAGCATCGTCGATCTCCGGGACCTGTATTTTGACCGCGCGCATATGCCCCCAGGAAATGTGCAAGAAGGGAGCCGCGCCGACTGTATCAAGTACACGCAAGTGAGGAGCATCCAATTCCCGACCGGTACTGGGTCCGCGGAAGATGAGTTCTTGCAACAAGGGAAGATGGCAAGGTACAAGGTCCTCCCGGCCGTGATCTTGCAGGGCTTCCAATGCACGAACGTGGTACGCATGACGCAGAAGAATATTACGGCCATCTTCTTCATGTATGTTCCCGGTATCGAGCTTCTTTATAACTACGGGAGCCTGCTTAGAGCGTTGCAGATACGTCGACAATATGTCCGTCGGAACGTCACGGGCAGAGATGCCAGTGTTCCAGGGATCCATACGCAGGCGCGGCAGGTGGATAACCGTCCAAGGCCATGTGAGAGCTAGAGCAGCGGCTCTCCAATCATGGAACACCTGCATGACCGTCCAGACATGCTTGCCGCTCGGGTCGTCGAACCAACGTGGCGGAAGCGCGTATGCAGCGATTTCGCCCAGGATGTCTGGCGGCAGCTTGCGTATAGGTGCACATATGGATTTTACATGCGTCTCAGTCGTCTCAAGCAAACTTCTATGCTGGCGCAGATCGGCGAGCGTCGCCTCTAGCCGATCTATGGCACGGACGCAGGCCTCAAGGTCGTTCTGCACTTCGAAGAGGTTGGTGGTGAGAGCGGAGATCTCGATCGCGGGCAAATAAATGTGAGGCAAGAGTGAGATTCGGATCAATTTGAGGAGGCGACTTTGCTGCTGAAGGCGTCGCTGCACTTCGCGCAGAGTGTGGTTGACCGAGCCTGGAAGAATCGCATGGCTGGAAAAGTGTGTAAGACTTGAGCCCGATACCTTCCGTCGGAATTCTTACCACCAGGATAGTTCGTGACTCCTTTTGAGAAGCCCAGGATAGGATCGGATGTGAACGAGTGGGGGGTTTGCAACAAGGATGGGGGCGACGTGTTGCGACGCGTGCAGGCAACGTGATTGTGTCGGCAGTTGCCGATCATCGCGTGGCATACAGTTCGTCTTGTTGGTCTTGTTGGTTTTCACGAATCATCAGGGCTGCCTTATCAGATGAGTGACCATGGCTTAGCAGAGATATCTCTTGATGCTGGATATACAGTACTCCTTCCACAAAAAGACCGTTTGAAGTTCCGAGCCGAGCAATGGCGGCGGGGTTGAGGGCGCTACTTCCTGGCCGAGGCCTTGTTTTCCCCAACAGAGATTTCTTCCTTCAGTGATGTGGAGCGCTTGATAAACGCCCTAACTTTCTTGGAACAAAGCAAGAGCAAATGTCAGATGGACGATAATCTGTCATCGATGCCCGGGCTCGGTGGCCACGGATTGACGACATGATTGCCTGTCGATTGGAATTCAGGATCTTCACGGCGGGATGCCTGAGCATTAATATCGATGCTATATTGCAGGTCAAAGCCTATGTTCCACCGTGAATCGATAGTTATGTAGGCGCAATCGCTAGAGCATCTGTGGACGGAGCCCACAGAGCAATATGGGCGTGTGGAGCGACTGTGGGGGGTCCATACCGTAAAGCCCTGGCCGCTCGGGAGGATTCGGCGAGTAAGCGCGCTCTGGCCGCGCTTGTTGCGTTCATTTACAGCAGTTGCTGTACTTCCTGTGACATGTGGCCGGCAGAAGTCGCAGATCCACGCAGCTTTTGTATTCAAGTGACCTGATAAACACGTTTACTGCGCGAGGACGTTGCATAGGCATGCTCATTGTACCGTAAAGCCCTGGACAGTCCTTCACACGCGCCTGTACCTCGGGGCATTGTTCGTCGAAAGCGGGAAAGAGGTTCCAGATGGCCGAGCTCGTACCATCCGGACCTAACCTTATCTCACCACCTGAACACTCCATCGACCGCACCGCTCTTGTGTTCGCTACATTCCATTCTGCATTCCGAGTCCACAACCACGGCACGGATGGCATCAGATGACTGGCTCTTGTGCATTCCGTCCGCCCTCCGCCCGCGCGAATTCCCCATGAGGCTGACATTCATCCTGCCTAATCGAGCGATTCCTTTGTCCTCACTCCCATTTGTGCCGCGCGGGTTGCCTAATTGCGCATTTGCCGCTACCGGGCGCTCTGCCCCCCTCCGCGTGTCTGCCGTCGAGGCCGCAACAATGAAAGGGCCCCTTCAACTGATGGATCGCATCGCACCCAGCCGCGCTGCGTGGTAAAGGGCATGCGCACGACGCGCCGGACTTATAAGCCTCTCCGGCCCTCCCTAGCCTCCCACTACTTCCCAGACTACCTGTTCCCGCCCGCATGTCCTGCGCGCAGCGCGCACCGCCTCCACGCCGCACATGACGTCCGAGTCCCCGCCTCCCTCGCCGCGCAGCGCGTCCCCACACTCGCCCCCGCCGTCGCCCTCCGCGGCGCCCCCCGCCCAGGCGCTCTCGCCCGCGCAGGCGATCGCGGCGGCGTGGAAGAACGAGTCGCGCGAGGAGCAGACGCGCTGGCGCCGCGCGGACGCCGAGGCCGCGCGCCAGTACAACGACCGCCGGCGCGGCGGCGGGGTGAAGCCCAAGATGTGATACCCCATGTAGCACCATCATAAAACAGACAAGATACCCATGCCCCCTGCAGGGGCGCCCGCGCGCGGGCAGCCGCAGTACGTCTTTGCGTTCAGTCGTATGTTGTCCTTCACACGAACCTAATCTCGTGTACCCAGCGTGTTCGTTGACGGGACGCGGCGCGGCTTTTCCTCGAGGCGGATGATAGAATTGGAGGGAACGCATACCCAGGGGCGGGCGGAGGCATCTGTACAACAACAAAATCTTATTTATTCCAAAGGTCTGGGTGCGGGAAGAGGAGGCAAAGCGAACCTAATCATGTTGTACATTATAACGACCATCACGATATTGTATTGTTGGCCACCACCACGACGTTGGGAGAAGTAGGAGGCGCGTCAGGCCCCTGGGGCTGAGTCTCCGACTCACGCGGCGCATCCTCGTCTTCAGGGTCGTCCGACTCTGAGTCCTCGGCGTTTTCCTCCATGTCGGCCTCTGCTTCGGCTTGGGCCTGAGCGGCAGACGCGGCGTGAGCGATCGCTTCCTCCAGCAAGCGCGTCTGCTCGTCGGTAAGCCCGATCATCGGCAGCGAAGCGAGCACTTCGTCGCCAATGATGGCGCTTGCAGCCGCCTGGTCTGCTGGCGGTGCCGCAGGCTCCGTCTGAGGAGCAGCAGGCGCGTCAGCTTGCGCAGGCTGTGTAATCATCGCAGGGGCTTCGACAGGCCGTGGTGCGAAGGCGCGGGCGAATACGGTAGCCCACGTAGCCGGTGTTTGCTGCGGCTCCTCGCCCGGGGCCACGGCGGAGACCGCGGCGGTACCGAGGGCACTGCGTGCACGGGCAAGGAGCGGAGCGTGCAAACCGAGCACTGCAGCCTGGATCATCATCACCACCTCGGGAAGTACCTCTCCTTCCTCGAGCCCATGATCGTCGACGGGTGGCGGCTCCCCGGTACCAACGTTATGCCACAGCTTGGCTCGACGCTCCTCGCGCGTACCCCGCTCATGGTCCGCGTCGAGAGCAACCTCAGTCACAGGCGCAGCCCCGCAGCCCGTACCCCGACCACGCGCCACATCTCGATGTCGCTTCAACGCGTCTCGCCGCGAGAATATCTTCTCGCAGCAAGCGCACTTCCACGCCGTCCTGTCGTGCAGCTTCGCATGCCTTTTCAGGTCGTGGTTGCGCGCGAAGCTTGCCGGACACCGCGCGCACCGGAAGGGGCGCTCGGCAAAGTGGGCACGCTGATGGGTGCGAAGGCTGAAGAGGCGGGAGAATATTTTCGAGCAGCCGTTGATGTTGCAGGGGTAGACGGCGGTGCCGATGTAGGGGGTGCTGGGCTGGGGCTGCGACCAGCTGGCGAGGGTGGAGGTGGCGTAGGGTTGAGGTTGGGAGGGTGGTTGGGAGACGTTCTGGCCGATTTGGATGCCACTGAGTAGGCCGATTATCTGGATGAGACCGCTAATTTCTTGTAAAGCGGGGGCGTTCGAGCCGGCAGAGCCAAGGGAGGTAACGGAGAAGAGGAAGATCTGGTGCAGTTGGGAGGACATGGATGCGACAGAGGCGGGGTCAAGAGGTTTTGAGGGATCGGCGTTGATGACATTAGCGACCAAGGCGATGGCGTCGGAGAGCTGCTCCGCAAGGTGGCCTTGAGAGACCACTTGTCGCTTTTGTGGTCGAGGGTTCGGAGGTGGAACATTCTCGCGCTCGTCCCGTTTACGCTTCTGCGTCTGCACAGGAGGGGGAGGGCGATGTCCGAACAAAGAATCTGATTGAGCGAGGGAAAGAACGATCTGGCTCAGCGAAAGCGCGATGCCTTTCCCGACTGACCCTGAGGAGATGATGTCCGTGAAGACGGAGAGTACACTGCCGCCGGGTACCAATGGTACATGTGTGGTGGAGAACGCGGCGCGGATGATGGGATCTCGTTGGACGAGGGAGACGATGGTGCTGAGCGTACTGACCAGCTCATGACTTCGCGAGAGGTCGATCGCGGTGGGTTGCGCTCGAGGTGAAGCACTCGGTGATGGGGGATCCGGGTATTGTTGTTCTGGTATATGTTCGTGTTCTGGCTCTGGGGCTTCCGTCAGCGCACCCATCGCCGCCAGCTCTGCCTCCAGCCTCCGGGTGATCTCCTGCGCCTCGGCGTCGATGTCGCCATCATCCTCGTCCTCCTCATCGTCGTCGCCTTCCCAGTCCTCGCCCTCTGTCTCGTACTCAGGGACTTCTTGAGGGGGAGCCGGCCCCTCTGCTTCCGTACTCGCCATGGTTTGATGACGGCGTCTATTGAGACGGAAAAAGAGAGTTCAAGGTGGATTGATCGAGGGACCGGCCCGGATCTCCGCTTGAGTGGCCGAAATTGATCTTTGATCCCCGGAGGTTGACTTTCGACCACCACCATCCTTCTCGTTTCCGCGGCCCAGCCTCAAGCATTTCGCGCTGCCAAAGTCCACCGGGCTATGGCATAATGCAATTTAAATACTGATATACTTCTGCGCTGCCTTCATGTTACTTTCGACCACTTTCTTGATTTTGCCATAAATTTGCTCTGGCTCACGCCGTCATCACTCTTTCCCTCTGAAGTCCAGCCTCCACTGGCTGTCCGCAAAGCTAGCGCACTGCTCCCATCAAGATTTGCTCATGTAGGCTCTACGACCAGCTTGCTGTTTGGGCAGCGAAACTTAGATCAGATGCGCATATGTTTTGGATCGTTCTGAGACTCACCCTATTCACCTCCTTGCTTCTGACTTTCGCCTCACCGGCATTAGTGCCGTCCGAACACTCTACTCATCCAACTAGGAACTATGACAAGCACTATCAGATACGTCGAGCTTCCTCCCGAGCTTGAATGGGTTATTGTCGAATATGCGGCACGCATCCACCCGGAGACCGCTTACACGCTCGCCCTGGTCGCACCTCGCTTCAAGACTTGGTACGTCTGATCTCCTTCTCCCTAGCTCGAGTCTTTCATTGATTATTTGCCTTAGGATCGACACGCTCCTCTATAGTTCCCTTGTGCTCGACTATCCACTCACACGCCCCACCCTCCTCCTTCGGACAATCACGGACCGCGACCCCGACTTCATCGCCCGCACCGTCAAGCGCATCTACATCACCACCTCCGTCGCATACGCGGATGCCGCCCGTGCGCTCGCCGCATGCAGCGGTGTCACCGACATCACCTGCTGGACGCGGCCTGCGCCCGAGTTTCCGGGCTCGGGCCGCGTGAAGCGACTTTCCTTCGACGCGTCCTCACTTTTGTTCGCGCCGAAGACCCTTCCCGCCCTGACGCACCTCGACCTCGTCAACCCGCCGCCAGGGACGACTATGGAAAGCTGGATGGCCCTTTTCGCCGGCCTGCCCGCGCTCACGCATGTCGCCTTCGGGAACCTGTACGCGCAGGAGCCCGTCGATCACCGGCCTCTGATCCCCCTATTCCTCGCTCTGCTTTCTGGCGAGACGGGGCACGATCTCAAGATGCTCGTCGCCGTCTCGGACGACGAAGACTTCGTGCCCTTTTTGCACGAAGAGGTAGACGACCCTAGGGCCGTCGTTATGCCTCGATTTAACTATCCGAGGACCTTGGCGGAATATTGGCAGGATGTGCAGACTGGCGGGCTGGACTTTTGGGGCGTTGCTGAGCGCTTGCCTGTAAAGCAGCTGGAAGCTTGAGGTGAAGTTGCTGCGTACCTTGCTGATCGTGATCTCCTACCTCGCGCGTTGTCAATCCAATAGTCCATACTCGTTGTATATTCTCATCAAAGAGCTCCGATACTATACATCGAAATTGTCGAATCCTGAAATTCATCGCGGGGACTGCGATCTCCCGTCTGTGCCCCTAGTCTGCTACGGCAAAAAATGTGGGTGGACGACAGCATTATACCAAACAGTTTCTCTTACACTGTCTGCTGTTTCTGATCCATTGCGCGTGCGACAGTCAAGAAATTGTTGACTAGATGTCTCCGGGTTAGCTTTCCGTAGCCTTCGTACCCTTTCGAAGCACTTACTACGCTCTGCGAGCATACTCCACTTCTGCTCGACTTCGTCCTGATCCATCATCTCGAGCATGGCGCTGGCGCTGGCGTTCGGGTCCTCCGTGACCGTGCTTTTCAGGTGAACGAGGTCATCGAGGATGTTGCCCCATTCAGTGACCATGCCGTCGACGATGTCGGCGGCGGGTCCACACGTAGCCACGAGGTCATTCAAGCCTTCCTGCGCAGTGATGGTTCAATTTGGCAGCAGAGAACCGGAGCCAAGATCCCGATGAAATGAACACTTGCCTCAACCAACGCCGTGTCTGCGGCCATTCGAGTCGCGTATGGATGAAAAGAATCGTTGGCCCCGTGTTCGGTGGCACTCTGGATGGTAGCATTGAGCTCGCTGATTCGAGCTGCTATATTTTTCTGACGATCCTCTATCGTGGACAATGAAGGACCTGTCATCGTGCACATGAGCGTGCGCATCCATCCACCCGCTGCGATCGTTCAGTCAGCCTCTGCATACATGACTAGCACAGAGTCAACGTACCCCGTTGATCCTGGGCCTGCGCTTGTAGCTCCTTCGCTTGTGCACGAAGTTCGTCTATTTCCGCCTGCACGCCGGCGTCTACGTTGCCGGCGACTTCGCGGTCGAGCTCGCCTCTGACGTTCTCTTGGGTATTTTTTAGGTTATCGGCATCGCTCGCAAGTTGCCTGTTAAATCTGTGTACTTCTTTCGCGATGACCTGAGCCTTGGATCGGTAGCGGGCGATATCCTGAATTAATGCATCGATCTCCAGCGTGAACGTCGACAGATGCAGCGCATTGTATGGCGAGTCATAGTCCGCCATATCTCTGAGGCCCTGGAAGATAACGACTGGCCAACGCGGGGGTCAGCGTGTCACTTGTACGAAGACGACCTCGCAGAGCACTCACAATATGACGCACCGTCTCCCGCGACCTTCTGCGCGTAGCTGTAGATGTCCTCGGCCATGCTGATGATGTTGACCATAGTTTCGTCTCTGAAGCTGACGCAATCGGCATTGACCTGGCCCACGATTGTCAACAAGCGCGCTAGTCGGCCTCGCGCGTCATGTCACTCACCGGATTATACACGCTCAGAAGCAGCCTGATAGCTTGAGGCAAGTCTTCAACCTCGCTAGGTATGCTCAGGCGCGTTCGGTACCCTTCCTCTGTAGTAGGCAGAAGGACGCCCGTCAAGATGTTTTCAAACAAGTTGGTGGTAGCGGCCTGCTCAAGGACGAAGAGATTGGTGTCTGTTAGGAATCCCTGTGGCGATAGGTCGGCGGACATGGCGAACGTAGAGGAGCTTCAGATGTGGGAGATAGCCAGTCGCGAGAGGGTGCTGTAGCTTGCTAGCCCTAGAAACGGGGAGCAGTCTTATATAGCGCGAATCTCTGAGGGCGTTGGTGACCAAGTGACCTCAGTGGGGGTAGTAGTGAGCCAATCGAACATCCTCCCCATGAACCGCGCCTTGGAGCGCTCAAAGCCACAATTAGGACCATGACGGGCTCGTGGAGCATAACGGCGGTCTAATGCCAGTGGCCTTCGCCGCCTGTACGCAGTGCAGACAGATGAAATCCCTGCAAAGACTTGTCAAGAACAACGAGCACTTTCCAACTTTTCCGAACCCTTCATATGCATCACAGCAGCCCATTGCGACCGGCCTTGTTATGGCTTCGGGGTCGACTCGGATCAGCAGCACGCAAGAATCGCCAAGTCCACGCTGTTAGTGAGCTGAGCGCTCCGCGCCACATGCTGGGGCCTTCTCTGGAAGCCGCTCCGCCCTAGAGTTGTAGTCGAGCAGATACCAGCAGCGGAGTGTGTCAGAACATGAATGCGGGAGGAAAGCGAAAGTTTGTCACCGGCTGTTGCCGAAATACGTCGTCACTGACCGCTCGTGACGCTGTCACAAGGCGTACAGCGTGCTTCATAGCTACGACAGGCGGACGATATGTCCGAAGGTCCTGTGCAAGCAATAACTATCACAAGTAAGTGGTAGACAGTCCTTCGAGCAATGGATACAGTGCAGGTGCAAACGACGGAGTCTAGGTGCGGTATGTACAACGAAAACTACTATATGTACGGCTATGATATTTACTAGTGGTAGCGAGTCTAGCGCCGAATTAAGTAAACCTTCCAGGAATTCTATGAATTGGCGAGGGAGGTATGTAGGCCATGCTCTATGGGTGTCAGTCCATTGTGCAATTGAAAGGTCTATAATCGTGTGCAGTGCAGTCGTCCGGGTCGTATACAGAGGTAGTCCGGTGTCGTTTGTACAGGTTAGAAGGCGCTTGAGGGGCGCTCCGAGAAGTCATCCGGTATTGATCGATTTCTCAAACAAGCTCAAGTCCCTTCGCACTAGGCGATACGGACCGGATGGACTTCTCGTCAAGCGAAATGTTGCCGAAGTGCCCCTTCTCCAAGCTCTCATTGGCGGAGAGTGTGGTGGACGTGCGCGCGTTGGATGCAGAGTCGGACGTATCGCTGACGACAGTCTTTGGCACGGGTACTTCGGCCGGACCATCGAAGAGGCTAGGACGCTGTGTGAGCTGAATAGTAGAAGTGGGGAAGAAGACGTACGCGGCGGTTTCTTCGAGGGTGAGCTGGAAGATCAGGACCTAGTGTCAGCGTCGGACGAGTGCAGATGGACGTCACCACGTACGTCCTTCGTCTCCAGCAGGTAAAAGTAGATGAAGAACGACTCGAAGGTCAGCCAGACGACGTAGAAGATCTAGTGGCCATAGGAGTTAGCTGTCTCGATGGGCCAGCGGCGCATTGACATACGTAGTACTTCCAGCTGAAGCTTCATTCATACCTGTTAGCAAGGGAGCGCGACGTTCTATCAGATACTTACCTCTCAAGTGCCACTGGGTTCACGTATCTGCGGTTATGGCGATCAGACCATAGGCAGATAACAAGTAGCGCAAACATACTGATTGAAGATGGTCGAGAGCGAACCTGCCAAGGCGAAAATGGTAAAGCCCTTGGCGCGAAGGTGGAATGGCAATATTTCGACGGTGTAGCTTGAAAAGAAAAGTGATCAATCAAGGTGAACCTAGCCGCGCTAATGAGGCACGCACGATACGATTAGGGGAGTGAAGGCAATCTAGAAAGGGTCAGCAAGCATACACCACCGAGTCCGAATGAGCGCACATCGTCTGAGCAACATCGTTAGCCATGATTGGCACTCCTTTGCTCGAGAAGGACTCACAGAAGGCAGAGTACAAGAAGATCATTGCCACGACAGCATGTCCGGCCGCGATGCTCCCCGTCTCTGAATGGATACCGAAACAGATCGTCTGTCCAGTCCAGAAGACGGTCATTCCTAGTAAGATCATCAGCGCGACATTCCGTGTGAGGTTAGAAGAGCGCACCAATAGTCGAGGCAAGGAACAACGGACGTCTGCCCGCTTTGTCGCAAAGAAGGCCGGCGGAGATGGCAATGATGAAGTTGTAGATGTTGAGGATGCCGTTCTAAACGAGGTCAGGAAGCGCAATCGACAGCTTTAGGGCAGACTCACGATGAGAAGCTGCATGGTCGGGTCGGTGACTGGTGCGTTAGGTCAGCGATGAAGCGGAGTCTAGCTTATGAAGATGTACGCACTGCCGATGGCGTCGAAGACCTTGCCCAAGTCTGCAAGTCTCAAGTCAGCTCGGCCGAATAGCCCTTTCTATAGATCGTACAGTAGGAGCTGCAGTCTTGTCAGCACGCTGCTTTCCAATGAAGAAAGTTATACACACATCAATCCATTCCCTGACCACTGCGAGAAGCATGCGAGCGCGATGATAATCCTCAGGCGCCTCCTGTTCCCGGGCGTCTTGACGAGGCTTAGCCAACCGTTCTGCTGGGCAATCTCTGCGTCGCGTTCGAGTGCGGTCTTGATCTCTTGAAACTCGTGCTCGACGAGGGGAGCGTTCCTTGGGAGTTACGAGGGTCAGTGGGGTATGGAATCAAGGAGCCTTTACGCACTTGTCACCATTGGCGTGGTAGTACGATAGCACGTGCAGAGCCTGGTCATTGCTGTATATGTCCTGGATTTAGCACGGGGGGCCCAAGTTCTAATCGACAATGCCTTACCGCCCCTTCGACATAAGCCACCGCGGGCTCTCCGGCACGAACCAAATCATGAACACCTGCAGCACAGACGGCAAACCCTGCAGCGCGGAAGGGATGCGCCACGACCAGCTGTTGGGTATGTGGAACGTGCCGAAGGTCGTCCAAGCGGCGATGATGCTGCCGAGGAACCTATTCGACGTGGATCAGCACCGTTCGGCGCAACGTCAAGTCAAAAGGGGGACGCACCACAGCGAGTTGTACAACGACGTCGCCTGCGCGCGCTGCGTCGGGAACGCTACCTCGGTGATCAGAAGCGGCGCGGCGGACGCGGCGAAGCAGCAGCCGAACCCGAGGAGGAAGCTGGCAGCGTTGTTAAATTGTTTGTCCTGAACTTTGCCAGCACGTACCGGGCCCCAATGAACATTTGGATCGTGTTAGATGCGCTCTGCAGCACAGTCCCGACGATCATGATGGTCGCGCCGAGCACAATGCCTGACCGTCTCCCGAAGCCATCGTTGAGGTAAGGCGAGAGTGGGAGGGCGATGAGACCGCCGATACCCTGACGATGGTGAGATAGGAGTCAAGGAAGGGGATTATAGAAGAGGCCTACCTGGATAGCGTTCAAGATACCGAGCTGCGTAGAGTTAATGTGGAGCACGCTAGATCGGAAGGACGAACGTACCTCTTGACCGGCTGGGTGGTCGAAGTCCTCTTGCCATTGTTGCAAAGATTGAAGACCGTCTGGAAGGGAACGTGCGTGAGCAATGGAGGGAGGAGATGAGCGATAATGTACGCACTCATCATGCTGCCTATGTCGACTTGTTAGTGACAGCATTCACGGCAGTGCATATCGCCACGCACCATCATAGCCGTTCGTCGCAGAGGTGACAAGACTGTCGACGGGTGAATTGGAGGGAACTGAGGGAAAGATATGGATACGAACAGCAGGGCGATGCACGCATTCAGTAGGACAAGGCCTGCAGTGTGTACTCCAATCAGCTCAGCCCATTGTTCGAAGAGCAAGCCACGTACGCGAGTTCGTATACCATGGTTTCGACAAGTCCACGAGATGCGAGAAGTCCGTCCCGCCGGTAGCTACTACAGGTCCTCCACCCATTTCAGCGAAAACGTAGAGATCGGGGAAGGCAGAAATTAGGATGGAGTCGTAGGGGTGAGGGTCAACGGGAAGGATTGGATTCTCAAGAGAGCGAAGCCGAAAAGGAATGACAGGTGGGGTGCTCGTTGAGCGGTGAGCCAGCGAGCGTCTAGATAAAGTCTAGTGAGATCAAAGTGGAAAGAAAGAACGTCGTCGTCGGGGACACCACCATCCCTTTTCTTCGTCACAGCCGCGCGCCGACGAGCGCCACGCGAGGGTGATGAAGAAGCAGTTCGGAGATGGGGAAGCTGTTCATTTGTGGCCATCGTGCAAGGCTATCAGGAGGCTATTGATCCGGTTATGTGGCTTGATTGTGAAGGCCTCCGGATGTGCTGCACGGCCCTTCCGAAGGAAGGGTCTGAAAGGCGAAGGACTACTATGCCACTTTGTCGCGGGAGGCTCAGCGAAATCTTGAGCTGGACCAAAGCTGTCTATGGGGGTTTTGAGATGACGTCGGAAAGGGTCGCAAAGTTGGATCACGGTTACGGGCAGCGCGGAAAGTCCGCCTTGAGGAGTGGCGCAAACCCTCCGAGATGGCGCATTCCGTCTGCGTCCTGGTCTCCGCGCACTGTATATTTCACCGTATATATTCCGAGGGCAGAGTCGCGGCCGTGCGCTGATGTCGAGGAGCAATTAGGCATACAGGCGACCAATAAAGGCACCTTCGAACAAGATGAAGACCAACGATGGCCGTCCGGACGAAGACGCGCGTCGACGCCCAAAAGCAAGAAAGAAAACAATGCCGCAGTCTGCACGTGCGCTGCCGCAAAAACGGCACTCGCCGAGACCGCTGACCTGCGACAGGAAGTTGGCGCTTACCTTTACCTTCGAATGCTGGGACGCTTTCGACGCTTCACCTACGGCTCTACAATACACTGAAATGGGATCCAATCAGCTGCCCACTGCGACGAAACAGCTCATGTGCTACTCGCCCTCCAAACCGGAAACTGGGACGACCACAGCTGCAGTGAACTTACATCTTCCCCCTCGTCAAGGGGGAAAGCCGGTTTGTCAGGTTAACAACACCTTCGATACAGTTCGAACAACACTCAATGAGAACGCGCTTGGCGTACTCCTTACCGACTTGAACCCGACTAAGCACCTTGTGCTCTGTCCTTCTTGTCTCACGTTCGTTTTAAGGCCACTCCCATACGAATTGTCTCTTGTTGTCGCCTTGAAGGAGGTTCGGATGAACTTGGCACTGGGCGAGACGGCAGTCCAATTTCATGCAAGTCGGTCGTGAGTCGGGAAGCATTGCTTGGTGTGTGCTACTTCACCTTGCGTCGGCCCCTTCTGACCAGTCATATAGTGAACGATAGAGCTTTCAACGCTCCCTACGGACTTAAGTGAAGTCAGAACAGTATGGAACATGCTACACAGATCATACCAAGACCATACAGCCTACCATTTGACGTCAATTCACGACCGTTCCATGCACAAGCAAACTATACATGTTATCCAAATTTCCCCACTTCCTCCAGAGATCGATCCTTCGTCTTCTTCTTCTCCGATCGATCCTTCGCTTCCAGTGCGTGCTATTGTAGCGCGGTTCTGTTTTCATGTGAGGGAATCGTTATTTTTGCCCAGCTTCCTTTCGCTGGCTATTGTCCAACGGGTCCCTGCATTCCGTCCGACGCACACCGAGGAGTATTCACTGACGACTTCTTGGCAGCTACCGAGCCCACGGTTGTTCTTAGCCGCCGAGAGCACAATGGAGGTCGTATCGGCCCAGCGTCATGGGGCTTGCCGCACGGTAGAAGCGTGTTGTACACCCCCTGTGAGCAGCGAACTTGGTCCCCGCGCTTCGCTCACATGCCAGCGAGATGGAGAAGAGACAGTTGCTGTGGTCCACCAGCCGGGCTGCGCATGACGCCCCAGTCGGTATGCTCTCGCGCGGTGAGGGGCCGTGGCTCTCGGTGGCCAATTCGGGTGTGCCTTCAGGGCCTATCCATTTGCGCTTACAATACACAGGACCTCTAGATTGGGCAGCCTGGTTCCAGGATGCCCTTCGGGGTGTCCTTGGGCTATGCGCCGATCCGGGGCTCGAACGCAGCCACCGGGCGGGGGAGGTTCATGTTCGCCGCATGTCTGCACGCAGTCCGGAATAGGCAGGTCCACGTGCCCCGAATCTTCTCGCGGGCTGATATCGTGTCTTTGCCTCGTGCGCGTCGGTATCGTTCCTTGTCGCCAACCGTCATGGCGCCGCCGCCGCCTCCCCCTCCCCCGCCACCTCCGCCGATGTGCTTGCCCTTTGTGGGCAAGAAGACCAAGCGGATATCGTGGGAGCCGCCCCCCAGCATCCAGGGCTCACAGCTGATCCGCAACGCATCCTACTCCTCATCCTCCACGTACTCGTCGATGCGCGAGAAGAAGGGCGAAAGCATTACCTTCCACTCCGACTCCGAGAACTACGGCGACATCCCCGACTTGCCCAACTCCAAGGGCGACCGCCCGAAGCTCTCCCGATCAAACACGATGACTGGCACCAAGAAGTCGTTCGCGAGCAAGCTCGGGTACGGATGGGGACTGGGGCGCAAGCAGAAGGAAATGGAAGCGCAGGTGGAAGAAGAGGAGTATATGGAGGAGAAGTCGTTCTCGCAGACCAGTCAGGCCAGCCTGCCGCCCTGGGAGCCTCCGGTGCGGAGCAACTCAAAGTCCACGCAAGCTAGCCGGGTCACGTCAAACAGCAAGAGAACCCTCCCTATCCCCCCACCCAGCAACCACATGAGCCCTCAGCCCAGCCGCTCCAACACTCGCTCGTCCGACAAGACTGTCACCAGCCGTCCCACCCACGTCTCCCGTGTCTCCTCCGGTTCGAGGCGACACCCTGGCCACGATTCCACGAGCACACTCGTTGGCTCTGCTTACGAGCGAAAAGTCAATGAGCTGGATACCGTCCCCGAGAAAGTCAACAGCTCCGAGCGCTTAGCTCAACTGCGGGCTCTCATGGAGAAGGAGAACCTCCAGTACTAGTGCGTACCCAGCCTTCTTTGTTCGCTACATTGTACTCATATTCGTCACTCCTAGTGTCGTACCCTCAGAAGATGCGCACAACTCGGAGTACGTCGCTCCCACCGACAAGCGCAGGGAGTGGATTTCGGGGTGCGTGTGCCGTCTTTGCGAAGTTTTCCCCGACACTGACTCAGCACAGGTTCACGGGCTCGGCTGGTCAGGCCATCATCTCACGGAACAATGCATATCTGGTAACAGACTCGCGTTACTGGTTGCAGGCTCGTGATCAAGTAGACTCGAACTGGACGATCATCGAGGCGGGCAAGCCCGGCCAACCCAAGGATTGGATTGACTTCCTTTCGGTGCGTAGAGAATGCCATTTTCTGGCGTCGATACTGATTGTTTTCCGTTAGTCCCGTGTCAAGGACGCTAAGATCGGGATTGATGCGCGCATGATCTCGCATGAGAAGGCCACGCTGCTGAACTCGAAGATACATCCCCTCGGGTCCAAGCTTGCCTACCCTCCCCAGAACCTCGTGGACCTGATCTGGCGCGAAAAGCCGCAACGGTCCAAAGCGTCCATCTTCCTCCACGGCCTCGAGTTTGCCGGCGAAAGCGCGAACTCGAAGATTGCGAAGGTCCGCGAGTGGATCCGGAAACAGCCGCCCGACGTCCCGTCGTACTCCCGCTCGGCCCCTCGCGCGTCGCAGCAGCACGTCGGCACGCTCATTACCTCCCTCCCCGCCATCGCCTACCTGCTCAACCTTCGCGGCTCGGATATCCCGTTCAACCCGGTGTTCCAGGCGTACCTCTACATCGCGCTCAATCCCTCCTCGAAGCACCCGCACACGCTCTTTGTGGACCCGGTCAAGATCAAGCCGGAGATCGATGAGTACCTGAACTCGATTGACGTTGTGCGGAGGGACTATACGGAGCTTTGGGCATGGCTGCGGTTACGCCAGTGGGGCGATGGGAAGGTCATCATCTCGCCGGAGACGTCGTACGCGGTGTCGCTCATGCTGACGCATATGCGGTACACCATCGCACCGTCGCATGTCGAGGTCTTGATGTCGGTCAAGAATGAGACGGAGCTGGCTGGCATGCGTCGCGCGTACATCCGCGACGGTATCGCTTTCGTAAGTAGCCCTCTTCATCAGCATAGCTCCATAGGCTAACCCAATTGTAGACCCGGTTCCTTGCGTGGCTGGAGAACAAGATGGCGCAGGGCTATGAGGTCACGGAATGGGAGGCAGGTCACCGCCTTACTGAGTTTCGCCGTCAGCACAAGCCAGAGTGGATGGGATTGGCATACGAGAACATATCGGCGACCGGCCCCAACGCTGCGCTGCCGCACTACTCGCCCAAGAAAGGCAATGCTCTGGTCATCTCGCGCGAGACGCCGTATCTCAAGTAAGTCGTCTTAGAACCTCTCTTTTTGCTGGTTATCTTACATTTTCGGAGTGACTCTGGAGGCCAGTATCGCGACGGCACCTGTGACACGACTCGCACTATGCACTTTGGTAGGCCCACACCAGAGATGTGCGAGGCGTATACGAAGGTGCTGCAGGGTCATGTAAGTCTTCTATGCCCACCTTCCCTGCCTGAACAATCGTACTGACTCAGACGTAGATCGCCATCGATACCGCGATATTTCCGGAAGGAACGTCCGGGCAGCAGCTTGACGTTCTGGCACGGCGAGCCTTGTGGAAGGATGGGTGGAACTACATGGTACGTTCGATCGATAATTGTTGAAGTGGGTCGTACTGATAAGTTGGCTAGCATGGCACTGGGCATGGGTTCGGTCAGTTCTTGACCGTCCACGAGGGTCCGCATGGTTTCTCGAGCTCGATACCGCTGGTTCCTGGGCATGTCATCACGAACGAGCCTGGCTTTTGTAAGTCGAGAGGACAAGGGTAACCTATCAATGGACTAACCCCTTCCGACAGACAACGCTGGCCAATGGGGCATGCGCATTGAGTCCGCGCTCATCGTGACGCGCGTCAACGTACGTTCATGCCCTTGCCTCAACGAGGGTCACCTTGCTAACCACCGTTGTAGACTCGACGCGAGTTTAACGGGCACATCTGGCTCGGTTTCGAGCGCCTGACCTGCGTGCCGATCCAGACGCGCATGGTGAAGGAGGCCATGCTGACAAAGGAGGAGAAGGCCTGGCTCAAGGACCACAACCAGCGCTGCTACGAGATCCTCGCGCCGTACTTGAAGGACGACAAGACGACCCTCAAGTGGCTCAGGCGAGAGGCAGAGCGCGGTATCGGTCTTGCCAACCCCGCAGCCGGCCTTACCATCGACTGGGATTAGGTCGACGTCTGTTCCCCCAAGACGACTCGCTTCCCGTGACGACTCTCGTGCGCATGCCTAACCCCCGGGCACGCCACTCTTGACGACTGTAGACCCGTGCAGGCGGGCGCCGCTACGACGGACGAAGACAGGATCTCTGGAGGTATATTGTTATTTAGATGACCCGACTTACTTATTATCTGCTCTCGCTGTCTAACCCAGAAGCCTTTTACTTACTTCATCTGACCCTTCATCTAACAACACCCAAGCCCCTCCTCCCTTACAGTGTGCACTACCTGTCCATAACCTACGCTCCTCGGAGACACCCTTCTTCGTCTGCTTGTCGTGTACATTATTTTCCGCTTGCCTTTGCTTCGGGTATGATACTTTATTTGACTGACCGTGTTCAAAGTTACGAATCATGTACGGATAGGATATAACGTATGTTTATATGATTGCGCGCAGGCGTTATCTGTATATCGGTGGGGTGGCTTCAAGACTGGAGGAGCAAGAGATGGTATCGGTGAGTGCATGGTGCACCCCATTAGGCGATCGCGGCTTCTGCTGCCTCCCTTCGCTGTCGGAGGATCTCGGCGCTGGACTGGAAGGCGGCTTCTACTTTTTGTAGGTAGACGTCGGTGTTCTCGTCTTGCATTGTAGAAGGCGGGACGTCGAGAATGAACGATGGCGCATATGCGGGGAAAAATGTGTGGTCAGGGATGGGTGTGCTTAGAGGGAGCGGGCGGTCGAGCTGCGGGCGAGGTGAGTTAGCGGACGTCGTCAAGAGTTCATACTAGCATGAGCTTACAGCGATTGACGTGAGATAGGCGTATGCCCTAGCAGCGTTGGGGTGGTTGTAGCCACCTGAGGCATCGTCAACACGAGGACATCGGAGAAGCAAAGCAAAGCTCACCACCACCAAGCAAAAGCGTCTTAACACCCCACCGATTCACAACTCGGTCCACACACCAACCCAGAGAGCCCAGCGCAAGACGCTCGCCACCATCCACGTCCATCCCCGCCTCTTCATCCACATCGTCCTCATCCTCCCCACCCAAACTCCAGCCCCCGATCCCACACTTGTCGCCCGCAAGTGCATCGACGCCGCACTGCAATACGACGTAGTCCGGCAAGAACGCGTCGCGGATGGACTCCACGGACGGCCACGTGCGCGCGAGCGTCGCGTTGTTGTAGCCTGGCAGGAGGGGGAGGGACAATGTGTAAGGATCGCGGGGAGGGGGTGGGGTTAGGCGGAAGGCGGTGGGTGAGGTGGTGGGTGGAAGGTCTGAGAGGGGGGAGATGGGGAAGAAGCCAGGTGCTGCGTGGTGAATGCTGAGGGTCTAAAAATATCGGGGGAAGCAAATAAGTAAGGAGATCCCAGGCAGCGCAGCCTGATGTACGTACAAGTACTTGTGAAGTACCAGCATTGGCGAGATTGGGATTGTGGAATGCATGCGAGACGCCATCGGAGAAGTGCAGGTCGAGGTCGAGATACATAACGCGTGGCTTGCGCGTTGGGTGGCTCGCAGGAGGCAGATCATTCTCGCACATCTGATCCCCTCCATTGGGCAAAGGCAAAGGTATTGGTGGCGCCTTCTTTAGCGCGAGGATTGCCAGGACGCAGTCAGCGACGTAGCAAAAGCCGGAGGCGCGTGCTTTCTGTGCATGGTGTCTGAAAATCGTTCAGCATAATTTCTGAACCATCGCAACTGAGAGTCATAGATACCTTCCTCCATCCCAAGCTATAGCCACGTCCGCGAACCCCTTCATCAAAGCTTGTGCTCCTGTCAAAGATGCGCCTGCCACGAGTGGCACATATTTCTCCAGGCCGCGAAAGAGAGGACAATCATCTTCAAGACCAAGATCATCTTTCTCGTCCTCGTCATCACCCTCTTCTGAGTTATCGTGTCGCCTCAGAACGCGGTCAAGGTATTCTCTAGTGTGGTAAACCGCTAAAGCGTCGTAAGAGGCTGGCTGTGGATTTACGACTCGGACAGTGCGCCGTGAAGATTCCGAACTTGTCAGAGAGACCTCCGAGTCATTTTTCAGCAATCCAAGAGCTTGAACGAGGGAGTGCACGAGGAGAGACCGATTTGTGTTCGCAGGTAACCGAGAGGAAACCTAGCACGAAGAAAACACAAGGGATGTTCATCATCAATTTGATAGACCCTGAACATAGATATCACCTGTATAAGTTCCTTGTTGACGACGTATGCGACGTTTCTACGTGCAGTGGCCATTCGAATCGGTTTTCGCGAGTGGCCGTGACGGTCAAGTTGAAGTTCGAGACGGTCACGTGCAACGCGCGCTTGTCCTTGTTTGGTGCGAGCTTGGTCCCGAATAGCCTTGACCGTTTTCCCTTCATCCTCTCTTAGACTCAACACCCATCTTGGCATCCCTCCATCTCCACCTCGGAGCTTTGTCCACCATTCCTTTTGTCCACTGACTAGACTGGTCTGAGACACGTGAACTGGGTCTTGTCCTTGCACCGTCGCGTCTCCCCTCACTCACGATCAAGCGCGTTCTTAAGCCTCGTCGACGTTCTCGACTCGCCTCTGTTATAAACTCATCTCAATTGAACCTGAGAACTGCTCCAGAGATGCAGAACACCGAGCCCGTAGTCAGGAAGCCAGGTAGGTCGCCGATCGTAGCGATGGTCGAGATCGTGCTGACAGTCCGCTAGCAGTCGCGCGGTGGCTGCCACCAATTCCCCCTACTACGCAAGGATCGCCTAGTACGGTGTCGACGATCTCTACCTTTCCGACCCGCTGGCGGGTCACCAACGTTCAGAATTCCCCTCAAACTCAAGCCTCGAATAGTCCCCCAACCCGGTCGACCGCGCATACGAACTTTCCGACGCAACGCTCGATACCCCGGCACGCCCCGCCAACCCCTGCAGTCCAAACTCGACGCGTCAAGTTCGCTGCTACGCCTTCTCGCGTGCCCTTCGCCCCCTCGTACTCGTCTTCAAGCACTCTGACTCGCTCGCCTCTTGCGTCGTCGCCATGGATCAACCAGACAGTTTCTGCATCGCCTAATGACGAAACCGCATCATTTGCATCGTTCTCATCGCACTCATCGCTGTATCCGTCAATCCGTGCAGGCTCACGGACCATCGTCAACGCACCACCAACCACAACTGCTTACGCGCTTGCCACCAATGCCTACTCGCCCCAGGTTCCCATCAATGTATACTCTCCTCCTGCGAACGCAAGATTGGTAGAACCCCGGATTCATCGCCCGCGAAGAGCCTTCGTGCCTCGAGCTTCGCCTTCTAATCTATCTCTTGGAGCGTCGAGCCCTGCGAGCTTCGCGTCAACCTACACGACTGCAAGTGCCTCAGCCGAAGCGTCTGCGAAATCCATCAAGCGCTCTCCGAAGCAAGTTACAACTCTACCGTTCTCGGTCGACTCTCTGCGCGCTTTGGTCCCATATATCGATATTGATGCTTCGGATGTGCTGCAAGTGCAGAATATGTTCGTCAAGGGTCGCATGTGCCCTGAATGCGGCGATGATCTGCCTTCAGTGGGCCGGCAAGTGAGTTGTATTTTCCCGTTCGTGGGCACCGTTGACTAGCTTGCAGCTCTGGCAAACCAACGAGACCCCTCAAGACACGGCAGCCTTCCTTCGCATTCGCTGCCCAAGCTGCCAAGTTGACTACTGTTGCGGCTGTCTTGCCGACTGGAAGTCTTGCGCCGCCCAGCTTCGTCGCCCGACCTTCCCGGCCTCCGATGCACCTTGTGCGAAGGGGTGCGCCATCGGCGTCTTCGAGATCCTCGACGCCCTCGATCGTGCATGCGTAGCACATCCGCTTCGTGCTGAAGAGGTACCCCTCATGCTCAAAGCATCTTGCGAGCTTCTCGCTCGTGTTCTTGTTCATCCGTTCCACGGCGGCGACTCGCACCAAGCTATCGGAGTCCTACTGGCTGCCTCCCGCCTCCCGGCCCTTCTCGTCCTCCTCTTCGCGCGCACGACAACTACGCAGCTCTGGATTGCGCGAGCCGAGCTCTACCGCGCCGCGCTCGACGTCCTTTGGCGCATCGTCGGCACCCCCGAAATCCTCGTCGGCCTCATCACCCTCCCGCGCGTTCTACGCACCTGCGGGCTGCGCGCATGGATCGTGGGCGAGGGTGAGATCTCGTGGTCAGTGGCGCGGGATGGAAGTGGAGGGATAAAGGAGCTAGTGATGGTATTGGCGGAGAGGAGGCTGGAGCTGGAGAGGGAGATGAAGGGGGCGGAGGCGGAGGTAAAGAAGACGTTGGGGTTGCTTGTGGGGGATATTATTGCGGTGGAGAAGCAGGCGAAATTGGCTTCGTTGTCTTGAAGGGCTGCTGTGTTACATTATATTTTTACTGTATTTCCCTCTAATGCGTGAACATCGTGTTCCGATCGTCGTATGTGCGGGCGTGAGGGTACTGAGAACGAAACTCCTGTGTTGGTCTGTGTACGAGATGTGGACATTCACGAGTCAGGCCTTCAGGCCTGAAGTTGTGTCACCTCCGCTGGCGGGTAGTATGAGCGCTGCTCCTTGCAGCGAACAATGGAACGGCCGTATGTGCAAGGCTGGCATGGTCCGTGGGCGTAAAATCGTCATCATTCGCGCGTGACTCGGTTTGCTTTCTCCTTCGCCCCCTTCCCCTGCGTCTGCCACTTTGTACAAGACAGCATTACGAGCGCGACAGGCAAGCCCGAGACGAACGAAGCCGGCAAGATTTCGGAGGAAAGCTTGGGAGATCCCTCCGCTGGGGGCTGTGATCAAAACAAACACAAAATGAGAAATAAAGGTGCAGCGCCCCTTGCCTCCCACCATACCGTGGCGTCGGCTGCTCATTCTCACATCTCCGGCTCTGCCCTACTCCCAGCTCGTCCGCTCCAGCGCGACAGGACGGTCACACTGCTAGCCGAGGACTCGCAGTCTCCTTTTGCGCCGACAACCGAGAACATCGACCAGCCTATCCACGACAACATCGCCTTCCCGGCGTCTATCCCGTTTCCCTCGCCCTTCGCCCTGTCCCCGGACCTCTACCAGACATTCCACTTTGCCCCGCGCATGCAGGAGCAGCCCTTTTTCGCGCTGCAACAGCCGTTTTTCCCGACGCACGACGCCCACGGACAGTTTGCCTTCCCACACGCGCAGTTCGCCTTCCAGCAGCAGATGCAGCCGCCGCCGCAGATGCAGCAACCGCAAGCTGAGCACATTCCGGGCAAGGGCGACTACGAACTGCTCAAGCAGGTCAAGGACGCCATCCTCAGCGGGCAGCATGAACACTACAAGCCGCTTCCGAAACCCGCTGCTCTCGCCGACCTCTACATGGGCCAGCTTCCGGCCGACCTGACTGCTCGACTGCAGGCGTCTACCAACCGCAGCTCGATCTCATCGCAGGCTACGGAGCCCTTGACACCGACAACGGCAACGTCGGCGACGACGAATATGGACACCAACGGAATGTCCCAGGACCATATCGACGAGCCAAGTCATCCACCGCCTCGCTTGCAAAACAAGGAGCAGCAGAGGAGGCCATCGGCGGCTACTGCAGTGCGTAATAGTCTGCTATGAGATGAACGTTAACTGACGTCGCCACGTAGACGCCAACAACCCATACGGCCCCGGCCAATGCCAATGGTGCTTCTGCTCCTCATACTAATGGTGTCAAAGCTTCTGGCTCAATGGTATCGGAACCTGAGAGACCTGCGTCGCACAAGCCCCCTCCATCCCGACCCGTCGACAATCCCTCCCCCGTCAAGACCGAGCCTATCGATCCGAAGGCAGTGCCTCCCCCTCCTCGCGTTCCCAACGGTACTTCTGGAGCTATTGAAAAGGACCCCCGCCATGCGGCGGTCAAGGCCGATGCCGCCGCGAGACTTGCTCGTGAAGACGCGGAAAGAGACCGCAATCGCGAAAGGGATAGATCTCTCGAGCGCCAGAGGGAACGTCGTGACAGCCTCTCGAGACCTGATTACCGTGACCGCCGCTTGTCCGATGCTCGACGTCCTGTGCCCGGTGACCGTCATTATGAACCCAGCAGCTACGACCGGCCTCTTCCGCCTCGCGAAGAGTTCAGGCCTCGTGTTGACGATCGCCGGCCGCCTCCCAGGGACCCTCCTGCCACCTATGAACGGGCTTCTAGTGCTGCCCCACGTCCTCTTGCTGCCCGTATTGCTCCGGTTGACTCCAAAGTTGGTCTCACGGAAAGTAAGAGTTTGTCCGCTCTTGGTGATGCTCGACCAACTACTGCGGTGCCTCGTACTGTTGACCCTGTCCCGGGGGTCCGTCCTGCTGAGCCCCCTCGCCCGCTGGAGGACCGCATCGGGCCCCCTCCTTCGTCTGGTAGGCCCTTGCATGAGCGTATTGGACCTGCTGCTGGTTCGGGGAAGCCTATTTTGGAATCCCGCATCTCTGACCCGATTTCGCCGACAAGTCGGCCTTCGAATGCGAGCGCTTCGGACCGTGGTCGACCCGTGGCTCCCGTGGCTGATCATGATCGCTCCTATAGGCCCAGTAGCCCTGCCCGCGCTGTCTATCCCCCTCGTGCTGCTTCTGTTCACCCTCGAGACGATGCCAGACCTGCACGGGGCTCTTCGCCTATCCGTCCACGTGACACACGCCCGACGGAGCTCAAGCCCAGTACGTATCGCCCTGGGGAAGACGACCGATACGACCGCAGGCGGGACTCCATGGACGTCGACCGCTCGCTACCGAGGACGATCTACGACCGAACATTTTCCCCGCCCACGCCAGCGCAGCTGGCCCTCGACCAGGAGCGCGCCCGCCGGAGCCATTACGCGCCCCCTGCCTCACCCCCTCCGCCCCCTCGGGCTCGCGTCGCAAGCGACGCCGCGTACGACAGCGAGCGCCGGTACCCGCCCGCGACGCGCGACTACTACGCCTACGACCGCGAGCGCGTGCGCGAGCTCGACGACGAGCTGTACAAGCGGCGCGAACGCGACCGCTACGAGCGCGAGCGGGACCTCATACCGCCGTCGCGCGCGCTGTGGGAGGAGCGCGAGCGGGAGCGCTCCCCGCCGCGCAGCGTGTTCGACACGGTGCGCCCGCCGCTGAGCGCGAGGATCACGGATAGCTACGGTGCGCCGGTGGATGATCGATACCTCGACCGGCGGTACGACTCGGGGTCCGTGCGTCCGGCGTCACCACCGTATACGGGGCGTGTGCGCCCTCGGAGCCCGAGTCCAATGGGTCGTCGTGCGGGCGAACCGCCCGAGAAGCGGCGGAGGGAAGAATTGTATGCGAGCGAGTATCTGGGGAGCCGGGCTGAGTATGCGCCGCCACCGAGGGCGGCCTCGCCGCCGAGATACTACGATGCACCGGGGTCGTCCGCCGCTGCAGTGGCGAGGGACTACGATAGGGACTACCCACGGTCGTCTGCATACCGTGCGCCGTCGCCGCCGCCCAGATCGGGGTCAGCTGCGTACTTGCCTCGCTATCGCGACGAGGACAGGCGCTACCCACCGCGTTGAGGTGAGTTGCATGCTGAGTGGCAGGGGCAGTTGGGCTGATTGTGTAGGTCATGACAGCAACCGCGACGCAAGGGACTTGAAAGTGATCTATCGACTCGGTAATAGTTATGCTTGAATCAATCTATGCCAATAATCTATATATCTACGGAACCATGTAAATAGGGCTACAGGATGTCAAGCGAAGTAAAATATGTGCTCTCATTCGAGGGATTCATTTGTGGCGTGAGGCAAGGAGGTGAAGTTGTCTCTTCCTTGGGTGGTCGAGCGAAGAAGGGCCGAAGACGAACATCCGAACTGTCTCCCGGTTCTCAGGAAGCTCTGCGAGAGATCACCCCCCAGGCTACTGTCTGCAACTACTCGCTCGTCGCCACCGGAGATAACACTTACCATAAAAGGGCACCAAGGCACTGGTCCGTGCACCCGCCTGGTCCGTGCGTCGTCCAGAAGTATAAAGGCCGTTCCTTCACACCCCGATTCCTTACCACTCTGGCCTTTTGGCTTAGATCAAGTGTAGTATCTGTTCTTAAAAGTTTAACCACTTTTACCGAAGCACCGCTTCGTGTTATGGTTATCCAATTTTTGTCGCCCCTGTTCCCTGGGCTCTGCTTGCAACCCGGGGACGCGATGACCTTGCCACTGCAGTACCGGCTTGTGTCGTCGGGGGAATCTTCCTCTTCTCTTTGTGCTTTTGCTTTATCCGACGCCTGTAGGCAGTTGGAAGGCAGGTGCAAATAGAAGTTGGATTGTTGGCTTCGCTGTATTTTCGGTCTTCGGAGTGGTCGTAGGCAGCGTGGGATGGAAGTGGAAGATGGGTCAAATATTTGTTCGCTTTGATTGGAGGCTGTTTCTGAAGAGAACACGACTGGAAGACCGAGGCCATGTAAACCCTCTCGAGTTGAGACTGTGAGATGGACATGCCATATCCTTACAGTGTTCATACAAAGTCATTCTGCATTCCCGTGGTTGAGAAAGGCCTCAGAAAGCAAAAGCCAAATGAATGGCAAAGTTACAATGAGTGTACAAATAATGTATGTAAGTAGGGAGCAAAGTGCTTGCCCAGAGGCAGCCCTGGTCTACATAGTCTCCGTCCATTATCCGTCTAGTGTCTATCGTATGCGCGCAATAACCTCGCGCGTTACATAGTGCCATATATAATGTGTCCAGCCCTCCATGACACCAGAACCGCCCATGATGTGGAGGCAGTCGCTCGAGACGTGCTATGGGGGCGTTAGACGCGTGTTCCCCGTGCGCAGAGCGGAGAGGACGTACCGCGTCTGGGCGCAATCGCGCTGGGTGGTCAATACCAAGGTAGTGAATGTCGCGGAAGCGTGACGAGGACACGATGTTCTAGACCTTCGTCAGCCGACAGCGAAGGAGGCAAGGACGCTGAACGCACCTCGAAAACGTGGTTCAACTCTCCGATGTTCGCCCAATTATACCAGTTCCATTTATACGGCTGTACTTCCGTCCACGGCTTGCGATGGTCGTGGCAGTCTTCGTGGCCGGGTAGGTACGCTCGGATGACCACCTGTCGCCGCGTACGCTTATCCCGCGCCTCGTCAAGCAGTTTCTGCACGTCGGACGCCCACTTCTCCATCGCATGCCCGAAGAACTCGATCACGCCGTCGATGCCGTACCCTCTGTCCACCGCCGAATCGTCGCGGAAGCCCGAGAATAGCGTCGTCGTCCAATGGCCGCCCGTGCTGATGATTAGGGTGCCGTAGTGATTGGCGGGGTCTGTAAATATCCTCACATACTCCTGCGGGGATAACGCCCAGAACGCCTCATCGCTGATAAGCTCGAAGTCTGGTGGCGGGTTGTACAGCTCGCGATGCAGCGCGATGAGCTCGTCGCCCGTGAGCAGCGTGTCGACGCGGCGGAAGGTGACAAGGGGCGTGCCCGTGACGTTAAACCCGCGCGGGAGCTTTAGACGCTGCACGACGGGGGACTCGGGGTTGAGGTACATGTTCTGCGGCCAGGCGCGGTCAAAGTAGGGGTTCTTGTTGTAGTCCGGCGTCGCGATGACATGGGGGTAGAGCAGGCACGAGATGGACGCAAAGTGGCCCTCGGTGATCGAGTCTGGGGCGCGCGTCAATGTCGGGCGTAAGAAGAGATCGCGCGCACGCACCTCCGATGAGCAACCAGCCGCCCTGCTGGACGAGGTCCTTCAAAAGCTCCTCCGCGCGGAAGGTGCGGATATCGCACTCGTCGCTCGGGACCCAGCGGTACGAGAACGCGTCCGGGAAGCGGTCCCACTGCGCCTCGTTGTCGACGGCGAGGTGCCAGTAGTACTCGCGCGAGCTCGCGCAGCCCTCGAAGCCGGCGAACTCGAGCGCCTCGTCCTTGTTCGTCATGACCGTCTTGTTCGTGCGCGGTGCGTACTCCCAGTGGCCTTTCGCGTAGGCCTCGGGCGTGCATGTCGAGCGCACGCGCTCGGTGAAGAAGGGGATTTCGGGGAGGGTGAGCGTGTGGGTGGGGCCGATGGTGAAGACGTAGGTGAGGAGAATCAGGGTAAGGACGGCGCCGAGGACGATGAGCTTCGTGTAGAGCGAGCGGAAGTTGACGCCGAGCGTCGTTAGCGCCGCCATGGTGGTTGCGGACGATGGTGCGCAGCAGCGAGATCGCCGTATGTTATTGATCTTCGGTCCGGGCGCTACGTCATCGCTCAGGAAATATTGTCAAGGTACCGAGGAGCTGTAATGAGGCTGCAGACCCTCGCTGGTTCAAAGGGTCAATGTGGACCGAAGATCAGCGAAAGATGACGGAAGGAGACAAGAGCCAAGAAGAAAATGGGTCGAACGAGTTCGTGACCACTAACGTGATTAGAAACAGGTCACGGTTCGAACTCTGAACGATCTATTGCCCTTCGAAAATGACCTAACTTTCAAGAAGGTGTATTGGTGTGCGCTTGTACGCGCGTTTGAGCAGGACTGCCCGAAGTCATTCACTTTCGTGATGAGCGACTCTAATTACGGAGGCAAATGCAAAAGTGATCGGAGGTCGGAACTCCCAGGTTATACACCGATTCTGCCACTGGATCCCAATGATCTGGGATTCTCAGAGCTCCGTGGAAATCCAGGACATCCCCCTCCACTCAAGCCCGAAAACAAAACTATATGTGATGTGGAAGAAGTCTGCCGTGGTGTAAATCAAGGTACAAGCAGAGTTACGCGCCACGCCTTAGCAGGCCCGTCGCGTACCCATAATTCCAAGGACCATATCTCCCTCTTCGGTTGGTCCTACACGGTATACTTCCTGTGCGACGGTACAAGCATTGCTATAAGGAACAAGAACATACAAGAAAGAGTGGGTGGGCAAACGGCCTCCCCGCGCACAGCGCTAGAGTACAAAACAATGACCATTATAATTATGCAATCTATCGGTATATGCGTAGTAAAAACTGTCTTCTTTCCTTCTTCGTATCGTACAAAGGCGTGGAAGTTGTGGTGTAGAGATTGAGAATTGATGCGCGTCCGGTATCGACAACGCTCGCGTGAAATCGAGAACACTCGCTCGCGGGCACCCGCCCCCAGCAACCGGCCTTCTTCGCCCACAACTCGCAACCGCCCGATTAGATGTCGACGCGCTCGCCGCACTCAAAGCCCTCGACCTCGACGTTCCACTTCCACCGACCCTCCTGGTAGCCGAGAGCAGTGTCCTCGAGGACGATCTCATTGCGCTTCGCGACGTACACCTATGGACATATCAGCGCCCCTTATCCCATTACAATGTCCTATCCCACTCACCGTCTTATCCGTCACCTTCTGCCTCAGCGCCGAGATGTTCTCCGGCTCGATCGGCTGCTCGAGCAGCTCCGACAGGTCTTCGACCGCGCGCTCCAAGTCCGACTGATTGTCCTCGAACAAGTCCTTCTCATTGCCCTTCGACAGGTAGTACGCCATCGCGTATGTCCACTTGAGCGTCTGCCGGCACTTGTCGACCTCCTCGACCGCCTTCTTCATGAACTGCACCTCGATCCAGGTGAGGTTGGACGTGATCTGCATGTCCTCCATCTTCTTCTCCGTCTTCGCGTACAGCTCGAGGGAGAGCTTGGCGGACTGCTCATGGTTCGCCCAGCGGTTGTAGTACTGCGGCGAGGTGAGTAGAAAATCAGGAAGAGGAACGGAGGACGCACGTGGAGGTATCGCTCGAGGGACGCTCGACTCCGGCTCTGAGCATCGCGCGCGTCGACACCGGCCTTCTCGTCATACCGATTGCAGGAATACCACGACGTGCCGTGCTCGGACCAGGGACCCATGCAAACCCAGCAGAATTCCCATTTACACTTCTTGCATGTCATGTGGCTGCAGAGAGGTCAGTCAAATCTAAGGAAGCATATACGCCACACGCACTTGCAGCCGCCGTTCTTCTCGATTGTGCTCTGGCACTTGCTGCACTCCTTCGTGTTCGTCTTGATCCAGTTCGCCGTCTCGCTGTCATCACGGCACTTCTGCAACCACAGCTTCGACACGGCGCATACCAACGGCCGATGGTCGCTCTCGATCGGGCAGCCGAAACAGAAGATGTGTTCCTTCGGCGATATCCCAAGCTGGGACGCGCGCTCCTGCTGCTGCCCAGGAATTCCACGCGCGCCACACGACACGATGGGCACGACGGTGAGCAGCGAGGACTTGGTGGATGCAGCCGGGCACGAGACCGTGTTCGTGCACTCGGGGTAGGGGCAGTACTTCAGGTTCGCGTTTGAGGCCACGAAGTGGCGGATGATGAGCTGCTGGTACCGCTCCCACGTCGACGAGTTGTCCTCCTGCTCCGCCACATCCATCGTCGTCGGCCCGCCGGGGATGAGCACCGAGTGGACGAACGAGTCGGGCGCGACCAGGGTGCAACCCTCACCCATGCACGAGATGGTGTGCTCGCCCTCGTCGCGTACCTTCTCGTTCACGTACGCGGACCAGCAGTTGGAGCAGTATGTATGGCCACAGGCGAGGGACTTGGTCTGGAGATCAGCCGCGTCGTCGCAGCAGATCGGGCACACGAACGGCTCGTTCACGCGTTTCGGCGATGGCGGCTTGGTGGGCTTGGAGGTGCTGCGGGAGGTAGATCTGGTGGTGCGAGATGGGCCAGGCGCGGATCGCGGTTCCGGGAGCTGGACACCCGATGCCACGAGGACCTTTGTCGGGTCGTCCATGTACTGCTCGATTAGGCGCTCCTTGTTCCAATCCGCCCGTCGGAGGAGCAGCGCGGATGTCGGCGCCTGCAGATACTCAGCAACCTCGTACGACTGAAGTCTTTCGACAACTCACATCTACGCCCAGGACGCCGCAGATATCATCCAGGTCCTTCTGCATAAGCTTCTCGACCTGCACCTGGCTCAGGCTCTCGTGCGGGACTTCATACGGCTTCAACTTGTTCTTGGACTCTGTGAAGGCCTCCACGACCATGTCGTCCTCGGATTGCATGGACTCTGCGTCGGGTCAGCCATTGAGTCAGCGGTTTGGAGGCGCGGGACGGACCATCGTCGTCGTCCTGGTCCATGGCATCATCATCCTCATCGTAGTACTCATCGTCATCGGAGAACTCATAGTCGGACGACATGTTGAGGGGCGTAGGCGGGCGTAGGTCGAGGAGATGAGCGGAGGAAGCAAGGTACTGGTTTCCAGCGTGACCTCCGTTCGGGAGGCAGTCACGACATGCGTCACCCACGTGGTTCGCGTCACTGTGACCGTCCATTGTTCTTTAACTTGCCGTTCTTGGGAACTCCTTTCAAAGGACCTACACCTTTGCGCAACCCGGGTCCGTGCACAGAACGCGAGGGACACGGCGCATAAAGCCATACATTATCTGTCTTCATCGTTTTGTTTGCATGTTCCCGGTTATCAGTGTAAGCCCTACGTGCTTTGCTCGCCTTATGACGCTGCTATTCCGATCCCTAGTCTACAACAGCAGCAGTGCTGAGTATGGGGCATTGCTCCATTCGAATTCCTACAAGTCGAGGTTCTCATCAGGAGCTCTCGCCTAACGGTACTTTCAACCCATGCAGCCCCTTATATCCGCCCGCTTCATGAGCCCCCCACCCATTCAGCACTTCCCCCTTCACATCTTCCGCAATCGCCCAGACCTCCACCTTGATCGGCTTGCACGTCGCCTTCATCTTGACTGCTCCCTCTCCCTCCTCATCCTCGCCCTCCTTCGTCCCTACCCAGCCCCACTCACTCAAGTCGCCTCCGGGGCAGGTGCTCAGCGCGCACAACAGATCCTGCTCCGCGAAGAATTCGACGTAGTCATCCTGCTGGGACGGACTGGCTTCCATGAAGTAGCGGCCTTGGTCGTCGAGGCCAGTGACTTGGAAGACGTTCAGAACATCGTGGACGTCGTATTCGGTGAGACCGTATGGCAGGACGGCTCGTGTGAGGTTGGAATGACAATGGAAGTCGTAGGTGCGTCCAGATAGCATCTTGTTTACTGGATGATCAAGTGCATCAGCCATTGAAGTCTGTCCAGATAGCTCATCCACTCACCATACGGATCGCACCTCGTCCCCAACAAATCATGACACCTCCCTCCCCACTCACTCGTCCCCTTCCCATCTCCCCACCGTCCCCTTCCATCTCTCCCCAGCGTATCCTTTACAATCGCGCACATCGGCCGCATCCACGGCAAGCAACTCCACAGCCGGTCGCCCGTACTCACATGCGTCGCATGCAGCTGCCGCGTCCGCGCCGCCCAGAAGCGCTCGCGCGACGGGTTTTGCGCGTTCCACAGGTTGAGATCGCCCACCTGCGACCCCTCGGGCGTGCTCAGGCGGAAGACGGCACCCTTCGGTACGTGCCACGCCGCGCCGCTGCGTGGGGGAATTGTGAGGGAGGTGAGGGGGACGCGGTGCGCGGGCCCATCCGCCGTCCCAGCGATACGCGCGCAAAGCTCTGCAGGCAAACCCAGCGTGCATCCTGGGGCGGGGAGGTATGCTGGCTGAGGGGGAGCGCGCTTATCAGTAGTCTCGCTCATGGTGGGGGACGATAAGCAAGCGCAGTCGCGCGAAGAGAAGATATACCTGCGCCTTGGCCAAGTCACGGGAGGGCGCGCGAAGAGATGACGCTACATCCGGTCCCAGGACGGGCTTCAGCTTCCTTCTATGGTATTAGGCTCCTGTGGTATCATACAACACAAGTGACAGTGGGGGTATAGATGCGGGTGAGGGGTACAGTTTGTGCAGAGGGGTTGCGCGAAAGCGAGATGTGGATGCGTAGGTGATACAGTTGAGAGGGGCGATACACTGTCCGGGGTAAGCCATCCATTCCAAGGGTTTTCCACCAATGTTACCGTTCGCGGAGTCGATGTGGGGAAGAGACGTCCGCGCCAGAGGTGTGCGGCGTATATTCCGTGGATATGTGCAAGGGGAGGTGGTCGTAGGTGCTGTCCGCGGGCTTGCCATCTACAGCCGCGGTTGCCGCGGCGATGTCACCTATGCCGGCGCGCGTGCCCCAGCCGGTCTGCGATGGATGTCAGTCCCCGCAGGAAGCAGCAAAAACATGCAGCTCACCTCGTGTAACGTTACAAGGGCATATAGCTTCATGATGGCAAAGTAGTAGCCGAACGCGATGAACGCAGGTACGTAGACGATATGCTCCGGCTGGTGCCACAGATGGGGAAGCAACTTCGCCGTGCGCGTCGCTGTCAGCCATACGCCATACGACGCGAGGATGTTCCACCATGGTAAGTGGTAACCGCCCTCGGTCACGGGTTTGGTGGACTTGTACAAGAGGTATGAGACGAGGCAAGGCCCGACGAGGAGGGTGAGGGGGTTGTAGAGTTTGTCGACCATGGTATACGCGACGTAGGGATGGGAGGTCCAGATGTGTCGTTCCATGAAGAGCGAGCGAAGGTCGGAGCGCCAAGTATTTCGTGTCCATCTCAAGACCTGGGGGGCCGTCAGAAGAAGCAAGGCTAGGCAGAGCGTGTACGCACCTGCTTCAAAAACCTCCAGTTTGGCTTCATAGTACTCAGCAGTTCCGCCTCTTTGCAGCATTGCACGTACGTCGACCACCCATGCGAGACCATCCAGCGCGTCAAGAACTTGTCGTCCCCCGAGTTGAGCTGATACTTCCCCAGCCAGTAATCGTGCGTGAAGCCGTACAGGAATTCGGGGTCCTTCAATATGATGGTCCGGTACGCGGCTGTTCTTCCCGACAGACATGGGATACCGCCGTCAATGTGCGTCGACGCGGCAATCTCGATATTCCGGATGGTCAGCCGGAAGGCAGCAAGGACCTCCCAGACCGTCATGCGCTTGCCGCACGGCTGGACGCGCTGGGACGTGCCGACACCGCCGACCTTCTGGTCCTCGAATGGCGCGAGCATGTAAGGGAGCATAGTCGGTGGCCAGATCGCGTCGTCGTCCGCGAACACGATGATATCCGTTGTTGTGTGCTTGATGCCGTGCGACATTTGCAGGCGCTTGTTCGCGAAGGGGACGGTGAGGACGCGTATGCGCTGCGGGTCGACCTCGTTGGCGAGGTCCTGCAAGGGAGCCAGCATCTTCTCTTCCGTGACGATGAGGATCTCCTTGGGCTTGCCGACGAGCCAGGAGTGCGCAGCTTCCTTGAACTCTTCGCCAGCGTCGATGGTTGGGACAATGATTGTGACGTCCTCGGCGGCGATGTACGTCGGATTCTCGGGCAGGGGGATCGGTCGGTACGCCCAGGACGCGGACATTCGTATGAGGAACCATAAGTAGCGATAGAAGCTGAGGGGGCCTTAGCAAACGCCTTTCCCTGTACTCAAAGAGCGCACCCTATAATCCCAAATGGTACAACTTCGGCGGGATTAGCGTGGGTGAACTGGAGGGGGAACGGCTAACGCACATATAGGAAAGTTATCCGACGTTAGATACAGCATCCTGGGGCGCCCGCCGAGGCGACGCTGCACGCTTTCCTACTACGCCTAGGAGGAGGGAGCGAGGGGAAGAGAAAGCAGATGGCGGGCGAAGGAGAAATTGTCGAGCTTGGCGTTCCGCTCATCGTTGGCAACGTCCGCCGCGCTTCTACGCCTTTTCCCCGAATAGATAAAACGCCTATTTTTGATCCGCGAGCACGTGGAAAGTTCAACTTCGCGGCCAAAGTTAGCCTTTATAAGGCGTTCGAGCAGAAAGCCTAGGCCAAGCGGTGTTAAGGCATCCAGCTCAGCGAGTGTTCGTATAGTCGTAGAATGGCTTTCATGAAAGAGGAAGAGAAGCTAAGACACCGGCTCTGACGGCAGGGTGACGCGGGACCCCGATCGACAATTCAAGGGTACAGGCCATGATCATGCATGATGGATGCCGCTTGTAGTGTAAACTTGAGGCTCGAGCTCAACCCCTCTCGAATAACATATGAGAATGAATCTCCTGGCAACTCATAACACAAGAACATCAGCCTTCGCCGCGTTCTTCTTCCTGGAAGAGTCGACGGTCGAAGGCGACTTCGACAAGTTGCTCATGTTTGAGGTACATCTCAACCCAGCGCCACTATGAGGAGTGCAGGGGAGGGTCCACAATGAGCACGCATCGGATAGCAGTTGTACGTACATGGAATACGGACAATATGCGAGGTCGTCCGATTCGGGTCGTCGCTTTCGCCGATGAGATACTTTGTCCTTCTGCCGACCTGCTCGGGAAGAGTGGGTTACAAAGAGTGGCTGAAAAAGCGGGTAAGCCTTCAAGGTGGTTATGCGAGACAACCTTCTTACTGACTCACCCTTCGAAGATCTCAGCAAACAGTCAATTCAGTTGGAGACTAATGCTGAGCAGGGCACTCACGGGGCATCGATGCGCACGAGGATGTTGTGAGTGTGGGCCAGTAGCGGACCCACCGAGCGCGCGGTCCGTTTCGGTGGAGGGAAAGCTGACGGAGACGGTGGTTCGCGGGTCACTTCCGAGTGGCAAACAGAGGGGTTCCCAGTCGTATATCTACGGGGATGAAGGCCATCGACACCGCTCAAGCATAGACAGAACCGCACCTTCGACGAGCAGCTATGTCTTCATCCGACGCGTTACAGGCCAAGGGTCTTTCTTGGTTCAAAGACGTGCGTCCTAGCTAGTCAAGACGGTTTTAATAACGTGCTCACCTCAAGTCTGCAGTTCTTCGCCACCGCGGATACGCTGGATACGCGCAAGTGGCTTGATACGTTCTGGCTACCGGACGCGACCGTCCAGTTCTCGAACGCACCGGACTTGGGCGGCCGTGAAGTCATCTTCTCGGTATGCACGACAGTCCAGGCGCAAGACAAGGATGCTGATGTTGACACCCAAGGCGATGGACCCGACCTTCGCTCGTCTCGGATACATGCACCACGTCATCCACTGGACCGGTAAGTGCAGAGCTTCAGAAGACAGTGGCAAACGCGCTGCTTTACAAGTGCGACGCTAACAAAAATCGTCAGAGGTCGCGCGCGACAAGATCATGGTGAAGGCAACAATCACGTACCGCGCGAAGGACGATCCCAAGCACGAAGATTTTGTCATCCCGGGATTCGCGGTCGCGTACTTCCCTGACGAAGTGAAGGTCGACTCGACGGATAACCGAATCAAGCGTCTGGAGGTATACATCAACCGTACGCCCCTTGAGGAGCGCATGGCTGCGTTACAAAAGTGAAAGACATGATAGAGGAGACAAAATCGTTGTTTATGTACTGGTCGACAGAAACGAGTTGGCTACATACCAAGAGTCGCGTGCATAGCGTCGCTGGACAGAGACAGACAGAGCAAGTCATCGGCGTCGTATCAATCTTGGAGTGCGTGTCCGACAAGACTGAGCATGTACGAGGTGAGAGGACAATAGCCTCCTCGAGCGTGTCACTTCGCATAGCTCAGCCGCGTGCCCACATCGGAGATAAAGCAAGTCGTAAGCAAGTAATCCAGAGGTTTCAGAGCCACAGATGATGCTGAATCTGGCTCTCTGAGTGACAGCGAGTTCGGTGGTAGATGGACGCTGATGGGAGGGCATTGTGACCGTGACGAAATCACGAGACAAATTATGTGTCACGGTTCAAGCTCCAAGTCGCGACTCCATACCATCACGTCCTTGATCCTAGTAATCGACTATAGATGAGGGGCGGTGCTCCATAGTCTCCCATATAGTGTTCATAAGCCTGCGCGCGACACGAAGGTATGACTGACGGTAGCAGGTACAAGTACGGTTGTAGCTATGGCCCTATTCCCTCGTTGCCTCGATAGACTCCCAGAACTTGAGAATGTCCACTACGGGGTAGTCAGATCCTTCAACCTCAGGCAAAAGGACCTGAAAACTGGACAGAGGGGAGCATAGAGGTGATTGACGTGATTGCCAGATCGTCCGAACTAGATCATACTCAAGTCGGGCGAAGTTACCCTTCAGGCCAAATTGATTGAATATCAGCACCGATTCGAGGCACGTCAGCGTCGGGCGCGACACATCGAAAACCAGCTTCTCCGCGAGTTCGCGATGCAGAGGGTGATTCCAGGTGATCGGCGTCACTTCGTGGATAAAGCGGAAATCCCGTAACCCGTTCGCCATTGACATGATGCCATAGATAGTGTCGACACTGTAGCGCCACATATTCCGAAGAATGAGCCTCTTGACGGGCTTGAGAATATCTTGCAACAGATGCGGGTAGACGCCAATGAGATGTTCCTCATCCATCACGAAATGTTTCCCCCCTCTCTGGTCATTTTGGTACCCAGGATAAGTTACATCAAGTTCGATGCATGCCAGGCGAGGAGCTCTGATGATGGGGCAGAGCAGGATGGCTCCGCTGGCGGTGCAGAGTGTTTCGAGTGAAGGGAAATGCAGCAATCCAAATCCTAGGACACGGCTGGGATGAAGACGAGCATAGAAACATAGCTTGAGATGCGCAAGATTCGAGCAGAGAGTGAGGACATGGATGTTCCGGGGCATGATGTTCTGCACCTCGAGTTTACGCAGGACGGACCAGTCGAACGAACTAGAGGTGGGTATCGTGGCCTCAATAAAGCCGAGAGCTTCCAGTTTTGGAACACGGCCATTGTCGGGCAGCGCTGTCCCAAGCACAGCATTGGGTTCACCGTGGACAACCAGATGCGTCAAAGCAGGGAGGATAGGATAACGTAAGTCGGCGGCGATGGACCGAACGAATCTCAGCGACTTCAGACGATCCGCGTTGGCCCATATCGCTTGCCACACTCGACCGTCGATATCTTCCCAGGTCTCACGAGGCCTTCTCACGAAGGCTCCGACCCTCAGCGGGCGTTGCCCAGAGCGCTGGATATACGAGTCCACTAACTCGAGCAGGTACTCTCCTTGTCGTCCTTCGGCAGTGTACGGCACTCGGAAATCCTGCCAAGCCCAGCAAAGACCGAACGTAATCTCCCGCCAGTAGTGGCAGACCTGCGAGAACGACCAGACACTGCCGCCGATATAATCGAGGAACCACCGTGGCGGAAGTGTGTAGGCAGCAATTTGGCCCAGTACCTCCGGCGGCATCCAGCGGATGGGCGCCAGCAGCGCCTTCACGTCCGCGATGGTCTCCTCCAGGCTGGCTTTCTGAAGCCGCAGCAGGCGCGCCGCCTCTTCCACCCGCGTCACTTCGGCCTCGCATTCGCTCAGCCCGCCCTCCAGATTCGCGAGGCCAAGCTGGAGTGAGCCGCGGTCGAATTCTGTCGTGGGGACATAGGCCGATCGAGCGAGGGCTGCGAGATCGGGCCCGCCGGTGACGCTGGCGAACTCGTGACTGCAGCGAGAGCAGAGCGGGGTGGTTTGCACGATATGTTGAAGCTTCTCCATGAACGAGGGCTACGAGGGCAGCAGCGTCAACATGGGCGGGCTTCGAGTGGTCTTGTCACGTACGTTGTCCGGGCCAGCGCGCGGCAATGGTGACGGTCAAGATCAAGATATGTTTGCTGGTGGCGGTGTCGTATTGTTCCCACATGTGCGGCCGCCTAGGGCGGTACATCGGGCCGGACACCGCGTCCTATTGTTCGACTTTGACCTGCTGTTGTTCGAGAATCCACAGGTATGCGTGCTTACCCAAGACCAGAACTTGAGGTCTGAAGTATGGGGACATGGCATACCAGCCCAAGACGAAGCTTCAGCGCATAATACAACTCTGCGCTTCACACAAATTCGTATATCATGGGCACATTACTCACGATTTATTGTTCACAAGTAAAGACACGTAGAGGGCATTCGGAGGGGGCGTCTATAGATGGGATTCAGTCCCAAGTTTCCCACCATCAACGTTGCCAAGCACTTACCTCTATATCCACCACGGCACCCCGATGGGCTAACCTGGTCCGTCATAGCGAGCCTTCGAAGCCCGCCTCCGCATCGCGTCCATCTGACCCCACTATACCTTACTAGCACGCGCTCGAGGACGATATTCACACTAGCACGGCAGCGCGTATATAATACCGACGCGCCATCCTGTCCTCGGTTCTGAAGGCGTGTGTGCGAACGGACTGGGCTCAGTCGATCAGGAGACGGATACTTTGCCGCACAACGCCGCGCACGAATTACTTGTCGTTTCCCAGGATGCGAAGCACCCAAGGAGGACTACTGGCTGTACTGTCGACGTTAGCCTGGTACGCAGGAGCTCGAGGGAGCAACCTACCTCCCGAGGAACCTGGCGTCTTCAAGGCAGAGGCCAACGCGACCATTGACGCGCCCATCGACGCCGTCTGGAACGCCCTGCTGGACTTTCCCTCCTATCCCGACTGGAACCCGTTCGTCCGGTGAGCCGCGATTGACTGCACTCACCTCTCGTCGTCTGATTCGGTCTCTCCAGCTCCCAGGTGCTCGCAAACGACCTCTTCTTCCCACTCGAGGACCAGAGCAACCCTCAGGCGGGCCAGCGCCTCATCATCCACGTCCAAATACCACCGCTCACCCCGCCCGTCGACGCGGACACCCCTGCAGATCCCCTGCACGCGCAGTCGTCGTTCGAGAACATCACCTTTCTCGAGGGCGCCCCCACGTACCGCGCTGCTTGGAAGCAAATCATGATCCCGGATGCGCTGGTCAATGCGACGCGCTGGCAGGCCTTGAGCACCCTCGAAGACGGGCGGACGTTGTACGAGGCGCGGGAGGTGTACGCTGGATCGCTGGCTTCAACGTTGGAGTCATTATTGGGCGAAGGATTACAGGAGGCCTTTGACGCTCAGGCGTCCGAGCTGAAGGCGTACGTAGAGTCCGCGTAGATAACACGTCGCCGCCGCCGTCGTCGTCGGCGTCGGCACCAAGGGTCGAATAATGAATATTCGGCGGGCCGAGCGGTACTGACACGTGTCCACTATCGCCGTGCCTGACGCGCGCCCGTTTTTTTCTGCTGTGCTGCTTGTCGTCCACCACCACCACCACCTCAGCCTCGTCCCATACGCCCCGCGGCCGTCAAGATGAATCCCGCCGTCCAGAACATGGTCACCTCCCTCGTCCTCATGCAGGGTGCGCCCGAAAACAAATTCGAACGCACGAACACACCGGACTGACGTGTTCACTCAGTGGGGAAGAGGATACCGTTCGAGAAACCGGAGGTCCTCAACTACGCGCGGATTGCCTACGTGGTGATCCAGGTCATTATCCTTGGGACGTACTACTATATTTCGATGAAGGTGAGGGACGCGGGGACGTACACGGGATTGGGATTGACGGCACGCGCGCAGATCAAGGCTAAGGATGACAAGACGGTGCTCAAGTACGTTGAGCCGCCAACACCCATGGTGCGTACTCTATAACCCTCTTCCTTCTCAACCTAACCCCCCACATAGTCCGGGCAAACGGAGGGCGAGCTGGTCACAACAACCGTCCGCGACTACGACCTCGCCGAGACCTCGAAGGCGGTTCGTGACCCGCGTCGTGCTTCCCCCACTCCTTCTCCTGACATGTATGTCCTCTCGCAGATTAAGGGCGCCTACACCGGCATTGCCATCATCGCCGTCATGCACCTCTACTTCAAGTTCACCCAGCCGCTCTTCATGCAGAGCGTCCTCGGTCTCAAGGGCCTCTACGAGTCCAAGATGGTCCAGCTCTACATCCTCGGCAAGCCCGCAGAGGGCGACCTCGAGCGGCCATTCAAGTCGGCGGCTGGCTTCCTCGGTGGTGCGTACTCCCCCTCATCACGCCCTCCTACCTCCCCATCTCTCCCACCTTCATCTCCGCTTTCATAACCCTCCCCTGTTCCTCCTGCGCTCATGTCAATTCTTCCCGCACGGACCGTCCTACCTCCTTCTCCCTCTCCTTGCGCTCGTCCTCTCTCCCCGACGCGCCATGCTGATGACATCACCATATAGCTGCTGCCCCCGGCCCGCAGACGGACAGAGCGGCCATCGCGGCGGCGGAGAAGCGCGCCGCGAAGAAGGACGAGTAGAGGCTTGCATGCACATCCGAGTGGACGCTCCCGCATCATTCGAGTGGACGCTCGCGCATCATCCGAGTAGACGCTCGCACACCATCCGAGTTATCGCTCACGCACCATCCCACCACCGCGGCGAGGGCACGGGGCCCGTCTTGTATACCTGTACTACACTACTGGAAAACGACATATGCCGCTAATGCGCACTTTATGGCTGTATCTGGGGCTATCTCGCCGTCGCTTCGAGCTTCTAAGGTTGAATGCGAAGCGAACTCCACTGTGCTCTCCACTGAACCCTCGAATCCGCGCCAACGTAGAGTCGTCGTATATCAACCCAATGGCAGGTAAGATCATATGGACCTTTGTACGTCGCTATCATTACATGGACATCAAGAAGTCCTTGGTGTCGTAGGACGGTGCGTTCATAATCCGTTGGCGTCCATAGTATACAACAGTGGGATGAGCATCGTGGCTACACGAGAGACGCGGCCGCTTTGAATACATCTGAAGGTCCTACGAAACGTGTACATGAGGCAGAAATGATATTCAAGATTCGCTTGTCATCGCGACCTTGAGCTCTGAGCCAGTCTTCTAGATCACTGTACAGGTAGCTGCTGGACAGACACTTCAGGGACAGTCGCTGCAGAGGAGTGCAGCCAGGAGGGGGCGCGATGCGTGACTCCAAGATTCGCCGCATAATGTCAAGATCTCCAGTTTCAAAACCACCTTCACTACCGGTTATGATCTCCAACTCCGATAGGTACGCGAAGGAAGGAGCGGCCTTGTCGAAACATAGCGTTTGCAGCAAGTCGTCGTGCAACCCGTAGTAATGTCCATCGTCGAATGCTGTCGGTGGAGTCTCTTCGACAATGGACAGCTTCTGCAACCTCCAGGGGATCGCGATGATGGGACGTAACAGGGAGACAGGGTATGCATCCTGGATATGCATGTTTCGCAGCGTGATGTGGGTGACCGGCCATAGTAAGTCCAGCTTCTTGTACCAGTCGTAGTGCGCACCGCAGTCGATGGAGATGAGGATGAAGTGTCGGAGTTCGGGCACATCGAGGAGAGGGCAGATCTCGACGGCGCCCCAGGCGACCTCCAACGTCTGCAGCATCGGAAAGGAGATAGGTCGGCAATCTTCAGACAGTAATGGGACATATGTAAACTCGTGCGACAGACTGAGCACCTCCAGTCGGATGCAGTGCCGCAGGGCAGCGAGTCTTTTCCCCTCGAGAGGACCACACGTTTTGAGAACTCGCAGGTTGTCCCAGGACGGATGTATGCCGCACAGATAGGAGTCTAGTGCACGAAGGTTAGGGGCAACAATCTCGACGGAGGAGAGTCCGTTGTGTATAAGTTTCCGAAGAGTAGGAAAATGAACAGTCAAAGGCACCCTGTACCCGTAAGAATACCCACGGTGGTTCGAGTCAACGCCCACAATGGAGACTATGCGCTGCGCGTGGCGCATGAGCGCATCCCAGAGTGCCGGAACAGAGTGCGAAGTCAGGGTGCCCGAGATTACAAGGGTGAGAGGGTGTTGTCCCGAACGCTGCAAGTAGGTCTCAACAACATCCGTAATTGCTTCATTCTTCGTCTCGCTCCACCATCCGTCATATGGCTGATAGCCCAGACGGATATGCGCCCATGGCCAGTGCATTGCGAGCGCAAGCTTCCGCCATTCGCGGCATACCTGCGTGAACGCCCATGTCCTTTTCCCAATGTCATCCGTATACCAGCCCGACGGGAGCGTGTAGCCGGCGATCTGCTCGAGAACCTCCTGGGGCAACATATGAATGGTGGAGAGCAATTTGGATATATTCGTCGCGGTAGACGCTATCAGACCCCTATGTCGACGAAGGGAGGAAAGGGCAGACTCCAAGACTTCGATCTTTCGATCGCATACGCGCAGATCGTCGTACATCTGGGATAAACTCGATCTGAGCGTATCGATTTCGAGCGCAGTGGGCGGTGTCTGCGCATCACGGGCACGATTGCGTAGATCTGCTGAGCCGAGCCTGCTGGAGAATGCGTTGACGCATCTGGTGCAGAGGGATGTGGTGTGCGGAATATCTCGAAGAACCTGCATGACCCTGAGCAGCGGTGGCGGCGTGAGGCTGATCAGACACGGTCAATTCAGAGCTCAGTAATCAGAAAGAGCTTTCTCTGACTTCACCTAGAGGTTGTTGGTATATGTATCGTGCAGACGTAGGCGACCCTTCGTGCGGGGTGAGTGCGGAGAACAGGCTTAGGTTTAGGATCAGAGCGTCACGCGTCACGGCCCACGACTCGGGAGATATCCGTTCACGTGATTCAGTGTTCGACTTCTGCCCCTGCCTTTCGGCATACCGATACAAGCGCTTCAATAGCGTTACCGCGCATGACGATACAGCCAAGCTGAATTTGAGGGCGTTCTGCCTCGACGAAGCAAGACCGATGTGCAACCAGTGGGTTCAACTGGTATAGGAACCGCTGGGGACTTCATTCTTGTAGAACCACAAGCTAGACGCTCGAGGCGCCATCATGACCGAATATAAAGCAGTTTTTGAAGATAGGGTATAGCAAGCGGCAAGAAATGAGAGCACGACATCATGACGAGCGTAGGACACGAAGCAAGAGGTGACGATGAGAGGAGGAAGCGAAAGGCGAAGGCGAAGGATTCTGAGTTGACGGCCACGCTAAACGCATGCAACGAGATAGGTCAGCGACATGATGAAGGGACGGGCGCGAGCATTTACCATACGCGGGAAGAGGGCATGAAAATCCAGCTCAAGGTAAGGATCGGCGGCGCGGCGGGATTGTTACAAGGGCGCGCGCGTGATGGTCGAAGTCAGGTCCGCAAAGAGGCCAGTGAAGGACTTCATAAAGACACGCGCATGTACCTTGAAGAGCTAGCGCACTTAATGCGCGGAAGAGAGACATCCCCACTCGCCTTTGGCAACTGCATGGATATCGTCCTCTTCGTCTTGAGATCTTGGTCGATGGCAAGCTCAAGGAAAGCCGGATGTTTAGCACCGACGCGAATGGTAGGCACTGAGCCGCAAGCGGCTAGATTTCCTGCCACCGCCCCCACGCGCCGCTTATCTTGCTGCGACGCGCATCGAGTACACCAAGTACTGGCAGGTCGTCAGCACCGCAGTAGCCCGAAGGCCCCGTGGCGTCTCCGCCGCCTCTACAGCCCCAGTAGTACCCCGATCATCCCGCGAGGGCGCCACGCGAAGGACGACCTCGGGAAGGAGGTTCAACATCCATGGGGGACCAGTCGAGGACGTCTGGCTTTGATGTCTTCACATCGCTTTACAGCTTGGAGGGCGGATTTGAGTTCACCGATGTGGCTAATGTGGTATGCGCTCTATGGGATACGAGTTTTGAATCATAGCAAGACAAGGCCGTACATACTCAGTGATCATCTGCGCGAGACTTCTGGCAGAACCCCGAGAACAGGCAATTCTGTAGATCGGGGAGCTCGAGGCAGGCTTGGGGTGTTTCCGACGTTTTCTCTCCGTGGTCGATGAGCGCGATTCGATGTATCGATTCAGGGCCGTGGGATGCAGAGAAGTATTTCCCTGTTGCCAGTATGCCGGTCCACCAACGATCAACGCACGCAGAAGGGATGAGAAATATACGAGGAGGAAATGAGCGTCGCTGCCAAGTTGCAGCTGAGGCACGTGTTGTCGGCGACTTCCGTGTCCACGTCACTGTTCGAATTTTAACCTGTCACGCTTTGTTATGAACGCTTCAGTTGTCAGGATACCAACGAGCTTACCAATGAGGATTCTTTACACAACTATAGCACTCGACTCTACAGGACTCATGCAATGAACTGCACAGCAAAGCGGAAGTCGGAACCTGGTTCGACTTGAACCTGCGTGCCCTGCCGACCAATGTCCACATTCAAGATACAGTTCCCATCGTTCCCCTTAACTTTGGCCCAGCCCTCAAAGAGCGCAGAGGCAGGGAAGTCTGCAAATGGCGTCCATATGCTGAATCGCTCGAGGGGAGCGCAGACGTCGCTGCCGGAAGAAGCGCGAGACTCGACCACGCGCCGAACGAGGGAGACGTCATCGTCTGTCCACTCTATCCCTTCGATTCCGTTCACAAAGTCCATCTCCGTCAGGCTCGTCAGGGAGGGCGCGGTCTCATCGAAGATGAGCGCGTCCAAGAGCCCTTGGTTTGTCGCGCACGGCGGCTCGGGATACAAGCCCGAAGCGTCAACGATGGTCAGTTTGCGCAGCTGCTTCGGAATCTTGACAAGAGCGCGGAGGAGGTTGATGTCGTAGCCGTAGATGCAGCGCATGTCCCGCAGCGTCATATGAGTGACAGACTCAAGCAGGCCCATCCGCTCGTGCCACCCGGTATACACGTCATTGCTCTGGATGCTGAGGGTGAAGTCCTGCAGCGCAGGAGTACGAAGATACGGGCAGACTTCGATGGCAGCCTCGCCGATGATCAGTGTGTGAAGATATCGAAGATGAACGGGGTCCCCTGGCTGAGCGTCTGCCATGGAGAAGTGCTCGACCGACAGGCTGAGGACCTCTAGCCTCGCGCAGTTGCGCAGAACATGGAAGTCCGGAACGAGGATCACCATATCGCAGAACTGGAGGGCACGCAGATTCTCCCAAGGCAGATCCACGTTGGACATGTACATGGCGTTGATCTCGAGGACGCACAGGTTGGGCGCGTCGATGGATAGCGCATATGCGCATTCGACCAGGAGCTCACGCAGAGCGGGAAGCGGGCAACGGAAAGCCTCAGGAAGATCTTCTCCGCTCGACATCAACGCGAGCTCCCGTATGCGGTGTACATGAGGTGCGAGAGCATCCCATACGTCCTGTGCGGTATCCTTCGCCCTCGTGTTGACCGTCTTGACGGTGAGTGGGTGCTCGCCCGAGCGCTGAAGGTACGCGCGCACGGCGGCCGTCGCTGAAGCGCATCCAGCGTCTGCCCATTGCCAGTCGAGGCGGGGTAGGCTGATATACGCCCACACCCAGTGCATTCCCAGCGCTACGGCCCGCCAGCTGTGACAGACCTGCGAAAACGCCCAGGGGTGTTTGCCGATACAGTCCTCGGATGAAGGTAGTGAAAGCGTGTACCCTGCGATCCGCTCAAGGACCTTCGGCGGGAGGTTGTGCGCCAATGACATGGATAGCAGCGTCTATGATCCTTCAGGAAGCAAGTGCGCCTGCTGAATGTCATCAGTACTGCAGCCTGCTCAGCGTTTGGTATGCGGGACGAACTTATGACAAGTACGCGGAGGAGATGAACCGATGAGCGGTGGAACCAAAGCGCTTATTATAAGCATGGGACATGAATCACACCTCTTTCCGGGCGCTGACTGCTGAGGTCTCGGACCCCAACGTTTATCGAATGCAGGCGCGCAGCTGACGTTCGTCGACGAGTGCCGAGGTGCGTAACGATTGAAACCATCCGGATCGCAGCCGCGCCCAGTCCCCAGCTAACTTAGAAACACTTCGATGAACCGCTGCATATCCCTCGCCGCCACCCCCTGCTCATTTCCTTCCCCTTCCGCCCACGCAATCTCTACCATTGCCTTGACCCGCGCGGCATTCGCCTCCTTCTCAGCTCTCTTCACCTCATCAAAGAACGCCCATCCCAGCACCCTCTTCGCCTCCTCCCGCACCTTTTCAATCGTCTCCGCCGAGACCTTGTCCTCATTCCCTGGCGTCCACACAACATTATACGGCGCGTTAATGTCGAAGACGTCGCTCGTTGGTGTCCACCCATTGCTCTGACGTGGCCTGCGCCCGAAGCCGCGGCGCACCTCGTTAAGCTCGTGCCCTGTGTTGTGCACGCGGGAGACGAGGAGCGCGTACAGTGGCTGGTCGGCGCAGATGGGCCAAGAGACGGTAGGGACGCCAGCGGCAAGGGCCTCGTTCGTGCCGCCGAAGCCGTTGTGGGTGAGAAACCAGCCGGTGGCCTTGCAGGATAGACTTAGTGATGATCATGGGGCGATATGCATATACTCACTGGATGCGCCAGCACGTACTGCTGGGGCGTCCATGCCGATACCAACGTGACCCCGCCAGCGTCGAACTTGGCCTTCAACTCTGCAGGTAGTGGCTCACTCATCTTGTGATAGGCGATGATCTATTCGTCGAATCGTCAGCTTCCTGACCACAGAGCAAATCGTAGTAGAGTAGAGCTCACCACCGGAATTCCCATATCCGCCACCACATCGAACCATGCCCACATCACCTCCTTCTCAATCCCAATGAAGGTGGAGAACGTCGAGCCGAAGGAGATCTGGGATTCAGTTCGTTGGCAAGACATCGCTTCAACATCCCCCCGAGACAGACCACACGCACATAGAGCACACTCTTCTCCCCCTTCTCCTTCAGCATCCGGTCCATGAAGCTCACGATCTCCGCTCCCTCTTCTGATTGCGCGATCTCGGCGACGCCTGCCTATGGAATGTCAGCGACACGGCCTTCTTTTAGAACGCCGTGGGACCAACTCCTCTCACCTTTGACATCGCCTCCTCTGCGGGCGGGAACAACGGACCGACGGCGAAGAAGTGGTTTGGTGCAAGTCGCGCTGCCAGCGCATCGCAGGTCTTGGGTTCGATTGAGCGACAGGAGGGGGCAATGATGGCTTCGCAGGTCGGGACGGAGCTGGAGGAAAGTGGTGGGTATGGGTGCGTGTGCGGCGTCGGTGGTCAGGGAGGCAACATACCGAACGGAGTGGAAGTGCACGTCCCAGGGCATGAAGACGGGTGGCTGGCAGTATATTGTCAGATGGTGTGTGCGCGATAGCAAGTCTGTTCACCTCCTGCAAAACGGATTAGCATCTCACTTGGCCCGCATACACGAAGCACAAACCTGCGGGAACAGCTCATAGTCCGCCATGGGCGGCAAGTCCGCGACGTCCAGCGTCTTTCCCGAGGTTGCGTTCAGTGCGATCTATAGCTTTCGTCAGCCTTTCACGCCTTTCCGCCCCTTCCACCATTCTGCGGCCTCAGGCCCACGATGACTGCGACCCAACTCACCTCATTCGCCACCGCCCTCGGCAGAACGCCTTCCTCCTTCACTCTCTTCTCAATCAGCTCCCAGTGCTTTTCAATATCTTTCTCGAACATCTGCGCTAGGGTGAGGATGGCGATGGCGCCGTAGCCGCACCAGCCGACGATGCGAGTCGCGGGCGACATGGCGCGGGTGGATTGGAGGACGCAGTGGGCGATGGTCTGGGCAGTGGGTCAGCAGGCGTAGAGGGCAGGAACGAGAACGAAGCAGAGGAGGTAGAAGACAATGGAGTAGAGGGGAAGGGTAAGGATTAGGATCACGGTCACGTACATCGCAGACCATCACATCCGGTGCGCGGGTGGTGATGTCGGCCAGTATGGCTGTATATGCGTTCTCGAAGTTCTCCTTCATCTCTTGCATACGTACGGGGGTCGCAGCGGGGATGAATACGAGCCTGAGGACGCAATATCAGTGTCTGAATCTATCCCTAGAGTGCCATAACGCACCTGAATCGCTCCTTCTTGTCCGCATGCTCGCCCGTCAGGAAGCGATCAACTTCGTTCCTCGTCTTGTCCTCGATGACCACGGAGACGATGAAGGTCACCAGCACGGGCGCGCGCTGCACTAGACGACACAAGAACGCGACCATCGGTCGTGCATGACCTGCGAGCCCTCATTGTTAGCAAAGGGACAACTTCGGTGAGTACTACTACACGCACCCCAACCACCACTGATCGTGAACGCGACGACGTGCTTGGTGTACGCGGGCGTCGACATCTCTAAGTCTTGCCTGGTCTCGTCGGCGGGGAATGAGTGAGGAGGGGAAGGAGAAGGGTGGATGTATGAGGCCTCCAGGGACCGCCGATGGCGCCAGTTATCAAGGCGAATCGCCAACACCGATACGCGGCGGATCCAAGTGCATCATTTCATCCGTCCCAGCGTGTTCCCGAGCGCCTTCCCAGGCGCGGACATGTTCCTCCGCACGCGTAAGATGATGCTGAGCGTTGTATGGCATCCGCAGGCGCGTGGGTCGCCCTTGCAAGCCGCAGTAAGGTCGCACAGATAGCCGCGTTCGACGGTGCATAGCCTCCTCAGCTAGGGATTGTTACCCGTGTGCCGAAGCGGAAGAAGTGCACAGACGTGGTGATGGTTGAGGGAGACGGTGACGCCGAGGTCGTCGTGGTCGTGGTTGAGAGCAAGAAGTGATCGCACGCTGCGGACCGCCTTCGTCCTTCCTGGGACGCAGTCAATAAAATCAGGACGTACCGAGGCGCAAAAAGAGCTCACCGAGCTCCAAGAGCCTCTGGAAAGCCTTCCGGATTCCGTATGCGCCAGACCTTATAACGTCGTGCATGTACAATATACTGCGCGGTCGACGTTGTCGCGACGGGGGATACAGCCGAGGCACTTCCGTTGCTCTTACATCCCGCGTCTCTCGTAGTCATGTAACCCAATTGCCATTGCGAACACTTTTGAGCCGAAACAGAAATACCTGAACGCCTCGCACCTTCTTCGTTGTCGACAACAAAGGGACATCCCAAAAAGGCATCAATAGACAAGTGCTCCCGCTCTCCAGGCTCGATATCTTCAAGTTGAACAATTGAAGCGGCTCTCCCTAGATATGTATGTCTGACCCCACTGAACATTTTCTTTATCCTGGAATATACAACTGCTCCGCGCTGACCGAGGGCAGCGTCCACGACCAACACAGCAGCATGACGAGGACCCATGGGAACAGCACCAGAAACCAGTGCCACAAAGCGAAGAAATCGACCTTCGAGTGGACCTGTGCGCCAACTATTATCAGCAAACTCGACCCGCGTCCTCTCCATCGAGATGTCCCCGTACCTTGCCCTCGAATATGATCCTCGCCCCCCACTCGTTCACAGCGTCGCCCCACCCATCGATGTATCGCGCGATCTTGTTCTTCATCTCCCATACTGCCGCAAGCGCCGTGCCATCCACTCGGCCTATCTCCTCCTCCTCCTCCCACACCCCACCCTTCCACAACCCCTCCACACACTCCCTCAAGCGCCTCACCTGCTCATCCCGCGCCCTCATATCCGCCTTGATCTCTTCAATCTTCATCTGCACAGCCCCCATAACGCCCTCAAGCGCCCCGTACTCCACTAGCACCCCCTTCAGACGATCCCACTTGGCGTGCTCCGCCGCGAGTTCTTTGCGCGTCGCGACGAGCTCCTTGCGAGTGTCTTCGAGCACCATGCGCGTGCCCGACAGTTGCTTGCGCGTGTCGGACAGCTTTTTGCGCATATCGCCGAGCTCGTCAATCTGTGCGCCACGGATGCGAAGCAGGGGCCGCCCGAAAGACGCGGCACGGCAAGTTGGGCACCGGTCGCCTTGGGTCTGAGCGCAGGACTCGCAGAAAGCGTGGCCTGGAGAAAGAGTCAGTGATCAGTGTAATGAGTTTTACGGTTAAAGAAGTAGAGGGACGGTAGTAAATGAAGTGCCGGAGTGGGTCAAAGAGGCGGAGACGTACCACAATTGGGGAACAAAAGCCACTTGTCGGGGAATGGGAAGCTTGAAGTACAGAGCGTACAGGTGGCGCACGGAGTAGCGTGGGACATCGTTGAACTGCTGTCGTTGGATGTATTGGGCTACAGAGAGTCAAGTTGGCCACTGAAAGTCGCCGATGAAAGGCAAGCACGCAGGCAGGTACAAATTAGCAGTTGCGGCGTCATTTAGACAAGATAAGCGTCGAACAGACAAAGGCATCAGGCCACGCAAAGAGATAGACGGCCTTCAGGATCAAGTACATTGCCAGCATTGCTTGAGAAAGTAACCAAGGGGCCAAGGTAGGCGAAATGTCAGAAGAACCCATAAAGAGGCTGCCGACCTTGCGCTGATTGCAACGCAAGAACGGAAGGTCATTCTATCGACCAGTCCACTCTCGTGAGTGTCGATGACCTTGGGGTCAGTCAAACAGAACGATAGATCGTGCTTTTTTCGAAAGGCAAGGTCGCGTAGAAAAGGAGTCATCGGTGCAAAGGGCGCAAGAAGGCAATCAGGATGGTGGTTCGAGGGCAACAAGCGAGTGACCAAAAACGGAAACCACAAGAAAGGATTAGACTTTGATCCGCACCACGCGGTACAAACTGATGCTTTGCTTCCTTGTCTCCTGCCACATTACCCGAGCGCGTCGTCCAAGAGCCCTTCCTCCATTCCTCCGCCAGACTCGGATCTACGTATATATTCTCGCAGCTGGTAAGAAACGATGCTGGAGCTCTGGATAGTCACAACTTGCGCCATTTAGTAATTCTAAGCCGCTGTCCCTCTGCGGTCGCTACTCCTTACCGATGTACAGGTCTCCATGGTCAATAGCAAGCCCGTCTGCATAATCAATCTGTTCTTTCTCTGCAGTAGCCACCTCAGGAATCTCGCTGACTTCTGGTCCGGAAAGATACCGACAAGGAAGACATGCGCTTACGGCTCGTTGACGACTCGGGAATGTGTCCGTCTTGATGACCTCAATCGTCTTGATTTGCGTTGCCGAGCTCGGGGACTACTAGAGCACGTTCCCCCTTGCCCTGAGTTGACTGACTGCAATCGCGATATCCCGGAGAGATCGACTGACCGGATGCACACGTCACATCTGAGACCCAATCTCACGAACGCAGGCCGAGACCACCGACGCCGACGAGCACTCATCGACGCCGAGGACGACGTACACAGTGCCCAAGCATCCCAGCAAACGTCCAGCGCACACCACAAGCACACCTCGAGAAGGTCTTGGAAGTATCGGCAGTCGCCCACGCCAGTGACAAATTACGCCACCATCGTTCCTGATCACACTGTTCCTCCCGAACTGTCAAAATGAAAAAGCTGTTGGCGCCCCTCTCCACCCACCACCATCCTACCCCCATGCATACCCATCTGTGAGCGCTATCCCCCCTCCCTATCCCCCTGGCAGCACGCGCCATGAACATGCAGCCCGGCTACGTCTGCTCGGACGACGAATGGGAGCGATATCAGAACAATGATACCACCATCTACTGCCTCTCGCGCGGGGAGAGCATCGGGCTTATGGTGCGTAGCACGCTCTCTGTACCGCGACATGTACTGATCGGACACCCTCAGATCACAGCTGAATGCGGCCTGCTGTCTCTCCTCGCAGTAGGCTACGTCTTCGCCGTTATCTTCGTACGCAAACTTTCCTCCATCCGCACTTCCCCCACCCATTCTCACACATCGTACAGCGTAACTTCGCTCGCCACGTCCACTACACCTGCGGAACCCCTGCCCAATGGCGCATCGTCTCGCAAGCCATGGACGTTTTCATGGTCCGTCCCCCTCGCCCCCTTCCCTCGCACGATCCCCACTGAACCTGTGCAGCTCAATCTCTTCTTCTCCGACCTCGTCCAAGCGCTCGGCGCCGTCATGGACATCCGCTGGATCCATAATGGTGTCGTCAAGACGGGTGGCTTCTGCACCGCGCAGGGAGTGATCCAGCAGCTCGGCGAAGCCAGCGTGGCGATGACGACGCTTGCGATCACTCTCGCTACCTTCATCGGCGTGTGGTGCGGCAAGCTCGCCTCGCCGCGCGTCGCGACCGGCGTCGTCGCCTGCATCTGGATCTACAACATCATCATGACCTCGGTTGGAAGCGGACTCTACGATGATGGGAGCGATCCCTACGTCGTTCCTACTCCCGTATGTGCTTTACCATCGCGGACTGATTCCCTATGCTAATCACGCTGCGTAGTACTGGTGCTGGATTGGTGACAAGTACTTCGGATTCCGGCTCGCTGGCGAGTATATCTGGTTCTGGATTACTCTCTGCGCCTCCATCCTCCTTTACATCCCACTCTACTTTTGGAGCCGCGGCAATATCAGTATCGACGCCACCCGTTGGTGGCGCTTCAGCGTCCATGCCGTCAAGAACGACCCGCAAGCCGACCCGACCGGACGCCGGAAGCAGGCCCTCATCATGATAGCGTGCGTCCCTACCGACCGCTCTGCACCACTCATGTCACCTTGCTGATCCCACATCCAGCTACCCCCTTGTTTACTCCATCTCCGTTCTCCCCCTCAGCGTCGTGCGCTGGATTGGTTTCCTCGACACCGGGCCCGAGCCAGCGGCGCTCACCATGACCGTCATCTCCATCTACGGCCTCTCCGGCTTCGCCAACGTCCTCCTCCTGCGCCTCACCCGCCCGAACTCCGTGCTCTTCGGCCGCAGCAGCATGACAAAGACAGCACACCAAGCACACGGCGTCACGCTCGATATGCGCCGGCGCCCGCGAGAAAGCGGGGAGCAGTACCGGAGCGCGACGAAGCGGCCCGGGGATGACCTTGGCCTGGGGCGGCTGGCGACGAGAGAAGGAGACGATAACCGGTCAACGGGCGATTTCTCGAACTTTGAGAGCGAGGGGCGGTTCAGTACGTATACGGAGGAGACTTAGGTTTGGCAGTGAAGACCTCGGCGGTTCGTGGAATCTGGATGGAGGTACTTACGTTCCTTGGGTCTGTGGAGGACAGCTTCCTGATATCGGTATCGCTACTAATCGCCATAGTACCCACGCAGTCGGCCTACGTCGACTGCTGTCTATCTTCGCCCATCTTCTATCATCTTCACCTCTGCTTCTCCCATCTTCGCTGTGGCATCTAATTGCTCCACTGCCACATTCTAGCTACTTACTCCTTCGCTTTCACCTGTTTACTATTCGCTCTTGACGACCGTCCTGCTTTCCACGGACATCCCGCTCCTTACTAACAACAGTAACGTTCCCAATGTATTAGTAGTGACTGTAGCCTCATCGTTGCCTTCTCGGCCTACGTATATAATGCTACTGCTTTAGATGTCTAACGAAGGAATGGAAGTTTGCACTGCAAGTGTGCAATGATCAGAGGTGAGATAAGGATAATCAACGAGGATAGAGGTTTCCCTAGACCGTACTGCACATACTATGAGGATGACTCGGAGGCCTCACTGTGATTATTTCCCCATATGGAAAGCATTGTTTGGCCGCTTTCGTTGATCGGAATCAAACCATCCGCGCTTGCTTCCGTCCTTCATGACTCCCGCTCGATATCCCTTCGGAGGCGAAATCTCGGCCGCCGAAAGTGATGCTTCCTCGGGCCGCTTGTGAAGAACACTCCCTTCTGGTCGACTTCGAACGTGATGTGTGAATACAACTGAGATCGTATCGCGATTTGCTGGCTCTGGATCTCTATAGCCTGTCAGTGAACTGCATTGACGCCGTCAGTCGAATGCATTGGCTACTCTTGGCCGCACGCCCGCAATCATGACCCATCTTGACGATGCTCTCTACGGCCGCTGGCGGCTGGTAACCAGAGAGGTTTCTCTCCTTACACCTCCTACCTAGCCATAGCTAGGGCTTGGTATGCAGCATGTCAGCGCTCGCTGTCCTCCTGGCTCTGCTCAATACTTATGCGCTGGCGAGACCGCGCAATACCACGATGGACGACGACCCATGGCCTACTGACAGGGCCAGCATCGTGTACGCACCCACAAAGGCATGGGCGGAGGGGCAGCGTTGCCCAGGTACGTCCTGTCCATCCCTCTTCGCCACAGGCAAGATCATGCTAACCTGGGACGCCCCACCTTCAGGATGCCATGCTCAGCCAGATAAGAACTTGCTGTACAACGGGACCTGGCACGACACGACGGACGACGGCGATACTGACATCGAGAATACTACAATGACCATCAGCTTCGTCGGTGCGCAACCTACCTACCCTCCTTCCTGGTCAAGTGCTACGACTTAGACCTCGCAGGCTCAGGCATATACCTCTACGGTGTCCTCGACAACAATAACACCGCCTTGACGGGCACGATGGCCAACTACGACTTTACCCTCGATGGCACCTACGATGGGAACTTCCACTACGATCCAGATAACTCATCATCAGTCGCATATATCTATGATGTCCTTTGTGCGTTCGCTACAATCTCTACTGCCCACGATCATTGACCTTCCCTACGTTATGAAGTCTACTCCACGACCAATCTGAAGGACGAAGCACACGAGCTCGTCGTCAACATCGCCGGGGGAAACGGCGTGGAACAGGCGTCTTTGATGCTGTTCGACTACTTCACCGTTACGTGCGTCTGACCCGTCATAGTGATATTCCTCAGTCGGTGTTCACCTCCTTCCAGGTACGACAGCGACGAAGAGGCGTCTCTGATAGACTCAAAGTCCCCCGCATCTACCCATTCCCTTGGCGAAACCGCCACGATCACTGGTTCCGGCTCCGACGCTTCTGGGTCGGAAATTGCTGCCGGGAATACGAAGGGAGATCACAGCGGAGCGACCGTAGGCGCCATTGTCGGTGGCGTGGTCGCTGGTCTCGCGTTGCTCGCCACCGCGCTAGTGATCTTTTTCTGTATGCGCAAGCGAAGGCGATCACGCAAATCCAGGAGAAGCACACAATACACACAACCCTTCCTCACGCACCTCAAGGCGCAAGACCCTGCATCGCCGAGTCGGACGGAATGTGAGTGCTCGCTCAAGCGACATAAAGTAGATTCACTGACTATGAGCGCAGTGATAATTCCGCCCATGAAGATGTCGCCTTTGCGAGCGAGTCCCGTGGCTTCATCGCCCTCCTCCTCGCGAGTACGAGGCGACATCGACAAGCGTGTGCGCGATATGGAGGCGCGGGTGATGACGCTACAGACCCGAGCTTCGCAAAGGAATCGACGCGATCGTGGACAGTCGAACGACGCCCTATCACCTGCGCTGGCCACTGACGACGAGGCCCCGGCTCTGCGACACCAAATAGACGGTCTGCAAGCTGAGATCGCCAGGCTGCGCGCGGAGCAGCAGCACGAGAGGATGGTGGAACCTCCGCCAGCGTATTCGACTGCTAGGAATTCGGTGTTGTAAATTATATACTGAATCGAGGAATCTGTGGCATATCTCCTCGGCTCGGCGACCTACTGTTCGCATAGTTCCTTGGGTAATCATCAGGCGACAGCCGCGACACGCTGATGGACCGTCTCCTCAAATCAACGCGAACGATGGGCGTTAGATGGACGGTGTCACAAAGGGAGATGAGCGGTGCCACAAATGATTGCCACTCGCCCGCGATGACCGGGAGTTGGGGGCTTCGGTGGACGTTTGGCTGAGGAGTGACTGGTGGCGATATCCTACCCTCGAGGGTCGTCTGCCTTCATGGTGATAATCAGGCGCACCGAGTGATCCTCTGTGTGGAATTCAATAGGTTGAGGCCGTGGACCGCAAAGGAGCAGTCAAAAGCTGAGGTGGAGAAGAGAGGATACGGATGTGGATGTGGTCGGAGCGATGAAAGGGTCTGCGGGACAGACAAGGTTTAGCTGCGCCAACGAAAGTGTGATGGAAGCGCGGACGACCTTTGCCTCTCACGCTGGCCACAGTGGTCAGCTGACGGGTATTCACGAAAGGGAGAGGGTGCAGCAATGATTTATCGGCGCGTGAATTTTATGAATCGCCTGACAAGGAGGATCGGCGTGCGTGACGCTGGCGGGCGGGGGGGGGGGCGTGAGCGTCCGCACGTAGTCACAAGCAGATCGTCACATCCGCACACCCATCGGGAACGTCCACACGTCCACATATGCGCGCAGTCATCGGCGCAGCGAGAAGCGTTGCGCGCTTTCCGGGGCTTGGTGCTGGCTTGATGTGCGATCCCCGATGGATTGCGAAGGCTTACGAACTCTTCGGCGTTGAGAGAAGGCGTACGCGCTCCTCGGCATCGCGAAATGACCGGTGAGTAGATGGCTGGTAGGGAGAGAGTTGGAGGTCGTGAGCGCGGTCGGCGTTTGAGGCGGGGAGTCGATTGTCAGAAGGATCGGGGCTGATGGATAGAGCAAACAAACTTGAAGGTGGTCCTCCTCTTGGGCATCGTGGCTCATGAGATGGCCGCCGACGCGACTGCAGTCCACACTTGCCGACGCGACTGCAGTTCACGCTTGTCAACGTGGCTTAAGTCCACGTTTGCCGACGTCGCAAAAGCCACAAAGCAGATCGCTCGGGAATGCCACAACGTCCAGCTTGTTCTTCCCCGCGGGGTCATGTCTATTGCTCTGCGGGGTACGAGAGGTCAACCTATTGCGGTGGGTTGAGTATTTCGCCCTGCGGGGTACGAGGAGACCGTGTGGAACAAACGCATTGTTCCTTTCCTGGAAGGCGGGGCATGAGCGGATGAAAGGGGCGTCATGCGAGCATAAAGGCGCCGAAAGCGCGGGGTGAAGGCGCCGAAAGTGCGGGCTGCTAAATTAGCTCGGGATGCCACAATCGACAGACGCACCGGGGGAAGAACTAGCGAGAAGTGCGGGGCAGTAGGTAGCCGGCGGTGGGTTTGAGACGCCGGTGGTGGAGGATTGTTGACCGGCCTTGGATTGGGCGCGTTGGATGGGATACAAGCGGACTGGGCAAGCTAATAACGCCTGCGATGAGCTAAAGACGCGTTCGATGGACTACATATGTGTCCGATGGTCTACAGACGTGTCCGATGGGCCACAGACGTGCCAAAGAGACCGAGGGAGCATCGCATTCATGGACTAAGAGAACGCTGGATCGACCAGAGAATCGCTGAGTATAGACGACTTGTAGATCCCGGCGGATGAATAGTAAAAGAGGACTTGCTTTGAGGTAGCTTTGCGAGCATCGAGGATGTCAAGAAGGAGCGAGGTGAGCGCGAGAAGATGATGTGTACGAGCGAGAAGCAGAACAGAGCTTCGGAAGGGCGAAATGACGGTCAAAGCAATGCTCTTCTCGGACAATTCGAGGCATCTTCCTGGCAAAATAATGCACCTCACCGACAAACCAACGCTGCCTGCGCTCCTCTCGGGCGGAAGAGTTGCTTCTACCGGGCATCGGGGAGGAATGCGGGGAAATTCATTGAGGAGCGCCGTACCTGGCGGTGGTCCGAGTTCGGGGAATGTTCCGCTCCATCGAGGCAGTCTGACTTTCGGCAGCTGGCGTTTGCTCGGGATGACTGGGGGACAGCCTCCATGGACCGCCAGCAAGCTCCGTGCCCGGTGAAAGAGGCCGGCAGACGAGATCTGATGAACTGATAGTCCGGCTGGCACTGGTACTGAGACGGAGAGGCGTCTGGGTGGTGGTTTTGCGACGCGTAGGGAGGCGTGGTCGGACTACACAAACGCGATGGGCTGATGACGTTGCCGAACGCGCTGCTCACGTCAAGGGGCGGCCGACGAGCGCGCTATGGCCGCGCAAAGGGCGATAAGGACAGCGATGACGACGGGCGGGCAGAGAGCGAAGCGGTGCTGGGCGCAATGAATCGTGGGGCGGCGGTGCGGATAGGCGGGCCCCGTGCTTGTGCGAGGGAGCGAGTCTTTCCATCGCCCGGCCAGGCGCGCCACATTTGTAGAGCGCAGGCAGGCGGGCGTGCAGCTGGCCGCTGGCTGGCCGGATTTGTAGGCGCGCAGCGAGTCTAGGCGGGCGGCGTCAAGGCAACGAGGCCGGCGTGTTTGGCGCTGTTTGTGCGGTGAGGTCATCGGGCGAATCAAGGCGGGACTCCAAATTCTCGTGCGCTCTCCAACTCGGTCATGAACAAACTCCACCGGCGGTCCTCGTCCCATTCCTCCTTGCCATCGCCACCCACGACGTCCGCAAAGCTGCGCAAGGCGTCGCCCATGTCCCCAACCTCCCTCCCGTTTCCACCGCTCCCCTCGCCTCATCACCTCCCCAAGCGGCATGCTTCCTTCGACAGCCCCCGCGAGGTCCCGCTGCCCTCGCCCCAGCTCAATCGTGAACAGCAGCCAGGCGGATTTCCGTTTCCAAAGGTCAACATGCCAACGCAGCCCATGCCCCAGCCGTCGCACGACCTCCAGCCCCAGGACGTACCTCCTCCACCCGACGACGGCCCCAGTCGCCGCAGCAGCCAGACCGAAGAGCGCGACTCGCTTTCAGAGTGGACCGACGTGTCCTCCAGCCTGCCCGCGTTGCACTCGCCAGCCCAGGCCCCGACGCCCGTGCACCCGTATCCGCGCCCGTACTCACTGCCTGATGGCCCGCACGCCGCCCGTCGCCAGCCCGACCTCACGCCTGAACCAAAGGTCGCGGGGCCCAGTGGCGTCGATCGCAGCTCCTCCGCCTCCCTCCCGCTCCCGATGCAGATACCCTACAGCACCCTGCCGCGGGTCGACGGCCAGCCGACGACGCGGGCGCCGACGGCAACCACATCTGCACCGCCAGCCACACCAGCAACGCCCGCGCGCACCGCGCCGCCCTCCGCGTTCACATATCGTGGGAAGGCGCCGCGCCCCATCAGCGACGAGGAGCTCGATGAGCACCCGACGGCCATACCGCGCGCCGCCGTGCTCGCCGCGACCGTCTCCCACCCACCCGAACCGCCGAGAGTGCTCGAAACCGCCTCGACACTAGCGCCCTCCACAGCATCCGTGCTGACGCGGGCAAGCACCGTCTCCGACCCCAGTCACACACGTACAGCCCCGCCGTCGCCATCTGCGATGGCGGCGTCGCAGTCCACGCCGCCCTCGGTTGCAAACGGCCAATCGGACGCGCAACGCAATTCGTTACCCAACGCACATCTGCCCTTCCTTTCACATGCCCCGCCTCCCGCCGACAGCTGGATCCAGGTAGAGACCACGCCCACGGAGTACCGACTGCACATACGACTTCCTGGCTTCCAGCGCGATGGCATGTACGTAATTCACGTACTCCCTTATGCTGCGGTACTGAGAAGGTTTTCTCCAGAACACTTGCGACGAAGAAGCGCCGCATCCTACACGTCGTCGCCGACTCTTGGGAGAATGGCGGGGGCCACTTTGAACGACGGATATCCTTTGGTTATGATGCGGACCTGGTGCAGGTGAGTCATCCTTTCTTTTCCATCCCTTTCATCGCGCGATCGCGCGCGTACCCGACGCGTGCGGTACCGTGTAGCCGGTGATATGTGTAATCGCCTATGTACTTACACGTCCTCCTTAGGTTCGCGCCGAGTTTGATGGGGAGATGCTCCGAGTCGTGATACCCCGGCGCATGCCGCCAGGCAGCGCGCGTAGCACAATGGGAATGGCCAGATAAGCTCAAACCACCGGGAACCGGATGCGTGATCGCGCGCCGGGTGCGGGATGCATGATCGCGCACCAGGTGCGGGATGTGCGACCACGCTGAGGGAGGAGAGACGCAATGCAACACCAACACCATCATCATCACACGCCGAGCCTCGCGCGCCAAGGGCGGCAGAGCCAGAGGGCAACGAGCGCGAGCGCAGAAGAGCCAGAGGACGAGCCTCAACCACCTCACCCGCTTAGAGTTAGGGATGGCGCGTATCTCCGCATGCGACTGGCGATCGCGGTGGCCTGCACGCGGTCGGTGCTAGCCCGTGAGGACGCAGTCGCTCAGACTTTGGCGGCTGGCTTGTACGCCGTTGTGCTGACTTGACGGCCATCCACCACGGTCTGCAGCATCCACCAAGTCTTGCAGCATTCACCCGTCCCACCCATCCGCACGCCCGCCTCACCCCGCCCCTCTGGCCACCACCGACACAGCACGTTCGCAAAAAGTACATTATGGCACCTGCGGCGTATCAGGCTGGACTCATGCCCGTGCTACACACCCTTACCATACACCCACCGATCGCAATGCAACAGTAATTTATGCACACCCCTGCCAGCCCGTGCTCAGCTCAGACTACCCGTGCTCGCTGACAATGGCCTCCTCCCCTGCATGCTTACTCCCCCTTCCCGCCGTCTGCTCACTTCTCTCGCGTTGCTGCCTGCTGATGAATGCCCCTCGCCCACCTGCACGCCCGGATATCGGCGACTCATTCATGGGAGCGCCTACAAACTCGCGGGAACGACTACAAACGATATGGGAACGGCTACAAATCTCGCACGGACGCTCTACAAATCGCGTCGTCGCTACAAATCGCCGCGCCGTTGCGCTACAAATCACCGTGTCCTCACGCTACAAATCGTCGTGCTCGTCGCTACAAATCACCGCGTCCGGCCCGCGCGTGCATCACCGCCATGTGCGCCGTACCCAAGACCGTGGTGGTGGTTGCGGTGGTTGTTGACAGACGCCGGTGGTAGTCGTTGTGCAGGGGCTGATTGTCCATCGTGCAGGGGTTGGTCGTCGTGCGGGGATCCAGTCGCCATGTCTCGCGTTGTCGCGCGGGGGCATATCGAGACGCGCGGGGTGATCGTCGTTGCCCGTTGCCCGTTGCTCGACGTCGTCGCCATCCTGATTATTATCGTGGTCGTCCTGTCATCGGCATCGTTCCTCCAGTTTCCTCGGCATGTCGTCCATCGTCGTCGGCGGTGATCGATATCCTTCATCGCTGGCGTCGCCGACCTCGGCCATCTCATCTGCTCGGTTATCAGCACTTGTCCAGTTGCTCGTCCATCACTATCATCTCTGCCCATCCATCTCGCCCATCGCCGCCGCCGGTCCGCCCATCGTCCTCGCTAATCTCTCATCTCCCTCGCCCGTCACCCTCCATCGCCCATCGCCCTCGCCAATCGCCGCACATCACTCATCCTCATCACCCGGGTGAAGTCATGATGCATCATACCCCCGCGTACATCGATATCGACACTACAGCACGTATATACACTACAACTCGACATCAACACAGCAGCAGCAACGTCTTCGGCATCGCATCCATTTACCTATCTATTTGGTGACATACATAGTTTCTTCGTGGTCTCTGCCCTCTCAACCCATAAAATCCTACCCCTGGCGCCTCGCCCTATAACCTCCTATCCATAGCCTCTCACACCCGGCGTCTCACAGCCTTAGTACCCAACATCCGTAGCATTTCCACGTCCTCTTCTCGGTCGGTTCCGTCGTCGTCTTCACCACACAAATACACATACCTTACTTGTACGTACACTACTTACAGCTCTTGACGGTGCGGCTGGGCGTCAGCGCGTGCGCGGGGCCCCTGCCGTTGTACTTAGTCTCTCGTCGCAAGGTTACCCTGGTACAGAAGGAAGTCGAATGTAATTATATGTACTCTTATACAGTGCATGCGTCTGCAAGACCTTGAACCTGCCGATAGTGAGATGGTGCACCGTGGAGGGGAGGCTCGCAGGACTTGCAGCAAAAAGTGATGGAACATTGTCTGAACCAGTCTCCTCGTCTCCTCTCCCTCGTAGTCTGAACCAGCCAGTCCGCCGATGTGTATATAAGTGGCGGAGGCGGAGCAGGGACATCATGCTTCCACCACTGCTTCCTCAGCCGCCTTCGCAAGCTATCCGAGTCCAACATTCCGTGGCTCGATGACCCAACGATGACCGCCAACTTTCACCGCCAGACCTCGCGGCGGATGACCTCGGAAGAGCGTCGCACACGCGACGCAGTAGCTCGTATCGATGCTATTCCGGCCGTCGGGCTTGACGTAGCGGATGAATGCCAGTTCGCCCAAGCCCGCCTCTCTTGAGGAGGCCGAGGACGGCGCCATCGTTAGTCGTCCATGCAAAAAGGGGCAAAAAGCGAGCCGCGCAGTCGCTAGGTTGATTCCCTTCTGCCCGGTTCGAACGGGCGACATTCAGATGTTATCCAATTACAGTCTGACGCTCTTCCAACTGAGCTAAGAAGGGTTGGAAATGACGCCTCACAGACAATACATCGAGCACAGCAGGGTTGACGTGATTGCTGTACCGCCATTGGCATCAGCACTTGATTCTAACCATCACCTACTCTCGACTCGTCAAGTATGTCTTGGTCAGGGTACGCACGAACCTCTGGACACTGGTTCTGATTGTCTCATACTCTGCATCAGATTCAAGAAGTCCGTCAACCGAGCGGGCACTACCGTACGCACGAGCTACTGCATGCGGAGGGATGGCCGCCTGACGCCATTTACAGCTGCTCCAGAAGACCGGTCAGGTCGAGCGCACCATCGACCGCGAGTTCGCGGACGAGGAAGCCAAGTACCGGATGTATGCTGCACTTCTGCTGCCCATCGTTCGTCGTCTGAACGCTGCGCAGATTCGAGAAGGAGACGCAGGCACTGCAGAAGGATGCCAAGCATTATTACGATGCGATGTACGGTGCGTGGTGTGCTCGGGCGTTCTAGGATGGGAACTCAACGATGGGTCGGCAGGCATGTCGCAGGCACAGGCGCGCATAGCGGGGACCGTCGAGACCTTCTACGGCGCCGCTGATCGCACGTCCGAGGGCGCGATGGCCGCGCATGCGTACAAGAGCGCCATCGAGGAGCTAGAGGGGAGCATAAGCCGCGAATTCGTGCGCCTCGCTCACCCATCTCTCCTCGTCACTGCCGTTGACTCCCTGCGCAGGAGACCCCGTACCGCACAACCATCTCGGAGCCCATAGGCAAGATGTGCGCGTATTTCCCCGTCATCAATGAGCACATCTCGAAGCGGGGGAAGAAGGTGCGTCTGGTGTGCATAGTAGGGGGATGTGTGGAATGCTGAAAGCGGCGCAGATGATCGACTACGATGCTGCACGGGCACGACTGCGCAAGCTTATCGACAAGCCGTCGGAGGACCCGCAGCGACTGCCGCGCGCGCAGGCAGAGAATGACGAGACGAAGGAGGTGCGTAATGTTGGCATGCAGAGGGGTATTCAGCGCTGATGCTCGTACCTCAGCAATTCGACATCTTGAACAATCAACTCATCGAGGAGCTCCCCGTCTTGTTGGACCAACGGATACCCTTCTTCGATCCCAGCTTCGAGGCGATGATCCGGATACAAGCGAAGTTCGCGGAAGAGGCATATGAGAAGATGAGCGGGGTGCAGAGGTGAGGGCGGTGGCAATCCCCCCTCGAGCTGGACACTGACGGACTTCTTCCAGGTACTTCGACGACAGCGTCCGCGATGACTACGCGGCGGGGCAGTTGGATGCGCAGGTGTGTTAGCTGGGTTGCTTTGTGGAGCTTAGTTTGACCGCTTCTACAGGTGGAGGGTGTTCTTCAGGAGATGCGGGAGCTTACTATCTGCGGCGGGCAGTAATCTTATCAACTTTCGCTTTCGTTTTCGGTCCTATCAGTGTAATGTATCATCATGTTCGACTCAGGACCATCTACCTCTCGCGAGCAGCATCTGGCGACGAAGCTCCCAAACAGAACTGTGTCGCATCCCGCCATTCCTCCATTCGCCAAGTCACCATTCCGTCTTTGTCCGGCTAACTTCATTTCAGCATTTGTGCGCGGGCCACTAGTCATAATAGTGGCAGTGGCCGTCAAAAATTGGTTATATTCCTCGCTTGCATTTCTGCCACTGACCGCCACCTTCTCTCCTCCATTTCCTCGACGTCGCCTCTTATTCCGCTTAGCTCAACGCCCTCACTCCGTCATGCCTCTCTCCGCAGAATGCCCCGTCTGTCTCGAGGACTTCCGATTCCCGGAGGACGGTGTGTTTTTCCTCACGTGCGGTACGTTGAGTTTGTTTTGTGCCACTCGAGGACCTGGTTGACCGATGGTTGTGCAGGCCACGGAATTTGCGCAAGATGCTCGCATCTGCAGCAGTGGACGAGATGCCCGACGTGCCGCACGTATACGTTTGCGAGTATCCATCCGCCACAAAGGATCTTCGTGCAGCTTGCACTGCATGCTGCGGGGGCCTCTGTTGAGGAGCCTGTAGCTGCGTCGTCCGAGGTCGAGGTTGCTAATCGCCGTACGGGGCAGGCGATCGCGAGTGGTTCTGGGAGTAGGGTGCAGCAACTCGTCGAGGGTACCGACCAGGAGAGCGGTGCAGACGCCGAAGAAGCCTTTGAGGCGCTGGAAGAGCTCGCGGACGTCCCACACTTCGACAGTACGACGAAGGTAAGCACGTCACTCTCTATCCACATGAACTCGAAGCTCATTCTCTTCTAGTCAACAATCCTCCGCGTAGCCCACATCCTCGACCGCGAGCTGCGCCCCAGTCTGACTTCCCTGCGCGTTGAGCGCGCCGAGCTGCGGGAAAGCAGGTTTTCCCTTCTCGCCTGCGTCGACCAGTACAAGGACCGGGTGCTGTCCCTCGAGGGCGAGCAGGCTCGGCTAATGGGAGCGCTGGACCATGCAGAGGTCGCGTTGCGCATCGCGGAGCGCAGGGCAAAGGACAGAATGGAGGAAGTGCTGACGATGCGTGATGCGCTGAGGTTGTCGGGGGATAATGTGCGTGGTTTCTTGGGCACTAGACGTGGAGGAAGCTGACGCGTGACGATTTGTTTGTAGATGGACTTTTGGACCGAGCGCGCGAACGAGCTGCAGCGGGAGGTGCAGGCTCGGCAGAAGACGATCGAGAGGCTGAAGACAGAGAACACCGACTTGGCGTTAAAGCTGGACGACTTCAAATGTGGGGTGCGTTCGATCTCCACCATGACTTTGAACTGAACGGCGAGCTAACACGTTTCCCCTAGGCGCCAGTGACCCCCTTGACGGACTTCCTGTCCTCTGCCACCATCCTTGATATCCTCTGTTTCGTTGTTTGGCCCTCGCTGGTCGTGTTCCTGTTCGCGGGTCGTATTTATGTTCATTGAGGTCTCGGCTAGTAACGTGATGATGCAGGCATCGGTTTTTAATACCTTTCGTTCTTCCATTGTATTGTGCCAGAATTACCACCAGACGATCGACTTCCTGTCCAACTAGGGGACGGGCTAGATCGTTGTCATGGACCTTCGACCCGCCTCCCAAAGGGATATGGTCCATAGTGTGGCCTCTTCGTTGTTGCCCATATGGCTTGGTCAATGCAGGCGGCTTCGCTTCTCATTTCTGATCATCCACTGCCACAGCCTGACTTTCGTCATGTCTTCCGCCACTTGTCGCCTCTGCCTCCAGGACGTCCAGTTCCCCGCAAGGTGGTTGCTCTTCCCTATTTGTGGTACGCTCTCTCGACTTTCTGTCCCTGCCGCCCCTCCTGACGCGCGCTCTTCAGGACACGCAGTCTGCGAGTCGTGCGCGAATGGCTCGCTAGCCGCCTGCCCGACCTGCCACGCGAGCACGCTGGGCCACCCGCTCCTCCGCATCATCGGCGTGCAGGTTAACGACGTGCCGCGGCAAGCGGAGGACAGCCAACTGCTGAAGGATAAGCTGCGGCTGCTGAAGGCCCTGGAGGAGTCGCAGGTGCAGCAGCGCAAGCTGCAGCTGGAGCTCGCCGACGCGCGGGTCACGGTGCAGATTTTGCGAATGGATATTCTGCTGCATGAGAAAAGGAAGCTTCAAGAGGCAGCGAGGGAGTCTGCAACACAGGATGGTGGCATGCCACCAGGGGCGGCGAACACAGAACAGTGCTCGACTACGGTCGCGGTGCAGCGCGGTCTCATCAACTGGGACGAGGCTCGTCGCCTCTGGGAAGGCTTGAAGGACGAGGTCATCGTGCTGACGCCCACCTTGCAGGCGAGTGGCGTGTGTGGGTCGAAATTAACATTTTTACTGATAGCTATCCCAGGACCTCCAGCGCCCCTTCCTCTATTTCTCGCTCTTCGTCCTTTATGCGATGGCGGTCTTTCTTTGTGTTGTGATGTACGCGTTGCTGGACTTTCGCTGCGCGAGCTCGTGCCCCGGTTCTTGGTCGATCCGTGGCAAGTAACTGCGCTCATGCAGCCCTCGCTGATCATCGGAAGCGATTCATATAATGTCCGTAACGGGCGCGAAATAAATCTGCAGTTCATGCTGCATTCGACACGACGTCTGTACGTTTACGCATGTGATGCTCAAATGTATGCGTGGACGCCTCTCGGTTTTCACTGGCTTGGACGGGGTCCATTGTCTAGCACAGGTCAGGCGCTTTGAGAGCTTAGGTGCGTGATAGATCGCCTGCTCTCGGATTCTTAGTCAGTGGCCATTGACGACGTTCCTATCTCGCACCTGTTCTTTGATCAAAGACCTTTTGGTTGTTTGTGCGTTTATCCCTTTGGCTCCCGGTGCGCCCCTTTGAGTGGCATTATGGATTGACCCTTGCTTTAACGCGTCGCCCGTGATATAACAGACCTCAAGGAAGGAAGGACACTATCTACCTTCGTCTGCGCTCCCATCCACACGATGGCCCTGCAAGCTGAATGCAGTGTATGTTTGGAAGACGTGCACTTTCCGGAAAAGTGGCTCGTCTTCCCTACCTGCGGTACGTACCCCAACTCTGTGCCCTTTATATGCCACTGAAGTCCATCACAGGTCACGGTTTCTGCGAGGACTGCGCGATCAGGTCTGGGACTGCTTGTCCTACGTGCCGCGCCCGACCCATCGATCAGCCCCAGGCTCTGCTTCGTCTTTTTAACATACGCCTGAAGATGCCGCAGGTCGCTTCCAGCGACGAACCTATTCGTTTGCGAGTCGAGAACGCGCGTCTGATGAGGGAGACTGGCCGCTTGATCGACGAACTCGACGATGCGCAGCGTCGTTTACATGGCAGGCCGGCGATGGTCTACCAGCATGCGTACGGTACGATGAAGGTTGTGGACGCCTTCGAGAATATTGCCGAAGACAAGCAAGTCACTAAGGCAAAATCGATTATGGTCAGTGATGTTCTGTCGGCCGTCAAGACGACATGGTCTCATTCTCACTAGATGTTCTTTTTGTGTGTCCTTGAGGTCATCGTTGTATCCTTTGCTGCCCTGATAATATTTTTATCGTACGACTCGTGTAACTCTAACAGATACTAGACTGCTGTCCGCAGCGTCACCTATTCGAAGTTGAACTTCAGCGGACGCCGAAGCATGTGATGACTCGGAGCCGAGAGTTGAATACAATATCTTCTTCGTTTTTCCTTCACGGTCTCATCGGGAGTTGCTGATGCGTTGCCCCGTCGCAAGTGCCGAATGATCCAGAATACGCATCGCCTTGTGAGGTGCGCTTACCATCGAGGTGAAGTGTTGGACATGGGCTTGGGTCTTCTGTTCATGAGCGCCTTGTGGCCGGTTCTCACGAGTCTGTCGAATTACGGCATACACGTAAACAATCGCAACCCAACTGACTTGGCCTGAACGGCCACTGCGCAGCTCTGTCTCACCATGCTAACCGCTGAATGTCCTGTCTGCTTCGAAAGCTTTGAGTTCCCGAAAGACGGTGCCTTCTTCCCCGCTTGCGGTGAGGTTTCGCTTCGCCCTCCTGTACTTGCCATAAAAGCTTACAGGTACATTCTGTAGGTCATGGCATCTGTGTGACGTGCTCTCAACAGCAGACGTGGACGAGATGTCCGTCTTGTCGCTCGAGCACCACGCAACCTCGTCGAATCTTCGTACAGCTCACAGGGGATGCGCAAAGCCTTACGTCCGCGACCGCGACCACAGGCTCGCATGGTTCAGGCTCGTCGCGGGGTATCGAGCCCAATGTGATTGATGAAGACGAGGATAAGGCTGACTCCGAGGCTGAACAAGCTTGTAATGCATTGCAATCGGTGTTAGAATGTCCGTCCCTCGACCATGCTCTTAGCGCCAAGGTACGCTCGATCGAGGGCCGGTTGATCTGCTGACCATTGACGCTCGAACGAATCGCCCAGATCGTTGTTCGCGACGCCTACGTTGCTGTTCTACACTTCCGCATGGCACATCTGAGGCTTCAGAACCACCGCCATCGTGTCCGCGCTGATCTCGAGCTTCGTGGCGATCGCGTGGCGGCGCTGGAGCAGGACAACGCACGCCTGTCTGACCTTCGCGAGCTCTCTGGGGCAATGCTTCGTGCTAGTGAAGATCTTCGAAGACACAAGGAAACTGCCCTTGTGATTTGCCAGGCTGACCTAATGGGAACGAAAGATAAAGTGAGCTTCGTTCAGCGTGTCTCGGCCCGCGCAGAATTGATTGAGCAACACATTCACAGGTTACGTCGCTGACTCGGAAAGCGAGTCGATTAGAACAGGAGAAAACAGAACAACAACGGATTGTCGTCCAGTTGAAGGAACAAGTTCAGGCTCTAACCAAGGCCAACAAAGACCTTCACGATGTCAGTCCCTGCGTTCAAAAAGTCATGGCCTGCAGTTCTCAGTACTGACTTCGGCACTCAGTTCAATGAGCTGTCATTGTCGTTCTTCCACAAGTTGGGCATGTTTACATTCTTCATTATTGTCTTGTGCATCGCGTGCGCGATGTTCTCTGCATATCGGTCTCGATAACCGGCCAATATTGATGATATACTTTCTATGCTCTTTTCTACTCGAAGATCTTACCCGTGTTTCAAGTATATAACGGACACGCGCTTACTCAAGGCCATACTGGCTCTCGTAGGAGGTGGCACCTCGTTCCCGCGCGTAGCCAGATACTTTTCTGTGCTATCCAAATCCATATCGCTTGGATCTTACAACGTCCGCTTGCCCCTCGAGACTCCATATAGGGCGCGAGAAGGCTAGAAATTGATGGGGTCCCGACCTGAAAATCCTGCTCGTCCGATCTCCCGACTTCGCACCTGGCGCATCGACGAGCGGAACTCTCTTCTCAGATGTCGGATCGCGGACAAAAAGACCTCGATGCTGAAGGACTGCTTCAAAGTCTTGAGCAGAGGCTTGCTGGGTTTTCAAGGATTTGAGGAGCCCGAAGTTCAACCGTGGCATCGGCAAATGCCGATCGGAAGCATTTCGTGCACCATGTGCGCAACGTGCCTTGCTTTCTTGTATCCATTACCCAGCAACCTCTCGCGCCAACACGACCTGGTTTCCCGATGTTAACTCTCGTCTAAGAGGTCACTCAAATTTGATATTTGTGTCTTTCATTCCAAGAACGCTAGCTTAGCGCGCGTACCGCTACTGGTGTTCTTCTTAGGGTGACCATGGTCGCGGCATACCTTTGCATCGATTGTGTGGCCCTCTTCGTGGCACCTCTATAAGCGCGCCCGAGACGCAATGAGCTCTTCTCCTGTCTCTCTCTCTGCTATCAAAGACGCCGTCTACTCTGGTCACCCACACTTGCGGCGCTTCTGCCCTCATGTCAACTGCTGAATGCCCGATCTGCTTCGAAAGCTTTGCGTTGCTTGAAGACGGCGTTTTCTTCGTCGCCTGCGGTGCGTCATATCTGCTTCAAATCGCCCTTCACTTGATCTGAACTCCTTTTCCTCTTTAGGACATTGCATCTGCACTGAATGTTCGCGTCAGCGGCAATGGGATAGGTGCCCGACTTGCCGCACGCACGCTGGCATTCCCCCTTTCAGACGGATCTTCGTGCAGACTTCCCCGCAGGGATCAGTTTCAGCAGCGTTGGAAGAGCAGCGCGCTGCCTTGGCGGCCTACGTTGACCAGCTTACCGCCCGCGTGCAAGCGCTCGAAAGTGAGATGACGCGGTTCGAGGACGAGAGCACGCGCCTGACGGTGCGTCTGCAGCAGACGCAGGGCGATCTGCGTGCCGCGGAAGGGCGGGAACGCTGTCAAAAGGAGGAGATTTTGGAGTTGGGGGATTGGCTAAGTGTGTATGCTGATCTCGTGCGTTGACGGCATTTTATTTGCGGAGGGGAAGATGCTTACAATAGTCGCCCACAGAAGAACTACTGGACGAGGCGCACTATAGCGCTACAAAGCGACAGCGAGGCGCTGAAGCGCGATGTTGGTGCTCGGGATAAGACCATCCAATCGCTGAAGGAACAGAACCGCACACTGACGGCAAAGCTAGACCGATACGAAGGCAGGGTACGTGTGATTGCATGGCGCTCAACTCCAAATACTAGGTTGCTAACGAGCCAACGGCTTCTCGACAGACATGGGTGAGCCGGTGGAATAGCCTAGCGGGCCCAGCGAGGAGATCCTCGGGGCGACGGCCTGGTGGTGGCACAGAGCTGGATAATGCTGGGGATACACGTGTGTCTAAGCACTATGTAGGCGTCGGAACCGGGACTACGTCCCGGTATCCCGGTTCCATGTTCCCCCCTCTCGCGTGGCGACGCCCTCGTCGCCAGCGAACCCAAACCAGCAAAAACCCTACATCAAGCTCCTCCTGACCCAGCCCAGTGCATGTAGAGCACGCGATAAGTCCTGCAACCTCGGGTCGTGTACCCAATCTAACGAAGTCCCACCTATTTGTGGCAAACGCGACCCCGGCCAGCGGCGCGAAGCTGGACGCTGAGAGGTTCCTGCGTGTCGGCGACGCGGGCGAGAGCGAGACTGAGTGCCGCGTCTACGGCGGCCGAGGGATGCGAATGGTCGAGTGGTTCCGCTCGATAAGCACGAAAGGTCTCGAGGCGGCGGATGAGGTAGCGGGGCAACAGGGAGATGCACATCTACATCGGAGGCCCAGTCGAAGCTGACGCAACTGAGGGGATGCATGGTAGTGGGCTCCTCGTGAGGCGACGTCTGGACAGCGGACTCTGTACGAGCAGGCTGCGGTATCGAAGACGAGTGGGTGATAACGGGGGTGGTCAGCGCGTGCTCGAAAGAACAGAGATCGTGGCCGACTGCGACGTCGACGCGGGGTGGGTCCGCGCACGGGACCGGGACGCGCGCTCGCATGACATTCCAGAGAGCGCCGCATGTCAGCATGCCGAGTGCCTTCCCAGCACGCTGACCCATGTCGTAGCCCGCGCGATGTCCCTCATCGTAGTCGCGGCAACGGCCATCCTCGGGGACACGTGCATGTCCTGCCTTCTCCCATTTCTCGCGCTCGGTCTGTGCACCAGCGACGCGCCCCGCTTTGAATTGGGTCTCAAGTGCGGCATTCGTCGGTGTACCCTCTGCCGACAGGTGATCTTGGAACAGCGCGAGGAGATTGGTCCAGAGGGCGGTCTCGGCAATGACGGGGTTACGATCGTGTAGAGAGCGATATACGTTGAGTGCATCGGAGAACTTCTGTGGAATTTCGATTTTCGATGTAAATTGCCGTCCATCCGGCAGTGTAAACGTGCGAGGCATGGTGTAGTCGGTGAGGCTCGTCGCAGGGCGTGATGTGATGTGGTAAAAGGCGCGGGAAGACGCGCAAGGCTCGATGATAGTCGCTGGGAATATGCGCAGCGACGATGACGGCGCCGATCGACGCGAACGCAACGCAAAATGACGCAGATAAACGCAAATGCAACGCAGACGCAACGCAACGCAACGCAACGCAGAAAGACTCGATAGGACGCGGGGGCTCGGATAGACTCGGAAAACGCGGAGCGCAATGCTCGAACGCAGAAAACGTGTACACAGGCACGGGGCGCGGGAAGGCTCGAACGCGGAGAACGAAGCTCGACGCGAGACACGCAGGTGAGATGGTCTGTAGGGGCACGGGAAAGAAGACCACTCTCGTCACCAGATGGAATAGCCTAGCGGGCCCAGCGAGGAGATCCTCGGGGCGACGGCCTGGTGGTGGCACAGAGCTGGATAATGCTGGGGATACACGTGTGTCTAAGCACTATGTAGGCGTCGGAACCGGGACTACGTCCCGGTATCCCGGTTCCACCGGCTGTCGGACTTCTGCCTTGTAATATTTTATGGGCTCGCGGCCTTATTCCTTGCATTGCTCCTCCTCGGACTGTTGATAGCAGAGTTATTGCTTGACGTTATCAAGGCTCCTTGAAAGACTGTATATCGTATACGCAACGAACGAGTGTCTTCAGTTTCATTATCTGTTTTCCGAGTGCGGGTGGCAATTCAGAGTTGTCGGGTTCAAGGGTTTCGACCTGAGTGAGCATACACCTTATCCTAGAGGTAGTCCACATCTTCATCTTTCTCAAGAGACAAGGAGAAAGGTGGCAGTCAGCGACAGCCCTGAGAGCACCTCGTGCCTTGGCCATTGCAACGGGCGCCGGAATCAAATTGAACGGCAATCACCGAGGGAAGCAGGCCATCCATTGTACCGCTTTTGGGCACGCTTGTTGACCCGAACCTTCATCTCCCTTCGCCACTCTCGACTCCTTCCGTGCACTCCGGCGATTGAGACTTTGCGCCTACGCTTTATGAGAACTGTGGCATCTCTGACTGCCCGACTTTGTTCGACCTCAAGAGCTTGTTAGCGGTGTTGTCTGCCACACCACGTGCGGTGATTCGAAAGACCATCTGATACTGATTTCTGTGCTCTTCTCTGTCTGCTCGACACGAGTACGGATCTGGTTCGCGAGCCAAGTAACCCGCGCCCACCATGCCCTCCATCGAATGCCCTATGTGTAGTGAAAGTTACGGTGCCCCCACATATGTGAAGATCATTCCTGCTTGCGGTACGTTCTGTTTAATTTCTTCACTCGTGGCTCTGGAATAATTTATTGATTTGTTATAGGTCACCCTATCTCAGTATAAATTATAGTACTACCTCGTGTCGATCGTGGTACTAAGTCTGATATTACTGTGAAAGATCGTTTGTCCGTGACGAGACTTCAGATACGTCGAGTAGCTCAGTTAGAGCCAACGGTAACGGTCGCGTTGCTGAAGTCCAGAACAGGGGTCGTCGACGCCTGCAACTCGTTAGACACGGCCACAGTGGCAATAGGGAAGACCTACCCCAAGCAGCATAAAGTGAGCCACGGTCAGGAGGTTGACGCCCGACGCGTCCTCGGGAATCTGGACGCTCTGCAGAATATCGCTCAGCTTGACCCTCATCTAAAGGCTGGGAGGACGTACGAAGTTCTGGTACGGCGGAAGCGCAGACTCGTGGTACTGGGGGTCAAAGCCACCGACGTACAGAGGCTTTCCCAGGCCGAAGTACGCGTCGGTGGGGCAGCCGCTGCCGGACGAGCAGCTGGCCAGACCAATGACAAGCGAGACGTGCTGCGCGCCGGTCAACGAGTTCTGAAAATCCCTGTCAACACTTCGATTGACGGTGGTCCCGCAGGTCGACTCACCGGAAACGAGACCTGCACGGTCGTGTTCTGACCGGGGGTCAGAGTGGCATTCGCCGTCGGAGAGCTGAGCTGGATGTTCTGCGCCAGCGCAGTCGAGGCAGCAGAAAGCAGAGCAGCGAGGACGGTGAACTTCATGATGCGTGAGTAGTAGACGTGAGATGGAATGTAGTAGACGGATGAGAGAACAAGTGGTCGCATACCGCATCCTTAAGTACTCCCTCGACCTCAGTCATACGTTAGCGGCATACCTGCCGGGGCGGGCAACGTGCCCCGCACCCAATCTGCTTCTCGTCTATCCTTGGTCCTGGGAGGCCCAATATGCACGGCAACGCGGCGGAGGTCGTAAAGAGCACTGTTGAATCACCGATTGGACCCACAAAGCGGCATACCAACCGTCAGTGATCCTGCAAGTGACGTCGCCAACGACAAGGAATGGGCCCACATGGGCACACCGACGATTTCTGGATGCTTGAGGGATCCTTCTCTTTCACCCTCGGGATCGACGCGTACAATGGCAGAAGTTCCGGACCATGAACGACCGCGGCGGTATGAACAGCCGCATCTCCGCAAACTCGTGGAGGTGGTTACCGGTAAGTTCGAGACGGGCAGCTGACGACAGCGTCGGCCGCGGGGTATATAGGCGAAAGCGGGCCACAAGCAACGTGCCACAGTCTCGGGGACAGTGACCATCTCATCCTCGACTCACTTGCCGATGAAACCTCTCGTGCATATGTGCAGCCAGCCGCATCTGCCCGCGGCCCCGCGGGTCGTCGACTGAGGGATTTTTTGATTAGCCTCCATCCGGACTCGGCAGGCGAAGTTTAAGTTGTCCTCGGGTAGCGTCCCCGTGTTGTAAGTAAGAATACCAGTACAATCCAGTGCAAAACGTAGCACATCACCAGTAAGAAAGGACACGAATAGCACGATGAACGTCTAGGCATCCGCCAGCTTCTTCTCCACCACAGCCGCCTCGGCATCGGCCTTCGTGACTGCTTGCCGCTGAGTCTCCATGTTCGACAGGTCGACCTCGCCGGCGCCGACGTCCCGGAAGAACCAATAGTTGGCGATGGCGGCGAGCAGGTTGGCCGCGCCAATGCCGACGAAGGGCCAGATGAGGTTGGCTGCACGGACATTAGCGCGAGAAGGCAGGAAGACATACAGACTACGCACGGTCATTGAAGGCGGGGGAGCAGATCTCGACGATGGCGGACGATAGTGCGCTCATCAGGAACACGATGGCAATAACGAGACCCTTCATGTTAGCCGGGGTGAGGTTGTATGCCCTAGGAGTCGTGTCAAGAAGACTTCTTCATAGTTTGCGTGAAGCGAACGTACATCTCGTATGCTGAGAAGCACTTCATTAGTTTGAGGGTAGGCAGAATGGCTGGGAGAACTCACAAGTCACTGAAATGAGGATGCCACCCATGGGCTGGAGCCAGTCTATGTCGCATAAGTACACCGCTCGAAATTTTGGCAGCTTCGAGCTTACAGATGGGAAGAACTGCCCAGGCCGACTGCAGTCGCGTTCAGAACAGGCGCAATGAAGAAAAACGGCCTCACTATAGGTGACACACCGCTGCCAACGGCGCACTCGGTAGCGTGGTAGCCGCATGGCGACGTCTCGTACACCTGCCACTGCAGGATGGCAGAGATGATCATGATCACCACGCCGAAGAGGTAGCCTGAGCGAGACCGTCAGATGCAACTCAATACTGATAAGGCGCCATTGTTCCACACACCGACGCAAACTAAGGGAAGGGTCATCAGTTCAAGGAAATACTCTGGAAGAGACAGTAACTTACTTCTCCTGACGGGCGAGAAGTTGAAGCCTAATTTGCGCAGCGTCGGATAGAGCCAGTAGTTGTAGATCGGGATCGTCACCACCGTGCTGATGGGGCTGCGGAGGAGCGTCAGCCTCCATATACACACATTCGAACAGTGTCAACGTACTTGAAGTTGCTCAACAGATCGTTCGGCAGCCCGTTCGTCGTCATACTGCCCGCCATGTTCGTGATGATCGAGTTCAGCCCGCCATCCGCGAGCGCCCAGATGGGCTGGAAGAGGAAGATTTTGCACGCGATGACCGTCACGCGCAGGTCGTCAACAAACTTGTCTGCATGGTAGTATCAGTAAGACGAACGCAGGTTCCTCCGGGAGTGTGAAAGCTGACCATCCCACTTGATCTTCGCAAGCAAACTCGATGCCTTTGGCGACTCGTCCTGGGCGATGACACTGGGCTTAGCCTGATCCCAAAGCGCGTCACCACCCTTGAAGCCGGTGACAACTCCAGCGCGTGCCCACATGACCTTGACGGCCTTGAAGGCGTCAAGCGTCTCTGCGCCCTTGGGCGGGTAGAGGATAAGACGTGACTGGACCCAGAGCAGCCCGATGGGCATGATGAGGTAGAAGATGCCGGGTGTGAGGCTGATGGCGACGTGAGTACAGAGCAGAGTCGGGGACAGTGAGAAGTCAACGCACTATGCAAGCCAGAACCCAATGCGCTTCTCCGAGTAGGTCGTCGCAATGGAGAAGAACGCGCCGATGTTGACAGCCCAGTAGTACAACTATTCGCAGGATCAGCACACGAGAACATCTGAAGCAGAGAACAGCACGCACGTGAAGCATCGTCTCCACCGTAACCTTCGGGTCGACAATAACCTTCTCGCCTGACTTCAGCGTCTTCACCTGCTGCGTCTTGATAGGGCACTGGTCGGCGATGATGGGCGCGATACTGTAAGCCGGTCTAGTCACTGGCGTTAAAGACGAACATGCTGAAGCGACATACCAAGGCTTGATGAAGCCCGTAGCGAAGGCGAGAATAAGCATGCCAATAATGAAGGCGGCGATGGCGTGGCCCTCTGAGATGACGTCCGGAATAGCAGCAATGACCAGTAGGACATGGCCGACGAAGCCAAAGAGGATACCCCACCAGAGCGTCTTGAGCTGAAGAAGGTTTGAGCAAGGAAAGTACGTGAAGTAGAATATCACTTACACGACCGAGCTTCATGTCCGCAATCATGCCACCGAGCATGGGGGTCACGTACGCTAGGAAACTGCGAATGCAGTCAGAACACGCTTCATACGAGGTATGATGAACGACACGCACTTGAACAGTGTGACAAGCGCAGTCGCGGTCTGTAGCCCGAGTCCCAGCGCGCCAGCTGAGGCCTGCGTGCCAGCCGCCGGCGCACCTGCACCGTTCCCTCCCGCGGGAAGAGGTCTAAATGGAAAATCAGAGGCTGCTGACCCGGCCTGGGAACCGTACTCACCGCTGAATAAAGTTCGTGAAAACACCGCTGACACCATAGTACGACGCGCGCTCTGCAAGCTCGACCACGCAGACGACATACGACGACCTTCGCACGAGATTAACTAGACGCCCCATACGATCACAAGGCCACATACCAAAGAATCGGCGCAGACACATGGCGTAGCGTCGCCTTCTCTTCGTCAGTCGGCGCGCGACCGTCGTTGTCCGCCTCCGTGACCGCGACGGTGTGCAGGATGTTGTGGTCCTTCTTGATGTCCTCGGCCGACGCGTTCGCGTGGTGCTCAGTGGGCACAATCACGCCCTCTCCATCGTTCACCTCGCCAGCAGACTGGATGTAGTCACGAGTCGGGTCCACGTCGGCTGTTCAAGCTCGGTCAGCACCTCCACCGTCCTTCCCTCCCGAACCCAAGAGCAAACGTACCCATCCTGCAAGCGCTCTGGACTCCCTAAACAAACGGGCGACACCGTCCAGACCACGCTCTCCCCTGCGTATATGTACACCATCGGCTTCACTTCGCGCACTGCTATCAGCATCGAAGGTCAAGGATCTCCAGGAGACACGCTCGTGAGCGAGGGACAGGTCCACCGACGCGTTATCAGCGAGACAGGCGCCTTCGATAACCGCACCTGCGGCGGCTGCATGTGATAGTGGAGGCGCGCCGACGGAGGAACGGGCGCCTCCGATTCGCTCGCGCGCCCTCGCCGTCCCACACGGCGCCCGACGACAATAGAGAACAATAGACGAGGTCGTCGGCGTCGTCGGTAACATTGAGCTCGGAATAGCCACTGAAGGGCCTCCTAATCGGTTTCTCCCCGCGTCGTGGACGTAGGTCCGGTATCGACGTCCGTCCCTCGACGAACTTCAGTCAGTTACCACCATCTCGCGAGTGCTGCTGACCGGGGCGGTGGTTCGTTCTCGAAGGGATATATAACGAGGTTATCGCGCACAGGGTCGGGATACAGTCAGAATAAGCAGATATGCCTCGAGTAACCATCGTCGGAGCGGGTGAGTGGTACCTGGGTTTGTTGGTGGTGGCGCAGGCTGAGATGAAAGTGGAACAGGCGTGTTCGGATTGACGATCGCCGAGTCGCTACCCCTGCACTACGATGTCACGATCGTCGCGCGCGATATGCCAGGGGATGCGGACTCGTTGGATTGGGCAAGTCCTTGGTGCGCACTAATGCTTGGGCGGGAGGCAAAGTAGCTGATCGAAGCCTAGGGCGGGTGCGGGGTGGGGAGGGGGAACGGGAGCAAGTCCGGAGGAGATCGAGATCTTGAGAGCCAGCTGGCGGTACTTTTGGGAGCTATCAGGGACTTGCCCAGCAGAGTCAACGGTCAAGGTGCGCACCTAATTCCGTCCATCTGTACGCTGCCAACCTCTCCTCCCAGCGTATCAAAGCCGTCTACATCCGCGACAACAAGGACACCGACGAGGACATCTGGTGGCGGGGCATGATGCCCGACTACCGCGTCATGGACCCCTCCGAGCTCCCCGCCAGCGCCGGCGCCAAGATCGCGATCACATACACCAGCATGGTCATGGTCGCGCCGCGCTACATCGAGTGGTTACGGAGGCGCGTTGAGGCTAAGGGGGTGAAGTTCGTGCGCGCCACCGTGTCGTCCTTTGACGAGTTTCGCTCGCCGTCGGACAAGTTCGGACCTGTGCCGGACGTGCTGGTGAACGCGACGGGGAATGGCGCGAGGGAGCTTGTGGGCGACCCTGACGTCGAGCCTATTCGCGGGCAGACAATCCTCCTTCGCGACACAGATGGCCAGCTATCGAAGCAGATGATGTTGCGCTCGGGCAACTACTACTGCTACATCATCCCTCGACTGGATGGCACTGTGATCATCGGCGGAATCAAGGACCATGGCAGCACGTAAGTTGCGGTCAGCAGCGATCGTAAACCTCCATTGACGCGCTGCGCAGGTCCCCCGAGATCAGTCCCGAGCAGAAACTGGATATATGCAAGCGCGCTCACGAACTCAACCCCCTCATCCCCACCGATCCCGCCAAGCTCGACGTCGTACGCGACATTGTTGGCCTCCGACCAGGACGAAAGAGCGGTCTACGGGTTGACAGCGAGATCGTCGATGGTCTCAAACTCGTGCACGCATACGGCGCCAGCGGAGGCGGCTTTGCGCTCTCTGCGGGGGTCGGCCGCAAGTGCGCAGCGCTGGTGGACGCGTTGCTGAATCCGGCGGGTCCCTTGAAGCCGTACTGAACGCGTTGGACATGTGTGCGAATGCAAGATGTATTTGGTACGGATTGAGAAGCCATTGTCATCTGAAGCGAGATATAGCAGCGAAACTGAGAGCGCTGTATTTGACCCTCCTAGCTGTCTTCGACGTCGCGGTCAAGTCGAAGGAAAACCCCGGCGCCAAGGCTTGCACGCACTCCACGTGGTCTTAGCGGGCATTGCCGAGCCAGAGCTGGGCTCAGAGTCGCAAAAGAGTCGCCGCTCGGGCAGCGATTTATTTGCGGACTTGAGAGGCACAAAGAAAGACAGTGATTAGCATTGCAGGAGGAGTAAAGACATCACATCATAAGGCGCATCACCAAGAAGGACGAAATGAACTCTGCAACGAGCAAACTCAGCAAAGCGATGGCTATGGATTTCCAACTCACCACACCTGGGATTCGCTATTCCCCGGCGCATACTGCACGTTTAGTGAGGGAATATTCTGAATCTGCTTTCGATAAAGACCGCGGGTCGATCGAAAGCGCATATTGTGGCCCAGCCAATCGGAGGTCGTACCGATTGATATGCCACTCATAAGACCACAATCGACCCGCCGCCTTTATGCTTCGCTTATTCAAAATTAGCTCACGATATTCCTGCAGTATGCTCCGGGGAATATCGAATCCCAGATGTGGTGACTGTCGCTCGAAGTCCTGTACAGCATTCCGTTGTTTCTGGTAAAAGGCCGAAGAGAGTTAGGCATATCACAGAGAGACAGCAAATATGCATACCGTTATGTCTTGGACTTGCGCCTGCAGTAGATCCCGTCTCGTACTTACCGGTCACCACCTCCACGAGTATGCGGAGATGCGGCTGTACACACCGCCGCGGTCGTTCATGGTCCGGAACTTCTGCCATTGTACGCGTCGATCCCGAGGGCGAAAGAGAAGACTCGCTCGAGCATTCAGAAATAGTCGGTATGCCCATGTGGGCCCACTCCTTGTCGTTGGCGACGTCACTTGCAGGATCACTGACGGTTGGTATGCCACTTTGTGGGTCCATTCGGTTATTCAACAGTGCTCTTTACGACCTCCGCCGCGTTGCCGTGCATATTGGGCCTCTCAGGACCAAGGATAGACGAGAAGCGGGTTGGGTGCGGGGCACGTTGCCCGCCCCGGCAGGTGTGCCGCTGACGTACGACTGAGGTTAAGGGAGTACTTAAGGATGCGGTATGCGACCACTTATTCTCTCATCCGTCTACTACATCTCACGTCTACTACTCACACATCATGAAGTTCACCGTCCTCGCTGCTCTGCTTTCTGCTGCCTCGACTGCGCTGGCGCAGAACATCCAGCTCAGCTCTCCGACGGCGAATGCCACTCTGACCCCCGGTCAGAACACGACCGTGCAGGTCTCGTTCCCGGTGAGTCGACCTGCGGGACCACCGTCTTCCGAAGTGTTGACAGAGCTTTCCAGAACTCGTTGACCGGCGCGCAGCACGTCTCGCTTGTCATTGGTCTGGCCAGCTGCTCGTCCGGCAGCGGCTGCCCCACCGACGCGTACTACGGCCTGGGAAAGCCTCTGTACGTCGGTGGCTTTGACCCCCAGTACCACGAGTCGGCGCTTCCGCCATACCAGAACTTCGTACGTCCTCCCAGCCTTTAGATGAGGATCGAGCTGAGCGATATTCTGCAGAGCGTCCAGATTCCCGAGGACGCGTCGGGCGTCAACCTCCTGACCGTGACTCACTTCATGCTCCTTGGAGTAGGTCTTCCCTATCGCCGCTGTGGCCGTGTCTAACGAGCTGTAGGCGTCGACGACCCCTGTTCTGGACTTCAGCAACGCGACCGTTACCGTTGGCTCTAACTGAGCTACTCGACGTATCTGAAGTCTCGTCACGGACAAACGATCTTTCACAGTAATATCATACTAGTACCACGATCGACACAAGGTAGTACTATAATTCATGTTCCCGATTGAGCCGTCTGAGTGCGTCTGCCGAACGCTGGTTTCGAACATGTTCTCGTTGAACCGCACGTGGTCGCGCAACCGGCGTGCCTCAAAAGTCAACTTTGCCTGGCTCTCTTCAGACTTTCATGTGGACCCGTCGGTGACCCGCCACAATACACCAGATCTCAGCATCCCTCACCCCGTCATGGAGCCCACGACTCCCCCCTCATGCGCGGCCGCGAGGGAGCTGCCCTCCACGTACTCAACGGACACGCTGAACCTCCTTCGTTCTGGATGCGCCATCACATCTCAGGAAGCGCGTATCTTGGAGAGTAACATGCTCGAAGCCAAAGCGGAGGTGGAAAGCTGCGGTCAAGAGCTCACGCGCTTGGAAGCCAGGATAGCCGCGCTTCGCGAACGGCGAGCTGATCTGGAACTGGGCGTGCGCAACGCGAGCGCGCTCCTCGCGCCCATACGCCGCCTTCCTCCCGAACTCGTTGCTCGAATTTGCGCGTTCAGCCTTCCGACTGGCTGGTTTACCGAGTGCGTGACAAGGCGCGGGCCGTGGAAGGTGCTGCAGCTATGCCATGCTTGGCGCGAGGTAGCGCTGTCCATGCATCACTGCTGGGCAGAGTTCACGCTCGCAGAGCTGATGAGAATCATGAAGACGGACAAAGCGGTAGACATCATTAGCACGCATCTGCAACGCTCGGCCGGCCTGCCACTCGTGGTCAGGATATGGCCGCGCGCGGACACCATGACCCAGCTCAGACCGAACCTCAAGCTTACTGAAGTCCTGGCAGCCCTGAAGCCGCAGTTGCATCGCATTCGCGTCCTGCATCTTCGTTGCGGGCACGGTGCTGTACTCCCAGACTCCCTTCCAGCGGTGGAAGAAATCGCCCTGGGCCACTTCGAGGAGGAGAATTGCTTTCTGATGGCCATACCGTCCAACGCAATCAAATTGCAGGCCCTAGATTTGGTCGACTGGCCCCTGGCGTATGTCGCGTGTCCGTGGGCCTCCCTGCGTTCCTTGTCTATAACGCACTATAACCTCGTCCACTACTTCAACGGCACTTTAGATGCGTTGCAGCAGTGTACTGGCTTGGAAACGCTCGCGCTCGCGGTCAAATGTCCCGACGCCATTGTGGATCACACCGACCTCCTGTGGTCCAGATTCAGACACAGACCCACGGTCACTTTGCCCTTCCTGCACACGCTAATTGCACGCGACCTTGCGATCTACTGTGTCCGCTGGCTGCTGGCGCCGAACCTCCGGACGGCCGAGCTAGACGCGGTGTACAAATACGAAGAGGGTTCTGCCAGCGGGGACTACAACATCCGGGAAGTCGGCTCTTACCTTAAGACCCTCCTCCGTCCCGTCAGCACCTTGAAGCTCAGGCTGGCGATGCCACAGCAGCAAGACCCGATAGACGACCTCCTGCAGGCCCCCGAGTGCCTGCGCAGCCTTCACATCCGCGAGACCGTGTCGAGCTACTTCATCCGCACATGGCCGCCCATCTTCAGGCGTTCGCTATTGCAGTCGCTCGTTTACAACCCCAAGAGCTACAAAAAGCGCCTGCCTTACCTCACCGAGCTCGTGCTCACGAACACGGATGGATGCGAGAAGGCGAGGACGAAGCTGCAGTTCGGCCTTCAGGAGGCGGAGTTGATCTGTCAAGTGGTCGAGTCTCGGCTGGAGGCGGACGAAGGACGGAGCAAGCTCGAACGGCTCGTCGTGCATTGCCCAAACATCGAGTGCCCACGGATGTTCAAAGCATGGATCACGAACTTGCGGAAGGAGGGCGCGCTTGAAATCGACGTCGACTTCGATCCCAGGGAGACGAAGTTCGCCCAGTGGTGAAGGGGGGTTTACTGGTAGTTGTACAGTGAATATAAGGACAGTAGATGACAGTGCTCATCCGCTCATGACTCCAGAAGCTCCTCAATCAGGGTCGCATCTTTTGAAAGTCCCGCGCGATCCAGGTAGTCGTCGTTCCTGATGCACATCAGTTGGGTTTTTTCTTCGTTGTCGTCATAGACCACTCACCAGAACTTGGAATAATGCCTTGTGCCGGAGTCGCATCTGCGTGCACTCATGTCAGCGGCACATCATCACCAGTATGCCAGCGATACTCACAGAATCGTCACGATCCTTCTCTTCCTCCCCAACCCCTTGACGCCCGTCCAGCCCTCCGCCTTCGCCAGCTTGACCGCCGTGACGAGGTTGCACGCGCTGCTTGAGCCGAGGAATAGACCGTCGTGCTTGACGAGATAGCGCGCCATGCTGACAGCCTCGGCGTCTGAGATGCGGAAGGCGTCGTCGATGATGGGGAGTGCGAGCTCGAGGTTCTTGGTGAGGCGATTGATGCCGCTGTAGACGAGGTCAAGACAAAATCATACCAGGAAAACAATGCAGACGCACATGCCCTCGACGACGGTGTCGACCTGATGCCGGCGCTTCGTGCCTTCGCTCTCCTTTTTGTCGTACATGACGCCGTACTTTATCTGTGGTTGACGCTCTCAATGCTGTTCAAGCCAACCGAGTTGTTCCGTGCCCTTACCTTATTGTACAGACCACTTCCAGTAGGATCAGCAAGCACAACCTTGACGTCGGGGTTCTTCGACTTGACATAGCGTCCGACACCAGCTACAGTGCCTCCGGTGCCTATGAGGAGATAAAGGAGATGGTCAGATACAGAGGCGCGAAATGCTAAACCATGCTCACCCGCTCCGCTCACAAATGCATCGAAGTTTCCGTTGGTCTGACGCCAGATCTCCGGGCCCGTGCCATCGAAGTGTGCTTGGAAGTTACTGTGGTTCTATATGGAGGGCTGCGATTAGCAAGGGTCGGGCAACAAGGCTAGCGGAGGAGCTCACCTCGAACTGGTCCGCGAAGTAGCCGCGAGGCTTCCTCGCGAAATCAGCGTTGGCTTCCGGATTCCGTTGCCCGTCTTGTATATCGGAGGTTGTAGACACGACGACGGAGGTCGACATAGAGCTGATGAGGTGTGGCTTGTGGGAAGCGTCGTCGCCGAAGTGAGCGGCTCGTTCGCGGGCGATGTTCTGGTAAAGGTCATCAGGAAGCAGAGGAAACTCAGCAGTCTCACTACTTACGACGTACTGGGGGAGTCGTCAGCAGCGTCCTAAATGAAGTGAGAAGACGTACATGCTTCGTGTCGACGATGCTGGCCGGGCGAACGCGAATGACCTCAGCGCCCAAGGCGTGAAGAGCCTTCACTTTCTCCTCTGCCACGTCGTCAGGCATGATGATAGCTAGGGGTGCAAATGTGAGCTCAAAAGTCGGGCCTATGTATGCATATATGCGTACTTGCATCGTATCCTCTATTGCAAGGTTAGGCTTGGGACGGAGGCTTCATGTTCAGTACCCACCTTGCGCGCGCCACCGTGGCTATAGAGATTCCTGTCGACCCCACCGTACCCTCGAAGATGCGCGACCCAGTGTGGGGATGGAGGAGCCCGAGACGCTCAGCGTCGTCGATCACTGCGAGGATAGTGAGCCACGGCCGTCCTCATTTTCAAGGGGTCTCATACTTCGCAAGGCTACACGATCCTTGACGCTACCGCCGACATTGAGGAACTTGTACACATGGCCGTCAGCTTGAGCGCGTCGTGCGATGAGGGTCTTACAAGCTTACTTCCGCTTTACCCAGGATATCTACTCCCAGAGCATCGCTCAGTGAGTTGATACGTATCAGCGGGGTGTTGCCTATAAGCTGGTGAGTATCCAGAGGCGCAGGGGGATCTGCATATACGCACCAATGAGCCCCGCGACGCCGGAGAGAATCTCTTCGCTCCTAAGCTCGATGGGCCGCTCTTCGAACTCCGTCTGCGCGGCTATACGTGCTCTTCTACGGCGCCTGTGGTACGTCGCGATAGACCTGGCAGCAAGAGGGAGAGAGACGCCAAGGACGAGGCCGTAGAGGAGGTGGCGCGTCGCGCGCCAGTGCGGTAGCCGGAGGCCATGGTCGGCGAGGAAGCGGGTGATGTTCACCATCGCGGCGCGCCAGCTGCGTGACTGACGCCGCCCCGTTCGATGTTGAGGGGTGGATGGAAGGGAGGGACGAGGAGGAGGACGCGATCGGCGTCGACGTCAGCGTCGTTGATGGCCGCGAGCACGCGTCTTGCTCTTGCCCTGGCACGCCACCTCCGCTCATTGCCCCCGACGATGGAATCAGCCTTGCTCATAGACTATCTGCCTGGATGATTGCGCGCTCTGCGCTCACTGTCGGACGAGGAGACGCGCCGTGAGACCGGACACTGCATCTTGGCATCGCCGGCGACGAAGCTGCCCGTGATCACGATCTTCGTCAGCGTCTCCGGGCCCTTCCTTGCCTCCTGCCTTCACTCTCTAGTCAATGACCTCAGCTATGCAGCAAGCTATCAAGAAGACCTTCTTGTCGTCGCCCGCCTTTGCTGTCGTCGGCGCATCTAAAGACCAGTCGAAGTGGGGAACGAAGGTCCTCCAATGGTACAAGGCGCGCGACTACAAGGTGACGCCTGTGCATCCGGTACGTCCACATTCTGCAATGCACTTGTTGGCCTTACTGATAGCATCTCTATGGACAGGTCGAGCCGGAGCTGGAGGGCATACCCGCGGTGAAGACACTCGCCGATCTTCCCAACCCCTCACAGACGTCCGTCAGCGTCATCACACCCGCACCCGTGAGTATAATGCTTTGGACTGAGAGCACAGTGGAACTGAACTTCTATAGATAACGCTCAAACTGCTCCAGCAAGCGAAGGAGCTCAACGTGCCCGCCCTCTGGTTACAGCCCGGCACATTCGACAACGACGTCACATCGTTCATCGAGACCAGCGGATTGAAAGATCGTGTCATCTATGGGGGCCACCAATGCATCCTTGTCGAAGGAGATGGAATTCGCAGCAACCTTTGAAAGTGCCACATCCTCCTCGCTCCTCATCGTACCCAACGACCCGCACTTAAAACCCTTTTTATAAACCTGGAGCATGCAGCACTGTCTGGTGGCTAAGAAGCGGGTTGGCCCCAACGTTTGAGGTTTGGGATTCGGTGGCCATATGCACGAGGGTAGAACCTGGTGTCTTTTGAGGCATAAGGTCTGAACAACGGACTTCTCTTCGAAAGTATATATGGAAAAAAACTTTACCCTCATCGATAGCTAGTGGGAAGAGAGCTCTGACCCAATAATTTTGGCGCTAGCCATGCTTAAGCGAACAAAGGTGACCATCAATGGTAATTTCCCTTCGTCAAGTCCTTTGTCCTGCGCTTCGGCCACACTCGCATGTGTAGACTCAGGTGGATATCACCTGCGCATCTTGCTAGCAAAGTGTAAAGTACGAGGATCATGCGAGGTCCTCTGGTTTATCCTAACTAAATATCCTGCTTTCGTTTCTTCTCCGTATGATGAGCGTCGCCTGAGCCATCGACATCATCCTGCACGGGCGCTTCGTCAATCAACTCCGAGATGCTACGCTTGTTCTTCTTGACCGCTGCGACCACAAGCAGCTGCTCGCCGCCCTCGTCCGAGTGGGTGCCTTCACGAGTCGATAGAGACAGCAAGGTACCCGAACGGGGTCCAGGACAAGGCGAAGGAGGAACCTCGATGTCAGTGCCCTCCTCGTCCCATTCGTCGACCTCTTCCTTTGGAGGGGTCTCGAGAAGCTTGGGGCGCCGCGGGAACGTAAAGGGTATGAGATCGCCGCCGATCTTTCGTCCCTCATTGCCGAGCATATAGCCAATCATCCACCACATTGCGGGGTGCAGCGGCTGGTTTTCGTCCCTTCGCTGATAGTAGTCCATGAGGTCGTTGCGTATCACGCCCAGTATCATGACGGTTGCCGTGCACACAGGTGGGAGGACCTCGAATGCTTTGAACAACGTCTCCTCGCTCTTCAGGTGGTCGAAGCGTGGATGACCGAGAACGAGGCGCCCAGGGAAGAGAATGCTGTATTTGCTTTCGTGCGCTTCGACGTCGTATGGTGGCACCAGGAATGGGAGTTGAAGCGTGTGGCGGAAAAGTAGCCAGAGAGCAATCCACCAGATAGATTCGAGATCATGTACACTGCTGTACTCCCATGGCTTCTTCTCGGGAGCTGAGCGCTGCGCTGCCAAGTTCATCCTAGCCAATAAAGCAGCCCTGTTGTTGATGACATGCCGGTCGAACAGGAAAGCTCCGAGCATCACTTCGACAGCCATGAAGTTCGGGGTGCCCTGGGCAAAATCAGATGCTTGAAAGCTGCAAAAAATGTGAAGAGACGCACCGTCCTCCATGCATGATGCACCGTTGACGACGCATGTTTCGTATACTCGAAGTCGCCTAGTACGCCGCGCCCGTCTAGCGAGAATATATTGTACGCGCTGACATCGCGATGGCGGTAATTGAGACAGTGAAGGATGAAGAGGCCTATGGTATGAGTGAGCATGCATTCTCGAATAATACAACGTGCAACTCACCGTATGTGGCATCGGAGAGCGTACCAAACGCTTGCTGCACAGATTGTATCTTGTCGAGCGGTGTTGCGAGCAGCATCACAGATCGATGATGAACGCGAGGATCCGTTGGTCTCTCGAAAATACCGGGGGGCGCGGAAGGCTCGGCGGCCTTCTTCTCATCACCTTTGACGCCATCCCTCTGACTCGTACGGACGCTGGTGGCTGGGGAGTCGGCTGTCGTGACCCCTTTGGTAAGTCCAACAAGCTCGCAATCGTGGAAAGGGACGGTGTAGCCTCTGGCAATGACACTGCGCGTGTCATCATCACGCCCATCTCGTGCCTTGACGCGCTCGCCCTTCAAGATGGGCATGAAGAACTGCTTCCGGTCGACGTCGACGCCTTGCTTGAAATCGACGGGGGGCAGTCCGGTCCACTCTCTCTCGGTGTACTCGACGAGATCCTTCGGAGGCGCACTATACTGTGACCAGTCGTGTGAGTCGATAGCCGTCATGATGGCATTGTAAACGTCGACTTCGAGGTCGCGGTCGCGCTCGAGCCAGCCGTCTTTGATGGCGTATCTGTCATTGGAAGGGTCGTCGCCCTCTTTGTACGCGCGGAAGACACGCGTACAGCGCCCGAAGCCATCCTCCGCGGCGTAGTTCGCCAGGACTTGTGTGGTAATATAGTGCTCGCCAGCGACCTGAACGCGGTATCGCTCGTCCTTTGGCATCTCCGGATAGAGTTTTGTCATACTGTGATCGTAGCCGAGCTGGTCCATAGTGGCGAAGGCGAAGCGAGCGTGCATGTCAGCAAAGGTACGGTAATCCTGTACTTCGATCAGTGGTGTTCAGACGCGTAAGACAAGCCACGCACCGTGTTGATATCGAAGATCTTACTCATGACCGTGAGTTCACGGTTCATGTGCCATAGACGGACGCTGGTGTTGTGGATGGTCACGCCAAAAACGAAGCGGCGACGGAAGTCGCAGCGCATGCTTTGGAACATGTTCCAGACATTCTTCTGATAATTCTACCGAAAGGATGAGTTCAATGTTCCCGAATGAGTACAGGCCACTCACATCCAACGCGTCGCTGGCCTTGAGCTTGTATTCCTCCGACAGGGCCACAGACAACCACGACGGCTTCATGCCAAGAAGGACCCGAATGCCGTCAGGCTGGGCAGAGGTATAGATGTGACCGGGCAGTGTCTTGGTACCGTTGCTTCGAAGCTCGTTTGTCTGCTGCAGTCGAGGGTCGATTTCGCGACAGCACTCGACGATCTGCTCCGCGATATTCTCCAGGTCAGCGAAGACGTCTTTCTCGTTCTCGTGGCTCGCGCCGCGGGCCTCCGGCGTTTTGGTATACGCTTCCCATCTAGGTGCGTTAGACGACGTGGAGAGCGGTGCCTCGTACGTGAAGTCCGATCCCGGGACCATGACGCGTGAGTGTTGTGCGAGCTTCTTCGTGAGGAGATCGACGTTGACGGGCGAAGGGGGCATAAAGTAGTTCATGAAGTCGCTGACGGGTATTTCGCGGGCGTTGCGCATATGCTTGCAGAGCTCGAGGCGGGCGGCAGAGACCCCGCCATCCTCGAGTCCGATGGTTGTGTCTCTGAGCATCCGTTTGTTTGCTGGAGTCATGATGAGCGATATAGAGAAGAGAAGCAAGGATGTGGCTCACATGTATGCGTTCCTCTTATATGACGCGGGGTTGGCCAGCCCTTTGGCCCGAATGTAATTTCGGTGATACACTGAAATGGATCGAACGGTGAGCCATTGTTCCAAGGCCATGCCGCATGCTATCACCTACCTAATCGAGTAAAAGATGGCTGTTAGATGCGCGTGAATGACCTCGAGGCGGCAGCGCAGTATGGCCAACAAAGGCGTGAAAGAGATGATGGCAGGAGTCAAGGGCCAACCTGGAAAGCGCGGACACGTGCTGGCCACTGTCACGTGATAGCCTCGTGGCTTTCTCGGTCCGCGTTTCTCGAGCGACGTTGACATTTGATATAGCGAAACAGGTATTCTTGTGGGATGGTCATTGTGGGGATGGTCCAGTATATACACGAAGGACCGGACATCGACACGAAAATGGACACGACAAGGCGATGGGCGCACGGAAACTACTGTACTTCGATTGACCGTGAATATACCCTCGACGTGCATCTGAATATAGGATACACGTGTCTTGAGCGGAAGTGCACGATGAATCCCTCCGCAGTATGATCAAATATACGTATCTCATCCTATGAGAGGGCCGACGCAATCTCGAATGGCTCGACAGGCACTCGCGGCGAGTCGACGTTTAGGTGCAATATAGGAGCACCCGACCGCGTTCGGAGATTTGTGAACTTTCCGGCGAGCAGTTCGGGCGGCAGTTCCGTCGCATACGGAGCCCATAGGCTCAGCCGCTCGAGAGGTGCGACCATATCGGGAGGAGGTGCCGCTCGAGTCTCGAGGAGACGCTGCACGAGTGCCACATCTGTAGACGTCCATTCGACTGCTTTTTCGCCGTTGGCGACCTCGATCTCCGTGAGGAAGGGATATGCCGAGGGCTTGCACAGGGTCGATACGAGGTCTTCGTGTAGGACGGCGATGGGTCTGGTGCTATCCCATACCCGCGTATCCTCGACCAGGCAGAGCTTCCGAAGCCTCTTCGGCATGGATACAACGGAGGTCAGGAGCGACTCCATGTAGGACTCCAAATTACGCAGCGTGATGCAGGTAACGGGCTCGAGAAGCTTGGAACACGCTACCGGAAAAACGTTTCCAGGCCGTTCGTCAGGATCGAAGGCCATGTCGAGGATAAAGTGCCGAATATTGGGCGCGAAGAGGAATGGGAGCGCGTCGATGAACCTGAGGCCAACTTCGAGCGTGTGTAAGCAGTGCAAGGGGATGAGCGTTGACGAAGAGGGGTGGAGCTGACAGTCCAATACGTCGAGTAGGCTGAATACCTCGAGATTTGGACATTTATGCAGAACCTGGACAGATGAGGGGTACATAGTCAAGTCTCCATAGATCTGAAGAGCGCGAAGATTTTCCCAGGGCAGATATATGGACTCCGCATGTGTCTCAAAGAGCTCTGCCACCCGAAGATTTGGAGCTTCGACGCTGCAGCATGAACCGTTCCGTATGAGGAGTTTCCGCAGCGCCGGGAAGCAACGACCATCAAGACCACCGTCATCCTCATCGTACGCGCACATGGCTTCATAGGTCTGGATGCGCCCAATGTGGGTCCAAAGGGCATCCTGCGTACCCTCGTCCCACCTGGTATGGATACCCATGACTGTGAGGGGCAGAGATCCTGAGCGCTCCAGATACGTCGTGACCGCAGATATCATGGCCGGACTCGGTTGATCGAATGCCGACTTGGACACGCTGAAATGCGCCCAGGGCCAATGCATCCCAATAGCGACCTCCCTCCAGGTTCGGCAGATCTGCGTGAAGCGCCACACGTGCTTTCCGATCTGGTCGTTGAACCACTGCGCTGGCAGCGTGTACGCAGCGATTTCGGCAAGTATCTCCGGCGGAACCTTGCGGAGAGGCGAGAGTAGAGAGTTTATGCCAAACTTCGTCGACTCTAGCTGGTCTCGGCGATGGCGCAGTTTATTGAGCGCCGACTCCAGTTCGTCGATTTCGCGATTGCACACGTCAAGAGCGTCGCATACTCGGGGTAAATCTGCGGAGAGCGCAGCTTGTTCGAAGGAGGAAGGGGGAGCAGCGGACGCTCGAGCATGCGCGAGGAGCTCAGAAGTGCCTACGCGACTACTGAATGTCCTTTTACACCCGGAGCATAGTGTGATGTTGAGGGGCGAAGGCGAAAGGATTTGCATAGCGACTAATTGGTGTTGTCACGGATACGGCTTGGAGTGTTGTGAGTTTTTGTGAGTGACTTTCGTTTCCTTAGAGTCCCCTTACCTTTCCATAGACGTCGTGCACCTATATGAAGCGGTCGTCTGTAGTCGATGGTTGTTAAAGGCAAGCCCTGCTGCCGGGGATATCCGATCAGATTCACACGCCCCTCGGTCCCCATCAGGTACTTGTCGGTCAAGGCCATCATGATCCTTGTTCTGCTGACGCAGGGAATGACCGCTTGACTCTCCTGCGAAAGATGGTTACGAACGGAATAATCTACATCTCCGCGCCATTGTGTCATGAACAAAGGGGCTTTGTTCAACAAAGGTTAGCATGTCTATGACCAGGCATCGCGCTAGATATATAAGACATGCCTCGCTGAAGGTGGGTTCATCTCCCTCTCCCTTTTCTCTCATCACAGCAAGGCTCGGGCAAGACCACATCATAAATTATGTCTTGCTCAGCGCTCTGCTCGATTTGTCTGGAATCTAGGGCATTCCCGGAGCAGCTATTGTTCTTTGCCGCTTGTGGTGCGTACTTGGTCGTCTACGTGCGTGTGGTATTTCATTGACGATACAGCAGGCCATGGCTTCTGCGAACGATGCCTTTCTCGCAGTCGTACCGACAAATGCCCAGCGTGTCGTACGCCGAGCTGCAGGCATTACCCTCCACGCAAAATATTCGTTGACCTCATCATCTCGGAAGCCGACCGCCACGCCACTGCGCCTGCCGAGGTCGTTAATCTTCAGAAGCAGAAGTTCGATAATGCGCGTATGCTGGCGGAGCTCCGCGAGGTAAAGGACGCGCTCGAAAGTGAGCAGCGCCGCGTGCGCGCGCTGGAGGAAGAGCGCGACCGAACGAAGATCGAGTGCATCTGGATGAAGCAAGAGCGCGACAGGACGAGAGAAGAACATGACCAGAGGACGAAAGAGCGCGACGAGCTGCTGAGGGAGCTCCGCGAGGCCGATGAGAAGCTGGCCGCGATGCAGATTGACAACCGGGAGATGCAGAGGGTGGCAATCGGGAGCAAAGCGCAAAGGCGGGGCCTCAACCGTGATGTCATGCAGGACTGTGATGAGCTCGGGGCGCACGAGCGCGTGCGTATGGAGGACATCAAGGCTCTGCAAGAGAAAAACCTAGAGCTATTCAGGGAGCTCATGGAACAGACTTTGAAGGTACATCAGCGTGCGCCCTCTTCCCCATCCCCAAACTTACCGATCCCGCAGATCAAGTCGCTTTCGGAGCCCGATGCAGCCGTGCAGTCGGCGCAGGTTCAGCACCAGTCCGCGAGGGTGGTGCGGCGAGGAGGTGCAGGCGACCTCCGAGAACGCTTCTATATCGCCGCTGCAGAAGGACACCGCGTCGAGGCAGGGCGGCGCGCCGAAGCAGGACATCGGGTTACCGAAACCAGAGAAGTTCCTCGAACTCGAACAGAGCTCCGCGCGCAGGACGGCCTGAGCGGTGGCGTGTTCCCGCCGACTGTGGATTCCTTTCCGCTGACCGAGAATCCCGCCAGTTCCTCGATCAGGTACGCAGCCTTCCATCTACCCTTTGCATTCGCGCGTGTGCTTACGCATTCATACAGCTTCTCCGATCAAACAATGGAAGCCATCCTCTACTCGCTCAGAAATCATGAGTAGTGAATTTCTATGCTAACCTAAGCGATCCAAGCAGAGCTCCTCCATGCCTCGCGCGTGTATCCTGGACTCGCACAGATATATTTCCACTAAAGCCGACACAGTAGATCTGTGGCCATCAGAATGAAAGACCGGGGAGCATGCTTCCCTCACGATATAATTCAGCTCAAAACTTACCCAGTCGCTCCTTTACTCTGTTTTTCCCTGTTCTGGTGGATGCTCCGACATGAACCTCAAGCGAGTTAATGTACTTATAGTCTTTGTTGTCGTTGTCACCATATGCCCGAAGGCTTATATTCTCTGATTCATGCGAAGACTGCGCGTGAATCATAGTATTTGGAATGTATGTGACGCCAGGGGGCTCGGTAGCGGGCTTGCTAAGCGACGTGACCGGAAAGGGAACACTGTGTATGACCTTATTTGGCCTTGTAGGTCCGGTGACCGTGATGAGTGTTAGCCGGGTCTGTCACATTGAGTCAAGGTCGTTCGCGTTCAGTTTTCATGTCGATCTGAACGACTCACCTCAACATGCCAGGCATGAAAAAGGTATGTCTCCACATCTCGACGACCGTATGCTGTTTTGACACCGTCTTGAACAGCATTCATCGAAGGAATCAACGCAGACCATGACGCCTGCGATCCCTGACCGACTCGCGACTTCAAAAACTAGTTAAGTGGCCCTCGGGCATGTACGAGACCTGCCTATATTGGACCTACCTATATGGAAACAACCGGGCGGCGACCGCGACAGTACCGACAGAGGCAGTCATCAAGGACCGTGCCCACAGCAAAAGTCATTGATTTCTTGATGAGTCCCACACCATTACCCTACCTCTTCGTACGTCTACCCTAGCGCTCGGCATATAACGTGCACTAACCTTTACCTCACCAAACTTCCCTTGCTCCTCCCTGCAACGCATCCAGACGCGTGTTGACACGTGAGAGGTCATCGCCCTCGCGCGCTATGCGCATCCCGCGCGATCGGCGGGCTCTGCCGCCCTGCCCGCCCTTTCCCATCCTCTTCACCCTCTTCCCTTCCCTCTCTACGCGCTTTTGTGCGCGCGCGAGCCGTTGCGCGTTCCCTATCGGCCCCGCTCCTGGCTAACCCCCTGCCTCGACCCACCATTCGCCCCTCTCTTTGCACGACGCGTGTCCACTGCACGTCAACCCCAATCTCTCCTCCCGACACGCACTGCGGAGGAAACACATGAGGGTGCGTGGAAAAGCGCGCATATGCGAAAAATCAGGCAGGGAGGTGAAGCGCACGAGCTGAGGAGAAGGATGAGGGTTTGACGCGTAGTACGCGTGCTCTACGCGCCGCGAGAGGAAGGGGGAGAATGGTGGAGTCGGGGTAGAGGGTCAGTCAGGTGCGTGGGGGGCAGGGGACCCGCTATGCCTCGTGTGCGCAAAAGATCACATGGAATAGGAGGGAAAGGGACAAAGGGGGAAAAAACTATGACGGACAGGGGAGGGGGACGCGCATCGCGCACGGAGGCGATCGGCCTCTCGCGCGTCGAGGACACGTCCGGACGCAGCGCGGGGGGGGGAAGAAATCAAGCGATAATTGTGGGAAGGACTTCTTGGTGCCGTATAGCGGGCGCCAGGGCGGTAGGGAGAAGGGGGCGGGTAACCGAGTAGGGCAGGTTGGGGGAATGAGGGGTGGTGAGGGAGATACGCAATGTGTCCGTTGAGACGGGGCTATCGCACAGCTTGCATGCGCGAGAATTCGCGCATTCAGGCTGTGCCGCGTGCATCTGGGAAATGGACGGGGGAGAAGGGATGGGAGGGGGAGATGTGATCACCCCCACCCCTCCTCCTCAAGATCGAGGCTCAGGAGCGTTGGTTGCACTATCCTTTTCAATTGCTATAGGAGTCCTATGTGGTGATTCAGTACTCGCCGCGAAGTTTGGCGTAGCCCCGCACCTGATAACGCGCACTTGCGCTCGCCCGTCCTCTCGCGCCGATCATCCTGTTATGCTCTGTTGCTATGAGCCTTAAAGGTTGCTTTAAGCGGCAGAGGGTAGGGAGAGTACCCTAAAGATGGAGTAATGAGAGTTGAGTGGCGGGTAAGGAGCAGGAGCCAAGTGCGGGGGCGGGGCGTAGGGGAAGTCGTCGTGGACGAAACCAAGCAGGGATTGAGCGGAAGGATCGGCCCGAGCAAGCCGTTCCACCAGCGAAGTGCACGAAGAAGCACGTTCATCAATGTCGATTGCTACACAAAGGTCAAGCAAGACTTAAAGATACACGATCTACGCTCTGAAATATTTTGAGGAATTGACATCAAGGTGGGACAGCTGAAGACTTGCCTGTCGAGCGTTGTGGCTGTGCGTCGAGTGATGGGGCTGTGCTGACGGACATTGCCGGGGCCGCACGTGTATGAATGTTGTCCGAAGCTTCACAGTAGGACGTATTAGTTTCAATAAATATCAGAACTTTCTACATCTACTGCCCATTGTTCTCAATGGGCAGTTGATGCAAAACCCGCCGATATTTCATCCCACTGATACGCTCTAGTGACAGAAGATTCAAGTATAAGAGTGAAAGAAGAAGACAGGAATATACAGAAGACTATGCTCGAATTTTTCTGACAGAAAAGGACGATGATGAAGGGGAATTTAGAACAATCGACTGTTTGACATCCGGAGATAACTTTTGATCGACCGCTTGGACGTCTGATCTTGCTGACGGTCCACCGGTGTAAGACGAGCCTGTCAAGCAGGTCTCGTAATCCCTGGAGCTTCATACATCATGACTTCCGATATCAACTCTGATTCGATTGACCGCGTGCGCTCATTGTACGCGCCGTCCACCTCCGAAGAAGTCGAGGCTCTATGCGACCGCCTCAGCGAGGTACAAATCGGGCTACAGGACTGTGCTTCCGAGATAGCTCGTCTGGAGTATGCGTTGTCTTTGGCTCGTCAGCGTCGAGGCTCATTGCGCGAGGAAGAAGCAAACATAAAAGCTCTTCTCTCTCCCGTGCGTGCCGTGCCGCCAGAAATTCTCGCCGAAATCGCGGTCCACACACTACCGGACAAGTGGTTTGAGGACGTCATTGGGATACATATCTGGGCTTTCTCGCACGTATGTCACAGCTGGCGAGAGGTCGCTCTGTCTATTCCCTGGGTCTGGTCGCGCCTGCGTCTCCCGACTCGCACGAACATGGCGAGCGAATCTTGGGAGCCAACTTTCCTCCGGATACTCTCCTTCTATCTCTCTCGGTCGGGACGGAAGCCGTTATCTATAACCACTATGTGGAATCAAGGCGCGTTCAGCGGTTACTGGGAGAACAGCCAGCAGCCGATGTGGGCACAAATATGGGACCACATCGACCGGCTTCGCGAGCTGGAGGTATATTGCTCAGAATTCGAGGGATTCCCCTTCCCGCCTACCCTCCCAGCGCTCGAGAAGCTCGTCATCAACAACTACCTCTCTGGAGAGCTGCACGTTAACGCGCCCAGCCTCCGCGTACTCGAGCTTGTGGAGACGAGCGTCACGGCCGTCGAGGTGCATCGGGGGAGTCTTCGTGCTCTCAGGATCCGCTGCGATATGTTCGGCGACGACTTCCTGCGCATTGGAGAATGCCAAGGGCTCGAAGTCCTTAGCCTCACCCAAGAGACGAGTGACATTCCCTCGTGGCTCGAGACCCACTCGATATCGCTGCCCTCCCTGCACACGCTAGAACTCTGCCGCGCGGCCATCGAGATTGCGCCTTACATCCATGCCCCCTCTCTACAACACTTCATGCTCGATGACGTGCGCTACTACAACCACTACGACATCGAGATCAGCCCAGAAGACGTCGAGGGTCTATCTGACCTGCTCAAGCCCGTCGAGCACATTACGCTGCGAAATACAGCCCACTATGACACGAATCTCCTCCATGAGTTGATGTCCATCCCTCGCCGCCTCCGGGTACTCTCGCTGACGGAGGACACGGACCCGAGGTCCCTGGCTCCGCGGACGATTCCACGCGACTTGTTCCTGAAGCTCATCGCCCAGGACGAAGGTGCTTTCCCCTACCCTCATCTGTCACAGCTACGTATCGTGAATGGGACGAAAGGAATCTCCTGGGAGGGCTACGACATAGCGCTAGTTCAAAGCTTGCTCGAATACCGTAGCCCGCCTCGGAATAACTGCGCTCCACTCGAGCGATTGGAGATTCAGACGCCATTCGCGATCCTCCCAGTCACGAAGGAGTGCATGGAGGCGAGGACGACGGATGGGAAGCAGATCTTGGACATTAGCAGGTGCGCGACGAGTATACCGGTCGAAAAGTCGGAACCGGCCTGCTTTTATTGACTTTCGTGTACATATCTCATCAGAGGAGCGGCTACTCAGATTTGTTCACCACTGCGTTGTTCGCGCCCAATTGCATGACTTCACCCACCCTAGCAAGGCTACGTACTTCCTTGATTGCGCGTCGCATAGATTACTTCGGTGATATATGTGGCGTAGATGCGTAGAGGCAAGGTCTGTTCTCCCGAGGTGAACTAGATGATGACGCGGCCGCTGAGCTGGTCCGCAAGCTCTTCGAGGGTGACCATATGAGCGTCGGTGATCGCAGCGGCCTGCTGATATTTGCTCACTGTCATGCGATGTCAGCCCGAGCGTGCGGCGGCGAAGACAGAGAAACCCACCAGCCACCGCAAGGTCAGCCCACCTCTCTGTCAGCTTTTCGCCCAAAATCTCGGCAACGGCTGCATTCGCGACGCCGGCATCCGACGTCGCCATCTGCTGCAGACTGGCCAAATCGCTGCCGATGGACTGCCAGATACCCATCATCTTCTCGACAGTGGTGATAGCGGGGTCCATGGTCGCGAGAAGGCTGTCCACGTCCGACTGGGACATACGGTCAGCTCGCAGTTCAAAAAGCGTGTCGACGAGATCACGAACCTCGATGGCAGCGAGGTTCGCTGCAATGCCCTTCTCGTCGATTATCTCGCCCTCCGTGTCGTAGATGAGCTCCCTGATACTGCCGATGACATTGGCCATCGCAGACGCCTTCTCGCCGTAGATACTGGCCACGATGGACGCTGCGAAAATGCCAATGAACGGGATCCACGAAAAGCTTGGCCTGGAGCAAGCGAGAACGAGGTCTGCGAGGGATAGTCAGAGGCTGGCGTCAAGGGCAAGCAACCAGCGCACCGTGCTCATAAGCAGCCTCGTCGGTCTTGAGCTGGTCTTGATACCCCTTGAGCTTCACCTGCAAGTTCTGGATGTCGCCCTGCTCGGTCTGAAGTAGCTCGACAATGGCGGACTGGTATCGCTGAATGTTCTGCTTATCCTCCATCGTGGTCTGCTCGAAGGCGCGCAGGTTGTCGACCGCCGTCTGCAGCTTCTTCTCGATGTCGCTAGCAGCCGTCGTGAGGTAGCTGACGATGTTGCTGACGGTCTTTTGCAGAGCGGCGATCTCCTCATCCGACGTCGTGAAGGATAGGGCTTTGATGGTCTCGATAAGGTTGGCTATTGCAGGCGTCAGCGTCGCGGCAGCCGAGCAATACGTTCAACGTATCATACCGTAAGCCCAGTACGGCGAGGTCCCCTGACCGGAGACGATCTGGGCATAGTCGAAGACATCGGCAGCAATGCCGGTTATGCTGGGATACGTGGTGGTTCTGAACGTCTCGCAATGCTGCTGAGCCTGGGCGAGCGTTCAGCAGCATGCCTCTCAGGATATCAGATGGACTTACGACTACGTAGGCCCCGATCAGCGGTGGGAGGGCAGCGTCGACGAGGCCTATGGTCTCCTGCGATAAGCTAAGCCGCATTATGTACTCGCTCTCCGACACGGGGAGCAACAGTCCGGCCCAAATGTACTTGAGCAGGCCGTACATGTCGTCCTGCTGCAGGATGTAGTTTCCGTCGTCGTTGATGAGGCCCTTGGGAGTCAGGTCTACGGACATATTGCAGTTGCAGTTTGCAGGACACGCAGGGGGAGAAGACGTCGAGAGCAAGCGATCAGGGTTAGGTATCCAAGAGCCGAGCGTTCAGACCGGCTCTATGGAGCAGCCTAATGGGCGTATATACGCCGCCTTCAGGACAAGGGATACTTGTCCGACTCCATGAAGAGCCTAACATTTTGTGTACCTCTGACGATGTCAACAGGATGTAATAGTAGCGAAGAAAGCGGATGACTTCGTTCATTCAGCAGTCGGTATCCCAGAAGGACCATTCGCAAAGGAAGACGGGATGGATCAAGGCGGCAGAGCGGGTTCTGTTATGCTCGTTCTTAACCCGACGTTCAGATTCGGCGGAGTTGTAAGTCTGTTGGGGGCCACAAATAGACGCACTGAGTAACACTATAGAGGAGAGGGTCTTCCAGTCGCTGGAGTGCGCAAAGCAGCGCAGTCTGTTGGGCGACCAGCAGATGGCGGGAGAAGATGAGGTACGCTCGGTAATTCCCGATGCTCGAAACCTGTGACACAGCTGTCACACGGTGGTTTTGTTATACGATCTCGGTCGTCTCCTCAATAAGCAGATGCGCGTATCCACAGGGAAGAAGGGATGCCCTTATTGAATTTTTAATGAGTACTCTGTGGCGCGGTCCAACCGGCTCTTGAGCGTCGGAGATGCAAGGACCAACCGCCGGCCGCTCCCCTGCTAGTGAGTCCCCTCATAGTCCGGGTCAGCCGCTCACTTAGGAGTTACCCTCGTTCCACCTTACGCTACTTTCACGTCAAACTCCGACCTCCTGTTGAAGACGAAGTCGATGAGCAAGATGAGCAAGTTCCTGACTTCGCGCCGAGTCCTCGGGTGATCCAGTCCAATCTGTTCAAGCACGGGGCATTCTTGGATACGCTCTATAGCCATGACTCTGTAGAGCTCAAGATCCAAGGTGAGAACTACTGCTCTGTGACGCACTCGTTTTTTTAGGCTCAGGCTGGTACGACGGCGCCTCTTGACGAATTTCTGGGCGCTGGCAACGTCCAGAACTCGCAGCCATGCGACAAACACTGAAATGAGGCTTGACTCAGCTCAGCGACTATGACCTCTGGGACAAACGTTGACCGTCTGGTGCCGGTGCTGCTATTCTTTGCTTGCGCTTCTCCTTCGATAGCTTCGCCGCACTTGGTCTTCGTAAACCATGACTAGCCCACTGAGCCTTCCACTGAGAAGGCATACAATGAATCCGGAGCAGTGAGCGATACCACCTGACATCGACTTGTCGCCGCGTATGGACGCAAGGCGATCCTTGCTTTCCCAATTGTTCTGTTGAACTGCTGGATAAAAGCGAGACTTGCGGAGCTGAACGATAGGCAACCACAGCCATCCAACGATCCCCCGCAGGCCACTCGTCGAACACCATGTCTTCCACTGCTACCGCCGGCGACATGTCCCCCAAGGACCTCATGAACAAGGACGGGAACTATGTCCTTCAGCAGGATAACATGTACGCCGTCCTCCAGTACGTCTGGGCGGGTGTCTTGCTGCCGACAAGCCCGAGCGCCTTTCAAGCGCGTCTCGGGATCTCGTCGACCACTATGCAGAAGTTGAACGCGGTTCTCGAAAGCCTGATCTCTCAGTACAAGACAGTGAGCAGTCGCAGCGCTCGCGGCATCTTGCATACGGATAGATAACCCCCGCAGACCCAGCAACACTGCCAGCCATTTAAGGACACCACCTACCCTAGCATCGTCAGCATCGCCGACGACGTCTACAACTACGCACAGAATGCTGGCGGTACCTCGACGAGCTCCTACTATGGTGCGCACCTCCGCCGGTTCTTGCATCCATCAGCTTGCTGACCTCGACTACCAGCGAACATCTTCGCGGCTGTCCGCGCCCTCGGCAAGACCACCGACCCGGACCAGATCGCCAGCCTGAAGCAGACGATCACCGAACTCGTCAACATTCAGGTCAAAAACATCGGGGACATTACGACGAAGGCTCAGGCAGTGGTCGACGACCTGACGGACTTCCAGAACCTGGCCATGCAGGACTCCACGAACCTGCAGGCCCGCCACACGGCCGTGACCGACGCGCTGAACACCGAGATCGGCAACCTCGCCCAGCTCAAGCAGAACCTCTCCGACGACCGCACACTGCTAAAGGCTGACCAGGCCGCGTACTTGAAAGGTAAGTCCCATTGAGCTGCGCATTGCTCGCGGTCGTACTGAGCCGTACCTACCCGCCCACAGACAAGATCATCGCGTGCACTACGCTCACCTACGCGTGGATCCCGTTCGTCGGCATCATCGCCGCGAGCGTCGTTGCCGGCATCTACGGCGCCGCCGCAGCGAAGCTGGCCAGCGACATCGACAAGACGAAGACGGACATCACGGACGACGAGGGCAAGATCACGGATGAGACGAAGCTGATCGCCGATATCAACAGCATCGACGTGCGTGGCCGCATTTCTGCGCGTTCTCGGAACTAAACTCACACCGCTTCCTCTAGGCCGACCTGCGCAGCTTCATCGCGGCGCTCGGTGCGGCCACCGCGGCCGTCCAGGGCATGATAGGCTCATGGGGCGCCATCTCGGGGGACCTGACCAACCTCCAGAAGATGGTCGACCAGGACATCCGCACGGCCGTCGGTGCCGTCGCCAACATCGAGGACAACAAGCTCATCGAGAAGTGGAATGACCTTGCGACGGCGGGTACGTTGGATGCACATTGCCTTGATGCCCGTATCCGTATTACGCCCCTCCGTCTGACCAATGCCGCGCAGTCGACAAGTACAGGCAGGCCGCCTACATTAGCCCAATCCAGCAGCAATCCCTGGACGACCTTTCCAAGCAGGTTCACGCGCAGGCCGGCAATTAAGGCTACGACTCGTCTCAAGACAACGCCCGACCTTGTTTCTAACCATCCTTTGCAAGGTGACCTGCTCGTAGTTGTTGTATCGCATATGTTAGAACCGCTTGACTGAGCCCCATTGTACGACAATGTCTGTTCCGGGAAAGATGATTGCAAGCCGAATTATGTGTAACATGTACTTGTCGAAAGCCAATGATGGAATCGCCTACCCGCATTGTATCCTTAAGACCGATGCACGCCAGCTCCGATCAAGCACTTAAACGGAGTCAAGACCACGTATACAAGGGACCACAAGGCATTGGACGAGAACTACATTGTCATATAGTTTGTTTTCCCTACAACTCTACGCTGCAGATATTGGTCTTGGTGATGTACAGTGAGTGCATATGTATGAGTAACGAGTGACGCCTATAAAGCGATGCGAGAGGCAACGCCATGAAGCGATGCGAATGGGAGCAACGCCATACAGCGATGCAACGAGGAGAGGACATGTCGAGACACGGGAAGACATATCGATAAGAGGGCATCATGTGAGGAGAGACGTCGTGCGGGACAAAACGAACAGAAGTATCGAGATTGATGAACAAGTCAAGAGGAAACAGAGAACAGGCCGTGTATCATGCCGAGGGGATGATGTACAAGGTCGAGAATGGATGCAAATCGATGAGGGTGAGAGTGAAAAGTATGCGTGAACGGAACAGAAGAGACAAATACGAAAAGGAAACCACAAATCGACCACGTGAAAGGAAAAGGAAAACCGACACCTGCCTCCTCCTCAACCCATGGCGATAGAGAACGACATGGTCTAATCTTCCATCGCCTCATCAAACTTGTCCGCGCCATCAGCAGCCTGCGCCGCCGCCCGCGCCTCACGCACGTTCCGCGCGAGCTCCCGCTGCCAAATGGCGCGTACCTCCTCCGCCTTCGCGTCGACCATGACCTGGTCGTTGATCCCCAAGCCGCGCACGATCTCGTCAACCCAGACGCCCGGCGCGAGCATCACCTCCCCGCTCGACGCGCCCGACGACGCGCGCATGCTACCAGTGAAGGACGAGCTGCGTGAGAAGCCGCGCTTCGTCTTCCCGGTAGTCGACGAGACAGATGAAGTGGTCATGGACACGAGGCCGGTGGTATCGAGCATGCCCATGAGGTCGCCAAACTCGCTGCGAGACACCGGCTGGAACAGTCCCGTCTCGCTACGCGACAAGATCGTGTCGTAGTAGACGTATAGCCTGCTGGTGTCCATCTTCCCCACGGATGCGACCGATGATAGCGAGGCCGAAGCCTTGATGGGGGAAGCCGCTCGTCTACCCGCTGGCTTCTTAGCGGGGGTCTTGGCAGGCGATGGTAGTGGTGAGCCCAGCGCCAGGCCGGCCTCCTGCCGCTTGGCAGCGAGAACGACGGCCAACAAGACGAGGCGCGCCTGAATGCCGAGCTCGACGATCTTCCGGACGACCTCAGTGTTCGCAGACGATGCGGAGGTGGATGCGACAGCTGCTGCTGATGACGACGAGTAGGTCTTCAGCGCTGCTATAACATGTCCTGGAGTGACGTTGCATGGTGTCGAGGGCTTCTGCGAAGCGACGGCGAGGTCGATGGCAGCACGGGAAACCTCAAGAAGGCATCGAACATCGCCGGTCATAGTCGCGACCTTCTTCGAGAGCATCATGAGCGTGGGCGTGGGCAGGAACTTCGTAGCAGCAGCCTTCGTGTCATCACTTTCATGCAAGGGGCTTAAGCGCGCTTGCAAGATAGAGAGCAGTTGTGCGGAAGTGTAGGGCTGGAAGTGAACGGTCTGGACGTTGTCCGGCGTAGACGTCGAGTCAGACGTGAGTGTGTGCGTGTTGGCAATGCCGATGATGCACGCGTTGTCGAGGTTTTGCGGCAAGGAGAAGACGGCGGCAAGGGAGCTGGCATCCGATGCTATGTGATCGAGCTCGTCGAGGACGAACACGCTGCGCGGCAAGATTAGATTGGCTATATAGCATTCAAGTATATCACATACCACTTAGACGCCGTCTTCGCAAGCAACTTGACAATTGCCTCTCGGCCTCGAGCCTTCTTGCCCTTCGTTGTCGACTTGCTAGCGTGAGCGTCTCCGAAGACCTCGATCATCTTGTCCCACAAGGCGTCCACGTCGTTGAACGCCATGCAGTTGAGGGAGAGGACTTGCACATTCTCTTGCGACTCCTGGTGTTTGGAGAGAATGTCGTTGACGAGGGCCGTCTTGCCCGTCCCGGGGGATCCGGAAACGTACAGGGACTGACCCGATGATTCGCCGGCGAGGAAGCGTTCGATGAACGTAGCGATCAGTTTGCGCTCGTCATCGCGTCCAACGACTTGGACAGCTTCGGAGTTTACTGTAGCGCGTAGAAGGGCGCGCGCCGCGGCGTGGAGGGGAAGGTTGGTCTGCGGTGTAGCCGGAGGGGTGGCTAGCGAAGCTTGCGCAGTGGCAGGAGTGATCGGCTGCTCATTGGCTGTAGCTGCGTTAGACTGTGTCACAAACTTCCCTCACAAACCGCTCACTTGTACCCGGTCGGGCAGGTGTATGTATAGAATCTGTAGAGGGACGCCGACTGGCAGTGATGTCGGGCGTCTCAGCGTTGATGGCGTCGACCCGGTATGGCGGTATGTTCTCCTTGTTATTAGTGCCATCGAGCAGCGTCAAGGACGTGCGAGGCCGTTTTGGATCGGGTGTGCTGTCGGGCGTAGCCAGCTGGTCGCAGGTGGCCAGCGAGCAAGAGGATGCCGAGCGCTGGTGCGAGCGCTTACCGAGGACAGAGCTGCGGCGGGGGGTGATGAACGACATGATCTTCGCTGTCGTTGTCGTCGACGTCGGAGAGCGGCCTGCGGACGTCGAGCTGGACGTGGTGGTGGTCGAGAACGAGAGCCGATGTCGGTATGCCCGGTGTCTAGTACGGGCGCGCTGATGGCAAACAGGGCCAAGCACCACACAACGGCGCGTGTCACGGGATCGCGCGCACGCAGGTGACGCACGCGTCGAGCTCACGGTCATGCACTAGGCATGCGTCGTCACGGTTGAATTTGGAAAAGATGAATTGCAAGCAACTACACGTGTAGCTATTGTAGGTAATCCCCCGCCCTAAATGGTCCAATCCACTGTTCAGGGTCTGAAGAGTAGATGTCCAAAATGCGCCTCCCCTCGGAGTTCGTTACACCGGCCCAGCCTTCGCTTTTGTCGCTGAATTCGGCAGGCCATCTGAGCACGTTAGGCATGCATACGAAGAATCTCTTCAAAGGGAGACATCCCGCCTTGGCCGAAGCACTGCGAGACTCCAGCAGATGACGTACACATGCCACGTCCTTGTCCGTCCAATGAACCCTCCTCGCAGTGACTATTTCCACTTCGCCTAGTTCGGCGAAGGACGGCTTATCTGCCTTGTAGCTAAGCATCTCGAGGCAAGCTTGCTTGGTTGCAGGAATGCGTTGCCGATCGATGCCGAGTGTTTCCTCCACGAAAGCGACTTTGCGCAGCGTCTTCGGCATGCAGAGTATCCTGCGCAGAAGATCCGTGTCATCGGTAACCCCATTTCGATTTCGAAGCGTTATGCAGGCCACAGAGGCGAGCAGGCCGGAAAGGAGTATCTCGTAAGACTGACATAACTTGTTGTACCAGCCTTCGCCTCTCCAATCGCGGCGCATCATGTTGAGCACTGCGTGCGACAAGGCAGGAGCATAGATGTGAGGGCCGAAGAGGATGGACGCGCCCCCAAGTTCCAGCGTGTGAAGCAATGGGAAGAGAAGAGGCTGCGATAGCGGGAGGACATCGCGAGCTACGCCTTCGTCCGCAAGCAGGCTCAGTACCTCCAATCGCAAACAAGGTCTCAGAAAGGAAATCTCAGAAAAGTCCATCATGAACGACATCATGAGCGCGCGGAGGTTTGCCCAAGGGAGCTCGATGGTGTTGCAGACAAGGCAAATTTCAACGACGACCAGATTGGGCGCAACGAGTCCGCAGATGTCACCATCGCGGATGATCAGCTCCTTCAGAGCGGGGAGCGGCGCATCGAAGGGTAGCTTGCCGTCGTGAAAAGTCGCCTCCAGAGTCCCGATATGCCACGCGTGCTCCTGCAGGGCCAGTCGCAGGCCGTCGTACATGTTCGGTGCATTGACATCCAGCAGCGCGACCGGATACTGCCCCGAGCGCTCCAGATATGTCTTCACGATCTCGGTCAGAGCCTTTCCATCACCCTTCGGCCAGCTATAATACCCCAACGGCAGACGAATGCGCGACCACACCCAGCGCATATCAAGCGCTGCAGCCCGCCAGCTGCGGCAGACCTGCGTGAAGGCCCACGGATATCTCCCGATCCTGCCTTCGAACCAGTGGCGCGGGAGGGTAAACCGAGCGATTTCAGCGAGAATCTCAGAAGGCAATCTGCGCAGGGGCGAGAGGAGGGTAGTTATATCCGCTGCCGCAGAAAAGAGCAGCCGTCGCTGTTGGCTGATCTGTTCAGATTTCTGGCGCAGGCGCTCGATCGCTGAGTCGCAGTCGCCGATATTCTGATTTACTTGCGAGAGACTGGCGAGGAGTGCGTCATGCTCAGCGGCACTTGCAGGAGTGCATGATGAGCGGGCATTAGTGTTGAGGTCTGGGTGTCCGGTACGGCTTTCCAGAGCATAATCGCAGCGTTCGCAGAGAGAGATAACACGAGGTTGGTCTTGCAGGATCTGCATGGCAAACACGTTGCGTGACAGAGTTATGTAGTAGGAAGCGACTAGTAGGACGAGGCGTGAGTCCCCTCTCCACAAGCGTTCAAGTTACGCACGATCTCACTAGACAAGACCCGTCCTTCGCGCCAATACGAGTAACTTGCGATGCGCGACGCGCGGATGATGAGTGTTGGGAACGAGTTGATGAATTACCGTTTATAGCAGTCTTCTTCGTTTGCGATATTCTCACGGTCGTGTGATGTGACCGAAGTTCGACTTCGCCCGGAGCAAAGGGCTGCGGAACAACGATAGGTTGTCAAGAACAAGTAATTGTTATATATTTATCCCTACATTCCAGCTTCACTCTCGGGTGTCGACAACCAAGATACGCTCGCCATCCGTCCTGCGCATATTCGCCCAGCTCTCCTCCAATGCTGACGCAGGAAATTCTGCACGCGGCGTGTATATGCGAAGCCGCTTGAGACCTGATTGCCTACCGTGCGAAGCGGCGGGCGTGCTCCGCACCTCGAGCAGGTCTCGCACGTTACGGACCTCGCACGCACGCCACGTAGCCCCACACCTGTTGAGAATGTGCAACTCCTCCAGATACGGCAGCGGCGTCTGGTCCCAGAGAATTGCATTGGCAAAGAACTGGAGGAAGGAAGACCCTCTCCACGATGGCGTGTACTCGTCCAGGATGAAAATAATCTCTAGCAACTTGCGCGGGCCGTTTAGAAGGGCGCGGAGGGCGCGGGTCGCTGACCAGTTATGTGTGGGGCCGTCCGCATTGCGCACCGTCAGAGACGTGAGCGGGCGGACGAGGTTGACAACGGGCATAAGATCTCTGTCTTGAAACCACTCGCACTCCTCGTAGGGGCGCTTGCAGAGTCCGTTGCATGCGAAATTGAGGCAAAAATGACGCAGCGCGGGGGCATCGAGTTGTGAGCAGAATCTCAGAGCACCGTGCCCGATTTCGAGCGTATGCAGCGCTGGGAGAGTTATGGGCTGCGAACCAAAGTACTCGCCCCAATTCCAAGTCGAGAAGCTGAGTTCCTCGAGCCGTACGCACTCGCGCAGGACCTCCAAGTCCTCTTCGCGCACATCGAAAGCCGCCCGGAGGACGCGAAGGTTTACCCAAGGCACGTTGAGGCGAGACATGCTGCAACCGAAGAGCTCCAGGATGCGTAACTTCGGCGCATGGATTGTCCCGCCGAACGGTCCCGTCAACCAAAGCCGCCATAAGGCCGGAAGCCGGCGGGGAAAAGGCGAACCGCCATCAGGGCATTGCAGCTCCAGCTCGCGGATGCGCCGGGCATGAGGCCACAGCGCGGTTTGGATGACTTCATGTTGAATGCCCGCCCTGATCTTGAGCACCAGGGGATACTGTCCGCAGCGTTGTAGGTACACCAGAGAGGCGTCGGTCCATGTCGCGAACTTGTCGGATGGATGATAGGCGTGCAGGTCGATGTGCGCCCATGGCCAGCGCATGCCAATGACTGCCTCGCGCCACGCGCGGCACACGTGCATGAAAGGCCAGAGCAAACTTCCCGGAGGGTGTTCGAACCAGCGAGGAGGCAGCGTATAGCACGCGATCTCCGCCAGGATCTCTGCCGGGAGCTTCCGTACGGGTGAGAGCAGAGCTACCAGATTCTCCTCGGTGGACTGAATGAGAGCCCTTTGCTCGCAAAGCTCCGCGAGGGTGATGCGTAAACGCTGCATCTCTCTATCGCACGAGCGAAGATTGTTGCGCGTCTGGGATAATTTATCCGAGAGCGCGCTAAGTTCTGCGCGGGTATGCGGGACATGAGTCGAGCGCGCGAGAGACACCAGCTCCGCGGTCTGTAGGTGGCTACTGAAGCTGTCGCTGCACTTCGAGCAGAGCTGGGTGGCGTGTACGGAATCTTGAAGGATTTTCATGGCGAGTGGTACCTGCGAGGCTCTAATTACGCGTCGTCGGCGAATGGCTGGTCAGGGCATGAACTGTTACTCACGATTTGGCGACCGGAAGCGATGATGATGTTCACCCGCAGCGAGTCAGATCTAATGGTAGATGGTAATGGCAAAACCTCGACTGCCAGTTCGGGTTTTATTCCGGTGTCCTTGTTTCTCACGGTGCACCCCAGGGATGAACCCACGTTCATGTCTGTTTACTATTTCTGAGAACAAGATGACAATGAAATAGGCACACTATTTTGATTTCACGATTTGACATGATGAGCTGGTCGCAATTACAACGGGTTCAGATCCGCACGTACTCCATGCATGAAGTCCTACTCCAGATCTCCCAGTGCCGCTGCTACGTCTATTCCCCATTCAACTGGCCCTTCCTCTTCATCAAATTGCACATCAACGTCGAGGATGTGCTCGCCATCGGACCCACGAACGTTTGCCCAGTCCTCTGCCGTCGCTGAATCCGAAAAGACGAAGGGAGAGCGGATTCGAAGCCTCTTGAGCCGCGCAGGCCCGAAGTTGGAAGGTGAACCGCGCGATTGCAGGACCAGCCGGACCAAGTCGACCCTCTCGACGCTCCAATCGACACTCTCCACTCTTTCCCATAATTCCACCTCCGTCAGCTGGGGCAGCTCTGGGTGCCCGTCGCCGCAGCAGAGGATGCGGAACAATTCGGTGTACATAGAGAGTTCTGTCTTCGATGCGCCCTCTATGACGATGGCGGTTATCTTCCGCAATTTGGGAGCGTGGGTGAAGATCTCGCCAAGGTGTGGTTCCCGATAATCGTAGTTGTCCATATTGCGCAATGTAAGACTGGTGATCGGAGGCACCAGGGAATAGAGATACTCGAAAGCCACAGTTTCGAACTCGGCGAGTCCTCCATCGAAGGTCCAGGTGGGCACATCCAGGATAAGGTGCTGCAGTGCAGGCGCGCGAAGGTGAGCACAGAGCATGATGGCAGCGTCACGTATCTCCAAAATCTTCAAAGTTGGGAAGACGAGTGTCTCCTTAGGGTCGTCCTGGTCCAGAACTTCTCCTTTAGGGTCGAAGGCATCCAGGCTGAGCACTTCCAACCTCGCACAACGACGCAAACTGTCTAGATCTTCGGGATATATGGCCTCGCCGTGTATGCTGAGGGCGCGCAAGTTCTCCCAAGGGAGAGTGCTTGGGGGCGAACGCACCCTAAAGAGTTCGAGAACGTACAGGTTTGAAGCGTCAATTGAGTCGGGCAACATTGTGCAGCGGCGCACACGAAGCCGACGAAGGATCGGGAGTTGGGGCAGCGTTGGTGACCACGATTCATCCAGCTCTAGCTCGTGGATGCGCGACGCGTGGGCACTGAGCACATTTCGCAGCATATTAAAGAATGAGTCCGAAGTGAGCCTGATTTTGAGGGGGTAAGGGTCCGAGCGCATGAAGTACGCCGAGATTATATCCATAGGTTCATCCCCGAGATTCCTCGGCGACTTTGGCAGGCAAAAGCGTGCCCATGGCCAGCGCAAATGAAGCGCTGCGGTACGCCATGCACGGCATACCTGCAAGAAGGTCCACACATGCTTCCCGACACGGTCCTGAAACCAGCCAGGAGGGAGCGTGTAGGCAGCGATCTCTGCGAGGATCTCGGGCGGCATTCGACGAACAGGCGAGAGTAGCGACCGTATTCTGTCAGATGTAGATTGGAGGGATGTCTTCACCCCGCGGAGGCGACGCAGGGTGTTCTCGACGCGGGATATCTCCTCGTCACATCGATCGATGCTGTCCTGGACTTGGGAGAGCGACGCGGAGAGGGCGGCAATCTCGGTGGGTTCGAAGGGAACATAGCCATCGTCTAGGCGTAGTTCCAGCTCGGGGGAGCCCAACATCGTGACGAACGAGTGGGGGCATTTCGGGCAGAGGGAGAGTGCGTAAGGGTAATCCTGCAGGATATGCATGACCGTGGTCGTCGACGAGGCTGCAAAGTACATCACGACTCATCAGCAATATCCTATAGATGTACAGGGTACTCACAAAGAGGACGATGAACAGGAAGGTGGTACGTCGAGATGAACGTCGAGGACAAATGATGGTGGCGACCATGCGGCCGCGACATCGATCGCCTTCTTGCTCTCACCGCTCACGGCGACGATCCCATTCAGTCACCAATCACTCCCGGCAGCAGCGCCAGCCCGGACTTCCTTCTCACACCATCCAGCTTACCCTGAGAGGGGAACACCGCACGCGCCTAGCCCAGCGAGTCTTATGGCGACGGTCCCCCTCCCGAGTCCGTTCTGCATGTTATGACGCCCGAAGAGCATGCGCAGGCAGTGTGGCTGCTGGGGCCTTGGGTGCGTTGCGTCGTGCGAGGGGGAATAGCGAAACAGCTGACCACCCACGCAGCTCATCGGCAGCTTCCTAGACGTCCTCCTGCAGGGCATAATCCTTGTTCAAGTGCGTTACCAAGCATGCGCACCAGTTCTGTGCTCACGTCTACCCCTCCCCCAGACTGTACACTATTTCAGCTGGTATAAAGACGACGAGCTGCCCCTCAAGCTCTCCGTAGCCGTCCTCGGCCTCATCACTACCCTCAAGTCTATACAATCCTTGTGCGCGCGTCGGCCCTTGTTCCCCTCACCATTCCTTATCCTCTCATCCCCACCAGCGCACTCCTCTGGATCCAATTCATCGAAAACTTCACCGACCTCCCGGCAGCCGTGAAGCTGAGCTACACGACATGGTGGCAGAGCGGTGCGTCTTGTTACTACCTCCCGCGCAACTCGTGCTTAGATTCGCGCAGGGAATCCCCTCATGGTCGCGAGTGTTGGGATCTACGTCCAGGCATTCTTTCTGTGGCGACTGTACATGATATCCGGGCGTAAATGGCTTCCGCCTGCCCTTCTCTCCCCGGTCCTCTTGCTAGCGTACACTGCCATCGCTCTAGCCGTGCGCTGCCTCTAATCATCCTCCCTCACCTCGGCTGACAATACCTCACAGACGTACTACATCTCCCGCGAGGACACACCCCACATCTCTATCTGGTGTGAGTATCGGTCATCGTAGCCCGCCGCGCGTACGCTGATCTTCCACCGCAGTCGCCGTGCATCTTAGCTTCACCTTCGGTATGTGGCGCGCACCCTTCTCATGCTCACCTGGTAACCTGCTCATCCATTCAGCCGGCGACGTCCTTCTCTCAGTTGTCACCGCCTACTACCTCCTTAAGACGCGACACGATGTTCTACCTGGAACTGTTGGTTTGGTCAACGCCCTCATCCGCCTCACATTTACCACCGCAGCGCCCGCAGCGATATGGTAGGCCAGCCTCCCCTTGTATCTGCAGACGAGACACGTGATCTGATTCGTCTAAAGCGCCCTTCTAAACCTCGTCTTCTCCCAGCTTTACAGCGGCGAGGACCGGCTCGTCTCCACCGCGTTCAACCAGATCATGGCGAAGTTGTACGCGACGAGCATGTTATGGACGCTGAACGCGCGGCGAAGCATCCGCACCGAGTACGACTCGAGGAGCGGGAACATGGCGAGCGCGTCCGTCAGTACGCAACCGGGAGGTATCAGTCGAGGGGGGATCGTACGTGCTATCTTAGACGCACTCATTACGTTCGCTTCGACTGACGATTCCTTCCAGTCCACAACTATGGAGTTCGAGCATACCGCCTCGCAGATGCACTCGAGGGCCGTACGTACTATGCCTCTGCCAAGTACTCTCAATGGTTGACCCCCCTCACAGCCCCAGGACACCTTCTTCACCAACGAGTCGACGGACGAGGATACCGCGCTAGAATCGCTGCCGTCGATCAAGGGGAAGGGATACCCACTCGCGGGATCGGTGTAGCCGTGTATACCGTGTATAGTAGCAGCTGGATGATGCCTCGGATGGATAATATGAACATAGATGCAAACAACATTCCGCGTGCGGGCAAGGGTATCAGATGAAAGGAAGGGTAAGGGAACATCGAATTGTTCATCCTGAGGACGCATCCGGGGAAGGGTGCGCTGCTTCCTGATGCAGCTGATCGAGAGGCAGTCGAACGAGGCGCTGGCCGTCTATTTGTGAGGGATCCTGGATTTCTGGATCTTGGCCGGTTGAGGATACTGCGGTGCTGGTCAGCGGAGTTTGCACCAAATGCAACCGTCCAAACGCACAGAACAACGCCAAGATCTCGAACATCTTCGACCACTGGCCTGTCACCGTACCCATAGCTGCATTGCCAACACTCATCAGCAGCACATCACATACTACAGAGATATACACGCACTCTCACTCGCCGCCCCCATGATATCGCAATCCTCCGCGATATCCTCAATCTGCTGCCTCATGAACGCGCTAGACCGCTCAAGCGCGGCAACGCCGTCGAACTCCTTCTTCTTCTCGGTCAAAGTCGCCATCTGCGCCGCGGTATTCACGGGTGCGGCATTGGGGTAGATGGAAGTGCGATTCGCGGCGGTTGACTGACGCATCGGGGCGTGAGATGATGGGGGAAGAGAAGGAGCGCGTTGTTTGGCTGTATTGACGCGCTCTGTGACCGGTCAGACCGATTTCCGGATTAGGACTTCCCTTTGTGATGGGAAAGCTCAGGGGTGGTTTCCCACTACACAGAGCTCGGGCGTTCGCATGCAAGGGACAGTCATCAGAAGAGCAGTATGCACATAGATTAGTAGCGTGTGTAGCCGATAGAAAGTAATCAGAGCGTCCCGAACCCAGTCCGATCCCTACTTCCCCGCCGTCGCCTGCTTCTTCTGCTCCTTCAACGCCGCGATCCTCAACCTCCTCTCCTCCTTCCTTCTCGCCATCTCCGCCGCCTTCTCTTCCTTGGACATCGTCGACATACTCGGTGTGCTCGGTGTCGCAGGCGGTGGTGAGGGCGAGGACACCGGTGTCGCCTGTCGGCTGATTGACTTGACCGCCTTCGGGAGCGATGGGACGGCTTTCACTGGCTTGGGCTTTGGGCGCGAGGTGGAGAGGTTGGGTTGCGGTGTGGGGCTTGCCCATGGGTCCTCGTCGTCATTTGCATCGGCATCGGCAGCGGTGTCGTCCATCGCTCCCCAGCCGTCGTCCACAGGTGGTGGCCTTGGTTTCGCGGCCGCGACCGTCGGCTTTGGTGCGTGCACCGGAGGCGCGGTTTCAAACGAAGCTGTTCATCATATCGGTCAGAACCTTCACCGACTCGCAGATCCGAGGAACGTACTCCAGTCATCCTGGTCCGCGTTGATGTCGATCAAATCGTCCGTGCCCCAAGGATTGTGGTCGATATGGTCCTCAGCAGCAACTTCCGCCGCGACCTCTTGCGCAAGTTCTTCTGCCAAGATGTTTGCTGGAACCTTGCTCGCACCAAGCTGCATGCCCTTCGTCTTCTGGCCCGGCCGCGAAGCCTGCGTCGGCGCAGCTCCCGCGACCGAGTTCGCGCGCGACAGTCCAGGGATACCGTTGGCGGGCTTTACGCTGAGAGGGTACGGGTCGCTCGGGAAGCCTCCTGGAGGCGGTGGCGCAGAAGTTGGGCGGTCGACGGTGGAGGCGATGGTGCTCTGCATGTCTGCTGGAGCAAGCTGAAGAAAACGTCAGTACACGGTTTTGCGTGGCGCGTGAAAAGGAGCATACCCTGCTAGTGATGGACGACATCGCCCAGCCTGCAAGTGAGCCCGCTGCACCTGCCGCTGTGCTGGCCATTGTATACTGTGTAGAGGGTGCCTGCGTGGAGTTACCGTTCGCGGCGGCCAAGGCTTCCGGCGACCCTGGCGGAGGTAACACGGTCTCAGGCTAGAACGGGGCATCAGACACGACCGTCCGACGTTCATCCTATCCGACGCACCATCGTCTCTGCATGCTTCTCCAACTTCTTCACATACAGCTCCATCGCCTTGAAAGCCTGATCCCTCACAAGCCTACAGGTCACTCATTAGCACCTCCACATCTTCCCGCGTCCTCACCTCAGCCCAACTAACAGAACCCACAACTCACCTCTCCTTATCCACCATCGCAAAGCTCATATTCGGGATCACCTTTGTCGCCACCTCCTCTGCGTCAAAACAGTCGCTCGTCGCCATCAGCGCCATCAGCCCCGCGACGCGGCAGTGCACGAACGCGTCCTTTAGCGCGCGCGTGAACGCGGGCACGAGCACCTTGCGCTTTGTGTTGTACCCCAGGCTCGGGGCGAGGCGCCCAATGAGGATGCAGGTGTTGGTGCGGATGGAGGGCTCGGGGTCCTGTTGCATCTTGGCGAGGTAGCGGAGGAGGTCGTTGTTGAGGGTGCGGTCGCTGAGCTGGGTGGGGGTGAGGATGACACCAAGTGAAAGGGAGGGAGAAGAGCATACTTTGGGCGCGAGGAGGAGCAGCGACTTGACGGTAGCTTCTCGTATGACGGCGACGGTGTCGTCGAAGCCGGTTTTCTGCAGACACGTTTAGCACATAGCGTCGTGCGTGAACCCTTTACTTACAAGATACACGAAGATCTTCTGATCCACCGTCTTCTTGTCCAGGTGCTCTGCATACTCGGGCAGATGTTCGAGTAGCGCCATACGAGTGCCACGGTCCGGACTTGCGTACAGCTTCACAAGAGGCGCCAGAATCACGTCGGGATAGTCCTTCGGTGGCACATTCTTGCCGAACTGCAGCACCAAAGGGAGGATAGACGCGGCAGACGCTCCGCCAAACTCGAGCGCGGATACTAGGGCGGGTAATATGCGGTGCGAGACAAACTCGGTGGGGAAGGAGCCAGCAGAGTCCTTCAATGACCTGCATTGCTGTCACTCATGCGCAGGCAGCAACAAGTCACAAAGACTTACTTCAAAAGCGTCGCCTTATCCGCCTCGCTACTCAGGGCAAAGTTGTCAAGCCCAGCGCACACCTGCACGAGCCGGTTGCCCGCAAAGAAGCCCTTTTCTGAGCCCATTCCGATCTCCAAGAAGCCCTTTGGCGTGAGTCTTGCACCCGGATTCGGGTTCAGTAACCGCTTGTAGGAAGGGAAGATGGAGTTGGGGATGGCGCCTCGAGATGATGGATTTGGCGGCGGATGTGGTGGGCTGGCGGTGGCTGGTGGAAAGGCATCGGGGTTGAAGAGGATATGTATGAGGAGGCCGAGATCGTAAGCATCGAGGGCAGCTGGATTGCCTCTAAGGGTATGAGGGTCAGCCGTGAAGGGAGGTGGGAAGGTCAAGACGTACGACTTTAGTACCTCCCATCCGGATTTCTGGACTTCAGGGGAGGCCCATGTGTTCGCATCGGGTGCAAGGCCGCCCATAGTCTGCAAGGTGATTAACAGACGTGTACAATTGGATGGCTAGTACTCACATAGAGTACGGGGGACTCCTCCGTCGGGTTGCTCAACAGCTCGAATCCGCCGAGCTTCCATTCGCCAGAAGGAGTGATCAAGACAGAATCCGGGCGCAGGTACCCATGTGTAGAGCCAACTGTATCGTTTAAGAAAGCGAGAGCGACCTGGTACGCGGTTAGATGCAGATCGCGTGCAGCACTGCAAGACGCACTGATATTCTGTGGAGCCCCCAGACCAACCAATCCTCCTTCTCTTGCGCTCCCGTCCCCCTCCTGTTCGCCAAGGCGGTCTGCAGCGGTACAACACGCTCCGTCATGAGCAGTATCGAGGTCTCCGACTCAACCACCTCCATGAACTTGAGCACGTCCGGATGTCGCGTCGTCCGAAGCTTCCTCAGCGCGTTCTTCGCAAGCGGTTTCGTATTCCGCCGATTGCTATCGTTGAAGTCGTACTCGAAGATCGAGACTTGCGAGCCGTCATCCTAGGGAGTATATGGTTCCAGCGTGAGCTGGGGGATTGTCGCGAGCAAGCATACCCGTTTCGTGCCTTCGTACAGCGTCCAGATCGGATTGGTGTAGACTTTCGGGCCGAGAGTGAAGGGGAGGTTCAGCCCCGACTTGCTAACGATGGTAGAGACTGCCGCTGAACCCCAGGTCTTGAGGTAATCCATGGTATTCTAGTGCGCCGATCGACACGTATGCGCGTACGAGTAAAGAGAGACTGAGTGTTATCGTTGTGATCAGCAGAGAGACGCGCAAGTAAGAGTGTTATAGCAGTATCTCCAGGCCTGGAGAGCCGCGAAGATGAATGGATGCTACAAGTCGCGTCTCGCCATGCGCGCCACCCTCCGGTGTAGCGCCACATATAGCCGCTTGCGGAATCGGTACTTGCCGAAGCAGTTCAGCTTCGCTCGCGACGTGCTGCTATCTTAATCTCAACCTCGATGGCCCTTTTGCATCCCCCGCGATACAATGAAAGAGCATTCTTCTCTCATTTACAAACTCTCGAGGGATAATCAGTCAAGCGCCTCGATGAGCTGAAGTGCATGGCCAATCGATGCACGCAACAACCTCGCGAGTAGATTGGCGCCCTGGCAGCGTTTCACAGCCTTTGGATCACTTGTCTTGATGAAGAGCTTGACGACGAGCAGTCTCGTGTGCACAACGACTATGCGATGCTGGCACGCCCTGCCCGCACTCTCACCGTCTGTCAGTGCGTAATAGCACGCACCCACTCTCTCGGATCGCCCGTAGATGCGCCGCAAGCAATGTTGAGCAGTGGCGGGAACGCACAATCCGCGCGGTGATAAACTTGTAGGGTATGGTGCTGACTCTCCATTGCTTCTCTTCTTCCTCCTTCCCCTTCCCGTCTTCAGTTTCTCTTCGACTTCCACCTTCTGCGAAGGCTTTTTGGTCTCGTTTTTGCTTTCTGTCTTTTCCCGTCCCTCACGAAGTTCTTCGCCATCATGTTCAACCTTCTCCTTCTCATATTGATTACCCTTGCCTATTTATCTCCCGCCACGGCGCTCACCATGACCATCGAAGACACTTCACCGATCATTGCCTATTCGCCCGACTGGGCTCCTGGTGATTCCAGTCAGGATGGGTCTGCTAGCAAGTGAGTTCATTATCTTGGATCCTTCTTCTGTCTCATTATTTCTCTCTAGGTACTCCTCTGGCAACTTCATGGCCACGAACTCGATGGGCGCGACGATGACCTTCACCTTCAACGGCAGCGCGATCTCCATTTTTGGGTCCAAACGTTTTAACCATGGGCGATATCAGGTGCGGTGATCTTCATGATTCGTGGGTGCTGGAGCAGCTGGTGAACACACGTCGTGGATGCCCGTACACGTCGCGCGTATGGCGATCGCCCGACACAGCTGGTGTCGCTATCATATGCCACTGGTGCCTGCGAGTCTGCGTCAACGCGTGCGGCCTTGCGAGCTGCAGATCGCGGCGCGGCCCCGAGTTATCATCCAGTATCGACGACCGAGTTGACCGTAATCCTCTCCAGGTCAAGATCGACGGTGACTTCGTCACAGAGCAAGACGGCCACGCCGATCCCGACCAGTTTCAACAAGAGCTTTTCTCCTCTGACGATCTAGACGTTGGTCTTCACACCGTCGAGTTGACGAACTTAGAGCAGAAGTTTGTCGACGTGGACTATGTGAGTGTTTGTTTGCCTTTACGAGGTTGACCCGCGAACCCAACTACCGAGCATTGTGCATTGTCGAATGCCGAGCCTGACTGTTGGTATTGCAGATCACTTGGACCAGCAGCATCGGAAACGACCCGAAGTCGGAGGACATTGTCGTTCAGACTCATCAAGACACGGACGACACATTCGCCTACGACGCAGGCTGGTCTACCTCAGTACGCGACCCGGGTACCTTCCTGGGTGGAACCGGACAGTGAGTTCTTCCTCATCGCCTGCCTGTCCCTATCACTGAAACTCTGCCTTCAACCTCAGCACTACTTCTACCACCGGCTCCATCGCGCACTTCACCTTCACTGGGGCCGGTGTCACGCTCTACGGCCCCGTTGGACCATCCTACGGGTCGTACTCCATCCTCCTTGACGGAATCCCCATATCCAGCGAGAACGGCACTCAGCTCGCCCATGCGTCCAACGCCAACGAAATCGGAGCATTCAGCGCGAACAAGACACGTGCGAGCGCGACGCAAGTGCTCTTCCACGCTTCCGGGCTGGCGAATGGAGAACATGTCCTCGATATCGTCGCGGAGTCGGACGAGGGTGTGGCGATCGACTTTGCGCTAACCTACACGCCGAGAGGGGGTGACGGGTGAGTGTTGGTGCGATGTGAATCCGTGAAGTTGGCTTATGGGGTTCGGTCGCATCAGACTATCCAAAGGCGCCATTGCAGGGGTCGTCATCGGGTCTGTGGGTACACTGCTGCTCGTCCTCGTCGCGCTGTACTGGATGTTTATCCGCACTCGCGGAGGGAAGCTAGGCCGGCGGCCCACCTTTGGGAGGGACATTACGAGCAGTAACGAGAAAGACGGTCATATCCTGCCTGTCTTCGATTGGTCGCGGTCGACAAAGCGGACGAGCGTGGATTCATGGATGGTACGTGTACTGTATAGGACTGAGAACGATGTACTGATGGCACTGCAGTCTGGCGCAGCGCCACCAGCGGTCATCACCGTCACTGCGGCCACTCCCTTCCCGGGCAATGCTGTCCCAACGCCCTACCCGTACACAACAACGACGCTGAACTACAACCAACCCGCCAACCACGCTGGTGCGCCGAACAACTTCAGGGGCCCTCAAGGCTACGTCGGCCCCTCGGCTAGCACTGTGCACCGCTCACTGTCCAGCCGCTCCATTCCGGAGGGCGATATGCAGAACCCAGGCTCGACGGGAACTCTGAACCAAGGTTCCATGGGCAGTTCGAAGGAGCTCGAGGCCGCGGGGGTCCTAAACGGATTCGGATCGGCGGGCAACGCGAAGGAGCTTGAGGCGGCTGTGGGCTCGTACCAAAGCGCTGGAATTGGCGCCAGGGGAAGCACGTTGCCGCCGGACTATCGGCAAGCGACGCAGGTATATCGAGGTTGAGGCGTCAAGAAGTCAGACAAACATAAAGCCTCGACGAACTAGCACGGGAGCCGGCGTGGAAGGCGTGTAAATTATGACGACGGATCGGATTGGACGACGAGAAATGGTGCAGGACTTCGTATTTATTGGGGAGGATCGATAGATAGTTCATGTGTAGAAGCACGCTGGTTCGGACTTCTCCGTAGTAGACGATTGTGGATCGCATTTGTTGACGAGAAGAAAGGGTATAATCGAAAAAGGAGTGGCGGGGTAACTATGTAAGTCGTTTGTATCATAGAGGGGAGCAAGCTCCCTGGTCATTCACTTGTGGTTGGCCCAGATCTACTGTACCTGCCCGACTCGAGGGTGCGTGCACAAACCGCCAGTGCTGAGGTTGCCCAGGCTTGATGGGGATAGCAATACCAGTTCGAAGCAAGAGTCTAGTGAATAACTTCCGTTCGCACGCTAACGCGCGAGAAGATGACAAATCTGCGCACTTCAGAGGCATGACAGTGACTGAGATCCTCCGCAAATCAGAACGGTGTCGGCTTCACGGAAAGCGGCAAGGTGGCCACGGCAGTCTTTTCAGCAGGATGCCGGCATGCTTTGGTAGCATGAGACCGTTCTCGGAGGCCTCCAGCGCCGCCTCGCCGCTGTACCTCATTTTGCGCCGACCGTGCCACCCGCGCCACCTGCTCGGCCACAGCGTGCTCCAGAAGGGAGTCGATCTAATAAATCATCAGACCAGAAGCAAGGAGGCGAGCGCATGCCGACGTACCGTCTTAGCCTGCTCCCTCAGCTTCTTTCGAAGCGAGATGTTGTCCTCCTGCAACGCCTTGACGTCCTTCATATAACCCTGCTCACGATCCAGGCACTCATTGAGGTCACGGACAAGCTCGCTGACGAGGTCGATCTCTTCCGAGTCGCTGTAGAGATCCGCCATCTGTTGCCCCCGATGCTCCTCCATTGCCTGACGCGCCTTCTGCATTGCAGGGCGATCCGACATTATCGCCGTCAGCGTCCTCTGGGCATCCAAGTTTTCCTTGAAGAGTTCGTCTCGCTCCTGCTTCGTCTGATCGCGCTCTTGCACCGTCTGGTCGCGCTCCTCCTTGATCATATTGAGCTCTTCTCTCATCTTGTTGAGCTCTTCTCTCGTCTTGATGAGCTCTTCCTTCATCCGGACGCACTCGGTCTTCGTCTGGTCGCGTCCTTGCTCCAGAGCACGCACGCGACTCCGCTCGCTTTCGAGCGCGCCCTTGGCAGCGTCAGCGTCTACCAAACGGCACTTACTGTCCGCCAGCAGATGCGCGATGTCCACCTGCGGAAGCGCGTTGTCCACCTGCGGAAGTGCGTCGTCGGCCCTTTCCTTCTCGAGAGCGACGACCGTGGGGCGCATCTCGTTCTTAAAGATAGACAAAGCGCGGAGCGTGCGATCCTGCGAAGTGAAAGGCGGGAGAGGGACGTTGAGCCTCGGATGGACGCAGTTAGACGAAGTGAAGACGCACCTTGGTATCCGAATTCAGGCGCGGGTGGTCACCGAGGCAGAGTAGCTGAGTGGCACCTGCGTCTATGCCACCTGTGCTCGGGCCAAGCTGACCCGAAGCGTTGTTGACATTCAGGTCCGTATCCGATGTACCTACATCGACGAATTTTTTGTGTGAAGGATGCCTCTTGCCACTTGGCGCACGACACGTGGGACAGTCGTTATCGCGAGTGCGAGCCTGAGCAAGACACTGGCTACAAAAGCCGTGGCCTGCTGTACTGTCAATGACCGGACCGCTCGCGTTGGGAGGGCCACGCACCACAGGACACAAAGAACGAAAACTGCTCCGGAAGCACCTTAGGATCCAGACAAATTGTGCAGAACGCTGAACAGGACATGGTCGACAATGTGTCTCTCAATGACGAGCGTCGCTGCGGTGGCGCGAAGATTGGGGTAGGAGGAGTGCGCACACGGTCTGCGAAGCTCATGCTATATAGCCGGCGCGATGCATGGTCATTGGCAGGCTGGTCTTTGTTGCCAGTTGGCAACAGTATTCGCTTTGTCCGTGACAGAAGGCGGAGAGGATGACGCTATCACAAACACTTACCATTGAAGCTGAGCGCACGCCTGCAAGGTTACCTGGGTTATGAGCGTGTCCGTGTTGACAGATAAGGGACCAAGTGTAGTGGGTCGCTGATGGGAACGGGGATCTGCAGAAGGGTCATGACGGTGTTGGCGACATCGGTCCTTGCGCCACAATGTATGCCGTCTCTACGGGCGTCTCTTTTCGTCCTTTTGAGGATGTCTGTCCAGTAGTGTTAGTATAATTAATATGTTCGTACCGCGAGTAAACAGAATTTATGCCTCCACCCTTCGGAGGATCTCGTTGGAAGCAGAACAAGGTCGAACCCAAAAGGAGATAACTCGATGCAGCATCTGATGGGTGTTCCCATCAGATGGGCTCGTCTCGAGCGGACGTCGCCTCTAGACGGATTGGTGGTATTAAGTAGCATAGATAGGTAAGGGCATTGAAGTTCCTTCAAGCTTTCTCCAGGACTTACGGGTTGAATTGCAATACTGTGGCTAAGTGTATGGACTAACCACGCGATGGACGGTGCAGTGCGCCCACAGGCGCCCACGTCCCACGACTCGCGCGCGTACGCGCCCTCGGCGCTCTATCTGTGTTCCTCAACGCAGTGTCATCCATCAGTAGACTCGGTGGACGACAGTCCTCTGTCTGCTGAAGTATTACTGATAGGTTCGGAGCATGCCCGCGCTCCGGCACGCGGCGTGCCGCGTCCTCCGCAGAGCGTCGGAGGCTTTCTGACCTTCCTTATATGGCAGGTACTGTCGCGTGCGCCGCGTGTCTGGGCTTGAACCGAACCTATTCCTGCGCCTGTCACGGTCCCCTTCCGGGCGTCCATACAGTGAGACACAGTATGCACGCGAGCCATATCGCAACCTATCGTAAGCGGAGTCTCGCCTCGGTAATACTCTTCCCGATGTCATTGTACCTACAAACAGGACCACCATATAAGGCGCCTTGCGAACGGTGGGACCGCACGCCGAACGACATCTACTTCCTCTTTTACAACCCTCAACATGGCTGAAGATTCCCCTCGCAAGCTTGTCATCGCCGTCATGTATGTGTCATCGCCACTGGGACGGTCCTTTGCTGACAACGATCCACCCATTTTCAGAGGTGCAGGCATCGGCGGGCTCTCAGTCGTCCGCGCCATAGAGCGCTTCTGCGATATGTCCAAGCTTGATGTCCACCTCTACGAGGCCGCTGCGCAGATTTCGGAGATTGGCGCTGGCCTCAGCATCTGGCAGAGGGTGTATGACATCCTCACGGACCTCGGCTTAGAGTCAGATATGCGAGAGTGTTTGGATAACGCTGAGACCGACTGTGAGTTTTCTATCCTCGCCCGTCTCTCTTTTTCACGCTGAAGACAATCACCCTCAGCCTTCACTTTCCGTAAAAGTGACCAGCCGGAAGGAGTCACGTTCAAAGAGGTGTACTCAGAGGACGGCGGTGAGGCATAGACGTCGAACTAGATCGACGTTGGATCCCACTCACTGCCACAAACAGGGAAATCTTTCCTTCTGCATCGCGCCAAAATCCAGGGGATGCTGTTGGAGCACATCTCGTCGCAGGTCAAGATACATCTTTCGCATCGTCTGGACGGCTACGAGTACACTGAAGCTCCTACGGAGAAGATTAAATTGCGCTTCCGCGGCGGTCAGGAGGCCCGTTGCGATCTGCTTATCGCCGCGGATGGCGTTCACTCGGTCGTCCGCCGTCAGTTTGTCGCTCGTCTAGCGGACAAGCTCGACAAGCCGGAGCTAAAGCAGGCGATGGAGCCGGAATATAATGGCAGCAGGATATATCGCGGTCTCGTTCCACAGGAGAAGCTAGCGACAGTTTGGCTCGATCATCCGGCGTTGAGGAAGCCTAACATCGTAATTCTTTTTTTCTATCGAGCCATGAGTGAAGTGCTCACCAGCGCGCCCGCATAGTACTGTGGCAAGGACAAGGTATGCGGTCGACTTGCACTGATTTCTTCGAGTACTCAACATCCCTGTCTAGTACATTGTCACGTACCCAATAGTCAAGGGGGAGATCGTCAACGTGGCTCTCTTCTACACCGACAAGACCGGGGTCGAAACCGCTTACGCCGATCCCGATATTGGAGATGCGACTATGGAAGAAATGAACAAGATGTACGAAGGTTGGGAGCCGCAGGTTCAGGCGTTGATCAAGGTTATTTCTCTGTGCGGCTTGCTATCTCATTGCTCATCGACGGGACAGTGCATGCCAGACCCGTCGCGCCATTGGGTGCTCCTGACGCAGAAACCTCTCGAGACGTGGGCCGACGAGGGCGTGATGCTGCTGGGCGATGCGGCAAGTCTCTTTATCTCTCCTCAGTCGGCCATCCTGACAAACATCGCAGGCGCACGCGATGGTTCCCAACCTCGGCACCGGCGCTAGTCAAGCCATCGAGGTATGCCTCCGATTTGTTGATTGCCACGGAGCATCACTCACGCTCCTACAAGGACGGCTACGTCCTCGCCCAGATTCTCGGCCGCGCGCAAGAGAAGGGCCCGCTCGAGATGCTCTCCCAGGACACGATGGCGATGTACAACCGCCTCCGCCCGCCCATCGCCAATTTCGTGCAGGCGCGCGCGAAGCTGCAGTCCCAGCTCGTCACGTTCGATGAAGAGGGCGCGGATCTCTCGCTCGTCGAAGACGGATCGCCGATGCACACTGACACGGACCGGTTGGCGAAGCTGGGAAACGGGATATGGGACGGACTGCACTGGTACAGGCATAGTATTGTGCGCGAGACGGACGCGGCGGTGGCGAAAGCCCTGGCGGCTTACTAAGGGCAGATAGAGCCTCTTGTGTACTCGCTTATTGGATCAGCTTCCCTATAACTTTTCCGGCGCCGTCGTCTCAGAGCGCGAGTACGTCTCGAGAGCATGCATACTGATTTCGATGTCGATGATTTACAATTTCCGTAAGAAGATTCGCGTCGTACATACTGAGGGAGGCAAGCAGAACAGCAATTCGGTCGCGTAGCAAAATAGCTCAGACACTTCTATCAAGCCTCGAAAAGACACCCTCGAGCGCCGCGATATCCTCCGGCGTTGTGTAATAACCGTCCTCCTTCAGCTTCTCAACGAATGCCTGTGACGTATACGCCGCATGTACCACCTTCTTACCCCCTCCGAAAAGAAGGTCACCGAGTGCACGACCGTTACAGCGTGGGGAGATATCAAAAGAATTTCTCGGGCATCATAAAGGGAGTCAAGATATTGTTACGAGCAGCGATGCTCCTTCGCAGAAGGCTCTCAAGATGATGGCGGGAAGCATGCTACGTTCGTGGGAGGATGCGATGGACATCCACAGCCAAACAGGCGACATCAGCTTCGGCCATTGCCGGACCCCCCAAAATAAACTCGACCAAATACACAAGTTCAACTTCCTCATGTCCTCCTCCGACTGGGTTACGCTAGATCCTCACAATACGCTGCGTTCCATACAGGTCCAGCACGCTACCTTCTCCGAAATGCAAAGCCATCTGAGAGACACTTCGTCCTCGGTGTATTGTCGCTTCGTGCCAGTGGGCAACATCTGAGGTCATTTTCTCACACTGCTCAGCTCAAGATTCTAAGGCGTCGTTGGGCCTGTGAATGACGAGTATGGCACTCTGCACATGAAGATAACCCGGTAGCTCATTGCTTGCGACACCTGCCGAGGTACTGCACAGTGGAACAAGCTTGGGCCGCGCCACAGTGCTTCTTCAGCAGACTGACAGAAAACACGTCTTCTGACTACGCGCTTACTACGCGCTCTCCGCGGGTTCAATACTCATGCCACCTCGGCATCGGCGTCGCAAAACAATAAGCAATGAGAGGGCGTCGACGTCTTCTGCGATGACTGACGCTAGGTGGGCACTCTGTAATGCACAAATTTGTTCTTGACGTCGTTGCCCAATGGCGGGTATAAGAGCCGGAGGTGCGTGGGGTGACTCTCAAGCAGCAGGGCCCTCTACGATTCGCAACCTCACACCTGAACCCCTTCGACTGTCCACTCAAAGATGTCAGCTACAGCACTTCCGGAGTCTATCAAGGCGCTGCGGGTCCTTCCAGACCGCAAGGGCCTCGAGGTAACTACAATCTCCTGGGCCTCCCAGGAGAAGGTTAAAAACCTGGCGGACAACGAAATTATTGTACGTGCTGTCCTCTTTCTCCCGATTGTGCTCGGTTCACAAGCTCCTCAGCTCCGTGTTCATACCGTTGGGTTGAACCCCACTGACTGGAAGGTGCGTTTTGCCTGAGATTATTTTATGATATATTGCCTCACATTCCCTCAGCACGCTTGGGGGGACTGGGGCACGCCTGGTACGATTGAGGGCTGCGACGCCGCCGGGGACGTGGTCAAGGTCGGCGCCGCGGTTAAGCACCTGAAGGTCGGTGACCGCGCTGCTGGATTCGAGTGCGTTCTCTTTTTGCACGTATGCGCAACACATCAACTTACCGACTTACGCAGCTTCGGCGGCTCCTGGCAGACCGACAATGGCTCCTTCGCCGAGTACGTGCGCATGAACTCCGCCGTGGTCTTCAAAGTCCCGGACGGCATGACCTACGAGGAGGCGGCGTCCTTCCCTGTATGCACACCATCAACTCGTATCTTCGGACTGTCGTCCTGATTCGCACATAGATCCCCAACTTCACCGCCGCGCAAGCCCTCTACATCAGGCTCAACCTGCCCAAGCCGTTCACCAGTGACGCGCCCTTCAACGAGAAAATCCTCATCTGGGGCGGCTCCACCGCCGTCGGCCACCACGCCATCCAGCTCGCCAAGCTCTCCGGCCTCACCACCTTCGTCACCGCGTCCCCCGCTGTCTTCCCGGAGCTCAAGGCCCTCGGCGCGGATCAGCTCTTCGACTACAGGGACCCGGACGTGGTGGCAAAGATCGTCGAGGCTGCGGGATCGGACGGTATCATCTACGCCCTCGACACCGTTTCCGAGAACGGCACAACGGATGCGGTAGTGGACGCGATGTCGGTGACGCGCGGGGGCAGGGTCATTGCGTTGCTCCCGGCCGGCGAGGCGACGAAGAATCGGCGTCCGGACGTGAGGGTGGAGCTCACGCTGCTGTACACGGCGCTGGGGTACGAGTTGACCTTTGCGCACACGGTGCGGATGCCGGCGATGAAGGGAGATGAGGTGCAGCTTTTAGAGTGGGTCTCGATGTATCTGCCGAGGATGATAGAGGGGTGGAAGACGGGGGAGGGTGCGCCGACGTATAAGACGCAGCGCCGGTTGCGTAAGTTGCGGGGGCCCCTTGAAGGTGAGTATGAGGTGGCGTTATATGAGCTCTGTGGCTGATGAATTTCGACAGACATTTCGAAGGGTCTGAGGATTATGTCGGAGGGGAAGTACGGGCGCGAGAAGCTGGTGCATACCATTGTCTAACCAATAGCTGGCTGGCTGTAAAATATCAGTCCGGACAGCATGAGTGCAGTGCAAATGAGTAAGATGCGAAAGTTCGACTCATACCAGACAGTTTTGATGGTCAAGCTACCAGCGCTTGGGCAACTCGTCATGGTACCCATCTCATGCTATCAGTTGTCCGGGTTTTCCACACTCCGACAAGTCAAGATTCCAGGCAGCTCCGCATGCCATTGCACCAGGTTGTATACAACAAGCCCAGCTAAATAATAAAGATAGCAATAAATAAAGAAGTGGGTGATGCGTAAAGCACGTTAGAGCGTAGCGCAGCGTATCTGCTCGTCAACGCGGGACGGGAACAACATCCCCGGTCGTCAACTCCTTCGATGTCGAAGAGGCTGTGAGGATGGATGCAGCGAGGCGCTTAGAGCGCGCGGCTGTTCCAGTGGCGGCGGTGGCTCTTGAGGTTGAGCGACCGCTTGCGCGCCGCGGCGGTGATCTGGCCGTCCTTGCAGACCATGCCACCGGGGACGGCGCCCATCGAGATCCACGCGCCGGAGCCGCACTGGGACCAGGTGGACTCGCTGTCGCAGCGGACCTCGCCAGCGGTGCACGCGCCGTCGCCGCCGGCCGGAGCAGAGGTCTCGGCGGGGGGCGCGGCGGAGGTGGTGGCGGGAGGGGCAGACGAGGCCGGGGCGGAGGTCGAGGCCGGGGCAGAGGTCGAGGCAGGCGCGGAGGTGGCGGGGGCAGAGGTCGAGGCGGGGGCAGAGGCGGAGGTGGCAGGGGGCGAGCCGCCGGAGGAGGCACCGCAGTCGCCGACGGGGGCACCGAGCTTGCCCTCGACGCGCTCGACCTGCTCACCGGGGTTCGGGTACTCGACATCGACACCCTCGGGGACGGTGCAGGAGTTGACGGCGGAGAGCTGGGCGACGAACATGTCCGGGTACGAGCTGAGGCCAGCACCTCCGCCCTCGATGGTGACGATGGCGCTGGAAGACATCGTGAGCACGAGTCTTCGTGAATTGCACTGTAGGAGAGCTTACCAGTTCATGTAGAACTCGCGGTTGCCGGTGTTGTTGTTCCAGGTCCAGGCGAAGATGACGTCGCCGTCCTTGACGTCCTTGGGGATATCGACGTTGAGGGTGACACCCGCCGCGGACGGGCAGTTGCCCATGAAAGACTTGATGACCTTGAACGTCGAGCCGCCGTCCTCAGAGATGGACAGCTGGCAGGAGCCACCGTTGTGAATCGCGCTGCCCTCGAGACTGCAAAACCGCGTCAGTTCCCCTTCCCCAGATTGCTTGGGTAGATTCCCACTCACGTCACCTGCTGGCTCGAACCCGCCTGCCACTTGGCGACGGACTGCTTGCCATCGGCGTCCGAGAGGTAACCCTTGCACGGGAAGTTCGAACCAGTCTCCTCGAGCGGGCTCGTCATCGAGTAGTCGATGTTCGACCCCGCGTTCGGGTTGTGCTTCGAGCGCAGGGGCGCGGGCGAAGACATTTCGATGTGCGCGGACGCGATGCCAGCAAACGCGGCGAGAACGGCGAAGAAGGCGGCCTTCATGATGATGGACGGTGAGGGTGGTAGAGGCAGATAGATAAAGAATGTAAACAAATGAAGCGAATGAAAGGGGGAGCTCGAGGAGAGACCCGGTGTGGAAAGGAAGGCGGAACTGGGAGGTGAGCAGTGAGGGATGAAGGTGAGAAGAGATGGCTTTTATACGAGAGGGAAGACAGGCTCGGCATATGAGTGCGACCCGCACGCAAGAGGCATTTCCGCGTTTGAGTCGGCCACCTGCGAGGCGACGCGAGGTGGGGCGTTGCGGGCATCGTCGCGTCGACGTCGGGAGCACGGCAGGCGCAGCAGGAACGGCAGGCGGGAGGTGTGCGGGAAGGAAGCGGGAGGCTTGCGGGCGCGCATTGCGCCACATTCGGCCGTTTGTGTATGAAGGTTTGAGTGTGGACGGGATTTTCCGAAGGTGGCAACGGAAAAGGCAATTGATTGATGCTCCACTGAAGACTCCACAGCCGTATGTCGGACGCGGACATGCAGCGGGTGGACAGCGGGAGGGCTTGCGTGCAGCGGACCGGGACAGGCTGAAGCAACTTCCATCTTCGTCTCGAACGTCTTGACTTTGCACAGTGAACTTGGGGAGGTGTCTACAAACACAGCTGGTTGCAAAGGCTGGCATCATTGCCTCAAAAGACCACTACTTTCTTCTTCTTCACGGGCGCGGGGGCGAACGACTTGGTGATGCCGGAGACGACGCCGGTCTTCACGTCCGCCTGCTTCTTCTTTTTTGTATCGACCTTCTCTGCACGGTCGAGCTGCTTGTTCAGACGGCCCAAGGTGTGGAAGTCGTCCTCGTCAGCGCCAGGCGGTTCTGCGAAGCCTATGACGGCTGCCGGCCTCACGTCTGAAGGGGCGGTAAGTCGAGAGAAGTAACACGAGGTACGATCCCCACTAGGCGCTGCAAACGTACCAGGTTTCCGAAGCGCACAATCCTTCGCAAGGTGAGTGTTCTCCCCGCAGAGCTTACAGCACCCGCCATTCGGGTAAATCCCCTTGTCCTGATTCTGCTCGCATGCAGACGCAAGGTGTCCCTTGCTATTGCAGACGAAGCAGGTGGCAAAGGGGAGGGGGTTTTCGGGATCGTGGGGTTTCTTGCAGCGCTTCAGACTATGGCGCGTCGAGCCGCATCTACGCCGATCATAAGCTTTAGTGTCAGGATGAGTATGATGGAGGACGCACCGATAGCAGATCCCCACAGCGGGTTTGCTCCCCGCTTTCGGACAGAACTTGGCGGAGTGTCCCTTCTCGCGGCAGGCAAAGCAAGTCGTGTCGGCGTTGCGCTCAGCTATGCGTGCGAGTCGCCGCTGTTCCGATCGTTGAGCTTTCTCAGCTATAGCTATCAGAATGTCAGTAAAGGGCACACAGCGATCTGTCTGCTCAGAGCACCTTTATTTCTATAAGTCTTCTTCGCAGGGGGATCCGTCGCTTCGGGAGCAGCGTCATGCTTGCTCTTTTTCTTCTTCTTCGGTGGCTCTTCAACTGGTGCCGGAGGTTCATCCTGGTCTACAGCATCAGGGGCAGGATCGGTATTCACGTAGGCCCGCTTGATTCCAATGTTCGTTATTCTCGTCATGACAGTAAGAAGTAGAGAACAAATGGTATGATCGAGCACCTTTGTGTCGACGAGAATGGAAGGCTTTGTTCTAGCCGCGCGCCTTGGTTCCGTCCATCATGGCCTCTAACGATCCTCATCATGGACCGAGCAATAGCGCGGCGAGCTCGTCTGCGCCAGCGACAGCTGCTCCTTCCCAGATGCCATCGACATCGAAAGCCCATGCGGCGACGCGCGCAGTGCCAGTCAATCAGCCCACCGCGTCGGGCTCCATGGCTGCCCCGACAGCATATCTCCATAGCTACCCAGCTACGGGCGCGACAAGCACTGTCTTTCGCGCAACGCCCCCCACAACCACACAAACCTACCAACCCTCCACGTCTGCTGCCGGCACCCCCGCCCAAGCGCAGTCCTTCTACAACTACCCGGCGCAGAACTGGCAGCACTGGCAGCCCACCTTCTCCGCCTTCCCCAACTCGCAAACCTACTATCAGACCGCAGGCTACACTCCCGCCACACTAGCGAAGGCGGAGGGGAAGGCGCCCGCGCTTACTGCGCACCAAACCAAACCCACCGCTGCGGCTGCCGCTGCGCCTCCTCCGCGTCGGCCACCTACGCCTCCACCACCCGATCCTATTCTGCCGAAGCACTGGGACGAGGTGCTCGTGGACTTCTTCAAGGCTGTTGGCTTCACACAGGCGCGGAAGGGGTTCGAGATGGACGTGCTCGTGATGAACCCCGAGTGGGAGAAGAAGCGAGTGGCGGGCGCGCTGCAGCGATTGGTGCAAGGGCTTACAGTATGTGAGTCGGCGCCAGGATGGAGAACATACGTCTGACATCGAGTCCTGCTCCGTAGGTGGCGCATGATCCCACGAAAGACGACGCAGAATCAGTTGAGGATCGCAAGCTCGCCTACACACACAAGCCAAACTTGCAGCCGTCGACCTCAGTACGAATGCGCATCCTTGCCTTTCATCTCTGTATTCAACCTTTTCTCAGATCAATAAATCCATCTCCCAGTTCCTCGCGCAGAATCGCAGTCGGAACGACGCGTCCAACCGTGCCGAGTTCGTCGACAGCCTCAAGCGGAAGCGGCAGAAGACAGCCGACGGCGACGCGCCAGCAGACGGTACCGACACCGCGGACGCTCCCGACGAGGCATCAGCCTCCTGCGCGCGCACCGACGCACGGCACGTCGATCGCGACGCGCAGATGAAGTACGATATCGCGAAGAACGAGGACGGGCCGCTCAAGCGGACGATGAAGAAGGAGGCGGAGGGGCAGGGTCAAGCGGGCCCATCAGCGGCACCCACTGCAGCGCCTGGAAAGTCCTCCGGTGGCCCAGCCGACCTCAGCGAGCGCGTCACCGCCGTCGAGCAGCACCTATCCTTGCAATACGTGCCGACGCCGCCGAATTCGGTCGCGGCGAGGCTGAAGATGATCGAGGACCATATTGCGCATCTTGAGCGCGACTTTCCGCCGTGGGCCGCGCTGCACTTCAATCAGCCGAATCGTGGGGTGAGTGCAGTTGTCAGTCGGTCTCAACGCGGGTGAATGTTGACCTGTTCCTCCTCACAGTGGCCCCCACCCCCGCGTACCACGCCTGTCATTGTGCCCGTGCATCTGCGCTCCGTTGCTGCGCCGCCGCCAGTACCTCAAGCGAACGTCGATACGTCGAATCAGCCGACAAGTTCAAGAACGAGGACGAAGAGCTCGAGCGCGCAGGCGAAGAATTCGAGTTTGCAGCGGGCTGTATTGGAGAGGTTGGAGGTGCAGCAGGCGAGGAGGGATTTGGCCGGTGGAGGGGCGATGGGACTGGGTGGAGGGGGATGAGTATGGCTTGGAGATCAGAGTGACGAATCATGATATTTGCGGTTCTGACTGTCGGGACTAAAGTACTAAAGGGCTGAGGGTTCTCTCTGGTCACGGTACGACGTCAAAAATACAAGTCCAATGTATTCAGGCTGCTACTGGGCGGTAGGTGTTCGTTCACAAGATAGTATGCACAAGCTTCTCGCGCCCGTAATTCCCCTCCGACATGATCCTCAGGCCCTTCGAGATATCTGTCGCAAAATAGTCAGCTGCTGAGCCCGCACAATGTGAACACAACTCCAAACTCACCCTCAAGCGGGCCTTGCAGCTTGCGCAGACGCTGAGCCTTGAACCGCGGCGCGCCCTCCCCGGCCTTCCACCCCTCCAGCACCTTCGGCACATACTCCGACACCCACTCCAGCGTGCGCGCCTCATCCTCCTTCATCTCCGGCATCGTCACCGCGTGCGCGAACGTCAGCTCGTACCCAAGGGCCGTGTACACCAGCGTGAACTCCACCCGCACGTCCGCCCGGCGCTTCAGCGTCGCCTCGCTCACCGGCAGCGTCGTGATGATCGTCCCCCCGCGCGTCGCCGACATCGCGTCCACCGCCGCGTCGGTCGACGACTTCTCGGCGACCGCATCGACTGCGTAGATGATGCCCTCGGGGCCGGCGGCCTGAATTATCTTCCCCACCACGTCTGGGTCCCTGTAGTCGAAAAGGTGATCTGCGCCGAGCGCCTGCAGCTCGGCCCAGGCGGCGGGGGAGGCGGTGACGAAGGTGGTCAGGCCGGACAGCTTGGCGAGCTGGATGGCGTGGTGGCCAACGGCGGTGGAGCCGCCCCAGATGAGGACTTTCTCGTTGAAGGGCGTGCCACTGGTGAAGGGCTTAGGGAGGTTGAGCTTGATATAGAGGGCTTGGGCAGCGGTGAGGTGGGGAATCTGGACCGGTGGTTAGTACGAAGGCATATAGCCATAGGCGGAATGCATACCGGGAAGGATGCGGCCTCCTCGTAGGTCATGCCGTCCGGGATCTTGAAGACCACGGCGGAGTTCATGCGCACGTACTCGGCGAAGGAGCCGTTGTCGGTTTGCCAGGAGCCGCCGAAGCTGCAACGACATGTAAGTTGAAGCTAGGATAATCCGCAAGAGAAACGTACTCGAATCCAGCGGCGTGGTCGCCGACCTTCAGATGCTTGACAGCGGAGCCGACTCTAACCACTTCGCCGGCAGCATCGCAGCCGTCAATTGTGCCCGCCGTGCCCCACTCGCCCCAGGCGTGCTGATAGGATGCGAGTCAGTAATGACAATGTGAGTGCTAACCCAAGCGCACCTTCCAGTCAGTGGGGTTCAAACCAATGGTGTGAACGCGAAGCTGGAGATATTGTGAGCAGCGTCCGAAACGGAGAATAAGGCAGCGCCTACAATGATCTCGTTCTCCGCCAGGTTCTTGACCTTCTCTTGGGGGGCCCAGGGAATCGTAGCGACTTCGAGACCCTTGTGGTCCGGAAGGACGCGCAGGGCCTTGATAGTCTCGGGGAGTGCAGACGCCATTGCGGAGGTAGTGAGTATTCGATATGATGAGAGTTAAGGTTGCGAGTCGATGTGAGCTCTGTTGCTTGTCGAGTCCTGCTCAGCTGTCCAGTCTTTATACGCCCCCGCCATCGAGAGACGACGTCAACGAGCACCTTGGCGCATTACAGACCGCTCTCAAGGCGCCAGTCATCGAAGGCATCGACGCCCCGCGTCCTGTTGGCGGCTGCGATGCCGTGGCTGGAGCAAGGAGAGCGCGATGAGACCGTAGTAAGCGCCCAGTCAGAAGGTGTGTCTGCTATCAGTCTGCTGAGGAATAGACTCTATACGGCCCAAGCTTCTGCCGCCACCAGTCGTCAAGATGAGTGGAACCCTATGTGGGACATCGCAAAGCGTCGCATACTAGCTTATTCGCCTGAGTAGCGTGCAGCTCCCATGCTCCCCTGCGCGCCACCAAGCGTGTTCTTCAGAAGAACATGGGATGACTTCAGCTGTTGCTCATAAAGTGCTCAATTACCGAGGTAGAAGAGTAGATCGCATAGAAGCTTGCACTCTGGGAGAGCCATAAAGCGATGTATTCACCTAGGATGCATTCTAGCATTGCTAAGCGGACCAAGCGGCGTGCAGGCGCCGAGGTCGTGAGGGTAAAGGGAGAACAGTGGACTCTGTGTTTGGCCGAGCTTGGTTCGGGCTTCCGGATTCGGCAATAGCCGGATTATTTGCCTCCGACCGTGACGTCCATCGGGATAGCGTCACAGTCACTCAGTGACTCACGACTCTGGTTGAAGTGCACTCATCCTCGACCATCATCGTTAGCGACGCCGAGCCCTCGGTTCCTCGAGGTTTACACTCTGTCTCTTGGTCCTGCTTGGCTGCTGATGCATATATCCTACGCCCGCGCCTGAGCTGCAGTCCAGCAAGCGGTAGCGACGCTCCGGGTGCGATTGTCGTAGAGGGTCTACTTTTCGGCTCAAAATTCGATTTCTGCTGCATTATTGTCCAATAATTATGTTTTGGGAGAGCTGGGAAACAGTCTTCATGTCGCATGTCATGAACTGGACGTGTGACTCTAGCCCTTCTTTGACGCCCTCACTTCTCGATAATCACTAACAATCGATAACGACAGCGATTGGACCGGCCAATGGGTCGGCGCTTCCATCTTCTCTTTGACCACGGCGCTTTTCAGACTGGACGGCTGACGCGCTGATACATATTCGAGCCAGGGTTGGTCATCTCCTCTGCGTCTACGTCGACACTGCCTGTCTATCTCGCTATGAAGGAACCGCAGCACCAAGCTTTCCTCATCGCCAAAGTGAAGCCCCATGGCGGCGCTCCGGCCCATTATAGATGTGTGGGAGCGTACGAGCACGCGTGGTGCCATGGATCGCTTCCTGTCAAAGCCGCGCACCGCACGATCACCTTGCTGAAGCAGCAGCCCAACGCCCAGATAGTACGCGAGGAGCTTCGCAGTATCGACGGGAAGTACGGCGCATTCGGTGAAGAGGAGCCCAAGGCGCCGAGCCTACTGTACGCCTTTCATCAATCAAAGATGAGACGCAGTGCGACTGACCCCTGCGCCAGATGTTCGTATACTATCTATCTCCTTCATATGGCATTCAACGTCGACTTCGACAAGAACAGCCTCAGCCAGAGTGGCTGCTGGTTTTCGATGTCCATGGGGACCTTCGAAAACGTACTTGACGCGTCGACGAAAGTGTGGACGGAAGGTACGTTCTCGAGACACGGGCCTGGCTCTTGTCGCAGGCTGACTACGTCGTATGGCAGACACCATGAGCAACGAAGGCGTCACGATAATCGATATCACTGATCCCATGAATCCTCGGTATTGTTTCCTCCCAGGCTGCGGCTTAACGAATGACACTCTCGACATGGCGCCGCTGACAGCTCAGCAGTACCTCGACACTCTGTTCGATCCAGAGATACCCTTAATGTTCCTGACTGCAGAGCATTGTCGTGAGGTGGCCGCGTTGCTGACTGACGTTCCGCTTGTGAGCCAGCGAGCCATAGCAGAGGCCTGGCCTGCAGGGCCGGCAGACTGCTTTGAGTACGACGAAACTCTGGCGAAGGAAGTCGAGGCGGGCACCCGAGGCGACGGTATTGCGCTACTATCTAACGGCCAGCCTTTGAATACTGCCTCGGGCATGACCGTCGACCCATCCAACACGAATGCAGTCTCTACCAACCATGTCGACGCCATCGCCCAAACTCTGTCGGAGGGTGACAGCGATCTGGAGACCTTGCAGGCGATTCGCAGCATCCGAGGACCTTTCCTGGATGCTCTTCTCCCCATAATCGCTAGAATTCTTGCAGCGGCACCCGATACTGCCTTCGACCTCTCCGATATCCAGCTCACCGGCAGACAACTCCTTTCTGTCCTGCCCAAGGGTGAACCGCTCGCGGTGGTCGATCTATCTGGTAACGCCGCGTTCAAGCTGTGCGACCTGCGCGCCCTCGTCCGCAAGCAGCGCAAGTCCAAGCTACGCATCCATCGCCTTGTCCTCGTGCGGACTGGCGTCTCAAACAAGGATCTCATCGAGATGATGAACCAACCGACCGTGTTTTCCCAAATCGGCGAAATCATCCACCCGCTGTTCTACTCTTGGTTCACAGGTCCGAGCTATCCGTTCTCATGGGGTATCACCTTCTGCCGCGGCCTAGAGGTCCTCAGGAGCGACACACGTGAGATGTCGACCGTGCCACTGATGTCGCTGCCCCAACTCGTGCAGAGCGTGCACTTGCTCGTCGGCGCCGTGCACGACGGGAAGCTCGACTTCGGGGTGGGCCATGCCGCGCTCGACGCGCTTACCACCGCCAGTGCGGTCCCCAAAGGCAAGGCCTGGGGCGAGCGCCCATGAACGCGACGATTGCCGTCCGCCGGTGCTGGCAGTTCGCGATAATGCAGCCGTATCGCGTTCCAATCATGCACTACGGCTTCATGCTCTACACTCCGGAAAGACCGGGAATTACGCTAAACGTCGAGCATTGCGCCAGAATCACGTTCATGACCGTCGACGACTTCTTGCGACAGGTGAAGCAGGACGGGTACCCTCCGCTATCCGCAGAGGACGACGCGGTCCTTCGAGCTGCCTGCGAGAAGCTAGAGAGCTGTGGGGCGAGGCTGTTCCCGAACGGCGCCGTCAACCCAGATGGCACTCGGGCCACAGAAGATACTAGCCCTACGAACGAAGATGTGGGGCAAATGCCGAAGGTAGATACCGCGACCGCTGTGGAAGAGTGTCGTCATGCGCGGTCAATGGAGGGCAGTACTGTACTCACTGCTGTTCATATGGTTCCACGGCCTATGCTGCCGAATGCCACATTGAGATCGTTTCTCGCTCTCACGTAGTATATTTTACTCTCATCTATATGTACCTACAGCTCTCGTAACCTCACTGACATTCGGCTAACCCAAAACCAGTGGCAATCCTTCAGCTAGACTTATAGTCCCATCCGCCTCATCCAAATTTCGTCTCTCTCTTTCGTCCTCCCGTTTTCTGGCGCTTGATGATACTGGCATTACCAAAGGAAAAATAAATCACAGGCAGCATAAACATGTCCAGCCGAAATGCGTTGAGTTTGCGTAAGCTGTGGCCAAGGATCACTCAGCCAACCCAGCAGGGTGCAGCTGCCAAGCTCCTGAGAAAAAAGGAAAAAGACGAACTTGATGTGCGTGCTCGAGCTTCAAGTTGTTGCGAGCTTCGGCAATCACCGAACTACTTGGCTTTCAAGTTCCGACAGCCATCTTCACTTCCGCTCGCATCATTAAGGCCCTAGATCATCCAAGACCCTGTGCACTAGGGAATTCTATACTCGTATTCTCTGCTCGACTGAAATCGTGAAGGATAGCAGGCGGGTTACGAGCGTTCGCACGACGCCTCCATTGTTCTCAGACCCCGGTCCGCAACCATCACCGATCTACCTGATATGGTCCGAAGAAGGCGACGCTTAAGCGCTTCACTCTTGACCTCACGCATCGGCTGCCATGGGTCAGTGGCATCAGGCCCTCATCATCGCGAAGGTCAAGCCGCACGACGGAGAGAAACCTCGCTACAGGTGTCTCGGTTCCATCTACCACTCTTGGTGCTATGGCTCGCTCCCAGTCAAAGGCGCTCACCGGTTCATCACCCTGATCAAGCAGGAGCTGAACGCGCGGATTGTGCAGGAGGAGCTGGATGCCGTGCAGGGCAAGTATGGCGCATATGCGAAGGAGGAGCCGAAGGTTCCTGATGTACCGTGCGTAATTCTGATCTGACATTACAACGAAATGACCTTTCTGACCACTACCTGTACCGATCGTAGATGCCCGTACACGACGTCCTTACTGAACATGGCCTTCAACGCCGACCACGACGAGAACAGCCTCAGCTTGAGCGGCCGCTGGTTCTCGAGTGGTTCATACAGGAATGTCTGCTCTGCATCCATGGGTTGCTGGTCTATGCGTATGTTTACCGTCATCTCCGCAAAATATAGAAGTCTGACAGAGATATACAGATAACGACGACGGCCTCACCATCATTGACATCACTCATCCGCTCAGTGCGAGGTACTGCTTTCTGCGCGGGCGCGAGACACAGATCAAGTGCTCGAGGATGAAGCCGCTCAATGCCAGAGAGTACCTTACTGCGTACTACAGAGACGAGGACAAGACGAGCGGGAGGTGGAAGAGCTACGAGCAGCTGATCGCGCTCATGGACGGTTTTCCGCTCATCAGTGGGGCCGCTCTTGGGCAAGCATGGCCCAGAGAGTATCGCGAGCAGCGTCTCCGTACAAACCATGATGACGAGCTTGACGCTGCCAGGGCTAGGCGCGCCAAGGCAAGAGTGACGACTGATCTGGCGGTAGGAGAAGTCAACTCGGAGCCGTGCAACGACGCTCTCGAGGTCCCTTCTCTCGCCTCTCTTATTCTGGGGCCATCAATCAAGCAGGCCCTAGAGACAGGCGATGCGGCGAGCGCTGTTCCGATTCTCCAGCACGCAGAGAATATCCCGAAAATGATGGAGGCGATACGCAGCGTCGAGGGTCCGTTTCCGGATGTTTCCGTCCCCGTATTGGCGACGACCATCGAGCTTGCCCCCGGTGGAGTAGTTGATCTCTCCGGCGTTCAACTCACAGGGGAACAGCTTCTGCGCGTCTTACCCACTAACAAACCTCTGGAGACGCTCGATGTATCTGGCAACACGGCCCTCGACGGCGACGGCCTCCGCATCATCCTCGAGGCGAAGATTCGGATCCGCCGCCTCATCGCTATCCGCACCAGCGTATCCGACGATTCAGTGGTTTCCATGCTTAACACCCCCGTCTTATTCGCCTACATCGACGAGTTCATCCACCCCCTTCTCTACTCCTGGCGAAACGGGCCTGAATACTCTTGCGCATTCTCCATCTTTGACCCCTCCATCGACCACAGAATCGACGGAGTATCGGGGCACATTTCCGTCGCCATATTCTCCGTTAGCCAGATCGCGCAGAACCTCCGGGTGCTTGTTGATAGCGCGCTCTCAGAGGACAGTCGCTTCTGCTCCAAGGGAGAGGCGCTGCTCGAGGCGGGTCTCACCGCCGGTGTCATCCCGCGAGGAAAGGCGTGGGGAGAGCGTCCGGTGTGGTGCACGGCCGCGCACGAGGACCCACCGACGCCTCGGACCGGAAGCTGGGAATTCTACTTCAAACCCGGGCATGGTCCTTGTTATCCCACAATCTATGGCTTTTGCCACTATGACGGCCCGTCTGACGAGGGGAAGGTCCCGCCGGCCGTGGCATATTCCTTGGACGACTTTCTAAAGCGGCTCGAGGAGGATGGGTATCCTGCTCCCTCGCCGGAGGACGTGGCATCCTTGCGGGAAACGTATAAGAAACTAGAAGACTCAGGTGCATTACATGTATCTACTTGATAGCCCGTCGAAACGACAATTGTAACATCGTAATTAACGTTGATTGTTGTGGGTCCCTCGCTGATAGACCACGTGGGGAAGCAGAGCGTCACGGTTACTCCCACTCGAGTCACATCTGAACTTGTTCTCGACCGTCGACAAGAGACACCATGACTCAAATCAGTGCTCCCTGTACAACTTCGACGCCTTCTTTGCCGCTTCCATCTCACCGTATCAATCGATGGCGCAGCTTAGCGACCTGAATACTGGCAAGATCTGGGCTTCTATTGTTCTTTTACCCCGACCGGGCCGCCGATCAATCTGTGTGTATAAAAGGGCACTGGACACCCTGGACTGGTTATCTTCTTCTCTTCGACTGCTCCAATCCGGTGAATCCACTCGTCATGAAGGAACAGCAACACCAAGCTTTCCTCATTGCCGAAGTCAAGCCGAATGGCGACGGTCCAGCCCGTTATAGGTGCCTCGGAGCGTATAAGCACGCTTGGTGCTATAGCTCTGCCCCTGTCAAGGCTGCCCACCGATTTATCACCCTGCTAAAGCAACAGCCCAACGCTCAAATCGTGCGCGAGGAGCTTCGAAGCGTTGAGGGCAAGTACGGCGCGTTTGGCGAGGAAGAGCCCAAGGTGCCGCGGCTACCGTGCGTAATCCACTACTTTGTGGCGATCCGGGGTCTGACACGAGTCGCCGCCTACAGGTGCTCGTATGCGATGTTCCTGCTACACATGGCGTTCAACGTCGACTACGACGAGAACAGCCCCAGCCTGAGTGGTTGCTGGTTCTCGGCGACTTTGGGCACCTTCCACAATGTTCTACACGCGGGAGCGAAGGTCTGGAAGAAAGGCATGTCTTCTGGAAGACTGAGGCTTCTGTAAGGCTGACCACCTTGAACAATAGATACCATGAGCAATGAAGGAGTGACCGTCATCGATATTACCGATCCCACGCATCCGGGTTATTGTTTTCTTCCAGGCTGTGACTCGCTCGACGACGAACTCGATATGACGCCTTTAACCGCAAAAGCGTACCTCGACACCCTTTTCAATTCGGACAAGCCCCCGCTGTTCCTAACCGCAGAGCATTGTCGGGAGGTGTCTGCGTTGCTGGCTGATGTCTCGCTTGTGAGCCAGCGAGCCATAGTGGAGGCTTGGCCTGCAGGGCCAGAGGACTGTTTCAAGTATGATGAAGGCCTCGCGAAGGGGGTCGAGGATGGCACTCCAGGCGATAGTAGTGCCCCATCTAATGTCCTACCTTCTGTTACCACCTGTGGCGTCGCTGAGGCCGTCGATTCGTCCATCACGCAAGCTATCACAACCAACGACGTCAATGCCATCGCCCAGATTCTGTCGCAAGGTGATAGATATCAGGATGCTATGCAGGCGGTTCGCAGCATCGGAGGACCCTTCCCGGATGATACCATACCCATAATCGCCTATATTCTTGCGTCAGCACCCGATACTACCTTCGACCTCTCCGATATCCAGCTCACTGGCGAGCAACTCCTCGCCGTCCTGCCCAAGGACGAGCCACTGCAGGTTGTAGATCTTTCCGGGAACGCTGCCTTCACGCTCACCGGCCTGCGCGCGGTCATTGACGCGCAGCGTAAGTCCAAACTTCGCATCCATCGGCTCATCCTGATACGGACTGGCGTCTCGGACCAGGACCTCATCGAGCTGATGAACGACCCGGCTCTGTTCTCCCACATCGACGAGATCATCCATCCGCTCTTCTACTCTTGGCGCACAGGCCCGCGCTATCCATTCTCGTGGGGAATTGCCTTCAATCGGGGCTCATACGTCCCGAAGCACGACACGAAAGAGGCATATGCATCGTACGTCGCCCTGATGTCGCTGCCCCAGGTCGTGCAGAGCGTGCGCCTGCTCGTCGATGCTGTCGTCAGCAAGAAGTTCCCATTGGACGTGCGGGATGTCGCGCTCGACGCCCTCACAACCGCGGGCGTCGTTCCCAAGGGCAAGGCGTGGGGAGAGCGCTCTGTCTGGTGCGCCCCCGTGCCTCAGGATGCGCCGATGGCCATTCCATGCTGCTGGCAGTTCGCAATAGCGCAACTTCAGGGTCATGATAAGCCAATGGAATACGGCTTCATACTGATCGAGCCAACCAAACCTGGATTTGTGCCATATGTCACGGTCGGAAAGCCGAAGACCCAGAAAACCCATTTCATGCCTGTGGACGACTTCTTGAAGCGGGTGAAGGACCAGTATCCTCCGCTGTCGCCAGAGGACAGTGCGACACTTCGAGCGGCGTGCGAGAAGCTGGATAGTTTAGGCGCCACCCAGTTCAAGAGATGTTTCCTCAAGCCAGACCCGGAGGATATCCCCAAACCCGCTCCTTCGACTCACCAGGGCGATTCGTCGGCTGGGCCCAGCTCGAAGCGTGGCGGTCAGAATCGACGGTTCCGATAGTAGATACTTTTGTTCATTAGATGCTCTTACAACACGCAACGTGTAAGAAATGAAGCCGTCAATAGTGTCACCATGAAGGTGCGATTGGAATGACAGCAAGCGTACAGGGAAGAGGATTGGTGCTATACAACATCGGAAGAGCGATGCCAGGTCCCGGCGTAAATGCATATAGAAAATCAAGCCCAGCCCACTTGAAGACTGACGAACAGCCGAAACCCTACGCTGTGGCGCATTCGTTCTCCCCGTTTACAAGCAGCGGAACAAGGTATAAACAAGAAGTACATGTACACGCTGAGATGGAGTGTTTGGAAGGGCAAGGACGTCACTACTCTCTCGGCTTCGACTCGCTCTTTGCTGCTAGTAACCTCTCCATGATTTTGTCGTGCAACGCCCGACATATCTGACGCACGTCGTCCACGCCGCAGACGATGCCCTTGTCCACCATTACCAGCGAGCCCGCCTTCTTCGCGTCCGCCGCCGAGATCTCGCTGACCACCTGGTCGATCATCTCGCACAATTGTGGAATGCGGACCAAGCCGATCTCTGCTTCGGTCGCAGGTGCTGACGATGGGAGCTCGGACTCGAAGAGCGAAACGGCACCGTCGAGGATCGCGACTCGACGCCCGCTCATCAATCGGAAGTCGAGAGCGTGTCTGTTGCATAAAGGTTAGTGGATAATTATATAAGAAGCACGGAAAACAATGTACCTGAGGTCACCGTACAGCAAACGGTACCATCCCGCGGCCTTGGCGAACGTGTCTACACTAGCGGCCATACCGCCCTTCTGCTCGCTTTGCCACATGATCTCCTCCAGCTCCTGGACAATCGGCAACGTATCGCGCAGAAGCGTGACGAGCCGTACGAGCGACGGAGCCAACTTGCCGTGTCCTCGCTGCAATATGTTGCGCATGAAGGGCTCCGCGTCGGCATGCGGGTTGAACCTGTCGTCGTCCATCGCCGAGTCGGTCTTCTCGCGCGAGAAGCGGAGATAGAAGGTTCCACCAGCGAGAGTTAGTTGGTCTTGATAGTATATCGAGACCGTGTAGTCCTGGAAAGCAGGGTTAAACGTGATTATTAGGTGCATTGGGCGAACACTCACTGATGCATACGCGAACTCGACCGTTTGCAGATCGAACGACAATAACCGGACATCTGGCCAGTTCTTCTCCTTCGACATGCCCGCGACTGCAAATCGGACGCCTCATCAGCCTGACGCACACCACCATCACCACGAAGCCTACACTCACCCTCCCTCGCAATGACCACCATCTTCGACACCCTCGCCCACTCCTCCAAGAACTCATCCACACACTTGCTCACATCCTCCGAAAGGAACGACACCACCGCGTGCGTCGTATCATATATAATTCGCTTCGACGGCCTGATCACCGCGCTCGTCCCGCCCGCCCGCCGCCCCAGCGGCTGCTGCACGTACTTCAGCTTCACGCACGTCACCACACGCGGTGCGCGGGTGTCGGACCACCAGTTGAGCGGGATGACCCGAATGTTGGGCATGGCGGCCTCGGCGGCGGGCGCGCCGGAGAGGATGTGTTGCGATTCGACGCAGAGGGCGGGGATGGAGCGGGCGAGGATGGATTGGGTGGCGGTGAGGGCGGGAGGGTGGGTATCGCTGGCGACGGTGACATGCTTGAATTGGATGTGGCGCTCCTTGAACTGTTTCTCGACGGTCATGTAGGTGATGCGGGCGCTGAGATGATGATTAGCTCAGCAGAGGCCTATGTCTATCCACGATGAACCTACCTGCAGTAATTGTACAATGCCTTCAAGCATCGGATGTTGATGTTGAAGCTGCAGGGAGGTGAGTGACAGATCATCAATCAGACTCAGAACGGCGCACCCTCCGACGCCCGTCATCTGCAAGTTCTCGCCAGCGCATATCCGGTTCACGTCCAACCACGCAACGTCGATGATGTTCATGCCATAGAACAGTGAATCCGGCTTATCCTCCGTCGTAATAAGCGCGTAGTCAAAGTCATTATGCCGCATGACCAGCACAAGGTAGTGATGCGGCACGTTCCCCAACGGAATGAATAGCCCTCCGTGCCAATTGGGTCCCAGCTTGTTGAGCTCTGCGAGGGAAATGAGCACACGACGCGACCACTGCAGGTATAGACAACGCACCCCCCTTCTCGAAATTCCGATTCCGATACACCTGCAGGCCCAGATAGTTTGCCTTCTGCTCCGTGATCTCCATGATCGTCTGCCCAAAGTCGTCAGCATCACATCTTCACCTGAACCCACTCTTCCCTCCCCCATTCCCCCAAACCCTCAATCGAACACTCACCATCAACCTCAACTTCATCAGCGCCGTGAACAGCATCACCGGATCCGCGTTCACCCTCTCCGTAATTACCAAGAACCTGAGCCCACGGTTCGGCCCTGCGAAGCACAGGCCCTTGTCGGGCGCGGCGAGGTCGCCCGTGTCGCGGATGGTGATCTGACCCGTGCGCGGGTCGATGGAGATGACGGCAACCTCTTCGGCGCAGAGGCACACGCGGAGCGCGAGCACGGTGTCGGGGTCCTTGGGGGCGAGGGCGGAGGGATGGGAGGGGCCGAAGGGGTGAGAGTGGGTGGCGGAGTCGAAGTGAGTGATGGTGGTCGGATGGGCGGGGGTAGTAGTGCCATGGTCGTGGGATAAGGACGCCCCTCCGGGTGATTCCTCGACGAGCGTCACCATGCCTGGCGCGCCGAAGATATCCGCGGCGGGGCCTTTCTGCAATTGCTCTTGCAACGCAGACAGGATCGCGTACGTATGTCGCGATATGCACTTTCGCAACAGCCGCTCGATGTCAAGATCTTGAGGATCCTGACGCGCGTGTCAGTAAGGTGGTATGGGCGACGGCCGGGCTCCTCTGTGTCTTGCTGAGAAAAGCCCACTCACCACCACCAACTCCCCCTCCCTCATCGTCACATACTCCCGCGGCAAACTGACGCCCAACGCATCCTGTTCCGGCTCCCATCTCGCCTCCAACGCCAACGTCTCCACCTCCTCCGACGGCCGAAGATCGCCCAGCTTCGACTTCCGCTGGATTTCCGCGAGTTTCCTCGCTTTGGGTGATCGGAAAGGCTCGCCCTTCGGTGTTCGCCGGTCGATGATGGAGATGTGGAGAGTGCCAGCGGAGGGGGGGACGAGGTTGCGAGGGTGACGTGGCCGTCTGGACGGAAGTCGATGTTAGGAACGGCGATAAGGGCAAGGATGAGTGGTAGAGACGTACAACCAATACCGCACAGACAGCGTCTTCCTATCAGGACTCATCCTACAAGACATATACTGCTGCCACCCCAGATACTGTAGTCGTTGTGCCTGGAAGAGCAATATCTCGAGTTGATATGATAGGGACATGATCTCTACGAACACATCCAACGGTTAACTTATGTATATACATCGTACGAGGAACATTGAACTCACGTATGAAGTTATACAACCGCACTAAAGGCGCGTCCGCTGTTCCCTCCTCCAAAACGTTTGGATTCGGCGGGACGCCTGATGCAATTTGCTCCTCGGATATTTTTGTGTAGAGCCCAAGGAGCCGATCGCCTTCGAGTGTGAGATGAGCTTTGGTGATGCCTGTTGGTATTCGAGGGATCTCTGAAAGTGATGGGGTCTTCAGCCAGGAGAGGATGCGATAACAGGAGACTCACCCTGCACCTCTGTCGCGTCCCCGCCGATCCCAATCAGAAATTCGAAGTGAGTCGTGAACCAGCCATCATCCTTCTGCGCGCCAACCAGGCAAACACCAACTTCAAAGAGGTTGGGTACGGTAAAGTAGACCCGACCGCCGGCTAGCAGGGGTCAGTGGCGCAGGAATGAAATTTCTGGCACGCCGCACCTATTCGATACTGCATCATCTCAATGGGGATGTATTCAGTGGTGCGTAACCGATAGCGCATGACCTGTTCAACCTCGCGAAAGGTGGAGACAACATCGGGGTTGGTGAGGGGTTTGACAGGGATGACGGATTTCTGAAGAACGTATGAGATGCAGGAATCATGACAAAGGGGGGAGGGGGGATGACCTTGATGATAGTGGGTAGGCGCTGGTAGGTGCCTGTGGTGAGGACATCGAGGGAGGTGAGGAGGTCATGGTTCCCGAGGCGTTCAGGATTAAGCTCGTCGTGAATCTGGTGCAGTCGTCCGATCGCAGAATCAATTTCGTACTTCTGGTTCATCAAGAACCCTACGAGATTCTGCTCATATTGTCAATAACCGCGCCCGCCACACAAGGCCTGACCACGCACCAGGCATTTCTGCACCGTCTCCGCGTCGCGTGCCCACTTCGCGATCGCGTACAGCTTAACGACCTGCTTCTTCGTTGCGACGACAAAGTCCGCGAGGGTGCGCTTGCGCGCGACGTCGGACATGCCGGGGAGTCTGGTGCGCGCGGTTGAGCATCTTCACACGGGCCGAAAACAAGGACACGGCGACTGACGTCTCTGCCACCTCCTGCAGCTCCGCGTAGATCTGCTGTGCCACTCGCGAGACGATCATGCCGAAGGGGACCTGTCCCTCGTTGACGTCGGGGAGCATGCGCTCGAGGTCCTCTACGGCCGGTTCTTGATGGTGGTATCCGTTCTCCTTCCCGTTCACAGTCAGAGGCCGGGCAATGTCTGCGACTGCCATACTGCCGTTGACGTTCATCGGCTGGTGGTGGTGGCGACCGACATCGGTAGCGGCGCAGGGCGCCCGGTCCCCGCGTCTCAAACTCGGATAATTCCGAGGTGTGCACATGACGAAGTTCAACTTTTCGAGACCTTGCTCTGCGCAGTTACCGTCTTTGTTTGGGCTGCGAACAGGCGGTGGGTGGGCTGCGGGTGGTAGCTACTAGTCAAAGTGCAATGACGATCGAGGGATCCGCATGCTCTCCCCGCCAAAGCTCGAGCGCGTCTGGTCTGAAAATGGCAGGCAGGGTGGGGCACGTGATGCGTGTGACTGCGGCGGGTCACGGTTCGAGTTGGCGGAGGCAGCGGTCGTGTGTGCGTGTCGTGGGCGTGCGTCTGGCTTGGGAACCCAAATCGTCGTGAGTATGGGTGAGGGCGATGCCTCTCGCCGACTCTGAGGGCAAAGTGGGATTGGCGGGTGTGGCGCGTTCGGTGATGTGTTACTCAAGTTGATCTAGATAGTCTAATTTCTAGTGAATACATCGAACCCGGTCCTCTAATCCTTTGTGGGCGGGCGGCGCGTGCGGCGATTTGAATGTAGGGGGTGTGGGTGGCCTCCGACCCGGCTGTGAACTCACCCAAGCCTCAATAAATTCGGGACAGCACAGACAGCCCTCGCCCAGTTCTCAACCTCGTCCAGCGGCAAAGGCCGTGGGTGGAGCCCGCAGCAGCGAGGCCACCTTTTATTACGTTCTCCAACATCTTGGGGTTTCAGGTTCTGCTCAGACTCGGGCTTGGGGTACACTTTCAATTCAGGCAGCAGAGAAGGTTTGAAAACAGTCTATTCAGACGGCTACTACAGATGCAGGGTATATACAAGCCAAGGCAAACTCGTGCTAAGGAGAATTTGACACTCGAACAAGCTCCTCGAGCTAGATTGAGAGGGGGAGCGAGCTAGAGTGGGTACATCAAGAGGGAGCGAGGAGTGAAGGGGGAGACAAGACGAGACAGACCTGATCCAGCCGTGAGTGAGCGGGAAGTGCGAGGTGCTCACCGAAGAGACCCCGACCTTGAAGTCGGGCTTGGAGACGGGTGCGCGCGAAGCTGCAGGTCGAGCGCGCTGTCAAGAGTCGGAGTCGTGTCGAAGACGTGCCCGCGAGTCGGAATCGTAACCGCCGTCGATGACCAAAGCCGTGGAGCTCGAAGCCGTACCCGTCGTCGTAGGGGGTGGTCGGCGGAAGCCCGAATCCGAAGAGAAACCGAGGTCGTCGTCGTCGTAAGGTGTGGGGAGGGTGTAGGGCGCGAGATCCTCGTCCTGAGCTCGAACTCGTCAGCCGTCGTAGTCGCGCTTTGTTGAAAGCAAGACTGCCCGCTTGGGAGTGGTCGGCGGAAGGCGAAATCCGAGGAGAAAATGTGTGGGCGTGAATTGCTGTCCGACGGCGGGTACGTAGAGCGCGAGTCGGGTGTCGCTCGCGGGTCCTCAATGTTGTATGGGCGCTCGCTAGCAAAAGCTGAACTGGTTAGCGTGTTGGTTACCTTACGGCTGCTCGGCGGAAGCCCAGATCCGGGGAAAAGTCGGATTCGCCGTCCTAAGGCTTGAAGTCGGGCTTGGGGAGGTCGTGGGGTGTTGGCGGAGGCGTATAGGGTAGGTCGAAGTCGGTGCTGCTTCTTCAACGCGTGCTGAAGTCGGCGGTCGAAACCGATTTTCGACCTTCGAAGTTGGAGTCGCAGGCGAAAGCAGTCGACGCGAGGCCTTGTCGAGGCTTCGGGTATGCTGTCGTTGGTGTGGTCGGCGGACGCCCGAATCCGGGGAGAAAAAATGAAGAAGCAAGAAAAAAGATGTGAGAGACGAGAAATGCGCCGCCAATGCTACCGCACCCCGACCTCGGTTTCCCGGGCTCGGGAATCGCGAGGGGCAGGGGCGCGGCAGCAGGCGACGCGGGCGTCGTGGTGGTGGGAAGCAAGCGCCACGCCGAGCGACTCGGGGATATCACTCGCGTGGCATCATCACATTCCCACCATGGCTTCCCCTTCCCCCTCATCTCCCCTCGTCCATCGTCCGCCACGAAACGCTCGGATGAGCCAGGTAACACGCCCCCCATACTCGGCGACGCCGAACATACCCTATCCTGAACTTTCCCCGTGGGAAACCGCCAAAATCTGCGCTTTCTGCGTCTCTGCTTCATCCCCTCGCTTCCCCCGCCGCCTCCACGAACGCCAACGCCAGGACAGCAGTTCCCCATCCTCAAACTCACTCTAGGCGACCTCCAAGACTACCCCTAACCGCAATCTACCCGCTATAATCCCTTACCTACGCGCATATACTCTCCTCCCCTCTGTTCCGCCTCTCCCGCTCGCTCCAATCTTCCAGCTCTTCGCGAGCTCATTCTCGCCCCAGAAACGCCCTCAAACAGGGGCTGTGGAGCCCCACGTGGCTGATGGGCGGGCTGCGCACCCGGACGGCCAATGGCAGCCTCGATATTCTCCCGTTTTTACGGCTTTTACGCCGCGCCCCGTTTCTAAGCGTGGGGCTTCGGAAACGAATATAAGCAAGGTGAGTTTTCACTATAGAGCATCACTACTCACCCTTCTCTTCCCCTATGCACTCCACTCTCCAGTCCTCCCCTCCTCCGCTCTTCTATCCCTTTCCTTTCTTTTGCTTCTTCCTTACCCCCTTCATTCCTTCCACTACCTCTCTGCTAATCGACTTCTACTCGCTAGTATGCCTTCCCCCTACCTTCCCCAGTCCTATCCTGACCTACTCGAGGTCTGATCCAGGTGCGCACTCGCATTTGCGGCGTGTTTGCTGTCCATCTACTGACCCCACTTTCCAGCGCTTTTTGTACTGATTGCAATACCCTCAAAGACGAGGTAAGCGCGATTTTCGGCGGGTATCTACCACTACTGACCTCCTCCTACAGATTCTCGCCATTTTTGCCTGTCCCACCGACAGTCTCGCTTGTCGAGAGCGAGTGCCGCCTTGACCGTCCTACTAAAAGGTGAGTTGTTCAGTTCCTTCAACTTCATTTCGCTGATTTTCAGCTTCTGCACCGCGCGCTCGGCTCAATCAAGCGCCTCACTGATCAGCATCAGTGTTCTCGTACTCGCCGCATTCACTCAGGTACGCGGGGCTTCATTTCGATCGAATTCCCTCGTCTCACGAATTCCCAGATTCACTGATTTTCAGTCCCCCTGCCTCCTACCCTCACGCCAACACGACTACTGACCTCGGTAAGCGTCGCAGTGCTCGTTTATCTACGATACTGATCTATTCTCGCAGTCTCAAACTCACGACGGCTTGATTTAGCGACCCCCGACTGACATTCCAGTCCGTCTCGACATTGTACACAAGGTCAGTACCTGCGATTTTCGTACTTCCTACCCCACCACTGACCTCTGTACCTAGCCTAACCGACCCCCACGTTCCTCGACGAGCACGGGACGCATCGCCGAACGCGGCAACGACGTCGGCGCGGCTTCGTCGTGCCGCGTGCTCCGACGAGCGCTGATCTCGCCGCGACGCGTGCCCCCGCCACGCGACGTCGGGGCCGACTCCCACGCGTACACGGACGATTCCGCCTCCACGAGAGAGCTCGGCGACTGCCGTCGCGGCTGGCGAGCGCGTCGACGAGAACGGCGAGCACAAAGTTTCCGACGACGGGGAATCTGGCTGACCCTGCTTGTAGGATCGTACCACGCGATTGCTGCGACGCGTAGGGCAGTGCCAGACAACGTCGAGACTGGCGCCGACGCATGCGCCGCGCAGCGGCGCTTTGACCGGGCGGGGAATGGGCGAAACTCGGTGAGTAGTCGACATTGCCATGCGACGATCGGTACTCATTTTTTCATAGCCATCATGTCCACCTCGCCGAGACACCCCGCTCGCTGCTCGAGACGCCGAGCACGATCCCTTCACGCACTTACGACGACGCTGACGTGCCGCTTGACGGCACATCGAAGCCGGTGGGGGAAATCCTTGTCAAAATGGTGAGTACGCGCCTGAATTCACGAGTAATCGCTGCTGACTCGCTGCCCGCAGTGTCCAGCGTCCCTCCCACGTCGCCGAGAGCTTGTCCCGCGACCAGGCAGACGACGAACGGCGGCATTCACGGACGTCGACATCGACCTCGACGATGCCAAAACCAAGCTCAGATCGCCCCTGACGATATCTCGACGCGCGCGGCACTCGCCGCGTAGATATGTGAGTACTGACTGCTTCTCCGTGTCGCCTGCGAACTGACCACGATGACCAGACTCGCTGCTGCTCCCTCACGGTGGCGGCACAGCACGGTTTCTCGGGACGAAGTCGACATTCCCCCCGTCCCCATGCCGTTCGCCGGCATGTTGCCAGGCCCATGCGACGTTTCCCCTCGCATCCAGGTAGGGGGAGACCATCGTCAATCGCGGCGAGGTTATCCTTTGACCCTAATCCTCGATTTTCAGCTCATTTAAGCGAAGCGGGTCCGACTTGAGCACTGGTTGGCAAGGGCTTGCTTTCCTCATAATCCAGCGATATAGCGCTAATCAATCGCCTATCTAGCTACTTCAGCGACGCCTCGAAGACGCACGGGCAGCGCTTCGTGCTGCCCTGCAACCCACTCGATTTCGGCAAGTCTCAAAACTTTTCATTCCACTTGACCTTCATTGACCACTTTGCAGTCGATTCTATCGTGCACCCACCCTTCCATGCGTCGCCGAGGCATGTTCTTGCGCTTGCGCCTCGTCCTCGGGTGCGGGGGAAGCGTTGGCCTCCCTTGGGAAGGTGGGAAATCGATGTTAAGGTAAGTTTTTCACCAAGAACTCGATGTAACAAGTCGCTCACCTCGGTCTGTAGCTTGTCCATGACGCGGATGCCGTCTCAAGCCATTACCTTCGTCGTTGGGGAGCTTCGACGGCTGCAAGAACGCGGACATGGGCGCTTTGAGCGCGTTTTTGAGGCAACTCGTAGCTTTTGAGGTAAGTTTGCTAATTTTCCCCTTCTATCGATGCTGACTTTGTATCTCTCGGTGATCTAGGGGTCTATCATGAGTATTGGACGCTGTACGACCACTTCGCTAGGCGCTGGGACGCGCTGGCGCTTTTCTGAAGGCAAGTGGAACAGGTGTTTGGGGTTTTCTCATCGCTTTCCCCCAGCTTCTAGAGCTTGCTTATGGGACGCTATTGCGTCCATGGGCACTAACGAAGGTTGCTGACGGTGGGCGCATCTGTTTTGAAGCGAGGGGCTCGCTCAGAAGCGCCCACTAACGAAGTTTGCTCATGAAAGCGTCATTCTGCGCTCATGAGCAAATTCCGACGCCCCCGAGGTGAGTATCCGCTTGATTCTGCGATGTACGACGTACTAACGACTTGACAGTACTAATTCTACGACGAGAACCCGCGTGCTGCGATGTGCGCTTCGGGGTGAGCTCGGCTCATCTCGAGCTGAGGTTTTCAAGAATTGGCGCTCCGGCGTCAGTTCTCATCGCAGGCGGCTGCGAATTGGAGTTGAGTACCCCAATCCAAATGTTAAGCACACCCAGTAATAATATACCTTGACTCCAGGTCCTTCGACTTTGAGCTCGGCATGAGTTGGGTGGGTGCACCCATTTGTACCCATGGCCGAATTCCGACCGCCACAAGGTGAGAACTCGCTTTGTTTTGCGATATAAGACGTGCTAACGGCTGGATAGTACTGCCCCTACGACGAGAACCCGCGTGCTGCAGTACGCGCTTCGGGGTGAGCTCGGCTCATCTCGGGTTGAGGTTTGCAAGAATTGGCGCTCCGGCGTCATTTCCAATCGCAGGCGTCTGCGAGTTGGAGGTGAGCTACGCAATCTGAATGTTAAGCACACCCAGTAATAACATACCTTGATTCCAGGGTTCTCGACTTGAAACTCGGCATGAGCTGGGTGAGCTGCAAGATGAGCTCAAGCGATTTCTCTTCGTAAATACGGCTGTATGTACTTGTATTAGGTAGATTAGTGAATATACGATGTTACCCTAACGTCCCGAGTGTGCGAACAAGGCGGGAAACCGCAGAGATTCGTCCAAAAAGCGTTCTGAGTTGGTGAGCTCAAGCTGATCCCCCTCCCCCTCCCTCACATTACCTCCCAAGCGACGCGGGAGTGTATAGCATTCACCTAAGTCGTGTTATCCACCATCCACGTCGTCCTCGGGCGAGAATTCGAGGTGCGAGTTGAATTTCTCGAATTAAAAAAGTTCGTGCCGTGTCCCCCCTCCCCCCTGCGTAGATCGTTTCCCCGCGACTCGGGCAGTGTTTTGGTAGCGCGAAACAACTTTCTATTGCATGTTCTATCTAATACAGGCATCTAGGCGACGGTATTTAGCAAAATACGATGGGAATTGTCTGTAAACATCCCCCCCTCCCTCGTCTCCTTCCCCCCTCCCCCTCGCTCTCCCTCTCAATTCCCAGCGCCGGCGACTCGTCGCCATCGTCCTACACCCTCCCCGCACCCGCCGCGGGCGGGCGCGCGACGCGCTCGGCGCCTTTTCGTTCGATTCGGCACCTTCTCCCCCCTCCCCTCCCCTCCGTCGCGTCCCCGCCGATCCCAATCAGAAATTTGAAGTGAGTCGTGAACCAGCCATCATCCTTCTGCGCGCCAACCAGGCAAACACCAACTTCAAAGAGGTTGGGCACGGTGAAGTAGACGCGGCCGCCGGCTGAGGGGAGTGAGTGGCGCGCGGGTCGCATCCCTGGTGTCCCGCACCTATTCGGTACTGCATCATCTCGACGGGGATGTATTCTGTTGTGCGTAAGCGGTAGCGCATGACCTGTTCGAGCTCGCGAAAGGTCGAAACGACTTCGGGATTGGTGAGGGGTTTGACTGGGATGACGGATTTCTAGGGCATGCGTGAGATTCGAGTTACATGGTGAAGGGGGGGAGAGAATGACCTTGATGATGGTGGGGAGGCGCTGGTAGGTGCCTGTGGTGAGGACATCGAGGGAGGTGAGGAGGTCGTGGTTGCCGAGGCGTTCGGGGTTGAGCTCGTCGTGGATCTGGTGCAGTCGTCCGATCGCAGAGTCGATCTCGTATTTCAGGTTCATCAAGAACCCCACGAGATTCTGCTCATATTGTCAACGACCGCGCCCGCCACACAAGGTCTAACCACGCACCAGACATTTCTGCACGGTCTCCGCGTCGCGCGCCCACTTCGCGATCGCATAAAGCTTGACGACCTGCTTCTTCGTCGCGACGACAAAGTCCGCGAGGGTGCGCTTGCGCGCGACGTCGGACATGCCGGGGAGTCTGGTGCGCGCGGTTGAGTATCTTCACACGGGACGGGAACAAGGGCAGGGCGACTGACGTCTCTGCCACCTCCTGCAGCTCCGCGTAGATCTGCTGGGCCACTCGGGAGACGATCATGCCGAAGGGAACCTGGCCCTCGTTGACGTCGGGGAGCATGCGCTCGAGGTCCTCTACGGCCAGTTCTTGATGGTGGTATCCGTTCTCCTTCCCGTTCACAGTCAGAGGCCGGGCAATGTCTGCGACTGCCATACTGCCGTTGACGTTCATCGGCTGGTGGTGGTGGCGACCGACATCGGTAGCGGCGCAGGGCGCCCGGTCCCCGCGTCTCAAACTCGGATAATTCCGAGGTGTGCACATGACGAAGTTCAACTTTTCGAGACCTTGCTCTGCGCAGTTACCGTCTTTGTTTGGGCTGCGAGCAGGAGGCGGGTGGGCTGCGGGTGGTAGCTACTAGTCGAAGTGCAATGACGATCGAGGGATCCGCATGCTCTCCCCGCCAAAGCTCGAGCGCGTCTGGTCTGAAAATGGCAGGCGGGGTGGTGCACGTGATTCGCGTGACTGCGGCGGGTCACGGTTCGAGTTGGCGGACGCGGCGGTCGTGTGGGCGTGTCGTGGACGTGCGCCTGGCCTGGGGACCCAAATCGTAGTGAGTATGGGTGAGGGCGATGCCTCTCGCCGACTCTGAGGGAAAAGTGGGATTGGCGGGTGTGGCGCGTTCGGTGATGAGTTACTCAAGTTGATCTAGATAGTGGAATTTCTAGTGAATACATCGAACCCGGTCCTCTAATCCTTTGTGGGCGGGCGGCGGGTGCGGCGATTTGAGTGTAGGCAGTGCGGGTGGTCTCCGACCCGGCTGTCAACTCACCCAAGCCTCAATAAATTCGGGAGAGCACAGACAGCCCCCACCCAGTTCTCAACCTCGTCCAGCGGCAAAGGCCGTGGGTGGAGCCCGCAGCAGCAGACTTGGCGAGGTTTTGGGTAGGGCTCCTTCGATTACGTTCTTCAACATCTTGGGGTTTCAGGTTCTGCTCAGACTCGGGCTTGGGGTACACTTTCAATTCAGGCAGCAGAGAAGGTTTGAAAACAGTCTATTCAAAGGCTACTACAGATGCAGGGTATATACAGGCCAAGGCCAACCCGTGCTAAGGAGAATTTGGCACTCGAACATGCTCCTCGAGCTAGATTGAGAGGGGGAGCGAGCTAGAGTGGGTACATCAAGAGGGAGCGAGGAGTGAAGGGGGAGACAAGACGAGACAGACCTGATCCAGCCGTGAGTGAGCGAGAAGTGCGAGGTACTCACCGAAGAGACCCCGACCTTGAAGTCGGGCTTGGAGACGGGTGCGCGCGAAGCTGCAGGTCGTCGAAGCCCGAGGTCGAGAGCGCCGTCGAGAGTTGAAGACGTGCCCGCGAGTCGGAATCGTAACCGCCGTCGATGACCCAAGCCGTGGAGCTCGAAGCCGTACCCGTCGTCGTAGGGGGTGGTCGGCGGAAGCCCGAATCCGAAGAGAAACCGAGGTCGTCGTCGTCGTAAGGCGCGAGGGATGGTGTGGGGAGGGTTCGCGCCCTCGTCCTGAGCTCGAACTCGTCAGCCGTCGTAGTCGCGCTCTGTTGAAAGCAAGACCACCCGCTTGGGAGTGGTCGGCGGAAGGCGAAATCCGAGGAGAAAATGTTGTTGTCGCGCGAGGGCGTGAGTTGCAGTCCGACGGCTTGAAGTCGGGCTTGGGGACGGCGGGTGTGTAGAGCGCGAGTCGGGTGTCGCTCGCGGGTCCTCGATGTTGTATGGGCGCTCGCGCGGCGCTCCGAAATCGCTAGCAAAAGCTGGACGGCTGCTCGGCGGAAGCCCAAATCCGGGGAAATCTCGTATTCGCCGTCCTAAGGCTTGAAGTCGGGCTTGGGGAGGTCGTGGGGTGTTGGCGGACGCGTATAGGGCAGGTCGAAGTCGTTGGCGCGTGCTAAAGTCGGCGGTTGAAACCGAATTTCGACCTTCGACGTTGGAGTCGCAGGTGAATGCAGTCCACGCGGTGCCTTCGCGAGGCTTCCGGTATGCTGTCGTTCGCGTCTGTCGTGCGGGTAGTAGTGGTCGGCGGACGCCCGAATCCGGGGAGAAAAAATGAAGAAGCAAGAAAAAAGATGTGAGAGACGAGAAATGCGCTGCCAATGCTACCGCACCCCGACCTCGGTTTCCCGGGCTCGGGAATCGCGAGGGGCAGAGGCGCGGCAGCAGGCGACGCGGGCGTCGTGGTGGTGGTGGGAAGCAAGCGCCACGCCGAGCGACTCGGGGATATCACTCGCGTGGCATCATCACATTCCCACCGTGGCTTCCCCTTCCCCCTCATCTCCCCTCGTCCATCGTCCGCCACGAAACGCTCGGATGAGCGAGGTAACACGTCCCCCATACTCGGCGACGCCGAACATACCCTATCCTGAACTTTCCCCGTGGGAAACCGCCAAAATCTGCGCTTTCTGCGTCTCTGCTTCATCCCCTCGCTTCCCCCGCCGCCTCCACGAACGCCAACGCCAGGACAGCAGTTCCCCATCCTCAAACTCGCTCTAGGAGACCTCCAAGACTACCCCTGACCGCAATCTACCCACTATAATCCCCTTACCTACGCGCATATACTCTCCTCCCCTCTGTTCCGCCTTTCCCGCTCGCTCCAATCTTCCAGCTCTTCTCGAGCTCATTCTCGCCCCAGAAACGCCCTCAAACAGGGGCTGTGGAGCCCCACGTGGCTGATGGGCGGGCTGCGCACCCGGGCGGCCAATGGCAGCCTCGATAATCGCCCGTTTTTACGGCTTTTACGCCGCGCCCCGTTTCTAAGCGTGGGGCTTCGGAAACGAATATAAGCAAGGTGAGTTTTCACTATAGAGCTTCACTACCCACCCTTATCTCCTCTCCTATGCACTCCACTCTCAAGTCCCCCCCTCCTCCGCTCTTCTATCCCTTTCCTTTCTTTTGCTTCTTTTCTACCCCTTTCATTCCTTCCACTACCTCTCTGCTAATCGAGTTCTACTCGTCAGTAGGCCTTCCCCCTACCTTCCCCAGTCCTATTGCGACCTCCTCGAGGTCTAATCAAGGTATGTCCTTGCATTTTCCTACCGTTGGCTGCATGTTTACTAACCCCGCTTTTCAGCGCTTTTTGTACTTCTTGCAGGAGCTCCAAAGACCAGGTAAGCGCGAATTCCGACCAGTAACTACCACTACTGACCTCGTCCTACAGATCCTCGCCATCTTCGCCTGTCCCACCGGCGATTCCGCTTGTCGATGGCGAATGCCGCGTTGATAGAAGGTGAGTTGTTCAGTTTCTTCAACTCTATTTCGCTGATTTCCAGCTTCTTCACCGCGCACCCGGCTTGTTCAAACGCCTCACTGGTCAACATCAGTGTTCTCGTACTCGCCGCACTCACTCAGGTAGGCGGGGCTTCATCTCGATTGAATTTCCTCGTCTCACGAATTTCCAGATTCACTGATTTTCAGCCCCCCTGCCTCCTACTACCGCGCGAACACGACTACTGACCTTGGTAAGCGTCACAGTGTTCGGTATCTACGATACTAACCTATTCTCGCAGTCTCAAACTCACGACGGCTTGATTTAGCGAGCCCCGACTGACATTTCAGTCGATCTCGACATTGTACTCGAGGCGAGTACCTACGATTTCCGTACTTACTACCCCACCACTGACCCTCTTATCTAGCCTAACCGACCCCCACGTTCCTCGACGAGCACAGGACGCATCGCCGAACGCGGCAACGACGTCGGCGCGGCTTCGTCGTGCCGCGTGCTCCGACGAGCGCTGATTCCGCCGCGACGCGTGCCCCCGCCACGCGACGTCGGGGCCGACGCCCACACGTACACGGAGAGTTCCGCCTCCACGAGCGAGCCCGGCGACTGCCGTCGCGGCTGGCGAGCGCGTCGACGAGAACGGTGAGCACAAAGTTTCCGACGACGAGGAATATGACTGACCCTGCTTGTAGGATCGTACCACGCGATTGCTGCGACGCGTGGGGCACTGCCAGACGACGTCGAGACTGACGTCGACGCATGCGCCGCGCCGCGCAGCGGCGCTTTGACCGGGGGGCGGGGAATGGGCGAAACTCGGTGAGTATTCGACGCTACCATACGACGACGCCAGCATGTCCACCTCGTCGAGACCCCCCGCTCGCTGCTCGAGACGCCGAGCACGATCTCTCTACGCACTTACGACGACGCTGACGTGCCGCTTGACGGCACATCGAAGCCGGTGGGGGGAATTCTTGTCAAAATGGTGAATACGCGCCTGAATTCACGAGTAATCGCTGCTGACTCGCTGCCCGCAGTGTCCAGCGACCCTCCCACGACGCCGGGAGCTTGTCCCGCGACCAGGCAGAGGACGAACGGCGGCATTCACGGACGTCGACATCGACCTCGACGATGCCAAAACCAAGCTCAGATCGCCCCTGACGATATCTCGACGCGCGCGCCACTCGCCGCGTAGATATGTGAGTACTGACTGTCTCTCCGCGTCGCCTGCGAGCTGACCACGATGACCAGACTCGCTGCTGCTCCCTCACGCCGTGTGGCGGCACGGCACGGTTTCTCGGGACGAAGTCGACACTCTCGCCGTCCCCATGCCGCTCGCCGACATTCTGCCAGGGTCGTGCGACGCTCCAACACGCATCCAGATAAGGGCAGACTATCGCCAATCGCGGCGAGGTTATCCTTTAACCCTAATCCTCGATTTCTAGCTCATCAAGCGAAGCGGGTCTGACTTGAGCACTGGTTGATAAGTGCTTGCTTTCCTCATAATCCAGCGATATAGCGCTAACCAATCGCCTATTCAGCTACTTCAGCGACGCCTCGAAGACGCACGGGCAGCGCTTCGTGCTGCCCTGCAACCCACTCGATTTCGGCAAGTCTCAAAACTTTTCATTCCACTTGACCTTCATTGAGCACTTTGCAGTCGATTCTATCGTGCACCCACCCTTCTATGCGTCGCCGAGGCATGTCCTTGCGCTTCCGCCTCGTCCTCGGGTGCGGGGGAAGCGCTGGCCTCACTTGGGAAGGTGGGAAATCGATGTTAAGGTAAGTTTATCACCAAAAACTCGATGTAACAAGTCGCTCACCTCGGACTGTAGCTTGTCCATGACGCGGATGCCGTCTCAAGCCACTCTCTTTGTCGTTGGGGAGCTGCGACGGCTGCGAGAACGCGGGGACGGGCGTTTCAAGCGCGCCTTTTGAGGCAACTCGTCGCTTTTGAGGTGAGTTTGCTAATTTCCCCCTTCTATCGATGCTGACTTTGTATCTCTCGGTTCTCTAGGGGTCTATCATGAGTATTGGACGCTGTACGACCACTTCGCTAGGCGCTGGGACGCGCTGGCGCTTTTCTGAAGGTAGTGTAAGACGAGTTTGGGGTTTTCTCATCGCTTTCCCCCAGCTTCTAGAGCTTTCTTACGCGATGCCATTGCGTCCATAGGCACTAACGAAGGTTTCTGACGGTTGGCGCATCTGTTTTGAAGCGAGGGGCTCGCTCAGAAGCGCCCACTAACGAAGTTTGCTCATGAAAGCGTCATTCTGCGCTCATGAGCAAATTCCGACGCCCCCGAGGTGAGTATCCGCTTGATTCTGCGATGTACTACGTACTAACGACTTGACAGTACTAATTCTACGACGAGAACCCGCGTGCTGCGATGTGCGCTTCGGGGTGAGCTCGGCTCATCTCGAGCTGAGGTTTTCAAGAATTGGCGCTCCGGCGTCAGTTCTCATCGCAGGCGGCTGCGAATTGGAGGTGAGTACCGCAATCCGAATGTTAAGCACACCCAGTAATAACATACCTTGACTCCAGGTCCTTCGACTTTGAGCTCGGCACGAGTTGGGTGGGTGCACCCACTTGTGTTCATGGCCAAACTCCGACCGCCACAAGGTGAGAACTCGCTTCTTTTTGTGATATACGACGTGATAACGGTTGGATAGTACTAATTCTACGACGAGAACCCGCGTGCTGCAGTACGCGCTTCGGGGTGAGCTCGGCTCAGCTCGGGTTGAGGTTTGCAAGAATTGGCGCTCCGGCGTCAATTCCAATTGCAGGCGTCTATGAATTGGAGGTGAGCTACGCAATCCGAATGTTAAGCACACCCAGTAATAACATACCTTGATTTCAGGGTTCTCGACTTTGAAGTCGGCATGAGCTGGGTGAGCTGCAAGATGAGCTCAAGTGGTTTTTCTTCGTAGATACAGTTGCAAGTACTTGTATTAGGTAGACTAGTGAATATACGATGCTCCCCCAACGTCCTGAGTGTGCAAACAAGGCGGGAAACCGCAGAGATTCGTCCAAAAAGCGTTATGAGATGGTGAGCTCAAGCTGATCCTGCTCATTGCCCTCCCCCTCCCTCCAATTACCCCCCGAGCGACGCGGGAGTGTACAGCACTCACCTACGTCGTGCCATCCACCATCCACGTCGTCCTCGGGCGAGAATTCGAGGTGCGAGTCGAATTTCTCAAATTAAAAGAGTTCGTGCCGTATCCCCCCTCCCCCCTTCGTAGATCGCTTCCCCGCGACTCGGGCAGTGTTTTGGTAGCGAGAAACAACGTTGTATTGCATGTTCTATCTACTACAGGCATGTAGGCGACGGTATCTAGCGAAACACGATGGGAATCGTGTGTCAACATCCCCCCTCCCTCGTCCCCTTCCCCCTTCCCCCTCGCTCTCCCCCTCAATTCCCAGCGCCGGCGACTCATCCCCATCGTCCTACACCCTCCCCGCACCCGCCGCGGGCGGGCGCGCGACGCGCCCGGCGCCTTTTCGTTCGATTCGGCACCTTCTCCCCCCTCCCCTCCCCTCCCCTCCCCTCCCCTCCGTCGCATCTCCGCCGATCCCGATCCCGATGAGAAATTCGAAGTGAGTAGTGAACCAGCCGTCGTCCTTCTGAGCGCCAACGAGGTTGGGAACGGTAAAGTAGACGCGGCCGCCGGCTGAGGGGAGTGAGTAGCGCGCGGGTCGCATCCCTGGTGTCCCGCACCTATTCGGCACTGCATCATCTCGACGGGGATGTATTCAGTGGTGCGTAGGCGGTAGCGCATGACCTGTTCGAGCTCGCGAAAGGTCGAAACGACTTCGGGGTTGGTGAGGGGTTTGACGGGGATGACGGATTTCTGGGGGGGGCTAGTGAGATGGGACAGACGAAAGGGGGAGGGGGACTGACCTTGATGATGGTGGGGAGGCGCTGGTAGGTGCCCGTGGTGAGGACATCGAGGGAGGTGAGGAGGTCGTGGTTGCCGAGGCGTTCAGGATTGAGCTCGTCGTGAATCTGGTGCAGTCGCCCGATCGCAGAGTCAATCTCGTACTTCTGGTTCATCAAGAACCCTACGAGATTCTGCTCATATTGTTAACAAGCGCGCCCGCCACACAACACCGGACCACGCACCAGGCATTTCTGCACCGTCTCCGCCTCGCGCGCCCACTTGGCGATCGCGTACAGCTTGACGACCTGCTTCTTCGTTGCGACGACAAAGTCCGCGAGGGTCCGCTTGCGCGCGACGTCGGACATGCCGGGGAGTCTAGTGCGCGCGGTTGAGCATCTTCACACGGAGGTAGGACAAGGGCACAACGACTGACGTCTCTGCCACCTCCTGCAGCTCCGCGTAGATCTGCTGGGCCACTCGCGAGACGATCATGCCGAAGGGGACCTGTCCCTCGTTGACGTCGGGGAGCATGCGCTCGAGGTCCTCTACGGCCGGTTCTTCATGGTGGTATCCGTTACCGTTCATCCCGCTCTCCTTCCCATTCATTGTCAGAGGCCTGGCAATGTCTGCGACTGCCATACTGCCGTTGAAGTTCATCGGCTGGTGGTGGTGGCGAGCGACATCGGTAGGCGCCCGGTCCCCGCGTCTCAAACTCGGATAATTCCGAGGCGTGCACGTGACGAAGTTCAACTTTTCGAGACCTTGCTCTGCGCAGTTACCGTACGCACTCGGCGTGGCGTCACCCTTTAGATATGTATTCATACAAAGCTGTGCTTTCTCTTCTCCCAATAAGTTTTATTATTCCAGAAGATGAAGTACCCGAGCTCTGATCACCTTTCGCTGTCGCTGCTGCCTTCCGACCCAATTGCAGTAGCATTCGATTCGCAGCTTCCATCCTGATTAGTGAGAGTGATTAATTTTCTCCGATATAACTGACAGAGCCAGCTGTGAGCAGAAGAAGGTAGTGGGAGTCCGAGAGATGATAAGGAGCGGTAAGGAAAGGCTTAAAACAGCGGATATGTGCTACAACAGGTTAAGTATTGTCCAGGGTCTGGAAATAAAAGCAAGTCCGTGCTATTCAAGCCAGCGAACATAACCTTCAAGGTCAAGGGCCACAGTAAATTAATGAGCAATAGATAATGTCGCCGAGAAGGGCGTAATCTACGCGTCACCACGTCGCGTTCACATCAAAATACAGCTTCTAGCGCCCCATAGAGGTACATGGTTCCTGGCGCAGTTGCGACTGGATAAACTCTCCTCTCTCCTAACATCGAGAGTCGGGGAAGGCGGGGCTGGTTTGTGGCGTTGCTTGGTTGTGCTTGGCGCGCATCAAATGTCGCTCACGTGCCATCAATTACATCCCAAATTGGGGACGCGTTTCTTTGTTCAAACTTTGGACTTCGTCTTCAGAACCATCATCTGCTTGCTTGCTTGTTGACGTTCGCCTTGATCTCAGCAAGACGCGCAAGTGCTCTCTATGCCCGCCACCAGACCGAGCCACAGATCTGCGAGACATACGCCACTAGGCAGCTCCAGCGGGCGGTCCGACGATGAGATCATCTCGCTGAGCTCGGACGACGGGCTCGTCTTCAAACACAAACCCAAGAAGACCACGAAGAAGAATAGCAAGCCGCCAGCGAACGTGGAGATAGTCGAGATCAGCGATGACGAAGATGACACCCCGCCAGCGCATAACGATGTGAACAGCAGGCTTCAGCGTCAGATTCAGGAGCTCAAGCAGGTGCGTCCACCATGATGAGCTCTGGGCCTCGCATGTGCTGACTTTACGCCCAGGAGAACAGCAGGCTGAAGCACGACTGCGCTAGATCAGCTAAGGAGCTGTCGGTCGTCCGAAAAGAGCTTCAAGCAGCCGAGAAGGGCAAGTCCAAAGCGGCGATGGTACGCCTATCCATTTCTATAGCGAATCCGTCCCTGACCTCGCTTAGGATCCCGAAATGGACGACCTCCTCTCCTGCGAAATATGCACCATGCGCGTGTGGACTCCCGTCCTGTACGTTTGCCTCACACTTCCCTCTCCCAATCTAATCAACGCATCGTAGTATCCCCAGCTGCGGCCACACCTTCTGCAAGAACTGCCTCCTCGACTGGTTCAACCAAACGTATACCCAACACCTCGCGTCCAATCCTGGCTACAACCCCATTCGCGCCCAAGCCACCCTCCCTCGCAACGTCGAGTTCCTGCTCGGTTCCATCTCCCCGAACGACCTGCAGCGCGTGAAGCAATTACTCGCCGTGTACGCGCAGCCAGCGCCGAAATTCACCTGCCCGTCGTGTCGGCAAGCAGTCACTACCCGACCGACGGAGGTGTACCAGCTGAAGAAGGTCGTACACAAGATAGCGGGGGAGAATGGGGAGAAGGAGCCTGCATCGGCACCTCAGCCCGTGGGGAGATTGCGGCGGGGAGTTGGTTTAGGACGGACGGACGACCCATGGGCGAAGTTCTTCCCGAATTGACACTTTGAGTGTGACCTATTCGGACTTTTCTTACTTGGCCCACACAGGCCCACTTTTCTCGCTTCTGCTGCATCGCGACACACATCCCATGCCGACACGTTACTTTATTCAGTGTATACCACAGCGGTCATTATTGTATCCACATCAGTCTAGCATATACATTTGTAAGTATGGGTTTGTTCGAGCAACTTTCTCATGGTCGTTCGCACTAAGCACCAGACAAGCGCATTGCCCATGTCCCCAGGCAAGACCCGTTCACCTCTTCTTCGCCGCCTTCGCTTTTGTCGTCCTTCCCTTTGCCGTGCTCGTCGATCCCTTCCTTCCCCCACTGCCCACCTCCGCCTCCTCGCTCACTGTGCTCGCTTTCCGCTTCAATGCGCCCCGCTTAGCCGACAAGGGCTCCCCCTCCTCACTCAACGTCGAGTTCGTCCGGCGCAGACTCGGGCTGTTCCGCCTCATCCCCGGACTGTCATGCCTCGCCGATGACCTCGACACCGCCGACGCCGGCGATACGCCCCTTCCGTCCTCTCCATCCGCCGGCCCACTGACACTTCCCCTCGCGCTTCCGCCGCCCGTACTCCCCCCTACACTCGATCCCGCATCCTCCTCCCCCAGCGTCCGCCACGCGCGCGCGAACAGGCCCTCCCCTGCCACCCCGTCCTGAAACCCGACCAGCGTCCCCCGCGTCCGCGCGTCCACGCCCGGCACGTTCGCCATCACTCCCTCTCCCGTTCCGCGTGCAGCGAAGAGCTCGAGGGGCAGGGAGCCCGCATTGCGCACGCTCGGCATCCCCTCGCGCGGCGCGGGCAGCGGCTGCTGGCGCGCGCGCTCTTGGAGGTAGGGGTCGGTTTCCCCGGGCAGCTCGCCCAGGTGCTCGATCCACTCCCATGGGCGGTTTGGGACGGGCGCGGTGGGGAGGAGCTCGTCGGTCGTGGGGTCGCGCTGCGCGGAGGCGAGGTGGGCAACGATCGCGGGCGGGGGAAGGTGCGGAGTGAGAATGCGGAGCGCGCGGGAGTGCTCGGGCGGGAGGTCGGGGGGTGGAGTGATGGATACCGGGTCGGGGTAGCGGGCGTAGGGGTCAAAGGGGGTGGTGGCTTTGGGGGGCGGGGAAGGTCCGTCGACGAGGAAGAAGAGGGTGTCGATGAGTAGGGGGAAGAGGACGAAGTCGGGGTGGAGGCCGGATCCGTAGGACTGGGGATAGATCAGAAAGGATTCAGCCACCCGGTATTGGAAACACTCACCAGTGCCAGCGAGAGCAAGGAGGACATCACTTGCGCCGAGACTTCCTTCGACTTCGGTGACGGCGGAGTCTCAAAACCTAGTACGAATTGCACCAGACGCGCCAGCAGGATGACCGCATTCTTCGTCTCTTCGTCCTCCCACTGCACCTGGGATCCGCCAAGCGTCTGCAAGACAATGCCGAGGATAGTCGCAATCACGGTCAGGAATTTATCTTGCAGCGATTCATCCAGCTGAATACACGCGGGCCCGAACCGGAATGGCGTTGCCACGTCCACCAGCGCTCGCAGAAGCTCCCCGCTCCGCTTCAAGGCAGGAAACAGCCCAGGTACATCCTGCACGCCTTCCAACGACTTCAGTATGCACTGCAGCCCGCTATTGACGAACTTCCCGGCCGTCAGGGCATCGGCGCCGCTGACAACCTGTGCAATGAACTGCGCCTTTTCCTCTGACACGGATTCGTCGAAGAGCTGAGCGGTGACATGGCGGAGGACTTTGTTTGCGGCATGATCCTGAGGATCTTGGGAGAGCGCGTGCCCCATGCGCCGGAGAAGGAACTTGAGGTGGATTGCCGTTGCAGCTATGGTCCACGGGCTCAGCATTGAAGTGAGGTTTTGCATGTCGGAGAAGTCGTGGTCTAAATGTATCGTTAGCAACGAAGTGGACTAGTCAGCGCACGCGAGCTTACCTGAGGGAGTATCGCAGAGCATGATGTTCAGAGATTGAATGAGGTCCGCCGAGATGACTTCCCGTGCGCTCGAGGTCTCCGACGTCTTCAAAGCATGCTCAAATGCTTCTCGCACGACATCCAGATCCCTAAACACCGCTCGCCTGAAATCCGCGTCCGCACACAAACATGCCCTAATCTCCGATGCATCGTCGCGGATGCCTTGCTCCAGAAACTCGTTGTGCTTGAGGAGCACCAGCAGCGGTATACTGCTCGCCAGCATAGGGAAACCCACTGCCCGGAACGCTTCGCGGCGCGCTGTGCGGATAGCCTGGATCTGGATGAGGTCCGCTGGCGGCATTCCATCCCCCCTCGCCTCCTGCTTGATCATCAACTCCCGACAGATATCATTCGCGGCTCGCATCCACGGTGCGAGCTGCTCTGCTTGCGCATCCGTCGCTACCTGCGACCCCCTTCGCCATACCGAACATATGAGGCCTTGTAAAACCGTCGTAGTTCGTAGCGCGCCGTGTACGACTAGGAAGACGAGCACGGTCGCGAGGACGGTCCACATATCCGGAGTCAATACAAGCAGCTCGTTCGGGCCAGGGCTTTCGAACCACTGGAGGATGTCGCGGTCGAGGCCATGCGGGAGGTGTTGGTCGATGTGAAGGAGGAAAGTGCCATAGCGGAGGGCGAGAGATTGGCGATCGGCGTCGTCGGGGGATATGACGGGTACTTGGCGTAGGCTGGCGAAGGTGTTGTCCCAAACTTTCCAGCCCCAGTCGTGCGCGGCGCGGTAGGAAATCCAGAGGTGGTTGGCGAGCATTGAGGGGTCAGATGCAGGATTTGTTGCAAGGACGAGGATCTCCGGCATGACGTCGGGTACAGCGAACGAGGGCTGTATGGTCGTCGGTTGAAGGGCCTGGAAGGTGCATGAGCAAAGGTTTCTCAAGCCAATCACGAGCACGTACGGAGGTCAGTGAGATCATGTCAGCCTGAACATGGCCTTGGGCCTCCAGATCCAGGTACTTCCCTTGGTCCAACTCGGTCAAGAAATCGAGCATCTTGCGGACCTGGATCCCTCGTGCTTTCCAGAGTTGATGAGCATGGTAAAGGGCTTCGATGATGCGTCCCCGGGCGTTCATACATGCCCAGATAGTGCCATGTCGCCTCAATGTGTTCATCACCGCCATAAGTGTGTCGAACGTCGCTGCATGCTCCAACGCGCACAGAGTTATCTAGAATACACGTCAGCATCAGCGAGGGCAAGTAATTGAAGACGCCCACATCGAGGATGCACTGATAACACTTGGCTAGTCGGTATAACTCCGTAGCGGTGCAGAATACACGAAGCATCGTCTCCGACGACGAAGCGTCACCCTTGCTGATGTACGTTTGCAAGAGGGGGAAAAGCCATGTTCGCGCAACCCGTGTCTGCTCATACCGCGAGGCGGACAAGAACAGCCGGCACTCCGACGCCAACTCGTTGACGGACAAGAAGACCCTAGGCTCGCCTGGGCATTGCTTGAGTGAGAAAGCACAATCAATTTAGAATAATGCGTACGATCGAAGACCTCTGGCAGGACATTGCGTATCGTGGCGCGGATCTCCCGCTCGTTCTGATCCTCTGGCGTCTTCCGGGCCCGGACGCCATACAAAGTCACTCGGCGCTGACTTGTCAGCGACGGCGTGGTCTGCATGTCGTTCAGCGGTATCCACTGCAGAAAGTTTCGATGCCTTGAGCGATGTTCCTGGACTTCACGTGAGCATGAGCGTTTCCTCCACAGCGCAATAAGACCAACTTCCGCAACGGTCAACCCCTGCTCCACTCTCGCGATGAGCCTCTGGACATAGAGGTCGTACGAAAACAGCCCCCTGCGCACAAGCTCCCCGTACAACGACGCCACGTCCCTGATATTCTCCTCCGCTGCCGCGATGTCCGACCCATCCAGCCAGTCGAACAATTGGTCCTGCAGAAACTCGCTTGGAGATGGCGTGTCCCGGCGCGCCGCATTGGCTGACCCTGCTCTCCGGACAGCGCGCTCAAGCGCCTGATCCTTCCAGTTCGCGATGAGGCTGACGGCCGCGAAGATGCGGTGATCGCCAAATTGGAGGGGCGTGACGCTCCAGGAGAGCAGCATGTCGAGCTTGGCGGCGAAGCGCGGGGCGGAGTCGCCGCAGTCGAGGAAGAAGGGCAGCTCACCGATGTCGGTCTGACTGGAGATGGAATTGAGGAGCTGTGGAATGGAGTCGGCTTCGTGCTAAAGGCGTCTGCGTTGTGACGAATCTACGCACCTGAACATCCTTGACAGTCCTAGCTAGGCCTCCAACGCGGGAAGGCATATGCAAGAAGAGGAGCGCTTCATTCCTGCGCTTGATGTCCGCGAAGCTATCTGCGAGACGTTGCATCACCTCTCTTGCCCTCTGCTCGACGCGCTGATCCGTAGAAGGAGACAACAGCTCTTCGGCGGCCATCCGCTCTATCAGAGACGAGTGCGTCGTCCACATTCGGGGGCTGACGAATGCCTCGGGGATGGCGATCAAGATGCGCTATACGCCGTCAGAAAGGAAGGATAAGGTAAGCTAAGAACCACATTACCTGCACTATGACTTTGAGTAGGCGCTCTGTGCCAAACAGATGGTCGCTAGCTGACGCCGTGGAAATCTCCGACAGCTTCGTCAAGCATGCATCCGCGAGAGGTCGACTAAAGGCCCGGCAATGCAAAGTATCCTCAAGGTACTCGAAGGCGAGGCGGACAACAAAGCCGGCCTGCGCGAGATTGCACGTCGCAAGCTGCTCTATAAGCCAAGCGAGGAATAATCGGTGGTCGACGAGGCCATCGACGTAGAAAGTGCGCAGAAGCTGCAGGCTTCGACGATCAGAATAAGTGCGCAACGTGGGTGACATTCAGCATACCAATAGCTGAAGCGCGACACCCATTTTTCCCTATTCTCATCATCCAGCAGCACACCCTTAAACGTCTGCTTGATATTTCCCAAACCAGGCCGCGGCGCGCTCGGGAGCACGATTTCCGAGAGCTGCTTCTTGAGATAGCCAGTGACCGTATTCGCCCAGTCCAAACTGTACTTTGTCGGGTCGTAGTTCGCCTTGTTGCGCAGGCCGGCTGTCTCGTTCGCTCCCAATGCGCGCAGAAACCAGATGGCGCGAGGGATTGCCACCTTGTTGGTGTATAGAAGCTCGAACAAGTCGTGCCCTTTCGGACCGTGAGGGATGCTCTTGCCCAGCTTTGCGAGGGGCACGTCGGGGTTCGCCAAGTCCGCGAGCCAGGATTGCCGCTTCGTCTCGTTCAGAGTCACCCTAGAGGGCATGCGAAACGTCGACGATCTGCATTATGACTTCAATACGAATTTCGACAATCTTCAAAGAGGCGAACACGACTTACGGAATAGCAGCGTTCTGTTCGGCTCGACGCGAGAAGACCTCGTTCATGAGCTGCTCAAGGAGAGGTAGCGCATTCGACTCCTCTTCCTTTTTGTACAGCTCGCCCGTGATGACAGGCTGTGCGCTCAGTGTCTCCCCCTGCAACACATGATAATTGGAGAAGTAAATCGGAAAGGAGATAGAGGAACCAACCGCGACAGCATGGCCAAGCTGAAAGCCCTTCTTGATGTTGGTTTCGGTCAGCAAGTCTTCATCCTGGCCAGGTTTGGGAGGGTAGAATCCCGTGTAGCCTGAGAAGTATCAGATTCCTAGTACAACTTTACCTCTGGCAGAACAAACGTACCCAAATCCGCTGTCCGATGGACTTGCGGCAGCCAGGGTGGCGGCACGCATTCGTAAGTTGGGGCATCCCTCTCGGAGTCCGGCTCCTCTCGCCCACGCATTATTGTACAACGTCACAGGGTATCAGAGCTGCATGAAGTCCAAAGACAAGGGAGACCGGCGACAGCGCGCGGTGGCGGAAGGCAAGGTGTTCAATTAAATCAACAGCGCGCCATCAATTCTCTATTACCCACTTGATTCCTGCCATCACCCGGTGGTCAATTGTCTCCTCCACGGGCAGTTCGTGAGCGTCCCGAGTTCCCTGAGCGCTCGGCGAATACGTATGGTCAGTGATACATTCGTTCCCTGAGTCAAGAAGGACCATGTCTCCCCGGCGGTGAGTGACCGAATGCGCACTTGTCGCGTCTGCCTATGCTTACGCGCTCCCAGGACGCTCCTTTCCCCCGTCGACCCGCCACAATCGATTATATACACCGACTTTGACCCCCCGGTCCGGCGGTGGTACCACTATGTGCCCATAACCATGACCGTGTGCCTCATGCTCGCCCCGCACCCCTCCCTCCTCTACGTTCTCGTCCGCTATCACTTGCAGACGCGCGAGGACCCCCTGGCGTTCGGCGCGCACCTCTTCGCGACGTACGCGCTCACCTTCATGGCGTTCTCCTCCCTCATCATCTGCGTCTCGCGCGATCCGGGGCCCGTGTCGCTGCAGGACGCGGACAGCATCTCCCCGACGGCGAGGCGGAGGCGGGAGGACGACGAGGATGACGCGGAGGAGATCGAACTGACGGAGGCGCTGGTGTCGATCGACTACAATGCGCCGGGGCGGTGGTGCAACAAGTGCTGGGTGCGTGGCGGGTGGGGGATGGCGTGCGTGCCGCTGACATGCGTTCCAGGCGCCCAAGCCCGAGCGGACGCATCACTGCTCCGAGTGCAATCGCTGCGTCTTGAAGATGGGTATGTTGACCCGCATGCCCCTTCTCCCATACGTTCTCATCATCTGTAGACCATCATTGTCCTTGGCTTGCGTCAAGATGCGTCGTGCGTCCGCTCCTTCCAAGCGCATGGGCACGAGCTAACCTATGCCCAGGGTCATCGAACATACCCTGCCTTCGTGCACTTCCTCACCACTGTCACTCTCCTCGCTATGTATATCACGGTGATCTGCTCTCGTGCACTGCTCTTCGCCTTCCGAAATCCTTACGCTGTGGTGCGCACCCTTTCCCCTCCCTTGTCTGTCTTCGGGACTGAACAACTCTCCCAGGATGATACTACCCCCATACACGAGATCTCGCTCGCCTTCTACGGCGCCGTGATCACCATAGTCATAGGATCTTTCCTGTGCTATCATCTCTACCTCATTTCGTGAGTACATCATTTCTCATCGTCGTTGCAACTCAATAGAATGACGCCAACTCCAGCACCAATCAAACCACCCTCGAGAACCTCTCGCCCTTCATGCTCCTTCGACATCTACCTCCCTTGCCTTCGTACACCGGCGACCGCCTCTCCAACCCACCCATAGAGCCCGAGCTCTCGTACGACCAGCGACGTCTAGTCCGCGATGCGCACAACTCAATACGAATTTACGACGTTGGCTGGCGGCGGAATTGGGCGCAGATCTTCGGGTGGAAGGGCAAATGGGGATGGGTGCCAAGGGTGCTGTATGGGGGCGCGACGTGAGTGTTGATCTTGCGCGGTTATGCGGTGCGCACGGCGTGATGCTGACATTGAACTGCAGCAAAGGCAGCGGGAAGTACTTCCCCATGAACCCGAAGGCGGACGATATGCTTGCACGATTAGCAGAGGAGCTAGTGCGCGCGGAAAAGGATAGATAGCATGGGAGATCTAGCTTTCCTCCCTTCCCTTCCCTTCCCTTTCCTTCACCTGCCGTCAAATTCATTATCGCGCTCATTTGTCCACTGACCATCCTTGCCATATACCCACCACATACTTATTTCGGACGATTGTACCCTAATTTCTCTGGATGCGTCCGCCGTGTAGTACCAGCTGTACTCTAGGGCGGATGCAGCGGTGTATATATGTTGTACTTCACTCGTCTTCACGCACATCTCTAGGCACTTCATTTATTTACCGCATTCCTTCCATAGGATATTGCTTGCATACTTGTTCATTCTTTTGCCTGGTGCACATATCTACTTACATGCTATGGCTATGGTACCCATGATTCCTGGAATCGCTGGAAGTGCGGGCGCGGGCGGCAAACGAGCAAATACGGGTAAACACTCGCCGCATTTTCCGTTTCTGGTCTATTTCCGGTGTTCAGCTTGTCCGCGACGTCGATGGCGACGCGAACGTGTGCACTACTGCGCCTTCCCGTGTAACAATGCACTCCCCAGCTTGCTCGTCTACTGCTCCGCCGCGCGTAACGCCAGGCGCGTCCTAGGTTTCATGCAGACCGTAGCCTTGAGCAACCCCCAGCTGTGCTACATCTCGGTTGCCTGGATTTAAGCCGGAACTCAGTGAGACTCGAGACTTGCCAGGAGGCGATGGTGGCTGGTGCACTGGATCCTGTCGAGGCGTACTAGGGTGCGTCCTCATTGGCCGCGCTCGTCATTGGCTAACCCACGTATTGAATCCAGAAGCACCACTTGGTACGGGCTCCCCCCAGTGCCAGCGGCCATCCCAGCGCCTTACTTGCCCGATGGAATCGCTCAGACTCCAAGCAACCATATACTAGAGGATGAGCTATACCACCGGACGCGGCAGGTCTCCAGAGTGGAGACGGCACAATGGCTTTGAGAATCAGCTGTGTCAGCCTTCCTGCCAGCGTTTGCCATAACTTGTGTCGCAATTTGGTCGCAATCCATACAACGCTCCGCTGTCCTGCTCCTCCCATCCCCTGCCTGTGATCGCACCTTCCCAAGGCGATCGAATAGATATACACGTGTATCTGGTTCTCGACGTCTTTCGTGATGAGCGGAGGGCTCGCTCGAGCTCGATCGGCTAGCCAGTATGTTCTTCCAGCTGTGTCTCCTACGCGCGACGAGCATATTCCATTCCTCCTACCGCAGACTCTTTCATCTCGCAGTGAGTGATGTTTTGCTCTGACAATTGCTGTCCTCTTACATACATGACGTCTCCGTTGCAGGTTCATATTCCGAGGACAAAAGGCATACTTAGGGCCCGCCTCATGTTCTCCTCATGTCGATCGAGCGCGATAGGTCCAGATAAGCGCCTATAAGCACCACCCTATCACGGGGCCGGCCTCCAATTCGAGCTGTGCCTTTGACGACGAACGAATCGCCCCTTCCTCTGACGCGCAACCAGGAGCCGGATATGAATCCGTTCGGAGGCCATGTTTGCGTCGAGAACGCGCCCCGAACTCGTGTGACGCACAGGCTTTTTGCTTTGACGCGCAGGTCCGGCCGTGGGGATGGCCATGACAATACGATCGGAGTCACTATATAATCTGCGGATCCGGCGCCGCCTCTGCTTCGAACCCAACCTAACTCGATACCCCCACCAACACCAACCTCTCCCCGATACGACCCATCCACGACAATGCCCGCTCACCTATCACTCTCCCCGCCCTCAAAGCTCGCCGCCGTGCCGCCGTCTCCGCCGCTGCCTTCGCCCAAGCGTAAGCGCGCGACACCGCCACCGGAGGTCTGCGCGCAGGTCAACAAGCGCGTCAAGGGCGATCCCGCTCTGAATGCCGCCGACTTCGACATGGCTGGGCACGTTCGGCACCGCCGGTATGTGCTGCACGACTTTGTGATCGGCACGCGGCACCGTGGCGTGGCCTTCGTCGACAGCGGCGTCCGCGACATCCTGCGCGCTCACCAGCCCCAGCCTGCGCCATACTACCCCACGAACACCTTCGCAATCCGGCGCTCTGGCGATAGAGGGGTTGGGATGTTCGCGACCGGGAACCTGCTCACGGGCGCCACCATCCTCATTGAGCACCCGACCGTGATCGCGCCGTTCGTGCTGGGGCTCAACACGCCCGTGGACGACTTCTTCGACGACCTCTTCGGGAGTCTCCCCACGCGACAGTACGAGATGCTCATGGGTCTCGCGAACTGCATGCCACGCACGTCGGTCGGTCACGCAGAAGGTGTCATGGCTACCAACGCCCTCGCCATCGAGCTCGACGTTCCCACCGTCGGTCCCAACCCGGAGCTCAGCACCCACCGGGCGATCTTCATGCAGGCGAGCCGGATCAACCACAGGTGCGCTCACCAGCTTCTCCCGAGACTGTCCCGCAAACTCACACATTATTATAGCTGCTCGCCCAACGCCAAGTGGGAATGGGATCGCAAGACTCTAGCGCTCACCCTACGCGCCGTGCGCCCCATCCGCGCCGGCGAAGAGATCACGATCAACTACGTCGACGTCGCCCTCCCTCGCGCCGAGCGCCGCGCCCGCCTGCGCGCCACCTACCACTTTGACTGCCATTGCCCCGCCTGCGCGCGCGACGACCCGCGCTCGGACGCCGCCCGCGCCGAGCTCCGCGCCTTCGGCACCGGCCTCCCCACCTTCGAGGACTGGACGCGCGACGCGCGCCTGCCCGACCTCGTGCTCGTCCGCGCGCACGAGCGCGCGCTGTCGCTCATCGAGGCGGAGGGCCTGCAGGTGCTCGGCGTGCGCGAGCACGTCGACGCGATCACGATGTGCTACGGCGCGCTCGCGGACGAGAAGATGTTCCGGTACTGGGCGAACGAGGCAAGGGCGGAGCGCGCGCAGGATAAGGTCGAGGACCTGAAGGTCGTGCAGGCGTGGATCGCGAACCCTCGCGCGCTGCCCGTGTGGGGGTGGCGGCGCGATACGACGCACGCACGCCGGCGTAGCTCGCGCTCGCCGAAGTAAATCCTCGCTTGTCGAGGTAGTCTCTCGCTATCACTTATTTATTGCAGTTGGCTTGCTAGCTGCATTGTTATTTCGCTTACCTATTGTTATCGCATGCATAACTTATTTGTCAGAGTCATCCACTGTACCACTTCCCAGTAGCTGTAGTAACTTCCAGTCTTCCACCACCCGCTTTAGTATACCAGAATCCGCTGTATTACTACCACTGCACCTTCCTGCCTGCGTTTGCGGGCTACATTCCACTCGCTCGAGCAAGCACAATATTCATATATGGAAACTGCAACAGTGTGAAGTCTCGGTTCAAGGACGGGCTTGCCCAGCTCCCGTTCGAGGGTGGCAATCGCGATGTGCTGAAGAATTTTGGCCATATTTGGTCAATCCTTGTGCTGTGCAGAGCCAGACCCTTTGCGACGGATACCGACGTCAGGTATACAAAGCATTCGACGACAGCTTTACGACGATATGGTACAACATAATTATCATTGCATGTCCGTAAATCCACGATCCACCCTCTCTCCTCCATCATCCCCGTGCCTCTCTCTCGATCGCTCCCACCTCACAACTGCGGGCCCGCCGCCCTCACCTTCGGCTCCACGTCCTTCTCGTACAGCGCGAACGCCTTCTGGAACATGCCCGCCAGCTTGCGCACCTCCTTCGTGAAGCTCGCCTTGTCCGGCCACGCGAGCTCCGGGTTGAGGAGCTCGCGTGGGATGCCCTCGATGGCGGTGGGGATCTGCAGGTTGAACGTGCCGAAGGTCTCGTACTCGGCCTTCGCGAGCTCGCCGGAGTGCACGGCGTCGACGATGGCGCGCGTGTACTTGAGCGGGCAGCGCTTGCCCGTGCCGAACTTGCCGCCGGTCCAGCCGGTGTTGATGAGCCAGCAGTCGACGTTGTGCTTCGCCATGCGCTCCGCGAGCATCTCGGCGTAGCGACCGGGCTGGGGGAGGGGTCAGAGAGATGAATGGGATAGGTAGATGCGGACGTACATGGAGGACGATGAAGGGCGCAGAGTAGCACGTCGAGAAGGTGGGGATGGGCTCGAGCACACCATCCTCCGTCCCGGGCGTCTTCGACGTGTAACCGGCGAGGAAGTGGTAGCTGGCCTGCTCCGGCGTAAGCTTGCTCACGGGCGGGAGCACACCGAAGGCATCGCAGGTCAACATGATGATGTTGCTCGGCTGGCGGTCGACGACGGACGGGATGCGCGCGTTCGGGATGAAGTCGATCGGGTACGCGCAGCGCGTGTTCTCCGTGATGCTCACGTCGTCGTAGTCCGGCTCGCGCGTGAGGGGGTTGTACACGACGTTCTCGAGGATCGCGCCGAAGCGGATCGCGTTGAAGATCTCGGGCTCCTTCTCGGCGGAGAGGTTGATCGTCTTCGCGTAGCAGCCGCCCTCGATGTTGAAGACGCCGGTGTCGGACCAAACGTGCTCGTCATCGCCGATGAGCGCGCGGTTGGGATCGGCGGAGAGCGTGGTCTTGCCGGTGCCCGACAGGCCGAAGAAAAGCGTGACATCGCCCTTCTCGTTGCCGACGTTGGCGGAGGAGTGCAGAGAGAGCTGTCCGAACTTGACCGGCTGCAAGTAGTGCATGACGGAGAAGACACCCTTCTTCATCTCGCCAGCGTATTCCGTGCCGAGGATGACCATCTCCATGCGCTTGAAGTTGATCTCCACGGACGTTGTCGACGACATGCCCTTCGTGAAGCGGTTCGCCGGAAACTGGCCCGCGTTATAGATAATGAAGTCCGGCTCGCCAAAGTCAGCCAGTTGTTCTGGCGTTGGCCGGATGAGCATGTTGTTCTGCGCTGGTATTAGCACACGTGAGGGCGTCAGAGGGGAGATGACGCACCATGAAGAGCGCGTGATACGCGCGCGCGCAGATGACCCGGACCTTGATGCGGTATTTGGGGTCCCACTGAATGGAAGGAAGGTCAGCCTGGGGGTAACATGACTTGTGCTAAGCACGTACGCCAGCATAGCCATCGAAGACATAGACGTTGTCACGGGTGTTCAGGTAGTCAATAGCGCGCTCGCGATTGATCTCGAACGTATCTGCGCGGGCGTTAGCGGAGCCGCGGAAGCTATGTCGGGAGACTGCACGCACGCTCGTCCATCTTGATGTTGACCGATCCCCACCAGATGTCGTCCTTGCTGGTCTCCTCGTAGACAATGCGCTTGTCCTTCGGGCTGCGACCAGTCTTCTTGCCGGAAAAGTTGATCAGCGCGCCAGAGGAGGCCATGATGGCGCCCTCGTTCCGGATCGCGTCCTCGTAGAGCTGGGCTACCGGGGCATTGCGCTTGATCTGTATCCGATCCATGTCGAAGCCCGCCTGAGAGAAGTACTCCAGGGTGCTCCCGACAACTGCGCGAGTCAGTCAGAGCGACGACGAGGTTAGAACGCGTACTCACAGTTGTTGAACTGCTCCGAATCATACGCCTGCGCGTAGTTCTTGTGGAGGATGTGCGGGGTAACGTAGGGGGTCTGGATGTTGCGAGACATGGTGGGAGGCGATGGGTAGATACTGAAGGACTAGTGAAGGCTTAGCGAGTTGCTGGCAGATGGTGGGAGGAGCCAAGCAGTAACTGGGGATGGGGATGGGGATGGGGACGGGCTAAATATGGAAGTGCGTCATGCACATAAATTGAAATGATTCCCCGGGTGTAAAGTCAAAAATGTGCACGCGCACTCACCGACTTGTTCCTGCTGGGCACTCTTCCGCGCGAGAGATGTGTCGGGTACGACCAGCGCTGGTTTCTGTGGGGTTTTATAGTGGCCAGCCACCGAAGACTCATCCCACGATGACTCGGAGCTTAACCAATGGCGGGCCGGCAGTTATGGCGCAGGAACGAATCGTGCCGGATCCTTCCGACGGGCAGAGGCGCACGGGAGACCGCTGCTGCACTGGTGGCGGAGCAGGCGGAGCGTGTTGTGGCTAGCGCTCGTTGTATGTGGCGGTCAGGAAACAAGCCGTGCGCTTCCCATGCTCCCGCGACGTCGCGAAGCATTCAAACGTGCACGTCACATGAATTGCTGACCACCAGCAGCTCGCCCTCGACGAAGAGGACCGTCCCTCCATACCTTCGCCGCAAAAAGAAACCTTTGACGACCGTTTTCGGTGGTCGCCAAGCCCGCGGGGGCGCTGTCGCGTGCGCGGGCAATTTCAACGAAGACGTCAACTGTAAATCACGCCCAAATCACGTTCCTCTCTCCGTCTTCGACCCCGCATTGTTCTCCAACGGCGTTTGTTTCTCCCTCTCGGCATCGCGCCTGAAGGTGTCACCTGCCGGGACGGCGGGGGCGCGGGACGGGCCCTGTGTTTATGGCGGCCTCCTTCGATTTCGTCGTGAAATCACCGCCCCCCTCAGCGGTAATCACCTTCGAGGCCCCGGGGAACGGCGGTGTGAATCAAACCACCGCAAGCCCAGGCGTGACGGAGGCCTTCATTGAAAGGCCTTGAGCGGAGGCCCATGAAAGCCCTTTTGACCTCTTCCACTCCCCCTCTTCCTTCTCTTATACCTCGCGATGGCCAGGATGAACAGCGCCGCACAGTATGTCGTGCGACCACTTACATCTGCTGACCTTGGTGCGGTCCGCGAGCTTCACGTATGTCTTGGGCTACCTTTGAGGTCGTCTTATCGATTGCTGACGCTCTGATAGGCTACGCTCCTCCCTATGCGATACCCTTCGTCGTTCTTCATGTCTTTGCTCCTGCAAAAGGACCGCGTCTGCCTGGTCGCGTGCCCGAAGCGAGATCCTAGCGACGTCGTCGCCTTCATCTCGGCCTCGAAGCACGAAGGATGCGGTTACTCTTCGTGCGAGTTCTCTGCGCAGCGCAGCGGCCATCGCGCCGACCGCGCGCGATCTACAGAGCCTCACGTCGAGATCCTCACTCTCGGTGTCCTGCGCGAGCATCAGCACCACGGCCTCGCCCAGCAGCTCGTCCACGCCGCCGCATCGGCGCTCCTTCCCCGCAGCAAACCTGTTGCTGACAGCGACTCGGACACCGACGACGATGTCGATGCTCCCTCATCCGGCGTCCTCATCCAGGCCCACGTCTCTGCTGTCAATGACAGCGCACGCCGCTTCTATGAGCGTCTAGGCCTGCGGACGCGGGAGCGCATCGCGAATGCGTACAGGTAAGTCTGCTGTTCTCCTCCAATGGCTGGTCTGCGGGGAGCGGCGGGCTGGCAGCGGTGCGATGTACGCGGCGCTGACTGTCGTACGGCGAGCGTCAGACTGGCTGTTGCGCGCACACCGGCGCTGACGTGCAAGACAGGGTATCGACGATATCGGGATGCCGAGACGCCTACCTCGTCGCCGGTCGCATCAATTGCGCTGCATGAGCCATAAACATGACTATAACTCCCAGTCGCGTGTGGGCGAGCGTGTCCCGCTCGCACGCAGGGGAGCGCGATGCTATTACCCACGAGCGGGATGCCACCACTTAGAGTTCCTGTACGCATTCATGATGCATACGTACTAACTAACTTATCGCCTTCGACTTCATCACCATGTACAGTACTAGTAGAACACAATTGTACGAAGACGGAGACTCCATCGTAGCAAGACGAATAGTCGATTGTTCCGTCTGTTGAGCTGTCCTATTGATGTAACATGCATCTCAGTCTTGTACAGAGGTATCAAACAACCACGCCAGGCATGTCGTAACAGGTTTCAAGCCCGCGCAACGCTGTGGTGCCCAAGCGAAAAAAGAAAAAAATGATGAGTCGGCCCAGGTTCGAACTGAGGACCTTCTGTGTGTTAGACAGATGCGATAACCAACTACGCCACCGACCCGTGAAAGGCGAGTCAAGGTGTGCTTCCTGGATCCTCCAATGTCTGTGGATGCTTGTTGGTCGTTCATTGTCCTCAGTACTGGGTGCTGCCTGCGCCTCTTGTTTTGAGACTCATCCTCACATTGTCACAAGAATTTCCATCCGCAAAAGAACAGGGCCAAATCGCATGACAACAACTATTATATGGCTCTCCTTTACATGCCTCTTGCCTCAGACGGTAGGTAGTAACTGCATGAATGGATTCAGATTTACACACAGACCCTCAAGATGAATTTTTGGCGTAGCTCGACGCTGCCATAATGGACTCACCACTGCTATGCGCGCATCTTCCCTGCTTTCAGTCGTGCGTCATGCACGCCCGATGGTCGGGCCCATGAGCCATTCAAATGTTTCGTTGACTGGGCACCGGCATCTGAGACTGGACTTTTGCCTTACATCTCGGAAGAACGACGTCCGCTTACGGCCTCTGTCGGTGGCGGTACGGTCATGAAGCTTCCGGATGGATGTGAGGTCCTTCGCAGACTTCAATCTCCTCTTCAAGACCTGGGAATAGGTATGTGTGACATTCACTACTATCGCGTAGCTCAAATCACTGACATAGCGGGTGAAAGGTCAAAGGCAAAAGTTCAACTTTGATCACGTGGTGTGATTCGGCGAATGCCGACGCTTGCGGGAATGTCCGGCCTGATGGACTTGGTGCGCCTTTGCTTTTACCGTCATCCTATCGATATCCGGAATCGCTAGATATCGTCAAGATGACAATGTCCCCCAAGGCAGAGGATCGCTAAGTGCTAGGGAATGCTAAGCATCTTAGAAAATGCGCCTACTAAGATCGTCGCCCAAGGACATCGTATCGGCCGGTGGCGTCCTATTGGTACTACTGCTGACACCTATAACTGCAAGGGTAGGCGATCCGGTGTAGGACTGCGCCGTCCGCGACAGTCGGTATCGAACTCGAGGCATTCATTGTACTCAAAGGGCTGCCGTAGGGAACGGACGCTCGGGGAAGACGGGGTGCTCGGACAGCCAATTCGCGGAGGTCGTCTGCCAGCTAACATGACGGTAGCCCGACTGTCTGTCGCCGAGATATTGACCTATGGAAAGCTCCTCGTCGTGCGCTGTTACGCTCTATCGACGGCGTTGCTGTTCCCTCGCGTCCGCTGACCTGCCATTCCTAAAACCGGACCGACAATGCGGTTCAGCAGGCGCGTAATCGAACATCAGCGTCTGCTCCAGGCGGTGTCACAACGTCCGCCCCGGTGTCGTTCAACGTTCGTGTCGCGGTGGGCGCGCCATGCCGACATGGCCAGCTGCGGTCGGCGTGCTGCATTTGACGTGGATAATGGAGGTAAGTAACGATCAAGGGCGATGACTTCAGAGGTCGGTCATCCGGCATTCGCATTCTCTTGCGCGTTGCGTTGGTTATCGTGAATTTCATCCCTGCAGAGAACTCCATCGTAATATGAACGGTCGCTGGGCGCTCGCGTACGCCTTGGCTGTGCGGGAAGGCATCGCAAAGGCGACCCTTGGCGGAAGTAATCATGGAGATCGGGGCCCCACCATCTGTCGCCGTTACTACTCCTCCCCGAGCTCGTCAAGCGCCTGCACTAGCATTCGACGTCCACAGTGCGGTTTCCGTGCAAATCTCGGCTCCCCAGCGCGCTCTATTGCCCTGCGATGGACGTAGGTTTCGCCCCTGCTTCCCGGGAAGAACGTCTGGGTACGCTCTCGTTACGCGTGCGCGAAGCGGACATACGCGTCTCATCCTGGATCGACACGGAGATCCGAGCTAAAATAGCATCTGGGAAGCCCGTGCCTCGTGTTCTTTGGCATGCCGGAATGTCAATGTCACAAAGTACATTATGAGGTGATGACATTCATTTACCCCCGCCGTTTCCTTCTTGCCTCCTACCACCATCTCCACCTCCTCCCCTTTCTCCCCCGCCGCCCCCATGTCCATCTCCGACACCGTGAGCTCGCGGACGTCGCGTGCGAGCCGCAAAGAGAAGCGTTCGCTCGAGGTCCAGGCATCGCAGGCCAGCCGCGCGATCGATGCACTGATTGAGGTGAGCGCGCGGCGCGTTCCTTCGCGACGGGAACTCCTCTCACGCGCCCCCAGCACGAGTCCGAGCGTCGCAAGCGCGCGCGACACGCTCTCAGCGACATCCCAGGTTCGCCGTTGAAAGCTTCCGATCAGCATATCAAATACTTATACCCACTTGGCAGTCCTTGTTGTCGGGCCCTCTGGCGCAGGTGAGCGACGACGAGATGCGATCAGAGCTGGTTGCGGAACGGTAGACGTTGCATGCATTGCCCCTACGCTCAGGGGCCGAAGGCTCCTCATGACTCCATGATTTGGATAGTACTGGCCATGTCGAGGGCTTTTGTGCCGGCCAAGCGAGCTCCCAGCGTCATTACTTGTGGCGTCTATCGTATCGCCGCCACCAGCAAGGCCTTTGCTAACATCCTCCACAGGCAAATCGACGATATGCAAGCAGTTCAGCAACTTCTACGCCCCGCACGTCCTCGAGGGCGAGCGCGCTCTATGGCGGCCCCTCGTCTTCCTCAACCTCATCGCCGCCGTCCGCGCCATCATCGACGACGTAGACTACGCGGTTGACACGGGTGCAGCAGTCGTCAATCCCGAGGTCGCCGAGGTCCGCCATCGCCTGCTCCCGCTTATATCGATGGAGGACTCGCTCGTAAATGAGTTCAATCACGACACGGGCGTGGGGAGGCGCACGCGCCCATGCATGCGCCTGAGCAGCTTGCAGGACGGCGTTCCACGGCTGCCAGGGCCTGCACCTGTACGCGAGCTTGTGGCGCGAACAATCTGCGAGAGCGCACACACGATTCGCGAGCTGTGGCGTAACCTCTACGTCCAACACCTCGTGCGCGAGCGGAAGGTGCGCGTCGATACGAACGCGGCATAGTACGTTCTTTTGCTAGCGCGAGTGTTGGCATTGACAGATGCTCATGAACAGCTTCTTCAATGCGCTCCCTAGGATAGTAGACATCCCTTACGTGCCCACAATAGGTAAGCGTCCATATCGCTGAGGGCGATCATCGCGCTACCAGGTGGTCATCGTGCTATCGCAGGTGGTCATCCCGCTAAAGGTTGCGTACTTGACTGAGGGATGCTCACCTGGCTGGGATGATCAGTCGTCTAGTTGGATCATCTAGCTGGAGGAGGATGACTCAAGATCTGGATGATCATCCTCTAGCTAGAGGGTGATCATCCGCTATGCGCGGTCCCCCGTTGTCTGCTAGGGGCTTTCCTCAGCTCTAATGCTCATCTACCTGTTTACAGAGGACATCGTGCACGCGCGCGCGGACTCATACGGCATGATCGAGTATCGGATACCCACTGAGCTGCGCGGTCAGCGGAGGACGTGGATGCTGCAAGATGTGTCTGGTGTGGTAAGTCGCGGTTTTCCTGGTCGCATCCATCTGTCGCATCCTTTGCCTCCCTTGCCCGTAGTCGTCTACTTCTCGCACTGCCTCCGCCGTCCCATCACCTTCTGTCCCCATCCCCCTCGTCGCCTCTTCCCCTCCGTCGCAACCTCTCCTCGCTTCTCTTCACACGAGCCTCCCCCCACCCTCCGCATCTCCTCGTTTTCGTCATTTTCCCCTATGCCGTTGGCCAAGCTATTCATTTTTCCCACTTCCTGGCCAACTCTATTACCCTTTCCTTGAGAAGACATTCATTTTCCCACTGGCTGGCCAGCTCAATTGGCGAAGTCTACGACCCTCTCCTAACCCTTCTAAAAGCCGGATTCCATCACCCGGAGTCTGTTGCCTCGACCCTTGATCCCCACGTTCATTACCGCTCGTCCCTGTTCCTAAAGGGCCATCTCTTCATTGCCACTCGATTATCTTTCATATCCACTCGATTCTCTTCGTCGCCACCTGTTTCTATCTCGTGACTGACCAGCCATCTTTCATTACTATCTTATTTACCTTCTGCCTCCTTCCTCATCGCGTCTATCGCTCGCGGCCTCGCCATTCCTCTCTATCGCCCATCACTCCGTCCCATCGCCCACCCCCTCATTCCCACCTAACCTTCCTTCACCGACGCCCAGACCGTGCTGACCATATTTACAGGGAGGTAGGGTGCGTAGTCTCGCTCTCGTCAGATGACTGGCGGGGTTCCTGATTTGCTTGCTTCTTCATTGCCCTCACTCGTGTCTTCGTCGCCTGGGTGCGTGTTCGTCGCGTGGCTCTGTTCGATTTGTGCCGTTATCCCTCCTCGTTGACCGCGGACGCTTCGACGGAACCTTGCTCTGCTTCCATGGCGAATGTTCGCGCGCCCTACAACCTTGTGGACGCCTTCGACTTCTGACCTCGGCCCGCCCATTTTCAACCTAACCCATCTCACTCGCGTCTGCTGTTCGTCGTATGGCCGCCTGTTCATCGCATGGATCCCTTCTGTCGCCTACGATCCGACTTTCCATCCGCGGTTCACCTCTCGACGTCGCCTGCTTATCGTTCCTTAACTTGCATCTGCCCACCTTGCATCGCTCGCCTACCAATCATCCCCATCGACCTCCTGCCCGTCCTCCGCCGACCTCATGACGTCCTCTGGCCTGTCGTTTGTCGCATGTGCCCTTTGTCCTTCCTGTCACCCGTACTCGTACTGGTACTGCTCCCCCTGTCGTGCTCTGACAGAAACCTGTCTGGGCCAACTTCTTCGATGGTGAGTGCTGAACTCTCTTTCTTGACGCGAGGAGATGCTCTCACGCGTTCACCTGTCCGCTCTCCGCGCGTCTGCCGTCTTGCATGCTCATGCTGACCCACCCTCTCTAGCGGACGGTCTGTCCAAGGCTTCGAAGACAATCGTGTTTGTGATGTCGATTGCGGCGTTTGACGAGGTGAATTGTGGATTTGACTGTCGATGTCACGGTTTGGCTGGAGCGTGACGGTCACGGTTGAATTGTGGCGGCTCACGTGTGGGATGCAGTTGTTCTGCTATAGTGCTAGCAGTGCCTCTCGCTCGTCTATCGAGATCTCCGATACCCGTTTCCCGAAGGCTCACTGGCATGGACGACCTCATCAAGGAGATACTTACTGACACCTCTCCACAGTACATCCTCGAAGAGCCCTTCACGAACTGCATCGAGCACGCGCTCAAGATGTTCGCCGAGATTTGCTCCAATCGCCTACTTGCGGGGGCGCACTTCATCGTTATGCTGAACAAGTGCGACGTGGTGAAGCAGAAGCTGCAGCGCGGGGTGCGGGTGCGGGAGTTGTGAGTGTTTTCCTCCTTCGACTCGCTAGGAAGGGGCATATGTCCCGACCTGTACGTCTTAATCAGCATATGCTGACCCCCGCAACAGCCTTCGTGGCTTTGGTAAACGGCCCAACACCTACGACGAGTACGCGGACTTCATCCGCGCGCACGTCGAGCGCGTGTACGAGCGGCGGCCCGGTGCGGACAGGATGCCGGGGGATGGGAAGCGGTTGACGGTGGTGAGTGACTCTCATGGTCGAGCTTGGGTGTGACATGGGCTGATGGAGGGCTCTACAGTATTTTACGACGTTGGTGGTGAGTGGACGAGGGTCAAGCGATGAGGCAGCGCAGCACTAATAAAGCTGCAGAACATCAAAGAGACGCAGAATATCTTGACTGGATGTGCGTTCGCGTCTATTCAGCGTCGTAGCGTAGCTGATGACATTTCACAGTGGGCGAGGTCATACAGAGCCAGCGAGTCCAGCTGCCTTCAGAGTGCTCTGCCTGATTGCAGCGCCAGCATCTGTCTTCCCGCTTTGGAACGAGCCCCGCCTCATGCATACCCACCTACGACTCGATAATAACGACGATGTACGATATCCAATCAACGCCGTGCGGTAAAATCCACCCCCCTACCATACGGTAAAGTCCGTCGCCCACCATGTATTTCCCTTCCTCCCGCCGGCTTGATTCGCTTTGTGTACCTACTTGCACTGTATTTACACCTTCCAGCTTTCTTCGTTTGTCGCTCTTCTACTTCTTCCTGCTTTCTATCGACTTTCGCGCCGTGTTTTCTTCCCGCACAAACCCTTTTTCTCTTTTCCTTACTCGTCCCGATTTTCTGGTCTCTACTTTCTCGATCACGACTTACTGTTTCTCGTCCCCTATCCTATACGAACCTCCCGCTGTCTTTAAGATATAGCTTTCCTCGCCGTATTTCCATGACTTCTTTCCTCGACATACGACCATCCTCCCCATCGCCTCTATACGGCCGCTTTAGCCATGCACGCCGTCCTCCGCATTCCGCGCCTTCTCACTCGAATCAACCTGTTGGTCTCAGACGGAGAAGTATCCGTGTTGCACCTCGCTATGCCACAGTACGAGGAGCCTCGGTCGTATATACTACAGAGACGAGTAGGTGCGCACGAAATACCAGAGAAGTTCGAGGGCACCTCGCTGCACTGCCTGACTTTGATACTTTGCCTCTGAACTAGAGGAAGCCCCGGGTGCGCCGGATGCATACCTTGCTTGCACCTCGCGCGTGAGTCTGAATCCTGCTATCGGTGGCAGAGCTCGTCGTGTGGTGCCGTGCAGGACATGTGGACGAAAGTGTCTGCGCATTTACCGATGTTGTCTTCGGAACGTGCTACGCACATGGGGTCATTTTTGATGGGGTCAATAAGACACGGGAAAGACCTTGTTGCCTCTGAATGTCTTTACGAGTTCATCGGCGACTAGGTGCCGCTGACATGGCGGCCTCTGCTAATCTGGAGTTTCGACTGCGCGCTGTAGCCATTCACTGAACGGCAGCGCAGCAGCTGTTGGTCAGAGGTCCTGTACTCAGCACGGCTGTGTCGAAAACTTTTGAGCCGCGTCTTCGTCGCTGTACGGCGAGCCGTCTGTGTGTATTCTGTCTGAGGGCATTGTATAGTCCCAAACAATTCAGGAAAAATCAGGAGTATTTCTGGCTTGACTCCTGTCCAATTCCAACAACCCAGGTGCGTCTAGATAACCGCCAGAGATGGCCCTTGCACTTGGACCCACACCGTTGTCATGCCATTCATGCCCGAAAGGGGAAGGGCTTCCGGAGCGGCGGCCGGTTCGAGGCCGGTTCGATGACGGCGCGGGCGGATGAGCGGGCACCGGACTTGTCTTCACTCGACCACCGCCATCAACGCCAACGACGACCAGGCCATGTCGTCGTCCTCCTCGGCGACGTCCACATCCTCAGCATCTGCCTCGGCGTCCTCCGCGGCGTCGGGCAGCGTTTCGGCCCCCAGCAACCTCAAGGTGCGCGGCGCATACCATGCATAGCGCGGACGCTGACGCGCGCGGTGTGCAGGTGGTCGGGATCATACTGGCGGTGATCTCTGGTCTGCTGATTGGGTCCAGCTTTGTATTCAAGAAGAAGGGGTTGCTGCGCTCGCAGGCCGGGCAGGTAGCAGGGGAGGGAGTCGCGTATCTCAAGTCGGTGTGTGCTGGCGTCTTCCCCCTTGAATATATGCTAATCGGTCGCAGCCATTATGGTGGTTAGGGATGACCAGTATGTGTGCAGTGGTTGCGGTGGATGTGTGGCTGAACTTGGTTTAGTGATGATTGTCGGCGAGCTATGTAACTTTGCTGGTGCGTATGCTTGTCCTACCGCCACAATCGATCTCTGACAATATTACTCCGCAGCATATGCCTTTGTTGAGGCAATTGTTGTGGTACGCATCCTCCCCTCCCTATCGCGACACATTCTCAAAGCACGTTCAGACCCCTCTCGGCGCTCTATCGGTCGTCGTCTGTGCCATACTGTCCTCTATATTCCTCAAAGAGAAGCTCAGTTTCTTCGGCTGGCTCGGATGCGGTCTTTGCATCGTACGCACATTCCCCTTCCTTCCACACATACTCTTAGAACTGCACTCAGCTCGGCTCTGTCATCATCGCCCTCAACGGTGCGTTCGATCGGTCTTACGACTTAGTCTCGCGCTCACACTGCCCCCAGGTCCCACAGAGGAGTCCGTAGGGCAGATTAGGGAGTTTCAGAAGCTCTTCCTCGCACCCGGTTTCCTCGCTTACGCGGGCGTCCTCATCGTCGCAGCCGCTGTCATCGTATTCTACTTTGGCCCGAGGTATGTCGCGTGATACTCCCCAATTCGCGAAGACCTAACGAGGCGGTTCGTAGATATGGCAAACAGCACATGTTATGGTACATCATGGTCTGTAGTATGATTGGGGGTATCTCTGTTAGCGTTACTACCGGCCTCGGCGCCGCCATCGTCACCTCTGCACAAGGAGATAATCAGGTAGGGTTGGTCGATGCTCATAGTGATCGGAAAGCTGACAAAATATCGTAGTTCAAATACTGGTTCATCTACTTCCTCATGGGCTTCGTCGTCGTCACACTCCGTATGTGCTGGCCAAGAAATAAGCGGCCGCTTCTCATCACATCTACAGTCACCGAAGTCTATTACCTCAATGTAGCGTTAGCATTGTTTAACACAGGCAAGTCTCCTCGTACTCCTACGCGTGTTGTAAAGCTGACGTGTCCTCAGCCATGGGTGAGTACGATTGCTTCGAAATCGTTGACACTTTTTTGACCTGTGTACAGTCACACCGACGTACTATGTCATATGTAAGTCCTCTTCACCTACGAACTTCCTATCATGCTAACATCGAGATAGTCACCTTCTTTTCCATGGTTACAACAATCGTACGGACGCTTATCCTGATCGCGATCCTTCCTGACCCCTCCTAGGTCTTGTTCAAGGGCCTTGCCGCCCCTGCCAACCAAATCATCACGATGGTCATGGGCTTCCTCGTCATCTGCGTCGGTATCACGATCCTCCAGATGTCCAAGGTCGACCCCGGCTCCCTCAAGAAGCTCGATCGCCGCTCGACCATGCTCCTGCAAGCTGCGCGCTCGCAAACCGAAGGCATGGACGAGAAGGACCCGGAGGCCTTCGAAGAGCCCGGCATAGACACTCTGCGCGGCTCCTTCGGTGCGATGGGTAGCGTCATCCGCGCACGGAGCGCGAGGAGAGCGAGCATGAACAGCAACCTTTCCCATCGCTCTCGCCCACTTGGCGCTGCCGCGCCCATTGACCGGACACCGACCTGGTTGCGCAACGATCCTACAACACCTGGATCTGCACCTGCACGAACGCTCAGCCAGATGACGAAGCATCAGCTATACGACGCGCCGGTACCAGGAGCGATGTCCGAGGGCCGTGCTTCCCGTACCGCGTCGATGGCGAGCTCCCAATTGGCGGCACGCCAACCGACGATCAAGTTCGGGGCGGAGGATGTCGTTCACCAATACCATCCCACAAGCGCACTGCCAGGCGCCTTCGACACCAGCGCAATACACGAGCATCGCGCAGCCGTCGGGTCGCCAGCACCACCGAACTCCGCGTACCCGCCAGCACCGTCAGATAGCGGCGTCGACTTCCTCGGGACGAACCGCGCGGGCACTGAGAGCGAGCGCGGAAACAGCATGCTCTTCCCACCAGACTTCCCTGACGAACCGGGCGTGCAGAGCGCGCCGCCTACGGTGCTCCGGCGCTTTGAAACTGAGGCGATGCGCCTGTCGCCCGATGCGCTCGTGCCACCGCCGCGCACCGGCAGCATGCTCTCCTTCCCGAGCGTGACCGACAGCGCGCACAGCCGGCCGAGCTGGACGCTCGAGGACGACTACAAGGAGGGCAAGCGCGAGCGGCCGGGGACTCAGGAGCGCGGGCGGTCCGCGCGGTCGTCGAGGCACTACCCGCGGGGAACGGAGGACGATGACAGGGAGGAGAGCATGAGCTTGTGGCGAGGTAGCACTGCAGCGGAGACGGGCTCGGATTCGGATACGGCATCGGACTCGAGTCTGGCGGCGCGTGGGGGGATACGGCTGGTGCCATCGAGGACGTGAGGAACCTTATCGTGTGCGTATTAGGTACCGCCCATCCTCTTTCCTTGCCATCCATCCATCCATCCAGTCCTATTCCACTCGATCTCGACCTCTGTTGCCCACCATAAGGCCGGCATCGGGTACCCCGCCCACCTATCGTTCCTCTGGCAAGGACCCTGCCCTCTAGATACAGTAAGCCGCACGGACGGTCAACTACGGGCGCCCATCTTTGTTTGTCAACCATAGTATCTATTGTACTGCAGTTACACTTTACAGTTCAGTTTTGGTCTCGTTACTGCCTTGGATTCGCGGACCGGTTGGGCAGTGGTATATAGGATGTACATGTTTGTTATCTAGATACTACTAAGCCGTGAACGATACGTCTTGAGCTGAGCTCGGGGCTGATTTGGGAAGGGTGTAGACGTGGCTTGCATGGTAAGAGAAGGGTTGGATGACTGCGGCACATGCAAAGGAGTATAACTGGCGAAGCGGCAAAAAATGGAAGATCTAGCATATGCATTAAGGGGGAATCGAACCCCCGGCGGGTCGAACGTTGCTCGCTTGGCAACGACCCAGGTTACCACTACCCCATTAATGCTCGCAAAAGGCTGTCTTTTGCTTAACCATTGCGTGGCAAGGTCTTTTGCTTGACCATTTCGTGGCAATGTGTTCGTCCTACACTAACGGATCTGGTCTTGCTTTGCGGTTGGGGTCTCAAACTTAGCTCGCATGGTACGCGTACAGGCGGACAGAGGCTGACAGGCGTTACTGAAGGGCGCCATACACGATCGAAGGGAACTATGAGCTTGCAGAGCAAGGTAATTAACCGAGCAGAAAAACAGAAGGAAACAACAAGGGGGTAGTGCACTGTGTAGAGAAGTCGAAGAAAATACGTAAAGGCACTGGTAGGCGCTCGGGATCGCCGAGAGAAAAGCTACACTACTGAAAAGACTACTGCTACCGAAAGATCTATCTACTGAAGTTTAAGTGAAGGTCAGAAGAGCCGGCCAGACAATATGGGATATCGAGGGGAGTTATTGGGTATAGTTGCGAAATAGAAAGTGAGTCGAATGAAATGGGGACGGAGGTTGACGGAGGGCGTCTAGTGGTTGGCGGGAACGTCAAGCTGGAAGTGCTTCTCGACGCCGTTGTAGTCTATCCATAACTGTAGAAACCATGAGAAATCGCAGGCTGAAGCGTCATCCAACCAACACACCTCTGAGCATTCCGTGTCATCCCAGCCCTTGTGCTTTGGGTGATTCCTGAGATGGCGCTCGAACGCGTCCTCCCTCGCGTAGCCTTCCCGGCGGCAGGTGAGGCACTGATATGGTCCGTTCTTCTTCTCTGCGCCCCACTTGAGGTGCGTGACGATGTGGCGGGAGAGGTTGCACAAGTTATCCCTTACTGCGGGGCATATGCTGCACGCGATGTGGCCCTTCAATTCCGGGTCCGCGTTGTCGAAGCCGAGGTTGATGTGGCCTGGGGCGTCCACCGGGGTGATGATGCGGCGGAGGACAGGATGTATCTTGACGTTGGTGCCGATGACGCTGGCTGCCGCGTCCTTAGGTACGACTCGGGATGGGCGAGACGACGATGCGCGAGAGGTGGAAGAGGCAGAGGTTGCGGTTCTCGACCTGGACTTCTGAGTGGACGCGCGGGATTTCGTGGTGGCAGGCCTGTCGTAGGGCTTCTTCGCAAGACGCGAGCGTCTCGCATTGCGGCGCGGCAAGGGTGCGGGCGAGCTAGATGGGGGCTCATAAACAGAGCCGGAATCGTCATCGGAGACGGGCTCGTCAGCGGCAGGGGCTTCGTTAGGGACGGGCTCGTCTACGTCGGCCTGATGCAGAGGCAAAGCGGTGTGATAGGACATAGGGAAAGCAAGAGTCTTGATGCCCGTAGTGCGTGGGCCGCAGCCGGCGACAGGGTGCGGCTCGTGAGTCGTCGAGTCACAGGCGGGGATGAAGCGAACGTCTTCAGGCGTAGAGCTGGGGCGGACGACTTCGGGCGTGAGCGCTAGCGAGTACTCATCGTCCTCCTCACCATCAGCGTCGGTGTCGGAGAGGTCGTCGAGAGAAGGTGTCAGGGCCGCGTCAGAGAGCTCGCGCTGGCGCTTGGGCGCGCGGCCCTCATCTTCAGCGTCGGACCGAGCGCGCTTCTTATGCTTGGTGTCCGGATCGACGTAGTACGTCGCGTAGGCAGTAGAAAGGTGGGCGGAGCTGGCATCGACGATGGCATAGGATACGGAGTCGAAGTGAGAACGCTTGCGGTGAGAGTGAGCGGCGGCGGATGGCTTGCCGGACGCGGAGCGCTTGCTGCCGCGCGAAGTGGGGCAGCTTAACGAGGCGGAACCGGTGGCATCGGGCGCAATGACGGTGGGGGCTGTGGTTGGTGCGGCGGGGACCTCGGGGTAGACGATGCGATAGTCAATGGGCTTCATGATGTCGGCCATGCTCTCGACACCCCATGCGTGAGGGTCAGACATGGTGAGGAAGCACGCGCACATCGCGCTCGTGTGCTCGTCCAGGATGCGCCCATTGAAGATGTCCTGGGTAGTGACGGCGTCGCCGCTGTTCAAAGCGTCCTGGATAGGCAGGGTATCAGTATGTGTTGAGTAGAGCACCTGCCAAGGCCGCTCACCAGGTATAGCTTGCAGTTGGAGGCATAGGTGAGTTGGCGTTGGATATGGGCCTTAGCGCGGTCGGTGAGCTGCTGCAGGCGGAGCATCAGGATCTCGCAGGCAGGGCTCAAGCCCTTCTCGTCGATGAGTTCGAGGAGTCGATGGTTATGGAAGATGACCGAGCGGGCCATGATGGAAGATGGGGAAAGTCTCGGGGCGAGGTAGACTTCGCCCTTGCCGATGTCGACGTCGTCGACGAAGACCGTGACTGGCGAGCCGTCCTCGTTGAAGTCCGGCTCCGAGTCGTTCTGCAGAAAGAAGCCCGACATGATGGAAAGCGGCTGCCAAAAGGGTTGATGACTTCGGTAAGGGAAGGATGTGGGGGTAGTTTAGCTGTTGGATCTGGTAAGGGAAAGCCATCGTCGTTGCAGCCACCGTTATAAGTCTCGCACGAGGAGGGCTATGAACACTGATCGTTCTACCAATCTCCTGCAGGATAAGGTTAGGCGCCCGTCTTGCGTATGATAAGAAGCCTGGTTTGTGTCGTCGGCACGATGGCCGGGGTTGCTAGCGCCACAAAAGAAGCACACTGCCTCGACAAAGCTCGAACACGAGGCGCGCTGCCATTGAGTTGCCTCGTGCGAAGGTCACAAAGGGGTGAAGACGGCGCGAGCGGCGAGCTGCCGCAGGGGGTACGCGCAACCTCGACTCACATGGGCTGCGCTTCTGCAGCACAGCAGCATGTTTCGGGTGTGCAGACCATTGACAGCAGGAGGATGACTCGATGATGCCCCGGTAGCGAGAATGCGAAAAGCTGGTCCTAGGAATCGGGACGGCCCGTGTTTCTGGCTGCGCTATCCAGTATTAAGCCATGCCTTGGGACGCCGAATGTCTTGATATACGAAGGCGTAGGGGCCAGCGAGGGAGAGCGAAGTTGCAGATCAACTTGGGGCTAAACTTCCGAATCCGGTCAAGGGAGTCATCCCACGCCATGGACCTACAAGCCTACATACCCTTTTCATAGGACCTCCCGTACACCTTTCCCCTTACATTCCGCGCCTCTCGAAAAGCATCAGTGCCCTTGTAGAATATAGCATCATCTTACTGACTATAGCTCACCGCAGTTTGTCGTAGGTACAAGACGCGGTATGCAAATGTATTTTCTCCCCGTCATCCCACGCGAGCAGCAAAATAACCGCTTATTAGGACGTATTAGTAGAGAGAATTATCAAGTTCTGCACTTAAGAAATGGAGCTCCACTTGGTGAAGCAGCAAATTCAGAACTTACGATGACTGATGAATTTCCTTGCGATGCAAGTGCGTAGAGTACCGACAAGGGTGCAGCCTTGGCGGGGGGTTCGGCGAATGGCAGGCAGCGCAGGGAGGAGCTTTGAATTATGTTGGAGCACACATTGTTGGGGAGCGCGGGCGAGGTCCTTGCGCGTCCGTTGGCGCAGACTCACGCTACGCGAAGGTCATCGGCTTGCGGTCCAGTGCAGACTCAGAGTCCTTCCTGCATTTCATCGTTCTGCCTCTGCATTTAATCAACGAATTTACTTGACTTTTCACTGACCTTCTCGTTAGTGAATTCTCTGATAATTATCGAAACTGATACGTCCTATTCTGCTCTCTCATGTTTAAGATAGGAAACCACAGGACTGAGCATGGTCAGAATAGCCTTCAGCTTTGTAGAGGACGCGGTATGCTCCCTGGGTTTGGCTTGGTGATCACCTTGCAAGAGTTCAATGGCATGCTACTCATGTACTCCACTTATCGCTGTCGCGTATCTGTAGGCTGCAGTATCCTCTGTTGCAGCCGAGCACAGATGCGGGATGCCCTGGGTAGCTAAATTGAACACGCAACACACGTGGGGGTCACGCGTGTCGCTCCCGATGATCGGGATGCGAGAAGAGAGTTAACGTTCTTTCCTGCCATCATGTCTCCCCTCGGCAGTGTTCGCCCATCTCACCTTCATAAGTTCTGAGCGGAGTGCTTTGATAATGTGCAACGTCTTTGCGTTATTCCGAGAGTATGAGTCGTCTTGCGGCGCACCACAGATACGAGTTACACGACCGAGGATCGCCAGAATGGTGCACCAATCATATGGATCTGCACATATACTGCTTACTGTAAGCCCCTCAAGTACGCTGCTCATTGCTGACAACGCGATGCGATCTCAATGCACGGTGCTACCTCTTTGCTCCCTCGGGCACCGTCCGCAAGCTCGTACGGGCCTTCATCGGTGTTCTGTCCCCTCGGACCATCGCAACGCTCACCCTCGAACGCGTCGAAGCACCCTGCCACTGACATCATATTCGCCCGACAAACGTCCTCTCAAACTCTTCCCATCATCGCCCGCTTCTCTCGTGATTCCGGTTTAACCCCGAGCTTGCACGTCCTCCGACGTTCATCCTCGCCGCAACCGCCTCGAAGGAGGGAACAGAGACAGTAGTGCCTGCGGACTGAATGCATATAAAGCGCAGGTGCCAGGGCCAGGAGAGACAAGCCAGGCCCCGAACACCATGTTCTCTCTTACTGCTGCATTCGTCGCCGCCTTCCTCGCCTCTACCGCCGCCGCGCATGGAGGTGTGAACGACTATGTGATCGACGGTATGTATATTCAGCTTGAACTTTGCGCTCAGCTGACATCGAAATGCTACAGGCGAGACCTACGCCGGATGGGAGCCGTACAACAGTGCTGATGGCCAGTCGACCATCGAGAGGCCGTACAGTATGTTCATATCTTATGCATTTTCTATTCAATGCGCTTATTTCTATTAGGCTCGTACAACCCGTAAGCCAAGACTCGTCAAATTCCCTGAAAATGTTACTAACAAGTTCAAAGCATCATGGACGCCACCGACGCCGTGAGTAGCTCGAGACTAATGCCACGACATACCTGACGATCAGCGTAGACCATTCACTGCAACGACGATGGCACCGCCGGCGCAGGTCAGCAGACCGCGACCATCGCCGCCGGTTCCGAGATCACCGCCAAGTGGGACCAGTGGACGCATCGCGAGGGCCCCGTCATGGTCTACCTCGCCAACTGCGGCGGCGACTGCACCTCCGTGAACAGCGCCGACCTCAAGTGGTTCAAGATCGACGAGGCTGGCCTACTTTCGGGCACGGTTGGCGACGGTGAATGGGGCAACGGCGTCGTTGTCGACACCCTTGAGTGGACGTCTACCATCCCGGAGAGCCTCGCGCCGGGCAACTACCTCATCCGCGTAAGGAGCGAGTGCGTGACGACCATCGGTGTGCTGACCGTTAACTTATAGCACGAGCTCCTCGCTATCCACCAGGCCAACACGCCCCAGTTCTACCCGGAATGTGCTCAACTTGAGATTACTGGCTCTGGTAGCGCCACGCCCAGCGACGAGTACTTGGTCACCTTCCCTGGTATGACAAGCGTTCTTTTGTCGTTCGAATTGATCTTAGCTGTATTTCAGGCGCCTACTCGCCCTCCGACCCCGGCATCGACATCGACATCTACGACGCCACCACGGGCGCGGAGACCACGTACCCGGTAGGTTCTTCTGCCTTAGGCATATTCTGGAGTACGCTGACCTCTTGAAGGTCCCGGGCCCGTCCGTCTGGAGCGGTTGAAGGGTGCGTTAGTGTTTCCCTTTTCGCGGAGCATGGTGGTTTTTCACTCAATCTGTATGTAAGTGTACTGGTGTAAATGTTTTTTTGTGGTTCAATGTGTTGTACGCGTTCACATCAACCCTTCTCGAGCCCCGAAGATCAAGCGTCAACCTTGCAACGATGGCCTACGGGATCTCTGTCGAGGCATCACATGCACCCGACGAACTTCCTGCTAGCCTCGGTAACCTGTCCCGTGAGCGTCCTCCGTATACGAAGACGCTCGACGCCTTCCGACGTTCATCCCAAAAGTCTCTGACCATCGTGCACGGAACTTACCCAGCGTCTGTGCCTCCAGCGAAGACACCCTCGCCATGAGACGCACCCTCTCGATGAGGCGAAGAAATTGACGACACCCGTTCCTGACTTCCTTCGGGAGGCCGTCTATTCCATCCTCACATATAAGCCTCGGTGCCGCCCTGTGCATGGTCAACCGACGGTCAAGATGTTCTCTTTCACCGTTGCCTTCGCTGCTGCTTTCCTAGCCTCCACTGCCGCCGCGCACGGCGGTGTGAGCAGCTACATCATTGGTGGTGAGTTTGATGTCTAGATGAGGGGGGCGACTGACTGAGATCCTCGTCGCAGGCCAGGAGTACCCAGGATGGGAGCCGTACAATAGCCCGACTGGCCAGTCGAGCATCGAGAGGCCGTACAGTGAGTGATATCGATGGTACTGCTCTCTTCGTCGACTGAGCTGCCTTCCATAGGCACCTACGATCCGTAAGCCGCTCCTGTGCCTCGTCTCTCCATCATTCCTTGCTCACCCACACTCCCGCCCAGGATCATGAGCGCTACCGCTGCGGTAAGCTCCCTACTGCCTCCCCCGACTGTACCCAACTCACTTATCTGGCCTCCTTACCCATAGACCATCCACTGCAACGACAACGGCGCCGCCAGCGGGAGTCAGCTCACCGCCAACGTCACCGCCGGCTCCGAGATCACGGCCAAGTGGAAGCAGTGGACGCACCGCGAGGGGCCGGTGATGGTGTACATGGCGGACTGCGGGGGCGACTGCACGAGCGCGAACAGCGCGAGCCTGAAGTGGTTCAAGATCGATGAGGCGGGTTTGCTGTCAGGGACGGTGAGTGCGATGTGGAGAGGCAGAGGGTGAGAAGGTCAAGGACTGACCCGTGAACGATGCTTTAGGTCGGCGCTGGGGAGTGGGGCAACGGTATCGTGGTCGACACCCTCGAGTGGACGTCGACTATCCCAGCGAGTCTGGCGCCCGGGAACTACATGATTCGCGTGCGTATCGAGTTCCTTACTTGACCTGATCCATTCTCCCTGCTCGCGCCTTCTAAAAACAACGCCATACTGACGCCTGAATTTCCCCGTAGCACGAGCTCCTCGCCATCCACCAGGCGAACACGCCCCAGTTTTACCCCGAGTGCGCGCAGCTGCAGGTCACCGGCGGCGGAGGCGCGAAGCCGAGCGGGCAGTATCTCGTCTCCTTCCCTGGTACGTACTGGTTTTCCTGGCTATCAGCTTGCGTGCTTGGCGGTCCGCATCGGCGTGCCAGAAATTTAAGCGCAATGCTGGGATTGGATGGACTCGCAAACTGGAAATGAGCATAAGGCTTACTTCGCACACAGGCGCATACTCAGCCTCCGACCCGGGCATCAACATCAACATTTACGACGCATCGACGGCTGCTTTGACGGCGTACCAGGTGAGAGTCACATCCTCCTTTGAGTGGGGAGAGCAACGGCTGACTTATCTCACCTCAAGGTCCCGGGCCCCGCTGTCTGGAGCGGGTGAAGGAGTGATGTCGAAACGACGGTTTCTAGCGAGAAAGCTATTAGGAACTTCTGTAAATTGATAGCGATACAAGGGGGAATAGTGTTGTACATTCAATGGTTTTGTGAATGATCGACTTGGGACGATTATTTACGTTTACTTTGAAGCCTATCGGGATGAAGCGACGCGATCCGTGCGCTGAGAGACTGCTGAGCTGAGGCCGAGCCGACGAGCGACTATTGCCGACCTGACAGAAGAAAACAGGAGATCGCTGCGCATGTCATTGTCGAGCGTCAGGAACTGCATAAATTCGGGGTGCTGTCTTCGTCATGTCAGACGAGAATGCAAGCCTCCATGCGGTGGCAAGACGGGGTCGACGAGCCAAGAAGGTTCCGCGGAGTTGAAGTTTTGAGCAGGAGACGAGGTGAAAGGGTATAGATCTTCCTTTTGTTTGCCACAAAATACGTTTGGATCGGAGTAGGCCCTGTTGAAGGAATACAAGAGGTATACCCCTGGCATCGAGGACGATCGACACAGAACCACACGTAAAGACGTACATTCGTCCGCGCAAGCCATGGAAAAGTTACGCATACAACAAGGTGGGCGACGGCGAGCATGCGCTATCATGTCGAGCAGGTGTTCAATTTATCACTGTCAAAGATTGACCATGCCTAATCGGGGCCTCCGAGAAGGTTGACGTCGTCTGTGGGAAGGGTGATGTTGGCTGCGGGAGAGGTCTAGAACACAGCGAGCTTAAACATGCGATGTCCGTACGTTGGCCGCAAGGATACAAGGCTTTCTGAATACAGGGCAGCGAACCGGCGAGGGGGAATCGCCGAGTCACTGAACTTGGGCTGGAGGAGATGCGGTAAGTTGCCGTCAGGAAGCTGTAGACTGCACGGAAGGCGCAGAGCCGTCAACAGCGATGCGCAGAATATTTGTAGACTTTCCAGATATGGGTTCATGAAAGGCAGAGGAGATGAACGTCAAATGGACTTGGCGGCGGGCGATGCGGCAGCAATTTCACACGCTCCACGTGACACTTCCTTCTTTCGGCGCTTAATCAATATTATTATTCGACATCTCTCCCGCGACCGTCATATCTCCTCCACCGCCCCCTTCATGCCGCACATACATTAGGGCCCACCAAGAACAGCGACGACAACTCACCTTTAGCTCTCACACCCACGAACACGATGACCGCGACGGACACGATGACCACGACCGCGGTCACACTCGACATGATGGACATGAAAGGCGTACTCGACCACAATGGCCGTTCAGTATACGGCCCCGATGCAGAGAAGACGGCAGAGATATCAAAGGATACGGCGGAGATTGCACCGTGGCTAATGCCCGACGAAGCAGTGAGTTTCTGCTCGCAGTTTGTGGTGTTCGGGACCATTGTCGGTTGAGGGAAGGATGTGCATGCGCGGCTTGTGTGAAGCATGCACTGCATGAAAGGCAGCAGTACAAGAGAGGCGGAAGAGTATGGGATCTGCAATGGGACGACCAGAACGTCGTTTGGCTTCGACTGGCTGCGCCGCACCCATCCCTTCCCCGGAGAACTGTCGACGGCAACGCCGGTGTAGGACGGCCGCCTGCCCGCGCTGCTCTCGGCCTGAGCGGAGTGCTTCTGGCAAGAATGGACGTTTGCAACCATCTGGACGCGTCGACAGCAGCGACAGCAGCGCTCATGTCCCTGTGCTACGAAAGCGATGGATGCATGCATTGTTTTACTGACTACTACATCATCCAGCCTGCCCCTCCCCACAAGCACTCCGTTTCCAAGTTCGGATTCCACAGCAAATCATCATTCAATGTTTTACGACCGACGGCGGGATCGAGTTCCTCGCGCCCGAGCCGCACGTCAGAGTCCCTCAGCACAGTCAGCATCGCCGAATCGACCTCCACGCACGACTCCCAGGCCACCTCCTCGAGCAGCTCTCCCCCGGACTTGCGCAAGAAGTCCTCGGGATTCATGAACCTCAGCTTTCTGAAGAAGCGCTCGAGCAAGCCAGCGCTACGGCGCGAATCCGCCGATCATCCATCCCTTCGTCCCCCACCTCCTCCTTTGCCGGACAGGATCCTTTCAAATGACACGCCACCCTCCTCTTTCCTCTCTGCATCCCCACCCAGCTCGATCACCTCGCGCACCAGACGCAAGCGCAGCAAGCAGCCCTCCATCTCCCCCGCTCCCCCACCGCACAAGAAGGACAAGAGGGATGGCGACTACTCCGAGTTCGGCAGCATCGACACCAACTTCGAGAACATGGACGGCATCATCGACCTCTCGCGCACCAGCGGCACGGCGTCCTCCGATGTCACGTTCAACAGGAGCTTTGACGCGAACGCGCCCGATTACTACGCGAATCTGCGGCAACCGCCCGCCCACCATCGATACCTCGGCACCCACACGCCTTTGTCCTTCGAGGACTTCATCAATCCATTCAGCCCGGCCGCGCAGGAGCACGTCGCAAAGCGGAAGCCGTACGACGAAGGTCGGAAGGTGTCGCCGACGACCGTGCTGCCTGTCGGCCCGGACAGCCCGTCGTGGACGCCGCCGGAGAGTTGGGCGGTAGAGAAGGAGGGCGTACAGGAGGAAGCGGACTTCAGTAGCTCGGACGACGGTGCAGGGCCGTCAGCGAGCGCGCCGCCGACGGTGCCCTCGTCGTCGAAGCACAAGCGGCGGAAGCGGAAGACACTGCGACCTGCACCGAAGGATCAGTACAAGATTCGAATATACCGGCCGGACAACAAGCATCACGTCGTGCTCATCGGGTACAATGTCACCGTCGCGAATCTCATCCCGGCGCTGCAGAAGAAGGCGAATGAAGGCGTGGCGGCGGACCAGCTGGCAACGGAGAGTCTACGATCGGACGATGCGGCGAACATCGCAGACATGGCACAGAATAAGCTGTACTTGAAGGAGCGTGGGCGAGGTGCGTAGCGCGACAGCGGGAAGTGGGTATATGCGCTGACTATATGCGCCTATAGAACGTGTCCTTGCTCCGTCAGAGCGGCCTGCGGACATCTTGAAGAGGAGATTGGAGATGGCGGGGTACGAGCCGACGGATGGCATCAACACGATCGGCGAGGAGGACCTAAGCTTTCTTCTGAAGTTCGGTTGGAAGACCCAGGTGTTGGGCCCAGCGGTGCGTCTCATTTCAGCTGATCACGATGCATTGCTGACTTTCTCGAAGGAGGAGGATCTCGTGTTCGACAACTTTGAGTACGTCGACCTCACCGCGCGCAGCCTACGCACCATCCCCGTCGTCCTGCACAAGAACGCCGACTCCATCCACTCCCTCAAGCTCTCCCGAAATCCCATGCTTGAGATCCCTCTCGACTTCATACAGTCCTGCACCACCCTCCGCGAGCTCCGTCTGTCGAACATGGCAATCAAGAAGGTCCCACACAGCGTCCGTCACAGTAAGACGCTCCAGCGTCTCGATCTCTCCTCTAACCGCATCGCCGACCTCGACGACGCCTACCTCTCCGAGATCCCCGACCTCATGGCGCTCTTCGTGCAGAACAACCGCATGGAGCGCTTACCATGGCACTTCCCCCGCCTGCGCAACCTCGTCACGCTTAATATATCGAACAACAAGTTCAACGAGTTCCCGACGGCGGTCACGCAGCTCGTGCAGTTGCAGGACCTTGACATCTCGTTCAACATGATTTCGGAGTTACCTGAGGAGCTCGGGAAGCTGACTATGCTCGGGCGCCTGATCATCGTGGGCAACCAGGTGTCGCGCCTGCCGGACGGATGTGCGAGGCTACGCAGCCTGCGCGTGCTGGACTGCAGGAGGAATCAAATCTCGGACTTCACAGTCGTGTGCAATCTTCCGCGGCTCGAGACGCTCAGTGCAGACCACAACGCGGTGCACGCGCTCGATCTATCCTTGGGGCCGTGCGTGGCGAACCTCGACGCGTCGCACAACGAGATCACGCAGCTGTCGCTGCTACCGGGGCCGATTGGGCGCTCGCCAGTTGCGCTGACCTCCCTGGACCTGTCGCATGCGAAGCTGGCTCTCCTCGACGAGCATATACTCGCCGAGCTGACGTCGCTGCGCGTTTTGCGACTGGACCACAACTCGATCCGCATGATCCCAGAGGCGCTCGGCGAGCTAGAGCATCTCGAGGTCCTGTCGTGCTCGGACAGCTACATCGTCTCCCTGCCGAGCTCGATTGGGAGGTTGCAGAACCTGGTCTCGCTGGACGTGCACAACAACAGCTTGAAGGAGCTGCCGGTCGAGCTCTGGCATTGTGGGTCGCTAGCGCGGGTCAACGTGACGTCGAACCTCATCAAGGCGTGGCCGGAGCCACCGGTCTTCAGCACGACCCCCGTGCTGGCTCTACCGTCGAACGCCGACGCGCGCTCGGACCGGAAGGCGTCGGTCGCGTCGCTGGGCGCGGGCCGCTGCATGCCGCCGCTCGCGCAGTCGCTGCAGAAGCTCTACGCGGGCGAGAACCAGCTCACGTACGACGCGCTGCCATCCATCGCCTGCCTCCGGGAGCTGCAGGTGCTCAACCTGTCGTTCAACGACATCCAGGACATGCCGTCGTCGTTCTTCCGGACGCTGACGAAGTTGGAGGAGTTGTATCTGAGCGGGAACATGCTGACGAGCATCCCGACGGAGGACTTGCCGAAGCTGACGAGGTTGAAGACGTTGTTTTTGAATGGCAATCGGCTGCAGACGCTGCCGCAGGAGTTGGCGAAGGTGAAGAGCTTGATGGCGTTGGACGTGGGGAGCAACTTGTTGAAGTATAACATCAACAATTGGGAGTTCGACTGGAACTGGTGAGTTGATTGCAGTGATTTGAAAGCGATGCTGACGAACGCCTCCAGGAACTTCAACAAGAACTTGAAGTACCTGAACCTCTCGGGGAACAAGAAGTTGCAGATTAAGTCCGACACGCGGGCCGTGCGCCAGCACAATGTGCCGACGTCGTCTCTTACGCGACAATCGCTTGCAGGCTTCACAGACTTGCACCAACTGCGCTTCCTCGGGCTCATGGATGTGACCATCACTCCCGGTGGCATGCATGGCGGTGCGGATATTCCTGACGAGAAGGACGACCGTCGTGTGCGAACCTCCGTGTCTACCGTCAGCGGCATGGCGTACGGCATCGCTGATACTCTCGGGTCGAACGAGCAGCTCAACATGATTGATCTCGTCCACGATTTCCGACGAGGGCATGGAGAGGCCGTCTTCGCCATGTTTGGCCGCGCGCAGCCGCCTAAGACCATCCGTGTCGGTACAAGCTCCAACCGACTGGCTAAGTTCCTGCAAGACAACTTCATTCGCGTCTTCAGGGATAAGTTGGACGACTTGGCTCGTTCGCCTGGCGACGACATTACCGATGCCTTGCGTCGAACGTTCTTGCGGTTGAACCAGGAGCTGCACGATTCGCTTGTCAACTCGCACAGGAAGATGTCGACGCACAGCGGCTCTGGCGCCAACAACACTGTCATAGATCCAGACATCGCCCGCACTGGCGCTTCTGGTCTTGTCCTGTACTTCAAGGACAGGACTCTGTATGTTGCGAACTGCGGCAATGCCCTCGCCGTCATCTCCAAGCAAGGCATCGCGCAGCCGGTGTCTCGCAAGCACGACCCCTACGACCGCGCTGAGACCGCTCGTATCCGTGCTGCTGAGGGGTGGATATCCCCACCAGGCCTCGTCAATGACGAGATCGACATATCACGCTCGTTTGGCTTCTTCCACTTGCTCCCAGTCGTCAACGCTCGCCCAGACGTCCATACATATCATCTCGACGAGTCCGACGAGTTCGTCATCGTCGCCAACCGTGGGCTGTGGGACTATGTATCCTACCAGACCGCCGTCGATATTGCACGCTCGGAATGGATGGATACGCGGGACCCCATGATTGTCGCCATGAAGTTACGAGACTTCGCGATCAGTTATGGCGCGGAGGGCAGCACTATGATCATGGTCATCGGTGTCACTGACCTGCTGAGCCATGAGACGCGCCAGCGTCAGGCGACGATGGACTCGATCCCGGAGATGAGTGGTCTTGTCGGCAAGCGCACGCGTCGCAAGGACGACGTTGGCGACAGGGATCTGGCTCGTCTGGACGGAGAGGTGGAGCCGCCTACTGGCAATGTCACGCTAGTCTTCACGGATATCCGCAACTCGACGCATCTTTGGGAGGCGAACCCGGGCATGCGGTCGGCAATGATAAAACACAACGCCTTGCTACGACGACACCTTCGGCTCTGCGGCGGGTACGAGGTCAAGACGGAAGGCGATGCTTTCATGTGCGCCTTCACCAACCCCATGTCTGCCCTCTGGTGGTGTCTCGTCGTGCAGCGGGACCTGTTGCGCGAGGACTGGCCCCTTGAAATCCTGGAGTGCGAGGATGGGAAGCTCATCTACGACGTCGACGGCAAGCTGGTCGCTCGTGGGCTGTCTGTGCGCATGGGCCTTCACTGTGGTCACCCCCTCTGCGAGCGCGACCCCATCACCAATCGCATGGATTACTTTGGCTCCATCGTCAACCGCGCCTCGCGAATCAGCGGCAGCGCTGCAGGCGGCCAGATCATGTGTAGTGCCGACGTAATCCGCGAGCTCAATGCATCCGTCCATCGCTCGGAACCGCCGACGGAGTATACCGACCTGCAGCCTGCGCAGGCGGTGAACGCGATTCGGCAGATGGAGGTCGCGATCGTGCCCGTCGGAGAACGCAAGCTGAAGGGGCTCGAAGTGCCGGAGATGCTGTCGATCGTGTACCCGAAGGAGTTGCAGGCGCGTCAGTTCATCGAGGAGATGCCAGAGGACCCAGGCACGTCGGGCTCGCGCATCCAGTTCAGCATCGACCAGATGCGCGAGCTGGGGATGCTGTGCTTGCGGCTGGAGACGATCGCGAGCGAGCGCGTATTCCGCGCGCTGCCGGAGCGGAAAGGGAGCTTTCAGCCGGGGATGGAGGGTGGCGAGGCGGAGGAGTTGAACGAGCCGTCGTCGTCGGTGTACTACTATGGGGACCCGTCGGTGCTGCTGCCGCAGATGAGTGACAAGCTATCGGACAGGGAGTTGATGAGCTTGCTCGACTTTTTCTCTGTGCGCATAGAGAACGCACTGTCGACGATCCAGCAGAGGCACGGGGCTCGGACGAAGGAGCAGCGGCTCACGAGCGCGCTGGCGGGGCGGTTGGATCTGGACGAGAGGACTTTGCAGGAGGTACTGGCGTTGTTGCAGAGTGTATAGGTGTACGAGTGGTGGTGTTGTATGTATTCGATTGCATTGTTTCCTCCCTCTCCGGGCATTCATGATTCCTCGTAGCTAGATACACACATACATTTCGCAGTCGCGTTTGCTATCCATCCGCATTCACATTCCCAGCAGCATACTACTACTACTCCTATTACTTATTGCATTGTCTGTGTAACAGCTGTGTGTGTACTGTATCAACTATTGTTTTCATACGGCGGGAGCGGGATTACGGACCTATTCGCGTTGGCAAGAGCCGCGAGTCGGCTGTGGAAACAATTTGAGTTGGTCGAACGAACGTCGACCTGGGTCAGAGTCAGTAACGACAAGAAAGCGGAGATGCATCTCCAGCAAGTCAGCATGACGCGACCCCGGCGGTGGTATACCTCGTATTGGGTGCGCTTTGCGACGATCTGCTCGGCGACGGTCCAGACATGATTCCGTTCGCCGCGCGCTAGGCTCTCCCAGTCCCCGATACCGTCCGCAGGCGCGCTCAGCTGCACGAACCGGGGATCGTCGACATCGAGGACCTGGTACCGCCAGTGCGAGCGTGCCGGCGTGAGTACGAGCACGACCCGGAGAGTGGAATTGCAGCTCTCGAGAATCCCCCGAATCGCGCGGGCCGCAGCGCTGGCGGTGGAGTGCGAGAGCTGGCAGGCGAAGGCGAGGTGCGTCAGGCGGGGCGCGTGGCGGAAGCCGGTCCAGCCGGTCCATGTTTGCGGCTCGTCCTTGAACTCGAGGTGCGTGACGCGCGAAAAGAGCGCATTGGTGAAGTCGGGACGCGCGCGTTTGGGGTCCCGGAAGAGAGGTGCGTAGGAGATGGAGAGCGTGGTAGGCTGATGAACGTCCGATGCGAGCAAGATGGGATTTAGGTCTGGGTGAGACACCCAGCAAGCGAGGTGGGATAGATTCGTGCAAACAGCGAGGATGCGTAGCGCGCGACGATGTCCGACGACCTTGGTGAGGCAGAGACTTCGCACAAGGGTGGCATGATCAGCAGATCCAGCATCCTCGAGTGTAGCCAAGAAGAGTTCAGCAGTGCGCTGCTCCCAAAGCGTTACAACCGAGTAGAGGATAGGATTTGTCCTGAGGTATATCATCAGAGAGTACTGCATACAGCAAACACGAGGCAAGGTGAGATAGGGGGATTCGAGCGCAGATGACTTACCACGACCTGGCGAGGCGCGAGACGAGGACAAGGGTGGGGAGCGTCTGCGGCTCGCAGCGTCCGCAGACCTCGAAGATGTGACGATGCAGTTCGACGGGTAGCTCGACGACCATGGTGGCCAGCGTGAAGACGAGTTCTCGACCGCGGCTTATACAGAATGACGTGGGCGTGATGCGGCGTTTGCGCTAGTATCGAGGCCGCCACGGGACTCGGAGAAGAGGCTGCGTCAAACGTGCAGAACATATCGGTAGCATCGATGCGTAATCGGAGTGGACATGAAAGGGAGAACCAAGGGAGAACACTCATATGAGCCTCACGGGGGGAGGAAGAGGGAGGAAGGACGGCGCGAATTTGGTGAAGTTCAAGTCGAGCCCGGATCCGGACCCGATTTTCATCAAATCTGCGCTCATTCTATCGTTGAGCGATAGTTCATGCCAGGCAAGTATCCCTGCAGAGCACCCAGAAATATGTGTGTCGTTGTGGATCTCTATGTCGCAAGTCCTCCTTAGGCCCTCTGGCATAGACAGCGAGACTTAGTTGGGTTCTTTGAGTACGCAGATGGCTCAATCTATTATTTGTACTGGATGTAGAGTGTACCTGTCATGTTGCTATCTCGACAGCATCTGGCACTCGAAGGCCGCAAATACTTGGCCCAGGCATCTCACGTGATAGCGCGCGTGCCCGCGGAGTTTCCCGCCGCAATTCGCTCCGTCTGAATTTCCTTGACATTTAGTTCTGCCTCTCAGAACTTGGCTGCTCATTGATTCAAGGGAGCTCTCGAGCTCATCGTTACCAACACTGCCTTGTATGCCCTCACGAACATCACGCAACGGATTGGCGCCGATTGCAACAGCTTCCCCAGGTCCTTCCCACGCATCCTCCCTTGCATTGTTCTGGTTGTTGGCCCGATCTCCCCTGCTGTGCTGCAGAGCCGCATTCAAAGCGGACAGGAACTGTGTCGCGCCGACGCTCATCGCCACAGCTACATGCGATCCTGACCCTTTTTTGACCCTCGCACGAGGCAAATCAATAGCGACGCCCCTCATGTTTGGTCTTTGTGAACAGGCAGTGTGCTTCTTTCCAGGGCGTCCGGCAGGTCGGTCAACATAAGCAAGCTTCTTATCATATTGAGGGCGGGCGCTTAACCTTATCCTGGGGAACATTGTATGCGGCCATCAGTTCAAAGCGAACTTGGGCGAGCCTTATAACGGCGGCTACTGCGACGATGGCTTTCCTCTACCAAGCCCAACAGCTAGACCACAATAACCTCTGCTGCTCGAAGTCGCTCTTACTATCCATCCCCCTCTTCCACCATGCCGAGTCTCTTCCTTCCTCGCGACTCGGAGTCGGTCCGCAACGACGATGGATCGCTGGCCGTGGTCTACGTCGCCGACGTCGACGTTGACAGCGGCGAGATTCGCGTCATCCCCGGCCCCACCCCCTACTCTATCATGGCCCGCCAGGTTATGTTCCACAAGAACTACCTCCTCGATGTTGTCGAGGAGAACATCACGGACATTGGTCCGACCCGCGAGATACTTAGGCGCCGCCTGGAACTGCTCACCGAGCGCGCCAAGGCACATATCCAACGCCAGCGCTCCTACGCCTCAGCTTATGAAGCTTACGCGGTGCGTCGTCCTGCAGTCACTAACCATTCCGTATGCTCATTCCTTGCCTGTCCAGTCTGTGCTGAGCAGCAGCTACTCTGACGGCTTGAACTTGCTCGATCAGCGCGACTTTGACGATGCGTCTAACCCTCAGGCATGGGGCGTCGAGAGCATGTCCGACATCATGAAGCCTATCAATTACCACGTCGTCTTCCCTGAGGTCCCCGCGGCGCCATCTACCTCTACCTCTACCACCGCCGCCGCCATCCCCGTCCCCGAAGCTTCTTCTTCTTCTGCTACAGCAACTTCGACATCCATCCCTTCGCGCGGCAGCAAGCGCGTCACGCCCGACGAGCCATCCTCTAGCGTCGACTCCCTTCCTAAACGCGCTCGTCTCGACTCTGACGTCTCTGCTTCCACTGGCAACGGCGGCAACCTTCCCCATCTCACCACCCCCTACACAACGTACTACAGTGATCCGTCTACCAAGGGCAAGAAGCGCAGTAGGTCTGACTCCGACGAGGAAGACCGCGCTCCCAAGCGCGTGCGCCAACTTCCTGACACGATCCTCACACCCCTGCCCCTCGACGACGACGACCTTACTGACGCGGATGCTGAAGGTGAGGATGACGAGGACTACACGCCCGCCATCACTCCTGAGGTCGCTCGACCTAGCCCTACCACTGCCCCCTCAACGGCTCACGAGCCGCATCCTGTCGTCGGCTGCGGACCTCGCGCCACCCAAGGCTTCAAGATGCCTTGCATGCCGATGACATATCATACTGCGATGCCCCGTCGGACCGACGTCGACGACCCCCTCTACGATGCCGAAGACCATGCTGCTAACGATGAACTCGCTTCCGCTGCCGTCGCTGACGACCCCGTACGCGACGACGATTCCCATTCTGTATACCAACCCCCCTCTCGTTCTCCTACGCCTGTGCCCATCCGAAGCAGCCGGCGCCTGCGCTCGCGCAACACGAAGCCATACGACAGGCCATCTACAACCAAATCTCGAGCGTCTACCAAGAAGTCCAAGTCTCGGGCTTCGACCTCTCGCTCGACCTCTTCTCGCGCCTCCTCCTCTTCCAAGCCATTCGTCCCCGACGACGACGCCGCCGCCGCCATCGGCAGCAACTGCAAGTTCCCGCGCACCATCCGGCGCTTCATCACCCCCGTCGACGCACCCGGGCACATCAATCTCGGCCTCGACAACGCGTATTATAAGTGCCCGCCCCCCGCCTGCAGCGTCTGCGGGAAATTGAAAGGCAACACGGGCGATCTCTCCCGCCACATCCTCAGCCATATCGTGTGGGGGGACAAGCGTGTGAACCAGTGCCGATCGTGCCCCGTCAGCTACGCGCGGAAGGACGCGCTCACGCGCCATTTGAAGCATAATCCTGGTCATAGGGGCCAGTACGACGCGCTGTGCCCGGAGGTATGTCGATTAGGTGTTTCCATTTTCTTGCGCTTTACTGAACGTGTCTGCAGTTTTGGGTCAAGTACGAAGACTACTCGCAGCATGTCGTGCTCGATCTATCCGCTGACGAGTAGTTCGCCAACCCTGTCTGCTTGACGTCCTTGTCTGCTTTCCATCCCACCTACTCAAGCCATACCCGATCCGTCTCTCGCCAAATATACCCAACTCCTCTTTCCGACACCTACGCTCGTCTGCCCAGTATCTCTGACCTTTTTATTATGCTTTAAGTAGATAGTTCTTTTAGTAGCAGTAGTTCTTTTTAGTAGTGTAGCTTTTCTCATCGCGACAACGGACGCTGAACAGTGCCTTTACTTTTATTTTCTTTCAACTTCTCTTCATAGTGCACTACCCTTTTGTTCTTCACTTCGTCGAACTGGTCAATCGATTTCTGACTGCCTGCTAAAGGCTTGCGTACACTCATCGAATTCGTGATAAGGAAGACACATGCAGAGATGCTCTCGTGGACGGACAAGATATGTGTGAAGCAGATGAGTCGACTATTCAAACGACCCATTCATCGATGAAGGTGTGAGGGCATACACGCCCAACCGGTGTTCCTGTCAGGAGGAAGGCGCAGTGACCAGTCAAGCTCCAGACATGGTGTACACGATAATAAATGGGAAATTTGCGACAGCCATACGACCAGGTCACATCATCAAACGTGAGTAGTTGCGACGCATTTGCCCTCTCAATGCTTATAGTGTCTCCCCTCTTCGAGAATCGCCAGCATTCCTACGTCGTACGAGGCATCTGTCTGTACCGTGACCGAGACTGCATACGCTTTGTACATCCGTCTCTCAGCCACCAGATGTCGCCAGGGAGCCAATGCTGCTCTTCCGCTCAACACCCGCACTGCAGATCACTTGACCATCTTATCGCTTGGATCTCCAATGAGGTCGCGAGTGTCCTGTCTACATTGACGCCCTGAGCTCTGAGCATGATTATTCGGATTGTACTATGATTATCCACAAGCCGGAATACGGTAGATAACAGACAATGGGAAAGTACCAATTACGCTCTCCGAGGTGCATTGAGATGTGCATCCAGCGGAAGAAACGACCGCCCCACTTAGTCAGATTCAACGTCGAAGTCCGTCTCGACTCGTCGAAGCGCGACCACATCCCTTCCGTTGATCAAGCTTGGCAACGCGCGCGACTCGGCCATCTCTCGCACAGAGTTACGGATATCGAGGTGGTGCGGATGTCCGGCTTTGCATCCGTTATGCACGGTGAGGTCGGTGAGATTGGGCAGGAGGCCCTCCTCCCGGATCCTGTCAAACAACGACGCGCCTGGCGCGAAGGACATGGTCGGGTTACACTGCCCAGAGCCGACGCCGATGCTCAAGGAACGCAGACTCTCCAGTCTTCGGAGGATGAACAACAGCCGGTTCACGCGCCCGTCGTCCACTGTAGAGCGCGGCTGGTGATGGAAATTCAGCAGCTCGAGATGGCGCACGTCGGTGGGGGCGAACTCAGCGTCGCACAGAAACTCCAGGAGGGACGCGGTCGCGTCGTTGTCGTTCAGTTGGCAGCGCCGCACGATGACGGACTTCACGCCCGGCGCGCGCAGGAGCTTCAGTATCGGATGGATGCGCCCGTCCATGTCGACGGACTCGAGGCGGGGCATGTGCAGCGGAGGCTCGAGCGCGATGCTGGACGCGTCCATGTGGGTGGCCGACAGACGAAGCTGCCGCAGGGTCGCGGCAGATTGCCTGATGAGCGGCATCATTGAGTTTAAGGTGCACCAGAACGACTTGAACGACAGCACGGTGAGAGGGCTCGGCGAGGATTGGGCAAGGCGGTCCACCGCGGGCAGGGCGAGATGGTAGTGCCACGGTATCTCGTCCGCCGCGAGCTCGAGCTGGCGCAGGTTCGGGGCAGCGGCGAGGAAATTGAGCAAAAGCGGCTCGCCGGTATCCAGATGCGCAGGCGGGAGCGTAGGACGGAGGATGGCGCGCTCCAAGCGAGGCAAATCGCAGTGGAGTACACGCGGAAGTCTGGACATGTAATCCCCCGCCAGCGACAGCGTCGCCCAGCGCGATGCCTCAGGGATTAAATGGGCGAGCTGCGACTCTAACGCATTGATGCCCTTCGCATCTTCTCCGTATATATAGAGGGGTTTGTTCACGGACAGAGACACGCAAGCGTCGATATGCGGATACTCCGCAGTGGCCCTCGAAGCAAGCTTGACATACGTCCACAGGCCGTGGACGCTCCGCGCGACCGCGCGCCAATTGGTGCTGACGCACGCGATGGTTGTACTGATGGTGCGCGTGCGGCAAGAGTCCGTGGAGGTATCGGCGAGGGCGGTGAAGATGTGCGCAAGCAGTTCGGGAGGGAGGCGCCGGATGGGGGCGACCATGGTGCGGCTGATGGCGAGTTGCTTGCGAATTTGGTCGCGGAGGGCTTGTAGCCGTGCAATCTCTTCGTCGACATGGTGGAGTTCAGATTCAAGATTTGCAGAGTCGTCTTTTATGAACTTTATCTCTTCCGGGAGGAGGGGGGCGACTCCACTGCGAAGATAGCCGATGTTTGCGCGCGTTGCGGCGCGCTCGAGGGGGCAGGTGGTTTGCACTGGCATGCTGCTGGAAGAGTGAGTTAGCGTATGCTCAGCGTCGCTTGCTAGTCACGCACCTGCTGGGGCCGCTGGCAATGGTGAAGATTGGAAGGAAGGGGGAGTCTTGTGCGGTGCGCTAGATATGGGGGCGTGCGGGCCGCGCCAAAGCCGCGCTGCATCTATCTCGACTGGATCGCCTATATGAAGTCAAGGGTCTCCATGTAACCAGGCAGATTACCTGTCGCATGACTGTTAAAGCTGCATGTCTTACTAGCTCGAGGCATCTGACGAAAAGACAGTGAATCAAGTCTATTGTTCGCTAGTGAGCGCTGTCAAAGCCTCGAAGCGGTCCAGTATTCGTAGTGACCTTTAGCGATGTCGTTGCGTCGGCGAGATCCAGCTCGAAGGTGCATACGGTAAGGATGAAGGAGGAAGACAACTGGCACGACTTTCCGCGTGGCGTTACATATGTAACACGGCCACGTGACAAAGTGGCGCGAATTGTTACTTGCAGTTCAGACCTTGTCCTGATCCTCTTTGCTCTCAAAATCTACTTTACGACTTTCACGCCTCACAATCATTCAAGGCAAGCTGCCGCTGGAATCCACCGCCAACGTTCACTGCTGACCTCAAGCCACAGATGCTCGGCATGCGCGCTGCCCCGCTCGATCTCGATGGCGCATACCAGGTGCCGCTCGCCACGAAGACGCCGGGCAAGAACATGAAGCGCGAGAACGCGTATCCTCCCGCAACCGTTAACGGCAAGGCGCGCACCCTCATTTCGCAGACCCCGTTCAAGCCGGGTACAATCCGTGCGTCACGACGCCCTCCCACTCGCCAACCCAGCTGACCCCCGCACAGAGCCCGAGCGCATGAAAGATGCCGGCCCCTCCAAGGCCACAAAGACGCCCTTTGGCGACAAGACCCCCTTCCCCAACCGCCTCCGCCCGCAGCTCTTCTCGCCCTCGCAGGACGCGGGCCCCAAGCTTCAGAAGCCCAACTTCGTGCTCGAGGTCGTGCCGGACGGCAATGCGCGCCCGAGCTCGACGAGAAAGAACGCGCGCCCGAGGAGCAGCCTCACCAAGGCGTTCCAGACGCCGGCGAACCGGGGCGACTGGTGGAATGTGCCCGAGGACGATCTGATGTCGCCGGAGAACTCGGTGCAGGAGATCGCGGAGGAGGAGCTGTTCGATTTCGATGAGGAGATCGAGTACATGCCGCCCAATACGCTGGGTGTGTAGCCATCTTCTGGGCGGGAGGACGTGCACTAATCACAACGCGCAGATCTGCCCTACGTACCGCCGTTCGACTTTGAGATGCCGGACTACAAGAAGATCGGCGCTGCGGTGACGGAGATCATGCATTGCTACGCCTACGTTGACGTCGTGCCCACGCCCGATCCAACCTTCGATGAGAAGGACCTCGCCAACGACGGCAAGGGCCTCGCTGTCCCCATGGAACGCCTCCTCCCGGATAAAGTCCCCGAGGACGAGGAGGAGCCCACCGGCAAGCGCACCTCACCTGCTCCTTCCTCCAAGCGGACCTCGCCTACTCCCGTGTCCAAACCATCATCTCGTGCACCCTCCACCACTTCGCGCGCACCCTCCACCACTGCCCGCGCCCCCAGCGTCCTCCGCGGCACCACAACACACTCGCGTACGGCTAGTACAACTTCAAACATCCCCTCCCGCCCCGCCACCGCGACCGCCCTGCGCCGTCCTACACAAATCGCCCGTCCGGCGCCTGTGGTGCGCGCGCGCTCCGGCACCGTATCCACAGCTGCCGCCGCCACGCCTAAACCGCGTCCGACACGGGCTGCGTCGGTCTCGCGACCCGCTGCCACGACTGTCTCGCGACCGGCTGCCACTGCGGTCTCGCGTCCGGGCGCCAAGTCGACAGCTGCGACCACCGGTGCCGCGAATCGGGCGGGAGGCCGCGTCACTGGGGCAGGTGACCGCGCCGCGAGTATTCCATCGCGCGTCACCGGGGGAAAGAAGATCGTGCCCAAAGATGACGATCCGTTCAAGTTCGACGTGGATGGGCTGGTTGGGGAGGATTTCATGTTCGAGGTCTGAGCTTCCTCTAATCCAAAGGGACTCCGGTTATGAAGTGGGTTACATATCGAGGGCGAAAAGCGAAAGTTATGAAGCATGCAGACGAACCGCACACGGACACCTACTACCTATCTATCTATTAAATCTGCTGCTGTTTTGTTGGGTCCACGTCCTCGCTTTGTCTTCCCCTATACTGTGTGTTTACCAGTTGGGTTCATTAGGTTGAACTGTCAGCAGCTGTCTATGATTGTTTACGAGTACGACGATGCAATGCGATGGTGACGTTTTCCGTGAATGCGATGGTGACGTTTCCCGTGAGACATGCGCGTCGAAGTTGTGGTCAGTTGCCCCAGTTGGTCTCTGAACGCGTACGATGGTCTTGCTTTCGGTAGTCGTGCGGTCATAGGCTGGTCGGTGGCCAGCTGGGGTATATAACAGTTTCCCTCGTCGAGTCGATATTCTCATCTGCCTCTCCATCCACCCGAACTTTTTCTCCCAGTCAACAACCAAACATGTCTGGTGCGTCCCCGTTCTTTCTTTTGTGACGTAGAGTTAGCTGTTCGTGACGAGGAGCTAAATGGCCCCCTTCCTTCAGCCTCCGCACCCAGCAAGATCGTCTCCACCGACGAGCACGCCGAGATCGACAGCTTCGACGAGAGCACGTCGGGCACGAGCCGCATTGCGACGGGCGAGTCGAAGTCCGGGAAGGAGGAGGCGAATGTCATTCGCGGGTACAAGGCGACGATCTCTAGTGAGTAGCCCTCTATGCGATGGAGACGAGGGAAGGGACGTGATAGCAGTTATCCTGACGAATTACTCGCAGACCCCCGCGTCGGCGAGGAAGCCAAGGAGCATGCGAGGGAGTACCTTGAGCATCACGGTGTCGACCAGTAGAGCGGTGGCATGTGCACAGTAGAATCACACTTTGGAATTGGACTATGAGAGAAGCTCGTCAACAAATAATATCCGCCTAGAGCTCCATCGATTCGTGGGAAGAGGCAGAAGGGGGCAGAGGTTGAGTTGGTTCGTATTTGGTGATATGGGTCCGGTCCGCACATCCACGTGAAAGCTCTTTCCTTTTACCTCCATCATCAACCACCGCTCAAGCAGGCGTGTCCGCTGCTTAGCACCTTACGGATGCCTCAAACCGTGCGCACTGCACCCAGATCCATGCCGATAGCGATCGCCTTCCTCCTCAGCAGCGCCGCTGACCGGTCGAACCTCGCGTTTCTAAGTGAAGGCACTGCCCCCTCAGCGCAAAGGAAATCCATCTACGAAGATCTAGATAACCTCGAAGCCGAAGTCTAGAGCGTGGACGAGAAGATCGCTCGTCTGCAGACGCTGCGCGAACAGATCAGAACCTCACTCGCGCAATGGTTGCGGCCGTGCGTCGTCTACCGCCGGAGCTCTTGGCGCGCATCTTCCTCGAGCATGCAGACGCTCCCTGAATATGAATATGAGCGTACCCGAATCATCGCTACCACTGTCGCTGGCGCTAGCGCGACGAGGCGCTGGGTTGCCTGTAGCGTTCTCGAATTGTGGACGCACACTTCTCTCGCGCCGACCGCCGCATCCACGTATCCTCATCTGGAGGCCCGTCCTTCCAGGCGCGGCTTGCCTCTGCTGCACATCCACGGAGAGCGAGCCACTGGTAAAGCATGGATGGCGTAGATCGTCCGCATCACCCGATGCACATCGACCGGCCTTACCTACTTCACTGAGGCCTTGTCGGTGCATTGGTCGAGCGCATCAATGAGCTACTCGATAAGACATGTCTTCCCAATCACAACTTAGACGAGAGTGCGCAAGGTTTAAAAATCAGTCAGGAGTCGATTGACCAGAACGATGAAGCGAAGAACAAAAAGGTAGTGGGCTATGAAGAGAAGTTGAAAGAAAATTAAAGTAAAGGCACAATTCAGCGTCCGTTGTCGCGATGAGAAGAAAAGCTACACTACTGAAAGAACTACTGCTACAGAAAGGTCTATCTACTGAAACTGTATGAAAAAGGTCAGAGGAATCGGCGATCATTGTGTCAGAGTGGGTATCAGGGAATATGGGTAACAGAGACGGAGTGTTGGGTATAGTTGCGGGATACTAGGAAACGAGTCGAATGAAATGGAGAGATGAAAGCAATCTAGTCGTCGGCGCGAACGTCAAACTTGACGATCTTCCAATGCTTGTCATGGCCCACCAGCATCTGCGTACGTTGTCAGTACAAGGCAACAAAGACACAGTCGCCACATACCTCCGGCTGGCATTGCGCCTCCAGACTCCCCGTGTGGTCCCGCTTGGTCTCCAGGTGCCGCTTGAGCGAATCCTTCCGCGCGTACCCTAACTCGCAGTCCTCATGATCGCACCGCCAGAGACCGCCCCGCTCCATATCCCCCGTCCCGTCCGAGAGCCAGCGGATGTGCGTGAGGACGTGGCGCGAGAGGTCGCCCGGGCCCTTGGTCGCGTGCCCGCAGATGCTGCAGGCGGGTTTCTTCGCGCCCGGGCGCGCGTTGTCGAGGCCGAAGTTGATGTGGTGGGGCACGTCGACTGGGGTGATGAGGCGCCGAACGGCGGTTGGGAATTTGCAGTTGCTGCCGATGATGGCAGCGGCGGCGTCGATGGGTTTGAATTTTCTCTTGGGGGTGGGGGAAGAAGAAGAAGAGGCGCGGGAAGAGGCGGAGCGAGAGGTTGAGGCCCTGGACTTTGACTTTGACTTCTTGGCAGACGCTCGAGAATTGGTGCTAGTGGAGGGCCTATCGTAGGGCTTCGCGTTGCGCGAGCGCAGGCGCCGGCTGCTTCGGGTAGGCACAGGTGTAGGCGAGCGAGAGGGCGGTTCGTACACTGAGACGGAATCATCGTCATTGGAGACGGGAGTGTCAGCATCGAGGGCGTCGTCAACAGAGGCGGGCTCATCGACAGCGGCAAGGTCTTTGGCATCAAAGGGGACGTCGTCGACCTCGGCCCGACGAGGCATCGCAGTATGATATGTCATCGGCATGCAGGGCATCTTGAACCCTTGAGTGGCGCGAGGTCCGCAGCCGACGACAGGATGCGGCTCGTGAGCCGTCGAGGGGGCAGTGGTAGGGTTAGGTCGAACGACTTCGGGAGTGATGGCGGGCGTGTAGTCCTCGTCTTCCTCGCCGTCAGCGTCCGCGTCAGTGAGGTCGTCGTCGTCGAGGGGAAGGGGTGTCAGGACGGTGGCGGAGAGCGGCAGAGTCGTGTCAGAGGACTCGCGTGCGCGCTTGGAAGTGCGGTCTTCCTCGTCAGAGTCAGACCTACTGCGCTTCTTGTCCCTGGTAGACGGATCACTGTAGTAGGCCGTGTAGGTGGCTGTGACATTAAGAAGGTTGCCGCCGTTGGAAGCGGAGAGTTCAGAGTCAAGACGAGCACGTTTGGAGAGGGAGTCAGCGCTGGCAGATGGTGCGTCGGACGCAGCGCGCTTAGTGCAGCGAGAAGTGGAGGCGACAACAGAGGACGTCCCAGAGGCAATGGTGGTAGTGGTGGCTGGCGCGAAGACGACGTGGTAGTTGATGGGCTTCATGATGTCGGTCATGCTCTCGACGCCCCATGCGTGAGGCTTGGACTCGTCGTCAAAGTCACGCTGATCGAGGATGTTCAGGCCGTAGGCGTAGCTGCCGTTCAGCGCAGACTAGACAGGGGAGGAATGAGCACACGTAGCGGTAAGTGACAGCAGGTCGACGCACCACGTAAGCTGCATGAGCTGAGGCGTAGGAGGATTGGCGTTGGATGTGGGCTTTGGCGCGCTCGGTGAGGATCTGAAGGCGGAGCCTAAGGATCTCGCAGGTGGGACCGATGTCGGCGGTGTTCTCCTCGATGACTTCGAAGAGGTAAGTCTTGTGGAACATGACCTGGCGGGCCATGATGGAGGTGGTAGTGGGGTTGGGGATGACGACAATCTCGCCGGCGTCAACATCGACGTCGGCGACGTGAACCACGGCCAGCGAGCCGTCGTCGTTGCGTTTCGGCACCGAGTCGCGAGGAAGGAAGAGGCTCGACATGGTGGAAGAACGAGCTCGATAGTGTAGGTAACTTGGCGTATGGGAGGATATAGTGGTCTAGCTGTTGGTCTCGGTAAAGGAAAGCCATCGTCGAGGTAGCCGCCGTTATAAGGCTCGCACGAATCCGCTTTGAACTGATGGCCGCATACAATGTTCCCCAGGATAAGGTTAAGCGCCCGCCCTCAATACGATAAGAAGCTTGCCTATGTCGCCCGACCCGCCGGACGCCACGAACAGAAGCACACTGCCTGATCACAAAAGCCAAATATGGGGGCGCCGCTATTGAGTTGCCTCATGTCAAGGTCAAAAAAGGGTCGGGAGCGCACGTAAATGTGGCGATGAGCGTCGGCGCGGCGCAGTTCCTGTCCGCTTTGAATGCGGCTCTGCAGCACAGCAGAGGGGATCGGGCCAACAGCCAGAACAATGCAAGGGAGGTTGCGTGGGAAGGACCCGGGGAAGCTGTTGCGATCGGCGCCTTTCCTGTTGAGTATTGCCCCTGGGAGTATACACGCATGCGTCGGCAACGGTAGGCTTGCGCATTTCTATGGAGCCGGAGGAACGATGAGAGGCAGAACGGAATGTCGAGGGAAATTCGAATTCGAAGACAGAGAATGTGGCGTGGGCTTATCTCGGCGTGGTCGGACCGGCCCCGGATGTGGCATTCTCACGGTACTTACTTCCGGAGTCGGGCATTCTCACGGTACTTACTTCCGGAGTCGAAACTTGGTCTGCACTGCGATGGCAGGCTTGGGACTGCAAGTCTCTGGAATCTCTCGTAACATTCGACAGTTCTCAATTTGTGGCATTGAGGAACCTGTGGCATACTCATCTTCATGCTTTTGGCAGGGTATAGCACCGGGCAGTACACTGACAGGTTCGGCCTCGACGACGCTCGTGGTATCATCTTTTCACCTCTACAGCTTTCTATATGACAATCCAGGAGCTTCAAATGCGCTTGTTGTAAACACCATCTGGGCTCGGCTCGGCGGCATCGTGCATGTTGGTTAGCAGGTTGCCACGAGGTATCATAAGCACATTTCCCAGGATACAAATAAGCGCCCAATGCCACGGCCACAGCCTTTCACTCTTGGAATCTAACCACTACCATCGAAGCCTCCCAGCCCGTCTTCCTCACTTGAACCAGAACCACCACCATGTCTACCCTCTACCACCCTGCCGACTACGTGCCCGCCATCACCAACGGCGCTGGCGAACCTGCCATCGTCTGGGTTAGCAAGGTCGTGCCCGACGAGGGCAAGGTCTACGTTACCCAGAACCCCAACCGCCACGCACTACCGACACACGCATACACGTACCACGGCGTTACCCTCCTCGAGCTACTTGACATCGAGGAGCCGACCGACGCTGCGAGGCTGAAGTCGGCCCACCTGCAGCTTCTCACCGAGCGGGTGAAGACCCAGCTCGCTCGTAAAGCCTTATTCGAGCATCAAGCGCAGGTGTTCGAGGTGCGTACGAGCTCGATGCGTCGTTGCCACAGGCGATACCTCATTGCCACAGTGGATCTGACTACTTTGCAGGCTATCCTCGCGCATAGCTGCACGAACGCGAAGTTCGTCGAAGCTCACAGCGCACACAAGTACGGTGGCGACACGGAGTTTGCCACCTTCATGAACCTCTCTGATCCTCGCAAGTGGGGCGTGGACGAGATGACTGAAATCACGGACGATGTTCAGTACGAGATCGTCTTTCCAGAGGAACTGGAGGCGCTATTCGAGAAGGCCGCCGCTGCCGACGATGCTGAAGCTACCGAATCACCTGCGTCCACTGAAGATTCCGACGTCGAGTCGGAGCCCAGCTCTCCAGCTTCCTCCGAAGACGCTGCTGAACCATCCGCGCCCGCCGAAATCCCCATCACCGAGGAGCCTAGTTCCCCCACTCCCTCCGCTGACGAGGTCGCTCTCGACCTTACTTCGCTTGACGACGATGCCTCGGACTCCGAGGAGGCTCACATAGTCCTCCCCATCACACCTCCTGCACCCTCCACCGCCCTCGTCCCCTACGCCCGCGGCACCAAACGCGCCGCGCCCGACGACGATCTCGACCTCGACCTCGGCGACGGCTGCCCCCGCCTCGCCTTCGACCACATGAATCCCCACAAGCGCCGCTGCACGTCGCCCGACTCCGCCAACGCCTCCTGCGGCAGCGACGACGAGCTGGGCGCGAGCTACGACGCGGAGGGCGAGTACGAATGGGTGCACAAGTGGTCGAGCGAGAGCTTCTCGCGCCCGGTGTGCATGCGCGTGCGCAAGGGCGCTTGTCATACTTTCCTCTTCGAGGAGATTCACGATGGCGAGGGGTGTGGGGAGTTGCCGCTGTTTTCGAGGCCTCGGGCGGCGCGGGCGGGCTTTCCGGTAGCCAGCACTTCCGCGAACGTCGGGAACAGAGGCGTGAGGCGCATGGCTTCGGAGGACGACAACATTGGCCCCGCGCCGAAGCGCCTCGCGATCGATGCGACCGACGGCAACTCCCACACGGATGAAGTTGTCGACGAGAACGCCTCACGAGAGGCGCGCCCTCGTCTGGTCCCCGTCACCGGCCCCTGCGCGCGCCCGAACATTTTGTCAGCCCCTCGCCGCCTTCGCTCTGCTACCAACATGCTTTATCAGGCTCGCTCGCCTCCCCGCCCCTCAACCTCGTCTGCTGTAAATACCATCATCCCTACCTCTACCTCTGCTCCCTCCACCTCCACCGCCTCCACCATCACCCCAACCATCGAGGAACCGTCCTCCTCTGACGACGAAGCATCTTCCGCCGACGACGAGCCCCCCTCCGCCCTCCCCCACACCCCGCCTAACTTCGTACCCAAGGACGCCGTCGCCGAGTACCTTGGCACTAATGCCTGGCTCCCCTCCTCCATCCGCCGCCTCGTCACCCCGCCCCACGCGCCCGGACACGTCAACCTCGGGCTCGACGACCCCAAGTCGGGCCGCTGCAGCATCTGCGGGAAGACCGTCACGCGCGGCCCCAGTAGCCTCGTTCGCCACGTCCTCAGGCACATAACGTATGAGGACTCAGAGTCGTGGGCCGCGGATGGACGGATACACATCTGGCGCTGCCCTTGTGGGTGGGAGACGCTAACACAGCAGGGGTTGGAAAGGCACCATCGGACCCGGGGTCATTCTGGAGGGCGCCAGGCCTTGTTTGCTACTGATAGGGTAAGTCGAACGGTATGGTCTTGAGCTTGGTAGCTGATACAGCTTTCAGGTGTGGGTTGATAGAAAGCCCAAGCCAGTGGGCTTCGCGGGCCAAGACTTGATCTGGCGCCCGGTTATCGAATAGACGGTTTCCTCGTTTTTCGTCATACTATACGGTATACCCTTAGACTAAGATTGTCGCTTCCGGCTTCCATATCTTCTTTCACTCTACTCATTCTCAATCCACCCTCGGCCGCCACTGTTACTCAACTTTAGTAGATAGACTCTTTGGTAGATAGCCTTTTCTTCTCTTCCAGACTCCCTTGTCTGCCCTTTTGATTGTACACCTGCACTCTTCTTTTCGCCTTCTTTCTTCTTCGCTGGCCTATTAGCTTGGCTTCATCTTCGCACATCCTTGTTTCGTTGTGCGCCGTGACAACCCTTGACTACTCTCAGTATACCCTCAATACAAGAGCAATGTGGCTGGCTATTTTCACTATTGTGCCTCTCTGAACCGTTCTGTACACCCGTTGGGTTTCGTCCGAGAAGGCGAGGAGAAGTTGTGTAACGTAGGAACGATGCCCCTATTGTGCCACAATGCGCCACAAAAGCGACCGGGACTTCCCGGTGAGTTGAGAACGTGCCACGATGAGCGCGGCGCTAATCAACCCAAAGACAGCCCTCAGCTCGTTGTAGTTCTATGCGATATCTGCTTTCAGGGGTGTATATGGCTGTATCGAGCGAACCGATACTAGGAAGCCGGGTGTGAGCTAGGCGTTGACCCACCCGAGCCTTCAGACTCACCTTCACAGACACTGGCGACGAAGCACACCAGTAGGACTCAACCAGTTGACGGCCTTCTCTTGCCGGTCTGAATCTCGCTGCTCAACAGATATCATACACGGTGGTTTATCCTGGCGATAGTAGACCATGCGACAGGAAAAACAAGGCGTACCATAAGAAGTAAGTCTCAGCTTTTGTTCTGGCTTCCTTCCTCGTGGGCGTCTCATGTTTTGAGGCAGGCAGACGACGTCACTTTGAATTGCGTGCAAGAAGTCGGGCTTAGGACCCTGCAGGAGTGGCGATGCTCGCCTAGGCGTCAGGTCAAGGCCGCGCTTGCATTTAATTGCCGCGAACGGTTGGCAATGCCTGTGATCCCTGCTTCTCGGACCAGTTTATACAGGCAGCGCAGTTGCAGGGACAAGGTTAGAATGAAATCAGTACGCCAGAGAAGCGGACGGAAGAAGGACCCAGGCCGCGTATCCTTGCATCTCGGAGGACGCATAAGATGGTACGTGCTGTCTCGCCTTGGCACAACACGAGGATTAGACTTGCCGACAGAAGCAGAAGCTAAACAAGAAGCCTACCCGAAGCCTACAGCCTCGAGGGCACCATTCAGTCCCCTTTTTTTCAATGCGGCTGTTGTAATGTGACGGTGGCGGTGAAGTTGAAGACCGGCGTGCGCGTACGCTGCAGCCCGAACCTCACGGCGGACACGCTACGATTGATTAGCGTCGATATGAAGCTGGACGGTTTGAGATCCAGCACGCGCGTGAAGCGTCGTCGCGTTCGCAAAAACAGATCGACGAATAGGAAGAGTGGCGACGGGGCCGAGCGATGTGTGGCGTCAGGGACAAGTCAGTCTGCAGGTCTGGTTAGCGAGAGGACTCACTTTACAAGCGTCGATCCTATCTTTCTGCGCACAAAAATCACAGAAGTCAGCGCGATCTGTCCCCGGATGCAACGCATAGCTCGCAAGGACGTGCCCACTGTCCAGTAAACCCAGCGCGACTGACAAGGCGAAACATCGATGGTCATCGTATGACGAGGAACACGCAGCAACAGCGTGCCCTCGGTCCCGATCCCGGATCAAGGCCTTCGTCGCAAGACCCTTCCTTGTACGAACAAAGCAAGCAAGGACCACCCCCAATTAAGCACGGCCGGATGGAGAAAAGACCCTGGTGCATGCATCAGACATGGGTATGTTCCTGCTCTTTGACTTGGCCCTGTCGCATTTAAGGGCAGGCCACCGGGCCCGTGTTTGTCTGTCACCGTCTGCCACCCTGACCCCCACCCGCAAGCCCGACTAACGCGCTTGTGCGAAAGGTTGCTCTCAAGCCACCATCGTCGCCACCCAGGCGACCACCGCCTCTGTTACCCAAATCGCATCCACTAGACAGCTACTCGACTACGACGCGTCAATCGAACCCTCACGCAGTCTGTATACCCTCCGCCAGCCATGACCGCGGATTTCAAGTTCGACAACGCGAAGACGCAGCTCTTCTGCGCCCAGCGGGATATCCTCCCGGTGCGTAGTAGCCGCGTCTTGACGATACATGTGCACTGACGCGTCTTCAGACATTTCTTATCAACACAGACGAAGGCAAGCGCGGTGCCGCCGCCGATCAGTCTGTTCACGACGCGATCGTGCGCGCACACAGGCTCGCCGCCGAGTCCTGGGGCGGGTCCCCGCCCACCAGCCCCAAGCGCTCTTCACGCGTCTCTCGGACCCCCACCTCTGCGCGATCGAGCGCCACTCCTTCCAGCTCCAACAACCCCTTGTCCTATACCTGTGATACCTCTCGCAAGTCCCGACGCTACAGTGCGCCTGCGGTGCGTGCGCTACCCTCTCATGTTATGTCGCGTGTGCTGACTCATGACCCCTAGATCGTTGATCACCACGCGCTCGAGTTCGAGGTGAACGAGGTGCACGAGAAGATTCAGCGGTGGGCGATCAGGACGCAGCTTCAGGCGGAGCCCGCGTTCCCCCTCTCATTGCCTACGGACGACGACATGGAGTCCCTACCGCCGTCTCTACCGGCATCCCCACCCTCGTCGCCGAGGCGACCGAAGTGGAGGCGAATGATGAGCCTCAGCAGCCTCCCTGCGCGGGCCTGCCGCTCCTCGATCTCTAGTGTGGCGCAGACCATGTCACCTACCTCACCGACTTGGCCATCCTCACCGACATCTCCTACCAAGGAGACGATCTACCCCAAGGGTAAATACTCGCCTACGCGCCGTCATACCGCGCCGCCCGCATTGAACTATCCGTCCATCGACTCCATCGTGTCACCCACCTCCCCTACCTTCACCAGCTCCGATCTCCCTACCTGCCCCACGCCCGGCTCTCCCAAATCCGCGCGCACCCTCACGATGTCCCTCCGCAGCCTGGTACGCGGGCGACGTCGGTCGGACTCGACGGGGTCGCGCCTTTCGGACGCCTCGGACGCGTCCAGGGGTTCCTGCGTATCTGCGGAGTCGGGATACAGTCAGTTCTCTGACCTTACCGCATTCTCTAGGGCAAGCGGCTCGACGGCGGCAACGTCTCTCACGTCTCCTACCACGTGCTCTGGCCTCTACGGATCGACGATATTCGAGGAACCCCTGGCAATCTCTGAAGGCTTCAAGCCGTCCATGCTTGCGGGCAAGCTTGAGGCGTTGGCCGAGGAGGCGTCCAGCACGCACAGCAAAAGCGACTGCGAGCCGGATCGCGAGGTATGCTCACCTGATCTCCAGCAATCATCGAAACCAACTGACTGATCGCTTAGCAGAAAATGGGTCTCCCTCCGCGGGCGTCGCAAAATCTGATGGACGATAACTCATCCATCCGCGCCGTCTTTCGCGAGGAGCAATCGATGCCTTCCGGTCCACCTCCTTCTCGACGTACTTCCAAGCTCATCGCCGTGAACCCGTCGCAAGAGGAATTGGCCAAGGCTTTCCACGAAGTCCATCGTCCTACTCCCCACCCTCGCGTTCAGCCAATCGCTGTACCCACGACTCACTCGGTCACCCTTGCGACACCAATATGCGTTACACCCTCTCCTACACCCGCACCTCGACCGCCTGCTCCAACGCCTCAGGTGGTTCAAGAACCCAACCACGTTGTTGCGATCCGCGCGTATGCTTTGATACATCGCTCGCTGGCCGTCTTCGGCTGGTTCGCACCCGTCGTTTGGATGGCCATGCTTGCGATATACACTGTCATCCTCACGACTACCGCCCTCGCAGGTCTGCATGCGCTCACGTTCGAAGGTACTTCCGCTCTGGCGAAGTACCTGACGCGAAGCCGCGTCTACCTCCCTTCCTTTACCGAGAAATCGGTTAGGTCTGGGATCAATGCATCGAAGCAGATCGAGGGCGCGTAGGCGTTCGTCCCTTTTCCTATGATCTCCCTTTTGGCGACCTCATTTCATGGACTTTGCAGTAACGGCTCCACGACCTCCTCATTGCGCTACCTTACCTTACTCCCCGTTTATTTACTAACTTATACCCTGTGTTGGTCGCGCAGACCGTGCTTTTTCTTCCTGCGCTCGATTGCTTTTGGATGGATGGATCATCATGTCGCCTTGTCTATAGACCATCTACTTACCCACTCTCGTTACACCACCTAACTCGTCGTCGCCGCTCCTTACATTGTGTAGCATAGAAGCTAGTTGCCGGTCGGCTGGCACCCCCAATAAACCCTGTCGCTCCTTCATATGATGCGCTGAGTCTTTTTGAAAGGTCAGACCCGCTTTCAAACGCGAGTTGGAGACATCGGGTTTGGAGCAGCAGGTCAAGGGAGGTCGGACTTGAGATTGACTTCTGTGCCAGTGACTACAACCAATCAGGCCTAGTACAAGTACAACTACTGGTTCTTCATTCGATACGGTCCACAAACAACACTTTCCGCAGCATCATGCTCCTCGAGGTATTCCTGCGCACGCTCCTTCGCCTCGTCACCAACACGGGGGTCTATGGGGATCATCAGACGCCAGAACGACTGAAGCAATAGATTCGGGCTCACTGTGCAGCGTAGCCTTGTAGCCGCGGATGACGTTGTCTTCGTTCTTTTCAGAGGCGGTCTTGCGGGACGCGCCAACCGTAGCGCGGCGGCCACTCGCGTGCTGGGGCTCTTCCTCGGCCTCATCCGCGCCCTGGAGCATGCCATCGTCGTCATCGACGATGTCGGCACCCTTCGAGCGGGTGTTGGGGCCAGCTGTGAGAGCGGGTCAGATGAGGACGGATTAGAAGGCGTAACGATAAGGCTCACCAGCATGTTGAACGGAAGGCGCGTCGTCAACATCGGCACCCATGTCGTGGAGACGCTCGGTCGCGGACTGCTTCGCCTCGTCGCTGACGTTGGGGTTGTGGATGGAGGCCTTTAAGCCAGCGGCGACGCGTCCGGGGTTCTTGCCTTCTGCGAAGTCGTCAGATGGTGTATAACGCGGTAGACGGTGGGCACGACTTACGAGACATGGTTAAGGTGGTCGGAGTGGGGAGTGAAGGGTTGAGTGGTGATTGCAACTGCTCTTTCTCCTACTTCGACCTCTGACTTATATACCCACCTCCCATGGCTCTCTCGCGTCAATGATGACAACAACGCCCTCGTCACAAAGCTTCACCGCTCCTCCTGCCGGCAAGAAACTCCCCACCTCAGGGTCCTCGCAGTTCACGCCGCTGACCATCGAGGGAAGGCGCTGACATCTGTGCAAGGATAAAATTCGTGACGATGAGAAGAAGCCGGAAGATGGCGTAAAGCGCGCTAGGGTCGCGCAGATCCCATGCACTGTTGCATCGCGACGCGCCACCATGACGAGCAGGTGACCGTTGCGCCAAAGGTTTGCGTCACTTCAAGTAAGCGCCGAGGAGGTTGCGCGGGCCCATCTGCAGCTGCTGACAATGGAGCAGACAGTACTGTGATAAAGTAACATTCTATGCGTATGCGTGGTAATATCTGCGAGTGCGTCAGCATAGTACACACGGTAGCAGAGATGGAACATACAATGTTCAACCCATCCTTTGAGACCTCCCTACATCTGCTCATACAGCAAATCATTCAACGGCAAGCCCAGCTGCTTCGCCAACTCCAGTGCCACCTCATGCGTAATCCGCGCTTTGAACATCGGTGGCCCGTCCAGCCGCTCATTCGGCGTGGTGCGGTCGAGCAAGCGTATCTTGGTGAGCTGTCCGATCGCCCCGTATACCGCGACGCGCCCGATCTCCGCATCGGTGTACTCTCCTGGAATCTGATATTGTGGTGCGAGTGGTCGCGTGTCGGCATCGTACTCTTCTAGCAGCGCGCCGAGGATGGCCAACATGCGGTCGAGGGGGAAGGCGGCAGGGCCGGCGAGTTGCAGAGGTACCTGGATAGAGCGCGTTCAGCATCAACACCGGAAGATAGGACGACATTCACTCGCCTTCTGCTGCCCTCCCTTGATGGTGTTCACCCGCCTCGCCTTCCGCTTTTTGCCCCGCTCGTCCAATCCGCGCCCGAACATGCGCAGGTCCGACTTTGCAGGGTTCGAAGAAGCCAAAAACGCGGCGACGAGGATGAACTTCGACATACGAGGGAGGTCCACCAGAGGAGCTCGATTCTCCCTCGACGAATCATGCTTCGGGTCCGTCGATTGTCCCTCCTTCAGCGCCTGCGCGTCCGCCCACGCCTTCGCGGAAACTTTGCGCGGCAACAGCGCGTCCAATGCGTTCGCGATGGATGACCGAAACCGTGCGGTCAGGCTGATGATCGACTCTTGGTCTGGAGCGACGAGCTCTGGCGTATCGCCCAGCTCCTCTAGTCCATCAGCATCGTCCTCGGCCATCCGTGCCGCCACCGCCTCTTCATGCTCTTTAACGAGCTCTTCGTGCGCATCTAGGATGGGTTGCACGAAACCGGGCCAGCGGGCAGCGGCAATGTACTGGAGCTCGGTTACGTCGCGGGTATAGGGGAAGCAGACGTCGCAGAGCATGTTGACGAAGACGGCATAGACTTGTCGGAGGGCAGGATGATAGGATGTCGGTGGTATAGGGATATCTAAATCTGCATCTGCGGGAGAAGGGTATGATTCTAGCAATTGACTGCTGACGGCTTTAGAGAGTCAAGTCAGCACAGCACATAGTGAGAATGTCCTGTCTAGACTTACCTTCTTTTGAGGGCGGGGCGACGTCAATGTAGTAAGGGTCGATAGCGGACGCGAGGGTAGGTCGCAGATCCTCCCATCGAACGTCAGAAAGCATTATTACAGTTAGGTTCAGTCGCGACTTTACAGATCGTCAGTGCACCACAGACATACTGAAAAGGCCTGCTTACGAGTTTAGCGAGCTCGGTAAGTGGGACGAGCACCTCTGCAGGTATTCTTTCTGCATGCTCGAGAGCAATCACCAACCTTGGCGAGGGCGTTTGTTCCGCGCTGAACGTCTGTAATCCATGTATGAAGCCATCGAGGTTCTCGCCCCACTTCCCGTCGCCCCAGCTTGTGCAGTCATTTTCCCAGTCCGGAGTCCAGTCGGCGAGGTCGTTGATGATAGCGTCAAAGAGCAGACGCGCAGTGAAGCAGGCGACAGCATTCACGACGGCGTAGCGGATGGTGGCATCCTCTAAGGCAAGTTGCTGAAAGAGGTGTCGGAGCTGAAGAGAGACTGGGCGAGATGCGGTAGGAGAGTTAACGTATATGAAGGGAGGAGACACGCCAGAGGCAAGGAGGCTTTCGAGTTGCAGCAGATTCTCTTCTTGGCTGACGAGACCCGGTGCCACTTCAGTGGCCATTGTTGGTTTGAAGAAGCAGATATACGGATGGAGAGAGGAGTTTTAGACTCAACCTCCTGTGTCCTGGGGGCCAGACGAATACTACCGGGGCCTTACCACCGACAAATGGAGCAGACGTGGGTTCGAACGTCGAGGTCAACGACAAGTCCTTGAACATGTCACACGTCACAAATCTAGCACCGTCACATTGTGTCACACAGCGATCAAAAAAGTTTCGGCGCCTGCGGCTTACATTCCCCCCTCGCCATCCCGCACGTCCCTCACCATGTCGACGAGCGGATTGAAGGCGATTGCGCCGGTCCCCACCGCGGCGGACTTCTTGGACATCGTCCTGTCCAAGACCCAGCGAAAAACGCCGACGGTACGCCCCCGCAATGCGATCACTTCCCTCCCGCTGCAAGTATGCTAAACGGGATGCATAGGTCATCCACAAGAACTTCAAGATCAGCAGAATACGGAACTTCTACATGCGCAAGGTCAAGTTTACGCAAGACTCGTTCGATGAGAAGCTCGGTGCTATCCTGAGCGAGTTCCCCGTCCTTGATGTGCGTGTGCGAGCTGTATATCTGCTCGACTGATGTTGATCTTTTCTGTAGGATCTCCATCCATTCCTCTCCTCCTTGATGAACGTGCTGTACGACAAGAACCACTATAAGCTTGCGTTGGGTCAGCTACGGACAGCAAGACATCTGATCGACCAGGTGGCGAAGGACTACGTCCGCCTGCTTAAGTTTGGTGACAGCATGTACCGCTGCAAGCAGCTCAAGCGTGCTGCCCTCGGTCGGTGAGTATTTGCATCTCCCTTTCCTCTCTTTCCTTGCTGAGATCTCGTAGCATGGCTACGATCATGCGCCGCCAGAAGGACCCGCTCGCCTACCTCGAGCAGGTCCGGCAACATATCTCCCGTCTCCCCGCCATCGACCCCAACACCCGCACCCTCATTATCTGCGGCTATCCCAACGTCGGCAAGTCATCTTTCATCAACAAGGTCACCCGCGCGGACGTCGACGTCCAGCCGTACGCCTTCACCACCAAGTCCCTCTTCGTCGGCCACCTCGACTACAAGTACCTCCGCTGGCAGGTGATCGACACGCCTGGTGTGCTCGACCATCCACTCGAGGAGATGAACACGATTGAGATGCAAAGCATCACCGCGCTGGCCCATCTGAAGAGCTGTGTGCTGTACTTCATGGACCTCAGCGAGCAGTGCGGGTACTCGGTCGAGGCGCAGTGCAAGCTCTTCCACTCGATCAAGCCCCTCTTCACCGGCAAGCCTGTTCTCCTCGTCATCAACAAGATCGACGTCACCCGGCTCGAGGATCTCGTTCCCGAGACGCGCGCGCTGGTGCAGGAGATCATAGACGCGGAGGACGTCAAGTGCGTCCAGGTGTCGTGCTACTCGGAGGAGGGTGTGATGGACGTCAAGAACACGGCCTGCGATGCTCTGCTTGCCCACCGCGTCGAGAACAAGCTCCGCGGCAGCAAGATCAACCAAGTCGCCAACCGCATCCACGTCGCGCAGCCTAAGCCTCGCGACGATGTCGTCCGCCCACCCTTCATCCCCGAAGCCGTCAAGCAGAAGAAGAAGTTCGACCCCGAGGACCCGGAGCGCAAGAAGCTCGCCCGCGAGATCGAGCTGGAGGAGGGCGGTCCCGGCGTCTTCAACATCAACCTCAAGCGTGAGTTTCACTGCATTTTGACGCCTGACCGCATCTCACATCATCTTAAGAGGACTATCTGCTCAAGAACCCGGAGTGGAAGCAGGACGTCATCCCCGAGCTTTGGCAAGGGAAGAACATCGCCGACTTCATCGACCCCGATATCGAGGAAAAGCTCGAGGCGCTCGAGCGCGAGGAAGAGCGGCTACAGGCCGAGGGTTTCTACGACAGCGACGAGGACTCGTTCGACTCCGACGACGAGCGCGAGGCCGTTGAGGCACAGGCCAACCTCAAAGCCAAAATCACTTCCCAGGCCATCAAGAAGTCAAAACGCAACCAACCTCCCTTACCCCGCACCGCTGGCCTCCGCACCCTCTCCGAACTTTCTGCCGGCATGCGCGCCGCCGGGCACGACCCATCTCGCATCGAGGGGCGCGCAAAAGCGCTCGCGAAGGCGCAGAAGCGGAAACGGGACGAGGAGGGCGAGGAGGACGTCGAGATGGGCTCGGGCAGCGATGGCGACGAGGACGACCCGATGGACGTGGATGGCGAGGGCGCGCCCGTCAAGCGGGCAAAGACGGCAGCAGGCGCGGTCATCAGCCGGCGCGCGCCGCGGACAAATCGCTCGCTCGTGGGCTTGCGGGACGACGCACAGGCAGACAAGGCGGTCAAGCTGCGCAACATCGGCCAGCGGCCCGCCGCCTTCCTCGCCCGCGCGGGAGAGGGCGACAGGCATATCGGGACGAAAATGCCGCGGCACTTGTTCGCTGGGAAGCGCAAGGGCGGCAAGACGCAGCGCCGGTAGAGCGGTCGTGTGTCCTGCTTTGTTCGTTCTATGTTCTGTCGCTGTATATGGCTTGTATTTCTGTATATCCCTGTGCTTTAGGCCGGTAATGTCATGGGTGTAGCCGCCTAGCGCGGGCCTCTGGACGATTGGGGGCGTTGGTAAAGTCGCACTGTGATCACGTGGATGAAGAACCGGCATTTGCCGGAAAAGCCATAACGACGTCAGGCGCTTATCAGTGCCCGTCCTTTGGCGTTGGCTTACGGCTTGCTTTTGACCATCATCATCACCTTCGGCTTTCCGTTCAGAATGTTCAAGTTCAACTTTGATATCGAGGAGGCTGACACCGAAGCCCTGAATAATCTGTCTTTGGACGAAAAGCCCAATGCCGATCAGAAGGACCAACCCGCTCCGCCGGAGCAGGCAGCTCTTGCGGCGTATAGATCGCACACTGTCGCACGATTGGTGAATATATCTTTCTACTCCGCTCAGACTCAGCATGAAACGGACTCTGACCTGGCTACACCATTGCATCATCGTTGCCACAATCCTCGTCTTTGGGGGTGGACAGTAGCTAACGGGTCTTCGCCAGTTCAGTTAGATAAACTACCCGAGGTCATCTCCTATACGCCGACGGACATCCCGCTTGCCTCTGGTCGGCGTCTCACCCTTGCGCGGCGTGATCTCTTCGATGCGCGCTATCAGTTAATTGCGGAGGCCGACGTTGCCCTACCGAATGAAGTCCCTACCGGGGAGGACTCTGCGGCAAGTGGGACGCCTTCAGATCCCACGCGTACACCCGCGTTTTTGGACGCGCCTTCGGACCTGGTACCCGGATTATACGAAGGCGGATTGAAGACATGGGAATGCAGCCTGGACCTCGTCGACTACCTCGATGGTCTGCAAGCGGGTGAGGGAACCAGCTCCGACGCGACCGCGATCAGCGCCTGGGCAGGCAAGAGAGTTCTAGAGGTAGGCGAATGGATTGATGGATTGCAAGTAAGGAAGTAAACTGACACATCGTAGATCGGTTGTGGGACAGCGATCCCTTCACTCTATCTGCTGCACGAAATCTTCCAGGACGAACGTAGGCCATCGGAGGCACCTCATACGAAGATTACGCTTCAGGACTACAACGCATCTGTACTGGAGCTGATTACCTTACCAAATCTGCTCATCGCCTGGTGTAAGTTCATTGTATCGCTGACTGTTTTCATCGGTGCTCATAAAACACAGACTTATCACCCGCATCCGCGGCGTATCGCGTCTCCCCAGACTTTTCTGCTTCGCAGGAAGTTCCTGAAACAACCACGGAAGATTCTGTAGCTAAGAACGCCGACAAGGGTCTCTCGTCGATCACTGAGGATGAGGAGGCGGCCGAGTCGGGTCGGTCCTCGGCAGTGCTCGAGTTGTTCCGTTGCTAACCTTTCCCCAGAACTCCCCGTTTCGCCACCACCCGCGGACGCATCCATCGCGACTAAGCCGGACCCAACAATCCCTGGCGATATCCACATTACACCAACGCTCAAAGCAGCCTTTCTAAGCGCCCTCTCCGAGCGCAACATCGAGATCGAGCTGGTGTCCGGGAGCTGGGAGAACATTCTGCGCGAGCGATTCCAAGACTCCACCCTCGACTCGACATACGACATGGTCCTGACATCGGAGACGATCTATCGCACGGAGTCGCTGGACGCGCTCATTGGCATCATGCGAGCGGCATGCCCCGCTGGTGCGCAGGCGACGAGCGCAGGATCCCAATCGGCGGAGGCCGGATCGTCTGAAGCTGCCGCTGGTTCGTCATCGGGTCCTGCCCGCGACATCTCGCAGGGTTGTAAGCCGCTGTGTCTGGTCGCAGCAAAAGTGCTGTACTTCGGCGTCGGAGGCGGGGTGCCGGATTTCGTGCGCGCCGTGGAGGATGGCGGTCTTGGGCGCGTCGAGACGGTGCTGGAGCGCACGAAGGGAGTGGGGAGGAAGGTGCTGCGCGTGGACTGGAAGTAGGGCGGCTTGATGCTACGGTGCACGACGCCGTCGAAGAAACTATGAAAAGAAGTGTGGCGTTCACTGTGATTCTTGACAAATGTATCCTCTCGTTTCGAACCACGCGCATCCGACTGACGATCAGGCTACGCATTGTAGGAGGCGCCCTTGGGTAGTGACTAACGCATACATTTAGGTGACTAGCAGAATACGTAGGAAAAATAAAGGACAGGCATAGTACAATAAATAATCCAGACGGTGAGTAGCTGATAAGGTATTAATAGGTAGACGTGAGGACAGAACGGAATCCAGAAGACGAGAGAGATGTGCATAGAGGATTGGATACAGATGCAAGGAGATCGTGAAGCGGTCGTGTCGAGGGAAGCATACAATGAGAGGGATACAGCGGTGAGATACAGCTACATCACAGACGACCGCGGGGAATAAGACGCGGGGAAGGGACGCTGGGCTCCGCCGATTGCACAGCCGCAAATCGAACTTCTTTGAACTTGAGCCCCATCAGCATCTCGGCGGCTTCCTGAGAGTACATTCAATAGTGTCCTTCGATGCGGAGGTCAGGATATTCACCTTCATGTCGTCCTCGTCCTGAATAGCCAGCGCCGCGGCGCCGGCACCCTTGCGCACATAGTCGCCGTCGCCGTCAAAGTACATGGCTCCCTCGCCCTCAAACGGATGTGCGTGCCGCACCCCGCGGACCTCGAGCTCGTGCGAGGGACCCTTGACGAAGGTCCCCTTGCGGTGCTTGTTCTTGAGGTGCCGGCCGAAGTTCCACAGACCGATGCCGCCGTGACGGTCGTCGTACTGGATGGCCTTCCTGCAGTAAGAGCAGCGTGCGGAGGCATTGGTGTACTCCGCGATCGCGGGAGAGAGGGGGAGCGCGATGTTCCGCTGCTCCCTGGTGGTCCTCTTCTTGGAAGAGGACGAGCCAGGAGAGCTGCGGCTCGTGGAGGAAGAGGAGCAGGATGACGAGGATGAGGGCGACGCAGACTTGCGAGGGGAGGGGCTGCGGGTGGTGCGCTTGGCGGACTGCGCGGCAGCGGCGACGCGCTTCGTGCGGCTAGCAGGGGAGGCACTGGGGGAGGAGGCCTTCTTGAGGGCGTGGTGACTGGTGGCGGGGTCAGACGGGACGCGCCATCGCGGAACATGGGCACGTACATGGCCATGGCGACAAGGTAGGATCGAGTACTGTAGATGGATGAGGGTGAAGCAGCTAGTAGGAGATATAGTGCGAGGAAGACGCTCGGAAGACGGGTTGCTAGAGGCGGGGGGCAAGCGATGGCGAGTGCTGTTGATGAGGGGAAGGAAGCGCGTCCTCGCCCGGTCTTATATATGAATGCCCTCCCCCTTCTCCCCCGTGTCCTCCAAGATCGCCAGATGAAGCACAGCCACACATCATCTTATGCCGGAAGTACAAAGGGTACGCAGCTAGCGGAGATGCAATCAAGGGTTATGAACGGTCGGACGTCAGGACGTACCGGGCGTAGGCTTCCCAGGCACGTCACTGCCAAAGTGAAGAGAAGACCCGGACGGCACATGGGGGGCTGTCCGAAGGATGTTGATGGACTAGAAGATGGGGTGGTGGGGTGGAAGTCGCACGATAAGTCTGTTCTGCAAAAGGAAGGTGATGGGTCAGAACAAGGGCACGCCTGCGGGTCGCACTGAATATGACCAGCTCCTGCGATCTTGGTTTTCCGAGGGCAGGAGAAACCATAAAGCATCTCCAGAATTAATAGGTGTAGTTGATGAAGACAGATCAGAGCAATCGGACGCCAAAAAGACGTGGTGGGCGAAAGCAAGAAGTGTGGCGTACCTCTTTGATAGGCATAGGCATCTAATCTGATCACGGTACCCTCCGCTTATTGAATGCGAGCCCACCCTCGAGCCGCATGCATACCGACGTCCTCGTGTACGATGACCTCTGCTCACGTCTCGATTCGGCCCTCACCATTCGTAATACTGGAATCCGAAGTTCGCGCGCGACGTCAACAGGAACCTCGAGGGGCTTCGCAGCCTGCACAGCATTGCGTGCTCTACTCACACACTCACCTCTAATTCTAGCGTATTCCGTGCCAAGCCGAGCACGGAGACTCCGGTTACCAGGTGTTGCTATTGAGTCCGAAATGAGGGCTTCCCTTTGTGACGACGTCAGCGCCCATTGCGCGCGAAGTAGCTATTGTCCTGCTTGCGGTGTATTAGGTGAGCCTGATTGGTCCAGATACGGGGGCCGCGCAGATCCCTGTGAATTCGCTCACTATAGCCTTTCCGGGCATACCTTGTTGCCGGCGGATAGAGTGGAATCCGGGGGACCTAGTACACGCGCCAAGGAGACAGAGCCACACGTAAATAGACGCAACGTGGGTACGAAACGCAGCTTGCATGGTCTGCGGAAGAAGTACAAGGGATTCCAAATAGCGCACAATGTCCCGCGCCAGGCGGAAGCAGCGCGGGACTAAAACGCTAAAGCTTGAATGTGATGTTTTCACAGTTAATCACATCACATTTTACCTTCCGCCGGCATCGTGCGAATTCGTTATGACGTCCATTCGAATTTGCCGATGGTGTCAAGTCGAAGCGTCGATGATGCCAGTCTGGATCGTCGAAGACGCCGAAAGTAGGACTCAATTGCGCGGAACTTCTTCATGCTGTCGTATCGTCAGCGGCGTCGATCCGTATATCGATGGTCTTCGAATTCGTCAATCGATAGCTTTCTGTAGTACAAGGGCGCATGCACGTCTGTGGCTGTGACAATCCATCAGTGGCGATACCGACCACGCGAAGACGTACCGTCGGAAGGAGCAAAATAGCGAGGGAAGGAAGTGACAGCCCTACGTGTCCCGAAGACACTATAGAGTATTGGTCATGAGTCCGCCGCGTTCCTGTGGGTGCCCGACATGGCCGCGTATTATCAATCAACACATCGGTGCCAGGGCAGAATACAAGAGAGTCATAACAGAGCTGGGCGAGGGAAGCGTGTGAGAAGGATAATCGGGTGGCTTGAGGAGGAAGTGAATTCCTGGATGGCGCAGTGAGCGCGCCATCCTGGTTGTAAGAGCGCGAGCGAGCCGTTAGACGGTGAAAAAAGTAGATTTTCTTCTTCACTATTCGGCGTCGGCTGGGACGTCAAGCCCACGGCTGCAGCAGACAATGGCAGGAGGAAAAGCGCATTACCGTGAGAACAACCACGTGCGATCTTTTGCCTGTCGCACGGGGCACGCTGTACGGCCTTGCTTTCGCTCTTGCTGGATTTTCACCCAAGCTTCCGACGCAGAGTCTCGTCTATTGCTACGAGTACTTCCGCTTCCTGACATGGCCTGCCGATAGTGCTCATGTCGTTCAATTGCCGGAACAGCGCCCTCGCCTGACTTTCCTTCTCCCCCGGTCTCCCACCTCGAAGCCTACGAAACTTCGGCCCTTCTTACAGCACGTATCGATACTCGGCGTTCCCGGAAACTCGCGTCCGCAACGCGGCGCCTAGCGGCCCAGAAGGAATGTGCCCGTGCCTTCCACTTTCTCAGGTCGTGGCAGCAGATACCGCTGTCTTCTCTCCGCCGGCTTGCGCTCTCGTGTCTTGCGCGTGGTCTCGATTGTGTACAGCCACTGATGAAACGTACCGCCACAGACGGTCGCCTGCTTCCTCGCTATCGAAGGCCATCGATGGACAAATTGACGCCGCTGACGACTCGATGCACTCCGCGCTATTGAGGCCTGCACTCAATGTCACCGGCGGCTTCGAATGGGCGTCATCGACGATCCGACACTTGGCACTCGACAAATTCGAATCAACATGGTCGACGAAGTTCGAATTGCGCCATCGCCTCGCCGCGACCGCGAAATGACGCCGGCGGGAAGGTGAAATGTGATGTGATTGACTACATCACATTCTATTATTTAGGCTTTCCGTCCGTGCTGCTTCCGCACAGCGCGGGTTCCTTGTGCGCTATCTGGTACCCGTTGTACTTCTTCCGCAGACCATGCAAGCCGTACCCTGGATCCCACGTCGCGGCTATTTGCATGCGACTCTAGATTCTCGGAAGATGCAAGGTCCGTCGGCCTTTGAGCTATCCATATGCGCGACAAGGAGCCATCTGACATGCTGTAGACGGCGAGCCAGGGACACGGATCGGCGAAGATAAGCAGAAGGTTTGTAGGGCCAACGGTACAGAGGGCATTCCATCGTTGATGATAGTAGCTGAAGGCGAGATGAAAGTCGGACTTTACCACTTCGTCAGGGTATGAGAGATTAGGGAGCTCGTGCAAGGCGATGTTCTCCGAGGTCAGTGGACGCTTCCGGTCAATAACGCTCAACTGGACCGCAGGCGACTTAAAAAGAACAATGACTGCTCCCCGCGCAACGCGGTCTGACGTCGTTACAAAGGGAAACCCTCATTTCGGACTCAATAGCGGCACCTAGTCCCCAACAACTGCCGTCTTCTGCTCCGGAGACGGAATGCGCCAGAATTAACAGGCGCGAGTGCGCGAACAGAGCACGCCATGCTGTACGCCTGCTCATTGGCCATGCGAAGCCTCTTCCCTGCCTACTGACGTCGCGCGCGAGTTCCGAATCCGAGGGTGACGAATACCCGGGGCCGGAGCGAGGCGTGAGCGGAGGTCGTGCACGAGGACTGCGACACGCGAGCGGCCTGGACGGAGGGCTTACATGCGATGAGCGGACGGTGCCGAGATCGGATAAGATGATTGTCGCTATCGGGGAGGTACGCCACACTTCTTGCTCTTGCCCATCACCTTCGTCCATATTTTTGCTATTGTAATCTGACTTCATCGCCAACTTTTGTGACCTTCAAGAGTGCTTCATAATTTTTCTTAGCATCCAATATCTGGAAACACGCCCGCTGCACTCCCTTCCATACGCCCGATATGCGTACCCTTGTCCCGACACACCACCTTCCTTTTCCAGCACAACCTTGTCGCGCGACTACCACCCCACCACCCCATGTCCTAGTCCATCAATCGCCCTCAACACTAGCCCCCATGCGTCTTCCGCGTCCGCCGCGTCCTCCCTTTCTCTTTGATGTGCCTGGGAAATCTCCGCCGGCAAGTACGTCCTGACGTACGGGCGGCCATTCATAACCCTTGATTGCATCTCCGCCAGCTGCCTCCCCGTGGTACTTCCGGTGTCAAATGATGGGTGGCTGTGCCGCCTTCATCGTTCTTGGAGGGCAGCGGAGAGGAAGGGCACGGGGGAGGGGGCATTCGTATAAAGGCCGGCGAGGACGCGTCTTCTTTCCCCTCATCAGCTACACTCGCCCTCGTCTGCCCTCGCATCGAGCATCCCCTTTTCTGAGCGCATCCCGAGCATTCGATCTGCTACTAGCTGCTCCATCCTCATCCATCCGCTTTACTCGATCGTACTTTGTCGCCATGGCCATGTACGTGACCACGTTGCGTGTCGACGCGTCCCGTCTGACCTTCCCCCCAGCCATCGCGCCCTCAAGAAGGCTCCCTCTCCCCGCGCATCCCCCGCCAAACGCACGAAGCGCGCCGCCGCTGCCGTCCAGTCGGCCAAGCGTACCACCCGCAGCCCCTCCTCGCGCAAGTCGACGTCGCCCCCCTCATCGTCCCCATCGCCATCCCCCTCCCCCTCCCCCAAGCGTCGTCGATCGACCGGCTCCTCCTCCTCCGAGAGGGGGACTCGGAAGACCAACCGGGACCAACGGAACGTCATCGTTGTTTGCTCCCCCGCCATCGCGTCCTACACCGACGCTGGCGTGCGCTGCTCGTACTGTAGGGTGGCCTTCAGGACTGACAATCGCAACGGGGGCCTCGGTCTGTCCAACTTCAGGCGGCACTTGGTCGATCAGCACCCCAAGGGGACGTTCGTCGAGGGCCCGATGGGTGAGCTCGAGGTCCTGGGGCTGCGGCACGCGCATCCGTTTGCGGGAGAGACGTCGTGTAAGCTTGCGAACGCGGATGATTACGAGCGTGAGGGGCTGGGTACTGCAGCGCTCGCTGCGCAGGACGAGGCGGACAAGAAGGTGAGCTTCCTGAACTGCGTTCAGAGGAGCACTGCTAACTGTCCCCTAGGATGCCGCTGAGACTCTGATTGCGTTCTCTGAGAAGCTAGTGCTATTCTCTGGGTCTGAGATACCTCCCCGCTTCCGTGTCGCCTCCCATGAGCAGCTCTGATGTTGTACGCTTACTCGACACAACTACCTTGACGATCCCGTGTATCTCCTCAAAATGCTTCGTGTATCCGTCTTGCGCTCCTCTAGTTCTTGCTCTGTATCCTTCCATCTGCTAATTTCCTACTCACCTCTTACTATCTGGATCATCGTCTGAACTATGCCTTTACTCTACCTCTCCTCTTTTTTCTCGGCTAGATCATCTGGAATGCATGTTTCTCGTCAAAATTTTCACTGAATTTGACCTGCTCGTCAGCACAGACTGCGAGATTGCGCAAATCCGAGTCCTCCATTGCTCGGTTGCGCCACACAAGAGTCGACTTGCGCCGAACGCGACGTCATCACGTGGCCGCGTTCAAGATTCTCACGGTTGTGTATGCCTCCGCTCCTACCATGTCGTTGTGCTCTGCTCTGCTGGCTTGCTCCCTGTATGCAAAGCGATTCCAACCGTATTGCTTTCCCGTCATCCTCTAACCCTCTCTTCTCATGCGAGATCCAGGATGGCAAGCTTCTGGATCCTGCACTACACGGAGACAAATCGAAGATTTGTGCGCGGGCTTCCTTCTCTGCTCCAGCGGTATTGCACATCGTCTGGACTTTGCGTGCAGGAAGAAACAGATGCCAGATCCGCCCCGCCTTGCATGAGTGCGCCGTGTATACGAAGAATACAGGGTACCCTTTATGTCCCTTTGAGCCGTGTGTCCGGCTCTCCTTGAGCACGCCTGGTCCTCGCAAGTCATCCGACCCTTCCATTCAAGCTCAACACGCGCCATATAATTGCCTTCTCCCACCGAGCTATTGTACCTCTCGGTCCCGAGAAACGTGCCCGGGCCGGCCATTCCACCCTAGGTCAAACAAGTTGCAACTCGGTGGTAGCTCGGTGGTACGATCCTTGAGCCGCCCCTGCCTTGCTTCCTGCTTCCTACGGCCATGTCGCCCCCTTCTTGCTTCTTGCTTCTTGCCTTCATGTCGCCAGTTTTTTGTTGCTGCTCTAATGTTGTTTTGGCCGCCGCTATGGCGCCTTCTCAGGTTGCAGCGTCGACGCAGTGACACGATGTCGTTGAGGTATCCCGATGTCGCGAGGGAAGTCGATTGATGGCCACCGATGTGGTCGAAGGCGCCACTGCTCTCGCAAAAGCATGGTCCTCCTGAGCTCTACCGTCGACAGCCTTTCTTGAGACTCGTTTGCGTGCTCTAGACTCATTTGCGTGCGCGTCTTCGAGCTCGCTTGCTAACTCGCGCTCGGGCCATCCTGGTCAACCTCTCCAGACCTGCAGTTGCCCTATCACCCCTGCTGGATCAGCCATCCTGCCAGCCTACGAGGGTTAAAAGCTACTTTTATGGTATGCCGCTCTATAGGCTGACAGCTCTCAACTAACCTCCCCCAGAATATGCGTTTCTGGTCGAAGATACATAGCCTTATGGCGTGTATTCCGCCGAAAAAATAATCACGGTCGCGTTTCCGCGTCGCGCCATCGCGGCTCGCCTGAGGGGGGCTGCATTCATCGGAGATGGTGCAAAGGCATCCAACCCACCGCTTTGAACACTTTGATGGCCTTGGAATTGACGAGGAGGGTCAGAAAGGACCGCCGACGCTGTTCGGCCATTGCCGACAAGGGCGGCAAGTCGGTCCGAGATCGCCGCCTCGTTCGCTGCCCGTCTCTCTTCTAGTCCTCTCATCGTCGCACACGGACCGGGCACTGTAGAGGCAGTAGGGACACAATTCTACCATTACTCTGGAATTGGTGCTTGCTTTTTATGTGTCGGAAACCTCAAACCGCCCGAAGGTGGCGAGCATGGCAACTCAAGTAAGGCAGGATCAACGAGGATGAACGGGTGGGTCATGTAACTTCCTGGGATTTATAAGTACGTCGAGGTGGTCCATTTATATCAGCGCCATCTGAGTGCGAATAGGAAGCCGAGAAGAGGAACAAAGACGGGCGGCGGTCTCGGACCGACTTGCCGCCCTTGTCGGCAATGGCCGAACAGCGTCGGCGGTCCTTTCTGTCCCTCCTCGCCAATTCCAAGGTCATTGAAGTGTTCAGAGCGGTGGGTAGAATGACTCTACACCATCTCCGATGACTGCAGCCCCCCTTAGGCGAACCGCGATTGCGTGACGCGGAAACGCGACCGTGATCATTTTTTCGGCGGAATACACGCCATATAGCCTATATCCCACAGCCTCTTCGAAGGTTCGAGTATATCCACAGAAATACACAAGCTTGCCTCGCGTGGCGCAACCTGTCCTGAAAGTCGCGTAGCTCAAGCATCGGCGAGTCCGCAATAGGCTATTCCCTCCACCGACGCCACATCGGCCTCTCTCACCTCCTACCACACTCGCGTACGTACCGGTCAGCCGCAGGCGACAAATCTTCCTCTCGTCGAGGGGGTTTGAGGCGGTGGGCGCTGTGTCTGCGACCTATGCGCCCGTCTGCAGCCAGTCTGCGCGTACCTGCTGCGAAACCGCGAGTCTTCGCTCAGCTGGCCTCTAGGCGGTGCATCCCGCAGCGCTGGAAGCCCTCCTTGAGGCCTTCCGCCATTGAACAGCTCTCGCCAAGGTTGCTTGAAGGCATGCTTGTGGACTCAGACGGAGTGCATCCGGGCTGTCAAGAGCCCACGAATCGCTGCCGAGGGAAACGCTGACAAGTAGACATCGCGTCATGGGCACCGAGGGCCGTTGCCATATCTGACTCAAAGGTAGTTTTTGAGTCTAACAACCTACCGAGCAGGGTAATATAGTCGGCGAGGAGGTCCCCTCCATCCTCACCCGCCGAGAGCGAGGGGCTCTTGTCGACCGCCCGCACCCTCTGGCGCCTTCGGGAACGCGTGCGAGAAGCGCGCTCACTAGCCGGCGGGCCGCCGAGCGCAGTTCGCCGCCTTCCGAAGCAGCGGGTGACGCAGCGACCGGCGTCAAGTTGATTCGTGACATCATCGCAGATCACCGCCGTCCATGATATATCCGCGACCTGCTGCGCCACGGGCGCGCGCTTCTGCTGACAGCACTTTTCACCCTTCCTCCGATCGTGGTTCGTTCGTGGCTCCCTTCTCCGACTTTCATCTCCCCGTCTCGCTACCCTATCTCTCCCGCTCGTGGCCTAGTCTCCCCCGCCACCGACAGCCAGCCAGCTAGCACGCTATGGCCGACACTACCACTACTACCGACGCCGCCCCACATGTGCACCGGCACCACTGGTATTACGTCTGGTTCCCCCTCGTCGCCGCCTTCGCCTGGTTCGCGACGCTGTGGGCGCTGTTGATCACGGTGCGCGACCTGCCCTCCTACCCGCGTGCACACGACCTGACGACGCCCCGCAGTGGCTCGCCTCCGGCCGGCCTCACTACGTCTCGCAGGACGGCACGATCGCGTACATCTCCGACGTCGGCGCGGACATCCTCAAGCCGCTCTTTGTCACTGGATGCTGCTTTACGGGCATCGGCTTCGTGCTCTCGCTCGCCGCCGAGCGCTGGCTGCGGCACTCGGGGCGCCTCGCGCCGACCATGCGCAAGCGCGAGAGGGTGCGTTGCATTTGGTGTCACGCGAGCAGGACGCTGACGGAGTTTAGGTGTTCTCCATCCTCGCCATCCTGGGGAGCGCGATCGGAGGTGCGGGGTTGATACTGTTGAGGTGCGCGGGCACGGGTCTGTGTGAACCGTGTTCGTCATAGCTGACGGGACTGCCTCTAGCATCTTCGACACGAAGCGGCACACGACCTTGCATCGGGTGTTCTTGCTTGTGTTCATCGTGGGCGTTGCCCTCAGCGCGATCTTCACTATAGTAGAGGTACGTCCGGACACAACTGTCCAAGAGCATACACTCATTCGATCTCCAATAGTTCCGATGGCTCTCCAAAGACCTTCCCTACCTCCAAAAGCTCAAGACATCCTACATCGTTAAGGCAATCATCACAAGTACCCTCATCGTGCTTGCCATCGCCTTCGGCATCACGATGTACTGGTCGAATGATGTGGGAGGTGGGTATTTTCGCTGTTCGATCATACCCTCGTTGCATTCTCGTCCTTCCTTACTTGGGACTTACCATCTCTACGACTCGGAGCGGAGAAGCGCGGCATTTGAACTAACCCTTCTTCCAGCCATCCTTGAGTGGACGATATCCTTTCTCTACACATTCTACCTCCTCACCTTCTTCTTCGACCTCCGCGCGAGCCGGCACGTGGGGAAGGGAGAGCTGCTGTACTTGAAGGTGAGCATCCAATCCTTTCCTCGCTACGTGGTACACCACCATCCAAGCAAAAGCTTGCTGCGCCATGCAGCAGACGAAGCGAAACTCTACTTGTTCACTACTGCTACGGAGCGCTGTTCTCATGTTCGATCGCGACGCTAACTTCTACCCCAGCAACGCGCCGAAACCGGACTCTCGCACGCCGTACATGCGCGCGTCGTATAGAAGGCGTGGCGTACTATCGACCGCTGGCACTAGATAGGCATGAGATGACGAGATTCGAGGTGAGTGTCGTCTGTCAATCTGGCGTCTCTTCGTGCTTCCTCCGCGGCGCTTTCGAGCGTTCAACCTCTTACATTCAGCCTTTACTGACGCCTCCCTCGCAGCCTCTTATACTGTATCATATTCTACCCTTTTTATAAGGCGTACCCACACTACAACACACCTATTACCCCCGGCGCTTATGCTGCATTATATCCCCGGCGTACCGCTGTATACCTCACCACCCTCACCGCACCGACATCACGGTGTACCGTGCCGCTATCCAGACGTATCTCCACATCATCATCGAGGCGTATAGATGGGCCATTCCGCCAACGTACCATCACCACGGCGTGTCGCTCCGCTACGGGAGCGTATGCCACCCTCCCCAAGGCGTATACCATCCTCACCCGGACGCCTGACGCCTCCTGCCTACCCCTCCCTGAACCGCCCTACCCAACCCGAACAAAACCTGCACGACGATGACGAACAATATACCTGGCTCGGGGCGGACGCGGCACCTTCGTCGATGATTGTTGATCAAGGGGCTAACTGACAATTGAAGGACTATCGTCCCCGCCGTTCAGCGATCGTCGTTGAGCGCTTGTCGCGGACGCCCGTAGAGCAATTGTCGACGGCGTCGTTGGAGGTCTACATAGACCAAGGACATGAGGATCCCACTTGAACGTCCATCGAGAACCGTCCCTGCACACGCACCACCCCCTCGCAGCCACCCTTATGTATCTAATTATTATCGCTCGCCTTCACGAACTATCCCGCATACCACATTCCGTATACTGTACTGTACCACATCTAGATAGTAATGAAGCGGTTGCAAGCAGTCGTAGGTGTGCGTTTGGAGAGGTGGTGGTGAGCTTGGAGAGGTGGTGAGGGGGTTGGCAGAGGCGGTGGTCAGTGGGTGAGCAGGGGTGGTGGTGATTGGGCGGCGGTGAGAGTGAATGTGATTGTGAAGCTGCGGCTGGCTTTGCGAGGTTGTTGGCTTATGTCAAATGCAACTCGGCTGCAGTACTCTGGACTGCAGTAAACTGCGCTTCAGGGGGATAGCCTAGGGGAAAAAAGGGTTGAAAGTATATGCATTAAGGGGGAATCGAACCCCCGGCGGGTCGAAGTTAATCGATAACTTCGAATGGCAACGACCCAGGTTACCACTACCCCATTAATGCTTGAAGAGTAGGCATCTACTGTTTATACAATGCGGCTACCGCTCCTTTTGAGGGAGCAGGTCCTTCAGCTTCAGAGTAAAGCCTGAAAGAGGGAGAGAAGGCTGCACTCGAGTAGAAATTGCGCACTGATGCTGTGGAAGCTTCCATCGCCGTCGCTCGCGCTGGCAAGATCGGAGTTCGAACCGGGCCCAGAAAATCCCATGACACGTTCCGCTCACGTGATTGCCACCTGTTTCCTCCGCCACTGATCTGCCTCGAGGCGCGACCGGCGAGGTCAACGCCCTTGCGGTGGCTGGGGCAGCGGAATTGGGACGCGGAGGGGTGTGATCTCTTGAGGTGGCAGACACGCGTGGTCATTCATCTGCGAGGTGAAAGGGAGACGACACAGTTGCACACCTTCCGCACAGCGCGGTAACCCTCGACGTCCGCCCATTGTTCTCGTCGCGAAAACGGTAATCATCTTGCCGCGCAGGTGTACTATCGGTGAGTCAAGACGCGTGAGCCCAATCAGCGTCTCGGACGCGGGCCCGACGGAAGCTCAACACGTTCACCCAAACGATCCACCGTATATTTACCCCAACGATTCACGGCACGTTCACCCAAACAATCGCGTAGCAAGCTGACGCAAACAGTCGCGCTGTGCACGAGGCGTAAACGATCGTTGAGCACGGGACTTCATCGGCCCTTCAAATCTGGCAAGTCACGCCGGGTTGCTTTTTCCCTCTGACCATCACCTTTTCCTCTGACCGCCATCATCTGGCTCGCCTCTTTTCTTCTCACTATCGTCCTGCCATGTCTTCGAGGTGAGTCTCCGAACGCGTGCGAGTCACTGAACCTCGCTGACCTCCTCGTAGCTCGATCAATACCGCTGACGCGCACATCTCGGTGCAGGCGAAGGAAAATGAGGTACGCATCTCCCCCCGTTGCGATAATTCTGTCGAGCTCACAACTCCCTCAGCCCCTCTCCCCGAGCCTCACCTCCCTCATCCTCGCCTACTACGATCTCGCGGCGTCTGCGGGACAGTCCGCGAGCCAGGGCCCCGCAGGCGACGAGGACGACGATATGCCGCCCGAGTTGATTGATGTTTCGGACGAGGAGGTCAAGGCCCTGCAAGAGGAGCAGCTCAAGGCCATGCAGGATGGGATGCCTCAGTTGTGCGACGCCCCCCAAAACGATGAGCCGTCCAAGATCTGCGATGCTCAGGAGGACGAAGAGTCCCTGTTCGTTCCCCGCACCTCCATCGCTGAGAACTCCTCGGCCGATGTCGCTGGCGTTGAGGGCGCCGTCGCTGGCGTCGAGGGTATTGCCGCCATCGAGGCTACTGGCGCCGACGAGAACACCGCCCCCACCTACCTCAACGACACCGACGCCGAGTCCGACTGGGACGACGCCATCCACGGCGGCATGCGCAACCTGTCGAAGGGAAAGGCGCCCACCAATCCTCTCCCCCCCCTCCTTGCCGCTCCCCTTGGCGATAGTGCAGTCGGCAATGGCGCCGCTCGCAGCCCCCTAGGCGCCAGCGCCGCGAACCTCGCCTTCGGCGCCAGCGGCGCGAACCTCACCTTCGGCGCCAGCGCCAACCTCCCCCTGAGCGCGAATCTGCCCCTGCTCACCACCGCCATCGCCAACGTCGCCCCCAGCTCCCTCTTCTCCATCGCCGTCGACGCCGCCGCCGCTCGCGACCCCATCCCCCTCCTCGCTGCGCTCGCGCCGCCGATGCCGGCCTTCTTTGTGCACAGTGCGACGCCGCAGGCGGCGCCGGTGAGGCGCAAGCGGGGGTCGCAGAAGTAGATGGTGGACGCGTGGTCGCGCAAGTAAACGGCAGAAGCGACGGTTGCAGAAGGAGTGGCGAGGGAGGCGCAGGGCGTGGAATGCGCGCCGAGGGCGGTGGATGACGGTGGATAGAGATAGTTGATGGAACCGCAATGGACACTGCTACATACTCAGCGCGCTCTGCGAGTCGCAAGTGTGGGAGTTTTTCTGATATCTTCCTGTTCAATGCTGTGATATAGTTTTGCTCTTTTGTACATGCTTTGCTCTGTATAGTCTAAATTATGCATCGTCAGTCTGGGTCTAATTACTTTAATACTGAAAAGTTGGTTCCGAATGTCTTGGAGATCTCGACGCCTTACATTCGGTCTGATTGTCGCAGGCTGATATTGAACCGCTTACTGAAGAGCGGTCCCGGGTGAGTGGGTTGACATGGACCTTTAGAGGCAGAGGTTATGGCAAGCAAGGGCGACTGCGCCTCCAGTACGCAAGCACGTCCTCGGAGGACCATTAAGGAGTAGCCTGCGAGGGCGCCATATTTTAGCGAATATACAGCGCACTTGTGTACGTGCCTCTAACCCTCACCCGATCCGCAGGACACTAGCTGGGCGTGTACTGTTCATCGAGCCAGGGCCATGCATACAGGCCTCGAAGATATAGAGTAGGATATAGAAGCACACCAAGTCACACTGTTCGCCGCTTCCGAGGACGTCAGTGCTAGGTCGACTGAATAGCCGTCACCCTTGGCGGGCATCACGTCGTTCCTCGAGGATAGTCTTCGGCAATATAGCACGTTCTCTAAAGCCTCAGCAGCCTGCGACCCCCCGTCACCGCTGGATGATGGGAGTCGAACACAAGCGGGCGCGTGCGCCGAACAAAGGGAAAGCCCGAGCGGAGATGACGGCATGATCGGCCCGAACACGTTTAACCGCGGCGGCGACGTAACGTGAACACTGCTCGACCTCACGCGCCGCGGTCACCTGTCGCGAACCCTCATGCTCTGCGGAACCCCGGTATCCAGACGGCGAGGTACATAAGCCAGGAAGGATGACGGGCGCGGAGGTTGTCTTCCGCCTTCGTGACGACGGCCAGCGACGTCGACGCTGGCGACGACGAAAACGGACTTTTCCCTTTCAATACCAGCTGACCGCGCTGATCGACATCGATGTTCTCCCCGAGCTTTGCACTCTGGCTCTGCTTAGCTGCTTCCTCCGCCGTGAAGGCGGCCATCTTCGATCTCTCCGAACTGCAATGGACGCTCAGGAGCGCGAATGGGTCGGTTGAGGTCCCCGGAGCGGTCCCGTCGCACGCGCATCTTGACCTTCTGCGCGCGGGAATTATCACCGAGCCTAATCTGGGCATAAATGGTGAGATATATGCGCTTTCTTTGCCCCATATCCTCCCCCGAATCGTCATGGACCCAACGAGCTGACCGTGATCTAATAGACTACACCGAGCGATGGGTCTTCTACGACAATTGGACTTACACCGCTAGCCTGGCACCCCTACTCTCCTCAAGCGAAGTGCAGGCAGCGGACAGGGCACTGCTGGTCTTCTACGGGATCGACACCGTCGCGAATGTGGTGCGTATCGTGGATCCGAAATCAAACATCATCCACTGGCACTGATGCGGCCGTGCACAGTCTATCGGCGACTCTCCTGTCGCCTGGGTCAACAACCAGTTCGTACAATGGGTCTTCGATGTGACGGACATCGTACAAGCATACACTGGGACAACAGATGCGTACGGCGCGCAAGTACCTCTTGCTCGGGCGGCGCCAAATATCACGGTCTCATTGGAGTCGGCGTACTGGTATGGGGTCAATGTCACGAGCCGCGCAGATGCACGACAGTATCCGGACGATAATGGGACAGTGAGTAATATGTGCTGAGCCATGGTATTACTTTGACGCAGTAGCGTAGTTCGAAGTCCCAGGCTATCGCCACTACGTCCGGAAGATCCAGAGCGACTACGGCTGGGACTGGGTATGTCGCTTCTTCAACATCTGCATCCACCTCTCATCTCATTTAACCCCTCAGGGCCCCGCCTTCGTCCCCAGCGGCATCCACAAGCCCGCGTACCTCGTCACCCTTTCCAGCTCCGCCGCCAGCCGTATCGAAGTCACCACCCCGCCCATCTCCCCCTCCGGCTCTCAATCGACCCCGGATGCGATCTTCATCGAAGAGTCCTCCATCGATATCTACAAACTGGGCCAGAACTTCTCCACCGCGCCCGTCGAGGACGCGGACTGGGTCGTCAACGTGTCGCTCGCGATCCGGAGCGCGGCGGCTTTCGAGGGGGTCAACCTGACGTTGAGGCTGCCGGAGCTAGGGTATGAGAGCGAGGTGTTTGGAGTGGGGATAGAGGCGAGGACGGATGCGCCGACGTGGGTGAGCGTGCAGTGGAGGGTGCCCGACGACGTCCCCGAGCGCTGGTGGCCCTTCAACCTCGGCGAGCCCAAGCTGTACAACCTCACCGTCGCTCTCGACCTGTCGGATGCGGCCTCCGTAACTTTTACCACGCGCACGGGCTTCCGCACCGTGCAGCTCGTGCAGACCGCATACTCGGACGAGGAGGTGGCGGAGAAGGGCCTGACGCCGGGCGATCAATGGCATTTCGAGGTCAACGGGGTGGCGTTCTATGCGTCGGGGAATAACCTGATCCCGCTGGATGCGTTTTATCCCAGGATTAGGACGGAGGGGATGCGGTGGCTGTTGGAGAGCGCGAAGTTGACGGGGCAGAGTATGGTAGGTGGCGCATATATCCACCCTTTGCTCTCTTTGCTATCACTTTAATCGTCTTTCATCATCAAGGCGTCCTTCAAACACCCCAACTGACCCGTCACCACCCAGCTCCGCGTCTGGGGCGGCGGCACCTACCAGCCCTCGTCCTCCTCAGTCGCCGGCGGCGTCTACGACTTCTACGCCCTCTGCGACGAGCTCGGTATCCTCGCCTGGTCCGAGTTCATATTTTCCGACGCGCTCTACCCGGTCAATCCGTGGTTCCTCGATACCATCGAGCCTGAGATTCGACAGAACGTCCGCAGGGTGAACCGGCATCCGAGCAATGTGCAGTGGGCGGGCGGGAATGAGAATGAGGGGATCGCGCTGTACTATAAGGTGTGGGTGGAGGGCGGGGAGGTGCTCTTTGGGGAGGTAAGTTCGCGGCTGACAGTGTGAAGCCCCTCGGAAACTCGAAGGGAGGGAAAAAGGCTGATGCAATGCGCAGTATGTGAAGCTGGTGCAAGACTTCTTGTACAGGGTCACGACTGAGGAGACGCGGTCGGTAAGTGGTATGTCTCGCTAGTATGCTGGTGCTTCCATCTGACGTATGCTGTCTTAGGTACCTTATACTGACTGCTCAACGACGAAGGGCGTGCTCAGTCTGGACCCGTATGAACTGAGGTTCGATAATGGTGAAGAGGGATATATCTATGGCAATGGCGGTAAGACGCATGCTATCCGAAACTCGTCGACCGTCTACTCACGGCCTTGCAGAACGCTACAACTACGACGCGACGCAGGCCTTCAACTACAGCACATTTCCTCTGTCGCGCTTCGTGAATGAGTTCGGGTACGCCGGTCAGGTCCGACTATGCATATATGCTGACAGTGCACCAGATGGCACGCGATGCCGTCCATCTACTCATGGGAGGAAGTGCTGGTGTCCCCCGATGACTTCGAGTTCAACTCCACCGTCGTCGTGTCGCGCGACCATCACCCGCCCGCGCGCCTCCTCGACTTCCCGAACCCGAACGCGCCGCAGGGGCAATACGAGATGACAGCGCCCGTCGAGCTCTGGCTGCCCACGCCGTCCACGCCGGACCCCAAGCACAACTTCACGCAGTGGTGCTGGAGCACGCAGATCTTCCAGGCCATGGAGATCAGCGCGCAGGTCGCCTTCTACCGCCGCGGCGCCGGGCGGCCGGAGCGCAACCTCGGCGCGCTGGTGTGGCAGCTGAACGACGTGTGGCAGGGGATCTCGTGGGCGGCGGTCGAGTACTCGGGCCGCTGGAAGCCGCTGCAGTACGCGCTGGGGAGCGTGTTTGAGAAGGTCGCGGTGTACGCGTTCTGGGATGCGGTGGCGGAGCGGCTGGAGGTGGATGTGGTGTCGGATCGGCTGGAGGGGGTGAGGGGCGTGGCGCAGTTGACGTGGTATGATTGGGCGGGGGAGATGCTGAAGAGTGAGGTGGTGGAGTTTGGGGTGCCGGCGTTGAACTACACGACGGTGTTGGAGGGGGAAGGATTGGCGGATATACTTCCGGCCGGCACGGCGCAGGAGGATGTGTGGCTGCTGGTGAACAGCACGGCGCTCGTCGATGGCGAGATCGTCACCAGCGAGAACTACGTGAGCCCTTTTGCTCTCTACTTGAGCGGTCGCTAACTCATGGCCCTCAGTTCACGCCTACCTCCCTTGCCAACGCGAACCTCGTCGATCCGGAGGTGCAGCTCACGCATGAAGGCGACCTCGTCTTTAAGCTCAGCGCCAAGGGCGGCGTCGCGCCATGGACCTGGCTGGAGCACCCCGCGGGCTCAATTGGCTACTTCGCCGACAACGCGACCGGGCGGCCCTCCAATGGGTTCTACCTGGTGCCCGAGATCGACAGGACGCGTGCGTATCACTTCCGACCTGCAGAGCGCCCGAGCTGATGACGAGTTCCAGTGAGATTCGTGCTCAATGCAGACTTGTCGCACGATTCGCAGCCGAGCGCGGACGACTTCGTCGTGCGGTCCCTGTGGAACAATACGCACCAATAGTACAGTCACTCATACCGACAATCTTTGGGCTAATAAACACCGTTCGATACGAATGTAACGATCCATGACATGACATGACGGCAGAAACTGTATGAGCTAAGTGCGTATGGATAGGTAGAGAATACATGAGTGAGCGCAGTCCTTCAAGGGTCATACGACTCCGAGTGGCGCAGGCTCGAAGGCTTGGTAGGTGCCGTTGATGCCACCTGCGGCCTCTTCTTCTCCGGCTCCTCGTCAGACTCCTTCGACGCCTTCCGCTTGTTCCCGAAGGACATCGACAACGACGGTTCGAGCATGCGCGTGGTCCTGTGCTGCGGAGCTGGTGGGAGTTCGGGCAAGGTGAACGTTTCAGGCTGCCGCACTGCGGCAGGCGTGCCGGTACCAGTGACGAGGGCGTCAATCGTACGGTTGAACATCTCGATCACCTGCTCGTACGTGCCCTCGGCCTCCTCCCTGATTGTCTCCAAAGTGCGCGTATGCGCAGTCTTTGTTGAAACCAGACTTTTCTTGACCTTCCGCATCCTCTTGACTAAACCGTGCAGATATTCGAGAAGACCGACGAATGGTTTGAAGTCCGACTTGACCAGACCCGCATCGAAGTCGTCGCTCAGATACGCGAGCTTCGCATTTAGGGCGGTCTTCGGATTGTCGTCCTGCCATCCGTCGAGGATATCGATTATATTGGGATCTTTCTTGTCAGGGCCATCGTAGCTGAAGCATATCCAGCAGAGGCACCTATACTACCATTCAGTGGGAAACCGACAGTCCAATCCATCGTACTCACCAATAGAATGACTCCAGATCATCCATGTAGTCGTGCATCAGACGCTGACCCTCCGTTGGCGCAGTCTCGGCATATTTGTAGCTCTCTAGGACTTGGATGGATTGGAATGCGCGGGTACCCTGTTAGATGATGAGAAGATAGGCGTAGCTTATGTAATGATACACGCACTGTTCTGAAGTCGACGTTCGCATCACTGGTCTGGCGGTGCAAGCAGATGGCCATGTCAAGATCGATGAGAACGCCTTGCCATCCATCCTTCGCACCGGGCAGGCCCAAGAGGATGTTACGGATACTGACGTCTCTATGCAGGATGTAGATCTTCCACAGATTCCAGTGACCTGCATGGTGTGTCAGAATATCCCGAGAGAAGGATCGCTACGACGGACCTTGAACCGCGTCACGAACTGCGACTAATAGCTGCAGCGGCGACCGTTGATCGATCGTCTCTCCGTATCGACGCAGCACTGCACAGCTATAGTACCGGTCGGCCACTCCCCTGCTACCTCCCGGCCAGCGACTCTGCGACACAGACCATGTCCTGAGATCATAAGCGAGCATCTCTTCAACCCCTGTCAGGCCCGCGGTCCTCTGCAAAAACTCCCATTCTGGAGTGCGCGTCGCGGGCAGATACGACTGCTTGATGATGACCGAGCCGTAGTTCTCATGCTTGGCGGCCCAGTAGATGCCGCCGCGACCACGAATACTACGGCGCACATAGAATGGTTTCATGCCGAGGTCGAATGTGATAAATTCGGGGACGTAGGGGGGGATCTCAACCGCGATGAGGTCAAGACCGTCCTGGCGATCGGTCTTGACAGGAATGTCGGGCAGGTCCGCGGAATCATCAGCCTTACGAGGGCGGCCGAACGTAGACTTCAAGTGCCTCGTCTGTGCTCGACCGATGGCATTGTACGAGCCAAAGGTGATGGTAGCGTTGTAGCCGATGGTGGCTGGGTCGCTTGAGACGATTGTGCGCAAGGCATGGACAAAGTAGGCTGGCTCCACGTGGTAATTCAAGCGCAGAGAGGACATGGCGCCAGACCGGTCGAATCGATGGACGCGGAGGGTCGTCTCTGTCATGATGAAGCCAAAGACGAAGTCCCGATTGGATTGCTGTATGAAGCACTGCCTGCCATGCGTGTTAGAATAGCTAGGGGTGGTGTACACACGACACGCACCTCGCGTAGACCGCAAGCTGGCCAATGTTGCGAAAAGAAGATGCGTTCTTATCCGTCTTGCCGTCGCCGAGAGTGGTGACGTAGTCGTAGTTCATCCACTCTTTAGGCCGGTCTTTCAGATCCGAGAAGTCGCTCCTGTCGGACACCGATGGCCCTGTGCCGACAACGATGTAGTCCGGGTAAGACGCTAACTCTTCCTCGCTGGACTTCACGTGTTCAATGAGAACGCCGTGGGTCTCAAGGAAGCGTCGGTCCGGGATCGCGAAGTGAGATACGATGGCGCTGAAGATCTCGGCCTGGGGAGCGTATAGCTTCTTCTCGTTTTCGGGATTGACGGGCATGGCGGTCCATCGTCCGTTGGCGTAGAGGGGTGTCTCCTGTACAAATCTGCTAGCCGCTTCAAGCTGTTCACCAACAGGTCTCGGAATCGGGACGTCCTCGACATGGTGGTCCTTCAGATCCTGCTTGAGCTGAGCGTCCAGACCGCCTCGAACGATTTTGAAACCATGCAGGGAATCTCCTGCGCCAGACTTCATGGGAGTGTCGGGCAAGCTAGAGAACGACAGAGGGTGCTGGTTGGGCGCAGGTGGCGGGGTAGTTGGACGGGCTGACTGAGCGTCGGGGCTGGCGCCAGTGTCAGTGGCGTTGACAAGCGACATGGTGGTATGTGGTGGAAGGCAAGGAGGAATCGATCGTGACTCACGCGCAAATTGCTCCTTTGTAAGGCGACTACCGCGTTGCAGTCACGGGATGAGCACGACGACGCGCCGCAGCTTGATGAAAACAATGAACAACGCAAGAGGCAACGTGCACCGTGGGAATCGACAATGTTGATTCCGATCCACGTGACGGCCACGTGTTCGCACAGTTCAAACTGCCTTTCTTTGGGATAACATATACTAGCGGTATGGGTATATACAGCTGGTATGTCATACCAAGATTTGACTACAATGGTAACCAGACATTAAGTATATGATTAGCCGGCGAAGCCATTGGTGGAAGCTCGGGCAAGCCGTGCGTCGCAGACGGGCGGCAGTGATTCTACTCGACTCGCGTTCAGCCATTGACAATGAGTCGGGTAACTGTACGTCCAAACATCTCAATCATTCGCGCCTACTTGTAAGAATCTTGTCGATCCGGAGGTGCAGCTCACGCATGACGGCGACCTCTTAGTGCCCAGGGTGGCGTCATGCCGTGAACATGGCTGGACTAGCCCGCCGGCTTGGTTGGCTACTTCTCCAAAAACGCGACCGGGCGGCCCTAGAATGGGTTTTACCTGGTACTCGAGATCTACAGAACGCGTGCGTAGAGTCCTCGACTTGCAGAGCGCCCGAGCTGACGACGAGTCACAGTGAGATTCGTGCTCAATGCAGAGTTGTCGCAAGATTCGGCGCCGAGCGCGCATGACTTCGTGGTGCGGTCGCTGTGGAACAATACGCACGAATAGCACTCGCTCATATCAGACGTTTGCCAGAGTAACAAGTGTAATGAGATACGAATGCAACAATTCATGACATGACATGACGACAGAAGCTTTGTGAGCTAAGTGCATATGGGTATGTAGAGAGCAGTCCTTCAAGGGTCATACGACTCCGAGTGGCGCAGGCTCGAAGGTTTGGTAGGTGCCGTGGAAGCTACCTGCGACCTCTTCTTCTCTGGCCCCTCGTCAGACTCCTCCGATGCTTTCCGCTTGTTCCCGATGGTCATGGACATCGACGGCGCCAACATGTGTGGGGTCCGGCGGGGAATCTTTGGGCGCTCAGGCAAGACGACACTTGCAGACGGCAGTGGCGCCTCTTCAGCAGGTAGGAACTCGGCAAGGCTGCCGATTGTGTCGTCAAACATGCCGATCACCTCCCGGTACGTCGCGTCCGCCTCTGCCCTGATTGTGGCCAAATCGCGCGTGTGCGCAGCGCGTGCGCCGATGAGTTCCGACTTCTTCTGCAGCGTGCGCTGAAATATAGCATGCAGGTACTGGAGAAGCGGGATGAAGGCTTTGAAGTGCTCCTTAACGCTGCTGGGGTAGAACTTCAGGAGCAGGTGGATACACTTCCCGTAACCTGCAATTACTGGATCATCGGCGTTCCAGTCCTTTGGGTCGTCGATAGTTGGTTGATCGTCGCGGATGAAGCATATCCAACAAAGACTCCTAATGACACCTTTGAGCGAGACTTCGGCGATTCATCTGGATTGCACTCACCAGTAGAAGGATTCTAAATCATCCAGATAGTCGTACAGTAGACGCTTACCGCTAGACAACGCGGTGTTCTTATATGCAAAGCTCTTCAGCTCTTGGGTGGACTGATACACGCGAGTACCCTGTCATTATATGATCAGCCAGACCCCCACAATGCAGACACATACATACCGTCCGGTAGTCCACATAGGCATCTACCGGGTCGCGTAGAAAGCCGGGGGCTAAATCATGGTCGACGAGGATACCCTTATATTCGTCTGGAGCATCGGGCGCGCCGAGAATGATATTGTGGAGACCGACATCTCGGTGTAGAATGTCTCGTCTTGCAAGGCCGCAGTGCCCTCGTCTCTGCGTAAATTGAGATCTCCTTCAGCTTTCAAGCAGCGACATACCCTTGATTGCGTCGCGAAAAGCTGCTAGCAACTGCTCGCGCGACTTGACGCTAACAACCGGGTGCCCATATAAACACAGGATAAGACAGCAGTAGACGCGTTCGGAAGCCAGTGCGTTGATTACGGTACCAGCGGAGACGCCAGTCGCGATGGCGCTAATCAGAGGCATGGTAGTATAGTCGAAAGGTTGAGCGGAGTTGGCAATGATAGCGAGTCCACGCTGCACTCTTTTCTGAGTAGCTTCCGGCACAGCTCAGGGATCAGACGCGGCGTAGGGTATCAAGATAAAAATCGCAGTAACAAGGTCCTTGCGCAAGACGAACGACGACCGACACCAAAGCCGCTGATGGTAGAAGGACAGCGGCTACGGACTTGCGGGCCGATTTCCGACTCCGAGGACCGGAAGTGTAAACAACCACCAACAGGCCTGCTCGCCACATACCTTGACGGCTCGCCGACGACAGACGCGCTTGAGGCCCCGTAACACCACGCGTGTGCGACGCGGCTGTGCGGCATGCTCTTCAACTTGCTTCTCTCGGACCGCAGGCCTTTCAGGCGGGACCCTCAGCCACGTGGCTGCAGGTCACTGAACCAGAAATCGTACCTGGGTGGCAGACCCAGGTGCGGCGTGCAGCCAGTCAGGGTGGCTTCCAGCTTTGATCCGGTGGCAATATCGAATATTGATACCGATGATACTCGCGGAAGGCGACTTGAGGACGTCGAGGGTGCGTTGCAGAGTTTCGGACGCGCACTCTCTCTGATGTCCTCGAACCTTACCGTATCACCGAGATGGCCTCGTCGTCCGCTTTTTTGAATACCACAGTGTCACACTCCGGTACGCTGAGGTTGTTTCCGAAATCATACTCGGTCACCGGAATCAAACATAGGGAAATGAGCAAGCATTCTGATCATGCGGCGCACGGTCTCTGCCAATGGTCTGAGCTGCGATGGAAACGCGCGTGAAGCGCGCCTCCAAGCGACAACTCTCGCCACCTGCGCGTGTCAGGTTACTGAAATAAGCAGGAGTTGATAATCATACTGATATTTCTCATGACAGCCCGGCGATGTTCTGCCTTCATATTCAGTGCTGCAACTGCAGATAATGGCGCTGAAGGTACTGATTGAGTACTACATCCTTTTCATCGCTCACTACAATGTCTTCCCTGCCTTGAATGATCAGCGATTCAGGTGCCGACAGTGGCTTCAGCGACCATATCAGCACGGACCCCGGGGTCCTTTCGGACGCAATAACTCCCCATTATGTCCCTTTCGATCTCTTTCTGTTGTCACATTACGCGAGCTTCTCATTGTCCGCCAGATTCGGCGCACCCATATCAGCGTCGCCGGCTCTGCGCTGCGCCCCAATTTGGCGACAGATTCCGCGCCTCCCCCCAATTTTGCGTACCGAACCGCCCACATGGGACGCAGCTGTAATTCGAAAAGGGGCCCCATATCCGTCCCATATAAGGTGGTAATTTGCGGGTCCTGCTCGTCCAACCTTCACCGCGACTATCGTACCTTCACCGCTATCACAAGCCCGCGCCTCCCTTCGCCCTACTTTGAGCATGTCTGGGCGAGTGCGTCGTACTCTGATGGCGACGAACCCGCTGACCGCCGCTCAGCAAGTACGCCCTCCGCACCCGCAAGAGCTCGACCGCCGCCGTCAACAGGCCCTGCAAGCCGCTTCCCAAGGTCTCCCCGCGGGCTGCCCAGCTCAAGGCGAGCACCAAGACGGCCCCGCAGCACGCGCCCGGCATGACGCCGCCTCGCATGATCGCCCGTTCCCGCTCTGAGCTCTGGGGCAGCTCGGATGAGGAGCCTTTTTCAACTCACTTCGTACCCTACTCGTTGCCGCTGTCTGCGAATGGGCAGTTGCCTTCCTGGGTCTACGATCTACCGGAGGTCCCGCAAGTCAACTGCCAGCTGCGGCAAGCGACTTGGAACGACTTTGACAGTGACGATGAGACTGAGGGTGAAGAGGCTGACGCTCCCGCCGCTAACGAAGAGTAACTGCTCGGTGTAATTCTTGTCTCTGTATCTCTACCCTGCTTGCTACGTGTTCTATCGTCGTCTTCTGCATACCTCTGTACACTATCGAGATAATTATAGACTGCGCTCAACATGTTCCCTCGCGCGCGACGTTTACTGCATGCCTCAAGCCACATCCTACTCGCCGCCGAAGGCGTTTTTCACTCTCCAACCCCCGTCGCACGCCCCTGGCTCGAACCCGAACACTGAATTTGCTTCCGCGGCGGTTTCAACGATCACTGTGGGAAATGTCTGACGCCGCCACGTTCCTTGCGTCTTGCCATCATTCCCAAAGGATGCGTCCGCCGAGGGGATTAGTACCAGGCGGCCTCGAGGGGACTGTCTACGCGTCCTCGACCGGATGTCCAGCTCTTCCCACGGTTAGAAACACATCTGCACTTACACTGGTCGACGCGTATACGGTTTCGGAGGGTCAACCGGAATTGAACTTGGGCGTGCCCTTCCATCAGGGACCACCCCCGACGCGCAGGGCGCCTCCCTCCTGACACCCGGAATCCAGCCTGAGCACCCTGACACAATGCAGTGGCCAAACCGCTCAGCGTGTTCACGTAACTCAAAGAAGGCCTGCCCTTTCATCCGGAGTTATCTTTCTTTGTCCGGCTCGCGGGTTGCCCCGTATGGTACTTGCTGGGACGTGCTGCAGGAGACGGGGTGTTTGCTGCAGAGTATAAGTGAGGATGAGGTGCTTTCGCCTCTCTTTTGTGCTCCCAAACTTCGCTGCGCTGGTCTCGTTGCTCGTAGCTGCCGCCCTCGCGCTGGTGAACTCACAGGATTGCTGTCTACGTCCGTTGCATTCTCCATCATGCCTGTGTGAGTGCCGAACCTCTGAGTTACTTGGATCGTCTCACAATGCACGCATACAGTACACGCAGCTCGTCCGCGCGCCGCCAAACTGCCGCGACTGCTAGCGCGTTTTCCGCTCAGGAAAACTGCCGATTCTCTCATCCCGTGACACCGTCGACCGCTACCACCGTTCCAAGCCGCGACCACTCTTCAAGCCCCACAAGCTCGACGACCTCCTCACGCACCTCCGCCTCCGCCTCTTCCTCGACCAGCCACTCGCGCCGAGTCGACTCCGACTCCACCTCTCGGTCCAGCTCCAAGCCCACTCTCACCGAAGCCCAGCGCGAGACCGCCTTCGCCCTCTCCCCCGCCGTCGACGCCTTCACCACGGCGGAGATCCGCTGCGCGTACTGCCGCCGCATCTTCAAGCTGCCCTGTCGCGATAACAACGGCGCGTTCGACAGCGCGAACTTTAAGAGGCACCTCGTGCGCGCGCACCAGGATGAGGCCAAGGGGCGGCGGGTGACGAAGGGCTCGAACCATGAGCTGATGGTGTACGGGCTGGCGCCGGCGCCGATGAGGGAGGGCGAGAGGCCGTTGCAGCTGGGGGTGGGCTGCGAGGATCATGTGCGGCGGGGTGCTGGTGCGGCGGAGGACCCGCGCGTCGCTGAGATTGAGCGTGCGTTGCGAGAGGTGCCCGAGGTCGAGGCGAAGCGCATGGAGAACAACCTGTACTGGTTTGCCACCGTCTGCGAACTCGTGAGGGCGATCTAGACAGAAATACATTGAAATATACGTACAGTAACTTAATTCTGCAGTGTCATTTTATCTTATACTATATGCTGCGTCGCGCTCCTTTGCCACCCTCGCGTGCCGCTGAGGCTCCTCCCATCTCACGCATGGACGAATGGGGCAAGTCAAGAGCATGCGGAAGCAAACTGAAACTTTGCCTCCTGATCCGATCAAGTTCAACTTGCGTCTTGCCAAATACAGGACAATAGCGGGCGGGCGTGGACGATGAGGTTGCCTTGCAGCTTTCTGAGTTTTCTGGTAGCAGATGCGGCCTATGATAAGGGAGCCATCGGCATGTTCGCCCACCAGCGGCGGGAATGTAGCAACCATAGCTTACTTGGTGAATATCTGCAAGTGCTCAAGCGCTCGGTCTCATGGTAGTGATTCAAAGCACTTGGAGGGCATGATAGACTTGCGAGGTGGAGGTGTTACATTAGAAGTAGTACGCTAAAAGAAGCACTAGCAGTCAAGCTACCAGTCCGTGCAAACGATCTTCAAGGGGAGTTGTTCAAGATCGCACCGGGTCTTCAGGAAATCTCGTCGTATGTGCCCTCGAAGGCGTAGCCAGTACTGACAGGGGTGTCGAGTCAAGGTGGACTCTGATTTGACTTATAACGCAGGAGATGGAACATGCGTTGGAACGCCGATAATCCTCTGTTCGCAGCGACGCGCACTGGATGACAACATGCGTCTTGTGCGAGAATGTAAAATGCACATTAAGCAGTGCATAAAGGAATGCGTTTGCCTATCGGTAGCTCCGGCTCTACGCTGGCTATACGGGTTGAAGGACTAACCTGGCTGGCCATGCATCTACAAGGCATGACCGGCTACTACGGCTTTGGTCGGACGGCGGCAAAGGTTACGTATGATCAGAGTATGGAGCAGAAAGCGCCATATCCAGAGGCACCACCCCATCTACGTACTTGGACATCTAGGGGTAGACAGCCGGACTGAACAACTCACTCAGTGCCATGACCCGTTTCCGGTCACCCATTGGTCGAAATGATGGTATGCTGTAGCAGACGTCGAGTGAAGAAAACACACTTGGATTGAGGCCAGCTTGGGTTCGCCCGTGGACCGCGTTGAGTATCCAGCGATGCGAGTTGAGCTCTATGTCGGATCTGAGTTTGTCGGTTGCCACCATGCATCTGCGCTTGGCAGGTGAACACATCAGTGTCTGCATTCTGCGCAAAAGCTCTTCACTGATGATGCCCCCGGATATGATGCTAAATCGCATCGACGACACTGACTTTCCCCGCCACCTCATCCCCTCACCGTCGCGGTGAGGAAGACAGAGCTCATGGGACCCACGTGGTGTTTCCCCACATAGATTGCTGCTTGTCTTTCCTCTTCCCCGCCTTTCCCGCGCCTCCACACCTCGATATGTTGCCAGTCCACAAAGCACCCAGCAACTTCTGCCCCATTGCCTTGCCCGACGCGAGCGTATCCGGGCAAGCGCGCTCCCGTCGGCTCTCGCGACGGTCGCGCGTCACCCCGGACCCCATGACCGCGTACCGTCGGAGCAGCCTTCTGCGTCGCATTCTCAACGCCTCTGCTTCTTACCTCCCGCCACCATGATCCTGTCGTCCTCCAGAGCAACGATAACGCGCACTCTCCGCCCCCAGCTCGCGCGAGCCGCGTCAACGCAGCCCCCGCGCGGCATGCGCGAGATCCTGTCGAAGAACCCGGACGACGTAGTCTTCACGTTCGCGAAGCGCACGGCGGTGGGGAAGGCGCGCAAGGGGCAGCTCAAGGACGTTCCCGTCGACGAGATGTTGCTGGCCTTGTTCAAGGTGCGTCTGCGCGATAAGCAACATTGTTCGCGTACTGACACGCTCGTCTGCAGGCCACGTTCGAGAAGACGGGACTCGATCCAGCCAAGATAGACGACATCTGCGTCGGGACGTGTCACCCGCCCTCACCGCTCTACGTCTCCCGCGCAGCCGCCTTGGCTGCGGGCATCCCCAACTCGGTCCCCATCTCCACCGTCAACCGCCTGTGCTCGTCCGGACTCATGGCCATCCGCAACATCGCGCACGCGATTCAAGCTGGAGAAACCGGCATAGGCATCGCCGCAGGCGTCGAGAGCATGAGCCTCAAGTACGTTCATTACCCTTCTACCTCCATAGCCCCTACTAACACGCTTCCAGCCCGCGCCCCACCCCCGCCGTCTCTGACGCGGTCGCCGCGCACCCCGAAGCACACGACTGCCTCCAACCTATGGGCTGGACCTCCGAGATGGTCGCCCAGACCTACAACATCTCCCGCCAGACGCAGGACGCCTACGCGCTCACCTCCCACACGCGCGCCGCGTCCGCACTCGCGCACGGCCTCTTTCAGCACGAGATCATCCCCGTTGAGATCCGCGGGCAGACCATCTCCGTCGACGACACCATCCGCCCGGGCGTCACGCTGGACTCGCTCGCTGCACTGCGCCCGGCCTTCCCGGACTGGGGCGCAGCGTCAACGACGGCGGGGAACGCGTCGGGTGTAGGAGATGGGGCGGGTTTGGTGGTGATGATGCGGCGAGACAGGGCGGCGCGGGAAGGGTTTCCTGTGGTAGGGAAGTGGGTTGGGAGCGCGGTGGTGGGCGTAGAGCCGAGGGTTATGGGGATTGCGCCGGTTGCGGCGGTGCCGAAGATGCTTGAGCGAGTCGGGCTGAACAAGGAGGAAGTGGATGTCTATGAGGTAAGTGCAGCGCATCTGTGATTGCCCGTGTTCGGGCAGATATTCGTCCTCTACTAAGTTGAGCATCTGGTCTCCCTGATCTTGCACAATCCCTAACCTCTTTGCGTACTCTGTCTTGAAGACCTTACTTACGCCACTGCAGATCAACGAAGCCTTCGCGTCCCAGTTCGCGTACTGCGTGCAGCAGCTCGACATCCCAATAGAGAAGATCAATCCCAATGGCGGCGCTATCGCCATCACACATCCGTTGGGCATGAGTGAGTTTTTGTGCTCAGTCGTCCATACTACGCTTTCTCTTCTCGGCCACCTCTTCGCGACGAGTTCTGTCATGGCGCATACCCCAACCTATACTCTCCTTCCGCTCTTGCTGACTCTCGTTCCTTTCTAGCCGGCGTCCGCCAGATCGTCACGGGCCTCGCTGAGCTACAGCGGCGCGAGGAGAAGATCTTGCTCACCAGCATGTGTATCGGCAGCGGAATGGGCGCAGCGAGTATAGTGGTGAACGAGGCGTGAGGTGAGCCTTTTTAGGGTACGGCTAGAAGGGCCCTTCACGCTGACTGAATCAAGGACCGACTTGCTCGATGCTCCTCAAAGTCGCCTTGGAGATTACATCGATGTTTGCCATCGAGGCAGGCCCTCGCATATCTGTCCTACGATTACAAGTGACTATAAGAGACAATGACCACACAGTGCCCGCATCCCGTCTATATCTAGCAGTGAATGTCTAACAACAACAGAAGATCCTAGCAGTGGAGAGTCTACGCCGACGGTGGAAGAAGTGTATGCCAGCAGTCCAGCAGCGAAAGAAGTCTATGCAGAAGAAAGGAAAATGTTCATGGTGGAGGTTCACTCCACGCTGGTTCGTCAATCCTGACATCCAGCGAGCATCGGCAAGGCCATCCCGTTGCCAGCCATGGCGCTGGCCTCCAGCGTGGTCTCCCGAGCCGCGATCTCGCCCCGATCAGCCCGCCAGCAACGCCAGAGCTCCGTGCAGCAGGCCCGCCGACGACCCGTCCTCCTCGAGCACGGATGTGGAGAGAATGTTCGCGTACAGCTTCGACAGCGCGTCATTCGCGCCCGAGAGGTGCGCGACCCGGCAGCACACCGCGTGCGTTCGTATGAACACCGGATCGGGCGGCGGGATGCTCAGCCCCGTGCGCGGGTCCTCGAAGGCGCGGAGGGCGATCTCGGGGAGGCAGTCGCGCGGCGCGCCGCGGGGCCCGGTGAGGCGGTAGCGCGTCTGCGTGTCGTTGGGGCCGTGTGTGGCGGCGAGGGGGATGGGCTCGAGGCAGAGGCGGAGCTTGTTCATGGCGAGGTTGATGGGTTCGCTGACGGCGATGAGGTTGCGGGGTGTGTGCGGGTCGTGGACCCGCGCGTCGGGGATGGCGCCGATGCGGTAAAGGACGGCGACGCATTCGCGGGTGACTTTATTCTGGTGGTGCGTCTAGGTCAGCGGGGGGAATGAGGGGTTGGGTGAAGGGGGCAAGGCACACCCTGGGCAGAAATTCCGCGACCTTGACGGTAACGTTGCTGGTGGAGGGTCGGGTGAGGCCGCGCTCAACGCTGAGGTTGTCGGTGTAGCCGGTCATTGAGCAGCGGAAGTCGTCGCGGAGGAGGGTCTTCGAGGCAAGTCAGATCCATTCCTTGCTGCAATACGGACTGACGCACCTTAGCTTTGTATTGTACATTGTCCGGCCCCTTGCACGCCTCGATGTAGTCGTCCAACTTCACCTTCCGTGTGGGCGCCGACGTATCCGACTCCGATGTCGCGATCGCTTTCGACCTGACTGCACTCCGATCAGCGCCCATCCGCCTTTGACCAGATCGACCCCACCCGCACGCGCTCACTCACAATGGTGCACAAAGTACTTGACGAACAGCAGGCCCAGCCGGTACAGTCGTGCGTCCACCTCACAGCAGTACGACACGTCCGCCGCGATGCGCTCGCGGCCCGCGGGGGAGATGGGGTGCAGCAGCAGGTAGCCGAGGACGCGCGCGGCGACGGTGTGCGAGATGGGCCCGTGCGCGCGGAGGTGCGAGGCGCGCTGCTCGTAGCGGAGCACGCTCTCGTATGCGGGGTCGGGGTCGATGGGGTCGGCCGGGGGCAGCGGCTGGGCAGAGAGGCCCCAGCCATCGTCCATGGCGCTCGGCGTGTGGGGGGAGGGGGAGGTGGCGACAGTGGTGGGAGGATGATGAAAGAGGCCGATATGCAAATGTGGCGGCGGTGGGCGCCTAAATCGAGCGATCGGCGAGGGTGTGAAATCGGGCTCAACTTGAAGAGGGTGAGTCACCGCTTGGTCGCTGCGAGATGGGTGGCAAACAGAGGACCTTCAGGCTCGTGGGTCGATAGCGAGTAGCCAGTAGCAAGCATGAACAATTCTGTGCTTGAATCCTTTTATGTCATCTGACGAGCTTGGTCTGTTGCTTCGAGCCCCTCATCCATGGGTACGTTCGATCTGGGAGCGGCTTGTCGGTACCGTGGTACAATGATTCTGACCGGATACGAAGCGGTCCTTACAACTGGATTCCCTAGTACTCGGCCAAACGAATCGAAGAACTCGCTCTAGTCGGGTGTCCAAACGTTGTTGAAGGGCTCGTCGAAGGGAAGCAAACACCAATTTCATGTTGGTTGCGAGATTGGTCAACCCTGCGCGCTTGCGAGACCATTTGTCAAGGCGAAGATTCCGAGCTTCGACTTTCTATTAGAGCCTCTTCCCAAGTATCTACAGCCACGGAGACATGTACAGTACCGATCCCTAATTAAATACAGATAAATATGATACAAATGGCGGATGGGAGGTGCTACGCAATAGTCCGCGGTCTTTTAGGCTGCTTCCGTGAGCCCACGTCGTTGTCTGCATACGATCGCTTCCCCAATCGAACGAGAGACTTACACCGTCTCTCCGTGGTCGCTTTCGCCTGCATGCTACGTGTTATGGGGCCCATAGGAGGGGAGCTGGCCTTCTGTCGAGGGCGAAGGTTATAGCGTGTCTGGCGCAGGCGTCAGTCTACGAGTCTGTGACTCATGTAATGCTGCGACGTACTTGTTCGGTCGTCTTCGAAGCTTTCTCCCTGGATCGTCTCGGACGCACTGTCTTTCGCTCGGGCGTCGTCGGAGGGCTTAGCGGGGCGCCTGGGCTGACGAGCTCACTGGCCGCCGGTGCGTGAGGTTCGTCGATCCGGACGACGTTCGCCACGACGCGGTGCAGCACATCTTGCAGGTCGATGGCGGCGGCCAGCGACTCCAGCCTCGCCTTGTCCATGACTAGTCCTTCGGAGGCCTCAGCGTCCGTCGTCGGCGAGATCGCTATCCGAAGGATCGGCGGCGATCCGAGCGTCTTGCACGGGACGGGGATCTGGGATAGAAGCGCTATGGCGTGTGACGCATCCTTTTCGCTGTCAATCTGCTTCACAAGTCAGCGAGAGCGTTGATGCACACGAGAGTACGTGACTTACTGGATGATGGAAGCATTCCGACAAGTCACCCGTAACCTTCGACACCGTCTGCGCCAATGCCCAGCAAAAAGATCCATCTGAAAGCTTCAGCGCGAAAAGCAGACTCCTTCGATCTGGCAAGAGGCAGAAGGGGGAGGTGCGTTCGTGGCTCAGCCATGCCAGAACATCGCCATAGCTTGCGCAGTCGGTGGCGAGGGTGATAGGGCGCGTGGACGATAGGTGCCGATACCTGAATGGGTAAAAGACGCAAGACGCGCCGTCAAGCGAGCGATGCAGCTCGACCAGCTCGACGGTGCCTCTGGTCCAAGGGTGCGCGGGGCCAGTATGGTCTACCAAGTCGCTGAGCGGACGCGGCTCGCTGAGCGAGTTCGCCAATAGCAAAGAGACGTGCTCGCGAATACTTGAGAAAGAGGGATCGCCACCGTTCTGTACGAGATCCAGGTTCAGAAGGCCCTCGCTGATTGAGCCGCAGAGCCAGTTGGCGGCGGACACGATGCACAAGGGCTCGTCGACAACTATGCGCGACGCGTCGTCGTCGCAAAAGCGGCCAGCCGCATTCTCGATGAGGGCGATGTACTTCGTGTCGAATATATGCGTGCAGGCGCCGGTCGTCAGATATTTGAAGATGACGTGATGCAGAGCGCGCCGTACGGTGGCATCTAAGCAGGATATTAGCGAAAGCCGATGGTACAAAGGATTTCGGACTGACGACTCGAGACGTGCAGGGTTGTGAGGGGAGTAAAAGACCTCCTCGCGACGGCGGTGGGTGTTGCTTCCTGTACAACCAGTTCGCGGGCGTCGAAGGGTCTGAAACCCGTCATAGTCGATATAAAGTCGTCGAAGAGGCTGTGTGGCGCGCGTAAGCCACGCAATAGGACGAGTACCACGAACGCGCCAGAAAATCGATGTCTGTGCGCCGAAATTAGTGATTTGCATACGCCAGAGTCGCCAAAAACATACCTCCCACGCAGCCAGGCACCCGCTCGTTGGGTCAGTGCTAGTCCTGACGCCGTTGGGAGGTAGTGCGGCGGAAGGAAGCGCTGGATGTACGAAGCTGCCTGGTGACGATCGAACGATCCCGTAGTCGAAACTGTTCGATAGTCGGTGGTACGGTAGTATTGTTGCGGAACCACAGTCCCCGACATGATGATTGTCAACCAACTGTAGCTCTCCCATGCTTGTGATAAATCTCGGTGAGGCGAAATCGTGGCACTGTCGTCGGCTGCACGTGGGCGTACTTCGTGAGCGAGCGCTTGGGCCTCGTCCACTACACAATAAAAGTGGAAGTCGGGGTCTCCTGTCAGCACACGGATCCGAGCTATGACCTTGTCTATCTCCGTGCTGATGTCGAGGGTCTCCTTGGCATATATGGCAGTCGTAAGAAGCGCGAATTCGTCACCTCCGTCGAAGTAGTCCCGCCAACAAGCCTGAGCGAGGAGCCACAACTCACGATCTTCTGCGGAAGCGTGCAAGACATCGACCGTCTGGGCGAAGGCTTCGAAGGCGAGAAGTCGAACCAGCAAAGGAATCCGTAGAATCTCCATGCGCGAGCTTTGACTGCGGAGTATGCCATCGCTGCGCTCGTCCGCGAGTATCTCTTGCGTCGCGCAGACATCGCATGATCCGATCGCCAAGCTGTCGACTGCGCCTACGAAGTACAATCCCCACCAGTGGCGCAGTCCTTGGAAGAGAAGGCTCGTTTTCCCACTGCCGGAGACGTTGTGCAGCAAACTGTGAGAGGGAAGTAAGCATCCATGCATCAGACGCGAACAAATTCTACTGACGTGTGCTGTCCGGCGCAAAATATCTGATTCAGGCGCGCTGAAAGGCAAGTTTTGGATTCGTCGGCGCGGAATGTGTCGATCATGGTACTGGGAAGCCTCCGGTAACTCGATATTTCCAGTGAGCGAACAAAATCAATCCAGTCGTTAGGATCAGCCGGTGAGGGTGGCTCGTATATCGGAAGCCTCGTATGTCTTTCTTCGAAAACATCGCGTAGCTTCGTTATGAAGCGCGGGATGCTGCTATCTAGCATGCTGGTTATGATACTATACAAAGTTGAGCAAAAGATCCGCACAAAGTCGAGAGAAGACGCACCGTGACAGTTACGGACAAGAGATGAAACGGGTTCTACATCGTCAGAACAATTACGTGATACTGTACACAGCACACCACATGTCGGTCCCGTGCCCGGTCACAGCCATTGTGACGCTCCAATGTTGCACCTGCCAGCAACTTGCCAGCCTTCTACATGATTGAGCATACACGAGACTCTGCCGCCAACAATCTTCTACCCAAAGTTGCGCTAACATCGCCGGCTCGTCATCATGGGAAGTGGCGGAAAGATGCTCGCTTGCAATGCTACTATCGAACGCCTGGATGCGTGTATTCGAGCCCAAAGGCGTCCACGAGTATTTGCGACCTCAGTCAGAGGTGCAGCGATATGGAGGTGAGGACGGCAGCTTGGACATCGGCATGGAGCGGACATCGAACATCGGTATTCCGTCTTCATCGGCGAGAATTCAGCTCCATATTGCATGAGCGAATGAGACACCGACTTTATGTTCTGTACGAAGAGGATTTACACCATGCCATCGTGAAACCATGTGACAATGCGCAAATGCAGGCTTGACTTGCCATTCAGGCCTCTGACCAAATATCTACAATACGGAGACATGTACAGTATCGATCCTGGTACTTAAATACATATAAATATGATACAAAGAGCCGATGGAAGGTGTTATGCGACAGTCCGTGGTCGTTTGGGCCGTGTCTGAGCGCCCACACCGTCGTTGTCTGTGTAAGAGCGCTTCCCCAGTCGAACGAGAGATTTACATCGTCTCTCCGTTGTTGCTTTCGCCTGCTTGCTACGCGTAATGGGGCCCGTAGGAATATCCTTCTGTCGAGGACGAAGGTTATACCGCGTCTGGCGCAGTCGTCAGTCTAGGAGTCTATGATATGTGTAATGCTACGACGTACTTGTTCGTTCGTCTTCGGAGCTTTCTCCCTGGATCGTCTCGGACGTACTGCTTTTCGCTCGGGCGTCGTCGGAGGGCTTAGCGGGGCCCCTGGGCTGACGAGCTCGCTGGCCGCCGGTGCGTGAGGTTCGGCGATCCGCACGACGTTGGCCACGATGCGGTGCAGCACATCTTGCAGGTTGATGGCGGCGGCCAGCGACTCCAGCCTCGACTTGTCCATAATCGGTACTTCGGAGGCCACAGCGTCCGTCGTCGGCGAGATCGCTATCCGAAGGATTGGCGGCGACCCGAGCGTCTTGCACGGGACGGGGATCTGCGATAGCAGCGCTATGGCGTGCGACGCGTCTTTTTCGCTATCGTTCTGCTTGACAAATTAGCGAGTAATCCCAGATGCAAAGGAGCGTGCGCGACTTACCGGAGGATGGAAGCATTGCGACAAGTCGCCCGTGACCTTCGACATCGTCTGCGCCAATGCCCAGCAAAAAGATCCACCAGAAAGCTTCAGCGCGAACAGCAGACTCCTTCGATCTGGCAAGAGACAGAAGGGCGAGGTGCGTTCGTGGGTCAGCCATGCCAGAACATCAACGTAGGTCGTGCAGTCGGTGGCGAGGGTGATAGGACGCGTGGACGATATGTGCTGATATCTGAATGGGTAAAAGACGCAGGACGCGCCGTCGAGAGAGCGGTGCAGCTCGACCAGCTCGACCGCGCCTCTGGTCCAAAGACGAGCGGGGCCGGTATGATCTACCAAGTCGCTGAGCGGACGTGGGTCGCTGAGCGCGTGCGCCAATAGCAAGGAGACGTGCTCGCGAATACTTGAGAGCGAGGGATCGCTGCCGTTCCATATGAGATCCATGCTGAAGATGTCGCCGACGTCCGCCTTGCATAGCCATCTGGCAGCGGAAACGATGCACAGGGGTTCGTCGACTACGATTTGCGAGGCAGCGTCGTCGCAGAAGCGACCTGCCGCTCTCTCGACGAGCGCAACGTAGTCCATATTGAATACGCGCGTGCATGTTCCCGTCGCAAGATACTTAAAGACGACGTGATGGACAGCGCGGCGGACGATCTCATCTGTTAACACATTTAGATGATATGGACGCGGCTATTGTATCTGACTCACTCGTATGGGCTTGGAGTATGTTAAGCGGATTGAAAGCCATGCGCGCGACGTCGGTTGGAGCGGCCTCCTGTTCAACCAGACATCGAGCCTCGAATGGCTTGAATCCTGCCATAGTCGACACGAAGCTGTCGAAGAGGCTGTGCGGTGCGTCTAAACCATTCTCCAGAGCGAGCCTGACGAATGCGCCGGCGAACCGATGCCTACCAGTCCGGTCAGTACTCCGTAAAAGATACGAAAAGTGAGAATATACCTTCCATGGACCCAAGCGCTGGCACGCCGTAGCAGCAACTTTCCGGATTCCGACGACGCGAGAGTCGGGGGCAGGAAGGTTTGCACGTATGCGGCGGCCTCGGATGCATTATACGATCCAGTGGCGGATGTTATGCGATACCCGGCGCCACGATAGTATTTGTACGGTACGATTGTCCCGGACATGACGAGAGTAAGCCAGCCATAATTCTCCCAAGACTGCGTCAGGTCGCGATGGGGAGAAAAGGGCACGGGCGCGTTCGTCCCTGAGGGAGTCACTTCGTACGCAAGGGCCTGCGCTTCATCGACGACGCAGAAGAAGTGGAAATTGGGGTCCTTCGTCAGCGCACGGATCCGAATCATCGCTTTGTTGATCTCCGCATCGATGTCTAGTTTCCTCTCCGAGTAGAGCTTGATCGAGAGGAGCGCGAACTCATCGCCGAGATCGAAATAGTGCTGACCGCATCCTTGTACGAGTAGCCAGAACTGGCGATGCTCCGCAGTAGTGCGCGAGACGTCGATGATCTGAGCGAACGCCTCAAACGCCATGAGCCGCACCAGCAAGGGAATCCTGAGCGCCTCCAGACGGCGTCCGAGGCCTTGTGGAGTGTTATCGGCCCTTTCATCCGCGAGGAATTTGACGAGTTTCTGTATGTCGCACGAGCCGATCGCCCAACTATCCACAGCTCCCACGAAGTAGAGCCCCCAATGATGCCGGAGACCTTCGAACAAGAGGCTTGTCTTCCCGCTCCCAGAAGCATTCTGTAATAAGCTGTAGAGCGAGATGATTAGCTATCGTACAAAGGAACGTGAAGGGACACGCACGTGTGCTTTCCTTCGCTGAATATTTGCTGGAGTCGCGCGCGAAGACACTCATTCGCGTCATATGCGCGAAAGGTGTCGATCATCGTCATTGGGAATTGGTGGTAGCTTGAGATATCGAGCGAGCGAACGAAGTCGCGCCAGTCGTGGGAAACGTCCTGCTTGCACGGCTCGTATGTTGGGAGCCTCATCTGCCTTTTCTCGAAGACGTCGCGTAAGGTCTCCCGAAAGCAAAGGATTCTCTGTTCTGACATGATTCCGGTGGCAAGGAGGTAACTGAACGAAGGCACTGAGTGGCGCGTATGGTGATTGTTGCAAACAAGGAGCACAGCGTGGCCGCGGGTGTGACGTAATGTCACGCAAGTTGCCGGTCGGCCCGAACATCAACAGTGACAAAACGATGACCGTCACGCAGATGTGTGACGGCGCCCAACTTGAACTTGCCACCCACCTCCGTGGCGCTTGAGGTTATGAGTGCTCGTATCCGCCGTCCTCTCATTCGACTCCCTCTCGATTCCACATACTCTGGCAAACAATGCGAGACTCTTCGATGCAACATGAGCTCGAGGTGTGTGCTCAGTCTTGCAACTATACGCGTTGACTCATGTATAACCTTCGTTCAGGCGAGCACCATTGACCCGTTTCTCACCGCCATCCTCCCTATGATTCTCAAGTTTGTTTCCCGTGAATACGAACTTCCCACGTACACATCATCGGTCGAGACGCCTTATTCGCAGTTCATTGCCGACCTTGGGTTGCCCGCTCCCGGTGGCATTCCGGAACTGCTTCTGCACAGACTTGGACTGGATCCGATCGTGCAGAATCGTGCCGAGTCTATTCTGTTGATCAAGCCACCAAAACGTCAGCGGAACAAGTGAGCTGAATTTGTCCCCTATGCCATGATAATACTGAAGCGCCATAACTCAGATGGCTTGTCAACACCACTGGCTCTGGAAAGACCCGTTTAGCGATGGAGGTGCTGACCCTTCATCTGGGTTTCTATCTTACGGCGGCGCAGGACGGTAGCGGCCTGGGCTCCGCGGATCTCTGTGTGCTTGTCGACTCCATGCTTGCCGACGTTGTGCCAAACGTGACCGCAAATATCGAAGGGCCTCGACAGCAGTCGGTCTTCGACGACAACGCAAAAATCGTCGCCAAGTGCTTCGTTGCCCTTCTCTTGGCTCGCGCGTACATTCTGAGGCGTTTTCTGAAGCTGGCTTCCGAGTCGGGGGGCCTTACTCAGCGTCATAAACACGCCTGGCTTCTGTTCCAACTTCTGCCAGTCTTCGACGTCGCTCTAGACAAGGATCCCAGCGACGATCAGGCCAGAATTATGAACAGCGACGTCTTTGCAAAACTCATGCGATACATTATCGACAAGAACTTGCCGCTTCAGGAACTCAACTTTATCCTGCAAGACATCCTGGAGGACATCTTCTCGTATGTCAACCGCAACTTCCGCGATGGCAAGGTGGTCTTTGTCCTCGATGAATCCCAGGTGCTGGTCAAGAAGCACACCGCATCCTTCAAGTCTGCCACTGATGCCAACCAGACACGGCCTCTCCTTCGCGAAATTGTGGCGAACCTGGTTGCTTGCACTGACTCGTGGCCCACAAAAGCCGCTATACTGGGCCTCGGTACCGGCATATCCGCGCAGTCGATCGAAGAGGCGATTCATTCGGTTTCCGGGAAGAATGCGACGCATGAAGTGCACACGGAGATAGGTGCTTTCGACACAGTAGCCGCACAGCAGACATACATGCGCCTTTACATTCCGAATGCCATCCTGGGATCGAGCAGCGGGCGTCTACTGGCGGCACGGTGCTGGCAATGGCTTCGTGGGCGGTATGTGTCTCGATCTCTGACTCCCGGCCCGCGTTTACTGACCGTGCGGTATCTTTCTTTCTTTTAGGCATCGTTTCCTCGCGAAGTTCCTCGTTGAGCTCATACGCGCCGGATTTCGGGCACCTCATACGGTGCTGAACGCGTACGTGAAGAAGCTTACCAACTGCACCCTCCAAGATGCGGACCGGTACATCGAAGAGGAGGAGGATGAAGTTTCTGGGATCGACATGCCTAATGTTTATCCGGTCCTTTGTCCAAAAAAGTGGCGTACGTGTCTGATTATTTAGCAATCGTTGAGTGGAGTATGCTGATCATGTCAAATATGTAGCCCCCACTCTCATCATAACGATCGCGCAAGTTGTGACATGTTACTTGATGCGGGGCGTGGTCAGCATCGTCTGCGGAGAAGATGAACACGACATGATCTACCTCGGGGTCGCAAGGTACAGAAGATCCAACAACAGTGACCCCGACAAAAACTCGGAGGCCTGCATAGACGAACCCTTGATCATGCTGGCGGGCACTCGGCACTTCGACGTTTCCCTCAAGGATACCGATACCGTCACCTCGACATACCAAGTCCTTGGGTCGCGGATTCCCGAGCACTGCGCGCCTTTCAATCGAAATGGCTGGGAGGAGTTCCTCCCGTTCATTTTCTGGTGTTTCGTGTTCTGCGAACCACGACGCCTGGGAGATGTCTTCAACATCATTCGTCGCCCGGACTTGGCCGACGAAAAGGTTGTCATGGCCATGATACGCAAGGATACGAACGGCGACGTCGTGGTCCACAGCTCAGCAGAAGCGGGTCCACGGCCAGCTGCCATCAGAGTGGTCTCGAACGGCGAGAAGAAGATCGAGTACACGAAGGAGCTCTATTATCACACTCCATTTTCCACCATGGGTGTTGTAGAACCAATCCAGACGTATGATGGATCAAGCTCGCGGCCCTTTCCCGAGCAATGGATTCGGCATGAGGCTAACGCACCGGGCTGCTTTTTGCCAACATGCTACGCCCCTGACTCCTGGTTCCACTTGCAGATCGTGGGAGGGAAGAACCACGGCAACCTCATAACCGCATCGGTTCAGTACAAGTATCGTCGATACGGTCTGAATGACGATGGCGCCAGGCGCGCAATCCAGTCTGTCACCCCTGCCCATCTTGGCGATGCGAAGCTCAAGGTGAGTATTTTCTCTTAGTATCATCTCGCGTACTCACTCAACTGTATCAGCGAGCCCGACTTCCCGAGAGGGTGGAACTTACCCAGGCCGAGCTCGACTCGCTGAAGAACGATCTCAAAAACGCCTTCAACTCGATCGAGGGTGGTACCCCACCAGACGACATGTTTGGCGAATGCCATGTTCTTCGCGTCGTCGCGAGCACGATCGACCTGAAACTAGAGCGCCTCGACAAGGCGACATCTACCCCCAAGTTTCAGGAGGAGCTTGATGACTCACACCCTCTGGCGACGTTGAACACGGAATACGTGGACAGCATCCTCAAGAAGCCCAGGCCCCAATACAAGCTCACGGATGGGAAAGCACACGCCCGCGTTGATGGCAAGGACGAGGAGGATAAAGAGGAGGATGAGGAGCCGGCAGTCGCCTCAACGTCCTGCGCAGCCGACGACCAACCTCCCCTCGATGAGGGCGAGGACGCAAGTGTCGAGGCTGTACAGTCAGAGGAGCAGACCAAAGGTTCGACTGTGATGCCAGCGTCGGATGCAAGAAACGGCCAAGCCCCGGTAAAAGGCGTCGAGGACCCGGGGGCCAACGATGAAGACATGGAGGACATCTCTGCAATGCCTTGACGTCGGCCGCAGGTGTCAATCGGGTCACGACGACTATGACCACGAAGCGAAGCAAGCAGGGGACCGCGGCGGAGCGAGCACCGAAGAGACCTCGAAATACTGCCGCTGCTCAAGCTTCGCCTCATCGTATCGTTACTCGCAGCGTCACCCGCATGCGGGAGGCCGCAACAAGTACCGGGCCTCGACGTTCCACTCGCTTGGCGAGGAAAGGGAATGCGACGGCTAACCCATCGACAAGTCAAGCGAGTGGCTCAGGACCAGCAAGGTAAGTCGCGGCGGCCACGGCGAGTGAAGCGTGTTCGCTAACAACGTGAATAGGAAGCAGACGACGACCACTGGCAAGCAATCCAAGTCTGGGAGGTAGACGAGTTGCGCGACAGCACAAACTCTACGGTTGTAATTCTCTTCTTGTATTCCACGTAGTTAGCTGTGGAGGGTTGTGTTACCATAATATACAAAGCGCTATTGAAAGGTGCTATGTAATAGTGCGTGGTCGTTTGAGCTGCTTCTGAGGACCCACGTCGGTCTTGTCTGCGTACGAGCGCTTTCCCGTTCGAGTGGGGGATTTAGATCTTCTCGCGGCGGCAGATTTTGCCCGCATGCTACGCGTTATGGGGCCCGTAGGGGGCGAGATAGCCTTTTGTCGAGGGCGAAGATCATGACGTGTCTGGCACAGTCGTCAGTCTACGGGTCTACCATATAATGCATGCGACGTACCTGTTGGCTCGACTTCGAAGACCGCTCCTTGGTTCGCCTCGGAATCGCTGCCTTGTGTTTGGATGTCGTCGGAGGGCCTAGCGGAGCGCCTGGGCTGACAAGCTCACTGGCCGCCGGTGCGTGAGGTTCGGCGATCCGTACGACGTGGGCCACGATGCGGTGCAGCACGTCTTGCAAGTTGATGGCGGCGGCCAGCGTCTCCAGCCTCGACCTGTCCATGACCGGTCCGTCGGAAGCCATAGCGTCCGTCGTCGGTGAGATTGCGATCCTGAGTATGGGTGGCGCCCCGAGCGTCTTGCACGGGACGGGGATCTGCGATAGCAGCGCTATGGCGTGCGACGCGTCCTTTTCGCTATCATCCTGCGTAACGAGTTAGCGAACGCATAGAGGAAAGGAGCGTACGTGACTTACCGGAGGATGGAAGCATTGCGATAGGTCGTCCGAGACCTTCGACATCGTCTGCGCTACTGCCCAGCAGAAAGATCCGTCAGAAAGCTTCAACGCGAACAGTAGACTCCTTCCATCTGGCAAGAGGCAGAAGGGGGAAGTGCGCTCATGGCTCAGCCATGCCAGAACATCGCCATAGCTTGCGCAGTCGGTAGCGCGATTGGACGTGAGGTGCTGATATCTGAATGGGTAGAAGACGCAAGACGCGCCGTCGAGCGAGCGATGCAGCTCGACCAGCTCCACGGTGCCCGTGGTCCAAAGGCGTGCGGGATCGGGGTTCTGTACCACGGCTTTCAGAGGACGCGGGTCGCTCAACGCGTACGCCAGCAGCAGGGCGCTGTACTCGCGAATACTGGAGATCGAAGGATCACCGCCGTTCTGCTCGAGATCTAGGTTCAACAGGCCTCTACTGGTTGAGTCGCAGAGCCAATTGGCGGCAGACACGATGCACAGCGGCTCGTCGACAATTATCTGGGAGGCGTCGTCATCGCAAAAGCGGCCAGCTGCATTCTCGACGAGGGCGATGTAATTCGTATCGAACACGTGCGTGCAGGTGCCGGTCACCAAATACTTGAAGACGACGTGATACATGGCACGAAGAACTGCAGGATCTGGGATAGATGAGTAATGAGGTATGAGGGACGTAGAGTTTGACTGACCACTGTACGCGTTGAGAGTATCGAGGGGAGGGAAGGGGATATTGAAGGCGCAGACGGCAGTTTCTTCCTGTTCGACCAGATCGTGCGCGTCGAGGGGTTTAAATCCAGCCATAGTGAATATGTAGTTATTGAAAAGACTATGAGGGGCGTCCAACCCTTTCTCTAGAACGAGTGCTATGAACGCGCCGGCAAATCGGTGTCTATCAGCGAATTTTAGTACACCAAGTACCATGAATGCCCAGCACACGAGGACACACCTTCCATGAACCCAGGCGCCGGCCCGCCGAACAAGCGTCTTCCCCGATTCTGAGGAAGAGATTACCGGCGGGAGGAAGCGCCGGATGTACGATGCCGCCTGTGGTGGGTCGAAGAATCCAGTGGCTGATGTTACTCGATAGCCCGAGCCGATATAGTGCTTGAACGGGACGATGGTCCCAGACATGATGAGAGTGAGCCAACGATACTGCTCCCATGACTGCGACAGGTCGCGATGTGGTGAGAAGGGGGCGAAAGTGTCGGATTCAAGCGGGTGTACGTCGCGAGCAAGCACCTGAGCTTCGTCGACGACGCAATAGAAATGGAATTCGGGGTCATTCGTCAGTACGCGGATCCGGGTCATCGCTTTGTCGATCTCCGCGCTGATGTCCAAGCTCTTGTCGAAGTAGATGTTATTCGAGAGAAGCGCGTACTCATCACCAAATTCGAGGTAATGTTGACCGCAACCTTGTAGGAGAAGCCAGAACTGGTAATCCTCCGTAGACGCGTGCGAGATGTCGATAATCTGGGCATATGCCTCAAAGGCGAGAAGGCGAACTAATAACGGGATTCTGAGGGCCTCAATACGTGAGGCGTGACTTTGAGGACGGCCATAATTTCTTTCGTCTGCGAGAAACTTGATGAGTCTGTAGATATCGCACGAGCCGATCGCCCAAGTATCAACGGCGCCCACGAAGTATAGACCCCATCGGTGGCGCAGTCCCTCGAAAAGAAGGCTTGTTTTCCCACTGCCGGAGGCATTCTGCAGTAATCTGCGTGTCAAGATTAATTTGTTGTACGGAATTGAAAGCGAAGAGATTGTACACACGTGTGCCTGCCTTCGCAGAAGATGTATTCAAGTCGCGCACGAAGACACCGGTTCGCATCATCGGCGCGAAATGTATCAATCATCGTCAATGGATAATGGAGGTAGTTGGAAATTTTCAAGGCGCGTACAAAGTCCCGCCATTGCGTGGATTCGTCCTTTGAGGTCGGCTCGTATGTTGGAAGTTCAGTCTGCCGTAGTTCTATAACGTCGCGTAGGTTCTTCAGAAATCGTTGGACACTCTCCTTTCGCATGCTGAAAGCTAAGGAAAACCTCAAATTCTCGTACTTATAGGGGCCCGTCGCAGACGCACCGTGACTGTTGGGGACAAGGAGCATGAACGTGACGGTCGCGTGGTTGTGTCTCTTGTCAATGATGGAAAATGGGAGACCTTCGTTAGCTTCGGAGTTTTTCCCTTATAGCCCACGAAGTGAACGACGTAGGTCTTCATGAAAGTATACAGCACGCTCAAATTGCGCTCAAATGTCAGGATATGTGCATAAGAGTCTGATCGCGTGCACTGGAACTCGAGTTCCAGGGTAAAACTCGCCCGGGAAAACCACCCCAAAGCACCCAGTTCGAGTTCCGGTCTGAACTTCCCTGGTACTTTTTTGGCAGGAGTTCCAGGGTCTGAACTCCGAGTTCCGGTGCACCCGATCAGACTCTAACAGTGTGCGGTCCGGTGTTCCCATCATTTCAGCTTTGTTCTGATCTCTCATGGCGTCGCGAACCTCATCTCGCCGAGGGACGCCTGCTATCAGCCTGACGCCCAAACCGAAACCGACTATCAGCGTCGAGGAATGGGAGGCTAAGGCTCCGTTGGGCGACATTGAAGTGCGAAGCGTCAACGCCGTGAAGTCCGCTAGCGAACTCGTCCCTCTACCCCCTAAGGTAAGGGTTCTCTTGCCCGCGCGCACAGGTTCTGAAAAGCTCAAGTTCTCCCCAGAGAATGGATCCGTAGACGGGGGATCGCGCCCACCAACCCCGAGCGCGCGTACCCGACTTCCAGCTGCAGCCGCTACGACATCGTCAAGCCCGCGCACGGGTACCCCCAAGCCACAGAACACGCAGCATCCCCTCCACCCGAAGCACCCGATACAGACGCCGCAGCAGTTCTACGACTGGTTCGCGCTGGTGGACCGGGAGATCGCGCACAGCCAGGAGGCCCACTTTCGCGCGCACGTCGCGTCGGTGGCGAAGCATCTCGCTGCGTGTGATAGCCTCGTGGAGAAGATCGACGACGTGGACAAGGAGGTGGAGGGGATGCTGGAGGGGTGGCGGACCGTCGAGGAAGGGGGAAAGAGCTTGAAGGACGCTTGCGAGCGATTGCTGGAAGAGCGGGTGCGTGGTTGTAAGTCTTCGGAGGTGAATAGGCGGCTGACGATTGTGCAGGAGCGACTGCTCGACCTGACCGACCAGATTGGGGCGCGACTGGAGTACTTCCAGGAGCTGGAGCATGCGACGCGGATGCTCAACAACCCAGGCGACTCCCTCGTTCTCCAGACCGATTTCCTCTACATGGTCGAACGTGTCGACATTTGCATCGACTACCTGAAGAACCACGTACGTCGCTACTTGATCGCACACTACCTTCTCTTCTCACCTTTCTTCAGCGACACTACCGCGAGGCGGAAGTCTACCTTCTCCGATTCCAGCAATGCATGACGCGCGCCATGACCCTCATCCGCATGTACTTCGTCGGCTCCCTACGCGCACTGTCGACGGACGTGACGAGGCGAATCTCCGAGAAGGTGGGTGCCTAGCCATTCCGCGCGAACTCTTGGTTGACGGTCTTCTGTTCAGGACGTGTCTCAGACGGCTCAGATGCACCTGCTCTACACCCGCTTCAAGACTGTCGCCGCTCAGATGGCACCCCTCCTTGGTGAGCTGGAGCGGCGCGCTCAATCGCATCCAGAAGAACTGTCCGCCCTGCTATCCGAATGCCACGCCGCATACTTCAGTACGAGGAAGGCTCTGTTAGTCGGGCGTGTTATGGAGGAAATCAAAGGGCTCGATCCTGGGCGCACTGAGCTGGTCGAACTAGTGCGCACTGTCCATTGTGCGTGTGGGTTATTGCTGATTGACGAGGTAGACTCGTGCCGGATGTAGCTACCTGAAGCAGCTATGCACCGACGAGTTCGACCTGTACCGCGAGTTCTTCAACACGGGCGAAGAGCAACTATACCAGTACTTGGAGAACCTTTGCGACTACCTCTACGATGACCTTCGACCGCGCATTCTGCACGAGCCCCGCCTCACGGCGCTGTGCGAAGTCTGCACCGTTCTGCAGGCTCTTATGGTCCTCGACGTGACGGTGACTGACGAAGACGAAGACGGTCAGGATGACACCGCCACCGCCGACAATCTCGTCCTCGACTTTGACCAGCCGCGCCACCGTCGCGGGCTGCACCACCTGCATATCAGCCACCTACTCCAGATGGTCCTTCAAGACGCGCAGACGCGGCTGTTCTTCAAAGCGCAGGCGGTGATCCAGTCGGACATCCGGTACTACGCGCCGAAGGCGGAGGACCTTGCGTATCCGGATATCCTGGTGCGCTCGCAAGGGCAGCCGGCGCAGGGGCAGGGCGAATGGCTCAGCGAGAAGGCCAGCGTCAGCGAGATCTTCAAGACGCCAAGCTTGAAGAAGCAGGATACGTGGTACCCGACGATGCAGAAGACGGTGTGGGTGCTCAGCCAGTTGCATGACTTCGTGAAGGTACGCTAGACGCTCACACCTGCGCGGTCGTCGTCTCATGTGTGTGGGTAGCCAGCGATCTTCGAGGACATCGCGCAAGAGGCGATTGGGCTGTGCAGGCAGACGTTGGTGTCCGCCGCCGAGATGATCAAGAAGCGGAGTCCGCCTACTACACTCCTGGATGGCCAACTATTCCTCGTTCGGCATCTATTGATCCTCAAGGAGATCGTGCACAACCTTTCCCTGACCAACAAAGAAACCGACCCTAATGACAACTTGACTGGCGTCACCGGTAGGTCGGCATTGAACGCAACTTATCCGTCACTGACGTGCTTTTCAGAGACGTTCACATCTATGCTCAACAAGACGACTCTCTTGCTACCCGACCGCTTCCTGTCTTCACTCGGTGTCGCGCGTGCAGAGGACATCAAGGAGACCAAATACGTATGCGGACTTCATCACGCCGTGCGCGTCCCCGACTGACACGACCCTCAGGGCATTGACCACGACTTGCGACGCGCATGCGAGGACGTCATCGCGCTGTGCGCTGACCCTGTCTGCGATCCCCTTCGGCGCTGGGTCGACCGCGTGTACGAGTTCAACGCGGCGCGCAAGGCGCAGGCGCAACCTGACGCGCCGGCGCTCGCCGCGCAGGAGTGGGCTACCCAGCCCGCGGCGGAGGCTATTGACGCGGCGTTCCGCGCGGCGTGCGAGCGCGACCTGCGAAGCGCGTCGGCGCGGCTGAGGCTGTATCTCGAGGACGACCGGACGGTGCGGGTGCTGGTGGACCACGTACAGGCGCGGGTGCTGGAGGAGTATGGTGTGTTTAGAGAGGTGGTGTGGGGGATGTACGCGGGGGCGATGCGGGAGGGGGTGCTGTCGGCGACGTCGTTGCGGGAGATGCTGAAGGTGATCTTCGAGGATGCGGTGGAGCCGCGGCAGGCGGCAGCATCTGGCTCTGCCTCGCTGTAGCACCTTGGCCCTGTACTCGAGTACAAATTGACCTCGCCCTGCATCCAACGCGGCTAGAACCGGTAGCTTCTCACCTCGACTGGGCGGTATGGCGGCCAGGCACTTAGTGGGTACCTGGTCGAAGCGACATGGGCACCGGTCCTAAGAGATAGAGAGAGCCTGCCCACCAAATGGGCGACAGATATCGGGGTTTTAGTGGGTATTCAGGATGGGTTCTGCGAGTCCCACACTTTTAGTGCGTAAAAGCATTTCCTCGACGTGGGGGGTTTATTCCCTATCGCCTGGCTCTTTCCACATTCTCTACTTATTCTCACTGAGGTCTACGTTCCTCGGACTACCTATGCGGACCAGATTTGCCTTGGGCTGTGCGTTTGACCCACACGATGGGTGAATCTGGTCGAAACGCATCCACCAAAAAAAAAAAAAAGAACCGGTAGCTTGAGGATCATCCGCGGGAGCTTCGAGTGTCTACTAGCGCCGGCGTGGGTGATTCCTGAGCTGCATCAGCCTGCCTATCATTACTCGAGGTGCTTCTACTCAGCAGCCCGGTTTTATACAGAAGGGCTGTCTTCGTATTGTCGAATTCATCTGCTTGAGACTGTAGATATCCGCGAACTCATATGAGACCATCTTTGAGAAATATGCTTGGATATGGCCGTACTCAAGGCGTATCCCCAGACATGATGCATGAACAAACAGCGGCGTTGTGGGTCCAGCTCTGATCGAGGACATCGATTGCATCTGCTTCGAATGTCTTGGGCTACGGAGTTCGCACGGCGAACATTGCCTTCCGAAGGGAAGCGTGTCCTCGAGCACCTTGACCTTTTACTTCATCGGTCACTGCTGGCCGTCCGTCGCTGCACAACGAGCTGGTCGTCAAAATACAGTCCGAACTTCCAGAGACCTCCTCTTGGAGAGTGCGCGGCATGGATAAATTGGCAGCCGGTTGCGCGCCAAGGCGCTTCTCGGAGGCAGGTACCCAATCGCCACTGCTCTTCTGGAGGGCAAGCATCAGCCCACGCGAGCAGAACGGTCGCCCGTCGCCGTGGTGCATCAAAACGTATAATTGCCTTTTGATCCTATTCTCCACCTTCATGCCGTTGCAGACTCGTCGAGCGAGTATTTATATTACGTGCTGACACCCCAGCGCCTAGGTTTTGACCTTTTCTTCTCTCCCCTCCACTTCCGCCGTCTCCTCGGCTGCCCCTCGTTTGCCCTTGTCCCTCCAGACCCGCGTCTCCCTCCCAGTATCCTTACCATGAAGCTCGCTGCTCTCCTCCTCGCCGCGGTCTCCGCCTGCGCGCTCGCGCACGATGCGCGTGGTCTTAACTCGGACAGCCGTCAAGAGGTAGCCCGGCACATGCGCCTGGCAAAGAAGAACGCGCCCCTCGACGTGCAGCCCATCACCGGCAGGACACGTCGCGCCAAGAACAAGCGCCAGTGCCGCGAACGCCAGAACACCGCTACTCCGCCTGCCTCCAGCGAGCAGGCTCAGCCCACCCAGGACAGTGGCAAGAAGGATGGTGGCAAGAAAGACGGCGACAAGGCGAACACGGGCAATGTGGTGCGCGTGGTCGTCTTCGGGTATCGATCTCGTACTCACCACGCACGCAGAACGTCGAGTGGGCCCCGCCTGCGGACAGTGGTAACAACTGGGACAACGGCGGCAACTGGGGAGCCAACCTCATCAAGGTTGCGACCGACGCCGTTTGTGGTGACAGCGGTGCTACTGGTATGCCTGTCCCCTCCCTAATATCGCCGTCGACTGACGTCTCGCAGCTGATATCAGTGCCACCGCCGGCCCTAACGGTCGTATCGACTGGCTTAACTGTGGTTTGAACGACGGTGGCTGGCACCCGCCCTTCGTGACGATCAACGACGTGGTCACTGTCGACCTCAACGAGGCCATCCAGAAGGACAACTCGCCGTTCAAGGCCTGCCAGGACTTCGTCTGGGCGTTCCAGCAGTACGGCAACGAGAACGGCATCCCGCCCATCATGCTCGCCTCGTTCGCCATGCAGGTACGTTTCTCCGCCCGCCAGATTCGGCCCTTGGCACTGATGCGATGGCGATAATGTAGGAAAGCACGTGCAACCCGAACACGGTTGGCGGCAACGGCGAGCAAGGCCTGATGCAGATAACGCAGGACAAGTGCGGCGGCGCGCCGGGCGGCAACTGCAAGGACGTGGTACGCTGTTTTGCTGCTGTGGCTGGGTTTCATCTCGCTGAATCTCGATCCGCCAGGCCTACAACGTCCGCACTGGTGCGGAGTACTTCAAGAGTGTCCTGGACAGCAATGGCGGCGACCTGCTCCAGTCCATCGCCAACTACAACGGCTGGAGGGTAGGCATGACCTACGGCGACGCGACGGCTGCCCAGTGGAACGGCAACTGCTTCGCGCAGAACAACCTTGACTAGTACGTGTTCTTGGCGGCAACGCAGGCTCGGTCTGCTGACAACCTTTCTCTCCTCAGCCTGCACCAGTTCTTGAACGGCTGGTGCCAGAACATCGACGCGTACACCCATCAGCCGCCCCTGGGCCAGTACTTCAACCTCAACGCGTGCTACTAAGCGTAGCAGCGACCTCGTGTCGTGTGTATAGTCTGACGACCATACTTTAGCGCCCTACCTAACCCCTGTACCCCCGTATCTTCGTCGCTTTTATTCCCCCTCGTCACATTGCTTTCGTATACATATTCCACCACGCTTGTCGATCTCGGATATGATACCACAGCAACCGATTCCCCTGTAAAGTATATACTTTCCGCGGCGTGCTTGATTGTACGCCCCCAACACGTTCGTTATCGTGGTATATGCCGTCTGATATTTATGATGATAGCTGGGAGCAAAGACGAAGCAGCGAGAGGACGCGAGCGATTTCAAGAGGTTGAGTCATGGCGTGTGACCAGCGGATCATGTGCTTGTGCGAAGGTGTTAGGTAAGCCGCTTAGTTCATTTTGAGGGGCGTCCAGTTCCCTTCTTCCTCTTCGTTGATGAATACAAGTCCCTTTCATTGCACGACTCAGCTCATCCATCCATGATGACCACGGATATCAGCAACGACCTTGAAGTCTTTCGCGAGGCAGTCAAGTGCGCTTTTCAAAACCGCGCAGCCTGCCTTCCACCATACCAGCCATCGACGGGCTCCCCTTCTTGGCAGAACTTCGTCGCCTCCTTGAACATGCCTGAATACTCGGAGCAACCGATGCTGATGCTTCAGACATTTCGTGATGTCAGAAACTCGGACCATCTTCGAGCGCAGCTCAGCCGTATCTTCTGTCAGGGGCAGCACAAGTCAGTCGAGTCCACAAGTGCGTCAGTGTCAATCTCACCATCACGCACGCAGGTTGCTGCAGAATGTGTCCGGTAGTGGCAAGACGAGTCTCGTCATTGAGGGCTTGAGGCACCATTGGGGATTCTACTTCGTAGGCGCCGTCGACAGCTGGGGCATCGGCTCCAACGATATCTCGAACACGGTCGACATGCTATCTGGGTCTAGCGCGGACCGTCAACAGTGCGAAGAAACGCGACTGGACCTCCTGAAGATACCGCTCTTGATACGTCTCATGGCTTTCGAGATGTTTGCCGAGACGGTCGACGTCTCCAGGGCCACGCAGGAAGACCGCGAACTCTGGCTCCTGGTGCAGGCTTGCAGTCGAAATTACTTTTGGCCGGCTGACGAGTACGCGATGCTGTCATCCGCGATGTGTAACTGCGGGAAATACCATGTCCAAACGGAAATCGACAACACCCTCGCTCGCATCCGAAAATTGACGAAGGACCCCGACTTGCATTTCTATGCGGTCTTCGACGAGGCGCAGGCCCTCGCTCGAAGCGTCCCGCCTTTTGCTAGAGGAGAGCCCAGGACGTCTTTCCATCGAGAGTTCACGCGTTCTTGGGAGAACTATCCTTGGCTCACTCTTGTGATGTCCGGCACCGCATTTCTCTACGATCAATACCCCCTCGGCGATGCATGCTCTAGTCCTACCTACCACCTAACCTCTGCCACTGGATCTTCCCATCGGTCGCGTGTGGTCGAATATGTGAAGAGATACTTACCTCCCGCACTCGCCACGACGGCTCCAGGGCAGAACTTGATACATCGGGCGAGCGCCTGGCTCCATGGCAGGTAAGACCCTCCTCGTCTCAAGTAACGCTCAAGCTCACATGCGCGAAGGCATCGCTTCTCCGCCGCATATATCGCCTTCTTCCTCAAACATGGACCCGATGCCCCGCATACGCTTCTCGATGACTTCATCAAGCAAATGACTGGCTTCAAGCCCGTGGATGCCGAGCAACTCGTTCGCGATGAGACGACTCCCTTGAATTACGCAGAAGACTGCTACTTACCTCTGGCGATTGTCGACAAGCACACACGTAAGTGCCTTTTTTTTGTTCTCCTGTGCGTGTTTGACGAGATTATTCAGCACCCGTCGTTCGAAGCACAATGCACCATGTCCTGTATCAGTTTCTAGTAACTGGAGATTGCAAGAAGACCTTCGGCAGAGATCGCATCGTCTTGATCGAGCGGTCGGCCGGCCGCTTTTGCGACGACAACGCCTCACGAATCATTGTCGACGAGCCTCTTTGTCTCCTTTCGGCTGCTCAATGGTTCTGCGAGTCAGGCCATGCTCAAAGCGCTGACTCGTTCTTCGCCAAGGGGCTCATCTACAACACCGACGATCCTGATATGTCAAGCGTGCGGGAGCACATCGTGCTACTGCTGGCGCATGCGTTCAGCAAAGCGCGTCTCCTCGCCGACATCTTCTCTGCTTCGGGACCGTCACATCTGCGGCAGCGCCTGAAAGCTGAGCTCGTCGAATTCCATCGCTCGGTCGAAGGTGGTAGAACCGTATTCTACCCCTTCAGCTATGCACGACTGTCCACGTCTCGCCCTGTGGTCCTCGCCACCAACTGCGCCAGCCACTCTGACGTCCTCGCGTGGCTGCGGCACGAGCACACTTCACCATTTTGCCTTCTGCCGGACCAGCGGAGTCTCCTCTTCGCGCTCAGATTCTCGAACGGGACGTTCTGCTGGGTGGTAGCCCAGGCGTCGTCGGCGCCCTCGGATGACCTCATGCAATGCTTCCATCCTCCGGTAAGTCTCATTCTATGCGCTCTACGCTCTTGCTCATGAGCTTCAGGCGTCGACACAGGAAGACAACTCGCGGATCATGTCGCTACTATCACAAATACCCGCCCCCTGCGACTTTCTAGGCTCGCCGCCGATCCTCCGCGTGACGGTCCCATCGCCCTCTGGCAGTCTGGCCTCCGACGAGCCCACCCTGAACATGACGTACCTAGAGTCAATTGCGTCGGAAATTCAACAGAGAGACGTGCTCCTCCGCATCGTCTCCAATGTCATACGGGTCACTGAACCATACATGCCGGACGCGAGTGAGCTCCTGGACCCCAATCCCCCTCCGAGCCCTGCGACGAAGTCCCGACGGAAGTCTACAGCACGGTCCGCGAGGACCACATTGGACAAGGTCCTGAAACCGCCCGAGCCAATTGTACGTCGTACTTCGCAGGTGCGCGCTTCATACATTGACGGATTGTACAACAGACACGATACGATCTGCATCCGCGACGCAAAGTGACTCCTGCCTCAACAAATCCAGCGGTCCCCATTACGCATAGTTCAGTAACGAAGAATCTTTGACGCGGGTCGAAACGAACGTCAACCGACAACCAAGTACTACCGAAACGGACGAAGCGCAAATGGACCATCGCCTAGGAGTTCGCCGACTCCCGAAGTGGGACAAAGGCAGATGCCCCAAAGTCGGTGTATCTACGCTAACATACGGTTCTTCGAAGTAAACTCTGCTATTGGAATGTACTGTTACAACGATGCTTCATACATGGGGTAATGGGATGCAAAGCAATATGCCGTGCGGCGACTAAGCTTGACGCGCTCGCCTGCCACAAATCCATTGCTCGATCAAGATCATCTTAAACATATCCCTCAACACCGATGGGCCTCCCTTCCGCATAGCCCCCGTGTAAACTCCCCTGGGTCGACAGGAAAAGGTTGTAAATGACCTCCTTCAGCAGGACATGCCGAAGTCTGCAGGTCCTTGAGGGACCTCGCGAAGTGCGTTGTTGGCGACAGGGTAGAGTTTCCTGCGCATGGTGGGATCTTGCGGATCTTCACGAGTACCTCACCCTGAGCTAAGATAGAAAGAAGATGTTCTTGCGCGTCTCCTCGCCAGCGGCGGGCTCAACATTGCCGACGTGGTTTGTGTAGAGGTTTCCGCGTAGAATGCGCGAGAGCACGCGCTCGGATATGGGGATACGAAAGCGCTCGATGGGACTAGCGACGAAGGAGACCATGCCCGAGGAGACGCTCGCTTCTTCATGGTGAACAAGAGGCGCAGCGCTGTCATCCACCGACCGGCGAATGTCTTGAATCTTCATCGAAGTCGTGAGCCTGTGCTGGATGTTAGGCCGACGTACTGGCTCTCGACGACTACGTAGCGAGTCAAAGAACACCACCCGCTGGGGCGAGACGTGGCCAATCTTGATGAACCCCTCAAGGTGATTGCCCGGCACCCGGTAGCTGTCGTCCACAGCGTGGCTCTTGGCGTGGCTGATCGAAGTCGAGGACATGATCTGCGTCGTCATCGTCGTCGTCGTCGGCGGCGGCGGCGGCGGCGTCACTCCGATCATCTTCGTTATTGTCGGTCACGGATACGTCAAGAACCAAGAGTGCTTGCAGGAGTGCAGACGTCGCACAGGGCCGTGAGAGACAAGGTCCGTGGAGGATGCGCGATCGAAGGTCGTCGTAGAAATAGTCACAAAGGTTTTCCAAGTATCGGTAAAGTTGCTCTTCGCCCGTGCTGGGGAACTGGCGATACAAGTCGAACTCGCCGGTACACAGCTAATCAGGTAGTTGCAGCCCGCGCAGGTCTGTCTGGTCGGTCAGTGACAGCTTGCACAAGATATGAGCATAACGCACCAATCCAACTACTTCAGTACACCCGGCATCAAGCCCTTTGACCTCCTCCTTTATGCGACCAACGAGCGACGTCGTCCTTGTGCTTCGGTATGCGGCATGACACACGAATAGCAGACGGACACTGCTTCCGGATGCGACTGAGCGCGAGGACCGTCCTGAAGCAGGTAGTGCATCTGGGCCTTCTGCGAGGGGTCCTGATTATGAATGGCAGAGTGTTCACCCAAAAATCCGCGAGCAATGAGTGGTACACACCTCGGAGATGCACTTCACCACATCCGTCTACAGCGCGCGGAGGGAACCGATGAAGTACATGCAAAAAGTCGATACATACAGAAATCGACCGTGTAGCGGAAGTCCCTCTGGAAACCGAGGGATTCGCCTGGTTGCTGAGCATCCGCGTCGCATGTTCTCGCTATCGAAAGTACTCCAAGCGCACTCCAAACTGATTTGTGAGGTCGAGCGTTGGTCCTTGCATGATCGTCAACTGCCATTTCACCTCAAGAGACTTGTAGCCACGCACCCGCTCTTCCAGCGATCGCTCGCAGGCGTCCTTCAAGCTGTTAATGATCCCCTCCTCCCTCCGATCCGCCACCCCTCCAGCACCACTTCCGCCTCTTTGTCATCGACGTCGGCGTTTCCCACAAGGTCGCCGCACACAACGGAATGCCGCGCCACTGAAGCGACGTGCGCGCACAAGTGGGCAACCTGAGTCACTGACTGTGCACGATCACCCGGTCCACCAGTGTGAAACAGTCATAGAATCGCTGCGACGTCTGGCGGTTGCTTCAATTGGAGGGGTTACTGGGCGTTCTTTGGCTTGGATATTCCGACTCGACGATGTTGCGGCAGCTGCAGCTGGGAGGCTGGTGCTCAGGATCGGGAGAAGCAATCTCTCCATCGTCTGGGGAAAAGTCGAGCCCGTCAGAACCTATGCGCGCGGGAAAGAGCGATCTCACCTTGAGGCCTTGAGGGCGTAGAGGGGTACGCTCGCTGTTGGACTTCGCAACATGGACGCTTCGCACTTCAATGTCGCCAGCCTTTGCTTCCCGTCGAATTATGATCGGTCTTCGGGCCGTGAGTTCGAGTCTCCCAAAGTAGCCCCGGCCCCGCCGCCTCGCCGCCCCGGGGTGTGGCTATACCTCACATTTTCGCCTCTACCTCGACCTCGACTTATTCTTCTCAAAACACGAGTATATGACCAGTATTTGCTTCTACATCGTCATCACATCTAAGTACCACTCACAATAACACACTCTCGTGCCCCAGTTGGGAGCGTGGAACCGTGCGCAAATAGATGTAATGTCGCCCCTACTACTTTTTACTCTTCTTCAGCAGCCGAGTGGATCGGCGTGTCCCAGTCGGCGGCTCTTCAGCTTTGCAGGGCTTCTTCGACGAACTATCCTTTGCCGATGGGGCCTTGCGCTTGCGTGATCCTGGGACCTCCACGGGCTCATCGTCCTGGTGCCCCGGGGGCGCCCTCGCGACCTTCGTCCTGTTCTTGGCCTTGGACTTCGTAACCTGATAGAGGGGCGATATCTTCTTCTTCCGCATGAAGTCATCAATGAACTCGGTGTTCAGCGTGGCGAAAGGATGACCGTCGTCGATCAGTTCCTCCTCGAATACAAAGCGCTTCCTGCCGCCAAGCTTCCTTTGGCATTTCGATGTCTCGTCGACTCGATACCAGTCCATGTCCCTGGTGCACGCCATGACACGCAGTACGTTGAACTCGCCGTGCTCCGTCCCTTTCGGGGCATCCGCAATGTCGTCGAAGCCGGTTCTCATTGCCTCCAGCATCTCGTCGATCTCGTCCTGCGCTTTCCGCTTGCTCGCGGCATTCTTGCATTTCTAAAGGAAGTGAGTGAAAAGCCGACGGCAGTCACGATGAAAGCGCACCTTCACTTTGGCAGCGCCCAAGTGCGCTGGGGTGACCGTCCTGATCGCATCCCTGGCAGCATCATTGGCGAGCTTATCCTTCAGGTTCTTCGCCTGCATCAAAACCCAGAAGAGCTTTCCAGCCGCGGGACCGTCGATCAGCCTCATCACGAAGACGAGATCGGGGCCCATGTCCTCGCCCGGTACGCAGAAAGTCTCGGGATAGAGGTGCTTTAAGAAGTCGTAGAAACGTTCCTTCAGTCCCTTGTCACATGCTCCAATACCCATCGAGGCGGCGAAAGCTTGAAAGCCCAGTGGGGTGCCGAACATGTTTTGACAGCTGCATATCTCCAGCTCCCCATTCACATCGCGAAGGATGGAGACGAGTTCGGCGCGCGCTTTGGCCCATTCAGGGATGACCAAGAACCAGAAGAGTTCATCGACGCGCTGCGCTTCATTGAGGACGAAGCGCATGGTGATGTAGAGGATATATTCCTCGAAGCCATCCCGGATCATCGACGAAGAATGATCGGGGATCCGCTGCCCGAAGATCTTGTAAAGTGATGTTCGCGACGTGCCACATTTGTCCACGTCAAAGTACGCGGCACCCTGGAGAAAGACCAAGGGCTCGTCGACATGCGCTTGTTCCGTTTCGTGTTGTCTCGAGAACCTTGCAACACCGTATCGGATCATCTCGTCCTCGTCATCGCCGGAGACAACCTTGACTGTGCCTTGGGTCAGATAACTTGCGACCATGGTGGCGAATGTATCCCGTAAGCTCTCGGCTAGATGTAGCATAGAAATTAGCCATATGTATACGAAAGGTGACCATGGCGACTCACACCAAGTGTCGACAGGAAGAACACATCCCGATTGCGCGACGCTAAAGGTTTTGGCAAGAGGCGGCTCGCGCTTGACATACTCACGCGCGTCTTGTAGATGGCATCCAGTTCGCGCGTGAACGTAGGCATCCAAGACTCTATGGGGCGATTGATAATTGTTCCGGATGAGATCACTGATGAAGTTTGCAAGGAAGCGGGGCCTACGCATGCTAACATTCAGCGCAGCACTATAGCTCGGAAGTGGCGAACTCACCGTCCCCGTAGCCATCTCCATATCCGGTTAAGAAGTCGTTTGCCAGTATTAGTCTCGACCAGGCTTGCAGGAACGAACCGAGAAACATATTTTCGTATAGTATGCTCGTCGTCGAAGCTGCCCAGCGCCTTGGTTATGAGAGAGCTAGCTCTCTTGCCAGACATCGTAAGCAGAGCTTCCGATACCTGACGGGCTGACAATCCTGTGCCCAACCCGAGTATGTTGAAATTCTGGGGCCAGGTGCCGATGACGGTCATGAAGCTCGCAATGATTTGTCGAAGGAAAGGGCGCCCCCCGTCGGGTGCAGATGTCGCCTTGAAGGCAAAAGGGCATTTGTCGAGCAGAAACTGAGCCTCATCGAGAACAATGAGGGCGCGTTCGTCTTTTGCGTGGCCATTTCCCGAGGGCGAGTCCGATTCGGTGTCTGAGTCACAGCCTGACTGAGCGTCTGCGTCTGCGTTGTTGTCGCCGGGGAAATCTCTAGCGATGGAGTTGAGACAGGATGTGAGCGTGGCAATGACTGCGTCCTCGAGTTTGGTGCAGTGATCGCTCAGGAGTTCCGTATGGTTCTCGAGGCTTTTGACGTGGTTGATGATGCGCGATGAAAGCTCGGTGAAAATATCTGCGTTCGGCGAGGGAGGAGGTATGGAAGAGGATACTGATGCGGCGATGTCTTTCTGCGGAAGCACTGGCATCAACTGGAGTAGGAGCCAGGAGCGTTTATGCTCTTGCAATAGCTGCCCCTCCGCGGCCTCGCGTGCAAGCTCGAGGAAGCTCTCGAAAATGGAGAAACGAGCCAAGAGGAGGCAAGCGACGACGATTTTTGCGAGCCTCGCGTTATGTTCGAAAGCACATTCACGCTCGGGGGCAGTCGAGAACCGAGTGGGAACATGGCTGACCACCTCTTCAAGGTAGCGATCCACGAGATTGCTCAGATCCGTGGAGCCGAGGGCATTGCCGTCCACCTTAGCTGTGATGTAGAAGCCGAAGTGAAGGCAGAGTGCCTCGAAGGCTAGCCTAGTTTTCCCGGATCCACTAGTATTGATAAGCCACCTGGCAAGCGTTAGCCACCGAATCAACAACGCGTGAACTCTTACTTGACTTGAGGGGATTCTGGAGAATCAAGAACCTCCCGTATACATTTCTCCATCTCCGGATCGTTTCCGAGGCCATGCAGAAGAAAGTCCGGTACGCCATGTCGTGCAGGGATTTTCAGTCCGCGAATGTAGGACGCGTAGGGTTCAGACTTGCGAGGTTTGTATGACGAAAGCTTGTAGGGCGAGGAGCGGGAGAATCTTCGTAGCATAGGAGTAATGCCATGAATGTATGGTCTTATTACTTGGTCCTGACATGAGAACGTCAATGCCACTCGACCTGGGGATGAACATGGTGACTGTGGCATACCTGGAGGCCGTTGGATAGATCACTGGGGAACATGATTTGCGCCTGTGGTCAGCGAGTTTGCACAGGGAGAGGGAGTTCCAGATAGAGGATGTCGACTTTCGTTGTGCGACGCGGTGAGGATCAGAAGAGAACAGCGAACCGACGCCCAAACAGTGACCGACATCACAGAGCGTGACAGTCACGTGATGACAGCGGTGGGAATACATTACGTAATGTCCACAAGGCATCACGAAGTGGCTTTGTCTTACACCAACTTTACCTCTTGCCATGCTTGACGAACACTTGGAGCGCTTTCGAAAAGAACTACATCGTGTCTTTAGGAAGCGATCGGCCACTCTTCCAACATATAAACCGAGTTCTGGGCCATCGTCATGGAAGGAATTCGTTGCCTCGCTCAAAGTGCCGAAGTACGCATCACAACCGATGCTTATGCTGCAGACCTTTCGCGGCGCGGAGGATCCGAGGCTTTTCCAGGTGCAGCTCCACGAGATCTTCCGCAGAGGTCAACACACGTCAGTCCCTCGGTCGCATCTCACTTCATCCCTTCTAATCTTTGCGTAGCTTATTACAAGATGTTTCGGGAAGTGGAAAGACCAGCCTGGTCATTGAAGGCCTGAGACACCACTGGGGCATGTACTTCGTTGGCGGTATCGATAGCTGGTGCATCGGCTCGAACGACATTACCAAAACGCTCCACGCGCTCTCCAATACCTCCCTAGAGCGTATCATGTGCGAAGAAATCCGCATGAATATGCTCAAGGTTCCCCTCTTGGTTCGCCTCCTGGCTTTCGAGATGTTTGCCGAGACGGTCGATATCTCGAGTGCAACGGAGAAGGATCGCGAGCTGTGGCTCCTTGTGCAGGCCTGCAGCCAGCGTTACTTTCGACCTACGGACGAATACGCGATGCTCACATTCTGGATGCACGCTCGCGAGCCCAATCACATCGACACTGAGATCGAAAACGCCATCACCCGCATTCGCACTCTCACAAAGGACCCCGACTTCCATTTTTTCGCCGTCATCGACGAGGCGCAGGTACTCGCGCCGCGCATGGGATCATGTTCATTAGACGTACCCCAGATCTCACCTCACCGGGAGTTCGCGCGGGCATGGGAAACATATCCATGGCTCACTGTGGTTGTGTCTGGCATAGCTCTGCCCCTAGAGCTGTATCCTCTAGACGGCTCAACCTCGCGTCCTGTCTATCGTATCACGTCCGCTACTGGGTCAGCCGATCGGTCGCGCGTTGCCCGGTATATCAGGAAATATCTCTCACCTGACATCGCCGCCACGAATTCGGGAGAGCGCTTAGTAGCTCGCACGAGCGCCTGGCTCCACGGGAGGTGCGATCGCTCGAAAACGCTCCTTGTGATGCAGCAAACTGACTGCTACGAACAGGCACCGCTTCTCTGCCGCATATGCATCTTTCTACCTGGAACATGGGCCATACGCCCCGCATACACTCTTGGACGACTTCATCAAAAGAATGACCGGCTTCACCCCCTCGGACGGCGAGCGGTTCGTCCGTGAGGAAGCGACGCCTATGAATCACGCGAAGAGCTCGTACCTACCGCTCGAAACCGTCAACAAGCATACACGTACGTCCTCGAGCTCTCTACTTCTATCAAAGACACTGACAAAATTACAGCGCCAATCGTGCGTAGCACCATGCACCACGTCCTGTTCCAATTCCTTGTTACTGGGGAATGCCGGACCAGCTTCGGAAGGGACCGCATCGCCCTGGTCGAAAACGCAGCTGGACGCTTCTGCGATGACAACGCCTCTCAGATCGTGGTCGACGAGCCTCTCTGCCTCGTCTCCGCCGCCCAATGGTTCTGCAGTTCCGAGGCGAAAAGCGCCGGGTTCTTCGAACATGAGCTCATATACAACACCGACGATCCTGACATGTCGAGCGCGCGCGAGCACGCCGTGCTACTCCTGGCGCATGCGCTCAGCGAAGCGCGTCCCCTCACCGACATCTTATCGTTTCCGGGACCGTCACATTCGCGGCAGCGCCTGAAAGCTGAGCTCGTCGAATTCCATCGCTCAGTCGATGGCGGTAGAACCGTATTCTATCCCTTCAGCTATGCACGACTGTCCACGTCTCGCCCAGTGGTCCTCGCCACCAACTGCGCCAGCTACTCTGACGTCCTCGCGTGGCTGCGGCACGAACGCACATCGCCGTTCTGCCTGTTGCCAGACCGGAAGAGCCTCCTATCCGCGATGAGGTTCTCGGATGGGACGTTCTGCTGGGTGGTAGCGCAGACGTCGTCGGAGACCTCGGATGACCTCGCGCGATCCTTCTATCCTCCGGTAAGTCCCGATCTCAAGGCTTTGTGCTCTCGCTTATCGGCTGCAGGGGTCGATCGAGGAGGGCACGTCGCAGGTTATGGCGCTCCTATCCCATATACCCGCACCCTGCGATTTTCTAGGATCGCCGCCAATCCTCCGCGTAACGATCCCATGGCCCTCAGCCAGTCTACTCGCCGACGAGCCCGCTCTCAACATGACGTACCTGGAGTCAATTGCGTCGGGTATCGAACAGAGAGACGTTCTCCTTCGCATTGTCTCCAATGTCATACGGGTCACTGAAGCACACATGCCCGATGCGAGTGAGCTCCTGGACCCCGGACTTGTGAGCCCGACGAAGATGCCCAGCCGGAAGGCTGGCGCAAGGTCTTCGAGGCGTTCGAGAAAGTCGCAGGACAAGTTCTCAAGGCCACCCGAACAGGTACGTCGCACTGCTTCGTTGTCTGCCATATAATGACAGGTGTAATCCAGACACGATATGATCTTCGTCCGCGACGGAAGGAGAGCCCGCCTTCGACAAGTCCTGTTGGTCCGGTGACGCGTAGCATGGCAACGAAAGGTTTTCAGCCCATTGCACAACCCCATCAACGGATAAGAAAGCGTGCGTCATTGGACGACTACGGCCCGCGACCCCAGAAGCTGGCGAAGCGACCCCGTACCGTTGCATAGCACTCTGCCCATAGGAGATCGGTGCACGACGCGCGCGGTAGTCCCTGTATTTATCCGTATTTATGTTCGGCTAGGCTATTCTCACCGCGGTAATTGTAGATTCAGGCATTGTCCATACTAATGGAAAGATTATGTGGGACTTCGGCACTGCTGCGAATTGCTATCGACAGGTAGCTTCGCTCCCTCATTGTACAGCAACAACAGACTCCGGCGTATGCCTCGCGCCCGGGCCGAGATCCATCCCAGCGCCACTTCGACCTTCATCCCGCCATTGTCAGCACCCTTCACTGCCACCTACAAAGTCGTACACCGCCTGTCGCCCCAGCCGTGGACCGCCTGCTCCGAGCCCGACGTCACGTCTCGAACCGGAAATCCCTTTATTGTCTTGTCCATAACGTGCACGACCTGCTCAACGCCTCTGCTTACTGCCCTTTCACGTGTGAGTTCATGCTATTGTCCTCCGTCTCATCATCCCAGGATGTCTTTGCACCTGGCAGTGCTTTCTATCAGTTCGCACGGAGTTGGACTTCGCCCGGACACTGCATACTCTCGCCGTGACCTGTCCAGCTAGACCCGCGAGCACCACTGCCTATTCAGTCACCGGAAGCAAACTCAACGCGCCGAGGACGGACCAATAACCACGGAGACCGGGCACGATGAACGGTCGGCGCACAACAATTGGGAGCGCGGGTGCAAACTATTGTTCTCGCCGCCGAGGTGAGACAGGCCTGGTATAAAAGCAGCGCGAGCGCGAGCCGAAGACCACCTTTTTGCCATCCCGACACGCCATCCTTGTCGAGCTATCTATACTCTTCGACCTTCGACTTTGCCAACTTTCGACTATCTATCTATCCACACCGACTACCACACCAGCCATGGACTCCTTCGACCTCGACCTTGCCGCCCTCATTGCGTCCGCTCCGACCGTGCCTACGATGGCGCCGACTCAGACCACGAACGCGGAGGGCATGACCTACATCGACCTGTCCACCTTCGTCGAGCCCGGACAGCTGCCGGTCGACGAGGAGCGCTCGCACGGGTCGTTCACGGGGTTTTACTGTATCGTGTCGTAGTCACTCGGCACGCGGGCGATGTGCTCGCTCTAAGCGCAGGCGTCTAGTCGAGGTGCGTGCACCATCCTTAGTATGCGACGAAAATACTGACTCGGCGGATTGCAGACACCCTGCACCCCCGCGTCCGAAGCAGACGCCCTCATTCCCTCCACACCACCCACTCGGCGCGCCACCGTCGCGAGTTCAACAACTCCCGACGGTCGTGGCGCCGAGAGCCAACCCAGTCTACCAGCCGTATCTTTATTCTTCAGATATTCGCCCGGACAATCTTGTGCGTGCTCCTCGAATTCCGCTGTCCTCTTCCACGGCTGACCTGCCCCCCAGTTATCCTATCTATTCCGCCCGGTCGCTCTATCGAGTGGCCACGATGCGGTCTTCGGACAGTTCACCTTATTTGATCATGGGTGGCCCGCCCTTGTCGAGGACGGTCAATCCGCCTCCCGATGAGGCAGGCTCACCACCGCCATATGGACAATTCAACTTGCACTTTGGACTTGCTGTAACCTCTATCTCTACTCGCTCTCCTCGTCCCCCGTATTCACCTACCCACCTACGTCCTTGCGCGACATTCTCCCTACCTTGAGCTACCTTCCGCGAGCGAGGCTTTTCTTTTTCTACTGTACTGTCCGCTACTTTATCGCCGCCATTTCCCATGGTTGGCAGATTCCGGGCCTCCTGCCGTACCTATGCGTCCTTGCCTTTGTTCTCGTACCTATGCACCATCATACACGTTGTCAATGTATGCATGCGCCGCTTTTGTGGCAGCTTTGTCTCGTATGGGTGGGCGAGCTTTTGTCGTACACAAATAGCGGTCTTCTTGTCTCGTGCAACGCCGCGCAGGACGGTTCGCTTCCTCTCGAGCGAGCAGTAGTTTTGGGTCAAACGCTGAAATTCCGGAGGCCAGGTCCGAGTAGAGAATGTAGTATGCCCGGTACATACGACGTGATAGACAAGATGGAGTCCGGAACGTCCAGTGCAGTTCAAATCCTGCGGAGCCGGAAGGTCCAACGCGACAATGTCCGGCTCGACCTGCACACAACAAAATGATTCTCCCGCCGAAGCCGATCCCGATTGCGTGAAGAAGTGCATTCGCTCAGAGGCACGCGTTCGCCTCCGAGCGCATGCATTCAGCTCTGGTGAGGGCGTACACCGCTCCCAGAAACCAAAGAGAACGCTCCTCAACGCCTCGTCAGTCGGATGAGGGCGACCATCATGATGAAGAGGATCAAGGTGATGACAATGCACGCAACGACCAGCCAGGTCGTGCTCCCGCTCTTACCGCGGTGGTCCCTGGGCAGAACATTAGCGTTCGACAACTCTTTTGCGTCATGGGGATAGCTCGGAGGGTGCTCGTGAGCAACACGACTGCAGGCCATAGGCAACGCGACCGCGAGTAACAGTCCAAAAGGCAACACCCACCTCAACTTCACCCTCGTACTCGTCAACATGCCCAAGTTGCTCTCCACCTTCTCCCCCGCAGCCTCCACGACCGCCTTGTCCTTGACGAGCGCTTCCTGGAAGTGCAGCGCATTCCGCCGGAGCTGCGCGCTCATCTGCGCGAGCTGGTCCGACAGCTCGGTGTGCAGCGCCTGCGAGTTCTGCAGGAACTTGGGCGCGACGGCCGTGCTTGTTGACGAGGTCGGCAGCGAGGGCGCGGCGAGGGAGAGGAGGGTAGGCATCGTGGTTGTGAGGTCGGGTTGAGTAGATGGGTCGGTGGGTGAGTCGGCGGAGGGCGAGGTGGGTTTGGAGGCGGGGGTGGGGGAGATGATGCTGAGAGGTTCCTGGCCGGGTTCGGAGGGGATGAGGTCCTCGATGGGACCAGGGGCAGACTCGGCGTCGTCCTTGGCAGTATGCTCGGGTGCGGGGGTAGGTTCTGGTCTAGGTGGTAATGGCAGAGGGAGTGAGTTCAGGAGAGGGTCCCGACGTGGTCGTTGTGGGGCGGATTTCTGGTGCAGACGGCGTTAGTGAGGGTATTCGCGCGTAGTGTTGAGGCAGACGCACCTTCTCCACCTCCAGCATGAAGACCTCAACCTTGTCCAATACGGTCTTCATGGCATCGTAGGACTTGGCTTGCCGCCTAGGTATGGGTCAGCGAGGTGACATAGGTATGCGGTGGCGGCACTCACGGCGTCGGGTCGATGTTGTTCAGCTCGATACTCTTGAGTAGACGGCGCGCATACTTGACTTTCTACGGAGGGCAAATCAATACATCCGTCCGAGAACGTTGGGACCCAAACACGCACTTCCAGCGTCCCCAAGCACTTCATCCATGTCTCTGGCCGATCCGTCTCCTGCCAGACCGTGTTCGCAGTCAACTTCTCCAACCGCCGGACCAGACGGCCCAGATTTACTTCATCGTGCGCGCTAGGCTCTAAAGTCACAGCCATAGTGATAGGTGAATAAGTGAAGTGGTGATAGAGACGAAGTTGAGTGTCAAGAACAATAGCAAGGGCGTCAGACGTGGAGGCCGGCTCCCGGCCCGGAACCCCGTCCAGTAATCGCCGGCAGACACCGAGATCAGTGACCGCTGCTCTCCACGCTCGTCACTCTGACTCTCCGCACGACGTCGGCAGAGATCCCATAAATTTTCGAGACTATTCACACTCAATTCCACTCATTCTTGCATAGATCTGCAGTACGATGGCTAGAGGAAACAACAAGCGCGGCCGCGGCGGCCCACCGAACGCAGCAAGAGGCGGGAACGCCGGAGGGCGCGGTACGCCTAGGGGACGCGGCGGGCGAGGCCGCGGGCGCGGGGGGAGGGGAGGCCTGAACAACAGCGGCTATATCCCCTTCGACGAGTTTGACCTCCCGATCCCGCTGTATGACAGTGCGTAGCGGGGTTGATCGCCCTCAGTTGGATGCTCACCGATCCCAGACTCTCCCCGGGGCGGCTTCGCGGGGCGGGCGCGCGGGAATCTGAGGGGGAGGGGGAGCGGTGCGTCCAGCGGACGTGGAACGCCGAGGGGTATCTCGACGCCTAGAGGAAGTGCACCTCCCCGACCCGAGTACGCTAGCCCGATGCGCGGGAATGCGCCATCGACACCAACGAGAGGGGGCATGGGGGCGCGCAATCGCCGCGGTGGGAAGATGGGGTCGTACAATGCGCCGCTGTCGAGTCTCCTCTACGATGAACGACCGCTTCTGCGGCCCATTGTGTTCGTGCGCTCGACGCTCACGGCGACCCTGTTCCAGGAGGAGGAGGAGATCTTCGAGCCTGGAGTGGAGGAGATCGGTGCGTGGTTGTGGCTACCGGATCGTCAATATCTATCTGAACTACATATTTACTCTATCCAGACGACGCCGAGAAGAGCCACGTCCCCACGGCGGATCGCGTTAACCAGGTCTTCCACATCAAGGACGAGGACGATGAGGACAACTCTGCTACTCGTGCAGATGATGGACAAGAGGAGGAGGAACTCGAAGAGATTGACTTCGCCGACATCGGCAAGTTCCAAGAGCGAGTCGACGCAGGCGCGATCGCGATGTCCTCCGTAAAGGAGGTGGAGGAGCGGTTCACGGGGATCCATCTTGGCAAGGGCGTTCAAGAGATGGAGGCCACGGTCACAACTACGACTACGACGGCTATGGAGGCGAATGTGAACATGACAGAGGAGGCAGCGAAGGACATAACAGAGGAGGCTGCGACGGACATGATCGTAGAAGCGGAGCATGTCTCGCACAGGGAGCATGCGAGGGAGAGGGAGATGGACGTGGACGCGGGGTCCACTGCGCAAGCATCACGCGAGGAGAAGGAGTCCGAGGAGCCGCCTCATGGACAGGAGAAGCAGACCGACGATGACGCGACGCGGGCCAATGAGCACGAGAAGCATGTCGAGGAGGAGACGACGGCTACGCACCTCGAAGGGATGCCGCAGCTTGAAGAGACCCGTCAGGTCGAGGTTGAGGTCGTCGAGACGACTACGAAGGTCGAGGTGGTGACCGCACCGGCTTCTGAACCATCTTGCCCCACCGATCCAACGCCTGCATCTGCAGTTACGCGCGAGGTCGCACGAGAAGCCCCGCTCGAAGCTGACCAGGAGGAGCCGCACGAAGTCGGGCAAGAAGAGGCACGCGAAGTCGCGCCGGAGGAGCACACATTCGTCACGGATGCGACACCTACTCTCGTCACCGAAATGGCACCAGTGCCTGCGGTCGGGGACCCGGCGGCCATGGATTCTACTGCAACGTCTACCGAGGAGCACCCTATGTTCTTCGTCGACACTACCCCTGCACCTGTCGATGCCTCATCTACACCCTCGATCGAGGCGCCCGCGCATGCAGCTGAAGAGTCTGATATTACGGCCGATGTGCCTGCGCCTACGGAGGAGCAAGCACCGTTCTTCATCGACACCACCCCGTCCATGATAGACGCACCTACCACTGTCCCCAGCCGCATTGCCCAACTCACTCGCGAGCTACAAGCTGAAGACGAGGTCATCGTCTACGTCGCGCCGCATCCGCGCTCTACACGCGCCACGCCGGCCCCTGCGCCCCCGCCGATGACCTCCATGCTCACCGGGACTACGAGGACGGTCGACGCCGCAACGCTACCCACAGCATGGGCGTCCACACCAGCACCGGCTGCTGCCACCGTCAGTCCTCCCGCACCCGAAACTTTCGCATCCGCCCCACAGCCGTCCACCTCTCAAGCCGGCCCCTCCTTCTCCTTCTCCCGCTCCGGCACCCGCCAGCCGCGCCACGCACCCGCCGTGACGCCCAACGGCCGCGCGCGCTCGCGCATCCGCGAGCGGCAGAAGAACAAGAAGCGGCGGCCCAAGGGCGAGTGGGGCGCGCTCGGCTTCGGCGCCTTTGGCGCGATGCACGAGGAGGAGCTGTGGGCGCCGGACCCGCGGTATGCGGAGCGCAGGAGGGGAGACTCGGACCTGGAGTGGGGGACGGACGATGAGGAGAGTCAAGGTGCGACGGGTGTCGCGGAGGGCATGGAGGTCGACGCGGACTTGGTTGCGGATGAGGGCGCGATGAGGCGCTTTGTGCGGTCGATGGGGGTGGAGGGGCAGCGGCATGTGACGATGGATGATATCCGGGATGGCGAGATACTGAAGGCGGAGGATGAAGACGACGATGAAAGGGGTCCGGAGAGCGAAAGTAGCGACGAGGATGACGACGAAGAGGAAGACCTGTCCGCCGACCTGGAGGCGATCCTGCATCAAGAGGAGGTCGAGATGATGGGCGAGTCCGACGACGATGAGGACAGCGACGATAGCGACGAGGTGGGCGACACGCCGCAGACGAGCTTCCGCAAGCGGCTGGAGCGCATACGCGCGGCGAAGGGGAAGCAGCGGGCAAGTGCGCCGGAGGTTGTTGGCGACTCGGACGACGATATGGAGATGGACATCGGCTGGGAGGTGGACGACTACGAGGCGATGGGTTGTTCGAATGCAGATGCGGACGAGGCGTTCTTGGATCATGTTGATGTAAGCGGCTTCGTACCGGTGTCTGATCATTCGAATGACAGTGCACGCAGAAGCTCCTGGCGGAGAACAAGCACATGTTGAAGGGCAAGGGCAAGAAGCGACACGACAAGCTCTTCAACAACATCCTCAATGGCTCGTTCGATATGGAGGACAGCCTCGACGACCTCGCCCAGTTCAACAAGTTCACGTCGTCCCGTATGTTACGCGTTCAGTTATACCGGCTGAAAGCTCACGTATCCTACAGAGCGCAAGAAGGAGAAGTACGAGAGTCTTCCTGCCGAGTTACAAGAACAATGGGAGAGGGATCGCGCAAAGAAGGCCGCGAACAAGCGCGCACGCCAACTCGCCCGCATGCAAGTCGCCGCCGACCCCCTCGCGCCGAAGAAAGGCGGCAAGAAGATGAAGAAGGCTATTGCCGCCGCGGCGCGCCAGATCGAATCATCCTACGGCCGGGGTGCCATGGCGTACTCCGACGACGAGGACCTCCCGGGCACCATCCACGTCATTCCCAACCGTGTTATCGACATGAGTACCCTCGTCATGGAGATCCGCCGCTTCATCGCGGACATAGGGCGCGTGAGCATGGCGCTGCCGCCCGCGAACAAGGAGACGCGGAAGAAGGTGCACGAGCTGGCGAACGCATTCGGGCTGAAGAGCGAAAGTAAGGGAAAGGGCGAGGCGCGGTACACGACGCTGAGGCGGACGAGTCGGACGGGGTACACGGTGGACGAGCGGAAGATTGGGCGGATCGTGAGAGGGGCCGGCGGGCATGGGGGAATGTTTGGCTCGTCGTCATTTGGTGGGGACAGGGAGAAGGGGAAAAGGGGGAAGGGTGGGGGTGCTCCCGTACGCGTGCCGAGGCACCGAGAGGGAGAGGAGGTGGGCGGGGTGAGTGATGGAACATACGCTATGAGTTGAAGCAAACCTCTGACGACCTTCGTAGACCGCTCCCAAAATTGGCGAGTCCAATGTCGGCTTCAAAATGTTGGCGATGATGGGGTGGCAGGATGGCCAAAGGATTGGTGTGTCTGGCGGATTGGACGCGCCGATCGCGGCCATCATGAAGACGACGAAGCTGGGTCTCGGGGCAACAAACTAGGATTTATCCCATCGTGAGTCTATCTCGATTTCAAGTGTGGTAGAAGATCGCTCATGGCTTCAGTGTATCCATACTAGATATCGTGTGCGAGCACGCACGTCGTGTGTACTGCCATCTTCTGCAATTAATAGAGCTCGCTTCCGTTGCCTCACCACAGGATTACTGCGACGCCTCTTCAGCCCGCTTGCGAGGGTAGCTAGAGAAATTCCACAATGTTGTAAACGCGTTTCCGCGTATATTGATCGCCGAATGGGAGGGGGGCAGGCGGCGTCTGGCAGGACACGTTCTCGCATCGTTCCGCAACGATACGGAACGTCGTTTGTACGCTTTGAGGGGTGCCGACAGCTGCACATTGCATCGCGCGACCTATCAAAGATGAGCTGTCGCCGTTCATCGTTGTAGCCCTGTTGATTGAACGCCTGAGCTAGCGATGGAAGAACATGATCCTGCACGGCGACGTCAACCTCCGTAACATCTGATGGGTGACATCGGGTTCTGGTCGACCATGATATAGCCATCTGTATTTTGCGAGAGGACAACATACAGTTATCATAGAGGAGGCGGAGGGGATGTACAAGCAGTGATCTGGGAGGCCTACAATAATGTCATCGACAACCTCTTTCTCAAGGGTAGTTCTGCCGAAGATGACTGTCATCTCACCGCTTTGTGTTCCAATTGCGCAGATGTACCCTCGCGCTGGAGGCGTCTCTTGAAGTTTCAAAAACGATTCATGCCCCGAGCATTGTATATCAAGGGACAGCGAAGACATTGTGTCATCTGGAGCTGGACTACAGTAGGACCACTGGCTTCTAGGATCATCTATATATCTCTGAACGAGCGTGTGCACGTTGCGGGACTTGCGTAATAGATCTTGAGTCTATTTTCTGGCGACCATACCTGAGGACTCTCCAGAAACTCTGAAGAAAGACTCAACGTAATTCAGTCGCTGTATCTGTAGTAGTAACATCCCCATGTGAGTAGAAGGCACCACGTGTCAGTCACGTGCATTCGGATCAGCACCGTCAAATCACACGGTGCACGTTGCCTCTTGCTTTGTTCATTGTTTTTGCCCGGCTGCAACGCGTCTGCGCGCACGTCCCGTGACTGCAACGAGGTCCTTGCGATATCAAGGTGCAAATTTTGCGTGAGTCACGATCGATCCTCCTCCACATACCACCATGTCGCTCGTCAACGCCACTGACACGGGCGGCAGCTCCCAGTCGACCCAGCCCGTCACCCCAGCTCGCAATCGGCTTTCCACTCTTACATCGAGCCTTGCTACCGACACACCGATGAGCTCGGGCACCGGAGATCCAAACTTCGGGTACAGCATCGTGAAGGATCTCGCCGTCAGGCTGAAGACCGAGTTGAAGCGCCATCATGTCCAGGATGTAGAGATTCCCTCTCCTGTTACCGACGCCCGAACGAAAATCGAGAAGTTCCTGCGGAGTACACCGCTGTACGACGACACCGAACATCGGTGGGTCGACGTGCCATTCGAGCCGAAGAACGAGAAGGAGCTTTACGGTCCCCACACCGCCATCATCAACGCTATCATCGACCGCTTCGGCCTCAGCAACCGTCGACTCATCATGGCCGCCAACATCACCATACACCATGAGACACACGAGCGTGAGAAGCTCGCTACTCGACCAGACTACCTCATCGTCGGGAGGGGGCCTCTTGTCAATGGCAGGAGCAGATTTGGCAACAAGGACAACTTCGACAACGAGTGGGCGGTATATGATCACGCCACCACCGTTGGCGACGGCAAGACTGAGGACAACGCCGCCGTGTTGGACAATGGTATACAGCTGGCTGTCTATGCGAGGTGCGTGTCCTCTATATTCACGAGGCATATTATTGACGTTTATTGCAGGGCGTGCTTCATCCAACAGTGTAACCGCGACTTCGTGTTCGGCTTCATCATGACGGAGAAGTATTTCCGCGTCTACAGCTTCGACCGCTGTGGCATGATGTCCACTGTCAGGGTTGACTACCACGCCGACCCGGTACCCTTTGTTCACGCCATCTGCCTCATTGCGTCGACGGACGCGGACGCTATCGGCTATAACCCTACCATCTACTACGACAAGAACAAGGCCGGCAAGATCACGAGATTTCTCACCTCCACATTCCTCCGCCCTCGCACCAACCGCGATCCCGACCACATGAAGGACCATGTCGAGGAAGACGACCTCGCCGATGGACTCGCCCACATCTCGGTCGATGAGGTCAAGTACGTCGAGGAGGAGATGACGTTCTGCGTTCACAAGAAACCCCTTCACGTGCGCCGTGGTGTCCGTGGCCGGGGTGGCGTCTACTGGTCCGCCGACCGCGAGGGGTGGGGCGCTGTCCTTGTTAAGCAGGCCTACGTCCCCGTGGGTCGGGTTCCCGAGTGGAAGTACTTGAAGAAGGCGGTGGGGTTGATCGGGGTAGGCCAGATGCTCGCCTACGACACCCGGTCCTGGACCGTCTCGCAGGGGCGCTGGCATGGAAAAGATCTTATGGCTGATCGGAAGTACTGCTGCGTCGTCTTGAAGCGGTACGGGAAGTCGGTAGCGGCTTTCAAAACACGCCGAGAGCTCCTGGTTGCTTTTCGCGACGCAATCAACGGTATGTCGACCCAAGTATTCCTGAATCCCGTACTGATCATCATCTATGACAGGGCACTGGAACCTGTGGAAGATTGACATTCTGCACCGGGACGTCAGCATTCACAATATACTGCTCGGGGTCGACGGCGCCGAAGCCGGTTGGGAGGGTGTCCTGATCGACCTCGATATGGCCATCAGTATGCGGCGAACTAGGAGCGACCTTGAAGCGGATTTCCGAACGGTCAGTCGGTCTGTTCATTTCTTTGATTCATCTAATGCTCATGGTGGCGATATAGGGTACCCGCGCGTTTCAGTCCGTTCAGGTTTTGAGGAGCTATGAGTGCAACCTCTCGGACGCCTCGAGCGAGCAGCGTTTCATGCATGACTACGCGGATGACCTGGAAGCCTTCTATTGGTAAGCACAATTCAAGCTTAGCTACTATCTCACTTAACTCACACGCCATAGGTGTCTCTGCTGGATTTGCTTCAGCTTCGACGGTCCCGGAGTCGAGTCCGAGGAAGAAAACCTCTTGCTGAAGAGGTGGCAACACGATGACCCGCGAGAAGCATACGACTCGAAGTCCAACTTCTTGGAAGGTCCTTTCAAGCGTCGCCTGGTCAAGCGATACTTCCAGGATGACGCGTTGATTGAACTCCTCGAGTTTCTCCACGCCGTATTCCAAGTGATGTATGCGCATAAGAGCAGCCTCGTTGAGACAGGTACTGTGCACAATCGCACTCTGGAGCACATCCAGCGGGAGGCGAAGGACACGTACGAACGCGTGATCAAGGCCTTCAATAGAGCCATCGACAGGCTCGGTCCCGAGGGTATGCCCGCCAAGGCGGAGTCTACCGAGCTCCCCTTCGTACTGCCACAGCTTCCTGACGGCCCCCGCCAAGCTTCTCGCGCGCCGGGACAGCCGTCGACGTCTATCTCTTTGGGGAATAAACGCAAGGCATCGGAGGAATCCGACGAGGCTCCGGAGAAGAAGAAGGCGGTCTCTACGGCGCCTCTTATATCCTCGAGCCTGCGTCACTCGGAGTCGTATGACCCTTGAGTGCTGAGCGCCAGGAGCTGCTGAGCTTTATGTATTTTCTATTCGTGTATGTTACAATTTACGGCCATTATATTCCAACTTTGAACCTGTCCCTCGTGCTTGAGATCAAGTACAAGCATCACAAGCCACCAATGTACATAAATTGAAGGTACGATTAGTGGTATAGCGCGACTAACTTTCAGATGCTTGACGTCCGTATCATGGACTTCGACCGGCAGTAACCGTCCAGCACGAAGGTGAATTGCCTTATCGCCTTTGCCCAATGCCTCTAAGGCTCGAATGCTTGAGAGACGGCGTTAGGGAAGGGCGGGAGGAGGGCGGCGTTCGAACACGTAACCCGTGCCATACCTCCGAGCGGAGACAGACGGGGGTCTTCAAAGGAATGCGGGATGAGTCCGAGACGCATCGTTTGAAGCCTCGCCGCTTCGCTTAGAGTAGCCCAGGCGTGCGACCAAGCTTTCAAAGGCCCAACATCAGGTACGACGGACATACGCAGATTGGACCGATCGACTTTCGCGGGGTCGGGGGCGGGGCCCCACAAAGCGGATCGGAGATATGGCCCGGGACATTCACTCGAAACCTACAACCGCCTGTCTCTTGCACTCACCACATCCCGCAGGCTTACACGCATATTTGCCTTCCCCTCCCCTTTTCCTCACCTCAGATGCCGCACAAAGTCAGCGTGGGCTCTACCTCGTCAGGCGGGCGATAGGTTTCGCGCAGGGTCCTTCGATCGAGGCAGCTGAGCGGTCACCGGATAGGTCCTATTGGCTATAGCCCGGCACCGGATTTAGTGGTTAGGATGTAAGTGGGCAGGCAAGGCGTATAACTACCGGAAGCAAGGGGTGAGGAAGACATCCGCTGCACGGTACGCCTCGCTCCGAATTCCAACACCATGCCCTCTGTAGCGCTTAACGGGACCAACGGCGTCAACGGCGCGACCAGTGCTGCGCCACCGAAGGGAGCGAAGCCTAACATTGCGATCTACACGAACGCCAAACATGAGTGCGTGGTCTGTCGGGTGTACCAGAGGAGGCTTTGACGGGCGTTGTGGACAGGTTGTTCCAAAGAGAGATTCCATATCCCGAGATCGGTCCCGACGACTGGTTAGTACTGTCCTCTGATCTACCTTCGTCGTAGAACTGAATATCCCATAGCCTTGTGCAGGTCCGCTGTACCGGTATCTGCGCGTCCGACGTGCATTTCTGGAGATCAGGATGCATCGGTGACATGATCGTTCGCGAGGACATGATCCTCGGTCATGAGAGCGCGGGCGAAGTCCTCGCCGTCGGCGCCAATGTCACCAGCATCAATCCCGGTCAGCGTGTCGCGATCGAGCCCGGTGTACCCTGCGCAGCATGCAAGCACTGCGTCGGTGGTCGGTACAATGTGCGTAGCCTCATACTTCGTTCGATCTTCTCCTCTGAACACGAGATGCTTCAGCTTTGCCCTGAAGTCAAGTTCGCCGCCACCCCACCCACCGACGGCACTCTCCGCCGCTACATGGCGCACCCTGCCAAGTACCTCTTCCCCATCCCCGACCACATGACCTACGCGCAGGCAGCACTCGTCGAGCCCTTCTCCGTCGCCCTCGCCGCTGTCGACAAGTGCAACCCTCGCGTCGGGCAGCCGGTCTTCATCGCTGGCGCGGGCCCCGTCGGACTGGCGACGGCGCTGTGCGTGCGCGCGGCAGGCGCCTCCCCGCTTGTAATCTCCGATCTGGAGGAGAGCCGGTTGGAGCAGGCGAGGCGACTTGGGTTCAACGCGCTGAAGATAGAGTTGAACTGGACGAGGGACGAGGTGGCGCACAAGATCAGGGAGGCGATGGGCGAGCGGTGTGCGCCGGAGATAGTGTTTGAGTGCACGGGGGCGCAGACAAGTATCCAGAGCGCGATCTATGTGGGTATATTCGCGATAAACATACATGGAATGCGACTTACAATCACCACAGGCGGTCGAGGACGGTGGCACCGTCGTGCAGGTCGGCTGCAGCAAGCCCGACGTCGAAATACCATACGCCGCGATGGCATTCCGTGAGGTCAACATCGTCACTACTCTGTAAGCATTTACTTGTATGACTTTGCACACCAAACTGATAGACCTCTCAAGACGCTACCACAGCACATGGGAGAAGATGGTCCGCCTCCTCGGCGACCGCTACTTCGGCGATGTCGACCACCTTGTAACGCACACATTTCCACTCGAGCGCGCCGAAGATGCGTTCAAGCTATGGCTGGACCGCAGTGCGAACGCGATCAAGGTGCAGATCGTAGACGAATCGTAATGCAGAGCCGAACGTGTAGGATGTCGGTGATTTGAGCCGGATACCTGGGGCTTCGAGGGGCAATGTAGTACTATTATTACTAGACACACGCTTTCCGTATTCCATCACCGTAAACCAGCAGATGCTAGGGGCTGTCTACGCAACCTACTTCGGGGGATCGAGCAAGAGTCAAAGCGGGAATCGAACGTGCGAGTTGACCGTGGGAAACCTTGATCATGACGCCACAAATCCTTCGCTACAATTGATTATTGCTTCGGGCGAAGACCATTGTCTGCGTTGTACTCCTCATCAATGAAGAGGTCTATGTACCACGACCACCATGTCTATCATCTCGATGTCTACGGCACCTTGTTTATCTCCTCAGCGAGCGACGCTCAGGTGGTCCAGCCCATAGTTGCGCTGCGTCTGGCGCAACCGAAAGTCACAGTTAATGATGGTATTTCTACAAAGCGACTGACCTCGAATAGCTTCTCTGCCTTTGTACCGTAGCTTGTCTGCAGGTGTCACCATATCATACGAAGACTGGCTACGGCGCGACGCGACGCCAACTAACATTTGCCTCCGAATCTCAGGCTCTTTTGACACCAAGGGGCCTTCGCGGATAGCCACCTACCGCATTCTGTCTCTCACAGTCATGGCTTCCCCGGCACAGAGTACGAACTACGACGAGCGACCAGGATTCCCTCACATCAAGAAGATACTGAACACGCTCGACGGTGCCAGCCTAGCGGTTGCCCTGAAGTACTTCTCGACTGGTGGGAGGCCCCTCTCCTTCTTTGAGATCGAGACGGTCGTGTGGGCGGAGACTTCAATCAGCTTTTGCCTGTCTTCTCTCGACATCGGTCTTTACCAATTGACCCCTAAGTGGGCTGCACGAGAGTACGTAGCAATGAGACGTCAACCGTGTCGAGTACTAACCCACCCCTGCAGCGCTAGGCGCGAGATGCAAGACTGGTTCCTTTGGTCGGGAGGACTCGCTTTGGCGGAAGACGATATCTATGCTTGCTACGCTGAACTTCGCCACCACACGCGCTGGAGCGCCTCGCCATTGCCGAGTGAGTTCGTTTTGCGATCGGAAAGGTCATATCTTATCCCTTTGCCAATTAGCCATCCCACCCACGCCTGACGATCGCGAGCGGGCTACTTTCGTCCGCCTGGAATGCACCTTACGCTTCTACCTAGACTCTCTCGAACCTATGCCTAGCGTATGTCCCCACGCACACCTGCACTTCTGGCTGCTCACCTCCAGTAAGGCTTCTCCCTCCTATTCGATTTCCAGCCCTGTTGCCATCCGCCTAGTGCTCCTCTTCATCTTGCGGACGATCTTCCGGCCTTTCTATGTGTTCTGCATCGGCACTTACCTCGCCGCTACCCTGACGCATGATGCGTTCCGCTTGAAAGACTTCGCTCGCCTTGGAGGGGTTCTCGTCGTTTTCATGGCCTTGAGGTACTTCATATATCCGGACGACGGTGTGTCTCTCTCTTGCGCGCCCCTTCTGCGTGCGACGTCTGATGGACATGCGGTCAGAATACACGATTTCCGGGTTGCGCCAACGGCTGCAGCATGCGGATCGCACAGTCAGGGATTTTTCGGTCTTAAGCAAGGAGCACGTCACATTCTGAAGATCCTCCATGCCGCAGTACAGGACATCCTTCTCAGAATTTATGCTGTAGACGCAGAGTGGGAGGTTCAAGTCAAAGCTCTCCTGGTAACGATTGACAAGCAGGTGAGTTCGCCACTACTTCCGGTTCGCCCGCGCTAAAAGCCAATGCGCGCAGCTGTTTCGTGCACACCGTAATTATAGCACCCCATTGCGGACCTTCCTACGGCAGCTGGCAGAGAGCGACCAGCGCGACTGCCTGCTCCCAGAGCTTGAGAAGTACCTTACGTTCACGAAAGGTCGTGCTCTTAAGATACAATCATTAGATTCTCAGGCGAGCCATGCGTCTTCGTCATCGCCAATGCGACACTGCTTGACGCCAGGACAGCTCAATCTGAGAGAACAGAATCTAGAGGAGCAAGTCGCGGCAACCAACGCGCGGTTGTGCAACGAGCTGGGATCGGATGATCATCTTCTTCAGCGCGAGGTGCTGCACCATCTTTTCCCGCCGGAGACTCAGGAGCATGGGTACAACCTACGCAAGGACTTCATAGACGCCATCTCGCTGCTCGCGTTATACTTTCGGAGCGGCAGAGCAACGTCGGGAATATCCAAACCGTCTGTGGCATCTTTCCTCGTATCATCCTCCTAGGAGTCCTGACGGTATTGTAGGCTGGCCGAACACGTGCGCGCTCGCTTGGTTTGGGCTGGTGGTATGGGGCGCGCCCAGCATGCTATCGATTTGCTTACGCTGTCCATCCTGTTGGGTAAGCAGAAGGGCTATGCGCCTTGGCAGGGTCATTGACATCCATCAGAGCCGACCACGGAGCGCCTTCGGCAGCTGAACGACTGCCTCGAATCTTACTTGCACGAGCACGACCTCGTCGGCCAGTTGCGGGAGTTCCGCAAAGTGAGTGTCATATCGCCAGGGCCATCCTCTCCGCTGACTGAGATACTCGTGCAGCAGAACGTGATCTTCATTCCGCAGTACGAGAAGGGCTTCGCACCCCACTGGCATGGACATCATCAATGACGCATAAAGGTAGGCTGGTCGTGTTTGTCCTTGTGTGACAAGGATTCGCTGGTAAGTATTGACAGGCTTCTGAAAAGCGGTCTTCGTTCTCTTTCTTCCCAACCGCCATCATCATCCACCGTCGCCGCGCTCATCGACGATGTCTCTTGGCCGCGTTCTCACCCTGTAAGTCGGTTGACTTCGATGCCTCGTCAAGCACTGACGAGCTTGAGCGCAGCAAGGATGGAAACAAAATCCCCCAGATCGGTTTGGGGACTTGGCTCAGCAAGCCGGGTGAGGTGAAGGCTGCCGTCGAGCACGCGCTCAAGGTCGGCTACCGGCACATCGACGCCGCGCTCATTTACGGTAACCAAGAAGAGGTACGAGGCTCGAGCTAAAGCGTTTTCGACGCGCATATACTCACTTTCTGACGGTAGGTCGGTCAAGCGTTGAAGACGACGAGTGTGCCGCGCAAGGAGATCTTCATCACATCTAAGCTTTGTGAGTGATTGCTCCTATCCCTTTGTACGATCTTGACAAGTCTTAGGGAACAACTCCCACCGGCCCGAGTTCGTCGAAAAGGACCTGGACCTCACCCTCAAGCAGCTCGGCACCGACTACCTCGACCTGTACCTCGTGCGTGCCCCTCTTCCTGGACCGCATATATGCGCTTACCTGTCTCTAGATCCACTGGCCAGTCCCCTTCAAGCCAGGAGACGAGCTCTCTCCCGCCAACGAGGACGGCACCGAGGCACTTCTCGATCTCGACGGCGGCCCGAGCATCGTCGATACCTGGAAAGCCGTCATCGCTGTCCAGAAGACCGGCAAAGTGAAAAGCATCGGCGTCTCCAACTTCACCGTCGCGCACCTCGAGAAGATCATCAGCGCAACGGGCGTGGTGCCAGTGATGAACCAGGTCGAGGCGCACCCGGCGCTGCAGCAGCCGGAACTGGAGAAGTACTGCGAGGAGAAGGGGATCAAGATCACGGCTTACAGCCCGCTCGGGAACAATGTGAGTGGATATATGCGCTGCTTCGGGAGGTGGTCAGTAACAGGAAACATCTAGGTCAGCGGCAAGGTGCGCATCATCGACACGGTGCCGGTGCAAAAGCTCGCCAAGGAGCAAGGCCGTGATGCTGCGCAGATTCTCATTGCTTGGGTGAGTCGCCATCTTCCTCGCTTTTTTGCATGCTCTAATGTCAATGAAGGGCGCGCACAAAGGTTTCTGCGTCATTCCCAAGTCAGTCACGCCCAAGCGCATCGAGAGCAACTTCGACGACCTCGAACTCAGCGCGAAGGAATTTGAGGCGATTTCGAAGGTCGGGCGCGAGAACCCCGTGCGCTACAACATTCCGTACCTATACAAGCCGCGCTGGGATATCGATGTGTTTGGTACGTTGTATCTTCCGATCTGCAGTGGAAAACAAGGGGTTGACCATCGTCGTAGGATCCGAAGAGGAGAAGGCTGCGAAGCACAAGGTTCGCTGAAGGCAAAGATCAAATATGTGTAAATTCTGTATAGTATGATATCGACGGCGAAGTGCATGGTTTGGAGCTCGATCAGCACGCTCATGGCGTAAACGACCTGGAGCCGATCTTCGCGCGTTTTCTAGACGGCGTTCCAACCTCATCGAGCAAGCCTAAGTCCGAATTCGAGCTTGCTGTGGGCGAGTCCGACCTTTTGCGCTTTCCCGCCGGGGTAGAGGCCGCTCCAGTCGGTGATCCCGACTGTATTGCATGCTGTGAGCTTGAACTAGGTGGCAAGTTCGACGCGGGACCCTCCTCTGTTTCTGCGGACGTTGACAGCGAAGAAATTGCAGCTTCTGGGGCGCCGGAATCAGCAGGCAGCGACGCATTCGTCTTCCGTCGCCGCCCATGCCTGTCCGGCGAGATGCTGGTCTCCCCCACGATGTTGGCGACAAGGCGAGATAGAATCCATGGCTTTTCGGCCTCCGCTGCCTGCTCCAGCATCGCTTCGGTGTACTGAACGAGGTAAGGGTTGACGGTGACAATCTTGCGCTCGTTGGGGTAGGGCGAGGGAAGGGGTATATGGCTCATCTTCAGATGGACTAGTGCCTCCCTTGCATCGCGGATGCGGGTCTCGCGATCAGGAGCGCTGAGGTCTGGGGCTTGCATGGCAACTTCCAAGACAGGGAGATCTCCCAGCGTTTTGCATGGATCGGGAAGAGCCGTCTGGAGCAACGCGAGGGCTTTGGAGACGTCGGCAGTCTGGACGAGATGGATAAGCAAGGCGCGCATTTGAGATAGCGGGGAACGCTCGTACCTGGTCTTTGCCCTTGAAGTAGGCGCCCAGCCCTCCCTTGTGTGGGCTGAAGTCGGCATGGGGTACGACGCGGACGATGACCCCAAGGAAATCGCCCTTGAGCCGCCGCAGTGCGAACATGAACGCCGTCGGATCCGGCAGTAAGCAGAACGCGGTGTCGTGCTCGTGCCGGAGCCAAGAGAGAGTTGTCGCATAAGAGGTCCCATCCGTGGCGAGAGGAAGCACTGCGGGTGCTGGGTAATCCGCGTGTCGACAGATGCGATACCTTGGAGAGCCGTTCTCGAAGACGCCCGGCCTCAGTTCGACGAGTTCTGCCCTCTGCTGCGCCCAGCGAGGCGCTTTCTTTCCTGGGAAGACGAATGTTTCGGAAGGCGCGTGAGGGGTGGCGAAGAAGCGCGAGAAGAGGAGGACGGCGTGTTCGCGGGGGCTGGCGAAGGCGGGCAGGTTGGGGTTGTAGATGAGTTTGTGGCTGAGGAACGGCAGTTCGTCCCAGTCTCTGGACCAAAACAGCTGGGCGTTTCGGACGAGGGTGAGGGGCTCGTCAACGACGATCTTGGACATATTGGCGTCGGCGTAGTATCCGAGATTGGAGGAGACAATCCAATCCTCGGTGGCGCCAAATGTGGGGGCATGGCCGAGAACGAGATATTGATAGAGGATATGGTGGATGGCGGTGCGCGCTCTGAGATCTAGAGCAACGGGTTGTCGTCAGCAGGACTTCGGACAGATGAAAGTAAATCGACGCACTCTCTCTGATCACAGAAGAAAAGTAGATATGAATGTACGGGCCTAAACGGTATAGACCTTGATCAGTGCCCTTGTCGACCGCCAGGCGGATGTCGTCGTAGGAAATGAAACCGGTCTCCTCGTTGATGAATTTGTGTAGCATCGTGTGAGGCCCATCGAGCATGGAAATTGGTGTGCCGCCGAGGAAGAACTTCACGAAGTCAGCGACTACCTTGTGACTGGAAAGAGTGTTTCAGCATTGAAGCAACACATTGCTGATGAAGGCACCGTACCGTCCGCGAAGCCAGAGTCCGGCGCGCTCCAGCAGTAGTTTTCCGTCTTCGGATGCCACGAGGGAAGCAGGCAGGTAGGAGCGCAAGAAGTCACGCGCATGCTCCGGGTCCGACCCGCCGGTCGCACTGACGGTCTTGAGCGAAGGGAAGGCTTGCTGGAGGTCCCGCGGAGGTCGCGCGGAAGTGGCCGCAAAAACGGGCGTCAGCCACGGTAGCTTAGCGCAGAAGTCGCTCAGAACTTTGAACGGGTCCTCCCTATGCTTCTTCCCGTCGGAGCCTATTTCAGATGTCCACTCACACAGTGAGCGCTGACAGTCGTCAACCACATAAAACAAACCAAAGTCGTCACCGCCCAGCAGGTCCTGCAGGCGAGAAACTGTATCGCGCATGATGTCCGCTTCGCATGCATAGTCGGTTGTCGTAGATTCCTCCAGGGCTTCGCAGATACGGTACGGATAGTCCGCGCTACCAAAAGAGATCTGCGCGCTGTTCCAGTCATTGCGCGCATGCTCCATGGATTTCGTCGTGTCGATGACCCCTGCAAACGTATGCAGGAGCAATAAGCGTGCAAGAAGAACCCTCTGAAGTTGCTTCTTTGCTTCCCAAAGCTGAGCGTATGATCTCCTGTACGACACCCATCGCATCGAAGAAGGCAAGTCCCTGCTTCCGATACCAAAGCGCGCGTCTAGGCGGAAGTAGAAGCCCCAGTGTCTGCGTAAGCCCTGCAAGAGCAAGGATGTCTTTCCAGAGCCCGGTGCGTTGATGAGCAGCCTGGGAGGTGGCGTCAGTTGACTGCAGGCTAAACACATCAGGGTTGTCACACGTACGCTGGTTCGCCTTTACGGAATATGCCAGCCAGCTGATGTTGGATGGCCTCATTCATCGCGTCGCCGACGTGAGCATGTGTATTTGCCACCAACGATATCTCGTTGTTCTCGCCACGATACACATGATCAGATGTCCTGAATCGAAGACCGGCGACATGCTCACGCCATGCAAGCGTCGTATCTTGTTTATCTGCATCGGAGGGAGGGTGTGACTCAGTTTTCTTGTCACAGTTGACCACTGATTGCCGAAATTCGTCGAGTATCTTGTGAACCTCGTCGGGTAGTGCGTGGCTATCGTGACTTGAAAAGGTCAGGCTTTGCCACTGACGTTCCGCAAGGGCGCCCAACGCACCTCGGCGCGGGTTCCATAGTGAGCCGAACGAGAAAGCGTAGGCTTCGTGCTGTCCCGGTCGACGGTCGTGGTAGAGTAAGAGGCGAGAGGAAGATTGAGGTCCTTTCTAGCCCCGCTTTCGACTGCGCTCGGGCCCGAGCTTACGTAACACGCACACTGGTCTCGCAACCTTTGTGGCACCGGTCTGGACACTTCAAGGACCATTATATGGAAGCGCAGGGTCACATTCCCGGCTCCAAAAGAGGGAAAAGATCCTTGCTTTGTGCGACTGTGTCACGCGAAGGGAAGAACCAACTGTAAACCGAGAGCGAGCGCATGAAGTCTTGTCACGCAAGAATGCGAGCCCATAGGTATTCAAATCGAGCGCCGTGACATATCGACATAGGTTACGGACCTACGAAATTGCTCAACAATAGAGCTCTCAGGATCGTGATTCCTACTCACGACTTTATTGTTCTACATCTTCGCCTTGTTCAGCGGCGCAAATTGTGGCGCGCGCTTCTCCTGCCTGGCCGTCAGGCTGTCCGGGATATCCTGCGATGTCGGCGGTCAGAAAGACATCCTTTGTGAAGAGAGCCTGACGAACTTTGGTCTGCAGCATCGCGCTGTTCCAGATGACCGTGTAATCCAGGCTGGCGTCGACGCTACCAAACACGGTGAGTATGTAAGTCTTGAGATAAGCAAGCTTGTGCGTACGAATTGTCGCGAGCGTGGTTGAGCAGGCGCTTTGTGCCGGCCACCGCGATGGGCGATTTGGCAGCTATCGCCTTCGCTAAATCAAGCGCAGCAATTATCACCTCGGCTCGACTGCCTGTAACGACGGGTAACAGGGAGGCGATCATAAGCGACACTGCATACGATGCTGGAGTATCCAACATACCGGGTACGATGCGCGACACAAAATTGAGCTGCTGGGCTTCCTGCGCAGAAAACGTCCGACCGCTGAAGGCGAGCTCGCGCGCAAGGGATTGATTACCCGCGATCTTTGGCAAATACGCAAGGGTCCCAATATCCGCGGCGAGCCCTATATCGACTTCCTACACGCGCGCGAAATTCATCACTAGTACCAAAGAGACATGACGAGAGCATCGTACCTTGATGCTCAAGCGCGCATCCGCCGCCGCGTATCGCACATCGCACATTGAGGACATGTCGACGCCGAGGCCGATGACGTGGCCGTGCATGGCGGCGATGACCGGGAAGTGGCAGCGCTCTGGGGCCCGGATGGCGGCCTGGAAGGCGCGGATGTGGTCGTGTAGGTAATGGGCGGCGCGAGCGGGGTCAGCGTGGCCGTCGGTGGCGAGGATGTTGCCCGCGGATTTGACTGTGGATAGCCGGCATGAGCCGCTGAACGTAGGTTGCAGCTCGTCAACGAAGGAGACTACGCACTGTCGAGGCCAGCGGTGAATATCCTGTCTAGCCCCGAGGAGAGGATGGCACATCGCACGTCTGCTTTTGGCGAAGTGCGCAGATCGTCGAAGACCTTCCCGTAGGATACCCAGAACCTGCATTCAGAGATATGTAAGCACAGGACTCGGCTTCGAAGTAGTATACGCACTCCTCCGAGAAGGCATTGGCGGGTTTCCTAGCCAGCAGTCCGAATTGGAGACAACGCATAGCGAGTCGAACGCAAACATACCTCTGCAATTCAATGAGGTATACGTGGGGATGGGGTTCAGAAACCTTGATCCAGGGCGTAGAGAACGAGTCTGCCATCGCGGGGGAGAATATAGATGATGAAATTCGAAGTGGAAGTGCGTCTGGTTGCTTAGACTCAAGTAACAACCTCTCTCGCCACGCCAAGACGGAGATCACTGGGCAAGCTTATTAGATCGCTTGCAACGAAAGACTTCGAGAGCGCGGACACTGAAATGCTAGTCGGAGAGAACTGTTGCGGTAAGCTGCGAGGACTAAGAACAAGTGAGGTGGAAAGAGACGAGACGAGATGCTGATGAAAGCTCGAACCAAGTGCGGCGTCTGGGGCGAACCTGCGCATGATTCCTCGGACCGATACGTAACCGGGGTCGCCAATTCCCATCCCAGTCCCCGGTCTCCATACAACAGAAGCCGCGCGCGAGCATCTCTGGATGATCCAAGAGAAAACGATGGGCATGGCGTACGTGAGTTGAGGACGCGCCTGTGATCATAGAGTGAGTGGGGTAAAGAAAAAAGCTTCCGCCTTTATTGCAAATGCATTAAGGGGGAATCGAACCCCCGGCGGGTCGAGTAGCTGCTTTGGCAACGACCCAGGTTACCACTACCCCATTAATGCCTTAATGGGCCGTGCAAACAAATCTACTCATGTGTAGCAGAAACTTCAGTGCCCTGCACACTTCCTTTTTGTTTCTTTGTCTATGAAAATATCGTATCGTGCACTACTTCTGCAGCATCGAAATGCTACACCATTCCACAGCCCTACTCTCGAGCCTTATCATGCATCGTTATGATTCGGCCTCGCGAGGAAATACGTCCCGGTCACTGGATCGCCCAGACCCGTCGTGCGCGCGAAGTCGCTGACGTTGAAGCCGAGGATCAGAGGAGCGTCGGCCAGGGGGGAAATGGCGGCGGCGGTGAAGTTGACGGGTTGGTTATAGAGGAGGAAGATGTAGCTGAGGTGAAGAGGTTGGTCAGTAAATGCACGACAACGAGGATCGGCGAAGGCACGAGCGAAGCCAGGATTGTTAGAAGCGAGACGGCTTGAAAACAGCAAGACCTATATTGCCTGTACTCACCGATGAGCACCGCCCACCAGCGGGATCGGATGCCTCCACTTCGCGATGGGAGCGCTCGTGTTTACGAGCGGCAGTGAACCATCCTTGTGTGCGTCCCCATCGACTGTATAGTTCCCACCGAGCAGGTGGACGACTTGGGAGAAGACTGGCAGGTTCGGTGTGATGGCGTCGGGGTCGATGGCGATGAGGACGTAGGGCTTATGGACTGGAGGATGGAAACGCATTTTGATGAGTACGAGCACATCGAGGATGAAGGGAAACGACGTACCTTCTTCCTCGGTGTAGTCGTGGATGGCGAAGCTGGGGAGGTATCTTGTTTCTGGGAACGGCGCGTCAGACGGTACACGCTTGGAATACACCTTAATGACGACGGACAATGATACTCACGATCCTTCGTCAACTCCTGTCCCGGTTCGACGACCACGGTCGGGTCCTGCAAGTCCGGGTTCGTGAAAGTCACGTCGAGCAGTAACGTCGGATCGAAGGTTGGAAGGATGTCGGGCACGATGTTCGCATCGTGGAAGGCCTGGCGGATGGCGGATTTGTCGTCTTTGGTGGCACGGTCGTCGAGTGGTGTACCGCAAGCTGTGATGGCAAGAAAGTAGGAGAAAAGAATGGCGCGCATGAGCTTGCTCGTGCGATGCTTGTGAAAGGTGAAGAGCCTGAGGTGCTGGGTGATGGGGAAGGCAGTATATATGAAAGTGGACTCGGAGACCCTCGGCTAATGCCCGACTCGCTTGTCGAAACAGCCACCCGTGCCCCGTCGGTCTGGTAATTGGCTCGCTGAGATGCGATCGACGAGCGGCAGACTGTCCGAAGAAGTCAAGAACGGTTGCATCATGACGGAGAAAAACTCGACACTCTTGTCCATCTTGAAGCAGTCGCGTCGAGGACTATGCAGTGCGCCATGCAAACACGACACTATAGTCATGTCGAGCATGATATCCATTCCTACCTACACCACCGAATACAGTCGTTATTGACCTTCCATTCCGTCCATGTATGGAAGCGCACTTAGGTGCTGTCCGCATCCGGGCCCGTCAAGAAGTATGTTCCAGCCACGGGCAGCCCGAGCCCCGTCAGCTCAGCGAACTCGCTGATGTTGAAGAGCGTAATCGGGGAGGATGCGTTGACGAGCGGTGCGATGGAGTCGACGGTAAAGTTTTCGGGCTGTGGGTAGAGTAGGAGGACGTAGCTGCAGGCGGGAAGCTTCAGTAATGTCATACGCAGACATTTAAAAAGCACTGACCGATGAGGGTCACTCCCTGCAGGCGGACTCGGGCGCACCCAGTCCGAGACTGCGACACTGCTGTTGAACAGGGGAAGGGGATCGCCTGCGCTGTCGCCATCGGTGGTGTAGTTCCCGGCCAGGAGGTGGCGGACTTGGGCGACGTCGGGATCCTGGGGTGTATGCGCGTCTGGGTCAACTTGCACGACAACATAGGCCTTCGCGGCTGGCGAGGAAAATCTATCTCAGGAGGGCGTCATTTGCGTAGAGCGGGTTACTCACCATCGTCCTGAGTATAGTTGCTGATATAGAACTCGGGGAGAAACTTGGTTTCTGTAAGAACGATGAGGCAAAGGGGACCGTGAGATGAGGAGATCACGCACGATTCCTCGTCAACAGAGCGCCGGGCTCGACGATTACACTCGAGTTCTCCAACCCAGGGTTCGTGAAGTTCACTTCAAGTAAGAGGGTAGGATCGAACGAGGGGAGGACGTCGGGGACTATCTTCGCGTCGTAGAATGCGTCGCGGACGGTGTCCGTGGTGACATTGGCCGCGAGCACCAGCCCGAGGATGGCAGCGGAGGGCCCGTTGCGATGATGATCAGCAGATGAGGCATCCCTGTTCTGCAGTTCTGCAAGCGGGGCGACAGCCTGAGGGTCAACGAGCCTGTGCGTCGCGCGGCCGAGGGCAGACGCAAGCAAGCCAGAGAGGGCGACAGTGCGCGCAAGTAAGCCGACCATGGTGACGGCGAGAGACAAGTGAAGGTCCGAGGTTCATAGACACTGTACTGCGCTGGCAGGGGTGTGAAGTTACCCATGAGACACGGCGAGCAACCGAGAAGCAGAAGCACGCTGCAAAGGTCGCCGCCATACCGCTCTATACGATGGCGTCAAACGCGGGGGATTGGGCTAATGAGATCGCGAGAGACGTTGAGTCCGCCTACATCGCGGCAAGCCTGCCAAAGGTAGTATCACTGGATGGTGTACATGCACCTCGATGGGATTCAGTGTCTGTTAGCGACGGGAGCCAGAGACGGATCGATGCAGGTGGGAAACGATGATCACTCAACGGCCCGGCCCGGCCCGCACATCTAGACAGGGGTGAGAAAGTCGTCGTCACGGCGGGTGACGCTTCCGGGCGCGCCTATCGCGCCCGGCACGAACACCTTTCCTCCACCGTCAACGATGACCACGACCGTATCCCCCTTTGCGCGCAGCAGCGCTTTCGATGACACCTTTGGCGGGCGCGGACAGACTGTAAGTACTCGACCTGAAGCTGGATAGACTGCGAGTACGAGAGGTGCACTGAGGTGTCACGCATTTCCCCCGCCCCGTTATATCCTCGTTATCCGCCCACGCCCCCACGCCTCGCGCCAGCTAACGGGGCTAATATGAGATTCACGACCTGGCATGAGGTACTGACATGGGTCTCATAGATCGAGGAGATGTACTCCGTGCCTGAGAGTTTTCTGGAGATTGAAGTGCGCAACCCGCAGACGCATGGTGAGTACACAGTATGTTTGGATGAAAGGGTATGCGCTGAGATACCATGCAGGTTTCGGGCGCAAGATGTATACCGACTATGAGATTGTGTGCAAGGTGCGCAAGCCGGCTGCATGCTCGCCATACCCTCCGTACTCCCCATTACACGCTCTTTGCCGCGCCACACCACCGTTCACCGCCAGTTCCCAACGTATCTGCGATCTAACACCCCTCTGCAGACCAACATCCCCGCATTCAAGCTTCGACATTCTCTCGTGCGCAGGCGCTATTCCGACTTTGAAGCCTTCCGTGACATCCTCGAGCGCGAGAGCACGCGAGTCAACATCCCTCCCCTACCCGGCAAGGTCTTCACGAACCGCTTCTCGGACGAAGTCATCGAGCAGCGACGTGAAGGTCTTGAGCGCTTTTTGAGCATCGTTGCGGGGCACCCTTTGCTGCAGGTATGTTCGCGTCTATTCGCCTCCTCTCCATGATTCGTGCACCGGGTTCGCTGATCTATGCACACATCGATAGACAGGGAGCAAGGTGCTCTGCGCGTTCTTGCAAGACCCGGCATGGGACAAGGCGCAGTGGATATAGGCTCGTAGCTACCTTGTCGGGACTGACACTCATACGCCCGGCCCCTCTCGCTCTACCTGTTGTCACCTCACCCTCCATTGTTATCTTGCATTGTATTCCACATTACGCTTGTATGGATCCTTTTCTTTATTCATCTCGTTTCTTACCAAGACGTGCGGCATAAATGAGATGTCTAGAAGACCTATCGGCGAATTCATAAGCTCGCGCCACCGCACCAGAACATGAGCTGTTGATCCATGTTTTCGTCGCCACAGGGCCGTGAGTCACCGGTCGTGCATCAAACGGCTTGGCTCCTGCGCTCGCTGGCTTGCGTCCCCGATGCTTCATTTTCCGTCCTCCCTCCAGTCAACAGCAGGCGGCAGCGGCAGCGGCAAGCGGGATACGCTCAACGCCACGCAGCAGAAGCGCGCGTCGCACCCTGTCCTTCTCCAGATCGAGAACGAGCTGCACGATGCGCGCAGGGTGCACTCGCACGGCCAGGAGGACGACCTGCGGCAGGCGCTGGACATGGTCATCAGGCGCCTGAGTGAGGTGGTGCGTAGCCCGCCCTGTTGCTTGCGACGGGGAAGCTAAGAATTAGCGCAGTCCGGCCTCCTCGCGCAGACCTTCAAGACGCAGGCGGACCTCGAGGTGCAGCTGAACGTGACGCAGTCGAACCTGAAGATGGTCATCGCGAACAACGAGATGCTCGAGGAGGCGCTGCGCAACAACGCGGGCGCGGGGCGCGACGTCGGCTGGCGGCGCGCGAAGCCGCAGGAGGGCGACTCGCGCCACGCCTCCCTCGACCAGTCGCAGGCGCCCTCGCGCTCGGCCTCCATCGACGGCGAGGCGTCCCCTCAGCCAGCGGCATCGCAACCCGCACCCCAACCCTCCCCCGCCCCGGCCCCCAGCTCCGAGAGCAGCTCCGCCGCGTCCTCCCCGTCCATCCCGGCCAAGTCGCCGACGCCCGCGCAGCAGGAGAGCCGCTTCTTCAAGTTCCGCTTCGGGAGCTCCAGCACGAACTTGGCGCGCACGGCGTCCAGGCCGGAGACGCCGAGCGTAGCTGCGAGCCCGAATCCCAACGCGCCGCCGGTGCAGCATGCTACGAGCGTGTCGCTGCCGGTGGGCGCGGAGGCGAACGCGGTGAGGGAGAAGGAGCTGGAGAATATGCTGGCGGAGCTCGAGAGGAGGCGGGCGGAGTGCGAGAAGGAGAGGCGGGCGAGGGAGGAGACGCTGCGGCAGAAGGAGGCACTGGAGGCGGAGCTGGAGAGCCTCAGTCAGGCTTTGTTCGAGGAGGTGAGCATTGCGCGGCAATATGTCAGTCAATGGCGATTGACGCATGCGTCAAGGCAAACAAAATGGTCGCGTCCGAACGCATTAAAGCAGCGGAAACTCTGGAAGAGTTGCGCGAAGCGATACAAGAGAAGGAAGCATTACGGAGTGCTCTACGTCTGATTGAGCGCGAAAATAGGTGCATGGTTTTCCAGATCTCCCCGTCAAACTCATGCTTACCTCTACCCAAGACGACTACGTGATCCCGATGGTGCAACGTCCGACAGCGATTCCACATCCTTTGACACGGACAAGTCAACACCACCGACTTCGGAGAACGGAGGGATGTCATCGGAGAAGGGACGCATACCATCGCCCATCGTATTCCACTCGCGGTCGTCGTCGAATGTCGGGATGAAGTCCGTGCCGACATCGCCTACGTTGCGAGAGAACAGGGCGTCAGTGATCTCGATGCTCAGTGCTATCCGCGTGCCGGTGGATGGGGCGGATGGGGATCGGGCGGAAGATGCATCGGCGGCTGTGGAGGCTCCCGTAGCATCGGCAGAGGGTAGCAACACGCCGACGATTGGCACCCGCCCGGACACCCATGCCTCACCAGCGCAGGGTACATCAGCCGAAACTACTCCACGGCCGAACGAGGATGGAGTGACTGCCGCTCCGGGAGCCAAAGCGGCAGTCGACGTACCCCTACCCGCCTCCCCTGAGCCCGTAGAGGATGGCCCGACCCCCGAGGAGAAGGCAGCGCGCCGCTCTCTCGAAGTCCTCCGCCAGATCGAACCGGAGACGTCGCCATGGACCGCGGAGGAGTCGCGATGGGCAGCGATGGCGAGCATGTAATGCTCGTCTCGCCCGCCGTCTTTGTGAATACGACCCTGTCCCTTTTCGTGTCAATATTTCCCCTGACTTACACCATATACCACCCTGCATATACGCTTCGGTCGGCTGCGCCACCACTTGCTTCCTTTGACTTCCCGGACGTCTTCCTCAGGGTTTCTTCCCTCTCGTTCATCTGCATAACCTACGCATCGATGCATTGCATGCACTTGTATTATTAGTCCATAACTACATACGACGTACGATGGAAGGATAATTATACTGTTTGACGGTCTCCGCGCTTCTTATGCTTGGGGCCGTAGGTGAGAATCCTCGCCTGGCTCTCTGGCGGTGGGCGGTTGTTTGGTATTGTTGACGGTCGATTTAGTCCGAATCATTCCCCTTTTGGAAGGCCTTCAATGTTCCTTCTGTACCGTCAAGCCTGCGCCCCATCATCCGAACCATGACTTCCCCCTTTCGCGCAGTACTCTCGGTCAATCATTCGACCCTCGCACAACTGTCTGGCCGTCCAGCGCTGGCATCGTGTCCTCGTAAGAACTGCGACATCTCCAGGATACAGGTCGGAGCCACCTAACGACTGGGCCCCAAGCATCATGATAGGCGGCTCTCCCGATACGAAGACACGAATCTGCTGCTACTGATGCTATGTGGACTTTCAATTGACACTCCGCCTTATGACCTGGACCCTCAAACCGATCCCTACAAGGGCCGGTAGAGATGACTGGCGCGCACTCCACTCCCCTCAGATGTCGCCGCCGCCGCTCTGCCAACTGCCTCTGATGCAAGCTCTGCTACGCTGCGCATCCCCTTGACATGGAGCTCTGGATATACGACGTCGTTGACTGGTATACAATCCTCGTACATTCTGGCGCCGCAAGCATGAGCGGGCCCGCATCTACCGCGGTCAGACCGCCGTTCAGCCCATTACTTTCGGCTGTATGGATCCTTCTGTCTACCCAGGGCGTTGTGTATATAAGATCGTAGGGCAGTTGCTGTTCTCCTCATACTGCTTCTCGTCTTTCCTTCCCTCCTTTACGGCCATCTCCCCTTCCTTCATTCTTTCCAGCCATGCAGCTCTCCTTCGTTACCGCCTTCGCCCTTCTCGCTGCTGGGGTCTCGGCCGCGCCTGCCCCTGTGGCTGAAATTCGTACTGCTCAAATCAAGTGCCCTATTGTCGTGAGTAACGGTCTCAATCAAGCGGTTTAAGCGTTGACTGATCTCCTCCTAGGAATGTTTGGCCGCCCTTGCGCCAACTGTCGCTATCTGCGGTGTCGCGGCTGCTCAAGGTGGCGCCGGTAAGAGTTAGCTCGATGTCAGTGACAATCCCGTAGCTGATGATATTCTGCAGACGTCCCCAACGACGTGGTCTGCCTCGCATCCGCTGCGAACTCGGCTGTCAACTTCGTATGTTTGCTTCTGAGCGTTGACTCGCCAGATCGCTAACCCCCGGACAGCCCGACAGCTGCAACCAGTGCGCGGACGAGCTTGGCGTGGACATCCCCGACATTCCGGGCACCCCCAAGGCCTAAATTATGTCAACACCGTGAAAGACGGGCTTACGACGATATGCAGCACTGAAATCCCTAACGACGTCGATCCTTGTACACTCAAATGCTGCTGTGCGGCGATTTGTCTCTAAATTATCCTATTTATTGTTTACATCAGCCGTTGGTATGGCTGTCCGGCTCTACCTGATTGAGTTCGTGAGATGCGTTCCGAAAAACGAAGGAACTCTGACGGTTATGCCTACGAGCGTGGAACTGACCTGAGGACATCATGTGACATGCGTGACTGCGAGGCTTGTCACGCTGCTTCCAGCCTTGCCATTACCCTTCATTCGACATTCTGTCAGTCACCAAGGGCAGTCTCTCTCCTTCAATCTCTCTTTGCCTAGCTCCTAGAACACTATCGATGATGGCCTCGCTATATGGGCTCAATAGCGGATGTCAACCTTTCGCCACATGATGCGCACGAAAGCACGGTCGAGTCACTTCCAGTCGGTCAAGTCGACGATGGATGGGCCACATACAGACGACATGGCGCCGTCAGGCGGGAGAGTGCTTGCTTGGGCTCGTCTCGTAGGCATGCATAACATCTTGAACGATATCAACGAACTGGTTCCCGATAGCACTCAGACCCTCAGCGGCGCCCCTCATGGCCATCAATTGTATGGCCGCCGAGCCGCACATGGCTGTGGCCTGCATGGAACGCTTACTTGACCACGCCCGTGACAATTCGTACGCGCAAGCTTGCTTACCACGACTGAGGCTTTTGTGCTCACCGTGGATGGCAGGGTCGACGCAAGTCTCGACTACTCGGTTGTCTAAAACATTGCGATGCTCCAGGTTATAGTACGCTGGTCTCCTTCTACGCAGAGCATCCTCTGACGCCATTATAGTAGGATATCCTGGATAGCTTACGGTCAGGTAGGGAAAGCACGTGCCAGTTCGCGCTGTTACGCAAGGCCGAGCTTAGAAAAATGAGATCGTAAGCACGGTCCAGGATTACCTATTGTCGAAGCTATGTCACAGGTTCATACGATGCTTCGGTATATCACGGCGCTTGGTCCGAATTATGAACCCGCATTCTTGCGTGTCAAGCCTTCCCGTAGTCCAAGTCAGTTCTCCCCTTCCGAAAGATACAAGTTCCACAAAGCCGGGACTTGGGCTTCTGCGAGTCTAAAGCGGCACTCGCACCTCCGGGCCATATCCTTTATGGTGTCGAGACCGGCGACACGAAGCAGGCGGGACCTGTACACGTGCTACGTAAGCTTGGGCCCGAGCGCGGTCAAAAGCGGCGCCGGCAGGTCCTCACCCTGCCTGACGCTCCTTGCTGCTTACCACGACAAGCGCGCCACAAAGCCACAATCGTCTTCCACTTCTGCTAGCCATGGAACCCGCGTCGAGGTGCGTGGGGCATCCTTGCGGAACGCTAGTGGCAAAACCTGACCCCTCCGAATTACGACAGCTACACACTCCCTGACGAGGTTCAGAAAATATTGGACCACTTTCGACAGTCACTAAATAATACCGGACAAGACAACCAGTGGCATCCTCCCTCCAACGCAGAAGACAATGCTTCGACGCCTGCATGGCGTGAGCACGTCGCCGGTCTTCGACTCATGCTATCCGACACCGCGCACTGTGCGGAGGGAAATGGAATATCGTTGGCATATGACACCCAGGATCACGTCGGCGACGCGATGCAGGAGGCTATCCTACACAAGCTGGCCGGCATATTCCGTAAAGGCGAACCTGCGTACGTGTGGCAACATGACGTGGTTGGCCCACAGCCAACTGACAACACTTTTCAGGCTGCTCACCAACGCATCGAGTTCCGGAAAGACATCCTTGCTCTGGCAGGGCTTACGCAGACACTGGGGCTTCTACTTCAGCTTAGACACGCGCTTTGGTATCGGAAGCATGGACCTGCCTTTCTCGATGCGAAAGGTGTCGTACAGGTTATCATACTTCGCTCAGCTCTGGGAAGCAAAGAAGCAACTTCAGAGGGTTCTTCTTGCACGCTTATTGCTCCTGCATACGTTTTTAGGGGTCATCGACACGACGAAATCCATGGACCATGCGCGCAATGACTGGAACAGCGCGCAGATCTCTTTTGGTCGCGCGGACTATCCGTACCGTATCTGCGAAGCCCTGGAGAAATCTACGACAACCGACCAAGCACGCGAAGCGGACATCATGCGCGATACAGTTTCTCGCCTGCAGGACCTGCTGGGGGGTGACGACTTTGGCTTGTTTTATGTGGTTGATGACTGTCAGTACTCACTGGGAGAGTGCATATCTGGAATAGGCTTCGACGGGGAGAAGCATAGGGAGGACCCATTCAAAGTTTTAAGCGACTTCTGCGCTGAGCTACCGTGGATGACGCCCGTCTTTGCGGCCACTTCCGCGCGACCTCCGCGGGACCTCCAGCAAGCCTTCCCTTCGCTCAAGACCGTCAGTGCGACCGGCGGGTCGAACCCGGAGCATGTGCGTGATTTCTTGCGCTCCTACCTGCCTGCTTCCCTCGTGGCATCCGAAGATGGAAAACTACTGCTGGAGCGGGCCGGGCTCTGGCTTCGTGGACGGTATGGTGCCTTCATTGACTTTCTGCTGCTTCGATGCTGACACACTTTATTCAGTCACGGGGTAGCCGCTGACTTCGTGAAGTACTTCATCTGTGGCACACCGCTATCAATGCTTGATGGGCCTCACACGATGCTCCATCGATTTATCAACGAGAGGACCGGTTTTGTTCCCTACGATGACATCCCCCTGGCGGTCGACGAAGGCACTGACCGGCGTCTATACCTTATGAAATTCCCTATCCACTATTATTTCCCGGCCAGTGAAGGTACTTCGTTCTGTCTTTCAGCCGCCTGGAGTCTTGCTGATGGCGACCTCTTTCCCTAGTTCCCAGCGTACGCGTCGTCATGCACCATATTCTATATCGATATCTCGTTCTCGGCCATGCCCCCACATTTGGCGCCACCGAGGATTGGATTGTCTCCTATGGCCTCGGATACTACGCCGACAGCGATATGTCCATAATAGTCGTCGACGAGCCCCTCACCATGGCTCGCATCGCACGACTGTTTTGGGTTAAGAGCTGGAAAGAACTGCCTTTCTTCAGCCCCAAGCTCATCTACAGCCCCGACTGGCCCGCATTCGCTAGCCCCCGTGAACACGCCGTTCTCCTCTTCTCGCGCTTCTTCGCCACCCCTCACGCGCCCTACGAAACATTTGTCTTCCCAGGCAAGAAAGCGCCCCATTGGGCACAGCAGCGGGCAGAGCTCGTCGAACTGAGGCCGGGCGTCTTCGAGAACGGCTCTCCAAGGTATCGCGTCTGTCGACACGCGGATTACCCAGCATCCGCAGTGCTTCCTCTCGCCACGGATGGGACCTCTTATGCGACAACGCTCTCTTGGCTCCGGCACGAGCACGACACCGCGTTCTGCCTGCTGCCGGACCCAACGGCGTTCATGTTCGCACTGCGGCGGCTCAAGGGCGATTACCTTTGGGTCATCGTCCGCGTCGTACCCCATGCCGACTTCAGCCCGCACAAGGGTGGGCTGAGCAGCTACTTCAAGGGCAAAGACAAGGTAGGAGTATTTTTTGCTGTCTAAATGCGCAGCTCGCTGATCCATCTCGACCAGACCGCCGACGTCTCCGAAGCCCTCGCGTTGCTCCGCACGTCTCTTCCCAATCCATGCAAAGCGCTTGGAGATCTTCCTGTGCTGGAGGTCGCCATGCAAGCGCCAGACCTGGACGCCCCCGATCGCGAGACCCGCATCCGGAATGCAAGGGATGCACTCGATCATCTAAAATTGAGCCATATACCCTCGCCCTACCCCAACAAGCACAAGATAGTCACCGTCAACCCTTACCGCGTCCAGTACACCGAAGCGATGCTGGAAATGGCAATGGAGGCCGACAAATCCTGGATTGTATATCGCATGGTGGCCAACATCGTGGGGGAGACCAGCATCTCGCCTGATAGGCATGGGCGGCGGCGGAAAATGATTGCGTCGCCAGCTTCTGACCCCAACATCCCAGGAGCTGCAGGTACTCTCTTGCCACCAGTCGCACGGAAAATCGAGCTGGAAGTTTCCGCGTCGAACGTGCCGCTCAGTTCAAGTTCTGAGCATGTCACTCGAATGGAATTGCCCACTGGAGACACCTATGCTGCGGCGGGAAAGCGCAAAAGGTCGCAGTCGCCCCCGGAAATGTCGCATTCATCCTCAGGCTTGCCTGATGAGATCGGACCGCCGTCAAAGCGTTCGAAGATCGATTCCAAGTCGCCTACGCCATGACCGTGCTGACCGAGCTCTATACTACACACATCCCACCATCCATATCATATTGTACAATTTTGTCTCGTTACGCAGAATTGACCTTGACTTTCAAAGAACCTTGTGCTTCGCCACCTTCTCCTCTTCAAATTCTACGATGGTTAGTCACGCGTCGAGCCGGCTTGTCGACGGATGGTAGGACCCTTTTGACGGTGTCTGGCAGACGTTCCGAGACCATTTGTCAGATCTGGGCAGATCTTACACAGGAAAGATCAGCGACAACGAAGATTCATTAGTACAGCGCGGTCATACAGTACACAATGAGTACATCGGTATCAGTGCACTAAGTCGCCGCCGAGAAAAATCATCATCAAAGTCCTTTGTCACTGCTATGCACGCGCGAGTTATTGCGGAACCCGTACCACGAGTCACCGCTCGCGCGAACCACTACGACCACTACTGAGCACGCACGGTGACTATACTGAGAGCGCACGGATACCATAACGAATGTCCGATCGGATGGGATCAGGGAAAGACATGGACGAGGATGGTCAACGACGCGAAGCCGCGTAAACGACTCGAGGTCGTCAACCACAACACCCGCCACACCCGCCAAAGACCCCATCCGGGAAAGTATGAACATCGCCAAGCACACGAGAAGAGCCAGCATAAGAGAACGAGGGAATGCATGAGGGCATAGGATGGATGATAAATAGACTATCCAAGCGAAGGAGAGCGCATGGGGTGCGTGAGTGAATCGTGAGTAAAGAAAGAAAGAAAGAGATTTGTTTGCGCCGGCATCGCGCGCGTCTGCAGACCACTTTGCTGCTGACGCCGTCGACGCCGGCCACCACAGTATCGCATCCTCCTCCTCCGGGTAAGTAGGCGACCGTGCACAATCTTCTCCTCGTTCAGGAGAGCACGGCCGATGCATTGCATACCCACCACTTAGCATCGCATCCCCAGCACGTTCTCCATCAGCTCGCGCCGCATCTCCTCCCGCATCCGCTCGCCCTTCGCGTACTCCTGCGCCAGACTCGCCTGCGGCCGGGCCTTCGTCAGCACCCGCGGCGAGCGCGCCTCCAGCGGCGTCCGCGGGGTGCGCTCCGCATAGGCCGACTGCGGCAGGCGCTGCTCCGGGACGTGGCACTCAGCGAGCGGCGTCTGCGGCGGCAGCCGCTTCGGCGCCCGCGCGAGCTTGCGCGCGCGGGGCGGCGCGTCAGGCGCGTGGCCCTCGTCGCCGGAGAAGGCGTTCTGGTACGGGCGCTTGACACCCTTGCTCGAGCGCTTGCGCAGGACGCGCGTGTTCTCGCCTCGCTCGCGCTCACCGTCCATAGACTCGATGTCCTCCACGACGGGGAACTCCCAAGAGAAAAGCGACTCCTCGAGGGGCGGGAGGAGCGCGTCGCCTAGGGGAGGGGACAGCGAGGAGACTGCGGGAGAGTAGACCGCGGGCGGTGAGCAGACATCCGGACGCGCGCCACTGGGGCGACGGAGGACCGCACTCTCGCTCTCGACGCGGGTGTGGCCGAAGGCGCGAGGTCCACCGACGGCACGAGGCGCGAGGCGCTTGACGCCGCGTTCATCCACGGCCGAGCCGACGCGGCGGTGACGAGAGTCCGGCCCTGAGGTCCTGTACCCGTCCTCCTGATTCGCAAAAAGCACCTCTGGGGAAGGTAGAGCAGGAGTCTCGGGGCTCATCTGCCACTCCGGCACGCGCCTGCTTGAGCTCAGGTAGCGCCGGTCCGGAGCGGATGGCGAGCGCATGTGCCTGTACTGCCCCGTGTAGGAGTCCTCCAGCCTGCGCTCGAGCCTGTGCCCGAAGATGACCTCGGGAGGCGGGAGGTCTGGAGTCTCGGGGCTGTCCTGCCAAGCGGGAGCGCGCCGATCGCGGGCATGGTGGCCGCCAGCGATATGTGGCAGGGGAAGATCCTAAAAGACAATGAGGAGGAGCGCGATGATACGTAAGAATGACACGCACCTTGGGGGACGGGGTCTTCTCCCATGCCGACATTCTCCTCGTTCGGCTAGCACGTTTGATCGTCCGGACGCGCTGAAGCGGCGATCCTGTCTCATCCTCCATCGCAGACGCGCCACCATCGTCCTCCTGCACAGCTGCAGCAACGCGCCTCGACCCATCGAGGCCGAAAAACTCGTTCGCGAGCACGTTGCTGGGCGCGCGGTTGCACCCGAGCTCGGACAGATGCTGCTCGAGCGCCATCTCCGCGTCCTCCCTCTCCACCTCTTCCGCCATCGTCCACTCCTGCTCCACCTGCTGGCGCCAGCGCTCAATGTCGATCGTGTATTGGGGCTCCGACTCGACCATGCAACGCTCCTCCTCCTCCTCCATGACTTCGGGCCGGACGGGGACGGCCTGCTCGGCGGCCAGGCGACGGGGCTGACGACCACGGGGTGCCATCTCGACGATTGTGTCGGGTCAGGGGGAGTACGGTAGGCAGGTGAGGGTGGGGAACAACGATGAAAGAGGGGGGCGGACTGCGCGTCCTATAGGGTGTTCGAGAACAAAGAACGACAAGGCGGCGCTGCTGTTGCCTGTCCCGCAAGATGGCCGTGGGTGGCCGGTGGCTTGTATTGACCCGCAATAGCAGATTCGCGGGTTGGGAGCCGGATTGCAAGAGGTGTTGGTCAGAACAGCAACGCCGCCTCTCAATCGGAAGCGGAAGTCGAGAACAAGGATGATGGACGGATCGGGACAACCGCAGCCTGACGTACAACCCTTTCAAGCTCCGCACCGGCGATTGCCGCTCAGCGTCGCCATCCGGCTGTTGCCATGCTATCTTGTCTCCATTCCTCACGATGTTCAACTGGCAATTTCACGACGGACGAAGAGGGGTCTTGAGAGCTACCAGCAGTGCGATTGATAAAGACACCTTGTCGATGCTGCGGACTGAGGTCTGCTCGTATATGGTCGGCGCAAAGGAAAGTGTCTGACTTCTTTGTTCCGAGTGGCAGAGATGGCCACCGTCGATCTTCTTCGTCCCACTTCTCCTTCTTCCGAGCCATCGAGAACGCCTTGGAGCTGAGAGCGCTGTATGCGGCATGACCTCCCCCTCTGCGCACGCTCGATCTAACTTGCAGATCCGTCGAGACATACACGTATCACCATGCCTTCGTAAGCCATTTACTCTCTTTCGAGGGTTTCTTGCCTGACCATCTGACATCTAGCAGTTCCCATCTCTCGCCTTTGCAAAAGCGCCGCTCCGCGCCCGATCTCAGAGGTGGCACAGACGGGCAGCACGTAGGATGTCCATTCCATCCGGGCGCCGCCAATCTGGTCTCTTCTCCCTCTGCTCTTCGCAGAACCTCGTCAGCTCTCGGACTCCGCCGACTTTTCGTTGACACAGATGGCCGGGTACGTCTTTGTGCAGCTCACATACATGTACTTTCTTATTATTTCTCAGGCCAAACTCATCGAGGCGCCTGATGCAACCCGAACGGGAGACGCAAGATATGCCTTTCAGCTCGCTCATACGGGGATTCCAAAGCAGCCGGACGAGCGCACGTCTGTCCAGTCGACGCGTGAAGTCTCTGACTGGCTAGAGGCCCTGCCCCTTACAAGCGAATTTTCCCCTGTTCCGCCAAGCGGGCCCGACTCTCCCAACGTTCCTGGCGAACCTCTCGACGACCTTCCGCATGCAATTCCAAGCGGGAACCCAGCCCATACTCATGACGTCTCCTTCGCCGAACGTCTCTCCTCGAATCATCTTCCTGGTCCCGCATTCTCAGCCAATGCACCTCGCCGTACCTTCTCCGCAGCTTTCTTCCCTCTGAAAACCTCTGCACCCGTTCCTGCGCTCCTGGCTGCCTTCGAATGGTCGCGATCCGTACCACCTGTCCCGGCGGAGTGGGATAGTGACAGCGATAGGGAGAAGGACGCAGGTGCAGCAAACGACGCTGCTGGGGACTGCGACGAGCCCTTCACGGTGTCCGAGCACGACTCCGACACTGATAGCGCCTTCAAGCTGCGCGCGCTGAACGCCGAGATCGATTACCTCAAGCAGCTGGTGTCGGATGAGATTATGGAGCAGGCGGGCGTGGCTAGTGAGCGTCCTTCCATTCTCGACGAAGTGGTGGCGGCGAGCGATGACGAAGTGAGGTCGAGCGATAACGAAGGCGGCCATTCGCGTCATGAGAGTCATCTTCCCGCAGAGTCCGATGATGCTCAGCCCGATCAAGTCGACGATGCTTTGGCGTCGTCGAACAACAGTGAGAGTGGGATGTGCCGCGGCGTCTAGCAGCACTGAGAACGCAGGCTCTATTTGGACAATTCTCGACCCATCTGTACTATCAATTTACCCTATTCATTAATCCGCTTCCAACAACATAAATAACATAGTCGTATTCATGTTCCCTGGGCACCGGCGTCTTTGTCTTGCGTGGGGAGACGTGATGTTGTGATGAGAAGCGGCTGCGACAAATGGAAGCAATCAGAAGCAATCCAAAGAGCCTTCCAAAAAGGGGTGTACTTAGGCCGTCGAGGCTGGAATTTGTGTCTGGGCCCATATGCTCAGGATCACATTAGCAGTTCTCCACTATATCGATTCTCGTGTTAAGACTCATCTCCAAGTATTTCGCAGATTGCGTCTCGCTCATCGCATGTATACACTCCCATCGCTAGCTTACACTTCAAGCTCTGGCGACGCAGAACTCTCCACTGCGCATGTACACCCTGTCATCTGTTCCTTTTCTCCTGCTCATGATACGCTCAGCCGTCGTATGGTCAACGCCGCCCCCTGCCGCGCAGAGTCCGCAGCTAGCTTTGCTTCGAGGGCACGGGCCCCAGTAACAACTCGTGCACAATGCAAGAGCGTGGGAGTCGGTATCTCTCTGGTCCACCCCCGTATGGTAAGAAGGAGGCAGGCGAAGCCACGCGTGGCTGCACCGAGGCCACGCGACATCGGCACATAAATACCGATGTGGCGTTCCCCCACTGTTCTCTCCAACCGCCACCTCGACCTTCGCCTCCCTCTTCCTCACCGCCTTCCGCGCGTCCCCTTGCCCCCGCCGTCCATTAGACCTTTCCCCCACCTTCGCCACCGCGTCCACCATGATTTCGTATGTGTAACAGTCTGTTGTTGTGGCCTTCGCGCTGATCACATTCCTCACAGACGCGCCCCCTCCGCCCATGTCATCAACTCCTCCCGCCGCCGCGTACGCAAGTCGCGTGTACTTCGCGAGCTCAAGGGCACCGTTCTTGGTGTCACGACGGGCAACACTCCACGCGCCCGCACCGAAGAGAACAAGGAGAACATCGCGCCGTGGGACGCTTCTACTCCTACCGCCAAGAACGTGCTTGGGGTATGTCTTGCATCCTGATCCCTATGTTCATTGCACTGATCCCACCCTCTAGCCCTCCAGGAAACAGTTCTAACTCAGCACAACCATGCATGGACCGGCGCAACCTCCCTCCGCCCCTCGCGTCATATACACCATTCATGCATTTTCACGACCTTTGCATTGACGACTACTCACTGGCATCATACTCACATCCTCGCTATGCATACACCATCCACTGTTTTCCCGAGCATAATTTCCTTTTTTCTTTAAATCGCGTCTTGACGGCGTCGACTACTTTTTTCTCCGGGTTTGTAGTCTCTCATCTCTCGTCCCAGGCTATGTAATCGCGATCTCCATATACACTGCTATGTATGACCACCAGCGAAAATGTTTGTGTTCATGACCCCTCATCCGTTGCAAAAACCGCCGATGCCATTGTTCTCGAATGGGGTTATTCGACGGCGGATCAGCGGAGCGAAGCATTCCGAAAACCCGATCTGCTCGGATGCAGAAGTCCAGGTCACATCTAGCAATGGCCACTGCCGCTGTTGTTCGTCAATGCGTTCACCCTAATCGTACAGGGGCATACTCCAGGATACTCTGACTGCTTGAGGAAGATCACGGGCTGCGCACAGTTCGTGATTCACCTTCCTCGGCTTGGGTCGAAGAAGTCGTCTTCTGGCCCGTCACTGTAGGATGATTTACGATCAAGTACATCTTGCGTAGAGACCGCCGGATTTCTTATTCACCCGGGTGGGCCTACATGAGTCGTCCCAATAGCGATAAATACTGACACTAGAATACGCCTCGCCAGTCCTCAACCGAGTCGTCCCACCGCGTCAACACCTCGACGCCGTCCTCTGTGACGAGGACGGTATGCTCAGCCTGGGCAGCGCGCGCGCAGTTCTGTGGCACTCTTGTCAGCCAAGCCGCAGATGATGACTTTGTTTCGGCAGACTGAAAACTCACCTCCGTAGACGCTGTCCACCCATCCGGGAATATCCACGTGCTTGGGTCGCTCCCTTGTATCACGACGGGCTCGGAAATTGTCAGCACGAACGCGAGTCAAATATAGTTCGACAAGGCTCACCTCAATCGTGAACACATCTCCAGGCGCCATCGTCCCGGGCTCTTCGTTTAAGGAATGGTATATCCATGGAGGACGGTGGAACTCAGTGCCGATACCATGACCGCTAAAGGTGTCGGAGACGCAGTAGGGTCCGTAGGAGCGCCACCGGGGGTCGGGGCTGATTGAAGGCGAAAGGTCTGGTAAAGGCGGTGAGCGAAGGAAACAACTTAAGAGGGACTGAACGAGGAGGACCATATTGCGCTCACCTTTCCCCTTTACTACTGTGTTATATATCGACTTCCCGATACCTCTGAATGGCTTCCCAGGACCGCACGCCTCTATTCCTGCCGCGAGCGCGGCTTCCGAAGCGGCGACGAGCGCATGACCGGGCTCGTCGACATCGAGGGCACTGACTGGAAAGGTTCTGCACGTATCGCCGTGGTATCCGTCGAGGTAGACGGTGACGTCGATTTTGACGATGTCTTCGGGCTGCAGCGGTCGTCTGTCAATTACACGTAAGTAGGTTTGGCGAGGCAAGATCAAGAGAGAGAATGCGATGCTTACTTGTCTGGAATGCCATGCACCGCGACGTTGTTAACGCTGCAGCGAGAAGAAGTCATTGAGTAGGTTAGAGGCGCATTATAATTCTGCATACCTCGTGCAACACGCCTTCGGGAAGCCGCCATACCCTAGTGGGCTCGGGTACGCGCCTCGCTTGACAATGAACTTGTGCACAGCATCGTCTATGGCGACAGTGGCGACGCCGGGCTAGCAAGAACGCAATTTAGCCCTGTTACTCGCCAGATTAGTCGAAGTGAAGACACCCTGCTCACTTTAACCAAGCTCCCAGCGAATCTGAGCGTTTCCGCTGCAAGCTTACACGACGCACGTATCTTGCGCTCTTCCTCTCCTCCAAGTGAAATCAACACCCGGCTTGCACCCGCGTCAGGCAAGTCAGCGTCGGGGTCTACTTCCTCGCCATCTTGCGGGTAGTTCGGCGGCCGAGTTATTCTCTTGGGAACAGAGCGGCGCTTTATGTGGTTGACGCCGAAGATGAAGGGCTCCTGGGGAAGAAGGATCTGGTAGTTGCCGAAGTCAGGTTTGTCTTGCTCGAGAAGGCTGGTATCTTGGTCTTCGTCGAATGGATCATATGGTGGTGAGTTTCTTCGAGCAGAAGTGCGTAGAGATCTAATTGAGGAAGGTAGTAGACCTGTTGAAGCATATCCGGGAATGCGGGTCGAGCAGGAAGGCCGTGTCCGAAATGGCAAGGTGGAGAAGCACGCAGCCGGTCCACCGCAACTGTAAGTACGCGGAACGAAGCGGAGCTCGTTCAAGGCAGCACCAGGTTTGCAGCTCGAGAGATTAAGACGGCGTACAGCACGGTGCATTGTCGAGCACGTCGAGCGGTGACCCGTGACGGTTGGGAAAGAGCGTGTTCCACCACGTGCGCCATTATTGCTGGTCGGCGATCAAACGTTCAGTCGCGTGCGCGCACGTGGAGTAACTGCCGGCAGCACTGAGCTTGAACTGAACGTTCACCAAGCTGCTGCCAGTGTGCTTCAGAACAACCTTCGCAAAGTCTCTTGTTCACGCCTGCTTGATTATACTGAAACATGGTGACCCGCGTGCTGCCGCTTTCTCTGTACATCGGCTTGGAGAAGTCTCCATCAAGCTATTCGCCGGCACCCCTCTCGAGGCCTTACACTTGGCCTGCATCCCTCATCTCCGACAGAAAACTCTTGCTTCTACATGTATGCTCCTTTGATCAAGTTGTACGGCTACATGTCCAACGGCCTTGCGTGGGGGGCCGACTTCGCTTCTTGTCAATCACCCAAGCGTAGAGCCTGCTAACGTACCCGCAGTTTGCTCGACCAGCCGACAGCCGAGCTATTACATCTGCTTGAACGTGCCGCCTGATCCGCGTCGATCCTATTGAAACGAGCTACAAGACACCGTGCCCGAGACGAAACACTAACTGCGAGGTGTTGAGGCTTCCGGAACAGTCGTACCCACCATCGCACCGAGCTGTTCGTGGAGCAAAAAATTGCGCATAAAAGCCTGGCTGGTCACTGCATCTGACTCAGTACACATCCATTGTCTTCTCTGTCCTTTGAGGTACGCTATTATGTTCGTGCTCTCATCCCCTTGCTTACAAGACGATCCTCGCAGCCAAGCTACTACCACCATGCGCTTCACTCTCACCTCCATCTTCACCACCCTCGCGCTCGCCCTCGGCGCCTCTGCCGCCGGTTGCGACTGCTTTGACTACACCAAGGGTTCCTGCAAGCAGTGGTCGAGCAACTTGATGAACGACGATCTCGTGGCGCACTGCAAGGACTCGGGCATTAAGACGTACGGCGTGTGCTGCGACTCGTGCCGTGAGTGTTCCTAGTGTCTATCCCCGTATGCATGAGATAAATGACTGACGAGCTCTTACAGCGGGCAAGTATGGGTGCCCTTGAGCGCGCCATAGAGTGAGAGGGTGTCGGAGTGTAGTGCGAGGCTTGCACAGATCGCAATACCGGTGAAGCAGCTGAGGACCACGTTTCCGGTAGCGGAATAGATCATACTGGCTACAACAAACATAATACATCGTACATCGTACCTGGAAAGTCCTTCTCCGAGCATGCAGCAGTACACACAACCAACGTCACGGAGCCCAAATCTAGCTCGATTCGAAAGCCATCTCGCCTGCGAGCGGCGCGCCAGTGATACCAGACTTGACCACTCTCAACACGCGCATTCGCCCGCCTGAGGTCCACCGCCTGTAGATTGACCACCTTGCCCCTGAACTCGAATTGGTGTGCCACCAGAGTGGCTCCTGCGGTTGGGCCTGGTGGGGCGGCTGGGGCCTCTTGAAGGGGGCGCTCGCTTGCCGCGGACGGAGGGCGATTCGCGATGACCGCTGGCGGAGGACGCGCCGTTGCTGCTTGGAGCGTTCGCTTTCTCCAGGATCTTCTCGACGAGCTAGTGGCCGGCCGTGTCAATATCACGCGCGCGCTGGCAGTATGACCACCAGAGCACAGCACGCACCTTCTCGAACACCCCCTTCACCCCCTCCGCCGTCTTCGCGCTCGCCTCAACGTACAAGCTCTCCATTTGCCTAGCGTACGCAGCGCCCTCGTCCTTGGAGATCTGCGCGAAGAGTTCGAGTTATCAGCCGAGGTCGTTTAAGCATCGTCAAGAGTCCAACGCACCTGTCTCCCTTCTGTCTTGTCGACCTTGTTGGCCACGAGGATCTTCACCACCTCCGAGGGCGCGCGGCTTTCGACGTCGGCATACCTGAGCGAGCGTATGGGTGAGCACTTCGTCGTCACCCGCGCCCTAGCCTCCGCTCGGAGGGGCGAGGGAGAAGAACGAGGAACAGCCGACTAACCACTGCCGCAGAGCCTCGAACGAGCCTCGGTCTGCTACGTCGTAAACTGCAGACGACCGTGTCAGCATGCAAGTCTCTCCAGATCGGCTAGTCGAAAATGCACCAACCCAACACGACACCCTGCGCACCCCTATAGAAATTATTGGTGAGGGAGCGGAAGCGCTCCTGACCGGCGGTGTCCTATGGAGTAAAGCGTGAGTATTGAAGGTCAGGGCTTGCGCATAGAGAGCGTTGTGCTTGCGCCGCTCTCAAGTGAACCCACTCACCCAGATGCTTAGCCTGACCTTCCGTCCGTTGACGGTCATCGCGTGTAAGTGGAAGTCCATGCCGACGGTGACGGCTGTGTTCGCATTGAAGGACTCGTCCGTGTTGAGGAAGCGGAGGAGGAGGGAGGATTTTCCTGAGTGTAAGAGTGAGCTTGATTCGGGAGCGATGAGAGTGGTGGCGAGGGGAGATCGGCGACAAGGGGTTGAACGCAGGATGATACCAGTTGCGAGGGATGGCCAAGCGCCGCGCTTGCTATATCTACGCACCTACTTGTGAGTTTCCAATGAGCAGGATCTTGACGTCCTTCGTGGAAGGGTCCTGAGACCTGGAAGCGGCCATGGGCGTAGCGTGAGTGCTGAGAGGCGATGATAGTGGTCTTGAAGTCGTGGATGCTCGAGATCGGCAGCGGAGCCTGTAGGAGTATGATCTGAGGATATCTAACGCAGGTCGTCAAGAAGAGTGCTGGAGATGGGCGAGAGAAATCGAGAGGCGATCCCTAGCGCTCGCTTGACGGCCAGGAGAAAGCCAGGTAATTAGTAGTTCGAGCAGCACGGCAGGCGCACCCCCAACGCATGGTCTCGGCATGTCAGGTACGGCATGCCGTTGCTTCCTGGTAGTCGTCGCTATACTCAAGGCTATACAAGTATCTAAGAATCGAAGTACCGATAGCCGCCTTACGCATCTGCCGCTAGTCCAAGCGCGAAGCTCCGCGAATATTGTCGCGACGGTCCTCCTTGGTTTCTTCTGACAGTCGCGAGTCTGCAAGTTTTTGAGAGTTGTATACACGTTACCCCGCAGCACGTCGAAAATGCGTATAATCGACGATGGGAGCTCGCAGCAAGCGCCGACCGACCATATTCCGCACACGTGCCACATTGATGGTCAGATCAACAACACACGTGGCTGAATGCATTCTTGTCGCCTACCGTCATGGCCCGTTTGAATTCCCGACGTCTACGAATACCTGACTAAAGGGACGTGTATAGATATGGCGCTCTCTTCACAAAGCTCGAAGAAACGCTAGGACCCCGATGCGGAGCAAAGCCTGGACCCGCGCGACAACGCTCGGTTTTGTTGGGGAACATGCCTCGCCAACGTTGAAGGACAACTTATGCGGACTTGCACGAGATTAGTGCTAGTTTATGGCCGGCCTTGGCATCTGAGCAATGCCACACATGTCGCGCGCGAATGCGACGGACCCTGCATCGATCCCACCATTCCTTACCAAATCCGGCGACGGTGATGTTTTTGTTGGTCGGTGCTTGCCTCGTGAGTACATTATTGGCTGCTATGTTGTACAAGCATCTACATAGTGCGTGCTTATGTCGTCGCCATATGAACGGACTCAATATATATATGCGGATGGCTCGTTTGGGCAACTTGCTCTCGACCTCCACTTGCCCTCCGCTTGCTGGTCGTCGCGTCCCTTCTTCTCTACCAGTCCGCCGCCAAAACTTCGTCGCGCTCCACTCTCATCGCTGACTATTGCAGTTGCTACTCGAGCCTGTTTGCCACTGAACTAATTCCCTCGCCGACTAACTAACCTCATCTCACCATGTTCTTGTGAGTCCCAATTTTGTCTTCGCCCGCGAGTTATCTAACCAGTCGATCGCCCCCAGACCCGCTCTCATGCCGCAAAATGGCCCCTACATACTCCAAAACCCCTTCATAGCTCAGAACAGCCCTTACATGCCCCAAAGCTCGCCTCTTCGTCCCCGCCCCGGCCCGTACAAGACGCGCAGCTACTCCAATCTTCAAGGTCAAGAGAACCTGCCGTCTCTCGGCGCGCCGTTCGTCCATCAAAAGTTGGCGCCCTTGGTCCACCAGACCTCGGCGCCCTTCGTCGCTCAGAATTTGGCTCTCTCCGCCAACCAGAAGCAGGTTCCCTTCGTCACTACCCAATTGGTGCCCTTCGTCGCCCAACACTCGGTGCCCTTCGTCAACCAGAATGCGATGCCCCTGGTCGTCAATCAGGCGCCTCTCGATCCACGCTTCTCCCCTCACAAGATGCGAGGCTATCCTGGTGCTCGTGATCAAGAGAATGCTCCGGCGCCGGTGCCCTTCGTCAACCCACCGTCGGTGTCCTTCGTCGACCAGAAGACCTCCCTCTTCGTCGACCAAAACTCGCATATCTGCGTCGACCGCACTGGACGCCTCTTCGACGATCGGACGCCGTCTTCTTACGCCGGTCGGGATGTCTCCTGTCCTCGTAGTGAGGATAAACTGGCTGCCCTCAAGTCGCTCGGACTCGGGTGGCCTACCTCGACGCCACTTGGAAACAAATCCTCTTCTTCGACGTTGCTCGGCCATTCCTTCGATATGTCGGGGCTTCAACTGCGCAAGGCGAATACTCTAGAGTCGCACGAACACTCCTCTAAGCCTCACGACCACGGCTACCACCCCTACAAACAATCCACTCTTCAACCCTCGCACACGTCCGGACCTCAACCCCGCAAACGCTCCGCCCTCCACTCCGTCCAAGCCCACGTGCAGCAAAATCTCAGGCCGGCGGCTAGTCGGGCGGTCCGGTACACGACGCCGGCGGTGGTCTACGCGCCCGCGGGCGCGGCGCATGTGCCGTTTGTCGCGGATACGGGCTCGTCGTGGGAGGATGAGGTGGAAGTGGGATATTGTGGGGAGGTTGCGGCCGAGAACCCGATGGACGAGGACGTTGTCGTCGGCGCGGAGGATGAGACGCTCAACGACGCCGAGTCTTGCGCGGCCGTGTATCGCGAAGCCCGGTTTGGCGAGGGTGAATCTCGCGACAATGCACTCTCTTCGTCCTTCGATGTGGCGTCCTGGTCCTGGGTAGGCTCAGATGGCACGGAAACCTCACTCGATGGGACTGTCGACGGCGACGATCCCTGCGACGGCGACGATCCCTGCGACGGCGACGATCCCTGCGACGGCGACGATCCCTGCGACGACTACGATACCGATGAACCCTGCGGCGCGGTCTACGACGACGGACTCTGCGTCCCGCGCGAGGTCTGCAATGACGAGAACCTCATCTATCACGACGAGCCAGGCGGCGCGGTCGACAACTACGGCTACGGCGCGGCCGACACCTACGGCTCCGGCGCGGCCGACAACTACGGCTACGGCGCGGTCGACACCTACGGCTCCGGCGCGGTCGACAACTACGGCTACGGCGCGGTCGACACCTACGGCTACGGCGCGGTCGACACCTACGGCCTCGGCGCCAACAACATCACCACTGTCACCTCCAACAAGGCCGACGACCCTTGGGCTATCATCGCGGACCTCAACTTCGCAATCCCCGACTACAGCAAGGCTGCTTCTCGCGGTGCCGACGGGAAAAGCTCTTCCCGTGGCGCCGCCGTTCAGAGCTCTCCCCGTGGTGCCAACGTTCAGAGTTCTTCCCGCGATGCCAACATTCAGAGCTCTTCCCGTGGTGCCGCCGTTCAGAGCTCTTCCCGCGGTGCCGCCGTTCAGAGCTCCCCCCGTGGCGCCGACGTTCAGAGCTCCCCCCGTGGCGCCGACGTCGAGGCTCCTTCTCGTGACGCCGACAACATGACCCTCGACTTCAAAAAGGACCACTCCGCGATTACGCCTAAGGACCACTCTGCGATTACGCCTAAGGACCACTCCGCGATTACGCCTAAGGACCACTCCGCGATTACGCCTAAGGACCACTCCGCGGTTACGCATAGCATCACCTACAACACCACCCAAACCACAGCCTGCAACACCACCCAAACCACAGCCTACAACACCGCCGACGCCTACGGGTACGCCGCGTTCGACGCGCGGCTCGCCGATTTGGAGTCCTGCGAGGCGTTTGGGGAGGACATTGACGCTGCGTTGGCGGGGTGTGCGAGCTTCGATGCGGCGCTGGCGGGGTGTGCGAGCTATGACGCTGCGGCGGAGGGGTGTGCGAGCTATGACGCTGCGGTGGAGGGGTGTGCGGGTTGGGAGGAGGCTGGGCGTGCGAGCGGCGACACGCTCGCTGGGGTTGCGAGCTTCGACGCGCTCACTGGGTGTGCGAGCGGCGACACTGCGCACATGGGGATGGGAAGTTGGGAGGGGGAGCTGGACGTGGGGCGCTGGGAGGGGGAGCTGGACGTGGGGACTTGGGAGGGGGAGCTGAGCGTGGCGAGCTGGGAGGGGGGGAGGTGGGAGGGGGAGGCTGCGATGAGTTTGTGGGAAGATGAGCTCGAAAGCGTCTGGGATGATGAGCTCGAAAGCGTCTGGGATGATGGCGAGGAGGGAGGGGAGATGGACGGCGCCGAAGAGATGAGGGACATGGACGGCACCGAGGAGGTGAGGGAAATGGACGGCGCCGAGGAGAACGGGGCCAAGGGCGGTGACGGTGGTGAGGGAGGGGCAGGGGAAGGGGGCGCGGGTGGAGGTGACAGCGGCGCGGGTGGAGGTGACAGCGGCGCGGGTGGAGGCGACGCGGGTGACAATGCAGAGGGAGGGGACAATGGCGACGGGAAGAACAGCGAGCAAGGCAACTCGGGCAGCGGCGACCACAAGGAAGAAGTCTCCGAAGACCAAGAGGAGGGCGAAGACGAAGAAGACCGCGAGGACGAGGACGAAGACGACGGCGAGGACTACCGCAAAGCCGAAGGCGAGGACCATCACGAGGCCGAAGGCGAGAACGACTCGGGCCACAAAGAAGACCGAACTTCCGCTGAACACAAGACCAAAGAGCGTCAGCCCGGCCCCGCAACTACGTCCATCCCTTGCTCACAACCCGCCTCGCCCATCCCTCGCACCCAACCCGCCGACTCCTTCACCGCCGCCCTCGACGCACCGCAACCCCGAGGCATCGTGGGAGGCGAGATTGGACGAGTGGTACGCGCCGCTTCGGGGGTAGGTAGTGGACAGGGTAGCAGGTAGTAGAGGGGGTAGGTAGTAGAGAGGGTAGGTAGCAGAGAAGGTAGGTAGAAGAGAGGGTAGGTGGAAGAGAGGGTAGGTAGTAGAGAGGGTAGGCAGAAGAGAGGGTCCCGAAATTATGATGAACAATCTCGGGCGCTAGGGTGAGGACCAAGCCAGAAGCGAGGGATGTTGATTAGCGTGCGAGGGATGTTGATTAGCATTATACATATAAACACCCACTAGGATATAAACACCTACTACAACCTATGAGTGACATGAAATGAGTAGACAGCCACTTGGGATAAGCAATGAGGCATCCACAAACTGAACACACTTGATTTGATAGTCGCCGAGCGAACATGTCCCACCTCCTCACATCCAACAACTGTCTTCCTCCCTCGCCCAATTCTTCCTTCCTCGCTCTCCGACCCTTCCTTCCTCGCTCTCTCTGTCCTCACCCTCCGATCCTTCCTTCCTCGCTCTCCGATCCTTCCTCCCTCGCCCTCCGATCCTCCTTTCCTCGCCCTCCTTCCTTCCTCGCCCTCGCCCTCTCCTTCCGCCCTCGAAAACAAAACATAGCTTCATACCCAGTAAAAAGGAACTGCAGATATGGGTAATGGACCTCCTCGGCGGGGAGTCGAACCCCGCTCTCCCGCGTAGCGAGCGATCGAACAATGCATGACAGGCGGGTGTACTAGCCGATATACTACCGAGGATGTGCTTGGTGGTGTACTACCGAGGATGTGTTGAATCGGGGACGTGCTAGATTCTGGAGGCGTTGGATGAGTGTGTGCGCGCTGGATGACCGAGCGCAATGGCACCGACGAGACGCATCCCAGCATTGAAGAGGCGCATAATAAAACCGACCAGGCGCGCGACGACCGGGTGCGCGATGGCACCGACGAGGCGCGCGATGGCACCGACGAGACACACACTAGCATCAACGAGGCGCATAACAGCACCGACGAGGCGCATGATAGCGCCGGCGAGACGCATAACAGTACCGGCGAGACGCGCACTGGCAATTCCACGACACAGGAATCCAAGGACGGACACAGAAACAGATGATAGACCAACGCGCAGAGAAGCAGATGATAGACGAACGCGCATGAGAAGAAATCAGATATTATACAGTCCAGACAGTCGTAAGTCATATCGTAGAAAGAGCGTTCAAACCATCCCCCCTTCCACCCCTTCCCCCTTCCCACCTCCCTTCCCTCCTTAACACCCCACACCCACCCTAACACCCACACCCGCCCTCATCCCTCGCGCCATTCCCACTCGCCTCATCCAGCCGGACGACCTGCACGCCGCCGGGCACGCCGCCGCGGCCGTGGTCGGTTCTGGAGAAAGGTGTTGGTCAGTCGACAGGATGAGGCCCGTGTACGCGCCACTCGACAGGAGCTCGAGTAGGCTCGCGCGCGCGCTCGGTCGACAGGAGATGCCCCGCATATGCGCCAGCGTCGCATACACGCATATGCGCCACGACCGATGCCTCAGCGCGCCACGACGGATTCCTAAGCTCACCTCGTCTCGCCCGCGCCCACCAATCCCCCGTCCTCGAGAATCTTCTCGATGAGCTGCAAGCGAGCGTCAGTGGACTGATTGATCTCGGCGAAACCCTCTTCATTGCCAGCCCCATCGACGCCCTTTCCTGGTGGCACGCCATCGATGCCCTTTCGCAGCAGCGCGCCGTCGACGCCCTTTCGCAGCAGCGCGCCGTCGACGCCCTGTCGTAGCGGCGCGCCATCGACGCCCAGTTCTAGCGGCGCGCCGTCGGCGCCCTCCTCCTTCTCCCTCGACGCCCTCCTCCTTCAGCGGCGGCGCGCGCCCGACTAGCTTGGTGCGCGCCTCATACCCTCGACACACAACGCGACGCTCGACACACAGCGCGATGCTCGACACACAGCGCGATGCCCGACACATAACACGAAGCCTCGCTGGGGGCGAAGTGCGCCACAGACGGCGGTAGGCGTGCTCCGCAGAAACACGCTCCCTCGCGCGCTTCCCCCCCCCCCTCCCAACACCCAACCCCCCCCTCTTCGCCTTTAACACCTAAACGTCCCCTCCTTTTCGCCTTCAACACCGCCCTCCCTCCCCACCAAGAAACGTCCCCCAAAACCCACCTTCTCGAACACCTCCCGCACGCCCTCCGCCGTCTTCGCGCTCGCCTCGACGAAAAGACTGCCCATCCTGGCCGCGAAGGCCGCGCCCTCGGGGGTGGGGACCTGCGTGGGGGTGGGTGGGTTAGTGTTGATACTTTTTATTTGGAAGACGAAGGGCAGCGGGATGGGGGATGAAGGGAGGGTTGGTGGGGGACGAAGGGCAGTGGGGAATTGGGGGGGGGGAGGAGTGAGGAGTGGGGAGGGGGGAGGGTGGGTTAGTAAGGGTGATTGGGGAGGGTTAGTGAGCCCGAGGGGGGATGGGCGGTGGGGGGAAGGGGTGTGGGTTTTGGATGTTGGGGTGTGGTACGAACGAAAGTGCAAAAACCCCACTCACCTCCCGCCCGCCCGCCTTATCCACCTTGTTCCCGACGAGCACCCTCGCGGCCGAGGCGGGGACGTAGGTCTCGAGTTCGGCGTACCTGGGGGGTGGGTGAGTTTTTCGTGTGCGGTGGGTTAGTTTTTAGAGGGGGGTGAGGGTGGGTGACAGCGCACGGAGAGGCGTGACGATGAGAGAGCGCGAGAGCGTAACGATGATGTGCGCGAGGGCGTAACGATGAAAGCGCGAGGGCGTAATGATGAAAGCGCGAGGGCGTAACGATGAAAGCGCGAGAGCGTTGAAAGCGCGAAAGCGATGATGATGTGCGCCGTGCGCGCAACGATGAAAGCGGGGGCGTAACAATGAAAGCGGGGGCGTAACGATGAAAGCGGGGGCGTAACGATGAGAGCGTGAGGGCGTAACAACGGAAGAGCGGGGGGGCGTAACAACGGAAGAGCGGGGGGGCGTAACAACGGAAGAGCGGGGGGGCGTAACAACGGAAGAGCGCGAAAGCAATTATGATGCAAGAGCGCGAGGGCGAAGAGAAGCGTATGCGGGTGGAAGGTGCGTATAGGGTGGGGGGTGGGGGGAGCGAGGAGGGGAGGGGGCGAGGAGGAGGGAAGGGGGGCAGAGGAGGGGAGGGGGGAGGGAGGATGAGGGGCGAAGGGAAGAGGGGTAGGGGAGCAGAGGAGGGGAGCAGGGATGCGAGGGAGGAGGTAAGGAGGAGGGGGCGAGGAGAGAGGAGCGTGAGGGAAACAAAGTGTGTGTAAGTCGTCAGGCGATGATGATGTGCGCGAGAGATGGCGACAATGCACGCCGTGGGCGAGAGATGAAGAGGGACAGAGGGGAGGGTGTGAGGACGAGGGAGGAGGAGAGGTGGGGACGAGGGAGGGGAGGGGGGACAAGAACACGTCATCGGCGCTCAGCACCACGCCAGACGCTCAGCACCACGACGCCATCAGCGTTCAGCACCACGACATCATCGGCGCTCAGCACCACGACGCCATCGGCGCTCAACACCACGACACCATCGGCGCTCAGCACCACGACACCATCAGCGTTCAGCAAAAAACCAAAACAAAGGAAAGGAATATCAAGATATGAACCGCCCCACTCACCACCGCGGCAGCGCCTCGAACGACTCTCGGTTCGTCACGTCGTAGACTGGGGGTGGGGTGGTTAGTGGGGGGTATGGGTCATGGGCGGGAGGGGGAGGCGGGCGAGAGGGGAGGCGTGAGGAGAGGGAGTGGGAGGGGGGGTGGCGTGGGTAGGGGGAGGAGATGGAGAGGCAAGGAAGTCGGGAAGGCGGGCGAGAGAGGGGAGGCGAGGGAGGGGGGGCGAGGGTAGGTGTGAGAGGGAGGGGGGAGCATGAGAGAGGGAAGGCGGCCGAGAAAGTTGGGAAGAGGGAAGCATGAGAGAGGAGGCGAGGAAGGGGGGGACCGAGAGAGGAGGCGGGGAAGGGAGGGGTTGGAGAGGTGAGGAGGGGCTATCGGGAGAAGCCTATCAATACTCACCCAACACGACGCCCTGCGCGCCCCGGTAGTAGCTCGCGGTGATGGTCCGGAAGCGTTCCTGGCCGGCGGTGTCCTGGAAGGGGGTGTTAGTGGGGGGTGTGGGGAAGGGTGTGGGGAAGGGGGAGGGGAGGGAAGGTGGGGAGGGAGCGCAATATGATAACAAACGCTTGAAGAACGGAACAAACGCTTGGAGGACGAAAAAACGCTCGAAGAACGGAACGAACGCTCGAAGAACGGAACGAACGCTCGAAGAACGGAACGAACGCTCGAAGAACGGAACGAACGCACGCAGAGCACCCAAACCCAAAAACACACCATAATTTGCAGAAGAACAACCACGCACCCAAATACTCAACTTGACCTTCCTCCCCCCCACATCCATCTTGTGCACGCGGAAGTCGACGCCGATGGTGGCGGTGGCCTCGTCCTCGGGCAGCCACTGCTCGTCGGAGAAGCGGAGGAGGAGGGAGGATTTGCCTGTTAGAGTTTTTTTTTTGGTGGGTGGGGGGGGGAGTTTGATATTTGGTGGGGGTTGACGAGCAGCGGGTAGAGGTGGTTTTTATTTAGAGTTGTGACGAGCGGAGGTTAGAGAGGTATTGGAATTTGTTGGGGGACGGGGAGGGGGGGAGTGTTTTGATTTGTTGGGAGACGGGGTGGGGAAGGGGGTAGTGAGGAGGGGTTAGTGAGGAGGAGGGGAGTGGGGGTTGACGAGCGGGAGGTGACGGTGCACATTTGTTGAGATGAGATGAGGTTGTAGATGAGAGCGGTAGACGTGGGGTGCGAGTGGCGAAGGACGCAGGATGGTCAGCACAAACTCGCGCGCGCGCAAGTCAACGCACGCACCGACGGACGAGTTGCCGATGAGGAGCAGCTTGACGTTGAGGGGCGCGTCCTGTGCGGTGGGTGCGGGCGGCATGGTGGGCGTGTGGAGGGTAGTGGCTTGCGGGTTGAAGGAGGTGGCTTGTGGCAGTGGCGGTGACGGTGGTGGTAGTGGGTGTATGCGTGGATGGATCGTCGATCGTCAGAGGAGTGCTGTGTGGGCGGATAGGGCGTGCACGGATGTGGGCGGTGGGCACGAGGGACACGGGCGGGGTTGCGGTCGATGGGACGGACGGCGTGCGGCAGTCGGTTGGGCAGGCGACAGGAAGCGGTCGGTCGAGTAGGTGACACGAAGCGGTCAATGGAGCGGAGGCGAGTAAGCTCTCGATGTCGCACACGGGTGAGGCAGACGCACGTACGAGGTAGGCCTGGCTGGGTGCGCAAGCACTGTCGGATGGCTACGAGGTCGGTCGATCGGGTGCGAGCACGGATGGGTCGACTGCACGCACGGTCGGATAAGAGGCGGTCGCTCGTCGTCAAAGTCGGTAATGTCAAGCGCGTCTTCACTACTCGGCAGCCAGGATCAAGCGCGACAACAGGAGGTCCGAAGACGGACAAGCAGAACCAAGCGCGACAACAGTCAAGCACAAGGCAGGATCAAGCCAGACAGGCGCCGCCCAGCAGGCGCGCCCCCGCCGCGTGATGGCCGCGTGCGTAATGACGTCATGGGGCGCAAGCCCGTCATGGGACATCGGGCGAGCGCGTCGACGCGGAGGTGGGGGTGGCGCGTCTGTGCGATAGCTTCTCGCGCTCATCGACGCGTCGACGGTTATACTTGTCTGACCTCTGACTGGTGCGCTGAAAACCACCGGACTTCTCCTTCCAGGATACTGCCCTTCCACACGCCGTCTTCCCGCGCCCGTCCACGCTGAACCTCGTCATCCCGCCCACTACCCCCTCACATCCATGAATCTTATATGCGCCGCCAAACAATCCGCCAGCTCTCTAGACTGATATCCACCCCGCGCGTCCTATCTCTATTCGATGGCCGAAGCCAAAGCACGGCAATATCTCCTTCCCTCTGGCCGCGCCGTATCCTTATTTTTCGCCCTGCCCTGCCCCGCGCATCGTGAAAACACGATGCTGGATGGCATCGACCTTCCTTCCCTTCTTCCCCCACCTCCCTCTTCCCCTTCTTCCCAGCACGCCCTCCTCTTCTTTGCTCTCTTAACTCCTGCCCTTTCTTCGCCCCTCCCTGATCCCCCCTCCCTCCCTGCCCCACCCGTCCCTTGCCTCCCACCCCCTCCTCGATCTCTGAAGATCTAATGGTCAGTTTGATCATGCCTGTTCCGTCCACCCCTCCACCCCTTCTCCTCTCCCTATCTTCTTCGCTCCATCCTCTCCCTGTCTCCTTCCACTCCATCCCCGCCCGGTTCTGAATCCTATGCCCTTCCATCTGCTATACTCCCTCAACCCTCCCCCTCCATCGTTCCTCACCTCGCAACCCACAGACAAACACCTACAGATGGGCGTCGCTTTGGGTGTTACGTTCTCGCGTCCCCTCTGGGCCAGGACGCGCTCGGCGTCCCCTCTGGGCCAGGACGCGCTCGGCGTTCGCCTTGCGCATGGCGCGCCTGCTAACGGATCCGCGGAGACAGCAGATGAGCGGTGGTGTATTGACCAGCCTTCGCTAGTGCAACGCATTGACCAACCTTCGCTGATGCATTGACGAGCTTTTGCTGATGCATTGACCAACCTTCGCTGATGCATCGACGAGCTTTTGCTGATGCGTCGACGAGCTTTTGCTGATGCATCGACGAGCCTTCCTTCGTCCCTCTGGCGGGACCTTCGCAGCTCGGACGCAAGCTTCGCAGCTCGGACGCAAGACATCAAGAGGGACACGCTCGAGGCGTGTGCGAGACGCTCGAGGCGTGTGCGAGACGCTCGGGGCGGGTGCGATACGCTCGGGGCGTGTGCGATAGGCTCGAGGCGCGTGCGATACGCTCAAGGCGTGTGCGATACGCTCGGGGCGGGTGCGGTACGCTCGAGGCGGGTGCGATACGCTCGAGGCGGGTGCGATACGCAAGAGGCGTGTGCGATACGCAAGCGTCGCAGTTCGAACGCAAGCGTCGCAGTTCGAACGCAAGCATCAAGAGGGCGCAAGCATCAAGAGGGCGCACTTGAAGGATCCGGTTGGGTCGCATGCTCGCTTGGAGGGGGGTACGACACGCTCGGGGCGCGCGCATACGCTCGAGGGATGCGCGATGCAGTCGAGGGATGCGCGATGCAGTCGAGGGATGCTCACGATATCGTGCTGCTGATGAGCGTCGAAAAAGATGTGCGCGATGAGAATGGACCCCGTCCGCAGACCGATCTCCGCGCTCGTCGTCTGCAGCCCTGGTCCAACTTCTCCGTCCTGCCCTAGACGGGCTTCTCCGTCCTGCCCTGCACCAGCTTCTCCCGCGATCCTGGCTGATGCTCATATGTACGTCCGCGCTGGGTTTCTGATGTTATACTACATTGACTTCTTCTGCCACCTCCCCCTGACCCGCACCCGATACGGTATACATTTCTGCCCCCCCCCCCGTCCCCCCCTAAGCCCGGCCCCTCTTTCCAATGAACCTCGTTCGTCGTCCTCTCTTTCTAATCAACCTCGTTCGCCGTCTCCTCTCTTTTCCAAACCTCATTCTCTCTGCCGAACCTCATTCCCTCTCTTCCCAGTTCAACCTACCCCATCCTTCCCCCCCTACCCCAACCACCCCCTCACCTCCTCATCCTCCAACCCCCTCACCCTCACGCCCTTCCCTTCCAGCTCCTTCTCCAGCGCGGCCAACTTGTCGGGCGCGGGGTCGACGGCGCGCGTGGCGTCGCGGACGAGGACGACGTCGAAGCCTGGGTGGGCCGTCAGACTGTCTGCAGAAACTTCTGGGGATTTAGATCATCTGCAGGCTCCTGGCGATCTGGGCCGCCTGCAGGCTCCTGGCGATCTGCCTCCTCCTGGAGACCTTGACCTTTCGAAGGACATAGAAACGCTGAACCGCGTACCTTCTGCGCTCGCGTCCAGCGCGGTCGCCCGCACGCAATAATCATAGGCCAAGCCGACGACGTAGACGTGCGTTATGCCTTTCTCCCCCTTCTGTTCCACCCCTTTCTCCCCCTTGATTTCCACCTCCTTCAGCCTCCGCGCCAGCCCGCTATCCTCTACCTTTAGCGGGTCGTAGAACGCGGAGTACATCTCCACGCGCGGGTCGGTGCCCTTGTCGAGGATGAGGTCGACGCCTTTGGCGGAGACGAGGTCGAGGTCGACGCCTTTGGCGGGGACGAGGTCGAGGTCGACGCCTTTGGCGGGGATGAGGTCGACGGCTGGTGCGTTTCCCCTTCCTTCTTCGTTCGCGTTATCGACAGCAGAAGAGGCTGAGAGATTGAGGCCGGCGACGAGCTCTGCGCCCCAGGTGTGTTGCACGCAGTGCGTGGGCCAGAGGCGCGTCGTATACGCGCGCCGTGTCGGGTTGGGGGCGTCCTTCCCGCTGTCCCCACCCCCTTTCCCGACGTCTTCGGGGTGCGTGATGGTCACGGAGTCGGTGAAAGCTTTCTTCCCCTGTCCTCCGTCAGTATCTTGTTCAACACCAGCACGAAGGGAACACTCGACACCATCACGAAGGGAATATCCGACACCAGCATGAAGGGAATATCCGACACCAGCACGAAGAGAACACTCGACACCAGAATGCAAGAACATACCTCATGATTCTCCGCAAACGACACATGCCCCCTCGGGTGCCAGTCCCGCGTCGCCACCCTGTACACGAACGCAGGCCGCGCGAGGAGGCCGTTGATGGCGGGGATGATGTCGCGGCCGCCGGGGACGGGGAGGGCGCCGGGTGGGATGTCTGAGGGAGGTTGGGGGTCAGACGAGGGGGAGGAGGGACAGATGAGGGAGGGCGTTGGGTATGTCTGAGGGAGGCCGTTGGGTATGTATGAGAGAGGTCGAGGGCCAGATGAGGGGGAGGAGGGTCAGATGAGGGGGAGGAGGGAAGGGCGAAGAGAGAGGTTGAGGGTCAGATGAGGGAGAGAGGGCGCGGAAGGGACGAAGCAGAGGGAGGCAGACGTGGATGAGGAAAGCGAGGACGAAGCGGAGTGAGGCGAGGTGGAAGGGATGGATGCAAGTGGAAGTGATGGATTCGAGTCGTAATGATGCATTCGCATACGGCCGATTGGGCGCGTACGACGACCGATTGGCGCGTACGACGGATCGGGAATACACCGTCTCACAAGATGACATATACACCGTCTCGCAAAGTGACAAAACACACTCACCACCATCCCCCGGGCAGAAATCGTTCTGCATGTCGATCACGAGCAGCGCGGGGCGGAAGGGAGTGGGTGGGGGCATGTTGGGATAGGGCCGCGGCTCGAGCGCAGAGAGGTATGTTTTCGCAGGAAGGTATGCTTTGGCAGACAGGTATGTTTTCGCAGAGAGGTATGTTTTCGCAGAGGTATGTTTTCACAGGAGGTATGTTTTCGCAGAGTGGTTGCTTGGGCAGAGTGGTTGCTTGGGCAGCGGACTCGGAGTCGCAGAACGTCGAAACGAGAGCGCAGACCGACAAGGGTCGGAGAGATCAGGTTGCCCAGTGGTTCAGACACAAAAATCAGACAAGTTTGATTCTGTATTCCTGATCAGACACCCGTCGGGTTGGGAAAGCAGACACGCGTCGGATTGGGAAAGCAGAAAGTCGGGTTGCGCGAGCAGAGCAGGCCGAGCGATATGGCAGCCGAAGGCAAGTCGTGCTACGGTGGCTGGAGGCAACCCTTGCTATCGCCCGACTCGAACCTTGATAAGCGCGCGTGATCGTGGGAGTGGAGGAGGGCTGGACGGCAGTGGAGGCGGGTTCGAATCTTGCGCTCTCCAGCCACCTGGCTTCACCGCGCCCCTTGGCCTTGGCGTCTGTCGTGAGCCTTTGCGTCTATCGTACTCTTTCTGCTCTTGCAACGCTTGGACCCCTCCTACCAAGGCTTAGTACTCTTTTAACGGCGTTTACAGACCTCCGACCAATTTTACGGCCCTTTCCTGAAACTTGCGCCACTCATTGTCAAGTTCGCTTTCTCTGGACGTATGTATTCGCGTCGCGCCTGATGTACTCGCTTGTCGCTGAATGCACTCGCCTCGCGCTACCGCCAAGGTCCAAGACGCGCCGCCCTGCCTCACACGACCAGTGCCTCTCGACGGCACTTTGGCTCACCTCGAAGGGACTTCGGCTTCGCCTCGGTCGCCCCTCTGGCCGTTCGTCCTTTCGATGTCTATGCCCAAGGCACGCTGATCGTTACGTACGTCCGCGTCGTGCGGCTCAATGCCATGATCCTCCGAACAACACTTGTCGCTGAAGCCTTGCAGTATGTTCTGTCGCAGAACTCCGGCAATACTCGACGATGCAGCCCTCTCAAACGCATGGAACGCTGCGACTCCTCCGACCGCATGGAGCGCTGCAGCCTCTCGACCGTATGGAACGCTGCAGCCTCTCGACCGCATGGAACGCTGCAGCTCCTCCGACCGCATGGAACGCTGCAGCCCATCCCGACCACATGGAACGTTGCGGCATTGAACACTGCAACTTCTTCGACAGACTCGACGCCAGAGGCTTGTCAGCAGCGGCTGTCTTCAGCATCCATGAGTTGGCGGCACCATCAGCTCGATATGTCGCTCAAATTAGCGAGGGTGGCTGACGAGAAAGGAGGGCGACTGACGAGGAGAAAGGAGGGCGACTGACGAGGAGAAAGGCGGTTCGCGAAAAAGGACGTGGCCCGCTGTGCTCGGTGGCTCGCTGTGCTTAGAGTCACGTATGACTGCGTGCACAGACTGGACTTGCACCCCAATCCTCTCGCTCAGCCTCCCTCACCTCCTCCCTATCTTCCCCCTTCGTCCGATGTCGCTGCTCCTCGTCCCCATCTCATCTCTCCTCGTCCCCATTCCATCGCTTTTGATCGCCCGCTCCCTCCTCCTCTCAATGCCCTTTCAATCACCCCTCGCACCTGCCCCGTGGCCCAGATGGTTAAGGCGTGTGACTGTTATCTAGGACGTTGTCTACGAGATCACAAGATCGAGAGCTCGAGCCTCTCCGGGGCAGCTGGCATCATGGCCTCGAATTGCCATTTTTCTCAGCGGCCCGCGACAAGCGATCACCAGCGAGCAAGTAGGAGTCCGCCAGGAAACATGAGGCACAGGCTTGTACGGGAAGGAGTTTGTTTCAAGTGGAGGACACCGTCCCTGTCCGTGTTGCCAATCTTCCTGTCCTCCTTCCCGTCGTCTCCGGTCTTGAACGTCACTCTCCTCCCGTTTACTGTAGCTACTGTATCGATATTTCCTATTGTACCAACCATTCACATCCTCGGTAGTATATCGGCTAGTACACCCGCCTGTCATTCATATTGGAAGCGTGGATTATACGCGGGAGAGCGGGGTTCGACTCCCCGCCGAGGAGGTGTAAGGCCTACGTGTTGAGTGCATTTTTTCGGCAGGGTTCATCTTTATCGAGCCTTGTCTTTTCAGGCCGTCTTTGTGAACTAGAGGAAGCTCCGGCTACGCCGATTCTCGACCTTGCTTGCGGCTCTAGCACCAGGCACTCGGTCATTTATTGAGCGATGTTGACCTTTTGATTGTGCCTGCGAAAAAACAGGCTTCAATTAGGACGGGGAGAGACCTTGCAAGCAAGGTAATCAGGACAGTGTCGCTTTCATTTTGAATGTGAGGGTGGGAGGAAGAGAGACGGTCGAAGAGAGTTGGGGAAAGGGGAGAGAACTCTTTGACCTTGACCGAAACTTATGGCGAGGAGGTCCACCGACGAGATCAAGCCGGGACCTGCGGGAGATGCAACCTAGTCTATAAAACAAGGCATGGAACTCGCATATATTGCATAGCAAGTGGTAACGATAGGCAAATAGGTGAGTAAAGTAGGTAAGCATAGAGCGATAGATAATATCTGTGAGTAGGTAGACGGGGAAGCAACGAAGCGGAGGGGGTTATAATGGTTAGATTAGAAGGGTGTGAGTACGAATATGTTGACCGACGATGAACAGAACATTGGTGAGGACAGAGAGAACCACGACGGAGAGAAAACAGAAAAAGATAGCAAAGGAGAATCAAGAACGTCGTCTAGCTGACCACAACGCACGACCTCCAGCCGACCACAGCGCACAACCTCCAGCCGACCACCCCCTACGCGCGTCCGGGCACTGCCAGCGTGCGATCCGAGCCCTGGTCGGAGGACGACTCCTGGTTCGAGCTCATCGAGGCGTCGTAGGCGCTGTCGGAGGGCCCGGTGGAGTCGGGCTCGGTTGAGACGTCGGATTGCGCGGTAGGAGAGGTGGGCGCGGGGTCGACGATAGTCCGTGCGTGGGCGTAGGACGCGGCCTTCTCAATGGTCGAAAGCGGGCCTCGTCTGGCGATGCCGTCACCGAGCTCGTCCGACTGATCGATCCCAACCGCAGAGCGACCATCCGCGGCCGAGGAGAGATAGGCCCTCGCGATCGCCGAGAAGTCGTACGCGGGGCGGCGCGGTTGCACGCTCCAGGTGGGAGAGCCGTTGCCGAGGACGGGGGACGGGCCGTTGTCGAGGGAAGGCGAGGGCTCGCTCCCGAGGGCAGGGTATGGCGCCCCGTCGCGGTACTCCTGCTCGTCCTCGACATCGGTCGCCTCGTCCTCCTCGACCGCTCTCTCACCCCCACCCACCGCCTCCTCCACCCACACCTCCGGCGCATCCTCCGGCGCGAGGCCCGCCTGCACGCTGCGCGCCCACTCGGAGATGTTCCTGTGGATGGCGCCCGGGACGCGGGCAGGTTCGCCAGAGTCGGCAGCGTGGGCGTGGGCAGCCCGGCCCACGCTAACGTGCGCCGCACACCCGCAGGGCTCATCGAAGCGCGACGCGCAATCGACGCGCGATGCGAGCTGGGCGCGCCGCGCTCGCTCGATGCTCTCCTCGATGTCGCGAGGGGACCAAGGTAGACCAGCCGAGGGCAAAACCAGAGGATGCGCGGGCGGGACGCCATCGATCGGCGACGAGGGAGGAGCGGCGGGCAGAGGAGGGAGCGGGCGCCGGCGCGGCGAGGAGGAGGTTTGGGCTGGGGAGAAGGTGGCGTGCGTGTCGGTGTTGGCGGGCTGGGAAGGGGTGATCTTGGCCAGCAGGGCGCGAGAGGTGGCGTCGATCTTGAGAGGGGGAAGCGGGCCATCCGGTCGGGTGAAGACCGGCTGAGCCCCGTGCACAGCAGGGGGAAACGGAGGGAGTGGCTTGGGATGCGTCGGGCGGGTAAACACCGGGTCCCTTGCAGGCCCTAGGGTGAAGACGTCGCCGTTCGTCTTGTTAGCAGCACCATCATCACCGCCCAACTCTCCCTTAGCGCCCTTATGTACCCTCTCACCCTCACCCTTGGCTCCCACAAGAGGCTCAACTCCCTGCGGATAGACGACCGGCTTCCGCTTCACCTTCTTGTCCGCAGGAGGCGGCGGAGCGGGCCTCGTCGGCACCGGGTACGAGCCGGGAGGCAGGGTCGGCTTTGAGAACGGGCGGATGGGACGAGGCCGAGCGAGCGCGTCGGTGGTCGATGTCTTGGGTTGAGCCACCGTAGGAGATGATTGGTATTGCTTGGCAGGCAGCGGGGGCTGGAATTGTTTGGCGGGAACCAAGAACCGACCAGCTGGCAGCGCGTTCTGCTTGCTGGGAGCCAAATACCGGCCAGCGGGAAGGGCACGTTGCGTGGGAGGCGAGAGCTGCTGATTGGGAGGCAAAGGTAGGGGCCGTGCAGCCGACTGCTGCGTCGGAGGCGGGGGCAGCTGGCGCTGCTCACTACCTTGGGCACCAGACGCATCGCTCGCGGGAATGACGATCGTCTCGGTGCGCGCCAGGCCCTTCTTAGCGCGCGGAGGATTGGACTTTCCGAGAACTTGGCTCGAAATCCCAGGGATTGGGCTCGACTTCGCGCTCGGGAGAATCGAATCCTGGGACTGTGAGGGCGAAATGGTCTGGAGGACCGGGCGGCGATTCGGGGGAGGGATGGGTGATCCGTCCGAGCTCGTGAAGGAGTCGGTCTATAGCGATGGGATCAGCTCTGGAGATTTAGAGTACGAGGAATCTCGCGCACAATTTCGAAATCGGACCCATAATTGGACTTGAGACCGAAGACTGACGAGTAGCGATCGACCTCAGGCGAAGGTACGTAGATGTTCTCTGCGTCCTCAATCACGGAGCGACCCGAGGGCGTCTTCGCCAAGGACTTAGTGGGCGTACGTGGGCCCCTGGAGACCGCGCGCGTGTCTGTGTTGACGCTGGCAGATGCATGAGTTCGACGTCGCGCAGCGGTGGGTATCCTCTACTCACCTTGCCATGAGAAGCGTAGGAGACTGGTTTAGGGGAGTGGCAAGACAGTGGCAGACAGCGCGAAGGGGCAAAGGCACCGACGGTCACTGCTCAAAGCTGCGGGGCGGGTCGACGAGCAAAGCTGCCCTTTGGTCCTCTGCCTTTATACCCCTGGCCCTTTGCCTTGATCATGACCCATTTGGTATCAGCTGGCTTATGATCTCGTTTGCGGCCTCGTGTACGACGCCGCACTGCGGATGAATGGTCGGACTCCAAAAGCACGATGGCCAGAGCGCGCCGGTGCAATGGCCCGATTGGGAGGACAATGAGCGTTCAGGGGCTTTACACGTAAGCGAGAGCTGATCCGTTCAGGCACGTCCGGGATTCGTGGGTAGTGAGCTTGGGATCGGCTGCGGATGGTCGAGAAGAGGGTGACTCATGGGGGACGAGGCGAAGGTGAGATGACCCGTCGAGGGTTTCGAAGTGATCTTCAGCGGGTGATTGGTCCGGAATGCGTCAGATGAGGGTGTCCGGGCCAATTGGTTTGATTGAAATGCAAACCACGCCGGCCGGTTTGTTGCTTATGCTCGGTTGGATGTCGCTGCCTAGCATGAAAGAGGCTCCGACGCGTACGTTCTTCGATTTCCTCAAAGGCGTCGATCAGGGCATCGATAACATCTGGAACTCGATAAGATTATGGTTGTAAGCAAGGATTCAGTCTCGGAGACTTGCCTGAGACTTCGAATTTGGCGCGCAGTTGCTATGACCAGCAGCATTGCGCGCGCACGCCGACATTCATACTGCACAAATCATCGATTTTCTCACATTTCTTGTGATACGCGGGTCTCGCCGCCACCCTCTCAGCTGTTCTTGCTCATCGTCGGACAGTGTGGAAGTCAGCGAACAACGTTCTGGTCAAGCCCGCTCGATAGTGATAAACGTGAACACAGAGTTGAGTTGCCGGTGCCACGTGCATGTCCTCTGATGACCGGGAAGAAGCCAGTGTCACGGTTCGAATGTCACGGTTTCAAACACAGCACTCTCAAGGACACGACAGGCCTCTAAGACGATATAGATCATAAAGATGATTTGAATGAGATAACATTAGTTAGTACAACAACAGCGGGCGGGCATAGATATTTCGCCAGGCGCGCGCTTTTCGTGGAATACAAGAAAGTCATGAGCGTGTCGTGAATACGTTCATAGCGCGGCCTTTCCAGCGGTCTGTGGCCCAGTGTCAGTTTTCAGGCTTCCGCCGCAGCCAGTATCGCGAACTCACCTCGATCGGCAACAGCGTCATCGCTATCGACGCTACCACGAACAGGGATGCAGAAACGAAAATCGGCCCGTTGGCCTTCGCTGCTGCAGCACCGCCTGCGGACGAGGTCGTGGCGATCTTGATGACGGGTGCCAGGATACCAGTGATGCGGTTGAAGGCGGAGCAGACAGCGTCGCCGGTGCCGCGGTGAGGGGCGGGGAAGACCTGGGGGAGTGTCAGCGCGTGGTCTGATGCGGCTCACAGTCGAGCTAGGACGGAGGAGAACGATCACTGACCTCCGGCGTATACGCATACAAAACACCGTACATCGCGTTCTGCGTGAGACCTGAGGCGCACGAGAAACCGAGCACCGCAGCTTCGTTCGCGCTCGTGGTGAACAGGAACAGGAAGATCCCCGTCAGCAGCGTGCTGATCGCCATGCTCAGCTTCCGGCCGCCCAGGCTGAACTTCGTCTTGCGCTTCGTGGGCGCAGCGTCTGTCTTCTCGCCCTCGCTACCCTCGACACTGCTGCCCTCTTCCTCGTCCACCGCGTCCTTCCCGCCCCGCGTCCAGTCGACGATGAGGCAGGCGAGGACGGAGCCGGGGATGCCGACGACGGAGATGATGGTGTAGTTGCGGTAGGTGGTGTACGTGGAGGAGTCCGCGTCGACGCGCTCGGCGAGGTAGAGAGGGAGGAAGGCGTTGTAGAGCGGGTACGCGAGGCCGATCAGACTGAGGCACAGGTCAGTCGAAGCTCGGGGCCAGGAAATACATAGCTGCTTACCCCCATAACAGGATCGTCAAACTGGTGTTAATCGCTAGCTTCCGACCGGCGAAGAGGGGCTTGATGTGCGAGCTGAAAGGTCGTGTATCGTCAGAACCTCTGCATTTACGCACGATATCGCAAGCCTCGAAGATCCATCTACTCACAGATTCATCTGCGAGAACGTCCTCCGCAAGATATCCTTCGTCGTCACATGCACCTGACCGCCCTTGATGCTCTTGAAATCCTCGATCGTGAGGCTAATCTGTCGCCCATTGCGCTTCGCGAGGTGCTGGAGGACCTGAGGGAGTAGACAGAATTAGCAACGAACTTCACTAAAAGCGGCAGGCCGTCGAAGACGTAGAAGAAGAAGACTCACCGCCAACGCCTCCTCATCCCGGCCCTTCGCGATCAGGTACTTGCTCGACTCCTGCAGGTCAAAGATGATGAAGCGCGCGACGAACATGAGGAAGGTGATCGAGCCTCTGCGAGTATGTGTAAGTATGGTCCTCATGCAGAGATAGCGTACCCGCCATCCTGTGCGATGCGAGCCATGGTACTCACAGGAGGTAGCTGTGGGTTTATATCAGTTTTCGTGCCGTGTAACTTCACGCTGAATACGTGAGGGGAAGAAACCGCTTTACTCACCATGTATATCTCCACCCCATGTTATCCGCCTTCATGCACTCGCCTTGCGCGATGCTGGGGTCGCACGAGTAGTTCGCGATGAAGCCCCATGCGACGACCGAGGCAACGAGCTGCCCGATGGCCCACCAAGCAGAGAGGAGAGTGAGGGTCCACTGGAGGGATATTTAGTCAAAGTCTTCCCACTGATGATTTCTAGGCGCGTGGGGAACACGGAGACATGGAGTGGATGTGATGACGCGTGTAGAAAGAAGGGAGATAAAGTGGGAAACGCCTTCCCAGATTCGTGGGATTCGAAGCATACAGATACCAGTGGGAGATATGGGTGAGAAGAGGGACATGACGCGGATACGTAGGAGTGCAAAGCAGATACGCAAACACGCACCTGATGCGATTGGGGGATGTGCTCCAAGAACAGCGCGCCGTCCACCGGCAGATTCCCTCCTATCCCGAACCCGACACAAGCTACGAGCGCGCCAAAGGCGGTGAAGTTGGGTGCCGCGCCCGCTGCGATGCCGAAGACGCCGGCGATGAAGAGGGTGATCTGGAAGGTGAAGGTTAGTCGGTTAAGTTGGATGAGGGTGGAGAGGAGGGAGAGAGGAGGAAGAAGAGGGAGAAGAGGGAGAAGAAAAACGGCTAAAGCATGCTAGCGAGAGTTATAGGAAGGCCGGCAGGTGGGTAATCAATGGATGGAGATGACGGGGTCCACAGAGGAGATAGAGAGAATGGAGAATCAATGGGTTGACGGGGAAGCATCAGCGGGAGGCGGGGAGAAGTAGATGGCCAATGATGAGTGAGGTTTAGTGAGTCGTGTGCGCGATAGCCGCAATCGCGCGTACGATAGCGGTGGTCGTGTGCTGGTCGCGAAGGCCGACGAGCACGGTGATACCGATGCACCTCGCCGTCACAGCACGACCCAGCCCCATAGCACGTCCACGACCCAGCGCCAAAGCACGTCCACGACCCAGCACCGAAGCACGTCGACCTCACAGCTCACTGAAAAGCACCTACTCACATTGAACGACAACTTCCGCCCGATCACGTCCGCGAGCACGCCCCATGTCGACGCGCCGATGATGAGGCCGACGTAGAGCGCGAGCGTGGCGAACTCGATGCGCGTGGGGTCGAGCTCTTGTTGGACCTGCCCGAGGACGACGGCGATGCCTTGGAGCCAGATGTCTGGGGAATGAGGTTAGATGCTGGTCGAGAATACGGGGACATAGGTAAGTGGGACGATAGTGTAGAGGAGCAAGAGGGGGGGGACGGGAGAGGGGGAAGAGGAAGGGAGAGGTGAAGGAGACAATAGGGAGAGCATGGACGTAGGGAGGAAGAGGGGGGGAGGTAGCAACGCACTGTCGGCCATCCAACCAAGGCCGGTGAGGGCGAAGAGCTCGAGCTGGTAGCGACCGAAGCCAATCCTAAGACGAGGTTAGAGAGTGTTGCACGCGATCGAGTGGAACGTACTCTTCCTGCAGCGTGCGATTTACTGGCAGACGTCGTCAGCCACACTGTCCCCCAAGACGGACACCGCTAGCTACGCACCGAGGGCACACTTGAGCTCATACGCCCGATCGACGCCTGTCTCCGTGTCCAGCTCGTCCACATCGTCCGCCAGTTGGTCCTTCACGTCGACCGCCTTCAGCTTCTCGGGGTCCTGCATCTGCGCGCGCGACATGATCGTGTGCGACTACCGGCAATGACGGGGGGAAACAAAGCGTGAACAAGGAGCCCAGTATATCAATCAACCAGCAAATACTCCCCCCGGGCGGTGCGGCCTGCCGCCGCGCTGTTCCTGTGCGGTAGAGCGTTTATCAAACGGTGGAGCGGCTCATGTGGGAGGGTTCAGTTCCCCGCGACGGGAATACAAACGAGGCCCGGGGGTCGGCCGGGCGACCAGCAGGCGCGGTCCCTCCGTATCATCACCCGCGGCAATGTCCAACAAGGGGCACCTAATCCGGACGGCGGCTGCGCAAGGGGCACAGGGACGGGGGAGCATGACGAGCAAGCACGCAACATGCGCGCGCGCAAAGGGAGTGCCGAGAAGAGAAGGAGGACGCCGGGCATGTGGCTGTTTGCCGCCGGTCTCATGTGCTTGGCGGGTGCCGCGTGGTGGACCTACAGCGTATGACGCGCGAGCGATTTTTTTCGTGGCGGGCGCCTCGGCCATGTTCCTCGCGGGACGGGTGACCGCGTCAGGAGACGAGAGGTGCGCCACAGTTGCCAAGGCGAGTTGGTTGCTGGACTGCATTTCGGAGGCCTGGGTGCGCGGCGCGGGGAAATGACGCAGAACGGGCCTTGACAAAGGACCTTCGAAATGTTCATTGCTTGGAAGAGGGCTAGGCTCACGAGATCGAGGCGTGTACAGTGTCCCGGACGGTGTCAACGTCCTCCAGTCAAGGACACCGAGAGCCCGGTCGCATCGATGTGTTGACGCCACAAGTTCGGAAAAGAGCGAGCAGCCACGGTCACGCGGACGGTCGACGCGACATCGCTTCACTTTTCGCGCCACCTTCATACAACTCTGCTCTTTCACTCCTCTGCCTCTGATTTTCTGTTTTTTCTTCCTCATTCCTCAGACAAATTCTGAGCCTGTGAATGCGTACTGAGGATAGTATTCGTCGCAAAAGAAAAATAGGGAGGTGATGCGCTATCACCTTGCTTGCAAGGTCTTTCCCGTGTCTTATTGACCCCATCAAAAATGACCCCATGTGCGTGGCACGTTCCGACGACAACACCGGCCAACGCGTAGACACTTGCGTCCACAACTCCTGTACGAGACCACACGACGAGCTCTGTAAGTGGAAAGGAAAGGAAAGGAAAGGAGATATTCGGGCGAGGTCCCTAAACAGGATAGCAGGATGCAAACTCATGCGCGAGATGCAAGCAAGGTTCGCAGCCGGCGAAGCCGGGGCTTCCTCTAGTACGAACTACCCTTAGAAATCCTCTCGACAGGATTGCATATCAATTTGGAACTGAGGGGGGAACAGTTCTCCAAGAAGGCTGACTACAATCTAAGTTGCTCTGCAGCTCGCCATCGCTTGTGTTTGCAGTCCCTGTCAAACCTCGTCTACCACATCAAAGCGCTGCCCGACCAGCCGTCTAAGGATATTCATCAGTACCTTGCCATCCCACGAGCTCGCAGCAAACGCACCTCGACCAGCAGCAACGCCATTAGCAATGCCGCGACAATGAAAAGTGAGGCTGCCACAAGAATGGATCTGCTCAATGTGGCCCATGAGTCGGAGGAAACACAGTAGGTACGATGAAGAACGCACGCATTTGCGGTTGCTGATCCCGTTCCTCCCTCCGCTGATTTTGTGGCAATCTGGATAACCAGCCCCAGAATGCTCGCCACATAAGTCAGCAACGAGCAAATGGACTCTCCTGTACCCCGGTGGGGAGTGGGGAACACCTAAAAGCGCATCAGAAAGCCTCATGAGCGTCTAGAAGCGAAAGCGGCGAACCTCCAGCGTGTACGTATACATTACCGCGTACATCGCATTGCTTGCGGCCGAGGAGATACAGGTGAAGGCAAGTACGGCCGCCTCGTTCGTGCTCAGCGTGAAGAGGAACAGCAGGATCCCTGTCAGTAGCGTCTCGAAGACCATGCTCAGCTTGCGCCCCATCAATCTAAATCGCCCTGGTGGGCCGCGCGATCCAGAGTCGACGAACAAGCACGCAAGGGCGGGTCCGACCATGCCGACGATGGAGATGATGGTGTAGTTGCGATAGACGGTGTAGGTGGAGGAGTCGGAGTCGACGCGATGGGCGAGGTAAAGCGGGAGGAAGGCGAAGAACAGCGTGGATGCGATGCCGGTGATACTGTCGAAACTTCGTCAGTATTGGGCTAGCAACGCAGCTAAAGCCAAAGACACTGACACCCAGAATGACATCGTCATGGTCGTGTTGATGGCGAGTCTTCTTCCAGCGAAGAGCGGTTTCAAATGTGACCTGTTCTCGAACGTCAGAAGTTGCAAAGCTAGCGCATATTACGCCAACGCACAGAGATAGTTGAGAGAAGGAGTTCTTGATGCTCTCCTTCTGGGAGATGTGCGTCGCAACTTTGACACGCTGTATGTGCTCGAGCGTCAATGTGATCTCCCGGCCATTGCGCTTCGCCAGATGTCGCAGAACCTGAAAGCGTCAGTCGAGTGGGCGGGTTGCTGGGAGAGGATACTAGCTTACGGCCAGAGCCTCTTCATCGCGGCCCTTGGCGACGAGGTACTTGGACGACTCCTGCAGGTCGAAGACGACGAAGCGGAGTAGGAACATCACGAAAGTCAAGGCGCCTCTGGGGATTTGATATCAGATCAGGCTGCGAGACTGCGCAGCTTGCAAACCTACAGGGCGTAGAAGGTGTATCGCCAGCCCATGTTCGCGCCCTTGGCGCACTCTCCGGGCAATATGGACGGATCGCAGGAGAAGTTGGCGATGAAGCCCCAGGCCACAACGGAGGCGACGAGTTGGCCGAATGCCCACATCACCGAGAGGAATGTGACGGTGTACTGCGAGCGCGTCAGCGAGCACATCTCTGCAATATATTGCCACTAACTTGATGTGATTGCGGGATATGCTCCAGGTATAGCGCTCCTGTACTAGCAGCATAAGAATAAGCGCAGAAGGAAAAGAAGCGCGTACCGTCGACTGGTATACTGGGGTGGAATGGAGTGTGAGCTAATGGCAAACCTGAAGAGGTCGAACTCACTTTCCGCCGACACCGAAGCCTAACAGAGCCACGAGGACATTCAGCGTGACGAAGTCCGGCGAAGCTCCAGCAGCGGTCCCAAAGACCCCCGCGATAAAGAGGGTAATCTACGAAGCTGCATGCGTTAACGGCTCGAGTTTATGCACATATAGACTTACATTGAAGGACACCTTGCGCCCTACGATGTCGGCGATAGTGCCCCAAGTAATCGCACCCATCCCAAGGCCGGCGTACAAGGACAGCAGAACGAGCTCGATCCGCTTGGGGTTCCACTCCTGCTGTATCTGATTGAGAACGATGGCGACGCCCTGCGCCCAGATATCTATGTATCGATGAGCATGAGAGTTCCGCTCGATATTTAAGCAGCGCTTACTGTCCGCCATCCACCCGAGTCCGGTGACGAGGAAAAGCTGGATTTGGTAGCGCCCGAAGCCGATTCTGAGGTAAAAGTCAGGTCTCATGAGATTCGAACGTGCCAATATCGAGCGTACTCCTCTTGTAAACATCGATTGACTGGGCGACGGAGCACAATCAGGCTGATGCACAGGATGGAGGAAGGGCAGCTACCCACCCAGGTCACTTTTGAGTTCATACGCCCTTTGCACGCCACCCCCTTCCACCAGCTCGTCAAGGTTGTCATTTGCGATCTGTTCCTCCACCACAACAGTCTTTTCAGCGTCGCCTGGGGTCATGAGAGCGAAGGAAGAACGCAGTTCCGCCAAAAGAGCGCTCGAACCGAATTATACGACTTGGCAGTAGCGGCAGCGCTAACCTGACGTGAGTCTGAGTTACCGTTCGGGGTAGTGCGGCAGCGGTTCCATGTAGTCGGCCCAAAAGGGTGCAAAGAACGAGCTTCCTGTATTCTATAGAAGAGTTCTGGGTTCGCAGTGGTCCAGATGAAGTGTTTGTCGCGGCCTGGGCGACGTCCGCCGGCGCGGAGGCAGGGTTCGCAAGCGCAATCGCCTCTTTCGGAAGAAGAGCGCTAGCGGCCGCAAGGCGATTGTATCTTTTGGACTGGTCACGCTTCAGCAAGTCTACCGTTGAGCCTTTTTAACGTTACACTAAAACTTCGTACCGCATTATCGAGCAATCTGAGAAAAGGATTGACAGCACAACCTGGGGAAAACTCACGTGAATTCGTACCACGGTCGTAAAGCATCATCGTGCGCTTTGTGTCCCAAAACATAGCAGAGCCTCAGTATATGGGCTCCCTTGAGCGTCGGTGGCGTTTGAGATGACTATGATCAGCGGAAAGCACGATTCAGGACCCGCCATTGTGATTATGCTCGAGCACGTGGGCACCGGCATCTTCCACCTTGTTTTCAGTCGCCATCCGCGCGGTTGTCGTCCCATTTCTGCCTGACAAGGTGCGCACTCTTCATTGTCGGTCCTTCTCCTAGCAAAAGCATCCACATGCGACGTTGACCCTCGTCATGTTGTACGCCCTCCTCGCTAGCCAATGAGTTGTGGCCAACCGCTCGTCAGATTTGTCCACTACCTCCTCCGAGCGCGTATGGAGTCGTCAAGCACGGCACTATGTTACATTATGATTCTACAACAGATCAATACATATTGGAATAACTTCATAGCTCTATTTTCTGCAGGGCGAGCGAGCGACTGACTGGGCTAGCATCCAGCAGTGGGCCCAACATTCTAGGCAGGACAAAGGGCATCGACAGGCTAAAGTTATGATTAGCTTTTCGATCTGACGATGTTCGATGGAGATTCACACACACATCCTTTCAGATACTCGGGTCATTAGTTTTCGTTCACCCATGCGCGCGCATTTTGGAACATCCTGAACCACGGTCCGGGACCATCCCAGCTCTGCTTGAGATCCTCCGGCACCCAGCTGTTCGACACCATAGCAGTGACGCGTTCGGGATGCGGCATCAGGGCGAGTACGCGTCCGTCGGGCGTCTGCACGCCGGTAATGCCGAGCGGGCTTCCATTCGGGTTCAACGGGTAGGTCGTCGTCGGCTTCCCATCAGAGTCAACGTATCGAAGCGCGACTTGCGAGGACGCAGCGAACGCAGACGCAGCGGACTGCTGCGCCTCCTTGTCGTGCGCGCCCGCGAACACGGTTCGGCCTTCTCCATGCGCGACGACGACAGGGAGCCTAGCGCCACCCATGCCGCGGAAGAAGACGCTCTTCTCCGCCGCACGCTCGTCGACCTCGACCTCGCACACCCGCCCCTCGAACCGCCCGCTTTCGTTCGCCCGGAATGCTGGCCAGCTCTCCGCACCTGGGATGATCTCCCTGAGCGCGCTGAGGAACTGGCAGCCATTGCAGATACCCAGAGCGAAGCATCGCTTGTCGCTGAGGACTCGTGAGAGCTCCGCGCGTGCCTTGGGGGAGCGGAGCACAGACGCTGCCCAACCGCGCCCGGCGCCGAGCACGTCGCCGTATGAGAAGCCTCCAGGGAAAGCGAGGCCGCGGACGTTGCCGAGGGTTGCCTTACCCGATAGCAGGTCAGACATGTGAACGTCGAGAGCATCGAAGCCAGCGGCGGCCAGCGCAAAGGCGAGCTCGGTATGGCCATTGACGCCCTGTTCGCGGATGACTGCGACGCGAGGACGAGGTGTAGAGATTGGCGCGGATAGGGAGGGAACGAGGGGTTGCAACGGGAGGAGGTCGAATGGCAAGTTATACGAAAGACCGCGGTGAGAAGGTGCGGTGATCAACGCATGCTCCTGGGCGGCGCAGGAAGGGTTGTCGCGAAGGGACTGCATCTGGAAAGACGTCTCCGCCCATGCTGTCTGCAGCTCAGCGCGCGTACTGCTGTAGATGACCGCATCTCCAGAGCGAATGACGAAGTCCTCCTTGGTGGTATCGACGTTCCCGAGGAAGAGGATCGAGCCACGCGGGACGCCTGCAGTCTCGAAGGCCGCCGCGAAGGCGTCCGCGTCGGTGGTTCGCACCTGGAATACTGCCCCAAGCTCTTCGTTGAAGAGCGCAGATACAGCATCTCCGCCAAGCGCGTCGATGTTGACATCGACACCGACCCGTCCAGCGAAGGCCATCTCCGCAAGAGTGGTGAATAGGCCACCGTCCGAGCGGTCGTGGTACGCCAGCACCAATCCAGGCTTCTTGCGCCTGACGCTCTGACACCCGGTGAGGAAGGCCTTCAACACGCCGGCGTCGTCCACATCCGGCGTCTCCGCGCCGACAGTGCTAAATACCTGCGCAAGCGCCGAGCCCCCAAGACGTTGCTTCCCTCCCGCGACATCCACCAGTATCAGAACCGTCTCTCCCGCATCGCTCCTTAGCATCGGCGTCCATGTGTCACGCACATCGCGCACCGGTGCGAACGCCGTCACGATCAGCGACAGCGGACTCGCCACCTCCCTCTTCACCTTCTCGCCACCCTCGCCCTCACCTTCCCACCGCATTGCCATCGACATCGAGTCTTTCCCCACTGGAATGCCGACGCCGAGCGCGGGACATAATTCCAACCCAACGGCCTTCACCGCCGAGTACAGCGCCGCACCCTCGCCCGCCTTCCCTGCCGCGCACATCCAGTTCGCGCTTAGCTTCGTGTTCTGCAAGTCGACGGCCGCAGCCGCGAGGTTCGCCAGCGCTTCCGCGACGGCCATGCGCGCTGAGGCGGGCGCGTTCGCGACCGCGAGCGGGGTGCGCTCGCCCATGGCCATGGCCTCTCCGGTGTGCGTGAAGAAGTCATAGGACGCGCGGGTTACGGCGACGTCGGCGACCGGTACCTGGTAGGGGCCGACCATCTGGTCGCGCGCGACGAGGCCGGTGATGGACCGGTCGCCGATTGTGATCAGGAAGTTCTTGGACGCAACGGACGGGAGGCGGAGGACGCGGTTGGCTGCAAGGGAGATGCGGTCAGAGATAGACGCGCCTGAGGGGAGGTGTGCGGATAGCGAGGCGTCGAAGGCCGAGAGGGCGGGGACGAGGGTGGAGTCGCTGCGCGACATCTTGGGCGGCTTGCCGAAGAGGGTAGACATGGGGAGGCGCACGACGTCCTCCTTCAGCAGCCTATCCGTGACGACAAGTTCCTCCTCCGCCGTCGCAGTCCCTACCAGCGCATACGGGCAACGCTCACGGCGCGCGACCCGCTCGAATGCCTCCACCCCATCCGTCTCCAGCGCCAACACATATCGCTCCTGACTCTCATTGCACCAAATCTCCATCGGGCTCAACGACGAATCTGCGACCGGTACGTCGCGGATCTCGAACACGGCTCCCAGCCCCGCGTCGTGCACGAGCTCCGGGAGCGCGTTCGACAAGCCGCCCGCGCCGACATCGTGTATGCTCGCGATGGGGTTTTCCTGCCCAGCGGCGACGCACGCGGCAATGACCTGCTGGCAGCGGCGCTGCATCTCCGCGTTATCGCGCTGCACGCTGGCGAAGTCGAGATCGGCGCTCCCCGCACCGCTCGCCTGGCTGCTCGCCGCGCCGCCGCCGAGGCCGATGAGCATTCCCGGCCCACCGAGCACGACGAGGCGCGCGCCGGGCTGAATCTTGCCCTTGAGGGAGTGCTGGGGCCGCACCGTGCCGTACCCGCCGGCAACCATAATCGGCTTGTGGTACCCTCTCACATCGCCCGGCGCCGCCTCCACCTCAAATGTGCGGAAGTACCCCGCGAGCGCGGGCCGCCCGAACTCGTTGTTGAACGCGCTCGCGCCGAGCGGCGCCTCGAGCATGATGTCGAGCGCGGACGCGATGTGGGCGGGCTTGCCGATCGAGTGCGCCTCCCAGGGCTGCGTGAAGCCCGGGATGCGCAGGTTGGAGACGGTGAAGCCCGCGAGGCCCGCTTTGGGCTCGGAGCCGCGCCCGGTGGCGCCCTCATCGCGAATCTCGCCGCCGGAGCCTGTGGCTGCGCCGGGGTAGGGCGACACTGCGGTCGGGTGGTTGTGCGTCTCGACCTTGATGAGCATCGGCGCGTCCTCGGGCTCGGCGTCAACCGTCCACACCGGCTCGCGCGCCGCGTCGTGCGACTGCACCCGGAAATGATGCACCGCGGCCTGCCCCTCGAGCACCGCCGCGTTGTCCGAGTACGCAGAGATAGTGCGCCGGCCCTCGATCACCTTCTCCGTGTTGCGAATCATTTGGAAGAGCGACGCGTCCTGCTGCACCCCGTCTACTGTCCACGCCGCGTTGAAGATCTTGTGTCGACAGTGCTCCGAGTTGACCTGCGCGAACATGAAGAGCTCGGCGTCGGTGGGGTCGTGCCCGACGTGTGCCGTGTACGCAGATACGAGGTAGTCCATCTCGTCCGGCGCGAGCGCGAGGCCGAGCGTGCGGTTTGCTTCCTCGAGCGTCTTGCGCGCGGTCTCGGGGGCTTGATCGCGCAACGCGACGGTACGCAGGGGCCGCGGCGCGTGGTGGGAGAAGAGGAGCTCCGCGTCGGGGAGTGCGAGGCCCGCTATCTGCGTCATCCGGTCGTAGATGAGATCGGTGAAGGTGGCGAGTGCGGTGGGGGTGAGCGCCGCGCCGCCTTCGAGCTCGAGGACGTATGCGCTGCCGCGCTCGAGGCGGTCGATGTGATTGGCGAGACCGCAGATGCGCGCAATATCGGTCGCTTTGCTAGACCAGGGGGAGATGGAACCGGGGCGGGGGACGACGTACACGACGTTCTCGCCCTTTCTGAAGCGCGCCAGCGTACCCTTCAGCTGATCGTCGTCCCCGTACGACAGCAAGCTGTTCAGCGCACGACACCAAGCGCTCTCCGTATCCGCCAGCTCTTCCTCCTTCTCTGTCGAGGTACCATTGACAAGGTGCAGCCAGATCGCATCAACGGAGGTGACTTGTGGGCAGATCGCCTGGATGCTCTTGAGCAGCACGGCGCGTTTGGCGACGGTAAGCGCCGACGATCCGGAGAGAACCAGCATTTCTGTGTAGATCCAATAAGCATGGGTAGATTGGGAGGATATGAAGGTATATACCGGCTCTGGTGGGGTCTCAAGTTGGTGGAACGGGACGAGGGAACTCTGATCGTGATCGAGGATATTGAGATCAGAGAGCCACGTGGATCGCTTTCATTATGGGCTTTCCGAGCCTGTTGCCAGAGATCAAGTACATGTCTGACGAAAGGTAGGTGCAGTCAGATGAGCAGATATTTGGGTGGGCAAGAGCATTGATAGCAGCAAGTAGGCAACCATCATGCAGATGGAGGCTGAGGACAAGGTGGAAAATGCCGGTGACCACGTGCACGGGGTGTAATCGAAATCGCGAGACCGTGTTTCTCACCATCATCATGAACCCAGATGCGCCCTCAGTACACGTGCAAGGCCATGTACTGCTACTCTAGTAACTCTTCGAACGTAAAACCCGCAATGCTGACTTACGCCAACTGTACTGCTAATAAGAACTGACGTGAGTTTTGCTTGCTCTGTCAATCATCTCGGGGTGCAGTTGATCTGCCTGCGTGTTTCTGCAGCACGACGCATCATGTAAAATCCAGAAAGCTGCGCATTTAACTTGCTGTACAGTGATCAAGCATTCAATGAGCAGACCAATTTTGGGCTGCCTCGGAGTATTTACTGTCGGGCTTTGGCATCTGTAAAAGTACATCGATCTGACCGCATTATATGTGGCTTTCAATATGCGAACTTTTCAGAGTCCAGGGACGAGCGATACCAATACAAAAGGGGGATCATGGCGGGGATGAGCAAACGGCAGCGAAATCACTCGATGAGCAGTGTCACATCACGCCGGCCCGTTGAGGCGAGTCTCAATTAGGACCACCGTCCGAGCTTCCATGTCGCTACTTCAGCGCCTCTCTCCCCCTTTTCTCACCTCCACGGCCGTTGTGCAAGCGGTGCGCCTTATTACGAGCGAAACCTGCTCAGTATTCGTACCTTCTGGGTCGTCTACGCTGGGATCTCGAAGAGTTACGGCACGACAGGCCCGATTGCCGATGTGATTCCGTGACTGCTCACGCTGCCCATTTCGCCTTCCTTGCAGCTGTTGCTCATTTCCATCCGCACAAAAGCATCTCCGCACGTTTCACGCAGCTCAGTCATACTCTACACTATTCTTTCTACATCCTAGAATATCTATGAAACGAGCGGGCATCAGATGAACTTGTAGGAATATTTCTTAATTGTGCTTGAGTTGCTCAAGCGCTGCTCAACCGCCTTCACAAGCCCGCTGCTCTCGACGTCGGTCACCTCCGGGCTTGAAAATATTATGCGCTGTACATAGTGCACTTCTCTTGTGGCTATCAATTTCTCCGGCGCGACACGAAGACATGAAAGTCCTTCCCGAGGCCAATTGCTCATCGAGTGATGGCTGCTCATCGAATGCTTGATCACTGTAGCCAGTATCCAGTCCAAGAAATGAAATCACCTTGCAGCTAGTGTTCCTTTTCCAACAAAAGCGCGCGATTGCGCCGGCAAACCTTGCCCACGGGGCGTTGATCATGCCATAACAAGCCTTCCGTTCAGAGCACTGAACTCCCCGAGCTCTTCTCTAGAACACAGGAGGCTCGGCACTTGCACTCCCCAGGCCATCCTCATCAACTAACCTCGACCGCTGCCGCACTGACCCCGCAGTGAACGTCAGACCAGCGCTGTCATTACTGCTGAGCCGTATATATCGGTTCGAGCGCTCCTTTGGCGGGACCGCGTTTTTCCTTCGCGATCATGACTCCAGGCGATGCTGCAAAGACTGTTGTGGTGGAGGAACAGATCGAAAACGGCGGCCTCGACGAGCTGGTGGAAGAGGTTGGCGTCCAAAGGGCGTATGAACTGAAAAGCGAGCTAGGTGAGCCGGTAAAGCTCTCTTTTTCTTACGTATCCATCTGAACTTGAGGGGTCACCAGTGAATCGATGCTTACAGGAGGAGTGCGCTTGATACTCACTCGTTACACTCTCTTGAAGCCTGACCTACATGTTAGGGTGGGCTTCGGACGCTACCAAGTCCAGCTTTTCCTCGTAACCGGGCTTGGGTGGATGGCGGACAGTAAGCGCCGTTTTCATATTCAGCCAGGATTTGCGCTTATCGATACGTAGATATCTGGGCGCAGGGTGTCGCCATCGTTCTCAGTCAGATACAGCGGGAGCTCAATCCCAAGCGGATCGAGTTCGTCATGCTGTCCTTGTACGCTGGCCTCGGAATTGGTGCCGTCACTTGGGGCACTATCGCCGACATCATAGGGCGCAAGGTATCTTTCAATGTAAGTCTATCTGAGCAACCACTCGAGTCATACCTACTCAACGTCGTAGATCACCCTTTTCCTTGCAGGCATCTTCGGGATTGCTGCCGGAGCGTCGCCAAACTTCGTCACGCTGAACGTACTTGTGGCCCTGTTGGGCTTCGGTGTGGGTGGAAAGTAAGTGTGACTACACAGGATTCTCATCAGCTCACGCTCGATTTCATTCCAGTATTCCAGTCGACGGTACGCGCTCGTTTTCCTTCTGCATGTATCTCACGCTGCTACAGGGGCGATATACCTGGAACATATCCCACGGTCGCACCACGTCAGTGTCAGGTTTTCGAAGTGTTGTGCTTGCTGACGCGCTTGCAGTACACCGTCACCTTCCTCTCGGTGTTGTGGGCATCGGGCCAACTCGTCGCCTCCGTCGTCGCATGGGGCTTCATCGCTAACTTCTCCTGTGATTCGTCCGCGTCGCCGGGAGAGTGCGCAAAGGGAACGAATATGGGCTGGAGATACACCTTCTATGCCTTGTGTGTTCGCAAGCTGTGATATCGCGACCGGTTCTGATTCCTGATTTCTCAGAGGCGCACTAACTTTCGTGATGTTCCTGCTCCGCTGCGTCGTCTTCGATTTGCAGGAATCATCGAAGTATCTCATCGCCAAGGGCCGCGATGAGGAGGCCCTGGCCGTAAGTAGACTTCGCATCTGAAAATAATGCACTCAGCTCACCCTCTCAGGTTCTGCGTCATCTTGCGAAGCGCAATGGCCAGGAGATCACCCTGACACTTGAGGACATGCAACGCGTCCAAGTCCCGACACGTATCTCGCGAAAGGACATCGTCAAGAAGTCCCTTTCCCAACTATCTCTGTTCGTCAACATATTTTCTTTTAGTCTTGCAAGCGTTACGCTGTTGTCTAGGTCACATCTGAAGCCGCTCTTCGCTGGGAAAAGACTCGCCATCAACACGACCATGACGATGTCGATCTGGGCGTTCGTCTTCACCTTTAGCTGTGCATTTTACCACATACTGACGAGCCTCTCAGTATCACCGGCGTCGCCTCTCCGCTCTTCTTCGCCTTCCTCCCGCTGTACCTCGCTCGCCGCGTCGACTCCGACTCTTCCATCCACACCGTCTACCGCAACTATACCATTATTTCTGTCGTCGGCATGGTCGGCCCCGCCATCGCGTGCTTGTTCGTCGACTCTGCATCGCGCGGCCCACCGGGGCGCTTCAGATTGATGGGGCGCAAGCTAAGCATGGTCTTCGAGACACTCCTGACAGGGATCTTGTTGTTCCTCTTCACGCTAAGCACAAACGAGGCGGCCGTACTGACCTTTTCGTGCATGTCCTCGGCCGCAAGCAATGCGATGTACGCAGTGCTGTACACGTATACGCTAGAGGTGCGTCTTTGTTTCTCGGACGACCAGGAGGCAGGCTGATGGGTCGTCAGGTCTTCCCTGCACCTCACCGGGGAACGGGAGAGTCCATCTGCTCGTCGCTCAACTGGTTGGCTGGGATTCTGGCGCCGGTGATTCAGATTGCCACAAAAGCAGGGGGCGGGGAGACAGGCTCGGCGACAGCTAATGCGTGCGTTCATCATCACAATGTGCGTAACCTCGTCTTATAGAGTGCACCGACAAGATCCATCTTCGTCGCGGCCTCGCTTTTCATTGTCACTGCATTGCTTATGGCATTGCTGCCATTCGAGGTGCGTATACCCCAAGCTGTTAATACGAGATGTTGATCTTAAGGACCCCCGTAGACGGCTGGTCGGGCTGCACTTTAGAACGCTGTGGGAAGTACGAATAACTACACGCAATCGCAGGCTAAAAGTGGCGGGACATCCGAGGAAATCCTTCCATGCATTACAATGACGCGACTACAATGTTAAGCCGGCGGTGCTCGAGAGCGAATGCAATAATGATGCTTAGTGTGCAGTAGCGCCCGAGGTGCCAAGCCCGCCGTCGATCTGCCTCAGTTCGGGACCACAACATCGTGAGCCTCGTCGGTGTTAGACGCCACGGGGACGTCACTATCCTTTGTAGGCAATGATTGCGCCGATGAGGGGTGCGTAGACAGCTTGTTGTGCACTCTCATCATGGCCTCCTCCACCTCGACGACATTCGATGTCGATGTAGAAGAACATCCGGCCAGTAGCGAGACCGATCAGGAGCTTGTCCGACGCGCAAGCGAGGACACGGTTTATGGCAGGAAATGCGCGCTCGGTATGTGGCTCAACGTCCTGCCCTCGGCCAGGCTGATATATTTTCGGTAGTGAATCGCTGCTTTCAAGAAGAGTACCCCTTACCATGAACTGCGTAGAAAACCTCCTCATCCGAGTTTGTCCTGCAGGATAGGCTTTGGACGCTACCAAATCGAACTCTTCCTGTTGACTGGCCTGGGCTGGATGGCGGACAGTTAGTCAAAATTATTTCCTTGCATCGAACTCGTTCGACTCACACTTACTCAGATATCTGGCTTCAGGGCGTCGCAGTCGTTCTTGTTCAAGTCCAGCAGGAGTTCAAGCCATCCCGTGTCGAGTTCGCAACACTCGCACTGTATGTAGGCCTTATCTTGGGCGCCAGCGTCTGGGGCACTCTCGCCGACATGATCGGGCGCAAAGTATCATATAACGTATGGCTGCTTCTCCCGTCTCTCCTCACCAGGATAGTCTAAGTTCGCTATCAGGTTACGCTCCTCATTGCAGGGGTATTCGGTATAGCGGCCGGAGGTGCTCCTAACTTCGTGACTTTTGCGGCGCTCGTAGCGTGCGTAGGCTTCGGAGTTGGAGGCAAGCGAGTGTAAATCAAGAACCTCTTTTGAGCATACACTGACGCAGAATACTCTCTCAGCGTTCCTGTAGATGGTAGAACCTCTATCATCGATAATCCATCCATTCATCACTGATTTGCGTCTGCGATAGGTGTACTTTTCCTTGAACATATACCACAGTCGCATCAGGTATTTCTTTATTGCCTATCCGGACTCGTTGACGAACTCAGCAAATTTCGACATCCAGTATCTTCTCACTTTCTTGTCGGCGGCCTGGGCTGCAGGCCAACTTGTGGCATCCGTTGTCGCTTGGGGCTTCATTTCGAACTTCTCCTGCAAACCCGACGCTCCTCAAGCAGAATGTTCGAAAGTGAACAACATGGGATGGCGATACACCTTGTTTGTTATTTTCAACAGCCCCATGCAAATTGCTGATAAATTCGTCTATATAGCTACCTTCTGTGCGTCCAAGCGCGTCTGCGTCTTGTGCATGCTGATTGCAGGTACTAGAAGGTCTTTGACATGCCTGGTGTTCGTCTTCCGCTTCTTCGTTTTCGACCTACAAGAGTCGTCAAAGTACCTTTTGGCGAGAGGACGCGACGAAGAGGCGCTAGAGGTTGTTCATCCTGTTCTCCTCGACTATCCTCGTCATGACCGATATTACCAGGTTCTTCAGCACATATCTCGGCGCAATGGCCGTACCATCAGCCTCACAGTCGCTGAACTCAAGGCTGTGGAAGAGAAGGCCGGCCGAACCAAGGACGTGGGCCGGCGCTCTTTGAAGCCATCCCTGTATGTTTTTCCGTGCATCCGCTATTCGAGTCGCTGGGTAGAATTCACAGATCGCATCTCAAACCCCTCTTCAATGGGCGTCGACTAGCCATCAACACCACCATGACGATCCTATTGTGGGGGTGAGTCGTGACCAGCCCTTCCATTTACAGCTACTCACAACAAGAACCATACAGTTTGATTGGCCTCGCCTACCCGCTCTTCAACGCCTTCCTACCGCTTTATCTAGCAGACCGCTTATCCGACAGCGACTCGTCCACCGGCACCACGTACCGCAACTATACGATCATCTCTGTACTGGGCATCGTCGGCCCCGGCATCGCCTGCCTCTTCGTCGACTGGACGCGCTCGAACGCCAACATCGACCACAATGTCAAACACGCCGACAGCGAGCCCACCCGCAAGTTCGCCCTCGTCGGCCGCAAGCTCGTCATGGCTCTCAGCACGCTCCTCACGGGCGTCTTCCTATTCCTATTCACGACGAGCAAGACCGACGCCGCCGTGCTCGGGTTCTCGTGCGCGTCCGCGCTCACGGCGAATGCGATGTACGCGGTGCTGTATGCGTACACGCCGGAGGTCTTCCCCGCACCACATCGGGGCACGGGCGACGCAGTGTGCTCTGCGTTCAATCGGATCGCTGGTGTGCTTGCGCCGGTCATCAAGATCGCGACGACGTCCAGGGAGGGGGGAGCGACTGGGATGGCGGCGAATTTGTGAGCAGGCGTTGGTCCCATATCCATTGGGTCTCGGAGTCCGAGGGGGGGATACTAACGATATCCCATCCACAGACCCGTCTTCATCTCTGCGTCTCTTTTAGTGGTGGCTGCGGTGCTGATGGCGTTCTTGCCCATAGAGGTGAGAACAGAGACAATCCTTCCCTGACTGTTTGAGCTGATACGCTTACAGACATCAGGCAGAGCTGCATTGTAGAGGTGCGATGGATGGCATGAATAATTTCCTGGCGACTCCCGTTCGCATCCGCTCGGTAGAATATTTCGATAGTGCATATAGGTACAAACGTGGTCTAGGTTTCATGCGGCATGCGTGGTTCAGTACGCATTGAACGTCGCAGGCAAACCCTCGGGGAAGTACTGCTTGAACAGCTCCGGGTAGTGGATCTGTCCGACGTCGGGATGGCTCCTGAGGATGAGTGTGAGAATCGATGCCAGAAGACGCATGATTAGCGAGATAGAAAGAGAAAGACTCACTTAACCCGCCCGATGAGATTGACCTTGCCAGATGGCTCGCGGTCGAACTCGGTAAAGTTGACAGCTGCGTGGAGAATCAGCGTTGAATAGCTGGTTGACAAGAACTAGTTCATGGGAGAAAACTCACAATCAGTCTTGCTAACCTGCCCCCGCGCATCCTTCAGTCGTAGGATTTCCTCGGGGACTGGGTGGTCGTCAGCGCCAGGACCATATCTATACGGAGTCCAGTCCAATCCAGTCCGGAGCTCAGTCAATACCCACATTCCAACTTCACGTCCGGCAACACCATATGCAACCCGATATTCTGGAAGAACGGCACCGAATACCGGGGTGTCGAGCCTCGCGGGGACTTGACGCGGTGCGAGGTTGCTCGCGCGAGGCCTTGAGTGACGAATTCGAGGGCTTCAATGAACAGAAGATCAACATTTCTATGTAGCGCACGGGATTAGAAGTCTCAAACGTACCCTTCCCAATATTGATGACGAAGGTACCAGGGATTGGCGGGACGTCGATCCAGTCGCCAGTCAGGTTCTGCACCTGCAGGCCCTCGTGTTCTGATGCTTGTAGAAGCTGGCGAGTCGAGGCATCAGAGGGGTCCACTCCGACCACCTATCCGAGGTCAACTCACGAAAGTCAAGAACCCCGCATCATAATGCGCGCCTACGCCCTGATCGTCGCCCTCGCTCTCCACCACCGGGTACTTCACAATTTTCGCCCGATGCTGCATAAGCTCCGGCTTGTCATAGAACCTATCCAGCCGATGTTCCCCCAACCCCAGCGCCTCCCCGACCAGCCCCGCGAACGCATAGCTCAGCTCCTGCACTTCCAACAAGTACTTCTCCGCCACCTCCCTGAACCCAGGAAGCGCCTCCTCTTTCGGCCACTGGCTCGGGCCCCACAAGTTATAGTAATCCGGGTCCCCCTCGCGCCACCGGCTCTGATGCGGCGTCGCGAAGTCGAGCTGCTCGCGCCGGTCGACCGCCCCGCGCGTGCGCTCCGTGCCGAACGCGGTGTACCCGAGGAAGTGCGGGGAGTTGGTCATCGCGATGGCGCGTTTCTCCTCCGGTGGTAGAGCGAAGAAGCGAGGGATGTAGGAGCGGAGGGGGGCGGTGGAGACGGGGGCGTTGGAGAGGTAGAGGAAGCCGACGTTGATGAGGGCGTGGCGGAGCTGGAGGAGGAAGGAGGCGCGACGATCGGGGTCCAGGGCGGCGCTATAGTCAAGAAGGGGCACAGTGGAGAAGTTGGGGTTCGGGGCGGCCATGGTGGATGGGTAGGGGTGCTCGAGGTGATAATGGGTGTCGATCGCGGTGGGGGATTGCAGTAGAGGTCGTCAGTCGCCGTTCTCCGCGAGGCGGCCTACTTATCAGCTGTATAGCCAATGTCGATGGTGCAAGATGCGGTCTCGTTGACGAAGTCAGGAGGTCTGGACGACCCACGGTGATCGCGTCATCGTAGCGCGACGCGCCGGCGAGAAGGACGACGCAAGTATACTCCCTTCCAGGCCTTTGGAAGAAGGAGACCCTTTTGTACAGTGTGAAGGGTATCAGTCAGAGACATTGCATTGACTTTAGCTCAAGCTACATTGTCGCCGTCGAGTACAGACGAGGTGGGAGGAAGAAAGACGCATTTCCTGAATGCGGCACGTGCCATGTGGCATGGATAATTATTTCCCACGCCTCTTCCCCGCGCCGTCCTCGCATTCTGTCTTCGTCGACGTTCATGGCCGCCTCCTAGACTCGAATATACTCGACACCTGACGTTGAAAGAAGGCTTGGGTATTCCAGAACGACGCTCTTCATCCTAGAGGAAGGCTTTACCATGCATATGCCGTACTCAGAACGTCTTGTCGACACCAAGGTCTTGCGTCAAGGATGATGACGGCCGAGCAAACTGGGTTCACAATGAATCGCCAACGCCGCTCTATAAAACTTTGACCTCTTTCTGGACTGCAACCTCTGTGGCCCACTCGATCTTGCGACCAAATCGAACAATCATGCAACCCTTCACGCTCCTCGCCACTATCTATGCTGCCCTCTTCGTCACGCGGCCCGGCCCCTTCGACGATGTCAAGGACGAGTTCTACCGCGCAAAGATCGTGCCAGATGTCCTGCCCTCCTTCGAGCCCTTGCTCGAGCTATACGTCGAGTTCCCTGGGGCCGTCGTACGGAAGCCTGGCGTGGAGCTCGGTGTGAAGGGTAAGTCATCGATCTGCTTGTGGTTGCATTCCACTTTGCTCGTCCGAGTCTGATTGATGATGCTCCTTCGTCGCAGACACGGACACCTTCCCTCGATTTGTGATCAACTCCGTTCGTCACAATGACAGTGAGTGGACGTGTACTTCTCGCGCGCGTCTGCAGTCGTATTGACCGATTTGAACCCAGTGTTCAAGAAATATGTTGTATGCTACCAGCCTCCTGTTATACGATCAGACCCCTCACCACATCTTCCCTAGCTCTTCGTCGTCGACCCCGACGCGTACTACCCCGACGACCCATCCGTGTCGCAAGTGCGGCACTATCTGGGCGCCAACTATACGGTTGAGGGCGTTGGTGAAGACCATATCTGGTCGGTAGCGCCGCAAGACAACCTCCGCACGCCCTTCACATCCCCCATCACGAATTTAACCGAGCCCGTCACGGAATGGAAATCGCCCGCGCCGCCTGAGGACTCAGACGCACACAGGTGAGTTGGTTGTCTATCTGGCTCACGAGTAATATGTGCCTTTCTTCTTGTGGTGCCCGCGAGTCGCCGCGGCGCTGGTGTTTGGCTTGGGGGTGCGTGTTTGGTCTCGACGAAGCGTGTTTGCGTTCAATGAGGCGGGTTTGGCTTGGTGGTCGGCCGGTTGCCTGTGCGTGTTTGGCTTGGTGCACAGCGCGGAGGGGCTCCTGGTGTTCCAAACAGACTACAGCCTTTGTTCCGGCCCTCGTTCCCGTCGCGTGGCCCTCCCCCGCTGGCGGCGCAGGAATTAGGATTGGTTTGGGGACCACGAGGGGAACACGCTGACTCCGACGAGAGCGACCTCACTCCGAGGAAAGCTCTGTAAGATCCGCGCTGCCCGTCTGACCTCGTTCTCTTCCATGTGATCCTCCTATGCGTCGCGGCTCGGAGCTCGCGTAGATCTTGCTCTCTGATTACTCTTCGATGCATTTGTGGCACGCGCGTCTCATCTGCCATACTTCCTCCATCTTTTCCCTCCTCCTTTGTTCTCGCTCGATGTTTCTATCGTCTTGCTCGACATCTTCGTACTAACACCAATCGCAGATACATTGTTCTTGCCTATCGCCAACCTCCCCTCTTCACCTACGACTTCATCGCGCCGTACCTCAAGTCTGACCGCCAAGGGTTCAACGTTTCCGAGTTCGCCCTCAACGTTGGGTTGGATGGTCCGGTTGGGGGGACATACTTCACGGTGGAGGCTTGAGGATGGGGAAAGTCAAAGAGGCGTGAAAACCGAGGAGACCGAACTTCAAATAACCGCGCCGGGACGTCGAAGGACATGGTAGACGTCGATCTGCTCATGCGCCGCCGTCTCCTCTCTTGGACTCGACTCAGCATTGTAAGCTAGTGGCAGGTACGGCTTCAAAGTGTACTATTAGTAGGGCAACCTGTTCGATTTTTGGCTCTCACATGGACTGGTGATCAGGTCGAGCAGGACAGGCCAATTCCCGTCATGCCTCGTGGTCCTTTATCCATGTGCGTGAGTTGTTTGCGCGGTGCTAAGGCCAGAAATACAGCGTGGACGCTCGGAAATACTACGATTATAAGGTTGACTTCGACGTCCATCAGTCTTTCGGCGTTTATAGCAGTCTTGGCCGTTATGAAGACTGCATCCCCTCTAGAAGCCTGGGATGCGTCCCCGACCTTCTGAAGTGCAAAGAAGTGCAGAGGAGGGTGCTACTATTGGGGCGTTACATACGTATGTTGCCGCAACCCAACGTACGCGAAGTAAACGACGTACATATTGAAGCCTGATGCTCGCCTCCCTCGAAGCTCTTCCCCGCACTCCCTATTCCCCGCAGTCGTCCCCAGACTATGTGGTCCTCCCCAGACTATGTGGTCCTCCCCAGACTATGAATATTGACGTAGGTACCCTCTGTATAGGCCATATGCTGACGTGGGCCCCATGATCCAAGGACGATAGACGCCGTCCTCACGAGAGGCCTACCAGCCTATAGCTATATATTCGCAGAGGAAGTTCTAGCGCGAGCCGGTGACTCACGCACCCATGTTTGTTGATGTCGATTCGGCGCCAGACAGCCGTCAATCGATTACTGCGCTTTGTGAATCGCGCGCTCATCAGGCGCCGGAAGATATCTTCCGCAAGCTACTGCTTCGCCTATGCTGTCGTCCTCTGCTCCCTCCCTGCAACAGCTCCGCACAGCGTATCTCACGCGACACTACTCCGGACGTCGCTTGTCGACTTGGAGCTGTACTCGAGAGATGGGTCTACTCCCGATCCTAATGGGGACCTAATCACAGTACAAAGGCGCCTCATGGCCGTCCTTCTCCCGTCCTTCGGAGGGAAGCAGATTACCTCACTTCATGCACGCTGAGAACGGAAGAGCCGGCGCGAGGCGCACGGGGAGGCTGCGGGCAGGGCTATAAGAACGTCCTGACGCCACCGCCGCCCTCGTTGCAACCGGCACCCAGCAGCGTGCGCGTCGCAGAGCCTCGTTGCGTCTGCAAGGCCCTGGCGCGTCGAGACCCGACATTAGCCGACCCCCAGCCCGCGCGCGCCTGCCCACCCCCAGCATCACCCCACTCTCCCGGCCATATTTCTGCCCCGCGCGAGCGAAAAGGTATGTCTGCTTGCTTCCTCCTCGGCCTCAGATTCGTTTACCGAACGCTGTCTAGGTTTACTAGCTCACTCATCATGTCCGACTGGTCTCAATGCTCTTCCTCGCCGTCTGCTGCCGAGACGTCCTTCGCGAAGGCGGACGCGAGCCCTGCGCGCGGCGCCGCGCTCGCGCACAGGCGCTGCAGCACCTCCGTGCAGGTCCCCTCCGTCAGCGCCAGACGAGGATCGAACGCTGTCCCTCCTGCGATGCGCCCCGCGCTCCGGCGACGTACTTCCTCCACGCCGACATACTACTCCGCCCCACCCACGCCCTCCGCCATCCGCACCTCACCCTCCCTCTCATCCGCCCAGCCCTCAGATGCCCCAGAGCATTCTCAAAAGCCGCGCTTCGACGCCCGGCGAGCGTCCAGCGAGCTCGCCAACTTCCAGGGCTACGTCAGCTTCCAGAGCATCGAGGGCTTGGGCGGCCCGCCAGGCGGGGCGGACGACATCGTCGACTCGCCGGACAAAGACAATGCGTCGACAAGCTCGAGCAAGCGCACCCGCTGGTGGTGGTCGCTGCACCCGTAACTCGGCTGCGCAGTGGGCATCGATGTCCGATGATCATCTCCTACTCATGTCCTATTCGAGGCCGGCCCTCGAATGCTTGTGTATTGCCTATCGGTGCGTTGTATTGTCGACCGAAGGACCGAAAAGTTGTGAGCTGACGCCACCCCCTGTAGGCGTGTATCTATGTATCTATATGGAATTTCGCAAGGTCCTTACCACCGGGCGCCGCTGGGCGGCGCGCGAGAAGAGACAGAACTCGAAGCATTCCCCGAAGGACTACTCTGTAGACATCCCACCTATGTTGACTCACGACTCTGCATGTGTCTTGGGCTGGACGTCCATGATATGCCCTTCATGTCCCGTTGCACATCATGTACAATATCTGACATGCCTTTCACGCATTCCTGATTCCTTCCGCGTCGCCGGTACTTACCAAGGTCCCTACAATATAGGGTGCCCACGTTCTGTACCTTCGTCATTCGACGCCGCAATCAGATGTTCACTACACATAGGGTGGCGGGGCGCGAAGGACGCCCTGGAAGCCTGTTGCATATAATCTCGCGCACGTAAGGTCGCCCAATGACGGACATACACACGACAAAGTGACGCAGCCTAACAGAAGTCGAAGCGGCGGCAGAGCCAGCAGACCAGCAAAGAGAGTAGCCGGCATGGCCAGCAGACCAAGATAGAGAAGCGAAGCGCAGACGCTGAATTAGGCGAGCCTATGACTTCACGCCCAAGAAGAGCAGCCCGCGCTTGGCGACCTCCACGGCCTCCTCCAGCTGACGCACGTCCTCCATCGTCCACTTCTCCGCGGGGTCGGCTCCGTTGCGGATGGCTGCTTCCCAAGCGCCGCGCTTGCGGCCCAGGTTAACCATCCGCTGCGGGTCCTCGTGCCCGGTGAAAATGACGAGCGCCGTGCGTGGTGGGAGAGCTGCGTGGACAGCTGCGAGGCGGGTGTTGAGTGCTGCGAGCGCCTGGTTGACTGCCTCTTTGGTTGGAGGTGGCTTGAACGCTGGGGGCTCCTCGGGTGGTGGAGCGCCCTTTTCCGGTCTGGCGGTGATCCCTGCGCGTAGTTAGTAGATGGACTGCGCGAGCGATGGAGTCAGACGTACATCCAAGAGTATCCGCCAGCTCCGTGAAGCGACCATAGACGAACTTATGTGAGGGGATCGCTTCCAGAAGCCCGCTAAGTACCTCCTCGTCCGTCGTGCATGCGACCGCCGTCGATGCCTTCGCCCCATGCAGCGCCGGATTCCCGTGATCGATCACCGCCGCGCGCCCCGCGCCGCCCGCGTTGAACTTCGTGCTCCGCGACATGCGCTCAAAGATGCTCTCCCAGTCCACGCGGAACGTCCCGTAGTCCGGCCCGTACTCAAGCTTGCGGTGCAGCAGCTCGACGCAAGCGCGTGCGTCCTCCTCTGGGTCGTGTCCGCCCTCGCCGCGGGCCTGGATCTCGCGCGCGCACCATTTTCGGGTTAGCCAGGCGAGACCGGGCTTGAGCGGTCTGCCGCGTGGGTGATGGTACATGAGAGCGGTGTCGATGCAGAGGGGATGGCAAATCTTGAGGGCGCGAAGATCATTCTCGAGCGAGTGGCCCATGAGAATGGGCATGGGTGCGTCTTTGGGGGTGAGGAACCTGACGATGTCGGCCTGAACTTCAGCAAGTGTGGTGGTGACAGGCGCGAGCGACTCTTCGGTTATCCCTGACCATCTGAGTGGATGTTAGCGAGGATTGAAGCAACGAATAGACATGCAGACGCACTTGGTGAGATAGTCGAGGATGGGCTTCGCGGGCTTGACTAGGCGATCGTACATCACTTTGTCCGTAGTGAAGTCGATCATGCAGACTCGCGCAAGCTCTTGTCCATCTTCAGTAAGACACTGCAGCCAGTCAGTACTAGGCTGTCTGAGATCGACAAGCCACGCACCATCTCACAATCCAACGCGTAGACGCTCCTCTGCTTGGGCTGCCTCCTCGCCTGGAAGTCATCCAGAATGCTCGACTCCTCCTTCGGGATCTCGACCCAGGCGTCGTCCGGCTTCTGGAATGTGTCCGCCATGTACGAGGGCACCGGGTAGTCGTTCTCGATCATTTGCTCCAGCGTGATAAGATATCGTGAGGGATCATTCGCAGTAGAGGCTTCTGCTAACAACAGATGAGCATTGGGCGTGGGCGAAGAGGAGGGCTAGGAGACGAACAGGCAGCGCGCGCGGCCATGCGTTGCCTCCGCTCTTGCTCCGAGACAGGGCCATTGAAGAACGTGCTGAGGACGCTGTGCATCCGGTTCGCATCTCCAGGAGCGCGAGTCGGGACGGCATGGCTGAAAGTCGAGGAGATGAAGGGCAGGCCGATCGTGGGTGCGTCGGGCGGGGGACGAAGGGGAATAGAGATCGGGAAGTTCGGGTTGGTAGTAGCGGATGTCGGGGGAGGAGGGAGGGATAGCACTTCACGGGTGATGCCAGGTACGAGAAGTACGACAACCTTCTGTATTTGCAAGGCGTTCTGAGGGGATGTGAGATTGGTAGCCGCTGCACGGGATCAGCACGCACATCTATCCGAACCCAGTTCGGCGGAGGAGCATCCGCTGTAACATGCAGGACCAACTCTCTGATATCCTGAGGGATTGTCAGACTTTCTTCGCGCCACAAACATGACTACGCACATCTATGCCCATTGCATGATTGCGCTTGGCGATTTCTGCGTTATTGTACAGGAATCGAGGCTGCTTGTCCTACGCAGGGATTAGCATCGTGTTCCCCCAATTATCCCCCTTCTTCTAGACGCGCATACGCCGTCTACGGCGCACTAGAACACGAGGGAGCTCACCAACCATCTGTACTTCCGCCTTTCTCGCCTTCTTCTGCTTTCGCTTCTCGACCTTCGTCCACCCGCCGGTTTCTTCATTTTCTTGCGCAGACAAACCGACAGATGTCTTGATCTTCTTGGCCTTGCTGGTTTCGGGGGAGTGACCACGCTTCATGACGGCGAAAGAACAAGGTGCAGAGGAATATTGCAGGTGCAATCAAACATCAAAGCGCGGATCAATTTTCAGATCAAGTAAAACCCATTGTTCTTTTGTTTGACGCCACCAGCACTTCAGTCAAACTTCAGCAATTGACAAGGGAACAACAGAACTGTGTATGGACAGTGAATGCGTCGGATAGAGTAGATTTCTTGTTGAGTATACAAGAATTAGGCACATCAATATCGTAAACGAATAAGCAAGAAATAAGTAAGTCATAATTGAATAAACAAAGGCGTCCGAGGCAATCGTCAGATCGTAGGCAGAGGTCCCCGTCATGAGATTAGTCCGATATTTGAGCATAAATAGCGTGGACGAGAGGTTCAAGTCAGTCTACTGCATGTCCGAGTCCAATGTGGCATTGTTTAGCATCTCTGCCATGGGTCCACCGAGTGGACGGTGGAAGGCTCCGCTATGCGTCGTCAGAATCAAAAAAGCTTAGACGGGGCGAGGACAAAACTCACAAGAACGTGTTCCAGACAGGACAGAGTTGTTGCCAGTCCGGAGGCGGCGGGTTCGCCGCTGCTGCGGAGTCGACGCCCTCTGCGAGGACGACGGCCAAACCACCCTCTGTATTATGTTAGTCACACTCTGTCAACGATAGGTCACCCAGACACTTACGCAGATGAGGGTCGATGTGGCTGAAGATATGATAGTCAGCAACAAATATACCGCGCCAGCGGGCGAAGCTCTTACCAATGCAGAAACCACGGTCCCGGATTGTCCGCCACAAACCGAATGACCGCGCCCGCGCCGGGCCCCTTCGAATCGGTGCCCGTATTTACCACATCCCTTCGTACCGGATTCTTGTAGTTGAACTCCTCGCTCCCGGCGCTCCTCACCACGCTGAATGAATGGCCGTGCAGATGCATTGGATGAGGCGAACCGGTCATCCCGGACATGTCCGGGATAAGAGTAATCTCGACGACGCTGCCGCGCTTGATGTCGATGATACTCTCTTGCGGCAGGAGGTCCGACGCGCTCTGAGCGCCGCTGAGGATTTGGAGCAGGTAGGGCTTCATCATGCCGTCCGGACCGTGGAAGTTGTGGCCATTGACGTTGAAGAGGACCCCGTCGAATCCCAGGGTGAGGTTAACGGACTGGACGTCGACGCCGTATCCGGGCGTGCCCGGCGCAGCAGGGTCGACCAATGCATGGAGCTCCGGTTCGCGAAGAGGTACTTTGTCGTGCGGCGCGTGCGTGTGTGGTTCATGGTGCGATGCACCTGTACGAGACATGTCAACGACGCGATGTATAATATCGTTGAAGACCGCGGCATACCGTTATAGTGCAAGATCGCAGAATTCAAGCCGCCGGTGAAGTTGGCCTCTACATCATTCGTCCCATGCAAGGCTACGTTCGGCACCGCCCTCATCCAATAATTGTCCTTAGGTTGCGTCGCGTTCAGGATGAACGAGTATCGTTGACCGGGAAGGATTTGAATCTCGTTGACCATCTGCGCTGATGGTTCAGCGTTTCCTTTCAGCCAGACATGAGCCGGCACTCACCAAAGGTTCCGTCAACTGCCCATCCGCCTCAATGATGGTCAAGTTATGTCCGTCAATAGAGAACTTGTAGTTGGGTTCGCAAGCGAGCGAGATGAGACGGAAACGGTAGCGCTTTCCATGCTCGACATTGATCTTGGCTAGTGGCGCAGTCAGGTCCTTTACACTTCGCCCCTTGCCATTGAATAGCGTGCTAGAAACACAAAGTATGATTAGCACCCGCAACATATCCTTAGTCGTGCGCCCATAGGACTCACCTGTCCGCGACAAACGGGCCACCGCCAGGTTGAGTGCGCGCCCCAGAGTGGTACCAATCCGCGAGAGTCAGCACGGTAGATTCTAAAAGAAGACTCTTGAGCGAATATAGGTGAAAGAATGACTGCCTGGCATACCATCGTCGACGTCGTAGTGATCTTTGTAAGGGTCATCTGGGTCGTATACAACTAAAGCGCGTCAATACGATGTTTCCCTTGCCGTAGATTGTAGCGCATACCTAGCGGACCTGTGCATCCAGTATCGTCAGCGATGAGCATGATGTCCGTTCAAAGCAAGCGTACCTCTCAAGCCTGGTTCGCGGTATCCCGTTAGCATGATGCACGCGTCCGTTGATCGCACGACTCACCGTCACAGTACTGGATGAAAGATCAGCTGCTGTAAAATATCTCGAACACAATGCATATGCGTACCTGCAAATCGAAGTGTGAATGATACCAGTACGTCCCCGCCTGGTTGTCATCGGTGCTGAACTTGTACGTGAACTTCTCGCCCGGCATGAGCGGACACTGCGTGACATAGGCAACACCTATCGGGCTCAAAGCTCAGCATCCGCATCGCCAAGACGCCGATAGAAACCAGCGCGAGGCTCACCATCAGCGTAATTAGTCCCCCTCTGGTAAAATCCGTGCCAGTGCTGCAGCGCGCGGATGATTCAGCTGCGCGCAGAGAAAGATGAAGTGTCCGGACTTACAATGCTAGTGGCGATGTACATGTTCGGATCAACGAGAGAAGACAGGCGATCGAGGACCTCGAGCCGAAACTTGTCGCCCTAGGAGGAATTGAACTGTCAACGGCGGCTTCGTTTTTTCGCAAGGGAAGGAAAATTGCTGCGCACCTTGGTCGCCTTTATCATCGGCGAGGGGAACTCATTGTTGACGAGGACGCCGCTGGGATGGTATGAGCGTCGCGCAGCCGAATTCAGGAAAGGCACTCACATGCGCTCGATGCCGTCGGGGGAGACTGGACCGTTCGAGATAGCCAAGGACGCCTTTGCATGTAGTACCTTGGCGGCAGAAGCAGATGAGGGAAGGAGGGCGACGATCGCCGCGCACGTCCTCAATATAATAAATGGGGAGACCATCTCGGGCGTCTCCTCTAGCGCGTGAGGCGGGTGAGAGATGCTGCTTCGGCGGGGTGAAAGTCCTCATGCACATCCCCGACCCTTTATACCCCCGCCCGATATACCCCTGCCAGCCCTCGGGTGATGTCCTAGTCAGGCAGTGGCGCGCACTGTAAACGATCTGTGTTCAGCTCTCCCGAGTCATATCGTGCAAGCTTGCAGAGCTCAATGGTGGCGTAAAGCTGTCCTCTACGGAGAGCCTCAACTTACATTGTGAACGGAGTGAAACCATGGTAGATATTTTCGTCTTCAGCGGTAAATGGCTGCCGCTCGTGCGACCGCTCTCGAGGCAGTGGGTAATGACTGGCAGCTCTATGCAGCGGGAGTTACTGGTAAATGGACGGGGAGAAGGACGTCTCACATGGCTGTAGACCGATAGGGTATCGCCGGATTCAACTTCCGTTTGGCTCGGTAGTAGGGCGGCCCATCCTACTGTCGGAAGAACAAGGAGCGCATCGCAGCGCTGTCCAATATAAGGGCGGTGGTCTTGCAAACAGACCCACAATCTACCCCCTCTACGTAGCTAGCTGGTCATTTCTTGGCCCTCTTTCTGGTCGACGTCTACAAATTACGGCTCGAGGCAAGCTAAGCGAAGGGCCAACTTACGATTGAAGGTGCTCTGCGACATGAAACGAAGTCTACAAAGAGGAGAATGAGCGCGCGGTCAGTGCAGACCGGCCATTGACGACTCACGAGGGGAGCATCGACAACAGCGTCACCAGGCTATGAGAGGCCGACATGGTACCCGCGAATGAACACCAGTCATGAGGTATCGCTCAGCGCTCAGTCCGCGTACCGATCGTCGCATGAGATTGCAACTCATGTCTCCGTGATGGTTAGATTCCAGAAGCATTCAACAAGGTACTCCAGTTGCTGTGAGTCGCCCATTGCAACACCCGTACCTCGCCGCTCCATTAGGCAGTTTGCGAGAAGGCCGCGAAGCTCAGGTCACCGTCAGGTCCGCATTCTCGCAAGCTAGACTGTTCCACGATTCAATTGGCCTAATTGAACATACTGGTACACTTGTGAGTCCCTACCCCGAGCTTCGGGTGTTCGACGTCTAATGAGGGTGAACAAGATTGATCGGCGCAGCCTTGGTGGCTGAGATGAGCCTGAGGTGGGTGATGCGCCGTCCGTCTTCGCCGGCATCCTCCTCTTCAGATACCCTGTGAGAGTGTGGCTCAGTGTCGTTGGTATGCACAAAACGGGCGCGCACGTACCTGGCATGGAATACAATGGTGTTGAAGTGTGTCGCGGGCGCTGCGCGAATCCTCAGCTTGGACTGTCTGGTCACGACGATGGTGCCTGCAACGAGGCCGGTCTGCCGATCGTCAAGTCAGTATACCATAATCCTGGAAGTACAGAAGCACGCTCACTCGCTTGTTCTCGTCCAGCACCTCGATCACATCCTTGAACTCCACCTTCGCCCTATTCGCCATCGCCTTCCTCTCCGTCATATCCTTCCGATACTCATCGTATTCCACGGGCTTATCGTTCAGGAAGATCTCCGCCCTCGGTGAGAGCGCTGTGTCGAAATTCGAGACAAGATTCTGCGCCTCCGTGTCGGGGGCGTATTCGTACACATTCGCTAGGCGCGCCTGCGCCCAAGAAGCCAGAGAGTCGTCTGAGGCGGACATTTCTAGGTTCGTTTGGTATGCAAAGACTGTGCAGAGATGGGAGTTTCGGTCAAGATGCGATGGCGCATATGTGCGGCGAACACCGTCATCGCGGTCGCGGCGATGCGACGCGCAAGTCCGCGGAGAAGCAGGTTGCCCGGTCCGGGTAGTCCGAGATGCCAAGCATGGACCTACAACGTCGTGACAAATCGTACAATGGTCACGGCTGACACTCGCGAACTTAGACGAGGCAATGATCACTGCATTCCGATTCTCGCAGACGGTCACAGCTCATCCATTCAGTGTGGTATGCATGGCTCAGATGGTAAAAAATGGTCCTGACATCCCAAGAACGAATATGGAGCAGAGCCGGGCATGCATGGCCACCCTCCGCTGTATTTTCAATTGAAGCCGCGCTCAAAAGTAGCCACCTTGTACGGCATACCGCTCTCCTTCAACCATCTTTCTTTCGACTCGCTAGCCCAGGATGCCAGTCAATGACTGCCGGTGACGATTACTGCCCATTCTCCCCCGCACAGGCACCTTTATGGACATGTCTGACAGCCCAACAACCCTTCCTCGTTTTACTCCCGCCTTTGAAATGTGCATAACAACGCACCCGTTATGCAACTCTCGATCACGTCCGAGCATGCCAATACAAAAAGCACAGCTCCCTCTTTTCTTTCTGTCCGTTACGTCCATTCGCCACCCCTACCCACCCTCTTCCCTCGTCCAAACCCTCATCCCGGTTGTCGCGCGCTAGCCAACGAACAATGCTCCTCTCCGCCGTCGTCCTGCCAACGATCGTCTCACTCGCGCTAGCCGTGCCGCGTCCGAGACAGGATTTCTGCGACATGCGGGTACGTCTCACCTCCTATTTCGTCGGACGGGGCTCAAGTGGGACTGGGCTAAACTGGACTCACTGACGCGATCCGCTTCAGGCCTGCTTGAACGACCTGCGCATACCCGATTTGCCCGGCTGCATGGCGCTGGCGGCGGATGAGAATGGTGAGTTGGTGAAGGCCTGAAGTTGTATCAGAAGAATTTGCAGCTTACCGGACCCGCTACGATAGCCCCATCTTCATCGGAAGTCCTCGTCGAGCAAGTGCTTTGTTTGCGCAGCGCGTATTCGTTGTTCGAGTATGCTGTGAGTTGCGCATGCTCCTCCCTCGACTGCAACGACTCACCCACTCACGCTACGCCCTCCCAGTCCTCCGCGTGTGAGCCCTGCATGGAAGCGCTCGGGATACCCGACCTCGACGTCGACGCCTCAGAGCCCATAAAAGCGTGGCCTTCCATTATCGCCCCCTCCGACGTGGACCATCCCTTGTACGCAGCGATGGCAGCGGAGGCGTCGCTCTTCCGCGCCGAGGACCAACTCACGAAGCAGGAAGCGCTGGACGCCGAGCGAGAGTGGCGGAGATTGCGAGCAGTGTTCAACCCAGGAGAGCGAGCACTTTCAGCGGCGCAGGCGAAGGCTGATCGCCCGCAAATGGGGCACCTTTTGAGGGACGTTCTGTCTTTTGGGATCGAGCATTGGTGGTGATGTACGGGAACGAAATGAATGATGATCAATGACCACCGATGGAGTCGCTATGGCTGGCCGAGTCGCGAGTTCGCCAGGTCGGGGACATTTCGTACGAGCTGCTGGTCAACTTATTGCATCCACCATCTCTATTTATCTTACTGCTACGTCTATTCAGATTGCTACATCGAAACCACGAATTAGTGCAATAAATCAAGTCAAAGCCAGGATGGGGTCTAGAGAATGATGAACGGCTTCACTTCCACTCGGACTAGACGTCGGGAACAGCTTTCGACGGGCTTCATTGGCTCTCGTTATTACAGTAGCTTGCGATGAAAGCCGACCCGTATACGGCTAGTAACCTGCGGTCATAGATAGTACGGTCATGAAGACCGAGCGTCCCATATATTGGCCATCATAATCTGTTCATGGTAGGACCTTTGGTCTTCATGGACAGCTGTACCGCCCATTCGCAACGAGATGGGGATGAGTATAAAACAGATTCTGGGGAAACGTACCTCGCTCACTAGAACCCTCGGACCTCGTAATCCTCTTGACTGGGTTGAAGTCAGCAAGCTCAAACATTGCCTTCGCTCCGCCTCACCGCTTGTACCACGGAAAGCTTTTGAGTTGCGAATATATGCAATCAGAACAGTCATGGGAGCGGACTCACTCCAGCTCAGAGTCAAAGTCAGATGTCAAGGCCCAAGGACCGCGAGATGCGATGCGGCGGATAACGCCACATATTCCACGTGATGTGCGGTGGCGCGGACATCGCTGACGGTCGGCGCACAGTGCGCAGCCAGCACATCTTGTCCCGAACCCCCAAGCACATCCTCATCTTCACCCTAGTCTCCCCAGTCTCCCCAGAAGAACATGAAGCTGTCGATTCTGTCGACCTTCGTCGCCGGCGCTGCCCTCCGTACGTCGTAGCTTCCGTCATCTGCACACCCTTACTGACCAACATCCGATCGAACAGTCCAGCAAGCGGGAGCAAGCCCCCTCCGCGTTGTCGTCGTATCTAACGGGCCCGCGGATGTGGCCCAGCACATCCGCGTGGGCAGGCCCGCCGCCGAGCACGGTGCGATGCTCATGCCCGACTTCGCTGTCATGCACAGCGAGATGAGCGCCGAGCATGGTGCCCGCCCCTGCCACGGTCGTGGGCGCGGGCGCTTCAACCAGAAGGCGATCGAGATCTCGAACGCATTCCGCCAGGCGCTCGGCATGCCCCTTATCGAGATGCAGCAGCCCGAGCACCACCGTCATCACCACGACGGGCCCCACCGCGCCGAGCAGCGTCCCCACCACGGCCATGACCAGGATGGTCCGGAGATGCGCATCATGGACGTGGATGGCAAGCCCGTGGATGGCGGCGAGGCGCGGATGCCCCCGGGCCCGCACCACCATCACCACCACCGCATCCACTTCCACCACCACGAGCCATCCTTCCTCCGCCGTGTTCACTTCGCGCTTATGACCCTCGGTCCCTGGGAGGGTCGTGCCGTTGCCTTTGTCCTTGGTGCGTCATCATGATTCAACTCCTCTTGCTATTTCACTCACACGCATTCCTATTCATAGGTTGCGGTATTGGCGTTTTGCTGCGGATGCTCTGGGTCCTCGCTGTCGTTGGTTATCGCACTGTCCGGGGCGAGAGTGAGGAGGCAGAGTACCAGATCGTCTGCGAGCAGATCGAGGACGCCGAGAATATCGTCGTGCCCCCTCCTAACTATACGCTCGTGGAAGAGAAGATCGACTACGATGCGAAGGTTGCCCCCGAGGAGAGGAAGTAGACCAATATCTTCTCCCTATTTCTCATTCCCCATCTCCCCATGGTCCGCAGGCAACGGTCCCCCATCCCACCCTCAAAGTCGCACTCAGCCACTTAACCGGACGTGTATTGCTTAGCATTCATCCGACGGCGCACATTGCCTATGTCGCTCCTTAGCTCCTTGTTCCTGTTTACTGCTTGGGACTGCTATTCTGGGAGTACAGCTATCTGTCTCTCGATCTAGCTGGTCCCCAACGTGTACCATACAGTTGCTAACTTATATCTGGGCAATCCAATCTACTGAGATTGCTCAACGAGTCCAAGCTTGAGGCTTTGAGGTCCGAAGCCCTTTGACGAAGACTAAACTCTTTTGGCAAGTACGGAGAAATGCACAAAAGCTACAACGGTTGCTGACCCAACTTCACTATTTCACTGAGGCTGACCCTCCCCATGTGACTCGGGTAGTTGGAAATCCCCCAGGTGCATTTGCTCCTCCTCGGGTCCAGCCCCAATAAACTCCTCCATGCCCGTATCCCCCAGTCCCTCCATGGTCGCATCTCCCATCGCTGAGAAATCGCCCGCGCCTAGCATGCTCTCATCTCCGGCACCCAATCCTCCACCACCCATCATACTGTCGTCACCGCCCAGCATCCCGCCCGCGCCCCCGCTGAAGTCCTCACCACCACCAGCGCCGAAGTCACCGCCCTGCGCGCCGAAGTCGCCAGTATGAGCTCCGAACTCGCCCCCTGCTGTCGCGTCGAACCCTTCGGTGTTGAACCCTTCCGGCGCTCCATGAGCCGCGAAGCCTGCGTCTCCCATTGCAAAGTCGCCCCCTTCGCCGTCGTCTCCTGCCATCAGTCCGTCCGCGGGGGTCATCTGGCTCAGGTCGTGCGTGCCCTCGAGCTGAAGGCCGTCCGGGCCCAAACCGCTCAGGTCGAGCTCGCCTGGTTGAGTTTGTACACCGCCGACAGCCTCGTTACCTACACTACCCTCTGTAGTCGTCTTCGCCTCCTCCGGTACCGGCGGCGGGGGCATCGCGCTCGTCTCCGCTGCCTCAGCTGCAGTCGGGGCGTCCGCAGAGGGCGTGGGTTGTGCATCGCTACCGGTGTTGGTCGAGGCTGCGGGTGCAGGCTGCGGCGGCGCGGTCTCGGCGCGCGACTCAGACGCGGAGGGTGCAGTGGTGACAATCTCGGGCTCATCCTCGTCGGGCTCGTCGGGGAGGGGCGCGAGGGGCTCGTCGACATCGTCTTCGTCGTCGGAGAATTGCTGTGACGGGTGTTAGTATGGGGAGTAGGGGTCACGTGGGTGTTGGTTCGAAAAGACGAGCGGAAGATGGCTGAAAAGAAAAGTCAAGGGATTGGTAGACGAAGTGGTGTATGGTGGCAAACCGAACAAGAAGCACTTACCGGCGGCTGATTGATTTGAATCCACTTGTAAGCCTTGAGAGAGGAGCCCTCAACAGGCATAAGTTTCTTCTCCCAGGTCACTTGGACGCGCTGCATGAGTTGTCTGCGCGCCGCCTCAGTGGTGGCAGCGCTAGGCACACCGACGCGTCTCCGTGTTGACATTTTTGTATCGTTTCGGGTTCAAGGGCCAGGCCAGGCTCTTTGTGGGTTCAAAGCTCTGAGGAAGGACAGATACGCTGCTTTCTACAACCATTCGTTTGTATGCTCAGATAGGCGCCGACGAGGACGCGGTGAGTACTCACGTTTATGGCGCCACGAGACCGTGATTGTTGAAGACAAAAGAGGCAATCCGGCTTGTTGGCCGGACCGGCGCTATTGTTCTCCGGATGACTCATCCCCAAATTTGGTGTTTATTCTCATTTGCCATAGCTGCAACCACACTAACAGCAACTGTCCTTGTTATACTCCAAGTCCTTTCTGCTATCTAATATGCGTGTATGTCAACATCAACCCGAAGTGCCCGACTCAGCCAGGAACAAGTTGTCTCCCGCGAGAAAACAAACAAGCGGAACCGCGCCCACTAACAGATGTGAATAGTGTCAGATATATGTACAATAATATGAAGCAAATATGTCCCAAGCGCGTCGATAGGACGGCATATAACGATGATACATAAGAAATATGACAGGTAGATAAAGACAGAAGGGCAGGGGAGGATAGGATAGGTCAGAAGCCTCGCACCAGCCCCGAGAAGAGCAAATAAATGAGGGCGAGCAAATAACGGGGTAGGAGGAAATAGGTGTTGAGGGTAAGAGCGGAATGAGGATGACGGCGGGCAAGAGTTGTGCAAGTTGAAGAGATATCGGGGAGACAAGGGTCCTCTGTGGGAGATGCTGGCGGGGTAGGTAAAGAAGGGTCATCGTCCTCAGCCGAAGCCGCAGACGGCGACGTCGCTTCCACCCCGTCAGCTCGATCAACATCCGCCGAAGGGCCGTCGGAGACCACCGCGCCATGGTCGCTCGCGTCTGCACCTGCTCACTCTTCGTCACTACTTGTCTCATCCACGGACATCTGTTCCTGAGACAAACAACTGGGCATGACCCAAGACGCACCCGCATCAGCCTGCTGCTCATCGGGGTACCACGTCCCCCATCCACCGCTCTCATCTGGCGGCCACGGACACGCCAGCACCGGCAGACTCGCCTGGTTGGTCTGCGTGAGCTGGGGCGACAACACTGCGGGTGGCGGCTGCGCGTGCGCTGGCGCGACTGACGCCTCACCTCCTGCCTGGCCTGCGCGCCGCGCGCGCGCTTCCTCGGCCTCATCCTCCGCTGCCTCCTTGTCTGCGAGCTTGCGCGCCTCGCGCTCGCGCTTCTCGCGTCGCTTCCGACGCGCCTCGGCCTTCTTCTCCGCGGCCTCGCGCTCCTTGCGCTCTTTCTCGAGGCGCTCGCGCTCGCGCCGAGCACGCTCTTCCTGCACCCACTCGGTTAGTCCCCGCGCAGCGCGCTGCGGCTGCGATTTGTGACGTAGCAGATCTGTGAAGGCATGATCAGTCCACATGTTCAAGGGGAGACCGCCAGGACGCACAGCCCTGCAGGTCTGCTACTGAGAACTCAAATTCAGGCAGTTGCGCAGCGAAGATCTCCGCAAGCCTGTCGAGTTCCGCCAAGGGCAAAGTTGTCGGTGCCCAGAGGTTGCGAACATCGCTGGGAGGGAGTTCCTCCTCTTTTGCCTCGACGACCGGCGGCGGCGATTCCGTGCGAGCGGGTTGCGGGTGGGGAAGCTCTGGAGGCCGTCGTTGAGGTGATGCGGGCGGTGTCAAAGTGCACATCGTAGGACGAGGCCGGTTCTCGAGCTCTCGCAGCTGAGCCTCGAGCTTCGCGGCGTTGAAGGACCCAAGGTCGCCCGAGCTGCCGAGATGGCCACCGTCGATGCGAATGGGCGTCGGCGGGTGCGAGTCATCGTCGTCTGCCGACGTGGATGGAGGCGCACCGAACCAGGAGCCGAGTCGCGAGACACTCGGGACCCAAGAGTTGCGGCGGCCGTCGGTCTGCAGCGACTGTGTCCGCCTCCGCGCAGTTGCATGGGACGGCTGCGACGACATAGGCTCGGCGATAACATGCCTGTCGATGTCGTACTCCTCGTCGGACGCAGTGCCCTGGCTATCCGTCCTCCGCCTCCGACCCTCGAGGTCTATCCGGTCAGGATCATTCGCTGCCCGTGCAGCCTCCTCCTGCAATCGCCGCGCATCCGCGTCTTCCTTCGACACGAAGAAAGCGCGGAAGAAATCAGCCGCTTGCGGCCGAGAGGCATTCTTGAACTCTACCCAGACGTCCATGCGCCCGGGCCGCGCAAGCGCGGGATCCAGTGTATGTACATGTTGCGTCGTTCTGCATGGCAGTCAGTCATCGAGACATTGCGAGCGAACGGGAGAGCGGGAGTCGAACAGTGATAGACACTGTTTGAGTCGTGATGAAGAAGGATGACTCACGCGAACAGCAAACGCCCCTCGCTCGCAGCGACACCATCTAGGGCGTTCAACAAGCCGCTGAGACTGAGGGTGTTCGCCATCGGGTCGGCATCGCCGGCTTTTCTGCGTCGCCTGCGACTGCTACGGTGGCTGCAGTCATGGGTAAGCAGGTAGTCGAGATCCGGTAAGTCTTCGAATACTTACCCAGATGAACCCCCGTACGGGTCGAAGTACGGCTCGGGCGGATTGGGATTGTTGGAGTTGGACCCGTTATTCGGATTGCTGTTTGGGTCTCCGTTCTTCTTGTCCTCCTCCTCGCTCTCGTCGTCCTTTTCTGGCGGTGGCTTCGGCGGCGCGAGCGCGGTATCGAGGTCTTTGAGCAGTAGGATACATCTACTAGGAATGAGAAGCAGGATCACATACGTTCGAAGGTACTGACCTTGATGGAACTCCACCAATCAGAGCTCCCAGAGACTCGTCGGTCATGCCCGGTGCGGACAGCGATATCGTGTACACGTCGAGCGCATAGTGCGATGCGAGGGCGTAGATCAAGGACGACTTGCCTGCCATACCAGTCAGCGATCCGTCGAGCTAGGATCTTTTGGCTACTCACCATTTCCTGGCGGCCCGTGAAGCAGGTATCCTCGGCGAAAGGGGATTCCACGATCGCCGTACCACTGTGATTGTGATTAGTATTGAGTGACCATGGTCCGGAGCATGTGGGAGGCTCATTGGGGGTCAGCAGGGGGCGTCATAGTGATCGATGGGTACGCGTGAGAGGAAAGAAGTGACCAAGTGGGCAGGCGCTAATCAGGCGGACCCGACGCGCGGGAGAATATCATCAAAGAATACAACGCAATGGTTGTCGACAATAGATGGATGCTTGTCACCTCGGTGGGCACAACCGGCGCAGGAAGGTGGGGGACGGGAAGGGAGAGGGACGGAGAATGCCTTACGGCCGCCGAGTAAGAGGGGGGAAGGAGATGAGCGCACCTTCTCGCTGGCGAGGAAGTCCCCGACATCGTCAACTATGCTTTCTTTGATTCCGCGTTCCAGGACCACGGTCCGGAGCGGTCGCTTCGGGCGCGTGCGGTCGAGTGTCCAGTCGTTGCGGACGCCGCCCCCGCGCCCACGGCGGCTGGACCCGGGGAACTCATCGTCACGTCCATCATGGCCGCCATATCCCCCTCCCCCGTGACGGCCACTGCTGCTGTAGCCTCCGCCGCCCCCGTAATAGGATGACGAGCGGCTGTAGTGGCGGGAGGAATAGTAGCCGAAGGGCGATGGTGGGGCGGGGACGAAGAGGGAAATGCTGTGCTCGAGGGACGCCTCGTACTCTTTCTTGGCTGTGCGGACCAAGGTCTTGAGGACGTCGCTAGAGCGCGCGACGACGCTGGAGTGGCGTTAGCACGGGGAATGGAGGTCGGAGATGGACACGCACCTGACGCTGAGCACCTCCTCATCGGTGCTGTCCTTCTTCCAGCGCCACACGCGGAGCCAATGTCCGCGGAAGTATATCGTGAGCTGCGACTCGAAGGTCGGCTGGAACACAACCTTGAGGGAGAGCGCGTCGTCTTCGCCAGCGGTGCGGTCGCGCATAGTGACGCCCTCGCACTCGCGCGTGCGCCCCCATTCGGGCTGCTTTGAAAGCCACAACATGAGCCATGCATACGGCATGTCGGTCTCATGGAAGTGCGCGGTGAGGAAGAACGCTGTCGTCGGGGGAAGTGAGGCAGACACCGTCAGCGACGCGACAGGGCGCTGGGAAGGGCACTCACAGTTGATGAAAGAGGTCCACGCCTTCGTCGTCATGCGCTTCGCGGTCTGCGCAGCGCCGCCAAGGACCATAAGCTCGAGGCCTAGCGGCTGGACGAGCGAACGAAGGTTGTCCATGGCTTGCTCGTCGTTGTCGACGATGAGGGGGCAAGCAAGGAAAGTCTAGCGTTCGTGGCGATGGTGGTAGAGGACAAGAGGTGCTCTCGACGCGTCATGCCCCGCGCGGACTTAATACTTCTTTATTTGCGCGCCCCGACGCGCCTCATGTTCTCAACCCCGGATTGCATTTCATCACGCGTCGCGTTTGGTAACTATTATTTATCCGCTGATCACCTTGTTAAGGGCCTTATTTCTACCTAGTTTGGACATAAAAGCAGTCAAAAGGGGGTCTTTGAGTCAGTGCAAGTCAATGCAGTTCCCTTGTTGTGGCAAGCGCCTGCCAGCGCTTGTTGTGCCGCTGACGATGCGATGCATTGTTATCAAAGAGTCCCGCATCTAAATGAAGCCGGAGCCCATAACTGGAAGGTACAAACCCCGACAAACGCCACAGCTCGTGGGGGCGGCGCGAAATTCATTTTTTGCGACACTTCTTTCGCTGAGCGCCGTACGAGACCGCACTTCGCTCTTCATAGGCTTCGAGCTTGTTCGCTTGCAGGGTCGACCTGGTGGTGCTGCGAGTCCCCACTCCGCAGGGCACGAGAACGTCTACTGACGCGATCCACCGACATAACTGTGGGCGACGGACTTGAGGTATTCCAAGTCAGCGAGCAGTAGAATACAGACGTGGACCCACAGAGACAGAAGCGGAATTTGAAACAATTGGAATGAAGCCCAGCGTGCGAGCGAGGCCTCCAGAGTGGGGAAGAACCGGATATTTGTCCGTGTCGAGAGCATGCTAAGGGCTACTAGTGGAGCCTTAAGGTATGCTTGGGTGTAAGATTCGCAAGCTCATCTGCAGTAGCCCGCGATATCGTCAGCGATAGTCTAGGTACGACGTACAAATGCCACGCACCGAATGACCACGGGTCTTCATTCATGGCTCGACATGAATGCCCGAAGGCTTAGTCCCCGTATAGTCATTCGGGCCAGGTTTTTGTCGAGCATATGCGAAGGACTTTCGCGGGCTACGTTACCATGTTGCAAGCACGCTGAGAGCTAGAGCTGCCAAGCTTGAGGGTGAAGATCCACGTCGTGAGCCCGAAACTTGACAGCTGCAGAGCAGCAGCCTCCTGCAAAAGCTGTTACACTGGAAGAAGGTGGATCCAAAGGGCAGACTTCTCCGTGCAGGCTTAGAGAAAAACTTAGCAGGATTATCAGGACGAAAGTGATGAAGGTGGGAACAGAGAGCGAATCGCTCGATTAGGCCGGACCGGGACTTTGCCGAAGCCTAGCACGTGGCCGAGAAGCCCTTCACAGCGCCCTCTGCAGCCATTGGTGCTGCATTATCTGGTACTTACAGCAGGAATTAGTGCTTCAAAATATCTACTGTCGTCATACGCACCGTTGCCATCGACTCAGATTACCGGAACACCGAGTCGAACATTTGTGCACGTGATCATGAGACTTTCGGCGACTCCCGTACTGCCGGTGGCGGCAGTAGCCTCGCGGCGAACTTGCCCTCAACCATCATCGCGACTTCGCCTCGCCGTGCTGAGTATACGGCTCGCCTTTTATTCCGTGTCTGCAGCTGCCTCTACCTCTTACATTTTTGGCCATGCTCTTCATCCTCAAACCCATTCTACGTTGTGGCACTCGCTCAAAGTTGCCGGAGGCTCGTCATCCGGAGCGAGACTCAGACATGGAACGTTGCTACGAAACGACTGACTTAGACAAAGCTTGAGTCTCGCATCGCCCCTACGGCTAGTATATAAGGCCTGAACTTGCGTTGACTGGCCTTCTTGACTACCCACCACCACTTGACTAAACTCGTGCATCAGCATCAACACTCCGCCAAGCACAGCTCCTCGTCGCGTTTACCCAAGTACACTCGCGCTCACCCCATCAACACTCGTCAACATGCACTCTCACTGCGAGCTGCCCACCTACGAGGATGCCTACTGTACGCTCTGCGATAAACTCTTTCACTCGAAGCAACTTCTTCGCCAGCACGTCGAGCATTCTACCAACCACCCTCACTGCGACACCTGCGATCGGCGGTTCTTGAATAACCATGCGATGCGAATGGTACGCCTTGCCTACTTCTGGTCGCGTCATACTTGCTGACCTGAACCCCTAGCACTTCGCTGCATCGAAGAAGCACCTTTTCTGCGTCCACTGCGAGAAGCACTTCAAGACGCCTTCCGGTCTGCGCTGGGTACGTCCTTCGTCAAACAACCACAATAATTCGCGTACTTACTCCGCTCTCCTAGCATAACAACCACTCCCGGTGTCACCTTAAGCGCAACGGTTATGACATCCAAAGCCCCGCATACGACGTGAGCAACGTCGACATGAGCGCGCCTGACTGGGAAGATAAGCTCGGCATGCTTGAAGACGAGCAAATGGCGGGCAAGGAGGAAGATGTCCCCTTACCTTCGTATGCTAAGCCATTTTCTGAAGGCAGATTGGACGCTGCTACTGTTATTGTGCGTCTTTCCACCGCCCAATGACCTCCAATTGTGTGACTGACGACAGCTTCAGTTGCAGAAGAAGTACACCACCCAAGCGAAGGTGCCCGTACTCAAGCAGCGCTGCCCTATCTGCCTCTCGACGCCAAAGACGGTCGTCGCCACGCATTGCGGTCACTTGTTCTGCACACCGTGAGTACAATGACTGTATCACATCTCGTCTCAAGCGCTGACGCCCTGCTAGATGCATCGAACAGGTCGTCGCGGAGAAGGGATCTTGCCCGACATGTCGAAAGCCCAGCTACAAGGTGCAGCTGCGCAAGGTCGACTTGAGGGTCTTTTGATACTACCTACTCCTCCGCCGCTGTCTTGCACATTTTACCCAGCCTCTTGTAGATACCATGAATGAATACTCAGTCGAACAGTGCACGATCCATCTTTAGTTTTGGGAGGAACTGAACGTCTATCTTTAGGTCCGTACACGGTCAGCTGGTCCGCAGGACGCGCTCAGTGGCGTGGTTTCTGCGTGGTTCTTCTGATGCGCACCATTTACGAGCATGATTCTTGGCGACATCCGGGCATTCTTGCCCTCGGCCTCAGCTCTGCTCTTGCCACCATCATAGTTGACTTCACTGGCTGCGACGACCGACGATGCACGCCTCCCCTACTCTCGTCCTCGCGGCTTCAGCGCTGCTGCATGCGGGTGCGTAGTCTGCGCGAGTCCAGTAGAGTCTTGATTTTCGATCGCCCATAATAGGTGTAGCCCTCGCTGACGATGTCACGCTGTACACGGTGCACACCGAAGAGCTAAACCCGTCCATCGTCAGCGAGTACTCCGCAACGGTCTCTGCCGTCGGGACTGCATCTGACAGTGCGGCGACAACCTATGTCGAGGAGATAGCGATCTCAAAGCTCGAGTATGTCTTTACGGACAAGGACCAGACCATGACGATCGTCTCTGAGCCGAAGACAGAGACGCGTGAGTGACCCTCTTCATACCCTCTTATGAGATATCTTCACTAATCATCATCTTCCAGGAACCTTCGTCGAGGGCGCGTCCACGTTCTTCATGAGCGAGCCTGCGTATGCGACGTCTACGACATGGGCAGGGCATATCGCAAAGTTCACGAATCCTTCCTTGCAAGAGGAATGCTCGTACGACCAGGATGATGGCAAGGGCAGCTGTGTAGTGGTCGTCGGACCCGAAGGCAATCTCCCCAGCGGTGCGACGACATCGTTCGCGGGCGCTTTGCAACCCTATCAGACTATCGAGGCCAATGGCGCTGCGGGATCGAGATGGTGGGGTTGGACGAGCGAGTCCACACTGATCGGCTCACTGATGTTCGTGCTGACTTGCATATGAGGGCTGCTCACGTCTACGCAGACAATCTATTCACACATGTACCATCGTACAACATACCCACTTATAGAAGCCCTACAACGGCAGATTCAGGTCCTTCACATACATAAACTTGTCCGACTTGAAGCTCTCATTCGCAAGGAGCCCCACCACCAACGCCATCGCGCCATCGCGCTCGGTCGCCCCCTGCTTCGCAGCGTCGCCCGTATCCGCCGCCTCGCCTTCCAGAGGCCCGAAAAGGACGTTGAGCATTCGCGTGTCCCCGCCGCCGTGCGCGGAGTGGTCAACCTCAATGGGTAACCGCTCGGGCCTTCCCCAGAGGCGCTGAAGGGTCACGGTGGCGCCCCCTGCGCGGGGGAGGGCCTCGGTGCCGTGGATGAGGCCGCCGAGGGTGTCTTGGTCTTCAGCGAGGCGGTATTGGGATTCGACGACGTCGAGCTCGAGGCGGCCGTGCGAACCGTTGAAGGCGACGCGGTAGCCTTCCCATGGGGAGTATGCGGTCTAATGGTCGCGATTAGTCCGTCCACGCAAACAAGACAGCGAAGCGAACCAAGTGGTAAGTCATGATTGCGCCGGACTTGTAGCGCACCATCACGCCCATGTCGTCCTCAATACCGATATCAGGCGCGAAGACCTAATGATGCATATCAGCTGCGAGCACCCAAAGAGTGCCAGGTAGGTACGTACATTCTGGTCGCGATGATACCCGTCCTCTTCCTCCGCATCCGCGTATATACGCTTGAGCGTATCGTCCTTCTCGAGGTGAATCGCAAAGGGGTCCTTCTTCGCCTCCTCGCTCCCCCGTGCGCGGACGTAGTCGCGCGCCCATCCGTGTCGCTTGCCATTTTCCTCGCCGTAAAACCCGAGCTTGCCCATTCCCGCGACGGCTTCGGGCTCGGAGTTGATCCACCAGTTGACGAGGTCGAAGTGGTGGCCGGATTTGTGCACCATGAGCCCGCCGGAGTTCGTCTTCTGGCGGTGCCAGCGGCGAAAGTAGTCAGCGCCGTGAACGGTGTCTAGCAGCCATTCGAAGTGGACGGAGAGGACTGGAGGATCAGGTAAGTAGTCAGCGAGCATTGAAGAAGAGGCAGTATGCCTTGGCCAATCTTTCCGTCTGCAATAGTACGCTTGACGAGCTCGTGCACAGGATTATATCTTTGGGGAGGCGTCAGCGTTCAGCAAGCCTGTAGCGCTGAAAGGACTTGCCTGTAGTTGAAGGCCACAGTGACATGATTGTTCGTGTCCTTCACCGTCTGCAGTATGCGACGGCACTTCTCGATATCCGTCGTCATGGGCTTCTCGGTTAGCACTTTGACTGTAAGATGTTTAGTGATTTATACACAAATGGGTGCTGAAAGCTCTTACCTCCTGCCTTAAGAGCTGGTACGATGTACAAATCATGCAACGCGTCGACGCAGGTGATGACCACTATTTCGACCTTCTCCTTCGAAAGCATCTCTTCAAACTGATCGGGAAGATACACAGAAACCGTCGGTGCCCCAAGTTCAGTCAGAAGATCATTGTAGTACGCCGCGCGCTTAGAGTTAGGCTCGCAGAACGCGACCACCTGACTGGACGCTCGTGCGACGACGCCACGCACGAACATGGCCGCGCGGCTTCCGCAGCCGACGACAGCGACGCGGCCGCCTAGGGCTTGGCTTTGGGAGGACATGATGGGGAACTTCACCGAGCGCGCGACACGAGCGAGGCATACTTATGTGTGTAGGCTATCGATAGCCATACCAGCTGACACGGGGAACGGGATGGGCGGTCCGGGAGACCTTAGAAGAACGACCAAGACGATGACGAGCGTCAGTATGAAAGATTCGCTTGACGGATGTGGATATATGATGCTTGTCGTGCTCCGAGACGAGCCAGAGGAATTCTGGGGAAGGCGCACACTGCGCTGGAGGTGGAAGTTTGGGTAAAGAACTGTTTGATGGGTTTCGTTTGCACGAACGGCAACGACTGAACCCATGGGAAATTGTGGCGTTCCTGCATTACCATCACCTGAGCTAGTTGGACTTGCCCGCCATCACGGAACCCTGCAGCGGCATTGGCGACTTCGTCCAGGTGACTACCCTCCCTCGAGAATAACTCTCTTCTTACATTGCTTCCAAGTAGATACGCGAATACACCGCCCAGCACTGAGGACCATAGTGTAAATTCAGTCTATTGCAGGGAGCCTGAGCGAATGCTGCGCGGATGGACGTCAACTTCTGTGGTAGTGCCGGATTTCCGAGCTCACCGACGTTAGCTGAATGTCTTTGTACCTCCCGGACCGCCCAGCATCACGCGGTATCGTGAGGCATCATGTGGAGGTTAACCATCGAATAAAAGACGCCACTCCCCTCGAGCTTCGAGTGCAGGCGATCGACGCACTCCTCCAGTCCCTATCATGGCGCACGCACCTAGACGACCAGACTCGCCGCTCAAGGCTACAGTCGACCAAATCGAAGAGGTCGAGGTACTCTCGACGACTAGCGCTGCAGGTCCCTCCAAAGCGAACGTAGGCGACGCCGCGCTCGAAGTGCTCGGGCGCAGCGATGTGCGTCGCGAGATAACGACTGAGGAGGATAGGCGGGTACGACGGAAGATCGACCTCTGGCTGATGCCCGTCATCGTCATGGTGTACATGTTGCAGCAGCTGGACAAGTACGTGACTAGACGCCGAAGCTTACTATTCACTCATCGGACCTCAGGTCGTCCCTGTCCTATACATCTGTTTTTGGTATCGTGGAGGACACCGGTGAGTTGTCGGGTGTCGACGAAGCCCGACGGACTTCTGATAGTATGTTGCAGGCTTGAAGGGCCAGGAATACAGCTGGCTCAGTAGCATCGTATATGTCGCGCAACTCATATGGCAGCCCGTCTCATCATATCTGCTCGTCCGCCTTCCCGTGGCGAAGTATCGTGAGTATAGATAATATTGCCGTCTTCACGAATCTCATGCCGTGTAGTGTTCGTCCATGTCTTCATGTGGGGCGTCTGCGTAGCGTCTACCGCTGCTGCCCACAACTTTGCTGGTCTAATAACCGCCCGCTTTTTTCTTGGCATCTTCGAGGCTACAGTTGGTAAGCGTCAGGCTTTAACCCATATGCTTGACGCTGACAATGCGCTGGCCAGCCCCATGCTTCATCACCATCACACAAATGGTAGGCCCCCGACCATCTGCTGAAATCTAAGTCGTTTTCAATTATCATCAGTGGTGGCGACGACGCGAACAAACCATGCGCCTGGCTATTTGGATGGCCGCTAACGGAGGAACGGGTATGGTGAGCACCTTCCCTCTACGCAACGTCAACTTTACTGATTGCGAAAGTTTGGCTCTCTTCTTTCTTGGGGCCTTGGGCATATCGGAGGGAGTTTGCGGCCTTACCAGGTACTTCGTTCACACTGGCTAGCGACCTGCCGTGCCTAAGACGCCCTTCCAGACCATCTTCCTGTTCATCGGGTGCTTGACAACTGCGTGCTCTCCTATCATACTGTGAGCTCGTTCGCATTGTCCACTACCTACTAGTTGACCCTCGCGCAAGACTCGTCCTGCCCGATTCGCCCATCAAGGCGAAGTTCCTTTCTCAAGACGAGAAGATTATTGCCATCGAACGTCTACGCGCTAACAATCAGGTATACTCGCTTCAATGACCGGCATTGTGGAGTCGCTAACCCGTCTCAGGGCACCGAAACCAAAGTCTGGAAGTGGGAGCAGGTAAACGAGCTCCTCCTCGATCCCAAGACCTACCTCTGGTTCGCTCTCTTGTTCCTCTGCGCGTACGTCTTCGGCTTCCACCTTCATCTGTACTCTTCTGACGCCTGTCGCTAGTCTTCCCAGCGGCGGCATCGGCGCTTTCGGCCCCCTCATCATCAACGGCTTCGGCTTCGACCAGTTCTACACGATCCTCTTCAATATCCCGTTCTCCGCCCTTCAGGTCGTACTCACCCTCATCTCGGCGTGGGTCTCGCAGAGAATCAAGCTCAAGTGGCCCGTCGTCTTCTTCCTGACGCTTCCGGCGATTGGCGGCGCGTCGGCTCTCCTCGTACTGGGTCGTGACGCGTCGATCAAGAACGAGCTTTTGGGCTGCTACTATGTTCTGTCGTTCTTTACTGCGCTTCGTGGGTCCCTTCATCTATCCGTCGGATGCATGATCTGACGTGCGCTCTTCAGAACCGATGCTGTATACGTGGAGCTCGCAGAACACGGCTGGACATACGAAGAAGCTGTGTACGACCGGACTTGTCTTCGTCGCGCAGTGCACGGGGAACGTCAGTCCTTCAACCTGTGCCAGTTTCTCATGCAGCTTTACTGATACCGTTTCTAGATCGTAGGACCTCTGCTGTATACTACAGAGGAGAAGCCCTACTACCGCAGAGGCCTTGTCGCAAAGTAGGCTGCTCCGCTTATTCGCTGCAACCGTCACTGACGAAAATCCCTAGCTTGGCCTGCTGGATCGCTCTCGCGGTCCTGAGTGTCGTCACGGCCGCCTACCTCGCGCTCCTCAACAAACGGCACGCAGCGCGCCGCATAGCGGTTGGCAAGGCTGGCGTGGTCATCGATGCGTCACTTGAGGATTATGCCGGCCGACGAACCGCGACGGAAGGTGGCGTCGAGAAGCAGCAGGGACAGACGCTTGCAAATGAGCGCGCTTTCGACGACTTGACGGATTTACAGAATGAGGACTTCATTTATGCTTTGTAGTTCATCTAGTGTGATCGAGTTTTGGATCAGTGCCCGACTGAGCTTGGAGGGTCGCTATCAGAAGTAGGAGGAATCACAATCGACTCAAACTTGCTTCGCATAAGCGCGAAGTGGCATAACGCTGTTGGCGGGGGTAGCTCAATCTTCTGCGATAAAAGTGGCTTGGACTGAAGGCAAAAAAGGATGCCATAAAGCAGAAAGACAGCATGCATTAAGGGGGAATCGAACCCCCGGCGGGTCGAAGGCTGCCTTCGTGGCAACGACCCAGGTTACCACTACCCCATCAATGCATTGAAAGGGTTTATTTCTGTATCTCTACTCCAATGCTATGGGTTCCACCGTTCAGTGTCAAGGAGCTTTCGCTCCCAACCTCCATACCGTCTACCGAGACAACACCGGTGAACGGTAGGACGACAACACCAGTTGTCCCTTCCGGCGCAGTCACGTTGAGATGGAACCGCCCGCCCGCGTCGTCGTTTGACCAACTCACCCCAAACCAACCCAAGGGCGTCTCGAATCCGCCTTCGGCGGCGGGGAGGCCGGCCGTCTGTGGCTGCACGCGGAAACCACTGCCGCCCGGCTCCATCAACGTGAGGCCGAGAAGGTACGATGTGAGGGCGGGAGTTGGGCCTGCACTCCATCCATGCGAATGCGATATATACGATGGATCGTCCGTGTAGCCTGCGTAGGAGCGATACCTGTCAAAGCCTGTCAGAATATTCAAATACAGGCGAAGAGAGAAATCAGCGCACAGAAGCGAGCCGTTGGACGTATATCCCTCAAGGAGCGTCGACTGCACGCTCACGTTGGTGGTCAGCATCCAGCCCCACTGCAAACGTATGAAGTCGAGTGCGCGCTCGGGCTCGCCTGCCGCAAAGTGCGCGTGTACCTATAGCTCATGTCAGTACCTCTTCCTCTTTGTAAGGCAGCAATAGCTAACCTCCATACTCCCTGCAAAAGGCGCGACATTGTCCGGAAGCTCTGGCGCTACCGCGCCCACTTCAACCCAGTTACCCGTCAATCCCTCGCTCACGCGCGTCTTGCGTTCGTCAGACGATGTCGCATTGAACCAAGCGACGAGCGAATTCCCGTCTTGCGGGTGCAGCGTCGTCGTCGTGTTGTCGAAGTACAGACCCGCCTCCTCATCCCAAAGCTCTGCGTTGAGCGCTGCCTTCAGGCCTGCGGCATCAGCGAGCCAGTTGTCTGCCGTCTCGGTGTTGCCAAGAGCCGACGCAATCTCCGCGCCATTGAGGAGGACCTACGGCATGATCCAACTTCGTCTTGACACCAGGGTTGATTCAACATACCTTATAGTACAAGGCATTTGGTGCGAGACTGAACCCGCCGCCTCCGAGGCGCCCCCAATCCTTGCTCCCCGTCGCATTGAGAAGGCCGACGTTGGAGTCGACCTTTGCTGCCAGATAAGCAATTCCCAACTGATACTGATCCCACTTCGCCACCATCCAGTCCGTATCACCGGAATGTAGCCAGCAGTTATATGCGCCAACGAGGGACCAAGCGTGGTAGGTATCGCTATACCCGGGCTCAGTAATGGGACATAGATCATAGACAGGCAGCGCACCTCCTCCCGACAGCACAACTGATGAGAGGACCCGAGCACGGTAGTCCGCCCGAGGATGAGTCTTGCAGGGAAAATATCTCGTCAAGACTGTTGCGTACGGATACGAGGTCGTTCAGCGCTACGAACGCTGCGGGTCCAGCGATGCCCATATCGCCTAAAGGTGATAGGTTCTGAGCAGGATGGCGTCGAGGCGCGCGTGGGGTTTACCTGGCCATACGGTCCTTCCAGATCATGAGCTGAGCACCGTGAAGAATGAGAATGCAAAACACACCGGTCTCGCTTCGCGCCGTCGACTATGACAGGGCTCGCGGAGGCGATTGTTCCATTGTTACGCCATCCTTCAACCATTTCAGTGGGATTCGTGACGGCAAGGGCTTCTCAAGTTACCTCCACCGTAAACTTGAACTCTTCCCTCATCCGCTGCTATTATATTTGTCTGGATCGTGTACGCGCCCGAATACCAGATCTTCGTCAGCAAGTCTTCGTCTTCTCCCTCGGGATCAGGCGCGTAGAAGTACCCGGAGTAATCGCGCAGGTCCTCGACGTGAGGCATGAAGGTGATCGCGCAGGAGACGTTCGAAAGTGCCACGGTCTCGCCGGTTGTCAGCGAGATCGTCAAGTAGCGGAAACCACCTCGCTGAGACGCGACCGGCTGAGTCCAGAGACCCTCCGCGAGAGGTCCCGAGACGGAGAGCGCCCCGTCCACCGACATGTTCGGCGCGGATATCGACGAGTCGTCAGAGAGAAGCGGGTTGACGAAGAGCGGCGACTCGGTGAAGGTCAGAGCGAGCGACGCGTCGCTGGAGGCTTCAGAGTCTATGTTGACCGAAATGACGCCGCCGACCTGAGAAGCGATGAGAAGAAATATACAAGCATACACGAACGACGAACCTCCTTTCCGAAGTCCACCGCTATCCACGCCCCTGCGCCGTTGAGCGTAGCAGACTGGGCATCGGATCCGAGTAGGCCCTCAGGATTTTGGACATTGCCCTCGTATTTGTATATCGCTATGGGGGAAACAGTGCGCGTCGAAGGTGCGTAATTGAAGTCGTCCCATGGGCCCGATGGTGCTGAGGCAGTCACAATGGACAGGCCGCATCCCAGTGTCAGCCAGGCCAGCATTCTCATCTAGAAATTAGGGAGAATACGGTCGCTACGAGGGCGCGCGCATCGCGCAGTATAAGAGCACTGGTTCTGCTCACGAGGTCAGCGTTGGCGGTCCGGCGGGCATTTCGCTCCGCGTGAATGAGGAAGGTCATTCGGTGACGCAGAAGAGCTTGACTACAGTAGTAGATTCACACCCGAGTCGTCTGAAGGACTTATCCAGGTCCGTAGTATTTCCGACAATCAGAAGAGGCCATCGCTTCTGTTCACTTCGAGTTTAAGATGACGCCGCTTGTTGAGGATTTGTGCCGCGAACAGTGGCCTGAACGAGGAGAAAGTTACGTTTCTTGGGTATACCCATTGTGATTTAAGTGATTCAGCAACGGCTAGGGCCAGAGTCATGTCTTCAAGATGGCGACGTGAAGGTTTGGGACAAGAAGCATTGCGCTTATGTAATCCGCACGCACAGTCAGCTGCTTTTCACGTGGTGGATTTTCGGCTGTGTCCGGTCCGAATCTCCCTTCGACACACTGCGACTATAAGTCTTAAGACGACGCTACAGGTGTCGCTTACCCCTCAAACTTGAGCTCCAACCACTTCTTTTTGCGCCTGTATCTTCTGCGTGTCTATCTGCAGCACCGCTGCCCCGTGCATGGCATACTCTACGCTCTCGCTTCCCGGAATAACGATACTGTCTGCCTCACTGACCAACACCTAACCTCACTACTGCCGCACTCAACGTTTTCTCTGTGCGATCTTACGTCTACTGCCAAAGATACGGAAAATCTTACCCTTGCCCTGACTGCCATCGGTCTCGAGCTGTAGCCGACGCCTGTGCCACGGTGAATCATACTTTGGCGCGGCATCCTCGTCGAGATGTGCCTCGAGAATACCACGTTCATCGAAGAGCGGCTGAAAGTGCTCGCTGCGCCAGCCTGAAATGACTGTCTGTGCGCCTCATTGGGCTGTACCCGTTTTCATGCTCGTCAGTGCTATGACGTTCCGGATGTCGCCAGGGTACGCCTGCGCCAAATCAAGCACTCTGCCATTGCCGCCTTCGCCTCCTCACTCCGCGGCCTTACTTTTCCGTCTACAGCGGCGCCCGGTAGTACTCTGCCGATCCGCTCACTAATGAACAAGGCGTACTTCCACCGGAATTCCGTGGCGATAGGAAGCCCTCGAGCGTGGCTGGTCATCCTTTGATTCTGGAAGGCCTCAAGCCCTCCGAAGCTTCTAACAGCTGAACTGCTACGCTTGAAGCCATACGTCGGCCCCAAGGCGGCTGATATGGTACGTCTCCGATCTCGACGCATGAGCTACTATTTAGCCATTCAATCGGTAGAGGGTTCACCTTGCTGAGGAAGCTTTCGATCCCGACCCTCCGACCCGCTACTGCTCAACGTAGTCCTATGAAGCTGTCGGCGGACTGGCTGGGAACGAGGGTACCGGTGCTCGCTACAGCCTCACACTCCGAACAGCTACTGCGGGTGAGTGTCGTACTTCGCCCTAATAGCATTCATTGAACTTCGATGAACACCGTTACAACTTACGGCGAGGATGCCCTTTACCCTGAAAGCAATGAGTCAACGTGCACGCCCCGGTTTCCAACTCGTAAGCGCAAAATAGGTTCTCGTCACGGACTTGAAGCTTGAAGTCTGGGCCTTGACAAGGTTTAGACGGAGTTGGTAGTCTCACTGAGATCGACACACGTACACGAGCTTCAAGAAGGCGTGCATGCCAGCACGATCGGACGTCCGGGCGTCCCGGGCTTCTCAACATATCACTCGGGTCACATATTCAGCTGCATGGGTCGATTGGAACACTGAGAAGTACATGCAAAGCTACACATTCACAGGCAACGAAGCACCGGCGCAACTACAAGGAACTCGACGCGAAGTGCATCGGAAGTTGCCGAGAGAGTTGGTGCCTGTTTGCATAGGCTTGACGCTGTTACGCTGCTGCGCTCATCATCATCGCCAGCCGTGGACTCTGACCCTCACCGGAAATCATCTTACGTTCGAATACGAGTCGTGCGAGCGCTTTTTTCCACGAGTGCACCTCTGATCTGCAACGAACTCATGCCCGCAGGCCTGAAAATTGCTCAGTGTTTCTTCTTTCCAGGCCGACTGCGCACCACGTTCCCTCACGAGTAATCCGCCTGAGCCGCTGCCGCGAACCCGCCTTCCTCCCAGTGATCTGCCCTGGTGCGTAGAGTTCCAGCACGGACATTGTGCGGGTGCGTGGGCGTGCAAGTCCTCACGAGGCGACCTGGCGTCGGTCACCTTTCCCAACACGAGTCAGGCCTCGCGCACGCTCGCCGCACGTTGCCGCCGGCTCGGCGGCATCCCCTTTGGTCCACAAGCGCCAATCGTCTTCCAACCTGTCTGCCTGTCGCTCTTCTGGTCGCGCGCTACGCTGCTCTCCTTCTGCAACCGGTCGTTTCGTCGCTCGCTTGCTAGATCCTCCACCGTCATCTCTCGGCTACCAACTTCCTTGCTCGCCAATCTTGGGCCCGGGTTGTCACTGAGCGCACCTCAGCGTGCTCTGCGCTGTGTTCTTGTCTGATCTCGACTTCCCGCGGGTTCTGCGACTTCGTTGAGAAGGTCTGGATCCACATGGCGCTTCACCCATTACCCCGGCTGGCACCCTCTTCCTTGTACCTTCCCTCTTGGGATGTGCTCGCGCCACTGAAGGGTTCTAGCCGTGGGAGAGGCGACACGGCATGTGGGACAGATTGGCGGCGCGCCCGGTAAAGGGCATTCTCGATACCCGATTTCTTTGCGGGCCGCTATCCTGCGTGCGCTGATTTTGGGCGACTGCGATAGCGTGCAATAAGGACGCGGACAATCTCCTCGACGTCGCACATAGTAGAGATCCTCCGAGTCAGCGTCAGCGGGATGGATTGAACGTGGACGAGATGAATTCGCCTTTACGCTGCAGCTAGTCTTCCGACGACCTCGCCGCCGACAAGCGCCGCGCGTGGTGCTAATCTTCGTGCGAGCGATTTCCTTGCGTCAGTCCTCGGCGTGCTCCTACGTCAAGATGTTAAAATTCCGATGGAAAACCCACGAACGTATAGATGGAGTCCTGTACGCTCGAATGGCGCTTACCCGGCGTCCGCCAACGTCAGGCTTCTCCTAGACCCTACGCCATCCTGCTCCGAGTGGCTGATATGCACATCTTCCAGGAGCGCTTCAGGTGAGAGACCCCCAATGACGGTTCGAAGGCCAGTCGAGCTGACGCGCTTGAAGGTTCCAGAGCCAAGATGGTGCGCTCCACTTCACGCAAGCTCGGGATCCCTTTTGCTGCTCGATCACTACCTCACGACGGTACGCGCATTGACGAGGCCTTTGGAACCCTTGTCGGCCTGACTCAACTCGCTCAAAATCTGATATCGTGACTTCTTTGGCCTTGCAGTAAATGCTTCTGAGGAGATGTTTGAAAATCAATGGCAGTGCGTGTTCCTCCCTGCGGCTGCTTATCGTTCTGACGATCAAGCTCCTTATTTCAGGGTCAGCATCCCACCGGTCCCAAGCACAAGTCGAGCACTCCTGAAGCGCCTTGTTATTCATGTCGACTACGGGATACGCACCGCGTTTTGTCGGCCTCTAGTGCGCGCCCTCTTTGATAAATCCAGCTGTCGGTACGAATATTTCCGGTAACAGCCCTCTGCGGCGCGATTTTCCGGTGCGCAAATCAACCATGCCTTTCGGCGTAACTGAACATGCCTCTTTGATACCTCTTTCAGTGCGGCGCGCCATGCCCCCTCGGTGAAATAGACCATGCTTCCCAGGCGCGTCTGGGGTATTTGACCTGGGGCTTTATTGCTTTCGCGGGGCAAGTGTCACGGCAAGTGTGATATCCCTTTCTTCCGGTGATGTTTTGCAGGCGTTCGGGCTGATGAGAGAGGCCTTTCGGCTGCTCGTCTCGAACAATATGGGTCTCGGTATTGACCGGGTGACTCGAGCAGGTTCAAAGGCTTGGGTCCCTCTCGTTATGCTCCGCTGCGCAGTCTTGCTTACCCTTTTGGCAGTGATACCTACCCCTTCACGCGTCGTGTCCGATTCTACAGCTCGGCGTCTAGTGGACGTTCGGGACGTTCCCCGCCCCCTCTGACTTCATCGTTACCTCCCCATCATCCGCTCCCTGCACCCTTTCTTCTACGGTCATCATCGCCTCGCTTGCTGCGAGCCCGTTCTTGTCAATGTCATCCATCACTCGCGCTCCAAGAAGCGTGCCCCCGCAACCAACTTTCCTGCGTGACGTAGGCGTATGAGTCACGCGAAAGTTCAACTTGTGACAGGCTTGTGACGTAACGCGTCGTGGCGGTTCAACCACATCCCACGTCTCCCGGTCGCAGGCGTCTATTCAGCCAACCTGCGCGCTTGCGCCACACACTGCTTCCCCCAGAATCATGGTTCGATACTTTTCTGGGAGCTTACTCAGTCGTCGAATACATCGGGCTTCTCCCTCGACCACAGCTTTGTTCAGTGACCCTCTCCCGCGTGCCGCTAAGAATTGCCTCTTCCTGCGCTCTTCCTCCCGGGATTCGCGGTCATATCGGCGCTGGGCTGTGTGGCGAGCTCGGGGAGTACTCCGTCATGAACTCAATGCGGGCCTCTCGCTGACTATAATCTTCTTACTGCTCGGATTCGGCGTATTCTTACGAGTCTGCACAGGCTGCATTCACGTAGCGGGTTAATTGCTCCGAGAGGTCAGTGGCCTCGATATCCTCGCTAATTCTCAAAGTTCAACCTGTGCTTTACCATGTGACCGGACCTCCCAAGTCGGCTGCAGCCACAGCATACGGTACTCGGATAGCTGGCCGGCTTTTCTGGAGGGGGCCTGGAGCTGCACAGACAACTTCAGACCAAATACGGCTAGGCGCGCACGAGTTGGATTCTATCTGCGCCCTCTTCTGTTCCTGGTCGTTCCCGTGAGAGCTCGTTGATCTGGTGCGCCGCCGACGAGATCTCAGCTGTGTGGCGCTCGAAGGCGATGCATCTTCGACTGGTCGTTCGATTCATCCTCATGTGCTGTCGCTCGATACGTCTACACAGCCGCTCTATTCATCTGCGCGTTCATCGCCGGTCTATCCTCCGCGACCGCTGTAGCTGGCTATCTCGCCTCCTGCACTATCTACCCTTTGTGCTTTCCAGCTAGCGCGCCAGCCTTTCCGGACGAACAATGGCCCCGCTAATTTGATTCCGGGGTTCGACATGGGCCCGCCGCACCTCTGCGCTTCGTGCACTCACCTGCACCCGTGATCAGCCTGCGTCCGTGATCACAGGAGACTACTCGCGACGCGTGCAGACACGATATGCCAGTGCGCGTATTCTTGGCAATTGGGCGACTGAACTCACGGCGCGCAGAGCGCTCACTATCTTTTAGGGCGAATTCTAGGCGGGCGCGTGGCGTCCCTGCCCTCCCCGCAGACCCGGCGAGGGCGCGCGGAGGGCCTTCCAATGATTGTTCGCGTCTTTGATGTGAAGACGCGCAGTGATGCGCGCGCCCCCGCACTGAATGAGGCGATAGTAAGTGGGTGTGAGGGAGATGAAGTCACTGTGATATGAGGGGAGATGGGCGTGCCGTGCGAGCAGTCAATGTGGCGCAGCGTCATCTGCCGGTACGCGTCGTGCGCTAAGTCCGTTGCGGGGCCTTCGACTTCGACTTCGCGCAGGGTCTGCATCTCGTCGCGTCCCACGACCGTCGCGCGGTCGTATATACCCTGCCTCGTGTATTATTCGTGGTAGCGCAGCGCATCAGCGGGATGCAGGAATCGAGAATAAGTGGGGGATTCGAGCCCTCTTTTAGATCGCGTTGGGACGTATGTCAAGCGTATGTGCCTCGGAAACGCGCGCAAGCCTCGGATTGATAATTGGGCGGGCCCCATCAGGGAAGCGGGCCTCGCGCCGCGCATGCGCTGGGACAATGGCTGGATAATGAGGCGGCCGACGCACTGATCGTTCTCGAAGCGGCGCGCGGATCGCTGGGAGGTAGTGCTGGAGGGCGCCTGGGCCTAGCGGCAGTGTCTGAGTGTAAGACGTACGAGGCGGGGGAGGGGCGGCGGACGCAACCGGGGCGATGCCGGTTTTCGGGGTGCCCAACGCGGTTGACGCGTGTAAGAGGGGGGTCCTTGAGGGGGGACATGTCCCGATGGGGACTAATCCAAATGAGGAAGTATGTCCCCGCGGATCGCAGATCATTTCGGGGTGATATAAAGGCCACCCCACCCGGCGTCCACCAGGTTTCTTTTGCCCCACCACCAGTTCACCATGGCCTCCGTCTTTCGCGCCCTCTTTGGCAGTCGCCCGTCTACCCCAACGGAGAAGAAGCAGCGTCGACCGCGCTCCTCTTCGCGTCCCCGACAGTCTTCGTCCTCGTCTCCCGCACAGACCAACGAGAAGTTTGTATATATCGCGCCTAGCACACCCCCGGCAGAGCGCAAGCGTGCATCCAGTCATGTCTCGCGGTCGGCTGCACCATCTCCTCTACGCTATGACACCTACGACGCGGCCACCAACCGCACCAGAGGGCGCACGAAGAGCGCGTCCCAAAATGGGCCCGTGCATGTCCCCCTGTATCGTACATCGAGCGCCAAGGCGAAGGAGCGACGTGCGTGACCGATCTCCGATCTCTGACGCGTGCTAACAATCCGCAGCGAGCCCCTACCCTCTGTTCGCCCCCACCCACTCCTACTGCAGTTCTCGCAGCGCCTCAAGTAGCGTGTCTGGTCGTCGCCCCGCATCTGCTCCAAGGTCTTCCAGCTCCTGCAGCGTCAGCCGCAATGGAGAGCCACGCCCCGTCTTGAAGCACACCAGGACGTCAAGCGACGCTTCTCGCAACGGTCCCCGTGCGTGCCCTTTCTCCCTGTCATCGCGCCACACTAACAGGTCATACAGATGCGCACGTCTCCTTCCAGAACCCCAATCGCACCGAGACCCTGCACATGCACCCGCTACTCGCGCACGGCAAGCTCTGCGCCGCGCCTATCTCGTACGACGTCACCCTCCCTCCCTCTTCTCGTACCGTGCTCGACCGCGGCACGCGCACTCCTGTGCCTGCCCACACCCTCCTCCAGCCCGCGAGTGAGGCGCCGTCGCATACCACCCTCGTCCTCGCCTCGGACAAGTTCCCGTGGCCGGTCGTAGCGGCCTCCGGTGCGCGCGCCGCGGCGCGCTTCTACCTCTCCGGCAACTCGCCCCACCGCGCTTCGCCCGGCGGCGAGCCCGTCACCGTCCTTGACGTCCTCTACGCGCTCCACAACACGCTTATGGTCCGCGTCACGCAGGAGGAGTGGGATGCGCTCGGTGCGGGCTCGCGCGCTCAGCGGAAGGTGACGCGCGCCTACGAAGCCCGCTGCAATCGCATGGGCGGCGGCTGGGAGGGCGGCGTCCGCCGCATTGACTGGCTCGGCGAGAAGACCCGCCTCGTCGGCGTCGAGGTCGACAAGAGCGCCGGCGGCGCAGGCATCGGCAAGCTCGTCTTCTCGAAGGCGTAGGCGCCGAACGACCCATTTTCTCCCGCGCTGCTGCTCAACATGCGCAAGCACTCGACGTAGCGGCGTGTGTCCGCCGGCATCGTGGTGCCCTCGGACGTGGACGCCCCGGCTCGCGGCCCTCAGTGGCGCGTGCCTCCGCGCGCCGCACTCGACTCTTTCTCCATCTCGACTCCGCTATTATGGCCTGCTTCTCTGCTGTCGAAAAACGCGTGCTGCACGGCGCGCTTCTGCTGTCGAAAACGAACGCGCACGGACGGCGCGCCCCCTTCCTCTTGGTGATATCTGGGACGATGTATCATAGGTATAATTCTTTATGCTGGCTCATGACGACTCGCATGCCCTCCCACTCCTCGCATGCTCATTACGCTTGACGGTGGGCAGGTGCCCGCCGTTGTTTCACGACTCTTCTCTGCTCTGGTTACATACTTACATATACATACATACATCATACTTACTACTACTCCGCTAGCCTGCGGCTCACGACTCGACGTTCACGATCCTCTGGTCTCATAGTACACCTCTCACGAACTCGCTGTCGCTTTGCACTGGAACTGTTGTTTGTAAAACTTATGAATACAAATATTGATCCTGGGGACTTATAATTCTCACTGTGGCGCGTCTGAGCAACATTTCAATTCAAGTTGAGGGCCGTTGAGGACGAAGTAGTCACACAAGGGGGTTGCACTCGTTGCTTCGCGGGGTGCTAGTCGCTCGATATTCCAGAAGGTAGGGACTAAGAATAACACGTATGTGATTCAAGGAACAGTGAGCACTGGAGGGGCTTGAACCGAGGAGCCTGGGTGATAGCGATTGCTCGACTGGGCTTCGAAGCGCTGGCGGTCCTGGACGAAGTTGAACGCGCCCTCGGATCGTCCGTGCCTGACCCGCTCTGCACCCCGTCCTCCCTCGAATCCCTCCCCTACCTTCTCCCCCTCCCTGTCACACCCCCGCCGCCCACGTCAGAAAAATCGAGGGCCGCCCGACCGACAACCTGGTCCGCCTGCTTCGCGCTACGCTCGTCCCCGCAAACTCGTCGCCGTGGAATTTGGGGCACTCGAAGAATACGGTAGCCCGCCACGCCGAATAACACGCCTCGCAAAGGAAATGGGACTAGCGCGTCCCACGGGCAGGGTCTGGGTGCTGCGCACGCCGTTCCTAGCAAGGCAAGGGCGGACAATGGGCACGAGGGCGGCGCGCACGTGTGGCGAGGGTGCGAGCGCGCCGTCCTCGTTCCCGGCGAGGGATTCGAGAAGATGATCAGCTTTGCCTTCAGGCCGTTCATATGTCGCTGTCGAATACGTGTACTAGGACGGTGATGGGCTGTAAGCTGTAGCAGTGAATGAATGAAGAAAATTACTCGGTGGGTCGCGGAGGCCGGTGAATGGGCGCGACGACGGACGACGGGGGTTCCAGGACGGAGGGCTCTGTCGCCGGTTACGGCGGGGTGATTGCAGAGAAGAGAATAGAATAGAGGCCCGTATCATTAGGTACTGAATAGCCCGTACACTGAATGGCGAAGCATAGGTCGAAGAAGCCTGATGGCACAGCAAGGGATATACGGGGCGAGACCAAAGAATTAATGGCGACAAAGCAAGATCGTTGGGAAGTGTACATAGGCGGCAGGGTCGTAAGCGAGGAATCCATCTAGGAAGAGGAGGCAGGAGACGAGGGGTCGCGCGCAGCGTTACATGCAGGACAGTACACCCGCGGGTAAGCGCGCAGAGCCTATGCGATCAATGAACAATACAGGAGCGCGCGAAAACATGGACGAAGCCGATAGATGAGTGAATAAGTGACATGCAACATGCAATGGGCGGAAGTGATTCGTGTCGTGTCGTGTCAGGTCGTGGAGGATAGGCTGTGAGCCGATGGCAGCTGTAAGGTGTTCGAGGGCTGAGTGCAAGATCCGGGGAGATCGTAGCTCGTCTTCCCCGCCACTGCCCCGCGGCAGACCGCCGAGGCAGGGTCTGAGTTGCCCAGCGCCTTGTCGAGGAGACTAGATACGCTAGCGAGGTAGGCTGCGGTCGCAGCAAGAGCGACACCGATGCTCCCGCATGCGTTCGTTGACTGGCAAGGCGGCGCGTGTGAACCTAGGCGGACGTTGAGTAAGAAGGACATAAAGGAAGATCTGGGGGCGTGTGTGCTGGCTGACTCGCCCGAAAAGGGGTGACAAGGCAAGGAGAAGGCGTGCCAATGAGGGACAATGGAGAAGGGGGCGCATGCGGGTACAACGCGCAGTGGATGGATACTGAATGGCGAGGGTGTTCGTTGACGTGGGATGGACGACACGTACCTGCGGCAGAGGGCATCTGGGCTGCGGGTGGCTCATGGGCCGTAGGGGATCCTTGCAGATGAGTTCATGGTGGGGTCATGAGGGTGTTCTGAGCGATGATGGCTGTCATCTACTGGGCGAGGGTTAGCGGACTGGGCGAGGGTCGCTGCTACTGGAGAACCACGTACCGATCGCGTCCGAGATCAGCGCTGAAGGCGGCCTGTCCGCATGTGCATCGAGTGGTATCGATGGGTCATATGTGCTCGATACGTCTTCAGACATGAGCGCGAGAGTGGCGTCCAGGGTTCGCATGCCGGTTGTTGCCTGCGCTTCCCTCGCACGCCCATCGGAATACTGGCTGGAGAAGAGCAAAGGGCGATGGCTTCTCCGTCGTAGTGAGGGCATCGCGCGTCCTTCGCTAGCTCTTCTCCGTGTCGAAACATGTAATGGACGAGTATGAGCGCCCGGTGTTTGCCATGGGAGGTACAGCGCAGAGGCCAGCTGGACGAAGCAAGCCAAGATCAAGAAGACAAGAAGATACTTCATGATACCCAGATGCCCTGTATCATGGAGATTGGATAGCACGAGGATTCCTTGTCCTCAGGGAGATATCTGCTCGAAGGTCGCCGACGTCGCGGTCGAGAGCAACCACCTCGCGCTCGAACTTCCCACGCGCCACCGTTGAACAGTTCACGTGCCACGAAAGTCATCCTACCGTATACCCCTGACATTCATACCTCCTACCTTACCTTATAGCCACCGTAGATTTCTCCCTTAGTCTACACCGCAGTTTGTCCTAGGTACATGACGCGGTATACAAATGTATTTCCCCCCCCCCCGAACAGTTCACGTGCACGACAGCTGATCGTGCTACCGCCACAAAATCTAATCTTCGGGCGCTTGTTCTGAACGTTCATGATCAGCGCGTGGTCGTCGTACAGCATGCCTTGTCAGAGTCTGAGAGCTGGCATATACATGATGATTCATTCTTCCTGCTCCCCACTCTCGCAGGAATCCAAGGAAAAACGCAATATACATTGGCTACGGTGAGAAGGATGTCATGGCGCTTGAACTGATATCCTCTCGATTGAAGGTAGCCTGCGGCGGCCGCTCCCCCTCTAACAGCTGGATTATTGTCACTTGACGAGGTCAAGGGCCAGCCTGGCGCGTTGGGCACGGTAATTTACATCCGACGGACCGTGTCAGTTGACCCCGTGAACGTGTTTTCTCGCATTCATAAGGCGAAAGTACGGCTGCAGGATCGACCTCTTTCCATCAACATAAGATGCTAGAGCTCTATCACTTCTCACTAGCTCTTGCTTTCTCGCTTTGCGCGAAAGCCTCTGCACCTCATGGTCCGTGGGACGACTTCAACTATGCGCCATCCTCGCGAACTGTGTCCCCGACGGCGATTCATGGTACCAGTGGTGACGTCGACAATGCGGAAGCACTTCTCTCTACGGACGCTGGCTCAGCAACTTTGAGCGGCGCCGGGGCCTGGGTAGCGATTGACTTCGGCAAAGAGGTTCGTCTACTGGCCCTTCGGCATCTTGCTACCATACTCATGAACTCGTAGGTCGGAGGGGTTACAACTCTCAACATCGACTCGGCATCCGACGACAATGCCTCCCTCGCCCTTACCTTTACCGAGTCTTCACTCTTCATCAGCCCTACCCTATCCGACGACTCCGTCTTCGCGGCCGCGAATCTCTCCGTCGATGGCGCGCAACCCATCCCCGCCCCTCTCAGCGAGGGCCTCTGGACGCAACCCATCTCCTGGCAGCGAGGTGGTTTCCGCTACCTCACAGTAACACTCGCCGAAGGGTCGACCGTAGCTCTGTCGAACATCTCTGTCTACCTCACCTTCAGCCCGAACGTCGATGACCTGCGCGACTATAAGGGATATTTCTATGCCAAGGATCCGGGTGAAGAGGACGAGGACCTGCTAACGAAGATTTGGTACGCCGGCGCGTACACGATCCAGACCAACATTCTGGCCGCGGACGAGGGTAGGGGCGAGGTTCCTCAAGGAAGTAAGCAGACTTTACTGTGCTTCTCGGCGAAGCTGAAGCTTTTTAGCCACCGGATGGAACAACAGCGGTACCATCGCGAACGCAGGGCCCGTTATTGTCGACGGCGCAAAGCGCGACCGGTACGCATCCTCACGAGCGTCTGATCATGTTTTCCTAACATTGACTTCATGTTCCAGTACCGTGTGGCCAGGTATACCACCCGCTCCTGCCCGATGAACTTTCTGACCACCTTCGCAGGCGACATGGGCATCGCCGGACCGTCGGCCTTCGTCGCGCTCAACCAGCTAGACCCCGTCCGCAACAGCCTCGACGAGCTCTTCTCGCTCCAGAGCACCACTGGCGGCCTCCCCTACAGCGGTCCTCTCATTAGCGCTGGACCCGAACTCAGGTGTGTGCGCACTCTCCTGCCCCTCTCCACTTAGGCTTTATCACCATGCTCACTTTGTCAATCAGCGACACTTACCACGCCTGGTCCCTCATCGGCGCCTACAACTACTGGCTGCACTCTGGTGACACGGAATGGCTCGAGGGGAAGTGGGAGCAGTATCTGGCGGGCGTGTCCTATCTCGCGGACAAGGTTGACGTTGATGTGGGCTTGATTAATGCTACGGGAGTCCTCGACTGGGGGCGCCTCGGCGGTGGCGGGTTCAGCATCTCGCCGAACGTGCTGTACTACAAGGTTCGTCTATTACCCTTCACTATGCGTCGTAGCTGACGTCGCTTATCCTTACAGGTCCTCCTCAACGGCGCTCAACTCTCATCCGCCCTCGGCGACACCGAGACCGCCGAAGGCTGGCTCGCCGACGCCGCTACTCTCAAGGGCATTATCAATGCGGTTCTCTGGGACGAAGACGCGGGCCTCTACATCGACAATACGACGACGACGCTCCACCCCGAGGACGGCAACTCGCTCGCGGTGTGGTTCAACGTCACCGTGTCGGACGAGCAGAAGGCGCGCATCAGCGAGGGTCTGGAGCAATTTTGGACGGATGTGGGCGCGGTGACGCCGGAGCTGCCGGATACGGCGGCGCCGTTTGTGGGTGGGATGGAGGTGAGTTGGGGTGGTTTGGGGGAAGGTTGGTTGGGTGGACGTTGACGTTGACGAATTGACTGTGTAGCTGAACGCGCACTTCGAGGCTGGCGCTGCCGAACGCGCGCTCGACCTTATTCGTCTGGAGTGGGGCTGGATGCTGACGACGAACGTGAGCGTCCAGTCGACGTTGCTGGAGGGATACACTTCGAATGGCTCGCTTCTGTGCGTACCATCACTCAATTGGCTGGATCCTTCACTGACTACACCCCTCTAGATACCGCGGCGACGCCGGCTACCAGCAAGACCCCACCTACACCTCCCACTCGCATGGCTGGAGCACCGGGCCAACGCCTGCGCTCACCACCTACATCCTCGGCCTCTCTGTCACCGAACCAGCCGGTCAGGCCTTCCGCGTGGCGCCGCAGACCGGTGGTCTACCCGCCGCGGAGGGCGGGTTTGAGACGCCACTTGGCTGGTTCGGCGTGAGCTGGACGAACGACGAACACGTAGGACGCTTCGAGCTGAACGTCACGTCGCCGGAGGGGACGGTGGGCACTGTCGCTCTGCCGGTCGATGGCGAGATCACGGTGGACGGCGAGGCTGTTGATGCGGAAGGGGGTATTCAAGTGCAGGGCGGTGTGACCCATACTGTATTTGTTCAGGCCTCATGAAGCAAGTTTTTGTGTACACGACTCGGATGTATGTACTATATGTATGATTAGCCGCGGCCTTCCAAATCCAGTCCTTCGAGTCATTTGGCTGCGCATCAACCACCACAGACCCTTCTCTGAAGGGTGGAAAATGGACCATTCGCTCTTGAACTTCGCGGTGTGCTTGGTCGTACTTGCGGACAGGCCGAATAAGGCGTGCCACGCAGATGGATATTCGTTTTCTCACGGTCTGTCTCGAACTATCATGGGCTTTCGGGCCTTGCGCGTGTCCCTGTCGGTGCTCCGCTCGGAGGCCAAGTCTTCCTTGGCTGAAGCGAATTGTATGACTTGGCAAAGGTGAGGATGAACAAGGCTCAGCGAGCTCACGATCGAACCCTCCATGTCAACGCATCTTCGCAAGTTGCTCTTATTCTTTGGTCTCTCTGGAGACCTACGATCATTGGAACAAGCACTTCAAGGACCTTAGCATGATCTCAAGTGACTGACAAGCTGTTTACAGCTCACAACACCTTGACGGCGTCGTACCAAATGCCGCACTAAAGCCGCTTAATATGGCCTCAATGGACACACGTTCACTGCCTTATCGCTTCTCTCGCGATGAGAGAAGTCAATTTCCATTCAATAGAGGTCTTTCCCCGTCAACGAGGCTGTCCAGACTTAGGTATACATATCGAGGATGCTTGGGCGTGCACGAGGTCGTGCACTACCCTCCCCTTGACTCGCACCGAAGACCATGGCTTATGGCATAGATACGTTCATGGGAGCATCCCGTGCGTCAGGTATGTGCTCTGCCTTTCCGTCGCTGTGAGTAGTTCTGAATAATGGAACAGTACCATACCAGGACTTTTCTCCCCGCGAAGCCCTTCATAGGATACGCCAAAGCGGAGATGAGAATGAGCCTGATGAAAATGAGCCCGACGAGGACGAGCCGGACGAAGACGAGCCCGATGAGGACGAAGGCGGCCATGGCCACACGACAGCGACGAAGACAGTCTCAGTAGAAAGCACGACGTCACCTAGTGGATCCCTGACCAGCGATCAAGCCAACGAAACTGGTACGCCTGATACAGACTCGCCATTTACCTTGACTTATGACCTGTCTTCCGCTGAAGGTCGTATCGATTCGGAGCGCAGGTCCTCCGACGACAATGACAAGAGTCGCTCGATCGCCTTGGGGATCGTCATACCAGTCCTGGTCATCTGCCTCATAGCTCTCGCTTTCTGGTACCGCAAACGGCGCCAGAACGAGAAGCTCATGCGCGATGCCCGCGAGCGGCGCATGCGTGACCCGCTGCTTCCGATGGCGAATAAACCTACGACAGCTGGGATGCAGACGCTCGCCTCTCGGCCATCGGCCACAGCGACGACGTCGACCATGTTATCTCCGCATACCAATTCAACCTCGTCTCGCTGTCCTATGGCTATGTCGCCGCCCGCCCCAGTCACTCAGCGTTCGGCATCGTCTCCGGCCGCTCAGGCGACCCATACAGCGCAGACCGCCCCACATCCTGGTCCTTCCTCTTCCGCGGACCCCCTTCCTAACCCTCACTCTGACAATGGGCACGAATCCGCGGCGCAGCACCTCGACAATATCCCCCCTGCAACGAACTCGAGCGACGCGCTGCCTCCTTCCACAGATCGCGAGCATCCTACCATCGACATACCGACCTGCCTTCAGCCAGGCGGGGGTAAGTCCTCGCCGCCCGTTCGTCGCGGCTCCGAAGACTGGCTTCCATCTCGCTTTCACACCCTCGAGCGCAACGTACCTCATCTCTACTACAGCCCATCCCTCGACAAACTCGCAGCTCAGTCGGCAGAGACGTCGCCAAATCTGAGCGAGGAGCATCCGCCCGCGGTCCAGGCGCTGGAACTTCAGGCGACGAGACGGGAGGAGGATCACCCTCCGCCTTTCCAAGGGCCGTCTGAATCTGACTGTCCTTCGGCTTTCTCGGTCGACGAGAAGGGCCGCACGCGTCTGTCCTGGCGACGTTTGTCTTCTCGGTTGAGCGGCGAGGCAGGTGGACGACGCAGCTCATCCGAGGGCCAGGGCAGAGTCACGCCGTCAACTTCCCCGGTGTCACCGCCAGCCGATGTTGTGAGCTCGCCTACTTCCATCTCTTCGCGACGTCGTTCTGCGCCGCCGCAAGTTGACAAAGCTCTCCCTTCGGCGCCTCAGTCGGCATCCTCTACGGCAGAGACGACGAGAGACTTGGTGACCGACAAGACCCCTGCACGCTCGTCCAGCATTCCGACAACCCGCAGCCCCGTCGAACAAGGGTCCAGCTCACGCGGGCGTAGTCAGCCCTCCTTCGGCGTCATCGGTCAACGCTCGCCCTTCTTCGAGTTCGTTGCTGCGACGGGGCAGGACCCGGCTCGGGCGAAGAAGGGAAAGCGCGACAGCACTAGTGGTGCGGCTGTCGTTCGGCGCGAGACGCGTCAGACTGGTCCTCCTGCGTATGCCGAGGCCATGGCAGATGGGTCGACGGTGCATGGGCATGGGACGTTGTAGGGGAAGGATGCACAGAAAATCAGGTATGGGGATGCTTCTTTCCTTGATAAATACGACCGCTCAGGACGAATGATACCCAGAACTCTGTACTTCACGATGCATAATGAATGTAATGTTTCCGGGAAACGGACGAGTCACGACATCTCGCTACCGAGCTGGCCAAAGCCATGTTCCTACTTGTAGTATCCAAGTCCGTAGCTTCTTGGCCAACCAGTCCTCGCTAGTTTACCAGTGCTTCTGTTGCTTGCTTTGAGGAATGCACGCACTTGTCTCCCAGAATATACCATATAGTGCGACGGGCTCCGTCCCCGACCGAGACTGCTCGATCCCAACGGATGCTAGCGTACTCCACCGTCGGCACGACCCATCTCGCCTGCGGATAAGTTATGCCTGTCAATGTCGTATCTAAGTCGCTCCCCGACGAGTACTCAACGTGGTATCGTCCGTACCACCCGTGCAAATCCCTTTCATGATCGCCAGTCCGGTTTCCAGCTACAAGGTTAGAACATTCCGCACCTTCTCCTAGCGTGGAAAATGCTCTTCGCCTGGGCCACTACCCGTGAAACACCAACTCTTGGCTCTCCCGCTCTCCCCAGTTCTTGCACCCGCAACAGGACGCTCGGCTGGGAAGGATGACTACTCGCGCGCAATGTGCGGCAGTCCCCATCGCTACAGCACCATTCGTATGCGAGACCGTATTCTGCTATTCTAGTACGGTCGTACATGCGCCACGTTCGTCGCGGGCAATTGAGAAGCGAGCCCATGATGACGAGCGTAATGCTTCTTCAACTTCGCGCGGGCTTCCCAATCCTCCGAACATCTTCGGCTTTCACACTCATTCTCATACCTCTATTTAGCTTTCTGTATTGAGTCTGAATGGGTGGCAAATAATCATTGCTTTCGAATCCCTCGCGCTTCTGCCGCGCCTCCGCGACCTACGGAATTCGGGAAGCCACGTATTGGTATTCCAGTCTTGATTCGCGTCCTCTAGTAATCGGCTTTGCCTGGACCAGCAAGTAGTACGCCGCTCGCTCGAGGTGACATGCATTCACTCCCACTGTTCGCCCAATGATTGATTCGGACTGCTTCCTCGTCTTCCACCGCACTTCCTCGCGTCACTTCATCGAATGAATGCATGTAGAGGTATCAAAGGCCTATGTGGTATATTATACCATTCCACAGAAGAGAAGTATCGTACTACGTACATCTATCATACTGAGAGGGAAAATAAACGAGCGTACGCGCCTAACTGCCGTCCCCAGCGACCAGCGTGCGTCCATCTCGGGGGCCTACGTGTATCTGTCTTTGTACCGTCGAGATCGACCTACGCGTATCTGTACCTCTGCCACCACCACCGACTGCGACTCGGCCTGCCTCGCGTACTCCTTCCTGCCCGGGAGAGGGAGGAAGAGAGGACGATAGGCATGATGGCCGCACTAAACGCATGAGATGCATGCATACGCATAGGGCAATATGGACATTGTCGAAGGGGTAAATGCATTATACACGAGCTTCCGAGGGAACACAGGGGAGGAGGAGACAGCGTCAGCCGCGCACGCGGGCGCATAGGAGGGTGAAGTGGGAAACCGCCCACGGGGGCGCAATATAGGAAGGAATAAAGACAAGACCGGATGAGATGAGATCGAGAAGAAGAAAGATGATGGCGACGAAGAGTACTGTCTTGGATACGGTACTGTCGGAGTAGGTAGGCATAGAAAACAAGAACCGAGGCCTGCGTGCTGGAGGCGGACGCGCGTGGGATGCAAGAGTCGGTCGGGCAGGTACGCGCGGCGACAGTCCGGGGATTTCCACAGCGAACGCTTCTGCAATGCATGCCCAACATGAGAACGTCGTAAGGTACGTGTCGCGGTCGACATTATATCGGCCCACGACGTCGAGAGCATCACAAGACGTCTACAGCAATCCACACTCGCGCAGGTGAAGCTGCAACAGAATGTCCTGGATGGCGCTGAGGACGACTGTAAGGGGGTCATGTCAGCTCTCGTTATCATGAACAGGATTTTGTTAGTAGTCGTGTAACAATGAAAAATGGTCGTCGACCATCGACGGTAAGCAGCGGTCATAGAAGATGACAAGGTGCTCCCATCAATGGTCAGCAGCGCATTGCCGCCGGTCACACCCGCGTCCAGAAGCTGATGATGGGAAGCGTGCTCACATTTGATCTGCTGCGTATCCGTTGCACACGTGTAGTGCGCGTAGATTTGCTTCGTCGCCGCCGACTGGTTAAGCGACACGAAACGATGCAAGAGGTAGTCGCATGCGGCGTCGTAGTTGTCACCGCCCGTGTAGTCGGGGAAGTAGTCGCCAAGTGGTGACCGTGGTAACTTCTCCGCGAACAAGTCGATCTTGTTCAGGAACAAGATCTGAAATAGCGTTAGAGGAAGGCAACGGCGCAACGAAGCGGACACGCACAATCGAGGTCTTAACGAACCATCTTGAATTGCAGATGGAGTCGAAAAGAGTGAGCGCCTCCTGCATACGGTTCTGCGGACAACGTGAGAAGGCTGATAGGAAGTCGCTATCGGTCTAGGCACGTACCACACTCTCATCCTCGTACAGCATCTGATCGTACTCCGACAAGGAGACGAGGAACACCAACGCGGTGACGTTCTCGAAGCAGTGGATCCACTTCTTCCGCTCTGACCGTTGACCACCGACGTCGAACAGCTTGTAGGTAAGCTCGCCGACCTTGAACGTGGTCTCCGTAATGCCCGTCGTCTTGACACGGGAGCGGAGAATATCTTGGTCCGTCGGCATGTAGTTGGGCGCGGCCATGCGGTCGATGGAGTTGAAGTAGTACACGGCCGAGTCGTTGAGCTGGAACTCGCGGGAGCGCTGAACGGCCTGCCTGACGCCCGGGTCTTTCCAGAGACTGCGGATGGCGTCGACGACGTCCGGCGGGAGGACGTCGGCCTCGATTTGCATGGGCATGGACATGATGACCGCGCGGCGGGCGTCGTTTTGCGGGGTCAGCGGGATGTCGAGCTGCGGCATGGCCTCGAGGATGGCGCTGGGACAAGATGAGTAGGCGTCGTGGAGTGTACTCGCGCCCGCGCTCACCGCATGGACTGGATAGTGTTGGAGAAGATGATCTCCTTGTACGAATCGCGCTCCTGCTCGTTGTAGCCGCCGTGGTGAATGAGTTTCATCTGCTTGAGGACCGTCGACTGGAGGGGGTGAGCGTGAGCGTGAGGGCGAGTGTATCGTCGGCGGGATACGCACCTTGCCCGACTCTCCCGCACCAAGCAGCAACATCTTGATCTCGTTCTTCGCCATCATGCGGTCCTTCTTCAACTGGCTCTCAATCTCATCGTTCCCTGGGCGGGCGTTAGGTGCGAAAAGTGAGTTTGCGGTCGCCACTCACGGGCCTTGGCCTCCTCGTCGACGCCAGAAGACTGAACGCAACCCATGTTCGAAGGAAAGGGCGGGTAGGGTTATATGAAAGTAAAAAGAGCGAAGGGTCGGTGATATGGGGAGAAGCGGACTCGAAGCTCGACGAAGACTGCGAGGGCGCCGTCGACGACGAAGATGGCGGCGGAGAGCCTCAACGGTAGTGATGGGGAATTAGAAAAGGATGGCGCCTGCAATCCCACGGAAAATATGTATTTGTCAGCCCCATCATTTTGAAACTCCGCCCGCCCGGCCAGCGCCCGGCAATCCGCGTCCCGGCCGCCTCCCTTCGCGACGGACCATTGTTCACCACAATCTTGCAAGTTCAGAGCATCAGCAGAGTCCTGGGGGAACTGGAACTGCGCTTTCAAGGTCGAGGAGGGGATGCAAGTACAATTTCCGAACTACAACGATTCCCACCGAACTCAACCAACTTTCCTGTCATTTAAGCTCGCCGATCACTTGTTTCTCGGATTAGAAGGATTAGAAGACCCTCTTCGATGTAGTTACAGCCTCGCAGGAATACAATGTCTCCCGCTCAAGTACCAAATGCTGCAGTATCCCGGCCCTCGTTTGCGAGCGCTGTAGTTGGAGTACCTCACTCTGACGACACCCACAACACGAGGGACGAAACGCGTACAAAGTAATTTCCATACCGGGTCAATTCATTTTGTCGTCATCTATCAACAAGGCATGTACTTTGCCGACGCCTCCAGGCGCAGGGTCGTCAAGATGCTCGCAAACAAGGCGATCCGAGCGGCGAGTCTTCCTTGTCCAGCGGGAAATATTCCGCGCTCCTTCGTGCGCTAGAAGCGGAGGTTCGTGAAGCGACGGCGCGGAAGATTCGACGTGGGCGGAAGATTCGTCGTTGGCGGGCGAGCTAATAGTCGATTATTATTATTCGATTTAGATCGTGGAAGTTGATGGGTTCGAAATGCCTTCGTTCGGTTCCCAACCCCCCTTGTTTCCACCTTACTCGGTTTCGGGAGAGGTTGACTTGTACATCACACCATGTCACACTGCAAACCGCTCGGGGTCTGCAGGACTCGTGTAATCATGCTGGACCAATGAAAGACCATTCTAAGCATAGCAAGTAGCTACAGAGCGCTAGAAATACTCATATGCATACATGATGATCTCAGGAGCCATAGCAAGGTGATCTTTCTGTGATGTCGGCGAAAGTTCAACTTGTCACGTGCGCAGGTGCGCAAAGGATACGCTGCCTCTTCCGTCAGACCTGATTCACCCAGATTGTGTTTTTGAGGGTGAAAATTGATGCACCCAAGCGCCACATGGATGGTGCCTCGTCGCTCTAACCAGCCAAGCCATGAGCGACAAAGGCTGACATGGAGAACGCCGATGTCACATTGTGACATGACGCCGCCGACGTACTTGCCCAAGTTTATATGGTGCGTGACACTTAGTCACCACCAATTTGTCACAGTGGCCAAATCGGCCGCGCAGCGGAAAAATCGGCGTAAATTATATTAAAAATGGCCACTGAGGGCCTTCAATGGGGGCATTTCATGGTCAGAACTAATGTGAGGTAGACAGGCTATTCTTGCGCTCACAATTACCTGATTCGAGGGTCTGTGAAGTCGATTCTGAGGTGAAAAGGGTGTCGAGTGCCCATGCTTGCACACGCCTTCCTGAGCTGGGTTGTCGGCAGGACCAAATACATGCATCAGGGTTATAACGCTATACAGGTTGCTTACAACCTCCTACTGACTGGCATGTACGCCGTACCAAACAGATGGAGGGCGCGCACATGTGGACCTACATGATTTCCCACCTTCCTAATTAGGAAGGTGGCCAATTCCAAAGAGACATTTTTTCGAAAACTCAACGTACGACTTATTCCTCTGACAGATCTGTTCCCCTTGCCCATTGCTACACCTTCGTCAGAGGAAAAAGGGAAAGCGTGACTGTGTCACCTCCAGCAGCGCTTGTACAAAAGTAGCGGTGACTAGGTGTCACGCACCATAGGGTTCTCTTCGTCGTCCGCGCCCCCTGGTCATCGTTTAGGGACAAGGTGACTCGCCGATGACAATCTCCTACGCGGAGGCTTTGGGTAACGGTACACGTGTTCTGCGGCAGATGCGGGCCTTCTGCGGCACGCTAGCTCGGGTCCCTCAGATCGGATCGAATAATAATAATCGACTCTCCCCTCGTTGGCGGGCGGAAGACTCGCTGTCGTCGCGCAGGGGTTGCTAGATAGCGTCCCGAGCAGCGCAGGGGGCGCAGGCTGATGCGTACCTAGCTCCTATGACGCGATGATCAGCGGCCACGCCGTCCGTGAAGATCCAGACTTGCGCGCTTGCATGGTGATGGGCTGTGCGAGGTCCGGGCAACGTCCGGGGTCGACAATTCAGCGTTGAACGAGGAGCCCTTCAAGGCTGCTTTCGGAGAATGTGCAAGACGGCTCTCCGTTCTCGGGCGCCACGTTGACAATGGGGAAGGATTGCTTCCGAGCGCCCGAAAGCTCCCGTTGCGAGTGCCCCTCGCGGAAGAAGATGTGTACGAGTCCGCGGCATCGCGCCCGAGGGGAAGAGACTGGGAAGAGCTGGAGAGCACGATTGGTGTGCGTCAAGGTCATTCTCAACGCCCGAGCAGAGAGCCTATTGTGAGCCGAGAACAGGAGAGCATCACGCCCTCATGGTGGCGCTCCGCATCGGTCGGGATGAAGGGAAAGCCTATGTCGAAGGTGTCGCCGATAGCATACTGTGTTGTGGACAGGAAGAATCGATGCAGTGTACGTTCACCAGAGACAGTTAACAATGTTGATCACCCTTAGAAGCGACAGTCAGCGAACAAGCCGTGCGTAATGGAGCCCGACGCACCGATGCCAGTAAATCCCATCGCTTTTGACGGTCTGTGAGATCGTTGATAGGACGGGAAGTAGGAGCCATGATACAAGCGAGGATCCAGTGCTTCAAAGTAGGAGCCAGTAGCTCATGAACATGGAGGTTCGGGGCGCCAAAGATCTTCATGATGAATGTTCGAGTCGTACGCAGCGGAATGCTTGCGCTCGTCGCCCGCCAGGATATCGTTGCGACCACTTGCTGGTCTGTTACGATCTGCAGAGCCTTAGGCAGCATTGCCGCCAAGTTCAAAGTACGTTGAGGCGATCGCAGCCCATCTTCAGTGTTTCGCTGGAACCAGTCCGTACTCGGTACCTGAGATAAATCGTGGATCGGTAATGTTGTACGAGACACGCTCTGGATCGACGCAGAGAGCTCAGCAAAGGACTGGTGCAGATTACTGCTGTGGTAGTTCAGGACAAGTTGTCGCCTCAACAGTTGCCCCGGTCCGCTCGCCCGCTCAATGACTCACAGCGATCTTCCGTGCCGTTGCCAACGGCGAGCTTGCTCATCAGCCGACGTCGGACCACCCAGGCATGGCTTGAAATGTCAGCATGATGGATGACCAGGAAGGCCGTTGAATTGCGGGAAGGAAGAGGTCCACCATCAGCATCAAAGCCGCCGAGACTTGGCTTGAACTTCCCGCCGATCATCATGCAGTGGCGCAGCGCGCGCGCTCTAATCTATTCATCCCGATGCCCTCGTCGTTGCCTGCCTCTCGCCGTCATTCCTCGTCCGACGTGCTCTTTGTATGTCCCCTTTTCTGCGGGCGCCTTCGAACGAGTGTACCTATCCTCTTGAACCTGCTTTCGGAGAGGGCTGCCCGCCCTGCACGGAGTCCTGGTGACTAGGCTGGACCGTACATATCGTTGACAAGGCCCGACAGCCGCATCAGGTACGACATCATGCTTCCTCGACGTTCGCAGGAGGCTAACTCTAATCGCAGGCTTCATAAGCCTGCTCGTGTAAATTCCCCTCATCCCTTGTCCATATCATCGCGCGACACCATCACACCGCGACGCTATCATCCCTCAACACCATCACTCCCCACGTCTGTCACCCCTCCCCTGCACCTCTCGGAACAAGGAGGCCTTTGGGAGCGCTCCGGGAAGCACGATCGTCCGACTCCAGGGGATACACCCTCTGATTGATGCCCCAATTCACCCTTCGGAGGACATCAGTTTCGCGCGCTGAAAGCGGTGCGAGGAAGAGTACTTAGCTAGCTGCTCAGGCAGACGCAAGGACGGACGAGACCTCAACTGCGCACACCTACGACGGGACGACACCATCGACCTTCACGATTGGCACGATTGCGCGACTCGTAGCCGTTCCCCTCGACCTGGATTCGCCTGGACGACCTTCACATACCACCTACCCTACGCGATACCCCAATCTAACACCACGCTATGTTCCGCCCCTCTATGTCCCCGTCCTCCGGACCCCTTCCGCCCGACGCGATCGACGCGGTGCATCAGTGGACAATGCAGGTCGCGGTTGACTTAGTATTCTATGGTTCGCCCCTCTCGAACTCAGCCGTACGTTCTTGAGACTGATATGCGATCGCAGGCGTACAAACAGCCCTCTTCCTAGCCGCAATGGCTGCCCTAGCGTGAGTCCCTCTCCCTCTGTCCCAGGTTCTTCCCCTCCTTTTTCCGTGATTTTCTATCTCTGCACGAAGTAACACACTTCCCAGCCGCCAACCCACGCGCTCCATCCTCCTCCAGACGCCCATCGTCATCCTATTCCTCACCTCAACCATGGGCGCCATCGCCATCCTTATATTCTACACCATCCAGGTGCCTGCGTTCGGCGCGGTGCCCCCGTATATCGACCACGAGATCTTCCAGCTGAGCGTGGTGCTGTCGGTGACGGATCGGGTCAATGTGAGTGTTTGATTTAGAGTTGGCGGCGCGTGCTGTTTGGCTACGCTCGATCGCTCATGGCGCTTTTGCGCGCGCGCTTGTCGGTAATCTTATTAACATGGCCTCCCCAGTATCTGCTCAGTGACCTCATCGTCGTATGGCGTGCTTGGGTATTATGGCCTGACAACAAACTCGCCCGCGCCGCGTTGGTAGTATGTATGTGCGGGAGTACGGGTGAGTATGAAATTTGTTGCCCATTGACAACGACGCTGAATCCCTCGCTTAGTCGGCCTCCTTATCGAAGTCGTTTGGGCCTTCCAGGACTATGGCGTCCTTGAGCCTGCGACGCACTCCCTGCTGATGACGGTCCCGCTCCTGGTGACGAATATGGTATGTACGGTGCTGATGGCAGCAAGGTGTTGGTAAGTGGACTACGATTCTGCAAGCTTCATTCAACATATAGCTGACTATCATCATAGGTACTATCGCCGCGACATCAAGCGCTCCCTTGGAACCTCGAACCGCACGCGCATCGAGAGCATCCTTCTCATCCTCGTCGAGTCTGGCTTCGTCTACTGCGGTCTTTGGGTACGTATCTAATCTCCACCAAGTTTAGCTGAGGACGCTTATTTACCGCGCTCCAGATCATGTTCCTCATCCTCCGTCAAACCTCCACTTCTAACGCCGAAGCATACGGGGTCGTCAAGACCGCCTTCCACAGCCTCGCGGGCATCTACCCGACCTTCATCGTCCTCGCTGTCGCTGGGCAGCGCTCTGCGGCCGAGTCGACGATATTCACCTCTGCACCCGTCACGCATCCCATCGACTTCGCACCGAGTGACGGGGCAGGGGAGGGGAGTAGGGTCAGCGAAGGTCGTGGAAGAGGCGAATATACGACGACGGGCGAACTTACGGACGATGAGACTTGGGCATCGGCGGGTGGCACGTCGACCTCGGGTGACGGGTCGACGCAGGTCGCGTCGGAGATGATCAAGTTGGAACGGCGGAAGAAGGGGTCCCACTTTTTGAATGTCGGCGGGGAGAGCTCTTCGTACGCAGAAGCGGGGTCCTCGTACGGCGGCGATGGATCGACGTTCGTGGGCAGCAATAGTTATGGTGGCGGTAGGAGTCGGCATACGCAATATGAGGATGGTTAGTTTGTGCTTCTTGATACATCGCCAGGGGTACAACCCAAGACGACCAGGGGCGTTATCTCATGTCAGACTGGTAGTGGCGGCAGAAATACCTTCAAGGCAAGGAGGCTTACCTGAATGTACATCGGCTTGCCTAAATGTACAAGGTCAACCGCACTCATACCCATCACTAGGTCAGTGAAAGGATACGCTCTTCCGCGTCCATACGTCCTTCTTGGACTGGACTGGAATTCACCCGAGCGGTCCCATCAGGAACATACGGGGTGCCCGTACTACACAAGTCGCGCTACAACCAGTGCTACGGAGCCAAACAACACATGAAATTACCCTTACGGCTTCCCCCTCCCCCATCGTGGAGTCACGTCCAGGTCTCTCCCAAGTGCCGTGTTAATCCCTGTCGGTCTCCTTCGTCCTCCCTTTAGTCTTCTCCCAGCCTTCTCTCGGGGGCACATACGCTCGGTGGAGAGAGAAGAGATCGAGCACCTCGTGGACATACTTCGCCAGGCGAGGCACGGCGTTACGAATCCCACAAAGCGCAGGTAACCAAGTGTTTACATCCGCGTTCGCTTCGCGCACGTCAGCGCGCAAGTCGACAATATCGCACCAGAAGACATGACGCAGATGAGCGAGGTCGGCCCGCGTCGCGCAGCTGAAAAGAGCATGAGGGGCGTCCTCAACCGCGCTGCCACAGAAGCGGCAGAGCCGCCATTCGGGCTTGATGCTTTCCCCGCGGTCGGACCAGCCACCACGCACGCTGAGCAGGCTGTGCTCTCCGGTGAGGGCGCGGGTCAGCGCCTTCCTGTGATGCGGGGTCTCGACGTCAAGATAGGCTCGGTACTGGATGGTCTTCGAAGACTGCTGGCCGCGCTTGTCCACCTCCACCCGGTTGAGGAGCAGGTGCGTGCGCGAGGCAGCAGTGAGGTCGCGGCGCACACCATCATGGGCGGATGCCTCAACACGCCCGATGATGGTATCCACGTGGGCGGCGGAACGTACATGCACGAAGTCGACGTGAACGGGGATAGGCTCGAGGCGGCGCAAGCCAGTGGCGAGGTCACCTATCCAGCCGGGTCGGCCCGCGCCATAGAGTTCAAGAGCGTCGCGAAAGGCATGGGCGGCAATGGTGTCTGCGGGCAGTTCGAGCATGCGCTTGAAGAAGCGCAGAGCGAGAATGAGTCTGCGGTGTAGGATAGGGAGGATTCCGGTTTCCGAGAAGATGATAGCGCGCATAGAACGCATCGAGTAACCTAGTACCCGGCGGAAAAACATAAGTTGGACCTTTTCGAGTGCGTCGCGGGCAGCCTTTGTGAGAGCAATGCCGACCTCGCACCCATAGGCCAGTATGGGCTCAACCCGAGCTTTGTACACCTTGATAGCGAGCCTCAGTGGCAGGTCCCCCAGGTAGCGCTGTAGAGCGAGGAGGGCAGATGCCACTGTACGACCCTTCCGAGCTTGGGTGAGGTGGTGCAGATCGAGGACATCACCCTGCAGGGCACAGAACAGGATACCGAGCACGACGGATTGATCCCTCCAGTGGACCGGCTGCTGGTCGAGGATCAGAGGGTCGAGTGGGGGCCCCCTATAGCCAAATGCCACTCCCTCGGTCTTGGTGATACTGACCACAAAGCCTAGCAGATGGGCCCACCGAGTGTAGTCACCAAGTCGACCCTGCGCACTGGCGAGAAGGTGGGAGAGAAGGATACCATCATCCGCCTGCTCGACGTTCTTCACTCGCTTTCCAGCAAGCACGACGTCCCCCGGTCTCTCCTGCATGTGGATGCAGCGTACGTAGAAGTTGAAGAGGGACGGGGAGAGCGTATCACCTGCAAGCACACCCACGTTCGACCAAAGCCGACCTTCCGCGGTCTCCCCGTTGCACGTGACAAGGTAGCGCATGCGTTCGTATAACATGCGTATCCAGTCGAACATGGGCCCACGCATCCCCGCATCGTATAGTGCCAGCCAGAGAATCTCATGGACTGTAGAGGGGAACGCGTTTGTGAGGTCGGGGAAGACAGCGAAGAGAGGTCGGTGTTCCGCGAGAGAGCGGTCAATGGCGCAGCGCAGTATGAATGGGTTTGTCAGCCCATGCCTCCCATGGCGGAACCCGTTCTGGGTATCGGGAAGGAGCTGTTGGTCCTCCATCCAGGTGACCATCCGCCGCTCAATGATATAGGTGACCATCTTGAGCAAGCAGGACTCCAGCCCGATCAGGCGATAGCTGGATGGGGCAAGCGCGTCCTTCCCCCGCTTGAGAATGGCAACCAACTTGGTCACCAGCCAGCAGCGTGGCGCGTCCCGGTCGCGTAGACAAGCGGTTACGAGATCCTGCAGCGCTTCGTTGGGGATAGCAACGAAGACAGCGTAAGACTGCTTGTCGAAGCCGACAGCCGAGCTGGGATCACGCTCGTGCGCATGGGCCTTCGCAGCCGCAATCTCGTCCAGCGACACAGCCGAGGAGAAGGTGCGCTCAGGAGTGATGTCGGCAGTAACGAGTGGGAGCACCCGAGAGTCAGCGATGGCCTGCGAGACTTCAGTACTGATGGGCAGCGTGTGTGTGAGTCGGCGCGCAAATTCATCCCGGAGGTCATCAAGAGCAACAGGAGCACGCCCGGCCTTGACGTCCGTGACGAAGCGGATAGTGTCCCACAGCTCCTTCTCACTGCGGCGTGCAGCATCTAGAATACTCGCCAGTGCGTCCTCCTTGGCCGCGCGGGCCCGCCATCGTCCTCTGTGACTGTCCTCGACAGAACCCGCTAATGTTGGTCGTGTCCGAGGTGGTGGAGCAGGAGGAGGGGCAGAGGGGAGGGTGGTAAAGACCTTCAGGGCGGAGCGTGGGAGCGTGCTAGCTGGCGGACCCCAAGGGGGAGCACTTGGCAGCGCGAAGGCGGTAGAACGAGCTGCTCCATCCTTGGCGAGGATGTCGGCGGCGTCATTCCCTTTGTTGCCCGAGTGACCCTTAACCCATCTGAACTCGACCGGGCAAGACCGGCGCTGCAGAAGCGTAACCGCATACTGTATGAGGTCGGCATTTGCGCATATCCACCCGCATTGCTCGAACCGGCGTGCCCAGTGGCAGTACGTGCGGATGACAAGCTCGCTGTCGCAGTACACGGTGAGTGGGACCGTTGGCGCGGTGGCAAGGAGGGCGAGAATGAAGGCGAGATGCTCTCCCCGGTTGTTTGTCTGAGCACCGGGTACCCGCGCTGAAATGTTGTCCGCGTGCTCGCCAAAGTAGACGCCTGCGCCTGCGCGCGCGTCCTCGCGTCCATTGCCGATGCAGCTGCCGTCAATCCAGACCCGCCGAGCATTGGTGGATGAACTCGAACCAGGCCCGTACAGTGCGCGGATGCCATCGTCCTCAGACTCACGCTGCCGGAGGACGTCCGCGAGCATGGAGTCGAGGGCGGAGGGAGGGAGGGGCAGGCCTGAGCTGGGCTCCGAGGGCGCCGGCAGCGGGAGTGGGTGCAGATGCCCACGGCTACGAAGCTTCTGTCGTGGCAGGTGCCTGATGGGGCGTGTAGGCTGCGAGCGCTGGACAGCAAGACCCTGAAGGGAGAGGAGCAGGCAAGAGTGGTCGGACCAGCCAAGTAGACGGTGTACCCGGAACCCGTGGATATGGCGCAGGAGGTTCGACGATGCAAGTGCGTAGTCGACCACGGCGTCCCCCATGCCCTGGAAGGAGGTGAGCTGGCCCGGAGAATCCACCTCGTAGGACGTCCCATTGAGAATGACAGCCCCAGCTGCAGAGCATGCATCGATGAGCCGGCGTCCTCGTGTGCAGGGAGCACCATCATCTGAGGAGGAGCGCGGTAGGGCGGGGGTCTCAGGGCAGGACGCTTGGAGGCAGTTTGTGCGCGCATTGAGGTCACCGAGTATGAGGAATGGAGAGCTGCTGCGGTGCAGGCCGAGCACAGTGAGCAGTTCGAGTAGACGGTGCTCGGGGTTCACTTCTGAGGAGCGCTCCCAATCGGACGTTGCGGGGAGGGCGTATACACATGCCACGGTGATGCCTGCAACGTTGATAACGAGTGTGTCGGTCACTCGCCATTGCTCTAAGACCTGTACAGGCAGCTCTGAGCGGTACATGATAGCCACCCCACCCCTAGGTCTCCGTAGGTCAGGGCTGCACGGATGGCAGGTAGATGTGATGGAGAAGCCCTGAGGTAGGGTGAGGGTATCCTCCTCCCCAGGCAGCAGCCATGTCTCTTGGAAGAGAACAAGATCATGGGAACAGAGGAATCCGAGCATCTCCTCATCACCGAGGAGCAGTCGAATGTCACCACGTATGTTCCATGAGCAGAGGCGAAGCTCTGGGCACGGGCAATCAGGCACATGGGGGGTGGATGTGGCAGGCATGTCATTCTGCAGCGCAGGTACTACATGCACGATGAGGCCGAGTAGCTACGTGTGACTGTCTATTCACGAACCATCTGACCCCTCCCCTCCGTTGAGCAGTGCTGCGACGAGGTCCTCTGAGTTGGGGTCCGACCAGTGCGCGTCAATGCGCAGGCCAGGGGCGAGTTCATCCACCAATGCTCGGCGGGTCTGGATTGACGGCAGCTGCATCGGCAATGGACGCGAGGACGCGCGCGCAGGCGCAGGCGTCTACTTTGGCGAGCACGCGGACAACATTTCAGCGCGGGTACCCGGTGCTCAGACAAACAACCGGGGAGAGCATCTCGCCTTCATTCTCGCCCTCCTTGCCACCGCGCCAACGGTCCCACTCACCGTGTACTGCGACAGCGAGCTTGTCATCCGCACGTACTGCCACTGGGCACGCCGGTTCGAGCAATGCGGGTGGATATGCGCAAATGCCGACCTCATACAGTATGCGGTTACGCTTCTGCAGCGCCGGTCTTGCCCGGTCGAGTTCAGATGGGTTAAGGGTCACTCGGGCAACAAAGGGAATGACGCCGCCGACATCCTCGCCAAGGATGGAGCAGCTCGTTCTACCGCCTTCGCGCTGCCAAGTGCTCCCCCTTGGGGTCCGCCAGCTAGCACGCTCCCACGCTCCGCCCTGAAGGTCTTTACCACCCTCCCCTCTGCCCCTCCCCCTGCTCCACCACCTCGGACATCCCATCAGGAACATACGGGGTGCCCGTACTACACAAGTCGCGCTACAACCAGTGCTACGGAGCCAAACAACACATGAAATAATAGGCCCTGCGCCGTCTTGATGAGCATGCGGGTCATCGGCCTTGTGGACATTTCAGAGAGCTCGTCCGATGCACATCTACTTGTACTTTGGGAGGTGAAGGCTGCGGATGCTCAGCATGTTCTATACACCGTGGAATCATGAACATACGGTGCAAGCTTGGAATTCAACCCTGACTTTATGTACAGCGACCAACGAATGAGGTACACATCAGCGTAAAATCCGGGTCAGTTTATCGTGACTCGAACGAGCCAGTTCATAGTGAAGTCCTGCGGAAGCACATAGACAATTCAATAGATGCGTATAATACTGCGCCTGCATCCCGCGGCTTGCAACCAAATGTCATGCGGACCGTCATCGATTGCGATGATCGTAATAAATGAGCCCCGGCTCGCTCGTATGAAGATGTGCAGGTAGCGTGTGTTTGGGTCGGGCTCGCGAAGCGGGAAAGGGCCATTGTCCATCTCGCCGTACAGCAAGGGTGGATATGGGGTCGTCACGTCCGAAAAGTCTACCAAGACGGTCCGTACGGAGCGCAAGCGTTCGGGCTCGCCATACTGTATCAGGCATTCGCGCGCGCATCGGAGGAGGAAGGCGCGTTCGAAGGCGGTCGTGCTGTCGTGGCCGTCTATCTGGTCGGGCGTAAGTCGTATGCTCTGCGATGCCGATACTGACAACGCTGGTTCAGCAAGACTGGGGAAGCAACTAGGTGACATCAACGTACCATTCGCTTTGTGCCGGCATTCACTATGATGTGTCGAGCACCAATGCTCAGCTTGGCAGGCCTTGCTGCAGTATGCGACTCCACCGCAGGGGCAGGATTTGCATCGCAGACGTTCGCTGCTTCGCGGACACTGCTCATCGTCAGCGCATCATCAAAAATTGACGGTAGAGTTGTAGACGACCTTGGGATTGGCGCAAGACCCGAGGGTTGAGACAATGACGTCCTTGAAATCAAGCCGCACGTCGCGAAAGTATAGGTAGCGCCTGACGAGCATTTGCCATTCTTCTGGGTCAGAGGTAGTCGGCATGGCGCACTGATCCCGCTTGAAGGCGTCGTCAGATGCTCGAAGAACTCTTGGCCATATGATTGCCTGGAGCATGCTGTCGACGAGCCGAAGCGCTTCCCGTCGACAATCTGCCCTAAATCGCGCTGACGCGGGCGAGGTGGCGTCGTTGGGATGAAGAGTGACGAGAATACGATGGATGACGGGCAGGAGACCATGACGAAGGGCAGATATGAGGGACGAATAGGAAGGAGAAGGGCTCGGTCGCGTGATGACGACTTGGCAGATGAGCGCGGTCCAAAGTGCGACAAAGAACTGTAGGTACTCTGGCCCCTTCAGCCACGCCGGGCGAGCCGTCTCGCGCGCCAGCAGCCGTACGAACAAGGGTATCGGCCGTGAGGCTTGGAGATGGACGATGGTGGATGCACTCGTCATGAGCTCTGCTGTGAAATACCTGCCGTAGCTTTCGGCACAGGTCTTGTCGTTCAGGGCGGAATCAATACGCCACAGCGCGGCGTCAAAAAACCAGGAAATCCGGGTCGCGATGGTGCAGATGATCCTTCCTGGGCATTTCTCGTCGTATGATGCCACACCCAGTTGCATGCGCTCCTTCACGTCACGATCCTCGCTCCGGAGCAGGGAGTCGATGATCATGTAGAAGTTGTGGTAGTTTATAGCGGTCGTTGCCCTCGGATGCACGACATACGTGAAGAAGTCGAAGACGATGTCCGTAAGGTTTTTTGGAGCGAGAAAGGAAGGAATTCCTCGGGTGTGTAGCCCAAGCGCGCCAATTATCATTGTCATGGCCTGGACGAGGTAAGGGAAGGAGACAACGGCGTAGCCATCGCTGCGGAGATGACACGGTGGAGCGTCGAGCCAAGGGAGCTCCTCTTCATAGGCCACGTTGTTTTTCTTCGGGCTCAAGAAGACTAGCCAGTTCCACACGTCGCCGAACCCGCTGAGAATGCCTTGTTCGAACGCTCGTGGACTATCGACGATGTTAGATGCAAGCTGGGCATATATGTAAAGCGCGTCAACGGCCTCGGAGATTGTCGTGATATCGCTGGAATCGAGAGGGTGGGAGGGGATACGTGTCGGTTGGAGGCATGCAAACAGCGAACGAGCGAGAGGTGGCGTGAGAATTCGGGTAGGTATTGCCATTCCCCTGTGCGGGTAGGCAGCGAAGAATCGACGCGAGATCTGTGTGGCTGGCTACTTCGACTGAGTGTATGTTCGAAGAGACCTTCTCGAGGATGCTCACCATTTTGCGTCCGAACTAGGTAGCAACGTGGATGTTGACCGTGGAAGCAGAAAAAGCACAAGCGTCGCCTGCGGGCGCTCACGTGGAGTCGGTCCATTCAGCAGGCTATACGCGTTCGATTCCCACTCTGACTTTGCGATGATCCTCTTCATCGTCCCTTCGTGGATCCCAGCAGCTTCAATATAGACGTTTTCTATCTGATAGGATGAATGCGAGGTGCTATTGATATGTATGTGCAGAGTCGATGGACGAGGACGGGGCACCCCCACACACATGTTCGAAGACTACACCCTTCAGCCCTTCTAAGCGCTCTCGCGCGAGACAACATCGACTTGAAGCAAATACACGACGCCTCCCCGGCTCACCTTCACCCAGTACTGGATGGCTCTGTCGTCGAGCTCTTTCGCCGACTCGTCTAGATCGCCATATCCGCTTCGTCGCCAGTGCGAAGGTCACGAGATCCACTACCACAGAGCGAACGGACCGTAGTTTCTCTGGTTCGCCGTTCTTTCGGAGTATCGCGTGCGTGCAATGTCTAAAGTAGGCGCGCTCGGAATGCGTCAGGGAGTCAGGATGTGCGCTGCGGACAGTGTTCGTGCCGTCGAGGCAGATCCTCACCGGACCTGGAATAAATCTCGGACAAAGTATCATCCACGAGCTGACGTATAGCTTACCGCAAAAGCAGACTTCACGATGGCTTTTGCGCCACGCCCTTCGCTGACAGTCGGCGGAGCAGTAGCATACGCTTCCGCAAATGCACATCTTCAGATCTCCCTTGCGCTTACACTAGATGACCTTGAGCTCCGCGTATAGTGACCAAAGACATAGGCCTTCGGCTGCTCACCTCACCGCATGTCTCGCGCATTTCTCGCGTGCTATTCCGGTACTCTTTTTTCAGGTTCCAGAAGTCCCAGTAGCGCGCTCGGACAGCAGTCCACATTGGCGAATTTCCCTCATCATCCATAGGCACATAGCGTTTCTCCGCCGCGCATGCCTTCATTCCGTCCGGCCAGATCATTGCAGGCGCGGTGACATTCTTTAGGATGCGCATGAGGTCTGCCTGGTAGGCTACGACGTACTTGCGCGTAGGTGTCCTTTCGGGTATTCGGTCGAGCGGATGAAGGAGTCGGCGTGGAAGAGACAGAAGATGATAGGGAAGAGCGCGCACGATATCGGCATGGGCGGCACGAGGATATGGATCTGGAGTCAGCAGCAGCGCGGAGAGGAGGCGCGTTAAAAGAGATATAGCATAAAGCTTGTAAGGAGCCAAACCTGCCACCATTCCAATTGGCCCCTGCCCATCAACGGAGCCTGGAAGATATGTCCTGAGATGGACATAATGGGATTCTCGGTGGACTGTCTGAGGTTCTCGATAGTGCGCGGCCTGCTGAGAAACTCTGAGTTGAAGAGCCTCGCGTATCCCTCGACGAGGCCGAAATTCTCTCTATCCTCGAACTCGGCGCGATAGAACCACGTCAGACGTCCCGCAGTGGTGAGGAGAAGCTTTCCGGGGTATCGGTCGTCAAACGTCTCCATCGCCGTCCGGAAGTGTCGAGCGACTGTCGGGTCCTTATGCTGGAGTAATTCGGAGAAGACGAAGAGGAGACGGTGATGCATGGAGGGCATTAGATCACAGGGTGGAGCTTCGTGAGCGATGAGGCCTAGGAGATCTTCCGCGGCGTCGGGTATGACGGCTAGCACCAGTCCACCCCGCGGGTTGGCGATGAAGGGTCCAAGAAACATGATGATGACCATCATTCGGTGCATCAGCGACATCTCAATGCGCCCATCTGCGTATAAGCTACATCGAGGGATCTCCCCTGAAGACGCATCACCCTCCGCCAAGTTTCCCGTGAGAGGGTTCAGTGCCGCGATCCAAGGCCACACATCGGGCAGCCGCCACAGGAGCATGTCATGGAAGCTGGGCGGGGCATCCAGGGTGTTGCCAAATATATTTGAAAGTATTCCCAGTGCGTCGATACCTTCAGAGAAGATTGCGACGGAGTTCTTGTTGAAAGGGGGGTGTGGGATTCGGGAAGAGCTCAGGCAGGCGAAGAGCTCGTCGAGCAGGGCGGGCTTCAGGTCGTGAAAGCGTATGGATGACTTCACATTTTGGGTCCCCATGGCACTGAAGATCCGCGAGATTCTGCTCATCTAATCCGTCGTACACTATGAATCTTCATACACGCCGGTGAATGTGACTAGACGTACCATCTTGTCCAGACTCGCCAAAAATCCTACGAATGTCAAAAGTCAGTCTCTGTGGCTTGATGACTTGTCAAGATGAGCCTGAGTTATGCTGCGTTTACGAGATGCGCGTGCCTCCTGGAACCAAGGGCCGATGCCCACGACGATGCGGACGATGAAAACGAACATTTGCGCGCACGTGCTCCGGAAGTATATCTCGGCAGACGCCGAGCCCTCGAACTCAGCTTCGCGACATCACGTCTCGCCCTCCTCCCCCCATCCATGTCTGTTTGTCCTCGAGAGACGAAAGACGCGAAGAGCTGCAGAAGACACCTGTCTCTAACTAGCCACCGGTACCTACACTTGACCAATAAGCGCCGGCGCCGCACGTGGTTATCGCTGACTCAGCTAGCGCAATTAGGACGAGGCATTGTTCCTTGCTCTCACCCCTCACGGTCCCTCGCAACGAGCGACATACTGGACGCGTGAAACATCCTCAAGACGCGCGAGAGACGCGTCTTGGATATGTCTTCGACGATGGACGTTACGGAGCAGGCAGCGAACATCACTTCCGAGTTCATCAATAGTGCGTCGCGACCGACAGCTCGAGCGCTTCTTCGTGCTGACGATCCCCAGGCCTCGACAACCTACCCAAAGAGGTCCAGCATCTGTGCGCAGAGATCAGGGAACGAGACGCTCGAGTACAGGGTGAGTGGCTCCTCATCCCTTTGACGCGCGCTAACCATTGCTCGATCATCCCCTTGCGCCGTGCACCCTCCACCTGCCTCGCGCCACCATCACATACATCGTTGTCCTTTACTCTCCCCCATCAGCTCTCAACGCCGAAATTGCCAAGATGCAACTCCTCTTCTTCCGCCGTGGCCAGCCAGAGGTCAGGCTCAAGATCGACGCCGCCTACGCCGACGTCTTCCGCCTCAGCGACGAGAAGGTCGCGCTCGCGCTTCGCCTCCAGGACCGCCTCTTTCGAACGACCGCCCGCGCGGACGGCGAGCTGCTTCGCGTGCGCAAGCTGACGGGCGAGGTCGTCGACCCGCCACCGGTGGTGACGCGCGCGGCGACGAGGGGCGCAACAAGCTTGGGTGGCAGTATCAATGTCGGTGGGGTAGGAGGAGGAGCGGGTGGCGCGATCGGAGGCTGGGGGAGCCCCTCGCCGTCGGTGGGCGCGATCGAGGGGATGCTGCAGGCGGCGGTGGATGATGCGACTCCGGCGACGACATCGAGACGCGGCGCCCCGCGGAAGCGCACTGAGTCGCGGGACGGGACGCCGGACGCGGGGCAGCCACAGACGAAGCGTGCGGGCATGCAGATCCCGTCCCCCGTTGTGCTTGCTAACATCGTTCTGACAGGCCGCCGACACACCAGCCTTGCCGGCACCCCTACGCAGATCCGACTTGATTCCCCTATGCCTGCGCCAAACTCATCCGCGAGCGCCGGGCCTGGTCATCAGCGCTCACGGCTGTCGCGCCAAGTCGCGCAAGAACCCGACGAGGACGAGGACGCGGAGGGAGAGGAGGACGAAGAGGAAGACCAGACGCTGTACTGCCTCTGTCGGATGAAGAGTCATGGGGATGTGCGTATTGGTTCTATCTGCTTCGCGGCGTTCTGCTATGGATCATGGATGTGTTATGCGACACGGATAGAATGCTGATGTTCCTGCAGATGATTGGCTGCGACAACGACGAATGCCCATACCAGTGGTTCCACCTGTCGTGCGTGAATCTCAAGCCGCCGCTGCCCGACCAGTGGTTCTGCCCCGACTGCTTGCCGAAGATGAAGAAGCGGAAGAGGTAGACGTCTGCTTCGCGTACGCCTCCATCCCCTCTCTCCTCCTTGCATGGACCTTATTTCTTGGCATATCGTGCTCCGTCACCGCTCCGCTGCGCGAGCTATCGCTCTACTGTGTACCAGTATTCTTGTATCTCTAGATCCATGCAGCCTACCTGTGTACTTACCGTTGTTCCCTGTTCTGTATACTCGCTGTGCTGTATATACCTTTCTTGTTGTGTTCTTGACTGCATCACTATCCTAAGTGCTCTGCTGTACCAATCTCATCTTCGTCTATCTCGACGGTATCCCTCATGTTATCCATTCTTGTGATGTCCTGAGTGCCAAGTGACTCCCCGAACAGCTGCTATTGTTCTGTCCGTTTGGTTCCGCTGATGCCGAAGATTCGGCTTGCGTGCGGTACGAACGCCGCTTGGAATCAACCGCCACCATCTATCTCTCTCTTTTCTCCGTTTGTCGTCGTTGTGTCCAGAACCATCATCAGTTTGTTTGCGGAGTTCAGTTCTTGGCTGTCGTCGTTGGTTGAAGTTCGTTTCGTGGGTCTTGACCATCACCAAGGTGTGTTCATACCTTCTCTCCCCTTCGCATTCTGACCGACGGCAGACGGAGCAACAAGCCTTCACAGCATACCATCATCAAGGTCATCCGATACTGCAACCAGCGCAAAGAGCACCGAAGCAGCCACCATGAGCAGCCCGCCGTCGAGCGTCACGTCGGGCAGCATGATGGCCCTCAGCCCACCGTACACTCCCCCCAGCAAGCTACTCTCCCTCCCCAACAGCAACGGCGTCATCAGCCCCCCACGCAAGAACGGCTTCAGCCCGCCCCGCAACCGCAGCTTCAGCCCTCCCTTTACCTCGCCGCTCATGGGCCCCATCAGCCCGCCCCGCGGCGGTAGCGACATCTTCAGCCCCTCGCGCAGTAGCGATATCTTCAGTGCGCCGAGGAATGCGAACATCATCAGCCCCCCGCGCGCGAGTATGGGCACGGCGCTGCATCACCATGAGAAGCGGCACGACGACCTGTGGCGGGCGGATGGCAACCTGGTGCTCAAGGCGGGCGGGACCGTGTACCGCCTGCATGCGTCCTTCCTGGAGAAGTACTCGCCCGTGTTTGCGAGGATCCTGTCGCTGCCGCCGCTGGAGCTCTTCGATGACTGGCCGGTGGTGCGGCTGGATGATGACGAGCTCTCGTTTACGGTCTTCCTCCGTGCGCTGATGCATCCCGAGTGCGTTCCCCTCTCACCTCATTCCATCTTAGCCACTGACGCCGCCCCCAGGACCTACCCGCCGCCACCCGCGGCCCCCTCCCGGGCGACCTCGATGGCGATCCTCCGCCTCGCCACCAAGTACGAGATCCGCCACCTCCGCACGCGCGCCCTCCACCACCTCAACGTGCTCTTCCCGACCACGCCCCTCTTCAAGGGCTGGCGCGACCTCGGCAACCGCGCAGCGACCTTCCCCGACATCCTCGCCTACGCTCGCGAGTGCAACGCGCCCTTCCTCGCGCCCGCCTGCGCGTACAACCTCGTCTGCGCGATGCGCGACGCCGGCGAGCTCGCGGCCGCGACCGCCGCGCTCCCCGCCGCGGACCGCGCGCGCTACCTGCGCCTCTGGGCGGAGCTCGCCGCCGCGCACCAGCGGCTCACCGCGTGCGTGTTCGACCTGCCGAGCGAGGCGCCGGGCGCGCGGCGCGCGCGGTGCGTGGGCGGCGCGGCGTGCGTGGCGTGGCGCGCGCAGTACGTGGGCGTGATGGCGCTGGTGCCGCCCGCGCGGCTGCTGGTGCCGGGGTTCTGGGACATGCTGGGGCAGGTCGCGCCGATCGTGGCGCCGGGCGCGGCGCAGGGGGGCGCGGCGCAGGGGGGCGCGGCGCAGCAGCCGTGCCAGCCGTGCGTGAAGTACGTGCACGAGACGCATGAGGATGCGCGGAAGCGGTTTTGGGAGGAGCTGCCGGTGCTGCTCGACCTGGGGCCGTGGACGAAGCTGGTGATGATGCGGCTGGAGGCGATCGCGCCGCCGGCGAAGGAGATTCCGTTCGAGTATCCTTGGTGAGTGGGTTATGTGGCTGGGCGCATGGGGGCTTGGGTATTGACGTTCATACAGATCTCCTCCTCACATTCTCTTGCTTTGTTTGTGGTCTGACCGCCTCGCTTTTTGGATATCGTCTCGTCTCAAGGAGCGCTTCTCGACTGGATTCGACCTCGCCCGCAACGAACCCATTTCTCGTCTTCGACAAATAATCAGAAACGCAACAATCCCTCACCTTTCCTTCTCATTCTCGTCAAGACCAATAATCGCTCTCAAACTATCAAGGAAAACCAACGTTACCGCCGCTATACCATTCCCGTCGCCTTGTCTATCTTCAAGTATTCCTCTCACGACTCAAATGTCTCTCTCGCGCTTAAAGTTCTCGTGTTTGTATGCCTTCTCTTGTCCTTTGCTCGTATCATCCAGGTATGTATCCAGATTCTGAGGCGTCCGCATCATCTCACCATCCTCCTCCAGAAACACGAAATCATCCAGAAACAAGCTAGCCTTCCTATCTATTCTTTGTGTACGTCTCTTTACCTCAGCGCTCATTCCGTCTCTGCCCTTTCGTCCGTCAACCATCCCATCAGTCAACTGACCACTTTGCTAGGTATCCGTCGAATCGTCTCCGGGTTTTGTCAGCCTACTGTTCTCGACCCGCTCTACCCTATCTCTCTCTCGACCCGCTTTATCTCGCTGCTTTCGTGTCGCTATCCATCCTCCTCACCTATTACGAATGCTTGTACCTCGCCCGGATGACGGCGTGTCGTGGTTGTTGTTCTTCGCCCATGCGGCGTCATCTTGGTTGTCGTGTTCTCGCATGGGTTACAATGTGTTCTTGCATAGGTTACTGTTCCCGCCGCGTATGTCGGGGGCTGCTGTCCCCCGTACCACTTGCGGCTGCTTCTGTGCTACTTGGATATCCGTGCATACGTACCCGTCCTGTTTGTGTCCTCCGAGCTTCTCGCAGAATCATTCGTGCCTCACCTGTCCTTGCAACTCGCTACCGTTGTAGTACAGCTTGGGAATTTTGGACTATCTAGTTACATCTGAATGAACGATCTGTCTTTTCATGTCCGGAAGTTGTTGAGCATTGCTCCAAGACGGTTGGCGCGCAAGGAACGAGAAGGAGGCCCAGGGTGACTCATGGCGTGACAGTTCGACTTTCGGAGAAAGCCGGCCGAGGGCGTCGCGGTCACCTGACCGTTTGCCAGCGAAAAAAGTGCCGCGCGGCTCTGAACCCGTTCGACCATCGCGGCGACCCTCGTCGTCGTCCCCGCCGCCGTTCCCCTCACCGCCATCGACGTTGAGCACGGGTATTCTTGTCGTCGTCATCGCACCCCTCGTCCCTCGCATCCTGTTCGCCACCGGTTTCTGCAACGTGTTCATTCGTGTGCGAGATCCTTTGTGGCTTGTGGCTGTCGTGGGGGCTGACGGCGCTCCGCAGATGTCTATGAGCTAAGAATTGGACCTTTGCGTGCGCTCTGGAAGGAAAGGGAACAGGGACAGGCAGGATCGGTACGTCCTGACGCCATATATGCGCGCATAAGCGCTGACTGTGACCAAGCAGGCTATCGCCCGACATCTCTTGATTCTGACGACCATCGACGACGAGCAATATCATGTCCCTCATGTTCCAGGAGACGTCCGCGGAGAGCTTTGAGGAGAGCCTTATGGCTGGGGGATATGGGCGCTACGTACGTCCTCGTTTCGATCACGCCCCTATCGTCATCCTTTGCTCTGTGCGAGTGGTGCTCGTGGTTGTGCGGCAACATCGACACTACGCCAGGATATATGCCACAGATATTTACAGCTCCCGCTTCCTCTACTGGTTTGTCATTCTTGTCGTCCCGCCCATGCTGACCATCTCATAGAAAACCGCCGAGTGGCGCCCGGCACCGCTCTCCCCCGTCGGACCACCAGCTTCCCCCCACAAAAACGGGCAAGAATCTTCCCCTCGGCCGCCCCCGCCACGCATACATCCTGCCTCCCCGCTCACGTATCAGTATGGCCGACCGTCGCCCGGGCAGTCCTTCTCCCTTCAACCGGCAACGAGTATATTCTCGCAGCAATCGACGGCCGGACCGTTCAACTTCGCCAGCACTTCGACTGCGCCCTCGACGTATCCGACGCCGACGTCATTGCTGGGCTCGTACGCGGCGAATCCGTACCCGTCGGGCCCGTATTATTCGAGCGCGTATAATCTCGCGAACTCGAACGCCACCAATACTTCCGCCTCTTACCCCGCAACTTCTACCTACCCGCACTCCTCCCTATCGCCCCCCTCCCAGCATCCGTTCGCCAATACCTCCAATCAGCCCCCGACCGATCCAAACATCACCCTCCCCGCCGCAGACCCTGCCCGCGTCGCCCGCAAGCAGCGTCGCCTCGCAGCGTTCCGGCCCGCGCCCAACCCGCCGCGCCGCCTGCACGTCGTCCGGCTGGAGGGCGTGGGACGGGTCCTCTTGGATGTGGCGCCGCCCGGAGAGAGTGGGGGCGGGGAGCCGGCGAAGAAGAGGAGGCGGCAGGCGACGGGTGGTGGGCACGGTTCGGGGCACAGTCATAGCCAAAGCGGGCACAGTCATAGCCAAAGCGGGCACAGTCATAGCCAAAGCGGGCACAGTCATAGCCAAAGCGGGCATGGTCATAGTGGTGGCGGTCATCATCAAGGGCATAGTGGTGGTGGTCATCATCAAGGGCATAGTGGTTACAATCAACCCCACCACACCCACGCCTCCCCCACGCCGGACCCCCTCGGGCCCGCGACCGCGCCCAACTGGCCGGACGGCGAGTTCCCCTGGAGCGCGCGCGCGGAGGAGCGGGCGGCGCTGATGCGGTGGGAGCGCGCGGCGAAGGACGCGCTGCTGGATCGGTTTTTCGAGGAGGAGGAGGATGTGTGGGATGAGGGCGGTAGGAGTGGTGGTGGTGGGCGTGGGAGTGGTGGTGGTGGTCGCGGCGATCGAGGAGAGGGTCGCGGCGACCGAGGAGAGGGACGTGGCCGAGGAGAGGGACGTGGCGGTAGCAATGGTGGCTGTGAAGGAGGCGGCGGCGGACGAACCGGCGCCGACACCGACGACGAGGAGTGGAGACGGGCAGAGTGGGAGAGGCAGTGGGGGCTGAAGGAGCGCGTGGAGGCGCGGGCGAGGCGGGAGGCGGCGCGCATCATGTTGGAGGCGCGCGAGCGGGCGATGCAGGCGAGGCGGACGCCGCCGGGCGAGGGGCTGGGGATGGGAATGGGTGCTGGGCAGGAGGACGCGCGGCGGATGCAGCAAGAGGATACGCAGCAAGAGGATACGCAGCGGACGCCGACGCAGCAGGAGTACCCGCATCCTCGGCCCTCGGTCCAGGCGTCGCATCCTCAGCCCACCTGGCAGGCGACCGTTGACCAGTCGCTCGCGCACGCGCACGCGTTCAAGCAGACCCTCTTCGCGCTCCCGCCGGACGTGCGGGAGAAGTACCTGCGCACGCTGCCGCCGCATGAGGCGCTTGTGTTGCAGAAGCAGCTGTGGGATATACCCGAGAATTGGGTTCCGGTGGGGCACGGAGCTAGGCCGACGCAGCATCAAGACCAGGTCATGCAGGTACCGTTCAGGACGCAGGTGCAGGAGCCCCAGCAGCAGCGAGATCAGGCCATGCAGTCGCCACCGCTCCAGGCTCAGCCACGGCCCCTGCAGGACCTCACGACGTTGATGGACCCGCGGCTTCAGCAACTGCAAGCTCATTCACTGCAGCAGGAGCCCGTCGCTCCGCCGCCATATCAGCAGCCCGCATCTGCGCCATCTCAGCTACCAGCGTCTCCTTCCCAGTTGGCGTCGTCAGCTCAGCAACCTGCACCTTCGGCTCAACCATCCGCGCCGTCAGCTCAGCCACCCGCATCGTCCCCTTCCGACCAGCATGTTAATAGTAGTGGTACACATAGGACTTCGCCTGTAACGACGACATGAATCATAGTTTGAGAAAATAGTGTGTGTATCAGTTTTTCAGTATCGCGATAACTGTGCTCTCTCAGCGGATTCTTTCATCCTGCAAGACTGGTCCTGTTTCTGCGCGATCTCTATATCGATTCCTCCGCCTCTGTGATCTCTATTTCACCTCGTGCGTCCGCGTTTCTGCCCAACGTGAAAACTGTTCTCGAGGAACACTGTCCACCTCCATCATGTACTCCGTGCCGCCCTTTGCGACCAGCACCCAGACGTGCACGAGTGTCGAGTCAGGGACGACTGGCGAAGCGGGGACGAAGCCAGGCTTCCTATCGAGTGCTCCGTACACGATGCTCGGCAGCCCAGGCCGCCCATCCTCGTCGTCGAGGTTCATGTCAACGTTGACGAAGTCGACGAGGATGGTGTGGACGCGGTGGACGGCGGTCGGGTCGCCGAGCTGCGCGAGGAGCTGGTTGGCGCAGATCTTGAGATAGGTGCGCATGGAATGGGAGATGCAGTTTGGGGCGTCGACGTAGGGACCGCGGCTTCGCGGGCGGGTTTTTACAGGGCCTGGGACAGACGATAAGCGAGGATTTAAGGCTGGAAAACATAGACGTACGTACCCTCGTTCGTGCGCGCGCAGGACTGGTGATGCGAGGCATGCCAATCGATCTTCTGACATGCTCTTGAGCAGTAGAAGGCCGAGCCGCAAGAGCAGGTCTTCATCCTGGAAGGCATAGGAGTGTCACGATTAGGGCACTAAAACAAAAGTTCAGAAGACGAGTAAAGCGGCGAGCACACGGAGAATACCTTCATATTGCAGCAATGAGCAGCGTCGAGCTCCTTGTACGTCTCCCTTGCGTTCGCGAAGAACCAGAAGCTCCTGTGGAGGATGTCCCAGTCTGGCAATTGCAGCACGGGGTCGTTTTCGTCAAGGTCGAACAAGGCGACTATGTCTTCCGAGTCGTAGGCAGCGCGGAGCGCGGAGCGCCATACGAGACTAGGCACGACGGCCTTCGCGATGATGTCGCGTGTGTCACGCCAGAGGGTATCGGAGAACGGGGCGTCGCCTCTGCGCGGATGGGCGGAGGGGTAGGACACCGCCATGACCAGGTAGTGGAGCACGGGGACAAAGCCGCACTTGATGGCGTGCACGACGTCCGCGAGCAGGACCGAGGGGTTCTCCGCCGTTGGGACGAGGTGGGCGGCCAGAATCTTGACCAGCGCGCCAAGAGCACGGTGCTTATACGGCTCTGCCTCCAGCGCGTGCAGCTCTATCATCCTGGAGATGCGTTCGAGAGCAAGGACGGGGGGCCCGATGGACGTGCTCCTCCTGAAGTTGGCGATAAAGCTCGCGTCTCGGAGCAGGATGGTGTCGAGCAACGTGATGTACGTGTCGACGTAGTCCGCGTCGAAAGATGGCGCGGCACCGGATCCGGGGATTAAAATCCATATTGAGCGCTTGACAACCGAGCGAAGGACTTTTCCCGGATGGCTGCTGTCGAATTCCACGAGCCCTTCTTGCGCAGGATTGGGAGAGAAGCCCCTTCCCCTAGCGTGCAGCCCCAGGAAGAGCTTCGCGAGCAGATGCTGGCCCTGAGCGAGCTGGGGCTCTGGTTGCAGAGGGCAGAGCATTGTGAGCATCGACAAGATATCGCCCGTAAGTCCTGGGCAGGTCAACAGCGCCCGCGTGCCCTCCGCTGTACGCTGCGCGTGAGTAACCATGATATTCATGATGTGCACTCGGGCATGGGACGCCATTGCGAACCGACCGTCGGCTTGCAGATGGCATTGTTTATGCGCTTGGACGATTTGGACCTCGTCGTCAGAGAAGTGACCATATCGTGGGCTGAGGAAGCGAATCCATTGCCATACAAGGGGAAACCATTTGATCAGTTCCCGTTGCATGACGAGGGGTAGGAGATGGAGGTCACCGAGCAGGCGAGAGTATACGTGGAGGGAGTCGATGCCGGAGCCGGTAGCATGAAGGGAACCCTCGTCGAAAGGGGCGCACGGGATATTCGAAGGATGCAAGCACTGAAGTAATTCGCGAAAAAGGGGCATAGTGAGCTTCTCGTACGGCAGGTTGGGCGCATCAAAGTTGCCGAACATTGCTCTGAACTTCAGAGCAATGGAGGTACTTGGTTGTAGCTAGACATTCAGCGTGAGTGCCCTGTTGACTATATGCATTGAGCGACCTACGGGCGCCGCCATCGCGAGCAACGATCAATTCCGAGCACGTTTAGGCTTGTAAACCCGTGCATGTCAGTGGTCGTGAACTATTCTGAGACTATAGAGTTGAAGACGAACAAGGCAAAATCAGCGGAATATTCTAATGAGAAACCCGGTTTCTACGTTTTGCCTTCCTTATAAGGCAATTCTGTAGAAACCCGCACAACTTCTTTACACGAGGCTGGGTTTCTACCGGCGTCTCTCCGGCCGTGTGCCCGGGAGACGGTGATGCGCCATCAATCCCGCCTCCAGTTGCCGAAGCCGCCGAGCTTGCGGCACCTCCTCCGTTTGCCACAGTACAGCCTGTTTCCAGCGTAGTAGCCAGGTGTAGGGGTGTAAGATACCAGGCTACTGACTCCAATACGACACAGTCAGCCCTCTTAGCTAGCAGGACCGTCACTGACCCATAGGACATTGTGTCCACTGGTAGACACAATGGTCATGTGACTACAATGGAAAGGCAACCATTTACCCTCGGAAAGCACCCTCCAGAGGGTCCTAAGGTATATTCTGTGTCAGGATAAGGCTCTATACACTCATGTATGCATCTTTGCCTCAGATCTAAGAGGGATATCCTACAAAATTACTCAGCGGTGGCCGGCGCTGTCGAGCTCGTCTGCCTCTCGGAGTTGGCCGATAGCCTCGTGCAGTGATGCCGAGCGCGGCATTAATGACCTCGCCGGCGCGTCGCCGGGATGCTCGCCGACAGAAACCGGGTTTCTAGATAAGGTTTCTACGGTTGGGTTTCTCATTAGAATATTCCAAATCAGCAGACCGTAAGAGACAATTCGCCGCGAAGCAGATGATGGTTAATTGCAAGTGATGCGCGCGTGTCCCGGCTCGGCGTTTTCCGAGATTCATTGTGCGCCGCCACGGACATCAAAACAAACCTTCCTTCCTGCCATCCAGCTATATCAGACATGCGAGACAGGTATAAGCTGACTGCCAACAGGTACAACATAAACTCCCCGGGTACAATAACAGGCACGCCGTAAAGCGAGTAAGGCTATATGTACAACAGCAATGAAATAATAAATAGTCCTCCGGTATCCGGTCGTAAGTACAGCTCGTAAAGGTCGTAAGCGCAGGGAAAGAAGGTCATAAGCACGGGGTGGGCATATAGCATGGATCACAATGAACTGCGCGTCATCATGTGAGGCGCAGAGAAGATGAATATGCGTGTATCCAGTCCAAATGAAAGAAAGGAATCGTCCCCATACGTGATTGGCTCTGCGTAAACAAGAGCTGACCGCGCCGCCAAACAGGCAAGACATATTCAAGTCAATATACAACAGACCTTGCAAGCCCTTCCAAGCGCAGATAAATATCGAGTGGTATTCCGTAGACACTCAGGCCGCGCTAAGGTCATTATTGATCACTTTGCGGACCTCTGATTTCAGCCTGACGTAGCGTTCATCGTACGCTGGAGACGCCGCATGAGTGATCCGAAACATTCCTAGCCCAGTTGTCGACACGTACCGGGTATAGGCCACAAATCTCGTGCTAACAACATCGCGCGCAGCAAATCATGAGCGAGATCAAGAGCGCCCGACAAAGTACGATCCTGTCGGATGAGGGAGAGCGTCCTGCGCACATGCGTAAGCACTTCGAGTTGTCTCACAGCGGAGGAGGGCGTCGTCACTTACAGTTCGAGCTGGTTGGCGAGCCACGGTGCAGCGAAGGGCCGGTGAGCAAGCTCGATTCGCGCTATGCCATGAAGGGGAGCTTCGGGAAGAGCAGTGATACCGAGGCGTCCGATAGCTTCCTGCTGATAATCGACTACATATGCAGTTAGCTAGACTGGTCAAAGGAATGAGCTTCGAAAAACGCACTCCAGTCCTCGGCCTGCCTACGACTAGGGAAAGGAGAATAGGCGGGCGGACCAAGGCCTTGAAGTCTGCTTTCCGATCAGTGCTTGCTCGTCGAGGACCTCGTCAACGTTACTCACCGACGAAGTACAAGCGAGACCGTGGTACGGACGCTGTTGATGATTAGTTGTCATACAAAAAGCACTGGAATCGAGCCCTACTTGAAGATATGCTCCCTCGTCAGATAGACCTGCACGACGTCCGCGTCACCCGCAGGTCGACCGAGGTCATCCACACACGTATGCAGATCGAGCGCATCCTCGATCGCCTGCGCCTCCCCGAACGCCTCCTGCGCGGCCTCGACCTGCTCGTCCGGCGTCCACGGACTGTCGGGTCGGACCGTCGTCTGGCTGTCCCGCTCGAGCGCTGTCCGGTTGATCTGTTGGAGCTGCAGGCCACTGTCTCGCCTCAGCCTCTCGGATGACCAATTCTCGCCGCTGCTGGACGGACCCGCTGCGCTTGGCCAAGCGCCGCGAGGCTCCGATGTCCACGCACCGCTATCGCGAGCTCCTGGCGCCGAGGTAGGTGAGAAGGGTCCTGGGGTCGGCGAGAAAGGGGTAGCCGAGGGGAAGGAGCCTTCTTGTCCCATCCAAGCACCTTCCTGTTCGGCAAGAGGGGTCGCTTTCTCAGACAGCATGCCCCCAGCCTCGCCAAGGCGCACGACGAACTGCCATAGCACCATCGAGCGACAGTACAGCGCTGACAGGGTTTCCTTCTGCGTGGGCGCGTCTGCGGAGCGGAATACGGGATTTGCGCGATCGGTAGTCTCCGAAGGGAAAAGGATGGTAAGCTGAAAAGTGAGTGAGCAAGAGCAAAAAGGTACATTGGGTCAAGCTAAGCGAAAGAACGGGATCGTTGGCATGTAACAGTGAGCGAACGAAGGTAGGAGACCCCGAAGTGACGAGGGGAAGATAGGCTCTGGATAGCGACGAAAGAAATTCACAAACCATATTACGCACATTCGCCGCCTCCCCAACAAAATATCGTGGAACTTTGCGTCCAAATGCAGCGCACTCGGCGGCATGCTCAGCGACCAGGCTCACCGCCGCCCAACAAAGCCGTCGCGACTCCTCGTCCGTGATGCTGCGCCTATCTTCCTGACTCCTGGTGTACGCAGGCCATCCCGTAACCGCGCCAGCGTCGGCGCACCTGCAGCCGCGAGGGCTGTTCGCAGATACCCTGCCTCCGGGAACGGTGGGGACTTGACGCGGGGCGAAGCGTACGATATCAGGATCGGCGGCGTCTCGGGCGCAGAGACCCAGGCCGGCGATGAGGCGGTCGGCTTCCTGGAGTGCGCGAGGGAATTCCGACGGGGCATATTGGGGGTGGAGTGATAATTCGAATACGGCGAGGATCTAAGAGGGAAAGGAGGAGATAAGGGTCTAATTAGCTGCATTCTACTTGGAAGACGAGGCATTTTAGCTCACCACAGCCGCCTCCGCTAACCGAAGGTCGATATGGGTCGCTGAGCCCATATGAGCGCGGGCGGTATTTCTAGGTTGCAAATGAGCTTTCATATCGATACGTATATCACGAATGATGAGTCAAACGCACCGATAGTGAAGCGCTCTCTCCCGCCCTTGCGCGCCCCATTCGGCTTCGCTCGATCTCATGAGGATTGCAAGGGCAAGGGCTGCGAGAAGGAATGCTGGCTGAATACTTGGGCGTATATCATCGTTGTAGAGGTCTTCAAAGAAGCTTTCAAGGTGGAGGAAGGAAAGCCAGTGAGGGGTGTCGGCTCGAAATCTGTGGGAAGCAAGTCAGAGACCAGGAAGCCATTATCCACCGAAAGGAGGGGAGAAAGGCCGAGGGCATGACTGGGATGTGTGAGAGACGAAGGCAAAAGGACTGCGCACAAGTATGTGAAGTTATTCCGTATCTCCTCGAGCCTTTGGAGCGAGTACGCGCGTGATGATTGAGCGTCGAGGTGGCGATGACCGTGCCAGTGAGGCAGGTGTGGGCGTGTATGTGGGCAGTCCGCAGCGTGTGCGTCGGCATTTCGATCGTCGAGCGGCATGGAAAGGGCATGATCAGAAAGAACCAGTCAGCGGGCTCGCTACGCATGCAGAGGTGGAGCGCGACGCACGAAGACTCAGCGCTGAGGAAGCGCGCCCACCACTCGCTGTTGCCCGCCTGCGCCATGCTCCCTGCGCGCTGGCGGCGCCTGCTACTCTCGAGCTGCGGTGGCCGACTCTCGAGCGGGCTTGTGGGTACGGTCAGGACGCTCAGATGTGACGTAGTCTTTTCCAAAGCGCGCGAATTTGTGGACGAGCTGCCGCGCGCCCCCGCGCGGCGGCTGAACGTCGGCTCGAGTTGCGCATTCTGCCCCGGATAAGCAACATGTCGTTTACTGTTCAGAGACTAGCCCCCGCACTCACCTGATCGCGCGCAAGCGCACCCGTGACTGGGGCGAGCCGGGAATGATACGGGGACGAAGGTGCGAAGTCCGGGGGCGCGGCAGGGTAGTCGTTGGGCGTGGGTGGGTATTCGGGAGCAATAGGCGGGTTGTAGTCGGTGGGGGAACGTGTGTAATCGGCGGTCCTTGATGCAACGACAGCGTAATCGGTGAGGGGTGCGCTACCGGGCTCGGCGATTATTGTCAGCGAGTTGTCGAATCGGCGCCGCTTGGGGTCCCGGTCGCCATCATCCTCCCGCGGTCGCTTGCCGCAGGCGCGCTGTCGCGTCCCAGGACGCTTGTCTGGGCCACGACGCTTTGGGACCGGGTCGTACTCGCAGGGATTCTCGCGTTTCTTGCTACACAGAGTACGAAGCCATCAGCGCCGGAAGAATTGTTGAGATGAAGGGTACGAAGGACAGGGAGAACGCACCAGTTGTGGCACGAGGGCCGTGTCGAGTCGCACTTGATCTTGCGCGCGCGGCTGGGGAGGGTGTCGCGTGTTCATAAGCGGCGGGGGAGAAGCAGCGGGGCGCGCATGTACATGAGCGGCGCGTCGATGTCTCGAAAGACTGATCACGCACCACTGCTTGCACGCGATGACGACGTTGGTCGAGGCGCGACGCGTATTGGCGGCTGACCGCGATGAGGACGGTTGGGCCCGGCTCGGCGGCGCGTCGCGCTCCGTGCTTGTCCCCGCGGACTCGAGCGGAATCGTTGTTTGCGCGACAGCAGGAGAGCGCTGGGGTGGTGGCGATTCTAGCTGCGCGACGCGCGGTTCTGGCGGCGGAACGGGGGGTAGGGGTGCCAGAAAACGTGCATCACGCGCTGCGGGACTCTCGCGATCGATGAACCTGCGTTCATCGACCCGTCGGGCCTCTGGCATCGATGGGGGGTGCGCGACAGGATAGGGAGCACTAAACGCGCTATAGGCGCCGTCGCGTGCGGCGCTCGGAGGCTGTATAACGTGCGGGTACGGAGGCTGTTGGCCCACGACGGACGGGGGAAGAGCGTAATCCTCAACCTGCGTGCCGGCATGCTGATCGCGCGCGCGTTGTTGATCATGACGATGGTTTAGATATCGGGCCTTGTCAGGGACTGTTTAGCGTTCGCATGCGGGAAACGCGGTTCTGAGCATACACTGGCCAGGGGGATAGGAACGATCCTTACAGTTCTCGGTGCCTAGCGGGGGAAGCGCGTTGGTAAACGCGTGCGCGGGCGGACGCGCCACTGGTCGAGACGCGTCCGATGAATGGGGGAAAGCTTGCGCGGGGTAGGGGAGGTAGGGGTCCAGATGCGTGTTTGCTGTCATCGCAAGCCTCGGCGGGCTAGGTGGCGGTTGAGACCAACACGCTGAGCAGTGCGCGCGCCCTTGGAGCTGAGGACGAGCCGGACGTTCGGCAGCGGTAAAACCACGGGCAACGCGCTCGGCCACGAGGGAAAGTCCCAGATCAGAAGTTCGTGTTCCTGGGCTCTGCTGTCATTGGATGAGCCTACAGTCATGTTCGCACGGTGATAGATGCTTGCCTGAAGGGCAAGTGCAGTTCATAAAGGCGTACTCACTGAGCTTCAACGAGCGCTGGTGTTACGGACTGATATCTCGGACCAAGAGGTTCTCAGATATCAGATGAGTCGCCGTGGAGCTGGGCGCCGCTGCCCGCCATCGCCATCTGGTTGCGGTCGAACTGTGCGCCAAGATTCATCTCTGATGGCGTGGGCGGCGCCGTCGCCCACGCGATGGCGGGTGCCTGAAGCTGCGCGCCTTCTCATCGGAACGGACTGCCTGCTCGACCTCCGCCCACGGCACGCACGAGCTTCCCCAGTTCCCCGCGCTTCTCCTCATTCAACGGTTCCCGGCGGGCCGTCGCTTCAGGCGGCAGTGGCGCGGAGTTCAATAGGGTTACGCGCGCTTGTGCTGCGCGCATTCACAGAAGATGCGCCCGTTCCGGTGGCGGAACACGACTGGCTGGCCGGCTCGGCGAAGGAGCTTGCCGGTATTGGTTCGGAAGACTCCGAGCAGAGACGGTTGGGATTGAGCACAGCTTCATTTTTGTGAAGACTGATATCGAGACTGACAGCAAGAGATACACTATGTTCTCCTTCGAGGTTGCCCGTCAGAGACACAACGAAAGCTTTGTAACGTCGCGGCGCACCTTCACAAGCTTTTGGGATGAGCAATGCAGAAACTCTGACGCTTTCTTGCCCCCAGAAACTTTCGTCACCTTGGAGTTCGCATAGAGTTGCTCCTTGTACGTCTTACGGACTTCGTTGGAGTTTTAAACCGACGGGCGACGGGCAAGCATTCGCCGCTGTCGTGAATACTTGCACGCGAGAGTTTAAGAGTCGAGCAGCGCCTTGTCTCAGTTAAGAGACCGACAGAGTGCGTAGCGTGCGTCAGGCCAGATGGTCAAAGGGATGACGACGTCGTTCTTCAGTCCGAGAATGAAGACTTTGCCGGTCGTCGCATGCTCTTGAGCGTCCTCGCAGATATCAAGCAGCCTCACGTTTAGCGAGCGATACAGGAGGATCAGAAGGCCACATCCCAGAGAGAACCAATATGCGCCAGAGCGCGGTGTGCGCCTTCGTCGTCGCGAGATTACGCAGGATCGTCGAGTTGGCGACGATGCCCGGCGCGGAATTCAAGCGGGTCTCAAGGTATAGTCGGCGCCGAAGCACATTCGCCTGAGTTTGGAGAGTCACGAGAAGCGCCCGATCACGACGCCGACAAAGACGCCCGGGTGCTCGCCCTCAAAACGCCTCATTGGGTCCCACGTGCCGGTGCGCGGCAGACGCGTCTTTGATGCTGAGACCTGCTGGATAGTGACCAAGAGACCGTTTCTGACGGTCACGATTAACCAGTGGACCTGTGGGATGTGGGCGATAGGAAGAAATTGGGGGCCGCGCGAGCGTGCCTTCGACGGCGAGAGTGTTGGCGACGAGGTTCACAAAGATGTTGCAGCATACACCCATGCAGTTCGCCAGCGACGAGAGCGCGTAGCCATCCTCGCAGATCAAGCACATATTGTCGTACAAATTGTGGGACGGATAATCCACGTCGCGCCCGCCTTGAAAGGCAGGGTTTAGGAGGACGATCCTCTTCCAGATGGACGGGAGATGCGCCAGGAGACTTGTTGATGTAGACATAGAGTATAGTATTTGCAGAGGCGAGTGAGCCTCGAAAATTGTTGTGGCAGCGTTCCTATCGAGAGGGTGCGAGTGTATGCGGTTCGAGCTGAGGGAGCCGACGAGCAGCCAAGAGAGTGATGGCGAGAGAATTTGGGAGAAGATCGTAGGATATCTCTCGAGAGTGCGTTAAGCGACCAAGCCTTCGACAGTTGTCGCTTCTCACGTTGTTGAAAGACGTTATAAGAACCCACATGTGCCCAACTCTTGCTCGATTCAATTGGCGCAAATTAGGAGGCGAATGCTGGTGAGCGAAGTTAGTAATTGGTAGCTCCAACCTTCAGTAATTTTGAGCAAATCAGTGTGCTAACCAGGAAGGAGACTTCGCGAATAGTCCGAAGTTCATGGAGGGAAAAGACAATGAACGCGTCGCCGGGGCTTGCTTGTGTATGTTTGCGTTTCGTTTCCCACACCCCTTTCTCTCACGTGCACAAGTCACATGCAATAGCTGTCCCCGAGGGGCCATAGCAGCAACCGACCCTTCTCGAGCTCAACTACGTACAACTCTCACGCATGAGCCTCTTCATTTGCACGCTTTCAAGGCAGGCGAACTGCTCTGCATACTCATTCTTTCTCGTCGAAAGCCTCACCAGGATGCAGACTCGCAACGAATACCTCCATCCCACTGCTAGTGGATGCGGGGAGACACAGTAGAGGTTCTCCGAGCTGCAAGACAATGTGCACACCTATAATCATGGCAATGAGCCAAGCCAAATCTTATAAAGGGCAATGACGGAGCGGCGAACACCATGCATCCTGGCGACTGGCCATTCGCAGCGATTGATAAACAAGGGTACATGCCGACGAATATGAACGAAATTAAGCGAGCTATAGTATCGCCAGATAGGCACTTTCGGCGCACCTTCAGTGTCCTTCCGAAACAAGAAGGTCGACGGTCCATGAACCGCCTCAATCTCTCCTTTCCCCTAACAAGTCCGTCGCCGACATCACCCCAACCTCCATCACCATCGGCTGCCCACCACTGATTCCCACCCTGACCCAAACCGCTACCATCGCTAACTGCTCCTCGCTCTCCACGATACCCAGCTCCCTCTTCGCCCACTCCACCTCAAGGTCGAAAGCGCCGTACGTTATCTCCGCATGCTCCCTCCCCGCCGCGCTCACCTTCCCCGCCACGAAGAAATCGACGAGCACGGAGCGCACGCCACGGAGCTTCCCCGATACCCTATCGCGCAGCTTGTTCGGGTCCCCATAGCGCGCGATCTGGTCGCGCGCGCACGTCGCGAAGAAAGCACGATCGAGGTAGGTGAGCCAGCTAGGCGAGAGGTCGCGGAAGCGGTAGAAGTTTGGCATGTCCTGGGCTTCGACCGTAATGTCGCTTGACAAGACGGTGACCAAGCCTACGACAATTGAGCGATGGGTAAACTAGAATGGATGTTGTTGTAGAATGAGTACGCACCGTTGTGATCCCGAGAGCAGCACGCGCCGTGGGATGTGCGCCAGTGGGCTTGTTGACAGGCTTTGGAGCAGTAGAATGCTCTGGCGCACGCGCACAGCTTGAGCTTCGGGTTCTTGTGAGATCGAGGGCACTGTCGAGTCCGGCGCATCAGTCATTGTAACTCAAGTAATATCCAGCTCACGGCTTACCGTGATATTCGCGCAGGATCTTAGCTCTGCGATATACTTTTTAAACCCCTTATGGGCCGCGTCATAGTCCTCAAATCGACGCGAGAGCGTCCGCCACTGCAACGAGTCCTGGCATGCAAGGGTTGAAGAGTCGAGCAGCACCTTGCCGCGGGCCACAGATCGACGAAGCGCGTAGAGCACTGCGGGCCAAACAGCCATAGGGATGACGACGTCGTCCATGAACCGGACAACGAGCGCTTTGCAGTTCGCCGCATGCTCCCGAGAATCCTCGCGGATATCTTCCAGCCTCACAGTGAGGATGCGGTACAGGAAAACCAGGAGCCCGCAGTCCAGACACTCGACAAGCATAGATCGCGTCCGCCTTTGTCCTTCACGCTGCCCGAGGATGCACCCGAGGAACTCCATCCACAGGCAGAGAACATAGTGCTGATGGGGCTCGGCCTCCAGCCACGCGAACACGGTCGTGACCAGTACCGAGATACGCACGAGCGTAATGTGCGCTTTGGTCGCCGCGAGATTGCGTAGGAGCGTTGCATCGGTGGCGATGCGCGGCGCAAGTTCGGAGTAGGCCGTGAGGTGGTAGTCGTCGCCGGAGCACGTGCCTTTGGGGTTGAAGAACCACGAGAGGCGGCCGATCATGACGCCGGCGAAGAGGCCGGGGTGCTCGTCCTCAAAGCGCATCAGTGCTTCCCATGCGCAGGTAGCCACGGATGCGTCCTTATTGCAGACAAGCTGCTGGAAGGTGTAGAAGAGACGATGCATGATGGAGGCTATCTCCTTGTTCAGTTTTGGGATGTGAGTGATGAGCGCGAAGAGTTCGGGAAAGAAGTCCGGCTGCGCGACCATGGCTTTGACCGCGAGATCGTTGGTGACGAGATTTTCGAGGATATCGGAGCAGACTCCCATGCGGTTTGCGAGAGGCGAGCACACAAAGCCATCCTCGGAGAAAAGACACGTATTATCACGCATCTTGTAAGGTACGTCGAGGTCGCGGAGATTATGAGAGGCTGGGCTGAGAAAGACGATCCACTTCCAAACGGATGAAAAATGCGCCAGGAGCATCGACTGGGTAGACGGAGGAGCATTGTTGATGTCGACACAGAACATCGAGTATATCTGTAGAGCATCCAGACCTTCGGAGATTATTTCTGCAGCTTTGCCATCCAGCGGGTGTAGGGGTATGCGAGACGTGCCGATATAATAGAAGAGAAGTCGAGAGAGCGGTGGTGACAGAATGCGGAAAGGTATTTTGAGTGACTTGTCCAGTGCTGGATACGCGAGCGAGAACTTCTGCCAGATAATGCTCCTCATGGTGTGCTCAAAGACCCTAGGCGCGTTGCGGAGCGAATTTGGTTGTGGAGACACTCTCTTAAGCGTATAGATAGATACAGCGAGGATTAGATCAAGAGTAGAATTTGGGAGATAGATTGTGCGATGACTGAGTGAAGATGGAGACAAGGAACGACGACGTGCCCGGGCCCGCATGTGTATGTATGTATTTGCACACTGTTTCCCACGCCCCTTTTTCACGTGCGCAAGTCACGCGCAAGTTGAACTTTGTGACCCATGACTCTTGGGTAATCGCAAGACGGAGTGGATGTCTTGATAAGTAACATCTAGAGTCTAGTAGGGAGGTGTTCACTGATTTCTCTATAGTGCGGAGTGACCGCGGGTGAACCGAGCATGAAGGCGCACCCAAAATGGGGACAATAACCGTTCCGAGGGCCGTGCATGCGCAGACCTGCGACGGATCCTTCTCGAGCTCGAGTACGTACGTCTCTCACGCAAGGGCCTTTCCTTCTGCAAACTTATAAGGCAGATAGTGTATGCAGAATGCTCATTCCTTCTTATCGCAAGACCGGCGAACATGCATATTCACAGCCATCACCACCATCCCACTGCTAGTGGGCACGCGCAGGCAGGGCAGGTGTATCTCGCGATGCAGGGGTACCACCATGGCTGCGAGCCATATCTTTTGCAGGGCGATGACGGTACGACGTACGCCATACATCCCGGTGATTGGCCGTGGTCACCACAGCCCTTCGCATCTGGCGCCGATGCTTCCGCGTACGGCGCAAACCAGGCCGCAAATGCACAATGCGCCCCCATCCATTCAATGAATCCATACTTTCCATCCCATGCGTACTATCAGCACGCTGTATCCCCCGCATTTGTGCAATATCTGCCTCAAATGCCTCAGCTCTACGTACCGCCTGCATGTGTGGCGGCGGTGTCGGAATCAAATCGGTTTGTGACAGACTCATACCATCCTGCCCAGAGCGTTCAGCCACCGACGTCGTGTGCGGACAGTCTGAAGGCCCCCAAGCCCAAGCGACCTGACGAGGGTGTACCCACAATTATCGTCGACCTGGATGAGGTCCCCGACATCGTCGTCGAGGACTGCGACAGCGGCGATGCTCAATCACCTGAAGCTGGTTCAGCCACGCCCGCCACAAACTCGTCGGACGGCACTCACCTGCATCCTCATTGGCACGAGCGTAGCGCGAGCCCGTCGGAAGGGTCGCTCGCCCCGAACCGGCCGAACGGGGCGCCCGCCACGAATACTTCCGAGGATCCACGCCTGCTACATCCCTGCATCCGCGCCATAAAGTCGGTCTCGTGCCACTGCACGCCGCGCGTGCCGCTCTTGAAGGACCTTTCTTCGTCCTCTACATCCCCTTTGGCGTCTCTGACAGCGCACCCATCGTCCACCACCGCTTCAACCGGTCCAACCGCCTCAGATGCTGCAACCGCTGCGGGTACCTCAACGGCTACCACCGCTCCTAATATTTCCACCGCTCCTGCTCTCACCGCCCGCCCCGTCTCCTCTCCGCCCATCATGGCCGCCGCCATCGTACACATGTTCCCGTTTTCACCGCTTATACCCAAGGTGCCGCTGGTGTCGGCGGGATTGCTGGGTGCGCCGGCGGGGTCCTTCAGAGCACGGCTGCCGCCCGGGTTCGTGCCCGGGGTGCTGTCGCCGTGGGTGGTGGATGGGCGCGGGTTGTCACTGCAGCCATCGCCCGCCGGGGACGCCATGGGCCTCCAGCCGACTACCGCGGGCGACGCTGAGCCCCTTCCGCCCTACTCTCCAGCGCCGTCCATGGGGTCGGTGACCAGCCACTGGGATGGCGAAAGGCTGGTTTCCGCCAACTGGGACGGAGAAAGGCTGGCAAGCGATCCCTGGGGTCACGAGGGTGCGGTCCGGCGATGGGTCGAGGAGCTGGATAAGTTCATGCACGGAGGCGGTGGTGGTATGGGTGCGAAGAATGAGAGGCCGACGCGGGCGGAGGTTAGTGAGGTCAAGGGTACTGGAGAAGCCAAAGCCGACGATGCCGGGGAAGCGAAAGTCAAAGAGCATGGCGAAGACGCCAAAGCCGTCCAAGCTGACGACCACACCGACCTCCTCGACCACACCGACTTCCTCGACCATATCCCCTGGCCCATCCTCCGCGATCCTGAGTCGCCTGCGCTCGATGACCCTCGATCGTCTACCCTGAGCACCTCGGAGGTCGCCCCGCGCGACACCGTCTCGGCCTCCCCCGACCTCGCCCACTCCATCACCCCCCTCTCCGTCAACCTCTTCTTCCGCGCCGCACGGCGAGTGACGCTCGGCGACTACGCCGCGCGCCAGGCGACGCTGAACGACCACGCCGCGCACTGTCTCGCGTACAACGTCCAGCCACGCACACCGAGCAGCCACACTGCACGCCCGATAACGCCCGACGACTGCGCATGGCGCGCGCTGCTGAGAAAGAGTCACCGCGCGTTCAGGAGGGCGAGGGAGGTGGTGGAAGAAAGGCTGAGGGAGGCAGGGCGGATGATGAGGAATGTGAAAGAGGTGCACTGGAAGGACGGCGTGAGCACTGCGAAGGTGAACCCTGCGGACGAGGACGAGGTTGTCTTGTACATGGCCGGCGATGACAAGCGAGGTGAATCTGCGAAGGACGGAAGGGATGATGACGAGGAGCAGAACTTGAAGCGCCAGAATCTGGAAGACGCCACGCCTCAGAAGCTCGAGGACACCCTGCGCGCGATCAATGTCGTCCTTCAGACGCTGGACGTCTTGCGTCGGCTGGATGGGTATTGAGACCTAGCGGAAGGAGGACAGATGTGTAGGAATGAACAAGAAGACAATTAAATTACTTGTATACGGCCGACATGTATTACTATATCTACCTGGAATATTGAGTCAGAACAAAGCTTCAGCGACGTGAACCGAACACACCTCTGCCCAGAACAGCCACTTCAACCCAGAGACCAGCGATTGAATGGCAGCAAAAACGATTAGCCCACCGCGAGGGTCGAACTCGCAGCCTTCAGATTCCCTTGCCTAGCGTGTAAGAGTCTGACGCTCTATCCGATTGAGCTAGGCGGGCGGTGACAGGGATTATGGGTCCTGAGGTATGTTGCGCGTGAGGGCGAAGGGTGAGGGCTTCCGGCGTTCGCATCGAGCGATGAGAAGGGGCTGCCGAGGAGGCAGATGGTCTTGCAGGCGGGAGTGGTTGAGCGCGAGCTCGTCTTCGGAGAGCCGTCGTATTGAGCGGGGGAGACCATCGACCTGAGGGGGTGTCCCGGTAATGTTGCGTGCAAGATGGCGTCAGGGGGCGTGCCGACGACTTGATTGAGCATGAACGATCGCCGCAGGCGCCGTTCGCACGACAGAGACCGTCTTGCCCTCATGAACGGATGATCCTGGACCACGTTCGTACTCAAACTGTTACTGAGCGCAGGCAGGTGATCTGGGTGCGTGTTCAGCAAGGCACAGCGGCGGGGCGACTTTGATTGCGCACCGTTCAGATCCTATTGCCCCGTCCTCTCTGCCGTAGTTCCAGAGCCTTCGTCAGCAGGTGTACATCCATATTAGTATCAGTCAAGAGAGAGAGGGTCCCCAAGGGGTCATGAAGACGGGAGTCCGGAGGAAGTTTGAGCAATCACGGCCATCTTGCGTTCAACTTTGGCTTCGATGTCGTTCTTGACGGCGATTGCCCGAGACCGTCGAGGCGAGGGTCCTATCCTCGCAGGCGATGCCGTCGTCGAGTTTCGTACTTGGCGATGAGCTGGACATGATGAAGGTGCGAAGGATGCCAGGAGACGGTGGGAAGGAGGTGACGTGTTCGGTCACGCAAACGGAGCCAAATGAGAAAGCCATTGTTCTCCAGCCCGTTCTTCTCGCTCGACATTATCCCTACACGTATCGCTTACATCGAAGCATAATATACCCCACAATAATATATCAGAGCAGCAAGCTTGATTTCTGGAACTATCGAACTCAGTCGTAGTGTAATGGTACGAAGATATATCGTGCTGCTAGCCTACAGTCACCCAGTCCCGATACGGTGCGCGGTACATCCTGATTCGTGGCCGCTGACATGACAAGGCCTCACCGATGGTGCAGCTGGGAAGACAGTACGTGCCTTCGCGTTCCAGGGCGCTTGACAGCCAGGTATAAAGATCTGCGAGTCGCTGAGCCAGATGGAACAAAGCTGGTAGGTGCAGCGTGATCTGCAGGTCTGGCGTGTACAGGATGGGCTGGATGATCGTTGCGCTTCCGATCGGCACGACGACGTTGAAGGCCACACGAACGTAGGGCCAGCCAATGAGCGACATGAACATGTCGCGATACCAGAGCTCCCGTCGGGCGTGCGACGCTGGCATCAGCTCCCGTGGCACCTTCGGAGGTCTTTCCGGCTGTTCTGCTAGCAGAGATAGATCTTCATTCTGCGCCGCTTGCAGGTAATGCATCTTTGAAGGTGCGCGGGTTAGTCGATGAAAACAGAGGAAACGGGGGCGAGGGCAGGAGCACGGGATATGAAGACAGTAGATTAGCGGCACACCTTATATACCTCAAGGCGAAGAGAAGCGCTGCAGATTTAGGAGACTGATTGGCCGGGATAGGCGTGAATACGCCGGAAGAGCCGTGACCCTATTGAGGTATAAGGAAGCTGATTGAGGCGGCGAGTAGCCAAAAGAAGCAGCGGATAGCCGAGTGAGGCAAGGAAGATCCAATTGTGATGAAAATGACCCGATTGAGGCGCAGATGAGCGCGAAGACAGCGACTTCGAGAGCTTCCATTCTCCGCCAGCCTCGAAGAATTACTGGCGAGAAGAGAGTGAAAGAATGAAACTTTAGTTCCTCATGAGTAGCCTCTGCTACGCCATGATTCAGAAAGAAATCATTATGAGATGTCGGTGGTCGGAGGGAACTAGTCTGAGATCGATTGCGCCTGCCTTGTTAGTACCCCCAGCGTGGGAACTTTCGAAGCAGCGGAAGGCGGGACGAGATTGCGATCCTTCTCGCTTTGGAGTGGCGTGGCGTAACAGCCATCGGCGTGGTTGGGTGAGGCCCCAAGTCGTCCGTCCTGTAGTGGGCGCGGCACGGCTCGGGAATGAGGGATGCTTTCTACATTTTATGCTTGAAATTTGGAACCAGCCTTCGAACGTATACTCCATATAAATCGGCCGTATAGCCCGGCCCTGTCGACGCTTAGACTGGTTGAAATGCTGAGATGATGTTTGCCGTACAGATGTGATGCAGCGCCACCATGGGCTTTGAGTACTTGGTACACCATTTTCTATAGCTCCCAGGCCATCTCACGGGGACTTGAGCAATATGCCATGGAACATAGCCTGACGAACGGCGACAAGGACGAGCCCTGTCACGTCCACCGTCGCACCGTCCGAAAGGGATTTCTCCAACGGGGACATGGGGAAAAAAGGTCGAGAGCGATTCGAGATGCGATTGATTGACACATGTTTACCTAGCCGGTCATGAAGCTCGACAGGGGCAGAACTTCTCGTGCCTTCTTCGTCTACAAGTTCTTCCACTCCTTCACCTGGATATTGCACAGCGTCTTGTTCCCTTCTTCCGGTCGCACGACTCAGACTTCGCAGTCTTGTCGGTGCCGTTGAGTAGGTTTTTCATAACCGCCGCGAGCGGCACGCAGCCGCGCTCAAGCACCGTTAGGTGCAGCGCGTCGAGGATTTGCGGCCACTTGTCGCAGACGCGGTGGTCGTCGACAGGCCGGATCACGGAGTTTATGAGAGGGATGTGGCGGAAAGCGTCGGTGTGATGGACCTGTTGGGAGAAGCGCGTTCAATGAGAGCCCGAGAGGAACAGAAAGACCGCGACGCACCAACGCTACGACCGAGGCGGGCACGCGAGGGCTCATGAAAACCACGCTCGCGGGCTAATAGACGGAAAACGGAGCGGCCCGGTTGAGAAGCTCGATATAGCGGTGGCAGAAGGCGTAGGGCATGGATTCAAGCGGGTTATCTTTGAGCGCAACACTGAAACTGAGAAATTGGTCGGTCAGTAAGTCCACGATCGTGAGGACGAGCCCATAGGCACCTCATGCAATTGTGCGCGATCGCCATCGTATCGAAGACATGATACGTCTCAGCGGTCTCCGCCACACTTGTGAAGGAAGGTCGTCGAGGAACGGGCTTCGCCTCCGTCGGGCGAGCTCGAGGACAATTTTGAGCGTACCAACTTCGATGACGCCCGGCAAAGATTCGTTGAAGACGTAGTCCGTTGTTCCCCCAAAAGACCCCTGCTTAGCAGTAATGAGAGAGTCTTCGGGCGTCTTGTAGGTGAGTCCCGCGATATCGTCGGGAGTCACTAACCGGATAAGACCTGTCAGTATCCATCGCTGGAAACGCCCTCGGACAAGGTACGCACTGATCTTCGCCTCGCTAAGAGCTGGGCTAACAGTGCACTTGCTCTCGGCAGTCATGGTAGGGCCTCAGGTTGAGAGTGCAGAGCCCATCATGCACCGAGGCGCTCGAAGTGGAGGCTGCTGTACTACTCACAATCGATCGATGATTAGAGGTCCAGCGCCAAAGGCTTTCGTCTGTCTTATCTGACGTGTTCCAGCATCCATTCTTGTACCCGGTAGATATACAGACACGTTGTAAGCGACTCGCGCGGCTGGCCTTGGTCGACTTGAAGCAGGGCGCTCGGCAAGGAGATGAGCGTAAGAAGCAAGCGCGAATATGTGGCGTTTTGCGGAAACTGCCGAACTTGAACTTGCCCCGGTGAAGCGCCGCTTGTTCTGCACCGCCATCCGGTTCATACGCTCAGCGGAACCCCTGCTTCGAGGCATCGTATACGAGCTCTGGAATATCTGAGATACTCAACCCGTGGCATACTAGCTCGTACTATCTCGCTTCATTCCGTCAAACTCTGGAACAACGTCGATTTGCATCTCCTGAAATCTTGCTGAGTACTATGGAAACAGCTGACCCTCCAAAATGCCCCGTCAACGGTACGCTGTCGTTCCTTAAGGAAGCTCATGCGCTCAGCCTCAGTCACCAGGGTGCACCATTCCTGTCGACATTTATCTGAGGTCGAGTGACGGCGTCCTGGTCGGCGCGCACACGGGCAACCTCGAGATATTCAGCGATGCGTTTCCTTCGACGTCGTTATCCGCGCCGCCTTCCGAACCGGTCTCGCTGACCGAGACCGCCGTCGTGCTCCAGCTGCTCATGCACTTCATGCACAACGTCCGACAGCCGTCGCTCGAAGAAGAGCCTTTTGACGTCGTGCTTGGCTTCGCGGAGGCGGTCGAGAAGTATGGCGTTCATGCGGCAGATCAGCTGTGCTGGTTTAACATGCGGTACGTGAGCTCCATATGGAGGCACACCCTAGCGCTGAAATGTCGCGGTCAATGCGCAGAGACCACATACCGGAAAACGCGCTCGAAGTACTCAAATTCAGCGCGAAACACAATCTCGAGGACCTCGTGCAGCTGGCTGCCCCTGAAACGATAGGATACAGCTTCAGCGAAGTGGTGCACGCCCTGTCGAGCGAGCCAGCGACGCTGGCGCGCTGGGTAAGTTTCATTTCTTCGCATATGCACTCATCTCTTATGTATGGCGTAGGCCGACTACTGCCAACACTGGGATGGCGTCTTCCACAATTGCCTAATAGGACCACCGCTCGACCCATGGTACTACGACCCCGAGGACGAGTACCACGGGTACTCTCATGCAGGCGAGATTGGGCAGCCAGCCAGTGGGGAGTGTGTGCTGTTCTATCGCCTCCAGACCAGGTTCTGCCAAGCGATGTTGCATGAAGGGCGCGGCTCATTGCTAGACGCCAAGACACACATGGATGATAATAGGGGGTTTGTAGAAGCCTGCGATGCTTGCGATATCATCATAGAAAGGTGGCTCGATAGGATACAAAAAGAGGTCCAGCGTGCCAAGCAACATAGATTTTAGATAGCTTCTGTATTGCTCTTGTATTCCGTCCATGTATCGAACTTTTGCGCTCTCTGAGGGTGAGGGAAAAACACGTCGGAGTGCTATGGACTGCGTATACGAGCATGTCATCGCGTCTCCCTCAGGTCAAGGATCTTGCACTTCCTACCAGACCGCTGGTAGGCTTCATCGCTGACATCCTTCATGCGAAAGGAGAGGTCACGGGCATCGCAGTACGTCTGTCGCTTGCTGACAAAATCGATTACACAAGCGGGCTGATATAGGGTTCGAGCAACTGAATTTGCGGCGCCATCGGCCCGCCGTCGTCTAGTCCTCCGGCTCTTCATCGTGCGACAAAAAGCGTATCGACGCGAGAAAGCTGCTCTGACCAGCGAGTGCGGGGTCGGAGGTGAGATGCTCTTGCGCCGCTACCATGAGGATGACGAGCGTTGCGTAGATTCCCTGCGTGAGTGTCAGCGAGATGTCGACCATCGCTCTCCCGCAACGTACCGCAAATCCCTGTAAGAAGCTTCTCATGAAAGTGAAGATGATGAAGCCAAATCGGACATCCATGAATGTCACCACGGTCAGCGTGATCTGCTCGATGATGTTGAGTACGATCTGCGCGCGCGTAGTACGACCGCTCACACATGCGCCACAAAAAGCCAGGCCGGATTCGAGAAGGAGCATCAGAACCCGTCCGACGCGGCTGTCGCCAGACGAAGGGCCCAGCCAGACAGCTATCTGGCGCCTGTACACCCTTTTCGTCCATAGCAAGCGTAAGTTAAGATCGAAACGCGAGTGGGGTAGCTACCATGTTTTGACGCCTACGAGCGCCGTTGCAGCGAGGTTTGTGACAATGACCGGGGCGGTGAAGAAGGCGTAGAAGACTTGCCCCCCCATGTCAATGAGGGCGCCAGCTTTTGAACGAACTTAGCGAGAAATCGATTAGGGAATGTCATTCTGCTACCTATGCTTCCCATGATGCACAGCAGTAGAACGAGTCGTGCGATACGACTGTCCGGCCACAACACCCATGCTCTCCACGCGACTAGTGCATCACTGAGCAGAAACTGTGAAAGAAGGAGGGTCTTTAGTGATCGTCAAGGGTCCAATGACATGGATAGGTACCGTGAGGTGTATGCACGCGTTGGAAGCCGTGGAAGTAGCAATATATGCTGTCCATTCGCACTGTGTAGTCACCGTGGATTCGCCGACCCTTCCAGGTGGCGCGAAATACAGCCCGAGCATGTACGAGACCAGATTGGCAGTTGCCAGGATATGAAGCGTTACAAGGGCCGAAAAGAGTATCCGAGAGCGCTGTTCTTTTCGGCTAGAGAGTCGGTGTTAGAATCTTTGAGAGGGATGCTATATGGCGAGCTCACGAGACCGCAGAGATGGCTGCCAGAAATAACGCTGTCTGTATGCCTTGACGACGTCAAGAACAAACAAAATAGGGAGGAATACGGTACTTACCATATGTCATGGATGTCGCACACGTCATACAAATGCGGCCTATGTGCGCGCTGAGGAAGGAGGCATAGTCCGTGGGTGGAGGGACCGGTGCAAGTCGTACAGACATACCGAAGGTGGCAAGAGGGGGCAGAGGGACGAGACTGGGGATTCGACGTGTGTCCTTATACTATGCAGCGCACCACGTTATCTCGAGATTTAGTATATATCAAAGATCCGAGCCCCGACAAGCTGTGGCGACGTCGAAGACCACTCCATTGTCATCGCGGCAGTCAGGTCGCTTTGAAACGCCCTGGCGCGCTAGACCATCTGCGATCGCACTTCATCTCGGGGAACTTTATGAAAAGACAGTGCTGAGAAGCCTCAGCGCCCCACAAGAATGCACTCAAGACGAACCTTGCAGGGCGTCGTACGTACGACGGGATCATTCCCTGTCGAGACTGGCCAGGCATCTGTTAAACTGTGCTCGCCCTAGCCGTATCTAGCCGCACTAGTCGAGGCTTGCTGTCTCAGTTGCGGAGAAGGTAGACGTCGGCGCAGAAGAGATTGCGGATGAGCCACCAATCATATATGGCGACAGTGAGTTCCATTCGAGACGCACTGAAGACCGCGAGATTCGGCAAGAGAGAAGTGATCCACCGAGAGCTTGAACGGACACGGCACGTACCTCTCGTATATCGCCTTGCCCATCACGTCTCTCAGGTAGCTCCAAGGATCGGATACTCGCGCGGCGTGGGCTTCACACTCACCGCGATCTTGATCGGAATTCTCGCCATTGCGAACACGTACCCAGAGGAGTAAAACCAAATAAAGGTCATTGAGGAGCCAAGACGTGCAGTTACGATCAAGCTGCGTCTAGTTTGAACACAAGTCGAAGGGTCGAACATGGCGAGATGGTCGTCGCGCATTCAAGGCCAATTGATGTGACATCACGTTATGTGATGTAACGCTTCGTGATGTGACGACCGCGAAGCGACACGCCCATTGTTCTGAACTCTCATCGCCTGGAGTCTCAGAGCGCTATTCCCCCGACTCTCGAATATATTCAATCTCGCATATCATGAACAGCGTGACCATTGACAACATCACTGCCTGGATAGAGGTCGAAGACCAGCCGGCTACCGTGTACCAGCTGGAAATACATGCGAGGAAGAAGACCGCCGAGGCGTGGATCGCGTCGGAGACGGGCAAGGTGCGTGGGGATGGTCTGAGAGATGGACAGCTTCTTACAAAGACCTTCTCCTTCAGCGTTTTAAGGTATGCTGGAAGGACACCCTGAACACCTACCACACCGTCGGGGACGTCAGAGTGGACGGCCGATACTGCGGGGGGACACTGCACAGGACATCGGGCGGCGCGGGGACCACGATATTCAAGGACGGCATCCGTGATTCTCTAGCGTCCCGGAGGCCGTTCGTGTTCGCGCAGTTAGAGGTCACCGGTGCGTCGCCTGAGATTCCCTGGCATCGGACGATGCTGAGATAATGCCTCGCAGACGACGATCGACATTTGGACGATCCGCTGAAGGGGCTTGGAGATATCATGCTCAAGGTGAAGGAGGTCACGGATATCCAGCCGCTGGCCTTCCATGCCACGCCTACGATCGAGACGCCCAAAGTGCACGAGCGCGCGAAGAAGGCGGTGGCGCAGCATGTTGGGTACGATTTCCGTACGTTTCCGAATGCTGCCCTCATGACAATGTCGTCCTCCTCAGACTTGGCGCGGCGCGGCCAACGAAGGCGTACGGCCGGTCGAAGTCGAAGAGAATACGCACGATCGCAAGGTTCACGTTCCACTATCGTCCTCTGGGTACGTCCATTGACCTGCTCTTCCACCCTACCATGCCCGCCCTTCCACCCTACCATGCCCGCCAACCTGCACCTTACCCCAACCACGGGTCGCACTTCCAGCTGCTCGTGTCCTTCATGTCCTTCGACCAGAGTCTCACCCGTTTCCCCAGCTCGACTACAGGCCGATGACATCGCGCCACCTCCCGAGCGCGCGGTTCGTCGCGCAGTGGCTCCGCCTACTGCTTCGATCGATGATGACGAGGAGGAAGAGGAGCGGATACGAAAGCTTGAGGTGCGTCCGGTTCTGCTTCTGGTGCATGTTGCACCGAGTATCGAGTTGTTTGTCCTCCGTCGCCCCTTCGTGGGCTCCCGTCTCACGCAGTCCCTCGAGCACTATTGCTTGCTGTCTGTTGCTTTATCCACCTATTCCCTCGCTCCAGCCCCATATCGATGCGCTCCCATCTCGTCCACGACCTTGAAGTCAACGTCGAACACATCACTGACAAGATTCGCAGGCAGAGCTCGCCGCCCTTCGCGCACGTAAGAAGGTCAAGAAGGAGGTCAAGGCGGAGGTCAAGCTCGAGGAGCGAATAGACTTAAGCGGCGACGTGATAGATCTGACCATGATGGTGAGTATTGCTCTTGCTCGCGTTTCTCGACGGTAGCGCGTTTGACTTCGGGCCTTCGGGAATCGGCTGTTTGCTACGATTGGCCAGGCGTGCTCGGCGCACCATCCCCTTTCTCTCCTTCCTTCACGTCGGTCGCTTTTCTCGTTATCTTTGGCCTGCCTCGCCAGTGTCCGTCCTCACCTCTGAGATCATGAACTGATATATCTCCAGGAGGATTGATGCGGATCTCGTATATCTTTATTGGCTATTGTGTGCACTAATGCTATTCGTGATGCTTTTCTTCATCGACCACATGCCCTAAACAACGTCAGGCGCGAGCTCGAGAACATGGAGCAGGCGGTCGACTTCAACGAAGTTCGCGACGTCAGCATGCACTTGGTGCTCACGACGTGCTCAAGTGATTCGAGGCTTCGGGGTGTCCTGTGCCACGGTCCATGTCTCCAGAGCTCCCGCTCGCTGGGCGACACTGGAGGCGACGGTGGACGCGGTGTGTTGCTGGCTCTACACGTGATCGCTACAGGTGACGCCATGGGGTACTTGGGCGTCGTAGACAATTAGGTCTCGTCCATCCCGCGCAAAGGAAGTGGGCTGCAAGAGGACGCGATGCGGTAATCCTTCTTCCCAAGCTCCGAGTACTGCGCGCTGAGCGTCGACTTCGCCAAGGCTCTGCAACATCCAGCAACCACTGTCTCCACCAGCCTTGCGCGCGACGTGGTGTCTCTTTACCCGCCAATCGGAGGGATGTGTGACAGTTGAGATGGAGAAGGACGGCGTTCAGGCTGTCTACAGACCTGACAGACCAGGCAGACATCAAGTGCGCCTGCCATCTCGTCTCATTCGAAAGCATGCTAATGGTTCGACGTCTATAGCATTACTCGGTAGCCTATGATGAGTGTATGTACTGGCTCCGCCTGCCATGATGTGGTGTCATGCGCCCATGCGCTACCGCTACAGCAGCACGCAGAAGGGCAGTCTTTGCTCGCGGAGTGGTATAGGAACTTTACGACATCCCCTTTGTGCGGCGGCGGCGTGCGCGTGGAATAATAGTAAGCAGACAGCCTGAGGTACTACTGCCTTCTCTCCGTGCCTCGAAAGACACTCCTATAACCACCCTGTTTTGTCCAGACGCCGAACCTCTCGCTCATCCTGCGTAGCCGCTGCGCCTTGGGGTGCACGATGCCCGAATGACAACGCTCTCCGACACCATGTCGCCACCGTCGAGGTGCTTGACTTCGAACGACGTCCAGTTCTTCCAGCTATTCCTGATGGATACGTGCGCGAGGTCTTTGGTTTACGGTACGTCCGGTTGTCCTTCAAGTCAACTCGCTTATGCGTCGGCTTAGGCGTGCAGGCTGCCATGACTATTGCCGCCGTAGCAACACTCGCGTGAGCTATCCTTCCTCTACATCGCTTATTCCTCATGTGATGCTATTTTCAGTCGCAAGTCCGGCCGGGCATGGATCCTCGTCACCTTTGTTGTCACGATATTCTTGGCGTCTACCGCCATTGAGCTCATAGCCGTCCGCGTCCTCAGTCAAGAGGTCGCTTTATTCAGACACCACGCGCGTGGCGCTGAGCCGCAGATTTACTACCCGCTCATGGTGAATGGAATCTGCTTATGCATCTGTGTACGTCGTGGCGATTTGCGCAATCGCTGGGAAGCTGATGTCTGGGTATGTGCAGTACATACTGAGCGACGCGCTCGTAGTCTGGAGAGCGTGGGTCCTTTGGCCGCATAGTCGTCTCGCGCGCGGAGTGTTATTGCTGGGCATGATTGGCAGCGTAGGTGCGCCTCCATCTTTCCTCCTTGGTCGCCTCTCGTTGATATCTCCTTTGCCAGTCGGCGCCGTCATCCGCGAAGTCGAAGTCAGCCCGCAAGCGAGGGCTTTTGGAAGGGTCGTGTTTACGCCTAAGAGCCTCGCGTTTACCTTGCCTCTAGTCATCACGAATGTGCTGGCCACAGCGCTTGTGGGCATTCAAGTCTGGTACGACTCGTCCCCGAATGTACGCGCCCTTTATCCATGACGGACTCCCGCCGTGTAGGGCATACCGACGCGATGTCGTCGCTTCGCTGGGCCCATTTTCGAGTGGAAGCAGAGTCGGAGGGATCCTCTTGCTCCTCCTTGAGTCCGGTGTAATGTTCTGCGTCATGTGTGTGCGTCTCATCTTTTCATTGCGCCCGGCTGCTCGCTTATTCCCTCATCGCAGATCACCATCGTCGTTCTCGTCGCTTACGCGCCGCCCATGGCGAACGTCAACGCTATCGTCGTCGTGACCGACGTGCTTCAGTTCTCCGTGGTAAGCTTCGTGCTCACTATAAGTCCCTCGCTCTTGCTGACGCGCATCCACTCGCAGGGCGCGTACGCGACGTTCGTCATCCTGGTGGTGACAGTATACCAGCACCGCACGGCCATATCGATGATCCAAGGACAGAGCAGCTTCATGGCGTCGATCCGCTTCGTCTCGCCCGCTAGTGGTACTGACGCCTCGTCGGCCGGACTTCCAGACGGCGACATGTCAAGGATAGAGCACACGCGTGAAGGAGACGCGATTGAGATGACGAGTAGGCGAAGTCGGTAGCTGGGTCTGGTGGTTAGTGAGACGGGGAGCGATATATGTACCTACCAGTAAGACAATAAGCATTCCGCGTCTTCAATTTATTTGTCCTCTTCCCAGCGTTCCCGGGTACATGAAGCGCCAACACCGTTCTGGTCAACGCTTACCCCTCAGACGGCGCCTGGCTCTCATTACAGAAGGCACGTTGATGCGGGAGATCGCGAAGAAGGGCTTCCAGCCGTACCCAGGGAACAAGCAGCATCACAAAGCTCGAAAATGAGCATTGAGGAGCGAGACCGGACTGACGTACTTCGGATACCATCCCAAACGAATGTATTTCGAAGGAGCGCACACTGTAAGATAATTTGAACGACTGCCTCTCCTGCCCACGCCGAAAACCTACAACCGGTTGTGCAAGGGAATCCGATTGGTACTAGACGCTTTTCTCAGTGCAACCCAGCGACGTCCGACTCGAAAGACGTACGCACCTACGCCACGAGCGAGACCCAGCAGGTCCTACGTGCTCTTAGATATCATTACGACTCAACGTGTCGTATAGGACTCCCTCAACTCAGGCCCCCTATACCATAGAGTGGAGGTGTAGAAGACGCCGATAGAGAAGCCGTTTGAGGGCGAAATGCGGTGGACCCTAGAAATATTCCTTCATCAGATTGGGCGCTCTCGAGTGAGTGGGAGGATGTTTAGGGAACATACGTACCTGTAACCAGCGCATGAGAGATCGATCCAGCTCACTGCGCCTCCAATGAGCGCTCCTCGCCTTCCTCCTGCGCCATCATCTGAAGCAGAATCCGACCGGCCGCGCTATCTTTCCTGACGTATGTCTTCACTGGCACTCCTGTCCTATAGCGCGCTACCTCCTTGCCCTCTGACGGCAGAGACCCGACACGGCCGCTGGTGCTAACGTGTGGCAACAGACGGGGTCCGTTGAGCAGCCTTTCTATCCAAATGCCGACAGTGATCATCGGGTCGGTCGTCGTCAGTATCACGAGACGCGCCAGCGCAGCCCCTTCACTTGGAATGAGACAAGGCTTGATAGAATAAGAACGTCAGACCGACGTACCCTCGTAGGTGGGCTTCTTGTAATCCCAATCGCGGAACGGATTCTCTAGCTTGATGTGTGCACGTGCGCCATCGTCGCTGCAGAGCCCGATCTGAGTGCTGCGAGAGAGAAAGTTTACGAAGAACACGTCGTGTAGGCGAGAGACAGATCGTGACATCTGCAGATGGCGCACGACTACCTCGTCCGCGAGGTTCTCCTGCACAAGGTAGTCCAGAAGCGCCCTACGCGTGGGGGTTGTGGCGATATTCGCGAGCGTGATGCCCCAGGGAGCGTCGAGGACGGGCGCGCGCAGGTCGGGCGCGTCGTCAAACTCGGCGACAGAGTTCGCTAGGCGGAGGCGGATGGCGCTGTCGTAGGGGTTGGGCGCGGCATGGTAGTACAGGAATCCACGGATGCCGTCCAGGGTGTGCGTGTGGTCGCTGGTGTCTCCGTACTTGATCATCAGGCGTATGAAAGCGCCATTCGGGCGTGCCATCCGGGCTCGTACGACGTGTGCGCACCCGGAGAGGTCCAGCAGGTCGCGGTCAGAGATCTCGCGGCGGTCGAGGGTCGCTATAGTGCGCGCTCTAGCTTGGAGGGCAGGCGCCGTCACTAGGCCTTCTTGTAAAATATGTTGCAGCAAGGGCGCTGTGACGTTGCGGTACGCGAGTGTCGAGGCACGAATGCACCACGTGTCAACTCCGTTGGTCAAGAGTAGATCGCGGCCGGCGTCGAAGTCTTTGGGAAGGCGGCTGGGGACGATGCGGAAGCGCAAAGAGCAGGAGGGCGCATGGAAGTAGAGGAAGCCTACGGCGTGGGCGGGAAAGCGCACGAATGACTGGCGATTGTCCGCGAGTAAGCTAATTCTGTGGTACATGAGTTTTGCGCTGCCCGTCGGCAGTTGGATCGTGGATACTATGCTTCCCGCGAGGTCGAGTGCATCAGATAATTTGATTCGTGCGGGATCCAGTGTCGCTATAGACTGATATCTGCGCTTCTTCCTAGTCGTGGGAGCTCTGGTTGAAACGTAAGAGCGCGACCGAAGGCTGCCCAAACGCGGAAGCAGCGTCAGGCGTGAGCTCAGCCTTCCGGCAGAAGCGGCATTGCGATCTAGTGTAGAGCAGAGAGCGCCTATACGAGACAAGGGAAAGACCCTCCTCATCGCGCTCACCCCGCCGGTTTGGGATGATGGTTGAAGTCAACATGTGTCGGGCGCATCACATGTTCGGTTTCCTCACCCGGAAATAGCCGAGCTACCGCCATATTTTGAATCGACCTCTGTGTGATGCGGGGTGAGTAAGGCCACAGGGATTATAGTATATCGAGAGTGAGAGTAAGCTTGCATGAAAGGTACACTGTGCAGACGGACCTACTAGTACGGCTACATGCGCGACGGTCGAATCGGCGAGAGTGACTACGTGCTCGTTGAAATTGAGTGCATACTCGGCGAGGTGCGCCTGGACGCTCATCTTTACATGGAGCAAGCATATCGCAAGCATGAGGCTGTGGGCGCGACGGTGGTCGGGATCAAGAAGTGCGTAGAAGTGACCTAGTGACAGGTTCGAGCCCCGGCAAGAGCTGTACAGTAAAAGGAGTGTATCAACATGAGAACATACTACTTCTCTCCAGAGTCCCTGCATTCTCTCCCGCCAAGGCCGCCCAAAACGATCAAATCATGGCGCTCGGCTATCTCCGGGTGCGGAAACCGAACATGTGATGCGCCCGACACATGTTGACTTCACCCATCATCCTAACCCGGTGGGGTGAGCGCGATGAAGAGAGCCTTCCCCTTGCATCGTATAGGCGCTCTCTGCTCTACACTACATCGCAATGCCGCTTCTGCCGGAAGGCTGAGCTCACGCCTGACGCTGCTTGCGCGAGCGGGAAGGCTGGACTCGCGTTCTTACGTTGCCACCAGAAATCCCCTGACACAAAAGGAGCAAAGATATCCGTCTATAGAGACTCTGGACCCCGCGCGCCTTGGCCCGTCTGATGTACTCGATTTCTCGGTTCGCGCACAACCCACGATCCAACTGCCCTCGGGCAGGGCGAAATTCACTTACCATCAGCCTGGTGGCCTGCTCGCGAACGGCCGCTCGTCAGTAGTTCGCTTTCCCGCCGAGGCCGTAGGCTTCCTCTACTTCCATGCACCCTCCTGCTCGTTGCGCTTCCGCATCGTGCCCAGCCGCCTGCCCGAAGACTTCGACACCGGCCGCGATCTGCTATTGCCCAACGGCGACGACACGTGGTGTGTTCGTCCCTCGACGCTCGCATGCTGCAGAGTCATGGAACACGTGAAACGACATATCCTACAAGAGGGCTTGGTGACGGCGTCTGCACTCCAAGCCAGAGCGTGCACTATAGCGACCCTCGACCGCCGCAAAATCTCTGACCGCGATTTGCTGGACCTCTCCGGGTCCGCGCGCCGCGTACGAGTCCGGCTGACGCGCCCGAACGGCGCCGCCATGCGCCTGCTCATCAGGTACGGGGACTCCAGCAGTCGCACGCCCATCTCGGACGGCACGCGTGGATTCCTGTACTACCACGCCACGCCCAACCCCTATGACAACGCCATCCGCCTCCGCCTAGCGAGCTCTGTCGCCGAGTTTGACGACGCGCCCGACCTTCGCGAGCCCTTCTTCGACACTCCCTGGGGCATCACGCTCGCCACAATCGCCACAACACCCTCGCGCAAGGCGCTCCTCGATTACCTTGTGCAGGAAGGCCTCGCGGACGAGGTAGTCGTGCGACATTTGCAGATGACACGATCTGTCTCTCGCCCACACGACGTGTTCTTCGTGAACTTTCTCTCTCGCTGCACTCACATCGAGCTCTGCGGCGACGATGGCGCACGTGCACGCATCAAGCTAGAAAGTCCGTTCCGCGATTCGGATTACAAGAGGCCCACCTACGAGGGTAAGTCGGTCTGACGTTCTAATGGTAACAAGACTTATCTAATTCCACCTGAAGGGGCCGCGCTGGCGCGTCTCGCGATCCTGGCGTTGAACGATACAACGATGACTGTCGGCATCCGGATAGAAAAGCTGCTTCACGGACCCCGTCTGTTGCCACACGTAAGCGCTGACGGCCGTGGCGGAAGTCTGCCGTCCGAAGGCAAGGAGGTAGCGCGCTATAGGACAGGAGTGCCTGTAACGACACACGTCAGGAAGGATAGCGTGGCCGGCCGGATTCTGCTTCAGATGATGGCGCAGGAGGACGGCGAAGGGCGCGCGTTGGAGGCGCAGTGAGCTGGATCGATCTATGCCGCCCTCGCTATAGGTACGTATGCTACTTGTATTATCCTACCACCCACTCATGAGTGCCCAATCTGATTGAGGACGTTTCCAGCGTGCCCGGCATCCGTTCTGTATCCCGCTCGTGACGTAGGTGCGTGCATTTTCCGAGTCGCATGTCCCATGGTTGTACTGAATAGGCTTAGAACCGATGGAGTCCCCTTGTATAATCGGTGGTCAAACTTCGACGCGTGCAGGAGACGCAGGAACACGACCTATTATACATCACGCGCTCCTTCGAAATGCATTCCTTTGCGATTCTTCTCCGAGCACGCGCGTGCCTGCTTGGATGGGCACTCGTACCTTGCTTGGATGGGCACGCGTCCCTGCTTCAACGAGGTGCGCACTTCGAGCTCGACGAGGTTGGCTGAAAACGCGCCACGCTCGCCGTGAAGCAGAATGAGGACCAGCTGGAGCACGAAGATGTACTAAGACTCGCAGACCATGCAAACCGTGCTCATCGACGTCGTCCAGTTCGTTGGGCACGCTGCTCGCTCTCGAGATCAGGAGCTATGCTTGCGCTGCTCGCTCGCGAGATCAGAAGCTATGCTTGCGCTGCTTGCTCTCGATCAGAAGCCATGCTTGCGTGCCGAGGCCGAGCGCCACCCTTAGTCGTCGACGATGGATCCCGCGCTCGTCGACGACAGACCCCAAGCTTGTCGAACGAGGACAGGCCCCGCTGAGGTCGTCGAAGACGACCCCGCGCGCGCCGACGACGGCCCCCGAGCGAGCGCAACGAGGTCGCTTATGGCTCGTCAGACTCAGACGATAATGCGGGCGGCTCGTCAGCGTCGGACAGCAAGGGGGCGCCTCCCACCCACCTCGCTTGCAAATTCCCTTCCCACCTTGCTCTAATATTTTTTTTCCTGCCTCCCCATCGCCCGCCTAGCTCAATCGGATAGAGCGTCAGACTCTTACGTTAGGCGGTCCGTTGCCGGCGAATCTGAAGGCTGCGAGTTCGACCCTCGCGGTGGGCTATCTCTCGGTGGTTGTCAATTTTTTTTTCTGATCCTTCTCTCGGTTTTCGACTTGGTGCGCCTTCATCGTTTTCAATGGACTCTTCCGCGGCGTGTTCAACCCTTCCTTCGCGCTCTGCGATCTTGTGTCTATCATGTGCAGCGGCGGTCGCTTGTCCATCGTATCCAGCGATCACATGTTCATCATGTCCGCCATCGCCTCTCTTCGCATCCATCTTCGTTATATCTCGCATACAACCTCGTTCTCCTTCGCCTACACCGGTTGCTTCTCCTATATCCCCACCGGTTGCTCCTCCTTCGCCTCTAATCTCGTTCTCCTATATCCCCACTGGTAACTTTCGTCCCCACTTGTCGCTTCTCCTTCACCCTCAGCCTTATTCCTTCGTTCCCATCGGTTGCTTTTCCTTCGCCTCTAACCTCGTTCTCCATCACCTTCGTCCCCACTGGTCACTGAGTCACTCGCTCGCCACTGGCTTCCTTCGCGCTCGCTCGTCACTGGTCACGGGGTCACTCGCTGTCGTTCTGTGGGAGGGGTAAGGAGGAGGGAATAGTTGGATTTGTGCGGGTGGGAGGGAGAAGGGAGGGAGGGGGAGGGTGGGTGGGGTGCACGCAGGGAGAAGGGAGGGAGGGCAAGATGTGCGGGTGGGAGGGTTCGGTGGATGTCGAGAAGAGGAAGGGCTAGTGGAGAATAATGCGGGAAGAGCCCGCGCGAAGGAGGGATCGCAGGGATCAGCACGAAGGAAGTCTCGCGCACGGCGGGCGATGCGAAGGAGGTCTCTGGAGGACAAGTACGAAGGAGGGCTCAAGGGGACCAGTGCAAAGGAAGTCTCGCAGGGACCTGGACCAGTACAATCCTCGAATTCACTACCCTCGCCGGCACCCGCTTCTAGAAAGCACTCCCTTTACCCAACTTTAGAAGGTCGCGGAAACCGCAGAGAAGTACCGCGTGTTCCCGGCTATGAGCATCGCGAACGTCAGGATGAGGTGCGCATCGTGCGGCGGATGGCTTCAGCGCGCGCGAGATAACATCCAGTATGGCGTACAAGGTGCAACCTTTGAAGGTGATGTCGTACACGGATACATGGACCTGCTGGATCGCACGGCCCAGCTGTCGATTGGCACGTCTGTGAGCGTCGCTGCTCTCAAGACCCTCGATTACTTCCTTCTGTTTATCGCCTGGGCAAGGCCGCCTTCTCATCCCACTCGCACATCATCTCATCATCCGCGTTGCGCAGGTCCAGCTTCCACCAGGTCAACAAGGCCTTATTCACCGTCGTCTCGGAAAGCAGCCATAGGATCTGCTCCGCATGGACGAATCCAGGACGCGGTGTCTCATTCTCACGTCCAAACCCATCGCTCGCTGTCGAACTTGGACATCCTATTCGCGGGAATGGTTGTAATTGCAGAGGAAGGCGGCGGACGCGCCGAAGGAGTTATAGTACTGTAATTACCCTCGGAAGAATTGGATGGCACGGGCGCGAAGGAGGATGCAGGTGATCCCTTCGCTTCCCAATATTTTGAGGTAGATAGATATACAAGATGAGATGGACCAGCCGTAGAGGATTGAGAAGATAGTCGCAGCTGGGGTCGTCTATATCCGAATCCTGAACGTCACCGTGTTTCTGACTAATGTCGGTTCTGCCTCCGGATTCGCCTGTCCGCGCCATGCGCCTTCGACGATGCATCCAGAGCGAGTTGTAGACTTGAACCGTGGTCTCGTGATGCCCCTACGCATCGTCCACCGCCAGACGCGCCCCGTCAGCCGGGAGTCCTGCGGCCGAAGGCCATGCGGAATGAAGGGTCTGAGTTGATGTAACGTTTCGGCAGGAATTCGGCGAGGTCCTCCAGGTCGTGCTTTATGCTCGTCAAGGGCACGCGTATTGACCGTCAGCGGTCCCGCGCGACTGGCACGTCGAGGACGCCTCTCCACGCCAATCTAGTGCGAATTTTAAGATCGTTCAGGATACCCTTTGATCAGTTTCATTTGGGTCCATCGCCGCCTCTCATCGGGTATGTCCCTCGCAGCCCGTTGAGTGCGTCATGTGGGCTAGCAAAATCGCAGAGCAGAAATACTAAAGCGCATTGCCTCGCAACCGCTCGCAGGATATAGTAGAATATGGTGGGCCCTTCATACTCTGGAAGGGCGCGGACCCTCCGTCGCCAACGGCTAGACGGCTATAAATCTCGAACATCAACAGTAAATTGCCGCCGTTCGGTCTTTTTCGGAAGGTCACGTGGTCGGCCTGGGAAGCTATTGAAACTTGGCCTCAACCATCACGGCGAACGCGCGGAGAGCACGATGATAGGGAGGCTACCCTCGATGCGGAAATCTCTCCTCATGACGATGAACGGCAGCGTATTTCTCAGAGGACACTACCTTCAGAGAGGGCTGCTTTCACCCCTAGTCGGCTACCGATTGGAACTCAGGCGGTCAATTCGCACAGTATCGACTCTCGACCCCAGAGCATTTGCTCTGCTGATGCACTTGACCTCTCGGCTGCTCAATCCGCCTTCGTTCAACTGCCGTCTGGTCGTTCGAAGATTCGATATCAGCGGAACAACAATGGTCGTTCTGACAGGCATGTCCCATTCCCTGACAAAACTGTTGGATTCCTGTACTTCCACGCGCCGTCGTGCTCGCTGCGCTTTCTCATCGTCCCCAGTTGCCTTCCCAGGGACTTCGACGCCGGGCACGATCTGTGCGCGCACAACGGTGCGGTGACGTGGGGAACGCGCGCTGCCAGCCTCGCGCGTGGACGCCAAACAGAGACCCTCAGACAGCAGCTATTGAATGAAGGGCTGATCGATTTGCCTGCCCTGCAGTCGAGAGCACGCACGACAACGGCCCTGCACCACGAGGAAATCTCTAATCGTGACCTGCAGGACCTCTCCGACTGCAATCGCAATGTGGGGGTATGGCTGGTGCGACCGGATGGCAGCAGTGTACGCCTGTACATCTGCTACGCGCAGCGCAAGGGCGTGAAGAAGTTCCCCAGCGGCACTCGAGGTTTTCTGTACTACCACGTGCCCTCCAACCCCTATGACGGCGCGATACGGCTTCGCCTCGCCGAGCATTCCGCCGAGTTCGACAATGCCTCCGACTTGCGCCATCCTGTCCTCGAGACTGTGTGGGGGGTTGCGCTCGAGCACATTGCTACGACTCGAGACACAAAAAGAACCCAGCGCGAGGAGCTTCTCGACTACCTGGTGCAGAAAAAGTTCGTGACCGAGGAGATCGTGCGACATATGCGAATGGCGCGATCTGTGGACCAGCTACGCGACGCGTTCTTTCTGAACTTCCGCATGAATCGCACCACCATTGAGCTACGTGGCTACGATGGTAGTCGCGCGCACCTCAGGTTTAAAGACGCATTCCGCGTCGCGAACAGCACAAAACCTGCCTATGAGGGTACGCTGTCTGATCTGCTTGCTTTGGGCCCGCTTAACTCGCTGATCAGGGGCCGCGCTCGCCCATCTTGTGATCCTCGGGACCACCGATACGCTGATAAATGTCGGCTTCCGTGTCCAAAAACTGCTCCATGGGCCTCGTCGATTGCCGGAGGAGGAAGCCGATGGTCATCCCGTCTTTCTGCCGTCAGAAGGAGCAATAGTACCGCGCTATAGGACGGGAAGGCCTGTGACTACACGCGTCGAGAAGGATAGCGCCGCTGGACGCATCCTACTGCAGATGATGGAGCAGGAGGATGGGGATGAGCGCGCAGGGGCGCAGTGAGGCAAGCTTCTATACGGCCGTGAATCCTTGAAGCTTGAAGTAAGTGAAGCCCTTCGCTTCTCCGCCGCCCCAAGCAGCTCGTTCTGACCATTGATTCTTCCACTAGCGATCGCAAAATTCGCTACCCGAAATGTCCACCAATTTTTCTCCCTTGTTCCTCCCCTCCCGGTTTTCCGAGATGGATCGCCATCTTTGTCTTCCATCGTGCGTCGCGGCTTCTCTATAAGCGGCCATAACTCGTCATTCACGTACTTCTTCTCTCCGATAGAACACGCGGACGCCTGAAGCGAAGCTCTGGTTGTGCCTCCAAAGCTGCAGGTACGCACACGGGGTTAACTCGGTTGCTTGTGTGTTGACCAGAGTATGCAGGGCGGAAGGAGGCGCTGTGCTCGAGGCGGTGATCGGCTCGTGGCGGATGAAGCAGTATCCGCACGCATTTATAGTCGTCTACGTCGTGTGAGCAAGTGCTCCAGACTCCTTGTCTTACGGTACATTCATTTGACGTTCTGCTGCGCGAATACAATACAGCTGCTATATTCCTTCGGTTTTTACGTCCAATATCTTGAGCCCTTCGTACGCGCGAGAAGAACCATCAAGCTCCCTGCTTCACCAGAAGTCCTGCCGCTTCACCTGCAGTCCTTCACGTCGCCTCACTCCTGCCGCGTCACCTCGCCTCCTTCGCCTTGCCATTCAAAAACGGCTTCAATACCTCCTCCGCGAATTCGCGCACCGACCCGATCTCCGCACCGAGAGCCAGGAGTCGCGGGTCCGGGCGCGGCTTCCCGGCGAGCCTGTCGTACTCGGCGGTGAAGTCGAACTGAGCAGCCGGTTAGCGAGGAGAATGGAGAGCGAGCGAGGGCGGGCGAGCGAGTAGACGTGAGTGAGCTTTGATTGAGGGATGCGGGCGAGGTTTCAAGTTTCAGGCTGCGCGGGCTGATTGAGACGGGACTCACCATCTCATCCAACGCGGGGACGCCCAACTTGGGGATTCGTGTGAGCGTAACGGGCTTACCGAGGACTGGGAAGGTGTCAGCGATGAACTCCACTGCTAGCGATGCGCGCTGTCAGAGGTGTAGGAGGCGACAGTGTAAAGGGAAAAGGGGCTGTCAATCCTTCAGGGAAGGATGCGCTAACGCAAAGAAGGAAGCGCCGACGCTCAATCGAGAAGGGGAAAGAGGACAGTGCTCACCGTCCTCGAACTCCCCCAAAATCTCCGGGAACGTCGCCGTTCCGCTTCCCAAGATATATTCCTGCCCATTGAGCTCATCGATCTTGTTGTTTGCATATGCGCGCATTAATGTGGCGACCGCGCTACCCATTTCCTTCCCGATCCAGCAGACGGTATTGATGGCCGCAGGCGAGACAGGCGTCTTGAGCTCGTAACCGGTAGCGGTGGGCTTGAGAGGCATCATGCTGTCAAAGGTAAGCGGATGGTTAGTGGTTGAGGGGAGGGGTATGATGGGGCGTCAGGGATGATGATGATGAGAAGAGGTGTGCCGTAGTGAGCGACTCGCAGTTTCGAAGAGAAGGGAAAGAGGAGAAGAGGAGGAAAGATCTTAGGGGATACATCACATACTTGGAGACGAAGTTCTCGAGAAAGAAGCCAGTCAGGATATTCGCGTGCGGAATGCCCGAGGCCTTGAGGTACTTCTGGATCTCGGCTTTGTCTGTGCACCTAAGTCAGTGAATGGTTTAGCGACAGACGAGGGACTACATGCCATCGAAGTGCGCGACCTTGGTGTACTTGCCGTTCGAGATCTCCTTGACGCTGGGAAGGGAGCTGGCGAACGGCTGTCAGGTTCATTCTCGAGTCAGGTGCAAAGCAAATACGGACCTCCAAACGAAGAACTTGACACCCGACTCCTTGCTCGCATCCACCATATTCGTTCCCTGCTGGATCTCCGAGATAGGGGTGAAGGGGATGGTGACCTTCGAACAGACACATTAACCTTGATCGAATTCGCTTCATAACCCTCGACTCACCCCAAAAACACATTCCGCGCCCTCCACCGCGCGCCTCACGGCCTCCTTACTTCCCAAGTCTGCATCCACGACCTCGCAGCCGCGCGCTTCGAGCGCTTTGGCGGCGGGAGAGTTTGTGGAGCGCGTCACGGCGCGTGGGGTGAAGACGCCGTCGGCGAGGAGGGCGTTGATGACGGAACCGCCTGCATGGCAAGGAGTCAGTTACCGGGGATAAGTAGAGCGTATTTCAAGCGTAGGTGAATAGAGGGATTGAGGAGACGTACCTTGTTGGCCAGTAGCACCGAAGACGGTGGCGATGCGGCGAGGAGAAGACATGGTTGATGATGAGGATGCGAAGAACGACTACAGCAATCAGAGGATGGTGGTGAGTTGTAAGAACCAGTTGGGCTCCTGAGCTTGCCGTCTCTTTATACCGCGACTCGCGCAGGCAGAATGCCCTCGGTGGACTGCGGCGGGTAATGTTCGCCCGCCATTGCTCGTGACCGACGTACAGGAGAGTTCGACGACGAGGCGCTTGTCAAGCGTGTTGTCGAGAATGAGTTGGCAACGGTGACTACGCGAGCCAAAGAAAGAGCCCTGCGAAAAAGCATCCGACGGACTTGAACCGTATCACGCGGATGCATTCCGACGTGACCTAATTGGGCATTCGTCCTCCGGATGGCATGCGAGGAAGTGCTCTATTCCTACAGAGTCAATAAGTTCAGAATATCAGCGACGCAATTTCGAATCCATAATCATCGCTCAGCCACACGAATATCTTGTGTAATAGATGCACGCGGCCTTAGCAAGATGCTGAATTACCGTGACCCACCGAACTGGCGAGGTTTCATGCGCGGTCAAGACGGCCAGTTTGGTCGCAATGCAAATCAAAGTACAGTACCTGTCGACACAAACTCGCTTCTATGAACGTTCGTTTACAACGCTCTTGCGAGTAATATCCTGAAGCAGCGTAATCAGTACCGACGCCTCGTCTCGCTCGGTGAGACGTACTTCTCACCCCCTCCTCTCCTCGCCTTCTGCCTTCCTCCTCCTCGCCTCTACGCCCCACCCCATCGTCACCATAAGCGCCGCGCCCGCAAAGCAGGCGCCCGTATAGATGATCATCTTCTCGAACCGCCCGCCCGCGACGTCGAAGCCGAGGTCGAGCGCGGTTTTGCCGGTGCAGGAGGCGAGAGTCGCCGAAGAAGCCACCGCGGTGAGGTTGTCGGACACGACTGAGATGAAGTCGCTGTGCGCGGCGGACGCCCCAGTGCAGTACACGGGCGTCTCGAGCGCGGTCGAGATGGGCGTGGACACGATGTTCCCGACACCGCGCGTGAGGAGGAGCCAGCCGAAGAGCGTCGTGGCCAGGTTCGGGTCGTCTCCTGGGCGGGGAGGTCAGTAAGTCCGGACAGGAAAATGTGCGTGACTCACTCGCGCCCGCCGGCATCAGCCCCGTCCATAGCGCCGCCCACCCGCCCGAGAACGCGCCGTACACGACGCTGAAGGCCAGCAGTCCCGCGAACGTGTACGCCAGAACCCCCCAGAGGACGAAGGCGGAGAGCGCGGTGAGGAAGAGGGTGAAGAAGGCGACGGCCCAGGGGTTGAAGCGGTCGGACAGGAAGCCGGTGGAGATGCGACCAAGGGCGGCGCCGGCTGGGTAAAGTGGTCAGTTCGGGTCAGTCTCGGGGGAGGGTAAGATGCAATAGAGTGAATGATGGGCGAAAAGGTGGATATATGCGCACCATTCAGCACCGAAAGCGACACAGACGACTTGAACGGGCTCAGGTTCAGCTCGCTCGCGAATGCTGTGAAGATCATCGTCAGTGAACCTGTTCATTATTCCAGCACCACGGCGACGCGCAGACTGCGGCCACCGCGGCCTCATGGAGCATTCCCGAGGCGAGACGCAGAGCGCGTCCTGCGAAAGAGAGACGCAGAGCGCGCCCTGCCAAAGACGAGCGCCCTTGATCAAGCGTAGAACACGCCCCTGGTCAAGCGTAGATCACGCCCCTGGTTAAGCGTAGAACACGCCCTTGGTCAAACGCAGATCACGCCCTAGCGATACATTCGCGCGCAAGACAGAACCAAACACTTACTCGGCAACCAAAGCATCGGCGCAAAATACCCGAACGCCTGCAGCGTGTTCACGGCGAGCAGGAGGAGGAAGGAGGGTTCGGTCCACCACTTCTTCGCCGCCCTCAGGTTGTCTTCGCGCACCGACCCTACTCGGCTGTCCGACCCGCCATCGCCTCTTGTCGAGACCTCGCCGCGAGAATCGGACTCATGCACTCCTCGCATCTCATGCACTCCTCGCATCTCATGCACGTTTCGCATCTCATGCACGTCTTGCATACGCCCCACTCCACCCCTGCCCACCGTCTCCGGCACCCTCCCCCTGATAAACGGCAGAAACGGCACCAGCGCCGCCGTCGTCACGCCCGCGAAGATGCGCAGCGTACCCGCTAGGCCGACGCGGGAGAGGAGCGGGGGCAGCACGAGGGGGAGGAGGACGCCGCCGAGGGAGGTGCCTGGGTGGATGGTTAGTTGAGGTAGGGGAGGGGAGGGGAGGGCAGGGCAGGGGAGGGCAGGGCAGGGCAGGGGAGGGCAGGGCAGGGGAGGGGTGTGAGGGGAACTCGATGGGAAGAAAGTAGCAGGGCGAGGAAGGATTGGATGGACCAAGACTCAGCGGGGGAGAGAAGAAAGGGATAGAAGGAAAGGAAGCGAAGGAGGAGACGTCGGGAGACAAAGGAGCGGGGGTGGATGCAAGCGGAGATGCAAGAGGAAGGACGACTCGGAGACGACGGGTAGTAGGACGGATTCGTCATAAGTAGGACGGCTTCGTCGTATGTGGCCACAAACGACCGTAGATGAAAGACGACGGAAGGGATGGAACGTGGGGAGGAGAGTACGGGCGAAGAGATGGGGAAGGAGCAGAGATGGAGGGAAGGAGGGAACGCACCAGCCATCATCACCCCATTCGCGATCCCCCTGCGCTCGACGAACCACTGGGACATGTAGAAGATGGTCGGGACGTAGACCATGGCTGCGAGGGGCGGATGTCAGTCAAGAATCAGGTGGGGAGCGAGCAGAAACGAAGTCGAAGGAAGAGATCGATGCGAAGGCGGAGAGTTAACAAGATTCAGCGCGAATGTGAGGGATGAGAGAGGGGGGATCTCGGGCTGGAGAAGCAGATAGCTTAAGCGCGTCGGACAGAGTGAGAGTGAGAGTTCGAGCTTGGGAGAGATGGGCTGGAGTCGCGACCTCAAGGTTCGAAACCTAGATCGAAGATTCGAACTCACTCCCGCCAATCGAGTAGAGAACGCCCTGGAGCGCAACGAGTTGGACGACCTAGAGGGATCATCAGCGCCAGATCTCGCGGATTTCGATGGCATGTCGCTCGCGGTAGGACGACGACGCGTCACGCCGATGCGTCAGCGTCTCGTCGATGCGCCAGTGTCAGCGCGTCTCGTGGATGCCAGCGTCAGCGCGTCTCGTCGATCGACCAGCACCACCGCAAGTCTTATCCCGAACATCCCCTCATCTATACATAACTGTCCGAATACCAAAGCCAGTTTGCAGAAGAATAGACAACTCAGCCTACACAAGACAACTCAGCCTACACAAGACAACTCAACCCGCACTCACCGTCCGCGCATAACTCGACGCAAACAAGCTCACGAAACAAATCGCCGTGCCCGCCCACACGATTGGGCGCGCGGCGCGCGGGTAGCGGTAGAGGACCGGGTTGAGGGCGGGGCCTGGTGGGGGGGGGGGGGGTGGGGGGGGGGTGATTAGTGTGAGAAGGGGGAAGGTGCGAAGGAGAAGAGATAGAGATGTGCAAAGTAGCGTATGAGAAGAAGGGTTATAAATCGCGTGGGAGAGGAGGGGAGGTGCGGGATTAGCGTATGGGAGGAGGGGTAATGACGCGGGTGTGAGAAGAGGGGGTGGGGTCGCGCACGAGAGAAGATAGAGAGGTGCGGAGGAGAAATGAAGAGATGCGGCGAGTGGATGAGTGACGGAAGAGAGCAGATGGAAGAAGTAAAGACGGCGGGTCGAGGAAAAAGAGTCCGCCAAAATGCAAACCACTCACACAAACAATACATAATCCCCGACCCAATGGGCCCGATGAGCGCGAGGAGCGACGTCGCGTGTGGCTGGGAGCCAAAGTTGGGATCTTCCATGTAGGCTGAGGGAAGGGCGGATCAGTATGGGTGCTTTGAAGGAAGAACACCAATTTGGGAATAGATTCGGCAGCGCAGAAACGGAGTTCTCGCGCCCGGCCATTGATTTTGGTCGCAGGATTGAGAGCTCGAAGAAGTAAGAGCCGTGCTTACCATAGAGTAACGTCCCGTACGCCGTCGAGAAAGCCCAAGCGATGGTTTCAACCATGAAGGCGGCGGCGAGCTGCATAAATGAAGTAAACGTTGAGCAGCGGGCGAGGGCGAGGTCGAGGGGACATAGGCGTACGAAAGACCAAGCACCGAAGCCTCCGTCAACCGGAGGGAGCTGCGATACGTTCACCACCGCATCCTCCGGGTTCGCGTCGGGCGACATCGCATCCTGGGCGGCCCACGCATGGTTTGCAGGCGTTTCGGCGAGCGTCGCGCTTGATTCTCTTCTCCCATTAGAGTGAGGGGTGAGTACCGAGCGTCGCGACGAAGCGCGCGCGGTCAGCTCAATCGCGTCTTTCGTGGTGGTGTCTGGCGCCATCACTCTATCGAGCGACATGATGGTTGGCTCAAGAGTCCGCGTCGAGATCAGCCGAGAGCGTCTGAATCACTGAGTCCTTATGAAGGCGACCTCGTCCGAATCGTCAAGAGCGCTCGTCCGAATCGTCCGAGAAGACCGAGTCAAGGTCGAGTCAAGGATGCGTGCTGGATTGCAGATCTACGTAAAGCGGGGGGGCACGAGTTTCGATAGCGGGTAAGGCCCGCGTTGACGGTCGGCAATGATAGCAGCGAGCGAGGTGAGTCGACGTCCGGGTCAAGAACCGATGGTCTGAATCGGATCCAGTCGCCGACGCGTTCGGGAAAAGCCGATCAGTCACGTGCAACGAAGCTGAATGTAGATCGAGTCACAGTTCGACTTGAGTCCAACGCGAGACGCCTGCAACTGTAGTTATAACTCTGAAGGGCCGTTTTACGGCAGGGCCCGCTACCACACCGTCTAATTTACACCGTAGAGCTTGGGTTCGACCTTAAGCGGCTTCACAGTGAATGACTTGTGCCCCTTGCAAGCTCTCGTAGCGCCTGGTGATGACGGTGCCCATACTCAGTGAAGTGCATCCAGCGAGCCTGTCCATCGCGCATTCGCACTGCGTCCCGCCGCCCGAGCGCGCCTTCCCGATGTCGTTCAATATATGCCCCTCCCAACCCCTCTCGCGCCACGCCCACTTCCCGCTCTTCCCGCGCCCTAAGCGCACGTACTCGCGCACCCGCCCTCGGAACATGTCCTCTCACCGATAGTGCCCGCTCGTATGACGGTCGTGCTCAATGCGATGAGAAGCTTCCCAAACGATTTACAGGTCTTCGCGGGGAAAAACAACTGAAACTGCCCGTAATGAAGTGAGATTTCTTCCAAATGAAGAGCATGGCTGGATGGCCAGAGAGGCGCCTCATTACGAGGTTCAAATCGAAAGATGGCTGCCTGATGCGTTCTCTGCGCGCGTGAGGGAGGGAAACCGAAGGTGAAGGGGAGAGTCAATGTGCTTTCGGGCGACGCCGAAGAGTCGAGACCACAGAAGGCCCTGTCATGTGCCGGCACGTGAGGGGTTACCAAAGTTCGCGAGACGGGGCATTTGCGATTTTGCGCTTCATCCCTAAGACCCACTACCATAAATGGTAGCGGGAATTACGAACAAGGTCGATTGATGCAGTGCACTTTCTTCCAAGTAGAGGCCATACAAAGCGGACGAGTGCGTATAGGGCTATACGTGAGATAGAGTCAATACGCAAGGTAAAAAAAGTACCTCAGGAGTAAGAAGTTTGGCGTGCCATCTCCTCGGCGGGGAGTCGAACCCCGCTCTCCCGCGTAGTGTGGCCGACATGACAGGCGGGTGTACTAGCCGATATACTACCGAGGACAGGCAATTCGCGATGCAGACAACTGTTTCAGAAAAAAACGACAGAAACGAAGTGCGTTTATGCGAAGGACCAAAGAAATGAAGGGTGCTTCACCGTGGCCAGAAAGACTACGGCAGCCTCGTGTGAGCATTTCTCTCTATGGCTTCACTCGCCGTACTTGAAGCGTTCTCGGCGCGCGATGCTTGCGACGAGCACGACTCGTGTTCAAAGCCCACTTGACTTGCAGACAGTATCGGACGGGGAAGATACGGGCCTACGAAAGTCGTGGGTCGTAGGATTTTCACGTTCACAGGTAAGCCCGAATGGAATCAAACGGGCAGAAGTAGCTAACATCGTACGCGAACGGCAGCCTCCGTCTCACCACCCTCCTCCCCAAAGAGTAAATCCCTTCAAAAAGCACGCGCCGCTGCGTCTCCACGCTGACCTCCACCTCCCCCTTCCAATCCAGATCGTAGAAACACTCCAGGCGCGGGGCGGGGAGGATGTCCGTGAAGTGGGAGATGAGGACCAGCCGGACGAAGCGCGCGCCCTCCCTTCTGAACCCCGCGATGTTCTTGACGAGCTCTCGTCCGATTTTCTCCCGCATGTTCTTGATATAGTTCTGCATGATGCAGCAGAAGAGGACGACGTCGGGGAGGGAGATCGAACCTGTGCCGGTGGGATGAGGAGAGGGCGCTTTGCGGCTTCGAGGAACGTACCTTTGAGACCCCACACCCCCGCGTCCGCACAGCACTCATATCTATGGGACCGATCCCAGTGCATCTTCTGGCAGCTCCTCGAGCAGTAGAAGGCGTCGCCACACGCACAGATTTGCACCCGCCGGTTATGAGGACCCTGGATCCGGGTTAGTACTAGCATACCATCTCGCGAAGAAAACCACCCACCATCGTGTTCTTGCAAGGCATCAAGCGCCGCCAGCCCCCTCGTATGCAGCCCTCGAGGTGTATCCGTCCCATCGTTCCGTAATTACGCGCGAGGCTACGCCAGGTCGGCTTCTCTTCCGGGGCGGCGTGGTACTGCAGTTCTACCTTTGGAGCATTGGCATTCCGAAGACCGCGCAGAACCTTCCGGTGCACCAGACCCGCAGAGAGGCGCCGGACGAGTGGCGAGAGGTCGGATTTGGGGATCCCTGGCACCCGGTCCAGATCAAACAGGACACGAAAGACGTCGGCCCTGACGGCTTGGATGAGAGGACGGATCGTGGGCGCTGCGGCGCAGATAGCGTCCGCGAGGTCCAGCAGGGCGGCCGCACCGTGGTAGTCCTTTTTGTGGAGGCGAAACCCTGCGGTAGTGACGACGAGGGGCATGATGTTGCGGGGGATCTTCGACGGCGCGAGTTCGGGGAGTCGTAGCAAGCCAGTGAGGCCTTCGACGTGGTGTTGCCGAGCTCCGGCGGCGAAACTGTCTTCAGGGATCGAGGTGGCGACGAAGAGCGTCTGGGGGTGGATGGCGTTGAAGAGGGCTCGCTTGGTGATCTTCGCGTTGCGCAGGGCGTTCATGAAGAGCGCGCGATCGCCCTCGGTCGGGTTGTTCTTCGGATCGGCGAGTAGAGCGTAGAGGCGCCACGGCCCAGACACGATACCGAACACGACGGACCCGATGTCGACGTCGCCTTCGTCCTGTGGCTCCGCCAGGCGATAGGACTTGGGGAAGCGTATCCACAGCTCGAGGATCTGAGTCGCCATGTCCGGGTTAGCGTGCAGAAACGACTTCGCGTAGTGCGGTTCCGAGCCGAGGATGACGAGGTACAGCTTCGAGAGAGCAAAGATGGTGCGCTTTTCTTGATCGTCGGGGGGCGTTCGACGCGCGGGATGAATGAGGGCCACCCAGCATATCAGTGAGGAAGGCACGTCGCGGAGAAGGGGCTTCAGAGCTGCGTTACGCGGGCGTTCGGCGGCATTCCACATCTCGATGAATGTAAAGCAGGCTCCGAGGACCAGGTTGTAGTACGTCGTCAGGTCGACGCCGGGAGGTAGTGCTACAGGTTGCGCCTTCAAGAGCTTTCTGTACGATACGCCGAATAGAGACTTGATCTGCGCGAGAGTGGATGCATGGGCGCGGGCGGTCACTTCGTCGGTGAGTTGGCGCGTGAGGTTGAATATCTTGCGCAGGGCATCGTAAATGGGTTGAAAGTCTACAGTCACAATGCCTTCCATGGCGGATCTTGGTGTGGCAACGGGGCGGGGGTGGACACGCACTGCCGAGGGTGATGAAGGTGGAAAGCAAGCTTGAATCTGGCCATCAATGTGACAAGTCATGCATGGCTTGTCACATGTTTGGTGTTGATATCTGTTTACACCCGAATTTTGTTGCACACGACGCTGCTACTTAATCGAAGCTTACAGCGAAGGTCGCCACTTCACGAAGACAGTGAGATGGACGAGGCAGAAACCGCGAGTACGGTACACGCGGGCGCCGTACAAAGCTCAAAGATCAAGGCTTCAACGAACAAAGGCAACCCAGAACGGAGATCGCGTAGGAGAATGCGGCGCACTGAGCGCGAGTCAACATTGAGCACTCTCGGATAGATCTCATGGCACGAGCGGAAGGCTGCTCTCAGGTAGGGGGGCTCGCTAGGTAGCACGTGTAATATAATGAAGTTCGAAGGCATCGAATATCTTCCTCCTTCACGGCATATGTTAACGCACTCTGCTGCGATCTTCTGGAGCGGGGTCATTACCATGGGCGCCGATAGTGCCCAGAACTAAACTGATCTTTCGTGCAAAACGCGCATCCCTGGATAGACGGTGCAAGATCCTGAGAGGTACCCTTTTCTGGAGTGGCAGTGAGCGCTTGTGCGATTGGTCGAGAGCATAGCGAACAAAACGATACGTATCGACGTATCTTCTTTGAGCGCGGCACAAAGTATCAGTTCTACAGCGCCCGCTGGAGCCATACCCTAGAGCATTGAGCGCGAGCTGGTAGCGCTTGTCGCGCGATGAGGTTCACTGGTACGCAGACGCGAGATTATCTGCGGGAAGGTCAGCACATGAGCTTTGGGCTGCACGGGCGTAAGCCAAGCGTTATGCGCTTTAGCGCGGTTTTGACACGCCACGCCTATTCTCTGGGGCAATGAATTTAGATCGCGTGGCGAGAAAAGCGGGCGCGTCGCCGTCCTTGAAGATGGTAATGATGGAGGGCCGCGGTGAGGAACGCTGATTGCATGTCCATAGAAGCGAAAGGAATGCTTGCGGATGCCAGAAATGCGAAGGGTCGAATACATAGCGCATAGTATCAGCCAGATCTCTTAGAGAAGCGCAATCTCGAGCAAGCCCGTCCGCACGAACTATGACGAGTGACTCGACATAGCGCAACAGCTACTTGGTACCCAGGGTTAACGAGCGCTCGTTTATAGAAGTTTCATGCTTCATGAGCGCAACTGTGTCTATGCGGTGTCAGTATCCCTACTCGATGCCAAGGGAACCGTACTCGCCTCAGTCTTAACCTCGGCCCATGATCGTTTGAGGTCAAAACTCAGCGTCATGAGCAGCAATAGCCACGGCCGCAGGTAAAAGCCGAGGTAGGTTCCTCTTCGGCTTCGAGCGGAACGGGAGAAACGATATGAGAAAGTGGCGGCGAGCTTGGCGCGAGGGAATCTCAGTCGCTCGCAAGGTTCGCGCTTTCATGGGCTATCCGAGACAGTCTTGCGTATAGCGTCTATCATTCATATGCGAGAAGCTCTTGCGCTACAAGGCATTCAGCAACGAGCACGAAAATCGAGACGTAGTCGGCGGCGGTGATGAAGTTCGGAAACGAGATGCGGCCCGGTCCAAGCGGAGAGTCCTTCCTAATTCGGAACAAGCCAGGTACGATCACGTTACTGCCCGCTCCTGCTTGCGCACTGTCATGATCTCCTGCTCCTGTACTCCCCGTCCGCTGCCAACCTCATCGCTCGTCTCGCTAGCCTGGAAGTCTCCATAACCAAGCATGCTAACCTGAAGAGGCATCTGGAGGGGATGCAAAGTCGTCAACCTGGAGGACCCGCGAAAGCCAGGCACCAGACGATGATCTCGAGGCAGACGGCCGCATCGACGGGCGTGCGCGACGCGCGCCAAACGTGCGTTCAATAACGCGCCTGCCATCCGTTGCCCCCGTCCTCCTTCCCCTGGCGACGCAACTGGATGGACACGCAGATGCTCATCCAGCACCCACCCGGACTCACCGCGCGCCCGCACGCCGTGATTGACGCCGACCGCATCGAGCGTCACGGTCAACTGCCTCCTCAGACGCGGATGGATGAAGAATAGGGGCGGGGGAGCGCGGAAGTGCCTCATGCCGAGAGTTCGCCGGCCGTATAAGAGGGACGCGCCTTTGTCCTCTTTCACCAATCAGTTCAGTTCCCTTCCTCCCAGTTCCGCCTCCTTCTCACCGCCGGGTCTCCTAGTCGAGCTCCCTTACATTCTTTCTTTCGATCGACACTCCTTATCTATCGTTCGTCCTTCACACCGACCTTACCGACTATTATGAAGGCCGCTTTCCTCGCTCTCTTCGCCGCATTCGCCGGGCTCGCGTCGGCGCACATCGAGATGGCGTCCCCGCCGCCGCTGCGCTCGAAGCACAACCCGAACGCGGGGCAGAACATCGACTACTCGATGACCTCGCCGCTCGACGCCTCGGGCTCGAACTTCCCCTGCAAGGGCTACCTTGCCGACGCGGACGGCAAGCAGTCCGTCGTGACCTGGCAGGCGGGCTCGAGCCAGCAAGTGACGTGAGTACCATTCTCCCTCTCTGCCCGTGATGCGCTCGACGTGCTGACGCCACACCGTAGTCTTGAGGGCTCCGCGATCCACAACGGCGGCTCGTGCCAGCTGTCGATCTCCGAGGACGGCGGGTCGACGTTCAAGGTGATCAAGTCCTTCATGGGCAACTGCCCCGCCGCGGCGGGCGTCACCCTCAACGTCGACATCCCGAAGGACGTCAAGTCCGGCGACGTCGTCTTCGCGTGGACGTGGAACAACAACACGGGTAACCGCGAGTTCTACATGAACTGGTGCGTGTTTCGTCTACCTTCTTCCAGACGAAGCCGAGCGCTGACGATGATTGTAGCGCGATGATCACCATCGAGGGCGGAGGGTCCGGCCTCGGCTCGTACCCGGACTTGTTCGTCGCGCAGCTCTCTAGCGTCAACTCCTGCACCATCCCCGAGGGCATCGACGTCGAGTACCCGAACCCCGGCACCCAGGTCGAGCGCGTCGAGGGCAAGCTTGGCGCCCCCGTCGGCGATTGCGGCTCCTCGTCCGGCGGCGGTGCTCCTCCCGCGACCACCGCCCCGCCCGCGACGACTGCGCCCCCTGCCACGACTGCTCCCCCGGCTACCACCGCTCCTCCCGCCACGACCGCCCCGCCCGCTACCACTGCCCCGCCCGCGACCACTGCTCCCCCGACCGGCGGTGCGTGCACGGAGGGCCAGTTCCGCTGCGACAGCGAGACGACGTGGTCGCAGTGCGCGAGCGGCGGGTGGATCTCGATGGGCGCGGTCGCCCCCGGCATGGCCTGCCGCGACGGGCAGATCGTCGCCGCGCGCAAGCGTGGTCTCAACCTCAAGAGCCACCGCAGGCACTGGAACAGCCGTGCGCTCTAAGCGTGCGATGATGAGACCTGGGCAGAGACTGGGTGCATAGGAGGGATGGAGTTGACGAATGCCTGACGAGCTTTACGCTCTAACGATGGGTTTTACTATTTATTTATTTGGTATCTATTCAGCTGGGCTTGTTGTACAATCCTGGTGCAATGGCATGCGGAGCTGCCTGGAATGTTTTGCGTGTGACGTCGCGAGTGAACATCGGGCAGATACGGGTGACGAAAGATGGGTCCTTGAAGAGCGCGACGAGGGCGTCTTCTGTCAGGAAATGAATGGCGAAGCCGTACGTGTGCTTCTCAAGAAGTAAATTCTCTGGACTTGCAGGATCAAGAAGTACCAGTGGAGGGAGGGGAGGACCGCGATGGTCTTCCGCTTGACCGTGTTGTAAAACTCACTTACGGACAAGCGTTGCATTGCGTGCTTCAACTCGGTCCAGGATAATGGAAAAAGGCGCAGAAAATCTGCATCAACGTGGTTAAGAAGAGAAAACATCTGGTCATCGCAATTTCGAAGTGCCCTTTGCACGACGGTCTGGAGAGGGTCCAAGAACAAAGACGGGTCGAACTGTGACGCGACGCGACAAAGTGAGGTCCGGCAATCCCCCCAGAGAAATCGTGCAGCGTCACGTGCGATGACCTGCCATTCGTAGCGAACTTATCTCCGGGAGCGCGCGCTCGCTCCCATAAACAAGACATTGTCGAAATAAAATGTTTCAAAGGGTTCGATGAGTGTACTCGATAGACAGCAGCAGAACGTACAGAAAATTTAGTGAGTTTGGGAGGTGTACAATGTAGCTAAGCTCTGAGTAAACACAGCTATGCATGGCAGAGCCTAATGATCCTGTACGTTCTGTAGGGAATAAATGCTTACACGCTTTTTTGCAGGAGAAACGCGCGATGCAGGCCGTCGTCGCGTCGAAAACTTGCAGCGCGTTCGCGGGCCAATTTCTGAGGCCGCGTCACGTGAAGACATCGGCTCATTCGGCTCGTGCTCCCGGTTTCGACAGCGCTGTGGCCCCTGGTGCTCCCTCCTCTCGCCCACTGTCCCGCGTTCACTTTAAGTCATGCTATAATATCGCCAATACATTCGTTCAATATCTATGGCTGCTGGAAATAAGCCAACTCGACGCAGGAAGAAGAGAAGCCAGGCTCAGCTTGAAGTTCTCGCCCGCGCACGAACCGAGCGACAAGACAGCGAGAATGTCGCCCCAACCCCCTCCTTATCCAATGCCACCTCCAGTACACGTCGCGCCACACCTCAGATGGCTAGATCGAAGGTCACTTTGCAAGATTCAGTGCACCAGAACACTGGAGGCGACACGGACAATAGCATACCTTCGACTCGCAAACGCAAGAAATATGACGCAGATGACTGGGAGCGCGTCGCACGCAGGACACGACGCAAGCTCTACACGACTGAGGATAAAGTGGAGAAGCTAGCAGGAAGGATCAGCGCGTTGCAGGAGGCCGCAGAGCAGGGGGAGAGGCGACATATCGAGGAGCTTCATGTCGCATCACGAGCAAGCGGAGAGATGTGGTGGGAGCTACAGAAGACGCGCGAGGGGCTTACAGCGGAGCAGATGGAGAACACACGCATTCAGCGTCTCCTAGGCGAGCAGGACGACCGCTTGGCAGCACGGCTGAAGGAGCTTTTCGATACCAAGAAGTCAAACCGCGCCCTGTCTATGCAGGTTCTGCGCAGGGGCGGGAGTGCGCGATCGAAGCGCACGTACTATCTGAGGGACTCCGTGGTCACTGCCGACTTCCAAAACCGTGTCAGGTCGAAGGGAGCATTCACGCCCGCGGCCCGCGCCATAGCACTGAAGCTCGTCCTCTCGGGCTGTGCCGAGCATGCGGTGGGCGGTGTCATCCAGGAGCTGGGGCGACTGGTGGGCATACGACGACTGAACGCAATCCCGAGGATGAGTGCACGCACCGTTTCTCGCATCATCGCGGAGGGAGGCATTGCGGCGAAGATACAGCTCGGTTACGAAATCATGAGGAACACGAGTGAGTACGCGAGCTAACAGACATGCTTGAGACGACTTACCAATATCCAATCAGGCCTTACTGCCAGTGGAGACTCGACATCTCATCGAAGGCAGGAGTATGACTCGCGCTTCGTAGCGTTGAAGCCGGTGACGGCCACCGGCACGTTGTCGGATACACATGTACTACGAAGCCTCGGTGTCGACGCATCCCTCAACCACTCCGGTGAGGAGCAGGTCCGCGGTCTCTTGAAGAAATTGCAGCAAATCTGCGAGATCTTCAATCGCTCACCTTTCGCCAAACGCAAAGGCCTCGAGATGAGCCTTACCGCCTTCGCCACTCGCCTGCGTGGGACGAACGGCGACCACGCGAACGACGTGAAGAAGGACAACAAGCTCCTCCTTATGTGGAAGCTCGAGTTGACGAAGATCTCGCTCGGCTACGACAAGCTCAGGCAGATGAGCCCCGAGGACGCGTTCTGCGTTATCATACCGCATGCGCGTGCAGTCCTCCTCGAAGTTGGTGGTCAGGCCGCGTGGGATGCCCTCAGCGATGTGGTCCGAGCAGAGAAGGAGAGCGCCTTTATGCGCAGCGCGGCAGAGGAGGTGGGGGAGCAGGAGTATGAGCGGCTAGGTGCCAGCGAGAAGAAGAGGCTGTCGCTCTTCCTGTTCTCTGGGTGTTGCATGCACAAGGAGTTGAACAGTGTCAAGGGCGGCGACACGCGCATGCGTACCTATTACCCAAATCACCCCGAGGTCGCGCCGCCCGTCCTTCTCGCGAACAAAGATAACGCCGCGGTTCTCGCGGGAGTGAAGGACGGCGAGCAGCTGACCCCGGCGGAGCTGCGTGCGTTGTCCATCTCTGGCTGCGGCGCTGTGAAGGCAACGACTCTCGCCGGCATGATCTGCAACAACAAGGATAGTAAGAAAGGTCAACACGATCGCTACATCTGGTACTTCGACAAGGAACTGGGTCCTGCGGTCACTGCACGTCGCTTCCCCGACGTCAGCAACACACGCTTCCAGTCCCATTGCGCTGCGTCATGCGAGATACTCGTTCACCTGGACCTGTACAGGGACTTCATGAGGAATGGAGTCTATTACAAGAAGGAGAAACCCGGCTTCACCAACATCGAAAAGAACTTCTTTCGGGCTCTGCACTGCAGTACGACGCTCACCGAAATGGCTGTGCTAGCCCTCTACGGCCTCTGTGTCTCCTGCCCCTACGTACGCCAGATCCGCGGTCCTGGCATGTCCAACCTGAACGCGTTGACGCTCGGCCCGCTTCACATCCGCTTGAGAAACTTCATCGAGAAGTTGATCAACGATCCGAGCATCATTCTCGGAGATGATGCTGGGTACACGACCGCAACCTTCGATGGCGAAGAGTGGGAGAGGCCAGGTGTTTTCGATGCCATCGTGTCACTGCGCCCCGCTATGCCTCACCTGCAGGAGCTCCTTGTAGAGTTCTTGAAGGGCGCGCTTGAGACGTGGGAGCGATTCACGGCCGAGTTCGACCCTAGCGGTGATATCAGCCAGCTCACGACGGAGGAACAAGATGAATTCTGGATGCCCGCCACGAACGACGCGAACGAGAGTGCACTCGGGGGTGTCCGGGTGAACGCCAGTGCACGCCCCAACCAGACGCTTCACCAATTCGAGGCAAAGGATATGTTCCGGCGCAACGACACGCAGCAGTTTGTTGACCAGGAATTTATCGCCGAGGATCACAAGTTTGTACGTGGTGAGGCCCGCCTATTGCAGGCATCGCGGCCCCAGAAGCAGCTCCAGCATGCGCAAGTCGTCCATGACGAGGAGGAGGCCCGACGGCATCAGGCCTCCGAGGAGCAGTCGAATGCGAAGGCGTTGGAACGGCAGATCAAGCTCGATAATACTGTCCTCATCACGGATGCGGAGAAGTTCGTTGGGGTACGGAAAGATGCACTCATTGATCAGCTGAATTACTGGCGCCATCGGCTGCTCGCGAAGGTCGAGCCCAACACAAAGATCCCGAAGAATGTCGACAAAGTCGCGGAGCTTCGCAAGCTTCTTGCACTCTTCCCAGGCGGTGTAGTACCGGAATCCGAGCGCACAATTCCCAAAGGAAAGGGTCACACACTTATAGTAGGACCCGAAGCGGTTCTGCAAGACATGCCGAGCATTTCGATTGCTTCTACAGAGGTTGTGGACCACAGCGTGCGAGAGGAAGAGGGCGAGGAGATTGATCTACTGTACGAGTCCGAAGTAGATGATATCTGATGCCCATCACTTAGTTATATCTATACAATATCTCTCCTACTACCACTACCTACTGCTCATAGCCCTTCGAGAGCCCTGATTGTAGCACGAGATGCAGGAACACTGGAACTTGAAGGTTTCGTGCACGTCCTGGATGCACGCAGTTGGATATTGGTTCACAGCTTCGGTAAGCAGCAGAAAAAATAAATTTAAGCAATCTGTATACTATAGAGACCTAGCGGCGTAGATTCCGAGGCGCTAGAGGCCTTGTACGCGTCGCAGTGTGCCAGCGCGATGGCCGTTGACCGAGTACCAACTGAGCCGGTCAAAGCGGTGGCGGTGTGCTGACTAAGCTGCACGGCTCGCTAGGCGGGCTTGCCGGCCTTCAGACAAAGGCACGCGGGGAGCGTGACGTTGACGTCGGGTGACCATCATGTGATCTTACGTGACGGGATGGGAGTGCCATCAGAAACGCTCTTGAACTGAACGCCGACAGTTCCTTGCGCCGCTCCCCGCCCGGTGTCGCGTCCACGATGAGCAAAAAGGCCTCTAAAACGCCCAAGACGTCCCCGACGTACTCCCTCGGCGACGTCGTCCTCGGAAAAGTTCGCGGGTATCCTTCCTGGCCGGGCAGGGTGCGTCGTCGCGTCGCGTTCGCTGCCCCCAGACACCACTGACCTCCCCGCGCAGATCGTCGACCCCGACTCCGTCCCCCCGTCGGTGACCAAGGAGCGCCCCCCTGGCAAGAAGGCCACCTGCTACTGCGTGCAGTTCTTCCCCAAGGGCGACTAGTGCGTGTACTTCCCGCGCGCGCGTGTGATCGGGCGGCGCTGACTCCCCTCCCAGCGCCTGGTTATACCCAAAAGACATCTCCAAGCTACAGAAGCACGAGATAGAGTCCTATCTGTCCGACCCGCCGAACGCGAAGACCAAGGGCGAGCTCCACGAGGGCTACAAGATCGCGCTCGACCCTGAGCCGTGGGCGGCGGAGCTCGCAGAGCGCATTGAGGCTGCGGGGATCCAGGAGGACGATGAGGAGGATGCGGAGAACGAGGTCGACGAGCTCGAAGGCAGCGAGGGCAGCTCGGAGTCCAAGTCGAAGAAGCGCAAGCGCGAGTCGGACGCGGGCAAGAAGAAGGCGGCAAACAAGAAGAGCGCCGCGAAGAAGGACGCGGGTGGCGATGGCAAGAAGAAGGGTGGTCGCAAGAGCCAGACCAAGTCGAAGGCGAACATCGAGAGCGAGGACGAGACGGGGGCCCACGACGCGAAGGAGGAGCCGCCCGCGAAGAGACCGAAGCGCGACGACGAAGAGGGTAAGTGGCGCGTTGCCCCCTAATCCAACTCTGCCACCCTCCTTCCTCCGCCGTACTTTCCGTCCTCCTTCCTGCCCCTTTTGCGTCTGTTCATTCCCAACTGACGCTCCCAGCAGGCGGCGACCCCGCGGCTGGCTTGTTTAAGGAGTGGCGGCATAAGCTGCAGAAGACTTTCCTCGGCAAGACCGAGGCCAAAGCCGCGGACATGCCCGACATCGACAAACTTCTCCAGAAGATCGAGAACTACGGCGAGATTCCGACGGTCGCACTCACGCACTCGAAGATCGGCAAGGTCATGAAGCATATCGTGCAGCTGCCCGCAGAGAAGGTGCGTGCGGTACTTCTTAGTGGCTCGGGTCGATGCTGCGAGCGCGGACGCACGTTCTGGTGGGGACGTAGCCACCGTGCGGCCTCGCGCCCGACCTGAGTCAATTTTCACGAGCGCCATCTCATCCGCCCGCAGAAACCCCGCGACGACGAGTTCCACTTCACCGAGCGCGCGCAGAAGCTGATCGACGCGTGGAACCCGAAGGGCAGCGACAGCAAGTCGAACGGCGACGCGAAGACGGCGGAGGTCACCGACGGCACGGCGGCGATGAACCTGAACGGGACTGGTGCGTGCTGGCGCTCCTTGTACATCGGCGATTTGGCTGACGCGTGTAATCTCCTTCCAGCAACCCCCGCGGCGGAAGAGGATGCGAAGGGCGACGCGGACGCGGATGCGCCCGCGGAGGTGGACAACGAGAACGTGGGCGAGGAGTCGATGCTGGCGGACGTGACGATGTCGGAGGCGCCATGAGCGACTGGCGCGCGCGTGCGTCGTCCGTCTACCACCCAATGCTTCCTATCACCCCGAATCATATTGCTCTATGCTATGCTGCATGTCGTCCTTCCTCGTGCACGTCGTGCATGTTGTCCCCTTCGTACATGTCTCTCTCCCTTCCCCAATCTTGCTCTTCTTGTCTACGGCTCCCGTGCTGCGTGGGGCGTACGTGCGTTCTGATATCCTACTGCTTTTCTCTATGTCCGTCCCCCCTCGTCGAACGCTGTATGCATGGTGTAGTCGATTGCTTGAACTAATCTCAAGTTTCTTTCCTTCCTAGATGTCCGAGTGCGACCAAGTTGAAGGGTGCGGGTGAAGATGGAGGTGAGGTTTCTTTTCGGCGGGACATTCGGCTTGTCTGCAAGGCGCTTCAAGCAGCACTGCATAAAGTAGGGCAAGCACGCGCGGTATGAGAGGTGGTGCTTCCGTATAATTGGGGGGACGTGGGTGCGTTAGACGGTGCTGCCGAACTTCGACTTTGTGAAGTGGGTGGCGTGGGAGTCGCGCCCCTGAGGAGCTATCGGCAAGAGCTCGACGTGCGGTTAGTATTCTTCAGCACCTATCGTGGCCATGATTTGAGAGAGATATGGCTCTTGACCGCTGATGTTCTATAGATGCTACGCGACTACCCCCCACACGTACTCGCATTCGAGCTCGACTTGAGAAGTACAGACGCACGAGCTGGTCCCTAGCCGTAGGCCTTGCCGACGACGCGGCGTTGTGCCTTCCACGTCAGGTTATGTTGCGTTGCAGCGGCGACCGTGTCCGTGCTAGTCCCCTTGACGGTGCCTGCCCGTGGGATCGCACAACCATGTCAATGCAAAGTTGACTCTTCGTGCCCTTTCCGGGCGTACAAATGAAAGGTCAGTAATATGGCGCATCTTCGAGTGCGGCGAGACCTGATATGAGTCGCAAGGTGAAGTATATAAGACGGAATCCGCTTCGCTCAAGTTGACGAGCGTGACGCCCTAGCGTGAACTCTCTGGACCACCATGAACGCGGTACTGCTCGGCTAGTACGCCACTTACCTTCCGCGAGTTTTGAGAGCTTCGGCTCCGAAGAAGACCGCTTGTGGGAGCCCTCGCGCAAGCGCGTATATTCGGCTCTCGGTGTGTCGCCTCTACTGTACCCCAGAGCTTGCGTTCGCTGACGAGGATGCCCAGGCCGACCTTGGCGCTCTTCGCGCAGACTTATCGTTTCAGCGTCGCCGAGGGACCCGCACTCTGATTGAGCATAGCTGATGCACACTATACACGGAGTACCCGAGTTCTCGATCCTGAAGGCGGTCATCTCGTGCGTCGCACGCGAGAGGACCGGGAAACGTCTATTGGGTCTTTCGCGCCCTCCAAGTTCCTTGCAACGCTGCTTGTTGCAAGTAGCTCACGTTTTCCCAGGCGCTCAGGGCTAGATGATCAATAACGAACCTCCCATTACCGCATTCGGCGAGAATCGATGAGCGCGTGACATGTGTTGCGCGTCACAGCAATCGCCATAATCGAAGGTCACCTCTCGCGCCCATCATCGTGAACAGCGTGGCTCATCAACGGCCCTGCGGCAGCTCGACAAGGCGCCATGGAGAGCATCGCCAGAATGGATTTCCATCGCAGCTACGATGGCCTGCGTCAGATACGCGACCTCGCACTTCAGCTCACCAAGGATCTACCCGGCCGAGCGCATGCATCCGCGCTCGCGAAGATCAAGTCTCTCTTCGGCGTTGCGTTTCGGCTCTTCTTGATCGATGCGCGAGTCTCGTCACTGTCCCGCACCACGGATAGGACGAGGACCTATGACCTCGTTCTCGGCGGGTTTTTTGCATTCGGGGCTCTATGGAATGCCACTAAGCTTCCGCGGAACGCAGCTCTCGCGCCCCTTCTCCGCGATCTCCCCTCGTCGCTTGTAAAATGGGCAGCCATCGTTCATCCTGTGCGCGCGCCACCTCCAGACGACGAGGAAAAGCGTATCGTACTGGCGCTCACGGAGTTCTACATCGTCATTCTTCAGTCAGACACGCACTATGCGAAATCATTCCTCCACGCGAACCCGGATATGGCACCCCAGATTGTCGAGCTCTGGATTCGCTTCCCCCATTCCTACCGGCTGGCTGCGCCACACACCGACTCCGACGTCGACATCGCAAGCGTCGTGTTCGGGATCGTGACAGCGATGTGCCGACTCTACGTTTTGCTCGCGCGACCAGGAAGTAACCCATCCGAAGATGATCGTGCTCTATTCATGAACGCTTTGCGTGCTGCTCGCGTCACCAAGCGAGCGCTTTTCGATGTCATTGGACCGCAGACGCACTATCTCGCCAGGTCCGTACCCGACCACATGCTCATGCGCGGAGTTTGGCTTCACTACATCGACATCGTCTCCGGCTTGGTGCAGCTCCCCGAATTCCAGCCGTCGAAGATTCCTCGAGATATCATCCCGTTCGTCATCATGGCGGCGGGGGTGCGCCTCGAGAAGAAAGATTATATGTCCACGGCGGAGCTGCTGGTCTTCACGGATATTATCTGCGGCCTTGCTCCCACGAATCGCCCTCTCGTTCAGGCCATCAAGTCTGGCGTCTTCGTCGCTCTGTACACTTTGGACCGGGCTCCCGAAGACTTCAGAATCGATGTCTCGCCGCTCGTTCGACGCCTCAGTGCGGGGCTAGTACATGGGAAGGTCCTACGCGCTCTTCGACATACCTATGCTCCGGGTAAAGACATGAAGGACCACTCTGCGGAAGAGAAGCCGACATGGCGCAGCCTCATGCGCACATACGAGAATTTCGGTCAAATACACTTCAATTACTGCACTGAGGGGCTATGGCGACGCTCTATTCCTTGTCAGAACTCCACGGTGAGTGAGTTGGCCGACACAGTGTTGCACAACTAATGATGCCAAGGGTCATCATAACGAGGTAGTGCGATTTTGCCCATGCGGCGACGTACTCTACTGCTCCGGGAGCTGCCAGAGGATGCACTGGGATCAGTCTCATGGATACAATTGCCATGTTGACAACGGTCCATGGGATCTCAAGGGTACGTACCAGGATAACAAAGGGAGGTACGAGCCTAAGTCCTAGATTTTAGGTGCAATATCACTCTCAGATGTCGTACTGCTCTGCTGCATTTCAAAGCGTTACGTCGAGCAGATGAGGACCGAGATAGGCGAGCAAATAACAACGAAAATCCAGGAAAAGGAGGAGGGCTCGCGTTTTGCTCGAGTAACTATCGTCTGCAATTTCGCCAACGTCCTTCCTTCCCCACGCATTGAGTGTCACTACGATATAACCGCAGACCAGCACGCGCAGATTAGCTCCGAGACGCAGCGTCGTATCTTTGTTGAAGGGTCCTTGTTATTGGGGCGGAAGGTTGTAAGGCGCAGACTGCCGCTCACGTATGCCTTGGACTATTTCTGCTCGTTAAAGCAGCTGCTCCCTTACCTATGATCTCGATATTACCATGCTTGATGACCGTCACATACTGTATATTGTACTTCTGTCGACTCACGATGGAGTCGAACACAGGACCTCGTCGCGGGAATTGCCGGGCTGCCGCTCATGTTGTGGAGGACGGGGCTCGTAGGCCTCTTCGGCAAGCCCAACAAGGACTGAACAGACGCGTTTGTATTGTACTACTACCTATGCTACTTACCGAATCGTTTCCGCGAACCGCGCGTGGCGACCCCGTGACCCGGGCGCTAACTATCTGCCCTCACTAGCCGACGTCAGCTAGCACCGTGGGAAACGCGTTCAAATTTTCCCACGATTTACCGAAATACTAGCCGACGTCAGGAGCCCCGCCATGCGCGTTAGCTGACGTTCCAATGGTGCAGGAGGGTAGCCAGCATGTCCATCCACCGCTGGACGAAGTTTGGAGGCGAGGGGGGCAGGGGGAAGCGCTCCAGACAATGGCGCGAACGAATGTGTTCGCACGCGTTTGTACGAAAAAATTCGTTCGCCCGTGGGAAAAGTCGCCAAAAGCGGTTGTGATGGCTAGCCGACGTCCATCACACACGTGTTCTGGGACCGTCAGGGCTAGCCAACGTTGAGGGGGCTAGCCAACGTCTTTAAGTGCACTGGGAGGTGAAGATACGCACTGTGAATGGTACTGGTAAATCTCAAGGCAACCGCCCCAGCACAACGTGAGCTAGCTTTTGGCCGGTGAGGTCACGTGCCTGCGAGACCAGGCGAGGGCTAGTCAGAGTTGGAAGCGTTGGCTGGGGTTTTCAAGTGCAATAATGTAAGAAGAGATGTAATATGAATATGTTCTGAGGCTTCAGACGTCGGCTAACGGACTCAGACGTTGGCTAGCCCCTTGGGGGGTGAGGTCACGTGCTCGCCCAATCCGAGTGCGGGCTAGCCGACGTCCAGGTGCGTTAGCCGACGTTTGAAGGCCATACAATGTTTATCAATATGCTGTAGATTCATGTTCTGTAGCTCATACGTCAGCTAACGGGCTGAGACGTCGGCTAGCTCTTGGTGGTGGGGTCACGTGCTCGCCCAATCCGAGTGCGGGCTAGCCGACGTCCAGGTGCGTTAGCCGACGTCTAAAGTGTCTCAGGTGGTTACAGATATGTTGTAAACATATATTCTGCCGCTCAGACGTCAGCTAACGCACTCAGACGTCGGCTAGCCCTTGGGGGGTGAGGTCACGTGCTCGCCCAATCTGAGTGCGGGCTAGCCGACGTCCAGGTGCGTTAGCCGACGTTTGAAGGCCATACAATGTTTATCGATATGTTGTAGATTCAAGTTCTGTAGCGTATACGTTGGCTAACGCACTCAGACGTTGGCTAGCTCTTGGTGGTGGGGTCACGTGCTCGCCCAATCCGAGTGCGGGCTAGCCGACGTCCAGGTGCGTTAGCCGACGTTTGAAGGCCATACAATGTTTATCGATATGTTGTAGATTCAAGTTCTGTAGCGTATACGTTGGCTAACGCACTCAGACGTTGGCTAGCTCTTGGTGGTGGGGTCACGTGCTCGCCCAATCCGAGTGCGGGCTAGCCGACGTCCAGGTGCGTTAGCCGACGTTTGAAGGCCATACAATGTTTATCGATATGTTGTAGATTCAAGTTCTGTAGCGTATACGTTGGCTAACGCACTCAGACGTTGGCTAGCTCTTGGTGGTGGGGTCACGTGCTCGCCCAATCCGAGTGCGGGCTAGCCGACGTCCAGGTGCGTTAGCCGACGTTTGAAGGCCATACAATGTTTATCGATATGTTGTAGATTCAAGTTCTGTAGCGTATACGTTGGCTAACGCACTCAGACGTTGGCTAGCTCTTGGTGGTGGGGTCACGTGCTCGCCCAATCCGAGTGCGGGCTAGCCGACGTCCAGGTGCGTTAGCCGACGTCTAAAGTGTCTCAGGTGGTTACAGATATGTTGTAAACATATATTCTGCCGCTCAGACGTCAGCTAACACACTCAGACGTCGGCTAGCCCTTGGGGGGTGAGGTCACGTGCTCGCCAAATCTGAGTGCGGGCTAGCCGACGTCCAGGTGCGTTAGCCGACGTTTGAAGGCCATACAATGTTTATCGATATGTTGTAGATTCATGTTCTGTAGCTCATACGTTGGCTAACGCACTCAGACGTTGGATAGCTCTTGGTGGTGGGGTCACGTGCTCGCCAAATCCGAGTGCGGGCTAGCCAATGTCCAGGTGCGTTAGCCGACGTCTGAAGCCTTTCAAATGGCTACAGGTATGTTGTACATATATCTTATGCAGCTCAGACGTCGGCTAACGGGCTGAGACGTCGGCTAGCTCTTGGTGGTGGGGTCACGTGCTCACCCAATCCGAGTGCGGGCTAGCCGACGTCCAGGTGCGTTAGCCGACGTTTGAAGGCCATACAATGTTTATCAATATGTTGTAGATTCATGTTCTGTAGCGCATACGTTGGCTAACGCACTCAGGCGTCGGCTAGCTCTTGGTGGTGGGATCACGTGCTCGCCCAATCCGAGTGCGGGCTAGCCGACGTCCAGGTGCGTTAGCCGACGTCTAAAGTGTCTCAGGTGGTTACTGATATGTTGTAAACATATATTCTGCCGCTCAGACGTCAGCTAACGCACTCAGACGTCGGCTAGCCCTTGGGGGGTGAGGTCACGTGCTCGCCAAATCTGAGTGCGGGCTAGCCAACGTCCAGGTGCGTTAGCCGACGTCTAAAGCGTCTCAAGTGATTACAGGTATGTTGTACATATATATTCTGCAGCTCATACGCTGGCTAACGGGCTGAGACGTCGGCTAGCTCTTGGGAATGGGTCATGTGCTCACCCAATTGAAGTGCGGGCTAGGTGACGTCTGGATACGTTAGTCGGCGTGTATCCGTACCCAATTCAACAAGCCTTTCTGGAACATGCAAAAGTGCTGCCTGATGTTGAATGAGTGAGTGAATAGTTTGATATGGTCGTGCCTGCATCTCCCCGGCTTGTGGTGTTGTCCAATTTTCGCACGTACGTACGTACGTACACACGTTCGTTCGCAACAAGTACGTGCACTTATGTCCACCATTGTTCAAGGCAAATCAGTAGGGAAAGCACCTGCAAGAACGTAATCATCGGTGCATAATCAGTCCATATATGATGGACAAGCATGATGCCTGGCAGAGTAAGATAAGGCAAGTGATGATATGCAAAGCAACTGCTGTTGCAGTGCCACAGTCCATCAGGGCCAGTCTTTCTCATTCCCCGCATTCCCTGCTTACCTCCATGCACTTAGTTGACTGCAAAAGCCGCACGGAACAAAAAGGGCCCTAGCGCATTTTGGGGATTCGAACCCCAGACCACAACATACACCCTGCTTTTTTGTTTTTTTTTCTGCAAGGGACGAGGTGATCGGACCCATCCGCCATTTGCGCTAGGTAGTCATTCGGTCAACAAAAAGATTGTCACTGTGGATGTGGGATGCGTGAGTCATAAGCATCCATACCGTATTCCGCATGGGATGTGAATCGGCAGCAATGACGTTCTCCCTTCGTCCCCGTCTTACCTGAGCAAGGGTGGTACAGTACGATTGCAGATGTCCACGCTATTTGTAAGGCTCCTTCACGTTTGCGCTCGGCGATGTCTTGAGGCTATAGTTATACAGGGCTGTAATAGAAGGAATTACATAAGACTACGATCACGGGATTTCTGAACGCAAGCACAAGCAGAAAATCGTCAGAAAAACGTACATCAAGTGATAGATTGAGATGACAAGCAGATGGGTCAATGGAGCGTACAGTATTAGTTTCTATAATTATCAAAGACTTCCTTAACGAAGGCACAAATGAAAATTCATCTAAAAAACCACTGCAAATGAAAGATCAAAACGACGAAATGTAAAGAGGCAGATTGGTTCGCCAACCCGCGTTCCAGGATCCTGCTGATTTCCCCCTTGTGCACGTGTACGCCTGAGCAGCTACCTTCTTTTTGCCTTCCATATCCTGCACGCACGCCTGATGTCGGCCAGAGCAACAAGGACCTTCGAAGAGAATGACCGATACGTGCCCTCGCCCAGACGCGCACGAGGCCATCACGTGGTCGCACCAGAGTTCGACTGCCAGCGATTTTTCCTCCTACGTACGAACATATTCATCAACCCCCGTAAGTTCTGCATTAGCCACTGCATGATGTGGAGCTGCATTTTGTTAGGGTTAGGGTTAGGGTTAGGGTTAGGGTTAGGGTTAGGGTTAGGGTTAGGGTTAGGGTTAGGGTTAGGGTTAGGGTTAGGGTTAGGGTTAGGGTTAGGGTTAGGGTTAGGGTTAGGGTTAGGGTTAGGGTTAGGGTTAGGGTTAGGGTTAGGGTTAGGGTTAGGGTTAGG